GATGGCAGTATGAGATGGAGCATTCCCTCTATGCTCACTGGGCCGGGTCATTTCTTTGATAACCCCCAGAAATGGGAACTCGGTCCACCAGAAGTGGAGCAGGAGATGGCCACCTGGGGCCCGACTGAGCTTCCCGACGTTCCAACAGCCGCACAGCAAGCGGCACTGGAACAGGCCGAGCGAGACCTGGCACAGACCCAGCGAGAGCAAGAGGAGCGGATGCAGGAGATGTGGACAGATTGGGTGAACTTGTCTTGCTGAAAAATTGACCTTGGATCAACAAGTAAAGTTGGTAAGATTCAGCGATATAAATCAAGAATAACAAAGCGATTTACACCTCGTCGATGTGCATTCGGATCTCCAGAAGTTGGGTTAAGAGCAATTAGTTGACGGGAGCCAGAAAATGAAGCCCAAACCATCTGTCTAATTTGGAATCCTCGGTATGGAGTTGGATAGACTTCGTCTTGAATTGCTTGCTCTCCAGGACGAATAAATGTCCACTCGGGTCGAAGTCTGATACCACGCTCAACTGTACATTCGTCAGACCAGAAGACACGATCAAAATCCTCCTTTGTATAGTGTTGATACCGTAAAGCCCACGCCAATCGTTGTTCAGCGTGTTCAGGTCTTAGATAGGGTCGTTTCATCACTCGCCATTTTCGAAGGTTCTCAACACAGAGAAGACGAGCGATTGAGTCTTTTTTGCACTTATTGCTGACCTCAGAGAGTAGATCTTCATATGTAACTCGGGGTGTTGTGAATCTTCTGGAGGATCTTTTGACGATCATCTTCATTAAGAACTTTTTTTTTTCGTCCAGATCGCTTCAAAGACTGCTCCTTTTGCCGAGCTCTTGACCGTAGGCATGTCATTTTGATAGTTGAGAGTGGTAGATCAGGGAATTTCTTGTGGATTTCCCTATAAGACCACCCAGCGATCTCTTTCAATGTAGTGATCTGGGTACGTAGATTAGGGTCGAATTCACAATTCCGGCGACGTGGTGTGCTTGTAGTTGGAAGAGTGGGTGGCCTAGGAGGTGTAGGGAGAGGGCCCTTAGGCACTGGGCGCTGTGGTAAAGCTCTTACACGAGGCATAGTGTGATGTAGAGGGGTGTAAAAAGAGACGCGAGCGCGATACTACAACGCGGCACAGTGTATTTGCCTATTTTAGGAAGGCGGAGATGGAAGCGGTCAATTGGGGGGTCACAGACTTTTGCGGTGCCACTTTAAATACAACAAACAGAAGTAACGTAAGCAGTAAGCAAACAAGCGGTGTAATGCGGGGTAATTCTGATATATCTCATTCATCAGCGGGATGCCCCTCGGATGTACACGCACTCATTTGACAGCATTATTTCGGTCGAAATGAGGGATATGGCCAGTTGACCAGGTGATATTGATCGCAGCCTTGGAAGCCAGGTGTTGAACCGGTTTGACTTCCAACAAAATGAGTTATTCGCCGCATGTTGTCGAGATCAGATTGATCTTTGATTTCAAGGTCGTTAGTCTGATTAGATAGAGTTTGAATCAAGAGCTGGGTCGAGGGCGATGGCGTTCATGAGACATGATTCGCTGAGTGAGATTGAATCTCTGATGGTGTGCCATCTCGAGTATTTTTGTCCCATTTGATCAGATAGATACCAGAAAGATTATTCAATTTGCAAACGTCGATTCCATCCTCATCCTCAAGTACGCAGTCTTTTCTTCGAAGGAAGATACCTCCCTTAGTAGCGCAATTTGCTGATATGAGGTTGAGATGAAACCCTGGGGCGTATGCAACGTTTTTCAGCGGGAGTTTTGTGCCATCTAAGCTTTCAGACGGGGTAACAATCGCAGATCCATATCCCAAAATAGTAGTCCATGTATCACCAACTTGAACAGATGAGACAGATGGTCGAAAATCAGATAGGAGATCCGTGTTATTGCAGATGTGGAGAGTAGAGCCAGTATCAAACACCCAAACGCCATTTTTCTTTTTCTCATAACTGTAGGCATAGAGAGAGGGCTGATGTTTCGGGATGAATGATGAGGATGCGCTTCGAGATTTAGGCTTCGAGTCTTTGAGTCTCGAGTCCTGATACTGCCGAATAGCCTTATCATAGGCATATTTAAATTTGCTATGCTCACACGCTTTCTCGAATCTTTTCTGGGCGTTTTCATCTGGTTTCCAGCCATACGGTCTGATCTTTGGATTAACATATCGACATTGGCTGAATCGGTGATCTCCATCGTTTGGATCTTCTTGGCAGGGACACATTCTGGGTTTTTTCTGATTGATCTGATTAGTCTGATTGAGTGGCTGTCCTTGGAATGTGCTGTGAGCTAATTTAGCTGGATATTTCGGAGGGGATACTCGAATATTATCCGAGTACAAGTTGATCAGTGTGTTGAAATCAGGGATATTGATGCTATCATCCCATCTCTTCTCTGATATCCTACTCATCCAATATGTGTAGAATTCAGGTGAAATCGTGGATAGGGCACCGAGGAAACCATAGAGGACTCGATCTTTATTCACAAACTCAGGAACATTAGACTCGATTGCTTCTATGTAGCACACTTGAAGCTTATGTAACCAGTTCTCGAGTCCATCCCTCGAGGGGCCGTTCGCTCGAAGTGTGTTCCACGTGGTGGCGATTCGGTGCATCTTGCTCGCATCGGGCGGAGCAAACATCTTGTCGGCATCCGGGGTATATGACTAGATTAATCATGTGCTGGACCAAGGATGTTGTGGGTTGAGACGAATTACAGACTATTCGCTCGAGGACAGGCTTTGCCTCGAGGGGTCGAGTCTGCGGGTTGAGATTCACCTAGAATTCGCCTGATCATCAAGCTATGATCAGATGCAGTCTTAAATGCACAACCAAAGATGTATAACACGACAAACAGAAGTAACGTAAGCAGAAAGCAAAAAAGCGGTGTAAAGCGGGTAATTCTGACTGATGTCATTCATCTGGGGGATGCCCTCGGATGAACACTCACTCATCTGACATCATTATTTCGGCCGAAATGAGGTGTCAGCAATCGGGGTCTATGACTCGTCTTAGTCATGTGCTGGACCGCGATTGACGTGGAAAGATAAGATGGGTGAGAACAGCTAATATTCAGAGATGAGAACATTCAACTGCCTAACTAGCTAATGTTGGAATCAATCTCATATAAATAGACCAAAATAGAAGCAAACAAGGAGACAAACAATATAAGCGAAAGCGGGGTAAATTTCGTACTTTCCCTTTTACACACGAGCTAACTCTCTTATTCCCCAGTGAGCTGATCAGGATTACATCACTGCCTTAGAAGTCAGGTGTTGAACTACTTTGACTTCCAACATGAGAGATATGGCTAGTTGATCAGGTGATATTGATCGCTTGCAGCCTTGGAAGCCAGGTGTTGAACCGTTGTCGGTGGCCAATTCGACTCAACAGGATATTAGTGGGTGGTTCTGGATAAACATCATAGATTAGTAATTTGTTTTACCCCTTATAAATTGTTAGCTCAGGGGTTGTACTCGAAATCAGACTTGTTCATCTACATCCACTAGTTGCCATCACATATGCGGTTCCACCGCCTTCCAACAACCGGCTTGACTTCTAACACATCTGTTTCAACATTCGGAGCATAACCCATAGCGATGGTTGAGATGAGATCAACAAGCGATTATCAGCTGAAATTGATTGTCTGATTCCCTGTTTTATCCGATCTATGTGCTTCTGGGTGAAACAGAAACGCTCGAGTTTTCGAACCTTTCCTAATCAGGCTAGTCGAGGGATAAGATGGTTCAGTTGGGATTGAAGGCTGATCTGGTAGGCCGGGATCGATATACCGCCAGATACTCCATGTTGTCGCTTGGTATTTGATCACGGCAGATAGAGTGTAGAAAACGTGGACCCATGGGAAGGAGGTCCTGCCCATTCACATCCCAGAGATCCCATGGGAAATCTTAGTAAGACCCATCCCATCCCATGGGTTACCCATGCTAGTCAATTTCTGCCTAAATTGTTAAGACTATCACTAATTAAGTCTTCATAATTATGCAATCTAGCTTAATGTATTTAATCCAGTTTTAACACGTAATGATATAGAAACGATTCACCCCCTTTTACAGGGCTATCCAAAAGTGTTTCGCCGTATTCTCCCTTCCTTCCTCCATCTGTCGCCGGCTGGATCTTGTTTTCGCCCACTTCGGCCCACCCCCATCAAGGCTCCCCAACGACACATCCGATCCACATTCGCTCCCAGGGCGTTTCACTGGCCATGCGGGCCATCTTGCCCTGTCCCATCGCCACAACGCAGCACCCCGGGCCGTGCCGTGATGCATCCAGTAGGTCTTTCACAATAATCACAAGCGAGTCGTCGCGGTGATCTGATGTACCCGCCCGTCTGCGACAGAACTCTCAACTCTCCCTCTTCTCCGATCTTTGCCGTCTGGCGGTCCACGCGGATGCCTTCCCATCTAGAGATACTGGTCGCATGGAACGCCCATCGCCGCCATGTGAGCCGACGCTTTCTGCCCTGGTCCTCTTTTCGTCACTGTATATGCACAGAATCCACGGGGCACACCGATGGGAGAAGGAATCGCAGTAGTGTGTAGTACTACGGCCACCCTCATGCAGGACCCAATGAACCTTGGTACATGCACACCCCGAGCTCGGTCAGGATCACGGAGATCGTCGACGGGGATGATGAGGAGCTCTGCTAGCACCGAAGCAGGCAAGAGCGTGGGGAAAGTGGGACGGGTGGGGAGGACGTCGCGGGGTCAATTCTTCGCCCGACAATTCCTGCGGTAGTCCTACTGCTACCTAGGTACTAGGATGATTGCTGTGTGCTCGACTTGGCCCGTTGCACCTCTTCCATCGGGATGTGGGCCACTCCTCATCCTCCTGCCCCCGCGGCGAGCAGAATGGAGTCGATGATCCTGGAGGGAGATACAAATTCAAACCCCATGGCCAGGAACAGTCCGTCCATCATTGAGAGTGACGGTCTACATTGAGAGCTCATTCACCATGCACATCGTCTGGAAAGACTCGGTCGATGCCGCGACATACGAGGAGGCCCGCGTCGGCCGCGTCTTTAATCATCGTCGCCCTGAACGGTTCCCGCTGGCCATTGTCAAGGCCACCTGCGAAGCAGACATCGTCGCGACCGTCAAGCTGGCGGCCGAGCGAGGCTGTCGCGTGGCCGTTCGGTCCGGTGGTCACTCTTGGGCCGCCTGGAGTGTTCGCGATGCCTCCATCCTGATCGATTTGGGCAGCTACAAGACGCTGGAGGTGGATGCCGAGCGCCGGACAGCGTGTGCCTCGCCTAGCATGACCGGCCGGGAGCTCAACACGGTCTTGATTCGCGATCATCAGCTAATGTTCCCCGGCGGGCATTGTCCCGATGTCGGGCTGGGTGGATTCCTCTTGCAAGGTGGCATGGGGTGGAATTGTCGGGTGAGAAGACCGCCATGACGATGGTCTACTAGTACTTCATGGAAAGCGGATGCGAGTTGCTAACTCGTCGCAGAACTGGGGCTGGGCCTGTGAACGAGTCCTTGCCGTCGATGTCGTCACGGCAGAGGGCCAACTACTTCACTGCAACTCCTCGCAGAATGCCGATCTTTATTGGGCTGCTCGTGGGGCTGGTCCAGGTCAGTCAAGGCGCACATCTGTCTCCAATCTTTTTCCCAGGGGATGCTCTTATGAGGAGCATATGCGACGAATGCTGACATCGCCTCAATGTAGGCTTTCCGGGCGTCGTCACCAAATTTCATCTCAGCCTCAACCCATATCCCAAACGAGGCTTTCGATCCTCGGGCTACCTTTACCCGGTCAGTCTCTATCGCCAGGCGTTTCAGTGGATCCTGTCGATCTCCCCCACGTTCGATTACGACACCGAGATTGCCATGATTTCACATTACCCGGAGGGCGAGAATGAGATCCAGATTTTCATCCTCTTGGTCACCATGAAAGCCGAAGTCGAGGAGGCCGAGAAGGCTCTACGACCTGCCCAGGAGACTCGGCCGGTCGGGACCGTGAGCGAGTGGTTCTGCCAGGAGGACAGCCTTGACAACCAATACAACAAGCAAGCCAATGCCAATCCAGAGCAGCATCGCTACTGCACCGACAATGCCTACATTGAGAATGATGCGGACGTCCCAGCCGTCTTGGAGGAGGCATTTACTACGCTCCCTCATCGCAAGGCGTTCACTCTGTGGTATGCGATGAACCCTTGCAGCCGTCGCAAATTACCCGACATGGCCCTCAGCTTACAATCGGACCACTATTTCGCATTGTATACTGTCTGGGAAAAAGAAGAGGACGATCATCGCTGTCGGGCGTGGGTACATAAAGTGATGAAGAGCGTGGAACGACATTCGATTGGAGCATACCTGGGAGATTCGGACTTTCAGGTTCGGCGAACAAAGTTTTGGGCTGACGACAATGCACGGCGTTTGACGGAGGTCCGGCGCAGGTGGGATCCCCTGGGACGCATTTGCGGGTATTTGGACGCGGGGGATCTGTCTGGCACGCGTGGACTCGACAACGCCCATGAGTGGAAATTGTGATGTATATCTATGCAGGAAGTACCATACTCTAAGATACTCATCAATGCCATGTCTTTATCTCTCGCTTCTCTCCCGGTGACGCCATGTTCGAATAGGCTAATTCTACTTTGGTTGTCCAAGTACTCATGAATTTAGCAGCCCCACGTTCGGAGAATAAACCTTTGCTCTCGTTACGTTATGGCAATCAAGACAGCCTCACTATTCCATAAATCGTTAATCCCATTGGGAGGATATGCAGTTATATACAAGAGAAAAGGAGTACTGAGCCAGTAATATACTCATTTTTTGATTCCCATGACGGCCAGATTCCGCGGACTCAACGCATAATCGAACACGGGCTCAACCCAGCATTCCTTGACCGACTTATGCTCGCGCAAGAACTGCCAACGGTCCACCACGATGATGGCCTCGACGACCTGTGCGCTGAAGGCCATCAGACTCCAGACGATACTCAGGTTCTTGCGGGCTTGCAGGTGGCTCGTCGCATAGTCATCAAGCTCCTCGTCGGTCATCCGGCCAATGCACTCTTCGACTTTCGCCCCATGCTGGGGGTCACGGCTCAGCTTGGCCGCGGCTGCGCGCGCGTATGTCGTAAAGGACGCAAAGGCCGATTTTCGCAGTGATCCGATAATCAACGCCGTGGTCGCGCCGATCGATTGATCGGGGTCATCCGAGTAGAGATCTTTCGGGATCCCGGGAGGAGGCACCACTCCTTGTTCGACAAAGATGCGCTGAAGAAGTGCGCGGAAGAAGTGGCGGGTGAAGAACCCTTCACTCTCTTCCTTGCCCCAATTGTAGGGTGCCTGGACGGCCATCATGCGGGCCGTGATATTGAGCCGCAGGCCCCGCACCCCATGTGTATCGTGAGTCTCGAAGCGCTGAGACATGGGGAATCCATGCGGATCATAGGAGTTTCCGGTCTCTTTCAAGCGCGGATGAAGGGATCGGAGGACGGGAAGCTTGTAGGTGGCAGGGCCGAGACGTTCAGTCATGAGGTTATAGCAACAGCCGATCATGGCGACCGCCACGACAGATGGGTTGAGGATTAGAGACCGCACGCCATGATGCACCAGGTTCCCGCAGGAGTGCAGCGAGACCACCATCACCTGAGCGTTGCTTGACTGCCTGCCATCCGCATGGACCGTGACTGAAGTTTCCTCGGGCGAGCGTCTGTTTGACCCACCACCCTCCCCGGGGGCTGGCTGCACGACGTGATTGATGATCGGTTCCAGAAGACCATCCGTGATTTCATGCTCAATGTAGCTGATCTTGCCACCGGTGTCGATCTCAGGCTCGGGCTTTGGTCGATGTGAATTTTTTCGGGTCATAGAGCCCAGCAGCTCATCTGGCTCGAGACTGATCTCCCCCAGCATCTTGAACATGGTGACATCCTCTTGGTCCTTCTGACTGACCTCCGCTGCCGGGGAGATCTCGGTCGGTGGCCGGTGAGGTTCTGTCGCTAGCTGTGATTCACTAGAGCTTGGAGCCTCTGGTTTGCAATCGTCTCCGTTCGTGGAGCTATTGCGATTATGCACGTAGACTGTTTTCTTCTTTCTCTCTGCGAGATTGGCATGAATGTCCATTCCCTGGGCGCCACTGATGAACTGATGCTTCCGTTCAATGGCGATGATGTGCTTGTGATGTGGGGAGCTAGCCAAAGTGCGTCCTAGGTAATTCTGTCCCGATCCGAAATCGACGATGTGTGAGACGGGCTGTCCGCGGCGTTCTCGGACTGTTTTCGCGAGGGATGCTACATGTTGAGAGAAAAATTCGACTTCATGGAGCTTCTTGGTGTTCATGCCCACCGTAAGTTTGTGCGGGAGGGAGGTCTTGTTGGAGCGGGGCAGATTGAAACCCCGTCGCAAGCTCAGTCGACGTATATTATGGATATATTCCATGAGGCTGCTGGGGGGAAAGTGCCTCCATTCCAGGTGCGGCTGCTCTCGCTGCCATCCCCGCCGGGCTCTCGCTCTCGCAGGGTCTCGATGTTCTCATGCAGGAGAAGATAGAGCACGTCATGAACATCGTGGCCATCGAAAAACTCTCTCCAATCCTCTGGTAACAGCGTGGTGTATAGATCGGGTTCGCGCGTCAGAAAATCGAGGATGTGGACGCCGCCGCAGAGGTTCATGAATCGGACCGACGAGCTCGCGAAGGCTAGTAGGGCGTCGATGTAGGAGTCCGGGTCTTCCCACTCGTCGGCGAGGGGAAGGGGACACGGGCGGGCCATGCGGTCACAATTGACCCGTCGTCACGCGGGCACCTGGGCGGCCTGAATGGGTTGGTTGAGGGCCACAATTGCACAATACATCAAATTGGATCCCCGCGCAGAATTTCTTATCGCGCTGCGTTGCGCCGATAAGGATCTGCGTCGCTGACTCATCATTTCACAGTTGGACGACAATACTACTGATACTACGAGTCGTACTATGATGGTTCAATGCAATTCATAAGAATGCAATGGGAGACAATGCAGTTGCTTTCTGCAGTTAATTTTCGTTGGCCCAACTACAGACGGACCTCATTGAATAGAAACGTACCTCCGGATCACTTGCAAATGGGCCCCGCGGAAGGCGATATTAAAATTGCGTCTTACAATTGCCTTGCCAAGACACGATCTACTATGAGATACCGCCACGTTTCTCCCGCAGATTTCACAGACGGGCACAGGGCCAGCTTGGATACATACAGAGCAGTAAATCTACTTTTTCTATGTCCAGAGTAAGGCCTCGGCGACCTATATCGACGACAACCGAAAAGTTCAAGGGGGGGGTCTGGTTGTGAACTTCCCTCGTACGCTCTCGACACTGGACGGGGTCTGCCATCCCTAAATCTCGATGTCGAATGTCGCAAATGATAGTGATTGGTACCTGTCCATTCGATTGGGTACCTCTCACGCCCCTCGGGTTCTTGATCATAAGCCGAAGAAGGAATGCCTAGTTCGGGATACATAAACTTTGGGCGCCGCCTGTTCATGCAGCGTCCCGCGCGCCAGCGTTGCATGGTGCCATTCGCTCGTCTCCGCTAAACGGAGGGCAGACCGCCAGTTGCTGCGGGGGTTGGATTCGCATCCTCCCTCCAATCTGAGGACCTTCCAGACCACCCTTCTTACTGAGCCTCACGATGTTGCCGGGTGCGGGGGACAATTCAAATGCGTCGACGGGCTCCGATGCAGGGCCCTCGCCAAATGAGCACACTTCGCTTCTTCCAGAGCCCGCGGGCCATGCGGCTGAGGCTGGATGTGAGACTGGGGAAAAGCTCTCATCGAGAGGTCAGGTCGTCGCCGAGTTTGGAGCTTTGTTCACAGGTTCGGTTCCCGTCATTTTGGCCTATACCTTGCAAATGAGTCTGCAAACGGTCGCCGTGATCATTGTAGGCCGCTCGTCTCCCATGAACCTCGCGGTGAGCGCCTTTTCGTTTATGTTTGCCTTAGTGACCGGCTGGATGATTGGACTCGGGGGTACAACGGCCCTGGATACTCTGGCGGCCTCGGCGTACACGGGCAGCGAGAACAAGCATGCGTTGGGCATTCTGCTGCAGCGAGCGTTCCTGGTGCTGGGTGGACTGTTCCTCCCTGTGGCGGTCGTGTGGGCCTGCTCGCGCCCAATCTTCCAAGCGCTGGGTCAAGATCCAGAGCTGTCTGCTCAAAGCGCTCGTTTCCTCACATGCTTGATCCCCGCCGGGCTTGGGTACATCTACTTTGAGGTGATGAAAAAGTATCTACAGGCCCAAGGTGAGATTGCGACGGCCATTGCGAGGAGACGTCACTTGCTAATCAACCGTGCGGCAGGCATCATGCGAGCAGGGACGTATGTCCTGCTGGTGATCTCGCCTTTGAATGCTGGGTTGACCTATTTCTTCTGCTACACACTTGAGATGGGATTGCTCGGTGCACCCTTGGCCGCGGACATGTCCTACTGGTCGGCTTTTCTCCTGCTGGTACTTTACGCTCGGCTCGTGTCCGGGTCCGAATGCTGGGGCGGATGGTCCCGTGAGGCCTTCGACAACGCAGGCGCATTCACGCGCCTGGCGCTGCTAGGAATCCTGCAAGTTGGCAGCGAGTGGTGGGCGGCGGAGATCATGGCGCTGTGTGCCGGCAAGTTAGGCACCCTCCCCCCTCGCCGCACAGAGTGTGATCATGACGGCCGATCAAATTCTGAACACCATCCCCTTTGGCATCGGTGTTACAACCTCCGCCCGGATTGGAAACCTGCTTGGCATGCGAGATGCCAAGGGGGCTGCGCGAGCAGCCCATCTGGCGGTGCTACTCTCGGTCCTGCTAGGGACGCTCGTATTCGCCGTACTGATGGGTACCCGGACGCGATTTGCGATGCTGTTTAACGAAGACCCAGACGTGGTCCGACTGACCGCCGAGGTCCTCCCGGTCGTCGCGCTCTTCCAGATCGCTGATGGCATTTGTGGCAGTTGTGGCGGAGTGCTTCGTGGCACGGGGCGGCAGCATCTCGGGGTTGCCCTGAACGTCCTCGGCTTCTACTGCTTTGCCGTGCCACTGGGAATTGCGCTGGCCTTTCATGGCTGGGGGCTTGGTGGACTGTGGACGGGACTCTGTATTGCGCTGTGGAGCGTGGGGGCGTTGGAGTGGACGGTTGTGGTTTTCACTCGGTGGGATGATGAGGTGCGACGAGCCTTCCAGAGGATGGATTCGCCGAGAGTGGCGTAGAGGCGACCTTGCGCAGCAGACGGAGATGCGAAAGGAACTACAAAGGGGGAAGTGGGGGGAGAGGCGGAAGGACCGCCGCGCAGCGGTGGGGCGGACGAGCCATCGACCGGCACTACTTCTGGATGCCGGTGCCTGTTATAACCGGTGGCTCAGCTCGACTCGGCCTCGACTCGGCAATTCCTGCGTTTGACGACCATTGAACATCATGTCAAAACTCTCGTCGGGCCTCAAGGCCCTGATCAACAACCCTGCGGCACGACCATCAACAGTGCCGGCGCCCGCCCACATGGCCTCAGTCTTCTCCGCCATCCAGCAAGCAGCCGACGTCCAGCGTGTTTCCCAGCCCTCGTGGCTGGCTCTCTCGGTAGGATTTGCTCAGTCAACGCTGCGTTTCGAAGCTGTCAATTAATTTCATGCCGTTCAGACCGCAGCGACCATGACGATGAACTCCCCCGATTCCCTCGCAGTCCTCTATCGCCTCGCCGCAACCTCCTCAGACCCGGTCCAAGCAGCCGAGCTCATGCGCGAGGTTGGTCTCAAATGTATCAGCTTCAATGGAATCCCACGGACCATCAACTGTCTCAATGCCTTCAAAGCAAGCCTTCCGGATTCTGTCAGTGCCCGACTCTCTCAGACCCCCAGCCGCACCCCGACCTCCGCCAACATCACCGACATCAGTGAGCGCGGGCGGTCTCTATGGGACTCTATCTATCGTCCCTTTGAGCAGAAGCTCTACGACAAGCTTGCCGACTCCCATCCAGACCTCCCAGTGCATATCTTGAATAGCCACTATGGCGCGTTGCTCTCGGATCCCGTCCGGGACACAGGGGCCTCCGCTGGACGCGTATTGACCTCAATCATTGCCGTGGCCTGCCTACGAGCGCAATCTGGAGTCGGGCCACAAGTCACGTCACATGTGTTTGGTCTGCGAAAAGCACTTGAGGATGGTTCCTGGGCGACAGATGTCGAGTCCGAAGAAGGGGCGCGATGGCTGGCCAGTGATGAGGGCAATGCCTGGATACTGGACAGTGTGGATACCATTGTAGAGGCGATCGGAGAAGGACATGGACCAAATTTTGCGCCGGGAAAGGGCAAGCTATAGATGATTCGGTCGGTCTATAAACTAGATCTTGGCAATTTAGTGACTACTGCGGCATATTTCTTCGGTCAGAAAAATCTCTCACTGTATCCGTCTATTGTCGATCACACCCACTCAGCGTGGACCTCGTAAATGTAGTCGACACTTGTTCTGATGGCGTGTTGGATCGAAGTAACATGTGATCTACACTACCTCCACTCCCTCCACTGCCTCCACTACCTCAAAGCGCTACCCTCAGGGTATCACCTATATTGACACTTTGCAGTCGAAGAAATGCAGTTTCAATTGTACCTCCGAGGAATCTTAAAATAGCTACCAGCCCATCTATCCCTGGGCCACCATTCGCGTAATATACATCTATTTACTCCATGATCTCTAATGAGTCCGCGACGGTAAATTTAGCGCCGGTCTTTTCCTGGATCTCTTCGACCTCGACTCCGGGCGCCAGTTCCGTCAGGGTAAGCTCGCTAGTAGCCCGGTTGACTTGGAAAACACACTGTAATGCTTGTTAGGAACTGCCAATATCCATCAAACATTTACAATTGCAGGGAAGAATCGTACCAGATCGGTGATTATCGTGCTCACCACATTCGCGCCGGTCAGCGGCAAGCTGCACTCTTGTACAATTTTCGGCGATCCGTCCTTGGCTACATGGCTGGTTGCGACCACGATCTTGGTTTGATCCGGATTGGAGATCAGATCCATGGCCCCTCCCATTCCCTTGAATACCTTTCCGGGGATCATGTAGTTGGCCAGATCACCGTTGGCGCTCACTTGCAGGGCCTATCAAAAATCAGCAATCCGTCCTTTTTGTAACAGAGTGGAGCAAACCTACACCCAGGATCGACACGTCCACATGGCCACCGCGGATCATACCGAAGGACTCCGTGCTGTCGAAGGTCGCGGCACCGGGGACCAGCGTCACCGTCTCCTTCCCGGCGTTGATGATATCCCTGTTTCTCTGTTAGGATTGCCTCGAGAAAACACATAAGCAGGAAAACCGGGTCACATACGGGTCGAGCTCGTCCTCCGTTGGGTAGGCTCCCTATTGATTGAAGTCAGCCAACAATTCTTGTATGATCGCAAACGAGTCAAATTTACCATTCCGAGAATCCCATTCTCCGACTGAATCCAGACCTTCACATCTTTGGGAAGGAACGATGGGGCGAGTGTAGGGATTCCTATACCGACAGTCATTAGAGTAAGTACTGAGGCGCGACACGCGTGGACGATACGTACCGACTCCGAGGTTCACGTAAAAGCCTTGCTTGAGTTCCTTGGCCGCACGTCGGCCAATCCGCTCTCGCTGGATCTGTGCCGCGTCTTTGTTGGACTCGACGTTGCCAGCGTCTTCCTTCTCACGGAGTTTCTTGATCTCAATGTGCTTCTCGTCCGTGGCGGGTACAATGCGGTCTACGAAGATACCAGGTAGATCCACGTCGTTCGGGTCAATTGACCCTACAGGAACAATGTTCTCCGCTTCTACAATGGTGAGGGTGGCTGCCTTGGCCATGATCGGCCCGAAGGCCTTCGTGGTGTATCTGGCGATCATTAGTGTCTGTCTGGTTGTTCTCTGGTCAATCAAGGGCGGTCCTACCGGAAGACGCAGTTTCCAGCCTCATCGGCTTTCCATGCGCGCAGGATCGCAACGTCTCCCGTGAGCGCAGTTTCCATGAGGTAGGTTTTGCCGTTAAAATCCCGCGTCTCGCGCGGCTTGCCAGATTCGAGGACCTTGCCGGTCTCATCCATGCGGACGGGGATTTTCCCCTCTTGGATATATGTGTCTAGGGGTATTATTAGTTTTGGGTTTGCTTCTAGACTGAGCGGGCTGTGTGCGGTACGTACGAACACCCGTCGGGGTGAAGAATGCAGGAATTCCGGCCCCGCCTGCTCGCAGGCGCTCTGCCAGGGTGCCTTGGGGACAAAGCTCGATGGCAATGTTGCCGGACAGATACTTCTTCTCCAGTGCCTTGTTATTTCCTAGGTAGGATAGAACCAGTCGGTTCAATTGGCCATTCTGCGACAGCGTCGACAGACCACCCTTGCCGGCGGCACCAGCGTTGTTTGACACAGCCGTCAAGGAATGCAATTGGTCGGCGCCTCGCCGGTGCATGGCATTGATAAGAGTTTCTAGATGGATGCTTTCCGTGAGCTCCTATTCTTCGGTTGGCGATATCTCGTCTCGGTCCGGGGGCGATCATTGTGCACCACTTACCAGCGACTCCACAAAGCCCAAACCCAGAGCTGAGGATGGTGGAACCACTCTGGATATCGGCCACGGCCGCATCTGCATCTTTGAACAACTTGGAGCCCCCTCTTTCAATTTTGGCTGCTCGAGAAGGACGCGGGGCTGTTGTTGAATACGTGTGGCCGTATACGGGTGTGCATGTAGTGGTCCGAAGCGGAGGCGCAGTGCAACGGACCCCCACGAGGACTTGCGGGCGACTCGCCGTGAAAGCTTTGCGCGATAGCGAGGCGGAGATGACTCGCAGAGCTGACATTTTGCTGGATGAAATACAATCGAACAGAAATCCCGAACAGAAACCCCGTTGGGCCGGTCGCTGTCTATTTAAAGCGGGCGCAGGTGGAGTGACACCGGCCTCGGGGCTCAAAAGTAGCCCCGAGGCCGAGACGATGATGTCAGGTACGCAGCAAGGCACCATTTCTGCCTCAGGCGACATCTAGTGCTGCAGTGTGCCAAAATGTACCTTGATTGTTCCCACTTGGTGGTCGTCTATCATGCTACTCGCAGCGACGGGGAATTGACCTGAGCTAAGTAGGGGTAGGAGCATGCTGACTGGATGCTTCTACTGATCGCCCCTGCGAGACATGGTCGGATCTTCGGGGGTGGTTAGAAAAATCTGTAGGGCTTAATCCCTGGAGACTAGCAATGTGTTCATGGGAATTCTAGAGGTTTCTTCCTGATCCGCTAGCAAGTGCGATCCCATCTGGCCTGTACATCCATTGGCCATTCCCTCATATTCAGGGCCTTCATCCAAAGGGTTTTAGGGTTTAGTACGTACTAGAAATTGCAGGTGGAAAGGTGGCTTCTTCCTGGCCTCAGAATGTCATTTCAGGTCCTCCTATTCTAGTTATAACAGACAGATATCAGATCTTCAATGCCCGCCACAAAGTCTCCTACCTTGAATACCCCTCCTATATCTCTTGGATACTCATCGGTAGCGAAAAGGTCCGCTTAGCATGTGATAGCATCACTGCCGAAGTCGTTCTTCTATGCTGGCCATGGAGCTGCTGGGCCTGAGATGGGCCGCCTGCGGCCCATCTCAGCGATAATCCCAGACTACTCCAACTCTCCGAGTGCGGCGAAGAAATACAAAATGATAAGCTTCTGGCAAGCTGCATCCAGTATATGATAGAGTGGAAGGTTATGGTGAATAGGAAGGTCATCTCACGAGACACAGAAGAGGAAGTAGCCCTGATTCAGAGTGCTTACTGACCGGTGATCTTGAAACCCAAGTTGGAGAAGTTGCTAGAAGGGAAAACGCGCAGGAAGGGTAAGGTCAGATGACACCTCGATTGTTGTGTCGGTAAATGATCGCTCCCAACGCGACCTGGCGAAGCGATTTGATACCCTCAATATCGATTGGTCGACCGTGGAAAAACAACTGCTCATGTGGGGGGAAGCTCTATGCTCAAGGCAAGAAACCGAGGCTGGGGTTATTACCTTCAACTATATAGAGGACGACCACTCCTCTCGAGGCACAACAGCAGCAGGTAGGGGCGAGAAAAGAGGCAAGTCATCTGTAACGAAAGGGATGCTCAACGAGCGGGATGCACAACTTGATGCCGAAGAATATGCGTCCGGACAACCGTCAGTCTGGCAGGCTGTCTACACCTTGATGCGTTGTCCTTCGCCATCCTGTCACCTTGGCCCGCATTGCTGGCCAGATCCACATGGGAAGAAACACTATCAGTTAAGACACATCATTTGAAACGCCTCATCGCCTATGTTGAAGGTGATGGTATTTTGGAGTGCCAAGATGATGTCCACGAGACTATTCGTCAAGAACTCTGCATGGAAGAGCAGCAGAGACTGGAACGTTCACAGTCCAAGAGCAGCAAAATGCTCGGTCCGAGTAATCGTCCACCTATCAATATCAACTTCATGGGGGCACAACCATATTTGCAACCACCGTCGGCCAGTTCGATTGTACCGTCGGCCCTGTCTCCGAAGCAAAGTGAGCAGATAGAAGACCAGCTCAGAATCGACGGACCCCGAGAGGTGGCTGTGAGAGAATACTGCGCATGGCAAGAAACGAATGTCTTGGGCGATACTTTAAAGGCCGGATTTTGGCTGGCATGCGATGTAACGCTGGCCAACCGTCTGGATCTGGAACAGATCCAAGATCCGGCTTTTTTTAGAGCAATATTCGAAATCAGATTACCCCATATACACTCATGAACTGGTGACGCGCGCTCCGCAAGCTCCGCACGCCGATGCCCTGAAACGAAATAAGTACGAAAGGGGAGTGTAGTTGAGTGATAGTGTGAAACTTGAACGATTAGGTTTGATAACGGCCCGGAAAGGTACGCACACATGTCCACTAGGACCAGCCAATTAGCAAAGTACGGGTAAGGTGTAATGATTAGACGAGCAAGCATGTAAAAGTATATCCGGAAGTCAAAATGAACTGAACAGAAGGGGCTATCTACAAACAGGCATTTTTATACAAGTAAGTTGCTAGTAGGACTAGGTTATTTTATAGTAGCGAGACAGGCAAACATACAAAACAGTTCCGTCGCTAAGACCCCTTCTCAATTCACAGTGTAACCAAATCCCCCACTACAATAGATTTGATGCCAAGGTCTTAGGACTCCCCATTAGGATTCTCCTCCGAGTACTCAGGGTGCTCCTCATCCGATGAGTTGGCCTCGTTGAGTAGATTCCAAAACTCCTGCTCCGCTGGGTCAAGCTGCTGGTAGATCTCCCATATCTGCCGCGCATAGTCAACACGGCCCAGAGTAGCTCTAGGATGTGGAGTAAGTCCCGGAGGTGGGCGGAGCGGACCTGGTGGCAAATATGATGCTTACGGGCGCACCGGGTGCACTGTAAGTACGGGATATTGAGATTTCGGTCGACACCACAGTAGCTGAAGCTACAAATCTCAGCCGGGCGTTGTCCACTAGCAATCCATGTAAGACATTCTAAGCAAGTGACCATTTCTCTAGGCGGAATAAGAGATGGGGGAGCGAGCGATATATCATCATCGCTGTGAGGGTCAACAGTATGGGCTCTCTGTAGATTGCCAGTGGTGGAGGGGCCCTCAGGCTGGGAGCCAGAAGGGGTAGACGGGGCTTGGGAAGCCATATTCTTGGGGACTATGCTAGAGATTCAGAGTTAGTAAGGGCTAAGGTAGTCGTGACCTACTGGCTTACTGAAGTTTATGTGGCTCGTTTCGACTGCATTGAAGAACGGATTTGTGGGAATATCTTGAGGGAAGGGCGGCGGGGGAGATTCCTGCCTCGTTTTGTATCGGAACTGGAAATTGCCAATACTCAGCCTGTTCGGTCGATGCGTTGTTTGCCAGCCAAACCCCCTGTCCCTCCTACCCCGCCAGGTTTTTGACAGCGCATCCTCTTCCATCACCTCCCTCCTTTTAAACAATTTCTCATCTGGCATTTCAAATCCTTTCTTCTTGCCATTTCCTTCCAATACGGCTTGCAACCACTTGACCTTTCTGTCATCAGCATGGATACCCACGACGTCTCCGATGTCCCAGAGTACCTTAGGTATCTTCAAGCACAGAAGCAAAATCTGAAAAACGCGCAGGCCGCCAAGGGCCGTCCAGCAAGTTCCCAAAAGTCCAAAGATGAAATATTGATGCAGTTCATGTTTCGACAAATGATGAAAACGAAAGCTCCTGCTAGTCCGATGAATATCCGATCCTCGTTCCTACCACCTGCCTACCCTCCATGTGTTAGTCCTTTCAGCAAGTTGAAGAAGGTCATGATCAAAAGCCTATGTCTTGAGACTCATCATCGGGAACGGTATCTCCTTCTGAGAACGGTCACTCAGACAGATACGATGACCGCCGTGATGGCCATCGTAGAAGATGAAGACGGGAGTGTTCTCATGCTGCAGCTCTACAACCAAGAGCAGGAGCTGTCGGGCGCACAGAGCCTCAGGGAGGGTACAGTGCTTGTTGTGAAAGAACCCTATGTGAAAGTAATGGCAGACGGGGACCACGGAATTCGAGTGGACCATCTCTCGGACGTCTGGTTTATCCCCGAGTTTGACGACCTGGTTCCCTTGTCCTGGAGGAAACGTGTCACGCAGGCTGATGAGAACGCCTCTACTTGGAAGGCGAAAGGAAGTGAGCGTTTTGATCAGGGTGAGCATCGTTCGGCAATCCAATGGTAAGCTGGAAAATATTGCTGTGTCTAAGAGGGGATGCTAAGAATAACTTCAGCTGTTCAAAGTCTTTGGAGACCCATCCCTCACCAGAATTGCTGGTGATAGCGCAGCTCAACCGTGCCCTTTCCTTTTTGAAAAGCTACCGCTTTGATGCAGCGTTGAGAGAGTTGAAGATGTCTTGCGAGTATCAAAGCTATCAGAAAAGGCTCTTTTCAGGAAGGCTCAAGCCCTGTATCAACTTCGAAGGTTCAAGGAATCATGTGAAACTCACGCGATACTTGCAGAGAAGTTTCCAGATAACACCATGGCTGCACATGAATATGCACGAGCATCTGCTCGGCTTATGGAGCAGGATAGCGGGAAATACGAGTTCAGAAAAATGATACTGGAGGCCAAGAAGCGTCAGCCCCCGAGGATTGACCGCGGCACGTACATTGGTCCTGTGACTGTCAAGCAAACTCAATCTCATGGGAGAGGACTCTTCACAACAGAGGCGGTGAAGGCAGGCGACCTTCTGTTCTGCGAAAAGGCATTTGCTCACGCTTTCCACTAAGAAAATGCCTCGAAAGATCTCCGCCTGTTACTCAATGTCGACATGGACAAAGCTACGATTGGTACTCAAGGAGAGCTTATTGAATTGATTGTTCAGAAGCTTTATAAAAATCCGTCCCTGCTACCAGGCTTTGTCGATCTTCATCATGGCACATACAAATCAGTGGATGTCCAAGAAGTGGATGTTATACCCGTCGTAGATACGTATGTCACTGCTTCCCCACCTTGATATCAAAACTAATACCTTCCAGCTTCCTCGTTGAGAGAATCATTCTCCTAAACAGTTTCGGGTGCCCTCTTCTCTCCCGCGAGAGTCACATACGCATCGTGAAAGGGGATGATGATACGGCCAAGAAGGCCAATGAACAGTTCCATTCTAGTGGGGTCTGGTCGATGGCGTCATACATTAACCACTCTTGCCTGAGCAATGCTCGTCGTTCTTTCATTGGAGACATGATGATCGTTCGTGCTTCAAGGGACCTGCCTCCTAACTAGACCTGGGCATGGGCCGGCCCATGGACAAAAACCTCGTGGGTCGGCCCATTTGGGCTGACCCACGAATGGGTCAGTCGGCCCACGATTTGGCCCATTTGGCCCATTTGGCCCCCAAATCTGCATAATAAATATATAAAATATCCAGAATTACTAGCGTAATTTATAGCTGTCTTAAATCTTATACCGAAGTACAGAATAGATTACGCTGTGCGTAATCTCTTCTAACTTGAATATATATATCGAAGTATTCACGATCAATTAATTTAAATTGTCCTTCTGCTCTTGATGTTAATTTTCTGAAATCTCGACGCAGGTCATTTTTGCTTGATTTTTTAAAGTATCGTATAATAAAATATAATTTTATGTATGTTTAAAAGCATTCTTGTTTACGAATTAGATGTAGGGATGGATTAAATCTTTTATATAGTGAACGTTGAAGGGTGAAAAAAAAAGTTGTCGATGAGATAAAAACTGCGGGGGATGCCGTAGCACGAATTTCGAAGGCAAACGGGCTGCCTCATGGGCCGGCCCATGGGACTAACTAATAAAAGATATTCAGATGTGGGACTTAGTGACTAAATAGCCAATTATCGCGAACATAGGAGACGCGTTATCCCGGGCTTTCTGCGCCTGGCATGATAGCCCAGGCTATCTACGGACTCTGTATTCTAGCTTAAATATAGGCCAACCTATCTCCTCTTTATAGTCAACGATGATTTCTCTCTAACGTTGGGATTATTGAGCTTTCTTACCAAACTATCATGTCTCAACTATCGGATATCTACTCAGTACCCTTTTCAGAGAGTGGGGAATTTGATGATTCATCCTATCTTTTAACGGATAGCGTCGCGCCCGAGCACTCCGCAAGCCAAATACAGCTTCCTCCCCCTCTCTCTGTTCCCACCTCTCTCAGACGCTCCACAGATCCAGCACAAACCTACGTTCTATGCGAAGATATGAATAAAGTGGATTTCGTGGATTGGTGGATCCAGACCCAGAGTGGGCACTCTGAGCACCAATCTACTTTCTGGGATCGAAAGGGCCAGCGAGCAGATATATGGGCTGACTTCGAACAGGTTGCCCATTTTATTACTGGACAACCTAAGGTGATGTGCAAGAACTGCGCCTTTCTACAGATTCACAACTGCTCTCTCAAAAACAAAAGACATAACGATTCATACTGTTTTCAGTATTTACAATCGTCTCTTTAATCATCTTGAGAGCCGGATCCGCCAGCTACAATGGAAGAAGATCGGATGGAAAAGACAAATGCTTGATGCTCTGAGAGGAGCCGAAAGTAAGCTCAGGATTATTATATGATGACTGACCTTGAAGGTCTTAGTGATATATACTCAACTGGGACTATTTTGGCGCCGCAGTATAAGCATGAATTCTTCCAGACCTCAGATTGGCGGGATGACGAGAAAGACTTTGCAGCCCAATACAGACAAGCTCTCGAAGCCCGAGTTAAGCACTACGAGGATAGTATATATAGCTCTCTCTCTCAGACTGGAGGTTTACAGACTGTGAAGCCTACGAGTGAGATTGATCTACTACTCGCTTGTGGTAGTCGGCCTACTGCCCCAGTCCCTGAGCTCACTCAGTATCTCGAGAGTAGTAAGTGGTCTTCTATTCTTAAACCAAACACTCTTTCTAATTTAAATACCTTAAACAGGCACGGCATCAATTCCTCCGCGCGAATTCTGGAGAGATCATGAACACAGATTTCCTGTACTCGCAGCTCTCGCTCGAGATTTCCTTTCCGTACCAGCCACAGGCGCAGGCGTAGAGCGTCTCTTTAACTCCGCGCGTGATATCTGCCACTATCGCCGTGGCTCACTACAATCGAGTACTATTCAAGATCTAATGCTTCTTATGTGTGGGATTCGATTTGATCTAGAAGAGGAGCGGCTTGCTTTCGTTCGAGAGTACGCAACTGAGACTGAGATAGAATTCCAACAAGAAGAGATGGATGAGCGTACGCAGGAGGGCATTCTGGAGATTAGTGATAATGAAGAATGCCCTGCGCAATATGATTTGAAGAGGCGAAGGAGTGTTAATGAGCCTGCCGAAGAGCCTGAGGGGGAGTCTGAGCCTGAGGAGCCTGATTTGCCTGAGCAAAACACACAGCGTGTTTCAGGAAGAGTTCGAAAACGTTCAAGGTTATTAGATGGCTATGAGATATAGTTGATTTCTACAGTAATATCAAAATGCCCTCTTTTAACTGAATATCGTATATAACTAAGAGCAATCAATCATTATTGTTACCAAGGCATTACAGCCAAGAGCACGCGAAAAGTACATAAATTATGAAAGTCACATGTACACTAGTTTTCGCCCTAAAATGGGTCGAATGGGCCAAATGGGCCGGCCCATGGGTTCTGCCCAGGTCTACTCCTAACACCGAAATTACCTTCTGGTACAAATCACCTATGATCCTTGATCCCAAAGAATTACCCGTCGACCTACAGCACTGGGGCTTCAAGTGCGATTGCATATCATGCCAGGACACACGAAGTCCTGACAGGAGTGTTTTATCAAACCGAAACAGGATTTCAGCTGACCTTCGAAGATTATTCAAGAGACCCAAGATGAATTTGCGAAAGATTAAAGACACAATTTCCAGCCTCGTGGGCACATATTGTCGACCAGCTTCTGAAGTTCCTCGTCTTGCACTTGATTCACCATATCTGTCTCTTGCTGCGATCTATGCTTCATCCCGAAAACTCGAGAAGGCTGTGGAATTTGGATTGATGAGCCTCGAGTCACTTGGCTTCGTTATCAAAGGTGGAAATATTCCTCATGTCTCAGATGCTCCACTAGTCGTCCAAAAATGGGGCCTGATGACTGATGGAGTCGTGGGATGCTGGATGATTCTGTGCTGTGCATATCGAGAGCTCGCACCTCCTCTCGCGTCCCAAGCTGAGGGATATGCCAGAGTCTTTTACCGAATCTGCGTTGGCGAAGATGAGACTTTTGATCAGACATACAGCAGGCTATCAAATCGGGTGGATGGCTTTTTGACGACTGCAAAGTAGTCATGCGAGGCTATAACGCGATGACTGCACCATTTTCGACACATGACACGGCAGAAGCAGTAAGCCCCTGAAACATACCTCAAGCTAGTTCCTGTTACATCCAAGCGCCTAGAGCCATGGTTAGCCCTATTCAGACTCAATATCTTTCAGACGATGCAACAATCGACCAGGCAATCCTGGACGGGTATCATTTCCCGGATGTAAAATGCGGCCAGGAGTTGGTGGCCGCACCCCCGGAGTTCGGTGGTCGATCCCCGGCAGACAGCCGCTGCGGGCTCCCAAGCCAGGCGGTGGACATGGTGTCGGACATGGTGGGTGCATACTACCGATTTTCCATTGAAACGGAAATATATTTATGCTCTTCTTATTCCTTTATTCTTTGGATCATATGGACAAACAAACCCAGACTACTAACGTAATCGGTAAGCGAGTGAGACATGTAAGCGAGTGAGACAGAAACGCGATCGCGCCCCAACGCGTCAACATGATCATTTCAAATACCCACCATGCCCCCAATTCGCAGTCAGAATTCACGAAACTCTATCGAGCAGGAGGGTAGGATCCAGCTCGCCATACAAGCCTATCAGAATAAAGAAATTCCTACAATTCGCGAGGCTGCGCGCCGATTCCAAGTACCTCACGCAACTCTTCATCGTCGATACAATGGCCAAACCTTTCGCTCCGATACCCGCGCCAACAATTATAAATTGACTCCTAACGAAGAGCAATCGCTTCTACAGTGGATTCTTTCTATGGATACGCGTGGATCAGCTCCCCGACCTAGTATGGTGAGGGATATGGCCAATATTCTGTTAGCAGAGCGTGGTGGTCAGACTGTTGGAACTAAATGTATACAACTATACCACTCGCCACGAAGAGCTCAAATCGCGATATTCTCGACGGTATAATCACCAGAGGGCAAAATGCGAAGATCCTCGTATTATTCAGCCATGGTTTGAGCTTGTACGACGCACAATTGACGAGAATGGTATCCAACCTGAGGATATCTATAATTTTGATGAAACTGGCTTTGCAATGGGGCTTATAGCTACTGCGAAAGTGATCACAAGAGCTGATTACTACGGTCGGAGGTCAGTTCTACAGCCAGGGAATCGCGAATGGGTCACATCGGTTGAATGTGTGAATTCAACGGGCTTTGTACTCCCACCATGCATTATCTTCAAATCGTCAAAGTACCAACAATATGCATGGTTTGATGACCTACCCGACGATTGGAGAATCGAAATCAGTGAGAATGGCTGGACTACAGACGAAATTGGGCTTCGATGGCTAGAAAAGCTATTTATCCCTGCGACTACTAGTCGTACTAGGAGTAAATATCGAGTACTAGTTCTCGATGGCCATGGCAGTCATTTAACCCCCCATTTTGATCGATTGTGCGAGCAAAACGATATTATTCCGATCTGCATGCCTCCGCATTTATCTCATCTACTACAGCCTTTGGATATAGGCTGTTTTGCCCCTCTAAAACGCGCATATGGGAGTTTGATTGAACGCAAAGCACGGTTGGGGGTCAATCATATCGACAAGCTTGATTTCCTCGCGGCATTCCCACAAGCTCGCAAAGAAGCCTTTAAACCAGAGACTATTCAAAATGCATTCGCCGCAGCTGGTTTAGTACCATATGATCCCAATCAGGTCATTTCAAAGCTTGATGTTCAACTTCGGACACCTACCCCCTAGGCAGTCGACCAGGAAGCCAATCGAGCGCGTGGAGCCCTAAAACGCCAGCAAATCTCAAACAATTGAATCGACAGGGCTCTTCAATCAAGGCACTGCTTAAGAAACGTTCACAAAGCCCTCCGACGCCTACGAATAAAGCTATTGATCAGCTCCTCAAGGGCTATCAGCAATCATTGCATTCTAATGCAATCCTTCTAAAGGAAGTCCGCGATTTACGGGCTGAAAACGAGACACAAAAGCAAAAACGCAATAGAACGACTAAGCGCGTAGCTCATACGGAGGGTTTTACGGGCCAAGAAGCCAGGGAGTCGATGAACCAGGCTCATGAAGCTCCTAATACTACCCCCGCGGAACCAGAATCGTCAGCTTCGCAGCCACGTACACGGGGCCAGCGGGGATGTGGGATATGCAGGCTCCCAGGACATAGAAGAGAGACATGCCCAGATAGGTCTAATAGATAGAAATTTGAAATCAATGGCGTTGGTGGTTTAATAAATTGGTTTGAAATAGTAGTAGCTGGTTTTCTGTCTCACTCGCTTACCGATTACGTTATACGGGGGGTTCCCCGCAACCACTGGTCAGACAAGGTGCAAATGCATACTGATGTAAGCCACCTACAGGGATCGCGTATGCTTGCCAGATTCGGCATATGCTGCAGGTGTTACGTGTTATCCGTTCTAGCCATCTATAACAGAATTCTCCGCCTTTATGCGAGAATACTTTATAAAGAACACCTCCTCCCTGTGTAAACGTCCTTCGTTACCAGACAAAATCTGCTTCATCATGAAAATCTCGCTTGCTCTCTCTGCTCTTGCCTTACTTGCTTGCCCTGCCGCTGCGGTCGACCTTGATCCAACAGAAGACTGTGGCGCGCCCTTTAACGCCTGGTGGACCCAGTGCACCCGATCTGCCTCCAACTGCTGCTACTACGCAGCCGAAAAGGCCAATACAACCTGTCCGATGACTCGTGCAAGACATTATGTCTTGCTAGGACGGTGCAGGTCGCTCTTCGAGGGCAGCGCAAGACCCTACAATAAAACCGACTGCGTCACCGCCACTCTCTCCGGCATAGCCTTGCTTATGGGGGATCGTGGCCTTAGCTTTCCTGTCAGTTGTACTATTGATGACATCAAGGACATGCCCTAGGGATTCCGGCGTTTCCCTGTAGGAGGCTTCGTGGAGAACCGTCCAGGAAAAGTCAAGATGGGTATATTGGCAATGTTCGTGTACAATTTGAGCGCTCTAAGGGAGGAAAGGTCCCGACAGCGAATCGGCAGTCTCCCGCGGAGACAATGATTGACACCCTTCTTGTTGACCCGGTCATTAGCATAGTCATATCACTGTCTGAGGTAATATGACCATGGAATACATCGCCCTGAAGATTTACATCCGCAGTCCTGAGGTGATCGGGAAGTCCAAGTGCTTAAGCATCTCTCAAATTCAGTTTGCGGCCATTGCCTTTTTTCCGATGAAAGTACGGAACTGTATCCTTCGTTGAGCAGAAGGAGATGCCGCTCTAGATGGCCTGAGTGTCCTGTTCTGGGAACAAACTAGAATGCATGTTTGGCCCTTATTTATATCTCCACTTCCAGGTGGCACTGTCCCCGGGCCAATTGCACTTATGTCAAATATGCGACCCATGTCAATGCCCAGCTACTGGAGGCCTTTCCTCTCTCATTGTTATTGATTAGCTCCGAGTCATTCGGTACTTGGATGTCCATGCTTCATAAATCCCCTTTTGGCGCAAACTTCCGACTGATGCAAAAGGTATTGTTCTTTCCGGTGAGCAGCTCGAATGATCTCCTCGAATGGTCTTATCGCCCGGACCGCCCTAACTGCCACTTTCCACATTAGACAGGATTTTTCTCCCTTTCGATCTTCAAACAGCTCCCAATCAAGCCGTACATTCGAATCATCTCCAGGGCGCGACACTCCCATAAGATTGAGGGTCCCAGTGACTGTAGAATAATCCAACCAAAGATTCTCCTTTGGTCCAGGAATACCATACGTATCGTTGCAGCGCCCCGAATAGCGAATCATTCCAGCAAAAATTCCTAGGAAATCCCCTTCCTGGACTGCAATGATGGAGCAAACCGAAAAGAAAGCCTTCTCTTTGGGTAATATGGTAACAAAAATGGACTTGTTTCTCATTGTATCTGACCCCGGACGCAAGTCAAAATACCCACCAAGCTGTGCGGCGGACGGCTCATGCGGCCCACTGGATTGAAACGCGATTGCCTCTTGATGAGAAAACCAGGGGTTGCCTGCATTGTTCCATGCAGCAATTGGAATATTTAGTCTCTCTGCCACATGCGGCTGAGTCAAACACAGTCTTCCAGCGAAGTCACCCATACTCTCCTGGGTCACCCGATTTTCTAGCTGCTTGATTTGCATACCGTACTTGTCTTCCCAACGCCGAACTTTCTCTGAAAGGGGCATCTCTGCTTCTGACGGATAAGACTTGCAAAAGCGATCGAACTCTTTGGTCCGATACAAAAGAATCTTTTCAACGCCGGTCCTGCGCATTTCCCATAGTCTCTTCCAGAAAATGCGGCACTGCCGCTGATTAGCAAGGCTACATACTGCCTGACCTTCATGCATTAATGTTTATAATGCATGAAGGTCAGGCAGTATGTATTGTGATATGAATAATGTACAGTAGTAGTAGATTTCATTTATCCGACCCCTCGCAAAGTTGTACTAGTTACATACTAGTTAGTTAGTCAGTTACTGCGAAGGAGGCCTGGCAGCAACTTGAATTTAGTTTCCGAGAAGGTCTACCAGAGAGTGAGCCACGTTGAGTGCAGCCTATTACTGAGTCTAATGGATGGTACAGGGAGGATCGAAATCAGTTTCACCACCTGCACACGGAGATTCTTTCTCGAACTCTCTTCTGAAACCTCGCTATACCTATTACGGTTAACTGGTGACGCGCGCTGTCGCACGCTGTGGCCCTGAAACGAAACAAGCACGAAAGGTGAATCATAAGTTGAGGAATGATATATGGAAGCCGAACGATTAGTTTCGATAACCCACCGGAAAGGTACACACGTATGCCTGCTAGGACTAGCCAATTATATACAGACTGAGTGACGTAGCAAAGTTTTGCGTAGGGTGTGATGATTGGACGAGCACGCGAGCGAAAATATATCCATAAAGAATCCATCAAATAGATGGCATAGGTAAATTTTCCTCTATGAGGTAATAGTCGAAGATAACAAGCCTAGCGTGAAGGCAAAGAGCTATGACCGTGCTGCATTAAGGTTACGGATGACAGCAGCCGAAGCCGATTGGCAGCGGTTGAGTCACGATAGCGTAAACAATGAAATAAAACTATAAAGCTACTTAACTACAACCGATGTTCTTAAAGTGCTCGGCGTGTGCTCTCGTAGGTTAGTGTAGCAAAGCATAGGAATACGCTATTGTAGGCTATGGTTAAAAAACGGCTATAAAATAGGAAAGAGACAAGTACTGATTGTGAACGTGCGAATTAGACCAGACGAAGCCCTAGAGGTGTAAAAGCTAAGACACAAAAAGCGCGGAGAAGCGAAGGCTAAACCCAGTGAGGACATCACCAGTCAGCAGATCACGGAGGCAAAGCGTGAAAGTCAATAGCAGGATGTTAAGCCAATGAGATAACTATACAACCGAAACGTACAAAGAAGCGCATAATGAAGCCCTAGAACCGTAGAGCCTCAAATAGCTAAGACAGAAGGAGAAGAGACTTGGCGGCAGAAATTCACGAATCAAATGGCGCGATCCGCAAGAATTTGCAGTACGATTTGCAGTACGAACCCAAGCCAAACTTTACGGGCAGCTCACGCAGGGTAGTAAGCCCTTCACTCGTTCCTCGTTTCAGGGCATTGTCTTCCGAACCCCGACTTGAAACACGCTAATCTAAATAGGGATTGGCCGTAGATCCCCGGCTTCCAAGAAGAGATACCGTAGTTTATGTGACGGTTGTAAGGCCCCTCATGATGTATTTTACGCGAAACTGCTATACACCTGCTACCCCGCTCTCCCTGGCGGGATAGTGTCGGCCGATTGGGGAGCATTACACCATCGATTGTCGTCGCAAGATCGAGGAATCGGGACACTACCTAGGTTGCAAGTAGAAATCTACTTTGAGTTTTCAGTTTCCAGTTGTAAGAAGCGTTAAATAAAAAAAAAGGGTCTATTTCTGAGCGTGGAAGCCGGCTCAAGCAGTTGGTCCTCGTCTATGGAGCCGTGATCTTGGCAACGACTTGTGACTACTCCGTACTCCGCAATCATGTTTTGCAAGAACTAGAGTTACGTCCCATGTCTCTCAAAATTATAGGTTTTGGATGTTAATCTCCGAGTACAGGGTCGGAGCTAGCGGCGTTAACGGGGAAACTCCGCAGTCCTAGCGGCATTAGCAGCCTAAATCCGCTCTTCGCTTGTTCGTCCTTACTTCCTGCCGTCATGTCATGCGGTATACTCTGCAAACAACAGGAATGACCAATTCCATCTTTCAAGGTCGGCTATTTTAAGACATCTCAGACAATTCCCCTTGAACGGTTGGTAAAGCCAGACCGGGACAACACATTATTAAATTTCTCGTCACGAAATTCCAAAATAACGACGTTTCATTCCAATCGACTTCATCCCACGTTCAAGATGACATCATCCAGGACTTGGCTTGTCACTGGTGCATCATCTGGTCTTGGAGCCGCAGTGGCCGAGGCGGCTCTCCAAGCCGGACACAATGTCATTGCCACGGCTCGCAACTGCATCAAAGCAGCCGAAGCCAACCCACGGATCTCAAAGCTTGGAGGCATCTGGATTGAGCTCGACGTGAGAAGCCCCAACACCACCAATCTAGTGGAGGACGCAATCAACAAGGCTGGCGGCGTTATTGACGTGATTGTCAACAACGCCGGGTACTCGCTGCTTGGCAGTATCGAGGACATGAGTGAGAACGAGATCGAGGCCCAATTTAGCACGAATGTTTATGGCCCCGTCCGTGTGTTGAAGGGAGTTCTCCCTTTCATGCGGGCGAGAAAGTCTGGAACAGTCGTGAATATCAGCAGTAGTGCCGGGATTGATGGACTTCCCACTTGCGCGATGTACGCCGGAACGAAATTTGCTCTTGAAGGTGAGTATTTTTATGCTTTGGACGACTCTGAAGTTCGAATGATCGCTTGTGAGAACTACTAATGCAGAGATCACAGGCATGTCTGAAAGCCTTTCACGAGAACTGGAACCGTTTGGCATTCGAGTGCTCGTCGTCGAGCCGGGATCGCTCCGAACAAATTTTTGGAGTGCCTATGCCGAGCCTGTCGCTGGCATGAACAAAGCATACGCGGGGACCCCTCTAGAAAATGTCCTTCAGGCTTTCAAAACGAACAAGGGGACACAACCAGGCGATGCTATCAAATGTGCCCAGAGGATTTTAGAAGTTGTGGACGATACCGGAATGGGAGTTGGAAAAGGAAGTTTGCTTCGATTGCCACTCGGACCAGATTGCTATAAACGTCTCCAGAGCAAAGTTGACGCGCTTCAGAAAACCTTACTGCAGACCAAAGAGATTGCACATTCGACGGGCTACTGAAGAGCTGCCTACCCGCTAGCGGCAATTTATTTAAGTTATAAGAAGAAATTGTTACAGATTTGTGTATACAGGTTGGCGGGTCCTCATCGCACACTCTTTCTCTCCCTACTCAGACAATTGAACTATTTTGCGAGTAACAGCGAGACCGGGACATTCTTCACTATGCATCGGCTGGTGCAACTGACTACGCGCGCATGGCTGAAATCCCATAAGCACATAGACCAATGGAGGGAAAGATTCATCAGTATATTATACCAGGAGTTTCCCACTGATCAATTTGAAAATTGGGGGAAATGCCAGTTGCTGTTTCCCCACTTTCGATCGACGATGTCTCAACAACCAAAATCAGAAAAGTCTCTATTACGATGGGCCATGCTGCTTTATAGAGGTGCATGGTATGCGTTGGAAAGCGGCAATATGGCAGATGTGAGGAGTATGGCATATAAACCGAGAAAGCAGACAGTGAAATTACTGGGTAGCGAGGATGAAGGTGCTCTTGCAAGTACATCAATGTTAGCAGAAGCATACTCGCTCGAGGGGCGATGGGAGGAGGCGGAGCAGCTCCAGGTATTAGTCGAGAAGCACGTCGAAGCTCGTCATGGAGCATCCCGATACACTAAGAAGCATGGCCAACCTAGCGTCGACATTCTGGGATCACGGCCGATGGGAGTATGCGGAGCAGCTTGAGGTGCTAGTCTTACAGACTCGTAAGATGAAGCTCGGCACTCAACACCCCTCCACATTGAGAAGTATGGCCAACCTAGCGTTGACATTCTCGAGTCAGGGTCGATGGGAACATGCAGAGCAGCTTCAGGTGCAGGTCCTGGAGACTCGCAAGACGAAGCTCGGCGCGGACCATCCGGACACGCTGACGAGCATGGCTAATCTTGCGTTCACCTGGAAATCTTCAGGTCGCAATGCCAAAGCCATCGAATTACTACGGTCCTGTTCAGCCAAGCAGGAACAAATACTTGGGCTGGATCACCCGGACACTTTATCTAGTTCTGGAACATTGCTGGAATGGGGAACGAAGGCTCTGGATGTCAATGCATAAGACAGATGCTTGAATAAAACATGTTATGATAGCAATTTCTGTTCCATTCGCCACTTCGTAGAATGAATTCATGAGCATACCTTATTATACCGAGGACTGAGGGCAAGGGCTCTACTTCAAAGCTATGGCGGATATTGTTGTCAAGGGTGAAGGTAGCGATGGACGACGTCATGGTGGTATTAATGGTAATTGTATGTCATGTTATTTATCAGATCAGTCTTCCATGACTCTGTCTTTCGATACAATTCAGCCTCTTGAAACTAGAGTAAGCCATATATAGATTAGCGTGTTGTAGAGTGGGGTTTGAGAAAGAATCTCTGTGTTCAAGTGGTGAAACTGATTTCGATCCATCCTGTAGCATAAAATTACCTGTAAATGCTTGTATTATGTGTTTGATAGCTGACAGCACTAGATGTCAAAATTTAAATTTCAAAGCTTGCTTTTAGCTAGAGAGGGCTGGCTTGCTATCGTATGCTGTGCGTGATCTGGGTGTTCTGGCTCGGGCCGAGCCCACCCCGCAGGGCCAGCCAATCTCAGTTTGATCCCCTGTCTTTAGAGCCGCAGGGTCACCTGATCGTGAAGCTCGTGACGTGCCCCTCTTTCAGTTGGGGTGAGACCATGGCCCTTCGAATGAAACTAATACGACGTACGGTTATCTGATCATGGCATCGATATCATTCTGCGGCAGCAACCATGGGCTCCAGATCGGAGATAACCGTGGCTCGATCAATGCAGAATTCCATCTGCCGCCGGGTATGTAAGTCAGTAACCGTACACAGCCACGGTCGACTTACTTGCCACTGCTTCCCATCCTAGAGCGACTGGAAACCCCGCCTAGCCCGTTATCAACTGTCCCATTCCCACGCGATCCAGATTTCGTCTCTCGTGACACACTGTTCCATCAGATTCATGAGAAAAGCTCGGTGCCAGGGTCGAGAATAGCGCTAGTCGGCCTCGGCGGTGTTGGGTGAGTTTAGAGCGACCAGGGCGTGGGTCTTTGCTCACAACTCGAAGAAAATCGCAGCTGGCCATCGAATACTCCTATCGGGTCCGATCCGAATCGCCGGCGACATGGGTTTTCTGGGTCCATGCGAGTAACGAGGCCCGGTTCCAGCAAAGTTTCCGGGACATCGCGGATCTGGTCAAGATCCCCGGTCGTCAGGATCCGAAAAGTAACATATTCAGACTGGTCGAGAACCGGCTCCGGGATGAGAAAATAGGGAAATGGGTTTGTATCCTTGATAATTTCGATGACGATAAGTTGCTTTGCTCGTTTTCGGCGGTAGAGAAGGAAGATTCGACGAAAGGCCCGAACGCCTCGACAAAACCGCTATTGGAATACGTTCCTAGAAGCCGAAATGGATCTATCATCATCACGAGTCGAACCAGAGAAGTTGCATTGAAAATGGTCGATCACAAGGGCCTCATTGAAGTTAAACCAATGGAAAGGCCTGAGGCGCTGGAGCTTCTGCAACGAAAGCTTGAACAACCAGAGGAAAGCCAAGAGAGTCGACAATTAGTGGAAGAGCTCGAGTTTATGCCGCTAGCGATCGTACAGGCTGCTAGCTATATTCAAAATCGGGCGCCTCGCTATTCGGTATCACAATACCTGAGAGACTTCCAAAGGAGTGACCGCGAAGCGACAAAGCTTCTGAAAAAAGAGTCAGGTCACCTTAACCGGGATTGGGAAGCGAAGAACTCAATTCTGGTAACGTGGCAAATATCATTTGACCGTATTCGCCGCACACAGCCATCTGCAGCGGAGTTGCTTTCTCTCATGAGCTTTTTCGATCGGCAAGGGATACCAGAGAACCTTGTCCGGTATCAACCTAAGGCCTATCACGCACCAAGTTCAGAACTTCTGGACGACTACAGTGACGGGGAGACATCTGAATCAGACATAGGGCCCGATTTCGAAGACGACGTCGCAGCACTAAGGGATTATTCATTCATATCTGTGAGCGAGAACCGTGCTTTCTTTACGATGCATCGGCTGGTGCAGCTGACTACGCGCGCATGGTTGAAATCTCATGGACAAATAGACCAATGGAGGGAGAAATTCATCAGCAATTTGTGTGAAGAGTTCCCCACGGGTGAATACGAAAACTGGGAGAGATGCAGGTCGCTCTTTCCTCATGTTAAATCAGCAATGTCACAGCGGCCAGCATCACTTGATTCTCTACGACAATGGGCGACACTACTTTATAGAGGTGCATGGTATGCGTCACAAAGCGGTAATATCGCAGACATAAGAGAAATGGCATCAGTGTCAAGAATTCAAAGGATGATCTTATTCGGTGAAGAGCAAGAAGAAGTCCTTGATAGCACAAGTATGTTGGCAACAGCATATCAACTTGAGGGTCGGTGGGAACAGGCCGAGCAGCTCAACTTGCAGGTAAAGGAGACTCGCAAGACGAAGCTCGGCGAGGACCATCCCTCTACACTGACGAGTATGGCCAACCTGGCGTCGACGTACCGGAACCAGGGCCGATGGGAGGAGGCCGAGCAGCTTGAGGTGCAGGTGATGGAGACAAGCAAGACGAAGCTCGGCGAGGACCATCCTGTCACGCTGTCAAGCATGGCCAACCTGGCATCCACGTACCGGAACCAGGGCCGATGGGAGGAGGCCGAGCAGCTTGAGGTGCAGGTGATGGAGACAAGCAAGACGAAGCTCGGCGAGGACCATCCTGTCACGCTGTCAAGCATGGCCAACCTGGCATCCACGTACCGGAACCAGGGCCGATGGGAGGAGGCCGAGCAGCTTGAGGTGCAGGTGATGGAGACAAGCAAGACGAAGCTCGGCGAGGACCATCCTGTCACGCTGTCAAGCATGGCCAACCTGGCGTTGACGTACCAGAACCAGGGCCGGTGGGAAGAAGCCGAGCAGCTTGAGGTGCAGGTGATGGAGACTCGCAAGACGAAGCTTGGCGAGGACCATCCTGACACGCTGGCGAGTATGGCCAACCTGGCATCGACGTATTGGAACCAGGGCCGATGGGAGGAGGCCGAGCAGCTTGGGGTACAGGTGATGGAGACTCGCAAGACGAAGCTTGGCGAGGACCATCCTGTCACGCTGTCAAGCATGGCCAACCTGGCATCGACGTACCGGAACCAGGGCCGATGGGAAGAAGCCGAGCAGCTTGAGGTGCAGGTGATGGAGACAAGCAAGACGAAGCTCGGCGAGGACCATCCTGACACGCTGTCAAGCATGGCCAACCTGGCGTTGACGTACCAGAATCAGGGCCGGTGGGAAGAAGCCGAGCAGCTCAACTTGCAGGTAAAGGAGACTCGCAAGACGAAGCTCGGCGAGGACCATCCCTCTACGCTGGCGAGTATGGCCAACCTGGCATCGACGTATTGGAACCAGGGCCGGTGGGAAGAAGCCGAGCAGCTTGAGGTGCAGGTGATGGAGACGAGCAAGACGAAGCTTGGCGAGGACCATCCTGACACGCTGTCAAGCATGGCCAACCTGGCGTTGACGTACCAGAATCAGGGCCGGTGGGAAGAAGCCGAGCAGCTCAACTTGCAGGTAAAGGAGACTCGCAAGACGAAGCTTGGCGAGGGCCATCCCTCTACGCTGTCAAGCATGGCCAACCTGGCATCGACGTATCGGAACCAGGGCCGATGGGAGGAGGCCGAGCAGCTTGAGGTGCAGGTGATGGAGACGAGCAAGACGAAGCTTGGCGAGGACCATCCTGTCACGCTGTCAAGCATGGCCAACCTGGCATCCACGTACCGGAACCAGGGCCGATGGGAGGAGGCCGAGCAGCTTGAGGTGCAGGTGATGGAGACTCGCAAGACGAAGCTCGGCGAGTACCATCCTGTCACGCTGTCAAGCATGGCCAACCTGGCATCGACGTACCGGAACCAGGGCCGATGGGAAGAAGCCGAGCAGCTTGAGGTGCAGGTGATGGAGACAAGCAAGACGAAGCTCGGCGAGGACCATCCCTCTACACTGTCAAGCATGGCCAACCTGGCGTTGACGTACCAGAACCAGGGCCGGTGGGAAGAAGCCGAGCAGCTTGAGGTGCAGGTGATGGAGACGAGCAAGACGAAGCTTGGCGAGGACCATCCTGACACGCTGTCAAGCATGGCCAACCTGGCGTTGACGTACCAGAATCAGGGCCGGTGGGAAGAAGCCGAGCAGCTCAACTTGCAGGTAAAGGAGACTCGCAAGACGAAGCTCGGCGAGGACCATCCCTCTACGCTGGCGAGTATGGCCAACCTGGCATCGACGTATTGGAACCAGGGCCGGTGGGAAGAAGCCGAGCAGCTTGAGGTGCAGGTGATGGAGACGAGCAAGACGAAGCTTGGCGAGGACCATCCTGACACGCTGTCAAGCATGGCCAACCTGGCGTTGACGTACCAGAACCAGGGCCGGTGGGAAGAAGCCGAGCAGCTCAACTTGCAGGTAAAGGAGACTCGCAAGACGAAGCTTGGCGAGGGCCATCCCTCTACGCTGTCAAGCATGGCCAACCTGGCATCGACGTATTGGAACCAGGGCCGATGGGAGGAGGCCGAGCAGCTTGAGGTGCAGGTGATGGAGACGAGCAAGACGAAGCTCGGCGAGTACCATCCTGACACGCTGTCAAGCATGGTCAACCTCGCTTTTACCTGGAAATCGTCAGGGCACGATGCCAAGGCCAATACTTTACTACGAAACTACCTAGCCAAATAGAAACAAATATTAGGGCCAACCTATCCCGACACTTTATCTAATTCCGAAGCGTTGCTAGAATAGGGAAGGGAGGGCCTAAGTCTGAATAGTCTGAATGGCTAGATAAGCTAGCTACTGGAATATCAAATGTTTATATACAGTTGTGATAACTCAACAGAAGGGATTGTCTGGTTCTGAAAACTATCTGGGGCATACGGTCTTATATACATTAGCGTACTGAATCGGAGATTCAGTATTCCGAATGGAACTTAGTAAGCCTGTTCCACACTGTACTGACTGACCTAACCAGGGTTGTCAGTACCAGACCATACCGCGTATTCTGTGCCAAATATCACACAGTAGCGATTTCGGCCATATGTGATAATTTCTCAGAACGATCTTTCCATCATGTATTGACTTAGTGTGCACTATGTGATAACCTTAGCGCTTGAGTGAATATTGTTGCCGAGAGTGGGCAGGGTGATGACGGAAAGATGTCATACCAGCGAGCAACGAGGGGCCATGAGGCGGCAGTATAAATGGTACGAGTATTTCGAGTAATGTGCTAGACGCAGTCTCACGTGATACCATCCTTCGATACAATTCGATCCCTGAAATAAGGCTAGGCGAGATACAGATTAACGTATTTCTAGATAGGGTTCGAGAAACAATCTGTTGAGTTTCAGCAGTCTTCAATGCCGCTGAGGCTCCGATGGCTATCTTGCCATCCCCCCTGAGACGCACTAAGCCTTATATGGTAACGCGGACAATTGGGAAGCGTGTAAAGCACGCTTCCATTCAGGGGTTACTTTAGACATCTTCAATCTTCAATATCACTCAATCGCTGGCATGCACACATCGCTCCTCCTAGATCCTATCCCTCATCTCAACACAATCTACAAGAGTAAAGTGGTGAAACTGATTTCGAACCTTCCTGTAGTGTACCAGCGGGTATTTCGAAATATATATTGCAGCTTGGTGGGCGATACGAGGACTCTCCATAAATCCCGTCGACTCTCTACTGCCTGGATAGTCTATGCCACTTTCTCACCATGGCCCGACTACCTCCGACTCCTCTCTCGGGGTTGTAGAAACTGCTGGATCTCGTGACTGGCAGCCTTCACTGACCGGAACAACCGCGTCTATCTCCGACCGGAGAATCTATTCTCCGGTCGGTACCGGTTGCAGATCCACGAAGACGAACACCATACGCATTGCGGTACCGCACTACATTGATCAATCTGATAGCGATGGATCCTGGTTCGTGTAAGATGGCCCTCGGCCTAATTTATCGAAGAGGAGCCACGCATAATTCGAGTGTCAACTCGATTGCAAACTCAGAACGAATTCAGGCTTGGCTGCAATGCCTCGGCCCAAATCTCTCGCATGCGGTGGGTCAGTAGTGAGTGGGGGAGATCCGGTCGGAGAGATCAGATTGCATCGCAATGCCCGAATGTGAATCTCATCTGAGGGTCTTTTGCGGCAACTCTCGGGGCAGCAAAGCCCGCCTTGAACGAAGCACTTGACGACTGGTATGGCAATGCTCATGTCCTCCCTACCCTACACAATAGTAATAATACTACTATTATTGTACGTCGTAGCAAGAGTAATACTGCTAGTAATCCGCCTGTTGCGACTGGCCACGAGCAGCCGGAGCTCCACCTGCAACGACGTATTGTCGGCATGCCCCCAGTTGCCCGCCCGAGTGCCTGGCTGCAAGTCGGCCGAGAGCTCGACGTTCCCCGCAAGCACAGCTTCCCCCCGGACCCCTTTAGCCCGAGACGTCACCGTCCCCGTCCTCAAAAATTCCACGTCCGGTCCAACTGTCTCTTCCTCGCCAGAGACTTCCGGCTCCCTTCGTGCATACTCTCCTTCATCATGAGCCAAGGCAAACTGACCGGCGCCGCCGTCGCCGACCACAACTCCAAGGACTCATGCTGGGTCATCGTGCACGGCAAAGCATACGATGTCACCGAGTTCCTCCCTGGTACGCTCCATCGTCATTCCTGCTCCAATTCCCCCTAGTCCCACCCGGACACCTGCTAACCTTGCAGCAGAACACCCGGGCGGCCAGAAGATCATCCTCAAGTACGCCGGCAAGGATGCGACCGAAGAGTTCGACCCGATCCATCCCCCAGACACCCTCGACAAGTTCCTCGACCCTTCCAAACACCTGGGCGAGGTCGACATGGCCACCGTGGAGCAGGAGGAGAAGGTTTTCGACCCGGAGGAAGCCGACCGCCAGGAGCGCATCACGCGCATGCCGCCGCTGGCCGCCTGCTACAACCTGATGGACTTTGAGGCCGTGGCCCGCCAGATCATGAAGAAGACCGCCTGGGCCTACTACTCCAGTGGTGCCGACGACGAAATTGTGCGTTGCGTCTTGGTCCTCAGCCTGCGGGCTCACCTGTGATCCCTCCAGACTGACTCGACATGTGTGCAGACAATGCGAGAGAACCATGCCGCCTTCCACAAGATTTGGTTCCGACCGCGGATCCTAGTGGACGTAGAGAACATCGACATGACCACCACGATGCTGGGCGCCAGGTGCTCGATCCCCTTCTATGTCACGGCCACGGCGCTGGGCAAATTGGGCCACCCGGAGGGCGAAGTCGTGCTCACCAAGGCCGCGCACCGCCACAACGTGGTCCAGATGATCCCAACCCTGGCCTCCTGCTCCTTCGACGAGATCGTCGATGCCAAGCAGGGCGAGCAGGTCCAGTGGTTGCAGCTGTACGTGAACAAGGACAGGGAGATCACCCGGAAAATCGTGGAGCACGCCGAGAAGCGCGGGTGCAAAGGTCTCTTCATCACCGTCGATGCGCCCCAGCTGGGACGCCGTGAGAAGGACATGCGATCCAAGTTTTCCGATGCCGGCTCGAACGTGCAGTCCGGCGACGACAGTGTCGATCGATCCCAGGGCGCTGCCCGTGCCATCTCCTCCTTCATTGACCCGGCCCTGTCCTGGAAGGATATCCCGTGGTTCAAATCGATTACCCGCATGCCCATTGTCCTCAAGGGCGTGCAATGTGTGGAAGACGTGCTGCGGGCTGTCGAGGCAGGCGTCGACGGCGTGGTCCTCTCCAACCACGGCGGTCGCCAGCTGGAAACGGCCCGCTCGGGCATTGAGGTCCTCGCCGAGGTCATGCCGGCCTTGCGGGAGCGTGGCTGGGAGAAGCGCATCGAGGTCTTTGTGGATGGTGGCGTGCGCCGTGCGACGGATATTCTCAAGGCCCTTTGCTTGGGCGCCAAGGGCGTTGGCATCGGTCGGCCGTTCCTGTATGCGATGTCGTCCTACGGATTGGACGGTGTGGATCGCGCTATGCAGCTGCTGAAGGAAGAGATGGAGATGAATATGCGTCTCGTCGGAGCGAGCCGGATTGAGGATCTGAACCCCAGCCTGTTGGACACTCGCGGTCTGCTGGCCGGCCACTCGGGCGTCATTCCTTCCGACACCCTCGGCCTCCGAGCCTATGATCCACTGGAGGCGCCTCGGTTCAACGAGAAGCCCAAGCTGTAATGAAACAAAAAAAGAGGATCTGGTGTTTGATGACCAATTTTTTTTTTCTTTTGTTTTGTTGAAGAGTTCCTCCGTGGGCACGATTTGCCACTGTCTATATTCTAGATACACTCCCGGATACACATTTATATACCCAATCAACTTAAGTTTCAGTACACTCAGATGGCTAACGCTTGTGCAATTGCCTGCTATTGCGGAAAAATCGACGAAACTGGAGGTGCAAGTATACCTCTGCAAATTGCGTCGCCTCTCTATTCGATAGTAAATAATACATGCAAAGCAGGGATCGATCAGATCACCGCACTGGGAGCCTCCAGGGCCCTACGCTGAAAGGGGTGGGACCTCGGTAATTTTGAGCAATAGTCTGGTCATACGTGCTATCTGGTGCTATCTTGGACCGCTGTTCAATGGTTCTAAGGCTTTGAGTCATTATTTGGGGGCGGATTTTATGGCATCTGCTTAGGGATCAAAGTGCAACAGCGAGTGTCGGATCCCTTTTCACACGGATCCTGGTTAATACCCCTGTGGCCTCCGAGGAATGGCCAGCTCAAGATCCTGACCGATAAATTATGCACGAGTATTCCGTTAGGGTTCAGAAAGCCACGTTGGGGCTTTTCTAGTCCACGCCTCAAAGCATAAATACCCCACATGCTACACTTTCCCGGAAGATTCCTCAGAGACAGCGAGGAGGAGCATCGACAGAACCGGGATTTGACCACGGTTCATTTCCGAGGTGATCAACCCCAGGATCCTGCTGGGTGATCAAAACATTCCAGAGAATGTACTCCCAACAGACCCTACTGTTGACGCAGCCTTCAACGGCTCTTAATATCTTGCTTCTTTCAGATTGTGTCGCAGGTTGGACCATGATGCTCGGAGATGATCCGTCATTTACCCTTGTGGCTCATGTCAACTCATACAACCTCCTCCCATCCCCTCTCACATCCACCCTGTATACATACTCCTCCCCACTAACCGCTAGTGGTTTCCCTAGTGGGAAAGGAAACATGTCTTTCGTCTCTGGAGCATATTGCTTGGCGATCCTTTCGATATGCACGATGGACTTTTAGTATTACTATGTACCTCTCTACCTCCAATCCTTTTTATACAGGGGCTTGATGGATTCTTTCTACAACGATACAGGTTTTTTTCCAAGCCAGCCTCAGTGTATCACATCTCGGGTTGACCATGATGATTTTTGGAATGTCGCCAGACAGCCTTTGACAAGAGCTCTCCAGCCCAACGCGGGCGGCGATCTCTTCCACCGCCCTCTGCTAGGAGCCCCAGCCCACATTAACCAGCTGGATCGGATGCACACCGATCTATTTTGTTTTTCCTTCCCTCCGACGCGGCTCTACCGTGGCCCGGAATGTGGTTGGATCGAAATAGCTAATACACGCCACTTCCACGATAAGGAGAAATTTGCAACGGCTCTCCCCCGTCGCGCCTTGCTTCCCCTGACTACGGACTTGTCCGCCGCCACTGGAACCCATCCACAGTGGGTTTGCATGCATTTGGCCTGCACGATGGACTCCACAACCCCGCTTGCTCGTGATGCTCGACTCAGCCCTCCCGCTATTCCCACTAGCCTCAGACGCGTAAAGCTGGTTGACACCGGCTTCCGATGTCTCATGTCCTGTTTTTCCTGGGGATTGCGCCTGGTAATGGATCACAGAGCCTATATTGTTCACCCCAGCCGAGACGACGGAGCGCGACGATCGACGAGGACGGTTTCACGAGGCCGACTCTGCTGCCGTGGAGGCTCTTCGCAGGCGAGAGACCCCTGATGCCATGAGGACTGGGCTCTGCCTGTTCAACGGCCAGCAAACCAAGTAGTATGCCCTTTTCTGGAACCCTCATCCGATGATGGTTCCGAACGGGACCCGACTGTCAAACCGATCGACACCAGGGAGGCCGCGGAGGGTCCACCCGAACGGCTCGACTGACATGTGGGTTTAATCGGGCGGGTGCCGCGCGCCAGCGGGATCCGGGATAAACATCCTATTAGTCCTTCTGGGATGCTCCTCCATACCCTAGGGGACTAGTATAGTACATCGTACATCGTACTACCTTAGGGCTGGTGCGAGGACTAGTCCAAGCACTACTCCCTATATCGTAGTAGTACTCCTTCCACCGACAACGGGGACGCGGGCAGCGAATGTGCCTGCCCACCGGTTCTGGGGCTGCCCCTGAGGCGCGGCGCTGCTTGGCGCTCCAACGCCGGCGGTGGCCCTTGGCCTAAAACAGGTGATGGCCGAGGGCGTGGGGAAGATCTGCAGCCATGGACGCCGGGGACTGGCCGGGGGATGATTAGACTCCTCTGTCGAGTCCCCTAAGCTCTCTTCGAAATCCCCTAGACACACCCTAGAGGTGCCCTTGGTGAGGGGGACGGAGGTTAACCTGCCGATCGGTCGGGCCTTCCTGCTGGAAACGGGCTCGGTTAAGCTCGCGGGGCCGCCACTGCCCGCCGTGACAGTTGGAGCTCGCAACGGCTTTTTGTGGACGGCGATCGTCTCCCACTCCCACGCCCACGCCCATGCCCAACGTGGATGATCCTATAAAGGAGGGCCGGGCCGCAGCGCCCAGCCCTGCATCGTTTCGATCAGTCGCTCTTTTATTTTCATTATGATTCTATCCCATCTGTTGGGCCTGCTGGCTGCCACGGCCGGCCTGGCCACCGCCGCCGATTCAAGTGCCGATGCGGACAACTATGAATATGTCGTCGTGGGCTCCGGTGCCGGTGGTGGTCCGCTCGCGGCCCGTCTGGCTCTGGCTGGTCACAAGACGCTGCTCATTGAGGCGGGTGATGACCAGGGCGAGAACTACAACTACACCATCCCGGCCTACTCGGCCCGCGCCTCCGAGGACGAGAAGCTCGCGTGGAACTTTTTCGTGCACCACTATGAAGACGACGAGCGCCAGGCACGGGACTGGAAGGCCAGCTACGACACCCCCGATGGTGGCTTGTATACGGGCCTGAACCCCCCGAGGGCTCGACGTTGAAGGGCACGCTCTATCCCCGGACCGGCACCCTCGGTGGATGCACCGCGCACAATGCCTTGATCGCCGTCTACCCGCATCAGTCCGACTTCGAATACATTGCCACTCTCACCGGCGATAAATCCTGGACCCCCGACAACATGCGCCAGTACTTCACCAAGCTGGAGCGCAACCACTACCTGTTGCCCGGCCAGCAAGGGCATGGCTACGACGGCTGGCTGCAGACGGAGACCGCGCCGCTGAGCATCGTGCTGGAGGACCCCCAACTGTTGAGCATGCTCACGGGTGGTGCATTTGCACTGGGCAATTTGACCGACAACATCATGAACATTGGCACCCTCCTCGCCAGCGATGCCAATGCGGACACCAAGACCCGCGACACCGAGCCCGGCTACTATCAGATCCCCATCTCAACCGACGACGCCCACCGCAACGGCGCCCGGGAGTTCATTATTGCTGTGCGCGATGCGACGAATGACGATGGTTCCAAGAAGTACCCACTGGATGTGCGCATGAACACCCACGTCACCAAGGTCGTTTTCGATGAGACGGCCAACCCGCCCCGCGCCACGGGCGTCGAGCTTCTCCAGGGCCAGCATCTCTACAAGGCCAGCCCCATGTCCAAGTCGGCACTGAAGGGCACCCCGGGTGCCGTGAACGCCTCGCGCGAGGTCATTGTGGCTGGTGGTGTGTACAACTCGCCCCAGATCCTGAAGCTGAGCGGCATCGGTCCCGCCGAGGAGTTGCAGCAGTTTGGCATCAAGGTCATCAAGGATCTTCCTGGGGTGGGCACCAACCTGCAGGACCACTATGAAATTTCCGTGCAGGGCAAGATCGAGGAGGACTTCTCCTGCCTGGATGGCTGCACCTTCAGCATTCATGACCAGGCCGACCAGTGCATCAACGACTGGGAGTCGCCCATCCTCGGGGACCGCGGCATCTACTCGTCGCCCGGCCTCGCCGCGACGATGCTGTACAAGAGTTCCGTCTCGGCCGATGACAGCTTCGACATTTTCTGCTTCGGTGGTCCCGTCAACTTCCGTGGCTATTTCCCCGACTACAGCATCAATGCCACCGACGAGCACAACTGGTTCACCTGGGCGATCCTCAAGGCCCACCCCCGGAATACCGCCGGTACCGTGAAGCTGCAGTCCGCCGATCCGCTGGAGGTCCCCAAGATCACCTTCAACTACTTCGACACCGGCGTGGGTGACTACGATGCGGATCTGACCGCGCTCTATGAAGCCATCGAGCTGGCTCGGGACGCTTTCGACCGCCAGCTCGTCAACGTCACCGAGGTGCTCCCCGGCGCCGCCGTCACCTCCAAGGAGGACATCGAGACCTACGTCAAGGATGGTGCCTGGGGCCACCACGCCTCGTGCACCTGCCCCATCGGCGCCGATGATGACCCCATGGCCGTGTTGGACTCCAAGTTCCGGGTTCGTGGCGTCTCGGGCCTCCGCGTCGTGGATGCGTCCGTCTACCCCAAGATCCCCGGTACCTTTACGGCGGTGTCGACCTACATGGTGGCTGAGAAGGCCGCCGATGAGATCCTGAGTGAGCTCAAGGCCAGCTCGTAAGGGAGTTTACCGGATCTGGTGACTGTACATATTGCTTCCGAGGCACAGCCAGGGTCATTCCATGCTATCCCATGTATTCTATTTGTAATAGATAATCCCAATATATCAATCTGCATTTACGCTCGTTGTTGATTTTTCAGAATCTATCAGTCCCGTATTTATTGTTTCCAACTTAAAAGGCACGCTCTTGATCAACACTTTCACGATGATAGCTCACAAAGAATCTTGCCGCTCCGTCCCCTCAGCCACCTCGGCCAATTTTTTCGTAATCGCGTGACTCCACCCACTCATCCAGCAATTCAGGTTTCCACTAGCCGATGGAAACTCGTACGTAGTTTCTATTCCCGTATCCGAGTCCGAGGTGTACTGCGTATACCGTGCGGACGTCCCACGTGACCTGTTTTCGGGACGGTGGACGCGCTGCGCCAACTCGCGACCACGCCTCAACCCTCCCGGCCCTGTTGGCTCAACTGATCCGCCATGGATCTCCTCGCGCAAGGCGTCGATGCTGGCCTGGAGGCGACCGGCATGGATGCCGTCGATGCGCTGCGCGCGTTCTTCCTTTTCGCCGCCGCGACGGTACGCACTGGATGCCGCCGTCCCACCCTCGTGCGCGCCGTGAGCTAATGCGCTAACTGGCCTTTGCAGACGGTGTCCGTGAGCATCCCGGCCTCTCTACGCTCTCGATTCCTCATCTACGGCCCGCGTGCGAACCCAACACTCTCCGAATCCCGATCGACCGCCGCAGAGGGCGCGTCCCGGTCCGGCCTCCTCGACTATCTCGCGACCTGGCAAGTGCCACACAGCTACTTCACGCAGTTCTACATCGCCTCTGTTGCTTCCTCGGTCTTTTGGGCGGCGCAGCTGCTATGCCACGGTTCGCTCTTTCAAGCCATTGCCACGCGCGTGAACGAAGAGCATCGGCGACAGACCATGTCTCTGACTCAGGTGCTCATTTGCTGGATACTATTGACCCTGCAGGGCGCCCGACGACTCTGGGAGTCGTACTGCTTTGCGAAGCCATCGACCTCCAAGATGTGGTTCGCCCACTGGTTGTTGGGGTTGGCTTTCTATTTGGCGGCGGGAATTGCGATATGGATTGAAGGATCAGGTTCGTCCCTTGTGGGATCCGTCCATCACAGAGTACTATGATGGCTGACGAATAACTCTAGAGGCACTGATGAACTTCAACCTGACCATCGATCACCTGAAAATCACCAGAGCTCCTAGCTTGCGGACGTTCTTTTGCATTCCGCTTTTCTTAGTCGCGTCGGGGATGCAACATGACTGCCACCACTTCTTGTTTTCCCTCAAAAAATACACCCTCCCGGACCACCCGATCTTCCGCGCCATTGTCTGCCCTCACTATGGGGCCGAATGTATTATTTACCTGTCGCTTGCGCTGATTGGGGCCCCCGGGGGCAATGGATCAATAAAACCTTGTTCGCCTGTCTGGCGTTTGTGGCTATTAACTTGGGCATCACCACCCGGACCACAAAGCAATGGTACTTGGAGAAATTTGGCGACGACCGGGAGCAGCGAGAACAGATAGAGAGCCGATGGCTCATGCTGCCGTATGTGTACTGATTATCACCGCAAATATTAAAATTCGAATATACGAAGGAGAATGATACTTCCACAGCCCCGTCATGACTTTCGCTCAGATAATCCAGAATTATAACCCTGATCAAACATGATGTCAATTTTGACGCCAAACACCCCCTCGACGATTAGTCTTGCTAACCGACAGGTTCATTACTCAATACAGTCACCTATCTAGTCAGCTACCTAGTCATCTACACAGTCACCTACGTGATCATTTGTCTAGATGGCTATTCTAGAAAGTGATGCTCTATGCAACATGAATGGGATCGGACTAGAATAATCCTAGTGAAAGTTCATGCTTCGACTCGCACAGCGAGGACACCTAAGCCGAAGAACTAACAGGTACCTAAAGTTTCAGACAGGGGGTGTGTTCTGAGGCAGAAGAGGTGTGGCTGTATTAATTTCCGTTGGATACTTATGGCTCTACAGTGCGATACCGAGTTATAGTCGCAGTCATCAACACGCACTTTCGTTCTGCACTGACAGTATAGCGGGGCTCCATTTTGATCATGTGGTGCCTAATTGATAGTTCATTTCGCCAGGCAGTAATAATTCTAAATCTAAGCTATGGGACAATTTTTCTCATTGAGTTTCGCAATCTATAAAGCCATGACTGGCGTTACCGTCACGTTCAAGTCATTCTTTTCGCTCATGTAAGTGTCGTCCGTCTCTGTGTGGAAAGCAAAGGGGTCCTCTCGGGTTCCGGGGGCCTTCTTGGAAGCCCGCTCCGATGCGGGCCAGATCTCATAGCCGGCCTTTTCTTCTTTCTCATGGTGTTCCATGACAACATCACGAACGGTCTTTTGAAAGTGGAGGGGGCCCATTTCCATCTCCGGATGAAGCAGGCCATTGACGAAGACACCGGCGTTTAGGTTTTTCTGAGAGTGGATGCAGAGGTACTTATCCTCGGACATAATTCGCTTATACATATCGCTAATGACGTTGAACGCTTCGTCGGTGGCATCTTTATGGCGATAGACTTCGTATCGCATCATGCACTGAGTCGGGCTGATGGGGGTGAAACGCTGCATGAAGAAGAAGTTTGGGCTGCATAAGGCAGGTGAGTGAGTGACAGTCTGGGGCTTTGGTGGTTGGAATGCACTTACGAGACATTCATGGAGGCGTTCGGCCAGAAATAGGTCGTCGCAATGCGGAACCCCTTCGCAATCTGGTCTTCTCGCGGAGCGCCGAAATGCTGAATATGGCCATCCTTGGGTTTGACGTAATACGAGTTGAGATCCGCAATGGTAGGGATATCAGGATGAGCTACCTGACAGTGGTAACACTCGTTGTAGTTGTCTGCGAGGATTTTCCAGTTGAACTCGCCCTCCATATCCCAGGTGTGGTCGAAGTTATACTCCTCGAAGTTGTAGTAGTCGAATCGAGGCTGCTCATCGACACCCTCAAAATCATCTTTCCAGGCAACCTCCGGGGTTTCGGATGCATCAAGATTGATCCAGACAAAGCCATTGCGGTCAAGATGCACATGAACCGGAGAGAGGTCGTTACTCAGAAAAGCCTTCACTCCGCCCTGATGATCCTTGGCCACGATGAATTCATAGCCAGCAGTATCATATCGAACCCAGTCCCCGGCATTTGGGACGCGGGCTTTGTGAGTCGTAAGAAGCCACTTGCGGGAGAAGATGGACCGTCGTTCCAAGTCGTACATTGCCGGTGAGGTGTACCAGGATGCCGGCAGAGCGCGGACAGGCGTCTTGCTCGTATCTGTCACCTCTGCTGCAGTCGCAGAGGTGCCGAAGAAATTCCTGAAGAAGGACATGGCGGAGAATGTATGATTAAGTTAATCAGAGATAAATCTCGAGATTCAAATTGAAAAAAGCTGGGTATCTTATATTATAATTTGGTGTTTGATGACCGCTATCTCCGAACGTAAGGTACCGAACTTCCTAGTATGTAGCACCGTTAGCTCATGCCATGGCATCTTGACACGGAATCGGAGACAAGCAACCGAACCTCCCCATATTGGACAGCAACCACCCTGGAATCCGCATTACCGTCGCCAAGCTACCATCAATTCCAGAAAAGGCGTGCGGTAGATAGACCTTCTGACCGGTCAGGTGATCGGTGGTTCATGAAGCACACCGGCTGGCTTGAAGGCTATTCTTCAGGCCTCTGGCGCTCAATCCCCAGAAGAAGCTAGTTCTGCCACGCTCATTGTGCGACAAGCATCTGGTATCATCTCCCGTGCTGCGCCTTACTGGCTGTTGTGAACGCCCTACTGATCTAGAATCCGGGTAATCCTCCGGTGCGGTCGAGACCCGGGCCACTCCGGCGGTTTATACATTCCATAATTGGAAATGTTTAGCATGGTGCCCCATCGTGACGGGTCGGAGTGCACAGCAGGATCAAAGTTGGACCTGGAAGTCCCTCCGGGGAGGGAAGATGGCGAAGTGCGCGTAGCAGCGCATAGATACTTGAAGGGACTGAGGACAGTGAAGGAAGCAGCCCGACTTTCTTATTGGAATTTGTTTACTGCCAGTGGCTTTCTCAAGAAGTGGTAGAAGGATGTACCAACGCAGTACCAGCCGTCATGTGATGACGTGCACCACGTGGGTGCCACATTAGTCATCGAACCATGGTAGGGTAACCACCTGACTTGCACCCTAGGTGGCTGCGGTCCACCGTAAATTTTCCTCGTTCGCGCCGACGGAAGTTGCAGGCCTGCGAGTGCACTGCTTTGATCGCATCCTCATCACCGCCAGACACCGACCAAGATGGCGTCGCCCGACCCGCAAATGGATACACACGCCCAGCGGCAAGCCGACTATGAACGTTTCAAGAACTATGCCGCAATGACCTTCCTTGTCGCATCGCCCGTGCTCATTGCGCTCCCTCCGCGCAAGTTTGACTACCTGACTGTCATGCACGCGAGTGCCTTCTGCATCTCCGCAAACTATATCACACGCGAAAGAACGGGACGGAGTATCGTCGAGCGGCTCGCGTCACGCCTTCCCACCCGCAAACCAGGGGTGCTCCGGGATCTTCCCAGCGATCGGGCGGAGGAAATCCAGGCGCGGTTGCGCGCGGCCCGCGAGGCACAGATAAAGGAGGCGGTAGGAGAGGAGCTGGAGAAGTTGAAGGCGAGGCAGGCGCAGGATCAGGGGATCGCAGAGCGTGTATGGATGGGCGGAGAGTCTCCTGGCTGGATGGAAAGGCGGCTGCAAGAGGAGCAGAAAGCCCTCGAGGAAGGGAAGGGGTATGGTGACCTGATCCAAGAACATATCTGGGATGTCTGGAATTGGGGAAAGAAAAAGGATGAGGATGAGGAGGATGATTGAGAGTTCTCCATTCGCCTTTTTGCAGATCACGACCATGTGCGCTGTTCTCTATTCCCCACGTTTCTCACCGGACCATCTTCGCGTGTACATCATATGCATTCAGGAGTGTTTTGCCGCAGCTTCCATTCGCCAACGATCACCATGCACCACCAATGTTTGAGTTGAATCTCCGACGTGGGATTCGTTCACTGTACCATCATCTTGCCACCATCTTCATCGCAATCAGCATCACGACCAGGCGTTTACATTCAAACTTATCTTGTCTATATTATCAACGTGTACATCTCAATTCAAAACAAGCTTCCATGTTTTACACAGGAGAAATTATCTCAAACCCTAACGCTGAGCCTCACTGCTTACCCTGGGTTGCTGACAATCACTATATTCCTCTACCGCCCCATGGTGCAGACTAGGTATATCGATTGAGTCCGGGGGACGAGTCATCTAGGGGAAGTGCCACGAATAGGAACAGGGGACTTGCGCCTGTCATCCACAGAAGTCAGCCGAGACCATCTTCCGTTCAGAGACGGGAGATCAGTTGATATCCCATTGCCAATGCGATCACATGATAATGGGGCTAAGAACAGCTGCTCCTTCACGTAGTTCAGCACTCTTGAGCAAGAACCGTAGCACTTTTACATAATATCTTGACTATGGCCTCAATATCATTCGGTCAAGCAAATCTCAGGATTCCAGGCGGGAGTCAATCAAGGATCGATATACTTGCAACAAGGTAGGATTTCAAGGACCCGCAAGAACAACCCCGACGAGCCCGATGAGCTGACAGAGGCCTTCGCCTTCAGAACGATCGGAACCCCGCCCTGGATCTCTATCGACGATCCTGTTCTCGCGTGAAATCATTGACCAAATTCAGGAGAAAGCCTCCTCAGCAGGGTCTAGAGTCGCTCTCCTTGGGCTCGGTGGCGTTGGGTAATGGAATTACGGTCCGAGGGTAGGCCCTAAAGGCTGACTATATATTAGGAAAACGCAACTTGCCATTGAATACTGCCCCCGGGTTCGACAGCAATCTGCCCACTCATAGATCTTCTGGGTACATGCAAGTAACGGGGCCCGCTGCAAGAAAAGTCTCCGAGACTTCGCCGATCGAGCTAAGATTCCCGGAAGCCAGGATCGCAAGGCCAACATATTTCAAGTTGTCGGGAACTGGTTACACTCATTCTCGAAATCGCCTTGACTAATACACCCGTAAAAACTCTTTACGGACCTACCTCTAAGAGCTCAGCGCAAATGATTTATTGAGCGGCCCGTATTGAATGAAAGTGCAGTAAAAAAGGTGACGGTTAACACTGCCGCCTCGGGAAGCGATCGGCTCCCGGAGCCCAGCCTGAGTTAGTCCCGCCGCCGCCCTGAGCTGCTCCCTGAGCAACCCTGAGCGATCCCGGAGTTGCTCCCGGAGCACCCTGATCGCTCACCCCTGATGCTCCCACTGGCCGACGTCACTCTTCCTTCTTTGTTTCATAATCCTCCGAGGATAAGCGCTTTGCTGCCTACGGTCACTCCTAGGAGCTCGAGGGAAGACATGACTTGATCTCACACTGCATCTATTCTCCAGCGCTTGCTTACTCGAGCTCATCGCCTAACGACCATGGTCCGCCATTCTGTAGGAGAAATGAGATTTCCCTGAACTCTGCCTTCGTTGTTTCGTCTTTCTTTCACAGTGGCAATGCAAGCTTCATTGACCGAATTCTAAAAGACGAATTTTCGTCGTTGTCTCTGCCTCTATGCTCTGGATTAGTTCACCAAAGGATTGCCATCCATCACTATAGTCCGGCACAAACTCCATGAGCTATAGGTCATATTTACCCCACGTGGAGAAGGTGGGCAGACGTCAATAACCTACCAAATATGATTTACTGTCTAATCGCTGATCACACGTCCATGTTAGACATGAGTTCCTAGGAGCACCTCCTTTTGCTAGTATATCCTGGGCAAGAGCGGCCCTTCAATTGGCTACAGCAACTTGCAGTGGAGTAGGGTCGGGTATCAGCTGGTGTGTTTTCAATTTCAGCTCTAGCCATTTGCAGCTTGAGCAGAAGTTGATTTTTGATAATATCTCTTCCCCCATATTGGGACCTCGATGAGCACGACGGTACAAACAAAGTATAAATAGCCACGACTGTCCCCCATTTCACGAATGTCTGGAATACATCTTTCATTCGGAATTTCCATTCTCGACTTCCTGGTTCGACAGTTCCCTGATCAATTTACGCCACCCTATCGTCATTATGGTGACGCTAAATCATCAAAGATTTTGGCAACCGGCCACGGAAACGTCCAGAGAATGCTCGGATAATGGTCCTGAAATCGGCACTTCCAGGATACCAGAACAATTCATTACTGTCGAAGAACGATGCGATCCAAATGGCTACATGCTGTGGAAACACAGGCCACATGATGGGGATGGAACAGAGGACTTCGGTACGTATCAATCTTTAGACATACCAATTTTCATTTCAGGTAATCTAACATAATCACGTTAGTGTCACAAAATAGCCAATCTGCCCAAGAAATTCTACCAGAAGCCTCTGCTAGCGACGTATCGACCACTGATAATTACCCCGATTACCCTGAGGAGGTCACACTCTACCCTTCCTCTCGAGTTAGCAGCAGCCCTTCCGTGACTGGTCTAGATGGGCCTGGGACATCAAGGATCTTTGACATATTTCACGATGATCCAACCAAACAAGGAAGCGAGCACGTGCATACGCAGCCTAGTGTAAGAGGAAAGAAGAGGACCCTTGAGGGACCTCATTCTTCTCGGAAACGACTCCAGACCCGCTATTCTACCACCGCAGATACGAAAATGTCGTCGACGAGAAGAAGAGGCAATCCAAAAGATGAACGCCCGTCTCAGGATGAAGAAGGCCATTCATATAAGCACGCCAGCATTAGGGACTTCCTACGATACCTGAAACACTTCCACAGTTTGGCCAGCGCTGAAGCCCAATTCTCAGATGATTTGGTCGACGGAGGTACTTGCAAGGAAAATCTTGCCGTGATTCAGAACACAATCAAAGATCTCCAACACACATACGGCATTATTGCAACGAGCAATATGGCAACTGATGAGACTGATAAAGAATTTTCCACTACAAAAAGATGGCTATTTGCGGCAAAAAAAGTGAAAGCCCGAAGAAGAACATCTGTTGTTAGACCTAAGGGATACCCAAAAGCTCGGATGGATGTCTATCCTTCGCCACTTTCCTGGACGAAGGCCCGCGGCAGTCAAACAGCGCCATTCTTTCATTCGTTCGAAAAAGAGCGACAGTCCCTCATGTTGTAATTCAAAGGAAGATTGCTTATTTCTTCTGGACAGAAAACTTGAGGGTTTATATACACATGCGACCTCCAGATTGATTTCCAATCAAAGCTGGTAATTCCGTGAGGTTAGGAATTGATTCCGTTACGATACGACATATCACAACAGCGCGAAATACCACACCTATTCAAACAGTAGGAGAGAAATGGGTATACAACTTCATCCAACGACGTGATGAACTAAAGACATGCTTCTCTCGACGATATGACTATCGGCGTGCTCAATGTGAGGACACTAAAGTTATAAAGGAGTGGTTTAATTGCGTACAAATTACCATAATGCAGCATGGGATTGTACCTGAAGATATCTACAACTTTGATGAGACTGGTTTTGCTATGGGCCTAGTAGCTACTGCCCGAGTAGTTACTAGAGCTGACTACTACGAGAGAACGCCTCTTGTAGAGCCAGGGAATCGAGAATGGGTTACTTCTATTGAGTGTATTAGTGCCTCTGGATGGGCCCTTCCACCATGCATTAGAAAGGAAAGGTCCATATAGAGGGCTGGTATCAGAGCAATCTACCACACGACTGGAGGATTGAAGTTAGTCCAAATGGCTGGAGACTAGTGATGAAATAAGCCTTCGCTGGCTTAAGAATCTCTTTATTCCTGCTACTACTGGCCGTACAAATGGGAAATATCGCCTCCTAGTTCTTGATGGCCATGGCAGTCATCTAACACCTCAGTTCGACCAGATATGCGGTGAGAATAGTATTATTCCTATCTGTATGCCTGCTCATTCTTCGCATCTACTGCAACCTCTGGATGTTGGCTGTTTTTCACCATTAAAGCGTGCATACGGACACCTAGTGGAGAAGAGAATGCGCCTTGGGTTTAATCATATCGACAAGCTTGACTTCCTTCAAGCTTTCCCTCAGGCGCGTACAGAGATCTATACTACTAGCAATATCTGCAGTGGTTTCTCTGCTACTGTGCTAGTTCCATATAACCCAGAGAGGGTGCTTAGCCAGCTTAATATTCAGCTGAATACACCAACACCACCAGGCAGTCGGTCAACCAATTCAGTACCTAAGACACCCCTATACCACCAGGCAGCTCGAGAAGCAGGCATCTATAGTGAAAAGAAAGCTTCAGAGGCGCGTACAGGAAGGCTCCCAAAGTCCTACCTCTTCATTAGAGGTTCGATTGGACAAAATCATTAAAAGCAATGAAATTGCTTTAAATGAGGCAGTTCTTATGCGTCAAGAAATTCGCGATTTACGAGCTGTACATGAGAAACAGCTTCAAAAGCGGAAGAAGTCTACTAGGCAGCTTATTGCTGCAGAGGGTTTTTCTATTCAGGAGGGCCAGGAACGATTTCTACAGTAGAATCAGGTCTTTGAAGCTCAAGATATTGTGGCTAGGGATCCAGGGCTTCCTGCAGTTGGACTACGCGTACGCGCGCCACCGCAGTGTTCTAATTGTCATATTCGGGGGCATACTAGGGTTAGGTGTCCTAATCCGCCTAGTGATTAGTTTTGTATAGAAATGCAATTGTTTTGTTGGTAAAAAGGTGCTTGAATCTCACCTAGTCGTGGAAATCGGATGGAGGTGGCCGACTCGCTTACCGAATACGTTAAATTACGGTAACCTGCCAAAATCTTTCACGGTGGATGGCTGGATGTGAAATTTATTCTTGTGCTTTCTCTGCGTGTCTTTCGATTGACTTCGTGTTTGAATTTAATTAGAGTGATAATCAGCCTCTGCCCACTGCAGCAGCTGCTCCTTGCCCACCCAGCCAACTCCAGCGCCGTACAAGACGTTGAGGAATATTGTGCATTCCCAGGTGAAGCCGAGCCGAAACACAGGCCTATGGCAGCGCCGGCACCGCCATACGCGGCGTCTGAGCCCACGTACTTGACGAGGTAGAGCGAAAAGGAGAGAATGTGTGGCCGAGCCCGTCATTGGCGCCCGACTCCGCAATGATCAGATCCTGGAGGTCCCCGGGGACGTTGTCATCCGCAAACTTTCCCGTGACAATGAGAACGGAGAGCAGGGGACCGGTGGGCGTGCACATGTGCCGACGGCCATGGCTTGTAGGGAAGCTGGGCGTCTGAGCAAGACCCGGACGAGCAGGCTTACGCATTTTGTGGTTGCACTCGGCTTGTCTCTGGGACGGATAAAGTCTGCTCCATTTGGTCTGTAAGCGACACCTACCAAGAGCGAAATGCCTGGTTTTCCTCAGGAGTCACTGACTTTGGTATTCCCTCCATCCCTTGGACGCCTCAGACCTGGAGGGTAAGCTGCCACGTCCTCTAGAACTAGCCGAGCGCGACCCGGAAGCGGAACTCACGGGGTGCCGTCAAAAACGTGGTCAGGAATGGCTGCCAAGACCTAGTCCGACCGTGCACTCATCCGTGTTCCAACTGGGAGCTTAGACCAGAGACCGAGTACGAGGTACGATAGTGTTTAATGCCAGGCGGAATGGACCATCCATTCTAACGGTGCATCACAAAAGATAATCCATCAAGAAATCCTTGGACTGGCACACAGTTAAAGTTTTCTAGTTTTCCACTATTCCAAGGGTAGACTAAGCCGCCCCGCATATACCCACTTCAGTGAGGCATAGATCTAATCTGATAGGACTTCAAAAGTAGCGAGTCCGATTTGGTATAGTGTGTTGAACGAAAAGCCACTTACGTGTAAATCCAAATTTCCTAACCACCCCTTGATTCTTTTTCTTCGTGTTTAAATTTTGCTTCATTGCCAGCGCATGAGACATCGTAAGCACGTCCGCTAGGTGTGTGGAGTATCTGGCTCCGCGTCCGTCATTCGTTCTGGTGGGGTCATTCCTTCGGAGCTTGCACTTGCAAGACACTTCGGCCAAGTTTGATCAGCGGTTCCGATAGAGCATGGAGGCAGACGCACGTCCAGACACACCTCCAGGCCCAACTACAGCTACAGCTACAGCGCGCCCACCGGCTCACCAGGTTTCAATTTCAGAGACGGATCAGTCAATATGGAAGAGATTCCGGAGCCAATTCAATCCGCGTCCAATCCAGGATGACAAACCTCGGGCCTGGTGGTTTGCGTCGACAGCCATCCCACTAATCGCCGCGGCCACCGCACCTTTTGCCAATGTGATGTCGATTGTGGCTCTGGCCATGCCTTGGAGAAGTACGATACATTACGACAAGACCGGTAATGACGGGCTTCCGCTTCAAGTCCCATATGATGATCTCACGTGGTATGGGTGGAAGGTACGAGAGAGCCATATTCATGCTAAGATCTGAATTCTAGGTCTGTGGCACTCAATGCGACTTCCCTCGCCTGCGGCGTAATAGGGAATATCTTTCTTTTGTGCAATTTCACTCAAGCGGTGCGATACATCGTCGCACTGCCCGTATCTATCGTACTTTGGTGGCTAGCAACGGGGATTGTGAGTTGAATGAACATTGGAATTGAATTATTGTCTATGAACACTGACTCCTTTAGTTGATCGGAATCACATCGGCCGTCCACATCTACACCCCCCGGCTCTTCCTCATCAGTTATACACCACCGCATTCTATTTTGCCGTCATTGCAGCGTGTCTTTATTTTTTCAACACTCTGATTCTGACGATCAATCTCCTCGGTTATTTACTGGGCCACTACCCGCAGCACTTCGCGCTTTCCAACAGTCAGCGAACTCTGATTCTGCAGACCACTGCATTAGCCGTATGGCTGGTAGTGGGAGCAGCCATCTTCCAGAAACTCATTGGGATCTCATTTTCGGACGCTTTATACTTCAGTGATATTACGATCCTCACTCTCGGATTCGGCGACATTCTGGCCAAGACTCCCGTGGCTCGGGGAATTATCTTCCCCTATGCCGTCTTTGGCATCGTGATGCTCGGTCTCGTCATCGGAAGTATGAACCAGTTCTTCGGTGAAATAGAAGATGACAACGTCGTGCGGAAAAGAATCGATCGGAAACGAAGAGCCTTGGTCGAAACTTCCCCTACCTCGGAAAATGTCCATTCCCATGGCCAAAATACCGTGAATATTCATTCAGAAACATCAGAGAGCGCGTCCCCGTCAAAACATAGCGAAGAAACTTTCACCAACACATCTACGACCGCATTTTCTCACACTGTGTTAGGCCAACGAAGAAAACAGGTCTCGAGTGAAGAGAAAGACCGATTTCATGCAATGCGTACTATCCAGAACGAGGTCGCCAGTTTCCGTCGCTGGTTCACCCTTGTCCAATGCCTGATCTCATTCGCAATTGTCTGGACAATTGGCGCGCTGGTCTTCTGCACTTTACAGCCTGAGCTGACTTACTTTGACGCCTTGTATTTCAACTTCGTCTGTCTCTTGTCTATTGGATACGGCGATATCACTCCAAACACAAACTCAGCTCGGGCTTTCTTTGTTCTTTGGTCACTGATAGCTGTCCCGACTATGACCACTCTCATCTCCGTGATGAGCGACACATTCATCTCCGCATTCCAACGCGCGACGAACATGCTCGCGGGATGGTCGAACCTCTCCAAGTCCCCTCTGAAGCACTCACGGTTTATGAGAATCCCTCTCGTTCTGAAAATCGGCTGGACTCGCGAGGCTGAACAGAATAGTGACATCTCCCAATCTGCTGATGAAAAACACGTCAAGTCTTCCTCGTGGTCGCAGCCAGAACGACCGTTTCCGTCCTCGGCTAAATCGGGCATGGAGTGGAGACCATCGGACATGGACGTCATCCAGAAATTGACATATGCCATTCGTCGGGTAACTCAAGATGCGTTAGATGGTGGAAATCAGTACAGTTATGAAGAATGGGCGGAATTCATGAAGATGATTCAGCTCAGCCATTCTCATCCAGGTGAACTGAACATGGACAAGGATGAGTATGGGAGATTACACTGGGACTGGATTGGCGAATGGACACCGATGATGTCTAAGCAATCGGAGTCTGAGTGGATCCTGGATCGTTTGTGTGAGAGCATGATTCGGTGTAGCAGCATGCACGGCAAAAGATGTCCCCTCCAGAACGAAGAGATCGATTGGGAAAGACACGAGTATGTCTCGACGAAAGAGGTAGATATTGGTTCCCAAGAGGGGAATAACTCGTAGCCTCTTACGCTTTTAATATTGTTTACCAGATTGCAAGTATGTACATATTATCTTGTATATTTTGAACCTGTCAATGCGCGACATGAACGAACTTGGTCTCCTTAGGCTTTAGAATACACTACGTTCTTATAACTCGATGAAAACCACTATCAACAAGAGTCGCCTTTCGTATCCATTAGCAGCTGTTTAACTGAACCGAGACGTTTTGAAACACGTCGATCAAGGGGACCGAACTTAACCTCGCGGATTCGACCAAGGTTGGTACTATACCATTCCAGTGCCTCCTGGTCCAGACAATGATCGACATGATTTTGTTGTGGCCGCATATCCGATTTCGGTCGAATGACAGGAAGCTCTCCTATAGTAAGGGCGTACTCCTTGGAGTTCGGCAACAGGTACATCTGCAAGAGCTTTTCTTCTGGATCACAGCGCAGATAACCCAAATACTATACAAGTCCGGTCTGAGAATTTGTAGATGGCGTTTATCTCAACATCTGCTTTGGGTATGCATGGTCCTCCATAATCTCGGCAAAAAGGGGGAATGCTGACCTGCGTAAGGTCGCACCCTAGATGTTTCCGTTAGATTCAAGCTGGAACAATAGTTGTATCGTGCATAACACTTTCCACTGTGAGGGATAAGGGTAAATTATATCAATCAATCAACCAACTACTGTATTCGCAAATTGATATGAATTTAACTAGCAACACCTAGACTGCGGCAACATCCTCAATATCTATGGATATCGACATATCCTCTCCGCCAATTGCAGCTATGGTATATGACCCAATATCCAATGGAGAGGATATGCCGCCGTTAGCAACACCTACAATCCACAAAGTAGTAAGAGGGGTGAGAAATGCAGCTAGCTAATAACTGGACACTACGTTGGAGGACGATGAACGGATTATCGAAATCGATCAGAATGTTCAGAAGCTATGAGACGGAGTCTCTTTGCGTTGTTTGAGCCTTAGAGCCGGACTGCTTTGATGGTGTAACAGCGCCACGTTTTCGGAGCAGTTTGACAATCTCTTGATCGCCTAAATATGAGGCTGCCTGGAGAGCGTTGCCGTAGAGACCCCCCTGCGCATTCACGTTCACTCCCTATCAATGAAAACTCGTGCAGGCGCTTTGAGCCCAACTCAGCAAGCATTATAAAGTCTGGAAGCACGCGGAAAACCAGGGCCATCGTTCCAGATATAAACAGCCTGATACAAATGACCCCATCGTTGGAATGTTGCTTCCTTTTCTAGGAACTTGACTACCATCCGAACTACATCATCGGAAGCCTGAGCTAACGCAGCATGATCTATCCAGAGTCCCGCCGCATATCCTACAATCGGAAAATCTCGCCTGATCTTTGCCTGGATACCGCTAATGTCTGTAAGATAGGTCAAGCAGGTCATCGTAAGGGAAATGCTGGCAGTCGTGATGTCGAAATGATTTCTGTCCGAGAAGGTACTCTTTGACAGAAAAGTGGGCAAGGTGCAACTCTATTTCGGTGGCATGGGAGACGGTCACTAAGCTAGGACAATAATTTAAAACATCAGTCTCACAAAAAAGTCGACACTTGATGTCAAACCCTCGCACATCGTTGTTTATCTGCGTCGCTAGTACTTCTCTAGCCTCGGCTAGTTTGAGAGGATGCTGGGAATGCACTAGGAATTGTAGGAGGCGTATCGCGTCGTCTTTTAGCTCCGTCGGTATGGTTGCAATCATACGGCGGTATGTCTCATGTAGGTTCCGCGGCAAAGACACGAGAGCCTCCTCCATAGCTGCCTCGTGACGGCATCGAGCCAGGCTGTCAAATGGACAGAACGCCCACCTGAACCTAAGCTGGGTGTCAGTACATCATCAGCAAAAAAGGGAAGAAGCGCTATCAACTCAAGACATATCATTTGAAGCACCTAGTTACCCACCCTGCTATTTGTTCCATGTCTCCTCTTCTCTGTTGCGATGTTCATTCGTTACCAGCCTCCGTCTATTACCACTCAAGCTGACGTGAATCTTTCGAGGGCTTCCAATATAACCAAAAGCCCGTATCACGTCGATTAGTTATATATCACAGACCGAACAGTTTCGACCATGGGAACAGAATTCGCTGTATCCCCCAACCCCTAGATACCTCTGCAATGCGGACGTACGAGAATGGAATCATGCCGAACGAGCATTGCATCACTATTTGCTGCGGCAATTGCGGACACCAAGGGATGAGGCCCGCCGTAGTGTCCTCACAGCATATATTGTGGGTTGAGGGGTGAGAGGGGCCCCAAGAAATTTGCGACTAGGAAGTGAAGACGACTAAAAGGACAAGGGCATTCGACAGGCTTGTACACAAACGCTAGAGGTCCCTGAACAAAAATATATTCATGAAATCAATCCTGGCATACCCCCATGGAACGAGACGTGAGAGGCAAACGCATCCAGCTTTGACGCAACAGCCGCCAAGAAAAATAAATGGCCCCTACGTACTGCCACAATGCCAACATTGTTAACTAGTCAACACCCGCGGACAGGAAGCTGGGTCAGGAAGGGTGAGTTATCGGAAGTTAACAATCCTAGACCAAGCTTGGCACTCATAACCGTAGAAGCTTCGCGGTGGACCAGCCCACGTTTTTAGACACTGTCTACATGGGAAAGAAGTGTGTCTCCCGGAAAACCTTTAATCCCGACTCATTGCAGTACCTCTGTGTTTCTGCATTATACTAGCTGAAAATGACAAATGTTCTCTTGCACCTGGTTTTTAAATGATGATCGCAGCTCCACAGCCTGGTGGACCACCAGTGCCAGTAGTCGCTTACAGTTAGGAACATATTCCGGAAAAATATCGGGAACTAAGCAGAAAATTGATTGGGTTTGGCACTAATCTACAGGGAAGTGCGTATATGGACCGATCTATACCAGACTCCTTAATCTCCAAGGGCTTCAGATACGGTCGGAGCACAGTTACATTTTGTTATTAGGTACAAACAATCATAGTGCGTGGAGTTGGCGTGAGTCACGTCCCTTCAACGAATGCCGATAAATGTCCGTCTTCACCGTATGTTCCCGATTTCCTGGACAATAAAAGCCGTGAACCGCGACCAGAATCTTGAAAACCCCAATCTTCTTTCGTGAATTTCTTGGTTTAATGTTTATCAAAATGTTCCAAGTCCGACTCATGCTGCGTCAGGTTTTCTTCTGGACCGCGACGTTTGCTTCCACACTCCACGCGACATCCGCCGAAAGTCAGTGGAAGTGGCTTAACTACAATGCGTCTACAATCTCTCCAATCAGGGAGGTTATCACTATCCACGCTCCACCAGACACCGACATTTGGAGGCCTTCCATAAACAATGACAACTTCACAGCGCCTTATCTGTACACTAGCATTGAAACCAGCAACTTTCAAAGCGTGAATGTCACTGTTCAAGCAAATTGGAAGACACTCTACGACCAAGGCGGCCTTGTCATTACTTTTCCAGAGCGGCAAGAACACACCTATTTGCAGTGGATCAAGGCGGGAGTCGAGTTTACCGACGGAGCGCCCTACTTAGGCGTTGTCGGCACAGACAGACTGTCCGATTGGAGCTTGAGCCCGATGTTGCAGGACTCCAATACCGGAAACGCAACTATTGAAATCGTTCGTGATGGGTCAGACGCTTGGGTGTATGTGATAGAGGGAACTAGGCGACGGTCTCTGCGCCAGGTTACATGGGCTTTCAATGAAGGCAACTCAGAGCATATGCACGTGGGAATTTATGCAGCCAAGCCAACTCGGGAATCTGGAGTGGGTCATGAGTTTGATACCCTTGCCGTTACCTTCAAATTGTTCAGCTTGGAAACAAAGAGCTGAATTTCGACTACCTTTGCTCGGCTATGTTTCTCTATCACTTGCGATTGAAATTGAAACAATCTCAAAGCCGATATTGACATTTTTGTGATGCGTGGAACTCATCTGGCAGAGGGATCCCATCTTCGACGTAAATAAGACATAGAAATACATGTACATGACATATCTGACTCACGGAGAGTCCCACTGGTCCCCATACCACAAAGGGCAGTCATTATGAGCTTGTAGGCCCTGACCTAATTCCTCGTTGGGGGACGCTCAAACTGCCGCGAGTTTCTGTGAATATCTCTCTCTGATCGTCGGTCTGCTGCAGTCAGCTTCTTCGGCCATCTGAGAGGTTGTGAGTGACTGGCTTTCCATCATATCGTGGATGAAGTGTAGCTTGGATGGAGGGGGTCTCGGCGCCATGCTGCGCGGTGCAGCTTGAGACTCGCTCGAGAGGAAAGCACAGGGACAAAGCTAACAGCACGGAAGGAGGGGCAGGGTAGGTAGCAGGCGTATTGGAGTTTCGTGCAAAGTACGCCAAGACAGGTTCTGTGAGCGTCACATAACATACTAGGTCTATTCGTGGAAGCGGGGGATCCGCTGCTAACCCACATATAGGCTAGCGTTTTTCAAGTCAGGGTTCGGGATATAATTCGTGTGAGTGTATGGGGTAAACTGATTTCGAATATTACTGTAATATTTGGTGCATTTTGAGGCGCTCGTTCCTCACGTAGCCACGTCTGCCGCCTATATGAAGTACCCCATGACTAGACCCTGCGATTAATGATTAAAACAAACATCTATGGTCCAAAAAAAGCATCGATCGACAGCACTGAGTACTACTTCAACCTGCTGCCTAGTTAGTTTGCCAGAGCACCCTGCAATGGTATATGACCCTCAGAATCCCACGTTGATCTCATTCGTCTCTAACGCACGGTCGGCAATTGCCTTGAGCATCTAGTGATGAGTTTTGAGCCACTGCGTTCTATCCCTGGACGAAGAGTGATCGACTGGATGCCTGGTATGGAGTTTCTCATAAAGGGGAGGTGCATCCGGCATCTCAATGTCCCCATCCTGTCGAGAATGTTAGCAAGCTTCCAAAAACAAGGGCCTGGGGGGATACACTTACCACGTCTGGAAGATATTCCGTCTGGAGGTACTCGTATTGCACCAAGGGGGAATGCGATTCCTCCTCGTGATCCGATTGATCTCGAACCGAATATTGGGATTGGAATTGTTCCCGGCTGCAGTTGTAGTGATATGGTTGCCAGACTTGCTGATCACTGTACTGTTGAATTGATTTTTGTCTCCCCCCGGGGCCCGGATCACTCCATGTCTCGTCCAGGCGGCGATTGCGTTTTCGACCCCGTCTCGGGCCTTGTCCTTGATTAGAGTTACTCACCCCCTCAAAAGGTCGGTGGCGTAGAGGCTGACGGGTGTTTTGCGTATGATTCATACTCTGGTGACGTGGGCCTTGACGTCCGTTGGGGGATGATCGTCGGTGTAAGTTGAACTGCTGCTTGGGTAAGTACTGCTGAGAAATAGACGGCATCTGAGAGCGGCCTTCGCTGCGAAGATTACCAGAGAGGCTACCTTGCTGCACATCGTTGGATTGATGGTGATTCTTGTGATTGTGGTGGCGGCCGTGGCGGTGATTTTGATGCTGAGCTAGGGGGTGCTTGTTTTCGTTCCCACTTTTCGACGGCCTTTTTGAACCATGCATGGGAGGCTTGATGCGAGAGCCTGCACCAGGATTGACTAAAGGTCCGTTTATTCGTTGTCCCCGAGGCCACTGCTGGCGACCACCCCAGTGTAGGACCTGATCCATGTTTGCTTAGGACTGTAGGTGGATGAATGAATTCTCACATTCCAGTTCTGATTCTCAGTCACGGCGGATAACTCGAAAATTGATGCTTTGTTTGAAAGAAAAAACTCGCATGGTCGATTCTATCGGAATAGGTTTCAGGAAAGAGAAAGCCGTCCATATCGGGTGGTCCATGGGTAGGCTTTATATCTCAGGCCCCATGCCCTTCGCCCATTGTGAAAGACTCGAGTGATCCATATATAGTCACGGCCCTGAATGATTAGAATCCTATACGTCTTTGTCCTGTTCCAGAATCAAGTCATAAATAAAGACCAAATTTCCCCGAAACACACTGTGCGGTTATCATAATCGTGGATCTATTCTTTACTCAGATGGCTCGAATCCCATCAAACAAAGGCACTCCATTCAGTAATAATCTCTTTGTTTGTTTCATTCTGTAGTTGTAGCGGAGAAGTGCCACCTTCGCGGTAGACTGTACCGTCGGCCCTCATTGCCCCTTTTATGTGGTCCTTTGAATCTCAAGGCCATCTCATTGTTCTTCCGGGCTGCGGGTGCCGAAGCATCCAGATTGGGATTAGTCCAAATCGTCCTCGGCCGGATTCGCCCATGGACATCTTGACTCCGCCCATGAACGGTGTCGACCAGCCCCATGGTGCGCTTCTCCAAGCTCCAAGGCTGCCTCTGCTCCTTGCCCCGTGGTAGTTCCTTGTCTCCTTGTGTGGGCATTTCCCAGGGTTGTCATGTTCCATTGTTCTTAGCTTCAATTGTTGATGCGAAGATGCTTATCGCGGGGCCGATGCCGGCAATAACCTTATCTATGCGGGGTCGTTCTGCACCATACCGTACGCGTCCGCCACGGTGTGTGGGTGGTGGCAGGTGCAGGGTATCCGCCGGTATCACCGCGTATTGCCCCTCCATCGCGCCCTGCGCCCTACGCCCTACTCGCAATACACTAGTACTACATCGCAGAGGACGGTACATCGTGTAGCATGCACTCCAACCTGACAACAGATGTACATGTAGTACCACTAGTAGTACGTACTAGCCCACTATTGTCGTGAGAATCCCTCTGCCCTCGGGTTCCCATTCGCCCGCGCCAGCATTAAGCATTGCCCTTGACGCGCTCTTAGATAACAGCAATGTCCCCGACCAATCGACCGGCCCTCCCCGTCATATAATCCAGTAAGGACCTGACCTACTAGTACCATAATGATAGTGTTGCTAGTCGGTATTAAGTAGTTGAGGGTTGTACCGTACCGTCGTGACTCCTAGCCCTGGATGAGTCATGTGCGCCGATCGGAAACGCGCTGCCGAGCGGATATCTCGTCTCCAAAATCCGCCGGGCCTCTCTGGTTTGGCTCCGTAATCGCTTCAACGCTGGCGGCCTTGGATTCTTCGCCTCGATCACGACGCTCCCACATTCTCCGCATCGACCACCCGTCCCGTGAACCCGCCAATTCCTCGCGACAGTCGTACACGCGCACCCACACATTCGCCATCATGAGTCCGCCCGCGCCAGTGGACGTTGAGATGAGGGGAGATACCGACACGTCTGCGCTGTCGGTCCCAGACCCGTTGACCGTCAATGGCATCCCGGGATGGCGGGAAAAGATGGCCCAGATGCCCACGGGGGTTGCCGCAGCCTGTAGCAGTGACATGTTCAAAAGCCCGGTACGACCAAGTCCATGACCAAAGCTCCGTGAACGGAGCCCGCCGGCGAAAGAACTCTGGTTCGTCGCAGAACAAGTCCATGAGGGACGAAGGCTAATCGGAGACATTGGCGTGACGGTAGGCTTGCTACACCAAGCCCAAGGCCAAGCGTTTCGAGCGTGAGTGACATCCAGGGCGACGTTGGGGCTCTCAAGAGACAAAACGACCAAATGGGCTGGAGAAAAGTGGACTGACAGTCATTGCGCAGACCGTTTCTCGACTGAAGCCAAATCTCGCAAGGTTCGTGTCTCGGATGTAGGACAGGCAATACTCAGCAGGTTTTGGTTCTGATCATCGATCTCTCGACAGGCGTCTACGTTGAAGACCGCTGCTCGTTTTCTGAAGAACCCAGGTATGTTTTGGTCCCGGATCCCCATCGACCAAATGGGCCATATCAAGATACGCATGTATGCTGACTCGGCGCGTTACCAGGCATGATCTCTCTTGGCGGTGGACTACCCTCACCCGAATACTTCCCCTTCGAACACCTGGATATCAAGGTCCCCACCCCACCAGGGTTCTCTCCCGAGGCAACCAAGCAGTCTGGCTCTGTGTTGCGAGCTGGAAAGCACGATATCAAGGAGGGATCTAGCGTTTATGGTTCGCTCCGTCCCTCTCCCCACCACTGCGTGGTTTTCTGTCCACTCTATATGCTTATACTGATAATTTTTGTTCGACAGATCTCGAGATTGCGCTTAATTACGGACAAGCGACAGGCGCCGCTCAACTGCTTCGCTTTGTCACCGAACATACCGAAGTATGATCCTGTGCGAGATCGTCCCTGCGGCGCGCGTGGCTGACAAGAAACAGATCATCCATAAGCCGCCTTATTCCGATTGGCAATGTACTTTGACCGCGGGCAGCACATATGCCTGGGATACAGCTCTTCGCCTGCTGACCGAACGCGGAGACTTTATTCTGATGGAAGAATACACGTTTGCCAGTGCCGCCGAGACCGCATTCCCGCTTGGCCTCAAGGCGCTCGCCGTTCCTATTGACGAACAGGGCCTCATCCCCGAGGCCATGGACGCCCTACTCACCAACTGGGATGAACAGGCTCGGGGAGCCCGGAAGCCCTTTGTCCTGTACACGATCCCAACGGGTCAAAACCCAACGGGGGCGACCCAATCCGCGGAGCGTCGTCGGGCTGTGTACCTAGTTGCGCAAAAGCACGACGTGATCATTGTCGAAGATGAGCCGTACTACTTCTTACAGATGCAGCCATATGTGGGCCAAGGGGCCCCGTCGGTACCGCCGCCCGCCAACCATGACGAATTTATCAAGTCGCTGGTCCCCTCCTTCCTGAGCCTCGATGTGGATGGTCGCGTGGTCCGCCTGGAATCTTTCTCCAAGGTCGTCGCACCTGGCACACGTGTGGGTTGGATTGTCGCCTCCGAACAGATCGTCGAACGGTTTGTTCGAAACTTCGAAACATCCTCCCAGAACCCCAGCGGAATCTCTCAGATGGTGCTCTACAAGCTCCTGGACGAGCACTGGGGCCATTCGGGCTACCTGGACTGGCTCATCAACCTGCGGATGGAATATACCGAGCGCCGCGATGCACTTCTCAAATCCTGTGAAAAGCACTTGCCGCGAGAAATTGCGCATTGGGCGCCCCCTGCGGCAGGCATGTTTGTAAGTTGCCCTGGGACCTTCAGGCTCCCCCAACCTCGTGCTTTCATGATCGCTAACGCGCCCATCTCCCCTAGCACTGGATCGAGATCGACTGGCGGAAGCACCCCGGGATCGCCGCGGGGAAGACCCGTGATGCCATCGAGGAAGATATCTTCATGTCGGCCGTGGACCACCAGGTCCTGCTGTCCCGTGGCAGCTGGTTCAAAGCAGACAGCTCGGTCGTCGAAGAAAAGATGTTTTTCCGCGCGACCTATGCCGCGGCCTCGTCAGAGAAGATTGATGAGGCGATTTCGCGCTTCGCCGAGTGCCTTCGTGGAGAGTTTAAACTGTAGATAGTACAGTCCGCCTAGTGCTCCTGCTCAATCAATAAATACTCTCAAATTTCTTTTAAGTTGCAAGATATACGAGCCTGGCATGCACCTTTATGAAGCGTCCTTTGGGATTGCTCTCTTTCCGGACCAGCCTTCTGCATGGCCGGTTTCCCTCGAGCCTACTTTAATAAATTCGCACGCATCGGTACGGTCCAAGGCAACTTGGAATCGACCGTCACTCTTTCTTATCATCGGGCTAGCAAAGGAATGCGCGCATCTGCGTGCGTTTACATGCAAGCATGCCAAGATGGCTAGAGGTGCAGCGGTCGTATCTGTGGAATGGAAATTGAGAAAGCCGCCAGCATGCCCTCTGAAGGTGGTGACAAAACTTCAATACCAAACGTCATCATGGACGACTAAGCCTAATGAAGAGCCCGGCCCCAAATATCGAAGTCGACCAGCGGATGCGTCAAGGTTTCCAGGCTCTGACTCACCTTTCCCAATCCCTGGATGAGGCAGCTATTGAAAACCACTGGTAGTAGCGCGGTTCATTGCCTGCGGACAACATTTCTGGAGTACCTCCAGGGGATTCTCTTCACGGGGCTGGTTTGTCTGTTGCCCAGCTGGAATCTGCCGAACCCTCACCACGCTCCGATTTTCCCTGGAGCGACGTCTATTCTCAGCCGCATTCTGTAATTTCAATTTATTTCCTCTTCGTTGAGCATATTGTGATCGAATCGGACTATTTGCGAGCCCCACATGTTCTTACTGGGGTACATCCGAGTCCTTCCTTCCACGAGGTACTCCCAGGCCATTGGAGCCTTGAACCAGACAATGATCGCGCAAATCACCGTGCCTCCTAGTGGATCAATGCCCCACAAATGAGTCGGAGTTGCCAATGGCGACTCACGGCCGAACTCCCTGGCGAAGAGCGACAAATGCTTACGACATAGTTGATTGCTCGATCCATCCCCATTAACAGGAGTGAAGATCGATAACGTTTCATTTCGAAAATCAAGAAACCAAATAATCTCAGAGCCAAAAGAAATAAAAATTTCAAGTGACCAATTTCAAACATCGGATAAGCGATGGGGATCGTTGCCGATGTACCGTACGCTGACGAGGTAGGAGCCGAGAATCTGCGAAACAGTACGCATAAAGAGCGTCATTACTTTACTCCTGGTAGACATGGATGGCCCACTGAAAACAAGGCCCGTTTAGCTAACTCCATCTCCTGGTTTATTCGAGATTCAATTCTAGGAGATCGACCAAGATATTCGACCGAAATCAAGAGCATCCTCTCAGCAAATCCGACCCTTGAGGCGCCGAGATATCTCCGTACGAAAGGGTGCTTCTTGGACTTCAACGACGAACTTACTGCTGGATGTGGTCCGACATTTGAAAGACCTCAGCGATGCAGATGACTCTGATGCGGAAACCATGGTATGGCAGGAACAGAGTTCCATACCCCAGGCCACGGAGCCAGCACAGGTTTAGTACTTCACGGTATCTCTAAAAAGGGCGCGGGGCTGAGCGAACGATGTTGGAAAAAAAGTAGAACCAAATGGGTCTCTTCACACCGGTCTTTTCTCGTACATCAATCTCTGAACACCTATCAACGCTCTTTGCTGGCCCTCGGTGATTGCCTCGATTACATTCCAGCTCCATTTCATACCTGCATCGCTGGACATAAAAAGCCATGGCTTCCACATCTGATCAAAAATACTCTCCACGACCGGACCGTCTGTCCGAGGAACCGTCATCGAAGAATGCCCAGGGCCTGTTTCCTCCCGATGCCTGCCTCTTCGTTGGAAAGTACGTATGAGCTGGAGGTTGGATAGATTCACAAGATGATCTGACCTTACTGCAGTATTCCTACTCAAAGTACCCCCTCAAAGTTAGAAGACGACATTGTCTCCATGTTCTCCCAGTTTGGGAAGTGCTATGCCAAAGTGAAAATCAATAGCGACAGGAGCTTACCCGGTGGCTTTGTTCAATTTGAAGTATGCTCCTGTCAATCTCCTCTGATACGAGCCCTGATTAACTAAACACATGTCGTACAGAAAGTAGAGCATGCCATAGCAGCGCTCCAACTTGCAGGTGCCTCATTGAATGATCGACCTTTAAGAGTCGAACGAGCGAGAGGAGAAAGTAAGTCATACTCTCGCGCTGACCAATTTTGACCAACCAGGATTTCGCGAGGAGAGGCTGACATCGGCAGGAACCGCACTCCTTTGTTCTCACTCGATGGAGCCTCCGACGCTCAAAGAGGCTTATCAGGCCTTGGCAGGTCTAGGTGCCCTTGAAGGTTGTGCTGTCGGGGACATTTTCAATGCGTCTAAAGGGCAGTACCCCAATGCCTGTACAGTTACATTTGCTTTCATCCTCGATTACGAAGATGCCGTAAAGGTAGGTGTGGAATATCGTGCATTTTCATCAGATTACTCACAGTTTTCTTTTTCTCCAGCAACTTCGAAGTCCAAGAAGTGTTCACAGTAATTACACGCTGCACAAAACCAATCTACCTGGCAACCCATTCGCAGGAATCCCAGCAGGCGTAAATCCCGAAATCGCGCATCCCTACAGATTTGGAAATACACAGCTATCGGGAATGTCTTTCTCTTCTCATCGCAGCGGTCTTCATGGTCGCGGTGGTAGTCGGGTTGGTTGCCAACGTGGCCGAGGATCTTCTCGCCATTTGTTTCAACGAAACCATCGCCCTTCACCTCCCATTGAAGCCTACCCAAGCGATGGATGCCAATCCCCGAATACGCACATCCACAGCGCAGTGCAGCAAAGCGATGGAAATTATGCGCCATACTGGTTCTCCGGTGGGGCGCCAACCGGGGTGGCATTGCCTCTGCCTGGACCTCCACAGCTTCCACCTCCTTCGTGGACGCCTTCACATACAGAGATCCCTGGCCCCTACTATCTGTACGCCTATGCCCCTGGGAACGGAATACCCTCCATGGTGCCGGAAGCGCCCCCTCCTGCATATACAGAGGGTGCTTTCGGCATAAGCGGTACTGCCCCGTATGTCAATACTCACACGACGAGCTATAGCCAGAACGTCTTTAATGCGAACGGCTATTCGCCTTACCCTACAAATATGGTAATGATGCCATTTACCACTAGCAGTACCGAAGCACAGATGATGAATACTCTCCCTCAAATGAGTGTTGGTACAGGTCTCAATGTCCCGCTGGAGGGAACAAACGTCCCACACCAGAAGTCGAATGCACCACCACCGATCCCCAGCACACAAATTCAACATTCGCAGAGCCCTGTTCTTTTGACGCCGCCATCTGGACAAAGTAGTGCCGAGAATACTATCAAAAACTCTCCAAATCAAGAATACGCCCGGCATCTTGGCCAACAAGCTGTGGGTCATGAGATTGCTACAGTCATTCCGGCCGAAAGCCAATCGAACACGCCATCCAGCTCGGGGTCGGAGCTATATTCCAGTGTAGAGACAGGTTCAGGGACTGAAACAGACGACGACAAGGTGGCGGAGCCTGTCTCCAAGAATGAGCAGCCGTCAACAAACCCTCAGATCCGAGTCCCCAGGTCAAAAGAGGAACTGATCGCCCTTTTCCATGGCGACATATCTTCTGCTTCTGATACGGAGGCTACAGTCTGCCCGTCTCACAAGTACAAGAGGGGTCAGAAAAGCAACGGGAAGGTCAAGGGTGAGCTCAAGAACCAGGTTAGGGAAGAAGAGAGGTTGGACACTACAAGACCGACTGTCAAGCAGGATGAGGCTCTACGGCCACCGATTGAAGACTCAACCATCACTCCACCCACATCCGAGGATAACAATAGTCTTTCTGGCTCGGATTGTGGTACTTGGACCCGGAAGAAAATACAAGATATCCTTCGCGAGGAGAGTCAACGTATTGGCCCGCCGATGGAGGAGGACGAGCTACGCCGTATTGCACAAGAAATCGACGAGGAACGCCGAGAAACTGAGCTGCTGCGGAGGGCCTCAAGAAAGTCCGTTTAGATTACATGTGTAGAGTTATTGTGTCGTGTGGAGCTCATCATTTTTACTGAGCTAGTGGGAAGTACTATAAGGGTTGTTTGTGAGACAAATGCGTTTTGATGTTCCTCTTTTCTAGTCGGGGCCGTTTTATAGCTTTACAGATTATTTTCAAGATGGCTACGATGAAATTTGATCAATTTCTATTGCAGCGGTCTGTGTTTTGAATCGGAAGGCTGTTATTGTTTGTTCTTGTAGTCTGGTAAAAAACCATTGCATGGGCCTAGAAACAAGGGAGCCGTCTGGCTAGGTCATGTTTGTGCTGGACATTTCAGCATTTTGCACTACTGGGCACATTCTTGCACTTGCTGCTGGTCTTCCCACCCTTCACACTAACTCCACTCCACTTCCATCCAGAGCAGGCACCAGAGGCACACAAAACATAGACATTCGTGGCGCTACTGTCCACAGTTCCCTTGACATTGCTCAAGGTAAGTCCAGTAATTGGAACACCGTTGGTAGGGTTGCCAGTCGGGCTGCCGTTTTTGTAGTCTTGCTGAACAACAATGCCGTACTTAGAGATCCCGGACAGGGTAATATCCTTGTAGGTCACGCCCTTCACAGAGCCGGTTGCACCGTAGACCGTCTTGACACGAACTCCTGCACAGTACCAAAAGCCATGTCAGTGCGAATCCGTCGGGGAAGTTTCCAAAGTTGGTCCTCAAACATACCGTTCTGCGAGTTGGTGATGCTACAGTTTTCGATGTTCACTGTGTCGACGGTGTTATCGGAGCGCCCGCCAACAGAGCCGATTGAGATTCCGTGGCCTCCCGTGCACGTAGCTCCAGTGAAATGGATATTCTAGACGTGATCATGATCATGATTAGTCCTGGCCGCTTGGATAAGAACGAGGTGAGACACAAACCTTTCCCGAGTTCACAGCCAAGCAATCGTCCTGGTTGTGGACACTGGGGTTGGTAATGTAAACCCCCGTGCTGGATCCAACATCGAACGCATCGGTGTTATGTCCACCCTTGCTATCGCCATCGGCGTTGTTCACGGTGACATGGTCCAGGGTGAGCTCCTTGGCATTGTTGATGCTGAATACTTGGACTGGCGAGTTCTTGACATAGAGGTTCTGGATCTTCGAGTTGATCATCTTGTGGGCGTAGAAAAACTTGGGCTTCTTCTTGCCGCCGTTCGTTCCCTTGCCATCCCACCAGCGGGACCCATCGCCGTTCAGGATAGCGCCCGATGCGCCCTTAACGGTGATATCGGTTCCGGAGACGGAGACGAGAGGGCCGGTCCATTCTTTGTACCCGAAGGTAGTTTCACCTTCGAAGATGACCTAGGTGTTCGTGCTGTGGTTAGTCCATCCTGGTATGTCAAGGGTACTGTGTGGGCTGCTTACGGTCGTTCCATCCTTCAAGCCCGTCAAGTCAAGAGTCGTTCCGGCAGGAACAGCGACATCCTTCAAGGTAATTGTGGAGCAGGACTTCTTGGACTTGATGGCAGATGCAGCACCTTTCGAACCGGTGAAGGTACACGAAGCAGACCTCCGCTCCAGGGCCGAGGCGACTGTCGGCTTGATCTCAGACGCGCCAGGGATGGTGCTTGCCGCAACGGCTCCGAGAAGACCAAGTAGGCAGAATTTGATGCTGGCGACCATGATGAACGTCGATGACAGATGAGAATGTTGATGCCTTCCACTCGAAACAGGTTCAACCTGCCATTTTATATTCTCATCACTTGTTCTCCCGAGGCAGACCCTGCATGACCATTCTAGATGAACCAGGCCAACTCGGGCTAGATCAGGAGCCTGTTCGCCCACATGGCGCCAGCGGATATTTTCCGGCTGCGTGGGTTGAGGCCCTGTCCATTTCCTCCAATGCGAGGCTCGGCTTCGAGCTCTCAATAGTCAATTCAAGGTTTTTGTTTCAGTTTCAAACCCAGCGTTCGGCCCTACGGAGACTGAGAACCCGATCGGGAATAGCGTTGCTGGATGGTGGAAATGGCCAGGTGCAATTGAGGCTGCACCAGGCTGCACCAGTTTTCTGCAGGGTCGTTTCGGAGAAAGACACCGAGGACCCTCAGTGGGGATGCAATATATTTCGGCGCAGAAACCCCAATCCATCCGTCATCCGCCCGTCGTGCTCTTCCATTAATTTCGCCTGGTTCTCATTAGAGCCCGCCATGCGAAATTATCTCCAGGCAACACTCAGATTGCACTGATGATTAGGAATCAATGAAGCTTGGGACTATTACCGTTGTGAACTGTCATAAAATGCCGCTGCAAGAACTCCGAGGTTTGCGAGGCCGTCCTCAAAGCATGACCCTCCAATGAATCTTGCTATGAGTTCCTAACCCAGAGTTGAGTATTAGGCTTGTGTGCTTCTGTCATACCAAGTGTAACTAGTATCCAAAAGCGGGCGTCCACATACTACATGGCCTGGGCTTTTTCTCTTCACACCCCTCTTAGAAAGCATAGCGAAAGCACAAAGTCACTTACGCTGAGCCAGGAAATGCGATGCATACATTATATTCATTGTACTGTTATCTGTGGCAGGAAGCCCATGATCGGGCCGTAATCCATGGATATGCCTGGCAGTAAGTCCGTATTATTGTACGAAGTGGTTGCGTCTGAAAGAAAAGGGGAGAAAGAAAGGAATAGCAGCAGAGTCGATTGAGAAAACGCCTCTCTGTAACGAGGCCCAAGTCGTCTCATCCTGGAATTCTGTTAGCTGAACTTCAAAGCGATGGCGAAGCTTCATGCTGGCAATACATGCTTTTGGTCACTCCCTCCTGAATAATGCACACAATATTACCTTATCTCGCCTTTTTACTCTCGGGGCCGCATTGTTTCTCCTTTCCCAAGTTCTTTGTTCAAAGAATATATTCTTTCTTTGACATACACTCGAAGATCTTTCCGAACAAGTATAAAAGTACTCGAGTCGACCCTAAGTCTATCGTTCCCTGTCAATAACCTTTCCGTATTCATTGAAGATCCAATATTGTTTCGCAACAGCACTAACTCGAAGCTAAGTGTATACGAATCTTACCAGATTGTCTCGTCGGTTGAGTGAGGCTATCGCCGCAGGCTTTACCGCCATTCGACGATCAAGCTGCTGTTTTCACTGACCAGAGCTCTGATGATCAAAATTTGCAAGCGGCGATACTAGGAGCCCACACCACCAGAAATCCCGCAAGGGAGCGCTGGGTCGAATTTTGCTTACGAGCTTCCAGGTCTAATGCACTATCAGCAACTAGATAATGAAACCACCCTTTAAAAATCCACCAACTCCCCAAGCACAGATTATAGTGTATACTACTGACGCACAGGTTGCTAGCGAACATCCTAGCAGCCACTTCTCTAGTACTTTTAGAAGTCTGCAATCTGTTAGCCCGCTTGCAGATACCCAGGACAATAGCGACGCACAATACTATGGCCCTACAGCGTCGCAAGAAAGGTATGATAGATATAAGCAAGATAAGGCACAACGACGCCGATTGATGGAAGGTCCCAACGAGCCAGGTTGCTCTTTTGCCCCCGCTACATTGGTTCTCGAATATTTTGTAGTACAAAGCAATACCACTTTGGACGTTGGAACTCGAATGTATCAATCTCCGCCGGGTTCACATTATGAGAATCTCGGGCTTCCTACTCATGTCGAATACACGGGTCTTATATTGGCTCATGATGATTTTCGTTGGATTGGAATTGGTGTACCCGGTATTCTAGTCATTGAAGTGATTGCGAGAAGACCTTCAGACCCACCACTCCCTTATATTATGAGATAAGCTATGCTATCTATCAACGGTATTTGTCTTCTGAGCCTTTAACCCGAGTTTATTGGACTCACGTTGTGAGTAAAGGCACACTCAACTTCATGGATACGAAGCTATACTCTGCGGAAAATACCTTAACATGGTCAGAGAATGGTCAGCAGACATTCACATATTCTAGTCACCCAGATATATATGACTCCCTTTTGGGCACTCCTATCGGCAAAATCGTTGCTGCCATGGTGCTTGGTGCATATCAACATGGTCCTCATCGCATTTCGTCTGTTACTGCTTGGCCGTTTGGGGAGATTAATAGGCTCCCACGTCCGAAGCCAAAGGTAGGTCATATACGATTTGATATTGAGCGGATTGAGAATGCGTAAAACCTGAGGCTCTTTTTATTTTCATATTATTTCTCTTCTCTTCATTCCTATTGTTCTTATGAAGACAGTCAGCTGATCTACCGCCTTCGCGTACCTATATCTACGCGTCCATAGCTAGATATCTTCGTCAACCGTCTCCAGCCACCATCTCTCCACAGATTCTCTGTCTCTACAGCTCTTTATTTCCTTTGTTCTTTGCTATTTCTTTCAGATACTCAACGCTACTTGATTGACAATTAGAATAAGAATTTTTTTTTCCCGTGACCTATTCAAAAATAGAAACTCAGTATCTGCTGTGCTTTATGAACCTTGACAAGCAGAAGGTCTAGGATGCGTCTAGGCTCCTGGTAGACCTGCCAATATAATATTGGTAAGCCGATTTAGATCTTCAAGTATAACCCCGATATGAAGAGCAAAGTCAGGAAATGGCAGGCCACACCAGGTTCCGGCAGCCACATGAGGGATATCCTACTGACGCCTCACTATACAGATCGGAGAATTGGCGACTGCCATACATCACCAATGAGGAATTAAGATCTTATTAGTCGGCTGGTCTTACTCATGAGGGTCTAGGGAATTGGAGTATACCCGAATAATTGGAAAATTGTGAGAATACTACTCCGTTTTTGCTCCGATTGTACACTCATACACTCACACCTGAAGAATTTTAATTCCGTCGGTGTCACTGGGAAGTGTAGAGCTTCCAGTTACTGTGGAGGGGCAGGATCATTGGCCATGAGCGATGCCACTCCCCTCGACGCAGGCCCTATAGAAGCGATACTCTTCAAATTCTGCGCACAGTTGGATTGCGAATCCTCTGTGTGAACTTCATAGCCTGTCGGGGTATAGGAGACATGGTGAGCTCAGGCTTTTTTCAAGGCACGGTAGAGTATCAAAATATATGTAATAAGTCGTTGCAAGAGCGAACATAGGCTGGAGGGCAGAATGGTGCTCATTTATATGCTATTTAGTGAATTCATGATTGCGCTGTTACATTGCCTAGGCACTTTTGCATCTAGGATAGGGCTCATAGCAAGTACATTTATGAGGTCAGAAACGCCGTAAGCGCCCGTTTCATGTATTTTGGTTGTGTTCCGCTGGCCAATCATCTACTGCTGAGATCATGTGATTGGCTCTGATTTGTTGGTTGAAGCCGCGTCATCTGTCCGTGGGCGCATAGACGTCCAAACACCTGGGTCTTATTTCCATAATCGACATGAAAAGCATTGTTGATTAAATCCAATGACTATTGCCATTACTGCCTGGATACTCTCGAGGCGTACCTTACCCTTGAGGAGCATTTCACGTCTGTCCATGCTCTCCAAGCCCATGTCCACCCACTCGGACTCCAGCCAAATGGATCAGTCCCTTTATGTCACTACTGTTGACGCCGAACCACTTCATCGCTATGGACGAGGCGGCTATTATCCAGTCACTCTGGGAGAAAACCTGAAATCTGGGCGATATAAGGTACTGCATAAGTTGGGATGGGGGAGTTACTCGACAGTTTGGGCGGCAAGAGATCAAAGGTTGTACGTAATCATATTTGGCGAAGAGCCCTGCTAACATAAAGTGGCCATATATAGGGAAGAGTCTTATGTTGCTGTCAAAATATCGGTTGCAGAAGCAGCAGATGGAGAGATGCGAGAGCTCCAAATAATGCAGGAGTTGGCTTCTCACCACCCTTGTTCGGAACACATAGTACACTTGCTTGATCATTTCGAACTAAAGAGCCCGAATGGATGTCATCAATGTTTGGTTTATGAGCTTTTAGGCCCTAATGTTCCGGACACAATTGATGCACACTTTCCTAGCGGGAGATTACCCGGAAAGCTTGCCAAAACCATTGCAAAACAGAGCCTAATCGGGCTTGATGCGCTGCACCAAAATGGTATTGGACATGGAGGTACACCCCCTTCTCAGAATATCTTGAGCAATTCTAACCTAAAGAAGATCTGCATACCCGCAATCTGGCCTTCACTTTGCCATATATAGGCAATCTCACCGAAGAACATTTTATAGAGATGCTCGGGAAGCCAGAAATTGGGCATGTCCGAAGGCGTGATGGGAAACATTTAGAGTCTGGAATTCCCAAATACATTGTAAGGCCAACATCACATCTGAACCCACTTCGGAATTCGGCTCCGACGATCAAAATAATCGATTTTGGGCAATCATTTTTACCCACCGCAGCTCCCCAAAGACTACACACTCCGTTACCTGTTAAGGCACCAGAGATTCTTTTCAAAGATAGTATTGATTATCGTGTTGACCTATGGAGTATGGGTTGCATGGTGGGTGAATGAACGGGGTGAATAACGCACGGCAGTAAACTGACAATATGCAGCTTTTTGAACTTTTTGTGGGCCAGCCACCGTTCGACACTTTCTTGCTAACACCTCCGGTCCTCATCGGTCAAATGCGCGAGATGGCGAGCGACGATCTACCCAAAAGATGGCAAGAGATATTGGATACGATGAATGAGGGTTCATGCGACGAAGACACCGGGCTAAATTTACAGAAATGGCTAGAAGAAGTGTACTTCGGAGGCCGGCACAACCCTGATTTGACAAGAGACGATATATTGAGATTAGGACTAATTTTTGGGAAGCTATTGCATTTTGAGCCTTCTGCAAGAGCGTCAGCGAGACAAGTTCTTGATTACCCTTGGTTCCAAGAGTAAATGGAATGAGAATCTTTATTTGTCAGAGCAAGCGTACATTGGAATGCTCCTCAACTAAGACCATACCTAAATTTCCGTGAGCTCTTCGATCTTTTGAACTTGCATGTCGAAAGTGGCCTTTCGCACTTTTTTGCCTTGCATCGACAATGCCAATACACCATGTAAGAAAGACATCAAAATCTTGATCGGGATCCACTTCAAAGGCGGGTGTATCTTGTCCAACATCAGCTTCGCAGCTGCCGTTTCAACCGGCAAGGCACATATCCATCCGACCGTGTAATCGTCGTAAGATAGGGGGTCCTAGCTTCCATAGTAGACCATATTAGGGTCGAGTTGTTGCCTTGGGATGCCAGACCGGTAATTTGTGGGGAAGATGGAAGAAAGAAAGATATTGGAGTGCGCAGGTCGTGGAATGATGTCGAGGGTTAATCAGCAGAAGGCGGGGTTAAGGTGAGGCTGCACCCAGACCACCAGGCGCTTCCAGTCCGAAATTCACGTATCGTACTTTTATTGTAACATAGAAAACCAGTAGTACCCGAAGCTTCGATCCACCCACACGGTACTATCTTGCCTCGACTGCCAAAATCAAAGCAAGAATAGAATAGGTCACTCAAGCCGGCCCGGTCCGCTCCTAGCGCCTACCAAGCCACCTATACGGTAACAGCTTGGATATGGATAACTCTAGGACAAGATTGACTATACTGTACAGTGCATTACTTCGCGAGGGGCGATAACTTGTCATGCTCCCAAGGAATTGGAAGATAGCCACCCAGGCATCAACCACACTGCAGAGAAACCCATAAAATCTCGTGGAATATATTGGCACAGGTGATGTCATTTAACTCGGATCCATTGTCGGCCCCGTCATGCTCACTACGGTACCTGGACAAAGTCCACATAGCAAAATCATTCGGGCAACACTCCATTTCGAATTGGGAACTATTGCACCAAACCACAAATCCCCACAACTCGAGCTCATTCATCTATGATCCACAGTAACTCACTAACGACGTCTCAGATGGCCCATGTCGCTGACTGCAGCAAACAATCTATGGCATAATATGCATTTGCTCCAACCTCAAAGTCTTCGGGAACGTTATGGCGCCGCGAAATGGTGTTGGGCGCCCGCGAAGTATCACGCCATCTATTCTCGAAGCTCTTTGTGAACATTTGACAGGGAAGCCGACCTTATACCAAGACGAGATGGCCCTCTTACTCTGGGACGAATTTGGAAAGCATGTGGCGATTCAAAGCATCAGCAGGGCGCTTGCTTTAGTCGGATGGTCGAAGAAAGTAGCCTGACAGATCGCCCGATCTATCTCCTTTCAAGTCGTACCAATTTGATCTTCGTAGATGAGTTAGGTTGTGACAAAAGGGCCGGGTTTCGACGGACAGGTCGGTCCCCTTTGGGTGTGACACCAGTTCCAGATCTCCAAATTCCACCGGGACAGACGCTATCAGATACTCCCTGCGTATGCTGAAGATGGATTTGTCCTGTGTCGAGTATTCCAGGGCGCTACTGATGCCGATATCTTCAAAGATTTCATCGAGCAACTCCTTCGGCACTGCAACAGCTGACCAGATCCAAAGTCTGTTTTTGGTATGAATAATGCTTCCTTTCATCGTATGGAGAAGACCCAGCGAATGTGCTTAAATGCCAGCGTCAAGCTGATATATCTCCCTCCTAATTCGCCGGATTTGAACCCTGTCGAGGAGTTCTTCTCTGAGTTAAAGCGATATATCAAGCGAAAGTGGAATGAGTATGAAAATAATCCAATTCAAGGTTTCAATGCCTTTCCCGAATGGTGTGTTGATGTGGTTGGCTCAAGGGTTTCGGGCGCGGAGGGTCATTTCCAAAATGCTGGTCTGATAATCGGTGAACTCTTAACTTCTTGCCTAGTTGCATTGAAGACGTCTCAAACTATATAGACGCCTAGAGGAACAAACCAGAATACATTATCCACTTCGCTTGTCGCATTCATTGTAATTTTCGGCCTAGTACCTTATGTCTCTGACACAACGCCGAGCAATGCCCCAATCGACACCACGCGCCTTGAAGTAATTCGGATCTTTGTCTTCACCGATCTGCTCCAGGTCCAGTCCATGATCTATGGCTACATCGCACGCCTTTCTGATCTCAGCTTTCAATGCCTCATCACTCAAACGTGACTAATATGGAAACTCGTTTCCACGTCTATCGCCACCTGGAAGGTTCACACTATTTGGATAATCCATCGAATCTCTATTTCTTGACACTGTCACCCACCCGATCATCTGCTTGCCCCCTGTTCGATACACTGGTGCTTCCGAGTTCAAGACAAAGAAAGGGGCCCGGAGCCATGTTGGATATGGACAGGACAGGGGAGCCTCCTTTCCCGGCAGAGGCTGAGGACTCTCCGTCCGAAGTACTATTCTCTACCTGGTATGGCAGCGCAGGACGAAGGGGTAGTTCCAGCCACCCCCTCTCTTGGTGTCATCCATGATATCGAGAGTGCATGAGGCTGCTCAAGCGGTTCAGGCATGAATCTCCGCCTTCATGGCCACGGCTCCCCCCGGGGGCCAGGATCTGGACATGCGACACGTCCCCGTCGCCTTCCTCTAACACCACACGGTACTCGTCGCCGGCATATAACGGGCTGGTCGCCCGATATAAGATGCGCTGGGGCGCCAGAAGCGGTCGCGCCCCCACGGGCTGGGCTTGGCTGTGAATGTCACGCCAGAGGTCCAGGATGGTGATGAGGTTCAAGGGCCCGTGAACAACGATATCCTTGTGGCCCTCGACATCTCGTGCCCACGGGAGAGAATAGTGGATCTTGTGTGGGTTGAAGGTGAGGGCGGAGAAGCGGAAGAGGGTGACGGGGGTCTGGACGAGCGTGCGGGCGTGCGTCTTTCCCTCCGTGACGATGGTGGAGGCGGCGGGATGAGGCGTTGCGAGATGGGAGGCATTAGACAGCGGTACCGACGATGGGGGCGCCGATGCAGCGGAGGGAGTCGGCAAGGCCTTGCGAAAGACCCAATTCCTAGACGCCATGGCTCATTAGCAATCCCCGTCTCGACTCCTCGTCCTCTCTGCGGAGTAGGCACGGAAGAGGAGGCCTCACATACCGACGATCCACAATCGAGACGCCCTGCTCGTTGGCGAATGCCTTCTCGACGGCCACGACAATCATGTCCTCCCCCGTTTTCTTGACCACCTTGGGCTCGGCACTGAGCACACGCGTCGTCTCGCTCACCTGCTGCCCCACGCGCAACGGGTTGGGTTTCCCATCGGGCCCGCGCGGCCACAGCACTTCGCCGCCGGCCCACATTCGACGGGTGAAGGGCGCATCGGGGTTGTAGGAGGCATCGGTGCCGTCGGCGCCGAGTTCGGACTCCGTGAACGCTGGGGTGAAGTAGACGAGGTGGTACCCGGGAGGCACTGCGGTGTCGACCGGCGGGGGGCTGTGGGCGAGCGAGGGGGCGCGCGGGAAGATCGAGGGACGGCCGAGCGTGAGGCTGAGCAGCTGTAGCTGATTGGCATCGAGGGTCTGCGTGCGGGTTTGAGGGCCGCGCGACTGAAAGCGCGAGAGAAACGCGGTGGCGGCGGCGGCGGCGTCAGAGGACTGGCTGCGCGACTGCGAGAAAAAGCGGCGGGCGGGCAGGCGGGCGACCATCCTGGATTTCTCCCTTCTCAACTCTCAACGTACAGCAGCAATGGACCAGCGACACGAACAACGGGCAAAGACCGGGCCTTAAGAGCATGCGGAAGATGGTGTGAATTGCCGCGAGTCGGCTGTATGCAACTACGACTACATCATCTACCTCGGCAACGTCATGGCCGCAACGAGCCCGGTTCTCCAGCGAGATGACCCCAAACACCGCTCACAGGCGTGCCTGATCTTCCAGCCGGCGGTAGATCTGCTGGACCCGCCGCCGGTTTACCTCGTCGACCTGCGACTTGCATTGCTGCAGGCTCAGCGGCCCCCCAACCTGCCGCAACCAGTAGGACCGTCCGCAATCAAACAGCCAGTGGCGCGAGGCCACCCGCACCAATTCCGCCAGAAAACACTGCGGCGCGGTGTGATCGTCCGTGAAGACGACGCGAGGCAGGTCGCGCCGGATCGAGGGCGGCGCATGGGTCGCGGCCATCTCCAGGAACTCGTCGAAGGTGAAGGGCTCATAGAGCTGCGCGCCGATCTGCACGATGCCCGTTGTCCGCGCCGCCGCGTGCAGCAGACAGGCGTTGGCCACAAAGTCCACGGGGATCTCGTCGATGATGTTGGCCCCGGTCGTGAAGCCCTTGGCCGCATGCCACACCTGGGTCGCACCCCGGTCCGCCAGGAAATAATGGAAGAACTTATTCAGCGGCGTCGAGTTTTCCAGTCCGTACAATGGAAACGGATGCCGCAGGGCCTGTCCAAAGATCGTGGGGCGCACAAGCAACACGGGCAGCAAAGGGAAGCGGCGGGGGAGCAGGCGCTCCATCAGGTACTTGGCCTGCGCGTAGCTGGACGAAAAGCGAGAGGCATGGGGCGACTCATTACGGGCCAGGATCGACGCCAGCTCCTCCTCCGGGTCGTCCTCCGACACCGCATACGGGCGTTCAAGCACCGGCCCGTCCGGCAGGAAACTGTTCACGTAGGCCGTCGACAGCTGGATCAGCAGTTTCAGCCGTCGGAAACGCGATGCGATGCGGGCCATCTCCAGCGCCGGCAAGCAGTTGCTCTCAAAGGCGTCATACAGGCTCGCCTCGAGGCTGATCTTCGCCGCCGTGTGGATGACGAGAGTGACCTGGCTGCGCAGTTCCTCGAGCACCGCGGCCTCCATCCCAAAATCCGCCAATCTGATATCGCCATGGATAAATTGCACTTTCTGCGAGGCCAGGACAGCGGCAACATGGTCAGGCATGGCTTTCTTCCATTTTTCGATTGCTTGTGCCGGCTCGCCCCGAATGAGGGCGTAAATCTTGCGTGTGGGCAACTGAACAGCGAGTTTATAGAGAAGACATCCCCCGAGAGACCCAGTGCTTCCAGTGAGGAAAACAATGTGACCCTCAAAGGCCTTGGTATATCCCTCTCGGACGACATGGTCGGCTTGAGATGACGTCGAACCGGGCAGCGACGACATCGGGGGCGGCTAGTGTGGGATGGCTGGACGACGAGAGAGTCCTTATTCCGAAGCTCTTGCCTTTTATACCGAAGATTATACGCCCGACTCCCCACATTCCTCCCTGGCAAGAGGATCTTTCGCTCCGGATCCTGCGGATCATATGGATGCGGTATTAGCAGATGCCCTCGAGACCGGTTCGCACCACGCCTGGTAGGACAAACTGACCCAATGTCACTCTGGCTGCATCCACACACCCCCCAGAGCAAGACTATTGGATCATGACGTGGACATGGTCCAATAGGCTCATTGGCCGTGATAGCGTCGTGAAAGCTTATCTAGCCTTCTTGCACCTACACTTTCGTCAGATGAACAATGGAGGAGAAGGGAGGGGAGGGTGTCCATGCCGCAGGCTGTCGCCGACATGTGCGGCCGAGGTTTCCAGGATCTGGGGATGAAGAGATTCATGCTGCCTTTGCAAGAAATGAGATACGATGCAGACCGAATGGCAGGCTCTTGTAGCCCAAACCAATCCAGCAGCGTTACAAGACACCACGGTTCCTGGCCAAACGGTCGTACAGGTACGACTTCGCGGCCAGGTAGCATGGGTGGGCCTGCATGTGAGAGAAGCTAACCTCAACCTGGATAACAGATGAATGTTTACCGCAGAGTCCTCGGCCTGAATCGAGAGGCGGACTCTATTCTGGGCGCATTAACAGAGCAGAAACTGCGTTCCACGCTGGAGTAGCATTTGAGGGTCAGCCACCTGATAGACCTTATTGAAACAGGACATATAAACCTTGTAAGGCCGAATGATCTCTCCCTTTTGGGAGAAGAACGCCATACAACGAGCACTAATAGTACCTCCACTGATGCGAGTATGTCCCACCGAGTAACAGCTTTTCGGCGATACACTGTACCCTAGGTATACTCCAATTTGATATTTAGCGACGCAATTCAAAAACAACATCGGTACCTTCAGACTGTGTGGCACCTTTTGGTCCTCTTGAGGTCTTCCTCTTGAGGTCTATGGGAGAAGGAAGTAGGCAGCACCGGTATCTTATTGTGAACCCATTACTGTAAATGTTCATAGTATCATGTACGTACCCCACTAGGCAGGTATACCCCAATTCCCCAATTCCGGGGAGGTCCGGTCTAACTCCAGGTCACCTGACACGCATCGCGCTGATGGGACGAGAAGCGCTCGCCGACTTACAACTTGAAGCTTCACAAACGATGCTGTTGCGCACGACTCTGCGGGCGCGATTATCGCCATCGCGATCGCTGCCGCGGCCAGTTCTCGCTCCTTCACGACTGTCCTCGTCCGTTCCGCTTATCCACATCCAAGACGCGACCTTCTATCGGCAATATCCAACCGAGGAGAATGCCGCAACCAATCCGCCACTGTTTCCCAATCTGAATTTCAAGCTTCCGGCGACGGAAACCTCGGCGGGCGAGAAGCAATTCTGGGCGATATTGGGCCCATCGGGTCGAACCGACCTGCTGGATATTTTGCGTGGACAACACATCTCCATTCCACCCACAGCACGATCATATCCATACCTTCTCAGCGACGAGATTGCCGCCAAAGACTCCGGACTGCGCATCGTGAGCAATGCCATACAATACATCGGCTTCAGTGGAGAGGGCTCTGGGGCAATTGGAGGCACCCGTGGCGCGTATCTCAGTGCGCGCTACGAGAGTCATCGCGAAGAGACCGATTGGACGGTGGAGCAATTCCTGCGCGGCCAGACCTCGTTGAACCCAATGGAAGGCGAGGAGAAGGGCACTCTACGAGACGAGGGACTGCTGCAAGAGGTGATTGCAGATCTGCGTCTGGGTTCCTTGCTTGACATGCCCGTCGCCAATCTCAGCAATGGTCAAACCCGGCGGGCGCGGATTGCAAAGGCCTTGCTCAAGAAGCCAGAACTCCTCCTTCTGGACGAACCTTTCAGTGAGTTCCTGGTTCCAGACTTCTTCTAGGGTCGCCGAAGAAAGCTAATCTTTGCTAGTGGGACTGGATCCGGCCACCGTCCGTAGCATCTCCGAGTTGCTGTTCCGCTTAGCCCAAAAGAATGCGCCTCGGCTTATCCTGGCCCTGCGTCCGCAAAACCCCATGCCGGACTGGATCACTCACATATCCCTCATCGGAAATTCCCACCAGATTCTCAAACAAGGAAGCCGCGCTATAATTGACCGAGCTCTGACAGTCTGGCGCAAGGAGGCGAAGAAGCTGGACGACGATACTCAGAAGGTTGATGCTGATGTTAAGAAACTTCTTCGATCGGGGGCCCTCGACCAACAGCTCCTGCGGGATTTCACATCGAACCAGCCGTCCTTGGAGAATAATCAACATCACACGGCATCGCTGGGCGGGGAACCTGTGATTGAGATGGATGGGGTGCGGGTCCAGTATGGCGACAAGGTGGTTCTCGGCGACTGGAGACAGCAAGTTGACAAGGATATCAAGGATGGCCTACACTGGCGTGTCCGGCGCGGCCAGCGCTGGGCCATCCTCGGCGCAAACGGATCTGGCAAGACCACCCTGCTGTCCCTCATCACCTCGGATCACCCACAGACATACGCCCTGCCCGTCAAACTGTTTGGGCGCTCTCGCCTGGCTGAGCCGGGCCTGCCGGCTATCTCCATCTTCGAGCTGCAGTCACGACTTGGCCACTCTTCGCCCGAGATCCATGCCTTCTTCCCGCGTCAATTGACGGTGCGCGCGGCCCTCGAATCGGCCTTTGCCGAGACCTTCTTAGCCCGGCCCAGGCTCGAACACCAGCATGATCTCGATATCTCCGCCATGCTGCGCGCTTTCAAGGCGGACTTGGACCCTAATGCCACGACTGCCCAGCAGTCGCCTCCAGCGGTCTCTACTGATAGCAAATTCTTTCCCAAACTCCCGACGCGATCCAGTACCCCGTATATTCCCAATGATTATGATGTCGAATATGCCGACCAGATCCGCTTCGGCCAGCTCACCACGGCGCAGCAGCGGATTGTGCTCTTCCTCCGGGCCCTCATTCACAAGCCGGACATTGTGATCCTTGACGAGCCATTTTCCGGCTTGACCGCGTCTCAGCGCGACAAGTGTCTAAAGTTCTTGGAGTTTGGTGATTGCACACAGGATGCCGAGCACAGACGGCACTATGGCTTGTCCGAGGACCAGGCCCTCATTATGATCAGTCATGTCAAAGAGGAAATACCGGACATGGTCCGCAATTTCATGCGGTTGCCGTCGGAACCGAGCGATGCCTCCGAACCTCTGGACTTCCGGGTCGGCCTGCTCAAGCCTACCAGCAAACTTCGGGATCCCAAGATTTGGGAGACCGCGTGGTCTTCGCCCACACAATTCGACCAGGTCGCTGAGCCCACCGGCCGCCGAGAATCGGAACAGGCTGTTTCCGATCCCCAGACGTACGCGTATATATCGGTGTAAGATAATGCTTCCGGTAACCTCTCCAGTGGCTTGCTTGTCTCCTGTTACCGGAGCACGACTTGTATGCTGCCTTCTGTTTTTTTCCTGTAACGCGACGGGCGTGGCCAGTCACTGTGGCCAAGATTAAAGGCCGACAGTCCTGTGAAAGAGCTCCTAGTAAATATTTGGCGAGATAGATTTAGATATTTGGGGCATCTCATACTCCACTGGATAGATCCATGAATGTATGCTTCTCATGCCTATTCAAATGGGCGCGGCTGTAGAAACACCCTTTGTGAATTACAAAAGCAGACTCTGCTGGTCCCATATATTTGAATCGTGCCCTGAAATGGGTACGTGAAGGTAGATGGTATTGTTTGAACCGACATAATTTGTACATTGCAAGATTGGCTTTACCGGCAAGGCATTGGGTAGTGGTATGATGAATAGAAATGCAAATGACAGAATAGCTTGAGCTCTAGGACCGCCTGTGAACCTAGAGCCTCGCCTTAAAGGCCTGCCGTAGGGAATCAAGATTTGACGGTCCGTCGTAAATCTGTTGCTCGGCCATCCGTGTATTAATCTGGAGGAAAATAAGTTAGACTATGCATGGAGAGGGAAGAGAGAAGGTGACATACATGTTGGGGACCGAGCGCATCGACAGACTCGACACCCAGCAGCCGCATACAAGTCTTGCTTTCGTCTGCCAAAACTATCAATGAAGCGCAGTTAGTATAAAAAGTTGCACGATGGCTAAGAAGCTGGAAAGAAAGAAAACATACTCTGCAGAGTTCGACGAACGCCATCAACTCCACCAGCCGCGAGGCCCCAAAGAGCAGCTCGCCCAAGACCGACAGCCTTGGCACCAAGACAGAGCGCCTTCACAACATCTGTACCGCGGCGGATACCGCCATCTACATAAACCTCAAGCTTGTCGAAGACTTCGGGGCAATACTTTCGAATCTCCAGCAGTGTGTGCACTGCAGGCGGAGCGGTATCCAGAGCACGCCCACCGTGGTTGGACAGTATAATTCCCTTGACCTGGGGCGTGTGGAGGGATGCCAGATAAGCATCTTCATGGGTCTGTAGGCCCTTCAAAACAATGGGCAGATCGGTGTGCTGGGCAAGCCAGGGCAGAGTATCCTGCCAACGCAAGGAGGGGTCTGTACCGGCGAACAGTTGCTGACCGACACCCCCTGAACCTGAGGCAACATCGGGTGTACCGTCTGCCGTGCGCTCGGCTGCCTTCACGCCGCTGGGCACTGGAGCAGCCGCCCCGGCCATGCTGTTGCGCTCATCATCCTCACGCTTACCCGGTACCGGTGCGTCGAGAGTAAGCACGATGAACTTGATCGCCTTCAACTTGTTGATGCGCGCCAACATGGCCTCACTCTTTTCCCGGTCGATCTGAACGTACAGCTGCCAGCCAAAGACCTGATCCGGGGCGGCGTCCTTGACGATCTGTTCCGGTGTCATGGAAGCATTGTTCGAGATGATCTGCATGGCACCGAAGCTGCGGCACGCCTCTGCCATGCCCGCCTCTCCGGCAGGGTGGCCGAGACGGGCCATGGCTGCTGGAGCAACAAATATGGGTAGCCCCAGCTTGTGGCCTAGGACCGACGTCTCCAGCTCACAGCGGGTACAGTCCACGAAAACTCGAGGGCGTAGAAGGATCGACTGATAGATCCGATTGTTGAATTGTTTGGAGAACTTGTCGTCGGATGCCGACGAATAGTAAGCCCAGGCCTTCTGGCTTACTTGCTTCGTGGCCACTTCTTCGATCTCATCCAGATTGAGTAGGGATTCCACTGGTGGAGGACCCTGGGCCGCTTCCTGTTGTTCCTGTGCTGGTTCTTCCTTGGGCAATGTGCTGGGGTCAACGGTTCCCAGGCATGCCTCGGGCTTGAGTTCCTCTTCCAGAATTCCCGGGGGGTGAATTGGGTCATATTCTTCGGTGGCATCGGTGCCAGCTAGCTTCAGGATAATTTTCGCGCCTCCGGGGTGGCTGGATAGGAAATCAGTCACCTAACATTTGCCCGTCGAGATTAGTTTCCACTCTGCAGTCGTGTTGGGGGATGCGATTGAAATTGATTTTTGGGAGGACCGTACATCGTAGACCTTGCCGTACAGAATTACCCAACAACTTTCGCGGGTATTGTGTTTAGCGACTAAGCAGGATCACGGTCAGTCTTGCGCGGTGCGGGGAGCCAATTCCTGGACGGTGACAGGGGATCCCAGCATACCCTCTGCCGCATCAAGCATATTTGCCATTGTGCCGATCGTATATCCACGATTGTTCTCCTACTCGAGAGCCGTGTGCGGAGCGAGAAGCATTTGTTGAAGAAGGGAGAGCTGCTCGGCGACGTCGCCGTGCGGAGTGTGGGGAAGCCCGGCGTCTGCTGCGTTGGGCAACTTCGATACCCGCAAGAAATTGTAATTCGCGGTGGTATCATTGGTGGAGAAATAGTGGAGCCTGGTGGATGGGGTTTTCGCACGAATGAGCCAGGCGCACCGAAGCAGCGCCGTGGGGGTTGTCGTCCGGTCGAGACAGGCCGCCACGTGGGGGTTCGGAATCTGGTCTCCCAGCGCAGCCGGAGCAGGTTGAGCAGTCTCGAGGGCTGGCTGGCGGGCAGAGGGCAATACTGTTTCTTTAAGGTCGGGTATGGATGGATGACGGATGAGCCAGGCGGTGAAGCCTCGATATTCAGGCACCAAGGCATTCAGGCACCATTGTACTGGATACGTGCACGTGAGGTCATAGGTCACGACGCCCCCGCATTCGGACTGCTCCACTCGGCAGGCGCTCGGGGTTGTTATCCTTGGACCACGCTTGACCTTGGGGATGCGTTAGACCAGGCACCTGTGAGCTGCTCTCACGCCTACGCCATCATGTTCGAGGTACGTTGGATTGAGACAGACCCTCATGGGTACCGGGCTAACTGAATCATTAGCGGCGCGCGGCAGACCGATACCGTTTGCGCATGCACCGGGCCCGGTCAGCAGTCCTGACCTCCGACGAGATAGTCGAAGTGCGCGCAGCCCAGCGAACCTTCGAAGGTGCCTACGTGCGAACCGCTCTTTCCCAGTTCTCCTTCGCCCTCGTGGTTCTCAAAATCTTCACCGCCGAATTCTACAGCATTGGTGCGCTGTTCGCAATCTACGGGACTGGCGTACTGATTATCGGGCTCTTCCGCCGCTCACAGGGAAACCGACAATTCTTTTCAGAGCTCGGCGAGGACGGCATTCATCGCCACAAGTTCAGGACCAGTGGGAATGCGGTGGTGGTCCTGACCGCACTGAGCATAGCCGCATATGTGTGTTTGATTGGTCTTACCCTGAACCTGAGCAATTAATCCTGGTTGAGAACGAAGTGTTGCTTGTAACAAAACTCCTTCATACAACCTATGAGAGAATCGGGTCCACTCTCTTTGTCCTACCTCCTTTTCGTGATCGGATGCATACTTGATACCGCTGGGGCCATTGAAGGACCTCGCAACCCCATTTCATTGGCCTCGATCCGCCCACGCAAAGGACCATGCACCACCATACCACAGCGACACGCCTTCTACACTTTCTGGGATCCGGCCTGGCATTGCCGTATCGTGTTTGACAAGCTGGACCCCCTTGTGCGGTATGTGGAATTTTAGGCTTCAAAACGACCTAGGCGCAGTAGCCTGCTCGAACAAGCATGTGCCTCCCACGTCCGACCGTGGATAGCCGTGATGCGGATAACTCTCACGTATCTTGAACGGGGCAAGTTATCGACAGGGCCTCCGTGGCGCTTGTTTTCTTATCGAACTTCGAATCCGGGCCTCGGGCGCTTGACTCCATGGCCGGTTGATTACCTCGGTTTCACGGTATCTTTGACGCAGCCCTTGGGGAACGAGCAAGTGCGACATGGACGAGCCCATTCCAATTCTATGTCACAATTCAAAATCACTTGGGCATATCCCATGTCAACCATTTCAAATCTTATCGCATCAATGCCGGCTTTCGCTGTTGACATGCGACGTTCGCGAAATTATACGGGTAATATAGGGGAGCAGACGCAATAAATCAAACTCCACAATATGGCGAAAAATAATGTGAATTTTCTCGATTTCCATTCACGCTCTCTTTCTTACAGCACGTATGTTGTCTTCGCATAACCGCCGCCAAGCACAGCGCCGGCCGCGATGCTCCCTTCTCACCGCCCCCGCGGCCCCGCGGACCCCGCGCTCTGTTGATCCGAGCTTCGCCTTCTCTGCATTCGAACTCACCTCTACTTTGATCATCATGGAATTCGACCCAAAGACACGTACGTCATGCTGTTTCACATGCTGCCTGTCTGTGGCTAACTTGAGACAGCTCAATTCTTCACGTCAGACCGGTCGAGCTTTGCCTCGGTCTCGGCCAGCGACCGATGGCCAGTCATCATTGTACGTCAAACACAAGATGGGCAGACTCGAGTATACTCACTAATTCCACCGGCAGACGGGTGCCATCGATGATCTCCACCGCACTGTGGGTGAGGTGAAAGATGAAGCAAAGGCCAAGGAGGGCAAGAGTATCATCGAACACCTGGCCAAGCTCAAATATGAGTTACAGCACGACCGGGAATTGACGTGAGTCTTGATTTTTTTTTTTTTTTTCAATATCCATCCCTCCTAGCTTCGCTAACACGAGTTTTACTTCCAGGCCCCTGGATGACGATGGCGAAACCGACATTACAAGCTACAACCAGGAGCTGAGCGAGCGTGGCACCCCCAAATGGCACAACGCGGCATGGCTCTACTCCGAATGCTATCTCTGTACGCCCGCACAATCTCACATCCGAGTGTCCATGCGCTGCCGCTGACATGTTCACTGCAGATCGCCGCATTGAAACCTTTTTCGCACGATCCCAACACTGGAAGGGATACGATGTCTTTGCCCGGCAAAAGATGTCCACCTTCAAGTCCTCCCGTCCAGCCGTCCTGGAACTCGCGGCCCGGTACCGTGAAATCGTACACGAGGCAGAATCGGGTCAATCATCGGAGAGCAAATCACCCGAGGAAATTGAACAGGCCGAACGCATTCTCTTTTCCGAGATGTGTGAGATCTGTCTGTGGGGCAACGCGACCGACCTGTCGCTTCTGACTTCTCTCACCTACGAGGACATTCAGAAGTTGCAAGGCTCGCAGGCACGGAAAGCCTCGCAGAGCAACATCCTTGTCAACGACATCGATGCCGCGTTTGCGACTATGCAGCAGGCGCGCAAGTCCAAGAAGGACGGGGAGCGACGCGTCGATATCGTGCTGGATAATTCCGGATTTGAGCTTTTTGTGGATCTGATCCTGGGCGGATACCTGTTGTCCACTGGACTGGCAACCACGGTTGTTCTTCATCCGAAGTGTCTCCCCTGGTTCGTGTCCGACGTCACGCCCAAGGACTTCTCCGATCTGCTGAACTCGACGGCGGACCCGCAGGCGTTTTATACGGCGGCTGACGAAACCGGCAAGACCTACCCCGCCCTGAGTGAGAAGGAGGTGGCCGATGTTAAGTTCCTGTTTGACCAGTGGAGCCAGTTCCACCAGGATGGCAAGTTGATCATCCGCCCACACCGGTTCTGGACGACGCAGGGATGCTACTGGCGCATGCCACACGTGGCCCCCGATTTGTTTGAGGACTTGAAGGAGAGCGAGCTAGTCCTATTCAAGGGTGACTTGAACTACCGGAAACTCACCAACGACGTAAGTGAAATTCAGATGCTTTCCGTGAGACGTCCTGGATGCTGACCACCCATCTTATACAGGCTCAATGGGACCCCACCACTCCCTTCACCACCGCTATTGGCCCGATGGGTCCCAAATCGGGGATCCGCGTCCTGGCTTTCCGGACCTGCAAGGCGGACACCGTCGTCGGCCTGCCTACCGGCGAAGACGAGCGGCTTCGCCAGCTGCCCAACGGAGGCGGCGCGGATGCCCGCAAGTGGGCCTGGAGCGGCAAATGGGCCGTGGTGTCATTCTCTGATGGTAAAGTTTAGGTTAATTGTGGACTCTTTTAGTAGTGGTGTTGGAATAGATCTAAAGCTATACGAGTATAGGTTTTGTGGAAAGTGCAGGCTTGGATGAGGGCGATGTTGCTGCGTCTGATCTCTAAACCAACATACCCCGGATCCGATGCCGATTGGAACACCCAGTACACTAGTATATTTTGAATAGACATAACTTTCGAAGATTGCTGTCCGGAATGTACCGTCCTAGTAGCCCTTTGCGTATGAAGTCTCCTCATTCCACTGAAGGCTGTTCGATGCCAAGCATCGCGACTGCCGATCTGGTGACCCACTGTATTTGAATTGTGTCGTTTTATGGTCAATGCGGATTATCATTATTCTTTCGAACCCCGATTATCCCAGGCTCAGTGTCCTGCAGGGTATATAGGGTATATACTCGTACATGTGAGCTGTGCCACTCCGCTTATACTGGACCCCATTTGGCGGTATCAGCCACCATTATGTAACCGGCGATGCGCTTCCCGCCGCGACGCGTCCGGCCATCCTTCGCGGTGCCACTACTCCTCTCCCCCCGGTCGTTTCCTGTGTCCGCACCGCTGCGGTATGCTTCTGTGAGCGGAACAGGTTGATGGGCGCTCATTTGCGGGGACAAGAGGGCCCAACCCCTGCGAACGCCTGTGCCCGACATGACCGTGGCGGTGGGGTGCGACTCGGCGATGCATTTGCCATCTATTCGATTGTTGCGTCCGCACCCAACTGGTCCAGCATCCAGCTTGGGGCGGAAACCCTTGCGGATTTGAACACGTCCCTGTCCGCCATCCAACGTCGACTTCCCATCCTGACTACGTTGCAGGCAGGCTCACCGGAGCTGGTGTCGCTGCCATGTCCTTCCCGTCAGCATGAACGACCGGAGGAGAATGTTCCCTGGTTCCTCATAAACGCAGCTGCATCCTCGCAACACTGCTTGCTGGGGCAACATAATGCCCTCGAAACCATGCTGATGGTTCTCCAGCGACCGTGGTGTGTCCTCGAGCTTTGTTGTTGCGACACGGACACGGTGACCGCTGCCCACGCGTTTGCGCTCATCGCTACTTGTATCGACCGAGCAAAGTATCAGCCGGCCGTGCGACTATTATCGTATGAGATGGCGAGGAGAGACAGCCGCCTCGACATGCCAAGGACTGGACCCGGGCCACCCGCGCATTCTGGACAAGGGCGGTGTTTTCCAAGCCAAGCCTGGTCCGATGCAGTGGCAGTGTATGCCGAGCTATCACACAGCCGTTTGCGATCTCATAGCTCGTTCTGGATGGGGCTGGTCTGTACCTGCGCCGTTCTTCTCAGGATGAGGTTTTCCGATGTGGCCCTGATGCTGCAAAATGACTCTCAGGGCCCAGCTTTCCCAGCCAGGAACTGGACAGTTCGAAGATGGGCAGAGTCTCTGAACGGCTTTGACGATGCTCGTACTACGCCAAAGGCAAGTTGGGACCGTCCCCGACAGGGGTATCTACCGGATTGTGGGCGCGAAACCCAACCACCGCGGGCCTTCCGGGAGCCCGGTCACAATCCTCTCATTCACCGCCATGATCCAGGTGTGGCTGGACGATCACATATCACTAGATCAAGTCTTCTTCATCTCTACGCTCTCTTTTTGCAAATAACCGTCGAGGCTGTTGGCTGATCATGGACTTCGTGAGATATACATAGCGAATACTACTAAGATACGAACGTGGAGTTAGCATTTACCATCGATTTAATAAATACCAGTATCTGATACTTGCACACTGTAAATAGGATCACATTACAAATGGACGACGGAGTTTAAGAGAGCAGCGTACATCATTGGGCATACTAAGGCTGGATACACCATTGACTGCATGTACAGTCGATATGAAAGATGCGGCCTGCGCAAGTGACGTCAGCGCGGGGAGGACGGGGGAATCTCCGGTTGCGCACATCGCAACGTCTATGCAGTGATCTGCGCAGAGATCGAGATCAACGCACTCAACAGGCGGTGGATATGTCCCAAAGCCCTGGACTGATCACAGAACGCCCTTCGCCACGCACTACTGTCGTATGGACATACACAAAGAGCGGCAGCTGGCCCTCGTATGGCGATGCGTACTTACTTGTCCACTTCTCCGAATTGGAGACGGGAGAAATCTCGGCAATCCACCCGGACTCCCCCAATTTTCCCAACTCGGTCGAGACCCCTCGGTTTTTCGAATTCCTGCTGGGCAATGGAATCATGATTTTGGCGAGTTCTCTGCGCTCGGTACTGAGGAATCTACAGGACTAGCATAAGGCCCCTGTCGCGAAGGCCCTGTGGTCCCCCCTTCGATGCGTACTGCTCGGTGATCGCCCAGCACGCCGAATCCCCTAATCGGCGACATCGAGGGCCCATGCTTGGATTCTCCATGGCTGGCCAATCCTTGGGAAGTGGCCCAGTTCCCGGTGGAGATGCCGGTTTTCTCCAATTCGGGTTTTTCTTCACTATAAACTAGGCCTGGTCTCACGCCCTGCGCGACCCACGGTCTTCTATAAAGCCTGAAGACGCATTCAACAGTGCTAGGCATCCGAACGCTGCGCGGCCTAGATGACTGATCCTTCGCCCCCGAAACGTGGGCTCGTCGTCCCCATGGAGAAAGATGGATCCGACTTCCTGTCCCAAGAGATTGAGTCGCTTTATCTGGAGTTGGAAACGCCACTGCCCACGCCGAGTATCACGCTGCCCCCGGGTCCTGGCCAAACCGCGCCGCCAGAGCCCCCAAATCTAGAGAAATACACGTCTCCTTTTCTATGGCCCCGATGGCGGAAGTCGCTCATGACATATATTTCGTGCGCGGTTACCGCGCTGGCCGGTTACTCCGCCGGTGAGGTGAGCCCGGCCTCGGAAGAGCTGTGCGAAGAATGGGGCATCAGCTCAGTGGTATATAATCTGAGTATTACTGTGTTTTGCATCGGTTTCGCCCTGGCTCCAATGGTATTGGCGCCGTTTTCAGAGATTAATGGGCGAAGACCCATCTTCGTTGCGAGTGGTGTTTTGTTTGTGGGTAGGTGATTGAGTCATTCCTTTGCAATGGACCCAGATGCCCAATGCTGACTGGACATCAAACAGTCTGCTTGATCGCGTGTGGTGGAACCCATTTGTTTGCTGGACTACTCGTTGCCCGTTTCTTTCAGGGCGTCGGCGGATGTATGTACTATCCTGATCCCCCCCGCACCTCTAGTCCCGGCGGAATACCCGAGCAGCCACTGATTGATGTTTTCCCCCAGCAACCTTCTCCACCATGGTTGGCGGCGTAATCAGTGATATTTACCACTCGGAGGACCGAAACACCCCAATGGCTCTCTTCTCAGGCTCCGCTTTATTCGGAACTGGTCTAGCACCCCTGCTGGCTGGGGTGGTGGTAACGCATACCTCTTGGCGCTGGATTTACTACTCACATGCGATTGTCTCGGCGGCTTTTGTGGCCATCATCTTTTTCTTTTTCAAGGAAACGCGTGGCAGTGTCCTGCTGAGTCGGAAAGCCAATGCTTTGAATACATATTATGAAAAGCTCGAGAAGGCCGGTCATTACGGCGTGATTGTTCCAAGTGACGATGAAGGCGGAACCACCATCAAGCGAATTCGATGGAAGGTAAAGAGCGACGAGCAGCGAGCTTCTTTGGCTACGATGATTCAAATATCTCTTTACCGGCCGTTTCGTGAGTCCTCTCCTATGCGAAAAAGTCGCAGACTTCGCCATAATACTAACGAAATTGCTAGACATGCTCGTCACCGAGCCAGTTGTCTTCTTTTTCTCACTTTGGGTGTCCTTCAGCTGGGCTACCCTCTATCTCCAGTTCAGCTCCGTGCCGCTTGTCTTCCGTACAAATCACGGCTTCAACGTTGAGCAGACAGGTGCTGTTTTTACCGGTAAGCTATCAGTTTCGTTCTTTTGGGCACATTTCTACGGGGCTTGGGTACACAACTAACACTCTGCTATAGCGATGTGCGTTGGCGTGGTGCTCATCACCATCATCAGCATATCGCAAGAAAAAATTGCGATGCGATTCGGCAAGCTCTCATCTTCCGCCGAGGGACGTCTTTATTTTGTCTGTGTTGAATCTATCTTGTTGCCGATCGGCCTCTTCTGGTTTGGATGGACATCGTTTCCCTCCGTACACTGGATTGTTCCATCCATAGCCGTGGGATGTGCAACGATGGGTATTTTCTCCATCTATCTCGCCACGTTTAACTACTTGGCCGATACATACCACCGCTACGCTAGTTCTGCGATCGCGGCTCAGTCATGCTGTATGTTTTGCGGATATTTACCGTATTGACTACTAAAGCATTCCACTAATACTTTCTCAGGCCGAAATCTGCTTGGCGGTGTTTTCCCCCTGGTGACAACTGCCATGTTCACCAACCTCGGCTATCCTGGAGCCTCGAGCTTGCTCGGCGCCATTGTAAGTGTTTTTTTCACCCCTTCATTGCTCAGTCAGACTGTTAATCGTACTTTCAGGGTGCCGTACTAACACTTGTCCCCTGGGTGCTGGCGTTCTATGGACCGCGCATTCGGGCCAAGAGCAAGATGGCATCTGTGAGTTCATTTGTTTCACTAGCCTACGGGCTTTGGTATGAACATTGCGCTTGCTAACACAGAATTAGGAACTTGCCCATTAATTCACGATGTCCTCACGCTTCAGCATATTTAAATAGCGGCATCTATAAAACTCAAAAGAATATAGACCTCATTTAATAGATTATCGGACCCTGCGTCGTTCCAAAAGTGCCGTTGTCCAAATCTAATTTACATAAAGCAGAGAAAATTCAACAACATGTCAGCACTTACGTTTGCTGTTCAAGGTAGCGCTACTTTACTCCAAAAAATAAACGATTATTTAAATTATATCTTTATTAGACCTACATATTGTAGTGGGGAGACCCCCTCCCCTACTACATGGGTGCCATCCAGACTATGTGACATAGCCGGCAGTATACAGTGGCCGGATAGCTAGTTCTAGAATACACCTTCTTACACCTCCCCGACCTGACCCCTACATTTGGGCTTCTCGCTGTTTCCTGATTGCTACGCGTGTGTTTTGTGGTGGTTTTTCTGCTGAATCGACCCGCACGTCTCAGCGCGTGCAGCCATCGAGCGTTCCCCTCTTCAATATGTACCTCACACTGATACACCATCAAACAAAAGAAAAAAATACCTCAGTAGCAGAAGCAGACCAGAAACATTGGACTCCTTAGAGTTATGTGTCTTTACTTTGACTCGTTCATATCCGTGCTCCATTTTTTTTGCCACAGTGTAATCGAATAGAACCTCTACCAACCACTAGGGAGCTCCAGGTTATGAGGGTCGTAGGTCACCGTGCGCCCTCTTTTATACTCATCCGGACCCCATTGATCAGCACCACGAAATCCCTCAGGGAAAGGGTCTCCTGGGTTCATTCCAACTTGTTTTAGACTGTGAATCCAAGCACGGCCCGTGACACTCGGCAAAATTGCCTCGTATTTGTCTACCATCGTCTTGCCCCGGATGCGACCATATAGTCTGGTACCGATGATACTCTGGCAGCTCAACGTCTCCTTTGAGATGTCTCCTCGTGCATATAAAACAGCTAGACGAGCAAATACCGCAGTCCCAGATGGACTACGGTCTAAGCGTCCTGGAGAGATGACAGCTGCCATGTTGGTCTTTTTGCGAGTGTTGGAACCCGAGTTATCACGATCCACTCGATCCGTGAAGACCACAGTGCTCACACCATGGAGATCTGCCTGAACAGGATGAACAAAGTCGTGTAGCTCTCGGAGTGCGTTTTTGATACGTTCGCCAATTTCAATCATTTTCTGGCCATTTCCATCATGAATACTGACGCCCACAGAATCGGCATCAACAAAAGCACATATCACGCCACCGTAGGCAACATCAATAGAGATTTGGCCGAGACCATATAGGTCAAGCTCATAGTCCAGTCCAAACACAAATGATGGGATGCCATGAACAGTGACAGCCTGGCACTTCGGAATATTGAAGCCATTGCTGGACTCTCTCTTCAAATTCACATCGACATCCACCGCACCGGCAATCGTGTCAAAAGTAAATCTTGTAGTAGGAATTTTTAGCCGATCAATCTCTGCATCGGGTCCGTTAACTATGACATGTGCAGCGGCAATCATACTAGACACAGACACGGGGACATACTCGTCGTTTTTGGCAAACAGCAAACCACACTTGGCACCAAGGCTACATGGCGGAAGCAGAAAGACAGCGTTTAGGCCACAACGACCTCGTGGCTCGTTTAGTAGTTGATCTCGCCGCCATTCATGGTGGCTCATGAACTCAATCTGCTTATGTAGCATTGTCTGGCCTCGGACATGCGGGATGCCACCCACAACAACGTCGCACGCTTCACCTTCGGCATGACAAGCTACTACCGACATAGTATTCTCAGTGACATAGTCATCGAAAAGGACCGGATCTATGGAAGAAAAAGTCGGAGTGGGGGAAGGCGATTTGTCGTAGTGAGAATATTCATCTTCATTGTATCTTCTGCGGTCGCCTTGTTTGTCCGTGTGAGGAGTGTCTTGGGGATCATTGCCGCGCCGTGAACGCTCATGTGAGGATCTTCTGGAGCTACGATCAAATGGATCGTAATACCAGCGCTTTGAGTATGTCATGGCGTTAACAGTGAAGGGATGTTGTTATATCAGACTGCGATTATTGATTGATTTTGAGAGGAAGTGGGAGATGCCAGTCGATGCTATTAACACTTCATAAGCAGTGGGAATGTGCTTTTATACAAGTATCTACTGTGCAGTAATAAAAAGGCAGAAACAAAGAGGTTTGTGTCTCGAGTGTCTTGTTTTTATGCCCGTGAAGGAGTGTCGGATAGAACAATGGGATGTTCTTTGAAACAAAGAAATGGATGACAAGAGCCTGCAATTGAAAGAGGATAAAGATAGTAGGATTTCAATACGTCGATAATATCTGAATCCTCTGGCACCCTTTACCTGGCTTTATTAGATGCTAACTGAAAAAAAAAAAAGAAGAAGAAAATAGGATATGCCACAATTTTGACATTAACAGAGGCTATTTCCACTATCTTATTATTCCTTTAACATCTCATGATCCATTTGTCAGTAGTCATGTACCCCACCATCTACGTGATCAAATATTCTGAGAGTGTGAGATGTACAGGATGATCGTGAACGGGTGAGAAGCAGGTGGTATTGGCTGTCTGCTGCTATCTTCTTCTGCTATCTTCTGCTATCTGAGAGAGAGAGAAGAGGAAGGAAGAGAGAGCGTGGGAAGTGAGAGAAGAGGTACAGAGTCAGGTGACTGTGGTGACAAAGTGAGTACCTGATGTATGTACGCTCAGATTCAGTCCCCCACTCCATTCACGAGATCCGTCTCTCTATTGCCTCGAGACTCGAGGAAAAGAAAAGTGCAAAGGGCAAATGATGGATGAGTAGTGAAAATAAGTCAGTTTTGTTGATTGATAGAACTGTACAACAATCTGGTGGAAATTTAACATCTTACGAAGATTGCATTCCTAGTGTAGCCTTCGTTAAAGGCCGTAGCAAAGAGAGGGGTATATTGTGCAAGAAGTAAAATATCTCATGGCATCCAAAAGTCACGCTGATGTGTATCACGGTATCGAGGGCAAGCTTCCGAAAAATTCGTTATCCCAAGGCTCGATGACGCCAGGATTAAGGCCGTCGAACCAGCCGCCTAGATCCAAAGGCTGCATTTGTGAGCAAATGTATTGATCATTGTTCGAGAGTGAAGATTATGACATACTGTGAAATCGCCCAGGTCCGCGGATAGAAGGGAGGGGAGATCGAAATCATTTGATACACCGGAAACAGGCGTCGTCTGTATGGGCATCATTGGGGTCTGCGAAAGAAAAATGTCAGAAGATTGATGACAATCGAATGTCATTCAGAATTAATTTACCTGGCCAGCCTGATGGTCAGCAGCGACGAGGGCATCGGCGTACGAAACCCCATTCAACAGTATTCGGCACACTCGGACTGCCTTTTTGGAAGACGCTTCCACATTCGCCATCGGGTCTTCACCCTTGATACGCGATTTGACAGAAGCCAATATGATGCTCAGGAAGAAATAGGGTTTGCATCCCTTGCCACTGGGACCAATGCGTCGGCCAAAGTCATGCACGGTACGTTCAACAGCCTGCAACATCACACTTTGCTGAGATTGTACCATACTCATTAGCACGCTAGAGTTCACACCGTCCAGAGTTGTCCCAATGGACTGGCTCATCTCTTGCGCCTGAAGCGAGAGCTCCACACAGACTGTAATTGCAGCATGGAAGATCTCATCCCGGAACATGCCACTGCTTAATTGTGTGATGTGTGGGTACGTCATCGTTTCGGGAGAGTTTGAAAGTTCCATTTGTGACAGCATCTCCAAAGAAGCTTCTAGGCAGACCTTGCGCGAGTATGAGCATTTTGGAAGACGCGCTACACTGAGAGAAAACGGGCGGTGCAAGGCAAGAAGAAATTTGCGCATCATGAATAGATGAAGTGATTGGGCAAATCGATGCCGTGCGGTGTCGCTGGAGTTTGTTGCCGGTGCATTTTCATCGAATAAGGCAGACGCATACTTGGTCGACCGCAAAAGATCTTCCCCCATGCGCAGGGCATCATCGTATGATAAGTCAAATTTCAGCGTGTTGATCCTCTTTGCAATGCGATACCGCAGCGATAGAGTTTTCGCAAGCAGTGCCTGGTAGAAGTTTTGACTTGTTGTTTTTGTGGCCGATATGGTTGGGGCTTGTTCCATATCCTCAGACATCTCATTATCATCCCAGTTGGATGGGGCGTCGCAATCGCACTCATCCAAGTCCACAGATGGAGGTACCCCGCGATCGAGGGAGATCTTGAGATCTATCTCCACAATGGTCATCCAAAGCCTTCGTCGTAACTCACTCCAGTAGGGCTTCATGGCCTTTCGAAAACGAAATGGATCACGGTGGAGTCCCATTGTCATAGCAGACCGGATCAGGGACCCAGAGGAGGCCCATGCCACATCGCCATCGCCGGCAACTCCCAGACGGGCCACGAGGAGAAGGCATTGAGTTTGGATCATCCTCAAGTCAATATCCGGACTGACAAAAGTACAAGAAATGTAGGATTGCACCGCCATGATCCATTTCATTGCGGGTTTCTGATAAGAGTCCCTATCGTCCTGTTCCAACGAAGGCACGTAGAAGCAGCTTCCCGCTGCCATTACCGCCAGCAATTGCGCAACAAAAGCTGAATCGGCCTTTTTATCGACTGCCCAGTACTCACCATACTGTCGCAAGAAGGTAGGAACATGCAGGATACGAAGGGTCGTCTCAAATGTATCCAAATATAACCGAAGTAGCTCATCTGCCACTTCTCGCGGAGGCACCATCTCGTCCAATTTGAAAGCTTGTTCTCGAAACGCACGCTGATGATCTTGGCTCTCCCGCGACCATAGTTCACACTTAAACTTTTTCATATCTGTGTACTCTGCATCCTTGACGTTGTTGCGGCCGCGCCGCAGAAAGGACCCAATGTCTTGGAACTATTCAGAATTAGCAAAAGGAATGCTCGAAAATGTGATGGTGGAGAACTCAAATGACGCGAGGGAGGCCACCTACGAACGAAACAGTGGTGGTGTAATGGCTTCGGCCGAAGTATCGAGTCTTACCCTTTTTGCCCCGAAAACTGCCATCGGGCAAGAAGCGCACTCGATCATCGACACCAGCCGCATCTAGGCTGCCCTGCGACATTGTCCCTTCAGAGAAAACATCGGATATCGAGGTTTCAGGCGTCTGGAAGACATTGGATTTGCCGAGGGCGTTCTCTAGGGTCCGGAGCCGGTGTCGGAGCTCATGCAGCTCGTCCGGATGACTGCGTTTCGACACGCGACTAGAGCTTGACTTTGGACCTAGTTTTGCGTCGAATACGAACATGCCCCCGGAGCCTCGCGACTGCTCGTCGGAAGCACTAGATAGGCGCATGCGTGAGACCGGCGGTGACATGGGGTGCGAGGGATGCGAGGCTGTTCCTGGCTGAGGACCGACAAAGGCGCAAGATTCCGCGGTCTTGGAGCGAATACACTGGCCACATGGCAGCGAACGATCGCACTTGAGCTTACGTCGCCGGCATTCGGTGCACGACAGTGGGGGCCGGCGGCGTCGCTGCACCGTTCGCGTGGCGTCTCCTGTCTCCACGTCGGGCGATAATTCATGATCATCGGTCATTTTGTATCACCGGAAGCTATTCGAATCATTCGTTGATCACTGGTGGCCTCCTCTGATTCGCAGTCCGAGTCGAGGTTCGTGGGTGAGTCGTGGCTCAATTTTCGCACTTCCCAGCCTTGCAGCAGAATACTGTTGTTGAACAGCCAAAAGAAGCTGACCACAAGGAGAAAAATCAATGATAACCAGGGAGTGAAGGAGGGAGAAATGCGTAGATCCTGCTCCATGGCCAAAAGGCTCGTAGTTGCAGCTCTCGGAGATAAGGGGGCAGTTGCCTCAGTGGGCGGATCGGAGTTGCCATATACGGTAACTCCGCCAAGCCCCGGTCCTGCCCGATCGAGCCCTCAGACGACCCAATGGGGAACTAGGGCTGCATCTGATAAGAATAAGCATATATTTCGGTTCAAAGGACCCCGGCGATGACATTGTTGCAGGGCCATGGGATTCGGGGATGCACAGCGAGATCCTTCGTGGTGGATGGACAAGACCATGTCCCCGCAGCGGCGAATGCCGACTGGAAGGGGAGCCTGTTGCCAGATCATACCCTAGATATCGTCCTCAATTGAGAGTGCCCCGCGTTGCTGCAAAGATAACATTAGTTACGGTATCCACGTTCAGAGTAACTACAATTGATATCACTAATGAGGCAGTTGCCGCCGAAAAATTCGACGAGGTCACTTGATTGTGTCTGCCTGGGATTCCCCGTGAAATGCCGCCGGCATTTTGCCCGTTATTCCCGAAGCTCGGACTTCCTTGCTTCATTTATCTTGCCCTTTCCACCTTTTTTGCATCCGACTCGCTCTCCTTCCCTCTCTTGGCCAACCGTTAGGAATTGCTGCAAGGATGGCGTCGGACACCCAATCGGGTACTAAATCCCCGTGGGCCCATGTTCTAGAAGAACTGGGTCTGGCCACTATGTGGTGCTCCTCCCGCGATGTCAAGTTCCTCTGCGCCCAGCGATTCGTGCGTCTGTTTGCTTACGGTGGCTCGACCCTGGTGCTGGCCTCGTACTTATCGGCCATCGGCATTACAGATGACCGGATCGGCTTGTTCATGACCCTGACTTTGATCGGGGATGTGGTGATCAGCTTTTTCCTAACCCTTTTCGCCGATGCGATGGGACGCCGAGCGGTTCTCTCTCTCGGCTCTATCTTGATGGCTGGCAGCGGTGTCGTGTTTGCCCTCTTCGGGAACTACTGGATTCTTCTGGCCGCCGCTGTTTTTGGTGTCATCAGCCCTAGGTAAGCATTTTCACATATTGTTCATTCTGATCGCGAAGCGCAAACCTGGCTGACCTGTGTGCAGTGGAAATGAAATTGGGCCTTTCCGTGCCGTGGAGGAATCCACATTGGCACATCTCACTCCAAAGGAGCAGCTAAGCGATGTTTTTGCGTGGTACTCATTGGTGGGAACAGCAGGAACCGCTCTGGGCCAGCTAGTGTGTGGCTGGACCATTAGCTCGTTGCAGTCCCTGCACGGCTGGGCTTTTATCCCATCTTGTCGTATCATCTTCTTCGTCTACGCAGGTGTTGGGCTGCTCAAACTTCTTCTCACTCTAGTCTTGAGTCGCGAAATGGAAGCCGTTTCCGAAGAAGAGGCTCACAAGCGACAGCAGCAGCAGCAACAGGCAGACGAGACACGTCCTTTGCTTGCGGAATCTCGTTCAAACGAGCAGCCGGCAACCCCGAACAGCAGAAAATCACTCTTTGCATCTCTTGACCAAGACTTGTGGTCGCTGGTAATTCGGCTGTTCATCCTGTTCGGACTGGATGCGTTCGCTTCAGGATTGGCTTCCCTGTATGTCTCTTTTCTTTTCTCCTTTTCTGCTCGGTCTCAATTTCTAATCCTTCTAGCTCTTGGATGACGTACTTCTTCCGTCGAAAGTTCAGCCTTCCAGAGGGTGAACTCGGCACGATCTTCTTTGTCACCAGTACCATTGCCGCGGCCTCAATGTTGGTGGCTTCGTCAATTGCGAAGCGCATCGGCAATGTCAAGGTATGCAAAGTATTCTCAGCGTCCTCTGTTTTCCGACTGACAAAAGCCCCAGACAATGGTCTTTACGCATCTACCCTCCGCCATCTGCTTGTCGCTTATCTCTGTGCCCAACAACCTTCCATTGGCACTGACATTCCTTGTCCTGAGGGCATGCTCCCAAAACATGGATGTAGCCCCTCGCTCGGCATTCCTTGCCGCAGCTCTCCCCTTCCGACAGACGCACTGCCATCATGGGTGCGGTAAACGTTGTCAAGACCACCACCCAAAGCCTTGGTCCTCTTCTCACCGGTATTCTGGCCCGTAACAATCTATTCGGGGTGTCATTCATCATTGCAGGTTGCCTCAAGGTCATATATGATCTTGGTATGCTGTTTAGCTTTGGTGGAAAGGAAGCTGCAAGCAGGAAGCTGACCACACAAGAAAATGAGGAAGAGACTCGGTAAAAACTCCCCTATTTCTACAGTATTGAGACAAAATTGGCGTTGTGACATATCAGATCATGTATCTATACGCCTTGGCATTAAACTTGACGCAGTAAGAAAGAGAAATAAGATGTGGGTACAATGTAATGTCGACTGCTGTACATTTTTCCTGCGAAACCGTGAAATGGGGATTCCTGCGGGGGTTATCATAGCCCCGTCTTGCTCTATTCATCGTAAATTCGTTTTCGATAAGATGGTGGTTCGGTTACAGCTCGGGTATCTTTTGGTCTCCTCGGCAGATGATTGTCCTCGACTGACGCACGTTTGATCTCCGAGAGTTCGGTCACTATTGGCTCTTCTTCCGTCACCTCCGTCACCTCCGTCGTATCGCCATTCGATGATCTGCGAACTTCTCGCGACAACCCGTATCTCAAAGACAAACTAAGCATGGAGTTCACGACGGGGTCTTCCGCTAGGGACCAAGTTTTCCACCACGCCCCAGCGATAGAGCCAGCCATGTGAAGTCCTCGTTCGAGCAAGAGACAACAGAACTTTTGGCACCACAGAAACTTATCCCATCGCCGGAGATGTATATATGGCTTGAAGATATGAGGCATTGCAGCCACAACAGCCATCACTCCCCACACCTTCACCGTGTCCTGGAGAAAAAAGGTTATGGAGCGGCAAAACTCATCCGCATAAAACTCGATCAGCAGGTATTCGGCATGCGAAGTGGGATCAATGGGAAAAGTGCCATGGGTGTGAGAAAGAACAAGAATATTAGCTTGGTAGATCAGCGACTGCACAATTATCAACGCCATCCAAAAGAACATGTGAAATCTGGCACAGTCAAGTGAGTTAAAGCCGTACGGGATGCCGAACAAGTGTGTCGATGGAGGTAAATGGTGGCATTTCAATTCGGCATTAACATATGGCTGCCCTCCGATAGCTTCCTTATGGCTGGAGTACCAAGCCATGATGCTTTCTTTTTGCGAATAGCAGTCTTGGAGGAGAGTCTGACAGACCTCGTGGTCCGAGTGATCGGTCTCTTCCACTGAAGCTACCAGTCCGGAAAGATTCACAAAGAGTTCAAACAGTTCATCAAATGGTTTGTGGTGACCGAGATGTATCAAGTATTGTAGCTCATCTTTAGGAGCTCGCATGACAGTTGTCGCGAAGATCTAAGAACACATTTAGTGGATGATGACACACGCAGAGAAAACCGCGCATCGCTATGAACGTTCTGGCTTACAATTCCTTTCCTCATTTGATTCGAGATCACGACCATCAAAGGATTGTTCGGGTCCTTCACTAGGCTCTGCTGTAGGAATGCATTGTGCGTTTGGAAATCCGAGGCCCAGACGTCGAACCCGTGAGGGAAATAATGACTCTAAGCCAGTCGCCATCAGGTCTGCCCCTTCCAACCGATGATAGGCACTCTTACCTCAAGAATTTTCAGAATAAACCCTGCGCATACAAGATCGTGAATGGGTATGCTTTGATGGGACACGCGCGATAGAAGCTGCAGCGTATTTTTATAGAGCTGGACCCCATAGCGAGCCATCCGATCGTCCCGATTGTGTCTGCCGAGATACGTACAGGACAGCGCGGCCAGGGCACTCTCCGAGATGCCAAACCTGTCGGGATTCCCGCCTGTCTTCTCGAGAAGGACGGACGAGTTCAAGAAGAGCCAGTGCGTTTGATCTACGTTCGCCGGCGCATTTCTGTCGAGTGGGAAATATCCACCGAGAAATAATGAGAACAGCTGCGTGCGGATCTCTGGGCCAGCTCTGACCGGTCGCGACATGGCTACCGCATGACTTCGGCCCGTGGAGCGGTCTCGGATGGCATGCCCCGTCTCCTGGCGGGAAACCGCCGTCTGGTGGACAAAGACTAGCGTTTTCTCGTACCCGGGGCAAGACAGGCCCCGTTTGATACACCTGGTGCATTCTGGCCGGGTGAGGTCGCACTAGACAGGATCAGTGTGGATACTGGGTCAGCAGGCTGCTTCGCACTGACCTTTATTTTCCGCGTTTTGCACGTCTGGCAGCCTGCAGATTTCCACGGGATGCCGCCCATCTTCCGGGCATAGCGCCTTTGCTGGGCTCGCTCGAACAGCTCAGAGCCCGGGGAGGTATCGCCTCGACAGGGATGGAGAATTGGACGAAGAACTGCGACTAGGGTGCCTCTGCTGGAGAGCGAGGGTTTCAACAGGGAAGTTGGAGCTACGGCAAGAGAGCGCCCCCACCCGCTCCGCATCAATCGTTTACCCGCGCGGATCATCCGAGGTTCCGCCGGCACTTACGACCACGCTCTCTTGCTTCAAGCCACACCCCCGGACCTTAGCATTTTCAGATGTCTACCGGTACTTCAGGCTACATGTCGTGATGGGCGAGTTAAAAAACCGATTCCTGCTGTTTATTTTGAATTCGGTACCACGTTTGATCAAGGTTCTAATGTCTTCCCGATCGGAGCCATGCGGAATATAGAAACAGTGATTTCCAGAAATCAACAAAACAGGCAGGAAAACAGAAAATAAATTGGAGACATGCAAAGAATACAGGATGGATCGAAATCAGTTTCACCACGTACAGAGATTCTTTCTCGAATCCTCTTCCGAAACACCCTAATTCATTTCTGACTTGGCTCGGTTTCAAGTAACTATTGTAGTGGGGAGACCCCCCCCCCCCTACTACATGGGTGCCATCCAGACTGTGTGACATAGCCGGCAGTATACAGTGGCCGGATCGCTAGTTCTAGAATACACCTTCTCGCTATTTCCTGATTGCTACGCGCGTGTTTTGTGGTGGTTTTTCTGCTGAATCGACCCGCACGTCTCAGCGCGTGCTGCCATCGAGCGTTCCCCTCTTCATATGGTGACCGACGCAGGGGGAATTGTTTTTCCGGGTGGCTGAACACGCAGATAATCAACACGACGGGCGCAGAGTGTGGAAATCGCGAGAAACGGCGAAAGGAAAGTTGTGTGCAGGGTGGGCAACCGCGTTAACACTGAAAATCATTCGAATTCCGGCAGTCGCTGGTATTAGTGGTACGTATTATTGGTTTTTGAGCATTTGATGCTCATTGGGGCCTTGTATGGGAAGAGGTGCCCCTTGCGTTTGTGATTAATCACATTCTGTGGGGAGTCGATATGATTGGCCAGGAACTCAAGATAGGATTCCGGCAGGATGAGTACCAGCAGCTATTGCAAAGGCTGCTTGCAGACCGGTTACACAGGGGATCTGACCTTTGCTCAGTACTGTGTATGAGACCGATTGATTTTCACAAGCTGGCAGAGCAGATCTGGCCAGGCATCTACAACCTTTGGATTTCAAGGGTGAATATAGTGTTCACCCAGGTTGTCGTTCAGTTTTTACTTCAGAGTTGTGCTCTTCGGCCGAAAATATCGAGGTTTTCGGATTGTTTGTTTTCCCCTGGTCTTCAGATTGACCAGGAAGAGTTCTGCTTTCCTACTACTGGCACTCTCCGTGTGAGCGAGTCAGAGCAGTTTTAGATTCCTGATTATATTTCAATTTCTTCTGTTGATTCTGTTGATCGTGTTGATCGTGTTGATCGGAAGGCTGTCACAATGGGTGACAGCACTAATATTAGTGTTAACGATGGCAGCAGCCATGCCCAGCATGTCGTCCAGGCCGATGTTCCCTCACCCTTTGAAGGCTACCGAGAGCCTCCTCGCCCAGAGAGCGAAGCGTCTGCCAACCAGACACAGAGAAACGATGTGCCTAACACGAGTGAACGACAATCGCGACCGCTACCGCCCTTCCCATCCTCTGCCTATCAGGAAATGCCACCGCCAGGATGGATGTGGATACCAAGTGATATGTTTCAATTGATGATGAACCGCCAGGGGAATGTCCTGATGCCAGATCCTGGTACACCTGGTGCGCCATTATTTAATAAGAAAGATGCGAGAAAGTTCCTTCGGAACTTTGAGAAGTTGTGTCAAAGGCGTGGTATCAGCGATCCTGCTAGGCAGTGTGAGCTGTTTGCCGATTATTGTGAGGACTCTATCCAGTCGTGGGTGGAGTATGATCCTCTGTGGAAATCTCGCGATTGGGAAGCGTTTAAGGACATGCTCTGTGATCGATAAAGAGATTATGACTCTGAGCGCCAGAGGTTTTCGAGGGCATCATTGATGGAGTTAGTGAATCAACCAAGAGACACCATTGGTGAGGTTCGCCAGTTTATGATGGAATTCAAGACTGTGATGTGCTAGTGGCCAATGAGGTCATTCAGGAGATCCAGAGGTGTGAGTGGTTGATAACGGGGCTGCCTGATTGGCTACGACATCGCGTTGCAAAAAGGGGCATTATCGACTTCGACCGGCCGTCTAGGCCTATGCGGCTAGATTGGATTGCTGATGAGGTGTCCTGCACGATGGCAGCGCAGGATAAGTACGAGAGGGTGATCAAAACGACTGGTCGACCTAGCAATCAAGAGGTGACGTCGACAAAGGAAAGGAAGAGTGTCGCTTGGAAAGGTGGTTTTTCGGCCGAAAAACCTGCCATTTCTTCAGGGCGACGAGAGAAGAATTTGGAAGAACAGGTGGAAGAGATGCGCCGTCAATACAACGATATGAAGTTAACAGTCAATATGCTGCAATCAGGCATGGCGAAGAAGGATATGAGAAATGATACTGCTTACGTCCCTGCTGATGCTTCAAGATTGGCCTATAGAGGACAGCGGTTAAGGCCTGCTGATGGCAGAAGCCTTCCGATTTGTTACTTCTGTGGCATTGTTGGCCATATTTCGAAACCGACGGCTTGTCAGGCAATGTCTGACGCGATCAGCAAGGGCGACATGCACGTTGGTAATGATGGCAAGTCATACATTGGCCGTGCTGGTGAAGGTGGCCCGACTATGCAGTTTATCTCAGGAAGGCCTTCTATGGAAGGACTGCCCGCCCAGCTGCGAGAATGGCGGCGCAATACTCTGAGGGTGCCAGCTCAGCATTTAATGCCGATGTCACAGCCGACGACTGATCCTACACCGCTGCCTAGGCAGATCCCACATTATGATGGGCAGTCTATTTATAATGAGTCAGCCTGTTATAGGAGTGACATCCAGATTCCTGGGCAACTACATTGGTGTCAGGTGTCAGCCTTGGAATTAGCCCTGAGGAAAATCAGGAGATTGATTGCGATGATGAGATCATTGATGTGGGATATGAGAGTGCTGGTATCAATGCTGTTGAAACGCGTGGTAGTCAACAGCAGGATCCTGTACGGGCAAAGCGCCGTGCAAATGGCATCGCTTCCACCAAGACATGGCAAAGTGGTCAATATATGCAGCCTAGTCGACAGGCAAGAGTGGAAAATATTGATAATGATGATGTGATGATGGATCGACCCCCAGACAGTCATATCGAGCCACGCACGCAGTATATACCAGTGCCTGCTACCAGCGGAAGATCAAATGTGACCGTCAACCAGAGAAAATCAGTGCCCGTTAGCCAGGTGAAGAAGACGGCACCCTATATGACATCAACGGCAGCATTAGAAGCGTTGGTTAAGAGAAGGGTGTTGGACACTAAGGTGGACCTAACAGTTGAGGAAATGGGCAGGATTATTCCGAGGCTCAAGACTAACCTGTTTCGCGACACCGAGGGTCTTCGTCCTGCTATTCCACAACCTACTTCACAATCTGAGAATGTGACGAATGTGACGAATGCGACGCAGTTGACGCCATCGCGTTATGGCGGCGACGATCATTTGCAAGTGGCTGTCGGCAATGTTCACCCAAGTACGTACCGTGACGATCGCCGATCGACAGTGGTGGAAGATCGGGTAGAAACACATCGTGATGTGTATTCACTTGGCCGTCTATACTCTGAAGTGATCGTGGCAGGTTATATGCTGCGTGGCATGATTGATTCTGGCAGTGGCGTCGATGTGATGGGCAGAAAGCAAGCAGAGACACTAGGGTTGCCGATCAAACAAGATCCGAAGATTCATGTGGTGCCCGTCAATGGTGTACATGTTAAGTGCCTTGGCTGTATTCAAAACATGCCTATTCCATTGGCGACATCACCACTCACGTGAATGTGTTTGTGATCTCGGAATGTCCTGGCGGGTTGATTCTTGGAAGACCATTTATGGAAGCGACGATGATGGCGCTGGCGCAGCAACCTGATGGGAAGGTGGAATGCACGGTATATAATGATGCAAGGACGAGGAAGGTGGTTTTTCCGGTCTATTCGCCAGAAGAAAACAAGATCATTAGGGCCTCGAGGCTGTGGCCTAATGAGATGATTTGTGAGAATGCCCCGTTTGTTGAGGGTGCCTTTAAACTCCTGAGCAGACGTATGAATTCTGGTACGACACCTGCTATTACTAATTTCCCGAGAATTGTTAATTTCGAAGATTTGACTAGTTCTGCCGATTCTGTTGATGGTTTTGATTGTTCTGATCTCGGTGTGTTGACTGATGTGGGCGCAAGGCCAGACGTGGGTGTGCCAGCACCGCTATCTGGCTATGCGCCTATGAACCTGCTAAATGTGTCAGCAGGAAGTGTGATTGATTTGGATGATTACTATCTTCCGCCTGAATGGAAGGATGTGGATGTTGACGGTTTCAGAGATGTTGGGTTTGGCGATGTGCGGAGTGTGCATTATCGTTCAACCACGAAGGATGTTGACTCTTTGCCACCGTGTCGTGATCATGGTGTTGGGTTTATTCACACTGCCTAGCAGGATCGCTGATACCACGCCTTTCACACAACTTCTCAAAGTTCCGAAGGAACTTTCTCGCATCTTTCTTATTAAATAATGGCGCACTTAGCCAGAAAGTGCATTAATTATGCAGCATCTCGACACGGGACTGTTTGTCCTGTTTACACTATAATGGGTACCCAGTGGGTACCCATCGTGGGTCATGGGTTCTTGCCAAAAGCCCATAACCCATGATGGTGTTGAAACATCACGGTTACTGGGATAATCATGGGGGCTGGGATCACGTGCATGCCTATATACCTGTTCACCAGTCTACTTGTATCTTACACAATCAACTCCCCTAAACAACGTGAACACTGAAGCATCACTTATAAATCAACAGGTTATGAGCCCGGCAATGCTCACCTCAAATTGGAGAATACTTTCTACTCCTAAGTTTCCCCCTTAAGTGAAAGCTTCATACATAACTATATTGACTGAACTGGAATTTCTCATTTAGTTCTTCAACCGAGAAGACATTTTTCTGAGGATCAACAGGCAAACGAATTGTGCGAAATCGTCTCACAAGGCTGACAAAGCCACTACACCGCTACAGAAAGTCGTTAGACCAATGATGGTCTATAGACATGTTTCACAACAGACAACATCGCCTTACACCGCTACAAACGTCACACCGCTCCAGACGTATCACATTGCCACCAGAAACGACCTGCTCTCCGTAGCATGCTAGGAATCCATTTCCTCTCAAATCCCTGGCATTCTCGGGAAGGGACATTCTACTATTTTGACCTATGACGAGAAGGAAAGGATCATACAAGGGACACAGATGGACTGAAGAAGAGCTCAACTTGCCTCCGACCAAACAGACCGACAACCTTTCAAGAGCGAAAGCCACGATATATGGTTGACCGCGTCCGCTTTCCTCATTTCTTCGAGTCGTATCGCAATCACCTCAAACCATACGAGCTATCGGACAGTGAATACATTCCTCCATCGCATACGCCTACTCCAGACTCATCGGATTATTCCCACTCCATCAGCTCTAGTCCGCCCAGCGAGATATCAAGCCTGGAACTATTCGGTCTTGAGGCGCGGTCTCCCGAGCTGTCAAACTGCACGCCTTCTGTCCACTCAATTCACTCAAGTGGCTCGTCAAGTGCTGAATTCTTTAGCACCGATTAGCCCTGAAAACCACCACGATGGATTCGAATAAATTTGAACAAATAGGCTTGAGCACATTCTATCATGCCATACCAACACTCGATAATGCCAACGACTGGTCACAGTGGAACCAGAAAGTCAAGGAGTTTCTTCGAATATCTCCTGTGGCTAAGGATGAAGCCATCCCACCTCTGGAAGAGGAGGAGGCGCAGCAATGGTCTCACCGCCAGACGTTCTACTCGGCAATGATCGCGGCAAAGCTGACCCACAATGCGGCTCAGCGGATAAACGCCTTCGAAATCACCCGAGTCCAGTCACTGATCAAAGCGGTCAAAGAAAGCTTTAAAGCCGGAAGGTTCAGGAACATACGTGAATCTTCAGAGGAGGTACATGTCACTTACCCGGGCAAAATGTGGGAGTGCACAAGCCCTCGGGGCCGAGATCAGAAAGATCCATGCCGAGAAACTTTTACTCGACCCCGCATGTGTCACTTCTGAGATTGAACGAACTTTCTTCTTCCTCCATGCCTTAGGTCCAGAATATGAGAGTTTCCGCGACCATGTCTTTCGGCAAATGGACATTGTCAATGATAGAGATGAGGACGGAAATATCACCAAAGCAGCTCCTACATTCGACTACATTGAGAACAAGGCCATTGAAGAGGAACACAGAAAAGGACAGCTGGGCAACCAACCCGCTGATGCAAATGCCCTTCCTGCCTTCACACTCAGTCGAAGACTTGAAGACAAGAAAGTCATACCGTCTCCAGATGGGAAAACTTGCCGGATCGAGATCAACAATGTCCCCTTCTGTCTTTTCTGTCGAAAACCCCATCACAGAGAGCCGCAGTGTTTCAAGAAGAACCCTAAACCGAGGGACCAAGGAAAGGAGAGAACGACGCGCAGATCAAACCCCAAAGATGCGCATGCGGACCCTCGTAATTCATCAAAGAGGCGGGCCAGTACGGATCATGAAGACGACGATTCAGAAGGACCGAGAGACCCCAAAAGACCGACGTTTATGGCGACACAAGCCTCAAAACAGGATATCAATGCAGCATTCGGAGCCGAAGTTGAAGGAAATGTTGCCACATTTGACTTCATTCCCAGCATGATGGTCACGAAGGCTCCCTCGATCAGTGAGGCCTGGATCGTGGACAGCGGATGTGCTCAGCACGTCTGTAACGATGCCTTGAGATTCGTTAAGATGGACAAATATGACGGTCCACCATTGCGAAATGTCGATACCTCAACGGCTCCTTCCGGCATAGGAATGGCAAATATCTTGTGCAATGTACGAGGAAGAAAGAAATGGCTTGTCCTAAATGACGTCTTGTTCGTCCCGACTGCGCATGCGAATCTCATATCCGTGCTACAGCTTCTCAATCGGGGGGCAAAGATTGAGAAGCTGTAGCACGGATATGAGATTCGCATGCGCAGTCGGGACGAACAAGACGTCATCTAGGACAAGCCATTTCTTTCTTCCTCGTACAGATGGGTTCTAGAATTGGACCCAAAACCCATGATGGGTTGGGTTGGGTTGGGTTGGGTCATGGGTTTTTTGGGTTCTGCCGAAGTCTACTCACGGCTGTACGGTGGACATGACGGGACATAGTTGTAGTATGTGCCTACAGAACCGTACGTAATAAGCAATGTATCAATGGGGGCATAGTACGGCCTTGCGGACAGATCTCTCGAAACAACTTGAAGAGCTTGCGTGTGCCAGGGCGGGGAATGATCTGCGTCAATGAAGCTTCCAGCAAGGGCTCTTTCCCAGCCCCTCTCAACAGCCTCGAGACTTGAGAGACGCAAATCTTGCGACGCCACATCTTGACTTCCCCCTTTTTCCAGCACCAGGAAACTTACACATCTGTACCTTAGTGTATCTACCCTAAAGTAATAATGGCGGCTCTTATCGCGCTACATTCATCCAATCAAGCCCTTTCTTCAAACAATAAATGCCATATCTTAGTGGAAAAACGAGAATTACTCGAGCCACGCCTCCTTGTCTGCTTGCCACGCCCTCCCTATGGCTTTTTCAGGTATCTAGTAGTACCCTAGTACACTTGAATATCGAAATTGAGAGGATAGAAAGAGGCGGCTTGCTCTGCTTAAGTTAACCATGATGTGTATACAACTGCCGAGCGCGGGCTGACAGGCCGACTCCATTCCGCACGGGCCACGCCGGCCAAGCAACGGCCAAAGCGGCGGCCAACCACGCGCGCTTTGCATGCATTGATGTCGATTTTGATTATCTGCCAACGTCGCATGCCACTGGCCACCTCTTCGAGTGGAGGCACAGCAAGAAGAACGCAGCCTGCAACGCTCGGCCGCTTCCGGGGTCAACAATCTTGACCATTTCGCCCCCTCTTTGATCTTTCCTCTCATCGTGGAGTGGAACCGTCCCAGCATTTTTCTGACTGCTTTTGTGCGATTGACAATCGATTGCACGGGTCTGAGAATTCTCCTTGAATAGCAGAATCATGTTTGGCACTATTGCAGAGGAGAAGGCGACCCAGCCGTCCTCGATGTTCAAGTCTCTGTCTCCCAGCCCAGCGTGCCACCCATAGCGGCCAAAAATGCATTTGCCCGCGTCAATGATCGTCTCACCTCGTTGAAATTCTTTGAGACACGGGGACTCGAGCGTGTTCCCCTAGAGGAACGCCATCAAGTCACATCGGCCCACTACCTGCAAATGACGCTGCTCTGGTTCAGTACGAATATCACCGCAAACAACATGGCGATCGGGATGCTGGGCCCTTCGAGCTACTCGCTGGCGTTTGTCGACTCCTCCCTCTGCGCAACATTCGGGGCCCTACTGGGAGCGGCTGTCGTTGCATACATGAGCACGTTTGGACCCTTGAGTGGAAATCGGACGATGGTATGTCGAAGGAGTCGGACCTTCGTCCCAGCCACCGTTCTCATCTAACGCCTCGACAGGTCATTGCCCGGTATTTTATGGGATACTATCCGAGCAGGATTGCATGCCTCCTGAACATCATCATAATGTTGGGCTATGGCATGGTGGACTGTGTAGTAGGTGGACAGGTCCTGTCCGCGGTCGCTGACAGATAGATGACCGTCATCGTGGGTATCATCATTGTCGCTGTCGTCACATGGCTGGTGGTTCTGTTTGGCATGGAGCTGTTTCACATCTATGAGAGGTACGTAATATCCTGCCGTTAACATGTTTGGTGTTTTGAACACCAGATTCTGATCTTCAATGCCTCTAGATGAGCCTGGATCCCTCAGCTCATCGCTGAGTTCGTGCTCGTCGGTAGCGCTGCCCCTAAATTTGATACCTCGATCGTCTCAAAGGGCGATGCTCAAACGATTGCCGGGAATCGTCTCTCGTTCTTTTCTTTGGCACTCTCTGCTTCCGTGGCTTGGGAGCCCGCCGTCGTCTCTTTGTTTACTTCCCACCGACCACATCGAAATGGAAGACATTCCTAATGACCTTTATTGGGGTGAGCCTGGCCCTCAACTTTGCTAATCTTGTCGGTGTTGGACTTGCTTCAGGCGCCTTCGCTCACCCCCAATGGGCCACCGCGGAGAGCACATCGGCTGGTGCTCTGGTCATGGCGGGCTATGATGGACTTGGCGGCTTCGGAAAGTTCTTGGGTGTTCTGGTCTCACTGGGAATGATTACCAATAATGCCGCGGGCACATAGCATCGCTATGTTTCCAGATCATGGGCCGCCACCTGGCATATCTCTCACGCTTGTTCTATTCGTGCGTGGGTGTGATCATTTACACCGTTTGTGCTCTGGCTGGGCGGAACTACCTCTACGATATTTTCGAAGACTGGCTCGCCTTGATGGGCTACTGGGTTACTATATATTGAAGAGGGGAACGCTCGATGGCTGCACGCGCTGAGACGTGCGGGTCGATTCAGCAGAAAAACCACCACAAAACACACGCGTAGCAATCAGGAAACAGCGAGAAGCCCAAATGTAGGGGTCAGGTCGGGGAGGTGTAAGAAGGTGTATTCTAGAACTAGCTATCCGGCCACTGTATACTGCCGGCTATGTCACATAGTCTGGATGGCACCCATGTAGTAGGGGAGGGTGTCTCCCCACTACAATATCTAATGATTGCCGTTGAAGAGCATTGCATCTTCCGCCGCACGAGTGACTTCGACTGGGACGCCTGGGCAGATCCGTCCAAGCTTCCGTTAGGCATCGCGGCATTAGTGGCTTTCCTGGTGGGCTGGGCCGGTGCTATCGTGTCGATGGACCAGATCTATTATGTTGGACCCATTGCTAGCATGGTTGGCCAGGATGGTTCTGACTTAGGGATCTGGGTGGGAATGGCATGGGCGATGTTAGTCTTTCCGCCCCTCCGGTGGCTAGAGTTGAAAAGGTTCAACCGTTGATGGCCTGTTCTGTTATAGGATAAACAGGCCAGATTCCCGGCATCAATTGAAATGCTTTTATACATAGATCAAAAGTTTCCAAGACTCATGATAAGTCTTCCCAGGCTACGTTTAACACGAAACACTACTCATAGGCATGCCACAGGGGTAAAATACTGGAAGCTGACTTGAGGAAAAATAAAGCGGGGTATAGATTATTATAATACAGTTCTGGCCCTTTCTTGCAAGCGCAGGAAGTCACCTCCACAGGAGACAGGAACATCGAAATGAAAGCACAAAACAAAACACATTTTCGTTACAGGCGCGAGCGCATGGTGGTCATCAACGAATCGTCAGTGTTTTGAATCGACTTAGCGGCACATGAGCAGGCAATTTGGAATGCGAAAACATCCTTTCCGACGAGACTCGCGTAAAGTCGAGTTTTAGTCGGCTTAAAAGACCGTACCCTTGACCTGAGGAACCTTCTTGAGATCGATGTTCCGGATCATGAGAGTCCACGCAAATGCTAGCGCCATGATACCCACACCAGCGGACAGCATGCGCACCTCCGAGTAAGCGTAGGCGTTCTGGATGGCAGTACGGGTGGGAGTGCCAACCGCGTAGGACAGTTGTTGAGTGACATCGTTGTAGATGGAATCCAGATCAGACATGGCCGACTCAGGGAGATTCTTGATCAGTGCCTTCTTGAAAGTGTTGGTCCAAATGGCCGTGCAGATTGTGTAACCCGCAGAGCCACCGATAGTCCCGACAACGTTGAGCAAGGCCAGAGCAGTAGCAAAGTGCTGGTGATCAACAGCGGCCAAGATAGCTAGTTGCTCAACGATAATGAAGATGGCACCACCGATGGAGATGAAGATCTGGCACATTACCTGGTATCCAACACCCATGTCGGGCTTGCGGAAATAGATCATGAGGCCCTGAGCGAAAATGTACAGAGGGACGGAGATGTAGAGAAGCCACTTGAAACGGCCCGTCATGCGGATGATCCATCCGACCAGGAGCAGGAGCACACCCGATACCACATCAAAGGTGTTGGTGATGTATCCCGACTGGGCAATCGTGAGATCATCGACGACCTGCAGGAAGTTCGAGAAGTAGTTGTTCCAGCAGTAGTAGGACAGCTGGTAGGTGGCATCCAGAAGACAGGCACCGAGGACGGTCCGGTCAGTCAGGAGGCGGAAGTTGAAAAGGGGGGATGGGCGCAATGAACTTCTCGTATATACCGAAGAAGAAGATCATCGAGAAACCAACAACCAGCATTGCGATAATATAGCCAGTACCCCAGCCGTTGGGGGCGTCAGCCGCAATATCGAACGGAATCTCGAAGAGCACCAAGCCAGCAGTGAAAATGAAACAGCCGATCACTGCGAGAAGTTCATTAGTACCGCGTGATACAAAAGGCCTGGTCAGGGGGGTTCCAAGTTTACTCACGGTCGAACTCCAAGACCCAATGCTTGATGCTCTGGAACACAGTGCGGCCACTGGGCTCCTTGGCTCGGTGGCCCTGCTTCTCGGCCTTGCGCAGGTTGTACTTGAGGACGATATACAAGGGCGCGGCGACGATGGGGAAAATGATGGCCCAGCATCCATAGCCCCATCGCCAGCTGACCTGGTAGTAAAACTCATCGGCGACCTTGGGACCGGCAAAGGCAGTGATGATGTAGGGTGACGATGTAAAGGCGAAGGCCAGACCTCGGTTCTTCAGCTTGGACGCATCGGCAGTGACGACGTCAACCGCGTACTCCATACCGCCGAAACCAATGTAGTAGAACACCTAGCGCGAGACAATGTGTCAGCACCTCTTTCTTCTTGGGAAGAATCCACGGGCTTCAAACTTACGTTGGCGGCACAGTAGATGTAGAAACTGTCGCAGGACGCCATGAGAATCAGACCGAGAGTGGCAAAGATGGTCATGAGCAGGAAACCTTCGGCACGACCCCAGGTATCCATCATACGTCCGACGGGGAGGTAAGTGGCCGCGGAGAAGGCATCGGCAAGGGCGGTGGGCACACCCGACAGGGAGTGCTCCTGAAACGAACTCGAGACATAGCTGCTCAAGCTGCTATTGACGGAGGACTGGAAGGCGTTGACAAAGTACAGGAACCAGATGCTGTTGGGATGCGAGGTTTAGTTACAGGATCGGGATATCACGGCGCGTGTCTGGTTGGTTCCCGGATCGAAAACAGCAGCAGGACCGGACTCACTTGATGAAGACGAAGGCCAGCGTCTTCTTGGACCAGGTGAGGGTGATGGCTTCGACATCACTGACACCGTGCTGGACGTTCTCGTGCGGCAATTCCGGGTGCGACTCGTAGACGGGCGGCGCTTCCTCGGCAGCAGGATCTCTCTTGCCTTCGGTCTTGCTCTCCTCGACGACGGCGGGTTGCTCGAGGGAGTTCTGCTCAGCCGCCGCGCTGGCGGCATCATCATCCCTGAAGCGACGAAGGACCGCGCGGGCCCTGTTGACCAAGGGGCGGACGGTCATGATGGGGGGAGGACTGGAAGTCGAAAAAAGGTATATAAAAAGACGAAGTCGACCAATGCTAACGAGGGAAATCCTTTCCCTTATAGAACAACGGAGCCCGAGATCGGCAGTCGGCAACGAAACATTCGACGTGGACGGGGGCCAACAGAAACTGCAGGCGAAAATCCTTTCCGGGTTGCGATGGCATGGACAAAGGGGTTCCACTGGGCAAAGACAAAAACCGGGCCCAGCCGACGGCTCGATCTAATCAGATGTTCCTGCCATCTTATCTGGCGCGCACTAGCTCGCGTGGCGTAAGCGACACCCACACCAAGCTTCGGATTTGCCCGCTTCAAGCTTCGCTTGGCTCCTTGGCTGCTTGGCTGCTTGGCTGGAAATGAATTGTGGAACGCCGCATGCCTTGATTTGTCGGTGCGCCATGCTTTTCGCGATTCACGCGCATGAAGTCGTCGCTCTATTCGGAGAAAAAATAATTTTAAAAAAATGAATGCGATCATCGAAGCAACTGGGTCGAGTTATCTGATCCGGGCGCCCAGCCGGATCAACGGCAACCGATCAGCTCAGATCGTGCTGGTGAGTGGCGAGGGCAGCCCTACCAGACATTGGAGCATCCCATCGGATTCCCAAGTGGGATGGTCGACGGACAACCCGATCTCATCCCAGCCCTAACACGATCCACTGCTGTTCTTCGCAGTCCCATGCGAGAGCATAGTATGTCTGGCCAGTTGGGAAAAACCAACATCCCACGTCCCACTGCGCAAAGCGGATATGCTGCCGGCATTGTTGAACCACCACAGCAGGTCCTGCAAAGCATGAAACGGTAATAGGAGTAGAGTAAGAGAATCATAAGCATCATCTAATAATAATATAGTAACAAACGGCGCGTTCGCACCGGGTGGATCCAACTAGCACGAGAAAAGGCCGCGCCGCCGGGACTAGCGATATACAGGAAGAGGGGCGTGCGAACAGTGGAAACAGCCAACGCCCCGTCTGGAGCTTCCGTCTATGCAGGAAAAATAATCGCTCAAAGGGTATAGTAGCTCGCCATTTCCTCCTGGAACCAGTTGTACGAGTAGAACAGTTGCTCCGCCATTTGGGGATCGATCATGGGCATGCCGCCGCTGCCGTCCACCAGCAGCACGTCGTCGAGCACCGGAGCCAACGGCACTGGGGGCGCCGGGGGCGGCGCCAACGTCGACGCTTGGGGAATCAGCGTCGGAGGTTGCGGCGGCGGCAGCGGCGGCGGCTGTTGGTCCAGTTGCTGTTGCTGGTAGGCCATTTGGCTGAAAATAATGGTACTCTGGTGTCGGAAGGTCTCCGCCAGTCGGTCCACTCCCGGTCGCCGTTTCCCAAATTCCTCCAACAAGACGACGACCGCTTGGATGCCGCGACGCATCATCTGCTCGTCGGGTTGCCAAGGCGCGGGCCGAGATTCGCGTAAGGAGCGCGCGTTCTGTTCGAGACACCACAGGATCGTGATGCCGGCAAAATAGACTTGGCTCAGCGTGAGCCAGATCCACTTGAGCTTCCCCACCGAGTAGCTGTCCCAATAGGACCGGATCACCTGCACGCTGGAGTCGCCGCAGCTGACGATGCTGGTGGCATCGGGGGTTGGGTTGCGCGCACTGGGGCGGTACATGAGAAGAAGGGTGGTATAATACAGATAGTCATAGTACGAGGTGGAATAGAGAAGGGCCGAGGGAAACACCGGCGCCGCCATGCGCCAGTCGTCGACCTCGCGACGGAATTGACCCAGCGTGGCGGCCACCTCTTGTGCCGGCGGCCGTGGCAAGTTGCTATACACTACACCCAGTGAAATGTCAGCATATGAAATGAAAAGTGAACAAAAGAAAAGGAAAGAAAAAGGCTCGCGTGGGCACTTACGATATCGGTAGATGCGCGAGAAAATCCGGCGGAGGCGCATCACTTGTACTGGGATCGTCATGGCGCTGGCGCCAGGGGCTACGGTCCCGTCGTCATTGAGCTCCCGGGGCAAGCTCACACTGATGTCTTCATCAGCAATCCCCATCGGACGGCCGAGCGTGCTGGCGATGAGGCGATCCAGATTGTACAGACTCCAAAACGCCCGCTTGGCCATCTCCTCCTCGGCCAGACTGGCGTAGGAGCGGGCTTTGTGCAGACCCATGCTAATTGCCAGTCGCATTGTGGCCCCCAAGACATGCCAGATACTCGGGCCCGATGTCGCAAACATGGTATACAGGGCCAGGCCCAGCAAGGCCCGGACGGCCGGGAGATCCTCGTTCTGCAACGCCAATGGCAGGGTCTCCTGGCTGGCGTGATAGAATTCTGCCGCCCGTGCGGCATCCGCAGAGTCGATCAGCAGCGAAATGGCCATGATGATGTGGTAGGCATTGTGCATCTCCGGCGAGGGGACGCCGCCCGTGTAGATATGCCGCAGCTGGGCCATGAACTCGGGTCGGGACATGAATGGATATTGGTAGCCCATGCTATCGAAGTACTGGCTGGCCATCTGCTCGGCCTCTTCAAACGATGACAGACGTAGCACTCGCGGAGCGGAGGGTGGACGGGCCACAGATGGCCGACGATGCTCGAGCTGATCCCGAAAGATCTCGCCGACATTGGGGAGTTCGGCACCCACGCCCGTCGACGTTTCCGACCCGGGGGCCACTGCGGTCGCCGACGAGCCCCCGCTCCCAGCCGGGCTGGGCATTGAGGCTGCCGACGTTGAGGGGCGAGTGCCGCCCATCGCAATCATGGCGGGCACTTGGTACCACCAGTCGGGATCGCCCTCGCCATCTACGGGGGTGCCCGTGGCCAGGTCGACGACCGAGATGCCGGACTTGCGGCGCACCACCTCCTCAAGCCATCGCACACGCTTTTGTAGATTCTCGAGCTGGTCGCGGGGTACGGAGGTGCTGGCCACTTGAGGCCCCGGCGGGGGGATGGTACAGCGGACGCCGGCGCGGGTGCAGGCGGAGCAATTGGGATAGCGAAAGTCGCACTTCTTCTTGCGTTTGCGACAGAAGTCACAGGCCGTGGATACACGTTTGCTGCGCGACGGAGTGGAAGGATCCGGGGTGGACTCGGGGACGTGCGACCAGGCCGGGGAGGGGCCGGTCGATTCCAGGCGGAACTTGCCCAGCTGGTCGCGGAACTCCTTGTTATCGGAGCTGTTCATGACGGCGGCTCGAACCGTCCATCTCAGCCACACGAGGGTGGAGGGTCGTGGCTGCAGTAGAGGGATGCGGAGAAGAACGGGGGGAAGGTGAAGAACGGTCCCGTCGGCACTGAAGTCACCGTCGCCCTCTTCGCTTACCGCCGATCCGATCGCCGACAACCTCCACCGACGAGCCTCGTGGTGGCATGCCACAGCACGACTGGCTTGACCAGCTGCGCAGAGGGAAAGACAGTCGCTACGCCAGGGACCACTGCTGGCCGCACGATGCCCGGCTGAAACGTCTCGCTTGCTGTGACACGGAGAAGCGATGCAACCATACTAACTGATAGCAATCCCAACAAGCCAATGCTAGCTCGTCGACTCCACAGCCGCATCGCTCGACGCAGGCACATTCTGCGAGCCCTGCTTGTCCCCGGATTCTGCAGTGACGCCACAGGGTCGCCAAGATGAAACAACCTCCACCGTCGCGATCCGGTGGATCGATCGTCGTCGGTGGATGCCTCAATCGGCATGCCACACCCTCGTATTCGTCCCTGACACCCGAAAGACCATCGCGAGCTTGTTATTTTAGGATACAATGCTACATTGGGTCCCTCGTATTCGTCCCTGACACCCGAAAGACCATCGCGAGCTTGTTATTTTGGGATACAATGCTACATTGGGTCCGGCTGCTTCAGATGAAAGAGATAGCCACCAGGCAGACGAGCATAAATAGCAGCACTCGTCTCGGATCCATGACTTCTTCATTCCTGTGATTGCCAGCACGAAGATTTGACAACCCTGATATCCAACCTTTTTTTCTCCTTTGTCGGTGTTTGACGTCCACTTCTCTACAATGTCTTCCACCATCAAGACTACCGCCCTCTCTCTGTTGCTCGCGGCCGGCCTCGCCAGTGCCGGTCCTCTGAACGCCCGTGCCAGTGGAGTCCAGGGCTTCGACATCTCCAGCTACCAAAGCGATGTGGACTTTGCCGGAGCCTACAAGGACGGGGCGCGCTTCGTCATGATCAAGGTTTGTCCAACCTTTTCTTGAGGCTCCCCAGGCCGATTAATACTGATGCGTCTCCCCGCCGCCCAGGCCACTGAGGGAACCACCTACATCGACAGAAGCTTCTCCAGCCACTACGATGGCGCCTCCTCTGCTGGTCTGATCCGAGGCGGCTATCACTTTGCCCACCCGGACTCCAGCTCTGGGGCCAAGCAAGCCGAGTACTTCTTGGCCCACGGTGGTGGCTGGTCGAATGATGGCAAAACCCTGCCGGGCATGCTGGACCTCGAGTACAACCCCTCGGGCTCGACCTGCTATGGACTCAGTGCGTCCGACATGGTCGCCTGGGTCAAGGACTTTGGCGAAACCTACAACAGCAAGACTGGCCGCTACCCCATGATCTACACCACGGCCGACTGGTGGAAAACCTGCACCGGGAACAACGGGGACTTTGGCGCCGATTACCCGCTGGTCCTGGCGCAGTATGCCAGCTCCATCAGCACCGTCCCCAACGGCTGGTCGTACCAGAGCTTCTGGCAGAACTCGGATTCGTACAGCTACGGCGGCGACTCGGATCTGTGGAATGGGAGCGAGGATGCCTTGAAGACCTTTGCCAAGGGCTCCTAGATTCGTTTAGATTGTCAGAACACGATAGAGTATTTTTTCTTGTCAGTTGTCCTAGACATATTGTACATACCTGAATGCTTCGAACTGAATTTAAGCAAGTGAAGTTTATGAAGGTTTTGCTATAGCCCTCCCTTCCAGCAATCTCATAGCGCATATATATATTCTACGTCCTATACGAGACCGTGACGAAAATGTCGTGGCGTTGATGGGGCCAAAATACAACTATTCTTTAAAATGCGGTGTCTTGCAGGGGGTGCGATTGTGGCGCCCCCATCAATACCCCATCAACATCACCTTCCCTCTCAGTCTTGATCCTGCCACATCACGGCACACCATCTCACGCTCTCTCAACCGGCTGCCTACAAACCTCCGGCTCCGCCGATCGTCGCAGGCTTGATCATATCAAGCTCGATTTCGACGAGCGCATTGGCACTCGTCATCGGCCCACCCCTCGCTGATAAGCAGCGCACATCACCACTTGTAACCTGCCTCAGACGGTGGTTTTCATCTTCCTCAACAGTCATGGAGGACCTCGACAGGAATACCTCCCCGGCGTCCGGGCTACCGCTGGCCTTCCACGGTACCGTAATCCACTCAATCAGCCTGACCGAACTCGAAGTGCTGCAAAATTGCTTCATGCTCGTCGACAAATCGGGCAAAATCCAGACACTGCAGGCTGACGTACAGCCCGAACAAATCATCGCCATCGTGTCTGATCATGGCTATGCCCCCGATGTCTTCCCCGTCAAGTATCTCCGTCGGGGAGAATTTTTATGTCCCGGTTTCGTCGACACCCACAACCATGCGCCGCAGTGGGCGCAGCGTGGTCTGGGGATCCGCGGCGAGTCACTCCTCGACTGGCTGAACAAAGTGACCTTCGCCCACGAGGCCAAATTTGCGGACGTTGAATATGCGAAGCGCATGTACGCCTCCTGCGTCGCTGGGTTCCTGCAGCAAGGCATTACCACCGCGTCTTATTACGGATCTCATCACGGACAGGCGACTCGGATCTTGGCCGATGTGTGTGTCGACAAAGGCCAGCGCGCACTGGTCGGCAAATGTAACATGAACCGCAATGCGCCGGAGTGGTATCGCGATGCATCGGTCGCGGACTCGTTGCGTGAAACACGCCAGTTGATTCGGCATGTGCAGGACCTCGATCCGGAAAATGACCTTGTGAAACCCATCCTGACACCTCGGTTCGCCATCTCCTGTGAGTCGGATCTTCTACAGGGCATCGGAGAAATTGCAAAAGAGCATCCCGACTTGCCGATTCAAACACACTTTAACGAAGCACAGCAAGAGATCCAATATACGCGGCAATTATTTCCACAGTTTCGCACCGAAGCCGATCTCTACCGGCAATACGGTCTATTGAACGACCGGACGATCCTGGCACATTGCATTTTCCTAGAAGAAGAAGAGATCCAAACACTTCAGCACCTTCGGTGCGGCGTGGCTCATTGCCCCATTTCCAACACCACCATGCAGGAGTTTATGGTCGCACCCATTCGAGAGTACCTGCGCAGGGGAATCAAGGTCGGCCTCGGGACAGATAGCGGCGGTGGATACTCGTCATCCATGCTGGACGCGATGAAGCAGGCCTTTATCGTATCCAATGCCAGGCACATGCTGACAAAGGGCCAAGATGCACCCTTGTCGCTGGCCGAAGGATTCTTCCTGGCCACATTGGGTGGTGCCCAGGTCTGTGGTCTCGAGGATCGGGTTGGCAATTTTGCCGTGGGCAAGGAGTTCGATGCGCTGCAAATTCACACCGGAGAGCTAGAGCAGCCAGGGGTCATGAGTCCAGTTGAGGAAGACGATTCCGTCTTGGCCATTTTTGAGAAGTTCCTAATGACCGGCGACGATCGTAACATCGTCAAAGTCTATGTTCGGGGTCGGTCCGTGAAGGTGTAACCCCCGTTGGTTTGGGTGAGATGCCAGCATAGCGTTAAAGTTGTTTGTCATGATGAAATGAAGCGAAATGAGACTTGTCTATTGATTTTAGAGACCTAGAGCCACCCCGATAAGAGTAATTTATGACTGTATAAGGTGCGCCAATCGTTCGTGCGGATATCCCATCAAACCACATTACCGGAAAACTCCAAGCAGACCCACATAAAATGCAGACAAGCCAAGCCCAACGATATATACCTGCCGTCCAGCAAGAGAAAATGCTTCAAAAATTCAAATAGATGTACACGACGGGGATATTTCATTCCCAGGCTCCTTTCGGGGGACCAAAGTAGCCTCGGGCCGGTAAGCTTTTGTAGGGGGTGCCCTGCCCATCCGCGGTGTTGGTATACACAGTATTACCCCACCAGCTCAAAGATCCTGCTGGTAGCGTAATGCAGAAGTAGATGATGACCGTCGCGACGGCAACGCCACAGTCTAAAGCGGCAGAGAGGACATAATTGTATTTCGACCACCATGCCGGTTTGCGACGGCGCAGCACGCCGTTGAAAATGACATTGAGTGCCCACCACGAGGAAAAACTCACCCCCGTGGCTGGGGGAACGAGACTCATGGCGCCAAATGCCACGGGCCAGGAAAGATAGTTGACGCGTTTCCAGCGCCGACCAAGGAGGTAGGTGATCGCCACGACCACCGGCCCCACGAGGAAAAACCATAAGATATTGCCATAGATCTCTCCCGGAGAGAACAGTCGGCCGGGGCCAACGACACCTGGAGGACCCATTAGTGAGAACGGCTTGAGTCACTCAGATTAAGTGAATACATACCCCAGATGAGAGACGATGAGTAGGTCACCCGGCCATGAGGGCAGGTAAAATTGCCCGCAGCATCACTTGTACACACCCCGTCGATTCTCGTAATCATAAATATCGTGACACCGCACTGAACGATAGCGCCAACGAGGGTGGCCAAGCCTTGTGCAGCAAAGAGTGTGCGTGGCGCAATGTGCAGGTAGTGAGCCAATTTCATATCCGCAACAAATTCCAGTCCTTGTTGAACAGCAACGTAGCCATAGAACTTGAAAACCATGTTTGCAATGGGTCGTCCGAGAAAGGCATAGCCACCGATGAACTCGGTGAGTAGGTTCAGTTGGTTGCTACTGATATTGGTCATCGCTTTCACAATTCCCACGGGAATGAAATAGATCATCGGCATGAGGAATGCCACCAAGACCGCCCAGGCTGGGAGACCCGTCTTCCACACTTCGTTGGTGACAATACTCAGCGCAAACATGACCACAGTGATGGCCGCAAACCACCACCAGGGCACGGTACGATAGCTCGACATGAGCCGAGTGTGAACATCGGTTTTGTTCGTCCCTTTCCACTGCCGCCACAGGTCTCGCCCATGATAGAGGCCAATATGGACAAAGATGCCGCTCAGATTGGCGAAGGCCACTCCGAAGGTAATGGCATAGCCTGCCGGCAGAAACATGGGCGAGTAGTTCCGGTAGGCGGCTTGATTGACGGTGCCATCGGGGTTCATAATGCGGGCGGTGTCATAGGTTTTGCCGGTGTTGTCGAAGGTGTTGGAGTTGAGCATTGGGAGGAATGCCGAGTACCAGGTGTTGGTGTAGTAGACCAGCGGGCATATCAGCCAGAAGAAAAGGGCAAACGAACCCATGACATTGAGCCCGGCCCAGAATGGAACCAGGAGTGGACTCTGGTTCGCGTACACCACCTGCGACCAGTCGAAGGTGAGAATCGACATTCCCAGCCCGGTGGTTTGTCCGAACAACTGGTTGACGACGACGTTCTTCGGCACTATCCAGCAAATGAAACTGAAGGTGCTCAGTCCCATGAACAGGTATCCCGGCGCAAAATACCAAATGGCGCCTGCCACGAAGACGAGGAGAAAAAAGCGCAGGCGGGTGATGGTCCAGCCGTCGGCCACAGTATTCTCGCGGTTATGCAAGGTGGTCAGCAAGGCGGCATTCGAGAGAACCTGGGGCCATAGCATTGCGGCCGGGGCGACCAGCCAGCGGGCGACCATCCCAGCGAGACCGAACCCGAAGAGCTGGGTGGTGATGCACAGCAGCACCTCGAAGCCGCCATGGGACGGTATGCCATAGAATTTGACCATGGCTTCGATGATCTGGGTGGCCTGGGCGGACCCGATGGAGACATTAGCCATGATGGTGATGAGGCCATGCTCCTTGATATTGAAGTGTCGGTCGGGGTTGAAGACGCCCAGCGGCACCCATTTGGCCCAGGCGCATCCGACGGGAAAGGCCAGCAACTGGGCGACCAGGGCGCTGATGGTGACGCTAGGCTGGCGCAAGCTGAAGAATTGGTTGAGACCGCTGCCGATGATGGTGAAGAGGAGGCCAATGGTCCACATGCGAGCCGTATTCACGGGGAGCGACCGGTCATCTCGGGGCTGGACGACGGCGCGCACCTCGGGGAAGGGCGAGTCGTCGGCCTCGTAGGGAAGGATCTGTTCAGCATCGCGGTCGCGCAGGATGGAAATTTCGTCGCCATCGTCGGCTCGATCGGAGGGCGAGGTCTGGCAGGCACAGTGGTGTCAATGGAAGTGCTCGTATGTTGCATTATTGCGTTGCCCTCGGGTACGAGTCTCACATCCTCGCCTCGTGCAGGCCTCAATTGGAGATGTGACAAGGACAAAGTGGGGAGGGATCGGCCGCGAGGATGCCAGCGAGGGCACAGGTGAATCCCCATGCAAGGGGAAGGGGCTAACCTACCTGGGACCACGACTGCCGGTCCTTGGCTTCATCCATGTCGAGCCAAGACCGGCGACAGGCCAGCGTCAGGGGTACAAGGGGTCATCGACGGACCAGGCCGACTTGCAGCTGACCCAAAAGGAGGTGCAGGATCGAGAGTGGAGGAGCGGCGGAGCGGCGGAGCGATGAATTCCTGGCGGGCGGAGGCCTTCGGGCGGGATGGGCCGAATACGACATTAGTACTAGTTACTATGTACTTACTACTATCATGATATGACGAGGACCCTATACATAATATGGACTATGCTGGCAGTGTTGAATATTATCTGAGGGAAGTATATTATACCTCAGGGTCGAGATCTCCGACTCTGCCCCGTTGCAGCTGTGATCCAGTTGGTCGCGACTAGTATGCACCTTAAAAGTCACGGGACTAGCGGGACGACATACCCCGACAGAAGTATGTACCCTACACGAGTGTAGAGTATACGGCGGCGTAGCCACGGCATGTCGATAGCGGATAATACACAGGTCTCTATCTGGATCTTGACTGACTATTACGATGCCCACAGGCACCTCTCGAATCCGGTTCAAATGCAGAATACCGTTAAGCATCCTCTCAGCCGCGGCTCATCGTGTCGGGATGGCCCGCCATGCAGCGGTTGTGCGCTCCACCGGTCGGTCCGGAGCGCTCCCAGAGGTTGGACGCCACTAGAAAAAAAAAAGAAAGAAAGAAAGAAATCAAATCGAAAGTATCCTCGTTTTGCAATGGCGGAGATTACGACCACATGCCCACATACACGATGCACTGATGAGGACCGCTATGAGACGGGAGCCCGCATAAAGGTCTGAGTCGCTGCAGGATATACATTAGGGATTTCCGAGGATCGTGCGAGATCATATCGATAGAAACGCAACGAATCCCAGTGATATCATGATCATGCAAAGCACGCCTGTTCAACTCGGCACAAAAGACGATAGGAAAGCCCAACTGTCCATCCCCGCCATCATGGGCGAAAGTGCCGTTGATGCTTCTCTGATCCCCTTTGCGCAAAGGCCGGTCATCATCCTGGGTGCTGGCATCATCGGATGCGCCACGGCCCGGCAGCTCCTCCAGCAGGGCTTCTCAGTCGTCCTGGTGGCAGAGTTTCTCCCGGGCGACCAGGATATCTACTATGCTTCGGCATGGGCAGGCGCCGCATGGCATGCCGCTGGCGGCATCACGCCGGACCAGCGCTACCTCCAAGCCGTTACACATCGAGTCCTGCTCCAGATGGCGCAGGACCCGGAGTCGGGGGTGAGCGTCGTTGATGCTCGAGAATACCTCGAGCAACCGCCCGCGCCCGACTCGGCCATCTGGGGACGGACTGTGGTGTCCAAGGTCAGTTCACTATACAACTAGTCTACTGCTGGTAGCCGTCCTCGTCCGGTCTTCATATTGACTTGTCTGTAGTTCCGGGAGATGGACCAGACCGAATATCCCTCCGACTTCCACTGTGCCTGGGCCTACAGAACCCTGGTCACGGACCCGACTCGCCATATGCCATGGCTGGGTCGTCAGATCCGGGCCCTAGGGGGCCAGTTCGTCCGGCATCGGGTGCAATCTCTCCAGCAGCTCTACGAGATGTATCCCGAATCCCGCGTCTTCATCAACGCCAGCGGTCTGGGCAGCAAGACGCTCACCGATGTCCTGGATGATCGCTGCTTCCCGGAGCGAGGGCAGAACGTGTTCCTGCGGACCGACCAGTGCCATACGATGTACTTCCGCAACGGGCAGGAATACACCTATGTGATCCCCCGGCCGCAGTCGAAAGGGGTGATCCTAGGGGGCGTGAAACAGGAAGACAGTCTGTACGTATGGAGATCATGAATTGCATGGACGCTAAGCAGCGCGAGAGAGTCGCCACTGACCCCGGAACCAGGTCCCCGGAAGTCGATCTTGCGATCGCGCGGGATGAGATCGCGCGCGCCCACCGGTTGGCGCCTCACATTGTACCGGCGCAGCCTGCAGAGGACGCGGTTCGCCACATCATTGGCATCCGGCCCTCACGGCGCGGCGGCTTTCGGCTGGATGCCACGCAGGCGGCGACGCGGACGGTGCTCTCCGCATACGGGTTTGGTGGCGGGGGATATGCGTTTTCGTACGGGATTGCCGACGCACTAGTGAAGATGGTGGAGCAGGCCGAGCGGGCGCATGTCATTGTTTAGATCTGGACCGTCGATGACGATGGTTCGTCTTGTAGCGAAAGGTCGTGTGGTGTGCATGTTCCGAGCGCTGAGCGCTCCTGCGTTGATCGCGAGGATCCAATGCAATTGAATATCTTGCTTTTAATATGTCGTCTCTCTCTGTCTCAGTCGCTTTCTCCCGGTTCTCCTTTGGGTGCCTTGCGACAGAGGTATTTGCCACATGTGCGACGCGCGGAGAAACGGGCGAGGTCCAGGTGTTCTCCCCGCCGGGCGTTTTTGCCGGCCAACGACGCACCGCCGCGACTCGGCTGGCCCCATCTTGTTCTGCCCTGCCAGTTGCCAGGTTTTCTCTATTCCCGTTAACCTGCATTTCATTTTCCGACCCGTTTTCTTCTTCCCCCCGTCAAATGCGCTTCTCGTCTGCAACTATCGCGACCGTGTGCCCTGCCCGCTGCCCGCTGCCCGGTCATTGTTCGGCTCAAAATCGGAGGTTGAGCTGTTTCATACAACGACGATAAGGCACGACCATCTGAAAACCCACCGACGCCCAGCAACGCGAACCCCCCCCCCCAAAACAACAGCCCCCGAGACGCACGAACTTCGACGAGACGCCCGACGATAGTCCTTTGGATGCCGCTGCTCCCTGTCGTTTCGCTGTGTGCTGTACCTGCCAGCAGGCAGGACAGGTGAATGGCATTCGAGATGGTTCTGGACCAGCAGATGCTCCGTCTCACCCTGGAGGATCGTCAGCCCGTCGACTTCACCAAGGTCATCACTCCACCAACCGAGAGTGACCAGACGACGTCGCCGACGGCATCGGCCGTATCGCATGTCTCCGAATCTCGAGCGCAGGACAAGGTGGGCGCCGTCGCCGACCCCATGAGCCGCATCTATCGACACACCCCAACGCCCACCATCGTCCTTGATGGCACCCTCCGTGTGCTCGAAGTTTCCGACAGCCACCGGAATTTATTTCGACAGAGCCGCGCGCAGTTGCTCGGGACGAGCATCTACGAATTGCCGCCGCGCATCGTCCCAGCGCCCGATATTGCGCTGCTGAGTGGCGCGCTGGGCGCTGCCCTCACCACGCGAGCAGCCCAGGCTATTAATGCCATTTCAGTCGCTGGTGTCGATGAACACTTTACATTGCGTGTCACGCCCATCTTTGAAGATGATGCGTTGATCTACGTGCTGCTGGAGGCCCAGTCCAGCACCCGCGAACAGCGCGCCCTCGCCCCGGCCCAGGAGCAACCGTTCCTCAACGAGACGTATAAGATTCTCGTCGACACCGTCAAAGACTACGCCATTTTCATGCTTGATACCCATGGTCACATTGCCACATGGAACTCGGGCGCATCCATCCTGAAAGGCTACACCACGAGCGAGATTATCGGAAAGCACTTCTCCGTGTTCTACAGCGCCGAAGACCGGGCAGCCGACAAGCCCGGACGGGAGCTCGAGATCTGTTTGCTGGACGGCAAGGTCGAAGATGAAGGCTGGCGCTATCGCAAGGACGGACAGCGCTTCTGGGCCAATGTCATGATCACCCCGATCTACCAGTTTGGCCGACATGTGGGGTTCGTCAAAGTCACCCGCGACCTGACGGAGCGCAAGGCCGCCGAGGCGCGCTTGATCGCAGCCTTTGAGGAGTCGGCCAAGCTCAAAACGGAATTTTTGGCCAACATGTCGCACGAGCTGCGCACCCCGATGAACGGCATGTTCTTGGCCTTGACCATGCTCTTACGAACCCCCCTCAATGACGATCAGCGGGAATATGCCTCGATCCTCGAAGATTCCACCTCGATCCTCCTCCAAGTGATCAACGATGTGCTCGATTACTCGAAGCTGTCCTCCGGGACTTTTTCTCTTACATCAGACGTGGTCAACATCCCCAGTGTGGTCAATGCGGTCGTGCGAAACTGCCAGCCGTCCGTGAAGGCCGGGGTGGCTCTGGAAACCTTCATCCCCGATGATTTCCCCCAAAATATCAAGGGCGACCCATTACGGTTTCGGCAGGTGTTACAGAATCTCGTCGGCAATGCCGTCAAGTTCACCGAGAAGGGTTATGTGCGGGTGAACGCCTCGCATACCCAAGACCCCAAGGATGCTCAGCTGTGTGACGTTTCGATTGAAGTGGTGGATTCGGGGATCGGCGTGCCCGACGACGCCGTGGGAACGCTTTTCACGCCCTTCACGCGATTTGCCGACTCGGCCAGCAGACGATATCAAGGCACGGGACTGGGCTTGTCGATTTGCAAGAGTCTGGCGGAGCTCATGAACGGCGCCGTCGGGTTCCATGCCAACCCGGATGGACCGGGCAGTGTGTTCTGGATGTCGGCCAAGTTTCGACGCATGGATTCCCCGGCCCACAGGCGCCTGACGTCGCCTGTGCCGACGGACCCCTCGCCTATGTTGCAAAAGGTGGCGCCGCAGAGGCAGGTCTTGTTAGTGGAAGATAACAGGGTCAACCAAACGATTATGCTCAAATTGCTGGGATCCCTCGGGTTCGAACGTGTGGATGCCGCCTGGGACGGGGCCGAGGCCGTGCGCATGGTCAAGCAGAAGCGACTGGCGTACAGCGTGATTCTGATGGATATCAACATGCCTGTCATGGATGGCATCACCGCGACCGAACAAATTCGCGCGATGAATGTCGATGTGCCCATCATCGCCCTGACCGGGAATGCCCTGAAAGGCGACGCGGAAACATACTTGGCGAAGGGCATGGATGATTACATTGCCAAACCTCTCCATCGCCAGCAGTTGATCGACCTGCTCTGGAAATGGTGTGGACCGTAATTCCGGCATCTTTGGCGGAATCACGTACATACCATCCTCAATGAACCCCTCAAAACGTCGGCCACGAGTCGTAGATTACCACGACTCCACCCTCTCGACCTTATTTAGACTCGAGCTCGCGGCCGGCCGCAGCATGCATCAACCTTAGTCAAGGACCGAGGACCCCGTGCCGTTGGCCGCTCCGCATGGCGTATCACGACCACGATGTCATCGATACCCCGTGCCATCCGACGCTCAGTCGCCCGGCAGTCTTGGAGCCCCGTTGTGGGCCACTGGGACGGAAGCTGCCACCCCCTCACCCCTGAAAATCACCTCGGAATTATTTTCAACCACGACCGGATAGTCCGATGATGATTCCCTCGAGTCGTGGCATCCTTTGGGTCCGCACACCATTTGTGAAGAACGCGCGGGCTGATGTAGAATCATGTCCCGCCTGGGGTGAGCCTGGATACTCGAATATGCGCATGTTCCCCTCGGCCTCTTCCCTTCTCGGCATGCAGCCTACAGCCTGCAGGGACTGCTGGGCTGGGGTAGTATAATTATCATTGCTTGTATTCCCCGGAGGCACTCCAAAGCGGGGATCCCCGCCTATTTGTTAGTATAGTATGCAGGGTAGTCTGGGACTGATGATCTTAAAAAGGTCGAAGATAATTAATTTGGAAATATGTTGCAGCCTGGGCGCTCGAAATCACACAGACAGCTTCGCTTGGTTTTCTTCTGCCTCGTAGAAGCTCTCATGGAATGAGTACATCATGGTACTATCATCGCATTATTATTGTATGGCTGTATTGGCGACGGCGACGTAGTGGGGTTGCGCCCACCGCCCGCGTGCTTGTTCCTGCTGCTTTCGACCTTCCTGTGGGGTACATTCCATGCGGTACTTCCTACACGCAGCCAGAACTGCTCTGCAGCCCGATGACTGGCCGAGTGCGCCTCGTGCTCCTACGGCATGACTGCATGCCTCGCGCCAAACTCTCCTCGGCCACGATGCAAAAGGTGCAAAGGTTGCGGGGATGCGCACTCAGGGGCATATCAGGATCGTCGCCATCAACCATCCATTGGCCCGTCTCGAAGAAATTCGTCACTGTCGCAAACCCTATGAGGAGAGTGGATAACCGGCATTCCCAATTGAGCAAAGATACCTCCACCATCCAGTGGAGTCCGGAAACCTTGAACGCGACGATGACGGCATGCGGGCATCCCCTTTTTGCTTTTTGGGGGGACGTTGACCATCACAACGGCTGGACCGGGGTGGCTTTGCTCTGCGTCCCCTGCCGAGGCCCTGATCCCTCGTCGCAGGGCCCTCGTCGTGCCTGACCGAGGAAGAACGACTGCCTAGTGAACCAAGCTTCCCATGTGAAGCTTGGCTTAGATGCCCCGAGGCTGGTGATGGAAGACGAACCAGCCGCTGCATCCAAAGACTACTTTCGGCGCTGCCTATGCACCAGGAGAGATTGGTTAGTGCTCTATAGCACGCGGCTAGTGCTGAGCGCAGTCGCCAGAAAACCGGGATGCATCAAGTGGGTGTACAGCTCAGGGTCCATTGACCAGCAATGCTAAGAACCACACCAATTTAAGTCGCCGAAAGACAACATCCACCGAAGCACAAAGAGCCCTTCACATGGTCAGCGCGCACTGCAACGCAACCTAAGATCTCATCATTTTTTTACTACCGATTCGACCGCGGGATGTATTGTGCCTTTGCGTGCCCCTCGCTCGTGGTCTTTTCGGCCTGCAGCGCCTGGGAACATGACAGGCAGGGACCGTCTAGCCAAGACAATGCTTACTCCAATCCCATCTCCTCTCTGCCTTGAGGTCCAAGCATCGGCGATCGTCCGCTGTTCTTCCTTGCTGGATAACTCTCAATTCACCAAACTAAGCTATAGTCGGAGTAAATGACCCGTTCCAGACCCGCACCACACGCCGATCGCAGTTCCACCATGAGGTGAAATCCTGATGATGACTTTGCTACCTCGTGCTTTGCGATGTCCTCGTTCTCTTTGATTGGACCGCTCGATTGGGCCCTGAGGGAAAGCGCGGGGTGAACAGGACGGTATAAATCCTGCCTGGGTCCGTCCATTATGCTTCTCCCCGCGTTGTTTGGCTTGTATGTTGACTTAGTTCGGTGAACTCCGCCTTCCATATATTCATCATGAGGTCTTCTGTCCTGTTCCTGGGTGCTGTGGCAGCCAGTGTACTGGCTCTGCCCACGGCGCATGAATATGAAGTGCACGAGCGCCGTGATTACATCCCAAGCTCCTGGGTCGAGCGCAAGAGATTGCACGGGTCTGCATCGCTACCCGTCCGCATTGGGCTGACCCAGAACAACCTGGACTATGGCCATGAGCTATTGATGGAAATGTACGTCCGAACGTTCGCTTGTTACCTGCCACTGACATTGTAAACAAGGTCGAATCCCGCCTCGGACAATTACGGCAAGCATATGACCGCAAGCGAAGTGCATGATCTATTTGCTCCCAGCCAGGACAGTGTGGACAGCGTGCGCGACTGGCTCGAGTCGTCGGGCATCGCATCAAACCGGATCTCCCACTCGACCAACAAGCAATGGATTCAGTTCGATGCCGATGCGGAAGAGCTTGAGAAGCTTCTCAACACCGAATACTACGTTTACTCTCACTCTGAGACAGGCCGGCCGCACGTCGCCTGCCGCGAGTAAGTGGGATCCAGGCGCACCGCGCTGGTTGCACGGTAACTGACACCGCCGATATAGGTACCATGTCCCGCGCTCAGTGCGTCAGCACGTGGACTACATCACCCCTGGTATCACACTGCGTGAGGTCACCGGCCTGGGCAAGACTAGTAGTGGCAACCTGCAGAAGCGTCGGCAGAATGGCGAGCCCCCTATCATCGGTCCCATTGCCAAGCCTATTGAGCAGCTGCTCGGCGGTCTTCTCGATTTTTGTGATATTGCTGTCACACCTCAGTGTATCAAGAGTAAGTTAATAGCACATTCACTATACCCCCCCCCCCCCCTTGGGTCATGTACTCATGGCAGCCTATAGCTATGTACAACATCACCGATGGAAAGAAATCCACCAAGGGAAATGAACTTGGTATTTTCGAGGGTCTTGCCGATGTGTACTCTCAAGAGGATCTGGATCTGTTCTTCTCGACCTTTGCCAAGTAAGTAATTCACCCATCAAGGGCCCGGGGCCCGTCGACATCACAAGGATCGCATAACTAACATTTGCATAGTGAGATTCCGAGCGGCACTCACCCCATCCTGAAGGCCGTCGATGGTGCCAAGGCACCTGCTCCGATCCTGAGCGCCGGTCCCGAGTCGGACTTGGACTTCCAGATTTCGTATCCCATCATCTGGCCCCAGAACTCCATTCTGTTCCAGACTGATGACATGGTCTATGAGAGCAACTACACTTTCCGCGGGTTCCTGAACACCTTCCTCGATGCGATCGACGGCTCTTACTGTGACACCATCTCGCCCCTGGATCCTCCTTACCCCAACCCCCAGGAGGGTGGCTACAAGGGCTCCCTGCAGTGCGGTGTCTATGAGCCCCCTAATGTGCTCTCCATTTCGTACGGAAGCGCCGAGGCCGATCTCCCTATTTCCTACCAGCGTCGCCAGTGCAATGAGTTCATGAAACTTGGTATGCAGGGTGTGTCTGTCGTGGTGGCTTCCGGTGACTCTGGTGTTGCCGGTCGCCAAGGCGACCCAACCCCGAGCAACTGTCTTGGTGAGGATGGCAAGGTCTTTGCTCCCGACTTCCCTGCCTCGTGCCCTTACATGACCGCCGTGGGAGCTACCGTTATCCCCTTGGGTGGCAGCTCCACTGGCCATGATGAGGTGGCCACTACCCGCTTTGGCTCGGGCGGTGGCTTCAGCAACATCTACAAGCGTCCCGACTATCAGAACAAGGCCGTGGAGGATTACTTCTCCAAGGCTAGCCCCAGCTACAAGTACTACGAGAGCGTCGACAACAGCAGCTTCGCCGCCAATGGCGGCATCTACAACCGCATCGGTCGTGGCTACCCCGACGTCTCGGCTATCGGTGATAACGTTGTGATCTACAACACCGGTCTGCCCCAGTCGATCGGCGGTACCTCCGCCTCGGCCCCGGTCTTTGCGGCCATCCTGACCCGAATCAACGAGGAGCGACTGGCGGCCGGCAAGTCGACTGTCGGCTTCGTCAACCCCGTCTTGTACGAGCACCCCGAGGCCTTTTTTGATGTCACTAGTGGCAACAACCCCGGCTGTGACACCAATGGCTTTGATGCCGCGGAGGGCTGGGACCCTGTGACTGGACTGGGAACCCCCAACTACCCGGCTTTGTTGGAGGTCTTTATGAACGAGTAGACCATGACTGTCGACTTGACATGAGCATGAGCTTCACGGAATATCAATCATATAAATATACATATTCGAGGGACCTTTGTCTAGTCAGCTGCAGATAGTCAGCTTAATCGATCATCACTACCCTCAGTACACACACTATTCTATATATTATCATCGTAGCATTCGAAGCGAACATTTTTTACGGGACATACCATCTATACTGGTGCAATGTGTCTATCAAGTGTTTCGGCTGTGCTGTCGCTTCTCGCAATCAATGAGTACGCTAGGTGAGGGTTCCGTCCGGGGTCATACATGATGTGTTTACATTGCAGTAAGTGCATTAAATGGAGAGTTCTCAATACGCCCATAATATAGGTACGATGTCGCGCGTAAGAAAGCGTCCTAGTGCAAAAGCCCATTCGTCCTGCAAGTCATAACCCAGTCTGCATTTTGACCAATTGGAATCACTGGGTGGTTTCCACCGATTCCCATTGGTCAATGAGTGGCTGGAGGGGCTCAACTCGGTGAAGTTCGACTTCTGCGATCGGTCGGAAAAATTCTGGAAGTATGCATGTAATTTTTACTAGAAATATTTTTCGGCTTGTGGCTAGAAATATGGAATAAAGATTTCAGAAGACGGGTGACTCATGACTGCGGCGTCAGAAAATCTACCGGATCCATGAACGCCTCGCCAACTTCGTCACAGTAGCTAGGCCAAGCATCCATATTGATAAAGTCCGCCCAGGACCAAAGGGATTCATTATTCAGATCTGGCAAAGAAGCTCCGTCATTGTGATCAATATTCCAAGTCGATTCCGGAACAGTATTCGGAGCGATCTGGTTCTCGCCAGTCGGGACAGACGATGACGATGTCTCTGGCGTTGGTTGACCGAGATTCAGCATTTGCACCAGGGTGTCAACTTTAGTACATAGATGACGGGTCAAAGAGGCAGCTCTGATCGCAGTCGTATTCTCGCTACCGGCTGAATTGAACACCTCTAGAGCAAGGTGAAGGTACTCCCGTGCGCGCGGACAACGATGACAGTATGGATATGCGAGCATGAATCCAATTATGGTGATCACCGCATTCCACTGGTGCTGATATAACTCGGATACTCCATGTAAGATCTCATGTATTGTTGATCGGTCATGGAGAATTCGGATCATGGTTAAGGCGTGGTTGAGCGCGGTCGCGGCATGAGCGTCGGCCTTTGGATTGGACTTCGGCACGAGTGGGTGACTGGGAAACTGGATGAAGACCCGGTGGAGACTCATGATGATGTTATGATATTGTAGCAGTAACTTTGTATGCAACAGAGTATCCATTGCTGACTGCTCCATGAGTTGGTCTTGGGCGTCAAAACTATTCATCGACGCAGTAGGGTCGACCGGTATGTCCGGTACGTCGAAGTGTATACTATCAAAAGGCCGCCCCGGGGGCAGATCTTCGCGCCATTTATTCAAGTGGAAGAGGTGGTCGGAGAGACACTGAGATCTCGCCTCGATATCCGTAGTTTTCTCTGCTCCACCGGGGAGAAATGAATGGCGATCCATAGCCTCGTTAGTGACCAGCGCTGCAGCTGTTAAGCGGAGGGTTTCAGTGTGATATAACACTCCGTCTGGGTGAGAGATATCTCGCGGCTCTCTGGTAGGTAGCAAAGACATCAAATTCTCCGCATGAATGTTGACCGGCTTGCCCACATGTCTCGAGCACCGGAAATCTAGATGAATCAATGTCCACCAGATGCGGCGAAACAGCTGACATTGCGAGTACCCGGTTCGTGCATCCATGTAGTTGAGCGACTGGGTGATGCGGAGAGCCAGACCCACCATGTTGTAGGCTGCTTGGTGCTGCCCGGCATCCAGCAGGTATAAAGAAAGATAACAGTAACATTGCATAACGGATATTGTTGGACTGGCAAACGTAGCAAATTGAGTCACGGCGGAGAGACAGCGTTGGAAGTAGGGAATTCCCACCATTGCTTTCCTTTGGTGGAATTGTGGCCAGTTGAGGCCAGTGAGCCGTGTGTGGAGTTGCGAATGATATATGTGATGCAAAGAGTAGGCTGTGACGGCATCCTGCAAAGGCGAAGGAGCACGCGCCGATTGGCCAGACCCTTCCAGATCCTTCAATTCGACAATGGGCATTTGCGGCCGCAGTCGAGACCAAAAAACCTTCATGAGGTGACTGATCTGAGCCGCGGACAGGTCACACTCGGCGAACGGAGTGTCGTGGAGTGTGCTAGACGGGAAAGGCGACATCTGCTCTAGAGACGAGTTACTGCCCGACGGAGTGGTATCGGGAGATAGCTGCGACACTCCCGAGCAGAAGGCATTGATACGGGCAATGAATCCCAGCATTGAATCTGTTTTGTGAGAAGTCCATGCCAGATTTGACGTCGGCGAGGGTGACGGTGCTGGGACTTCTACTGTTGAGTCGTTCGGCGGCTTGGTGGGGGCCAAGTGCCCCGCTGGGGAGGAGTTGATAATTCCACTGTCTCTCCGGGTCTGTCGTTTCGTTTGGGGCGTATTTGATGGGCGAGATCGATGACAGGGGACAGCGTTCGCGACACATTGGGGACACGGCGTCGTGGCCTCGCAGCGCACCCGATGTTCGCGGCAAAAGTTGCAAGCCTTGGCGATCTTGCGACGCCGCGCCGCAAGGCTCACTCGTGGAAACGTCGCAAATGAGCTCTCCGCCATTTCACATACTATCTTCTGACCAGTCGAAATGCCCGGATGGACAAAAGTGATGGTTGAGCAAAGACTCATGGCAGGTCGGCGCCTGGCCAATCGGAATCACTGGAGCGGACCGGCTGAGTCAGGCGAAGTATAGTTTACTTATGACGAATGGTGGATGATTGGACGATGACGAGGCGAGAGGAAATATATAAGAGAGAATTGAAATGCACACCTTCCTCTCGAATTCCAGCTCAAAGCGACTTAAATCTCACTGCCGCCACCATGTCTCAACAAACAGTCTTCCGATTTCCCGCCAGAAACACCTTTGACGACCTTGCGTCGTATCAAGAGGCAGTTCCCAAGCCCGCTCGCAATGACGTTCTAATCAAGGTGCGAGCTGTATCCCTCAATTCGAGGGACTGTCAGGTCGCCACGTCTAAGTACCCTTTCTTCATCAAAGAGAACGTCATCCCTGGCTCCGATGCGGCCGGAGATGTGGTCGACGTCGGTGAGGGAGTACGCGACTTTGTCAAGGGAGATCGGGTGGTCGTGAACTTTGACAACACCCGGCTATATGGGCCCGCCAAAGATGTCGTGTCCGGTCAAGGGGGTGGCCGAGACGGTGTGATGGCTCAGTATATCGCACGGGACGCATCGGCCGTCGTCAAGATCCCCGCTGGTTCGCCGCAGTCATACAGCGAGCTGGCTTCGCTCGTTTGCACGGGCGTTACGGCTTGGAATAGTTTCTACGGAAACAAGCCTCTCATCGCTGGTCAATCAGTCCTTGTTCAAGGTATGATTCTCTGAAAATTGGGTGGATTTCCCCCCATTCCCCCCCCTCGCTAGCGAGTTTCTTCAAGCCATGCTGACCTAAATGCGAACGTAGGCACCGGCGGGACCTCGATGACCGGTCTCGTACTGGCCAAAGCAGCGGGTGCAATCACCATCGTCACGTCTTCCAGCGATGAGAAATTAAAGACCGTCAAGGAACTGTTCAACCCGGATTACTGCATCAACTACACTAAGACCCCGGATTGGGCGTCAGAGGCCGTACGACTCACCGGAGGCAAGGGTGTGGACCATATCCTGGAGATTGGAGGTGTCGGAACCATCGAGCAAAGCCTATCTGCAATCGCACAAGGCGGCGTAATCAGCATTATCGGATATTTGGCTCAGTACGACCCCGCGAAAATTCCTAATATTCTGCTGCTGGCACTGGGCAAGGAAGCTGTCTTGCGTGGGATTCAGATTGGACCGAAGTGCATGCTGGATGATCTGGTAACCCTGGTGTCGAGACAGAAGTTGCGATTCCAGATTGAAAAGGAGTATGCTTTCACTCGGGAGGATATTGTGGCCGCCTACCATGATCTTGCATCAGGTAAGCACATTGGAAAGATTTGCATTGTGGTTGAGTGATCAAATATTGTTTGGCGGCTAGAATCGACGAAAGCAAACGTGGTGTGAGTTGTCTATAGACCGGAGCGACCACCCGAGGTAACCCCACCAAATTTGCAATCAAAAACAAACGCAAGCTGTTTTCTTCTAAATTGTTTGACCGTGTTTCCACGGTTTCATCGTCGCCCCCTGTGAGAGTAATACTGTAGTAACTAGTACTGGATATGGGTGAGGCAGTGGCAGTAGCAATATGTATTTGGAGTCTGCATGCGGGACAAGCCGAAGGGCCGGGTCCACATGTACGTCCGCAACCACGGATGCCGCGTTGATATTTATCAGCGCTGGGCCGGCCGGAAGGTCCAGGCGTGCATGCAATCCCGAGTTCGTCTCGCATCGTCCAGATCCCGCAGACATAGGCATGCCGACTCGGACGGGAAAGTTTCTCCTATCGATTCAGGTCCCTATGGTGCCATTCTCCATCGCAATAAGAACGCTCCCGGCCAACTCGGAGAAGATGCGAGCTCCGGAGCGATCGAGCCGATGGGACCGGCATGGCCGGTGCAAATCCGAGGGTGCCCCTGGGGGTCCAGGGAGGAGACAGCCTATAAGAGGACGGGCGCTGGGCTGGCCAGCGACGTCGTTATACCCAATGCGGTGCCCGCTACCACCCACCGCGGCCCCCTCTGCGGTAGCAATGTCTCTGTCGCGTCTCTTGGGGCTGGTCTGGATGGGGGCATAGTGGGGGGACGAGGGATCACTGAGGCAACTGGGCGCCGAGAGCCCGTCGTTTGGTCGGCAGCTGTCGTGCTCTAGCGCCTTCACAACTGTTCTAGCGCGTCGGTTAAACCCGGATAAAAGGATAATAGCTGCCCTGCCGCCATCGGGTGACATCAGACCTTGGGGAACCCGGTGGCCGCGTCGCGTCGCCGTTGGTGGAAACAACGGAGGAATTCATAGCAATGCAGCATCCCATCCATCCTGGACTGCAGCGAGGAGGAATTGCGGGGAGTGGAAGTGAGCACTTGAATACTGCCCGATGGTCTCATTGTTCCCTTGGCGCCGTGGGAATTCGTACTGACAGGAGAAGGTGCCGCTGAAGGAGTCTCTGGGGAGATGCCGATCCCCCTCGGTGGAGTCTGCTCCGAGCGTGGAGCGGCGTGGGATGCGGACTAAGCAGCCCCCCGCCGTCGCTTTATTAGATGCCCTCCCCCGCGACGACTCCCCTCTTTTCTGCTTTCGAAATCTCTGCATCTTTTGCTGCTCATACACCAATTCAAATCACCATGTCTCTCGGAAAGAAGGTCACTCTCAACACCGGTGCTCAGATTCCGTATGTACACTTCCCTGTCAATCCAGGCGCAAAGAGCTAGCTTTCAAGAGCTCCAGCCGGCCAAATTCAAGCCAGCAATACCCTGCTAACCCTCGCATAGCCAGCTGGGATTCGGCACCTGGCAGTCTGCCCCCGGTCAGGTCGGGGAGGCCGTCTACGAAGCCCTCAAGGCTGGTTACCGCCACCTGGTATGTGAACCGCCCTCCCCGCATTCTTCTGCGCCATTGTGCTAACCCCCACCAGGATCTCGCTACCATGTATGCATCTCTCGAGTTCAGGCCACAGTGACCTCAATCACCATTGCTGATTTCGTGCTGATTGTTTTGTCGTACAGCTACCAGAACCAGAAGGAGGTTGCCGCTGGTATCAAGCGTGCCTACCAGGATGTCCCCGGCCTGAAGCGTGAGGACCTCTTCATTGTGAGTTGTTCCACGCCCCGTAGATTCCAATGCAAATATGAGAGCTAGTCAGCTAACGGGATCCTCACGGGGTGAAGACCTCCAAGCTCTGGAACAGCCAGCACCGCCCCGAGGTCGTCGAGGCCTCCCTCGATGAATGCCTGGCGGAACTCGAGTTGGACTACCTTGACCTCTACCTGGTCCACTGGCCCGTCGCTTTCCAGAAGGGCGCCTCTTACTTCCCCCTGGTTGAGGGCAGCACCGTCGAGGGCGGTGACGTGCTCATCGATGACGGTGTCTCCATTGTCGACACCTGGAAGGGTAAGAAGCTCAAGTCTCACACGAGCGTCCTAAAGAAAGGCACTGACATTGCTTATTTTTCATTCAGCCATGACCCAGCTCCCCAAGAGCAAGGCTCGCGCCGTCGGTGTCTCCAACCACACCATCCCTCACGTTCGTGATCCGTTCCCACTTACGACACGATTGCAGACCTACTAACCCTCCTCCAGCTCGAGGCTATCATCAATGGCACCGGCGTCGTCCCCGCCGCCAACCAGATTGAGCGTCACCCCGTTCTGCAGAGCAACGACCTGATCGAGTATTGCCAGAAGAAGGGCATCCACGTCACTGCCTACTCCGTATGTGCCCACCATTATGGTTTCTAGTAGGAGCCACCTGCTAACCCACCTGTCCAGGCCTTCGGTAACAACATGCTCAACATCCCCCTCCTGATCACCCGCCCCGAGGTCAAGGAGGTCGCCGAGGCCGTCTCCAAGCGCACCGGCACCGAGGTCACCGGCGCCCACGTCATCCTCGCCTGGTCCCAGGTCGGCGGCCACAGTGTCATCCCCAAGTCGGTGACCCCGTCGCGTATCCGCGACAACTTCAAGGAGGTTGAGCTGACCGCCGACGAGGTGGCCAAGATCAGCGCTCTGGGTGCCAACCGCCGCCGCTACAACACTCCCTACACCGCAAACAAGCCTCGCTGGAACATCGACATCTTCGGTGAGCCCGAGGAGAAGGCTGCGGACCACAAGGTCATCCTTTAAAAGCCGGGATATATACTTAGCGGGTTAGAAAAATAGGCAATGAATAATGAGAAATGTATATTGCTATTTGCAAACGTTCTATCCACACTGGTAACTGGTCTCTCTGTATTTGCCTAGGTGTCATACCCATGGGCTCTGTGTCAATTACGATGACCATGACCAAGAAACGGGCGCCACATCATTTGGGTATTCAGCCAGGGGTAGGCTCTGCGTACGATACGTGCGCCAGATTTGACATTCTCAATTTGGAAAAGCTCTCGTTGATCATATTTCGTGGTGGGGTATATGGCAACAAAAATCAAAGAAATCAAAACAAATCATAAGTCCGTTTCCATCCGGCAGCCCAGCACAGTCTTCGGCTCACGCTTCAGAGTGAATGGGCCGTTGATGGGAGCTGAGAACTGGTCCTGCATCCAACTCGTGATAAACTGTGGAAGGCGTCATGGGGCTCGATGCTTCATAGATGGAGCGCCCATCAAGCTGGGCCGCCTGCACTCCCACCGGCTTTCGGGGCATAGGCGGCTTGAGTTCACGATCAGGGACGGCTAGCTGCTGCACTTGTGGCGGCTTCTCGTCTTTCTCGTTGGCAACCGGTGTTTCGAGAGAGATCGACTGAGTTCGGTTGTTTCTTTGCTGTCGTCGTCGTCGGATTACGAACCACACCACGACAAGAATGAGTACGACCACCACGATGACCGCGATCGCGATGCCTGCCTTGGCTCCGGCACTCAGAGAATCGCCTGAGCCGTCCGAAGAGCATGAATACGCGCCCCGATACACCCCCTCCGACTGGAGGCTGTCCAATGCGCTGCAGGACATGGAACTGCCACCTTGGATCGTGGTTTGGCCATTCACCTGGTCGAGAGAGGGCAAGGATACACTTTTTTGGTCGGTCAGTTTTGATGAGGGCACACGTGGGAATGCAGACGATGAGTATTTGAAATTAAGTACCTTGCAAACGATCCCGTGAGCTTCAGCTCCCCGTTCACCTCTTCTAGCTGGTCAAACATGATGTGCTTCAGCTTCGGGTTCCCGGTGATGGTGAGAGACGAGGCCTGCGACAACGAGCTCATCTCGACATTCGTCAATGCATCCAAGCCGTCCAGTATCATGCCCCCCTTCAGTGTCTCCAGATCCGGGGCCACCAGGCCGGTGATCCCTGAGCCGCTCTCCACCGTGAACGAGCCCTGGATCTCTTCCACATTGTTCAAGGTAATGGTTCCACTGGCCGAGGATGCAATGGTGACGCTTCCCCCAAAGGTATCACAACTGGTCAGATTGCTGGCATCGCTCTGGCTGCCGATGGTCACACTGCTTTGGCCTGGGATCATCAGCATCGATCGACCAGGGTCCATTCTCGGTGTCTTCTCCAGATGCTTCGCTCACAGGAATTGTTATCGGCCACCACCGCTTGGCTCTGCCACAGCGCCGCAGCACAGATGAAGAATGAGAAAAGCATTCTCACCTATTGCGCCTGATTTTCGCACGATGCGCCCGGGATGCAATGGCCGCCCGCCTGCGGACGGCAGGATTATAAACCCGCGCCCTTCTCGCCGGTGCCGGTGCATGATGGCATCGCAGTGCCGAGCCTGCGCCAATCTCCGCTGCTCCACCATGTTTGTCTCGAGGAAGGCGAGTGATTGGAGACGCCGAGAGGAGCACAGCCCGCGTCTCCACCGCATCCTCGCAGTTGACAGCATCTGTGGCCCTCGCCTGTTTATTCTCCGAATCATATAACATCCTCGCAAGGCGTCGATTTCGATGCCCTTTGCTCGCCATTGTTTTCAGCGCATCACACTGTCAACACCGCTCGTAAACAATTTCAAACGACCCTCTCCGCCCACCTCGGTTTTTCCGACCGTCCGAAACCGGCAGCCTCAGGTTTCTATTTATGCACCCATTTCCCCGGCAGGCAGCAGAGTTGCCGGCTCGCTTGCCCTTGTCCTCGCTCTGGACTGGGGTGTTGACAGGGACGAGCACGGCCCCGGTAGGTCAAACTGCTGGCCAAGTCCTGTACAATCCGGTTTTCCGGAGCCCGCTCATCTCCGCTGCTGGGCTGGATCGTAAATGTGTCCCGCATGGACTGGGGGTTGCTGTGATGCCTGGAAGTTCATACCCCATATGGGCGCACAATAACTCCCCTGATTCCTATTGACTGCGATCATTTCTTTCAGCTGCGACCTTGCAATCAAAAGTAGACTGAAATTGAATCCGAGAGCAAAAAGTCGCCATGAGGCACTTCGCGGCGATCGTGAGCGGGCTTCGACGATGCTGAAACAGTAGACAGCGTCCACGTGACAAGGGCGGTCCTGAAATGAAGCTGTATAGGTACACATGACTATAGGAAGTACATCAATCGATGTTAAAAACAGGGCGCCAGGATGTCCTCTCCTCTTGACATTAGGCGGGTTGCAGTAATCCCTTCGTTGATTGAATTGAGGCAACAAGAAAAGAAAGTGCAGATCGTGTATGCTAGACAAGACCCCTCTTCCCGCACCCAAAGCGGGACGACAATGAATTGGGAGGATCAATGGGCTTGCGCTCTTCTTTTGCGTCCCTGACTACGGGCTTCTGGCGAGGCTGGTGAATAGAGGAGTCAAAGCCACCTGGTGCTGGAGAACGTTTCCCTGCCGATGTATACTATGAGCGTATAGAGCGCCAGTATTACGTCAAATCTCCTTCGCGGGCCATCTTCGTACTGAGATTGAACTGGTGCATCTCCATGGGGTACTAGTTGATCTCACAGGTGCGACAGGCTCGGCGTGGGGCCAGCCCAATCACTTGAAGCCATTTCAATCCATCCCTCAGCCAAGGTGCTTCCAGTGTTGCATCTGCGTCAAATCCGTGGTCGCCATCCTGTATGTAAATCTGAGCATTGACAGTTGGGAAATTCTCTCGCAGTAAAGAGACAAACTTTCGCGATCCATCAGCGGGGACTGCCGAATCCTGTTCGCCATGGAAAATAAAAAACGGCGGTAACTGCAAGCCACTGGAAGCGCTCAGTTGCTCAATTCGCTTCATTGGAAAAGGGTCGGGGCTCTGAGTCCCGAAATATTCCAAGAAGCGTGCATTTTGGGCAATGGAGGGCGCCAATTTCAGCCGTGTAGGCGAGTCTGCAACTGTAATAACTGTTGATTCAGCTCGACTGGCAGTAAGATGTTCTTCCACTATACTGTTTGGGAGATTAGGAACACCCACTATGGTCTTCGAATATGATTCCGTGTGGAATGGGGCTTTCAGATCTAGCATGGAATAGGCAGCGACGACACCTTGGACTTGCGATGGGTGACTGAGAGCCAATTGGACAGCAAGGTAGCCACCTGATATTTTTGATATGTTAATACCATTCCATTCAACTCATGCTTGTTTGGATCGCATTGACCGGCGCTTTCTCCGAGCATCAGGTCAACCTTGCCAGTCGGATTCACACCAGGCAACGATGCGTGGCGAATGTGGTTGTAAATGGCACGCTTGAATACAACTCCATTCATCAGACACTGGGAAACGAGCCAGGAGAGGTAGATCGCTATGTTGATGCAGACTGGGGTAAAGACGGTGGCCGAGTCTATGCCGGGGTCAAGCGACTCTTTCAGTAGGGAGCGAAACTGCGATGAAGATAAGTTAGCCCAGCTCTTCTCCTTGGCGAATGTCGAGGATATTTGCTCACATTGGGGACTACTTCGGAAAACCAGGGATTCGGGGACAGAAGCTCAGCAAGCCAACGTCCTTGGCCCGACTGTGAAGTTCGCAATCTAAGGTCAAGCTTTCCATTAGTCCATGTCGGAAGTCAAATATCCAGAGAGCGTCATGAAGGTTACAATCACCTTGGAAATGCACACCAGCCTCTGGGTGGTTTTTGGCGAGATCCGCCAGTGGTCCCCAAGTGTTCCTTATCCCACTTCGCAGCTTCAGTTCCACTAACCGAAACGCTGATTCCGATGTTAAGGAGAGGCTCGTTCAGTGAGTAGAGAGTAGACCAACGGCATATAGTTCGCACCGGCCCACGGCGATGCCTATTCGATGTTGTAGTCGCCAGGCATATGTTTGGCTGCGACAACGATCGTGTAACCGGATTTCCGGGAAAGCAAGAGAGCAGTCGTCAGCCCGGTAACTCCGGCCCTGATAAGAAGTCAGATCACATTTTGTTTGCATTTGTACACTGCCTATGGCATGCAGCGATATGTGATGATGCTCACCCAATAATGACAACGTTCTTTTGAGACATGGCGATATCGTTCTCTACTGTCCAGTGTTGAAGTCGAGTAGAAAATAAGTCCAAGCAGCTATGCAATGCAGAAAATGGCGGAAATTGGCAGAGCTACGACCCCGCGACTGATATATCCAACTCAGCGATCAGGCCATGGCAGTTTCTTCTTCCGTTGGGGGTGGCTTTTTCGATCCTGCTGTGTCGGGTTAAATGCTCTTGCCTTACTTGGTGAGTTCTGGAAGGATCGTAGTACAGCACCCGCTTACCAGTCCCACGGGGTAGATACCGGCGTTCACAGGTGCTCCCACCCTTGGAGTTACCCGATCGGGAAGGCGAGATCCTCCTGCTGCTCTTCGCCGAGATGCCCCGGGTCGTCACTCTTTCCTTATTCGGACTTCTTATGAGCCCTGCTGCTTGGTAGCCGCGGGTGGCAAGTCAGTCTTCGCGAAATACTTAGGTGTGCAAGTAGAAAACCCTCTCGGTCAGGTCATTCACTCCAACACAAGGTCGTTCCTCCCTTCCAACAAATCTTTTTCACCATGACGAGTATGCGAAAATTCTTCGCCGCCTACGATGCGCGTCAGAAAGTGCTCGCGTCCAGCACCAACCCTTTCGCCAAAGGTGTCGCGTGGGTGGATGGAGAATTAGTTCCTCTGCAAGAGGCGCGCATCCCCATCCTCGACCAAGGATTCATGCATAGCGACCTTACATACGATGTCCCTTCCGTCTGGGACGGCCGTTTCTTCCGCCTCGACGACCACATCACCCGATTGGAGGCAAGCTGCGACAAGCTGCGCCTGAAGCTGCCGCTGCCCCGCGAGGAAGTGAAGCGCATCCTCGTGGAGATGGTCGCCAAGAGTGGAATCCGCGATGCCTTCGTCGAGATTATCGTCACCCGTGGTCTCAAGGGTGTTCGTGGCACCGATCCGAAGGACATTCTTAACCGCATCTATATGTTCATCCAGCCATACGTCTGGGTGATGGAACCCGAAGTACAGCCGGTCGGTGGTAGCGCGATCATTGCGCGCACTGTTCGTCGGGTTCCTCCAGGCTCGATTGACCCAACTGTCAAGAACTTGCAATGGGGTGACTTGACTCGCGGTCTCTTCGAGGCTGCCGATCGGGGCGCCACATATCCCTTCTTGACTGATGGTGACACCAACCTCACTGAGGGATCCGGCTTCAATATCGTTCTTGTGAAGGACGGCGTGCTATACACTCCCCAGCGCGGTGTTCTTGAGGGCCTTACGCGCAAGAGTGTGATTGACGTTGCGCGAAGCAACGGGCTGGAGATCCGAGTGGAGCCCGTGCCTGTGCAGAAGGCCTACGATGCAGACGAGATCTTCATGTGTACTACCGCGGGTGGTATCATGCCCATTACCAGCCTGGACGGCAAGCCTGTGAACGGTGGCCAGCTGGGTCCGATCACCAAGGAGATCTGGGACGGATACTGGGCAATCCATTATGACGATTTGTATAGCTTCGAGATCGACTACAAGGATGGTCAGAAGAACACCGCCGATGGGTCTTATTAATAAGATGTTTGTGACAATAAATAGCTAGCTGCAGTAGAACTTTTCTTTGCTATCAAGCAAAGATCAATCTTGAGTGTCCTCGGACCTAATGTAGGAAGTATCTCTGTGTCTGCAAATCGGCGGGGTCTAAGTTTTACTAGTAGAGTGCTGGAAGTACTAAAAGCGAGATACGCTCCCAGCGGGCTTTTGCCGTTTCCCTCCATATTCAATCACAATTGCGTTTTTCAGCGCACAATGGTGGAATGTGTCCAGATGATCCAGCTCGTCGAGCAGAAGGATTTCGTATACAACCCATATAGCGGCCTAGTTGGACGCTGCAGCGCTTGACCATGAACTACTACGAAGTACCCTAATGGGGCAGTACGGCCCTGTTGTGGCCATTTCCTTCAGGCAGCAATCGACCAGCCATGGGCCCGTGAGTCACGTGCTCCAATGCGGGGAAAGGTCGGGGCGCAGGAACGGCGACGAACTACGAACTGCCACCAGCGAACGCGATGACTCCCATCTCCCTCGCGTCCTTATGAGAGTGAGCAAAGGCTGCGAACGGTGCCGCCATCGCCATATCCGCTGCGTCATTCCACCTGGGGCCTCTGCCTGCGCACCTTGCTCTCGACTAGGCCAAGTCTGCCATCTCGACCCGCGCTTCCAGTTCAAGGACGTGCACCATGTCTACCAGAAGAGCAATGGCACCGCCGCCCGGTTTGACCTCGTTTGGGATGCCGAGCAGGTTTGGGTAGATGTGTCGCAACCAGGTCAGTGACGGTTACTGTGCTCTGCCTTGTTGTTTCGTGGGCACTAACCTTGTGACAGTAACATTTGTACATGAAACATGTGAGGATTCAAAACCTGACGACAGAGTTGAACCAGCACATTCTTCCGTTGTTGAGAGACATCTTTCTTTTGCGTCTCCTGTGGAGCAACCACACGGAACGGAGCCTGCAGCTTCGATGGCGGAGGAGCCATTGATACAGCATGACCATTCTCACGAGCTATCGCCCTTTCATCATTCAGGCAGTCTGGCTTCATCTGCATCCCACGACTCTACGACATTATCTCTACGAGAAGCCTCACTTATGCGATGCTTCATCCAGAAAATAGCACCATGGGTAAGTCTTCCGCAACACTGTAGCAAGTGGTGTTCTGGGCCTAATTTCAACAGGCGGACATCTGCGACCCGCAGTCACACTTCAGCACGGTCGTTCCTCGGCGCTCCTTACAAGTTCCGATGGTGCTCAAAGCAGTGCTAGCGCTCACGGCCCGCCATGATGCGATTCTGGTCGGTCAGAGTGACTGGGAAGCTTCCACCTACCATGGACAGTGCTTGGAGCTCTTGATCCCGGCATTGGATCGACTCGATCAGGACTACGACGAGAACCTACTGATAACTGTTGTCATCCTACGGATATACGAAGAGCTGGAGAACAGCGAAGACCAGAAATTCCACCTGCTGGGATCCAATCGCCTCATCAACCTCATGTCACGCTCGGCATCGTCACGCGGAATTGCTGAGGCTGTAAGCTGGCAGTTCCTGCGCCAGGCGATCTATTCCTCAATCGTTCAGTACCAGCACCTCCAACTCGATCTCCGAAACTACGAGCGATCCTCGATGTTCCAGCGCGACGATGATGCCGCCTTTGCCAACATGATCATCTTCCACTGCGCGCATATTATCCAGCTCTGCCGCGTTCTTCCCGAGGATCCTATCGATGAACAGTCTTGGGCCAAGGTAGCGGATGATGTGGACGAGTGGTATCGCAAAAAGCCTATCACCTGGCAGCCACTCCGCTACCAGGACTCTAATGTGGCAGAAAACCGACCTTTTCCTGAGATATGGATGATGTCGGCTCCCGCCGGTCCGTAAATTCATATTGCAAATCTCCTTGAAATACGAACAGCCGCTCAACTACTGTCTTTCTAGTTGTCGGAATGCAGTATTACCATGCAGCCTGTATCTTTCTCACCATGTCCGACCCTCATTCGCGACGTATGAGGGAATTCGAGATGGCTCGAACGCGGCGCTTGGCTGAGGTATGTATCGCCCGATCAATATCGATATGCCGCATGGTTCAAGTATTCAAGTAGTGCTGATTATGTTTTGTAAAGAGGAAAATTGCGTCGCATGTAATTTCTGTAATAGGGCTATCTTGGTCGAACGAGAGTGTACACAACGCCTACTTTATGGCCTGTCACCTTCTTCATCGCTGTGGGCTTGTCCTTTCTCAGCCTCGTCCTGGGGGCTTTCAAAGTACTTTCTACTAACGCTCTGCCCAGTTGGATATTGTCTGCAGCACCCCGTGGAGCAACAGGGCTCGCTGACCTTTCTCAGCCGTGTTGAAAAACTTATTGGGTGGCGGACGACTTGGATCAGAAGCGAACTGGAGCATCAATGGGGCGAACTGGCTGACTTTGATCCCCCAAGTACTTGAAGTTCACGTTGTACAAGGTATCTAGTCGAACATACCAGGTGTAGTAGTACATATGCAATCGCACTTCTATCCAGTCTTCACGCTAGCTCCGTGGCTCCCCTTTAATTATGGCGTGGTGCGCGCCGGCGAGGGTCGCCCATCTTCCAGCCGGCCTGCAGCAGACATCACCGGCAGCACCTCTTCCTTCGCCCTCGTCCACTCCTCCCCTCTCATCTGCTCAGCGCTCTTTGTCATGATTATCCCCGACCACCTCTTGTACCTCTTGTCTCGTCGTCAACTCTCGCTCCTTGGTATCCTTTTCCGTCTCTCTTTTGGGAGAACAGTCTTTTTCGCTGCCCCTTTCCTTCTATTTACCGCTACCCTCAGCCTATCATGGATGGGCGACTGTAGAAAGCCTGGGTCAAAAAATTCCTCATTCACAAACGCGTCCTAGCATTTACTTTCATAAGGAATCGTGGGCCAGACTTGACAATTAACCCACATTCTGCCTCACAAAAGCAGGAAGCCGTGCAGGCACTCCTGCGGGGAACGGAGAAGGACAAGTTTGGTGAATATCATCCACTTCGTGTGGATGGCCTGCGGTTGCGTTTACTTTGCAGTACGCTGAAACACCTCGATCTTCGCCATTACAAGAGTAGGAATGTATGGCACGTACCAAGTATTACGGAAGATGACTTGCTGAGCCAGTTCCGTAATCACTTCGAGGCTATCTTTATCCAATCGCGTGGGCGTCCCCTGATCGAACCCTTTAAATGCTGCCGGAAGAAAGCGTCGCCTTTCCCACGTGCGCCCAAATCTACAAAGAATTCGGGGGTATATGTGCCAGTTGCCATTGACACGAGCGGGAGAAGCAATGCAGCCTCCTGGTTGGTGGAGGCGGCAGAAGAAAAACCCAGCCATTGAATTTGTCGCTCGAGGACGAGCCAACTCTGCTAGCTGTCGTGATTAAGACCCCCGTCCAGATCAACCAATCCATTGAGGATGACGCTCCCGCCGTCCGCACCTTGGAAAGTCCCGCTGTCTCTGTCTTGAGGAAGACCAGCAACAGCCAACAGAATCCCATTGTGTTGGATCCGGGAAGCAGCTAGGATCCGATCGTAATCGACGACAATGAAAGCGAAAATGGCCATAACTGCGATGTCACTGGCGACTACAACAGCGCTGAATCTGAGACAATTTCCAACTCTCCGTCAGCTCGAAGTGTACCAGTCGACATTGGCTTCCTTGGCGATCCAGCCGACAGTCCGTTTGTTGAGGACTCGGAGGCCGGGTCCAGCCCTGGTCCCGTCGAGTCTCGTTCCAGTCCCAAATACAAGGATGACTGGTATGACCCGGCCGTTCCGGAGATTGATGATCCCAATGACGATACAGACTATGTCGAGTCGGAATATGGCGAGTCGGAATATGGCGAGTCGGACTCTGTCGACTTGGATTACGCCGACTGAGGTCGCTGCATCAAAAATCACTTCGTTGGCGGCTACTGCCGAATCGAGTCAAAATATGGCAATGTCGGCTGGAATTCAAGTATTCCCTGAATTGGCGTTGCTTGTTGTGTATGATTCGATATCAGTACCGAGCACCCCTGTGCATTGCAGCGCTTCCATGGTCCTCCAGGCATGGTGGACGTCGATCAATGCAATTGTACAATTGTATACCTCGGGGTTAGTGCCAAGGCGGCGATAAGCGGAGCTGCCAGAGCTTATCGGACCCTTTTTTTGTCCCACGGCCGTTTCGACTCCGCTCGTCAACTCCCACCACAAGTTCCGTCTCATTCCTCTCTGTGCCCCTCGGGGATCCATCAACATCGTGCGAGCCTTGCTCAATGGACACCAAACCCGGGCCACAGGCCATGTGAGAATCGACGGATGCCGCGCCGAAAAGCCGCCGACCGAACGGGGCCGGTGAAGACCCGGTCTCGTAACGGCTGCAAGGAATGCCGGACGAGTCGTGTCCGCTGCGATACTAAGAAGCCTGTGTGCACGCGCTGCTATGAAAAGGGCCTGCGGTGTACCACCAATCTTGTCCTGAAATGGGAGTCGGAATTTGCCAGCCGCGGTGTGGCCTTTGGCCGGGCAGGCGTTTGGAATAAAACTCGCACCGACGATTCATCTTCGTCCTCTCTTCCGCCAACCCCCACATCACTCACAGAGGGTGCGCAGCAGTGGTGTCCCGTGCCGCCAATTCATTCCTGGGGGTTCGTCAATAGCGGAGTGGTGGCATTCGAAAACCCGAGCGAGGTCGATGTTACGTCCAATGAACTCCACGCTATGGTTCCTTCAATCAGCAATCCCGCTGCATCACAATTTCAATTGCGCTCGCTAGCGGACCTCGGTGGGATAGCTGCGGTACTGCATCCAACCCCAAGGGCCGGCCCAGCACTTTTCCCCGATGTGACCCGCATGGGGCATGGCGAACTCATGGACTACTACCTTGAGCAGATATGCCCCCGCACCACCGCAAGCTCCTCCGTCTCGTCGCCGTTTGCCTCGGTGATTTTGCCTATTGGTCTTTCTGCGTCCGCCACCCTGTTCAAGGCCATCCAGGCACTCGGTGCCTGCCATCGGTCTCGCACCGAACCATCCTATGCTGCCCTGGGGCTACGTCTGAAGTCGGAGACTCTGAGAGATCTCCGGCATCGTCTTTCTTCGGAGGGTTCTTCAATGTGTTGCAATGACCCCGAAGTATTGGTCATCATGATGTTGCTCTGTCTGTATGAGATTGTAGACAAGTGTGATCGGCACTGGACAATCCATCTCAAAGGCGCCAAAGATCTGATCCGCCTGCGGAGAGAACAGACCGCTGCTCTCTCCTCATCACGCCAACCAGACTCGGCCACCGCTTTCGCCGAACACTTTTTTGCTTTCCAGGACGTCATGGGCCGAACGGCCTGTGCCAAGGAGGTTTTGTTCGGGAGTGACTACTGGAAGGCGGACGATCGGCACATCGACTTGTGGATGGGGTGCAGTCCGGAACTAGTCTCCGTTCTTTGTGCTATCACCGACATGAGCCGGGCCCGGCGCAATCTAGATTCAGAAGCGTCTCGCGCTTCGTTTGCGCTCCGGGCGGAGGCGCTTGAAAATCAGCTTGAGCATCTTGTCCAAGAGGTAGAGGAAGAAGACGACGACGTCCTTGCATCTGCAGCGGAGGCTAAGCGTCTGGCTGCAGTCCTCTACCTGCACTGCGCACTCTATGGCGCTTCTCCCACCACGCCTTTGGTTTCTGACTACGTCCGTCGAATTCTCAAGATTGTATCTGATCTTCTCGATCGTAAATCCTTAGCCAGTATCACCTGGCCGGTCTTTGTAGCGGCAGTGGAACTTGACCCGTCGCGCGACGAGATCTGGACCGATGGCGATGGTTCGCCTGTCTCCGGGCGATCGACCGTCCTGCGTGCCCTGGCCGCGATGACGGAGTCGACCATCGCCAACATTGCCCGAACTCGGGCTGTGATTGTCCAGCTGTGGCAGACACGCGACCAAGATCTCCTGAAGGCGCCGCAGACTGAGTGTAATGACTGGGAGTGGTACGTGGTTCCCATCAGCGATGCAATGAGCCTGGCGTGACGGGGATGGGACCATCTGTGATGTAAAGTACCACGATCATTCTCTGTAATAGTTTCAAAATTGAGTCATTTTGTATATCAAACGTCTACCGTCTTCTCAAAACTTGAGTTGTATCTAGCAGGGTACAATGCACCCAGTTGTTGGTAGACTGAAGGGGTACGAGTAGCTGGAATAGTGTCGGAATACATAGAGGATATCTATCGCGGTCGTATTTCGCAGTACAATTGTAACACTTTCGCGAGATTCCTACCGACACTACATACACACATACACACTCTCTCTCGAAAATCCTATACACCATCACATTCCTCCCTCCTCTTTTCCTCCTAACTTTCCATAGAATTGAGGTAAGAGTGCCACAACGGGGTGGGAATGCACAGCGGGGTCGCCGCTTCCGGTTTAGCGTGCTCACCATTTGGCGCCTCCGCGAGACTCGCGCGTAACTCAACGTCAACCACCCATCCCGCGATGCTTCTGCGCAACTTCCATCTTTGACCGTCATTCATTGCCCGGGGTAATGGCGCATGCTCGACCGACGCCCGGGCGGAGCACGTCGGCCCATTTGTTCGAAAGCAAGCTCAGCCAGCAATTGTCGCAACCCGAGACGACGAGTAGTAGTAGTAGCAGCCTACAAAACCACGAGCCATCCCGATCGACGCGCTCGCCCAAGTCGCGCTCTTTATCCGATGCATCCAAACCATCGCTACCTCCTCAGCCAGCGACGGGGGTCTTGACCCGACCGCCCAGCAAGGACGACAGCTCGCTCCCTTCACTACCGGCCACCCCCAGTCGGTCCACCCAACAACCGAATCTTTCACTGAACCTCCCCTCCAAGACGGCGGCTTCACCTCTCACCAACCGCGCTCCTCTCTCGCCCAAGCTCGATTCCTCGCAGATTTATGGCTCACCCGGCTCGGTTCTCCCACGGCGCTCTCGTGGTCTGGACTTCTCGCGCGCGTGCACCAACCTCCACCACTCGACCCTCGCCGAATCATCGCCGGATTCGTCACCCACTATTGGAGGCCGTGGTATGACGATCCCTCAGCGTCGTGGATCTCTCAACTCGACTTCGGTCCCACCTTTCTCGACCTCGGGTCCCGCCGACCGCACCGCCATTTCCAGCTCGGTGTCCAGCGTGAACATGATGGAATCGGACACCAGTAGCAGTGAAGACGACGAGGACATGATGGGCGACCGGGACGACATCATGCTCAACACACCCCAGGCCACCCGCATGGCGAGCGGACCGAGTCCCTTCACGACAAACAACATTCAGAGCCCCGGAACTGAGTGGATGGGCAGCGGCTATTCTCAGGCCGCCGCCAGCCTACTGAGCTTCCAACGGGCCCGGTTCCGGAGTAAAGGACGGAGCCGGCACAGTTCGAGCAGCGCTAGTGGGAACAGCTCCAAGCCCAGTCCTGGGCCACATTCTCCGCCAGTCATGAAAAGCGTGGAGAACCCGACTGGTAGCTACTTCGGTCCCCGACAAACCGTCCACGGCCGGCGAGAGAGTTTGAGTCTTGGTACTCGTGACCTACGACTATCGGACCTCAGCGATGATGGAGAAAATCGGGCTCGTGCAGGCAGTCCTACGGCCGTGTCGCATTCGGAAGGAGGAGGCCCGCTTGGGGTGATCCGCCGTGCTGTCACTCGGCGAGGAAGTTTACTGGTAAGTTGCCCCCTCTTATACTACCCATGTCATCTTTGCGTATGATCTAACCTCTCAAACAGCCTAAGACGAAAACTTTTGCGAGGATACGAGCAGCCCTGATGGAAGAGGGGCAACCGGTTGATAGCGATATGAAACGCGAAGCAGAAGTGGTTCGACAAGTCCGTGATACTGAGCCCGAGACCTCGCCTACGCTCGGCACTTTTCCTTCTCTTCAGCCTTCCCTATCAATGCAGGATACTCCCGAGATGGAGAATATCGCCGAGAAGCCCGATATGGCTAGTCCACCAAAGAGCACGTTCAGTAAACAGGCCAGCCGGAACTCAGGCGGTGTCGAATTTTGGAACTCTTTCGATGGTCGGTACCGCACGCCGCCACCCAGTCGCCAGCCGGGCGCCTCATCGGTACCGGACGAGGACATGGCCATGGCTATGGACATGACTCCTTCGACCACGATCGGGTCCATCACGGCTGGTTCTCGGGCGCGTTCTCGTTCGTCCACCCCACATCCTCCCGGGACCGCTGGCATTGGGGAAATCAATCGCAAGCGGCGTCGAGAGGACGACTTCGACCCCAATCTGTTCAAGCGTCGGGCTGTGTCGCCGAGTGTGAGCGCCCAGAGCAGTCCTGTGTTGACGCATTCCTCGACCGTCGACCCCGGCCCCAGCATCTGGGGACCCCCATCCAAGCTCGGTCCGCCTTTTTCTGAGCGTCCTAGCACGGAGAATGGGAATCGAACCGCTCCTCATGCAGGAACCCCCAAACGGGTCGGCCTGCAGGGGATGACCGAGGCGAGTGATGGATTTATGAACATGAGCATTGACTAAGCGAAAGAGGCCTACTTCAATTTCGAACGTATAACACGTATAGCATTAGCATGCTTCTCCTTTGGCGCTGGCTGTCTTCTGCGGGATGCACTCTTTCTGGTAGTTTTTCTGCTTCCTGGTTTTCTGGCATGGCGTTGGGGATCTGCATAACAGATACACACTCTTTTAGCGTCAAGATACCTTCCTAATATGATGATTTTGCTGGTACTATTCAGTGGGTAACTATCTATTCTTGCGATATCTTCGGTCCACTTGAGTAGATGTCTTTGTACACAGTCTATCCAATTTGGCGTTTCTATTGCCTCTCATGATTCTGTTATTACCCTGGTACCTTAGGTGCTGGCCGGAATGGCTGTCGGGCAGAGTTGGCGGAGAGTGCGGCACGGGTGGATCTCCCCAAGCTCGCCCATCGACCCTCACCTCCTGCAGCACCCTTGAGTCAACCCTCCCGGTCTCCCAGCTGCTCATCCCACCTCCTGCAGCATGTCTTCCACCATTGAATTCGCGTCCTCGTTCATCGAGGGCGCCCCGCCCGGCGAGGTAGGCACCTGTCGAGAGAACCCCCCGCGACCGAGAGCCCCTCCTTATGTTTGGAAGACCGGAACTAACATGAATGCTGGGATGTATAGCTCGCCGATGTCGTTGCCGGTAATTCTTCCCCCGAGCAAGCCTCGCCCTGGCTCCCCCTCCTGTCTCCGACCCATATTCTACTCTCCCTGCCCCAGGCCGCATCCCGCTGCATGTGTTGATACTGAGTTCCGCCGATTATAGACGTGCAGGCCCTGACCTCCGAGGAGGGCGACCTCATTCCCTCTCTCGCCCCTGCGTTCGAACGATACAATGAAGCCCAGCTTACAACGGTGAAGCTACCGGGTTCAAGCCAGGAGGTGTGCCCGATCAAATCCCCGCTTTGCGGTCAAGATGATTACTGACACGGTGGTGGAAGGTTATTGTTAGTGAATTCAACAAGGTGGATGGCAATCGGTATTTCGACCCTGAAAGCCAGACCTCATTCGAGATCGATCACATCACACAGGTATGGGAACACCTCTACTCTGAAGATCGGAATTGCTTGAAGACTCACAGCTCGACCAGACTGCCTCCGCGGCCCAATCAGCACCATTGGAATCACAAAACGCCGAGTTAATGTAAACAGCTGAGGCAACGTGTCTTGCCGGAAGGACAATATCACTAATCCGAATTCCAGTAAATCGCTGCTCAAGTCGTTGGGCATCCACGCCCGCGAACACTACCCTAGCTGCTCATATGGCGTCTACCCGATTGAAAACGACTCCGCCGTCGCCATCCTCCTTGTGGCCAACCGCTACTCCCCGAATAACTTCTGGTGTGTTACTCTTGCTGCCCTTGCAGAGTCTGAATCGAGAGACTAACCATTATCCGATCTTTCAGGAACGGTCGTTTCCGAGCAATCTACCAAGTCCCCGTCTCCTCCTCGTCCACCAATGTGACCGGCAAGATTCACGTCGACGTGCACTACTACGAAGATGGCAATGTTGCGCTCAACACCACCAAGTCGGTCGACCTCTCCGTGCCGTCCGTCTCCGCCGAGTCCATCATCTCGCGCATCGCCACGGCCGAGCGTGACTACCAGGAGGAACTGAACCGGGCGTTCGTGCGTATGGCCGAGGGCGCCTTTAAGGGTCTCCGACGACAGCTGCCCATCACCCGGCAGAAGGTCGAATGGGAGAAGGTCGGTGGATACCGGTTGGGACAGGATATCTCGGGCGGCAAGGGCCGGTAGAATAGATCTCATTATTGCGTTAACGGGTGGAATGATGAGCGCTTTACTGCATCCATTGTTGAATGGTTTGGGGGAATAGGATATATCACTACCAATACTCGATCTGAATCTCATTTCCAACTCCAATTTCCATGACGCCTGTTTGTAAATTGGTCCTTATTATGCATGGTTCACATCGAAACTAATTGGCTGTATGAATAGTATAATGGCTACATGTGACAACGTCGCACGTGTTTTGGGTCTCATTTAATTGAACACTGTGATGTGAGGTACTAGCAAATGTGGTGATGTTGGAAATGTATGGTGGTTATATATTTCAGTCGAACTCTCTCATATCTCGATCCTATCACACCATCATCAGCGAGTGATCGGTATTTCTATGCCCCCACTCATCTTAGGTTGTAATAAAGACAAATTCGATGAAAACAAAGCCCAATCAGCTCAGTCACAGTCCATTTGGCATCCGACACAACACGCTGCAATGAAATTCCATGTTGGTCAGCTGAATAAGCAGCGCGGAGTTCCCAGCCGGCTGTCAACATCGGATGGCTGGAACACTCCACGTTCCCCCGCGACCCCAGAATTTGCAGCTGCAGTGTGCAATTGCCTGCCCACCCCAAGCCCGGCTCAATGATCTCTCAATTCAACCGGTTCGTCAACAATGGCGCAGGCCTGGAGAAGACTCTTCGTCTGATCCAGTCCGCGGCCCAGGTCGCAGCGGTGTTTACGGTGGGCAGCACCGCCGTGCGCCTGACGACGACCAAATTGCAATTGGCGCTGTGTATGAAGGCCCCTGCAGCAAATCTGTGCGCACTTCACAATTATGTGTGGTGTTGATCACAATTCATCTCAAACCAAATCACTGACGAATTCCTAGCGCGGCGATTCTTCCGCTTCTTCGGTTTCATCGATTCCTTTCAGCGCGTGTCAGCTCTGCTGACCAAAGAAGGGATGGGATCCGTCCCGGGCTGGTTGGAGCTGGCTAAATGGACCTGCTTTGGACTGTACTTTGTGCTTGAGGACCTAACTATCGTGAGTACACCACGCCTCACATCTGAATTGAGATCCGCCAGCTAATCTCCGGCAGTTGCACGCCATGGGCGTTTGGGCTGTTCCCTGGGAAGAACGGGTGATGCGCGAGGCCAACACATTCTGGTTCTACGCCCTGTCCTTCTCGCTCGCTGGCACCGTCTATGCTCTCCTTTTCTCCAACTCGACGGCCCCCGCGTCGAAGGGTAAGAACGGGAAGAAGAAGAATGGCCGCAAAAATGAAAAGGCCGTGTCGCGCGTGGACAGCTCAGCGCTGATGAAGCAAATTGTGGTGGATGGATGCGACCTGCTCATCCCGGCCGAATTGCTGGATTGGATGCCGACCGGAGACTTGGTGATTGGATCGACGATGATTCTCAGCACCCTGTTGACAGGACAGGATATCTGGGCAAAGGTGTAAATTTCATATGATTGGGGATTTGGACATATATATCGTCCCACGTATACCAAATATAGAATAGACTACCTAGATTTAGACTAGATGAGAGGTGCATCCCCGAACCATCCCCATGCCAAGGTTTAATTGCGGTTACCTAGGTCTCCTATGATACTTGGCAGTGCAAACAAAAATTCAGGGCATGAAAGCAAAAAAAGTTATTATCAACACGTAACATTTGAACTGTTGGCTTTTTACTGCTGCCTGCATTGGCAGGAGCCACGTGCTTCTGCTTCTGCAAACATTAGTCATTGTATTCCTGAAGCCAAAAAAAGGACATCCAACGACCCTCTCCGGTGATCTGAAATTGGAGGAAAAAATGGACTCGCGGGGAATCGAACCCCGGACCACCCCCATGCTAAGGGGGTATTATACCACTAAACCACAAGCCCAATTGTTGAAGACAGCGAGGATTTATGGCTTCATAAACAAGAAAGCTTGACCTGGCAATGAGAACTGACTGAGGCATCTCCATCCCTCCCCGTAATGATCACAAGGGCACCAAGGCACCATGCCGCCATGATAACCGGCCGCCCGCGGAGTCATGACTGCTTTCTCTGCAGGAAGCACAAAATCAAGGTCAGACTAACCGATGTCCACATCATTGGGAGGCATAATAGCAAGACGAGCTGACCAACGCAGTGCGACGAAACCAGACCCTCCTGGCGCAATTGCGCGACGTATGGCCGCGAATGCCCTGGATACCGCACAACCATTCCTTTTGTTTTCCGCAGCGAGAATCAGAAAGCCGAGAGGCTCGCACTTAAAAAACCAGCGGAAGGAATTGCAACATCAGCCTGAGACATCCGAACGTAATAAACCACTTGCTCAGATGGCGCGCAATGGCTTCCGACTCCATTGACCGTTCCTCCCTTTCTCCTGGACTCATCCTGGCAGTATCACGGCCGTTGCTATTTCCTCGACTAATTTACCCTCCCCACCGAGCCTGACGGCAGCCCCGAACCCCTCGATTTGATACCCTTCTTATATACACAGTGCCAGGATGCGACGACCGGAGGCGCCCCGCTCGCCAGTCTGCGGGTTGCACTGGACGCGGCGGCGTTTGCACCACTGGCCAATCAAGGCAGGATACTGGCATTGACGGTGCGCGCGCGGCAGAGATATGGAGAAGCGCTGTGCGAGCTGAGCCGATCCCCGGAGTCTGTGGAGTATGCTGGGCGCAATGAGACGCCGGTCGCCTTTGTAATGCTCATGCTGTTTGAAGATATCAACAGCGAACGGAAGAGCCTCATGAGCACGCATGTGTCGGGTATTCAATACCTGCTCAAGCTCCGTGGGCCCGGACAGCCGGTGGACCCGGCAACGCGGTCCCAGTTTCATTTTGCGTTTACCCAGATTGTCGGTATCTTCTCCGGATGTCTCTCTGCATATTTGCTTATGCTAAGTTGTCGTACAGCACATTCAGTTCATCGGGCTGAACGATCCTTTGCGGATTTGGTTGCTGAACGTCCTCACCATCCCCGCACCCGATCTACAACATGATGGCCGTTAATATCATTATCAGCAAGCTGTGTACCACCGTCTCGCAAGTCCTCTCGGAGGATATCTGTGGGCCGGTGGACACCTCGCTTCTCTTCTCATTACTTGAGCGAGGCGAACATGTCGATCGGCATTATGGGCCGCCAGATATTTGGCTCCCACGCAAGGCTTTCCTGCCCACCGAAGAGACCATCATTATATACCCTGACCGTACGTCGGTCGGTGTATGGAATTATTACCACAGCAGTCGGATCATTCTTCAGCTTGCCATCCTCAAACTCCACGGCTCTCTGGCGGCTGTGGCTGATGGCGATCTCTTTCTGACTTCCGGACAGACGTTTCTTTGCATACCCCAGAAGAAATTATTAATGAGATGATTGCGGAAACTTGCCAGTCGATCCCGTTTGCCATGGGCGATGTCGACACTTTCGGACAGTCTACCCCTGGTGCCCACCCGGGAGCAACGGGCATCAAGGCCGTCCAAGGGTTCGCCGTCCTGTGGCCGCTGTTCAACGTTTCGAAGAATAAGTACGCGATAGCTGCACAGAAGCCGCAGGCGCATGAGGTGCTGCGGCAGATTGCGTTGAGGCATGGGGTTCGACTGGGGATGGGGTTGAGCGCAGAGGCGGTGCCGCTTGACCGGGTATTTAGCCCTCGCATTTCCGAGGGGTCTTGGTCTGCGGTGAGTTGAGCCCATCGAAGCCGTTGTAGATTTGTACATAGCAGCGCAGATACAATCATGACGATACACGAATATGATGATATCCCACTCCATCCCCAGGTCATTTACGCGGGTGCACCGCCCACCTGACCATCGCATTTTAAGCGCAAGGCTGATCGGCTGCGCCTCGTCTCAACTCTAACCCAACGCCCGACACACGTCGAGCAAGCCTGCTGGTGATGAAAGAGCAACACGAGCCCTTGCCCAAAACGGCCGTTCGTCGCAATGGAACCAGCCGCCGATCGGCCACCCGTGGATACGAGCCGCCCAAATAGGCAACTCTCGTATGCGCAGCAATCATGGCAGGGCGAGATAGGGAGGATATATAAGGGACCGCGAGAGCAACGAAACCACCATTTGATTATGGACCATCAAAGACAAATGCAAGCTTCATGGCCATCATGACTTCGACTACAACTACAACCTCCCAGCTCGCCGACCTGAAAGAGGCGCGCACCTCACTGTCCAGCACCAGCACACGCTGCACCCTCAACCCATCATCCTTCTATCCCACCCGCACATTGACCGTCGACGCCCTCGGAATCCGCGCCTTCCGCCTCCCCATTCCCTCTCGCCAGACGGAGATCTTCATCCGCAACTCGGACGGCAGCGAAGCATACATCTCCACGCGCGACCGACTCTGGTCCGGCAACAGCGTGTTGTCCCACCCAAAGCTGGGCGACCTCATTCGCACCGACTACTTCTTCGGCCCCAATCGCGAGCCCATCCTGCGCCTGCTGCAGACCTCCAGCGTCCTCCCTGATGAGATTCGCATCAGCAGGCAATGGACGTCGCGCACCACGCGGTTTACGATGCCCGGCGGCCGGGAGTACGAGTGGGTCTACGAAAAGGAGAAGCGGGAGGGGCAACGGGTGAACCTGGTCATTCTGCGCCCCGTCGACGTCGACGATCAGACGATGGCAGACAAGAGCGAGAAGAACGAGACGAGCGCAAACGAGTCCGACGAGGGAGACCGGCGGATCGCGCAGCTCGTGCGATCGGCGGAGACTCGTACGCCCGGAACCTCCCGGTGTACGGCGGGCAATGGTGGGGAACTGCAAATTGACGACGCGGGGCTCGATGCGTGCGGGCTGGACCAGGCAGTCGTCGTCGCGACGTGCCTGGTGATGCTGAAGAAGGAGATGGACCGGCGCCGGATGATCCAGTTTATGGCGATTGGCGGTGCGGGCGGTGGTTCATAGCCATTGAGCTATCAAATGGGTATACTTGGTGCAATGGTTCGAAGATGATTCCCTTAGATGTAGATATCTTTTAGAATGTATGATTGTATTTGCTGTTCTCTATTTCGGTGTATCATAGGGTAGTCACTCCACTGCGCCTCATCTATCTCGATCATCTCATCATAACAGAACGCTCCCATGCTTTTCTCATGCAACGGAGACCGGGCGAGGGGCCAGCCTTCGCGCGATTCCCGCGGCATCCATCGCTCATAAGGTTCAAGTGCCTCACTTGCGCTCATTGAGGAGACCCGCAATATGCGGGTTCAGCCAATACTCGTCCAGCACCTCCGGCGCCATCGACTGGGCTCCGGAGATCCAGCCCCGACATTCCGCCGCGCCGCAGGTGCACTGGAACGGCTGGTCCATCTCCCACTCGGTGCTGGGGTAGAAGAAGGTCAGGGCGTCGCCCTTGTGGAGCGGGCGGTCGTCGACGACGCGCACCTCCATGCGCGACATGTCAAAGACCAGCGAGGGCGCGCACGAGTGGTTGCAGTACACCAGGTCGGAATTGAGCTCGATGTGGGTGTCGGGGCCGGTCTGCACGCTGGTGTATGCCTTGACGCCAGGGGTTGCCGTGGTGATCTTGGCGAAGAGCGCGCCGGCTGGCAAGTCGACGAGTGATTCGGCGCCGCTGCCAAAGGCCTTGGAACTGCGATTGACGTGCAGTCGGTCTGGGTGGGTGGGCGCCGGGATGTCACTGCGCGACGCAACGGGCGTGGGGACAATGGGGGCGGCGGTGGACATGGTGATGGTGGAGAAGAGGAGGAGGAGGAGGAGGCGGAGGAGGTATGTAAAAGGTAGGAAGGCTGGAGAGGAAAAGGAGAGCAGAAGTGAAGCTCACGCAACACAATTGCGGACGCCGGCTTTATACGATTCCCTTCGACCGAGGAATGCTGGGCGGACGCGGGACCGAGGCACGATGGAAATGGCGGAGACTCTCCCCAAGACGGACGGGTCCACTCCGCAACAACGCGGCCCTAAGTGCTTCTAGGCTCGTCTAGCGGGCGATCCCCTCGATCTTTCGGCGAATTCACATGTGAACGCCATCCGGCATCTCACGCACAACATGGAAGCACGACACTCCGTCGTTCGCTAGCTGGGCCACTAGCCCGTACTCCCAGTCGAGGTACCCTTGCATCGCCTCGCGCGCGTTGCTGGTGCCCTCGTATGGCCGTTGATACACGTCGATCGGAGACGAGAGCCAGCGCGAGTCGTCTGACGATAGGGCGAGTCCATGGCTCACCCATGCCGCGGTGCCGCCGGTCAGGTACAGCAACTGGCGGGACGGTAGGTGGTCTCTCGCTTCGTCGACATTCGCGGCGGCCAATTGACCATCAGGCGAGGTCAGAACGATCGGACCATCACCAGGGATCGTCTTCAGATCGTGGACCAGCTCGGGGCCTGACGCAAACCATGCGCCGGGGATGTGGCCCTTGCGATAGACCGGACTGCGTGCGAGGTCGACGATGGTCACATCGGAGAGAGATTGCAGCTCGTCGATGGTGATTGCTCCGGCGGGAGCATCGCGCGATACTCCTTTCCATTCGACGAGCGGTTCGACGTCGGGCACGGTGGAGTTCGCATCCAACACATACACCTCCCATCCAAGCTGCAAGAGCCAGCTGGCCGTCATACGCGCACGAATGCCGTCGGTATCGTAGAGGACGATGCGCGCACCACGTACACCCACCCATTCGTCAGTCGCCTGCACCAATTGACCACCGGGCGCATTCGCGAAGCCCTTCGCATGACTCTGGGTATACTCGCTCGGATCCCGCACGTCGAGCAGGTACAAGGTGCGGGATTCCGATGCCCACTGGCCGACTTGACACCCATCCACCGTCACCACACCAACGTGCTGTGCCCAGGCCTCGGCATGTCGTCGTGCCTTGCGCAATGCCTCCGGCGAGGGCGGCGGAGCCCGTTCCTCGCGACGATGCTCCAGCTGCAGACCTTCCAGCGTCCAGCCGATCGTTCCATTTCGCAGCGCGACGACCTTGTTGGGGACAGACGCGTTCAGCAGGGACTGTGTACCCACGATACTTCGGGTGCGACCGGCGCAGTTCACAATCACGGTCGTCTCGGGAGACGGCGCGGCCTCGAAGACGCGATATAGTAGCTCGCCGCCAGGACAGCTGCGGCCACCGGGGATGCTCATGGTGTGATATTCTTCATAGCGTCGGGCATCGAGCACCACGACGTCGGGGTTCTGATCGAGCAATTTTTTTGCGTCCGGCGCGGCCAGCGATGGGGTATGCCGGATTGATTCGACCAATTCGCCGAATGCCTTGGAGGGCACATTGACATCGCGGTAGACCTCTCCCACTCGGGCGTAGCCCGAGAGGCCGCCGTCCAGGATTGATACATGGGAATACCCCAATGCCGTAATGCGAGCGACTGCTCGATCCACGTAACCCTCGCCATCATCATAGACCACCACGGGCGTCGACAGTCGCGGCACCAGGGGCGGCAATTTCTCCTCAATTTCAGAGACGGGCACGCTCAATGCGAAAAGCGGATGGGCGTCGGAATAGGGTCCTTCTTCGCGCACGTCGAGCAAGGCGATCTCGTCTCGATTGACCCAGTGGTGACGCAGTTCCTGCGGCGATATTGACTTGTCGGGAGTCATGGTGAGTGCCCCTGCAAATGGTTCACGTGATGATCAAGCGGCAGCTCGTGTGATGGTTTCAGAGAAGAGCTTGAGCTCCCAAGGTACTACTCTCATAATGCTCGGATAAGCTAAGCTCCCGATCGACCCCCACGTGGAAATCAAATGTGGAGAGGCGGATGGTTTTGGTGGTCGCGGACCTTTTTTGGCCGGCCGGAAATTCTCCGCCACGAGGCCGCACGTGGGGCAACCTCCCAACAGCACGACAAGATTCTATAGAAATATGGAGGAGAACAGGGTCGACAGGCGAGTCCACGGATAGAGAACTGTGAATTTGAAGTGGAGTGGATCTCGGCAAAGATGACTCCCGCGGTAGGCTTTCTGCAATTCGAGTCTGAAAGTCGCCCCAACTGGTGTAGATGTAGATGTAAGTGTGCTGCAGTCCGCAATGTCGTGATTTCGTCTTCTCTATTGCAATCGCAGCCACCAGCGTGCACGCTTGCCACTACCTATCATGACCACTTCCATGCTTCGAGTGGTCCGTTTCATTGATGTTCTTCGCGAAGTTGTTCGTGAGTTTGTACTGAACTAATCTTTTCGACACCACTTGGTTGTTGTGTTGCAATCCACTCTCGTTGCAACCCCCGCTTCTCGTCTCCACGACAATCACCCAGAGCTGATATTCGGCCTTGCCCTGCGCCTGCCCAGGCTTCCCCAGGCTTCCCCATGAATACCCTGCCATCCATCCGCCAAAAACGGCAGTCATGCGAAGCATGTCGTAAGTCAGTCCGCCGGCAACGAGGTACGAACCAAACTGACCGCAAGGAGGAGCCCGCAAGCTACGCTGCTCCGGCGAGAGAAACGGCTGCACGCGATGCCGTAGCTTGGCCCTACCTTGTCGATTCCAGGACAAGGGCGCACCCGGGCGACCGAGGAAGCGGCCACGACATGAGCAACACGACCGCCAGCTAGCCACGCGAGAGCGCGAGCGAGGAGAGCCGCGCCAGCTTCCTCCGCACAGCTTCCAGATCTCGCCAGCGCTTGCTCACGAGCCGATAGAAGACAAAGATGTCGAAAGTATGCTGCTAAGCGACGACTTCAGCTCCTTTCCCTTCGAACTCTCCGGGAGCTGTGGACTCGGTGCCTGTGCCCTTGATTTCACAGGAAATCTCGATTTCAGCTCGTTTCCTATCGGGCCACTCTCTAATTCGCACGCGGGCGGGGAGCACGAGCACCCCGAGGCGGTCTCGGAGATGTCCTTGCCCTCGTGTATCTCGCCGCCCCTCTCTCCGCAATCGTGTCAATGTGACGAGGAGGTCTCCGATGCCGTGCGGGCCCTGACGCGAGCCCCCGCGTCACACAGCCTCATTCAGAATCTCCGCGACGGTATCGGATTGACCGAGAAGCTGCTCACCTGTCCCGTCTGCTATGACGTATCGAAGCCGCCTCGGATCACGGTCCAGAACGTGCTTTTGATCGGCCGGCTGATGTTTGAGGTCACCTCCGGGTATCAACGGTATCTACGGTGGTTGAAAACACACTGCCAGGAGTTAGAGGAGAAGAGCAGTAGCGAGACGTTATACCTGATTCCCAGTCTGGGGATCGGGGCCGAGCTAGGTCTGAAGATCAGTGGACAGAAATTCCACGACGTCATCACGCATGGCCTGCACGCGGATACAGATCGAATGGAGGCCGTCGGGAAACAGTTTGCACAGAGGCAGAAGAATCGACATCTGATCGGCCATGAAACGTGTCCGGATGAGGAGGGGCGTTGTCGAAGAGAAGAGTACGGGCTGGACCATGATCCGCTGGATTTGTGTCCACATAATGCCGCCTCGAGGAGGTTAACGCCTTGTTTTCGGATTGTTGATGAGGTACGAGCGATGATACAGCAGGTTGCAGAGGGGTTGGACTGAAACATAAACGGTCGATGGGATTATTTTGAGCGGAAGGTGAACCGAAACTGGATTTCGACTTGGGACGTTCGCTGGAAGAGACCGACATTTGTAATTTTTTGCTTGCCGCAACAGTTCAGAACTAGTACTTGATTTGTAGCGATTGATCAGGTATCATTGCCATTTTAAGAATTTCATGTAACATTAAGGATGTTCCTATGCTATGCTACCATTTGCCGCCTGGATACTCCGAGTTGGCTTTATAGAGCCACAGCAATTCCCATTGACCTGTCCATCACGATTCTCGAAAAACACCCCGAGCCTACAGAAGCATGAAGATGTAATTTCCACATCAGCCTCTGCAAGCGCAAGCTTCAACTGCTGCTGGATGATATTCGCCTCCGCCACCCGTCCCAATCGCTCAAGACATTCGTGGTAGCCATGAAGAGCCCAGACATTATTCGGATGTTGATGCGCACGTTTCGGCGTCGGATACAGTCCCAAGTCTTCTGCATAGGCCTGAGCAGCTTGTGCAACATGACCCTGCTCAAGCGATAGCGCGGCGTAGGCGTGTCGCGCCGGCAGCATCCAACCCCAGGGCTCCGCGAAAGGAAGCTCGTCCTCCAGAACAATGGCTTCTCGTAGACTGGCAAAGGCTCGGTCGAAGTTCCCACGCCGATATTCGATTTCACCATCCAGCATGGCCGACGCTACATGGAGGATATCGGTGATTTTATTCGGAAAGTCCAGGCGTGTCGGAGGGACGAGCTGGGAGGCCTGCTTGAACCGCTCGCGCTCCCTGTCGGCTTCTGGTAGCTGACTCGTCGCCGCATACGCGATGCTTTTCCCATAATGTCGCATGACGTTGGTCACGCAGTATAGCCCTCGATCCTCCAGTGGTTCGAGGGCTTTCAAGTCATCCCACATGCCAAAGCGGATCAACACATGGACACGCACTGCCTTGAAGAATTCCATCCAGTTGGCGAACGCGGGGGTCTCCACGCGAAGAATCTCCTCTGTGATGGCCGCCTCCATCCGGTCTGTGGCTTCGAGTGCCGCCTTGGATTTCCCTGCCAGCATAGCGGCATAAATCAGGGAGTGAAAATCGTGCATGCGGTAGTAGCTGTAGAAAGTAAGACCGCCGTTGCGGGCGAAGTACTTGTCGTCGGCAATGGTCGCTTTCCAATTATATTCAACGGCTCGTCGATAGTCGCCCACCAGCACGTAGATATGTGCTGGCATGTGGTATGTGTGGCCAGTATCGGGAATCAAGTCTCGGATCATATCTGCGGCAGGCAATGCCGCTTCGGGCGTGGCAGACATTTCCATCAAATGGATATACATGTGTCCTGGCCCCGGGTGTTTTTCCACCCCTGGCATCTTCAACGCCTGATCAAGTAACTCCTTCACTTCGAAAACCGGCGTCGACGCATTTGGGAGCCCCGTGGCGGCATCGTAGAGCTTGCGCGGAGCACAGTTCATCAGCGCATCGGCGAAGAGCGTGATTAAATCAAAATCGACTTGCCCAAATGTCCGATGGGCCACGCGCATCGCATCCGCATATGCCCTGCTGCAAGCCGCCAAATCTCGGTTGGGATCGTCGTTGGGATAGCGCTTTGCAAGTGCGTGGATGAGAGCCTGCTCCCACTGCGTCGCGGAATGCGCTCGTGCTAGTGCGGCCTGCGAGTACACATAGCAATTCTTGATCGCATTGACTCGATCGACGCTGTCGAAAAGTGCCCAGGTCTTGTTGTAATTTGAGCCCGAGCAAAACGAGACGCCCCAGTACGCCATTGCGCAGGTGTCGTCGTGTGCGATAGCCTGCTTGTAGCAGGTAATGGCTTCATCGTGGTTGAAACAGTAGGTCCAGATCAGCCCGCGATCAAACCACCGTTGGGCCTCCACCGACGTCGTGCTCACCTTGCGACTGAGAGTCCCCAGGTCGTAGTAGGTGTCCTGCGACGACCGCGGGGAATCCTCAGGTGCGAGCGAGCCCATTGCTAGGGAGGAGTGTTACCGCGACATAGGCGAGGGGAGATTCGATAGGGTCCCGATGTCGATAGATGTGGTGCGGCCGACGTGTGATCACCGCATGTCTTAGTCAGGCGCAACCAACCAGCAGATGAATTGCCGCGGGTTCTTCATCCTCCTGTTTGGGGTGAGACTTAAGAACGACGAGCTGCTCGGAGGGTTTTGATTGCGGCTGGTTGGCCGAAATAGTCCGAGACTCCCGCGCGACTCGTTCGCGTTTGTCCCGCGACTCCAGCGGAGTAAAGAACAATAGAGGGAAAGGATGATGAATTAATTGAACTATTATCAGAGAGGACGAGAGAACGGAGATGGAAAAAGAAAAAAAGAAGGATTTAGATGCCGGGAATTTCTGCCTGAGGCTACAAGGCATCAACAGGAGAGGAAGAGAGTAATTCCTCGAGATACAATTTGGTCGTCTCCGCTATACTTCCAGCACTGAATATTTCACAATAATCTTTACAGCCTGCTATTATGCTATATCTACCTCGAAGGATAATAATCCGAATTCAAAACGTAGCGTGGCATCGAATCCTCCCACATACTATTCGTGAGCACCGTCTTGTTCGAGCCGTCGACGTTCATGATCATAATCTGCCCATAGGGCTGGAAGGTATCGTCGTAGGTCGCAGCCTCCGCCTGAAATCCCCACATTCCACTCGACCACATAATTCGACCGTCAGCGGTCCAGACCGCGTGGGCGTCATTGGCGGCCGACCAGGTCAGTCGAGTGTAGTCGGTGCCGTTGGGCCGGATGATGCACACCTCATAGTTGGAAAACTGTCCCGAAGAAAAGTCGGTCACATTTCGAGTAAAGAGCACCCACTCGCCATCGGGGGAAAAGAAAGGTAGATTGTCTCGCTCGGTTGTGAGAGTGGTGGTCTTATTGGTATCCAGGTTCAGCAAGCGGAGACCAAACTCCGGCTCAAAGACTCGATAGACAATTTGATTGCCGTCAGGCGAGTAGCTCGGGTACCCCGCGTTCGAACCCGAATTATCGGAGTCGAACGTCAGCTGTTCATAGTACGATCCATCCGAGCGAGTTCGGTAGATCCAACCGGGCTTGGAGGAGCGGCTTTGAAACCAGTAGCCCAGCCCAAAGGTGATCCATTTGCCATCAGACGACCAAGAGGGTTGGAAGCAGCCAGCACCGCCCTCGGAGACTGAGGCATAAGGGACTGGGTTCGGAACCACTTCGAAAGTGCCAAAGGGCACGTTGAATTTGTGTCCACTTGGGAGCATCACAGAAACAGAAGCATTGCCCGGGGTGCCCGTTTGCTTCGATGTAAAAACCAGCTTGCCATCATTCGACAGATCTGGGAAGGCATCCATAAAACGGTACTCCCACTCATCATCCCAAGTGAACAGCCTTTTCTGCAAAGCTCGAGTTGTCCACCCGGTCTTCTCATAGACCACATGCTTGCCATCCGGAGACCAGGACGGAGAGTGGAAGGTACCGGAGACATTGTGGGAGGAGCCGGTATAGTGGAGACCGGCGTTAGGTCCTCCTTTCACAAGATAGGCGATATTATCGTTGGAAACATACTGGGGGTAGACTTTGCAGCCAATCGAGTTGGTCTCTCTGCGACGATCGGTGCCTGTTGCAAAGTCCACCGAAACGATTTGATTTTCCAAGCTGTCTTCCCCAAAAGACGACCGCGAGTCATATGTCTGCTGAAGTGTCATCTCGTAGAAGACAATGCGCTTTCCATCCGGAGAAAATTTGGGAGACCCAAAGCTCAGTGCCGACTCACTGTAGACTAGCCGGAAGTCAGTCCCCTGAGGGGTGATGCTGTAGATGGACAGATTCTGCGTATGTTCCCAGCCGGTTCCATTGTCGTGACCAGTCCACCCCGTGTTTCGATCTGAAGAGAAGACAATATGTTTACCATCGGGAGACCAGGTCGGAGCAAAGAAGCCACTCGGCGAGTATGGGTTGCCTGTAATGCCGGTCTGATTCGTGAGGTTGCGCGTGGAGCCGGTTTCGAGATTCGTTAACCAGATATTCGAGGTGTATACATCGCGAGTCGACGCATACGCTGCGTATTTGCCATCAGGAGAAATAGCAACCGCATCCTCCACGGCAGGAGTTGTCGCAATGGGCCGCAAGCCACTCCCGTTAACGTGGACCATGTATAGATCGGAGTTACCGTCGCCATTGCGCTCAGTGGTAAAGGCCACATGCTCGCTGTCGGGAAAAAAACTGGCGTGATATTCAAAGACCGACTGGTTGCCCAGCAGCAAGCGCTCATTGGTTCCGTCGGCATTGGCGATGTAGAGTTGCATCGAGGACGGGTTGATGCGGTTCATCAACATTACACCCTTCTTGCCCTCTGCGTGAGGAACTGTGATCTCACGAGGGATATGTGGATTGGCATTGGCATCAGGAGCCGCGGCTTGCGCCCGTCGAGCATAGGGACAGGTAGCCTGGCTCTTCTCCTGCCCAGCATATGGACAAGCGGCCATGCATAATGCAGGTCCAAGGAGGGCGAGAAGCAGGAAGCGCATGGCGGATCCTGCAGTGGGGTTAAATATATTCAAATCCCTGTCACAAATTCAACCCGCCGACTCTCGAAGTCTTTTATATTTCCAAAAGCCCGGTGGTCTCCGCCAACTCAGATCTACATTACCGATTTGTACCCAGGCGCAGTCAAAGCAACCAATTGCCGGTACAGTAAATCAATTTGCAGTGACTGTCGTGGACCCTCCATACAAGGCTGACGCAGCAACTTGATTGGTTTCAATCCTGGTCGATGTACCGACCAGAACACTTGCTGATGCTTAGCAGAGGGCGTACCAGGCCTCCCAGCTGACGCAGTGAACTCGAGGATTTCAAATCGGCGCAGGGTCGTTGACAAGGAGGCTAGCTGATCCTTCACGACGGCGAAAGCGACTGGAGAAAGCGGTCCGAGACTGGGAATCGAGTGGGAGATGACCGATTCAAAGGAGAGTGCTGAATGCACAAAAACCATGCGGGCGATCGTCCCCATGGCTTGCCTGATTCGAGGGTCTACCACTGCTCCTAGCTGCCCTGGGAATAACGGAACGGTATAGCCGTAGCAAGGCGGAGACCGTGCAGGATATCTAATCACCGAGATTGTGACTGTCGCATGTCCCCGGTGTTGTGAGTGATGGAGGGGCCCTGGCGCAAATCAAGATCCTGAGGTCTTGCCGATCGCATTTCGGCGGAGACGGTGTCCCTTGTTCCATCGATGAAACCTCCGCCAAAGCGACTTCGTTTGGAACGATCTGCAGTGGCAGATGGTACAGAACATCGAGTGATCATCCCCATCTTGCCTATGCGGGGCACCAGGACCGAGGGCTCGGAGGAAGCAATTTAGCCAGAGAGACGAATGGATTGAGAGTTCAACCTGTGAATGGTGGATGCATGAGGGAGAAGCAGTGTTTCGTAAATGGGTCTTAATTTGCCCGGCAGGGCGATTCCACGAGGGCCATGCTAATAGCTGGTAGAAACTGCAGTCTGGGAGGCCACAAAAAGAAATAAAGGCACTCAAGGCGGAGTTGAATGTGGTGATGGTCGGATATCGAAGTGATTGACATGGCCATGCCCAGATTAGGAACAGAACTCCGAAAAATAAATACAGGAACGGCAACCCTGCTTAGTGTATGTTCAATGCAAGACAATAAGTGGACCCCCGCATAGCTGGGCATAGAATAATGGATCAGATAGAGTGCGTAAATTATGATGCTATGACACGCCTGCTACGTACCGGTGATCTGAAACTGAACCTGACCCGTAAGCAGACAGCTAAAAGGCAGCCCGGCAATTGAAGTCCCTATGGACGTGCCTGCGGAATAGTCGAGGAATTGCATTATTGCTGTTTCACTTGTTTCACTTGTCATTTCTGTGGTGAGATCGCGGAACTAAGCTTTGTTGCAAGGATGGTTTGAAACTATGATGCCTATGACAAGGCAGGGATACTCCCAAACAGGGAAAATGGTCCATCAAACGATAGTATTACCACTCTTAGTGATGACACAAAGAAGCGGTAAATGAGAATGCTCACATACAGACAGGAGAAGGTATAGACATATAAAGGCCAAGTTAATCCAGTTGCGGCAGCAAGGGTGCACCCTAGCTCAGGACGGTGACATTGTTCGACAACAACGTGCAGTTGATAGCAAGGTCAATAGACGGGTAGGTGCTATCCTTCGAAAATGCCGTAGTGCTATAGTTGTACGTCGGACCGAGCATCATAATCTGGCCAACCGTGGTGTCGAATTTCTCTGCCAGGTCTTTGTAGACACCCCACTCGAACGAATAAGGCTGAATGATGCATTGACTGGGCGAGCATTGGGGCACCTTGATGAATTTGCCTACAGGCAAAGTGGTGTTTGCAGACTCCCCACCGGAGAGTGATTCGGTCGTGATGTTGAGGCGGATCGCGATGCGCTCGTAGGTGTCGCCGTTGACGGTATAGTAAAGACGTGGACCACCGTAGATGCAGTCGCGAGTGCGACCCTCATCTTTGATGAGACAGGAATGGTTGTCGGGCGTGCATGTCTGGGGCGGAATTATGAGCTCCTGGCCGACGTTGGGGGTGATTGTCACATCGGCCATGATGTTGTGACGGCCGATATCACAAACGCCGCGCTTGGTTGCGCGCGCAACATCGAAGACCGTGGTTCCCTCTTTAGTAATGGGATACAGATAGGCCGTGGTGTTTAGTTTGCTGGTATCGCAGGAAGAGGAAGCAGCACCCAGCGTCCCTAGGGAGAGAAGAGCCGCAAGGATGGAATCGGCGATTTTCATGATGACGTTGAAGGGTGAGTCTTCCACAAAAACAAAAGTAAAGAGATGATCCGGTGATCTGTTTATTCTAGCGAATGCAGAAAGAAAACTTTGGGTGATCGTAAAGAGAGGGACTGGCACCAAGCGAGTGGAAGGGTTGTTTGGGCAGATCTAGACAGAGAAAGATTTAAATAGGTTCCAGACGCACTCACCCCTCACCTACTAATGCGATATGCAGTGGACTTGTGTTTGGGTACATCAATTAGCGAGAAGACTATATCAGAAACAACTCACTGCGATTTTGAGATGTGGTCGTCTGGGAGGTGCCTTGGGTAAAGTAATTCCCAAGCGAGTGACGCGCCCCACCCGAGTGTATATGTGACCTGAACACCTGCGGGTGGGTCAAGCCACACCTGATTCATTGGCATCTGTAATTTAATTCTGGCGAATACATTTAATAAATTACTGATGTATTATTCACTCTCACTGTATACACCATTGGTCAGGCGGGGTAGTTCTCCATCTCATTCTAGTGTCCGCACCCACACCCAGTATGGCAGTGTTTTTAGAGGCCGACCAAGATATCGGTGAATTCCTTGAGCAGGAGCTTCAGCAGGAGTTTCAGCGACAGCTTAATACTGAGGAGAGTGCAGTTCCTGCTACTGTTCAAGGGACCCCTGGACCTACAGATGCTCTAGATGAACCTCCGGTATGGTTTAGGTAATATATTCTCAATATTTTAAGTATATATTAATAATATATTGTGTAAGGAATTACCGACTGTCTTACACGACAAGCGCTCGCCGATTCGAACCCGCTTTATCGAATATACTTCAGCGCTACCTGAATATCCCCGGACAGATCCGGATGGCTCTACATATGTGATCAATGTGCCTGATCGGTATTTGTTCGCAGTGGAGCAGTAAATTAAAGGAGTATATAATATCCTATTAATATATTGATAATATTTTAATAATATATTAGGTGCAAAATCATTGAGACCCGCCTACGCTAATGGAGACTAGAGTTTCTGCAAGAAGCTGACAAATCATGACCTTGATGTTCTGATACACGCAAATTGCCAATCGGCAAGATCTTCAAGCTTCGGAGAGATCCATTAAATCGAGGAATTTGCGATCAGGTTGCTATTCAGCCGGTCGGCGAGATCGCTCGAGAATGTGTGATGGTCGGTCGATTTGAGCTGTAAATTCAACCTTCAAGGTCATGGTGTAGCCAAACGTTGAGCATCTTTACTCTGGACTGGAGCAAGCCTAGTGCAGAAGCAATAGCTATAGAGCTTCCAGAATCTTGACAAACATTTCAGAAGTTCACAGCGAATTGCATTGCCAGAGACGGCAATCGCTGCCCTTATCACTGAGGTGCTGTATTTATATCGAGGAAAAGAAACACTCCATACAGAAAATTGCGAGCAAAGAGAGGCGAAGAAGATGGAAATGAGAAAAAAAAGACTAATCCATTTAGAATAAAGTTTTTGCACCCTAAGGTAGGGACGGCAGCAAAGCTTCACAAGTCGGCATGGCATGTTCTATGCGCAGTCATGGCGAGAGTGTGGTCCGAAACATTGTGAAGGGGTGGGAATTGTAGTAGACTCCATTCGTTTTCGCTTCTTGCTTGCTTTTCTTTTTTGTATCATATCATTGGCAACTAGGACATTTCAAGTGCACAGAATTCAAACGTGATTGGCTGAGCGGGGCCAAAGTTCTGGAAAGGTCAATCCATGACGACCACGCTCACATCAAGCTTCAATATCAGATAGTGCCTCTGTATATGCTATTTACGCAGTCGTCGAAGTCAGATTCTCTCCGAGATTTCGGACCATTCTTTATTCGTAGTATGTTTGGCCGTTAGGGCGCATGCAGCCCGATGATGCAATCCGCCTACGGGATGATACTAGCCGGTCACTGAAAAGCACGACTCGTGGCATTTCTTTGCCGGATAGCGGCCCGTATGGCTTCTCTAAGCTCCACATTTCTGTAAATCTATTATTTCTTGCAATAGTCCAATATTCGTTAGATACCTTCAGGTTGGTTGGGCGAATCGGCGGGTGTAAGAACACGCTTAATCCCACTGCCGTGAAGCCTTGGCTGCTTGAATTCGCCAGGGCGACGTCCCCGGAAATCCATTTTCCTCGGGTCTTCGAACCATACCTAACACCTGCATGATTTTTATCGGTCTCGGAAACAAGCCGATTCACTATAATCCTTGGCCGATGTCGTGATTCGGCGACAGATCGTACCATAGCTCTAAGAGATCTTCGCAGATAGATTTGGGACAATGTTTACTTGAAGTTCCGCCCTCATTGGTATGTTCTGGGAGTTTCCGGTACTCCATGTCAAGAATTGGGTGTTCAACATAACGCGCTCGCCGCCTTCCCTTCATCGCATCGACTATCGAACTGTGGTCGCCAGAATGGGTGACGGTAAAGGTAATGGAGATGTCATTCAAGACCACGAAATCTTGACTGGCAAGGATGACACCAGGAGCGGCAAGCTGGCCGAGCTACATCATCTCAGCGAGGAGGATCAGGTATTGGAGAAAAAGCTGTTGCGGAAGATTGATTTCCTCGTCATGCCATTGATCGTGGTCATCTACCTCATGAATTTCATCGATCGGTAGGTCTTTTTCAACAATGCAGTCCTCCCACAGGACTTCACTCATGGTTTTCTCAGAAACAATTATGCGGCTGCGAGATTACAGGGCTTGGAAGACCATCTCAACCTCACCTCGGAGAGATATCAGGCTGGTGAGTGTGAATGTCAGCAGAGAATTGATGCAAATTGCTCACTAGTGCCTCTTAACAGGCCTTGGAATTTTCTTTGTCGGATATATCCTCGGCAGTATCCCATCAAATCAGATCCTGAATTATACCGGTCGCCCATCGCTCTATCTGGGCCTGTCAACATGCGCCTGGGGTCTCGTCTCTGCTCTGACAGCCTTAGTCCAGAGCTACGGAGGCATTCTAGGCTGCCGTCTAGCACTGGGATTCGTCGAGGCACCCTTCTTCCCAGGCGTACTTTTCTACCTGTCGAAATGGTACACCAAGACAGAACTCAGCATGCGCATGTCCATTTTCTATATCGGCTCGCTGATTGCTGGGGCACTGGGCAGTCTCATAGCGGCAGGGATTCTCCATGGGTTGGCCGGGAAGAACGGATTGCCAGGCTGGCGATGGCTGTATATCATCGAGGGAGTAATTACAGTCGTGCTGGGACTGCTGGTTGTCTTCATGCTGCCGGAATTCCCGCATACCTGGAAAAGTCTGTCGCCCGAGTTGAGGCGCATTGCGAATCGCCGGATGGCCATTGAGGCCGCCGAGGCCGACATCGACGAAGAAAAAGGCATGTCGCAAGTCAAGGGGTTTATGCTGGCCATGAAAGATATCCGTGTGCATGTGCTGGCCTTTGCTTTCATGTGCAAGTCGGCCGCAGGAGGGTTTTCCTTCTTCTTCCCGACTTTAACGAGCACGCTGGGCTATAATAACACCATATCGCTGTTACTCTGCGCGCCTCCCTATGTATTCGTGGCACTTTGGAGCGTGGCACATTCGTGGGCATCCGATCGTCTCCGCAAGCGATTCTGGTTCCTGATGTATCCCATGCCAGTCGTGATCGTCGGCTGGATCATCTTCATGACCACCGACTCCTTCGGCCCTCGATACCTTTCACTATTCCTCATGCTGATGATCTTCTCCATCAACGGCACCTTCTTCGCGTGGATTGCGACCAGTATCCCCCGACCACCAGCGAAGCGCGCTGCTGCATACGCGTATATCAACGCCATCGGTGGTAGCGCCTCAATTTGGACGCCGTTCACCTATCGCGATGAGGACAAACCGCACTACCGTCCGGCACTTGGTCTCAATATCGGTTTGTGGCTGGTCACGGCGGCGTGCTTTGTGTTCATGTTCTTTAGCCTCACGCGGGAGAATAAACGACTGGATCGTTTGGAGGACGAGGATGTGCCGTTGAGTGCGGAGGATTTTGCAAAGCTGCAGCAGACTGCCGAGGTGGAAGGTGTAGATATCGCAACGGCGCGGCGGCTGCAAAAGAATCATCGGTTTGTGATTTAGTAGTATCAGAGATATAGACTCCCATCAAAATGTGACTTGCGGACGAGTAATCCATTCATTCATTCATCAATTCGTGACAATTCTATCTTTTCGACGGCCCATCAGTTCATCTTCCGCAGCAATTCCTTGCCGTCTAGCCATCGTTCGAGGTTCTCTGCCACCTCGCGATACCAACCATTGATCAGCTCCTCCTCGCCGTATCCCATATGCGGACTCAACAGCACTTCACTCCGTCCATCCCGGCCCCAAGCTGTGGTCCGCCAGGGACTATCAGCCGGCAAAGGCTCGGGGTCAAAGACATCCAGGGCTGCACCCCGAATCTGACCGGCGTTAAGGGCCGCCAACAGCGCCGGCTCGTCGATCAAAGGCCCCCGCGAGGTATTGACAATCATTGCGGAGGGCTGCATCGTAGCTAGTTCGGGCGCTCCGACGATACCCCGACTGCGTTCCGAGAGAACGTTGTGCAGACTGACAACGTCGGCGCGCGCGAAGAACTCCGTCTTGGAAGGGGCGACGTCGAAGCTTCCGGCCGGCAATCCCTGCGCCTGCGCCTGCTCGTCGGCCTTTTCTTGCGTCAAGTTCGACGACCAGGCCAGCACATTCATGTCAAATGCCTGAATGGCGATCTTGCCGACCTGCGAGCCCAACTTACCCAATCCCAACAATGCCAGCGTCTTGCCCGAGAGATTCATGCCTAGCGATCCCTGCCACGCACCCGCCTTGACAGCCGCATCGTCGCGGGCGACATGTCTCGCCAGTGCGAGGATCAGCGCCCAGGTATGCTGTACCGTCGAGTTCACGCCCGGCGGCCGACCCTCGGTGCCGGCGACGGGGATGCCGCGATCGGCACAGGCCTGCAGGTCGAGGGAGAGGTTGCGGGTGCCAGTCGTGAGGAGGAGCTTCAGGTTGGGAAGGGCGGCGATGGTCTCGGCGGCGAAAGGGGTGCGCTCGCGCATGGCAAGGATGACGTCGAAGCGCTGCAGCCGCTGGATGAGCTCGTCGCGCTGGCGGGGATCGCGAGGATCGAGGGTTTCGGGGAAGCTGGTGATGTCGACGCGCGATTGCAGGTGGGCAAAATGTGGCGGGGCGATGCCCTGGTAGTCGTCGAGGATGGCAAATTTTGGCGTCATTGTGATGGCCGTGGTCCAATTGCGGGTCAATTGGAGGGAATGAGTGAAGGGAAAGAAGAATGAAGTGGTGGAGGAAGTCGCGGGGGACCGTCGGCATCGGCTGAAGTCTTAGCCGAGCACATCTACACCAATGTCAAATGTATGCAATCAGCTTTTCCTTTCTCGGTCCCATCGATTTATCGCTTCGCGTTGGTCATGTCTACAACAATCAAATTGGCCGTCCCTATGGCATTGGTGGTAATTGCTACTGCAACATGGAGTCATCATTCGTATACTGTATTCATATCCGGAAATGCGCTATTGCGGCTGCGGATCACGTATCATCAGCGTAAAGCTTTCCTTTCCCTCCGCGCCATATAGTGACCGGTCCAGCGAGACCTCCTCGACAGGCTTCCAGCCATACTTGATATACACCGGGTACCCCTCGCCGGTCGCCTCAAGGTAGACTCGGACCCCCAACTCGTCTGCCCGCGAACAGCCCCAACGCAGCAGCTTGGACGACAGGCCCCGGCCTTGATATTTGGGCAAGACGGCCAGCAGGTCCAGCACTATTCCAAGTATTAGTGTCGACCCTGAGTGGGGGCTGTGACAGGGTTCACATACTCATATCCCGCTCTGTGGTGTGCTTCTTGCGCGAGGTCTCCAGCAGCTGCCGAAAGGCTGTGTAGGCAGGTTCATTGAAAGGTTGTGGCGCATATGCTACGGGATCGCGCGCTGCCTCTTGTGCCTGCTCACTCAATTGCGGTACTGTCTCTCCCCCAAGCGCCTTGGGGATGAACCACCGCGCGTAGCCGATCAGCTCGCCGGTGGATGGGTCGACCAGCTTCAGAACGTGCATCTCCGGGTTGGCCAGGTGCTTCATTGAATAGACCGCCTTATACGCCTCCAGTTGCTGCTGACTGGCCTCTGGGAAGAACAAGGACAGCATTCCGCGGTTCTGGAAGCTGATGGTGTTGATCCTGGCCAAGCCGAGGCCATCGGCCTCGGTGGCATATTCGACCTGGAGATCCATTCAGTTGGTCCGTACGAGAGTGAGAGGTGATTTTGTCCTCGCAGATTAGTTCGGATCGCCGTAATAGTGAGAATACACTGTATTTGGATAGCACCAGAGGGCGTCGACAAAGAGATACAGGCTGAGTCACAATCGGAGCTCGGAGTTCGCGCGCCGCGTCTCCACTTGGTCGGGGTCCTGAGGGGGAATAGTGCGAGTAACTTCCAATAATACATTGTACCTAATGCTAGAATTATAGGATATAGACTTGAGGAAGTGAGTGGCCTAGGATGATTCTGGAATTATGATCGGCAATGTCGATCGAGTGAGCTACCTACTAGTACTTCTAGTAGGCGGTGCTGGGTTGGGAAGTATAGCAATGCCGCAGATGCGAAGTAGACTCTTCGACCTTCCCAGCCACGCCCATAATCGCATCATTTGATAGCATATGACGGGTGCGTTTCTTCCGTCCACCCGGGCTATTCTGAATCAAATCTAATACCCCACGCGATCACTCATCCACTCATCTACTCTCTCACTTGCGGCGTCAACACAACGCCTTCCCGCTATCGAATTCGTTCTCTGCTCCCAACGTGAACCCAGTGCTTCCTTCAACCTCGTGGTTTCTGCTGCTGCCTCTGTGAGCCTACAGACTGCTCCTACGGCGTCGACAGTCGAAGTGAAATTCTCTTCGAGATATTCCACTTCGATTCTCTTCGAAACTCACGAAGAGTAGAAACTTTCGGAGATAATGGGTCTGATCAAGACCAACACTGACATCAAACCGATATGACATCTTGGACACTTGGAAGAACCCAGAAAGCCCTCAAGAGGGGTGCTGCAAATTCCTCCTAGCCCAAAACATGTGTTGCTTTGGGATTCAAGACTCGTATTGCTCACAAGCAAGCGATCGATAGATGCGCCCGAGAAGCGCACCTGGCTCGCATGACAGAGCGGCATAGATCTATTCGATGAAGTGGCTCTGGGCCGCCTTGCTACCTCTGTAGCTCCGTATTCGCCAACGAGTGAAGTCAAGACAGCCCACCATCGCATCAGGGCTGCGTTAACAGGATAGCTGTTCGCGTGGTCCATGTGAAAAGAGTAGGTACTAGTATTCCATGCTCTGAATAATACCACCGAGTGAGCATATGTGATTTGCTGGAGAAGTCTTCATGATTCTCAAAGAACTCGCACGGTTAAAGGCTATATAGTTTCCCATCTCTCCTTCATGTAAGGTTGGAAGATATCCAAGATCGTCTGTAATGGGCGCAATTGTCGAGGCAAAGATTGCCAAAAAAATGAAATTAATTCGGAGCAAAATCTTAGTCGCAGTTATTGAATGTGTTATTTCAAGAGGTCTTGGTTCGGCCTATCTTCGGCTGTTGGTAGTAGATTGTCGATCTTTCCAACCTCGCTGACCTCACTTCATTTACTTGACAAATACGGAAGCGGCCGACAGCATGCAAGTGATCGTTCCATAGGGCGCAAATTCGCCATCGACAAGACCCCAAGTGCGCCCTACCCCGCAAATACGCAGTTTCGATTGTCTAATGAGGTCCACCGTGGGTCTCGCCAGATAAGAACCAACCCATTGAGGTCGATTTGTGAGCGCTGTTATTACCTTGCTGTTTGTCAGTCTGGAGGTACCGGCCCGGGTCGGACTATGTGTTCGCCATGCCCGCGCCTATCAACGCTTATTTCAAACGCCCGCGAATTCCGTTGAGCTTGCCAGGCGCTGCCTGGCCGTTGCTGGCCGCTAGCTCGTCCTGCGTAGCGTCGACCCACCAGATATCGCCCGAATTTGCTCTTTTGGTGCAACGGTGGAGCCGCTGGCAGCTCTGTACCGGGCCGGCAAGTGCGGAGAGCCTGGGGCCCCAGATCCCCCGCCATCTCCCAGCTATTTCATGCGGATGCCCATTCTTACGTGCTGTCAGGATACAGAAGCATTTACTTGGGGTTGCGCAGCTCGTCTTTGCCGCTTCCGACCGAATTGACTGTGCTGCAAGATGGGGTCCGACGACGAGGTGACGCCGGCCTACAGCCCCACCAGAACAGAGAAGAAACAAAATGAGCAACCCGACGATTCCATCGCCAAAGACCCCATCGAGGGCACCTACGCGGGCTATGATATCGATGCCGAGAAGCAAGTCGGGGAGCAGCGGCAATTGCCCGACCTGCAGCGCCGTCTTCGAAGCCGACACCTGCAGATGATTGCCATCGGTAAGAACAGCCCCAGGATACGATTGTATGAGCAATGGCTGATCGACGACAGGCGGGACCATCGGAACCGGGCTGTTTATTGGCAGCGGCACTGCTATTTCTTATGCCGGCCCTGTCGGGGCCCTCATTGCATACATCTTTGTCGGCTCGATCGTCTTCTCGGTCATGACCGCATTGGGAGAGGTGGCCACATTCCTCCCCATCCCCGGAGCTTTTGCGTCGTATGCCACACGACTCGTCGATCCGAGTCTAGGCTTTGCTATGGGTTGGATCTACTGGTTCTCGTGGGCCTCAACATTCGCCCTCGAGCTCACAGCCACAGGGCTGATCATCCAATTCTGGGAGAAGTCCGTCCCGATCGCGGTTTTTATCGCGGTCTTCTGGGTGGTCATCATCTTGCTCAATCTTCTGCCTGTCAGCTTCTTTGGAGAGACAGAATTCTGGCTGTCTAGTATAAAGGTGCTGACAGTGATTGGATTCATGATTTTCGCCATCTGTATGAATGCTGGTGTGGGTGATGAAGGGTATCTTGGTTTTCGCTATTGGGTGGACCCCGGGCCCTTTAAGAATTACCTACTTGAGGATCAGCCATCTCTAGCCAAATTCTTGGGCTTCTGGGCAGTGCTTATTAAAGCGGGCTTCTCCTACCAAGGCACTGAACTGGTCGGTATTGCTGCTGGTGAGACCGAGAATCCACGCAAAACCATCCCCTCGGCCATCCGCAAGTCATTCTTCCGCATCATCTTTTTTTTCATTTTCACCATCTTCTTTATTGGCATTGTGGTTCCCTCCAATGATGATCGTCTGACTGCCAGCGAGGGCAGCGGAGCCAGCGCGAACAATGCCAACGCCTCACCCTTCGTCATTGCCGCCAAGCGTGCAGGCGTGAATGTCCTCCCATCCATCATCAACGCGGTCTTGCTCACCGTCGTCCTGTCCGCCGCAAATTCAAATGTCTACAGCGGTAGCAGAATTCTCGTGGGCCTCGCACACGAGGGCTTTGCCCCTCGCTTCTTCGTGAAAACCACCAAATGGGGCGTTCCATACTGGAGCGTGCTCTTCACAGCTCTCTTCGGCCTCCTGGGCTTCCTGAACGTGTCCAATGCCGGCAGCACCGTCTTCGACTGGTTGATGCAAATTGCCGGCCTGGCCGGATTCATTACGTGGACGTCACTGAATATCTGCCATCTGGCTTTCATGCGGGCATTGAAAGCCCGCGGAATCTCGCGCGACATCCTCCCGTACAAGGCGCTCTTGCAGCCTTATTTCTCCTATTATGGTCTTTTCTTCAACGTCTTAATTATCATCACGCAGGGGTTCACGGCTTTTGTGCCGAACTTCAGCATTACCGATTTCTTCATCGACTATCTCAGCTTGATACTCTTTGCCGTCCTGTATATTGGACATAAAGTTATTGTTCGCCCGGCATTTGTGAAGCCGCTGGAAGCTGATATAGATACGGGCCGCGTGAACTTGATTGAATATGAATAGACATACAATAGAATACTCCCCTTGGTCTTTGCAGTGTGATGTCAATGGTTCCAGTTGACACCAAGAAGGTTGATAATACTGACGGGAAATGCATGGCATGATTTACGATGCTAGGTTAATTAATATTCATAGTACTTAATTTGATCATTGTAGAATCGCTAGGCAATGGCTGAAATAGCCAAGAGGATTGTGCTGTCTCTCAATGCTGCGGTCTACGGCTAAACTCCGCACCTCGCTTAATTCCGTCGGGCTCGGACATAAACGTCATGCATTTGACTCTCATCTAAAAGGACCTGTCACCAACACCATTTGACATTTCGACCTCAAGATTCTTCAAAACACACCTGAAGTATCATACTTTGCCATGTCCAAGCTTCTGGTTGTCTTCGGTGCGACCGGCCAGCAGGGCGGTTCCGTCATCGACTATGTCCTCAACGACCCAACGCTTTCAAAGGAATATTCATTGCGAGCAATCACTCGCGATACATCCCGCCCAGCTGCACAAGCTCTTCAAAAGCGAGGGGTGGAAGTTGCTTCTGGAGACGTCGATGATCTCAAATCGCTACCCGCCGCCTTAGAAAACGCCCACACCGTCTTCATTGTGACCACCACAGTCTACGACGAACATCTGAAGGCGCGTGAATTCCGGCAAGGGAAAGCCATCGCCGATACAGCTGTTGCGGCCGGAGCTCAGTACCTGATCTTCAGCACATGCGTAGGCTGCGAGCGGCTCTGGGGCCATGTCGTCGAGGCGTTAGACTCCAAAGCTGACGTCGAAGCGTATATCCGGACTCTTCCGGTGCCAAGCGCCTTTTTCGCACCCGCGATGTTCATGCAGAACTTCCTTACCAACCAAGCTCCCCGGCCAATTCCCGGACAGGAGGGGAGCTACGCCATTGCCAACTTCATCTCGCCAGATGCCAAATTTCCTCTCATTGAGACGGTGGAGGATACGGGAAAGTATGTGGCTCCGATCCTTGCGGCGCCTGATCAATTCGCTGGTCAGACGATGTTTGCTGCAACAGGTTTCTATTCTTACAAGGAAACTGCGGAGATAATTACCCGTATCACTGGGAAGAATACTGTCTATGCTCAGCTGCCCCAGGAGCAGTGGACTAGTTACCTGCCGGCTGGGTATCAAGTCCCAATGACTGCCATGATGTGCTGGATCGAGAAGCCGGGATACTACGGGCCGCAGACGCAGGAGTGTGTTGACTGGACGGTGAAGCAGGTACCGGAGAAATTGACGACCTTCGAGGAATTTGTAGAGAGGCATGCGAAAGAGATGTTTCCACAGTAGTATTCGGACATGAATGTCAAATGTATTCAATTTGATTATCACGTGAATATAGGAGAATCCATGACCGAAAACGATAAATTGCGTTCTAACGTGACAGGGTAATTATTGGCTTGTGAAGAAATCGCTGGTCGTGACTGTCGATTGCTTTCGGATATCATATACAGTAAAGAATATCGTAGATCATTCGAAGTTATGCCTTCAATCGGTGTTTGATGAAATCGACGACATCCTGGTCGTATTTTTTCATGTAGGTATGGTGAGCATGGTTGTCGTCCAATGGATACGGCGAGCTTTGAACAGATTAGTTGATTTGTTGTATTTGCATCCGTGGACAATTTACCTACCAGCATAGGGCATCACCATAGTCGCAATAGCTTTGCAGTGAGCTAGCGAATGGTTTGCAAGTGGATGGGTTCAGGCGAGGGTACTCCTAGTAGATTGACTTGGATGAGATAGGGTTCACACTGTATATGTTGCATCTGGGATGACTTACCCCGAGTCCGACTGTACAATCTCCTGTATTCCAAGGCTGCAAGGGAACGAATGTCTCGTCTCCGTAGGCGATGCTTGCGATCACTAGAACAGTTGTTAGACATGGCATGGATCCAGTATTACGGTCGATCGATGACTCACCCGTAGTATTGTAGGAGGGATCAAGAGGCGGCAGTGGAATCAACAGAAGAGAGCTCGTTCCGCAGATCGCTTCCATGGTGAGCACGGCGCCCTATAATTCCAAGATCAGCAGACGTAACTAAAGATCAAAACACAATACATACCAATGAATATCCAATCAAGGCAATCTTGGCCTTGGGGCAAGAATCGACATAATCGTGCACATACTGCTGCAGCATCAAGGCACCAGAATGGACCGCCGTGAATTTATCGTCGGCATCGTGGTCAAACGGGAAACCCAGTGTCGTCGAACCAGGAATTTGATCTAAAATCATATCCGACAAGGCCCCCATCACACTCAAATCACCTCCAGGACCCTGTCCACGCGAGATAATGGCATGCACGCCGGTCGCACAATCCTGCGACGCGACCTTCTGCGCCAGCGATCCCGGGATCGAGACCACCAGAGCGAAAGCCAGCAAGCCCCGCAACAACAGAGCAATCCTAGCTATCATTATCCTCACAGTCAGCCTGGGCGCAATTGTCTCCGCCAAGGCACACAGACGGCGATCTTGGAAGAATCACGTCACTCGCAGGATCGCAGGTCTTGGCCATGGCTTTCCCTTATAACAGCCCGCCTCAGGAGACCTCCCGATCAGAAGCAAATCTTTTATTCTGGTCTCCAAGGGCTTGGTGCTTAGTGTGGCTTCTGCGAGACTGGCTGGTCAGGCCGCGGTCCATAGTTCGCCCCATGTGCTCTCCATGATCTCGATTGGACCCTGTGTGAAATTGGGATCGGCGATATTTAGTGCGGGATCCAGTTTCACCGTGATCGGCCGGGATAAGGACTCGGAAATAGGATCAAACGCGTGCACCAGTAGATACATAGTGGTTTTGTGCAATATTCGCAGCGACTGAAAAGAGCCAATTCAAGGCAGAGGAATCATGGAGAGGGAGTAAATTGAGGGAAGGGCATATTGGGCCTGCACACTTTGAGCCTGCGGTGGGGAAAACGCGAATTGGAGCTGGTGCGGAGCTGCTCCGATACAGAAGAGATCCCAAGCGGTCTAGACAAAAGTCAATTGGCTTCTGCAAAAAATAATTTCGAGTTCTTTTGCGATTGGATGCGATTTTGTGGATTGGGAGGTTTGAATGGTCCCGAGGTTTGAACTTTCTTCTGCACGCTATATATACTGCGTATTCGATACCACATTTGTAAGATGCCCTAGCACGATAGCAGAAAATATTTAGTGGAGTGTTCGCGAGGAATTTTAGACATTCAAATTTTATCGACATTCTAATGAGCTTAACTCACACTTTTTACGTCAGATCTGCTTTAACAAGACTGGTGGTAACACCAGGATAGTTGTAAATGCGCACCACCTTCAGTCCAGCTTGAGCAAGAATGCCCCCCCTCCCCTCGGACTCGATCTTCTCCCTCACAGACAAATGAGCCAGCATCATCATGTCCATGTTTGTCGCCGCCAGTGTGGGGTTCTTCTCGCTGACCCCAATCTCATTCAGGAGCACCCGCGAATACCCTTTTTCAGAGAAGGCACCAGGTTTTCCAAAATCTTAACACCATCCTCGTCACCCCAGTCGTGCAGAATGGAGTGGAGCGAGTAAGCGCGCACCATGGATGGGCTGCGGCGTGAAAAAGTTATGAGCTTTGGCCTCAAAAGGTAGAAGCTGGCCCACTGGTTTGTACAGCTGTAATAACGGGCTCGCGATCTCCCCAGTCTTTTGAGACAGCTCTGCGGGGGTTAGGCCAATGTTATTATATTCTCGAAAGTGCTGGAAAAGCTGGACATCGACCGCGAGGCGGATGATAGCGGATTGAGCGGGCTATTATTTCATGTTAGTATCGCAGACGAGTGTCGAAAGGTACTTTTTCGGAGAGACCAACTTCTGCCCAGAAAGTGCGCTGGACAATTCACTTGGGATCTCGAGTGCCGTGATTAATGCACGACTGTGGTCGATGAGAGCCTCCCTCGAGCCAGGTTCATTGTTCTCGAAGGCTGCCCGGGAAGCAGCAATATCATCTAGGATAGTGGAGGCGGAAGTGTTGGCCATTCTGCGACAACTGAGGCCCGAGAAGGTGAATTGAGAGGAATAGGCCCCGCAACGCAATGTGAGCCGAAAGTCCTCAATGCATTGCGGGAAAGATGTCCGCTTTATGCGGAGCAAAGCCAGCAAGGCCCAATGGTCTCCCCTGTTGACTCGCAATATTAGTTACGTGGCATGTGTCTTTCTTTTGTGAGATCTCTCCACTGCTTCATATGATAGGAGACTGCTAACAGTTGTTGTCAAGCGTGTTCAACATATTCTTTGGCATTGGATTTGACGGAGTTCCATTCCTTCTGCCCTTCGAGTTAGCTCCCTTAAAAACGCGGGGTAAATCAGTCTCCGTCGCCGCCAGTGTTTTCTGACTGTGCAACTTCTTCGTGGTCATGATATCGCCTGTCTTTGATTGATCGGATCAAATGGGGGACGTATGTGCTGTGTGCTGTGGTGTGGCACGAAGTTTGTGTTCATTTCCTTGGTCTACTTTCTCAGTAAGCGTGGGCAACTGTAAGGCCCTTAGAAAGGGTAGTTAGTACCTGACGTCAAAAAGTTCCGGAGACATTGAATGCCGCTCTTGAAGATATTGATCAGCTCTTCGAGACAAGCGGATCTAGTTGGATCATTGGACCCGGTTGTAGGAAGAGGTTGGTTCAGATCGTGGCCAATCGTGAACTCGTTGAGCGAAGAAAGACATCGATGATGAGGGAGTGATCCACGGGACGGCTGAAACCGTAGAAAATGCCTATTACAGTCTTTCTGATCTCGTATTCGAACGATGGTGGCCGATGAAGAATAACATGTGGCTGGACCAATAGAGCGAGAATGGAAATGTCAGAATAGACAGATAGATACTAAAGGGATATCAAACTTGAGAAAGCGGATCGAGGCGATAAAATTGGGTCTAAGTGGTCATGATATCATTTTATTGCGTATTGCGCAGTGGTTTTCATCGTAACATCCGCATGAACGAGCTATCGAAAACCATCGCCACGCGACATTTATCACATAATAATTGATACATCTCAGCAGCGGCAGCCGCTGAGTTTCGCTTGTTTATTTCTCCCAATCATTTCCCTTACAGGTTAGAGAACTTGATACCCGACTTCTGCGCAGTGAAGGTGGCAATCAGATCCATTAGAGGGGGAGACAGAGCGTCGTAGGTCTCGAGTCCGTTGGCCCTGAACTTGGAGCGAACGGCCGCCATACCCTCGGGGTTGAATCCCTGCTCGATGATGGAGGAGACAAAGCCAGCGAACTGGGGCTCCTGCCATCCCTTCTGCTTGGAGAGCTCGGCGTGAACAAAGTCGAGGCCGCGGAAGGGGTGCTCCTTCTCGATTCGGCCGTACATGTGGACACCACAGTCGCGGCAGGCGTGGCGCTGGATAACGGCGGAGGGATCGACGATGGACAGCTTCGACTCGTTGGCTTCGACCTTGAGGTTGTCGCGGGGGATGACGCCAACGACGGAGAAGAGGGAGCCGGCGGGCTTCCAGCACTTGGAGCAGCCGCAAGCGTGGTTGTGAGCGATGTTGCTCTTGAGGGCGACGACGACCTGGTTGGAGGGGCAGAGACACTGGATGGTGCCACCGGGGAAGTTGGGGTCACCCTTGGTGATGCCGTTGTCGATGAGAGGGTGGATGGAGGGGGCCATTGTGACGGTTTGTGATGGTATAGGCAAGTGAACTTTTGCAGGAATCAAAGTAGACAGTTGCGATGACAAGTCTCGAGAACGAAGATTTGCTGACCGGGGTATATATAACGAGCCGGACTTTATGGTGAGACGAATGCGCCCCTCCTCCGAAATTTTCCCCTCATGAGGGGATCACGGTTCGCCGGCGGACTGCTCCGGGTTGATAGCGCAGTCCCACCAGTGGGTACCTGAGATTACCCACCACTGGGCGTTGGACGTGCAGCGACTCCAGTTGACGGCGGCTGGGCTCCCGAGCCCCCGCGATCGCGGCGCTGGCGCGATTCTGGCCCGGCTTGCGGGGCCGACCTTAATGTGGTAACCGAATCCTCCATGAGGGGTGCCGAGTCCTTCTCCAATTGATTGCCCTCGTATTGTTCCATGTTGTGCCGTCTGAATCCATTGCGATGGAATTCGATGGAATAAGTGCGACGGGTGCCACCATTGGAATGAGCATCACGACGCGTCGTGTCGCGGTGCGATTGCTCCATTCAACGAGACTCAACGAGGGTGAGACCGGGAGCGTTCACCAAGTCAAACTTAACTGAGGAAAAATGTGCCCTGGAGCCAGTTTTTCTCCGAGAGAACAGCGTCTTTGTCGCAAGATTGTGGACTGCTGACCGCAAGGCGCATTTTGGCAGTGGAGTGGGCCAGGCAAATCAGTTTTCAGCGGCCAAAGACTGAAGTTTCATCTTCGCGACAAAGGAACAGATGGCGCAGAGTCCGATTTGAGCGATTATGGGATGCGCTTGCTTTATAGATCGCATTGGGTTGCCCCAAAGGTCCTCTTCAGAACAAACTTGGGAACCTTGCGAGACGCAGACCGTGCCTGGGGATGCCCGAGAAGCAAGGCAGAAATTCAGACATCCAGCTTATCTTATCGGCTATGCGGGGGCACGTGGGGATCCTTCCCGATCGAGACGGCGAAAACAAGGCCGGGTAACTGTAGCCTGCGCAACAAAGACCAACCACCACGATGCGCTGCCAGCCGCCTTCGACCTGAATTTATCTGCTCCTGTACGAACTGGCACTCTGCGCAGACCATGACCCGGCCAGACCCCGCCTACGAACCGCCTCCGATCGCGTCGTCCCCTCGCCGGCCACTCAACCCAAGTGACGTCAGTGATTCGGATAAAGCCAACTTTGCCGCGGGCACCATCCAGGTACAGTCCAACGTGATCCACTCTCTCGGTAAACGATGCTGATTAGGTTTACTAGAGGGTATACCGTGGCTATCGTGCTCGCCGAGAACTGCAAGGCATCGGCGTCGCAGCGTCAAGTCGGTGGATGGATGTGAGCAATTCTTTACGATTCACCTGTGGATTTGGAGGCTGACAGATTCATCTATTAGATCACGAGTCAGAAACGATGCGAAGAGTCACAGGCCCCGAACGAACCTGCATGGGAGACAGAAAGCGAGAACCCGAGTCCTGCCCGCAAGAACTGGCAACGAGTCGTGAGCATCGCGATACAAGCTGGAGCCTATGACCGGTCCGTCGAATCAGCCGCTCCAAATATCCATGAGAAGGCAAACGAGCCTGAGCGATTGCATGGGACGACATCGAAGATGATGGATCTCCCCTACTTTCTCGAGATGGTCGATGAGAAACACCGTCATGGTAGTAACCTTCGCGCCTATCATTCGGTCTGGAAAAACTCACCTTCGGGCGAGAACTTCTTCTATTGGCTGGATCATGGAGAAGGAAAAAATGTGGAAATCGCACAGTGCCCTCGGGAACGGTTGGAACGAGATCAAGTGCGGTACCTGTCGCCCCAGGAGAGAGCCAAGTATCTGGTTGTGGTGGACGATACGGGCCGATTTCGCTGGGCCAAGAACAATGACCTGGTCGAAACTGATACCAATCAATACAAAGACAGCATGCAAGGGGTCGTGCGCATTCAAGAGGGAGCTCGGCAATTCCGAGGGAATACGGAGGCCGCGTTGTCAGAACCAGGATCACCTAACCCCCGGTCGGCTTCGCCAACAATCGTTGATGACGAGGAAGACGGCGACCCAAAGCTATCGACCCGCGAAGACTACGAATTGGGAAAGGCTGTTAGCAAGTTTTCTCGCATCAAACCGACTGCCATCTATGATCATTTTGCCGCAAGCCTCCCGAAAAAGGATGAGATGTGGATATTTGTGGGTACCCAGGGAATGAATCTCATACCGGAATTTGTGTTAACCTAATTTAGGTCGCTGATACATCCTTCCGAATTTATATTGGCATCAAGGAGCCAGGTGCATTTCAGCATTCCTCCTTTCTCCGGGGTGGCCGGATTTCCGCTGCGGGAATGCTCAAAATCAAGCACGGACAGCTGCGCAGCCTGGCACCGTTGAGGTAAGTCGGTTCCTAATCTGCAATCTGGCGATTTACTAGCTTTGAATTGAAGCCCCTGAGCTAAGGTCGTTGCTATTTAGTGGACACTATCGGCCTCATGTAGCCAACTTCCGAGCTTTTCACCATTCCCTTCAGGAACGAGGTGTTGACCTATCTCGTGTCCTGATTAGCAAGTCATATGCGATCTTGGCTGGCATTGAAGGATACACCTTGACAAAGAAGAAGGTTCATAATGTGCACGAAAAGCTGGATACGGCGAAGGAAAAGCTTCGTCGATCGAGTCATGGGAATTCCAAAGATGAAAGTGCGGAAACCGGATGAGGGGTGACAGATACTGGTATCTCGATAGCAGGTGCCTGTGATGAAGACAAGGAAAATTCCAATCTACTCAGCAATGACCGGGGATGCATCCCGAGCTCAACCATCGGACATTACAGCAGAAATACCCCATGAGCGCTTCAACGGAAACCCAAATACAGGAGCCCGAGGGATGCTACTTCCTAGCTCTTACTGGTCTCAGCCAAGTACAGTGCGCTTGGTGAAGGTGTTTGACCAAGTGACTTTCAGATACATGGGGAAGATCAAAAGAGACCGGGTCTTCATTCTGGAGGTTGAATGCGAGACAGTCGGTATCATTTATCTTTCTCAAAATTCAGACATTCAATCAAATCCTCGCGGCAAGCTTCTTTGCCGTATCATTCAAGACATAGTCGTGTCGTTTGGTCTTGCTTCGCACTCGTTCTCCGTCCTCCGGGGTAACATACCGGGCCTCTACAGCCGGATTATATCCCACTCCCGAAACATGTCTTACCTCCTCATCGGAAAGAGTCCTATTCTTCTGCCCATCTGCACGCTTGTAAACTGTGACGACGACGGCTCCACCCAGTCCCAGGTTATGCTGCAAAGCGACGTCTGTGCCTTGAACCAGGCGGTTGTTCGCCCAGCCACGCAGTTGCCAGGTAAGCTCTGCACACTGTGCTAGCCCGGTAGCACCAAGAGGATGACCCTTCGAGATCAAGCCTCCGGAGGGGTTGATAATCGGGCCCCGGCCGCCGTATGTAATATCTCCCCGACGAACCAGCTCATGGGCCTTTCCAGGCTCGGAGAAACCCAGTCCATCCAGCAACAAAAGCTCGTTGGTCGAAAAGCAGTCGTGCAGCTCACACACCTTAATATCCTTGACTTGAACTTGAGCCTCTTGCATAGCCAACTTCGCGGCATCTTGTGACATGTTGAACCCAACAAGATCAATCGCACTACGGGTGTATACCTCGGGTCCGTCAGTCATCATCTTCTGACCGGCCATGAGAATCGCTTGGGATTTAAGGTGAGGGCGAGCATCCAAGAAGCGTTGGGAGACAATCACAGCCGCACCGGCACCGTCGCTGGTCGGGGAGCATTGGAGCTTGGTCAGTGGGCCGTAAACGGGGGTGGAATTCAAGATTTCCTCGCGCGAGTACGCCGTTCGGAACTGGGCGTAGGGGTTCTTCTGCGAATGCTCGTGAGAGATGCGTGCAATCTCTGCAAAGTCTTCGGCCTTGGCTCCGTATCTGCCATCATATCGTCATTAGCTTTCGCCATTTCAGGGGCGACTTGATTCCTCACTTCTGCATGTATTCCTGTCCCGCGTTTCCGAAGTACTGAGCATTTCGGGGCGAGTCGTGCTTGCCGAATTCATCTTCCATCATCTTCGTGGAAGGGCCGAGAGGGCTAGGACGATCGTCCCAGACGCTCTTGATGGATCCCGGGCGCATTTGCTCGAATCCAATGACCAGGACACAGTCGGCGAGGCCTCCTTTGATCATTTTGCGCCCCAGATGGAGACCAGTTGACCCGGTCGCACAGGCATTGTTGACATTGTATATCTCGATTCCGGTCATTCCAAATTGGTAGAAGATGCGCTGGCCTGCAGTCGATATTAGCTCTGTCTTGCATTGCCCCGTCACGGGACTAGCAAGCTAGAAGCAGGACTTACCGCTGGTCGTATCACCATAGCAATAACACGCGATTCCCGCCTCGACCGAGTCATAGTCGATCTTCGCATCCAGCATGGCCTTGACGCCGGCCTCATACCCCAACTCGGGGTACTCCCGCGTGCGCCGCGGCTTGAGGAACTGGGTTAGTCCGACGCCCAACACATATGCATTGTGCGATGAGTTTTGTGCCATGATGTATTGTCAACAGCCCGTGCCAGGTGATGCAGCCTTGGAATCTGGGGTGGGAGTAGTAAATAAAGTGGGCATGGGATGGCTTGGGGTAGCCGAGCAGTCCGAGGCACAGCCGTACCCCCGCATTTTTCTCCCTCTCCATCTAAAACCTTACACTACTTTAGTTTATGGCAACAGGGGGAGCTGCTTGTGCGCTGCATAATTCTCGCCTTGATCATAAAGGCTATAAGAGTTGCCCTGGCATCTCCGACTTGATCCAGACCCTCGAATTCACTCCACAGGCCGGATCCCGTCAATCTCTGCATCAATCGACGACTCCAATTCGAAAGCTAGTATACATAGCACAATATGGTGAACTCGCTACAGACACAACCGCCACCCTCGAGCTTCTACCAGCTCTCATTTCCCAAACCGGGAGTTTTGCTGGTCACCATCAACCGCGAAAAACAACGCAATTCCTTGCCAGCAGAGGCGCACTGGGAAGGCCATGCCATCTTTACTTGGTTCGATGAAGAACCGACCCTGCTGGTGGCGGTGGTGACTGGCGCCGGCGACAAGGCATTCTGTGCCGGTCAGGATCTGGCCGAGCAGAGCTCCTCACGTCGAGGGGCCAAGGGTCCAGCGCAGCAGGCTGTGATGAACCACCCCCCGACCGGTTTCATGGGATTGAGCCAGCGGCGAGGACGCAAGCCTGTGTTGGCCGCTGTGAATGGGTTTGCACTCGGTGGTGGATTTGAGATTTGTCTTAATTGGTGGGAACCCCTCATACATGCTATCTATCTACGAAAACCTAACAGGAGGTTATTTCAGTGATATTGTCGTCGCGTCTCCCCAAGCAACATTCGGCCTCCCAGAGGTCGCCGTGGGATTATATGCTGCAGCGGGCGGACTGCCCCGACTCATGCGAATCGTCGGTCTACAACTGGCCTCGGAGCTGGCGATGACAGCCCGCAGACTGTCTGCACAAGAAGCACTCGACTATCGATTAATCAACCGCATCTCCCAATCCCCTCAATCTGTCGTGGACGAGTGCATCGAGATGGCCGTGCGTATCACGAGCTTCTCGCCCGACGGAATCATTGTTACTCGGCAGGGATTACGGGAGGCCTGGGACAATCCCAGTGTGGAACATGCCACGTCGCGAACGCGACAGGAATATGTCAACCGACTGGTCGCAGGCGAGAATTTCAAGATTGGCGTGGAGGCGTTTACGCAGAAGAAGCAGCCCAAGTGGGTGCCGTCGCGTCTATGACGTAGCCACATCTAGGAGTATATAAGCTGGAATTAAGCACCCTTAAGGCTCCCAACGGGTGGATTTATGTACATTGCCAAGTCAATTCGGCTTTTTAATTTATACGCACACACCTCTCGATGAACATTTTCCCCAGTGGTTGCAGTCGGGGTCCGCCGACTCACCATATGATGCAAGCCTCAGTTTTGCTCGGCCCGAGGATGTAATTTTATGAACAGGACGACCCCCACACCCCTGTGTCTGCAGATCGCAGGCTAAACCCAGTGGCAAGGTACCTACATATACAATGCAGCCGTAGTTTACAGCGGGTTTGATCCATATCGCGAATAAATTGCTGCATTCCAAACATGACGCCAGTCATTATCGGCGTTGCCGACATCAAGAATCGATCCACCAAAGCCGAGGATGCAAAAGAGCCAGCCAGCTTGATGCTGGAGGCAATTGCAGCGGCGATAAAAGATGCCAGCAGCTCATCCCAGACAGAGCAGAAGCTTCGAGCTAGCATTGATAGTCTGGATGTTGTCAAAACCTGGACATGGCCCTACGCGGACCTGCCGGGCCTTTTAGGCCAGAAGCTGGGGGTTGATCTGAAACACAAGAGCTACAGTGAACATGGTGGCAACCAACCAGCCAAGCTTTTGGATAGTGCAGCGAGACGCATCGCAACTGGGGAAAGTCAAGTGGCAGTTCTGACGGGTGCTGAGGCTCTTGCTTCTTGTAAGTAATGTCACTGTCATGATATGTTCGGAACGTTGATTGAAGGCGGCAGTGGCTGGCTGCGTCAAAGAAGGCAAAATGCCACCTCCTGGATGGACATCAGGGCCTGATGCCGAATCTATCACGGATGTCTTTTCGCCCACAAACAGAGAATTGAAAAAAGGTGCGTGATGTCAAATCCAGAGCATCCTAAAGTCCAATACAAACCCTCGTTCTAGACATCGGAGGGATCCACGCGGTCGGTGCACCAATCCACATCTATCCTCTTTACGAGAATGGATTCCGTGCCCATCGTGGCCAGTCGATCAGTGATAACCATCAAGAGTCTGCAATTCTGTACGGCCAATTCAGCGAGGTTGCGGCTTCGAATCCCTATTCGTGGAACTATGGAGGGAAACCGGAGACCGCACAATCTATTGGGAGTATCTCGAAGAAGAATCGCCTTATATGCTTCCCCTGTGAGATCTTATATCACGATAATGAAATATGGCTCCGGTACTGACTCCCTCGCAGACCCTCTTCTCATGAATGCATTCAATACGGTCAACCTGGGTGCAGCCTGCATCATGACCTCGACCGAGTTTGCGAGGAAGTTGCAGATTCCAGAGCAGAAATGGATCTACCCACGTGAGACTCATCTCAAACCAGAACGAAACTTCAATCACTAATTTAATTTTTTAGTCGGTGGTGCAGGATCACGCGAACGCGACCTCTGTCAGTATCAAAAGTCAACACCACAGAATATTACTGACTTAACTTGCCCGGCTCTAGTTTGGGAGCGCCCTAATTTCTTTGAAAGTGAAGCTATTTCAAAATCACTCGACACCTGTCTTGACCAGAGCGCATTGAGGTCAAGCGATATCGATATTTACGACTTCTACTCGTGTTTCCCCATCGTTCCGAAACTCGCCTGCCACCACCTTGGCCTGTCAATCACCAACCCCCAGAAGCCAATCACAGTCCTTGGTGGGCTGACTTCATTCGGAGGTGCTGGGAATAATTATTCAATGCATGTAAGGACGATATACTATTCTGACTGCAGGTTGCGTGAGATTGATCTCTATGACAGGCAATTACCGAAATGGTCCGTCAGTTACGCGGTGGCCAGCAGAATAATGGACTCATCCTTGCAAACGGTGGAGTCCTGTCCTACCAACACGCCATCTGCATCTCCAAGAACCCCAGAAGAGATGGAAGCCAGTACCCCGACAGCAGCGTCTTAAAGTCTCAAATTGACATGCCGATCCCCCCAATTGATCTCGAGGCAGAAGGAAAAGCTGAGATTGAGGTAAGTCTTCTCTAACAATTCACAACAACAATAGTGAATGATTTCTCACTGTTAAATAGACGTACACGGTGGAGTTTGGTCGCGATGGAAAACCAAGCCGAGCGCATATCGTGGGAAGAGTAGTCGGGAGCAACCATCGCTTCCTGGCGAACCATGGCGATGAAGCCACGCTCACTCGACTGTCGTCCAGGACAGAAGAGCCCATTGGGAAGCGTGGTATTGTGGCACCAGATCCCAACGGCCAGAAAGGGCAGCGGCGGAATCTGTTCTATCTGGATAATATTGCTAAGTTATGAAGAAATAGTGGTAGCTACATATTCAATCTGAAAGTACCCAGAAGCGCATACTTCGTACTTTGTTCCCAAATCAGGCGTCACCAATCGACTATGAAATGCCGAAAAAGTGGCAAGTAGAAAATGATAGGCCCGATCTAATCGTCACGAATATGCGAAGAATATTGTCATCAAGTTGTGTCTAGGCCGCAGGGTAGGTGCTTGCTGTCGCTCACTTGCCGGGCTCACCTCGGCGTCTCTCGGTCTTCCCCGCAATCCCTCCACACTCCACTGCAATCCTATCAGAGCTGCCCTCGTCCACCTCGGCCAGATATCTCGACGACCGACCTCATCGCGAGGAGCTGTCAGCCCTTTCGCGGTTCCTCGCATCAACCAAGATGGCCACTCTAATCAGATTGGTAAGCATCACGTCTTCAACGACCGGGTGGTTGTACTCACACACTCCAGGCCAGGAGCAAGCTCATCACAACTTCACGCCTGAATGGATTTCATCCTGCTTTCCCTCCGCTAAAACGTGAACTTCATGCACGTGCCACGGAGTTCCTACAGAATTATGATCCCGACCTCTCTGATTCGCAACGCACTGTACGCGAGGCGATTGCCAAGATCTGCTCTAATTTCCCTGAAGAATACTGGGCTCGCAAGGACGAGACGCATCAATTTCCCACTGAGCTTCATAGCGCGCTTGCCAGTCAAGGCTGGCTGGGGATTTGTCTGCCCCAGCGATATGGCGGCTCTGAGCTGGGCATTTCCGAAGCGGCTATCATGATGCAGACCATCTCGGAGTCGGGAGCCGGCATGACAGGAGCCTCATCAATTCACATGAATATTTTCGGCCTGGAGCCCGTGGAAAAATTCGGCACCGACGAGCAGAAGGAGAAGTGGCTTACGCCCTTGATTGACGGTCGCGAGCGAGCCTGCTTCGGCGTCACCGAGCCCAACACCGGCCTCGACACCCTAAAGCTGCAGTCCACCGCACGACGTGACGGCGATCGTTACGTTCTCTCCGGCCAGAAAATATGGATCTCTACCGCGCAAAAGGCAGAGAAGATTCTCATACTCGTTCGCACTACACCGCTCGACCGAGTCCAGAAACGATCCCAGGGACTCTCGCTCTTCTACACCGACCTCCATGTCCCCCAAGTCGAGATCACCGAGATTCCCAAAATGGGACGTGCCGCCGTTGATACCAATACGCTCTTTTTTGACGACTGGCCTGTACCCGTGACGGACCGTGTCGGGGAGGAAAACGAGGGTTTCAAGATGATCCTCCACGGCATGAACGCCGAACGAATCCTCATCGGTGCCGAGGCACTCGGACTAGGATTTGCAGCTCTACGTCGAGCTGCCCTTTATGCGGGGAGAGAGAGGTATTCGGACGTCCGATTGGCAAGAATCAAGGAATCCAACACCCACTAGCAGAAAGCTGGATGAAGCTGGAAGCAGCGCGCATGATGGTTTACCAGGCTGCGCGACTGTACGATCAGGGCTATGCGGGTGGGGAATATGCGAATGCTGGAAAATTTCTTGCAGCTGAGGCTGCCTTTGAGGCGTGCGAGCGAGCTGTTCTGGCTCATGGGGGTATGGGATACGCCAAGGAGTATCACGTTGAGCGATATCTGCGCGAGGCCTTCATTCCTCGTATTGCCCCGGTCAGCCGCGAAATGATCTTCAACTACATTGGAGAACGCGTGCTCGGCCTCCCAAAGTCATACTAGAGAGGCGTACTAGGTAGCATAATAGGGTTCTTATACTAGGAGATCATACTAGGAGAGCAGGGATCTTCATTCGAGAGAAATCATTCACTCTTGATATTTGTTTTGCACGTAGATGGAATCGCCTGGCGCCCTGATTTAGCCGTATTGAAGCGATCACTCTATGAGCAGAGCATAGACAATCCAGAATTTGCTTGCAAATTGGCACCAAGTTCCCTCACAAGTGAATTCACGACTCGGCGGTATTCGGCGCTTTGCAATTAGGCAGGTAACCGCGGCAGCGACGAGCGAGGCAGGCAAATCGGCTACTCTAAGGTGGATGTTTATGCGCGGTTGGGGGGGGCTCATCTTCTCCAACTCTGCCCCAACTGCAACGGCCATCGCAAGACAAGCCGCTCTGGTCGTCGACTGTCCCGTTTCTTCGTAAAAATGGCTTCTCGAGCTCTTCCACGTCTCGCATGCCGCCTCGGGCTGGCCAGGCAATCTCTAACTCTCAAAGCTGGTGAACTCCCTCGACCGCCCTACTCTCATCCCCAACGCTACACCCACACTTTCACACGAAATGGCGGACCCCTGCAGGGTGTTCGCATCCTAGACCTGACACGCGTGCTAGCGGTAAGTAATTCATGTAATTCAATAAATCTGCTCTGCCAATGACTGTTAAAGGGCCCTTTCTGTACCCAGATACTCGCAGACTATGGTGCCGACGTGCTGAAGATTGAGAATCCCAAGGGAGGAGTAAGCTACTTATCAATAACCAATCAATATCTGGCATTGACTGACTCGACTGAAGGATGACACACGTCTTTGGCGAACTGCTGCGGAAAAAGACATCTGGAAAGCCACCGAAAAAGACATTTCGGCATACTTCTGCACAATCAACCGTAACAAACGCTCGATGACATTGAACTTCAAGCACGAGCAGGGTCGCAGGATCTTGTTTCGTCTTGTCAAGAGAGCAGACGTGGTGTATGTAGCCTGCCTAACATGTCCCCTCGCCCAATTCGGTGCTAGTGCTAACCAGAAACAGTGTCGACAACTTTGTCCCTGGCAAAATGGATGATCTAGGAATAGGTTATAAAAAGCTGCGTGAGATCAATCCTGCCATCATTCATGCCAGTATCTCCGGTATGTCTTCCATTCCTCGATTGGCATGTCTCAGCTAAATGTAAGGCAGGCTACGGGGCAGGCGGCCCATATTCCCAGCGCGCTGGCTACGATGCAATCGCCGCAGCTGAAGCTGGCTTGATGCACATCACCGGTGAAAGGGACGGCCCTCCCACACGGCCAGGTCTAGGTCTCGTCGACATGAGCACCGGGCTCTTCCTCCACGGAGCAATCCTCGCCGCTCTGTACATGCGCCAGCAGACCGGAAAGGGCCAGAAGATCGACGGGTCCCTATTCGAAAGCCAGATCTCACTCCTCACGAACGTCGCAATGTCCTGGCTAAACGGAGGTGTGGAGGCTCAGCGATGGGGTACCGCACACCCGAGCATTGTTCCCTACCAGGCATTCAAGACCACAGACTCGTACATCGTCCTCGGCGCCGTCAACAATCGCCAATATCAGCTCTTGTGCAAACTGCTCGATCGCCAGGATTTGGCAACCGATCCCCGTTTCGCAGAAAACACAGACCGAGTCCAGAATCGGGATGAGTTGACAAGGATCCTGAGCGAGATAATTGAGAGAAAATCAACAGAGGAGTGGCTCTCAACTCTCGAAGGAAGCGGCATGACATACGGGCCGATCAATACGATTGAAAAGGTGTTTGCGCATCCCCAGACAAAAGCCAGAGAGATGGTGCAGAATCTGCCTTACGAAGCAGCGTCATCGGGCGAAATCAAAGTACTCGGTTCGTTATTAACTCCTGTTATGATTTGTGCCGTGTGGAAACTTGTACTAACGATCAGCTAAGGATTCCCGGTGAAATTCAGTGAAACCAGTCCTGCCATTCGCATGGCCCCGCCGGGACTGGGAGAGCACACCGAGGCCACGCTGATGGACATGGGGTTTTCACGTGAAGAAGTACAGGATATGCGCGAACAGATGGTGATTTAGTCGAGACATGGTTGCAGAAAATATGGTCAACAAGTTCTTTCCCCTTTTTGCACAAATTTAGATATATCTTTTTCCAACAAAGGACTCTCGTTTTTACTCACTTCATCATTTTGCAAAGTTACCCCCTGGGTACTCGAAGTCGTGAGGTTTCGGTGCTCTATGACTTTTCGGGCTGACGGCTGAGCGTGGCTGTTTCTCACGATTGCAAGGTCAAAGCGGCAACTGTCACTGATTCTCCTTGCAAAAGCAAACACAACTCCATGTGGTCCGGGTGGCCGACCTGAAAATTCGACTGCGTGGCTGCTTCAGGTCTGGCTGTACACAAGCGGGGAAAAAGCTCGAGATGCGGCGTGGCTGGCTGGAGTGACAGCTTGTGGAGGAACGCTCGTTCACGCCAACAGCCAAGCCACCATAGACATCATGTAGACATCATTCCGCCCCGGTGGAAATATTCAGCGAGATTATTGATTGGACAAACAGTACCTCCGTTCCAGGTCGCCTCGAACAGCCCAGCGCTACACGCATCTGCGATTGGTCAGTTTCAAACAGGGCCGGCCGCCTTTATACTTCTGGCTTGACGCGCATTCGACGAACCCGTGCTGCTCAGCTTGTCGCTAAATATTTCCCGATGACAGCTTCAGTTCGAACAAACAAATCATAGTATTTCCCATGCAAGACATATCTGTGTGGATTGCGATGGCTGGACCATTTCCTGCATCGCACTCGTTTTGTTCTCGCTAGACACATCATCGCCAGCGGAGATGAGATTATAAACTGCCCAATACCCAAAACCCTTTCACAATCTGCATTCAACTCAATGCACCTCTTCGGTCGTCTTTCTCGAAAATCATCTAGCAGGCAGATCCATTCATCCGTCGAGTCTCTCGGCAGCATGTCCAGCATCGAGGCCAGTATCGAGGCGATCGGCCCCGAGTACTATCCCGTCCAGCCCAGATTCCCGGCCCAGGACTCCTCTGCCGAAGATGGACTTAATCGAAAGGTCTTTGTTCGTCAGAATATCGACGAATGGAGTGGGAAGAGATCGAACAAGAGGCAAGTGGATCTGTTCATTATGGCCATGGAGAAATTCCAGAAGCTTGATCCGAAGGACAAGCTTTCTTATTTTCAAATTGCTGGTAAGTCGCACTTGCCCTGCGAGCATGCTTCAATATTAATTTTGCAAAGGTATCCATGGCCAACCGTTTGTTCGCTGGGATGATCCCGACCCCATGCCGATGAAAAACGGTTACTGTTTCCACGCACACATTCTTTTCCCCATCTGGCATAGACCGTACGTACTTTTGTTTGAGGTAAGCTCCTCTCGTGAGATGCACATTTTATGTCTTTCAACTGACTGTTCTCAGCAAGTCGTGTACGACATCATGGTCCGGGATGTGATCCCACAGTTCCCCCAGGAGCAGCACGCGGACTGGCAGGAACTCGCTGACTCCTGGCGTCTCCCTTTCTGGGACTGGGCACGGAATGGTCGAGTTCCAGATCTGGCGAAATACCCCACCATCACAGTCCCCAGCCCTCAGGGAGGCAGGGTTCGAATCGATAATCCCCTCTTTCAATTCCGCATGCCTACCGACAAGCCCATGTCTAGCGAGGGAATTGGCACTGAAAACACGTGGAGGGATGATGCGGAGCAGGAGGAATACAAAAATGTGGGTTGTATTTTGAGAGACTTAGTGTTGATGCTAACGAGTATTAGTTTGGCAACGCGATTGGAACAAGTCGATGGCCTGACGAAGAAGACCAAAAGCCCACGAGCGAGGGATGGAGACATGGTGTCGTCAACAACCGGAAGGTTGCCGACGCTTTCAACTCTCACATGGGTTACAACGACAAGAACCACGGCCCTGCTGCTGAGATGGTCTATCGTCTGCTGACAATTCGCATGGACTACACAACATTTGCCAGCACGAACCCTACCTCAAAAGATCAAAAGGTCGACGAGGATTTGAATATCGAATACGTGAGTGTGCAAAACCTGACTCTCAGGACAAGACTGACTCTTTAGTTAGATTCACAATAACATTCACGGTTGGACTGGAGATGCAGGACACATGGGAAATGTACCCGTCGCTTCTTTCGACCCGTTGTTCTTTCTGCACCACTGGTAGGATATTTCACATTCCAAAAATGAACCACTTCGTTTAATAACTTCCACACTCAGCAACATCGATCGCATCTTTGCCATCTGGCAAGCTCTCAATCCTGACAAGTTCCTCGACAGGATTCCAGCAGACAATGCGACGATTCGCGACTCGCATGGCAAGGAGCATGCCGTCAACAAAGATACTCCCCTCCAACCGTTTCGGAAGGATGCACAAGGCAGCTACTGGACTCCAAGTGGAGTGCAGCACACAGTGAATCTTGGATACACATACCCCGAGCTCCAGCCATGGGACACCAAATATCTCAAAGAGGACAAATCCTTTGACTACCCACTCTTCCAGGGAGACGTGATGGCCCAGATCACCAAGCTCTACGGAGTGTCACGCTCCCTTGCTTTGGATCCCAAAGCTCCTATCCCAGACGGCGTAGAACAGGTTGATGGCGGACTACAGATTACTGATTTCGGTTTCAGCATTCGATTTTTGAAGTATGCCAGACAACTCCTGAGTCCAACTTGATCACTACTGATAGGAATGCCCCAGATACGCATTCGGCGGCCAGCCATTCTGGGTGAAATTATATCTCGCCCAGGACGAAGGAGTCCAAACACCAATCAGCGACTTGATCGCTGAAGTCTACAATTTTAGCCAGAGACCCGAACTCGATGGAGCGACGGTGTGCGGGAACTGCAAGAGTGGCCAGAAAATCAAGGTCAAGTCGACTGCCTACATTCCAATTGCGCCTGTGCTGTACAAATTAATCAAGACTGGCAAGAAACTGAAAACTCTTACCCGTGAGGAAGTTTTGGCGTTCTTGCAGAAGCGGGCGTATTGGAGGGTTATAAAGGTACGGAGTTTGCGACGGTTGTTGCTGAATTTGATGGCTTTGGATACTGAATCGCTGGCAGCATGGCAAAGAACTTCCAAGATACGAGGTTGAAAAGCTGGAGCTCGAAATTATCGGCAGCAGCAATGACACAAAATTCTTCGAGAATCCCGCTCTCCCACCAGCTTTCGAAAACTTCAAAGAAGAGCCAACTATTAGCGGTGGTGCTGATGGAGCCTTGGATCCTGAACTGAAGCAACCTGTGGTTGTGCCACCGCCACCAAGGTACGTGTTCCATAGCAAAGCTTGCAGTCAAACCGGGCAAAATGCTGACGAGCACATCCGTAGACCCGTCCGACCAAAGGCAAATCTCCCACTGCACGGTAGTCTCGTATTCCCGAAGGCGCTCAAGCCAGACAGCGTGATCCTCCTCGAATCCTCCTCCGTGGATCTGACCAAGCCAACTGTCAACATCGACATGACCCAGCTCTCCATTACCGATTCCGCCGGAAACACTGTCTTCCACATCTCTATCCGACGAGGCCAGGGCCAAATCATATTCAACGCAAAGGTGGATGGATCCTGGGGTGAGGAGGAGCGGATTAATTTAGATCATCGCTTCCGATCGGCCGAAGGCGCGACGATTCTCATCCACGACCAGGGCGAAGGTTACGAGGTCTGGATTGACTGGGTGCACGCTTTATGGTTTGCGAAGCGAGTCAAGGGTGCCGTGCCAAAGGCTATATTCTATGATCTTGGTGATGAGAGTGGGACTCCGGTGCTGGATGATGAGGTTGAGGTTCGGACTTATCCGTCTATGAAGGCGCTTTTCTTGCAGAAGCATGAGCATGAGGAGGAGAAGACCGCATAGGGTCACGATGGGAGGGTTTTCTGGTTTTGATCGTGTCTACCTGTCCGTCTTCATCTTGGCTGTTCGACATCTACCTGTTGATAATTAGCATGTGGATTTATCACGTCTCCTGAAGATACGACACATAATGTGCAATTTGTAGTATGATAAAGTATCGGGTGTCCTTCTACCTGTGAAAAAGGTAGAATCCCGGTGCCCGTAACAGACCAGCCTTCCCGAGTTATGTACGGTCTATTTATTAGGGCCAGTAATAGACACCAGCATCAATATCCTTCCTCATTTATCATTATACCTCAAGAATCCTTCCCGCTTCAATTCGGGAAACTCCCGCTGAATCAACTCAGCAACCATTCCTCCAAAAACAACAGACCCTTCAACATTGAGATGAGTATGATCATCCGCATTCAGATTATAACTCCAGGCCTTCTCCGGGCCAATTGCATTAAGATACGCCGTGCTCGCTTTGTTGAGATCAATGACTGCAGTACCACTCCTCCCTGCCGCAGTAATAGTCGCCGCAGTCTGATCCGCCAGGTCCTCAATAATGGCCGGATGACCAGTAGAGTTATCATAATTACGACGAGAAAGCGGCGTCACAAGAATAGGCGTAGCGTCCACATCTCGAACTTCTGCGACAAATTTCTCGAGATTATCCGTATATTGCGAGACTGAAATATTGGCCGCTACCTTCTGATCGTTGTGCCCGAATTGAATTGTCACGAAGGGATGATAGTCCGCGCTGACACTTTCAACTGTAGCTAGTACATTGGCCCAGTCGCCACCGGCCCGAAAGCTGACTGTCGTTGCACCGTTGTGGCCATAGTTGTGGCCGGATGCCCCGTTGAACAGGGTTGTGTTTAAGAAGCCGTCGCCCCATCCACCGCCATTCGAGGATTGGGTTGCTGTCGTGCTGTCTCCTGCTAAGATGAAGAATGGAGGCTTTGATGCCGAAGACGATTTGCTTTTAAGAGGTGCTCCAAGAGCCTGGAGAATGCTTATCGCGAGAGAGCAGAGGATTCCTTTCATCTTGACCTAGTGATTTCCGGAGGCCTTCCAAGGTTGCAAGCGGGGTGTCTGGCCTCATTCATCTTAATCTTGCCACCTCGGACTAACATTTATTCTCTGCTTCCAGCAGAATTGAAGAAAGCATCTAATTTGTAAAATAAACTTCCACCAACGGGAAAAATACGGCCGGCGGGGCGATCAACCCCCGCGCCGTTTGGGGAAGCCAGCCTGCGGGGTAGCACTTTGCGGACACAGATACCCCGAGATCGTTCTTCCTTTCGTTACTTTTAGCAAAGACAGAGCTTCATCATGGTTTCAGTTTATTTCTGGATCTGTCATTTGTAGATATTGCACATTGCACAAATGGATAATGTGACACTTCTATTCGGCAAGGACTTGAGCAACGACTGCGCTTGCCTTGACCAACTCCTCTTCACGCATGTGTCTACCAACGACTTGCACGCAGCATGGGGCGCCTTCGACCGCATTTGCATCGTCTGTATTGGCGAAGTTAGTATTTGCTAGTGCTAAATTTCAAATTTGACAAGAAATGACTGTTCACTTACATGGGGGTCTGTAAACCACGTCGCGAACGAAGGATGCATCGGCAGCCTTGTCGGCCTTGCTGTACGGGACAATTGCAGCGGGATACTGGCAAGGCAATTAGCTCAGGGTCATTCAATAAGTAGGCTCATACTCACATCCATGACATTCCACAGTACAGTGTACGGAACAAATCCGAACAGATCATGCGGCTGGGCAGTACCCTGGTAACCAGGCATGATAATTGCATCCACCCTCGACTTGACAACAAGCTCACGGAACTCTTCCTTGAATTGATTCCGCTGCTGATTTAGATCATAAAGCCCATCGAGAGTCAAAGGCGCATATTCATACTGCATATACTCATGCGGCAACGAGGTCGATTTCAGAGCCGGGATAGTCGGCTCACCACTCGCAGCAATATGCTTGAAAGCTGTTCCCGCCGGATCCATTGCGAACATACGGAATGCTAGGGCACAGGCATCCTTGATGGAGGGTGTTTCCAGAGGAACGATCTCATGCCCGGCAAATTTCAGCTTTTCCGCAGCTTCATTCAGGGTGCGCAAGACAGGTGGATGGAGCGGGAAATGAGGATCCTCTTGAATGAGACCGAATCGAAGTTTTGCCTTGGGAGTTACCTCGCGCCACGGTGAGAAGATTGCCGTTGAGTCATACGCCCATGGGTCGTGGTTTGTCACAACACGCATCAGTAGCTCCAGGTCGCGAGCCGAGGTTGCCAGAGGACCGGCGCATGCTCTAATTCCCAACATGCCTTTGCGACCGGGACTCGTCTGGCCTCCGTATGGGATCCTATCAGCCGACGGGCGTAAAGCAAAGGTGCCATTGCAGATGGCAGGGATCCGAATTGACCCAGCAATGTCTGTTCCGACGCCCAAGACCGAGCCTCGCATGGCGATTAGCGCTCCTTCTCCGCCAGATGACCCTCCTGCGTTGAGGTTCGATCGATGGGGATTTAGCGTCCGTCCGAAGATGTAATTGTGAGAGTCCGCAGCCTGCATATGTCAGACTATGTTTGCCCGTATGCTCATGCAGATCCAGACATACATACCATCATGGTTTGAGGGATATTGGTCTTGACGTAGGGGATACCGCCGAGGCTCACGATGATTTCCACAACCGCCGAGTTCGAGTTGACAGGCTTGTTTCTGAGGAAGGAGGCAAATCCAATAGTGGAGCAGACACCTTCGATATTAAAGCAGTCCTTTATGCCTATCAGTAAGTGCTTCCACTAGTAAACATCCATATCTCCTTACCTTGAAACTGATTGGCAAGCCGTGCAGGGGACCGACTGGCTTGCCCGTCTGGAGGAGATGTTCATCCAACTTCTTCGCTTGCTCCATAGCTCTATTGAAGAAGGTCTCGGTGAGGCAGTGTGTCTTTTACAGCGGTTAGCAAACCAAGTCATGTCCGGGGTCTGGGGAGACATACCACTTGCTGCGCGATCGCCGCTCGAGCACAGAAGGCCTCAGTGACTTCATAAGCAGACAGCTCCTTGCTATGGATCTTCTCGAGCAAAGCCGTCGCGTCGTACTTCTCGGTAATCTCCAACTGCTTTGCGGACAGGATTCCACAGCGGCGGGGCACGTCGAGTACATTGGTGCTGGCCGTTTCGGAGATGTTGGTATACTCCGCAGAAAGACGCCAGGCCTTGGGAATCAAGTCCGCAGCTTTGGCCTGCTTCTGCTGAACCAGTTTTTCCCAGGATTCGAGTGTCATGATGACTAGAGTAAAGTATGTTGAGGTGAAAGAAAAGAAGAACGAGAAAGGCGGGGGGCTGCTGCTATTTATGCGGGGACAATGTCGGCCCTCACTAAGGTGACAACTATCAACTGTGTGACGACGGGGAGGCCTGCATGGCCCCGAAGAGCAGGTCAAGCCGCATACTTTACGTTATCTGATCGCATTTTGCATCGGATTCGCTCGATTCGTTCGCATTTCTCTCGATCAACACCTCGACTACTTCTATCTAGCCGTTCTGGCGCCCAATCAGCGGTTTTTGCGCGGCCCCACGTCCATCCCCGGAATCTACTTGAGCCATCGCAACTACTTCCATCAACACCAATCATGAATGTGTTACACCACTTCCAACCTCGATCATTAATCCATGGTAATCACCGCGCGGAAACGCACCGTCCCTCTGACCATCGCCTCTGTCGATTTATCAGCAACACACTCTCACAAAGGGTCTGGATGAACTAACCAAAGGCCTCATTTGCTTTCTCCAAGGGGAAAGTCTCTACTAGGCACTTGACGCCCTCCAGCTCGGTAAACTGGATCGTCTCTTCCGAATCAAGCGCATGTCCACTCGGCCATCCGTGAACAGACAGGCCCTTCGTGATCTGTTCCGGCAAGTTAGCTAAAGTGCCTTGTAAAGAGCTTGAGAAGGAAACTCACCATCGTCATAGAATCAAACGGAACTTCGCCGGCAGCTAGAAAATATATTAGATATATTCCAAAGTTCTTCGGGGAAACCGAGCTCACTGGCAAGAAGAAGCAACTTCCCAAGGGGACCAAGTCCCTTCATCAACGGCGCGATCACCTTGGGATTCGGCGCAGTGGCAACCACCAGAGCCGCACCACCGATCTTCTGCAACGCCTCGGCAGGATCCTCTTTGCTGCTATCAATATACTTATGAGCTCCCAATTCCCGAACAAACTTCTCCTTTTGAGCGTCACGAGAAATCGCCACGACGCGGAACCCAAACCGGTTCGCATATTGAATCGCCAAGTGGCCGAGGCCCCCGAGTCCTTGAATTGCGACGACGGAGCCGGGCTGGACGTTCATGCGGCGCATCGAGTTGAAGACGGTGACGCCGGCACAGAGAATTGGGGCATACTCGGCGGCGGGAATGTGCGGTGGGATGCGCACACCAGCTTCGCCGCGCAAGAGGCAGTACTGGGCATCTATCGTTGCGTTAGTTTGTGGAATCGCTTTGTGGTGGTAAAACTTTCGAGTGATAAGGGTGAGGGCTTACATCCGCCATCCCTGGTGACTCCATTGACTATGCCCAGGTCACACATCTGAAAATTCCCCCTGCGACAGGCAAGACACGTGCCTGGTTTCGGTCAGCATGGTGCCCCCAAGCTGATGATAAGCTTCATCGCCAACATACCATCATGGCCTCCATGCCACGGTCCCCCAATGCGATCGCCGATCTTCCACTGTGAAACATTGTCGCCGATCGCCGCGACATGTCCGATGAGTTCGTGGCCTGGCACAACGGGACTGAATCAGTTAGACTTGCTGATTCGAGACATTCGCGGAAGAGTATATTCATTTACAATCGTCCCATAGCACCATAGGCTTGCGGTACGTGGTCGGAGAAACAGACACCGCAGGCTTCGACCTTTACCAGCACCTCGCCTGGGGCAGGCATTGTCAGCGCGACTTCTTCTACGTGCAAAGAGCCGCCAGCCTCTCTGAATACGGCCCGCTTGTAGGAAGATGGCAAAGTCATTGTGGGAATTAAGACTCGCAGGGTTTCAAAACGACGATCACGCTGAGCTGAGCGATGCGATATGTATCGATTCAAGATGCGTAACCAGCAATTTTGAAGAGCAGAAGCAATAAGATCTGTCAGCCCCTTAAGTAGTTTCTGTCCATTTGAGAAGTTCGATGCGGAGCCTCATTCGGGGATGGGTGTCCTGTGTCCTGTCAGCGTCGCGGATTTACGTGACGTTAAGCCGATTCGCGGAGGGTGCAGAGGATGGCTGGTAGCTCCGTCATGGTGACGTCCAAAGTCCGATCGAGGACTGATGATCGCATCCCTCACAAATTCCCCCTTCTTGTCTAGGTCGATCTCTTGTTGGGGGGTGGGTGTTGCCGAGGGATCAAAGAATCAAAGGTGGGGTAGTTGCTGACGCTCGCCACGGAATATGCACAAGTCCGACGCCCCTTCGATCTCCGGGCGGAGATACTGCCGCGCTGGGATTGCCTACCGCATCACACTAGTATAGTAGCGGTTGTATCAAAGAACCAGACGCGCAATAATATTTGCTCGAAGTCTTTTTTTTTTTTTTTTTCGGCTTGAATCGGATTCACACATTTAATCCACCCATGCCTTGGGGGTCATGGTAGTATTAGCGATTTGGACGGAGCATCATCGGAGTATATATCTCGTGTATAGTTGTATTCAAAGCGGGATTACCGCCACTTAAATCACATAAAAAGACCTTTCTGCGAAAAAGCATACAGATTCCATAGAATCGAGTTCTGGTCTGGACACGGGAGATCTTGTGTCAAGGTTGATACCGGGCCCATTCCGACACTAGCGCAGTCCAACCTAACCACGAGAAGTCTAGTGTCTAGTAGAAGAGCTGAAATCTCCATAGTGGGGTGAATACGCCATCACATCAACAAGCCTTGGTTTTGCGTTGTCTCGCTTTATGCGCCCCCTTATGCAGTCAAGTCCGAGCGAGTGATGCAAGGGTTGAGCTCTCGAGTACTAGCACATTACATTAGGACGTCGTGTACAATAGTTCGTGCTCGAATCAGCTTGCAGGCGTCGTCGATCAGATCGACCTGACTAAGAGTACATGCAGACCCCTCCTCGGTCAAAGCTTCTCTCCTCTTCATTTCATCCTACTGGTGCTACTATAATCTGCTCGTCACGATGTCGGACGAAGACCACGGCCAGACCGAATACGGATGGCGCTCATCCAGGATCCTGATCATCAGCACAGCGTGTCTGGCCTTGTTTACTGGTACAATCTCTTCCATCCTGTGTTTCGATATCCGGGTATCTCAATTTACTTTTTCTAATCACTGACCCACTCAACAGAAACCCTCCTGTACGGATTCGTGGTCCCCATCTTGCCATATATGCTGGAGGTCCGCCTACACATAGACCCCAGCCAGACCCAGAGCATCACGTCAGCTTTACTGAGTGTCCATGGGTTTGCCACCCTCATCCTGACTCCTCTCATTGCGGCTGCGGCGGATAAGACCCCAAATCGCAAGATTCCTCTGATCATCTCTCTCGTCGTCTGCCTCGGGGGAACAGTTCTGGTGGCATTCACCCCAACCTGTATGTCTCTCCTTTGCCCTCCGTTGACAAGAGACTAACCAAGGTCACTCGCTTAGTGTGGGCAATCTATCTCGGCCGAATCCTCCAAGGCGTGTCAGGTTCCGCGGCATGGATTATCTGTCTGGCCATGTTGACCGACAACGCTGGGCCAGGACGAGTCGGACGAGTCATGGGCCTCAGTATGTCCGTTGTCATGACAGGCACGGTTGCAGGGCCGACCGTAGCAGGCGCCTTGCTGGAGTGGATGGGATACTGGCCGGCCTGGTCGGTGCCCATCGGGATCATTCTCATCAATATCGCGGGACGGTTGATCACCGAAGAGCCTCAAAAGCCACCTCCATCACCTCCTCGAACTGAGGAAGACGTTGAAAACGCAGAAACATCGCCGCTCCTGTCAGGCTCAGACTCGGAATGTTCAGCTGAAACATTCTCTCAGGACAAAGACACCTGCCTGCCAGCCCCATCCTCCTTCTACTGGGTGATGCTTCGCGACTGTCGAGTTCTAGCCAGCATTTCAACCACCACCGTCAACTCTATCATCATCGCAGGATTTAACGCGACTCTACCCGTTCACCTTCGTGCAATTTTCAACTGGGGCTCTTTCACCGTGGGAATGATGTTCCTGCTCATCCGCATCCCCACAATAGTTTTCGGACCATTCATGGGCATGCTGCGAGACCACGTTGGACTTCGATACCCCACGGCACTGGGATGGCTTCTCCTCACGCCGTTGATCTTCTGTCTAGGCATTCCATCCGGTCCAGAGCATCATGGGAAAGAATTCTTCGTCACATGCATTGCATGCATCGGGCTTGGATCGACTCTTATTCAGGGTGCGGGCGTGCTACACACCATCAGTAAGTACACGGCATCCCACTCAGAGCGTCTCGTCTTCTTCAAGCTAATTTTACCTCTAAAGCTATCCTGCGAGACGTAGAATTGAAACAACCTCAAATATTCGGACGTCAAGGAGGTCTTTCCAGAGTGTTTGCGATCAACGAAGTCTCATTCAATGCCGGACTCATGTTCGGTCCACTCTTAGCAGGGGGTTTAACCGAAGCAATTGGCTATTCCTACATGAATATTATTCTCGGTGAGTAATTGATCCTTTGATTTTTTATCATTTAGCTCTTCTAATGATTATTTCAGCTGTTATCTGCTTCGCAAATGCTGTCTTTGTATTCTACTTCTTTGAAAAAGGAATTTCTCAGAGCGAAAAATAGAGGTATAGACTCCATAGCATGAAGGTATGACTGGCTCTGTTCTTAAGGTTGTCTCGCTAGATACGAGCGATGGGACTTTTCAAAAGCTTTTTGATTTCAGTACAGCGTTACAAGTAGAAAGATTGTAGTCCTACGAATTTACCCCGAAATATATTCTTTATCATCTCCATTTTACCTTGAATCGATGCAACAGTTGATAAGTGGCCATGGCCGGTCGAGAAAACATAGATACAGCTTCATTTGTTCCTAGCTATTGTTACATTCGAGGTCAGGCACGATAATTAGTAAGTTAACTGCCCGACATAACTAGGGGGCAGGCCAGCTGTTTCCCTGGACAAGATCAGAGATTTGATCTCAGATCGGGAGACTACAGTATACGGGACGCCGACTCCTCCATGGGGTAATTCTCCTCGTGCACAGGACCATCGCCCTGTATGAAGGAGCGTGGTCGGCCCTGCTCTTCATCATTCAGCTTTCCGAAGCCCTCAAGAACAGAGGGATCAGTCTTGTCGTATGGGACATCACAGCGGGCAGACCCCATCGATGGATAGTAGCGCCGATAGGAGAACCACGCCACCAGCATTCCTAGAAGAGAGCCAATGGTGACATCCCACACGTCGTGCCGGTAGTCGTCCAATCGCGAGATCGCAATCAGTAGCGCACACAACAGCGGGAAGAAGGCCAGGAGGCAACGGCCAAGATCCGTTCGAGGGCGAAATACATGCATCTGGCCGCAGAAGAAACTAGACACTCGTGGGTTAGCTAATGCATCACCAGACATTCCAATCCAAAAGTCCTTACAGAGACAGATATCCCAAACCACCAAAGGAAAAGCTACTGTGTCCACTGGGGAAACTGCGCCATCCTTCCTGTAGGATATGCTGATTAGTTTCGGTACAGACTGTCCAGGCAACCAGTACATTGTCGGCCGTGCCCCGAGTGGGTTTGCACCGCGAAATGAGGTCCGGGCGAGGCCTGCCCACTGCATTCTTGACGATATCGGTGATGAAAGAGGTGAGCATGAGCGCCACCAACAGACCCAGCATCGTAACCTGTGTTTTTTGCGCGCCAGGATGCAGCATTGCCGACCACGCCATGATTATGAAAAAGGGAACCACGCCTGCATAGAACACAGACCATACTATTGTTTCTCGTCAGGATACTAGTAGGGGAGGACGTGGGTTGGAGTGCGTACCGACAGGAACCCGTTCGTGAACGGCGAATGGGTATTGAATGGACTTGTTGTCGAGGGAGAACATCCGGTGAAAGGGAGAGACAAAAAGTTGGATCTGCGCAATCATTTAGTATTAGTGATTTGATCAGAACCCAGCGCATGTTCCAATTGCACTCACCAGTAACCAACACATGGCGAGAAAGCCCAATGCCATGTAGTCCGCGGCGTAGGAGCGCTGGCTGAAACGAGCTGCTGCCCCCGCCAGGCCGACACGGTTCAGCAGGGGTGCAGACCCGGTTCCTGAACGGCTGCGAGGCATGTTTGCGAAATATTGAAGCGAATGAAGTCGGAGACCCGGTCGAGAGCTCGGTCAAACGACCGGCAGGGGAGACAGTGAAGAAGATCAGAGAGTCGCAAGCATATCACCGCTGTTGGTTCGTATCATGGTCGGGTAGAGCCCGCAAGAGTCCTCTGTCAAAGTACAGGTCCACTTCGCAGCGGGCGTCGAGAGTGAAGACGTGCTGGCTTGCGCGGCGTCGGAGGAAGAACGACAGTCGCGTGAAGCGGAGAGCAACCGACCCGCCGATCGTCTCCCGCTCGCCTTCCACTCCGAACTTCAACTTGAACTGCCCTGCTCCCACTCTTAACTCATCTTCACCAACCCTCCATTTCTCGATCGTCGCGCATCGATCCGAGTCGTCATGGCCGACGCGAGCCAGCAACGAACAGTCACCGCGGCCTTTGCGCCTCCGCCGCCCTTGTGGAAGCAGTTCACGCGCGACAACCTCGACAAGCTGGAGCAGATCAAAAAGGAAGCGTCAACAGGATTTGATGAGGAATCTGCCAGCGACAAGAAGTGGTCTCCCTCTGAATTGCGCGCTCTGGAGGTTCCCCCGGAACTGCGATTCTTGGTTCCCCCGGAGGTCCCAACGGGGGATTACTCGGTCTTTGGTGAATTGCAGTCCGTACGTGCCACCGCGCTGTCCCTCTGACCGAATTGGGAACTAACCATGCATTCGATAGATGTCGACGGCACTACCTTCGCTGAAAGATCAAGGAATCGATCAGCTCTATCCCGAACCTGCCACCGAGACCGACCAGAGCAAAGACGCTTCACAGCCGTCCCAACCCCTCAACCACGCCTATTACTTGCTCAAGATCAGCAAATCGCTCCTCCTGAACTTCCTTGAGTTTGTCGGAGCTCTTGCGGTCTCACCCGAACAATTCGAATCGAAGGTGAACGACCTGCGCAACCTGTTTATCAACGCTCACCATCTTCTCAATCTCTACCGCCCACACCAAGCCCGGGAATCACTGGTCATGATGATGGAAGAGCAGCTGCAACGAAGCAAGGATGAAATCGAGCAGATGGACAAAGTCAAGGCGGAGATCGAGAGTGCGTTGGAGCAATTGGAGACGCAGGGCAAAGAGATCGGCTCGGCGGAACAATCTACAAAGGATGTTGAAACAGCAGAGAAAAATTCCCAGCAATCTGGCGAGGGTTCTCACCAGATGTGGGATGTTCTCGGTGGGGAGATTTGAAGACAACGCTGGCCTTACTGGCCTGTTGCATTTATCTCCCCAGTAGTCCACCACAGACTGTCGCCCAGTATCGAACCGAAAAGGGGCCCATTCAAGCCGTGTTAACGATCTTTCCGGTATCCGAATGTTCCACTGAGAAATTTCTGGAGTATCTCGAGGTATTACTTTTAACATTTCGAAATACTGCCGAGAAGCAGCTCTCATGCTTCAAAGCTCCAACTGCTAGCGTCGATGATCGGTACAGCCTGCAATTACACGGTGGCCTATCCAAAATTTCTCGCCTCGCTCCCTATTTTGGGGCTTGTTCCAGGTATAGAATCAACACGCAGCGATGAGTATATGGCACAAGGGATAGGCTCGAATATCGCTACTCTCCTCGGAGTCACTTCGGGACTCTACAGTCCCACACCATATCTAGGAATATACAACCTAACCACATCTTCAAAATTGCCATAACCGCCCGTATCAGTCTATTTCCACCGCATCTCCATCCTGTTTGCCGTGCATACTCAGGGAGTACCTTCATATATACTACGACCAAAATGGACTAGTTCCCCTTCCAATCCGGGGCCGGCCCGTCTCTCATTCCGGGTCACATGATCCACGCCTTAAAAGCTCATTTTTCACACTGCCTAGCGATCTCTCTGTAGTCTCCCCAATAACAAAGACGACAAGGCTTGATTCCTCGAGCCTTTCGCTACAAACTGTAAGTTCCTCCGCCGTCTGACAGCTCGAGTCACCCTCCACCATATCTGCAATCTCCTGCGAAGATGATATGCCTATTATTATGTTTCAACCCCATCTGAGAGCATTTCAATCTTACATACGAATTCGCTCTTTGCTTATTTTGTGCATTTATCTGAGCTTGGTCATTCGTCCTATCTGTGATGTACGGACGAATTGACTATCCCATTTTGCCATCACGCAAGCGACTCTTTGCTTTCGACAAGGTGCTGACTTTGATCTGAGAAATTCTAGGAACTTTTCCAATTACCTCGACATCGCTCTGCACACTTCTTATTTAGACATCAATGCAATCTACTTCATTCTTCATATCATCCTGGCTGCTTCGTGGCCACAATCGGACTCTTGTACATCTCTCCATATCTTTTTGTGGAACTTTTTGTGGAACCTCGTAGCCGCTCTCGACCACAGCTGGAATGAAAATCGGCGGAGTTTGAGCAAAATTCATTTATCTCTATGGTATACTATTAATACAAAAGGTGTAAAATCTTGCTCCAGAAGCCAACGCCGTTATCACAATATCCCTCGGCCCTCAAACACCCAATAAAAAATAAGACATTACGAAAAAATGATAATCAATGAGGTAGATGCGAACCAGCACTCTGCTCACGCCACGCTTTGTCAATGGCACACTCGGCGAGTCGTTTGAGCTCGACCACAAAATCAGCCACCAGCTTGAAGTGCACGACTTCGTTCTCTGGCAGTTTGCGTGAGAAAATGCGATCCATCATGACCGTCGCCATTCTCAGCAAGTCCATGTCGTCGCGTGAGCGAGGGTCCAGTGGGTTTTGGAGAATGCTGCAAAAGATGGTCAAGAGCGCAGATATTGGGTAGAAGATTAGTGTCCTAAATTTCCCTCTGTTAGCTCCATACAAAGCCCAAGTGGGCCACATTCAACACTTACCAGAAGACACCATCGACTAAGACATGTTCTGCTGCCTCCAGGTAGCACAAAGTCGACCGACTCGCTTCGACAGATAACGTGAGACTTGAGCTGACTCCATCCACCAACCCACTTCCATTTATCCACGCCTTGCATCGACTGCTCGCCTGGTGAATGATCGACATGCACAAGTAGTAATTGACTCGCAACATAACCGAGTGCATACTAACATTGGGATCGGAGGCGTCGGGAGCGAAAGACATGGTTGGGCGCCACTGCTGCGGAATCGAGAGACGCCACTCCTCCAATTCATCATCCAATTCTCGAATAGATTTAAGTAAATCCGCATCACACTTCTGTAATGATTTCACCGAGTACAAGGCGCTATGTGCTCGAGACTTGATGATACTGAGACGCAGGTCAAACGGGAAGACTGGCTCGATGGATTGCGAATCTTGGTGCTCTGGGTCCTTAAATGCACGATCTAGATAGCCCGGCGGGAGGGTCAAATCGCAGTTTTCGTCGGCGATGGTTGGAGGTTGCCCGGTTCGAAGGGCAACATCTTTGTCAAGCGTGTAGCTGATCCAGAACAGGTTTCGCAGAGCCTGCTGTCGTTTCTGGGGGCGACCACCTTGCAAAGCTGCTTTAGTGGTGCCAAGATTGGCACCAAGCATAAACAAAAGCCTCGCGGTAATGGCTCCAAAGTAGTTGGTGGCGCGCATGTTTCCTGAGGAAAGTTCATAGAGTGTCTTTCCAAGTTTAGCAAGCCATTAGCATTTGCCATTTGCAAATATTGAAATTGAGAGGCAAAATCACTCACGAGCATAGTAGCTGCCTGGGCTCCTTCCAGGCTTGCCGGCTCCTGCAAGACCTGCGAAAGAAGAAACTGGCCCCTGGTAGCCATGGCATCATAGTCCACATTTCCCAACGGCGAGTTCTGTGCAAATTCTTTAATAGGAGGGAGACGCGCAGTAAAAGCTAAGAAAGCCATGATACAAGCTCGAGTACTAGCTTGTCCTACCCGGAATGTAGATTGGGGTTGCTGGTAGGCGGATATGATCGTCTCCTCGAAAAGCTCGGCATCCACAACCGGGAACAACCGCTGCATGACGAGCGAGCTCTTATAGGCCTCGAAATAGAGACGAACCACCCGCCAGTCTGGCAGCTCAAACATATTCTGGTTAGGAAGGTTCGTGAAAAGATTATGAGAGCTTTGTCCACGTTCTTTCTCCCACGGGGCCCGAGTTGGGCTCAGCTTGTCCCGCGAGATAGTTTGCCCAGTTCGCGCCTGAATCCATTCTTGTCCCTCTGGCAAAAGGAATGGGATACCAGTGAGTAGACTTATCGCGCCAAGCTCTCGGCCTGCAAAGTGGACGCCCACTGTAGATGGCACGAGGGGCTGCTGATTGCTGCTGGCTGTGCTAGGTGAGCTACCCGCAGTTGCGTTGTCATCCAGAACTTGCGATAGATCCGTGGGGACTATTTAGACTTAGCCGCGCACATATTTGACCGAGAATTTTCTGTGTAACATACCAGAGTCCGTATCATGCATCGAGAAATTGTCGGCAAGAACCTGCTCAATACGGCTGATGCGTTCTGACAAACGAGAAGCCTTGGGCCGACTATTGCCATCGTCAGTACATTCAAGATCCATCCACAAGCATTCCGGTAGCTCAATGGTCATACCCGCCATCATCTGTCGGTCTTCTCTTCCGCTGCACCACCCGGTCAAAGGTACAGGGCAGGTTATGGTGGCTGCACCAGTTGCATTGCGGTTGTGCCGCGTCACATTTAATCTACGTGGTCAGCCGGGGCCGGGTTTGCAGAGGAGTGAATATACCTTGCGTCGGTAGCAGGAGTCGCAAGCGCGCGCCGTGCGCTTGCGGGGCTCGTCGTCTGGATGCATGGAGATCGCAGAGTCGGAGGGTCATCGCGGCCGTGCTGGGTCTTGATGCGCTGAGTCAGCGGAAGGCGATCGGTTGGGTCCCGCGAGGCAAACTATACAGAATGAAAATGAGTCAACAAGATCAGAGAAATACCCTGGGGGCTCTGTTGGATTCTGTTGGGCGAGATGGTGAATACAAGCTAGCCACGTGACAGTGACAAGTGTTGGTGGTAAGCATCAAAGTTGGAGTTGGTGAGAGACAACTCGGAGTGGATGGCACAGTGCAAGGTCGCACAACAAGCGTCATCTCTGAAATAACGATCCAGGAACACCAAAAACGAGTCGCAAGCTGTTGCAAGCACAGAACCTATCACAACCGAAAGCTTGTGACCACGGGTTTGGCAAAATTAACGATTTGGGGCCTCCGTCCTCTACTCAGTTATCTGATCGCAAACACCAGTCTGCCAGTGGATGCACGGGAAACTTGCCCTTCGACGGCTTTGGTCTCCAATTCAAAGAATCAAGATCATGAAAATGAAAGGCCTAGTCAATAAATACTTCTCTAGAATGAACCCATAATTCACATGTTGGTCTTGGCTGTAGACTAACGCCGCGATTTAAAATGCCTCGTACCTTTCATCACCTGAGGATTATGTTTCATACTCTCGTAGACAATATAACACAAGTGACGCCGCATCAAAAGACTAGGCTGTATGAGATAATTTGAATATACCGGATCACGTGTTCTGTGCTGGTTTTCTGCTCCATGCCTTCACGGTGTTGGACCACACTGCAGTTGCATAGGTAAAACCATGGAAGAGCATCCAAGCATCGGTGTTTCTGTTGCACCATTGTCGCTTTGGCCATTTTGGTCCATAACAAGGACGTCCTGATACAACTCACTGCAATAATAAACAATACAGAAAGATAGAAGCATCACCGTAGGATAAACTTTATAGGCATCGAGTTCATGCGGACTCGCAAAAAAACAGAATGGTATATAGATCGAATCAAGCACAACATCGGCTAAAAGGGCGAAAAGAACAGGACATGGCAGAAAATAAGAGTAAGTAGGGCATCGCTAACCCAATGCAATCACCATCTCCCGCAGGTCGTTGAGGTGATTCGACTTATCGCTCCCCAAGTCCACTTCGACCGCAAAACGCTTCCGGCCCAATCGCATATCCATCTCACATCACAGTGCAAATGCAGCAGTCGCACTCCTCATCCCCGCAATCACACCCAAAGCAGGGCTTGGAGACAATCTTGATAGGTTTCTTGATCGAGCTCCCAGAGCCACTAGAAGGCAAGGTCCAGTTGAAGGGATTCGAGCCGGCGGCGAGCATCGTCGGAGGAGACTAAGCCGAGAAGGTCAGTATGGTGTTGAACAGCACTCCACATGGCACCGATCGAACCTCAGTACAAGGAAAAATCAAGATGAAATGGGGGATAGACGAGATCGACTGGGGAAGGGGGCCACAGGGGAAGGGAAATATTTAGGAGTCGTAGGGCTGTCGAAACAATGGAGGACCGAGCAGGCAGCCATTTATTTTCTGCCCCGCCACACACGTCACAGGGTTTAGGCATGCAGGGTCTCAATTGGGAGTTACGGCTTGTGATACCGATCTCGGTTGGGAGATAGTATCAAGCATGTCAGCCAGCTCAAAGAAACAGTGCAATGTGCCTGGGTCGGCATTTGTGAAGACTTTTGTCTCGGTCTACTATACGCGGACAGGCGGATTGGCGCCGCCCCACTTCAAGCATACCCTACACTAGTGTAAGGCAGACGGACCTTCGAGATTTACAAAGTACCGAGGACCGAGTGCGTGTCTCAAAGAGAACAGTCAATTGACCTATGTACAACAACTTTTGTTTTCATCATTCATCGCGGGATTCACCAGTGAGACGGGGTATCGTCTAGTCATCTCAGTATGGGGAATCCAAAAAAATCATCCATCTATCCATTAACGCATTTCCATCCAAAGTCATCAAGAGGTAGTTTTTTGTCATAGCAAGGGCAAGCGTTTTACAACTGCTCAACCCAGGGAGCAGCACCCGCCTGCATCTGGTTTAGCCACTTGACGAGCTCGATGAGCTCGCTGCGGCGCTCATCCTCGAGCTGGTCCTCGTCACCGGTCAGGACGGCCTGGAAGACAGGGAGCAGCTGGGGAGTAAGCTCGCGGATGGTGGCATCCTCCCATTTGTACATCTGGCAGATCATGCGGTACAGGGGCTCGTTTTCCTCGTAGTCGTTCTTGAGGGGCAGGATCTTGACCAGAACGGGAAGAACATCCTTGGTGGGGATGTTCTCGTGGCTGCGGAGGATCATGCGGCTCAGGCAGCCAGTGGCATTGTCCTGCAGACGGGAGACGTTCTGGCCTAGGCACTGCTCGAGACGGCTGAGGATGGTGGGGTACTCCTTGATCAGCTCGGCATCGGACTGCGAGTGTTCGACCAGGCGACCAACGGCGTAAGCGGCGTTGGAGCGGGTCTGAGGGTCCTCATCAGCGAGACGGTGAAGGAGGAGCTTCAGGAAGGTGGAGGTGAAAGGGGTACAAGCACCGCCCATACCGTTGATGCACTCGGCAAGAACACCGACGGAGGTGGCACGCTCCAGGGACTCGCTGCTGCTGGCGTAGCGGAGGATGGTCTTCTCGAAGACCTTCCAGAGCTCAGCGAAGCTGGAGCCAAGAGCGGCGGCCATACCGGAGACGACATCAAGGGCGGTGTCAACGACGACCCAGTCGAACTCGGAAGTCTCCTCGCCAGCCTCGGCGGTCTCCTCCTCGGGACCGAACTCAAGCTGGCAGGGGTGCTGCTTGGTGATGATGTCGGTAACCATCTGGATCACGTTGTGCAGCATGGTCTCGTTGGCGATGAGGGCGGGACCACAGAAGCGGAGATTCTCAGCCATGTTGCGGTTGATGTCCGCGACGGTAGCACTAAATGGACCATGTCAGTACAATGTGCAACCAAAGATCCACAAATTGACAAAAAAAAGATAATCAAGAAGCAATTTCAGATATAGATTCGCTGTTCGCATCAATCGCGCTTTGCGCGTCAAAGTGAGCTGGGTTAAGCGGTGATAATCATCATGAAAAGGTGCAAGCCAAGAGGCAAAAACGAAGACAAACAACGCAGAAAAAGAAACTGTTAACACGTACCGGTCGTCTTCCTCAGTCCACATCTTGACGGTGGCAGTCATGAGGATTTCGCCGAACTTCTTGACCTCCTTGGCGGGCTGGACCTGCAGAGGTAGACCGGGTTGCCACTTGGGCATCTGGCCGCTCTCCTCGGCAATGGTGAACAGCATGGCGTAGGAGCGGTGCAGAGTGCTGATGGTGCTCTTGCGAACACCCTCGTAAGGGTGCTCAGCGAGGGGCATGACCTGCTCGATGGTCTTCTCGAAGTAGGGCAGGAAGGAGCTGCGGGTGTGGGTGATCAGGTCACCGATAACCTCAACAGCGATCTCCTTCTCCAGGGACAGAGGGGTTGTGGCAGTAATGTCATCCCAAGCGTCCTCATCGTCCTCAATGTCGACATCCTCGATTTCGCCCTCAACGTCATCGTCGTCGTCAGCAGAAGCAACCTTGACCTTGCGACCAGCGACGGTCACCTCTTGGCCAACGAGGTCCTTGGCAGCATCACCAAGCTCAACCTCAAGGTCAGTCTCATCCTGCTCAATACAGGCGAAGAGGCCCTTGACAACACCGTCCAGGAAAGGAGAGAAGTTCTCGGAGTAGACCTTGGCCATAGCACCCCAAAAGATGTAGGTGCTCTCCTTGAGGCGAGAGTGGCCCAGGTGGAGAGCCTCCTCGGTGGCGCGCATGAGAGGCTCAACGTAGGGCTGGTAACGCTCGGGGCCGGCGGCAGCAGCCATCTCACCCATCGCGTCAGTCACGCTAGCACGGAGGTCAAGCTCCTCCTCGCTGTCCTTGACGGTAGCGAACTCCTGGAGGAGGTGCATGGACTCATCGAAGAAGGACAGGAAGGAGTCACCGGCTGACGAGGCGAGGGAGCCAAGAGCACCGGCGGCAAGAGCCTTGATCTTGAAGTCGGGGTGCTTGAAGAGCTTGTGAAGGATGGGGACGAGCTCAGCCTGGTAAGGAGCAACGTCCTTCTCATCCAAGCCGTCGACAACGGCATCGATGGCGCTGATGCCGGCCTTCATGATGTCCATGGTGGGGCCGTCCTCCTCGCCGTTGTACTCTTGCATGGCGCTAGCAAGGTTCTTGAAGAGCAGGGGCATCAGGCGCGCGTGCTCAGCGCTGAGGTCCTCGGCCAGGTCGTCGGCCAGACGGGCGACGGCGTGGAGAGAGGCCTGACGGACCTTGGGCTCGGAGTCAGCCAGGAGCTGGAGAACCATGGGGAAGATCTCCTGCATCTGGGTGCTGATGAAGTCGGGAGCACCCTCGACGCACATGCCCAGGGCCATGATACCGGCACGGCGGTAGTTGGGGTCGTTGTTGTTGAAGTACTGGCCCAGAGTCTGGAGCAGAGGAACAACAACTTGGCTGGGGGGCAGGCTCTGGGCGAGCATGTCGAGAAGGCCAAGCGCAGAGCGGGCAGGAGTGATCTCGTCATCGATGGGAGAATCGTCCAGCTCAGTCACTATGTGAAGAGCGGTGCGGGTCAGCTGCTCGCCGATGCGCATACCCTGGATCTTGAGCTTGCGGTACTGAACAGCCTGCATCAGGAAGCTGATGGCCTGAGTACGGGTGTCATCATCGATCTCAGTGTTGGCAGAGATATCGTTCATCAGAACAACGAGGTCCTTGAGGTGGATTGTCAGGAGGGCGGGGTCGCAGCCGAGAAGGGTCTGGAAGACCTCGAAGGCCTGCATGATGCGGTCATCATCACCCTGCGAGATGGAGTCCTTAAGAACGGCAACCATGGAAGGGACGAGTTCCTGGAAGGCCTTGACAGGGGGAAGGCTCTCCTCAGAGTCGAGGTGCATGGCCAGCTTGCTTAGAGCAAGGAGGGTGTTGATGCGGACCTCGGCGCTTTCGGGGTCCTGGATGGTCTTGCCGAACAGCTTGAAAAGGTCGGCAAACTTCTCCTCGAATCCCTCGCCCAGAGTCTCGAGGATGGTGAACAGGATGTAGATGGACACCGAGCGCTCGTCCTGGTTGCCGCCATCCGCGGCCTGCAGGAGCAGGTTGGGCAGGTCAGCCCACTCCCCATCCTCCAGATCAATCTTGGCAATGGCCGAGATGATACGGGCAATGGAGTGGCGGACCAGGGAGGAGCTGTCGCTCATGGAAGAGCGGAGCAGCTGCTGACGGATTTCGGGCTTCTGGGCAGCGTTTATCTTCACCCAGTGCTTGTGAACGTGGGAGCGGCCCTCGACAGCAGCAAGCTGACGGAAGTTGGGGTCCTCATGGCCGGTAGCGATCTGGATGAGGAGGACGAGAGAGTCCGGTTGAGTGTAGAACTCCTTCTGCAGGATGCCGGTGGCCTCCTTGACATTTCCCTGGGTGGCTGGGAGGAGAAAGGGTGAGCTTGCATTTCTCGAGTCAGCAAGGAGGACAGACTTACGGTTCAGGACAACCTGCAATTGCTGCAGGAATCGTTGCTGATCCATTATGGCAGATGTGTGTATGATGGAAAGGTCACCACTTTTTTTCGGATGAGTAGCGTGTCGTTCGTGAAAAAAAAGTCCCAGGCCTCTTTTAAACAGAGGCGAGAGGGACAGAAATGAGCAGCTTGTCCTAGAGAGACAAACAGCTCACTTTTTGGAGGGGGTATCAAAAAGAACAACAAGGAAAAAAAGAAAGAGAGGATGGTGGGGGGAGGAAGAGAAAAAAAAAGTCGCGGCAGAAAAAAAGTCGTCAGGGGTGGGTTGGGCGCCCGATCGAGTTTAGGGCGGGAGGGACCGTTTGAAAATTGGGCAGCGGGTTTGTTGTGTTTTCAGCGATATCCACTTTCTGCTGGGTTTTTTCGGCTCGGCGGGCAATGGGCAAGTCTGGGACGCGTTTCCGATAGTCTGAGTGTGTCCCAGAGATCCTATGTCTGGTGTGGTACGCGTCTGGTCGCTTGGATTTTGTATGAGGCACGGAGAACAAAGCCCGATAGTCATAGGATGGGACGTAGTCTACTATCCTAACACCATACACTGTAGTCCTATACATCACATCAATGGATGTACACAAGGCATACGAGACAATACGAGAAGATGATCCAGAGACGTTACAGAGATACCCGAAAATAGCCAATCGATATGCTATGGCCAGCGTGTGAAAGTAAAAAGAAACCTGCCCTATGGGAGAAATAAAACACAATGGTGCAAATATACTATGCCGAAACTCCACGTGTCTGCAAACTCCATGGCCATGACTGAAAATCGCCCGTCCGCCGAAATGGAAAACCCGGGTTACAGGTCTCACTGGCTGGCAGGCGTGGTACCGATTACCTACAAAATAGAGAAGACCAAATCAACCCCGGGAGCACCGGAGATTGAGTCCATTTCAGCAAAGTGTGGCCAAGCTTAATAGTCGTCAGAGTCATATCCGTCATCAACCAGCAATGACCGATAACCACGGGAGGCAAGGTTAGCCTCCAGGCCGCCGTCAGAGGCGGGATCAAAGTATCCTGTCACGGTCTTATTGAGCAAAGGGAACAGCGGCAGCGAAGAGGCTGCGGAGGGGAATCAAAGTACATACCGCTACCACCAAAGTAGCTGAGAGCTACTGGCAGGAAAATCAAGGCGTGGGCAGCAGCAAAGACGACCAGCGCCAGCCACACCCGGAAATAGTAAATTTCGAAAATCTTGCTTCTTGTAAAAGCAAGCACGCAGACTCCGAGAAGCTTGGTGACAGTAATACCGCTGAAGACGCTGCCACCGACGTTGACCAGAGCCGTCCAGGCACGGGCATCCTTCCCGCGGAATTGAGAAGGGGCTTTCTCCAGCAGAGTGCGCGCGGGAAACATGAACGCCCGGGCAATGTGGGCGCAGAATTCCACGCTGATGCCCACACAGATCACCAGGTTTACAAGTGAGACCGCATTGAGGGAGACCCCGGCAATGGCCATGGTGCCAATAATATCTACCACCGTCATGACGACCGTCGTCGTGATGACCGCGCCCGTGGCGATCGACCCCAGGATTGCTGAGGTCAAGACGAAGATGATGGCGACGGCTGAGCCCAGGAGCGTACCGGTCAGCTGCACGATGGAGACGTACTGGTCGAAGAAGATGTAAAACTTGGAATACGGGAACACGTCGATCTTGTGCTCGCGGGAGATATCGTCGGCGATCCGGCGAGCTGCAATGTACGCCTGGATGAAGTCGTCCTGGCTGCGTAGCGCCGTGTGGCTGGTGCGGAAATGGCTGGCATTAATGGTGGTGTGCTGCTTGTCGATCACCACCGCGTTGCTGTAAGGCGCCTTGCCGCCGAGAGGACAAGAGGCATCGGTGGGGGCTTTAATCCATTTCTCGGCATAGTGAACGAACTCAGGCCCGGTCGGCATCCCATAGAGAGTGAGGTTCCATGGAGGGTTGCGGTCTTCGAAGCAAAGCTTACCGTTCTCTTTGCAGCAATCCTGTTGGGGGTTAAGCCAGTAGAAAAAGTCATCAATCCAGCTAGCAGCAGATCCGGAAAGGTAAGAATCGTTCGGGCGCTTCGATTCCTGTTCCAGAACAAATGGCAACGAGTATTCTTCACAGGTCGTAAATCGTCCACACAATTGCTGCTGGTGAGACCGCTCCGTCACGTTGACGTTGCGAGTCACAAAATAGACCGGGGGACCCGTGCGGAAGTAATCGTAGAGGTCATTGAAGTATGCAATAAGGTATGAATCATTGGGGATTGCAATGCGCTGGTCGAGTCCCAGAGAAACAGCTGGGATCAACGCCAATCCTGCTGTCAAAAGGCCCAGGAAGAAAATCACCACAGCTGCCTTGACCCGGCGATCCAGAATAAATGGAGCATAGACCCGGCGGATGAAGGTTTGCAGGTAACTTTCGGCCTCGCGGTCATCATAAATTTGATCTTGAGGGAGGCCAAATGAGTTCGCCTTTCGGACAGTGACACAAGGGAAGCAATCCGCGCGGAGGCTCTCCACCCGTCTCTGATTCAGAGCAAGGACGGAGATGAACATGGTGATTTGCAAAGCAGCATTGACAAAGACGGCCCCGGCAGCATACGCTGCAAAGTTTTTGACTGCAGGCATGCCGACAAATGCACCCAAGGCGAAAGCCAACGTCTCAGTGAGCGCTGAAAGGAAAACGCTGGGGCCGATTCTGCCCACGGCACGCGCCACGCGTTCGTCAATCTCTTCATCAGGGTAGCTAAAGTTGACACGCTCAAACTCGTGAACGATCAGGAAGATGTTGTCCACGCCCACTGCGAGAACCAAGAATGGTATGACCTCGGCGATTATCAGGGTCGCGCGCACGCCGGCGGCCGAGAACAGGCCTACCGATGCGGATACGGACATCAATACAATCACAATTCCAGCAATACCCAAGGTGAACTTGGACTGGACCAGAGCATTTGCCGAGTTGTGCAGAAGAGAGCGCCAGGTGACAGTGACTGAGCCCAGGGCCAGGGACGCATAAAGGAACATGATCACATAACTGATCACCACAATCTTTGCGTCTGTGTTGGTGGACTTGTTCAGTTCTTGCTCCAGGCTTATTTCTGCATTGAAAGAGACACGAAGGCCACGTTCAGCAGCTTCTTCTTGAACGACATCAAAGACGCGACGGAAGCTGTTCTCCCAGTCAATCGCCTTCTTTTCTCCCTCGCTCCCCTGGTCATGGTTGTTTACCACCCAGGTCACGACCAAGGCCTGGGCATCTAGTACATTCCCACTCTCATCATAGCCGCCCAGAATCATCTCCGGTTTGAGAGGCTGCTGAAAATCGGGCAGGCAGCTCACGTCGCCGGGCGATTCCGTGCAATGGCGCAGGCGATCCTGCCAAGTATCCGGATCCAGGTTAAAAACGGAGCCACCAAAGTAGCCCGTCAGTGATTGTACCACACAGGCGTCGCCAGTGGGCTTGAAGCAAACATCTTCCAGGTTCAGACCTAGGTCGAGAGATATCATCCGGCGGACTCGAGACTCGACATCAAACCACCACACGAGCGTCTCATACTCCAAGACCGGGCCGGTCTCATTAACCAAGAATGCCTGTTCAGCCCGGTAGAATGGTCCGAAATTCTCATCGAAATAGGTTTTCTCTTGGGCTGCCGCCGAGGACGGGCTCACCCAGAGGCGGACCGGGTCGGTCTCGACCGTGAATCGCAACCAGCCCAGGCTCAGCAAGATGACAAAAACGAAGCTGGAAACGATTGTGATGGCAGGGAATCGTGCGCAGGCCCCACCAATGCGGTAGAAGAGAGCAGATAACAAGGAGTTTGGTTTGTACACTCCCTGGGGCTGTTCCAAATAACCACCATGGTGCACAACCTCTCCCTCCTCCTCGTCATCACTGGGTAGCGGGTCCTGGAGAAGGCGAACGCGTTCAGGCTTGCGGAATCGACGCTCCTTGAAGGTTACATAGCTCGCAAGGGTCATGACGAGCAGCAGGAATGCCGAGTAGATGATAATAACTGCAAAGGACATACATGGCAGCAGTCCCACATGACAGGCCTTTTCAATGGATACGGCGGGCAACTCGGGGCATACATCTGGACAGTCGACACACGAGCACCGATATGACTTGTCCTGGTCGTTGCAAGCCTTTGGGTAGATCGACAAGGTTTTCATGCCCTGGTCGTCGCTGCTTGGCTCGGTCCGATAGTTGATCTGGAACGGACTGCCCAAAAGCTTCTTGTCGCCCAGGAACTTCAGAAATTGCTTGTAGTCCTTGGCGCCACCACCGATAAAATCAATGGCCTTGCCACCAGAGGCTCCGTTCTTCACATTCTTGCAGCTGTCATAAAACCCACTTTGGTACTCTTCAGACCAGATGTTGTCCAGCTCCGTGACTAGTTTCTTGCCAGAGCTGTTTTCTTCCGTCTGAGTGACATTGACGAATAATGACTGGTCGGGCGAACAGGTGAACGTGCAGAAAATATTGAAGAAGTTCTCTCGGCAGGCCGGGCAAGACGCAATGATACCTTCTGCCAGTTTCAGGTTGCTAGATAACGCATCGATCTATTCATGGAAGATATTAGCCTGGTCATATCGACAGCATTTGCCGTCAGGCTACAACGGGTGTGACTCACCTGTTCCTCTAGACAGCAAGTCGGGCCTTGCTCCCACTTGGAGCCGCACAGGTTGACCAGCTTCTGCCGTACGGGGTCTTCGGGTTCCTTTGCGAGACCATTATCGGGACAGGGCAGCTCCCCACCAAAAATCGACTTTTTCCCGCAGTGTCCCCGGATCGCACATCGGCCCTTTTCATGTATCTTCGTCTCGCCTTGCGCGGCGGCGAGAGGCTGCCAGGCAAGGGAGCCCAGCCCGACGACCGCGGCGAGGAACCCCAATTGCCGCATGGTAGGGACGGGGTCGTGGGTTCAAACTAAAGCAAGCACGTCCCTTTTCTGGATCGGTGATCGCTCCTCGGGGTGAAGAGAACTCGTTTAAGGTCGGTGGTCGGCCATGCGCCGGTGCATGGGCGGAGACGGTCGCGAGCGCGCTGCGGAGCTGCAGGGTGCAAGGGGCAAGGTGAGAAATTCTGAATCAGAGAACGCCTGCAGAAGTCATCCAGCAGGGTTGGCCCACGAGCGAAAGGATATCGGTCAAGTGAGCGGTGAAAGCAACAAAGCAAGCAGGTTTGGGGTGGCAGACCTGGAGACCCCATGGATGACGTGCACGGGACCGAGGGACCGCGGGAGACCGCCAAACCGGGCGGGGCCCATCCGCACTACACAGCACATCCCAACATGGAAGCATTCCACTTGAATATCACTTATGTACCATCATTAGATCCTCATTAGCGTCAGGCACCGGAGCTCCTGCGAGGCTGATCTGGCGCTATCGTGGCTCAAACATAGACTACCGATGTGGCTATCGCCATGGGACAGTTTGTTTTGCAAGGCGCTGATCGTGGACTGCTGCCAGTTGCGTGTCATACCATCATTATATATAGCGTGCATGCACCCGCATCACCACTCCAAAGTGTTATTTGTAGGCCATCCACCCTGAGCAGGTGAGATATTGAACATGATCACTGATATACTAGACTTGCATCTTTCTCCAAAGTATCATAATTACTATGGGTCTACAGGTAGAGCTCCATTGTGAAACTTCTTTTTCGCACTTCAAGACCTGATACATTGATTTCTACGAGTAGTCCGCATCAACAATGTCATGTGGGGTCGATTGGGAAACACAGAATGTCATCATGCAAGTTGTTGGTTTTTTATTTTCAATCATGCTGTGAAGGTTGATTACCGGTGCAATCAAATGGAGAAGACCGCTGAAGAAATGCACCGGGACACCGTGACCGGAACGCCGGGAACCAGAGATACCATCCATTGAAACAACGGTATCTGCATCACCGATCTGGTTAGCGATCAGGACGCATAAAGAAAAAAGAAAAGAAAAGAAAAGAAAAATCATCACCCGGAGCGGGGAAAAAGACAAGGAAATTGGTATCAAGGAGATTTGAACATAACCATGGACGTAAAGTGGGAGCGTTTAGTAACCATCATCATCAGTCTGCTGATAGGTGTGGCGTGTGCGAGTGGGGTCCTTGCGCATCTGCTGTCCAGAGCCCACGAATCCGACTGGAGAAGAGACGAGTTAGTACGCGAGATGGCGTTCCGAGGGAGAGCGCGAGAGGGCGATTATACATACCGCGAGCATTGAAGCTATCACCCGTGCGGAACATGCTCTCCTTCTTGCCAAACTTGCCCTTGACCTTGCCCTTGCTCTTGGTGGCAAAGTCCTGCCACTTATTCTTGCCCTCCTCGAGTTCACGGTTGGCCTTGACCTTCCGCTGCTGCTTGGCCGGACGGGCCGACGCTTCGGTCGCCTTGGTGGGTTCCGCCCGGGCCTGGCTGGCCAGCGCCGGATTGATATCGGCTGCAGCCGAGATGACGTTGGATGGCGCGGGCGAGGGCGACGCCGAACTTCCTGGGGTTCCATCAGCCTTGCGCTTGCGATTGTCACTGGCATGTACAGGTCGGATATCCCTGGACGTCAGATTCTCGACGGTCGCGTAGGCCTTAAACGAAACGAGGTAGACCGGGTTGCTCGCAGAGCCGGTGACGGAGGTGATGCGGGCGGGATAGAAGGAGCCATCTCCAGACTTCCAGCGAGCGAGGACGTCGTCATTGACGGCGAAGGAGGGAGGAGGCGGCGGAGGAGCCTCACGACGGGTGTCGACTGGCGGCTGGGGGGTAGCCGATTCCTCTTTGCCTGAGGAAGTGGTGCGTGCCGGCGCGGGTTTGGCGGCGGGCGCGGCTGGCTTGAGCTCGGCGATGGAGGTTTCGGTGAGGGTTATGAATTCTTCGAGTTCAGTTTGAAGACTTTGCAGTTCCTCATTATCGGGGTCTACCTGCAAGCTTGCTTGGACGGTTTCAAGCTAGGGACGCGTGTGAGCCGTGTTCCCCCGCAACAGACTGATGGCACCGCAAATTTACCTGGTGTTTGAATTCCTTCACCTCCGCCTCGAGGGCCGCAACGTCTGACATGATGATTGTGATCGAGAGGTGGCAGTGAGATAAAAGGTGGTGTGTCTGCAAAAAGTGTGCCGTTTGCGAAGGGGAGAGGGATTAGGGAGCTGGGGCAAAAAAGAAGTCGGATCGACTTGGCGTCTAGGGAGCCTGAGGTTCGGCGCCGCGGCGGAGAAGTCGAACGCCGCGATGTACGAAATCACGTGATTACATGTGTAGGTCGGACCTTACCCTCTCTTGGGTATGAGAGAAAATTATTCAGTGGGAAATATAATTCGATGGTCTTGTAGATGCATTTAGTACAGTATACTGCTGATAGTAATCATCCCAACTCCATACCCTCAAGACATTGGCATCACATACAAGTCGACCACGAGATCGACCGGAAGTTGCTGCAGGCGAGCCAAGTGGAAACGTCACTCTTGCCACGAGGTGGGCTGGGTGCCTCAGGCAGGAACGGGCGGTCGATCGGGCGGAGTACCGTCCATACAGGTAGGTATACATAGACCATACATGCAGGACTGCAGCAAGAGCTAGAATGACCGAATGCTTCACTTTCTAGAAAGTGTGGTACCATCAGGTATGACTGAATATTACCCTGAGCCGCGCCGGAGGGTCGACAAGTACCCAGTACCTCTTGCGCCGCTATTTTGCCGCACAATGGAAAGTCGCGGTACTTCGGTGAGTCACCGAACGTGATCGAACTGGATTTCTAAGCAAACCCCGACTGTCGGAGCCCCGCCCTGATTGGCGATCGTCCTGCCCTCGTCTTCTGCCCGCAATTGTACTCGACACGACACCCTTTCCACTCCGTACGACCAAACACGAAGTGGCTTAGCGTTTTGGTGTTAGCGTGAGACCCGACTCTGCTAGCCTCAGGCCCCGCTACCGATCTCATCTCTTTTTTCCCCATCGCCTCAGGGTCTGCATCACAGCCTTGCGCCGTCATCGCCCATTGATCTCGTTCTGGGACACCCAGAACGCCCAGCAAAACCCTCCCTTCTCCTGCCATTTGGTGGGCGAGACGCCCGGTCGACAGCCTCGGACGATTTGGAGTAGAGAATATACGATCGCCCGCCTGGCCGTCTCTCACTCACGCAACGCCACCTGCTTGTATCCCGCCCACCTCAATTCTACCTACCATGAATGACTACGAGAACTTGTACCAGGCCGGGCTCTACCTGTCGCCCGGCCAGCAAGACCTCCTTCTTGCCGCCCTCTCGTCCAACAACCCGCCCCAACAGAAGCAGTCCAGCCATACCCCGCAGATCAAACCCGACCACAGTCCCGACCAGTCCTCGTCCAATGGCCACAGCGCTCCCCCCTCCGGCGGCTTCGACAACAGCCAGTTCCACAACCTGGACTTTGCAGAGAATGAAAGTCCCTTCCTGGACTTCAATCCGGAGGTCGATTTCGAGTTTCCCGGATCCGATCTGATTGGGGACCTGCCCGGTGCCTCCCCCGCAGACTATGAGCTCGGTGAGAAGCGCAAGTCCATCGACGGCAAATCCGAGATTGAGGAAGAAACGGGAAAGAAGCGAAGGGAAAGCGAAGCGAAGAAGCCCGGTCGGAAGCCGTTGACCTCGGAACCTACGACGGTACGCATCTTTCGTCAAGCGGTTGCCCGGGGGGCAGCCGGCTGAGACTAAGACTGAGTGACTAACTTTTGCCCAATAGAAACGCAAGGCCCAGAACCGTGCTGCTCAGAGAGCCTTCCGGGAGCGTAAGGAGAAGCACCTGAAGGACCTCGAAACCAAAGTCGAAGAGCTGCAGAAGTCCTCTGACTCGGCTACCCAGGAGAATGGCTTGCTGCGTGCTCAGGTCGAGCGTCTCCAGGTCGAGCTACGCGAGTACCGGAAGCGTCTCTCATGGATGACCAGCAGCGGCGGAATGTCTGCCATGAGTGCCATCCCCAGTGCTCACTCCAAGGGCGTATACGGCCTTCAGAACAATGAATTCCTGTTTGACTTCCCCAAGTTTGGAGATCTGCCGGGTTCCCACCTTTTCAACAGCCAAGCCCACAAGAACGATCAATCCAAATTGAAGGATAACTTGCCTCGTGCTCCGGGTGTGCTGAGCCGAAACCCTGGATCTGGTCCTAAGCCCGACGGCTCCGGTCGTTCGAATGCTACTACACCTATAGCAGGCCCTAATACCAAGTCAAGTCCGTGGTCTACTGCGACCCCAGGCAGCATCAGCAATGCCTCTGTCAAGACTCCTTACAACAATCTGAAGCATTCCAATACATCGAACCAGGACACATCGACCTCGGACTCTCCCTCGTCCTCGTCCGATTCTCACCAGAGCCAGCTGCTATCATCAAATGGCACTTCCCCGGAACCAAGCTTGAATTCTCCACCAGAGAACAAGCCGCATGACTCCGGTGCGAATACATGCAGTATCCACGGATCGATCAATGGTGAACAATCTTTCTGCGCGCAGCTCGGCATGGCCTGTGGAAACATTAATAACCCCATACCAGCCGCCCGCGATCAAAAGGCCAAGTCCAACAGCGTCTCGAGTGACCAGCACCCCCTCAATGATGATTATGGGTTGGATTGGTTGACCCAGCAGAATGGTGGTCAATTCGACCCTGTGCTTTTCGGTGATTGGCGAGAGCCGCAAGATGCCGTGCTCTCCCAGGACTTCGGCTCGTTCTTCAACGACGCCTTCCCTCTGCCCGACTTGGGTAGCCCCTCTCAATCTGACCGAAGCATCATCGACCCAGCAGCCACCCAAGAAGGACCTGGTCGCTCAGGCCGACAGCAAGCAGGATGAAGAGGTGGTTCCAGGCGAGGACAAAGCGCAGATGCTCTCCTGCACCAAGATTTGGTACGTCATTCGACTTGAAGAAATCAAATGTCTTGCTTTACCCATCACTAACCTCCTATTGTACAGGGATCGTTTGCAATCCATGGAGAAGTTCCGCAACGGCGAGATCGACGTTGACAATCTGTGCTCGGAGCTACGCACCAAGGCCCGCTGCTCCGAAGGCGGCGTGGTTGTGAACCAGAGGGACGTGGACGATATCATGGGCCGCGCCAAGTAATTGATTCGATCAGGGATGTTCGAAATCCCTTGCATCCATTCTCAACCCCCAAGGCCTTCTTCACGACTCACGGAACCGCTTTACGTCCATCGAACTGTACACGTTACCAATCATACCCATCATTGAATTGTCTATTGAAACGGCGTCACGAATACACAACACGGAAAAACCAGAAGAGGAGTCTTGGCGATACGCACTCTCCTCCAATTGATTTCTTCAAATCTCATTTTCTATCCTTTTCTTTCTCATGAAATTGATTGTGTCCGGCGCACAGGCCACTGCCATTCGAGGCAATCTAATCTTGTCATATCTTTCAAATCTTTTCCAATTTCTTTTTCGTGCCTTTGTAGTTTGTTTTCTTCCGCAGCTGTTTCTGATCTGGATTCTTGATCTATTGGAAGTTATTCCCTTCAGCCTGGCGAATGGAGATACAGGATTCGCCATGCCAATGGTTCTGCCGGTCGTCTCTTGACTTTCATGTACTACAGAATGCTGGCGTCTACTATCAGGTGAGAAATATGGGCGGACGAAATGGGTAGTTTGGGCAGGCTTGCACTCTTTCTCACTGTACCCTTGTAAACAATTCTGAGACCTTATCCGTTCAGTAATCCTTCCGACTAGTTCTCAAGTGTTCATTGAAGCAAGCTGTAGTACTCCACATGTAACTGGCCATCGCCATGCTGGGATCCCCTTGATAGTTCCGACGAGGCCAGTCCGATTGGGAATCCATCAAGTTTCATGTTATAATACTGATCTACTTTCGAAGCTGTCCATGTTCAACCCCAAACAAAATCCATCCGGTGATGTCTATGTCTACGCGCAGGCCGTGGTGAACCGAAGCTGGAAGGGTATCGATATTTGTGCCCCGAGGGAAAAGAAATTAGAGTACAAAGAAAGGTGATGTGAACGATAGATGAAAGATCCTTTTTTTTTTTGGTTTTGGAATTGTGCTTACTTTGGGCATTCTTCCACGCTTGGGGTGTCATGAACAAATGCGCTTTTCAAAAACTTGACAGACTTATCCACTTAGGTCTGCACTATGCTTCAAAGTGTTTCCACGCCCAGCCGACCCTCGTTACAGAAGATCCAAGGCATGGCATGAACACTCGAGCACCGTCTCGCTAAAAAAAGTTGTAAGGGGGAATTTGAAGGCCGTTCCACAGAGTGAATAAAGACACAAAAGAATTAAGATAAGCAGGTCAAAAAGTGCGGTTTGGGGGTACATGGAATCAATGTGAAGGGGGGGCATGGAAATCAGAGCAGTCGGTCTTCAATTCGGCGAAAAGTGGAACGGTACATGAAAGAAGCGAAAAAGTTTAGGGATCATGGAATTTAGGCATCGGTGGAGGGAGCAGGCTTGTCACTCGACGGCGTGGAGGGAGCCGGGGAGTCGTTGGAACCTGCACCACCTCGGAAACCACCGCGGCCGCCACGGCCACCACGACCTCCACGGCCGCGGTCACCACGGCCACGACCACCAAATCCGCCCCGGCGGGCACCCTCGCTATCACTAGCAGACTGGTATCCGCGCGAGCCGGCATTGGATCCGCCGCGACTGCTGCTCTGCCAAGAACCGGCGTTACCCTGACCCCGGGTACGCTCCTCGAAGTACTTGAAGTTGGGCTTGCGAGGCTGGCCGGTGACAGGCGGGCCAGACTTCTTGTATTCGAGGGGAAGGCGATCCATAGCCCCCTTAGCCTCCTCCACAGTGGCGAACATAACAACATGGTTAAACTTTCCGTATTTGTCAATCTTGACAATCTTGGCTTGGTCTTCTTCGGGAATCAAGTCGCGGATCGCTTGCTCCGTGTCGACGTTGGCGACGAAAAGTCCATTGCTAGGTTTCTTTTCACCGCGAGGAGCAGGGGACTCAGACGGCTTTTCAGGATGGGCAGTGCCGTTGGTGTCGGCACCAACGGCCTTCTCCTCATGAGCGGGCTGGGCAGATGCCGCAGCTCCTTGCTGGGGGCTAGCGGCCTTGGGGATCACTGGAATAGGGGAGCCACGCGCAGGCTGACCCTTGGGCTGACCCTGCTGGCCCGGGGCCGGAGCAGCGCGAGCCGGGGCGGGCTGGCTGAACTGAGGAGTGGCAGCAGTCGGACGACCACCAGCGCCGGTAGGAGCGGGCGAAGCAGTAGTAGCAGGAAGGCCACTGGCCACAGGAGCACCAGCGGCGATGGGCTTTCCGCTGCGATGGGCGAAATTGAAACCCTGGGCGCGCATTTCCGTCGCGATGCGACCTCCCTCAATCTCGAGAACCAGGTAACCGAATGCAGCATCAGCCAGATTGAAGTTCCACATGTTCTTGAATGCACTCTCATCCACCTGGCCAGCGGCATTGCCAGCAGCAACAGGACCACCAAAAGGGTTACCGCCATTGGCGATAGAAGGCATCTTCTGAACGACATCGAGAGCATTGTCGAGCAGAGTCTTTTGGGCCTCGTTAGAAGAGATAGCAGATTCCACTTCGCCACGGACGGTCTCCCAGACATCGTTGAAGGACGCCTTGGAAGCGGCAAGCTTGCCGCGGTAATGGTCCAAGGAAGGGTTGACCGAGAACTCGTTGTAAGATGATCCATAGCGGAAATGCAGGCCAGCCGAAACAGAGAAGTCTGCCTTGAGAGTGACCGAAAGCTGGTTGAGCATGCCCTCGCGGGCGGGCGAGGCGTGGGTGACAAAGACACGGGTCTCAGAAGGATCGTAGACTCGGTTTGCAGTATCAATGAGTTCACCCATCTGGAGCAGGGTGGTCCACATGGTACCCTGGCCGCCAGCAATGGTCGTCTTTCCTTCGCCATTATCGAAAAGCTTATGCATCACGACGGCACCACCGAGACCTAGCAAACGCAACTTCACACCGCCAATGTCGAGCAGTCGTGAATTGGCTTCGTCAATGATGTGCAGCTTATCAACCTTGTATTCTCCGGAGCGGAACTTCTCGAGCACACGAACATCTTCACAAGCGCCCCAGACAGTGTAGACAGGAACATCGAGAGTAATGCGCTTGTCGAGGAGCATAGATAGCTCGGACAGGGGAGCTGGTCGGGGGTGAAACGTTGCTTAATGGACTGCTGGGCGGGAACTTGAGAGATGGCGCGCTTCACATTCTCAGGCAAGAGCGGCGAATACTGGGCGACGTGCTTCAAGGTCCTGTAGAACAACACACATTAGATCCGGGTTTGCCCCCATACCATGTTGGTGCCCGGCCGAAGCGAGTGTGCTTCCCACGTATTGGGCACCAACAGGCATATCTGGCAGCTCCAGGGGGTTAGTACTTACTTATCTGCGATGCGATCAAGCGAAGTATCGTCGTAGAAGCCGAAATCGCCAGTGTGAATAATGTGGTCCGCGCGGGCCTGCTTGGCCAGCTCGTTGAGTGACTTCAGATTTCCTGTGGGGCGTGCTCAATTAGCTTAGCCTGTTAACGCATTTGGAACCCAACGATACTTACCGCGTACATCAGCAATGCAAAGGATTCGGGTAGGGCCGTTCTGGATGACCCGGCCATTGTTTGGGAGAAGCGGCGTAGCTCCGGGGGCGGGACCAGAAGGTGTCGCGCCGTTCGCGAGAGGATAGCCTTGTGGCCCGAAGTTGGGAGGACGGGGCTGCACACACAGAGAGAGAGAGGTCAGTATCAGAGCTGTCCGAGCTTATTCGGGGTTGGAATGTTCGCAAGCTTCCCCCGGACGCGGGTGTGATTTCACCGTCGTCAAGAGGTGAAAGCAAGCAAGGGAGGACTCACAGAAGCCATGAGTGGAGGTCAGAATAAAGCAGTCAGGAATCGTAAGGACAGGCAGGAAAGAAGAATTGCGAAAAAAGCAAAGGAGAGAGACAGGGGAGGGATGAAGTAGAGGGACAGGAAAGAAGATTCACTGCGCATCGACAGTGAAGTAGCAGGCGTGACGGGCAGATTCAGTAGGCGGTCAGCGCCCCTGGCGGCAGGTTCACAACAGTGAATTCACCCGCCTCACCGCTGCTGGGCGTGTGCGGCAGAAAAGGAGGGGAGAGTATAAATTCACTCGGCTTCACTCCCAATTCACTGCCAACCATCCGCACGAAGCTCCGAGCTGGTCGAACTGCTGAATGATCATGCACTGGTAGGGCGAGCACAGATCACGATAGTCAAAAGAACAGGATACGGTTGTACTATGACCTTACTCATCTACGGTCTGCCAGCCAGAAAATAATAATCAACTGCACAATAGTGACGGGAGATCCCAGGGTACACGAACAGCAAACAGAAATAAAAGCAATTCCAAGAAATCAAGACCAAACAGAAGCAGGTACGCAAACATAGCCGAAAGCCCCATAGGACACATGCGGGGTACAGTTTCAGCTGTCTGGAACCCTCCATCCGGCTTTTGGCATGGCCTTGGGCCCTTGGTCCCTAACCAAATCCCCGGGAGATTCCAGCGACAACGACTTCGGATTTGCGGGAGGTGTCACGGAAATTGGGGAAGGTGCTCTTCGGGTTGCATATCCCACCCTTGGCAGGTTCAAGGCTGATTTTCGAGTGGCAAGATAGATTGACTGGGTTCCATCTGACACACTGGCCGTATACAAAGCATACCGACACCATCTCCCATCCAGCCGGTATGGCAGCCCCGGAACATAGTTGCCACGGGTGATGGAAGTCTGTGTTCGGTCCCATCTCGTCATTCGCCTTCGGTTTCTGTCCAGGACGGTGACCTCGACGTCGATGGGGAAGCTCGGAGTAAAGAAGCATACTCAATTTTGGAAGGAATGATCGGAAATGGTAACCGGATAGCAGAGGTGCGAAGAGACGAGTTCATTCACCTTGAAAGTCTTTTCCAGGAACTAGCTACGAGGGCAGAATCCCAGGAACCCGAGCCCTTAACATTATGCTCTCCAAATGGGCCGCATGGAATGATTACCATCAAGCTATTCAGGAGCGTGACAAGCCACCAGAGCAAACAGAATTTCCTGGACCCATGGCCCTACCTACTCCTGGATATCCGCACTCTTCAGAGGCGACTGATATGCAGGTTCCGAGCGTAGAGTTTCTTGACAGCATCGGGATTTCCTCGACCGAATTCTTCTGTATTGTTGATCAGATCAGTAATCCGGGAGTACCATACAGCATTTTGGATTATGGGAGTCAAAATAAAGTGGGAAGTTGATTGCATGAGCCCGAGGACTAGAATAAAGAATGTATTGATCATGATACTTAAGTTGGACGTCACCCTCCTTGGATAAAATAAATGCACAGAAAGGCAGCCACGGTGGGTTTAAGCAAAAGGGCTTCATTGACTATTTTAGATTCCTACGTGTCATCGTATTCCTCATTCCATTGCTCGCGTAGTGACCCGATCAATGTTTCCATATTCCACCCTGTTCTTGCATGCATGTCCCGCAATAGGGACTCCGCAGCTTCTTGATCGCCACGGCTTCGGAGGACCCATCCCCCTTTACAGAAAGGGTTAGTAAATGCAAATTCACATATAGGTGAGCTGCAACCTGCAAAATACTCACATGCCACAAGACTGTGTCGCGCGGTGAACAGCGTGTTTTCGGCTTTAGAATTCGATTTTGCCAGACCCAGAACTGTTAGCAGATGATGCCGCATATTTTTCTGTGGCAACCATAAGAGATTAGTTTCATGGTCAGAGGGAATAATCGTGTCAAGACATACTTCAATTAATCGAGACTGCCGAAGATTCTCATAAGTCGACGAGGTCTTCAAGCTCTTTGAAAGAGCCAGGACAATCTTGGCCATATGATAGTATTGTAAACCGATCACTGAAAGATATTAAGCCACAGCCCAACACAGGGAATGGGTTTTGCGAACCGTGGACTGGTAATAGCATCCATATTGTTGGAAAGCGTCGATCTAACTCAGGTCCACATGGGGCCACCTGAATTGGCTCAAATGTGTGTGGCTTTGAATCGAACCATTCCTGGATTTCGTTGTCGGTTTTATTGAAGTCTGAGTCGGCACAGAAGGCACCCTGGAGAGCTTTAGCTAGCAGGAAAACCATTTTGCTAGACCATGCAAAGTCATCGTCTCTGTCGAAGACAGTAGAATCGAGGAAGCTTTGAAGGTTAGTTCGGAGTGGCTGTTGCGTGGTCAGTGAAATATAGATATCCTGACGCAGGCATAGCCAGGCAGCGGCCTCGCCGAGTCCACCCGAGGAGCCAAATGTTGAGATGGTATTCAAAATATGGGTTGTACCAGTCAAGTGAAACTGGTTATCATCGCCTATCGAAGGAATAAGGTTAGCTCCTTTCTTCTTGACGAGCTTTCCGATTGAACTACCATCCATTTCTTCATGTTGCCGTAGAATAGCAACTGCCGCAAGAATATCTTCTGTAATATAATACTCCGGCTCTGACATTGCAGGAATCAACAGCTGTACGCAGTGATTGTGGTACATCAGTGCCTCCGTTGCATCGTCTGCGTTCTGTCTGTTCAGATGCCGCGAAGAGAATGCGAGAACTGCATATCGGAGAACAGGGTCCTTGAGTGTGCGTGCGGGTACTTCTGTCTTGAAATGCCGTTGCGGGTCCGTGATGTCGGCCTTTATTTTGGGTCAGCCATGAGGGTTCTCGTACGAACGGTATTCGTAACTGTGATCTTACCCAAAGAGCCATATTCTCGACAAAGTTTCTTAACAAGATTGCTTCTCGCTCGGTAAATCTGTGTATAGGATTGTAGCTCGATCGTGATCTGGATGAGGTCGCGGTGTGTACGGATAGCGTAGCAGGAGAGTGCTCAGCAATGAGGCCCGGCGAGCACTCAGGCAGGGGGCTATGAATTCGGTGTTGTTGCGCATCCGTTTCTGAGGTCGCAGAGATAGCATGTGTTTGTTCATCTTCCGCATCAAAATAGTCGAAATTGCAGAACTGAGGGGCGGGATTTTCTGGGGCTTCTACGTAAAGACTGGTGATCTCAGGCGTCTCGTCGTGGAAACGAACTTGCAGGCGGTTAGGTTAGCGTCTGTTTCGAATGACCCCAACATGGTTTTAGCAGTACCTCTGCCTTGAAGCTTTGGCCAACTTTCTTGGCCTGGAAATGCAATTCCCGGCTCCTGAGACAGTGTCAACCCCTCCCGGAATCGAACCGATGTTCGGTTGCATTCAACGCCGGCATCACGACAATGTCGGCAGACTTTCGATTGAACATCGCCTGCAATTCATTTAGTATCTTTCAATTTGATTTTCATGCTATAAGCATACATTTAAGGTGTCGAGCTGGCGAAATCAGCTTGAATCAGTGGAGTTCAGACCTAGGGCTTGCCAAGTCGGACTTACTGCGACACCGTTGACTGGGGGCTTGATTAGCAAGAGAATCAACAATGCGGAGGATAGGGGCCCTAGCTTACCACCCTGCCACCAAACGACTTCTCCTCGGCCGCGACAACATCCCACTGGGGTTGATGGAGGGAGAAGATGCGGAGAGAATTTCTAGCTGCGTTTACGCGGAGGCGGAAAGTCTCTCCGTGCGGGGAAATCCCCACAATTGCGCCTGCCAACCCCTCGGGGATCGAATCAGCGTCGCTCACGCATGTCGAGTTTGACATGTTTGACAGACAACCATTTGCGGCAAGCTCGTCACGGCGGATAAACAGCAGTGCCGAGAGTTTCCCGGCCAATTTGCCCCTTTGGGCGGTGATGGTAATTCTTCCCGTCGCGGACACTACACACTGACAGCGGCGCGAGGCATCAACCAGTCCACCATCCAAGATGAAGTCTATGGAAAGACCTTCCTCCATGCAGGCCATGCAGAAAGTCGTTTTGCAACCATGCCTTCAAAGGCCCCAGATGGCAGCTATTTAAACCGCTCCGACGACCACAGGAGGAACAATAACTCAAGAACCGTCCTCTCTCTTCATATCCTCCTCTGAACCAACGTCCAACCACAATGGGAGTCCAGAAGCTACAAGTCGGCATGGCCGGTCTCGGCCGCGTCGGCAAGCTGCATGCGATCAACTTCCTGCAACGCACCCCCCGGGCCCAGCTCGTCGCGGCCTTCACCCCAGACCAAAACGAAATCGCCTGGGGACGCATCAACTTGGAGCCCCACGGGGTCACTTTGTACACCGACTATGGAGAGATGCTGAAGCACCCCGGGCTCCAAGCTGTGGCTATTGGAACAGCCACCTCTGTCCATGCCGAAGAAGCCATCCAGGCAATCGAGAAGGACCTGCACGTTCTCTGCGAGAAGCCCCTTTCCGTCGACGTCGAAGTGGTGCGCTTCCCTCTCCCACTGTGTGATTCAATTCATGGCTAACCATTCTTCAACAGTGCAAAGCCGTGGTCGAGGCAGCCAAGAAGAAGCCTCATCTGAAGGTGATGTGCGGCTTCTCGCGACGATTCGATGAGTCTTACCGCGACGCATTCGCCAAGACAGAGCAAGGTCTCATCGGACGGCCCTCAATTATCCGCAGTCAGACTTGCGACAAATTCGACCCGTCCGGTTTCTACGTGGAGTATGCAGCCTGGTCCGGCGGTGTTTTCGTCGACATGTCCGTGCATGACATCGACCTCACCCTGTGGTTCTTTGGCGACGATGCGATCCCCAAGAGTATCTCAGCCCACGGCATCACAGCCGTGCAGCCAGAGCTGAAGAAGCATAAGGACTATGATAACGCTGTTGGCATTGTGGAGTTCCAGAATGGCAAGATCGCCTACTACTACTGCACCCGCATGATGGCCCACGGCCAGGAGGACACCACAGAGATCATTGGCACGGAGGGCAAGCTGACGGTCAATGGAAACCCCCAGCGTAACTTTGTCAATTATTACCACGCTGGCGGCATCACTCGTGAGGTCCCGCCGAACTTCATCGGTCGCTTTGGCCCGGCTTTTACACAGGAGGCCAACGAGTTCACGGCCGCATGCCTGGACAACACCCCTCTTCCGATGAAGCTCACCAATGCTGTCAAGGCGGTTGAGATTGGGTCTTATCTTCAAGAGGCGCTTCGAAGTGGCAAGCAGATTCACTTTGATGAGATTGGTCGACGGATCGAGGAGTCGAAACTGTAAAAAGAAACACTTACAATTGGGAAGCATCGTTTGAGGATAAAGATATAGACATGAAAGTGTAATGAAAATTTTACGACGTTGAATTATTATCGACCGCAACAGTATCGAACAGATGTGTAATGTCCCTATGATAGTTCGAGGTATATTCTCATACCAAGCATGATGCAGATGCTGCGTGGCAGTGCAAGTGCAGAAGTGTCAGGATAGAAGAATTTGGACAGTACCACCCTACCATGTTTCCGTCCCGTTGCAGTGCGATGTGCTTACTAATGTTCTACTCCCCAATTTCATGTGGTATCAAGCACCGCATTTGCTTCTGTAGCCGCCCACATCAACGCCGGCGGCTACAGCAGCCCTTGGGGAATGCTGTAGCGACCCACAGTGCGGGCGCCATTCCCAATTGGGCCTAGCGGACGCGTGCTGGGATGCGATGGACAAAGCCACGCTGTGGGGTTGTGTCTCCTCCTCGATGACGACAGAGTCGGGCGATCAGCGGCAAGGGGGGAGCCTACGTCTCGCAACGATTCCTTCCTTCTCTCCAGCCTCTCCCTTGCCTGCAGGATCCCTGCGAGTGGTTTCAATTTTCCCTGTTTTGTTTTGTTGGTCGATGCGCCTGGTGCGTACGGACAACACCTTACGACAGCAACATGCGATTCGATATACAGACGCCCTTGGGGCTGGGCTCCCTCTGCGCCTCGGTCCTGTCCTTCTTCTGCGGCGAAGAGGGCCAGCAACAGGGCCGCATCTCCCACTACCCCGTGCTACCGCCATCGTACCCGCTGGCGGTGCGCAACCCTTACTTGTCAACATGGATGCCCAGTGATCGCGTGCAGCAATTGCCGTATGCCGAGTCCCAGTTCTGGGCAGGCCAGGAGTTGGGGTGGTCCGTCATGGTCAGGGTGGACGGCCAGGCCTATAGCCTGATGGGCGTGCCAGATCTCGAGGGTAGCGGTGCTCTCCCTGCCACAGTCCGCCACGCCGAGTTCACCGCGACTCATTCTGTCTTCGATCTCACGGCCGGTTCCGTGAAACTGACGCTCGACTTCTTCTCGCCCGTGTCACCTTCGAATTACCTGCGCCAATCGCTTCCTTTCAGTTACCTGACCGTGCGAGTATCTGGGTCGAATGGAAGAGATATACAGGTCTACTCGGATATCGATGGGAGATGGACTGGCCGGGAAGATCGGTCGGTCCTCGATTATGAAGAACATGACGATGGACTTGTCATTCATTCGCTCTCGGTAGAAGATTCAGCGAAGTATGCCGAGGCCAGCGATATGGCTCTTTGGGGTAAAGCCATTCTAGCCTCCCGTCCATCCGAGTCCAGCACACTCTCTGCTTCAGCCGGCGACCCCAAGACAGTGCGTGAGCAATTCGCAAAGAAAGGTGACCTCTCCGGACAGGAGTTTACGTGGTCCTATGGTAGCATTGCCGCCTTGTCCCATGATCTTGGCATAGTCCATGGCGAAGCCTCGATCAACTTTGTTGTGGGTTACGAGAGAGAAGCCGCTATCAACTACTTGGGAGAGGAGTATACAGGTTATTACCGGGCGGAATACCCAACCACCCACAAAGCTCTCGCACATTTCCTAGATGATTACAACAATGCTGTGCTCGAGTCTTGGCAGTTGGACCAGGAGCTGAAGACATTCTCTACTGCCGCCGCAGGTTCCAAGTATGCCGATATCATCGCATTGTCAACCCGCCAAGCTTACGGTGGTATCGATCTGACGATTCCGAATCATTCGCTTGACACTGAAGATGTCTTGGCCTTCATCAAAGAGCTGTCCAGTGATGGCAACATTAACACGATTGATGTGATCATGCCAGCATTCCCCATCTACTGGGTTCTGGACCCCGAGTGGATCCGCCTTATGTTGGAGCCTGTGATGCGGTACCTGGATGCTGGCCGCTGGCATTTGCCGTACACGATTCATGACCTTGGCTCTCACTATCCACATGCCATTGGCCATGATGACCAAAAGGCCGAGCCGATGCCAATTGAAGAATCCGGAAACCTGCTTGTCCTGGCTCTCGCCTACGCCCGCGCCACCGGCGATATTGACTGGACCGGCCGCTACATGGACATCTTCCAGAAATATGCCGACTACTTGGTGGACAACAGCATCGATATTGCCAATCAGCTGTCTTCCAATGATGCTGCCGGGCCCTTGCCCAACGAGACCAACCTAGCCATTAAAGCCGCCGTGGGTATCAAGGCATTCGGCGTGCTGAGCGGGAAGGAAAACTACTCCCGCATCGGCGAGGAACATGCAACGCTCTTCTACGAGGACGGTCTAGGCATAGACGAAGAGAAGACCCACTTTGTCCTACAATATCCCGGTTATCCGGATTCATGGAAGACCCCTTACAACCTCTTCCCGGATGTGCTGTTGGGACTAGAGACATTCTCGAAGGATGCGCACCGAATGAACAGCGAGTTTTACTCGACCGTCCGCGGCGAGTATGGCGTTCCTTTGGACAACAGACAAGATTGGGCCAAGTCGGATTGGAACATGTGGCTAGCTGCGACATTCGAGAAGAACACTCGTGACGAATTTGTAGATGATCTGTGGGCGTTCATGACCAACGGAAAGCACAACTGGCCTTTTTCTGATCGCTATGTATCTACCTCGGCGCATGGAAATGCACCCGGTACTCCCATCCTGTGTCGTGCACGCCCGACAGTTGGTGGGCATTTTGCGCTCCTAGCTATGAAGGGACCTGGATCCATTCAGACTTTGTCTGTGAACAAGCCTGTCGGTATGAGAGGCCGAAATGGAGGCAAACCACCTCTGAAGTCTCATGGCCTTGAGCTTTGATAGCTTGGAAAGCCATATATCGGGTCTATAGTAGCAATTGCATTCATGGCAACCATCTTTTCATCTTCAATGGAACTCACCATTTCTCAACAAAATCTACTCAACTATTCACGTCGTTGGAGGTATGCGGTAGAAGCCAAGAGCACCGGGGCTGTGGATACATCAACCTGTCAAATTAGTCGTTCCGACACTCCAATGTTATACTCGGGGTCCGGTGGGCATACGCATAACGGGCCGTTTCCCCGCATATCCTTACCGCAGAATCCCCAGATCTTTCTGGGGCTTAATTGATTGGAATCCGGAGAAATCTTCAAGTTAGAGCAAAACTCAATAGCTGGCTTATGATACGTGTCTCCCCCAGGATATTAACCGGTGCTACATAATGTAGCGGGGAGACCCCCTCCCCTACTACATGGGTGCCATCCATGTTATGTGACATAGCCGGCAGTATACAGTGGCCGGATAGCTAGTTCTAGAATAAACCAAAGTGGTCTGATATGTTCAAGTCCCTGAAAAATCCGTATCCCTTTCGCGTTCGCATTGTCTCTAAAGTCTCCTGTAATGCTTCGAGCGGGGTGTACCTGTCAATATCACGGGCCGTCTTCTAGCGGTCGGCATGGTGGACATTCTTAAGTAGCCACTGTGTACTTAGGGGCTTGAGCTCGCAAGCTGTTTAAATACAGAAGTGTGGCTTTAGAGTTCGTCACTCGATCCTAGCTAATCTCGTCGTCGGCATGATCGGCGAAAAAGGGTTTCAGCTCTTCGTCCATCAGAGTGAGGGCTGTATGATGCAGCGGCAACGCGTCACGAAGTCTTTCTATTTTCATTTTCTTCACATTAGTAAAGCGATCCCTCTCATAGATGACTTCGAGTTCTTCTTTTTCAAGATCTTTAGCATCGCTTCTACGCGGGTCGAAATTAGAAGAAGCAGCAAGAGCTCGAGACTGATGCTGGCTATCGAACGAAATGCAAAACACCGAGATGCTCCGATTCGGCGAAAACTGCACGATCGCTAAAAGTCAATAGCGCCGAATTGGGTTCGAGACCGTGTCGTCAAGCGTTCTTCTATAGACTTACCCGCTAATTGCGATTTGATATTAGCTGTTAGTATTCCGGGACTGACTAGAGCATACAGAGTCTATGCTAGCTCAAAGGCCTCATTGGAACCGTAGAAATGATCCGCATGTTCCCCGTCTGGCTTGTCGTCTAGACAGAACAGCCTGGCTTTGTTTAAAAGTAAGGACACTATTTTCTTGCCTAGACCGTTCCGACGCAGATTCAGTGCTATAACGTGAAGTTTTTCAATCAGGAAAAGAGGGCCGTGGTCAAGCTCGTTTCCTTATACCCTAGTTCCTCTTTGCACTAGGTGGTCTTTATACTTAGCCTTGACTGTTCTATATCAATCAAAGACATAGAAGGCCACATCGCATGTTTCCTCGCTAGGCACTTCCATATTTTCCTAGAATTCAGAGCGCATAGCCTCTCGATGAATATACCGAGCCAGAGCGGTGGCGACAACGACGCCGTCACAAGTACATTCGGCGACAAAATTTTTCATCTAACTAGACTTGTCCATTCCCTCATCGGTCCAAAAGAGCCAAATCCTCACCGTTCGTGCCGTGTCGCCAGAGGTGGTATATTCGTGCTCTTCAATGTCCTGTTCACAATCCAGGTCTTCGCTCTCATCGTCCTTCCACCATTCTTCTTCCTCGGAGTCATCTAATCCATTATAGAGTCATCATCTGTTGACTCATCATCTTCGAACTCCACTCCTGGTCGTCAAGGAAATGTCAGTATAGCTCGCACATCTTTTAGGGTTTTACGCTCCCTTTGTGTTAGTGAAAGAGAGGGGAGCGCACTGCTTCGCTTAAGAGATTCTCGGCCCCCCTTACACTTTCTCTCCGTCACTTTCCATTCTTGTTTTCAACCTTGCTTTCTGGTCTAATGTGGGTGAGGCCTTTACGACGTAGGAGAAGTAAAGGCAGGCGAGAGTCCGGGTAGATAAGTGAGGTAGTATTACTGTAACTGTGCTCAAATGGCAGATTTTGCTAGAGCGAGGGGAAAAAAAAAAACATTATCAAATGGTCGTGGTTATTAAAGAAGCTGTAGGCACAAGGTTTAGGATAGGCGTGCAAATGTTGCACCAGGAGGCGGCAAAAGAAAATGGGAGAGTGAATACTTGGACAGCGACTCTCACCTAGCGAGCTTATGTTTTAATTTTTCTCCTTTCGGTGCCGGGTCAGTATTTCGCTTAGCCAGCTTTCTTTTATATAAATGTATTTAAACGACAATCAATTGCGCCGAGTAATTAGAATAATGATGTCCTAGGAATCCCAGCTCGGAAATTACAAAACGGGTAAAAGACAGGAGTGAGAAGTACAAGTTGTCAGCGACGAATAGCCGTGACAACTGCGATCACTGAAACTCGACTACAAGCTTTGTGCCTCGACCTTCTCCCTTGCGAAGTGTCTCGAGACCTTCAAAAATCTCCTTGAATCCGCCCTTGATCGTTGTGATAGGTGGAGGTCTCACAACATCAAGGCTCAAAGTGGACAAATTACCATAGAAATTGGTAAGAACCTCGCGGTCTGTCGGAATCACCGGGAACACAGGGCCAAGAGGCGCCATAAGCTGGAACTTCCGACCGAACACAGTGTAAACCATAAGGAAGGTATAGGTCACGTTTGCCTTCTTCGGCTTTCCTTGGTCAAGTAGCGTGACCACCTTGCCCTCTCGTAACACATCAGCACAGAAGGCGGCCGAACTGCCTTCAGAAAAGCAATCCAAAGCTTTTGTGATATTTGGATAGGCCTTCTTGATTTCGCCAATAGATGCAGAGGTCCGGTAGTCATATACTGCATCGGCACCATAACGCTTTGCGAGGTCGAAGGAACGTGGCGAGGCCGTTGCCACAACTTTGTATCCTGCTCTCTTAGCTAATTGAATAGCGAAAAGACCAACGTTCGAGCCTCCTGAGTAGATGAGAATGGTCGGTTGGTCACTATGAGCGCTGCGCCCGTTCTCAATATCCGCCCAGGGAATATCAAGATACGAAAGACTCAGCATCGCGGTAGCTGCGGGAACTCCGTAAGTGGTGGCTTCACCTAGGGTCATTTCGTCAGGGACCTTCCAGGCCAAGTCTCCATCGACTTTCAGGTACTCTGCGAATGAACCAACGTCAGGATATAAGCCACCGTGAACAAAGCCAGCGATTTCGTCTCCGACCTTCCAGCGCTGTCCCGAGTTCTTGCCGACCCGAGCCACCTCGCCCGCATAGTCGCAGCCAATGGCGGAATTGCGTGGGGAAATGAAATCGATGTCTTTGAAGTCGATCGGATTCAGCGCGACGGCACGCACCTTCACCAAGACCTCATTATCGGTGATGCTTGGAATCGAGACATCCTTGACTTGCGCGCCCGTCCCAAGCGGGCTACCGAGAGCGAAACTCAGTACACGCCTAGGCAAGAATCGATGTGTGATGACCGCTTTCATCTGGGAGGATAGGTATAGTCTATCGGGTAGGACAAGGAAGACAGGAAGTACTGAATAGGTGGGGGCACTGTGTGCAAGACTGGATTATATGAAAAATGTTGGCGAACAGTAACGTCAATGCAGCGAGCGAACAGAGCACCTAATAGTAAAGCTCCTCGAAACGCTGTCCGACAGTTCGGATGAACATCAGGCCGACGGGATCAGGGAATGATCACCAGGCGATTAGTCCACGGTTTGGATTCCGAAAGCGAACAGCAACAAGATCAAAAAGAGCCTACAGTAGTCCCCTTTCAGCAACGTGCCTGAGACAGTGGCGAATGTAATTATTGTATTTTATGACGCTTAAAAACCACCACATTACCGAAATATGGGTACCGCGTTGACTCGCCAACTTGAAAGGGGAGGTCCAGGAGGCGAGTAGGTTCACGGCCTGGTTGAGGAGTCTCCACGGACCTGCCGGTATGAGTGGAGCCTCGGGCCGTCACCCTAGGCCGGGAATGATGAGTCGACTGCCCGACCGTGCTACTATCTGTCAATCACTCACTCATCTACCCGATTCCGAACCTGGGGAAGGGATTGCTGATCTCGTTCCGACGTTGAGAAGTGGGAATTGCTTCGTGTGCGAGCCGTCCTTGGTGACTATGCAGAACTCAAACTGATCCGACCTGACAACCGTTCTGTGACAACCAAGGAAGGACAATGATCACGTTGCGAAAATTCCAGTAGAATCTCGGGCAGTCGGCAGGTTGACACCTGCCCTATAAAAGGTACACCCTTGTCTCATGAGATACCTTCCGTCGGTATTTTTCCTCAAGGCAACTGATTCACTCGCAACTGCTCTTTGAATAAACCTTTGCAATGACGACCCTTCAAACCGTTCCGACTTCTTTTGTCTCCGTCAACGGGCTGAGAATCGCTTATCGGCGCTTCGGAGCACGCAGTCCATTGCCTTTGGTCTATGTCAACCATCTTCGTGGTAGCATGGATACGCTCGATCCCCTTCTGTTCAACAGCATCGCTAAAAGTCGCGAAGTTATTGTCTACGACAGTGCTGGTATCGGACACAGCGAAGGAACTGTGCCGGATTCCATTTCCGAGATGGCCGAAGTGGTTGTCAACCTACTCGCTGCGCTTGAAATTTCAAAGGCCGATTTCATTGGCTTCTCCATGGGTGGTGGCATTGTACAGCATATTGGATATACGTACCCTCAACTTGTCAACAAACTGATCCTGGCCGGCACTCAACCTGGAATCGGCGAAGGTGTGGCTTTGCCTCCGCGGGAGGTACTGGAAAGTGCTGGAGCAAACAACGACCAGCCGCCAACGGAGGATGACATGATGTACCTTTTTTTTTATCCCTCTGAGACCAGCCTCGCCCTCGGCCATGCATGGTGGAAGCGAATCCACGAGCGACACGTTGAAGGTGAAACCCGGAAGGCATATCTTACTGGAACCGGGGCTCAGTCGCAGCTCGCTGCAATTTTCAAATTCACCACTGATACTCGCAACTTTGATCGTTTGGCAGACATCAAAGCCCCGGTTCTTGTCACCAACGGCCATACGGACATTATGTCACCCACTGCCAACAGTTTCGTGTTGCAGCAGAAGATCCCCAATGCGCAGCTGCATCTTTACCCAGACGCAGGGCACGGGCATCTCTTCCAGGTGCCAGAGCTTTACGCGAAGGAGCTTGAACTGTTCTTGAACAACTGAGTCTGTTAGTATTGCATCGGATACATTATTGTATTACATCTGTTCGTGACTCGGTAGCGGGTGTCTACATGTCGAGGATTGAATGCATACATCGTATAGGACGGTACTAGCCCACCCTCAAGATTCTCGGAGGAAGCGGTTGGTGCAAGTATTTGCAGCTAGATTACTTCAGCATCTAATATATATCATTTTCTTGGTCGTAATGAAACTGAACAATCTGAGCTCTTCTAGAATATTACTGCTTTGCAATTTTCTCTTAAATATCCCGCAATCCGCAATATCTGAGGTGAGGTTACAGAGACTGTTGATTAAAATTTGGCAGCAAGCTGCTTAGCCCGAAGTCCAACTAATAGAGCCCGGTAACATATAGAGACAATATATCCTTGGCTCTCTATTTATCTGGTAGATATTGGTCGCAGCTTAACTTCCGAATTTCACCCTCGAATTTCGGACTACAGACCCTAACGCCGGGAGCGATTACTTTGAGTAAGAGAGTAAGAGCACCACAATCAGCATTCAAGTCCGTTTATTTTTACTGTTACAAGTGTTCTATTTCCATCGCTTCTAGGGAAAAGAGAAGGACGGACACCTCAGGTTGGTTGACTACCCCAACACCGCCCTCGCGCGACTATGCATGATCGATAACAATATGATCTTGTTCTCGATCACAGCATAGTTTGGGTTTCACTTCAGCACAGTGAGACATTATCAGCATCTCGAATGGGGCTCGAGAACCTCCCGATATTGAGGTGTATGTTGGAACTAAGCTGCTTCGAGCTGTGTTTCAGATTCGGCGCATAGAAATATCTACTTCACTGCTGTTAACAATCGCGACCTTAAAAATTATCAAATAGTGAATTGTGTTTCAAGAGTTGAATTAAAACTAGGGACAAAGGAATTTGAGCTCTTTTTGTCTCGCTGGAGTATTTAGAAGGTTTGAGACAAACGAATGCTTGAGCAATCAGATGGAGGAGAAGCGTCAAAGAAGGAGAACACCTGTGTCGCCTGAATACGTGTGAATGTACACTTCGAGTGAAGCGCCAGAAATGAACGTGAGTCACAAGAAAGGACCACAAAAGAAGGCACGAAACAAATTGCTGCTTCAAAAAAGCAGGATGGAGCGGGAGCGATTATTTTGTCTTCTGGCGATCCTGTTCGGCCTTCTCCGCATCACGGATCTTGTTCGTAATATCCGGCATGTGAGAGACAGGAGGGAGCAACGTATCCTGGGTGTGTAAAGTTAGCAAAATTGAATGGGACTGGTGTCTCATGAATTGACCGGAAACTGCCTACCCATACAGTCGACCAGCCAAATGTTGAAGCCAGCCACGTCATCAAAGCCCCCCCCCTGACCAAAGATGCTTCTTGGGGCTTGATCGGATTGCGTTGTTGACCACGACCTCGGCATAGGAATTGACATCCATTGCATTTTTCTCCACCTCGGTTCCAGCCAATGCTGGCTCAATCACATCCTTTGCGGGATAATAGAGAGAGTTCTCGGGTAGACGTGGTGTAATTGGAAGGTTGTCGAAGAACTTGGTCTTAATTGCACCAGTAGTGACGAGGATTGCGCGAACTCCCCATGGAGAGAATTCGATACGCATCTGGTCTGTCATGATAGCAACTGCAGCTTTGCTTGCATTGTAATATCCTTGCCATGGGAGTGGCATTTTGCCAAGCACTGACCCAATGTTGATAATCGTTCCTTTGGAGGCAATCAAAAGTGGCGCAAACGCTTGAGTGACGGTAACGACAGCAAAGACGTTAACATCAAACATCTTCTTGGCGACTGAAACATCCGAATCCAATAAAGGCATGCTATAACCTATTGAAGGGTCAGTGGTTTGCCACAAGTACACTACTTTGAAGCTGTGAGACTACCTGCGCCCGAGTTGTTGACCAGAAAATCCAAATATCCGCCCGTCGCGGCTTTCACGGTTAACACTGCTTGCTTGATTGACTCTTCCTCAGTGACATCTAGTCGTACAATGTCGAGACCCATGTCCCTGAGATGTTGGACTTTGGCGGTGTTCCGAGCGCTGGCGAAAACTCGAAATCCCTTCTTGTGAAAGGTTTTTGCAAGAGCGTCACCTATTCCACCTTCACTGCAACCTGTAATGAGAACTGTCTTCTGGCCCATGTTTGTGATGAATGATTTGGAGCACAATTTTTTTAAGCAAAAACTGGTACTTAGAATGCAAGCGAGATATATATAACTTGCACGCAGTCCCAATCCAACAGGAATCTGAAGGAAGGATAGAGCGTCTGAGCGTCTACCAACGCCTGGCAACCGAATGCGTACAGTTCTTCCGTAGATTAGCAATCATGCGCTCATCAAAACCTCAATCAAGCGGTGGTCATCCAATAGTAAAGGCTGACCCACTTAGATGACTGGGTCAACCGTCGGGTCGATGACAAGACATTCCCGGTTCCATTGTTCTTGCCCGCCTTATAGCCCGCCTTGGCCGCCAGCTAACCTAACAAGGTTAGAACCGTAGTTTTCGGAGCCCCCACGGGTCACAAGTCAAATATTACAGCCACACTGCATTTACCATAATTCTCGAGGATCCATTGGCTTAGGCTCATATCTTGGCGGGCCAGGGTTTGAGAAAGAGTTAAGGAAGCATTCTGCAACAGTGATCAGCGATCACTGATGTCCCCGGATTATGGCGACTGTTCGAGGCGCCCACCAAGTCAAACCTTACTACAAGCCAGCAATGCACTTGTATGATCGACGTGCAATGAAAACAGTCGCTGAAACACAAAATCGGAGGCTATCGCATTTAATTTAGGATCCAACACTTTCCACCAGATACTTCAACTTCACTTTTCGCTATGTGGCGGTTTTCTATATACAGTACGATCCAGTGAGATATACAGTCAATACGTAATATACAGCCTTATTGCTTTTTTTTTCCACACCTGAGAGTATTTGTACAACAACCAGAACGATTACGGTAGTGCATATAGATAGACACGGCGGGTGTATATCGGCAAGTCATTAATGCTCACACACATAGATTAACTAAATTCACACAATAGTCGAAAAGTGCAGGGCCTCCTCCACATTATTGCGTTGGAACCCAGGTGTCCGACCCAGGCAAACTCCTTTGCTGACCAACGCTACCAAGGTCAAAATACTGTAATTATTACAGACCAGGGGCGGACTTACCTGATATGAAACGTGATACATTGATATTGGTCTGCACTTTCGAGCATCTTGTTGGCTCACCAGCTGACGCAACCAGGAGCACATTCTTATCTTGAAGATATCCCTTCAGATCTTGCAAGTCAAACCAATCCCCTTCTAGCTGCTTTCGTAAATCTGACGTGACGAGTGACAAGGGGTCCTCTACGGTGCCCCATCTCTGGTAACGAGGGACAAATTCACCCGTGCTTCCGTCGGGATAATGGGTTCCCGCGCCCCCCAACCTAAACAAGGGGACTTCCTCCCATCCCTCCAGCGGCTTTTGGCTTACTTGAGCATATAATTCCGCTTTGAAGTAAGATGCCAGGCGTTCGCGGTTCATCATACTAAAAATGAGCCCAAAGGGCCTTTGGAGTTGATCCAAGCCGAAAGACGGATTGCATAGGGCGAGATGTCCGTTGTAGAGAGCTGCTAGGAGCAGCCTCTCAATGAATTCGGACACCTCTAGAAACGACATTCCTGATGAAGTGACGGTAACGTAACCCACAAGCGAACCGCCCACATAAGCGAACCGCCCACCCATCTCAACCTATAATTTTGATTTGCATATAAAATAACCACAACGCCATTAAATTATTGATATCACTGCTTCGGACATCTATTTATCTTATGCCCTATCCCTCCACAACCACTGCATCTTGGTGGCGCCCGTTGTCGTGGTGTATTAGTCTCATTTGCGACCGGAGCTAGTTCTGGATGAACAGGATCCAGAGATTCAACGGCTTGGTTCGAACTGAATATTACGTCTCTTCCCTCCTGAATTGACATGCCTTCAGTACGGTCGATGCGTTTATTAGACCTCTTGCGTTTTTGTTTCCGAACCTCATTGGCAGCGCGCAAATCCCGGATTTCTTTCTCCAACATCGCTAGCCTTTGAAGCGTGACATGGAAGCCTTTAAGAGTCTGCTCTACCACATGCTTTGTAGGCGTTGGAGGGCTCACGGATCGATATTTGAGTAGAGCTTTGACTGAAGATTCTTGCCGATATAATTGTTTTGTGTTGAGTGGTGTTGTAGGGCTCCACTCACTTGATCGGCTTCCTGGTCGGCTTCCTGGGGGGGTTGGTGTTCGAAGCTGAATATTAAGCTTCGATATAACCCGATCGGGATCAAAGGGTATTAAACCAGCAGATTCGAATGCGCTCTGAATTATATCCGAGTGATATGAGATCTCGCGAGCGTGCGGGTAGGCGGCAAGGAAATCAAGCTTGTCAATATGGTTGATATTGCATCGAGCTTTTCGCTCAACCAAGCCACCATATGCGCGCTTTAGGTTCGCAAAACACCCGACATCTAGTGGTTGTAGCAAATGAGATGAATGCGCTGGCATGCAAATTGGTATAATATCATGTTCAGCGCAAAGTCGGTCGAATTGAGGTGTCAAATGGCTACCATGACCATCAAGGACTAGAAGACGATATTTACCCTTTGTACGGCTCGCCGTACTCGGAATAAAGAGATCTTTCAGCCAGCGAAGGCCAATAGCATCAGTTGTCCATCCATTATCACTGATTTCGATCCTCCAGTCCGGTCCTACCCCTTTATCTTCGTACCAAGCCTGGTGATGTGTCTTGGATTTGAAGATAAGACAAGGTGGTAATTTGAAGCCCGACGCACCAATACACTCGATAGATGTGACCCATTCACGATTTCCAGGTTGTTTAAGAGATCTCCGACCGTAGTATTCAGCACGGGTGACGACTTTTGCAGTAGCAATAAGACCCATTGCGAAGCCAGTCTCATCAAAGTTATATATATCGTCAGGTTGGATGCCGTTCTCATTAATCGTGCGTTGAACCAAGTCGAACCACTCTCGTATGACCTTTGGATCCTCGCATTTTGCTCGTTGGTAGTTGTACTTTCGAGAGAACCGAGATTTAAGATCATCATGGCGATTAACAAAGTTGTAGACCCAGTTGACGCCAACAGTCTGCGTACAGCGTTCGGCTAATAGAAGATTGGCCATTTCTGCCACCATAGCAGGCCGAGGAGCTGATCCACGTGAATCCATAGAGAGCACCCATTGTAGAAGTGATCTCTCCTCGTCTTCTGTCAATTTATGGTTGTTGGCGCGTGTTTCTGAGCGACTTTGTTGACCGTTGACGCGATCGCGTAGAGTGGACCAGGGGACGTCGAATTGGCGTGCTGCTTTGCGAATAGAGGTAATTTGACCATTTTGAATGGCATGCAGGGCTAATGAGATTCTGCCCTGCCTATCCTGCGAAAATCGGGCAGAACTAGATCGATTTGGTGGCATGGTGGATGGTTATAAAAGAGAGGTTATAGTACTCAGATCAAAATTGATGGGGTGGGCGGTTCGCTTGTGTGGGCGGTTCGCTTGTGGGTTACGTTATATGGCAGGACAGCACCGTTAGGGTGATATAATTCAGTGCCATCCAAGGGCAGGTGGAGGGGGATGGTGGGTGACGGGCGCTTAATTGTGAGCTTTTGTGAGGCTGGTGGTGAGTCGATTGTCTTATTAGAGTCAACCGGGACCCTTATCTCGTCGTCGTCGAGGCTTGCTCCTGATGCCGTAGAAAGGAAGATCCTCATCGTGTCACGTAAATTCGCTGTCAGAGCAGAGTGTGACCTAAGCACTCCACTTTGAACCAGCTGCTCACTAAATGACAGCATAGTGGAGCTCATTTTCTCCATTGAAGTCTCCAAAAGGGAGATGCGGCTCTTGAGGCCGTCGACTGTGGCTTGCTGTCGTGAACGATATGCACGTTGTGCCATACGAGTTTGCATGCGACGACGCTGTCACCAGAGTGGTCCGGTTAGAACACTCAAAACATTAGTGGAGGTCGACTGATACCATACGAACCTCTCCAGGATTTTCCTTACCATCACCAACTTCTTGGGGGGCTCCACGGTTCTTCGCTGGTGCGGCTTTCTTGGGCCCATGCCGCTGGCGTTTCTGTGGTCTTGGTGTCGTCGGTTCAGAGACTGGTGTTTGGTTTGTGTTCGTCCGGTTCAAGTAAGATGCGGGCTCAAGGGCGAAGTCGCCAGGATTGGGTGATGGCGTACTACGTTGAGCATTTTGTGAGTTATATGATTCGGGTAGCGGATAGGAGCAGGCTGAGAGTAATGAGTTGATATCAGAGGTCGCCGACTCCTGTAATAATGGGCGGCTGGATTCGGGTAACGATGTGCTTTGACGGAATTCCTCCCAATTGAAGAGAGGCAGGTCGCTAGCTAGCCGTATTGGTGCTTGTTGGCCCATGATGTGACGAATATGGTCAAGGATAAGCTCAAAGAGAAGTCAAGCGATAGTCTGTCAGCCAGGAGAAGAGACTGACTGTATTAGAATCCGACCAGCGCTGCCTGATCTCAATCAAGTAATTGGATTTCAGTAGACCGTTTCAAGATTAGTGGGAAGAAGGATAATCCTACCCTGGGAGAAGGACGAACAAACGTAACTTGCCCCGTGGACGCAAGGTTAAGCTTTGGCTCGGCATGATCACTCATCATTCCGTTTGGTGACGCAACCAATAAACTCATGCTTAGTAATGACTCTTGCGAAAGCCACCTGAGGGGGCAAATCTGGGTAGCAGAACCGCCGGAAGAAATTGTGCAGAATGGATACTCATGATTTGACCTCCTTGGAAGACAAGGAACTCAAAAATGAGGACGGGATTTACCAGTCAACGTACCTGTGACCACTTCACAATCAAAGGAGGGTTGTGGCTTGGATTTTTAGATCTCGCCTTCCGCCGCACCGCCAATCTCTGTGCTTGCCAAAGTCTCCACAAATACGAGACTAGACTTGCCTTGTAGCGGATCCAGGAGTAGGTCCCGTTCAACTATGGAAGGGTTGACTAGTTGCCGTGGGCGCCAACTTGGAGCTGTTGCCGACGCTGGCAAGCTATTGACCAACGATCAAGACAGCACTGTGCTGATAGGCAATGTTGGCGCAGAACGTTCTTCTCTAGATTCAACCAACTACATTTACATGCGTATAAGGAAAGTATTATATTGCCAAAGCTCAGCAATTGAGACAAGTCAAACATGACCTATCTGATTTGAAGAGATCAATTTATTTAGGGTTTAGTTATGTAGTCGAGGAAATGCAATCCTCACACCATGTTCATACAACTTACATTTTTTAAACCTGTAGAATTCAAGCATCATGTTTGATTCCCTGAGTTGAGACTGATTCATATTTGACTATTCGTGCAAGATGTGTCGATCTTTGTGACTAAGGAGTCTCCTCAATGTTATAAACTAATTTCGCACCACTGACTTTGTTGGCCTTGAGAAGCTCCATTCCTTCCAAGACACCACGTAGACCATCCTTTCCAACCTTAGGAGGATGAACTTTGATCTTGCTATGATCCAAAAGAGCCTGGGCCACCTGAGTAAACTCCTTGGAATGCTCGAAATCCTCCGGCTTAGCGGGAACGGGCATGTCACCGAAATTAAAGGCCTCGCCAAGTACAGTGTAGGCTAGGATGAAGCGACTGTTGACGTTGGCGCGATCGATTTTCACGGTCAGAAGTGCGAGGTACTCGCCACCCTCGGTTGAAAGTGCTTTGTCGCAGAAATCAACACTAGGAGGAAGAGAGATACAGTCCAAGACTAGTTTTAGGTTGTTGTTGGTCTGCTTGCGAATTTGAGCGGCGGAGTCGGGGTGTTGGTAATCGAAAACAGCATCTGCACCAAGGGCACGGACAAGGTCAAAGTTGTGCGGCGAACAGGTAGTGAGCACCTGGTAACCGGAGAGCTTGGCGAATTGGATCGCTAGGGTACCCGTAGCGGTAGAACCGCCATAGATAAGAATAGGAGTCGCATCTTTGATAGGTTGACTCGGTAGAGCCAGCCTCAAAGTCTGGTATAGAGCCTGGCCGATAGTCTGGATGCCTGCTCCGAGTGTGGCGGCTTCCTGAAAGCTAAGATGTTCAGGGATTCGAAGCTGCACATCACCCTTGACAACAATGTATTCGGCGAAAGAGCCATCCTCGGGCTGGACTGCATTACCACCGTGGGCGAAACCGCAGATACGGTCACCCTTCTTCCAGGGTAGTTTGACGTCTTTTCCAACGGCCTCGACAACGCCAGAGTAATCGCCTCCTAACAGTACACCGGGCGGAGAGAGGAAGTCGACGTGCTTCCAGTCACTAGGGTTTAAACCCACGCTGACGGTCTTCACGAGGACGTAATCATCGCGGAGCTTGGGAATGGCACGATCACTGACCAAGCCCGTGGTCTTAGGTTGGGTAACGATAACGGCCTTCTGAGTAGACATGACTGAGGTGATGAGATGAAGAGTAGGAAAAGAATTACGTTCGCATGTATGGAAGCATACTAATATAGTACAAAGCTATGGCAAGGTTCGTTGATGACACCACTTTCCTAATCCTCGGATGCTGTTGGTTATCACTACAATGGATGAGAAATCACCCCCCATATGGGTCCACTTTGAGTACCTACAAGGTATTTTAAGATAATTCAGGATAACCTAGATGTCGATTGCAAGATTTTTCATTTTTGGTACAGTGACATCTCGTATGGAGCTGTCCTGGGCTCAGGGATTACGTGTATTATTACATTCATGGAGCGGATGTTGAGTGATCTCTCCGTACTTCAGCCGAGGCTAATCGCTGATAGAATGAGAGATAACGCCAAGTGCCAATACGGATATACTCGGACCACTTGGTCGGTTCTGTCATCATTGAGACAAGTACTTATCTGAGAAGGCGAGGTTTCGGTCCTCACAAGGAGGGTACTCGCGAAATTAGGCATCGGATTTCCTAGTATGAAGGAGCAACTGCGGACATCCTATATAGTTGTTAGTTTTCTAAAGAACCGCCCGGACGATTTCGTCATTTTTAGGTTTTTCTTTTTCGCGAGGATGGAGGTTTGAGGCTATTTCGGAACCAAACATCGTTCTGAGGTTAGATGTCCTGTTCATCGGTCCTTTTGGTCTTGGGATCAATATCGGCAATCCCATTCCGGCGAAGGCGGCAGGAAAGTCGAGTGGTATTCGACTGCGACACTGGTGAATAGGCAAGGGCGTATGCCGACAAGGGCTTCGTGATGATGAGCGCGATGACTGATATGATGGGAATCCGAAAAGTATTTCGTCAGTCATTTGCAGCCACGCAATAGAAAATCTTTAATGCTTGGTTGAATGTATTGAAATTGATTCAATTGCACAATCGAGAATCCATATATTTTTTATTTAGTCGTAACGCCGGTGATCGGAATCTATGATACAAATGGACACCGGGGTACCTCAGAACGATGTTTAGTTCCGGAATAGCCTCAAACCTCCCTCCTCGCGATCATCATCACTTTCATTCTCACTAGCACTGCCATCGCCTTCGCCCAGTAGGCCACTGGCAGTTCTACCCAATAGCGAAGCGAAAAACTCATCACGAGCCCGAACGGTCCACGACCCACGGTCTTCGGGAGCCATGAAGTTCTGCAATTTCTCATGCACATTGAACTTCATCTTGCGACCCTTCGAAGCGCGAGTATCAACATCTCGCTTCACTTTGTCGTTGCGCATACCGGTGACGGGGTGAATCGGAAGGCGGGAGGGCAACTGGTGCAGGGAGTCGAGACCGCCACCAGACATAGCTTCGGAGGAAGACATCCGCTGCTCGACAAGCTCGCGGAGAAGAGATTGGTAGAAGATGGTGTCATCGTAAATAGGCCCGGCAGCGGCGACGCCATCGGATGAATCCTGTCGGGCACGTTTGGTCGCCCGATCACCAATTTCCGTTGCAACGTGGGCATCCAGAACGGCAGTGATGCTTTGCTGGCCTGAAGCAGAGCCCAGAAGCTTTCCCCGAGAGTTGGCTGCGGAAGATGAATTACCTCGGACCTTGGATGACCACTTGTCGAGCACAGAACGACGGTGAGACAGAGACTCGCTCTCCAGATCTGTCATGCGATCCCAAAGCGAGGCAGAAGAAGTGGAAGATGTAACAGGAGACCGCTTGCGCTTCTTCGTCTGATCCTTGGATTGGGCTTCGGCAAGTGCGGTGCGGAGCTCCTCGAGAGTCGACCAAAGAGCGAGAGCTGCGGACTCGGCAGACTTGATCGCCTCGGCATCTTCGTCGCTGGACTGCTCTACCGCATTTTCTTCGTTGTGTGCCAGTCCCGAAATTTCGTTGATGGCACCCAGTCCCTTTTGTAGCTTGATGCGTGTGTTCAAGAGTGCGTCGAAAGTAGCACGTTGCTGCTTGACAGCCTTTCCCTTGGCGGCATCAGCTTTGGCAGCTTCCGAGATAGTAGCCGCAATAGTCTTCTGGTCTGTTGCCATGAGCCTCCGTAGTTCTTCTCGGTCATCAGAAGAAGCTCCTTTGCTGCTGCGAGCAGATTTCTCTTCTTTCTGGATCTTTTTGCTGCGTGGAGCGGGGGTTTCGTCGTCGTCGTCGTCGTCGTCGGAATTGCTCTCATCTTCGCTGTCTTCCTCCCCTTCGGACAACTCATCGTCTTCTCCAGAGACTGACCCTTCCAATTCTGATTCTGATTCCTCGGCGTCTGACAGGCCAGCATTCTCGTCCTCGTCCTCTTCTAGGTCATCGGAGACTTCCTCGTCGTCATCCTCATTATCGCTTCGGGTCGCGAAGGGGTCGTCATCGCTGTCAGCATCCAGGTCATCTCGACTCACGCGAGAGCCTGCATACTGCTTGCCAAGAGAAACGGGATCTTGCTTGCGCAATTTTCCTTTGCTGCTGAAAATTAGCATACATGAATAGACTTCCATGGGTTGATCATTGCATGCTAACCCTACTGCCTGATAATGCTCCCTTCCAGCATTGGACTCAGAAGGCTTTCCGCCCTCCTCGTCGCTAGAAGCATCGTCGCGTTCTATATCTTCAGGATCGAAGTCTGGGTACCCAGTCAGCTTTCGGGAAGTCCCCAATGATGCGAAAAGATTGACGGGGTCGGTTTCGCCATACCCTTAGGGGTCGGATCCTCTAGATCCGCCAGCTGGTCAGCCAGAGACCGTCCTGGACGAGACGCGGCAGGTGCCATGGTGCGCGATGAGCTGGAGAAGAGACAGACCTGCGGAGTTGGTTGCCCGCGACTTTTTTTTGTTTTTCCGGATAACGGAACAACTGTCCGCCTTGGGACTAGTGGCCCCGCTGCCCGGGCGGTCAGTTGAGCGGTGGGCATTCTGACGGCTCTGTTGACCATTTCGACATCCTCAATTCAACTTAAACCTTGGGCTAAAGGAAAGCTTTTTGCGACGAACTGCCCGAGGCGCATTATATATCGAAATGTGGCTCCCGGTGAGGACCCAGGCGCCAATATGCCGACGCATGTTCTCAACTTTCAAAGCGCTCCGACATGACAACCCTCTTGTAGGCATCTTCTCGAATCTTTTGGACGATATACTTTAAGCTTATACTGACGTCGCCCAGGGCCTTCCACGCTCTGGAACCCCTCCTACTCTCAAGAGTCGCCGAGGCCTTCCACAAAAACGCAAGATTCGCGATGTTAAGAAAGTGATCGCGGTCTCGTCGGCAAAGGGTGGCGTGGGCAAATCAACAGTTGCCGGTGCGTCTCATGTGCTCTTCACCTCAGGGCGCGCTTGTCAATGTTGGCCATATGCGTGGCCTTTGAGCTTCGATTAACAATGATTCTTACCACTACGCCAGTTAATCTTGCCCTCTCTTTCGCACGAAAGGGAATCCGAACAGGCATTCTCGACACGGACATCTTCGGTCCATCCATCCCGACCCTTCTGAATCTTTCAGGCGAGCCTCGTCTCGATGAAAGTAAGTTTCGCCTTTTTAAACCTCTTGCAGTCTCAACATTGAATAACTTTTAAGTTGACGGTATTATACAGACAACTGCCTCCTCCCCCCTCACAAACTATGGCCTCAAGTCCATGTCAATGGGCTACCTCCTTCCGCAAACCCAAACCGACTCCGCAACAGGAGAAGTACCAATGGACACGACACCAATCTCCTGGCGTGGCCTCATGGTAACCAAAGCCATGCACCAATTACTACACTCCGTCTCATGGGGACCGCTGGACGTTCTCGTCCTAGATCTTCCTCCGGGCACAGGGGATGTCCAATTAACCATTAATCAAGAAGTCATCATCGACGGCTCCGTGATCGTCACAACACCACAGGACATCGCACTTCGCGATGCTGTCCGCGGCTTCGGCATGTTCCAGCGCATGGATGTTCCCGTGTTAGGCATGGTTCGCAACATGGCCTATTTCGCCTGTCCCAATTGTGGACACGAGACTCGCATTTTCTCTCACGGGGATGGGGACCACTCCCATGGGGAAGACCGAGGTGTCATGGCTGAATGCAAGAGGCTTGGTGTTGACTTCCTTGGCGATATCCCACTTGATGCTCGGGTTTGCGAAGATGCGGACCGTGGAATGCCCACGGTGGTGGCTGAGGAGACTGCGGATCGGAGTGCCCGCCGTCAGGCATTCCTGAGTGTCGCTGAGCAAGTCGCCCGTAAGATTGGCCTGGACTGGCATTAAGCTCTGTCCTCGCTGTTCTTACGATATGATTTTTCATAGCTGCATTGGTCCGATGCCATTACCATGTGATCTTGTACACTGCTACGATCTTTCCATTCCTGTTAGCCTGTGTGGCTTCATTGCCACTCTAAAGCCTGTACGATAGCTTATTAGACAGTCATCTTTTCGATAATCATACCACCCCACCAAAGAACAACGGGATTCAATATCATTGATACACTATATCTAGATGGCCGACACCATACGGTATCACGCCCGAATTTCCGAAATGATGGTCCTCAGCAGTATCTTGCACTTTGAAGCCTGAAAAAGAGATTTGGGTATATCAAACACAAAGAGAATTGAACAATGGCAGGGACAACACACAGTGAGCCCCTCTGGATCAAAAGAGATAAGAAAAGAAGCGAGAGATTCGGAGTACATCGACGAGATCGTGTGCGAGCATCTTCAAGCAAAATATTCCCAAGGCAAGATGCCCATCGGATTAAATGAGAAATATAGCGGTTAGATAAAGAAAATCAAGCAAGCAGTAGGCGATGTCTACAGCTTCTCATCGGCAGTCTTGAAGACTTCCCGGTCTGGCATCTCTGGTCGACGAGAGGTAGACTCTCGAGCTTCTCCGTCCGAAAGGGCAGCACGTACGGAAGAAGTCTCGGTCGAAAGACGTCCACTGTCACCTCCGCCAACCAAGCCGACAACACCCTTGGCACTCAATACTGCTCGGGTGCTCACTGCATCCGTTGTAACACCAGAGGTTCCAGCATCTCTTTCGCCTCCGATAGTACTGGCATCGTCAGACAAGAACTCGCTGCGCCCAGCCACGGAGGACGGCCGACCATTGAGCTGAGGGAGAGAGGAATTCGAGGTCATGGCAGCGTGAAAAAGGGCTCTCGTGCTTGCATTTTCATCCTTAAGCTTGCGATTGTCGACTTCAGGGAGAATGAGCAAGGGGCCGCCACTCTTCTGCGAGATTGGTCGAGTGGGGGCAGATTCAGGGTAACCTGAAGCGCGTGAAGCCAAATTTCCGGTTGATTGTTTGTGTTCGCCAACCGAATCCCAAGAGGCCACCCCTGCACTGGAAGCAGCGGCTTGGGAGTCTTTATCGGTCCCACTCTGCTGAGCTATAGCAGGCTCGCTTGAGTATGTGCCGGCTTGACCCGCATCAACACTTGTGCGGGTCGAGCGACGACCAGATTGCTCTGCCTGCTGTTCCTTTTTGAGGGTACGTTCATCGTGCTTGCTGCCCCACCCACTCCAGAGCATCAATCCATAGTTCTTCTTGGCGTGGCGGTTCGGGAGTACACCGGGTGCCGCCCGACGAGCAGCCAAGGAGCTTGGAGGTGGACACTCGCCGTTGAAGTCTTGGAAGCCATGTGCCATCTCCTTGATGCGACGACCTTGAACCCGCAGCTTTTCTTTCGCGAACTTCGTGTCCCACTCATGTTTCGCGTCTAGCCACTTCTTGATGAGTTCTGGATTGACCGCACCGATTTTCTCATGTGGAATGTCGAGTACCGGATATGATGATGGCGGGTCGAGTGGAAAGGTGCGTCCACGCTTATCGACTCTTTCGCGGAGCATGTGCTGGTGGAATGCCGGAAGAGGATCACCCGCTTTACCCACGAACGACATCCCCGTTTCTGTGCGTGGTATCTTCTGACCTTTGCTACGGCCGGGACTCGAGCTGCTCTCTGTGCCGCTTGACGATACTGACGAAACCACGTTATCATCCACAATATCAACTCCGTGCTTCTGAGCACGAGCTAGTGCCCAAGAGCCGAACTGAGAGATTGCCCGGAACATGTACTTGGCTGGCCGAGAAAAGCTGAACGTTGGGGCCACATGACACAGGTTGTCCCACAGTTGGAAATGCACATATGTGGGCTCGTACTTGTTGAGAGTTTTCCGGTCAGGATCGAACTCATCAAGATACACGTCACTGGGAGGGTACAATTTGGGATTGGCGGCCTTATGAGCCACGTAGAACTGCTCATCGCGAAGCATTTCACCACCGCCGCTGAGGATCTGCAGCGGAGGGAGCCCGCCGAGTGACGGTTGAAGAATTGGTGACACCAGGGGATGCGAAATTAACTGGTTCGTCGTGTACATCTGAATTTGATCTTTGAGCTCGACTGTCTTGCCCTCTAACACGACGTGGATATTGTCTGGCTCGGCGTGCACAGTGTTCGAGTCCGAGCTTTGCTGCATGCCCGGATAGGCATGGCCCGGGGTGACTTCCTTCTTGGCGTGTAAGGTGTATCCCTGGACAGCCGTCTCCTCGGCATTGCTATTGGCCACAGGGATTGTCTCGTTGACCTCCTTCGCGGTGATGGTTGGCTTGTGGGAGAGTTTCTTGATCTTGAGGATTTCGTCGGTATTGGGCGGGGGCCACGCGGTAGACGGTTTGTGGCGGAAGCCATTGGGGGGAATATAATCGCCGGGGTTGTCCTCGACGATGCTCGGCATGGAGTGCGTGAGATCCACCCATGGTGAAATGAGAATCGCCCCTGCGGGTAAAGGGATCCCCTGATCACGCATAATGACCATCAGCGACAGCGCCATTCCACCACCCGCCGAGTCACCAGCAATGATGATTTCCGTGGGGTCGTATGATCTCAGGAGCCACAGATAGGACGCGAGACAATCCTGAATCGCGCACGGGAAGGGGAACTGGGGAGAGAGGCGATATTCGGGGGCAAATACGCGACCCTTCAGCTTGCGCGCATGGCGCTGCATCATATACCGATGCGTGTCCACGCTGCCGAAGAAGTACGCGCCTCCGTGGATATACAGCATGATGCGATTGCTTTTTGCATTGGCCTTCTTGGTCTCGTTGTGATGGCTGCGCATCTCGACCCATTCTCCCTTGAGCTCCTCCGACGGTCCTCGCCATTGCCACCATTGTTCACCGCCCACGCGGACAATTCCCTTTGGTCCCAGCTGCTTCATGACTGCCTGGGCAGCCGTCGACAGGTATTCATCGGGGATCGCGACGGTCTCGGTTCTTACCCAGTGAGGACTCGGGACCCACTGGCTGGTGAAGGCCTGGATATCTTCGACGGGGTGCTTGGACGCATAGTAGAGGAATTGGCGGGTGATTTGAATCCCCTCGTCGTAGGTAATATGGACGGACGGTTTGTTGTGGTGCGACTTCCGATGCAGGTACTGCGAGCCAAGAGTCAATTCGCAAGATCCAAAGGTACAGTTCGCCAAATTGCGCGACCCACATGAGCAATGAATGTCTGAATCGCCGTGGGCGTCAAAGCCGCACCCAAGGCGATTGTGTGCAATGGCATTATCGAGCCATTCAGTAGCGTTCCCAAGACGCGGTTAGGTTCCTGGAGGTTCCTGGAGGTTCCTGGAAGGAAGGGAAGGGTTGACGCGGTGGGGAAGAAAGGAGAGGAACGCCGACGTCATTCCAGCCACCGGGAGGCGCTCGGGGCAGCCGCAGGTTGGTGCACGTCGAGAGCCACTGGGGCTGCTAATTGGGCTGCTGGTCGCGGAAGTGGTTTTTATCGGTACAATGCATCAAAACAAATTGAATGTCTCATTATTCTCTGCCGCGACCTCACAGACTCCGCCGACTTCGTACTGCCGCGAGGACCAGAATCGCTATATACACGATGGCCACCACTCCGGCCACGACACTACACGCGATCACTGCCCCGCGAGGTGCATAGGGATCCTGAAATCCCGTCAGCCGAAATCCGAGTCCCATATTGATAATGCCTAGCACGATCATCATGCGTCCAAACCACCGGTGGAGATAGGCAAACGGCCCTTTACCAGAGCTGCCATCGCCAACGCTCTTGCGGTAATGCCGGTGCTGCAACAGACCCATGGCTGGTTGAAGAACAACGAGGCCAATCACCACAACCAATCCAATGATCGGGTGATGGTGGTTGCTGAGCTGGATCTGCTTCGCCATGGAAACCCCGATGCCTAGTCCGGCGATGGCGATCACAAGGTTGAAGAGCTGCAGCGTGGCGTGGGTGACAATGGTCGAAGGGAATACGTAAAGTGCCAGGGCGCCAAAGGGGAAGAACACGACAAACACCAAAGTCATCAGAATTGCATGAGCAAGCTTCTTCCGGTTCAGCGCGACAGTGTCGAACGGGGCACCACTCTCCGCGGAGGACACTGTCGCGCTGGACAGTTGGAGGAATGGATTCGCATTCGAGTCCGAACTGGCAGATAACTGCCCCGTAGCCTTCTCCAAATTCACAGTTGCGGTCCCCTGTGTGTCATGATAGCTGATCCCGGCGGACACGCTATCACTACCCAATGGAGTTCCATACTTGACAGCCCAGATCCAAGGACTGGATGCACTGGTCACATCCAGGCTGCCGCCGTCCCAGCTAATACAGCTGTCGCATCGAATGCTCGCGGAGATGATCTCATCGTTGAAGAAGCCACTGCCCTCCAACACGGAAACATCCGCGTCCGCATTATGTTCCGGCATGACATGGCCCTGGCCGAGGCGTGGGGAGACAGTCACATTGTTGTTTCCGCTAGCAGAGGTGTACACGACGAACATGTTGGCACCGCGCATTTGAGTGCCTTGTCCAAGCGCGAACCATTGTACGGGGCTCGTGGTGTTCAGTTGGAAGAAGATCGGGCCCTTCCCTGAATCGGCCGTGTCCTGAGGGACATGAATCGTAAAGGTAAGTTCGGTTCCTGCAGGACTAATGCTTTCAAATTGGGCGGCCGCCTGAAAGGCCCAGAAAAACCAACACAGAAGCCTCATCATCGTGTCAAGCGTGGGTGAGAGGTTTGCTTCAATTCTTCGAGATGGGGCCGAGTCTTTTATACGACGGCTGTTACACTGACTCCCACATAAAACCATATCCTGTTGGGATGTCGACCGCGCCCTTGGCGTGCGTCTGCGGTTTGATATCGGGGTGCTACTTGTATTTGGACCAAGGTAGTGGCTCTTCTCCGCGATAACATTCTGTCACCCAATGATTGACCAGCGACCGATATTGGCCCAGCCGACTTCCTTCTGGAGTTGGAAGGCGACGATTTGCCAAATCAAGTATAACGGAATGGTAATCCGCACGAACAATCCTGGCAGCGGGATTCCGTGCTGCGCCTCCACGACTGCCGAGCACACTAGGAATTGCAATAGCGACGATCTCCTGAGCGGGCCACGCGGCCAAGCGGAATCTTCAAAGAGCCTACATGACCCTTCGTGTCGTCGATCAACAACGTCGTAAATAGCATGTAACGTGCCCTTCGTGGGATGTGAATGGTGAATGCAATTACTCTTTGTGGCACGGCTCCCGCGTGTGGGGATGGCGAGGTCTTGGCGTGGCTATGCTACTACCTTTTTTGATGTTTACCCCAACTTCCAGGACTTCATGATCGAAAATTAGAACGAGAAGGATCTGATTGCATTTAGGCACCTGCATTCTACCAGATACTTCAGAATATTTCCGGCCGCACGTCCCTCAAAAGTCCCTTCTCGCATCAACTATGCAGCATTGTGACAAAGCCCTGACTAATGGGCACAGCCGCATGCCAAGGGTGTCAACATGCATCATTATTTCACACAGCGCCGCGGATATTCCTAATCGTGCCGTCCGTTGATTCCCACGAGCAAGAATCAGGAGGCTGCTCATTGGCTCGCTGTTTGCTACCTACCCGTAGCAAACCTGGATTTCTACCTCAATGCCCTCCCGTATCTCATAAACAGCAGAGGCACCGGCAGTGCCAAGCAAGAGATGCCACCGAGCAAACGGGCCGCAGGAACAACTCCCAAGTTCAGAAACATCGGTTGGGCGGCGATAGGCATTGTACAGGCAGGGACCGATCGAATAATCCTATTCGGAGACAATGCGCTCACTGCGTGATGCCCATAGCTGTCTACCAGAAAGTTCAGACACTGCTGGAAAGAAACACTGAAGCTAACTCCGACAAATACGGTGTTCTCGACGTCAGTAGACGCCAAATGCGAGATTATAAATATCTCATCTCACGTCATCCTACCTCCTGCGACGAAAGGAAACAGCCAAGTGTACTTTGGGTCGGCCATCCAACCCAACCAGAACAGATCAGCTGAAAGCAAGATTGCCTCGAGAATGTTAGGCGGTAGATGCGCCTCGGTGACAGCCACGTTACCATTGGCTGCGAAGGCTCGCTTGTAGTGCGGCTGGTTGGCAAAGTCGACAATCACGGAGAATTGCACTTTAATCAAAATTGACAGGAACGGCAGAGTCGACACAACGAGACTCCATTCACGATGCTCTCTGAAGTCTATGGGGAAGACCTCGAGAGCGAGATAAACAAGGCTGGAGGTGAAAGAGGCATAGAGGGCTATGCACGTCACCATGGGCTCTGTAAATAGCATTCTTGTCACGATTCAAGTGGGATCAGCGAGTGCTAAAAACGGGGTTCATCAACGACGCGTTCGAGATGGCTTGCCTCAACGGCCTGGCAAGATGTTTGCTCAAAGGAGTTGACATGTTCATGTGCTCCTTTTCATGGGGATGCCAATAGCGCTGATTCCCAGTGTGCTTGCGCAGTTTTGGGCCTTTCGGTTCAGCAGAACAGGCGGGTACGTCTCAGGCAGGCACCAACTACACAGAGCGTACAAAACGAGGGCCAGGATAGCTTCGAGATACTCTGTCCCTGGATGTTTGCAGTTTAGCGGCCTATTGTGATTCACCTCATCAACGTTCACAACCTACCCCACCATCCCAAATGGTGATGCGTCGTGAGAGCAGCTCCAATGATAGGACCGATCGTCGGGCCTCCAGAGATACACGTTGAGACAACCGTCATTGCATTACCACGAGTGGTAGCATCAAAGAGATCTCCTAGTCCTGCTAGGACGTTGCTAATGGGAGCGGTCGCGAAGATACCACCTAAAAAGTGGGTGAGGAAGATGCCGGCTGGATTCTGGCTAACGAGTGTTCCAATACTCAGAATTCCAAGGATAAACATCGCTGGCAGCATTCCCATCCGACGACCGTACAGTTCACTGATCGGACCCCACACCATGGGGCCAAAGGTCCAGCCTGGAATTCTATCAGCATACTGAGAACACTGACAATGCCGCTCACTCTAGACGAGGTATACGAACGAGAACAAAAGTGCTAGGGTGAGAGATGTGACTTTGGTGCCCATATGCATGTATTCAGCGAGACTGGCTTCAGCAGGTGACATGACGAATAATTCGAGGGAGCCGACCAGGGCGAGCAGGCGCATCTGTCCCACCAGCCATATCTTGTTTAGTGTATGAAATTTCCGGGGGTTTGTCGGATCGCCGTTTTCGAATTGGACCTTGAAAAGGTCTACAGATATGATGTCTTTCTCGCAGTTGACGCTATTCTCAGAATATCGGTGGTCAATTTCGTTTTTCGAAATTTCATGAGAATTTCCAAGAATTTAAATGTTTCTCTACTCCAGCACGATCGTCTTTACTGGCAGCAGTCGCTCAAGTCCCCAAATCGCATCTCGATGTCCATGGGCATCCCACCGACAGGCTTTGATTGATTCGTCCCGTCCTTGTTCCACTCTCGCATCCAGCTAAACTGATTTCTTTCTAGTGGCGGCCGCCGGACCCACAGGAAGCTGGGACCGGGGCTGATTTTTGTTCAAATTGCTAGCGGCGGTCGACACTATTTCTTTCCATTCTCCTTTCGTACTTCCTGACCTTTGTTCTCAACACTCTACCTCACTGCGGATACTTCACCAAGCGTGGAATTTTCTGTACATACGACGAGTCACCATTTAGTGATGCCACTCCTATATCTGGAGATCATTTCTGGACAACTGGACTGCTATCTCCATGGTCTTCCATCCATCCTTTGAATCTAGCTCTTCTCGGCTCCACGCATTCCACTCCATCAAGCAATTTAGACTCATTTATCCATCTACAGGCATCTAATATCTTTCGACTAACCGAGCACTCGTTCTCGACAATCTGCCATCGTAACTTTCGAGGGGACCACGGATCGCTTGCAATCATCTCTTACGATCATCTCCAAGGGTTAATGGACGCTTCCTCTGTTATTCCCGCCAATCTTTCACTTTAATGCTTACCATGTCTCTGGTCGCACTTTATCCATCTGAGGATCCCGCGAGACAAATCATGTCGCCGCAAGCCCTGTATCCGGAGTTTAAGACGCTATTCATGTGACTGCAGTTTCGTGTCACTGGATCTATCCGGTTGATTCAGGCGGGCCTGCTCTTAACCGTATACGAATACGTGTGTGGCAAGCCCGACGATGCATATATCTCAATTGGAACATGCTGTTGTTGTAATTAGTCCGTCGGTCGGAGGCCAGAGAATGACCGGCTCTATCAACTTGAGGAACAAAATATACAATGGAGCATCGTCTACTTGGAAAGGTACGCTTCCTACATTACATTATAACGGCTCATAGTCCTGATAGCGCCAACATTTAATCCGACTCGTTATCTTCAAATGCCCTCCTAGCTATCAATATACGGTGCAAAGTTTCCCTGATCCGGATACACTTCCTCTGGACACGAACTTTTGTCCCTCTCTTTGCTCAGAAAAAATCTTGACAAAAACCTTACCGTCGGAGATACATTGGCCACGAACGTGAGCTGCTTCGGTCGTCAACTACAGGCCGTTTTTCTCTAGGACCAAGTAGTGCAACCACTACCCGGACCCAATCGCTCAGCTTCTTAAAATTGAGAAACTTGGACGAGAGGCTGCGGAAATTCCTCGCCATACTGATGGATCAATCAATCCGTCGGCGCCAGTGTGGCGCGAATGGAACTGTCATCAGGTGAGCTTTTCCATTTGTACATGGACTTGCCCTGCCAGCCTTCTCCTGTCTAACAAAATGGAATTTGGCACGGAGCAAATCCATCATGGGCCAGCGCCATTATGCCTCAAACCAAACCCCCTCGATCCAAATCGACATACCTGACCCGCAGATCCGGTAATACTCCCCTGCAGCACTCCAGACACTATCCCGGATAATGGTTGAGGTGGTCCTTGATCGCCTAGAACAGCTGGTTCCTGATCAGCTTGATTTCCTTCCCCTGTCGTGCTCTTATAATATGCGCGCTATGATGGAGATACTCGCGATCAGCGGGGAGATGCACATGGTAATAAGGCCCTCAATTGTGCCGGTGAATTTGCGAGGCTATATGAGATTGTGCGTAGGAGATGGCCATCTCCTTAGTCGCATTGGCTTATCGGTACAGTTTTTTAAAAATAATGGTTGAAGGTGCAATGTACTATGACCTGGTTGATAAATGTAGGTAATTAGGAAGATTATTGCGCTGTTTAAGACTGTCCATCCGTGCTAATGGCATGGTCACACACTCGGCGACCGTTTACAGGAGCAGAAATAGAGACACAAAATCCGCATGGCCAAAGAAGAAAAGATACAAATGTCCGAAAGCGCTCCTGCCAAGCCTCGGGGAGGATGTCGTCGCATAAGAGAAATAAGCTTAGCTTGTCACGCTCTTTCCCCAAGCCGCCCACCTTCACCACCACCTACCAGGCACGCCGATTGCAGTGGAGCACCACCCTCAAATTGCAGCTCGCACGGTACTCGCCCACCTCGGAGGACCCTCGAAGATGTCTCCGCCGAAGCAAGAACACACGCCAAATGCCCTCCACTGTAGATTTCTGCGCCGATCGAGCATTCTTGGCGCCGCGAAGGTCCCCAAAGTATGAAGCATGCCGTGCCGATCGATTCTTGCGTTTCCTGCATATAAAGCAGTGCTTCGATGACTTCGTCATGGCTGCAGATAATCGCATTCGGAATGGGAAGCAAGATGTTGGTGGCTGCAGTGGCGCTTCTGCTGGGCCAGGCACAGGCAGTGCCAGGCCACGCGCAGGAGCACCTCGTGCGAGTGACAACTTCTGAGACGGTGTTTGCGGGCGAATTGGCCAATATTCACCTGAAATGGCAAAGCAGCCCTCCTCCGGTCATCAAGGCTGTTTATGCGTCGTGCCGCAACCCCAACAGCACCATTGCCGAAGAACTCATTGGCCAGTACAATATCGAACATCAGCCTCCTCAGCGTCTGGCGTGGGCGGTGCCAAAGAACGCCCACCTAGACCACTGCGTCTATGTGTATGGCAGCTCGCAACATTCAGACACCGAGCAGGTGATCGGTAAAAGTCGACCTGTGCATCTCCAACGAAAGGTCAAGAAAAGATCCGCGGCCGACATCGACAACCCGCTTCTGCAAAACTTCGACGCTCTGGGAACCTGGTTCGACGGCGTGGCTGCTATCAAGCAGAAGACGAATAGCCATGGAGGCGTGTCGTCGGGGGCGTCCCCAAAGAATGCTTCGATTGCGATCGTGGGAGGTGGCATCTCGGGCCTAGCCACCGCGCTGATGCTCGACAGCGTCGGCATTCACAACTGGGAGATCATCGAAGCCAGCGAGCGAGTGGGCGGCCGGTTCCGAACTAAATACATGGCCAACACTCAAGAATGGGCGGAGATGGGCCCGATGCGACTGCCTCACTCGGTCACGTACAAAGACGACAATGAGACCCTGCCCTATACCGACCACCAGATGGTCTTCCAGATGGCCGAGATCTTGAACGAGATGAACGGCAATGACTCGCAGTGGAAAATCAATTTCATTCCCTGGATTCAGCACCACCCCAATGAGTTGATTGCCCAAGGCACGCGCCGACACCCAGACGGCCGCATTCCAACACGAGGCGAGATCGAGGCCGATCCCAGTTTGAACGATGCCCCCGCCATGACGAGCACAGAGTACGAGAGTACGAAGCAGAAAATGGACAATATCATGAAGAACGAAACTACCCTCAAGTCCATCCAGAAGGATGTCTGGCAAGCCCACAAGATTGCCATGGACGAAGGTCTAGATGACTGGAGCGAACAGGCCATGATGCGGCACGTCTTCAAGGCCAGTGAAAATGTGACCGACCAGATCTGGACCGATTCCGACTACGACGTATTCTGGGATGAGATGCATCACAATTCTAACCTTGGTCTGGATGGCAGCAGCGAATCCCTGGGCGAGACGCACTGGCTTTGCATTGATGGGGGTTTCGGCCGATTTTCCGATGCTTTCCTGCCTCACGTCAAGAACAGACTCGTCCTCAACCGGCAGATCCGCAAGTTGGAATCTATCCAGGGTCAAAATAGCGCCCTGCGCACTCGTCTGTCGTGGTATCCAAGTGTCACCAACCGTACATTCGAGTCCAAGGAGTACGACTATACGATCATGGCAGCCCCATTCACCATGACCCGCTTCATGGACCTGCCCACCTTCTCATCCGTCCTGGGGCGCGCGATCAGTGAAGCCGGCGTCCGGTTCAAGTCTGCATGCAAAGTCGCTCTGCTATTTTCCGAACGCTTCTGGGAGAAAGGCGACAAGCCGATTTTTGGCGGATACTCGAAGCCACCCAGCGATCCGATCGGAGCCCTCTACTATCCGGTATACGGACTCAACGAGTCACGGCCTGGCTTGATTATGCACTACCGCGGAGGAGATTGGAGCGACCGCTTCGTCAGTTTCTCCGACGAGGAGCATGTCCAAACTGTTCTCGACTCGATCGTCTCGCTCCATGGAGAACATGTCCGCGATCTCTACACGGGCGACTACGAGCGACTCTGCTGGCTTCAAGACCAGCACACCGCGACGGCGTGGTGCCGACCCGACGTGGAACAACACAAGCTGTACATTCCAGCCTACCACAAGACAGAGCATAACACCATCTTCATCGGCGAGCATACCGCTCCCACACATGCTTGGGTCAGCTCTTCCCTTCACTCTTCTGTGCGTGGATCGGTGCAATTGCTGTTGGAGTTGGGGTTGGTGGACGAGGCCAAGGAACTAAACAAGCGGTGGATGGGCCGGTGGATCAAGCTCTGAAACGTTGCATTTCGTGTAGGATAGTACCATACTAGTAGATACCAGGGTAGATAACGAGCTCCGCCGGGCATCTTGGCAAGTACCTAGGATACGATTGTATTGCTGGGAGGGTTAAGGGTGTTGATAAGAAACCTGGCACATAGATCAATACAATAACCCGAGCCGGGCTGGACCTTCCCCGCGGCTACCTCGATTCCCGCATTTCGGTTCTTGAGACATCCTCGATCATTTTTACATAATGTATACCAGCTGGGCACCGCTCATCTGCCAAGAACACTACGATAAGAGTCAGGGCTGAATGTCCCGGCCTCCAGTCCACCGCGACCACCAGGCCCCCATCTTCAGAGAGCCGGGCCATCCTGCTGTTATCTCTGACGCGCATCTGCCCGATGAAATCGCTCGGCAGCTCGGCCAACCTCCTCGCAATCGTCGGTTGATCGACAGTGCCAAGTGCTAAGCGCTAGGCATCTGCTTGTCGGAGGATCGGTATCTTCGACGGAGTAACCCGAATGCAGTGCCAAACTTTGCTAGCTTTTGGAGTAGGATGAGGGGTCAATTGGCGACTGCCTCGTTATGACCTCTTTTTTATTCTTGATTTCTCTTCTGGTGTCATTTTTTACGTTACACTTACCAGGAACCAGTAGCACAGCATGGCAGTGTTCCTGCGTGGTCGGACCTTTTGGGGAGCCTGATGCTGGCTACAGCATTTGCCGTGTCGACTTCTGCCTCGGCGACCACGACTGTAAACAGTGGGAAGCTGGTCGCACTCAATGGCATGGACTATTATGTGGGAGGTGTCTCAGTGTCCAAACTGGCTTCGTCAACACATTTGAATTGGAATTGGACCGACTCAGACATTGTGCCGATGACCGTGATACGGACTAAAGAAAAAGACTTTACATCGGATGATTACGAGGATACCATCGCCAACTTTACGGCCTCCGACGACGTCTTTAATTCTAATTTTCTGGAAGGTGTGTTGCATATACAGAGGCCAACTCCAACACCATTCGACTAACTGGCCTCGTTTCTGTACAGTGATTTTTGTCGACTACGACGGACAGGGTGAGGGTAACATTGATTCGACTGGTGGCTGGCGCTTTGAGAATGCGACGACTAGACTCGCAATTGCATCAACGAAATATAGCTCACATAGATCTATGGTCCTTGCTCATTTGCAGAAGCCACTCCCACAAGGGCCATACTTTATCTCGCCTCGGACCGGCGATGTGTTCAAGGCCTTTCGTCTCTATTCTGATCACCAACTGGCCTTTACCGAGGCAGCCGTTAGTGACGAGAATGGAGGTTTTATGCCTCTTCCAGCAGTTACAGAGGTTAGCTCAATTACTCCTGCACGTCTCTATCTCTTGTTTCTTCTATTGACTCGATCCAGGGTGCTATGACAAAGAGTGTTGCCGTGCCATCCCGACTATACTATACGCGAACATCCGATAAGCCGCTATCAGGGGTTTGCCAAATCTCTCCCGACACTATTTGGACATTCTGGCTAACACATTACTCTAGCTACGATGTGGCGTGAAAGATATTTTCCATCTAAAGGGTTTGCGAACCAGCGGCGGAAATCGCGCATATCACGATCTTTATCCCGCGAGAAATACCACTGGAACGGCTCTTCAGCGACTCATCGATGCCGGTGTCGTGATAGTCGGCAAAATGGGAACGGTACAATTCGCCAATGGCGATAACCCAACCGCTGACTGGGTTGACTTCCATTGCCCATTCAACCCGAGAGTAAGCCTTAACAAGGAATAGTTAGTGAGTTCATTTCACTAATTGGCAAATAGGGAGATGGTTATCAAGCTCCCGGCGGCTCTTCTTCCGGTCCTGGCGCAGGTATCGCCTCGTACGACTGGCTGGATATCGCGGTGGGCAGTGACACTGGTGGCTCGATGAGGAGTCCAGGTGGTATGCAGGGCGTCTTCGCCAACCGTCCTTCGACTGGTGCAGTGGACCTAGATCAGGTTCTCCCACTATGTCCTGATTTGGACACGGCAGGTATTTTTGCGCGTGATGCGAAAACATGGTCGTCGACGCTACATGCATGGTATCCCAACTTCACGGATTATAAACAGTATCCAAAACGGATATTCTATCAGAATTCTTCATTCCCAAGTGTGAGCAGTGAAGCTGGAAAGCTGCTTGAGATCTTTGTTTCTAAAGTCGAGAAGTATCTGAGCACCCGGAGAGAGTATGTGGACATTGCTCAGCACTGGGAGGAAACGCATCCTGCAACTGCACCAAGTAATGTGACAGATTTGCTGAACACGGTGAGTTTGAAAAGTCTTGAATTCCTAATCCAAGTGCTAACTCCTATCAGACATATGCGATTCTCACTTCTGTGGCACAGTATCGCTCCCTGGCTTTGCCATTTTATGCCGACTACGCTTCAAAGAATGGTGGGCGTCGTCCCTTCGTCAATCCCGGACCCTTGGCGCGCTGGTCATGGGGCCAAGAGAACGGGGGTGATTCAGTATACGACATCGCCCTAAGGAATAAAACAATCTTTAGGGACTGGTGGAAGTCCGAGGGATATGGAAAGGCAAACGAAGATACCTGCTCCGAGGGCATCTACCTCTATCCTTATACAAAAGGCGAGAGACAATACCGGAATGTCTATTTAGAGTGAGTCAATCAGCAACCCTGATCGTGATTGATGGAATTAACAAACCCTCCCAGTGCACCAACGGCACCTCCAATGGGATTCATGGATGGACGCATCTCGAACATGGCGGATGTACCGGATTTTGTGGTTCCCGTTGGAGAGATATCGTACAATTCAACCGTCTCTCTCATGACAGAATATATGCCGGTGACAATGAGTTTCGTCGCGGCCCGTGGATGCGACTTTATGTTGGCGAGCCTAATTCAAGACTTGGAAGTTGCAGGGATTGTCAAGCCGGTCAGCACTGGATCGAAAATGTATCCAAGACACTGACACCAGAGGGATTTTGTGCTCATACTTTCAGTATAGCTGTATTTCAATTCTTAGTTCCATTTATTTGGTACATATTCCATAAATTGCCTTTCTGAGTAATTCTCCAAAAACGCTTTGAAATCGGATCGGACTAGATTAGATCGAATGTGATTACCAAATCATCCAGATTATCGGACTAACTAGATCAGAGCACGAGATGAAAGACTCGCCGGTGTTTTTACTTTTGGCTTCTGTGGGTTTTATTGCTTGTTTATTGACTGGCGATATTATCATTCGCGGCTAATCAGTATCGCTATCTCGATTCCTCCTTTCTCAATTTCTTAACAGGAGTAAATTTTGCGGGTTTATCCACCTTTGATCACGAGGTGGACTCTCATCCTGAATCCAATATCGTCTTCTTATAGCATCTACAGTGGATAAATAAATTTCAAGTTCTGTCGATCCGTACAGTCATGATCGCGATCACTGATCTTGACAATCTCACCACCCGCGTCAATCACCTCATCTCCATCAGAGTCTGACTCGCTTTGGGCTAGAATCTGTTCGCGTCTTTTGTTCTCGCGTTGAAGATAAAAACGAATGATGATGCACATGACGGGAGAAATGAACCAGAATGCGGTCATGAACGCCCACGGCAGGACGTATCGCGGCTGATACTTTGCTTCCCAGAATCTGTCCAGAAAAACAAATAGATTAATAAGTAAATGGTTCAATAAATTAGACCTGGACCACTTACTCCGGCGAAATCATGTTTGCGACCGATGCAGCGACGATGCAAGAAGTCATAAGGCAGAGCTTCTTGGTGTGGCCGGTGGTCGTCGTACCCGCCCAGCTTATTCCCAGTAAGTAAGAGGGCTTGAATGTAGAGATCTGAGTGCCGACAACCAGAGCGATTTTGTTAGTCCAAGGTGCAGACAGCTAATGAGAGTACTGTTAATGAAGTTCTCAGGTCCTTCGTAGCTGGTAGTACTGTGTGACTTACCTCAATTATCCCCCCGATGAGACATGGGATGTAAGAGATGGCGCACGTATATCCAGTTCCCAAATCAGTGCCATAAAGCAGCGTTGCTGATGCAAGGATTAGGATAAATCCCCAGAGTGGCTTCACGATGTTGAATAACGCGCTCTCTGCCGGCGTGAATCCGAACCCGACAATGATTAGAGGGAGTTGCTGAGACGTATTGTTCGGAAGCTCGTTGAAGAACATATGGAAGCTAAAGCCTGATCATTAAACTTTAAACTCGTTGATCCCGGCAAGTGGGTTATACTGACATGAAAAGCCAACTCTTAACGTCTGTGAACGACTCACGAACCTGCGACCACTTGAACGTCGAGTTGGAAACACCAGCATGAGTATCCCGAATTATCTCTATGGTATGGACCTTCTCTTCGACCGAAAGCCATTTTGCGTCAAGTGGCGAGTTAGGGAGGAATATCAGTAAAGGGAGAAAGATGGCAAATGTCAGGACCGCGCAAATGATATGAAGCCATTTCCAAGAGGAAATACTGCCAGTCAGCGACCCATTATCATCGTCGATGATCAGCTTATACGATATCATTGTCAGGAGAACATTGGCGAGGCTTCCAAAAGCCCACCAAAGTAGCTGCACCCAGGGGCTCTTTTTCGGCGGAAAGAATGCTTGGTGGAGGACAGCAGTTGACGGCACGATCTGCGATTCTGTCTGAATAAGAAGTCAGCTTGACACAAAAAAGAGGTAAGACCGAGCTCCTCCATTTCCAAAGACGTACCATCCCTAATAGGAAACGCACTGCCATCATCTGCTTTCCTGTTTTCACTGCCGGGTGGACACCTAGCAAAAGAGCCCAAAGAAACAGCGACCCTGTAATGAAGTACTTGTGCCCGACTCGCTGGGAAATCCATGCCCCAGGCCAAAGCGCAATGAGATAACCAGCATAGAAAAGCATGAAAAGCTGATTGTACTCATTTTTCGTCATCTGCACATCTTTGAAAATCCCCATTGTACTAGCCGATGAGAGAGTCGATTTGTCCAAATGAATGAGGAATGAAATCCACCACGTCTGGATCAGAAGATACCAGAAATTCTTTCGGACCACCTTTCCCTCAAGCTCGGGGGTCAGGGGCCGCACCTTATTCTTATTCGTATTGTAGAAATAGCTCGTATCATCGGTATCCTTCTGGTTGATGATTCGTCGCTGCTGGGAAGACCTGCGGGCTACCTCTTTTGCATGGTCGTGGCTCTCCTCTCTTGAGTCCGGGGCTCGAACATCTGTAGAGACGCCGCTACTTTTCTCGCCCGACATGATCTGTGTACTCTGGTGCTTTTTTGATTGTTCAATTCAACACCACGAGTTCATCAACTTATAGTATTTTGCAAAGCCATTCAATATCGGGAAAACCCGCATGTCAAAGCGCAGCACCTCCAAGGTTCTTAAGGGCTGCCAGGCCTCATTTGCTTTCTGGCGGGCGTCGCGCTTAGCTCTTGGCCTAGGCCATCAAGCTCGGCCAACCTTTGCTTGGTAGGCCATTAAGCTCGGCCAACCTTTGCTTGCGACCAAACAAGCCGTTCTGGGCACTTGGCTAATAGTACCTTGGGGAAAGCACCTCAGCTGCCAAGATGAGGCAGCCTGCTGGCCCGCTCTTGGTTTTCGATGCCAAGAAGGCTGTGTTGCATCGAAGGACCTTGGGGCTGACACTCAATCCTTCTCCAGGATCACAATTCAGAATACCGGAATTAACGAACCTGTCCTCGTCCTCGTATAGTATTATCGGAACAAATTTGTATGTCCCTGTCATGCCCACTGGACAAGGATATCTATCGTGTTTGAAGCAAAAAGACTTCTCAACTGTATGAGTTCAGAAAGAGCTCCTGCTTCGTGAATAAACACTAAAGCTCGAAACCCGGTCTTTTGCCTTAGACTGTGCGGCAGCAGTGTACCGAGGAGATAATCAGGTAGGCGGGTGTGGCATATCATCAGGTATATTACCAGATATCGGGTGATGAGCCAGGTGGTAGGAAGATACAGTATTCAAAATAGCAAGACAATGATGGAGTTGAAATTTGACGAAGAAATTGGTGCTGTGTTTGTCCAAGGGTTTCAATTGACTATCTAAAATATGTCGTATAAAAAAGTAGTAGTTCTAAGACTTTCATGAGACAGCGGGAAAGTCCAACCAGGGTAATTAGACACGAGGATGAGAGATATTGCGCGGTCCATCCGGTCCTTCTTCGAGACCATTTCTTCGAGGCAGATCGGGCCGCCATCGCCAAAACGGGCGCATGTACGACGTACTCTCGCTCGGTTTCTCCAAAATATCCGCCGCGTGCTTTAGTCAAGTATATTAGCCATCAAGTTTCGCCAAGAGATACCTTGTGAACTTACCTGACCGAGGATAGGGAGGAATTTGGCCCCATGGCCACTGCCACCGGTACAAACAAAGACCGAATTTTCTGCGTAATCAGGGGAGTAGTCAATCTGGTTGCTCGTGTGAGTTACTGAGAAAAGTCTGTTCCAAGGGGGAAGTGCGGATCTTACCACGAAGGAGTTGTCCAATGAATCGGTATACCAGCAGAGCTTGGTAGAGTAGAATGGAACACTCTCGAACTCCGGTAGGAAGATAGAAACAAATTGCCTGATTGAATAGACGGCTTGCTCTTGAAGGGATAAACATTCTTTCGGTGGGAGGGGCACCGACCACTGTTTATCCTGCGTGAACGGTGTTCGGTCGGGTGCAGGTCTGAAGTTGGTAAACTGAAGGTATCGGTCAATTTGTCATCGATGCAGCGTTTTCCGACCATGCTTACCTTCATCCCACGATATCCGATCTTCACAAGTCCCTCCGGGGTACGAGGCAGAACATAGATGCTACCGGTATCTTTGCCTGTAGGGTCCCGAGGAGTACTTTTCCAAGTTAGGACTGGAAACTTCTCAGGTGAATACTTCTCCCAGAGCTCGGTGTCGCTCGGATCGATCTTGAAAGTGGCTAAACTCCCAGCGGAGGACTCGAGATGGTAGCTCAAATCGGGCAAGATTTGTGTCGAAAAAGATCCGGCTATTCAATCCGTACCATAAGCGGTGCAATGTGAGTTTCCTTCGATCGAGGCAATTCTTACCAGCAACCACAACAACATCGGCATTGTAAACCGCGCCGCTTTTTGTCTCTATACCTGTCACCTTCTCCTTTGAAGAGTCAACACTGCTCGGTGACTTCACCAGCGATTTAACAGCGCCATCCTCGGGCCCAAAGTGGAACTGGACTCCTTTCGATGCTGCTAGCTTCTGGTAGTAAGTGCAAGCATTACTGCATCTCACAAATCCAGCCGTCGAATCAAGTACAGCTTCATAGGATTCAGCAGGGGAAGTATGCGGGATTCTGAATTCGAGCAGCTTCTTTTCCCATCCCTCGCTCTCTGCCCGTCGTTGGTCTTCGGGGTCACTCCTGACGAATTGCGTTTCCCTCAGACCGTCGCGTTCATAATTCGCTAGCGTCTCCTTCTCTAGTGCTTCGAGATGGTCCGATGGCTGAACTCGTAGCATGCCACTATTGACGAAGAGTCTCTTCTCACCGGACTCAGAAGCTTGTGGCGAGAAACCACGTTTCTCATCTTCGGAAACCCAGAGCTTCCGACTTTCCATTGCAAGGCGCTGGTAATGAAGCTCCTTCCCGTATGACGCTCGGAACTAAAAGCGAAGCTATGAGTGTCGTTCGCGACTCCAATCATCTCCGGTATACCCACGATCTTGTTATGGTCCACCGATGCAGCTTGGATGTCTTCGTCGTTTGCATCATATGAATTCTGATCATAGTGGTATCGTTCAAAAACGGTGACCTCATGGCCTTTTTGCGATTCAGTTCAATGTTTCTTCCTCTAGCGTTCCTCGAGCTGGATACTCACCCCGATCGCGAAGAGCTACGGCCAACGAGAGGCCGAAAATGCCCGCTGCCACAGATGAATTAGTGACTCGATTGCGAAGGAACAAGCTTGGGATACACATACCTCCAATGATTGTGACTGATTTGTTCCCTGACATTCTTTCCTTTGCTCGCAGGGAGGGTGGTGCGACTGAGAGGTGGTGTCGTCGCGACGCCCCGCCGTTAAATACTCCAAGTCCCCGCAGCGGAGCCGAGAATCGCCCGACACCCCAGGGTCCCCGATAATCATCATACCAGGCTGGTATACTGCTTCATCGTGCTACCATTCCGTCCTTGGATTGCGTTAATATAGCCTGTGTTCAGGAGCCACCGTGGTAAGCGTGTAATTTGTCAGGTGGAATGCTGCTGGCGGGCGACGATACGGGAAAATCAACTTTTGGACATAAAATGTTGACAAAGTAGGAACACCCATGGAGCCAAATTCAATCGAATGGTACAAAGTTTGTTGTAGCGTGGCTTTGGCAGGAAGCTGCAGAATGGAAAGTCGTGTTGGGTTGTTGCAGCCTCACTCTCGTGCCATGCAAGCAATGTGTTTCGGCGCCGAACTCATATTTCTCGGCGCCGAGTCAGATATCATCAAGGCTCCGAGACGAAGACGCACAGGCGTATAAAAACTTGGCCTCGCAAATAAATGTTGCACAGCAAATATGCTTCAAGGTTCAATATCTTCCTTGAAATCTAGCAGTGATCCATGAATGCCATGTCCGACCCGAAGAGACAATCTATAGAGCCTGGTCCCTCTGCCTCGAACACCGCCAGGAATCAACTTCACACCAAACAAGAGGCTGAGGTTCCAACTGAGCCTCAGGAACAGAATATAACCGGCATGCGACTGGCTTTGATTATCGCCGCCATAATCAGTGCCATATTTCTAGTCGCACTTGTAAGTGCCTTCCCTTCTCCATGTCGTTGGCAGTAACTAACCAGAAATCTCCTCCACAGGACCGAACCATCATCGCAACAGCCGTTCCCAAAATCTCCGATCAATTCCATGCTATCAGCGATATTAGCTGGTATGCCAGCTCCTACCTCCTGACTAGCAGTGCAACCCAACTCCTCTGGGGCAGACTCTATACATTCTATTCGACCAAGATACTGTTTTTGGCAGCGGTGGTCGTCTTCGAGGTTGGCTCTGCTGTATGCGGTGCCGCCCCAACTTCTAAAGCATTCATTATCGGACGCGCTATTGCTGGAATTGGATCCGCGGGTATCCAGAACGGGTCGACGGTCATCATTACACAGGTGCTACCATTGCATAAACGGCCACTGTTTATTGGACTGATGGGCTCAACGTTTGGCATCTCCGCGATTATCGGACCTCTGCTGGGTGGCGCTTTTACAGATCAAGTTACCTGGAGATGGTGCTTTTATATCAAGTGAGTTAAACCCTAGATCATTCATTTTCGATCATACAAAGCTGACTGCTCTCTGACAAGCCTCCCAATCGGCGGTCTCACTCTGCTGATTATCTTCTTCTTCCTTCGCGCACTATCAGTCTCTTCAACCGCAACATTAAAACGCCAATTGATACGCCTTGATCCTCTGGGCACCGTCTTGTTTCTGCCCGGCGTCATCTGCTTCCTCTTGGCTCTGCAATGGGCGGGGACCACTTACAGCTGGGACAACGGTCGCATCATCGCCCTTTTCGTTCTCGCAGGAGTCCTTCTCATTACATTCTGGATTATTCAAATCTGGCGCAAAGAGGATGCAACCATCCCACCTCGTATCATCAAGCAACGCAGTATTGCCTGTGGCGCCGCCTACACCTCCTGTATCTATGGATCCATGGTCGCCATGCTCTACGCTTTACCACTCTGGTTCCAGGGCGTAAAAAACACCAGCGCAGTACAGTCTGGCATCGATAATATCCCCATGGTCCTTGCACTTGTCGTCGCCAGTATCATCTGCGGCAAAGCTATTGCAGGCATTGGACACTACGTCCCCTTCATGTTCGTCGCGGCCGCATTGATGGCCGTCGGCGCGGGCCTGATCACTACTTTTAAAGTCGACACCGGCCACGCAGCCTGGATCGGATACCAGGTACTTTTTGGTCTCGGTTTGGGCTGTGGTATGCAACAGCCAATGATGGCTGCTCAGACTGTATTAGCCCAGGCAGATGTCTCCATCGGCGTCGCTTTGATGTTCTTGTTCCAGTCCCTTGGTGGAGCAATCTGGGTTACCGTCAGCCAGAATCTCTACACCAATTATCTCGTCAAAATGCTGCCCGGCGTATCTGGTATCGATTCCAGCACAATTCTGCGGGCTGGTGCGACCGGTCTTCAAGATACAGTTCCGAAAGACAAGCTCGATGCCGTACTTTTAGTCTACAATGCGGCGCTTCACAGGGCATTCTTCGTGCCCGTGGCACTCGCTTGCGTGACGATACTACCAGCGCTAGGAATGGAATGGCGCAACATCAAAAATGAGTCGGAAAAAAGAGAAAAGGCAAAGCTTGTCGGTACACTAAATGAGGATATGCCGAGGGGAGAAGAGAAGATCAGAGCAGATGAAAGGGATGCTTAATTCCCTAGACTGGTATATTGCATATAGCCTCTTAGAACTAGTTCCATGATATTGCAAATTATAATCTCCACTCCAGACTCCATCCCAGAACGATTAATTTCTTCGGGATGATTCTGCACGGGTTGCACTGTAGCTTGTGCGAATCCACGGATCAACATGATCGTCTTCACATGTTCGCTCGGACTTTGCAGATACATCTTTACACCATCGCACACTAGAACTGTTGGAATCTTCCAATGTCACAAATCAATATAGTAGATGCTTTGATATTATATCTAAATGCTAGAATCCTGTTCATTTCTTGAGTTTTGCATTCCATTCTACCTGAGACGCTGCTGACGATTCAGAGCCGTATAACGATCTCTGCATCGAGAATGTGGGGTACGACCAACCGCCGAGATGAAGATCTACCATTTGCCCCATAAAGCGTTCGCGTTCACAAGCGCGACCGGTCTAAGGAGTTTGTGTGAGACATCGCGGGCAAATTTGTGCGGCGCTTGATCGACCCACCGCGTCCACCGTCTCCGCCAACTAAGCAACAACTATGAGATGAGGAGTCCACTTCCTCGTTAAAACGCTTGTGTAGGGGGAGCCCCGCTTTTTGTCTGTGGGTTTGCTGCTGAACTTCCCAGTATTTTGATGTTCGGAACCTTCCGGACTGCAGATCGATGGTGTCATTCTGCATGAAGTTCCGGTGCAGAAGTTCCCAGCGCGGTCGTTGATCGAGGATTTCGAGTTACTTGGGTGGTCAGCACATGTTTTGACAGAGTCAAGCATTAAGGATCGTATATTTGAGAAGATTAATATTGTGGCAGATGCCTCGTGGAGTTAGTACAGGGGGTGAAAGGGGTATAAAAATATATACAAAAAAAAAGCCTTGCAAAAGGTAGAAAAAAGTCATATATCATCTATCCCATTCTTAGCCGCTTCGGCGCGGACTGTGCTCCATGGTACTCGGGGTGGCAGGCTCATGCGAGATCTCGATGGTAGTCTCCTGATACACGCCGCGGAAGTTGGACATTTCCATGTCGTTCTTGGGGACAATATCTTCGGTCGAGTCCTCGAAGGGGCTCTTGCAGACCTCCTTAGCCACGTTAGGACCACTTGGGCGGAATTTAGAGCCCAGACGAGAGCCCATGATTCCACCACCCTTGGTCTTCCTTGCAGACCGGCTGCCACCGGCATTGGTGGTGATCTGGGTCTGCCAATGAGAGTCGGTATTGTCGTAGTTGCGGTCGGTGGTGCTGTGCTCGGTATCAATGAGCAGGTGACGACGAGTCAAGGTGTAGACCGCCACATCCATAACACCAGAAAGGGCCATGAGGCAACCAGCGACACCGAAGTAGGTCTTGCTGGGCGAGTCACCCCGAGCGGTAGCCATACGGCCAGCGGCAAGAGGCAGCGACAAGACCAAGTAGACGAATGGGTAGATAACCATGTATACGACGACTCGGTTCAGACGGTGGAGACTCTCTTGCTGACCACGACGCAGCATCTTCGATTCGGTCATTCGGCGACGGAGATATACGAACATGACTGCATAGAGAACAACAGTACCGAATTCGGAAAGGAAAATCCAAATGTAGTGGCCCCAGAGACGTTCATTCTCGTATTCGGGACTTAGCCAGCACTAGTTGGAAAAAGGGAGTTTAGACTTCGAAAGACAGCACATCTCCAACGGGGAAGTATCACATACCCAATTGGCTTCAGAAATAACAAAGACATCTTTGCCGTAGAGGCCGACGGGAATAAATCCCAGGACAAGAATGAACATCCACAGTCCAATCACACAGTAAGAGAAAATATGGAAGGGTAACTGTCGACCGCGCAGCACAACGGCGCCAGTATGAAGGGCAATCGAAAGGACGAACAACCCACTGCCGGGGTCACCCGTCTGAATCCACCATCCTTGCAGATAGCAGGCCGGTTCTCCGTAATGCACACTGCCTCGCGATGCCCAATAGAGACTAATCACGAAAGCAATGGCCTGTTGCAGATCAACGAGCAGGAGGTTGTAAATCAAGACGACGTATTGGTTCTGGGCGAGGGGACTTTTGTAGTACCGCTGCCAGTAAACGAATCGATAGGTAAGGAAAGACAAGAGGCTGAGAGTGGATCCCAAGGAGAAGAGAGCAACCACGCCCATGGCAATAAAGAGTGATCGGTCGCTGCCCTCGAGGGGAGCTTCTTCGTGGAATTCCCAGCGGCGATTGAGGGCGCCATTTCCCGCGTCGGTTGATAAAGAGCGTAGAACGTGAGCGAGCATGGTGGCGGTAGAGAAGACTGGGACGGCGACACCGAAGAAGGCTCGGGGGCCCGAGAGAGAAAGGCTCTGTATAAGAGCCCGACAGGGCACCGGAGCCTCGGGAATTCCGATGGCATGAACTTCAGGGCCCTACGCGTGGTGCGGGCTGTACCGCATGCGATTCTCCACCGCACGGTGCAGTAACAAGGCTTCTTTTGCGTGGCAGCGCCAGGCCAGGCATGACCTCCTGTCAATCTCGACATTTTGCGACCGCAAGACGAAGCACATCCATGGTTCGCCACCGCCATAGTGGCTCTATAGCGATCCAAACGATTGGGAAGCGAGGAGGAGAAGGACCACCGTAATCACCATCCGGGTAAGCCAGTGAGGCTCAGGTACCAAAGATTGGAGCAAGGCAGTCGGGCCCCGTCGTTCAAGGCGCCATAGAGTCAAGTCTAGGTTGTTCCGAAAATTGCGACGTCGATCGGGGCAAGGCAAGCTAAGATTCGACGGCGTGGAATCAAGCATAGGGGGGTTTTACCGGAGTTAGTCCAAGTGGGTTCTTCCGCTTGTATCGGCCGGGTCTGGTCCACACTAAGCTGACAATTAGGAGGCAGCAATTGGCACTGGGAACGGAGTTGTCGCGGATGCACACAAAACGGATAAATAGTAGAGAGCAAGAAGCAAAGAGACATGGAGGGAGCCTCGTGGCGAGCGCAGGCTCTCCGGATCCTAAAGCTCATGCCGGCCGCGGCAACGTGAGAATGATCACATCACGCCGCAAGTCGAGGGCCGGAAGGTGCTGATCCAACGACGAACTTGCATGTTGGCACTTTGAGTTCGACGCTATTGGCCACGAACGTAGCTCTCTTGGGAAAACCCTCGACGAGGCCAGCAAAGTAAAATCATTAATGGGCATAGCCCCGGATCATCTGCAGATCTGATAGTGCTGATTGGGCTGGCTCTGGTCGCCGCACGAACGCCTGTGAAAACTACCGGGAGACGATAAATCGTGCGTGCATCGGCCGATCGAACGTTCCATTAGGCCGGGATGGCGATCCTACGCTCAAAGTCATGGCCCGAGCTGGATGAGGTCGTTGGCCAAGCTGAGCGCGACAGCACTCAGTGTCAGTGCATGGTAGTCCTAGAGTACGGGGTTAGATAATCGCAGGTCGGGGAAGCAGAGTTTATTTTCGAGCATGTCGATTCCAGTGAACCTGGTTTGTCGCCCGTGAGAAACAATCCGCATTGTGATGACCGTAACAGGCAGCTACCTCGGAGTCCCATTGTGTTTCGATGGGCGAACAATCGAGGACAACAAAAATCACGAGACCAGAAAGCACGTGGAAGCCTTGCCTGACAAGTTGCCTGACATAATCCATAGAAGTTGGTGGTCTTCTCAATAAGCGAGTCTCCGTGGCGCAATCGGCTAGCGCGTCTGACTGTTAATCAGGAGGTTGGAAGTTCGAGCCTTCCCGGGGACGCTTCTTTTTTGCTCTTTTTTGTACGACCAGACAAAAATATACTTCATTCGTACTTGCTTACAAGAAAGAAGTATGATTGATTGCCTTTGTTACTTTTTTTTTATTCTCCTCTCTGCTTTCAAACTTCTAGATTAAAACTTACACCGATAATCCGATATCTGGCGGTCTGCCTGTTGCCATTTCGACCTGACTCACCCGGCCGCATACTTCGATGCAACCTTACCGCAGCAAAGCACCGCCGCAACAACACTCGGCTCACCGTGACATGCGGTTGAAAACCGGTTTGGGATAAGGTGGACCCTGCAGAGCATCATCACAACCACCTGACATCCCCTCTCCGGGAGGACAGTCTCGATTTGAGCATGTCTCACTCCCCGCCCGTCTACGCCCGCCCCGCTCCCCGAAGATGGCCCTATGGCATCAGCCTCGACAACCACCACTGCGGCCTGGTCGGTCATTGAGACCGTGAGATCCCGCTTCATGTCTAAGACCTGCACTGAATGCAGTGGGCCATGGCTGCGCGACGAGAATAGCAGCAGTCTATCGGATTTCCTGATGCTCCGATCATGGATATATAAACGGGACGAGAGACCGCAATAGAGGGAAAAGACGATCAACAAAAGCCCGTCCTTTCTATACTTGCTTTCTGCGAAAAGAAATACACCCGGAATCTCAACCCCGGTTTACAATTTTCCTCACCATGAAGTACTTCACTGCCGTCACCTGCGCCCTCATAGCCTCGTTCCATCTCGCCGGCGCCGCTCCAGCTCCCCAGCCCGAGGCTGCCGTGGAGGCCGCCGCCGCCGGTACCTCGGTCTCGGTCTCGTATGATCCCAAATTTGACGTCAAGGGCTCTTCACTCAATACGGTCGCCTGCTCGGACGGTGCCAATGGCCTCGTGACCAAAGGATACAGCACGTTCGGCTCGCTGCCCTCGTTCCCCCGTATTGGTGGCGCCCCAACCATTGCGGGATGGAACAGTGCCAACTGTGGCAAATGCTACTCGCTCAGCTACAAGGGCAAGAGCATCAAGGTGCTCGCCATTGATGCCGCTCCCGGTGGCTTCAATATTGGCGTCGAGGCCATGAACCTCCTCACCAACAACCAGGCCGTGCAGCTGGGCCGAGTCACAGCGACCTATACCCCGCTTGCTGCCAGTGCATGCGGGCTGTAGGATGCAAATTTGAGTCCGACAACGAAAACGAGTTTTGACGAGCTAGGAATGCACGAACAAGACATGAGCGGGGGGCAAATATACATGAGATCGGGTGGGGTTCGGGGCCAAAGTACACGGACGGCCCATTGAGAGTATCTACTTAGTAGTAGTATCTAATAATATACGTCATGATAGTTTATATGGCAAAAAAATGTCAATCAGATCACCTCAAGCATCTCCTCCACCCGTCCAAACTTGTTTCGCACTTTGCCCTTTTGTTGACCGCGCTCTCGCTCGGCGGCATCAATGCGCTGCCAATCCTGCCAGGACGTGGGGCGGAGACCGCGACGATCGGCCTCGGGCTTGACTCCGGCCCAGCCTAGTCCGCTACTATCCTTGGGGGCATGCAGAGGAGACCTGGAGCTGCCAAGGATTCTCAGGTCTTGGATGATGGTATCGGCAGTAGTGAAGGCATCGGTCATGGTCGAGGCAATGACGCCGGTTGGGCCACGTTTGACCCATCCGGCACAATACAGACCAGGAAGGTGAGTGATGTGCGACCCATCAGGCAACTTCTGCGGCTCGCCAGACTCCGAGAAGCCTTTCACCCGGCCAAATCCGTCATTGGCGATAACACCCCGCCGAGTATCGAATTGGACGCCCACATCTTCTAGCCCGGGCAGGGGAAGTGACTTGTAGCCGACGCTGCGGAAGAAGACGCTGGCGGGAAGATCAACCATAGCAGGCTTCCCGCTGGACAGAAGCTTTGGGTTGACCTTGGAAGTTGGGGTATACGGGTCGGAGGGGTCGAGCTCGTTGCGGGAGAACTTGGCATGGGTGAGGTGGTACGGGTAGGTAGGTGACCAGTGCAGTGAGTCGGGAGAGAGGAGGAAGTCCAAAGACCAGGACTTGGGAGATGTCTGGGGATCATTGGCAGAGCCTTTGCCCAGCAATTGCATGAGACGTTTCTGTGCACGCGGGAGCGCATTCACAACGTTGTCAGGCGGGAAGATATCCTTGGAGATGGGATCGAATGAGACACCAGGAAGTTGGAGAAGCTCGCGGACCTCTTTGATGGTAAATGAAGCCTGTATCAAAAATTAGGAAAAGGTCGATTTGAAGCAAATCGTCTATGCTACTCACCTGGAGCGGTCCCCGGCGACCAACTACTCGCACCCGCTTGATCTTACTCTTGGACAGCTTCTCCAGGGCGTAGTCGGCAATGTCAGTTGACCGGAGAGCATCTGCATCTGAGAGTAGAATACGTGCGACGTCAAGAGCTACATTTCCCTGTCCAATGACAACCGCATCTTCGCCGCTAGTCAAGTCCGGCTCAAGATCCCGATGTTCGGGCAAGCCATTGTACCACCCCACGAAGGCACGGGCCGAATAAACACTTTTGACAGCATCCTCCCCAGGTATTCCGAGCTCCTTGTCCTTGGACGCGCCATATGCGAAGAGAATGGCGTCGTAATGGGGTTTGAGGGCGGTTAGAGGGAGATCGTTGCCGAGGTCGATGTTACCGACAAAATTGAAGCGCGGAGATTCGGCGACCTCGGTGAATTTGTCTTCGCAGTTCTAGAAATTTCATGTATGAGCTTATGGATCTACCACGGGCGATCAATGGCCGGTGGAGTTTGTCGCTGTCAAGCACCTACCTTGACTTCGGGATGGTCCGGAGCCACGCCGTATCTTGCTAGGCCGAATGGCACTGGAAGCTTCTCGTACATATCCACCATGGCCTCATCGTGCTTACTCAAGAGACGCGCAGCTGCGTAGAACCCTGCGGGGCCCGAGCCTACAATTGCGACTCGGGCAGGTCGGCTCGCCGGAGTGGTATTGCTGCTCAGATAGCGTGCGGAGAAAGGCAATGCCCGAGTGCGGAAGACAGAGCGGCGAGTCAACCGCGCTGTGCATTGCGCGCAGACAAAAGCGCGGTCCAACATGGCCGAGTAAAAAAGATGCCTGCGATGCTGGCTCTCGAGAACAATGACAGTCCTGGCCTCGGCGAGTAGAGAGAGGTCCGAAGTATGCAAATGTTGCAAAATGACTCCGCGCAAACCGCCCGCTCCGCTTATCGCGAGCATCACATACACGTGACGTGACTGTTGCCAGGCCAACAATCGTGTTTCCCTCGACTCCGCGCATTCCTTCCATCTCAGCCTCAAATGCTCCAAGTCAACTGTCAGATCGCACCCCCTCATTCTTCGTGCACATTCCCTTCTCGCGTGGTCTTCCACGGGAGCTTTCAGTCGCTACCATGGGAAGATCGTCGCCTCCATTCCTTTACGATCGTCCATCTACCTACAGCTTCAATGGCCCGACCGATCCAGGCTTCAATCCCAAGGCCGTGACGCAAGCGAGCTGGACTCGCTCGCCGCCGAAGCCCAAGCCGAAGGGCCCGTTGATCATTTTCAACAAGCACCCGGACACGGTATGCGCGACAATGAGTTCTCATAGATCATCGCAGAGCTAACAATCTAAATAGTGGGGCAGCTACGAGGAAAAGTCAACATGGACGCCCATGGGTTTCAACACGAAAAGAAACATCAAGTGGGCTCGCGGTACACAGCTGGGCCTCCGCTCGATCACCCTGCTGGGTGCGATTGCTTCCCTCTTCTGCTCGATTGTCATCAAAAATGCTGCGACGACCATCATTTGGATCATTCGGGCTGGCGTAAGTGGCTCCAGTCCCCACAGCAATATCGAGTCTCGATCGCTAACTGTTTGAACAGCCCATTGCCGCTGCACTGCACACTGCTTACTCCATCTATCATTTCTCTCGATCTCCAGTCAACCGTCCTGCAGGCTCACAGGCTAGCTATGGGGGGTTCGCTGCTACTCTCGATACCGGGCTGATCGCATTCTATGTGTTTACCGCTTACATCGCGCACGGAGAGTGGGCCCTCAATGCCTACCACTGGAGCACTCTTTTCGGCAATAGTGAGTTTACCATGCCTATTGCCGAGGCAACTTTCATCTGTGCCATTGTCAATGGCGGATTACACCTGATCTCTTTGGGTATCTCAGTCTACTTGGCAGTCATGTTCCGCAAAATCTCCCAGCTGCCACCTGACATGAACCCACTGGAGGATAACTTGACTGCTCGTCCTCGTCGAAGCCGGAAGGAGATTGACCTGGATGAGAAGCACATGAGTTCATCGACCCTACACTCCAACTTGGAAGACCCGCTCATTGGCGCTCCTCGCACAGTGCCCTTTATGCATACGCGTGGCCAATCTGGAGACTCTCACCGTGGATCAACTGACTTCATAAGTGAACAACGCCAGTCTCGTGCATCTATCCAGCCTCACCGACTGTCTCATCTGGAGCCCACCAGCCCTGAAATGCTCTTCCATCATCCGGCGAGTCAGCCATACGATCTCACCTCGGAGACACCGGCTCCGGAGTATCGCAATGTCACTATGGGATCTCCCGAAGTCGTCAACCCGGGGGCGAATATGCGACACATGACATCTCGGGCGGCCGACCGATCCAACAGTGTTAGCCCCCTTCGGACAACTGGGTTGCCTATTCGGAGCGTTCCCCTTCGCCTGCGGACGAAGCCCAGGAGCAGAACAGCAATAACGCCCTTCGTCAGTCCTCATCAGTTTACAGTCGACGTACCACCTCTGATGCGACTACCAATAGCGGCATCCGTGACTGGTTTGCATATGGCCACAAGCCGGCCAGCATCGGTAGTGTGATTCCCGAGGATACTCGTGGCGAGTATGCTGAACTGGCGATGCACGAGTACTACGGCAACGAAGAGGACAAGCGCGAACAAGATCTGGGCGACACCCGTTTCAACATTTTCCCGGACCCCCAGGAGCATGACGATGACAACATCGACGATGATCATTCCAAGAATCTTCCTTTCAACCCCCTCATGCTCAACCCACCAACCCCTCAACCTGTTCTCACGGAGAAGCCCGAGGATACCGATCCAGTCCGACGCTATGTCCTTAGTGACAACCCGAACCTCTCATACAACCATAATGCCCAGATTTTTGCCCCTCAAGAGTCCCAATCCACCGATTCCACGCCCACCAAGGGTCGCTTCTATGGCGAACTTGCGGAGGAAGGCATGCCCAGCCTGGACACATCCCGCGATATCACCAACCAAAAGCCAGTCACCCGTCAACCCACCAAGCTTGTCAAGAAGAAGAGCAAGAAGATGTCTGCCTACCGGTCTCTGAAGAAAGACGACAGCGGCGACGAAGGCTACCTCAGCAGCCGTTCCCCAGCCATGGCCGAAGGCGATCGCAAGGGCCGTGTTGTCAGCAACTCTGGTGCAGACACGGCTCGCCCGGGTATCGGAGCCAGTGTCGGTGCTTCGCTGTCCTCGTACGGTAGCTACATCGCCGGTTTGGGTGTTGGCCGTCGTCGTGACGTGAGCGGCAAGATCGCCGAAGAAGGACGAAGCAGCAAGCCTGTCGAAGAGCACACCGTTCCTGTTCCGACACAGATCCAGAGTCCTGCAGCGTCTCCAATCCGGGCAGCCGGCTGGGCACGGTTTGCTGGACTGTGATGAGTGAAGGAATTGTAACAGGATACCCACAGGGGGGTTTTATTTTTATTTTTCGCTGCTTTTTTTCTTGGAGGGAGTTTTGAACATGTTTTTTTTTTTTTTTTTTTTTTACGAACGGCATGTAATGTAGCGAGCCATTTTGTTTTTCATTTTGTGGGTTCTCCAGCGGCTTCAGTAGCCTTTTTTCAAGACTGGATGGACATGTTACTTTTCATGTCGATGATATGATCAGGTATCCATTGGGGATCTTGATATTTTTACATAGGCGAGGAAGCCATATTTTATCTCAGCAGGTCTTTTGACGCTCTCGGGAAAATGATTGATTGTAACACACCAAAGCTGCTATCTTAGTATTGTCCAGTATATTGCAAGGTGCCACGACTACACCAGTGCACTCTTTTTAGTACAAGTGCGACGGGTTTCTGAACGTTGATGGGGGAGTTGTAAAAATCGTGCACGCTAAGTGGAGCGATATAAGCAACTGGCCCCATAAGTGGGTCATTGATTGCAGTATAATATTGAAATAGAGTTGAGATATAGAAGCGAACTGAATTCAAAAGGGTATCATAAGGTGTCGACGTAGAAAGCATATAGATGACATTAGTATCAGGAGGGGACACCTTCGTACTCCCAGCCCTCGATGACACGCTTGCGGCGCCGTGAGTTGCGCCGATTGGCATTGCACTTGACAAATATGGTCAATGCAGTAAGAATCAAGATGACAATACCAGCTACAACCGCAACAAGCACGGTTTTGCGTTCCAGCTGTTGCGGATTTGCCGCATAGGGGCAGGTGGCCCCCGGTCCACCAGAGACCCAGCAGGAGGTAATATCCATGGAATTGAAGTTGATGTACACTTCGCGGCGGGAGAGGTTGGTTGACGCCGGGTCAATGACAGATTGGTCTTGAGTGAGGAGGTATTCATAGAGGTAGTGGTTTTCCAACCCGGTGCGCGGGACCGCAAAAGAGGAGCCGGATGGACAGCCATTTCCGACGTCGTCAAATTCAACAGTGTAGTTCGACAAAGCCCAAGAGAAAGGCGAATTGCCTACTCGGCAGGCGGCACGGCGCTCCTCGCTGCAGTTGGTGGCACGCCAGTGGCCTTGCAATGAGAGATCCATGATGGCGCAGCGGTTGAATTCGGGCTGGTCACTGGTACCACCCCCGGTGGCCGCACCGGCAGGCTCGCCAACCGCCCAAGCCCATCCCGTTGAAAGAGAAACGTTGCGATAATGGGAGACATCGTCATCGGCAGTTTTACCAAAAAGAGTAGTATTGAGCATTGGTGATATACCGCAAGCTGTAATGTCGGAAATCACATTGGTTATTGAGCCCATAGTGCTGTCCACGGAAAGTCCCTCTGGAACGGGGATCTGACTGGATACAGCCCAGGACGTGTTGGCTTGGGATACCGCAGTTGCTTCGGGATTGTAAACGCAGCCAGATGTCAAATTGCCATCTGATGTAGCAGACACTTTAATCGCAGAGTTCATATAGCCCGGAGGAAAGATCGCATCTTCGTCCTCGGTCAAGTCGTAGTCGGCCAGCTGGGGATCTACCGATCCATACTCAATGAGAATCCGATCCGACTTTGCGAGCTGAATATATTTGGCCGATGGCCATCCATCAGGCGTACTCTGCTGGCCCGTTTCGTCTTCGTGGATGGTGTAGTATTCGGTGATCGGCATATAGCTTTCCTCCACTTCATACCAAGATTCGTTCAGGTTGCTTCGGTCCTCAGCAAGCTGGGCTGGGCTGTACAGGTAGTCGCGCAAATAATCATTGAGTAATGCACCAACTCGCTCTGATCTTGATCTGGGCAAGTCAGCACCCGTTACGGCAGCGGCTGGTTTTGTCGGCGTGGAATCACTGGCAGCCACATGGAGATTCAACACGAGGAAATTGGTGTAGACGAGAAGGTCGGACTTTGTGTCTTCGAAGTATCCGACCAACACCTCCGATAAGCTGACAATGTCCAAGTTATCGGTGCACCTGTACGGGCCGAGTTCATAGACCGTATCCCCGTGGGAATCCGAATACCCAGTGATGGTTCCTGGCTCCGCGTCTGTGGTAGTCGAAGCAGATCTAATTGATGTCAATGTCGATGTCGCCGAAGGACCCTCAGTAGTTGTCGTCACCTCCGAGACCATGACGTCCGCCCTGGCGGGGATAGTGACAGGGCAGAAGGTCCATGTCCGGCGTTCCACGGACCAGTACAGATCCAGGACAAGTCGACGAAAGCCGACGGCGAGAAGATTGGAAATGCATTCTGCGCCATTTTCTCGAGCGTAGAGACCGCTCCCAAAGCACGCGGAGGACAGTGATACGCCGGGGTTGGTGACGAAGTTGATCGGGATCTGGCCGGCAACGTCTCGTTCGCTCTGCAGAGAATTAATCGGCGCACTTGTTATAATCAAAAAACAGCAGCATCACACACCAACAGGACGGCCACCCAGGTCGCGTCATCCAGGGTGGCATCGGTATCGTAGGAGACGGACATGTCGCATGGCGGGCGCGGCGCGGAAGTGCAGGACGGCGCGTGGAGACCGAAAGGTGAAGGGCGGCCGATCACCTGAGTCGATCTGGCCACTTCTCTCTTCGTGCATCTCAACGCCAACACCGCCCACCACCCCCAACTCGACTAACTCGTCCTTGTTCGCCTTTGCGTCGTTCTTTGTTTCCAACCCGCCTCTCCTTTGATCCCATCATGGCCGCCCCCGGCCAGCCCAGCCCCCAGCAAATGGCGGCGATGCAGCAACAGTTCGCCTCCGAAGCCGCCAAACGAGGGATGACGCCCGAGCAATTCGCCCAGAAACAGCGAGAACAGCTCACAGCTGACGCAGCGAAGCTCGGAATGACGCCCGAGCAGTACGTGGCACAGTTGCGAATGCGGGCCCTGCAGGCGCATCAGAAGCAGATGGAAGCGCAGCAGGAGGGCGAGGGACAAGCTTCCCCACAGGGCGAGCAGCAGCAACAGCAGGGACAATCGCCGACTCCGCAGCAGCCACAGCAGCAGACACACCAAGTGCCCGTGCAACCGGGTCAACCGGCTGATCCCAAGGCGCTGGCCGTGGCCAACTTCCTGCGGTCGCAGAACCTGAAGCCGCGGACGTGTATCTTGGATGGACAGCGAAAGGACATGTTCAAAGGTATGAGAATGCATAGTAATCGAAGGCAATGTGATAGCCGTTCTTCGTTACTGACATTGCGCCGAATATAGTGAAACGAGCCATCCGCGCCATTGAATCCCCCGCCTACGCCAAAGCCGCCGCAAAGAAGAACTCCCTCCTCCCACCTGTGACAGACCGCGCCTCTGCCGAAAATGTATTCAAGCTGCTTCCGCTCTCGCTACTTGCTCTCCGTGTGAGCAAGATTGACCCGCACGCCGGGCACAACCATGCCAAACCCAAGAACCGCGTCAAAGGCCTGTGGACTGTGAAGATCGAGCAGCACCAGGAGACCGACCCGATGATGCACTACGTTTGGCTGTACGAAGGACCGCAATGGAAGCAGAAAGCCATGGCGGCCGCCGTCGTGGCGGGTATTTTTGCCGTGGTGCTGTTCCCTCTGTGGCCGATGGTGATGCGTCAGGGTGTGTGGTATCTCAGTGTGGGCATGATGGGATTGCTGGGTCTCTTCTTTGCCATGTCGATCTTCCGCCTGATTTTGTTCTGCATCACTGTTTTCGCTGTTCCTCCCGGTCTCTGGCTGTTTCCGAACTTGTTCGAAGACGTGGGTTTCTTCGACAGTTTCAAGCCTCTATGGGGCTGGCAAGAGGTATGCATTTTCTTTCCCCATGTCCGCGTTTCTATCAATTTGCTAACTTATTTTACAGAGCAAAAAGAAGAAGAGCAAGAAGGTCAAGGCCGAGTCGGCACCAGTTGCAGAGACTGCCCCTTCAGCTAGCACTACCTCCGTCGAGCCTGGACCTGCTGCAAGCTCGGGTCCCGTGAAGCGAGATCTCACAGCGCGGGTAGAAGAGGTGGAGGAGTAATTATTTATTCGTGAAATGAATATCGAAAATTGTGGGATGGACGTATAGTACTACCTTTCGTGGGACAACTTTTTTCTCATTCATCGCCATTGCGTGCTGTGTATTTTTTCATCATGTTCCGGCGTTGAACACTTTTCCTTTGCTCGACCTGGCACTTACTGGCCATGGCCAAAATGGTAATCCACTTGATTTAGGCATCAGAAAGCATACTTTAAATCTATGCATTTCTTCAAAAGAGAAGGTAGTATTTCAGAAAATATGTAACAACACAATAGTAGTAAGACACTAGAGTAGACATCATATTAACCCTTCACCTAGTATACAAATTCTATTTCCAGCCCAGAGCTTTAAAAAACCAGTGATAATACAAGAAATATGAGCATGATCCAGCCTTGAAATTTGATGTCGGAACAAACATGGAAATTGGGGTATAAATAAGACAGCATTCGAAGTGAAGCAGACAGCGGTGTCGAATCGGTGAAAGTTCCAAATATGGACGTAAGGGTATCGTCGGTTGAAGACAACCGGCAAATCAATAATAGATCAACAGAGAAATGTAATGAAGATGAGAGCCCAGTGGCGGGCATGATGGACGGTAGTTGGCGGATGCAGGCGAGACTTGCTCGGGGTATACGCTGAATGCACAGGCGTAAGAATAGCAAACAGGAAATCAAATAGGGAGCGGCGTCTCAAGTGTCGCTCGATGAATGCGGTCGACAGGTGGACGGGAGGTGGCGATCATGGGTATAGCTTTTTATTTTCTCGACAAAATGAGTGGTATAGCAGCCAGGTGTATAGAGTCAATTCTTTAAAGCATGCGAGACTGGCGAGCTGCTGTCCTAGGCGTGTTTGGCTCAGGCAGGCCACTCTTCCGATTATCGAAAACCTGACTCTGGACTTGCTGCGATTGATAAAAACGGGTGGTTGGAGATGTCGTCTTGGATTTTGACCAGGTGGGAGGCGCCTTCGCAGCTATTGGCGAGGGAATCTTCGGGAGTGGGCAATTAGGCGGCGGCGCAGCGGGAGGACCGACTGCGAGACCAGGCATGCTCTTTCGTCGACTCATACTCTGCGGGCGTTGAGCATCTGCATGTGCTGAGGGCACACGGTTGCGCGGGGCAGGCTGCGACACTGGCGGCTGCGGAAGAGGCGCTGCAGGGGGAGCGCTGGGAGGCTGGGACTCGCCATTCATCTGAATTCCCAGTCCCGAACGACCGATCAAGCTGAGAGGACGAGATGGCGGCGGACTGGTCTCAGCTGGCGCTGGTGTTCTTGGGACACGAGAGAAGTTGGAAGCAGCCTGTGACGACCGAACCACTCGCGACAGCACATCCTCGGAATTGTAGGTTCGCAACGTCCGACCAGTGCCATCTCTTGGGAGCGGTGCAGGCTCGGAGAGGTCGGTATGGCGCGAGCTTGCAGCACTATAAGTGGGCGACTGTGGTGGAGAAGAGACGCTGGAGATGGTCATATCACTGACGCTCTCGCCCCGGAGAAGAACACCGCTCACAGACGGCGGCGAGGAAGCCTGGATATTAACGGGGGCCGGGCCCTGCCTTGGTACAAACTTTTTGCTGAACGAAGGCACGCTAAAATTCGGGGCTGGCGGAGATGCGCTCCGAGCAAAGGTCTCAGGAATATTGGATGTTTGCGGTTGTGAAGCAACTGAGGCTGGTGGCGATGTCGGCGACATATAGAGCGATTGGCTATTACCATTACTGGATGAAGGTGGACTACGAGCAATCATTTGGTCCACCTCCCTCAGCACAGATTCAGGGAGACCGTAAGGGTTTGACGGCGCGGTGGGTGACACCGGGGGATCGTGGTTCATGGGAGGAGTAGCCTCCGTCCAGCCTGTCGACACAGATCCTGCGCGCGAGTCGAGCATTGAGCGACGATTATCCGACACGTATGAGCTCCGTCGAGATTGTAAGGTAATACCACCGACGGACTTGCCATCCCCGTCATCACCCGGGAGACGAAGGGATTGCGGCTGAAGAAAGAGGCTCGAAATCCGATGCGGGTCTTTCTTCACCATTTGCCGAACGCTCGCTTTCGAGCGAAGCCGAGGCTCTACTTCATCCTCCGAGTGTTTCTCCATAGTGAACTTGGGACCCCCACGGGCTTCCACCTCGGCGCGAATCGCCATCAACCAAGAAATCATCGAGTCCGGGTTGTCGAAGACCATGAGAAAACTGCGTGCCAACCGTCGGGCGTGGGATCGATGGAATCCAAAGCGCGATGTCAGACGAGGCTTGGGTGGTTCAGGGGCATTAACAGCGTCGGCCGCTGGATTCTGCGAAATCTGAACAACCCAGTGCCTGCCTGGGATGGCATCGCTGGCGAATGCCACCGAGTGCGGCCCCAACTGGAGCATTTTCTCGGGCAATCGGTCATGCTTCCCTTCGCCGGTATACTGTAGGATGAATCCCGCCGTAGCGAGCACGAAGATTTTTTGCGTCCATTCGACTTTGTTAATGGTCCCAGAAAGTGTACGCATGTGCTTCCGCTCCCTCTGTTCCTTCTTCTTCTCATCTTGTCCCGAAGTACCAGACCGGCTGTCGTCCCCCGCACTTTTCCCCGTCGCGTGGAGGCGTAGGATCGCATCCGCCGACATCGCAGGCGCCGAGAGACACTCATGCTTTGTCGACTGAGGATAGGCCTGAAACAATGGCGGTGGCTTCCAGCCGTACTGTTCTTGCGAGGGCGCATTTCCTTCAGGAGGCCGTGGCCGAGCCGTCTTCAACGTATTTCGTGCGCGGGGTGTCGTCGGAGACGTGAGCGTCGTCGGGGTCGAGACCATCGTGTGTGGGGTTGCCAGAGTGCCGGTGGGCGACAAGGGTGTATCTAAAACTGTCGCAATCTGCGTGGTGATCTGCGATGGAGCGGGTTGGCTCTCCTCAATCTCGTCGAGTCTGCTATCGGGGGCCACAGCGGCACGCGAGCTCTTGTCGCGCGAGAAGAGACTGCGCAGACTGGTTTTTGAGGACTGGCGCTTGACCGGGCTCGTGAGAGGAACCGGTCCTTCGGAGCCATTGGCGATGGGATCGCTGGGCCGAGGACGTTGTAGTCGCGAGGCTTCTGTCTTAAGCTGCGGCGGCGGTGGCTGTTGCTGTTGCTCCGTCGGAGGGCTAGTAAAATTTGTCTGCAGCGGCGCCAAACGATGCCCTCTGCGCTCGCCAAAAGATGGCTGCGCAGGGACTCGCGGCATCGAGGACATAATTTAGCGCCTCGAATGGTCTTCACGGCAGTCAACAAACCATCGCAGACCGGCAGGAAAAGGAGAGCGAATCAACACGGTAACGATCGTCACAGCCGAACGTGTAGACGGCTGTTGGGCCTAGCACGTCATGCACCGGAGAGTCGACTCTGACTGCGACTCCGCAGATTGTCTCGGGGCACAGTTCGGGGAGAGTTCGAGCAAAGATGAGAGGTTCAGGAGAAGGGGAACGATGAGTGGGGGGATCTACACACGAACGGACAAGGCAAAAGGTGGGAAAGGTGATGAGAGGTGCATGAAATTGAGGCGACTAAAAATGGGTCCTCGCCCCTGGATTTCAGGTTCATTTCGTCTTCATTTCCACCCCTAACAATTGCTAGCCTCCCATAGGTAGAGCGAGGCCAGGGCAGGTTCCTGGCCTCGCTAAAGCGATTCCTGCGTGTTCCAGACTTTCTTGTGGTGGATCCGAATTGCGAGCGTTGAGAGCTCCACCCTGGTAGTCCGCACGCCGTACTCCGGATGCCTCGAATCCGTCAGGTCAGCCCATGCTTATTCAGGTGGACGGGCCACACTTCAAGCCCTGATCGGCTTCGACGACGCCCATCAGCCCAGCCCCGTTGTCGCAGTGTCGGGCGAGGGCAATGTCCTTGTGCGTGAGGCCCCGCGGGCGATGTGTCGTCCAGTGGACATCAACGGAACCGATCCGCTATGCGCGCGTCAGCCTGGTTAGTCTTATAATTTCGATTTCTTTGTTGCGAGTCGGCACTTACGACAGTCATTGTGGGGTGATGCTTCTTGGACGAACTTTCAGACGCGATCAGGTTCACGAAGGACTGCCGGGTGTGTGAGTGAATGGTCGACTTTCCAGCACCGCTGGAAGTGGACATCATTGTAATCGAGGGGATCCCAACATACCACAGCCTTGAAGTAGCTCTTGAAATGAAAGGTCTTGGTCACGCCCATGCCATCGGCGTCGAGCTTCCATCCATGCTGCAGCAGGCCTTGAGTGTCGGAGCCGAGCTGTTGCGGGTCTTCGCCCTCGGCGAAACGCGGCGTGGGGGCGTTGGAAGACATTCGGAGTTGATAGGAAGGGAAACGAGTCAGCGGGAAAGATGTGTAGACTGAAAGTCGCGGTAGGGAGAGTCTCCCACTAAGACGGAGGAAGCTCATGGTTGTGAGGGGAAATCCGCGTTGAGCTTGACGCGGCCAAGTCTAGCTGCCGCACGGACCACCCGAGCGGCAGTTGTGGGAGATGCAGTTCTCAAGTATGAACTAGTGTTTTGAGTATTTGCATTTGATGGCTATTAAATTCAGTGTAAGTCTGCCATATCGAAATCAAACACTTGATATGTTGTATGTAAGTGAGTGATGACAAATACCTAAGGTACTCTCTATTGGCGTATACTTTGTGGAATCGGAGAGCCAGAAGAATGCGGCCGAAGTATGAAAATATCACAGAAAACAAAAGCAAAAACCTGTCAAGTCCACTTGACATCATATTTATCAAATCTAATTGGCCAATAAATCCAATCTTAACAGTTCGCGTCACCTCTAAGCAGACTGCTTTAAATGAACACGGACCCAACACTTGTCAGCTGTCAGCTGTCATGCAAGGACCCGGCCTAGACACTCGATCTCTGACACACCTCCGAGTACACAACCTCAATGTGACCCGAGAAGAATCTAATATGCTCCACAAACCACTGAGTGCTTGGACGTATTGTCATCGACAAAAGTACATGGTGTGTTGTTCAGTACCTCTTGGGAATGACTCTTGGGGACTCATGCCGGAAGCGGACATTTACCTCGGATGCTAATGTTACTCTAGCATTCAGTTTAGGAGCTGAGCACTCAGTTCAATGGATCTTGACAGATTAATCTTTCTCCGACTGAAGGTCGGGGATTCCATTCTCCACGCCGCGAGGGTTCGTGCAGCCGATCGGGTCGTTCTGGGTAACAAGATCCGGTCTCCCGGTAGAAATGAGGTGACCGAGGGTAACCCTACCATTGAACAATACATGGGCTAGCACCTAGGTAGGTATTCTAGGTTTGTGACAAGGTGGAAATTCATTGGGTAATCAGCTAGAGCATACAATTCGTAACCGGTCTAGCCTCGTCACAAAAGCAAAGCCCCAGAAAGCGTACATGGCTTTCCCAGATCACCTGGTCGGATCGTGTCGTATAGACAAAGCAGAGCAAACCACCCGTTGAGAACCCAAGTTAGAAAGAGAGCATGTCCAAAAGAAGCCCGGGTTTGCAAGCCATGATCAGGAAAAAATAATTAAAGAGTCCAGCACGTCCAGCGCATGGATCCATGCGATTCAAGACATACACAGAGAAGAGAAGATGCGAAATTAGCTGTAAATCCTCATTGCAGCGGACAGAATCCATTCCGACGTCTTTTCATCATCATGGTACAGGTCACACAAAATCGGGAGACAGTTAGGGGGTAGGACTTGGAAAGGTCCGAGCCGCTTACGCAGCCATGCTGTTGCGACGCGAGTTGGCGCGGGAGTTGGCGCGAGAATTGGCACGGGAGTTGACCCGCGAGCCAGGACGGCTGCCACGGATGCGAAGATCCTGCTGGGATCGCGCATAGGAGTTGGCGCGGGACGCCTCGGGGACCTTGGACTGGCGACGGCTCTGAATGTGCATGTCCAGATCTTGGCGAGCCTCCGAGAGGCGCTGGGCGAAGGGAGAGCGCTTTCGGAGTTCGGGGCCCTTCCAGTAGATAATGTAGACGGCAACCACGAGCGGTACCGAGATACAGACTGTACATCAATTAGATTATGTGCCCCGGGGAAATGTCGAGAGAACCCATGAGGAGACTTACACAGAATAGTAGAGGCATACTCTAAATGGCGCTCGCCGCCAATGTCTAAGGATAGATGTTAGGCATGGTCATAATCGCAGGAATAAATCAGGACTTACTCTCAAAGAAAGGAGTCGCAGGAATAGTCAGGACACCAGCGAGGAAGTCACGCGCCCAACCGTTACCACCGGTGGCAGATGCGGAGTACGGGCCGTAGGCACAGATCATATAGTCAATTGTGGCCATGTAGATCGCGTAGTTGGCAATACCGATGATGGCAGCGAAGATCATCGATCCGATCCAGTGGCACTGAGGGAGACTGGTCCAAGCGAAACCGATCAGACCGATAGGCAAGCAGGGGGCCGTGTACAGCAACCACCACAGACGAGACTCGTATTGCGCCCGTTCACTGTCGGGATTTTCGCGGCGCTCAGCGACATTGCGGCGGATGATGGGGAACCAAGAGAACCAGGCGATGAAGTAGCCGATGACGATGGGAATGAACGCCAGACCCTTCTCCCAGGTGTTGAAACCCCACTGGCCGTAAACAAGTGCCAGGGACTGAATGAACATGAAAATCAGAGCATCACTGAAACCACTGAGCAGGAGAGAGAACCAGGACGATGGGCTCAGTCAGGAACATCTTGAATGGGCGAATCCAGGTCATCATCAATTCGCGAGGCGGGAAACGCTCGCGGAAGGACATGCCCTCCGTGGGGCCGTAGATATTGGGGTGCTCGCCGCTCTTGCGCATCTTCTTGGCGATGCGGTCCATCAGGACAGTGGTTCGAGTCTCGGGTACGACCAGGAAGTGCATGATTTGTACGAAACCGCCGAAGATCAACTGAATCCAAATGCTCCAGCGCCATGGCAGGAACGCCTCAACGAAACCACCAATAACGGGACCAAGAACGGAACCACCGACGGAGGAGAAGACGACCGCTGCGACGGCGTACTGCTGGGTATCGGCTTCCCAGAGATCAGCAATCATACCCAGAGTGACGGAACCACCGGCCGAGGAGAGACCGCCCAGAGCACGGCCAACCATGACAGAGGTGAAATTGGGCGCCAGCGCAACAGGCAGCTGCCAGACGTTGACCAGGAACAGCGACGCCTGCAGGATCGGCTTTCGGCCCAGTTCTTCACTCCACGGCGCCCACAGCTCACAGCCGAACGCATAGAGAACGAGGAAGATCATGGCACCGCACCTGGCAGCCTGCATGGAGACGCCAAACTCCTCCGAGATACCCCCGAGGCCATTCGAGTATAGTGAAGTGTTGAAGTTCATGGAGACTTGGACGAGGAAAATGACGGAGATGATCAACCATTTGCGGGTCTCACTGAATGAGTATCCGAGTTGATCGTAGCACATATCCTCTGTGAGCTCGATCCGGCCATCGGGGCCGGCGTTCTCCAGCTGGCTGTCCTTGTCATCGCCCTTTTCACACATGGGCACGTCGGTCAGAATATCTTGTTGGGTGGCACTGGAGGCGGAGGATGCTTGCACAGCATCCAGCCGGTCCGCCAGCTTTTCTGGGTGACTCGCCATGATGACTGTAGATATGGGGAGGTGGTTAGTCCATCACGACCTTGAAGAGTAAGAAGTCCAACATAGAATGACTGTGACCGTACTCACATTGTCGATCAAGGCGCAGAAGAGGGAACAGAAGTGGTGGAGGTTGGGGGAAAAGCAGGAAGTGAAAGCGGAGAGGGCCCAGGAACAATAAATACAGGGAAGGCGCGATGCAACGGAGTCGGACTCAATGCGGCCATTCCGTGGTTTGCCATTTGCAGGTTGACTCCCCTTCCACTCTTCTTCCTGCGTTTCCCGGACTTTGTTTGCTCGGCTTTGCGCCCCAGATTTCTCCAGGTCCCTTCGCCGTGCACTTTCCCTTTGGGTCACCGAGTGGGTGCGGGATGCCGAATCGCTTCCCCGTGGGTTGTTCGTGGCCCACTTTTCCCTATGTATGTGCCCCAGAGATCGCAACCCCAGCAATCCTTTGCGCGACAGTGCGCAATATGCTGACAGCGACGCACTGGCTGCTCAACGGCCGGCAGAGACACGGAAAATCGCGCAGATCAGTTATGGTCTAACGCCGATGGTCTCTACGCTGTGCGTGCGGCCGCCTCTCACGTCGAGGCCGCAGAACAAGTCGCCCCGGAAGGAGCAGCCCCACGGGCAGTCGATGCCCGCAATTGGAGACTCGACTCCACTTTGCCAGTGCAGGCCATGACCGAAGGCCGACGGCGATGCCGTCCAAACGTTGGTTATCGAATTGGGCGCCCGGGAAGACTCCGTGGGATCCGCTTCGGGTTGGAGAATGTCCGCATCGAGATGATGCACAACCGCCGCATCGCGACTCCCTCAAGTCTTCCTGAGCGCATGCAACCTCGAATCTACTCTACAGATCCCAACCGATCGGGCAACACGATCTCAGAAATTCTCGGGAACGTGTGGTGCCCCACGATGTAAGGGGTTGCGAATATCGCCAGGCGTGCTCGGGGCCGCATGGTTCTCCATCGCTGATCTCCGCAGGGCCAAATGACGACGAGGAAAAAACTACGTTTGTCCTATGGGCTTGTCTATCGATCGTACCACACATGGATTTACTCTACAGTACAATCTATCGCTGGGTCGGACCCTCCCGGAAGATTCGGTCAAGACGCGCGATTGTCTCGGCCACGATTGAAAGAGGAAAAAAAAAAAATTGACACTGACGTCAGAGTGCGCCTTGACACCTATCACAGTTCAAGCGGCAGCGGTGGTTCCATGTATGCGACAAGGTACAGCAGGGCCAGGGCTAGGGACCGCCACGGTCGGTTACGGACGTGGCGCCGTGGGATCGCCCTCAGCACAGGGGCTTGGAAAGTCTTGATCCGACTTCCGATGCCCGGGCTACGCTTACCCTGTGAGGATTGGCGGGGGCAAGTGCCTACGCCTAGATGTTCTCGACTGAGATCCACTGTCTGCACGTCGGACTGCCCTTTCTAGAACAAAGGATCGAATCTTGTCCTCATGCCCACCACATGTAAAGGGGGATGTCCGATCATGTGCCCTGCTGACATGCCGACCCCAAAAGGTTCCCACAGTTTGACTTTGGACCCCAAAAGGCCAGCCCCCTTTGCACCGGCGGTCCCTGCGACCCCATGGAGAAGCTGACGGAGAAGCAGATTTTGTACTGTTAAACTTTGGCCCAAAGTTGACTGGCCCTGGATCAGGTAAGCACCGAAAACGACCACTCTTCACCCCGGAATCGGAAGGTCGCCCTTGCATTCCTGCACATGGCCATCTCCAAGGGAGATCGACACGATCGTACACTCCCGCGACGCCACGCGAGCCCAGCGCGGTGATCGCTGGAGGGCAACACTGCAGACATACTTCCGGCTTCTAGAGTAATCACGCTGCCTTGGGCAATTTCAAGAGTGCAAAGTGTTCTGGACCATCTGTCCCACCCGGCCTCGCCGGACCCAGAGATGCGCAGTGAAATCGAATTGCCGGCGCATTCTAAAAGCCATTGCGCTGGACGGGCACCAATGAGTCATTCGTAAGACGAAGAGAGTAAGCCATGTTGTGAGGCACTGGCTGTTCTCATGACAGGCGTCGTCCGTGGTCTGGTCGAGTGTGGGTTGGGGATCTCCATGGTCCTTGCAGGAGCGCAGGCTGCGATGGGTTGTACGAACTACGAGTAGTAAAAGCGGACCGTTATGTCTATGGACGCAATGTGACATACTATTGACAATATGCACGTTGCACTGCGCTGCTTTCCCTCAGACTTTGTATTCTGGAATAAAAATGCTGGGGACGAGTGGTTAGGATGACGGAAGCCTGGACCGTTTAATGCCTCAGGCCAGAGGGCACTAACTAACCAACCACTTTAGTTTTGCTTTTGAGGTCATGTGACTTCCCCGCGATCCGCTGACTCATCACGCTGTCATGTTCCCACTGGCAGTTAATCATCAGAGCTTCGCCAGCTCGACTCTCCTCGTCACTCCCACCTCATACGCCAAGATGTGTCCTGATATTAACTCCCTTCCTCCGTCCCGCTCGTCCTCCTCGTCCTCGTCCCTCCCGAACCGCAACGCTTCTTCCGTCTCCCCCGGTACGCCCCCAGGCACAGGCCCCGCACCAGCGAACCATACCGCGTCCACATCCACATCCACGCGGCCATCTCGCGGGTCCAGTATTGGCCGACTGTCAGTTTCCGAGCGGCGCAGATCAGCTGCCGGCATGAATATCAGCCCAAGTGAGTCGCTCGGCACGGCATCGGGACATCATGGCGAGACCCTTTGGTCAGACCACCGCTCTTCCATAGGGCAAGCATTCCGTACGACGAGTCCTTCGAGCCACAGCGGTGGCAGTCCGGTCTTTGTGACGGCGGACCCACACCATCAACGGGCGCCATCTCTAGGAGAGCTACACCAGGAGCTGGAGCAGGAACAGGAGGCCCAAGTGGTGGGTCCTTTGTCCCTCCTCACCGAAGACCTGCAGCAACTAAACTTTATGTGTGATAGAACCGCCTCCTTCAGATGATTCGCAGCCAGCAGGCCCAACTGCAACAATACCAGCAGCAGAGCCAACACCAGAATCCACAGTCAACTACTGCCATCGATGACACGACCCCGTCGTCCGAACGCTCGGCCGCATTTTTCCCTCCCATGCCCCCGCCTGCGGGGTCTGGCAACAACCGTCTATCCATCTCCTCGCTGTCAAACCGTCGGCTGTCACGCCCGTCAAGCCAGACGACTTCCCCGAACATTCGACCCCAAGATGCGGGACGAGGATCAGAGCCCGTGGACGCATTCACGGGATTCCGCGAAAGCTCATCCCGGCGTGGCAGTCGTGATGAAGGCGCATACTATCAGGCCGAGGCCACCATGCTGAGCCGCGAAAACCAAATGCTGCGTCAACGAATTCGAGAATTAGGTATGTATTCTCTTTCTTGTCCCGTTTTATACCGACAGGCGCAGTGCCTCAATCTGTGGTGATTTTTTTTTTCTTCGGAACTGCCCAAACTAACTTAGTACAGAACGTCAGATTGGGGAAATGACTACTTCCACGAGGCCTGCTGCCTCCACCACCAGCGGATCAGGTGCAGCGCCGGGGCAAGAGGGGGCCGAAGCGGTGGACCCGCTTACCCTGCGATCCGCCGACGGGAAAGACTGAGCCTGAATCTGAACCACGCGACACGAATTTTTTTCACGGCCATCATTCTCAGGTCCAGTGGATCTTTTCAGCCTGTTTTGTGGTTGGCGGACTGGGCACACAGCTTCCCGAAAAAGGCTACCCGAAAGACTTGCTCACATCGGCAGAATCGCAGCTCAACTTCCCCATGGGATAATTAGCGCAGTAACTGCGACTGCCTAGGCTCGGCATTTATTGTGGTTCTCTTCCCTAATGATTCCGGGCTTGCTCATCTCACGAACGAAATGACGAATGACCTACTCTCTGGATATCCCCTTGAAGTGTTGACTTGCTGGATATGGCTTTTAGAAATTTATCTTTAGCCTTAATTGGGGCTGGACAGATGCAGGATCACAATGTGTCATCCAATGAGACTTGCTACGCGATGCATTGCATAGCAAACTGCCTCGCCAATTGGAGTCCTGTACCCCTATTTTGGGAGCTTTGGTAGTCAAATCTACAACATGAAACCGTATTTCTTCTCAAATGGACCTTTACGGGATGTCGCCTCCTGGTAGATAGAGCATTTCACGAACACATCAACATTTGTAAAGTGGGCATAAGTACCACTTACTACTAGTAGTACTAGCATAACGCATGAAATGTACAAAAATATCCCTATTGTTACCGCATTTTGCTGGTGAAAAGACATCAACTGGTGTAGTGGTGTAGCACTCTCGCTAGTCGCAGTCGTCGGCTGGCTGCTCCGGCAGATCGACGGAGCGCTCATGATACAACTTCCTGGCACGGGAGAGAGCATGCGATTTTGCGAAAATCGCAATGGGATCTTGGAAAAACTGCGCAGAAATTCAGTATAATACTTTGATCTGATATGCCATCTAACACCAGCTTGACTTCTCCGAGTTATTTCTCGGCAACTCAAGTCTCGGCATTCCGAGTCTCTTGCCGAGTCGCGCCGTCAACCGTCGGGTGAGGCATCCGAGTCTCTTGCCGAGTCGCGCCGTCGACCGTCGGGTGAGGCATCCGATTCTCGATATTTGAAGACCCAAATAACAGCCAGTGTTCAGCCTTCCCAACATATCAGCAAGTCCACTTACACAATGTTCTATATGAAAGTGACTGGGCGTCTCCCACTCAAGCAGTAAGCAGCCAACATCGCAGTCTCTTTCCCCGCAAGCCACCGAAAATACTGATATCAGGTTGACAGATCTCATAATTTTCTTCGGGGCCACAGAGTTCCAAACAAATCATTACATTTTTGTCGCATGGCCTCATCTGCATCCGCCACAGCAGCTGCAGAAAGCAACGCAGAAACAGCCCAGAAAAATTACAAGATCGTTCAAGATGCCGGCGATTTCGCAGAGACTGAAGCCCAGCGCCCGGCATTCGACCAAGCAAAGCCAATCGAAGTCACCCAGTCACCCTACCCGCAGTGGAAATACGGGGAGGGCGTACCCGATAATGGAGCAAGCCTGGCTCAAAAACACCACGAAATCGACCCCTATCACCCAGACAGACCGATGATCAACAACTACCGCCTGCTAGTCTCCGGCATCGCGCCTCGACCAGTCGGTTTCTTGAGCACCATCAACAATCAAGGACGGAAGAACCTTTCACCCTTCAGCTATTTCCAAGTCATTGACCATGACCCGCCGATGTTCATCGTGGGATTCTCATCGCGCCCCGGACGTGTCAAGGATACCTACCGCAACCTGAAGGAAACCGGCGAATGCGTCATCAACACCGTCTCCGAAAACATGATAGAAGCCGTTAATGCCAGCTCCATCGATGCGCCATACGGTGTATCCGAATGGGACGTCTCGGGTCTCCATGAAGCACCCTCCACTACCGTCAAGCCCTCGCGCGTCGCGGAATCCGTCTTCAACATTGAAGGAAAGGTTGTCGACATCAAGGAATTCACGGATCACCAGCAGCCCGGAATGAGTTTGGCTGCTACCGTTCTAATCAAGGCCACTCGGTTTTGGGTTAAGGAGGGAACCGCTGATCCAGAGTATAGCCATATAGATCTTGAGAAGTTGAGGCCGGTTGGGCAGCTTGGAGGCATCTCGTATGGTCGTGTGGTGTCGACCTTTGAGCGACCGCGCACTAAGTGGTCGCAGGAAGTTCCAAAGAGTGACTTGCTGGTCAAGCTGGATGCTGAAAAGCCCGGTCATCAATAAGTTTAAGTTATTTTTGTCTTTGATCATGATGTGATGTATATTATTTCTCTTTGTGGTCCGTCGTGGCCCATTTTTATCATCACGCTATGATCGAACATCCATGAATAGAGCTATCCCGTCTGTAGTGGTGACCACACATCGCTTCACATAGTATTTTGCACAAGGGAATTGATACAGCCACACCCCTTCGGTCTCAGACCACACCCCCTCCCTGGCCTTTCAGGTAACTGCTAGTCCTTTGGAAGTCGATGTAGGAGGGGGAATCCGTCAGGAAACTCGTCAAAGCAGCCCTTGCCATTTGCTAAAAATCAATTGTTAGTTCCATTACTGGGGTAATATTACCCCTTGGAATAACTACGATGGCCGAGTGACGCTCGGTGGAGATGCGGCGCACCCGATGGCCTCTTGTAAGTATCACGTTATTACGAGCACTTGCAAAGAACGATCGGCTAATCTTAAATTGCAACATAGTTCGCGCCCAAGGCTTTAACAATGCACTTGAAGAAGACAGGCTCTATGTCGATTCTATCAAAAGTGTCTACTATGGACGTGAAGAACTTAAAGGGTGTATCTGAAGATACGATGAATCGGTTTACAAGCGGGGCAAGGCCGACATTCATCTTTCGAACGAGCAGATGTTCTGTTATCATCATTGGGATTCCGTCATGAATAGTCCTCTCATGCGGAATGGATATTCAAAAACCTCATCAGGTTAAGTCAGATAATTGACCCGCCAAGTAGTGAAGAGGATTTTGGCTGTCACAACTAGTATCAGCTCCATTTGAGAGGCAAATTCCTGGATTCAAAATGAAGCAGAGCCTACAACATTTTCCACGTTGTATAACACTTTCAATACCTATGCCTATCGATTATGATGAATCACCAATTTAAGCCACGCTACTATCACTTCGATGACAGTAATGAATCTACGAGGCTCGTGCATCCTGCAGAATAAGAAGTTTCGATGTCAATACTCTCAGAGAACTCTCATTCCAAGCTTACATTGAGTGATTCATTATTTGATTGATCGTAAGCGAGTTTGAATGAGGCGAGGTCTTGGTAATGTTTCTTTTCACTTTTGGAGAGATAGATTTTTGCTGCATCAATAAGTAGCCTCGCAGTGCAGTGAGAATTCTACGCCTTTACTTGTCTTGATTGTTGTCCTTTCAATTGAATCACTCCCTTCGGTGGCTTTTATATAAACTCAGGAGCGCTCTCAATTATTTTTATGGAAAGCGATTTCGAATCATGAAATACAATTTTTCAATTTTTACAGACTAATTGTATTTCCGAGTAAATGACTGAAATAATCATACATATTTCAATCGTGAAGATGCCAGGCAGGCCAATTATTTACTATTGCAGTGCCTCCGTGGCAGCTTTCAATTTCTCTGCCATCATTTTGTCCTGCTTGACAATGAGCTCTCTAACTACTGGGCGAGAGTTCATTCTTTCTAGCCAGGAAGCCACATTAGGGAACTCATTCTCATCATAACCCACGTCTGACAACATGTTCTTGGCGGCGTTCTGCCAAGAGACAAAAGCTAGGTCAGCATAGGATATTTTATCGCCAACAAGCCACTCTCGATGAGCTAGAATTCGCTCCAAGACCTGGGAAACTCGTCGAGTCTCTTTAATATACCGGTCAAGAGCACTTTGGACGCGTTCCGGGTGGTAGCGCTTGAACCAGACTGCCTGGCCATAATAGGGGCCTTGCCCGGACATCTGAAAATGGAGAAATTGACGAGCATGATGCGCCTCCATGCTACCGGGGGCGAAGCTGATGTTTTGATTTTTATCGTAGGTTTCGATCAGGTATTCAATGATAGCACCAGACTCCCACAGAGTAATCTCAGTGTTAGGATCTTGGATAGTGGGAAGCCGACCATTAGGGTTGAGAGCTTCATAATCGGGTGTTTTGATTTCGCTGAAGTCCGTCGGGATCTCTTCGACAGGGAGTCCGAGTTCCCTCAAGATGATCGAGACTTTGAAAGGATTGGGCCCAAACGAGCCCCCGTAGATCTTGATTGGTTTGAGTTGTTCACTCATGATAGCGATTGTGGGCGATGAAGGGAATGATAGAGCGAAGGGGAGATAGGATAAATTGTGAGAGCGAAAATGAGCAAGAGTATTTTAAGTTATTCACTTTAGCCACTTCGCATTTCTTTACTCATCCTTGTCCGGATTCTTTATCGGGCTCGGTCCAGCTCGGACACCGGCTGATTAATGAAATTGTCACTACGCGGAGTGGATCACTTTTACAGTTGCCCCTTTTCCTAAGTCCATATTATAATCCTCGTCAATTTCTGCTCTCTGGAGGGATATTTTCTAGCTCGAGCCAATTCATTTATCTTCACTCAGTAGTTAGCCATACAGCCGATCGTATAGGTAACTGGGTAGCTGACCAGGTAGCTGACTAGATAGATGACCAAGCAATGAACCTGGCAACAGGTAGAATGAAGGTTTCAGTTTATCAAGACAAAGTCGATGTGGTATTTGGCGTCGATATTGGCACCATATTGGGCCAAGGCTCTAACTCTGTATTACCTGAGCGAGCTATGGGAGGGGTGCGGGAGCATCAATCTCCTTATACAAACATTATGTATTTGAACACACTGGTGCAATGGATAGTTGTAACGCACAGTACTAGTACAGTATAGCATACAAGTGTTCATTCTTGCCAAGCACAATATTGGTCACACTGCGTCGTCGGAACCGTGCTCCGACCTTGGGAACACACAACTAATTAGAAATCAGCCTCCGCAACTCGCCGGCATCGGGACCACCATCCGACAGCCAAGCCAAAGGTTTCCAAACGTTTCATGGCATCAAAGTCTCTTCACGCCACATTTATAGAAAGCTGATAGAAAACAGTCCGACATTTGTCAACCTTTATTTTGAACATGTTTTTGAATCGAGCCCTGACTCGAGTCAATGTGGGCTGTATCCATTCACGGCCGACAACGAGCTTCCTCTTAAGAACGATGGCGACAACTGGCAAGAAGAAAGAATTTCTCTGTATCATGCCGGATCGGCCTAATGTTCTCGAATTGAGGAAAAAGGTCAAGGGGTATGAAGAAAACGCTTGATTTGGGGCTTTGCCAGGGTCTAACTATCGGAACTATTCATAGTGACCATTATGAAGGTATACAGCCGTTGATCGCGGAAGGGAAGCTTGTCGATGGAGGTCAGTCGAGCCCATCCATGAAACTACCTGGATATTGTTAATTGAAGAGTTTGCAAATTCTCAGGTGCGATTTTCGAAGAACATCCCCAGGAAGGCAAAGATGCGCGCTTCTTGGGAAGTATGGTTGTGTACACGGGTGCGACAGCCGAGGAAGTACGAGAAATCATCAACAATGATATCTATGCCAAAAGTGGTGTGTGGGATCTTGAAAAGGTCCAAATATTTCCAGTAAGGCTCCTTGGTACTTTTTACTCACCTGTCAGCTACTGATTGTTTGGTATAGTATGTGCCTGCCGTCAGACAACCTCTCTGATGGGGATGGTTCGAGATATTCGACTACGATTAAATTAGTGGCTTTCGAAGATTGGAAAGAACTACGAGAGGTTTATCTGTCTTCTTGCATTCGAGTTTCCCAATAGCTGGTCCAACTACAAAAAGGGTTCAGGTTTGGCCAAGCCTTTTCCATAAGTTCATGATATCATGATTGGCTCATGAGTAGGGTTAGAAAATCGAGACCTACAAGCTAATAGGTATATCTGTGGCTAGAAACCAACTGATTCAAGGATGGTATACCCAATTAAAACCCTTCGCCTAATACCATTTACAATCGAATTCTGAAAAGAAACAACCCAGCTTCAATCTTGTAGCAATATAACTCATAACATCAGCTACGAGGCAAATGACATCCATTTAAAGAGTCCCCATCGTAAACAGCCCAAGGACCACAAGGTGCCTTCCCTGACCACTCCCCTCTAGGCGGCCTCCAAAGCAACAAAATCCCAGGCGGCTTACATTCATGAATTAACCTATTCCACTCATTACTTGGCTCTACCGGATTAAAATTAACATACAACCCCATAGCTCTCCGATACCCATACTTCTCATAAAGCCACCGTCAGCTGGACTCCGCTCAATAAAACTCTCATACCCCAACGGATCAATTCTCGCATGTCCCCCCTCCAGAAGCCTCCCGAAACCTCGGCGCCTAAGCTCCGGATGAACGCCCATGGCATTAACGCCGGCATGAGGCCGCTGGAACCAGGACTGGCGCAGGAAGGAAGCCTGCGAAAGCATGCACTCTGCGTACTCTTTTCTTTTGCTGCCGTCGGGGTACCAGGTGCATTTTATGGGCTGGGGGCCGTTGGGGAATGGGTTTTCGCAGAAGATGAAACATTCGCAGCCGCCAGCGACGTGGCTGGTTTCTTTGTCGAGGACGTAGATTAGGTGCGAGTAGGGATTGTTTGCGCTTGCGTTCCACCAGATTTTGGTGTCGAGGGCTTTGTCGCGGGCGCGGTCTGAGGGTGTGTGCCCGGTGATCAGATGGACGGTTGTGCAGATGGGACTGAGATAGCATTATCTGAGTTCTTTATACTTGGGATGATACCCTAGACAGGAGATCGGATAAGTGGAAGGGTGAGTTGAGACGAGGAGCCAATGCACGTACTTGTAGGGATTAAAATTGGCAGACCACAGCACGTCGACGAGTCGTGCATACTCTTCTTTCGTGGGAATAACTTTGACTTTGAATTGGGATTCGGTCATTATGAGAGTGGTCGGATCTCGAGGGAAGGTGTGCAGAGGATTGAATGCAGGCCAGCTGGCTTAATACAGGGACATGTCGAATTGGCCCCCATAAGCTATCATAGATCAGTGCGTGGCATCCGGTAGGACTTGAATGCGCGGCTATCCTGACAGAGTGCCCTTTTTTACTGCATCCTAGGTTCACATCAGAAGTAGGACGTCTCTCAAAAATTAGAGGACAATCTGATAACAAGATCTGATAACAGTAAGCGTTTATTTTACCTTAAGTACCTTAAATTCTACCAAGCTCATCTACATCGCCATCCTGTCGCAAGCCAGATATACAATGTAGGCTACTTGGAAGCAGCCTTATGGAACTTACTCATTAGATTGGTCTTATATGATGGGCATATCTTATCCATGAATTGTGATACGGGTCGGATCTACACTTGCGTACCAAAGGAACTTCTATACGTCGACAAGGAAAACTCTTTTTGACATAGTCAAATTGTAACTGTACAGATACGACAGATATATAATCTATTGAAGTCGCTTAACCCCAAAAACCGGAGATGATATCTTCCCAAGAATTAATAACGCTAAATCAAAAGCTTACAGCTTGGCCTTCTCGGCCTGGGCGGCCAAGTCGGGCATGAGGAGGTCGCGCATCTCGGAGGCGGCCTCACTGAGGTAGTAGCTCATGCGGTGAGCTCCAAGACGCTTGCAGACGATGTTGAAGTTCAGGCTGGGGACAGACTGTTAGTATCTCAGATACAAAATGTAACGGGAATGGTACATACCTGTTCTCGTTGATCATGTAGGCAATTCCGAATCCATCGTCGATGACCTGGCTCCAGCCGTATCCGTTAAAGTACTCCGAGCTCAGTTGCGAGCTGGAAATGTACCAAGAGCCAGAGTAGGCGAAAGCGGGATCCTCGTAGAGGGCGGGCAGCTTCTCACCAGGCTGGAGAAGCTTCTTCAGGCCGAAGAGGTGGCGGTCGACACCACGGCCGTCGCTGGCATCCATGGTGTACTTGGTGTGCTGGGCCAGAGCGGCGCGGAACAGCTTCACGACCTCCTCGCGGGGAATGCTGGGGTCGTGGTGGGCCTTGCAGAAGGCAGTGCTCTCGTCGGAAACGGTGCGGGTGGTCTCGGTACGGCCCTCCTGGAACTTACGGGTCGAGGCAGACTCGTAGGTAGGACGGTTCTTGCCGTACATCTTGAAGTAGGCCAGCTGGATGAGCATCTGAACGTAGGCGTCAGGGCTGCACTTGAACTTCTTGATCAGACCCTTGCCGTAGCCCTGGTAGGCCTGGACAACCAGCTCGTGTGCGGCGATCTGCTTGCGGTGGTACTGGGCGGCCACGTCGATAGCCTCGTTGGCCTCCTCGTTCAGGTGGAAGGTGATGGGCTTGGGGTCGGGAAGCTCAGCGCGGATGGGCTTGTCGGAGAGATCGATCTTCTTGTTAAAGATCAGGTTGTTGACATGGTCATTCAGACGGTGGGTAGGGGTACCGTCCATCATAGAGTGCTCGCCCATGAAACCGGCGGTGCCGTTGTCGTTGATGATGAACTGCAGGGGCTTGTCGAACCAACGGTTGGCACCGTCGCCGTGCCAGTACTGGTGAGCGCGCTCCTCCAGAGTCACGGGCTTAGCATCATCCAGACAGATGACGAAGCCACTGGACTCAATATCCTTCAGGGCCTGCTCGTTGGCCGGGTCGGCCGCAACCAGCTTCTTGCGGGCGGCAGTCCAGTGATCACGGTCCGCAACAGTGAGCACACCGACAGGCGGGGAGGGCTGAGCGGTCTCAATGATGCGCTTGAACTGCTGCTCCAGCTCGCTGACGTTCAGGGTCTGACCGTTGACGACCAGAGGCACCTTGAAGAACTGGTTCTTGCGCACGACCACGATGTGCTGGTTCTCGGCCGCGGAGAACTTACGGGGGAAATCCTCGGGGTCGGCAGGGATACGGCAGCAGTTGAACATGTACTCGTACGAGCTCATGGCCATGGGCTGGCCACGCATGTACTCGGGCTCCAGGGAACCGGCATCCACCTCAGCCTTGAACTCCAGAGCGGCCGTCGCGATAGCAGCGGCACGCTTGGCCGGGTCGCGACGCTCCCGGTCATCCTTGTAGGAATAGAAGTAGGAGACATAGGGGATCACGGGGTCACGGTAGCCCAAGTAGGCGGCCTGGTTCCACCACTCGGCAATCCAGTTCTTGATCTTGGGGTTGGCGGCACGCTCGAGCAGACGCTTCTGCAGAGGTTCACCCTCACCGCCGGGCCGAATGAACTCCTGCACGGCACTCTTGGTGCGCTCGAACTCGGAGGCGGAGACAAGCGGGTGAACGGACTTCAGGTAACGGCGGCCGGTCTCTTCAAGCGAGGGAACCGGCAGGTGGGGCAGAGAGTCTTCAAATCGGAGCATCTTGCCCTTGGAGAGATCCTCCTTGTATCCTGATCGGAGAGTTAGTCGAGTCCGACTGACCATCTGGCTTCAGATGGAGCTGGGAGCTGCCAGTCCGCTATGGCTCCACGGAACAACCCCGCGGAGCACATGTGAAAGTGATGGACTTACCCTCAGGGACAGAAGAAGCTTGACGTCGGGGAGCCATGGCGGGAGTCTATACAGATGCAAGAATTAGTTGCTATTCACTCAATTGCACCCAGCTGCGATTCTCCTGCACACCGGGTCCTCGAGTGCGACATATCGGAGGTGGCCGTCTTACCGAGCGAGCGAGTAGTGATGTCGGAGGGAGCCGGGGCCTTGACAGGGTGGAGAGACGGCTTCGTGCAGCAGCAGCGAACATCCCTCTCAGTGTCGATGGTGGTTTGGGGGAGTATAAAGAGGAAGGAAAAGAAGGGTCAAGAGTTGTGAGGTCATCAACGGAGAACAAGAGACCAAATAAGAGTAGGAGGGCCGTGGATGGAAAGTGCCTCGGCTGTGACGAGGCCGACGGCGGTCAGGGGCGGTCTGCTGCGGTCACGTATTGTCACCGTATGCCGAGTCGGTCCCGTCCGAGGCTCGGTCCGCCTACGATTGTTCCCGTGGAAAACCAGTACAGACAGTATTACGGTGACCGCCACGGTGGACTGGTATCGGTCTTTGGGCCTCGGTTGAATTGAGACTGGGGAACTGGGGTGGGCACGAGAGGATGGACAAGGCAGGATCTCCGAGAATGACCCGAGCAGATGACCAGAAATGACAGGGGGACAGTGCGGCTTAAGTTGTGAATCCCGTAAATACCAAAATCACGGCGTTACAACATAAAAGTATGTCAGTAGCAACAATTTTCCAGGTGATCGCGGCGAGTGGCAACAATGCGGGGAGAGCTTCACTTAGCGCGGGTCGGGGGTCACCGCGACGTACGATCCAACTACCGGTACTAGTCAGTCCGACCATACACACTACTACACTATCAACGTACTCAACGGCAGAATGGAACCGGGGTCGTGCGTAGAACTCTCCGCGGAGAGATGGAGATTAAGATACTAAATACTCGAAATAATTGCAGGAAGGGGTATACATCCCTTCATCCGTTCCCGTTGACCCGGATGCCCAATAGCACCAAATCGCACAAAACACGCTCTTCGCAGGTATCGACAAGGAACCCAGATGGTAAATTCAGGGAACATAGACATGATAGAAAATATCAAATAGCCGAAACACCAGTTGGCCAAGCAGACCAGAAGACACCCCCACCCAAAACAGAGAAAAAGAAAAAGATCCTAAAAGAAAAACCTTAACAGGCTGGAAATAATCAACGAGAAACCGAAATATCCAACGCGCATAGAAGGCGGTTAGTCGGTTACGATACCGGCTGCACAGGGGTTGGCTGGTCCTGGCCGTCGATAGTCCGGGGAACTTGCACCCCGCTTCGACGCAGCTCATCCATCTTCGCCATCGCCGGCCCGGTACAGATGCGACCGGTCTGCATCAGAGTGCGCAGGCGCTTGCGTCGGGCTTCGCCGCTGCGCTCCTCGCCGCGTGCAACACCTTCATCCACCCATTCGACCTGGTGGATCTTGAAACTCATCCCGTCATGCCGACCGTTCCACTTGCGAGACTTGATGCCAAACATGACCGTAGAATCGTAGCTTTCGAGGCGGGGAAGCACCAGCAGGGTGATGTGAAGATCCTTGTTGACAGGAGGCACAGGGGGCAGACGAGGACCGTTGGTCGCAGTATCGTCCTTGGAGCTACCATTGGTCTTGGCCTGATTGTCTTCTCTCGGTGGAGCATGCTGGTAGGTGTCTTTGATTTCAAGATCAAGCATTGACTCGTCGACATCCTCGCCCCAAGCGCCCCGGATGTAACCCGAGTGGATGGCAGCCGCGACGGGATCCGAATCGTCCGTGTACACACCAGTACCCCACAGCGCGCGGCGCGCACAGATTTCCTCGCGGTGGCTTGTGTCGATCCTGAATCGCGGCACACGAACTGTAAAGGTGCAGTTTTCGCGCTGCTCAAATCGCGGAAGGGGCTGTGGGGTGGTGGTATACCCAAACTTGGAGCTCTCACCCGACGCCCGCGCACTAGGAACTCCGATGCGAGGCGTGTATAGAGTGGAACCTAGATGATGCCGTGGCAAGTGGGACACGCTAGACAGAAGCGGCTCTAGGTTGACAGTAATACGAGGTTCACGCAATGGCGATGCGGCGGCGGGCCGAGCATGATGATGGTGGTGATGATGATGGTGGTGGTGATGTCCAGAGGACTCGCCCGGAGTAGAGGTGCGGTTAAAGTGGTTCGCAGATGACAGTGGCCGGTGTAGTTCTGTCAACGCAGCGGCCTCTTCTTCGGCTTTGTGACGGTGATGATGATGGCTAGAAAGAGAAGGATTAGCATATCCCAATAGCAGGAAGGCTTTTAGAAAATACATACTGGAGATGGTGATGATGATGGTGACCATGTGCATGTCGAGCTCGACGGCCTCGAGCCGATAGCCCTGCACCACCTTCCAAATCCATCTCCTCGTCCCGTGATTTGTGTGGGCGTCGGGTGCCGGAAGCCGATGGAGGTCGCGGAATCCTGGCTTCGTCGACTTCGCCGTTTGCCGAGCGGGCCGTGAAGCTATCCCGTTTGAAAGGGCTCGCAATGAGTGGTGTGGGCGGTCCACTACCGGAAACTCCTGCCGTCACACCTCCGACGCCACTCCCAATTCCCGAAAATACTCTACCCAACTCATTCTTGATGCTGGGTTCACCGGTAGCACCAATAAACGGGGCCTGGGCACCTTGAACAGCCTGGGGAAGCGGAGACGCCCGGCCACCACGCTTGCCATCTGCACCGACAGCAAGAAGAGTACGGTGAGCCAACAGCTCATCGCTTCCTTTGCGTCGGCCATCGTCACTGGCAGATGCCAATCCGAGCGAGTTCGGGCCTGTTGAGGAGGCGGTGGCTGGCGTAGATCCCAATCGGGGCGGTTGCGTCTGCTTGTTGCCGAGATAGGGCGATTCTCGAGGCGAAGGCGTGTGTTGACCTTGTCCGGTCTGTAGAGACAGAGGAGGCTGTCGACCTCCTCCTGGCTGGGACCCTAGTGACTTGGTATAGCTCTGAATGGCGCCAAAACCAAAGCCCGAACCAGATTCAGGCGCAGGGAAACGTTTTGTCTCTGGGGACGACGGGTGGGAGCGGCCCTGATCCCAAGTCGATGCGTTCGAATGGCGGTCTAGCGGTTCTCGCTCGCCATAAATAGAACCATATCGGGCTGGTCCACCCAGTGATGACCCCTTCGCGTCCTGTCCAAGTCCCAATCGTTCCCGGTCCCGAGGCGCGGTTTCTTCCGAGCGACGATCCCCAAACAAACTGCCAAAACGACTGTGTTCTCGAGCGTGCGGATCGAGACCTGCATAGGAGGTAGAGGATGGCCGTTGTCCAGCCTCAAGTCGATCTGCGAGCCCTCCACCCGGACGCGAAAGCGGGCTATAACCAGGGGGGCGGGTGCCCATCTCTGCGTTTGGCGGTTGGCTGTTGGGCCGCGAGATTGGGCCACTGAAACTCATCCGACGAGGTTCGTTGTAGGGCGATTCGACCGGGGACACTTTCGGTGATGGGTGTGTTGAATGGGGCTTTTCGGGATACTGCGAAAGTGGTGTCCGTGACATACCGCCATATTTGGCCGGTTCACCGCCAAGTAGACTGGATCCTCCGCCCGATCCCGATCGATAGGGACGACCCAGCGGAGGTTTGGAAAATGACTTTTCGGGAGTATGTGACCGACGGAAAAGGGATTGATCGAGGGGGGATTGACGCGCCGGTGCGGAGGGTGGTGACATGGCGGCCGCGGTTGAGGTTGGCGCATTCCCGAACATGGGGGACGGGCGCGAAAAGACGGAGCCCGACTCTCGCGCCGGACGCTCTGCATCCGATCCTAGCATCGACGAGATGGACATGCTGCTGCCGGGACGATGGGCATGGCCGCCAGGGGGCTCGCGGGATAGTAGGGATGAAGCGGGCGCGTTGGCTGATTGCGATCGCGAGGCGTACGCGTGTGGCGGCGACGGGGGCGGCATTTGACGATTGCCAAAGGCGGGCGGTGCCGATTGTTCTTGTCCTACTCGTCCCACGAAGGCTGTTAGCATTGAGGTCTCGAAGGGGAGGGTCGCGACCAACGGCGACCACAGGCGTTGCGAATCATGTTTCCAGCTGACGTGATGCGGCAGATCACTGCAGCACCTTGCAGACTGGCACGTCCGCCTTACTCACCGGAGTACACTGGACTGCCGCCGCTACCTTGTGAGGCACGGCGCGCAGGATCTGGGGGCTGGTGGTTCATCGCGACTTGACTGAGCACCGTTTGGCCAAGGGGGCAGCAGCTGATGAATTCGCTGACCCAGATCTCGTGACTCCGGGAGGTCGACCACTAGCCCGAATGGGGACTAGCGGCGCTATCCCTATTCAGCCTAGCGTTCCCGAGCGGCGGATCGCCGCCACTGGGGAAGGCACATACCCTCCTGCTCTGTGCGAACAGCAGGGAATGCGGTGGCTGGGCCCGACTTTCGTCAAGCATCGACTCGGATGCATGCCTCACGGGATATCCACCAGACACCCCACGTCTCAGACGGCCTCGGGTGCAGAAGCCGCAATGCGACCCCCATTCTCCGAAGCACCGACGAGAGTGGAGAGCCGAGAGGAGAACCACGGGACAAGTCCGACCCCCAACGCTGTGAATCCGGGGGACAACACAGGGCCCCAACAGGTGCCCTAAGTCACCTCAGTACTGCCAGTGGGCAAATGCCCGATAGCCGCATGGCCCAAACAACAGAAATTACACCAAAAGGAAAAATCAAGCCCTACCTTCTCTCATGGGTTCTCTCATAAGACCCGCTTGGGGTTGGGAATGGTTGCGTCGATGAGCTTGTCCATGTTGTCTTGTCTCCAGGCTGGCATGGCGTCGATGCTGGTGTGCGTGGTGATTCCGCGGTGGGGAGATGTGCGCGGCGGCGTTATCTCGGCGAAGTGGGTGTGAGGCCCGCGTGGTGCCCGACAAGTAGAGATGCGACGAGGGCGATGGGTACTCGTATCGACTGGCCGAACGAGTCTTTTCGACGTCCGGACGACTGCGAGGCTCGTTGGCGGAGGAGGCTGCGGCCGCGGTCGCGGCTGCAGCTGCAGACGAGGCAGTGTGGGATCGGGGGCGATCGTCTCGCGACTCTTGGGAGTTGCTCAGGGGGGGACGGCCGAGGCGGGTAGCTCTGATGGAGGCGCCGGAAAAAGTCCATCCTCGGCAGCAGCGAGAGGAGCGCTGGTCGAGATGGGATGAGATCGGGGAGAGGAAGAGATGAGGGTTGCGACAGATGAATGGCGGTGGAAAAGGTGCCGAAAGGCCGCCAGCTGCCACGGGACGATGGAGGATCAGCGGTTGATCCCGCGGCCCAAGCCCCGTCGGCGATAGTGCGGCGGGTGCGGAGAAGAAGCTACTGGAACCGAGCGCCTTCCGGGGGGAAGCAGGCAGGGGGGTGTTGAGACGAACGTGCGAACACTCCCGATCGGAGGCGATTGCGAAAAGAATAAAGAGGAGCGCGGAGAAAAAACGGTGAGTCTCTTAGCGCGATGGGGCAGAGCCAAGACTGTATCTTGCATGTGGGGATCGGATCACGGCTCTCTCGCAAACGAGGCGCCTCGGGCGATCCTTCATGTTTGTGTTTATTCCCACTCTACCTAAGGGTATTGACCTACGCTAGTAGTCGACGGGTGTTTGATGTCTCCCTGGAAATGATCTATCATCCGAGACATGTCCCTAAGCGCCGGTCACACCCGATTCTCAAAGTGATTAGACCCCGGGTAGCAGTACATGGGGGAGATATATTTTCGATTGTGTGCATCCCGTGCCCTACACTAGTGCAAGTACGAATATCTACCTGACGCATGTCAGGCAGCACGACAGATCGCCTTCCCAGTGCCCCGTCCCCGACTGCACCAGTGTGATTTTGGCTCTCGTCCCGTGGCCGTTGCGCTGCACTCTGACGAAAACTCCTGTTGTTGTGCTACGGACTGAATTTCGATCTGCTCGTGCTCTCGTGACGTGACATGCGTGCTCCGTTACACAGAAATACCCTACACTAGTGAAAGAATGGGTGAGAACGTCATCCCTGGGATATTATATATCTTTGGATCATGAATTGGGTGGTATATTCAATATTGTTCATTGTCATTGGCATGGTGGGTATCATTAAACGGAGAAGACATAGAAACACAAGTGGCATGTTATCATACGGCACAGAAAGGGACAAGGTGACTGCTCGTGGCGTCGTCGCTGGAGAACAGTTCTTCAGTTGAGGACCAGAAGATATCGGTGTAAGGATTGGAGCAGTCGGACCGGGGCAGAGATTCGCTAGTCACGATGACAGTGAATGGACGCTGCACGATGCGCTCCCCATTCCAGTGGGTCAATTGGCCTTGTTGGCGGAGAGCGTCGAGATGTGACACCAGAGACGGGTAGAGCTCTCGCAGGGAAGACTGCTTGTCTAATACTAGCCAAAATGATCGACGGGAGTCTTCGTCGTCCCTGTTTTCGTCCTCGTTCTGGACCTCGTGGGTGATGTCATCGGAGACGTCGGCGTTCAGGGGCACTTGAAAGTCGGTGGGGGATTGGGCCTGGCGGGGTCCCACTTTGGCGAAGAGAGAGTCGAGACGATTCTGCATGTCATTGATGGCCTTGGGGCCCGCGTCCGAAGGGCCCATCTGCAGCTCATTGCCGTGCAGCCAAATATCGGTGCGGAGCCCATCGCATCCGGCAGCAACGGATTGCGCAAGGGCGTTGGGCCGCGGGTCGGAATGGGGAAAAGTGCAGGTGAATTGCCAGTCGCGCGTGCTGTGATGCGAGACAGAGGCCGGGCGAGGGGCACCTTTGCCTCCGGTGGAGGGGAGGGCTCGCAGACATTGGAAGGTCACACTTTGACGGCGTTAGGGGCAGGCTCTTCTCGAGAACGTGGTGGATGGGGGGTGAAGGGCTACTCACAAGCAAGCCAGCACAATGCATCCGGTACGCAGCAGGCCCTCCTTCCAACGGCGCTGGGTGGTGGTGTACCATTCGGCGAGAAAAGTACCCAGGCCGGGAATACAGACAGTGGGATGGGAGCGGAGCGGGTGGTCGTCGAGGAGCCAGGGGTCGTACTCGTACCGCATGGAGTCAGGGATGACGTCCAGCTCGGACTTGGGCAGGGTCATCGCTGGGGCACTCATGGTGAGTGTGGAGAGTCGGTCGTACCTTTAGGTACTGCTTATACTCTCGGGGAGCGGTGTGGACGAGCGAGAGAGCAACGTGCGTCGGGGGCGACGAGCCTGCTATATACTGCGGCCCCCCAGCTCATCATGGTGTATGTGCACGGTAAAAGCCATAAAATTGCCCAGCAAAGGCAAAAGCAGGTGCAGAGCGGGTCGAATCGCGCCATCGTGGAGAGTCAGCAGCACGCCATAGCGAGTGTCGATCATTACATCTGGATAATACTAGGGAGTGCTGTTCAGCGTAATCATGTGTTCATCAATATAAGCATCTGTTCTACTTTGTCTGCTGAAAATATTACTTCTCACACTGCATTTGATCTCATCGCAGAGTACTACAATCTTGTACCAAGTACGAGTCTAGATTCACCATTTGGCGCCGGACTGACGTGTGCCCGCCAAGCTGCGCTAAGCCCGCCTCCGCGCATTCGATTTGCCCTCGCTCCGCCCAGGGTCCATCTTCTCCTCTGCCTGCCAACGATGCGGTCTGCGATCAGCCGAGCACATCATCCAGTCTCGTCCACAAGCACGCCATGTGGGTCGCCATCGGTGCTCGTACCGTCCCGGGGTAAGCTTCGTGCTCCTGGATATACGTTATCACCATGCCTTAATTATATGGCGTTACGCATGCTACAGCTTCTACTCACAGCTTCTGCAGATGGTACAATATGGGCCAAAGAGACTGGTCACCTCGACAAATCGCAGCATTCGAATGAGTTTAGTCTACCCGAGGGCAGCCACTATCAGGGGAATCTTATCTCGCGACTGCAGGTAGCCTAGGACTCGTACCGCTAGAGCTTGGCCTCTGATCGACGACCCGATGGCGTGTGATCGAGGATACTGCTATCCGGACGACTCAATCGCGCCTGACTTGTTTGGAACAACCGGGGCAGCCCCGTCTGCGCAAAACCGGCCCCGCCCACGATCATCTTCGCTAGCCCTTCCGCAGCCAGGAAGATCTGCGGCATCCCATGCCCCGTAAATCCCGCCAGCATATATTGCCCCTTCTGGCCCGGCACCGCACCGATATGCGGGAGCCCGTCTGAGGAATATCCCATAACTAGCGACTGGTTAATTTCAGATCCGCATTTTCATCACTGGAACAAATCAAAAAAAGACCTACTCCCCGTCCACACGCGGTCGGTATACGCATGGCTATTCTCCCACCCCACAAAGTGCCGCTGCATGTATCCATCAAAATAGCGGGCGGCGGACTCGAGCACCCGACTGTCGTCACTTACGTTATACCAGCTGTCCAGATCGTGGATAAAGGCCGTCCGTGCACCCCCGACCACAATGCTGCCGTCGTCGCGCGGGATGAGATAGTCGTAGTCCCACCCGTTCCAGCGCAAGGTGTATGTCTTGGTCAATCGCGGTGCGGCAGACCCTGGGGGAACAGCGATGCGACTGCAGGTGCCCCTTACTGGAACAATTTTGCCCTGATATTGCGGTGCGAGCGCGGACGTGTAGGCGTTCGTCGCCATCACCACGACCCCGGCCGCGACGGAACCGCGTTCTGTTTCGACATTCCAGCGTTCAGCACCGTCGGAAGTAGTTGATTTGGTCAATTTTGTCACCGGGGTATGTGTCTGCAGATTCACGCCTTGCGCGACGACCTTCTCGAGGAGATGCAGGACAAACTTGTAGGCCCAGATATGTCCCGAGTCATACGTGAAACAGCCGACGGCACCCTTGACACCAGAGAACTATAAAATGCTGATTGGCAACTGATGAGGGAGAGTGACAGAGGGAGGGTCTTACTTCCTGTGCATTCTCCGCATCGATGTATCGGCCCTCTTTGGTCGGAACGCATCCACTCGCGACTAGCTGCTCAAATCCTTTCTTGAGCTTCTTATAGTGATCCGAGCTGAAATTCACATCAATAGCCTGCGTAACCGCATAGTCGCAATCTATTTGTTCTCTTTCCACAAAGTCTTTAATCGCATAGACATGCTTTGCTTCGAAGGCCGCGACCTCAGCCGCCGCATCGACGCCGTATTCCGCAGCGAGGGTCGATACAAAATTATAGATATCAGGCTTCATGTGCCCGCCTATCGTCTCGTCAGAATAAATCCAATTGGAGAAAGAAAAGAAACACAACATCTCACCATTTCTCGCCGTCGCCCCAGAACAAGCCTGCCTCGCCTCTAAGATCGTAATCGAAGGCGGCGCCGACCCAGGCTTGACCTGTTTCAGAATTTGATACGCGATCGAGGCCCCGGCATATCCTGCGCCAACAATCACAATATCACTCTTCTCAGGGAGAACCTCGCTGGAGCGGTGGTTATCCAAAACGTGGGGCTCCGTCCGCCAAAATGGGAGCATCCCATTCGGGACAGGAAGGTGTTTCGAGGTCATTTTGGGGTTACTAGTAAGTATCTATGTCGGCGACAGGGGTGATGAGGTTGAATCACATTTATCAGGGCCGAGCAGGGCTTTGCGGAAGCTTGTCAGACATTGCTGCGATGTTGCACCGACACCAGCTTTCCCCGCCGGCTGAGTTCCCGCCGGGCCGGACCCGAGCTACCGGTGGAATCACATTACCACCTGGGAGGGTTCCGCCCCGCCCATTCTATATAGATCTATATTTTACTATGAAGTTGTATATCCCTATCACTCGTGATATTGTCGAATATCATGATAAGAATGCAATTTTAGGAAGTCAACTGCAGTATACTACTTGTAATGCCTCATCAACTAGGATCTTGTTTGTTGATTCAAGCCTAAACTTGCTGTATCGTTCTTTTAAAACTCTTCATATTTTGAAATGAAATTCTTACGTCCAAAGTCCAGCATGAATAAAAAAAGAGATGCGTACATGCATGAAAAGTCCATTAAGCTGGCTACTGCGCTCGCTGTACTACTCAACGAGGGCCAAGGAAAACGTTCATTTAGATTTACCGAAAAGTACTATTAGAGACATTTACATTCAAACATTTACACGAGCTGATTAGAAGCTCACGACGCTTGGCTTGCGATGATCTTGTCCGCCATACCGGGGAGGGTATCATCAATGACATCCATATCGCCAAAGAGCTGCTGCAATGGCTCATTCTCAAGCACAGTACAGTATGCACCCTTGAATCTGTATCACAGAGTTAGCTGTGCAAAGAATCCTCGAGTTCGTCATAACACATACCCAGCCGTCCGCGCAGCAGAAACATCCCACATATGAGCCGCCGCAAACCAAGGCTTCTTCCCCTCATTCTCTGCCATCAACCTATCCAGTAACGGCTTATAAGCCGCCAGGTCAGGCTTACCAACACCAGCAGAATCACAAGAAAGCAAATTTTCCGCCGGCATATGCACACCCGCCTTAGCAAAATACCCACCCACACGAGTGAGATCACCAGCAGTGAACGCCCAAACTGTAAAACCCGCATCGCGCAGCTTCTGCACACATTCCGCCGCCCCGGGGCGTATAGTGAGGCCCGTGTACTCGCTCATGATATACTCGAGGTCTGCGGGAGATGCGAACTCCCGCGGCTCCTTAATCCCTCCCATGAAGAGGATGCGATAGAAGAGGGCCTCAAATACAGTGCCGTAGGGCTGGTAGCGACCGGAGATACTTAAATTGGTGTACTCGCGCTCGGCTGTTTCCATCCACATCTGGCCGAGCAGGTATGGCTTGATGCCTTCTGCGCGCAGCCGGTCGCCTAGACGGCGGTCAATGGCGTCGTAGAGGTAGTCGTAGCATACGAGAGTTCCGACGATGTCGAAGACGACATTCTTGGAGGAGGACATTTTGCGGAAGAGGATGAGATGGTTTCGTGGTGTGTCTGGGTAGTTGCGGGTGTACGATGTCTAAGTTAGCCTAGGTAGACAGGAGATGCTTATCAGCCGATGAGTTGGGCCTTCGCCTCAATTTATGCAGATTGGAGATAATCAACAATGAGTCATAGAGTAGAATTGGCAATTAAAAAGTGAAGGACAGAAATCAGAGTCGCAAGGGTAAGAGTCATGGCGGCCAAGAGGTGGAGTAGCCCTATCTGATCGACCCCGCTCGTCCTCCTCTCATTACACACCATAAGTGTCCTCCCGGCGGGAAGTCCACGCTTCCCGGTGGGGATGATATCATGCAAAGAGAGGCTGATAGTCATGGGATGAGCCCTCATCGCCCATATGTAAACGGACTGGGGAACAATGTCCTGTCCCAGTCGTTGTCGCAGCCAGGTCCGACTCAACCATACCGATGGCGACGATCAGCGACGACTCTCTCGGCAATCACCACGAAAAGACCGACATCAAAGGATGTGTGGAAACAGGCATTGACATCGAGCGAACGGCCACGTCAGGCACCCCCAAAAATGGCCGCTCCACGGACTTCTCAGCGGTGCAGTCTGCGGGCTACCATCGATCTCTGACTCGCCGCAAGGTCATGATGATGACTTTTGGGGCCGGCATCGGAACAGGTCTTTGGGTAGGGACTGGGCAGGCATTGCTTTATGGTATGCACCGACTGCGGTTACAGTGACTGTCGAGACCATGCAATGTACTGATGCTAACTGTTGCTAGCTGGCCCGGCTGGGACTGCCTTGACCTACACATTGACGGCGTGGGTGATACGATTTTTTGTTCACAGCACGAAACCAAAATTAACAATTGCCTGCAGAATAATAGTCTACGCACAATACTCCTCGATCGGCGAAATGACAAGCTACAAGCCCGTGCATGGTGGGTTCATCCGACAATGCATCGAGTATGTGGATCCAGCATTCGGCTTTGCGATCGGCGTCAACTTTTGGTTTGCGGTAGGTGTCACCCAATTCGCCTCAGTGTTAATTGATTCTGACTGACTCGAAACAGTGGGTGATGATTATTCCTGCTGAAATTACTGCCGCCGTTTCGGTGTTGAAATATTGGCCTGAAACCAATGTCGTCCCGTTAGCGGCGTATATCACGATATTCATTGTGGTCATTGCCCTGGGCAACGTTTTTCATGTACGAGTCTACGGATATGTCGAGTACTATATGTCGTTCATCAAATGTCTCGCTGTGGTTTTGATGATCTTCTTCATGTTCATTATGACCTCGGGAGGCATCGCTGCTACCAATGGACCGATCGAGTTCCGGTACTGGAAAAATCCGGGAGCTTTCAATAATGGAATCAAGGGTATCTGCAAGGCATTTGTTCAAGCTGCGTTTAGCTTTGGCGGGGGTAAGTTCCTCATCGCACCTCGTGAGAAAAAAGAAGGATGAAATTGACAAATTCTTCAGGCGAACATATTGCTGTGATCGCCGGCGAAGTTGCCAACCCACGGCAGACCATCAAGAAAACCGTCCGCCCAGTCTTTTGGCGTATGTTCACGTTCTTCGTCGTCAACATTTGGCTAGTGGGAATGTGTGTTCCATCCAACGACCCCGACCTGAATGCCGATGGAACCTTGGGAAGTCCCTTTGTGATTGCCATCAAGAGAGCGGACGTCTACGGCCTGGCGCATGCGATCAATGGCTTCATCTTTCTCAGTGTCATCAGTTGTGGAATCACCAGTGTTTATGTTGCGAGTCGTAGCCTGACAGCTCTGGCTGACATGAACATTATTCACCCCTCCTTCGGCAAGAAGGACAAGCGGGGTCGACCTTACGTGTCGCTCATTATCAGCCTGGGACTCGGAGGCGGGCTGTGCTATCTCAATGTCAACAGTGTGGGTGTCATTGTTTATGGCTGGTTTTCTTCTCTGGTGAGGTTCTCCATTGTTATTTCCATTGCACAGAATCTCACAGTCCCATCTAGGTCGCAATCGCTACTCTATTCGAGTGGTCTTCATGCTATATCGCTCATCTGCGTTTTCGACAGGGCTTGAAAGCACAGGGTAAAGATCTTCGTACGCTCCCTTTTAAAGGGTTTCTCACTCCTTGGGCTCAATACCTGAGTCTGACAATCGTTTTGTTCGTCTTTGGGTGCGAGTTTTATCTGGCGTGTTGGCCATTTGGAGAAAAGGGGTCCGTAAAAAGCTTCTTTTCAAGCTACCTCGCAGCACCGCTATTTTTCTTCGATTATTTCGTCTACAAGGCAAGAACCCAGAGCCGTAACGTCTTTGAATTGAGTCAAATGCTAATTAATAAGCAGTGGTATTACAAAACCAAGATTGTGAAAGCAAAGGACATGGATTTCTCGGAAGCACACTACTTCGACGAGGAAGAACACCTTGAGGCCATTGCAGCAGAGCAGCGAGCACAAGAAGACCTGCCCAGTGAGAAGGAAACTTGGGTCAAGCGTGCTCGATACCTTGTATTTGGATAAATCAAAACCTGTGTACATATCGCCTCGGCAAATGATCATGTGCGAGGTGTTGTCAAAATTCCCGAATCGAGTCCAAGATCAGAAGGTGGCCAGTCAGAATTTAGAAATTCTGCAATATCGCACATGTCAGGATTGAAGGCACTCTCGGCCCCCGGCGATATATACATGGCTGGACTAAAAGAGGAGAGCTCTAGATGGTCAACAGGAGCTTTGTCTTTCTTCATTGACTGGGTCCAGTCTTTGAACTTGGCATAGGCGGAAGATGAATGCTGCTCGGCGTCGGGCTCCGTAGCCTCTTCCCTCTCCGTTGATGACAGTTGACGAATCGCCGCTTCAATAGACTCGATGTACGATATCTCCGACTCGGAGGAGGTGCCTCCTATCATCTGGCGTATCAGGACCATCCCACTGTCCAAACCTTCGTTGAGTCTTTGAGACCTTCCAGAGTTGAGACTTTCCGCGAGAATAACCAGTAGAGCTGCCCGACAGGAACTGAATTCTGTATATGACGCACGACATAGACCGAAATTGTCTGACAGAAATTGGAGGGTATCGAGGATCTCGAGTGCACTTTGCACGCATGCATCTACCAACTCCGATCGATAGCTTTGGCCTGAGTTATGCCTCACTTCTGGAGTGTCCTTGTTTTCTTCAGCTTTGAATATAAAAGGTCGACCCATGTAGATGTATATGAGCAGGTAGCACAGTTTTATATGACAATTTTGTCGGAATAGTGGTCCTTGGGGATCCATGTCTCGGCATTCGACGACTGTCGGAAGAGAATCCCACCATTGATTTATTGCAGTTCGTAATTGTATCAGGCGCTCTGAATAATCGGGAAGTAGCCTTTTGGGGCATCTCCTGAACTGAGTCCTGAGAAAAGTTAGCAATCTGCAGTATTTTGAAGAAAGAAGTTTTCTCACAGTGTCTCAGCCACCTCGCCAGTCCATAAAACCATGTTTATGTATGCCATCATGTTGAGAAAATTTGGCGACTCAAAAGTCTGACAGTCTGTGGGCAAGTCTGCATTGATCTCGGACCTAGCAATTGAGACAGGGCGTCCATGCATGATACTTGTCCGTCTAATTTTTAAGTCAGCACACGAACCCGGAATTAATGCATTGACAATATCATACCTTTCTAGTGTATATGTTGTCCAGAATAGACGATTGCGTAACTCGATCGTCCTACCATCACAATCCCCTCCTATGTATTTTCGATGCATTCCATTTTGGATCGCCATTTTGATCGCCAGCCCGAGGTATGTGTATGAGAGCCCTCCCGTTGACACTGGTAATGCGTACACAGCTAGAAGTAGGAAGGCCTGCACGCTCTCGTGAGAAGCGGCGAGAATCACATCCGGAATCAACTTGCACGCGACACGGTAGAAGACAAGTCCAACAGTGTCTTCGGAGCAGATTGATACATCATCAGCGGAATTTGAATCATGTGTTGACCTGTCCTCTTCCATGTGCGCCATTTGAGTTCCTATCGCAAGGACCGCGAAAAAGGAACAAACCCAGGGGATATCGGCCGTTGTGTACTCGCTCATAGAATTGTAGCAAACAAGTATCTTCTCCTGGAGCCAGCTTCTTTCCACATAGAAATTATTGACCTCGGCATATTTGAAGAAAACGTGGATCAAAAACTCAGCGATCGGTCTCGGGGGAAGTTCGCCCATCGATTCGGCGATGATCCGGATCGAGGATTGAAGATGGGTTGGCCGCCAATATTCTTTGACCTGAGAAATTAGGATATTGCGATTAACGCAGCAAAGGAAAGACTCACCCCCAGGCCGAGCGTATCTTGTCGACTACTCATCGAACGTCGTAATTTTTCTGAAAAGTTCCAATGCGAAAACTCGCCCGAATAAACTACGGAGTATCAGCGACGATTTCTCAGTGTCTGATAGGAGGCGAGGTTACACACAGGCAACGTTCCTGGATACGAACTGAACATCGAACGATTCGTTCACATCCCAAAAGCTTTCCACCCCAGTATGTCTTGTCGTGCATTTCGCCGCGATTCGCGCCAGATTTTCTCCGTCCAGGGGTACATCGCCGAGGAAATGTCGCGCTATCTGCTCGAGACTCTGCAATCGCTGAATACCACTATCCAGTGGCGGGGAGGACAGATATTTGGAGACGTGCAACTCGGTCTCTTGGAAATGGCCGAGGGTGGGAAGTTGCATGGTCGACCGAGTCGCTCACATCTCCAGCAGGGGGGACCGCCCTCGCACTTTTCCTTCTGCTTGCGACAGGTTTCGCATCTGAATATCGTCAGTGTTCATGCACCTCTCGTGTTTTCCCGCACCTCCAAGGTGTCCACTCACGCCAGAGACGCGCGCCGTCTCTTCGCATCGCGCTTTCGCTTCACGCCGCGGGATTCGAGCTCTTCGCGGATTTCAAAGGACATCGGTATTCGTTTTCCGCGAGATTGAGAGCCAGAACTATGGATATGCACAGAAGAAACAATGCCAAAAAGGTCCAAGTGAACAGGTCACCTGCTGCGCGGCGTGGATAGTCACCGTGCTTATCAACCGCCCAACCGCCGTAGGATGCGGGGTAGAACCACGCCGGGACCAATTATCATCCCTATCTCTTTCATATAGGACAAATCAGAGTGTCTGAGCCAGGAGGGTCGCGCCTCGTCTTCGGGAGTTTGCCGTGGGGGAGCCGCCTTATCACCCTGCCTTCCTATTTGGTCAAACGTGTGGCCCAATGCGTTTGGGATAGTGATTCAGATTGATCCTCACATCTGTCTTGGGGTTTTCGCATCAAGGAATGCAGGCGTCTACACTTGGGACCTCGCCAACCGAGTCCCTGGTGATAAATCTTAAGATGATTGTTGCGCATTCGCTCAAAGTCTCCAGTAGAACCTCTCAGTTATGCATACAACCTATACAACCTTGGTGAACCGTGACGTGCGCCGCGATAACGGCTCCTGTCCCTTTCGTCCTGGAAAAACCCAGGCTCCAAAGAATCTCACTGCCCACATTGCGGGATTGTCGGCGATTTCTTGACCCCGGATTAAGCTGACCTGGGGAGCCCCGAATTTCCCCGCGCGGTGACTCAGTTGGACTTGCCGAAGCCGACTACAAAAGAATCCCAAAGCCCACGCCCGACCTTTGGTACCCCGAAATCATAGTACCACGCAACTGCATACATGGATCGTCCACTAGAGCCGATGTTGGTCGCTGGCGATCGTCGCCTGCCCCGATCAGAGCGCATGTACATCTCGCAGCGGCTTTCCCGGAATCCTCGAGTTCTATACTAACCGTATAATGTCAGACAGCCGATTCTGGTCCTCATCGCCTCCACTGCACTTGTATTTACGGGATGCGGAATCAACTTTACATTCGGAGTGTACCAGGAACTTTACGATTCCATGTCAAAGTTGCCTGATACCCCTTTCACTGGAGCCACGCCCGCCCAGATAGATCTCATCGGCACACTCTCTATTGCACTCATGACAATTGGAGCTCCCTTCACCACGGCATGGACGAAACAGTACTCTCCCCGAACAGTTATATGGTGTGGAGGAATCATATACTCTGTCGCTCTGGTTCTCGCCAGCTTCAGCCAGGCTCTATGGCAATTCATTCTCACACAAGGTCTCCTACTCGGCGTAGGCACATGCATGGCATACATGCCGTCGGTGACGGTGGCACCCACTTGGTTCTCGATTCATCGCGGGCTCGCCATGGGTATCATTCTTTCAGGGACGGGTCTTGGAGGCGTGGTCTGGCCGCTCGCGTTCCGATCCCTCATCGCCCGTGTGGGCTTCCGCAACTGTCTCCGCATCACAGCAGGAGTTTCCTTTGCTATAATCACTGCATCGGGGGCTTATATGAAATGGCCGGCCAGCCACCTCACTCGAATTCGAGCTGAGAATGCTGCGAACGCAAGAAGATTGAGTTGGCTGCGTATTCCCCTGGCTGATTGGCACGTTGTCAAGACTCGAAAATTCGCAGCTCATGCTCTGGGGGCAGCACTTCAGTCCGCGGCCTACTATACCCCTGTTTTCTTCTTTGCGTCTTTTGCACGCACGCTGGGGTATTCACAGGCCTCGTCGGCCAATTTCATTGCCATCTCAAACGCAGCGAATGCCTTGGGAAAAATCGCGATCGGACATGCGGCCGATCGAATGGGCAGACTCAACACTCTGTTCTTGACAACCTTGATTTCGGCCGTAGCTGTCCTGGCTATGTGGTTGCCCTCGGCCCTGTCGACTTCTCAGTCCAGCGGCAGTGTCCTCTTTATCGTGTTCACCATATTTTACGGCGTCTTCGCCTCGGCGTACGTCTCGCTCTTCCCTACAAGCCTGGTAGAGCTATTTGGCGTGCAGAACTTTGTTAGTGTCAACGGGGTTCTGTATATGGTGCGAGGATTCGCGACGTTGCTGGGAACCCCAGTCGCGGGATTGTTGATCCGTAGTAGCCAGCACGAAAAGGCTGGCCCACGAAGTTACGAAAACACGAGCATCATGGTAGGGATTCTGCTTGCGGCTGCGACTTTTGCAGTGTTGTGGGCTAGAGTTGAGGCGACTCTGACCTTTGAAGGAGGACCGGGTCAACGAAAGTGGTTGATGTAGGTATAGTCGGGACAAGTGTCAGCGGGCTGGCAAAATGTAAAGCAACACTCCACTCTGTTTATCAGCGGTCACTCTAAATGAATTCAAGTTTGGAAATGGAACGATGAATGAAGTTATGCTTAAGATCAGATAGACCTAAGTAAGCTTAATTACCATGTGGAACTAAGCTTAAAGATCAGATTGCTTTAAGCTCAGCAGGATCCGGTAGATATAACCTTAAATACTATGTCCCTGGCTCTGTACCGAAAATATTGTTTCTTAGGTTTCTTTACAATACCGTGAGACATTCCTTGGAACTTGGTATTGTAAATAATCAGAAGCGCCCATGTGGCATAATGATTATCCCGGCCGACGGGTATCACGGCTGCCGAGCGACCGTGTCATGAATAGCCCCGAGAACCCATCGTCCCGAATTTGGCAGCAGTGCGAGAAGAGTTCGAAATGACAGCTGTCACATAGTAGTCTTGCTCAGAAATAAATTTTCAATGAGAACCAAAAAAAACAGTATTGTTCATTCCGATGTATACTTGACCGTTGCTGATGGTGCATGTGCGCCGGAGCATCTCCGACCCATTTTCACATGTCTCGAATCGGTGTTTCACATGTCAACCCTAGCAAGTCCTTACTCGGATCTCCAAGCGATCATTCATGGGCAACCTCTTGTGATGACTTCTTTAGATTGGCAGTTTGTTCTCGGGAGCTATTAGAATATAGCAAGAACGTGTTATGTTCTGATGATAGCTGCCTGGGTCAAGTAAATGGAGGGGTACGGATTACACTGTGTACCTCGTTTGCTTCACATCGCATAGAAGGTCCAGCTAGAACATCATAATAATACCTGAGTAGGCCCAGACACGCTTTTATGTCAACATTTTAAATATAAGAACTACTTATCACCACGACCCATCCATGGATGTGGTCTTTGACTTTTCTGGCATCCAAAAGTGTAGATTATGACAGAGATTCCCGACCATTTTGAGTAGAAAAGCAGAGTTTTTTTTTTTTTTTTTTTTTTTTTTTTTTTTTCCGTGAAGAAACTCAAGACTCCGGTATCCATTCTTTGCCTGGGCGCGTAAGGCATCCACGTATAGAGTAGGCTGCCAGGCAGTAGTTTATCATGACAGTGACTGGCACCGGCAGATTAGTAAGTGACGGGGTAAACAACCGGAAGTCCGTGAAATACAGCGTTCGAAATAGAAAGACCATGATGGCGGCGATCCCTTTTGGCGAAATCAGCACCATGTCTGATTGATCCCACTAATTGACTATCTAGGTGTCCTGGTGAGGGATGTTTTGGAAAGCCACTAGTTACACGGAATCCGAGGAACCCGTTTTCTGCCGCCAAGACCTTGCCGCGCTAGACTTCATCTCAGCGGACTCGGGTATCGAAATAGCCGGCTTGGGTTTGAGGCTGAACGTGCTGAGATAAACTGCAATACTGCATTCAGTTGGGTCGGCGGGACTGATTGGCCACTGGAAAGGGAATGTAGTGCGCACGCAACCAATGAAGCCTCAAGACAAGGCGAATCGCGTCGTGGTGTACATCTGCCTAGACTTCTCGCGGTCCGCGGAGCCCGTCACTCGATCTACCACCAAAAACAGAGCCAGACTCTGGAATCGCTGTAGCTCGCCTCAACCAATACCGGCATGGAGAACAAGAAGGATAAAAGGCCATGGATCGGGTCTCACCAAGAATCATGCTTCTTCTTTCTTCAAAGAGACCTGGCGAGCTCACGAAATTGCCAATAGACCTGACGCAGCATCGGGTTCCATACATGCTTCGATTCAGCAAATATCTTGATTTCAATTTTTCCAGCCCTTCAAAGCCAGCCCTTGCACGATGAGCAATGAGTCAGAAAAACCCTCAGCGGATGAGAGCCCAACTGGAGACTCAGGCGCATTTCATGCCTATTTGGTAAGCACGTGTCCCAATTTTCCAAGATGTTGTCTCTCATATGTGATAGAGGATATTCCGATATGGATCCTCCATCGAGCGTGTCTTGCAGATGATTGCTGCTGCTTGTGCGATGGGCTCTGGAGTCGGGATGGCTATGGTGAACTTGGTATTCGGCCGTTTCATCACTCTGATTATCGACTACGTGTCAGGTGCTTCGACACCTGATGCTTTCCGCAGTCGTGCTGGAATCCTGGGGTAAGATCGAATCTTCTCAGAAACTAGCCTCTGGATGTTGCTGACTTGTGAAACAGTCTTGCGTTCTTCATCATCGGCCTCGGGCGGTTTATCCTCACATACGCATACAGTACGCTCTTCACGTTCGCTGCTTATCGAGTTGCCAGAAATATTCGCCGTGCCTACTTGGAAGCCGGTATCAGACAAGAGGTTGCTTTTTTTGATGGAGGTACTGGTGGATCGATTGCTATGCAGGCTACTTCGAATGGCAAACTTATTCAAGCAGGAGTGTCAGAAAAGTTGGGACTGGTGACACAGGGACTAGCAGCCTTCATCGCGGCATTTATCCTGGCATTCGTGACCCAATGGAAGTTAACCCTTATTTGCTGCTGCATTGCTCCAGCCACGCTTCTGGTGATGGGTATCACTTCCGCCATTGAAGCCAGCATCGAGACCAACATTCTACAGGTCCAGGCCCAGGCTGGGAGCTTTGTGGAGAGCATTCTATCGAGCGCCCGAACAGTGCACGCCTTTGGCCTTCGGGCTATGCTAGTGCATGACTTGGAAAAGTTTTTACAGCATTCACGACAACTGGGCAACAAAAAGAGTCCCCTCTTTGGGTTTCTCTTCTCTGCGGAATACAGTATCATATACGCAGGCTTCGGTTTGTGTTTTTGGCAGGGCGTTAAAATGCTAGCCAGAGGCGAAATCGAACACTCGGGAGACGTTTTCACGTTTGTGCACCGCCCTTACTATCCTCTCAGAAATTGCCTGACTGTTTCTACTACAGTGTGCTTATGTCGGTGATTGTGGCCGCTACAAGCTTGACTTCGATAGCGCCATATCTCATCGACTTCACTCGAGCTGCCACTTCAGCCTCGGAGTTATTCAGACTTATTGATAGAACTTCGGCTATTGACCCTTTCGCTGAATCCGGGGAGCGACCTACCCAAGTCAAAGGCGATATTGAATTCGACCACGTCTCATTCAGCTACCCAACTCGGCCCGGGGTCACTGTGTTGGATGACCTCTCGTTGCGTATCCCTTCTGGAAAGGTGACGGCTCTCGTTGGAGCGAGTGGTTCAGGAAAGAGTACAATTGTCGGATTAATTGAGCGTTGGTACAATCCAATATCAGGAACGGTGAAGCTAGATGGGCAGCCCATCCACCATCTAAACCTTCACTGGCTTCGACAGCAAGTGAGACTTGTTCAACAGGAGCCTGTCTTATACGCTGGAACTGTCTTCGACAACATCTCCAACGGACTGATTGGCACTCAATGGGAGAATGGCTCACAGGAAGTTAAACTGGCCCGAATTGAAGAAGCCGCGAAGATTGCATTCGCCCACGATTTCATCACCAACCTTCCCAATGGCTACGACACGATAATTGGGGAACGAGGTGGTTTGCTGTCTGGTGGCCAGAAACAGCGCATTGCTATCGCTCGAAGCGTTGTCTCGCAACCACGGATTCTACTTCTGGATGAGGCGACCAGTGCGCTTGATCCGCACGCCGAAGAAGTCACTCAACAAGCCCTTGACAATGCTTCGCATGGACGCACAACCATCACAATCGCTCACAAGCTCGCGACAATTCGGAATGCTGATAATATCGTCGTGATGGAAAGAGGTCGCATTGTCGAACAGGGCACACATCGTGCTCTTTTGGAATCAAATGGAGCCTATGCGCGACTGGTGAAGGCACAGGACTTGACCACGACGACAGAGACTGTCAAAAACTCGGATTCTTCGGTCAATTCAGAAGAGGAGATTAGCGAAGTGCCCGCTGAGCTCATGAAATCAACTACAGAATACTCGATATCAACCAAAGGCCACCTGGCGAATCAACTGAACCGCGATGATTTTGACAATTGGAAACGGCTAGGCTTCATCCATACGGTATTTCGACTTCTTAGATCCACCCCGGAACTCAAATGGACTTATGCCATCTTGATTCTGGGGTGCTTAACAGCAGGTAATATATTCGAGGTAATAATTACGCAAGACAATTCATCAAGCTAATACTATCTAGCTGCTTCATATCCTGGACAAACTATTCTGATGTCAAGGTTTATTGAAGTTTTCAAATTCACCGGGGCTAAGATGGAGGACAAAGGGAACTTCTTCGCGCTCATGTTTCTTGTTCTGGGCATTGGCGCTTTTGTTGTTTACTTCGTCGTCGGATGGTCTTCAAACGTCGTTGCTCAGGTTTGGACTCTGCCTTTATCCCCTGATTCCTCTCTCTCTTCCTAACGGTTTCAAAGACGATCAATCAAAAGTACCGCCGACAGATTGTCAATGACATGCTGAGGCAAGATCTGCAATTTTTCGATCGTCCCGAAAACACCACCGGCGCCCTGACAAGCCGCGCAGATTCTTATCCTCAAGCGGTATTTGAGTTGATGGGCTTCACTGTCGCTCTCATAGTTGTTGCAACAACAAGTGTCGTCGCATGCTGTATATTGGCCGTAGTTTACAGCTGGCGGATCGGTGTGGTGATTGTATTTGCGGGACTCCCACCCATGCTCGTGTCAGGCTGGGCTCGAATCCGGATGGAAGCAGCAATGGACGACAAGATATCTAAGCGGTTTTCCTCAAGTGCGTCTATTGCATCGGAGGCTGTTAACTCGATCCGAACGGTATCCTCGTTGGCCCTTGAGAAGACAGTTCTTGAGCGATATACTCAGGAGCTAGACCAAGCTATCGCTTCATCGACCAGGCCTCTACTTATGATAATGCTTCCTTTTGCGTTCACCCAGAGCGTTGAATACAGCTTTCTCGCCTTGGGCTTCTGGTTTGTGCTTCAACTCAACGTTTCACATCTTTCAACCTTAACTAATGTGACTGTGGCATAGGTATGGATGCCGACTGGTCTCCTACGGACAGGTGGAAATGGTTGATTTCTTCGTTGCATTCCTCGGCGTGTTCTTCTCCGGTCAGCAAGCGTCTATTCTTTTTGGATTCTCCAGCAGTAAGGCCCCTCCCCAGACGAGTGAGATATTAATCAAGCTGGCTGACGTTCCCCTCAGGCATGACCAAGGCTACCAATGCTGCCAACTATATATTCTGGCTCGAGGAGCTTGAGCCGACTATCAAGGAAACACCGGAGAATCATGACGTTGGCCCCGAGAACTTATCAACTCTTGCTCTAGAGAGATTGCAATTTTCGTATCCAATGAGACCTCTTGCACGCATCCTGCGTGGCGTCGATCTTCATGTGAGCTTTCCGATGTATTCACTCCTGATGTTGCGGTGCGTATAACTAACACACAATAAATAGATCGAAAAGGGCCAGTTCGTTGCTTTTGTCGGCGCATCCGGCTGCGGAAAGAGCACGATGATTGCCATTCTTGAACGCTTCTACGACCCCGTCACCGGTAGCATAAAGGTCGACTCGAGAACACTCGACAAAATGAACCCATGGCTCTATCGCGACCGTGTCGCTCTCGTACAACAGGAACCAATGCTTTACCCCGGCACGGTCCGCGAAAACGTCTCTATGGGAAAAGCAAGCGAAGACGTATCGATCCCAACGGTTTCAGATTCTGAAATCGAGGCTGCTTGCCGAGCAGCCAACGCTTGGGATTTTATCAGCTCGCTGCCCGATGGACTAGGAACCCTCTGTGGGACCAACGGGACTCAGCTCTCGGGTGGACAGCGGCAACGTATTGCAATCGCACGGGCGCTGCTTCGCAACCCGCGTCTGCTGCTGCTGGATGAAGCCACAAGTGCATTAGATACGCAGTCGGAGCGTATTGTGCAGAAGGCGCTGAATGATGCCGCAGCAGATGGTGATCGCATCACGGTTGCGGTGGCCCATCGGCTGTCAACAGTTCGTCATGCTGATATGATCTGCGTATTTGATGGAGGGAAGATTGTCGAACTAGGAACTCATGAGCAGCTAAGTGCAAGAGATGGGATCTATGCGAAGATGTGTGAGTCCCAAAATCTGGGTACATAGCGAGCACATCCGGTGAATTTCACAGGCTCGGATCACGCTCAGGTAACCACACCTAATTTATACAAGGTCCCGCGGAGATATTCTCAAAATAATAGATTGCTCAATGTATCTAGTTAATTTCTGTTCATCAAACCGTTCGTAAGTCATAATTTGTCCTTTGCCTCTAGGCGCCCGGAGTTTGCGCCCTCTCTCCCAGCCCCATAAGCCCACCGGCAAGCCCATTCATTCGGCGATCCAGCAAGTCCTCTTCACTATCAAGCGAAGCAATACTGCGGCCACGCGGACGAAAAGCAGTAGGACTCTCGGGAGCACTGTTAACTTCATCAGGTGGAAAAGTGTCTTGGTGGCTGGTCATTTCCAGCTGCTTGAGCTTCGCGAGGAAATTGCTTCCACTACCTCCGCTGTTCTCCAGGGAAGAAAGCCCCCAATTCAGTTGAGAGGACCCGAATGATGGCCCGGATTTCATTCGCCGCGCGAATAAATTCGAGCTAGGGGCCGCGTTCTCGTTATGTGTGAGTGGAGTAAGCTTGCTTACGCCCATCTCAAGGGTTTGTCGTCATCCCCAGATGAATCCCCAGTAAAGCTGCGATGATGATGTCCGCCGTGACCGTTTGCAGACCCTTTGCTTCTGGAGGAGCCCTTTGGCTTCTGTGGAGCAGTCTGGTGGGTGGTGTTCTGGAACATTTGTAGGAGGGAGTATTCCGATTCGTGGAGTACGCTTGATGCAAAAATCGATTCAATCTGCCTGGCACTGCGATTGATGAATTTCCACGCGTCTGGGAAAAAGCCGGCCATTTGGATAAACCCATGCGATACCCCTGGAATCAGGGACACTTCGACATGGTCTTTTTCGTTAAATTGGCATTGAGACCGCTCGAGACCAAGATCTTGACGCTCGCGGAAAAGCTGCAGCTTTGCTTGGCGAAGACGACCTGCAAAGATGACTGTATCATCTACGAGTGGGTCTCGCTCTCCCGTCATTATATAAGTCTTTGGAAACCGGGCAAGGAGGGCATCTGGAGCCAGAACAGGCGACAGATAAAAGTCGGTGTTGAAGTCTGGACGATGGTGCGGACCGATATACAGAATGATCATTGCTCGCATCATTTCTGGTGTCAGGATGCGATCGTGGACATAGGAAATCATGGATGAGACAGCGAGACGGGTCTTGAGTGGCTGGACTTGGTCCTCGACAGGAGCTGCCTTTCCATTGAGATCCTCACTATTTTTCAGCTTGTCCTGGAGAGCTTTGGAAGCTTCGGTTGCCACATTCGTTGCCTCCTCTTTTGGCTTTTGCTCTGGTTCAGCAATTTCTGTCAAATTCTCCACTGAATGGCCGGGGAAGTAAATGGCGTGAGCTTGCGATATTGATCTTGCTTCCGCTGAAGAACAATGCTGTTCGTTTGCCGGGTGCTCTTATCTTGGATCAACGACATTTGTTCGTCGGTCATCCAACTTTCAACTCTCACGTTGAGTGCAGGGTATGCCAATACCAGACCATCAGGTCGTGGCAGAACTTCTTCGCCTCTCCATCCTTGAGCCATCGCTGACTGAAGTGCCATCAAAGTCATGCCAACAGCAAGATTACCGCCAGCGCTCTCTCCAGTGACCACGATGCGTGGGCGAGTTGAGCCACTCAGTCCCAGACACCGCCCGTTAGTCGACATTATTGTATGATAGACATCGTAGCACTCGTGTAACGCAAACGGATATGCATATTCCGGTGCCTTTTTGTAATCGACGCTCAGAACCGGGACTTTGAGTTGACCTGCCCAAGACAACAATTTATCCTCGGAGCTTCGAGGGCCCATAGCAACGAAGCCGCCGCCCGGGATATCCATGACGATGCATGTCTGATCACGCAACGCACTCAAAGGACCATCAAAGTACAGCCATGCATTCACGACATCTTTGTGTATGGATTTTTGAGGTCTTGGAATGCGGATCGCGCGAGGCGCGTACCGCGTCAGTCGAGGACGGAGCAAGCTGGCGAGGGCCCACAAGTACGGCGTAGTTGCTTTGTTCCAAGACACACGAAGGTGGTCCAGCGTGAGTGTTCCCCGGACTTTACGTACTTTTTCATCGGCCTGTTCAGCTGCGATCAGATAATACACGGTGAAGACCAACGAAGCGATGTCACGCAACCACTTGGGTTTGATCTTCATCGCGGTCCAAAACCCTGCGTCGAGTCCAGTCGTGATCCATGTCGCGCGGAAAAAGGATCTCGAATATAGATTGGCTAGTGGTTCGGGACACTCGAGACCGACGATTTTCGCAAAGTTGCGGCTGACGTAGAGCCAAAGAAAGATGATCACCGTTGTTTGCCAAGTCGTCAATTTGCCACTAAAATGCGAAGAGATGGATCGAATAAAAGGGGGGCCATGTTTGTTGGCTCTGCAAGATAATTTTGCCTTGTTAGCTAAAAACCCGGAGTTGTGGGGGAGGATCAGCGATTTACCGAAGTAGATAAACCGACCAAAACGAGACGACTGCGAAGACCTGAATTTTTCGAAATCGAGTCGACGGTCTACCCAGGACGTGGTCTGTTGGATGAATTTATTAGTAAAGACCCAATTGCATGCCAGCATCCCTGAAGTGGTGGGTAGTACCTATCATTTCCACCCCCGTTGGGCGTTGCCGCGGTGTAAATGTCGGGATGGCGATCTCTGTGCGACGTGCGAATCTCGATGAAAAGCGATAAGCTATCCCACTGCATCAAATGTTTCCTAACAAGCAGATGACACCAAACAGCAGCAGGAACAGTGGAAGAGAGAAAGCGGGAGGCCTCGTCTGTTCTTTCATCTTCACATGTCGAGGGTCCCCCACATCACATGCCAGTGACGCCATCAGCTGACGGGGGCTGCCTGACGCGCTAGGCAGCATTTCGGACGTTCAGTATATTGCTATCCAATTGTTTTTTCAATACACGACCAGGATCAACAGCATTATGATCAAATTTTGCAGCAGAGATATACCATTTGGGCTAGTCCTGGTGTTGGTGGAGACAGCGCGGTTGATGCCGCATGTCAACCATTCCACGCCAGCAGGCGGAACTGTTTCACAAGTCTTTTTTATGTGGTTTTCGACATGAAGTCTTTGAAGGTAGCATGGCAGCCCTTGCAGTTATAGACATGCATTTCTTCGTGCTGGTACTTCAAAGCTTCGGTCGCTGACAAGGCGTGGCTTGCATGCAGCATGCAGGGGTCATCTGACCTCCCACCCACGTGGGTCAAACCGGCATTTCGCGAATTGTCAGCACGGCGTTTCCCATATTGAACTGTGCAGGCAGAAGATTTTGACCCAGAGAGGGTGATTGTAGTCAAAAATATAGCATGATCGATTCTGTTCCGCTAAACAATCAATTGACATCACATGAATTTATAAGTCATTTCTAAAGCCATCCGGTGCAAGTATCAAACTTGCCGACAGTACTCTCGCCCATGTATTAGCTGGAATCTGCACAGCAAGACCTCCCACGGCATACTCAATATTCCAGCAATACAGATTCCAGCCGAGTCACTGACCGTCGTCGCGCCAAGAGAGAACTCGCGTTCCTCCTCCGGCACGCGATCGCTGATCTCCGCAAAGGTGTTGACATAGACCAGCCCGCCTAAGAGGCCCTCCCAGAAGATAATAGCAAAAACGATGTAGACGTTAGGGATGTAGTTGAACAAGGAATGGGTGGTCAGGACCGCCAAGTTCAACACCTGCAGCAAGGCAGGCAAGTAGAGGTTATGGATGCGGAAGAAGGGAGTCGAAGAGCGCGAGATGAAGACGCCCGATTGGTAGATTGCGTTGTAGGCCGGGTAGAAGGCTCGGAAGCTTTTGAATGGGGTCGTGTATAGTGGGAAGAGCAGCGTAGGGCAGACACCCTGGTTGATGACATACTCAGAGACGAAGACCAGCAAAAGGGGTACCATGCTAGAAGAACATGTTAGAATTTCATATAAGTCAAAAAGAAAGGCTGGACTTACAAGGGAAAAAAAAAGCTTCCCAAGTCGGCGCAGGTTCATCCGCGTACGTTCCCACAGAGTTGTGTGTTCACGGGCGAGCACCGACTTGGGGTTATCATGGTTAACAGATACACCCAGAAGCCCTTCCTCCTCCCCGCCATCTTCGTGCCTGTCTATATCCATGTGGTCTTCATTAGGGTGTTCGCCGCGTTCGACGGCATAATAACCATCGGTAGCTGCGTTGGGCGATTGTAATGGCGCTCTGGGCAAGATAATGAAGAATGCCAGGGCCATGACAGCCGGCAACAAGGCAGAGGCGAAGAGAGTCGCATGGACGGAAACATTCATAACCGAAGTCGCAAAGGCATATGCGCCAGCCCCGACTAAGCCCGCCGCACCCGTACCACTCCCCCACGAGGCCAGACTGAACGGGCCGTAGAAATGCGTCAATCCGACAAAGCTCAGCTCACCTCCGCCGGCCGAGAAGCTGGCCAGTACGATTCCCGCAATTTTCGACGAGATCGTGCCTCCGTTTGTATAACTCGGGCTCACGGCCACGACCAGCATACCGACGGCGGAGAGAAAGACGAAGACCAGGACCCGGATCGAGTACGGCACGAGGTGGATGAAGTACGGAGCAATCAGCTTGGTCGCAAAGGCCGGAATAATATCCGCAAGCAGGACGAGACCTTTAGGAATATCGGGACCGACGAGGTCCAGCGCCGCCGAGAGGAGGATCACGTAGAGGACATTATTGATAAGGCCTGCCTGGTTTAGCGGAGGTTCGCAGCCCATATCGTTCGCTCCGAAGGCATACGCACCGAACAGCCAGAAGGCGATACAGACTCGCGGATCTGCTCCGTCGAAGACTGCCTTGAACCGGTCGCATAGGCGAGTCCACCGTGACGGTGCCAGATTTGCTTCGCGGTCAGTGAGCAGAGCGTCCTGGAGGGACGCGGGGCGAGGCATTTGCGGCAGGCGGTCGCGTGAGGGTAGAAACTACGAAGAAGTTCATGCAAAGTGAAACGACACCTGGGGGCAAATCTCTCGGGTTAGTCTGGCAACGGGGCCATGGGCGCGGTGTTTATCATATCTGATTCAGGGAGGTGGAGGTGGAGGGTTGGCTCCACAGTCGTTTGATCCACTGCCAAGAACGGCAAACGCGTGTCGTCGGCAGTTGGGCCTCGTATTGTACTCGTACGCAACATGACTACACTATACGTAGGATATTTTCACCAAAACAGTGCGGTCGCTTCTGTGGATCTTAACTGCTCTATATGCAGACTACATGCAACGCAATATCAAACCCCGAAAAAAAGACGTGGAGGCTTGGCCCGCCGTCAAAGCCGACAAAAAAGGGTATATGTCAAACACGTATCGTAGACGGCATTGAGATCAGCGCCAAAAACTTAAGACTTGGCCACGACGGAATCCAGAGCCTGCTCCAGAATGTTCAGACCGAGTTTGATCTGGTCCTCGGTGATGGTTAGAGGAGGCACAAAGCGGATGCAACCATCGCCGGCGGTGATGATCAGCAGTCCACGCTCACGCGCAGCGGTGATGATATCACCAGCCTTGGGGGCGACAGCCGGAGTAAGCTGGAGACCCAGGATCAACCCGCGACCGCGCACTTCCTGGATTGCCTCAGGGTACTTCTTCTTCAGAGAGTCGAAGCCAGAAACAAAGATGGCCGACTTGTCCTTGACAGCACTCTGGAGCTCGGGGTCGGCCAGGCGAGCCACGATGTGATAGGCGACGCGGCAGGCCAGCGGGTTACCACCGAATGTAGTGCCATGATCGCCGGTCTTGATGTGCTCTCCGACAGTCTTGTTGGAGACAATGGTGGCACCGATGGGGATACCGTTACCCAGCGCCTTAGCGGAGGTCAAGATATCGGGGTGGGCAGCCTTGCCGGAGGTCGGGGCAAGGGAAGGGTGGCCGTGAGCCCAGAGAGTACCGGTACGGGCCAGACCGCACTGGATCTCGTCGAAGATCAGGACCGCGCCGACCTCGTCGCAACGCTTGCGCAGAGCCACTAGGAACTCGGGGGTAGCGACATTAACACCACCCTCGCCCTGGATGGGCTCAACGATCACACCGCAGGTCTTGTCGGTGATAAGAGTCTGAATCTGCTCGACGTCGTTGTAGTTGCCGTACTTGAACCCGGGGATCATGGGCGAGAAGGGAGTCTGGTACTTGGGGTTCGGGGTCGCGGACAAGGCGCCCATAGTGCGGCCGTGGAAGGAGTTGTGAAAGGAGACGAGTTCGTGCTTTGCGCCAGAGGGTTCCAGAGTACGGCCGACCTTGCGAGCGAACTTAATGGCCGCCTCGTTGGCTTCCGTGCCGGAGTTGGAGATGAAGACCTGGGAGGCATCACGCATAGCACCGGACTCGCGGGTGAGGTTGATCAGCAACTGGCTGAGAGCGCCAGTCCAGGGGTTGTGGTAGAGGTTGGAGGCGTGAATAAGGGTCTCGGCCTAAGTGTAAAGCCAAGCAAGATCTGATCAGCAATGGTTCAGGGTCAAGCGTCATGACTCATGTTCGAATGCGCACCTGTTCCGCGACAATCTTGGCGATCTCGGGATCACAGTGACCAAGAGAGTTGACAGCAATACCAGCAGTCAGGTCCAGGTAGCGACGGTTCTCCATATCCCACAGGTAGCAGCCTTGTCCCTTCATCATCATCGGAGCCGGGCGAACGTAGGTCGGTACCATGAACGGAGCACGCTCGTTGATGAACTTGACGGTCAGCGAGTCAGACGAGGGGTCAGGGTTAGGCAAAGAGGCCTCCTTCTGTCGCAGAGTTAGAAGTGCTGTTCTGTAAAGAGCTATACACAACCCTGGGGGCACAATGGCTCATAATACCTTTGCGTGAGACTTGACATCCTGAGCGCTGGCAGCGTTGGTAGCCGCAAATCGACGCTGCAATGGAGACTCGACCGAGGCAACCAATTTGGAGGCGCGAGGCAGGCGGCGCGCGGCCACACGGAGAGTAGACATGGCCAGGGGATCTTTCGTGAATTGGCCTGGTAAATCAATGGCCGGGAGGAAGAAGATCGAGGAGACCGAGTCATCGCGGTTCCGAAGCAAAAAAAGGCGATATCGGGCTCGGCGACCGGCCGGCATTAGTCACGCTCGATCGGCGCCACTGCCGCCAACAACCCGCGAGGTCGGGAAGACTCTCTGCTCTTGCTCATTTGCAGACAAATCCCTCGGTCGCATCTCCCAAATATTCAGCATGTCTTCCCTCACCATGCGCCGCGCGTTTCCCCTTCCCTCTGCGAGCCGGCTCGTCGTCCGTCCCCTCACTACGACCCGAATCCTCCGCAGCCCCGAAGACGGCAAGCCTTCCTTTGGCTTCAAGAGCGGTCCCGCTCCCCCTCGTCTCCCAAAAGAAGAACAAGAGATCTTTGAAGAGCTTCAGCGCCGGTCGACGGGTGCGTTCAGCACACCTCAGGTCAATCAGTCACCTCAGGCCGAGATCAAGGTCAACGGCAACGGCGAAGAGCTGCACCCGGATGCGCCGCAGGGTATGAAGCCTGAGTTCGACGGCGATAAGAATCCTAAGACAGGAGAAGTTGGTGGCCCGAAGAACGAGCCGCTGCGATGGGGATCCGGAGGAGACTGGAGCTATGGTGGCCGGGTGACTGACTTCTAAGTGATCGGAAGTCATGAATTATACCACAACTTTGCATATGGCTGGCGTTGATATCTCTTTGGCCCGCCCATGGCTGACAGAGCTCGGCTTATAATGAAATGCTCACAATGTATATATACTGGGTTTAATTGATGAATAAAAGCGCCCACGTGCGTTTCTCATTGGTGCCATGATAAGGAAGCCCGTCCTTCACACTTGAAAGTATTTGCCATGATGGATAAAACAAACGGCTATCGAAAACATTGTGTTTGAGTGGGGTCCATACCCTCATTACCTTGGGGTATCTACGACAGCCGGCTCAGGGTCGCCTTGCCGGCACGGCTGTCGTTAGATCGTCCCAGCTCTCCACTGATCCACGACCCGATCCGTGACATCTCCTCCAAACTAATACCGGTATGCATTCCGAGGCTGTGGATGGTGTGGATAAGGTCTTCCGTCGAGACATTGCCCGTAGCGCCCTTGGAGTAGGGGCATCCACCCAATCCTCCAACGCTGCTGTCAAAGATCCGAACGCCATGCTCCAATCCGACAATTGTGTTCACCAACGCCTGTCCGTAGGTGTCGTGGAAATGCAGTGCCAAATCAGTGTTGGCGATACCAGCCGCCTTGAGTGCTTGGAGAAGCTCCATCGTGCGCGGTGCCGTTCCCATGCCCGTGGTATCAGCCACCGAAACCTCGTCGGCACCCATCTCCAGCAGAGTCGCTGTAATTTCCGCTACCTTGGATGGGCTGACCTCGGGTCCTTCATAGGGGCAACCAAGAGCAACCGAAACATACCCACGAACCCGAATATCCTTGGTCTTAGCCAATGCAACGATCGGCTTAATGCGCTCCAGTGATTCAGCAATCGTACAGTTGGTATTAGCCTTGGAGAAAGCCTCGGTGGCGGCCGCAAAAAGAGAAACCTCGGTAGTTGTAGCAGCCTTCGACTCCGAACCGGGCGAGTCGGCCGGAACCCCCGTGCTGTCCATGATTTTCACGAGGTTCTCGAGCCCCTTGATGTTGGGGACAAGATAGTTGTATGCAATTTTAGTGTTCTGAGATGGAGGAGGTGATGTAAAAAGATGCTCGCAGATCTCAGCTGTGCTTGCCATCTGTCATAGTGATTGGGGGGTAAAGTCAGTGATCCTATTCCCACCGGCAGACATCATCATGCCATTAAGATGCGTAGAGAAGCATACCTGTGGTACCCATTTCGCCGGGACAAACGAGCCCGCTTCGATAGTGGTTACGCCAGTCTTCGCCAGTCTCTGAATCAAGTCCAGCTTTGTCTCTTTCGAAATTGCCTTTTTTTCATTCTGCAGGCCATCGCGAGGACCGACCTCGACAATGCGAACATGATCCGAGGCTAACCGCGACTCGGTCGCAAAGCGGCGTGTGGACACAGGGGCCCGAAGGGCAGAGAGCAGACGCAGACGGGATCGAGAGGCCATCGTGGCAAATCAGTCACCTTGACTGGCAGGAAACCAGCAAGAATCGGATCATTCAATAGATGGCAGAAGCTCGGGGGCAAGAAGGAAGAAGGAGGGGAGCTCGGGACTCCAAAAGATGCGGAGAGCACCTTACTATTTCGGGACTAGCGTGGTTCGCCCCACCGGCGAAAAAAGATCAACCCGCGCGGGGCCTGTGATCAATTCAATCATCCCACCACCATGGAGGACACCACCACCCAGGGCAGTCCGCTGCGACAGCCCAAGAAGCGGTTTGTCGGGCGACGCACGGCCGACGCCCAGGCACAAAAGGAAGGCTCCCAAGCAGATGTCGAGTCCACGACCGTCCAGCGAGGTATGCAGGATTTGCAGACATATATCTCGTCCACAGCATAAACTCATCATGGAAATTATTACGAATAGCTACTCCGAGACGGACGCCTCGAACCCTGAACCAGGTCCCGCCGGAAATTTTGAACGATCCAGAAATCCAAGCGGCCATTGAATTGCTGCCTAAGAACTACTCCTTCGAGATCCCCAAAACCATCCACCGCGTGCGGACGTCCGGAGCCAAGCGAGTCGCCCTGCAGTTCCCTGAGGGTCTGTTGATCTTTGCGACAACTATCTCCGACATCTTGACACAGTTCTGCCCCGGAATCGAAACGTTGATCATGGGCGATGTCACCTACGGCGCCTGCTGCATCGACGATTATACCGCACGAGCCCTTGGTTGCGACCTCTTGGTCCACTATGCCCACAGCTGCTTGATCCCCGTCGATGTGACCAAGATCAAGACTCTTTATATATTCGTTGACATCAGTATCGATACTGGTCACCTTATCGCGACCCTCGAGCGCAACTTCCGGCCCGGGCAGACTGTTGCTACAGTGGGAACGATTCAATTCAACGCCACTCTGCATGGTCTCAAGCCTGTCTTGGAGCGTGTGGGTTTCAAGGTTGTTGTCCCCCAGATAATGCCTCTCTCCAAGGGGGAAATTCTGGGCTGCACATCCCCCCAGCTCTCGGAAAACGAGATTGATGTGATTCTTTATCTTGGTGATGGTCGTTTCCACCTTGAATCTGCCATGATCCACAACCCCACCATCCCTGCATACCGTTACGACCCTTACTCGCGTACCCTCACTCGCGAATCTTATGACCACCAGGAGATGCACACTATTCGACGCGACGCGATCAACACAGCCAAGTCTGCTCGCAAATGGGGCATCATCCTGGGCTCGCTCGGTCGCCAAGGCAACTCCAACACGATGGCCATGATTGAGCGCCATCTTGCCGAGCGAGGTATTCCCGTTGTCAATCTTCTACTGAGTGAGATTTTCCCGGGCAAGTTGGCGTCGATGTCGGATGTCGAGTGCTGGGTACAGATTGCCTGCCCACGCCTGAGTATCGATTGGGGCTATGCCTTCCCGCGCCCGTTGCTGACGCCCTACGAGGCACTCATTGCTCTGGGTGTCCGTGAGAACTGGGACCAGGCCAACAAAGGAGTCTACCCGATGGACTTTTATGCCAAGGAAGGACTCGGTCGAACGAAACCCGAGCAAGCAGTGCGTGGTGCTGCTTGATTTGGATGCGAAGGACAATATTACATATACCCCGGAATAGAGCCCAGCAGGTCTGGCCAATTGAAAAATACAAGACATACAATTTATTCACGATCACATTTTATGATCACAGCTTTAGTTCTGCGGCGCACTTCTCGATAATGCCAGTGACTGCTTTCCTCGCTTCATCCACGTTGAGATTTTCGATTGAGAGCTCCGTCCAAAGCACTTCTTGAGCCACACCTTGCCAGATCATGACTTCAGTACCATACAGGACGTTCCAGCCCATCTCATGGCAGCGGCTAAAGAAATAGGTGTCAGGAGCGGGATGATAGCTCATCTCAAGAACAAATCCCTTCTCGATACTTGTGAGGAAGACTTCAGTAATTTCCCTTACCTTTTCTCCGGGTTCCTTCGGGGGTATATCAGGCACGGTACCGACAACCAGAACCGGTGGCTCCAAAATTGCGGCTTCTGCAGCCGACGGAACGAACACCAGTTCACCGTTCAATCCGACGTCGATGAACGAAGCTATGATATCTCGAATCTCACTCTCCTCTCGTTTGACCATACATATTCTGTTGACCCCCATCCACTTCCAGAGAGCGTAAACCGCAGGTCTACAGGCACCGCCGCCTCCAATCACGAAGGCAGGTCTCCCAGTCGAGCGCTCCAGGATACCAGGGTAGTTTCGCAGGAGAATCGCGGAGACCAATAGCATCGGTATATGTGCCAATCAATATATCGGGAGTTTCCATCCGCCGACTTGCGTTGAAAGACCGTGTTGATGGCCCCATAGGGCGACTTTATGAGGCATAGTGATGGCACGTCCGATCACTTCAGACTTTTTAAGGCCGGAAGAAAACCCGAGGTATCCTTTGTCTCCAACAATGAAATTGACCACGGCAAACGGGCACCGTTAATAATCTTTCCATGGAGTAGCGGTGCCAGAGAATGATGAATGGGATAGCCGATGAGGAAGATGCTTCGTTTGGACTTGCTATCATTCGAGTTTTTAAGAGAAGATCCGAATTTAAAAGATTGTGCGAGAATGTCATCCAATGTGGTCACCGAGATATGGAGGGGAACTGATTTGGCAAGTCGTGCTCGCAATCTCAATCGGTGGCGATTCTCGAAATGGAAGGAGCACTTGCGATACGAGAATAGCGGAATATATATCTAACAGTAGTTTTCAGTATCCAAGGCGATCGACAGGCTGTCTACGCATATCGTGTTATGCCACGTAAGCGCCCAGCCTGGGTCAGGCATCGGCTAAGAACAGGGCCGACACAATTCGGCCGACGTGCAAAGCAACCTTGGGAACTAATGGACGAAAGAGGCAGCTTCGATACGCCGTGGGAAAAGCGAAACCTAGGTCAAAGCCTTCGTCGCTTATGATCATTCAAATTCTGAGTAAATGCTCGACTATCTATAGGATCCCGCCGTTCTCCTTCCTTGCCTTCTCTCGCTCATGTTCAGCAATGGCCTCCATCATCCTCTCTTTGGGTGGTTCACGGCCAGTCCAAAGCCTGAATTGGTCAAAAGCCTGGGCGAGAAGCACCTCCACGCCAGTCACAGTCTGCCAACCTTCGTGTCGTTGAGCAACGGTCAGGAGTGGCGTTTGTCTTGGCTTGTAGGCCATCTCGATGCAAAGACCACGAGGCCCGAAGATCGAGCTGAATTGATCTTCCGTCGTCACATATGCTGGAACAGTTCCAATAATAACTTCAGGCATGCGAGGTATCTCTTTCAGGCTTGGAAGGATGATGAGTTCAAATGCCGATTGGAAATCCTTTTTCACTACCTCGGCCCTGGAAGCTGTCCGGTTGACAATATAGATGCTTTGAATGCCTGCCCGGTGCATGGCATACACTGCAGCTCTGGATGCACCTCCGGCACCGATGACCAACCCGACGCTCGGCTGCTGGTTTGTCTTGGTCGAGTGGTTGACAATGATACTGTGCAGGCCTGACCAGTCGGTGTTGTCACCAGTGATTGTGCGATTCCTGTCATCTCCCTCAACCACTAGTGTGTTTATCGCTCCAATCAATTTGGCCGTGTCGGTCTGGTCGGTGCAGAACTTGTGCACTTGCAGCTTATGAGGCATTGTCACACTCCCGCCGCCAAACTTATCGTCGAGAATGAGGTCGGCTACATCATCGATGCTTGGTGATTCGCGAATGTCATAGACGTGTGGAAGATAATAGTGTTTGAAACCCGCGTTGTGGATGGTCGGCGAAATGCTGAACGAGATACCACTGCCGAAGATGTGGAAGTTCTTGGGCGAGCTGGTGCCAGTCGAAGTTGTTTGCGATGCCATCACAGAGACTCCTTTTTCTTGATGTCGTATACGAATTCAAGAAATGACTGAAAAAGCAAAATTCAGCAATATTTCGTCAAAAGCTGGGAATTCATGTGTCGGCGTAGTATCACTTCGGACCGATCTAAATAATGCTCCCGGCTTCGGATATGAACTTTACCTTATTCTGACTGGACCTCGGACGGGAACTCGAATCACTGCACAGCTCCCTCCAGACAGGATATGAGCAACACCGCCTTCGAAGCAAAGTGGCGACTTATGAAGAAGCCACCTGAGAAAATTACACTCAGAAGTATCAAAATTTCCCATCAGCCTTCTCTCACAAAAACGTCTTAGCGGATCCCAGCAACCATGTTGAAGCAAGACAAAATGTCCCTCCACCTCGTCGGAATTGGTGTCACGCACTCAATTGCTCCAAACATGCACAACTATATTGCCAACTCACTCGGACTGTCCTGGGAATTTTATGCGACAGAGTGCCCGACAACGGAGGAGCTGGTCAAACTAGCCAAAGACCCTACCACGGCCGGGCTTGTTGTCACAATGCCCTACAAAAGCTCAATTTTACAACATCTCGACGAGAAAGACGAGCTCGTCTCGGCCGTTGGGGCCTGCAACAATGTCTACTACAAGAATGGAAGTCCTAGACAAATTTGCGGTACCAATACTGACTGGAGGGGAATCCACGGATGTCTCCTCGAGAAGGGGAGGAGAAGAGAGAGGCCGTCTTCGACAAGAACCGCACCGGCGCTGGTCATTGGAGCTGGCGGTGCAAGCCGTGCTGCAATATATGCTCTTACTGAGCACCTTCACAGTCCCTCGATTTACATATTGAACCGGGACGACGACGAGGTGGTGAACCTCATTCGAGACTCAGAAAATCTCCCGACGATCCCAAAAATTGTCCATATCAAGACATTGGATCAGGCAGAAAAGCTCCTTGACCCTTACTATGTCGTTGGTACCGTGCCCGACCTCGAGCCCAAGACCGAGTCCGAGCTCATGGTAGCGTCCATTATGAAACACTTCCTTTCTCGACCGAAGAAAGGCGTGCTTCTTGATATGTGCTTCAAGCCCAGAAGAACTCGGCTAATCAAGTTGGCGGAAGGCTTGGGATGGCCCTGCGTTGAGGGAACACATGTCATCGGGTATCAAATCGAGGAGCAATGGCGTTTGTGGGCTGGGGAGGATCTTTGTCGCAAATTGGACCGAGAGGGTGCATGGAAGGTGCTGTTGAAATCTGCGGAGGAAAGCAAGGGTATCAACTTTTAGAGATGTTGGATTCTAGAGAGCAATCCCTGGAATTGTGATTCTCTGAGCATCATCGGTTTCTGATTCCTATAGGTACTGGAGTATAATATTGCTCCTTATATTTCAATGTCCTTTGAAATTACCACTTTGCAAAAGTATTCACAAGGAAATTAAGATCAGCAAGATTTAATCCACGATTTGTAGTCAACTTGTGTCCCACTGGCGAGGGCGAAGGCAGGTAGATGCTTCTTCGGCAATGAACTTTGCCGATGCCGGACAATCCGATCGTCGGATAACCCAACTGACCCCTCACCACCATATATCAGCCATGATTTCATGTTCCCCAACCACCGAGTCGAGGGTTACAGAAAGATAATTGAGGAAAGCACAATGGTCGATCTACACTCTCTGCCCGAGGGCACTTGGCCCGCACACGCAATCCGCAACAATGGACCTAATAATCTCGTGCTCGAGAGAGCCAAGCTACGCGAACTTGCGGAAGGATGGCCTTGTTACCGGTATGTGATATCCCGGGGTCGTTTAGTGACATGAGCTCCATGCTAAATCTTTTGACTAGTGACGCTTGCGAGTGGGAAAACTTCGAGTCCATTTTCCATGAAGATGCTCATGTATACACCACCTGGTCCGGCCGCGTCCATTACAAAGACTTCATGGCAGCATCAAAAGCCGGCATGGACAAAGAGGCTTTCATAATGCACCGCTGTCACGGCGTGACAACCGATATCACACCAGATGCGACTCGCGCTGTTACCAAAATGAAGGCCACCATCACTCAGCGTTTTAATATCGATGACTGCGAAGTTGATGCCGAAGCGGATTGCCGATTCTGCTTCTTCTTTGAAAAGGTAGACGGACACTGGGGTGCTCGCTTCGTTCGACACTGGTATGAGAAAGATAAACTTCTGCCTGTGAACCCCAACAAGATTCCGAAAATCGACGAGCACAAGCTCAACTCGTACCCTGAGGGATACAAGTGCCTCGCGTATTGCCAAGAGCTCACCATGGGTGTTTGTGTACTCAAGGACATGCCTGGGCATAGAAGACATGTCGAAACTGCGTCCGGCGAAAAGCATGATCTATTATACCGATTGGCGAAGGTCTGGCTGGATGGGAAGAAGATTGATGTATAGATAGTTCGAGAGTTCGGTGATGCTTAGGCAATCCAGGTTTTCCGGAGTAGATATTTCGAAACGGATTCACTGTCGACAGTGCATCGCGACGATGTTAAAGCTAAAAATGCGAAACATAATATATTCCTGTTTAATCAAGACCAAATCTGCTTCTAAACTTCTTCCATGCCTCAATACCCCTCTCCGCATGCTGATCAGGGACATTCTTTCCTTCCTCTGACATGGTCCTCGAGAACAGTTCCATGGAGACGTATCCCTTATACCCCAGACCGGATATAATGGCCTTAGCGACATCCTCCACTGGCAAGTAGGCTCCACGATCCTCCTCGTACATGAAAGTTCTTGCGTTCCGCGACCAATTCATCCGTGCTGGCTGACCATCCACATGGAACGGATGACCAGCAACCAGAGGCGACTCTATACGTTCCGCATCAACAACTTGAATATAGAAGACCTTTGAAAGATCCACTTCTTCTACAAGTTTCTTCATCGAGGCCTCGAGATCCGCATCCGCATTCGGTGTCTTCCCCGTCGGCGAAGCTGGATCCGCCCATACACGACCAGCGATATTGAAAGTATCAAGACACATGCCCAAGTTGGGTCGGTCAACACGTTTGACAACATCCCACAACTTCTCCCATGTATCGACATGCGTGCTCCAGCAGAGGTTTTCATAAGCCAGCCGGATTGGTGGACTCGCTGCCGCAGCCATGTCTGCGACTTCGCGCAAGTCGGCTGCGATAACATCAAAATCATCCGTCAGCTGCTTGGCCGGTAGGAAGTTGGCGGGGATTTGGATGGTGTTCGTTTCAAGTGTCTTCGCGATCCTCAACCAGAATTTCATCTTCTCGAGCAAACGCGCATGTTGTTCTCTGTCCTTTAGACCATCGTAGAACAAAAACGGCTGGAGGCCGATAATTTCAAGTCCCTGGCGCTGGCACAGGTCGAAGACATGTTCAGCCGCTTGCAAAATATGCTCGGGGCTCGGAGAGTCATTTTTGGAGATCTGACGAGCGGCATAGTCTAGATCTTCGTAGAAGATCTCGATACCCTTGAATCCCGCTTTCGCAGCTTGCTCGATTTTGTAGTTGAGGTCGTGCAACCAAGCACGCCCGAGGGACGCACTCATGATAGCTGGCATGTAGCGACTCATATTGACTTGATGGCAATTATTTTTTCGGAGAGAAATGCTCGGAAGGTCTTCTTGTAAGATACAAAAGGCTCCTTCCGCATGAGCGGGTGCGAAGCAATCAACTCGGGTAGGCTAAAGCCTTAACCTACCCTGCGCTTTTCGGTCAATATCATATCCGCGCACTCGGTTCCAACCATTCAATGAGCACACATTGCAGCAGGTGTTCGTTATGGGGCACGGGGTTGTGTACAAATTGAGGTTAGTGGAATCGTTCGTCGCTCGAACAATATCGCTGTGCCAAAGCATCATTGATGGACGAATCCATACTTCGCGGACTGTTCTTGGATTACACGTCGCATAACATGAACGGGCGCAGGCCTCTTCGTGAAGATCTCATACTGAGCGATACCCTGCTCGACCAGGACCAAGAGGCCACTCACAATAACCCAGCCTTTTGACGCTCGTGGAATCATCTGTTCCATCAATTGTGTCTTGAAAGGACCATACGCAACCTGGAAGAAGATCAGTTTCTCGCTCAGACTATATCGTCAAAGAACGTACCTCGACAAATACACCCCCCGTCCGGCTTTCGAGCCAGTCGTTCGGAATCTGGAACTTCACGGGATGCTCGCTTCCTATCTGGAAAGGCGGGATGCAGGGGACAACGATCGTCGGTAAGCGCAGGTCCGATGGCCAGGCGTCAGTTGAGCGAAGAATATCGACCTGTAGGTTGACGTTTGGCTTGGAACCCGCCCACTGATTCCAGTAGTTTGCAAGCTTTTGTGCATGCTCGGGTGTGCGGTTGAAGATGCATATCCTCTGAACACCAAGCTCGTAGCACGCATAAATTGCCGCGCGGGCCATTCCGCCTGCCCCAACAATAAGTGCTGTAGTCCCATCTCGGACGGCGTTTGCCGGCGAGAGATGCTTGTCGATGCAATCCCTTATCCCGATGTGATCCGTGTTATAGCCTTTCCGAATCGTCGCCCGTGACCCATCAGACTTCAATTTGTGCTCAAGGACTACAGTATTAACAGCCCGCATGTCCTCTGCGTCTGACGTGATCTCGTCTATGAAAGGCAAGATTGCAGACTTGAACGGGAGAGAAATTGTGACTCCTCCACGACCCTCTTCGGCAAGAATTCCGTCTACTGCAGAGATATCCTCGGCCTGCGTGGTATCGTAGATATGTGGCAGCCCGCAATAATCATACGCAGCGTTGTGCATTTCGGGCGACAGACTGTACTTGACAGTTTGACCAAAAATGGTAAATTTTTTCCTTGGGAGAAGGAAGAAGGATGTCATTGCGTGCTGTGCTTGCTGTACTGTAATGCCTTCTGATTGCAAACGTGGCAGCACCACCGGCGACAGAGTAGGATTCAGGCAGATTGAGGCTCGACCAAGGGCTCCTGTGTTATAGGCAAACACCGGGAGGTTAGTGATGGCGGTCATGCTCTTCAAAAATGGAACACATTGAAGGTTGTCGTCTGGAGAGATACATTCGCCAGTGACGCGGATCCCACCTAATTGTGGAAAATTCGTCTGCCGTTGAATATTGGAGGGTGTGAAAACCCCTTCCCGTGAGCCCACCGGTTCTTTTTGGTGAAAACCTATGATGAGTTTTGTAAAACCCGTTGAATGGTTAAGGCTTCGGAAAATATCATCATCCAGATCGCTTGAGAGAATCACAGCATCAGGAGCAAGGCGAAGAATCATCCCTAGTATTTTCTCATGGGCCTTGGACTTCTCTGACTTGCAGGAGATCGCAACCACATCAATAATAATTGCAGCTCGAGAGTTTCTCCGAAGAGTGGCAATATGCTCTGATAATCTTCTAGCCACTCCGGCAGACTGTATATCACGGGGAGTTATTACCAGAGCGATGGCATCAGCACCACATTCTAACAACTCCAGATCCTGAGGTGCTCCATCCAGCCATTGCAGAGGAACTTGCAAGGAAAAGGTATCGGAATCCGAGAAGGGGTCTGACGAAAATGTCTGAGGGAGCAAGACACCGAATATGCGACGCAGAAACGCGACAAACAACCGCTCTGTCTCCTTGAGTTTGAGATAGGCGGGCGATGTTGGATCTGGCTGCGTTTGGGTGTGATTGAAAAAATCAAAGTTGGAGCATGATTCGAAGAAATCGTTACCCAGTTCAAAGATTCGATTGAACTTTTCAGAGCTGGTGGTGACAAATTGTTGAAGGTCGCGCTTATTCCGTCTCACATAGACAATTGGGTGCCGTTGAGCGAATTCAAATAGAAGCATTTGTTGTGGACGACTAGCAAATGCACCAAGACCAACAATGACACAGCCTTTGTCGTGTTTGGTGAGAAGTTCGTGAGATAATCTGAGCTCGACATCTCGGTACTGAACGAGGCCACGGCGAGCAATGAATTCCTGGGGCGACAATTGGACTTCCTGCTGAAAATAGGTATCGAAATCGATGAACCGTCGTCGTAAAACCACGGATGCAATGATTCCCAAGGTCTTCTTGCCAGCGCCGAAAAAGCCGACTAACAATATCGTAGCATGTGGATCATAGTGCCGGTGGAAGGTAAGAGCCTCATCTGCTGGCCGGGGGGCAGCGTCGCTGGACTTCCCACGAGGTGTTGCTTCAACGACGGTATTCATGCCGATGCCAGTTCCTTCAGCACATGGCCAGCGAGGTTCAATCAGACTCACCACCGAAAATCACTGTTTCCAGCGTTTTTGCTATCGCGTCGCCGTCGAAGTCGAAAAGTAGCCAAAACCGCCGGCTAAACTCAGGGCCGATCACATGACCGACGCCACCATTGTCCTCAGAGCATCGCGACCGCCGGAAATGTGCTTAGTTCCTGATAGAGAGAGGCATCGAGATGTCGAATTCACGTCCGCCAAAGCGGCAGCGTATCTACCGTGCTTGCGACCAATGCCGGCGGCGCAAGTCCAAGTGCGACGGAGAACAGCCCGTATGTACCATTTGCAGCCAGGCCAACCGGACTTGCACCTATGAGACCGGTGGAGGACGTCGAGGACTGCCATCTGGCTACGTGCGCAGCCTCGAAACCACGTTGGGTTTGATGCTTCAATATGTCCCGAACAGCGAGAGCACAATACACAATCGATTGCGGGATTCGCGCGGCAAGGCCAATATCCTGGCGAGCAAGCTTGGGAATCAGTCAGTCTCGATCTGGCGAAAATCGAAACTATATCGCGATGTATCGCAATTGCTCACTCCGGGCTCGGAAGATGATGTTTTCGATGACTCTGGGAGTGAGTCGGCGGAGATGCGGGAGCCTGACGAAGCGATCGAAACTATGGACGATCACAACAATATGAATTCATCAAATACGGAAGCTAATAAATTCGAGACCGCACAAGAGCCGCCTCGGTCAATACAACAGTCTCTTGAATTGTTTGGTGCGCAAATTCCGGACAACACATCGGAGTTAGTCGACTTTTACTTCACCTACACGCATTGCTGGTTTCCCATTCTCGAACGCCGGTCAGTTCTACGCGCCATGCATATCAGGCATGAAAAAAATACTGGAGATCCATCTTCTCAGATTGTATTATTGTCGCTGATTGCATACACCTCCGCCATGAAGGGAATTTCTTATCCCGGGGCACCAGATCTATTTTCTCTCCAGCTCGCTATTGAGCAACAAGCTATAGTCCGGTGGGAGAGCCTGGACCTGGGCCATGTTCAAGCCATGCTGATCCTGGTGCTGATCCAAATCGCCTTGGGAAATATCGGTCAAGCATGGACATTGATTGGCAAAGCTACAAGAATCCTAGAGACCTTGCCCTTGTCAGCAAAAAAGGGCCGACTCGACCACACCTTCAATGGATGCGTCCTTTTAGACAATATCCTATCAGCACTGCTTGGGCGGGCTCCGTGTCTCTCAAAAAAGGAGCAGCTGACATACGGTCCCGTGATAGAAGATGATTTGGAGGAGTGGGATGTTTGGACTCCATCCCGTTCTGGTACAGATATCACCGGATGCAAAAGACCGGCCACGCCCTTGCGGACATTGAGCATATCCAATCATATCCAGCAGCTCATGCAGCATTTGTCTGTTATATTATATCATCCTCTGAATACATCCCGCCTCGAAGAATTGTTAGACGACCTACGATCAAGACAGAACATTTTATCACGAAGTCACCCTTACGATCGACGAAACCACGCAAACCCTCCTCTACTTCTCCTACACCTCATTTCCAACTTTACAACTCTCTCCTTGTACCGTAGGTTTGAGCCGGTCTCGCCTGCCGTCATGAATCGATACGTGACCACTGTTCATCAAATACTCGACCTCCTGGATCATTATCGGGAGACCACTGGCCCAACCGGACTGTCTCCTCTGATGCTTTGCTTCGCACTCCAGTGTGAAAAGTCGATCGAAAATAAAAATCCAGAAGAAAGAGTCTCTCTCCAAACCCGCATCTCAAGTTTTCTACACCCTCTCAAAACAAATCCTTCCGGTGAATGGACGAACCTACTCTCACACCCAACCCCGATTCCATCAATCGAGCAACCATACGGAGCATTCGGCAACTCAATATCAATACCATGCTACCAAGAGATTTCCACCCTAGCCAGCCAGCCAACTTTTGCATCCCAACCAGAGCCATCATCAGTCATAAATGTACCGGCCATCTCCGCATCCAGCGAATTCTCCAGGACAGGCGATGCAGAAATGTACGACGCACTCTTTGAGGAAATGGTCACTTCATTTCCCACCACTCGGTATGTCTTAGCCCTCCTTTTGAACTGAAAATTACTGTGAGACTAACTAAATCCCAGGCAAGAGCCTGCATTCGCACATAATCTGGGATTCTATGACGGAGACTTGGACACGGATTTCCTGGCCCAGCTGCAACAGCCTCCAGCGTGTTGAGATCCCCACACCCACACTAGTGTGGTTATGAATTTGTCCCATTCATAATCGATAGATACCCCACAATATGAATTGACCGTACTCCGCGAGGATAGATCATAGCCGTCGGCTAAGCCCACAACCGCGGGACAGCCAAGTAACCACAGCCATGAACATAACGCAGCAACTAAAGCTTGGAAAACAATCAATTGAAAATCAGTTCAACAATACAGCAAAGCAACAGCTGCACTCAAACAAAATGTCCATCCTCCTCATCAACGGCCCCAACCTCAACCTCCTGGGAACCCGGGAACCACACCTCTACGGCTCAATAACCCTCCAAGACGTCGAAACAAACGCAAAGAAGCTCGCCGCCTCAAAGGGCGCAAAACTCGAATCCTTCCAATCTAACCACGAGGGTGCCATCGTCGACAGAATTCACCAAGCGCGCGGCAACGTCGACGCCATCCTCATCAATGCTGGCGCTTTAACGCACACCAGCGTCGCGGTGCGGGATGCCCTCCTCGGCGTCTCGATTCCGTTTGTCGAAATTCATATTACGAATGTGCATCGGCGGGAGTCATTTCGGCATCACAGTTATCTCAGTGATAAGGCTATCGCTGTTGTTGTTGGGTTGGGAGTTTATGGGTATGAGGTTGGGTTGGAGTTTGCTGTGAGGGAGTTGGTGAGGGAATAATTGGATTTGTACAGTCTCTAAACCGCATCCCTTGAGGACATGGGTGTTTGAGGATAGATGGAAAGTGACTATAATTGGATCTTGCCTGATCAGCTGCAACCACCGGCAGCAATTATCGTATTCGTTCATTGAAAATTCCTAATAACACAAAAATCATAGTTTACATGGGTAGGTTCGCGCTTCAACCCTTCACGTCGTCCGCGCTGTCCGTGTTGAAATCACTCACACTTCCGCGTCGAAGGGAGAAGACGTTCTTGTTGGCCAATTCATCGGCCGTCCGCTCGGCTGCACGCCAGCGAGTCACCGCTTGCTCGACATCCTCGAACATCTCCCGGGAGTCCTGGATGATACCGCCCTCGTCCCCGTCACTGGATTGCGTGCTCTCGCGTGAACCACGCTCGCTGATCATGGGGAAAGCGGGGCCGAATCCTCGTTCGGGAACGGGGTTGTACATGATTGCATTGGCGAACATCCGGACGAACTCCTTCTCCAATTGCGCGGAATTGACAATACCTCTGGGAGGAAGGAGGTCCTCACTCTTCTGGAGCATCAGGACATTGTTCTTAGTAGGCGTGCCAGACACGGGAGCGGGAGATTCGCCATCCCCAGCAGGAGTGCTAACTGCCTCCGTTGCGGCAGCGACAGCTTTGCTGCCCTGGTGCACAGATGACTTGATGCTCTTTAGGTCTTGCGGGCGATAGATGAGATCGTGGTACCCGGGAGCATCGCGCTCTCCTAGTGGCTTGGCGAAGATAGAGGCCAATTTATGGGTAGTGACATCGTTCAAGATCGGGGCCGCCGTCCGATGGAAACCACGAGTACACACGACATATCGTGTTGTATCGACCTTGGGAGGTTCTGGTAGAACAGGCTCCTCGATGGGCTCGCTCGCACCGCGCTTGCGCTTAGACCGTGATTTGGTGGCTGACTCTTCGACACTCGCAGCAGCGCCCTTGCGACGTCCAGCTCGAGAATCGCGCTCGGTTTCATCGGGTGACGCTTCACGGGAAGCCAAGGAACGCCCACGGCTGTGAGTGGAGGCAGAACTGATGGCACGATTTCTCCGAGTTGTCGAGGCCCGCTCTGTCTTGACAGTTGGGCCAGCTTTGTCTGCAGAGGCTTGACCTCGTCGCGTTTTTCTCTCACGTGGGCGTGAGGATTCCAGTGCATCAGGGGACGAACCCCTCTCGCTGATTGGACTGACATCCTCCGGTCGTGGTCGAGGAGGCGATGTTGGTGAGTGCGGGATGCTCAACCGCGGTGTTCGTTTCCACGGCGTGCATGAGCCGGGGGTGTCGATGGAAAGACGTGGACGTGAAGCGCGAGTCTCTGAATAAGGAATGACCACACTCGGGGTCTGAGAGATTTGCGGATAACCGATAGGAACAGGGGTCTGTGTTCCTGAAGGTGCCGCACCTGGGGTGCTTGGGACGTTGGAAGAGGTGGAGGTCTTGGATTGTTTCCGCGACGGAACTTGCGAAGGATTTTGAGGCTGCTTGGCATTTGCCGAGCCAACATGGGATGTAGCGGTTGGAGAGACAGCGGAGTATGGGGAGTGGGGAGGAGGTTCAAGCTGCCATTGCTGGAAACTCGATTGGGTCGGAGTTGGCTCGTTGCCTGCCTTGTTCATCGGTGTGGAGATAATAGGACGGGGAGCAAGCTGTGAGGGGTGAGGTACTGCGGAAGATGGTGCTGTTGGCGTCCCCGGAACTGTTTGTTGGGTCCGTGGAGCTAGTGGTGGTGGGATGGGAGCTTGCGTCGGCTTCTGGCCGTTTGGCTCGGTCGACGGTTCAGCTTTGCCAGGTGCGCCTGTGCCTTGTTCTGTAACGTCCAATGCAGCTGGTTCGCCCGCTTGGGCAGACTGAGACGGTCCCAAGACAGGTTCATCCCCGCGGGACTCCTCTGCTGGTCTCATATGTGGAGCAGTTGACTTCAAAGACTCGTCGGGCTGCGGCTTTTCCTGCTTCACGTCGATATCCATCGGCAGCGCTGGCAGCGCTTTTGCGTCAACCGTCGGTGCTGCAGTCGCGCCGGCTCCCTCTTTCTGAAGTCGTTCGATTTCATCCTTAATTTGGGTGTACCGTCTCTCGTCCTCTCTGATCTCCTTCGTCACTAGTTCCTTGTACCCGGCGTACAGATGTGCGACAAGCTCTGGCACCAGAATGGCGTGAGCGGCTCCGCCCGAAAGGCCGTCAGGTCGAGGACTCGAGATCTTGCGCTTCTTCGGGTTGCTCGGCCCGGAGCTGTCGGTCGGCCGTCCATTGAGCCCGCTTTCACGATCAAAGCCATCGCGCAACAAAGTCGCATACAGATCTTCTAAAGCTTCCGGGCTGAGACGATCGGCGCTGAACGCCACATGCTGGCGCACATGGGGATTGTTGCTCAAAAGCGCCGAGATGGACGCGAAGCTCGCTGGGCGCACATCGGACGTAGCCAGCGATTGGAAGAAGAGCAGGGACTCAAACGGAGTGTACGCCGACAGAGGAGGCATCCCCCATTGCCCGCCCGGTCGGCCAGTGGCGGAGAGGCTCTTGGGGATCGGGGCCACGGTGGGAAATGGTGTCGGGGAGGGGACGCGGAGCCGACGTGGAGCAGACGTGTTCGGTCGCGCGCAGATTTTTGGTCGGTCGGTTCCTGAGCGAGCGACGGGCAGGGCGTGGACGGCGCGGCGTGGGAGCCACGGGACCGACAGGCGACAGGAGATGGAAAGGGAAGGCGCGTGAGTAGTGAGATATCCTCCGGGGTTTGGAAGATCGAAGTCGTGCGAGGCCCAAGACAACACTGACACTCTCCAGGTGGAAAGAGCCTCGACCGTCGCCCTTGCCAGGTTCCCGCGGTAATATTACGATCACGTGAGGTACTGTACATTCCCCGTCGCTGGGGTTGTGGCCACTTGCCATTACTGCATCTTTGTACAGTGTCCATCACGACTCGCTACGGCCTCGGAGAAAAAAATAAAACCAGCAACGCTCGCGGGTGATCATCGGATGCCTGACGTGGGCATGACCAGTTGGCGCCGGATGTCACTTTTACAGGGGCGTGCATTTTCCCCCTTTTTGGATCCCAAGTGGAGAGCAGCCCCTGAGTGCCGACGTGACTAGTATACTCTGAGTAGAGACAGCCATGGACATCCCCTGCCCAGCTAGTCCCTAGGATACGGTACTGCGTCGATAGGAGGGACAATCTCCACTGGTGATCTGGAAATCTCCCAATCGCCCCCTAAATCCGCGCAGGCCCCTCGTAATACGGTGACGCGCTGGTGGATATCGCTGGCTCTCCACGATTCCGGCGACTAGTAACATAGTCGGTGGGCTACGATCGTCTCTCCTCAACTTCTTTTTCCCTTCTTCCCCTCCCCTAGCTTTGCGCATTTACTGCCCTACGACCCTCGAACACTCTCGGTTTGTGCTTGTCTCCCGTATGGCGTCCCCTTATCCCCCCTTCTCCTCGAGTTCATGGCTCAGGGCGGCTGCCGCTGCCGAAGTATACAGCAGAGACACTGACACTCCCTCCCCCGTAGCGCATTCGACCGGGGCCGATCATTGTCACCTCCCACTCCCCTTCGCATCCGCTGGTCTTCTTGGCTGGTGCTGGACTCTCGACGATCGCAGACGTCCTTGGAAACTCTCGAGCTCTGCACTCGTGCCCGCGTCGTGCCCCGCTCGATCAAAGTTGCACATACCATAACCATCGACCACGCCAAACCTGCCGAGTCTCCAAGTTCTTGTCACAAAGGGGATTTTGTTGCGCCCAACCTGCACGATGTCGTCCGATATGGATCGTATGGATCGGGAATGGAAGCCCAAGATGCGCCCTCAGTCGTGCGTGAATCCCCTCTTGTCATCCGTCCCCTGCTCTCCCCGCATTGCGCCGTCAGCTGTCAACTGCCGAACAAATTGGCGCTTGCGCACTGCCATCACCGCCAGCAGCAAGATTCGGAGGGAAAGACTAACTTGGGATCAATAGGACCATGGCGCAGGACTTTTCGACGGCTCTGGACAGCGCCTTTATGCTCGACAGCAATGTCAACGAACTCTCGCAAACCATTGATCAAAAGTCAGCCACGTCTCCCCTCCCCCAAAACGACCATCAGTTGTATGGACCTAATGCCGGCGGTGCAGGAAGCAGCAGATGATGATCCAGAGCCGTGAGCTCGAGGAGTTGCAGCAGCGAATCCGCGACGCAGAAAACCGACTGAAGTCGCGGCAGTCGGTCAACTTTGGCACCTCCGTGGCCGCGGGCCGGAATGGAGAGGGCCAGACAGCCGGTAAGGGTGGTTCTGCTTGATCTTCCCCATTGCCCATTCCATTGCCTTCTATCCACATGTTGCTCGCTGCATGTTGCATTGTATTTGCATCTTCTCCTGCATATTGTTGCCCAATTTGTTGTTCTTTCTTGCATATATTTGATTTTGAACGTTCAAGCTGGGATTTCCGAACGGGACAACGGTAGACTGATGCGCCGACTTAGCTCCCCGCGAAGGAACCGTGACCGAGCAGCCTCAGGAGGAGGAAGAAAAGACAAATGCGTCGTAATGACGGAGGACTGATATTACCATTGATTTGATTGATTGCGGAGCCCTTCTTGTGGATTTTTATACCTTGACCTTTTATTTTACCCTTTGCCCTTGACTATGTGCGAATTGGCCCGTGGTCTGGCTGGGACCGGCGCGGATCTACGGGTGATTTTCATTCTCTTGATTTCTTTTTGACTTGAATACTTGCTCATCGTGAGAACCCATTTGTATCTATCCGGGCTCCTACGGGGGCCCATTGCTGGCGTAATGTGATTAGCTATACATGACTCTACTATAGTAGTATACTATATACTACTCTACTATGTATTGCTGCACTACTACAATTTGTAGTACATAGTAATACTATACTGCTAGTAGTAGTCGTAGTCCCGAACTGGAAGAGCCCGTGCAAGCCCAGATCGCAATGGACTCTCTCTGCAGCCAATCACCCGCCGGCATATCCACCGGTGCCGTCATTTGGGGCTGCACGTTGCCCGCGTGCCGCAAAGCTCGCAGCTGTCGCACGGGGCTGCCCTGCTTTTGGGCTTTTCTAGGTGGTAACTCTGCGGAGTAGTTCTGCCCCTCCTCCCCTCTTCCTTCCTCTTCCTCTCTCTCTCTCTCTCTCTCTCCAGTTCCCGTTACGCACCCGGAAGACTCAATTCTCCATCTTTACTTTTCCGACCATATTTTTGGCCGGGATTGCTAGTCCCAGCGCAATTGCTGTTACTTTTCGGCTCTGCTTCCCTCCGCACCCGGGTCCACCATGGTGCTGATCGACAAGCACGAGTTCCTCACCGAGGAGGAGAAGCGACTCAAGGAGGACCGCGAGCGCACCCGGTACTGGAAGCGATGGGGCCCCTATGTGGCCGAGCGACAATGGGCAACTGGTATGTTCGAAGCCGACGGCACAGAAAATATGGATGGGGGTTAGGAAATGCGAGCGAAGATGGGGACGAGAGCTAATGACTTCATCATTCTGCAGTGCGGGAGGACTACTCGTAAGTGATGGCACCCCCACACCAAATGGGGTACACCCGAGCTAACAGCAGCCAGTGAGGATGGCGACGCCTGGAGCTGTAAGTAATACGACGAGCAATAATTGTGCTGCATCAACCCGCGCACCACCGACTAACCTCTTCGAGACTTTACCCATGATCATGCACGGTCGCGGACATTTCGCTGGGGCGAGGACGGCATTGCAGGTGTTTCCGACACCCACGGCTTGCAGAACATTGCGTTCTCATTTTGGAACGAGAAAGAGTAAGTCGGTCGGATACTGTCAGTGGATGAGGGACATGAAACTTATGTCCTGTGATCTAGCGAATTCCTGAAGGAGCGCCTCTTTGGACTGTCAAACCCGCAAGGTAATCACGGCGAGAGTGTCAAGGAGGCTCATTTCCATGTGGACAATACCCCGACGGTAGGTACCATCCGCAACCAGCACCTGGTGTACGGCATTGTCTGACAAATTCTCTAGCACTCTTACATGAAATTCCTGTACAAGTACCCCCAGAACAAATTTCCCTATCAGGAGCTAGTGGACGAGAATGCCAAGCGGTCGCGCGTGGAGCGGGAGTACCAAATCCTCGATACCGAGGCCTTCAAGGACAACCGCTACTGGGATATCTTCATTGAGACAGCGAAGGAAAGTGACGACGAGGAGGAGCTGATCTTCCGAGTGATCGCCTACAATCGCGGCCCGGAGCCCGCTCACTTGCACATTATCCCCCACGTCTGGTTCCGCAACAACTGGGCCTGGGACTCGGGGAGCAAGGTCCAGAAGCCTTCCATTAAGCAGGAAGGTCCGCGGATTGCCAAAACCGCCCATGACAAGCTGGGCGACCGTTATGTCTGCTTTGCCCCGTCGCCGCCAGTGGGAGACAGCGAGGACGATATCCAGCCGAGACTGCTCTTCACGGAGAACGAGACCAACAATAAGATGTTGTGGGGAACCGAGAATGTCCAGCCTTACGTGAAAGATGCTTTCCATCGTCATATCGTCGAGGAGGAGAAGGGCGCCATCAACCCCGCGAATGAAGGTACCAAGTTCGCCGCCTGGTACGCGTTTGACGAAGGCGAGGGAGTTCCTCCTGGCGAGTGCGCCGTTGTCCGTTTCCGTTTCTCCCGTAGGAAGGAAGAGTTTGTGGATGAGGAGGTATTGGACGATGTGATCGAACAGCGCCGCGCTGAGGCCGACGACTTCTACTATCACATCAACCCACTCCCTATGAGCGAGGATCTGCGCAATATTCAGCGCCAGGCGTTCTCGGGTATGATGTGGTGCAAGCAGTACTACAACTTCATCTGGGATCAATGGAGCAACGGTGACTCGGGCGAGATCCCTCCGCCACCAGGCCGAAAGGGTATTCGCAACGAGCAATGGCGCCATCTGTATATTGATGATATCCTGTCCATGCCGGACTCTTGGGAGTACCCATTCTTCGCTGCTTGGGATACAGCCTTCCACTGTATTCCACTTGCGATGATTGATCCAGATTTCGCAAAGAAGCAGCTGGACCTCATGACCCGAGAGTGGTACATGCACCCCAATGGCCAGCTGCCAGCCTACGAGTGGAACTTTGGGGATGTCAACCCACCCGTGCACGCATGGGCCGTGTTCCGTACGTTCAAGATCGAGCGCAAGATGTACGGTCGCCAGGACCTTGATTTCCTGGAGCGGGTGTTCCAGAAGCTGCTTCTGAACTTTACCTGGTGGGTGAACCGCAAGGACTCGGAAGGAAAGAACGTTTTCGAGGGAGGCTTCTTGGGCTTGGATAATATTGGTCTTTTCAACCGCTCCGAACCTTTGCCGACAGGAGGTGTCCTCGAACAGGCTGACAGCACTGGTTGGATGGCTTTCTACTGCCTGTGCATGCTGAACATTGCCCTGGAGTTGGCCAAGCACCGCCGCACCTACGAAGACATTGCGTCCAAGTTCTTCGAGCACTTCATTCTCATCAGTGATGCGATGACTTTCCGATCCGGCGAGGACAACATCAAGTCATTGTGGAACGAGGATGACCACTTCTACTATGACGCTATCTCGTATGGTGGTCCCTGGACGCAGCAATTGCCCGTCCGGTCGTTGGTCGGTCTGATCCCGCTTTATGCCGTGCTCACACTCGAGCCGGAAATCATCAAGAAGTTTCCATCGTTCAAGAAGCGACTGGACTGGTTCATCGAGAACCGATCAGATGTCGCCGAGCGAAACATTGCCAGTATGAAACGCCGCGGCAAGGATGACCGCCTATTGTTGTCGCTGGTGAGCAAGGACCGCCTGGAGAAGATTCTTAAGCGCATGCTTGATGAGACCGAGTTCCTAGCTGAGCACGGTATCCGGTCAATGTCCAAGTTCCACGAGGAGCATCCTTACTCCATGGAGGTCAATGGCCAAACCTTCAAGGTCGGCTACGTTCCAGGTGACTCGGACAGTGCCCTTTTTGGCGGTAACAGTAACTGGCGCGGTCCAATCTGGCTTTGCGTCAACTTCTTGCTTGTGGAGTCTCTTCTCCGCTATTACATGTTCTATGGCGACTCGCTCCAGATCGAGTGCCCTACGGGATCGGGCGACTACATGCATCTGGGAAATGTTGCCGAAGAGCTTCAGCACCGGATGCAACATCTGTTCGCTCGGAATGACGAGGGTCGCCGTGCCATCAACGGTACGAGCGATCTCCTCGACTTTGATGAGCACTGGAAGGACTATCTTTGGTTTCATGAGTTCTTTGATGGTGACACTGGCCGAGGCCTGGGCACTTCTCACCAATGTGGATGGACTGGACTGATTGCGAAGATCATCCATGACACAGGGTAAGCTATTCAATCCTGATTTCGAATCCTGATTTCGGCCAGAGCACGATACTAACCGGATGACAAGTCTGAACTGCCGTCTCCCCCAGACTCCCCGTTCCCCGTTCGCGGCAGCCTCCCACTACTTCGACGACATCTTCTCACGCAGCGGACGTCCCCGAACCTCCGGTCGTCCCTCCTTCCGCCGCTCATCCACCACCCGCTCCATCGGAAACCGAAGCGACTTCAACTCCACCGTCGCCGGTGACACAACTCCAGGAGCGCTGGATGACGAGTTTGGCAGTCCAATCAGCCGGCGCGGTAGTACCGCCGCCGTTTCTCCAGACGGCGAGGAAGAGGAGCACGTCCACAACTATGTCAACAGCGAGCTTCACCGCGTGCGCAGCTCAACCTCCATCGCGGCGTACGAGGATGAACTGGAGACGCAGGCTGAGAGGCAGAATGGCCATAATGGTCATACCTGATCATAATACTTTCCTACACCATTTGTTTTCATCTAATTAATTCTTTCTTTGACGATCACGATACGGGAATTCCATGCGATATGTGATGCAGATATACGGTTTTGCTTTAATAGATGTCTTTGCGAGGTCATATACATTTCCTTGAGCGTTTAGTTGCGAACAATCGAGATTGCATATTTGACGGATAATTGACTTCTGAGGGTGCTGTTGAGACCAGCCTCAACGAGGCTTAGAGTGTATTTTACATTGTACCATCCATCCGAAGGTAGAGTTACCTAGCTATGTGCAGTTGTAATGCTAGTACTCAGTGTAATGCCAGACAATCAATCTGCTGCATGCCTACACTCTACCCTAGAGTAATGATTTAGTAATGAAATGTGTATTGTGCGATTCACAGATAATGAAAACATATGGAACCTAAGGACCGAGGGAAACCGCGAAAAAGGAATCCCGACGGATTTCCACCAACGCTACCGTTCATGCGGGAATGCTATATCTAACCAACACCCCTACACAACTCTCGAGGCTATTTTACATTTACAAAGCATCGGTCAGAGCCTTGTTCATCTTGGCGATCTTGGAGGAGACGCTCAGGTCGATAGTGCGGTCACCGATCTCGACAACAAGGCCGCCAACGAGGTCGGGGTTGACCTGTCATCTAACGTTAGAATTGGCTTCCCACAAGGAATGAAGCTGTTACTTACGCTGGTGACGATCTTAAGCTTCTTGCCCTGGCTGTACTCGGACTTGGCAACGGCCTTCTCCAGACGGGAGATGGTCTTGGAGTCAAGCTCCTAGAAGGAAGTTAGCTTCGCAAAGTCGACCTTAATCCCTCCAATGGAAAACAAAAACGCACCTGAGCGGAGGTGATGCTGAGCTCAATCTCGCCGCGGTGAGCGCTCATCAGAGTAGCGAACTTCTCGCAGACACCCTCGAGTGTGCCGAGACGGTTGTTCTCGGCAAGAGTGGCGAGGAAGTTCTTGAGAATGTCACCCTTGTCGGCACCGGCGACCTTCTGGAGCTCGGCGATGATCTGCTGCTTGTCGGCGGTGGTGAGGGTAGGGGCACCGAGGATGGTGATCAGCTTCGGGTCGGCCTTCAGGGTCTGGCCGAGGTTGGCGATGGCCTTGGCGGTCTGGTCGAGGGCGGAGGACTTGGAGGAAGCAGTGTACTAGAGAGGAGGGCTATGTTAGATATCCGCCAGCAATTCAAAAAAGCCCAGGCGAGTTTTGGCAGAGCCCATATCCAAACATTGAATCTCGACCTCGAGAGGAGAGGGGGATGCAAGTTGGGAGGGGTGTCGGGAAGCGACGGAGTCGCGAGAAGGGAGAAAAACTCCAGTAAAGGGCACCCGGTAGCGGAGAGAAGTCGGAGGCATACCAGAGCAGTGGCGTAGGTGCCATCAACGCCGAACAGAGCGACGGGGGGGCGGACTTCCTGGGCCGGGGTGGCATAGGTGCGCAGACCGTTGACGGCGGCGCGAGGGGCGGAGAACTGCTGGGCGGCACGCAGGCCGGTGCGGGCAACGCGAGCGGACATCATCGTGGAATTGAATGCGAGGAGAGCCTCGGGGGAGGGGTGCGAGTTGGGATGGGGGAAGATGCGAGCGACGGGGTCGGACGGCTGGCTTTCGTGAAGGTTGAGTTGCAGGTCCGACTTCTTCCCGGGTCACGTGGTGCACTAGCTGACATAATGCTCCCGATTTTCGCAGTTTTCGGCTCGACTATTCCAGCATACTACAGCAGCTGTCTATAAAATTGGATTTGTTTTTTACTTTGACAATTCGAGTTCGCACGGTTCAGAGAATAGAGCCACATTTTTTTTCAGCTCACGCAACAATGTGGACACGGTTCTTCTATCCATAGTATCTACGCGCAGCCCACACCGGAACACCGGGATCTCTTGAACTCGGGTACTAATAATGAACATGGTTGATTGCTAGCCTGTCACTATCCATTGAGGATATAGCCACAGCCAGAATAAACGCCAGATTAGCCCAGGAACACAAACTGCAACCATGCATGCCCACACCCGAAACGCCGTTGAGAATCCTGCCTGTCGAGTCTCGAGTCTCCACCGGAATCGTCGCATCCGAGGTCAACGACAGACGATCATCGTATGCACAACTTGTTTACGACTCCTCTCCATTCTCAGTCGCTCTTCAGCATGCTGTCCACCAGGTCGCCAAGAGGTCCCCAATAATCCTTGCCGCTCGCCAGCTTGTGCTCGTCGATGAACAGCACGTAGTGCTTGAAGCTGGTGTTTAGATGGGGCTCGAGACCCAGATGCACAACGACGGGGTAGTGGTGGCAGTAGATGTGGGCGTAAACCCGGTACAAACGCTTGAAAATCTGACGGAGAAGGCTGGAAAAGGTCTTGGGAAAAGGTACGCCTATAATTCGATCGCATTAGACCCGCATCGCTGCTGCTGAGCATGACAGTGAAAACACTCACCAATTCGGCTGGGGAACATCTGCTCATTATCGATGTTGCTCTGCACCCAACTCATCAGGTGCTCGATATATTCTGGAGCAGACATCTTGGTGGGCCGTTTGTAGTTCTCTGAGTCTTGCCAAAGGTACTCGAACCTGTATCAGGTTGTCAGCAAGAACGCGATAGCAAACCAGCATGGTGTCGACCATACTCATCGGTTGCCTTCATCTCGGGGCATGTCTGTGGAGAACAGAATTCGGTAATGGAGCCGTAGAGGAGGTTAATCTGGTTGTAGAAATCGACCACTATATCCAAACAAAGTGTTTATCAGCAATCAACCCCGCAATGACAACGGATACGGAGTCATGTCTTACCATTCACAGCGAGCCATTCGTTCAAGTCCTCGCCCTCGGGGAGCTTGACAGCCTTGCGCAAACTGCCGCTTCCCAAGGTGGCTTCGGCGAATTGCCTCAGCTGGTAACTGCTCGTGCCCTTGGCGGCGGACCGGGGCTTGAAGGGGGCTCGCGTCCGCGCATTGCTGGGAGGCGTTAGTCCAAGGCAACCTTGTTTAAGCGCGCGCACAGCCGGGGAAAGGTAAGATGGAGGCTCGAGGAGGGGAAGGTGGGAGGTGCGGGTGGTCTGGTAGATGCCCGAGGGGCTCAGATTGAGCGAAGGGGTGCGAGGTGGTGGGGAGCGCGAGGTCGCCTCGGCGGGTGCAGACAGGTGAACAGGGGCGGGGGCAGCGGGGACAGACATGGTGGTGATGAACGAAGCCATTTTCGGTCAGAGGAATCTCCCTTGGATATTATTATTTGGCGGGGGGTTGCGTATCGGGGGCTGCATTCCGGTGTCAAGGAGTCAGCTGCCTGCACGTTGATCGGGGAATGGGGGTTTCCGGCATGCCGTACCACAGAGCGAGTCGACTTCTTCGGGTCGGCAGTGATGTAAGACACGAAAAAAAGATCACAAGATCGGCGATGCGCGCGCACAGCAAGGAGATGGGTGATGGCAGTTCTCGAATGTAAGATCCGATGCGACTGGGTGTTATCGGTTCAGCTCCACCGATAACAGCTGGCTGCCCGGTTCGCGTTGCCCTAGTGACCACGACGTCAGTGAGATGTCCAGCCGACTGATCGAGGGGTACTTAATGAAGGATTCTGTCAAAGTTGACATGAAGGAAATTTACTGGTTTAATTGGTAATGGGGATAAATCAATGACGAAATTATGGCACGTCAATTAGCAGTAGCAATCTCTGATGGCAGGCTTTGTTTGTGGTGGGCATAGATTACTGTCTAGATCGGGAACTCTGACCACCGTTGGATGAAATCGTAGCATTCATCGTCTTGGTTCAGACAGCATTACACCGAGGGTCATCCACCTAAAGTTCAATTTGTCGAGGCGACACAACTTTACCATTTCCAAAAGGTTGTCAAGTGATACTTGAAGGCCAAGAATATTTTCTGGCAGGGAATAGGCTTCCACAAGCTGCAGGCGGGCACGAAGATAGTCGACAACCTCGACCACTTCGGGGGCATTCTCGCTGCCTTCACTGACGAATTTAAACTGAGGAATGGCAGCTTCGAGGATATCCCTCTGCTGCCGCACCTCAGTACGACATTCTTCAATTCTGGCGCAGGTAGATGCGTGTGTTGCTTCATGCTCCAGTCTGTGTTCCTCAGTGCAATACTGCACCACATTGCAGGTTGAGCAAAGGACAAGTCTCTCCTGCGATCCACAAACTTCGCAACCCTCTCGGAGAGTACAGGACATCCAGTTGGTGTTCATTTTGGAAAGTCGGAGCAAAGCGACAGAGTGTGTGGCATCTGCAAGGGACCTGCAGCAGTAGCTGGGCAGCTTGCCCAGTGTCGAATCAGAAGGACGAGAGGAATCTGAGGAACAGGGATTCAATCTGCTGGACTGCTGGTAAAGTCGACGGATTGAGGCGCGACGTGCTCAAATTTTTGTCGAGGCCAGGAGTAAGAAAGATCGCGAGGTTGGTAGGATAGCGATGAAAAGCCTCAGGAAGAGAGGCTTTATAGAGTGCTGGAAGAACTCGAGACCTGGGGGGGGGACAAAGTAGCATGAATAATCAGTGGGAATTCTTTCGATTTGTTCACTTGTCTGCAGCGCGCAGAGGGGGAATGATTTTTTTTTTTTTTTTTTTTTTCCTTTTTCTTTTTCTTTTTCTTTTTTCGTTTCAGTGTGGCCCTTGTCACAAAGGTGGACACTCGATGGCGGTACACGCATCCACTCATTCCGGGTGCTCTTCTTATACATTACAAAACTATATCGCATATCAAAGGTATTGTCATATTTCCCCCATCAAAACACTACACTATTGTAGTCCACGGCCATGAAAAATGGACCAAATACCATAATATTAATTACTAGGCCTTCTTGATATGAACGAGTCTGAGTAGACGGGACTATCGGACTCGGCGGCCATTAGGCTCCCCTCCAATTATATCATGGCCATACTGGAGAAGACAATGCCCAACAGTGGCGTCTTTCGTCGACAATGATTTTACTGTCGGCCAATAACGAGTGACCTATGCTAGAAAGAGGCATTCTATGGACCGGCCAGTTATAGAACCAGCTACAGATCTCTATAAACCAATGCGCAGAACAGTCGCAGGCGTTGGTCATACTCGAACAAAGAATGACTGTCGAAATGCCCTTTATTCATTTATAACATCGCCATATCGTATCCATGGATAGTATGTCTCCTTTGTTCAAACCTGCGCTTTCTCCCCCAGCTCACGAGGCATCTCACCATTCGCTGCCATCTCATCAAACACCCGCTCAGCAACCTTGAACGCATCGACACCAGCCGGTGCACCACAATAGACCGTCGCATGCAGGATGGCCTCGCGGATCTCCAGCTCACTGAGCCCATTGTTCCGTGCACCGCGAAGGTGAATGGCCAATTCGGGGCCCCGGTTCAGCGCCATGAGCATTCCAATATTCAGCAGGCTGCGATCGCGCCGTTCCAGGCCCGGTCGAGTCCAGATATTGCCCCAGGCCCATTCGGTGACCATTTCTTGACCCGGCCGCGAGAATTCGGTCGATCCGTTTGCGAGCGCTTTGTCGACGTAGGCTTCTCCAACGACGGCGCGGCGGACCTTGAGGCCTTCGTCGAAGAGCTGTTTGTGGAGATCGTCGAATTTCGCGTCGGTGGACATGCTGGAAGGGCAGCGGTGCAGATCGTGTATGGGCGAGGTATGAGGCCTGAGGCTCGCAGTTCAATATCGATGGCAAGCAATCGAGTCGACTGAGGCTGTAAATGGGTTAGAATACAGAATGGAGAAGCCATGGTCTTAAGCGGGGCCCTCGGCATTCCCCCCCCGCCATGACTTCACGCCGCAGCCGGGTGTGCTCGGGGGAGCAGCTTCCCCACTGCCCAAACTTGGGGAAGTCGGCGACTCAGAGAACAACTGGATGGGTCTAGAGTAACAACGTCCTTTTCGGCAGAATAATTACAAGTAAATATTTCATTTCGACAGAATTCCATTGCTGAAAATTGTTCAAATATTCAATTTTACTAGTTATAGTTCATGAAATCACATACACTATTTAGTTCTACCCAACTATACAACTATACAACAGACCCTTAATCACGGTCTACTCCTGAGCCTTCCAATTCTCATTTCCCCCCAGATAGCGAAAGACAACCCGAGAATCCAAATCTCTGCATCGCGCATCCTCGCTAGCCGCCTCATACGTCCTCAGCCCCGCATTACCAAGCACATTCTGGGATCCCACTTTCTGCGCCATGTCCAGTGCAAGTGAAAAGTCCTTCTTCATCAGCTGCACCTTGAATCCATTCCGATACCCATTCGAGGAAGGCGCTTCGGGATACACACCGGGAACAGGACAAAACCGATCACAGATGGTATTCTGCGCAGTCCCGGCCGCATACACCTTTGCAAGTACACGCGGATCGAGTCCGGATCGCATTCCCATATCCATGGCTTCGGAACAGGCGATGGCAATGATTCCGGAGAGATAATTGTTTGATAGCTTAGCTGCCAGACCGAGAGATGGGCCACCGCACGGAATGACTTTGCTTCCCATGAGCGACAGCAGCACAGTGAGTTGTGGGATTTCTTTGTTGTCTTCTGCGCAGCCGAGGAAGAATGCGATGGTCCCTTTCTGTGCGCCAATTACTCCTCCGCTGACGGGTGCGTCGAACAGTCGACTACTGGGGGAACTCTGGCTGATGGTTTTCTTGACTTCGAGAAAACTCCCCGTGTCGATAGTGGAACAATCAATGAGCAATTTACCCTCGATATCCCCGGAGGAGATTCCATCAGGGCCGAGGTAGACAGATTTGACATGTTTGCCTTCGGGAAGCATTGTAATTATCACTTCCTGTACGCTGGCATTAGCTCTGGTGTCAGAGCTTCGAGTCAGCCTGTCTTTTCCATACCGATTTATCTGCCACACCTTTCCCACTGAAACCTCGAATGATCTTATCGGGATATCGAGCACAGATATCCTCAACCAGAGAAGGAACGATGTCATAGACGTGAAGTTTTGTTGACTTTGGGAGCTTCTCAGCCAAACGCACTGCCATCCACATCCCCATGGCTCCCAGGCCAATGAATCCGATGGAATCTGCTGCAGTGGCTGTCATTTCAAGTTGAGCAACTGTATATTTCTGATACCAAGGTCTGACTCAAAAGGCATGTGCTGGATCGAATGAATGAGTTGGGGTATCTTTTGCGGGGAAGAACGTCTCGTCTGCAGCTGGGAGAACCCCCGAGTTGGAGAAGACCACGCGCCATCAACCCCGCTCAATGCCAGCTCTACCGAGTCGGCTATACAAGTATCCATGTATCGGCCTGTCGAGCGAATGGGGTATTCTCAGTGCAGTGGGGATATACAACGAGTTTTTCGAATTGATCAGCCAACCTCAACCAGTAATACCATGTCCTCAGTCAAACCCCAAAGATGCATTCAGCTGCATGCTCTCCAAGCCGGCCACTTGACATTACCAGAGAGATTCTTCGTGCACCCGTTCTCCGACACAGCAAGAAGAACAGTTCCATCACTTTCCTTCCTCCTCCAGCATCTCGATACAGACTCTGGGAAAACCACGCGCATCGTCTTCGATCTCGGCCTGCGACATCCAACATCCAACTACCCTGTCCCGATACAGAGGCATATCCAGACGCGCCAGCCACTGACCACGGAACCAGATGTAGTTAAGAGTCTAGAAGAAGGGGGATTGTCACCAAGTGATATTGACTTTGTGATCTACTCTCATGTTCGCAACCCCTCCCTTTCCGCGAGACTAAGTTTTGTGTTTTGATTGCTGAAACGAGTCAAAGCTTCACTGGGACCACGTCGGTGATCCCAAAGCATTCCCCAAGAGTACCTTTGTGATTGGACCTGGCGCCACGGCTCTTCTGGACGGCGACAATCCAACATTGCGAGGAGGCCACTCGTTCTTCGAGGCGGACCTTTTACCAAGAGACCGGACTATCGAACTCTCTCCGGTGGAGGATTCTGACAGTACCCATTCGACGGCAGAAGGCGGTCTCATATCTTTCCATCAGCCATGGCTACCACACGGCTCGGTTCCTCGAACCATGGACATCTTCCAAGACGGCAGTCTGTTGATCGTTGATGCTCCGGGTCACCTTCCTGGGCACGTCAACCTGCTAGCACGCATTGAACCACATAAATATGTGTACCTAGCCGGAGACGCCTGTCACGATAGACGACTCTTAACAGGCGAGAGGGAGATAAGTGAATGGCTTGATGACCATGGGCATATTTGCTGCATCCATGCAAATAAGGAGGATGCACGGAGAACAATTGAGCGGATTCGAGTGTTGGAGGCGGAAGGTGTCGAGATTATCTTTGCTCACGATGTTGAGTGGGAGGAAAATCCCCGAAATTCCGAGCGGTTTTTCGGCTAGTCAATTGCAGGTTCTTCCTAATATTGTAACAGGTGCAGAGAGCTTCACGGACGAGGTATCAAGAGAAATTATGTCTAACATGCAGCAAATTGTGTGCTTGTAGAGGCATATCTACAGCAGATGGGGATATCTAGATCAAATACACAAACAAGCCTGCAAGGCAGGCACCAGGGCATTGGCCACGCCATCATCTTTAGATGGTGTACCCCTGGTTCTCCTCCGGTAGCTGTTCCCGAACAGTTTCACCGTAAACCGTCAATGGAATGGAGATCTCGAACGATTCACAGCCAAGGTACTCCAGCGCAGACATCACTTTACCTCGGTCATCGGAGGACAAAATCTCGAGCAGGGATGTTCCAGAAGGCGCAGTGCTAGGGGCTTGTTCCCCATGCATATTGGGGGTGACAAATTCGAAGCGCAGGTCCCAGTCCAATGTCACTCCCGTGGTGATAATTGTGGGCGTTGCAGAGACAGGGATAGCTGGACTGAAGACAACCCGCGTCGCGTAAAGCGTGTTCTCGAAAAGAGACGCGTGGATTTTCCGGGTAGTTCGATGGATACTTGCGTTAGATCGAACGGCGAGGGTCGGTGTCACTTTTTCAGAAGTCTCAAGCGAAGCACGCACGGCATAGCAAGGGATGGCCGCCTCGCCAAAATCAACATTCGCGATGATGGTTTCGCCCAGCCGGTGAACTGGGCGGTTCAGGACAACAACAGCGATCCTTTGCCCATCGCGTGCGATCTCAAATCGGTTGGGGCTGCGCCTTGAGTGTACAGCCTGGTTGCTGCGAAGAATGGCAAAGTCGATGATATCTTTACAGGACAGCCCGTGGGGAATTCCCTCGTAGCTCGACGCTCGTCTCTCCGGGAGAGCGCCAGGCGGAAAAAGTGAGTTCGAGCGAGCACTTTGCTCAAGAATTTCATCCACATAAGAAAGAAAATCTCCGGCAGAGTTCCAGTTACTGCTCACACTTTGATTTTTCATGCTCACTGGCGGCTGTGGTCCAACCTTTTGAACCTTGGCCTCGTCACGCAAAATCACATAGGGTGACATGAGATCATGGCCGAGGATATCTCCCTTGTCTAAAAAGGCGTTATTAGAATTCTGAGATGATTACTGAGATATTTCCTCAAAGTACACTTACCATTCACCCCGCTGTACACGCGGAACGGGATGTTGATCCGATTGACTCGCTGAGCCTCGTTTGTGGCACTAGGGCGCTGAGTTCCAATGACCAGGTTATAGGAGATCTTGATAGCTTTTCCCTTGTGACTCGCCGGGAGTCCCTTGGGCAGTGAGAAGGAGAAAGTATAGGACTGTTCTTCCCCTGGTGATAGCCGTAGATCGACGAAGAGAAGCGACTGCGGGGTGGACAACAAGGGAATAGATCGCGACGATGACACTCCACGCATCTCTCGCAGACCATCAAGCTCGTTGTTTGACAGAAGCCCATTAATCGATTCCTCAATGGCATTCCACCTCAGTGCGCCCCAGAAACCACCGCCCTTGCGGGAGCGCTCAGAGCTAGCTGACCCTGGGCGCCCTGGAGGTCCGCCAGTTCCGAGTTGACCTCCTACAACTCCTTTTCGTTTGACTTCGTCGAAGGCTGACTGGTTGACGAGGGAGCCGTCGACTGTGAACGATGCGCTCACTTGCGCGTAGCCCATCAGCAGCGCCTGGCTGTCTGTGAACTTGTAGGTTGTAGGGGTAACCACGCTCGAATAATGCCGTCCATGGCGAACAGGCGGAGGGGGCGGGCGTCCCGATTGTACTGAGTAATTCGTATATTCCGAACCCAAAGTCTCGCTGGAATGGTCGCTCATTGAGTAAAATTCACCACTGCTCCGATTGCTCCCATTCACACTTGTAGCCGAAATGACCCGCGTGAGCTGTTGGTGCGAAGGCGCAGGCAGTGTTGATCCATCTTTTGAAGTCGGCTTGCCTGAAGATGCAGCCCGTTCAGCCGATTTGGGGGAAGGAGTCAGAGCCGGTCGAGTATGTGGCTCTGCGGGTGGAGGAGCCGCTGGGAACTTGAAGTCAAAGGGGGGAGGCTGGGGTCTTCGCGATGGGCCTCGCAAAGGCTCGACAGGCCCAATTGGGCTATTCGCAGAAGATCCGGGGCGGTTAGCTCGTCCAAGGTGGGCAGTATCGACTCGCAGCCCGCCCGCGGATGACTCGTTGGGGACTTCTGCGAGGGGAGGGCCGCGCATGGGCATTCGGCTCGCTGGATGTCGTGCATTGTAAGCTTCCATCTTCGATCGCATCCGCGATGCATAGCTTCGAGTAGACTTACCTTTTCGATAAGAATCGTCATAGCTGTCATTCCTCCTTGGTGTGATCTGAAGACTGGCTGAGCGTCCATGACCCCTGGCAGGCCTTCCTCTGCCATAGTTTTGCGTTGCGGGTGTTTTCTCGGACGGTCCTTCGCTCTCAATTGATAGAATGGAGACGGATCGTTTGTGGCTGTGACCAGGTTGCCAACTGCGAGGGGTAGAGGGGCTGCTGCTCGTCGGCGGGAAGCTGTGCGAGGCAACGGGTGGGGTGCTCAAGGATGAGGTCGTTCGGTGATAAGGCTTTCTGTGTGAGCTGATGGAGTAGGATCGCCGTCCAGAAAAGAGACTCTGGGAGGATTTCAATGAGAAGAAGGAGTCCGAGTTGGAGTTTCCGGCGTGGTTCGCGACTCGAGACTGCTTCCGCTGGTGTTGGCCAGCCCCTTCACTTCCATGGCTGGCGTCGGACGGGGTCTCGGCCACGTTCTTGAATGTGATTGTGCATTCCACGTTTTCGCCTGCGAAGATTGTCTGGTCCTTCCATTTCACGAAGACCTGGATGTTGGACGGCATGACGGCGCGGTGTTCGCATGCGGGCATCCACTGGAGGTGGATCTTTGGAGGGAAAAGTGTCGGCGACAGTTCAGAGACGGTTGAGATGGAGCTTCAGAGGATGTGCCGACGTCCACATGCTGTCAAATGGACTGGGGCATGCTGGCGGCGGACGCGGTCGAGAGTGAAACCATGTGCTGGCCGAGGCGGAGGGAGTTGCGTGGTGGCGCCTCCACACTTCCGCGCTTCCCAGCCCCGTCGACTTGCGGAGAGCTCCCGCGCCGTTGCACTCGACCAAACTTCTAGGCACGAATTGGACGGCGCGATGGCAATGCAAGAGATGAATTACCATCGATGATGATTCTAGTAGATTGGATTCACTACCTAAATCATAGAAATCTGGAATGTACAAAAGCACAGTTGGATTGCTCCAAGCTTCGTAGTATAGGTCAGAATGGGGAATCGCTCGCTCTATAGACAACCATCACAGATGGAAGGTATGTTTGACTAATATACATTTATGTTCAGCGCCAATGCACCTCCCGATTATGGTTTCTTCTCGTCTTCATACAATGCATTGCTGTCGGCCATCTCCCGCGAACGCTGGGTCGGTGGGCGCAGACCCAGCTCGACCAACTGGGTCCAGATTCGTTCGTGTCGCTTCTCCCATCGAGCGCGTCTCTTTTCGACCTCTTCCTCTTTCGGGCGCCATTTGCTCTTCAGGATGCGACGAATTGCTTCTGGAGACACCTTGAACTCGTCAGCCAGAACGGCTGTGGTGAATTGGTCGGGGGCGGTCGCATGCAAATGTCGAATTCCATCCAGCGCATCGGGGGACAGCTTCTTGGCTGGGTTCCAGCCGGTCGGGAACTTCTTTTCCAAGGCATCTTTCTGGATTTCCCAAGGCTCTGGCTTTCTGGGCTTCTTGGGCTGTTTCTTCGCCGCGTCGTGCTTTTTGTCCTTGTCGGCTGCTTTCCGGGATTCTTTGCGATCTGTAGACCTCTTCCCATCGCGGCCACCTTTCCTGTCTTTGTTTTCCTGTCCGCTAGTTTTGTCTCTTTTGGCCTTCTTTAGCGCCGACGAATCGGATGGTGTCGCAGGGTTGGACGTAGATGACTCAGGAGGAGAAGGGGTGTCCGACACTGGGTTGCTCGATTGTGGCTGTTCGTTCTGCGACTGATCAAACCGCGCGGTCGAAGTAAAAGGTCGGGGGCATTGAGCCTGTTTTAAAGGCCGAGTCCACTGGCGAACTGGAGAAGAGCGCAAGTCACAGGTCAATTCCGAACGGAAGACACTGCGCAGCACCGTTGGCAAGGCCATTCTAGCGGAGGCTGCGCATTGGAGAACCATCGCAGTGATCCTCTGGATCAGTGCCAAAGACTTGCACGGCGCAATGGGATCGAGCGAGACAATGATTATTGAGAGCCCCAGAAAACCGGCAAGACTGAGAAACTCGAAAGCTTTGAGATGCCGTGCAAATTGGTTGAACTGGTTGAAATCATTTTACTTCCGGTGGCGATAAGATAGGTATGTTGATGCCTCGGGGCTCAGGCTTCGATGTCAGGCAGTCTGGGAAGTATAACTAAAAATCGGTACGCGTGGAGCCAAAACAAGACGCGACAACAAAGATCAAATGATGCTGTTTGGTGATTAAGAGAGCTTGGGCGAATTCTATTGATAATTTTATTTATACACATGAGCCCATCTTGTTTCCTGCCCAAATCACCATCGGCTCAAATCCCGACATTTCGTTTGAAATTGCAGAGGTCAGATATATAGCTTGTTAATAGGACCTGGGATATTTTTACGCTACATGTGTTAATTGGAAGCCCTTAGGGACAGCCACAAGGCACCATAAGAAATCATCCATACACCATTACCCTTGACCCTCCAGCCTGGCCATCTTCCCAAATCCGCGCTGGGGTCGGATCTCGCGCGGCGCTTAGCTTGGTGCTTGGATCACGACCCACCGTTCATCTCGGGATTCAGCTAACTACTAGTAGTAGTGTCTCGCGATCTGTACGAGGCAGCTGCCCTGGAGTTCATTGTGAAAGACCACTCCGATAGAGAATGAATCAGCTCCCAGAATCTCTATGGGTTAGTCGTGACTCGAAGATCCAAAATCGAGAACGTGGATGTCTCCCCACGCGGGCCGGCTGGCAATCCAGGGTTCGGATTCCTGATCGTCTGGAATGATCATCAGTCTTAGCGTGGAATGAGCTCCATGTTTGTGATACCCCTCCGTTTGGATTTTTTTCCTCCTACCAGATCAACTTCGCCGTCCGATCTGTGGGACCGCAGAGAAGGTTGGGAGAATTAAAGTGGAAGCTTTGATCAGAGCTGTCGACCAGCCACCTTCCCCACCACCTCGCTTTTCCCCCTCCACACTTTCAACCTTCCCCCAACCTCAATTCCACCTCACCCCTTAGCTGCATACGAATGCGCCCGCGCATGGACAACTGACTCTGCGCGCTCAGGGGACTCTGAATTAGTGTCGCAGTCCCCCGAGGCAATGGCTACTACCGCGCCGCTTAGCGCTAAAAGCAAGCTCGCCGGCGCCTCCCTGAAGATCACCCCCTCCAACTCCCCCGTTCTGCGCCCAGGCACATCGAGTCGATCGCCGAGCAAGTCCTCACACCAGTCCTCGCTTTCGTTGCAGACGGTCATCGGTACGACTACAACCACCCCCAATGGCTTCTCCAGCCACGACCAGAGCAAAAGCTTCGCCTTGTGCGCCGGGTCCGCGGCCGTCCTCGCTGAGCTGGACGACGAGGCCAATCTGAGCCAGCGCTTCTTCCGCGCTCGCCCTTCAGCGACGAGCGTGAACCCGACGACTTCCTTCTACAACCAAGCCACCCCACCCGCTACCCCCGACCACAAATCTCGATCCTTGTCCCATATCCGATCCAATCCGCACCTCAATGTTCCCAATGGGTCGCCGTCTAGCGAGGTGGGCGACAGTGGCAGCCCGCGCGCATGGTCCTCCAGGGAAAGGATCAAGGCTGTTACCAGTGTCTCGATCAGCCCCAATGGGAGATTTTTGGCGGTAGGAGAGGTGAGCAATTCCTACATGTGATCTGTTACTTGGACACCAAAAAAATTCCTGACAATGACCAGACCGGCTACAATCCTCGAGTCCTGATCTTTTCAACCGCACGAGACGCATTACCCGACGTCCCTCTTTCTATCCTTACCGACCACACATTTGGCGTACGAAGCCTCGCCTTCAGCCCTGATTCACAGTATTTGGCAACCCTGGGTAATGTGAATGATGGCTTTCTGTTCATCTGGGCAATCAACCTCAAGAATGGATCAGCCAAAATCCACTCCGCCAACAAATGCACGGCCTTCATTCGGGACATGTGCTGGGTCGGCCAGTCCTTGGTTACGTATATCTTCCTCAGCCAATCCTCAATTGCGACCATTAGCTGACCTCTTATTTAGGGCTGGAGTGCGTCATGTCAAGGTATGGAAACTTCCATCAATCCGACCAGTCTCGCCTACAAAATCCCGTTTGAATGTGGATGGCACTGCCCCATCTCCAAACCCGGCACCAAAGGCTCTTTCTGGCCGGAATTGCTTGCTGGGTCAACTGAGCGACAACACTTTCAGCTGCGCAAGTAGTATCTCCGACCAAGAGGGCGTTGTTGGCTCAGAGTCCGGTGCCGTGTGCTATCTCGATGACCGGGAAGGGTCTCAGAAACTGCAGCTGGTCACACAGGTTGGGTTCGCCATCACGTCTTTGACGGTGGACTTCGATCGAGAATTAATCTGGTTGGGGGGCCACGGCAGGAAAATGCGACGAATCTCATTTGAGACACTGCGTTCCTCAGCCGCATCAACTCCGATGTCACCAGCACGTTTGGACAAGATCGTGGTAGACAAGAAGAATAGGATCCCCGCAATCACCTGTATGGGCTCTCTTTCCTCACACTTAGTCACAGTGGAGGCAAGTCGCGAGATACATATCTACCCTATTGAGGGTTTGCGCGAGGATGGTGAGCAGGAGCATGGGGACACATCGATGCCCGCCCACCGAGACCCGGTTTTGGGTATTCGTCGTCTGAACGCATCCGACTTCTCGGCAAACTTCTTTACGTGGTCCCGCAATGGCTCCGTGATCTTCTGGGATTCACAGGGTAAATGCCTGGATTCCAAAACAGTAGTCCTGGAGCAGAATTCCGAGGCCGAAGATGTGGCAAATGACCTGAAGGTACTCAGAGCTTCGGAGAATGCAGAATGGTTCGTTTCTGGGGACAAATATGGAGTCCTAAGGTTTGTTCACCTCGCCCTTCTAACAAGGATATGTTTCCTGATACTGGCTTTACAGACTTTACACCCGCGAGCCATGGACAAACGTCAACGATGTCCGCGCCCATGGAGCCGAAATCACCGACGTTGCTATTCATTCGACTGAAGACTACTGTTTGATCGCAAGCGCTGGACGAGATCGCATGGTGCAGCTCTTCCAAAAAGCCGAATCTAACCTGGGTTTAATTCAGACCATGGACGAACATGTTGGCGCTGTGGGCCAACTAATGTTCATGAACGATGGTGAGAAACTGCTCTCATGCTCTGCAGACCGCACCATTCTCGTACGGGACCGTGCCACGCGGGAGGAAGATGGCGCAATTTCGGTTGCCTACCTGATAACCAGGGTCATCACTCTCAAAGCTTCCCCTGTCTCTATGACCTTCTGCCCGGATGACTCCAATATGCTCTACGTCTCGACCATGGACCGTTGCATTTCAAAGTTCGATATTCCATCTGGAAGGCAGCTCCATTGTTTCAAAGCATCGGACTCAGAAACTAATGATGCCGTGATTATGAGCGCCTTGACTGTGACTTCTGGAAATCCTGGTCAAAGTCCGAAGCTACTACTTGGTGTTTCTAGCACCGACAAGTCTATTCGGGTGTATGATTTGGAACGAGACCAGTTGCTCACTGGAGAGTTCGGTCACACCGAGGGCGTGAGCGACGCAATGCTCCTAGAAGGAAAAGAGAGTGACGATGGCGCCGACAGATCGGCTGTTAAGCGAAACCTGGTCTCGGCTGGTATCGATGGGATCTTGATGATTTGGAATCTATCTGTTCAGCCACAGTCTTCCCCCGAAATGCTACAGAATGGTCGGGACGAAGACGGCCCTATGAAGGAGGCGACAGCTGCCAAACCTCCTCTTCGGAAAGTCCTTTCCCGGAGTGAACTAGCTGGCTTCCAGCGACCTGATAATCCAAGCCCTCTGGGAACTCCCACGCCTGTGCGCGATCTTTCTCCGACCTTGACTCGAAAGATGTCAAAACTTTCTCTCACGCCCTCCAACCTCAAAAATCATTCATTGGCCGATACTCCATCTCCTCCTAATCGCCGTTCACCCACCGAGTCAAGTCGCCGATCTCCATCTCCAGTCAGCCCTAAATCCAAACCTCCAGTCTCCAAAAAGACTTATAGCACGCGGGGCACCAGCCGGCGCATCTCTTCGGACTTCCGATCTCGCGCCAAGGCATCTCACCGGACCGAGTTTGGCAGCCTAGAGATGTCGACCGAGCAAGTATGTCGGACACTACGAGCATACCGCAAGAAGCTCAACGGCTCTAGCCAACCCGTCCTGGCTCAGAAGGAGCTCGAACGAGAACTGAACCTGACTCTTCGCGCCGTGAACTCACGTGCCATGAACAGCGATGAAAGCGCAGAGACGGAGACAGACAGTAGCGGCAAGGATCTGGACCGGAAGCCTAGCTATTCCTCCGTCTCCTCCCGATCTCCTCACTACCCTCGTCATGCGCCGTCAACTCCGCTTCTGCGCCAGAAGAACCCACGAGAGGTTTCGAGGAGTCGGTCATTCGATGCCAACGCAGACGAATGAATCTTACCTTCACATGGAACTTCTACCTGCTGAGGGGGATGGGGAAATCTGACATATTTTACCCATTTTTGAAGCCTCCTTTCTTTGCTTTGAAAACGTCTTCCAATATGGCATTGCAGGTGTTGTGTTTTGACCGGCAGTCTGGCTCTTAAGATGCCATGCCGTTGCATTTTCTCCCTTCGCTTGACTTTTCATCTATCCCCATCTTCCGACTTGACGGTGAATTTCCACCATCCCTTTCTTTCTTTTTTTGTTTCCATTTTTACAATTCCTTTCTTTCACTTCCTTTCTTGTCTCTACCCACGACACGGGTGGAAGACTTTCTTCCCTCTTCATTTGCTGATATAACCTCATTCTCCTCCTTCTGATGATACCCATATTACTTGAGTCAGCTTAGATCATGTCTCATAGCCATATTTTACCAACAATCTATCATTATTACCTTCTTCTCAATCTAGAGTTATATTAAAGATACGAATAAATTCAAGGTAATAACTGAGTATTGTACACTCGTATGGTTTTCAGGCAAAGGACACACCTCCAGCCTCGGGGAATCAATATAATCAGTATAGTCAAGAATGCAAACCAAAATGCCACAATTTTTTGTTAAAAAAATCAGTCCCAATTTATCACTCAAACAAAGCCTTGGACACCTAATAAACGTCAGGAACACAATCAGCCAGCACCTGGGGCTTCCGACTACTTGTGTATCCTTTGCGTAGGGAGAAAATTTCCAACAATCATAGACGGGCTATACGATAATTAGCATCTGTCACTGTAGACGTGTTTAGCGCTTGAAGGCTCTTACATATTGTGGTTGTCGCGTCGAATAGTAAATGAAAAGCAACAGGGGATGCCTTCACCTGCTGCATTGGGGTTGGGGCTCTTTAAGGTACAGCTGGTGAGCATTGCCTTCTGGGTATTATCGAAGGCAATGGCCCCGAACTTCTCCCAATAGCTGACCAGCTGGTCTTCAACAATGATTTCATGGATTGCGAGTTTACCCTGGCAAAAAGTTAGTCTGTGAGTTCTCGCTAGTCAGATCCTTTTACTCACATCTCGCAGACTTTCAATCGGAACATCAATCAACTGTGCCATTTCATTGTTGCCTCGAAAGATCTCGCCAGTTCGTCGCCAACAGCAAGCGGGGATCGCCATACTGGCAAACACACGGTCGTACTCCATAAGGCTCCGCTCGAACCACATTTCCACAAGAATCAATTCGATATCGGTCAGACTCTGCATGCGCTCCCGGAACTTGGGCCGGAACTTGTCGAGCTGCCGCAGGATCTTTTGCCGAGATGACTGGTGCATATTCTTCTCCATGTACTGGTTCAGGCGTGCGTACCCCTTAACGTAATTGAACGGTTTCAGCAGACCGGCATCATACTTCGCCTTGAGAAGCTTGTTCATGCGCTCCTCAGGTGGGTCGGAGCCCGAGGGATCTGCAGCGGTCATGTAGTATGTCTCGCGTGCCTTGTCGTTTCCGACGGTCGATGTCGGGCGCTGGATCGAGTCACCCTGCGGCGTCTGGTTCTGGGCGGGTGGTAGAAGCTGAGTTTGCTGCATGCCATTGGGCACATTCAGGTTGTTCACGGAGTTGATCAATGAAGGATCCGAGTAGATGCCCTGCATGTTTTGGTCCGGGAAAATCGCGCCATCATCCAACAGACTATTGCTGAGGAAATCTCCCAGCAAGTTGTACTCGTTGGTGACTTCGGGCGCATTGAACATGTACGACGGATGGAGCGAGTGCATGTCTTGGAACTGGTTTTGTCCGCCCATCCAGTCATTGTACGCCATCACTAGTATTCGCAAGTCAGCGGCGGCCACCACGAAACCAACACTTCGGATGCTTACTGGACTGGGAATTGGCATCAAGGCCCCCACCAGAGGAAGTAATGTTCCCCGGCTGTACCGTGGAAGGCGGCATTCCGATCGCACTGTCGGGGAGGATTTGCTGACCGGCAGCATCCGAGACGTCGACACTCCGAGGCATTCCTGAGACGGTGACTAGATCATTGTTGGACGAGCCTTCCTCGTCCGCAGCCGAATTATCAGGATCACGGCGTTTCGTGGGCTCTCTGGGCTCGTCATGGCACAGATGACCGATATTGCGCTTTATACATCGGGTGCAAGGACGTTCCTACACGAAGAAACGACGGGTCAGCACGCAGATTCTCCTACCTCGCAACCGCGTTGGCAACCGGCCGCACAGGGCCACCGGGTGAACTGAATGGATGGGAATTCCGCAAGCAAACGGGGGAGATGTCGTACCGAATCGCAAGTCATATGCTGTCCCACGCGACCACCGGCCGTCAGTTAGCAATGCGATTTCCTCAAATAGATCTTTCCTCGTCTGCCCCCACCAGCACCAAGGGACCACCAGGCGCCGAAGAAGGTGCCGCGGAGAACGACCTGGTGCGCGCCGGGGCAGTTTTGAAGTCGAGGACTTACCGAGCGACGACAGTAGACACAAGCTGCAAATGAGGCGAACCGTTAGCACCGCGCTTCGAAGCGTCCACCCCTCCCAACCTATCGCGATGGCGCAGACAGCGTAGCTGGGACCGCGATCCCTGTCGCATGTCCGCATGCCGCACGCGAACGGAAACTCACCGTGATTGACCTTGCGGCGCTTCTTCGGACTGGCGTGACTGCCGATGGTTTCGGACTTGACCGCAGATGCTGCTGGCGAGTCCTTTGCGCGCGCATCCTTCCCTGCATCGCCCTTGGACTTGGCGGCCTTGTCGGACTGCGTGCTCTTTTCTGTCATTGCGGAAATGCTGTGCTCACTAGGGCCGGGCGAAATGGCTGCCTGCAGACATTGGCGTAGGGTGTTGGCAGAGGAACAAGTTGAGTTCTTTGGGGCACCCAGAAAGCGGAGTCACCCCTCCGACCTGCTCCGCATGGGGTTCCCCGATCCTTCTGTTCCTCCGCCACCGAACACCCGCGGGACGGTCGATTTCTACATGCTTACGGGGCTGGCCTGGCCAGCGCGGTGCACTCAAATGGTTTCAGATATTCTCATTGTCTCGACTGTCCCCGCAATGGCTTTGTTCCTCTAGACCGAGGTTGATCGGACCGCAGGGCAAATGCCGTGGAGTGGAGTCCCGGCATCTTACCAACGGCGCATGATCGCCCATGCCTTGCGCATCCACTGCTCGAACAGTGGCCGCCTTGTAAGAAGACCCCCGTCGCGGGATTTGGGCGATGCGGGCTCACATGTAGCGGGGAGATCTGAGCACGCGGCAGGGTTCTTGTGGCTGGCCTCGGGGCGCGATCCTGTTGAGCACTTCCATCCTCCAGCGTTCCCACGTGCCTCTTGGTAGTATATACGCGGAGTAGAAGATCTCCGCCTTGCATCTTTCGTGGCTGGTTTAGTCATGGTAGGTGGACCAAGCCATCGCTCAATCGTTCGAATACAAGTCCAATGCCGCCTGTGATCGGGTAATCGCGTCTCTCAGCCCTGCCAGCGGGGCTGTATTGCTCTGCATAGATTGGAGATGTCCATGCAGTTGCTTCATCAACCCCTGGACTTCGGGGTCGTCGTCCAGCTAATCAACGTGTTAGCGCGTCAGTTTCAAGTACACCGTCTGGCATTTCATACCTCATTTAGCGATACATGACTGGTTTTCGTGTCCGCCAGGGTGAATTCCGAGGACTGCGCATCTCGAACTGGCGGCAGGTCGTCCAGCTGCTGGAGGACAGGATGTTCCTAGAGCAGAACGCGATTAGCCAAGTAATTCAAGTTATTCTAGCAAGCGTAGTCTGCCTTACGTTTTTTTTTGTCTTTTCCGCTCCGCCACTGCCCTTTTCGCATTCCTCTCCATATCTTGTAACGACTCTTTCTCACTGGCAAGGAGAACCTCTTCTTTCGCAATCTCGGACTTGAGGAGTTCAATACTGTCGTTTATGGTAGCCAAATTGGCTTCCAGCGATCGCTAGCAGAATGAGTCAGTACACATTCGTCACTGGCGATCGGGGTAACAAACATGTTCATTCAGCGCAGACTCGTAGTCGAAGTTGGAATCCTTGGTGATGGGCGGGAAGGGCATCCGTGGAAGTCGCTTTCCAAGGCTAAACAGTGGCGAAGAGATTAGCATACATCATCTCATGGCTCCTTGCGGTAATTGCAAGTTCGCAGCACGGGGGGTAATAGCCCAACGGCTCTCGGGACGGGGGCACGTACTTGCGAACTACAGCCTGCACCGCACTCTGCGCTTCGATGCGCTTCTGCTCATTTTTATTGCGCACAATCACCGGTCGCTCAAGCGAATGAAACAGTTCGCGGACCTTCTCTTGAACAGGTTCGGGGAGGGTAGACCATTTCGCCTTGATGGTCTTCTCGGGCACGCGACGGACTTGTGGTTTCAGGTGGGCATAGCGCTTGCTCTCGTTTTCGTCCTGATTCTCATCGTCGTTCGTGCGCTTCCGTTTAGGGGGCATCTTGGGAGAGTCGGTGGTGTTGGGACGTGAAGCCGGTGGGCAGTTGGAAAGTTGGAGAAATGTCGGCATGCGGAGTCGAGGCGCGTCGGCCACAACAAAGCGGTCCGCGCCCAGCAACCAAGAACGACGACGCCAGAATTAACATCAGCGAAATTGTTTATAACCCCACCAGCTCGATATACCTATCCCTTGAGAGTCCAGAAAGTTCTTGTTGCTCCTGATACCTCGTTGTTCGATTTTATTCGAATTACTCTTTGTTCAGCTATCGCCGAGGCTTACATGGAAAACCTTCCCCCAAAATGAATTCTCGTAGTTGGTTCATACGACCGTAAGCGAGTTAATGTTTCTATACATTGTATCAGATTTCCAGTCCGTATTGTCAATAGTTAAAAGTACCAGCCAAGATGTTAACTTGGTGATCCTACAGAAGGTCGATGTGTGGCTTTTCAAATTATATCCTCGGGTGTAAAACATAAGCTACTAGTAATTCCAGGAGGCCAAGCATTATGATGATATTAGTGTATTTCAATCATGTCTGGCGCCAAATAACACACCGGGGCAGTGAACTATGCAAAAGCAAGACGCATACACTACCCCAGTGCGGCTTTATCACTTACGACCCTAGGCTACAGAATACCGACGAAATCCCTAAGTCAGAAAATGACGATCAGGTCTCGAAAATTTCTAACCTTAGTTTGACCGCTCCTAGGATCTGCGACGACCAGCAAGATACAGATTATACCCTCGGTAGCATGAGAGCCAAAAGCAAATCAAGGTCAAAACACGCGATGTACCGGGACCATCCGACCCCGTGGTCCCGGATCTGACCGAGTCAATCTGAACAAGGCATCGGATCAGCAATCAACTTCCAACATCCACGAATGTGTGCTTCCAAAGGTATACTTGAGCGGTATCCTTTCTGGGTCCTCGTTCGTCGATCAACTAGGCGAGGTACACTGAGAAAGGTCCCCTAGTCGAGCAATACCTAGTAACATGTACAGCATTTGTCAGAATCCTACTACGCCATGAGAACAACTCAAGTTGCCACATCAAAATCCTGATAATATATGAGTCATTTGTGTTATTCTAAAATGATTCTATACTGCAATCTAGTAGGCATACATGCATGCGGGGATGTATTTTGGCTCTCTTTCAAATCAGAGCTCAGGTGTATATCGATGAATGTAGATACATCGTCGTCGAGCTCATGTTATGTACTATGTATGGCATCAACTATCCAGACGCCATGGAAGCACGTATCCAGCCTGGCAACGAAATTGCAAACGCAAGGGAAAACTACCCTATAGAAAAAAGAAGCATCCAGCAAACCCGCCACCCACGAAAACGAAATGGTATCATGCCTAGAACTTAACGCCCACTTACCAGAGTGCGTTTCAAAACCAATCCACCCACCCAACCGCTATAAACCCAGAAAATGCGCCAGTACCGCTCAAGGGAAAGAAATGAAATCATAAGGTCGTGGTCACGTCAGAGGAAGATAAGGGGATCAGCCCCAATCATCGTGGCATAACCAGCCCGTTGATACCCTTCATATCCGTCAGTTGGCTCTGCAGGATGTCATTTCCGCGAAGAAGTTCCTCAAGCCAGTCGGCCGCTTGGGTAAGCATCGCACTCTTGCTAAAGCCACCGCCTCGAAGTCCGGGGACGAGAGAGCAGAGATCATCAAAGCCTTGACGGATGAGATTGCGACGCTTCTGCTCGGAGAGAATGTGGTTGGTTCGTTTCTGCTCCTCTGAGAGATTCTCGCGGGCGTTCTTGCTGCTCGGGGTAACCCGTGCCTTGCCGGATGAGTTGGTAGCAGTCGAGGCGCGGCGCACCTTGGCGTTGCTGGGAGTTCGGGACTTTCGAACCAGTCGAGTATCCTCCTCGTCCGATGGGATCTCGCCTTCTTTGATGATGCGCTGACGCTTCCGCGGCTGCGAAGGATCATCTCTGTCGGCATTGCGGAGAGTCGCAATGTGGGCGTGGGCGGCCGCGAGGCGCTCGGGGGTGGTCGGTCGGGTGTTGGCCGCGCTGGCCTGAGGCTCGAAGCAGTCGAGGTGTTCGAGGAGGTCCCGGGTACGGGTTTCCATGTCAGGCTGATCAGGCGGGGCGATGTAGCCCTGATCCATGAAGCTGTTATCCGATCCCCAGTGCAGACCACGCACCTTCCGAGACGGGTGCTGGTCTTCCGGAATGGGGTCCCGCACATCGAAGAGCATCTCGGACGTATGGAATCCCGTCGGGAGCTGGGCTCTGGCCGGCGAGGAACTAGACGCATGGGCATTGCCGACAGGGTGTGAGCTGCGGCGGGCGTGGGGGGAAAGAGGCTGACCGGAGAATGCCTGCTGCGCCAGCGCAGAGCCAATCTCAGCCCCGTTGATGCCGTTCTGGTATAGCATCGAGGCAGCCGCATAGAGATCCGGACCGGTGCCGTTGCCGGCCATCATGCCAGGCTTCGGGGCCTGGTGATGGAAGGATGGCTGCGACAACGAGGTGGTTGAGCCCTCGAAGGTTGGAGGAAGCTCACTGGTCCAGTCAAAGTGCATCCCGGTGGACGACTTGTCCTGGGCACCACGGAACCAGAAGTCATTGGAGAAGTTGTTGGCATTCATGGTGGTAAAGAAGTTGTCGAGCATGTTTGATTCGTGGTCGTCCAGCAACGAGGGACCCGGGGGAAGGGCGGGCGCCTGCTCGAATGGGGTATCCATTGGGGAAAGGAAGGAGTCTGCAGAGGGAAGGTTAGTTTTTGTATTCACAGCAAGTGAGGGGATGGACACTCTTCATGAGACGCCGATCGTCGTCACTTACATCCAAAAGGGCCAGCGGATGGTGGGGATGTTCGCCCCGTATGTACTTCGGGACCGGGTCCATTCATTGTCACGAGCATCAGAAGTCGAGTGGGAAGTCGAGGGGAGACGAGAACCGAAGGACAAGGTTGGGTCAGACGTGGTTGCTCTGAAGGATCAAGAGCAGCGTGGACTGAGACTGAGCGCTCATGCCTTGTGATAATCCGGGGAAAGACTTTCGTCCGTGGTATATAAGATGGTGAAGTGAATCCAGGCCCCGATGGAGTCGACCGATGTTTGTCCGATGCCACACGCAGCCGGGAGCGGCCAAATAAAGGGAAGAACCAGAATCGAGGACTCGGCGATGGAGTTGCTGAAGATGACGAGAGGAAAGAAAGCTGGGGAAAGAGTGTGTGGAGCGCCTCATCGTCAACATCGCAACGCAACCATTTCGGCCTCGGATCACATGCAAATTTCGCGGTCGCGTGACGTAACGGCAATACCAAAATGACGGTACCGTACCAGTCCCGCTGCGGTAAGAAGGGCCCGTCCCAGCCGCACGCCTGCGGTACGGCGAGCCTCGAGCCTCCCGAGGTCGGGTTGTCCGTTACAGCCCGTACAGTCGGTACCCTCGCACCTGCCAGATTGCATGGCTGCGTCTGCACAGCTGCATGGCTGTTGCTGCGCTGCTGCACTGCTGCTGGCCTCGAATGGGTCTGTGCTAGTTCGTCCATCCATCTCGGTCCTTCCCTCTTTTGGCCTCGCTATTCAGTCGACATCCGTGGTCCACCACCGCCCCGCAAATCCCTTGACTTCATACTCGATGATCTACCCCCTCCTGCCCCTGAATTCCTTCCAGGCGTTGCGGGGACTGCTGCCGCGTCCGGGACCGAGGCTCTTCGTCGTGCACCCGATGCTATACATACCCTATCCTGTTACACAGATCCACGGTTGATCATAGGCGACGCGCAAAGCAAAAAATAACCGATCGTGCACGGTCAAGGCTGCTGCTGCTCCCCACCCTCCCCCAAAGAGACCCTCTCTCGGTCCCGGACAATACTACCCAATTTTCGGGCAGTTGCGATTTTCTCGGTTGCCCACTCAAAAGTCTGTTGAATGAGATCTCTCCCCTGCCTGTCCCATTGGTGATTCCCCCAGAATCCTACCCTGATCCCGGCCTGAAAAAGACTTGGCACGCCGTTGAGCCGGCTGGGATGCTTATCCGCTTCCCCCGCGGATCAGGACATGGTTACCGGCGCGATGGATCCTGCCATCCAGCTGAGTCTCCGTGACAGCCATTTTAGGGCCCGGATCCTTAAACCGTAAGTGTCCCTGATCCCCTACCGATTGAACGGCCGTGGCAGCAACCGTGGGAAACATGCGTGAAAAAATAGAAACCGTTCGCTGACCCTGGTTCCAGTATACTTCGTGCATACGCTTTAGGATATCTCTCCGCGGTCACTCCCAAACTCGTCTCTTACGCCCGGCGATTCGGAAGGAGAGACTGGGACACATCTCAAAAACTTCGCGAGGTACGTTGCAAGTCGCTTTTTTGAGCAGCCCGCGAAATTATCCCCATCCCCGTGCTCAAATTACAGTCGCTCTGTGGTTGCGTCGAAACACCGCTCAGGCTGACCCTGAACCTTACAGCTGATCCATGTTCTGGCTGGGCCTCTGCGTGCCCACAGTTTCCCAACGTTTTGCGCTGCCTTGGTCGGAGGCTCAACTTTCCTCCCGGTGCTGTTGTATCGGGTCTGTGTCTCGTTCGTAGCTCGTCACGCAAAGGGTGACATCCGACTGTCCCTGCGCCTGCGTCGTTTGATCCAGTTCGTCACGGCATTCCTCTCGGCATGGTTCAGCTTCCAACTCTTGAATAAGACCCGGGGCATTTCACAGAATCATAACGACGCCAAAGCGTCCGCTGGCCAAGATGATGCGCCGGCCAATGCCCTCGAGCGGCCTCTACGCCCAGAGCTGGTCGGGAGGACAATGGACCTCACTCTTTTCACGGTCACAAGGGCTATAGACGTGATTTCCTGCATAGCATGGAGTCGTTGGCGCAATCATCGCAAATCACAGAACCGATGGACTTATGTGGAATCCCTGGCCCCTGGACTGGCAGACGCTGGGGCTTTTGCAACCAGTGCAGCTATAGTCATGTGGGCATGGTTTTATTTACCGGAAAGATTGCCACGGACGTACGAGAAATGGATTGGGGAGGTGGCCAAGGTCGACTCCCGCTTGATCGAGGCTCTACGCCGTGCTCGTCGAGGGGTCTTTGTATACGGCAAGGATACAGGCCAAGCGCCTCTTCTGGAAGCGATGTGCAGAGACTACAATTGGCCTGAGGAATGGGGAGACCCAGCCAAGACAGTCCCGATTCCGTGCGAAATGGTACACATGGACTGCGGTCCCAGTTGCGAGCTGCACGCGGTGTTCCGCTTTGCCAGAACCTTCAAATTTGCCTGTGCAACCTACATCCCATTGCAGATAGTTCTACGTTTACGGGGGATGAAGAGCCCTGCCGTCCTCACTCGGGCCATATCTGATGCCGCCCAGTCATCGGCCTTCCTGGCCTCCTTTGTGAGTCTTTTCTATTATGGCGTGTGCCTAGCCCGCACTCGAATTGGCCCCAAGGTGTTCGACCAGAAAACTATCACTCCACTCATGTGGGATTCCGGACTCTGTGTCGGGGCAGGGTGCCTCATGTGTGGTTGGAGCGTCCTGGTTGAAAAGGCGCGGAAGCGTCAAGAGCTGGCTCTATTCGTGGCACCCCGGGCAGCAGCCACAGTGTTGCCACGGTTGTATGATAAAAAGGTATGTTTAATCCTCGCCTCTGCCAACTTGCGTGGGTTACACACAGTCGAACTACCCTTCCAAGCATCGGCGGATCTTGGTCAACTTTCGGAACCGTCACGCGATTCTAACAGTACTTCCTTCCTGACAGTACCAGTACCGCGAACGCATCGCCTTTGCCATAAGTGCTGCTATTCTCCTGACCTGTCTTCGTGAAAGGCCAAGCATGGTCCGAGGAGTTTTCGGACGTATTACTGCTGGCGTTTTGAACTAGACTCTTCCCATTATGAGCAACTGACGACAGAGTTGCCCTGTCCTTTTGTATTATTATGATATTATTTGGTGGTGGAGGGATGGCTTGTTTTATCATTATTCTTCTAATATGTGTATCATCATACTTCTATTCAACGCCGGGAGTCGATTCGCCAAGCAACGAACTTATGTGTTCCGCATACTCCAAAATACCAATTGAAACATGATAAAATAATTTATGACGAGTGTTTTCCAGAAACAGCTCATAAATAATTGTTACTGGTATTATCTCGCGAGATGAGCGCCCCGAGACGTAGATGTGGGTGGGCAGGTTCCATTTAAGTCCTGGGTGGAATCTTGAGAGCGGCCCTAATACTGATGCCCGACATACCAAAAAAAAAGAATGGTTCCAGAGGGGGTCGAACCCTCGACTTTGGCGTTATTAGCACCACACTCTAACCAACTGAGTTATGGAACCAGCTTGTTGAAGACGATGGCTGATCAGTTTGACATATTAGACAGGACTTTTTAAGGTATCGAATGTCTACTATTTAAATAACGCAATGCCCTAAGGTAGCTCTTTGGGGTATTACAAAATACAATAAATGCTCCAAATTGCTTCTGATACTATTACGAGATGTATCCGACTGATAAATCAGTCAATGCTGGTAGAATAGATTTTAAGATTTCATGATAGAGTGACAGAGCACGTGATTATCGTCCGCTATAGGTGTGTGTGTCACGTGCCATTCATGCGAGCTAACCAATTGGTTATGTCGGGGCCGCATGATCGACGCCGCAATTCGACTCAAACCTCAAAACCATGTTTTCCAGGACTTTCCCCTCACTAGGGCGGTGTTCTCCGACAGGGAACATTCCGCAACGGCCTACGTATATTCACAAGGGACTTTTCCATGCAGAAAGGAGGTACTTCTCAAGGAATTCCTTCCTTCAAGAACGCCGCCATGCCTCCGCAGCACCGTTTAACACGCCGCAATCGCAGCAGCGCAACACCTCTACCATGTGAGTTAAGGTTTCTGAAATGTTTGAGAGCTAGTGAGCTGACTGGACTCTTGTTAGGTATTATACCATTAGTCTCATCCTCGGAACCGTCGCGCTTGCCTATGGATCGGTTCCCCTCTACAAAATGGTTCGCAGCACCCAAATATCCACCCAATTTACAGACAGACCTTTGGAACTGGAACTGACCTCTTTGTTCAATCGCAGATTTGCCAGCAAACCGGCTGGGGCGGCCAGCCCATCCTCACCCATCGTACCGGAGACGGCGATACTGCCTCGCGCGTGACTCCCGTTACAGACTCCCGCCGCCTCCGCATTACCTTTAACGGATCCGTTTCCGACGTGCTGCCTTGGAAGTTTACCCCACAGCAAAGAGAAGTGCGAGTGTTGCCTGGCGAGACCGCCTTGGCCTTCTACACGGCTACAAACAAAGGCCCGAATGATATCATTGGAGTCGCTACGTACAGCGTGACTCCGGGCCAAGTGGCGCCTTATTTCAGCAAGATTCAATGTTTCTGCTTCGAAGAACAGAAGCTCAATGCTGGAGAATCCGTGGATATGCCTGTTTTCTTCTACATCGATCCGGACTTTGCTACGGACCCGAACATGAAGGGAATTGACACCATCACTCTGTCATACACATTTTTCAGTGAGAGACTCTTTCCTACGAGAAGATTGATCTTGAACCCTGGACTGACACATAACAGAAGCGAGATATGACGACAATGGCGTTTTGAAGCCCATTCAATCATGATGTGCGGCTCGAAGATCCCAACCGCAAGCGACCTTTGAAAGTGGACTGCCACTGTTCAGCATTTGTGTTTCGTTACCATAGAAAGGAGCTCATAATTGCTCCGCATTGGACTTCCTCGACACCATCTCATCTCCTCAAGAATTGTGCCTGTATCATACAACTCGGAGTTATGGGGATCCTTCAGTTTTGATTGGAATGCAGTATTGTACATACAACGATGTAAAATTGTACTACTCCCGTCCGTCCTGTAACGAACTGTTTGGTTGAAATGCTACCCTCAAGTTTTTGTAGATATCAGACGATAGGAAACGAGTGCCGTGCACGGACCAACAATTAATTAGGCGCGCGTCGTACGCGTTCTCCCCAGCCCGCATTTTCCACTCAACCTCCAGCTACTTCCCACTCGGCATCCAGGACTACAATGGCGCTCCTCGTCGATAAGCTGCGTCCGCGGACGCTTGATTCGCTTTCATATCACCCCGAGCTCTCAGACCGCCTGCGGTCTTTGGTGAGTGTTGTACAACTGTCTTGGGTGCGAGTTGAGCTGATGCTAACGGACCGATTCTCTATAGGCCCAGAGCGGAGATTTCCCTCATCTTTTGGTCTATGGTCCATCTGGCGCGGGCAAAAAGACGCGCATTATCGCTACTCTGAAAGAACTGTACGGCCCGGGTGTGGAAAAGATCAAGATCGACGCCCGAGTTTTCCAAACCACCAGCAACCGCAAACTAGAATTTAACATCGTCTCTTCCGTCTACCACCTCGAGATTACTCCCGCCGATGTCGGAAACTACGACCGAGTCGTTATCCAGGAATTACTCAAAGAAGTGGCTCAGACGCAGCAGGTGGATCTGTCAGCGAAACAGCGGTTCAAGGTGGTCGTGATTAACGAAGCCGATCACCTCACGCGCGATGCCCAGGCCGCGCTGAGAAGAACAATGGAGAAATATAGTCCTAACCTCCGCTTGATTCTTTTGGCCAACAGCACATCCAACATTATTGCTCCGATTCGGTCGAGGACTTTGCTGGTCAGGGTTGCTGCACCTTCCGAAAACGATATCTGCTCTGCACTACGGATTGCTGCGAAGAAAGAGGGCTGGACTGAAGTTGATGGATTGAACAAGCGAATTGCGAAGGAGAGTGGACGTAATCTACGTCGGGCACTTCTCATGTTTGAGTCCATCTACGCGCAGAAGTGAGTGTTCAATTTCCCGCTGTTTGTGAATCCACAAATACTAACCGGTATGGCCCTGTAGTGAGAAAGTCACAGAAAAGACTTTGATTCCGCCCCCGGATTGGGAGGCTGTGATTCAAGTGACAGCCGATGACATTCTGGCAGATCGGTCACCCGCTCGTCTGTTGGAGGTGCGCACCCGCCTCTATGACCTTTTGACTCACTGCATTCCCCCGAGTACTATCCTCAAGGTAAGCAATTGGTCTTCACACATGCTGTGGATCATACGTGATATTGACGAATGTTCGTTCGCAGACTTTGACTTTCAAGCTTGTCGCGCGTGTCGACGATGCTCTCAAGCCTGATGTGATTAAGTGGTCTGCTTTCTATGAACACCGAATTAAGCTGGGAAGTGTGAGTGCTGGTACAAAACTGTCCGAAAATGTGATTTCGTTACTAACATGACTTAACCAATGTAGAAAGTAATCTTCCACCTCGAAGCCTTCGTGGCCAAATTCATGCGCATCTATGAAAGGTAGGTTCCTGAAACGTTCAATTCCAAGGCAAAACTAGCCACTAACTCTTGACAACTAGTTACTTGATGGGAATGGGCATCGATCTCTGAACCCCCAATACTTAAATAGCGCATGAATGACGATTGTACACTACCTGGGTAGAGTCTGTCTTGATGAGCCCCGAAGACTTGCTATTCGGTCAAGTTGCAGAGCTCGATTGCCCCTTGGACTCTTTACAGGCGCATGAAGGCATATAAATGACTTACGGATTTGGCGTTGAACTGGCATTTTCCCGGCTACCTTGAAACTTCTGGAAGTAGTAAAATGGATTCATATCAATCATAACACATCAAGATACATAACAACAGACCCATGACGAAATATTCTTGACGAAGTACGCGATCGACTCACTAAAGCATTATTGCGAGCAGTCCTGAGAGTGAGGTGGGCATCGAGGCGGAGGTCCCAGAAAGGTTGCCCCCCAGACCCTACGTCATCACATACCGTCACTCGACCACCTCCCAGAATATCTGCCGAGCACATAGCTGTCGATTCTCTGCTTGTGCAACTATTCTTGATTTATCTGAATACATCCAAGGATAACTAAAAGCAAAAACTATCAAAATGACCGACCCCAGACTAGTTGATATTGAACCTGGCGGGGAGAGTACTCAGTATGTGACTAGCAGGCTAAAGCAGCTTTCCCATGCATGAATATGTTCCTTCTAATACTCAAGAACAGATATGAGTCCATCCGCATATATACAGAACCACCAGCAAAACAGACTGGGCAGCTGGGCGGTAGGCTAGATAACCCGATACTCTTGCTACGGACATCGAAAGACGGCTAACAGGCCGCAGGCAAAGCAGCCCATACTGAAAGCAAAGTCGGCGGTAGCTCGGATGCCGCGAACGACTCTTCTGCAAGCGGTGATGAATATAACATGGCACAAAAGTTGGGAATGGGGATTTCCAAAGAATCCGAAGGTAAATGCAAAACATATCCTTGTGTCTAAACTCCGTATATAGAGACAAAATATCTTCTCGGGCAGTCCTGGGATTGGTGGCCACCGGAAGACAATAAAAGGCTGACAGTAATGTACAGAGGATCTGGAATTCGACACACCAGGCGATGCAGCAGCCGCAAAGGCCAGGAGACAGCAGGGGTATGGGCCTGGCTCCGGCGTCGGAGCTTAATTCAACAGAGGGTAACACGAGCGTTGGAAAACATGAAAACCGGTATCATGCTGGGTAGAGGTGGTTTATTGAGTGGAAGAGGTGCTGGAGGAGGCGCTTTGCGGCGGGTTCTGGAGATCGTTGGTTCCCAGAGGAGGGTTGCGGCGGGCGCGCTTGAGAGAGTCGAGAGTAACACCATTACCAAGTTTTGTGATTCCAACGACCGGCGGGTCGTCCTTCCGGACAAACTCCCAAAGGCCTGAAAGTTAATGATTAGTATGAGTTATATCAATCGACATTTTGTGCTGGAAGAGTTGATTCCAAACGTACCGGGCAGCTTGTGACCAGCCAATCTGAATGCCTCACGAGCGACCTTCTCGTGCAAATCTCCCTTCAGCTCGAAAACGACACGGCTCACGGGCAAGCGCACAGTCCAGTAATCGAATTTACCCTTACCCTTACCCATACGCTGTTCGTTACCCTTGGTGTACACACCAATGTTGGCGCTGACACGCTTGTAAAGCTTGTAGTTCATTCCTCGCAATCGTCGCTTGATGGTCTCCTCTGCAATCTTCAAAGCGGAGGCCGGCATCCGGCGGTCATGGTCCTTCATTCGGAGGCCAAAGTCTCCCCACACCACTGTTGTTCCGCGAGTTGATCCACCGGTAGCGACATGGGGGCGACCTTTCGGCGATTTCGACTTCTCGGCGAACTTCGGAGTGAGCCAGTCAAGGGCGGGAGAGGTAGTCGAGAAGGACCGCGCCAGAGAAAAGGTCGCCAGCGGACCCGACAGGCCTGTATCAAGAGAGTTAGTTTCGAGCCGCGGCGAACATTCCAATGTGAATAAAGATTCGTACAGGTTGGTCGGGTGCAGGCCGACAGGGGCCCCGCGAAAAGCTTCATCTGAGGACCCATTGTGACCGGGGGTAGCTGAATGTCAATGGGCGCGGACGGTGGTTCTTCTACGCAGGCCAGCGGCACTTTTCGGTGCCAACTCACTAATCCTGATCGGTACGAAAGTGGTCACGTGAGCGCGTTCATTAGTCATCCTGTCACGTCTCCCTGGCGCGTTACTCCGAGACGTGCGGCGACTTGGAACCGCGACCTGCGACTGTACTTCATCGCCCAATCGCGTTTCTCTTCTTTCTACGCCTTTGTAACTTGCAGGGCCGGAGAAACACACCATGCCCGATATCAGGAGCTTCTTCGGTGGCAAGCCCGCTCAAGGCTCCAGCGAGACCGCGAAGCCCGCGAAGATGGAAGTAAGTTCTGCTACCTTAATAGGGTCGCCTCTATGAAAGAAGCAGGCTTCTCTCACCTTCATCTTACTCTTGAATGTTGCTAACAAATCGGTTTCGCTATGCAGGATCCCTCCGCCGCAAGAAAGAAGCGTAGGATACTCAGCTCCACGCTGACAGCTTGAACACCGAATCTAATAATTGAACAGGTAACAGCAGGAAGGTGGTGGATGATAGTGATGAGGATGAGGAATTTGCACCCGCAAAGTCTGAGACCCCGAAGACCAAGTCAAAGAGCCAATCGTACGAATCCCGTTTTGTCCCACATCCGTGTCATTTGCAGTTTACTGACTGATATTGGTGTAGGAAACCTGAAGAACCCAAGGGAGAGCCCACGACAACCTCAGATTACTTCGCTTCTAGCAAGAAGAAAGGAAACCTGGCTAAGAGCTCTACGACAGCCGACCAAGCTCCCCCCAAAGCTGCCAGCCCGAAGAAGAATGTCGACGAAACCCCTGTGAAACCATCGCGAGCCGCCAAGAAGAACACAAGGGTCATTGAAGACGAAAAGCATGGCGGCGATGACATTTTCGCCTCGGAATATACGGCACGCGGCAAGGGCGACGACGACTATGTCGCTGGGGGGGACAGTGAGGACGACGGCGATGACTTCGAAGTTCTTGAAGTCAGGCCAGCCACTGCTGCTTCTAAGAAAACACAAAAAAAGAAGATAGCCAAGAATGAGGAAAACGAGGATGTTATCATGGAAGATCTGCCGAAGGCTGAACTCAAGCCACGGGCAGGTAGCAAGCGCAAGGCCGTCATCGACGAAGATGAAGACGAAGCTCCCCAGCCTGCCAAGAAGCGAGCACCAGCGACCAAGGCTCCTGCCTCTCCGGCCGCGAAGAAGAAGGCCAGTCCGAAGAAGAAGAAAGAATCAGAGCCCGAGAACCCACAGATCCAAGCCATCTTTGACAGCATTCCCTTGGTCACGGCACCCGAGCCTCCTGCACAGAATGACGACGAACCTCCCAAGAAATGGCCTTTTGGTGGTCAACGATCTCGCACTCCGCCTGTGTCTGGTACCAAGGATATACCCCAGGGCGAAGAAAACTGCTTGGCAGGGTTGACCTTCGTGTTTACCGGTGTATTGGAAACCCTGGGCCGAGATGAGGGCGCTGAGCTGGTCAAAAGATATGGTGGAAAGGTTACCGGTGCTCCTAGCTCCAAAACAAGCTTTGTCGTCTTGGGTGGTGACGCTGGACCGTCGAAGCTCAAGACCATCAAGAAATTCAATTTGAAGGCCATCAACGAAGACGGTCTTTTTGAGTTGATCCGTCGCCTGCCCCCGAATGGAGGTTCCGGGCAAGCCGCTGAAAAGCACAATGCTAAGAAAAAGGCCGAGGAGGAGAAGGTCAAGGCAATGGCAGCTGAAATTGACGCCGAGGAGAAGCGAAAGAAGAAAGAGAAGGCTCAAGCGGATGCACAGCAGACTTCCAAAAAGGGGGAGACTTCAAATCCTTCAAAGAAGTCGGATTACCCACCTCCTGTCGATGACCAACTCTGGACCACAAAGTATGCGCCTACAGCAGCTTCCATGATCTGCGGCAACAAGGCCGCCGTCGAGAAACTCCAGAACTGGCTACGAAACTGGCATAGAAATTCCAAGGTCGGATTTAAGAATGCAGGCAAAGATGGATCAGGCATTTACCGTGCCGTCATGATCCACGGACCTCCCGGAATTGGCAAAACCACAGCTGCGCACCTCATGGCAAAAGTCGAGGGGTTTGACATTGTGGAAACCAATGCCAGTGATACGAGAAGCAAGAAGCTCGTAGAGAATGGTACATTGGGTGTCCTCGACACAACTTCGTTGCAGGGCTACTTTGCGGGTGAAGGCAAGAAGGTCGAAAGTGCGAAGCGCAACCTTGTCTTGATCATGGATGAGGTTGATGGTATGTCTGCCGGTGACCGTGGCGGTGTTGGAGCCGTTGCTGCTATTGTTAAGAAAACCAATATTCCGATCATCCTTGTCTGCAATGAGCGAAGGCTGCCAAAAATGAAGCCATTCGACCACGTCACGTTTGAGATTCCGTTCCGACGTCCGACTGTTGAGCAGATCCGCGCACGACTATCCACAATCTGCTATCGAGAGGGACTCAAAATCCCGCCTCCCGTTTTGGATAGTCTGATTGAAGGAACACATGCCGATATTCGGCAGCTTATCAATATGCTCTACGCTGCCAAGCTTGACCAGGTGAATATGGATTTCGACAAGGGCAAGCAGATGTCAAAGGCATGGGAAAAGCACATCATTCTTAAGCCCTGGGACATTGTGAGCAAAATACTCAGCGCGCAGATGTTTTCCCCAAGCTCGACGAGTACCTTGAATGACAAGATCGAACTCTACTTCAACGACCACGAGTTTAGCTATCTCATGCTCCAAGAGAATTACCTCAGGACCAGACCCATTCTTGCCAATAACCACCACGGCCCAGAGCAAAGATTGAAAGCCCTCGAGCTTGCGGACAATGCGGCCTCGAGTATCAGTGATGGAGACCTTGTCGATCGCATGATCCACGGGACCCAACAGCAATGGAGTCTCATGCCGGCCCATGCGGTATTCAGCTTTGTCCGACCGGCTAGCTTCCAGTTTGGAAACAGCTATGAACGGCCCCAGTTCACAGCTTGGCTTGGACAAAACAGCAAGCAAGGTAAGTTTATATTCCCCATTTCCTCTTTTTTCAGCTTTATAGAATGCTAACGTCGGGGTAGGTAAAATGTCTCGCTACGTCAAGGAAATCCAGGGCCATATGCGTCTTCGCACTACCGGTAATCGTGATGAGATCCGGCAGCAATACATGCCCCTGGTATGGGAGAAGTCAGTCCGACAACTCCAAGATGTCGGCAAGGAGAGCGTGGATGAAGTGATTGATTTCATGGACTCCTATTATCTGACACGTGATGACTTCGATGCCATGATGGAATTAGGGCTTGGACCTATGGATCAGTCAAAGGTCAAGCTGGACACACAGACAAAGGCCACATTCACACGTCTCTACAACCAACGGTCTCACCCCATGCCATTCATGAAAGCCAGCAATGTAGTGGCGCCGAAGAAGGGCCCGAAAGAGAAGCCTGATATTGAAGACGCCATTGAAGAATCTGACGAAGAGGAGGTCGTCGAGGAAGCCAAGGATGACGAGGAAGAGTTGGATTTGAAGAAGGACAAGTATGTCAGTCAGCCTAAGAAGAAGGCTGCGCCCAAAGCGAAGAAAGGCAAGAAGGCCGCCGCTGCCGCCGAAGATGAGTTCATCGACGACAGCGAGGAGAAGCCGAAGAAGGGGCGCAAGGGGAAAGCCAAAGCTAAGGCGTAAAACCTTTTGTACAATAAACATTTCCCCTTTTCCCTCGGAGTTGGCCCTGAAAATTACGTGTTTATAATTTTTTTTTTTTCACGGTCGTCAGCACATCATATGCCAGCATTTGAACTTTTCAAACATGACTTTGCTAACACGTAGACGGAATAGCGTTCGAACATGGGGAATGGAAGAAAAGTGGGAAACGAAAGTCAGCATCATATGGCCATATTTCTCTCAGGTATTATTGTACCGAGTATGGAGAACAAGGCAGACAATAAAAGCTAATACTTCACTTGTCACCGCAAACAATTTACTCGCCAACTTCACGATCATCATCCCATCGTACCCACTTCATCACCGACCAACTTAGAGTGATCTGACGAATCTTCTTCCCCCAGAAGAAGAACGGGATCCAAAAGATGAGTACACCACCACAGATAGCCGCCATCTCGCCGTACGCCACATTGTAGCCATGCTTTTCAACCCACGGATTCGTGTAGAAGCCAAGCAGGAAGCCGAAAGCGGATTTGAAAGCTAGTTGGGTGACCACAATCTCGCCGGCGATGGGACGGTAGCTGTCGATTGTATATACAAGAGAGACATTAGTAGCCTGAGTGATGGTGAAATTGACTATATGCCAAACATGTCAGCGGGGTGCATGTTTCGTCTCGAAGGTTTATGATAAAGACTTACTCAACCCGATTCCAATAGTGGGAACAATCCAATGCATCTGCCACTTGATGCCACACCCATATAGAGCCAACGCCAACGGGCCCGTGATAGCACCCACCATAATAGCAGGGAGACGCATTTCCGGCTCACGAATACCGTTATTCCGTCGAGTGAAATAATCCGCAACCCAATCCGAGAAATGGCCACCTAGAACAATACCAAAAGCACATCCAATGATGGCGGCAACGAAGCAAAGACCCGACTGCCAGGCCTCAAAGCCGTAGGCCGTGGAAAATGCAGATGCAACATTCGACGTGATGGCGGTGATAAAACCAATCGTCACGGACATGACCAATGTCGCCCACAGCACAGGAGGGAGGATCAATAGCCCGACCGGCCGGATGGTCATTTGCCAGAGAGATTCGTGGGTATATTTGCCATGGTATAATCGCAGCCCCTGGATCCAGCCAGGGTTACTCTCGACCGTCGCGTCGTGTGAAGCAACTTCAACTTCCGAGGCACCAGCCACGCCGGCCTCTTCGCTCTTCACGCCACGTCTCACACGTTGCCCAGATGAAGTCAAGGTCGTGATAATGCCTGTTGGTGCGAAATTTCGTATATATGCTGTCTCGGGAAAGGTGCCGTAAACGATCAAGGTAACGAAACCAATCAAGGCAATGGCGACATAGTAGATATAGCGCCATGGATGGAATTTGACGATGAAGCCGTCGACAATGGCGCCTGATGCGACGCCGAGATTGAGCGAGGCATTATATAGCCTATGTGATCAAACGTTTAGCAGGAAGTTTATAAAAATTTGAAATGTGCCAACTTACGCAGTAATTGTCCCACGCTCATGCAGGAAGAAGATATCGGCGATGGTGATTGGGGCTAAACATTCACCTGCCCCCGCCGCGATACCCATCACAATGCGAGCGACGAGGAAATTGGCGTACTCTTTCGCCACCGCGCACCAAATGGCTGTGATGGTATAGATCGTAAAGGCGGTTACATAGATAGGGCGACGGCCGTATTTGTTGATCAGCGGCATCCAGAGTAGATTGCCCAGACCTTGGAAGAGAGCAGTGCAATTGAAGAAGTAGGCGGTCTTTGCGATCGGTCCTGACATGCCGGTCTCTTTCCAATTGGGGAAGAAATCCTGTGCCGTTTGTAGGATGGCCAGTGTTGGACCAGCCGCGAGGAAGTTGCATAGGATCATGGCGAAGCAGACGGCCACTGCGGTGTATAGTTTGAACCATCTTGGCCTAGAGAGTAGGCCATCATATTAATGTCAGGACTCCGACAAACCAAAAATCAAGCGGGAGAAGCGCCTACCAATTAAGAGGATCCTTGGGATCACTCGAAGGCGTCGGCACCAAAATCACCTCATTCGTATCTTTGTCGCGCAGCCGCAGATGGCCCAACGTCTTCATCTGAGCACCCTCGATCTCCACCAGGCGGGCGCCGGAGCGCTGGGTGACGCTCGTCTCCGACATGAGATCGGAGTAGATTGCCTGTAGAGTGAGTGACGATCCTGGGCAGAGCACGCGCTATATAGCGGCGTGCCCAGACGCCAGGCGTCGCGAATAACAAGCGGGGCCCACGTTGTCGCAGAATCTGGGGAAACTGCCAGTGTTGAGGCCCACTTCCCGGGCATCTGGCCCCTGGCAATGCAGCCAATGATCGTGGAATGATGATTATTCAGTGGACTTCGGTGGAGGGTATCGTGACGGACAGTTATGTCTCTTTCGTTGGTTAATTTTCTCAAGAAAAGAGACAAACTTGACGCGACGGCCAGCAATTTCGAATCGGCAATGGCCAAGATCGTTGAGTGGTGATCGCCCCCGCATAGAGCGATGCATGGAACTGCCACTAGTCGGCGCATCTCGGTCTGCGACCAAGAGAAGTGGAGGGACACTCCCGACATCCTTGGATTGCGTGGACACAGTGCCCTGTGGCGGACGACGGCCAATAACCCCGCGCAGAGTCACAGGCTGATCGGGGCTGGAACTGTGGTCACAGTTTGCAGCTAAGCTCACCGAAGCTTTGGAAAGTCTGCTGAGCTCGGCTCCAACTCTTCTCTCTTAGTGCAGGACATCGAATGCGCAGGGAGGGGGAGCTGGGCCAGTTGGTGGAGATGCTCAAGTGAGAACTGCTTCAAAAAGGACGGAGGTTGTCCCCGCGCTTTCAAGTTGGTGTCATGTGGCCGATCCTCAAATGGTCTGCACTGTACATTGTATGTGTCTGGCTTGCGGATTGTGAAGTAAAACGGAAACATCTGTTCTTATGAAGATTACTGCATCCTCGTACTCTACTGTCCTGAGGTATCTGAAATATCTGAGCGATTGCTGATGCATAGTCGAGCATGCTTGTTATGAAATAGTCTATTTAATACTCTTAAAAGTACCATTGCAAGCAGCGCTAGTTTTCCAGAGGCACGCGGAGAGAGCAGAAGAAAAGATTCAAAGGTTTATTGGACTATCGCAAAATGGCACTCGACTAGAAAATTGATAAATGAAAGAAGCACTGCCTATTGCTAGTAATGTTACTATCGACGCTGGAATCGCCAGTGTGGCCCGCCGGGCGTGACAAAATTGAGCAGATACGCGGCCGGCGAGTCTTCCTTCTCGCACATTTCTCGGCAGCGCTCTGCCTCGGCGGTCGCCCTCCAATTCTTGCTGGCTCTGCTCGTCAATGCCTTAAGTTTCAGCAGGGTGAATTGTTTCAGTCGGCGGATCTCGAGCTCAACCAGCGACTTCTCGATATTGACAGCCTTCGCCTTCTCGCGCGTCTCAGCCTCCGAGGTGTGGAAATGGTCGATCAGTTTGCGAACCAGCCCTGCTCGATATGCATCATTAGCGCCATCTGCGTCCCCAAACCGGTTCTTCATATACTCCAGGTGGTCCGGACTCTGGATCAACAGATACAGACAGGTCGAAGCCTGGCCCGTGTTGTGTGTGAGGGCCAGATCGATCGGTGATTCATACACCCTCTTCGGGTCCTGGCTATCCCAGACATTCTGTGGTCGCTGCGCAGGACGGACGAACCACTCGACCATGTCGACCCGGTCTCTTTTGATGGCCTCGTATAGCGGAATCCGGCCGCCGGCTGCATCGCCCGGGTGGTACTTGGAACGGCGAGCAAAATCGTCAAAGAGGGTCTCGCCAATTGGGTTTTGGCAAAGCGCATGCCACACCGTTCCTTCTTCCTCGTCATCGGCATGAACATGGGCATCTGCAAGCTCGATACCATACCTCCGCGCCCATTCCACTATGGCCTTATCCGCCCGCCGGCACAATTCATACCCAACATTACCCTGAAGCATCGTCGAAATACGGTCATCCACGTCCGGATTGCAGTGTTCATGCCGGTTAGTGAGGAGAGCGAGCGTCTCCGTGAAAACCCTAGCAATCTGAAGGATCGGCTTTCCATGATTGAAGCGATTGTCGACCGTGGACGGCGCCATGGGGCCCAATTTATTGTCGATCTGGCGTCCGATGAAGAGCTCGAGGATCTCGCGATACGGAACAAGGTCGGCACCTTTGTAGTCCGCCTGCATGGCGAGAATCTCACTCGCAATCGCGATCGAAGTCATAGCATATCCCGTGCAGTTATACTCCGGATCGCCGCCCTCCACGCCACCGGGCAAGAGACCATTCTCCTCCATGGAGTAAAGACAGTCAACACACCCATCGATAATGGCACCAGTGATGGCATCGGGAAAACAGGAATTCGTTGCACATCTCCAATCTCCATCCAGAGGGCAGCTTCGAGCAGACCGATCAGGTATTTTGGCAAACCCTTCCATGTCCATTCGAAAGCGATGCTGGGCATTCCGACCATCTATCTCGCCCCGAACCCACCGCTTGGCAAACCTCGATGCCCGAGGGTAGTCATGCGGAATGGGTTTTGAATCGTCCGGGGACCGGCGTGGCGAAAACTACAGTAATCTCGATGTTGGGGAGGACCATATTATCAAAACTTCTCCATCAGCGTCCGGCGCATTATGACCCGATTTGGCGCTTCCTCCAGCTTGAGAAGCTGGCTCGGCAGGTAACGGTTGTCATTATAGGTCGGCATCGTGGATTTTTTGCATCAATAGTTACCAGCGGAGCGGAAATACGAAAGAAACGTGAGCAATGTTGTCACTGAAAATATGAGTCATCCTCCTTATATTCTGCAAGACAAAGAGATGTTTGTACTGGTATCTGCCCCCAGGGCTTCCCAAAGGATCGAGCGAACGGACATTTGGGGAGAGGTGGGGGGCGCTCATTGAGCGATGTGAAAGAAAGTTTGAATCAGCGTGGCATAGTTGATAATAGGGGAGGCCTATTCTTTGACCTCGAAGTTAAATACTTTCTAAACTGATAGTTCCTATGGTGTCGGTGTCGATTTCTTTCGTAAACTCCCATGCCGGTCGAGTTGGATTCTCTCACACCTCATACGCTAAAATCACAGTTGTTGACACGAAGAACCTAGAATGGAATTCAGAGGGGAAGGCACGTAAATGACTCTCCCTTGCTTTTTAAAAAGAACGCTTTCCGACAATAATGCTGAATTCTGGAATAGCCCTGCATGTCAAGCTACGGATTCCATGATGTGCTAGATGCTTGACATCCTTCTGATCCCCACTGTCATTTACCATTCGATAAATTAAATTTTGAAGAACTTCTGATGCTGTTTTCTTGTTTATGATAACCTGACTACCCTCTTCTCGATGAAGAATGGTCGAATGATAGGATACTTTGGCGATGACTTTATGATTTTTCTTGTGTCACTGTGACATCCTTGGACTCGGACGCCATTTTTTCAGTCTCGCATTAAAGTGCCAATTAAAGCGTACTACTTACGTTATAATGTTCGTACAGGTGCAACAATAGCGAGGCCCATTGTCCATATTCGCAGTGTCTACTCTAAATTTTGCATGTCTTCGTATTTACTGACTGTACAAGAGGTGTGGCTGCAAGCCTTGAAAGCGCTCGATGGTTGGGATAACAGATGGCTTACAAGAACTTCCAACTCTCCATGGTAGTCATCTCGGAACTCTTCCTCTAATTCACTCTTGTGGCTCTTCTTGGAATAGACGCTCATTTTAAACTCCTTGCATCAAATGGCCCGTGTTATTTACAATTCCACTCCACCCCTGTCGACCGTTCCATCTCTCATCATTCAACCTCGTTATATCTCTTGCAGTTCCGAGCTCTCGCGAGTTCGCAGGTGTTGCTATCACCTTCGACATAACTACTAATGACTTCTCCACAGTTTGATCCACCTCATACCATGTCCATGCGAGCCTTAAGCGATTCCTCGACTCGAGACAAGGAGAAGAACGCGTCGCTGGAGCATAACGAGACCCTAAACCTAGCTGAAGGTGGGCACGATGATATCCAGCTTCAGCGTCTGGGCAAGAAACCCGTCCTCAAGGTAAGACTTTACACAGTTTATTTCCTTCATTTACTGACATCACTTCTGTACAGCGAAATTGGGGTATCCTTTCCGTGGTTGGGCTCGCTTGCACGATTCTCGGGACCTGGGAGGGTTTACTTGCGTAAGATATCTGATCCAAGTCATTATCGCTGCCGCTCACTAACTGAGGAGCTTCAAGGACGTTTATTCTTTCTTTGACCAAGTTCGACTCCCTTCTCATCTTCCTTGAGTCCCGTTCGTGGTTCGCTTAACAATTGCTAGTGGAGGCCCGGCAGGCGCAGTGTACGGCTACATCTTCGTATGGGTGGGAACCGCGGGTTGCTTCACTGTTTTGGCAGAACTGGCTTCAATGTTAGTCCTATCCCATCAAGGACAGAAACCGCAACACTAACCTCGGCTGTTTTGCAGGGCACCCACTTCTGGCGGACAGTATCACTGGTGCGCGATGCTTGCTCCAAAGCAGTACAGGAATCTGCTCAGCTATATCACAGGCAAGTCCTCCATTCTTTTATCAGCGCACCAGTTTTACGCACTCTCTCATCATTGAAACTCAGGATGGCTCTCGGTTGTTGGCTGGCAAGCAGCCTTCGCATCGGGCGCTTTTCTCTTCGGAACACAAGTCCAGGGAGCATCAGCTCTAGCTCATGAGGCCTACGATCCGAAGGCATATCAAGGAACACTCCTCATGTGGGCCTTTTTATGCATCGTACTGATCACGAATATGGTAGGTGGTAAATTCCTGCCACGATTGGAGAGCGGACTCCTGTGTTTCCACATAGTGGGCCTTTTCGGCATCATCATCCCTTTGCTGGTGCGAGCAGAACACAAGTCAAAGGAGCAAGTCTTCAAGGAGTTTCTGAACGGCGGCGAGTTCCCAACCCAGGGTCTTTCTTGGTTCGTGGGCCTATCCGGCGCGGCGTTTGCGTTCGCTGGCGGAGATGCCTCTGTACATGTAAGTGGCTTCCAGTGTGCATCACCAATGGCCCAGATCGACTCGACTCACAGTCACAGCTAGCAGAAGAATGCTCGAATGCTGAGATTGCCATCCCGAGGGCCATGATGCTCACAGTAGTGATCAACGGATGCCTTGGATTCGGTATGTTACTCACCATGCTTTTCTGCAGCGGCAATATTCAGGATGCGCTGGCCTCGCGAAGCGGATACCCTTTCATGGAAATATTCGTTCAGGGAACTCATTCGATGGGCGGTGCGCTGGCCATGACCTCGGTCTATCTCTTTGCGGCAGGCTGCTCGATCTTTGGGATGCTGGCTGCGACATCTCGTCAATTCTGGTCGTTTTCTCGAGACAAGGGAGTGCCTGGATGGAAGTTGTGGTCCAGAGTGAGTGCTTTCATCGTGAACGTCTGAACTACGCATCAGCCTCTGACTGGCCTCTTGCATTTTAGGTCAACTCCAGGCATCTCCCGCTATATTCCACCGTTCTCACTGTCATCGTGTCGGCCCTTCTGGGGTTGATCAACCTCGGCTCCAAGCTTGCACTGGAAGACATCCTCTCAATGGCAGTCTCCGGCCTATACTCTTCGTACCTGATAGTGGCAATATTGCTTCTTTATCGACGGTGCAAAGGTGACATTTACCGCTATGGAGACGGAGATGGTATGCAGATCAACGTGCCTGGAGCTCGGCTGGTCTGGGGTCCTTTCCATGTGCCGGGAATTGCTGGAATAATTCTCAACGGGTATACGGTCATGTACATGACTATCGTGGTTTTCTTTAGCTTCTGGCCGTCGGCAATGCGTCCTGAAGTTGATTCGATGAATTATAGTGTCGTGGGGACTTGCGGCGTCGTGGCTTTGGCTGTGCTGTACTATGTTGTGTGTGCGCGACATAGTTACCAGGGTCCTATCATGGAAGTTCAGACTTGACTTGGATTCCAATATGTAGTTTGGCTTCTTTTTAGGCCCCTAAGCTCTGGATTATTCAAATATTTTACTTCCACAGTTACTTTCTGGGGGATTGCAATGGTCTACCTAGTGTAGTGGGGAGATCACCCCCACTACCATCTAGGCTATGTGATGCAGCAGGTCGTATACGGTGGCCGTCTAGCTAGTTCTAGAATACAGCTTCTTACACCTCCCCGAACTAACCCATACATTTGGGCTTCTCGCTATTTTCTGATAGCTACGCGTGTGTTTCGTGGTGGTTTTTCTGCTGAAACGACCCGCACGTCTCAGTGCATGCTACCCTCGAACGTTCCCCTCTTCATATGGTGACCGACGCAGGGGGCGACTAGTTTTCTGGGTGTTTGAACACGCAGGAAATCAACGCGACGGGCGAGAAGTGTGGAAATCGCGAGAATCGGCGAAAGGAAAGTTGTGTCCGGGGTGGGCGAGCGCGTTAACCCTGGAAGTCATCGGAATTCCGGCATCCACTGGTATTATTGGTACGTATTATTGGTTTTTGAGCATGTGATACTTATTGGGGCCTTATATGAGGAGAGGCGCCCTTTTGTTATTTGCGATTAAATCCCTACATTGTTCTGGGGGGGGGGGGGGGGGGGGAAATGAAATTTTCGAGGTCGGTATGATTGGCAAGGAATTCAAGATGGGATTCCGGCAGAGCGAGTACCAGCACTACTGCGAATGCTGCTTGTAGATTGGCTACACAGGAGAGCTGACGTTCAGTCAGTACTGTGTATGAGACCGACTAATTTACACAAGCTGGCAGAGAAGATCTGGCCAAGCATCTGCAACCTTTGTATTTCAAGTGTGAACATAGTGTTCGCCCAAGTTGTCGTTCAGTTTTTACTTCAGAATTGTGCTTTTCGGCCGAAAATATCGAGGTTTTCGTATTGTTTGTTTCCCCCTGGTCTTCAGATTGACCAGGAAGAGTTCTGTTTTCCTACTACTGGTACTCCTCGTGTGAGCGAGTCAGAGCAGTCTTTGACCTAATTTCTTCTGTTGATTCTGTTGATCGTGTTGATCGGAAGGCTGTCACAGTGGGTGACAGCACTGATGTTAAAAATAGCCACAGCCATACCCAGCATGTCGTCCAGGCCGATGTTCCCTCAGCCTTTGAAGGCTACCGAGAGCCTCTTCGCCCAGAGAGTGAAGCGTCTGCCAACCAGACACAGAGAACCTATTTGCCTAACACGAGTGAGCAACAATCGCGACCACTACCCCCATTCCCATCCTCTGCCTATCAGGCAATGCCACCACCAGAGGGATGTGGATACCAAGTGATATGTTTCAAGTGATGATGAACCGCCAGGGCAATGTTCTGATGCCAGATCCTGGTACACCTGGCGGCCCATTATATAATTGGAAATATGCCAGAAAGTTCCTTCGGAACGTTGAGAAGTGATGTGAAAGGCGTGGTATCAGCGATCCTGCTAGGCAGTGTGAGCTGTTTGCCGATTATTGTGAGGACTCTATCCAGTCGTGGGAGGAGTATGACCCGCTGTGGAAATCTCGTGATTGGGAAGCGTTTAAGGACATATTCTGTGATCGATACAAAGATTACGACTCTGAGCGCCAGAGGTTTTCGAGGGCGTCATTGATGAAGTTAGTGAATCAATCAAGAGACACCATTGATGAGCGGCTCAAGCACTATATTTATGGGACTTGGAAAGGATCTCGATGTGACAAAGGAAAAGCTTGAGGAAGTCGCTGACGTGCTGAGAGCGATCGAAGACGATCTGGATGAGATCCTTTAGAGTCGTTGAGTATTCTCATGTCCTAAATCTGCCTAAGCCCGCATTCTTATGTATTTTTGGTATTTGCGACCGTAAGGGATACCAGTGACCGGCTCAGTGGCTCAAAGGGTCCGGAGAACGCGGTCCCAGGACTCATCAGGTCTCGTGATTTTTGGGGTTCTATGAATACCTATATCTATCCCCAAGGGCCAGAGGCCCCGGGCGTTCATGGGTCTCCAAGAAAATGTAGAGTGGAATTATCGTTTCCGTCTTGCAAACCTGACGGAACAGCCTATATTCATTCGAAAGAAAAATCTATACATCAATAACTAGTGAGAACTAGAAAAGCAGCTTCTCTGGCAACTAACGCTCCAGGAGCATTGAGAGACGTCTGATACAAATATCCCGTTTAGAAAATGAAGCTAGTATAATGGAGAACTTCCCATGAGACTACGTTTTGTTCTTCTCTGGTAAACAGAACCTGCCTTATTCGAAATTTTTTCAAATATCTCCCCCTCCTCTCGGAAAGATCTCTTTTATTCCATAATTCGAAATGATCTTCTTTGCTTACGAAAACCAGTGTTCTTTTGCCTTCGTGGTCGAATCCTTTCACCAATCGCCATTCCCGCCTCAGGCTCCAATCCTTCGAGAATATCTCTTTGTCCAATCCCGTTTGCGGAAGCCCACGGGATGTTCGAGGTTTGAAACTGCCTGTCTCTTTTTCCCGTCTAAGTTGTTTGAAACAAAATGAGCCAAGTCTACAGCTAGACCGCGAATGTTGACTAACAGATGAAAGACTAAATGGAACTCTTCATTCCGGTAATTAAATGGTTCATTATTTCCCTCAAATAGGTCATATAACCTTCAATAATTTATGAGGGCGTAGGCTAAAACTTAGTTCTTAAAGCATCTGGATGTCACTCCCTTAAAGATTCAATGAGGTTGAGCTTCCAAGTCCGAGCAGGAGGCCCAATAAATAGTTGTATCATAACTACGAAAATTTGGTCATGCTGAGTACCACTCTTATTCACGCTTTCACTTATGAATAAATTCCCCATCGCATTCGGAGTCCGTCATATTCATTTAGCCTAAAGCCGCACATTTTGACTTAATTTGACGATCTGCTATCCTTCGAACGGGTGGTCGACTTCAGTCGGTGTCTGCATTCATGGTTTGCGCATTGTCCTAACAAATGGTCGCGTAATTTTTGTCCAGAATTTCCTCCGGTAGTTAATACGGGCAAAACTTCCGAGTATTTTTTTTCCGAATCTTATGCGACTTTGCTGTTGTTCAATTATGCAGAATAACAGTACGTAAAAGCAGCTGATCGTCGTATTCCAATTGTTATCCTTTCCTTGCCGCCATGCAGAGGTCTTTCAATTCAGCACTCTCAGTTCAACACTCTCAATTCCGCACCCTCAATTTAGCATCCTTAGTTCAGTGTTCGATATACTACGAGCACAAAAGTTCAAATCGTCGAGGTGTATATCTAGTGACATGCACATCAAAAGTGGCTTGACTTGCCCGCTATCGAAGAAAGAGCAGATTCAAATGAACAAACTAAATACGCAAAATTTGATATAAATATACCGAAATACCCTCAACTGCCTGAAAAATCTTTGTTGAATTAGGATGACGAGAGCCAAAGTTTGATCATCTTGGAACAGGCACAGGTAGAGTTGGTTACTGCCGAGGTTATAACCAAACTGATCAACCCCAGCAGTAGAATCTGACCCTTATTTCCGGCGACAGAATCACTGGGGAGATTTTCGAACTATGCTACTGATACTCGTAAACCTACTATTCCAAGCCTCCCACGTACTCGGCAACCCGGGTCGTGGATATCGTTCTGTCAATCTATATAACCATTGTACCATGGTTCTTTATGCGAAAGGGATACAGCAATTCGAGTACCTGAACACACAAATCCAGCCGTTAACGAACCTTTCAACATAATTCTGGGAGTCACTTGATTGAAAATCACCACGCAATAAGAGACTAGTGTCGTTCTACAACTGGAATACAGTGCGTTTTTCGAGCCAAAAGACACTTGCTACCCCACTGAACAAAACTACTGGGATATATCTAAAATAAACGGAGATCCACTAATCCAGTGTGGGATTAAAGTGATACCATCTTATCTTTACTGTACTGCTGTTAGCTGCCCAGCTGGAGTCACAGATTGCGAATTTGTATACTACAAGCCGGACGCGAAAAAATTCGTAAGGGAGTGTGATAGCCGATCTGATTTGAATGTACATCTCTGTCTTTCAGATTAATTCCCTGTACCATATCCATGTCTCACATCTGTGACCTATTGTCCAGTGTGCAAAAGTGTAGGTATGGGGTCCTCTATAGCAAGTCTATTGGCTTTTGGTACGTACTCAAATACTGTTACTGACAGCTCCGACCAGGAACAATATATATTTGTAACAATTTGGCAAACTCTTGTATGAAAGCCCTGGAGACATTCCAGTCTGTCACAGCATTGCCTTTCATATAATCCTTGGACTCTGAGAAGCCCTGGCAATTTCCCGTTACAGTGGCTACCGCTTTCATCTTCCATGTCGGACAACAAAAATGATCTCTACAAGCTCAATCGCAGGATGCGGTTAGCCTGATATATTCGTGGAATCTTTTTGCGTGACTTCTTAATTCCATCCGATGCAGTCAGAGGGCAGCCTCGGTTGAAAAGTATAAAAAATATCGCTTCGGGAACTAAGGCTGTGCTCCTGGGGCCAGTGAACGGTTCCTGCCAGACTACAAGCTTTATATATCAGCTTGGGTGTTTGGTCGCAGACTAACCATTTTGTCATTTTGGTCCGTTGGCGTAGTGGTACTACCCAAGCAACTAGGATTCCTCGGGTTCCCAGATAAAACGTAGACTTGGGAGCTCCATCTAAATTGAGCCTCGTAGGTACAAAGATTGCCCTAGGAAGTATATAGTGGCTCCTAGGGGGCAACACTCCTAGGTCCTGATTGGGTCCTAAGATCTCTCGTATCCACCATAGGGGAACCCAAAAACTACTACACCCCGAGATTCTTCTCAAACCCTCTTTCAAAACATCACTATGCCTATTACACTTAATCTGCCCCTGAATCCCTTTCGTGGAGGTATTCCAGTACACTTGTAAACAGCGACACAAAAATGGCTTTTTTTTTTGGCCTGTATGGCATCCAGAGCTTCTAGAACGTTGATCCTGCAGGCAAGCCAAACCAATCAGCCTTATAAGCAATTAAATTTAATGATCCTGATCGAAATTAATACCAATATCTAGAAAAGTTGGCGAGAAAAGTTCTCCGGGTTCGAAGTTGCAGCATCCCTAGCTACGTGTGGCCCAGACATTCCAACGCCACAGGAATCTATTCCTCACATTCCTCTGCTGTTGACACCGCTACAGTACATATTGGGTTGAAATTTATCGAAGAAATGGGACTTCAAAGAATATAGACCAGACGGAGTCTGGGGTACAAAAGAGACGAATCCATTCCACCAACTAGCGGTATCTGTCACAATTATCCGGTTAACATTCTCCGTCCGATATTAGCCATGTTTCATGTCAGGGGCCTCGCAGGTTACCTATTTCTATCCTTGGGTGGCCTTCTGTCTTCTCCCTCACAGGCTGATTCGGTTGGGACTCCGCTTTGGCAAGCCCCGGTTCTGAACGAAGTCAATGCTTATGCTCGTGTAATCGAGCTCCAACATGCTGGTGATCAAAATGGTAAACTGGTGGCAACCTGGGAACATTGGTATACCACGGCTCCAGGGTCGACAACACTGGAGGACTTTCCGGCTGAGATCATAATTCGCGAGAGTGGCGACGGAGGGAAGTCATGGTCAACTTTGGCGACTATCAACGAAACCAGCGGGGTTTCATATAGTGCGTTCTGGCAGCCAGCTCTTTTCGAGTTTCCTCATCGCCTTGGGAACTACCCGGCAGGCACTTTGCTTTTAGTGGGCAACCTTGTCCCAGCCGATATCTCGTCGACCAACTTTTTCGCTTGGCGATCCCAGGATCATGGTGAAACATGGGACCCCGTGGGAATTTGGCAGCAGGGCAGTATAGGAAAGGGTATTTGGGAACCTTTTCTGTTCTTGGACAACGAAGGACGACTTGTGGCACTTTTTTCAGACGAACGAGACCATGAGAACCACTCACAAATGGTAGTTCACGTCGTGTCCGAAGACGGCGGTGACACCTGGGGCGATGTTGTTCGAGATATTGCTAGTCCGAACAAAGAAGATCGTGCTGGGATGGCCACAGTTGCCAAGATGGACAATGGAGAATATATCATGAGCTATGAGTTATGCGGATTTCCCAACTGCCCTTCTCGTTGGAAGACCTCCACAGACGGTGTTAACTGGAATGCAAATGATCTGGGCACACAAGTCTCCACCTCCGACAGCCTCTATGCTGGAGCAAGCCCCTACATTGTCTGGGATAGCCCAGCCAAGCAACTGGTGATGGCCACACGAGAAATCTGGTACAACGCTGCTGCTGATGAGATTGCCCCCGAGCAACGTCGTGCAGTCTTCACAAACAAGAACTACGGCCGCGGGGCATGGCTCTGGTCTCCGTCTCCATGGCGTGTCAGCGAAGATACAGCAAACTGTTCCTCGGCCAATTACAGTCCTAACTTGCTGCCAATTGCGGATGGAATTATACGATACACGGCCCCGACATCCATGGATTCCGCACGCCCTTGTTCGGAAGCAACGGGCGAAGCACCTATCGGAATTTTGCCCTATGAAGCAGATTTCAGGACCAAAGGTGATGCAGGTTGGATTGACTTGGAGGGAAGTTGGTCCGTGTTGGGCGACCAGTACAGCTTCGCGTCTGTTTCGGACAACGATGCAATTGCTTTGACAGGTTCCTCTGGGTGGTCGGACTACACTATCGAGGCCAATGTCAAGGTCTCAGATTCCCACTCGCAAGCTGGGCTCGCTGCGCGGGTCTCTGCCTCGACCACTGCCCCGGGCGCGTGGAAAGGATATTCAGCCGTCATTGATGCTGGCAGCGGCAAAGTGACCCTCTTCCAGCATGATGACAGTATCACTGTATTGCATTCGGAGGATCATTTTCTAGGTATCCTGGAAGACAAGTGGTACTACATGACTATTGCTGTGGATTCTCAGAGCATCACGGTGACTTTGTGCGACGAATCTGGCCTTTTCAACACCCATTTCACCGCTGAGGCTGATACCTTTCCGCAAGGAATGGCGGGATTATTTGGAAATAATGGATCTGGTTCCTTCAGAAAGGTTCGAATCCTGTAATTCGATGACTGAATAGTGTCTCGATCCAGTAGTGGAAAGAAGACGTTTTCGAGACATCTCATCAACAAAAAGTGTACGGAGATTACTTAATATTAGCTACCTATGTGTCTAACCTCAACTCAACAGCTTCCAATACACCTATATGCGTTTCACATTCAGATCTCCGTATAGTTTATGCAGCTTTGGTTGCTCTCTAGTCACGCATAACAGCTGCCGTGATAATCTTCAACTGAGCCCTTTGTCCTCTCTTCTATCTAGATAGGCAGACTTTGGCGCTGTCGGTTACTTCGCTAGTGACATCGCTCGCGTAAGATTGGCTTATATATTCTATATCTATAAATGATATTAGTTGGCCTTCTTCATTTAAAGAGCGTCTGAGCGGAGCCAGCTGCTTAGAAACATGATTATAAGGTTAGGGAGCATCTTCCGTACGTGGAATAGGAGTCGTGAGAGACCTATCAGATGGTCTATTTTCATCTCCTGCTCAATCATAGAGCCTTTAGAGAAGTTTCCTTCTGTGGGCATCTGATCCCAAGTTTGACCTGCTCGTTCTTTGTCAATAGGAAGGGGCTCGAGAATTCTTAGATCAAGGACCCCTTCTGCACCCGGGGTTATTAGCTACGAGCTAGATGGAGAAGACTTATTCAGAAAGCAAGACAAAACTAAGCCGCCTGTGCCGTCTTCCGTTAGATTACTGCCCATAAGTAGATAGCAAATTCACCCAGGTTGCTCCTCAATGAAGTCACTTAACGTTAAGGTGGGCAAAAAGAAGCTCTTTTATATTCGTGTCGTGGGGGAGGATAACGATAGAAGCAGAATTTCTTCAAGGTCTTCTCCTCAATTTCTGAGATTGAACTCGATATTCTGGCTTTGAGGTATGTTTTCGTTTCCTCGGAGGTCTTAGATTTAAACCATATAGCTTTGTTCAGCCTGTGTGTATCATGCAGATGATGCCGAAGACCGCGCTCATTGACAAAGTTCAATCACATCCACAGACTGGCCTCGCGCCATGTTTCTGCTCTCCCAGCATATGCTCATCTTCAATGTGTTTCTTCAGATTGTTGCTTCTGAGCCACTGGTATAATCGGTCTTCCGCAGCGAGGTTTTTGTTCCATAAGCAAAAGGGACAGTAACCGGGGCGGGTCACTGTGTGGCGGTACACTATTACTTCACAGTGGTGTACTCCACGACTGAAGATTGGAGTTACAATGATCTCGCCATTGATTAAGATGCATCCACTTCATGCACTCGTAACAGAAGCGTATTTTTTATTCCGAACCATGGAGATCAAATGCTATCTCTCGCCTGATACATTCATGGATGTGAGCACTCCTTTCGGATTTTTTGAGACTGACAAAGTTAGCTGGTAATTTAGCACTATGTAAGCGGATCACTTACCTTCCAATAAGAATTTGGCACTCCCTCGCGGGGCAGAACCCATCAAACGGGATCTTCACCTGGGAGATACACGACGTCAAAATCACGCCCACACTGGATTATGAGATCTTGCACAAAAAGAAGCATTTCTTCGAAGGTGAGTTCTTGATCACAAGTCAACACTGTTGCGATTCGAGCAATCTCTAGCATAACCAAAGCTTGGGTGCGTGTGCAGACGTCATTTTCTGAATCTAATGGCTCATCTTTTCCATTTGTTCAGTATTCTGCGATCTCGTCTTTCTCGGACCCAGCGCAATTGATGCTGCTTCAGCTCCAGTTGATGATGTCGAATTAGAGATTTTCTATAAACCCTTTTCTCCGCCTGTATAGAGCCTTTGTCGGTAACTTGGGATTCAAGTTGCTCGATCCTGCCTCTGATTTTCAATATTTCAGGTTTCTTCAAGATGCTCTCTTCTATTTCGGCCGGTAGCTCGCCCGGAAGTCCGGGTTCGTAAAATCTCCCAATCCCTGAAAGTATTCAATAAGATCCGATTCCTATTTTTCATCCAGGATAGCTGAAACTGTATCAATAGAGGAACAGTGTTGTAAATAGTCTTTCGGGTATGTCTCGGCGCTTTTGTGGCCATATATCCGAGAAACTGCTGCGGATCTATGTTTTCCTGTGTCACACATTAGCCAATCAACTCCTGTGCTGGTTAGGCTTTGGAAGGCCACCTTCAATCTTTTTTCCGAGATGCTTTCGAATCTCGTGAACTTTTGGTTTCGTGGTATACCCAGCAGCAGCAAGCATCTCCTCTAGGCATTTTCCAAATGCGTCTTTAGCCAGCGGAGTGTCTTGAGGTCCCTCAGCTATAACATTTCTGAGGACAGGCTTTTCTAAATATTCATCGTTCCAGTGTAGTGGAATTTGCCCATTAGAAAGATCATACTGAGCTAGGTCCTCTGCAGTTTCAATACCGAAGAGGGCTCCGTGCTCAAGTGCGAGGGCCAGAAGGATGTAGCCAGATGCAAATTGCGGTCTTTTTGTGTCCTGGATGCCAATTCCAAATCTAAAGATAAATCGACAAATGAGCTGTCAGTTCAAATCTGTCAACTTTAGAAAGGTCTAAGGGGAGGCCGACACGGTATAATTTGGGTCACGGTTATTTTTAAGCCACACTTGATTGACTTTCTATACTACCTTCCAAGGTGCTGTAGGGAATGGAAACAAAACTAAATTAATATCCTGGAAAAGCGTCCACCACAAGTAATACTTGGGTCTGTGAAGTATCCTTACCTTGTATCGGAGACCTCTTTCTTTTTTTGTCCCCATGGGCTGGTATGAAAGCTCCAATTCTCGCCCCAGTAAAGAAATACAATTAAAGGGCCAGCAAAGTAGTCACTTTGAGTAATCCCGGTATGAAGCGGCGATGATCTGTCTGCCACAGAGAGTATATCGTTCTCATAAAATCTTTCTTGGCAAAGCTTTGATTTGGAGACTCGATCTTCTCAATGATTCCTTCCGCTGTTAATGATCTTTGGATTCACTGTTCAGTTTTCAGTGACAAGCGCCATAGGAGCGAAATAATATAGGATCCAGGCTCATATTGTATTTTCTTTCCGATCTTCCACTACGATACTAATCCGCATCGCTTCTTCAAAGTCACCAAACAGCATCTCTGCGCACGGTAAAACTGACTTCGTCACTGGTCGCCTATTTTTACTGAGCCGTCCTCGAGTAGAATGAATGTACCAGCGGAGGAACTCCTCGATAAGCTGGTGATCTGGCGCCTTGGAACCTTTACCACTAGCATGGTCATGAATCCTATGTTGCTCAATGAAACTAGAAGATGGTCAGCTTCATCTCAACATGAGGTTATGCTCACCACAGTCGGGAAATCTTACTCCCTCTAAAGTCCTACAGCCTGCCGGTGCATTCTCTTAGTTTTGTGTATTCTCTTGTCTTTATCACGATGACTGAAAAACGGCAATAAAGAGAGAAATACCTTAGCTATGAGGAAGAGTGGAAAGAAGAGATCTGTGGATGGTTCAGCGGAGAAGGTGGTGTATTAACTTATTAGATAGTTCTTACGCACGGTCAACTCTGAACAAATAACCGAAACTACTCTTTTCTCCGCACCATTGCTTGACTGATAGGGAATGTGATTGCCATTTTGCATCATTTACCTTAGTTTTGTAACTTCAGGTGTCAGGGGGTAGGATAATTGAAAGACGCATTACTAGCCTCTAGAAATTGAGGTTTACCTCGGGCCATCAGAAATCGTTCTCTTAATCAAAAGCTACGTGGGGCCGAGTGCTCATTTGGTGGACTCAGCCTGGACTGAGTGCTCAGTAGTTAACTAGTTAGTTAGATGGCCCCTGAGGATCTAAGTAATCAGTGATCATCCGGTAAGAGTCAGTGAGCGCTCACGGAGTCTGGCTGTTCCATCACGTGACTATGATAAGTAGCTCAGTGAGTCTGAGCCAGGACTGATATTTACTCAGTGAGCCTGAGTCTGAGCGTGCTCACTAAAGCGGCGGCAGCTCAGATGGGAAAGCCCCACCCGCCAGAGGAAATCCGCTACGTAGAGTGGCCTTTCAGGTAGGGCTTGGTACTTCGAGCGACAGATGTTTTGAACTCGTCCCATGTATAGATGAAAGACATGACATTGGAAATGACACCGAAGTCCATGTTGTATTTCTAATATTTAAATCCTGATATTCAAAAAATTTCTTCGTATTTTTTATAATGATGCCGTCGCATCTATGCACAAGAGTGCTTTGATGGTTGCTGATGAAGTTCTGGTGATGTTGCCATGGGATAAACAATGTATATTCTGCCACAAATCGGCTCGAATAACATTGATAGATTGAACCACCGCCATTTGCAATCATATAAAATCACTTATACCAGCTTCAATCAGCGTAATACAATAATTTGATACGATTTCGCTCGTCAGATACAATAAAATGGTATGGCCGAATGATTCCATCGCCGCGACTCCCCGTTGGGACGGCGGGGAAATGATCGGCGGCCGCCACCGATCAACTTCGCCCGCCCTGCGCCTCCAACTGCCTGCGTGCCTGCGCTGTCGACTCACCTCCACATCTCCCCAGGCTGGTCCTGTTCAAAAACACTCCCTTTTCTCACCGCATACTTGCAATGCGCTCTGACATCTGACTGCTTCACGGTGCTTTCGAGGTCGATCACCACGATCGCCATTGGTCATCCAGCCTTACATTCACTGCGGCTGACCGTCTTCTCCTCTCATTCGAACCCCGACGACCATGTCTCTCCTTCATAATGAAGAGTAAGTCTGATCCGATCCTACGAATGCCTCTGCTATTCATTCTCCTGATCCTGTGATCGCCGACTAACCTGCGGAACTTAGCTTCGCCATCTGGCAATTACGCTCCTCATATCTTTCCACGATCAAAGATGGCATTGGAGATCGCTTGATCAACGTCAATAACTCGGTTCTGAACACTCCCGGATTCCGCGCTGCCGGCTGGTCGGCTGTGGTTACCAACGGCACCAGTGCTGCCAGCATTAAACGCACCTATTCTCCTCCGATCCCTACCACAGCAGCTGTCTCCTCCGAATACTATCGACTCGCCGTACGAGATGCAAACGCCGCGCGAGATGAACTACAAGGCCTTGGTTTGGAAGAAGGCGAGGACGATGAAGGGGGCATGGTGACGGGCAAGAGCAACATGGATTACACCGGGCGTCGGCTCCATGCTCGCGGTGGAAAGAAGAAAGGCCGACGCGAACGTCATCAGCCGGAACCCCAACAACCGGTCGTGCCAGAGGACGATGATAGCAGTGATCTGAGTGATGACAGCGACGAGGAGGCCGAGAACATGGACCGGTATGTAATCCGTCGCTCCCCTCGTCAAGTTGAGCTAGCCTAACAATCATCTCCAGGTCCGCCGACCAGATCAAGTTTCATAAGATGCCGATTCGTCGAGACCGAGCCGATTCCTCTCCTATTCGATCGGCTGAACAGCGCGAACGCCCAGAGGTGATGATCACTTCACCGTCAACACAAAACGTGGCCAACCACTACCGTACGGGATCGCTAGGCACTGCTGTTTCCAACAAGGAGCAGCAACGACCGCGGCGAGATACTACAACAAGCAGTGATCTATCAACTTCCAACGAGGTGGAATCTCATGGCTACAAACCCGGGCAGGTGCAATTCTCGACCACTGAGCAGGTGGGCGATCGTCCTCGGAGGCGGCGAGAACGTACTGGTAGTCGCGGGGCAGAGAGTATCGTACTTGAGGACTTACATGAGCAGGATGAAGATTCCGGTGCAGAATCTGTGGGATCGGCTATATCCTCCGAGTTCGACGCGACAGCTGGCTCAGGCTCTCTGCTGTTGGCCGGAGTGGGCAACATCGGCGCCTTAGATGCGTCCTCCCCAATGGCTCTGATGCACAAGCTCCCTGCAGGCACTGGGCCTAGCCAAAACAGCTCTCCACGCAAGTCTAAAACTACACCCGCACCGGAGCTGCACGATCTTCCACCCCCACGACCTATCAGCACGCTGCAGCCAGTCAGCCTGTTGACGCAACAACTAAAATCCCGCAAGCGAGCACCGAGTAACCCGGTAGAGAAGTTCATGGTTCTTTCTGGGAAAGGCCAGGACGATCCACTGCATTTGAAGATCTACGTTCCTTTCTCATCAGACCCTGAAGATCCACTTGATCTTCCCCTCACGCGAGAATCCAAACTCGCAGAGCAACCTGCCACGGTCACTGTGGCCGAGACCATCGGTCTTGCACTTTGGAAATACAACGCAGATTCGCGTGACCCCTCCATCAAACGTGAAAAGCTCACCGTCAACCGGTGGACTCTGCGTATGGTCGATGATGGTGAGGTCGAATACGACTTCCCTGCACTTGGACGGACGCTCCCCATGACAGACTTCACATCGAACAACAACAATGCGGCCAAGGCACGAGGACGTTCACGAGGCAAGCCCTACGATGAGTTCGCACTCGTGGAGGCCTCCAAGACGGAATTTGAGGAAAATGAAAAACTGTACCCGCAGTTCAGTCAAAGCCTCGGGTCTGAAGAGGGTGAACAGACTGCAAGCCTCGCCGTGCCCGGTGCTCCTCAACTTGCTCCGCCAGTCAAGAATCCCGTGGCACGCCAGAATCCGATTCTCGGCCAACCTTTCTCATCAGCGTTGAATGACAACACATTGACGCCCGCCGACCGACCTGTGGTTCCTGTCTCACATGCTACTCCGCGCCTGGGAGTGTCTAAGACGCTGAAGATCCGATTCATCAATTTGGAGGCTTCCGCACATGTCATGACCCTCAACACATCCACAGACAGTTACATCGCAGAGATCCTGGACTCGGTGTGTAAACGTTGGGGCTTGGACAAGGGCAACTATCTTCTCAAGGTGATGGGCTCGAATACGATTGCGCCGCTCGACCGTATGGTGGAGGCATTGGGTCATATCACGGAGCTCGACCTCGTTCGCCGACGTTTCGGGGCTGGTCCTCTTTCCCTCGGCGGCTCACCGGGTAGTTCATCGCCCAATGCCCCCTTGCAGGTCGACAGCGGTAACCCAGCGACTGTGAAGAAGGGCAAGAAGAGCGGAAAGCCTATGCTGCCATCGTTCTCGCAGAAGCAGGACCTCATCGGCGGCTACTATCGTCGGTATCATGTCTTCCGTAAGCAACCGATGACATTTACTGCCTCAAACCATCGCATCTTGACTTTCGATAACGACTACATGCATATTGTACCCGGTGAGACGGGCAAGACTGGCTCGGATACCAAAACTCGCTCGATCAACTTCAACGACGTCGTGGGCTGCAAGGTCAGCCGTCGACACCCCAAGAGTTTTAGGGTAGTGGTGCTTCGGGGCAACGATGCTTCGGAGCAAAAGCGCTACGATTTTGAAGCTCGCAATGCGCTGGAGGCAGACGAGATCGTAGAAGAGATCAAGAAGAATATGGCTCATTACCGCATTTGATCGGGACTTGCTCTTTATTTAGTTGGTCTTTTGTGTTTACCTACTCATCAGCACCGGAACAGGAACAAGCAAGGCAAAGGGAAACATGGGTGGATGGCGTGAGTTGGCGTTGTGTACGGAGTATTGCCTCTACATTTGCAATTTATCCAAGTCGGATTCATTCGACTTGGTCTAACTGTTTCGTATGTAAGAGCCTAGCACACCTGGCCCTTTCTTAGCGTAGAGAAGGATCCAATAGTGCCGCAGCGAGCGGAGGATGTGTCGTTGGGGGCCATCAGCGTCAAAACCGCTTATAGTCCACAGCTGACGCCACAGCCTCGCCCCCTAATTTAACCCTGTACCCTCTACAAGTCATGGACTGGTTTATACAGTAGGCTCAGTAAGTGCAAACAGGTAGCCAGCCATCTTCCTACCCGGCCACGCGCAATAGTCATTTCCCAAATGGCTCCCGAACCATCACCACCCACCCTGTTCTTCCAATGCCACAATGAACAAGGCACTGAGACCATCATCCTCATACACGGTGCCTGCGGCAGCAGCAAAGAGTGGGACGATGTTATCCCCCACCTCACCGACAAAAACTACCACGTCCTCGCACCAGACCTGCCTGCTCACGGCCAATCCATCGCAATCAAACATTTCACTCTGGACTCTGCGACAGAACACATCCTCCGCATCATCGATATACACGCCCACAATGGCATCGTCCATCTCGTGGGCCTAAGCCTAGGCGCACATATCGGAGCATGTGTTGCGGAGCGCGCAAAGCCAGGACAGATCTCTTCGGCAATTCTGTCAGGGTATAACATCTTCCAACCGCCGAAGCTGATGCTTCCTTTCATCATAATACCGATCTTCTTCCTCCATCACACCATCCAGCTCGTGACCCAGTTCCAAACGGAGATCCGGCATCTGCAGACTGGGGAATCCTCATTCGGGCTCATCTATGAGGTTGGACGGGTGCTTTGCGATCCTCGAGGGCTTGGAGAGATTCCTGCGCGGACGCTGGTGATTGCAGCACAGAAGGACTCGCTGCTGCAGAGTGACATGATTCGGGGTGCTAAGCGGTTATTTTCGGCGGTTGCTGGGGGGAAAGAGAGTGGGAGTAGGGTGGTGATGCATCGAGGCATTCTACATGCGTGGCATGTCTTTAACCCGGTGTTATTTGGAAATATGGTGGTCAAGTGGGTGGGAGAGGAGCCACTGGACAGTAGATTCGAAGATATTGAGGTGTAAAGAAGATATTTGGCTCTAAATAGTCGTTTGAGCATAGATTTGCACTTGTTAGACGTCAGTCGTGGAGCGGGTCTGGTAAGAGATGAGAGACTTTAAAGACTCATAAAGAGACAACAACACGATTTCGCCTGGCGGCCACTAAATAGCCGTGATTTGTGAGCTTGGCGCTATCGAATGAGGCCAAAAAATGGACATGTCAATTTTGAAACTCAAAATCACTCTTGCTCGGCCAACCTCGAGGTACCTGCCCATACTATCTACAATGGAGGGATACAATGCTCATAAATGGCACCACTATTGAAGATTCATATCTTTATTACTTCAATATACTTGCTGCTCTATTGCTTAATCAAGACAAAGTAAACTTCTTCTAAAAATGAAAAATTGAGCCCTGTTCGATGAGTTGAGCGCATCCCATACCCCAAGGGCCTTTGTGACTGTAGAACGATAAGGGCCGATAAGTAGCTCCGCGGCAATCACATCAATTGGAAGTTTCGCATACTCGACACCTCTCTTCCACAACCTCCCCTCCAGCTCCTTCAGACTCCCGTTGCCATGAAATAACAAGTTCACGTTTGAAATGACATCCACACCAGAAGAAAGCGACGGTCACAAGGCCGAGCCTGCAGACGACAAAACCAAATCCACTCGCAGCAAACGCTTCCGCTTCAAAGACTCCGACTCAAAACACTCCTCTTCCTCACACCGAAGAAGACACCATAGCAGAGACCGACATGGCGACCGAGGACACAGACACCGTTCCTCCCACCACAGCCATAGAAGCAAACGTCGATCACGCTCCCGATCCCCAAACTCTCACGATCCGCGCAACTCCTCCCTTGACGCCGAGGCAGCCTTCCGTGAATCCCTCTTCGATGCGCTAGGCGATGACGAAGGCGCCGCCTACTGGGAATCCGTTTACGGCCAACCAATCCATCACTACGCTGTCCCGGAAGTCCCCAAAGGGCCTGATGGCGAGCTGGAGCGCATGGACGAGGAGGAGTATGCGGCCTATGTGCGGGCGCGGATGTGGGAGCGCACGCGGGAGGGCATGTTGGAGGCACAGGAAAAACTACGTGAAGAGCGGAGGCAGGCGAAGATGCGGGAGAATGCGGCGCGAGGTCGGGAGAGGGAGAGGGGTGCATTTGAGAGGGCGATGGAGGAGAGCTTGAGGCGTGGTGCGGAGAGGAAGAAGAAGAAGGCGTGGGTTGGGGTTTGGGAGGAGTATCTGAAATGCTGGGAGGAGATTGCGAAGATTGTTCAGAAGAATCAGGGCCCGACTTCTACAGGTTCTTCTGAATCGCGCGCGGATGAGAGTACCAGTGGTGGCACGGGTCCGACTTCGAAGCCGCTGCGAGACTTGCTCTTTTGGCCTGTTGAGTCGGGCAAGCGTCGTGATGTATCTCCAGAATCTGTGGAAGCTTTTATGAAACATGCCCCACCGTCTGGAGATCTTCTGTCTACGCTCAAGGTGGAACGTGTGCGCTGGCACCCGGATAAGATACAGCATCGGTATGGTGCCCTGGGTATTGATGAGAAGGTCATTCGCAGTGTGACCGAGGTATTCCAGATTGTGGATAGGATGTGGAGTGAGGAACGAGAGCGGGCAGGAAAGTCCTGAGAGGAGCCCGGTCTATCTATAAAGTCCATTGATTCGAATTCGTGGACTCGGACATGGCGCAGATACCGTGCATTTGCAGCGTTTGGTTTGCGTTCTAAGATACCCATTACCACTTACATGGTCTTACTTTTGATTAAATCAACTAAATTCAAGTTTCTTATCATGACGGGATTCATTTCAAAAGAAGGGCCAAAGAAGGCTGTCTCCAAGACGAGTAACGCAACACAAATTCACAGGCTATGCAAGACAACATTTGGCAGCCGGAAACAACTCAATAACCTCCTTTGCCTGAAACTAACGGACTGAGATTCCATTTCAAGATAATACCTGGCAGCGCGCGACAGCTTAGAATCGCGACGACCGCGCCTTGGTACGGTAGATTGTCCAGCCAAAGTAGCCACCAACGATAGCACCAATGAAAAGGATCGCCTTGAACAGGAACCAGGACCAGCTGCTGCTCTTCTCCTGAGAGGACTTGTTGCTAGTACGGCCACGGCCACGGTCCTTGCCGCTATCGGAGTTACGGCCACCGGAGTTGCGGTTGACAGAGTACAGGTTCTCGGCCTTGAGAGAGATGATATCGTGGTTGTCGCTCAGTTCACCGGTCTCGGCAGACAGACCGAGGTAGGCAACGGAGGGAATAGCGATGCTGGCTTGCTCGGGAGTCAGGTAGAAGCAGTTGGTCCAGGAATCCTCGGTCTTGTACTGGAGGTCCAGACTGAGAGACTTGTCCTGGAAGTATGTCAGGCGAAGTTTAGTGGGAACGGGGGCATTGCGAAGACCACGAGCCTATCAATTTATTAGTTTTGAGGTTCTTATCAGACGTGTTTTTTGGGGATGAGTAGCTTACAGAGCAGCCAGCCAGCTCGTTAGCCTTGCCGTCGTGCGCCTGGTCGTAGGCAGTCTCGCCGTCGCCCATCATGGCCATGACGTAGGGGAATGAGACGCCGGGGCGGTTGTTCTTGTAGGTGTCGACGAAGATACCCAGACCCTCGAACTTGTCTTGAGATCCAAAGACGGGACCCTGAGTTCCACGTTGCTTGGTGAGCCACAAGGCAAAGCCATCGCCGTGCAAGTTACCATTGCCATGAATTTCGAACTCGAGCTCAATCTGTATGTATAGTGAATATGGTATTCAGAATGCTGTGCCCCATTTGCTTCTTACCTGCCAATTGGTAGCGGTGAGTGGCACGCGAGAGAAGATCCATCCTTGCTGGGAGGGTCTGTCGGCCGTAAGGCGAATGTACCTAGCACAAGCACGCATTAGTATATGCAGTAAGCCAAAAAGCAATCTTGAAAGCTCACTTGTCAGCCCGAATCACGGTGTCTCCTCCGAAGTCGAACCAGCGGCTTTGGAAATCCGAATCTAGGTATGGCTGTCACGCCGTCAGTAAAGGCAGTCTTCGAGGATAGCGAGGCGCATTGCAGAGCGTCGATGTGATATGGAGAAGCTGCAGAATAGTTCAGAGGATCATACCGGAGAGAGACTGTGGGTTCGAAGCTATCGGTGTCTCATGGTTAGTACCTCGGCTCCGCAAGGGTGTCAAAACAGCACTTACCGGGATGCTCTTAATATTGGGGTCGTCGCCATCGTAGGCAGCAGCTGGAGCAGCAGCCAAGCCAGCAAGGCAGAGGATTGAGGAAAAGGCAGGGAAACGCATGGTGAAGTAGAATTATAGCCTAATTGGCAGGACAATCAAGGATAGACCGGGGGTGGGAGCGGGGGATTTGAAGGGTTACGGTGTCACCAGGACCCGAAAACCCGAGGTAGAAATCAAAGAGGCAAGGCCTAGAGGAGACGGCTAAGGAAGGGCGGAGGGAGCGAAAGCCGCGAAACTGGGTAAGGCGAAGTGGTAAGTAGCTTGGAGTGATCGAACTATCGAGTGCTCCCAGCGCGATGCGACGGTGTCCACACGGCGGTGTGGCTAGTGTCGGAACCTGCGCCACACCGCAGCTCAAATCTGCGAGCGCGACCTACTTCAAGTTCCATCGCACTTCTTCACCATCACAAACACACTTCCACCTCACACTTCCACAATGTCACTCTTCGGCGGTTCCGGCTCCGGCTCCAGCTCTTCCAAGTCCTCCGCGGAGGTCAAGGCCAGCATTGTCCAGCAACTCCAGCAGGAGTCCGCCATGTCCAATGCCCGTCTCTTGATCGAAGTACGTCACCGAAACCCGGTTTCCCTAAGGGGTTGAGCAACATTCCAACCTAACCACATCCTCCATTAGAAAATCAACGAGAACTGCTTCGACGCCTGTGTTCCCGCCCCCGGCTCCTCCATGTCCTCCCAGGAGAGCGGCTGCCTCTCCAGCTGTATGGACAAGTACATCCAGATGTGGAACATCACCAGCAAGACCTACATTGCCCGCGTTGGCCAGGAGAGCAAGCGCATGGGCGGTGCTGCTTCCCTTTAAATCCTGAGCATTGATGGATCCAATTGAATAATACGGCGGAGGAAACCGAAGGTACCCGATAATGGTCGGATGGTAAAGTCCTACGAATGGTTGGGTCTGTGTACGAATAGAGTCGGTGTCGGCCCTGGAGCCCGTTGTACATTATGGGCGTGGTTTCTTGATTTGGGATGGCCAGGAGTCAAACGATTTTTAGAGGTCTACGGCACATCTTCCCTCTGTGAATATCAAAACAGAATAAAAGAAACTCGATTCAAGTTGCTATAATGTGAGGACGTAGGTTTACGATATAAAGTAGCACCCCCGGTATTCCAAATGGCATGTTTGCCTACCGGTTTCAAGAGCCAGCCCGCCTTCTCCCCACGCCAATCGCGATTGCGGGCTTTTCATCTCGTCATAAATCATACAAGCACCTTTAGAAGTCGGGGAACAAATGCCCGTATCTAACGAAAGAATTAGCCAGAGTCCACGTACTTGTGAGACCATCGAGAGAACTTACGCATCTTCGCCGTCCGCGCCGTAGTGCTCTGTCTCTTCGGGATATTTGTCGTATTGGCTTGCATCGCCCTGGCCGCCCCGGATTGGTGGGATATAAGGCGCATCAATGTCCTTGCGAGCCAGTCGGTCCCAAGTGACCTCGGCGAACCACGCATGGTTCTTGACGTCGTCGGGACCACCGTGCAAATTGCCCAATCGCTTGGTGAGATCGGCAGTGATCAGCTGCGATAGCAGGTCCACGGCATCGTCGTGCAAGTACGGCGGGTACTTGACCTTACCCTTGAGGATATTCTCGTAGATCTTGACTGGAGACCCGCTGTCCCAGAATGGCGTGAACCCGCACAGCATTTCAAAGATCAGGATTCCCAATGACCACCTAGGAGGGTTAGCCCAACAAAGAAACGAACCGAAGTATATTGTACGGGGGAAATTTTTAAAACTCACCAATCTACAGACTTGTTATAACCCTTGGAGGAAACCACTTCGGGAGCAAGGTAGTCGGGAGTACCGCATAGCGTCCAAGTGATATCAGGTACTTCCTTGGCGAAGCCAAAGTCGGTTATCTTCAGATGTCCATGACGATCCAGTAGAAGATTCTCTGGCTTCAAGTCACGATAAATGATCTGGTGCTGATGCAGATACTCCAAAGCTAGTGTGACTTCTGCTGCGTAGAATTTGGCGACTGGGTTGGGGAATCGCTGGGGAGGGAAGAAGAGGGGGTTAGCGATGAACGGTTCAGTGCGGGGGCCGGGAGGGAAAATGAAGGACTCACCTGCGATTTGCGTAGCAGGCTGAAAAGCTCACCACCCTCCACAAAGTCCATAACCATGTAGAGGTTGCGTGAATCTTGCCAGGTCCCCCAGAGGGTCACCAGGAATGGATGCCGGACGCGGTTGAGCATGCGACGCTCGTCGTTGGTGTGCTCGATCTGCTTCATCTTGACCACCTGGGCCTTCTTCAACACCTTCATGGCATAGAAGCGGTGATTGTGTTTCGACTGGACCAGGTGAACGCGGCCGAAGCTCCCGGTACCCAGTGTACGCTGCAGCAGAAAGTCCTCTTGGGAATATTTGCCCTTGGTGGTGCGTTCTTTCTGCTGGGCATTCTGCGGGGCATTCTGGGCCGACTGAGAGCTCGGTTTGTGCTCCCCTTGGGCATTGGCCGGGCTGTTTATGATATTATCGATGCTGGCGGCATTGGACTGGCCCTGGTGGTGCGGAGATGCTTGCGACGAGGCGGCGGGTTGCATGGAGGCGCCTGAACCGTCCTGGTTCGGATCGCTGGTGTGGTTGGTGTGGGCGTCAGCCGAGTGATCGGATCCTGGCAGCTCGGACGAGAGGGTTTGATGGTCCTTCGTACGCCGCTTCTTCAACAGGCCTCCTAAGCTCGGCATGGAGGAGGTGGTTTCTTTTCGCTCTCACTCAAAGGAAGGCCAGGGCCAAGCAGAGGGAAAGGTCCGGAGAGGTGGGGAGGGGCAACAGCCAGAATGACGCATTGATCTTCTGCTGGTTGCTTGGGCTGCTGGGGTTGGACCGACGAGCTCCGGCTCCACCGGTGCTATATCGAGGTCAAGTTCTTTATCTGGGAGCGAGTGGTGGTGGAATCGGAGCAGCAATCGCGCGGCGGGGGAGAGGTGTCCGGAGGGCCTAGTCCAGCGCCGTCTCAAGATGAGGCGCCTTGTTCGGGTCAAAGAGCGGGTGCTCCTCACCTAAAATCAACCTACAGGTCTTACCTACAATACCTACAAGTCTATTGAGGGAGTGGGCAGCCACTACAGAGTATCAAGGCTGTCCCCGGTTCAAACACACGAGCTACGATGATCCTGCTGTCAATCCTGCCTGCCACTGGCACATCATCACCCCTACTAGACTCGGCCCATGCGACCGAAACAACCACGGAGAAACCGGATGACGCCAATGACGTTACGATTCGGCTTTGGTCTGTGCGAGCGATCAATTCGACATGCCGCCCCGACGAGCTCGTCGCATGCGGTCGATCGGAAGGTAAGCTGGACTGCGAAGCTTCATCGGACCCGAGGTTGGCTGCCGCAATGAGCTCCTCGAGTTCGATGTGAGAAATTCAGTGTGGCAGTTTCACTGGTGATGCGATTATGTCACGGTGTCTCGCCTGTTGGCGCCTTGTCTCTAAGGCTGCCAGGGTCTCAGGCCACGATCCTCAGTCAGGCAATCAGGCATCAAACGTTATCGCGATCGCGATACCATTAAATTGGAGACCCAAGGAGGCCAACCTAAAGCCCCCCCCCCCGGGATCCACACAATTTGATTTCCTGTCCTCATCAACGCATACACCACATCAACCCTTCTCATGGCGCTGGTAGCCTACTCCGACTCTGAGGGCTCGGATGCAGAGCCTGACACCGCGCCCGCTCCATCCACTCAGACAAAGAAGCCCGACTCCGGCTTCACGGTCAACCGCAGCAACCCGCGCAAGATTCAAGTCGCCCTCCCGCAGCTCAAGTCCGAGAATCCGAAAGACCAGGATGCTGACAATGGACCCGCTCGCAAAAAAGCTCGGCTAGGCGGAGGCTCCGGTGGAGGCTTCAGCGGCTTCCTACCTAAGCCCAAACGCGCAGCGGACAAAAAGTCATCGGTGGCGTCGACGCGGAAGATCTTCGATCTGAAGACAGGTGCAGAGCGTGGGTTTGATCGGGAGGCAGATGCGGAAACGAAATACAAGACTGAGAACGATGCTAGTGGAGAGCAGGATACGCCTAGCAATCCAGCACAATCGACCTCCAAATCCAACAGTGCACCGGCCACGCAGACACCCATCGGAGAGGTCAAATTGCATGGGAATCCGATGATGTTCAGACCGCTGTCGGTTGGACGTCCTCAGAAGAAGAAAAAGACCACCGCCCAATCCTCATCTTCAGGGCCAGCTCCGGCCGCGGCGAAGCCCGTTGAAAAACCACAAGAACCAATTTCAAAGGGTCCCGTTGAAACTGCACCACCCCCACTTAAACCCAAAGTCAGCCTCTTTTCCTTGTCAAGGGAAGATACCGAATCAACAGACAATAATTCAACATCAACGGGAGCCTATGAACCCCTGGTCTATAACAACGAAGCCGAAATACCCTCAGTTGGTCCGGTGCCAGCGCCGGACTTCACACCCACCGTGCCAAACTATGCGCCAGTAAACCCTGTTACATCATCTCTCAATAATATTGCCGACGACCTTAACCTATCCAAATCCCAACGACGCCAACTCTTTGGTCGAAACGCTCCCTCTGCCGACTCGAAAGTTCTCACTTTCAACACAGACCAAGAGTACGCGCATAACCAGGCTGCGGCCGAGACGGAACTTGCTGCTACCCAGCACAACCCTGTCCGTGCCATTGCCCCTGGCAAGCATTCTTTGCAACAGCTTGTCAATGCGGCGGCTTCGCAGAAAGACGCTTTGGAGGAGAGCTTTGCGGCGGGCAGAAGAAACAAGAAGGAGGCTGGGTCAAAATATGGTTGGTGAACCCAGCCCTTATAGTCAAAATCGATGTGGAAAGAGCCTTGACTTCATGACGGCCGGGGTAGCAATATATCATTATACCATGTTGTGATGCATTCAAACATGCAACCATGGATTATCAGATTTAGCTGAAATTGGATTTGTACATTTTGATACTCATTTCGTTGTAGTTTATAGATAAGAACCAGTTTGATGATCTGGTACTGGGGTTTGCCATGTGACGATGGATGAACATAAAATAAGAAGGTTTGATCATGATAAATAGGTTAGTATACAGAGTTTTATTTCTTCAAATCCCCGCGCTATTTGACTTAGTCTTCGTGCAATGTAATGACGTCTATAGTAGAAGAATGGTCTATGCTTTGACTTTGTGAGCGTGTGAACTCTTTCCCTTAGAAAACATCCCTAGCTGAGCAGAAATACCTACATACTATGATTGGGACAATTTTGACGGCAATAACGATACTTGAAACAATTAGGCCAATCCAAGATAGCAAACGGCTGCCTGCATCTTGGGAAGGCGTTAGGGCGCATAATATTGCCTAGTGCATGGTCGAAGAAGCAGCAACCTGTATTGTGATGGGACTTTTGAGTAACGCGAACAATCTGGGTTAGTCTGTCATAGACCTGTCAACTGTCCAATTTTTAGTCACAGCAGCACCGATCCACATGTAAACATCTCGATTCCCATCTTCGCGCCGAGGGGCAGTGTAGAGCTGACTAATCTCCTTAACGGCCCACGCTTCCATCGAGGACCGACAGCATATCTTACTCTCTGTTCAGTCGGGGCTAGCGGATGTTCGGTGCTGGCTTTCCACTTATATACGCTCGAGCCTGATTTGTCTACGGTGCTAGTACGATGTGCATGCGCTCCGCTCGGATCCGGTAGCCGAGTCGAATTGCGCACCGTCAACGATAGGCCTCCCTCCCCGTGGTCGGTGGATCCTGCCTTGCCAGATCTAGAGCGGAGCTTGGTTTACTCATCGTCGTGTACTTGCGCGATCTTGGAATCTCAGTTCGGTGGGATTTGGAGTGTGAACAATGGTGTATGGGGGAAGCCAAGCACGGGATGCTACCTTTGTCGAAAAAGGAAGATCAAGTATTTATCTCCCTCTCCCTTTGTCAGAAATTGGCCCCGATTGCAGTCCCACTGACCTCTATCTAGGTGCGATGAAGGTCGGCCTGAATGTCGGAATTGCTGTGTCTATGGCCGCCCATGTCCGGGATACCGACCTGATGCGGTCTTTCGCAACGAAACCAGAAAGATCCAGAGGCTGGCTAAGAAAGAGACCAGCTCTTCATTCAACAGCCAGAGCGCAAAACCTACGTCAACAGACTTCTCTGGGGCCATAGATATCCAGCGTGGAAACCCCACGCGGGGAACTCCACTGACCATGCTGCCAATGCCCGATGCTACTTGGGAGCAGCGTGCACTTTGCTACTTTTTCGACCAGTATACGATTACTGGGGATGTCGAAGATGGCATGAGTCATCTCGAGTATCTGCCACCGTTGTATGCACGCTGTGGCGAGACGGGCGACCGAGGGTTGTCGTCCATATGTCTTCGCCAGGCAGTAGATGCAACTTCCCTAATGACCCTCGCCAACGTATCCAATGCACCGCCACTCATGATGAAAGCACGTCAGGGCTATGGGAAAGCATTACGAAGCCTACGAGATGCATTGGCCGAACCAGAAACGGCCATTAAAGATGAAACCTTTGCTTCTGTTGTTCTCCTCTCGCTGTTGGAAGATATCACTGGTGAACGCAATGGGTTGTACAGCTCCCACACGGCGGGGTTTGAATTTCTGATGCAAATGCGAGGAGCGGGCCAGCGTGATCACCAGATGGGTCGTGACATGTTCAACTTCGCCTTTACACATACTGTAGGTTGACTCCTCGGGTAGTTGGAATTCGGACATGGGCTAACTCTTCTAGTTCGTTGAAATACTCGCACTGGGTGATAAACCACGATTTGACATCGATTGGGTCCTGTCCCAGTTGGATAATAACGATCCTATTGAACGGCTTATGCTTGCCGCTTCCAAGCTCAGCAACCTCTTTCTCGCCATGCAATCATCTCCCAAACCACCTGATCAATCGATTGTGGAATCATGGATTTCCGCCGGCCGTGAATGCGACTTCGAGCTGGCCCAGTGGACACTGCATCTTCCCGAGCGTTGGCTGCCTCTAGTTGTCTATTCAAGTCAAGGCGAACCACTCATCACCTACAACCGCATCTCTAACGCCGTGATTTGGAACTATTACCGAGCAGTGCGAGTAATGCTTCAGCAATTGCTTCTCAACCTAAACCGCACCCTTCTCGCCATCGTCAAGAAAAAGGCCAAGCTCGGCGGCTCTCCGTCAACCCAGTGTGCACTAAACGAGGGCAGTCTACGGGCCATCATCCAGGAAATGACCACAGATGTCTGCCGCAGCATCCCGTTTTCCCTCGGCGATGTTGACAGCCTCGGCCGGCCGACTCGACCGAATGAGAGCGGCCGAACTATCCGGGCGGCCCAGGGCTATGGACTGCTCTGGCCGCTGTGGTACATCCTCTCTTGTGGCATGCCCACACCTGCGCAAGTTATACAGATCCGTGCCGTGCTCTCTCGAGTGGGGTCCAAGCTTGGGATCAGGCTTGCTCTGATCTTAGCGCGCGAGGCTGAACGGATCCGTGGCGACCCTAGCTCTGCGCGGGCACCGGTGATCGGCCCAGAGTGAATACCATGGTATAGCGAAGGTCTGTAGATAGTATATATAGAAGACTGGAGGGTTGGATAGGGGTATACAGTATGGGCGCGGCGTCATTGGAATTGGAGGGGCTGGAAAATGGAGTGACGGACTGTACATAAATGCATATATTTGACAATGTTCTCGATCACTATGTACTAGTAGATCAGTGCCCTAGAGATAACGGGTATTGTTCCACGTGCTTATCAACTCTGTGCTTTGATTTGATTTGATGCAATATTTCCTCTGGGTTGTTCGGGCACCGCGGGCGCAACCTCATGACGTCACTACTGTGGTGCCTGCAAATCCCCTGTTCATCCAGGAAATCATGAAAACCCAGAACCCAGGGGAACTTTGAGATCCAAAGGCTCATTAGAATTAGTTTCGAATAATGCTACAATGACTGAATCTAATGTATTCTAGGCCGACGAGTGTCTCGTGGGCTCGAGTACATACAATTGCACTGGAGCGTGCCGATAGAGCCGTTCCCGTCGCTATGAACGGAGGGCTGGGCGGATGCCCTTGTGCATGCGCCGTACTGACGCCATGGCCCTGTTTTCTGATTTCGGAGCTCCAGTAGTCCTTTTTCTTAAATCCTACTCCTCTTGCTCTTCTTTCTCACTGTACACTTACTCTTACAATCATGGCCACACAAGAACGCAAGCTTCCCTTTGGGAAGATCGAGCCCAACTCTGCCAAGTACTTCTATAGCTGCGGAATGGGCGGCATCGTCGGTAAGTCCTGCAAGCCCCGCGCTTATCGGACAAAGCACACATGATTCTCACACTTCTTCGTCGGCCGCAGCTTGTGGTAAGTGAATGACTATGCTCTCGAGATTCCATTGCCGACAATTGACATTATCGACGTCATAAAGGCCCAACTCACACGGCCGTGACACCGCTGGACCTGGTCAAATGCCGCCGACAGGTCGACCCCAAGATTTACTCCTCGAACATTTCCGCATGGCGCTCAATCTTCGCCAAGGAAGGGCTGCGCGGCGTCTTCTTTGGATGGGCGCCGACCTTCATAGGTTACTCCTTCCAAGGCGCAGGCAAATACGGTCTCTATGAATACTTCAAATACCTATATGGCGAGCAAATGTTCCCGCAGACCAATCGCACCCTGGTATTCCTAGGTGCCAGTGCCTCGGCGGAATTCTTCGCGGATATGGCCCTCTGTCCGATGGAAGCAATCAAGGTCCGCATGCAAACAACTCTGCCACCATACGCCAACAACCTTCGTGAGGGCTGGAGTCGCGTCGTTGCCAAGGAGGGATTGGGCGGTCTCTACAAGGGTTTGTACCCTCTGTGGGCGCGCCAGATCCCTTACACCATGACCAAGTTCGCGACCTTTGAAGAGACGGTCAAGCTCATCTATAAGACCATGGGCAAGCCCAAGGAGAGCTATGGCCAGTTGACGCAGACGGGAGTGAGTTTCCTGGGTGGATATATCGCCGGTATCTTCTGCGCAGTAGTCAGCCACCCGGCCGATGTTATGGTCAGCAAGTTGAACGCGGATCGGAAAGGTAAGTCTGTCTTTTTGTCTTCAAACTTCGTGATCGCAATGAACACAAGCTGACAATCCGCAGCTGGCGAGGGTGCCATGACTGCCGTATCCCGCATTTACGGCAACATCGGATTTTCGGGTCTGTGGAATGGACTGCCTGTCCGTATCGTCATGCTCGGTACATTGACAGGATTCCAATGGCTGATGTGAGTTAAAATTGCACTTAGGGTGTCAATGGAGCTACGTATGCTGACCATCCGATTTAGTTACGATTCGTTCAAGGTATTCCTGGGTCTTCCGACGACCGGTGGACACTAGATGCAACATATCAGAACATAGCTCAAGGAGTATTTGAAATTCCCGGATTATCAGAATTTCGTATTGTGAGATATTGGCCGGGGAAATAATCAATGTGAATACTATCCCATGATGAAAGAGCAATTGGTCATGACTTTCATCCGTAGACGGGCTCTCACCGCCCGGAGGTATCGCGGCAGAAACAGATCGCGGCGTAGCGTAGGGCAAGGTACAGCCTTCGTCTTCACATGAGCTTCACACCAGGTTCTGCGCCTGGATCCCGCCCAACGTCTTGGAAGTCACGTCAAAGCCGCCCTCCGCTCCACCCCTTATATTTGTGATAGATATATATCCGTCTCTTCTTTGTCACCTCGTCTTTCCACTCACCCTGCTCTACAACCTCACTTCCGAAAGAGATTCCACCCGCAAAGAAAATCACCTCGAACTCGAAACACTTTCCATCCAATCTCCCTCGACAAATAATCCGAAAATACAATGGAAGCCCGCGCCCCGACATCCGTTCCCTCCTCCAACCCGCCCAGCGTGGAAATCGCGTACAAGCGCAAATGCATCGCCTTGAAGAAGCGCCTCGCAGAGGTCGAAGCTGAAAACGAATTGATGCGTACTCGCAGCCGTCGTGGCTGGCAATATATTCAGAAGATGCGCCTGGAGTCGTGCATGCTGCTGGAGCGCCTTGCCAAGGTCACCGGTATGACCGAGGAAGCGCAGGCCGGAGCCGGCGACCCGGAATTGCGCGCTCGCGCGGTGGCCATGATGTCTAATGTTGCTTCGATGAATGGACTCGGTGGCAATGCATCGGCTGGGAACGGAAACTACGTCGAGGATGAGACCGAGGGAAGCTCCGATGAGCAACCTCCTACTGTAAGTCAACTCGTCAACTCTTCAGATCTCATCTGAGTACCCTGGCCTTCTCTTCCCATTCGCGCACCGGACTGCATAAGCATGCCTTGATTAAATACTCAGATATATTAATGCAAATTTCTCAATCTAGCCTGAGGAACGTCCTCTGCGTGTCAAGCGCTCCCGTAAATCCAACGCCGCCGGCGAACAAGCCGAAGAAGAGAACCAGGCCCAAGATAACGCCGGCGAGGCTGCCGATCGTGACGCCCTACCCCGAATCGCTCCTGCACCCAGCCAGCAAGATCTGACATCGACCTTCCGCGTGCAATCTGGCAATGGCGTCGAGGGCGAAGACACTCCTGTGGCCGGTAGCACGGCCAGCCAGGACAACCGCGAAGGACAGGGCGAGCAGCCAGCAGAAGGTGCGGACTCCGGGACCACACCCATGGATGTGGATACGAAGGAGCCGAAGGTCGAGTAGTAAGAGGTATTCAGTGCGTCTGCTTTTTCTTTCTCACAAATTCGATTTTTCTGGGCTGGCTCTGGGGCTTGATTCATCACGATACGACCTCTGCTCGACATGTCTACTATCATCACTTTTATAGGTTTGGGTCTTCAATTTTTTACAGCGTTGGTTCTTATATTTTTCCTTGTAGGTGCTGTCGATTGGTTCGACTGCTCCACTCGTCTGTGTTATTGTATTTTAATTATACCTAGATCAGGTTATCCAATGGTCGGCCTGAAAAATAAACCTTGCATCTTCATAAACACCTAAAATTTGGCTTGTACACCGAGGGTTTGCTGTTGTACAACCTATATGTCACATACACTGGACTACCATATATTGTAAGACCCATCGCTGTAGGTTTCAGATGGTATGCATTGGTAAGTGAGGGTTTAACAGGAATGATTGTCTTCAATACCGTGCAAGTTGCGCCGTAACCCCATTCCTTGAGACCCAGGTAACCACCAATCCAACTCCGACACTGGCAGGAAAACAGACAGGTTCAATGAAACTGAAAAATGAGCTCGTATCTCAGTAATGTACAATGAGAATGAACCTGGGTTTGCGGGGGAATGTGCTGTCTGATTGATCAAGGAGGAATCTGAAAATCAGACCTCAAGCAAGTCTGTTAGTGTGTTGTAGACAAATGGATAACAGAGCAATGAGCAATGTCAGCTCGCTACCTCGATCGTAATGTGTGTCTGCGATACTGATGTTGGTTGTGCTGTGTCACTGCGGCAAGGTGCTTCGTGTGAGGTTGTACTTGTGCTCTCGGGTTCACGCAATATTCCCCATTAACCGGGCCCGCGGTGTGAAATTGATAGACCCAGTGATACATCCACGTTGCTGCTGTTTCGATCATCCGGGCCTTTGTCTGGTGCTGTAATTCGTAATCCGTCTGTATTTCGAAAGGCTTAATCAATGCCCGCATAAAGGTCGACCACAATGTTGATCGCTGCGACAAGAATCTCTGCAGCGATGAGGACAATAACTAAAATCGTAAGTTAGGCCAAGTCGAGTCTCGGACTCGAATAGTCACAAACTCACCGATCCATTCGAGATATTCACCATGGCGGTGTGTGAGTTGGTCTTTCAGTACTGCAAGAAGATCCGCGATGACATCCAGTCGCTCTGTGAGCAAACTGACTCGTTGATCCATCTCCAAGTAACTTCGAACAGCTTGGTAAACAGGCTCCAGCTGGGGTTCGGCCCAGAAAAGCTCCGGACTGTCAAGAACAGATCCTTGCAGATGAATGTTGATTCGAAGAATGAAAAGCTCTCCAATCTGCATGTTGATCTGACGTCGGGTGAGGTCGACACTGCCGGTCTGCGCAATCTGAGCGGGAAGAGGAGCAGTATCAGAGATTGTCTCGGACACCAGATCCTCAAAAAGAGAAGTTTTGACGGATTGGGCCAGTGCATGCGAGATGGCCAACTTGATCATATGGTTGCGTGGGTCTCTCAGGGAAATGAAATCGTTGTAAATGCGTGCCTGATACTCGCGTGCATAGTAGAAATTGAAGTTCTCGATCTGCGTGTCGTCCGGGCTGAGAATTGATGATGCGAATTTCGAGATATCGGACAAGAAGCGTGACTCATGAGCAGGACTCATACCCCATATGACAACGGTACCGTAGTCAAATAGGAAAACTTCGGGCGTGTGGATGGTTGTATCGATGTCAAAATTTTCGTCCGATTGTTGCGTCGATATAGCATGTTCTGAATTGCCATCGACAGGACGACCAGCTTCATCGCGGAAGTCCATCAGATCTTCTCGTCGTGCCTTTGTAGTATCTTCCACCTCCACAGCACTATCCGAGTATCTGCGCTCGCTGGTTCGTCGTTCAGGATGTCCATTATTTCCTCCAGTAGGGAAGAGCCGGCCTCCCTTTTGCTTCTCTTCAAGTTGATAGTCGAATGGAGAGTAAACGCACTCGTCGAACAACTTGGGATTTGCCCCACGAGTCTTAGCACGGGACTTGAGGAATTTGATCACACCTTCAAGCCGATATGAATTGGCAGTGCAGTATGCGGTCACCCGGGGAATGCGGTCACGGTCGGCCTTTCCTAACCTCGCAGCATGGCTACGTGCAGCGGGTTCCTTGATGCGAGTAATCTGTGAATAAACATCGCGTGGAAAATCTCCATCCTCTTCTTCGGCTGTCACGGGATCAGGGAGCAGCTTGAGCTTCTGCGCTTTCTTGGTGGTACGTTGAGGGCCAATCTTGGAGCCTACAGGCGTGTTCGGCGGTGCGGTGAGGGGAGCGCCATGGCTATTGCGACGTCGGAGTTTGCTGTTCAATGCAGAGAGCATCGGCTGGCCTCCTGCGCGAGGGTGACCACCCTGGGCATTGATATTCTGGACTGGAGGCGAACCAGTCTGGAGAGGGCGGAAAGTCGGATCGGAGGTGGTGGTTCCGCCGTAAGTACTGATTGTCGTCAACGGGTTAAACGTCACCGATCGTGGGGGCCGAGTTGCCCGCGGCGACGGGGGGTTCTGCTGGGGCAGCAATGGGGAATCTTCTGAAGCGGATGCCATAGTGAACACAGGCGACTCCGCCAGGGAGAGGGAAATGGGGAATTGGAGGTTGAAGCTGCGAAAAGTCGAAGCTTCCAAGGTCGGAGCTACGCACGTGCTCCACTTTAGTCATCCCCGTGTGGAGCCCCCAGCGCCGTTGCGAACAGATGATGCTGTGGTACTTAGTAGTATGGAGAATTGGAGACATCTATGACCAAAGCATTTCAAGCCGGTTTGATTTGACCAGCTCGAGGGTGGATCTACAGAGGCGCCTTGTCGGACCCAGGTACTGGGCTGTCACGGCGGTTTTAGAATGAGTGATGCAGGTTCATACTGCACCAGAGTAACAACAGAAGGAGGAATAGGTACACCAGAATCAGTATATTGTAAGCACAGCATACGCTCAGCTGGTGCGATTCAAACATGGTCAATGCCGAGAATTATCCACAAAATGCGCCACCTTATATCGAGATGAATCATAAGATATACAAATTTCCAGCCCTTTAGCATCAGTCTCATCGCCGCACGAACCCCGAGGAACCACCCGTGGTTCTCCGCAGCCCGTTGACTTTTGCTGTACTCCGCTCTCTCTTTAGCCAGTTATCCTTCACATTTCGTCCAGCCTTGGAAGCCTTTGGCGCCAGTGCGGGTTTGGACTGAGACTTCGTTGATGGCGCGTCCAAGACTCGGATCGTAACATCGCCTACTTGCATATCCTTGGGGGCTTTCTCCGTCCTGTCCAAAAATCTCAACTTGTTCGACTTTTTCGGCGCTGCGGATGAATCCTCAGCTGGTGGTGTCGGGGCCCTATCCATAGGTTCGGCATTGAGGATATCATCCGGGAGCAAAGCGGGGAGGGTACGGCGCCGCGCGTCTTGTGTGGTCGAGCCTTGGAGGGTAGTTGTGCTTTCGGAGTGCAGGTCTTCACTTGGAGCTGCAATTTCCTTGATTTTAGAAGACTTGGCTTGGACCTTGCGGCGTTCGTCTAGTTTCCTCCGCTTCTCTCTCTTCGCTTGTTCCTCTCTAAAAGGCAAAGTCAGAAAAAATGTATGGCAATGAATGACGAGTTAGGGCCGGTAAAACGTACTGTTGCTTGAGTTTTTCTTGTCGCTTGGCCTGCTCCTTAATCTTCAAAAGCTGGGCTGAGTTGTCGATGGTCTCCGGAGCATCATCGTCGCTATCGTCCTCGTCGTCGTCGTTGGAGACTTGTGGAGCTGGCTGGGGCAGAGGCACCTTTGGTACAGAAGGCTCTTCGCTGTCGAAGCGGAAATGGCCCTTGGGTTCATGCTTTTTTGAGTGCGAACTCTTAGTCTCACCGTTGGTCTGCTCCAGGGTATCGATCGCAACATCGTCGTCGGTGGTTGCTTCCGCGGCTTCCAAGCTATCCCGCTTCCTCCGCTTGCTCTGCTTGTCTTCGGTCTTTTCCGTAGCAGCAGCCTGCGCCTTGCGCTTGCCTCCTTTTGCAACCCCGCTGACCTTGGATTCATGCTCGGGCTTGGCTGCCCGTTGTCTCGTGGCGGTCACCATTCTGGATGTGGTTGCGGCGTCGGTGCCAGCAGGATCTGCGGCCGTGTCTTCAGACTCCTGTCGCGTAAACAGACCCTTGGCAGCGGTAACGAACTGAGAGAACATAGAGACAGAGATTGAAATTCAACCCATGGGTGAAAAAGCGTTGCGCGGCGACCTGCAAGGTGATGCCCCAAAAAAATCTCTCGGCGTAAGGATTTCCCGGAGAAGGCTTGGCGTGGGCGGGTGGGTCCGTCGAGATCTATAAGACATTCTCGAGCTGACTACGGTCTACTCATGTTCTTCAGTACTTAAAATGGTCAAACTCTCTCGTACTACACAATAAAAAGACCCCATCTATCCTATCAAAAAGAAGAGGTAAAGAAGAGAAAAAGACTTGCTTAGCAACTGAGCGAGTCTCGACTTTCTTCACAGAAACCGACCCTCGTTGCCCAACCAGCTTCTAATGTAGTTGTAAGCTGTCACCAAGGTATTACCGAATTCTCCAGGATACGATTCACACTCTGTACAAGTGTCAATGGCATGCTGAGCGCCTTCGACGAATGCAATGGCATTATCGTTGCTGACCGCGTTGAGGTGGATTTCTCGGCATTCAAGTACTCGTAGTGGCCGGTCATTCCCATTGTCAGAAGAGGAACCTTGACACCCTTGATCGAGGCAACAGGTGCCATTTGTGTCGATTCGTAATCAATTCCATCAATCCCATCCGGTTGGTAGGCAAAATCTTCGCCCGCCCGAATGGCAAAAGTCGAAAGGTACCGCTTGACAGTGGTCTTAATGGAGCAACTTTGAAAATTATTCGAATAGTCGACGAAGTTGCTCGGAACTCTCACAGAGGGAACAACTTGGCGAGTAACCCCATACTTGTGCAGCAGTGACCAGGCATGGGTTGTATGGGCCAAGTATCTGGTATCCTGGGCGAAGAAGAGGTTGTTGAATCCAACGTATAACGATGCGGGGATAATAAGAGGCTCGTCATCACCGAATTATCCATTTCCTGCCTCAATTTCCTTCAAGCGCTCTTGTGCATGGTTAATAATTCGATTGCTGCGAGCCACGACGCCATTTTGGAATGCCTCCTTAAAATCTTCTGTATATTCCGAATTGGTATTGACGAACCCGTTGGTAGAGTTGAACAAGTTCAGAGACTGGTTCAACTTGGAGCCGGAGGTTTCGTCAATAATAGCTGGGTTTAAGCTTAATAGCGTCATGGTGGAGAGACCATAGATTGCATAGAGCAGCATCAGGCCATCAGCAGGCTCAAGGTCCGCCAGTGCATCAGAGCATTGATACAACTTCTCGGAACCTCGACAGGCAGAGACTCCATTCTCGGCAATGTTCGGATACTGAGCCATCATAGCGCCACCTCCACTGTGACCCAAGATGACAACCTTTTCGATTTCGGTGAGGTCGCGCAGATAGGACATGCCCTGATCGACTTCAGTCATAATGTCTTCAAAATTGAGATCCGACATGTATCCACTCTTGCTGGCATCGTTGTTTGCACAGAAGACAGTAAAGCCTCGTTTGGGCAGTTCCGTACAAGCAGAAAAGGAAGTGTAGTCCTGCTCGGCATGCATCATGTATACCACGATTTGTGATCGAGGGCCAGAGATAGATGGAAGGAATAGGCCACCAAGAACGCCATCATCGTCAAAGTCCACCAGAACCGGGGTTGGTAGTGTCCGATTGCTACCTTTTGCAGATACCAGTGGAGCAAATGATCCCAAGGATATAAGGGCAGCGATGGCCGCTGTTCGAGGGAACATCATGGTTGCACATATCGAGTAATGCCGCGAGTTGGTGGTTGGTGGTAAAAATTGTGGCTTTAATTAAAATTAGAGTCGAGGGCCTGGAGGAGAGGATCTACTGCTTATATAGTTTACGCAGCTTAACTTATTCCATCGGAAGATTCTGTTCAAAGTAGTTAGAATCGAATGGCTCGCTGTCATTTCGGTGACATCCTAGGGACACCATGACGCGTTGCGGACATTCAAGATCAATTCATGCGAGATTCAAATGAGAAAAGAGTGGATCTCATCCTTGAAAAGGCTTCTATGTACTTTTGCGGTTTAAAAGGAAGACTCTTCGACCTAGTAGAAAGCGTCTACTTGGGCTTGATTTCGAATGGAACTTATTTCGAATTGAAAACTGCGGAAAATCAGGGCCCATGTTCGAAGGAAATTTGTGTCAGGTTCGATAAGACTTTGCAATTGAAATAAGTAGGAATTCTGGTTTCTGCTCGCTTTCTGTAGCGTCTAGCATCGACAGCTGTCACCCTTGATTCACCGCAAAAGCAATTAAAGACCTCATCTCCGATATTTCGCCCTCCTCTAACTGGTAATTAACTCCGAGTCTCTCCTTGGACGTCACACATGGGAACAACGATCGTCGTTCTTTTTGCGGAGTCTAGTACTAATAAGGAATGGTCCGTTTTACGTGCGCTGCCTCTGGAAGTAGAACTTACATACTCCTATGATAGAGCAGGTGATTGGGTAGATGATCAGAAAGGTGATAGAGTAGGTAGCTGAGCATGCCCTATAATCCACAAGCGTCAGATTGATGGTATGATTCGATAAAACCATGAACAGAAATAGAGCGGGTTGGCAGGGAAAGACGAAATTGGTCCCTAGTCGACCTGCCGTTCAACCAAGATTTTGCATCTTCGGCTTGGGAACGTGAGGGAGTAGGTGTGGTAGCAGATAAATGGGATGCAGTTGCACACGAAATTGAGGTCGATTTGATTCCGTGTTATCCTGTTTCCCAAGGCATCAAAAAAGAATCCAAAAAAAAAACTCCCTTGCGTGCAATTGGTATCTTCATAGCCCATGCCTGAACGCCACCCTTTATGCTTGTCACCTCGTGAATCATGATAACCTAAATTGCAAACATCAATGCCAACACCACCTAAATGCAAGAATCCAGTGAGAGAGTCTAAAAGGTAATGTCCAGGATCAAGGCACACTGCTTGGATAAACTTCTGGTGCAATGCCCACTGGCACTCATTTTAGATGGCATCGCCAATGGCACGCTCCGCAACCTCCTCTTTCGCGTTGATAAAATCATCTTCCCCAATGTCGCTCAACTCGTCCTGTTGTTTCTTGAACTCTGAAATGTCATCCCCTTGGACAGCCCACATGTTCTCTCGCAGGCGTTTGTTGCGCTCACGGTCCTCCTCGATCCGCTGTTCGATTTGTCGCTTATCAACGCGCATTCCGGGGGCTTTGGGATTGCGTGGGGTCCCGGTCCTAGAGCGAGCGCTATATTCTGGCCCCTCTTCTTCTTCAAAATCAAGATGGCCGGGATGTGTATCACGATCTTTGAGGGCCGCATCAATCTCGGTAACGGTTTCGACGGACAAAATTTCCTTGCTCTGCATGTTGGTCAACACACGACGAACATGCTTGACGTTGGCTGCCCCAGTTCCATCGGGAGGCACAACTGCATCGACGACTCGAAGGATATCACGCTGCATCATGCGGACGTAAGGAAGATGGTTCTCTTTGATCGCCATTTCGCAAAAGTGTTCGATAAAGGACATGATGTTCGCCCGGTTGTTCATGTTGTTCTGTGGAATATAGTCAGTAACTGATAATTATGAAATATTGTTGCGAGGCTACTCACCCTCTCAATCTGTTCCAGAACGCATGAATGAAGATCTTCGTCCAGATCACGGTATTTGAGAGCATATTGCGCGGCCTTCTGCGACGACGCGACCGAGGCGCTGAGGTGTTGGAGTTGAGCTGTGAAGCGCATGCGCACCTCAAATGGATCGATCATCATTCTGTTTGCATATATTAGTATACAGAAAAAGCAAGTCTATTGGGTCTAGGACACCTGGCAGAGGAGGATTTGGAGCGGCCTGCCACCGGAGGCACCTCGGCGGTGGGGGTGGCAGAATTAGAGGTGTGGGGATCCATACTGCACCGTATTGTTCCAAAGTCGCGGGTAAAGTGATGATGTGGCTCACGATTTGGTCGCAGGTGTTCGGGTGAAGCTTGTTTCACTGGGAATCGAGGAATCGAGAGGGGTGTAAAGGAATTGGGGAAAGAAAAGATCAGAGTTCCTCCGCACGAGTTCCATTTGATTGTCCTGGCTGCAGGCTGTTTGTCATGTTTGCAGTTGTGGGCGGTGGACCCAGCAGGGGCTACAAGGACTTCACATCACAAGTTCTCAGCCGGTGGTGGGTCACATGACCGATGCTGGTGATAGTTGACTGTCCTCGTCCGACTCTCTTTCTGTTTTCAGATCACATTAGCTGTTCAGAGCATGCGTTTTGATTCGCACGAATTTATGCAATCACCTGCCGCATGATATCTCCACAGAGAGTATCTGTAAGAAATACACGCTCACAAATATCTGCCTTCACACAATAGGTGCTGCTATATATTTCAACACTTATCCTTCACACCGTGTTGTTCCATCCACCCATCCATAGATCTTGGTTACGTATGATGTATTTGCATCATAATAGAAATGAAGGTATATTCATGAAATTCTACAAAATATCACGAGATCTATGGTGGCAAGTCTTTTAAGATCTTCGGGAAGAAAGCAAGAAAGGCGCTGAATGCAGTGTACATGATAGTTAAAATAGAAGAAGGGAATCGTCAAAGGGAATCTCGCCTCAAGTTACTGCTGAGACTACTCCTGTCCTCGGCGTGGAGTAGGCCCTCCTCTTCAGCTCCGTGATGGCTTTCCTGGAACTGGTCACCTCGGAGAGCTTCTTGTCGTCGAAACTCTACACCGTTGAGGACTGACCAAACATCCTTTTTGGTCAGCAAGCCTTGCAAAATCCCCTTGTTGGCGAAAAGCACGTAGCGAAGACCCAGCCTCTGGAACATTCGTAGCACAATCAAAAAGCTGATGTTGCTGTTTAGGGTGATAGGAGTTTGGTCCATCCATGGCCGGAGATCAAGCGTCTCTACGGGGTCAGCGAATGGCTGGTGTGTGAAAAATACCTGAGCTTCGCCGGTGAGGTTGCGGTTCGTAGGTGAAGTCGAGTATTTCAAAGCATAAGAAAGTTCGTTGCGTGTAATGTACCCGAGGAGAGTGGGCGTCGAAGTCTCGGAAATAACTGGGAACCCTCGGTAGGTGGAGTTGGCCAGCATACTACGAAGTGAGCCAATGGTATGACCGGTGGCAGTAATCACCGAGACATCATCGACGGTGGTCATGACCCGACGAGCAGGCACATCCGGAGGAGTGGTATCATCTCGGTGATCCAGAAAAGGGTACTCATTGAGTTGGATCCATGATTCGTAGATACCACGCTTGCCGAAAATGTCGCCGCACCACTTCGAAAGCATTACCGCAATCATGATCGGAATAACATAGGTAAGTGCTCCGGTCAATTCAAACATGATGACCACGATCGACAGGGTCATCCGAGTCGCTCCACCGAGTGCAGAAGCTGCACCAATGATAGCGTATAGACCAGGAGTTACGCATGGAATGTCAGGCTCACACTTGCTGAAGAGGATGGCTTTGGGATACGCTTCCTGCCACATGCGGACAAGGATTCCCAGAGCGCGTCCATACAGAGCACCAATCGCCACAGAGGGCAAAATGATGCCGGCCGGAATGTCGAGCCCAAAGGTCAAAGAGGCGAGAAAGAAGGCCAGAACGGCGGCGACTAACAGGAAAGCGACAACTCCAAATGCCTTCGTCCCAGTCACGCAAAGACCAAAGCGGTCGTACGTTTCGCTGTTGCACTCAGAAAACAGGGACTGAACTAGCTCGGAGTTTTGAGCTCTCATGAAGTGATTTGGAAAGTTAATCAAAGCCGTCAGAAGCGCAACTATGGCCACTTCAAGTACTGGCTTCGAAGACGTCCGAGATCGCCGCCATTTAGCGATTTTGACATTCAAACGAATGAGGAATGCACCGAATAGACCACCCACAATACCAAGTATGATGAATGGGATAACCTCAAAGCGGTGCCATCCCCGAGTGTAAGTGACTTGGTAGAGGACGATCTTTCCTGTTCGGAAGGGGTTTAGAGCTTGCAAGGTGACTGCCGCCACCATAGCACAAACAAAGCTTTGCCACATGGTTTTGTCGGGGAAATAATAGGAAAGTTGCTTCAACCCGTCAGCAAGTGAGCCGCTTTCGCCAAAAATCTCCAGGTTGCTCTTACCTCGAGACTGAAAAGGACACCCCCAATAGGGGCCCCGAATGCAACCGAGATGCCGGCCGCAGCTGCGGCAGATAGAACCTCGCGTTTCCGAGCTGATGAATTGGTAAGTTTGAAATGTTGGAATGCAAAACTAGCTAGCAGTCTTACCTTCGTTGCCGTTCAGACTGTCAAAAGGCTTCATCATGATATTGGCGCAGCAGCATGCAACATGTACCAGCGGACCTTCCTTTCCTAGCCAGAGTCCGGACGCCACGGATAAACACTAAATCATTGTTAGAAAAGAACAGCATGTCATTCCACAATTACATACCAGTCCGAGCGATTTGATCGCAAGCGTCCACGGACCCATAAAGTGTCGGATTACAGTTCCGCCAAGTACCGTCTTGATTTCGGGTATTCCACTATGTCTTGCATAAATGGCAAACTTCCGGACCAGCACGCAGGCGCAGACAGCAAACAGCACCTGTTTTTCGTTAGCAAACAAGCAAACTTATAAGTATTCAATCTTCTTACCGAAAAGACAATGAAGAAGAGGTATTCCACAGTGTATTTTCCGCCTGCGGAGGATGCGCCCAATGCATTGCCCCATGGTGTCCAATCCAAGCATTTGGATTGATCTATGCCCCAATAAGTAATTAGCATCTCTGAACAGCTTTGAACCCAATAAGCATGATCATACCGTCTAGACCCCAACAGCAAAAGCTCCTGTTCAGATAGAATCTGCCACCACCTTGGCCATTCTTGCAATAGCCGGTTTTTAGATCACCCAGCCAGTCTGTCGCAATGTCAATTGCGGCGGCGATGATTCCAACTGCAATACCAGTCGCAACCAAAACCAGCCAGACGTTACTGGCATCGAGAAGTCGAAGAACATGTCCCATGAAACCTTGTCCACTGGAATAGAGGAGTCTCTTTCGTTGGCGTTCTTTGGTGTATTCGTATATCCAATCGATGGCAGTAAAGTCGTCATAACCGACGCGACGACCTGGGCCTTCCACATACCAGTCTAAGGGCGCACCGTCCTTGGAGGCATTTGTGTCTGCACTGGGCCCTAGCGGTCCATAAGGATCCAAAGGCGAAGCGTCTCCATTTTGTCCACCCTGGGTTCCTGTCGCTGCGAAGCCGAAGGTCGTGTCCGAACCGCCTGCGGTATTCGAAAATAGACTCGAGAGACTGAACCGTGACTGTCGCCTGGGTTTGCGCTTGAAAGATATCCTGTACCCAGATGCATTAGTGAAGCGCATTCTTATTCACCATTTATGATAACTCACGGCTCGTTGAGCCCCTCTGCTCCGCGATGGACTTCCTGAGGCACAGAGAGGCCGATATCTTGTTCGGGTTCTTGGTGTGCCGCTCGGGGCTCATCGGAATTCCCGGAGCCCTGATCAGTCATTGACATCGTGAACCATCAATAGCTTGAAGCGTTACCATCTCCCGACACGAAGACCAGGAAAAGGACACTGACAGGTTGATACGGAGCAGCGCGAGCTCCCCGGGCGCTTAGTCATTCTCGGGCCGCGCGACACGAGGCGGTGGGAGCATTATCGGTGGGGCTGGGTGCTGAGTGCCGGCAGAAAAAAAAGTAGTCGCGGGCCTTTCTCTTTCGACATCAAGGAGCTCCTCTGGCAGCCGGGCACAACATGGATGATCTGCCCGTCTACGAGAGGACTCTGAAAGAGTCTCAACTGCTCGAGCAGCTTCCCAGCGAGATCGCAAACCTCGTTCGGTCTGCTTCGGGCACTCAGCAACTACATGCGCTGGCGCTTGGCGCATTAAATCCGCAATTAACGGAAAACGTCTTCAGACTTTACGAACCGATCGTGGTGGATCTGGCAGCTCGGTGGCTTCGAACCGATATCAGTGCTGACTATATTCATGTACTGGCTGCCTTCGCACGGATCCTACCTTACGCGCCGTATCTACGACCTTTCGCAAGCCAATATGCTCTGTCACAAACAGGGCCACAGTCAGCCTTGACTGGCTCAAAAGAGCTCACCCTACGAGAATTGGACATACCCAGCACGCGAAACTTGCTCTTGGCTCTCTTTCGACTCCTTTCGTTCGACTTGGAGACTTTCTCCAAGGCCGTGTCCCCGATTCAGCTCCAATCGCTATTCCCCCATGAAGACCGAATCGTCCGATATCTCGCCGTCCGATGTTTCGCCCTTTATATGCATGCAGCAGATGCAGCTACCGAGAACATGCTGCGTGTAAATACTGGCATCGATCCCATTGAAGGAGATTGGGAAGGGATCACAATTGACTATCGCCTTTTGGGCCTGTGGGAGGAGCGACGGTGGTCATCACTTGCGAGTTCTATCCAACACCGCAGGGACTCAAGGCTTGATGATGAAGTCATCTCTCTTATTGGGAGCACCCGTGACGCTTTTACCAACCGATCCGCCGACATTTGCGGTGTTCTCATACCTCGTTTGAAGGACGCACACCCCTCCCCCTCGTCTGTTGTCAAGACCCCAACTGCAACCGGGAATATGCGTCTAATTGCGACATCGCTTCTTGGAACTAAGCCGATTCTTTTGATTGGTCTGCCGAACTCAGGAAAGTCGACGCTTATCAATGATATCGCTGCCACAATGGGCCAGGCTGAGTCAATGGTCACCTTGCATCTTAACGAGCAGACAGATGCAAAGAGTCTACTTGGAATGTACTCTACGTCATCTGCCACGGGATCATTTTCATGGCAGCCAGGTGTGTTGACCAAGGCTGCGAGGGAAGGCCGTTGGCTTCTGATCGAAGACTTGGACCGTGCTCCGTCTGAAGTGCTTGGCCTTATTCTTCCAATCATTGAAAGAGGCGAGTTGACTATCGCTAGTCGAAGGGAGCGTATCAAATGCGCTGAAGGATTCAAAATCATCGCCACTATGAAATCTTCATACAACATCGCCGGTGAAGAACTCGCTCCAACCACCTCTATGCTGGGAAGCCGGCTGTGGGAGAAAGTCCCGGTTGCCTCTCTTCCCGTGGATGAGATGCGGGATGTGGTGTTGCAAAAGTTTCCTCTTCTTGAGTCCCGAGTCCCAATTATCATGGATGTCTATGGCAGGGTCTGCGCTGCTTTCCACGGGAGTTTGGCGATAAAGGGCTCCCAAGGACGCACACCTGGTTTCCGTGACTTGATTAAGTTGTGCAGCCGCTTGCATCGTCGTTTACAACGCATTGGCGCGAAGACAGGCTTTGAAGCGACACCAGAAGGCTTCAATGACGAGATACTTCTGGATATTGTGGATATCTTCCTCAAGTACATCCCAGAACGGTCAATGCAAATGACTCTCGCGTCGGTTGTTTCCGAAGCCCTGCAAATCTCCCCTCAGCGATCACAGTTTTGTCTTGAAGAACGGACTCCGACTTTCACTGATAAGAATAACTCGCTGGTACTCGGTCGTGAGATTTGCCAGAAGATCAAGGTGCCAAGTGGTGCTGCACAAAAGCTTGCTGCCGCTGCCTCGCGTTTTGCTCCAACCAGATCTGCTTTGTCGATCATGGAGCAGGTCGCTGCCTCGGTGCAAATGTCAGAGCCAGTCCTTCTTGTTGGTGAGACTGGTATTGGAAAGACCACAGTCATTCAACACCTCGCTACATTGATGCGACAGAAGCTCACTGTCGTCAATCTGTCACAACAAAGCGAAAGCACGGATCTGCTAGGAGGTTTCAAGCCCGTCAGCATTCGTACAATGGCGGTACCCATGTTGGATGAATTCACCCAATTATTCGAGTTGACTTTTTCTGCGAAGAAGAATCAGAAATTCCTCTCGTCGGTATCCAAAAGTGTTGCTTCAGGAAACTGGACCCGCTTGGTGAACCTTTGGCACGAGGCCGTTCGTCTGGCCAATGGCGTTTTCAATCCTGCGCCGTCGAAAGAGGCTGAGAATGGCGATGAACAGCCAGCCAAAAAGAGGAAGCTCGACTCCCCGAAATACCAGCATTTGCGACAGCAATGGGGAAACTTTATGACTCAACTTTCAGACTTTGAGGCCCAGGTTTCTCAAGGCGACGCGAAATTTGCGTTTGCTTTCGTCCAGGGTAAAATCGTGCGAGCCTTGAGGAACGGTGAATGGGTTCTTCTGGATGAGGTCAACCTTGCGTCTCCCGACACGCTTGAGAATATTGCCAGCCTGTTGCATCATGGCAGCGAAGGGTCTCCCTCCGTTCTGCTTTCCGAAGCTGGTGATGTTGAGCGAGTGTTTGGTCATCCCAACTTCCGCATTTTCGGAGCAATGAATCCTGCAACAGATGCCGGCAAAAGGGACTTGCCTCCTGGATTGCGATCTCGTTTCACGGAATTCTATGTGCATTCGCCCGATAGTGATTTGAATGATTTGCTCGCATTGATTCATAAGTATCTCGGGGACCTGACTCTGGGTGACGATCGAGTTGTGCCAGATCTTGCCCGACTATACATGGAGACGAAGAAGCTCAGCAATGAAAACAGACTCACGGACGGAGCCGGCCAGCGACCCCATTTCAGTATCCGAACATTGGTTCGAGCTCTCATTTATGTCATCGATCATGCGCATGTTTATGGCCTTCGCCGAGCGATCTTCGAAGGTTTCAGCATGAGTTTCCTTACTGTACTAAGCTTGGAGTCTGAACAGACTGTAGCTCCCCTTCTTGAAAAACATATCTTTGAGAATGCAAAGAATGCGAAGTCTTTGCTCGGACGAACGCCTCGTGCCCCAGACGACGGCCATGCCTACGTCCAATTCAAACATTACTGGATGCGACAGGGTCCTTTGGCACCAGAGGAACAAACCCATTATATCATCACACCATTTATCGAGAAGAACCTCAAGAACCTGGTCAGAGCCAGTTCGACTCGACGATTTCCCGTTCTTCTGCAAGGTCCAACGTCCGCCGGAAAGACAAGCATGATTGAATACCTGGCAAAGGTCTCCGGAAACAAGTTTGTTCGTATCAACAACCATGAACACACAGACCTTCAGGAATATCTTGGATCATACATTTCTTCTGATGATGGGAGCCTGCGATATCAAGAAGGTGTACTGGTCGAAGCCCTCCGGAATGGATACTGGATTGTTCTTGACGAGCTCAATCTAGCGCCATCCGATGTACTGGAAGCTCTGAATCGACTCTTAGACGACAACCGTGAGCTTTTCATTCCCGAAACTCAGGAGGTGGTCCATCCTCATCCAAACTTCATGCTTTTCGCCACTCAGAACCCCGCTGGTCTTTATGGTGGCCGCAAAGTGCTCTCTCGCGCTTTCAGAAACCGTTTCCTTGAACTTCATTTCGATGACATCCCAGAAAGCGAGTTGGAGTATATTCTGAAAGAGCGGTCTCAAATTGCTCCATCTTTCTGCTCCCGCATCGTTTCTGTTTATCGGAAACTATCTCTCCTCCGCCAATCGAATCGTCTTTTCGAGCAGAAAAACAGCTTTGCCACTCTCCGTGACTTGTTCCGATGGGCGCTGCGTGATGCTGATGATCGCGAACAATTGGCAGTAAATGGCTTCATGCTTCTCGCTGAACGTGTGCGCAATCCTCACGAGAAAGCCGCTGTCAAGAAAGTGATCGAGGAAGTCATGAAAGTCCGCTTGGACGAAGCTGTCTTGTACGGTGACAAAGAACTTGAGAAGAGCCTGCCCCAAGCGACTGACCTTCCCTCTGGAATCGTCTGGACTCAAGCCATGCGGCGTCTCTTCGTCCTGGTTTCGAAGGCAATCAAGAACAACGAGCCAGTTCTTCTAGTCGGAGAGACCGGGTGCGGCAAAACCCAATTGTGTCAGGCTGTCGCCGAGGTCTTCAAACGCGAACTATTCATTGTCAATGCACATGTCAACCTCGAGACCGGTGATCTTATTGGTGCTCAAAGACCAATCCGGAACCGTGCCGCGATTGAAAAACAACTCTCAGACGATCTGCAAGTGCTTCTTCACGGACAAACTTCCGCATCATTCCCCCTTGACCAGCTGAAGGAAGAATTCTCTGCCCTGGATATGCAGCAGCGGGAAGACAAAGACCAAGGTCTTTTGCGGAAAGTTGAGAGAAACATCGTTAGGTGCAATGCTTTATTCGAGTGGTCCGATGGAAGTTTGATCACTGCCATGAAGACAGGCCAGTTTTTCTTGCTGGATGAAATTTCTTTGGCCGACGACTCCGTACTTGAAAGATTGAACAGTGTGCTTGAGCCACACAGATCTATTCTTTTGGCTGAAAAGGGCCCGATTGATTCAATGGTCGTGGCCGACGGAGGTTTCCAGTTTCTTTCAACCATGAATCCTGGTGGAGATTACGGAAAAAGGGAGCTTTCGGCCGCCCTTCGCAATCGTATGACTGAAATATGGGCGCCTCAGCTATCCGAGGACGAGGATATCTTGCCAATTCTTCAGATGAGGCTCACTCTCAAGCAGGAAGAAGTCGCCAGGGCCATGCTGCAGTTTGCAAAATGGTTCAAGGCAACTTTCCAAAACACATCGACCACCTCTCTTTCACTTCGCGACCTTCTTGCCTGGGTTGACTTTGTCAATACCTGTCAAAGTGCAGATCCGTTGTTTGCCATTATCCAAGGTGCTGCCATGGTGTTCGTTGATACACTTGGCGCCAACCCAGCTGCCATGCTTGCCATATCATTGAACAATCTGGAAGGAAACCGCCAGAAATGCCTTGATAAGCTGAGCGAGCTATTCAACACCGACGCCTCCAAGATCTATTGGGAATCCTCGACCGTCACTCTTGAGCCTGAGTATCTGAGAGTAGGACCATTCTCACTACCAAGAGTTGGCGACGTCGATGCAGACCCGCAATTCACCATGGATGCTCCCACGACGATAGCTAATTGCGTTAGGATCGCACGTGGTCTGCAGTCTTCCAAGCCGATTCTCATGGAAGGTAGCCCTGGTGTTGGCAAAACCACTCTTGTGACCGCGCTTGCGAAGGCGCTTGGAAAGCCTCTCACGCGAATCAATTTGTCAGAGCAGACAGATCTTACAGATCTATTTGGATCTGATGTTCCGGTGGAGGGAGGAGATGTGGGTCAGTTTCAGTGGCGAGACGCCCCATTTCTTCGAGCAATGCAACGCGGCGACTGGGTGCTGTTGGACGAGATGAACCTGGCCTCTCAGTCCGTTTTGGAGGGTCTGAATTCCTGCCTCGATCACCGTCAGCAAGTTTATATTGCGGAGCTTGACCAAACATTCAAGCGACACCCTGATTTTGTTCTTTTTGCAGCACAGAACCCGCACCACCAGGGTGGTGGCAGAAAGGGACTTCCTGCATCATTTGTCAACCGTTTCACTGTCGTCTACGCAGACAGCTTCACAGATGCCGATTTGAAGAAAATCTGCGCCAAGCTTTTCCCTGGCAGCCCTATCTCCCAGACCGAACTATTGGTTGACTTCATTTCCGCTCTTAACAGAGCCATTGGCATAGAGCGGAGGGTAGGAGCTGTTGGTGGTCCGTGGGAGCTCAATCTGCGAGACATTCAGAGATGGCTGCAGCTGGCAGATCGCGGAAATCTCCAGATTCCTACCAAACATTTCCTCGATGTTGTCATCAATCACCGATTCAGGAGCGAAGAAGATCGGATTCTGATTTCGCAGCTCTATGACCGCATTTTCCCCAACCCTGACGCTGTTCCGAAAAGCTATTATCACAACCTGACTCCAGACTACCTGCAAGTCGGATTGGGAATCTTATCTCGCGACCCAATTCTTCAACGTTCAGCCGAGCCCCAGATGAAGATTCTGCCGAAGGATCTCCATATTCTTGAGTCTCTTGTTCTCTGCATTGATAACTCCTGGCCCAGCATTTTGGTTGGTCCCACTGGATGTGGAAAAACAACTCTCATCAAGAAGCTGGCAGCTGTGAAAGGTGCAAATCTAGAGGAGCTTGCCCTGAGTGCCGATACCGATACTATGGATCTCATTGGCGGGTTCGAGCAAATTGACCACAGAAGGGAAGTTTCTTCCTTTGTGCATGACATTGAACTTTTCTTACGACAACAAGTCATCCACTCTTTTGCTTCGGGGGATGTTACCGACGATGTGGCCTCGGCTCTTCAAATTTGTCAACATTTCCAGACCTCAGAGACATCGTTGGAGACTGTAATCTCTTCGTTGTCAGCTCTTTGCCAGTCATATTCTGACCCAACCCTTCAACGGTTTCTCGAACGAGCCCAAGGCTTATGGGATACGATCCGCCACTCAGATACGATGAAGGTTGGATTCGAATGGACAGAGGGTGTTCTGACTCGAGCAGTCCAGAATGGCTATTGGGTTGTTCTTGACAACGCCAATCTGTGTAACCCATCTGTTTTGGACAGACTCAACTCCTTGACGGAGCCCAATGGTACTCTCATTCTCAATGAACAACGTACTGAGGACGGATCAGCTCGAATCATCACGCCCCACCCGGACTTCCGACTCTTCTTGACCATGGACTCACGGAACGGAGAGTTGTCTCGTGCTATGCGAAACAGATGTGTTGAAATCTGCTTCATGTCAAATGAGCTCCAGGATATTCCTGTCCCAACCGGCCCATCATACACCTGCGAGTCCTCGCTCTATCGCCTCCGCCATATTTGGAATCTGGATGCGACTACGCGGTTTGCAAACCCCCAGGGTTCATTCGAGATCTGTTTGGATCATCTTTCGCCTACAGATCTTTCCTATCTCCAGAAGACACCACGCACATATCCCCCTTTCCATGCCAAGGCTGACGAGGACTCACCCTTCTTGTCTGCATTGCAGCGTCATGCTTCTGCTCTTCATGAAAATTCACAGTGGAAGCCACTCAACGTTGTTGCTGGGGAGATCACAATGGGCGGAGCACGTTTGAGCCTCCAAGGGACGTGGCAGCCTATCCATCCTTTGACCAACGAGCCGCTAGTGTCAATAACAGGGATGCGTGATTACCGATCCAGCCTGACTGCTCTGTCCTATCTCGAAGAGTTCAGACTTGAGACCCATCGACTCCGGCAGAGCTTAATTCGAGCCAATGAGTCCAGTCAGCAGCTCAAGCAAAGTCAAATGACCCGACTGGAACGATCTTTGGCATCGACTCGGATCCAATCTCTGATGAAAGATTCAACGCAGCCAGTTGGAATATTCCTTTCTGAGTGTGGCCAAGCTTTGCTTGATTTCATTCAAGGCTTGGGAGAGGGCAGTCTCCAGTCCCCTGAGATTGTAGCTGCGCTTCGGACAATTACTAGTCTTTGTTGGGATATTTATAAAATCACAAACGTGGCTCAAGTTGATGAGGGAGAGTTCCAGGTTTATCTGGAGATCGGCAGACAAGTGTGTACGACTTTGCTCAACTCATCTTCTATTCTGGGACCGCTGGAGAAAGCTCTATCACGCGCACTCGGTCGTTTCCGAGCTGGCTGGGAGCTCACCACAGGACTGAGCATGCAGAGGATTTGGGACTCATGGCGACATGTCACTCCTGCTTCACATGAACAGCTCACGTCATTGATCGAATTGGAAAAAACCGTGTCAGACTTTACTTCGCTTGCTCTGCAAACCCGCGTGGAACTGTCGCAACTGAGCCAGATTTGGGACTCGCTGTCATCTGCTCAGCGATTCATTCTTGTGAATGGCGCGGACGGTGATACCCTTGTACAGGGTATCAAAGAAACTGTTACAGAGCTTGGTCAAGCTGTCCGACGTTCCGATTCAGCGGAGTATCCGTACTTTGCAGAGGATTTCGAGACACTTTGCCAATACCATGATCTCGCCCATGATTCGGTTCAATCTAAATTACAAACGGTCGTTCCCTTGCTGGCTGGTCGCCCGGCTCGTTCTTTCGATTCATCCGCCACCCATAGCCGTGTGCCCGAACTCCTTCACCGAATCACCCTGTTTTCTGGTGCAGGCAGTAGGCCCCCATCTGCCATTGGCGACGTTCTGTCCTTGTCATTGTTGGCTCGACTTGCATCGGTCGGTGCTACAACTCTTGGTCAAATGGACCTGCTGCAAGCCGAAAAGCAGGCTCTCTCAAAAGCACTTTCTCTGAGCAGTGAAAACATTGCAGTTGATCAGCCCAGTAACCTCAGACGTGCTATTGCGGCCTTGACAGGAGAAATGATCTCATGCCATCGGGAACTGTTTGATTCTCAGTGTGCGGATCAAATGATCGCTCTACTCCAGGCTGTCGAATGTGGAAACAAGGCAGATGAGTCTGTGATCCCAATCCATCTGGACACACATGTTGGACATGAGCACGTCTTAAGAAGCTTTACCCCGGGTGACCTTCAGAATCTCATCAAGTCTCTCTCCTCTACTCCGCCCAATCGCATGGAAAGCGTCCATTGCACTGGTTTTGCCGCAGTCCAGCTAGCCGTTATTCTTTTACGTCTCTTCGTTCCGGATAAGGCTTTCGATCCTTCACTTGGTCTCGTCGTGCAACGAAAGCGTCATTACGAACGCGTGGGCGAAATCAGTGCCAAGCTAGATGCTATTCTCTCCTTCGAGAGCAAATTTTCTGGCCACTCGTCTAACTTGCGTTCCATTCTCCTGGAAGAAGAGATCAAACAACTGGGATCTGCTCCGCCTCCTTCATCTGTTACTCGGCCACAACAGTCAGAGTTGAGTCTTCTACAAGGAGAATTTGGTAACTTGATCAATTCTGTTCTGAGAAGGAATCCCGAGGAGATGGTTGCGACAGTCGAAAGCGCCTCAGCGTCTAAGGAGACAATTCAGCTTCTGCGCGAGAACATTCAGCAGCTCAGCAGCCGACTCCGCACGCATTACAGATCCTATGACGATATCACAGTGCCCGTTGCTCGTTTCCTCCAACTCCTCGACGTTGGTCTTTTCCTGAGCTCCAGCGAAACCGAGCACACTAGCGAAATCGATGACATTCAATCCTTGAGTGAACGGACACCATTCTTGGGTGGATCAGCACACCCGGTTCTCTCTTCGGGCAAGGCCAGCCAGCAATCGAGTCTCAACAATGCGATTGAAATGCGTCTTCACGAACTTTCTGGAGTCTGGGCTGCCAAGGACGCAGATTCTGGGCTTCTTGGTCTCAAATCTAGCCATGACGCAATTCGTCGTATTTTTGCTGATTTCCATCATCTTTGGAAGACAAAGCTTAAAGAGGACCAAGAGAAAGAAGCAGAAAAGTCCAATCTGTACCGCTACCGAGGTTCGTGGGAGGACGAGGAAGAGGTCAACGAGGCCGAACTTCACGAGCTGTTCCCCACCTATGATGAAGGTGCTCCTCTAGATCCGCAAGAGGTTGGTCGGATTGACCCCAAGCAAATTGCTGTGCGCCTTGCCTCACTTCATGCCAAGATTGTGAGCAGCCAGCGTACTGGGGAGGCATTGCCCTCGTTCGTCAAGCAATCTGCACGTTTGTTGGGTTCGATTTGGTCCACAAACAAGAGTTCATTCTCTCCTGTGACATCTGGTGATTTCTTGTCTGCAGTTTTTATGCTTCTCGACGAGGTCATGAACGAAGACAACCAAGACCGACAGAAGAATTACAACTTCTACACCGACTCCAATTTGGCAGAAGCTAGGAAGCTTGTCAACCTCACTTTGGCTATTCAAGCTCGCTTTGTGCAGATTCAGTCTGCATGGCCCGAGCATGCCGTACTCGCCGATGTGATTAACTGCTGCTCTGAAATTCTTCAATTCAAGTACACCGAGCCTGTTGCCAAGTTCCTGACTAAGGTCGAAAAGCTTCATTCCTACGTTCACGAATGGCAGCTAGTTGCTAGCAGGGAATATTCGGCAGCGCCGCAGTATGACGAGATCACCAGCATGACTGTCGGCTGGCGTCGTCTTGAGCTTACCACCTGGGCGAAACTCTTGGATCTCGAGAAAGATCGATGCGAAAACGATGTCAGCTCCTGGTGGTTCGTCGCCTATGAAGCTCTCTTTGCGGTGCCCCTGCAGATGGCCGAATCTGGTGAGCACGACATGAGTGAGCACATTCACGGTGTCATTTCGACGCTGGAACAATTCTTCAACTCCACCACCTTGGGCCAATACGGTCGTCGTCTCCAGCTTGTCTCTGACTTCAAATCGCTGCTCGAGGTCTTTTCCCATGATTACAACTGTCTGACACCACTTGTGTCCGCGCTGAACAACTTCATTGCCCATTACCGACCTTTCCAGCCGTCCGTCGACAAGATCCTGCATGAAAAGCGATCAGCGTTGGAGAAAGACCTCAAGGAACAGATTCAACTAGCCAGTTGGAAGGATACCAATATTGTGGCACTCAAGGAGAGTGCTAGAAGGTCGCACGTCAAGCTGTTCAAGCTGGTCCGCAAGTATCGTGAGGCTCTCGCTCAGTCTGCTCAGCCAGTTCTCGAACAAGGTCTTCCGGATGACATGGCAGACTCCAATGGGCTTCATGAGAAGACATTGCCAACTATTGTGTTCCCCGAGGCACTGTCAATTTGTGAGAAGGAGAATGAGTTGTGGTCGTCCCGAGCTCTTCGATTCCGCAATCCTGAAGGCACAGCCCGCAACATGATGAATCTGTATTCGTCTATTCCGCGCGAGTTCGATATTGCTAAGGATCTCGATGAATTCACCGTATCCATTATCGAGGGTATCAAGGAGTTCAAATCTCAAACACCGAAGACTCTGACCGAAGAGAACAAGGACGATGTTCAACATCTCAAGGTTCAAAAGCGTCGTCTTTACGCCGATACATTGAAACAACTTTTCGAAATGGGTGTGAAGCGTAACGCCGGTACAAGTGTGATCGAGACTCAGGCATCGCTTGCTCAGATTCTTTCAACTTGCGCTTCATTTGAGCCCGGCACCGCCGTATTAAACTCTACCCATAGTGCCGACTCATATTTCCATCGACTCTTGGACCTGTTGCCTCGTGCTCGCCTTGCGTCACGGAACTACTCTGAAGAACTCAGCAACGTCGAGGTGTCCCGGAGTTTGGGCTCGATTGAACATTTGTTGTTCATGATTCGACGACAGAGAGGCGTCATTGCTCCAACTCTGTCTGGTCTTGATTCTTTCAGGGCCGTTCTGGATAAAATGCGGAGCCTTTGGTCTACTGGGTCAGCCTCGCTGGTCAAGTGCAATCCCACCGCTAGCGAAGAGCACACCAGTCTGGCCCGAGCCGTGGCATGGTTGGCACCAATTCTGGGCCTTGCATTGACAATCATTGAAGTGCATTCTAAGTTCTCTGGCATTCAGGCGTCCACGATCTTGGAAGAGCTTGGATCGAGAAAGGCTTCATTTGAAGAGTTGCTCAAATCCCTCGGATCGCTACCCAAGCTCCCATCTGGCGTTTCCTCTGTCGCCCAGCAAGAGTTCACTCAGAAGACTCGCTCTTCTTTGGATAAGCTCTCTCTCGATCTCAACAGATGGTCCCAAGATCGCCCCGATCTCGCCTTTGCCCTAAACCAGATCTCCCCTTGGGTCCAGTCAAGCAACATTGCCCCTGCACAGCCAAACCAAAAGGGCAACGTTTCCACCCAAGCCTTTGACAACAGGCTTCTAGCTGCGATCGACAAGATGCTCGTTGGCCTCCAGCACCTCAAGGAAGTGCCTACTACGATTAACTTTGCTGGCTTTCTATCAAGAAGTGACGAGTTCTTCTCTCGATCCTCTAAGGCCGTCCGCATCAATGAGATTACGTCCTCACTTGCAATGGTACTCGACCAGTTGCAATATCTGCAAGACAACTCCGCCAGTGGCCTGCCCATTGCCGCTGCATTGGTTGCTAGTATCCTGCCTATTGCCAACCAGTACTTCTACATCTGCCAGGACCTATGTGACCGATTTATTTCCGCCCACCGCGAGATTTGCAAGACTTCTTACATCCTGACCAAGACTTTCACCCAAGTCGCATCCGAAGGCTTCTGCAGTCCCGCAGAAGCGTCCCAGGAAGAAGGCAAGGAGGGCAAGCTGGAAAGTGGAACTGGTCTTGGTGACGGTGAGGGTGCAGAAGACATCAGCAAAGATGTTGGCGATGACGAAGATCTCTCCGAGCTCGCCCAGCAGGGCAAGAAGGAGGATGTCGATGACGAAGAAATGGATGATTCTGCCGACGCTGTCAACATGGACCAAGAAGAAATGGAGGGCGAGACTGGTGATCATAAAGAGGAAGAGGGTGATGAAGATGAGCAGGACGACAAAGATGAGGCGGGTGAGGACGACATTGATGAAGAAGTCGGTAGTGTTGATGATCTTGATTCCGGTGCTGTTGACGAGAAGCTGTGGGATGGAGAAAACGATGAACAGCAAAAGGAGACAGAAAATGAGGAAGGAAAGGGCCAGTCTGAGGCTGATCAGCAAACTGCTGCTCAAGACCAAAAGAAGGCCGATGAAGGTCCTAAGGGAGATGAGGAAGAAGGTGAAGAGGAGGACGAAGAGGATGAAGAGGATGAAGAGGCTCCTGATGAAGAAGGTGAGGCAGTTGGCCGTGAGGAGATGGATGTCACCGATCCTCAGACCAAGGAGGAAGAGACTCTTGATCTCCCGGAGGAGATGCAGCTAGATGGCGATGACAATGACGGTGGCGGTGAAGAGGAAGACGATGGCATTGATGACATGTCAGACATGGGACCGCTTCCCGAGGAGGAGCAGAAGACCGATGAAAGAGACGATCAACCTGGAGAAGAAGATGCAGACATGCCTGCGGATGAGCAAGCTCCTGGCGAAGATGAGGATATGGAAGGCGAGGGTGAAGAAGAGACCAACGAAGGAGAAGGCAACGAAGAAGAGAATGAAGCTGGTGGAGAGGAGCCCGAAGAGCCAGACCAGGACGACTTCCTTGCCCAGCATGACGACAACGAAGCCGCTGGTGATGATGTTGCAGAAAGTGAAGCTGTCACTGGTGGCCTGGGCAATGATCAGGATCAAAACGACAATGGTACTTCCGGCGACGCACAGCAGGAGAGCGGTTCAAACGACCCCAACGCAAATGCTGAACAGAAGACTGGTGCTGCCAAGGACAGCGACGAAAGCAAGCGAAGCCGTGATGCTGGTGGAGCCGAAGATTCTGCGCCGAATGAACCTCAGATCCAGGCCTTCAAGAAGCTGGGGGATATCCTGGAGGAATGGCATCGTCGTCAAAAAGAGGTGCTGAATCCATCGCAAGAAGAGGAAGACTCGCAAGCTTTGCCGCAAGACACCGACATGGCAGATGCCGATTTCGAGCATCTCAAGGATGATGATGACCAGGCCGATACTCAAGCCTTGGGACAAGCCAGCGAGGAACAGGCCAAGGCTCTTGACCAAAACAAGGGTGTCGAGTCTGAGAACAAGCCTGGAGACAACGAAGCGTTGCCAGATGTTTCCGAAGAGTACCAAGATGCTCTCGACAACCAACTCCAAGACGAGATGCAGATCGACCGCGAGCTCGTTCCCAACGACGGTCAATCCGCTGGAGCTTTCATCCCGGGTGACCATACTTCACGCGATCCAGCCGAGGGTGCTCCGGGGGCACAAGAACTGACTGAGGAACTTGACGAAGTCGACACTCAGCTCGCGGCGATCCATCTATCTTCTTCGCTCCCGCCATTGACCCCAGAAAGCGAAGCCCGTCGCCTCTGGTCTCACTACGAATCCGCCACCAACGACCTCTCCCTCTCTCTCACCGAGCAACTCCGTCTCATCCTGGCCCCGACTATGGCTACCAAGCTCCGTGGTGACTTCCGCACCGGCAAACGACTCAACATCAAGCGCATCATCCCGTACATTGCCTCCCAGTACAAGCGCGACAAGATCTGGATGCGTCGTTCGATTCCCTCCAAGCGCAATTACCAGATCATGCTTGCCGTCGACGACAGCAAGTCAATGCTAGAGAGCGGCAGTGGCCAGCTTGCCTTCGAGACCCTCGCTCTAGTCGCAAAGAGTCTAAGCATGCTCGAAGCTGGCGACCTGTGCGTACTGGGTTTCGGCAGTGAAGACCACGTCCGCGTTGCCCACGAATTCGGCAAGCCATTCTCCTCCGAAGCCGGCTCACAAGTCTTCCAGCACTTCAGCTACCAGCAAACCGGCACAAATGTGCGCAAGCTGATCGCCGATTCCATTGCGCTCTTCCGTGAAGCAAAGTGGAAGCGTTCGCCTGGCTCTGGCTCTGCAGACCTTTGGCAACTCGAACTGATTATCTCTGATGGTATCTGTGAAGATCACGATACTATTCGTCGTTTGGTGCGCCAGGCTCTCGAAGAGCGCATCATGATCGTGTTCATTATCGTTGATGCTGTCAAGGGTAGCTCCATTCTGGATCTTTCGCAGGCTAGCTTCCAGCCTGATGCTGCTGGTGAGATGAAGTTGCAGATGAAGCGGTACTTGGAGCATTTCCCCTTCCCTTACTATCTTGTGGTTCGTGATGTGAGAGAACTTCCTGCTGTTTTGGCGACTGCTCTGAAGCAGTGGTTTGCCGAGGTTGTTGATGTGTCGTCGTAAAACGACTGAGGAAAAAAATGGGTTGCAATATTTGGAGTTTATTGATTACTATTATGGCGCTTGGGGATTTTCTTTTGTATATCTTAGAGCTTAGACACTGTACATTTACTTAAAATGATACTTCATACATGCTTCAACTCAAGTCTATCGGTGTATTTCGTAAAAATCCCACACTAGCGTAATGTTTAAGATATGAGATGGTGTGAACTTGACCGTGAGCAAATACACTCCCTAGACAACACCCTAGACTGATGGGTATGAAAAGACGCAAAGAATTATCAAACAGAATTTTTTTAAGTGACTATAGAAAACCAAAGTAGGCTACGCAGAACACTCAATTCTGATCTTATGTATGATGGAATCACATTCTGAGCTACGATCTGAAGTTGGCGGTATACAAGCCCTAGGTGCTGCCTACTAATTTACTGATAGTACAATGACCAAGACAGATAGCTTCGGCAGAAGTGAATGCATTCAGATGTATATGTCTGAAGTACTACTGACTTTGAAAACCAGATATCATATGTAACTGGCAAAATACTCCGAAATGATCAGCCCACACTGGTAGATAGAAAGACTGCACGAGCCGACCTCCCCAACAAACTCCAAAGACTGATGTCTCTCCACCACAACTGGGAACAAAAGAAATGTTGAGTGAAAAGATAACTAGATCGAAGATCAAGTAAAAATGTGATTGAATGGATGGATATGTGCAACACCAAAAATATGCAACCGCTCGCGATCCCAGAAAGAACTGTAGGTCCTTGCTAGAGGCAAAACATGCTGAGATAGATGTAAGGGATGGAATAAGAGTAAGGAAAAATCAGGCAAACAATGGATATCCGTGGTCGTTAGATGGCACGCTATATTCGAAAAAAGAAATGGAGGTGGGGAATGGATTGGGTCAGGAAGATGCATCGGGCATTGGCTGGTCGGCGTCACTGCTCGAGACTGTGGGTGGAGGGTCTGAGAATAGTTTCCGCCGCCGAGGGTTTATGGTCAGATCCGTATCATCGGTGGAACCAATGCCAGGTGTACTCGAGGCGCTTTCGATGGCAACGGAATCCTCGTATTCGTCTGGGGGTGGTGCGAATGACCAAACCTGGGAAAAGGTCAATAAGAACGAAAAGAAGAATAAAAAAAAAAGGAAAGACAAAAACATACCTCCATCACGGTACGTCCGGACCGACTAGCCATGATTACAGCCTTTTCTTCCTCGAAAGCAACCCTCCAAACTGCCTCTGCTGGGGACGACAGTTCGCGGAGGAGTTGGCCAGACTGCAAATTCCAGACCTTCACGCGACCATCGCTACCACCGCTAACGATTCGAGTATTATCAAATTGAAGACTTGTCACACTGTTATCATGGGCTGCTAGCCGGTGGATCGGCGCCATCTTGGTCAAGGACCAAACGCGCACCGAGCCGTCCGAGCCGCCCGTTACCAGAGTGTCGCCACGCATCTGGAGTTGTCCAACCAAGGAAGTATGCCCCTGGAGAATGGCATGGCACTGGCCGGAGTTGGGATCCCAGATGCGCACGCTCGTATCTAAACTTCCGGTCGCGATGCGTCGGCCATCAAACGCGATTGCATAGATCTGGCTGAAATGACCCGACAGGGTTCGAAGGCACCGGCCCTGGGAGATACTCCATATCCGGGCCGTCGTGTCGTAGCTACCCGAGACAACCAGATCGCCGTGGATGGCGAGGCATCGGACACTAGCCTGGTGCCCAACTAGGACATTGCGGCAAGTCCCGGTGGCCAGGTCCCAGATGCGCAGAGTGGTGTCTCGGGACCCTGAAATGGCGGTATTGCGATCAGACATTTTTAAACATCTGACCGTCGAGGTGTGACCTCGAAGCAGGTGGATACCCGCCCTAGTGTCCCTGATTAGCGCTGGGAAACTTCCTGGTGTCGGTGAGACTGTATCTAGTATCATGCACACTTACCCAGTCGCCATGTTCCAGACGCGCACTTCTCGATCACAACCGCCGCTGACCAAGATGTCATCCCAGGGCACCATGGCCCAGACCCCCATCACGTGCCCCTGGAGGGTCTTCTGGTTGTCGCCGTTGGTATCGTAGATATGGATCTTAGCGTTGTCGAGGGCGACGACGATATACTTGGGGGTGAGATGCAGACTCGTCACCACGCCCTGGTCTGGAGTGATATGCCGCTGGGTGCAGCGGCCACCTTTATTCCACGCGGACTCGACCATGTATTTCTGCTTAAACTGCGATCGGTAGGAAACCGGTCGCGCTCTGCGTCTGCGTGCTGAGAAACTGGACGGGGGCAGCCATTCCCCGGACAAAGTGCGGGGAAGGCCGGGTGTGCTTTCGATGGACGCCTCGTTGGAGGCGGTCAAACGCCGGTTAAGAGCGTGAGATTCGGGCCTCGAGTCCACCAAGCGAGGTGTGCTGGGTTCCATCTCATCGTCGTTGGAGATCCGTCGGACAGCGTAGGCGTGTTTTTCGCATAGATTCTTCCAGGTGATGTCGTCGTTCAGTAGTTCTCGCCAGTGTCTTGAGACTTGGGATGCCCGGGCGAGCGTTTTCGGATCGTCGATAAAGGACAAGACCTGTTCGGGATATTCGCGTTAGCAATATGATCACTGGTAATCCCTCTTTAGTTCTTCTCAGCCATGCGAGATCCGCACTACGGCCAAGATGGTCTTACCCTCAAGCACAGTTCATTTGGGAAGACTAAGAACGGGTCCTTTCGTAGCCGAGGACCGACGTAACTGGAAACAAAACTCAGCTGCTGGCTGTCGCATACATCCAGTATCCCTTCGAGGAGTTTCTGCTTGCGAGCGTTGGACAGGGTGCTGAAGTGGATGCGGAGATTGAGCAGGAAGGTATTCTCCTCTTCGTCAGACGACAGCCAGTTCGGGGGCCGCTGGTGCGGTGTTGGACTCGGCGCGGGTGTCGGAGGTGAAGCGGGAGCCGAAGGTAAGAGGTTCGCAGGGATCGGAGTGACGTTTTTCTTGTTGGTGCTGAGAGACCGACTGGGGGTGCTGGTGAAGCTGGAGACGGAGTCGCGGGTCGAGGCCGGCGGGTGCGCCTCCAACTGATCGGACAGGATCGAAGTCATCGAGCCGCCCATGCCGTCCAGGCCGAGTCCTGCGTCAGATTCCATTGTGAAGCCCAAGGCGCCGAGAGGAGGAGCCCGAGAAGTCAATCTATTTCACGTCGAGAATGCCGTTCGCAGGCGGGCCGGGGCATAGAGGAACTGAAAAGTTCGCGGGCGGTCGGAGGGGTGTGTAGTATCGCCCGGGGGGGGGGGAAGAAGCGAAGTGGCTGGCAAAAGAGAGTTGAAATGCGCCGGGGATGCTGGGATTCGGGTTCTTTTCAGCTCGAGTCTGGAGTCGCAACGCTGGACCCCGGCCGTGGGGGTGGTGTGCCTGCACTTTTTCTTCTCTTTTTGGCCGATCTTGCGAGACGAGGAGAAAGGGACATTTCAGGCGGAGATGGATGTCGTGACTGGTGACAAAGCCGCCAAGCTCCCCCGTGTCTCCACTTTGAACCCGTCGATGTTCGCGCTTTCATTTCTCCACACCCTCAAAGGCGTCACGGGAGGCAGCCGGCGCGGAGGCAACGAGGCGATGGCCACCACCTGATCATCGAGGCCTCGAGGCAAATCCGTTCCAGACCAGCTGGCCCGAGACAGAGGCATCAAGCAACCTCCGCGTGCTGCGGCTCTTGCGGCGTGCGGGAATCCGACGCGGACGTCCACACCTAACCCACTCTCATCCACTCTTCTATCCACAATCGTCCGCCCCAGTTCGCTCGCGTCTCAGATCTCGGATCTATACGAAATGCCTTCAGTCCGTGGGTGGCCGATCGGCACGCTAGCGCCGACCATGGAACGACCCGTCGGGCAAGGATGATTCAGACTGACGAGACTGACGACACCTTTCATCACCCGCAAGGTGATTCAAACGTGAGCGAGGAATCCCTCACTCACGATCGACCGGGGTGCACCGGCTTTTTATAGAAGCTGAGAGGCACGTCACGCTACGTCGATGTGATCGTGGACGACAAGCGGCAGGGACGAGAATGGAGAAAACACCATGCAATGATGACCAACATGCTCCAATTACACAGGGAATATTCTAGTGACACATTCAGGATCCTCCACAACTTAGACTCATGCCTGTCAGTAATCAAGCCAGTCTCCTTCAGAGGTATATCTCGCAACAGATGCCAAACCAAGGGTATATGCTCTCCCGATATCCAGCCCGTTGCGCAAAGTACAGAAAAGTAAAAAGGAGAAGAAATTCAGCAAAGCGAAGGGGAATAGGAAACACCGCATAGACAGGCATCGTGTACTCTTTGTAGCTGTACACATTTCAAACAAAAGTGACAGAAGCAGACCTCGGGCAAGATTGGTATCATATATGAATGATATAGACCGGGTTCTCGTGCCTAAGAGTAGACGATGAAAGTCATGTAGGTGAGAAGAAGTAAAGGGCGTGCTCTAATGGGCATGTCCGATCTGCAGGAACAGCGGCAGGATCATACCAAGCACAGAAGCAATCAGGTCTCGCATGGATTTGTCCTCGCCGTTCTGCTCCCGAGCGTCGCCATATCCATTCACGGGAATTGTCCGTGAGGACGAGCCGGGGCCATTCTCTTGCATCGTATGCATCGCAACATACCTGTTGTCCTCGTTAGGAAAGTACTGTTTCTCGCTTTACAGAAAGAGTTCACTCACAAAAAGGTGCCGCCAGAGAAAAGCAGAAGCATTCCAGTCCGCCAATGAGCGGTGGCTTCGTCACCGCTGGAAGAGCCCATCATTTGCGCGAAGACGAATGTGGCAAGGGCACCGACGGGGGCTGCCAAGCTGAAGACCAAAAGGTGCGCCCTCGCAGTTCGGCTAGACAGACCCTGCTTGAGCAAGATGGAAGTAAGGCCAAAGGACGCCGGTGCCTTGTGCACCATGATGGCCAGGAAAATGATAAAGCTCAGCCCGGTGTCTGAGCTAGATGCGCCTAATGCGATACCATCGGCCGCAGCATGGATCACCAGTCCCGTCGTAGTTGCAAAACTGTGACCACGTCGGGAGCTCTGCGCGGCATCCAAAAGGCCGCCATCGCGAATGGGCGAGGAGTTTCGGCGCAATCCAGATCCGAGGTTGTCAAGGGAAATGTGGTATGGCTGTCGCTCGTTCTTGGTCGGGGAAGCGAACTCGGGTAGTTTGTCGATGAGGTACATCAAGATAAACCCGCTCACGAGAGCAATACCAATCCAGGCGTGGGGAGAGCTCTCCTCTTCCTCTGCTTCCTCACTCGCCTTGTCGCTAGAGGATTCCTCCTTGCGGGCTTGGAGCACTTGCGGTCCGCCCAAACTCCAGCCTCGGTTGACGAAAGGCACGGCATAGTCGGTATTATCGAGTGACGGCACCGAAACGAGTGTGGTGGTTGGCAATGTCGAGAATGTACCGTCTCCGTTCAGAATGGGTGTGGCGGCAACGGGAGGTTTCTGTGTCTGCCATTCCACGGTGGTAGCCCGGGCGTGTAGGCTTTTCTTGGGAACAGTATTTGCGCTGTAGAGGGTTTCGACTCCCTCGGGGATAATAACAATCAAGGATGTGCCCACTAGCACTCCCATACCAATTGAAGAAATGAGTCGCAGTTGTGAGGGGGAGAGTGTGAAAGCGAGAGGTAATGAGCCGACGACAAAGGAACTGTTAAGTGAGGGACACGAAGCATCAGTATTTTCCGAATTGATTCTGTTGCAGCCGCAGAGATCGCTGTCACTCACGTAACTGCCATCACAATGCTCAGGACGAGCAGAGTAAAGAGACCCTCCATGGTGGCCTCTTTTCTTTCCGATGAGCTTCGCACGGGTGCTGGCTCTACAGGACGTCGATCATGGTGCCACGTCGGGTCGAAACAGTGTAATCAACGTCTCGCGTCCTGTACGAGTCCGGGGCGGGCAATGGTTGAAGAAGGGTGGAAGGAGGAGAACAGCAAGTTGTCGCCGGAGACCCACGCGGGCCAGGTACCGCCCGCTGGATTCGGACCAAAACACGCCCTGCGCAGAATACTCCCCCAAGATACCTGAGGGTCTCGGGGTATGGACAGTGTTTCATACGATCGCAGTTGGGAGCTGAGGATACACTACTCGGGCTGACCCTGCGCCCTGCATCCAATCCATGCCCACCTCAGTCCGTCTGCGAATCTGCTGTCCGACACTGGATGCTCCACCGGACGTAGGTACCGGACGCATGAGATGATCTGGCCCCAAATACCTCCGCGACTCATCTGACAAACTGTGAACCGCTAGTGTTCATGGGAATACGGTGACTGTTGCTTTCATGAAAATCGCTCATCTACTCCGCACGTTCAGCGATCTCTTTGAGGTTATCGAACTAAAGATCTATTTTTAGCAGCCGCCACGCCAGGGACGTTGGATCTATCACTCTTCAACGTCTGCATGCTCAGTGCAGGTACTGTACTATGCACAACTTGAGGATCCTCCACGACTGTCCCAGCATGCTGCCATCAGCGGGGAATTTCTTGCGATAAAAGCAGGGTGGTCCGATCTATCTCATGCTATAAGACGCCATCCGACAGGAGACACCCCCATTCAAACTGACCAAAAACATACTGAATAGCTATCACCCGTTCCAGCAATATCTGAACACAACCGTCCCTCTACTATGTTCAGAGCAGCAAGCTATACAGCAGAAGAAAATATTAACATGACATTTCTGCCAGCGGTCATTGCTTCTTCAGCCCCTCCCATCGCTCAAACTCCGCCGTGTCCAAGTCGAATAGATCCAGCATCTTCCCGACACTATGATCCACCAGATCATCTATCGACGCGGGCTTATGGTAAAAGGCCGGGGCAGGAGGGAATATAATCGCCCCAGCCTGCGTCACAGACACCATGTTTTGAAGATGAATCAGGCTGAGCGGCGTTTCCCGCACAGCCAGGACCAACTTCCGCCGCTCCTTCAGCACGACATCCGCTGCACGGGAGATCAGATCATCGCAAACGCCTGTATTGATCGAGGCGAGTGTTTTCACGCTACAGAGAGCGACGATCATACCGTCCACACGGAAGGACCCGCTTGATATGGCCGCAGCCATATCGTGGACGTTGTAGACGTGGTCGGCCAGGCCCCGAATGTTGGCGATAGTATAGTCTGTTTCGTATTTGACGGCCTTTTCAGCCCATTTGCTGATCACGGGATGGGTTTCGATATTCAGTCGACGTAGTGCGATCACTAGAATCGACCCCGTGGCACCTGTCAGGGCGACGATAATCCTTTGTCGGGGAGAAATCTGAATGCGACTTTTATCGGGAGCTGATATAACCGCGGCATGGGTTGTGGTAAAATCCATCGCATGAAGAAAGAAGAGGAGAGGTTAAACCATTCTGGATCGGATGAGTGTTCCGATGTTGTCGAAGGTTGATATGTTCAAGGCCTACGATGAGAAGCCGGGGACCTCCAATTTGGGGAATACTCTGGAAAGACGGAAGTTCCCGCTGTGTCCATTGGGGAAGGAGGCTCCAAAATAACATTGGATTGTCGGCAATGGCATCAAATAGCTGGCCTGTATTCGAGAGAAGGTGTTCGGTGGGGAATCGCCGCACCTGAACCTCACGGGGTAGGCGCCCCCCCCCCATTTTGGAGGATCGTCGAGTTTACACTACTGCACGGTGCATAAAGCAGGCCCGAACGCCGGGATGGCTCCCATGGAATGTGCCAAGATACGGCGGCTCTTGTCTTTCGAAATCAATATCTGATCTAAATCCAGCCAAATGGCACCTCACCAAAAGCACAAGTCTTCCGCCGAGGAATTTCGCCAGTTCGTCTCTGAGCTGCGCGAAGAAAACGATCTCCTCTCTATAAGGGAGGAGGTCGATCCGCACTTAGAGCTTGCTGCAATCGTGCGCAAAGTCTACGAGACAGAGGAAAAGGTGCCTCTATTCGAGAACATCACAGGTCAAACATCCTCCGGTCTGTTTCGGGTGCTGGGAGCACCAGTCGGGCTGAGTCGAGTCCCTGGACAACGATTTGGTCGCATTGCCAAATCACTCGGTCTGCCTTCGACATCCTCGGGTCGAAATATTATCAATAAAATCAACGAAGCCAAAAAAGGACAGCCGCTGCCCCCGATCGAAGTCTCGTCTGGTTTAGTGAAAGAGAACAAACTCTTTGGCGACGACATCGACCTAACAGCACTTCCTGTTCCATTCCTACACGCAGATGACGGAGGGGAATTCATGCAAACATTTGGCATGCATATTGTTCAGACCCCCGATGGACAGTGGGTGAACTGGTCGATTACCCGAGGGATGGTCCATGATCAACGTTCTCTTGTTTGCCCCATCATCTCAAAGCAAGATATTGGTGCCATATTTCAGATGTGGAAGGACAAGGGGGAGGATATGCCGTGGGCTTTATGCTTCGGTGTCCCGCCGGCCGCCATCATGCTGAGCGGCATGCCGATACCAAAGTGGACCAACGAACCTGGGTTTATTGGAACTTTGACAGGGAAGCCCGTCGAGGTAGTCAAATGCGAAACCAATGACCTTTATGTCCCTGTAAATGCGGAAATTGTTCTCGAAGGAAAAGTTTCCATATCCGAAACAGGTCCAGAGGGTCCCATGGCTGAGTATCATGGGTTGGTGTTCCCTGGGAAGCCAAAGCAATGCCCTCTGTTCAAATTGAGTGCAATCACGCATAGAAATGACCCTATATTGCCAATATGTGTGGCCGGAAGGGCCGCAGAAGAAAATCACACTGTCTGGGCCCCGATGATTGCCTCTGAAGTCTTGAATATCTGCCAAGCAGCCGGTCTTCCCGTTCAAATGGTCTGGTGTCCATTCGAATCGCACTGTCATTGGTTCGTCGTGCAGGTAGACCGTCAGAAGCTCCGATCTTTGAATACCAACATGTCCGAATTTGTACTGAACCTTGGTCATGTGGTGTTCAGCTCAAAACCTGGATGGTATATCCCGAAGTTGTATCTGGTCGGTGACGACATCGACCCGACCGATCTTTGGGATGTCGTCTGGGCTGAGGCCACGCGTTGCGAGCCTGGTACGAGCGAGTTTCTCTTTGATGAGTATGGGAACATCCCTCTGATCCCATATGTCGGGTATGGCACCAGGCCAGAGCGCAACAACAAAAAGGCTGTTCGGTGCTGCATGCTACCATGCGAGTTTGTGGATGAAGAGCTTCCCTGGAAAGTCGGCTCTTTTCAGCATTCATACCCAAGTGAGATCCAAGAGACGGTCCAACGTAACTGGCACAGGTATGGGTTTGGTATCCCAGAGTGAGGCGAGGATCCTTAATGCGCAAGGCCAAAGCCTCAGTTTGCCTTCGATTAAATCGATGGTATCTTCGTTGGGGTGCTGAATTCCCGTAGACATTGTTGTAGGTATCAATTGTTTGAGCTAGTATGTGATTATTCTCAGTCAAAGGGAGGCCGATAAAAGGAGTAGTGTCCGTTGAAACCCACCAAATTACTCTCAAAAACCGCGAAAGGTAATTATTCTGCCAAGCCCAAAGACACACGCTACGCTTGATAGAGCCATTTTGAAAATCGTTAATGGGAAAAGTCACAATATTATTGCAATAGAGTGATTGGAGCGATGGCGCAAATATCAAAGAATGATGCACGAGTGTACAGAAAGTGACTTGACATGGTCTGGGGTTGTTTCTAGGTATTTATGAAAAAGCCAAGGACCAAAATCCCACAATTCATCGTCCACAAAATATGGAACATGCTGTCGCAACCTATTTAAAGCCTAGGATTCTACCCTTCCATTAAAGGTAAGAATTTCGACGTCTAATTTGAGTACTAGGAATTGCTGCGCTATAAAGACTGTTGGTTCCGCTACAATCTCTGGCTATTTTGCAGGCAACGACTAACAAGAAGAGATACATACCATCGGCATATAAGTCACAACTCGGGAAGATGTCGGGGAGTTGACAGTTGAAGAGCGCCGTGGCAGTGATGCATCCCTGATAACGAAGAATCAGATCGATTCGGGGAGGCGAAACAGCTACCCCATTAGGCAAGTAAAGCCCAGACCCAGCGCCCAGGGACCCACTAACGGAGCGCAGCATACGCCGTGCTTCGCCTTCCTCGCACGCCTCAAACATCCTACAGCCGGCCACGATTCTTTTACCCCTTTTGACCTCGGGACTTGGAGCCAGGCGAATGTGCACCAAAGTCAAGCCATGCCATTCTACGGTCGTCCGAGCAAAAGTTGTGAGAGCTGCAGAGACCGGCGCATCAAAGTATGTGACCCGTTGAACTCAGGAACGCCATGTTCAAAAAGTTCGTTTCAAATCAATCTGACCCCCAGGGCGACTTCTAGTGCGATCGTATCGAGCCAGTCTGTTCGCAATGCAAACGAGCGGGAAAGTCCTGTGGCGGCTACCGTGATATCCCCGCGTTCTTGTTCCGCAACGAGAATGACAAGACGGCGCACCGGTCTGCCGTGGCCAAGTTCAAGTCAGAGGCCCGACGCAGACTGTTGGATGAGACCCCGCCTGTGATTTACCATCCGCCCCGGATCAAGCAGCGGCCACCTCAGTCGAGCCTCGTAGTGCAGCGAATACCTCGGGTGCTGCACATACCCCAGATCCCTGCCGCTGTGCCTTCCAGTATGGAAGAGCAGGGGCTGAAATTCTTCTTCAATCAGTTTGCTACTAAAGGCGAGGAGATAAGACATTCTCCGTTCTTTTCAGAAATTCACAGTCTTAGTTGGAAGGCATCCCCGCTGATAGCATCGATTTCAACTGAAATATCGCTTCGAAATGCGGTCATGGCTGTGGGACTTGCTGCCATGTCGAACGTTACAAGAGATCGAGCCATGCAGTTAGCCGCTAGAGAGAAATATGTGGAGACAATTAATTTTGTTCGAGCTGCAGTGGAGAACCCAGAGCAATCTAAGCCCGACCTAATTTTCAAGATCATCGCGATGCTGAGTCTTTTTGAGGTACTTCTTTCCCCCCTCCCCCTACTTGCCTCCTTCGTTCTAGCCTCTAACCAGTCCCGTTTATGTAGATGGTCTCTTGTCAATCTAGCCAGGTGGACTCTTGGATAGTACATCTGGATGGGTTGGCAGCCCTCCTCAAGCAGGACCATTTTAAAACAGTCATAAAGACACTGAGCGCCCGCCCCCAGATTCAATACTATTGTGTATCTGTTGTTAAATATTTTCTGCTTCAAGGGGATATTCCTTCCGATCTTCTCGAATGGTCACCTAATAAAATTTCCTCCGTCAAACCGGACGAACAACCGGCGGTTAATCTAATCGACATACTCGTTCGCTTCACGAAAATACATCACACTCTTCGTCATATTGCTGATGACCAGTGCGCTACCGACGCATTGCCAATAGTGTTATCTTTGGAAACAGAGCTTCGCGAATGGGAAAGAACCCTCCCCGACCAATGGTCATTCTCCGTCAAGGAGTCGCCTAGCCTCCAACACACTTTCAACGGAAAGTATCTGGCATGCAAAGACGCGTGGGCGTCAAGAATTCTGAACCACTTCTTCTGGGTGCGGTTAATTACGAACGAAATGATTCTCACCCAGCTAGCAAGGGCTAAGTATCCGGGGTCGAGCAGCCTTCGACATCAGCAACGGGCGTTGGAGACGATTGCCTGCATGGCGACATGTATTTGCGCGGCGGCCGCCAGTCAGATGAGCCTATTCCAAGATGGGGCTTCAGCCAACGTACCCCAGAATCCTCCGCCGTTAAACGGAATTTTCATGCTTTTTTTCCCCTTGTCCGTGGCTGGTGGCGCGGCGACCGCCCCAGTCGAAGTACATCAATGGGTGATACAGACTCTTCAGAAGATCGGAAATACTATGGGAATTCAAAGAGCACTGGAGGTCATCCCGCATCTGAAGATTACTCGCCCGGATGAATTGTATCCATACCTGCACGCAAGGTAGCAAACAATTGAGGCAAACTCAGGTGCGACCGGGCGCAGGGAGTTGTTACATTAGATTTCCCTAACTGATATAGATTTCGTTTCTTTTCTGTTTTAGACAAAGACATTGATGTTAAACTCAGTGAGTGTCGTCTTATTTTTCAAACGAATACTCTCATCTTGCAGCGATTTAGAAGAACTCAAATATCAGCACCTCAAGGTGGACACTGCCCCTTGGTTGGTTCCAGGCCTACAAATCAATCTTATACTTCACCCAGCGCCGCTAGTCCCGGTTAGGTAATACTGAGCTTTGAACTCGACGCGGTCAGACGCGCGTCAAGACTCCTACCTTCCCCTTCTTAGTTCTTCCCTCATCACCCTCCCCCGCACACTTACCCACCATGGCGGTTGACGAAGACTGTAAGATGAATATGAACCTACATCTCTTCTACTGATTCTTGCTGACGCGGTAATCCAATGATCCAGGGTCGTGCGACGCCAATGATGCGCTCCATATCACCGTGGTGCAACCCGGCGACACCAAGCCCAAGACGCTCTCGGCTTTTCATCCCCAGTTTACCTACCCCATCTTTGGTGACGACGAACAAATTTTTGGTTACCAGGGTCTCATAATTCGTTTGCGCTTCGCTGCTCACGATCTCCGCCCTCATGTCCACATTTCCTATGATGACCGATTCAAGTCAGTCGGCGACACAGCTGCCACGGATCTGCTAGGAGCTCTCAAACCGTTTGTTCCGGAAGGTGAGCATGAACTGAATGGTTCTCAGGAGCCCAGATGCTAAGACACGTTGCAGAGGCTTTGATCAACCTTCCCGAGTACGAGAAGAATGTCCAGGAAGACCCGACCGCGAAAGACTTCGTCCCGCCTGGTAAGCAGGTCATCAGTTATGAAGTGGACGACAGGGTATACGAAATTTGGGCTGGATCCCTTGCGGACCCAGCCGTACAAAAGATTCTGGATCGCGCGCAGGTCCTGGTGTCTCTGTTCATTGAAGCCGGCACCCCAGTGGACACAAATGATCCAGAATGGACCTTGGAGCGGTGGACAGTTTTCTTTGTGTAAGTCTGGCCCCATTCCCTCGCTATCGCTAAGCCCTCAAACTCACAAATGCAGCTATGAGAGGGTGACACCCCCGACCCCAACCGCATCCTCGTACTCTATCGTTGGATATGCTACTACCTATCGGTACTGGTTGTACCAACGAGACCGTACAGAGACCCCTGCGGTAAGAAACGACGCATTTCCTTTGCCCGAGGTCAAGATTTCCGAGCTCCCTGCCCGTCTCCGCATCGCCCAATTCCTCATCCTTCCTTCACACCACCGCTCGGGCCACGGTACTCATCTCTACACTACAATCCATGCTTTCTGCATTGCCGATCCCACAATTGTGGAATTGACCGTCGAAGATCCGAACGAGTCCTTCGATGCTCTTCGGGACTCGGCCGACTTCTGCCTCCTGCAGCCTGAATTCCTCAAACACGATGTGAATCTTAACCCGGATCCAAATGAGATCTTCTCCGGCAAGAAGCGGCCGACAGTCGTTCCGACCAATGCTCTCATTCCGACACAAACACTCCGTGATATCCGTACCTCGTTCAAGATCGAAGCTACTCAGTTTGCACACATCCTGGAGATGTTCCTCCTGAGTCAGATACCCAAGACCCATCGACTGGCTGGTGGAACAAACCTTGCACGACTCTTGATCAAGAAATCTAAGGCAGATAATCCCGATGACAGGCGGTATTATTGGTGGCGCATGCTGACCAAGCAACGCCTGTACAAAAAGCACCGGGAGTTACTAGACGAATTGGACTTGACCGACCGTGTGGAGAAGCTTGATGACACAGTTCGAAATGTGGAAGAGGGCTATGAAATTACGCTGAAGAACCTCGAGGGACGTTTGCCTGATCCTGCTGATGAGGGGTCGGCGGCTCCCAGCGGTCGGCGGGAGAAGCGCAAACTCGCTGTCTCGGATGACGAAGATGAAGAAGAGAATGGGGCAGAGGCTGCCAAGCGTCCAAAGGTCTAGTCGGACCAAGCGAATCGTTGAGTTGGATTTTGAGGCCTCTCACATGTAATTTATTCACAATGGAAAACGGATCTGGTAAAACGGGGTTAGCTCAATTTTGACACTTGGAACTGGTGAGTTTGAGGCCAGAATTGAGATGGTCTCGAATTCAAAGCCTACGAAAGTATTACTACAACGTCGCTTCATAATCCTAGATATACTTCTTGTCTGTATGTAGTAGAATACTTAAGTGTAGTTGATCGCCGAATTTATAAATTTTTATCAAATATATAGCTCGTCATACATATAGTACTAAAATTGTTTTGTTCCGAGGTAAACTAAGTCACAGTTGAGTGTACTAAAAATGAAGCGCTCTGGGCGTTACTAGTGTAATTGTAGTCCTGAAATCTTGAAGTCGATACACTAGTTACCAACCGCCGTCTGCGACTCGAGGGGGCAGATCTCGGCACATCCTTTTTCCGGCCGCGGTTCAGGCTCCGTCACAGCTGGGATGCGGAGCTCGATCGAACCCATTGCTTCTTCCAGCGATCCCAAATAATCCAACAAGGCCTTCTGCCTGTGTTCTTCCAATTCTCTTTCCTTAATTCCGGGTCGAGATTTGGCACACCGCCACCTGCCCGCACAGATCATCACCCGCACACCAATCTCCCAACCTCCATCCTTTGCGACACCCACGACCTATCGATCGCATTTCACCATGGTAAGTCCCACACTAATTACACTGCACTCACAACATGTAAGACTAACCATCTCTTTCTCTCTTACAGCTTCCTCTCGGCCTTCTGACGGCCGCACAGGGCCACCCTATGCTGGTGGAGCTCAAGAACGGCGAGACCTTGAACGGCCACCTTGTGACCTGCGATAACTGGATGAACTTGATCCTACGAGAAGTCGTGCAGACCAGCCCCGAGGGTGACCGATTCTTCCGCCTTCCTGAAGTCTACATCCGCGGCAACAACGTATGTCCAGCGCTTGCGCACACAACCTCATACGGCTCATATAACTGACCGCCTCCCAGATCAAATACCTCCGAGTCCCCGACGAAATCATCGAGCTTGTCAAGGAGCAGCAACAGAACCAACCACAGCACCGCGGACCTCGTGGACGAGATGGCGATCGTGGCGGCCGTGGCCGTGGCCGTGGTGGTCGCGGTCGGGGCCGGGGACGCGGTGGCCAGGGCCAATGAAGCAGTCTACATATTATCTTGCATCGATGGGATGAACGTGAATCACGAGATACCCTGGAGGAAGTGAAGTGGGTAAGGTCGCTCGGGGGAGTCCGATTGGACAGTTTTGATCGAGCATGGCCGTGGCGTATCTGGCTCTGTATTTTACTGCGGGATCTGGGTTACGATGATCGAATTTACGATCAGCAAATAAAACGAATATGAAATCCCTGAACATCATGCTCTATTTGGACGTAAAATTCATAATGCCCCGCCTCTTCGTACGTGTATGTTGGGGACAGCGCGATATCGATCACGTGCCATCACCTTATTTTCCTCCGCGGCGAGTCGGTGATATGCTACTTCGACTTGGAAACAAGCGACCGGACATGCCCCGACCGACCTTGGTCCTTGACGGACTTTGGTACTCACTATGCCCAGCATTTACTCCGCGATCGCTCAATCCCACCTTAGCACTCCTGCGCCGGAAGAAGCACAGCTCCAACTCGAGGTCTTTTGCGCCACCCGTCAGCTGTGTAGGAGCCAACAGACCCCGACAGTACCACAGCGGCAACGGCAATGATAACGGCAGAGTCGCGTCTACCCAAATCCCTTTCAGCCCCCGAATTGCGATCCCAAATGATACCCCGACGAGCGCCTCGCCTTCCGAACCCGGATCCTTGTCCACGGACTTGGAGGAGCACCACTCAACTCCAGATATACTAGACGAAACAAGAGAGAAGGAGCTCCACCGTCAATTTAAACGGGCCGGGAAAGTGCCGGGGGTGTTGGAGTCGCTCCCAACTTCGTTTTTAGAAAGAAAACTGCAGGAGGAAATGGCGGAGAGACCTTCCATTCCTCGGGCGATGCATTTCTTAGAGGTATTGATTCGAGATCGTCAAGTTCGACCAACTGCCCGTCACTATAAAGCCTTGATCTTGGCGAATTGCGATGCCAAATATGGATCGTACTTGGCTGTTCAGCTCTTGCTAGAAGAGATGAAGGAGAATGATATTGCGCTGGATTCGGGCACACTCCATGCGGCTATTCAGGTAATCAGACTAGCCAGACCCTCCTGTCAGCCAATTTTACTAACATGACTCAACCTCCAGACTCTCGCTGTACATCCAAACTACATTCTACGCGTTCAAGTACTTGATCAGCTTCGAGATCGGTGGCTTACCCTCAGTCCTGCGGGCTGGCACTTCGTGGTGGCGGGCCTCGTACGAGAGCGGCAATTCGAAATGGCATTTGACCATCTTGAAATGATGGAACGGAAACATATACCAATCGAGAATTGGTTGCACAGTTTGGTGATCTATCATCTTTGTGAATATAAAGCGGTTGATGAAGTATACCGCCTGGTGCGAAGATGGGTTGAGCAAGGCCATGACATGACGGAGCAGCTCTGGTCCCACATGCTCTGCAAGGCTGGTGAACACCGGCACCTTGGATTGACATGTTATGTCTGGGAGAGAAGAGTCAATCTCGGGTACTTACATCCCTCGCAAGACACCTGCTCCGATGCCCTGCGTGTGGCAGCGAAGTTTGGAGATCACAAACTGGGGCAGGCCGTGTTCCGTTATTACCAAAATTCCGGTATTGAGCCGGGCCCCGGAGACTATGACCGACTCATTAAATCTCTCCTGATCAATGGATCGGACGGCGATCTTTTTGCGGCGTTCGAGGCACTCTGCACCATGCATGAAGCTGGGGTTCAGCCCCGAGACACGACATTAAACCTCTTCTACACCTACCTAGTCACAGGTCATATTGACCGTTTGGAGGCGTGGAACATGCTGAAACGCCTCAAGAACGCCAAACGAACAATCCACATTGGTGCTGTCGAGGCGATTGCTGAAGCATGGAAGCACGGTGCGAGGAGTGCGCCGGCGCTCGTTGACGAGGCTTTGAACTGCTACCGGGAACTCTATACCCTCTGCCCCGAAGGCGCAAGTGTCAAGGTCTACAATTCGTTGATCAACATGTGTCGACGTGCACAGAATCTTGGATCGGGCATGTTCTTGGTGAAAGAAATGGCCTCCCTCGGCGTGGTCCCGAACAATGCGACTTTCGACTTCATCATCCAGATGTGCCTCGACGCCGGCAACTTCCGGTCCGCTTGGATGTATCTCCAAGACATGCTGAAACGAGACTTCGCCCCAACGCAGAGAACTCGGCAGTATACCCAGGAGGTCTGCGCCAAGTCACTGGATGAATATTCTCTCAAGTTACAATATCATCCCAGCCTTCAACCCACCTCCCAGCCCACCCCCGAGCCGGTCAAGCCGGCCAAACCGGCCAAACGTGAATGGGTGGAATGGACCAAGGGCCCCAAGCCTTCCAAGAATACGCGTCGGCGGCGAAGAAGAATGAAAGCCGAACGTGAAGCTGAACGCGAAGCCCGACGTGAAGCTGCCAAGGAGAAACAGGGCATCGCGTTGTCGGCCTTGTCGGGTCTATTTTCAGACAAGGTTTCGTTCGGGGACAAGTAGATTGTTCCACGATCTAATCTATCGGTTTCTCGAGGTGGGAACCAGCCTCGGATGCACGATGCTGCAGGCCAGCGTCGCATTGCCTTCCTGTGTCCCGACATGGACCAGGTCTGGCTCCCTGGGTAGATGCAGGCTGCAAGATGCATGATGCATCAGGCACCAGGTATCCGGCGTGGGACAAGACGATCTGGTGCGACGTCCACTGCCTGACCCATATTGCATGTATCATATTTTTCAGCGACCCATTGAGTTCCTGTCCCCTATCGGGTCGGCGCAGCGGCCATTTAGCCGTACCTTGGCAATTCCATACGGAATCGTTTATCCGTAGCATCCAGAGTCTGCACTCGCCACCCTCGAACCATCGGTTCCTCGATGGGTCCACCAACTAAAAATAAGTGGCGTTTCTGAAACGTGCCTAAAGGCCGATCGGGCTTGCGACTCGTGGGACAGTGAGACCCTGGCCGCAACATCACACAACGAGCGCTTTCAGCGGTGCCTGGATGGTGAATCCCGGGGAGCGATTGGCGTGCGTGCGGATCGCCATCCCCTGAAGCGATCGGCAGTTTGGTGGAGCCCAGTTGGGCTGGTTGAACGGGGGGTGAACTCTGGGCACGCCTCCGTCTGCACCATCCAGCACTCTGAGGGGACTGTCAGGGTGGAGCCCGCTGGCCCGCCTCCTCCAACTTGCGCGGCCGTTGGACCCTGCCGTCCGCAAGCCCCCCGTCCACCTTACTTATACCTCCTCCGATCTTCTCCCTTCTTCAACTTTCTTCAAAAGCTGTACATTATTACTTCGCTTCGTGTTGTATAATCCATAATACACCTCCCCACCATGCAACTCACTACCATCGTCCCCGTCTTGCTCTCCTCCCTGAGCCTGACCGCCGCCGCGCCCCAGGAAGTCCCCGCCACTTGGAAGGCCACCGATCTCGACATCGGCTGCTCACCCGGCGGCTGCAGCTGGCGCTTCAATATCACCGGCGCTGCGTCCGAGAACACGCCTCGCTTCCACACCCATTGCGAGGGCATCGCTCCCAACGCCACCCTATGCACCGACAAGAACATCACCGCGCGCGTCAAGCCTTTGACCTACCCCAAGTTCAACATCTGGGTCCAGCACCAATGGCACATCATCGAGGATGAGACAGACCAGCATTACTGGCAATCCGGTGACGCCAACGTCACCGACGCCCAAACCCGCTTCCAGATCAAGCCCGACCAGTTCTACGGAGTGGCGTAAGCCACCCGCGTCTCGTTTACTTCGGCCTGCTGCTTTGATCTCCTATCTTCTTTATATCCAGCGTCCACAAAAGATCCGATCATGCCTCTCTGATATAATGGCTGTTGAGCCCTTTTTCCTTTGATGAATTTCGCGGTACATTCACCATGGCCGCATGTCACTCCTTTCATGACCGGCGGCGTTTGGGCGGGAGGATATCTTTGGCTTTGAACATTTTGAACACTCCTTCAAGGGCTCGCAAGGGGAGCTCATTTGGGAAACATTGTACATAGTCATTTGTCTGTACAATACAAACTTGACATTTTCCATCCAACTCTGCAAGTACCGTAGATACATGCGTCGATAGTCAATATAGATCGTAGATCGCAGCGTGGCGGGCGCTTACCCGGTCGGGGGCAAGGCGTGCCTTAGCGGTGACGGGTGACATCATCGGCTGCGCCTCAAATCTCAACCAAACAAGGACGTCCGCGAAAACTGGCACAGGTGTTTACGCCTGGTTCCCGAGTGTTTTCAATCTCCATGCCCTAATAACAGAATATATACTGCGAGTGGAATCCCTCGCAGAATGGTAAGATGCTTGCATCCGGCCCCGGGTAAAGCAAGACGCGCGCAGACACGCTAACACGCGACTCCGCAGGCCTCAATTCTCCGCCAGATAGTCGCGGGTCCTAGACAACAACACCCAGAGGCAGGTCTAGACCTCTGCTATGTGACGGACAATGGTATGACCTCTTGCGATCGCGGGGTGGCCTCCGAACTGACGTGTATTGCAGTCATCGCAACATCAGGCCCTTCTGCAACCTACCCCCGGCGCGCCTACCGCAATCCTCTCCCCAATCTAGTCAACTTCCTCGACTCGAAACATGGCGCAAATTGGTGTATCTGGGAGTTCCGCGCCGAGGGCACGGGATATCCGGACTCTGAAGTGTATGGACGAATTCACCACTTCCCTTGGCCGGACCACCACCCGCCGCCATTCGCCCTAATTCCGAACATCATGGGCAGCATGCGGAATTGGCTGAATCGATTGGACGAAACAGAGAAGAAGGAAGACGGAGACCGAGTTGTGGTCGTGCATTGTAAGGCGGGCAAAGGGCGCAGCGGCACAATCGCGACGGCATATCTGATCAGCCAGGAAGGTTGGAAGAAGGAGGATGCCCTGCAGCGATTCACGGACAGACGCATGCGGGTTGGCTTTGGGAATGGCATCAGTATTCCCAGTCAGCTACGGTACGTCGACTATATCGACCGATGGGCGAACCAACTCGACAAACAGTACGTGGAGCGGCCCGTCGAGATCGTGGAGGTACATATCTGGGGACTGCGTGATGGAGTCAAGGTCGCAGTGGAGGGATATGAGGATGAAGGCAAGAAGATCAAATGCGTTCATCTGTTCCACCGCAGCGAGCGCACTGTCATAGAAGACGGAAAAGGAACATCGACGCCAAAACAAAACGATGCCAAAGACAAATCGCCCCAAACTCCCATCGCACCGTCATCGACCTGGTCACCTGCACCTTCGCAGTCTGATACTTCCAGCTCAACCACCAAACCCCCTCTGTCACGCCGGTCTACCACCAACACCCTGCCAGCCGTCATATTCCGACCCAAGAAGCCCGTGATACTCCCCGGCTCCGATGTGAACATCGACTTTGAACGACGCAGCAAAGCCTCGTATACCGGCTTCGCGATGGTGACATCCGTCGCCCACGTCTGGTTCAACGCATACTTCGAAGGCGGCAACGAGCATGACTCCAACGTCTTCGAGATCGGATGGGACGCCATGGATGGGATCAAGGGCAGCGCAAAGAAAGGTATCCGTGCACTTGAGAAACTCAAGGTAGTATGGCGGTATCCGCCCCCGGAAGAGGTTGTCAAGAAAGATGCTGCATCGGCAAGTGGACGACCGATCAGCGAGCCAAAGCCCGGTGAACCCATTCATGAAAGTCGCCCGGCCGATTGGAGAGGCGACGAGACGGAGGCATTGCCGAAGCAGGAAAATCAGCCTCCGGGGACGAATGAAGATGCCAAGGAAGAAGGATTCGTGGGATCTGGGTTATTGGCCGTTGGAGTGGGGTCATTGCATGAAGTCCGACGAAAATTGGGGCTGCGTAAGCAGACGGATGAGAGTAAAGATGTGAGTTTGGCTGGGACGGACGACGAGGCACTGTCGACGACCGATGATGAAGGTCGAGCAAAGAAGGCAAAGTCTACGCAGAGAGATGGAAATGGAGACTTTGATGGCGAGGGTGTGAGAGCTTATTTTCCAGAGAATGGAGAGGGATCAAGCAGTGACCAAGGGAAAGACGGCAAAGAGTCCAAGGGTGAGAGTATAGATTAAGGGAAGCGTTCTGTATACATACATTTATCCCATCTGATGAATCGCCACTATTGTAAGGCCACCCTATATATGTGCTATGGAATTGTACGAACTTTACAATACGATTCTGAATCATGATTCAATTAAGAAAGGAAATCCCCGAGTGATGGGGTCACAATGTGTACATCTATGCACCTAATCCGACAACTCCTATGTTTAGAACCCGCTAAGTACAAGTTCATAGTGAAAACAAAAAAAAAAAAAAAAAAAAAAAAAAAAAAGAAAAGAAAAGAAAAGAAATTCTCAACTCCAGTCTATAGCACGCCATATTATTCCAGTCAGATAATGTGAGGGCTTTACAGCGGCACAAACCCCTCTAACTTCTTCCTCGCCTCCTCCTGCTCCTTCCTCAGCCGATCACTCTTCTTCCGCTCGTAGACTGCACGAACAACGCGGCGAGTTTGTTCTTTGCCTTCGCTGAAATTCGCCTTGGCCAATCCAACTACCGAGTCGATTTGCTCAGGGGTATAGATGAAGTTCCAGGTTGAAAGGAAATCATCGACATCCGGATCAATCGAGTTCGGATGAGGGGCCACAGGTTTTTCGGGGTCCCGAGTGTTGATGTGGTTCTGTTGCATAGTGTGTGCAGCCGCCCGAGGACGAGTCTTTGGAGCAGGAGGAAGGTCAGGCGCCGACGGGTTGGGGATTAGGGGAAATAGACGACGGCAATACCGGCGTCTGGTCGCATAAGATGGAAATCGGAGTCAGAGTGGTCGTCGGCATGTTGAGGATGGAAGAGACGCTTCGACGGTGGAGGCTCGTCCTCGGAAATTCGCTCCTCCTTGGTACCGACCCAGACATTGCAGTAGCCCAAGTCGGTGTCTGAAGCATTGGATTGATTTGTGTTGGTGGTGCTGTGACTCTGGGCATCTGCCATCTTCTCATTCGCCTTCCGCTCGGTCATGTTCTGTGACTCAGTCAGGGCTTTCTTCGTGTCCTCCAGGCTCTCGCTTTGCCTAGGCCACCCAGCACCGACCGGCCAGCCCTTGATACCACGCTGCCGGGCATAACCGTCCACAACGGAGAGCCAGTTCTCTTGCTTGATGTCCGCAGATGCATCAAAAGCCACAATGACATCGACATCTCGCCCAGGCCGAATGAGTGGGTAGATGGGCAAATTGTTGCTCATTCCAGCATCCATCAGACGCAAATGACTACTCCTGAAAATTGACTCAGGGCAGGATGCCGGAAGCTGGTCTTTCATACCCATCACATAATTTGGGATGGCAGCAGGATCGATGGGGTGGACTCGGATCAGATCCGAGTTCTTGCCTTGGATGAGGGAATCAATGCCACCGAATCCGGCAAGGCTCTTGACCAGAGGCCGGACTTCTTTGTAATAATGCGACAAGGTAGCGCAGAAGGCACTACCCCAAATACCCATCAATTCAGGAACTCGCAGCTCGGGAATAGGGTAGTCCCTGTCGGAAGGCGTATTGCGACCAGCTTGAAAGTGTCGTCCCAATGCCCAGGTTGGGATTCCCGCGTTGAGCTCTTCACAGAAGAACTCATAGGGGGTAAATTCGAACCACTGGAACCAAGATTCCTCCTTCGCTTCTCGCCTAATGTACTCTGGCATAGGCTTGGCGCCGTCGCCAAAGTCAATGAGCCCCGGGATCTCGTGGCGCACAGCAGTGTAGATAGGGAGTGGATGAGCGCCGTTGACCAGATTTTCCTTTTGGTTAGAAATCTTGAAGTCTCGGTCCGACACTCCAAGTTCACCTCGAGGTACCAAAAGTCTGGCTGCGAGTAATAATCCGTAGATATCCACTAGCCCAAAGTCTGCATTCGGATCGCCCTTGAGCTTTTCCACCAAGCCGCTCAAAAGGTACTTGTTCGTGGGTGCGGTGGTGAGTAGGTCCAGTGCCTTGGGTGGGAATGCAATGTGCACACCGAGCCGATTCTTCAAATGGTCAACGAGCTTATTGAAGTTGCGATCCGCAATCGACGAATGGTATAGAGTCTGCAACCAACAGCTTCCACTGACGCCAGCTGTGTAGGTTACACAATCCCACAGGCCCTCTTCTTGAGCAGCCAAATATGAGCCAGTTCCTGCAACCAAGGCGCGTAGTCCACCTCCCGAGCCACACATGGCGATAACCGGCACATCATCTGGATGGATGTCCTCCTCCGGAATGTTGAGGTATGAGGCCAGCGCTTTGATAGAATGTTGCTGTCGCTTTTTCCTAAAGGCCAATTCCTCTTCACAGAGCTGATCGCTGACCCGCACTTTGGCATCTCGTAGGATCTCTGGGTTGATGTCAGGGTCTTGCGATTCCTTCCAGATTTCGTCCGCAAGCGAGCCAGGTGCTAGCGAAAGCTCTCGTTGTAACTTCTGCGCAGTAGCAGGAAGAAACCGTGCCCAGTCAGGGATAATGAGGTTCGTAATGTTGCCGCCAAGGTCTCCCCACTCTCCAGGCACAACGGTGTGTTTGACCTCATCTAGCTTCTGGACGACCCTCGCCCAGACCGAAGCCTGCTCATTGTGTCCACTGCCTCTTTGCGCGCTCGAGCTGGAGCTCCGCGGGTCGGAAATGGGCGAATTGGGCTGGTAAAGGGCCGAGGAACTGGTGACTTGGGCCTTCTGTAGGTGTCTAGGCTGTGTCCACTGCCCCGCAGTATAAGCAGCCAATGCCGCCGGAGGCACCGTCCAACGCAATCGTGAGGCCCTCGTCGCCATTGTTGCCGTAGAGGAGGAAGACAAGGTAGCGACTGTGACTTGCATGCAGCCAACAGCGCTGACCCTGGCAAAGTAAACCCTGCCAAGGTTAGCTTGATTCTCCGCGGGGATGACGAAATGTCACGTGCAGCTATGCCGTTTAAAGTTACATCGGGGATACGGCCGCCGCAAACGACCACAAGCGCAGGTCTGCGGGCGCACCCAAGGGACTGCAGGAGTTCCTCGGAGGCACACGGGCCGAAGCTACCTCTTCGGGAATAGTGCGTCAGCCGAAGGAACACCCCGAGGCGGAGCGATAAGAACGCTGCGGACATCCCTCGTGGACCCCACACTTGGAGACATGACGCCTGGTTCCACGGTCTTTTCGGTTTGTCGTCTGTGATCGACACCATGGTGGCTCCCAGGAACACCGCGTATGCGGAGGAGAGCGCTGAGGTCGAGGTGCTGTACGCCAACCTCGAGAAGCTCAACCGTCTCACGAAGAAGATCCAAGGCTCCCTTGTGCGCTTAGAGACGAGCGGCAAGGTGGTCAAGGACGCCATTGGTCCTATCTACAGCAATACCCAGTCTCTTCAAATCACCAACAGCAATATCGACAAGGTCAACGATGCGATCGACCGTCTTCGCCAGCCCCTCGACGCGAAGAGCCGCGAAGAGGGCATCATCCGCGCAGGGTAAGTCTGCTCGACCACCTTTTAACTCCCAGTAAGAGTCAATTCCATTTACTGACTTGCTTCTGCAATAGACCACAGAGCTCCGGCCTTTCACAATACCTCTCGGCGATGAAACGCGTTGAAAAGGCGCTGGTCGACCTCAACGCAACAAACCTTCGATCCAACCAGAACGCAATCACCGACTTCAATTCGTTGCTGGGGACAGGGAGTAGCAAGCTGCAGGAGATGCTTCGCTCCGAGTTGAAACAACACATCACACCAATTGAACCTCTACACTATCTCACAAAAGGTACGAAGCTGCTCTTTTAAGGGGTGTACACTAGCTTGCGCAGACTGAACTAACACCGTGGCTTCCTCAGAACTTCCTTTCCCGTCTATCCCCGAAGATACAATTTCACAACTTGCTCCGCTATGCGCAGTAGTCGGCTCCGCATCCGTCCACGGAACCCAGCGCAGCAAAGGGAGAACCCTGCATTGAAGATTTATGCCGACGTTCGCGGGCCCTATATCACCTCGGGCCTGCAGAATCTTGCCCTTGCATCCATCAGTACTGTCAAACGGAAACCCACCGACGGTCCATACAAACAAGGTACCAATGGTATTGGTATTTACTCGAACGCGCTGGAAGCCTTCATAGTGACAGAGCATGGAATTATTACGCAAGTTTTTACTGGAGACCAGCAAGGACTCGCGTTGCAAGCCACCTTTATGTCTCCCATGCAGGAGTATTCGAAAACTCTTCGCGAGTTGAATCAGTATATTAGGATGAATTTGATGACAGACTGCTTTTTGGCGTTCGAAATCATCGAGATCGTGACGGCAATGTCTTATCGGATTGATTCCAAGACAGCAGAACTCAAGAGTCTTCTGATTGAGGCTCTGCGACCCGTCCGTGAGACTGCCAAGTCATCACTGTCAGAACTACTCGACGAGACAAAGCGGAAGGCTGCCAATTCTCCGCTTCCCCCTGACGGCGGATCCGTGCCTCTGGTGGAGGAGGTTATGAGCTCTCTGACCACCTTGACTGGCTATTCGGGCCCATTGGCTTCAATTCTGACATCTCTGGGTGATGGGAACTGGCGCTCCAAGTCGAGCACTGCAGGTGCGGCTCCCTTGGACGTTGGTCCGGACAGCGGTACTCTGTTCTCACATTTCATTTTGGACATGATCGAGGCTCTCATGACTTCCCTAGAGAGCCGTGGCAAGGCATTCCATCGCTCCAAAGCCACTTTGGGAGTTTTTCTATCGAACATCTTTTGTATAGTGGACCGGTCCATTCGACAAAGCCCGGAGTTGGCGCGCTATCTCGGCGCTCCCGACAGCATCGCCCGGATCGATACATTCCGCAAACGCGCGACCTCAACCTACCTGGACTCGTGGAGAGAAGTCTCCCAGACATTGCTGGACGTGCAGTACACCTCTCGCTCTGGGGCACGGCCGAGCTCAGGAGGCGCGGTGGATTCCAGTGCCATCGTCAAGAATCTGTCCTCGAAGGATCGAGACGCCATCAAGGAGAAGTTCAAGTCATTTAACGCGAGCTTTGACAATATGGTCTCTCAACACAAATCTCTGCACATGGAACGCGAGGTGCGTTCGGTTCTGGGCCGGGAGCTGCAGGCTGTTCTCGAACCGTTGTACTCCCGATTCTACGACCGCTATGTCGAGATCGACAAGGGTCGTGGCAAGTACATTAAGTATGACAAGTCCAACTTGTCTGTGCAGCTGGCTCAACTCTCTTGAACAGTTTGCATGAGTCTATGTCTCGGGGATTTTTTTTTTTTTAATTAGCAACTTCATACAATTGTAATAAATTACCCTACTGGCCGAGGTCCCTTTGCCACCACATCTGGAAAGTAGAAAATTTTCTGGGGGTAGAATACAGCTTGCATGTTAAGGCAGCAGAAAAGGTTATTGTTGAAAGGTGAACCGGCCTATTGTTTCAGTCTGCTTTGTTTCAGCCCTATCCCGTTCTTTGTTTGACGGTTGGGTTGCTTTCCGCATGGTGGGCTGGACAGTATCAACCCGGTGTAACAATCGTCCCATATATCAAACCTGCACACTACGGACTTCAAGCTCTGAAAACTTTCTCTCGTTTCCTTGATTGTTCAATAGATAATTGTAATGCATTGTACAATTACCACGGATCGCCCCTCGTCCAGCACTATGATAAATCGCACGTGACGGTCGTAGATCAACGATAACGTGATAAGCCCCGCTAAAATTGGCCGCGCAGCAAAATTTCCCAGTTCGCACATTGTCTTTTCTGCGCCTTTTTCCGGTCGGTTCCTGTCGATCAATTCGTTCGAGTGCCCTCGAAAAACATCGCCAGCATGTCTGCCAGCAACGATGTCTATCAGACCCCCCTCAACTCGCGCTATGCGAGTAAGTGTCTCTCCCGTCCCGCCGTTCGTCCAATGAGGGGCAAAATCTGGGGAGGAATATTGATCGAATGAGCACGGACTAATTGCAATTGATTAGGTGACGAGATGAAATATCTCTTCTCCCCTCGCATGCGCTTTTCGACCTGGCGCAACCTGTGGATCTGGCTGGCCGAGTCCCAGAAAGGTACGAGCATGGAAACATTCTATGACTTTGGAAGTGTGATCCGACATCGGGATTACCATGGGATATTATTGGAAAGACAGGACATTCAATTGACTGGGTCATTGCTTCTATAGAGCTCGGTCTTCCAATCACCGATGAGGCCCTTCAGCAGATGAAGGCCCACGCCACCATCCAGGACCCCGAGTTCAAGGTCGCCGCCGAGGAGGAGAAGCGCCGCCGTCACGATGTCATGGCCCACGTCCACGCTTTCGGTCAGGTTGCCCCGGCCGCCGCCGGTATCATCCACTGGGGTGCTACTTCCTGCTACTGTACCGATAACGCCGATCTGATCCTGCTCCGTGACGGTCTCGACATCCTCATCCCCAAGCTGGCTGTCGTCGTCGACAAGCTCTCCCAGTTCGCCCAGGAGTACAAGGACCTGCCCTGCCTTGGTTTCACCCACGGCCAGCCCGCTCAGCTGGTCACCGTCGGCAAGCGTGCTTGCCTGTGGATTCAGGATTTGCTGATGGATCTGCGCAACCTTGAGCGCGCCCGCGATGACCTGCGCTTCCGTGGTGTCAAGGGTACCACTGGTACTCAGGCCTCTTTCCTCCAGATCTTCGAAGGTGACCACAGCAAGGTCGAGAAGCTCGACGAGCTCGTCACCGAGAAGGCCGGCTTCAGCTCTGCCTTCATCATCTCCAGTCAGACCTACTCCCGCAAGATCGATGTGGACGTCGGCAACGCTCTGGGATCCTTCGGCTCGACCTGCGAACGTATCGGTATTGATATCCGTCACCTGGCCATGCTGAAGGAGGTTGAGGAGCCCTTCGAGAAGGATCAGATTGGCAGCAGTGCCATGGTGAGTTTGAGTTAGTGATTGGTCGCAGCGACAGCCGCTAACAAGCAGCAGGCTTACAAGCGTAACCCCATGCGCTCGGAGCGTCTGTGCTCGCTCGGACGCCACCTGCAGAACCTCCCCAAGGATGCTCTGGACACCTACTCGGCCCAGTGGTTCGAGCGCTCGTTGGTGAGTTTTTTTTGGATTTGTGTCAACGAATGATCATCCCAGACTGACTTTTTTCCTTCTTCGCTTAGGATGACAGCGCCATCCGTCGTATCAGTATCCCCGAGCTCTACCTGTCTGCTGATGCCTGTCTCATCCTGCTGAGTATGTTTGCCGACGAACTCTATTGATTATCTACAATTCCTAACATTCTTCTAGACAACGTCACCTCCGGCTTCGTTGTCTACCCCGAGGTCATCAAGCGCCGTGTCAATGATGAACTCCCCTTCATGGCCACGTAAGTTTACATTTCTCCTTTCCGCTCCATCACACTTTCTGACAGCATTACCAGCGAGAACATCATCATGGCCTGTGTCAAGAAGGGTCTGTCCCGCCAGGACGCCCACGAGGAGATCCGTAAGTTCCTGCCTCTATCAGCCTCAATGCCAGCCGCATTACTTGACACACCGACCTAACTCTTCTTCTTTCTTCTAGGTGTCCTCTCCCACCAGGCCGCCGACAACGTCAAGAAGCAGGGCAAGGACAACGACTTGCTGGAGCGTATCCGCCGCACCGCCTTCTTCAACCCCATCCTCCCCGAGCTGGACAGCCTCCTCGATGCCCGTACCTTCGTCGGCCGCGCTCCCCAACAGGTTGAGAAGTTCACCACCACCGAGGTGGCCGCCGCCCTCAAGCCGTACGCTTCGCATGTTGCCAAGGCGGAAACTTCTGCCCTGCACGTTTGATTCGTGAGCAGAGCATTAGGGTTAGTTGCTGTCACCGCACAGAAAAGACGAAAAATTTTTCCATCCCCGGGCCGACGATTGGAGTCGGGACCCGGGTCGTGATATAGAGGTCTGGAGTTGTGTGTATATTGACCGGTTCCACGTGCTATGAAATGAAATCGATACCTTTGAATTTTCGTTTAGCCTGCCGCGCCGACGTGTCGGTTGCGAATAGAATTATGATTAGGGTCAATATTAGATTTCTCGGCCCCGCGGGTAGTGCTACGAGTAAATAACATGAAATATTGTCCACCCAGTCTTAGTTGGGTCCTACAATGGACAAATCACAAGAATTGTGTCTTGGTTTGGGAAGCAAATCTACATCCTTTTAACACGAGGTCGAGCGATCGATATTACTCAATTATATCTGTGGGGAGCAACCCCTCTGCCAGTCCAGCTCATTCTAGTGTAAACTGAAGACAATCAATGCAGGAATAAAAAATAGAAACCATGAGGTCGATGAATCAGTGAAGCGAGAGACATCAAATCGCTAACACGATGTATGCAAGGAAACGGGGAAACGTATGCAGGGGGATCGTAAGACGTTAGATGCAATGGAACGCTATGGCATGCAAGAACCCAGAGAATGCACGAAACAGGGGACAGAACAAAGAGAGACGGGGGGAAAATAACAAATAAAAAAGAAGAAAGAAGAAAACAGAAGGAAGCAAAATATCCACATTCGGAAATTTAGCTTAAATGGGAAAGAAAACAAATTGGTCGATCGCCGGGGTTTTGAGGGGGACAGAGAAGCATGGGAGATGGAAGGATGGGCCTTGGGCCTGTCCAACGCGAGAGGGCGTGCATCTGCACTTGCGGGGAAGTCGAGTCGTACCACGCCAGGAGCTTTGGACACGGACAGCACTCAATCGGCTCGAACTAGCATCACACCCATGATTCGGTGGATGATATAGCCGAGGGTGAGCGACACGAGCGCATTGCGGGCTGCCGCGCGGGAAATCTTGCCAGTGCCATATTCAGCCGGAAGGGCCTCGTGGCCATGATTCCAGTCCAGCCGGAGCAAATTGCCTCACTGCTGAACAGGTCCGATGGTACGGCTGGAGTCGCAATCCTCGATCGTGTCACGAGCTCAGCAGAGCGGCGCATGTCCGATAGTGGCGGATGCACCGCATCGAGCCACCGGAGGTACCTCACAGAGCTAGGCAGCCTTGATAGCTTGTTTTTTCTTCAAGGTCGGCGATCGGGAGGAATGTCCTCGGGGCCATCCCACTGCCCGTGGCAATCCCATGCCCCCCGGTCTCCATCACAGTCCCCATTTTCGTGGTCCCCGTGGGGTTATTCCATGGCCGGGGGCATGGACTCGGACGGGGTAAAGGGGAGATAGAAGAGGTCCCGAATGAGCCACAGGATATAGAGGACGCCTAACACCCACAGCGATGCCATGAGTTTGTAGGTGGACGAGCGCCAGGTGACACGCCGGATCAAACGCCGGCCATTGGGGCCTTCGATGGGCCCGCGGCGTTGGGGAGGAATTGTGCTGCCGTTGGAGAAGGGATAGGCCGGGGCCTCATTCATGGGCTCGCTGTGCGAGGTGCGGCGGCGAGCCATGATCGCGCGTAGTTGCTCCTTTTTTTCTTTTTTTTTCCTTTTTGAGATTTGGTTCGCAGGTCGATGTCCCCGGTTGCAGCGGATTCCCAGCCGAGGCCAAACCACAGAGACCAAAAAGGGCGGAAAGTGGTACAGGAAAGGAAAAGCCGGAGCGCACACAGATGAATATGGACGAAATGACAGCAGAAGCGAGGCCCAGTGAGGCCCAGCGAGGCCCAGCGAGACCCGCCCGGACGAGAGCAAGCAAGAGCTCCAAAGGGGAAATCTTGACTCCACGCGTCGAACCGCATCGCCATGACAGCCGCGACGAGCCTGCAATTCACGCTCAGCGCCCGCGCAAGCTAGGAAGATAGCAGACTAGTCGTTTGGCCCGGAGAGATCCCTCATGCATTCTGGCCATCGCGAGTCAAAAGTACCATGCCCCACCGCATCGAGGGTGAAGTTGTATAGCCTTCTTAGTCAGGACGAGTGTCTACCCCCCCAGCCTCAGGTCAGCAACCGGCCAGTGGTGAAGGATGTGCCTTAGGTCCTGTGCCTTAGTTATAGCTAAGAGCACCTAAAATACGTGTACGCACTAGTTAGTTAGTTAGTCGTCTCCCACGATGCCTCAGGATCGAACTAAGCCGACTGTCTCCGCAGCCCCGGAATTATTCATTTCCCTCGGACGGCGTTGATCCGACGGTCTTCGTGGGGTCAATTCCAGCCGGGGAGAGAGTTGCTGTTCTGGAAATAATTCTCCAAGGTCTCGTGCATGCGACAGCAGTGCGATGGTGCTCACGGTGCTGCGGCGCATCCTCCGGAGGAAGCGGGCGAACGTGACGGGGCCGGTCGACCTCGGCAATGCCACTCGCCCGAACTCCCCCAGTTCCTTTCACGCGACCTCTCCGACTCCCATCTCTCCCCATATTGACATCGACGACGGTTTCTATCGCCCTTTCTCTGCGGCCTTCTGGCCTGAAGTCGACATGTGGAAGCCGTCAGAGCGCCTGATGGAGACCATCAGGCACTATGCCAGCTTCCCCGCAACCGGTGTCTCGCTGAGGCAGATGGTCCAGTTTGGAGACCGGCCCTCCACCGGTACGTTTAGCAGCGCCGCGCACGCCGGCCGGGGAGAAGGAGAGGAAGAGGAAGTGACAAAACGCACTCTTCTTCGGATCCCCGGCTCATGCTGGCATCGTCCGCTAACAAGTTACCCAGGCACTCTCTTCCGCGCATCTCAATTCCTCTCCGAGGAACTGCCTATCCGGCTCGCCCACCGGGTCCAAGACCTGGGCGAACTGCCCGATGGGCTCAGCGAAATGCCATCCATCAAGAAAGTGCAAGATTGGTATGCGCAATCATTCGAGGTAGGACGACATCGCTCCCCCCCTCCCCAGGCTCACTGATTTCCGCCGCCTCCGTCATGTCGCACCGGTGACTCACCCGCTCGCCAGGAAATCATCACCCTCCCCCGTCCTACCCTGTCGCAAGAAGTCAAGACCCGTTTGCTGCGGCCGGGCCGCACAAATGGCATGGCCTCCAAGATCATCTCCGAGGCGACGCAGAACCCCAGCATCAAGGAGGGCCAGTACCGCTCATCCCCGACCACCAACGGAAACGGCCACGGCAACGGTAGCAGTAAGGCCGCCGCCGCCGGCCGCCGATACTTTGTCCCCGCGGCCGACCACGCCGACTGGCCGCCCGAGCTGAACGATTATAACCAGCGGTTTGCCAAAACCCTGCAGCAGATCAAGCGCCGCCACGATGGTGTCGTCACCACTGTCGCCCAAGGTATCCTCGAGTGGAAGCGGGTGCGCCAGCGCATGCAAATCGATTCAACTATTCAGTCCTTCCTCGACCGTTTCTACATGTCCCGTATCGGCATCCGAATGCTAATCGGTCAGCACATCGCCCTTACGGAGCAAACGCATGTGAAACACCCGAACTACGTGGGTATCATCTGCACCAAGACCAACGTCAAGGACATTGCGCTCGAGGCAATTGACAACGCTCGTTTCGTCTGCGAGGATTACTACGGTCTGTTCGAGGCGCCCAAGGTGCAGCTGGTCTGTAAGGACGACTTGAACTTCATGTACGTCCCTGGTCACCTGTCGCACATGCTCTTCGAGACCCTGAAGAACTCGCTGCGGGCAGTGGTTGAACAGCACGGCGCCGACCGCGAGCAATTCCCCGTGACCAAGGTGATTGTCGCCGAGGGCAAGGAGGATATCACCATCAAGATCTCGGACGAAGGTGGTGGTATTCCACGGTCGGCGATCCCGCTGGTGTGGACCTACATGTACACCACCGTGGAACAGACCCCCAGTATCGACCCGGACTTTGACAAGAGCGACTTCAAGGCCCCCATGGCCGGGTTCGGCTACGGACTACCGATCAGTCGGCTGTATGCTCGATACTTTGGAGGTGACTTGAAATTGATCAGTATGGAGGGGTGAGTTCTACGTCCATTGATCCCCAACCCCTGGCTCCAATCTCCACGTCTCATGACAAATTCGAGTGAGGGTGAATCTCGGCAATAGCTAACATTATCGATAGGTACGGAACCGATGTCTACCTCCATCTGAACCGTCTCTCATCGAGTTCGGAACCCCTGCAATGACAATTACCCGTCATGAGAGACGGCCGGACCCGGTTCACCACTTCGCACCGCCTGCTTTACATCGAACCGGAGCCCAGCGCCGCGCCGTCTCGAGGACTGACGCCGATGAACGTGCAGGCCCTCCGCTCGCGTGTCCGCAGTCGGGAGGTTTCGGAACGAAAACAGGTCGGAGATGCGGAGAGTCTGTTCCACGCCGAGCAGCGCCGTCACGAGGAGGAGATGTAAGCACTCGCCCGACCTGTCCGGGGAGTTTTCGACGGCTGCATCCGCATTTCTGTTTTGTTCAATGTTGTGTTTTGATTTTTTTTTTGGTCGAGTTTTCGGCAGAGTTTTGGCGTTTTCGTTCCTGGCCCTCCCGATAAGGCAGCGACGCACAACAGGACAAGTTCACCCTTCTGGGGAAAAGCCTGTCCGACTAACGCATGAAGAGGGAGAAGCATACATCATACATCATCCCCACCCCCCTGCAGAAGCCAAAAACTTTGGATTGTTTTGGTTTGTCCGATTCGAGATACCCATCCCCTCACTGGCACTTACTTCTACCTCTACCCCAACCCCTTCTCCACCTTGTCACCTTTGCGACCGCTTCTCTCTCTCGTGCTGGATATGATTGGGCCCTTTTTTTTTTTTTTTTTTTTTTTTTTTTTTTTTTGGTATAGTGCCGATGCTACCGTGCATCGTAGATTTACCGCATTGGATTCGTGAATCAATGGCACTACCCGAAGTACATTTTCATATTAATCCTGTACTTATACTTGTTAACGAGCGTATATGTTATTGCTGCAAGGCAGCAAGACCACTGGACCAGCCGTAGTGACAATAACTTCAAAGTATCATCAAAAAACTCGCCCATGCTATGCGAAAGTAAAGAATAGTCATAAACTCTGGATGTGTCTACTCAAACCCCCTCGATCCCGTCCTCGATTGCCCCCGCGAAACAACCCTCGAGTCCCCAGACCCAGAAGCCGACCTAGGCTCAGACCGACTCTCCCCAACATAACTCTTCCTTTTTCTCCCAGTCCCAGTTCCACTCCCACTCCCGCCAGAACCAACATTCTTCATCCTCCCCTCAGGCCACCATGATCCCTCATCATGACTAACAACCTCCTTCCACTTCGCCGGCATCAACCAAGCAGATCCACTTCCCAGACCTGTCGTAACATGCTTCGTCCCCTTACGACCCGGCACAACCATTGGCGGGATCTTTCCAGGCGTCGTTTCGGGAAACACGAACCGGCCGCCATACAATTCCTCTTCCAAGCTGGGATTACCCGGCGCAAGCATCTTGGCCAGAAAGCGACGTCTCGTTTGGGGGATTGTCTATTCGAATTAGTATCCTCATCTCAAAACTTTTCTGTAGTGTAGCACACTTACCCGCCGAGAATTCAGCGCATGCGTAACCATCAACTCCCAATCATCCGATACACAGAGCGCAGCATGCTCCTCCTCCCTCGTCCGCGTTCTAGCCCGATGACGCACCGGATCAGAGTCTCCAGGCTGCGCCCTAGACTGCACAGGACGGGTATTAGGATGAGGTGCTGTGGAGAGAAAATCGGAACCTATCCATGGATATGATATCAGGCCCAGTTCAGGTCAGAATGAATAAAGGTAGAACGCACCATCACCCATGCCCTCGGCACCATAGTCTATGAAATCGATCTCCCCACCTGCAAGTTGGAGGAGTGAGCCTGGTGAGCCCCCGGGTGGTGAGCCTTCGGGAGAATCCAGTTGCATTTCGCTGTCTTCTCCTAGCGGGATGCCGCCGTCGGAGTCGATATCTGAGTCTGAGCCATCGATTTGGATGGCGTGGTGTTGGTCTGAGCCTTCTCTTGCTGACATTCTGTGTGTGCGACAGCTAGAATAGGAGAGTCCTGCTAGGACTCGTAGATATCAAGGTCGTTGTCCAGAGTACTTTGTTCTCCGGTCATGTAAATGACCTTCAGTGATAACCACGGTATCTTTTTAGGTCAGTCCACATGTTCGCGTGTATGTCAGGGGCAGTTGTTTATCCTCACTTGTTTTTGATGTATTCTGAGGCCGTTGAATATCGTCTGCACACGTGATAGATGGTCAAGTGCTGCGGTGGATAATGTATGGCCGACGGGATGGGTGGTGGATTGGATGTGGTGAACGGGAGGGGCAATGATGAGTAATCACCTACCTTAAACAGACCAGCGAGCAGCCAGGGATGGATTGCAGCAACGTTTAGGCCATTCGCCTCAATGTTTCTATTATTCTAATGTGGAAACATCGGGGGTGCATAGGACCACATAATCATGAGATGTGTTTTGAATTGCTCTCTATGAATTGATCGCTTTAAAATATAAGTCGCTTCCTGCATAAACTCTATCTCTGATTTGGAACAAGGTCCAAGTATGGGAAGGGTTGTGCACGTAGCGACCAAGCAGGACCCACGTTTCCAGTGCAAATTTAGTGCAGGGGAAAGAGGGAGCTCCACCGGGGATGTCAGGATAATTGCTAGGTCTGGTCGATCGAAGAGCCATTTTCTGAGAAAGAAACCCGGATCTGATGAAAGCAGAGGCCTGAAGACGACCATTCTTGGGATATTTCAAGCCAGGCATATGTTCACAAACTGACTTCCACCGGGAAAATTGACGCCAAGCTCTTTTATATTGGTAGCATTTCGTGGGACATCGGCAGGAAGTTATCGTTGATGAGCCCCGCTCAATGTAAAGCGGTACAGCCATTCAATGCCGCGTCTTGCCTTGCTGCACGCACCACCTCCCACCCCATCTACTGATAAGTACACCAGATTCCACAAACTTGGTAATGCCACAGTAGCTTGAATGAGGCCTTGTTTCGCCTTTGGCTTCATTTCGAAAGCCGGCCTCGAATCAACATATCTCTCGCGAGGAACCTGTTGCAGAAATGATTTAGATATGAGATCGCGTATCTTGTTCAAGGGCATGTCCCGTTGGGCATGACGTGGGTCGGAATCATGAAACATGTCTGATGCCTAAGGAATTCCGGAGTACTGTCTACCGGTGTTGCGATTCGTTATTCGCTATATAACGTACGCAATATACGAGACATTAATCATCATCTCGGTCCTCGGGATTTTTGGAAACCGAGTTGCGAATATTGAGAAAGAAATTGTAGATCGTAAACTCTACATTGTGGCTGATCTGATCTGTCAATAAAATCTTTACCGCTCCCTTTTTGGTGACACCGCGAGACAGCTGTAATTTAACAAAAAGGAGTTCCTTACTGCTACAATATTGAAGATACACATGCTTTCGAGAGACAGAGGGCTCTCGCGAATTTGTCTTGTATTGCATCTGGCCGTGCATCGAATGTAAGGACTAGTTAGAGAGACTTGTCGGGGCTTAGGCTGTTGAGCTGGTTCAGGGAATTATAAATTGCGCAGCTGAGGGGAAAGAACTGTTTGATCTTCTACGATCTGTGCATAAAGACCAGGAAGAGACCGATCTGATTATGTGAGATGAACTACCGAGTGTAGCTCCGCAAGGACACGCCCATAGATTTGAACGAACAAAATGGGGAATGCTGCCAACCATTCACTGTCACTTATTTGAGGCTCTTCGAGCATCTCAAGTGCTAGTTGGGTGGTAGAGTATCTCAGAGGGGTCATGGATTCAAGAGTATGCATTTACTGAAGCCAATATTAGTTGGTCTCACACACTCGTCATAGTTATCCATCTTTGTACCACAGCCTTCCTTCCTTCCTCGGTTGAAAATTGTAGCTCGACCTGATCCTGCACGATCGGCGAGCGCGTGATGCAATATTACGACCTGTTAATCAACTTTTAGGTACGCGCTCTTCCATGCACTCATTGTCCCTCTCATCCATATAAAGGCAAATCCGTCCGCGCCGAGCTCAATCACTTGCATGCAAGACATCAATAAGGCAAATAACGCACTCCCAAGTCTCTCAGGCGAGCTGTATGGTCTTTCTCAGAGCTTTATGATTGCATTAAGGCAACTGGTCTCCGTGTCATCCCAGGAAGTTTCGGATTACAAGGAAGAATCCGCCCCGCCGGAGGGCAACAAAGTGATCAAGCCTCATGATATTAATGATATATTTGGCAATCAAGAGTTGGACCTGCTCAAAAGCCAAGTTCTCATCTCGTCACATGGTCTTGATTTTTCCGAATGGGTATACCCATAAGCATATTTTTAATAGAGACACGAACATTTGGGCCTCGGCAGCGAAATTGGGATGTTAGATGACAATAAATACCTATCCTAGGTACTGTAGTGGGAAATCGCCCCACAGCCAATTAGCTGTGTAAGTTAAATGAGTTTACGCTTGCGTGAGTAGCAATTCAAATAATTCTTCTCTTCTTGACTACCCTCGCGTCTTTCTCAAATATCTCCTGCTGGCCCGAGAGAGACGTTCCTCTATTTCCTAGCTCGCAAATAGTATATGCATGGTGATACAATAGTGTTGTTTTCCCATCTCACTGTCAGCGCGCTAGTGCTTGTATAGTCCGTAAAAAAGACTATGCGACATGGTCACACTATACGGCAACACTAAGTATAAAAAGATCTGTTGAGGCGCATCAGAATGTTATTTGACTATTTACACAGTTCCAACAATGGGGGTTACGCGATCGAGGGGAGGCTTAATAGAGAAGGGGAAAGTTTAAAATATAATATCAGGTATCGAATAGATAGGAATGCCTAACCCCCAACGCCAGAACAAAATGCCGCTAAAACGACGCAGGAACAAATACACCCTTATTGACAACCATGCATGTAGCTGTTCTTTGGCCAGTGGTACCCGGCGTCCTCCCTGTAATTTCAGCGTTAGTGGTGGTTTGGACAAAGCTCCGAAAGAAATAACGTACCAAGTGGTAACATTCGGATTGGCATACGCCTTCGGATGGTCACGAATATAGGTCGTAGTCTCGTAACCAGGCGGGTCACAGGTGATGCTCTCCTCATCCGGATCCTGGTAGATCCGGATGTGGTCGATGCGCAGCCAAGCAGGCATATACTGGCGGATGGAGTGGTTTTGCGGCGCAAAGTTATCCGCCATACCCAGGTTCATGACGATGGACATGGGCTCAAGAGGAATCATGCGTTGACCGATGTTGCCGTTGGGCCCGATGGCACGGCCGTCCAGAGTCCAGGTTTTGCCGTCACCGACGAACCAAGTCACGTTTCCTGTTGCACCTGGAGTGTATTCGAAAGCGAAGATCTGGTACTCGGTTCCGTTGTACCAGCGGGAATTGAGGTTGGTGAGTCCAGACATGGCCTGTTGGTAGATGCCTCCGCGGTAGGAGTTGATTTGAGTGATGCGAGGATCGTAGACGGCAGCATAGTCTGTTGATGTCAAGGTTAATTGGGATGAACGAAGGAGTGGAAGGGGAAGATGCTCACCGTAGTCTGGCATGTACCAGATATCGAAGGGAGCGGTTTGCAGACTCTGAGAGGCACTACCAATAAAGGGTCCATCACCGTTCAGTGCTTCAGTGCTTCCTTCAATCACATCAATCTCGGGGGCACTTCGGGCGATGCCAGGAGAAGGGTGGTCGGAATCAGGGCAAGTGCAACCGGGCAACCGCATGCCGGGCAGAAAGCTGATACCGTCTGGAGAACTTTGGTTCGGGGTGATTCCAGCATCGCAGCCATTATGGTAGCTATACGGCCACAGGCCGTCAGTGGTAGCAGCATGACCGGGACGGGCGAGATTTCCCATTGCCCAGAAACCAGGCCAGAAACCTTGGATATGTCCGTCACCGGGCAATGAAAGACTAGCCTCCAGGCGACCACCCTTGAAGCAGAGTTTGTTCCAGCTTTGAATCATGCCCGAGCGGAAGGAGAGATCATGGTTTTTGAAATTGTCGAATCGGAGTTCGAGAACACCTTCATTTGTAGTGACGGCATCGGGATCGTACCACTGAGGAAAATATTAGACAATGCAATGTTAAAGAGACTGTTCGACTTTGCTCACCTCTTTATCCATTGTCACGCCATACCACAGATCTACCGCTTGGAAGAAGGGGTCGTCTTCGTCGTAAAATGTGCGTCCAGGCATATTGAACTCATCAGAAAACTTGCGAATGTTAGCTATATTTCCTCTTCGAAGATCCCGAGATAGAAACTCACCACAAGCTTCCAATCCTTGCCATCTGAGTTTTTCTTCCACATCGCGTCCGCCGGGGTATCAGGATCGATCAACCCTCTCCGAATATTACCTAGCAGAGGACGCGGTCCGACATCGAGACAGGTATTGTCGCCCGGACGGCAGACAGGCGTTTTGTGGAGCAAGCCCTCGACCCATGTGCTATTGTCTGTTAGCCTCATGATTCCCAAGCCATTGGAGAAGAATCCTTACATGATGGGATATCCAATGAAGAGCACCAAGATACCCAGTGTCAACGCAGCTAATCCGCCCACATTTAACACACCACGTCGATTGCATATATCGCAGTCACGTTCTTTGTCGGCCGGGTCCGGATTGTGCAGATAGTCGTCTTTCTCCACGTCTTCAGGGAAAGAAGAAGACCATCTGTAGGCATGATGTTGAACTTCTCAGAGACGGTCTGGGTGTTCACATCATATTCATCACTCCCGGCACGAGACGAAGGTGCCCGCGAATCTTCAAAGGGGTCCATGTGGAAACGACTCTCCCGACTCATCGAGCTCACACTCGACCGTGCCTGGGACCAGCGGTCCGGTGAGCCAGATCGATCGCCATCATCACGAGGAGTAGGCCGCAGCTTCGGAGGCAACAAAAACTCTGCTGATTCTGGTGCAAAGGACGTGCCATACGGTGACATCCCATGAACACCAACCCCAAGCGAAGCAGGCACCTCAGGTCCAGCCGGTGTCAAGGGACGAGCGGTAGCCCGGGAATTTGATCGTGATTCGAGACGGGATCCCGGACGTGATGACATTCGTGATTCAGCTCGGGATTCCGCTCTGGAATCTGCCCGCGAGTCAACACGGGAATCCGCCTGCGATTCCGGACGCGTATCGATTGGTACATAGCCCTCATTTGTCTCGATGAAAGGATCCTGGCGACCCGAGTTGAGTCGAATGTGAGGCATTTCGAGTCTCGGGGGATGGAGCCCTGGTCCGACATCTGATCCAGACAGCTCGTTCGAAGGTCGAAGCGAAGAGACCGATACTCTCGTCAGTCTTCGGCCCCAGCACTATTCAGTTCCCGTCAATCCACGTCGAGAGATCCCTGTCATCCAAGTTCTAATTGTCGATATCTCGAATCGGTCAAGAGTCTTCCCTTCCTTGTTCCTGGTGTCTAATTTCTTCCGATCTCCGATTGAGGCACTGTCGCTGAGTGCTCTAGATCCGAAGGAGTGGACAGGACCACTTGGATAACATCCAATGTCCCTAGGCGAGGCAGCTGAACAGGCGTAAAAGCACAGGTGGAAGAGAAGGAAACGAAGCCCGGGAAAGAAAAGAAGAGCCTAGATTGGCTTCGAGGGATCGTTGTTTGGGTGCACGAGGGGAGCGGAATGACAGAGGGTCGAAGGGGGCAATTGTGGTATGTGTATACCTCGCTGACCACCAGGACCTCTCTGCAATTGTATTGCTGTATACTCTCCGATGTAACAATTCAACAGATGAATCAAATCGTGGATTCTTTTTGCATATTCTCATAAACACCCTTAGCTCAATTGACGGTCGGGATACTGTGTGTTGATTTTGCATCTGCACCGCTTGAAGCCTCTTGCCTGCAGGGCCCGGTAGGGAGAGAACATTCCCGTTGCCCTCCCCATGGCAGCGAGGAATGGGCCGGCATGAATGCTAGCCAAGAATCTCGAGATCAGCATATTAAGCCCGGTGAATCCCTTCCGGCCAATGGCAGCCGCGTTTGTTGGCGTGTCCTGATGTCCAGCGCTGGTGATGGCGGGTGAGTGATTAAGGGCGAGCTGCCGCGGGGAGACAGCCCTTGGGCGGCCGAGGGTCAACTCAGACACCTCCACCCTCACCCATCCCGATCTATACACAAATGAATACATTTAACCATTCTCAATAAAACTCGCGATACTTTCTCGATTCGCATCTCGTATGCACTTAGTCGTCTGCAAGACTTCGTGTATGTACTAGTCCAAAAAGAAAGACGGCCATTCCCGAACACGCGTCGACTCTTCAAGCCATTTCCAGCCAAGAATGTCAGGGTGCCCAAACAAGAAGCTGTCAGGCTGTCCTCAACTAATCATTCGTTCACTCGTCTGGCTGTGCATTCCTGCTCGAGCCAGCGAGACAATTTTAGAGTATGCCGTATGCCACGCGGGCTTCTTTGGCCAGGAACTCCGGGTTTCCTATGTAATAGAACACGCAATTGGAGATAATTCAGGTATCATTGTCGATCCAGGTCAGCGGCGCTGTAAATAACACTTGAAGCAATAGTTCTTCCATCCAACCCTCAAATGCTTATGTTGTCAAACCTAGGTCTCGACCGACTTGGCCCGCAGTCCGACAATACGGCCCCCGGGACATCCAAGGCGAGCAACCAATACTCGATCTTCGTGCCGCTCAGCTCCACTCTGTACACTTTCACTTCCACGGCAGACTGGTCGGCATTCTCATCACGCTCAACGGCTGCGGAGCGCACGGCATGCAGCACCGAGGAATATTGGTTCTTGGGGTCAAATGACGACGGGGAGAGGGTCGAGATGGCCTGCGAAAGGTCTGTGTTCGGCGAGATGAGGCTAGACAGTTGGTCTAGATACCGAAGGTACAAGGTCAGTAAATCCATAGCTGGAAACAAGTGCAAGCGCACGCCATCAAGGGACGTCAACTACCCTCGTAGGGTGTTTCACCCCTCGGGGGCTAGGAAAGCGCAGAGAAATGTAGGGTGCAAGTAAAGCCGTACCTGGGCTGGGCCAAATGCCCTGCTTCGCGTCATTCCAGATCAGCGCAACGGGCTCAAACGGCTCGTCCGTTTCGGAAATGTAGTAGTAATCGACCGACTGGAGGGGCTTCGGGATCTGGGTTGTAGCGTCCACGGTCTCCGTCCGCGCGGTGTCGGTCCCTTGCGCCGGCGCGTTGCGACCGGCATCCACGTCAGCGTTGGCCTTGTTCAGAAAAGCCATGTAGGAGTCGTCTGAAGCCATGGTGAGAGTTGTCGTTAAGACGGGCGAGACGTGGGATGGAGAGGTGGGGGAGCAAGTGTTGGTTTGGTGGCTAAGTATTTCTCTTCTGGTGGGGATGATGGTGACGGCAGTAAATCGTTGATAAGATGGAAGGGTTCGGAAAGTGCGATTTGATGGCAGAGATGAAAGCGAGGAAAGCGAAGAGCGGGCGTGACGAGCTCGTGTTCCTTGAAGCGGTTGGGCAGTCGATGAGAAAAGTGAGATGACGCAATGGATCCTGGTCGGCGGCCGCATCTTGTCACTCCTTCGGTGTAGCCTCAGGCTCAAACGGGGAACATAAATGGGCAAAATAGTAGGCGTAGCTGGAAAGTGCAGGGCGAAAGAATTTGCAGAAAGATAGTGCAAGACCAGATTCCAGAGGCTGGAAAACGTCGGACAAATAAAGTGGTTTTTAAAGCTACCGGCGGTCGTGTCATCCACAACACTACTAGCCAAATATGCCGGCAACGACCATACATGCAAGCTCCCACCATATAAAAGAAATAATAATATCGTAAACTACACCATGCTCGTTCAGCAATTGGAGATATTACGTTCAACTACAATGTGGAAACCGTTTTAAAAAAGGTATTGTCCGCTTTTTTTTATTGAACAAGAAAATACGTTGCACTCCGACAGCCAAAAAAATGAAAAACCTTAAACGGTCTGGATAAGGTCCTTCTTGAGGGTACCCATGAAGGACTTCTTCTCCTCGGCGGTCTGGAAAGCACCGTGACCGAACTTGGAGGAGGTATCGATCCACTTAAGCTCGACCTTCTCGGTGGCGCGGCGGTTGGTCTGGGGGTACAGGGTCTTGCGCAGGGTCATGACGCGCTTCTTGACACCGGGAACGGAGCCCTTGAGCAGGATGAAGTCGTTCTTGACCTCACCGTAGTGAACGAAGCCACCAAGACTGGAGAAATGTTAGCAATCCGAAACCATTATATGTGAATAAGAGGTTGAACATACGGAGTGATCTGCTTCTTGGAGATATCGAACTCGGTGGAGGCGTTGCCCTCGTCGGAGCCCTTGCCGATGCGGAAGACCTTGTGGTTGCAGGAGGTACGGTGGTGGTAACCCATCTGACCAGCACGGGCAACAGTCCACTGGACGTGGTTAGGGTGCCAAGCACCAATACAAGCGACCTTACGCAGACCCTTGTGAGTCTTGCGGGGAAGCTTGGTGGTACCCCAGCGGGAGGTGACACCCTGGAAACCGTGACCCTTGGTGACGGCGATGACGTCGATCATCTCATCCTTCTCGAAGATGGAGTCGATGTCGATGGTCTTCTCAAACAGGTTGCGGGAGAAGTCGACCTTGTCGGCGATGGAGCCACCGTTGACCTGGATCTCCATAAGGTGGGCCTTCTTCTGCTTGATGGGGGTCTGGCGGATCTGGGTGTGGGCGAGGACACGGACGACAGTGCAGTACTTCTTGATGCGCTCGAGCTCGCGGGTGACGCCGGCACCGGAGTTGTCGGCGTGCTGCTTGGCGTACTTGGTGAAGGCCTTCTTCTTGGACTTGTACCAGTTCTTGTAGAAGCGACGCTTGACCTCGTCGCTCAGGTGCTCAGCCCAGACGGTGGTGAGCGAGCGGAGACCGCGGGGAGTCTCGATGTAGCCAACGACACCAACGGCAACGAGAGGAGGGGTCTCGATGACGGTAGCGGCCTCGACAATCTCCTTCTTGTGCATCTTGGCACCGGGACGGTCAAGGTCACGGACGACGGTAGTCATACCGGCCTTGTAGCCCATGGAGGCAGTAAGGTGGACGGGCTTCTTGGGGTCATCCTTGGGGAAGCTGTCGAAAAGGCGAAATATCAGTATAAGTCGTTCTGCGCAAAATTTTTCGAGATCCTCGATAATTATCCCAGAGAGAATACTAACCTCTTGACCTTACCACGGTGGCGGGCCGCGCGCTTGCGGGGAGGTAGGCCAGGGAGCCTGTTGAATAAAGAATCAGTAAAACCGCACACTGGTGATGTCGAATTTTTGGATGCGAGAAGAATGTTGGGATCACGAACCGTGACGAGGCGCTTCGTACTTCCGGTGACTCCTGGAAAGAGAAGAGATGTCAGCAATTGACTCGAATAAGGCGCTTGATTGTTGTGGTATGGGGTCGACTCACATCTTGACCCTGTGTTGTCGTTAGTCGTCGAGGTGGTGAGAGTGACGATCGAGGAAGCCGGAAGGTGTATTTTGCACCGCTTGACGAGAGTGTGGGCTGACCTAAGCGAGTGAGTTTCCCGTTTGGGATAAGCGACCAGTGTGGCCCTGTCACGTGATGCGACTAGAGTTTTTGTGAGCTCGGTGGATTCAGGTCTGGTCACGTGGACTTGGGCACACTTTCCCCATGAACTTTATTCAGAGTACGAGCACTGTTGCGAGTTGGCAGCGGAGCCCTCCCCTCAGATAGTTATTCTAGTTTCTCGGACAAGAAAACGGTGACTATGATGACTTTCTCAAGAAACTACTGGATTCATAGAAGGAGCTCGAAATTGAAAATGGCTGAATTGGCTATCAAAATAAAGATGCCGAAGCATCAAAAGATTCACAGGGAAATAGACGGAGGAAATTCATAACAGTAAGGTAACAGCGGAGAGAACGAATACAGCCTGATCGCAATCCAGTGCTCGGGTGGCCTGGAGTCGATCAACGTAAACTAGCACACAATCATACCGTACATCACAGGGTGGAAAATGGGAGAGGGATTTGAAGGGGGTTAAAAAGGACATAGAGGAGAATGAGAATAGATGTTATGTGTATTGTCGAGAGATAATTTATCTTCAGACTTTTTATGCCGACGGATCAGCCTTCGAGGGAGTTCCCGGGCGGCCGTTGCTGGCGCCATTCGCACCATTCTCGCCGCTGGGGCTACCCTTAGCAGCTGCGACAGCCTTCTTGTCCTCGTCACCATCATCATCGTAGTCCTCATCGACGTCCATCTTCCGAGCAGGGGGTTCGTGCGATACGGGAGCCTCAGGGCGAGGAGGCTCTTCCTTGACGGGAGTGTTGGCCGAAGGAGGGCCCGAAGGAGGTCCGTTAGATGCCGGAGCTGAGGCTTCAGCCATAGGAGGCAAACTAGGTCCACCAGCAGCGTGAGGCGGCATGTTCTGGATAGACGGCAAGGTAGGAGGGTGGTGAGCAGCCTCCGAGGGATGGTAATTTTCGTTGGCGCGACGAGCATCCTCCCGGCGAGCCTCGGAAGAGTTACGCCGCTGCATTTCGCTGGGGGAAGGAAGATGCGCAGGCGGACTGGGGCGGCGGCTGTTCTGATCATCCAGGCGGGCCCGATTTTCGTCGCTAGCAAGCTTCTTGACAGGACCAGCGTCGCCCTCCCACTCACGGCCACGCTTCATAGCAGAAGCCGGGCGATCTTCACCGCGGTTAAGGGCTGCTGCCTCGGCAGCGGCCGCAGCGGAGGCGGGTGCAGGAGCGCCCGAAGCAATGCCAGTTGAGTTAGGGCCTGGAGGAGGTGGAGCAGTCGGGCCATGGTGATACTGCTGGTGAGGGTAGGTCGAACCGGGAGAAGAGGGTCGTTCATCCCGAATGGGGCGGATCTCGGTTGGGGGAGTGAATGGTCGGTGGTAGGGAGGAGGTCCAGCAGCAGCCACGGGAGGAGGGCCACCGTTAGGACCAGGAGGGGGAGCGGGAGCCCCAGCAGGCGCAGGGGGCAAGGGAGCACGTGCAGCAGAACCAAATCCACCGCTAGGCGCCCGCTCATGGCTAGGGGGCGGCGGCGGAGCAGTGGCCAGCTGGGGAAGGGTGTGCGTCGGAGGGTAGGTAGCGGGAGCGCCCATCTTGGGTGAGCGCGGCGGACCGCGAGCAGGATCAGGGAAGCCTCGGCCGGGCTCTTGTCGGGGACTGGCCTGAGGAGGAGCGCCGGGAGCCCGAACGACATCACGCTGGTCAACGCCATTAGCCGGGGGGGGAGCCGGGGCTTGCGTCTGCAGCTCGTTGATGCCACGGTTCCAGTCGGCGATCTGTCGGGGAGGCGCAGGCGCTTGGGCGGGAGGTCCAACGGGAGCCGGAGCACCCCACTGGGGAGCGGGAGGCGCACCGACACCGGGAGCCTGGTAGGCCTGGGGGTGAACATCCTGCGGCTGAGGCGCGGGAGCGTTGGCTGGCTGAGCATTGCCAGTCTGCAGCTGGCTCTGGAGCAATTGCAGGCGAGCCTTGATGTGGACATTGGTCGGGTCCAGGTCGGCAGCACGTCCGTAGGCATCGAGAGCGTCGGCGATCTGGTTATTGCAAGATTCGTAGAGAGTACCCAGGTCGTACCAGACCTCCGAGATGTAAGGGTTCAAGCGGATGGCACGAGAGTAAGCATCCAACGCATCACGGTACTGGTTGATCTGGTAGTAGAGGACACCGATCGAGCACCAGAAAGTAGGGTTACGTCCGTCACGGTAGACGGCTTGCTGGTATGCTTCATAGGCCTTGGGGTACTTGGCCTGCGACATGTAGCATCGACCGAGAAGGTACCAACTCTGGGCGTCGTTGTTATCGGCGCTGACCGACTTCTCGAGGAACTCAATTGCCTTCTCCTGGCTTGAGAAGCTACCGCTCTGCTGGTGGTAGAGCCATCCCAGTTGTTGGAGAACCTTGGCGTGGTTCGGGTCACGCTCCAGGACCCGGCGGTAAGCGTTCTGAGCAGCGTCGAACTAGAAACGAAACAAGTCAGTATTTTTCCCTCCACATTCAAGTCGAAGGACAACCAACTTACATCCTTCTGCTGCTCGTGGACGTGGCCGATCTGGAACCAGATATCTTCCTCGGTGAGAGGTCTAGGCGGGTCGTTGACAATGTATTTGAAGCACTGGACCGCGAGTCAGTAATTGATACTTCGCGCGCATGCGCAATCCAAGGGGCGCCACATACCTCTAGACTCTGGTTGAACTTTTGCTGCTGCTTGTATATGATTCCCAGACGGAAGTAAATCTCGTTTGCTTTCTCGAATTCGGGAGCCATGCGCATGACTTGCGAAAAGGCCTCTTCGGCATGGTCGAGAGATCCATATCGATCGTAGAGGATACCAATTCCGTACCAGAGTTTAGGCTCCTAAGGGAATTTGAGTTAGCTTTTTCCGTTGCGACGAGGAGACCCAGGAGAAGGGGGAAAGAACAAACTCTCACCTTCGGGTCTCGCAAGTGGTAAAGAGCCTGCTGGTAGGAGGTATACGCCTCTTGCAGGTTATCCATCATCAAGTGGCAGTGTCCGAGACTACCCCAGGTTTCGCCACTAGTCGGATCCAGCTTCAGAATGTTCTGAAGATACTCAATGGCCTTGGGAAACTGCTCCTTGGTGCGAAGAATACACGAGATGGAGTTCATGGCGAGAATCGACCATTGGTTATGGCGCAAAGCCTGCTCGTACGCCGTCATAGCGCCGTCGAGGTCTCCCATTAGTTCCGTCAAGTTACCAATTGAGTGCCAGACAGTCTCGTTGAGCTGGGCTATCTTCTGTGCCGTGTTCATGGGCGCGTTCTTCTGAGCTTGCACCGGCATGGGGGGCATGTGGCCGTTCACCTGCGCATGGGCGGCCATGTGCGCAGCAGCGGCGTGATGGGGAGCAACGCCCGCGGTGGGTGATGGTTGGGTGTGAGACATGGTGGAAAAACACGGTTCCTCAAGGCACCTTCTTGTTGTTGCGATTCAGAGTTGAATCGAGCTTGCGACACGATGATGCAATGTCCCGGGTCCGGCGGTGACGAGATGAAGCGCGAATTGGCGGCGCCGACAGAAGGGAGATAATTTGAAAGTCGCAAGGTAAAAGGCGAAGGGAGAGGTATTGCGATTTTGTCACACCCGATCGCCCCTGATGAAGAAAGGTCGATCGGGGACGGGTGAGTGGATGTGAGGCCTCACCCGGTGATGGAATCGGAGGGGGTGGGCGGGAAAGGAGCGCGCGTGGAGAAAAGCTGGAGAAAGCTTTCCACGGGCAAAGAGGAAGAAGAGGGGGAAGAAAGAGAAAGGAGAAATGAGCGGTCGGTGGAAAAGCAACCGCGTCCGAAAAGGGGAAGAGAAGAGAGAGGGGATATCACGGAAGACGATGAAGATGAAGCCCAAAGGAAGGAGGGAAGAGAGTCGAGGGGCTGGCAGGAAAGGTGTGAAATTTGCCAAGCGGCACTAGTGGTTGCGCAGCTCAGCAGCCGTCACCACCGCGCAGAAAAAGCTGACGGCCAGGAGCGGACTAGCGCGGTGGGGCCGATCTGGAGGCGGTTATTTTGGGGCTTAACGGTGTGGATACGGGGTGATGACCGTGGCCACGGCACGCCAAACGAACACACCTGGGCCGATGGTCGGTATGAGGCCGTGCTGCTGTCCGGAATCCACGCGCGCCGTGCCTTCTGGCTCCCCTGAGGATTTTGCGCGGTGGCGGCATTCCCCAGGAATCTTCACGATCATTACGAACCCCCGGTTGGGCCGAGTGGCGCCCGGGTGGGTCCTCGGGGTGGGCTCCCCCGTGGTCGCTGGTGCTAAGGTACGTTAGTGCGACTCTGTTCTCCGTGCCACTCCGACTTTAGCCTACTCCGGCCAAGGGCCTAAGCTAAGACCCGGCATGTTGGACCGTGCGGCCAGATCCCTGTCGGTTCTGGAGTTACTTTCTGGTAGGCCCCCAATTCTTCCGGCCCCAAACTCGGAATCGTGCAGCCCGCAGCTGTCGAGTGACCCTAGGCAAAAAGGAGGATCTATGCATTGCCTTGCAGTTCCCCATCTGCCGATAGTCCCCTCGTTGTGTGTTGTCCATCACCTGCGACACTTCCGCTTTTTTGATTGATCCTCTGGATGGTATTAGTTTGTCTCAAGTTATTTTCGTCTTATTTTGTTTCTCAAATTTCCCCCCGAGCCCTTCTCTTTGACTCTACAATTCTCCGCTGCAGGGTTCCTGTTCCCTGACTTGCATTCCGCGATGGCCTCCAGCCGCTAGCGCATTTCGCCCCTTCCGTCATTGTTTCCCCCAGTCGCTTAACCCCCTCGGGCCTAGTCCCCCTCCACAGTCCAGAATTCAATTTTCTTATTTCTTTTTTTCTGATTTTCATTTTTTTTTTTTTTCTATGCTTTTGCCGGTACTGGGCGTTTTCGGATTTTGGATTTCTTTTTCGGCTCCTCAGCCACACCGCGCCACAGGACGATCTTGATACCCAGAAAGCCGGTGGAGCCCAAATGTGACAATGCACACGCGCCCCCTTTTTTTAGCAGTCCACCGAAGCCCACCCATCCAACCGTCCACGGTGGATTGTGCCATGTTCCCCCCCCCCTCCACTTGTCGCTCGATCCTTGTTTTCTTACCCACCCACACCCCTACCGCATCCAGCAGAAATCTTTGATCAGCCCCATGGCGTCATGAGGAACTGCTGTGGATTGGCGGCTCCACAAGGAATGGACACGCATCCTTTCATCCCCTTCCCATCGAACCACTGTCAAAGGGACCTGACTAGCCGAGCCGCCGCTGTTGCGTCGCAGTCCATAGGCCCGTTGTGAAACACCTCAGGGAAGGCTGCCCATCGCCGTCCGCCAATGGCCTCGGCCCACCCCCCATGAACCGAGTCGTGTTCTGGCGTACGGAGATCTGGCCCTGGGTTACACAGCCGCTGGGAATGGGAACGGATTTGAACGTGTCGCGTTTGGGAGACATGGGACTGAAACCTCGCCGGCACGAGTCAAAAATCCGTCACATCCCCCTTTTTTCCGGAGACGATGAGATGTCCACTAGTGTGCATATACCTAGGATGCATCTTAATATCATACCTTTTTTCGGATGTGATGATGTTAGGCGCCGTTCTGCCCATCCACCAGGTCTGTGTGGGAACGATCTGATCCCCCATCGCATGCCCCGATGCGTCAGGGCATTTCTCGGGACATGTGCCTGCCCTATGCTCCACCTGGACAGGACATCAGCCGCGCGCATAGTTAAAGAGCCCACTGTGGAGTCTTTCCGGCTCCGAATCAGTACCTAAAGGCCGACCAGCCGTAGAACTGGTAGTTATTCGCACGGAGGAAAAAGGGGGAGATAGAGAACGGGTCTTTGCACGATGCTGCGAAAATAGGGGTGGCACCGTGCAACCCGTCAAACTCAAGACCAGGTCGAGCTACCCAGGCGTACCGAGTACCCTCGCCCTCGAGCTGTCGCAAGACTCTTGCGATTGAGGTCCATTCGCGGGCTGGGCGGATGGACACGCGCGGAGCCTCGAGTCATGGTTCCTTGTTTCTTAAGAGCCATCAAATGTAGATTTGTTTAGGTACAATCTGGCAGCTACTCTACAATGTGATGAATAGAGATATCAAAATGCCTTGCAAGTCGCGATCCTTCGATGGTTGCACCTTCCAGGGTCGATCAAGACCGATATTGCAGACCGGCCTGGTCGGGACTGTTAATGTACGACCCGCACCGAGCAAAGAGGAATATACTAGGAAAGATCCCGAACCGTGAACATTTGATCAACAGGCAGAAATCGGAAGAAATCGATCCCTGTTCCTCCACCTTGGCTATCAGATAAATCACCGAATGCGGCCCTCCACGCGATCGACAGCCCAACCAACGCGACCGGGGAGAAAAAAAAAAAAAAAAAAAGGCCGGGGACCGAATAACCAATCTCAGGTACCGCCATGCGAAATCCAGATCGAGACCATGCACCCTCAGATCCAACTAGAATTGCTCGGCAACACCAATCTGCGACCGGGCAGAAGACCGGAGGGGACGAAGCTCCGCCATGGATTACCCCAGATCACCACCACAACCCCAGCCCCTTCCTGTGCCCCAGCGACATGGCAGATAAAAAGCACCTGGCTAGCCTGACTGGGCGACTTTACAATCGCTCTCGACACAGACTCGCGATCAGCCAGTGGCGGCGGACACGCTGCAGCCACAAACGAGGTCGGAGCGAGGACTCGGGAGATGCGGTTTAATGGAGTGTCACAGCAACAGGCAATGCGATGGCTGTGGCCCTTGCTGCTTGCCCACAGCTGGCAATGCTTGTCTCTCTTTGCTTCATTCCTCTGCAGCCGGGCGGGGCCAGCGAAAAATAAAAATAAAAATAAAAAAATAAAAATAATATCATTTTCGTGTCTCAGCTGGGCAGCGATGCTGGCGCGGTGCCTCGTTCTTTGGCATTCGCAGGTTTGGTTCGCCTATGCGCAACATTGCCTCGGGACTATGCGAACGGCTGGAGGTGGCTATTTTTGCCTAGTGCTTAGTGTTGGCATCATCTGTGATATCCATTGGCCTCGTTCTTGTCTCCTAAAAACACACTAACGTGTGGCTTCGTCTAATCAAGTAGTGCCGGGTAACTATCACTGGATATATATATATTCGGGATTTGTTGCGGCTGAGGGTTCCTCCCGACGGCAAAATGGCGGGCGATATGAGATAAACTTGTCGGTGAGTAGACAGGTCGCATTCTTTGAAATACCACCCAATAGGAAAATGCAGTGTGAGTGCTTTAACTCGCCCAGTGGCAATTCGCCCATATCAGGAATGATATCGTGGCTGTCAGGATCGTATCCCAAATTTTTGGCGGCGCGGCGCGGCAGAAAGAACGGGCATCACACCCTCATGATGTCCCCTCATCCGCCCTTCAAGGCTGAGATAAGCATGCACTGAATCATGTCGACGCAGGGTACAGTTGCGAATAGTCCCAACCTACTCAAGATCCAAAGATCGACACAGTCTGCTCCTCAGACCGGCAATGCGCCTTCCCGAGATTGACGCCATGTTGCTTTTTCCTGAGTAACCGCAGCTCCCACACGACACCAGCACCGCTAGTCAGCCCTAGTCCAAGGCTCTGAGAGTGTCTCCACAAACGCACACTGCCGTACATTAGGAATGTCTGACAGGAAGCAGGGGGGAACCCGCCCCGGTGCTCTCATGTGTGCTCGGTTCTCGGCGCCCTACAGGAGATCCCTCCCTTGCAGCACGCAGCGGATCGGCCTGATGGGTCGCCCCCAGATCATATTTGGGATGGCCGCTGCATGGATGCGGCAGGGCTATTGATTCCGGGAGTTTCTTACGTCCATGCAACACTATGAAAGTTTCATTGCTATTGAGTTGTTTGGGTGGGGCGTGCGAGAAGGTTGTGTTTTGATCGACTCTGGATTCTACCTGCTTATCTTCAAACTTGAAGACGTTGATTCTGCAAAGCATGCACCTACGTCAAGTTACTCTTTGAGAGTCGTCGAGAAGTACCTTCATAAAGGTGAAGGTACGCTTTTTGCAAACAAAGAGAGGGCTGTGCTGATGGCAACTTGAATTACATCGGTGAGGACAGCATTCATTAACCCCTGGAGGTATTCCTGGGACTATTCCGGGGCGTAAGCACATTGTGAAAGCGTAGAAGTACTCTACCTTGAGGGTACTGTATGGAGAGACGATGTTTAGGGGGATTTTCCCATAGCTGTCATTTGGGAAAATGACCAAAATTCCATCACTATAGTACTACATTATGTATTATGGTAGGTGGATCGATATTGTGAAGGTATCGGTTTCGGAGAAGCGGCCCCCAGTCCACACGGAGAAAGACAGGCACTTCAACTCCAGGAATGATCTCGAGATTTCCTGCCGTGGCCAGTGCGAGCCTCCACAATGAAACTTGCAAAAGCGGATCTGTGGCCATCCGATTGGCAGCGCGGACCATCCCGCGCTCGACACGGACATTCCCATCTCGACATATGAAGACTTACATGCTATCTTTGCGCACGACCCAATGTCCCTCACCCACCTCCAGCACAGGCGTGAGGAAGATGTGCAGCCATGGCGGAACGATATGCACGACCACGGGAATTAATCTGGGAAGATGTGATGGATCGACAGCCATCCAGCTTATTTTGGCGTGATGACAACTCAGCGATCGGCTGGGGATGATCATATGTAGTGCTTTTGGGGGTCAACAAACGCCTCAAAGTGACAATGAATATCAGTGTGAGATCGTCCCTCCTGCAATCTAAGTGGGCCGCCCGGGGGTTTCTTTTCGAACCTGCCCTGTCCTGAGTCGAGTGAGAACTGCCAGTGGGCAGTTTCAAGTTCAGGGTCTGCTTTTCAGGGTCCAAGAAGCGCGGCCCCAGAGCACCGCAAAGCCCAGGCCGGGCCACGCAACCCCCCTCCTGACCCGACCGCCCAGCCAAGCGCGCCTCACGAGAGTGCTGCAACATGGAGCTGCCGAGACCAGCGCGTCGTGGACCGCCAAGAGATGAGCGCTCTCGACAAGACAAAGACGAGCATCGGCGGCTGCCTTCAGAGCCGCCCATTCGTCCTGGTCGGGAGTCATCCGACCTGGCGGAATGAGAACGCGAGGGCCAAGACGACAGCCTGTCAGGGCCTCGTCGGAGGCAAAGTAGAGAGACTCTTCGACGCTTGTCAATACACCGTATCCGACTGGTGTATTGGTCGTACATGCCCGGCTGGGTAGGTACTGGCGTGCGGCCTGGCGATCCCCCCAGGGGATGTGCAGCATGAAGCTGTGTGCCCGGGAAACCAAGTGCAAGCCATTCAGGAAGTTACCTAATAAATATTGGACGCACACAGAAACGTGCACCAGATATGACAACTTTTTTTACCCAGCCCTCACCCCTCTCTTTTGCTCAAAAATTGTTGCCAATATCTCGGCGCCTGGGCAGGCTCGGCACGGGTACACCGAGGTTCTCACCGGCACAAGGAAGGTTCATACCTTGCGGGAGAAACTCTGGCAAACGCCTACGAGAGTTGAAGATGATATCTTTTAGCTCGATTTTCCTCTTCATGGCGTCTCCATTTTGCATCGTCTAGGTAGCAGCCTGCCTAAACTAGACACTAAAATCTGCACAAATCACGTGCGTCATAACAATACCGGATGCCAAGCGGACCCACTGGCCGAAACTGGGCCAATCATCGCCGCGTTAGGGCAGTCGTCATCCATGATGCGCCTTGGCAGCTTGGCAATTGGTAAATCATCGTAAACCGCAGCGTCGGACAGGCCTTGTCCAACCTACCTTCACCACAGTTGGAGGTCCATCAAAGCGGACGGCGCGATGAATGCCGCTGCGAGTGCCCATCTGGGAGGAAATGGCTTCGGGTTTCCCACTTCGCGCGGCGTCCGTAGACAGCGTCGAACCTCGAAAAAGATGCCAAGGGCTCGGCACCTGGGCGCCTTGGCAAGAAAGCCTGCAAACAGCTGGTATCCTCCTCCGCTGCCATGGCTTTCCCTGGCCCTTCCGCCGTGTCTCCGTCTTATAAGACTGCGTCTCCGCCCGGGCTCTTTCCCTCACCGTTTCGAAGGTGGGAAAAGTGGCCTCGTTTTCCGCCCCTCCAGCCTTGTCCCCGTACCTTCCCTCCCCCCTGATGCCCTCGGAGCCCTTGGCCAGGGAAATCATGCGCCGTGAGCCCTATAGTCCATAAGTCGCCCTCTGTGCGCCTTGTACGACCTTCGGCTACTCGAGTTGCTCTTCAACCGCGCTTGGGCTCGCCATGCGGCCTCCGGAGATGTCATATAGTCCTGCCTACCGCCAGGGTCAGGACCCCCCTCGGCATGACAACCAATTCGACCCGTGTTTCTCGTCCAAGTCGATCGCCAGAACAGTCCGAGCACAAGAATACAGGCACAGCGCCTGTCCGCCCCTCCTCGGAGTGGACGACATACGACACGAGTCCCCGCTCCTCCAGCCGGCGGGGATCCCACGCATACTCCCCGGAGCCCTCGCGGCGGGGGTCTCGAACGGACGACGATCCGGCCGTGACCCGAGTCGTGCTGTCGAGCGGCGCCGGTCACAAGGAGGAACGCAGTCGCGGCAGCTGGGCAGACCAACCCTCATTGATGTCGGGCGAGCACTCGAGCTCTTCGCGCAACCACAAGCGCACTGTCCCGGACGATCATCTGGCCAATGACAGTCAGGATGCGCTGCTCATGCTGGTATGTCTCTTGTACAGTTTACTCTTATACATTATATACTCATATCCCACCCCTCTAGTTCCGACTATCTGTTCCTGTCCCAATATACTCCTTTGGAGCCTCTATTTATACCTGCTGTGCACTCCTCTTCGCCGTCCTAACATCACCTCTTCGCCTCTGCTCAGTATCATCCTATTTCCGCACCACCTCTTTCCCATCTCAAATCTGCGATCTCCTCTCGCCCGTCTTACACATCCACGAGCGTCTCGTGCACATGCGGCCTCCAATATCAGATCGGTCATCCTCAACCCAATGGATCCGATCTGAGGCAGATATCGAGAGTTCAGTGATGGACAACTCTGACCGACCATACTCAATCGGCATGTCCATCGCTGTCCTCGTACTCTCCCCATTCTTCAGCATCGCCATTCTGCTTCTGGCCTGGACCGCCGCCTTCTTCTGGATTTTCACCATGATGATGGGTAACCCGGACGGAACAGAGCGTAAAGACGATGGCCGTGCCGCCGTCATCGGCGTATGCAAGTGGTGGAGGACATGGTTGGGCAAAGCCCGGAAGTTATCGTGACCCGGCCGCCCATTCCTTCCCCCCTCCACCCCCACATGAATGTGATCTATTCCCCACACAGGAAGAATGATTACATCAGTCCGGGACACCTCAGAAGCAAGTCTCTTTTGCATTGCATAGATTCATCTCTGGAATCGAGAAAGAGACGTATGCAGAAACGACACGAACCTTCACCTCATCGACTTACTCCCTTCACCTGCCTATATTACCCCTTTATTGTCTCTTGAGACTTATGATTATACACATCCCTCGCATCGATGATGCACGGAGTTTGGACTTGGGAGCTTTGATGAATTTTATCTACGTGGCGTCTGGGAAACAGGCGCATTAATACTCACATCATCTTGTCGACCTCGCCTTGCCAACTGGACCGAGGCGGGTCTTTGTGCTTTCTTTCACTTTCCTGCAGATCATCCAGGAGCTGCAAGAATCTTATGTTTGGGATTTTGCGCACGTCTGTATTTGTATGTATGATGGTTTTTGATGTGAGAAAGAAGGGGGGGGGATGTATGTATGTCTGCGTCTTGAGCGCAAATTGATACCCGATTCATTGCTTTTTATCTCGCAAAATATTGCCCCGTAATTGATCCTTCTGGAAATTATGAATCTATTGGCTGATAGTCATTTCGACTTCAACCTTGTTGGGGTAGTGCGTATCCTTGTATACTTTGGAAATGTATACGCCTCAGGTACCCATGGTAGGTGGATTGGCTCCACCCGCTTCCTACACATAAAATTTGCGGATCACCCGATTGAACTTTATTTGTTTGCATTTGTAGCCTACTTTGATACCTACATTGCATTTTGATGGAGCCACGGAGTAAAGAATAGGAGCAGGGGGAGGACAAGAAATTGAATACAAGAAATTAAGTTCCTTACCTGCGAAATCTGCGATGATGAATTCTCGAAGCGTGCAAGAAAGCGGGAGGAGCTTGAGAAGCAGACCTGTAGAGCCGCAGCGATTGGCGAGTCCCCTGTGCAAGCCGGAGTTAGAAAAAAAGCAATCTGTCGGATCGCAAGAGGTGGCCCTGAGAGACGAGAGTCAACCCGCTTGGAAATTCGCCAGGGGAAATTGGAAATCATTATTCGCCCGCCGTCTGCTGCAAAATCCGAACTTGGGATACCAAGTCAGAGTGAGAAACAGGACAAGACTCATCAGAAAGATATCCAGAATGTGCACATTCGAATTGCTGAACGCGGCTTCCAGCACTCGAGCGATAGTCCGCACCATGATGATGAAGCTGCACAGATGAACACCCCACATCTGAGCCCGTGTATGTGGGAACGTGTTGTTCAAACTGTAGAAGGAGGACACGCGGGAGTGGAAGATGACGGATGCAATGATGAAAAAGCCATCGCAGACAATCTGGAGACCGAGGCCTGTCAGAATAATGATTCTTGCGGTGTCAAATGCAGCAGGTGTAACCGCATTGGCGAGTTTACCAACACCGACAGCTTGGATGATGAAGTAGAGAATATCGCAACCGCCGGTGACCACAATAACAAAGTCGGGTGGGACGCAGGCGTATCCGTGGAGCGCGGTCTTGCGGAGGTAGCGAACGAAGAAGAGGTGATTGCCTGCCGCGAATAGGACAGGTGCGAGGAAAGGGAAGACTTGTCCGAGCTTCGTTGCCATATCGCCTTTAATGTAGTCATCAGAGCAGCTTTGGGCAATAAGTCCTACCGTATCAACTAGTTGATAGACCAGAGTTAGCAAGGTGATTCGAACTGACCTGACGGAAGAGTGTAGACGGACAAAGTCCTCCAAGCAACATGCAGATGCCGAAAGCCGTGCGAGTCATGACGGTCGCCACAATGTGCGAAATGGTGAGGAGGGCGAAGATGAGCGTCAGGATGACTGCCACCGTCAGTTTCGAGACGGGTTCATCCTCGGCGCGACGGTCGAAATGAAGGCTGGCCATGGTGGGCGAAATTGACGCGCTCGACGAGATCAGTGAAAGTAAAGGAAAGGGGAAGTGGAAGGAGAAGTGAAGTGGAAAGAAGAAAGGAGAAGGGTAGGGGAAGAAGAATGCGAAGCGCTGGAGTGAGAGGATGGAGAAGAGAGGTTGCTTCCTTTTGTTGTTGACCTGAAATACCTTGTGGAGCGCGGCTGCCTACCTACCGCTCCGTTGTAAACGGACTTCGGGAATCGGCCAGACCTCGCCTCGGATCTTCTAGGGGAACTACGCACCTTCCTCGACATCTCTGAAATGTTTACTGAACGTTCAGGTCACATGTGGTGCTTACGCTATTTTGAATACATTATACTCTACCTCCGGGGAGCTGACAGCATGGAGCATATACTAGGTCCGCATACCCAGGCATTTCACTTTGAAGAACGGTCCTTTCTCCCCTCTTTTTGGCTTACCCTCTCGATAATAACGGCAAGAGCCTTGTTGGATTCCACCTCCACAATATGACCCAGCCTCCAAGAAGCGAGGAAAGACCCGTGAAGAGAATCAAGGCTCCGTACGGAGTCCCATAAGCAAAGCGTTGGCTCGCCAATATACCCTCAGAATTCAGCAATTCCACGCCGGCAATACCCCCGCTCGCATATCCGATTCCCCGGACACCATTGAGAAGACCGTAGAGCATTCCTGGGTCTACTGCCTCGTTCCTCTCAGCAGATTCACGCTCCATCTGTTTCAGCATCCCGCCCCAGGTAGCGCTATACCCACCAGAGAAGAAGCCAAAGGTCATGGAGAAAACTATCAAGAGGCCGATGGCACCTTGGGTGGTCAAGCCCCAGAATAGAAATGTCGCAAGGGCGCAACAGATTGGTGGGATCGCAGACACAGTCTGAACTGAAAGAGTCACTCGCTTATTGTCACTCAGCCATCCAAAGAAAGAGGAGGCAATGATACCGGGCGCGTTGAAGAGAGCCAACATCAGCGTGCCTGAGGTCTGAGACAGCAAGGCGATGTCTCGGGCGTAAGTACTCAAATACGTCTGTGGAATACCATACCCAGAGCTCTGGAAAATAATAGCGACGCTGTAGAAATATATTGACCGGTGTCGCAGAAAATTCCAGGGAATTCTACGCGCTCGAGTTTGGTGGATCGAAACCTTTGAGGGATGAGTCGGGATCAACAACATGGCCAAGATACTCAAACCCCCCACTATTGCAGCCCAAGCTTTCAGCGTCGTCCTATACCCATACCTGTCAATCAGAGCACGGAGCATGAACGGACAGCTCGTTCCAACAATGTTCTTGCAAGAAAGCACGATCCCATATGCCAAAGCGCGGTTGCTGCTGGAATACCACTCGCCTAGAGAGAGCGTATTTGGGCTATATATGAGGGCAGTGCCCAAAGCAGAGGTGATTCCCTGCGTCACGAGCAGGTGCCAGACCGTGGTGCTGTACGCGGAGAGAAAGAAACTGGTGCATGCGATGACTGTACCGCATAGTGTGGCAAGCTGGCGCCGATGAGCCCACCGTCGGGTGAAAATTGCAAAGAGGAAGGGCATCGAGAGGTACATCACCCCGTTGGCGGTCGTGCCGATAACCCCGGTGATGCTGCGGTCTCCTTCAAATGTCCAGTTGTCGAAGTAGTACTCCTGGAACACACCGTAGCTCATCGCAAAGCCTGCAGGAGTGTGAGTAGCGCGAGACTTCCGGACTGAGACTAAACACACCCCATATTGGAAGCTGGATCAGTCCAGAGCCGATGAGCACGCCGAGTTTCGTCTTTGGTTCGGCTTGCTCAGTATTGGTCCGTTGCTCGAGGTCGAAGGTGTTCTGGTCTCTTGTAGCTTCGTGCGGCTCGGGCAAAGCAGGCTCTGCAGTTCCGGCCATCTTAGACAGACCTAGAAATTCGTAGAGGAGGAAATGTTTGGAGGCTTGTGGATTGATTAACCTTGAAGAACGGCGGGTGGCTACCCGGCAAAGTATGAGATCAGCACGTCCCCCGTCGGTGTGAACCCCGCAAGATCATCGCTTGGGTGCAAACCCGAGATCTCATTTTCACACTAAATTTACTCGATGGTAAATGATGCTCTGAATAATGAGAAGCTAGGTTTGTTCAACACCGAGTCATATTGATCATGACCCCCCCTAAGTGACCGGCAGCGGTGTTTGCGTACTATAAGGTAGCCGCACTGGATATAAATACCCCGTGGGGTTGCTCCTCTCGTTCGCCTTCGAGCACTTAACAGGCTAAAATAGAAACAAATGAAATCTGAAATTGGATTGATTTTTGGGAATATATCCAACAACTTGAAGTCACCTACCACAGCACTAGGCAACTGCACGTTTTCATTCCCTGAAGCTCAAGGAAATCGACCGGCGTATCACCCATCCAGGTCACACCAGGGGCCAGAAACTTCAGATTTAGCCACGGATGGCATCTACCATTCTTGATTCCTCCGAGATCCGAGAATGTCCTCGAGGTGGTGACTGACCTCATCTCCGCCGGCTCTGGAAAGTACCTCGTAAGTCCCGAACGAAGGTGGTGGTGCCTTGGGGAGCAATTGTCAAGTATTTCGCGAGCACCTTGGTCGCGCCTTCCCTTTCTGCTCTCCTTCCCATACCCTTCCCCAACAAGACGTCGTAGTCCCTCTTCGACTGACTGTCAAATCCGAACCCGCTGCTCGCACAAATTTTACCTTTACCACCTCTCTCTTCCATTCACTTCCGTTCTTTCGCATCCCCTTTCACTCGTTCTATCTCTCTCTTGCACCATCGCAACCTTCAACTGTCCACCAGGTACGTCTTTTACACAATGAGTCACCAATTTTTCAATTCTGGAACCCCCGAGGATGGTTCGAACGCGACATCCCTCGAAATTCTCCCCAACCCACTCACGGCCGATGAAAGTTCAGATTTGAATCCCGCTTCCGATTCCTTCGACACCGAGAGATGCCTAAAGGCTCTATTGCAACTCACCAATGATGATGACGATGATGAGAAGTTCCTGCGGCGAACTTGTGGAATCTCTTTCCAAGGTCTGAATGTATCTGGTTCCAGTGCCGCCGTTAATACCCAAGCCACGGTTGGCAGCCTGGTCTTCAACCTCGTCGATCTGGTGAAGTCCTTGATCAACAAAAGAGACAACCATATTCAGATTTTGCACAACCTCGAGGGCTTGGTCCGTCCGGGCGAGCTTCTGGTCGTTCTTGGCCCTCCTGGTTCTGGATGCAGTACTTTTTTGAGGACGATCGGTGGGGAAACACATGGCCTGACCCTCGATTCAAGCTCTGTTTTCAACTACCATGGCATCAGCTTCAGAGACATGCATTCTCGTTTCAGAGGCGAGGTTCTTTACACCGCTGAGCAAGATGTCCACTTCCCTCAATTGACCGTCGGGGTCACCCTTGAATTCGCAGCTCTTGCGAGAACTCCACGAAACATCCCCGGTAATGTCGACCGTCGAGTCTGGGCAAGGTACCTTCGTGATGCTCTCATGAAAATTTTCGGCATTACTCACACAATCAACACAAAGGTCGGAAATGAGTTCGTGCGAGGAGTAAGCGGGGGTGAGAGAAAGCGAGTGAGCATCGTGGAGGCCGCTCTAGGGGGCTCCCCGTTCCAGTGCTGGGACAACAGCACCCGTGGACTGGATAGTGCCAACGCTATCGAGTTTTGCAAGACTCTCAAAATCGGCGCAAGGCTGGTCGGGATGACTGAAGCGGTCGCAATCTACCAAGCCCCTCAAATGGCCTATGACCAATTCGACAAAGTTCTGCTCTTGTACCAGGGTCGACAGATCTTCTTTGGCCCTACGGACAAAGCCTATGAATATTTCTTCCAACTAGGATTCGAATGCCCTGAGCGTCAGACAACACCGGATTTTTTGACTTCCATGACCAGCCACGCTGAGCGCCGCGTCCGTCAAGGATTTGAAAACCGAGTGCCCCGAACCCCTGAACAATTTGCCCAAGCTTGGACGTCTAGTTTGGAGCGGCAGCAACTTCTCGAAGAGATTGATGCTTACAACACCGACCATCCGCTCGGAGGGTCCGATTTTGATCTCTTCCAAAAGTCCAGAAGTCTCCAACAAGCAAAGTCTCAGCCAAAGGCTTCACCATACACTTTATCCTACCTTCAGGAGATCCAGCTTTGCCTGTGGAGAAGCTTTGAACGCGTCCGAGCGGATCCAGAACTTCTAATCACCCAGGTGGTCGGCCAGACTGTCATGATCTTGATCACAAGCAGTTTGTACTATCAAATGAAGCCAAATACGGGATCTTTCGGCATTCGCGGCTCACTCCTATTCTTTGCTACCCTCATCAATGCGTTCAGCAGTCAGCTGGAGATGCTGACCCTTTACGCTCAGCGACCAATTGTAGAGAAGCATGATCGTTATGCTTTCTACCACCCTTCAGCTGAAGCATTTGCGTCAATGATTATGGATATGCCTTACAAACTGTTGTGTGCAGTTTTGTTGAACATCGTTCTCTATTTCATGACGGGTCTCAGAGTGACCGCCGGTGCATTTTTCTTTTTCTTGCTGGTAAGCTTCTTGTTGACGATGGTCATGTCAAACTTTTTTCGAACCGTTGCTTCACTCTCTCGCACAATTCATCAGGCAATCTCCCCGACCGCGATACTTTTGCTTGCATTGATTATCTATTCTGGGTATCCGATGCCTACACCATTTATGCATGGATGGGCCCGCTGGATCAACTGGGTAAATCCTATTGCATATGCATTCGAGGCCATAATGATCAATGAATTCCATGATCGCAAATATGCCTGCTCGGATTTTATCCCGTCGGGAAAAGAATACAGTGATGATCCCGCAAGTCGAGTTTGCTCAGCGGTTGGTTCTGTTGTCGGACAAGAGTGGGTGAGTGGAGACCACTACCTAGAGTCCTTGTACCAGTACAAAGGCTCTCATCGGTGGCGCAATATCGGGATCCTGCTAGTCTTCTTGGCGCTTTTCACTACTACTTACCTTGTTGCTACGGATTACGTCTCTGCCAAAAAGTCTAAAGGCGCAGTCTTGGTCTTTCCACGACGGAAGGTTCCAAAGTACCTCAAGACAGCCGCTGAAGACATCGAAAGCGGAACCAAAAGGGCTGGCACCAGAGATTCCCCTGTCCCCGAGAAAACCCAAGACGAAGCTCTGAAGGATGTCGACCTCGGAATTTTGAAACAAACAGGGGCGTTTCAATGGCGAAATGTCTGCTACGAGGTCGAAATCAAAGGAAAGCCTCGGGTCATTCTTGACAATGTCAACGGCTGGGTACGACCCGGAACATTGACAGGTGAGTGAGCCGAACCCGACAAATATTTTAATAAGGCACAATGTGAACTGACTCTTAATTTAGCACTCATGGGCGTTTCTGGAGCTGGAAAGACCACCCTTCTCGACACGCTAGCTAGTCGTGTGACAATGGGTGTCGTTTCTGGTGAGATGCTGGTCAACGGCAGACAGAGAGATAACTCTTTTCAGAGAAAGACAGGTTATGCCCAGCAGCAGGATTTGCATCTGGAGACATCCACAGTGCGTGAAGCTCTGAAACTGAGTGCTCTTCTGAGACAGCCTCACCATATCCCGACCTCTGAAAAGCTCGACTATGTCGATCAAGTTCTTCGCCTGTTGGAAATGCAGGATATTGCGGATGCTGTGGTGGGAGTTCCCGGTGAAGGTATGTGCAATCAATGACTGGAGCTATTCGTTTGGATGCTAACTGTTTTTGTCACAGGATTGAATGTCGAACAAAGGAAGAGACTGACAATTGGCGTTGAGCTGGTTGCTAAGCCCGAGCTACTGCTTTTTCTGGATGAGCCGACTTCGGGTCTTGATTCGCAAACGTCATGGTCTATTCTCATGCTACTTCGGAAATTGAGGGACCATGGCCAAGCCATCCTCTGCACCGTTCACCAGCCCTCCGCTATTCTCTTCCAGCAGTTCGACCAACTGCTGTTGCTTGCCGAGGGTGGTCGAACCGTCTACTTTGGACCAATTGGAGAATCTGCTTCGACGATGCTAGCATACTTTGAAGGTAAGGGTGGTTTCAAATGCCCCGACGATGCCAACCCGGCCGAGTACATGCTAGAAGTAATCGGTGCTGCACCAGGCTCCCACACAGATATCGACTGGCCTGAAGTCTGGAAACAATCACCTGAGCATGCTGTTGTCATTGATCAGCTCGATGAATGGAAACTCGATGCAGCCAACGAAGCGCCTCCTTCGGCAGAGCATGGTCGGTCCGACTATGCTGAGTTTGCCGTGCCGTTCTACTCGCAATTTTATCAGACCCTGATCAGGATATTCCAGCAGTATTGGAGAACCCCAAGCTACATTTATTCTAAGATTGGTCTCATTGGAGGAGTGGTATGTGACTTCTCAACCCTCAGATATTCTGAATATTGACTGACAATTTCTATATAGGGCATATTCATCGGTTTCTCTTTCTTCAACCAGACAAATTCTCAGCGTGGCCTTCAAAATGAAATGTTCAGCCTGTTCATGATCACGTCTTGCTTTGGGTTGCTGGCTCAGCAAGTGATGCCCCAGTTTGTCCTGCAACGTGCGCTTTATGAAGCCCGTGAACGGCCATCCAAAGCCTACTCCTGGGTTGCTTTCATGCTGTCGAATATTCTGGTTGAGATCCCGTGGGCTTTGTTGTGCGCGGTAATCCTTTTCTTCACATGGTATTACCCCGTTGGTCTCTACAAGAATGCAGAACCGACCGGAACCGTTCACCTACGTGGTGCTCAGGGCTTCTTGCTGATCATGGAGTTTTTGATCTTCTCGAGCACCTTCGCACACCTGGCTATCGCAGCCATTGCGAACGCGGAAACAGCAGGCAATGTCGCCTTCCTATCCTTCAACATGAACCTGCTGTTCTGTGGTGTCCTCGTAGGTCCGAAGAGTTTCCCTCACTTCTGGATCTGGATGTACCGCGTGTCGCCTTTCAACTACTTGATCGCGGCACTCTTTGATACTTCCGTTGCGGACACGAAGATCATTTGTGCCGACGTCGAGTATCTTCACTTCAACCCAGCTGCGAACATGACCTGCGGTGAATACATGGCCAGCTATATCCGAATTGCGGGAGGGTATGTTCAAAACCCGATTGCAACCAGTGATTGTGCTTTCTGCTCAATGGCAGATACAAATGTGTTCCTGGAGTCTGTATCTGTCGAGCCACACAAGACCCGGAGAAACTTCGGGCTACTTTGGGCGTATATCGTGTTCAACCTCTGCGGCGCCACCTTGCTCTACTGGCTGTTCCGTGTCCGGAGCAAGGTGAAGAAGAGCAAAGAGGTTGTTCACAAGCTGGACACGGAGGAGGAAGGCCCAGAGGACCAGGAAGGATCGGTGCGTTCTCGGCTGCCCAAGTCCCGGAGAACGCGGAATTTGTCAAAGTTCGTTGAGTTGTAGGCCATTGCTACGACTCTATTTATATTTAAGTTGTATTTTTAGGGGGAAGACAAGATTTAGCCATAATAATGAATATCAGTATTATTTTCGCTGTAACTCAGATCCACTCACTGATTTCGAAATTCGAAAATTTCATATCGAACCCCGTAGGAAAAGAATTATAATAATTATGCGTATGTACTTCTTTGTGCAGATACCCATCTATCAGCAGTAAAATCTAATTCTCAAAATCGTCTCACCCTAGACGCACCCGAAGGCGAATCGATACCTTCCAGCTCCGTCTCATCGACTTCCAGATTGAATTCCTCGTCGTCACCAAACGACGGACTCACATGTACAGCAGGCGAAGAGATGGGACTTTGAGCAATACGAGGCCGTGATTTAAAGACACTCGCGTAGTCCGCATCTTCTTCAAAAAGCTGATCATGTGGTGTAGATGCACGGGAGTGGTTGCTCCCTGGTTGGGATACCTTGCGAGGTGTCTCGAATTGATTGACGGGAAATGAAGGACGTGAACCGCGGCGGCGAGGCCGGGGGTTTTCGTGAGATGGGAGAGGTGGGATGAGCGACATTGACTTGCGGGTGCGTTCGGCGAGGGTGTAGTTTTGCGATGGTTGTTGTTTCAGGGGCTCGTGGTTAGATTCGTGATCTAGGTCGAGGTCTTCGGTGGAATTCTGGTCTGGAGAAAGGCGGACTATAGGCGGCGAGGAGGGATGATTCTCCTCGTGGAAACTTGTTTGGATCTCTGGGGGATCAAGATTCGTCGAGCGTGGCTGAGTGACATCTGCGTTTTCCAGGGTGGACGGGGGATTGCTGCGATGGCCTATCTCCTCCGGCAAGGCTGTTGACGGGCTCGTTGTCCTCGACTCTCTTGGCTGAGCCGAGCGGATACCAGATTTACCATTGATGCGTGATATGGCCTCGTTAACAGAAGACAGAAACGATTGATCTGCCTCCTTTAGTGATCGTCCACGATCGCCAGGCTGTCGCACGATTTTGGATATACTGGCCACTGTCATAGCCTGGTGATCCCGGAACTGCAGACGAGGTTCTGCGGACATGATGCCAGATCCAGCGGCGTCAACACCACGCTGGTTCCGAAGCGAATCATTGTATTCGTGCCACTTGCGCAGTCGACTCCGCAACCGCAGAATTCGAGCTTCTAGGTCAATCACCAAGTCAGATTCCACGCCTCCGCTGAGACCATTCACGCTGGACTTTTTCGCGCGCACCCAGGCTTGCGAGAAAGGCAGCTCCAGGAATGCATCGGTACTGCTGTGCGATCCACCATCGAGCAAAGCTGCAGCCCACTCCTCACTGCCCAACCAATTTTCTTTAACTTCTCGTGTCAGACCGGCTGAGTCAACCTGTGAATTGTTCGAGTCCTTTCCGGGCTCAATGGTCGCGCGCTCCGTAAGTTCGACCATTTTATCATCCAGCAACTGCGAGAACTGTTCATAAGTCTCGTGCACCTTTGCCTGACGCGCTCTTGCTGCCCCGAGAGAAACCTGATGAGCAAGAATAAGAGGAAGAAGATTCTGGTAGTCCGTCGGCGTAATTGCAGTTGCGGTGGCCAGATTCATAGCCGGATTCCATAGCATATCCGACGCAGACACCGCCACAAGTTTACGGAGGACGGTGGTGGAGAAGACGGCAAGCAGCTCGTCGAATTTCTCGCCTTTGCAGTCATCCAGCATTGTCTTTCGCAGAATCGTCTCGCGGCCGAGGTCGCCATTTTTCTTCAGTTCGCCGAGGGAGCGGAATAGGGCTGCGCGAAGGTTGACGGATTGTAGGGGTTCTAGCGGTGGGAAGAACGGGCGGAGTTTCTATGCCAATGTCAGCGAGTGTCCCATTTTCGCGCTTTCCGGGGTATTTGTCGCACATTTTGGGTGTATTCTGGATCCCAGAGCATGAAAAGATGGTAGAGAGCCCACTCTATCACGCGAATCCGTTGCCGTTGGTTCTGAGACGAGGGGGACAGCGCGCAGAGGGTGATGTCGGGCCAATCCTCGCGCTGGTCCAAATGTAGCAGCTTGAGATTACGGATAAAAACCACAAGATTTGTAGGGGCCGCCCAGTCCAGGGGCTTTGGCCGCGCTGGCCTCGACGCCATCGTCAGAGCGAATGGAGGGTGTAGCTTTAGTAAGGCGGGCAGGTGCATTGTATGTCAACACAGCGATAACAGGGGTTTGCACTGTTTGCTCCGCCTATCAGTCCCACCTTCAACTGAGGCTGTCCGGCCGAACCAACCTTTATTTCTCTCTGTCCTTTCTTTATTTCCCTGGGCGTTTTGACGCGTTCTGCCTTGCCCGGATCGATCTCTCCTCTCACTCTTTGAATTTCAGCAATCATGGGCTCCGACGGTGCCTCTTGGTCTCCTCAGACCGGTCAGTCTACTCAGCGCCCAACCAACAGACTCTTCTCCTAACTAACACCCAACAGTTCTTTCGACTCTGCCTCACCCCCAGAAGAGAACACTACCTCCCCCATCCCTTTCTTCCACCTCCTCGAGCGCCTCAAGACCACCAAGCGCGAGGGTTGGCGCCGTTTCGGTATCAATGGCGAGTCCATCTCCGACCACATGTATCGCATGTCGATCATGACGATGTTCGCCCCGCCTGAGCTGGCGGCCAAGCTGAACCTCCCACACTGCACCAAAATGGCCCTTGTTCACGACATGGCCGAGTCGCTCGTTGGCGACATCACCCCAGTCGACTTGCACATCACCAAGGCCGAGAAGGCTCGTCGCGAGGCTGATGTCATGGAGTACATTACGACCTCCCTCCTGGGTAAGGTTCCCGGAGGTGCCCTGTCGGCCCAGGAGATCAAGCGCGTGTTCGAGGAGTACGAGGAGAACGTGACACTCGAGGCGAACTTTGTACACGACATCGACAAGATGGAACTTCTGCTGCAGATGGTCGAGTACGAACGCTCCCACCCTGAGGTTGACCTGTCAGAGTTCGAGGGCGTCGTAAAGCGCGTCCAGCTGCCAGAGATCAAGGTCTGGGCCGAGCAGGTGGTTAAGGAGCGTCCGCAGCGCAAGTAGATGCTGCACAGCGTTTACCGGGATAAGCAATCTTCGGCTGGGATAATGGCGTTTAATCTTTAGAGCTGGTTTTTGGTGCTCTTGGATACCCTAGAAAGGCACGAGACAAGTTGAAATGTGCTTACGAAAGATGCATGACGATGAATGACTGCAAGGGGATTCTTAGGATTGATGGTTTCTTACAATTGGGCAAATACGCTTTATTTGCAATCTTTTGTATTCAATCGTACACTCTCTTATAATAATGTATATCACACCATCGATCCACTTCAATCGAGTGACTCCTTCTCCATTTCTTGCGCCAGCATCTCCGCCTCGGCCTTCATCTCGTCCGGCCCACGCGGCTTGCGCGCTTCGTCATCGACGGCTGGGAAATTTGTCCTTCTCTTCGTGCGTTCGGAGCTAGTATCTGCCTCCCGGAACGCTTTGCCGATCTCTCCTTCCTCCCCGTCCAACATATCGTAGATGGCATCTGTGCCTCCGCGGTAGTCCAGATCTGCCGGCTTGCGCGGGATAATGTGCGCATGGACATGCGGCACACTCTGCCCGGCATAAATGCCGTCCTGTATAGCGATATTGAGACTGGAGGCGCCATATACCCTTTCCACAATTCGCCCCACGCGACGGACGGTCAGGAACAAATCACTTGTCTCGTCGGCGGTGAGGTCTGCAACTCGGGGAACAACGCGGCGGGGCGAGACAAGGACATGGCCGGGGAGAATAGGTTTCAGGTTGACGAGGGCGAAGGATAATGGGGTTTGGTAGAAGACCTGGGGATTGATTAGTTGCGAAGGAGTGGTGGGTGGGATGTTGCCTGTATAGGGCACGGATAAGGCAAGGGCGCGATACCTGCGGTGTGACCAAGAATGCGCCAAAATAAATTGGCGCGGTGGCACCTTTCAGCGCCGACATGGTCTCTGGAGAGTTGGAGGACATGGGGAGTCAATAGAGCGAACGGATTGAGGTTCAGCTTGGCTTGGAGATGCGCTGCCGATAAGACGCTTATCGGTGTCTACCAAAGCCCAGAATTGATACCAAGCCGTTAAAACATTGCTTTGAATTGCACCTCAGAAGGGCTTCAATTGCTACCCGAAGTTGACTATCTCACAGATATGGTGCCCAAACTTTATTTTTGGTCCAAAATGACCGCTTGATACCCCGGAGCACGACTATGTATTCCGCCTAAAGCTGGGCATCCTCGACAGCTTCTGACACTTGAAGTCCCGCATTATGTATATGGCATGTTTGATCAAGATGATCCCCTCCCCCTTTGCGTAAAATTTAGCAAATTCAACCAAGAAAAGGCATGGTTATAAGCCCTTCCATTTGACAAGCACAAGCGACCTCCTTCCTCCACCTCGGCTCTCGGAAATAGACACCCAATCCTTCAATGTGCCGACAACTTTGAAGTTATTTTTCTCAAAGACCTTGATACTACCGATATTCTCAACAAAAGCGCCAGCCTTGAGTAGCTTAATGTTCATGCGCGGGACGCCCCAGTCTTGGAGGACCATTCGCATGGCCTGCGTCATGATTCCCCGGCCGTGGTGAGAAGGCGCCATGAAATCTGTAATGAAACCATCAGAGACAAATACTTAGTACTTGGAGCAGAGGGAAGATGCTTACCCCCGATCTGCCAAACAATTCTCTCATCCCCAGCAGGTAATTCATCGTTCAATCGCTGTGCCTCGGCCTTCTCCTCACTACCATGCTCATACTCGTAGAATGAATACCGACTTATCCCAACATCACCAATCAAGATATCCTTGAGCGGATCCCCAGTCGTAGGATCCTGCTCCGTGACCTCACGAATAACACTAAAGGGACAAAAATCAAAGAACTGTTGCTCCTTGACTGATGTCTCGAATTCCGCACGCAGCGCATTGAGAACTGGCGCTCCAGCTTCGCACCTCATTTTTACCCATTCTTCTTCATGCTCGCGGAGATAGGGGTACGGAGGACCAGTAAGATTGAGGTAGATTATGGGGTCATTGAGTAGCGGGACCTTTGCATCGATAGTCTCTTCTAGTTGGTGCAGACGGTGGGGAGTGATGATGATATTGGATAAGGGTTCTGGTAAGCGCAGGTACGGTTCTTTTGTGTGGATATTGTAGTGGATGGGCATTTTAGCCGGCTGGTTTGTCCAGCAATAATCTTTGAACGCTATTAGGTACCAAAAATGGGTCCCTGCAGGGGACTGAAAGCTTATATGCTTTTGTTTCTGTTATTTGGAAATTAGTCATCTTGGATTGCCTTAGTTAACTATTTGCGTGAGTCATTCGAGTCACGACGTTACATTATTATCGGATTTACTGTTTACGAGTAGAGCCCTGGGAAAAGGCACCTAGCAAGATACAGACTAGCGTGTCCTAGCATAGACTCGTTCGAGTTGCGTGCCTAAGTGGCGAAGCTGCGATCCACCCGATACTGCATCGTGCTTTAATTTCGGTTCGTCAGCAAGAAATAGAATGCCACAGTGTGGGCCCTGGGGGGACGGTACATTGACAGCTCCAAAGAAAGTTTGCGAAGAATTCGCAATGTCGGAAAGCAGTATGAGATTACGAAAAAAGTTTAGAAAAATAAAGGTCTTTCTTTCACGAGCTGCAGCTAGTCAACTAACTCGGGGCTTGCGCCAAACAAACAAGAATAGAACCAACAAACCATCAATCATTTTGCATGGACGTTCATAGCGTGTATGCCAGCTGACTGTGCAATAACAATCGTATCCTATTGCAGGGTTGCCACAGGACCTGAAATAAAACGAGAGCCAGGAGAATGGGTATCATTGACATTGACCATGAAAAACATCCTGAGCTATATTACAAGAAATAATGTTATCCGTCGCGGAGTAAAGCATAAGAGATTTCGATAAACATGGGACATGAGAAGGGAAACGAGATGTTTGAACAGTTAAACAGGAGAGCCAGGGTCGGCTCAGGATTCCGTCTTCGACTCAGGCTCCTGCACCGGCTCTTCTTTAGTCTCTTGATCGGCAGATGAGGTCGTCAAGTCGTCGCCTTCGGGTGCATTCTCAGTGGACTCTGAGACTTTGGCATCGTTGCTTTCCAATTCCTCAGACTGCTCCGACTGCGCGGGCGTTTCGGTTACCGGTTTCACTCGTATTTCAGCCGGTCTTTCGGCCTGTTCGGCGGTCTCGACAGGCGCTTCATTCGAATTCGGCTCAGTTTGTGCGGGAGATTGCTCGGTACCCCCACTAGGCACTTCAGTGGTCTCTTCGGGGCCGATCTGGGTGATCTCGGTGTTTGCGGGGGATTGAGGTCGAGGTTCGACCGGGGGCTCCGGTGAATCCTTCAAGACCTCTCGCAGAGGAGCGGAGGCTTGCGGGGATTCCTCCGAGTCTTCGGCAGCCTCTGTAATTGTACCGACATGTGAGCCTGTAGATGGGCTATGCTTATGTCGTCGCGTAGTGGCACCGGTACTGATGGACGGGTCCAGGCCTTCAATTGATCCGAAAGGGTTCTCATCCTCCTTGCGCAAGATAGTCAAGCGCTTGCCCTCAATTGGTTCAGCCGTTTGAGATTCGGTAGCATCGATACCTTCCGCTTCCGCAGGGATGGTGTAGTTGTCCTCCGGAATAAGACTGAACATATCGCAGACAGTCTTGAAGAAAATGTAGAGGCCATCGTTGCCCTCGACCTCCCAGAACACATTCCGATGCTGGAACCAAGCATGCGCGAAGATGCGGTACAAGCGGCGGAAGATGTTGGTCAAGTTCCTCATGCTTGCTTGCGGTCCACCGGCGGTCTCGGAACCCAGCGTCAGCCGGCTAGGGAAGTATTTCGGCGAGGTGAGGGTATTCATGGCCCAGTCAAGAGTATGGCAGCAGTAATCGATGGCGCAGCAAGATTTTGGAGGATCGTGGACAGCGCAGAGGTATTGCCATTCCGACGCGCGCATCTCGGGGCAAGTCTGCGACGAGCAAGGCGGGTCCTCGGCGAAAAACGCAATGATAAGATTATTAACTTTCATAGTGAGGAAGCGGCAGAGTTCGTAGAGCCAGAGAGATCGGTCGACTCCGTCCGGCGGTTGGGCAAGTTGGATCGCAGTTTGGCGGTTGATTGGGACTACCGTGTCAGATCCTTCGGGTTTGGTGAAGTGGTGGTACAAGGCTTTCAGGTGCTCCTGGAGCTGGAAAGGAGAATCGAGCTTGAAAAAGTTAGGATAGGATGCGGCTGAGGGATCAGCACTATATGAGCCTACCTGCGACAGCGGAACCAGCGGCGGTCCAGATGCCATGTCAGCTGCTTTGGTACCAGGCCGGATCCTGCGCGTCGAGCCATCATCGGAAGCTGACCCTCCTAGAAGCTGTTCTGCATCTTTGCCAAATGTCTCGCCGAAGGAAGGCGACTGGGGGGCAATCTGGACTTCGGTGAAAGGAGGAGGGCTGGGGAGGCGTGGGGAGCTGGATGGAGAGGCTCCCGCGGAAGTCATGGCGCGTCGCTGAAGAGGAGAACGGATGGACAAGGGGCGCGAAACAAAGGGAGAGAAACCGAAAGCGTTAAAAGAGTGGAAGGTGGCTTCGCGCCCTCGACAGCCGATCACAGCAAGGTGAGCATGTCCCAGATGGTGTTGGGTCTGTTGTCGCCCAGGCCGTCGCAAGCAACAAATGACCGACCCATGCCCTAAGCCCTACTTTCCGGTTTTGGTAACAACGTCATCTCCGCCGCATCTACACCCGCCGGGCTTTTGCTCGGACTGATACTTGCAGGCAACTCAGGACACGCCAGGGAATATTTATTATCTGCGATGTCTACAAAATTTGAAGATGAAGAGGCACCGCCGGATCTGGTCGACGTGTCGGCTATGCCAGCAGAGCAAGATACCTCCACCATTGAAGAGCCGACGACTCGGGTTCCCATCACGCTCGTGACAGGTGTGGACCACAGAGATCTCAGTCTTATAAAAAAAAATCACTAATATAAAGGCTATAGGATATCTGGGTGCGGGTAAAACCACCCTTTTGAACTATATCCTGACTGAGAAGCATGGCAAGAAGATCGCCGTGATCATGAATGGTTCGTGATTTGGATGAAATTTGTTGAGATGAAATGCTAACATACGAGAAATCAGAATTCGGAGACTGTGAGGCTCATATATAGAGAAGCGACTATCTTTTTACATTCACTAATACTCTGCAGCAACGGACATCGAGAAACCTCTGACAGTCAACGAGGGCGGCCAAGAAGTCACCGAGTGGATGGAAGTCGGCAACGGCTGCATCTGCTGTTCAGTTAAGTATGGCTATACTGTGAACTCCGAAGTAATTACATACACTGACATTCTCCCAGAGACACGGGCGTTATGGCCCTAGAATCCCTTATGGAGCGTAAGGGAACTTTCGACTACATTCTCCTCGAGACAACTGGTCTCGCCGACCCTGGTAACATCGCCCCAGTCTTCTGGATGGACGAAGGACTTGGTAGCTCCATCTACCTGGACGGCATCGTAACTCTGGTTGACGCAAAGAATATTCTGCATCTACTCGATGAGCCAACCCCGGAGCAGAAAGCCGAGGCCCATAATGCTGAGCACGACGGCCACGGCTCCGGCCCTGTGCTGTCGATGGCGCATATGCAAATCTCCCATGCAGATGTGATCATTCTGAACAAAATGGACCTTGTAACAGCTCAAGAACTGGAGACTATCAAGGACCGCATCATGGCTATTAATAGCGTGGCGAAGATCCAGCTCACAGATCACAGTCGGACACCGCAGATTGAGGGTGTCGTGCTGGATTTGCACGCTTATGACCATCTTGCAGACTTGGATTTCAGTAAGAAGGGTCATAGTCATATGGATCCGGTAAGTCTTCCGTTAGCAGTCTCTCAATTCCGTTCAGAGCTAAACCCAAGATCCCAGGCCATTTCTACGGTTGCTATCACCATGCCTCCGATTGCTGCCGACAAAGTGATACGTGTAGATGAATGGCTGCGTTCAGTCCTTTGGGAGTCATCCTATCCAGTACCCCCGGATCTACCCCAGAATCTCGTCCTAGCGACTTCGAGATTCATCGGCTGAAAGGTATCCTTGTACTTGAGGACGGGTCAACTTGCATCATCCAGGCTGTGCGAGATGTCTTTGAGATCAGAGATGCGGAACCCGCTAAGAACGACGGGAACGGGCCTACCCAGTGCAAGATTGTACTGATTGGAAGAGGGCTTGGTGCCGGTGTCGATCCATGGCGGGCGAGCTTTGAGTCATATGTCAAGTAAAGACAAGAGCGTTGATGTCGTGTTTGCGAGGATGAATTACGGAGCCAGAGGATCTACTAGACTATCTCTAGCCTTTGATTGAAGGAGTCTTCAAAATATTGCATTGCGACAAAAATCGATTGAAATAATACAACCAGCATGACCAAAAGAAATGCTAGAGCTGAGATACATTCAAATAACCCTCGAAGAACGCTAAACAATCAAAGCCTCCGTAAGAAACGTAACTGATAGAGCTGGATAAAGGAATAAATAGAGATTAAAACAATGTTCAGGGTAATCCGTCAGAAAAATGAATAAAAGACTTTTAGGACGCCAATTGTTCGCCGGCCTGCGCCGAAGAGCACAGCTAGAACGCAACAGTGACGAGGGTGAATGTACAATCAAGAAACGGGGTATCGAACATATACTCCCCAAGCAATGGGGTTGTTTCGGAAAAAAAACGATCTGAGTGTATATCGCCGGAAAGAAAAGGCTTCAAGGAATCTAGCCTTGCGCTTGAACGCTTGAACGGAATTCAGAAGGGAGTCGAGAGTCTTCCTCTATAGGAAGGGTTAATTGGTAGCCTGGACTCGGAGAGAGAGACCATCCAATGGTGGACAGGCTCGGACTGGGGGATAGATATGCCGGAATGCTGGTTGTCCGCTGAAACCGGCGGGATGGGCTCGTTGCAAGATCCTCCCACCGCGGGGTTGATAGGGAGTCGGGAATCGGAAAGAAAAGACGCCGATTGATCAAACAGGACCTCGCGTCGAGCGGGAAGAGTGACAGGATCCAGCTTGCCCATTAAGGGCCGCAGGGAGGACCTGGGTTCTGATGGGCCTACAGCTGGATTGATAGGCAACTGTGACTCTGAGAGGAGCGAATTCACTCCACAGGGTGCAGCTTCAATCTGAGCCGAAGATGAGTTAAAAGACGTGGGAGTCTTTGATCCCGCAGTGGAAGGTTCCTGGTTGGGTAAAACAACAGAGGAAGTCACAGCAGGAACCACAGCAGGATTGATGGGAAGTCGAGACTCGGCAAGCAAAGATACCAGTCGAAGGGGTGCCGGTTCGGGCTGGCTAGAGGAGACGCTGGGGTATTGGATGCTTTTCAGATCCGGCGGGAATGACTTGCGCTTGGAAAGGGCAGGATTGATAGGCAGGACCGAGAGAAAAAGCGAGGTTGCCGAATCAGTAACCTTGGGGTTTTGAGAATCCGCGATACAGACGTGACTCTTCTCGCTAACTGACTCAGCTATTTCATCACAGACAGGGTCAGGTTCATTCAGTACTGATTCATCGACCGCAATTGAATTGAGATAATCATGTGAGGCCTTTAGTTGAGTAGGCACAGCTGGTACCTCTTTGCTGACAGGGATACGTTGATAGCCACCTGATTCATCGGAATCAGTTCGTGATTCAAAGGATTGTGGTCGAGATTCTTCCAATTCCGTGGCCCTTGGATCAAATCCCGGGCTGACAGTATTTGCCCACACAGAAGGTACGGCATTTTGTATTTGTTGTTCGGTAGGTAGGTCGGGTTTAGAGTCGAAGGTAGGAGATGGGGGAGTCTCGTCCCAGCACCTGTCCAGACCGTTGGATTCATGTTGATTCAGAGTCGATGCTGATGAATGCCGAGATGGGAAAGCGACTGCGTCATTTGAGTCGGCCAGAGTTACGGTGGATCGTTTCCCTTGATCGGGGTGGTCGTGAAACAAAGGAGGGCAGATACCCTCTGGACTAGGATACTTGTAGGAGCCGAGAGGGGCAAACGAGTTAGGCGCGGCTCTCGCGGGCGGGTGACCGACATTCTGGTGTTTGGCGAGAAGGTGCATTGCTGGATTCCGAAGTCGGGGGGCTTGAGGAGAGAAAAGGTTCAAGGGGAAGAACGACAGTAGTTCTTTAGCAGCCATTCTGTGTCGGGGAGTTGGGCTAAGGCAGATATCGACTATGCGTCGATAATAGTCGGGGACGTCCACATCAAGTCCTAGGAACAACGGTCGAGGCTGTCGCTCAGGCTCATCCTCCTGCATCGCTAGCGCCCAGAGGGTCATGCCGAGTTGGTAGAGGTCTGTTTTGACACCAATGTACATGGAGATCCGTTGATTGCTTTCGATTTTCTCGGCAATCTCTGGGGGCTCCCATCCTACAGGGCAGCCTCTGCGGTTGATGTCGATAATATGAGCGTTGTCGTCCGCATCCACCACAATATTCGACAAAGTGAAATCGCCCTGGACGTAGCCCGATTCGTGGATCTCACAGAGACCCTGGACGATTTGTTTGGCCCACCGCTCCCGTCTAGCGAAGGAAATTTGTCCACGTTGTTCGTACAGAATGTCGACCAGCGCACCCTTTTCCGCATAGCTGATCAGCAGACCTTTGACTTTTTCATGGTGCTCGTCCACCACAATTCCTCCCACCTGTATCACATTGGGTGCGCCATTCAGAGCGTGAAGAGCGTTGATCTCATAGAGAAATTCATCAACGGTATCTGGCCCTGGGATTTCCTTTTTGATGAAGTCCTGCCCATCGTGCTGTACTTTGTAGACAAATCCGGACAGATGCGAGTCGAATTGGAGGAGGGTTTCCGGGACACAGCGAGCGCCTGCGAGGTGGCCGACACTGGAGATGGGTGGGTAGGGAATCGTTTCGTTCACGTCCTCTGTGACGTGGACATGAAGACGGCCGTCGCGCGTCTCGACTTTCAGGTTCGTCACGGTGTCGTAGAATTGGATTTCGGGGAGGGATTCGCGAATGGATTCGTAAATGCGGGCACTTTTGTCTCGTTGATACCGGAGTCCCTTGAGGTCCTGCTCTAGCGAATCTGGGGCTGCATCCCGGTAATCACACGAAATTGTCACTCGTCGCCATTGATAGGGGTTTTCCACGTAGGTAATGAAGAACTTCTCCCGCTCGGACCGGTCCCGGAAGTGCATGCTCAGATTCAGGATCCATCGATTCTCCAGATCCATATCGATTTCGGCCGGTGCGGGCGTCAACGCCGGCACTTCCGCCTCAGGGGACTCGGTTGGCAGGTTGGCCTCCCAGTCTGCCTGGGGGACGCTCTCTGGGTGTGTCCCGAGGGACTCGCGGGATTCGAAGGGATCGAGGGGCTCGTCAACCGTGGTTGTGGGCGTCGGGCCGAGCCACTGAACCTCTGGCGCGGAGAGTCGTGGGCCCGACGGAGGCAGTGGGGACTGGGATCGTTGCCCGCTGGAGGGACTGCGGTCGGCGGACTGGGCGCGACGGTGGTCGGGCTCGAGAGGTGCCAGGCGGTCGCGACGCTCGGGATTTTGGCGCTTGGAAGCCGTCGACCGCGGCAGACCAACGCCCACCCGGCGGGACAGCCGGCGGGTCAGGTTATCATGTCTGGCGCGCGGGTTGCTGTCTACGGAGGCGGCGCGGCTGTGGGGGGAAGATTGGTCGTGCTGGTTCTCCGGAGAGTCTCGATCGTCGCGGCCCAGCCATCGTCGCAGGCCCAATCGATGCCACATGCTCTGCTTCTTCTGAGACCCTTTCTCGTCTAGAAGTAGACCCAGTCGCGTTGGGCTACAGCTGCTGTTTGCAAGAGAGATGGCCATACGGCACGTAGTTGCTCTGTCGTCCAAGTTCCGACTCGAACAGCTCGAGATGTCCGCTGGCCATAAGAAGTGAGCCGGGCTCGAGAAGCCTTTCTAGTGGCGGCAGAGAGAAATAAAAAAGACCTTGGTGAAGCCCGGCACCCACACAGGTGGTTGTTCCCCCCAAGTGTCCCAGGTCCCAGGTTCAACAAGAGGTCAGTGAGTAACCAGCGGAATATTTTCGAGAGCGTGCCCCTTGGATTCGCGAAGTCCCCTGGGGTCAACTGAAGAAGGGATAAGGGTTGGCGTTGAGGTCCGGATCAAAATTCAAACGTGTCACACAACGTCGGGCTGCAAGAGGCGCGGTGGCTGGGAGGCTGGTCCGTGACGAGATGAGCATGGAGAAAGGCGGTGCAGACAGCAGAAGTCGGTCAGGGAACACCGTCCCCTGAAAGCTCGAGGTCAAGGCCGAGAATAATGGCGCAAAAAAGTTGCGTTGGGATGGTGCGCTGATGATCCACTGCAAGTCTCCTGATGTCTCACAACGAACAAAAGGATGCTGCAGGAGCAATCAAGCAACTTCTTTTTTTTTTTCTTTCCTTTTTTCTTCTTTAGCAGGGATGCGTTGAAGGGGAAAAAAAGACCAAAAAAAAAAAAAGAAGTTCTAAGGATATGATTCATCCAGCGCGCACAGATAAAAAAATAAAAAGCGAGGATGCGTTGCGGCCTGACAACTCATGCCTGATTGGGAGGCTCAACGGGGATCGGCCGGGCACTACATCGACCGTACATACGGCACCAGACCATTGCATATACATCATGGTTTTATACTACAAGCATACCATGTCAGGTCGGAAGGGCAAAAAGAAGAAAATTGAAGGATAATAGTAATCATTGAAGGTGTCGACGATGCGGCCCTCGGAGTGGAGTGAAATGGTGGGCTTTGGAGGCTCCTTGCTAGTAATCAAACAGACACGCGTCTACCCACAACTCCAGTCCATGCATTCCATAGTGGAAGAGAACGTGAGACGCCATGTACATCCCAGAACGTCAAAATTGTACAGAATAAATCACACATATGTACCAAAAAAAAACCTCATGGTAGCCTTCACTCATCACTCTCGTGCTCGCCCTGCTTACCCTCGGGCTTGGCCAGCGTCTTCTGCCAGACCTGGCGGGCGCCGTCGTGGTCCAGATCGGAAAAGAGAAGGTCGAAGACCTGGGAGTACCAGGACACTGGGTGGCCCTCAATGCCCTTCTTGATGTTCTAAATGGCAAAATGTGAGCCAGGGTTCGGCGCTGGGGAGTTGAGGCAGGGGGGTGGTTGTTCGAACTTACTTCGGGCAGCTCCAGCCAGTCGGACAGGTTGTCCGCAGGGAAGATGATCTTGTTAGCACCGGCCCGACGAGCGGCCACCGTCTTCTCACGAAGACCGCCAATGCGCATCACCTTGCCGGTCACAGTCAACTCACCAGTCATGGCGACGGTGGGATCGAGGGAGTGGTTGGTGGCCAGAGACAACAGCGAACTGGCCATGGTGATACCAGCCGAGGGACCTGTGGATAACTGATGAGCAGCTAGAAGGAGAATGTTATTAGAGTGCGAACTTACCATCTTTGGGGACGGCTCCCTCGGGGCAGTGGAGATGAATCTTGGCCTTCTCGAAGAACTCGTTCTCGGGGAATTTCTTGACCATGAAAGACTTGGCAAAGGAATACGCGATGTGCGACGACTCCTTCATCACATTCTGGAGGTTTCCGGTGATCTCCAGGCCGGGCCGGGATCGGTGGCTGAGGACATTCTCCAGAATGCATTCGACGTAGAGGGCCGCGCCACCCATACTGGTCCATGCGAGACCCATGGTAACACCAGGAGGGAATTGGTCGTACAAGCGGTCGGCAGTGAAAACCGGGGCTCCGACATAATCCTTCAGGTTCTCCCTGCTGATGTTGAGGCTCACTTCTTCAGGCACCTTGAGGCCGCGGCGGGGAGTTTCGGTGGTGGACTTCTCGGGTTCAAGGGGAGTTTCGGCAGGGTCGGAGGACTCATGCTCCTTAGACTCGGCCTGGGCAGCCTTGCCCTCATCGGTTAGAGCTTCCTCCTCGGGAAGGGCGTCCTCGCCCAGATCCTCGATGATCTTGAACGCGGCCTTGCGGTACACTTTTTCAATCTGCTTCTTGAGGTTGCGAACACCGCTCTCGCGGCAGTAAGACTTGATCAATTCTTCAATGGCCTCATCCTGGACGTTTACATTGACATCTTGCAGACCAGTCAGCTCCTTAGCGGCCGGTGCGAGATATCGCTTAGCAATCGCCATCTTCTCATCTGCAACATAACCAGAAAGCTCAATCAGCTCCATCCGATCCAGCAGGGGCCGGGGAATGGTATCCGTGAGGTTGGCCGTGCAGACGAAGAGAACCTTGGAGAGGTCCACCGGGACATCCATGTAGTGATCCAAAAAAGAAGAGTTCTGTTCAGGATCAAGCAGTTCAAGCAAAGCAGATGACGGGTCACCTTGATGACCACGTCCAATCTTGTCGACCTCATCAATGAGAATGAGAGGGTTCTCCGTCTGACATTTCTTGAGTGCCTGGATGATTCGACCTGGCAGAGCACCGACATAGGTCCGACGGTGACCCTTGATCTCGGCGACGTCGGTCAGACCACCCACAGAGAAACGGTAGTACTGTCGGTTGAGAGCGCGTGCAATTGACTTGCCGATGCTCGTCTTACCAACACCAGGGGGTCCAACAAAGCAAAGAATCTTTCCTTCCACAGTTCCACGAAGCTTTCCGACGGCAATGAACTCGAGAATTCTATCCTTCACGTCTTTCAAGCCGTAGTGGTCTTCATCGAGGACAGTGACAGCATTCTTAATGCCGAAATTCTCGACGCTCTTTTGGCCCCACGGGATTTGGGTCAACCAGTCCAGGTAGTTACGAGTGACGTTGAACTCGGAGGCCTGCGGCTCGAGATGAGCCAGCTTGTTGAGTTCCTCCTCAAACACCTTCTTGACGGCCTCGGGCATAGCAAGCTTGTCGGCCTTCTCCTTAAACTTCTCGACCAGCTTTTCCTTGCCATCGGACTCAATTCCAAGCTCCCTCTTGATGCCCTTCATCTGCTCCATGAGCCAATATTCACGCTGGCGCTTTTGAATCTTGGCCTCCACATCTTTGGTGATCTTGGATTGCAGCTGCGCGTTCATCAACTCCTTCTTCAGGACAACAAGGGCTTTCTCCAGGCGCTTCTCGACGTTCATAATCTCCAGAACTTCCTGCATCTCTTCCAATTCACCGGCTGAAACCGCAGCGGCAAAGTCAGCCAGCTTGGCGGGCTCATCGCTCAGGTTTCCTGGGAATTGATCGGTATAGAACGCCGAAATCTGGTCGCGGAACAAAGGATTCAGAGAAGCAATCTCCTTACACACGTTCACAATCTCACTAGTGACTGCACGGATGACTTGGCTCTTCTTGTCCAAGGGTTCGTCGGCCAAATTTTCCACGTTGACGAGGCTGACTGGGTATTTTCGAAGGAATGAGGTGGGCTCGTAGTGATACTTGGGTGAATTCTCGGGGGCCCCTTCTTCAAAGCTAGCCACGACATCACCGCGCTGATCAGTCTCCTGCTCCACGCCCTCCGCATCCTTCTTAGAGGCGGTGGGTGGAATCAGCTCCGAGACCTTGATGCGCCGGTGCGGGTAGAGCACTGCCGTAACACCAGTGACATTTTCCCCGCGGAGTGGGTAGGCTGCAGTGATTTGGGCAAAGACACCGGTACCATAGACGTCGTCCATGTTTTCGATGACGTCGCCATCTGCATTATCGTCCTTAAACAGAAAAGCACCGACATAAGGCTGGCCACGCTTCATCATATCCTGGATTGCGATGGCCACGTTCGGGTCTCGGATGGTAATCGCTTTGTAAAAGCCGGGGAAGAGAGGACGCTTGGCGATAGGGATGGCCATGACTTGAGGGTATACTTCTGGAACGGCTGGTTTCTGCAAAGACTTGTCTCCCTTTTTCCCCTTCTTCCCGCCGTCGTCCTGGCCACCAGAACCGCCATTGCTCGCGGCACTTTGCTTGGCATCGTTCTGGCCATTGCTAGGCGGAATAGGAGATGGAGATTTGTTGGAATAATTCTTGCCATCAGAGACATTGGCCTCCTTCTTCGATTCCTCTTCTAGCGCACGTTGTTCCTTGTCGCTAGACGTTCGGTCTTTTCTCCGCGCGGACCCTGATTGCTCAGGTGCCTTCCCGGAGTCGAGAGACTTCTTCCGCGACTCGGGGGCTTTATCGTTTGCCTTTGTCTCTTGGGTATCTTGATTCGTTTCATCTTCCGGCTTCTGTTCAATGTCATCTTTTGGATCGTCTGATGGTGGTTTCTCTTTCCGACGAATAGAGCTTGAGGAAAACGTGCGGGGCGCGAAAGGCAAAGGTTGGCTGAGGTGGCTCGAGTTCAATGCTGACCGGGCAATCGCATTGTTCCTCAGGACAGCGTGGGACGGACGATGGAGTAGACGACGAGGTGCTCCGTGGAGCGCAGCTCTCCACGGGAGAGTCCGGCCGTTGCGGAGCATGCTATCCGAGTCTCTGGCGATAAACGGTCGATAGAATGGTATGGTAATTCGGGTATTGAGGTCGTGCAGAGTATGTTTCTCAAGAAAGCTGCCTCGGAGCTCCCAGAGAAGAAAGGAGAAGGGGGAAGGGAATGAAGAGGTGGGAGGATTAGTGAGGCCGCCTTCGGAGCTCGGTCCAGAGGTGTTCTTGCTAGGCACACCTCTGCGGGAGCGGCAGATCAGATTATCCGGCTTTTCCGCCTTCTTCTTCTGGAAGCTTCCGACAACCCTAATGATCTTATCTTGCCCGCACCACGCGACCTCGTTCTTACCGTTAGATCTAACTAGGGCGCATGGTAATGGATTGAGAAATTGCTTTGATCTCTGCGTTAAGCTATGAATAAATAGATACATATTAGCAGCTGCAAAGATAAATGAGAAAGGCAGTTTAGGTGCGAAACAGAGCATTCGTGCAAAGACGATGCATAGTACTATAATCACGGCTCCACTGTCGCTCTACGTACTAATCGAATGACCCCGCAATAGGGATGACATTCAAATTGTCGAAATTGAGAACTTTCAAGAGATTTCCGCCTCATTTTTCACGGTGTTAAATGCCCTAAATTCGACAACATACATGATCGCCAAACTAGTAATAGTAACTCCGCTCTAGGGAAAGCGCCCAGTGCCTGCTCCCAGCATTCCTAAGATATTTGCTGCAATCCGAATCACTAAGCAACACATAGAGCCTTTTCCCTTCCACTTCTGCCGGTATTATATTTGCCTTTGGTTTGATCTCGATGCTGTTTACCATCAGCCCGCTGCCCGCGTGGTGATAAAAAGGCTACTTAATTAAGCAATAAGGGCACGAATTCTAAGATAACCCTATGATAGTGTAGCAAGCAGAATACTCTCGCTCTGCAAATCGGATTATCCTTCATTCTCGCTGCTGCACGAATTGCTTTTTGCAAGATCTAGTCGTCTATAATTGCTCCATACCAGTTCCTGAGTTCCCCGGCCCGGCATTCGGCTATATTACATCATCTCCCTACCAGGAATAGCGCGTTCACGTGATTCCAATCAACTCCGACGAGAAGCTTCTTCGCGACGACCGAGCGACGGACTGGTGTAAAGGCCATTGGTTTTGCTCGGCTTTTCCGTTCAACTTCTTTCCCTCAAACTCCGCTCATTGCAATTTCCTTGTTCATTCCGCTCGCCTCGCCGAATTACGGTCCCGACGACGACTACCCAACCACTGGCCGGGTATTACTATCCATGAACCCATCCGCAGCATTCCCAAAGGCCGCGGCCCTCCCCGCGCGCCTGCTGCGGGCGCCCTCGACATGTTCCACACAAACGTCGGCCTCTAGCATCTGCTCGGTCGGTCAGAAGCGGAGTTATCATGCATCGTGCGCGTCTCCCACCAGACGCCTCCGTCAAGCAGTATACAAGAGAAAATCTTCCGATCCGTTCGTTACTCGGGTAGGTGGCTTGTTGATGCTTTAACGGGCATAGAATTTATGTCAATCCAATGTTCATAACTGACTGATTATAGCCTTTCCACTCTACCGCTTCCCTTTCGATCGCCGATCCCTACAAAACCCTCGGTGTAGACCAGAAGGCCTCGGCCGGTGATATCAAGAAGGCGTACTATGGCATGGCCAAGAAGTATCACCCCGATACAAACAAAGAACCGGATGCGAAAGAAAAGTTTGCCGAAGCCCAGACCGCCTACGAGTTGTTGTCCGATGCGAAGAAGCGCGAGAATTACGATCGATTCGGCTCCGCTGCTTTTGACCAGAACGGTGGATTTGATCCCAGTGGAGGCAACCCATTTGCAGGCGCCGGTGGCTTCCATGGATTCGGGGGAGGCTTTGGAGGTGGTGGTTTTGGAGGTGGATTTGCCCAGGATATCAACTTTGAGGATCTTTTCGGTGCCTTTACTGGAGGGGCTCGTCGGGGTCCTCGCGGCCGCCGCAACCCATTCCAGGAGCAAATCCTTGTGGGCGAAGACATCGAAGTGCAGAGCAACATCTCTTTCATGGATGCGGCTAAGGGTACCTCGAAGGATATTGTCATCACCCCCTTGACACAGTGTGGAACCTGCTCTGGTGATGGCCTGAAGTCCGGCGCTAAAAAGTCCCAGTGCCGCCAGTGCAATGGAACCGGTACACGGGTTCATCTCATGCAGGGTGGCTTCCAGGTCGCAGCAACATGTGATGCCTGTGGAGGAGCTGGCATGACTGTCCCTCGTGGTTCTGAGTGCGGAACCTGCCATGGTAACGGGGTCGTCCGAGAGCGCAAGACTATCAAGGTTGATATCCCTGCCGGTGTTGATAACGGCATGCGAATGAGAGTTACGGGTGAGGGTGATGCTCCTCCAACTGGAACAGCCGCTCCTTCGGGCTCCCGCACTCAGCGCGGTGATCTCTATGTGACCATTCGGGTTGCCCCTGACCATCGTTTCAGTCGTTCCGGCGACGACATTCTCTACACAGCGACCCTTCCCCTCACAACTGCCCTGCTGGGTGGTGAAGTGACCATTCCTACCCTCGACAATGAGGTCAAGGTGAAGGTGGCCACTGGTACTGGTACCGGTGATCGGATTACCTTGACGGGAATGGGCATGAAGAAGATTGGTGGTGCCCGCGCCCGTATCCAGCCCACCGGTGACTTGAAGGTGGAGTTCAAGGTCGCGATGCCCAAGTACCTCACGGGTAACCAGCGAACCATTTTGGAGGTTCTTGCTGACGAGATGAACGATAAAACGGCGCGTCGGACAATGAACTTCAGCAAGGAAAGGTAAGATTATCCGCCTCCCTTCTTGCTCATGTTGCAATGCTAACTGCTTGAGGAACAGCTCGCCATCGAACGCTGAATCCACCGGAGATGGGGCGAAAAATGAAGGATTTCTGAAGTCTGTCTGGCATAAGCTGATGGACAAGAACGGTGATGCCTCCAAGCCTGAGACCAAAGACGCAAAAGACGCCGACAAGAAAGAAACCGGCAAGGACGACTCGAAGAAATCGAGTTAAACCATTGTAAATGTTCCATGTACTTCTATAGACCTTCATCTTTGGGTTGTATTTACTTCAAATGTCATAGCGCCGGCGAGCTGGGGGGACCTTGTTCTGCCTTGTTGGGGGTGAGGCAGACACCTGTATTTTTACTCTTGTATTAGGTTGTCATCAAGCTCTCTGCTCCTCAGTTTCAGCATAGAAAAGGTAGCTTATTTTTCGTTTCTAGATATTGAGGCATCGAAACCGCTTGGCCGTTGACTGGCTTCACAGGCCACGGGTCTGGTATCAACTGCATGAGCCGATAGAAGTGATTTAAACATGCACTCACAAGATATTACTCGCGCCTTAGTAAACATTGTTGTATTATCATTAATAAATTCACATATACACTGTATGCTAAATATAAGCTGTATCACTGTACATGTGTGCTTATAGGCTGTAATCGGAAGCGACCTCTCGTACGTGATTGCGGACTATTCGCCCACGGCTGTTTTGGCCTGCGGTTGGCGCCCTTTGCCAATCCCGCCTCGCCCGTCACCATCACATCCCACCTGTCACCTTCTACCGCGGCCTTCCTTTTTCTTCTTCCCTTCTTCCACCTGACATCGCGCTGGAATTCGATTCGACTGCACCTCTCGGGCGATCTAACCCGACCGACGTCATTGACCGACTAGCGATCAGGCGCCGACCTTCCGCCCTCCCTTACCCCACACAGCCTCCTCCAAGGCATCGTTCAAGCAACCCCCCTTCCTCCCACGCACACTCTCAGCTCAGCCTTCGCTCGTGGATGGGAGCATCCTGCTCCAGACGACCATCCCATCATGGTGCAGTCACCGATGCTCTCGTGTCCGCTGAAGCAGACCAACGAGATCGATTGGATCCAGCCCCTCAAGGATTACATCCGACAGACCTATGGCGAGGACCCCGAGCGCTACGCACAGGAATGCGTGACTCTTAATCGGCTTCGCCAGGACATGAGAGGCGCCGGTAAAGACAGCGCAACTGGCCGCGATCTCTTGTACCGATACTATGGCCAGCTGGAGCTTTTGGATCTACGATTCCCCGTCGACGAGAACCACATCAAGATCTCGTTCACATGGTAAGTCCGATCCTGTCTTGCGCGAGGGGCTGCGCTACTCACACATTGGAATCACTCTAGGTACGACGCATTCACCCACAAACCTACCTCTCAATACTCCCTAGCCTACGAGAAAGCGTCCATTATCTTCAACATCTCCGCCGTCCTCTCTTGTCATGCCGCCGATCAGAATCGCGCCGAGGATGCCGGGCTCAAGACAGCATATCACTCCTTCCAAGCATCTGCGGGGATGTTCACGTACATCAATGAGAACTTCCTGCACGCGCCCTCCACCGATCTGAACCGGGATACCGTCAAGTCTCTCATCCATATTACACTCGCCCAGGCCCAGGAAGTGTTTCTCGAGAAACAAGTCGCAGATGGAAAGAAACCCGGCTTTCTTGCGAAGCTGGCGAGTCAGTCTGCCTATCTGTTCTCACAGGCAGGCGAAACAATGCAGGACTTCGTCACCAAGAATGTGTTCGACAAGGTCTGGTCAATCATAGTCCAGGCGAAGACGGCGCATCTGAGCTCAGTGGCTTCCTACTTCCAAGCTATCGCAGATTCTGAGAGCGGCTCTCATGGTGTTGCGATTGCGCGACTTCAGCTTGCCGACAAGCAATCGTCTACTGCAATGAGCTGCGCCAAAGGATTCCCCTCCTCGCCGCCCACAACATCCAACCTTACTGCCGAGGCCGGTAGCACCTTGATGGATCTCATCAAGCATCACCACGCGAACGTGCAGGCCCAGCTCAATTCGATGACCAAGGACAACGACTTCATCTACCACCAGCCAGTTCCCAACGAGGCAGGTCTCTCGGCTGTTGCCAAGCTCCCGGCTGCGAAGGCGATCCCGGTTAGCGAGCTCTACCAAGGCCAAGACATTCAGCGCATCATTGGCCCCGACATCTTCCAGAAACTCGTACCCATGGCCGTCACCGAAAGTGCCAGTCTGTATGATGAGGAGAAGGCCAAGCTAATCCGCGCGGAGACCGAAAAGGTAGAGACCGCTAATGGGGAGATGGCTGCTAGCCTGGACTATTTGAAGCTACCTGGCAGTCTCAACATCTTAAAGGGTGGCATGGACCAAGAAATGACAGTGGATGAAGAGTTCCGCCGCTGGTGCTCAGAACTCGGTGGTCATAAACCATTCAATAAGGCATTCGACGAACTACAAGACCGAAAGGCTGAGGTTCAAGCAGCATTGGATGGGTGCTCCAAACAGCTCGATCTCGAGGAGAGTGTCTGCGAAAAGATGCGCTCTAAGTATGGGGCCGATTGGAGCCAACAGCCCAGTGCTCGCCTCAACACGACTCTGCGAGGAGACGTCCGCGCATATCGGGATACCATCAGCGAAGCTAGTGCAAGTGATACTCAGCTATCTGCTACCTTCCGACAATACGAAGGCGATTTCGATCAGATGCGATCTGCAGGGGAAACTGATGAAGCCGATGTTCTTTTCCAGCGGGCCATGGTCAAGGCCGGAACCAAGCAATCCAAGGGCAAAAATGGAGTGTCCAGCCCCGCCGAGGGTAGTCTCTTAGATGACGTTGATGAGGGTGGCATTTCTGTTTCCGACCAAATCAACCGCGTAGAAGAGATTTTGAAGAAGCTTAATCTCGTCAAACGGGAACGCTCTCAAGTGTTAAAGGATCTCAAAGAGAAGGTCAGTATTGACTCTTGTTGGAAATTCACCTAGCTATCAGCTAACCGCTATACCAGGTTCACAATGATGATATCTCCAACGTTCTGATTCTAAATAAGAAATCTATCGCCGGTCAGGAAAGCCAGCTCTTCGAAGCCGAGCTCGAAAAATTCCGCCCACATCAGAACCGCTTGCTGCAGGCCAATCACAAGCAGTCGTCACTGATGAAGGAATTGACAAAGACATATGCCGACCTTCTTCAGGACAAGCGTGTTCAGGCCGAGCAGTCCAAGTACGAAGGTATCACGAGACAGAGAAACTCCGTGATGGCGCGATACAAGAAGATTTATGAGGCTTTCAATGGGCTGTCGTCGGGAATTGTGCAAGCACGCACTTTCTACAAGGAAATGGGCGAGAACGTGGACAGCCTGCGGAAGAACGTCGAGACTTTCATCAGCAATCGTCGATCGGAAGGTGCGCAGCTCCTAAGTCAGATTGAACGGGACAAAGCAAGTGGTGTCTCAGAGCAGGAGGATCGTGAGCGAGAGAAGCTTCGGCAGCTGATGGAGCGTCTTTCCACGGAACCCAAACCATCGTCGACTTCGCCCTCCACCGGCGCTGCAGCAGCACCGCCAGCGCCCACTAACGCCAAATCACCTCCGCCTCCTGTTCAGACTCCTTCGTATTCGGCCACTGGCCCGGAAGCCAGAATGTCGCCGCGGTATCCGCCAACCATGCCCGGAGCACCACAACATGGCGCTCCTCTATCGCACTCCCCTGCGCCATACGGCCAATATGGCATGCACGTCAACCCAGGATATATGCCTACCCAGCCATTCCAGCAGGGTGCTGCTGCGCCTCTCTCTGACGGGTACAACCCGATGGCTTACCCCTACCGGACACCCGTCTCGCCACCTCCGAACCAGCAATTCTTCTCTCAAACGCCTACTGCATATGGTGGATACACCAGCGCCAGCCCTGCCCCTTCTGCTACCGTACCTACCCCTCAATCGCAGTACATTGCCCCGCAAGGCTACATTCCTCCCCCGCCTCCTCCTCGGCCGCAGCAGCCTAGCTACCCCCCTTCGACCGGTCCGTACCCATCTGGCCCTGGTGGTTATGCCCAGAGTCGACCATCCTTCGGTCACCAAAAGGCTCCTTCCCAATCCCAGCAGCCGTCTGCAACGAACGACCCTTGGGCAGGGTTGAACGCATGGAAATAGCCCTATCGTATGCGGCGAGGTGTTGTGTCACATTCCAGGAGGACAAAATGGGAAGGATCAATTTCGTTGGCGGCATATTCTCCGGCGTTAGATTTGCTTTGGCTCGATATCACTTTTAACTCGTATTTTGTCTGTTCTCCGTCTTTGAGGTTGATCAATCCCTTTCCCTTGTGGGAGCCTGTGTAGTGCGGATGGACATCTTTCTGGACTTTTGTTTTGTAACAGACTGCTGGTGTTTGTACATGGCGAATACGAAAATAAATTAGCAGCTGCGTGCCCTCGAGGCATTTTCGCTTTCGCCTTCAGAGTACTTCACACAATACTACACTAATGTAGCACACTGTGTTCGTCCACAGCTTTTAATCATACTATGAAATGCAGGATTTCGATCAACAAGTCGTCTTCACCCAGTAATACGTCTGCATACATTGTATCATAGGATAATGCGTAAAGAGTCGTAAACCCTTCGTTTTCACACTGCAGCACTACAGCATACTAAGTTCTCCCGGTCTTCCTGCCTTCCTGCCTCTATGATAGCGGCAAGAGGACTCGAACACCAAGAGAGGGACTAGTTTACTATAATAGAGTGACCGATGAACCAATTGTCTATCGATCAATGTCTTACGACGTAACTTGCGCCCTCCAAACTCAAGTTAACTGTGCACAGCGCGCTGGTAATCTGCGAAGTGCGACCACCAACCCTACCTGCATTCTTCGACAGCAGGAATCACACTGGACCAATCGCGAACCTCCAGAGGTCCCGGGTCCCTGTCCAATTTGTAAACCTACTACAAAATAGTTATGTCGGTATGGTTGGACAAGCGATGGCTCCTATAGTCTCCAGAGATGTATGGGAAAGACCCAAGCTAAGCCCAAGCATTGACTTTGTATAGAAGAATCATGGCATATTAGCTTATAGGAGTATTCAGGCGATCGAGACTTCGGGAATACTGCAAGATTGCAGCATCGTCAATTGGAATCGAAGGTTTATGCAGCTTCATGCAGCAGCCACGAAAACACTCCGATGTCGTACAAAAGGCCACAGAGTAACACAACAAGGCAAGACTTTTCACTATGCCTTCGTAAGAGAATTTTCTGTGCAATTTGAATACGATTTATGTCACTCATGTATGCCGACCCAAGAGTTGTTCGAAGTTTTAAAGCTCAGCGTGCGAGGGAGGGAACCAGCAACACAGGCAAATACCACTATCTCTCGCCTCTCGAGGACGTCGACTCGGCCAAGTACACCAATGAACCGAATCTACTCAATTAGCACGACCAGCTCGGCATGCGGCGCAAGTGGACACCAAGGCGGAATCGGAATGCGATCTATCAATTGCGAGGCGGGAGAGCCCGCCTCACCGTTTGTCCTTTCCAGCTTCTCCATGCGCATTCTGACCTTCCTTCCTGCCTGCAATAGCCACTGATGCTTGCTATATTCGGGACCTCGCCGGGCATTGAGTCCGCGAGATGCGCCTTTATCTGTCTTTTTCCCTCGCCCATGCCTCTCTCCCCAGCAGGGCTGTGGCGTCTCAACTCCGACTGTTGGGAAGATGATTAGTATCATCTGCGCTGCTTCTGGATCTAGCCTGTCGTATCCTTCCTGATACCAGATTTACAGTCCTATACGCCAAGTGGCATGCTCATGGCCGATAATTAGACCGAAACCGCCTGATTCGGCAGGCATCCTATCCAACGACGTTCCACCAGACTTCCATGGCCTTTCGAAACGACGAACATGGTACATTCAACGCGACAACACAACTCAAAAGATCGGAAATCTATCTACCAGGACGACAACGCAACGACCGACAAAACAAGCCAACATTGTACAACATCTACGAATCAAGAGATAAAAAGACCTACTATAACATACAAACTATCCAACAAATCGACTCGAGCAAAACGAAACGCAACGACAGGGGGATATCACCGAGCCAAGAACAACGACAACAGCAGACAAACACACACATCAAACAACACCAACACTGACCCCCTTCTGCTGGCCCCGCATCCTCTCCTCCCTCCGCCGACTATAAGGCGCACAATACGGCTCATCCGACGACCCAATACTAGCCCTCACCCCATCCTGCGAAGCATGATAGGCAGGGCTCGACGGCGCCGGCGCAAGCTGCATCGCCTTGAACTGCGCGTCAGAGATAATCCGCCTCCCATACAGATATCGCATGAGTTCAAAGTCCGGCCGTGACCCGGCCAGCGTCTGGCCGGCGCGATAGTGCCCTCCGACATGTTGAAGAAGTCTATTCCAGGCTGAGCTGGTGTCATTCCCGTGCTCGTCGTCCGCATCCAGGTCTAGTCCCGTATAAGGTCCGTCGTCACGGACATCTGTGCCTGAGTCCACGCGCCGGATTGTGGTGCGGGAGTTGAGGTCATCGTCTGCTGCGGCTGCGGCTGCGGCTGCGGCTTCGGTCGAGGCAGCGGCCTCTTTCTCGTCCTTCTCGCCCGGTATCGGTGAGGAGAGCGGGTGCGGATGGCCGTCGACGAACTTGTTCGGACAGAGGGGGCATCGAGCTGTGCGCGGGGTTGGATGTGTACGGAAGTGGCTCAGGACATGCGTGCGCCAGTTATTCTCATCCGCGAAGGATTCATGACAGTCCAGCATGTGGAAGAGACAAGTGTAAATGCGGGTATCGACCGCATCTGCGCCTGCGTCCTGATCACCATCGCCGCCTTCATCTTCGTGTGTGGCTGGTTGCGATGGTACGGAGGAAATGGACGGGCCGCCGGTACTCCAGGACGAAATCGAGGCGCGCGATGGAGCGGTCCCTTCTGCGTGTATACTTGCGCGAGACCGAGACCCAGTGCGACCAGATATGACCGATGTTGGCGTCGACGTCACTGTCACCGGTACCCTCTCTCTATCCACACTCTGTCGCTGGCTCTGTCGTCGACTGCCGTTTTGATTGCGCGATCCTGTCCCTGTTCTTGTCTCGGTCTCTCCTGGTCCTACGGGTATCCCAGTTTCTTCTTCACGAGCAGCGCCGCCAGTCCCGCTGGAACTGATGCTGGTATCTGAGGAGACGGACGAAGACTCGCCGCTCGTCAGACCGGGGACGGTAGGCGAGGAAGACGGCATGCCGGGGCGGGAAGATGCGTTCTTTTTTGGGTGCTTTTTTTTGCTTTTTGCGGGGTTGGGGGGTTGGACGATCGTTTGAGACTATGAACAAACTATCGTTCTTCTCAGCACTGGTCAGACGAAAAGCAAAGAGCATCTTGCGGCGAAGACGTGCTGGGGCTCAAGCGCAGGCTCCGGTATACTCCGCACGGCCGCGATGGGCGCGGGAAAATACATTCCACGGTCCCTCCAGCGGACGAACAGGCTGCAGACTCGAAAAGACAGGACTGGAGTCGGTACATGAAAGAAATCCCACTGGCAAAGATAGAGCGCTGCCGTCATAGCCCATTGTGGATTGGGGAGGGGGTTTGGGTGAGTGGATGATATCAAGAACAAAGGCAAGACAACAAAAAACATACAAGAATACTTCTTCCCCTTTCTATATCCAACACTACCTCAGTCCTTCACCCCTACGATCGAAAGCGCAGTGCTATTGGAAGCAACCAACCAACGAAACACTCGAAGCCGTACCTTTGTAGAAGTGTCAGAGTCAGCATGCATGCATGACATTTGCGTGCCGGCGTGGCCCGACTGCAGCGACGTGGGGACTCCTACCTCCTCTCACGGCAATCAGGCGATGTCCATCGTAACCAGGTAGAGGGTGGGGAAGCGAAGAAGCGCGGATTGGACGAACATTACGATCGGGGAAATAAAAGAGACGGAGATAGTGAACTTGGATGCTTTATGAAACAAGTACACGCTACCCTAGGGCAGGGTTCTTATTTTTTATTATTTTTTTTTTTTCGCGCTAGGCGTTGGAGGAGGGGGCGGGGCGATTGGGGGGACTAATGTTTGGACTGTGCAGTAGTTTAAGGTAACGTAACCCACAAGCGAACCGCCCACACAAGCGAACCGCCCACCCCATCAATTTTGATCTGAGTACTATAACCTCTCTTTTATAACCATCCACCATGCCACCAAATCGATCTAGTTCTGCCCGATTTTCGCAGGATAGGCAGGGCAGACTCTCATTAGCCCTGCATGCCATTCAAAATGGTCAAATTACCTCTATTCGCAAAGCAGCACGCCAATTCGACGTCCCCTGGTCCACTCTACGCGATCGCGTCAACGGTCAACAAAGTCGCTCAGAAACACGCGCCAACAACCATAAATTGACAGAAGACGAGGAGAGATCACTTCTACAATGGGTGCTCTCTATGGATTCACGTGGATCAGCTCCTCGGCCTGCTATGGTGGCAGAAATGGCCAATCTTCTATTAGCCGAACGCTGTACGCAGACTGTTGGCGTCAACTGGGTCTACAACTTTGTTAATCGCCATGATGATCTTAAATCTCGGTTCTCTCGAAAGTACAACTACCAACGAGCAAAATGCGAGGATCCAAAGGTCATACGAGAGTGGTTCGACTTGGTTCAACGCACGATTAATGAGAACGGCATCCAACCTGACGATATATATAACTTTGATGAGACTGGCTTCGCAATGGGTCTTATTGCTACTGCAAAAGTCGTCACCCGTGCTGAATACTACGGTCGGAGATCTCTTAAACAACCTGGAAATCGTGAATGGGTCACATCTATCGAGTGTATTGGTGCGTCGGGCTTCAAATTACCACCTTGTCTTATCTTCAAATCCAAGACACATCACCAGGCTTGGTACGAAGATAAAGGGGTAGGACCGGACTGGAGGATCGAAATCAGTGATAATGGATGGACAACTGATGCTATTGGCCTTCGCTGGCTGAAAGATCTCTTTATTCCGAGTACGGCGAGCCGTACAAAGGGTAAATATCGTCTTCTAGTCCTTGATGGTCATGGTAGCCATTTGACACCTCAATTCGACCGACTTTGCGCTGAACATGATATTATACCAATTTGCATGCCAGCGCATTCATCTCATTTGCTACAACCACTAGATGTCGGGTGTTTTGCGAACCTAAAGCGCGCATATGGTGGCTTGGTTGAGCGAAAAGCTCGATGCAATATCAACCATATTGACAAGCTTGATTTCCTTGCCGCCTACCCGCACGCTCGCGAGATCTCATATCACTCGGATATAATTCAGAGCGCATTCGAATCTGCTGGTTTAATACCCTTTGATCCCGATCGGGTTATATCGAAGCTTAATATTCAGCTTCGAACACCAACCCCCCCAGGAAGCCGACCAGGAAGCCGATCAAGTGAGTGGAGCCATACAACACCACTCAACACAAAACAATTATATCGGCAAGAATCTTCAGTCAAAGCTCTACTCAAATATCGATCCGTGAGCCCTCCAACGCCTACAAAGCATGTGGTAGAGCAGACTCTTAAAGGCTTCCATGTCACGCTTCAAAGGCTAGCGATGTTGGAGAAAGAAATCCGGGATTTGCGCGCTGCCAATGAGGTTCGGAAACAAAAACGCAAGAGGTCTAATAAACGCATCGACCGTACTGAAGGCATGTCAATTCAGGAGGGAAGAGACGTAATATTCAGTTCGAACCAAGCCGTTGAATCTCTGGATCCTGTTCATCCAGAACTAGCTCCGGTCGCAAATGAGACTAATACACCACGACAACGGGCGCCACCAAGATGCAGTGGTTGTGGAGGGATAGGGCATAAGATAAATAGATGTCCGAAGCAGTGATATCAATAATTTAATGGCGTTGTGGTTATTTTATATGCAAATCAAAATTATAGGTTGAGATGGGTGGGCGGTTCGCTTGTGTGGGCGGTTCGCTTGTGGGTTACGTTATCTCTGGTTTTTCTCCCGTGAAGACTGGGCTTGGTCGTGGTGCTGGTGTTGGTCTAGTGGAGATATGGCATGACGGCGATGCTTGATATCTACTAGTATACTACTTAGGTAGGATACCGGCGCTATTCTAGAGTACCCAGGGAACTACCATAGGGTGTGATCACTATGTTGGGGGGGGGGGGGGGTTTCTGTTGACGGGCAGTCTCCACAAGTATCAAGATGAAATCAATCTTAATCAAATGATATGAGAAACTACTGCAGATCAGATGTAAGTATTGAATTTTGATTTTAATTTTGATTCCCACAAGTGGTAGCAAATATTAAGGGGAGTAGTAAAATAAAGTGATCAAGAAGAGAAAGAGACCGCAGGTCTCGGAAAGTAAAGGTCAAGTTGACAGAATTTTGAACTCGAAGGGAATTCGGCGAGAAAACAGCCACAGAAAAATCCCGATCCGTCTATGAGGTAGAGCGCCTTTCACAAGAAAAGAAAATTGAATGATAAACAGGGAAAAAAAAGGGCAGAAAAATAAAAACCGATCCATCCGACACCGTTGATGCCTGCAATCCAGGAAGAAAATGCACAAAGTCTATATCGTTTCGTAGCGCACATAACAGAAATTTAGAGGACGTGAGGAGAGAGCCTGTTTTTGTTTTGGGGAGGGAATTCAGAATCGCTCAGCAAGGTCATTGCCAGCAACGGAATTGTTGGTCGAAGACGACATGGAGGTGAATCCGCTGGCCGGGTTGAGCATGTCCTGCACCGCAACCTTTGGCACCTGGGGCACCGGCAGCTTGCGCTGGGTACCGTCGGGTTTTGACATGATGTCCGTGATGCTGGGACCCATATTGCCTTGACCGGGACTGTAGTAATTGGGACCCTCGGGTTGGGGCTCCATGGGAGCCAACGCGGGAGTATGTTGGAGGGACAGGTGGCGGATCGAAGGCAAGTGAAGGTCGTTGGCGCCGAGAGGACGCAGGCGCGGCGAGTGCGCGGGCGTAGCCAAGGGAGTGTGGTCGGGAGTGGGCGAGAGCGAGTCGTGCGAGAAGGTTGGGGAGGAGGGTGCAGTGGAATTGGGGGAGTTGGGTCGCGAGCGCTTGACGCGATGTCCACCGTAATTGTCGTCATCCTCGTTGGAGTGCGAACGGGTCATGTTCTGGGAGATTGCATAGGCCGAGAGCGAAGGCAGGCCGCGGCCAGCGTGATGACGGTTGCCAAACATGTGGTGTCGCGATCCGCCGTGGTAGCCCAGGTGGTCATCCCGCTCGACCTGCGATGCGGCGGTCGCCAGCAGATTGATATCCATGCCCGACGAAGCGCGCTCTTGATTGCGCGAGTACGGGCCCAGGTTGGAGCGCATCTGGTTGGCATAGTTGGAGAAGGAGTGAGGAGGCGAGACGTCGGGCGAGCCGACCTGCGAGACGGGCGCAGAGCGAGTGATGGGCTTGCTGGGCGGAGGCATCATGTTGGCGGCGCTCACCATGGTGGCATCTTGGCCGGCCGCGGCCGCTGCTGCCGCGGCCAGGTGCTGGGCCTTGTTGCTGCGACGCGAGTTGGGGTTGTTGTGAATGCGCGAGTGGCGGGTGAGTTCGTCAGAGCGGCTAAAGCGCTTGGTGCATCCGGGGAATTGACAGGCGTGAGGCTTCTCGCCGGTGTGGGTGCGGATGTGACGAGTCTGGTGCTCCAGACGGTGGAAAGCACGGTCGCAGAGCGGGCATTTGTAGGGCCGAGGCAGATCCTGACGGACCTCCTCGTTGGCAGGACGAGCACCCTTCATAAGAGGCGGGAGCAGGCTCACGGATGAGGCCATGGAAGGATCCGAGTCGGTGGACTGAGGAGCAGGCACCGGAGTGGTCGAGGAGGATGCGTCTTGCGGATTCAGTAGATTGGAGAAACCCACTGAGGCGACGGGGGGCGGCATGTGAATCAGCGGGAGGGGGATGGTGGATTTATGGCCAGGTCGGAAGAAGCAGAAGGGAAGAGGCCAAGGGAAGTTGGCCCGGGGGAGTGGTCTGCTTTATCACGACGCAGGGACAGGTCGCGACCTAAGAATCGCCCGGTCGATCAACAGCCGAGATGGGGAGGGGAGGGGGTGGAAGAGGGCGATCGGGGTGATCGGACGCAAATCCTTGATTGTTGCCTTTTTACGGTCCCGAACAGGGAGGACTCAAAAAAAGGAAAATATGTGAGGGGAGGAAGAATCTGGAGACGACGATCTGGGGAGCAGGAGGAATAAAAGAAAGGGAGGGGAAGTATGAGGAATGGAGGGGAAAATGAAGAAGGGAGAAATCGGGGAGAATTGGGGGAGTCGAAGGGGGCTCGGAATCGGGTTTGGCTCAGAAAAGAAAAAAAGGAAAAAAAAAAATTGGAAAAAAAAAAAAAAAAAAGGAAAAATCGAAGGGATCGTAACAAGGTTGAGCGGCGACTGTGGGGGAAAGCGCAGAAAAGGCAGAGACTGGGGCGAAAAAGGGAAATGAAAAATCGAAATTCGGAAAAAAAAAAAAAAAAAAAAAAAGACGAAAAGAGCGGGCAACGTGCGGTAGATCGTCTTGGGAAAAGAGTGGGGGCCTGCCATTCCAGCGAATTCGGATTCCTGCTTTCCGGTCTACGCTGTTAGGCAGTGATGCACAGTGATGCTACAGTATGCCGTGTATTGCGATAGAGTCTACTGCCTAAGTAAAGGTCTCGCGATACGAGATGGTAGGTGAAGGTGTAGGGGGACGACCGAAAGGGCAAGGGGAGAGTCGGAAAAGGAAAAACAAAATCGAGCGGCCCAAAGGGGAAACCAGAAAAGAAAAAGAGAAAAAGAAAAGACGTGGGGACACTCGAAAGGTCCTTGAAGAAACCCCGTGTGGCGTGAGGTGCGTGGCCTTACCCTCCTTACGGGAGGTTCCTCTGGCGAGACCGGCTATCGCGCGTCTGGAGAAAGCCCTTATCGGACAATACCACACATACAATTGTACCCTACCGAGGGAAGGAAGACTGGTAGATTCGCACCATCCGGGGCCTGGATTGGTGCCTCGCGGCCATTCGCTTGATCTTCGGCGATTGTTCAATCATGATCCCGGATGATGCATCGTGGCAACTCCCAGGACGAAAGGAAGCTTGTCGAGTTCCAGACCGGGGGAGATGGGGAAATGACGGGGAAATCGTGGAAATTCTGGGGTTTCTCTCCCGTCCCCTCTTGTGGAACAGCAAACTTTGCAACAAGGAGGGCGCGTTGGGCTGTGACGATGGCGAGGATCATCGATGATGTCGACACATGATACATGATTTGAGCATGATTTAGTCATGGGGGAATGGAGAGGTCATACAGACGGGCAGCACGAAAACAACCCGGCACTGGCGCCGTTGGCCTCGCTATCTACTAGGATCTACCACCACACGAGCAAACCGTTGGATATATTGTTTCCAGTCATGGTCTGTCAAAGTGAGCAGGGTCTACGAGAGAAGATAGGGAATACCCCAGATTCGGAGGGACCACGGCGAGGGCCGTGACCCGCTGGACTTGATACCAACAACAGATAGGCGCGAATCGCCCAATCACTGGAACAGGATGCTCCCTGCAGCTGCAAAGCCGCATTATCGTCCGGTCCAGCTCCGTCGCACTCAGCAGTGGTGGCTGTGGTACAGACTCATGCTGGGCTATCGAGTCAAATCTGGGGGAGCCCCGGAGCCGAGGAATTCGCCTCGAAAGGATCCGGAATAGTTCCAAGCGAAATGATAGTGATACTAGTACTACAAACTCATGGTAGGGTATACTATCTCGTGGGATAATACTGCGGGGGTATATATAGGTACTCCGGACTAAGCCCCGCGATCGCGCCACGTCTCGGCAGGCCCTCAAAAGGGATCACAGCCTGGGGATAATGAAAGATACGCTCCTCCGGGCCCGCTCCGCCATGTGATGGGTAGAGCATCGCTGGTTGGTGCAAGAATTCCATCCTCAAAAAGCCGCGGCCAATTCCCGCCCAACCAGGCAATCGGCGAAGCGCGTGGAGAGCGCCGCCTCCCTATATCAAACAAGTGCAACAGTTCTGGCGTTCATCCAACGCGACGGACGAGCTGCATGTAGCCGGGTCAAGGGGCTCATTAGTGGCAGATCCTCCAGCACACAATTCTGCGCATCACTTTTGACTACTCCAAGTACCCATTTCGCCCCATTTCGGCGAAACTCCGGCTTTTTTTATTTTGTGGCAAGTCTGGAGATAAATCGGTCGTCGTAGGGAAGTGGAGCATGACCGGCAACCCCCGGACCAAGAAATCCCCCAACAATGGCACCATAGGGAAATACTGGAGGAGCGATAGCACGCACCACGACATCTCGCTCTCACTGGGCTGTGCAGCCAGCCGGTGCTCGTTCTCGTTTCGACGGAGTCAGCGAATACCGGGTCGATTGCCGACCGGGGGACAATTGGCCGAACCCAAAGGGGGAAGTCACTCCACCCGGATGAATGCACCATCTCTCTCCACGGGGAATGGCGTAATGGAGAAGCTCCGGATTCGGCGCCTCGATCTGCAGGGGGGTCGTCTTGTGGAGGAGGGCTGTGTGGGAGGGTGCCAAAGCAGGTACCGCTGCGACGAGCTATTACCCGCTTTTTGCCGATGGCCGTGAAACGCTGCGACCTTTTAGCTGACGAGTCGATTCTGTTTACTATACCTACTCCTAGTGGTAGGGATATTGGTGGTCTCCTGTTGATGTTGATGTTGGCTGTTGCTCTGTCAGCTGTCAGTAAGCGCTGGGCTCTGGTATCGCCCGGAAGCCGGCTTCCGTTTCTGCGATGGGGCGCTTCGTCTCACCTGCCTCGTCATCGTCAGAGTTTTCTTGGAGATCCCCCCGCGATCGCAGGGATCGACACCGCTATCCACAACTATGGGCAGTAGAGCGTGGGGGGTACATTAAACAAGTTCGACATGATAGGGAAGGGCGGAGACTTCCTCCAAAGGATGAGCATCGCTGGTTGCGTCCTGAGCCACCTCTGTTGGAGTCCGGGGCAAGGGCGTGGTGCCCGTTGCAGCACCCTATCGCCCGAAATCCCCGGGATGATCGCTAGAGTTTGCAAGATGTACCCGATGATCATCGTCACAGGCGATTTCAGTTGTTCTGACTCAGAGAGACCCCGCTATCGCCATAGCAGTTTTGAAGAGCAGTACGTAAGGACATGATGTACATACAGAGCAAGTGCCAAGATCACCCTGCACTTGTTGTAGACACACACACTGTTGCAGGGGGTCAGCCCTAGATTTGGAGTAGCACCTTGGGCGCCTCCCCGCCTGCCATGATCGTCGCGAGTGATAGCAACTCCGACATCGCGATCAGAGGGAACCAGTACAAATCCAATGGCAAAATCGAAATCATGAAAAAATCTGCTCCCCTTGCGACAGCCAGTATCACCCCATGCCGGCCATCCATCTCGACGATTCCGGGGGGATGCGCAAGGTCAGACTTGCCTTCCCCGGATAAAGCGGGTACCCCAGGAAATCTTACAGTAGACCTCAAATGAGGTTATGTCACAATCATACCGTGTTATCAGACCCCACCAAACAGCGGAAACTAACAGAAGAGTAAACGTAAACAGCAAAGGGAATTTGACGGATCCAAAGGGAGACAAGAAAGCGCCGGTTTTCCGACTTTGCACCGAGGGCACGCCATACGTGATCTTCTTAGTCCGCCCCGCCCCAAACAGGCATCCACCTACGTGATCGAAACCTTCGGGGCTCCTCCTGCACCCTTCCACCACGGGGAAGGCGGAAGATATTACCAATTAATACTAGCAATAAAAGACGAATCCCATGCGCATTATGGAAAGAGGCCTATCCTGGCAGCTCGATAGCAGCGCTCGAGCTCTATCAGCTGAAAGGACAAAGAGCCTGGCATGCGCCGACGCGGTCTGGACACCTATGCTTCAAGCCCGCACCCTAGCACCCCGTACAGCAACCCCCTTGCGACCGGCATCCAGTCATTACGTGCTCGCGCTGCCATTCGCGCTCTCCCTCGTCATGACATGACACACCCACGCTCGCATTCCCTTTGGACAGGGACGAGGGGAGAAGGACGGGCAGGGGACGGGGATTCGCCCGCGTTCCGTTTCAAATCGTCCCGGGCTCTGCTGCCTGGCGCTGAAACCTCACCAAGCGCAGCGCCACGAGCACGAGTTCGAGTTTCGCAATGTCATTTTTCTCGCAGAGGGGTCCAGTGGATAGAAATTATTCACTCACTTGGGTGGGGAAGGGGACAGCCACGATCGACGACGCATTCGTAGCCATCTCGTCCCACACCGTAATCGACTCCCCTGCTAACTGTAGCAGGGCCTAATGCGACGACGTATTACTGCATTGGCAAGAAGTCAAAAAAAAAAAATCTCGACTGGATTACCTATTGAGGGTAACATTGTCGCACTTGGCAGGTCTTGATGCGGGGCCCGAAATCCGGGGAAGGTTTGGTTCGCATTCCTCGGATCCAGTTACTCTCGCGGCCAAGTGCAACCTGGGGGTAAGGCCACGCACTTGGTGGTGGTGTGCACACGCACCCGCCAAGGCGAGAGATCGGCGATCCACAGCTTCTGGAACAGCCCGGCGGCCAATCAGCACCCTTGAACGCATCATGATGAAATTGTGCGGGGCGGGACTCCGGTCTCGATCTGATTCCCCGTGGGTGAACACAGTAATACTACTTACTGGCGGCAGGTGCAGTGCGCAAACGCTGGGGACGGTGTTGGACCTGCTCGAATCACTCTAGTTCCACGACGGAGACCGCCGTGCTGAGCTACGACAAATGAACAACCCTGGAGTAGGGTGAGAATGTTCTTACGAGAAGACTTGGGGTACGGAACGGAGAAAGGTGGAGTCGCACCCATCTAGTTCTCGGTGAGGCCCGTACACTAATTTTGTGTTTTGCTCTTGCCCTCTCCCCTCCGGGCCACTCCACTCCTGAGTGATTTTCTTACCCCATACTCCATCCATTGTTGCGAATCGAGTAGTGCTACCCACCGGGGGAAAAAAGAAGTGTCCGTAAGGAGACTCCCTGTGCTCAAACTCCAAGCCATCCCTCGCTTGGCTTATCTCTCCTTCTCCATGGGGAGAGTACTTGAGGGTACCCTAAGGAGAAAGAGGGGGTGATGAGATAACGGGCTTCGGGGGTTCGCTTTGCCCCAGACCACATGGGGTTCCCCATGAGGTCAGACCACGTCGCATGAGCGAAAATACTGGCCACTCTCCCTTTCACGTGTGTCAACAACAGAGTACAGAGACAATGGTACTCAGGACGTACATCAGGGCCTTGGCCGGGTCGGGCCTGGCCCCAGACACTATTGCTACAGCTATTGCGATGGTCTTCACAAGCCAGATCGATAGCTTGCCGTTCACATGTGAAGGGGGGAGGGTCCTTATCGCAAGTCCGTCATCCGTGGCTTTGCGGCTTCATGTACCCGTGCCACGTCCACGGTCCGCCCTGGAGCGAGGCAGCTGATACCTAGCTACATTGGTTCTCTACGAGCGCTATCACGCACTCCCGATCAGCCTCGGCTTCGGCTCCCCCGGTCGCTGCATCGGCATGTTGCACATCGCACGTCAACCTCCCAGACACCCTTGGAAATGGGCACACTGATTGTCACGATCGTCCACGTCCCTGATCGTCGCCGTCACCTGATAGCCGTCTCCGCCGAGCTAGTCAGATCTGCTGAACAGGGCCATCTGGAGTCGTCGACCGGGCCGGTCAATCCGATCATCTCAAAATGTGCCCGACGAGGTGGTTCCATACCACACGTACCTCCCTACTACATACAGTAGGGGTACAAACACCATCTGGAGGGGCACCACGCTAAATCCAATCATTCAGACTAACGGAGAACCTGCCGTGAAGGATCAAATGGAATGACGGCATCTCGAACCCAGCTAGAACAGTCTGCTGCAGGTACCGGGCCTGGGCTCACACTCACCGAAGCCCCCGTCCCAGCATCAGCCCATCCCAACCCCAGCCTTATGGAGCAATGGGGAGGGAAAGAGAAGGCAGGTGGTTCGGGTGAAGTCGGAGCACGTCCAGCTGGAGGGGCATTGTGCCATTCTCCATTCCTTTTTTTAAAATTTTCTTCTCGTTGGGGAAAAAGGCCCCAAAAGGCGTTCCAGCGCCGCGGTGCGGGGCTTAGTGTGGCTTTGGCTGACTCCACGATGATATAGGAGGCGGTCGTTCGGTCAAATTGTGACAACCCTAGCCACTCCAACCTGGTCCAGTCATACTAAATGTAGTCCTACCTTTTTTAGGGTAGGCAACTATCCCGGGCGATTCCACGGATCGCGATACCATTGTAGATCGCGCAACTACATCCCCGAGCGACGCGATCCCCAAGAAAAATTTTCCTTCGGAGGAAGTACTGTACGGAGTAACGAGGACTAACGAGAACCAGAAAAGGGGGCCACCGGTGTGTTGGGCTACGGGTTACTTCCGCTCGATTCCCGCTCGAAAATTTTCGGACACTTGCCCTCCGGCCCCCCAGCCAGCGCTTCCCGTGTCTGGAGCCGCGGGCCCGACACAACTCGGCCAGCGACTCGGCATTGCCGTGCCGACTCGGGTTCTTGCGACTTCGCCAGTACCTGTTCTGGTTTGCGTGCTCGTGAACGCGGCTCTCCTTGGTTACCGTGTTATTTTTTTTCTCTTTGACTCCTCCCCCACACTTCATCCTTTGGTTGTTCGGAAGTTGTCCCGCCGAGAATACACCACCATCGAAATTCTTCCGAGGCTTGGATGTTTGGCCACATCGGCGGTTTTGCCCCTGGTGAAATTTTGGAGCCGTGTTGGAGTCCTCACTCTTACAGAAAAAAAAAAAGAAAAAACCTGTTAGCTAAGGGCTTAGGTGTCCCCTAAACAAGCCCCAGACAAAGGCACGCCCGTTCGCCTACACCGTGCTGCCAAGACGGGCATTTTTTGCCCCATGGCCCCCCCTTTCCCCCCTCCCCCCCCCCCTCCTGGCATGCCCGTCCAGCTCCCCCACCCGGAAAACCGCGGCCTCGGTGGTCCGACGGGCGTGGTCCGGCATTGTGGTCTTTTACTCATATCCGACTTGCGGAGGTTTCCCTGTTCAGCACTGCCATTCTCCGCGTGGAGCAGTGAGCGGTGAACGGAGGCTCGCCGGGTTCAGTTGAGTCGGCGTCTTTAGGTAAGGCACGAAGTCGCCGTCGTACAATAACTAGAGGCCAAAGTGTGGAGATGAGATGTTTGTTTTGTTTGACGCCATCCCATAGCCAACGCCTCCCGATTGAGTCCATCAGTCCATTATCGCACCGTGCAGTCTAATGTCGAGATGCACAATATTTTCTTATTCAATCCCATGATTTTATATTCACTTATTCACTAAACGCTCTTCCCTCTATCTGATCCCCTACGGCCGTTGCTCGCAATGGTCTATACATAGCTAGTTACTAACTATCTTCGGGTACCTGGTGCGTCAGGCATCACACACCGGAATAATAGCCGTCCGCTTAAAGCGGAATGGCATTCTGCCAGCTGCCTCCGCCTCCGCCTCGAAACTGAGCGGAGAACCAGCACACTGCGAACAGCTATTGCCCCCTATAGCCTGTGTACCTTGGCCAGATTTCTCGTCCAGAGCTTCTCTAGACTCCATTGGCACCCGCTATCCTTTTGACTGCCCTCCCACCGGGCCACTTGAACCATGGCCCCTCCGCGTCAACGCCACGCCGCAATCGTGGACGACTCGAGATCCGAAGCTTCCAGCGGCACACGAGAGTACAAGAGCGCTGCCACCAAGCGCAAAGCGGCGGCGAACAAGGATAAGGCGCCTGTGACCAGTGCGCCGGTCAATGCTGAGGTCGTGGATGAACAACCCAGGGTACGTACCATGCAGAGCTTTAGGGAGCAGGGAATCGACGTCAGTCGAACTTACCGCCTCCTGCCCCAAGCGTGTTTCCTGTGCCTGTTTTTGTACCTCGTGGAGGACAATCCAAGAACCAACCGCCAGTCACCTAACACAATCTCATCAACAGGTCCCCTGGTCCGACCTCCCCCTCGAAATCCTCCACGCCTACCGCCACACCCACAAACTCCCCACACCAAGCGCCTACTCGAAAGACTACTCCCGCATGATCCTCTCGCAGGGCATCGGCCTGCGCTCCCCAACCGCACTATCTGCCCGGCGTGCCCAATCCTCGAACAAAGATAAATCAAATGCCTCCCGCGACGACACCTCCAGTGACGACGCCCCACTGCACAAAATTACCGGACAAGACCGCGTAAGCAAGGATCAACTGGCGCTCGTCGTTCGCAAGCACTTTAACAGCTCCGGCATGTCGGAGCAGGAGAGCATCGCCCGCTTCCTGTATAGTGTTCGCGAAGAACGGCGAGGTCGTCAATTTCGATTGCGGTTTCAGCCGTAGGCTTGCACTGCTCCTGCTCCTGCTCCTTCTTCTGCGCTGTGGCATGCGATGTGATGCAAGGCAACGCAAGGCCAGGCAAAAGCAACACTCAGGCTCGGGTTGGGCTCGAGCTCGAACTCAGATACCAAAACTGCGGGCTTTGCGCTCAGGCTCGAGTCGTGCGTGGCTTGGGCGTGTCTGAAATCCTGAGCTCGGTGTTCATACCTTCCCCGTGAGATAAGATTTCATCGGGGACTAGAGTGTGGAGGGGTGATTTGTCATGGTCTTGGACTTGCGTTTGCGAGGCCTGCGCGTCGTGCTGGGGTGGGCTATGGTTGTTTTTGTGGTTTTTGGACCGTCTTGCGTGGCTTTGTGATACCCATTGGCGTTTGGTTGGGCTTGTTTATTGTTTTCCATCTACTGTATAGATCCGTTGGGCTAGTGATCTTCTCGAATAATTATATTGTTGCTTATGCTTGATCGGAGTATTTGGTGCTACTTCGCTGTGTTATGGGCGTTTAAAAATATAGATATCCTCTCACCTAGTCTATTCTTACTATCCACAAATTCATACGCTACTACAACGCATTGTATTTTGATGGTCCTGAGATCTCACATACACTAGTGTAAGATTTGAGGGCACATTAATTTAGTAAACTAGCCAATTCGGTGATGTTATCTTTCCCCGGGTCGCTGGTTTGGTGGTTTGGGATGAGCATTCTTTTCATGTGCCGGCTTTTATTCTCCATGTTCCGCGGTGGTATAAAATCGTCCGTATATGGTCCTCGAAGATCGAAATGTTCGTTTGTTACTCAAACGTTTCCGACCGGCATTTTGGATTTGATCTACAATCTTGCAGGAGAACGCCAGCAAGAATCCGGATAATACATTGCTGGTTGACAGAACGAATCATGCTATTATAAGGTATGTGGAAGCAAGTTTAACTCAAGACCATCTGAAAAATGTATAATATCTCATGACAAGACCAATTTATCAGCCTAATTCAAGGTGCAAGATCGACGGCAGTTGTAAGTAGCATGGAGTGCTTGACTGGGGTAGATAGATCTGTGCAAACAGAACAAACTCACCGCCCTTGATCCTCTGCGGGCCGGAGAACTCCCTCAAACTGCGACCTCTTGTGCCGGCTGCAACCCTCGTTCGATTGTTCTTTCATTCATCAGAATGAGAACACCATACTCATCGCGACCTTAGAACAGCAACTCATCTCAAAATCCCTCGTTGAACCGGAACAACAGCCCGCCGATTTTCTCTCCCACCCCACCTCCGCCTCCGCCCACCAACGCCATGGAGCGCCTCTCTTTGAACGAAAACCCTCCCAATGCGCCGCAGCAGCGCCAGCCGCAGCAGCAGAATACCCTGGGGCCTGCCAGCCAACCCACCTCGGGCCCGCCCCAACTTCCACCCCAGATGTTCACAACTGCCGCCCAATTGCTGGATTTGACTGACAGTATGTGAACTCCGACGGCACATTCTGGTACTTGACTGACGCGCAAATAATAGAGAAGCTCGTGCTTGTGCTGCGCGATGGAAGGAAACTCATCGGTGTGCTCCGAAGCTGGGATCAATTCGGTAAGGGCGTTGCAGGATTCAGTCGTCCATGACTCTACGGCTAATACTTGCCACCATTGGCACGAACCAAAAGCAAACCTTGTCCTGCAAGATACCGTTGAGCGTATCTATGCCGGTAAACTATATGCTGACGTTCCCCGTGGCATCTTCCTTGTGCGTGGTGAGAACGTGCTCTTGCTGGGCGAAGTGGTAAGTATTGTCAGATCCATATATGCGACGCAATGGCCGACGATACTAATCTCGTATCCTCGCGACGAACAGGACCTTGACCGCGAGGACGAAATTCCCACTAGCGTGACCAAGGCTCCGTTCGAAGAAGTCTTCGAGCTCAAGAAGAAGGAGGACAGCCAACGCAAGGCCGGCGACAAGAAGAGACACCGCGAGCTTTCGGCCCTTGGATTCGAGCCGGAGCATAGCGGTGAGATACTCTTCTAGGCACATCTTTTTGCTTTCCCGGCGCAGCCTTCCTTAATCACCCTCGAAGTCCCGATTTCCACTGCGCCGCACATATAATCCATTGAGTGGTCTCCATGACAGGGTGACCCGGCTATAATGGAACAAGGCTATTCATTTGCTATCTGCTTAATTTGTTATGGCAGATAACCGGGCATTATTTCTTCGCCCGTACACGCCTATTCCCGTTTGCAGATGGCATGAGAGAGTTTGGGGATATCGCCCATTTGATATGGGTTTATGCGAAGGGCATGTCATGCTCACCAGGCCGCATTCGAGGTGAAAAGCCCGGCTTGGTACATTTGAATTTGCCTTCATCCTGTGTCCCGCACCGCCCCTTTTGCCGTCGAGTTGTGTGGGTTGTCCGTTGATGGGACAATACTGCCATCCCTCGGGCTCCGTTTTAGTTCCAGCCCATAGTGAGATCTAACGAATTGATGGCTCTGAATGCTCAGAATGAATACTCGGAAAGTAGAATTTGAGCGAAGAGTAGCTCGTCATCCGCATAAGCTACACTACCTTAGGGTAATGGATAGATGGCTGTCTAACTGCGCTAGAATGCATAGTCAATTGTATGGTGATTAACTCCAAGTCAAACACTTCAAGTGCTCTATTCACGAAGAAGTCATTGATATCAAAATGGGAGAGTCACATATCATTCGTTGCTGTATGTGCCAAACGGTGAAATCGCATATACCTCATGCGCATCGGCTCTATTACTGTAAATCTTCTATTTATCTATATTCGGATATTTCATCAACATTCTTAACCCTACCTCAGCAATTATTATTTCTTCAAGAAAGTCAAGGCTGCAAGACACAGCGCATCCACTCCAACCCTCATAGTCGGTTGAATGACAGGCGCGAAAAGCGCCGAGTGGTTTCCTGGGACCTCCTCCGTGCGAGATTCCGCTTGTGCCTTGTCCCAAATTCCGTGGTCGATACCTCCAAGAAGCCAGAAGCAGCTCGGAATGCCTCGACAGGTCGCCAGAGTAGAAAAATCCTCGGCGATATTCGTTCGTGGTGTATCACCATCAAAGTCCTCAAAGTGAGTCGCGAATGTCGCGGCAACTAGAGAGGCAGCATCATTATCATTCACAGTAGGCGGGAAACGTCTGGTTGGTGTGAAAACAGGTGGCTTGGGCGAACCACTCGCCGCGCATTCGGCTTCCACGATGCGCTTGATTCCAGCAATAATCTGTTCCCGAACCTCTAACTTCACAGATCGGAAGTCCACGCCGATCTCGGCCCTGTCAGAGATGATGTTTTCGGCCTGTCCGGCATGGAGGCTCCCCACGGTTAAGACAGCAAGGTCGTTGGGGTTAATCTCTCTGCTCACAACACTCTGCAACCGAACGACAATATGGGCAGCTAGAAGCACTGGATCGACCGTCTGATGGGGTTGGGAGCCATGACCACCACGGCCAAAGACCGTGATCTTCATACTATCACATGCAGCCATGATAGCTCCAGGACGCGAGCCAATGCTGCCGGCCTTCATTCTCACGACATGCTGGCCGAGGACAAAATCCGGAACTGGGATCTTAGAGTAAAGTCCATCGTCCACCATTGCCTGTGCACCTCCCCCACGCTCTTCATCCGGCTGGAAGAGGATGATCAAAGTCCCACACCATGCATCTTGCACTTTGATTAGAGTCTCTGCGGCTGCCAGAAGACATGTGATGTGCATATCATGACCACACGCATGCATGACAGGCTTCTCATTGCCTTCTGCGTCGCTCATAGTAATGGAACTGGCGTAAGGAAGCCCGGTCAGCTCTTTCACTGGCAGTGCGTCCATGTCTGCTCGTAGAAGAACAGTGTTGCCTTCGCCATTTCGAATTACGCCAGCGAGGCCGTAACCTCCGATTTCCGAATGGATTTCAGAGACTCCCAGCCCGGCCAGGTGCGCTGCAAGCTTTTCCGATGTCGATTTCTCTTGTCGAGACAGCTCTGGGTGCGCATGAAAGTACTTGTAGAGGTCTTCGTAGGGACCCAAGTGCAACGGCGAGGCTTTGAGAAGGTCGGACAAGGCTGGCTGTGTCATTGTGATTGCTGAAATGATCGAATGTGAGTAGATGCAGAGTTGATAGAAGGTGAGTAGATTCTGAAGAGCTGTATGAAGTTTCCCGTGAGTCAAGATGCGGAGGACACGAGGTATGAATCATCCTCGACGACCACCACTTGTCCATTGGAGTAGTACGTGGTCCGGGACTACCTTAGGGTAGACTAGTGTAGTTGGGGTAGGGCAGAGGGCAGCTTATCGATAAGGCGCCAAGAAAAATCCAAGTCGCCTGGAAAAAAGATTTGCTTGGGCTTCTCCCATCACCGCCAGAACAGCCTCCCCCGCACGCTTTTTTTCTCCTTCTCCCCCTCGTCGTCCGCAGTCACCATGGCGACTCTGGCGGAGAAGCTCGAGAAGATCAAATCTCCTAAGCTGCAGAACCAGCACCATGTGAGTTGCGCCCGTCCGATCAAAATCAATTGCCAGGCACGATCGCTAACTATTTCCATGCAGACCGCTGTGGTGCTCTCTGCAGTGGAGGACACTCTTCGTGACCAAAAGGCCGACTTTTCCGCGACCGCATATTTCGCTGCGCTGCTTGCACTGCTGTCGCAGTCGCTGACCGCCGAGCAAGGAATTGTGAACAAGGATCTCGCGACATCCGTTGTCTACCTGCTCGATATCACCACTTCCTATGTCCCCGAACCCATCCTCCGTTCGAAGTTTTCCCAGATCCTCACAAGTCTCGCTCCTGCGCTCTCTCTTCCCGAAGTCGAAGCTCCCCTCCTGCGCCCGTCAATTGGTTGTCTCGAGTCACTGCTCATTGCCCAAGATGCCGCCGCATGGAACCTGCCTCACACTGCAGTTGGTCCGCGCCGCGCGACTGCCGGTCTGCTGAGCCTGTCGGTGGACCACCGTCCGAAGGTGCGGAAGCGTGCCCAGGAGGCGTTGATCAAGGTTCTCAAAGCACCCCCTCCGAGCCCCTCTCTGGACCACCCCGGCGCGGATATGTGCGCCGAGTCTGCGATGAAGACACTGAGCGACAGCATCACGGCTGCTTCCAGGCAGAAAAAGGGCCGTCGTGACGCCAATCACCAAGATAACCATGAGCCTTTGATTATCCACTCACTGCAACTGGTGAAGACAATTGCTTCCGCCTCGGGCGGCTGGCCTAGCAAGAAGATCGAGTCGCTCTGTGAACTCCTGATGAATGCATCGCGCTCCAGCAATGAGTATATTACTATGGGCGCTTTTGAGGTGTTCGAGGTTATCTTCGAGGGTATGGCGGACGAGTTCTCATCCTCCAAGCTGCCCCGTCTTTTGGATGCTATCTCCGAGCTGAAACCTGCACAGAATGACTCGCAGCTTCTTCCTCCTTGGATCGCGGTTCTGTCTCGCGGTTACGATGTGTCTGCGCAAATAAACCCCGAGGACACCTTCGAGAAACTGCCAGACCTTTTCCAGCTTATCTCTGGATTCTTGGCTTCGCCCTCGCACAACATCCGCATCTCGGCCTCCGAGTGCTTGATCTCCTTCCTGCACAACTGCATTCCCAGCAGCGTTATCATTGAGCCGTCTGTTTACGATGAGAAGACTCTTGAGAAGCTCGCTCGCGCGACTTCCGATTTGCTCTCCGTCAAGTACCAGGCTGCCTGGGTGGAGGTGTTCAATGTCTGCTCTGCCATGTTCGATTGCTACAAGTGGCAATCTAGCCCATTCCTCGTTGACATTGTCTCGACCATTGGTGAACTGCGCAGCAACGAGTCTTTTCATGGCAAGAAGGAAGCCGACAGCGTCCTTGGAAGCGCCATTGAGGCGATGGGCCCCGAGGCTGTCCTTGAGATCTTGCCATTGAACATTACTGAGCAGAAGAAGGGCCAAACTGGTCGTGTTTGGATGCTCCCCATTCTTCGGGATAGTGTCACGAACACGAACCTGCGCCACTTCCGCTCCGAGATGGTGCCCCTGAGCGAGGCCCTCTACCAGAAGATCGTTGATTTTGGTGCCGCCGAAAAGTCTGTCGAGGTCAAGATCTTCGAAACCCTGGTCCAGCAAACCTGGGGTATTCTCCCGGGCTACTGCGAGCTGCCACTTGACCTGGTTGAGTCCTTTGACCAAGGCTTCGCTGAATTGCTGTCCAACGTTCTCTACAAACAGACCGAATTGCGCGTTGATATTTGCCGCGCTCTGCAGAACCTGGTCGAGTCTAACCAGGCCATTCTGTCTGTTGAAGCCGAACAGGACGACTTGATCCTGCAGCGCCGTATCACAAAGGCGACCGCTGCTCAAAATATTGCGCATCTCTCCGGATTTGCCAGCAACCTTTTGGCGGTTCTATTCAACGTTTACAGCCAGACCCTCCCCCACCACCGCGGGTATATCCTACAGTGCATCAATGCCTATCTGAGCATCACTCCCGAGCAGGTAAGCTCTTTATATCGGACCCACGTCGTAATTGAACGATTGCCTAATTTAATTCCTATTTAGGAACTCAACGAGACTTTCACTCGGGTTATCACGATGCTCGAGTCATCTCTGGCCGAGGAGCAGAAGGATGCCCCCGCTCCTCAGGGCTCATCTGCTAAGATGCCGCCCACTTCTCACACCCTGATTGACCTGGTCATTGCCATGTCTATCTACTTGCCCCGTTCCAGCTTCGCCGGGTTATTCGCCATGGCTGCGGCTGTCCTCAACGGCCCATCCCCCAACCCGGATCAGCAGCTCATTAAGAAGGCCTATAAGCTCATTCCTCGCCTGGCTTCAACTGAGACTGGTAGCGAGGCGCTCAAAGAACGTAGCGGCGAGCTCCAGGCACTCTTCATTGCCACTACCGACAAGACCCCCGCGTCTGGCCGACGAGACCGCATGCTCGCCATTCACGAGATCATCACACACCTTCCTTCTTCTGAACTGCATTTCATTCCGGCTATTCTCTCAGAGGTTGTGCTTGGCTGCAAGGAAAGTAACGAGAAGGCCCGCACCGCCGCATTCGACCTGCTCATTCACCTTGCCAACCGCACTATTGACACCGAGCGCAACCCCCCTGGTACCATGATTCGCAACTCGCTGGTGCCTCACATGCCCGACGACTCCCCCGATGCCCCGGCCACCATTGAAGAATTCTTCACCATGGTGTCTGCCGGTCTGGCTGGCTCCTCTCCTCACATGGTCGCTGCCTCTGTTACTGCCCTTTCTCGCCTCTTTTTCGAATACCAAAATAAATTGCAACCCGAGGTTCTTGGTGATCTGGTCCAGACTGTCGAGCTTTTCCTTACAAGCAACAACCGTGAGATTGTTCGCTCTGTTCTGGGATTCGTCAAAGTTGCCGTCGTCATTCTTCCCGATGAGGCTTTGCGTCCTCGTCTTTCGGCACTTGTGCCCAACCTCATGGCTTGGAACAAGGAGCACAAGGGTCGTCTCCGCAGTAAGGTTAAGGGTATCATTGACCGACTTGTGCGCCGCTTCGGTGCTCCGCTCATGGAAAACCTTGTTGGTGAGGATGACCGCAAGCTTGTCGTGAACATTCGCAAGCAGCGTGAGCGTAGCAAGCGCAAGAAGAAGGAAGGCGCCGCCGATGACGAAGACGAGGGCGAGGAGAAGGCGGCTGATCAGCAATCTGGCAATGCCTTCGACAAGGCTGTCTATGGCTCGGACTTCTCCGATTCTGATGATGGCTCCGATGACGATGGTAGCGAGGTCGACATCGACGAGGGTCTCGCGCGCATCAAGGGTGCTGGTGGCAAGAAGAAGTCTGGCCAGAGCACTCAGTACATTCGCGAGACGTCTCCCGAGGATAATCCGCTGGATCTGCTGGCTCCTGATGCCCTGGCCAACATTTCCACCACTAAGCCCAGCGATCGCTTCCTGAACACTGGCCCTGGCTCCAAGAAGAAGCGCAATGCCAAGTTCGATGCTGATGGTCGCCTGATCCTCGGCGACAACGAAGCTAGCGGCGATGTCGAGATGAGCGGTGCTGGTGAAGGAGCTGGTGGCGTGAACGCCTATCTTGCTGCTGTCAGCGGTCCGGATGCTGTCCGCCGTGGTCAGAAGGGCAAGGTCAAGATGGGCCAGGCTAAGCGTGGCGGTGACGATATGGACCTGGACGAGGATGATGCTGCTGCTCTGAGCGACACCATTCGTTCCAAGGGTCAGGGTCCTCCTGCTCGCCGAGGCCTGGGTGCCCCCAAGACACCCGGCGCCCCCAGTGGAGGTCGCATTGATAAGCGTCGGAGCCCCGGTAAGGGTGGCCGGGGTGGTCCTCGCGGAGGTGGCGGCCGTGGTGGCCGTGGCGGCCGGGGTGGAAACCCTGGACGTGGCAGACGCTAAATGTGTATTCACGCCTTTTATTGTTATTTTTGCGGATTGATGAGGATTGGAAATGATGTTAAGGTCAGCATAGGTATGAGGAGTCTGTCCGGATTACTGAATTGAACAACAGTTGAACCTGCATTGTTTCTTCGTCACCTCTTTAATCCCTCATGTCGTGCTTGGTTTTAGACGTTCAGTTCATAATACCCCCTCGATGACGACGCCGTATGGGGTTCGACTCGGGTTCACAGGCCTCTGATATCACGGACCCGTCTTTTTGTCATGATTACGAGTAAAAGTTAGGACATTGCACATAGAAATTTGATTCCGCTATGAATTTGATCTTTTTTCCCTTTGTATGAAGTATTCTCTCTCAAGTCCCATACGTAACCATGGTGCCTGAAGGATGTATAGAAATTAAACCGATACTTAGGGTCATACTTGGCCTTCAACGCCCTCAACTTCTCCAAATGCCACGACTCAAATCAATACCAATTCTCCAGGTTCTCATTGCCAGCAGCGTAGTTGACATAAGAGTGCATCTCGTTCTGCCCACTTGCTTCAAACAACATCGACCATAACGACTCCAAGCTTCAAGGCCTCGAACTCTCGCTCTTTATCCGTTGGCTCAAATATCACACCATCGGAGCAACCAGTAAGTTTGCCTCACGATGTGGGGATGCTGTCGATGTAGAAGGAATAGCCTGTAACCCCTGGAAAGAATACCCTTCGAATAGGAAGAGAGAATTGCATAATGCGGAATTCTCATGTGTCACGCTCGAAAAGTGATCGAATCGAGGCAGGATTATACTCCTGCAGATCCACTGGCAGTGTTGGATAGGCCGACTTTCTGGCAAGGAGGATCGCAAGGAGGATCCATGTTCGAGTTGCTGGTCCACTTGGCGAGGACTTTATGCGCTCCGTAATCTGCCATTGTCATTCTGGGCCCGATTTTAGTGAAAGAGTCCGTGTATTGGGTTCGACGGCGTCGATGCCTTCGTGCAGAATGAAGAATGTGATGGTGGACTAGACGTTTTGCATCGGTCAGCAGCTATGTACAGACTTGGGATGAAAATGATACTTATGGCGTACGTGATCGGGGTCGAGATCTGGGTGATTGAAGAAGACTGAGTAGTTGGTGAGATCCACCGGCTGAGTTCCGTTCTTCAATTGATGTTCATTGATGGCTTCATAAAGAGCCTCGACTTTGGCATGTGTGAAAATGAAGCCAGCGTATGACCAGAGCTGCACTTTGGGAATAACATAATCTTCGAAATTACGGATGTCACAATGCCAAAATTGTGTACAGCGCCCTTGACGACCCACCACAAGTCGGAGTGTCGGAGTCCTCGTCAACGGTCATCAAACTGCCATTCGCTAGAACCATGTCCATAGAAGGAAATTGATCAGCAACTAAGCCCCCACTGCAACAGATGAAATCAGACTCAATCTGTCGTTTTTCCTGGGAGAGCATCCGATGCTACCTATTGAAACGGATGTTGGTATTGACTGGGATGAGCTTTATGAGATTGTGGAAGAATGCCAGCGCCTTCAAAACTTGAAAAGTTGATGGGGTCTTTTTTTGCTTCTATTTGTTGCTTCGTTTTTAATCCTTTCTACTACAAGAGTTGGCTACAGATAGCCAAAGAAAACATTAAGCCTACATTATGTGAGTCATTTGCTACTCAGCTACTTTGCTGCAATTCCATGTCGCTTATTGTGCTCAGTTAAGGCTAATTGTCAGGCCAAGCCCGTCCACCTCGATGAGGTCATTTCGATCGACATGCGACAATACTATTATAATAAACACCCGATCAAATGGTGAACATTATTACATCCCAACTCCTTTTGAGATGTCATTTCTCAGGCACGAAGCAAGTAACTACTAAAATTGATTCGAATAGAAATTCTGAGATGATCTATACGGATATCATCCATGAACGTTGCGATTAAACAAAACTAGAAGACCCGTCATCCTATATGCACCGGTCGCGCTCTACTTGGGATGAATACCGATTCATCCAAAATGTAGGATAAGGTATTGTTAAACTGCATAATCACCCAGAGTTGGCGAAAGTGCTTTTGAGTAAGGATGTCGGGTCGTATTCGTGCGCCATTCGTACAACTTAGATGGGACGATCCCGCTAGTTTCAGAAACTCCCGCACTTTTTTGGTCTCTATCCTCCTCCAATCGAATATCTTTAGCCTCTAAGGTAGTACTAGTACCTACCGTGACACCCGAAGATGTCGGGCTCACCAATATATTCAAAGGGCCAGAAGCAACACATGGTTGCAAGAATCTAAAGTAGTGAGTGCCCTTATGGTCGCATACCCCATGCCACAATTAGCACGAGAACATTCAGCTCTGCATCGCGTCCCCTTGGCGTACTGGCATCGATACCCGTAATCGAGGCTGAGCTGCAATACTTACAATGTCCAAGAACTCCTGGTAGCACATGGTCATACCTGAGTGGAAAGGATGTTGCTTTTAATCTAAGTTAAGACTTCACACTTGTCCCTTCAAAAAGGGATTTACTACCGAGCAATCATTCTCGGTTAAAGGGATTAATTTAATGTTCAACAGACGCTGAAATCAATATCACGGTAGCACTGTACTAAGAAGCATGCACATCATATAAATTTGATGCATAAAGGTAGCCCGAAGCCCCAACAAATACCCTATTTCAAGCAGTCTTCAGACGAACCCAAACAAAATAGCAAAAATGGCGACCTACAAGAGCTTCTTAATTTTCTTCTTGGGGCTACTCTTATTCGCAGTCAATGTGATCGCAGCAAGAATAAGTTATGTCGCAAGATACCGAGAAGGCCCAGGAGGGACACCAGAACGAATTGAGCTCCGATCAACCATCCCAGATGGACAAGAGGACAAAGTTTTAAAGAGAACAGCAACCTGGTCCCGTGGACAATACAGGGCTTATTATAATCGGCACCAAGTTCTCACTGTGGAGGCAGTCCAGGAACAGAGGAATAAACGCCGAGCCGGTCAAGTGATTGAAGACATGCAGCGCTTGATTGAACAGTATACCCATTGAGCTGTGAGTCTTTCTATTACCCAAGAGCACGGATATCAAATGCTGATTTCCCCAAATAGAAGACGAGTCTCTCGGATCTGGTTTTTGGCTATATTCTATAGCGAAAAGTCTTTTGTTCTCTTTGAGAAAAATTGATCAAATATTGAAAGATTATTGTGTTGAGAGCTCCAAAGCATGAGTATTATGTTGCCTCGGTCTTGGTGCTCCCTAAACTATTGATCAAGAACAAAAGAGAGAAAGTGAAGATACCTGCAACCGTGATGAGAGAATTAAAACAACTCCCTGGAGGAACTGCACCAAGCTTCAAAGATTTGTGTTGCCATGAAACTTCTAAGTGCTAGTTTCAGGTAATTTAAGAACATCCTCTAGTCAATACTTTGTGCTCCTAGTGTCTTGATCTAAGCTTCTACGCTTTAATCAAACTACTGCACCTTAACTCAACCTGCCGCATCTTGATTTAACCACGCGGCTTACATAGATCAACCGATTCAACGCATCAAAAAGCCGGACCCCAAATACGAAGTATCAACTAAACACTCCTCACCGTAAAACCCAACCTCAAAGCTCAAACTCCTCCGGCCACCCATAAAAGCCTCTTTATCCAAAAATTCCGTCTCAAAAGCCTTGACCTCAAAATCGACCCCTAGATCCCGCAAAATCTCCCCCCGCATCAACTTAAAAGTCCTGACACTCTGCGTAAACAGCGTTAAAATAAGACCAGGCATAGTCGTCATCCGAGACTTTTTCGATCCAACCTGGCTACCGATAATCAATGAGCCGGGCTTATCGGCGAGTAACTTCACGACGGCCTTTGAGGCCTCGATTTGTTTGGTCCAGCTCCATAGGTGGAAAAAGTTGCTTGCGTGGATGATATCCAGTTTACCGGTTAACTCCTTTGACACGATAGAGTCGGTGTCGAAGAGGTTGGATACGAGGAATTTGGCATTGATCTTTTCCTTGTCGAGGAAGAGGTCGTAGCCTAGATTGATGAAGTCTTCGACTAGGTCTACGCCGAAGACGTTTTGTGAAAAGGCGCCATCGGAGACCTATGTAGTGTTGTTTTCTGAGAAAAGTGTGCGTACTCATTCGAGTCGGATCTTACCAGTAATCGCACTTCTTGTGCGAAGCAGCAACCAAGGTCCAGGAATTGGTAGCCGTTCTTGACTCGTTCGAGAATTTCGGCGTATGCAGGGCACAAATGAAGGTCGAGATCAAGGGTGCCTTTGGTGAGATTTCTAGGATGAGTGCAGAGTTGAGACCGGTGTGGTGGATTCCTTACCACTTTGAATGCACGGTCTCTCTGTATTCGAGTGACGGACATCAACATAGCTTATTCAGATAGTGAAATGAGTGAAAGCCTACCAAATCATTGACATGTTAACGACTTTATCGGCAGGAACCTCACTCCAATTTTCCAGCAAGGACTTCGCAGGTTCACGGATCTCAGTGAGAACGGGGCGGCTCAGTGGCATTGTTATCTCTATGGGCGACCCCTCGGTCCATCGTTGCTCTGCGCCATGTCTTCTTCTGGGTGATTGAGTGAGCTGTGATCAAATTTCGAAGCGAGATTATTAGGACGAATTGTTTCTGAGTAATTGGCAGCCGTGCAGGGCACAATAGCTTTATCAGAAATGGCTACCGCAGACCACCCTCGCGGGCCATGGGGCTAGAAAAGCTTGTACATTGGGGGCTGCAGCGCCAAGCGAGCTTATTCTTCACAGGTAACCCCAGGAAACGTATTCCAATTGGCTTGGAAAGCAGCCTCGTGTACATTATGTGCCTATTCTAGTGATACATTTGCTGCCATCAAACCGGTTCAGCCCCCGCGTCGACGTCGTCGTGTACTACCCCGTGCCGGCGGGGCATAGTCAGGCTCGGAGTCATCTTTGCTGTCATCTTCCGAGTCTGATGGGATGGAGAGTGGCGGTGACAATTCTCCTGGGGTGTCATCCGCAGCACTAGGGTCTTGGCCATTATCTTGCTCTTCGTGGTCATGCTCAACAATCAAGCCACCATCCCCATCGTCGTCCCCTTCACCGGGTAACAAGAAGCCACCGCCGTGATCGACAGGATCGTGGGAAGCTTCTCTGAAATGATTTACCTCAGGTTGCTCGGTAGGCTCACTTTGCTGTCCGGTTTTCTTCCTTCGGACCGCAAAGGGGTTGTGCGTTTCTTTTTCGCGGTCTGCAAAGGGGTCACCACCACCGTACTCTTCGCGAACGCGCTCGTTGATTCGTAGTCCGAAGAGGAACTTGCGCCAAGTCTGCAAAATGCGCTTTTCAGCCTTGAGCTCCTCACGCTTGCGTTTCTCAGCCGCGTCGACTCGCCAGGCATCTTTGAGCAGATCCTCGTTCTCAGCCGCCACGACAACGCCCTGGATGACAGGGACAGCCATCTTGGAGCCAAATTCGAATCCGGTGACGGCTTCGGCATAGTCAATTCCTAGCTTCTTGCACAGTCGGACAGTACCAGGATAGGGGACATGGCTAGCACCGCGAGGCACCATGCTCGGCACGAAACAATCAATGTTCCCATAATTGTTCTTGGGAATCTTGCCGTCTTGAATAGGCGGTGGGATGATGTACTCCGTCTGGCTTCGGGAGTAGAGACCCTGCATCGGTTTTTCGCCTGTTTCACGTTGCATTTCATCTACCTCGCGCTTGCGCATCAGAGTCACCGCTCGAATAGGCACCTTTTTCAATGGGACTACTCCAGCTCGAATCTGTCGCCCTTCTTTGTGCCAACTTTCTGCTGACATGCATTTGACCACATCTGCTCGCTTGAACACCGGTTCTTCTTTCGCGCGGGCACCTTTTCCGGCGATGAAGGTGCGAACAGACTCTGCGCCAGGCTTCAGAGCCTCTTCACGACGCAGAAAACGTTCCAGTACGAACTCGGTCGATGTGCGCAGGCTTTGTAAGGTATCGCCCGTTTGTGTACTTTTCTTCTTCTCGGGTTGCTTTCGCTGAAGATCTTTTGCATCCTCAATTTCATCGACCTTGGTTCGTTTCTCTGGCCGTCTTTCATACCCACGCATGACGTTACGGAACCAATCGTATTCGAAATATTGGCCCCGGAGACCTGGTATGGGAACCTTTTGTACTGGCATTCTGAGGCCCTTTGTTTTTCCGGGCCACGTCCGCCGTCGCAGGTACCGAGTAGTAACATCTTTCGCAGTGCCGTCGGCCGAGTGTGCAATCACGTAGCATATCACCTGTTTGGCGCGTTCCGCTTTGGCCCCGCGTGGCTCGAATGCCTCCTGCTGCTCCGCACTAAGGGCGAGGGGTTTCGAGAGCACTAAAGGGTCGACGGAGATGATTTCGTTGGTGGCCGGTGAAGCGACTTCGGTCCAATAGATCGGAAATAAGAGATCCTTGTCATACTGGGCGCCACCTTTTTTCGCCTTGGGTTGATATTCTCCTAGGTCTGAGTCCGGCTCAGACGCTCCACTTTGCGGTTCAACCTCGTTTTCATTTTCATTTTCAGGCTTCGGGTTGGTGGGATCGGACTCTGTCTTTGGCGGCGTGTAGACTTCCGCCTTGGTCCAGCCAAATCCCAGCGGTTGGAGATTAGCCACCAATCGAGCTTCGATTCCCAATGCCCTGACCAAGGCCGTGAAGAGCTGAGCACCAACATCTCGGGAGCCCTGCATCTTCTCGGCTATGGATCTGAACTCTTCCAGGTTGGCGATTCGTTCCCCATGACGCCGTGGATCGTGTTCCTCGTTTCGGAAGTCTGCAGTGATAGCTTCCAAAGAAGGAACCGGGCGATATCCATGCTTTCGTAGACCCGGTGCCGTAATACGAAACTGCTTCTTCCAATAGGCCACCAAGACCTTGAGCAGGACAAGGATGGGGTCCCCGCGACTCATATCGGGCTGCCCGGGTTCCAGACGCTCTGATTCCGGGCCCCAGTCTTCCTTCTTCTTGCCCTTCTTGCCTTTCTTCTTTTTTGTGTGTGGAGGCTCTGGCTTGGGCTCGGGGATCTCCAGTCCCGTCGCTATTCGCCATTTCTTGACCTCCTTGTGAATCCCTTCCGGTAGCTTATGACGTAATATCTCATGGACTTTGGCATCGTTGATCCAGGCATTACGAATGGCGTTGTGGAAGAGCAGGCATTGGACATGCATGCAGTGTGACTGGATGCGAATCTGGCGCTCAATCTTCGATGGACCCTTCTTGCCATCAAGCAGGTCGGTGATGTGGGTCTCGTTCTTGTCGAGCGTCAATTCGAGGTCCTGGATCTCGGGCCCCGCGAGAGTTGGAGTCGTCGTGCTAGTCTTAGTGTCGATGGCGTCTTCCCAGTCGACCTCGTCATCTTCCTCATCGTCATCGTCATCCGACTCTGCGGCAAGCGGTGCCGGTGTATCCTCGTCATCGGGAGCGTCGCTCAGCGAAGAGTCCGAATCCGAGTCGGACTCATCGACGGCGAAAGGCCTCGCCGAGCTCTCGGGCTGGGCCTGGCGCTTGGCCGGGGGCGGGTCCGCGGAGAGCGAGCGCTTGCGGGGGAGGAAAGGCGGCATGCGCAAGTCGGTTCGCTGCTCGAAGCCGCGGGAAAGGTGGACGTGGTGGAGAAGACACGATGAGTGTGGATGGTCGGAGGAAGGAGATGGTTCGCGGCGGCTGCCGAGGCTACTTTTCTTTTGTCCCCGCGAACGTTGGAGTCGCCCTCACACTCTCCTCCACCTCACCCCCTCCTGCCACAAGAGAGACGTGTTTGCTACGTTATCATCATCTACAGCTCTCAATTATAACTTATAATTCCCTATTCACCATGGACGCCGTTAAGCGATTCTTCTCCTCCCCGCGCTTCGCCGTGGCGGGCGCCAGCAACGACTCCCACAAGTTTGGATACAAGCGTACGGCGATGCACCCCCGGACCCCATTCCCATGGCAATCCATGGTGACCTGGAGACCGCGCTCACACCTTCTACAGTCCTCGCATGGTATCACCAGCATTCGCTGCCGGTGACCCCTCTCAATCCGCGAGCGGCGCAGATCAGCCTCCCCTCGCGTGCCTATGATACAGTCCCCTCACCCTCCGGACTGCCCTCGCCCACCCAGACCTCATTGTCGGTGGTGACGCCCCCACCGGTGACTCTCAAGGTGCTCCAGGAGGCACACTCGGTGGGCATCCCTGCCGTCTGGCTGCAGCCAGGGACCTTTGACGACGGAGTGCTCGAGTATGCGCATGCGCACTTCGAAGCGGTGATTGCGGGCGACGACGGACGCGGCGGCGAGGGATGGTGTGTGCTGGTGGATGGCGACGAGGGACTGGAGGCGGCGGGCGTGCAGTGGACCAGCCAGCGCTTGTAGATACTGTCGATAGAGCCCTAAGGTAGGGCATATAAGTTTGTGGGAGATATATTGTTGAGAAGAGGCAGGGGCTGGGAGTGTCTCAGCGTGACTTCACCGTCACGCTAGCGGAGCTTTGTTGTTTAGTTTGATTTCTCCGAGTAATCCTTGCACTTTCCCTCCACCACCCGGGACTCGCTCCCTTTCGTCATTTTTACTTCTCTCATCTCTGCAATATGCCCGACATGCACACCGTTTTCCAGCAATCGGCCTCGCCTCCCAAGGTCGATCTCGCCAGCGCCAACTCCCAGCTCTTCCGAGTCCCCTCCTCCACCTCCGCATCCTCCTCGCTCTACTCGCTCTCCGTCAGTCGCAAACGTCCTCGTCGCGACACGGAGAAGCTGTCCTCCAAGTTCGAATTCGAAGCCTCCTCCGAAGTCGCCAGCGCCTCGCCGCTTATCACCACCGACTTGCGCCAACCAAGCGGCGGTGAAGACTATCTCACCTCCGCCGAATTCGACTATCGTCCGAATCGATACCGCGAGTCCTTCCTGCCGCCGTCACTGAATGGCAGCGTCGACACACTAGTTCCAGAGGGCAACTGCCGCAAACGCAGTCGGCGTGATTCCAACATCGCCTCGCCCACGGCCGATGGCCCAAGTCCAAGCCCAGCCACGCGCGTGGGCTGGGGTCGAACGGTGATCAACGTAGTGGGCAAGGTGCTGGATCTATGCTGGTCTGGCGCATTCCGAGGCTTCTATGCTGGCGGGGGACAGGGCTATGATATGCAAGCCGGCTCGCCGCCACAACCACCGTTCAACCCCGGCTGGCAAGCAAGTACCAGTTCCTCTGTAGAAAAAGACTTTATCTTCCGAACACCCATCCCCGGCCAATATCCCGACGAAGATATCGACCGGAGCTGGGTGGTCGTCCCATCTGAGCCTACCGATCCATTCAATGGTGGCTACGATGGCAGCACCGACAGTCCGTCCGCTTTACGAGCCCGTCGGATTCATCAGGCGTCCAGCCCTCGTCGACGACAAGCAGTCATGCCTCGTATGGCTAAGCGACCAAACCTGTCTGTACGACCATCGACCCCGACCAAAAGTACTGCTCTCCCATCGCCTCGATCACAAAATGGTCCCGGATCAGCCGAAATGCAAAAATACGCTGCACGGATGCGCCGCAAGGAGCGCGAGGAAGACGCCAGTATCCAGCGATTGAATAAGCAGCTTCAAGCAATGATCCGAGAAGGCAAGCAAGCCTTGGGAACTACCGTGGAGGTTGATGACTTGGACATGGATTTCCAGTCGGACTAAGTTGTCTTTTGGACCCGACTCGGCTTGGTTGGTTCGGCCGATGTACTGTTTTATGGTCTTTTTCTTTTCTTTTTCTTTTCTTCTTTTTGGATGTCCCCTCTTTTGGCCTTAGCTTTTTCTCGCACATAATGATTCGATACCCCCGAACGTGCCAGCTGATCCGGCACTGAAGCTGCGAAAACCAACGACTGGCGCTCAACGACTTACGATCTCGGTGTTTTTGCTTTGTACACGGGCTGTCTGGCTGACAGACTGTCCTACAAGTCCCTTCTGTTGGATGTTTCTTTCTGGAGATACGGTCCTGGCAATTGCTCATGGAAAAATGGCCACTTTAATGATAACAAAGTTGACGTGAAACCCCAACTTGAATACGTACACCACATCAAAAGCTAAATCTCTCCAAACACTCGTGCAACAGCACAGGATAGAAAACCCGATCTTCAAGAATGATCTCAAGCTGAACATCACCTCACATCGCCTGAAGTCTAAGGGTGACCAGAACCATGACCGGTAGCGGGAGCACTGCCAGCACCACCAGCACCACCAGCGGCAGGAGCACCACCAGCGGCAGGAGCAGCAGGCTTACCACCGAGAGGGGTAGACAGCATGTGGCTCACCTTACCCAGAATACCACCCTTGAACAGAACATCAGGCAGGGTAGCACCCTGGATCGGCGAGCTGCGAGTTTCGTGCTCGTGCTTATCACGCTTGTTAATCTGAATTATAATCTGATCAGCTATGCACCGATGCAAGAATACATGACAGAATCAACCTACCGGGATAATACCAACACCGTGATGAGAGTTGCCAAACAAACCAGCAAGACCACTCTGCTCGGCCAGTTCCTTCAGGGGGTTAGCGGGGGCAGAGCCGCTAGACGAAGGCGAGGCCGAGGCCGAGGAAGGAGTCTCAGAGGTCTCAGAGGTCTCAGAGGTAGGAGTCGAGCGACGGACCTGGCATGAATTAGCCTGGACTCAAGATTGTGGTTTTATTTGGTTCATACCGGGATCACGCTGTCCGCGACGCTATTGCCAGTCTCGAGACCGGTGTCCATGGCACCGGTGATGGCACCACTGATGCTGCCGAAGTTCTTCTCACTCAGTGCATTCAGGTTCTCGCTGCGGCGGTGGCTCTGGGCCATGGGCTGTTTGCCGAGATGGCAATGTTAGTTGGCGATCTAATCGTACCAGAGGCTCAGTCGCAAAGGCATCTTACCTTGCCGTTGGTCAGAGCCTTCAGAAGGCCGGTGATGCCACCAATGCTGGGGGTGGCGCCCTCGTCCTGTTGTGTGCATGAGCAAGTGCTGTCCTGGTATTCTATGCTGTTGATGACCTACCCGGCGGTGGTTCTGGCCTTCATTCTGGCCCTTATTCTGACCATAGTTCTGCAGCCAGTTCTGGCCCTCGTTTTGGCCTTCGTTCTGGCCCTCATTCTGGCCCTCATTCTGGCCCTCATTCTGGCCCTCATTCTGGCCCTCATTCTGACCCTCATTCTGGCCTTCATTTTGACCCTCATTCTGGCCATAGTTCTGACCCTCATTCTGGCCTTCATTTTGACCCTCATTCTGGCCATAGTTCTGACCCTCGTTTTGACCGTGGTTCTGGCCGTAGTTCTGGCCATAGTTTTGGCCACCGTACAGCGGGAAGCCGTTCACAGAGCGAGTCTGCTTCTGTTCCGGGGTGTTGGCTGGGTGAGCCTGGTCCTGTTCGACTTTAAGCAAACTGCTATGCTTTCCCTCATCTATACCATACTTACTCCGCCGAAGATATCTCCCAGAATCGGGAATTTGCTGAGGTCGCCGGTCAGCGAACGAGGCTCGACACTGCGCTTGGGCACACCTCCCAGCAGCGATCCGATGATGGGGAGGCTGTTAATAATGTGGTGCTGCGGCGGCTGGGGCTTCTTGCCCTTACCATCCTTTCCACCCTTGCCATCCTTACCCTCACCGGCAGGCTTGCCAGCGCTCGCCGGCTTGCCCGCATCAGCAGGAGCCGCGTCGCTACCCTGCTCACCATCCCGCGGGTTCAGCAGCGAGCTAATCAAGTGGTTGACCTCACCGTCGGCGGTGCCAGCACCGATGAAGTTCCCCGTGCCATCCCGGCGCACCATGTCGGTTCCAGCAGCGTCACCATTCTGAGCCGGAGGCATTGGCGCCGCCATAGCGACGGCGGCACAAAGCGTGAGGGCATATGTAGTCTTGACCATTGTGTCGGCGTGGTCGTGAATCGAATTTGCTGGGCGAGTGTCAACGTCGACGAGCGACGGATCGAGATCGGGGCGAGCAAGAAGGGTGGTATAAACGAGAGTCTGTGGAATGCGAGCGAACGAGGGATAACGGAATCTCAACGCGCTTTATACGGATCGCCTGGGTGACATTCTAGGATTACTGGGATGAAGGGGGAAGGGGGTTGTGGAGGGACGGTTGGGGGTGCGCCCTCGCAAGAGGGCGATGGAGATGTCAACATCCTTGCTGTGGAATGTCTGGCGCTTCCGTGCTGTGCAGGAGTCGGTGGCTTGGGGTCATAATGTGCCCGCAGGAATGTCCCGATGCTTGTTTGGTGAAATATCTCCGTCGATCATGGTCACAGGAGGTTATGCAAGGGGGATCGACCTGGATCCTGGGTGACGATGTGCCCAATGTTGGGACTGGCAGTTGCGTCCTCTCGAGAAGCTTCGTCTGTGGCAAGTCTTCTGGAGCGGTGCTACAGTACATGGAAGCTATGCGCGAAAATTCAGGATGGTGGTAGTCGTCTCGACATCGGTTCGTTGCGACAGTTGCCATCCTTTCTGATTGGTGATTTCGATCTATATCAAGGGGTTCGGGCTGCTTCAGCCTTTCATCTCCGCAGCCCTTTCTTTATTAGGCCCATGAGAGCACCAAGCACCTCTTCCTATGGCCTCAGCTTTCTTCCAAAGAAGAGACTCCCTGGACCAGGCATGCTTTCTATCATTGCCGATGCGACACAAAAATTCGTCGCGAATTCGAGTTACAACTTCGGACCGATGGACATCCAAAGCTTGGGGTAGTTTATCCCCAGAGAAACCAATTTCTCCTAATGAAAATCACCGCAGTCTATTACAACACCAAAGGTCCATCCCACATGAGCTGATATTCACCCTCTCGTGTCTCTTATCTGGCGGGCCCATTGCCATTCACTCGAAAGGGAGCATTGTCTATCCCTCGGGAAATACGGAAATGAACACCTCCCCCCAAAACCCTCCAGGAAAACCCATCACGAACACCGATGATCCCTTTTATCTGGGACCACGGGGATCGCCCGAGCTGCCATCATTTACACTGCAGCCTTCTGGCCGCAGAGATGACGTACAACTGCATAGTGGCTGGTCCTTAGGAAGGACCATGCGTTAGCGTAACCAGCGCGCTGGGTGTGCCGCTCGTGGGGATTGCGTGAGCACTGCATCTTCTCTAAATCTTCGGTGCCATGCCTTCTCGCCCCGAGCTACGGAGACGCCAACAGCACATCATGCGCACGGCTCCTTAATTTGCTGGCATGAATGATAGGCCTCGTGCTTGTCAGTAGGTGGGGAGAGGGGTTCGCTTCTACACCGTTTCCCGCTTTGCGGTGGGGACGTTTATAGCTCCGGCCGTCTGGACCATTGTTCACCTCCCACGTAGCCCTATCCCATGCAAGAGAAACTTCCCCACACGTAATTGGATACCGGGTGAGCTGGTAGTGTGTTACAAGCGTGGTAACCTCATCAGGGAGTGGATAACGGTCATGATGCTTTCAGGAAAGCGTCTCAGTATTACCCGGATTTGCGCCCGCCATGTGGATCTTCACGAACGATCAGAACTGTATAGAGTTTTCTCCGTGCCGTTTTAAAATATTTAGACAACTGGTTATCCACACGAACTATTCACGATACTTGCCTCCATTCCAGCACAAATCACCATGGGTTCGAGCCATTCCGTTCAGTCCAAGTCTCTGAATAAGAGCACTCGCAGTCTCATCAAGCTCACACAAGAACGACGCACCCACTATCATCTGCGCGGCGAAAGCCCGATCTCCGATGATGCTATAGAGACTCTTGTTCAGAATGCTACCAAGCACGTCCCCACGGCCTGGAACACACAATCATCCCGGGTTGTACTTTTATTGAAAGAAGAGCACAAGAAGGTGTGGGATATTGCCATTTCGGTCATTGAGGGCCTCGTCCAAGCAGGCGTGGTCCCGAAGGAAATGTTTGAGAATTACACAAAGCCGAAATTGGAAGCTTTCAAGGCTGCTTATGGAACGGTAAACCTCCTCGTTGTGCTTTTCACCTACCTAATTAGTCAACTAACTTGCGCATAGGTTCTTCTCTTTGTGGACTACGAGTCTCTTGCTGCGACCAAGGAGAAATATGCCATCTACGCGGACAAGGTCGATACCTTTGCCTTGGAGGCGAACGCAATGGCCGAGTATTTGAGTATGTGTCTGCTTTCTATAAAAATATATACGGCAATGCTAACAGGGGTCAATAGTCTGGGTATCCTTCCATTCCGAAGGACTTGGAGCAAGTCTCCAGCATTACAATCCTTTAATCGATGAGCAAGTTGCAAAGTCTTGGGATATCCCCAGCACGTGGAAGCTAGAAGGTCAGATTGTTTTCGGCACTCCATCCGAAACTGAAAAGCTTGAAGAGAAAGAATTCGACCCAATCGAGTCCCGCTTTAGGGTATATGGGAAATAAGTTTGTTCGGATGTGATAGTTATAATGATTGCTTGCATTTGCATTGCTATAGATGACCCTTGAACACATATGATATAGCAACTAATTACCCAGATATTCAATTTACATTCAAGATGCATTCGGACCAACATTTTCCTAAATCTAGTCTCGTCAGTCTGCTCATGCAATGTCATCTTGAGCAATTGTCGCACCGCCCGTCACTCCGTCAGTGATTCCTTTGACGAGAGCAGAGAATCTTTTTTCGGCATCTGCCGATGCCTGGGATGGCTGGAACCTGCTGAATTCCTTTTGACCCGAAATGACTTGCAAGACTTCATCGACATTAAGGTCGAAGATGTTGTCTCCTCTCCAGGCTACATGTGTGTCTGGGCGGACAATCACCATGTTTCGCTCCCAAATTCGTCGAACATGGGGCTCGTTCTTGATGACAACACGCGAAAGAGGGATCTTGAGCCTGGCTGCTGCCGCGACAATGCGGTCACTGGCAGGCTCTCTATTTATACTCTCGGTCTCATCATCCACAAAATGAATTAAAGTCCATTCACGGCCAAACAAGTCGTAAATGCTCGTTTTTCCATCTTTCAAGAACACATGGGGAGCTCGAGATCCAGGGCGAGTGCTGGGACGATACCGGTCGGGCGTCCATTCGAGCTCGGGGGTACCGTCTTGATAAATAGTAGGTGAATGGTAACGGAGGTCCAATTCGACTCCCCGGTCCTCAGTTTCGGGGCCTGATTCTTCAAGGAACTTACCCACGCGAGCGCGCAGGTCTCTTCCCTCGTCTGTATCGTCATCGACCGGGTTGCGATCCTGCGGATACATCTGTGCCAATTTGATGTGTTCCATGATATGACGATGGGCTCTTTCCAGCGTCCGGATCTGCATGGGTCTCCTCTCCATATTGTAGGATTTGAGGAGAAGCTCGCCGCCGTACCCCTTAACGATTGCAGCAAGGCGCCAGCCAAGATCAACGGCGTCGACAACCCCGCTGTTCATGCCATATCCACCGTGCGGAGGCATGCGGTGGGCTACACGATGCAGTCAGTATTTCTCAAATCGACTGAGTTGTTCAGTACTCACCAGAGTCACCTGCAAGAATCACTTTCATCCCATCCGTGTAGTATTGATTAGCAATGCTAAAGTTGGGCGCCCATTCGCTGTGGGCGTAGATTTCGTCGATTTTAATTTCATGTCGCTCGCCTGCAGGGGCCATGATGCGGTATACAACTTCTGCAGGGTCAACTGGGCCCTCGGGGAGCAGGTGTGTCGGGAGATGAGCAGTAAACATGTCGTCATCGTTCTGGTCGAGAATCACTCCGCCGTGAGAGCAGAAGGTATGCCAGTATTTTCCGAATGACCGCTCTTCGGCAAACTGTCGCGACCGGAAATGAACAAGATGCATTCTCAGGGGCCTAGTTTTCGCATTAGATTGACTGACTCGGTGAGTTGGGGAGAAACGTACATTTGACCACCAGTCATCGGAATGCGTGCCCTCTTGCGGATTCGGCTCCCACCACCATCACACGCAATCAGATACTTGCTATGCAAGACATGATGCTCGCTATTTTGATCGACAAATGTCGTACTGACACCTTGATCTCCTTCGGCGTGAACAAGATAGGTCCATCCAAATTTACATGAGATGTTGTCCTTTGTTTGCAGCTTCTTCCTCAACCAGGTCTCGAAAACTGGCTGCATGCATCTCTGGCCGGCCTCTGCGCACTGTGTGCCATCATTTGTTTTGTGGATGTGTTCTCTTTGGCCATTCGATGAAGGCAATTTCTGGGTTTCGTCTCATGAGCTTTTCATTCCATCCTGGTCTGAGAAACCATCTAATACTTACCCAATTGGCCAATAAATGTCCCTTGCCATCCAGCTTGGTCGCAAATTGAGTATCAAAAGTCGCGTCCGGGCTCACGCTGCCCTCTAGTCCTCGATATTCCTCGGCAATTCCCAGAATGCGGAAAAGTTCCATGGATTTGCGATTGGTCAAGTCCAGCTTGGGCCATTTGCTGATTTCAACGGACCTCTCAGCAAGAATACAGGGCACACCCAGGCGGTCCAGCTGATATGCAAGAATCATTCCGACTGGGCCAGCACCCACAATGACGATTGGAACATCCTGTGAGAATGACACAGACAAGGTCATGATATTCAGAATTTCCCGGCTCTTGAACCAACTGGTGAAGGGGGTACGGGTGTCCACGATACACAAACTAGCGGACCAATGTTCTTATACGACCCGGCGTGGAGGCCAGGCATTACGAGTGGGAGCAAAGAACCACGATTATACTTTCTGATTTCGGTCGTCTGCGGATCCTTTGCGGATCCTGTTTTTACGTAGTGCTGGGGCTCGGTATTCTCGGGATTCGTAATATAGAGTAACACGGTGCGTATAAGGCGGGTAGGGGATGCTCACTCTGACACTCACTTTTTGAAATCCACCTTTGTGTTTCCATTTGCGTTTTCCTTGCACCGCGCTCGAACTCCATCTTCTTGGCTCAGGGAGGGTTGCATTTCCCGCCTCACCCAGGCGTGGTTGTATAGGCGGCAATGATACCTCGGACGGGCCACCGTTTCCCGCCTGCTTGGCACCTGCGGCCTTGCTGGTGAACTGTAAGACATTGGTATTGTCCGTGGCCCCACGAGAGGTGAAGAGAGCGGGGACATGGTCCAAGTGTAAGTAACCGAGCAGGGTACGGGGGCCACAGCGGCAGGACTGCATGACATGATTAGAAAGATGCCGATTCAGCCAGTGATAGTTAAAGTACTATACCTATCACACCGGTGGCCCCTAAGCCTCCAGAACTTAGGAGCCCGATTTATTGCAGAGCTGTCTAGCTAGAAGGATGAGATATAGGATGTCGCTGAACGTTTTTCATGATCATCAGTAAGCATGCGCTAGGTATTCTGCGCTCGGGCCTGCAACAAGGTGCTTGCAACACACCATGACCCGCAAAGTTCCCAACGCTGCGGGCCGCCAGTCAAAATGTCCGGAATAATGGATCCATACACGTGTATCCACCCCAGAGGGTCTATCAAAACGTCAGCGAGTCGCACCACATGAAGATAAAGCATGATGACTAGGGCTACACCACGCAATAGTCCGCAGAGAGCGTATGTTATATTGGCTGACCATTTATATTTTCCTTATCAACCGGCCAGCTGGCCTAGTGGTAAGGCATCCGTTTCCGGTGCGGGAGATCGCAGGTTCGAATCCTGCGTTGGTCGATTTTTTTGTCTTATGCCTTCTCTAATGGTTCTGGTGAGACCTATGTTTTGTCTTTATTTTTTGGTGTTATTATTGGGTTGGGTGTGTGGCATCTAATCTGCCGGAAATCAGCCTGCCATATAGGGTAGAAGACGACAAGCAACGCCTTCTTTCTTTCACTGGCGTTTCTCGCTGGATGCCTCTTAGGACTCTCAAGCACGAGTGTTAGTTATCCTTCTCAAAAACGGGTATGGAGATGAGATGTCAAAAAAAGATGGGACATTTAATTCTGGTTGTTTGCTTGTAAATATCACAGACCCTCCCTGCCTGTGGAAATCACTCAACAAGTACAAATACGCACGTATACAAAGCGAGCTTGCCCTAGAGTATTTCAAAATATGATTCGTCGCATTTTGACACTCTTGTGATTAAGGTGTCCTCTTTTCGTGTAGCCTAGGGACGAATATTATTGACAGAAGAAGTCGCTTCATCAACTTTGATACTTTTCCGGTAAAAGCCAAGGTCACCGCTCGCCATCACTATCAATCACACCGCAGGCTATTTAAAAAGAATCAGATGGATCAAATTGACTTGGAGGAATGATTAATTAATTTGCTGACGGTTCAAAAGATTTTCGCTGAACCAACACGAAAAAAAAATCGACCAACGCAGGATTCGAACCTGCGATCTCCCGCACCGGAAACGGATGCCTTACCACTAGGCCAGCTGGCCGGCTTATGCAAGACATAAAAGTATAATGCTACAAGAGGCAAAATTACACTAAGTGTACGCGGTCGGATTTCTCAAGGGCTTTTAATAGAATCACTTACTTTTTTTAACTGGCCTCACTCTATTGGTGCAAGGCAACTGCTTCATAAATTAATTAAAACTCGACAAACATCCAGGTCTCAAAATATATTCTGCAAGTAACACGAACCCACTAGAGCTGATTTTCCGGAAAAAGTCGTCGTGGAGGATATCATACTGCAATGTGAACATTGTATCATTTCAACAACACCTACGAAATGATCAAATTTTACCATTAATGTGCTCCCCAGCCAGGTCACCCCCAAATGCGGTCACTAGTGTTCCTACCGTTATCACATCTTCAGCACCGGTACCCCAGAGTCCAGCCGGACCGATTTTAGTTGAGATGACAATCATAACTTCATTTGACTCAGTCCTAAACAAAATGATTTTAACCGCGACGAATAGAATCCCGCTCGAGCCGCGCTGAGTTCCGTGTCGAATGAATTTCCCAATCGGAGGTAATTTTGATCTGCCCGAGAGCCCATTCGTTGAATTTCCTCGCGATGGGGGGCTGGGTGACAGTAACCAAAGGGATATCTGGTTCCTCCATATGTCCTCCCGACAACACAGTTGCTTTCCAATACCTGGTAGATACCGGCTCAGCGCTGGGCCCCTCGGTCATCATCGTGCACTCGTTCGATCTGGCGGTCATTCGATGAACCGGTGCCAGTACCGGCAGACAAGCGACAATGATGCCCAACAGAGCTACAACATTTGACAAAAGGGATTTCCGAGCCGAGCCGTAAGTTGGGTCGCCTGGATCGAGAATGAATTCAATCTTGATGCGAACTGCAAAGAGGGCGATGATACTGGGAGATAGAAAACTTTAGTATCAGATCATATAGCCAGTATATGAAACACCAGGCAACAACTCACATGAGCCCCAAGAGGTATATACCACCCAGTCCAAGCTTCCGAGACCGGGGGAACTGCATATTCCGAATGATGGGCGTCGGTAAAAGCAAGATGAAGGTGTTCAGGATGAGCTGCGTCACCGCACAGCCAGTGTGCAGCAATTTGCGATCACCGCAGTGCCCCTCTACTCTGGTCAGCCAGATCTTTCGTGGCGGATCACATAGGAATGCGGTTGCCAGCAAGCCTGCCATCCATAGAGCCGAGCAAAGCCCGATCACAATGTAGGTCAACCACATGATGGCTGGCTGCTGGAATTTCTGAAGATAATAATGTAATATAGATAGCTGGACTATGGCAACCACCGTGAGCCAGATGAGGTCGCCCGCATAGGTGAGCTGAGAGCGAGGTTAGGGTATTCCGTAGATAGAGTTCAAACTAGGCCGACAGTGCAGAAGCACCCACCTCGTCGAAGCGTATAAAAGCCTTGGATCCTCCGACGCGGCTGACTTCATCGGCATGGGTCCCCATCCCACAGAGAAGGACGAGAAGAAGCTCCACAACATAACGGCTCAGCATTAATATCTTTAAGAAATTGTCAGCATTGTAAATCCTGTCGGGAACGACAACATTGGAACATTCTCACCGTAGCTGCCACGATCAACCAGTCGTTCCTCTGCTGGGATATCCGTAGCAAGTGTCGTGACCATAGTCGTAGACCAACCACCACAAACACAGTAGCGAGCAGAATAGTCTGCACCGCAATATCTGCCTTGCCCAGCCAGTTATGACCCAATGTATGGACCAGAGTTCCCGTCGCCGACGACATGACCTCGAATTCCACAGGGCTTCATAGAGCCTCAGCTAGCGGACACGATCCGATCTATATTAATATATAATGGATCGTATCCAGATACGGATCCGGGTCCACGAGGAAAGAAAATCGGGCGGGCCGTGTATTTAAGTAAGCTAACTTTCGAGAAGCCCAAGGTAAAACGCCGCAAGCAGCAGGCTACCGGGGGGGACCCTGCGCCGAAGAGGGGATTAGCCGTCGCAGAGCTTGGACTGGGCCAGCAAGCGCGGTCGAAATAATCTCCAAACCTGGAATCTCCCCATGTCTGATTGGGTTTCAGACCGGCTTTCTCGAAGGTCCATCGAGGACGACAGAGGTGAAGCGGAGACGGGGCGCTTTTGGGGGGGGTCCCGCCGCGATGCTAGAATAGCCCACTCCCGCTGACTCCACTTAGTCACTCTATCTCAGACATCCGCGTTTCACATCGCTACCAGTGGGGTGAAGAATCCAATGGATTTCCCAGGCTGACCATAGCGGCGGTGATGGCCCTCGGTTTTCAGCACGTCGGTAACATGAACACATCGTGGGGGAATCTCACATGCATGTCTAGATCGAGATTCATAGATCGTGGCTGCAGCCTGTGAATCTGGGATCGCGAGCGAGGTCCGACGATATATTACCCTTCTTCAGATGCAACTGTGCCTCCTCATGTAGCGAGTGGAGTTACACGGGCGACCCAGCGCCACTGACGGAATCTTGCAGCGATTTGGGCATCGCATCGAGAACACTCAATGATTGACGATGAAACTGCACGGCATGCAGGGGCCCCCAAATTCCACGGCACCTCCATTGCAAGTTGCCGCAGTGGCTGTCCGAATGGGTGTAGGGGAGCGAGAGGGAGAGATAGGGTCTGAGTAGCCTCGCAGAAATTGGAGATTCGGAGTACACGAAATTTACCTGGGTAGCTGATATCGTGGCAGGGCGAGGCTTCAATCGGCGTATCACCCACGGTAGCAGGTGTTCGGCCTCAAAATTGAGTACGACCTGACAGATGCGCTTAGATTGCAAAGAGAAATAGGCCTAGACCAACGGAATCCTGACATCCACAGTACCCTAAGGTACAATATGGAGGAACAACGCACAGAGGACCCATAGGACTGAGCACGCCGCTTAGGCCGAAGGTGTTGACGACACCCCATTTCGTCACCGGTGTTATTGACTCGTAATCTTGCGTACGACTCCATGCCTACCTGGTCACCGTCACCTTCCTGCGGCCTGCAGGCATGTGTTAGAATTAGTCTCTCCGCATCCCGGGAATTGACCGTGCGTAGATTTAATTAATCGCACCTTGATACCGTTCTTGAGGGTCTTACGCCATAAACTGCCAGGATGAGACTTGGGCCCACGATTCCGCGGTAGGCATGGATGCTCGTCAGAGGGATGTCCCATTTACTCGATGTGGAGTTGAATTCGTCGAGGTCCACCGACCTGAGGCGTGAGGTGAATCATTTGCAGTTCGTACCCAGGTCAGATTTTAGCTTCGACAGGCCCCAGTGGTCTAAGGTGGAGCTCTACACGGGCGAAGAATTAGAGCAACGGTGATCAACGATTAACGATGAACGACGTAGTTCAAGCTCCTGAAGGATTTGTTTTTTGGTGAGAACCCGTCTGTGGACCGTGCGGGAGAGCTTCAAGCTAATGCTGATGATATATTATTGCTCATAAGATTATTATACTAGGTTTCATGCACTCCGTTCATTGAGTTCGTAGTGGAATCGATCAAACCGCATTCCACCTCTCCTGCCAATCAAATAGGATTATCGGGTTCCCGAGAAAGCTTAGGCTTTTATACTCGTGCCGAGGTCGACGATAAAACCGAGAAGAGCTTAGGTGCTCTTCTTCTGAGCCTCCCGCTCGGCCTTGCGCAGGGCACGCTTGCGAATGCTCTCGTGCATCGACTTATTCTGGCTGAGCACGAAACCGTTCATGGTGCCAACAGAGGTCAAAAACCAGGCCATGAGGCCGTGGCTCCAGTATGGAGAGGAGCTGTAAGCGTAGGAAGAGGAACCACCGCGGCGGCCAATCTTGGAGAGCACCGAGCGGACAAAGGCACGAGGGGTCGGGATGGTGGAGGAAGCACGGCGGATCTTGGACATGGCAGAGGTGATCAGGTAAGCCTGAACAAGCTCCACCTCAATGCCATAGGAGGCCAGCTCGCCACCCAGAGCAGTGGACCACTGCTGCAGGAAAGCCTTGCTACCGGAGTAGGTGGCCAGGAGAGGGGTGGGCAGAAGACCACCGAAGGAGCCCATGGTCAGGATGAGACCACGGCGGCGCTGCTGCATACCGGGGACGACCAGCTGTGTGACACGCAGGGTACCAGTGCAGTTGATGGTGATGATATCAGCCATCTCGGAGGCAGGAGTCTGGGCGAAGGGAACGGGGATGGAGTGGCTCTGGCCGACATTGTTGACCAGGATCGAGACATCCAGATCGGAGACGAGCGCACTCAGCGCGGCGTAGTCGGCGTCGGCGTTACGTGAGAAGTCCATCGCCAGGATCTTGGTCTGCACATTCGGGTGTTGCTTGGTGATTTCCTCCGCAAGGGTAACCAGCTTCGATTCGGTCCGTGATACCAGCACGATGTTGAATTTGGCCCGCGCTAGCTGCAGCGCGAACTCCTTGCCCAGGCCATCGGAAGCACCGGTGACCACAGCCCAGCTACCGGGGGGACCGAAGGAACGAAGCTGCCATCCGATATGTCAGTACGATAGAAAGCAGGCGAAGGGATTCGGAGGTACGAACCGGCTTGCCCGGAAGGATGAAAAGACTGAGGATCACCCGCAGGAAGCTCCAGACCTTGCAGGCGACCGCCAATCCACCCGTTGCGAGGAGGAACAGCGCGCCTACAGTGGGCAGACCCGCCGGAAGGTGGGCGGGCCATTGCGAGAGGCAGTCGATGTACTTGGACAGATCCATTGTGAGCGTGGGAGGTGCGTGGAGGGGAGGATGGGAAAGTTGGAGGGAAAAAAGTGGCAGCTTGTTGGGACGATCGACGCCAAGAACCCCAAACATCGACCTCGGTCTCGTCACAAGCAAACATCACCCCCCATTCTCAACCCGTCTGCACATCCACACCACAACCTCAGTCGATCGCCATGGATCAATTGCTCTCCTATCTGCCGCCCTTCGAGGGCCTTCTGCCCAAGTGGCTTGCTTTCGTACGTTCTAGCCTTCTTGGATTGGGGGTAAATCAGTCCTGACTCCAAACAGGTCTCCGTCGTCTCCGCCATCAACAGCTTGCAAGCTTATCGCTCCGCCGACTACACCTCGGCCCTCTACACGAACGGTGCGATCGCTGTCGAACCCCTCTCCGGCCGTTTGTTCGGTACCTGGACCTTCCTCTCCTCTGTCATCCGTATGATGGCCGCATATAACATCGACAACCCCGTCGCGTACGATCTCGCCTTGTGGACCTATGGTATTGCCCTGACGCACTTTGTCGGAGAACTTGTGTTCGGCAATGCCCAGCTGCGCGGTCGTTTCCTCAGCCCCCTGATTGTGGCCTCAACCTCACTGGCTTGGATGTTGACCCAGCGTGGTGCTTATCTGGTCTAAAAAAAGGGCGGCTAATCAATATCTCGACTGCAACTACTTCGACAACACAACTCGGGCTTATTGGTGTACGAATAATATGAGTATATCTACATCCTGATCGGCAGATGCAGACGCCTGTCATGTATTTCTACCTGACCTTTAGTGTATGAATTTACAGAAAATAATGTTTATGAAGCTGCGTCAACCGCATTATACTGTCCGAGTGTAGCGCGGACAATTTTTTTTTTTGGAGTGAACGCATATAGATGTATACTGGTGCAGGGTTTAGTTCAAAAAACAGGGAAATAGATTGATGTTAGAAGTACTCACCACAATATTCTTGGGTCCCGCGTTGGAACCAAACATGATCTCAAGCTTTATTCCAACTTCTTGCGGTACAGCTCCCCACCGCAGCCACGGAGACGGGCCGCGGCCTGCTCCGGAGTGATATCACGCTGGGGCTCGGCCATCAATTCGTAGCCAACAAGGAACTTGCGCACAGTCGCGCTGCGCAGCAGAGGTGGGTAGAAGTGCAGGTGCAGGTAGGAAGCGTCAACCTCCTCGGCGGTGCCGTCCAGCGGAGCCTGGTGGATACCCATGCTGTAAGGGAAGTGAGTCTCGAAGAGGTTGTCGTAGCGGCGGGTGATCTCAGCAATGGCCTCGGCTAGCAGAGTGCGGTCGGACTCGGTCAGATCCACCAAAGCACGCTTGTGTGTGCGGCTGACAATCATCGTCTCGAAGGGCCAGGTTGCCCACCAGGGGCAGACGACGATGAAAGCCTCGTTCTCGAAGACAACACGCTCCTGCTTGCGGCTCTCCAACTCAGCATAGTCCTCCAGCAGGTGGCTACCACCATGCTGGTGGCGGTACTTGCACAGCTGCTCCATCTCTGCAGCGGGCTCCTCGGGCAAGGTGCTGGTGGTCCAAACCTGGCCATGGGGGTGAGGGTTCGAGCAACCCATGGCGGCGCCCTTGTTTTCAAAGATTTGCATGTAGCGGTACTGCTCCTTCGGCTTAGTGACGGGCGCGTCATGCGACACAGGCGCGACATGAGTGGGCGGTGCGTTCTTCGCCAATGGGTTGGTGGGTGACAAGTGGGCAGCATAGATCTCGGTCCAGGCATTGATAACAGGGACGATCTCTATTGGTGCCAGGTCAGCTAGAGTAAGGTTGTGGGACGGTGAAAATGTCAACACATAACATTTTCCCGTCACGGGCTCAGCCTTGAGAAAGCGCGATTCGAGATCTGTGTTTAGTATCATCAGCACTCTGAGCGTACCTATTTCATTGGATCACACAGACCATCTCCAGTGTTGCCTTCGTAAGCAGCCTGATCCTCTTTCACCGCGCTGTAATCGTTGACGAAGACGAACGTGTTATCGTACTTGGGGTTGACGTCACCCTGTGCGCGCTTGTTTCCTGGGCATAAGTAGCATGCGGGGTCGTAACTGGGCAGAGTTGTCTTTGAGGGACTCTCTTGCTGTCCTCTGGTTCGTGTTAGGGAAAACTTTCATGGCAGAAAGCTGCATTGCGACGCGCAATGCATCGGGAATAAACAACTTACTGCCAGGGCCGCTTGGTTCGGTGGGGGAAACCAAAATGTGCGATCCGCGAAGAGGGTTGTATCTCCGGTGGGAGATGTCGTCCAGGACGTTGGCCATGGCGTAGCGATGGCCTTGACAGATCGGGAGAGTACCTTGGGGGGAGGAAAAAGAGTTCAAATAAATAAAAACCCCGGATGTCGGGTCAAAGCCCTCCGGCGGGGTCGCGGGGTCTCCGGATGCGACGCACAAATTCACCGCACCGCCTTCCACGCAGGCAGGCACTTGAGGCGGTGGTGAACGCCAAAATCAATACAATGTGAAATGGCGCACATCATCAATTTATTCTATTTCTCGAGAAATATACGCCTCCTCCGTCACAAAAAGGTCTATGTTAGATACTGTCCTCTCTGCATAATTACTTTGTCCGGGGTCTTGGCGCGATGTCATATTTCTCGGTGAGCCGTAAAGGAATCGTTCGGCTTCCCGAACCGGGGTGCATGCAGTGGGGAAACCGGGGCCGTGCCATGTGTGACATTGGGATGTGACACAGTCTGGCCTGCTGTAAAAATCGCACTGCAGCATTCAATTGCTTCTTTCGCGCGGCTTAGAAGCACCAGGCTCAAAGGAATTGAGACGAGACATGACGTCATCCGTCTTATCGATAAACTGCTTTCAAGCCCATCGCAGTTGCCAATTGCACTATCCACCGGAGTGGGGTTCAGACGAGGCGCTTCGAGGGTTCTCCGCACAACACAGAGACAACCCTGATGCTCAAACTATAATGAGACATCCGTGAGCACCCAGAGCAGAGACTATCCAGGCTTGCATACTGCAATTCTCAGACCAGAGAGGAGACTGGCTTCACCGTCCTTCTACCCCGTCTTACGGTACCACTAGTCTGCCACCATGGCGACCAACGGACAGCTATGCTGCCAAAGACACGATGTATTCGGTATTCAAGAAGATACCACGAGATCGAAGCTACGCGCCCTTCCAAACGAGGTATGACTGCCAATCAAGGGGAATGGGCCGCGTCTAGCTGACCGCGATACGATTTGCTGACTTTGATGAGATACGATTCTAGTTGCTAGTCGAAATTCTCACCCATCTTCCTATTGATACCCTGGTCAGGACAGCAACAGTCTCGCAGCGCTTTCGGGATGCGGTGGAGCATGCCCTGAAGCCTCAGCTGGTAGCGATATCCAGACGCACTGATATTAAGCTGATGCTCCTTTGTGCTTCTCCGGACTCTGTACAGTTGCGGGTCAGATGCAAATACCTGCGTACTTCGGGCCTAAGTATCGATACCGACGATATGATAAGGTCTGGAACAACGATTATGCACACAATCTACCGCCCCGAAGCACTTGCGCCTGAAAGCATGCCCGTCGAACCAACCATAGGTAGCATCATCATGCTAGTTGGGGGAGATGACGTGGTTCGGGCTAGTATGAACGAAACAGCACATAAAGGATTTGCGACTCGGCGGGCTATCCTCGAGGATTACGAGAGCTTTGTTCAGCTTCGTGTCAAACTAAATTTGGTGATTGCAGCAAAGGAGCTATTCATTGCACCTGCTTTTATTATTCACGACGGGATGATTCGCCTTGATCGAGAAATGTTGGAAAACAACAGAGAAGAGCTGGTGTGGATGACCTCAGACAAATCTGTAGGTCTCAGAATACAGGCTTTCGAAAAGGCGGTCGAGGATGACGCCAAACAATTCGATTTGGAGATACAGGGTTAGTTACCGTCTACCCGAGAATTCCGAGCAACAGAGGATTCGCTAATTGTACCAGAGCTTCATGTTCACTCGGCATTACTTCTATACAACATTCGAAAGGCAGAAGAGAATCTACGCTGCGAAGACATGGTGACATTTTCTGTCTAGAACGTAGACTTGGCCAAGGTGGTTTCCGGCATTTTTCGGGCGTGAACCTTCACAATATTTTTCCTTCTTTTGGATGCCATCATGCATAGCAAGATACATATACCGACAAATGTCAATTAAATAATATATACTCAGATTCGCCAGAGAAAACTGAAGTATTGGGTACGGAAGGGTATAGCTTCCAAAGCTCACTTTCCAATTTCACTAGGGCGGTGCTTGATGCCTGAATTATATAATTTTTCTCAACCTGACTTCTCCCCATACTCTGACAGTTCGCAGTAACCGTCATCAAAACAATCGCCTAAACAGTATTCTGAACGGTCAGCTGAACGTCACCTACACTGTAATATAACCACTCTTGTACCGTTGATGAAGTTTCAACATGTTAAAGTGTTATGGACGTGAAACTTTTTCGTACTTCTAGTACTTTGCCATCCTTCGGTGTTGAATCAGCCATACATCGAAAACAGGTCATCAAAATGGGCACGAAAACGAAAGTGAAACTCCGGCTGTTATAACCTTTCGTAGTAGGGCAGCGGCGTCGACCGCCATTTGTCGCACGGATCCCCTCGGCTTGTAGCCATCACTCCACTTCTGCCTTCCAAGTCCCCGCCGGCTTCTTCCCCCTTCTACCTCGTCAACTACATTGCGCTGGACTGCGATAGCCTCGCTGACTTGCGCTTTTCCAACGTGGCATTCACGGCGAACCCCGGCCACGTGGTTGCTATGGAATCCCTTCGAAATGGAAGTATTGCCATTGCCAATACTCCCACTCCAGTTCGGCGGACTCGAGTGGCTTGCAAGGCATGCAATGCTAGGCGGGTCAAATGCGATGCTGGTGACGGACAGCCCTGTTGGCATTGTCGCATGAGACAAATCCCTTGCAAATTGATAGACTCTAAGCGCGGCAAGTATGTAATATTTCTGAAAAAGCATGACAAGGCTTTTTTTGCTAATTATAGAATTAGATATACTCGAAAGGGCCGCGATTCCGATCGAGATCAACATGCGCCTCGAAAGAGTCGAAGGAATAATGCCAGTGCGAATGAGCAAGGGTCTCCTCGCAACAATTCCCATAACTCCCAACAAACTGCATCGGTCTCACCTTCCGGTGGTGTCCTTCGGCAAGATCCTATCCAGAGCCACAGCAATGAAACGGAAAGACTTGGACTAGGCTCGTCACAAGACCAAACAAGACAGCTGATATCTGTCCCACAGAACAGCGACAGCGGCGGACTACAACATACTCGGCCAGAGAGCCGTACGGATGATTTGGCCACTTTACATTATGTTATTGAGCTAAGCCATCGGCCTGCAGGTGGCTCGACCGAGCCGCTGACGGTGCATCATCCAATACCTGAATCTATCGCAGATAAACCGGGGCTTGAATCCAGTCAACTTGAGGCTCCAGTATCCTTACAGGAGGCTCTGACACTACCAGAACCCGATATTCTCCACCGATTGATTTACACCTTTTTCGAAAAAATACATCCTGCTTATCCGGTTTTTGATCGAGAGAATCTTACTCGGTCATACTCGTTAGGCCAAGCATCTCCGTTAGTACTACAGACCATATGCCTCCTCGGTCTCACTATTGGAGGCGATGATCTGATTCGTGCATCGGGCTTTACTGACCGGGCCACAGCTCGGAAGACCCATTTTCTGCGAGCAAAGGCCCTTTACGATGCCGATTATGAGACTGATCGCATGAACCTAGCAGCAGTGTTGCTGCTATTTGGCTTTTGGTGGGCCGGGCCCGATGACCAGAAAGATACCTGTCACTGGGTTGGATGTGCAATCACCTTCGCACAGTCACTAGGGATGCATCGCTCGTACGTACAGAATGCAGATATAATCGAAAATATACTAACTCAGCGTTCTAGGATGTCACAATCGTCAATAAGCCCTCGAATGAAATCTTTGCGGAAACGAATATGGTGGGCAATCTATGTAAATGAACCCATCTTCCCACTCAATGAGCTTCAATCTAAACATCTACAGACCAGGGACAAACATACATCGGCAGCTTTTGGACGACCTTGCCGCATTCGTGACGAAGACTGTGATGTCGAAGAACTTACCGAGGAAGATTTTGAGTTCGACATCGGCTACGACCAGGCCCTCATACCAGCTCAGGAAGCATACCAGGTGTCATATGTCCTCGAGATGATACAACTAGCAGCTATACGTGAGTCACAAAAGCAGTTATATCTTTGTTTCCGCTCATAACCTTATTTTCTTTTTCAAGTCGGAGACATTCTCATCGGGGAATACAGTCCCCGTCGTCCTCCGCTAGAAAAGTACGAATCAGGTGCATTACACCACAGACTTGTGAAATGGGAGTCAAAGGTACCCAAAAGTCTTCAGATAAAATCTTCTGAAGCATGTACGAAAGGGTCCTTCTGGGGGTGCATGCTGCAGATTTCCTTCCAGTGAGTACTCGAACCTTAATCTTCAAAGGCGATTGATTAATCGGAACTAGAAATTGTATGATACTGCTGTTCAGACCAAGGGCCATTAAAGATGTCTCCCCAGCCGAAGCTGAAAGTGATTCGCGGGCGCGGAATGCTGCTGATCTCATTACTCGCTTTGCAGAGGACCTATTGGCAACTGGGATGATACATTCGGGCCTTATTCATCTGTATGGAGAATTGAGAAACCCCCACGAGAGATTAATGTGTTTTCTAACTTGACTTAGTGTCCCCGCTTTATTCTCCGCACTTTCAATTCATACAATTGTGATTTGCCGAAAAGACTCAATCCAGCGCCAATTGGCCGAGAACAAATCGCGACAATGCATGTTAGCCTTGAGCGTTATAGCAAAGTCCTGGCCAGTCAGGATATGGATCTCAAAAGCATTCGTCAATCTGATGAAACGGCTGACAGGCCAAGGGCAGAACCTCAATGGCCCGATTGTGAACGTTTCATCCAGTATCTTGACCACACCCTATAATGGGTCATCATTAAAGCAAACGGAGCAATGGAATATGGCTTCGGAAAGATCCCAAAACATTACGAATCAAGCCGCCCCAAATATGCTGGAGCCGAGCTCTCATTGCACATGCAATAATGGCGCTAATTCTGGCGGCCTCCATGCGCAAGGATGCTTGTGGCAAGCGCCTGATCAGTTTATACATGATTCACTATGGGTTGGGTATCTTGATAATGCGCTCGATGTTGATCTGTCCCTGCATGACGGCGGTGGCTTTACTCAATACATGTCCTTCGAGGGTACCGGTTTAGGAGGTCAATCAGCCGTGGGCGATGTATAGTGTTTTGCAGTTTTAACAAGAACGATAAAGGACTTCCCCCCTTCCAAATGGGCCTACGAAATGATAAAAAGGCTGGCCTTACAAGCTTAAGACCACTTGGCAATTACTCTCGAGTATATGGACGAAGAAGCGAGTGATGTAAGCCGCATTTTATAATGTGGACTTTGAATTTGTGATATTCTGGTTTTAGATACGAATTTTCATCATCGAAGCATCTTCAAGCATTTAGAGCAAATTTGCTCTTCTCCCTTAGCACCTTGCCATATCTGAAGAAGATCAGCGGAAATGGCATCATAAGGATTGTGAGGAAAGCGAGCAGACTTGTAGCCCAATGATAACCCAACGCATTATACATTTGGATTCCGAACAACGGGAATGCAGCTGTTCAAGAAAAATTAGTCTCTGGTGCTGAATAGGTTTCGTCTGTTCCCCTCACCCGCAAAAGATGATCTCACAAACCCATTACCAGCGAGAGCAGATGCCGCATACTGCGGATAAGCATCAACCTGAAAGCAAGGTTAGCAAATGTCAAATTTTGTAGAAGTTGCCAGGAATGGCCCGAAAGACACACAAGAAATGTGAAAATACCCCTATATGCGAGCAAGATCCTATCACGTTCAAGTGAGTTAGCCATATCCGACACAGTGACATAATGACTGTGCTTATCACCCACAAACTCTCGCAGAGCCATCGCAGAATGAGCTGACTTACCCGCAGCCAAAGAAGGATGACCCAATGATTGGGACAATCCAATGCACGTCTGAGGACATACTCCAACCAAACCAAAATAGACCTATCGGAATCAAAACTCCTCCAGGTATAGCAGGAATCAAACTGTACTCTGGTGGGACATCCTCGCTTTGTTTCTCTCGAGACCTCAGAAGATAGTCTTTGACATGGGACCAGAGCGGAGCACTGATCGCTCCAACAATCATTCCCAAAATAATACCCACAAAGGGAAGACCTCCTTGCCATGTAGTCCAGCCATAGGTCGTTTCAAACATGAGTGGAATTGCCTGAAAGAAGAGGTAGAGTATGCCCAACAAGATAGCGGCGTAAATATCGAGAGCAAGACACATCGGCTCGAAGATGAGAAGCTGGAACGGCCGAAGGAGGGAGTAAGATAAAGCCTTTCCCCTTGAAGAGTGTATCTTCTCAGTTGGTGCTCTGTAGCGGTCATCTCCAGTCTGTTTCCGAAGCATCACAGCCTTGGCTCTCAACCGGACAGGAGGAAATGTCTCAGACACGAAAACCGAGATTGAAACCAGCAGAACTCCAGACCAGATAATAATGAAGTAGTAATTCCATCTCCAGGTCGTGTTATAACTGATGAAGCCTCCAATCAACGGACCCAAGCAGGGTCCGATAAATGGTGCAGACGAGACCAGGATCATAGGAAGTTGAATTTGAGAGCGCAGGAAAACATCGCTCACGGTTCCTCCCGACACAGACAGAAAAGTGCCACCCGCGAAGCCCGTGAAGAACCGAGAGATAATGACCGTTTCGATATTTTTCGCGACCGCCGTCACAATATTCCAGATCACAAACATGGACCATGAAACGATGTAGATAGGTCTGCGTCCGTACCACTCACTCAGAGGACTGGTTAACAGTGGTCCGAGACCGAGACCTACTACGAAGAATGATAGACCCAATATCGCAATGATAGAGGCTACCTCGAGCTCTGAATTCATTTGCGAGTAAGTGGTTGTGTATATTGAGCTCGCACAAGTCCTGGGTTTTCGTCATTAGCACGATTCAGCTCCGGATTAGAGTTTATTGTAGAATCACAACTTCCAACTTACACACACATAGTTCCCGTGCAGACGATAATAACCATAGCCCATTTTCGAGCCAAAGGTAAGCTCTTTGGGTTCATGAGATCTTGATCACTGCCGAATGTAACATCGTAGCCATGATCAGGGACACTAGTAGCCTCTTGGGATGGTTCAAATGAACTGTTGACCGCATTTTTCTCATGGCTATCGTCCTGACCAGAGACAGGGGAGGACCGGATATTATTCATTTCACCGAATGGAGCTGTGTTTCATCGAAGGTCAAGAACACACGGCCTTTGAAGCGAAATCCTATTTAGAGGAACGGGACCCAAATAGGCGAGTTTCACAGAAGAATCCTTTTGTAATTAGGGGCTTGACAAGGAAGAAGTTGCAGAAAGACCCAAGCGCGCTAGTTTGCCGCGGGTATGAGCTTGCTGCGGGTCTTGACTAAAACTTGCGACTAACGGTGAGTAGAGAAGCCAGGGGTCTTCTTCGTCAAGCCATGTCAAGAGTAGATTGTCGAGTGATCTGGTTTAGAATTTGCGATGTGTACCAAGTCAAATAAACCATGCGGCCAATGACCCTCTTAGCGTCAAAGGGTCTTGACCCTTCGCAGCTAATTTTTCGTTGTTTTGCGGGGCGATCTCCACCCAACCCTGAAGTAAGAACCCGAGGCATCTTGGACGGAGACCGCCGAAGGGCATAGACACTCCAACCTTGCGATCAACATAGCCAGATGACGAGCAACAATAATGGTGACGGCGGTGATGGATGCACGCAGTGAGTGAATGAGAGAGCCTGAAGTGAAGCTCACTTTGAGAGTAGACCAACGGAAATCGCCTTGATGCCTCCAGAATAAACCATAGGGGAGCCAATCTTAGGAGTCTCTTGATTTCTCCGGTCACCCCCGATTCTACCTTTGCGATGAAATTGTTCCATGGAACTTGAGGTACTTTAGAGACACTTTGCTACTACTGGATATTTGAAAATGAGAGCCTCGAAATTTTGGGGCTCTCGATCGCTTTTGCATACAACATCTGTTGTCGATCACGTGATCGTCCATATGGTGAAGAAGATGGCGTCCAATGCATTTCTGTGATGCTCTCATCACTGCGCGATCTAAAATGCCCCCACCTCAGCCTGCCACACTACATCTACCAGCTGCCTATTGCGAGGGTCCTTATGCATTTATGCATGAATGTACAATGCAGATACAACGCGTCCGTCTTGGGTGGATACGCTATAACGGTCGGATCCAGCCGTCAATGAAAATTCTCCGCCTGCCATCGAGTGGAGAAGGCTCAGTTGCACGAGAGCTCAGGATTCCAGACTCCAACAGACTGGAGGTTTCGTGAGTGACGCTCGGGAGGCTCTGCGATCGTGCCATGGCTTCTTCGGCAAGCCGTCCCTAAGCCTCGCTGAAGCCGTGGGTCGCTTCCGGGCCGAAATCTCGCACACGGTTGACGCTGGCGACCAGATGAGACACGACTCCACCGAAAACTCTTTCATTTGTTTCGCATCGGCACTCGATGCCGAATTCCTAATCGCGGGACCAATCAGGACAGGGGAAATTCTTATTGTGTCTGGCAAGCATTAACCAGGCTAGGAACCAGCCGAGGCTCCCGGTTATCAAAGTGGACCGTTTCTGGCAAATTCAGTCACATTTTATTATCTAGATGATTTTCAGTCCTCTCTCCAGACCATTCGCTTTCTCGGGCAGTTGATCTACATCGATCTCGCCATACACTAAAGGGTATATTCATCGATAAGAAGACTTGTCAGACACTGCAGACTGGGCACATCTGAAAATGGCAACCCTCAACGGCGAGGGCGAGGCCTCTTTCCCCTCCAAGATTCCTTTTTGGCGTCTGGTCTTCGACCAGAAGGTCATTACTCAAGAGGTTGCTTCTTACCCCTACGGAGGGTCTGGCACTGAAGAGGATCCCTTCGTCGTGACATGGCTGCCGAATGACCCGCGGAACCCTATGAACTTCCGGGCCATTAAGAAGTGGTCAATCACGATTTTGGTGTCATTCGTCACTCTCGCTGTCGCACTGGTGTCGTCAGCATTCTCGGGTGGAATGGGTCAGATCGTCGCGGATTTTGGCGTAGAGGAAGAGGTTGTCATCCTCGGCGTTTCACTTTTCGTGCTGGGTTTCGCAGTACGTTCACCTCGACCTCTTCCAATACAAGCTTTTAATTAATATGTCTATATAGATTGGCCCCTTGATATGGGCACCGCTGAGTGAAATCTTCGGCCGGCGCCATATCTTCACTATCAGTTTTGCATTCCTGACTGCCTTCAACGCTGGTGCGGCAGGAGCAAAGAACATCCAGACCCTTATTATCCTCCGGTTCCTTGCTGGCTGCTTTGGGTCTTCGCCCTTTGGAAATGCAGGCGGCACAATCGCCGACATGTTCTCTGCTTCACAACGTGGAATCGCTATCAGCTTCTTCGCCGCAGCCCCCTTCCTCGGCCCGACTATCGGTCCTATCATCGGCGGCTTTCTCGCGACCGGTGCTGGTTGGCGTTGGGTGGAAGGCTTTCTTGCAGCATTCTCAGGCGCGCTGTGGCTATGCATCATCTTCCTTCTTCCAGAAACCTATGCGCCTGTTCTACTGCGTCGACGAGCCGCGAAGTTGTCTCAATTAAGTGGCCATGTCTACCGCAGCAAGCTTGATATCGAGCGCGGCCCAATTCCCTTGGGCAAGACCTTGAAGACTGCGCTTTCACGACCTTGGATCTTGTTGTTCCGTGAGCCGATCGTTCTGCTTTTCTCGATTTACATGTCGATCATCTACGGTACGCTCTATATGCTGTTCGCTGCCTACCCGATTGTCTTTCAAGAAGTGCGCGGGTGGAGCGAGGGTATCGGCGGCCTTGCATTCCTGGGCATCTTAGTCGGCATGATTCTTGCCGTCATCTACACCTTCCCCGAGAACATGAGCTACGCCAAAATGTGCAGTCAGACTACCGATCGTCTTCCGCCAGAGGTTCGACTTCCCCCAAGCATGGTGGGCGGTATTGCCCTGCCTATCGGACTTTTCTGGTTCGCCTGGACAAATTCCCCATCAATTCACTGGATGGCATCTGTTGCCGCCGGCGCGCCATTCGGATTCGGCATGGTCCTCATTTTCCTCAGTGTGTTCAACTACCTCATCGACTCATACACTATCTTCGCGGCTAGTGTTCTAGCAGCGAACTCGGCGCTCCGCTCCCTCTTCGGCATGGCCTTCCCGCTTTTCACGACTTATATGTACCGCAATCTGGGCATTCATTGGGCTTCGTCAATCCCTGCTTTCTTGTCGATTCTCTGCGTCCCTCTGCCATTTATCTTCTACAAATATGGCGCCCAGATCCGACAGAAGTGTACTTTTGCTGCTGAAGCGGATGCGTTCATGCGTCGTCTTGCCGAAAAGAACCAGATAGAGACGCGCAAGGAAGAAGAGACGGCGACAACAGAGAAGGGAGCAGACAAGTCCGAGGAATCGCACCAAGTCGCAGATGACGTGAGTGACAGCGAGAGCCTGTCGACCGTACCTTCGCGAGTTACAATTGGAAGATATGCGTCGAGAGGATCTCGCCAGTCGGGACGATCTATTAATCGAACTGCAACTGCCACACAATATGAAGAGAACCCGTATGACCTTGACTTGGTGAACACCCGGCAGTCAGCTATCAGTGTGCCTCGCAAGGATTAAATCGACACTTACTCCGAGTCTTCAACGAGCGGCCGACTTATTGATCTTCAAATCATCATGCTTCTCGCTTGGCGGAACTGGCATTACGACGAAAAACAAAATACCACCGCCTGAACGGTCTTCTCCACGGGAAGAATACTTCAGCAAAAAGTTATAAGATACCCTAGCACTCAATAATGCATAATTTTCGATCGAATGAATTATTCGCAGACGTTCATTGTGATCCGTAGTATTCTGATTTCGCCGTGTAACTCGAGCTTAAACCTGCGGAGAATGTACCATGATCAAAATCCTGTCTTATAAGCTTGATACTCTAACGCATACTGGCGCATTTGCTAATCTCCATGAATTACTAGTAATTCACAGACTTGAAAAGGCTTTATCGTTGTAGAGGGCGACCTCAACCCAGCGCGGCAGAGTGGAAATAGTTGATCACTCATCAACCCCACAGCCTCGGTCCATCTCCACCTCGGGTCATCTGCACCAAGCGGCCTATATACGAGCCCCTTCCACCATGCGCTATTACATATCACGTCAATTGATCCCAAATCACCAGTACATCGCCCATAATGACTGGCAAGATAGACGCCTTCGTCGATTGTGGTGCGGCTCCACTTGACCCCAGGCGAAAAGTCCCTTGTCAGGGTCGATCCTGGGACCGCGGATTGCTAATTCACATTCATCTTAGTATCGCCTTACTCATACTATGCGACGCTGTATCTGAGACGGAATCGCAAGGCGCTCGAATCGCATGGGGTCGAGGTGGAGTAAGAATCCTCTTGGCATCTTTGCGACCACTGGTTTTGACAATGGCAGGTTTCATCCCATTTTCCTGGGCGGCGTCAATGTTGGGTCTGGTATGTTTTCTCCGATAGAGGACGCGCGGTATCCACAGCTCATCAATTATTTGACAGGAAACAAACCACCATGGACGCTGCCAGCCAAAGCGTCTTACTCTAAGTTCGACTCTGAGCGGGCGTGCAAGTATTTTGGCGTGGCGCCCATCAAGACACCGGATTTCTTTCCCATTCTTTCAATCATGGTATGTATAGAATGGTACTTTTTATTTGCGCGATAGAGCATACCCTCACAAGTTCGTGAAGCCCCAACGATGCATGATCTACATCAAGCGCAACTACCCCCGAGAGCGCTATGAGACCACTTTTCTCTCCTTGTGGGAATGGATATATCACAAGAACATCGACATCAGCAAGCCCGAGCAGCTAGGAGAGCTGCTGAAGACTCACGGGTACTCTGATAAAGAGATCAAAGACATTATTACTGCGGCCTCTAGCCCCGAGTACAAGCAAGCCTTGACAGCCAACACGCAGGCCGCTCTAGACCAAGGTGCATATGGTGCTCCGTGGTTTTGGGTCCGGAACAAAGAGGGTAAGGAGGAGCCCTTCTTCGGCAGTGATCGGTGAGTACAGCTTTGCTTTTGTTGCCAGATTGGGGCTAACGTGATGATTCTCAGGTTTGCGTTCATGTGGCAGTATCTCGGACTGCCCTTTCAAGACGTCTCGATTATCGAGAAGGCAAAGCTGTAACGTAGGGATAGGATACTCTTTTGATGTACATATTCAGTCAGTGAAGGCTTTCGAAATTAGTCAAAACATCGGGAATTCCGACTCACCTCATCCCCACATCGCGTCTCGGCCCTTCGGCCTTCGTGACTCACGGCTTAGACAGCGCTGCGCATCGCCCCGAGAACACGCCGAAGACGAAAGCCTCACCGGGCAGACTCGACCTATACCAATTCGACAACTGCAGTACAAATACCGTGCTCACCTTGCCTCTGTATCGAAACTGTCCAGATTGAGAATCACAATTGAAGACGACTTCCATCGGAACCCGCGCGGATAAGAACTCGCCCGTTCGGTTTACCCCACGCTGCCCCACGTTGAAGCTTGTCTTAAATCCGGCTTCTTCTCATCCACCGTTCAAGTCAATCGCAGTTGCAATCGTCTCAGAGTATCATAATGTCCGGAACCCGCGTCGCTTGGATCGGCCTCGGCAACATTGGCCGGGTAAGCAGTCTCCTCATGAAACAGAGTGTATTGAGTCACCACTGACAATGCGAACAGGGAATGAGCACCAACATCGCCCAAAAAGGGCCCCAGTCCAGCCTCATCCTGTACAATCGCACCGCAGCCCGTGCAACCAAACACGCCGAGTCTCTCAACGGCCGCGCGACGGTCGCATCTTCCCTCCCAGAAGCCGTGCAGAACGCCGACGTGATCTTCACCTGCGTTGGCGACGACCCAGCCATCGACTCAATCACCAACGCCATCCTGGCCGACCAATCCGCCGATCTCACGAGCAAGACCTTCGTCGATTGCTCAACAGTGCACCCCAATACCTCCCGTCGCACAGAAGCTGCCTACACAGCTCGCGGCGCGTCCTTCGTTGCATGCCCGGTCTTTGGCGCGCCGAACATGGCCGATGCCGGACATCTAATCGTCGTGCCAGCGGGTAAGCAAGCTGCCATCGCGAAGGCGAAGCCTTTCTTCGAGGGGGTAACTGCAAAGGCGACCATCGATCTATCCGACGGGACGGGCGCCGACATCGACGTCGGCAAGGCGTCCACGCTGAAGGTCCTCGGCAACACCTTCATTCTCAACACCGTCGGCGTGCTGGCCGAGTCTATCGTCGCGGCTGAGTCGACAGGTCTAGGCGTTGGTCCGCTGAAACAGTGGCTGGATCTGTTTGCTCCGGGTCCGTTTGCCAAGTATGCGGACCGCATGATCACCGGCGACTATTATCAACGGGATGAGCCTTTGTTCGCGGTGGATCTTGCTCGCAAGGATCTGCGCCATGCATCGAACCTGGCCAAGGAAGGTGGCCAGCGCATGCGCAATGTCGAGGTGACGGATGCTTTCCTGCAGGATGTCAAGGCGGAGAAGGGCGAGAAGGGCGACATCGCTGGTGTTTATGGTGCGGCGAGAAAGGCTGCCGGTATGAAGTATGAGAACCAGGATAAGTAAGCATATACAATATAGTAGATAAAGATAAATGTTACATCCTCTAGTTGGATTTCATTATTGGTCAAATAGTTCAAGCAGAGCGCCTGTACGCGAACCACACTTGACTCAAGTACCTTCAAAGCCTGCTACCACAGCAGCCAAATGCATTGACCTGTACGGATTGGTTGCTATCCAAGGTCGAAGGAGGCACACCGATAGCCGGTATTTATGTGAAAAAGTTGACCGGCTTCAAGAAGACGGTGATAATCTCCACAGGCCTGGTACTTGTTAGCTCGGCAGGGAAAGTCGAATTGCGATCAGCCTACATGACAGGGAAGTCTTCGATCCGGGGTATATGGTTCAGCCCGAAATGCACCCTAACAATAATGTTGTCATTGACCACACTGTCTCGACGGGCGAACCAATTCTTGATTCCATGACCTCCTCGACTTTGATTAGTAACTTTTCCTCCGGAGAGGAGCTCACCTGGCCTGTATATTTAGTGACGTAGTTTTCGTGGTCAGCTCATGACGAATCAATCCTCGCGCCGAGACTCTCGTTGCCAACTCTGTTTGATGGTGTGCATACGCCGACCGAGAGACGCTTGTACCATCACTTTTCGTCGGTCCTGTCACAACTGCTTGTCTTGCAGGCTACGACCCAATGCAACCGGATAGCCGCCGCGGCCCTCCCGCTCTCAACTACGAACAAGGGCTTGTTATCACTAGTATTGGCTGTCTAGGCCGTGCACCTTCTCAAGCTCTTACAACTCGGAGGCCATTCAACTGAAATTCCCGCGTACCTCGAGGTACAACGACTCAAATGGAAGTTTTTTGGGCAGGGAGCCCGCATCCATGGTCAACGTATACAAGGACTCTACGCAGATGAGCCAGTGTCAGATCAGCAATGTATAATTGCCTTGGTTGGCACGATGCTATTGTGCCAATACAATACCGGCGAGGGCAAATTTGACGGCGGATGGAAAATGCACCTGGGCGCTGCTCAGGAGTTGGTAAAATGCCTCAAGCAGCGATCTGCTTTCAGCGCGACATTTTTCCCTGCGGCAGTTCTGGAAGATTGGTTTCTCTACCACCAATTAATCTAGAGTTTACCGATCAGAGCCTTTTACGCTATCTCGACCAGTCCGAGACCGTCATATCTTGGCCTCGCTCTCGGACTTCAGATTAGCGCAGATCTAGAGGCTTGGGACTACCAGTATTCGACGCGGCAGCAAAGGATCGTAGGAGAGTGGAATTCTTACTTCTCTATGCGACAGTGTATCAGTGCCAGCTGCTTTTTATCAAGACACAGACTGCTCTTGAGGGCGGTCTTACCTACCTAGATGATCTTTGCGATAACGACCACGCTCAGATCTGCGCCTTGTTCCCGATGTTTATATTTGGTGGTCTGGCTGCTGTCAAATAGAAATCGCTCTCATGTCAGGGAGAAGATGGACGCTCATTATCAGTGGTCAGGACTGGGAAATATCAGAAGCGAAGAATTTCTTGGGGTTGTGGTGGGAACAATGTGATCAAGCAGATGACATATATTGGTGGCAGTGGCATACGCTGGCCTCGGAGATTGCATTGCAACCTATCTTAACATGAAATCTTTGTCGAAGGAGGAAATAAATGAAGTAATACTCCAGACAAGTGGAACCTTAGTATGTGCTTACGTAACAGACTATGTACTCAAAGTGGGACCAAGTTAGACGCTCGGAGCAGCTCGTGTCGCGCGCGCCGAGGCACGCTGCCGTCTTGATTGGCCACACACTGCTGGTGCATCTGCGAAGTACATCTCCGCGATCCTCGGCGCTTTGCGGTGGCTAAGGCGTGTCGCGCGCATTGCAGCTTGCAACTTGCGTCATGGAAGCTCCGCGGGAGTCCGATATGCCTTCAAAGTCGATCAGTCTGTTAAATAAAAGCTACTACTTAATGTCCAAGCAGGTCCGCATCAATGACAGATCCATTCTTCAGCACAATTACAATAGGATCACACTTTCCATTCCGACTCCGCTCATCATCTTTTTCAAGTTCTTACCAGGTTGATTCCAGGATGTTTATTCAACCCCCCACGGTCAAGTTGAACAATGGTTCTGAAATGCCAATCGTTGGTTTCGGTCTCTGGAAGCTCGACACCAAACCTGCGCCGACCAAGTCTACAACGCTATCATTTTTCTAATGCGATGAAAATAGTCTACGAGAACGAAGCCAAATGCGGCTAGGGCGTTGCCCGAGCCATCAACGAAGGCCTTATCAAGCGCGAGGACCTATTTATCGTCTCGAAGCTCAGGAACAAATTCCACGACACCGACAAAGTCGAGCCCATCACCCGGCGCCAGCTCCAAGATTGGAAGATCGACTACTTCGACCTCTTCCTAATGCACTTCCCCATCTCGCTCGAGTACGTCGACATGGCTGTTCAATACCCTCCTCCGACGGACCCGAATTCCCGCCCGGCCGCGCCTCGGTCCAGGAAACATGGTTGGCGATGGAGAAGCTGGTTCCAGCGGGCTTGACCAAAGCCATTGGAATCAGCAACTTCAATGGCGGGTTGATTCTGGATATGCTGAAATATGCGAATATCCGCTCTGCTACCCTGCAGATTGAGCACCACCCCTACCTGACGCAGGAGCAGCTTGTGAACTGGGTTCAGGGTCAAAGGATTGCTATTACCGCTTATTCGTCTTTTGGACCTTTGTCGCTGTGGAGTTGGAGACCGAGGACGTGAAGAATACTCCTTTGCTGTTTGAGCATCTGACTATCGTAGGCTTGTCGAAGAATTATGGAAAGAGGCCTGCTCAGATTGTACTGCGCTGGGCTACCCAGCGCGGGATCGCTGTGGTTCCGAAGAGTGGGAACCCTCAGCGTCTGGCTCAGAGCCTTTCTGTGACGGATTTCGACCTGGGTGCGGGAGATTTACAAAGCATCAGCGCGATGAACCGCAATCTTCGATTCAATGATCCCATGAAGGTATGTGTCTTGGCCTAACTGAGTCCGATGCTTAAACAAGATTCTACCTGGTTCTGAAAGTTCGGAGAGCCGCACCCCATTTTCTTCTGATCTGGCTGCCAGCAATGCCGTGCAAATATGCTTGGTAGAGAAAAGGAGGACCATGGCGCTACGTTCTATAATAGAATCTTATACGTGAAAAATAGGAGAAAATCAGATTTGAACAAGTTTCATTCAAACTTTACGTCTCCAATTGAAGATCGTAGCAAAACGTGGCAAATATGCACACAGAATTTCATGTCACTAAAAATAATACATCAGGCCATTATTGAAAGATTGGCACTCGGAGTGGGGTATTGTAAGGAAAAAAAGTTGTCATGAGAGAGGAGTTTACTCCTGGATCTCAGCAGCGCGGGCAGTCTCATCCTGCTGCTGCTGGCCGGCACCCTCCTTGGGCTCGATGGGGCCATGGAGATCGGCCACGATGCCCTCGGGGGCAACCCAGCTGGCGGACTTCCAGGGCTTGACGTGCAGCACGTACATGGTGTCGACCTCCTCCAGGGTGCGGCCCTGGGTCTCGTTGACAAAGAAGAAGACAACAAGGACGGCGGCGAAACAGCAGGCAGCGAAGACATAACCGTAACGGAAGTCAATGGAGCTGGAGATGAAGGGAGTGAAGAAGGAGATGAGGAAGTTCCAGGTCCAGTTGGCAGCGGTGGCGACACCCATGCAGGTAGCACGGTAGCGGAAAGGGTACATCTCACCACAGATGGCCCAAACGATGGGACCCCAGGTGGTAGCGAAGCCGACAATGAAGAAACAGGTGAAGACAATCATGGCAACACCGGCGGGGTGAGACGAGGGGTTGGCGTGCAGAACCTCGTGGCCGACAGAAGCCCAGATCATGAAGCAAATGAACATCCAGGCGGCACCGACCATCAGGCAGTTGCGGCGACCATAGTGCTCGACGACGTACAGACCAGGCAGAGTCATACCGAAGTTGACGGCACCCAGAATGATCTGGGTAACGAAGGAGTCGCTCAAACCGACTCCCTGGAAGATGCTGGTACCGTAGTAGAAGATGAAATTGGCACCGGTCAGCTGCTGCAGAGACTGCAGAGCAATACCAAGCATGGTACGGTAGAACATGCGGGGACCGGTGAGAACCTCGTGCCAGGGAGCCTTGCCGACGGACTTCTCCTCGTCGAGCTTATGCTTCATGTCAGCCATTTCCTGAGCAACAACGCGGTGGTTGGTGGGGACACCGTAGAGCTTGGCCATGACCTCGCGGGCCTCCTCAACACGGCCGTGACGGTAGGCAAACCGAGGAGATTCGGGCAGGAACAGAGTACCGATACCCAGAATCAGAGGCCAGGCGAAACCAATACCCATGGTGATACGCCACGAAGCGCTGGAGTTGACATGGACGGTACCGTAGTTGACAATGTAAGAGATGAAGATACCGAAGGCGACGAATAACTGAAAGGCGCTGACCATGGCACCACGGACCTGGCGGGGAGCCGACTCGGACTGGTACATGGGGACGACGCTGGACAGAGCACCGACACCGAGACCCATGACCCAGCGACCGAGAGCAACCTGGTACCATTTGTCGATGGTGGCAATCTGGACGATGATACCAACGATGTTGATGAGAGCCCAGAAGGAAATCGAGAGCTTGCGGCCAATCTTGTCGGCGATGGGGGCAGCGACCAGGGCACCAATCATAGTACCGATCGAGAGCTGTCGAATGGTCAGTTCCGACCCACAAAACGTCTCACACCGTGGAGGTGGAGATGGGGATGGAGGCACCTGGCCAGTGCGAGCGAAGGACTACATACCAGACCAACAATGAGACCGTTGCGAACGTTGCTGAAAGCATATTCTCCGGTGGCGGCATTATATTCGGCGAAGCGGGTCTTGAAATCAGTCATGCTGGTGAAACCCGAGATTTGACCTGGTTGCCGAATAATGAGTTTCCATGCTTCCGTATAGACTCTTGCCACATGTAGTGCAACCTACCAGTCGAGTAACCGAAGATGAAACCACCCATGGAGACACACAGGCCGAGGATGAAGGAGCGCCAGGTCAGGTACTTGACGGGGCTGTCGTCGATGATGCCCTCATCCTTCTCGGCGCTGGTCGAGTCGGCACGGGCAGGAGTGGGAGCCTGGGAGGAGAACTGAGAGTCCTCACCACCCTTGAAGCGGGTCATGAAGCTTGTAACACCCATAGTGGAAGATCACCGGACCAGAGTGTGTTGATACCGATGAAGGTGGTTGATGGGGAAGAGAGGAATGGGGGAAGAAGAGAAAAACAGATGGGGAGGGAAGGGCCAAATAAATACGGCAGGCACGCATCGGACAACCGGCTCGTGCCCCTTGGGGTACCATGGCAGACACAACGGGGGCCCGGATCTCGCGTCCCACGTTTGCCGGGATGGGGCGGAGGAAATTTCGTCTCCATGGGCATACTCCGTACAATGGAGGGTTCTTGGAGTGGGGAATTGGTGGAGAATGGCATTTGAAAGTTCTGGAGATGCCCCGAATGGGGATGGCCACGTGAGCGCAAACGGTAGTATCCCTTGCTAACAATAGCAAGCGGCAACCGCCCTTGTTTGCATCGATGAAGATAATATTTTTTCGCCCGGACTTGGACGAGTCGTGTCTGTCCAACACAGTAATGGAATTTGTTCTGTTTACTTTTTCCAGAGACATTGTTTCAGAATGCATGCCATGTTGACTATGGGGATGCCAGGCCGAGGATTGGCATGTTGACTGAGCGCGGTGCCGAGCTTCTTGCCACCCTTCTAGAAGCCTGCGAGATTGAGTAATAGCTGGGGCTGCCCCGAGCGAATGAGCATGCTGTGCCTGGCCGAGCCCGGATGGAGTCCGTGTCTCCAGTTGAGCATCCAATTTCCACCCTGCGGTATGGAAGAACGAATATCCTCGTCACGGCCCTCTAAACACGACCCTAGGTACACTGACCTACAATGGACACTACTGGAGGGCCCATGGGAAGGATGATCCCTTTGCGGGATTAAACACAGCAAAAAGGCAAATCCGGCCAAGGTTTACTCATTGACTTTCTCATGACGCTGTTTACTTGCAACCACTTCTGAAACGGGACAAGCTGGACGCAGCGCAAAAATAATCAGGAAGTAAAAAAATTTCTGTTTACATCGAGCGGGGTGGGGCGCCGTGGATTCTTCACTGCAAAAAGGCCGGCGCCCGAACCGGTCTCAGACAATGACGATCGCCACGGCAAAAGCTTGGCTCGATCAGGGAGGTCCTACTGAGCGCATCACCGTACGATGGTGTCGGCAAAAAATAAAATAAAACAGAAAAGGTCATGCGGACGTCCAGAAATTGGGCTGGGCCGGACCCTCCATTATATACCATCTCGGACCAGATCTCAAATGGGTGAGCGCAACAAAACCACTGCTGATAAGACAATTGCTGAACAAATGCACCGGTCGGAACAGGTTTGAGCTTCAGCACAGCCAGCCCCACCACCGGTGAGCCTTCGGTCATCTCCCGCGCAGAGATTTCCGATCTGTTGAGCCATTGCCCGGGCCCACACTGGCCCAATCGGCACACCGAGTCCTGCGTCGTGCAGGCCGACGCCGACCCGACTCGGGATCGGTGCGGCTTCGTGTCTGGCCACGACAGGGGTCGCCGGGCGCAACCGTTCTACGAAGATATCACAAGAATCTCTTGTATCCCTGCATTGTGATCGGAGAGACCATCGCATCATCACCACATTCAAATCGCCGCTCGCCATTCCCATCCCGCGAGCAAGAAAGGGATGGGGAGATAAACAGCCTGCACTCGGCATCCCGAGCACGGGATCGTCAGAGGATGCGCTGCGGCTCGCCGGAACCAGACGCTCAATTTTCACCGGGACCCACTCAGCCCACGCCCCTTCCACGATCGACGGTAACCCAGCTAGAAAAAATTCGCACGCTAACAGAGTCAGACCACCAACGCGACAAGCAAAGAATAGCCCAATGCAAAAAAGGGGCATGCCGAATCCACTCGTGCCAACTCTCCTTCCTAACTCATACGTTCGCAGTGCCCACCGGGCTGAACATCATCACCACTGCCAATCAACGTTCGCGATCGAGGTTGGTGTTATCTCCGTGGACCTTCCTTACTAAGAGTGAGACGTCTTTCCTTTCACTTGCCATTCGTGTGTGTACTCCGTAGTGACGATGCTTTCCTGAGGCGAGGTCGGGTCGTACCGTGTCTCTGTGCTGTACCACCAATCACATGTTTGTCGCAGTCGCGGAGCAATTAACGTTTTCGCTCGCTTGCATGCAAAGGCTTTGGAATAGGGCCATATATCCTGTATGTAGAGGCGGGCTCTGTTGGATGGAATCTACCTTCCGACAGTTGGCATTTGGAGATCGTTGGAGTAGTCGTGGGCACGGAGTAGCGCTCATCCCCTCGCCCTCCCACACGAAACAACAAAAGCGATTTTCAAATTCGGTACGGGGGCGCTCTTCAGACACAGTCCCACTAGATATCATCAATGCAAATTGTACCCTCTATCCATACCAAGGAAATTGGCTCGCTTCATCTGTACAACATAGACTTCGGTCATTTCTGGGTCCAGAAGCCCAGAACATAGATTTCAGTAGTAGTAAAGAGGGCTGTCAAACTTGCGCCAGTGTGGTTAAATCTATCCATGGAAAACACGACATTCTTCCCTGGTGGCTCAGCACCCAAGAAGCCTGATTCTAGGTGATACAATATATCCCGTCCAAAGCAATGTGAAACCTCAGCCAGGTCCCTAGAGTGCCTGAGATCTCAAGAGTTGCACCATCAAAATCCACCATTTATGACATATGATGTATATCACAGTTGCACCTGCACGGAATGCCCTGTCTGCTTCATGGTGTCTAGCCGTGACATTTCACTCTATTGTGACATGGATAGGACCTTCCAAGGTTGGGCCTCTTTTATCTATCAGCATCATGATGCGTAGCAACCCGGGTCAGTGTGCGAGTCTGCCCATTCACCATGTCTGGATACGCTCCGTGCATTGATGTGATCTCGATACATATCGGGAGCACAGATGCTCATAATTGTGGGACATCGCATCTAGGGTATATACCACTATGTCTCAACAACCACCCTCCAGAGCTGGGTTTATGATTCTCGATGTAAAATGGCATATATTAAATATGAAAATGTGGGATATGGACGCCCACGATAGTGAGAAACCAAGAAGGCCAAACCTTATGTAGATCAGTGCACGTCATGCAAACAAGGTCTCGACCTGCCAGAAAGATGGAACCTCTTCGTCCGACATTTCACCAACTGGACCTAGTTCAAGTGATTCAAGTCGACGCTGGGTAGGTTCCAAATCATCAATCATTCTAGCCCGATCTTGAACCAGGTGCTACGGCTCCACGACGAATGACGTCTAGCTCGCATTGGCCAGCCCTTGCGACTGACAGACGGCGTCTTTGAGCGTTGTCAGCCATCGCGGATCATCCGCCCATGTCTGATTCCATGGATCCGTATCACCATATGCAATCAAGCGAGCATGATCTTGGATCACCTCATCCGGTGGAAATTCGCCCGTTGTAACCTGTTCCTGCAGGTAATCAACCATCGCTTGACGAAGATTAGTGTATCTGTTGAAAGCATTTGGGACATCGTTATTCAACGACCATTCGCCTTCTCCGAGTGCCTCCATGTTCGATATCTTCCAAGGGTCCATGGTGCGCCGTTCGAGACCAAGTAAGAAAGGAGGGATCGCGTTCTCCACCAGACTTTCAATTTCTGGTTCGAACCCCCAACCCCCTTTCCATTGATTCATGTCTGCACCGCCTTTGAAGTGTTCTGCCAGGTGGTCGCCTCGTTCTTCCCAAGTGACAAATTCCGCCTCGCAGAATCCGCATCGTGATTTGATTGCTGACATTGTGTATCGCCACCGATCCATCGAGGGGTGGCAGGATACGCCATGTACCAGGCGGAGATGCTGACGTAGATGATCCTTTCTCGAAAATTGGCGTGCTTGTGGGTCCTTTTCTCGACAAAACAGATAGTTATGAACTTTGAGATGGTCGTCGTCCACGTTTTCTGCTAGACAAAAAACACAGATCCGGGTCCCTTGGATCTGGATGATCCCGCCCTCCGGCGCACAAGACCAGTGGTCTACAGAAAGATGAAGGGCCTTCTCATGCCGCTGCCAATCATACTTGCTGCGGAATGTTTCGGCGCAGAATGTACACTGATAGGTGCGCTTCTGGGACAGTGCTCGCTGGTCTGCGAGTTTCGACTTTTGTGTCTTCCGACGATGGCGACGTGATCTCATGCTGGGTATTGGCGTTGGGGGTCTCAGGGATGAGCAAGGCTGGGCTTGGAATGAAGCATCTGATCCAGAGGAGTGACTGTATTCACAGCTGCTTATTGACGGTGCACCGAATGTGAAAGAGGTGCTAGAGCCATTGCTAGACTCTGGGTCTGTCGTGACGCCGCGCTGGATTGCCTCGTACTCTGCGGGCTCTGGCGCACGCTGTAATGCTCGAAGGATGTCGGACGTTGCAGCGGGTTCCGTTTCTGGCGGTGAATACTGCCATCGTTCCAAAGGAGATAATGAAGTCAGGTTGGTGGAGTCCCCCTCAGGCGGGTGGAAGTTGCGTGGCAGTTTACGCCGGCGAGCATTGGTGAACCAGGTCAATATCTGTCGCTTATTCAGCCCTGTCTGCTGCTCCAGATCGACTCGCTCCTGTTCAGTGGGGTATGGATGACTCTGGTGTTGATAAAGCCATGATCTTAGCGTGTTGGCGGCGTGGGCGGGTATGCGTCGACGTTTGGCCCCTCCGCCAGCAGCCTTCTTCATCGGGATGCCGGTCTCTGATAGCGGAGCCTCTTCACTGTCTCCACATCCCCACGTAGAGACTAATGAATGAGAGACGTCGATAAGCTGCGAATTTTGACTATGCCTTGAAAGAATCTCATCATGCTGAGTATGGCCTTCAATCGGGCAGCTTGCCACAGCACTGTCTAGACACCAGTCGTTCAAGTTGTCAGAAAACCCAGCAGCAGTTTCCGGCTCGTGGTAAGAGTCAGTGGCGATAAAGTCTGTGTCCCAATCAAAGTTTCCAGCCTCCTGATTCGTGAAATCGTTGAAGGCGGCCGTTAAGAGTGAGCCCTCGACAACTGGAAAAGGCGTGGGCAGGAACTCGTAGTTGGGGAATTCCTCGCCAGCCATGCCTATCAGAAGAGCCGCGGTCGACCGAAATAGTCTGAAAGCAGGGGTACTGTAGGTCTCAGAAGAGCCTCGATCAGGGTGCCACTAGGCCGGAAGGATGCGTTCAACCCCCTTGACTGGATTGACTGGGCTGGACTGGACTGGGGAAGAGGAGAACGGTCGATGGCGGTGATCATGTGGGTCGAGCGCCCTAAAACTGACACGCGGGTTGCCGCCTTCCCGCATTATCTCACCACTCGGGATCTGTAAACAGTAGAGGCTCAAGACTGCAACAACTGTGTGCTTATTGATCGCATGTTAGCAATTGTTGAGGTGTGCATGTAAAGCAACATCGAACAATATCTACAAGCACCTAGAATCATCCGAGCAACAAAGCGCCTTGCACCCAGACTTACACGTAGTAGTGAGACTTATTCAACTCGAGTTTAATTATGAATAATCAGGAAGCAATTTGAATGCGGAAGCACAAAGTGGTTCATATGCAAATCATTAAGTCAAGAACTTTTTGGTCCTATTGACAGGGAGACGAGCCCCCGCAAATCATACGACTGTCTATTCACAGGCAAAGGCACTCCAGACCAAGACGTGGAGGATGGATAACCGTGTCAAATAGCGAAGACACTAGACAAAGAAACAGGAAACACAAACGCCCTACACCATTGCACCCGGTATGGAAACCAATTTGACCATGATTATGAATGGATCTTGATTCGTCGCCCGTAGCAGTGGGGCCCTTAACGGCGCTGGTTCTTACCGATACCGCGCTTTCCGGCGAACTGTTTTGACATAGGTTAGACATAATTTCCTCATCGAAAGTCAGAAGGAGGTAGGGGACACATACCAAGTGCTTAGGCAGAGAGGCGGTGGTGTGACGATCGGCCTCACCAGCACGAGCCATGCGGTTCATCTGCTTCTGGCCTAGCTTGTGCAGGCGCTCAGCCTTGGTGCGAGAAGGCTCGTCCACAACACCGTCATTACGACGGTCAGTAGCGGCCTGGCTGCGAGCACGGCTCTTAGCACGGGCGATAGCCTTGTGGGGATCATCAATGTCCATAGCGTCATCGTCGCCAACCTCACTGCGAGTCGTAGTCCGGCCACGGACCTGGCTCTGGGAACGGGCACGGTCGCCAGCAGCATCGATGTCGTAACCGGCGGAGTCCAGGGCACGCTCCAGCTGAGAGAGCTTCTTGGCCTTGGCACTGCGAGGGATGGCGGCGCGGTTCTTGAGCGACTTGCGCATCTTGGCCTCGTTGCGCATGAGCACACGCTTCTCGCGGATCAGATCGGCCTTCATGCGAGTATCGGCATCTTCGGCGTCTTCGACGCTCTCGTCCGACTCGTAGTATCCGTCGGCCTCCAGCTTCTCTTCCTCCTCCTCCAGAGCAGCCAGCTTCTTCTCGATATCGGGATCCACAAAGTCGTAGATATTCTTTCCGTTCCACACCTCGGGGATCTTGTCGTGCTTCCACTCGTCATTCGCCAAGGTGTAGTCGCGCTGCATATCGAAGCTGTAAACACCAGCACCACCTTGCTCCTCCTCCAGATCGCGCTCCAACTTCCGGCGGTTGGGGTCGTTCTTGTCGTACTTCTTGAGGTTCTTGACGGCCTCCGGGATGAACGTCTCCCGGGTCGCACCACCCATTGGCTGGGCAACGTGGATACGGGCCAGCACATCTCCGAGACGGCCACCGGGGGTACCGGCAGACGTGTTAGTTCCAGACTTGAGCTTCTGGGCCACTCGCTCGGCGAGCAGCTTGTCGCAAGCAGCATTCTTCACAGCAGTCACACCCTCGGTGGTGGTGCAGGAAGCCTGCAGAAGCTCGACATCACCCGACTTGAGAATTTCCTGCAGTTCCTGTTGCTCCTCCGGGTCCAGATCTTCAGGGCGGCGAACATCGATCTTGTTGATAACGATGTACACAACCTTGTTGGCGAACAAAGGCTTGATGCTGTGGAAGAGCTTGATCTGATCGGCGACGGAGTAACCGCACTGCTCGGAAAGATCCATGAAGTACAGAATGGCAGAGCGCAAGTGAGCAACAGCGGTGATGGACTGCATTTCAATGGTGTTCATCTCCTCAAGAGGGTGGTCGAGAATACCAGGGGTATCAATAGCCTGGAAGCGCAGGTACTTGTAGTCGAAGTGACCGACGAACAGAGACTTGGTGGTGAAAGCGTAGGGCTGAACATCGACATCGGCGCGGGTGATGCTGCGCAGGAAACTCGACTTGCCGACGTTGGGGTAACCACAGATCAGCAGGGTACGAGTGTTCGGGTCAATTGCGGGCAGACGACCCAAGTGCTGGCGGACCTGCTCCAGGTACACGAGAGGATCCTTGAGGCGACGGCATATAGTGGCCATGCGACCGAGCGCAGCGCGCTTCAGCTGCTTGCACTGGAAGAGCGATTGCGCATACTTGATAAGACGAACGTAATCGCGGGAAACGGTTTCGATCAGGTGCTTGGCAGTCGAAACTTGACCGAGGGCAATGCGGAAGTGGTCGGCATCGTAGAGGGTGTTCATCAGATCCTTGTCTGATCGATGTTAAACTCTGCTCGAGGCGCTAGTAATGAGCGAAGACGACTTACGGAAAGGATGAATATCCTGCAGGCGAGGGAATCCATCAAGAATGGCCTGGAACTTCTCACAGAAGGTCTCCTGGGTATACTTGACCTTACGGGTGTAGAAACCTGTGGCAAGAAAATTCGATCAGTCAAGCTGCGATAGTGGTTTATCGATAACCCGATCGCCATTTTTTTTCCCTTGAAACTGTTCGGTGTCGCTCCAAAACGATCGGGTTCGATGAAATAATAAGAGCCATACCTCTGATACGACTGATCTTGAAACCAGCACGGATTTGCGTGGGAAGCTGGCGCTGGGTACGGCTGAGGACGATGTCCAGGAATTCCTGGTTGGTGGGCACCGGCGCAATCTGGCGGTCAATAAATATCAGCGGGCAATTCTCGAAGTAGCAGAGGTTGCAGGGTGCAAGAAAAGAAGGAGACTCACATCCTTCCAAGTCGTCTTCATGATGGGCCACAGGAGTCAAACAGTAAACGTATTGACTCTGGAGTGGGAGGTTGTTGGGGGTCCGGTTTGATCTCCGCGAAAAAATTGTTTGGCGGTCTTTTTTTCTGCCAGGCGGTGAACAAACGCGGGGGTCAGGATTGGGTGGCGATTAACCGAGCCCGGCGGACTACTCAGTTGCATCAGTTCAAGTTTGAGTATTCAATAAGACGATGGAATTAGATCTCCGTGAGGATAGTCTGCAAAATATTTGGTGCATGACTGTATAATTTTCATGTGGGAGTGCGAGTATACGAGAGGCCAAGTCCGGAATAGCACCCAATCCATGAACGGAACAGCAACACTAAGTAGTACAGCTCGAATCGATTCTACAACGTTGATGGAAGGTTTCCATGGTTGAATTTCTGAGGGAAAGGCATACTCATTTACATTGCATTCCAGATATGGTACACAAGCCCTCGCGACTGGGGTGGCCCGAATCCTTTTTTTTTCTTTTTCCTTTCCCATGGAACTGTTAGACTGACCATCACAATCCCGTTCCAGTTAAAAACAAAACAAACTCCATTTTCTTTTAATCCCGAGGACCAAAACCGAGGGCCGGACATGAAGGTGCGTGAACAGGGGCATGAGTATAACAGGGAAAAGACACAGAAAAAGGGTGGAAAGTAATAGGAACTAGGAAAACGTCGTGCAAAAGAGGTGAACTAGTAGACTCCTGATGGCAAACGGCAAACAGTCATAGACACGGTCCACGCCGGGGAAATGCATACCTTACCCATCACTGGGGTAATTTAAGGAAACTGAATAATTCGCTCGTGTTCTAGCCCTGCAGGGGCTCATTCCCGAATTCCAGAACCTGGGGATCGTTAGTACCGTTCTAAAATCATGATTATACAGAGAAGGAAAGTGAACGAACCAGATCCCTCCATCCGCCGCCGCCGAATTGGCACTTGCTCTCGCCACAATCCTCAAAGCCGAAAGACTTGTAGAAGTCCACCAGGTGGTCATGAGCTATGATCGCGATCCGATCGGCGATCTGAGCCTCCCGAATGCGGTGAATATACGACTTCATGAGAGTGCTACCGACCTGCTTGCCCTGGTGCTCTTCCAGCACAGCAAGTGAATGAATCGCAATAGTACTGCCACCCTCTTCATGACCAACGGCTTCGCCATCCTCAAATGTCCAACGCTCGCTTTGCCAGTTGGAAGGAAGCTTCATGGATTTATCGGTGACGCAGGGCCCCGATGTTCGGGTGGCAATGATGTGGCCGACAAGCGTCGCGGGGGGCTTGGGATCACCGGCCTTGATGATAGGCAGAGTAAAGAGTCCCAGGCTGAGTTCTGGGCACCGGCTGAGACGGTAGATAAACTATAGAGCGAAACCCGTGTTAGCTGAGAATCTTCTTGAGCAATGTTTCCAGTCCGATCCACTGGAACTCTTTACGCAAAGCCACAGGTGGTATTGCCAAGGGACTTGGCCTGCAATACCCTTGAATCGGAGCCGCGAGCAGACTTCCTTACCTTGTCACGCGAGCAACGCTCCGCCTCGGGGAACGCCTTCTCCACCTCGACGCAGTCTTCAACATTGGAAACGGAGAGCAGTTGGACGAAAGGGTGCAATTCATCGAGCTTGGTGCGGTGCTGTGTCGGGGGGCGGCGGAACCAAACGGGGAAATCATTGGCGTCCTCCTGGTCGACGGCGACATAGTCCTCGTCCACCTCTTCATCGACCTCGTCGTCCTCGAGTGGAAAGCCATTGGCCAGGGAGATGCCGGCACGGCTCATAAAGCGAGAGAGCTCACTGTTGCTAGGGTTCGGCAGGGCCATATCCTCGACATTGGACAAAGGCTTCAGGCCCGTGGTTTCGGAACCGGGCATGGACTCCGAGGACCGGTCACTGGGGTCGGACATGGCTTAAGGGAAGATAATCGGGTATCTTGGCTGGGGTCGAGGGTACTGGTGGAAATGGGATTGAAAGTGATCGCGTGTGAACAGAGGCGCACGTTCGCAGTCGCAGTTGCAGGGGGGTCCCGGTTGAGTGGGGGGAGATCGAGGGATGCAAATCTGGACCGGTGGGGATTAGTATGCAAGTGACCAAGTGGGTGAGTCTAGCAACAAAAGTGGGAGTTGAGCCCTCGAGCCTCAGCCCGCAAGTCTCGAAACCCCAGTGGCCAAGACCGCGCTGCAGTCGCGATTGGTGGCTGGTGTGGGATAAGAATCTGCGACGCTGCGACGTAGTTGTGCGCAAGGAGGGGCAGCCAGCGGGCGGGATTGAGAGGACGTCCCAAAAGAGAGGAGAGGAAGAAAGGGAGACGAAGGGGCTGCGAACCTGTGTGGGATTTGCGCGCGTGGAGGTGTAGATGAAACAACTGGGAGTCTTCCGTGCAAAGCCAAAAAATACGATGGAAGTGGCGGGAGGGTGACTTATCGGTACCGCCGCGACGCCCGAGATCGCCCTCTCCCGCAAAGTACTCGGCGGTAGCCCTCGGTCCAAAGCGGTCAGCCATTTGCAGGAACAGGTTGAGGGCTGCAGACTGCAGTGGTCGATCTTGATAGTGGTCCTTTCTAGCCTTACCAGTATGTAGCAATAATTATCCTCGGCTCAACCCAAGTTAGTTCGGATGGAAAGTGTTTAATCATCAGCAATCAATATGAAAGAATTCTATCATAAGACGGAAATATATACTGACAGAATTTCCATCCAATACCGCCTTGCAGGCTTGAGTTTCTCACGGAACATCTATACCACCACAATAATTCAGTCTGAACATGTTAATATAATATAGTCTGGGAATAGTCACCCGGGCATCTGCCAGTGCTAGTCTCGTGTCACTTTCAATCGCAACCAACGGCAATGCTGCGCACTATCGTGGAGCAGATCCGTCTCGAGTTCCACGCCGGGATGCTACTAGTAAGGTGCCAGTGGGCTTGGTTCCTAGTATACGATCTAATCTAAAGCCATCTAGCCCCGGCTGGTTCCATAAGCCCCCGCCAATGTCCCGACGACAAGGATCCGAACCTGCAGAGGCCCTGGGCTCTTTCACAGCTGCCGCTAAGGCTGCCCCGCCTGGTGGATGTCTGCCTGAGAATCTCCATCGGGAGTGGATTACTCCCCTGGGGACAGCCAATGCAGAGACTGCGTCCATAAAAGATCCGGGAATCTGATAAATTGCTCAAGTCAGACACGATCAGCCGACGCCGGGTCGGACCAACATGCCCAGGACGAGTTAGCAACTTCGGGCAAAGTCGACGTCGCCGGGAGGTTAAATCCCTCTCCCCGAAGGATCGCCAGGCGGTGAACCGGAGCCGAGGATGCGTCATGCCCGTCCGATTTACTTCTCCCTGCACTTTTCTTTTTCTTTGGATACGCTGGCCGTTCTGAACAACTCGAGGCTTTTCTTCCGGTCGCACGGCCGGTGTTTGGTGGCTAAACAATGAGCTCTCGAGCTTTCAGCTGGCCGCGTACAGCCCCGGCTTCGCTGGCAAAGGTGGGTATTGATTATCTCCGGATACTTCCACCACCCAAAACTGACCCCAACATTTCTCGCCATAGCAACATGTCGTTCGTCCAAATGACTCTGCGATACACCCGGCGCAGTCGCTACCCCGCGCTCAGCAGCTTGCCGATTTTTCCACCACCAGTCCAAGTCACGACCGACTAGGGCGCCGAGCTAAAGAGAAGCTGCTGGATCGGGTGCGTGACTCATAGAAATTGGGATGCAAAGTCAATGGCTAATAGGAACGTACAGGAATTCTTCCTGAGCTTGCTCAGCTCTGCCTCTACTAAGCGCGAGGCCAAGTCGTACCTGTCTCGCTTCAAAAATAGCGCTCCCAAGCCAGTCGAGACAACAAAACCCGCAGCCGGAAATGAATCCCTCAAGGAAGACCCGTCGGCAGCTTCGCCCTCTGGGGTAAACCTGGGATCTTTTTATGGTGCATCGCGAGCTGTTTACGACAGCCCGGTGTTCTGGCAGCACACCACACCTGCGCCACGAGGTGAGGAGCCGGCTGAGAGACTTCATCTGGCCTTAATTAAGATTACGACACCCCAATCCCTGGAGGACGAGGTTGTCAATGGGGTTGCGAAGACTCTGTCACAACTCGTACGTTTAGGAATGGGATGTTGTGTGGTAGTTGATCCGGGCAAGGTGGACAGCTCTACTGTGCGGCAAGTTGCCATCGAGCAGGCTAATCGAATCTCGGCTGCGGTCGATGAGCAGCCCGACTCCAAAGCATTCCGTTTGGACTCGGCACTGTCGATTTCTGAAAAGGGCCATCGTCAGCCGACTGTGATGTCACGCAAGGCACTTTTGAGCCCACTCCGGGACGGCCATGTCGTTATCGTCACCCCAGTTGCTTATCTGGAAGAGAACCCTAGAGCCGTGCCTGTGTCTGCGGATGATGCCGTGCTTGCCTTGACCAAGGAATTTGCGGGTCTGTCTACTGTCCCAGACCCAGATGAGGATCCTATAATCTCTGCGGAACGGATTGATAGCCTGCAAAAAGAAGTCTCGCTCGACCGAGTAATTCTCTTGCACCCCCTGGGAGGCATTCCAGCCTTCAGAGGACCACAATCGTCTCATGTTTTCATCAACATGGAACAGGAATTTGACGAAATCGAGGAGGAGCTGTCGGAAACAAGAGAATCTATCTCTGGAAAACCAGGTGTTATACTGCCACACAAGGACACCGGCCCTGCGTCCGCTCTCTTGGATAGCAATCCATTCTCCAAGTTCGTCAATGCGGATGTGATCTCTCCCTTGCCTGGGCAGTCGAGCCAGCTGCCCGGTGCCGAGGCGATGGGAATGGTCCTCGATGGCCATCTAGAGAACCTTCGACTATCTCGTGCGACGCTGGCTCTTCTACCCTCGGCCTCTTCTGGCATCATTGCTTCTCCGCAAGAAGTGGCCAACTCTGCCCGCCCACCCCAAGTTGCTCCGTCCGATGTTTCCGCCGTCGGAACGCGCCGCCAACGTAACCCTCTCATCCACAACCTTCTCACCGATAAACCTCTTCTCTCATCTTCACTGCCTCCAGGGCGCCGTGGCGCTGGCAAGGGCAGACCCAGTGCTATCAGCCCTCTTCCACCTCACACCACCTTTGTGAAGCGAGGCATGCCTCTCACTATCCTCCCCAACCCACATGTACAAATGTGGACTGCCCATGGCCAACGGCGTCTACAGCTGAACGACCCATCTATCGATCTGCCCCGATTGGTGCATCTGATCGAGGATTCTTTCGACCGCAAGCTTGATGTGCAAGACTACCTGCAACGAGTCAACGATCGCATCGCCGGCATCATTGTCGCAGGTGAATATGAAGGTGGCGCAATTCTCACCTGGGAAACACCACCAGGTGTGATAGACGACGGCAGCTCAGAGAATGCCGCACGCATGGTTCCGTACTTGGACAAATTTGCAGTGCTCAAGCGTAGTCAGGGTGCCGGTGGTGTCGCCGATGTGGTGTTCAACGCGATGGTGCGTACATGTTTCCCCAATGGGGTCTGCTGGCGCAGTCGCAAAGACAACCCCGTGAACAAATGGTACTTTGAACGGTCTTGTGGCTCTTGGAAGCTATATGACAGCAACTGGACGATGTTTTGGACGACGCCAGGCTTGCCGGAAGACACGCAGCGTTTCCAGGACTACGAAGCCGTGTGTCGGGCCATTCAGCCTAGCTGGGCAGACAACAAAAGCGTCATTGATTAATGCACATAGAACGATGACGATTTTCTGTACACTGATGCTATATAGCGGTTTCTCTTGCCGCGGCGAAATTGGAAATGTGAATAGCCACACTTCTTGGTTTTCCTTGATGTAATAAAGTGTACTATTTCAGACTATTTGATACTATAATACAGTGTTACGACTGTAGTGCCTGATGTAGTACATGTAAAGACACCCCTGTCAGGCCAGTGGGTCAAGTCTAGAACACCCTCCGCCTTTGCGCAACTAAGCAACAGCCCGGAGCTTAGCAGATTCCCCGACCGCCCGCTTCCTCTTCCACGCCGCAATGACACGATGCCCATCTGCATCGAGTGCTCCTATCCGGTCTCACACCTGTATAGCGCATACAGTCGTGCCGATGACCGCTCCCAGGGCAAAGGAGTGCGATTGACCCAGTGTCCGCGGTGCCAGCGCTTCGCGGACAAATACGTCGAGTACGACTTCGTCGTGATCTTTATCGACCTGGTGCTCATCAAACCACAAGTCAGTTACCAAGTGCTACAGTGTACGCGCGCTCGATCAATAACTGACTGTCGTGTATGAGCAGGTTTACCGCCACTTGCTATTCAATCGGCTCGGACGCGATGACAACCGCTTTGACGTGAGCCACCTTGACTACCCTCCCCTCGGGGAACAAGAAGCTAATGTGCTGGGGCTATAGCGGTCAATCATTCGCCTCGGTGTTCTCCTTCTGCTCTTCGATGTCTACCTCACCTGGGCGCGTCTCGAAAAAGACCCTACTCTCGCGACGACCTTCCTGTCGCGTACTCCAATCGTCGTGCAATACCTCTTCTTCCTCACCCTGAACGCGGCCACAACCCTCGCACACCACCTAACCGTGCGCCTCCTTGCCTCGATACTCGTACCGAAATCGCGCCGCTATGGCGCCTCAGAAGTCGGAAGCGGCAATAACACCGCGCCATCTGGCACAACCACCGGCGACACGACCCCTTTCCCCTCCGGCCCTCCCACACCAACAATGCGGCCCTCTCCCTCGTTGCAGCTTCTCCCAACACAGTTTACGACACAACAACTAGTCTCGGCCGCTGCCTCGACGAGTATCATACCAAATACAAATGCTGGCGACATGAACTCTCCAACCGACCAATTTCCACAGGCCCAAAACACCAACATCCCACCACCACAACGCCCAGCACCACCCCTCCGACGCACCTCAATCGCACCTCCACAAATGATCCGACCTCTCCCACCCCCAACAGCCGCAAGCCCAACAGCAATCAGCACTGCGCTCCTAGTTAGCAGCTGCGCAAAGCTCTTCCCCATTCTCCTGGTAATATGGGGCGCCGACGGCCGCGGCAACGCAACAGAAAGCAACCCAGGCACAGGACGGAAGGATGTCGGCGCAGCAAAAGCAGCACTATCTTCAGACCGGGGCTCCAACTCTGCGCCCTCGTTTCTGGAATCCTCACTTGCGGCAGCTGAGTCCCTGCTTCGTCCCTATCTCCCGACGACTTATCTAACGGGACTATTCGATTGTCTCGCCTCATTGCTTTCGCTTGGCGTGGTGGATGCGCATCTTGTGCTGCTGAGCAATATTGAGGCCCTTTATATCCTGCTTGGATGTGGGTATTTGCGCGCCGTGGCCGTTGCGGTCGCGGGTCAGATTGCTAGGTGGGCGGTACAGAGAGTTATTCTTGGAGCTGTCGGAGTGGGATAGGACGGTGTTGAGATCCTACTCTAATGCCATGAACGGAGATGTTTGAGATATTGCATATAACCCTATTAATCGGGTAGCTTTTAATGAGCATCCTCATTTAGTTACATTCTACCTGCCATTCTGCACTCGTATAGTTCAACTGTAGTGTATGAGACCAACATACACAAAAGCAAGGAGAAAATCTAATATTTCATTCAAGGAAAAGATGACTAAACAAAACACCCGCAACCCAAGTGAAGACGATTCGGATTATCGCTGAATCTCGCCACAAGCACCGCAGACTCTGGTGAAACGAGAAACATCAATTCAGAGTCAGGATATCAAGAAGATATCAAATCTCTCAACCCGACATGATACATGATACACTCAGTGACCACGAAATCATCGACCCGAAAAAAGACGATAAGGAATCAAAAATCCGGCATCAATAGCTAGTCTATTTAATTCGGTACCCGCCCAGGACGGATGTCGGCTCGCTTTGGTGAGATGAGGGGATTCAATTGGGCGAGGAAAACGATTGCTATCACGCAAATTAGTATTGTTTCTCCTTGTATATGGGGCCGGGGAGTATGGCAAAAATGAAACTTACCCCACATCAAGTAACAGGAGACAAAGGAGAGGATGAGTGTGCTGCGCCAGACACTACAGAGAATCATTAACTGAGTCCAAGAGTAACAGATGGAGGGAAAAAGACTTACGTCCGGCTATCATTTTTCGGGGCAAAGAACCATGCTGCCACCGAGGCGGCCACGACGATGATCAGGCCGACGAGGAGACTCCAGCTAGAAGGGGTGTTAGCGATTCGTTCCAGATACCGTTCATTTCAAGCGCGGAGAGAACATACCCATTCGCCATTTTGATTGTGTATGTTCTGGTATGTGAATTGAAGAGCTGCGATCTCTCAAATATGCTTGAATCTAGCAATGTCCACGGATTCGTCCGAATAAAGTATCCAGTCCGCGGCGTGGGGAGGTGTAGTCCTGCCACAGATCGGGAGAGTGTGCGCGGTGAATCGAATCAGAAGGGGGGGGGGGGGGGGAGAGGAGGTTCCGTGAAGCCGCGCGATATCCCCGGTATTTTAAAAGAAGCAGTACTCGTAAGTCGGCCTTGAACCAAGTCAAGAAGTCCCAGGTTTGTCTTAGGTGCGATGATGCGGCGAGAGAAGTTGCGGCCAGGTGGACGGGAGTCGGCGACGCAGCGCGTGGTTCCGGGTTTGACGAGGGCCAGAGGAGAAGGATAGGGCTCGGGCTTCGTCGGTTCTTATGTGCGAATGTAGCCCGATCAGATGCGGCGGGCGGAATGTCGGGTTTGAGAGGCGACCTGGCGGTTGTAGCGGAGTTGGATGGAGCTCCTGGAACTAGCGGGACCTTGGCGGCCTCAGGTGTCAGGGCGCTCACTACGGCCCGGCCACGTACTACGTACTACCGTAGATAGTAATGAGACTATGTACTTAGCTACCTTAGCATACGAGGATGGTGCTACAATGTAGAATTATTTAAGTGAGCACCTAAATTCAACGATTCGAATGTTAAGTCTTACATCTTTCCCTCTACGTGAGGGAGCACTCGACTTGTACCTTATGTGACAGTCCGGTCATCTACTATGTGTATCAAACAGACACACTACGAAGACAGCCACTAGAATAGGAAGAGCAGGTCATTCCAATTTCATTCGCTAGGGCAAAGATAGAGGAAGCAAAATTCCATTGTGGTCCCTTGGGATGCCACAGAAAAAAAAAAGGGATAGGTACAAAAGGCTATCAGTCGGGCGCGTAGTACTCAGACCAACAACGCTCGGAACCGGGATAAAAATCAAGAAGTAAAGGCTCTCTCTAAGCGCCTTCACGGCTCTTACGGTAACTGGCCTGAGCTCGCTGTTAGGAATCCAATAATCTACAGCGAGGATTGCTTAATCGCTTACCTCTTGTTCGACCTGGAGAGCATCCACAGTCGGGGCAAGCTCACTCAGAATCTCATAGGCCTTCTTGTGGTACTCCAGCTGGGCGGCGATCAGATCGGCCAGGTTGCGAAGGGGCTCGGGGGTATCAAGAACCTGCAGCAAGGGGTCGTGACATGTTAGTCGCGGATTGACAACGCGGGAAGGCAACTTCGCCTTGTACAAGAATCGGAGACAGGGGAATACATACGTTCTTCATAACGCTGACGGCCTCCTCGGTCTGGCCAACAAACTCATCCTCAGCCTGCTCGATCTCGGAACGAGCATCCTCACTCAGGTTCTCCTCGCCACCAGCAGCAGCCTTCTTGGCAGCCTTGATCGAGTCAAGAGTCAGACGGGCATTCTCGACGTTCTTGCGAGCCTTGGCCGCGAACATCAGGTTGGTGTTGAGAGTGGTGTTCCAGCCAGCCAGGAAGCGGGACTGGATCTGAGCGTCCTGAGCGAGACGAGCCTCGCCGACCTTCTCCTCAGCAAGAGCGTACTGCTCTAGAGCAGAGGCAAGAGGGTCCTCGCCCTCAGAGCTCTGCACCAGGGTCTGGGAACCGGCGAGCGAGGCGCGCGCAATGGCGTGGTTGAAGGTCTTGGGTTGGGGCTTCGCGGTAGGAGGAGCGGTCAGGGCGGCCTGGGCCTCGGCGGGAGAACCAGCCTGCGAGAGGAGGGCGACCTTCTCGTTGATGGTACGGCCCAGGTCATTGAAAGACTCGCGGATGTTGGGCGGGTAGTCGTAGGCTTCGTTGGAGTATTGGGAGCTGTTGTCGCAGATCGGATGACCCACACGTCAGCGGCGGTATTCTCTGGGGAGGACCATGTGCTGATACAGAGCACTGAATTGAGACAGAGAGGGAGGGGCAAAACTCACGTCACTTGAAGCAGCTTCTGGTGGACCAGCTTGAGCGCATCGACGCGCTTCTCGAGCTTGATGTACTCATCGGGGAGCTGGGTCTTGTCTTCAGCATGGCCCAGCTGCTCCCGGATCATCTGCTGGGTGCGCTGCGCGAAAGGCGTGAAGTTCGCGCTATCGGCGAAAAACGTTAGCCAAGACGTCAAACCAAAGACCACGGTCCAGATCGTGCACGATGGGGGGTGGTGATGTGGGTAAAGGAGAGGGTAAGGTGTCCGAACGGGGACTTGGGGACGTGGCAGTGCTCACCTGAAGTTCTTGCCGAATGCCTGCACTCGATCCATGATTGCGGTTTGAGGGAGTGAAGGTCTTGGGGGAGAGTAGAAGGAGAGGATGATAGAACGTCAACGCATGTGAGCAACGAAGGTGCGACGGCCGTCCGCTGCACCGCCCCACCGCACCGCCACGCAGACACCCGCGGGTTCTAGATTTACCATACTCCAAAAGGCCCGCAGATCGAATTTCGAAGGTAAATATGTAAGAATATGGGACCTACTGAGATACCTCCAGGTGAGAGATAAGAGACGAAAATAAAAAATACAGTGAGAGAAATAGTCGCGAAATGCGTCATAATCCGTCCAGATCGTCAAATCATCATGATTCTGTTCCCACTCGCCAAAAACTCCTACAAAATCACTGGCACCAGCCTCATGTCCATCATGTCAAAGTTGCAAACATGGCACGCATTACCCGAGAGTTGGGTTCTAGAACCATCTTAGTAGCTGATCTACTATATAGTCCGACAAATAGCGTCTATGAAGACTCACCTTTGCGTTCCGACTTGTTGTACTCAATTCTCTCCTCCGCGTTACCTCGATCATCAATCGTATCAGTTTCTTTCTGGCGGGTGATTTCGATTCCACCCTGACGCTCCAGGCGCAGCAGCCTGGTCTCCTCCTCAAGCTCACGAATGTATTCATCAACGTCATGGTCAGTTTCTCGAGGGCGAACCACCATAAGTTGACCGGAGTGGTGTGGCCGGGTCTCAATGCGTTCCTCGAAGTGAGGCCGAGACTCAACCAGTCGTACAGGAGACGATGCCCGGCGACGTCCATGCACAGAGATGGATCGCGGTCGAGAGATTGCTCGGTGGCGATAGCGAGGAGGTTCGACAATTTCTTCGTACTCAATATCGTGCCGGCGTGACGGGGCAGCCTCGACAATAAACGCCTCGTGGCTCGAACGGGGGGAATGGTGGTGCGAGCGCGAGTGCGAGTGAGAGTCAATCTCAAGGTACTCGGTAGTGACTCGCTCGCGGGGAATTTGTCGAACTGGCGAGCGTGGGACGCGAAGATATTCAGCTGCATAGCGATGGTTGTCAATCAAGGTTGATTGTCTCCCATGGGAGCCACGAGAATGTAACCTACTCTCTGAATGAGCAGGACGGTGGAAGGATTTGCTCAAGCTGATCACTTCATCGATCTGCTCCTTAGACAAGGCTTTCTGGATGATGATTGTCTCATCCTATTTTCGTATATCAGTATGAGGACCATGGCGCCAGGCCTCCCAATTCGCGTTGTCAAGAGCTTACTTCTTCCTTGAATGGATACCCCAGGTCGAGGATAGCATGAACGTGCACCCACTTCCGTGGAATGCGGGTTTTGCCCTTGCGTGGGTATGGTTTTTCTTCATGACGGTGATGCGCACTGCTGCTAGAGCGACGCCGACGACGATGCATTCTCTCTCTATCGTCAAACTCACGGAATTCTTCGTCGCCGTAGTAATCGGGCTCGGCGATGCGGATGTCTTCATACACTTCCCGTTCACGGTAACGACCAGGCGAGGGCCGCTGTGCCGGCGGTGGGGGAACACGCGGCATGCGGGGTGCACGATCGCGAGCCTCAAATGCTTCCATCTTGCGGCGGGGGATGCGATCGAAGGTGTCCAGGGACGACTGCCGCCTAATTAAACGGGGCGGAGCGAACGATGGGCTATCGTCACGTCGACGACGGCGGTCATGCGCCACCAGGGGGCCAGAATGATGAGACAAGTGTTCGTCCTCATAGTATCGACCTGCTGCGCGGGCAGGTGGACCATACCGGTCCTCGTCGCGCATGCGTAATTCGAAGCGTTCATCTTCTCGGACGCGGGGTCGTTCTCGCTCGAGTACCGGTGGGCCTCGAGAATGGCGATCGGACCGATCGCGAGAATCTAGTGTTCCAGTCGAAGAACGGTAGTCGTCGTAGCGCGACATGGTATCGGGCGTTTTGGAGACGACCAAGAGCGCCTTGGGGAAGGATGACGGAGTGAACCGTGGATGACGAGGGCGGCTGACTTCGGCGGGCCGACGGTGGGGTGATGAGGAACCACGGGAACAGAGGCCGAAAGGAAGAAGATGATTGAAGTTGAAAGGGAGAATGTGCAGAGGAAGAAAGAGATGGGGATGATCGGAGCTGAAAGAACGAGCTAGTGTTCAGCCTTAGGGACGCAGCGTCAGGCAGAAGCGCCGATGATGACATGCGAAGTGGGGGAGTCTTCTACTTTGGGGAGTGCCCGCGGCGGGACGGTGTGGCGGTGACATTGTTTCTGCACGCTTCAGCCACACCACCTGCCCAATTATCCTGGAGGATAATCGTACAGATGCATCATTCTGTCTAAGGTGTGACAGGTGCTAGTCCGAGTTTGGTAGCAGATACACGATTCTTTCCCATCCAAAATGCCCTAACATATTCTAAGAGCGGCCACTTCACAGTTCTAGGTTTTCCATGTCGCCCTCCAGGCTGAGCAGCCCCATTGCCAGATACGCCCGATCAGTGGGCTGCACCGTCACAAAGCGTCGGTCGTCGCTCTGCTGCCCACCAGAATCCCGGCAAAGTACATCCTGTGGCTGAGGCTCCGTTAGTCCGAATCCAAATGGTTGGGTACGATGGCACTTACATGGTTCTCACGATCTCGAGGCGATTCGAAAGACCGCTCATAGGGCGGGCCACGTCCATGCTTGGCTGCGACAATCCAGGCCTTCTCACAGCCGCTAGCGATAGCGTCGGAGGTCTTCCATCCAGTCAGTCGCGACACATCGCGCAGTTTGGTTATCGTCCAGCTACGCTGCGTCGGATCCATGTACTGCACAGCCGCAAAGAAGATGGGCATTGTCATCTCAGTGAGCGACGAGCCAAGGTTTGGGCTCAGGCTGCCCGCCTGCAGGTTGTGTCGCTGCGGATAGTAGATACCTGCAGTGATCCGCCCGATGAATTGTGCATATTCCGCTGTCGTTGGGGCAGCCACCCCTGCAGCCATCATCATGGCAGGCGGCATTGACGGATGGAGTCGATGTAGCAAGATGCGACCTGTGTAGAAGAAACCCCATATCACAGCCACGGTGTGCGTGCGATATGACAAGGCTGATCCAAATGGAGTTGGGATGGACGGAGTCACGTCTGCGGGTAGCGGCTGGAAATCTCGTCCGAGTGCTTCGGCGTAGGCATCTAGAGCGGCGAGGATTTCCTCCCAATCTTGCTCTGCTTCATTGTATCTCTCCTCTGTCTCCTGATGGCTGAAGTTTGAGTTTTCGTCTCCTTCCTCTGATGACTCTCTGTGCTCCAGGCGGCCGTCTACGAAGCCAGATGGGAGGTGAGTGGGAGGTCCAGGTGGTATCATGCCATACATGGGTGGACCTTCTGGAGCAGCTGGCTGGGATGGCGGACCGCCCCGTGGAGGACCCGGTGGTGGTCCCGAGGCAGGACCAGGCCCGAAGTTCTGATGACCAGGGCCGGGTGGAGGAGCCCCAGGAGGCTTTCCAAGGGGTCCCGGTTTCCTGTTCGGACCGCCACCAGCGAAACGACCCATGAACTTGAACATTCCGGGACCGGGTCGCCATTCTGTCCCAGCAGCACGAAGCGCTTTCAATTTCCGTTTGCGGTCTCGATATCCAAAATCCGAGATGCGTGCAAGGAGTAGCCAAAGATGATCGGCAGATCCATAAATGGCATCTATCCTGCCCATGCCCGCTCGAGGTGGACATTGTCCTTTGAGGTAGAAAGGCGTGCTGAATTCATCCATGGTAAACAACAGAACGCTTATATCGGTCAAGTATGTGAACTTACAATAGTTTCTCTCCACTGATCAAGCTGTGAAAGACATCTTGCTTCGTAAACCACCAGTACAAGTCGCACTGGATTCGGAAATGCTCAATGTCCTTGCGCGTAAAGTGTTTCCTGGGGGTGAAAGCGTGTCCGTCTTCGACAGTTCCAAACTCGTCGTATTTAATCGCTCGCCCTAGCATGCTACTGACGAAGGCTTCGTCGACAGTGGCCTCTTTCTCGGCGAAAGGATCGTCCTCGGTTCCATCGCTGCCGAATCCATACAAATGCATTTGCGGGTTCGACCATCCCATCATTTGTCGCTGCTCATTGATTCCACGCCGGTATGCTCGAAGGTCTCGGGTTGTTCCTGCGAAGTCAATCTCTTTGATGAGCTGAGCGGCGCCAGCAACGTGGCTGTTCCATTTAGAATGATCAGCCGATATCACCTCATAGTAGGCAAGCAACTCTGTGGCAGCCAAAGTCCCAATTTGCTTGCGTCGCATTGGAAGACCAACAGCCCGACCGATACGTTTCAACGCGTAGTGATAGTGCTTCAGGGAGACAGTGGAAGGTACACCTTGTAGATATGCGATGTGGAGACTGCTGATAGCAAGAATAGCCTGGAGTAGTGCGGGGTGCTCCAAAGCCTTGAGAGGCAGTGTATATGTCCAAAGTCCTTGTTGAGCGGGCGGCACCTGCACACCCAGAACTATGGAGGAGTCTGTGGGATGCCGCTCAAAAATAGACAAAGACGGGCCAGTTGAATGAATGAAGTGGGCAAAAATGCGGGCCGTCTTTGGATTGTTGAGTGGGGACGATCCCAGAGAGGGACGGTAATTAGCGAGGATGTTAGGTTCGTTCAAGTGGCTCGTAAACGAGCGAAGTTGACTGTCATGGTTCGCGGAGGCCATGATGAGGCTCAGCTGATTGAACCCTTCTGTTTGTGTTTGATCTATCATATCATCGTCCGATTCTACATCGAAGAAATCTTCACTTTCGTCTTCCACATAGACAACTTGGGGTTGAGACAGCGGGATGAATGGCCTCGGTGTTGTGGTCTCTGGAGACAGCTTCCCGGGTTGTTGCTGATATTGATACATGGTACCTGGCTGTTGTATCGGCTAGGACAAAATTTAGTGGCTGGCCTAGTTACAGCTAAAGGGATATAGGTAGGTACCTGTGGGAACAATGGGTTCTCATGGCTCTTATCCTCGGCTGATTCCCTAGCTAGTTGAGCGGCATATTGGGCAGCGTAATCCTGGGATGTTGGGAAATTATCCCAGCTGGTCATTGGCTGCGAATACAACGTGCTTGGGTCCTGCTGGGAATGGTACTGATAATGGCTTTGCTCTGGTACAGCGGACCTCGGCTGCAGCTGTGGCTGTGGCTCCGATTGGGACTGTGATTGCGCCGACTGTGACTGTGGCTGTGACCGTGACCGTGAGTGTGTGGGTGGGTAGTCGACGGGAGCAGCATGTTGCGGACTATGGTTATTTTGTTCAGCCGGCCATGATTGAGGAGTTGATTGAATCGGTGGCGTTGGGTAGTAGAACTGTGGTGCAGTGGCCTTTGAAGCACTCTCCGGCGGCAATGCTGGAGATGGCTGGGTCGCAGTGGGAGGATATCCTATCGCCGACATATCCACGGGTCGTGGGGCCAACATGGGGTGCTGGGCAGCTGCCGCGGCCTGCTGTGCGGGTAGAGGTCCATAATCATTGTATAGAGGCACTCTCATCTGTTGTTGCATCTGGAGACCTTGGCTCTGGGGTGGCCCAAAGGCGCCAAAAATGCCCACGGGGTTCTTGAAAATGACTCTCTGGGCATAGCCTACACATGCGAGAATGAGTAAGTCAATGTTTTTAAATAATGGCTTGCATTCAACCCGCGCGCCTAGAGACCTTAGATAGAGGCACTCTTGGTCTGCTGGTGCATTCTGGCCTGGAGTTCCAAATGGTTCTGACCTTCGCATACTCGTCTCGCTTTGATGCAATTGCCGCAGATAGGCTTGTCCTCGTCACACTTAATCCGACGTTTCCGGCAAGCTGTGAAGCTGTTAGCTACCTGTCAATGGCCGAGTGGCCTATCCGCACATACTCAAACAGCCAGTTTTGGTCCGCTTTTTGGGGACGCGCCGGCCAGGAGTCCTCGGCGCCTCGGCCGAGTCCTTGTCCGCGGGGGTCGCCGCTGGACCCGAGGGAGCTGGCATGTCTGCTGATCTGCTGGATCGATGTCAGAGCAGCGTGTGGGTGCGGTGGGAATGCATGGTGGGGCAGAGAACGACGGGGGTGTAGGGCGCTTTAAAGGTGAGTCTGGAACCGCGGCGACTCCACCCCGGGCAACCCTGCCAAGCTGCGAAGATCACCCGGTTCCCCGTACAATTGTACCATTCCCAGTATGATCTGCGGGGTTTAGGGTGTCTACTACTCAGTACTAGTGGTTCTGGCAGACGCAACCAGATTGTAGTACCGATGGCCCTGTCAGATCTCACGCTCCTTCAAATTTGCGACGAGTCTCACGATCGCGAATAAAAAGGACAAACGGAACATGGTCCCCACTGTCAAATTACTGCATACTAACTGGAAGTAGTAGTACTAGTACTACTAGTACCGCTGGAGACGTACATGAACACGATCTGACATGTGGCTGATCCATCACCCACCGGATTGCCCATTCTGCGACCAGACTAGAAAGCTTGTACAGCCGATGAAACTCTTCAGAGCCCCCGGCGCAAACTTGTAGATTGCGCAGAACTGATGCTGACGGGCGTTGTTGCAGGAGTCGACCGGGATTTTTGTACAAAGCGTCAAGCCAGCCCAGCGGAGATGTCCTGTGACAATTGAACCACCTTCTGCAGCTACTAGAGTACATTGTATATAGCACTTGCCATACTTTTCAATAAAAATACAATACACTATTACATAGAATTCAAAAAAAGGCACCAACACGACGAGAATGGAAGTGAAATGCCGGGACGTGCGGTGGTTGTCGCGCCTTCCCTCACTTCACCTCGCACACAAAAGCTGGCCTCGACCACCCCGCCTCAACTCTCCTTTCTTTTCTCCCCTCGAGAAATCGGATCCCATCTACTTCGTCACCAGGCTCCGACTTTTATCTACTGTTTCATTCGGCAACGATGACTCGCAAGAAGAAGTCGAAGCCTGAGGGCAAGCCTGTGTCTAATACCGCAGGTACCGAGAATGACGGTAAGATTACCATACCTGAAATTTTTGCCTCCGCGTATTTTTTTTTTTCCTGCGGAGGTCGGGTTGCTGCTTTCCAACCGCACGCCCCATTGGAAACGTGATCCCTAACGCGGCTTGGATCAGGAGGTGATTTGCAGTCTCCCAAGGAAACAGCCATGTTCGCCGTTCCAGGATGGTCGGTCTCAAGCGCTTCGCTGAAGCCACAGGCGGAGCCGGCGCAAAACGAGTCCCAGCCGAAGGACGCCTCAACCCCGAATGCGCAGAACAAGAAGCGCAAGCGCAACAATGGCAATGACAAAGTCACGACGGGTAATGTCGATGAAATGTTCCGCAAGCATATCGAGGGTAAGCCCGCCGGGCAGTCCAAGCAGAACAAGCATAAGCACGACAAGAAAGCCGCGGAGAAACCCGCATCGCAGAAGTCGACCGACAATGCCGGAACACAAGCCAAGAGACAGGAGAAGAAAAAAGACCAGAAGCACAAGGACAGCGACAACCAGTCGAAGGTGACTGGCGAGCCCACAGAATCCGCCGAAGCCGATACTGCGCAGGACGAGGAGAATTCCGCCAAGAAGCGCAAGCGAAACAGGAAGGACAAAGAAGGCGATAGCCAGCAGAAGGTGGCTGGCGGTTCGGTGAAGCCTGTCGGAGCCGAAACTGCACAGACCGACGGAAAGCCCGCCAAAAAGCAGAGCAACAAGAAGAAGGAGAAGAAGGAGGATGCTGCTTCTACTGCTTCCAAGGAAACCGCCGCCGCCGCAGTGGAATCTCTGGCACCTCCTCCCGCGACAACTACGACGTTGACCCCGCTTCAGCAAGCAATGCGGCAGAAACTGATCTCTTCTCGTTTCCGTCACCTGAACGAAACACTTTACACAACTGATTCCTCGACCGCGGTGGAGCTATTCAAGAAGAATCCGGAGCTATTCGACGAGTATCATCTTGGGTTCTCACGCCAGGTGAAGGAGTCCTGGCCGTCCAACCCCGTCGACGCTTATATTCAAACCGTTCTTCGTCGTGGTGCTGTCAATCCCCCCAAGAAAGGCAAGAAGCCCAACCCCAACCAGGCCTTGCCTTTGCCCCGTCGCCCCGATGGAGGATGCACAATCGTCGACTTGGGCTGTGGTGATGGCAAACTTGCCCGTACCCTCACCAAAGACGCCAATAGATTGAAGTTGAAGCTCCATAGCTACGATCTTCAGTCTCCTCACCCCGTTGTCACCCAGGCGGACATCGCGAACTTGCCTGTGAAGGAGGGCAGCGTCGATGTCGCGATCTTCTGTCTCAGCCTCATGGGAACCAACTGGGTTTCCTTCGTGGAGGAGGCATGGCGTGTGCTGCGCGGTGACGGCAAGGGCGAAGTTTGGGTCAGTGAAGTCAAGTCCCGATTCGGCAAGGTGGCTCGCAAGAAGTCGCAGATTGGAGCTCAGAAGCCGCTTAGCAAGACGCAGCAAAAGAAGCAAAACAAGAACAAGAAGGCTGGAGACGACGATTCCGACCTCGATGACGCGGACATCTTTGCCGAAGATGCTCGTCCTACTGACAACGACGAGACTGATATATCGGCCTTCATCGAGGTGTTCCGAACCCGCGGCTTCGTTCTGCGTCCCGAGTCCGTCGACAAGTCGAACAAGATGTTTGTCAAGATGGAGTTTGTGAAGGCCGGTGGTGCTCCTACCAAAGGCAAGCATGCCTCGGTTGCTCCCACCAATGCTTTCAAAAAAGCCAAACCTGATGTTGGCATGACGTCTGAGCAGGAGGCTCAGGTTTTGAAGCCTTGCGTGTACAAGACCCGCTAGGCGTGAACTTGGAAAGAGCTTCAGCCTCTGCCGCTGGTTTAAGCGCACCATTCATTGACATCGCTAGACGACAGTCGTTATGTGACATCTTATGGTGGTTGATTAAGAAGCTTTGAAACATGTACGAGTACAAGCTTGGGACGGCGCTCTGGGGATGTGTGGGTTCAAACCTCTGTATTATGAGTATGTTGCAAGCGTCCGTCCGACCGGCATATGAAAACAATACTGAAAATGTATCTTAACTACAAGATTGCATCAGAAAAATGCGAAAAACATTGACAAGAAATTCTCAAAGAAACATGAACTCTCATAGAGTATGATATCAAGAGTACTCTCTCAACTTCTAGTATGAAGTAGTACAGTGTCACTGCTTGTCTGATCGACACCACTACATTGCACAAGGCCTACGTTACTACTAGTACTTAACAAAGTAATACCATCTGCACATCATGATTTGACACGTTGAGGGATTTTCGATATGTCATTAAGTGTTCTACTGCCGTTACTGAGTGCTGCTCTGATACTCGGTCAAGAAATCCTCACACTTGGCTACTCGCCATTGAGCTCTAAGCAGGCTCTTCAGGCCAAAGATTCAGTAACCAAAATATAGTTATCTAACTCAGCAGAATTGATTGAGATTGTTTATCGCCGCGTAATCCAGATGTGCTAATCATTTATTGGTTTCCACCCAGTTGCTCGACAGCCCGACCCATCTCCTCGTCATTGTAGATGCGGAAGCCCTTCTCCTTGGTCACACTGGCCAACTGGACGTTCTTAGAATCCAGCTTCTCCTCCATGACCTGCTTCAGCGTCTTCAGAACCAGAGTTTCAGCCTCGGCCAGCGTCAAGGAACGGTGGTATTCATTCTGCAGCTCCGCCTGTGCACCTTCGCTTCCGGAGCCAATAGCCTTGGCGTCATATCGATAGAATGTACCCGAGGGCTCAGCGTGGTACCTAAATCCGGTCAGTCAACTCGCTGCGCTTGCATAAGGAATGCCCTTTTTTTGGGGGGTGGTGGTTTCGACATACAGCTGCGGCCCGTCCTCGTCATATCCAGCAATTAACAATGCGACACCGAATGGTCGACTCATAACACTCTCCTCATCGTCACCGCTCTCACCAAAACGGAGGGCCAAGTCGCAAATGGCTTGTGTGGTACTTTCGACGCGCAGGGGCTCGGCGTAGTGGAATGCGTGGTTTTGGCATTCGACACGGGCGTGCTCGACCAGGTTGCGGGCATCGGCCTGGAGACCGGACATAGCGCAACCAATGTGCTGATCAATCTCAACGATCTTCTCCACAGATGAAGCCTCGAGCAATGTAGATGTCACACGCTTCTCGACACCAAGGATGACTCCCTCCGATGTAGCAACCTGGGCAATATTAGCGGGGTAGTCCCAGTCGACGGTGTGTGGTCGGTTAAAGTTACCCAGCAATATCAAAATATCACTGGATATACTTCTAATGCTTGATTGCGATGGATTGTGGATTGGGGCGAGAGCGTAAAGAGGGTTGGACATACACCGATCGCTGTGGAACCTAGCTTGATAGCTTCGAGAGAGTATTCGACCTGAAATAGACGGCCTTCCGGAGAGAAGGTGCTGTTGAACGAAGACTAGTCAGAGGGAAGGTTTCGAAAGAGTGAGGGGGTAATTGGATCTAAGATGCATACTTGATTCCGCGGTCTGTTCGAAGCTGTTAGCATTGCCGCATCGGGCGTGAGACGTGATGGGAGCTTACCATATTCGGATCTGGCAATGAACATCTTGGGCGATTTGGCTCAATACACGAGCTGGCAACAATGGAGAGTAAGTCAAGGAGTCCAGAGAGACAATGGAACGAAGAGGGAGGATGGGGAGCAAGTCTGGACTGGCGGAAAGACGAGGACGGAGCTCGAGGCGGAAGCTACGCAAGTCAGTGCCTGCCTGTCTCAGGCGGTGAGACCCGCCCAGCGCTCCACGCCTTCGACCGGACGGTACTCCAATTCTGCTTCTCCAGGGTTGCCATTGCGAGGCTCTGATGGATTGTGCCCTGCTCAGCGCTGATCCGTGTCCAATTCTGCACGCCTGTGCTCTTCCTGGAGTATGTCAGCCCATGAGCGTCGCGTTAGCAACTTGGGCGCTCCCCGACCCCGCGCCGCCTCTAGTCGCGTTGATGCCGACAAGCACAAACACAGCGCATCGCCGCTCCAAAACGACAGAATGGACCCCCTGCGCACTAGCACTACTACGAGTCCGAAATACAGAACCTCCCGAGAAGTAAAAAAAGTCTCTGGAAAAACTACTGAGCGCTCAGTGGTCTCCGTGCCATGGCGCGCCGGCAAGGAGTCTGATAACCGTGACGACTTGAATAAGAGAAAGAGCAAGAAGGCCGGAAACGTCCAGCACGCAAGACCTACATCCGTGAAACAGGAGAAGGCAGCTGCCGAAGGTCTGTTCCCCAAAGTGTCCAGATACAGTACACAGTCCATCTTTCGCGTTTCGGTCCAATAACAGCGCAAGAGAGTATACTGACATGCTTCTCGTACCCAGCACCGTGGGATCCGCACGCATCCCTCATCCCCCACTCAACGGCCCCTCTTGCTTGTCGTGTATCGTTTCCTCCGCTGGCGTCGGCTGCTCCCCAGACCCTCGTTCCCTCTCCGTTCCGAGAGCTTTCCTCGGACGCCCAGGAAGCTGCCATCTTGGAAGACCTGCTCTTCGTGTTTATGGGATTTGAAGGGCAATATATTCATTACCAAAACGGATATGATCCTTCTGCCGAGAAGGATCGTCTTACTGGTCCGGTCTACCAATTGGCACCGGGTTTGGACCCAACTCTACGGGACCTCACTCAGTCGATGCTAAAGATGGCGACGCATTACAGTGCGATGGAGGCATTCGTCGAGATCCAGAGCAGGGCGGAGTATGGGGCTGTCAGCCATGCGCTCTGTGCATCTATTCGAAAGCTGCTGAAAGACTACTTGATCCTGATCGCCCAGTTGGAAGGCCAGCTGCTAAATAACCCTACTTTTACGCTGCATCAACTTCATTTGCACACGATGCCCACAAGCCAGTGTCTTGCCCAGCTCTATACTTTGGGACAAGAGCTCTTGAAGCGCAATGGACTTCTAGAAACCGACGATCTCGATGAAACACTTGATGATTTCGACGACGTGGACAATATTCTCGAACAACTCAAGGAAGGAGGTGATTTGGTCCCAGGTGCTATGGCCAGCAAGAAAATCTGCAAGGGTGGAAATGTGCTGAGGCTATTGACCGAGCAGCTCGCTACCTTATCGGGAGACCCGACTAGCAAGACTCTTATTCAGACCCTGTTGCGTGATGCCAGCCGTCCGTACATGAACATGCTCAACGAATGGCTGCATCACGGAGGTATTCGAGATCCGCATGCAGAATTCTTGGTGAAAGAGCAGAAATGGATCAAGCGCGAGAAGCTCGAGGAGGATTACACCGACGAGTATTGGGAGAAACGATACACGATCCGCGAAAATGAGGTTCCTCCACAACTTGACAGCGTTCGAGACAAGGTTCTTCTTGCAGGAAAATATCTTAATGTGGTACGAGAGTGCGGTGGTGTTGATGTAAGCAAGGCCGTCAAAGATGTCCCCAAGACCCTCGACGACCCACGCTTTCTCGAAAATGTCAATGCCGCCTATACTTATGCCAACGCCTCCCTGCTCAACCTCCTCCTTACCAAGAACTCTCTGACAACCCGCTTCCGCTCCCTCAAACACTACTTCTTCCTCGACCGTTCCGATTACTTTTCCTACTTCCTTGAGCTGGGAGGATCCGAGCTGCGCAAACCAGCACGGGTTGTCAACGAGGGCAAGCTTCAGTCGCTGCTTGATCTGGTTCTGCGCCAACCGGGTAGTATTGCTGCCCAGGATCCTTTCAAAGAGGATGTCAAAGTGCGCATGAACAAGATTGGCCTCACTAAATGGCTGATGCAGGTGGTGAGTGTGTCTGGTATCGACCAAGACCACCCCGAAGCGTCCTTCGAAAAGCAACAGACATCTTCATCTCATAGTTCCGATGACGAGAACAACATTGTTGGATTCGATGCGCTGGAACTGGACTACTCCGTGCCATTCCCGCTCTCACTCGTGATCAGCCGCAAAACGGTTCTGCGATACCAACTCATTTTCCGACATCTTCTGTCACTTCGCCATCTAGAGACGATGCTGGTCACGTCCTGGGCGGATCAGAACAAGGTCGCGAGTTGGCGTCACAAGTCATCGGATCGAAGACTGGAGCTATGGAAGCGGCGCACATGGAATTTGCGTGCAAAGATGCTCGTGTTTGTTCAACAACTTCTATATTTTTGCACGGCCGAAGTCATCGAGCCCAACTGGGTGGGTTTGATGGAGCGGGTGAATGGGGCCGAAGATGCCAATGGGTCGGAGGAGACTGTAAATGGCATTAAGCAAGTCAATCGTACGGTTGATGAGTTGATGCAGGATCATGTGGATTTCTTGGATACCTGTCTGAAGGAGTGCATGCTCACGCAGGCCAAGCTATTGAAAGTAAGCTTGAACCCCAGGACATTCGAAAATGAAAACCGCCAACTAATGATCTCTCTAGATTCATTCTAAATTAATGACTTGCTGCACCATGTTTGCCTCGTGGACAGCCGCGTCACTCTCGCGGGCGCTCGCTTCGGCGGATCCTGATCAGGATGTAGAGGACAGTCGAGGCTATGATCCAACACGAATTGGCAAGCTCGAGGATACTCTGAAGCGTTACGAAGACCACTTCAGCCGCCATTTGCGCATTCTCATGGACAGGTCCGTTTTCAAATCTGCTTCCTCGTCATACCATTCGCTAACTTTCAACAGCCTGAACTACTTCGCCGCGACCGAGAGTGTGGTGCTGTTGAAGTTGGCGCATTCCCTCAGCGCTATCAGCAAGGAAGACTGAAGAGCAATGATGCGATTCATAGTCAAGCCAGTCTCATGCACTTGGCTATCCAACATGTGCACAAATTCTGCTTTTCGCGCGGCTCATTCACTTGTAGATGTCCAGATACATTTTTACCCGCGCCCCGGGGTTTCAAGAAGGAAGCGATTGAGCATACTTGACCGAGTCAACCGCAAGGCTCGCACTGGCCTTGACACCCCGAAACCCCAGCGATGGGGGCCATTTGCGCGCCCCCATCACCTCATACGAGCGCGCAGCGGCGACATCTTGTCCCAGCGCCGGGGTTATCGGCGAATCTCCGCGCGATAAGATAGAAGCTACGAGTAATGAAACCAATTTAATTTTCGGTTTAGCAGCTGTGATTTTAAGTGTAGAGAAGATCAGTTCATCTAAATGTTTTCAGATGAGCCATTCCTCCCATGCTAGTACTCTAGGACAGTTGCCAGCCTAATTGTGCTGCGTAGAGCAACGGAGCGCCATGTAAAATTCCGGCACGACTCGCGCCCCGATTCCGCGACAACCGGAGCTTCGCACGTCAGCCCAACTGAATCTCCCCATCTTTATCAACCACCTCCCCCCTTCTCGTCCGGCTCTCGACCTTCCCTCCACTCCTACAGCTTCGCTCCCACCGAGCCAGGGAATACAATGCCGCTCGAATCCATTCTCTCCGCCCTTCCCATCCGCCTCCCCCACACCCAACAAGAGCGCCTCGGTCTCGCCCTCGGCACCGCCGCGTTCCTAGGAGCAACCACCTTCCTCCTCCCCGCCGCAATCCGCGACTTCCGCATCTTCAAATCCTACGGGCCCGGTGGACTCCCCAATAATGTCATCGGCTGGTTGACGGTGCGACTGCTCTTCCAGCCCTTCCGCGGGGAGATGTTCGATACGGAAGTATACTCGCGTCGGATCGATGCGGCAGAGGGACACGGTGTGGACGATGAGGGGTACTTGACGCTTTCGGAGGAACAGCTGGCTACGCGCTCGCCGGCAGATAGGCCATCAGTTGGTCCGCATGTTGTGCCGCAGCGGCAGTTGACTCAGATCCCGGATAAGGATGTACAAGAGGTGAGTACTGTGGTACGGTGCCTGGCTGGGCTGGGCCAGATGCGGTTCCCTGGTTTCGATCTGGGGAATCACACCGAGGGTTCCAGCTGGTCTAGGGCATAAGCCTGTGGCATGAGATTTGGAATTTTGGAGGCGCGGCTAAGAACGAGCTATGTGCAGAAATTCCGCGCGAAATATGTTTCCTTCGGTCTGCGCAATCATCACCTCGTCAAGTTCGAGCGATCGAACCTCGAGCGACATGCCGACGCCCTTTTCCTGGCGGACCACCTCCCTATCACGGACTTGGCCGTCACGATGCAGGGTGAGGTTGCGCATATCCATCAGGGCAAGGATCACTCTGTGCATCTCGTCATGGCGCCTGCAGACTGTATGTCCTTCCCTATTCACTCTCCATAAGGGCGCCGCTAATATAGCTTGCAGGCAAGAAAATCATCGAGGCAGGCTGGGGCCAACGGCATGGTTTCTCCGGTACCTCGGCCATGACGTTCCTCGCTCTGGGGACTTTGCCGAATCTTCCTGCAGAGTATATTCTCATTTATGCGCCGCGGACGGAGGCAGAGATTGAGATCGTTATGCAGATCATTGCTGCGAGTGTGAAGTTCATGACTGGGCGAGCGGACACGCGGTGAATACTGTTGGCTAGTGCAGGTGGTTCATCTCGGGATGTTTTGATCTTGGAAAGATTGGACTGGTTGGCGTGGTGTCTTGCTTGCCGCTTTTTTTAAGATACCCCACTCATTGAATGCGATGTTTTCATACGAATTGAGATACGGTCGAACGGATATGCGAGGAGTCGAGCGGAGCAGCATAATGTGAATGGAGTAAAAAACACCTGTTCCCCAGGAGTCGCATACATTTTGCTATATCGATGCATTGTTAGCACGAATGAACCGTGCTCTTTGACTTGAGATAACGCGTAGCTTACCCTGCAGTCTGAAGTAGGGTAGGCTCTGTTTCCCCAATGTGATAACACAGGAAACCTCCTGCGATGTGATGTTAGCTCCAGTTATATAGAACAAGAAATCACGGGATATTCAATAAACCCTCGGACACAAAGATGTCATTCTGGTAATACTAATCATTGAAACATGACAGGGTGTCTTAACAGGCCTTGCACTGCCACCAGCGTAGTGCAGACCCCAATTTAGATACCTTTGCAGAAAACGGAGACCATCCGTCGCGAATATAAATTCCCCAACTCCACATCTGAGCTCACGCTAGGATGCGGTCTGAAGAAACAAATCGGCAGAACCGTGACCCAACGCAGTGGAACCGACATGATCAGCGCATTGCAGTGATGGTCCGATCGAAACTATTGGAATTCCCAACCGTCCAAGCCAGGAGCAAGAACGGTTCTTGCAAATTCTGATGCCACGCTACACGCGGGATAGACCGCTCCTTGGTACCTACAGAGTAAAAGGGAAGGGTGCAGCAATGCCACTGGCTCCTAATACATCCAATCGACAGGTGATCGCAACTAGCGCAAGGCTATGATTAAAACCTGACGAGATGCGTATCCAAGGAGGATTCCGAGTAAAATATGAATGCAGCGCACCGACACGGAACGGCCCCATATACTATGGATTAGTGACTGGAGCTTGCTCCAGTCACGCTCGTATCCTGCCTTCTCGGAGTCAAGAAAAAGACGCTTACAACTCCAGCTCCTGGAAAGGATTGACGAGCTCAAATATCGTAGGGATTGGATGGTCTCTAAGCCCCAGTCCAAGCCCAGGTAACAGCGCAGCAGGGATGGGATTATCAGGCGAATTGCTGTTTCAGACTCGGGAATCCCGAGGCTATCCGCCAGAATATGTGCAGCGAAGTGGAGTGCAGGCATGTCGGGGTGCGACGGCGAAACGACGCGACGTCTCATTTCCTTGCTGTTCGGCGTGGCAGATCAGCGCCTTTCAAGCCACTTGCTCTTGTGAGGGAGGGGGCAGGGACCCGACAGAATGGTACGCTAAGAGGGAGTGTTTCCATTTCCATCTTTTCTTTTTTTTTTTCTATTTTTTATTTTTGAATTCTCGGTTCCCAGAATTGCTGCTGGGAGCCCCGCTATGGGGCACCGAGGGGCCGAGTGTTCGGTTCAAAGAGATAATCAGGTGAAGCTCTTCCCCATCAAGGAGCAAAAGAAAACAAGAAAAAAGAGCCGGCGAGGCAAGACGAGAAAGGAAAACAAATGCTCCACTACGCCGGTGATTCTGAATGTAACGAGCCGTATGCTGGGATAGGGCGATCCGCTTCGCAGTCCGACAGTTCAACCCTAGTAGGAACCCCTTTGTCGGGACCAGCAACCTGGCGTTCCCGCGCTGCGTTTAGTTTCGATCGTTAGCGGCCGGTGCCTCGGGCCAAACCAGTTAGAGACTGGAGGCCTAGTGCTCAGGCAAGTCCTTTCCGTCTTCCTGTGCACGGTGTCTCGTCAATAAAAGAAAAGGAGTCGAGATGAGTGAAGAGAAGGTGTTCCACACCGCACACCCATGAAACTGCATCCCCACTTCCCTGAAATACTTACCCTAAGGCAGAGTAAGAAATGGAAGTACCACCCAGCAGGTCGCGAGCCGAGACTAACGGGCCCAGCCGTCTTCGCCCCCGAAGATGGAGGGCTTTCTTCCCGAGGATTGAACCATGGCGCTGGGTTCTGTGCCAACGGCGAGAAAGCCCCCGGGCACTACTGTAGGTAGTGTCGATATCCCTGTCGTCGCAGACCCGACACTCTGGATGCTCTCTTCCCCTTTAGGACAGACCCGTCCAAACAAACGACAGTGCCTTAGGGTATGTACTCGAGCATACAAGAAATATTGTACTCGAGATATTACCACATACCACATGGTACAAGGTTTGCTACAAAGTTGGGGCCTTCCCGCGAACCTAAAAACCGGGTCGACAACAACACTTAAACAGGGCCACACCATCCTCCCGTCCAAATGGAGCAGGACCAGGTTGAAGCCCACTGCAGCCGTCCACTGTTGTGTGTACGAGTAAACCCAACTCCGAGGGGGAGGACATGTGTCGCACATGGCAGCCGTGGTCGCAGCGGGGACCCGGTCTTTCGGCGGATGGGCTTCCAGTCGGAGAATTGGCCGGATCGAACTGAATGCATTCATTTCCATCAATGTAATCCGCCCGTTTAGGAATTCCGAGTTTTGCAAAGGCCCGAGGGAAGCCAGCCCACATTGCAGGATGACACTGGGAATGCCCACAAAAATCTTTTTCCAAAGAAGTGATGACATAGTCGGATGGAAACATTCTCCGCTCGTCTTTTTTCCACCCATGGTACACACTTTTTTTTTCTCATCGTGTCGCTGGAAATGTTGAGTGATGATCGATATGTGCATATGCATCTGGAATACCTCAAGGAGGGGTACTTTTGTCGTAAAAAATTGAACACTCTTATCCCTGCAGGTATCTGCAGCTGCGAGTCAGCCGGGGTACCTTACGGTATGTATTCGTTCTTGCTGCCCCCCGACACTGTAGGCTCGTAGGACAAGCGGTGAGCAGGAAATGAGGAAAATGAATCAACCCACACGAAACCCGAGGGAACGGAGTCCAACGAGGACGCTGCTGATCCGTCCAACCCCAACCCCACCCGGGTTGAGTTGGGGGTTGTCATCGTGTCATGGTCTATGTAACGAGAGACCCAGCTGAGCAAGCCACTTGGCGCCACAGCACTGCATGCGCATTGGTCGAAGGGACGGGACCACACCGAGGGGCCTGGCGGATGGGAGGATTTGTTGGAAACCTGTCCATTGTTGGTTTGACTGACAGCGGGAGTTAGGCGAAGATCCATTTCCGTGCCCTCGGATTCCCGCTGCAGGGCTTTTTGTCTGCGTGCTGCGTGCTACGTGCCGCAAGGGCCGGTTGTGAATGAAATCCTGGCACTTTTTGTGAATAATGACTAGCCTTACCATCTCCGAGTCTTCGTTTCTCTTTACTATCTGTATGATAGTTGGCGGGCTGTGGTTTTTTTTACTTTTGTTCTCTCCTTGGCTCTCCATTACATCATTGGCTCGTGTATAATGGAAGTCTCTGTCCTATAATGGACAGTTTCCCTCGTGCTGAGCAACGTGAAGGCGATAGTAGGAATCCGATGCATGAGAATGCTTTTTGCATTTTCCATTAACTCCCGCCTGAGCTGCTGGTCCTCATGAAAGACAGGCTGAGCCACAACTTATGCCAGATGAATGGGGCTGGACGTGCAGACTGAATTTTGCTTGATCCACAGTGTCGGGCGCTCTTGGATCCTTCCCCCCTCCCCTCTCTCGAGGTACAAGTAGTAGTTCATATGCAGGAGAACGCAGTAGCTGACGGCCCTGCCCGTCCCTCCCTCAAGGTTTGTTAGCCTGGCCTTAAGCATAACAGGGCCTACCCTTACCTATTTGATCAAGTGTGTCCTGATACTTGTACCTGTACTTGGTATTCCTGCCTTGGTGAACCATTCCTCTGTTAGTAAATCCACCGGCCCTTTTCGTCTGCGCCATGTACAGATCGCCTCTCGTGAGATAGAATCCTGACGCAGATCCCAGAACACTGTAGCTCGCGAGTGACCAGGGTTATCAGAATACTCCCAGGGTAAGGGTAGTCGGATAAGTATTTCGCTAGAGACTGAGAGACTGTCTTTGCATTCCGTTGTCGCTTCGCCAGGGCCTTCACCACCCTTAAAATATTGCAGCACTTGAAGCCGAATGCGCGCTGTCGCCCAACGGGTGTTGTATTTGAAGAGAAGTCGCTATCTGGCTGGTCGTGACGTTAACAGACCCTTGCCTCAGCCCGCCTCATTCGTACCAGTTAGTACGTACCTCATACAGGGGACTAAGAGCCCCTCATACCAGGCCTTGACAGGCCGTGAATGATCCTCGAGCCGCCATCCCCGAGTGCTGTCGCCGCCAACATCCCCCGGCACCCGATCGCGTCCATGAAAATCCCAATTTGATCTCCTTTCCCCTCCAGCTCCACGGCGATGCACCGCTTGGCCCAGAGAATTCAGCCCCGCCCTGCTCCAAACTCGACAGCCCTGTATTACACAGTGCAGTATACTCGCCTTCTTTCATTCACATACCAGGCGAGTGAAGCCGAGTGACCATGACGTACTGACAAGCCCTGTTGTGTTCCCCCTCCTCCATGCTCAAGGCTAACCGACGTTTGTGGCGTGAAGCAACCCAGATTCGCAAACAGTAGAGCTGGACCGGGAATTCCTCGATACGCTCACTGTCCAGGGCCGCGAGTATCAGAAATACTCCATCGACCATCGCATATATTTCGGCCCAGTCGATGAAGTAGGGTTACCACCAACACATCAAAATCTCATCGATGGCCTTGGAGTACCCACTGACAGACACAACCGGAACAGGAGGAAGCCCAGCGCCTGGATCATCAACAACGAATCTTCCAGCGTATTTTCGACGACCGTCTCATTTTCCCGCCTATTCGACGACTCAAGCGAGTGCTGGACTGCGGCCACGGCTCTGCTTCTTGGGCCGTGGAGGTAGCCGAACAGTACCCAGACTGCGAAGTGAGCGTTTCTCTGGCCTTCTTTCTGATGGTCAATGTCAATTAACAGCGGTTGGTGTGAGAAGGTCATTGGTGTAGATATTGCCCCGCACATGAGTCCTGATGATGTTCCTGACAACCTGTGGCTTCAAGTGGGTGCACCTTCTTCCTTCACACTTCAACTGGCAAGACCCAACACCCCAGAACAAACCTGCTCAGGTCTCCACCTTCACCCACCTCAACCTCGATTCCCTTGCCTCTTTACGACAGACGAGGGTACAGGCCGAGAGTGTGGCCTCCTGAACGCAGAACACAATACTGACGAACCCCCCACGGCGCCATAGGTCGACGACCTGAACCGAACATTCACATTCCCCCCAAACCACTTCGACCTAGTCCAATCTCGACTTCTCGCGACCGGCATCCACAAAGCTCGATGGCCAACCTACATCCGCGATATCGTCAGGTGCGAACGTTCCCAGGCAAAGCAACGAGTTCCATTCCCGCCAGACCCCCGAATCATAATAGCCCACGTTGCCCACATTTACCCATTGAAAAGGTCCCAGTGCTGATGGAAATGTCGTTCCTCAAGGGTCTTGAAACCCGGAGGATGGGTTCAGATGATCGAAATATACTTCAACGTGCAGTCGGACAACGGGTCCATCACCGACGACCATGCCCTCCGACGCTGGAGTACACAGTACATGCGTGCGCTGGAGGATAGGAAGGATCTCCGCATTGGATCGAGGCTGCGAGGTTTGCTGACGAGCGAGGGATTGACGGAAGTGGATACGAAGATGATTCCGTTACCGCTGTCGGCGTGGTCACATGGTAGGTCACCATGGGCAGCTTCCGTTGAAAAGTTCACCACACGTAATGGTCTAACATCACGATTAATCCAGACCGGAGAACGCGAGAAATCGGCCAAGCGAACAGCCAGAATATCCAAGAACTACTTCGATCCTTGGCGCTGTACCCCCTTACCCAACGATTGCATATGTCACCCCAAACTTTCGATGCACTGGTTGACCAGGCCCAAGCAGAGGCCCGCAACCCATCTCTCAAAGCCTACTTCCCCTTGTATGTGCCTCCTACATACCCTAGGGCTTAGACATCTTACGCTAGGATATGATGTCGTGTTGGAACATCGGAGTCTTGCTGACGATGGACTTGACAGATACGTCTGCATTGGCCGAAAGGCATGAAGCATCGAATCGCACAGCCCTTGACAAGGGCCGAAATCACATTATAATATGAAGCGGCGACCTATCGACGGTGGTCGTGATTGCATGAAGAGCTCAAGGCCTTGCACCTGGCGCATGAACTTGAGTATTCTTGCACAGTTCACCAATTTTTCTTGCATATTTTGCATTCCCACGCGTACATACACAACATACAGTTATATTTATTAGCCCACGGTGTAGAAATTTCAAGAGTCCTTGATTGTCATACGTGATTTATGTTTATGGGGCTCGAGTACTACGTTCATAGTGCGTCTTTTGCATGATGATACCATGCTAGGGCATGTCTTCGGGTCGCCCCTACAGCCTGGGCCCTATCATAGACCGCTTGAAGAGGGATTGTCAAAGGTGCGTGCTGAACCACATCATTACTAACAATAACACGCCGCGCACAGTATGTCTGTTTAATGCTAAGAATTGCTGTGCCAGAGGGGAGGATCTATTGACTCCACCGAGCGAGATGATACACTCACGAGTAAGTGGGACGGGAGCTCCCGCCAGGACTAATTGCCATATTTCGACAACTGAACTGCGCTTGTCGATCTCAATGACGAGAACTATCCTTAAATAGCCCAATGGGAGGGCAAAACGGTATTTTGCGTCTATGCGAACTCATGGTAGACTGTTCTTAACCCCAGTTTCCATCACGGAAGTAGGATATCCAATTTGTGGCGGAGGGCATCTGAAGGCTTTTAAATATACTGAGACTCGCCCGCCTGATGAGGTTTGTTTCTTAAATGTCAGCGATCAGCTGTTAGTCTTAAGTCAAATGTTGTTACCCCGACTTAGTCGGATTTCTACACTTCCTGCCAATCTCTGGCCAATAGGAGATATGTTGAACTTTCCACACTTTGCTTTCTGGGTGTTTGCCGTTCGACTATATGACTAATCGAGAATCACATGATAACTAATTCAAATGCCCTGGTCTTTAACCACATAGATATTCAGGGAAATCAACGGCAACAATGAAAGGTATCGTAGCTAGGTAACTTAGTACGAGCCCAGAGACCTGATAGCAATGCACTTGTGCATTCATTTCCATAAAGCAGAGGGCATCCATAGTAGTTTTGCGGTGTCCATCAATATGTCTTCAGGACATACTGTAGTCTCCGTCATATCGAGAGAAAAGTGTGAACGATTCCGATCCGACTCTCGGCTACAGTTAATCACACTATGTGAAATATACACATAAATTTTTAGCTACGAATCATCGCTGGTCGATCTACTAGTTAGCCAGCAATAGTAGACGTATTGCTGCCTGACAAATTAGGTATAATATCCTTCCTAACTGGGGAAAGCGGCAAGCGGGGAGAAAAAAAGTTGGCGCGCGGATTTTCATTAAGCTACAACCAACACCTCGAGCATCCGCCACAATGCCTTCGACGTACAAGAAGGAAAAGCCTTGGGACACCGATGATATCGACAAGTGGAAGGTAAGTCATCTTTATCCTCAAATTCGCACAGAAAACCCCCGACTCACCGTCATGCGATCAGATCGAAGAATTCAAGCCCGAACACAATGTCGCCGGAAACTTCGTCGAGGAGTCGTCTTTCATGACGCTCTTCCCCAAATACCGCGAAATGTACCTGAAGGAAGCCTGGCCCGATATCACGCGAGCACTGGAGAAGCAGGGCATCGCCTGTACACTGGATTTGGTGGAGGGTAGCATGACCGTGAAAACCACCCGCAAGACCTACGATCCGGCTTCGATCCTGAAAGCGCGCGACCTGATCAAGCTCCTCGCCCGTAGCGTGCCCGTGACCCAAGCCCTCAAGATCCTCGAAGACGGCGTGGCGTGCGACATCGTCAAGATCCGCAACCAGGTGCGGAACAAGGAGCGATTCGTCAAGCGGCGACAGCGCATCCTGGGCCCCAACGGATCGACCCTCAAGGCCCTGGAACTCCTGACTGGAACCTACATCATGGTGCAGGGTAACACCGTCTCGGTCATGGGCCCATTCAAGGGACTGAAGGAGGTGCGCCGGATCGTGGACGACTGCATGGCGAACATCCACCCGATCTACCACATCAAGGAGCTGATGATCAAGCGCGAGCTGGCCAAGGACCCGACGCTGGCCAACGAGTCGTGGGATCGATTCCTGCCCAACTTCAAGAAGCGCACCCTCTCCAAGCGCCGCGTTCCCTTCCAGGTTACCGACAAGTCGAAGAAGGTCTACACACCCTTCCCACCGGCGCCCGAGAAGAGCAAGGTCGATCTCCAGATCGAGTCTGGCGAGTACTTCCTTTCCAAGGAGGCGAAGGATCGGGCGCAGAAGGAGGAGGTTGTCGAGCGCCAGCGCCAGAAGCGCGAGGAGAAGATGCGCGAGCGCGAGAAGGATTTTGTTGCGCCCGAGGAGAGCCTGCCTGCCGACGGCGAGGAAAAGAAGAAGAAGAAGGACAAGAAGGAGAAGAAAGAAAAGAGCAAGCGGAAGCGCGAGGCCGAGACCGAGGGCGAGGTGGATGATGCCGCCGAGCGGAAGGAGAAGAAGAAAAAGAAGAAGAGCAAGAAAGAGGCTGCGTCCGACGACGAATAAGCTGGTTATGTCTTTCGGTCTGGTTGAATTTTGGCGCTTCTGGCAGAGCATGGGTCTGGCGTTTCAATCTTTATATCCTTTACATTTACAGTCTTGTCTCTATCTCCTAGGGGTTGTATGTAAAACGATCAATACCATATGAAGTTGTCTTGTATTTGTGCTGCAGTATTGAAATGACACCCGAGGGAGCAATACTGATTTCATTGATCCGGTGGAAAGGCTGGAAAACTATCTAGGTAAATCCGTAAAGAACAAATACTGCTAGAAACCTAAAATAGTAGCCTTCCCACGTTGAAACTCAATCGAACTTACTGTTGATTTCATTGATCCGTTCACTCCGTTGTGTCAGCTTGCAGAAATCTCTAGCGAGGCTCCAAGTAAGTGATGCGGTGTTGTCGAGAGATTGAGCCAGTGCCAGCCATCCTGAGTCAAGCAATCCGTCAGCTAAACAACCCGAGTATCGGTTGAGGTTCCCATGGTGGCGGGGCCACGCTCTTCGTGGTGAGCGACATGGGGTTCGGGCTTGTCAACCATACCCATTTCGTGGGCGAAAGTATCATGGGGCTTCCAGCCGGCACTAGTCATGGGGGTCGACTCCTCAAGCATCTTATCGACCTGCTCCAGGGTCAGACCCCGGGTCTCAGGAACGATGAAGAAAGCGAACATGAAGCACAGGACGAGGGCGCTGCCCCAGACGAAGAAGACTTTCACACCCAGGTTGCCCTTCTCCTTGTCCACAATGTAGGGAGTGATCACAGCGATGACGCAGTTCCACAGCCAGTTAGAAGCCGTAGCAAGAGCGACACCCTTGCCACGGATAGGAAGCGGATAGATCTCGCCGATAACGACCCATGCAGCAGGACCCCAGGTGGTGGCGAAGGATGCGATGTAGAGACAAGTGAAAACGATCAGGCAGAGATCCCTGTGAAAATAAAATGGTCAGCGGAAACTATTTCTTTATCATTTCATACCACGGGAATTTGACTTACGCGGCGTGCTTTCCGGGGACGGCCACGCCAACGATTGCGACGACGAACTCGCAGAAACACATTGCAACGGCGCCATAGATGAGCAGGGTACGACGGCCAAACTTTTCCATCATGTAGAACGAGGCGGGGGTGGTTACAACATTGACAACGTTCGTGATGGTCGAGATCAAGAAGGGGTTGTGGATTCCAACCTGCTGGAAGAAGGTGGTGCCGTAGTAAACTGTAGAGCAAGCGTTAGTCGAATCTGAGCGGCGTAAGATTAGGATCGTTCTCACGTACAGATGAAGTTAATGCCAGTCCACTGTTGGAACATCTGTAAGCAAGTGCCCATCATGACCCGATGAAGATTGCCACGGCGAGACGAACCGCCCTTGAAGCAGTCGGCCCAAGAGGTGCTGGCAATTTGCTTCTCGTATTCGTAGTTGGCCTTGATTTCTGCCAGTTCAGCTTGAACGGCTGGGTTCGAGCCGGGCTGACCACGCACTCGCTCCAGGGAGCGGAGGGCATCCTCCATCCGTCCACACTTGACGTAGTACCGAGGAGACTCGGGGAGGAAGAAAAGACCAAACGCAAGGATGAAGGCCCAGATAAACTGAATACCAATCGGAATACGATACGAGGATCTTTCGGGAATATTCTTGCAACCCTGGTCCACACCAGATGCTACAAGCAATCCAATCGTGATGGCCCACTGGTAAACAGAAACCAGCAGGCCCCGGACACGACGAGGACTGATCTCGGAGACGTAGAGGATAACGGTAGCAGAGACACCACCGACACCCAAACCAGCAACGAATCGACCGGCAACCAAACCACCAATGTTGACAGTACCAACCTGGATAGCAACGCCGATAGCGAAGATCAGGCACGAGAGCATGATGGTAAGACGACGACCGATCTGCTCGGAAACACCACCGCTGAGCACAGCACCGATGAACGTACCGGCCGAAAGGATGGAGGTGATCAGAGACTTGCGTGAGGGGGCGATGATATAGCCATCGGGGTCTTCAGCCTTGCTCACTTCATGGCCGAATTGCTTCTTGACATAGGGCATGCCGAGGACTCCAGAGATGTAGCCAGAATCATAGCCGTAGAGGATACCTGTATGAACATATTGAGTCAGCCTTTGATCATCAGGAGAGAGATGGAAGTTTCTGGGACGGACCTCCGAAGCTGGCAAACCCACAAATCAGGTAGGCATGCCAGGTGACGGCGGCTTCAATGAGGTTGATATCGGCGGTGCCATGGACGCGGTCCGCCATTTTGAAAAGATGTTACCAGTCAGCGAAACGATGAAGATGACTGAAGTATGAAAAGGCGGGAGAAATAACGAAGCGAGAAGGGATGGTAGAAGAGAAAGAAGAAGAGAGTGGAAGGAAAGGCGGAGTGGAAAAAGAAGGGTGGAAGTGAGCGAAGCCGCTGGCAGTACTACAAACGGAAGGCGCCGTCAGCGCCCCAAGGCAACCGTAACACACGGGCGGTCAAATAACAACCCCCAAATCCCATAAATATTCCGAAATAAAATAAACTGTGGCACTATGTTCATCATTCTCGATTTGCTGGAATTTTCGAGAAACGTAGAAGCACCATGTGGCTCAAAGGTAAACAGGAGGTAAAAAATAACCACAGATTCTGCCATTCCAGCAGGCCAACATTGAAGACTAGACCAACGTTTCAGCCAGACCAGGGGTAGCAGAGTAATATGATAAGCTTACGGATGATGGTCATGGCAATTCTTCTCAAAGAATTAAGCATTGAAAGACAAGGATGATCCTTTACATGGCACTGACATTACACGCCCCAGGAACACAGCCCCGCGACTAGCATGGACAACTTACACAACAATTTCGCAGCAAATCTTCTTTTTCGCAAACAATCATTCGAGAAAGATATCTGTTATCTTTTCGAGTCTTCAAGTATTACGCTGGAAAACTGCAGAAATCCCACCTGACAGTGGAAACACGTCGCACAAGGCTCGGGAGTAGACGCGAGATGATACCTGGAGACGCACAGCCACCAGCGTGCACAATGCAGGGATGAGCCATGCAGTTGGCCGTGAAACAGAAGATGAGGATTTGGAAAAGTTCTATCCATGAAGCACGAGACGATTGAAGAAATTATCGGAGGCTAGAAAATATCAGAAAACTATAGATTGCTAGTTTAATTGGTTATGTGCTAAGAATTGTGACCTGATATAGATACACACTCATTCGAAAGACAGGAAGACACTCCAAGGAAGACCCACTCGCTTATTCCACATGGTCTTCAACTCTAAATGACACAATAGAGATGGCTTGATCAAGAACCTGGGCAAGATTTGGAGGTGCCTCCTTCGCCCGCCAAGCAATATACCCATCAGGACGGATGAGAGCAGCCCCAGTCGAAGAAACTCCAAACCAGCCCTGGAAATCTCCTTGCTGGAGCAGCTGTACATCGCCCCCGATGCAGAGAGAGTTGAGAACAACAGGAGAGGATTCCCTTAACTTAGCAGCGGCATCAGACCACTCGCTACACTCCGAAATAAGAGTCCATCCACTATGACCAACAACATCCAAAAGCGGAGTTTTTACTTCCTTTTTCAAGACCCAGATATGCGGAAATGGGTCCCAGGCTGGCCCTTCCACTCATCAGGCCTCATAGCACGAGGTAGACACTCATAAGCTCCAACAATCCCCATGGAAAGATAAAGCTGTCCAAATTCCATCGCATCATCATCGATCTTTTCACCAGCAGGCGTGGCCGTATCAAGATGGACCTTGTAATCAGCCCGCACGAAGATCTGATCATGTCGCAGCAACGCGACCGGTCGCCGCTCGGAATCATAAGTATCCAGAAGCTCCGCAGATGACTTCCCAGATAGAACTGCCGCAAGCTTCCAGGCAAGATTGTGTACATCGTGGATACCCGTGTTCGCGCCGTACCCGCCTCGATTGGGTGGTAGAGTATGCGCGGCATCACCAGCGAGAAAAATTCGACCGGAGAGGAAAGTATCAGCGACGAGAGCGGTCAACTCCCATTGACCGATTGTAATGATCTCAATGGGGAAGTCGGATCTTCCGATGGCCTGGTAGATAGCTCTTTGGAGGGCTTCGCTGTCGCGCTCGATATCGTCTTTGAACATTAGTGCCCAGCGTCCATCGCTGTAGGATGCGAGGAAGGCTTTGAGGTCAGGCTGGTCGATGTCGAATTGGACAATTCCTTTTGTCCATTGGTCTAGCGGCGCGCGAAATAGCACGCTGTGCAGTGTTTGCATGAATCCACGGCCGTGACGTGGAATCTGGTGGAGTTCTCGGATGGTACTGCGATTGCCATCCGCTGCAATGAGGTATGAACCGTGGATTTGCTGCTGCATCCCCTTGTATTCAACAGTAACAGTCACGCCCTCTTCATCCTGTGCAACGGACACGACTCTGTGTTGACGGCGGATATCAGCGCCTCGCTCGAGGGCGAGTGCTTCCAGCATAGGCTCCAATTTATCCTGGGGGATGGCGGAGCCTCGTTCAACCGAGAATTCTTTCTTGGGAGTAGACTGTGTCTTTTTCTTTTGTTGCTTTTGGTCGTTTGACTTTTGTTTTCTCTCGGTATCGGACCAAGACGAATTGTCGTGCCATTTGCCGGTTATGCTTTCGACGTGGGCGCGCTCGAGGACGAAGTCTTCCGGCGCAGGATTCTTGTTTTCGATGCCGAGCGAACGATAGATCTCCATGGTTCGGGCTGTGAAGCCGATCGCGCGTGGGTGCTTGGAGATTCCTTCGTGTTTCTCAAGGACGATGGTTGGTACTTGGTATGAGGCCAAGCATAGGGCTGCCGATAGCCCGACGAGGCTGGCGCCGACCACGATGACAGGTTGTTGGGATGGAGACATTTCGAGTGGGGTTTGAATTGAAGACATAAGAGATGTGTACTGTGTCGTGGGAGAAAACCTCAGTACAAACGCGAGAAAAGGAAGGTTTACATAGAGCTTGAGGTCGTGGGTGGTGGCAAGCAGTTTCGGTGCCGAGATGTTGGTGCTTTGGATGGTTTCGGCGCCGAAACCTCAGACCCGACTCATTTAGAGGCATTACTAGTACAAACCACACTCCTTCTCAACATCAACATTCCACATGTGAAATTAGAGTTCAGGAGACAACTGAGACATGGATACACTAGATACCACAGGAGTTCCCTTTAGTTAGCAGCAAATTGATTCAAATTTCGAGAGTATTAAGTAAGAAATGTGACCCAACCACCACCCAACGCCAATCGAACAATCAGGATGTAAATTATGTAAAAGGGCAGATGAAGATGCAATCACAATGCGCGCACAAGTCGCTCTTCGAGTATGAAGAAAATGCAGAAACCAACTGAGATCAAGGTACTATATAAAGGGCATGGATTATGTTCACTGTTGATCAATGCCATCAGTCACAAATATCCCTCAACTTGGCAAATGCATGATTTACACAACACTCGGCCCACCCTTCGTTGTCGGAGTCGTATTGGTCTCACGACGTCGCATCTTGTCAAGGAGAAAGCTCTCCTGCTCATCCTGACTCTTCTTCAGATCAACACCAAAGAACAAGACCGCGAAGCTGACAACGCTCAACGCAAAGAGGAAATAGAATGGAGTGGAGTTGTTATGATTGGGGTCCGCATCGATGATTGCGCTGGAGACAATAGGTCCGATGAACGAGGACGTCTTGCCGATGATGCTGAACAGACTGAAGAAGAGGAACTCGTGACCTCGGGGTGTCACCTCCGAGATCATGATTTGCGAATAGCTGTACCAGGGGCAGACGAAGAAGCCGTAGTATGCTTGGTAAACCTGCACAGCCGGGTCAGCACTGTATGGAAAGAAAAAAATAAAATTTGTGGTTGACGTTGGCCATACCCAGACTTCCCAGGTGTTGTGGAAACCGAATTTGGTTGTCCAGATTCCGATCATGCCCCAGCCATCTAGTAGGATAATTGCCACCGCGATGGTATTGAACATGGTCTTTGTTCCGAGTTTATAGCGTTTCTGTACAAACCAGAATGTGTAGATTCCAGCCGCCTAGATAAATCGCTGATGGTTAATTCGGTGCTAAATCACTTGATGACGGGTAGACAAACCTGTGCAGCAATTCCAACTATCAGGAGATATGTCAATTGCAGAGTATTGTAGGCCACAATAGTATTCTGCAACGTCGCGATAACTGTGACAGTGGTGTTCAGCGAGTCTCCTAGAAGGAAATAGCCTATCGTAGTATTATGTTAGTACAAGTCTGAATCCGGGCCGACTTAAGGTTGCTATTTTACCAATGAGATAGACCAAGCTTTGTCTCAATTTCCAAATCTGTCTCATCGCATGCCAAACTTGCCATATTCCTGCAATGAGGACACCTTGTGGACCTGGACTCTGACCGGGGCGACGCTTCTCGAGGAAGAACCACGGGAGAGACAACAGCAGCCATACACCAGAAACAAAGGCAATCAGTACACTGAGTCCCCAGTTATTTTCCTGCTGGCCCTTGTTGACATTCAAGGCGAACATAATGCCAACAATGACGGCCAGAATCACGACCTCGCCACAAGACTGGATATAGAAGGCCATATTAGCCAGACGACTGCGCATCATGGTATCGGCGTAATCGTATTCGACGCGGGTGATAGTCCCGGCGCTGTACGCCATTGCCTTCTCTTTCATCTCGGTGGTATTGCGGGCCAACCCGGGGAAAGCGGCCGTCCAAAATGTCAGGGTGGTTTGGTAGGCAATCAAACCGACAATGTACAGGCCGACCGCCGCCTCCCATTTGTCCCAGGTATGCACGCCCAACCAACCGAACCCAATGCCCCAGGCCACAAGAGACAGGGCAATTAGGATGTTGGGGCGCCAGTAGCCGAAATCGGCAAAACTACCGATCGTCAAGAAGACGACGACCTGGATGGCGAAGGAGATGCCGTTGCAGAGCAACACGATGCTGTTGATGGACCGAGGACTTCCCGCAAACTCCATGATGCCGTCGACCGGGGCGGCCTGGGAGAGCAAGTTCTGGAAGGCCGTGGGCGCGAAATCTGTATTCGCAGTTAGACCAGAACCAAAACGTTCAGAGCTAGCAAGTGCAGGACATACTGAACAGCGAGAGACCATTATTCCCGATGTAGTAGCTGTAGATTCGCGGCATTTAGTTTCATCCACAAGGACACAAAGGGAGGACGCTTCCAGCTCCACAAACAACGCACGCATAATAGGCCCAGATCTCATTCCTGGTCGTGCGATACTTGTCGTCAAAGTGATCGGGCGCATCGATCTGGTCGGCATTCGTCGCAAGATCGACCTGCGACTGGGCCTCGCGATCCACCTCGCGATCCACCTCGACGGCAGTGAGGGCGGCATCTTTCTGTTCCATGGTGCCGGCTCGACGTCCAACTGCAACTCGAGGGTGTCGCAGGGGATGAGAATGAAAAGAGGGGAAATTGGTCGGAGCGTCCGAATCTCAGATAAAAGGCCTCGCTCGGCCGTGCCAGCCCCGCGCGTGCCAAACCCTGCGAGGCGTGAAGGCCAACCGCGTTGGAGGCAATCTGGATTCGCCCCACGCTACGCCCGCGTCGGGCTTAGCATGAGCTTAGCGACTCAATCACAGCCACCGTACCTTAAGTACCGTAGGGTCCCGGTATCATAGGGGAAATGAGAATCGAGAGGATGTGTGAATGCGGTTGTTTGGTTGTTTGTGCTTGGAATGCAGTCTTTCACGTCTAGGCTGCTCCTAGGTACTCTAAGGTATGTATGTGTCAAGGGAGTAACTCCACCGCGATCGGCTTGCCGCAGGAACGGATCTGGGGAAACCACGGTATTGCCGAGCATATAGACCCTCCCCTCCCCGAGCCAGGCGGAAGAAGCCAAGTATTTTCCAATATTCTTATTTACTTCGTAGGGTCGTGGTAGAAAACAGGTGCACTCTAAAGGGTCACTACTCGTTCCTGTCAACTGCCAGCTACGGGTTTTGTGAAGTTGAACCGGGACCAAGCGGTTCGGGCTCTGCCTTGGTCGCGAAGGACATCAGGAGCAGGTATCTGAGCACCAACGGCCCTTTCGTTTTTTCCGGATGGTGGATAGTTAATACCGAGCATTGCAAATATCAGACGATACACTGGCATTATAATAATGGAGCGACCGGCAACTGTTTATCGTCCGAGTGTTCGCCAGTCTTGCGACCGAGAAAAGGCTTGCAGCTGCAGCCACCAACCAGGGTCCCTAACCTACTGTAGAGCCTTGGTGCGACGACAGCCGGTCGTCATTTTTTGCTCGTCTGAACGAATTGCAGTGCGTGGACGGGGGTTTTCCGACCGAATTCCCACACCTATCACATCCTGCTAATTTCTTATCGCGAGACTGATGATGGGCCCGATGGAGCCCGATGATTGGGCCAGGGCTTGCGATCACCGTCTCGAGCGGTCTTGCGCAAGCACTGGCCGATCGGGAGGCGACCGCCATCCAGTATGGTTCTTTATCGGACAGATGGCCCAATTCGGGGAGCTGACAGGCTGGAAAGTTTTGGAGTATGTATGTCGCAAGCATGAGCAATGGACGTATTATATGAGAGGGGGGAAGTCTGTGAAGGCGATCTGATCATGGATGAGAAAAGGAGTGACATCAACCCTGCATTGGCTCGGAAGCTGGCAGACAATAATGTGGGTAGCCAGTGATACACTATCATAAAAGGTCTGGTAGTTATTAGAGCCTGGTGATTACCTGACTTGTTATTTACGCTAATCCAAATTTAGGTAACCGGCCGGTTAGTAGATATGCATACGTTTAGGGATTGAAAGAGGGTCTCTCTTGTCTACGGCATGGAAGGCGAAGTCGGGTGCCAGTATAGATCAACCGAGGGTCCTGCGGCAGGACCTTTAGAAAGAACTGCGTGATCACACTGAGGCTGACATACCGATGCCAAGGCGATCGACGTGGAGATTGGAGACAAGGTGAACGGGAAGTTTCAAGCTCGGTGCGTTCACCTGGCGATGTGGAGGTGGAGTTAAACAGTGCTGCTACTGCAACGCACCGCCCAGCTTGATTGCCAGGGTAGTTATCCTGTCCAGAACTGCCGTATGTAAGTTAAGCGACCCAGCGTTGCCGAGGAAGAGCTGCATCCCAAGAAACCCTGAGGAGAGGGGAAGGATGCAGCAGTGATGTCATGCCTAGCGGCGGTTTGTGCTGCACGACTCGAATATGTGCAAACTGTGCATCACTCGGATTAGACGGGAGGTGTGCAGCGAACAATCAAATGCGATCCACCGGGATCAGCGACGCCGTCGAACGAGAAACGCGTTAGATTAAAGCAGGCTGGCGAAGGTCGGGAGCAGCCACGGGTCAATTGGCGGCGGGCTTGAAGGTGGTGGTGGGTCACGCCAGGAACTACCCCTCGCTCTCCAGTTCTTCATTGCCTGGCGACGCCCTCCAGCTGCACAGCGTGGGCGACGCCAACCGGAAAATCGCGATGATCGGATGGCTATTGCGTATTGCTCCTCCACTACGCGAGGAGGGGGTGTGGTCGACTGGGTCCTCGCGATGGTGCTAGTTTTTATTTTTATATCGTGACACTGGCCTCCACCGGAGCTTCGTCTCTTTCTTTCTTTTCTTTCTCTCCTCTTGTTCTTGCAAGGAGAGCTCCACTTCCTCGACAGCTTTTCCTCCCAGCCGACCCGTGCAGGCTCGCTGGCGACACTCTGAAACGTGCCCTTGGTGCATCCCCACTATAAAAGCTTGGGTCCCTAGCGGGTAAAGTCCGACCTGCAGCAGCAATTTCAACAATGGAGGAAGGAAGTCCTCGCCGACCGAGAGCAGTGGTAAGTCTACTCCTCAGCTGAGAAAAGAACTAATGTTTCTGACTGTGCTGCCTAGTCTGGAGCTTCTCGCAGAAGCGAGGGACCAATCTCCCCGACCAGAAATGGCCGAGGATTGTCAGAGGACGATGCCATCTCGCCCACTCGGCGCTTCTCGGCCATCGACGAGGACCAGCCCCGCCGTCGTAGCTCAGCAGCTAGACGGAGCGGCAGTGGCGTCCTGAGTCTAGCACCGCGGACGACCCTGGCAGAGAGAACCCAAGGGAAATTCACCCTGGCAGGGCCCGATGAAGGTCCGCAGATGGTCCTGTCCTATGAGCCCTTCGTGCAACCGGGATACGTAGACCTCAATCCTTCGTATGAGCAGCCCAATAATGCAAAGCCCGTCTGGTCTCTGGCTAAACCACTGCCCCGTGTCGTGCGACCGGGCATGGTGCCGACGAAAGATGAGCTGTTGGAGAAGCGCGGCAATGCGCAACTTCCCGCGGAGAATTCGCAGCGATTAGGGCTCGATCCGAATCCCAATGACCTCGAACAAGGAAAAATCGAAAAAACCGTCGATCCACGAAAGATGGCGGCGCAGGTGGAGGATGCGCGGCTGCAGCGTGAAGCCAACTTCATGAACAAGGTTCTTACGGGAGAAACTACCTCTGTTGCCGGGCGAGGATCACGACGTCTTTCCCACACGTCTTCTACTCGACAAAGACGGCCGTCTCAGTGGAATGCTGATGAGGACCACCTTTCCACCGTTGAAGAAGGCGGATCGCAGCCAACCGACGATGGCCATGGCCAGGGTAGACCGCCCGACTATTTAACAGACGATCCCTTGGGGACCGTCCCTGAAGTCCCAGAAGGGCTTAATGCGGATGACTTGGACACGAAATTGGAATTCCCAGGATTGGACCATGAGACCTGCCCTGAGGATCTACATCCATTGGTGCAGGATCTCATCGAGGAAGAGGTCCACAACAACCACACTACATGGTCCGTCATCCGGACGCACCATCGCGAAGCACTCGCCGAAGCGCTCGCCGTATTCGTGCAATTAACCATCGGATTCTGTGCCGACCTGTCAGTGACCGTCGCAGCCGCCGGAAACCCTAACACCACGGCGTGGGCCTGGGGCTTTGCAACCATGATTGGTATCCATATTTCCGGTGGTGTCTCCGGTGCCCATCTCAACCCCGCCATCACCGCGATGCTCTGGTTCTACCGTGGCTTCCCCAAACGCAAAATCCCAGAGTACTTCGCGGCCCAATTCATCGGTGCTTTTTGTGCCGGTCTCGCCGCGTACGGTATCTACTACCAGTCCATTCAGTACTACATTAGCAACAACATCGACACGGGCATCATCACCAGCTTCGTCACCAGTCAACGCGAGGTATGGATTGGACCCGCGACGGCTTTTTTCACAGAGTTCATAGGCACCGCCTTCCTCGCCGTGACTGTCCTGGCCCTAGGTGATGACCAGAACGCTCCACCCGGAGCCGGTATGAACTCGCTCATCATCGGCCTCGTCATTACATGTCTGAGTATGACATTCGCCTACCAGACTGGCGCGGCGTTCAATCCCAGTCGAGACTTCGGGCCACGACTTGCGCTTCTCGCGATGGGCTATAGCAATGATCTGTTCTTGAACCCGTACTGGTTCTATGGCCCGTGGGTTGGTGCTGTGGCGGGTGCGTTCATGGGCGCCTTCTTGTATGATTTCTTCATTTTCACTGGTGGTGAATCGCCTGTCAACTATCCTCTTGAGCGGACCCAGCGGGCGATAAGGAAGAGTCGGATGAAGTGGAAGCGTCGTCTTCGTCTTGCGAAGCGGGAGCCTAGGGGAATTTCTATCCCGTGAGCGGGGATGGAAATGTCTTGTGTGTACTCATAAATCAGGGGAGGACTAATGGCTTCTTGATTTAAACTCGATGACTGGATGTATATTGTTCTCAATGATACTTCGGGATACTTTCTTGTCAGAAAGGCTGTTCCATACCATGCATCCAATGATCTACCCGACCATACACACAAGAAGCGGGGTATCGCAGCGCATTACCGAGTTGGCCGATCCTACTCCAATTTCCCAGTGCATGCAACACGAGGAGTCTCTGATCGTCTTGCTCGCGGGGTACACAGGCCCAAACGACTAAAATCCTCTACTCCAACTGGACCTCGTCATCCATATTGATCCCGTGTTAGTCTTCGATGTTAAGTCACCATGTCAGGCAATGGAGAAAACCTACAAAAAGCCACGTTCGCCGCAGGATGCTTTTGGGGCGTGGAGCATCTATATAGAAAGCATTTCGGAGATGGACGTGGACTAGCCGAAGCGCGTGTTGGATACACCGGAGGCCAAACCGATGCACCGTCCTACGAAGTTGTGTGCGAAGGAACTACCGGGCGTATGTCCTCCTTCAAACCATGCTTCGAGTCATGTGCTGAGAAGCCTCATACTTACGATAATGCAGACGCCGAGGCTGTGATGCTCATGTTCGATCCGGCTATTGTATCTTACCAATCCCTTGTCGAGTTCTTCTTCAAGATACACGATGCTACCTCGCTGAATCGACAGGGTCGCAACCAGGGCACGAACTACCGCTCTGCCATCTTCTATCATGACTCTGCCCAGGAACAGATTGGAAGGACTGTTATGGAGAAGGTCGGGGAGCAGTGGTATGAAAAGCTTATTACCACTTCGATATCTCCGGCGGGCACTTGGTGGGATGCTGAGGAGTATCATCAGCTCTATCTGGACAAGAATCCGGATGGGTATCATTGTGAGAGTCATTTCATTCGAGATTTCCCCAAATTGAGATAAACTTAGGAGATTGATGCTTTCACACCCCCTTTGTCTCAGACCACACCCCTGTCATGGCTTTAGGTAATTCAGGATAAGAGCCTTGGTCAAACATGGTGCCAATTTTGACGCCACTTGCAACCTCCACTATACTAATGTAGTTTTGATCTGGTGATCTGAAACCTTCATTAGACCTACTACCATTTTAATTCCTCAGTCACCTACATGATTAGCTGTCTGTTTTGCTACTTTAGAGAGTGATGCGCTATGCCAGCCTTAGTGAATGGGCCTCGGGCTATACTATTTTCCCCCGACAGACCAAAAAAAAAAAAAGAAATTTCATTTTCTACTCGAATTTTCAGGACACCAAAGCTGAAGAACTGGCATATACCTGAAAGGTCAGGGAGGGGGTGTGGTCTGAGGCAGAAAGGATGTGGCTGTATGAATCCCCATCTTAGTTGTCTATGCAGAGTGCTTGGCGCCTATTTCATAGCTTAGCTTGAAGAGACGCCTGCTCCTGCTTAGCAATCTCCTTCAAATTCCTCCTTAAGATCTTCCCCGCTGCACTCTTCGGAATCTGATCCACGAATCTCACACCACCTCTCAATTTCTTGTGGTGACTGACTTTCGAGTCCATCCACTTCCTGATCACCTCCGCCGTGGTTGGCGACTCTCTCACACTATGCGATAGAACGATGTACGCACGAGGGACTTCAGTATGATCTTGGTCTACACCTATCACCGCAACATCCGCGACAGTTGGATGGGAAATCAAAAGTCCCTCGAGCTCTGTGATCGCCATTAGATACGTCTCGTTTAGATAAGAGGTGGACTCACCAGCCGGAGCAACCTGGAATCCCTTGTACTTAATAAGCTCCTTCACTCGGTCCGTGATATAGAAATTGTGCCGACTATCATGATATCCAACATCACCCGTCTTAAAATATCCATCCGAAGTGAAAGCATTGCGAGTTCCTTCTTCATTATTCAAATACCCTTTGAAGATACTTGGTCCCTTAAGACAAAGCTCCCCATCCTGCCCCGTCGGTACCTCTCCACCATCAGGCGATAGGTATTTAGCAGAGAGATTAGGCATCAGCTTCCCCACGCTACCGACACTGGTATACCATTCATCCCAAGGCTGGGTATGCGTAATGGGACTAGTTTCACTCAGTCCATAGGCTTGGTTGATCTTAATATTCAGACGCTTGTGGACTGTATCCACCAACTCGCGCGTTAGGGGCGCAGCTCCAGATGTGACCATGCGCAGTGAGCTCAGGTCGTACTTGTCGACGATCGGGTTGTTTGCCAGGTGGACCAGGACCGGCGGGGCAAGGTAAACGAATGTGATTTTCTCGTCTTGGACGGTGCCGAGGAATGTTTCTAGATCGAAGCGCTCCATTGCAATCATTTCGATTCCCCTATACAGCGGTTGGTGAATGAGGCATGTAAGTCCTAGAATTGCTGTTAGATCCCAAAAGGAATTTCCTGGTGGGTGCTGTGACTCACCGTAAATGTGGTAGAAAGGCAGGATCCCGATCAACTTGTCCTTGTGCCAAGAATAGCTCTTGCCCACAGAAGAGGATACCATCAAGACATTTGAGACGATGTTCCGGTGACTTAAAATGACCCCCTTGGGCAGTCCCGTTGTTCCGGATGAATAGACAAGAAACGCGAGGTCGGTGTCAGGATTCAACCTTGCTCGCAGTTGACCATGCGGTGATGTCGCCCGCATAATCTCATCAACATGGCGAAATTGTCCACTAAAATCTCGCTCATCGCCAATTAAGATGATTTGCCCCGGAGAAATACCCGTCTTCCTTGCCGCCGCGGTAACAATGGGTAGAAGTGACTTGAATGTTGCGATCGCTTTAGTGCCATTATCCTTCAATTGAAAGGCTAGCTCATCGACGGAGTAGCTAGGGTTAGCCGGTGACACAATCCCACCTGCGAAGAAGGTACCATATATGACGACAGGCATGTCAATACTGTTCGGGGTAAACAGCGTGATAATATCCCCTTTCTTCCAATCCCATGCTGAGCGCAAGCCTTGTCCAAAGGCAATTGCAGCATCTCGAAGGCCAGAGTACGTGTACTGGCGGTTTGTGATGGCATCGCGATAGATAGCTGGTCAATTTATGAGGTTTTGGTCGGAATGAACCTGTTCATGTCTTGTGTCACTTACTCTTGTCAACGGGGAACTTTTCTTCCCTTTCATTCTCAAACATCAAGCCCCATAGATCGACATCGGGGATGTTGATGTCCGGATAGACTGCCGAGGAAGGCATGTTATGCAGTATGCCGAAAACAGCGCTCCTTCGCGGACGGACTCGTTTCACACTCCTTTTTCCGGGTCGATGTCTGCAGAGGACAGACGTGGAGGGTTCCCCGTGCTCTGGGGTTTCCCCGCATTCCTCGGTTGGCTCGCATATCCCGATTCGGTACTTCCGAGCACCCGAGAATTACCAGCAATGATTAAACATTTACCAGAACTAGCACTAAGCTGGAGTTTGTGCTGCACAAAATTTCCTTCATTTCAAATTCTAGACTATTGAGAGGTTTTTTATTTTTATTTTTTATTTTTTTTCTTAAAAAAAAAAAAAAAAAAAAAAAAAAAAAAAAAAAACAACCTAGCTTTATACAGCAGGCCTCCTATTTGCCCTTCTCGAGGCTCTTCCAGAAATCATCAATAAGTTGTGCAACCTCTGAAACCTTTTGCCTCACAACACCATGTCCAACCTGCGGAACAACCGCAACATTCTGCATGCCGACATCATGCAAATCCTGCACAGAACACAAGGCATCCAACTCCCCAAGAACACATAGATTCGGGATACCTTTCCCCGCAGCCTCCTTAAACGCATCATGTTGATCAAACACCCCACCATCTCGAAAAATAGCCACCACACTCGGTAAATGACCTTCATGATTCTTCATCTGCCAATCACGAACAGCCTCCGCAACAATTTCACCCCTAGCAACCCTCTCTTTCCAATCAGGAGGAACAACCAACTCCCCCCCCCCTCCAGATATTCCAAAATCCACTCCTGCGCCTTCTCCTCCACACCCCTACCACCACGCATATACCCCTTCTGTTCATCAGTAAGCTCTTCCTGACGCAGCAAACCTGCCGGCGCAACCAGAGCCATAGACTTAACGAGCGTCGAACGCAACGCCGTAAAACTCGCAACAGTCGAGCCACCAAAGGAATATCCCACAAAGTGCGCGTCGTCCCAGTTAAGCGTCATAATCAAGGAGTCAATCAACTCGTGGAAGCGCATCGGCCCGAACTCCACAACCGGTGTATCGGAGAGCCCGTGGCCCCACAGGTCAACCAGCACGCAATAGGCATAGGGGAAGCGCGATTGCAGGGCGCTGGCCAGAGGCTGCATCCCGATGGCGGGGGTTTGGACGCCGTGGACAAAAACGATGCGCTCAATTGGGTTGGGGGTGTTTTTCGGGGGGCTGGTTGAAGGTGGGAGCTCGTAGTAAGCTGCTGCGCCCCAGGATGTCTGCATGAATGAGGCGCTGGGTAGCCTTTGGCCGAAGGCTTGGACGAAGGATGCTTCGGATGGCGCGCGGAGGGGCTCTTTCCCGCTCCATGCTTCTCCCTCGAATGGACGCGGGAGTATGAGCGAGGCGGTTGGCATCTTGAAATTCAAGCCCTTTGGTGTTCAGGTATCGATTATTTGTAGAGCACACGGGGATAGGTAATCTCTGGTAATCAGGTTGATCAAATGGAAGTGTCCAGGTGTCGACGGGATTCGATGGAAGTATGGGAAGATGAAGAATAGGGAAGAAGTGATGGCTGAGGCTGATGGTGGATGCGGGTCAATTCACATTGATAAGATAGTCGTCCCTCAACAATTGGACAATGGAGGTTCAAACGGCCGAGTCCGCGATGGGTGGGGCAAACGGGAGCCCCGTCCAGTGTCTCGCAGATAAGTACTAGTTGGACAATTACATTTCCTGGATGCTGCATTACGCTGCGGTAACTGCCATAGGATGTTCACGACTGAAATTATACGAAGTTTGATCCTGGTTCCTTCTTTGAAATGCAATCTCGAATTCACATGCGATGCTTAAGGTAGATTGATATACATGAGCCTACCCCATCCCCAAATGTCTAGAGTTTCAAACCATACCAGCAGCACTATCTGGTACTCACAACTTGGCCTTGCCGCTTTCAATCGCAGACCAACTGTTGTCCTCGAGCTTCTCGTACTTGGTTCCATTCAACCAAAAGAGGCTGTCTCCCGCAGTGTCCTTCCGTGGATCCCACCCCTTCTTGACAAGGTCACCCTTGGCTTGCTTGAAAGTGACACCTGTGGAAACCCTGGATGTGAAGAAGCTTGTTAGTGAGAGATTCTTGGGTCTGCTGCTATGAGAGAGAGAGAGAGAAATCTCACTTTTCAATAAACCGAACGAGGCGAGGGAAGGCGTATGACGGGACACCGCGCTTCTTCAACTCCGGGTAAAGCTTGGAAGCGAGTTCGGTTTCAAATGCCGGGGTATGTTCCTCGAGAGTAATACCGGCTGCACCGGCTTGGCCATCATATCTGGAAGACGTTAGCAAGTGGAATCGAATGACCTAGAGCTTCAAGTCATACCCAGGAAGCTTGACACCATATACAACTGCATCATGAACTCCTTCAATGCGGCAAATGTGATCACGGATCTCGCCGGCACTGACATTCTCACCCTTCCAGCGAAATGTATCACCGACGCGATCCTGGAACCTGATCCAGCCAGACTGATCCTGAACAACCAGATCACCCGTCCGCTGGAAAAGATCGCCCTTCTGGAAGACATCTCTCAGAAGCTTCTTCTCAGTAGCATCATCATTGTGCAAGTATTCTGTCAACAAGTTACGATCACGCACACGACCAATAGCCTCTCCCTCCTCGTCCAGACCAGCCCGAACACAGAACCCAGTCGAAGGATTGCGATACGGCATCTCCGTTTCATTATCATACTTCACGATGAATGTATCATCCTCCAAGAATCGTCGAATCGGACCCGAAAAGCCAACCTTGCCAGCACCCCATACGCCAGGACCATGGTTGTCAAACTTAGCCAGACCTTCAGTCGACCGATAGAATTCGCGGATCTCAGCAACACCAAAGCGGCTCTTGAACTTCTCCCAGATCTCTCCTCGCAAACCATTACCGGATGCCGCGATGCAATTGTGGTCACGGTCGTAAGGGGACGGGGGCGTAGAGAGGAGGTAGCGGCAAAGCTCACCAATGTAGAGGATGCGGGTTGCGCGGGAATCGTGAACATCTTTCCAAAACTGCGAGGCAGAGAACTTGCGTCGCAGACAGAGGGTACCGGCGTTGCCCACTGAGTAGCACAGGCCAGTGAAGAAGGCGGTGCCGTGGAAAAGAGGGAGAGAAGAGTAGGTACGGAGAGGGTAGTATTTGGCGCGGTTGTTGACATCAGCAGACAGAGGGGTGGAGGTGATCATTGCCAGCATGTTTCGGACTGCACATGCCTTAGGCTTTCCTGTCGTCCCGGATGTGTATATCAAAGCAGTGAGGTCTTTCGGCGTGCGTTTCGCTGGGGTCAGCCCGGCTGGGGAGAATTGTTGCAATTCGGTTGATGTTATGAGCTCCACTGATCCGGAGGAAACGCCCTCGAAGGAGGAGATGTTGAAGGTGAAGTGTGGCAATTCAGCACAGACATGTTGGGCGATATCTGGTGTTGAAATGATGGACTTGGAGCCTGACACGTTGAGGCAGTGGATAAATGTGTCGTCTTCTCCTTGTTAGCGTGTTTCATGAAATGTCTTCAGTTGTTGCCACGTACCACGCAGGTTGGTGTTGACCATAGCAGCCACCGCGCCCAGCTTTGACAATGCGTACAGCACGACAACCATCTCGGGCGAATTAGTCGTGAAGACGCCAATCATATCTCCATTCTGGACACCGCGTGTTTGTAGCAACGCTGCAAATCGATCAACCACTAAAACATCAGGTCAGCGTCTCAATCCTTGCCAAATGGAAACAAAAGTCTCACACTCCTTCAACTGGCTGTATGACCAGGTCTTATGCTCAAACCACAGTGCATCCTCGGTGCCCTGGCCTTCAACTTCGACAACCCGCTGGAGCAAGTTGTATATCGTGGTAGATTCGCCGAGCTGTCCAAGGCGCTGGCCGAGACGCTGTGCAAAGGCACGGTCATTCTTCAAAGTAGTCAAATCGGTGCCAATTGAGAGCTTCGCGTTCAGATAGGCGCCAGTCGCCAACGATAATGCCGACGCCATTGCCACGGTGGGAGCACCGACTTCAGAAAGGAAGTCCATAATGGGAAGCTGGCTCAGCCCAAGTCTTGTGGATCAGCCGCCTATTAAGTTGTACCGGCAAAGGCAATGTAGAGACAAGACAAGAGACTCTAAACCAGCGGGCTTTAAGTGTTGTCAAAGCTGGGGCGAGACCTGCGGAATTAAAGGGCGACCCCACGATGAGGTCAAGACGGAAGCTGGCCAGGCGCGATCTGCCGTTCCTGGCAAGGTTAAATACGGGCTTAAGCTTGTATTCTGCAGCACCGAGGTGGAGAGCACTACCTGTATAGAAGCAACCCCGGTATGTGCGTCGTCTCCCCCGCGATCCGGCGACGGTTGGCGCTTGTCGGCTAAACCCCGGTTTTGACGGCAAAACTCACGTCTCGGACTGTCGAACCTGTGAATAGTCCCGATGAGCTGGTTCAATTGCCTAGGTAGTGACCGGTATATTTCAGGCCTATTTAGATACATTTACCTCGCTGTCTCGTTCTGTCACCGACATCGGTCACCCTGATGCACAATCTATAGTTTTATACCCGTAATTATACGTAGTATCCACCAATCACCCCCCACAACTGGGCAGCCGAGGCCTCAAATTACAGTATGGATACGTCGGGCCCGGCACTTCCACTCGGCTTCCCACGCAAGCTCCAACGGCGACGAGCTCGGCCTGCCTTCGGTCTATTCTTCACAGGTCGAGCCGCGGTCCATTCGCCCCGCGTTTTTTCGCCCCGATCTTTAAAATGTAAAGCTCCGGCCGTGGGGTTTGCTTCTTTTCTCTTTTGCAAAAAGCTTCCCTCCACACCATGTCTTCACCACAGCAAAGGCTATCCTCTGTCGCGAACCAGCTGTCGCCCTCCGGGGTGTCGGCTGCGAAGCAGCGCATTCTTTCCAAGAACCCCGACGATGTGGTATGTCCCTCCCGAGTCGTTTACTCTCCGCTGCAGTGGATTGTATCGGTCAATTAACACTATCCATCACAGGTCATCACCTACCTTGCCAGAACGCCTCTTACCAAGGCTCGTAAGGGCGGATTGAAGGATACCACCGTCGACAACCTGCTGATCTCCCTGCTCACTGTGAGTTGACCTTCTAAGACCGCGACATCCCAAACTCTTATTTTAATTCGAAATAGACCGTGCGCGAAAAATCCAACATCGATCCGAACCTCGTCGAGGATGTCTGCGTGGGCAACTGCCTCTCCCCCGGCGCCGCCTACCTCGCCCGCTCCGCCGTGCTGGCCGCCGGATTCCCTGCGACGGCCGCGACCTCCGTGACGAACCGCTTCTGCTCCTCCGGCCTGCTGGCCATCCAGAACATCGCCAATCAGATCACGGCCGGCTCAATCGACGTGGGTATCGCCGTGGGCGCGGAGAGCATGAGCACCAATGCCGATGGCGGATCCCCCGACATGGCCGAGCGTATCAACCAACACCCCATCGCCTCGCAGAATTACCAGCCCATGGGCCAGACGTCGGAGAACGTGGCGGGTCAGTTCAATATCTCGCGCGAACAACACGACAAATTCGCCGCGGCTAGCTACCAGAAGGCCGAGCGCGCGCAGAAGGCAGGATGGTTCAATGATGAGATTATCCCCATCAAGACTCAGATCAAGGACCCCAAGACCGGCGAGGTCAAGGATGTGGTTGTTGATCGCGATGATGGCATTCGCTACGGCACCACCGCCGAGAGTCTCGGCAAGATCCGCTCGGCTTTCCCCCAGTGGCAGCCCAGCGCGACAACTGGTGGCAATGCCAGTCAGATCACGGACGGTGCTGCGGCGCTGGTTCTGATGAAGCGCTCGCAGGCCGAGAAGCTGGGTCAGCCCATTGTTGGCAAGTTCTGTGGTGCTACTGTCGCCGGTCTGGAGCCGCGCATCATGGGTATCGGTCCCTCCATTGCGATCCCCAAGGTTCTGGGCAAGTTCGGCCTGAGCAAGGATGAGATTGATATCTTCGAGATTAACGAAGCTTTTGCCTCGATGGTAGGTTATTCTTCAGCAATCATTGGTGTCTGAGTGTCTCTGACTGGTTTCCAGGGTGTCTACTGCGTCGGCAAGTTGGGACTGGATGAGTCCAAGGTGAACCCGCGTGGTGGTGCCATGTGAGTCAATCTGCATTCCCCATTTACAGACCGGTGTTAATTTTATTAGTGCTTTCGGTCACCCTCTGGGTGCTACTGGTGCCCGCCAGGTTGTTACCGCTCTGGCGGAACTGCGTCGCCAGGATAAGCGTGTAGCAGTGACATCGATGTGTGTCGGAACCGTAAGTCAACCTGAACATGAATTCCTATCTTTGGCTCTGTATACTAATCCGGTCGCATCTAGGGTATGGGTATGGCCGGCATCTTTGTTTCCGAACACTAGGTCCAGTGAGCCAATAGCCACTTTTTCTATAGTTTTGTACATGCATAGCCCTTGAAGAATCACCTTTATGATTGGATATATACATTGCTACTGATTAGATCTATCGTCATGAAGCTATCCTAGGTGGGGTAAGGTCTGACTACTGCAATGCACCCTGGTGGATGCCCAATTCCAAGGATGTGGCGGAATCGGGATAAACTCGACGTGATGTCGATGATCCGCGCTAGATTTAGGCAGCGAAGATCATCCGAAGGGCATCATGGCATGAACATTACATTGACTTTAGGTTCTACTTTTTCCACCTTCCCATTGCATCTTATCGCCTCATCTAGACCTCTTCCCCGATCTTCTCCGTATTCTTTTGTTCAGCCGGGGAACCAATGCCTTTGCATTCGCCACAGTTTAATGCCTCAAGTATGAGGTGTCTAATCGGGGCTCGGGCAGTCACGGGAATCCGCCCCATCGAGTCGAATCGCGATCGACGCTCTTTTGGTCTCTGCCGATCTCAACTAGCGACATCGATCTGACCACGATTCTATTTACAGGTCTAATTTACAGTAGTTCAATTTCCCCTTTGAACAGTTCATCTTCTGGTCATGTCGGTGCAAGACCCCCCGTTACCCCTGCATAATCGGGCTCCTCCGTGCCGACGCCCCGGGTCGACCGGAGGGCACTGCCCAAACTGTCGCGCAGTCGTACCAAACTCCTGACAGCCAGGGTTTGCCATAAATCCTACGACTCTCCGAACAACTCGGCGTTTCCACGGCTGCAAATTTAATCCGAATCCCTCCCTCTCCGACTCCCCAATGACAGAAAATGGGACCTCGCAGGAGCAAGTATCCGGGGGCAGCAAATGGCAGCCGTGCACCATACTGCAGGCACCGGCGGTCCATAATTCCACTGACTGCCCAATGCGGCCAACTTCAGGAGAAACCAAGGCCATCATTGGCACAAATGTATTTTTGGAACCGATTCCTTTCTCCCTGCCAATCGGGAGTGCGGTTGTGGGAGTCAAGCAAACGTGTCGCACTCCACCGTGACCCCACCGAGTGGCGTCGTTCTAGACTTTGATGCCCTGCAGTGTCGAGGCCTTGCAATTTTTCTATTTCTCCAGGTTCCTTTCCACTCTCTTCTCTGCTTTCTCCCCATATCATCTTCTTTCAATTTTTGAGGACTCCTTCGCTTTCTTCCTCTTCTTTTTTCACGTCCTTCCTTCCTCTATTTTCTTTTCAACCTCCATCTCTTATAGACACTCGCTTGCCACTTCTATCATAATGCAGATGATCCAGATTCTCGCTCTCGCCCTCTCCGTGGCGACGGCCGATGCCGCCTACAAAGGTTTCAACTACGGTGCCACTAAGGCCGATGGCAGCAGCAAGTACCAGGCCGACTTCAAGAAGGACTTCGCCGCCGCCAAGGCCCTCGTGGGCAACTCCGGTTTCTCCAGTGCCCGTCTCTACACCATGATCCAGGGCGGTACCACCAACACTCCCATCGAGGCCATCCCCGCCGCCATCGAGGAGAAGACCACCCTCCTGCTGGGTCTCTGGGCCTCCGGCGGCAACATGGACAACGAGATCGCCGCCCTCAAGTCCGCCATAAGCCAGTACGGTGACGACTTTACCAAGCTGGTCGTCGGTATCTCCGTCGGCAGCGAGGATATGTACCGTAACTCGGTCACTGGCTCCAAGTCCAACGCCGGCCCCGGTGTTGAGCCCGAGGAGCTCGTCTCTTACATCCAGACTGTCCGCTCCACCATCTCCGGCACCAGCCTGAGCGACGCCTCCATTGGTCACGTCGACACCTGGGACTCCTGGACCAACTCTTCCAACTCCGATGTCATCCAGCACCTGGACTGGCTCGGCTTCGACGGCTACCCCTACTTCCAGCTCACCATGGAGAACGGCATTGAGAACGCCAAGTCCCTCTTCGAGGACTCCGTCGAGAAGACCAAGTCCGTCGCCAATGGCAAGGAGGTTTGGATCACTGAGACCGGCTGGCCCGTTAGCGGCCCCCAGGAGGGCGATGCTACTGCCTCCGCCGCCAACGCTAAGCAGTACTGGGACCAGGTCGGCTGCCCGCTCTTCGGCAACACCAACACCTGGTGGTACATGCTCGAGGATGAAGGTGCCAGCCCCAGCTTTGGTGTCGTCAAGAGCGACCTGAGCACCCCCCAGTTCGACCTCTCCTGCTCTAGCTCCAGCTCCAGCTCCTCCAGCGCTGCCGCTGGCTCTAGCTCTACCGCTGCTGCCGGCTCTACCTCCACCGGCAGTGCCACCTCTGACAAGGGTACCTCCAACTCTAACAAGGGTGTCTCCGACTCTGGCTCTTCTGGTTCCTCCGACTCTGGTTCCTCTGGCTCTAGCTCTTCCGGCTCTGCCTCTGGCTCCAGCTCTTCCGGATCTGCCTCTGGTTCCAGCTCAAGTGCCAGCTCCGGCGCTGGCTCAGCCTCCTCTCCTGCCGTGAGCGCTAAGCCCACCTTCCCCGCCCACCGCAACGGCACCCACGTCTCCAGCTTCCAGTCCAGCCGCACCTCCACCCCCTGGCCTCCGCCACCGGCTCTGGCTCCGGCTCTAGCTCTAGCTCTTCCGGCTCCGGCTCCGGCTCTGGCTCTGACTCCGGCTCTAGCTCTGGCTCCGGCTCTAGCTCTGGCTCCTCCTCCGGCTCTGCTGCCTCTTCCTCCTCCACCGCCTTCAACGCTGCTGCCCGTACCTCCGGCACTGGCTCCACCTTCGGTGCCATCGTCGCTGCCGCCGTTCTGGCCATTGCTGTCTAAAAGCATCTCTTTTGGTGTCGAGGAGTGATGGGATTTGGCCCTGGGTTTGGATTCGTGCTTCCGGACGTGGATTCTTGATTGTCTTCATGTGAATATATTCTCTTCTTACATTCGTTTAACTTGTATATTCTTTTAGAACAAAGTTTATTCTGGATAATTTAGATCTACTTTGATAAATTGTGGGTGACTGGCTTGCGTAGGTGTCTGATTGGTTGTCTAAGTCTAGCCTATCACGGGAGTATATAAGGCTGACGTTCCCGAGGCTGCGGGATCACCGGTCGATCATGATCGACGATCCTTTCAGCTGGTACATCAGTGTGCTAAAGTAGCAGCAACCTTGTCAATTCCCCTACACACTGACTAGTGAGTGTGCAGTTAATCTAAGGTCGAATGGTATAAACGCGTGCAAAGCTCCTCGCAATCAGTCTACGCACCACCGTTTACCCGCAGTCCAAACTTAAGCAATCTTTTATTATTTACAATAGTATACATAGTTAATCTCAGATTGAGCCAGAACAGGCACGCTCAAGCCTGAACAGCCTTCAACCGAACTCCCTCCTGAGTAGTCTCCAGCCAAACCTGCATGTTCCTCGACGTATCTTCCATCCCTTTAAGCGTCGGGTTCGGCCTCGCCGCATCAACCTGCAAGTCAGAGCACAAAAGAGCCAAGGGCGATGATTTCCAAATATACTGATTCCGCGTATGAACGATCGTGATAACCAGGAAAATCAAGCTCAGCGCCACCGGACTACCGGGAAGAATCAGCCACAGCCACCGAACATGCACATACGACTGGTCGGTCCAAGCCGTCCCGTTCACGGCAGCGGTGCAGATTTTCGATCGGGCGTTGACGGTTAATGAATCGGCCAGCTATTGGAAGACGGAGTTGATATCGTTGAAGTTGCCGTATGTGCCGTAGAGGACTTCGATTGTATCGGACGAGAAGTCGGGTCTGTTACTCACGAAACGGGAGGCAGAGCCCTTGAGTAGTGGTTGGAGTGAATTGGCCATGGAGATACGACTGAGCCAGTTGACGTCGTATATGCAGTTTTGATTCTCATTGTAAGGCTTCGTGTGCCGGGTGCCATTGGAATAACAGAAATCTGGCGTGAGAGCGATGTTTTTTCCGGCTGCCTTCCATGAATTCGATGAATTGGATGCGGTGGAGACTGCTGTCCGGGTCTCGGTGAAGTGACCTTCGCGGACAGATGCCTGGTAGGTGTCGATGCAGAAGTAGAGGGCGCATTCAGTCGCTGTGACGGCACCGCCGTGTCTGGGCCATCATGGAACCAGGCGATGGGGAGGATTCTGTGAGCAAGTCGGTGATGTTGGCGCATTTGCTGCAGAATCCGAGGGACTGGTAGGGAGGGTATGTGCAGTTGCCCGTCGGGCAGTTCATCATGACAGATTTGCTGTTTTCGCTTTGTGTCTGGAAGATGCCCGAGTAGATGGCGCCGGATGTTCCCAGCGGCACCTTGTTCATTCCCGGGCCGGCACCCTCGCCATAGTCGGTGTAGAGGCTCGAATTGCATACTTGGATGGATGCTTGGCCCGGGGCGCGAATGGAACGTTCTTTGACGGCCATCACTTGCTGGACGAATGGGTCTGTAGCTGCTGCAATGACAAGCACGAGACACCCAAAAGTGACGAGGTGACTATCGCAAGCTGAAGTCAGACAGAATTTCGAAGCAGAACCACCACCATTCAAACTCACCGAGGCATAAAGTGAAATAGAACAACTGCGGCGCCAGCAACACCTCGGGACTGGCTGCGTCCAAAATCGCAAGATCGCTCAGCTTATTGCCGCTGTGGAACCAGGACCATTTCAATTGCGCCAGACATTCGGTGAGCACGAATGCCATGGTTGCCTTCATGACCGTACTGAGCACCGAGACCAACGCGTTGAGCGTAATACCATAGGGCCAGTCGGGCATTGGCCGTCCATCATACTTGAACAGTACCACGATGATAGCGATGAGGAAGGCAATGGAAGTGAGACACCCCAGAATTTCAAAGGCCCAGCTGGAACCCCAGAAGCCGCGTATCTGTGATTGAAGAAGGGCCTGCTCCGCCGAAGACAGCGGTCGCTGTCGCGACTGTTGCTGAGTGTTAATGCCCGTGTCTCCACGCTCGTCCTCCAGCGGGACATATGAGAGCCGGTACTCATCCTTGCCGTGCATCGTCTCAACTGGCACGAGACACCCAGAGACGCGGAGGCTGTGTTGAGCAACACATTGTGGGAGAAAAGGAGACCGGACTGGGGGTGTCTTTCTAACGACAAAAATCGAAAATGGGTAGGGTACGGCACAACCGGATTGACCTGCCCGTGAATTTCCTCATACGACTCTGGCAACTGAAACTAGGGCCAAAAATCGTGGAGGATGGCCGGCTAATTTTGAGGTCGCAGGCAATCCATGCCCAGCGCAGTTTAGCGCCAGGGTCGCGTTATTCGGCGCTGGTCGTCAGAGCCCCACTCTCTTCAGCGCGGTGGGTTTGCGGTTGCGATCTGCAGCTGCCGACTCGGCGCTTCGAGTTCTTCCAACGACAAGCAAATAAGCATCATTTCAAAGTCCCTGGATTTGCCAAACTTGGCTCGCAAGATGCTCAAGCAAGTTGCGAGGAAATGCGAAGTAGCTGCGCTGGCTCGTCGCTGAGGTTGGGTTGGGTCGTGCCCAGGAATATGACGCACCGTTCGATATGATGATTTTGGTGAATGACGTTGGCGTAGTGTAGTGTCAGTTGCGAGGTACCCGGGGTGAGTTTAGCGCCAGAGCTAGCAATCTTGGAAAGCGCCTGAGAGGAACTTACTAGTACATTATTGTAACATTAGGTGTAGCATCCGAGGAAAATATATACGTTTTCAAGTATCCACATTACTAGTGTACTGCAGAATGGTATACTGTAGAAAATGATAGCAGGGCAATCCAGGGTCGCGTCAATGGTGCATCAGTCTCGAAATATATATCGAATCTGATTTCTCCGACTCATGTAAATCGTTGAATATGTGATGTAAGCTACGTCGATACCGATTACAGTATTGCGAAATTTGGTGTGCGAAATACAAATGCGTCTGATAAATCCGCTCGTATCGAATGCACCGATTCGAACCTCGGAAGGAAGTAAAAACAAGAGACTGAATAGGAAGGTTATATGGAAGCTCGATGTGAATTATCTGATAATCTTGAACTCATCACAACATTTTTCTGAGGATCGTAATACTGCTGTTCCGTTCCTGTTCACCTTTTTCTCATTAGAGTCCCCTGCCCTGCGTGAACGGGTTGATAGACTTGAGGAGTTGGCAGTTGGTTGCCTCGTTGAGTGAGCCGATTAAAGCATTCTGGGGCGGCCCACTGATAAACAACTGGAGTCAGGTGGGTCGGCTTCCATTTCAAGCTGCGACATGGTAGTACCTCTGTATTAGAAAAGAGAGAATTTATTGAGACTGCACAAGAACGGTGGAGTCGATACGTACACCTGCCAACTCAAGTACCTACCGGCCAGTCAGCAGGAGTGAGTAACATCCCGGCTGCAGGTACAGCGAGGCGCAGGCCGATCCATGCCCCAAACGACAAGCTCACGTGATCCGTCGTCATCAAGTGACTCCCGCCTCAACCTGCATCTCCAAACTCCAACCGCCCTGTTCCCTGCGTCACCTACCAGTCTGAGTTCCAAGGGTACTCAGATCCTCAAATAATCATCCTCGATCGACTGCTTCGTTATTTACCGACATAGCAGAACCCCCACCGCCGCCATGAAGTTCTTATCAGTCTTGACCCTGCTTCTCGCTTCTCCGCTCGTTTCAGCGGCCTCGTTCCCCTCTATCTTCGATCCTACCCAGGCAACGCTCGCCACTCAGGACGACAAGGAGCTCGATGTTCCTGGACAAAACCCCCTGAAGTACTGCGTGGACCCGGCTGGCCAGATCCTGACGATCAAGTCGGTCGACTTGTCGCCCAATCCTCCTGCAGCGTATGTTAACCGACCGATATTCGCTCTACCGTAAATTCATATCGGAGGGGCTTGTCGCTAACTCTTTACTTTTGTTTCTGAACAGGGGCCAGACACTTACTATCAACGCTAGCGGTACTCTGTCCGAGACTGTGGACAAGGGCGCCAAGGTGGCTTTGACGGTCAAATGGGGCCTCATCACTCTGATTAGCCAAGAAGTCGACCTGTGCGATCAGATCAAGAACGTCGATCTGGAATGTCCTTTGAACAAGGGTGAAATGACCCTGAAGAAGGATGGTGCAGCTGCCAAAGGCAATCCCAAAGGTAAGTGGCTGCAAGGCATAGGCTCGGATTTACACAAAACGCTAAACTAACACGCGCTCTACAGGGCAGCTACTCAGTCCTCGCGGATGTCTACACCAAGGACCAGAAGAAGGTTACTTGCTTGAAGGCCGACAACATCCAGTTCTAGAGCTCGTCTGACTGGCCTTTTCGGGGTTCTGTCTTGCATCCACACTCAGGTGGCTTCGTCTGTTTGATCAATTACTAGAGCATTATCGACACCCCTGATTTTTGCCTCACCACTCGTCCATTGCAGATACGCTCCCGCCTACGTCTTGTTACGAATATTGCCCTCATTATCTCGTTTTTGTGTTTTCCAAGCCCTCGTACTATCTGTTAAGATATCACCCTGCTCTCGTTTCTGTTACTTTGCATCTTTGTTATCGTCATTGTCAATGTTGGATGCGATCTAGACTCTTGTAGCAGAGGCTATGGTCTAATATACTATATCATTACCAAACGAATACGATATTTCGGTTTGCTAATCATTGACCAACTGGGACAAGTATGTAGATCGGGACACGGATAGATTGAGGTTGTATATGAATATTCCAGGCACGTTGGGTATCTTCCCTCTAGAATTCTGGTCTCCCCCTCCAGTCTCAGCCTGTGCGGCTCATAGCGAAGCCCGAAACAGATGATAATGACGGAATATTTTAACAGGAAGCAAAGACATCGAAAGACATGTAACCAGACACCTCTCGGCGACCAAGCGCAAAAGATCGAACAAAACACCGGGTGCACTTCACTAATTTACTCGCCAAACAGCCGGCGGACGCGCTTAAGGACACTGTCCTTCTCGGGATCGTAGGGGTGGTCTTTGCTGGGGATTTCGAGGACGGCGGGGAAAGGGTCGGTAAAGGTGTCCACGCTGTGACGGATGCGCTCGGCGATCTAAAGAAGGAGGTTAATGGGAAATTCCGACTCCAAATGGAAGATGAAGATTGCGACTGACATGTTGGTTGATCAAGACGACAGCAATGTCCTTCCTCTCCTGGGTAAAGCTCTGGAAGGTCCGCTCAATCTCCGATGTTTCGGTCTTGGAATCGACGACGAGGAAGTTGCGTTGGGCATCAGGAGGGTTAGTGACATGCTGTTGAAAGACGGAAATGTCAGTATGCATGCCATAGTAAGTGACCGAGAATCATGGGAGGGGGTGAAACATACTCCAATACCAGCGAGAAGGAGACCTGTCACAGAGCTAGAAATCATAGATCAGTACCGGTAAGACAAGATGAGGGTATCGCATATTTTGACTGAGGAAGATCTTACTCTTCGTCACCAATGACTGCGAGGAATTGCCGGTCCTGGAATGAACGGCAGTTAGCGACGCTATCGGAGGGGTTGCTCGAGGTACCATGTGTCAAGTACCTTATAGGTCGCGGCAGACGCCATGGTGTTTGAGGATGTGAGAGAAAAGCGAGATCAGGGCCAAGCAGACAGAGCCGTCGAAGTTGCAGGTGCAGCAGAGATCTAGCGCAGACTCTCGTCGGTCGAAGCTCAGACCGGTGAAGTTGTCCGCTGATCGCCGCAATCGCGGAGGAGCTGGCCATCCGACCCACTTACGTAAGCCAATGTGATGCAATTTTGTTTACTTCAATGTTCATTGTTCCGTTACTCTGTCCTCCACAGCTCCCGTGCCCGCTGCATGTTGTTCGTTTGCCATCTTGCGTAAGGCAAAGCTGCTGAGGAACAGCTTCTGTCCCATACAGCATTTTTCCCTCCACCACTATGCCGGCGCGTCTCGTCCGTCGCCGCCCGCTCGGGGAGCGTCTTCAAAGCTGGCTGAACCCATGGGACCTTTGGCTGTGGATATCGGAGGAAATTGAAGGAAATGACTGGGATCAGCTGGAGAAAGACTGGGGTCTACTGATCGGAATCACTCTGAACGTGGTGTTCCTAGTGGCTCGCGCAAATGCCCGATCAAGCGGCAGGATCGCTATAGACGATGTTTTTGGGGAGGATGAGGGCGTGCCCTGGCTCAGCTGGCTGGTAAGTTGCATATTCACTAACTTCTATATGTGGAGATGCTTCAGTGAACTGACAGTACTTTTCAAGGCATCGTCCGTGGTCACTATCCTCTTTGGTTTTTCGCTCGTAAATGCTTTCTACACGTTCTATCGCAAACGACACTACCGCATGTTCGAGACGCCCATCGACAAAGCCCCGGCCAGCTCTTCTGCACACCGCGTGCGAGTAGACTCAAGTCCAATGACCGCCTCCCCACTTCGATATTTGGCCAGCGTGATTTCTTCTGAATCCGCCCAGTCGCGAGCACACCCCGATGCGGAGAGGGATGTATGGGAGGTCGCAATGTGGGATCCTCTGCCCATGAGTATTCGGCTGCTCTGCATGTTCAGCCCGGGACATGTCCTAGTTTACATGCTGTTCTTGCCCACCCAACTTTCCGACCCTCGACCCAGTGTGACGATCGTCACCACCATATTCTTGACAGCCCTCCTATCCGGTCAGATGTCTATGCTCTCTTCCGCATACAAACAGCAGGCGAAGGACTCGACCCTAGTGCACAAGGAGGTCCTGAAGGAGTACGACACCAAGTATGTTCATCCGCGCACTCAGCCATTGATGAGAGACGTTGGCACGCAGTTTGCAGGTGGAGATGCGAGTCAGTCCAGTACAGATGCGCAAAACAAAGTCGATGTATACACCCCGACATTCATCATCAACAGGGGCTTCAAGACCAGTCCCAACCCGAATTATGTCAGTCACGTTGATCCAGACGGACTCTCTCCCCGGCGCCCTACAGCGTCGGGTACCCCAAGCACTTCAATATTCCAATCTCGCCCACCACTACATACCCCCATCGTGTCCCGTGATGGATCGCCCTTGGTACGCACAGCGGGAACGAGCATGCGTCAGCCACAATTTCGACCCCCTTCTACTAACACAGGTGATGGTGGTAGCCTCGGGGTGTATTCGCACGCTAATTCTCCTTTGAGGAAATCGGCTTCAACCGCGTTTGACCGCCGTCTACAAAGAGATGGTGATTTTTTCTACCGAGAGCAGGGCACAAGTCCTCTAAAGAAACCCTCTAGTCCACTCAAGAGAATAAGTGTACCAGGGTCCAGTACTCCATCTACGAGTGGAGTCAATAGACCCAGTAACCTGGGCACCCGTCGAGAAACGGGCAGTGGTCGTTTCTAAAACGAATCAACGAATCATTATCATTATCATTATCATCCTCATCGGGAATATTTTTCCATGATATCATGTCGCTTTCAGAAACTCTTTCAAACCATATGTACAATAGTCAATCAAGGTCCATGCGTTCGATCACAGCAAGAAACTCGATGTGCCCTTCATACTGAAGTGCATGCTTAATTTGCTCTAAAGTGGATGGAGCATGGGCTTCGAGAAAACCGCCACGCTGGGGAATGTAAAGGCCTTCTGGATAACCAACTTCCAGCGCAGCCAATCAATCTGTACCCCAACCTCATCTTCCAGGGTTCGGGGTGGATCGCGCGGCGTTGGGAGTTGGAGTGACCGTCGCGTGGGTCGTACTTTCTCCATCTTCTGATATCTAACCCGCACGTTTCCTCTCACGAACACCAGCACCGCAGTACCTTCTACCTTCCACTATGATGGAATCTCAGATTGATGAGGAACTCGCGATCGGTCGGCCCGTCATACCAGATGGCGGCGGGTTCTGCCCCAGGCATTCCGTCGCGGGGGCTGGCATTCTTCATGGCGGATAGCATACCATTCCTACCAACGAGAACACCATATTCTTACGCGTTTAGAGCGCGCTCTCCCTGACCTCTGGACCGGGCTAGATGGCCCCGCGGATCTTCTTGCTCTGTCAGTTGTCCAGTCCTAGTGAAATTCAAACACATCCGCTACTCCTCTACTCTCCACACTTCTCCCTATACGACCAAGACAAGAGCACAGAAACACTCCTTTTTTGACGGTATGGGCCCGGCCAAGTCTCAACCGTGGCTCCAGAGACGACTCTACTAGTCACCTCTTCTCCCTGCCCATCATGGAGACCGAAACCCGAGTCGAATTACCGGACGGACACCTTGTAAACCTCTCACCACGACCCCATAACCCCGGCCAATATCAGGCATACCGAGCAGACTACGCGACGGAGCTCTCTGCTGGCTCTCCCTCCCGATACAATTTCCCGACCAGTACCCCCGACGTCTCGGGCTCTCGACACCCCGAAGACAATATGTTCCAGAGGGCAAAAGCAACCAAGCTTCCTGTCCCGAAGACTCTCAGTGAGAAGAGTAGGGACCAGCGGAACCAAACACCCAGTCCGACTGGAATTCCTAAGCCATCGCCTACAGGCCTTTCTACCGGCGGCTCAGGTGGCCCTCCGACTCAATCAGGTGACCGAAACCGAGAGCACTGCTGGAGGAAGCTACGAGACCGATTTGAAAAAGAGTCCCCGTTGACACAACGGTCCTCGTATATACGATCAAGAAATAGCGACCAAAATGGTTCTCCAAATCAGCAAAATGCCCGACAATCAAACAGAGACCGACCAGTCAACCAAGGGGGTCGAACTGGAATTCCGAGTTCACAAAGCAACAGAGGCACTGCTCCAAGTGGACGCAATGATCTCTCGATCAATCTGGATACAAAAAGGCAATGGAACAAACGGACAGATGATTCCCCGCAAAAGTCGGAAAGGTCTGACACGACGTCTGATTCGAGCCCTCATTCACATCCTTCTGTATCGCCTATCACGCCAGACGATTCCATGACCGACTGGGAAGACCGATTCGTCGTCCATATGCCGTCTGCTAAAGAGCCCAACCCGCCAACCATGACTGCCCAGCAAATTGCGGAGTATCAGAGAAAGATCGAGCGCAAGCGTTGCGAGGGTCGTCGAGGTCGAGTCTCCGACACAAGTGCAGCTCCGAGCTCGCGAAATGCATCAGCAGAAAGAGAGAGTCCAATAGATCGCAGTTCAGAGCCACACCCGCGCTCACAGTCACGACCGGGTCACAAAACCGAAACCTTCATGACCTATACCGGCCAGCAACCTCAACCTCAATCCAAGTCACCATCAGAGAAAGATCAAACACCACAACAACCGAAAGCAGCCCCAGCGCAAAACTCCCAAGCCAATGCTATACAAAACAACTATTACAGCCCAGAAGAGATTGGGAAGAACCGGATCAGCACAATATGGGAGGAGTCTTCTCCTTCCAAACCCAAGGACAAGCGCACATCGAAGAATGATGGCTCTTTTTTAGGGTGCAAGGAGATCAATGGTCCCGGCACCAAGAACCCAGACGAGATTCTTCTTTTCGCATCTGGCCCAGAATCCGTCGAAAATCTTCAACCTCGTCCTCTGGCAGTTGGCGGAAAGAAGAAACCAAAAGACGACTCCAAACGGATGGCTGTGTATCAGGCGGTACAGAAACCGGCGGAGACGAGCAATTTTCTTCACGAAGAATGGGCCGAAATTTCTCAGAATTCGAAGCATGTCCAATGCTCGAAGCAGTCACCCAAGACCCTGTGCCAGGACCCGAATTGCTCGGATCAGGAAATTCCACGACCAGAGTCCCAGGGGTCGAGCAAAGAGAACGCTCATCCGACGGAGAGTTCCGAGAAGTCCAACGAGAAGCCCGGCGACGAACGAAGCGAGGACGATGTGTTCATTATCACACCCACTGTCACGCGAACATTGATCCCTACCTCGGAGAGCAAGTCCGCCGCTCAAAAAATATCAGGCTTGCGACGTCCCGGTGGCACTGGCCAGTCGGGCACCGGCGAGGCCGTGAAGGCCGTTCGAGCAAAGCCTCAGGTCGTCTCTACACCTTCTGGGCTGCGACCAGCCGGAGGAGCCTCGCAAGCCAAATCGACCAAGCTCTCGCTGACATCCTCCAAAACGACTCCCCTCAGCAACATCCCCAAACCGAAGGACTCTCCCAACGCGAAAGACACCACCACGCCAAAAGACACTCCACCAAAGGAGACTCCGCCCAAGGAACAAGGCGAGCAAGAAAAAGGCGGCAGTCAAGCCGCGAGTTCTATCCGTGGCTTCATCCGTACCTCCGGGCTGGGAAAACCCAGCGGGATGACGAGGTCTCCCACCGACAGCCTCGCTTCTATTCTACGCAACGGCACCGAGTCTTTGCGAAACCGAGCAGAGTCCTTCCGTAATGGCAATGGCTCCCTGTACTTCAGCAGTCGCAAGGGCTCACCCGTTTCACAAACCTCCGGGCCGTCGAGAGACAATTCAGAATCATCACGATCTGAAAGATCCTTCAGGTCTGCCTTGTCTTCGGTCAAGGATACTCCACCATCCTCGACGAAGCCATCGCCGATCAAACGGAATTCTCCAACCACGAAGCGTGTCTCAATTGACAGAGCGCCTCGGGAGATGACTCCTCCACGTGAAAATACAACCCCGCGGGAGAAGACGCCTTCGGCAGAGAAGTCTCCTACGGCCGAAGAGAAACGCATCGCCGCGGAGAAGCAGGCTCGAGCAGAGAGACTCGAAAAATTCAAGGAAGAGGCGCGCTCTCGACGAGCGACAAAAATGGCCGCTGCAGACGAAGAGAAGTTGACCGATCAAGCTGTCGATGAGATCGCTGAACTCGACGGACATCAGGTTACTGGTTCTAAATCCAAGGGCCACCTTCACTCCAACATCACAAACGTCTGTGATGACCTTCGTGAAGGTCTCCACCCAAGGGATAAAGTCGACTCCGGTCAGGGATCTAACGCCTTGGCTCTATCAATGGTCTTTGAAATTATTGTGATGGCCATCACTCACATGCACAGGGCTGTCCACCAAGGGACGGACAGCCAATACGCAAAAGTCCTGATCAACAACGTTCTGAACATGGCCCGCCATTGCTACCGTGTCTTCAGCCGTGTCTTCAAGGTCATCTCGCAGTACCAGGCAACGGGAACCTGGCCCAAAGCCAAGAATGACAGGGCCATCAGCCGATTCTTGATGGAGCTCCTCCAGGCCGTTCTCTATCTCTTCGTCCTGGGATTCGGCGCGCTGGTAGTCGGACGTGCAGCGAGCTATGTCCTCCTAGTTGGAAGTTGGATTATTTGGTTTGCTAAACCATTTGCCTGGGCAGTGCAGGGCATCGGCCGTGCTCTGGTGATGTGATAATTGCTGCCTCCTGTCTTCCAGCGTGGCTCCATCATTCATACATTCATTTTTAGTTTTAGCGACAGTCTTCGAAGGCTGATATCATTCCTTCTGGCGTCCGGGTGGTTTACTGTGTTTCTGTTTAATGATGTGGAAATTGGGTGCGATTCGCATGCGTGAAAGGCGATTTCCATTCGTTGCTCTTGTCTTATTCCTCTCATTCTATCACCTATTCTTATATACGCACAATCCATCCCATTCTCTCAAGTGATTCATTGTAGATTAATTCACGTAGTATATGAAGGCCAAGTTAGTGAATACTTAGCAATCAATTCGACGTGTACTTTGAAACTACATTTCGCAGCCAAGAGTTCTAGAAGCATTGAGAGCCTCCCGTATTCAATTTTCAGAGCGACCAAGTATTGGATCGTGCAAAAGATCTAGTTTTGTAAAGGCAGCACTTTTCCCTGGTGAGCAAATTCTATCCGGACCATGAGAGGTCCTTTGCATTAGACAGTTTGAAGCAAAAAGCGATAACCCCGAACGGGCACCGAGCATCAGATTAAGTTCAAGAAAGTAGGTCCAGGTGGAGAGTGCGCTGCTTGCAAAGGTGGAACTGACGAAGGACGAAGGACACAGCAATCTTTCTGTTTGTGATCTCTATATAACAAGCCCTAAAATCAAAAAGAGAAAGGGAGGAAGATAGCCCCGTAGGAGCGAGATTATGATGTTGAATTTTGGATTTCTGCTTTAGAACCTCCCTGTCCTTCGGCAAGCACCATGTCCAAGAAGAGCCAGGTGAATGCGTCGGGGATAAGCGCCAGGCCTGTAGAGGAATGGGAAGATAAAAAAGAAGGTATTCCGAGCGATGGAGCGTCATTGTTAAAAGAGACGGGGTATCGGTACAAGGAAATGTCAGATGTTGAAGTTGGAAAAGAAACGCTCAGGAAGAAATCGTTGAGAGGTCTTCAATCGTGACGCCATGACACATTGCAGGGTGGCCCGAGATTTAGTGTTGGATGGTTGTGGTTCGGGCCTGGTATCGTTGAGTATCGTTGAGATAGGTGATGTTGAATTAGGTAGCGGTTGTAGTGAGTAGTGTTGACAATGGCTCATGATTGGATGAACCCAAGAATGGAATTAGCTCAAGGAGCAATACTCTCCCGGTTGAGTGGGAAAGCCTTTTTAGTTCTTGATGGCAGAGCCGTTTTGTTCGGTTGTGCCATTGGTCTCTGTCTTGCCCGGAAACTCGACATTCAGGTCCTTGACCTCGAGGTCCTTGAAAAGGTCAAAGACGGCGTTGGTTCGGTGGAAGTCGTTGTCAACTAGAGAGAAAAGATGTTAGCATAGGCTCGAATCAGGAGGAAGAGATAAGACTGCAGTGAACCTACCAATGTTGACAAGCCACCAGTCATTCATGACCTGCTGGATCAGTTTGCGACTCGGACTGGCAGCATCGTGGCACTTGGCCCAGTCGTCTCCCAGAGCATAGGCCTCGTCCTTCCAGGCCAGGAAACTGATGGTCTCCACGATAGTGGGCTGGATGATTTCGCGTCCAGCAAAGATACCCCAGGTCAGGGCATTGGGGCTATCGCGGGTGTTGGTCCGCAGTTCGCCGTTCTTCTTGGTAGCGTGGTAGGTGAGGTCATCATTCTTCTCGATATTGGCGATGAGCTGGTCAATCAGGTCGGCAGGGACCAACAGTTCCAAGTAGGCCTTCTGGTAGACAAAACCGTTCTTGGGACCCCATCCGTATACAGGGTGAGACGACTTCACGCCGTTCACCGCGGGCTGCGAGTTGATCGTCAGGAAACCCTTGCGGTTGACGTTCAACAGGTGATCGTGGATGTCATTGGCCTCGGGTGTGATAGGACTGTCACTCCACGGTAGTCGGTCCAGCTTGCCCTCCAGGAAGCGAATGAACATGTCGGAGAGGTCCTGGATCGACTTCGGTTCACCCCACAACTTGATGTTTTGCTCGTTGGTTCCTTTCAGACCAACACCATAGGAGTCAAGCTCACCGAAGGCGGGAGAACGCGAGTCAGTCCAGCGACCGTTGGGATACTCATCCCATGTCTGGGTACGGGCCACGTAAGATGAGTTACGGTTACGCCAGAAGACGGGTCGCACATCCTCGCCTCTCCGGCCCAGGGCGAGAGAAGGCCTCCATGGTAGAGGTCGTTGAATGGGAGACTCATCCGAGGGCGCGAGCCCGAGTTCTTCCAGAACCAACCGAGTTGCCTGAGCCAGGTTCATCGTATAGAAGTGCAAGTGGTTGATCCCCGACGCCATCAGCTTCCGGCACATGTCGGCAATGAGGCGCTTTCCGATGTCTCGTACGGCGGCATCGTCGTTCTTGACGGGCTCGAGGGCCTCCATCCACTCGTGCGGAACACGAGTTTTAGTCCAACTGGAGCGACGGATGAACGCCGCGTAGGTCTGGATGGGCATGATACCGGGAATGATCGGAATAGTGATGCCCTTGGCACGGCATTTCTTCACCCACTCAATGAAGTTGTCGGCATCGTAGAACATCTGCGTGATGACGAAGGAACTTCCGGCGTCCACCTTCTCCTTCAAGTGATCGATCAACTGGTCCACATCGGGATTGTCATCCGCGCCCTCCGGGTAGCCACCAACACCAATGTCGAAGTGATTGCCGTACTTCTCGCGAATATACTTGACGAGATCCTTCGCGTAGCGGAATCCGTTCTCAGCGGCTTCCCAGGTCTCCTTGTCACGGGGAGGGTCACCACGAAGCGCCAGGATGTTGGTGCAGCCAGCCTTGTATGCCGCCTGGAGTGCCTGATCCACCTTTTCCAGGGGCATGTCAGTGCAAGTCAAGTGCATGCATGTCTCCAGGCCATAGACGGACTGAGCGACGCTAACCATCTCGCAGGTCAGGTCCGACAGACGGCCACCCGCACCCCATGTAATATCAATGAACCCTGGACCGAGATTGGCCATCCGGTCCATACGGTCGTAAAGGTTCTGGACACCCTGGGCCGTCTTGGGAGGAAAGAACTCGAAGGAGATCCCCGGCTCCCCCGAAGCCTCTTTCTGCGCAAGCTTCTCGCGAATATGCATCGTGTCGTGTCTTTCCCGGTGTCAGCATTGGGTCCAGAAGTGGAGCGGGGCCACACCGCAGAGATCAGGGGTTCACGATCAGAATGAACTGCGAGTGGAAGGATCCCTTACCGAAGATGTACAATCAATCAATTTCCTGTCAGCAGCAATACCCAGGGGAGGGCTGAAATGGGCTTGTCCTGCTGCTGGGTTTTTGGAAAACACCAGGAATTCTCCAGGAATCCCAATTTGGAAAGATGGAAATCACCGGCTGGTGACGGGTCAGACGAGCGAAAGACCTCGCACGCGAAGAGAGAGATGTGAGGGAAAAAAGAGAGAAAAAAAGTGGTGGTGATGTGTTCTCCGGGGAGAGTGGAAGAGGAAAGGCGCACCTTTGGGACGATCTGGCGGGGGAGACCGATAGTCGGAGGCACGTGTTCAGTCCTCAACAAGCAGCAACAAGCAACAACGCGCAACGGCAAAGCAGTCAGCCTGCAGCCCGAGCATTCTCGTCGCGCGATGATCTCGATTTGTCGCATGGACCGGTGTCGACCTGGCGTTGGGAGGAGGGTCCCCGGTCCCCGGCCTGCCCCTCCTGCCCCTCCGTGAAGGGAAAAAAAGGGCGCCCAGACAAATTTTCCCAGCACGCCCGCAGATCGCTCTTGACATTCTCCAACCCATTACCCTCTTCGCCCTCAACAATCGCGCCCACCTTTGCGATCCCGGTGTCGCCTCGCTCTCCTCTTCCTCGTTCACGTCTACAAACTCGCAGTTCACCATGTCGGCCGCCAGCATTCCTCCCCCCTCCGCCGATCAGGACTACAAGTCCACCCTTCTGCCGCTGCTAATCTCCAACAACGTCCTGTCCTTCGGCACCTACGTCCTGAAGTCCGGCCGCGAGTCTCCTTACTTCTTCACATCCTCCCTGCTGCACACCGCCCCTCTGCTGCGCGCCACCTCTGCTGCTTACGCGAGCGTGCTGTCCGCGGAGCCCTTCGTCACCACCGGCGCTGACGGCACCACCAAGCCCAACTTCGACATCATCTTCGGACCCGCCTACAAGGGCATTCCTATCTGCGCCGCCGTGACCAACGAGCTTGCCGTCCGTGACTCGCTGTCAGGCTCCCCCAAGGGTACCTGGGATAATGTGAGCTACTCTTTCAACCGCAAGGAGGCTAAGTCTCACGGCGAGGGTGGAAACATCGTTGGCGCCTCGCTGAAGGGCAAGCGCTGCGTCATTGTTGACGATGTTATCACTGCCGGTACCGCTTTGCGTGAGGCCGTTGGCATCATCGAGAAGGAGGGCGGCATCGTCGCCGGTGTGGTCGTTCTGCTGGACCGCGAGGAGCGAGTCAATGATACTGAGTCCAAGAGTGCCATCGGCTGTGCGCAGCGGGATCTGGGCGGCAACATCCCTATTCGTGCCGTCATTGGCCTCAACGACCTGATCGAGAAGCTGGGTGATCAGATTGGCGCCACCGAGGTGCAACGACTGAAGGACTACCGTGCCCGCTACGGTGCAGAGTAAGCTGGTCCTTGCTATGGCCTCATTGAGACACGATGTATGAAAGACAAAAAAGAAAGGAGTTTTGATACCAGGATAGCCCGGAGTTACTCCAATCTATATATTGCACACGATGACCGATCTTTCCTCTTTCTTTCTCTCTCTTGCTAAACAGCTACCAGTAACCCTGTCCCATCGAGGCCAGTCATATCTCTTCCCTTGTGAACTTGCCTCTCCATAGCATACTTCCGATGAACCTTAAACAGGTTGTTTGATCAGTATTTGGCAGAGATGAAACAAGTGCCTCGATTCGACAGCTTACCAAGACTACCCTCCAATGCTCGCAACTCTCCCATCTGGCCTCTACCGCCAGAGATCGTGGAAAATGTCAACACGAACAGGTTGGACAGTCCATCATCTGCCAGGAGAGCTATGGCATTCTCCACTCGGGATATCTGGAAAGCCGATGCACGGATTTAATTTCAGGCACGAAGTTCGGAAGCCGGCGGGGGCGTGTAGCCGGTCTGAGCAGCTGATAAGGGTCTTGTTACTGTCCATTGCGAAGGAGGGCTTTGAAGATCCCCATGAAAGTAGTGGACATGGCTCAATTCCCTCACACCCCTGATCAATTTGTCGTACATAACCCTCCAACCTCCGAACCCTACTGCCATGTCTCAGATGAGCTGCATCGTACAGGGATTTCGAGCTTTGCCGAGGGACGAGATCATACCCGAGAATATTTGACAGTCACACACAGCTCGACTGAGAGTATGGCCCAAGTTGAATCGGACATGGGATGGCATGCATGGAGCCCTTTATGGATAGTAGCAAACGCTGGTGACAAGTGATCAAGCAGAAAGATATGCATCCATGGATGAAATGATTTGCTTGCGCTCAGGCCATTCGCATACATGAAAATGCACCTCGGAAAATCGGACGAGACATATATGATTTCGGTCCCAAATGAAGAAAGAACGCAAGGTACCTAAGTAGCTGCCTCCTAGGAAACTTTTCTTAAAAGGAAAGATCGCATGAAGAGCACTCTCACTTGGTGGTATCGTGAAGACCCGAAGACCGCAATTCGATGCCGATATGCATCGCCGTGGAAACATCTGATAGTTTTGTAGGAACGGTTCGCTGGGAATCTCCTAGAAAGAAAACCAGAATGTCTCATGAAGCGACTTGATGTCCTGAAGCTGGCTGCCTCCGAAAATCCCTAATGGTGGCTGAGGTGTCACAGAACATTGGGTACAAGATCGGTTTTGAATTCATTCCATGTACCAGGCATGAGCCCACCGGGTGGAGCATTCAAGAGGCTCATGCATTTCATCTCACCGGTCGGAATATCGAGTGGGACGTAGTAGGAGAGCTTGGTTAGCTCGGTAGTCGCTCCGGGTGCGTTAGGTTGATGTGGATGCGGAGTGCCGCAAACAAGGCATGACACCGAGAGTATACACCACCAAAGTCAGTAAGTCATGAACATACCATGACTATCCCCTGAAGTTCGAGGCTGCTATCCGAGCGCTCTTGCATGTCTCGTGCTTTACCAAGATCAAGAAAAACTAATTTGTTAAGTTGCATATCGTACCCCGTGACTTAGTACAAATAAGTACATGAAGGTATTGCCTAGGTAGGGCAAGCCAGTCAACTAGAACAACCCACTTCAAGTCGAGGAGGAGCGAGCAGTTGAAATATGGTTTCTGCAGTATGGAACCATGACTTCAACGGTTTGTCGGATTTTGAATAAGAGCCACTAATTTAGTTTCCCATGTTGTTAAACTCTGTACCCCAGAGGCTCCATTGCAGAAGCCTTATAAAAGAAGCTGTTGCAGGTATGGGGGACCTTGCTCTAGAAGTCTGGATACTGGAAAATACATACTCCCATGACCTTTGTTTGTATACTAGTGACCGGGAAACGCGGACCTTAACGGGCCGTTCAGATGAAAGTGACTGGCAGCTGTTGCATATTAAAGTCACACTACATTAACGTACTAACATGGCATGAATCCTTGACCTCTTACAGGCCACGAGGTACAGTACGCTACCTATGTGTAGTTTCAAGCGTCCAAGTATACCAGAGAGCCTTTTGGCCGCTATATTCCTACTCGAAACCAAGTAATCTTATGCATTCAAGTGTCCAATCAGATCCTTCTTGCAATTGTCTGTCCTTCCATGAATGACTTGACCAATTACCACGGAAAGCTTGAAATTTAGAATCAGCTCTACTGCTATTATCGCTGAGAGGTTTCTGGGGTACGCAAGGAGAACAATTGTGTACAGTTCAAGACATTGCTGTCACAGGATACAATATACAGACACAGACCTTGCTATATTAAGGTCTCCCTTCAAATACTTTTTACCTGCAGAAGCCCAGATCAAAATCGCTGTCTCCTCCGCGGTTGTGGAAGGAAAACAAATCTTCTTATAGTTGTATCCATCTTCTGCTAAGCCCCTTGCCCCTTGCAGTACGAGGGGTATAAAAGGCTCCGCGTTGAACAGCAGTGTAATAGCAACAGGTCGTTCTAGACAACCATGGTGGAGATGAAAAGAAAGAATAGACTACCCAAAATATCAGAAGTTTGTTTGTATAGTGGTTATATATCTCAACATATGAATCTAACAAGGCATTCCAAGCCCATTGACAGTCAACGTTGAAATCGGACCGGTAACAGATCTCCGCTGCATACCGTTCACTGTTGATATTTGATACCTCTGACCACGGTCTCATCGTTATTATCCATGATCGAGTTTCACGGCTTCTGTCATACAATCACGGCATCAATTGCGCACTGGGCACTATCGAGCCACGGACATTCCACCTTAGCCGTCGGCAATGTACAGGGCAATGGATGTATTCGAAGCTTCCAAAACAGAGCACCCCGTGGCACAAGAATAAACTTTGTCGTCAAAGCCCGTGGTTTCTCGAGATAGAATCCATCCACCGAGACCCCGGAAATAACCCCGAAAGTTCCAGATGTATCCTGACTTTCATACCTCCTATCAGCAGTCACTTTGACCTTCACCGTTCGTTCCGGTGCCCAGGGCGCCGCATCTCAACATACCTAGATTAAGAATAGAGATAGCCGAATCAGACAATAGACTTTCCTTAAAGAGAGGAAATGTAAGACTTCTCGAAAGTGTGCCATAAGGACTAAATTTTGACTGGACTTTTTCTTTCTTCTTGATCGGAATCTTGTTCAATTCCATTTATTTATCCCGGGCATTTAGCAGCTTCTCGTCGTTTCCTGCGTTTCATTTTGCCCCCATAGGTGGCTCCAAAATCTGTCGCTTGGCAAACACAGGCTAGCTGAAGATGCTCTTGGCTTTTTATTGATACTGTCTGTCCGACCTTCCCACGTAGGAGGCTGGGGAATCCACGTTCCAAGGATCCCGACTCCCTAAGTCGGTGTATTAATTTTCATTCTGACTTTAAACAGCCTCTGGATCAAGTATCGACTGGATTCACGGATATCCAGCTCCTGAGAACACACATGCTCGCATTTTGATGTTGGCCCATCGTCTCCGCCGCTTCGATACAATGCATTGGAAGTATACAAGCGTTTTGCTTGGCTTCCTTGTAGCATTGGGAAAATGCTGGCCTTATGATAAATCCCTTGTCGACTATAACCTCAACGAAAACCCGGATGCCACGAATGCCGCCGAATACTGGGGAGAATGGCCGAATCACACCTACCATCCCTCTCCCGAGAACTGGCGTTTCCCTGTATATACTCTCTTTCTCGATCGATTTGTGAATGGTGATCCCACGAACGATAATATCAACGGTACATTCTTTGAACATGATTTGAACTCGAATCAGATGCGTCATGGGGGCGACGTATTGGGACTCGTTGACACTCTGGATTATCTCCAGGGCATGGGTATCAAGGTAGGGCGAATCACAACCCCTTCCACATGATCAACCTCAAGCCAGCTAATCGTCTGCTTGTGACATGCTTGATAGGCCATCTACCTGGCTGGGACGATTTTGATGAACCAGCCATGGGGCTCGGATGGTTATTCGGCACTCGATACCACCCTACTGGACCAACATTTTGGCACGATTCAGGACTGGAGGGATGCCATCACTGAGATTCATAACCGGGGGATGTATGTCATTTTCGACAATACAGTGGCGACGTAAGTATAAGCCTCTTTCTCTTTGCTTTTTGTTGTGGCTGCTGACATTCATTACAGGATGGGTGATCTGATAGGATTCGAGGGCTATCTCAACACAACCACGCCATTCCGGTTGGAGGAGCATCGAGCACAATGGAAATCGGACCGCCACTATGTGGATTTTCACTTCGGCAACACTTATAACAAAACTTGCGAGTACCCTCGATTCTGGAACGAAACGGGCTTCCCGGTGGTTCGATCCGTCGATGATGAACTGAAGGGATGCTATGACAGCGATTTCGACCAGTATGGTGATATTGAGGCCTTCGGCGTTTATCCTGATTGGCAGCGTGAGCTGGCGAAGTTTGCATCGGTGCAGGATCGTCTCAGAGAGTGGGTTCCAAGCGTGAGAGAAAGACTCATCCGGCATTCATGCATGATTATTTCGTCTCTCGACATCGATGGCTTCCGCTATGACAAGGCGACCCAAGCCACTGTTGATGCGCTGGGTGATATTTCTGGAGCGTATCGAGAATGTGCTCGGCGGGTTGGGAAGGAGAATTTCTTCCTGCCGGGAGAAATCACAGCTGGCAACACGTTGGGCTCTGTCTTTCTCGGCCGGGGTCGGCAACCCGACATGCTTCCGGCAACGCTTGATGAGGCCTTCCGCCTCCGAAACGACTCTGACTCTTACTACTTCCTCCGCGATGAGAACCAGCAGGCCATCGACGGCGCCGCGTTCCATTATTCGGTCTACCGCTCTCTAACCCGATTCCTTGGCATGGACGGTAACCTGGCTGCTGGTTACGATATTCCCGTGAACTGGACAGAGGCATGGTACGAGATGATCCTCACCAACGACTTGATCAATGCGAACACGGGCAAGTTCGATCCTCGCCATATGTACGGAGCAACCAACCAGGACGTGTTCCGCTGGCCTGCTGTTGAACAGGGTATTGAGAGGCATCTGCTTGCTCTTTTCATCACGACGCTTCACTTGCCTGGCATCCCGTTGTTGTTGTGGGGCGAAGAACAAGCATTCTATATCTTGGATGCCTCAGCGTCCAACTATATCTTTGGCCGGCAAGCCATGTCTCCTGCCACGGCGTGGAAGACCCATGGCTGTTTCTCGCTCAATTCAACTCAATATTTCAACTGGCCGATCAAGTCAGGGCGATTGGGCTGCCATGATGAAGCCGCGACGTACGATCATCGTGATCCCGCGCATCCAATGCGAAATATCCTTAAACACATGTATCAGATGCGGCAGGACTTCCCAGCGCTCAATGATGGCTGGTGGATTCAGCTGCTGTCAAACCATACCCATGATGTTTATCTCCCCGGCTCTAACGGGGTCCCCACTGAAACAGGCATGTGGTCGATTCTGCGAAGCCCCTATTTCCAGATGCAGGATCTAGGGGAGTCAGGCAATGAAACAGTCTGGTTCGTTTATCAAAACGACAACCAAACTGTCAACTATGATTTTGACTGCTCCGACCGGAACTCGGCACTGGTCGCTCCGTTCGACTCGAATACCACTGTCAAAAATCTGTTTTATCCACACGACGAGATTACCTTGATCGATGGGCCTACCAAGCTACACCTCAACGGCTCCAATAACTTGAACGGATGCCTCCGTAACTTGACTCTTGTACCGTATGAGTTCAGGGCTTATGTTCGAAAAGAAAGATTTGTGGCCCCTCGGCCAATGATCACGAAATTCGCTCCTGGTCACGACGTGCCTGTTCTTTCAAAGGCTGAGCCAGGGCAAAGCGAAATTATCGACATCGCCTTGTATTTCTCAACGGAGATGAATTGCACCCGGGTGACAGAGTCCATTTCGCTCGAATCATCAACGGAGTCTGACCAAATTGCTTCTCTTGACTCAGATTCAGTTGATTGCGGGTTTGTGGGCACCGAGAATACATCCTATCCCGGACAAATTCCGAGCACTTGGGTTTGGACCGCAACTTTGAAAAACGTGTACAATGGGGTGCACAGAATGACCGTCAATAATGCGACCAGCGTTGATGGACGAGCTACTCAGTCAATCGATCATTTCTTGATTCGTATCGGACAGCACGACAATCCTATGATCTTCAACTCTGCAAATTATTCAAGCAGTCTTCTACATCAACGAAAGGACGGCAGCCTCTACATCCAGCAGCATGCAGCCGGCGCAGACATGTATCGCTATTCAACGAACTGGGGCAGCACCTTCTCAAAATGGATCCCATACAGAGGCGGCAATCATACCATCAAAGAGCAGTATTGGAAGGGCACAAAAGCCCAGGAATGGAAGGGCAAACACGTTCGTGTGGAATATTGGAATCGCTTCACAGGAAGCAGTGATTACTTCCAAGAAGGGGACGGGCCAGGCTGGAATCACGCGATGCCCCGACGCTTTCCTCATCTCTTTTTCAACGGTCCGTTCAATGAGTATGGCTACGATGCCGGTCTGCCAAACACTGTGAAGCAAGACAGCGACGGCGTTTGGAAGTTTCGGTTCATGGCAGAGTGGCCCGCCGAGGGTCAACTCAATGTATGGGGAATCAACCCAGACGGACGGCCTGATCAAAGTTATGTATTTGGTGACTCAGACGGCGATTCAGTTCTCGATCGTCTCCCACCATCGTCTCTGAAAACGACAACGATTAACATCACCCAGCATCCACCAAATCCCCACCTGGCCTGGAGAATCCAGCTTGATGATGCTACTCTCAAATTCAAGCTGGTACCAGCAGGATCTAAATACGTTCAGATGGCACTTTTCTTCTTACTGTGGCTCGTGCCGATCATTACTGCCACTACTTGCGCTTATATCTTCAAGAAAACTTTCTACAAGATCAAATTCAACCAAATGGGCGTCAGCGAGAAGAAGACACTCATCTCACTGGACATCCTGAATCGGTTCAAGTACGAGCCTGGGGATTCGAGGAACCCATTCGTACGATTGGCAACCAAGTCAAAGTTCCTGCAAAGCACATCCGCCTTTGGCAACCGCACCTCCAATCAGCGAAAGGTGCTTATTGCAACTATGGAATACGAAATCGATGATTGGGGTATCAAAATCAAGATTGGCGGCTTAGGTGTGATGGCACAATTGATGAGCAAACAGCTTGGTCATCAAGATCTCATCTGGGTGATTCCATGCGTTGGTGGAGTTGAATATCCGATCGACAAACCAGCCGAATCCATGTTCGTCAAGATCCTGGGAAACACTTATGAAATCAAAATCCAATACCACTATCTGAGAAACATTACTTATGTTCTCCTGGATGCGCCAGTTTTCCGACAACAGACTGTCGGGGAGCCCTACCCTGCCCGGATGGATGATATGGATAGTGCCATCTACTATTCAGCCTGGAACCAGTGCATTGCGCAGGCGATAAAGCGATTCCCTATTGATCTTTATCACATCAACGACTACCACGGCTCAATTGCTCCACTTTACCAGCTGCCAGAAACGATCCCCATCTGCCTTTCACTCCATAACGCAGAATTTCAAGGTTTGTGGCCGATGCGAACGCAGAAGGAAAAAGTCGAAGTTTGTTCAGTGTTCAACCTCGACATGGATGTGGTCACTCGCTATGTACAATTTGGCGAAATCTTCAATTTGCTACATGCCGGTGCCAGCTACTTGCGTCTTCACCAACAAGGGTTCGGTGCCGTTGGAGTGTCTAAAAAGTACGGCAAGCGCTCTTACGCACGCTATCCGATTTTCTGGGGCCTAAAGAAGGTCGGAAACCTGCCTAACCCCGACCCGGAAGACACTGGCGAATGGAATAAAGAGTTACCGAAGGAACGCGACATTAGCATTGACAGCGAGTACGAAGTTCGCAGGGCCAGTCTCAAGCGCGAGGCACAAGAGTGGGCCGGGCTCGCACAGAATTCCAAAGCTGATCTGCTAGTTTTTGTCGGCAGATGGTCTATGCAGAAGGGGATTGACTTGATTGCCGATGTAATGCCTGGTGTTCTCGAATCGCGTCCGAACGTTCAGTTAATTTGCATCGGCCCCGTCATCGACTTATACGGCAAATTCGCAGCGCTGAAACTGGACCGAATGATGAAACTCTACCCCGGTCGCGTGTGCTCGATTCCTCAGTTTACGGTGCTTCCTCAGTTCATTTTTTCTGGGGCGGAATTTGCATTGATTCCTTCTCGCGATGAGCCATTCGGTCTTGTCGCTGTTGAGTTCGGTCGAAAAGGTGCGCTTGGTATTGGTGCTCGGGTAGGAGGCCTTGGTCAAATGCCTGGATGGTGGTATACAGTTGAGTCAACGACCACATCTCATCTGCTGAAGCAGTTCAAACTGGCGATTGACAGTGCGCTGAACTCTAAACCTGAAGTTCGAGCTATGATGCGAGCCAGGTCTGCTAAACAGCGTTTCCCGGTTGCTCAATGGATCGAGGATCTCGAAATCTTGCAGTCCACGGCTATCAGAGTACACAACAAGGAGCACGCAAAAGCCCAGGCTGCATCAAACACTTCCTCCGGCGCATATAATGCTATTTATGGCATGATGACACCCCAGGCAGCTACGTCGATGAGGTCTGGTGCCTCCAGTGGGACTGTGACGCCTCCCTTGCGATCTCCAAGTCGCCCAGGAACGGTTGGGTCATTGCAACGCAGTTCTGTGATATATAGCAGAGACCCTAGTCCAGGCTCGGAGGCACGACCTCGATCTGGACTTGGTCGACAGCTTCCCTCCTTTGCCCGACCAGTATCTGCTCCGATGGAAAGTTTCGGGCGCCGAGATCCTGGCAAAGCAAGTATGGCAGATGAAGACAACGGCAGCGTCACTCCCCCCGATGTCGAGGAGGACAGTGACGATGAGATCATGTCCACTTGCTATGGTGAAGATGACTATCCGATGGCCCCTGAACCCTCCGACGGGGGACGAAGATTGAGTGTTCAAGCGCCCGGGACCCAGTCTGCCGGCATTCCCTTGACTAGAGAGCACCTTTCAGCACGACAATCCAGCCAGGGCTCCCTAATGAGTCGACCCATTGCCACACCATCAGGCTCCACAGCACCGAGTACTGCAGGAACAGAAGATACCCTCATCCCCCCTCAAGACCCTGGACGGGTCAAGGAAGTCGCCTCAGCAGTGCGTCTGCGCTCTCTGTTGATTCCGTTGTCGGTGACAAGAAGGACTACAAACTTCAAAAGGTTGATCCTTTCTTCACCGACAGCAATGGAGAGTACTACAGGGCCTTTGAAAAGAAGCTTGAGGAACTTAATGGGGCGAATTCAGACTCGCAACTCTGCATTGAGCAATACCTTGAGAAGAGTGAAAAGAAGTGGTTTGACCGGTTCCGAGACGCTCGCCTAGGACGCAATCAGTCGCCAGCTCCCTCGATGCAGTTCGGCAAAGGTGGCGGTTCGTCGCCGCCAGGATCTATCACGAACGATGACACAACATCTCACGAGAGCGGCGGACACGAACGAAAAGAAGCTGGTGACGAGTTCCTTCTCGGTGATGACTACGTGCCACCAACCGGATTGAAGAAGTGGATGCAAATGCGTATTGGGGATTGGCCCGTCTATTCACTTTTCCTCGGTCTGGGACAGATTATTGCAGCTAATTCCTATCAAATTACCCTGCTCACTGGTGAAGTTGGTCAAACGGCAACGAAATTATACGGTATCGCCACTGTCTACCTGATTACATCCATCCTCTGGTGGTTCTTCTTTCGGTTCTTCAAATCCGTTCTCGTCCTTACTGTGCCTTGGTTCCTTTATGGCCTTGCTTTTTTGATCATTGGCGTTGCTCATTTTGAACCAAACTCCTTCAACCGTGGATGGATCCAGAATGTTGGAAGTGGCATCTATGCAGCTGCGTCTTCAAGCGGTTCTATTTTCTTCTCTCTCAATTTTGGAGATGAAAGTGGTGCCCCTGTCAAGAAATGGGTATTCCGTGCCTGCCTGATCCAGGGAACACAGCAGGCATATGTTATCGCTCTCTGGTATTGGGGGTCAACTTTGACGAAAGCCACAAATGCAGGCAATTTGAACGTGCAAGGCAACATCACAAACACCTGGAGGATGACGTTCGTGCCCTTTTCGTAATTTCCAAAGCTAAACAAATCGCTAATAACATCTCTAGGGTTGTTTGCACCCCCATAACGATCTTCCTCTGGTCAATCGGTCTAATAGTCTACTTCGGACTGCCCAACTATTACCGACAGACACCAGGAAAGGTGCCATCTTTCTACAAATCAGTCTTCCGTCGCAAAATTGTTCTCTGGAATTGGGTCGTCATCATTCTCCAAAACTTCTTCCTTAGCGCCCCCTATGGAAGAAATTGGAATTGTAAGTCATTATTCCTGCTAACCAAGCCTTACCCCAAAAGCCTGGGTCACTGACATATCAAATAGTCCTCTGGATCTCAAATCACGCCAAACCATGGCAAATTCTCTGCCTTTGCGTCGCCTTCTTCGGCTTTGCTTGGATAGCAATACTCTTTCTACTCGGCTGGGTATCCAAATCGCACAGCTGGATTCTCCCAATAGTAGCCTGTGGCCTCGGAGCCCCCCGCTGGGCCCAGATATGGTGGGGGACATCTGGATCCGGACTTTTCTTGCCCTGGGCAGGCAGTTATACATCCGGAGCGCTGGTATCGCGCAGTCTATGGCTCTGGCTAGGCGTAATGGATGCGCTGCAGGGTCTTGGATTTGGCATGATCCTGCTGCAGACGCTTACCCGGATGCACATATGTTTTACACTCCTGGTATCGCAGGTCCTTGGGTCAATCGCGACTATATGTGCGAGGGCATTTGCGCCTAATAGGATTGGACCAGGTCCCATTTCACCTGATATCACGGCCGGTGCTGGGGCGCTGGCGAATGCGTGGTTTTGGATTGCGCTCATTTTCCAATTGATGATCTGGTGAGTTCTGAGACGCATTCCGAATCCCGAGTCAACCCCTAACGATCTATGAATCTAGTGGTGGTTTCCTTCTTTTCTTCCGCCGGGAACAGCTATCGAAGCCTTAAATGGCGTATCTATTGTGAAAAAATTGGCCTAAACTGGAAATTATTGAATCGGGTTTCATTTTACGTCCCAACATTTACTTTATTTGCTTGGTAATTTTGTACGCCATTTCGCTTTTAATCCACTATCTAGCCTCTAATGTTTTAAATGATCTCATTCCCAACCTCATATCAGTCCTTTTGAAAAGCAAAAAAAAAAAGGTGAACATAGAGCGAAAATTTAGCATTGAAGAGACTTTTTGGAATCATAATTCATTCTCGTTGAAAATCGTAGACTACTTCCAATGTAATCTAAGCGTCTAAAGATAACCAGGTCCTGCAAATTGCGCAGCATGCCAAAGGACATGGGGGGATATTGTTTTTGAAAACCAACAGAAAACCCGCAGGCTATAGCACCAATTACCAGATTCAATGCAATCATCCACAGCGCCCAACAAAGTATCACAAACTCAACTTTACCACTCAAGCGGCTCGTTCTTCACATCCCCACGGTTGGTCTTGGGGACCGGGGCGGCCTCGATCTTAGTAGCGCCACGGTTGCCGCGGCGTAGGTAGCCGCTGCCGTCCAACCAGGGAGTCTCAAGGCTGCGCTTGGACTCGAAGGTCTTGATCTTAGACTCCATCTGGAGAGTCAGACCAATGTCATCAAGACCGTTTATGAGGCAGTGCTTGCGGAAGCCATCGACATCAAAGCCGACGATCTTGTTACCCTCAGCATCCTTGATCTCTTGGTTCACAAGATCAACCTCGACCTCGCGGCCAGCGCGGGCTTCGTCAGCGATCTTGGCCAGAGCAACCTCGTCGGAGACAACAATGGGAAGCATGCCGTTCTTGAAAGTGTTGTTGAAGAAGATATCGGCGAAAGACGGGGCGATGATGGACTTGATACCGAAGTCAAGCAGAGCCCAGGGGGCGTGCTCACGCGAACTACCGCAACCGAAGTTAGGGCCAGTGACAACCAGGATCTTGGAGTTCCGGTAGATGCCCTGGTTCAGAATGAAATCAGGGTTCTCCTGGCCATCAGGGTGGTAACGGAGCTCGTAGAAAGCAGCAGATCCGAGACCGGTACGCTTGATGGTCTTGAGGAACTGCTTGGGGATGATGGCGTCGGTGTCGACGTTTGAGCGGTCCAGGGGAGCAGCGATACCCTTCAGAACGTTGAACTTGGGCAGACCGGTGCTGCTGCCAGCGCCGACGGAGGAGTTGGTGTGAGGCTCGTCGTCGGCAGGAAGGTCCAGAACGCGGTCAAGCTCGTCCTCGGTCTCAGGGGAGTCAGCCTCGGGCTGAATGTCGACCTGGGGAGCAGCCTTGGCGAGAACAGGGCTGGAAATAACGTGGTCGCGAACATCGGCGAGCTTCCCAACAATGGCGGCGGTGGCGGCCATGGCAGGAGACATTAGGTGAGTGCGTCCCTGAGCACCCTGGCGACCCTCGAAGTTGCGGTTGGAGGTACTGGCGCAACGCTCCTTAGGGGAGAGGATATCCGGGTTCATACCCAGGCACATGGAGCAACCAGCCTCGCGCCACTCGAAACCAGCATCAGTGAAGATCTTGTCGAGGCCCTCAGACTCGGCCTGCTGCTTAACCAGACCGGAACCGGGGACGATCATGGCACGCATGATGTTCTCGGCGATCTTGCGGCCCTTGACAACCTTGGCGGCGGCGCGCAAATCCTCGATACGGGCATTGGTGCAAGATCCGATGAAGACCTTGTCAACAGGAATTTCCTTCATGGGGGTACCGGAGACAAGGCCCATGTACTCAAGAGCGCGCTTGCAGGCAAGCTTGCGGCCCTCGTCAGCGAAGTCGTCAGGGCTGGGGACGACACCATTGATGGGAACGACGTCCTGAGGAGAAGTACCCCAAGAGATAGTGGGGATGATATCCTTGCCCTGAAGGAAAACGTTGTGGTCGAAGTGCGCGTCGGGGTCGGTCTTCAGGGTGGACCAGAAGTTGACGGCCTTGTTCCACTCGGCACTGCCGTACTTGGGGGCAAGAGGACGTCCCTTCAGGTACTCGAAAGTGACCTCATCCGGCGCAATCATACCAGCACGAGCACCAGCCTCAATGGACATGTTGCACATGGACATACGAGCTTCCATGCTCAGACCACGAATAACGGAACCGCAGAACTCGATAACGGCACCAGTACCACCGGCAGTACCGATGACACCAATAATGTGAAGAACAACATCCTTACTGGTGACACCGGCGGGGAGCTCACCGTCGACCTGGATGCGCATGTTCTTGCTTCGGCGGGTCAGGAGGGTCTGGGTAGCGAGGACGTGCTCGACCTCACTGGTACCGATACCGAATGCGAGGGCACCGAAGGCACCGTGGGTGGAGGTGTGGCTGTCACCACAGACAACGGTGGTGCCGGGCAAAGTGAAACCCTGCTCGGGGCCAATGATGTGCACAATACCCTGACGCTTGTCACCCATGCCGAAGTAGGTCAGGCCGAAGTCCTTCACGTTCTCCTCGAGGGTGGTACATTGCAGGCGCGAGTCATTCTCCTTGATAAAGTCCGAGGCGTTCTTAAAATTTTTCCGCGAGCTGGTGGGGATGTTCTATCAGACGAAAACAAAAGGGTCAGTATTCGTTTCTCCGCTGCGAAGCAAGCCCTCCAAGTCAATGTCTCAAACGTACGTGATCGACGGTCACCAGGGTGCAGTCCGGCCGGCGGACCTTGCGACCGGCATTCTTCAGGCCCTCAAAAGCCTGGGGAGAGGTCACCTCGTGAACGAGATGGCGATCTCGTCGGGTGTTAGCAAGCAATGATCGTGTGCAGGTCATTCCGGGGTAAAATCGGCATACCGATATACAGGAGGCAGGTACCATCCTCCTGCTCATTGACGACGTGGTGGTCGAAGACCTTGTCGTACAGGGTCTTCGGCTTTGTCTCTGCGGAAGGCATGATGTCCAATCTATATGCAGTGCGTAAAGCCCCTTTGGAGAGTTGGTGGACAAGGATAGCAAGGAGCAGACTTATATTTTGCCGCGCCCGCGATGTCGCTGCCCTGCAGCTCGAGGGGCAACGCCGGTTTCGGCCGGTCAGCCACCAATGTGGGGGTGCTGATTGGCCGAGGTGGCTATCGGGGTGGAGGCCGATGTCGGGGCTTGCAAAAATGCGACGGCGGCTAGCGGCGCTTGTGGGCGGGAGGCGAATGTAGTGAAGTGGTGTATAAGCTGTGAAGTCCTGGAGGATACAAGTAATTGAGGTTTTGATTTGAAAAGAATTCTCTACCTATGATGAATTTCCGTTGTTATTATCGAATGCTCTCTGTAAATCAATAACGCATTTCTTGTGGAAATTCGAGAAGCCGCGCATTCTACCGACTCAGACTGCATGACGTAACCAGCCGAGGCTGGGGTGACTCAGATAATACTGTGCCCCTCATTGGCCAATCTGGCCGACGTTCTGGATCTGTACTACCCAACGAAGGCAGTGCACGAGTGTATAACACTGGCATAAGAACTCGGACTTGGGAAGGGTTCAGATGAAGCAGATGTCGTCCGGTATAGTTGGAAGTGAAATAACCCAGGTATAGTAAGAACATTTGCTCAGATAGTACTGTGCTACTGCATCCCAACCTTTGGAAGATGCAAATATATACATGCAGCTCATACCTAGGTAGAAAACTGTCTAGATGTTAACAAGCATACCCCACTCATATGCAATGTGTTGTCGGCATGTTGCAGATGTAGCTGTGAGAAACAAGATTTCGTATCGCGAAATTATCACATGATTCTATATTTGACTGAGTGCGCCTCATACAATGTACACAATAGTGTATGTGTGATGACAAGCCAAGGTGATGCAACATCACATCATGACCTGGGACACTTGCCCAAGAGAGCGTTTCTAAAGTTTCAACCAAACACCGGAGCCCAACCCATTTCATCACTTCAAATTGGAAGTGTCATGCCAAAAATAACGGACGAAGATCATGACTGAGCGCCGAGATCTATCACGATTCTTTTCCCCGAAACCGATCCACTCCGCAATGTTTCTAGCGCCGCATTAATCCCTTCCAGTCCCCCTTCCGCACGAACAACTTCTGGGAGACTGATAGTACCATCATGCAGCAGCGTCTCCAACCAGCGCACAAGACTCTCACCAACCGCGGGAGCTTCATGGAAGAGCTTGATTGGCACCGTGTGGTATCGGATGCTAGGATCTCGCTCTTTGGGCAGACCGGTCAATCCTAGCAGATGGGCGTGGCCAGATGTATCCAAAGCCCTTTGGAGAATGGTCGCGGTCTGCTTTCCAACAATATCAACTGCGTATCGCAACTTGCTGCCTGTGACGCCCCGGATAATCTCGATGGCACGATCGGTATCGTGCCGATCTACGAGCAGATCTGCCCCGGACTGGAGCAGCTTAGCGCCATGCCGCGCCGCATCGGCAATGCAGATCACACGGAGACCTGCAAGCTTGGCTAGTTGTAGTGTGACAAGACCGGTGGTGGTTGATGCTGTCGATGATCAGGTCAGTATATTGTGAATTCCTCGGGGTAATCAATAGGGAGTCAGAGAGAAGCTATCTTACCTCCCCAGATAGCAATCCAGTCGCCCCGTTGAGGTCGATCCTCCGAGGCGAAGCATTCACCAAGGATGTCCGTTGGGATGCTGTTTTTATCCAGTTGGTTAATCACATTAGCCAAATTGGGACCAGGCGCCCGTGTAAGACGAGAGAAGTCTAGTCCGAATGAAACACCTAACGCCAGAGCAGAGGCGACGAAGGCAACGCCAAGGGATGCAGATGCACTGATAGACATTGAGGACGGAATACGTGCAGCGTTAAAGTCGGTGGAAATAGCGTATTCTTGGAATGCAGCCTTTCTGATGTCCCTGTAGTCGGTTGATGGGACCAAAACAATGTCGCCCACGCGAAGACGGGATGATTCGTCCGGAACTTGAAGAACAAGTCCTGCCAAGTCACGCCCGTTGATCCATGGCAAGCTAGGAATGCCGAAGTTGAATGCACTAGACAAGGGTGATGTTAGAAGATCATATTATATGAGATGGGCGAACGGGACGTACGGTGCTTTCCAGTCGATCGGGTTGAGACCGATTGCAAGAACCTGCCGATAACAAGTTAGATCTTCGAATCTTCATGCAAACTCAGACCAACAGAGAGACAACATACCTTGACGAGGATTTCCCCAGGATTTAAAATAGAGGGAATAGCGTGGTCATCCACCAGTGTGTATTGTTCCCTGACGCCCTTCAGGAGGAGCACCCGCTGTGTCACCTCCACGGGCTTGGGCACTGGGAGCTTCTCCTCCTGCCTCGGTGCTTGAGACAGCTTATATGCTTCAGTGCGATGGAAGCATGTAGTTTTTGTTTGCGGCTCTTCGAGCTGAAAATAGGTTGTGGTGGTCGACATGATTCTCGGAGCTAGCAACGCCATACTCGATATTCACGGCCTGAAATGGAAAGGAAATCTGGCACCAGCTTAAATTTTTCGTTATGTTCTACCGGGGACTACAAGTATGGATCACTTCTCGGGCGAGAAATTGCGACAGACAAGCAGCTTCCAGACATTGGTAAGCGGGGGCCATTGATATCAGTCCTGGCCGAAAGCACGCACGAGGACCAGATGAACTCCACCAGACGCTTGGCCCTGCTGCCTCAGAAAATGGTCCGACTGGGAATATCTCGTCTTGCATTTGCGCCGGACAGCCTATCCTATGGCTTTGCTTGCGCGCAGTTCATTGCTCATGGCGGGGCTGGAATGGCGTGATGGTGACTCTTCGTTGGAAGCCCGGGGGAGGGGAAAGGTAGATCTCATCTATTCAGGGTGATATTGTGAATCTCCCGCTTAGTTGGGCAGGGGTTGGATTCCGACCGGGATGTTGTATAAAAGGGAGCTGTGGTAGGGCTGGCAAAGCATTGGACAAATTGCTGAGTGACTATTCAATTGTGAGAATATTCTGATGAAAGAATAAAAGCTTTTCTGTCTTTCGCTTTGCTCGATTTGACTTCCTTACGGTTTCTTGTTGTTTGGATGCGAAGGTGCCTTTTGGCCTCAAGTTGATGTGATCCGGACCTGCGATGACGAAACCCTAAGAATTGGGCTCCCTCCAGCCGGACCAGAAACACTTGAACAGTCGCTGATTTGTATATCAGCATACCAGTATACCGGTCCTTTTTAATAAAATCCATTCGGACGATTTATTTAGCCAGTAACTTAAAGCTATGTATGGGAGTAGAAGGGAAAATCAGGAGGTGCCCGACGTTATAGAAGGCTCATAAATTGCACGGTTCCCCTCTCCCACATAATTATTCACCTCGATTTCTTTTCCCTCTTTTCCTTCATTAAAGCTGAGATGAAATGAGATTTGCGCGTATTCAAAGTCATGGCACATTCTCAGAATGGTATAGAATGCAGATGTCCCCTTGTTGCCGAAGAGACACCGGATACACGTATTCATGGATAGTGTATATCCTTCTCGGCGGGGAAACCTATTGAATCTCAATTGGCATCCTTTGTAGTAGATTCTGATATCTTTCAAGAATAATTGCCATAAATTAACCTAATCGCGGGTCTAGGCGGAATCCTCAGCCTAACTTGTGTCGCATCACGGGCGTTGGTACGAGCACGTAATCCTGGCCACAAACCGCAACATCTCTAATTCCTGTCAACGTATCGCGTTGAAGATAGCCCCTGAAGGGGTCCGAGTTGACAGCGGAAATGGCAAGGCCCGATGTTGCCATAGCACGAAATGTCATGTTTCAGGAAATAGAGCCCCGTTAGCTTAAGATAGGTCGGCCTTTGCCATGTGGCAGGCGCTATATTAAATTCCCTAAACATCCTTGTGCGGAGGATTTGGACGTGCCGCAGATTCTGAGGAGCATTCTTTTCACCATGTCGGATTCCGAAAAAAGTGTTCCGCGAAAGGATGAGGAGAAGAACAGCCACATTGTAAATACTCCGACTGTTGAGAAGCGAAAAGGTATGAGAGATAAATTAGCGCGAAAGAAGACCGACCACAAATATACCAGACAATTGGATCTGACTGGATATAGTGGAATGGTATCGATCAACTTTCTACAATGCTCTCATCCTCGGAATGTGCAACTTTCTCGCCCCAGGAATCTGGGGCGCAATGAATTCCCTGGGTGGAGGAGGTGAAGAGGAGCCTTATCTCGTCAATGCGGCAAATTCCTTGACCTTTGGGCTTATGGTGGTGTCCTGTTTCCTTTCCAGTGTCGTTGTTCGTTTCATCGGAATAAAATGGACATTAATTGTCGGTACAATGGGATACGCGCCATACGCAGCCGGGTTATACCTGAACAACAGGTTCGGCCAGGAATGGCTGATTATTTTAGGTGCAGCCTTGTGTGGTATTTCAGCTGGAATTTTCTGGATGGCAGAGGCAGCCATCGCGCTGGCATACCCTGAGCCCTACAACCAAGGTCGATTCCTCGGTTTCTGGCTCAGCTTCCGAGTTGGAGGGCAAATTCTGGGAGGCGCCATCAGTCTGGGAATAAACGCCAAGCGGGCAACCGCAGGTAGTGTTTCATACACGGTATACATCATTTTTATTGCATTGCAAGCCCTGGGACCCTTTACTGGGTTTCTCCTCAACACACCGTCCAGGGTACAGCGAAAGGATGGCATCCCTGTCCAGCTCCATGTTACCAACGGCATCGGGTACGAGCTTAAGGCGATGGCCAAGCTCTTCTTGAATAAGAAGTTCCTGCTCATCATTCCTTTCATCTGCCAGGCAGTGTATACCGAAGCTGTCATGTTCTCATACGAGGGCCTGTGGCTCTCCGTGCGCGCAAGAGCTCTCGGCTCATTTTTGTCGGGTATCATTGCTCTCATCATTGGGAATCTTCTCGGGGCTTTCCTTGATACTAAATCCATCTCATTAAAGACTCGGTCCCGAGTTGCGTTCTTCTTTGTGGTCGGCTGGCAAGGCATGTGCTGGGTTTGGGCAACAGTCAACACCACCGAATTCAACAAGACCAGCCCAGTATACGACTGGCTTGATCCTGGATTTGGCAAAGCATTTGCTCTTTTTCTCTTCTGGGTTGCCGGGTTCCAGTTGAATTACATGTACCTGTGAGTGACGACTACGGAGCCTCGCAGTCCTAACTGTCTGCTAACAGAGACTAGTTTTTTCTTGGCTGGTAATCTGGCCGATACGCAAGAAGAAGTCATCCGTATTGCCGGATTGCTGCGGGGGACAGAGTCTGCTGCCCAGACTGTTAGCGTACGCCTTTCCACTCCGCCAGTCACTGTTTCATTGATTCGTCAAGTACTGACTTCTTTTAGTACGGCCTCAGCAGTGTTAGCATCATGGCTGCGGTGGGGAACCCCTACCTCAACTTTGGTCTATGGGCCGTTGCCATTTTCCCTGCTTGGCTCATCGTCAAACAGGTCGGATCGGTGTTCGGAGACAAAAAGGTTGATCGAGAGAAGCGAGGACTTCGTGAAGCTTCCGATAACGAGTGAACATGATGTCGCAGATTTTGAGTTAAAAAAATTGTCGAGTAAACGAAATTTTCTGAATTCCATTGGCTTTCTCCCAAGTAAATATGTACATGAAAAGGTTTTGATAAGGGTACAACCTTGAAACTCGAACCGAGTGTCCGGAGAACAAGGAACTATACGACATATTGGAAGATGCGATTGTCGTGGTTGAAGACTAGCAAGGCTAGCCGATGTCGAACGAAGAGACCAGCTGCGCCACACAAAGTCTGGACAGCAACCATGTGCCATGCAAGCCGGTCCTCTCTCATTGGGCCCATCCACACGAGCCAAAGATTGAGCAGTGTCAAATTTGTGGACTCGATTATTTGCCCATTTTCGTCCTTGGTCACTCGCGCCAATCGCAGTGCATGTAGGAGCTCGATGGCAGTGGCGACCAACGGCGAAGGGGGAATGGTCCATTCGGTGACCGATGCGTCCAATAACCCAGTGGAAGCATTGAACTTTGGGAGACGGTGACGCGGGCAGGGAAGGAGGTGGAACAATTGCGGCGTCGAATATAAAAAGTTGAAGATTTGTGGGACAAACAGCAGTAACAAAGTCTTGCTGAAGTGGCCCAGGATACCCACGACCGCAAAGACCATGCCCGCAAAGTAACAGTAGGTATCACCTACAAATACCTTCGAGGGGTACCAGTTGTGGCACAGGAGCGCCGCTGAAACTCCAATGAATGGCAGCAGGAAATAAATCGAAAACAGGTGCGAGTCTGTAGCTGGGTGCGGGTATGGCGTGATAGGCGCCAGGTACATCGCATCATTGAAAAGCAGCAAAACGGCAATCACCAGCGATTGAGCAACTTCAATGCCGTTGATGCCTGCGAGCATGTTGATGGCATTAGGGCAAAAGATTGCGACCGCCGCCATGTACATGTAGTACAGCCACCCGAGGTCAATGAAATCACCCAGGTATCGTTGCAGCGGGACGGGCACGACGACTTGTGTCACGCCAAAATCGACGAAATACACAATCAGCATTGGGATAGAGGCGAATGCAGGAATGAGGACCTTGTGTCGCCAGCGAATGTCGAGCAGGTCATCTCCAATGCCCAGAATGACAATGGATTGCAAGGACAGAAGCCCCGACAGATACGATGCGAGCTGTAACACGAAAGGTCAGCCCAATGGTTTCAATTCGAGTTGGAGGATCTATACCAACCTTGCCGTGAGGAAATCGGTGCAGATAGCGGCCAGTTTCAATGTGTCGGTCTTCAATCACTACATCACGATTTCCACCGCCGGAGGTCGCGGCCACAATGTCCTTGTAAAAGGCGAAGGGAATGAAGACAATAAGAGACAGTAAGTATATGACAGCACACACAGCTCCCATGGTCTCCGGTCTGGGTTCGAACATCAGTTTCCGCCCTATGCGAATCGAGCATCTGGTAAACAAGTGTACAAGTGTACTTACATTTCAGGTCTTCGTGGTTTGGCCATGTCTTTGCCCTTCAGTCCCGCCTTGATAAACACGGGCCCGAGCCATCGAATCATGCTGAAGGTTATGGCAAAAGCAATCACCGCGAGAGTCCCCGAGGCGATCAATGGCGCGCCATCGCCTTGGAACGTGTTGACCAGGATGCCGAGCCCAGTCCCCACGAGGATCAATAATCGCCAGGTCTCCCCGCGAGAAAGGGTGCTTGAAGCGGACATTTTTCAAGCAGTTGACGCTCTCGCAGGGTCGGGAGACTCGGGTTCTGAAAAAAAAAAATAAAAATAAAAATAAAAAAATGAACCGGCAGATGTGAACAGCAGGAGCAAAGGAAACAGCTTACGCAAGCTGGCATCTCGGAGGCTTCAAACGCGATAAGCTTATCGGATAATGCCGACTATTTCGGCTCTGACCGCCTCCAGGCGGTGAGTCATGTCCCCGTGATGTTCGCGGCCAAGAAGGGAAGGCCGCAGGAACGCTGAGACACCTCTGTTTCAAATCGCAGCATGCATACGTGTGCGTAAAGCGCATCATTGGTCGACATTTGTATTATCCTGGCCAGTCCGAGTGAGGTTAAAGTTCGTCGCCTCGATGGGAAGTGTGGAGCGCCCGGAGATGGCGGGCGGTTTTGCCGACTTCGATGCCGGTCACCGAGACCTAGTGTCTGTGACGAAGTTCAACTTTTACGGGAATCGGATTGTCACGGCTTCGACGGACCACCGCATGAAGGTCTGGGATTTGCAAGATGGTCAATGGCAGTTGACAGACACCTGGCGAGCTCATGATGCGGAGATTCGCGATGTAAGAACACCAAGAGAATGCCTCCCCTCACCACGAGGCTCTGTCGTGCTGACTTTCATGTACAGGCTGTGTGGAATGGCCCATTTACAGGCCAGCATATTGGAAGTGTCGGAGAGGACATGAAGCTCAAGATCTGGCAGGAAGATGTGACGCAACCACCCAATTCGGGCAGGCGATTCAGATCTATTTTCCGATTGACTGCACCTCAGCGTCATCCCTTCGTGTCGATGGACTTCCGGAACATTGATTTGGAGTCGTGGATGGCGGTCATCACGCGAGACGGCTACTTGATGATTTTGGAACCCACTAGTCCGGACAGTCTGGCCGACTGGCAACATCTGGACCAGTTCCGAGTATGCCCTGCCCCCGAGCGCGGCGAGGAAACAAGCTTCAGGGTTCAGTTCCATCACGACCCAAAAGACATCACTCATACTCTTCTACCAGACTCTGATCCCAAGAGTCTTTCACTTGTAGTCGCGGCCATGGACTCGGTCAAAATCTATCGCACCGATGCAAACCGTCGCTTCTACCACGCCATTGAATTGAATGGACATGGCGGTCTCGTTAGAGATATCTCGTGGGCTAACGGCTCTGTTCGAGGATACGATCTCATTGCAAGCGGAGGAAAAGATGGACTGATTCGCATCTTTGAAGTCTTGACCATGCCTACTACTCAAGCGTCTCAAAATGCAAACAACCGAAAGGCCGAGCGGCGCCAGCAGCAGCAGTCTTCGTCAAATAGAGCCATGTCTCAATCAGGAATCGGATCGGCTTTGGCAAATCGTGTCCCATCTTCGTCGTCTAACCGGCAAGCTAGCGGAGATTCTCTGTTTCGCCACTCATTCAAGCAAGTCGCATGCATCGACAGCAAGCATCTCGATGTTTGGCAGGTCGAATTCTCTTTTGCTGGTACGTATGCTTCACTACCGTTGATCTCACGCCAACTAATTTTCTTTAGGCGACTCCCTCATGTCTGCGGGCGACGACGGTGCAGTGCGTTTCTGGAAGAAGTCCTTATCAGGGGAGTGGCTTGAGTTTGCTGAGACGGATATGGCATCCCAATAATTTATGTCTCTGTGGTGGGCTGGCGGTGTCCCATCATGAGTGTTTCTGATCTCTTCGTTCTTTTGGACATGTTGACTCGAGTTTGTTTTCCACCCTACTACCCCTTGGCCGTTGAACCTAGAGTTTGTACGGCTGGAGGGAAATGATACCCTTGTTTCCTAGTGATAATGATCCATCGCATATTATCAAATGTGACATCACTCCCTTATACTTTCCTAGGTACTGACTATCGGAAACTTTAACGGGGGTTGACCGAGGCAATGCCGTCGAGGCAGGAACGACTTCGCGCCGGCATGGCCGGGCGACATGGCGGGACAGGACCTCGCGGCTCGGAAACCCAAGCTCCGGACCCTTTTCTCTTCCACATTCACGACCTTCAATCTTTCAGGCCGCAATTATTGCTATCCATGATCAGTCATGGCCGTGGGCCCGACTCTTGGGACGGGCCTGTTCATTGGCGCCGGCCAGGCTCTGGCCGTCGGCGGTCCTGGGACTCTGCTCATCTCCTACATATTCTTATCACTCCTGACCTACTTTATGGCCACGACTGTTGCTGAGGTTGCCATCCATGCACCTTCTCGATATGGCTCCATGGTTGCAAATGGCTTTCGATACCTTCCGTCCAGTCTTGGCCTCGCGACCGCCACCCTTCGCTGGTACACTCTCGCTATGTTCGTCCCTTACGAAATCACGACAGCAATGGTCAACCTCGGGCTGTGGAAAACAAGTCCCACCGTCGCAATTCGAATGCTGCTTATGATGTCCATCATCGTCGGGTTCAACTACCTCCCTGAGCGAAGCTTTCGGAGCTCCGAGCAGCTCTTCAGCAGAATCAAAATCGGCACGATGGCCTTTCTCTTAATTCTGTCCTTGTCTATTGGTCTGGGAGGTGCTACCGGCCATGATAAATGGGGTTTCCAATACTGGAATAAACCGGGCGCTATGAATGAATATCTGGCCAGGGGCACCGTGGGGAAGGTCGGAGGCGTCATTCAATGCCTGTTATACAGTTCGATTGCCTTCACGATCGCACCGGAGTTGATCGTGCACCGAGCGGAAACTCCAGACCTGACTGATGGCCTGGAAATCGGCGAGCCGTACGATCCTAACATTCAGTCCGGAATCCCGAGACGTGTTCTATATGATGTCGCGACCACCGTGGTCCCCTATATCTTGAGCTCCTTGGCTATGGGTGTCATGGCCCCATACAATGATCCTCTGTTGAACAACAATGGTGCTGGCGGTGGTCTCTCGCCCTTCGTAATTGGAATCAACACCGCAAAGATTCGCATTATCCCAGTGACGGCGACTCTCGCGATCCTTATCTCTTCGGTGTCGTCCGGTCGATCGTTCCTGTACCTGGCCTCACGCACGCTTTGCGCAATGGCTGAACTCGGCCATGCTCCTGAGATTTTTAAAGCTCGAAACCAGTGGGGTGTTCCGTATGTGGCGACGACGGCTACCTCGTTGTTCGCTCTCCTTGCCTTCATGTCTGTTGCGGTTTCAAGCTCCACCGTCTTGACCTACTTCTTGGTCTTCATCAACAGCTGTGGGTATCTTTCTTGGATGTTGTCATGTGTCCTGTACCGTCGCTTTCGCCATCATCTCCATCGACAGGGACAGAGTGACTCCTTTCGCTTTTCGGTCCAGCCCGTGGGTACTTATATTGGCTTCTTGATCAGCACCATCATGCTGTTAGCTAACGGAATGGTGGGTGGCCCGCCGGGACCTCGGCCTGGATCAAGAGCATCGCGACTTCTGGCAGCTTACTTTGGAGTCCCTGTCTTTGCGACTATCTACTTCATTCACCGATTCCAAACGCTGTTCTCTTATCGGTCGCATGCTAAGGACGCATCCATTAACAAGGATATTCCTGAAGGTCCCACGGAGGCGTTGCACACGCGGCGGGGCCAACCTGCAACACCACCTTCACCTATCGAGATGGATCAGGTCTGGTCGATGGCTGTGGAGGCTTGATGAGGAATGGTTGGGTAGCACACGAACGGCGGTATAGTTTGTTTTTATTTTGGAGGGGATGGGAGACTGCTTCGCTTGGGTGTATGAAGACTGAGCTTTCCCGTAGCTACCATTAGTAAACCGCATGTATATTTGGTCTGCTCAGAGGCTCCCGGCAGTTGTGTACCTAGCACATGGTGTCTTTATTTATTTTTAGCGCCGCCAGCAATGTTTGTATTTTGTTTCCGTTCATTCGATACCTAAGGCAGTTTCCGGCATCCTCAGTAGCCAACGAGTCATATACTAGGGCAGGTGTCCTACCGCGCCACTCATCCGCTCTCGACACTTCTTTCATCTTCCAAAGTTCCTTCACAACCCCTCTTCTCCGACTTCCATCCACAATGAACTCTGTCCGTTACTCATTCTCCCGCCAATCGATGCTTCCTATGAATGGCTCGATCGTGGCCGATCTACTTATTAGTCGCTTGCGCTGGTCGCCTGGTGCGGTATTGCGAGTTTCAGCCCTGGGCTCCCGGCCAATGACTAACGTGTCAGTTGAGGTGTGATTTCTCACACGACTAGACAAATTTCGATTACTTGGCCTCCGTTTGAACCAGACTGATTCACTTCCCTGAACCTCCTTCGAGATCTCCCACGGTACCTGACAAACTGGGGTGCTCAGCGTACATCGCATTGAGGTTGACAGTGGAACAGTCAACCGCGCGGACTCGGTGGGCCATACAGTATCGATACCTAGCGCTGCCTTATGATCGACTAATCACGAATCGACCAACGGTGATGATTAGCCCCGTTTTCTGGCGCACTTTGCGGCCTCTATAGTGGCAAAAAAAATAGCCCGCCAAATTTACCGTGGATATGATGGGTCCCCTTTGCACGCGAACTCCTTTCCCCGTTCCAGTCTCTTTGGGCACTCTCTGGCTATCGGGCACTTGCACCTTCCTCACTTTGGCCAACACTGCACCCGTTCGAGTTGGGGAACTGCCGGTGTGGGTTCAGGGCCGTGCCGTCGTGACACCCTTTCTCCCCCAAATCCGTCCAGGACTCTTGGGAGAAATGACTCTGTTTTCCCCTCCCCGGCCCTTCGACCTTTCTGCGCCACGCTCTGCCCCATCCACCTTTCACTACCGGCCGATCTCCCTTTCCCATGGATCCTTCTTCCCACCCACGTTCCGCTTTCCCTTTTGTATACTCTTCCGACTACTTCTTCTCCCTCTCGCCGACCACACTAAGTAATCCCCCGATCTATGTGCTATCGTTGTTTCATCTGGGGTTGGGTGCTCTACTCTCTGTTTCCTGCTTTGTCTCTCCCTCTCCTGCCCTGATTTCTTCTCTTCTCGTCTCCCTTACTTGACCCGTCCTAGGGTTCTTTGACTTCCCGTCTCCCGAATACTTCTCGTCCCCTCTTATGTTCTTTCCCTCCCCGTTGATCCAGAGAGGAATCTTGATCGTCCATTCCCTGCCTCCCAGGGAGTTGGCCACGGTCACTGCCCATGATGCTTGATCGTGCTCACTGCGCCATTCTCCCGGTCGCAGGCGGATCGAGTGGCAGCAGTCACACTGCCTGACCTGCATGGCATCCCGGTGGTGTTCGGCCGAACCCGCTGCTCGGACCAGCATCTTCCGGGCGCCGGCCCAAAATGATTTCCCCCTCTTCGGAGAAGGGCTACACTCGACTAACGATCTAGATGCTCACCTTCTCTCCCTCAGTTGATCCCTTCCCCCTTCCCCATGCCTGCGTTCCCGTGACCGGGCCTCTCCACCGGATTATGTCTTCCGGCACTAGTCCGGAAGCGGACTAGTGCACCGGACACGGGACCACTCTACGGCCACAGCCACTCGCTGGCCTGCCAGCCACTTATTGCCACAGCACCCTACCCCGGCTTATCACCACGCACACTCGCCACACAGATCCCCGGCCTACGGGTGCCATTGTGCCAGGGACTGCTAATGCCACGTCTCCCCCTCCAGTGCCAGGTTTTTTCCCCGTCGTTTTCGGGTCGCGGTGGTCGAGGTGGTCGAACTGGCCGGACGGGTCCCAGACTGCCAGTGCCCAGAGTGTGTCCCCCTTCGCTCGCAGGTCGCCCTCGCGCTAGGCCCATTTTGCTCCTGCTGGTTCGGGGCTCATTCGTTGCCTTAGGCCCCCGTAGCCTCTCTCTCCTCCCTCCAGGCTCGAATCCCTCTCTCTTCTTTTCCCTCTCCTTTTCCTGGCGCGTCCTTCTCCTTCTCGGACCCTCCCCATTCTTTTCTTGTCCGCCGCCTCCATTCTCTCTCCCATCTACTTTTCCTTTCCCATTTCTGGTCTGTCCTCCCACGCGATCCCGTCGCTCTCCCCTTTCGCCCTCGACCGACCCTCCAAACCGCCTCGACTCCTCCCCCCCAACCGACCTCCCAACGCAAATCGCAAGCGTCTCACCACTCTATCTCGAATCGCCTGCGATCATACCCACTGCTACCATTCTTTCCGACTCGATTTCACTTCTCGTCCCGCCTCCACCCTTCTGGGCACGCCGCTAGCGCATCCAGCCAGGATTTTCCACCCATCTTCTGCCATCCTACACGGCCTGTCTGTCCATCACGAGTGACCCCTGGGTTTTGTGAAAACCTCGATTTGGCTGTGAACCCCAGCTGTGGTCATTGTCGGTGCTGTCTTCGCGTTCGGACGGTCTCGGTGTCGCTTCCCCCTCCTCGCTGGCTCGAACGCGTCTCAACAGCCCCTAGCAGTCACTCGCAAGAAATACACCTTCCTCGTCCTGTGGTCGTGGACATGTTCCTTGAATGGTGACGGTTCGCCTGCGGCATAACTACCCTACCATTAACACATTTTGTTGTGATTTGAGAGGGGGTAATCTGTCGGACTATGACAGATACCTCCTCCCTCGCCATCACGCACGCCACCACGGATCCGTATCCGGTTCCCGCTCCTCTGGGCTCTCCAATCGCCAACGGTGCGATTTCTGACTCGGTCGCACCCGACGAAGAAGAGCCGTACACCATCAAATGCATTTGTCTTTTTGACGAAGATGATGGAAGCACGGTTTTCTGCGAAGGGTGCGAGACATGGCAGCATATCATCTGCTATTATCCGGACAACCGGGTACCAGATGTGCACAACTGCGTCGACTGTGAGCCTAGGCTCCTCGACAGTCGCCGTGCCACTGAACGTCAGCGCCAACGGCGAATGAAAGAGCAGAGTGAGGACGGTGACCGGAAAAAGCGATCGGGTGCCAAGTCTCAAAAGAAGAAGTCCAGAGAGGGCGACGTGAATGGGTTCAGCCATCAACGAAGCGAGTCAGGGGCTCGTGAACAACCACCGGCCAAAAAACCAAAGACTTCGCATCGCTCCTCCGCTTCCATCAGCGCCATCCCGGGTGCCCCCACCATCCCTCCCGAATCTCGGAAACGACGCTCCTCTACCTCCGTCGCTCCGAGCCCCACGAAATCCTTTGGCCCCTCCATACCTCTCTACTCCAACGAATTCCTTCACCTCTACGACCGTGACGATGAACACGAAGACAGAAATAGTAATCTTTTTGTGAACGTGAGTCTGGTGGGTGAGATTGCGTCGTGGGTGAAAGATCCGGACGCGTTGGCGCGTATCTCCAATGGTCGCCCGACGGAAGATACCTTCAATATGTCCGATTCCGCCCTCGACCGGTCTCACTGGCCTACTTTGACGACTGATACGATTACAGATTCGAATCTTGACATTGGCGGGCGGCACCCGACATGGAAGATTGTTAAGACTCAAGATGCTGTACGAAAAGATGGGATCCTTGGAGAACTCACTGGCAAGGTGGGTGTTTTCGACGATTACTGTCTCGATCCCAACAATCGATGGCAGGAACTGCGCCACCCAGAACCCTTTGTCTTTTTCAGCTCTCACCTTCCCTTGTATATCGACAGTCGACACGAGGGCAGCGTACTCCGCTATACTCGCCGATCATGCCGTCCAAATGTCACGATGAAAATCTACATCACCAATGAGGTCGAATACCACTTCTGCTTTGTCGCCAAAGAGGACATCCCTCCCAATTCAGAGATTACGATTATGTGGTATCTGGATGCTCCGTTGTTCGAGTCTTCGAATGGGCTCGTCAAGCAGGAGTCTGGTGATAGTGCGACAGAGGCCGCTGCCACTTGTCTTAGTAACACCCTTGCGAATTTTGGCGGTTGCGCGTGTGGGAATACCCAGAATTGTCTGCTGGCAAAAATCGATCGACGTCGACATCCCAAGCAGTTGGAGGCTGCCACGAAGCAGCCCAACGGCAAAAGGAAAAAGGCTAAGACAAAGTCGACTGCGTCACCGCGAGATACTGGCGCTGCTCCCCTCAGTCGCGCCGGCAGCGAGACGACCAAGCACCCGGAGGATGACGATGCGCTTGTTGAGAGCCGCTCCAATTCCGGCTCTATTCGCGGACAGCCTCAGAGTCGCGACCTCAGCCCTTCTACTCCTCAACTGCATGAATTGACTAGCCGGGAGAGACGGAAGATCGCGGAGGCCGAGAAGCAGTTCCAACAGCTAGAGCAGCATGATCATCGGACAACCACTCAAAAGAAGAAGAAGAAGCGTGCCAGTGGGACTTCAGTTCAATCGCCAGCCGCTGTTTCGACCCCTACGCAAGCCGGATATTTCGGGGCTCAAAAGGCAGGCAAGGGTATCTACTTGAATACAGGCAGCTTATCACGATCCCCCACGACGGCTCAGTCGCCGGGCCCAATGCCGGCAGGTCGCCACGGCTCGCCCGGAAAAGTGTCTGGGCCCAGTACTCCTGGACCGTCTTCTGGCCGCTCGACGTATGTCGACGCTGCGGTTCAGATCATGCCCGATCAATTTGAAGACCCCTCGGTCAAAGATGCGTCACCTCCACACAAGAGCTCGGTTTTCTTGCCCCCGAAAATGCGACTCCTCAAGCGATTCAGTATGGATCGTCTTCGGGTTGAAGAAAACGCCCGCCAACAGCTTTCGTCGGCCGGATCCGATAGCGTAGCGCCTTTCGAACCGTCCTCGCCCTCTTTGACTCGATCACCTGCTTTCATGCGGTCACCTGCGTTGTCGTCGCAAGACAAATCCGACGCTGGAACGGGCGACACGGAGCATGCTCAGCGTACTCCGACTACGACATCAGCTATAGCGAGTGATATGGAAATGCTGGATGCCCCCATACCTTCAGGAATCAGATCACCTTCTGCTGGTCGCGATCTGAACCGACCACAAGTACCTCCCCCGTGGCCGTCTACTGCCGCCCACAACACCCGCATCCCTGGAGTTACTCCGATAGAGCGTGGAAACCTTCGTGTCTCCATGCCTCCTCCGAGTGTTCCTTCTATACCTCCCGCAGCCAGTCCTGGCTCGGCATCCAATACGAGCCCTGCTTCGCCCAACACTGTGGACACCACCTCTCCCTCACAGGCTAGCGCGCAGGTGCCCAGCACTGCACCAACACCTACTCCGACAGTTACCAAGAAGAAGCTTAGTCTCGGTGATTACTTGATCCGAAAGGGCACGATGGCGACAACCCCCACCTTGGAGAAATCGCAGGTCCCGTCCATCCCCTTACCTGTCTCCCAGAAATCACCCACTACGCCAGAGTCAGGACCGCCAGCCAGTGCAGATGGAGCTCAGACTCCCACAAAGACATCGCCTGACAGCAAGGCTGATCCACATGATTCACCTGACGTCGCGATGAAAGACGCACCGGAGTCGAACCAACCACACGCCCCCTCTATTATCTCTTCGTGACATGTATTCTCCTCTCACTCACCTTCTCTCTTCGCGTGGTCATAATGGTGTGGTTGGTCGAAAAAAATACTCCGTCTTTATGTTTACGACCCCCAAAATATTTTCTCGTGTGACTTGATTGAAACCCCTTTTTACTGAGCGGGTTACAACGGCGTTTTCGGGCTGTTTTGTGACGGTCTTCTCTTTGTTATTTTTCTTGGCGTACAGGGCGCGATACAGGAATAGGAATTGGTTACGGAAATACCAGGAATGGGATGGCTAGGGATGTTCGACAGTGGTTGCCAGGGAGCAACACTCTTTTGATTTGTGAGAATATCTACCGAATTTCTCTTCTCTCCGACACGGTCTACCGTTCGATCGTACGAATAGTTTGTATGAACACTGGTGATAATTCACTTTTCAACCTCAAGTCCACCTATCTTTACTTCTGAACGTGACATCGAGGATATAATAGCAGTAATGATGCTCGCATGACAACATCGTCGTATGGGCATCAGTGGTGCTCTGAGTACAAACTTGAAGTAGTTGACGTGGGGAGCTCTGCGGGTCTATTGGGAGCGGCTTTGGTGCCGTCGCGGCATCGAGTCCGCGCAGTAAGTATTATAAAGTGGCAGCCAAACTGATACGGTACTATCTCTCCCATTCTCTTTTCCAGGCTCAACCCGATTTAATCCAGCTGTCCTACCTCGAATGCAACAAAATGCCCTCCCAAGTCCCTTCCATCCAACTCCACGGGCGAACCTACAAAGTACCCCAACGAGCAACAGTAGTCATCTGCATCGACGGCTTCGACCCAGAGTACCTCGCAGCAGGAATAGAAGATGGAATTCTCCCAAGCATGGCCTCGTTCCTCGAATCCGGGTTCCACACCACAGCAAACTGTGCAATGCCCTCCCTAACAAACCCAAACAATCTATCCATCATCACCGGTGCCCCAACAAGCATTCACGGTATCTCAGGCAACTATTACCTCGACAAACAAACCGGCGAAGAACACATGGTCCTCGACGACTCGACCATGCACGGAACGACCATCCTAGCCAAAATGGCCGATGCAGGCGTCCGCGTCGCAGCCATCACAGCAAAGGATAAACTGAGACGACTCATCAACCACGGGCTATCACCTTCCAAGGGCTCGATCTGTTTCTCGGCGCAGTGCGCGAATGAGTGTCTGCAGTCTGAACACGGTATCCAGGACGTGGAGAATTGGCTGGGCAAGCCAACTCCAGCTCAGTACTCGGGTGACTTGTCCCTTTTCGTCCTCGACGCAGGTGTAAAACTTCTTCAGGAAGACCGGGCTGATTTGTTCTACCTGACGCTTTCGGATTACATCCAGCATAAGCATGCGCCGCGCTCACCCGAGTCGAATGAGTTTATGCGGGCGATTGATGCACGGCTCGGCGAGCTGGTCAAGTTAGGCGCCGTGGTGGCTGTGACGGGTGACCACGGGATGAGCGATAAATCCGCCGAAGACGGCTCGCCGAACGTCCTCTTTCTGGAGGACTTCTTGAACTCGAAATGGCCGGACTGCCAAGCCAGAGTCATCTGTCCCATTTCAGACCCCTTTGTAAAGCACCATGGTGCCCTGGGTGGTTTTGTTCGGGTGCATCTGGGTGGGAACGAGGGCAAGAAGCCAGCGGTATGGGAGATGGTCGCGGACTGTCGCAAGTTGCCGGAGGTCGAGATGGCGCTGACGGGTGAAGAAGCTGCGGCTTCTTTTGAGATGCCGCTGGATAGGGAGGGTGATCTGGTTATTATGTCGAAGAAGGATTTTGTGATTGGGAGTAGGAGTGACAAGCATGACCTTTCGCAGTTGGGTGAGCAGCGACTTCGTTCGCATGGTGGGTTGTCTGAGCAGCGAATTCCATTGTTGAAGTCTACCGCTGTTCTGCCTGGTGTATTGGCCGAGTGGAAGAGGTGGAGGAATTTTGATATATTTGATCTTGTTCTTAATTGCTAGGTATGGGAGGGAAGTCATCTCATTCGGTTTCAAATAATGCAGATGCTGCCGTTTGATCGAAATTGCCAGAAAGCATATCAAATCCTTCAAAGGCAAAGTCAAACCCAAAGGTTCCGTTAAAAGGACCACCGTCGTCATGGTGTGACTGTGACCCTCCAGACAAAATACCCTCGAGACTTTCTGCGATTCCTCGAAGAGGATGAGTTGAGCCATTCCCAATAGCGGAAGAGCGAGAAACCTGGACGAGTCGACGTAAATGTCCAAAAGCGTCATCCCCATCTGCGTCACAGGTAATCATCTTGCACTCAGTCGATGCCTTCACAAGGCATACGGAAGCAAACGCAGTCACCGTCCCAATATAGTCGGGCAGTGTTTGAAGGCTGGCTTCCTTGGTGATATCGCATACAATGGACAGGGCATTCTTCAATGCTGAGCTCGCAAATTCGTCCAAATCACTGGTTGTATCGTTCGTGAAGCCTGTTCCATCTCGCGAGTGACCACGGAAAATATGAGAGAAAAGGTATAACTTCGCAGAATGGTAATAGAGATCAAAGACGCGTCTGGGGAAAGGATCCGCGACCTCGACAAAGGTCAAGATATCGAGCCAATCTCCATACCATTGCTCGTATGCCTCGTTGAGAGCTGGTATCTCGCCCAGTCTCTGCGTCGCAACGCAGTTATCGATATCTGCGCCAAACATGTCGAAGACCCGATTGCTGATTGACCATAACTCGACCTGGCTGATCAATTTCAGATCGGAAGGAAAGGAGAACTCTGTCCTGAGGAAGTCACGAGGGCTTTTAAGAGAGTGGAAGTCTCGTGTCAAAGGGGGTTTGCCATGACTAAGGGAGCAGTGGTGATCACACAGATATACCAGGAAATATAGCCGGGTGCGATCATAGCACGCGCGTTTCTTGTGTGGCATCTTGGTGATGCACCGGTGAAGGTTTAATTCTGTCGCAATTCGTACAGCTGAAATTCAATGTGTCAGCTTTGGTCTTGCTGTCCGGAATTGTGCGCTTACCCAGTGAATTCAACGCCGTGGATACCTCGTTGAGCCACAGTGCCCCAACGCAGAGAGCTCGCACATCGTCGAATTCATGATTATTCGAAAATACTTTCCCAGATACCTCGCTTTTCAGATGATCGAATAGGACCCGGAAATGTTCCGAGCCGGAGCACAATGCTGCCACGGTGCAGATAGCGGCTGTCAAGAGGGAAGACCGTTCGCGCATCGAAGCCAGGGAGTCGGTGCGGGTGAGGATATCGTAAGCGAATGTGTCCATATTCGTTTTATAAAATGTGAAGAGGGTTTCGGCAACATTTATGGGTATTAACTGATGACATATAAAATCTGAGCCTTGTTTCGATGTCCCTCGGGGATCCGCTAACGTGAAGTTGATCATAGAAGAGGCCGGGAATGCGCCTAGGCTGCAGGAGAGATTCAGAGTGACGATTTGAGGTGCTTCTATCAAATCGTTAGGGAGATGCTCGTCATTATCATTACGTGGTACGTTTTGCCCGATGTCATTGTTGAATTTCTGTGGCCGTAGATGTTTTGAGGGGTTGGGATGTTCGGTAGCAGCCTTGATGATATGCGCTTCAAGTTTAGCCATCCGCTCTTCCATCTGTTCCTTCCAACTATGCAAAGGTCAATGTACAATCCATATGATCTCATTTTCTGACACGGTTTTATACTTACGAAGCATCGCCTTCCAGAAGTGACTGTAGACTCTTGTTGACGGTGCATGCATTGCCACGGGCTTTGCAGCGAGTGCATGGCGGCTTCTCATTCTTCATATGACATTTAATCTGTTTGACTATTAGTAACATTCTGATAGTAGTCCCAAGTGGAGCTCTAACCTTCAGTTTGCGACAGGATACGCAGGCTGTTATTTTCCTCGAGATCTCGGGGATTTTCCTGTCACCGAATGACTCGCGCAGCGACATCGCCGCAGACTGCGCAGCCATGGTAGAGTCCTATCCGGTTCTGCAGGATTGATACACCAGCGATATTTCGAAGTGCAGAGGTCGATAACTGTGGCAAGTATCCGACAGCTTGCGCTTGTCGCGAGACCCACCACGGCATTCTTGCCGTCTTTTGGTGGCGAATCCCAGTGCAGTGTGCTTCTCTTACCTAATGCACCTTTATGCTGAAGCACTTGATCGAGAAACTAGTCCGCCGTGCTGTGGTTATATATCACATATAGCATTGATGTATGGATGAGACTCAACGCAGGAGGGATGGTAAACATAATCCAAACGATTTGGTAGTCGGAATGCATTGTTCATCTGATATCTCAGTGAGCTTTGCAATTTTGGTAGCAGCAAGTGAAATCGATCAGGTCTCGAGAGCGATCCTTGATTCTTGAAGAAAGAAACGTCCAAGTAACTTCGCGAGATGTTCCATCAATTGCAAGCTGGCGATGGAGTATGATCAAAGTGCCCGGCAGAAAATTACCGGCTGGCCCACGCGGCTGACTGGATGCGAAGCATTGCCCCTGAGTTCGAGAGCTTTCGTATAGTGCTTGAAGAGCTGGACTATAGACTGTCAGAAATAGACGAAGTCGAACTGTTGCAAGTAGTATTCCCGCCGAGGTGAACGACCTTCCTATTTAAGGGTACGACTCGAGACTCTTTTGAAGCCGTCTCTCATTATGTCTCCCCGTTTCTACTCTGACCACACCTCTCTCGTATATTGTGCATGTTCCCATCCCAGAAGGGTATGATCAGCGTAAGGTCTGGTGATCAGAGCGAAGGAAAGAAACGAAGACCCGGGCCATGATGTGCGCCGAACAGCGATCTGATAGGAAGATGCGAGGAGGGCGATGGTCGCATCGGCACGAAGTCCGCCGCGTTGCGATAGACCGGAGGCAATTGTAGGCCCGATGAGACAAGGATCCGCTCGAGCGGGAAAGTGCGCACGCGATCATTCCAGCGAGAGCGTCGATCGTTGATCAGGCATTTTGCGAGTTGCTGGCAATCCTGTCCATTTTTCAATTCCACCGCCAGCCCTTCGATGGGGATATATCACCGCCACCATGAATGCTTCCGATCGCGAGTCTCGCCAGTCCGGAGAGGACTTAGCCTCCGAGATCGAGCAGCCGGCCTTGCCTCCAGCCGACGGAGGCATGGCAGCCTGGATGATGCTTGCGTCCTGCTGTCTGATCCAGCTGCCAGTCTGGGGTGTGCCATGCCACTAGTCGTGAGACCGGCAATCACTAACATCTGGTGAATTCTAGGATTCTCCACTGTATTCGGTGTCTTTCAAGAGTACTACACGACGCATAATGTGCTCAAGGGAAGTAAGGGCGATTTGGCCATCGTGGGAACGACCTCAACTGTATGCGCCGACTACATATAGATGCCTCATCTTCTTTGTATGTACTTGATCTGACGTCTGATACAGGGCATTCTTTATCTCCTTTCGCCTATCACCTTCACTTTACTTACGCGGTATCCGCGATTGCAATCCTACTGTGCTCCAGCAGGACTAGTCATTACGGTTGTCGGATCCCTACTCTCCTCCTTCTCGAAGCAAATCTGGCATCTCATCGCGACCCAGGGCGTGATGTGCGCCATCGGCAATGGACTAATCTTTAGCCCATCTTCTCTGTATCTGGACCAATGGTTCGTACGAAGAAAAGGCCTCGCTCTGGGGACCATGTGGGCCGCAAAGAGCGTGACTGGGGTTGCTTTGCCATTTATCGCGGCATCTTGCTTAGTCCGTTTTGGTTCCAGCACTACACTGCGAGCTTGGACGATAATCACGGTATATCTCTCTGATATTTTGTATTCCTTCATATCTTCTTTCATGGTACTAATCCATTGGAACAGCTGATCTCTACGTTGCTATCACTGCCATTCATGAAGCCCAGAATCCCAGTGTCGCCTTCGGCATCGGCTCGGCGTCTTGACCTTGGCTTCCTCAAATTGGGTACCTTCTGGATACTCCAGGCTGGTAATATCATCCAGAGCTTTGGGTATTTCCTACCAACAACCTATCTCCCCACCTACTCGACATCCATAGTCGATCTGCCAGCAACCATGGGCACGATGTTAGTTTCACTCTTCAACGCAACGTCCATCTTTGGCGGTATCGCACTGGGAATGCTCTGTGACCGCTTCGCCGTCACAAACATCCTACTTTTATCCTCCGTTGGCTCGGCAGTATCTGTCTTTCTATTCTGGGGCATGGCTGCATCTTCGGACGGAGGCTCATCTCAGACGGCGCTGGCTCTACTCACTGTCTTTTCGATTTCATATGGCTTCTTTGCCGGTGGTTTCAGCTCCACTTGGTCCGGTGTAATTACACAGATCAAACAGGACTCCCAATCCTCGATGGAAACAGGGTTGGTCTTCGGCCTTCTTGCTGGTGGGCGAGGGATTGGAAACGTCATTAGTGGGCCGCTGAGCACAGTACTGATACAGCAAGGATCGATAAGCGAGTCAAAAGGCCATGACCCCGGTACTGCTTTTGGCACTGAATATGGTGCTCTTATTCTATTTACGGGTATAACCGCACTTTTTGGAGGTTGGGGTTGGATTTGGCGGTATCTGAGCTCAGTGGTGGTCCGCTGCACAAGTTGAGTCGACATTGACTAAGATTTATCAGACAAAGAAAAGCAAGGACTAAATGATATCTAAATACGGAGCTTTCTATTCGAAGTGAATATTATACATCTTTGTCTTCTTCGCTAGAACATTTACCTGAATTCACCCAACTGGATTCACTGAACTGTATACTCGTACCGGCCCATATAGTCACGTGCGTCCCAAGCTTCATCCCAGTTACCGCAGCGGACGACATTCAAAGCGCAATCTTTCGCCCATCCCCTTCAATTCCTTTGCAACTGTGCAACTTCTCCCAGGGTCACGGGACCCTCCATCCTCAACCATGTCCGCGGTCGACCCCGCCCTTCAGGATCCTCTCCTTTCGCTCCGGCGCGCGATCGCCGCTGGTAGCCTTCCAACCGCGACGACCTCGTCGGAGCTCTCGAGCGACCACGCGACGGAAGACCTGGCTCAGGCGACACACCTCTTCTTCTCGCAACCGGTTCCCCAATCCATTGCGCTCACCACTCCCACGCGATTCGTCTCCGCCTCCACAAGCACACCCGTTGACCTCCGCAGCATCTTTTTCGCGTGGCAGAAGAAGGATGTCGCGATTCCAGATTACATCGCCTCGGCGCAGGAGCTGAATGAGGCGCTGAAGCAGAAGGAAGGAGACGAGGCACAAGTCCAAAACCTGGTCTTTGTCGAACGTCTGGATCTGATCACTTGGCTGGAAGGTGCTTCTGATGAGAGCGAATACATCAAGCCGCTGGAGGGTGCCGCTGCTGCTGCTGAGGCCGCCGCGGCGGTTGCTGGCACTATTCAGTCAGATGCTGCTGCGGGAATTGCCTCTGGTGCCGCTAGAGCATCTGCCCAGGGCGGTGCAGGCGCTGCGCCGACAGGAGCCCAGGGAAGTAGGGCGCAGAAGCAGATCGACCCCCGACTGCAGGAGATCTACAATGGGGAACGAAAGACTGGAGACCGGAACACTGTACTACATGGAATCAAGCCAACGGTAAGCAATGGCACCAAATACATGTACATTCCATGACGGGCAGCTAATCAACTTCTACGAGCAGGACTTCTCCCACATCCGGAAAAGCGCCGAGGTCTTCCACGACAAAAACCGCAATCGCCCTGGCCAGCAAGGCGCAAAGCCCGGCGTCAAGAGCTCTTCCGTGGTGCCAGCACCGTCTGCAGGACTCCCCCTGCCGTCGCGCAAATCCAACTCTCGCCCCGACCCGATCATCCTCCTCTCCCCCTCCGCCTCTTCTCCTATCCGCATGTCCAACATCAAATCCTTCCTGGGCGAGGGCGTTTACGTCCCTCCCGACCACCCAACTCTGAGCATGTCAACCGACGCCAACTTCATGGAAATCAAGCGCACGCTGAACCTGAAGGCCGACCCCTCAAACCCCTCCGCCGGCTCCATCGGCTCACAGGTCGGACGGTCCTCGAAGCCAACCAAATTCATTCTCGTCGACGGTACGACCAACTTCAAGCCCGAGTATTGGTCACGATTGGTGGCTGTCTTCACGACCGGTCAAACATGGCAGTTCAAATCATACAAGTGGTCTTCGCCGCCTGAGCTCTTCAAGCATGCGCAGGGTATCTTCGTCAAGTTCAGGGGAGAAGATACGCCCGAGGCAGTGACTTCATGGGGTAGCGGTGTGGCTTCATTCCCGATCGCACGGTGGGATGACAAGCTCGGTGTCAATGGCCCTGGACGCTGGAAGGATCAGGAGGTCGTGGAGAGTATCTGGATGGCTATCGAGGAGAGTATGAAGCTCCGCGGCTGGGGATCTAAGTAATCTCCGAGTGAAGTTGATTTGTACGCAAGAAAAGATGATCACATACCATGATCTTGCGGCTTTTATGAAGCCATGATTCCCATATTCCAAGCCTTTTAGTTTCGTTTCATATTGATGGGTTTTCAGTTTTTCTTCACTTATTGTGTTATTTTGGCGCTTTTGAACGAGGTATATGATCTGATATAGTAGGCGCAATAATATCAGATTCGTACGATAACGATATCGAGCTGATCCGCTCTGACACTAAGGTTCCAGTCCTCTATCCCCCTTTTTTTTTCTCCTTTAACGCCTCTTCAGTCATTGTCAGGAGTCGCTTCTACTCGAAAGTGTCGGACGTAAGTTCAACCACGTAGATTGGGTAAATTCCCACACCATACTTCTCCAACCTTTATCTAGTACTATGAGATGAAACGCTTTCTGGTGCATTAAATCCACATCAAACGGGCGTCGGGCGAATTCTAATAAGCAGGTTCAAACCTGACTCGTGTCCGGGTCTTCTTTCCTTGCAGACGACTCATGAAAACCTTTGTTTTTTCGAAGCTTCTAAGCCGTTCATTCAGGCTAATGTTTCTACATCCAAAGTATACACCCAATATCGCAGCTTCAAGCGATTGGCGGAGACCATGAACGCAAGTTTGTCCTCACTGTCCACATATAGATAGGATTTAAGACTGAAGCTACGGTTTACGAGAGAGAAAGTTATGTAAGATCGTCATTTCCATTGCAATTCCCGAGGGAACTGAGATAATATGACATACAAAAATAAAACCAGAACTCACACGCTGTGCCCAGAAGAAACAATGCAGTGCCACAAAAGAGGAAAGCAGCATAACTCGAAGGGATGAACAAAAAGCAACTGCTCTCAAAGATCATGCATCCAGGAATGCGAGAAGAAGAAAGTATGAATGAGAATAAAGGTGAAATAAAAAGAAATGGGAAAACGTGAACATGCGAGGGAAAAAACGCCGTGTCTGATGCTCAAAACAGTTCAAGGCAAGGACGAGTCAGCCACCGGGTCTTTTGGCGTGATTTTTCGGGGTCAAGATTCTTTGTGTTCCGGTTTTGCGGCAGACCGAGGATGTGAGGATCTGGATATCGTGTATGAGATGTAACAAAAGGGGGGAGAAAGGAAAAACGTCATCCGAATATTACAAGTGGTCCCAAAAATCCGGCCTTCTCTATAACATGAGGCATCGATCGTAACATCTTTCATCGGGAGAGGGGAGGGTAAAAGGAGAATCTCGTAGAGGGCAATTGAAAAGGAAAAGGAGATAGGCAATGAAACAGCCCGGATAGGGTAAATGGTATCGGAACCAGCCAGGTCCGGGCTACAACAATGCCATGTGAAGTGAAAATAGCGGGTTATTTTCGTGGTTCGGAAACTGTCATGACGAGATTGGTGGGGATCGTGTCTAGAAAGAAAACAAAGAGAGTGCCCCTTTATTTTTCTTCTGATTTTTGAATTCTCGGCTCGAACACACGACACCACCCCTGTCGCGGGTGTGATTCCCGCGTTGCAGTCACACAGGTATCGGGAGTGTATACGACTGGATTGGTCGACCTCACACCCGCAAAACTCTGATCTGAGACCGCAGAGACGTTGAAGCTTGGCTGTTTAAAAGGTGACAGGGGTGTTGAAAGGGTTCGAATCACGATGAGGCCGGCCTCTGTTTGCTGTGTTGCAGGAAACGTCGACGCTGGCTCGCGGTGGTTGTCATGAGCGTGCAGAGCGGCTCATGCTGCGTTCCGGGACACCAGGGGTCGGTGAGTACGAGCGCGACCCGCCGAAAATGTCGACATCGTGTTCCTGGAGGACCACAGAGTACTTGGGATCGCGGAGGAACTTAGGGACAGAGTCCTGCGGCCGAAAATTAGCATGAGCACAAATCAATCAGATGGTGAAAGTTCGAACAACTTACACTTGACATCAACTTGAAGACCGAGGTCTGAGCAAGCTCAAACAGATGCACCACCTCTTGCAAGCTCTTGAACATGGACTCGTCATCACCCACGGCCTTGGTCATTCGGCTAGCCAGACTGTTGCGCAGAGCATGATCGATGTTCAACTCGCAGGGAGATCCAGGAGCCAGGAACGCGTTGTACAAACCTAAGTCAATATTAGCAACCATTGACCCGAAGCAGGCGTTAAGGCGGAAGTAAACGGAACATACCGTACGCGGCCGCCAGGGTTTCCCGGACCGAGTCGACCTTGGTGAAAGCACCCGCCTTCTCGGCCTTGTGGTAGTTGGCGGTGAATTCGGACACATCGAGATAGAAGGACAGGTTCTCCTCGCACAGAGAATAACGTAGAAACTCGCGGAACAGGAGGCGGAGGGCGGGGTCTCCCAGGATGTGGGTCAAGCGGGCGTTGTTGGAATCGCGGGGCATACCGCGGCTGTCGTATGTCACCGTGTTGCTGTTCTGGGACTTCTCCCGAGCGATCCATCCACACACGCGCTGTCCTCGCTCGGTGATGCAGTAGATGGCGTACTTGGACGGCTGGAAGACGACATCAGAGTCGGGGAAGGACTTGTCATCCTGGATCATGGTGATCAGGCCGTACTTGAGGAAAAGCTCCGCAATCAAGCAGGTCTCCCGGCGCTCAATCGTCGTCGAACAGTCCATCAACCAGTCCACCGCGCCCTTTCCGGTGAAAGTGTTGGTGTAAATCTTGCCATCCTGCAATTTCCGCTCCCGCGCCATCTTCACACCCACAATGCCATTGGAGTAGTCGCTGAGCGAGTCGGAGTCGGAAGTCGAAATGCTGCTCTTGACGTTGGGTCCATCCTGTCCAGCGAAGCGGCGGAAGATCACCTCGACGGTGGCTCGGTCGTGCGACAGCTTGTCGGTCTCAGTGTCGCGCTCCAGGTTCACCAATTGCATGGTGTTACGCGGCGATTCCAGAACGTCCATCACGTGACGAGCGGTGATACCGTTTCGCTGACAGAATCGCTGCAGGATGTTGATGCCCTTGGGGGTCAGTTGGAACAGGGCTCCCTTGAGCGGAAAAATGGGTAGCGCCTTTCCGTCAACCGACTCAATGAAGCGAGCGTCCACAAAGCGCTGGCAGACGGAGCGCGCCATTTCCTTGGCCATCGAAAAAGTGGTGGTTGTGGTGGTAGTCACGATGCGCGAGGGGTCTTTGGGGTCGGGCATGCGATTGGACTGGGAGAACTTGAGCGATCCCAAGTTGTTTATCGCCTCTTCCGAGGTGAAGGTGTGGTCATATCTCGTGAAGCGAACCCGGTGAGAGTCCAACTTCAAGCTCACCATTAAGGTTGAGAACAAATCCATGAAATCCTGCAAAAGAACACCCATTGTCAGTCTTCAATTGCTCTGTATTCTTCTGCTGCTTCCTTCCTCTGTGCCTCGCGATTGCTTTGTGTCCCAAAACCTACCTTGGTGAAAGGCCTTTCATCCTCGGTCATTCGCAGCAGGCGCGACGAAGTCTGATGCATTTTGGGAGGCGCGGTTGGCGCAGAGCCCGATTGCACAGGGCGAGATTCGAGCGGCGGGGTCGGGACGCGCTGCAGAGTCAGGCGTCGTTTGTGGATAGGTTGCGGTTCCGGGGAACCAGGGCGCGAAAGGCCAGACAATTGCTCGTAAGTGTCTTCGTCGGAGAATGGCGGGGTCAAGGGGGTGGTGCTCGCCGGCCTGGCGTGTTTGGAGAGACTGCTGTTGGAGGCCGGAGACCGTAGCGTCGTAGTCGGCGTGCCGATCGTCGAGAGACTGGCGAACGCGCTAGAGGTTCTCTGTGCTAAGGCAGCGAAGGAGCGGCGGTTGCGGCGAGAGATCGAACCGACGATGGACCCCGAGAAGGCAGAGGGAGTAGTGTAGGCTGTATCAGTCGGGGTGTTGGTGGCAGATGAGGCAGCGCAAGAGTGTGGAAAGGAAGGGACTGAAGGAGGAGAGAGATTCTTCTCGGTAGTGGTTCACGGAGGGTAGGGTTGGCATTGAATGGTTTTGCTGCCTTTGGGTGAACCAGACTTCGGGAAGAGTGTGAAAAGTGGGTAAGTCAAACAAGCCCTGATACCAATGATCTGTACATCAAAGGAAGTAATAAAAAATAATATAAAAATAAAAATCAGGAAAAAAACAAATTAGACTGGAGTGTGGGGTGGAACTCCTATACAGTCGGGAGAGAAGGAGGGGGAGGGAAGTAGTGTGGTAAGAAGGGGTGGTTGGGGAATTATGAAATATACACTATCAGTTTCCCTATTTTTTATTTTTTATTTTTTATTTTCCTTTTCACGCCAAAGTGAGAGAGGGGGGTATTCAAAAAAGGCGGGCCTAGGGGGGAAGTCAAGACAAGGGACAGAAAAAAAAAAAAGGGAAAAAAAAAAACCAGCATTGTGATATGCTATCCCCCTCTTTCACATCCCCCCCTTGTGAAGAATCAGCCATTCGGCCTGTCATCCAGGACCCACAGCCCACGCGTGAGCCCAGCCGGAAAGAGTTTGGTGGGCTGCATCGTCGCAACGTGGGCCAAGGGAAGGGATTGCCTCATGGTGAAGATCGGTGGGTTCCTTGTTTCGTCGTATTACTGTACCTGCTAGTACGCATTGTACACGGTAATCGGCGGCTACCTGCGTTTCGGTTTTTCTGACGGGTCCTGTATTCTCGTACCATACCGTACGGAGTATGCAGACTCACTCTCTAACACCCTATGGATGGGACGGCGGCTGGCATGCCAGTGAGCATGTTCTAGGTACGACCCTAGAAGGGAGGGGGCAAAGACCTAGACCTCTCTCTCAGTCAGGTTCCTCGCGACCTTGCAGTAGGGCTTGGGCGTGGTACATGAGGAAATAATCAGGAAATAATTGCTCAATAGTTGCCCCTCGGACAATTCCAAATCCTACGATCGATTCAACCACCCCTCCTCAGGCATCCACTCCTCCAATCCACACAAATTTAGTCAATGATTTCACCAAGTCCACCATGTCCTTCGACCCAACCATGGGCCATCCAGGGAACCACGCGAGGCCGAACAGATCCGCCCGGAGATCCCGGCCGTTCTGGTATTACCGTTTCTCCCGTCCCCATACTCCCACGCGCCGTACGAAGAGAGACACTGATCGTCGAGTCGGGTCGGAAAATCCCCCTCAAACGATTAGCGATAGCTTCTGAGTGGCTTTCGGACTGGCCCTTGGCCGCATTTAGCAAGTGCCCCCGATCATATCACTGGCAGAAATCTGGTGGTGGAGCTGGTGATCCGACTCTTCAGGTGCGATGCCACGACTCATTGGGTGGGCTTCGACAGTTCGCTCCACCAACTCCGGACTCTCGCTCGCTCTTCTCGTCCCAGTGCATGGATCGGTGCCCTCATGGCTCGGCCCCAGTCCCCGATCAGGCAGTGATGCACTTGCGAGCAGCGAAAGCTTGAAGCCCACGTGGGCAACCCCCCTTCTCCTCGTCCTGACAGTCAGGAACCTTATCGGGGGGAGTGGTGGTGGCAAACTCCAAAATCCCACGGTTCCCTTCGATCCCTTCGATCCCATCGGCCTGATTCTGTTTGTTGCCTGCACTTTGTATCCTCCGATTATTTTCCGTGGGTGCACGCGGTAGTCTCCACGTCGTCAAACTGCCGGTCCCCTGGGCTTGATGCCGTGCTGATAAGGCGTCACATGTTTCACGGAGCAACGGACGACTTCGCAGTCTACTCCGGTCAAGGAGGGGCCCAAAGAGCAGCGAGGCTCCACTTGTTCGTTGTGCCCTCCCCCCCAGCTTGAGTCACCAGTGTTTCGCGAGGGTCCCGCGTGGCTGAGCAAATCCTTCCACGGCCTTTCCAGGCGCCCTCGCCCTCGGCCATGTGGTCCACGTGGACACACGTGGATATGCCTGTGCGCCTCAGGCCTCGCTTCTTCCTACCTTCTGGAGCCTGTTGTCCTTGGTTAGGTCGGTTCTAAGTCGATTTCGACGTTCGTACCTGGGACAACTGGTTTGTCTCATTGCCCCAACGTTTTGTTTTGTCGGGTAACCGCCTTGGGGCCGTGGCTAGCGTCAGGGGGTGCGCAAAGCCGAAGCTCTTTTGTTCGCCATCTTGTCTTGGGGCCCTGGACAAGATGCCTTGCGCACAGACACTAGGAACGAAGAACCGGCCTGTCAAATTTCCCCCAGGCTCAGATCATTTTAAAGGATACGAGGCGAGCTTTCCCGCCAGACATCAGATTGCCGATCGTACCCCAGGCTCAGTCTAATCAACATACAGGGATGTAGGAATTGTGTAGATTGCTAGCGTTTAACTTTTGGACACCTTCGCCCCAAGCACCGCCCTACTCCGTAGGCGTCCAGCCATAGAGATGGAGAGCCGCATACGTGATGGCGCGATTTTCTAGCGCTCCGTCGCGTACAAGGCCGAATTGTTGATTTCCTGTGTCGGTGCCGGGTGTATGGAAGATAGCCTCGACCATCGAGGCCATTCAGCTCGGGGGGATCTAGCTGTCAGACATGTCAGCTTGAACCCCTGAAGGCCGTGCTGACGCAGGTAACAAACCAACCAGGCGCGGAGAGAACTACCACGCGAAACGGTGCCAGAACAGGTTCATCCGCCAGGAGCCGAGCCGATCACGGATTGGACAGGGGAAACGCGCTTGGGCAAACGCCGCCTCAGCTGAGGTCGATTACACTTTACGAGGTTCATCCTCTGGGATGAGTCTCCTACCGGAGACAGAACCTTCCATGCAGATCCGGCGTTTGGATACATCACAGTTTGTTCGAGATCTATCAATTCGATCTCGGTCGATGTCACGTGGAAATCTGTCTGGAGGCTGTACACATACATATGTATACGTGTATGGCGAACTGCCCTGTTCCCAAGAATTTAGCGTAGTCCCTACATAGGCGATGACAAGGCTGTCGCCTATGCATCGAAAAACAGCTTGCTTTTTCCGACCATCAATCACACGGGTGATCTGGGGGCTAGAAAGAAAGCGAGGGGATAAGCAGGCCAATGCCAAGCTCAGCCCTGTTGACGAAGGCGAATAACACCGATCGGCCCCCAAATTCTGAGGCTCTCGCAGCTCAGCAAAGAGCCGTCAAATGCCAAACCTAAAAATGTGGCCGGGATGCGAAACACGAAACACGACCAAGGGAAAAGGAATCCATTAAGACACGCGTGCACCCATAGATTGAGATGGAGAAAAAGGGGGGGGGGGGGGGGGGGGGGGGGGTTCCCAGGTATGGCAGACGTACTATAGAAGCCTTGGCGTCAATAAATACGACTACTGACTGCACTTGGGCACCTTAAGAGTTCCTGAAGGGTACTAGTCTCGTCCGCACGGTGTGCAGTTGAAGGGGAATTGCCTGTCGCTTCCGACTAGCCGTTATCGGCCAGCCTAAGTGGGCTGAGAATCGAAAATTGAGGCCCGCTAGGTCCGTTCTGGTAAATTCTCCATGGACGCGAGTTGCGGTCAGTCAGACCAACGGTACCAGGCCCAAAGTCAAAGGCCCAGTGATCCTCGCGAGCGCTGATCATTCGTCTGGAGAAATGAATCGCATATCGTATTTGATGCTTGGGTACCCTCAGATACACACCCTATCGCCTGCTGGGGGGGAGGGGCAGGTGGGTATAATGGTATTGTCACACCGGCTTTATGCATTGTATTTCGCGTATCCGACATCCCTGACCGCCACGCGACAAAGGATTCATGCAGGTCACTCCTGCCCGCGCTTGCAACCCGAGTGGTCCAGGAGCCGGTATGGTGGACCAGACACGAATCAAAAAAAGCACACCGCAAAAAAATATCGATGAGGAAGCCAAGACACGCCTGTCACGCGAGTCGGGAATCTAGATCGGCTCTCCAAGGGTCGACAACCTCTGGGGTGCAGGCGGCTGAGATTCACGAAACCTAGCGAGTCATGATCCCCTGCAGTAGGTCAATAGTCCCATCTGCGTGCTGTGATGCCTGGGGAGATCGTCGACCAGATTTCGTGATCCCTTCAAACCTTGTGAACCCTGGATTTCTTGGTTCCTGGAATGGGGTTCCATGCTACCTCGACTCTAATTATGATCCCGGAACTCTCAGGCACGCAGGGAATGTGTTTCGGACATATGGAGAATTTGAACCTGTTAGGAGGACACGAAGGCGGTACGCGGGACTGGACAGGCAACCCCATCCCGACCAGTCACCGCTCCGCTCCGCGCCCTTGCCTCGTGAACTGGAGAACTGGACGTGGTCGCAACGCCCAATTGCTCAATCCTCGGGGTGCATGTCGCAGGATTATCGCGGAATCTGGACGCCAACCGCCCAGGCCGCACCCGCGCAGGAATGTACCTGGGGCTTTGATTCGCAACCAGGCCTGGACCCTTCCGCCCATGCTAGGAAGGAAATTGTACTAGTCTGTTTGAGGAATGCCTGCCGCTGACGGCTTCAGCTTCGACTTGGCGTGCCGGAGTATAGATCTCCCTTATCGCAACTACCGAACTGGTGGCTGGCGAGTTCACGTATAATCAGGCCTTGCTGGCTGTTGGCTGATCCTGTCGACCGGATGGGCGATGCTATTTTCGGTCATCATCGCAAAATTAGAAGCGCTCTGCTCCTAAGTGTGCCGCGAGTCTGCATATTCGGTGAACACGCAGCACGAAGCGAATAAAATGCGCAGACTCCAGCAGACTCCATCGCCGTGCAAGACCATCTCTACTCCTTGCCAGCGTCTAAACATTCGGTCGTTATCAGTCCATGGAGTGGTTCGAGTCACACACCCGTCGGAGCCAGAGTACTCTTACTCTCTACGGAAGGCCTCTAAACTCGATTCGGGGCCCAAGTCGACGATGTGGGGGCTTTTCCACGTGGGAAGCCGGGGGGCTTGCATCGCCTAAGCCGCCTCGAGGCGGGCAGATCAGAATAGCCCCAAGCTCACGGGCCTAGCGAGAGTTTGGAGCTAGAGGACGCTACGCCCGTATTGCCAGGCCATGTGGCTTGCGCAACTTTGATAGGTCTGAGTCAGCTCACAGGGCAATGTACCTAGAGCAAATTCCTTGGTTGGGAGGATCATCCCAGTGACGCCTAATCATTTCCCTGATACACTTTATGCGATCCCTTTACTGGCCTCTAATGGCGATTTGGATAGAGTGGTGATAATGGAAGCTTTCTCCGACAGGAAATGATTTGGGTGGCATGGTCTATTTGCATACAGTAAGACTGGACAACGGTGCAACTCATGGTCCTCCCCCTGAAATCAGCTGCTCTATCAGAAGTTGCGACTTGGCCGCCCCGAAAGCCGAGGATCTGTCTGGGACCCGGGAAGAAGGAGAGCTGATTTAGGCGTCAAGCGCCGCACCGCCTGCTGATTTTGTGAGTCCGGCCGAAGGGAGACACCAACTCACTCTCAACAAGCGTGTTTAGGCGTGTACGGTCGAAATCCGCCATGCGTACTCCGTTCTCCGTCCGCAGATCGGTGTCGGGACGATCCGCAGGTAAAGAAACGGAGCGGAGTTCCCGTACACACTTTCAAGTGATACGCTAAGGTATGGGGTTTCTTACAGTACCTGATACACGATCCGTACTAGTGCTCGTACAGAGGACAGAAGGGGCACGCTGTGACTGGGGGCCCCACTCCCGAGACTTACTCAATGCAGACAATGTCTGCGAGCAGAGCATCATGGATCACGTCATTGACTCTGTTTCCGGCGATGCAATTTCTGATCTCACAATGTACCCGTTCCGTAGGTGATGGGGAAGCCGAAGCATACCTGACATTGACATGAAAGAATTATAGTCCCAAAGAAAGTCCCGACACTATTGAAACGGTGGCTGACGGCAAAGTCCGCGCGTGGCAAATTTCCACGCTAGAAGCCTTCTAGAAGGATTCTGGAAGCCGCGAAGAAGCTCGTATTAATGGGCGGGCTCCACCGGGGAAGATTCCTCGGCCGTTCGTGCTCGGCTGAGAGAACCAGCTGAGACAATCGCATCAAAGAAAGAAATTAGCACAGGACAAGCCGCCATCCACATCATATTTTGCCTGCGGTTCCTGAGTACATTTTTGGGGGGAGCTATCAACCAAGGCTTGGCGACATATTGCCAGTGTACTCCATCCACACGACGCACTCAGTACGCGCCCTACTCTTCCGAAAATACCCTCCCCTAAGGGTACGGTACATAGTAGTCAGGTACGCATGGTATCTCCGTCGGGTGGAGCCGCAGACCATCATTGGAACCTTTTTGAGATGCAATCTATCTGTACCTAGCACACCAGGGCGCCCGAAAATTCGGACCTGGCGAAATCTTCCGAGGGACCCTCTCACGATGGCCGAGGTTAATGGGTCGACGCGACCGCATTGATCGATTGACACCCTCTTATTGACTTCTAGAAGCCCGCTGCCATTCTTCATTCCATTAGCATACGAGACCCGTTGAGATAGTCGTTAAGCTCTGTACTTCGTGCTCCGTACCCAGTCACTAGGCCGAACTCCACACGCTGGACACGGCAGAGGGACCACACGGGATGGCATTCCACGTGGCAGATGATCTACACGCAAATTTCATGACAGCCGCTGTTTCTGGGCAGAGCGTTCCAAGGAAGCTTCTGCAGCTAGCGGTATCCGTTGTTGATCGTGATTTCTCCATGACTTGCAGATTGCCATACGGTAGGCAGATCAGCCAAACGCCCATGTGGCCATCACCGCCAGAGCGACCGGAGGACGAGTCATTTCAATCTCCTTTTTACGTTACAGTGCATGAGCCTAGCATCAGAGTTTGGGTTCTCCCATGTCCTAATGTCCACCTGCTATGGCCCCCGTCGGATCGGCGCCATTCATTGGGTCTCTCCGACGGACTCGGTGTTTCGTAGCTGCAGATGATACAGGCTGACGGCCCCAAAATGGAGCCTAATCGGTCGTCACTTGTTGGGGGCCATAACGTGACAACCTCGCTTCGTCGGTTATACTTCTTTGCGCATCATCATTGATCTCGACGGTACCAGCACCACTTTGGGCTACACACTCATTCACGATGGGGCCATTGTGCCCAACAAAGCTCGAACCTTCACCTGAGCTCCGCACAGCCCTTCCCACCTGGTGGACACACGAGAAAATCATACGGTCGGCGTCTGTTGCGATCGCTTCTCATTCCGAAATAACTCCGCTTTTGTGAGTTCCCCCAACATGGAACACCGCTGCCGCACGGCGGTGGTCGACGCCATGTTGAGTATGGCATGCTTGGCATCTCCAACCACGGATCCACAACGCCCTTATTCACGCCTGCCTGTTGAAACACCTCCGGCGAGTCAGTTGTCCACCGCCATCCTGGTCGTCTCGAACGATGAGGGCACGTCGACATACCCGCACTGTTTTGAGCAAGGGCCGCGACGCCAACCGGCCCTAGTGCTAGCGCTCTCCGATCTCCTTCGTCTCGTCCGCAACTACTGCACGACGGCGGAGATGACGGAGCATGACGGACTATGACGGACTGCTGGTGATCGTCGCCGCGAAACCGAATCAGGATGGCTTCTTCGCGACTGAGCTTCCGATTCCAAGCACATTTCGCTTGTCCAGTGCCATTGAGGGCCCTCGAATCGCGGAGGCAAATAGCGACCTCCAGATGTGATTCCGAATGACGAGTGCTAGTGCCCCTCGCCATTCTGATTCGGAAGGCTCAGCGTTCCGACTCACCGTGACTTGTGCTTGACCCAACATGCCACCACCCCCACCCCCCTCCACTTGTCTGTCTCTCGCCCCCGTTCTACTTGATGGATATGTGGGAAAAGATCAGCCCGCTGGCTGGGGGCGGGGGTTGACTCCGATCCCCAACAATTGCTTTCTATCAAAGCCCTCGTCAATGCTACGCACACTCACAATGTCGAATGAAATGATAGCAAACTGATTATCTGAGGCACCATCAATTAACTGGTCTCTTCTATTACATCCCATGATCTGGCAACACTGCAAGAACTAAACGAAAACGAAGTCATTCTCATCTGCGACATCCAAAAGCGGGGTTGCCATTTCGGCAGCTCGCGATGCCGGTGGCCGCCGTCCGGAGATGCTGCAGAAGCGCTGACACGTTTTGCCTTTTTGCCAGCCTACGACACTTACACTGCAGGACGGTTTCACTGGGAGCTTGTCGCCATCGATCGAGCCACCGCCGCTCCAATTTGCACGCACGCACAAGCCCCGGAATGAAAAGCTGCGGTACGCCGATCCGTCGAAGGCGCGCTGCCGCAGTCCTGGTCTCGACAAGACTAAGACCCCATAATGGGATCGATCATGTTGCACACGCACAAGTTTGGCGTGCAAGTGTGCGCCCTAGGTGGATTCTGGCCTCCCTATGCACCTCCTTTTTGCTCCCCACTTTCTCGCAAGCTCGTCTGCACGGCATCCGAATGCAGTCTTGACTATTCACAATGTCTCTCGGGCCTCTGGGTATGGTCCGGTCTCTTTTCAAAGCGCGAGACACGCGGGAAGTGGTTGCTCTCGGACTGCCGCAGCGTGCAGTTGTATACCTTGGTCCCTACAGCTGTACGCTCCATACGGAGGACAGAGTACAGCGGGATGGTTCTTGTTTTTCCGTCTTGCCACTTCTTTCTTTTTTGCCTTATTCTCCCTCGAGCTAGCACCGCATACGGCGGGCGGGAGCCAGAAGATGGGACTGCAGGCTCCAGCCACCGGCTGGATCGATTTGCAACGGCTCTTTCAGCTCCATCCGAGAAGAAGGAAAATCCCTCGGATAGGCATTGGACGATAGTTTACCATCCATGTCCTGCATGATTACCAATTGTTGTGTGCGTGGAGATGTGGATAGCAGCGGCATGCATACAGCCATGCGAATACTGCAGAACTGTGGAGTCGTGGTTTTGGTCTGCAGATGCGATCAAATGTACTAGCTGCTAAGATATCGACGACTCTAGCGCGTGGGAAAATCCCTAACAACAATACCGCCGAGTTCTGATAAAAGCAGGGGCCCCACAGCACACGCAAGCGATGACAACATATTCCAATACCATTATCACGAAGGGAAAGGGATCGAGATGCTCAAGAATCAGCCACCTCCCCTGTCCTCTCCGAGTGTGGAGATGACAAGACCAATATGGGACAATGGTCAATAGATATTGAGAAATGTAGTCATACGAGACTGATCTCGGGAGATGGCGTATCCGAGTCGGAAAAACCATATGCAAACCTTGGGACGCTATCTGCATATCTTCGCATGGAACCCTAGTTCTCGGCGTGCTGCATGCAGAGTAATATGCTCATTCCGCCATCCTGTCTAGATCATCCTGCAAGTCCCCGATTTCATACCCGTTTACGGGTAAAAGATTGAGAAAGAAAAAGAAAGTAGTGGTGTCGGAAAGGGTGCATTGGTATAGCGTTTTAGACACATGGCAGGAAAGGAACACATGCATACCGCGTGCCTTGGAAACAGCCAATGTCTGGCGCTGCTCTTGTTGCGCTTGTGCGAGGTGTGGCAAATGCTGTGACTGGGGGTAGTGGTTACCATTGGCAAGGTACTACTAGAGAACCCTTTCTTGATTGTGCACTGTATGAGGTCTGTCTGGTCTTGGATTCAAGTCCCTGGTCTGTATACATTGAAAATGTATTCTTCGGTAAGTAATGTACACGTAGATTACACGACTTCACTTGGACCCTTGGGAGAACTTCTCGAATCCCCCAGCAAATATTATGGGAATCAGAGCGACAGGTTCAATTTTGTTTGCTATCTTGCCGTTGCCCAGCCATACGACCCCCATATTCCCCTAGGCCGGGAAGGCCATAGCAAACCCCGATCCCCATCAAATCCCATATGGCCACCCTAGACCGCCCAGAAACGCAAAGAACAGTCTCGAAAGCATGGCCCTCGCATGGACGGGAAGGCGGTCTTGGCTAAACACGGCAAGATGCATGATATCAACGCAAGGGCTGGAACCGTTGATTTTCCCATCCGGGTATTCGATAGGATAAGAGAAACCACCTTGGCGTGCCATTGAAAAACAACATCGAAAGATCTTCAGAGGCAGATGACTCCATCTAGGTTTGGAATTTAGCGGTTTTTGGGTCCGTTCCGCCGTATGGCTTAAACGAGGGGGCGGGGAGGCCACTGTGCGGAGTCCCGATAGGCCGGCGCTTTTTGTGATAAATCATCTTGGAACCACGCGGTGCCATGACCGGATTGACTAATTCCGTAAAGCCGGTGACGATCGAATCTATGTTGGGTGTGTTTGCTGTGTCTGTGCCTCTGCTGAGAAATGTGATTTCATTGAGTTGCTGCGTTGCTACCAGCACCACTAACTCCAGGAGTACCCGACTTCTTGCGGCACATCGAATGTCTATGAGGATCATTAGCATCTTGGGTAATATTCAATCGATTAGATCAGATATTCGAAATATTCGAATTGTACAAGCCTGGCTTTCAAGAGTTTGGCACTCAATAAGTGCACCTTTCTTCCGCAAGAAGTTGAAGTGGCTATTTGTCGAAAATATATTTTGTGTTCCCAATGTGATCTCATTGAAACCTATGCCCAAGAAATAATTTATTTGGCAGGCAAATACAAAATACAATTCTGCACTCTACCCATCAGAAAATTATCAGACGAATAGAATTTTGTGCCTTGGTCCGATAGTGCCATATATGAGCCGATGTCAAAAAATTTACTGGAAAGTATATACCAGGCAAAGAGCTAACCAACTCCTTGCAATTGACTATTCGCAGCCTCTTTTGGGATCTGACGAAAACAAATAGAGCCGAGAAACAGAATAGATCCCATGCTTGAGCGTCTTCCACCAAACAATGCAACCATTAACAGACCATGGGAGCAGAGATGGATCTCAAATTATGATTAAGTAGGTGATCAGTAGCTCGATATCATAAATGACATGCTGCTTCCGACCGAAATCAATATGCAACACAATATGTGGACTTTTTCCCATCTTGACTTGCATGACACGTAGAAACATCGGACTCTTTGCTTGTGTGATGAGTCAGTATGCTTAGACAACTTCAAAGTCCTTTCAATCATCCAGGTTTGTATACACCACTAACTGTACAGATACTTAACTCCCCAAAGCACAATTGAATAGGTCAACAATTCAAGAAAGTAGAGAGAAAGAGGTGAAGGAAGAAAGAAAGTTAGAAAAAAGAAAGGTAGAAGGAAGAAGAGATATGAACATGTCCATTCAGCAGACATCAAAAAAGAAATATAGCCTCAAATGAACACAAGAAGGAATAGATTGAGTACCCAGGTAGTAAATCAATGCTGCCGATCAAGGAGCAGAGCTTAAGCATTCCGCTGGCTCTCAAGCTCCCGCTCGGCATTGGCATCCCGTTCACTGGTCACGGCAACCTGACGCTCGGTCTTGACGGCCGTCTTGCTCAACATGCTCTTGAGGCTTTCCGCATCATTGTCCTCGAGCGCAATCGTGTCTGTGCCGTGGGTGCCGCGCTGGTTATAAGACTTGCCGGAGTAGTTGGACGAGGGGTCGCTGGGGTTATCGTAGCCGGAGCGCATACGGATGAAGAGGAGGCGGAGGGCGGGAATGGACGCCGCGAAGATGGTCAGACCTGTCTCGACGGAGGCCCAGCTCGTAATAGTGGAGCAGAACCAGGTGAAATCCTGAACCTGGGACACGTTGACCAGCTTCGAGGTATTGATGAAGGCGGTTGCGGCGGCGCTTTTTTTGTTAGTTTGTCTCCCAAGGTGAGTTATTTGATTGAGATCAACTTACAAGATTCCCATGCTCATGGCAAGGGCAATACCCGCTTTCTCACGCTTCTTCATCTCAAGCTCCCAGAGGACGACAAAAGGGAGAACGGAAAGGACAAAGTCCATGCATCCAGAGTAGGCTACAGATAATTCTATGTTAGTCATAGCTTGTAAGCCCTGAATTGCACGGACATTACCTCCAGCTGTGAGCGCAATTGTCTCAAACACGTGGCTGGGCCAGCACTTGGCAGTTGCCATGAGCTTGACGTTCCATAGAGCCTCAGCAGGCTTGCATTGGGCCAGGTAGCAGATGGCGCACAGCCACATGATGGCATTCATGGAGATGATGATGATCCAAATCAGAATCTTCATCCAAGTGCGAGTCACAATGCGCAAAAGAGTAAAGGCGAAGGAGGTCTTGCTAAACACGCAGCCGATAATGATAATCACATAGCTGATATAGACCAGCTTCAAGGCCGGTGGTATCTTTTCTTGGTCCTCAATGGCGAAAACGTGTCTTCCCACCACGCCCATGTTCACGGCCTTGGTGATGAGGGCCGTGTAGACGAGAAGAATTTACTATCAAGTAGCAAGGTTAGCAAGCTGATCACTCCATGGGACTTCAATGCAACTTGAAGTACAAAATACATACCAGTGCGATACCTAGCAGGAGATCATCCAAGCCCAGACCACGGCTCAATTTGGCCTTGCACCAGAATCGTAGGCCAGCCATCAAGGCCGGGATGGCGAAAAGAACCCAGCATGCTGCCAGAATGGTCGGGCCCTGACTCTGGTCATCCACAGCAGCAGATTCCATGGTCATCTTGCTTCAAGGTCCAAGCACTCTCAATCTGTATATCAAAGTATCGACAAGGTGACCAAGGAGATAGGCCTTGGGATGGAGGTTGAAATGGAAGTATTCTCCTGTAGAATCGAGTCATGATGGCGACAGATGCTGCTTCAATAAATAGAACACACTGCGGCCACCTCCCCTTCAGCAGATCCTTGCCTTTCTCTCAGCTTTGGATGGATCGAAGCACATTTCGAAGCGATTGATAATACTTTCTGCCAGGGGAAACAAGAAAGATGCGAAATTGTTAACGATAATTCTCAGAACAACAATTCAAAATGCCTTCGTCTATCCTGATTGCAGCACGAAACTGCACAGCAGCTTCCCGGATGTGATCCATGGCGTCCCGTCGACGCAGAGCGAAGTTGATGCTTGAAATTGATCAACAGCCGCGGAACGCCATCACTAGCAGCCGTTTCTGCTATTGAATCGGCGAACAATCTTATTGAGGGCAGGTGCGTGCGATTGGGGAGATGCGGAGGGAAGATCAATCCACCGTCGATGGATCGCGCACACGGGCGTCGAGGCGTGGCGCTTGTGGCTGCAAGGACGACGTGCTAACGAGAGTTCGTCGACCCCCTGCAGCCCCAATTTCGGGACGCTTGCTTCGCTCCCGGGTAGTCCCCCAGAGGAACCAGACTTGTCCGTCGATCTTGACTATCGTGTCTGCTTTGGGAACTATTTCCCGGTTTGCCTCGCGGGAGCGCTGCGGCCTCTTCGGAGATCCCGCCGTCGGCCCTAGTCTCTCCACCAAGCGTCGACACACAGATGGCCACTATTGCTGTTCGATTACTTCAGACAGACTGTTTGGAATGACTTGGCTAGAGATGGTCTGGTCGAACCAGGCCAACCTTTGTTTATGTCTGGTGCTGCAGACCGCATCTGATATACAGACTTTCACCCCCGACACCTCGAGATATACGAGTCATGTCGCAAATTAGAGTTGACGATAATCTGCTGTCCTGACCGTGCTGGTCTACACCGGAGCCCCTAATACTTCCGCATCCAATCACAAACCATCCACAAGGAATTGCTGACCAGCACACCTGCCATACTCCGCACAAAAACTCAAATAAACCACTTGCCCCAATGTGATCGATCACCGAGCACAACTTGGCAGCGACAAGAAGAATTTGACATATGTGCATGAACGCACTTCTCGGGGTAGACCGTTGCAGAGAGCGGTTCAAGCAAGGGCGGCCAGGCCATCCACCAAAATTTCAGTCTATACCTCCGAACTTACAACGGGAATAGCCTAGAGCTCGGAGCAATTCTCCAGCCATCGAGATCGCCAATTTCATCCCTCATGGAACCTTTGAAGACCTTGGCCAACATCAGTCACATTGTTCTAAGTGATATACTGTTCCAAAGCAACGGTAACCCCCGCACACGGCGTTCTGTGCCCAATAATCGCTTGAAGCCCTCTCGCGCCACTGCCACCACTCGTCCGAGCCACGAACTCTTTTCGCATCTGAACACTAAAATCTCCGACCGTTTCTGTGGGGCGTTGCGGGCGACAGATGAAGTGGACAAGTAAAATGGAGTCGGAGTTAATTAGAGAGGAGGTGGGGTGGTCAGAGACAAAAGATAAAGTACCCTGGTCATCACTCGAGTGATCTCCTGTCAGCAAGCTACAGGCAATTCTCGCAAGTCGTCATGTTTTCTCTGTCAGAATTCGTCACCAATGTCGCCCTCTCGGTGGCAATTCTCTTCATCTCTCGCTTCCTTTGGAACTATCTCCGTTCCCCCCTAAAGTCCTTCCCGGCCCCATTCCCACTAGTTTCACCAATATATGGCGCATGCAGGACGTATTCAATGGGCGCTGCGATGTCACACATAATAAGCTGCACCGCAAACACGGACCCGCTGTTCGCATGGGGCCCAATGTTCTCAGCCTGTCTGACCCCAATTTGATCAGCCAAGTCTATAACACGAAAAGCCCATGGCTCAAGGTAAGTCCTTATATCATATGGCTCATGCAACTGCAACGCCTTTTGTCTTTCTTTTTGGAAAGAGAATTGAAGCCCGGATATTTGATCGTCTCTAACATGGCCACAGAGTGACATGTACAATGTGAACGACGTCGTTGTCGGCGGTGTCCGTTTGAAGAACCTGTTCTCGAACCAGGATGAGAAATGGCACTCAACCTACATTCGCCCTGTCAAGAACCTGTACTCGATGAGAAAGGTGCAAGATGTCGAGAACAACATCGACATAATTATCAATCTTTTTTCGACAAGCTCCGGCAGCAGTTCGCCAGCACAGGCAAGCCGTGTGAGATGTCTGATTGGATCAACTTCTGTGAGTACAGATATCAGCCAGTTTTCCCTGTGCAGAACAGCACGCTCATTTGGCTGCAGTTGCTTGGGATGCTATGAGTCAGGTCACCTTCTCGCAAAGTCTGGGTATTATCGAATCTGGCAGCGATTACAAGGGTTTCCTCGGAAGATCCGCTAAGACATTGGACTACTTTGCACCAGTACGTACAACCTTGAACACAAAGTGTCTTCGCTAACTCCTACCAAGATCTGCCAAATCCCACTTCTGGACATGCTATTCGACAAGAACCCAATCATGCGCATCGGCCCACCCACCTTCGTCTGGGCCAACATCTTCAGCCTCGAGCAGCTCCAAAAGCGGTACCAAGACAGTAACACAACCAGCCACGCAGACTTCCTCTCCAAGTCCCTCGAGGCTAAAGAAAAGAACCCTCAACTCGTCGACGACAACGCCGTCATCCTCTACTTGCTCTCCAACGTGCTAGCCGGCAGCGACTCCACAGCAGGCACAATATGCGCAACAATATACTACGTCCTTAAGCACCCGAACGTATACAATAAACTCTGCGACGAGCTGCGCACCGCTCAACTCTGCCTTACAGCCCAGTGGAAGGATATTCAGGGACTCAAGTACCTCGAGGCTGTCATGCGCGAATCAATGCGTGTCAACCCCGGCGTCGGTCTCATGCTTGAGCGCGTCGTTCCGAACGCAGGCTTCACCCTCCCTGACGGACGCTTCGTACCTGAGGGAACAGTTGTGGGCATGAACCCCTGGGTCATCAATAACAACGAGGAAGTGTTTGGCGCCGAGACGGAGAAATTCGTTCCCGAGCGCTGGCTTCAGGGCCCGGTGAATCGGACGAGGCCTTCCAGGCGCGCTTTGCGAAGATGAAGGGTACCGATTTTACGTTTGGGGCTGGCTCGCGTACTTGTCTCGGACGTTATCTTAGCCAGCTGGAGAGCTATAAGCTCATTGCTACGTTGTTTAGCACTTTTGATGTGAGTACCCTATAAACTAGGCTGTTGACTGGGATGTGGGGCTAATTATTTTGCAGATGGAGCTTCCTAGTCTGAAGCATGAGTGGCAGCTTACCAATTCGTGGTTTATCAGGCATAAGGATATTCCTATTCGTCTGACGGAGCGGGTAGGCTCTTTTCACTTGTTGGGTGATTTTGATGATTTGATTCTGTTTTTTATGTGATATCAATATTCAGGAGGGTGGACTTATGTTTTTATTGTTGATTGTGTTGGTTTTTGCGTCATTAAAATGGGGAATGAGCAAAACTATTCGTATAGTCTTTCAGATGATGAAAATGAATAAGAATGGTAAAAAACATTCAATTGCCTTCATACTCAGGCCGTTGTGGTACTTTTGTCACTCGACAAGTAATGATGCAGAATGTCTTCTATAGCAGTATAAAATATGCGCTGAAGAGAGGACCAAGCTCAAGATAATCAGCCATCTCGCCACCATTGTCCGAGTGAACCGCCCGAGCCAGCCATGTCAATGACTTCCTCAAAGCTAATCTCGACACGGAACATCTGGCCATCAGCAGTGCCATTTCCAGATCCCACAGGAGTGACAAGACCCCAGGTAACAAGCTTCTCCCAAGCTTCCCGGGAAACATCTCGTCCCCAAACACGACCCGCGGTTGCAGCAGCTCCAGAGACAGAGGCGGATGTCTTGGCAGTAGTCAGCAAGCGCACGTACTCTGCGTATGCGGCGGGGAAAGAAAGAGCAAGAGGTGCCAGACTCTGAGCTTGGACACCTTCGTTGCCGGGGTCGAAGAGAGCTGCGAGGCGCGTGGCAGCCACGAGCAAGGCCAACGGGAGCGATGACGAGCTGGACGATGCCGAAACGGATGCCGAGAATGGGAGCGGCGCCGGGTCCGGGCAGGAGAGGGTTTGGGAGGTGAAGCTCTTCGGGGTGGGTATTTGCAGGGTCGGTTGGTCGACACCGTGAGTGCTGAGATGGAGGTCTGTAATAGGGAGCAGGGCGCTGGTGAAGAATTCTTTGACGGACTTGGTTTGGTTGTAGATCCTTTTGAGGTGGAACTGGAAGTCTTTGTCTTGCCACATGGACTAGTGCGAGCTGAAATTAGATTCAAATCGATCGGTTCAAAGCGAGGGTGGCCTAACTTACCTTCAGATACTCTTGCCATCCACCGAGAAGTGCTGTCCAATTATTGCCATCCAAGACGGGGTTCTCGGAACAGAGCAAGTTTATGATTTGCTGAGATTCCTCCTCGTTGAGGTCCAAACTCGCCATACAGATCTCTGAGAAGATGTCGTAGGTCCTGGGCAGGGGAATGTATACATATCGGTGACTGAATCGACTCTTCACACGCTTCTCCAGCATTTCAGTCACATCGACCTTCGTGGTCAAACCAATCACTGCAATGGGCGCCTTTCGTGCCTGGGCAATATCGAACAGATTGTATAGCAAAGTCTGACGCGGGTGTGTGACGAATAGATCAAATTCGTCCAAGAGAATGACGATTGATTTGGCAGCGGTCACTGCATTTCCATTGACATTGGCTCCAAACAACTCTTCTGGGTGAGATAGGAGGGCTAGAAGAGTCGCCATTGTGTCTGCGTAAGAGCTCACTTTCGAAGCATCGTCCTCGGTATTAGTCTCGCGACCAAGCTGACGCCACATCTCCCGGAGGGCAAGGCGATCATCCGTGTGAAGGAATCCGTTGAGACGGACAACGTGGAAATCATTGCTATGCTCCTTCGCCAGAGAAGAGAGGATTGTCTCGACCATGGCTGTTTTCCCGCAACCACGAGAACCAAGAAGAAGCATCGAGTTTCCTTCGCCCACGGTCACAGTCTGTTCGATCAGATGGTTGACCTTGTTGTACTCGTTCTCGAGCCCCTTAAGCGGGATTTGTCGCTTTCCAGTGAGCTTTTCAAGTATGGTACTCGAGAGCACCCGAATTTCATCATGGTAACCATCCTGACAGAGAGTCTGCAGCTTCTCAACATACTCGGGTGGAGCCTCTACCACTTCGGTAATCTCTTGCTGCACTTCTTGTTGTTTCTGTAGATCTTGTTGGAGTTGCATGGCAATCAGGTCATCAAGACCATCGTGATATGCCGGCGACGGAGATCGGTCCAGCCCTTCATCATTCGTACCGTTTGTCTTGTTTCTGGCGGTGCTCCTTCGAGATCGGGTTCTGGAAACTGACAACTTCGGTTGCGGAGACTGGATATCAATGTCCATATCAGACTCGTCAACCGACTGTCGTCGTGACTTTTGCACACTCCTCACGCCGCGGCCGCTTCGTGGTGTCGCTGCGGGAGCGTCGCCTTCAAGTTTTGCGGGCGTTTTGCGCTGGCGGCCACTCGCCCGTGTACCCCTCGAGGGGGTCTCAGGTTGAGGTGCCTTCTCATTTCCGTCCTCATCTAAGCCCGTCGGTACGTTTTTCCTGCCTCGAGTGGACCTTCGCCGTGATACAGATTGCCTAGGTCCGCGGTAATCTTGGTCTTCTTCGGAGTCGTCGCCAGCTGCTGGAGAGGACGGCTCAGAGTAGGCTGCATCGCTCTCCATTGCGATATCCCCATCATCATCTTCGACCGGTTCCTCTGAAACTCTTCTCCGCTTGGATGCTCGAGGTTCTCTCATTGTCGGGCGTTGCGCGAGGTATTTAATTATCGGTGGTATATAGGTGGGGATTGGAAATTTGGCGTAATAATAAGCCACTGGTTCGCTTCCTTGTTAAAAGTTTTGCGAGAGGTATTCGATATCCAGTACAAGTTCGGACAACAATTATTGCGGTGTTCCAAGGGACATGTCGAGCCAGAGTCTCTCCCCTAGCGCATTGACGATTGTCGGGGGAAGGGTCGAATTTCGAGGAGTCGTGATTTCGTAGCAACCGAGTAATTATCGTGGGTGTTTTTTTTGAGGGCCGGTTTGGGCGTGTGACAGGGTCAATGGCCGAGTCGCAAAGCTGGTTGACGATGTGTTGACGGTCTGGCGATAAACCGCCCTCGCCGGGTTTCACGCCTGAGGCCACAACGCGTGACGCGAAGTCAGGTGCTTCGATCCTCCTTGCGCATCCTCGCGAAATGGTCTCATTTTGGTTTTTTTTTTTTTTTTTTTTTTTTTTTTTTTTTTTGGGCCAAAATGGAGTTCAGATGAATAGCATCAAACTATTCCAGACAAAAATCGGATATTGATTGCGAAACCGGGCTTCGCTCACTCTATTGGCATTGTCGCCGACTCACCTCAAGCCCGCCAACTGCAACAGATCAGCGACTTGAGCTCAGCAATACCAATAAATCCAAACCGCAAGGACATTTCGCAATGTCGCTGGTCCATCTCGGTTTATCTCTAACACCCGACTAAATTAACTGCACCAGCTTCCATCGGGCCAGCTGAGTTCCGTGGGCGGGCTCAGCCGAGGTCCAACTCGACCGAACTGCCTGTGGGGAACTACCGCGATCCTAAGATGACCTTCTTCCTCCCATAGACTCCTAAAACAAGCCGGCATACCCATTCATTTCTGTACAGAAAGACTGGACCTCTCCCACAAATACACAATGTCCGACACCGGGATCCAGCCCCCAGCGCGCAAGCTGGATGAGTTCGAGGAGCTTGTCTTCGAGTATACGAGCCGCATGGGCCTGGGCAATGAAGAGGTCGGTCTACCAGCAGAGGTCATCCACCTGCACTCATACGATGAGCAACGCATACTTACGCTATACAGCACTGGGACGTCGATGCGCGCAACTGTAACCTCCGCTTCGAGTCCGCAACCCGTGGCCCTCCTGCCAAGGTCTCTTTCCTCCTCACCATCACCCCGGCGCTCAGCAACTACATGGGCAACCTGCACGGCGGATGTGCAGCGACACTGATAGACGTACTCTCCACTACGATTCTGTTGGGCGTTTCAGAGCCTGGCAAATTTGCTCTTGGTGGTGTGAGTCGCAACCTAAAGCTCACTTACCTCCGTCCCGTGCCAACCGGCATCGAGGCCCGCATTGTATGTGAAATTATCCATGTCGGCAAGCGGTTGGCGCTGCTGCGAGCCGAGATTCAGAAGGCGGAAACGGGCGATGTATGTGTGGTGGGTGAGCATGAGAAGGCCAATACCGACCCGGAGGTGAACCAGCGGATTTAGAGGGTTCTCTCTACACTACAATAGTAGTGTATTGACTGCCAATGATCTGGTGATGATTGAAGTCGAAAATGGCGAGGCAATTTAGACCTTCGGTGCTATGGCATTTGTGATATAGAAATTCTCGTCGGCTTTTTGATACCTTTAATTTTGTAGCGTCCATGGCCTTGACAATATACAGAGCTTGCTTTTTTGCGGATATATACGTTTAAACCAAAGAGACAGGTATATTGCACTTGCTACAATCTCCCAAACGATCGACTGGTTGAGTGCTCAGGAGCAACAAATAAGAACAGAGCGACGCGCATGTCCAAGAGAAATTTAGGTACGCGACATCTAAGCAGCGATAGATATTCAACATGCAACAAGCTCTTTACTCCTGTGCAAGCTGCTGGTCCTCCCGTAGTCCCTCAACAACGAGCTCCTCACCGGTGGCGCGGCGGTACATGTCCCGCACATCCTCTGGAGGGGAGTTAGCAAATTAATCTACTTTCAGTGCGGGATGACCAGGGGAGCTTACCGGTGGTGGTCTCGAAGTGAGATGACGAGTCGTAGCTCTTCGAAATGAAGATGTTGTCCTTATCGCCACTGTCCAGGGGCTCGTAGAGCGGAATGGCAGGGCCCATGAACTTCTCCTCGATCTCACCGAGGCGCTCGAAACCAGGCTCAAGCTCGATATGGTGGTTAGCATCATTCTCGGCAATGGTCGAGACGATCGCAATGTAGTAGCCCTTGGGGCAGACGTTGTGAGCAGCCGAAACCATGGCAATGTAGATATCTAAGCCGAGGGGTTAGTGATGATTTATCTTTCGGATACTACTTCTTCAAATCTGATGGGTCCTTACCGTGCTTGCGTCCAACCTGGGACTGAGGGATGATCAACTGCAGAGAGTCGCTGCCGTCGGTCTTGTCGATGGGGTGCTTCAGGATACAGATAGCCTTCAGCAGGTATCCGCTAACCTTAACCTTGCCGGGGAAGTAGGAGGGGTCGGCAATGATTTTCTTAGTCTTGGTCTCGAACTTCATAGCAGTAGACTGGTCATCACGGTCCTTCATGGTGGCCTTGATACCGGAGACCTTGCCGCCATCGTAAAGAACCTCGTCGATATCGGTGTTCAGCATGTAGGTACCACCGTAGATGGCAGACAAGCGAGCAAAGCCCTGCGGGAGTTCACCGAGACCGTAGAGAGGGTAGATGTAGGGCGACTTGCCGTACCGAGCCATGGAGTTGACATAGAGACGGATGCGGTTGATAGTCTCAACGGCCTGGCCGGACTGGTTGATGTACTCGTCCGAGGGGTAAAGAGCCATGGAGTGGCCAACGAAATCGCGGGTGTTATCCTCAAGACCGAACTTATCGTAAACATCCTTCATGGTGCAGGAGCTCACGTTCAGACCTATGATAAATTAGCAACCATTTTAATCCAGTCCGGGAGATCAATGGATCACGCACCCTGGTGAGTAGCAGGGTCATCCTCCTTGAACGCGCCAACCCACTCAAGGAACTTCTTCGCGCGCCTCTTCTCGAAAAGACCCATCAGAGAAGAGCGAAGAGCTTCGCCAGCATCCGAGGGCACCTTAGCCACGGTCGCCTTGGGGCCCTTGCCTTGCTGGACATAGCTGCCAGCGATCTGCTTAAACTCCAGGTATCTCGTGACGTCGGTCGAGACCAGAATGTTGGTCAACTCGCCATTTGCCATCAGCAGCTTCGGGACCAAATCGATGTTCCAGTCGTTGACCCTCCCGTACTTCTTCCAAGGCTCCTCTCCGGGGCGAACGTTGCCGTACTTCTTGAACAGCTGCAAAGGAGATTAGCCGGGGACGTTATCGAGGCGTGAATAAGCATACAGTCTCAATGTTGACGGAGGCTGCCTCTCTGAAGTCATTGTTAGCTACCGGGAACACCGGTGGCGTTGTAGGGAGCTTCGCGGACCACTCACCCTCCGTAATGATCATTGCGGTCGATGTGAAGGACCTTGTTACCCTTGACACTCAGGACACTGGTTAAGGAGACAATTAAAAACGGGTCACGTATTGAGAGCGCGATGCGGGAGAGCTTCGTACCCGGACAGCACACATTCGGTCAAGCCTAAAGTCGAAGTCGTCAGTTGGGGCAACTCGGGGGGCTGCAGTGGAATGGCGGGGTAGCAACATACCAGTGCCGAGCACCACCACGTCGTACTCGGGGGCGATCTCATCCATGGCGGATATGGAAAATGGAATAAATGCAAGGTGAAGCTGGATGGGGTAGAGGGGGATATGCCGGGAGGCAAGAGTGGAAGAGAAGAAGAAAGTTCGCCTGGTATGTTGTCCCCGCGGATCAACGAAGCGGTAAGAAGAGGAGACTATTTGATGGGCCCGCCACTAGCGACTTGCCTCTCAAGCTGCGCCGCGATTTTGGGTCCGGACCTAATATATTCCCAGGGATAGCAAGGCGGCTATTTTTAATTTCTATGGGGTAGCCCCTGATGATGACCATCTGAATTGTATAAATGGCGAGTCTCTACCCCCTGAAATGGGAGGGGATAGGGTGAATAGGGGTCATCAGTGCCTGGTCCCACTCATACACCAGCGAAGGACATTTCAAGAGACTCCGCGACGATTTCAAAGATAGTCAATGATATTTTACATGTACATGCTGCAACGATGAAGAAAAACCGACAAAAATATGCTACAATATTCGAGGTTCATGAGTCCTCATTTGCCACGACTGCGATTCGACGCAATCAGGCCTTGGTATCCTTGATCTCCTCCGGCTTGATCTCTTCCTCCATAACATCTGCACCGTATTCCTGGCCCTCAGGACGCACTCCTTGTTCGTAAAGACGGGTGGCGTCCTCCCAAGCGTACCAGCGCTCACGCAGGACGTGCTTGATACTTTTCTGGGTGATTTGAACCTGTGGAGAGTTCTCATCAGCAAAGGTACAAATAGAATTGTAGAGTCGGAAGGGGCTGATCGAGGATGGATCAAACGTCCGGTTGTACGGGGCAAAAAAGCTCATGCTACGACTGGTTTTTCCGAGAGAAAGACAGACGATCGCGGAGCCGTAGAGGCAAACGAAATCGAGTGAAACTTACAGCCTTGTCCCGTGCTTGGGCCTCGTGGTCACCATAACCCGGCTTCAATCGCATTCGCTCGTAGTTGCCCGAGGCAATGCGGTTGCGTTCCTTGACGCAAACCCACCACAGCTTGTGGAGATCGTCCCAGCTCTTCTCGCGCAATTCTTGGATGGCCCAAGGGCGACCTAGTCTCGGAGTCAGCATACGATACTACTTATGATACCCATTTGTTATATACTGGAACTAATTCACTCACCAAAGTCCGCATCAAACTCCGGCACACTCAATGCCTCGCGCGACGGAGGGAAGAAAGCCCAGAGTCCATGGTCGGCATCCTTGGGGCGCTCTTTCATCTCTTCTGGTGAAACAGGGGTGGGCAATGGGTACTTCGAGGCGCTCAGCTTGAATCGGGGACCGGTACGGTGGATGGCCGACACGCCACGAGTTCGGTTCAGGTCGCGTCCACGGCCGGCGGCGATGGGAGTCGTGGAGAAATTCGAGGACTGCACGGTGGTCCAGGTCTTCGCGAAGTGGAGAGAAGGTGCGAGGTAAGCAGGTGGCAGCTCGGAAAGAGCCACGCTGCCCTGGCGGGCTAAACGGGAGACGACCGTGCGATGCATGGTGGCTCAACGGTGGTGCGGGAGTCGGAGATGCGCTGCTCGTTTTTTCGGAGTCGCAGAGCGGAAGGTCACATGAGCGCGCCTGGCGGCAACTCAAGGGCCGCTCTTCTACATTTCCGGCTCCGCCAGAAGGAACTTCAAAAGTTCACATCCAGCAGTCGCTCGATCAATCTTCCGTTCAACGCACTACATGAAAGAGAGCCTGGCTTTTATTTCAACTTTCCCGTCATCTTTATCCTCTGGCAGTTAACCGCGGGCCTGTGCAGCTCCGAGTCGTGCTCACACGCGCGTTTAGCCGCCCAATCGATTCACTCCACTTTCGAGCGGAGCAGCGCCGCATCCAGTGCTCAAGAGCGCATTTGTGGACTGCTATCATCACCCCGCGATTTCCTCCTGGACTACCTCCGCGATCGGACTTTGTCACTCGGGATATTTGTGAGGATCTTTCGGATCCCGTCACGAATTCCCCCACGCTGAGTCTCCGACTATGAATCGACCAGGTGCGTCAGTTTCTTCATTTCCCTTGGTGCTCTTGCCCGGCCTGTGCTCGTCGCAGAAGAGATCGTCTGTTGTATGCCTGCCTATCTTGACTCTTCTGGAATGGTGTCGAACTCTGAGAGATCGTGCCCGAGATTCTGAAGATAAAGGGGGTTCATGCTACAATGGTAGCCGCGCTGCAGATACCTCGCCCATATGTGACCGAGACATTTTGGCAAGGATCACTCCAACATTCCTGTTGGCCAAAGCATACCCTTTCATATGGAACAGCGGAGATCATGCTAATACCCAGTGATTTTGTCAGGACCAGGCCCGCAGCCGCTACGAGGCATGTCCGGATTCCCCGCGCAACAGCAAGCTCAAGCTCGAAACGCGACATTCTCTTCTGCACGATTGCAAAACGGTAAGTGTGGCACGGAAGTAATTGTTCCCGTGAACAATAAGGTATGCAATAAACGCATAGAAGTGGATGCTAATAATTGGGGGTCAATGATTAGGTGGCGCAGCCAATTGGAACTTCAACCTCCCTGTGAGCGGAACTTCGACTCTACAAAACACGCAGCAACGCACAATGGGGACAATGGGAAGCTTTGCGCAAAGTCTTGGGGGCTCCCAACCGGCAACACCGTTGGATCTCTCGTAAGTGACTATTTCCTAGCCAAGTTTGTTGGCTAGATGCTACCCTTCTGGACTTGTTGAGTCAATAAATCTTGAATGCTAACTGAGTCGGCATTTCCAGCGAGTTTCCTTCCCTGTCAGGTGCACCGCAGCAATCGCAATCCCAGAACCCCGGCCAGCTAGTCTGGGCCAACGCGAGTCAACGCGCCGCTCAACACACACCTGTTCAGAGACAACAACACGCACCGACCTCACAGCCCCCTTCTCGTGCCTCCCAAACGCAATCCCACGGTGTGCAGCAACAGTCTCAGCCTCACGACGACATGTTTCCATCTGGCGCACAGTTCGCCAACCGACTGGACGACTTCAGGAATGGCGGACAAGGGATCAGCAGCCAGCTGGGAGCCGGCAGCCAGCCTCAGACAGGCAATATCGACGAGTTTCCTCCCTTGGGTCGAAACGCGGCCGCTGAGCTAGGTCAGGATCGCCGGGGCTCTCTGATCCAGGCTCCAGGCTTTGGAGGATACAACTCTGGTATGACAGCGTCGCGTCCCGGCGAGATGCGGAACAGAGTGAAAATCGGGACGAATGGCTGACATTGACAAGCAGGCATTGGTACATCCCGCTCTCCCGTCAACCAAGGGCCAAATGGACTGCTGGGACAGGAGAAGGAGGTGAGTAGTCGATCGGCGGTCGCGACTCCAGACCCGAATCCAGGCCCCGCACTCACACCTACACCGCAGGACTTGAACACCACCCTCATGTCCGGTCAACGCAACTTCAGCGATCCGCAACAGCAATTGCAGCAGCGGCAACAGCAAGCAAATGAAGGTCAAGATGTATCCGGTGTAGCTCAGAGTGCGGAACAGCCGCCTCTGGCACAAATGAGCGAGCTAGATCGGTTCGGCCTTGCTGGCCTATTGCGGATGATCCATAGCGAGAGCCCTGACGTGGCCAGCCTCGCAGTGGGACAAGATTTGATGACCCTGGGTTTGGATTTGAACCAGCCTGAGTATGCGCCTACCTCATCACCATTCTCGCGACATCTGCTAACCAACTCGGGTGTCTCCAGACCCTTACATACCTCGTTCGCCTCGCCGTTTGTTTCGTCGATGTCTGCTGTACCTCTGGAGCAGGACTTCTCTCTGCCTTCTTGTTACAATGTCGCCAATATTCAGCCCCTCCAATCCCGGATCCCTGGATTCAGCGACGAAACTCTGTTCTACATATTCTACAGCATGCCCCGCGATATCATTCAGGAGCTAGTCGCCGAGGAGTTAATGGGACGCAAGTGGCGGTATCACAAACTTGAGCGCTGCTGGTTGACTCGTGACGAGACCTATCCCGGGCCGGTGGATGTGGAGCGTGGAATGAGTGAGCGCGGAGTGTATCTTCTTTGGGATCCCGCTAGCTGGAAAAAGATTCGGGTACGTATCGACATCGAGTCCGAGAGACAATACGAGGAGTTCATCTAACCGACCTTATGCACAGCGAGAGTTTCTCCTCCGGTATGAGGATCTGGACAACCGACTGGACCCCAACCGAGCTTTCAACCGTCCTCAAGCAGTCGGTCCTACCCACGCTTCATGATCCGAGGATTGTTCGTCAATTTTTGCGGTGGAATTTGATTTAGTTGATCAGCAACGGCGTTGAACTTCTTTCTAAAGGGGTGGCCAATGGTACTGTTCGATTTAGGGGTGTGGGTGCGGCGATCAATTTACCAAGGATAACTGGGTTTTATGTATGAGATGCTATGATACGACTGATCTGAAAATCATATGGTCTCCATGATCTTGACACACTACTCAAAGTAAATTCTGGTTGGTCTTGTACCTTACTACCACCAACTAAATTACACGGCTTGTAACAGAATATTATGCTCAGCATCCAACTCTTCTAAAAGACGTCATCAACGATTCTAGTTGGGCTTGGTCGCTGTTGAAAGGATGGCAGTCCACTCCATCGGTATCTCCCCCTCTTTGCCATAGAGATCCACCACGTATTTCGCCAGCGCGGGCCGAACCAGCTCAGTATTTTCCTTTCGCTGCTGTTCTGTCCAGAAATTTTTTGACACTATAGGAAACATCATCATGGTCATCTCAATAAACTCAGGCACCTTCAACGCGATAGCCTTGGTCTCCTGTTTCACGATGACATTCACTAAGCCTCGCTGTTTCAGCTGGGACTCGATCCAGGAAACTGAATTCCATTCTCCATTACTCAAGACGCTGAGAAACTCTGCCACGCTGGGGAATGGTAGATCACTTGAAATAGTTGCAACTGCTTTTTGAATAATGGAAACCCAGCCAGCTGATTTGGAGTTAGCCAGTGCTTGATCGTAATGAGAGCACTGCCTGCCTCTTAGGGGCCGTGATTTTGTGACTCACGTTCTATCCATGTCGAGAAGGCGATGGTTCCTCCGGGTTGCAGGATTCGTACGTTGTCTAATAACACTGTCAGCCTATCTTGATATTTCCATTGTGTGAGAGCAAAAGTACTTACCATCGAGGGCAGCAGTAGCTTTCGGGAGTGCCATATACGCTAATAAAATCAAACTTGGTCAGCCACGACTCACCCAAAAATGTCAGGCAATATATCGTACCGAATGCAGTAATGACGTGCGTAAAATACTCAGTGGGGAGCTTGGTATCCTGAGAATCCACGGTCTTGATCTCGGCATTCTGCCACTTTTCTTTTTCCATCCGATTCCTGGTATATTCGAGCATGCCCGGAGATATATCGCCACATATCAACTTCCAGTTTGCCAATACCTGATGATCTAGCACTTGGTTTAGAATGTTTGAGACGACACCACTTCCACAGGCATTGTCTAGGACCACAAGAGACTTTTTGGGGTTGCCGTTGGCTTCCTTAATGCCACTCTGGTCAAGAAGCGACTGGGCAAACTCCCCAGTAATATGTTCACCGGTCTTGTAGTTGTCGACGAATTTTTTATCCATGAAAATGGTTTCCCAATTTTGCTGGTGGGTCATTGTTGGTAGAAATCGATGGGGAAGTAGAGCTGATTGCTTGAGAGGGTGAGAGAGAGGCTTCCAAGTATATCGGTTGGTTTGAGGCAACTAAGAAATAAAGGCATAGAAATAGGAAGCTTGCTCAGGGTGAATGTAGGGCCTTATATACCATTCACTCTCACATATATAATACTTGTGAACATCAAAGTCTGGGGCTCAGGATTGAAAAGTGTCCGACAATTCGAATGTCTCCGTGGGGGCTAATACGAATCACAATACTACCTATATGGATGTGGGTTGGGGGTGGGGCTGAATTTTAGAAATAGACAGTCTTATCCTAGAATACCTTTTGGAAATATGCTCAAAACAACCCTACGAAATATCGACGTCGAGCATCATTAGTCGATGAAGATTGTATGATGGATAGTATGATGTTCTACCTGAAATATCTTGGTTCTTGGTGTACAGTTAAAGGGGATTATGATAAGACCTTCATGAGACTCGGAACCTATTTTCTGGGACCCTCTAATTGGAGCAAGACAAGCTGTCATACCTTGGAGGAAGTCCACGGAGACATTTGAGACAAAGTGCCCGATCGCCAAGACTCCTGACGTCGGGACCGATGTGGTCACATGATACGCGATTACCTCAGCCCCGCCAGGCCGGAATGGGCAATCCATAAACACCTGATCTGCGGCAAAACAATCGCGCCCCTCTTCATCCCCCGACCTCCCAGTCGACTCCGCCCGCGAGCCGATTCGCAGTGACAACCATGCGGATCACCGAGATTGTGATAGACGTGAGTCGCCGGCGATTCTCAACGTGCTCAAATGGATGCGCTGACAATTGTTTCCCTAGGGTTTTAAATCGTACGCCGTGCGTACGGTGATTTCGGGATGGTGCGCAAGCTTCCTTGCTCCGCCAGCGAGTGTCACGGAGCTGTTGTCGCAAGGAATCTGTACTGATACAATGCTATAGGGACGAATCATTTAACTCGATTACCGGTTTGAACGGTAGCGGTAAATCCAATATCCTCGATGCCATCTGCTTCGTTCTCGGTATCACGAACATGACGACCGTTCGCGCGCAAAACCTCCAAGACTTGATCTACAAGCGCGGTCAGGCCGGCGTGACGAAAGCGAGCGTTACAATTGTTTTCGACAACCGCGATACCTCGAAATCTCCGATCGGCTTTGAGGAATATGCGAACATCTCCGTGACGCGACAGATCGTACTGGGCGGAACCAGCAAATACCTCATCAACGGCCATCGCGCGCAACAGCAAACCGTGCAGAACCTATTCCAAAGTGTTCAGCTGAACATCAACAACCCCAACTTCCTCATTATGCAGGGTCGCATTACCAAGGTTCTGAACATGAAGGCGGTTGAAATTCTGTCCATGATCGAAGAAGCGGCCGGCACGCGGATGTTTGAGGATCGAAGGGAGAAGGCTATCAAGACAATGGGCAAGAAGGAACTTAAGCTTCGTGAGATTGAAGGTCTCCTTAAGGAGGAGATTGAGCCTAAGCTTGAGAAACTTCGTTCTGAAAAGCGTGCGTTCCTCGATTTCCAGCAGACACAAAACGACCTCGAGCGCTTGACCCGACTTGTTATCGCCCACGATTACGTACGCGGCGGTGAACGACTACAAGTTGCGGGCGATGAGTGTGAGAGTAAGCGAAACAAAGTCCAGGCGCTGGAGGAAAATGCCGACAAACTCAAAAACGAGATCGCTCACTTGGAAGAAGATGTCAAACGCGTCCGAACCGCTCGTGACAAGGAGTTGCGAAAGGGCGGCAAGTTTCAGGGACTTGAAGACGAGGTCAAGGCTCACTCACACGAGCTGGTTCGATTGACAACTGTGTTCGACCTCAAGAACACTAGCATGGATGAGGAAAAGGAGAAAAGCACGAACATCCAAAAGACCGTTAACGATCTTGAGAAGATACTGAAAGAGAAGAAGGAGATCTATGACAAGGTGCAGGCTCAGTATGATTCTGCCAAGGCAGAGCTTGATGCGCAAACTGTGGAGGTGGAACAGAAGGAAGAACTGCTCCAGACCTTACAGACCGGTGTTGCTTCGAAGGAAGGACAAGAGAGCGGATACCAAGGTCAACTTCAAGACGCCCGCAACCGAGTCAGCAACGCTACTACCGAACAAGAACAAGCGAAACTCAAGATTACCAACTTCGAGAAACGGATCAAGGAGGACGAACCGCGTGCGAAGAAGGCCAAAGAACAAAATTCGGGTCTTCTCAAAGACTTGGAAGGACTGAAGTCACAAGCCAAGAAACTGGAATCAGAGCTCGCTCGACTCGGCTTTGAGCCTGGTAAAGAGGACCAGATCTATCAGGAACAATCTGGACTCCAGCGGGATATCCGCGAGCTTCGACAAAGGGCTGATGGGCTCCGGAGGAAGGTTGCGAACGTCGACTTCAACTATGCGGATCCCCACCCGAATTTCGACCGATCGAAGGTTAAGGGCCTGGTTGCTCAGCTCTTCACCCTCAACAAGGATCAGATCCCTGCTGCGACCGCCCTGGAGATCTGCGCCGGTGGCCGTTTGTACAACGTTGTTGTCGACAGTGCCGAGACCGGTACTCAGCTGCTCCAAAACGGCAAACTGCGAAAGCGTGTGACTATTATTCCTCTAAACAAGATTTCTGCCTTCAAGGCTTCTGCAGAGAAGATCGGTGCTGCCCAGAAGATCGCTCCCGGAAAAGTTGATCTGGCTTTGTCTTTGATCGGCCATGACGATGAAGTGATTGCGGCGATGAACTACGTCTTTGGAAACACACTCGTTTGCCACGATGCTGATACGGCCAAGAGGGTGACATTTGACCCGTCCGTTCGGATGAAGAGCGTCACCCTCGACGGCGACGTATACGACCCCTCTGGAACTCTTTCTGGTGGAAGCTCTCCCAACTCCAGTGGCGTGCTCGTTACTCTGCAGAAACTCAACGAGATTAATAAGGAGATGAGAAGCAAGGAGCGCCAGCTTGCTACTTTGGAGGAGAAAATGAAGAAGGAAAAAAGAAGCTCGATGCTGTCCGATCGGTTAAGCAGGAGCTGGATCTCAAGACTCACGAGATCAAGCTTACCGAAGAGCAAATCAGCAACAACTCTTCTTCATCGGTGAGTGTGCCATGTCCACCGCGGGTAATATGACTTGCTAATGTCAAAACAGATTATCGCTGCCGTCGAAGAGATGCGAGCGAACATCGAGCAATTGAAAAAAGACATCGCAGACGCCAAAGCTCGTCAGACAGAGGCAACCAAGGACATCAAACGTATCGAGAAAGATATGAGCGAGTTTAGCGACAATAAGGATGAGAAGCTAGCAGAGCTGCAGAACTCTCTGAATACTCTTAAGAAGAATCTCAGCAAGAACTCTGCCTCTGTTAAGGAGCTTCAGAAGGAGCTACAGTCCTCGCGTCTAGACTCCGAACAAGTCGGAAGCGACCTCTCTGCCGCCGAAGAGCAGCTTGCCGAGTCAGGAAATACGCTGAAGGCTCAAGTGGAGGAGATCGATGCTCTGAAGCGAGAGCAGACGCGACTCAAGGTAAGTGCTTTCTTACACAAAAAATATCATGGATTTGAAGTTGACAGTATTAGGACGCCCACGATGTTGCTCAAGCCCAACTCGAAGATGAGAGAGCTAAACTGACCGGTTTTGATGACGAGCTCCGAGAACTTGAGAAGACGATGCAGGCGAAATCATCACAGATCACGGAGGAGGCCTTGGAAATGCAGAAGCTTGGTCACCAACTTGAGAAGCTGCAAAAAGATCAGCACACGGCCGCTCAAGCTGTTGGTCATATGGAGCAAGAGCATGAGTGGATCGCGGATGAAAAGGAGCATTTCGGTCGTCCCAACACCCCCTATCACTTCCAAGACCAGAATATTGCCGAGTGCAAGTCAATGCTGCGGAACTTGACGGAGCGATTCCAGGGCATGAAGAAAAAGATCAACCCCAAGGTCATGAATATGATCGATAGTGTCGAGAAAAAGGAAGCCGCCTTGAAGAACATGATGAAGACGGTCATTCGCGATAAGCGCAAGATCGAAGAAACCATCATCAACTTGAATGAATACAAAAAGGAGGCACTCCACAAAACCTGGGTTAAGGTCAATGCTGACTTCGGTCAAATCTTCGCGGAACTCCTGCCGGGCAGTTTCGCCAAGCTGGATCCCCCAGAAGGCAAAGATATCACGGACGGCTTGGAAGTCAAGGTCTCTTTGGGTAAGGTGTGGAAGCAGAGTCTGACGGAGTTGAGTGGCGGACAACGGTATGTTTTTCCTTGAAATAGTTTCCCCTTGACGATGTTACTAACTGTTTGGATTGTAGATCACTCATTGCTTTGTCTCTGATCATGGCCCTCTTGCAATTCAAGCCAGCTCCCATGTACATTCTCGACGAGGTCGACGCCGCGCTGGATCTGTCTCATACCCAGAACATTGGTCGCCTGATCAAGACCCGTTTCAAGGGGTCCCAATTCATCGTCGTCTCCCTCAAGGATGGCATGTTCCAGAACGCCAACCGTATCTTCCGCACCCGCTTCAGCGAGGGAACCAGTATTGTCCAGGCGCTGACCCCTGCCGACATGAAATAAGTACTGCTAGTTCCTACGGTAGTATGACGAAGCCACGTTGGTGAGGTTAACTGTCTGGTTTTTCTGCCTTTGCTCTCTTGGTTTTTAGCCCCGTGTGATGCATTTGTTCTTTTCTGTCCATTAGTGACGGCTGGAGTTCCCGGTGTCGAGTTTGACTTCTTGGGCGTGGGAAGGGATATTGGTTCATGATCTATGTATGATGAGTGTTTTGTTTTGGTATTGCACACGCCCAGCTTATTCTCCGTGCAGAAATTTTGAAATTCGTGTAAATCATGTTTTACCTTTGATTTTCACATCTTACTCGAACGAAGCCACGGCGTGTCTTCCTCTTTGTGTAGCTCACGGCTTATTCTACTAGCGGGTGTGTGCCATCGACAGTATTTTGATGTAGAGCCTCATGGTAGTAGTGCCTAATAAAGTATTGACATCTCCAGCGACAATCGGGAAAGACCCGGTGTTGCCTTCTTCCCAGAATCAGATCAAAAGTGAGCCGAAACTTGGCTGAGACGACTGAGACGATATACTATATCCGCCCTCGGCATTATTGTTTTTTTTTTTCTAATTCTTTGACTCGACCACCTCACTCGCAGCGGCAGGCATCAGCGCCATCAAAGTTGTCTCGGCACGTGCAACGGTCTCCCCGACCCGCAACTCCGTCAACGCCGCCACACCTGGCGCCAACAACCGCCGCGCGATCTGAAGCCACCCTCTGACGCAGTCGCATCATTCTAAATCTCAATCAGTGCGTTATTGCACACGACCTCCTACCTGAGCCGGAGCCGTTCCGCCCCCGCGATCCGGACCCTGAGTCTAAACATCTCCCACCCAAGTCGATCGTCGCGCCCCCGTCGGCCAAGGCACGATGGCCGACGATGAGCCCTCCGTGAACATACCCTCGCTCTTGACATTCGCGGTCGTGTCATTCTTCTTTATCCGATGGTTTTTCAATCGCAACGATGCTCCCGCTGGTCGGCCCCGCGGACGTGGCAATGCCGTTGACCCAGCTCAGGTGGAGCAGATCGCCCAGATGTTCCCTCAGCTGAACACTCGCGAAATCATGTGGGATCTACAGCGCAATGGAGGTAGTGCCGCTGCGACGACTGAAAGAATCCTAAATGGCCAGGGTCTCGAAACGGTACGTCACACCAAGCATGCCGCGCGCTGCGATACTGTCTTGCGGTTTCTCGGCATCGCAAGACCCGAGCACGTCTTTCCGTCCTTTGTCAGGACACCGCAGGCTGTCCTAAGCCGAATACTGACTGAGCATGTATAGCCACCTCCGTCTTTCCAACCTCAGATCGCAATTCGCTCCCCAACTACCATGGCTACCCAGGCTACGTCAGCCGCCGCCCCCAAGGTCGATGGACAAGACTTGATTACTCGGTACAACCTCAGCTCGAAGATCGCCAGCGAGAACGGCGCAGACGCATCGGCGGCGACTACTTCTTCTGCAAGTTCGTGGTCCCAGAACAAAGAAGAGCGACAGCGTCTTCTGCAGAAGCGACGTGATGATATGATTCTCGCTGCTCGTCGAAAGATGGAGCAGAAGAACCACGAGAACTAAGGTCCCAATGAGCGGGATTTCATTTATGGGCTCATAGTAACTTCAAGCGTCTTTTGTTCAACGATTGTGTCTACAACAAATTCAGGACCAGCAAGTTTCAGACCTCTCCTACTCCTCGTCTTCGCGGCGCCATTTTCCCACTTCTGTTTGGTTTTTATTAGAGCGCTTCTCGCATGGGGTACGGTGTTAGTTAAAATGGAATGAAATGAAATCGCTTTCATCACAGTTCTTTATCATGAGGGAAAATTGGGTATATGCGTCTATGTACATGAATTCGTTCGAGGGTAGGGAGACATGTGTCTGCGTCACACATGCACCTTTTAAACGCCAAAAATTGAATGAAACCTGATGCAATAAAAGTAGCTTTCCTCCGGCTACAAGACCGACTAGAACTCCATATAGTCCTCTTCTTCTTCTTCATCTTGTGTGCCATTGTATCCACCATTAGCTCGCTGCTCTGCCATTTGTTCGCGTCGAGCTTGTTCTTTCGAGGCACCGATTTTCCTAGAACCAAGTCAGTAATCGACACGCGCTAGAACTGCTTTGCGTATTGCAGCGGTAGATCAATGCCACATACCGGAGGTTGTCTACTACTCCAGACAAGAACCCTCGCTCTTCGCCCACTTCCATTGCTCCGACGCCTGTCAACGCTACTCCTCCACCACCAACTGCCGCTGCATCAAGGGCATCGACACCGGCTCTCATCTTAGACAGGCGGATTTCACGCAGGTCTTTCAATAATCGTCGAACCTGATCTGCCTCAACCAGATCATCACTTGCCGCTTCGAGCAGCATGTTTCCAATCTCGACCCAATGGAAAGGTAATGCGGGGGGATCTCGGGACGAAATAGTCATCTGTGCAGTATTTTGAGGCAAAAATGGTGGCGAGGGAAAGTATCTATCTCCATCCGGTGTATATTGAGGTCGGGCTTTCGGCGCAAGCCCGTTGTCTCGAATACTTGGTTGTCCGGGAAGTGGTAGAGGAGGGGAGAAAGCGTTTTTGTAGTCCTGATGCTGGGATTCCACTTCGAGGATGAGGCTCAGAGGATCTGGGTGCAGCCATGCGGGGGGATAATATTCGCGCGGCGTTGACGCTTGAGAAGTAGTGCGAGCCAGAGTGGCAGAATCGCACGTCGTGGTGGAACGAGAGGCTCAACCGGGCCCTTGGGAGTAGGTCAATTCGTAGTCACTTGAAAGATATCAGTTGGGAAACATACTCCAAGTAGCTCTAGCCCTTCTAGGCGCTGGCGAGGCACCACGGTCACCATCTCCATCTCCGCGAGAAAGGCGATCTCCGAGGGCGTAATGCCCCGCGGAAGAGGAAATGCCATTGGGGATTGGATATGTGAAATAAAGGGACAGAGTTCCAGCTAAGCGTTATGCTGACATCGTGGAAGCCTCCTGGCCGTCTGATCTCAAATTGATGCGCCCGCGTCACGAATCGCGTGTCGATAACTGCCAAAGGCGGTGTTTGTGGTGTTTGCACCCATTTATAGCTTTCCCTCCGAGCTTCACCATCTGTTCCCTCGCCGGCTCACCACTTTTCTCGCGAATCACACTTTGTGATTTCTCGTTCCTTGGGAGAACCTGGGGCACAATGAGCTTTCGCGAATCGAATCTCAGCCGGGCGGCGCGCTACGCCGTTCCGTTCGCCCTCGTTCTGATTCCCGTCTGGAGAACACAGGTCAATACTAAGGTGCCCGAGCCGTATCTCGATGAAGTCTTCCATGTTCCCCAGGCGCAGGCATACTGGGCGCACAATTGGACGCACTGGGATCCGAAAATTACGACCCCGCCGGGTCTGTATATCTGGTCCTATATCCTCTGCGCCGTCATGCTCGCTCTCCGCGGTTCTCCGAAACAGCTCGACGCCGCTGCTCTACGAACGACCAATGTCGCTGCGACTTCAGTCTGCCTTCCCTGGCGTCTTCAAACTCTCCTGGATACCATTCAGAGAGTGCAGAATACTCGGCCCATGGGTGCATGGCTCAGTCACACGGTCTTGAACATCTGCCTGTTCCCGCCGCTGTTCTTCTTCTCCGGGCTCTACTACACCGATATTCTTGCTTTGTTGGCCGTGGTTGAGGCCTATAACTGGGACCTCAAGCGGGTCAATGGAGGAAAATATGGTCCAGTTTATGCGTTGGGCTTTCTGGTGTTTGCTTTGGCGGCACTGGGTTGTCGGCAGACAAATATCTTTTGGGTGGCGGTGTTCTTGGGTGGAATGCAGCTTGTCCGAACAGTTCGTTCATCTCGCAAGGCAACCCGGTCGACTGATATCTGGTCAATTGCCAAAGGGGGCTTTGGTAACGAAATATACGACCCCTTCGTTGCCACAGCTTCATTGGAAGGTAAGTTACTATTGTTAAAAGGTTTCAAAGTGCAAGATGACCAACAAGATGCATATCAGATTACTTCAAAACTGCTATCTCCTTTGCGTGCGCGAGTCTCCGGAGCCCTTTTTCCATCGTGGCCTCGATCATCCCCCATATCTTTATCCTAGGAGCATTCGGTGGATTTGTGATGTGGAATGAAGGTGTCGTCCTGGGGCACAAGGAGTTCCATACTGCGGGAGTACACCTAGCTCAGATGCTCTACATCTGGCCTTATTTCTTCTTCTTCTCGTGGCCTCTGCTGATCATTCCCGTGCTGAACGTTGCACTCCCGAAAACCATCCTGCCGAAGTACTTGGATTACGGGTTTCAAGAGAAGCAAAAGGGGCTGCCAGGACTACTGGCTGTGTTGATCGTGTTGCCCATTATGCTTGCTGTTGTTCACTTCAACACCATCGTGCACCCGTTCACTTTGGCTGATAACCGACACTATGTCTTCTATGTGTTCCGGCTTCTGCTCGGAGTACACCCTGCAGTAAAGTATGCCGCAGTCGTAGTGTACTTTCTCTGTGGGTGGGCCGTCATCTCAGCCTTTGGCTTCTCCATCATCAAAGCACCACCGCAACTCTTGCGTGTTCCTCCCTCCTCGTCTCGGGGAGCGCCTGCGGCCCAACCCGTCGCCCAGCCCGCCACCCCTGGGGAGCCTCAGGGCAATCGCAAAGAGCGCCGAGCTAAAGCGAAGGAGAACAAGGCTTCATCCAAGAAGGATGCAACCAAGAAGGACGCCATAACAAAGAAAAGCAAGCAGCCCCAGCCCGATCCGAACTCTCCAGAGGCGATTGCCACAATCCAGGAGCATCTCGTCCAGCGCCAACTTGAACAGTCTAGCGGCTCGCGAGTCAGCTTTGCTCTTGTATGGATCGCTGCTACCGCCCTGTCTCTTGTTACGGCTCCTCTTGTTGAGCCGCGATACTTCATTATCCCTTGGGTGATGTGGCGTCTGCACCTACCTCCCTCCCCTACAATGGCCATGTTCCGCAAGAAGCGGCCGGAGGAAGAGAGCGAGAAAGTCCGCTCAGATGTCATCACTAATCTCCCCAAGTTCCTGGAGACTGTGTGGTTCATCACCATTAATGTCGTGACAGGCTATGTCTTCCTTCACAAGGGCTTCGAGTGGCCTCAGGAACCCGGCAAGACCCAGCGGTTCATGTGGTGATTCTATAGTATAATCACTTTTGCGGGGGACCAAACCCGTTCTGTACATTAGATTAGTTGTATTTGTAAATCAAAAAGCATATTTTTATATCAATAAGTGCTTAATCTGGTTTTCTCATTATAAAAGTGATGATTTGTAGTGGTTGGAGCTGGCAGACCGGGTCAAACTGCGGGCGGTGGTTGCTGGAATATACTTTCACCAGCTTCGGGAATTTGTCCAACTTCACCCTACCCACCTGCCCTTCGCACTTCGTACTTCACCTCAATCCGATGATCACAAACCTCAAAAACAAATGACCCCTTCCAGCGCCTCAAACCTCCGATGGTCTCACACATAGCTTGATCCTGGCAAATACACTCTCAGCAACTCCCTCGGGCCAATTTTAGTCCGCTAGGGGCCAGTGTCAGATCACTCCGTCTCACGCGCCCTTTCTTCCCGTCTTGTCTGACTTACGCTTGCGGTCGCGATCTAAGTTTTTCCTCGATGGAACGGCCACCTAAAAGGGCACGGGCCTCACCAGATTCGGCGGATGAGGATACCAGGGGCCGGCCGAGCAAGATCTATACGCCCTTGAAATCGCTCGATACGTCCATCTCTCCACCACCTCGGACGCGATCTCAACCGTCCCAAGGGCCAGATGCGTGCCCTGAACTTGCTAGTTGTCAATCGGAAACTCCGAATAACACTAAAACTGGGGAGTCTACGAGATCACCCCGTCTGGTTCCCTCTCCTATCCAGCTCACACATATCAGAGACTTCCATGACTCTGAAGGTTGCAATGTTGATGCTGTTCGGCTTCGGGATATCCTTGGAGACCCAATGATTCGCGAGTGTTGGCAGTTCAATTACCTTTTTGATGTGGATTTCCTGATGCATCAGTTCGATGAGGATGTACGAAACCTAGTCAAGGTCCGAGTCGTCCATGGCTCTTGGGAAAAGGAGGCTCCTAATCGAATTCGAGTCGATGTAAGCATCCCCCATCTGGACTGTCCTCGTTGGAAGCTGACATGGGAGCAGGAGGCGTGCTCTCGTTATTCCAATGTTGAGCCTGTGATAGCTTATATGCCGGAAAGATTTGGAACACATCATTCGAAGATGATGATTCTCCTCCGGCATGATGATTTAGCTCAGTATGTACATTGTCTTCTCAGGCATTGGCGTTACCACTGATTGATACTGTTAGAATTGTCATTCATACCGCGAATATGATTCCGGGGGACTGGGCACATATGACCCAGGCGGCATGGCGCTCTCCGTTACTCCCCCTGAAGAAGCCAGGGGCTCCAGCCACGCCACAGAAAAACTCGAGTATTGGCAGCGGTGCGCGTTTCAAAAGAGATATACTCGCATATCTGAAAGCATACGGGCCGAAGAAAACTGGCCCACTGGTCCAGCAACTAGAAAATTATGACTTCGGAACTATTCGTGCAGCCCTGGTGGCAAGTGTTCCCTCGAAACAGCGGTTCAGCAGTTTGGATTCAGAGAAATCCACAATCTGGGGCTGGCCAGCCCTGAAAGACCTTATGGGGCGCGTTCCCATACTTCAGCAAATAAAGTATGGGAAAAGCCAGTCTACAAAGCCTCATATTGTCACACAGGTACATCTGTCTCGCTCCTGGTCCTGCTCACAAACTAACATCGACAGATCTCCTCCGTGGCCTCCCTTGGCCAGACAGACAAATGGCTAAAGGACGTTTTCTTCAAAGCCCTTGCCCCAACGAAGGCAACTCCTCGATACTCTATTATTTTCCCAACGACAGAAGAGATCCGCCGTTCTCTCAATGGGTACGCCTCCGGGGGTTCAATCCACATGAAAACCCAAAGCGCACCCCAGCAAAAACAGCTGCAGTACATGCGCCCCTATCTCTGTCAGTGGGCTGGTGGCGACCACTCCAATTCAAACTTGATAGATCTTTCCGAGGACAAGCCCTTCAAGCAAGAGGCTGGACGTGGCCGCGCCGCACCTCATATCAAAACTTACATTCGATTCTCGGACGCAGAAACCATGGACACCATTGACTGGGCAATGATCACATCCGCAAATTTATCTACGCAAGCATGGGGTGCAGCCACTAATGCGAATGATGAAGTTAGGATCTCGAGCTTTGAGATTGGAGTTGTTGTGTGGCCTGATCTTTTTGCCGATGACACTGTTGCCCAAAGCAGCACCTCTGAGGCGGAAAGGCAATCCGCCGTGATGGTACCTTGTTTCAAACAAGATCTACCCCTCTCTCCTACGAAAAATCTAGCCGATACCGTGGTCGGCTTCCGCATGCCCTACGATCTGCCTCTGACGCCGTACCGTGCATCCGACGAACCATGGTGTGCAACTGCACCGCATCATCTCCCCGACTGGCTCGGACAGAGCTGGATAGTGTGAGGCATATTCGGATGTCTCTCGGGTCACATCGGACTTTGCCAAGAGACAAGGCAAACACAGCAAGCGTTACTGCCGGCTTCGGCGATATACAATATCAAGGTCGCAGAGTTCGTAGAAGACAACTTATTCGTGGATGCGTCATTCATTTCATTTCAATATTGCAAAGGTAATTCGTCCATGCTAGACTACCGAAACGTATTTAGTGTGAAGCTGAATCCCGTAGGTTATGAGGTTTCGGGTCTCGGTCAAAGCCGGACTTAAATATCCATTCGAAATTATTTAATCGCGCAGGCCATACTTCGCAATCAGGCCGACGACCAGCTTGACGTAGGTAGCCTGAGCCTTCTGGGCGTCCAGCTCGTCCTTGTACTTCGACCAGTGGTTGAACATGGCTTTCTTCTATAGAACACAGCGAACACATTAGCAAAAGGGGATTGTCTCAGAGCATCCAAAAAGAGGAGGGGGAGGGTGCAATGTAGTCACATACAACCATGTCGAACATTCCAGGCTTGGGAACCTCCTCGCGCTTGCCAATCTTGAAGTGCGCATAGAGGTCGAGCTTCTCATCGTTGGTAGGCGCAGCCTCGAGCTCCTTGACCAGCAGAGCGGCAAACTCAAAGGCGTTCACAAGAGCGGTGCTCTGGGCCTCATCGCTGATGGTATCCTTCGCGCCCATAGCCTCGGCGGCAGCGTAGGCCTTCTTGAAATCATCGGTATTGACCTTCTTGGCGGCGGCCTGGATGTCGGGGTTGTATTTGGCGCCGTTCTGGGCGGCCTCGAGGGCGGTGACGAAGGTGGTCAGGTCCGCCATGGTGGGTGAAGCTTCGGTGGTGTTTTGGTCTGGGTTGTGTGTGTTTTCGGAGGTGAGGATGGTTTGTTGAGAGGGAGCGACGCGGATGGTTGAGGGGCTTGGTGGGGTTCTGCTGACTCGCTGCCCGCCAGTTGACGGTTGAGCCCCGGCGGTTTCGGGCAGCAGAGTGGGCCTCTTACAGTAGCATCATGCAACTTTCAGCATAACCTTGGAAAATGCATACAATGTACGAGTGTACGAGGACGAGGATAGTCGGCGATCTTAGATATTCATACTCGACCTGTCGCTCGCTATGCCTTGAATCAAATTTTGAAAAATGAGGGGACAAGTGTAGTCGAAAGAGTTATCAACATGTTCAAAAACCCGCAAATCAGCTGTCCTTGCTCATATAATTTTCGTATCACATATTAAGTCGTCTTCATGTGGAGGAGGGAGAAGAGAAAAGAGTTTCCTTTTCCTCAGTCCTAGGGACCCCGGAGTTTACCCAAATTCACGTGATTTGCGTATAATTCCCAGCAATATAGTTTAGTCGCAGGCTTGGGTATCTCTGCCCCCTCGACTAGAAGATGTGATGTTATGATTTATTGTGTCTGCCTTGGATACCCTTTTTTTGGCGCTTACGGGCAGTCTGGAAGCAATCTGGGCAGATACTAGTATCTGTGATGTTGCAAGAACTACGAGTGCTTCTTGTTTGGGACCTTAACAGCACACTGCGAAACAACTTGTCCTATACTAGGGCATAGCTACTGCTCAATCGCCCTCCTCCAGCGCCCCACCGTCTCTCATAGTCACAAATAGATGAAATGTCTGTTTTAGTATACAGACTGATGCTACTCAAATCAGAATCACCCACACAGAGAGAGGACGGGTTGGCTGCAGGATAGGCAACTTCGTGGGCGCTGTGGTACTATGTTGGTCAGCTTATTGCTTGTGGAATGAAGTATTTGTTGTTGCCAGGCAAGGGATAGCGGTTTCTGCCTCCTTCATGATGCCAGGAGATTAGTCACGAATGATGGACGATACGACAAAAACCACAGCTCCCTTCAATTGCTCTAGCAACTACTCTGTTGGTTATTCCAGAATTTTGCTCATGGAACCTCGGCGCCACTGACACGGACTCCGATTTCGGCAGACTAAGAACGTTTGGTGATAGTCATTTATATTTGCGCAACGCGTCCGTCGGCATCTTTTCTGGGCACCAATCACTCTTAGGTCGCAAGAGATCTTGTGCGTAAATAGGCGTAATAGGCCGAGCTACTAGGCGGTTCGCAGCGATGGGTGATCATTCCGCGATACTTGGAGTGGGACCGTACAAGATCATGTATGTACTTGTGTAATCGACGGGATTTCTCGATTTGCTTCTGAGTAAGTTCTGCGTTGAACATCCCCTTAAAAGTGTTTCGGCACTGGCAGCGAAACAGGCGTATCCTCCCGTTTTGAGCTCCGAATCAAATGATCAAACGAAGCAGAGCCACTTACGCGTGGTGTAAATGGTTCAAAGTCCCAGAGATACCCCAATGTCCTGAGCAGCGAAGAAGCGGAGTACGAAACCATCTCTCCATCAGAATTTGTACCCTTCTGCTCAACTACACCCTTAGCCACCCACGGTGAAATGAGGAGCGTCGGGACACGGCCACCTAGTCGATCAAAGAAAAACGTATAATTTTCGCCGTTCGGGGCTACCTCGGTGTAGGTAAGGCCATCCGGTCGCGGCGCTAAAGGCGGCGGGACGTGGTCATGGAAGCCGCCCGTTTCGTCAAAGGTCAGAATAAAGAGAGTCTGGTTCCAATGGGGACTAGCGCGGAGCGCGGAGTAAACGTCTTTGATGAGAGATTCGCCATCGGAGATCAGGCCCGTCGGGTGCATTGAGGTTGTGCCCTGGCCACAGCAGGATGGTTCGATGAAGCTGAAATCAGGCAGTGTGCCAGCTGCGGCGTCGGCGTAGAACTCATGAAGAGGTACAGCTAGCTGTTCGTTGCCGCTGGTAAAAGTCCAGTCGAAGAACCAGGCGTCAACCATTTGTTCGGCTGGGTCGGTGTAATAATTTTTCCAGGTGTGGTTGGTTTCGGAAAGCTGTTGAAAGATACTGCGCTGGGTGAGGCCATGCGTGCCAGCGTCAAAGTCTTCGTCATTGGTTCCGTGGCCAGCTGAAGTTCCAGAAAGGACGAACGCGCGGTTTGGGGCAGTGGGCTATGACGACCGTTTAATATCGACGAGCCTGCTATGGTTGAGGACCCGGATTATGCGATGACTTACGCCAGGGAGATCTGAGTGCCAATGGTTGAATGTGACATAATTCTGCACCAGGCTCGTCAAGACTGGTACCTGATCCTCGGTATAATAGTTGAGGACCTCTTTTGCCAGTCTTGTCTTGTTCGTATCGCCTCCATCATATTGACGCAGCTGCTCATACACGAAGCCCTTCTGTGCCGGCGTCAGTTTGCCGCTAGCGATATCGGCATTATCGGGGGTAAAGGCGCCATAAAACTCGATATTGTTACCCGTTACCGTATGATCGGGATCGTCTAGAATAGAATCAATGTCCTTGGCACTGCTACAGACCATGCCTTGTGAGGGGTCGGTCAAATTGTAAGGATTGCAGAAGGGGCCGTTATTGATGGGATTCTCGAGACCCTCAATCGTCTGGCCGCCCAGTAAGTTATCCAGGGAGCGGTTCTCCATCTCCAGAACGACAACATTCTTGATATTTCTCTTCAAGTTCTTGATGGAGCTTGACGAGTGCGCGACGTGGGAGACTTTGGCCGGCGCAGCAGAGGCTGCGATCGCGGATACAATGAACACAAGGAGAAAGCTGGCGTGCATGACCGACACCTGTTGGGTTCGAATGAATTATATCGGCAACTGAAGTGCAGAGGTGAGACCTCACTTTGGAAGGAGCTTCCCGGTCTTATATCTACCGCGGGGATCATTCTCTGCACTTCCGAGCTTTGGTAGGGCTGTTAGTTCTGCGCATGCTATTGTGACTTTCTAGACTATCCAGCGTCAATGCAGGGGTAGGTCACAGGTCCAGAATTTCTCCGGAGCATGTGTCGGATCGCTCAGTTGTTGTCCAATAAGGTTGGATACATCTGGAAATACAGCCTATATGATTGGCTGCTCTGATCCAGTTAACAGCCATGGACGTGAAAAGGTAAGCATAATTTGCGAAGATCGACAGGCACCGAGGTTTACCGATACGACGCAAGCCCACCAGCGCTATGATTCCTATCCATTCAACGTGCAGAAGTGGGAATATTAAAATACTGGGTACAAGACTCGGGAGCAAGTTCGGGCTCGAAGAGTCCACACTGGATTGATCAGCAGCTCCAATAGGCGATTGCGCAGCCTATGGGTCTTGCAGAGGCCCTGCACGGCCGTTGTCTGACTGGGTGGGAGAGTGGGTGCTGGGCCACTGCTGGCAAAGTAGCCATGCAACGTGGGTTCACTGGTGTCTTGGCCAACATTAAGCATGTCAGTAGCAATGAAACGCACTTAATTTTCTGAAAGTTTTGATCATGTAACGATGCTTGTTATTCGGGAGAAAAAGGAATTCTACGGCAAATTAACGTTTCAAAATACACCCCAACGCTAGGTGACGGTAAATTGAGCGCTGAAAATGGCTACATTCGACGCCATTTTAAGCGTTCATTTTACCAAGATCTTAGTAATTAAAATATCACTTGCTCGAAATAAACCCAGTCTGATCATTTGCTCCCGGAGTGCTCAGGGATCAGCTCCGCCCTATTCAGATTGCTCCGGTTAGGCAATCAGGTACGTCATCACTGTTTCTCTTCTCTAGCATCCGCTTATAGCCTTGTACGAAAATAAAACGATGGCTTTGTCAGATGTTGGTTTTCGACTTCAATACATAAATAGTCTGTGCTCCCGCCTGCTCGTAACTTCTCTTCAGATCCAGTCTCTCAAAACTCTTCCTTTCAATCATCATATCCTATTGCCTTTGGCTGGGTCGCTCCCTTTCGTTCCCCATGCTCTGTTCGGTTACAGTGGCTTTAATCTTCCTTTTGGGACACCGTCTTTTTGCACTGCCAGTCATCCTCATCAACATACTTGAATTATTCAATCCTTAACTTTTGGCATCTAGAATTCAGGACGTAGTCGTTGATAGAGCTCTCAAATAGGCGCAAACGTCCAGGACCTCATTTGAAGGCAAGAAGACATAGTTAGTTCATTCACATCACACAATGTCGCTAGAAGAGACGGTTGGCCTCCATGCCCCTCTGGATCGACGGCGCGGCCGTTCCAGCGTCAGAGTTAGTCAAGCCGTTTTGAGTCTAGCTAGGCCAAGGATTAAAGTTTAAACTTCAGGTGGGCGAGGCCGCAAAACGGCGGTTCTCAGTATCACGGCTGGCATGTTCCGGGTATAGAGAGAGAGACCAGAGATCTTCCACTACACTAATTCAAACTTTGAACATTTTAGCCCACCGCGTCCTCTGTGGCTCCGGCAAAACGCGCATGCACCAACCCGATAACCCCCCGTCGAAAGCGAAACCCGCAGTTTCCCACTTCTCCGCAAGCCTATCCTTCCAGTCCTCAATCCAAGTAGCATATCTATCCCCATCTGAAGATACCACCGGTACCATGCCTTCCGGAACACGCTCGGACAGTCGAATAAGCCCACCAGTATAGAAGAAATCGTGTTCATCATCGCAAATACCAGGGCATTTGGATAGATCAGAGCTGTTGGCAATCCACCGAAGCTTGCCGGAGCACTCGCGGCAGCACGTCTTGTACGGGCAAGAGCGACAATAGTACCAGCCGTGGATACTCGTTATCTCCTGCATGCAAATCGAGCATCTCGTCAGTGGATCGCATATGAACCAAATATCTAAGTCGTCAAGACCGTCGGTACTATTCATGTCTTCGCCATCGTTTTCTATATGAATCTCGCCCAGCGTGTCCAATAGCTCCAACCCGTCTTTGGATTTCCTGACATCACGCTCCTCGTTATAGTATACCTTAATCAACCGCTCGTTCTCTCGCTTGATCCAATACAACGCCGCACCGAGATCTTCCTCGCTACCTGGATCAACCAGGAATGTCTTGAGAAGAGCTATGAAAGCGATCTCGTCATTTGTAGGATCATCGTCTGATAGCAAGGCGATGCATGCTTTAACGCGACCGCGGAGAGCATGTCTGGCATTGTTGGGATCTCCATGGTTCAGAAGCCAGCTCGAGATAACCAGACAGGCGTCACCCGACTCAGCCGCAGTGTCCAACATGATCGGGAAGCTTCCACAGAAAGAGATCTCGGTGCCACTCAGGCACAATTCCACCAGGTGGGCCAGTGAGCGCCCGCGATTATTTTCGGCATTCCGGGCAGAGTCAGTAGCACAATTGGCGTGGTTGAGGACTTGACACCATCCTTGAACCGCCAGGTCTAAGTGTCCCTTGTCGAATAACACCGTTGCGATGAGATATTTAAGATTGGCGATATTATGACGCTCTCCTGGTAGGGTATCGATTCTCTCCATGGTCCTCGCAAGATGAGCCAGGCGATCCTGATCCTTCTCTTTCAAAGCATACTGAAACACCCTGTACATGGTATGCGGCCGTTCGGTGAAAACTTCGAAGATGTAGTCTGCGAAATTCATATCCTTCGGTCTTTTTGAACTGGCCCCTTCAAAATGCTCAGCTGCGCAGTCTAAAACGGTCCCAAGATGCTGTGGGGTTTGCAGCTCAAGGAAAATATCGAAGAAGGAAAGGAAGTCAGGATACCACCAGTCTTCCTTCGTTGCCAACAGCTCCTGCCAAGCTTCATTTGCTATGGCGATTGCATTGTCTCTTTGTTTTGCACGATACTTCAATTGCGCCGTGTTCAGCAATCGGCCGACTCGATCCTTGTCCGAACCATAATCGTCCCTCGGCATCCGCATCATTTCTGCGAGTTCCATATGGTTCAATGCCTCCGCGTGTCTCCCTATTTCAGTACATGCGCGAGCCAAATCTCTATGTACGACGGAGAGTTCCTGATGGTCAAGGGTATTTGCTTTTTTATCAAGGCCAAGCGTGACGTGGAATTGCTCACGCGCTTCTCGATGGTGGTATTGCAAGAGCAGTGCCTGGGCGACCCTGGCATGCCACATGGCTGCATGCTCAAACTTTTGTAGCTCGGCGGCTTCCATGATCACGGACACGTCAGTGTTGCCCCAGGTCATTCCTAGTAGTTTCCTCGTTTCGTCGTCTTCGCCCAATCCCTTATCTACTGCCGCCATTGCATAATATACTTTCAACAAACGCGGAAGGGCAGCAGGCCAGCCATCCTCCTCATTGATTTTATCCGGGGCTAGCCAAAGACGGAACCAGGTCCGCACCATGAAGGAGAAGAGCACCGTAAATAGGCATGTGTCGTTTGCCTCTTCCGATAAACGGGCATTGTCTTCGAAGCGCTGTTTCGTCTCCGGGAGAAGCCAGCTCAGGACCAACTCTGCCCTTCTATTTGCAGTGACCCGATCTTCGGCATTCAACCAGAACTTCCCGGTGTCCGATACGCGAGATGAAGGATAGAAGCAGTACTTGGCATAGTCCCTCATTTGTATGACTTCAACCAACCAGTTCATATGTTTTTCCTGGACGAACAAATCTTCAAAAAGTGCTGAAATATCTTCACGTCGCTTCCCTGCCATTTCAGGATTGGCACGCACTAAATGCGATGGCAGGAATTTCTCAGCATACGGTCTGAGGTCTCCTAAGTATATATCTTCGGGGCCTATGTCGGACTCTGGCTTGTGGACCTCGCGGAACGTCTGGAGGATAACATATACGAAGTTGGCCTCGGTTTGTTCGACATTGACATGAATCGACCCGGACTCTTGCGATGTCCTGAAATACTCGTAAAATGAGCTATGTCTTAGGATCACAAAATCCTGCTCAAAGCCATATTCGTCTGTGGTATGTCGGATCTGAAAGAGTGATGAGTACAAGCTGCGGATATCATCCTCAAGGTTCAAGACCTCTTCTTTGAAGATGATATGTAGCATCGTATTGAGCTGCTGCACATTCAGTGGTTTTTGCGCGAGCGTCACGAAGGAGAGCAGGACATTCAACTGGTCAATCTGCGTTGCGGCTTCCTCGATGGAGTACTCGCCATAGGACATTTCGTCTGGTAGTGACAACTCTCTGCTCAGGCGCTGCAGCTCTTGGCTCAACATCGCGCTGATTCCACGCGGGGTAGACCTGACGGTTTTCTGGATCTGCTCTTTAGTCCTACAGCGCAGGACAGCTTTGATGACCAGATTGGCCCATTCCCAGAGACCTTCAGCTTCCCGGCTGATCTCCTGGACAATCTCCTCTTGGAGGTGCGGCGCCGCGCGAAACAATCTAGTCTTTTGTAGTTTTTGTGAGACATATTCGTGAAGATCGTCCTTGTTCTCATTATTACCGATTTCAATATCCGGGATCCAGTCCAGTGAGTGTTCTTCGAGCATGGGGCGCACTGATTCCCTGCTCAGCAGTACAATACGTAAAGATGGCCTTGTCTTCGAGTCATCTTCTGAAAAAGCCTTCTCCAGTAGGCTACCAAGGACCTCCAATTCCTCCAGCTCTGCCTCATCGAGGCCGTCAATGACGAAGCACGTTTCCGCTGATGGCGCATTAGCGAGGTGCTTGAGCAGCAGTTTTCCCCACAAGGTATAGGTATTTTCAGCGTCTTCTTTCAAACAGAATTCCTCAACATGAGTTGCGAAGCTTGGGCTTTGTGTGGCAACCTGCCATGCCAAGGTACGCAAAGCCTTGTTGATGGAGCGTAGATCAACATCGTTGTTCCTGCAGAAGAAAGACGCTACCAGAGGGGCAGTGCCAGAAAATTCTCCACTGGCAAAGCCCGTGATAATTTTGGACGCGAGATGGGACTTGCCCACTCCAGGACCACCATGAAGCCAAAGAAGAGGCTGATTTCCCTGCCACCAAGTCCGAAGCATGTCCTCTATCCAGATCCCTGACCCAGGGATACGATTCTCGTTGATGAAAGAGAAAACTTGGCTTGACCCGGATACTGGTTGTAGGGCAGCCTTTACCTTCTCTAACTTCTCCCGATCATGCCTACGATCATCCCTCTCAAGCAATTCCTCCGTATTCCTGAGCGCCTGATGGGTTAACTTCAGCCCATGCGCCGAAACCATCATATTCTCTTGGCTCGTCAGCTCCTCCAGCTCGGCTAGGAGCGAACTGACCTCTGTATCTTCCGCGATCACATTCTTCGCCCACTTCGTCAGCCTCGCTTTCAGCGACCCTTTGCGCAACAGTTTCTGGGACGCCGCACAGACACGCAGCAAATTCACCAACACCTTGACAATAATCACCTTCATTCCCTCACTCAGCGGCACGCCCTTATATGAATCCAGCCGCAACGCAAAATGGCCTAGGTTGCGAAACAAATCCGTAACCATATCAAACGACTCACTTACTCTCCTTGCCCCACGTACAACCAGCAACATCGCCCCCATGATCGACGACGCCGGCGGGAACGCCGCAGCCACAGCGCCCGCGATGAGATCGCCCCAGTTCTCAAAGGGGGCGAGCACAGTCTGCATCGCATGGAGAAGTGGGCGTCGCTTCATGCGAAAGTCCTCGAAATTGTCCTTTTCGAATTCTAGCTGCCGCGAGAGGTCTTCGGGGCCACGGAGGCCCCGCAGTTCCTCGTCGCCGAGCATGGTGCCGGTTTCATTGGCGTAGTCGGTGCAGGCGGCGTGCCAGAGGGAGGAGAGTTTATCGTCGGTCGAGTTTGTGGGCGGGATGGCCATGGTGGGAGCCGCTGTCCGTGAACATGAAATGGAGGAGAGGAAGTTGTGATGTTGTGAAATGCTCCGCGGCGACCCCTCAGTTCTCAGTATGTTTGGCTCCATGGCCCGGCCCGAGCCACGTCAAGCCTCTTCCAGATATGGTGTAGTTGGTGCATGAAGTCTACAGATGCATCCGATTGGGTAATCATAGCCGTACCCGCAAAACTGCGATCATGAGGCCAATTTCATAGCCGCAAAACCGCAGCGGGTGGGTGCGGTTATCACTTTACTACCCATGTGTATTTTGCTGATACCCATGGGTATGTAAACAGTATGAACCTGCACCTGTGACTTCCCTGTAGCTGTATATCTTATGCACTTTTTCGTGGTAATTTTACAGTATTCAGTCAGTATATGACTACGTATTCCCCCAACCTCTTCGACATTAATCCCCGAGCCCTAATCTAAAACACGTTAATCAGATACGGTATTAGCGCCGATCCGCCAGTTCCAAGAACAGCTCTTGTATCTTACATGACGGATAAGAACCATATTAGCTGTATTATACATGAAGTTGCTGTACAGTACTCGAATGCTCTTCCCTGGTTTCCCCAGCAAAACGATTCTTTCTCTCGCCGACTTTTTGGGTGCTACCTACAATTCACAATATGGCTCCGAGACTCCTCCCTCAAAGTTGCATCTCATCCGTGATATAATCGAGAGCCAGTCACTCATTACATCTTAAATGGCCGAAGAAGCCGAGTATAGCGAGAAGTCACGATAAGTATGATACACCACCAGAGTGGCGATATTTCAGAAATTTGATCATCGCAGAAAACCCATCGCATACGAGTCATCCTGGCTCGAAGCCGCACGCTACGGCATTATTTACAATCGAGCAACAATTTAAAAAATAGCAAGTCTTAAGTAGCCCATATCTATCACCCTCAAGAGCATTAGTATTTCTCTAAACCAGTGTAAGATTCCTGTAGCCAAATTAAGACCATATTCGATGGTAAATCATAGGGAACTCTAAGAAATCAGAAGGTAGGCTCATTGTAATTAGATAAAGGCTCTCGAATAATAGAATATGTGACAAGGTATACTAGTCTTTGTATAAGAAACTTTTAACGTAATCCACAAGCGAGCTGGACACACAAGCGAGCTGGACACTAAATCGCGACCGTTCCCCAACACGTCGACTTCCATACTTCAACTACCTACCATGCCTCGAATTCGCAGTCAGAATTCAAGAAATCCAATTGAGCAAGAGGGTAGGATCCAGCTCGCGATCTGAGCCTATCTGAACAAAGAATTTCCATCGATTCGCGAAGCTGCACGTCAATTCCAAATCCCCCACTCGACTTTGCGACACGACTTCGTGGGAGCACATTTCGAAGAAATACTCGCGCTAATAATCATAAATTGACTGCAAATGAAGAGGAATCGCTCCTACAATGGATACCCTCGATGGACACGCGTGGATCAGCCCCCCGACCGAGTATGGTAGCTGAAATGGCCAATATTCTTTTGGCAGAGCGCGGTAGTCAGACTGTTGGAACCAACTGGGCTTCTAATTATATCAGGCGCCACGATCAGCTCAAAACCCGATAATCTCGTCGATATAATTATGAGAGAGCAAAATGCGCGGATCCGAAGGCTATTCAGCCATGGTTCGAGCAAGTACGACGTATAATCGACGAAAATGGCATCCAACCTGAGGATATCTACAATGTTGATGAGACTGGCTTCGCGATGAGCTTATAGCTACTGCGAAAGTGGTTACAAGGGCTGAATACTACGCTCCGAGGGCAGTTCTACAGCCAGGGACTCGTGAATGGGTCACATCCATCGAATGTGTGAATTCAACGGGCTTCGTGCTCCCGCCAACAATCATCTTTAAAGCGAAAACCTACCACTACCAAGCTTGGTATGATGACCTACCTCATGATTGGAGAATTGAAATCAGCGATAATGGCTGGACTACACACGAAATTGGGCTTCGATGGCTAGAGAAGCAATTTATTCCTTGGACGACTAGTCGTACTAAGGGTAAATATCGACTTCTAGTACTTGATGGCCATGGTAGTCATTTGACTCCTTATTTTGATCGATTATGCCGCGAAGACGATATTATTCCCATCTTTATGCCTCCGCATTCCTCAAACCTACTACAGCCTTTAGATATAGGCTGTTTCCCCCTAAAGCGTGCATATGGGGGGATGATTGAGGCTAAAGCGCGATGCAATATCAATCATATCGACAAGCTTGATTTCCTCGCAGCATTCCCACAGGCCCACGCAGATACCATTAAACCAGAGACTATCCAAAATGCATTTGCCGCAGCTGGTTTAGTACCATATGATCCAGATCGGATCATTTCAAAGCTCGATATTCAACTCCGGACACCTACCCCCCCCCCCCCCCAGATAGTCGACCAGGGAACCAATCGAGCGCGTGGAGCCCTAAAACGCCAGCAAATCTTAAAAAATTAAATCGACAAGCCTCATCAATTAAGACTTTACTTAAAAACCGCTCGCAAAGCCCTCCAACACCCACAAATATAGCTATTGATCAGCTCCTTAAGGGCTACCAGCAATAATTACATACCAACACAATCCTTCTACAGGAAAACAACGATTTACGGGCAGCAAATGAGACGCAAAAGCAAAAACGCAAGAATTCTACAAACCGCATTGCTCAGTCAGAGGGATATTCGACTCAGGAGGCTAGAGAGGCATTTAATAGTCTAAACAGGCTATTGAAGCTCCCCCTGCACCCCCTGCGGAACCAGCATCATCAACTTCCCAGCCAATTAGACGCGCTCCACCGCGATGCAGCGACTGCAATCAAGTTGGGCATAAAAGAACGCGGTGCCCTAATAGGTCTGATAGGTAGAAATTTGAAAATAATGGCGTTGGTTGGTTAATAAATTGGTTTAAATAATAGTAGTTATTTATGTGTCCAGCTCGCTTGTGGATTACGTTAGGATTCAATCATATCGGTAAGCTAGATTTCCTAGCAAGCTATCCTTAAGGCGCGAGAAGAGACCTTTAAAGTAAGAATATTTAGTCTAGTTTTACAGCAGCAGGTCTAGTTCCACAACAGCCTGAACGTGTGCTTTCTAAGCTCAATGTATCTCTTCGAACACCAACACCCCTAGGACCCAGCCGACCTACTGGCCGATCAAGCTAAAGTTAGTTCAACCCAAAAACACTAAAAACAGCAGTTCAACTACAAAGGCAGGCTTCTTCACTCAAAAAACTACTTAAAAAACGTTCAAGAAGCCCTCCTACCCCATCAAAGATAGCCCTAGGTCAGACTATCAAGGGCTTCTATGTCTCGATGCATAATGCTGCACTACTAGCGCAGGTATGTGCTGATCTACGGGCTGCGAATGAGAAGAAACGGCAAAACCGAACACGAACGAATCGCCTAGTTCGATGCGAACAGGGTGTTACAGTTAGAGAGGGCCTACCACTACCAGTGCAGCCAGTGCAGCCAGTGCAGCCAGTGCAGCCAGTTGATCATCCTGCACCGGTTGAATCGCCTACTTTGCCACACCCCACCAGCCAAACGTGCACCCCGGAAATGTAGCGGCTGCAATAGTATTAGCCATTCAATTATCCGGTGTCCCAATCAATAGTTCTTTAAATTAATAGTGTTTTGGTGGTTTTATCTGCTTTTTAAAAATGTAGTAGCGGGTTGGGTGCGCCACGCCCGTGTGCGCCGCTCACTCGTTGATTAGTTAGTTACGTTACTAATCTGAAGCTGACAAGACAGCGTTGTTTGCAGAGGCGCCCGCATGTCATGTGAGAGCTTAATAGATGTTATCTCTTAGAACGCCGGTACAAAACGTGGGGAACTTAGTACATATTCATCCATCAACGGCCAAGGGAGATTGAGATTTTTTTTCTTTTTTTGTAAAGAAATTTCTCACTCAATAGTGTTTTCACCAATCTCAGAGCTTCCTTAGTAAGTCCAAGCTGATTATCTCGAGCCTTGTCAACACTCTCGATTATCTCATTTGAATCTGCGAAATGACATTCGATCCCTCTTCGTTGGCAATTCGTGCATGGCTCTAAGCCCGAGAACTTGATTTTGCTTTGCCAACATGATTTACATTTGTCTCTGTTAGAACTCAGCTATACCTAGCACGACGGAAGATTTCTCACGCGTTCGAGGTTCTCTTCGATCTATATGATTCCGTCCGCGCTAGGGCGGCCGTGGTATCGAACTGTCCCGAAGAAGTCGCTCGCTGATCTCTCGGTCGCAGATGTGAAGGTAAGTAAATTGTCAACGTCGCTAAACTGGCTGGCCAAGATTGGTCCAAGGAGTGTGCAGGAGCCAAAGTGGCGTTTGTTTTTAGCGGGCCAGCGTGGATCCCTACTTGACCCCGCACGCTTCCCCCAGAACGCCACTGACTCCATCCTGGGTGGCTTTGGTGACCCAGAGAACCTCAGGTGCCCGTTCGGTGACTCTGCTACGTTTTACTGGACAGCGCACCATGGTTGGGGGTCGCTTTCCGTGTATCTCTGGGCTAGCTTGCCTTCTTTGCCCGATTCACTGGCTTTTAGCATTGGACAGAACACGAAGGGCGAGAAAGTTGCTGAAGGTTCATATGACATGAATGTCTTGGTTTGCTAATTTTGATTCTCGTGGCTTGATGCACTTCCCTAGGAGGGTGTGGTCTGAATTGCCTGGTTATCCTGTGCTTTGGTTACGCGATGGTGGGCAAGGTGAAATGCAACGTCACGAAAAACGCAAATGAATATTGATGGAAGAAAAGGGTGTTTCTCGTTGCTTGAAATCTGCGCACTTGGCCCTCGTAGTCTTATTTCATCAGCTGTGAGAATGAAAGGATTCTATTCGCCGTATTCAGCGATACTCAGAGGAAACCCCAAGTTCATCGCTTCCCTCTTTCTTTCTCGTGCGGGGGGCGATTGTGGGGTCGATTCGGTCTGGTGGGGCCCACCAAGTGCACAATTTCCAGCGACAGCCGAGATCACGCACGGGATTAGCCCGCTACTGTTTACCAGATCGAGTAATGACAAGGCAAAATCCATGGTTGTCAGGACGTGCAGCGTGGCAAACATATGATTAGTCCCGCAAGCTGGAGGGGAAAGGACAAATCCGAGAGAGGGTCTCCACAATGTGCCAGAACCCAGAAAACGTCGGCAAATTGAGGTGAAAACTAGCAAAAGTGTGGACAAGATTTAGACCTCTTCCTTGCGCTACTAATTACGGAGAGGCTTTTGTGAGCATGCATCCAAGGTCTGGGTTTGCTTGAAAACATATATTAGAGTAGTCGGGAAACTAGGTGTGTAAAAGTCTCATGGGGCTTTTTGATTTCCTTCTTTACCTGCTACCGCTCGGTGCAGTAACCTAGCCAGTGAGGTAGTTCACAGATTCAAATGCACGGTGTTGACGGCGCCGTCACGATAATCTTGATGTTCACATGGTCATCGATTTCGTATTTCTGTCCAAATCTACCTTATATAAGTTTAATTATGTATCGGCGCAGCAATCCCACGGGTCAGCTTAGGGTACATTAATGTCTGAGATCACACCAGTCTTAATACCCACCATGCCGGACTCCCGTTTCTCAGGTACACGGTATGCCTTGCTAAGATCGCTGGTCATGAGGTGAAGCGCCAGGCCAATCTTACAATTATCCGTGCGGCGAACCACCTCGTCTTCGGTCGAGAACTTCGGAATCGCAGTGACAGGGCCGAAAGTCTCCTCACTGTTGCCTTGTAATCGTGATGGATGATCGCTGGCACTCCTGATGAAGGGAATCAGCGAGTGGGAGTGTTGAACATCCCTGTCACTAAGATGTTACAGTATCTAAATCACTAAACATATTATACCCCAGTGCCTTCGGCGCCATTTCTTTACTGCCGGTCAAGATTCTAAATTCTTCGTAATGCCCATTCTTGTAAACATTAGCAGAGCAGCAGGAAAGAGGTAAGCAGCAATCCCAAAAAAGGGGGAACCGCCAATAATCAGATTTCTTTATTTTTCGGTGCTTATTCGCGTAGTACTGCTTTGAATGCGAATGGTACCCGTGGCAAGAAGACGGAAGTATTGGGTGCCAAAGTATTTTTTGCGCCACTGTATCTTACGCATGCTACAGGAAACCTAGTTTTCCTAGGTCACTAGCCCGTTATGGGTATAGCGCCTTGTCAACTGCCTTCTGTGAGGCGTCTTTTACTATGAAAACCTAACTCATTTAGTCCCGCGGCACTAGTACTAACTGGGACTCGGAAGCAGTCTTTCCCCTTGGGTATGATTGGATGCCCCAAAGACAAGAAGGGATACGCGGGTTAAGCTGGGCTTTTCCACTCAGCTGGAAGTATCTTTTCCAGGAGGCCCGCAGTCACTGAAAATCGGTTTTAAACTTTGGGAACGATACCTCTCTTCTGCTTTTCTCTTCCCCTCGCTGTGCAAATTATTGACGGGCAACAGCACCGCCGCCCCTCTCGCACACTTTGTCACCGGAGTGAGATGCATCCCACGAACACCCGGTCCGTCGGCCTACTCACAGCCGCTACCCAGCAGCATGAATATTCTATACGGAACCCGACATCGCCGCTGGGGACCGGAAGCGGTACGGTGGATAACGCCCTTGATATCAGCATAATCGTGTTCATGTCCATCGCTCTATATAATGCCCTCGAACTGGCGATTCTTATCCCACTGTCTTTCCGCCGATACAGCAGCCTCTACTTCTGGTCTCTGTTGACATCAGCTATCCTCGGCGTGATTCCCTCCGCCATTTCAGGGGTCTTGCAGTATTTCAATCTGCAGCCATTGTGGCTTACCCTGGTCATGCAGAATGCTGCATGGATCTTGATGGTGCCGAACCAATCTGTGGTGCTCTACTCGCGACTACACCTGGTGTCGCAAAGTACAGCGATATTGGGCTTCGTGCGAGGGTTGATCATTCTGAGTTTAATTGCTATTGTTGTGCCAACCATCGTGTTGAATGTGGGGTGGTCCTATATGCCGCAGACCCCCGCCTGGGTGAATGGGTACGCCGCTATCGAACGTATCCAAGTGACTTGGTTTACAGCACAAGAGTGCTTTATTTCGGGAGTGTATATCTGGGAAACCATCCGGATGTTACGGATCATTCCTAGTGGCGACAAGCGACGACACAAGATATTGTATGAGCTGCTGGCCGTCAACATAGTGGTCATTATCATGGACCTAGCGCTGACAATTCTCCAATATCTGAACTACTATTTCTCACAGGTGATTTTGAAAGCGACGGTCTATAGTGTCAAGTTGAAGTTGGAGTTTGCAGTGCTGGGTATGCTGGTTTCGTTCGTGCATTCGCGGGGCTCAGAGGTGTCGTTCTGGGGGGTCGACCATTCAATGTCGAATATTCCTAGCACTAGCACAAGGTTTGTTGAGGAAGGATGTATGCGACAAGAAGGAAGTAATAGTTGCCCAGGGAAGCCAGGGCCACATTGAACAATCAATGGAACGGGCTGTGAGTGTTCTTATTGTTTAATCTTCTTAAGAATACTAGTCAACTGATTTCTCAGTCTTTACTAACTCCCCAATCACCAAGACCGATCTTCAGTGAAGAAGAATGGAAACGCAAGCAAATCAAATTAATTATACGATTCTCGCTTCCATTTGAGCTCCTAGCGCACCCTGAATTCCTTGACCTAGTTGAATTCGCCCAACTTCGCGACAGCTTTTGGACCTAGCCTCTGACGCCATCCGAGTTTTTCGGTTCAACAGAGTGGCCTTCGAAAGCGACCCGTTTCAAGTCTACACCTCGGCTCTTATATTCAGCCCAAATCAGAGTGAAACAAGGAAATCCTATGGCAAGGTCGATCTGCCATCTTGGATAGAAAAGAGTCAGCCAATTGAGCCAATTCTTTCAGAGAAAAGCTGGGGACCGTGTCTTCAACTTCTGGAGGACCACACTGACTCGGTCTTGTTGGCTGTCTGGTCTCACAACATCCGGCTTGGCAGCATCAAAGGACAGAACAGTTCGAGTCTGGGATGCAAAAACTGGCCAGTTTCTCTTCATTCTTGGGGGATATGAAAAGGCTGTCACATCAATTGCCTGGTCAAACAACAACCTGCTTGCGTCAGGATCAGAGGATGGAACAATCAGTATCTGGGATCTGGACAAGCACGAATGCACCAGAACACAAAGGTGAATATTTTGGGGTTTGGAGGGAACACAAATCTGGAATTCGGAGACTGGAATGGTCTCCAGATCAAAGCCGACCAGCATCAGCGTCCGAGGATCGGACCATCAAGATCTGGGATGTGGACGCTGGCTAGTGTCAACTTTCCCTGAAGGGCCATACCGATGGAGTTTCGTCAATCCTCTGGATGCGGGACGGAGAGCAGCTTCTGGTCAGCCTCGTATGACGGAACAGTCAATATAATGTGGGATATAAGACCGGTCAGTCTGTGAGAACCTACTTCGAGAGGGAGTCTGAGGAGGATGAATCGTCCGAGATCCCAAACGGACAAGCTTGAGATCTGGGAGGTGAACCCCGATCATGCCGGCTGTATTCTCTTGAAACGGTTGTCTCGACATGGTAATTGAAGGTTCCACCGAGTCCTCTGACTCCAAACGACGTCCGAGACCGTATCAATTCGCGTGGTTCAAGGATTCCCAGGGCAGAAATCGAATCGCAGGTGCTTCAGCTGACAGGACCATTGTGGTCTGGGATGCAGACGCCGGAAGCTGCGCGAAATCTTTGCCTATCGATTCGCCGTGGTGCCTTCAACTCGATCCACGGTATCCTGGTCATGACGATGCGCTCTATACCAAGATCGAAATGGTCAAGCCTTATTTCGATAGCCGGGATATGACTTATACAAGTTCTCGTTTCGGCTTGGCTTCCCCAATGTGGCACCTGGCTGGATATGGCTTTTCCTCGTGATAATTTGAGGGTCACTTACCTAGGACAAAACGTTCTCTGTTTGCCTCCTGCAATCGGCCCCTGGACAATCTCAGATTCTCTCCGTACATCAGTCCAGATATTTTGAGGTATAGGGGCGGCCCACATCCGTTTGTCATGGGCAGAACATCGGGCCACATGGTGTTTCTCAAACCTCTGCCCGATTCGGAAACTGCTTTTCAGCAAATGACCGAGGATGAGGCAGAGGACACCGGCACAGAGAAGGAAAGCGACATGGATAGCGATACTTTGAATAGGATTTTCGGCTTTTGGAAGTTGGAAATGCTGATCTATCTTGAGTGATGCGTGATGTAGCGTGATGTGTGACAATGAATCAATTTCTGGCACTGAAAATAGCACCGTGTATTGTTGTCGCAATTCTAGATTGTCGGTCCAATACATTACACTAATTCCCTTTATACTGCATTTACTAGTAGGTTACTACTATATCATCGACTACGTTACAGGTATCATCTATAAAACAGTAGATAGCAAAGACAACGGAATTCCAGACTGCAGGGTTTGTATTGTACTATGTACAGGGGCAGTACATAGAGATCCTCTATGATCTAAATCCCAAGGTAACAGCAGAACTCAACATTCGATTCGTGGTATCATGAAGCGCTTGGTATATAAATATTTATGTCAAAGGGTGTTGCGTGGGTCGTGCAAAGACACGCGCTGCGGTCTTTCATCTCCCCCGGATAGAACGCAAGTATGGAACAGACCACGAGGTCCCGAAGCGAAGCGTGTGGAGGTGCTTAGGAGGAGCCGTGGAACTTGGTCTCGTAGTCGGAGATGGCCTGGACCTTGGCGGCGGAGGCGCTCTTGGGGTCGAAGCGGTAGTTGAGCCAGTCGAGAGCGAGCTTCTTGGCGAGCTCGACGCCAATGACGCGCTGGCCCATACAGAGGACCTGGGCGTCGTTGCTCAGGATGGAGCGCTCGACGGAGAAGGGGTCGTGGGCCGTGACAGCACGGATGCCGGGCACCTTGTTGGCGGCGATGGCGACGCCGAGACCGGTACCGCAGATAAAGAGGCCGCGGTCAGCCTTGCCCGCCTTGATCTGCTGGGCACCCTCGACAGCGGGGTGAGGGTAGGCGGTCTTGTCGGAGGTGGAGTTGACACCCACGTCGGAGACGGAGGCGACGAGGGGACTCTTCTCGAGGACGGCCTTGATGGCGTCCTTGTAGGGGACACCGGCCTCGTCGCAGGCCATGACGATGCGGAGGGGCTGGTCAGACATGATGGACGGATAGATCGGAATGGAAGTAAGAGCTTGGGGGTAATAGACAATGAAGAATGCTTTTTGAGTTGCTTTCCACCTGGACTCAGGGCCGTCCAGGGGCCCTTTTATACCTGGCCTTTGCTCATCGCTTCCGTGCAACGCATACCCCGGGGTGGAGCACGGGCTGATGGAACCAATCGTGGCCGTGGCATCGCGGGCTCAGGCCAGATCCACCGCAGCAGAGCAACATTGATATCGTTCGAGGTGGGGGAAGGCCAGCTGCCCCGCCATAGCGTCATGGCACTGGGAGGATGGGATGTGAGTGGGTGAGGCGGCGTGTCGTTGTCCAAAACCGGCTGGTCAACGTTCCGCGTACCGGCAAGTACCGCTCTGTACGCGGACAATACGCCCGTATTACCACTTTACGGTACATCATAGTATAGAATAGAGCCAGACAGCAACCATGGTCTTGGGTATGAATGGGAACGTGAATGTGAATTCAATTAGGGGCAGGGCAACCAGCCATCGATGTCACTGAAGTCAATGCCCCCTCTTACCTTGTACCGTAAGCCACACCCCTTCGGCGCTAATATCATCCTGGTATGTACTACACCCTCGTAAGGTTGGCGCAGTGCCTCATACTTCCCGAAGGCGCTAAGGCAACGCCCGTGCGACACGCCGAGCGCAGAGGAACGAATAGGGGGAAAGAGGGGGTCGAAATCCTAGTGTTGTTCCGGTTGCGCTTCACCTGCCTGGGGGTTTCGAGAGCAGCCTAGGCAACCAAGCCGAACGAGCCGCGTCGTCATAGCGGGCACTTATACACTATACTACGAACTAAGAAGTATACAACTTCCCAGGGTTGGCCAGGCAGAGAATCATGTCCGGCTGCAACCAAATACTGAGTATATACTCGATCAACGACCAGTTCAGTCCACTCTATCCACCCCTGGAAGTCAGCCTATTCGCACAGGATGGTTACCCTAGGGTATGGTCCATCGGCTCTGGCCATTTCACCTGCGTCTGCCCCCACCAGCCCCGCGAACTCCACTGGCTCGGGCATCCCGCTAGACAAACCTACTCCGGATTCTGCGGTCGTGTGTAGTCCGAGGGGACATTGCAGATGCATGTCGGGTGCTCCTGATGAGCTGGGTAGTAGTAGTAGGTACTGGGAGAATGTACTGGCGGCAGAAGTATAGACGTGGCCTGTGCTGGGCGATAGAGGAACACTCAGCCACGCTGACGCTATCCCAACTCGAAGGTTGAGGCACTGCATAGTTCCAGCCGTTTTCCGCGCAACCGGTTTTCCGTCGCGTCCGCTGCGCCCCTTTGGCCTCGTCCCTGGTTCTGCGACGTATCGGGCATCGCGTCGACGACCCAATCACAATCCCTGACCACATTCAATCTCCGAGTATACTTCGCTGCCCCTCGTTGCCCCTCGTTGGCATCGTCATATCCTTTGAGAAAGGACGCTGTATACTTCCGACGGTGGAGTCGCCATTCCGTTCGTCTGATTGTTCGAGTCACTGGCCTCCAACGCGCTGTGACATCATCTCATCTTTGGATTTCAGCCTGGCAAGCAGGGAATCACCTCGTAGCGCAGCCCAGGCCGGCCGCTAATGCGCGCGCGGGATGGTGCGGACGCCGCCAGCCCTTTGAAAAATATCTCAACTTTCTCCCCCTATCCGTACTCCAGGTGAAAGAAATCAGGACAGTCGGGTCTCTTCGTCCTGCCTCTCTCTCCGAATTGGGGACAGCCGCGCACCGACCCGTCACCGACTGATCGTCCGGGGAAAATCTACCCATTCAACCTCACCACAACACCACCACCCACCTCATCCCCCACCACCACCACTGCACACCACCACTGCACACCACCACACCACAATGGCGCCGACCTCCTACCCCGTCCTCCCGGAGAAGCTGCTCCTCATCTCGCTGAAGATGTACTTCACGCCGCAGCGGACCCTCGAATACGTCCGTGGACTGCTCGATCCCGCCAACGAGATTGTGCGGCCCGAGAACCGCGAGAAGCTCCTTCTCGCCCTGATCCCCGACTTCCTTACCATCTGGCCCTGCGCCGACATCATTCGGGAGTTCGAGAGCAAGCTCGCTGCCGCCGGCACGCCCACCTCCCCTCCTCCGTTCCTACTCGGCGCCCAAGACTGCATGTGGGAGGAATACGGTGCCTACACTGGCGAAGTCTCACCCGCCGCCATCCGCTCACTGGGCTGCTCGATCGTCGAACTGGGCCATGCCGAGCGCCGTGCCATCTTCGGCGAGACGGACGAGCAGACTGCGCGCAAGGCGGCTGCAACCTGTGCGCAGGGCATGGTGCCTCTCGTCTGCGTCGGCGAGGTGACGGCCCCCGGTGCTGTGGCCTCTGAAGCCGTCGGACAGGCCGTTTCCGAGTGTGCAGTTCTCGTGCGCGCCGTACTGAATGCCATCCCCGCTGAGGCGCCTGTCATCTTTGCCTACGAGCCTGTCTGGGCTATCGGGCAGCCCAAGCCTGCTGGTGTCGACCATGTCGGCGCGGTCGTGGAGGGCATCCGGGGTGTCATTGGGCCTCGCCCGGGCACAGCGCGGGTTCTCTATGGTGGTAGCGCGGGGCCTGGACTCTGGGGCGCGGGAGGGCTGGGCAAGGCCGTCGATGGGATGTTCCTAGGCCGATTTGCACACGAGATTGGAGGCGTGCGCAAGGTCGTCCACGAAGTGGAGGAGAGTCTCGGCGTCGCAGCCTAAAGAAACGACTGAATGGGGTTCGCCGACGTTCCATTGAAGATATCATGAACCAAATGTCTACTTGCAATCGCATTCGCATCGCATCTACTGATTTGAATCATGTCGGTATTGGGTTCGCATCATTACACTATACCGTTACTGTTATACGGTCCAGTACCAGCATAGAAATCAGCTCCAATTCGCACGCTGAATGGGTCTAGACAGCAGTGCCAGCACTCTCGGCACCTGCATCCGCGAAGCAATTGGATCCAATTTGTGGGTCGAGACTGTCGCCAGCAAACCCTTGCGAGCCCGACAGGTCTCGGGAAGCCTATCTGGGGGATCCCGTCGCCAATGGAGCCCTCAAGACTGCTCCACCGAAGCTATGCGGCGTATGGGGTTTTTTATGGAGAAACGACTGGAGAACAAGAGTGGATTTGATCTGTGCGATTCCTCCACATCTCCCCATCGACCCCTAGTCACGACAGCCCCGCGCTGTCACGCGGCTGATCAGAAATTTAGGTCGGAGGGTAATTCGGTCAAGCTATTTTTGAGATCGGTCTCCGATTATTTTTGTCGCTGTCTTTTTTTTTTTTTTTTTTTTGAGGTTTCTCGTCCGAGACTGCGGCCGGCGTGCCCGGTAATGTGGTTGATCGGGTCCAAACGAGGGGCAGAGGGGCGAGTCCACACGGTTGTGGGCTCGACTCCATTTCTTTTGCGCTCATTGCACTGATCGAGTAACCCGAGCTCTGCGCAGGTCTTTCTCCCTGGTTTCTACGGCATTTCCCGAGTAGGTAACAATTGGCCCTGGGAATTGCGCTTGTCGCTTACTGCCGCCTCGTTACGAGCCTCCTTTGACTGCGTCAGGCATGATGCCAGTGTGATGGAAATCCTTTTTCTGAGGTCTCTCGTAGATGATTGATATCCAGCCCTTTATCTACAATGAATGTTAAATCGATATCTCTATGCACGATACAGCACCATCACCATCCGGTACATTCAATTGACTTACGGTGGATGCGCACTAATGTAACTGCAATGATCTAACGAATTGAAAATGAAAATGTCTCGTGAATGCTGAATATTCCTTATCATATGCTATGTACAAAACCAATCTATTCCTTTTCAATCCAATTTGCAGCGCATCTTGCACACCGCTTCATTTCTTCTGCAGCTCCTCACGCAGCTCTTGCTTGACCCGGGTCACGGTTCCGATGCCGCCATAGACAACACCAGTGTACATCATCGCAACCGAGGCACCGGCATCAAGCGCCTGACGTGCCTGCTGACCATTGGTAATACCGCCAGAGGCAAAGATAACCTTGCGAGCAGGTATCTCGGTAGGGCCAGATCCCTCCTCGGGCTTCTCAGCCGCAGCCTCAGTTTGAGACGGGGGACCCTGGTCGAGCATGGCGCGGTAGCGGGCAATTAGAGGCACAGAGCGGTCAAAGAGCTGCGGACCCGAGTAGCCGCCGGTCTCCTTGAGGGTTTGCTGTTCCTTTTCCGACAGAACAAAGCCCTTAGGGCGCGGGTCGGGCCGGCGGTTGGTAGTGTTTCCGACGATGACGCCATCAACACCGGAGTTCCAGACGGCCTCGCAGATACCGGAGAGCTGCTCGTTTGAGTCTTCATCCGGGCTGACCTTGACCATAACCCGGGGCTTGGTCTTGCGCTCGACGTTCTGGGCGGCGCCCACGACGGCCGTCAGGATGGCTGTCAGTGGGGCTGCGGCCTGCAGATCGCGGAGACCGGGGGTGTTGGGGCTGGAGACGTTCACGACGAGAATGTCGGCGTACTTGGCGACGCGGTCAACACAGTAGACGTAGTCGCGCTTGATGGCGTCAATGTCGCCGTCCGGCGTGAGCTTGTTCTTGGCCACCTGCACGGCGAGCAGCTTGCCGGGGATCAGACTACCGGGAGGCACGTTGGCTTCGCCGTCCAGAACGCGCTGCTCAGAGTCATCGTGGGAGCCGAAGCCGGCGGCGTAGGCGAAGTCCCGCACACGCTGCTTCAGAACCTCGGCCATGTGGTCAGCGCCGAGGGAGTTAAGGCCATAGCGGTTGATCATGGCGTTCTGCGAAGGCAGGCGGAAAACACGTGGCTTGGGGTTTCCTTCCTGCGGCAGTGGAGTGGTGCCGCCAACCTCGACAATGCCCGAGCCAATGTCAAACAGAACATCGGGGATGTCGGCGTGCTTGTCGAGACCGGCGGAGATACCGACAGGGTTGTTGATCTTGTAGCCGAAGACCTAAAGCCGAATTATATTAGTATGCAAGCGAATTTTTTGGAGTCTTGATCAATCATACCTCAGTAGCCAAAGCTCCATCACCATCCGGGTCTCCACGTTCCCGAGGATGCAGACCAAACCGGTAGAGGGTCTTCAGCACATCAACACCAACATGGTGCGCCTCCTCAGCATCGGGGTAGATAGCCCGGATGAGGGGAACGACAGCATAGCGGTGCAGACTAGCCCGAGTATCGGTGCCATAGACATATCCGACCAACAAGACCACGGCCAATGAAGTACCATAAAGGCCCTTCTTGGACCCGCGCTTCGTCCGCTTGGGGATCTCCTTCGGCGCCTTCTTGGCAGTCTCTTTCGCAGCCTCCTTCACAGTTTCAGCAGCGGGAGCTGACTCCGAAGCATATCGCAAGGCACCAGGGACACGATCGACCCGTTTCGGCAAGAAAGCCGCCGGCCCTTGGGGCAAGCGGGATGCGGAAAAGCGAGCCCGAAGGCCAGTCCTCCCCGCGATCGAGGCGAGATTCGACGCCATCTGGGCGATAGAGTGGAGTGGTGCTTAATTGGCCTTCCTCGGCGAGTGCGCGCCGGATTGGACCTGTTGATGGGTTGTCAGTTCCCGAGGTTCTGGGTATCGTGCGGGGAGCGTGCTGCTCGAGTTTGGGATCCAATGATTGATCCATGGACTGCGACATAGCCGCATCGTTTCCGCAGGAATGGCTGCGCGGTAACCGGGGGAGGACTTACTCAATGGCTTGATCCGAGGTTCTGCAGCGCCCTTGCAGATCCGAAGATTGGACGGGATCGGGTGCTTTGCGGGCGGTGAGGGCGGAGCGATGCGTTCAGTATGGCGGGCCTTGAGCCGCAACACTATATTAGGTAATTATTGCTCTGGATGGAAAACTAAGTCAACTGATTGAATAGGCTATAAGGATCGGGCTTTTTTTTAAATTTATGTAGTGAGTACTGTTTGGTTGAAACGATATAATTCTACATGTGATGTACTATGAGCCAAGTCTGAACCAATAAAGCTGAAAATTGGGACCAGAAGAATATGTATACGAGCGTGGGATCAATAAATATCGGACGCTAAAAGAAAGAAAGGAAGGTGCGTATTTACTTGCTTGATCCAAAATCCAGGATAATATAATGGTCGATTGTTATTTTCATTGTGATATCGTGTCCGAGCTTGCATGCAAATCTCAATACCCTAACTTGAAGGTAACATCTACTCATTCGACCACTCAGGCTTCTTCTTCTCAGCAAAAGCCGTCATCCCTGAAAGCAAAATTAGAACCACTTCAAAAGTATTCGCTACGGAACGCGCGCAATGTCTGTACTCACCAATTTTCTGGTCCTTGCTGCCGAACAAGCCATGGAACAAGCGACGCTCATACTCAACACCCTCACGCAGCGACAGCTCCTGGCTCTTGTTGACAACCTCCTTACCAGCAACAACAGCGACACGGCTATATCCAGCAATAGTCTCGGCCGTCTTGAGAGCAGTCGCAAGCAGCTCGTCCTTGCCGCCGTCGACGACTTGCGCCGCAACACCCCACTCACCAGCCTCCTTACCACTGAAGTTCTTGCCAGTCAGAATAAGCTCCATCGCCTTGCTCTTTCCAATGGCCCGGGTCAGGCGCTGCGAGCCACCGGCGCCGGGGATGGTGCCCAGCTTGATTTCGGGCTGGCCGAAGGTTGCGTTCGAGGTACAGTAGAGAATATCGCACATCAGGGCGAGCTCGCATCCACCGCCGAGAGCATAGCCGGAGACGGCGGCGATGACGGGCTTGCGGATTGAGTTGGCGAGGTGGGACCAGGGGGCGATGAAGTTGTCGTTGTAGGCAGCGGCGAAGCTAAGGGGGGCCATTTCCTTGATGTCGGCTCCGGCTGGAGAGTGTTAACGTGCTTTTCTTTCTTTGAATCTGTGGGATGAGGTGCATACCGGCGAAGGCTTTCTCGCTTCCGGTGATGATAATCGCGCCGATATCCTTGTCATTGTCGTACTTGCTCAGTGCCTCGTTGAGCTCCTTGAACAGAGGGCTGCACAGAGCGTTCAGAGCCTTAGGGCGGTTCAGGGTAACTATACAAAATTAGCACTTTTACTATTATTACTGCACTGGAATGTCCATACTCAGGCCGACTCCGGGTTTCGGGGTCTCAGTGAGAATGTGCTCATAGCTCGGACCAGACGAGTACGGCCGTACTCGAGCCAGATAGTTGCTCAGAGGGACGGCAGTCCGGGAGGTAGCCAGACGGGCACAGCGACGGGCAAACATGGCGATTGGCGATAGCAATGGCGACGTGAATGAGATTGGCCAGCGTAGTCGGAGTCGGAAGTTGTTGTCAAGGGAGAGCTCCTATGATGTATGCAACCTCCCCGCAGCCGAGAAAGGGCCGAAGTTAACCGTCCCGAGGCCCCATGTGGCTTACTCATCACGAATATCCGCCCAAACTGCACAGCCATACTTACATAATCATAGGTCGAGGCTGTGCATATCACGTGTGGCCCGGGAATGGTGACTGCCGGGTCATCTGTAAGCTGATTGGTGGGGGCCGCAGGGGACACTTTGCTCCTGTTTTCCAGAACAAGCGACTGCATTCAGCACTGCGATCTGCGACTGCCAGCGGGTTTCACGTCTCAACTCTCGACACCTCTTCCTCCCCCTCCCTTCTCGCCGCCATGGATGTTCCCGAGCCAGAGCAGTCGCCCTTCACAGCCGTTTCGGCCCACACCTCCAAGCTGACCAGGGTAAGTTATTCCATGAGGGGTCTCGGCTGGCGCAGTTATCTCAAGGTCTATTCCTCGCATTCGGGGCGCGCCGGATTGACTCGTTGGACTGTTTCATACTGACTCGTATACAATAGCATTACCAAGCATGGCTCGATTACTCGACTCCCTACACCACCTACCGCTGGGTTGGCACAGGTGTACTTCTCCTCATCTTCTTCCTGCGTATCGTCGTCGCGCAAGGATGGTACATCGGTACGTGTTGACTCCCCCCAGTACAGTATTCATTGGACTGGGAGCAATTGTGCTCCATCATATGAAAGAAAAGACCCGCAATCGAAAACGCGAAGGCCATCAACAAGAACGCAAACTAACACCATCGCAGTGGCCTACACCCTCGGGATCTACCTCCTCAACCTCTTCCTCGCCTTCCTCACCCCGAAATTCGACCCATCCCTGACGCAGGACGAAGGCCTTGAAGATGGCGACGCCGGCTCCCCCAGCCTCCCAACCAAGCGCGACGAAGAGTTCCGCCCCTTCATCCGCCGACTGCCGGAGTTCAAATTTTGGCACTCCGCCACCCGCGCCATCACCATCGGATTCCTGTGCAGTTGGTTCGCCATCTTCGATATCCCCGTCTTCTGGCCCGTCCTGGTCGTCTACTGGATCATCCTGTTCGTCTTGACCATGCGCCGCCAGATTCAGCACATGATCAAGTACCGCTATGTGCCTTTCTCCTTTGGCAAGACCCGCTACGGCCGCTCATGAACTCGATTTCTCATCTGATCCTCTCCCCTTTTCACACATCCCGACTCTACCATCCCTGAATCCCGGAAATATTGTTTCCCTCCTTGTCATGCCCCTCCTCTTGTCTCTACGGAAGGGGAGAGAGGTGTGAATTTTAATGTGCATGTGTCTCGTACCCGTTACGGATAGATATGATTTGAGCGAAAATGTTGGAGATGGGATTGGCCCGGATGTAAGTACTCTATTGGCAGTTTCTCTTATGCATAAGGTTTCTAGCCCATTGGTCCTCTTCTGGGGATCCTCTCTTTATCTTTGGTTGTATTTGTCTTGCGCTTAGAGGGCTCGTTATCATCTTCTGCCCTGTTTTCATAAATTCTTAAACCCTTTACTTGGATTCGACTGTGGAATTTTACTAGATTCAAAATGGAATTGGTGGTATTGACTTGTGTAATGGTCAGATAGACCAGGCCTTGGTCCGGGCCGAGGCAAAAGATCGAAACTAAAGAGATAGACATCAGGGCACTACTAGCGTCCCTGAAAGATTCCCTAATTTTACCACTGCAAACTTGCAGGGCTGCTCAAAACAATATATCACATCCAAATATCAAAATATCAGACCAAAAGATCAAGAAAAAAGCACCCTCAAAGTGCTCAAATTGTGGAGAAATTGGCCATACAATCCGTTCTTGCAGGGCATAATTGGATATGTACATAATATGAAATGAACCAGATGAAGGATCAGGTGAAGATCAGGTGGAGGACAAAACAACAAGAAGACAAAGAGGGTCTTATAGCAGTAGTAGATAGAATGTAGTTGCTACAGTAGTAAGTAATGATGTTGCTGTGGTAATGTATGGTAACGATCTTGGGGTTTCTCCAAACTACAAATTACCAGCCCAGGGGCGGCTTTCTCTTCACCGTTGATTGGCCCTCCTACATTGCGTAGTCTCACATTTCGGCCAGTCGTTTCGGCGCCTTTAAATATCCTGGGAAATTATGCACTCCATTCAGGCGGGACAACGCACTTGGTCTTGATGCACGACCAGTCGTCGCAGCAAGCCTGGCCAGTGATAGAGCATTGTCCACCGTCTATCCCAAGCATCGTTAGTGAGTTTTTGAACATGGAGAGCGTATCAACGTACGAGGAATGCAGCCATTGCGCCCGACGAGAGGGGAGTCGGCTGCGGGGGAGGCGCTGACGACGGCCATGAGGGCAGCAAAGACGAGGTAAAGGTTGAACTGCATGGTGGTGATGTTCTGCTTCGACTCGCAAGTAGTGGGATGGCTGATGAGTTGAAGAAGAATGCATTTTTCGCGGAGGTTCCTGCTATTTAAGACATTTGGCGATCATCACGTGAATAGACTCAGTTGCATACTGATCTATATCGCGTTAACTTGGGGTCCATATACAAAAATTAGGTGCTCCACACAAGAATCCTTTAGAACGCGATTGTTTCCTAATTGGGTAACGAGGATCGCCATATACCGACTTTTTTCCCTGCAGCCTGATGGTTGGAATCTTGCCAAGTCATAATGGGCATTTTTACGCTTAACTGAGCAGCTTCAAGTTATCTGAGGTGATTACATACAGATCTCTTGTTCAGATAAGGTGAAATCTGATGTACTGGAATGTTTTCCTGTTTCTCAAAAGACACTTGGCCTGTGATGGGACTGATTGCCAGCCAACCAAGAGCTTTGTGGGCCTTGCGCTGATTTTTCGCTTTAAACGTCACTTCTGCGTATTTTTTATCACAGAACCGACCATGTATCTATTGTAGCGGGAAAATTGATATAATGCTTCCTGCTGCAAGTAAATTGTGCTGAGTTCCCATAATAATTTACTTTAAAAGTACTGAGCAGAGTCACACAATATCTGAACGCATCAGTCCGTATCAATGTCTGATCCTGACTCTTCTTTCGCGTAGTAATTGCGTTCGGTAGCAAGACGATGAACGTCTTCTGCATGTCTGCGAATATGCATTTCATGTAGAAGATCCTCACTACACATATGACATCTCCGATCCTCCAAGTGTTTTTCTCGAAAGTGTCGCAAAGTCGATTTGTATTCGCTATATTTGTGTGTTCGACGATGAACAGGCAGCATGTTATTACCATAACATTGAAAGCATCGTCGAGGTTTTTTAGCCTTCCGGATATAGTTTCCCGCCTTCTCCAGAAGCAATTGTTCCTTTGACATTTCAGGAGGGATCGAGGCTATTTTTGTTGCTCGCTTTTCCATTGCTGTGTGCTGTTCGTCGGGCTCATCGCTTGGAACCGGCCGTTTACATCGTCCACGTAGTGGCCCGCCTTCAAGGTGACAACAATATCGCGAGATGGCAGCGACAGCAGCATTTCGTCTCTCCCACTCTACTTCCAATGAATGGGAAGTCGGCCAGGTCAACAACTTTTCGAGAAGATCAATCTGCTCTGGCAGCATACTGTCTGTTCGCAACGCGTTTTTCGCTTCCTCGTTGTCGATAGCTGCTCCGGAGAGCTGCCGCTCAGTGTCTACATTCGCCTGTTTACGGTCAAACTCCTTTCGAACTTTTTGTCTCAATGCCCTCTCTAGCCGGCCAAAGGTGTTGAGCTTTTCGCGTGCGAATTTGTCGCGTCGCAATTTCATCTGCTCTCTCGGATCATAGATACATATTTCAGCTTGCTCATCCAATCGCCGGACCGCTTCGACATACTCTGGATGTTCACGGATCGAAGCTCGTTGCCCAGGAGTCAGGTGTCGAGGCCGTCTGGTATCAATCCACCTGCTCATGCGGGTGACTGCACGCATGAGGGATTTGTTGGATAGGCGGCCGTTCATCACATTCTGCATGTCCGTGTCAACATGTCGCGGAAGGTAATGGTTGAGGAATGTGCGAGAATCTGCGTGTTTCATGATCAAATTTTGTTGAGCTTCGCTGACTGCATCACTATTGTTTAACATCTTTCCACCTCCATAGCGCATGCGGTGCGCAAACATCGACTGAAGCCAACCATGAATCTCCCCGAGATTCCTCAGTCGAGCAGACATTGTGCCACTGAGCATAGGTTGATCCCACAGAATTGGATGGAATGACAGTCATCGCCAACTAATGCAAAAGGAACCGTGCAGGTGATCATCATATCTAGAGTACACCGCCGCCTTAGCTTCTACCGATTCATCATGCGCACGAAGGTGATCCGAGACGAGCCATGAGTCGCAGAAGTACATTGTGCTTTCTATATCGTCATTGTTCATGCTTTTCACATTGGGAACACATTAGCAAACAGAAATGCTAGAAGACTGTTAGGAAAAACAAGCCAAGGACTAGGATATAGCGCTCTCTTCCATATGTATAATAGAAATAATCAAGATAATCAACCAAACCGAACATTCTCTGGAGGTTTCCGTGGCCGGCTGCCAAAGATTTTGGTGATTTAGTGTCACCATAATGACAATAGATCGGCGCGATTTGAACAGGAGCTGTCGAACAAGGAACTCGAGGATAAAAATTCGAATAGAAAGTTTTAATCCAGAGATTCGTGAAATGAGAGACAAACGTGGCTATTTATAATTTGCTTGTACCATCGTGCTTATCGAGGTCCTAATCCCGAGGAAGAGATATGATCAAAGAATCGGCTTCTGCTCAAGCTGCAAATGGGCACAGATGAAATCGAAAACACACCGGATTGGTATCCGACTCTACTCCACTGTGAGTTGCCGTAGCCAATTGAAGGGTCGCCCTTGCCCGGAATATAACAGCGAAAGGAGGTGCTCCTAGGAACTCTCATCTAAAATGGACGCGTGATCAGCGATTAGACAGTAATTAAACTCTGATAGGCTATTGACGCCTTTCCAGCTTCTTCATGTGGGGTAAATGCGGCCTATGGGTCATGGAGTTTGTGCTAGGCTTTAGTGACGAATTGGCAGTCCTGGGCCTGAGATAATCCAGAGCATTGAGGCGAAGATAGGGATCGAGATTAGTCTTTTAGAATTCTGTCAAGGGAAGCATGTATTGCCATTGTGAAAGAAAGAAGCGACGACAGAGACCGAGTTCAGGGAAAATTCATTTCTCCTACAGAACGGCGGATCATGATCCTCAGGCAATGAGCTCGAATAGGCAAGCGCTGGAGAGTAGATAAGAATGTAAGATCAGGTCATTTCTTTGTTCAAGCCCCTAGGAACGACTGTAGGCAGCAAAACGCTTATCATCGGAGGAAGTGAAACAAAGAAAGAAGCATGACGTCGGCCAGCCGGAGCATCAGGGGTGAGCGATCAGGGTGCTCAAGGAGCGGCTCCAGGAGCACTCCGGGAGCACTCCGGGAGCGCTCAGGGTCGCTCAGGGTTGCTCAGTGAGCAGCTCAGGGCGGCGGGGGAACTAACTCAGGCTGGGCTCCGGGAGCTGATCGCTTCCCGAGGCGGCAGTGTTACCGTCACCTTTTTTACTCAAGTAATGCAGTTCATATCTCATAAGGCATCATCATCAATATCAATTTTGGCCATATTAACACCGCGAACCTGGGATATTCACTAACACGCCATAAAGTATGTACCATAAAGATAAAATCAGGTAGCGGGACGCAAAGGGAATCCTTAGAAGTAAGTCATGAAAAACAGGTATCTAAAAGGGAAACGTATGGACCGAGTCTCAAATCTGCAAATCTTCAACGCTATTCGATCTCTTCCCTCCGACGGCGCTATCAGGGAGCGAGAGTGCGGAAATTGTTCGTCCGGACTTGGGACGGTTGAGATCCTCTTTCTTTGTACAGATCCAGGTCGAGGCGTACATGTTCACACTATTATGGTTGAATTAGCTGGAATTTAAGCTCAACAGGATGGATAGGTGGAACGTACCGGTCAATGCATGTGCCGGGGAAACGGGCGCCCACGCGACGAGCTGTGAAGCCGTTCTCTTCGAAGTGCTTGATGTACCAGGGGTCGATACTGGCGGAACGGAGTAGGATACGGCCGCCCTTCTTCAGGGCGTGGTTGAGACGGCGGGCCTGGGCAGCTGCGGCGTCCTCGGTGGGGTCGAACCAGTCCATTGAATCCATGACCTTGGACTTATCAGTATTGGAAAGATAGTTGAGATGGTGGGATTGTATTATTTACCACAGCGATGGTCAATGTACCAGGTGTAATGCGGTTAATCACCTCGTTGATTTCGTCGGTGTGAATTCGCAAGCCATCAAAGGCGCCCGGAGTAGAGAGCTTGACATGAGCTTGGGGAGACAGATAAGTAGGGTGGCATCTATATAATAGAGTCAGCATGGATCTAGCATTGCAGTGAACGTGAGATACTAACCGTCGCGAGAAATTCCCGCGCATGCACAGGTAGTAGAAGTAGTTGTCGTTACTGATCATGGTGTCCTTGACAACGGGGTCGAGGGTATTCACAACATATTCCCAGATAGACTGGCCGCTGACATCCTTGCTTTGCTTCATATCCGAGTTCAAGCCATTACGGCGGAAATAATCATCGACGATCATGTTGCGTTGGTTGCGAGGCACTCCAGCCGCCTTCCAGGCGAACCACTCAGTACTCACGATAGCCCAGTTCAAGGGCTTGCTCAAGAGAACCCGACGTATACGCGGCCAGATAGCGCGCTGCTCATCCAGACTCTGGGCTTCACATAGCTTGGTAACCTCACCCTGCAGTCCAAAGACCTTGAACAGCCACCGCACCATGCGGATGGCGTGGCGTGAACCACCGGTCTCGTATAGACCATAGCCAGAAGTAGAGGTAAAGACATGGTTGTGCTCCAACCAGTACTGGAAGGCCTGACTCGACAGATGAGGGCTCAACTTGGAAATCAACAGCTCGCGAAACTGCGGGTGCTTTCCCTCACCAAAGATTTTCCACATATCGCGGTGACCCAGCGCGCTGTAGCAGGCCACCTTCAGTTCCAGCAGGTGGTTTTGGTTGGGGTTCAGGTCGACTGCGTGCACACGGCGAGGGTTCTTCTGCAGGTAATCCAGAATGTTGTCTCCGGCACTGGTGATAGCCAGGATCACATCGTCGTGTCCAATGCTCAGCAGTCGGTGATCAACGCGAGGATCTTCCCAGGTGAACGCGTAGATATACTCATTCTGGAACTGGGTGTGCTTAGGCAACATATCATTGTAGTGGATGCGGTAGTGGTGGTTCTGATAGAAAGAGCAGGGGAGCGGCAGGTTGGCACTGAGATTGATCACGGCCGACTCGTAAGCCTTGGATCGAATCTCGCCGGTGCTTTTTTCCATTTCCATGTCCATCTCCTTCTGGTGGTTGGCCGGGTGCAGATAGGGCGACTCGGTGAACGAGGCATCCAGCTTCTCGATGGTCGTTTGGCTAGACCGAGTGGAAGCAAACTCCTTGGGGCAACCGACGAAGATGTAGTACGGGATACCACCCAGGAGGTAGTTACGCTCACTGGCCGAGATCACGGTTCCAAACTTGTACTCGAGGTAGTCACGGCGGGCAGCCTCGAGGCTCACCCGGTCAAAGTCAAACCATGCGCGCCAGAAAACTCGACCGAGCCAGTTCACGTGGCGGTTGAAAGCACCACCGGTGTAGTTGCGAGTAGAGACATCGACGATGCTCTGGACTGCGACGGAGGTTAGTTTGCCTCTAGATGTTGGCTCCATTTGCAAAAGCCACTTACCATAGAAATCACACACTCCAATGAGACCAGTTGGTTTCAGGCGCGAGGTTAATGAGTCCACGACGCTGTAGTAGTCTAGAGTCGCAAGTCAGCATATGAGCACCGGAGGCGAACTGGAATATTTTCTACCTGGAATCATGGAAAGACTGTAGCTCATGGTAATCATGTCCGCACGATCGGTAGGGGTGTCCGCCGACCGTGGGTCAACCTGTTTTTCAGGAAGCTGAAAAGATCGTGCGTCCTGGCAGATCACGGTAACATTCTTCCATCCCAGACGCTGAAAGCGCTGGCGGGCAACATCGCAGAGGGACGGGGAGAGGTCGACGAGGTAGACGTGGTCGAAGAACTTGTCGACCGGGAGGAAAGTCGACATGGCTTCGATATTGTAGCTACAACAATAGTCAGTATTTTCGTAGTTCCGACGACTCAGCTCTTCATGCTGATTCTTTTCTTCTTTGGGCTACTCACCCAGTACCACCACCGATCTGTATAACAAGCACATATCAGCATTTGCTCGGGATTGAATGCACGCCACATCATCACTTACATCAACCCAGACAGCTTTTCCGGCCTTGATTTCCTTGCTCTCGACCTTGTGCTTCAGTTGTGCTGCGACCAGACCCAGCATGTCCTCGCGGCCTCGGAGCAGTCGACGGCGGGTGGCATCGTAGACGCTGGCCTATTGCGGTTTCAAACAGATCAGTGTAAGTTTCAGACACGTCACGGGTGTTCTGACTGCGACACTCACCTGAGTTTTGTAAAAGCTTTCGAGGGCCCCCTGCTGGTCCTCGGCCTGCTTGTCGTGGGGCTTGAGGAAACTGGCCCAGACGAACTTGAGGTAAGTGAAAACACCATGGTTGAAATCGACCTTGACCTGCTGGGAAGAAACGAAGAGGACGAGGCCTACGAGGGTGAAGACGAGGAAGGCCACGCCGGCGATGTAGAGATGTAGCCAGTCCATTGCGTTGGGGGGTCTGCGGTGAAAGAGGAATGGAAAGGAGCGAGAGGCAGGAAGGCACGAGGGGTTCGCATTTCATATATGGCCGATATGGTATACTTCAGACACTACGAACGTGCGAGTAGCGCCGATTGTGGGCAGGAGGGGCACGCTGGCCGCATTTTGAGGCGGCAGGTCCTATCAGGGCGACACATGGAGCACATGGGTGGGGGGCTGCGATAACAGTTGGAGGCGATGCTTCACGGTGCTGGCACACGCAAATGGGACGGAGGCAAGATAGGGCCGCTCTATGAAGAGGGAGGTACTGGGTACTTGCCATTTCTAGAGATTCTCTATGACAAGGAGGTACCTTCTCCATCTATAGGAGAATCCCCAGGGGAGCTCAACTTTAAGCGCATTTGGCTTCGGCCGCCCTGCGTTAGTCGAGGCACCGGCCACTCACAGCCCGCGCCGGCGCCCGTGGGGGAGCCTGTTGGAGCTGATTGGCACCCACTGGCCCCGAACCAGTAGCCTATCAGCGGGGAGATCGCCGGCACATTCAACGCGCCCCGGAGTTGATGGGTGATCGAGTGCAGATCCAGTGGAGATCGAGAAGAAGAAGAAGGGAATTAACGATATTCGTGATAAATGGCTGGAGAAAGGTAGAATGCTCCTAGGAGGTATACTTAAGAGTGCAGCACGTAAGACTAGTAGCACTTGGGAAAGGGAGTAGGTACAACTGTATAGACCCAGCCGATCTCTCTGCGTTCACGGCCGGATATCCACATTCTTGAACTTCCCTCCCCCATTTCTCCCGAAGAGCCCCGCCATGCCGTGATCCAAAGGGTCCGCACTGCCCGTCTGAAGATCGTGTCGGGTGGCGATGCGCTGCTGATACCCACCGTTGATCCCCACGTTCGTCCCCTCGAGATCGTGGTCTGAACCCTCGGCCACCGCGATTAGCAGTTGTACATCGGTCCGGTATTGGAACTCCAGGTGATACCACCGGTTAGGCGAAACCCCCAAAGGAGAGGCCCTGGAGTACAAGACAGCGGTCTGGGCGCCGTCGTGCTGGCTGACGGTCATGTTGCCGATGGAAGCACTGATCACGTACTTGAACCCTCGCAGCGCGTTGAGATCGCCGCCTTCGGGAGACGCCGTCACATGGACCATCACACCAACTTCGCCCGAGTGGTCTGTCGTCAGTACATCGCCGGCAATGGTATAACACTTCCATCCGCTGGATCCTGTCACGGCAATGGCAAGCTGGTCCCCGGCCGGTGCGAATCCATACTCGTCGCCGTAAATGGAGCAGTCCGCTCCGAAATTGATCCAACCAGCTTGGTCATTCGCGGCAAAGTCGGATTTATAAGGCAGGACACCGATCTGGGCCTCTCAAGTCCGTTCCGAGCATTGGCCTGCATCCCCTTCGCTGGCAGGCGCCGTCAATCGAACCTTGCCATCGGGTTGTGCCAGCAGACTCGGGCTGTAGTTGGAATTGCAGGCACCGGTGCTGTTGCGGACATGCCATGGAGCGGGAGACCATGACCATGATCCGCGGCCGTAATTGCTGTTGGTAAAATCAATACGATGGTCTTGAGGCGCTAAAGAATCATTGTGGACATAGTATGCCGAATGGCTGGAAAGGACCACCTGCCGTGTGGCCGGATCCCACACTATATATGGACTCGAGCCGGGGTAAAGACTGTCGTCGGTTGAGACGGGCTTTCCCACATCGAACGAAGGGCCCCAAGTGGATCCATCCGGCGAGATCTTCACATATATCCGGCAGTTGGTCAAGCCGCAATACTCATAGCTCAAGATGTACTCCCCGTTATCCATCCTCGCCACGGTAGGCATGCCGGGACGATGACCTTAACTGGAACCAGCAGCGACAATCCAGAATTGGCCCCAATGGTCACCGCCGTTGACAGAAGTGGTCATGGCTACCACCTGGCTCCAATTGGCATGCGCAAGCTCATCGGAGAATACGACCACAAGCCTGTTCTGACTATCGAGGTAGAGAAACGGCTCCCAGATCCCATTCTGGAATGTCCCACCGCGCGCCCATTCTTTAGCCGGACTCCATGTTCGCCCGTGATCCTGGGAAGTCCACATGATGAAGGAAGTATACCTCGAATCGACCGGCAGCAGATTACCCACGAGCATCACGGTGCCTTCTGCAAACCGCCCAACTCGCCCAGGGAATTCGAAGATAAAAGGTTGCCAGAACCGCGTGCAAGGATGGCCGTTGCGTGTCTGCGTATCATTAACAATCGACAAAGCGCTCCAGGTTCTCCCGCCATCTGCACTCTCGCGAATGATGAAGCTTCCCGGTACCCCATTTGACTCCCCACTATCTGGCCCTGGCGTATATCAATGCTTCCACATTGTCAGGAGTGTGCTGTTCCGATCCCCGGCATGCTGGAGCTCAATGACGCGAGCGTAGCAGTTGGCTTCATTTTCTGTAGCTCGCTTCCAGAGATAGGATCCCTCGTAATCAGCGATCGCAGGTAGGAGAACGGCCGTAATGTCAAGTGCTCCGAGACGCCATAGCTGCACCAAGGTCGATGAGAGATCTCCTAAGTGAACGGAGACAGAGAAACGGGTCTTTTCGGTCACCGTGTCATAACGCAGCAGGTCCTTTTGCACTCACCTCGACCATATAGAGTTCCCCAGTCTCCTAGAGCGGGAGATATGCGCCAGGTGGAAAATTCGCCGAGGCCGCGGATGGCCGCCTGGATGTCCAAGAAACGGGGAGCATCCCATCTAGAAGCACGAGGCCCTTCATCTCACCAGAGATGCCCAGACCCAGCTAAATTCTGTTCCTCAAATCGCCTTCGGATAAGCAGCTCAATGACAGACCATGTGCAAAGGTTTCCTTTTATGCTAGACTCAGATTGCCATGCTTATGGTTTGTGGAGGTGGGTAGAGTGAGTCTCTCCACGTTCTCGCTAATCTTCCCGTGAGAGCAAAAACCGCAAGAAGACTTTTGTTTCGAAGTCACCGACAAGCATTTGTATCTCAATCGGTCGCTTTGTATGTGTCAGCACCTAGTGTTGTATGACGGAAAAATCAGCCGCACCGGGAACCATGCTCGCGTGTCCTGGCACGTTTCAACATTGGTTCGTTTACGCGAGGTTACCCCAGATGCAATCTCGACAGTCCATCATCGCAATGTATTATCTTTCGATATATTTACCGAGGGGTGAAGGGAGATAATCTCTTTTTCCGAAGACCCTGCGCCACCGTAACACCGGTAAGATTGCGGCCTCGTGGTCGGAATTTGAGGGCTATGGGCAGACCACGATTCATAGAACAAGCAAATACGACGGCATTTCTTCGGCAGCTCATTCTCTTTCAAGCTTTGAGAAAATTATACTAAAACAACAGCACGGGTAGAAGCTTCCGCAGAGAAACCCTCGAGATCTTCGGAGGGGTGAAGGCACCGTCATTCCGCTACCCGGGAGGCAACTATGCCGTGAACTCCAACTGAGCGGATAGTATTGTCTCAATGCAACCCACGGGTTGAGCAAGCCCGGCCGGATATTAACCCAGATACGAATTGGCGGCGCGGATGATCATGGGGACGACGACAAAAATCATACCAGGAACGACAGGATTTGATACTAAGCACCATAATTCCACGCGAGTTCTCAAGGACTACGTTCATGGTGCTAAAAGTATAGTTCTGGTTTATGCAAAAAGATGGATTAAATGAGACCCATGATCGTCTTTTTCGAGGTGTGTGTGGGATTCACAGATGTGCTCGGGCCAAAAAAATGCCTCCAAGTCACCAGGACGATGCAAAAAAGAAATCGTGGTTCCAGAGGGGGTCGAACCCTCGACTTTGGCGTTATTAGCACCACACTCTAACCAACTGAGTTATGGAACCCGATTATTGTGTGACCTTGCGGGGCTCGTGCATGGTGTCTTCGAAGCATTTGGCCAGTGTGTAGATGCGAGGTCAATAACACTTTCGATCTAGTCTTCTGGACTGACAACTTGATTTTGGATAAACTGAATATATCCCATCATCTGAGCCTCAAGTGCCATTTAAAACTCACAGTGCATTCTAATTATCCTCGTTATGTGGTGCGTGGCTCGGCATCGCTTCACACACGAAGTGGGGGTCAATAAAAAAGATGGCGCTAGAGGGCGCCAAAACCAGGCGTGCCGAGGGTGGAGTTATGTCGTCATTTGGGTTTGTCTACCCGAATGCATCCACACAAATCAATATTTTCTGCGTCTGTTCAACAAGCGGGTTCCATAACTCAGTTGGTTAGAGTGTGGTGCTAATAACGCCAAAGTCGAGGGTTCGACCCCCTCTGGAACCACGTTTCCTTTTTTCCTTTTTTTTCCCTGTCTGTGGCCGTATGGTTGCCCAGACTCCATCGTTTTTTTTGTCGGCGTTCACTTTGACCTATGTATGGTTGATGTGTTACACAGCCTTACGTGGAGCATGGCCGGGGCTTATGGCCAGGTCCAGGTTGCCCGCTTAAACAATATCTCTCTAATCAAAAAGAAAATCACGCTAGCGAGGTCGCAACACTTGTGAATACTAGTGGACAAAAAGACAAAACTAGATATCATCTGGCCGAGAGCTGTGAAGCCTCTTTACGTATAATTAGATTTGGAATTTCATTATCCAGTCCCCTTGACGCAAACTGGGTGAATTGGCTATATTTGCTGCCTGGTAGCGCCTTTAATATGTACCTGACAGAAATTCGTCCGCTTGAAGCCGATGAGTCATCACGGTTCATACTACGTTAGTTACTAAGTTACCAGTTTCAAAACAATAAAAACACTTATGCTCGATATCGATACTACTTCTGGCCGTGGGTATTTGAGCGAAGGCAACACTGAGTATTTCTTTCTATCCTTCGCCCTGGCATATCTAAGTACGGATATCAACGATCTCTTTGGGTGAGTATTCGAGCTACTAGCTGCATGAGACTGCCATATGCAGCAGTTCCGAGAGTAGGTATACCTGGATGGCGCTGATTTTCAAGGAAGAGGGGGGGGGGGTTGCAACTGCGCAAATGTTCATTTGAGACCAAAAGACTATTTTATACACATTTCAGATGATTTTGGGTAGTTTGTTATGAGACGAAGACTAGTAATTAGTCACCCGCACCAGCGCCCTCCATTGGACTCGGCAGAGATATTATGGGTCTCCTTATCGTCTCCACTCATGATACATTAAATCTTGCCCGTTTTCAACAATCTGGTTCCATAACTCAGTTGGTTAGAGTGTGGTGCTAATAACGCCAAAGTCGAGGGTTCGACCCCCTCTGGAACCACGATTATTTTTGTCTTTTGCCGATCCGATTCGCTCAGCACATGATGCCGAATGCTTCATTTTTTCCTTTCCTTTTCCTTCAATATTTTTCAAGACCCTCAAGTCGTCTTGGGCCGTGTAATCTGCGACATGTCGTTTCATTACAGTAATCTTCTGTTGGGACCGAATATAGAGCTAAAATCTTCATCGTAATATATATTGCGGACAGCGTAGTCAGACGGATCAAATATATAACTATTATGTGCAACGGAAACATCAACACTGCGCGTGGAATAACAATAGCGCACCCACAGACGTGGAGACAAAAAGCCTAGGCTGGTATTTTCAAAACTATTCTCCCCTCAACCTCCGATTTCTCGAGTCGCTCTAAGATATCATGAATCTCGGCTAACTCGAACACTTTCACATGTGCCTTTACGTCGCCTGCCACTGCCATTGCTAGAAGCTCGTCCATTTCTTTCGCAGTACCCGCCGAGTTTCCGACGATAGTGAGACCTGGAATGGTGATCAGAAGATATTGAGAATACAAGGAAATTGGACGGATCAAATTGACTCGACAGGTCCGAACACTCACCTCTGATAATCATATCGAATGGAGTAGCGGGTAGATTGAATGGAACACCTGGAATACCAACACACACCAGCGTTCCGAGCGGACGCAGCATCTGCACGCTCTGCTCGTATGCCCCTGGGCTATTGGCGGTACAGATCACGCTATGAGCACCGAGCCCAGACGTCAAGGTCTTGACAGCCTGAACGATATCAACCACGGTGAAGTCAAGGAAATGCTTGGCTCCCAAAGATAGACAAAGATCTTTCTTGGTTGCTCCTCTGTATACCGTCAGTGACGTTGAACCGAAACCAACACGCCCATAATTCAGTAGAAATGACTTACTTATCGATCGCGACCACATTCAATCCCTTCTTCGCGGCAATCTGCACCCCCTGGTAAGATAAAGTCAGTGTTTGGATATAGCAAAGGATATCGGGCTAGCTTGTCAAGCTTACATGTGTCCAAGACCTCCCCCAGCACCAATGACGGCGAGCCAATAGCCCGGACGAGGTTTTGTTTTCATGATCGAAGAGTACATGGCGATCCCGGCTGATGAACGTTAGTGAATTTGACGAGAAGAGTACTAAGGAATATTGAGTGCTAACCGCAAAGAAGAGGTGCTGCTAGCTCTGGCGAGAGTCCCTGGGGTATCCTCGTGGAGTGGATGGCTGGACTGACGATATATTCTATCGCATCGGCATTAGAATCTGTCCGCAGATAGATGCATTTGAGCACAACGTACGTTGAAACGTCCCTGGGACATTCTTCGCCTAGTCAGCTTTTGGGTTTTTGTACTCAGCATATTCCACTGGGAACCTACCGCGCCGGCATTCCTCTGCTTCGGACAAGCAGTATGGTTAATAGCACAAATTTCACAGCTGAGACAAGAGCTGTAAAGCCACCTGTTGTATCATAGAGTTAGTATTCCCGGTTGCTTTGAGATGCAGTTATCTGACTGAGCACTGGCCTGATGCCAACTCTTTCGCCAATCCATTCATTCCCATCGACGTCAGACCCGACTACGAGGTAGAATTTCGAGTCAGATTCGCATGAAGTCTGCCGTGAAGCTTTAAAGAACGCCACTCACCTGCGACCACCGTCCCCACACCCTCGTGACCAGCCACATCAGTCAACATGGGCGTATCACCCTTGATGCTGTGAACATCGGAATGACACACACCAGAGTATTCCAGCTTCACAAGAAGGTCCCCATCACCAGGGGCTGGTACTGGGTGAGTGCTGACAATATCCACCCTCGACGACGCAGATGCTCCGGATGATGCGACGACTGCCGCGATCTGAGTAGAGGGGATAGTCATTTCGGAGAGATAAACACACAGTCTCGCGAATTGAACCGGTATATGCCTTGACGAAACAAGACTGGCTATCAAATGAGCTGGAAATTTATGGTAGCAGAGGGAAGGGGTGAGTTGAACGCATGGACAGTGCAGTCCTTTGATAGGTGGCGGCGCCTACTTATGCCGGTTCACAGATGCGGGGGTTGTTGCATTTCCCTATCTCTCGGTTTCGTGGGAGAGCCTGCCCTGCTAGTCCTAGGCTGTCTTGAAGGCTCATACAGCGAGACTGAACTCCCAAGACCCAGGTCGAAATCCTCTCGTGTTTTAATACTAGTACAATTAAACCATCGCAAATGGGAGCAAGCCTTGAAGGAGTTGAATTAAACTATTATCCTTAACAGCCGCAAGGAGCTGACGCCCAAAATCATGTAGCAATATAAGACAAGGACTCTGTCGATCTGAACAGAGCCGAAAGGAAGAATCGACTCAGCACCCCCTGAATGCAGATAAGCGGTCCCCAAGCTGCGCGAGAAACTTGAGGTGCAAGGTATATCAAAGATTAAAATCTATCGCCCGACCACAAAGTTTCATTTCATGCGTTTTCAGCCTGGATGGTTTGCTTGACACGACAGCAGTTAGTATGCAAACCAACACAATTAAATCGGAGATAGAGGGACATACCACCAGCCAGTCCATGCCTTCGTTAATACCCTTGCCGTCAATGGCAGAACAGGCGACGATGCTCCAGTTGCGGTCTCGGAGCTCTCCCAGCTTCAATGCCTCCGAGATTTCACCTGCACCCTTGGCGCCAGGCTGATCCTGCTTGTTGGCAAATACCAGGAGCGCAGCTTCCCGAAGTTCCTCTTCGTTGAGCATCGCCGCCAGTTCATCCGCAGCAGTTCCCAATCGTTCTATATCTGTAGAGTCGATCACGAAAACGACAGCAGCAGTGTTGGCGTAGTAACACCGCCAGTAAGGGCGAATGGATGTTTGGCCACCAAGATCCTGCAGTCACAATTATATCAGAACAGGCCCAGAGAAAGAGCGCGTACCAAAATCACTCACCCAAACGTTCAAATTGAGGTTTCGATATGTGACCGACTCGACGTTAAATCCGATGGTGGGAATCGTGGTGACAACTTCGCCGATCTGGAGACGCGAGACATCAGCACGCAAAGTAACAAGCGCGCCACGTGCGCTGGACCGATTGTGTCCGAAGACCTACCTTGAGCCTGTAGAGAAGAGTGGTCTTTCCAGCGTTGTCCTAAACGCAAAACGGGCAATCAGCTTTTGGTTTTTATGGTCGTTTGCGAGCGAGTGTGTTCTCCTCGCGGCAGATTGCATTCGACTTACGAGACCCAGAATGAGAATTCGGATCTCCTTCTTGGTCCAGATCAGAGACCACAGACGCGATAATGAGGCACCCATAGTTGTGTATGGTTTGTAGAGGTGTCTTTGATGTCGGGTTGCCGAGTATTTCTCAGCAGTATGGCGGCCTGGGGGGAGCGGAGGATGAGTGATTGCGCGGATGGGCGGATGAGCGCAGGGTTGTGTCGCGGATGGGTGAAGAGGCGAGCAGGGGATCGAGATGAAAGTGGGCGGCCTATGATATAATCAAGGGAGGTCGATCGTAACAAAAAGCGACGGCCGAAGGTGAATGAGAGAAGGGCTCTGGTGGCAACCGCATTGGAGGGTGATCGGACCTGTGCGGTGGGCGGTCAATCGGCGAAGTGAATGGCGCCGCTTCTTCATGATGAACCCGTGCGGCGAGCTCCTTCCCTTCCCTCCGTCCTCCATCCTCCTCTCCCTGCCATTCCTCGCCCCCGTGCACAGAATCTTCTCCTAACGACCTCGACCCATCCGGCGACGAATCATCCGAAAACCGCATCGAACCCAGCGCGCGCGCTCCCTAGATTCATCCCGCACTTCAGAAGCACCAGCTTCCAATTGATCTACCTGTTCGGTCAATCGCCCCACACATAGATTGCACATAATGGTGGGCAAGAAATCGGGCAAGGCTCTTCGGGACGAGGGTAGGTGATCCTGACTGAGAAGGCCGCGATGCGACCGAACGACTGGAATGGTTGGCTAACAAGGAATCGGCAGGTCTGGAGCGAACGGACAACAATATGGACCTGTCGAGTTGGCCGCAAATCGCGGCCATCAACCAGAAGAATTACTACACGTAAGTCACTCTATCGATCTGACCTTGCAATGGGCTCTCAGAGAGATCGACCAAATGCTGATTGCGCCTTGTTCTTTCTAGTGACTACCTCAAGAGAGATGATCAGTACCTGGCGTTCCGGCTTCAGAATGAAGAGGCGCGAACCAAGATGGCCAAAAATGCGAAAGATCGAGACCGTGCCCTCGCCATGGCGAAGCCCGAAGTAACGGAGGCCGAAGCGGAGGCAGATGGCGAAGCGACCATGGAGGACGCCGAGGAGACACCCGCCGAGGCCATTGGATCGAAGGTGATTGTCATCCACGTTGGTAGCCAGAACTTGCGAATTGGTTTGTCGAGCGATGCCCTGCCCAAAACGGTGCCCATGGTGATTGCGCGCAAGTCGGCCACGAATGAGAGCGAAGACCATGATGAGCCTAAACCAAAACGGATGAAGCGGGAAGACGGCTCCGCGGAGGACCCAGAGAATCAATTTGGACCTGAGGTATGTGCAATAAAAATTGAGAACTAGGAGGTTATAAATGGGCACTCGCTAATGCAGGACTGAAGTGGTCTGCTGAGTTCAACAGGATGTCTTCCGATCTCAAAGTACGCATGCGACAAAACAAACGACGCATGTTGCCAAACTCCAAGGAAATGGTTGTGAACTTCAACCGAAGGACCTCCCCAGAGACCATCTCCGAACATAATGACCCATCTCGCGTCGAGTGGACTGAGCTGTCTAATCCCCCGCCAGAATACATCGTCGGACAAGACGCACTGAGGATCCCCGACTCGTCAAACCCCAGATACAAGCTATATTGGCCAATCCAAAATGGATGGTGCAATGAGCAAGACTACCAGAGCAAGAGAATGCTTTTCTTGGATATTTCATTGATTCTCGAAAACGCGATTCAAACTCAACTGGGCCTGACGAGTAAGAAGGAATGGCCTCAGTATTCGTGCGTCTTCGTTATTCCGGACCTATATGACAAGTCATACGTCACACAGGTTCTGGACATGCTAATGCGCGAGTTTGCATTTGCCCGAGTATGCTTCATCCAGGAGAGTCTGGCGGCAACCTTCGGCGCCGGCTTCACCTCGGCCTGTGTGGTCGATATCGGAGCCCAGAAGACATCTATCTGCTGTGTGGAGGAGGGTATGTGCATTGAGAACTCGAGAGTGAACTTGAAAATGGGTGGCCAAGATGTGACCCAAGCTTTTGTCAAAATGATGCTGCATGATCATTTCCCATACGCCGACATCAATCTTTGGAGGCGTTACGACTTTTTGTTGGCCGAAGAGTTGAAGAAAAGTCTTTGCACAATGAGCGAAGCCAGCGTTTCTCCTCAAGTGTTTGATTTCCATCTTCGTGTGTCTGGTCAGGATACTCAGAAGCACACTTTCAAGGCATTCGATGAAGTACACTTGGCCCCAATGGGTTTCTTCGAGCCGACCATCTTTGACAATGACGAAAAGCTCGGCGGCCGACGGAAGCTGATCGAACGATCCGTCGATATCTACGATGGCCAGCCCAATGACCCCGTTTCCGGCGCTCAGTCAGAAATTATGACTGCTCTCGCGCCTGCAATACCGGCTAGTGAAAAGACGAATGGAGAAGCACAGGCTGCACCTACCGACGCGCAAGCAACGCCCGCCCGACCTCAACAGCCGAATGCAATCGGCCGAGTCCAGGAACAAGAGGCTACTCCTCACTCTTCTGTTGCTGGATCCCCGGCACCTGAGGCTGCACCAACTCCTCAGGCTGCCGGAGCTGGTAGTTCTGCGGCACCTGCACCCGCTGCTCAACCTGCCCGCCCCGCTGTGGAATACAGAGACGATATCCTTCCAGTTTATGCTTTGGACAACGCAATTCTGACATCGATTGCTCACGCCGCCCGCTCCGATGAGAAGAAGATGCGTGATTTCATCGGTGGAATTATGATTGTCGGTGGTGGTAGCCTCACTACTGGCTTCAACCTCTTCCTAGAGGAACGGTTGCAAATCCTTCGTCCTGGGTTCGCTAAAGAAATCATGATCGGTGTACCACCGAGAGACCTAGATCCTCAAGTGGTGGTCTGGAAGGGTGCTAGTATCTTTGGCAAGCTGAGCGGAACTAACGATAGCTGGATCGGCCAGTTGGAGTATGATCGGTTAGGGCACCGTCTACTGGCTTACAAGTGCATGTGGGCCTACTAAATGTTTCGTGATATCTATTTATCATTTTCTCTGTTTCAAGGATAGGTGTTAGGGATACAAGGAATATGTGATTCAGTCAAAAGCTTTCGTCTATAATGGAAATATGGAATCCCTCAAGCTTTTTAATCTTTTGAGCCCGTTCGTACATACTACCTATATATCACGTGATGGCACCAATCACGGGATCTCCCTCTGCGGTATCATCCCAAACAGATAGGCGGTTGCGAGGGGCAGAATGACTGGATGGGAAGTGAATGGACTGAGCCTCGGACGCCGAGCAATGACTGCTCGTTTTAGTACAGCCCTGAGGGGGTCTATTCATTCGGAATTCTTTGGTCGAATTTAATCAATCCGAGCCTTTCTTCTCGGCTATATTTTTTTCATATCCGTTATTCGCCATCTCTTCTCCCCACACCAGCTTCGAAACACGGTGAGTCTTCTCCGTCCAGCCTTTGCGCGCGTACCTCTATCCAGTGCGCATTGGGAATTTCCAGCCAGCTCGATTCTGACGAAAGAGAAGTGACAACCACCGGAACTCAAAATGTCTAAATCCAAGGACTCGCACTCCTCTGGGGGCTTCCACCAGGAATACATCGCCTCCCTGCGCTATCGCAATGACCTTCCTCCTCCGGACATGCCCCCTAAGCTTCTCGATATCCCACATCAAGGCATCGGGCGCTTTGTGACCCCCACATTTTCGTCAAATCTGTCGCGTCGCGAGGAGCCCAATATCGATGTGGACGCCGAAGGGGGTATGCCGATTGACTTGGTCGGTATTCCTGGCTTGCATTTGGGCGATGAGAGTGGTATGTGAATATCCTTCAAGTACAGAGTACGAGAGTCAATTGGCTGACACAAACAAAGCTATCATGGCCCCCGAGCACCCTCAACCGGTCGATCCTGCCGATCTGCCCCTCCTGATGACTCTTGACCAACTTCGCAATCCCGCCCCGAAGAACACGAACGTCAGTTTCCTTCGTCGCACTCAACACATCTCGGTTGACCGAACCCTATCGATCAACAGCTCCGCCAGCGCCAGGCCACATGCGCGGTCGACCAAGAAAGAGAAAGTCTCGGTGGACGATCCGAAACACATCAAGAAGTACATCCAGAAGGGATTCGATATTGCCTACCCCGAGAGCAAGTACACAGGCCAAGATACAGAGGCTCGCATCCAAGGCCTTGCTCCCACCAAAGCAGAGACCGATGCCTGGGCGAAGCCTATCCACCCCGACAACACGAAGCTCAAGCCCGTCGGATTCTTCTCAGTGCTTCCGGATATCAATGGCTTCCCCGACACGGGTGGCTTCATGCAATTCAAATTTGACAAGGCGCCGGTTCCTGCAGTCGGAAGCAAGCGCGACAAGCGTATGGATGTTGCTATTCTTCGCCCTTCGGCACCCGAGCAGCGCGTTTGCCAAGAGCATGCCTCGAAAGTGGCCTTGCACAAGGCCAACCCGCAGTCTTACCCAGATCCTGGTCCTGTCCCATTCGACTATGAGCTCCTTCTCCCCGAGAAGCCAGAGTATGCTAAGAATGTGAGGAGCAGCATGGACATGAGCAACCCGGATCGCGATAGTGAGGAGCTTTATACCCACGAAGGACCGGATGGACAGAAATTCCACCGCTTCGATCGGCTCCGCAGATTTGGAACGAAGGCCCAGACCCTCAACACTGGAAGCAAATACACCGATATTGCTGTCACACTCAACGCCGGCGGCAAGACAAAGCCGCAAGGCGCCTACTACTACCCTATTCTCGGCAAGACTCGCGTCAAGCCCGATCGCTCTCGCACTATTTTGGAGGCTGGTCTTGCCCCTGGTTCTGCAAATGGCGCTGAGACGGAAGACCAGATTGATCAGATGCAAGTGACAGTCCGTGATCCCGACGATGCTGAATTGTATAAGCGTGCCCAGCATCGCGCCAACATCGACCCCAAGTTCGGAAAGACTCTCCCCCCGCCCCCTGAGATTCCTGAGGAGCAAGAACAGAAGCAGGAGGAGCAGGGCTCTCCGGAGGCAGAGCAGCCTGCCGAGGGTGAGGCGGACGATGAGGACACCCGGATGAGCGATGAGTAAATAGGCTCGGGTGATGAGGCTTATGCTGTGGATGGGCTTTTTCTTTTCTTGCACATTGCAACTTCGGTGTATGTCGGGGCCTGGCGTCAGGGAGCGAGCCAAAAAGGCGTCTGTATTCTAGAAATATTTATGACCAATTGAATGGTACAAAATGAAAAGCACTGCCCTGGCTACTGAATGTCATTTCAATCCAGAATAGCATCGGACACTCGTAGTCCATTCAGCCATATATGTGATATGTAACTTAAGATCTGATGCATAAAATAATACCACCGAAAATATTAGCCCGAAGGCAAGGAAGCACTGGGTTGTGTTGAACTGCTTCGATCAAGAAAAAAAAAAAATTTTTTTGTCATATCACACATGAAATTCGTTCCATATAAACATACTATGCAGTATCTACTCCAAGCCACGGCCAGCCGCACCATCACTATCCCAACTATTCTACATAGCCTGATCCTCAGGCTGAGCATCACCAGACGGAGTCCCACATTTATACTGCTCCAAAGAACGGTTGATACCAACAATACCCCAAGCGAAAACCGCCATTTCGCGTATAGTATCCATAAGCTGATGGGCCTGGGGGTCTCCCGAGCCGCTCTGATTTGCATCAGTCTGGAAGGGAGGCCTGGCAAAATCGAGGTACCACTCGAGGCAAATCCGGTGCTGGAGCTTGATCCAAAGCCCGAACCCGAGCTCGATGCGACTCCTGAACCTGATGCTGAGCCCGAAACTGAGCCTGAGCCAGAGCCAGATAGACAACTCGACATGGAGTCATCTCTGCACAGGGTCTTGTGTTCTTCTGGGTAGGTTGTACCGTGGGCGGTCGTGGGCGGTCGGGGATATGGGGTTGGCCCGTAGGAAAGAACAGGCTCCAGAGCCCAGGGTGCCGCGAAGAGGCCGCTGGAATATACCGGGACCGGCTGTGGTGGAAGCGCGGCGGTAGGGATGGGAGCCCGAGCACGGCGCAGAATGACGACGAGTCCATCCGATGTACAAGAGGCGACAGCCTCCAGCTCCACCGAAGGCAAGGGGTTACCGGATGGATCTGTACGTCCACCCGCGGAGGCGAAACCCTCGTTCCCCGGCATATCTATATCTTGCAAGGGATTACGGAACCAAAAGCGCAGATATGCGACTGAGTCGTTTGCTTTCGCGCTCTCGAGACATAGAACTGCATCTCGCAGGCAGTGCTCCTGGATGCAATAGAAGAAGCTCTTCGAGACTAGTTGGTGTGGGCTCAGTCCGAGGATCTCTTCCACGCCGGTGGTGGCGTACATGATAGCTGCGGTGCGCGTAAAGCGATTGACGAAGAGAGCTGCGCGTGGCTCATGGAGTGGCTAGGCGAGGCGCCGTGAGAATTTATCAGAGATGAATGTGAGCATGTGGTAGCGCGGGTCATTAGGAGAAGAATCAAAAAGCTGGCGGACGATAGGAGCATCCACGGCGCGCTCTGCAAGTAAGAGTCAGAACCAAGTAGTACTAAAGAGCCAAGGTGATGTCTTTAGATCTCATGCAATATGCACATACTTTGCGTTCCCTTTCCTCGTCCATAGACGGTGGTACTTGCGATCAACACATCATAGACAACAGTAAAGACACACTCACACCCGACCCAATATCCATTCTTATGCCGAATGGAACAATAATTCAGCACCGCAGCCTTGTCCAGCCGCACACCGCGGCCATGCACGCTGCGTGCAAAGGGAAGTTCTTGCGGGTGGAAATAGTCCCAACACGAGCGGTTCAGCACCTCATGAGGCTGATAGCCCAGCACCACCTGGATGCTATCCGAGGCATAGCGGATTGAGGCGTCGTGCGAGAGATCTGCAATGTAAGTCAGAACCCACTATTACTCAGTTCCGGTCGCTGCCGCAGACTTGGAGGAAACTTGCCGTGGATTGTGATGAAGGTCGTGTCCATTGCTGCAGAAGAGTGGAACCGCTTTACCCCGCGCCTCAAAAGTATCGTAGAGACAAGCCAGCAAAGCGAGGAGACACTACAGAAGAGACCCCTCCAGATACCACTAGAGTGGGATTTGATATATCCCGCGCGTCTCTGGAAGGAAGAAGACTCAGGATCGGGGGAGTCCGCAGGTCAAAGTTAGCACCGACAGGGGTTCCGCCGGTGGACACAGGTCCCAACGGGCGTCAACCGTGGATCGCGGGGAGGAGATTCAGGGACAATCGCATTATTAAAATATCGTTGAATTAGCTATATCGATACGTAAATACAGGTCTATGTTATATACATCTATGGTAGAAATGCAGACTGGTCGTGAACGTGGGACTCATCGCAGCGCATATTGCAGCATCATGCCGAGGCTCCCTTCTCTGCGTGGCCGGGCTCGGTTTGGAGGGCATTCTTCTCTTCGCGGTAGTTGTCGACGACGTCCGCCTCGACCTTCTCGGCAAAGACGTCCACGTGGGCCTTGGCGAATTTGCGAGCGCTGGTCTTTTGCTCGAAGAGCATGTCCAGCTCGGCGAAGGAGCGACCCATGGGCTCCGGCACGCGGAAGTAGGTATAAATAATGCATAGGAAGCAGATGCCGCCCCAGAAAAAACCGGCGTAATTGCCCCAGTTCCATGCACCGGGGTTCAACATGTAGGGGGTCAGAACGCCGCAGACGATGGCAACAATGTTGTACAGGCAGCGGCCCAGAACAACGGTCTTGATTTGAAGGCGGCGGGTCGACAGCTCGGCCACGATTGAATAGCAGACGGTCCCAACGGTTAGCTGGTAGAACAGAGCCCAGATGAGCATCAGAGAGCCAGTGGCCATCGATGCCTGGTCACGGTGAGACTCCGGAACAAGTCCGAGGAAACCCATGATCAGCAGCATAGCACACAGTCCGCACAGTCCATACAGACAGAGCGTGCGGCGCCCAATACCGAGTGTCATCAAGAACCAGGCACCGAAAACGCCCAGCATGTTGATTCCGTACTGTCCCATGGCGAAGGAGTAAGAGTTGGAGGAGCTAAGACCGGCTTGCTCGAGGAAGTAAGTCGAGTAGTTGGAGAAAGAGTTTCCACTCAGATTCTGAATCGCCCAGACCATGCACACAATCTCCGTCCGGCGTCGATCGGTACCCTTAAAGCAATCGAGATAGCTCGCTCCACTAGTGATTTTGGCCTCCAGGGCAGTCGTGTGCACCATCATGGCAATTGTCTCATCGGCGTCGAAATCTTCGTTGCGACCCTTGTTGGTCAGTCGCTCCAATGACTGCTTGGCGTCCGCGGTGCGTCCTCGTCGAACCAGCCACCAAGGTGACTCGGGGGCGAGCGTAATGGCGACAAACAGAGGCAGAGGCCACATCCATTGCAGTCCATACGGAATGCGATAAGCCCACTCATCACTTCGGTTCAACATTCCCTTGATCACACCAATTCCAATGAGCTGGCCAAGACCCCAGCAGAAGTTGACATAGGTGGTCAAGTAGCCACGCAAGGCGACCGGACACACCTCGGAGGCGTAGGTGATGGTCAACGTCTGGAAAACACCCCAGGGAATACCGCACAGAATCTCTGCCGCCAGCAGGGACTGCACGTTCTGGGCCGTGAAGAAAATGGCCGTCCAAGCGCTCACAAGGATCAGACAGGCCATCAGGGTGTACCGATATCCAAAACGCTCCGAGGCCCAACCGTTGATGAAGAGACCGATGATTTCGCCGGCGTAGGCTCCGTTGCTCAGACCTGATTGCCACTGGAGACAATCCTGTTAGCCATGGCATGATTCCTGCCACCCGCACAAAACTTGACTTCTCAAACAGAAAAGCCCTCGCTGCGGGGTTCAACATGGAGATGATTTTTGACTTACCCGTGCCGGCACTTGGTAATCACCATTTGGCTGAAGCTCGCCGTACTTGCGGTTGAATTGAGGAAAAGCGTAGAAGTTGTTCACCAGACTGATGTCGTATCCCTCCATGGCAATACACGTCGAGATCAGAATACTCCACGCGACCGCCTTGGGATAAATCTTGATACCCTTCCATAGGCCCATCTTTCGCTCCTTTTCTGTGGCGGCCCTGGCATTCTGGATGATCCTCTGCATTTCCGAGTCGGCCTCGTTGCCGTCGGTGGAGGGGTAACGCCCTAAACCATTGTCCATCGGGTCAATGGCATCGTGCACCTTGGAATCGGCCATGCTGGATCGGCGAGGGCGAGCCGGAGTGGAGGGAAGGTCGAAACGCAAGGTAGGAGGGAAGGAGGAGTGGGGGGTGGGAAGAAAGTTGGAGTCGAGAGTGCAGTCAAACCGGACCAAGGTCGGAGGTCGGCGGCAGTCCAGAAAAAAAGGTGCGTACCCACCAGTGGGAACGCACGCGATCACTCAGGGGCACGAGGGTTTTTGTGTCCCCGGAAAAAGCTGGGCCCAAGCAACTTGGACAATTGAGGCTAGATAAACTGAGGAGCGAGAAGGACGTTGCGGGGAACGCGGGCTGCAAATTTTCGCGGGATCGAAGCTTGGCTACGGGCTGCCACTTGACGGTCTTACCCCGGAATTGTACAGTATACAATCTCGAGGTCGTATACACTGTTTCGGAGTATACCCTATGGTGGTTTAATTTGTAATAGCCCGAGACTGCAAATGTTTCGTTGTACAATCGTATACTGTCAGAACCTTATCTCGTGCCTGAACGTGCCTGTCAGCCACGATGCGCCGCGCATGCGGAATGTGGCACGGCCGCATCGGGCAAGTCCGCGCCGTTTCAGGTACGAGGTTGCACTACAGGAGGTGGCCAATGGGATGGCATTATGAACCAATAAAATGAATCAGGGTATTCAATTATAATAGTATTGTGTACTCGGTAAACATCGAGAAAATATTTTACGGAGCCACGCTAAAATTGACCTTAAAAGCTACCTCAAGTGCATCGCGGGAGCAGGTGTGGATCACCGATCAAGCGATCCATATCTTCGGCCCGGATGTGAATTGAAGCATCCACCCCATCCTCCGTCCATGCAAGTCGTTCCGACGAAGGCCTCGATGGATCGGACGGCGGCGCATCCTTGATCAGCACATCCCCATCCAAATCGGGAATTACCCCCTCGGCATACCGAATCCGAGAATCCAGCCCGAAATCCACATCGTATATCCCGATGCGAGCCCAGCTAGTCACAATGAGGTGGCGAGAACCCATGAACGCCTGCCAGATGCGTTGTGGTGCTTTCTCATATGCCACGCTGTGAAGATGAGCGGCGAGTGCTTCTGGGCGGCTGATTCGTTTGATCGTCTGGCGAATACGTTGCGCGGCAGATCGCGCTTTCTCATTCTCCGGGACCTGCGCCAATGCCAGTTCCGCTCCGGTCAATTCGACGTTGATCATCAGGATAGGAGAGCCGATGAAGTTATCTCCGAGTTGAAGGGCGGGGCGGGTGCCGTAGGTGAGATTGCAGTGTACTAGTCCGCGATCCCTCTGTTGATTGCGGGCGCGAGCGATGCATGACCAGACATGAGCCAGGATTGCATCGTGACGACTGATGCGGTCAGAGGAAGCCTCCTCCGTGGTCTGGTTTGTTGCATTTTTCCAAATCCAATCGACCTGGTCACGGGTGAAATGGACTGTGTAATGGGAAACGGGAGAGGCAATATCCCATTCTGACCACTGCATCGTCTTGCCTACTGGTGTCAAGTCTTCGTCCCGGAATGGTTCAGGGACCTCTTGTGGCCAGGGACACTGGGCCGGGGCAGCCCACCAATCGAATCGATGTAGAGGGAGGGCATTGATCTGTTCTAGCACCTGTGAGTCTGCGTCCTCTCGATTGATATCCCCGGCAGCCATTGAGTCCAGGCGCTCAGGCTCGAACACAGGTGCTAGAGACGGCTTCGGAATGCCTGCGCCTGACAAAACCCAACGACTGATTTTCGCCCAATCTTTCACGAAGTATACAAGCGATTGTATGTCAGCCAGCGGATGGGCGATCTTCGCAGCCAGCGTGAAGCCACCGCAGGCCAGTTTTGTTACCTGGACCACACATGATGGCGGTAGAAGTCCGGCAGCATCAGGCTTCAGGGTTTGGATCGCGCTGGACAAGCGCCCACGGTGTATGAGACTATCCAGAGGAACTTTTTGGCGATCTAAAAGAGGCTGCTCTTTCGTCCGTGATGCAGGACACAGTGATTCAATAGTCGCGGTAGAAATGGCCGTGATGAACTCGACCCCCGGATCTTGAGCGAGCCCATAATGTGCATACACACGACCAAATCGACGGGAATGAGGTGGAAATTGAAGTGTCTCTGGTTCCAGTTTGGTCGAGTCAAGGGCTTGGATGCTTTTGAGGAGACCGGCCAATTGGGGATAATCATCCAGGACGATCCGGAGGGATTGGCGAAAGTGTTCGAACAAGTCGAAAATATCCGTCCGAGCCGCCTTAGGCTGATCGAATAGCCAGATTGCCGTGGTCGAAGAAAAGTCTGCGGTTGTCGCATCCAACAGTGAGAGAGGCACTGCCTTCTCGGCGGATTTGGTATTGGGGAACAATCGTTCCGACTGAACCACGGTGGTTTCGATAGCCACGATGCTCCCCTCTAGCCCTGTACACTGTCTCGCTCACATCGCGGAAGGTGAACCCGCATTAAATACTGCGATGAGGTGACATCCAACAGCCTCATCTCATTTCTGGTGGAGACGATGCATAGGCAGCCGGTGCTTCTTGGCAGTCTGACTCGCGCGTCCGCTAATCCGCAATCAGCCCCCGCGCGACATTCCCGCCCCGAGGATTGGCTGGGATATCATGGGAGATGCCCCTAATTTTTGAGGCGTCTTGAATCACGATGATTCACTGCGACTCTCGCGATATGCATCGCGGCATTGAACTAACTCGAAACGTCGAACTTGGATCGACAGCCGTAGGCTAGTCAGGATGATATCATAGTCGAGAAACCGGAGATCTAAAGGATGTCGCAGCGATCTTCTTTGCGCCTCCATTTTTCAAACATATCTCCATTTTCGAAACCAAAAGGCTGGAGGCACAAAAAGGCTCAAAGATTCCTGGGATTTATTCAGATCCAACTCGTTGATCACACTATTCACCATGTCTTCCGGCGGGAACCAGAACAACCGTGAGTTATACCTGCATGCCTATGACCATGGCACATCCTGCATGATAGACCAATAGCCATCAAAATACTCGTGCCGAATTTCGGAGATCAGAATATCAGAGCTGACATTGACTCTAACAGCCAGTTTCTTGGGCGGTGTTGGCGAGGCCATCGGCAAGACAGCCAGCGGCGCCACCAGTACAGTCGGATATACTGTGAGCGGCCTTGGGGGTGCTGCAGGAGGTGCTGCATCAGGGATTGGCCAAACAGTCGGTGGTGCCAGTGAGGGACTTGGAAACGCTGCCAAGGGACTAGGACAGTCCGTCAACAAGACTGTGGGTGGTGAAGAGCCGAAAAAGGGATCAGACCAATAAACAAATGCTATTGCTTGAAGATCCGGAGTTTGAAGCCAACTTGGGTCGAAAAAGGGCGACGGCTCTCTGAAAATGCAGGAACTGTCAGCTCTTCTAAAGTAATAATATCACATGGACTATTTTTATCATCAGAATACTCGAAATATATCATACATCGTCGCAGCATTTTTGAACTACAAGATCAGGCGAAAATATAATTTGCCCAGCACCGGTTGGCATCGTAGATGATCGAATAGATGATTGGATAAGCAGCCGCAACACATTGGGCCATACCTACAATAGCATAGAATGAAATGTACCGGGGTAGGCAGATCGGTTAGCACTGGTTTACATTGTAGTGTCAATATGTATGAAGTCGTTTGGAACAGTGACATCACATGATGGAGATCATGGTGAAAACTGATTTCTCAACGGCATCATATTCGACCATGCCTGGCCACGAGCTATTTGAAGTCATGATTATTTAAACTCTGGGGTCGAGACCTCGCCAACGATTTAGTTAGGATGAGCTATGAAGCCGTACTGCAAAGCTGGAAATATTTCCCTTTTCGGGTGATTTTCGGATAAACCTGCTTGTTTCGAAAGTCTGCGGATTGGACTTGCCCAGAACGATTTGAGTGCGACCAGGATGAGACCCCGCTGACTGATTTTATTGGATTTAATATGCAAGAACCAGAGCTAGGAATACGATTGTCCTGCAGTCTTGTCGCGAGTTTGTCAGAGATCGCTGACATCCGCCCGCTTCTCATTGGGCGTTGCATAATCCGATCCAGATCGATGCTATTCGCACCCCAATTTGCCAGTCTTATTCTACTGGTCATTGAGAAAGTGTATTGAGATATCTAGTTCATGGGTATGTTGGTATGTTTTAGCTATTAGTATGTGAGAAATTAAATGTGGATGAATGCAATGGCCATGACAGTAGGTACAGTGGACTGGAATCTTTATCTTGGTACGCAAACACGAGTGGGTCCTATGGCTTCATGTTTTTTTTTTCCTTTGCCTGCATCCCCACTGGGCTACGATATTTGATAAAGTGTACCCGCAGCCGCCTTTCACACTTCTCCAATCATTCATTACTCTCTGAGAGAGACACGTTGCCACCATGAGTCACGACGACGAGCCTAGTATGTGTTGCATCTATCAATGCTTATTCCAGCACCTGCCAGCTTCAATATTGACATTATCTGCCAGAGACCTACCGCTACAATGAGAAGCCGGTCTACACGGCCTCCAACGGCTGCCCGGTATGTCACTACCGTGTGTGTAAACCCACTGATCGTTTCTAATTCGTGAACAGGTCATGGATCCCCAGGCCGCCCAGCGCGTGGGCCCTAACGGTCCTTTGCTGCTCCAGGACTTCCACTTGATTGATTTGCTCGCTCACTTTGATCGTGAGCGCATTCCTGAGCGAGTTGTCCATGCAAAGGGTGCCGGTGCCTATGGTGAATTCGAGGTGACGGATGATATCAGCGACATCGTTAGTCTATACCAGCTCCGAAGTGCCTTCATGGGGTCGTGTGCCAATCTAACTTCTATACCTAGACCACTATCGACATGCTCAAGGGCATTGGAAAGAAGACTAAGCTGTTGACTCGCTTCTCGACTGTCGGCGGTGAGAAGGGCTCCCCCGACAGCGCTCGCGACCCCCGCGGTTTCGCCATCAAGTTCTACACGGAAGAAGGCAACTGGGACTGGGTCTTCAACAACACCCCGGTCTTCTTCCTCCGTGACCCGGCCAAGTTCCCCATTTTCATCCACACCCAGAAGCGCAATCCGCAGACCAACCTCAAAGATGCCACCATGTTCTGGGACTACCTCTCCACCCACCATGAGGCAGTCCACCAGGTGATGCACCTCTTCAGTGACCGCGGTACCCCGTACTCTTACCGCCACATGAATGGCTACTCTGGCCACACCTACAAGTGGGTCAAGCCTGACGGCAACTTCAACTATGTGCAGATTCACTGCAAGACCGACCAGGGCAACAAGACCTTCACCAACGACGAAGCTACGAAGCTCTCCGCCGAGAACCCCGACTGGCACACCGAAGACCTCTTCAACGCCATTGAACGCGGCGAGAGCCCCTCATGGACCTGCTACGTCCAGGTCCTCAGCCCCGAGCAGGCTGAGAAGTTCCGCTGGAGCGTTTTCGATCTGACCAAGGTGTGGCCGCAGAGCGAAGTGCCTCTCCGTCGCTTCGGCCGCTTCACCCTGAACAAGAACCCGCAGAACTACTTCGCCGAGATCGAGCAAGCTGCCTTCTCTCCGTCACACATGGTTCCCGGCGTTGAACCTTCCGCCGATCCCGTCCTGCAGTCCCGTCTCTTCTCCTACCCCGATACCCACCGTCATCGCCTGGGAGGAAACTACGAGCAGCTCCCAGTCAACTGCCCGCTCAAGGCATTCAACCCTACCCACCGCGATGGGTACATGAATATCCACGGCAACTACGGCGCCAACCCCAACTATCCTTCCACCTTCCGCCCATTGACCTACAAGCCTGTCCAGGCCAGTCAGCAGCACGAGAAGTGGACCGGTGCTGTCTTATCCGAGCAGCTCCCTGTTACTAGCGAGGACTATGTGCAGGCCAATGGTCTCTGGCAAGTCCTGGGTCGCCAGCCTGGTCAGCAGGCGAACTTTGTGAAGAACGTTTCGGGCCATCTTTGCGGTGCACACGAGCGCGTTCGCAAGGCCACCTACCAGATGTTCGCTCGGGTGAACAAGGATCTCGGGGCTCGTATTGAGGCTGCGACGGAGGCCAATGTGGCGCCCTCTGCTCGTCTGTAGGAATATTGTCGCATTGCTTATATCGATTGTACGTACATTGTTGTCACAATAAGGACCCCGAATGGAGTTATGAGCTTGTCTGATACCACGCGCCGCTTCCCGATGCTACCTTCATTACCCCCAGGTAGAGTGGATTCCATACACCCGGAACAATACCGACTCGACTATCTCAAAACCATCATAAAAGACTGCAGAAGATGATGTCAAGTATCTTGAAATACGAGTAATCCCAGTTTATTTATCCAATTTATCTACCTAGACGCCTGCAGGATCTGCTTGCATGATATTCAAACATGGCCTCAAATGCATGGAGATTCAAGATCCTCTACAGATTTCTGCGACGAAGGCTAAACAACTCTCTAGTCCGGTTTAGGAGCAGCAGAAACCGTCAAGCCTTTCTCGGCAGTCGCTTCGTTGGATATACTCCACTTCACGCCTCGGAACGATTCGAATTGGCTTCTGTTGGCAGGTACCTGCAGATACCTTCTGCTGGGGAAACCACTCCCAAAGATGTTGGCACATCTCTTTAGATAAACAGATTCAAAGGCGTTACCAGTACACACTCTATTTTAAAAGAGTATAGGACCTTGCTCTTGACAGATGCTAATCCGTTGATTTTTAACTCAACCATCTAGCCGATACGCATTATTTGACTCAAACTGATTCAATCCCTCGTGATCTTCTGAGAGATGCTATTTGCAACCGCGGATACGCGTATGCGCTTTAGACGCTCGGAAAACAGCCAACATCTTCAATCCAGATCAATCTCGTTCAGATATTTGCTCCGGGTATAACAACGAAGCCCACGTGGCTCGTTTCCAGAAAGTCAATTATACCATCTGCCTCAAATTCAGGTATAAAGCAGCGAGATTATTCATCGTTAGGTAGTCGGAGTAATCCGATTATCGTCCTTTATCCCCAAACCCGAGCTTGTCAATACATCAAAAATGCATCCCAGTGCTCTGGTCGGCCTCTTAGCCCTCGCCGCTGCGGCCTCGGCCATCCCTTCCAATCCCCGACGCGCCCACTCGTCCTCAGTATCCAATCTGAAGTCGAAGATCAAGAAAATCGTGGTGCTCTGTATGGAGAACCGTTATCTTGATAACATGTTCGGTGGACAGACCATCAAAGGCCTGGAGAACCCGATCAACAATGGACCTTTCTGCAGCCGTACAACGTTACCGATCCTTCTGAGGGACACCGCTGCACCATCGCTAGGGACTATGAGGACTATGACATCGTCACCGATGACCCTAGTCACGCTGTCACTGGTAACACTATGGAGTTCTACAGCAACAGGACTCCCGACAATGCATTGATCGCCGACGGAAAGCTGCTTCCCAACACTAAGGGTTTTATCCACGAGCAGATTCACAACTACGGCTCTTCTGCCAATAAGTCTGTCTTGGCTCACCAAGTCATGAAATACTATACCGAGAACCAAACTCCTGTTTTTACCTCCCTAGTGCAGAATTATATCACTTTCAACGACTAACATTGATGTTGCGGGTGTAAGTATCATAGAGATCAATATGAATTCATTTACGAATTTCATTTGCATTGGCCGGTTCTAATCAAGTCGCCTCTTACGTCCCACGGATCCTAGCCGCTTTGCTTTTGTTGCGGAACCTCAGGCGGCCACGGTACCAATGACGGTACCTTCGGCACCTACGCATTCACCCAGCGCTCCATCTTCCAGCAACTGGGAGAAACCAACCACACCTGACTCAACTACTGGGACACCGCTGGTGGAACCGGCCCCGAAGCCCACTGGTTCTCCTGGACCAAAGCCACCAATAACGTTGACAAGATCGTGCCAATGACCCAATTCTACTCCGACGCCGCCAACGGATCTCTGCCGGAGTTATCCTATCTGAACCCGTCCTGGTGCGGCGTCGGAACCACCATGCACGACAGCGGTCTAATTTCAGACAGCGAGGCTTTCATCAAAAAGGTGTAGGAGTCTTTGCGTTCCAGCCCCCAGTGGAAGGATACCCTCTTCGTCCTGACCTTCGATGAGACGGGTGGTTTCACGATCACGTTCCGCCTCTTCTGGCGACTCATCCCGACAATTTGACCTACACCGAGAAGCTGCTAATGGCGAGGAGTACACATAGGAGTTCGACAGCTTGGGTGGTTATATTCCCACGCTGCTTATCTCTCCCGGGGTCAGCCAGGGCTTGATTGAGCAGAAGGGTGCCAACCACCAGGGCAAGACTGTGTCTTACTTGGCTAGCTCTCTTCTCCGTACTCTTGGTTGTCTCCGGGATTTCGAGCCGTCCACTCCCCGTATTAATGATACTGCTTCCTTTGAGCATCTCATTCAGAGCACGCCTCACAAGGATACTCCCTCGACGCTTTTAAGCCCTGTGGCCTTTTCTGATTAGATTTTCAGGTGAGTATCCTGTGATAGAGTAGTCTACTAGAAGTAGTGAACCATACGCAGTAGCACGGTATAGTCATACACAGATCCATCCTTGAAATGATCCAGTTATTTTGAATAAGTTATGTATTTGAGACCGAGATGACGGAAAAAGAGATGTCTAGGGGTTATGCTGAACCAGGGTATCGCCGATTTCGCCAGTTGTTCAACCACTGCTTCAGTCTGGTCCTAGGAAGCAAGGGCATATACCAATAGCCCCAAAGGATGCTTACTCAAGTCATTCAGACTCGCAATAGATGAAGCAGAAACACAACCGAAATAAAAAAAGAAAATGCCGCTTGTGTGATGGTCGTATAATTCGTGTATATCCAATCAAATCAATGGAAATCATGGAGCTGGGGTGATCATTGCCCACGCCGGGGATGGAGTTGCTCCTGGCATGGTCTTGGTTCGGTCGTAACACCCCCAGAACCAGCCTGGTGTGTGGCAGGTAGAGCTAGCCGGGGGCATAGTAGCCCCTGGCACGGTACTGGTGCTAGTTTGGTCATAGCAACCCCAGAACCAGCCTGGTGTATGGCATGTAGAGCTTGCTGCAGGAGGAATCGTGGTTGTTGGGTCATTGCAGCCAAACCAACCAGGTGTTCTGCAGGTTGAGGTCGAAGTTGTAGGAGTGGGAGTTGTAGTAGTAGTCGTAGTTCGATCATTACATCCGAACCATCCTGGCGTGTGGCACGTTGTGGTTGTAGTAGTGGTACTGGTGGTTGTCTGCGTAGTCCCAGTTGTAGACTCATCAAGACAGCCCCACCAGCCTGGAGTCTTGCACGTAGACGTCCTGGTTATGGTGGGGGAGGTGGTGGTTACGGTCGTAGTCGTCGTCGTGATCTCCGAGCCGTTACTCTTGAAAAACTTCCACAGAACACAATCATAACACTCCTCCTCGACCTCGCATTCAGGAACCTTATCATACTTCTCAAGAACGTCCGAAATCACGCTCTGGATCTTGTGGGTTCCAATCCCGACGCGCCAACCTTTATCGGCAACCGTGTCGTATGTGCACATTTTGCCAGTATGGCATGCTGACTCCATGGCATAGCCACCCCAGGTGCAAATCGAGTTGATGCCGTTACATGTGCCCATATAAACCGGATCAGCAGTATGTCCAAAATGATAAGCCCCGGTGTACTGTCGCTCTTGATGCAGCTTGATACCAGGTGGAATTGGAAGGTTAAGTCGAGAAGCAGGCAAAGCATCAGGGACGGCCTCAAATGTCACGACCGGAAGGCCGAACGTGAGGCCAAGCAAACTGGTCATTGCACCACCGAGTGAATGACCTGTAAGCCAAACATTTGCATTGGGGTAGATCGCTGTGACGTTCGTATAAAGATCAATCGTGGCTTTATAGTACCGGTTTCGATCATTCATAGCTTCGGTAATGCAGGTCAAGTTTGCAGAATAGGTCGCATTCTGGCAGTCACAGACTTGTCGCCAGAGATACGACCCGCCTTGGCCGCAGCAGCAGCTAAAAAATAGGTTGTCGTTAACCTTGTCATTGGTAGTGGTCTCGGCACCATCAAAAAGGGCCGGAGAGGTACCCTTGAGCGAAATGACAACAGTGCTGTTGGTTTTGTCGGAATATATGTGCCCTCGGAGGCCATCGCCCCTCCATCCAAAGCTCGAGGAGTAGTTGAATTTGCCATGAATTGTCTTCCACTCTGGAGTACTCCCTGGTTCCTCGATATAATCATTTGCGGTCATTTTAGCAAATGTCAGAACTGTTTCTTTGTCCGTGATATTCGGACCTGGCAGCGTTTCCATCACCCATGCCGCCATCGAAGACTGGGAAGTGGACGATAGATGCTCTTCGATCGTGGCTAGACTCCGATCTGCAAGTCGTTGTATTGTGACCGGACTCGACGAGGCGACAAGGGAAGGGTGTATAGTCACAGGTTCTGTCTCGGTTCCATCCTCTGACAGAACCCTGAGACGCGTGTCCGGTTGAACGTCTAATCTAGCATGAATGTCGTCGGGGTATTGATGGGTGTCGCGATGAAAGATATGGCGAAGTGACTAAAAAGGGTCAGGACACAGTTCATATTGACACCAAAAGCAGGTTCCCATGTGACGGAAGCGTACAAACTCATGTGTTGCTGGTACAGCCCCAGGCTCCTCATAGGGTATCGGTGGCGGGAGGATTGCGGCCTGAAGAGAGGGGGGACCGTTGTAGTTGGCGAGGGCCGCCTGTGGTAAAAATATAGCCGACAGGAAGAAACCCCGAAAACCGGGTCCCTTCCACGACCGGTCCCGAGATCGTTGCGAGCGCATGTTGTTGAGGCTTGAGATGGCGAGGAGAGCGAGTCACTGAGGTGCCAGCTCCCGCCTTATCGGTGACCTCACCCGGGGCTGAGCTGATGCGGAGGCGCCGGTTATGTAAGGCTCCCGTGACTACACGTGTAGCTCGGAGCTCATCCAGATACAATTCGAGTCTTCCACAAGTGCTGTCCTTGCACGCCGTGTGGACCGGTGCGTGTTTTGAGCAGCTGACAGAATCGTGGACTTCTGCGCTTTGGATGAATCATTGCGTGTCATTTGATGGTCTCCTTGCAGCCGGTCTCACACTGCGGAGCTCGGACGACGATCTGCGTGAGCCTATCAGCTGGACCTGGCGGAGTCACTTACGACTTAGTGCCTTATAGGGCCAGTTTGCCCATGTCTGGCCCCTCCGTTGATGCCTCTGATCAATACTTATCTTCGACTCCGTCGTTCACCAGAATGGAGACATCTGACACTCAGCCTCCCGGGCCCAAACAAACACCAGACCAAGCAGACGCCAGCCAACCGCTGTTGTCGTCAGCAATCGAGAGCGAGGGGCAGGAAAGGAGCCTTGATGTGTTCGAGCGACGAGGCTCTGCAGGGTCCAGCGGCGCAGGCGATGGACCAGGCGATGAAGGCTTTGTACTCTCGCGGAGCTTGCAAGACCCGTCCGAAGAGCTCCCCATCGAGCTCATTAGCTTAACAGACAGGTAAGTACGAGGGTCTTGCCCCTGTTCTGCCCTTTCCCAATCTAAACACCTATAGATTCATCAACTCCCTGAGTGCCAAAGTTCACAACTCGCCCCCGACCATCGAAAAAATCTCCTCCTTGTTCCAAGTATTTTACAGTCGTGCCGAGTCGCATATTGCCACCCATATTTCTGCTCTCGCGTCCCGAATCAACCGCGATCCACCATCCCAGATACCCCCGAAGTCACGAGGAAATGCTTTGTCGAAACTTGGAAGCAAGCTTTCCCAAGAAGATGTTCGAAGCGTATCCGGTCGGCAAATGCTGACTGCGGAGGAGGTTGCTGAAAGACGAAAGGCACGGAAATCCTTGGAGTTGAAACGGGTTGCACTTGAAGAAGCCGCAGAGCGAAGAGTATGCGAACTTGTTTACGATAAAATATGGAGACACAAAACTACTCTGGATGAGGTTCGGGATGAGAAGTTGCGGTCCAAAACAGCAGCGCTACTTCTAGTGGGAATTGACCTGAAAGATCTCGGCATCGATATTGATGTATCGACTATTGCCGAGGACAAACAGCAAGAAGCAAACGACTGCCTCACTCAGGCTCGAGAATGCCTCGCCAAAATGAACGATCAGCACTACCCCCTGGGCAAACTGCAACAACTAGCGGCTGCCCATAAAGCCATTGTCGATGCTTTGACCAAGCTACTTCCATCTTCCTCATCTGCAGACGAGATTCTGCCCACTTTGATCTACTCCCTGATTACATGTCCACCAGAAGGAATACATATCATCAGCAACCTGCTCTTTATACAGCGGTTTAGATCCTCCAACAAGATCGATGGCGAAACTGCTTATTGTTTGACTAACCTCGAAGCTGCAATCAGCTTTTTGGAAAATGTCGAGCTCTCTAGTCTACGTGCAGATGAGCCCCAAGAGGGCCCGCTAAAAACACCTAGCGAGTCCAACACTCCATCTTCAGAACGAGTCGATCCTTTCCGACCTACGGCAGAAACCACAACCACATCTCTAACTACCTTTTCCGCGTTGCCCGAGATTGCCAAACCAGAAGGCAAAGAAGCAGCTTCTTCCACTCTCCCTCGACCTCGAGCTTCACCCGCGCCGCAACAACGCCGCCTGAGTAATCTCTTTCAACCTCCAACCAAAGTTCTTGAAGCTGCCAACGATGCGGTCCGCAATACAGCAGATCAAAGCTTGAAGAATATTGGGACGACTTTGGACAGTAGTTTCAATTTCTTCTTTGGCCGTCTGAAAGAGCTTCAAACAAGCCAAGGGCCTAGCTCATCGGGTAGTGGAACAGTGTTGCCAAAAACGCTGGCTGATGCTCGTCGATTCGTCGCTGAGACTGGAGCTCAGAAACAGAATCTCACTCCTGACGAACTGGCCACAATCAACGCCCTTTCTGCCGAGGAACACTTGCAGTCGCGCAGTAGTTCGAGGAATGCAGAACTTGCCAGCGGTGACCGAACACCCCGTGACCGGAGCTCTGATAGTGCCAGGACTCAAGCAAGCAGCAAGAAATCCATTAACGAAAATGTTCAAACCCCATCTTCCGCGACTAATCCGAACCCACTGGAGTCGATGCGGAATTTTGGGAATACGCTGAATCCCCTCAATCATATTCCTGGTATGATTAGAGGGTTTGGTCGCAATGCGCCTGAGCCAGCCGGTGGTCGAGCCGTATCCCCTGCTGCTATGGATCGTCTGAAGATGTCTCCTGCTTCGGTGGATGGAAAGCCTAGTGCTGCAAGCTCACTCCACGCACCATTATCTAAGACCGATCCGCCTATTCAGCGTTTCCTTGAGCTGCAGGATGCAAGTGATCTCCGCCTTGGAGATGTTGCTTTGCTCCTGGAAGATTACAAGCGGCTTGCCGCTGCGTTCTCCAAGTCCGGACCAGCATCGAGGTGAGAGATCTTGCCGATTGAACTTTATTTCGAGGAACTTTGCATGGTTGCTAGCCGGTCATGGTGTTTGGAGAATTCAATATCATCCACAGACTTTTTGTATATACGGCGAAGATTTAAGAAAGTATAGCTTAGAAAAATAAGCGATGCGATTTGACATATTGTATATCTTGTACTAGATAAATATTCTGCTGGGAAACCTCGAGCATGTTCCATTTTAGCAGGTTAGAGCCAATTAAATATGTAACCGAGGCTGCGAAAGTGTTGGAATAGGGTATTGAACATGAAAGCTATCATGGATATCATAGATCCTGCATGTCGAATTGAATCAGGAAGACATGAGGATTGTGGGGGAGTAAAGCAATATTCAAGACAAAAATGGGAAGGTCATCAGCTCATTGGCTTCGTCCACGCAGGACCTGGGCACCTCCGGTCCTCATTTCGTTTAGCTTCGAGGAAAGCTCCGAGTCTTGGGCTTCGACCTCCTCATGGCGGCGCCGGACCTCGGATTCAAAGACCGCAGCCGTACGACGACGCGCACGGCGCAGATTCTTCATCTCCGTGAGCAAGTGACTGAATCGATCAATCAATTGGTCTCCACAGTCCTCCCATTCTTCGACAGACATGCGAGACAAAAATGTTTGGCGATCTTGATCAGCAAGTCGCAGAATTTGAGATACAGCATCATTTGACGACTGATCACCCGCGATGAGGGCAGGATTTGGAGGTAGTGGAGGCGACTTGACAGGAGGAGGCGTAGGTGTCGGAGCTTTGTCGAAAGGTTCGGCTTGTAGCTCGGCGAACGATTTCTGATAAAGCAGTTGTGGAGGATAGTCTGCTTCCAACGGGCGTTTATTCGCGCGGATGACGGTGTTACGACGCTCGCGTTTAGCAGAGGCGTGTGTGAGGAATGGGTCTTGCATCAGATCAGATTCGCCGTCGCGGTCCAAGTCGCTCATGTTGGTCAAATCATAAGGATGGGCCGAATGTTCACTTCCTCGGCTACTACCGATCCTAATCGTTTCATCAAGGTCGTGATTACTCTCCTCCTCGCTGTGGTCCGGTTCTTGGAAAGCTGTCATACTGATAGTCCGTCCAGTTTGTGGTGGCGGTTCAGACCCATGTCTGGTCGGTGATATATCCAATCGTTCCAAGAGCGAGAGCTTTGGTGGGCTGAAACGTGTTCGTGGGGTGCCTGACGTGCTATGCGGCAATGCTATCTTCCTGGCCGCCGTGGGAGGTAGCATATGCCCCAGTTTCCGTGGTGGTGGTTGGGGCTCAGGAATCACGGTCACCGGGGCCAGTAGTTGATTTTGCAACTCTGGCTGTGAGACACCTATGGGGTTTGATGGTAATTTTTTGCTTGCAGACCAGAAGTTTTCGAGGCGCTTGCTGAGTGGCTCTTCCGTGGAGCGGTGCTTATGAGACAGATACCAGCCGCTGGGTTCTTCACTCTTCTCGTCATCCCCTCCTATGGAGGAGGTAGCTTGGCTAGTCGTATCCCCGGCGTCATCGGAATCAAATCCTGCTTTCTTCATGACCTGGTCACCAAGGCCAAGGCCTCCCCCGTACCAAGAATTCCGGTCACGAGTGGGCCGAGGCAAGTAAGATGGGTGTGGCGAGGTGGTTGTCTCAATAGTATTCACATCCAATGGAGGCTGTGACCGGCCGTCATCATGGCCAAAAACACTGGTACCAGCAATGGTCGAGTCATCCAGCCCTTCAACATCGGTGTCAAAAGGGTCCCTAGGCCCTTCATTGTCGGGGGGTTGGTTTTCGGAGAGCGGGCGAGACTGGCTCGGAAAGGCATCCAATTGTTGAAAAGACCGTGACACGGTTCTTCCATTCGTTTTTGTATTATCCAGAAATGTGGTGGGCAGGACAGTCTTTGCTGGCTCGATCCGCAGTTTGCGCTGCGACGGGCCTATGTCGGCGGGTGCGCGAGGCTGCCCAGCTTCTTTAGAGTGGACATAATCGCCCACTCCCATGATGAACAGAAAGAAAACCCGTAACAGTTGAACTCGAGAAGTGAGCTTCACGGTTCGACTTTCTGTCAATCGTATGCCGTAAGAGCCTCGAGGGTTGAAGATTCCGTGTTTGTCGGGCTGCCTAACGCGAGACCGCCGCGTGGTCACGTGTAATGGCACTGGGTTGCTACACGGAATTTCAATTGCTGAACAACTCCTGGTGGTTCGCATATACAGTAAAAGACATAGAACGAACTAGGAAGATGGCACATGCACATCAATACCAGTGGGGCCCTAGCATAGAGAGGGATGATTAGGCGACAGGCTTGAGTTAATTTGTGAAGTTGCTAAGTTGAAGCCTTGAAAACACCATTGGCAAGCTACCCTAGGGCACTAGTATATTACAGTATCGGCTCCCCTGACTCCGCTCACGAAGAAGGAAGAGCAGAATTATTTTAATTAAAAGCGTCGTCCACGATGCCGAGACGCTCCATATCTTTCGCCACCCCTCGAGAGTATTTCCTGGCTCTTTTCATAAACTCTTGCGACTTATTAATTTCGACTTGGCGCCTCTTCATGGCGACTTCTTGTTCACGCCGGATCTCGAGGGGCTCATTCGCCTCGTCAGTTTCCATGGGATCATAGTATTCGTCCAAAAACTCAGGAGGTGGCTTCACAAGGGAAAAAGCCAGTAAGTCACCAACCCAGAGCGACACGTTGCCCCGCAGCTCCAGCAATTGCGGCGAGTCGGAAAATGGAGGTGAGGCAAGTATGGAATCCATGCTCGTTGCGATCTGTCGGGCTTCTTCCAATTCTTGCTGCCGAACCTTTGCAATAAGAGCTTCCTTCCTGTCCGACTCGCTGCGCTCTCCATATTCATCCATGGACTCCTCATCAGAGTGTTCAGAAGGCACCTCATCCTCAATCTTATCTCTTTCAGACCGACTTTCCTCCTGCGCAACATAGACCCAAAGACCAAACATAGCGGGATAGATTTGCAAGGAAGTGGTAGTATGCGTATAAACATGCTCATGGATTTTTTTCCACGGATAGTTCACGACCAAACGCTCATAGTACTCCTTTGCTTCTGCGAAACCCTTCCGAGTGAAAGGTAGTGAGGTTCGATCTTCATTACCGAGAGCTTTGAATGATGATTGATGGCCAGACGCCGCTGGTTGATTTCGCCGTAGCAGAATCTCGGCGCCAATTCCCCACCTATGGTCCACGCGCACATCTAACGGTTTGCGTTCGAAAAGTTCTCGTGTGATGAGGCCCCACGCTCTTCCAGCCCGGGTAAAGTCCCCGTCAAGCAGACAGCGATGGAGGAGAGTAGTCAAGGCTGCCAGGTGTCGAAATCGAAGGTTAGGGCTAAATGCTTGAGATCGAGGGGCGTAAATTGAAATCGGCAGTTTGGGCAAGTCATGTGTTAATTGGTATGCCGTTGTATGTGTATGCCGATCAGGCGGCGCGGAATTCTCAGGCGCGGCATGAGGAAATCGACCTCCAGGTAATTCTTGGTCAAGAGGCAGACCGGCAATTCGGTACTGATGTGTTTCGTTGGGCGTCAGAACAAGGGGCTTCCTGGGTACTGAGTCTTCTACCGAAACAGCGTCTGTGATATCTGCACTGAGGTCTTCTGCATCACTCCTTGGCTCTGAGTCCTTGTTTTTGACATCATATTGGGCCACTCGCGGAGGTGTCTTTCTGGCCGAAATCCTTGAATCAACATATGGTAAGGAAAAGTTTCCGGCGAACACTTCAGGCTCCATAAAATCAGCAGAACGTGACTTCCATTCAGAGGTGTTTCGCAAGTATCGAATCCGATGGAGGGCGGCCGAGAGAACCACCTGCGGTTGACAAAGCGCGACAGAAGATCCCGCCGCAAGATGGATTAGTAAGATAGCCACCGAGGCCGAGAACCCGCGGGAGCAAACCAGGCAAACAGCACTTATCGCTATCAACCCCGTTGCCGTCCGCCAGCCCAAGTCGGACTCTCCTCTTTCGTCTCCCCTTACCTCGCGTTTCGCATTTCCCCCTCCTCTTTTTATTCCCGCGTGTTCGTTCGGTTTTCCATCCACTGGGCTTCGCTGATACCTGGATTGGTCCTGCCCCGTCTCCACGGCTCGGCGGGTATTCTGGGTACAAGTCTGGGGACAGCACCTGGTGGTTTGTCAGACAAGTCGAACCTCCCGGTCGCAATACTTAGTGTTAAGAGTCAACCTGTCTCACATAGCTGCTACCCATTGACGTCTGCCTATCGCCGCTCCGCTGATATTCCGTTTCTTTGTCCCACCGATCTTTCTTCCTCCGATCTCACCGTCGCTCACGCCACCTGACATTGCGTCGATCTCGCAACCGTCAGTCCCCAGTCATCGATCTCGCCGATTGCCTCTCCCTCCATCAGATCCAGTCCCCGTCAATAATCGGATTTCATGCTCGTTGCTAGGGAACCGTCCATGGCCGCGGACAGTCTCTAGCATCCCAAATACTCTGTTGTCATCGCCGTGAACTGCTACTATGGGACAGTCTTCCTCTACGGCCCGACCCCACCCCGAAACTGGCAACCCGGATTATTTGACATCATCCCCGACAGAGCGTGACATCGATGCGAGGAATGAAGACATGAACAATCAGCAGACAGCGGAGCAGAATGGGGCCACAGGTCCCTCGTTCGGGGCGGAATTTTTTCCTTCTGATGAAGAGGGCATTGCGCCTTCCAGTGAACTGAATGAGGCCGCGGAAGCCTGGCAGCAGCCAACTCGCCTTTCTGGGGGATTTGGGCATGAGATGCGGAGCATTGAGGAGGAAAGCACCGCCGAGCTCGATCCTCAAGAGCCAGAGTATCGACGCGCGGAAACTTTCACTCAGATGGCGGCAAGAAGACAGTCGACCATGTCGCGGCTAGGATCTAGATTCTTACCCAACTCAGTCATCCGTGGACTTCTGAATAGCCAAGAAGAGACCCCCGCAGAGGGCCTTGCCCACCGCCACGGGCTTGTTTCGAGGACACCACCAAGATCCGAGACCACCAGTGGCCACAGCAGCAGCCGATTTAGCCCCTTCAGCGCGCTTGGATCACGAGGAGTTACTCGTCGCCGATCTGTTAGATCACCTTATTACATACCCTCTCGTGTAGATCCATCAGACATCTCTGAGCCCGCGAGCAACTCGTCCTTCGAGCGGCGACTACCCGAACCATCCCGTGTTCCCTGGCGACGAAGTGCGCGTCTCAGCCGGGTACGCCACTCGCTATCAACGCCCATCTCTCACATGTTCGGCCAACCTTCTTCTGAGATGTCTTCTCCGCACGAGAATCCCCGACATGTGCCAATCCCTCACTTTCTCGATGAACCACTTCCGCGCGATATGGACACCCGTTTGGACTGGAGAGACCCTGTCGATGAACCGTCTCCTGAACTAGGATCAATGGAACCCCCGATCCGCAACGGAGGACCACCGGCCTCCATTCAACCAAGTCCTGGTTTAATGCGAATGAATCGGCTCCCGGGCCTTCTTCGAGCACGATCGGCTCGGGACCTCCGGCAACAAGATCCAACTCCCCTCTCTCGAGTGTTACAACTTGCGGCAGCTGCCATCGCAGCTCAGCTCTCCGGAACCACTGGCCCTGTTCTGCCGAATATTCAAGCTCTAGGCAACGATGGCCTCGACGGATCTCTCGAAAATTTTATCCAAAGCCTACAGCATGCTACATCTGCACAATCACAGCCATCTGTTTCCGGAGAAGGACCGAGTAACACTGGCAATGAGGCACCAACCCCCCCAGTCAACTTTTTGCGTGTCTTCCGTTTTGCCAATTCAGAGACTTCCGGTGGCTCGAACTCCCCTTCGCGAAATACGAATGGTACTCAAAATACCGAGAACCCTAGCACGCAGCCTGATGGGATGTCCATTGATGAACCCGCGGGGGGTACTGAAGGGCGAACGGTTACACTGGTAGTTGTTGGGGTTCGATCTGTCCCGGCGGGTGGTGGTAGTGGTGGTGAACAAGGACCACCGGCTCCCGGTGGTGCAGGCCTGGATGCTCTGCTCGGACTACCATTCTTACCAAATATCCCACGGCCTTCGGACAGACTTGGCGATCTGGGACAGCGCGCAGATGGTCTTCCGCAAGTACAACCCCCGCGACCTGGAGCGCCTACACCAATTCCATCACTCGGAGCATCGGACTTCCCACGCCGGCCAGGCTTCACCTCGTCCCGTTGGAGATCTCCTGATGCAGGATCTCGCCCCCCTTACCCACCCTATCAACCCTCCGCGCTGTCCGAAAGCCCTCCTGGGCCCCATCCTCCACCGTCCACCCCTGCCGAGCCAGGCTTGTCTGCCGTCTCCTCCGGCACTTCAACTCCAAGCCGCAGACCTTCATCCGCCTCGGCCATTTCACCGACTCTTCTTCCCCATTTGCACGAGGGTCAGCCTATGTCGCCCGATTTGGGACCTACCGAGACGGCTGCCCCGCCCAATGCCACCCGTGAACGACGACGAAGTGATTCTGAGTTCGCCCGCCATCGGGCCATCGGACACCACCGGGCCTTCGGATCGGGATCTGTCCGCCGCAATGGCGTGGTTGAATCTGATCAGCCTGCCCCCAGTGCAACGGGTCGAAGCTGGCTTATATATGTCGTTGGAACTAATCTATCGGAGAACCACCCGGCCCTTACGACACCAAGCCTTTTTACCGACGTAAGTACCTCATCTACCACCTCTTTCACGGTTAGGATTTCGACTAACACCAGCCACCTAGAACCCGACCTACGAGGATATGATTCTACTGTCGTCACTTCTCGGACCAGCGAAACCCCCAGTCGCAACTCAAGACGACGTCGACTCTGCGGGTGGACTATTCCGTCTTGTAGAATACTGTGGTACACTTGTCGCAGAACCCCTGGAAGGTGTTGGCGCTATTCAGCTTCAAGATGGAGAGCGTTGCTTGATCTGTCTGAGCGACTACGAAGTGGCCGAGGAGGTCCGAAGGCTAGCTAAATGCCAGCACGTCTTCCACAAAGGCTGCATCGATCAGGTAAGTTCTTTTGCGTTTGAGATAAATCCCGCCCAATTGTCTCTATCCTTGCAGGTACTAAGTCGATGAATTAGTGGCTAACTACCGGCCGAAACTCGTGCCCCCTCTGCCGGGGACAGGGCGTTCATGAATCCTCCGACAACGGTGATGTACCAGCATCTTCCGAACCAGACCCTCATGCTCCGGGCCCGACTCTCTAACTTTCTCGGTCCCAAATCTCCCCTCTGGCGTTTCCATCAAACTTTAGCATCCAGCGTCTGCTTCGAGCCTTTTAACGATTTTTTTCCCCCAAGGATATCCCCTCGGCATTCTGTCTTTATTGCGTTGTGTCTGGACGCATTTCATGTGCTTGTCTCGTCTATCTTCCTGGGATAGAAGCGGCGTATTTTCCCGAAGCACGGGTTTCACTTCATGTTTCGGTTAACTCGCGTACGAATTTTTTGTCTTTTCTGCTTATTGTACCTATGCTGGCATTTCACTTCGGACATGGCTCATCAAAAGTGATAGGCAACTCTGCGCTTCTTGAGCTTCAGAGTATTTCACAGAGTATGCTGGAAGAGTGAATAACTGGCCCCACGGCTTTACCATGTCCTTTTAGCTCGAATACTTTGTTCTGAACTTCTCCTGGTCTATTCCTCTTGCACTAGTAGTGGTCGACATAGTCGTCAGATCTGACCGAGTCTCCATAGATCGCTGCCCCGCTTCCCCTCGATCACGTGAGAGAAAATATTCCCGCTGCGGCAACGAAGCTCCAGTACCTGCTACACATTCCTGCTATTTCAATTGTACAGCTCTGTTTCAACTGCATCTTTGCTCTATTTAGGTACACAACAGCCCAGGGACACCACACTTTTGGCCGGGAATTCACAGTTGACAAGAAGACCACACAGGAAAACGTGAAGCCACATACAAAGCCTCCGAAAACGCGACGACAAGGCGATAGACCCGGATCCAGAACGCAAATTTGTCGCAATTAGAGCATACAATCCTTGAACCGTGCTTACAATATGGTCGCTCCGATCCGCGCTACCGTCCTCATCTCCGGCAATGGCTCCAACCTCCAAGCGGTGATCGACAAAGTCGCTGAGGGCCAGCTGAACACCACTCTCGTCCGCGTGCTCTCGAATCGCAAGGACGCCTTCGGTCTCGAGCGTGCCAGCAAGGCCAACATTCCGACGCTGTATCACAATCTCGTCAAGTACAAAAAGCAGCACCCCGCGACACCGGAGGGCGTCCAGGCTGCGCGAGAGGAGTACGATGCCGAGCTTGCGCGACTAATTCTCGCCGACTCGCCGGAGCTGGTGGTGTGTCTGGGCTTTATGCATATTTTGTCACCACAATTTCTGGAGCCATTGGAGAAGGCGAATGTCCGCATCATCAACCTGCACCCTGCGTTGCCGGGGGCGTTCAATGGTGTGGTGAGTACCCCACCTGGAAGATTTGAGAACCGGAAATAGACGGAAATATCTTTGGGGATTCTAAGCTGACTTTCATTTTCATAGAACGCAATTGAGCGGGCTCATGCTGCGTGGATGGAGGGTAAGATCGACAAGACTGGAGTCATGATTCACGACGTGATCTCGGAGGTGGACATGGGCAAGCCGATCCTGGTCAAGGAGATTCCTTTCCAGAAGGGCCGGGACGAGGATCTGGATAAGTTTGAGTCTCTGGTCCATGAGACTGAATGGGGTGCCGTCATTGAGGGTGTCGGTATGGTGTTGAAGGAGCTGCAGGCCCAGAAGCAATGATCCTTCATTTGAACTCGGACTCACCGACTGGCGCCGAGCCGGGACTTGCCATTGCCGCTGATGGTTTTACACATGGCAGAAGTTCTCACCGGATGTTGACGATGTTATGAATATCACGTATGAACTTTAGAAAAAAAAAGACCTCGATTTTGCATATCTCAATTGCGATATATGACTTTGTGCTGGCACTTCAATTCAAACGTTGACGCTTGCCCGTGTGTATCAAATGGCATTACCTGCGCAGATACGTTGGGTTCATGGTCAAATAAGGGCTGGAACTGCCCATGATAAACTGTACTTAGAATACAATCCCTGATTGAATCAGACCAGACCCTATGATCGCGCATTGCCGTACCTGCTACTCCACCGTCTCCATTGCGCCGTGCCAAGATTCGAAAGACCAGACTGCCGCCGGGCGATGCCGACGAATGGGGCCAAGAGAGTGCATCCATAGTTGCAACTGGGCCGCAATTAAAAAAGGTCGAGTCCAGAATGCCCACCGCAGCGGCCTAGAAAGGGCGTAATTTGGATAACACTTCCATGGACCATGGACTACGGACGACCATAAGCCTGTACGAGATGAACGGAGCGCCACGGAGGTATGGAGAACGGTCCATCGTGCATCATTGCCTTTTACTTTCCAGCAACGTGCATTGAGATCGCTGGGGGGCTTGCAGGGGTGTGAAATTGCACCCACCTCACCGGTCGAGTGCCCGTCACATGCTAGATGCATCATTCCAAGCCTTTGGTCGCCAGCGCCCGAGGCAAATCATCCGGAGCCACGCGACAGTGCGTCACAACGTGGACCACAGGGGCCTTCCGATGTGGGCGCTGCAGTGCAACCCGAGGAGCAGGATCATCCATCCGAGCCCCTTAGGAAATATCCCGCCGTTGGGAAATCCCATCGTGGCGGACCCCCCGGCCAAACCGGCACTCACGGCAGCCTCAGGCCCTCCTGGCGAAGTGACAGATCCCAGTGCCGGCCCCGCTAGCTCCAGCAAGGGTCAGTTGGACAGGAGAACAAAAGCACCATGTGGGTTTGTGTGCCAACATGACCCCGGGTGCCCTCCCAATTCGAGTCCCGAGGCCTCATTAGCTAGGGCGTATGGTGTACCTAGGGTGAGCCTAGGGGATGGACTAGGGGACCTACTCCAGTCCCCGAGGGCCCCCATTTGCGCCCCCAATCTAACCCATCCCACCACCCATCTTCCAAAACGGCCGGCGTTAACTCAATTGTCTGCGTCGAGGCAGTTGTATCCGACGGGATCGGCCGATCTCTGCGCGCCTTCTGCGCCTCGTGTCGGAGTCTCAGTGCCGCCCGGTGCGTGGTGTTTGACGTGGCTGTGTGTTTCATACTTACATACGTAGTTCGGTGATCTACTTGGAAGTAGTATCAGCTAGCCACGACAGTGTGGGTTGCAGCATTAGAACCTCGGGGGACACAATTGGTAGTCTAGAGATTCCCACCATTACCTTGGTTTGATAGTGTTGGAAGTTGAGGTTTGTGACCCAGGACTCGCTAGATTTTATTGACTATAGATTGAAAATGAGAGAAAAGGTGCAGGTGAGAGATAACAGGTGATCTGCCGGAAATTTTCCCGTATTTCTGTTGCTGGATTAGGTAGCGAGCAAAGTGGAAGTCAGCTGTCTTTTGCTTCCCGTTGAATCACGTTCACTCAACTCAAAGCCACGAGTTCCGTCGAAACAGGATCATGATTTCCCAATCGCGAAAGCAACGCAAAGCTAACTGGAAAGATCATCATTATATATTGCAGTTTTCCAGTCTCTCTTCCCGTGTTGAGCAAGACAGACCTCTCGCACATCCAACATAATCATGTTGGCTACACCCAATTCATTTCAATGCCGCCATCCCTGCTTTCACATCTCATATTCGGAGCATTCCCTACACAATTATGATATTATGAACGTCAGAACCCAGCCTGATTGATGCACGGGGGTGATTCGATATTCAATTTCGATAGCCCAAAAGCCGGAGCTCAGATTTCAATGTCGCAGAGCAGAGTGATAACGAATGACATAACCGATTGATCTATTCCTCCCATTCAAAAGTTATCTCTGATGTGGTATCCAGGGCTCAACCACGGCCTATTGTCCGGCCGAGTCTGATCTGCAACCTCGACATCAGGCCAGCCTCCACTCGCGTGACCCATGGCACACTGTTAGTGACAGGCCAGCTAGATGCACTGGGAATTGTTCAGTAGAATTGACAGTATCAACTTGCATTGCATCATGTGTAGGCTGAGTGCTCTGCCAGTCTCCGAGAGATTTTGAAGTCCCCGGATCGGTTCTCGATAATGGCCTGATCGAATGATGGTTTGATCTCCCGCTCATGGCGGTTGTATGCGATCCCGGATTCGAATACGTAGTCCCAGCTTGCGATTGATGTTTCTGCAGATTTTAGTTTCCTTATTTGCTGTGGTCCTTTTGAGAGTCATATTTTGTGGCGTTGTAGCATGTTGACAGTGTTGCAAAATCTTTGGACCACGCACTCCCTTTCTTACCCACCTGCAGGTTCTCGTGCTTGGTAAATGATTATGAAGATAAATTTGGTACTACGCTGAAAGCCTACTAGATTAGGTATAGGGAACAGCAACTTAGAGGTGGAGACATCAACCGGTCTTCCCCAACTTCCGGTAACCGCTATGGCCATGACGGGGAAGGAAGAGATCAAGCACGGCGATATTACCCAGTCGGGCCCAGTGCAGTTGCTAGAGTCGACGAAGACAGGGATCGGCCTTGAGAGGAAGCAGCAGGCATCTGTTATGAGCAGCAGCGCAGGTGTGGTGGAGCACGTCCAGGGCTTGGTGGAGTGGCTGGCCCACCGTCTGTCAAGGAGCGCAACCATTTAGCGTTTGACCGGCTCATCTTTCACCCACATGGCGAGAAATGTCGGAGGGTCGGTGCGTGGTGCTGGCCCCGGCGTGGAACACGCATTTCTGGTGATTGTATCCATTGTCCGGGCGAATGGGATATCGACCCGCCACTGGCGTGCTGATCTGCCATTGTTCCCTTGCCCACAATCATGATCGTGAGCTTGGGGAGGAGCTCGAGTGCTTGGTGCCGATGGAGTCGATACCAGAGTACCTGTCCTCTCTAGCGCCTTTTCGATTTGCTCGGCCCACCTTTTGTTTTTTCCTCTTTTTTTCCCAATCCCCCAATTTTTTTTTTTTTTTTTTTTTCTGCGCACCTGTCAAATTCTTGTCGATCAGGCACAGCGATGCAAGCCTGGCATTTCCATTCTCTAATCACAAAGACGGGGGAGGCTGAAAACACTGCAGCCTTCAGCTGAGCTGCATCGTGCCCCTCCCATCAAAGTGCCCGTGCCACTTTGCCCCATTTTTGGTCGAGGGAGGCGCGATATCCGTGGAATGCCAGGGCAAACTCGATGCATCTTGAACCCGTCGGAAGTGGGATTCACGTCCCCCAACTCTTGTGCCTTCTCCACACCCCCCGGCTCCTCCTTCCCAATCATGAATCATGAATCCATTCATGAGCTCAGGGGGGTCCACTCCTCTAGCCCCTTAGTAACCCGGCTCCACCTAGGACCGATCTCCGTCACGAACAGAACGTTTTCGGCAATTTCTCGATGCGCCGGCGCCCCTCGAGGTTTCAGATTTGCCGAGTGCTGTCACCTGGAGCGGAGTGCGCCGTTCTATCTGACCCGAGCTGTCGTCTCGGGCTCCAATCTTCCGAAGCTTGACCTTATCACCGAGGTGGTCTCTCTGACTCCAGTATCCCTAAGTAGGTAGGTATGTATTTCCACCTCCTCGCTCGCCCGTGAGGCCCCAGCTGGGTTGATCTGTTCCTCGGCGGGTTCCACATCCTCCAGCGGGCGCGCAATCCACGATCAGAACGGATGCTGTTCATCAGAGGGACCGCTCGGAATGGCTCCGTCGGCTCTTCGTTCGATCCAGGGCGGTTAATAGGGAGGCTCGCCAATGGAGAGGCGCGTCTCGATGGAGTATGCATGTCCGGCTGGAGATGGGCGCCCCAGCATGGCCGGGCTGTAGGGTGGTGGACGCTATGATCAGCTTGGATCATGCAGGATCGCCTCCGTTGATGGCGCATCGCCAGCTGCATGGACCCGGGACAATTGGGGCTCGAGCCGCCGAGCCACGGTGGACAAGCCCTAGAGAAATTGAATTTGCCGGTGATATCACTGCGTTGTGGCTTGCGAGGATCGTCGTCCAGAAAACCTCCGCCCCCTTTTCAAGTTCACCGAGACCCGAGGCTCGTGGAGATCCTCTGACTAAGTATTAAGGATAAAAATAAGCCCAGAGGATGATCCCCAACTAGAGTGGGGAAAAGGGGCCATCGCCGCAGTGCGACATCACGGATCTGTAATGCTACCTTGTGGATTTTGGCTCTGGGCGTCTGATGCAGTTCCAGTTGGAATTCGTGGCTCTGCTGCCATTTTCCGCCCAGGGTCGATGATGGCCAGAGCTGGCTCGACGAGTAGTGGGCGTGTAAGGACCCAGTGAACGACAGAGGCGATAGTTCTCGATCAGCCCATGAGAAGGCGACGATGAGGGTGTAGATGGGACAGAGACTGGGACTAGGGATCTGAAGATGTCGACTTCGTCCGCAAATTGTAGGCTCGTATTGGAAACGGACGTCGAGCAGAGAACGGGCAAAAGTTCTCTCAGGCTTCTTTTAATCTCCGCACATCTTGGTGCCAATAGTCTGGGTCAACCTCACCCCACCGCTTCCGCCGTCTCTACGCCTTACACCAACACCTACTCCGGTCTCTCCTTCTTTTCTCTCTCCCTCTGCGACTAGTGTTCAACTAGTTATACTACTATTCCCTGTCCCGTTCACTTCCTATTTATAGGTGCCTGCAGATCTGCTCCTACGATGCACTCGTCCCGAGATTCATGCTGAGCTGGACTTAACCGTGGGGTGAATACCCGGATCCAAGCATGGAGCAGTCATATCAGCAGCCCCAGGCAGCCCTGGCCGGCTTTCTCGATTCAATGCAGCAGGACTCAGGCATGTCTGCCTACTCGCTGTTCGGGCCCACGCAGTATCCCGACAGTGTCGCGTTTTGGCATGATCCCTCCGCTGCTCCGGCCATGGCCGTGCCCGCTCCGTCATACCCGAAGCAGCCGACCTTGCTCCAACCCATCTCCGATCAAAAGAAGCACAAGCGCACCCGCAGCGGCTGCTTCACCTGTCGGGCTCGCCGTATCAAGTGCGACGAGTCCCGTCCCGTGTGCGAACGCTGCAGAAAAGGCAGCAGGGACTGCGTCTATCCCTCGCCCACGACATCCTCTTCAAAGGCCGCCGGCCGCACCACGGCGAAATCACGCAGTGTACGCCCGCCCTCGCAAGGAAGTGATTCCTCGAGCAAGGTAGAGACTGATACCATCAGTCCTTTGGAGCCCATCATCGATGAGGAGGAACCCGGCAGTGCCGGTCCAGTATCAAGACCGTCTCCACCCAGCGGTGGCGGCAAGTCTCGTCCCGAACTGGACAGGACGCAGAGTGGTCAGTCAGTGCACAGACGCAGTAACAAGCAGACGCCCGAGGCCGAGAACTTTAATATCATAGACCCGAGTAGCTCGCCCTCGACTACGGAGTCATCGTCTCGGTTTGAATCGATGAGCGTACGATCAGCTAGCATCAGTCACACCACTCTCGATCTCTTGAATTCCTCCCGCTTGTCGGAAGATCTACGTTTCTATCTGAACTATCACCAAGAATTCATCTCGCACGAACATTTCTTTTTGAGATCCGGCAGCGAACGCTTCATCCATGACAGCATCATTGAACTTGCCATGGGGTACGACCCGTTGCTCTATGCCCTCGTCGGGTTTGCAGCATATCTTCACACCTTGCACACTCCCGGTGGAAAACTTTATACGTTTCTGAAATATTATAATAAAGCATTGGTTCTCTTGCGAAAGTCACTGGGCTCCGGAGAAGAGCACACGGAGGCAACTCTGTGCACCGTGCTTGTGTTGACAACTTTCGAGGTATTTATTCAGTATTAGCCTAGCTCGCCTGGCTGCTCATCGCTAACTCAAGTCTCCCAACCGCAGGAATACATCGGCGACTGGGTGAACTTGATTGATCATCACCAAGCCGCACATGCATTGGTGCGAGAAATATTGACGCCGGAATCATCCAACACCGTTGAACTACACACCAACATCTTCCTGTGGTATGCACGCTTCGACATTGTCGTTGGAATCGTGGCTGGGACGGAGGCGGTTCTTGGGCGAGACTGGTACATCGGTAAGGAACAGTACGACGCCGAGCAAGCTGCTCTCTATCCCAACGACCCGGCAAAGCAGCTTGCACTTGTTGCCTCAATCAACCGTCGATTCGGCTTGGAGATGGCCTCGCTGTATGCGAGGTTATCGCGTGGTCTGATCCCAATGGACCAATTTGTCGTGCAAAACCAACAGCTCGGGCAGACGATGGAACGTGCAAAGAACATCATCAGAGAATTCGACAATTCCGAATACACAGTCCGTTCCTATCCGAATCAACAACCTCTGACAGACGATGATATTGTGGACCCTTACGTACCAGGCGTTCTACACACAGGCCCATTGTGGGATGCCAATTACGCATGGATTGACCTTCTTTCGACTGAGTTGATGTTCAAATACCAAACAATGCTCGCTTTGCGACAGCCCTTGCTTCCAGAATTGCAAAACTTGGCCTTTGAGCAATGTCGACTTCTCGAAACCATTGACCGCTGGCCGAACAAGGGTTATGGACACTGTATTGGGTTCAAAAATAGCATCGGCCTTTCCAGCATGTTCCTCACCAAAGACGCCAAGCATCAAATGTGGTCTCGGCGCAAGTTGGCCATGATGGAACAACATGGGTGAGTCTTTAACTAGAAACTTAAGATCTGAAGTCTAGAGACTAATGTTCCGATTTCGTTCGGATAGATACATTATCCCCCCAAAATTCCGCGAAGCCTTAGGTGCTATCTGGCAAATCCCCGAACTCGAACACTGGTGGCTCCCGAACGACGAAGGATACTATGATATCATCCGCGAAATCCGTGCCTTGTCTGCCGAACGCATGAGCCAACCCCGCGACGACTTCCGCGAGAACGTGCGCGATATGAAATCCCTTTTCTGGAAATTGAGCGTGGATGATCAGAATGAGGAGCAGAGTCCTTCAAGTAGCCATAGCGGTTATCCTTGAAGGCATTGTAATTTCTATCGACATCCCCATTCAGTCACTTCGAGTCGCCGAAAATTATGCATAACCAGCCACCCCAAGCCACCTAACTCACCTGCAAGATCCTCACCTTCTGGCTACGGATGCTTCCCATACATCGCTGCAATTTTTGGCTCACCAGGGCAGTTTGCGTCCACGGTGAGGAGCCACATAACTGGCCACACGCATTGCATCATACCCCCTGTCGCACCTTTACTTACAACCTTACTCCTAATATCTTTTCCGTATACCCACCACCCTTGTTACTTCCACTGAACACTACTTCCCCTTCATCCTGATCTCCACATGCCCACTATATCCTCTATTTGTGGCTTTATTTCCGTTCATTCCACCTTTTGCATGGTTCCTCTTGGTCATGACTTGATGTGTACATTTATTATACCCAATTTCTCAGACATCATTCAACACATATTAATAGCATTTCTTCTTGGGCCCTCTGATACCATGAAGGTCTTTCCCCGATACCATAAACCATTGACCGCCCCCAGGGGGGTTAGGGGTTACAAAAGTGTTGATACCAGCTGAATGGCATATAGATTCATCAAATCATATTCTGCGTCAGAAAATTCCACGGGGGCTATATCTTCGCCATTCATATGCAGTATCTACACCTCTTGGTTATGTTTCTCATCCGGGTTACAGCCAGGCTTCCATGGTACCTCTCTTGCTCGAACAACAGTCTCCAAGCCCCCGGCCAACTCCCCACCAGGCCCAAACTCCTCCCCGTCCAGTTCCTCGCCCCAAGGCAAAGCATCAACATCAACCTCCCAGCCAAGCAGACACCTCAAGATCACACCAGCACCAGCCTTGCTCATCACAACATTCATCTCCTTGCACCGCTCATCACAACAGCACTCAATACACCCCTGAGGCGAGAGACACTGGCAAGCCTCAATGCGCGCCACAGCCCGGCGCAAAAGCAAACCCACAAACTCAAATGCCTTACTCGCAATCCCAGAACCACAAGACCCGCCCTTGGCATCGTAGAACGTAAGACGAGCGGGCCGCTGTCGTTTCGGCGGCTGAAGTTTCTTCCTGATCTGTTTCTCCTCAGCGGCATCATTGACGCGGCGGAGCGGACGACCCAGTTCTTTCTTGGCGACCTTACATTCCGTACGCACGTCGCCCGGTGAGGAAATGACAAAGGACGGGAGGAGGGAGAGGACCGCGTGTTCCGCGGCGTGAATTGCAGCGGCGACGTTGAGCCTGTGTGACTCGAGGATCTCGATGGCTTGGCTTGGCACATCAAGCCACATCCCCTTGGTTAGGATGTCAATTGGGGGATTGTCGACCTCGACGGCGTCGAGAACCCGGCCCCGTTTATCGACTTTGAAGAAGCCGTATACCACGGCGTGGATTTGGACGGAGCCGAAGAAGACGCGGGAGCCAGAGGCGTCGGCGCCGACTAGTCGCATTGTCTCTGTTTCGATGGGGTCGATGTCGGTGTAGTCGCGTTGCATTGTGCTCCAGTCTACGTGGACGCGGAGCACGCGGGCGAAGAACTTTTCGGTATTCAGCTCTTTGACGAGGTAGTTTTGGCCCTGGTGCAAGAAGATGCCTCCTTCGTAGATCGTGAAGAAGGCGCGGGAGGCTTCGACCTCTTCGAGGACGATGTTACGGTCATTTGTAGTGTCGATTACCGCGAAGTGCTGGTCTTCTGTATCACGGATGGAGACGCATCGCGAGGGTTGAGGGCGGAATCGTTCGTGGCAATGGTAGAATCCCATGCTATCTTTCACCAAGCGGGTTGCTGCGATGGCAAAGAGCTGCTCGCCGAAATAGACCTGATCCTCGTCGGGTCGGATGGGCATTTCAAATGCTGCGCACTGGACATGGCCTTCCTGGATGAGCTCGTTGGCCAAGTCAATCTGCAGCTCACAGTTGGGACGGGTGAATATCTCCTCTGGGTTCTGCATGTAATGCTGGTCCGTTGGATATCTGTCTCCAACAAGCACAGACAAAGAATCCTTGTTGCGTCGTCCGGCACGACCACTTTGCTGACGCAAGTTAGAAATCGAATATGGGAAGCCCAATGTGATGACTGCGTCAAGGGAGCCGATATCAACGCCCAGTTCCAGGGCGTTTGTCGCGACGATTCCCATCAACTTCCCATCGAACATTTCACGCTCAATACGGCGCCGATCTTGGGGACTGTACCCGCCGCGATATCCCATCACCATCCTGCCAACATCCGCTCTTTCGAGAGCTCGGAACTCATTCCGAACGGCTTGCAGGAGAACCTCACAGAGTTGTCTGATTCGGCAAAAGCCAATCACCCTCACGCCCCGAAGTATTAGCTGACAAAATAGTCTTGCGGTCTCAGAAACGCTATCACCGCGTCCCGAGGATGGGTCTGCAGGATCTTTGAAAGGAGTATTCCAGCAGATGAATTCTTTCCGGCCCGAGGGAGAGCCATCGAAATCCACCAGTTTGACGTCTTCTACGCCAAAGATAGATTGCATGTGCTCTTCAGGGTTGGCGACAGTAGCCGAGCAGGAAATAAATTTGACGTGCCCGTTGCCCACTGCCGCACAGATTCTGCGCAGGCGTCGCATTATAAAAGCGACGTGGGAGCCAAATAAGCCGTTATAAACATGCAGTTCATCGACAACGACAAACTTGAGATTCTTTAAGAAAGTGCGCCAAGTACTTTCTTGCGGTAGAATGGTGATGTGCAGCATATCAGGATTGGTGAAAATGATCCGTGCATCGTCGCGGATGAGATTTCGACTACCCATTGGCGTGTCCCCGTCGAATGTTTCAACCATCGTATTCTGCAAACCATTCATATACTGTAAGAGATCCGACATGCTGCGTTTTTGGTCTTGCGCCAGGGCTTTTGTTGGGAAGATGTACATGCCCCTGCTGTTAGGGTCTTTTTCCAATTCATGGAGCATAGGAATTTGATAGATGAGTGACTTTCCCGAGCTCGTCGACGTAGAAACGATCACATTGTGCCCGGCATACAGGTGGTTGATAGCTTCTGCTTGGTGGGAGTAAAGCTGGGAGATTCCTCTGGTGTTGTAGAGGGCGTTCACCATGTCTTGTGATAGCTGGAAGTTCAGATCGCCGTAGACAGGGGACTGAGCGTCAAATACTCGATGGCCTTCTGGCACAATCTGTGCATGGTACCAGTCCATTGCGCGAATTTCCGCAATGATCTCTGCGATGGACTTGCGCTCCTTGGGTATGGTAACGGGTATGCTTGAGCCGGCAGGGGTGGTAAAGCCACTACTTGGAGGTGTTGGCAGGAAAGAGGCCTTCTCATCTTCTAGTATGAGTACAGGGTCAATGCCTTGGTCTTCGCACCGAACGAGAAATGCGTCAATGGCATCTGAAAACTTCGTGTTCCGTTTCTCGATCAGAGACAGCATTTGCTTCTGACTATAAACCGGCATTTTCAGATCTTCTTCTTTCATCCGACGCACGGGTTTTGAGGGTTCTCCAGTCTTCGGATGCTGCACTTCACGTTTGAGATCACCGTCCATGAATTCGAAAAGCAGAACATTGTTGCCGAATTCATGGTTCTGGAAAGCGTCCGAGTTGGCGAGGTCTTCCGCATTCAAAGAACCGTGGCTGGTTTCCCTGTCGCCCACAGTCAGGACCTCGAGACTGGCTGCATCGACATATTCAAAGCGCACCGCCTGCGGAACCAACGCCTTGACTTTTGCCACATCCTCAACCGTAAGCTGTTTCCCTTTCCCAAGTTGAGCCTGAACGGCCTTTCGGATATTGTCAAACGTAGTTGCAAAGTGCTTCCGAGTGCAGCAGAACGTATATACGAGGTTCAGGGCGCGGTGGGTTTGCGAAAGTTGCTTAAAGGCGTCCGGCCACGGTGCCGACGGGGTTCGCTTTTTCGGCGGCTGATGTTTGCTGTTCGATGCTGAATTTTTGCCCTGGATAGTTTTCTGCCTTTTGCTCTGACCGTTATTGGCCAGTTGCGCGGCCTGCGCACTGACAGATTCGGAGGTTGTAGTCGCGAGGGAGGCGTCTGGAGGCAACGCGTTTGACGTGGTGTCATCGGGGGCTTGAGGGACCTCGCCATGGATCTGCTTCCGTTTCAGTAGATTCGCGGCTGCTGTTGTAAGGTCCGCCATTCTGGCGGCCCATTGCGATCGTCAACGAAGCCGAAGGTGGACGGGAGACGGTCTTCGACGTTGGGAACTGCAATTCGACGTACGGTGTCACGTGTGCTCATATAACCCGTTTTGTCGACTGCTGGGATCAGTTGAAAATCAAGCGAAAATGAAAGAATCTGTGTCATCAACATGAGACGTCTTTATGTCTTGTTTAATATAAATGGGCACTACTGGTAAAGTGTCATATATTGGTCCTTTGGGCAGGCCAACTTCATGATAGGCGGCAGCGTCCTGTGTTAGTTCGAGGTACCAGTCAAGTCCTCGCCACTAACTGTAACTCTAGCAAATCGCATGCAACAGCCCATCCGAAATGAACTGTCGCATCCATCACACCTTACTGGATCTTGCTAATTTCAGGCCGATGATTGCATTGTGGCTCTTGCTGTTCGGCATTCCGTCCGATATTGTTTCCATCTCTTTGCCGATTATCGGCAGTTTTAGTCGCTACTCATTTTGCTCTTCCAAAAAATTCTAGATAGATGCAACTCTATTGTTTTTGGCACAGACCTCTTTCTCGTCATATCGCTTCTTCAGAACGATCGTTTTCCAGAATCTGCCGTTCTAGGAAGTTAGTAAAGACCTCGCCCTTGTCAGCCCAGCAGTGATCGGCATCCGCCGCCCTTTTGCCCAGCCCCACCGACACAGGCTTATATACTTAACACCTTCCCTCGTTAACATCCCATCCTGTCGGGAAGCAACCCATCAGTGACCAAATGTTCTGCTACATGCACTGTCCTTCGAGAAGGTTATTCCAACTCTCTCAGAAATCCTTCTCCGGGGCGTCATTCTGCTACAGACCGATGTCTACATCATCTTGGGCCAGCCCCCTCAACGACTGGAGCGCTGCGCAATATCTGAAGTTCGAGGATGAGCGCACTCTGCCAGCCCGTGACCTTCTCTCACGCGTCTCCCTCAAATCTCCAAAGAGGATTGTCGATCTCGGTTGTGGTCCGGCAAACTCAACCGCCGTCATCGAGTCTCGCTACCCGGACGCCCAGCTAGTGGGGATCGATTCTTCCCCGGACATGATCCGCAAAGCCAAGGCGACCCTTCCACACCTTAAATTCATTGTGGAGGACTTGAAGTCGTACTCTCCGCCAGAAGCAGTGGACCTCTTCTACTCCAATGCCGTTTTCCAATGGCTTAAGAAAGAGGAACGTTTCGAGGTCGTCAAGAGATTGATGGCTTCTCAACCATCTGGTGGTGTCTTTGCTCTTCAAGTCCCCGACAACCTTTCAGAGCCATCGCATGTGCTGATGCGAGAGACTGCTAAATCCGGGCCTTGGGCAGCTAAGCTTGCAAGCGTGGGTCGGGATACATTCCAAACGCCACAAGAAATCTATGATCAACTCAAACCTGTCTCTTCTCGGGTGAATATTTTCCATACTAGCTATTACCATGCCCTTGAAAATCATGAAGCCATTATTGAGTGGGTCAAGGGTACTGGACTGCGGCCATTTTTGGATCCCTTGCAGCCGGAAGAAAAGGAAGGCTTCTTGAAGGAGTATCTCAAGCGTCTGCAAGGGATGTATCCGTCTTGTGTCGATGGCCGTGTTTTATTGCGGTACCCCAGACTGTTTGTGGTTGCTGTTAAGGAATGATCCTACCAAGCCTATAGTAATGAAATTCAAATGCATACTTCCCCGGATGAACTCAACGATCCAATTAGTCCCATAATACTACGTTCATCCCCACAGACAGGTGTTCTAATTGAACTTCTGAAAGTTCTATGGATATCCAAGGAGAGGTGTGGTAGGAAATAAGAGGTGGGTGCAATGATCCTCATTATCTACATGCAGTGAAGATCACTTAGCGATGAACTTACAGTTGAACTTGTAATCTCCATGGTAGATTTTAGGTGATATACAGAGTCACACGTTGATTATAAGCCATTTCGCTGAGGGTGGGATACTCCTTATTCCATCATACTATGTATGATACGTAATAGGTGTGCAAAATAATTTCTGCATAACACCCATCCAAGATAAAAAAGAAAAGTAGTGCAACCTCTCTTCGTGACCCTTCTCACTCCTTGTTGCAATCTGTACCATCGAGGAGGTCGTTGATGATATCGTGCAAACCTTGGGCATGCGCCTTGCTTGGGGTCAAGAGAAAAGTGTTAGCTAAGCTATGAAAAAGTTCGAAGATTTCAATTTACGCGAAGGAGCAAGGGAAGGTATGACCATCTTCCATGCAGGCCAGATAAATGAGTCAGCTCGTAGTAGCCTGACTCCTCCCATCTAGTCTCACGTTTTCCTGCCTAAACCAGCCACTTGGAGTTGTTAGCCTCTATCTTGGAAGTGGGCTGAGTGGCTTACCAAGGACACAGAGATCAAATGCTTGTCTCTTTAATAGCATATATGGAAAGTATGCCTCCCTCCATCTCGAGGATGAGTTATTTACGACAAAGTCGCGATGGATGTCAGCCAGGTAGGTGTGGGATTTGGAGGTTGAGAGGAGAGGTGGAAGGGGAGAGAATGGGAGAAGGTTGGAAGCGGAAAGTGGACGGGTTGAAGTGGAACAAAGGTGGAGGAGACTTGAGAGTGGAGATTGATTAAAGGCTTAGACTGGAGGATGAATGTAGGTCAAGGTGAGGTGGGAGGTAGGGATGAGGAAAGCTCTTGGTGAGAGATAAGATAGTATGTCGTTGCCGCGGTCGATCTGTGGGCTATGGGAGAGACAGAAGGAAATCGGAAAAAAGAGAGAGAAGTGAAGTTAAAATGAAAATACATAGAGAGGGTCAGGTAGCCAAGAGTGCTACCTACTAGTACAAATATTGGAATAGAACTCCGTAAGCCGCAGTAGCACTGCAAAGTCCCCGGGCCTCAGTGAGCGCAGTACAGAAGTCAGCACACTAGTGCAGTTCCCTACTATATACTAGACCATTTGTTATGGATGAGAGATTCCATATTTGCACACCTATCGATAATCTTTATAAATCCTATCTTTCTCCACTCATCCAAGACCAAAGAGTGAACTAGGACCAGGGACCCTCTGCTTACTCCTCATCCCCTCCAGCCAAAAGCCCCTTGATGGCCTCGAACAAGTCCTGGGCATATCCTTCGTTGGGCGTCTTCAGAAAATCGTTAGCTATTTGAGATATCAAAAAATCCGAAGGTTTCGTCTTACGCGCAGGAGTAGAGGAAGAGTGTGTCCATCTTCCATGCTTGCCAAATAAACAAGCCGACTTGTGGGAGCCTGGCTCTTGGCATCCCCATATTTCATGCCCTGAAAGACGGGGCTGTTTAGCATGACCCGTAAAGCCCCGTCTGCGCGCATGATCATACGGCCGAGTCGCTTTCCGTCAACATGCCGCACGTTGAGCTTGAAGGTACCAATACCGCGTTCCTTCCACTCGCCGGCTGAGAAACCATACAACTTTGCCTTGCATGCAAAAATGGTGCTCTCTTCTTCCTCGCCAGTTTCAACTATGATCTATTTTAGCAACTGTACTCACTCGGGCCAGGGGATGCGATGGCTAAGTAAACATACTGGTCTGCGCGTAGAAACGCTCGTCGGTCTTAGCTGCCTCGAACGTATCATTTTCCTCGTCGTCGTCTTCTTCTTCCTCTTCATTTTCGGAATCTTCTGCGCCAAGTGGCTTGGGCTTGGTCTCGCCGAAAGTGGAGGATACGTTGGGAGAGGCAAAGCTTGTCAGGCCAGTGCTGGCAGATCCAAAGCCACCTCCAATACCGCCGAAGCCACCGAGAGCGCTAGTACCAGCGGTGCCAGTGGATCCGAAGGGACTAGCTGATTTGAAGACAGATGACGTTGATGCTCCAAGGACACCGAAAGGCGACTTATCAGACCCGGCAAAGCTACCCAGTGTCGATCCTGCAAATGCGGAGCTAGAGGCAGGCTTGTCAGTAGCCGCAGGCGCTTCAGTGGGTGCCGGTGGCTTTGCCGTGGCGAGTTTTGCAAACGGAGAATCGACCGATGCGTTAGCGAAAGCGCTTTGAGAGAACAGCTGCAGATGATGGTTAGTCAAAACGACAAGATCATTAAGTAGGATAGCGAAGGGGGAAATGCAAACCTTGTTGGTATTTTCCTTGTCCTTCTCTTCTGAGTTATCCCGGGGTCGCTTCGTCTCTCGCTCTTCTTGGGCCGTAGAATTTTCACCTTGAGCAGTTGTCTGTGTCGAATCCTTCATCGCATCTGATTTCTTAGGGGACTCCTGATCGAGCTGCTCTCTGCTTCGCTTCTTTGTTAGACCCTTTGAAGAGTCGGTGGCTCCGGAATTCGAGGTTTCCTGGGATGACGGGTCGTCGTTAACATCGACTTCATGCTGACTTTCTGGCATTTGCGCCTCCGAGCTGCTGGGTTGAGTCTCAGCAGAAAATCCAGGTTCACTGGCCGGAGACTTGGGGAGATCAGGATTCGGAGAATCGCGGGATTCCGGGGAATTTGGAAAAAGATTGGGGTCTGGGGAATAGCTTGATTCCGGGGACGGTAGAGGGGAATCGAATTCTTGATCATTGTCTGGAATTTCACAAGAGAGATCACGCTTCTCGGGATGCTCATCGTCTGCCTCCGGCACCGAATCATTGCAACGCTCCCGTTGGTCTTCGGACACCGGATCGTGCTCTGGATGCGCCATGTCGGTAGCTGTACCAACCTCCGAGGATTCTGCAGAGGGATCACGCTTCACGGAGTGCTCATCGTCCGCCTTCGGCACCGAATCATTGCGATACTCCCGTTGATCTTCAGGCTCTGAATGCGCTAGTGGGGCAGCTGCATCAACCTTCGGGGATTTCTTGGGTTCTAGTGCTTCTGTTTCGAGAGGGGACACCTCGGTGGTGCGTTCGTCCTGGACTTGATCCTTCTTTGTGGCCGAGATCGGGTCCTTGGGTGTGTCGGAGTTTCCACTCACGTTTTGTTCAGAAGGCGCGGTAGTAGCAGAGCTTGCTTCCTTGGCCTTGGCCGTCTCGGAAGACTGTTCGTTGGTGGGTGTGGACGATCGCGATCGCTTCCTTCTTCCTTCGCCATCGTCGGGGTAGTTGTTCAGATCATCTCGGGATTCTTCAAAGGATCGCTTTCTACCATTTTCCTTGGCCGGGGTTGACTCGATGGTCGTTTCTCTGAGTTGTTTGCGAACAGGACGCTCGCCGCCGTCATTGTCGGAAGGCGGGGAGTGAGGAGGATCGTGGGTCACTGCGTGATAAACTGTTAGATCTTCAAGAAGCGCAAAGGAGGTCAGGCGAGAGGGTGACGGCTGTTTAAACGGGCGAGGGCCCAGCTATGTCGCAGGACCAGGCAACAGGATGGATGCGCAACACCGGAGAGGGGCAACACAGAAGTCACCAGGGCGCTTACCCGCCGACTCTGCCAAGTTGCTCTGCTCAATCTGAGTCTTCCCTGCGACATCGACAGAGGGCCCACTATTGGAAAGGGGGCTTCAAGCAAGGTGTTCAGGTCAAGAAATACTTACCACCCTCCGAGGGCTTCGGCTCGTCCGATGTGGACGCCATGGCACACGGTTGTTGGGTCACAGTCGGACACCGAGCTATGTGCAGGTCGGAAGGTATTCCAGGTACGAATCAATAGGGTGGCACGCGAATTCGGGAGGATATGAGTACGGAGTAGAGGGAAAAAAAGCGGTTCGAACCAGCCGAACGAAGGTCGAGAGACGAGAACAGGGTGGGGATGAAATGGAAGAATGGAAGTTGGGGAGAGAAGATGGAGGCTAGGTCACCGCTCCGGCCCGCAACAAACTCCCCAGTGAATGGAAGGCCGGATTCACTCGACTCGACGACAACAACAACGAATTGCACACGACATTGAGAACAATGAATTGTGCAGGTGGGTGCCTGGAGCTTATTTTTAGCAGCACCTGGTAGGCGCAGGTATACTGGATAAGTACAATTGTATTCACAGGATCTCAAGCTAGAGTCTCCAGTAAATTAAGCTCCTACTCGCGTTACGGGCAGAGACATTCGAATTTGAAATTCTGCGCATCTACTCGCCTTGCGAAACAACCTGATAGGCCCGTGAGAGAGTATCTAACAATCGGTAGAGAGCTCCACTCGGTGTAAATATGGCATGTACCAATGACATCAGATCGATGTCGGAAAGAACATATAGCCAGTGAATTTCGCAAACAGGGAGGCTCTCCCAGGGAAACACCCACAAACATTATGAAGAGCAGAGAAAAACGTGTCATAAAGTAGAACAAAGTTTGGATTGGCTGGCATTTTGGAATGGAGACTAGGTTCATCACAAGAGCACAGGACTCCCTCGCCTCAGATACCATAGCTCCTTAGTAGATCTTTGGACTTTACAAACAACTCGAAGGGTCGAGACACTTTCTTGACCCGGATGCAAGACATGGCTTGCCCTTAACTAATAAAACAGAGGCAGCCAATCGCAATATAGAACATAAACAACGGGTATACCGCAATGCCCACGCGGTTGCGAACAATCCCGGACCCGCCCAAGATACTAACACCCGCTGCCAAAGACCATGCGACAAGGACAAGGTAGACCGGGATTCGAGCGATTGTAGGAAGACGTAGTGCACTCAGAAGAGCAGCGATCACCAGAGGGAATAGTGTGTAGCCGATAATGCAAACTGATTGGAAGAAGGAACTGGAAAGAGTGACGCGTTAGCACAGTCCAAGGGTACTCGGTGAGTGCGAGAGGGAGACTTGATCTCAACATACATCTTTCCACCCAGAAGCTTGATCTGGAGTGTAACAGCCGCTTCGCCAATCCAGACAATGCAGAAGACACCGGAGAAGACGGCGGACGACTGGTCTCCGTGCGCGACAGACAGGAACAAGCTCAGAACCAAGCAGAAAACCAAGGGACCCCTGCGAAATTGTCAATATCCAGCCTAGTACCAGAGCCCAGTAAGGATGGACTGAATCATACCAAAGATCCCAATCGCGCAACCCATCGCTCATTCCGCCCTGCAGGACAACGTCGGCGTCTGGCCAGCGTCCCACGAGCCCGCGCAGGTTACGGCCAAAACCACTTGCCTCGCCTCTTTCAGCAGCATCATTGATACCACCGCCTCCACGCTGCATCATGCCGCCAAGAAGATACTTGGGCCATAGCACCTGGCGCATCTTCTCCCATACGGCAACCAAGTCGCGCGACAGGGTCGCCCAGACACTCTCATCGATTGTATTCTGAGTCGCGCGGCGGTCTTCACCCGGAATTGAAGAAGTCAGATAATTGCCATACCCGTCATTTCGTCCGCCTCGGGAACCGGAGTCGGATTCAATGTTGCCTCGTAGAGGGGCTGTGTCGGAGGTATCGTGTAGGGGGTCATCGGCATCGATAGCTAGAGGGTGCACGGCAAATCAGTAAGACGGAACAAGCTGAATTGCGCGACAGCAAGATTCAATCCAGACGGAAGCACCTACCATCATCGGCCTCGATCAAATCGTCGTCCAGAAGCGACTCGTCGTCGTGCAGGTCGCCATGAGAATGGCCCGGTTGCACACTAGCCATGGTTCGCGTGGTGTTATATGCGACGGGGGTATGTGTGGTGTTTTCAGTTTCGGAGCATGACCTCCTTAGCTAGGAATTTTCGAGAAGCAGAGCCCAGGGAAGCGGAGGATGTGAAGCAGTGTTGATGGTCAAGCTTCCTGGAAAGGCTAGAGTGGCATTACTCAGTCACGTGTGACGTCTGCGTGTACACATGAAACCCGGAGAGTTTGGGCGGGATCCACTCCTATACCTACATTAGTACAGGCTACTACCAGCTTGCAAACTGACAGTCTCGCCAACGTGGCATTGCATGAGTGTTACTTCTCAAATATTCTAAAGCTAAGCGGCCTCGGCACTTTCGACATAGGGCGGATCTTCTTGATACACATCATACTTGTACTGGGTCGCAGGATGGTCATCTCGAAGCTCCTTCTGCCCTCGTCCATACACTTTCTCGCGAGCTGTGAGCGGCTCCTCGGAAGTGGACGGGAGTTCTGGGTATAGCCCACGCTTTCTGAGCTCCGGAATCACCAGATCGATCAAATCCTCAAAGGTTCCGGGGGTAATGACATGGCCGATGTTAAACCCATCCAGGTCTGCCTCTCGGATCCAGCGCTCCATTTCATCTGCCACAGTTGTTGGGCTGCCAATAGCCACCGGGCCAAGACCTCCAATAGAAGCCTTTTCCGCGACAATCCGAGGTGTCCAACGTGGCACATCCTTGCTGGTCTTCACCAGCGAGTCGAGGAGACTGGTCACTCTATTTGCCTCGAGAGAGTCCGCAGCTGTGATTTCCTGATCCAGAGGAATTTTCGAGATATCAATACCGGTCCACCCACTTAAAAGCACCAAGCCTCCTATCACCGAGGTGTATTTCTTTAATTCCTCATACTTCTCGAAGGCCTCTTCGTCAGTTCTTCCTACAATAGGCGTGAAGGTGCCGAAGAATTTGATAGACCGCGGGTCACGACCATTTTCGGCCGCCAGCTGACGAATTCTGTCGACTTTCGGTCGAAGAACCTCCGGAGAATGAGACGAGACGAATATTGCTTCTGCGTGCGTTGAAGCAAAGGCCGAACCGGCTGGCGAAGTGCCCGCTTGGAATAGGAATGGCGTTCTCTGCGGGGATGGATCGACGATGTGACGCGTATTCAGGGAGTAATACTTTCCCTTGTGATTTATCTGACGGACCTTGTCCGGATCAACATACGAGTCTTCCTCTGGGTTAGGTGACAGTGCATCGGGTGCCCAAGATCCTTCCCAGAGCCTGTTTCATCATAGTCGTCAGTCACCGAGCTTGGATTTGGGATGCTCAAGTGCTTTGATACGTACTTATAAAGTACTCTGAGGAACTCGTCGGCCTGCTGGTACCGCTCGTCATGTTCAATAGGGGTGTCGAGACCAATCGCTTTGAACGCCGCCTTCTTGTATGAGGTCACAATGTTCCAGCCCAACCGGCCCTTGGTCAAGTGGTCCAATGTGGAAAAGCGCTTTGCAAGCAGGAATGGCTGTTCAAATGAAGTGGACGCTGTTATACCGAACGCGAGGTTTTTTGTCACTGCGGCCATCGCGGAGATGGGCTATTCATGCCTAGTCAGCATCGCGCTTTTTTGCCACTAACTGTCTATGTCACACTAACTGTCCATGTCACTCACGATAGTTGGGTCCGTCACGGGCCATTGTGCGGCCCGGCGAATGCAATCGTCTATCTTCCCTTCATACGTATCATAGCCGCCAGTCGTATCTGCAAGGAACAAGGCATTGATACCCCCGTGCTCTAAAAGTTTCGCAAGTTCGATCCAATACTCGAGCGTGCGCTTCGTCGCCGACTTATCTGCTGGGTTCTATACTTGTCAGGACGAGCGAAGCACGCATGGATTGCAAAATATACTTTCCACTGGCCAGGAGACAAATGTCCAACAGTGGACATGTCAAATGCATTGATCAAGATGTGCTTCTTGGTACCATTAGCAGTGCCCTCCTGGCTGCTCTGTACGCTGGCGTCTATCATGGTTCCGGCGAATACTGCTTTTTTGATATTAGACTTTCGGAGTTTCCCATGCGGTTTGACGAGCTTTCGTGGCCGTGCTCAGTATATAGGAAGCGCTATCAACAAGATTTCGGATAGAAACGCTTGTCCCCACACCTCATCTGCTACGTATTCGCCTATAACTTGCCCATATCGCGCCATAAGGGCGACAGAGATTTTCGGAAGATTACCAAGCGGCAGTTAATTGATTGCATGAGCTGGGTTCATCGGCATGGCGTATGACAAGTGTGAAATTCACAATAGCCCCATGAGAGAACGCAATGTGGAGCGCCTTATGAGCAACAAGATATGCTTATTGCGAGAGCTAGCATGCATATACATCGGCAATTTCAATAAGATGGGCATAAGAATGAGGTAGTCGCAAAATGTCCGACCTGTTAAACAAAAAAGGTCCGAGGCGAGCCAAGCTGGATTTCATCATCCGGTATGCTACGGCGTGACTGCTTCCATCAACAGCAAGTTCACTCGTATTATCATTATAATGCATATTACGACTCGTGGCCGGAGTAAAGAGGCCAATTACTTATAGTATCATGGGAAATTAACCACAAACGCAACCTGGAATCAGATAGACTTTGCCATCACGCATAGTGTATATTGATAACTCCAGGTACAGATGAGACGGCATGGAAAAGCAGATTCTCTTCAATATAGGCTGAGTGTCATTTTTTTCTCCATGAATGTCAATTGAGTGTGAAACTCAGGTGTATTTCAGATCTTCGCGAGGCCCAGATTCAAGATTGCTCGAGTAATCAGCACTTTCCACGTCAGAATTACTTCCCCTACCAAGCTCCCGTTTTCTATAAAAAGGATGTTAGAATCTCCAAACCAAATATTCAGAAATATCTTTTTTTTGGCTTACTCTTCCTGTGAGACAAAGTGTTGCACAATATGCGCAAGTGCAATTAAGCAGATCGCATTTCCAAGAACAAAGGAGTAGCCCTTCGTGAAGCGTGGCCCCTCAACTGTCTTAAACACAAGCAGTGGTGTCCAGGCAGTAGTTGACTGGGCAATCATGTTCACAAACACAAGAGCCACGGCTCGTTGGACAGGCGAGGCACGTAGTTGACTGTTTATCCAGCCATACAGGACACTCGACATTGCAACGGCCGAATAAGTTGTCAAGAAGGCAAACCACAGCGCCGATTCGGGCACATTCCAGACAACGAGGATGATGAGCCCGATGATGTTCCACGTATGAGAAAATGTTATGGCCCACGCAGGTCCCAATAGAAGATCTGAGGCGAAGCACACGAAGAGTGTATAGAAGATTCCCAGAGCCGGAGATGCGGCAGCAAGCTCATTCAGTCGACTAGTTGAGAAACGGTTCAAGCTCTTCAGCCACAGTTGGTAGCCACCTGTAGTTGTATTCACACTTCCATTCCAGAAGAAGATGTTCAGCCAGAGGAGAGCCCAAAGCCTCCAATTGCGACCGACGTTGAGAATCGCACGCCAGGAAACCGTCTCTTCCTTAATGCTGTGTGAGGCTTTCTCAAGGCGAGACTTGGCTAAGTCAAGGTCCTTTTCTTTGAGAATCAGCCTATTGGCCTTCTCTGGAGTTCCAGGCAGAAGGAAATATCCAAGGATTGCAACAGGAAGAGTGATGACAGCACAGATGATGTACATCCACCTCCAACCAGCTAGTCCATTCACACCATCTAGACGGCTCGAGGTTCCGGCTTGGATGAGACTGGCTGTCAGAGTGCCCAGCGTGAGACCAACGTAGAAACATCCTCCCCGCCGAGCAATTTCATCGCTGCGGTACCATGATCCTGGATGTCTAATTAAAAACGGATTCCCAGAATAACATTTGAAAGGAGGTGCGCATTTACCGAAGATATAATGCATTCCGGGATAATAAGCAGCCTGTAAATTATCAGCTTTGTTCAATAATCTTTTGAATTCTTTTCGTCGTATACTTCGAACCAGCCAACCAAGAAGCGATAAGCAGCAAGCTCGGCATACGAATTTGCACGATACTGCACCAAAGTGAAGATCCCCCATGCGATATCCATGAAGGGAATGATCCAGTGCATTGGCAGCTTCGTAAATAGAAATGCGAAAGGCAACTGCCCCACCACCGCACCGATGGTGTACATCATCTGCAATTGAACTAATTCATTGCCGTAAAGGCCAAGGTCTTCTTTGAGACCGGACACATAGGCGTTGTCTGTCGATTGTCAGTAGCTATGCATTTTCTCCAGTTGCTTTTGTACGTACTGATATTGGCCTGATCGATATACTTGGTCCAGTAGGCCAGAAAAGCGTAGGGAATAATCAGAAGGTCCAGCTTCAGAATGAGCCGTCGCTCTTCTTTTGTGTCGTGGTCTGCAAACCATTGCAGGGAATACCATTTTCGTCGCTCTTGCGGCACAGTCATTGTTCAATTATCGGTTCTCATCCGAGAAACCCATCAGATAGGATGAAAGGATAAAGGAGCGCTTAAAAACTTCCGAACTAAATTAATTCAACGAAAAGGTCTCAGTCCGCGGCAAATGGAAGGTGTCACTGAAGATGCTAATTGCGTGACGGACTGTAGACAGGGAGAAATCGGGGACTTGCCGAATTACTTCGTGTCGGTGGCTTGGCCTATGGTAAGGCACCTTCCTAGATAAGAACAACGGTTTGTATCTCTGTCGCGGAAGAGCTAAATCATTGTAGTGGCCCAAGGCGTGTGTGCTTGTAGTCTGCACTGAGCGACATTGGCGTCGGCGTTGGCCAAGACACATGCCATGCAGTGGGGAGAAGACGTGCTGACGGTCATCTCGTAACTACTCAGAGCTTAACCACAATGCGGACCTATGAAAGACTTATTTAACTGTTTTTATGAGAAATGAGAGGCTGTCTATTATATATGCAAATTTCAATGCCATCAGATCCAGATGACTGATATACAAGATGTTGAAATTATGATACAGCGAGATCTTCCAAAGATCTCAAATTTACAGAGGCCTCAACCTTGGAAAAACCCTCGATATTTCACTCCGATCTTAGCCTTTAACCTCGGGCTTGGTTTCAGTTTCAGGGCTTGCCTCGGTCTTGGGTTGGTTCTGAGCCTCGACCTTGTTTTCGGGCTTGGTGTCGAATTCGGACTTTTTCTCAGCCTGTGCGGTATCCACGACCTCAGATTCAACCTCCGACTCGATTTTGCCCCGAGAGGTCGCTGGTGCAGTACGGCTGTCCTTTCGGAATCTCGGCTCGAATTCTTCGATCTCCTTCTGGAGTTTGCGGAAGACTTCTCGTTGCGCAACCGTTGGATAGACAATTTTGTTATTGGCACCATGAATGACGGCCTTATCGGAATACCTTTTCAGCATTTTAGACTCCTCAGCGAGGATCTTGCGCTCTGCCTTCGAGACAAATGGCGCATACTCGGACTTGAGAGTCTCGTCGATTAGCGTGCGGATCCGAGACATAATCTTGACTGCCTTTGAGGCTGAGACATCCTCGTTGCCGCCCTTCAGACTATTCCAACGGCCCCTAGGAGCAGGCTTTCCTTCCGAAAACGCCTCATGGAGCTGCAAATAGTGAGGGCGTAGCGTATCAAGGGCGAAAAGGCCCAGCTTGGCTTGTAGCTGTTTTCCAAGAGCTTGTAGAGTTTGACTCTTCGAACCTTCGTCAATTTTCAAGCCACGCAAGTTCAAGATGGATTGCGGGTCATCGGAGAATTCCTGGATCAACGCCAAATATCCTTCGATAACACGAGGGTCTGGAAGAACAAGACCCTTACGCATCGTGTCGAGGAGGTCCTTGGCATTGAGAAGTACCGATTGATTGCGGCGGTCACGGCGACAGGATGCAAAAGCGACGTGGAAAGCGGTAGCATCTGTAGTTCCCCAAGGAAGCATTTGCTCTCTCACGACTCGAGCTGTATCTTTGCTAGCCCGGGCTCGACGGAGAAGACGAAGGTATTCCATGCAGCAAATTTCGTCGGCCTGCAGGTGGAATTTTTCCGACTCGCGAGTAAAGAGATCCCAATAGCTCTGACCGGCTGAAAAATTATGCGTCATGTTGGAGCAAGCAGTCAGAATCACGGTGAGATCCTTGCTGTCCGGCACGAGGTGTTCTGGCGACTGGCCGTCCGCCAGGGTGACGGGCTGGAAAAGGAATTCGAAATCTTCCTCCTCCATATCATCTTCTTCCTCCTCAGCCGGGGCTGTCTCCTCATTTTCAGTCTCGCGTCTAAGGGGTTTATTGTCTTCGTCGACAAATGGGACATCCTCATGTTCAGGCTCATTTCCTGTCGTCAACCGTGCCTTCTCGTATGACCTCAATATGAAACGAGCTCGCGAGCGACTGATAGTCATGTTCGGCTCGGGCCTCTTTGCAAGAATGGGAACCCCCATGGTCTGATTGTAAAGTTGTAGGACATCGTAGAAATCGCTGTCGTGGACTCCGTCGAGAAGCAGATGGGCCATTGCATTCACGACTTGGTTACTCAATTGCAAGCCATCGTTCGACCATCGGTAGATGACATCAGCCCAGATCCTCTTGCCCTCCGTGACCATCTTTTCTTGCCGAGCGATAACTTCGTCGACTTGGTGGGGTTTCATCTTTCGGAGATCGTCGCGAGCGGCATGGTGGAGAGCGGCCAGAATGATACTATAGGTTCTCATATCCGGCATGTCAGGTCCTTCGTCAGGCAAATCGCCGGCAATACGCCATAGTGTATCCAAGTCGCCGTGGCGTTGACAGACACTCAACATGGCGTTTGAGTGAATGATGTTGGGTTTGACACTGGAATTCTTCGCAAAAATAGCTTTATAGATGGACTCGGCTTTCTTAACAGTCTCGCGGGATTTTGGTCCTTTGCCTCCTTTACTGAAGCCTTGAAGCATGATCGTATAAGTTTTGGGGGAGGGTTGTCGGCCTCGCTTTTTCATCTGTCAAGTAAAACGAGATTGAGATTAGCAATGCACTTTTGTAGCTTTCAAGGACTGCAAGAGTTATCCTGAAAGACAGTTCACGATCAGAGAATAGACTTACATCATTATAGAATTTGAATGCCGCGTCCGGATACCCTTCATCCATGCAGTATCGCATAAGATGATTCCACGCCTGGTCGCACCTTATTTGTCTGCGTTGTGCCTCACGTGTCAGGGCAGCCGCCTGAGCCACATCGCCGGCCTTTAAGAGCCGTCCAACTCGATCCGCCAAAGTTTTAGGATCCGTCAGCCATTGCAACTCGAGCGCGATCGACTTGCTTGAAAACGTCGCTCCAGTGGTTGTGGTTGCAGAAGCAATGTCCATCAGAGTCCGTCCATTCTCCTTCCGCATGGCATGTGACTGCTTTTTGTAAGGGATCTTCACTCCCCGCATAATACCAGCGTTGTCTCCATCGCGAGTTGAAGGCCCGGGTTGTGATGGAGAGGTTTCGTGATCGTGATCGCGATCGTCTTCGGTCGAGTCGTTCCGGAGAGGGACGGAATTTGATGAAGAGTATAGTCGCTGAATCGGCGAAGTATTTCCCAATGCAATGGAATGAGCGCCTGCAGTTGCCACCTGTGGGCGGATGGCTCGACTGCGCAGAGCTCTGCTCAGAACTGAGCCCGAATGCTGAACCGTCATAACCATGTCCGGAGTCTGCTACCAGCCTCCCAATATACACTCGGTCGCGAGGAATGTAAAGCGAGAGACAGACAGAAACAGTTGAGCCTGTGCCTAGTCAAGAAGGCGACAAGGATGAACAGACAGACGACTGTTTTTTCGCGACTGCGGAAGTCCGCAACAATTTCTCGGAGGTCTTGCCGCTAGGCCCGATATGGCTAGATCTTGACCCCTGACTGATCAGGCACCGCTCAGGATCGCGGTCGACACCTGAGGCTGCAAAAACACATGGCGCGGCAGCACTAACCCCAAGGAGTTTAACTTGGGCATGGAGGTGCGGGCCGCTAGACCTTACATTCTACCAGTATTGCCAGGCTTACAGTACTAGCTCCCGGGGCCTCAACTGCGGTACGCCCTGATCTGCATTAGCCCAGTTCTGGGTTAGGGCCTACTGCACATCATGCGTATTCCAAGCATGGTACATACTCCGGGCAATATGCAGATCAAATAGGCGCGGGCCAAGCCATCTTTGGGGTATATCCAGGAAGCGACGTGGGAGAATCAAGTAGAAGAGACCAAGACAAAATCCGCGGAACATCACTCCACCAAATTGTCTTCGAAGCACGAGACCCTTCATAGCATGGGAAATACACTCTGGCATTTGTAGTTCGAGACTTCATGCTTTCTATGGTTCCCAACGCTCAGATATGACAGCAAGCAAGTCGGCAACAGATGTCAGAGGCACAAGCACCGATGGCTATCTACTGCAAACCAATTTTCCGCCTCATGGTCAACCGTGATCTACGGATTATAAATGCTCCATTTGATCGGAGTAAACAGATCCCTCGGTTATCAAAATGGAATGGGGAACGTGTGGGACAGCCTGGGGTGGAAATGGATGATCATCAACTCCAGGGCCGATCACTTAAAATTCCACTCAATTCCACAAAGTTTAAAACTGGCCAGGTATGACAAAGAGGACTATTGCGCACAAACAAGCGAATATAACGCCGCGATGTTCTCCGGAAAGCTTTGACATGCTTTGTTTACTTCAGTCCCTCTCAAGACACAATAGCCGGTCCAGACAGGTCAAATCTCAGTCCGGCCAATAATCTGCTCAAATCTTCTCCGGATGTATCCAAGGCTTCGCAGGATCTGCAGGGGACCTTCGCCCCACGTGGTGGCAGTCACACTAGCCCGAATTGAGGCGACGCAGGGATCGTATCCAGGGCTGCGCCACGGACGTAGTGCGTGTCTTGTACACCGTAGTTTACTTTCACTCGCAGATGTGACAAGTCCCGTCACAATCCACTTACCGGGCGAATCCCGAGCCGCCAGAGGCCGATTCTAGCGTCATTTTAGAGGATCAGTTAGGATCCCAAGAGTACCCGAGGTATACCCTATACAATCAGATACTCAAAGTACAGTTACTATGCTAATTCGGGTGTTACCTCCGCAAACTATCTTAGGGACATGCCTTCTACGTCCAACTCTACCTCCTCCAATTCCCAAAGAATCGTCACCCCTTCGTCCGAAATAACAAAAGCCTTTATCCGCACTGGTGCCAGTTCTTTCGGAACTCGAGAATCAAAACAAAGCAGGCATATCCCACACAAAAGAACCCTCCCGAACAAATGTCTCAGACGCAAAAGCCACTGACGCCGGCCCCATTATAGTCCCGGAAGCCGAGGGAACTCGGCACCTATGTATACCCTCGTACCACAACCCAGTCCCAGACAACCGTACTAGTCCCGCTAGTCACCAACCCGTATCACCGTCACGGCCCAATCAGCCTATGAAAAATCCTTACCCAGGGAAAGGACCTACATGCGTATAGTACCGTACCTACAGTAGCGGTGTCAGCAGGTCGTAACACCAACGAATGTCGTACTTTTATGGTTCTTACCGTGCTTCGGCTTCGACCTTTGCCATTAGCCTTTAGCCTTTTCCTTGCTTGTTCTGTGCATGTCATGTTCTAGCGCTGGCGCTGGTGATGGCACCACCGATCCCGCTAGTCATAGCCAAGGAACCGAACCGGTGGAGAACGAACCGGTGACTTTTAGTCTGGAGCTTGAGTCTTTTGGGTCTTAGTAACATTTTTTGATTTTCACCCGGCCTCCCGGGATCTGCCTGCCAGGCTAAGATAACCTTATTTGAAAAAATACAGTGGCGTTGTTCGGGACGCTAGTGGATGCTTGGGATGCTGGTTTTTGGGATGTGAATTTGCGACTTGGCCGTGCGTGCCTTTCCGTCCTACGGTCTTGATACCTCTTAGTAGATCGAGGCTTCAGATTGTGGGTAATAACATAGAATTATTTCTTTTGCTATCAAACTCGAGAATGAAAAGCAATCATGAATACAGTCCATCTGACTATTCACCGCCAGACGGTAGAGTACAGGAATACACTCCGGACCAGGAAAGCCCAGTACAGTATCTGATGTACGTCAAGAAAAAGCGGAGAGAAAATGGAAGAGGCAAGGAAGAACCTGCCATAGCAAACTGCCATACACAGACAAAAGTGGAGCAATGAGAACAAGTTGAACAAGGAAAAACGAAAAACCTCCCAGTAGTAATATGAAATAAAGAGGAAATCGTTTTGGGAGGAAACAATGCCCACAGGGAAAAAAAACAAACCAGAATAAAAAGGACCAAAGAGTACAAGTACTGATGCAAAGCAAAATCCGCCACCCGACCAAAATTCCTAAAGCCACGCCCCCTAGAGCAAACGAGCAAAGCAGAAGTAAACAGACACCCTCTCCAAATTCTGGTGATTTGGAAGAATAAGAGAGATAGAGGATATGGAATCCTTCTGCAGATCTGGATGCACGTTGTACTCTCTAATAGATAGAGAATTTCGCAGGTAACAAAGCCGGAAAGACACTCTTTGACTAGACCAATTAAAGGCGCAAGAGGTTGGTATCATCGAGGAAATAAGACTGGAGGAAAGTAAGGGAAGGATGGGGATCAGAGGTTCCGAGGCGACATGAGTCAGGCAATGGGATATCGTGATGAGGAAGCAAAAGACCAGAGGAAAAATGGAAAAGAGAACCAAAGACACAAGACAGGTAAGAAAAGATGCAGGTTCCGTTCCACGGCGTATGAGGCGAATTATGTAGATTATTGCGGGTAGCCGGTCGATTGAGTCTCTGGAGAGCCATGGCGGGCATAATATCAGCCGACCGATCCTGGATTGGAGTAGGCGTGAAAATGGACCGAAGAAGTAGGGGAGGGTAGAAAGTAATCCAAATGATCCAAATGAGGGGGAGGGGGATCGCAAGGTCCTGGCAGAGATACAATGGCGGCGTTGGTTGCCGTGGTGGTTTTGAGTTTACTCACGTTGCTGGTAGACGGGTCCGCTCTGGTATGGGGAGTGAGGGTAGTTGGGAGGGTAGCCCATCTGTCCGTTGCTCTGGTAGACCATGCCGCCACCGGGAGCACCGTACTGACTGGGCACCTGGCTGTCGGCGGGCTGGTATCCGATGGGAGGCAGCTGGGGACGCACACCACCACCGTAGGCCGGAGGCTGTCCTTGAGAGGGGTCGGAGGGACCGGAAGCCTCGACCTGGTTAGCCTGGGCAGCTTGGGCAGCAGCGCGCTCACGCTCCTCGGCAGCCTTGCGCTGAGCCTCTTCCTCCTTCTTGCGAGCCTTCCATTCCTTGCGGATCTCCTTGAACTCTACAGGGGGTAAAGTCAGTATGAGGGTGGCAAGGTCAAAAAAGAAGAAGCCGACGATAAAAGAAAATAGACAGGGCCAACAAGGGGATGTAACAGCAGGGCCTAGCGGGGCGGAAAGGGATAAGACACAAGCTTAACCAAGCTTAACCTTTCACGCCGTCGCCCACGCTACTGCGGGCCCGCGAAATCTAGTGTAACTGACTAGCGTGCGTACCGGCGCTAACCCAATCCAGCGGTTTGCGACAACCTCTGGGGTTTGCGACGAATTGCACGACCAATAGAGCAGAAAAAACAACGAGACATACCTTCAGGCGTGCGCTTTGCGCCATGCGACTGCATTGTGACGTGGGCGTTCAAATGGTTCAGAGTACCATATGCCTTCTCACAGCCGTTCCACCCACACTTGTACATGCGCTCAATTTCCTCATATCGGCGGCGAGGGCGCTTGTGCTGCTGCGCGCCGGGAATCGGGACGAAAGAGTAGACCTGTGAAAGAGATAACATTGGTTAGCGCACGCGATTCTATTGAAGAAGAAAATGAGAGCCAAGCAAATCTCGATCGAAAAACACGAGAGAAATGCGCTGTTTTTGACGATCCCTGGGAGGGCGACGCGATAACCCAGCGGGTGAATGCTTCGAGCCCAGATCGGGTCGCCCCCAGAGGCGTCCAAGACAACGGTAATGACAGAAGCCTTCGGAAATACGCCGGAATCATCAAAAACATACCTGACCAGGGCGCGGCCCTGCGGTCGCAGCAGGGGAGGCGGAACCAACCGTAGTAGCCGGCGAGGCATAGGGCCCCGGCATGTGATGCTGCTGGCCATAGCCATGCGGCCAGTCGGGCCGCGAGTACATGTGCTGTGGCGGGGGCGGATGACCCTGGTACTGGGCCATCTCGTGTCCCTGCGGCTGGTAAGGAGAGTAGGGAGGAGGATAGGTTGGGCTGTTGGCCGGGAGCGAAGGATCTAAGGGAACGGCCGCGTCAGATTTAAGATTCGGGGGCTGCGCGGAGCCGCAGGCATGGACATGATGAACGGACTGGTAGCTTGAGCCATGCCGGGCGCACCACCGGGCTGGGTGTTCGGAGCGTACGGCTGGGGGCGCGGAAGGTAGTCCTGGTAGGCGGGCGAGCGAGTCGGCGGCGGGTTGAGGCCGTAGTCCGACTGGGGGGTGTTGGACGACGAAATGGTGGCGGGTCGCACTTCGGGCTGCGGCGTGTACTGTTGAGTCGGACGCACCTCAGGCTGCGGGGTGTGCGTGTAGTGAGCAGTGGCAGCAGCAGAGGTCTGGTCTGCGGCGGGTTGTTCAGAAGGTGTGTCGACAGGCGATGGTGCTGGGTGGTGCGAACCTGACTGTGCGTACTCGGAGGCGGGCCGGGTGTCCATATAAAATGGCGGGAGTTAGGGTGCGCGCGCGCCGGGCGAATTCCTCGGGAGGAACCAGCGGGTCAGGAGGTATGGTTTCTGTCAGACGCGTCACGAACGTCAGTCAGTTTGGTTTGCTGCTTTGGCGCGAGGTTGATTGGGGCGAAGGCGGTGCGGACGAAGGATGAGCTTCTTTCAAGGTCGGGCTCGACGATGGGGGAAGAAATCGGGGAAATTGAGCGAGATGGGGCCCCGTACCAAGCAAGGGACCCAGCGACTAGGCTCGGCCACGTTGGGCAATCGTGGCTTGACTGGGGAGTTGGATGGAAGGGAAGCGAGATGGCACGTACAGCTTAGAAGGGGAGTGGGAGGGGAAACAGGCGACGCAGATCCCAGTCGTGTGGAGATACAGCAGGACGAGGGGATCGACGCGTTGAGCAGGCGCGTTCAGCGAAGCCCCGATGCTTAAATCTTTAGTTCGGGATTTTGCGAGGATGCCTTGCAGGGTGGCGGTCAGCGCGAGGCTTTCGAAGGGTGGTCTTGTTTCTTCCCAGCGAGAAGGAAAAATTGGACGAAGAGGGAGAGGGGAAAAGGAACTTTAGTCCTAAAAGGCCGTTCGGCAGCGCTGAGGGCGTCCTCGTGGGATCCGAGGATGCGGTGGACCCGGGTGGAGTTGCGTAATTTTGGCTCCAAAATTACGATGCGTACATATTTATTATTATCAGCACGAATAATTCAAAATTATCGCGGGAATTACTATATGGACGATAATCGCGAGCACAAGTAGGATTGGGTTTGGATGCGCGGGCTCCATTCCCTTTTCTCTCCAATCCTCCGACCTGCTTGGCCCCCCTTTCCCGACTTGTCCGTGTGATGGGAAATTTTCTATGTGTTATTTTTCGATCTCATTCGGGCGGATCCAGGGGGGGGAAGGAGGAGGGGGTGGGAAAAAGAGTCAAAGAAAAAAAAAGTGGCGACTATCATTAGGATTACAGTATTTTATTTCCGGGCTTTGAAGGCATTGGGAACTATGAGACATGGGCATCACCAAATGGCGAGGTGAGAACAAAGTAGCTGATAGACATCCTTAGTGAGCTCTTGATACTCTAGTATATTGGATTTAGCCTCCCATCAGACTAGTCTACCCGCAATCCGGGCGCGTCTCGAGGACAGTGAACCTAGCGTGTACGCTCCGTGGGTACCAACCAAGATCGCTGTCACGATGGTCAGGGGGGGGAAAACAAAAGAAAAAAAAGAGGGGCGGAGGAAATGGCGTGCCCGAACACTCAACGGGAAGTGGAAACGGCCCAAGCAGGATTAGTGGCGGACGACGGACCGGCACTAAGGCAGAAGCAGGCCTAGCGCAGGCCGGGGGAGCAGAAGCGACCATGTCCTCCTCGGGAGGACCAGGGCTAGCGTGGACGGTGGAGACGAGGGCCAAAGTGAAAATGGGCGGTTGAAGCCGGTCTTTGCCTGATGGGTTACATCGGTACGATACGGTACGCACGGTAATCTAACATAATACCTTCGTACAGTAGGGAATACCTTGGGGGAATATTAGACCTGAGGGGGGAAGACTTCGAGATACTGTAGGGCATTGATAGTGTATACTGCAGGGCAGTCACTATGCTAGCGTGCTAGTGCTAGCAAGTATATCGACGGAGACTAGCTCGTCGTGGCGGTTGGTCTCACTTTGATCACTCGCGTAGGCTAAGGCCGTACCGTCACGATACTCAGGAACGCGTCGGTGGAGCCACCCCACTGTCCGTGATCGGAGGCTATCTCGTGGACAGTGAGGGCTGTTAGTGTGAGTAGTGACTGTACTACTCTACTGCTAAATATATTTATGTATGAGCACTGGCAGTATCCCAACTGATTGCTGAATTCAGTATAGAGGGCATTGGGTCGACTCTGTGTCCGATCGGATCAGCCCGCAATCCGACAGGGAAAAAGGAAAAAGGAAAAAGAGGAGAATGCAAGGAAAAGGGGGGGAAGTCCCACCGCTGCGTTGGATGTGAACTTTCTGATAGAGCAGGGCTCCCGTGGTTCCCGGCTTCCCCTCCATTGCTTTACCTAACACACCTCCCAGGTTTCTCCGGGTCACCTGTGACTGCCAGTGGACAGTAAAGGTGTAAGGTGGACGGGGGAACTGTCTCCCCCGCTGCTTATCATACGATGCAGTAATTATAGCAGGCCCCATCCATTGGTTCACAGTCAGCATTGCCAGAGGAGAAAAAGGGGCAGACCATGGAACGGCGGTACTGGAACCCCCGGCCATTGGCCCTGCGGCTTTGGACTTCGTACTTCTCCCTTCGCGTTGATACCGATGGGACCTGGGAATCGAGGGTGGTGCCTGCCAGTGGAAACATGAAGGTCTCCAGACTGCTTCCCGGACCAGCAAGAAGTCTCCCGTCAGCGGAGCATCGGCGGCTCTCCGGGATTTTTGACTTCCAGGGCAGCCTCGTGAAAAAAATAAACGAAAAGTGGAGCGGCGATAGGAACGAAACGAGGTACAGAACGAATGCAAGGCTCCCCCCTCGGAAAACCACCTGTTTCGCCTGCGCCCTTCTGATTGGCGCCCAACTGGATCTCACCCCCGCGCAACTGGTTCATCGCCGGTGAAGAAGGCGACAGAAAAGAGAAGAAGCAGCAATATATCGAACGAAAATCAAAATGAAAAAGGAAAAGAAAAAGGGGGCAAGGTAGGGGGGACAAACAGTCCACCGACCTGCTCCTCTGGGAACATCTCGTCAGTCCGAGTCCTGATTGATCACGACAAATGCCGCAATGGCCAGCACCTAGGCACCGCAGAGCGCTCCCAGCTCATTGCGAGCAAACCCGGAGGTCGGCAATCTGGACAAAGGTCCCCGCTATCGAGGCCGCAGCTCGCAGAGCGGCCTAGTGCTCGTTTGAATGCCCCCAGTGGGCCACTGGCTCCGCGGAGAGCTCCGTGGCAGACCCAGACGAGTTTTAAGGCCGTACGGGATATCCGGACACACCAGTCCCAGGATGATCGATATCAAATGGATATGGCGCCCCTGTTATTGGACGCCGCAGCCGCTGGAGACGGGATGCGTCCAGCGTGGCCTCCTTGCGTGCCTCGGACGATCGCTCCGAGCTGTCCAGCGTCTCGTCCCAGTGACACGGTGGTGCGGTTCCCGGTTTTCATCCAGGATACGATTACAGCGGAGGACTCCGCACCGTCGCGAGGGCTTGTCAGCGCGACGGCAAACCTGCAGACGCAAGGAGCTTGGCAGCCGGTGCTTTCTTTCCTGTCTGAAGAAGATGCTGCAAGACGCAGACGTGCTGGAGGGTATGCTGGAGAACATGCTGGAGCGTAGACATCCATCAATCACCGTATAATTGGCCCCTTGCATTATAACGGCCACCGTTATGAGGCGCTTTGCGCGGTTGTGGCTTTGGCCGAGGGCATACCTAACCGGAGGTGTCTTAGGGCACATGCCTCTATTTGCCAGTGCCTCTAAGTGCCTGTATGCCATGGTATGTATTGTATATGGTATGTAGTAGTATCTCGTCCTGTCCTCCCCTGTACTTTGTGCATCGCGGATGGAGTCGGTGGCAAGCACATGTCAAGCCTGTCGACGGCTATACTTCGGGGGCAAGCTGAACTGCAGTCGCGACCCTATCCGTATGTCGCGACCGAACTGTCTGCAGACGGTCGATAGAGCATGATCGCAGCTTCCCCGGGACACTGGACTGGGAAACACTAGCAGACACACGCACCACGAAGATCGCTCGAACCCCAAGACCGCAGCTGTCAAGCCTCGGGTACCTCACGCACCGGTCGCCGAAGGGTATCCGCCCGTGCTCAGAGGAATGTATCCAACAGCAGTCAGGTATCTGAGGGTATTGTAAGGTCGGATCCGGTGAGCAACCCACTTCGCCCTCAACTCCACCCACGCTGGCCAGTGCGGACCCATGGGCTCTGATGGGATGCTACGCCGTACACGGTAAGTCTTACCCGCCCATCCTTCGGCAGATCGAATTAGGGGGGCAAGTGGTCGACCGTGCATCTCAGGTGTTGATCAAGTTCAAATTCCCCGGGCGTTTTGCCTGTTTTGCTGCATGGCCTGGATCGGGGAGGGGGGTCCAGGTCGGCTCTGGGACCGATCACGGCGGACGTCTGTTTTGGTATCCTCGGTTAGAGGGAAAATCCGGAGCAGGACAGGAATGGGGGAATAGGGGAGGTGTGAGTGGGGGTTGGAGAGTGACTGAGTGCTGACCAAGACAGAGAAAGACGAGTCAAGGCAAGGCAAAAGTAACAAAAAACAAGGAGGAAAACATGGAGGCCAGTCTGGGCCAGCCGAGTCCCGAGACAGGGGGCCAGCGTAGCCCAATAACACCCCGAGGCGCACTCTGTTCAGATGTTCACGATCGTGCCAAGTCCCGTCCAATTCATCCCGTATACTTACAGTAGTAGAGTGGCCAAATTCAATCGCGGAATCCCGCCCTGTGATTGGTGGAGTCTCGCTGTCTGAATTTCCATCCCAATGTTGATGTCCGTCGCGTCCACTGTGGCGGCCAGCCTCGCTCGCCCGCAAACCACAAAGCCCGTCCACCTCCCAGAGCCGACCCAGCCGGCCAGAGGTTACATTTTCCATGCATGTTCTACGCCTGCTCCGGTGCAGGAGGCAGCGACCAGGGCCGGTCTGCATTGCATTGCATGACAGGGGCCGTGTCCTGGCCCAGCGCATCCTGGCGCGGGGTCCGGCTTGGGGGACTACGGTAAGAATGGCCCGGGGGTGCGTACTTTCCGGCTTTTGTTATGTACATGTAGATGATATCGTAATCGGGAAGTGGTCAATCATTTCATTCGCAGCGTCAATGTCCCGGGCGTAGAGCATTCCCTGATTGAAAGTGCGGAGAAGCTACAATGACATTGAGTTGATGTCGAGCGGGCTGGACGGGGATGGCGACTGGGGTCTGCTGCACGTTGCTGTCTTGGGAATCGTCGTCTGCACCTCCTGCATACCCAGAGAAGCTTTGGGCCGATGCATGCACTTTTGCTCGCTCGGCAGTCAACGTGCGGCCTCGGAGGGTGGAAATAACCGGTCTTAATTTTGGGACGGCCGCAGCGGGCTCTCTACCTTGCTGTAGTACATCCATAGATAGTAACAGGCTGTTGCTATCATCGTCTATGCGTTATCATCGGGAGGTTTTATCATACCAGCGACACATTGCTAATCTCCCAAAGTACGTCCTAATACTTCCTAGTAATTTCTAGGATGTACCATATCCATCCATAGGGCCGAGTACCCTGGTCGAGATCATAATCCTAATTGCTTAGGGTGTAGTGCAAGTCATTTCAGGTCCGATCCGTTATCAAAGCACCACTGCATCTGCCTAGAATCAACGCCATTTTTATCAAAAGCAATGTTGCCCCCACAAGTGTCAGCTTTATATACGCTGGGTTAGACCAGAGCCGATCCGCCGTGCAACCATGCCTAAGAAATCACTAGCATCCGCACAGCCTCGCGGTGGGCCATTTAAGCATAAACTTTGACAGTTGGGCACAAACTAGAAACTCCTCGTACCAGAGTGACCACTATACTGCTTCCGGTCTACTATAGGCTCTAGTGGTGGAATCGTCCGTAGAGTCGGCGGCTATGCTAACCCTGCTGGGCATGAGGCTGTCGTCGCCAATACCTTGGGCTGTAGCTCGATCGCTGCGCCACAAGCGGTGAATGGCCTTGTACTGTGACAGCAAAGATGGTTGGTTCGTATCGAGATTTTGATCTAATCGTTCAGCCTTATCCACACCCTAATGTTGCTTAATGTACCTTAGGATATTGAATCATGCATGCATGCATCTGGTCACTATCCATGGATGTATGCTGATCATGGCCCGCGACCATTCTTCTCGGAACATTCGAGGTGATTATTTGTCTTCTCGCTCTCGATTTCTATGTTCAAATGTCCAATATTTGGACTGGCGGAAAAATTCGTTCCGTCGTTTATAGAATTACCCCGGTTGATTTGTGGGGGCAATCTGAGACCTATATATTGACGCCCGGTAGGGATACGACACCTACATTCAATAGTATATCGACGCACAGCTCACAATTTTTTTTTTTTTTTTTTTTTTTTTTAATTCTCTGTGATACCACGTGTGGCGGTTCAGTGACAGGATATATCGAGAGTGCTAGACAGTCGCTCAAAATGCAAATACCCGAAAACATCTTGTCCCTACTAGCCCTCGTCACCCTGACAGGCGCATCCCCAATCAAAACGACGGAGAAATTTCAATGGTCCTCCAAAAAAGGGCTGTAAGTACACTGCAATTTGCAGCATCAAAAACACACCCACAATCACGTGCGATGAAACAAGAACTGGAACAAGATTCTGATTTGGGGCGTTGAAGAATTGCCTTCGGAGACTCATACACCTACGTTCAAGGAATCCACGGACACCAGAACTACAGCTTCATAGGCGACGCACTCAACCTTGCATTCGATGAAGAGACCCTGCTCTCCAACATGATCGTTCAAAACCAAGTAAACCTTCCGAATGCGAATTCTTGCTTCACGCTGCTAACACAGCTTTTATAGACTGCAACCGCAGAAGGGGGTCCGAACTGGTTAGAGTACCTCACCAACTGCGGCGTCCAAGCAGGCCTCACCTCTCCACGAACCTGCAAAAAGCAGCTTTGGGATTTTGCCTTTGCAGGCTCTGACATTTCCACTAAATAGTTCGTCTCGATCGACTAGCCTCCTTAAAAAGTAATACCAGAGGCTAACAACAGGCACGGAATCAACAGCACCCCCTCCACCACAACTTCACCGTCTCCCTCGTCAACCAAACCCTTCAATTCAAACAATACGCCTACACCCCCCTAAAAAAGTTCCTCAAACCCAAAGACAGCCTCATCGCAATCTGGATCGGAATAAACGATATAAACGACAGCTCCCAATACGCCGTCGACTTCCCAACTTTCTACAAGAACCTCACGCAAACACTCTTCACCTCTGTCAACGAGCTCTACACCCTCGGTTACAAATCATACCTCTTAATAAACCTCCCGCCCTTAGATAAAACACCAGGAAACCAAGCCTCGAGCACGCCGCACCCGAACGCGACGCAGGTAGGATGGTACAATGCCGCGCTGTCCGAGCAGGCGAGTGCTTTCCAGCGAGAGAAGAGCGATGTCGAGGTGAGGGTGTTTGATGCGCATACGCAGCTGTCCGCGATGCTTGATGATCCTCCACGGTATGGGCTGATGAATACGACGAATTTCTGCGCTGGGTATGATCAGCCTGATATTGATGTGAATTATTTGAAGTATGGGTGTCCGACGCCGTTGGATACGTATTTTTGGTTTAATTCGGGACATTTAACTAGCCATGTTCATCAGATTCTGGCAGGGCAGTTGGAGGCCTGGTTGCAGGGGTAGTGAGTTGGTGTGCTGGTGGTATGTGTATATTTGGTGGTTCAACTTGTTATTCTCGCCGAGACATAGTCGGCTGTTCACAAATCCATGAAATTCCCAACCATACCTACCGCGTGATGTACACTACCGTCTCAGTAAGAATCTATTTAAAACTACGATGCATGAACGAGTCATGATCAACTGTTAAATTGTGGGTAAAAGATAGCTGATCAGAGTTAGAAAGCACCTGGGAATCACTTCCAGGGCCCGAGAAAATGACTTTTGCAATGGCTGAGAACCCAGTGGAACTTCGATATCTGACGATACCCTAAAACCTATTCACCAGAGTCTTATGAACCCGATAAACCCATCAGAGCCCTATGAACCGATAAAGAAAACCATGTAAGCTCTATGAAAAAAACGCCGTCCGTCCCGAATTACGCATGAACCCGAAGTGAAGCCGGGAAATTGAAGTCGATCAGCAATGCAGCGCTGAATAAGTCCAGCGACTGCTCGGTGAAGTATGGGCGATTTACCAGCGGCGGTTGTTACCCAGAGAGCTGTTGTTCGAACCGGTCACACCACCGCCGCGTCCACGGCCACCCCAGCCACCGCGGCCACGACCACGACCGCCACCCCAGCGGCCACCACCACCGCCGCCGCCGCCGCTGTAGCGAACCATCTCGGCAAGACGGGGATCGATCTGCTGCTTGGCCTCAGTAAGGATGGTGACGAGGTCACGGGCCTGCTTGGAGTCTGTAGGTAGAGAAAAACGTTAGATATTCTTCCATGACAAGCGGACCAAACAAGAGAAGGGGGAAAACATACTGTCAGTGGTGAAGAAGGTAATGGCGGTACCCTTGGCACCGGCACGACCAGTACGGCCGATGCGGTGGACGTAGTCCTCCGAGTTGTTGGGATAGTCATAGTTCAGCACATGAGTAATGTCACGAACATCTTGAATACGGCATCGTTAGCAAACAGCACATTAGTGGGGTAGTAAAGATATCGTGGTGGCCATAAAAGGACCCTTTTCTCAGTCGTGGAAGACTTTATGCATCACTGCTCTCTTCGCGGACCTTCTTAAAAAGCAAGAAAAACCCGGGATAAAGGAAGCAAAGTCCATGGGGGTGGCGGTAAAATCCTGGTCCTAGAGTAACCTTGGAAATGCAGCTGCAACAGATCAGGAACAAGTTGAAGATGTGAAAACCTCCAACTCGCTTGTGAGTCTCGGAACAAAGGAGCCAGAGAAATCCTGTCAGAAACTGTTGTCTGGGAGGCTGCACTACGTGCCCAAGGTTCTCCTGGTAGAAAAGAAGAAACCATTTGAGATGACCCTGACAATCCGCCTGGACGAGTCGTGGTGTAACCAACGAGCTTCGAGAGAGTTGAGCACCGTGCCGTTTTGTGTCATAATAATGAAACATCGCACGGGTGAGTTTTCTCAAGGGCCCCTCAAGGGGGGATAAAGGGGTATAGGAGAGGAAAAGGAAGGGGGAGTAGTTTATTCATACCGATACCACGGGAAGCCACATCAGTGGCCACCATGATGGGGCTCTTGCCCTGCTTGAATTCATTCAGGACCCAGTCACGCTCCTGCTGCTGCTTGTCACCATGGATAGCTGTAAAGAAGAATGTTAGTACCCAAATTTGTGCATCAGAGACAGGAAGGGTTGAAACATACAGAGCGCGGGCCATCCGTCTTGGCGAAGGAAGCGAGTAATCTCGTCGGCAATACGCTTGGTACCAGTGAAGATAAGAATCTTGTTTGAGCGGTCCTCCATAATCTTCTCCATGTGCTTGATCATGCGGTCACGCTTCTCGAAGTCGGACACAACCTCAACGATCTGGGTGATGCGGTGGTTGGCGGACAAATCCATGGAACCAATGTTGACCTGAATGTAGTCGTTAAGGAAGTCCTTGGCAAGCTGACGGACCTCCTTGGGCCAGGTAGCGGACCACATGCAAGTTTGACGATCGGGGCGAATTTGGCCAATGATCTTGCGAATCTGGGGCTCGAAACCCATGTCCAGCATGCGATCAGCCTCATCCAGAACCAGGTAAGTAACACGGCGCAGGTTGGTGCGGCCAGCCTCGAGCATATCAATAAGACGACCAGGGGTAGCAATGCAGACCTCAACACCGCGGGACAGGTCACGGATCTGGGGACCCTTGGGAACACCACCGTAGACGCAGGTGTTGCGAATGCGGGAGCTCTTGCCGAATTTGGTGATCTCAGTCTGAATCTGGACAGCCAGCTCACGAGTGGGAGCCAGGACAAGAACGATGGGACCATCGCCAGGGGCAAGCAGGGGCTGAGCGTTGATGTGGACAATAGCGGGCAAACAGTAGGTCAGAGTCTTTCCGGAACCAGTTTCAGCAATACCGACAACGTCGCGACCAGAGAGGGCCATGGGCCAGCCCTGAGACTGGATGGAGGTAGGCTTGTCGAAACCCTGAGCCTTCACCTCACCCAGAACGTACTGAGGGAAGCCAGCCTCGTCGAAGGTCTCGACGGGGCGGGGAACGTTGGTACCCTGAACAGCCATCTGGTTCTTCTTGCGGAATTCCTGAACTTCCTCCTCGGAGCGGTTGGTAACATCCTGGTGCTCCTTGTAGAAAGACTTCTCGAACTTGGGCAGGGAGCTCAGATCTAGAAGGATAGATTGTTAGTATTCTTGCGGTCGCAAACATGAGTTTCACAGAAAGATCAGTACTCACCCCAATCCTGTTGCTTCAAACCCTGGCCGAGGTTGGACATGCGGTCACCACCTCCGCCGTAACTGCCACCGTAACCACCGCCGCCGTAACCACCTCCGTAGCCACCACCGTAGCCGCCACCACCATAGCCACCGCCGTTGGAGTAGCCGTTGTCGTTGCGGGAACTGAAAATTTTTGTTAGTACTGAGGTTCGAGGACTCAGGGGTGAAGATACGTCAAGTGGCGTCAACCGGCAGACCGGCAGATATGACCGACACGGCGACAGATCGCAACCAGCGCGACCCGGCTCGTCAAGAGACAGAACTCAGAGCCAAAGATGCGTGATATACCTTGACGCCACGCGCATGTGCAAAACTCCACGGAGTTTCTTTCTGCGCGAAAAGAGAGACAACTAACTCACCGGTAGGAATCACCGCCACGGGAGTAACCACCACCGCCGTAAGACATGGTGAGAATTGTTGGTGCAGGGGAAAATCGAGAAGAGAAGTTTCAAAGGATGTGAAGAAGGGGAAAGGGAAAGTCGAGGGGAAAAGAGGGTATGTCAAGGAAGGTGCTAGAGATAAAGGAGAAAAAAACAATTTTTGAAAGGAAGGCGGCGATGGCAAAAAAAGTTTCCACTTGGGGGACTAGCGCGCCACGTGACCGGCCTGGACTATTCACTTTCCGCGGTTGCCTCAACCGAACTAAGCAAGTCGGGTGGCGGTACCTGGGGATCTCCGGTACCTGAGAGATCTGCGATGTGAATGGGGGCTTTGGTGATTGTTGTATAGTAATAATGTCATGTATGAATGTGCTACGGTGAGGTTTCTCTATACAGCAGGGGCGGTTTCACAACTTCCGGTCGCTCAAACCCATATCCCAGAAACTGATCTCTAGATCGGTCGCCCGGATAAAGATCTGAATCAATTCTTCCATGCGACTCGGGGAGACCTTCTGCATGTGTTGTTCCAAAAGTTCTATCCAATATCATCAGAAAACATGTGTAAGACAAGACAACTTGAGGAGAATGAACTTACGGGACCCAAGGCGTACAGCCTCGGTGTAGTCTTCGGCGACATAGTTCTCAATCCATTTCCAGTAATGGTTGCCCTCACGAAGTGTACCTTCTTCGGAATACAATCGTCTGGCAATGGCTCCATATCCGATCAGACACGGTGCCAAGGCCATCTGCAGCGCAAGCCAGTCCTCTGACTGGCCCACGTCCAGAATGTATCGGCTGTACGCAGTGCATGCTATTCCCGGATATTTCAAGTCAGACACCATGCATATGCACTAAATTTTGAAGCAAAGGGAAGAATGTACTAACCGATAGTTTCCGGATGAGCCTCCATCTCTTGCTTAGAAAGGCCGAACGAAGCACAGTAGTCTAGATGCAAAGCCATCTCTCGTTGAATGTGCAATACAATGCGGGCCGACTAGATAAGGGGGTCAGAATGAAAGGGCTAGGGGATAATTGATGGGACTAACTGCTGCGATCGACTCCATGGTCTTCGCCTTGTAAGAGGCCAGTGAGTTGCTTCGAGCGAATTGAACCTGGAATCCATGTGGTCAATATTTCCTCTCATTCTTTGAAGAAAGGCAGTACATGAAATAATGACTCACCAGGTAGAGATAATCTTGTATAAGGTATTCCTTGAACCGCTCGACCGGAAGTGTACCCTGACCCATACCATCAACGAATTCGTGGTGGGTGAATTTCTCCCAAGACCGTTGAACATCGGGGCGGTCCAGTATGTATTCGAGGAATCGGCCACTTGGCGGATTTTCTGTTAGCAACCCCTCGCCATGCACAAAATGAAAAGGGGAAAAGAAGCATACGGAGCAAAGGGCATGGTGTAAATCGAATGGAAATGGTTGATGGGCCCGCTTCCTTTGCCCAAATCAGTACTCGTTTTGATACCCGCTTCAACAAACCGCACGGCATTGCGAATAGCGCGGACCATATTCTTTCCTTGGGCCAGATTGGCTGCAATTGCCGAAGCTAGCGAGCAGCCAGTGCCGTGTGTATTTTTAGAGATCAGGTATTCGGTCTCAAACAGAGTCGTTGTTCCTCCATCGACGAGAACATCGATCACTGTAGTGGCGTCTTGCGGGTTCTGGGCAATATTGTGATCTTTGGTGAGAGGCATGTGACCACCCTTTAGCAGAACTGCCTTGGGGCCTAGCGAGCGTAATTGCTTGGCGAGTGAAATCAATCCAGCTAGGTCAGCAGGCTCTGGAGCTTCGGCGCCGGAGTCCTTGATCAGAAGCTGTGCCTCGGGAATATTGGGAGTCAGGACGGTCGTAATCGGGAGGAGCTTTGTTCGCAGCTCCTTCACGGCCTTCTCTGGTAATAGTTGCGACCCACTGGTAGATACCATGACCTGCCCCAGCGTGAGTACAATCCATGTTTCCTCTGAGTCGGGAATATCAGTTTGATCTGACTTACTGGGTCGAGAACGATGGCGGGAACCCGGTGGGTTTGCAACGTTTCGGCGATGACATCAATCGTCTCGGCGGACGACAGCATGCCTGCTCGGAGTCAGCGAAAGGCCTCGAGGAATGAAAAGAATCATCGGTAAATCACCTAGTTTGACTACATCTGTACCAATATCCTCGAGACCGGCATTGATTTGCTTTTTGACAAACTCCGCGGGTACGACAAAGATGTCCTGCACACCGAGAGTGTTCTGTGCGGTCAGTCCTGTCGTAGCCGTGAGGGCATATACGCCATGGGCGGCCAGGACTCTCTGGTCAGCCTCGAGACCACTAAATGAACCAGTCAGCTTTCAATTTCCAGATCTCGAGTCATTGCATGGTGGTAGCCATCAATGCGGACTCGTAATGAAGCTCGCTGCTTCCCGCCGGAGGGGCGCGGACGGGTCACTTACGCGCCGCCTGAGCTGTCAGAACCTGCGATGACCAGGACCCGCTTGACTGACATGATGCAAGCCAATAAAATTGCGAATATGCGAATTGGAAGGGAGTTGAAAAGCCGTCGCAACGCGAGTGCCGTATTGGGGTGGTGGGGGAGGCTGCACGATAAGATAACGCGGACGCTCCAAAATTTGCCCGATGTCCACCAAAACCTTGAATTAGGGGTGTTCATTTAAAGTAATCTGGACTATAGTGTGAAGTTTGGGGATACAAATATTTGACCGTAGCAAGGCGATTCGCTTGCTCCGTTGGCGCTTGTCATACTATTTGATCTGGGGCATAATATTGATGTGATACTGCCAATACCCGGAACCTGAGCGTGTGCCCTCGGTATTTTTGATTGGAGGGCTAATTTCCAAGAAAGATGCCTCGAAGAGCGGCAATCAGACTTTGGTTTGATGGTCTGGTCCTGTTTTACAACCCTGGAACATTGAGAAATGCCACCTGTACAGTGATGTCGTCTCGAATGTGCCGAGAGAAAGGTGCCGAGAAGCTGAGTCGGCCAGCAATCAACTCGTGATGATTTCCTCCCAGCGAATTGCGTACCAGATGCACAGCAGCATTGTCATCTTGAACAGTTGTTCTTTCTTCCACGAATTTCCAGTTTATTCCCTTCCAGAATTGCCCAAAGTCAAACGGTTCATAGGTCGGTTCTAGCTCCACTCCTCTTTTGTCTGACGACTCCAGCCATTTGCCCACCAAGTTGACAGCTTGCTCATTAGAGAGCATATCCCACAGTCCATCGGACGCCATAATGAGGAAAGAAGGCCGGCTGGGGTCGATCTTCGTAGAGGTAATGACAGGTTCCGCGGTCAAGTATGGAGGCGTTCGAACATCGTACCTGGGAACCAAGGGCGAAGGGCCATTGAAGTCAGTCTTCATATTCTTCTGAAATTCCAAAGGCCACTTCCACCGACTATCACCAAAGGCCCGGGAGACTGCCAGGCCGAGAACACGGCCATCTTTGATCATGTTTCCTTCTCCGGGATGATCCTGTTGTAACCGGGAAACTTCATCCTGATTGTAACCGGTCTGATCAATGGATAGAGGGATTGCTTCCCATTTGCCGTCAGGTCTTTGTTGTCCGAGAACCGCCCTTGAGTCGCCGGTGCATGCCACGTGCAGTATGCTCGTGATGGAGTCATAAATGGATAGTAGCGCACAGGAACCGGCATAGGCAGGAGCAAGCATCTTCGCTTTCTCTTGAAATGGTATTTTGCTCTGAGGTAAATCAATAGCTGCATCGATGATCTCTTTGTCCAGGTTCAAGAATCCTTCAGTGATGGCCTTTTGAATCGATTCTTGTGCCGTCGGATCGTTGCCTGGCAGCGATTCCACCTGCTTCAGGCTATGTGCCACGAATGAAATGAGCTGCTTCTCGAGCAGGTCGGCAGTCTGAGAACCGGCATGTCCGTCAAATACAGCCCAGGTCATCCACTCATTGCCGTCATTTCGCGGCGATGGGAGTTTGCCGTGGACGAATCTGTCCTCACATGGACTGTTCGAAGCCAGTTGTGCGCCATCATATCGGTTGACACCGGCGACGTCCTTGACCTTGAAAGAATACGCGCCGTCCGAGATGATTTTCGTAACTTGACTTGGAGAAGGGCCCGGCGTAAAGTTCAAGTGCTCCGTTGGAGGGCATTCAAGGCGCGGAACATCATCCCGGGTTGTTGTCAACCACCAAAGGCCTGGAGAACCGATGAACCCAAAAAGCGCAACATTCCTCCTCAGATTGGAAGATGGTCCTTTTGTCGAATACTGACGACTTGCATGTGGTATAGGGATTCGGCGCCCTAGTCGCGCTCGGGTCACGCGCGAGAATAACATTGTTCGTAGACACAAAGTGGGCAAAACGAAAAGAAAGGGGGTGGGTTGAGTTAGTTTGAGTTCTCTGGCATCAAAAGAAACACGGGATCGGCAGCTGCAATCGCAAACTGCTTCGGCAAGGGCATTCCAGCTCGCTGGACCTCGGGAGATGCCAATTGAGCACCCTTGCTTCATTTGATGACTCATCAATACAAACACCGGAAGCCATATTCGGTGGCTAGATATTTCGCAGTGGCCTGCTTTTGCGTGCCTAAGTCGATTTGAAAACACACGAGAAGCAATTCTACAAGGCCAAGCCATTCAGTCGGTAGTACAATCCCACTTCTTTTCGTCCTTGCAGGTGCTCGACCCACTACAATTGCACCGTGGCTTCACCCGGATTGCGTGATGTCTACATACGTGAGGCTCGATTCAATTGCGCTGCTGTGAGAGTTGCAGGTACGTATACATTATCTGATGGGTTTTTATACAGATGGATATTCTGACCTTGCTGTCTGGAGTCGATTTAAACTCCTATGGTTTTACGCTGGAAAGACCTCCGAAAGGCTGTCATCACAGAGTGCTGAGACATATATAGCCCGGGGTTTCTGTGCGAGTTGTAGAATGATAACATTAGGCAATTAATACCTCTTAAGCCCATCCCAAAAGAAAGCTATGTACAAATCCAAAAGTCGTAGGCCACCGGGGCATTTATTGTAACATGAAGCGGAAAAGAGTGTCCATCTCGACCCATTGTCGGCCGCATTTCTTCAAGTAGCTATCCGCAACCGTCTTAATCGTTTCGAAACGTGTCCGATTGAACTCAGCGAGAGCAGCAAGACTGTCCTTCTTCTCCCCGCTCTCCTTGTTGGCCGCGCTCTTGGCCTTCTCCACGTCCCAAAGACCGGAAAAGTACAGGAGCTGGTTGTAGATTTGCTTCTCGGTGTACTCATAGGACATCCGGCCTAGACAGCCCTCTGCGCGACCTCGTGGACCCAAGCATCGGTGTCCGTAAACACTGATTTGCCGTGTACGGTTACCACAAGCCGAGTCATCGCACACCAGCCAGCCCTCGTAGTAGCGGGCAGTCTGTTCGCGAATCTGGCTCTCCAACTGAGCAACAATGGTCAGGACAGAGAACGGTTTCTGGCAATCCTGGTTGGAGCAAACAATGCCATGGGCGGTACACATTTGTGGCGAGTCGACCAGTCCTTCGAATACCGACTGCTCTTTGCAATGTCGGCACTTCAAGGTCAGCCGAACTGAGTCAGCAAACCGGACGGAGTCAGGGATCTGGGACTCCAAGGGGAATATCTCGGCATTTTGTTGGTTGCTGGCACTCGAGGTGTTGATTTGGTATTTGCGGGTATCGAGTCCCAAGCACTCAGCAAGGCGCACAGCATCGGTACCCGGGATTGGCGCACACAGACGCTCGATAGGAGGGAAGATCTGCTTGAGAAGATAGAATTCGACATCAGGCTTCAGTTCCGAGTTTGGCTTGAGAACATCCTGGGGACTGTAAGACCGCTTGGCTGGAGGCAAGGACGCTGTCTCCGAGTCACCACCCGTAACAATGTATGAGATGACATCGTTGGGTCGGACATTCTTGCCTCTGGCGATGTCCCGGAGGGCGACCTGGGCGGGTGGCATGCTTTCTTTGTTGGGATATTCCTCCGGTCGTTTAGAAAGTTTCTGTCAATTCCAGAAAATTAGCATTCATGATACTGTGTCGTTGATGGACTTCACACATACCGTATAGATAACATATTTCTGAACGGGAATGGCGAACTCCTTCATCTTCTCAGCCAGCTCACGCAAGTAGTCGTGAACCTTATTGAGAACAACTTCCTGGTCCTCTCCAGATAGAACCTCATTAAGGAGTCTGGAGGAGACCTCCTTCGAAAGGGCACAGTATTCACGTCTCTTCATGTCAAGACCCTTGACTTCGAGCTTCTCAATGTACTTGCCATCCACCTCAGTGAGGTTCACGGCAGCATACTTCTTCTTGGCGTGCAGCAGGAGTCGGCGGAAGACGTTATCAATATCAATTTCAAGCAGTCGATATCGCTCGTTTACTGATTTCTTAAACTCTTCACCGACCTTCAGCGCATCACTTATGGTGTCCATGTTGGTGTTGATCATGACGGAGTCGGTATCACCATAAATGACACGCAGCTGCTTGCTTTCAGCCAGATCCTTTGTACTGCGCAGAATCTCACGACCCTTGAAGGTGGTGAGCATGGCCAGAGGACGGGCATAGAAGCGACTTTGCGTGTATCCCAAACAACCATACATGGAATTTGCAGTCAGCTTGAAGGCAAGCTGTTTGGTGTCCCACAAAGCCAACTGTTCGGGTGTGGCACGCTTGTCTTTCATCAGCTTCTTGACCTCGCGTCGACGTCCAACCAGAGTCGAAATAAGGCGCGGCAAGATGCCTTGCTCTTGGTCCGATGTTGGAACTTCGGGAACCTTTTCTTCATTCTCATTTTCCGCCTAGATATATGTGTCAGTAGAGGGCCTCTAGTCACCAGAGGCCTTGGCAACTCACCGAAGATGTCCGGTCGACTGTTGTGAAACAGATGTTGTACTCCTGAATAATACTTGGGTATAGACTGTTGAAATCCATGACCAAGATGAAACGATCGTACAGACCCTTTTCGGGCTCAAAGACAAGACCTCCCTTATACTTGTCCTTTTTCTTCTTGTCGCCGGCCTCATCATCTTCACCATCCTTCTCCTCGGCCTTCTGCAAGCGCGAGGAGTACTTGTCAGGACAGATGTACTTGTTGCGATGGAATTCGTGAAGCAAAATGTACTCGTTTCGCTCAGCACGAGTACCGCTGAGAGTACGTGCCCATGAGTTACCAGCAATATTGGTCAAGACTTTGGTGAGGGACAGCATCTGGAGACGCAGTACCAAAGCAGCAATGAAGTAAGTATCTGTATCGGCGTGGTTGACGAAGTTCATGAGTCCGTCCTTGGTCGAAGCCCATGTCTTCAAAGCGGCCTCAACATCCAACTCTTGGCGAATATTGCCTTCGCCAAGGTAGAGCTGGCACATTTCTGACAGACTCCAGGACTGACACTTCATCATAAGAGACTAATTGAACGGGTTAGTATATTGATCCACAAAGGTGATTCTGAGAAGCGTACTTTGCCCATGTCATTTCCGACGTCACATAAAAGTCTTCCTGCGATGAGCTGCCGCTCAGCGAAGAAACTGCCACCACGGTTGAAGTTCTTTGGCCAGTCTCCGCGTCGAAGTCGACCAATGCGGTGCCATCCAGGGGTCTTCTTCTCTCGCATGCGATTGAGAAGAATGCTGAGGTCGACATCCTGCAACTGATGGCCCATGATAACATCCGGATCCATTTTCTCGAACAACGCCAAGAACTTGCTCAGCAGGAACTGTTCGCTCTTTTCCAGCATGAAAGTACCTCGCTGCTTCCGTGTCTCGGCCTCGAAGTGCATTGGGTAAGAGCTTCCAGCAGGGCGCATAACAGTGAACGTCTTGCATGGCAGCTTTTCGGGGGGAGTAGTGTCTGTCAAGGAGACATTCTCGTAAACTCTGGCACTAGCCAAAAGAATCTCCTGCTTGTTCTCCTTGACGTTCAGTTGAGTCCTGAAGGAAAGACTCATAAGAGTTAGTGGTGGTGTGTCCAAGTTCTCCGAGTCGGGAACGGGGCTGATGAGCGCTGGTCTGGATGCCTGGCACTCAAACTTGCACCAGGAAGCGTTGTTGACAGCCGAGAAATCAGCATCGTCAATCTTCAACCAGCAGGGACCCATGATGTTCTTCCAAAGGACGAACTGCTCGAATAGAGAAGTATTTGTCCCGAATACATGCGAGAAGGTCTCGCCTTTGACATCCATCGGAAGAGCAGCTTTGTCGTACGGGTAAAGAAGCTTCAGGTATTCTGATTCCTTGGGGACACCGCGCATCTCAAAAGCGTACTTTCTGGTGCAAGGCTTGATCTTGTGCATGCCGACACGCAGTCGCGACATCATTTCATCAACTTCCTGATAGACGTCTTCCATTCCAACCTCCTCGTCAGTCTCTCGTCCGTGCTTGTGGCGGTTCTCGCGAGGCAGGAAATAGAGCTTGCGCAGAATGTTGTCAACCTTGACGAAAGCACTAGCATAAGATCCGTTCTGCTTGTTCTTGACTTTTCCGAACAGGCAAAGGCTTCCATTGACCTCAGTATAGTCCAGCCAGAACATTCGTAGACTGCCGTCTTCTTCAACCACGTCTTGGGCATGAAGCTTTCCGAAGGAGCGCATCTCCGGTGCCGGGCTGCTGAGAACATTGAGTTTGCTTCTCACGTCGTTCCAAGAGGCATCCATGACTTCCGGCGCCGCCTTTGCGGGGGATGAGCTGGCTGGTGTTGGGAGGACCTCTTTCTTAAGCTTTGGCGGAGGTCGACTGCCAGTCATGTTGACGTTGGCTGTCTTCGCACTTGAGTTACCAGTGGCTTCGGCGACATCCATCATATCAATGTCCTCCTCGTCCGACTCTTCCTTCTTGACCACTGGAACAATTGTCTTTCGCTCCACAGCCTTGCTAATGGGAGATGAAGGCATAGGGTCACTCATGTGCACGTCGTCATCATCGACGGGCGGAAGTGGACCGTCGTCGTCGTCCGAGTTGAGTGTCGGTTGTTCCAACTTGACCGGGGAGCTTGGAATGTCATTTTCGTCTTTCGGCCTGACTTTTTCGTTTCGTCGTTTCTCGGATAGAGGTGGTGAGAGCACGCGAACTTTGCGGCGGGCGTCTGATTTGATGAGATTTCGCGTAGGGACGTGGTTGGAGACAACGTTGGTATCGACCTCGCCGAGCAAATCGGCCATGAAGGCATCGTCTTCTGCAGTAGCAACGGGCTAGTCAAGGTCAGAAGGGGGCTTTCCGGAATCTGTAGTGGGCCGAGGAAAGAACTACGCACCTTGGGCTTTGGGGCACTGGCAGCGGCGTTTCCACTGTTGAAATACTTTGAGATGCCGTTGTTGATCTTTTCTTTCCGCTGCTTTTCCTCGTCGCGCTTCCGTTTGGCCGCTTTGCTTTGTGCGGGTAATTCGTCGCTGTCTTCGCTATCGTAGTCGACCGTGCCTTCGTTCCAGACCTCCCGTCCGTCGTCTGCGTAGCCGGCACCATTGTCATCGACAACAAAATCGTCTTCATCGAGGCGGTTGCGAATGACTTTTTTGTAGCCCTCGTCGTCGACCTCGTCGTAGATGTCGCCTTTATCCTCAACTTCGTATGTGTCGATGCGTTTCTTGCCGGAGGCACGGAGGGCCCTTAGCTCGGCCAACCTGTCAGCTTTACTGAGAGGCATGGTTGTTCGTGTTTTGGACGAATGCCCACGAACGGATGGTTTTGAGGAGCGACAATGGTTGCGGGGGGCAAGGGAGGACTTGAAGGGGGCCCGCAGATCGCGCGTTCGACGCAGGGCGCGACGCGCAGCGCGGCGCGTTGAGTGGTTTAGTAATTATCAATGCCTTGGTGCCTCATCCGGTAGGTTCTACCACCGGAAAAGATTCAGGCGATTTCAGGCACACATGAACTAAGCCTTATTTGGCTGGCGTTATTGATGTCGCAGAGACATGGGTTATACCGGCATTTATCTCCTTGGCTCTCCCAACTCTCAACAGCACGAAAATCAACCTTGGCCAAAATGACACAAAATATCTCTACTTCACCCAAAATAAAGACCCGGTTCTTCATCTTCTCTGATACGCACGGCCTTCACAACTCGACGAGATTCGTCTCCGATCAGTATGCTGATGTCGCTATTCACTGCGGGGACCTTACAGCAGAGTCCAAGATTGATGAGTACAGAGCCTCGATCCGTTTCCTTAAGCCGTGAATGCTCCACTAAAGCTCGTCATAGCTGGCAACCATGACCTAACGATGGAAACCCCCACATTTCAGAGAATCATCGCAGAGGCTCGGCTGCCTTTAGAACCTCAGCTGGTCAAGCAAACTTACGGCGAAGATGGAGAATCCAGGCGGATTTTCTGTAGTGAAACCGGAATCATATTCCTTGATGAAGGTCCCCCGTCGCTTTCATCTCGCCAATGGTGCGCTACTCGATGTCTACGCCAGTCCAAATACGCCATCATACGGCAGCTGGGCCTTTCAGTATTGACCAGTCCGTGGTCATGACTTTGCATTCGTGATGTCGATGTAGTGCTGACACATGGACCACCAAAAGGGACACTGGATTACACCAATTCACGCGAACGGGCAGGTTGCCCAATTCTTTTCAAGGCCATCGCTGGAGCCAGGCCCGAATGCATTGCTTTGGCCACATACATGAAGCTTAGGGTGGAAAACTTGATACTTGGCGCCAATCCACGAGCCCAGAGCCTTCGTATTTGATAGATATCGATGACGACAATTCCGTCCTCATCGAAAGTCTTTCCCAGGCGAGAAAGGAAAAAGACAAATTCTCCAGACCCGTCGGATGCTCCACTACCAGTCATTGCTCCAATGATTCGAGGCCGTTACATTGGGGAGCCCAGACTTTATTCATCAATGCCGCAATTGAAGATGCAGAGGGATCTCCGACTCAGAAACCATGGCTTGTTGATATTGAATTTCGAGCAGGATTTTGAGAACTTCAAACTGTATGGTTTTCTTCCTTGCGTAGTGCTCATATGACTGTTAGTATGACCGATAGTATGACCATTCTTATGACCTTTAACCCTATAGAAATCTGTAAATGGGCGCTGGCGTGACCGCGGGAACAAGACACCTTTAGTGTCAAATAGGCTCCAGCGAGGTAAGCAGATCGGTCCACCTGGAATATCGGGATTGTCTGTAGATAAGCATGGGCAACCACTTGACACAGTTACGTAGAGCGGAGTAACAAGACCTGCAAAATAATTGAACAAGATAAAAACCCGGTGTTATTTGAGCAGATTTTCCTGGCCTATGCTAGGTATATTTTCCAGCCGTGACAAACAGCGCCAGTGAAAAAAAGAACATAGGATCTCCATCATCTCCACACCCAGCCAGCAATCGGTACCGGGATCAAGGACCGTTTTCCAACTGAATGTTGATCCTACCCATGAGCAAGTGATCACTCATGGCACAACCATATCCTCCCAAAGAACCCACTCCACCAAGAAGTCAATGGAACACAAATCGTAAGATGAGATATGAAAGACATGACGTTCCACCCTCCGTTTTTTGATAAATTCCATTCGCCCGCGTAACAATATGCAACGGTACGAGGAATTTAACGGTAGGACTTCTGGTAGCGTGCGCGGGCACCGCGACCACCGAACTTCTTGGGCTCAGCGCGACGGTTGTCGGCGACCAGAAGGGTGCGGTCGTACTGGGCGAGAGCCTGCTTGAGCTGGTTCTTGGAGTGCTCATCGACGTACTTCTGGTAGTAGGCGACGATGGACTTGGCGATGGCCTGGCGGATGGCGTAGACCTGGGAAGTGTGACCACCACCGGTGACACGGACGCGGATGTCGACACCAGCGAACTTGTCCTGGCCGACGATCAGGAGGGGCTCGTAGACCTATATCGATGTTAGAAAAATCGATTCATTGCGCAGATAACGACCACCAGTTTTTCTTCGCGTAGTAGAGTCCTCCTCTTGTAGTTGCATTCTTTTCTCGGTATGGCTGGCGGCGGATGATTGTGGGTTGTGCGGAGCGTACCTTGAAGCGGAGGATCTCAGGCTGGACCAGGGAGATGGGCTGGCCGTTAACCTTGATGAGGCCCTTGCCTTGCTGTAAATCGAAAAGTCTCAGCGTGCTGTTCATCATGATTCGGTGTGCGAAAAGTCCCCTCATGCGCCAAATGTGTCCCTTCCAATAATGAATTTCCGTATCTCAAATTTCGTAACCATTCGATTTTCCATTTCGATTTCCCATTGTCGGTATTGTTCGGCATATTTCCTTCACATTTTCATTTGGCGCAGAGGGGGGGGAAGAGGTCGGGAGAGGATGAGAAGCGTCATCTTCATACCTTGCAGTGGGCGACGGCGGTGGCTATTGCAAATTGATCATCAGCATTTGAACACCTTCGATGACAAGTTGTCCAGCGCATAACATACCCGTCTTCTTCTTGCCGAAGCATTGCACACTCGGGACGGAAGCCATGGTGGGAAAAATGGCCCTTGTCGGTTGTCGATAGGGAGGGAGTGTGTTGTCGTGGGAGATGGAAAAGAAGTCGACCGCGAATTCCCACACTACGGCCATTCGCCTGAATTGCCCTTGAGTGCGGGTTTCGCTTAGGGAGCACTAACCCCAATACGGGTTAGTGCATTTTTGGCCTAGGGCTAGGTCACATGATGGATGCTGGTTGCTGACTAACAAGACGGAGTTCCGGGGCAGAAAGTTTGGGGCCTCTGCTTGCTTTGCGATCGCGTATTTGGCCTGCTATCACCCCATTCCTACCCGTTACCTTTACTCGACAAGATGTCGCAAACAGTCGGGAAGGTGAGGACCATCATATTGTGCTGGAATTCTCAGCAAACATCTCCCGCTTAAGCCTCAATTTCCCGTCAGCTAACAATTATATGATCAGACTCGTCTTGCCTATTCTCGAGCATGGCACTATGTCGATGCTGGCTCCGACCCACGTTCCCTCGGCCGCCTGGCTTCCTCCATTGCTCTCGTCCTGATGGGCAAGCACAAGCCGATCTACGACCCCTCGACAGACTGTGGTGACTACGTGGTGGTGGCGGGCTGCCATGACCTCCGAACAACCGGAAAGAAGCGCTTCCAGAAGCTGTACTACACCCACACGACCCGTCCCGGTAGCCTGAAGAGCATGACAATGGATCAGATGTTTGCCAAATGGGGTGGTGGCGAGGTCTTGCGCCGCGCGGTGAAGGGCATGCTCCCCAAGAACCGGCTTCAGGAGCCGCGGTTGGCCCGGCTTAAGAGTAAATTTCCCAGGGAATATCAGCTCGATTTATTTCACAGTTACAACAAAATGCTAACTCATACTCAATCCAGCTTTCGAAGGTCTCGCTCACCCCTACAAGGAGAACATCGTCAAGTTTGGCAACCAGTCGGTCCTCAACAACCCCAAGGTGCAAGAAGCCTTCAAGGAAGCCAAGGCCTCTGCATAATTTTCGTCTTTGTCGCACATATTCTCAACTGTTTCACGTCCTTAGGTTTATCTTAAGGACGTATGTATTCTATTTCTGCGTTATGATCCAAAACCGCAAGCGCATGGGTCCGGAGTCCAATTTTGGGAGTGCTTTTCTGTTCTTCATTTCACCCTTTTCGAAACTTCATGAAAGGTCTCTCCTTGGCTTGTACTTATATAGCAGACCGCATGGAAATAAAAAAGAAAATGTGTTCTGAATGACATTGGGTCGTGTCGTTCCACTCCCAGTGGTATATAGAGACATACTATGTACAGGGAAACTCCATGCTAAAATAAAACATCCATGTCGATGCAAGTCGACGCTATGGCATTTACAGGCGGGCCTTCTGGCCGGCACGACCGACGGTGCACTTGATGAGCCCATTGGGGTTGGACTGGGGAGCGTACACTTCGGCGTCCTTGCCGGTGTTCTTGAGACCCTTGTGCCAGCTGAGATCTGCGAAATCGTTAGTATCACATTGGAGTAGCCGCTACCTATTGCTAGGTAGCCTACTATTCTTGGGTAAAGTGACGACATACCAATCTCGAAGTAGTGGTTGTTGGGCAGAGCATAGTCAACGGTCTCGAGCAGAGGCTCAGCGGCGAGGATGATCTCGCCCATCTTGTACATGGTGGCCTGGACACTGGCGCTGTTGTCCTCGGCGAAGATCTTGAGAGTGGTGTTGCGGGCAACATCGAAGGCGTTGTTGAACTTGTGGGCGTTGGACTTGACCTCGTTCAGGCCACTGAAGCGGCGCCACTGCCAATCGGCGGAGACATCAGTGCTCAGGATACGATCCCAGGTCTCCTTGAGGGTGGTGTACTCGTCGCGAAGGAAGCCCCAGAACTGGGAGCCAGTACTCTTCAGGACAGTTAGGCCCTTGATGGAGGACTGGATGTCGATGCCCTTGCCCTCGTAGACGTCAACCTGGACGTTGCGGGTCTCGCCGCCCTCCTTGACGAAAGAGTGGGGGTGAGGCTTGCCATCGACATTCATGCGCACCCAGCGGTGCGTGACGATGTTAACGTGCGCGGCGTGAATGTGGCGGTACTTCTCGATGAAGTGCGTGCCGAGGATGGAGCCGAACAGCTCCGGGGGAGTGACGGGCTGCTGCTTCGCGGTGATGTAGATAGTGTTTTTGATAGAGTCAGTGGCCACGACGACACTGTTGTCGGCCTTGGTGTAGCTGGATGCGATCCCTCGTTAGCCGTCGTTGTAGCACAGCTTCCCCACGAAGCTTGGAGTGATCGCCGCTGACAAGGAAACCACTCTCGCCTCCAGCTGCCATCGGAAAACTTACGAGGTCTCAATCTCGCCCTCCAGCAGGACGCAGACGGTCATCTCGACCACGGTCTGGGTACCAGTCTTCTCATCGCGGTGCACCTTGTACACGCGGACATTGTCCTTGCCATAACGGGCGGCGGCGAGAGCGCTCATGGTGAATGTGAGGGGTTTGTGGTAGTGGGGTTTTGGTCAAGAAACAGTGATCCAAGTCGCAACAGCACAGGTGAATTGAGAATGCAGTGGAGACCGACGACGGAGAAGTCAAGTATTTATTTCGCCAGCACGATGGCCTGACGCGCGGGCGAGTGAAGGCATCGGCGGGCTCCGATGCCCGCGCAGCTGCGACTTCCCCCACGCCCCACAATCCACAATCGCACGCTTATCGCCTTTGCAACATCCATTGGGTCTTTGTTATGATGGGACCAAATCCCCCAAGTCCAGGTCGCCGGAAACGAGGCTGAAGGGCACGGGCTCTGCGAGCGCGACGAGCAAGTCCAACCCAGCCGCCTTCTCGCCGGTGTCTACCCCAGACTTGCAGAAGCTCAAACCCCGGCTCTTTGCGATGCGTAGTGGAGTACGCCATTTTCCGAATGCCGAATCCGAAAATGCGAAATGCGAACCCCGAATCCACCCTGAGGCTTCTTCGTCTTTTCGGTCTGGTGGACTCTCAGGAATTTGATGCCTCCACCGTCGGCGACCTCCACCCGTCGCTGTTGTTGCGGCCAGCGGCGAGCGTCACTGCCTGCAAGGGTCTGCAAAAGGACGTGAATGCGCTCATCGGCGCTGGTGAGAAGCGAATCACTTTGCTGCGACGATATCTGCTTTTTACTAGCAAATCGAGGGGCGGCATCTCTGTCTTCTCGTCTTTATTTTTGGAATAATCTCGATAACTCCAGGCTTGCTTACAGTACTGGATGTCTCGCCGAAGCCCCAACATTCTTCAAACGGGCACTGCATATGCACGAGCCCTACTTTCAGTCCCGCGACCGAGTGTTCACATGAGCTCGGATCGTCTCCCAACAGAGATATGCTATCAGCATCGAATGTGCTCAAACTGTTCAACACAGGCCAGAAGAAAGCTACTTCAGGACATCCATCTCATTTTGTAAGGGTCGACGAGGGCCAGGCGCTAGGACTGGGGCAATCGAGCCGAGATGCCCCATGCCAGGAGTCGTGCAGGCTCCTGTAGAAAGAATCTTCAATGAGCGTGTAGACTCAACCGTCTACGAGGGAACACGGATGGTTGAAAAGGGAATCTAAGCAAAGCCGACGTCTGGCTGTGTTCGTGATTTACAAATCGGACGCCGTTGTTGCGGCTGCTGGGCAAGCTTAAATCCCGACAATGATCGACCGCGCTACGTCTGCAAGTCCCGACAAGAATCCACCGTTGAAGAAATGGCGTGGCGGAAACTCGAAATTTCTCTTGGGAAGTCTTTAAGTACCACGCGGAAGTTGGTTTCTTGGTCTCCCTGGCGTGATCGCTACCATTAGCTATGGACTAGTAAAGTCTTTCGACTTGCCTTTGTTTGAAAACAACCTACAAAACAAAGAAATCGAATCACTGCGAGCTTGTCACCCTCTGACTTCTCTCGACTCTCACTGCGTTTATTTTCGAATTATTCTCTAGTATTATTATTCTGAGCGATCCAACACCTTTGAGGTTAGAACATTAACCCATTGGCAGTGCCCGACGTATAATCTAATCATGAGAGTTATCATATCCTCCAAGGTCATACCGCACAATCGACACCCTCCGTGGCTGTTTCGAGTGCGGTCCTCGACCTCGTTTATCATCACGACAGTGTGGATGTCTACCTTCACCGTAAGTCGAGTCAAGTATGGCCCTGCAAAGCGTCGGCTAAATGAGTTTTTTGTTGCCAGGACTTTCTTCTTTATGCCATGGTAATCAACCGCCGATTATCACTGCAGCTGAACAGGATTGACGCTCAATAGATCGTCCCTGTCATGCCAAGTGCACTCATGACCCGCGCTAGTGTGGAGTACAACGATCGTAAGTACTGGCTCTATCTGCTCCTTGGTCTTAATCACTGCCTATGGATCATGACAATTGATGCTCACATCCGATCCAGGCGAATACTGGATCAGCGTCCTCCTCATGTGCGAAGCCGGCGCATCTCTCCTCCTCTGTCCAGTCTTCGGCTACCTCGTCGATACCGCCCGAACCCGCAAACTTCCTTTCGTCGGCGCCCTCGTCATGCTAGCCTGCTCGATGGCTATCCTGCAAGTCTCACACTCGCTCGCAATGTTCATTGCAGGCCGACTACTCCAAGGTGCAGCGGGCGCACTAGTCGTGGTTGCTGGCTTTGCGGTTCTGAGCGACTCTGTGTCCCAAGAGTGCCTTGGACAGACAATCGGTTATCTGGGCTCCGCCATTGCCTCTGGTTTCTTACTCGGTCCTTTCTTTGGTGGCTTTGTTTATGATACTTTGGGGTATGATGCTGTTTTTTGGGTGACGCATGCCATCATTGTGGTTGACTTGACGTTGCGGGTGGCCATGATTGAAAAAGGCACCGTCGCTCTTTGGATGCAAAAACCAGATGGTGGAGCGGTCCTGAATACCGACCACGAGGCTGAGTCGGGTACAGTGCTCGAGTCTGATCATTCTTCAGGATTGAATCGTTTCCCCATGGTTCAGATGCTTAAACAGCGTCGGGTCTTGATCTCCTCCTGGGCACTGCTGGTGCATGGTATCTTGCTGTCAGCGTTTGATGCTGTGCGTTATCCTTGATATATGCATGCCTCTCTCTCGGCCGGAGGACTGACTTCTCTCTAGACTCTATCGATATTCGTCGAGACACGGTATGGCTGGTCTGCGCTTGGTATGGGGCTCATCTTTCTCCCATTGGCAATTCCTGCTTTCTTCGAGCCATTATTCGGTTAGTTCCTACATAGATATGCATCCTACCTACTGTTCGACCATTCACATCGCTACAGGATACATCACCGACCGCTATGGCGCACGCTTCGTCGCATTTGCATTTTTCTTCCTCCTGTCCCCGACACTCATCTGCCTAAGATTCGTCGAAGCCAACACACCACCAAACATTGCTCTTCTCGTCATTCTACTTCTACTGAGTGGTATCTTCATCCACGGCTGTGCGCCAGCGATGTATGTTGAGACCCAGCTCGCGTTGGCAGAAATGGAGCTCGAGAGACCCGACTCTCTTGGGAAGAAGGGGGCAGTGGCACAAGGCTTCGGACTGCAGTGCATGTGTCAATTCATAGGAGTATTCTTTGGTCCTCTTTGGGGAGGCTTCATGAATCATCAGTTTGGGTGGGAGACAATGTCGGGTACGTTGGGGGTGTTGGCAGCTTTGACGGCCATGTCCATGCTGTTTCTTGGAGAGTTTGAAGATGGATATGAGGAAGATGGAGAGAGGCGACCACTTTTTGGATAAACCCATCGCCTTTTTATCTTTATGCATTTGCCAATTGGAAAAGGAATATTTTATTAGTCAAAGGGTTGCTTACATCGATCAGACGGATGCGCCCTCTAATTGCCGACCTCATTGTATACTTCACTTGAGCTCTTTTTGGCGACAGTATAGAAGACAGCGAATACACCGTTCTTGAACGGTACCGCTTCAAGAAATTTCCTCGGTGACACTTAAGTCCCCTTAAGAGCAAGCGCAGGCTCTCAGATCCGACTCTTCGACAGACACAATCCTCAAACTTGACGGCCAGCAACTATACTTGGGTATTGTAGTGCAAATGCAATCGAGCTACCCGAACAGGCGACTCAAATGCAGTTGACAAAAGCAGCCTTCGGGCCGACCGCACCGGAACTCTGAACAATGCCCGAATCCAGCAGACGCGGCGAAGTGGGTCGGCAGGGCGGATCATCGATCGCCAGAACTTTCCCTTTGAGGCAGGCACCAGGCAGACGTCACTCCGGGGATCGCAAATATTCTGGGGTTATCACCGGACAGTGGGACACTCTTTGAAGATTCGCGTTGGACTGTCATCGGTCGATCCACCAAGTCCCCTCATAAATAACTTCAGAGACCACCTCGTCTTCACCGGATTCTTTTACACAACCTCACCTACTCGGCTTTGCGGATTGAAGCCTCGATGCTCGGTCTATTATCTCGATCATCTCGATCAAGGTTAGTACAAAGGATAATCAATTCCTGTCCCACCCATCAACCGGCACGGCATATCAAAAACGTACCGCTGACCTCAAACCTAGAGCAATTTTGCAACCACCAGAAGACGCAGCATATAATCACCTAAGCCCGTCCTTCAGCACCAAAACACCGCAACCATGACAGACACAAAGCAATACATCTACCTCCCCGAAACAGCCCCCCATCTCGCCACAATCCTCAGCTTCCCATCCCGCTGCTCCACATTCCCAGCCCTCCACAACGCAACATGCAACGAGATAATCGAGCTAGCCGCAACAATCGCCCACTTCGAGCCCGTCCGCCTACACGTCCGACCTGAAGATGTGCAAAAAGCCCAATCCCTGCTGAACCATCGCATGGCCTCCGCGCCCTCCACCGAAAGGGACCGCATCACCCTCATCCCGGCCCCAACAAACCACATCTGGGTCCGCGATACCGGCCCCATGTACGTGCGGGACGCGACGGATCCATCCATGCGCGCGGCAATTGACTTCCGCTTCTGTGAGTGGGGGAATAGCATCGGCGAGTTGATCTACAACAACAGTCCCGATAAGAAGGGTGCTCTGCCCGACGGTTCAGACTGGCCGGTCCTTGATGCTGAGCGTCGGGCGGAGAATACGGCGTTCGCGGAGCGCGTGTTGGAGTTGGAGGGGGCAGGTGTGCCGCGGGTTGTGTCAAGGGTGAGGTTGGAAGGTGGTGGGATTGAGATGGACGGGGAAGGGACGTTTATGGCGATGGAGAGTAGTGTGACTGTTCCGTCGAGGAATGAGGGGGTCTCGAAGGAGGAGATTGAGAGTGAGCTGCGGCGGTTGTGTGGGGTGAAGAAGTTCATTTGGATTCCTGGGAGGGAAGGGTTGGATATCACGGATTATCATATTGATGCCGAGGCGAGGTTTATTCGGCCCGGTGTGGTGGTTGTCGGCAAGCCGCATGTTAAGTGTCGGAAGGTGTTTTGGGATGTTTATCATGAGATGCGAGAGATTCTGGATGTGGCGACTGATGCACAGGGTCGCAAGCTTGAGGTTATTGATATCGAGGAGCCGGACCCGGAACTCGTTCAGGGCGATGTTCCCGGTGAAGAGAAGGATGTGGCTGCATCGTATGTGAATTTCTACTTTACGAATGGCGGGCTGGTGATTCCTGCTTTTGGAGATGCCGAGATGGATCAGAGGGCGCTGGAGACGCTGCAAAACTTGGTTCCTGAGAGGGAGGTTCGGCAGGTTGCGGTGAACGCGTTGCCTAGAACGGGGGGTGTATTGCACTGTACTACACAGCAGGTACTGTGATAGTGTTGGTGAGGCTTCGCCCAAATGCTGCCCATGCTTTTTGGTTCGTGATTCGGACCAGTGGAGTTTTACTGGAAGCACATCTCATCTTGTTTCGTTTTTCGCTTGTATTATATCAGATCGAAATTCGACATTATCAGAATCATGCACAGCAGGCTTAGTAGAGGTCTCGATTGAATTTGTACAACAGGCCTGAGTCGAGAATCCTTTGATAAGCTGAGAGAAGAAAAAGAAATAATTTGAACTCGGCTGTACATCCAATCCAATTCCATCTCCAAAGAAACCATACATGCAGAACTCAAACACCGTCAGCGGCTCTGCAAACCCGGGTAGGTACAACAGGCAAAGAACGAGAGAGAGAGGAGATAGACCAGCTTCGTTGAAAACTGCAAGTGTATATCTGTTTTTCTTTTCTTGTACGTCATCAAGAAAAGCAAATTCATCAAAGCCCACATTCGGCCAAGAATGGACGAGTCAACGCCATTCCCAAGACACCTAGTCGAGAATCCAACGCCAAACATGACCAAAAGCAAAACCAACAAAAAAAAAAAAAAAAAAAAAGGCAGAGGTCGGGCATGAAATCGTAAGGGCGAAGCTAGCGGTAGCAAAAAAGCGTAGCATAGCAGAGCTCGAGATATCCCACGGGAAATCCGTATTGGTTGTTTTCGATCCAGAAGTCAAGTCTTGCCAAGTCCGTAGTGTTATGTACCAGTCTTACTAGAGCACACAAAGATCCCTGAATTCTCTGGAGAGGTCGAAATGAGACTTTTACAAGCTCAGCTGGTCGATACTGCCGACCCTTCCACCACCTCCCAGTCTTCCACCCCCCTTAGTGACCATCCCAAGCCGGTAAAAGCGTTCTTCGCCCGCCGGCGTCCGGCCACCGATGTACCACTTTTCCGGGCCGAGTGCATCGCGGAAACCACCCGATCCACTGGACGAGTCACTCCCGCGGCGTCGACGATCTGGACCGTGGTTGATCGGGATGGGCGTTGAAGAGGATGGGGTCGGGGGTGAAGAAGCGGTCATGGAAGAAGAGTCGTGATGGTAGTGGTGGGCATTAGCATTTGCCCCAGAGTTTGAACTTGAGCTTGGTGGTTGACCGGGTCCTGCGGCCGAGGAAGAAGATGAGGCATGGTGGTGAGAGGCTGCCGATGAGGACCCGGCTTGTGCGGACGCCGACGCACCGGGGCTGGCGGCCTTGGTGGCTATCGTACGAGCATTTTGCGAGATCTGTGTGGAGGAGAGAGTGGAGGAGCCGGTTGATTGGGAGGTGGCTTTGTAGGTCGACTGGGCGCGAAATGCGGCCAGGAAGTTGGCGATGAATGGTGGACGGTTGGTACTCATGATGTGCGATGGGCTCCGATGGCAGAGAGCCCAGGGGATTGCAAGGTGCGGACCAGAAGGTTGTAAGATCGAGGAGACCTCAGAGAATATAGAGTTGACGGTCTGAGGGGAAGTGGAGGGGAAGATAAGATGGGGGCGGAGTACGAAGTGGTGCTCAACCGGTTGCGTTCGCAAAAAAGCGGAGCGAACGGCGGGGGAGGATCCCGACTCTGGCCTATTCACTCCGACTCACCAATCAGGCCGGGCGGATTATGGGCATGACGTCGAAAAGAAATCGGAGCCTTTCCACCTTAAGTGGGATGTTCGGTATATACCTAAATACTAGTGCACTAGTCACGGTGGAATAAATATGCTACACTAAGGAGTGTACTACTAGTACTACTACTGGTAGTACCTTGAGGGATACCGGGACCCGGGTACCTTGGATGGATGAAAGTTGTAGAATAACAGTGTCTATTTCTAGATGCTTTTCGAATAGAACAGAAGCCCTCCTAACAATGAAACAAGACGGAAACGAAAAGCAGCTGAAACAGACAACACCCTAAATCACACCTTAACAAGCCCGATGCGCACATAGTATGTCCGTGCCGTGCCGACTGTACTTACAGGAACGAAGCCATGCACATGCACCGGGAAGAGAAACCTTGGAAGAGACGAGAGCAAGAAGCAGACAACGCAGAAATCACTGGTCGAGAAATCCCGTAATAATTTCAAGAGTAGCCGTCCCACAACGCTTTTCTCTGTCTGTCTGTCGAACATTCGCGCAAAAGAACACATGCCCATGTCTATAGTGTGGACGCCGAACGAAACCACCCGCCATAACGACTCGCCCACTCCTGGAGCGGGCGGAAGTCAAATCAAATGAAATCAGACTCGCAGTTCAACCACCGTATCAAAGAAAAACTCGCCCGTACAAAAAAGAATGCGGTCCCAACACCGGATGGGATCTGATCTGGGAAGAATGGGAAGAGCGTACTAAGAAGGGTAAACAAATTGGGAAGGATAAAAAAAAGCCATCAAGGACGCGAGAGGTACATAATAGGACAAATCACGAGGTAAAGAAAAATAGAGAAACCGGGACGGACACCAGAAGCACAAGGGCAACGCCCGCTGCTAGCAGCGGAGCCGAACGGGTAAAAGAGACGAGCGGAGGTCGCAAATTTTGCTGAGAAGGCCATTGAAGGCTCTAACCCAAGGACCGCCTAGAAACACTTTCACTGATGTAGCAAAGAGAGAGACAAAAAAACCGAAAATGACTTTTCAAAGCTTTCAAATCATCGCAAGAGAGAACCGCTGATGATTAAAAAAGACTTCTCGTTCTCTTTTCTTACCCAATCGTTCGTTGCCCTGCGATTCCGAGCCGAGCCGTTTACTGCCGAGCAGGCTGAACGGTACCTAAGGAAGCCACATCAGCATGCGATGTTCCCCGGCACCTTTCTCAGTAACGCTTACCATCTGGGCCGCCCATAGTAGAGGCCAGATACAGTCCATTCATGCCATTCTCAGCGGCGCCGCCGGCGGTCGTAGCGGGGTAGAACTTGCGGTCGGCATCGACGGGGGCGTGGATTGGCTCCTGGCCGGCAGCCATGGAGTGGGGGAAAACGTGGTTCATGTAGCCGTCGGCCGCGGGTGCACCATGCTGAAACATCGAGGTCCAGTCAACACCAGGCTGACTCGAATGGGGGCCGGGCATCACCGGATGTTTGGGGTCGGGAACGACCAGGGGCTTTACCTGTTCAAGAGGACGATCAACACTCAGTTGCTGGCCATTAGAGTCGGCTCCATGCTGAATGAGGTACGGATTCTGCTTGGGGGCGGCCATCCAGGGGCCTCGCGACGCCTGGCCGGCGTACCCGTCATCTTGCGGACGGGTCAGGCCGTTGACCGGCGACATCGCGAATCCCAGATGCTGCTGATGGCCATGGGCCATGCCGTTGCCATTGACGGCTCCCTCACCGAATTGCGCACCCATCACACCATTGGAAGCCGGGAGGGTGTTACTAACCTCATCCATAGGTGGAGGCTTGGCGGTGTTAGCCGCCGCCACCGCAGCCTGCTGCTGCGACCGCTTGAGATGAGCTTGAGGGTGCGACAGGTGGGTCGCGCCCGTGGGGTTGCCTCGACGGATCGAGCACTTTTGGAAGTGGCGCTTCAAGATATCGCTGCGGGAGAAAGTATCCTTGCACAGGACACACATGTACGGGCGGTCACCAGTGTCTGGAAGCAAAAAAAGCGTTCTGTTAGCCTTTGTTTCTCTTCAAAGTTATCCGGGAATATGCCAAAAGCGAAATTTTTTTTCTCTCCTCTGTATGGCTGTCAATAAACTCACGTCTCAGCAGATGGCGCTTCAGGTGTTTGGCGTGGAGATAGGTCTTGTTGCAGTGCGGGCAAGGGAATTTGCCATCCGCGTCCTTGGCCGGGATGGTGGTACTCTTCGCAGCACCATTGACACCGTTGGCGACCGGGGTCGCGCGGCCCGGAACGCTCGGCAGGATACCGCGGCGGCCCTGGGAGCCGACGACCTGCGTGCGTGGCTGTTCCTTCGCGTAGGGGGAGCCATTCGCGCCGTTGACATCGGGACTCATGCCCCAGGACTTGCCATCAGAGTAGCTAAAGGCACCGGAGGGCATGCCGTTGAAGTCGCGACGGTCGCGCGGGGGAGCGGGAGCGATAGGCTGCGGGTAGCTCTGCGCGGTCGACGCGGGAGGCAAAACGCTGGTCGGGGGAGGAGGGTAGGACTGAGACGGGTGCGCCTGTGAATGGTTAGGATAGCTCGAATACGATGGCGAGTGGCTACCGACAGTCGTGTGCGGCATGATGGGAGCCGTCGAGGCTCCGTACACGTCGTGGGTGGACGCAGGAAAGCGCGACAGATCCGGTCGGTACGGCTGGCCCATGTACGGGTGCGGTGCCGGCGACTGGGAGTGATGCGGCTGCAGCGGAGGCAGCGTGTGCGGCTGCGACACGGGGTACTGAGGCTGCATCGAGTATTGCGGCATGGGCATACTCGAGATGGGGGTCGAGGAGAGTGGCGTGGAGCCCTGGGGCAGGCTGGTGGACGGAGGTCGCGACGGGTGCTGCGATCGGGGATCCATCATTGGCGAAATCAAGGAGGGGTGGTGAAGACGCGAGGAAGAAACTGTTGTGTATGGATTTGGCGTGAGAATCACGAAATCATCGAACGTGTGATTCTCGTGTCGAAGAGTTGTTTTCCCGCTTGGAAAATTTTCTGACGCGGACAGGACCAGGTCACGGGTCAATTCGAACGGGACTCGAACGTCAAAAGTTGCTGAGATCCGACTCCACCAGGGATGAGAGTCAGAAAGAGTGATGGAAGGAGGAGAGAGGAATGCTTGGTTGGAGGAAGTTCCCCACGGTCACCCACCAGGCACAGAGTCGTGTGGGAATCAATCCGCACGTTCAGCGGCGATGGGTTCTGTGATCCACCAGGGAAGGAAGCGGGCTACCTTACCACCACGCAAGTGGGTCTCGTAGGCCAAGTAGTCAGATCGGCCTCACGCGTCGAAGAAAGAGAGAGCGAGCAAAGACGAGGATATTGCAGGCAATTGGGGAGAATTGCGCAACGACGAAATGGAGATAGATTTTTTGTTCTCTTGCGGACTGATGGGAGAAGGAGAAGAGGAGAAGGGGGGCGGTAGTTGAAAAATTCAGTAGGTAGTGACGGAAGAGCGGGAGGACGATCGCTTCTGGCAAAAAGGAAAGCGAAAATGAAAAACCCCAAAAGAGGTTGGCGCGTAACGCTTCCGTAAAATTACGAGGCGAGTCGCCCCCGGCGCTCTTCCGAGGCCGGTCATTCTTCCTCCGGTCGCAGTCCTACGGTACGACAGATTCTCTACTACCTAGGTAGTACTCTACTAAAAGGTAACTAATGGAAAATCACAATTCGATGGATTAATGCAAGTTTTATGGAATGAGATTGACTGGAAGCTCCCTAGGGAGTCTGCAACACGCCCAAGCATCCTCGCGGTTGGCAGAAAAACATAAGCGGAGGGAATGAATGCGATCAGGTCCCCAATCGGTCCGAGAGTCATCACCGGTCGCGGCGCCTGCTTCCAGAGCTATTTCTGATTATTGGCCAATGGCCGACACTGGAGCGATCACGGCTCGACTCTGCTCCAACCGAGCCGTGCCAGACTGGCAGCAGCAGCAGGAACAGGAACACGAGTCCTGTCTGCTGCGACAGACAGCTCAGCGTGTTCCTGGCGGATTCTTGGAGAACTCGAATGGAGTTCCCAGGCACACTATACTTCCGTTGGAGTCGCGGGAGATAGCCCCCCTGTTTTGGGCTCCGCAGTGGCTTGACAGCCCCGCAGCTCAACACATCAACATCTCCTGCAGAGCCATTTGGAGGTACATGATATGCAGGCGCAGGAGATGGGATTGTGATGTTTCGCGATGGGCAGACCTAGACCAGACAGGATCTCTCGCACTGATCTCGCCGCACGTCATCCCCGGAGGAGGCCGGTGAAGCCGGAAGCTCTGGTGGAAAACGAGGCGTAAAGGCACAAACCTTACCCCCTCCTCCATCTGCATGAGTTTGTTGTTACATATGCACACTGGGAGGTTGAGAATCGCTGCAGAGTCGCTCCTCCATCACCTTGTCCCAACCCGGTACATACGACGTAACGGCCCTGCAGTGCCTGCTACTCAGGTACTTTTTTTGGGCGCCGTAGCCGCCGAGGCAGGGGGGTGGGGGGGGGCAGTCGCGCACTGCTAACCCCGAACCTTTTGTCCGCGACCCTAAATATTAGTCTGCTACAATAGTATAGGATTGACAGAGACACTGGCACAATGTCGAATTAGCCGATCCTGCGGACGCAGCACCATTTGGACAAATGATGGGGGGCTACACGCGGTGTTTCGTACCACGGGGGCGTGGTCCCTGGTCCGAGGCGTGGCTTGGAGCCATCTCGACTCTCTGTTATTACTAAGGCAGTGCCAGATCTGGACGATGTCTCACTAGTCCGGCAAGGTCTACGATCTGATACTGCTGCCTGTCCCCCAACCCGGCGGGTGTTTGTGAGAGTCTGTCGTGCCTCCCTGAGGGTGCGAGGAGGGTATAGATTGGTGGTACATGCGACGGTCGGCAATCTGGGGCCCTCCGAGATGTCCCCACCAGCAGAATTTCGCGAGGGCTTCGAGAAGTTTGTGGACCAGGGTTCTGCAGAATCAATACAGAAATACTAGTCCCGAGGATACCAGGCCCATCCGCGTGACTGCTGGTCTTGGCGTATTCAAGACTGCTCAGGGCTAACCTGACCATGGGGTGTTTTTTGTGGTACGATTTTAATCTTAATAATATTATTAACGGCATTAATTCTGAACATTAATACATTCATCTCCTGGAAATACCACGTCCCGCGACGGGCGGCAGCAGATGTTCCAAGGCACTGCGGCCGAGATGACGGAATGGGCAGGCCTCGGCTAAGTTTCTTTTTTCGCGCGTCGGTATTCGTGGCGGCGCTCCCGATGCAACTGCTGTGGACATCGGCAGTACCCTAACACCCTCATACCCTAAGTGCCAATGTTCTAACTGCTTTAAATGCTCTAGGTGATTAGGTGAGGTTAGCACATCCTTGGTCCATTCGGCATCGCGGTCCACTCGCAGACACGATGGCAACCACCGAGGAGGGTCCCGAGACGGTTCGGTCCACGAGAAACAAACTACGGTGAAGGGGCACCAGGCCTGCAGAAAACGGGCCCTCGAGATCCAATCCACTTCAGATCGGCAGTATTTTTCTTTTCGCGCCAAAGCTTGGTTCCTGACGGTCACCCATCGAGCCCATCCCTGTCGTCCCCGCCAGTAGGGCTATCGGTGCATCGACTCCGTATGCAATTTGAGGTTATCGTCGAGCTAGTTAGTCCACACGCTCGTTGTACCCTGCGCTGTTCCGCCCCCAAACGTTCCACCTGCTCGCTGCGAGGTCAACGGCAATGCGAGATCGCGCAGATCGTCCGCCTCCCCTCGTTGCGTCTTTGGCTCGTTAGTCCCGAGGTTTACTACTGTACTAGTACAGGAGCAGTGAACTGGCACCACGACGTGTGAATTCCCTTTCTCGGCCGAACGGGCAGCATCGCGGACCATCACAAACAGCGGTGTCCAAATCGCTCAAGAGCACAGCATATTTCCGACGTAGGCACGCTAACCAGCCTCCCCGACGCGAGGAACTCATCCGATTTCCCTTCTTGAGTAGTACTACGAGCCTCGTCCCGGCACAGGCCGGAAAACAGCGCCAGCCAAGTGCGGATCGCCGAGTTACAGGATGCACCGCGGCCAATCATGGGCCCACACACGGCGAACGAGGACGCCACCCACCTCATGCATCGGGCCTAGTCGCGACTCGGGCTGCGCCAGAAGGTCCTCTCTCGGATGTATTCCGATTCATGTATCCGATCAGAAGCAGCTTCCGTGCAGGGCATTATTGCATGGTCAAAGTACAGTCGGGCCTACTATCTACTATCGTCGGGGGAGGGTACAGCGGCCGGAGTACCAGGCACCCTGGAGATCTGTATCTCCATCTGACAGCAGTGGGCTCTCCCCATCTCCATCGCGTCTCCGTCTCCATGTGCGGACCGGGGAGGAGGGCGTCCTCCGTCCCACAATGACAGAGTTGCGCTAAGTCGCCAACCCAACAATTGAATACCGACCCAGCCATTATTAGCCGCCGTACCGTGGACTTGGGATTGAAAAAGGATTACGTTTTGCCCCTGGCTCAAGCCGCCCGTGTTTCGGACCCTCAGCGTGTAGACTTTTTACGGTCCGTACGGGCTCGTCGACGGTGTCGACGGCAATTTCTATTAATAATAGATAAATTACAATGTTGCCATTGCCACGCCATTGCCATTTTGCCGTTACGCCCGTCTCGTTCTGCAGGCCGGTTGCAGTGGAATGCGACCGAACATGATGAACCATGGCTGCCTGAACCTGAACCGCACATGCCGACCACCTTTTGGCGATTGGCTCCATCCGCGTTACCCCAAATACACTGTATCATACCGGACCCACTATCCCCGAGTCCACGGCTTCATGCAAGAACGCTACCGTGGGCAATTCGAATCATGAGCAAAATGTGTGGTCAAGGAGATTAAGGGCTCGCCTACTTCTGGAATTGCATCGCATTCCCAGTGGCCAACACGGTCGGCAGCGGCGATCAGGAATCACACAGCGCGTGACTTACGTCGCGACCTGTGAAAAGGGGGAAAGGCTGATGTGGCGTTGCGCCCGTGTATCGCCTCTCTGGGCAGTGTAGACGACAGAAAGTTCGCTCGTTTTTGGGGCGTGAATTTTAAACAGTGTTTGGGGTGAGTCAGCCTCGAGAATCCTAATACCGTCGCAAAGTTTATTGAATGCCGATTAATTTGGCGACAGCGAGGTTCTGTTGGGAGGGCCTGGGGAGGGCATCGAGTCGGTGCATGGTTGGATTAAAGATCTGAACTGCATCAATTAAGCATATCTAATCTTTCCGTCCCACGCGCCCATGAGCGTAGTGTAGTTACGCCATGACGGTGGGACTGCAGGGGTGGATCTTCAAACTGGTGGAAGCACCTGTGAGGTGCACAGATATATATCCATCCTCCATGTCGTACATGCCATCACATGACCTTAGGTGCTACAAGCAGCGAGCGAGGTATATGAGGCCGTGAACGTTCTGAAGCAGCCACCACATCCCTGAGCAGTAGCACACTATGCACAACACAAGAATTCTCTCGAGATTGCGATTAAACATCAAGTCAGAACAAGATATCTTTATCTTCAGTCATCTCCACATTCATTAATCCCCGCCATGTTGTACATACAAGGTTAAACTGGTGGAGACACTCGAGGAAGCCCACACCCCCATCGCGGGGAGCCACACCCACCGTAACCTAAAAGTGCTCGGATGAGACGCTGGCGTAGAAAAGTGGACAATTTAGAGTGGATAATCCTCAACTCCATGTTTTGCGGTGGTAGTGGTCGGGAGCCGGTACATATATGAACCCGAAAATCACAATGCAGCCGAGCGAAGCCAATATTATTCCTCCTTTTACAACACTAACTACAAGCATCATCCACCGACTTAGAAACGACTGTGGCTTCTGGTTCCTGATGCTCAGGCTCGATTCCCTCGCTAACCTCCGGCTCCTGCTCGACATGGTGGATGGCATGGGCTACGTTCACGACGGGGCCAGTGAACCACGATCTCGCATCAACAAACCACCAAATAATCACCATCAGCATCGGTCCTCCGTAAACGACTGCAGTCCAATTCATGAGATCCGGACCGAGGTCAGAACCAGTCACGCTCGGAAGACACAATATGGGAAACATTAGAAGAACAAATGCGACACCTAGTCCTCCAATATAAGTACCATACGGGCCGAGATTCCAGGGACCCTTGCGAAAGCGGTTTCCAACGAAGAATACACGAATAGAGATAGGAATGCAGAAAGCAATGAATTGCGCGATGGCACCGATGGAAAAGAGGGCCCCGATGGCGACAGACCCCGCCAAAATGAGCAAAGTCATGATGATACCCAGGACGGCGTTGAGAATCACCGCGTTGACAGGCGTGTGTGTGTACCCATTGACCTTCTTCCAGATATTCGAGAGTGGGAAAACATCGTCGCGGGCGTAAGCGTAGGTCACGCGCGATGCGGCAACCATACATCCCTGGCCCATGGAGAATCCGCAGATAATGGTCAATCCCAGGATCCCCAAGGCTGCCTTCTGCGGCATTACCTGTAGAAGGTACGAGGCCCAGGGCTGGCCCAGGTCGGAGTCGATGACGGCTTCAATATCGAGAACTGTATATGCGACGACGAGTTGGAGAAACCAGCCCATCAGACCTCCGACGCCGGAGGTGAGGACGATGGCTCGCGGTGAGGCGATGTTCGCATTCGAACACTCCTCACTGAGGTGGAAGGGAGAATCATATCCGCTCATGGTCCATATAACCCCGACAAAGGTCATGAGAACGGCGACACCGTCGGGGAAGTCGGTTTGGTTGGTTATCTCGCCCCATACTCGTTTGGAGGGCGTGAATTTGGGGCTGTTGCTTGTTCCTGCCGGGATTGCGATGAGAACGACAATCAGCGCGAGAATGTTGAAAGTGGATCCCCAAGAGTTGAATTGTGCAACACGTTTGGTTGGCATACTGCTTATAGCGGCGTGGATGATCATGATCAATGTCGTGAGGAGGAATGTCTGCCAGTTCGTGGGCACGTAGTCGGGGTTGGTGATGGAACCCGCGGCAAGAATCATGGCAGCTAACGCGTAGTCGACAGATGGCGCTGCTGTTATCTGGCCTAGGAAATTAGACCATCCAGTCAGCCAGGCTGCAAAAGGTCCATATCCCGGGGGTGCGAGAACAGCGGCTGCGTAGTATAGCCCACCACTGTGATGAAGGCAACAGGTTAGCCATACGGCTCCGAGGGTCGTTCGGTATCAATTTGGTATAGGCTTTCTTACCTCGTTGGCATTGCCGAGCATAATTCTGCCATCGACATTGCGATGCATTGAATGAAGGTCATGGCGATGATCCATCCCCACACCATGCCGGCCGTCCCTGCATATCCCATTCCTTTCCCAGTGTCAGCAATTGGTCTTCCAACGGGATGGTGGATCGCGCACCGTAGTACAGGGTACTCGCAAACGAAGGCAAAAGACCGAGAACCGCAAAACTGACACAAAAGGTCGTCCACAAGGAGAACTCGCGCTTGAATTCCTGCTTATAACCCAGGGCCATGATCACTCGCTCGTCGGCATCCATTTCATGGTCCGTATATGGCACGTCGCCATCCGGCAGCACGGACGTGACTTGTGCATGATTGTCATTGTAATGTTTGGTGGTTTTCGAGTTTGATTTATCAATCTCCATCGTTCTGTTCGCACTGTCATTCGCAGGGATAGAGGGTAAGTCAAGGAACCCTTGCAAGGAACGAGATAGAGGCCGATAGGAAACGGTGACAATGGAGGATCGTTTCAAGAAATTTCCCGCCGTTGGTCGAGATCTGTACGACCACGAAGGGGAGTCCGACGGTTTTAAACGACCGGCCATGCGGCCAGGAGCTAGGGGGTTATCGGCTTATCCCCATGCTATGACGATTCGTTGGTTCGCGCCATCAAATCGCTAACGCTGCGATAGACCCAAGCCCACCAAGCATCAGGCCTATCTAGCCCAGCGGGTCTCCAGACCGCCGCTAGAAGGGCAGGACGAAGCGGAGGTCAAACCCCAGGGGCGGCCTGTCCGACAGCTCGCAAAGGACATAGTGATGAGCACGAGAGTAACCGAGGTCGCTTTGATTCGGCCGCTGGATGGCGCATGGGCATTTTCCATGCTCTGACAGCCAACTTGGCAAAGGCCAAACTCAAGAAGGAAGTTTCAGGCGTTGAACGAGCCGATTATTCACAGGGCTGCCTCAGGTGATTGTTGTTATCAGCGGGCGATAGCAGCTGGGGAGATAAGCCCAAGCTGGGGGCTACCCTAGCCTGGCCCCTACCCTAAGGTAAGGTTAGGATGGACTCTGTGGATCGGATCTTATCTGGCGGGGGGATGGACCTGCTGGATGGGGAAAGGCTTTAATTCAAATGCTTGACACACTCCGCCGATGCTCCTCAAACGACCTAAGATGCGGGGTGAGCTGAGCCCCATATCTCCACTCACCATGAGGTTGAGTGGTGCCAGTTTAGCCGGTTGAGCAAGGGAAAATCGAAACGAATTTAGAAAAATGAATTCCAAAGCAAACACCATATTTGACTTAGATTCTGCTAGTGATTAAGCATCCAAGAGCTGTCAGGGAAGGGTGTGGGGGGGCGACATAGGAAGGTAGTTGTGAATGTAACACCCCTCCCCCCAAAATAATACTGGTGACCTAAGTTGACATAGGAAAGATAGGCCGGCTTCGATCCACCCTGACCAATACCAACAAGGGCGAGGGCATTGAAGCATCGTCAGCAAGTGATTCATCGTGTTCATGAGCAGTGCCATGACCATGATCCCTTCCAGCATACACAAAAGTGTACGAACGGTGAGGATTCGAAACAGCCCTCTTGCGTCGGGCCATTTGCGCAACTCACCTGGACACTCACAATAAGAGAGCTGCTCTTTGAACCGACCCAACTCTTATGCAGTTAGGCCCGCTTGCAGATGTCTTGCTTGATCCAATGTACGTAGGTATACGTCAACCCAACCTTGTTCCACTGGACTATCACGGCCTCGGAAAGTTACTAAAAGCCGCTTGTTGGCTTTTTTCCTTGGCCAAGAGTTATGAAGGTTGCAAGATCCGGGTGTTCCCAGTCGACTGTTTCAAAGACCGCAATTACTGCATCTTCGAACCCAGTCATGAACAAACGGACAAGCTGATCTTCACCATGTCCTTGAATGGCATTCCAGAACCTTTCTATCTTTATAGGCGTGGAAAATGGCGAAAAGGTTGAGGCATGCTCTTTTAAATATTATCTGGCCAGACGGAGAGCACCCTCTAATCTTAATACAAAATGTAATTTGACTCTAATCCGACTGAGTTCGCGATCATTATATCGACCAAAAACATGCCAGTAACCCTCGAGAACTGATGGAACTCCTCGAAAAAGCAACATTGTGAAAAGAGGGTCCTAGTCTCATGAGAGCAGTAATCACCAGTTGCCTTGAAAGCATGTTCTCACTTCCATCTTGTTGGTCGGCGAGGTCAAGGATCTGTAGAGTATCGAGAATACTCGTTGCCATACCTTGACTTCTCAAATCGCTTTTGCTTTCGTCAGGGTTCATTATCATCTGGCCCGCATTCAGGAGAAACCTCCGTCATCGGTAGATGCTTGCGACTTGTTGTATTCTTTTCTTCGTTTTGGAATTGAGTGTCATTGCCGACAGCTGACTGGGAAGTATTAGCCACCAAAAATCTGCTCTCGGTAGCGTTGTTGTTCACTCCGACTAAGTAATACATGGGCTTAGGCCCTCATGATTCATTTGGTCGGCAGCTTGCTCTTGCTTCGAGGCGCGGTTAAAGGCGGCATTTAAAGAAAATTTGACGTTGGGTCTTTGAGGACCGGGAATGACCTCTTCCATTGCACCAGGACAAGTTTATTTATGTATTTTGGGAATCGAAGTATGTCATGGGGTCGATGTGTTACAGGAAATGATGGAGATATCAGAAAAGTACATGAGTTGGAAGATTGAGGACTGCTCCGACATTCTTCCTCGCCAGCGGGGGACCCATTTCTCTCCTAGCCAAGACCGACAACACCACCACTACCATATTATTACCAGATCGGATATTGAGCCCAGCATTTATATCAGAAAGGTATCGTTGGGTAGGCTACGAGAAAGTATACGGAGCATTAACTGGCAAAATTATGAAGGACGCTATATAGAAAAGATAAAAGAGGAAGAGATTAGATAACAGAATGAATGAAGATTGGAGGATAAGATCTTGAAAATAAAAAACAAGCTGCAGCTGGGGACGGTCTGGCCAAGGATACCAGTTTCAGTATTACTGGCAGAATCCTTGGCGATCGTCACTCGCAGGCCAGTTCGAGCGCTGCAGGAACTCTCTTGCTGCTAGCGCAAGCTTCAGTGGAATCATCTAGTATTGCACCAGAGCCAAGGCGGCGTTGTAATGCTTCAGGATCATTTCGGCTTCAAGATAGGCCGCCTCAGTGATCTCTCGAGTCTGTTGTGCCGCCGCGCAATGAACTCTCTTCCTACCTTTCTTGGTACCATTTCTCTCTTTCTTGGGACCTAAAGCCAACAGAGCCAAGGTGTCATTGCGATACTGCTGGACCTTTTCCACTTTATCATAGGCCGCCTCGATGATCTTGAGAGCTTCTCGTGTGGCCGCCCGACGAATCCTCTTTTCATTCTCGGCCTTGCGCCACAACCAAGAACTCTTTTCGATATCGAAGAGCTCCTTCTTCTTTGCCCAGAAGCATCCAGTGGCGTCATGCTCGCTGCGGTCGGTGGCATCGGTTGGAGGGGCACGAACTGTACCGAGTCGGTTTGTGACTCAGGGAGAAAGAGACGATTGAGAGTTCAGGGACGATACTACTCACGAGTCTTGTTCTCCTTGGGTTCAGTATCGTGGTTTTTGACCTTCTTGAAGTCAGGCTCGATGTCGGCATCGCTGCTGTCCGACTCGACTTCGGTACAGCTACTGTACGAGTCCTCTCGGACCCGCTTCTGGATTTCATCAGTACAACATGCTAATGATCGAATAGCAAGGTTGGAATGTCACCTTAGGAAGCTCCATAACGGCTATTTGATGGAATCGATTGTAAAAGAATAGAGGGCCTCGAGTGGCTGAAGTGTGGATGGTTAAGGGTCGAGGAAGGATGGGTGAAGAAGGGTGGTTGAAGAAAGATGGAGGGGAAAGTTTAAGAGGAGGAGAGGAAAAAGATGAAGTATCACATAAAGAATAGAGAGAGAATGGGAAGGAGCGCTGTACTGGTACTGTGAGGTAGGGAAGGAGCGACGTAGTGTGCTTGTCTCGTAGGCTGCGGCGGTAAGTCGAGCTGCGTCGTGCCTGCCACGACCCTAAATTAAGGGTTCTGCCCAAATAGCTGTCTATCGCCCCCTTCCATGTGGCTGTCTGCTCTCACATCCGTGGCTTCCAAATGTTCTAGTAGAATTCCGAAGTGGTGGTCGAGTTGATGGGCTGGTGTTGACCAAGTTATACTGACAATTGCCAGACGCCCATCACCACTATCAAAAATAACCGGCTCATAGCACTTTGGCACTACTTTCTCCCACGTGGCTTTCCTCCTACGGCGTTCCAGGAATACATCACAGAAAAAGCCAAAGCAACGATTACTAGTATTATAGTAGAATGCAGCTCCTCTGATTGGCTGAGACAGTTATAGTCACATGACCACAACCCGACCCTCGACGAAAACCGCCAGCGAGATCTCCTTCCTGAGATTGCACCACGACCTACCCTCACTGACAACAATGGTATGCCTGCATCTACCCCGCTACCCTGAAAAATTCCGCCGTGGTATTCGTGTCCTCTGGACTTGGCTCAGCAGTGCCAGCGATCAGAACGGGGTAGCCATTTCCTGCATGCACCCATAGTCGAGCCACCCGGAATGACCGCCGCAAACATCCAAGACCTCTCAAAAGCAATTGATCACTAACGATGCCAATTTCTGATTTATAGGCCTTCGCTCCCACTCTCCGCCGCGCTGCGGCCGCCGCCCCCTCCTCCGCTTTCGCATCCAAGTGAGACAGACTCCCCCTCCCCGATCTTCAGTGTATGCTGCAGGCGGATACAAGCTGTACACAACTGGAAGTTCCGTCGTGGATATTTGTGCTTTGGAGAGGGAATTTGGTCATGGAAGTGCACGCTTTTGCTAACAATATACAGCTTCGCCACCCAGCGTGCCGTTGCTGGCTTCACCCTGCCCAACGCTATCCGGGCGTATGTCTATCCCCAGAGCTTCAAGGACAAGGGCCTCTTTAGTACAGAGCGCATGCTGACGTTGGATCACAGTGGTACCCTGGCTGGCAGCTTCGGTGTCTTCGCCGGTGCTGCTGCTCTTTTCTTCCTCGGCGAGGTTCCCCGTGTCCGTCGCGACATTCTGCAGCAGTTCCCCTTCCTGGACACTTATTTCGATCGTCCCATTGCCCCCGAGGACAACGTAAGACATCCTACCCCAGTTGGAGTTGATATTGGAAGTCAGGCTAACTCGTTCCAGCCCTTCTAAACTATATTGTTGTGTTGTCGGCGCTGCTTTGGCACTGAGCATTGGAGATGAGGATTCGGATCCGTGTGTAGAATAGCGATGAAAATCTTACAATTCAATTGTATCAAGTTCCCATCATAGCACGGGGTGTAAAATTGTGTAAAATAGTATACGAGGGTACCTTCTTGTATAGACCACGACATGGAAGGGTCCTGGCTGATCGCAGGGTACTTATTAACGAGGCCGGGAGTATACACTACTAAAGTACGGCGCAAGACTCCACAACAAACTGACATGGAGTCAACTATTGAGGAGAATATAATTTTGAGTTGAAACTCATACGAAAAGAAAGTATATATTCGAGCATGCAAGGTCAGATACCGTGGAGAAACAGCCTGGGTTCAAATCAAATACAGTCGAAAAGGAAAATTAGAATAAAGAGGAACCGTGCAGCCTACTTAACACCGGAAACTGTACATGCATTTTCATTAGTCGACCTTTCCAGTCGATCCTCCGTTCAGGATACCTTCCTTGCCGTCGAGGTGGAAGAAACCACCACCGCCATTGGAGTTGCCAATGATACCACCGCGGCCAAGTCCAGTACGGCGCAGGAGTCGCCCACGACCAAAAATTGTGGCAACAGCCACCGTGAGACCGAGCAGGATGAAGAAGAGAATAGGGTGGCCGCTGAGGAAGGAACGGGTATAGAAGAAGAATGTTTCCAGCGTGCCAATGGTCGACTTGGCAGCCAGTTTAGGAGGGGAGGAGATGACGAGAGGAATAGTTTCAAGGATCGAAGTACGGGATGCCATGACCGGGGCTCCACTCGAAGCGGTATCCCAGTACCGGCGATTCTGTTCACAGATTAGCGTATGTTGCCAAAAGTCTTCGCAAATAATGGACAAGGCTTACATCTTCATCATTGATAATGACACGGTCGCCATTTTGGACATCGATGCCGTAGGTAGTGCGCAACCAGCGTTCCCAGAAATCACCATCCACCCAGGCGAAGGCAACAGCCTTCTTGTCATCTTCGCGAATGGTGATACGCATGTTCTTAGCAGCGCGGAGAGCACGCTGGTCGTCGCGGTCATCAGCCTCTTCAATACGCAACTGCTTAGCGTCTCGAAGTTCTGAACGCTCGAGGCGGAAGAGCTGCACTTGCTTTTCCATCCATTCGAGAGCTGCTTCTTTCAATTCCCGCTTGGACTGCTTGAAATCATCGGAGCGCCGGCGGCTAAGAATACCGAGCACAACGTACTTGCCATCCATGATTTCGCGGGCATTGGAAGCTGTGAGTTCGGGAACAATAGGCAGCCAAACAGTCTGCATCCAGGACAGAACCTGGCGGAAGTCTCTCATGTCCTTAGGAGCAAGGGCGTTGTAGTAGTTCGCCCGTCCGTCACGGACCACCAAGAGTCGCGGCCATGTGGAGATCTTAAACCGCTCCGCGAGGGCAGCACTGCTGGTCTTGACGATCCGAGCGTGGCCCACGAGGCTAAGAGTCAGGCGATCCATGGCACGGAAGTCCTCTGATGTAGTGGCATGATCGTAGAAGTACAAGAAGAGGACTTCTTCGGTCTCTTCCAGTTCCTTGAAAGTGGCCGCATCAACATCTTCAATGCGGGAGCCAGGACCAACGGCTTTCTTTGTGTACGAGAGCAGGTCTCCAAGGCCACGCAGGCCGGTATATTCTACCCTCTGGCCACCTCGGAAGAAATACATGGTAGGGAAGGCGCTGACACGAGCATCTTCGCACAAACGAGACTCGATGTCGCAATTGACTTCACCCACATTCAATGTGTCCTTCATCTCCTTGGCCATTTCCTTCCAGCTGGGGGCCATGGCTTGGCAATGACCGCACCATGGGGCGTAGAACTTGATGAACCAAGGGTCCTGTGTAGTGGTGACAAGCTTCTGGAAGCTTTCCGCGGTGAGAGGGACAGAGACGCCCTGCGGGTTGGGAGGCGCCGATTTGGGCTTGGTCTGGTGGTCGGTAGTGGTGCCATCCGACTTCGAATCCTTCTGAGAAGCCAATTCATTGTACTTCCCGCCAGCCTGCGCACCGGCCGCAGAGTCCTTGTCCTTTGCGAGCGGAGAATCAGGCTCGGCACTCGAATCAACGCTAGTGGCGCCAACCTCGGGCAGCTTGATGCCCTGAGGAGGTCGGGATCCAGGCTTTACCGCCTCCAGCTTCTCTTCGATGAGGTGGCTCAGGTCCTTGACTGACTTGGCACCGACATGCTTCTCCTTCTGCTCGCCCTGGTCATAGAACGCGAAGATCGGCCATGCCGAAATACCCAGTTTCTCGCAGAAGTCCCCATGGGCCAGACAGTTCATGGATCCGAAATGGAAGTTGTAATATTTGGTAAACCCGTTGAGGGATTTGGGATCGGGCGATTTGTTAGACGTGGGGGAGAGCGGGTTTGAGGTCTAAAGTGAGGAGGAATTTAGTCTGTGATTTATGTGCGCCTGGGGATGTCACTCACGTAGTAGTACTCATAGGTGGTCTGGTAGGCCGGCGCGGCCTTCCGGCAATGACCACATGATGGAGAGTAGTGCTTAACGAGCCTAGAGATGGTCAGAACATTGATGCATTTGTTGTGATACCGTACTCACCAATAACCATCTTTCGTGAGCTCTTCGAAATTTTCTGGAGTCAGCTGGGTCACTGGAGGCACATCCAGGCCATTGAAAACGGTGGGTTGGTCAGAGTCGAGTCCTCGGGATCCTCTTTTCTCCAATGTCGCAGACGCGGCCAACGTCGGGACGGTCAACAAGGAGAAGAGGGACCACCCCAACCAGGAAGACTTCATTCTGGTGGGAGAGAGCGTTCAGCCTCAAGAATGGAATTCGAAATGAGAGTAGAAGTGAGCCCGCCGATGCTCGGACGGGTTGTGAACGAAGGACACTGGTCGAAGGGAGGGATTGCGAGATGTCACAGGTGGCACATTGGACCCGGGGAATGGGCGGGCAAAAACAGGCTCCGAGGGCGCTGGTCAGTCGAATCGTAAAGATGAAGGTAGTGTTGGACGACCAAGCCCCGAGCCGTAGCAAGTCTATTCGGACAGCACTCCGAAAGAAACGATATTCTGACGCGCGCGTTGTAGACAGCGGGAAGAAAAGGTGGCTCCCCCTGCCCCGTTGCCCGTTACAGTACAGTGGAAGGCCAAGTTTATCCGCTCCGGCCCGACTTCGAAGTTCCCGTCTCCCTGGCACCAAGTGCGCCCGCAACCACCCATTCCGCACCTCACACTCGCCAAAATGAGGGCTACACTCCGGCTGTTGGCCAATGTCAAGCCCCGGTATCTGGAGCCTTTTGCTCCGACCGGATTGACCGGCCTGACCACCCATCCAAGCCCCCGACCGACTCTGATCTACTATTACTACCAGACCTTGCACAAGCTCCAGTCCTTCCCTGAGTCGTCCGCATACCGCCAATCCGTCGAGGCGACCACCCGCCACCGTCTTAACATCGTCGAGTCGAAGATTCCTCCCGGTTTTGAGGCCTGGAAGGAGCGCGTGGACAAGCTTCTGGAGGCCGAGCCAGAGCGCTTCGCATCGCTCAAGCAATCCGAAGGACCCTTCCGCTATGTCGGCCGTCAGGTCGCAGACGGAACTGATGACCCTCGTGGTCAGGCCTGGGATGGTGAGGAAGAAGGCATTAGCACCGAGGGACCTGTCCGCACCCCGGAGGAGTTGGCCGAGTGGGAGAAACTCATGGAAGAGGCCTCCAGAGAGCCATCGGCAAGTGACTGGATCCGGGGCGAGGTGAAGCTTGAGAACGAGCCCGCTCTCGAGGCAGACCAGTATGTGCATGAACCACCAGCAGTTATAGTACGTGGCTAATACACTTTACAGGGTTGCTCAGATTGAGAAGGAAATTGGCCACGGCCTCCTGGAAGAAGTCATTGAGGTCGCCAAGGCCGAGCTGCAGCTCGTTGATCAAATGCATGACGCCAAGGTGTAAGTGAATACCCGACTCTTGTCTTGACCAGACTAATAACTTGATTCCAGTTGGGAGGAGCTTGAGGAGAAGCCCGCTCCGGGCCAGTGGTCTTATTTTGAGCGCCATTAAATCAAGGATTGAAAAAGTGCGCGAGTATACGGCTCCTGTAACTATTAGAAGAGTTGTTTGAATACATTTTTGTTCTACGATTTCAACTTCAATTATTGGCCTGAAGTCTCATCATACTTGATAACAGGAACAAGTCTTGACAACTGGGCTGACTGTTAATATTCTGAGATTGTGACTCTGGTCAGTTCGCAATGGCCTTCTCTGGGTCGGCGACGTTTCTTTAATCCAGAAAACATTATTGTTAGAACTTGGATGCTTCTGTTTGACGCACACTGCGGGGCCTTTCACTGTGCTCATCTGATTTACCTCCTTCAAATTGCTTTGAGGAAGAATATGATCCACCTCGGATGATTTGTACAGGCTTAGTTAATCTAATTAAAAGAGCTGCCCTATGTGCTCCATATTGTAGTCGATGGTGTCATATGGTAACTACGAAGACCTTCCCTAACCACGTTCCAACGTTCCGTAGTTCCTGGACGGGCTGCGTGCTGCTGCGCGGATGCCTCGACCCGCCCAAAGGCGGTGAGCTCCGGCGGGAATCCCTTGTGGACACATACATTGTCCCTGAACGACCTTCAGCTCTTCGCCAGCCAGGTTATCTTGCTGGTTCTCGAAAGATCACCCCGAGGACCGTTTCTCCCGCATCCCCCTGGGCTGTCTGAGTGGCTCGCGGAATTGCCCCTCCCACAGGCCCTACGCCGCACCACACAAACACTCACATCGTCCCCCACACAACATGCGGCTCGACGTTAAGGTATATTCACCTGACTATCGCGGTGGTAGCTCCTTTCAATTGAAATGGCGGTTCCACCGGATATGCGACTCTATGGAATTGACAAGATTGCTGACGGTCGTGGCGTTCTACAGAGGCAGCTTTTTGCCCGCTCGGAGCGGGTGAAGGGTATTGATTTCCATCCCACGGAGCCATGGGTAAGTCTGGACAGCGGCCTTTATTGTATTGAGCTTACTGACACTTTTTTTAGATCCTGACCACCCTATACAGTGGCCACGTCTACATCTGGTCTTACGAGACACAGGTAGGTACCGACAGACAGACACCAGTGCCCTCTAATCGAGACCCAGCTAACACCATGTTTTCAAGTCCATTATCAAAACCTTCGAGCTTACCGATGTTCCCGTTCGTGCCGGTCGATTCATTGCGCGAAAGAACTGGATTGTCTGCGGTTCGGATGACTTCCAGCTCCGTGTTTACAACTACAACACCTCCGAGAAGATCACCTCCTTCGAAGCACACCCCGATTACATTCGCTCCATTGCCGTTCACCCGACCTTGCCTTATGTTCTCACCGCGTCAGATGATATGACCATTCGCGCTTGGGATTGGGAAAAGGGTTGGAAGTGTATTCAGGTCTTCGAGGGCCACAGTCACTATGTGATGGGCATGGCCATCAACCCGAAGGATACCAACACTTTCGCCTCTGCGTGTTTGGATCGCACCGTTAAGATCTGGAACCTCGGCTCCCCCCACGCCAATTTCACCCTCGAGGCTCACGAGACCAAGGGTGTCAACCACGTCGACTACTACCCTGGTTCCGACAAGCCATACCTTCTCACAACCTCGGACGATAAGACCGTCAAGATTTGGGATTACACAACCAAGGCGCTCATCGCGACTCTGGAGGGCCACACTAGCAACGTTTCTTTCGCTTGTTACCACCCCGAGCTGCCTGTGATCATCTCAGGTTCTGAAGATGGCACTATCAAGATTTGGCACGCTAACACCTATCGCTTGGAACAATCGCTAAGCTATGGTCTGGAGCGAGCTTGGTGTATATCCTCACAAAAAGGACGACAGGGAATCGCAATGGGTTTCGATGACGGTGCGGTAGTTGTTAAGATGGGACGAGAAGAACCCGCCGTTTCTATGGACGGCTCGGGAAAGCTTGTCTGGGCCCGGCACAATGAGGTTGTCTCTGCAGTCATCAAGGGTGGTGATCCGAACATCAAGGATGGCGAACCTCTACTGCTGCCGACTAAAGAGCTTGGAACTAGCGAGATCTATCCTTCAACTTTGTCTCACTCGCCTAACTCGCGATTCGTAGCCATCTGCGGCGACGGTGAATGGTGTGTTTTCCCTTCAACCTGACTTTTTTTCTAACATACGATGCTAACCATTCGTTCACAGGATCATTTATGTGGGTATCTCCAATCACAGCATTCGAAATTCAAAACTAACTTTACTTTTCAACTCTAGACCGCATTGGCATGGCGCAACAAGGCCTTTGGTTCTGCTCTCGATTTCGCTTGGGGCTCCAAGGATAACAGCAACGATTTTGCTATTCGGGAATCTACGACGAGTGTCAAAATCTTCAAGAACTTTAAGGAGCAAAGCGGTGGCCTGGACGTCGGCTACCAAGCCGAAGGCCTTGCTAGCGGTGTTTTGCTCGGTGTCAAGGGACAGGGTGGTATCGGTCTCTTTGACTGGGAGAGTGGTAACCTAGTCCGAAGAATCGAAGTCGACCCAACCAACGTGAGTTTCGCTTTGGAAAGTTATATTACAGCCGACTGACTTTATTCTAGGTGTACTGGTCCGAAAATGGAGATCTTCTCGTCCTCGCCTGTGAAGACTCTTTCTACGTCCTTCGCTACTCGCGGGAAGAATACATTAACGGTATGAACAATGGTGAAGCTGACGAGGATGGTGTCGAGGCCGCCATCGAGCACATCGCTACTATCAATGAGACCGTGCGTACTGGAGAATGGGTTGGTGACTCGTTCATCTACACCAACTCTACAAACCGCCTGAACTACCTCGTTGGTGATCAAACATACACCATCTCGCACTTCGACCAGCCAATGTACCTCCTGGGCTATCTTGCTAGAGACTCCAAGCTCTATCTTGCCGATAAGGATGTCAATGTCGTCTCCTTCGGTCTCTCTCTCAGCATGGTTGAGTACCAAACTCTCGTGTTGCGCAACGAGATGGAGGCGGCTGCTGAGATTCTGAGCGACATTCCTCAGGATCAGATGAACAAGGTTGCGCGCTTCCTTGAAGGCCAGGGCTACAAGGAGATGGCCTTGGAAGTTGCGACAGACCCGGAGCACCGTTTCGATTTGGCTTTGTCTCTGAACGACCTCGAGACTGCTCTCCAGATCGCTCGTCAGACCAACACTGACCACAGGTACAAGTTAGTTGGTGACGCCGCTTTGGCTGGCTGGAACCTTGCCCTCGCCCAGGAATGCTTTACCCATGCCAAGGATATTGGTTCTCTTCTGCTGCTTCACACTGCCAGCAACAACCGCTCGGAGCTTCGCAACCTGGCTACCCAGGCCTCCGAGTCGGGTCTCCACAATGTCGCATTTTCTACTCTCTGGTCATTGGGTGACGTTGATGGCTGCATTGATCTCCTTGTCACGGCCAACCGACTCGGTGAGGCGGTCCTCTTCGCTCAAACCTACAGGCCTAGCCGCGCCGCTGCTCTTGTGGTCCAATGGAAGGAGAGCCTCGAGCAATCGAATAAGGCAAAGACTGCTCGCCTGATCGGTGTCCCGCCCGGTGCTCCCGACGTCACCTCCACTGATGACGACCTTTTCCCGGAGTGGGACGAGTATATCCGCCTCGAGAAAGAGGGAATTGTTCCCGAACCTTCTTCCGAGTCGCTGATTGACATTGATGTTGATGCTGATGCGAAGGAGCCTGCCAATGCAGATAATGATGCTCAAGAAGCCGAGGCCGAAGCCGAGACTGAGGGTGAAGTTGAGGAGAAGGCGGAGTAAAAACGGCTCAAAATCGGGTTGTATTTCATTCTGGCTCGAGGGATAAGTTGATAGAGAGCATTTTTTTCATTCCCGATTGAACTGAGTCGGTTAACTTTGATTTGCGAGCGGCGTCTTAACGTGTGTCCGACTTTTTTTTTTTAACTTTTGTCTCCTATTACAAATTTTTTTCCGCCTTTTATTTTCCTTTTGCTGTAATTCCGTTGTGACATTTTTGGTCTGCGGGTTTCTGAGATCGCATGGATAGATACAATGACAAACCACCTTTCTATTTCAGTGTTACCTACCTACACTGTAGCGCCGGTAGAAAGTCTTGTAGTGGTGTCGGCAAACCTCTTGAAGTGTTGGATGGCACGCGTTGCCACAATGATAAGGTGCATTGTATATTTTCAATAAAGGCGGGACCCCAAATGTTGCACCAGTATGCGGTGCGGTACCCACGATGCCCAAATTCACTTTCATCACCGCTGCATTCATTTATCAGGTGTCTCACCAAAAGAATCTCCATATTTTATTCCGAACACCTTGGTTCTCTCAGAAAGCCTGGAGTAGTATGTGGTCGACGTTACACTACGGCGTATGTTATCAAGCCTTGGTTACGATACCCAGTTGCAGCTTTAGAGCTGTGATCACACGTCAATACTGAAATGACGGGATATTCAGTGTACTTCAGTGTGTACTGCCAATATAGGGTAATGAAGCCTACGACATACCCAAGATATCCTAGAGGAAATTGAAAGATAGGTCTAGAGCCAGTTGGAATGGCATTGGAATTGTCCATTGCGATCTTGTCAAGAATACAGAGCATGACCATCTCGCTTCCGAAAGAGGACGGATACAAGGGAATGATGGGAAAAACAGGTAATGACCGCTTGAGAACATAGAAAGAAAACAAGGGTTGAGAGGGACCTGCCTGGACGGGGTGAGTTGGGGATGACGCTGAGATAGGATGACCAGAAACAAATCAGAGCGGCCACGAGGGGTTTAGAGACGAAATGATGACAATCGGGGAAAAGACAAGACGAAGAGAAGAAACTGAAGTCTCGGGAGATTGGGTAAGACACTCCAAGATCAAGATGCCACAGACTCCTTGGGTAAAAAAGAAATGAAAAATAAGACAAAGACAACGAGAAGGCAAGGAAAATGATCAAGATTGGTAATATGTGGATCACGACAAACCACGCAGTGGAATGAATAATCGTGTCTACGAACCTCAAGCTTGTCTCGCACACTGATCACTCTTGATCTAATTGACCCTGCATGCAGCCCAGCGCTAAACAGACTTCTACTCCGGAATACTGCCGAAGGACGGGTCCTTCACACTGCCACCGGCATCGCCGAGACCTGCCACTGGTCGGTTGTAGGACCAGCCTGCAAACTGCTGCTGAACAGTGGATGACAAGGCAGGGCCATCAACATAAGAGTCTTGTGGGGCCTCAGAAGTAAAATCGGTATCGAAGTTATCTGTGTCACGAGCGTCAAGCTGTAAAAAATAGTTAGCGTTGGTAGCAAGGAATTTTGGGAATCAGGAATACATACCACGTTCGGGCGGAAGCTGGGCTCGTACTTCCGCTGGAGAAGCTTGCGCCAATCAATGTTCGCGAAGAAGTGGTGAGACTTGATCTCTGCAGCACCATTGGCACCCAGGCGGCGCTGGGGGTCACGATCCAGCAGGCGGGTGAGAAGATCCCGGGCTGCCGGCGGAACAATGTCACTGCTGGGGAAGGTCAAGGGCTCCTGCAAGATCTTGCGGTACATCTCATTGACGTTCTCGTCATAGAACGGCGGGAGACCCGTCAGCATCTCGTATAGCAAGACACCTAGAGTCCACCAATCCACAGTCTTGGTGTATCCGTTTCCAAGCAATAATTCGGGAGCCAGATACTCAGGTGTTCCACAGAATGCTACATTTCGTTGTTAGTACAAGATCGGGAAGTAAAACCAGCTTAAGATGTCACTTACTGTTTGTTCGGTCCTCATCCTTCATATCCAACTTGCACAGACCGAAATCGCAAAGTGCAATATGACCGGTGTAATCGAGAAGAATATTCTCAGGCTTCAGATCTCGGTAGATGACCTTGAATCCATGAAGACATTCAAGAGCACACAAAAGCTCCGCAGTGTAGAAACGTGCCCGGTTGATATCGAATCGTTGCTCCTTCTGGAGGTGATGGAACAGCTCACCGCCATTGACAAATGCAAGAACGAAGTAAAGCTTCTCCGGCGACTGGAAAGAGAACTTCAAAGGAACAATGAAGGGGTTGTTGATTTGCGCGAGAACCGACCGTTCTGCAAGAGTATGGGTGACTTCTGAGCGCGAAATAATGTGAGCCTTGCGAATCGTCTTCAGGGCGTAGATTCGGCCGGTATCCTTTTTCCTGTTTTTGAAAGTATGATTAGCAACACGTTGGCAACATGAATGAAATGAATGAAACGATTTTTCACTCACATGACCTGCATGACCTTGCCGAAACTTCCCTTACCAACGACCTTCAACAAGTCGAAATCCTCCATCTTCAGACTGCGCTGGCGGTTCTCGACGAACGAGACACCAATCTTGATCGAGCCGCTACCGAATTGGAGATCCAGCCATTCGGCACCCAGCTGACCCGAAGTACGTTCTTGCTCAGCATGAGCAGTAGCAGCCTTCTGGTTGTCCTTCTTGCTCAATTTCGGGTCTTCCACGTAAGGCTGAGAAGCCTCCTCGAAGCGGGGGAGGACCTTGACTGCTCCGAGGAAAATATCCTCACTGCGACCCGCGCCAGGGCGAGCAGCAGGATTGCGCAGGTACATTTGTACATTCAACTCTGTCTTTCGCGAAACATCAAACTTGAAAGCGGTGTTGTCACCGGCCCATAACGGGTTCTCGGGAGATCCAGACACAGCATCCACGAAAACCTGGTTCTTTTCGAAATCAAGAAGAGCATATGGAAGATATTTGGTGGAGTAGCGGCCGTGGATGGTAGGGGCAGAATTGATACCGCCGCTGGTGGATTGTGGTCGACTGTTTTGCACAAAAGAACCCGCTTGACCGTGGGAAGAGTGTGACGAGGAAGAAGTGCTCGGGCGCAGAGATGACGGGGCGTAAGAGTTGTTTTGAAAGTGGGAGTTGAAGATCTGCTGAAAATGAGGAGACAAGGCGAACCCGCGGCCTTCGTGAAGAGTGACAATGAGAATGCCTGGATTCACCGGGTTCACAGGTGGAGAGACCAGGGACTCTGAATTGGCTATAGTTTCCAGAGAGAATAGTTAGCGTTTCGATCTTGCATATAATCTACCACGCTGAAAGAAGAGCGTACCGATGCCGTTTGAAGCGGAAGGAGTCGGCGCCACGCTGGGGGCCTGGGGGGTTACGGGTGTCTCATCACCACCGCTACCGTTCGCATCGCCCTTAATTGTCGAGGTGGAGGACGACCGGCCAAACCCTGAGGTCAGAGGAGCCAGATGCGTCTCCTTCAGTTCTGGAAGAGGGAATCGATTAGCGATTTGGTCCGAGACACTTAGCCCCTCGCCTGCACCGCGGAGGGCGACTCCCGTCCCTTATTTTGGGGGGAGAGGGGGGCAAGAGGGGGTGGAGGGAAGAGGAGATAGGGAGACCAACTGCCAGTGAACATACTTTTGGTGAGCTTCCAGGACATGATGGCGGTCTCAGGGCCAAGGTATCAAGGAGAAGTGAGAGGATCGAGTGTCCAAGATGCTGACCGCGATACGTTGTGTAGACTGCCTGAACCACCTAAAAGTCAACATCGAAGTTCCCAAAATATAGCCGAGGCCACGCCAGATCAGCGCCACGCAGCGCGAGCCAGACGAAGGGGTCTTTGTTGGAACCGAGGGCCACCACTGCTTACCTTCTCAAACACCGGGGAGGAGATTGAAGACTGAAGCACAACTAACAAGAGGGAGTCGTCCAAAAGATGTGAGGGTGTCAAGAGGGGCTGCCGTAGGAATACGGCCCAGGAATACCCGTAATTTACGCACGGGGAAGTCGGCCGTCTGGGGCGCCATAAGGCTACCAGGGTATTCGGGTGACGATACAGCTGAGGTAAGCGACTCCCACCAGCCACACCGGGGCAGTGCAAGCGCCACATCCCCAAAGGGCGCGGTGAAAGGAGCCGCTTGAACCACCAGGAATTGCTTGTGCTTGAGCTGTGTTCGCCATTCAATCGGATCTCTCGTCTCGACATATATCGTCCACTTTCAACTGCAAGCTAACGCGGCCCCTGGTCACTTCTTGTTTGCAAGCTCGGCATAATTTCCCGATCTGCGGAGATCCCTACCCCAGGATCTCACCTCAACACGGTACTCCTCCCACCTGCATTCATCCCCTCTCCACCGGACCTGCACCTCTGATTGCCCTCAGAGATCTCTCGAGGGCGTCTCTGGGTTTTCGCGACGGCGTCGGATCTAGTGGACGATGAGAGGAACGAAAACCCAATGGGTGTAATACGCAAGAAGACCGCCTCGCGCGGCACCGAGGCAGGCACCAAGTTCCACTGCGATGTGTGCTCAATCGACGTGACCTCAACGGTAAGGCACCCACCCCTGTGATTTGGAGATGGAAATGGATATGGAAGTCTCATGATTTGGATGAATACTGACTGCGGCGTTACTGCTCTCCAGGTCCGCATCTCGTGTGCTACCTGCCCTGAATATGACCTCTGCGTCCCCTGCTTCGCGGCTGGGGAGCGATCCAAGAACCATGACCCTGCCACCCATTCTTTCTCTGTCGTTGAACAAAACTCTGTGCCAATCTTTCAGGAGGACTGGGGTGCTGATGAGGAGTTGCTGTTGTTGGAGGGGGCCGAGATTTATGGTCTCGGCTCATGGGCCGATATTGCAGACCACATCGGTGGCTATCGCACCAAGGACGAAGTGCGCGACCACTACGTCAACACTTACGTTTATGGAAACCACTTTCCACTCCCCGACCGTGCCGATCCTGATGACCATAGCCTTCAAGATTCCATCCCGAAGGAGGAATTCCAGGCGCGCAAGAAGCGTCGGATTGAGCAGCGTAAGGAGGCTGCAAAGGCTGCTCCACCTACAACTCCCAAGCAGAAGCCTACTGCAAGTGTACCGGCATGTCACGAAGTGCAAGGCTACATGCCTGGTCGATTAGAGTTTGAGACGGAGTTCCTCAATGAGGCCGAAGAGGCCGTCCAGCATATGGCCTTCGAGCCCGGTGCGGGCATCGGCCCCAACGGCGAGATGGATGCGGAAACCGAACTGAAGATGACTGTGGTTGATATCTACAACTCGCGATTGACGGCACGAACGGAACGCAAGAAGATTCTCTTCGAGCACAACCTCTTGGAATACAGGAAGAACACTGGACAAGAGAAGAAGCGCTCGAAGGAAGAGCGGGATTTGCTGAACAAGGCCAAGCCGTTGGCGCGAATGATGAACCGCCAGGATTTTGAAGATCTGAACAAGGGTCTGGAATACGAGCACAACCTTCGCCTCGCCATCTCACAACTTCAGGAGTGGCGGCAAATGGGCATTGGTGATCTGAAGACAGGCGAGAAGTACGAACAGGATAAGCAAATGCGTGTTCAGCGGATGCTCCCACAAGGCTCTTTCGACCGCTTTGCCAGCGCTCGTCCTAAGCAAGGTCAAGCGCCCGAGACACCTACCGCAGCGTCCCAGCTGACAACACCTGAGCTGCCTTTGCGACTTCAAAAAGCAGCAGACGCCCACAAGCAGTCTGAGCCTGAGCCCATGAATGATTTCGACCGCGCATTTGCAATCAACGGCGACTCGGCCCCTCCGCAGCCAGCTAAGACCAAATTCGTAGTACAACCACTGAGCGGGGTTTCGGCATGGAAGTTAGATGGCGAAGGTGCAGCCGACCTTCACCTCTTGACAAAGGAGGAGGTGGATGTGTGCAATGCGCTGCGTCTCATGCCGAAGCCATACCTGGTTGTCAAGGAGACGTTGTTGAAGGAAGCAATGAAACAAGGTGGCAGTCTGAAGAAGAAGGATGCACGAACGATCTGCAAGGTCAGTTCTCCTTTTTATTACCTCAAAAGTGCTTTCACAACTAACATCATCCAGATCGAGGGCACCAAGACCAGCCGCATTTACGATTTTATGGTCCACAGCGGATGGATTAATAAGGCGTAGCGTTGATGCGTTCCATGGCATGCCTTGCCTCTGCTTGGCTTGATATCCAAATCTAATTGCAATTTGCTCTGGGAGCGTTTCTTTTCTGGCGTTTACAATGGGAAGAGGGGGGGATGGGGGTGTTGATGCGATGTTGTTCACTCATATTGAGGGTACCCAGGCGGTAAATCGAATATCCCATTCATTTTTTTTCTTGTAAACACAAACGCCCATTTAAGCCTGCACCTGAAGTAGACAACTTGAAATGACCTGCCAAGCTGGGTGTATCAGCCCCAGCCCTGGCAATTTCAGCAGTAGGATATCCCGAATACCGACCCCACATCGGGCCTCGGCATGTCTCGCTCAGCTCTCCGCATTCAACAGCACCCCATCCATCCCAGCATCAATCACAACCTCTTCTGCAATAAAATTTGCATATATCGGAAAAGTATTTCCGGATCTATAGCCTCTGAGGATCTGTTCAATATTCTAGCCATGCCTGAATTCGCCAGTCCACCGCCAAAACCGCAACACGCCGAGCTCTCCTTCCCGACTCCGCACGTCCTCCTTGTCACGCTCAACCGGCCACGAGACCTCAACTGCATCAATGCGCAAGGTCATGCTGACCTGCATGATGTATGGGAGTGGATGGATGAGGAGCCTATTCTGCGGGTGGGAGTGTTGACTGGAAAGGGGAGGGCATTTTGCGCTGGGGCTGACTTGAAAGGTACTTGCTTCTTTCTGTCCTATGATATACCGCAATGTCTATGCCCATTCGTATTCCTTGAACTTGTATTTCTTCGAGATAAGGCGGACAAGATAACAGAAGATCAAAAATCAAGGAAGAACGAAAAGCTGACACGTACAGAATGGAATACCCGAACCAGCAACACAAGCCAAAAAAGCGCCCCTACACCAACCTCAGGCTTTGGCGGCGTAGCCCGCCGCAAAGGCAAAAAGCCACTAATTTGCGCAGTCAACGGCCTCTGCTTCGGTGGCGGCGCAGAAATGATCATCAACGCAGACATGGTGATCGCCGCCTCACGCGCTGTCTTCGGTCTGCCCGAGGTTAAGCGCGGCGTTGTCGCGATGGCTGGGGCACTGCCACGTCTTGTACGGACAGTTGGCAAGCAACGTGCCATGGAGATGGTTCTGACGGGACGGACTTTGTCGGCTGTTGAGGCGGAGCGCTGGGGACTGGTTAACTCCGTTGTTGAGGTTCCTGATTCTGGCAAGGGGAAGGATGAGAAGGAGAATGAGGAGGTTTCGAGGCTTGTTGTTGGGAAGGCTCTGGCTTTTGCTGCTGAGATTGCGGGGAATAGCCCTGATGCTGTGCTGGTTAGTCGGGAGGGGGTGAAGTTGGGATGGGAGGGGATTGGGGCGGATGAGGCTACGGGGATGTTGAGTGAGACTTGGGTGAAGAGATTGTATGAAGGGGAGAACATTAAAGAGGGACTGCAGGCCTTTGTGGAGAAGAGGACTCCTGTTTGGAAGGACAGTAAATTGTAGATATCAAAGAATGTACGATACTTTTACATAGTATGTGTACTGGACTTGGACTACAGTGTTGGACTTGGGTTGAATGAGTGAGAGCCTGAGCCACTAACTACTATTCTGTCTGTATTGCATGGAGCCAGCGGCAATTCCTTTTTGAGTGATAATGATATTGTGTCAATGCATTGCTATTCATACTACATGGGTCATTAAGTCATATCCAAAGAATCCCTCTTCCGATCACGCCGTGTATTCGCCATTTCCCATGCGACTTTGATGTTGCTGAAGTGGAGCATCCTAGATGCGCGGTTGACCAGCCTCTCTACAGAAAAAGACTGTCAGAATAGGGAAAAGCATATATGAGGACTTAGGCAAACTTACTTTCCCTCGGATTGTACCTCATCCACCACCTTCATCACAGACTGGAAGAGCGGGTGGTCTCGCTCGAGACCGGTCAGCTGGACAGTAGCATCGGCGGGTGAGTTCTCCTTTAGAATCTTGGCCAGTGTGACGCTCTCGTCATCCCCCTCTACATTCTGGAACCGCAAAGCCATCTCCACAGATCCCAAGAGCGAATCGTACTTGGCATTTCGCTCAGCCAACTGAGCAGCAGGTCCAATGAATCGTTCCTTGCGTCCAAGCTTGCGAATCGGGGCCCGTCCAACACGCTCCACGCTGTCTTCCAAGTATGGGTTGGAGATGCGGCTAATAATGGTCTCGACGTATTCCTGTTGCTCTCGGGCGGAGATCTCGTGCTTGTCCACGATGAGAGATGCAGTCTCCTGGAGCACATCTCGGACCGTGCTACGAATGTAGTCATCCTTCATCGCCTCAGCAATCGTCTTCTTGCCAGCATGCTTGCCATAGTAGGCGGCGGTAGCGTGGCTGGTGTTGACAGTGAACAGTTTGCGCTCGATGTAGGGCTCGAGATGATCGACCCAGTGAATGGCAGCAATATCCGGGTGTCCAAACTTTCCGAAGGGCCCCTTCTCGACGACCCACTCATAGAACTTCTCAATACGGACATTGAGTCCGCTGTCCTTGGCCTGGGCCGGGACGATTCGGTCAATGGCGGAGTTAGCAAAGGCCGCACGCTCGCCGATGGTCTCCAGTCGGGACGGGTCGGTCTTCTGCTCGATGAACCCGCGCAGCGAGTCGGTGCCGCCAATCATGTTCTCGCAGGCAATGACGGCCAGCGGAATAGGCTGCTCACGAATGTCGATGCCCTGGGCAATGACGGGGGCAATGAACTTGAGGATGTTGGGACCCACAGCGCAAGTGACGATGTCTGCCGTGGAGATTTCCTGGACGACATCCTGTTCATGAGTCTTGGAGTTGATAGCACGGTAGTTGGTGATGGTCTTGGTGTTTTCGCCTTCCTCGCTGACTTCGGTGACCTCATAGGACTTGGTGTTCTGGAGAGCCTCAATGATGCTGTCCATCACGTCCACGAAGACGACCTCAAAGCCGGCCGCGTGCAGGAACTCGGCCACAAAGCCGCGGCCGATGTTACCGCCGCCGAAGTGAACAGCCTTCTTCGCCATGATTGGATGCGAGCACGGTAGGGTTTCCGAGTAGAAAGAGAAGAAGTATAGACTGAGGAACTAAGCACGGGTGGCTTGGATGGGGGAACCGGGCTATTTGTATTTGGGAAGTAGAGAGCAAACGGAAGTGCAGAGAAGCAGAAGAGGGGGTGGCATCGTGGGCAGTGATTACAGTTTGGGCAGGTTCGTGCCCGCGTTCTACCTGCCTCGCCTGGATGACCTCATCACTGGCGCCGGTGGGACTGGGCTCCGCCTTGTTTCCAACCGCGCATGAGGACATCATGAGGTTTGTTTGGCTCCTTTCTCCTTGAAATCCAGGAGGGCCCGCTAACACCGCTCCTAGAACCAGCCAGAACCATTTCATTCACTTCGTTCTCCGGTGCGACCCCCGCTTTGCCGTGCTACCCTTGTGGCCGGGCCCGTATAGTGGCATCCCGTATACCCAGCAGGAGCCAACCGCCAAATCACGCCGGGCGCTAGTCCACTTTCTCACCGGCCGGCCTAAACCCCTTTAGATTATCGATCCCCCCTCGTCGCTGAATATCGGGCTCTGAACTGAATACTGGCACTCACGATGCATTGCATCTTTCACCCTGAAACGTCTCACCGGAGTTCGTTGACCAGTTGGGAGCCAGTTGCGAATCCCTCCGGGATCACCCGTGAGAGGGAGGCCAAACCCGGTTGGACGTGAATGCCTGTGACAGGCAGCGCGAATAACCAAACCCCTTGGCAGAACACAGGACGTGGCGGGAAAGCCAGCCGATATCCCGGAGAACCACGGACTCAGCCATCCGGAGTACAGTGGTCCTGGCTACCTACTAACGCTGACGCTGACGCCGCCCCTGACGAGCGATACCCGACAACTGGGATTTGACGGCGCTCAGCAGTGCATTGGATACGCGATAATCGCAGCGTCCAGACGACCTACACTCCTTCAGGGCGGATCGGCCTGGCTCTTCTCCACTTCTGGTGACGTCGGATGAACGGTTGGACGGGCAAAGACCCAGTTTTTCCCGTTAGTCGCAGCTTCGATCTATACTGCCGAGGTTTATTCTATTCTATTCCATTCTCCTCCATTCTCCTCCATTCTCCTCCATGCCCTTCCATGCCCTTTCCAACGTTCCGAACGACGGCTGACTGAAAAGTGGAATGGTGCACAGTCGCACTTCGCTTTGGGGTCTGGTTTGCCTAATCGGGGTACCTGCCGCCAGCCCCTAGGAATGCCCCCCTAGCCTGACGGCATCAGCCAACGCTCGATTGGTCCCCGCGCCGACTCGAGCCCTCCGGTGAAAGTCGCCGGGTTGGCAATGTCGCGCTCGGACTACGCTGGACTGGGCCTTGCATCTGAGTTCCCATGAAGTGCGCAAGGTCATTGGTGGATACGTTTGTTCATTCAGGTGGCATTGCCGGTCATATAAGATTAAAATCACTCCTAAACGAGTTTCCCCGATGCCTGTCCGTATCGGTGCTCAGCTGTTTCCCGGGTCCATCACTAACCCCTCTTTGTTCAAGTTCCTTAACCCGAGACATCTGAAAATCCCCGTCTCTAGTCTCCCTCTTCCTCGTCCTTCGGAGCGGGCGCCGGTCCAGGTTGCATGCCTCGGACAAAGATGTTGATGAAGCTGCTGATGCTACCCACCAGCAGGAGCCCGGTTGATGCCCAAGTCATGCCAAGAAATCTGTCACCATACTTGGCCGAGACGTTGGAGCCGTCGCCATGAGCGTTGATGAGGGCGACGAACTCAAAGGCGATGACTGTCGCGATAATCGAGGCAATACTGAGACTCAGAGCCCCAAGCTGATCGACAGATGTTAGTTTTGCTTCCTATTGCTTATACCGCTTATACTTCCCAGCAGGAGGCAAAGATCGGCGGATGAGCCGAACCGCCTAGCGGTGAACACAAACAAGAGTCAAAGTAATCACTTACCACCAGGAACCCGAATTCAAATAGTCCATGTTGTACCCGCGAAGCGATCAGCGAAACCACTCGCGCCACCAGTGCGAAGCCGATAGCTCCCACGCCAATTATGTACATCACTGCCATCGACCGGGTCGTCAGGCGGAAAGCGTGGAAGTCGTCGCTGATCACTCGGGGCCACTCCAGGTTCGGGCCGTGGGAGATGTCTTCGAGCCAGGCCTCGGTGGGATTGAAGGAGAATAAGAGCTTGCGGTCTGAACACTCGGTCACGTTGCGTGCGCTGCCTTCACTCCCCGGCTCGATGGTCTCGAATGTGCCGTGACAATAGGACATGATGTGAACGGAGTAGAAGTCGTGCCCTGTGCTGTTGGCGCTGCCTTGTGGGGTATAGAGCTGCAATACAAGGTGAACATTAGCACCACGGCACTCTGCAATGTGAAGCGTTATGCGAACGCACCGTGAGAAGGTCGGTCCCATCTAGCAGATTCTTTTGTGTCCCGGCAAAGAGACAGCATAATGTGAGAATGAACGCGATGAATGCTGTGATCGCCGGGAAGACGCTTTTGAGATCGAGCTTCATGTCGGTCGCTTATGTTCAATGCCGGGTATAGATAGCGATGATCCAACAATCCCGGATGGGTGGATAGTTGGTTGGTCGTGAATAACCAAATGAATCGATCGGGTCGATTCCAAAGCCGAAGGACCTATTGGAATAGCATTAGGTTAGCATGAGCATGATGGCTGCCTCGATATTGAAGCAGTGACAGCGTCTGCAGTAGGAAGTCAGACTCACCAGTCGGATGGAGAAAATAATCCACAACCAGCAAGAATCTCAGATTCACTCTCATCCAAGCTCTTATATACTAGCAAGCCATAGGGGATTTCTCACACTGAGCCCCCATTCCGACGGAGGGCTGTCAGAGCTCCCTCGCAAGGGCGGCATCTGGCCGCGCATCTTCACGAGCGTCTAATCCTCCGCGGCATGTCAAATGTTCAAGAGCATGTCCAAATCCAAGGTCTAGGGCCCTTATCACGTCTATCGCGCTATGATAGGTGCCTTTTCATACCCGTTGAAGGGTGTTGTGAAAGGTCTGGATGCTTGGGACGCGTCGAGCACTTACCCGCCCGCCGTTGGAATGTTGCCAGCCACGCTCAATTCCGCGGGATGGGAGCGGGAATTGGACTTATCTTATCTTGTGGGTTTGAAATCAGGTTGTTTGGTTAAATTGAATCATGGGTACTTGTGGTAGTGGATTTTCTCATTGATTCATGACTTGATTTTTGGTATGACAGTCGGCTTTTGTTGCTTGCCCTAATCCGGTGATATTGGCTTTTAGTAATGTACTATGGAAAAAAAAATCCCTTTTCAAATTCATGTTCCCATTTAAAAATCTGAATAACTAAATGATAGTAAATTGCTCTCAATTTTTGTTATTTATTCCAAAGATATACTTTGGGTAGGTTGGGTAGGTTGCCAAGTGCAATTGATGGACGTCCGGACAGCCGAGCAAGGGGTAAATCCAGGATGTCACCACCTCGACACATGGAGAACAGTGGGCCGGCCGATGCTCTTCCAAGGTTTGGAATTGATTTATAACATCAGCGAGGAACGGCCAATCAGACCAGGGTTTTAGTGTCATTTTTAATCGCCAAAACCGGCAGATGCGGGTCACAGTGAATATGCCGTTCCAACGAACTTGTAAGCAGGATCGCTTCAGCGTTTCCACTCGATGGTCCGACATCAATCTACGAAGTATATCATGGGCGCCACCAGCCGAGAAATGAGAATTGGGCGAGACGCCCGGGGTCACCGTCAATGGCGCCAGGTTCAGTTCTCACAGAAGTTCCTGGTTCACGATGGTCGGGATCAACCAAATCGGAAAGAGTTTATGTAGCAGACACAAGGCAGACACAAGGGAGTCAGGTAGGGGATGAACAGAAATGGGCATAGCCAGTAGCAGGCCCAGCGCGGCGTATCTGAGGGTTGAATGAGATCGCCGGCTTCCACATCGTGTTCGCGAGTTGCACGGCTCTTGGAATCTGTGCTACAGCAGCCCCCGGTCGAGACCTCACCACCGTCCACGGCCCCTTCACAGGGTCTAAACTGAAACATGCCGGTCAAGGCAACCTTCTAGAAGCTCAGAATCCTTCTCGAAGGCCCGGCACATGCAGGTGGAGCATCCTTCGGAGGACGAGCTGGACTTTCCGGGCATCCTTGATCGAAACACGGCCAAGAAACATGCCAAGCACCTGCCTCTATTGGACGGCAGATCGCTGCGCCATCGTCTAATCTCCACGGATAGCCCCTGAAATCAAGGTCCAAAGTCAATGTGCAAGTACGAGGCTGTCATGTGCCGGTGCCCTGCAGGAACTCCATTGGTGGGTACGAGCCTTGAACGAGACGTCACGAATGTAGAGAGGTCTCCGAAATAGCACGGATCGGGTCGTCGTCTCGGAGTGTCATTTGAGCTACCGGGGAGTGAACCGTTCGCCGAGAACACCATCTTGATACCAAGCATTGCGGCGGTACCAGGATGCGAGATCAGGCGCTTCTTGGAAAAAGCTTGACTCTGTCGGTTGTCGGAACGAGATAAGGCAAGCATCGACAAGCCTTTCGCAAGCAATGGCAAGCATCTCCCACTGTCGTATGCCATAGGGTCAGCGTGCATTGAAGCCGGGAGCCAAAAGGCTAGGCGCATGGAGCGGCTGCATGGCGGGATCGGGTCGGCCGGTACAGCATGGGGGCGAACTAGTCGTCTGGACGTGTCTGAAAGCTCCAAAGGGTCAATGAGATCCATGACCCCTTTCGTGTTTCGCGACCCCGACGAGCATCATAGCGAACCAGGCGGTTCCATGGCTTCAAAGGGAAAGGGGTGGTGTGAGGTTGTGGGGAGCAAGCGCACAACGTGCGCGATGGCAGGCCTCTGGTTGGCCCATGGGGTAATCGGCGCCCCGAGATATAGATGGACTAGCGCGGAGTTAATCAACACTCCACCCCGGGTACATTTGACACAATTGCATGGGATTTGCAGACGAGTTGGACGGCAGAGAATTCGTCAGTCTGGCCATGCGAGGACACGGGTTTTTCATCGAAACATCGTCCGAGATGTAAATGGATGGTGCCGGCGATCCGTAAAGGTTGGAATGGCTGTGCAAGGCACACACACACGTGTGTCCATGCGGAAGGCCCTGGAATTGGAGGTAAGTCTGCTTGATGACATTGTTGCCTGCCATGTTGATCTGTCCCGCGGCGATCTGTAGCGGGGCTTCTTGTTGTTCATCGATGGAATGAAGCGGTTGAATGGTGCCACTGTTACTTCTGCCTGCTCCGTTCTGCCCAAAGTCGTAACCCCTCACGCGACATCGACGGCACGCCAGCACTTCCAAGAAACTAACGAGTGCTGGTGAAGTGGGCAACTCGCCAGCCGCCCCACCGTGCAGATCTAAGTGCCCGCAACCGCAGGCGGTGAGCTTCTGCATCCGAGCATCGAAAGCATTCTGCCGCCACGTGCTGGACTCATTGGCTGACGGCGGCTCCATCCTGTTCCTCTCGCCCCACCGCGCCTGCTGTTTTCGTCTTCCGAACCACCGGATGGCGCAGGGCCCCGATCTTTTTTTTTTTTTTTGGAGGGCGAAAATGAACGAGGGAAGGGTAAAAAAAAAGTAGGCCTGGGGTGGAGCTTGCCACCTCAGACTCATCACCGACGGCTCTGGGCGCATGTGTGTTCGCTCGGCTGCCCCGGCCTTCCCTCCACTTTGGTCCTCGATATAAAAACTTCTACTCGCCCGGATTTGGTTCTGCAGCCACGACTATCACCTTGTGGTCTCGCGACCTACCCCCTCCTCCCTGGTCTGGTCCATTGATCAACCTTCTCCTCGTCGACCTCGCTCCGATTTCGATCTAGTCGACCCGTCACCTCACCACCGAGTGTCAATTCGCCATGACTGACTTCGGTCCTCGTGCCCCTCATGGGCCTGATATGTCCGGCACCCACAACCCGCTGGAGGATATGGATATCAACGAGAAGGGCGCCTTCGATCGTCTGATCCGTCCCGAGGACAGCTACAGTCCGGAGGGTGTCTACTGGGCCGATATGCCATTGGGCCAGAAGATCAAGTTCGTCAGCTCCTACGATGCTGGCGAGGCCAAGAAGGAACTCTCCGGCATCTGGGAGATGATGAAGGAAGACCCTCTCGCACCCATCTCCTACTATTTCCGCAACATGGTTCTTCCCGGCGCTGGTCTTGGCCTCGAGGGTTACGTGCTCTTCTCCATCGGTAACATCAAGCCGCTGTTCGAGAAGACCTTCGCGTCGTGCTGGAAGGATCACGAGATTTGCAACAAACAATGGTTGAACGCCGTCGACTACCTCGAGATTATTGGTATTATCGTCGGCCAGATTTTGGTCGGTGTCGTTGGTGACTGGTAAGCTTCCCCGTAATCAATCGGTTGTGCCGGGGAAAAAAAAAATTCCTGTGGTCAGGGTGTTAATTGCCATGAATAGGATTGGCCGTCGTTGGGGTCTGATTCAGGATGCTACGATCATGTTCATCGGTTTACTGATGCTCACTGCCGCATGGGGTGTCACCCAGAATGGCTGGGTTATCTGCTATGCTTGGTCGCTGTTCTTCTACAGTGTTGGTGTTGGTACGTTCCATTCTTGAGCCACCTTCTAGAAGGGTGGCTAATTCCTCCCGCTAAACCATTGGGAGCGCGATGAGCTAACACCTGACTAGGTGGCGAATACCCCATGACCGCCACTAGTGGTATGGAAAACGCCGTCGGCTCCGGAAAGATCTCGACCAAGGAGGACCGCCTCCACCGTGGTCGCAAGGTCACCAGCGCTTTCTTGATGCAGGGTTGGGGTCAATTCTTCAACCAGGTCATCCTGATCATTCTGCTGCTCTGCTTCCACCACGGTAGCGGAAACAACCCATACTCGACCGTTTCGACCCAATGGACCTACCGCATCTCCTTCGCCATTCCTGCTGTAGGCACTCTCTGGCTGGTCTACTATCGTGCCTACCACATGAAGGCGGCTAGTAAGCAGCTTACTGCCGCCAAGAAGAAGGCCTCTGTCACTGGTTATGATTTCGACTCCCTCAGCCTCACCTTCCGCTACTTCGGTCCCCGTCTACTGGCGACCGCTGGTGGCTGGTTTGCCAACGATGTGTTCTTCTACGGAAACAAGCTTTTCCAGAGCGAATTCATTGCTGTTATCAGCCCTGGTACTGACTCTGTGATGCCTACGTGGCTGTGGAATCTGGTGAACGTTGGTGTTTCACTGGTTGGCTACTACCTGGCTTCGTTCTTCATCGACAACAAGCTGTACGGTCGCAAGTGGATGCAGACCGTTGGCTTCATCATGATCTTCATCCTCTTCATCGTCCCTGCCTTCCACTACGAGTACTACACTCGCCCCGAGAACATCAAGGCTTTCCAGACTATGTACTTCCTCTCCTCGTTCTTCAACCAGTTTGGCCCCAACTGTGTGTCCTTCCTGGTTGCTGCGGAGGTCTTCCCGACCCCCATTCGTGCTACCGCTCACGGCTTGTCCGCTGCCGCTGGTAAGAGTGGTGCCCTCCTGGCCTCTGTGCTCTACAACTACATCGACACTCAGACAAAATTTTACGTGGTTCCCTGGTTCGGTCTTGCCGGTGTTGTATTGACTCTGGCTTTCCTGCCCGATACCACTGGTCTTGACCTAAAGGAACAAGAGCGTCGCTGGCAATATATCCGCCAGGGTCGCGAGGAGGACTACCACGGTGCTGCCGTTCACCCCAAGCACCTGTCGTGGTACGAGCGCTTCGTTCTGCGCAAGTGCCGTTTCTACGACGCCGAGCTAGACTACCAGCAGAAGGTCGAAGATTACCGCGCTGAGTGGGAGGCTGCCATGACCCAGAAGTTGGCTGAGGAGGAGAAGGCCGATGAGATGGACACCGACGATTCTCTGCTTGAGGGTCACGTCCACACCTACTTCCACCGCACCAGCCCTATGTTCAAGGGTATGGAGAAGCCTGCCAAGCACGACAACTTCGCCCTCCCCCCTGCCGCCGAGTCGGATGAGACATTTGCCGAGGAGCAAAATCAGCACAACATCTCCGGTGGCAGGATAGAGACCTCCAATGGTCACTCATATACCAGCGAACAGACAGAGCACTTTTCCAGCTCAAACGAGAAACCCCAATAGTTGGTTATGATATATTTTATTGCATGTTTGGTTCGGTTGGTTTTCTTGTTTGCAAAATTTTGGATATCCCCATGGGCGAGTCACTCCCCTTTGGACATTGCATAGATTGCATTATGATGCGGGCTGTCGTCGCCCACTTGTAATTAGATGATGATACATATCTCACATACCCACATGGCTGAATGACCATTGCATTTCATGGCTCCACAACGCTCTCTCCGCATATTGTAGATCGTCCTTCTAGACTTGTTAGACAGCCTCAGGATGTTTCGACGGCCGGCGAACCCTCGGAACAAGCTCGGCCGAGCCGAGTCCCGAGACGGCCAAAAAGGCGGTGAATAAATATCCGGACGAATATACCCCCGCCAAGTATCAAACACTCAACGTGCCTGCATGATTTCTGTAAGCCGTACTTGCAAGAAAAGAAAAACGATGAGAGTATTCGCCTTCGGTTCCAATGGATCCGGTCAACTAGGCATAGGCCATACAGAAGACGTTTCCATACCAACAGAATGCCTCTTCACTTCTCCCACACCTAACGACAAGGTCGTGAACATTGTCGCGGGGGGAAACCATACCCTGATCCTCACCGACTCTGGAGCTGTCTATGCAGCCGGATGTAATACAGATGGAAGATGCGGACCTGGTATTCAGGCCCTTCAGGAAGAAAATGGGACCAAGAATGGACAAGCCGAAGAGAATATCTTACGCTTTCGCAGGATATTTCTTTCTGATACCTCAACTCTGAAGACGATAGACACATTCAAGTGCGTCTCCGCAACGTGGGAAGGAAGCATTCTCGTCCCTTCCACCCAAGATAAAGTCTTTGTTCTGGGCTCAACAGCCAAAGGCGAATTAGGTCTTGGGAAGGATATCACAACGCCAATTCTGGATCCCGGAGTCTCGATACCGAATTTCCCACCTCGGGGTACGACTGTCGCTTCACTTGCTAGTGGGATGGGTCATACAGTCGCTATACTTTCTAATGGCGAAGTTTACGGCTGGGGAGGGTCACGAAAGGGTCAACTTGGTGATACTCTGAAAGCGGAGAAAATTGTGTGGGAACCGGCTAAGGTTGACGGGATACCATTTTCTGCTACTGGTGCTGTCTGTGGACGGGAGTTCACGGTCGTACTGGGCCAGAGGAGCCAAGGAGAGTTTGTTGTTCTTGGTGATGAGGGCAATCGATGGGGTATTGCGAAGATACCACATTCGTTGCGCTCTACCTCGGGCGATGCTGCTCGGAGTGGGTATCTCGATATTGGATCTAGTTGGCATGGTATATATGTACATGCTGCTTCGAAGTCGGAGAATGGGTTATATTCGCAGAGTACCCCTGGCTCTGAACCTGCTGCTTTTCCTGGGCATCTTATCGCCTGGGGCCGCAATGACCGTGGCCAACTTCCTCCGCCGAACTTGCCTTCTCTTATAAAGATGGGCGTTGGGAGTGAGCATGTCCTTGCACTTCTGGAAGATGGCTCAGTGGCCACATTTGGATGGGGAGAGCACGGGAACTGTGGACCGGATACAGACTCCCGCGGGAATGTAGCCGGTGCGTATAACTTCGTCTCTCTGCCTGACGATGGGGGGGGTGGGAAGGTTGTCGATGTTGCGGCAGGTTGTGCGACGAGTTGGCTTGTTGTGGAGTGATTGCAAACCTCGAGCCATATGAAATCTTATGCTGCAACCCAACCCTTTCCACTGGATGGATGGATACGTGCAGCAAGAAGTGCCTTCAGTCAAAAAGTCCAAATCCGCGAACTTGAGACATGCGCTGCGTCGGCGGAAGGCCCATATCGTCGTCATTCTGCGCCCTTTTGCAAGAACTACCCGGCTTCGGCATATCCGGCTCAATATCCCGCAAAACGGGCTCAATCGTCTCCCGTCCCGACGCATCCCAACCAAGGATATCCTGAGGGTCTTCCTCCTCGTCATTCATCTCATCCCACTGCCGATCATCATCAGCCGGCACAAAAAGACTATCAAACTCCATCGACGCAGAAGCCGAAGGCCGATCCATCGTCGGCCGTGGCGTAAGATTATCCTGCGTCGAACTCCCATTCAATGGGCGAATGGACCGCGCCCGGGCAGGTGGAGGCGGCATCACAGTATTTACCGCCACACGCGGCGTCTCAGTCCGACTCACTGAAATGGGCGCCGGGGTCGGCGCGGACCGCTGCGAGAATTGTGGGATCACGGCTCGGGCGGAGGGTGTTTCCTCGTCGTCGACTTCCCCGCGCGTCATGAGTGTGAATTCGGCACTGATTCCTTCCATTTCGTATGCTAGTTGTAGCGGTTTGCAGGGGCGGGTGTACCGGGCTGTGATAGTCGCGCTTCCTGTTTCGGCATGTGCGACTGCTGCTTTGAAGTCTTTTAGGTTGATGGCGATGTGCATGTGGTCTTCGACGAGGAATTCTTCAAAGTCTTTCTTATCCGAGCATACGGATGTGTGAACTGGGTTCTTGAGGACCTCTGATACTTTGTGAGCATTGCAGCATAGTTTTTTGGGTGTAAAATTGGACGCACCTTTCCCGTCTGTAATCTTTGTCGTGAAACTCGTGAATGTAGCTTTGTCTCCTTCGGCGCACATGTCCAGTTGCTCTGCCGACATACTGAAATGCTCGATGATCTGCTTCAAGAATCGTGGACATGCGGTCCATTGACTCGTTGTTCTACTCCTATCAAAAACGGCATGCTGAATCGCCGCCGGTTCGTAGGTGAGCTTGTATGATTTAATAACGCCTGGAAATTTAGTCCTGAACCCGGAGACAGCAGTTCGAGGAACTCACCTAATGCACAATATATCTTGACGTTGAGCCGGCACTCCGCTTGATGGGAATCTTCATGGAGTTCCATATCGCATCGCTCAACAGCCGTATCCTTGTGTCGATCCACTCTCCCTCGGAAGATCGAAAGAAGTGCCTGCAGGCATCAATCAGCATTAGCTCAGTGAGTGCTCGATTTGCGCCACTGATATGCTCACCCGAATCAATATCTGGCAATAAAATCGCTCCGAGTCCTCGCTGGGACTTTCATACCGGGACCGACTATCTCTCCGCACATTGAACGAATAGCTCTCGAAGAAAGCCTCTTTCTCGCAAACGAAAGAAGCGAATGCCGTCTTTGTGCTGTTCAAAGCGCTCAACCGCAACTAGATTTGTTTGGTCAGGCCTGTTAACTACTTGAGAACTGAATTGAAATAAGCTGGGCTTACCCGGTCATGCTCCGCTTCAATGGCAACAGTGTCGCTGAACTTGGATAGACATATCAGGAAGTCGTGAAGCCGAACTAGGGCAGCAGGATCTAATGACAGTGAGAGACTGGCCATATCTGCTTTATGGCGCGTGATTTGATCGGCCTGTGGTTTGAGCGACCTGGACCGATGCTGGAGCCTGGACGTTGCTATTTGATGCGTTGGTTCAGAGCCGCGTCGCCGTCGCGCGCAGGCGCGCAGATTAGTAAGCAGACAACTATTGCCTCAAAGGGATGTGGGTATGAGTCGAGACTAAACTCCAGCGACGACGGATGATATCAAGATGAAATTTTTGTAAGGAACTAATAGGAAAGTTTGGAAAATCGTTTATTTTATTTCGCGCTAAAAGTCCCAGAGGCACTCTACTTTCAAGCCAATTCCGATCGTAAGCTAGACCGGAGCTCTGGGAGGTTCGGCTTTGGGCTCTCATTCTCTAATTCCCGAGGTAGTTGACTCGACACACTTAACCCAAGCTGTCGTCTCTCCTCCTCGCTAAGCTTCTGTTCCAACGCCTGAATCTGGCGATGTGTGCGCATATAAAATCACAGCAAGCCGGCTACAGCCAAAAGTAACGGCACACCAAGACCAACGCCCAGCCCAATCCCCAAAGCCGAGCTGTTGTCATCGGACTGGTGTTTTGAAAAGTTTGCAGAGCTTTCAGTTGCTCTAGGTCTGAATGTATTCGTTATTGGTGTGCTGGAACTCTCGACTCCCAGCTGTGCCACTGTGACGTGGGAGCTGACCCATGTGTAGTTACCGAGCTTCCCACTGCACACCTTATCGGACCATCCTGCGACGACGCCGCAAGTATAAACCTGGTTGTTGTTACTCGGACAGGATACAGGTTGGCGCCGTCGGTGATTTCTAGCGAGTTTCAGATCAGTCAATCAACTGGAGGTCACACTATTGCATTATGCCAGATTACCCTCATAACAGACCCGCGGACAAGATGAGATGTGCTACAATGAATCCGAACAAGTCCCTCGGTAGATAGTCATATATTTTCCAGTGATGTAGAGACTGTTGGAGAGACATGACTCTGTCTGGATACAGCAGTGCTTGCTGTTTGGATATGGGAGCCAAGTCAGGCGCTTCATTGCTGTTGGGCCAGTAAAATTGAGCAGCGATAGATATAGGAAGATTTACGAGAAGTAGAAGAAGTTACAACGCCCTCATTGCAAACTATGCATGTGGGCGGCAGTCTTGGTGGGCTTAGAATGACCATCAGGGGACTATGGAATAAAAAGGGCGACTGCATTCTACCACACTCCTCTTTAAGCAGTCTCGGCTCTGTTATCGGGAGAGCTGTCGATGTGATCCAGACCCTGCTCGAAGCTATCGGCAGCGAGGGCACATTAGTCGTCCCAGCACATACACCAGATAACTCGGATCCAGCCCAGTGGGAGAAACCCAGCCGTTACAGAAGAATTGGAAATGATTTGCGAAGAGATACCCGCATACGATCTGTGAACGAGCACGACACGCGGCATGAGCGCGGTTCCAGAATTGCTGCGTACCTGGCCTGGTGCAATGCGCAGCGAACACCCGCAGACATCTTTCGCTGCAGGTGGTCCCTTGGCCGAGAAGATCACGGCAGGCCATGCATTGGATTGTCGGCTAGGGAAACAAAGTCCTCTTACGCATCTTGAAGAGGTGGGTGCTAAGGTTATGTTGCTCGGGTTGCCATTTTAACTCGTGCACTGCCTTTCATTTGGCTGAATACCGGTGTTCACCTCAACTCGAGGAAAATTCATTGTGGTTATGAGGGAAGGATCAAGGCAGTGGGTGACTATCAGATGATTTGCTTGACGGTCGGGATTCCAGCAAGATTAGAAAAGACTTTTATCAAGTTGGACCGATCTGGGAGTGGTATATCGGTGCTGCAACTTGTCGGGTGTTCCCAGCGGCCGATGCCGTCATGTGCCATAGAATGGATGAAAACTCATCGCGGAAAGTCAACAAAACACTTGTGAACGCTTGGTGGTTGTACTAGCATGTCGAAGATTCGCAATATCACGTATGATGAGATTGCCATAAATGGGACTGAGATTCTTTCTATGTTCATAGTTGTAACGGGATTCTAGGTCGTTCTATATACATAATACCCTTCCAGAGGGTCTGAGATCTTTAAAAGACCGTATTCATCTCAAGTTGATGGTACTTGTGTGAGGTATTGAAAAGGTCATCCTCCTCTTCCATCAGGTCAACTGCGAAAGAAAGGATGTAACCAGTAAATATAAAGGCAGTTGCTGCAGGAATCATAAGTTAGTTGTGTCATGGCAAAATACGATCGTTCTGGTGATAGCATACCCCATTCGAGAATTGCAGCTGCGTTCTTCTCGGCATGGTGCATCCCTGCCATTATTCGAAATGGAAGGATGAAGGCAAGTTCGGTGATAATGAAGGAGATTTTGATGAAAAAGCTTGCGAACAGTATTCGCCGTTCTGACCCATACAGAGTCATCAGATAGAAATAATCGATGCAGATTGCAACTGCGCCGATCAAATAGCCAGTTCTAAGAATAATCAGTAAATGCGACACTGGAAATGGAGCACTGGGGCTTAGAACTCACATGAATATAGTGACAAATACATCGTGGAGATGCTTAAAATCGATATTGTCAAAGACAGATATCATAATCAAGGAGAGACTGCCAATGAGAGTGATAAAGAATGAGAAATAGGCGAGGGCTCTGCTGTGATGTTCCTTCTTCTGAACGAATTGATGGAAGGAGACGCCGAAAAATGACGTTGTGACGAGAGAGCCAATCAAGAACAATGGCCACAGCTTTTGCGCTGCAAGATCAGAAATGAATCTGAGCATCTCGGTGTCAGCTGATTGACCCTAGTGGATGAGAACTATCCAATCTACTCACGGAACGGTTTGGTCGAACTCCATACGGCCGTACCTCGGTCGTCCGACCATGAACCAGTGGCCCAGCATCCCGAAGAGCGTCACTAGACAACTATCAGTGGCTTGCAAGGGTATTACGATGGATTTGAAGTGCTTACCCAGCCACGTGCATGCCGAGACAAGGGGAAAAGCCCAGAACGGTGGTTTTGGCATCTTTGCAACGTGTGGTTAGGAGCTCATCGGACTGCACCGGGCTCGATGGGCTGTTGTTTATTTCTCAGTCGCGAGTTGGAGCATTTCAACATATCAAGGGCAACACGTACCTGGGCTTGCACGATTTGTATGAATAAGCAAAGAATGAATGGAAGGCAAAGCCCTTGCATCCCGGACGGGAGGTACGTGTCGATCTTAATGTGGCGACCTTAAATGTTCTTTTACCCGCTCCTGATTCACATAAATTTGAAACCCCAATGGCGATCTGCCTAATAAAGACGCAATTGACACAACGAGCTATTGCCTGCCTGCCCACTCAGGGGAAAGGACACGGAATAGTCGAAACCCCAAGCTCCAGCAAGGTGGATGCCTGGCAAACCCTGGACCCACTCCTCTCAAACAAGCACATTCTTGCTCCTGGAACGGAGATTGCAAACAAGTATCAGCTTGATGGAGCCTGGAGAGCTCAAACGAGAACTCAGCACAAGAATTTGACAGTTCTGAATGTCCTTCCAGAACTGGTCTCATGTATACAGATGCGAATTCACCATGGGCCCTCGCGTCCCGATCGCGGTTGACGTAGCGATCTACATGCCGTGACGAATAACTCAACCACCCCTTTTTCATTGGCCTTGCTGGTGGAACCGACACCCACTGTACTGCCCCAAGGCGCCTCGACTTTTTTTGGCTGCCTCCCGGGGAGCCTGACGCTCGTGTGCCGCAGTGCCACTTTCGGGCAATCCCCGCAGTCCCTGAGGGCTCCCGGGGGTTACCAAGGACAGCTTCAGTGCACACTAGGTAGTGCTGGCACCCACCACTTAATGGGAACTTTGTATTCCATTCCTTAAGGAGCCATTGCTCCATCGAAGGCTTTGTGTTCGTCGCTGATTTCGAGCTTACTGTGAAGGGAGGGGGAAGTGGGGAGGGAGATCACGACACTCGATGCAGGGATACGATTACGAAACTTGCCAAATTTGGGTCTCGCAAAGCACCCCAACTATTGCAATTGCTGTGGTCACAATAGGACTTGGGTTGTTTCATAAGAATAATATTCTTTGTGTAGAAAAATATTCAGGGGCAGAGTAAATTTGCTCGCAAATCGGCTCGTGAACCATAACTCCAGAAAAATTGTCTCTGGTATCGCCAAATGAATCAAAGCGCTGATGGGGAATCAAAATGAATGGTGTGATAGGTCGGTGATGTGGTTGAGTGAATGTCTTTCCCGGCATAGAATCGTAAATTGGACTCAGTCGACCCGGGAGCCTCTCCTGCATATTAAGTATCATCCTTTTTTGGGTTACGTCTCTCCATTGAAGCCATGGTCCCGCTGAGGCAAAGGCTGTGGAAATTGCAACTGTAGTGCTCGTCTCCGCCGGCGTCCCGTTCGCACGACATGGAGGAAATTGACACCCACCTGAGCCAGGAAAATCACCAAGAATGCCCCAATGACTAACGTCCGGGGAAGGTACGTCTCGGGATTCTGGTCGGGTTGCGCCGGTAACTCTTGGTGCGCATGGATCTCATGGTTTCTTTCGGGGAATATAGGCTGCGGACCGCCGAATGAGACCGAGATGGAGAATGAAAATGGCGTGAAAGATGTTAGAACGTTCGGGGTTATCGACGTGAATAGCGCGTAGAAAGGCTTGAATGATAGCGCTAGAGGGATGATGCAGAACACGAGGAGAGGGACGGCTAGTCACAATACAGAGTTGAGTGATGAGCGAGTAGACCTTGCCGCTATTGTTAGCCAATCAAAGTATTGCGATATAGTACGTATGTTCGATTTGGAAATACCAGTCTCGAGCCTTTAACTCTCTTGCCCATCGTGCCGAGATCTTCAGTCTCTCTCTGACACTTCGGGCGGAGAGGATGGGATATTTCTCCTCCTCGGAGATAGGTATAATGCTAGCAAACCACCAAGGGAACCGGGCGGCATCCCTCGGTACAGGCCCGTATGCCAGCATGACTCGTGGATGTAGCCAGGGCGCGCCTGCATAATGTTGCTTGCGAACGTATTCCCGGAGGAAAGTAAATAGCTCCTGAGTCGACATTGAATCCAAAGGTGGCTCGGCATTCGGCCCCAAAGACGGATCTGGGATTGCGGCGGCCGCAGTTTCGGTTGCCTCCAGCCTTTCTTCCTCGGCGAGATTGATGTCGTTGACACGCTCGGTGCAAGCAACATGATAGCCATCCAGTTCACTCGCCTCCAGAACTTTGAAGCGGGACATGCCGGTCGCAATCACCAGACTACGTCCGTCTGGAAGGAGTTCATAGCGTTCGATAACCAGCAGGGTTCCATACTGCATAAACGGCACACTCCCCAAACCTTCGCCCTGAGACTGGCCTCGTCGATTGTACATGACCATACCAAACTTGCCATCTCCGTTATCAACGACGCGTCGGATCATCAGTCGATAGCGAGGCTCAAAGATATGCAAAAAATTCGGCATGGTAGGGAACGACAGCGTGCAGACAAAAAGAGGCAGGTTCTTCTCGTGATCCGTCCACAGTTCGTCCTGGGCGTCAACTTCCCGTCGATCAGCAAGTTGATCATGGAAGAAAAGCTCGATCAAATTTGCAAGTGTGCGGTTCAGTGGTTCAGACTCCATGGCAGACGGCATACCAACCTTGCGCCGACACACTGGACAAAGGTCCGTATGGTTCAATGCACGCGCAATGCACTTTCGGCAGAAGGTGTGGCCGCAAGGTGTTGTCAAAGGGTCCAAGATAAGAGTGTAGCAAACTTGACAATCCAATTCGGAGCGGAGTCGATTGCGGACTTTTTTGAAGAGAGAGATATTCTGTAGTTTGTAGTGGTCTTCGGTACCTTGGCTGGGTTCGTCGGGCGCTTCATATGTGATCTCGAAGGCATCGTAGGGGAAACGGCCTTCCCAGGCCAATAAATACAGCCCCCGAAGCCATCCATGGTTACCAACCTCAGCAACATGAGCTTCAGGCTTCTTGGTATCCTTGCGACCGACTTTCCAGCGCACAGTTCGACCCTGGCCACTCTGCCGAGGTTCGACAGCTTCCGTGTCGGAATCTGGAAATCCTAGCTCCTCTTGGAACACATCGGTCATATTGCACAGCACGACATCTATTCCGCAGTCATCAACGCAATGCTCTCCGGCGCATTGAATTGTTCCCTTCCAATAACACGTGAATTCCTCTGCACGACCCTCGGCCGCTGGGTATGTGATGCCCATGCGGGGTCTGGCGGGCGGCAAGCATGAACGGCATACAGTGTTTCCACATGGCAATCGCACGGGTGTATGGAGTGGGCGGGAGCAATTCTTGCACTGTATCAAGCGGGTCACGACGTGGGGATCGCACTCCTCGAGACTGGAGACATCGGAGCCCTCCACGGTCAAGCTGTCAGCCTCGTCAGCCTGGGCAGGCGGTGGGGGTTGCGCAGCCGGTGCAGCTTCAGTGTTCTCCATCTCTGTCCGCTGATTGTAAGTTGCAGAGGAGGGAGATGGGGAGAATGAGCGCTCCCCGGGATGTTGGACGATATCGGGAGGAAGCTCCCCGGTTGGGGATCGGCAATCGTCGAGGCGGCGGGTCTGGAGCTTTAGATAATCGCCGTCAGATTCTGAGAATCGTTCGGGGCCCCATGTGATATTTTATAAAGGGAAGAGATTTTTTTGTAGAAAGGAGGAGAATATTTTATGATGAAGAGGAGTGCAGTGAATAATAATCTAGAAGTGACTGTGAATACTTACCTAGCAATGAGTGAGAGAAAGTATTGCGCAATAGGTTCTTATGGCGCTCTGGATTTACGCGGGGAACTGGGATTTCAGATTACGCAGAACATGCAATTGATACCATTTCGTGTCTCGTCCAAGGCCAATCCGCCGCCATGCCAGAGATAATGTGCAGAACGATGAAACGGGTAGAAAAGAAGCCAGATCACGCCGTCGCGTTCTCGTCATGACAGAATATTCAAAAGATTCCGAGGCCGATAGTTATGAATTGTATGGAGGACAACGCGGCGCGTCGCGGCGCGTGAATTCGTTTTGCAGTAAATAACCGAGAAGGAGGGAAGTAGTCCCTTCACGGTAGAGGGATAAATAAACGTGATCTATCGGCTAAATATCACGATCTCGATGAAGATGAATCAGAGTCCGAGCCGGATGAGCTAGACGAATCTTCGTCGAGAACAATGCGGCGCATAACGCTCTTGTCAAACAAGTCAATAGCAAAACGTCGAGATGGTAGACGGAAATGGTGGCTCTCGAGGATGCAAAGAGTTTTGCGGAAAAGGTGGGTTTGGTGGAATCGTTCGGGTTGCTTGCATTTAATGCTGTGATTGTGCATGGTCAACGAGGGTCCGTCCGAATCGAGAGATATCCAAGGGAAATTAAACTACTCACCTGTGCAAGTCCTTGGCGGCTCGCTTTGTGAGGACAGTATTGCCCATGTCGACAATCAACTTGAGTATCTTGTCATTTGTCGCATCTGGATCTGTAGTCGCCTCCTTAAGCTTGCCTTGTGGAGTACGTTGGGCCTCCGAATTATAACCAGGGAAAGAGATCTAGTAGCCAGATTAGAATTGCAAATCAATGGAACGCAGGACCAAGGACTAACCAAGAACAATTTTCGGTAGTCTGTCGGCAGACAGTAGCCCAGGTACACCCCGTTTTGGTCAATGGCAGAGTCCCATCCAAGCTCTCGCAGCACCCGCAATCCATGACTGCTACGAGATATCAAACCCAACACGAAGAACGCAGTGCCTCGCATGGTCAGGACACCTGCACCCTCGGCAATTTTCACAATCCGCTGCACGATTTCCGGTTCAAGGAACGGAGAACCGAGCTCCATGGACCCGACATTACCCACGGCCCAGAGACATCCTTTGACCTTGAGAAGTACCTCATGGTCCTCTTCCTCGAGACGGAAATCTCGAATTGTCCAGGCGAATTCGCTGAAGTGGCCCGATTGTTCTAGGAGCTTGCAACCCTCTGCAGTCCGAGCGAGTTCACGATAGAAATGTGGGGGAACCAAACCGGCATCCTGCATGTCCACGAGGTCTTCGGGAGCAAAGCTACTCCGCCGGGGCTGGTCAACATATGCTCTGGACAAGGCTGCTTCAACGAGAGCGACATAGGAGTCGTTTCGGCCAAGGAACCAGTCATCCATCTCCTGCGTGATATAGTCCAGGCCATCTAAATAATGGTAACCGACAGATGTTGACAGGAAGCGCAGAAGCAGCGGAGCTCCAATCTCGCCAAGATGATCTAGAGAAGGTCGGCACTTGACCACAAACTCGAGATAATCACGCTGATTGCATGCCTCTTCCAGGATCTTCACTGCAATCTGGCAAACGGTAACGTCTGGATCGTACAACTGTGTAACCAGAAGTTTGACGACCCATTCGACATTGCTAATTGCCACATGAGTGGAAACTGTATCCCCCCCGACAGCATATTTACGTAGAAGTTTCGTAGCAAAGATGCGGATCTCCTTCGAGCCAATCGTAAGGGCTTTAGAGAGCATGACTCGCAAGTGACTCTCTCGACCGTAATCCATATTGCCCAAAAGAGTCTGAATGAGATCGTTTCGGTCTTGCAGCTCGATGATATGATAGCACATGTTGAGCATGTGCCATCTCTCCATCATGAGAAGCCCATTCACATCCCCACTCAGTGCTCCTAGCATGGCAAAGTAGCCTCCACTGAGTGTATTGTTCATAGGTTCGCGAGAAAAGACTGGTGATCTTGAGGTGAGTCCACTCATCCGATCCAACTGCGCTAAACACTCAGCAATTTGTCGCAGAAGCTTATTCTCAGCGAGATACTTGGTGCCCTCTGGAGTTAGAACAAGAGTTCGCATCAAAGCGCAGCCAGTCCGAACGTAACGCTGATTTGGCTTTGTGTTCGGAATTGAGGAGAAGCGAAATTTGAATGGTCGGTAGAACCCAAGAAGTCGCTTCATGAATTTAGAGCCTTTGATGGCTTCGTCCATGCGTTTGGAGTTGGTGAGAGGTCCCTCCACCAGCCTGTGGATGAGGTCCCATTTCCACTTCTCAAAATTCACGGTATTCAACACATGAGTTTCCAAAATAGCATTGCGGAAAGTCTGCTCATCCATGGCCGGGCTCAGTTTGTCTTTTGCTTGCTCACCAGGCATCAGAGGTGCGGTGAAATCGACATCCATATTATAACGACCTGCTGAGCCTGAATATGAGCCAGAGCGTGCTAAAGTCCGGTTGATGCTCTCGATCTGGAAAATAGTCGACGTCGAAACGTCATGATTTTCAAAGTCGTATTGAATCGCAGGCGGTAACAGGTGTGGCAGGACCTGTAGTTTAGCGCTGACTGTCGACGGTAGGGAATGGTGTGCCAGCTTAAGCACTTCAGTCAACAGTAGAGTGGCCTTTCGCCTGAGAGAAGAATCTGTTTCGTCCTCGATGAGGTCCGAGAGTGCCTACAACTGTTTAGAACCATTTCCCATATTCGTCATTTCCATCCAAATAGTAAACTTACCTCAGGCAGACCGGCCTCGACTAGAGCCGCCAGAATTAGTGTTGAAAAGTGCGCCGTGAGATCGAACTTGTTACTAGTGTTTTCGGTGTATGTGCGAGTGTGTCTCGAGTCGGTGTCGGATCTCAGATTCGATACTCTACCATAAGTCGTTAGTCGTCTCCCAGCCAGGAATGAGGATGACCAAGATGGAGGCTTTATCCTCAAGGCGTCGAAAAGTAGCTCCATGATCAGATCCCGAGCTTGGGAATCGGGATAGTGAAGAGACTCAAGCAAAGAGCGCAGGGGCTTCGCATTGTGTCTGGCAAGGATCACCAGGCCAGGCCAAGTTTTCAGCATGGCAGATATCGCACGAGCGGCAGACTTCAATCGGCCACTGCGAAGTGAGTCGGCCAGTGAATCAGTAAATGGCGTCAGAACAGCTTCGAGTTCGCTGCCTTGCAAGTATTTCCGGCTGCGCGGAGTATCGAGAATATGCAAGAAGCTGTTTATGAGACTCTCGGAAGCACCAAATGTGCCTTCTGAGAGAGCGTCATGCAGGGCGGAAAATCCACCTGCCGAAGCAACGAGCTCGGGGTCTTTGACCAACATTTCCGCTAGGGTCATAATCGATATATTCCTCAGACGATCCTCATGATGTTCTGCAACGGAAACGATTGTTCGGACCACGGCGCGCGAGATCTCTTTCACACCGTCTTTGACATCGAGGAAAGCTCTCACAAACTTCAAAGCTTGTTCTCTTTCGATACTGGCTTTACTCTCCTTGACAAGCGAGAGTATAACGAGCTCATCGGTATGCAAAGCTCGAATTGTTTGGATGGACTTGCGGTCCGCGATGGCGTATCGGGTCAGTCGATATCCCGCCGCGACGACTTCCTTGCTGTCGCTGAGAAGCATTATTTGGACGCGCAACCCAAATACAGGCCAGGCAAGATCATACTTGAGGGTTGGATGTCGCTTAAACAACTCGACCAGATTGTTGGCTCGCTCCACGTAGAAATCAGGCGACATGGCCTCAATCTCCAACGCCTGGAGCGTCTCCGAAAGTACGTAGGTCGGCGATTCCATGTCCGCCTCCTCGTCCCCTTCATGGAACCCATCCAAGGAGCCCCCACCATTGAGATGGCGAGATGGCGAGCGCATGGGGCTTCCTCGAAAGAGGCTCGACAGACGACTGCGCGGAGGGGTTGTAGACGGCGCCTGCGCACGTAAAAGCTCCTCCTCCAGCTCATGTTGTAACTCAGCCAGTTTGCGATTCGATGTGCTCAGTTCCGATTCCACCTTCAGGCGCTGCTCCTTGGTTTGCTTTGGAGGCTTTGCCAGCAGCGCCTCCAACATATTCTCTGTGCCCATCTTGATCTTCATCTCCTTCGCGATTTTGTCTCGAATAACAGCCTGGCGCTCTTCGGTGGTAGCCAGGTCATCCTCACCAATCGAGCGGCTCGCTCGTCTCGTGTAGGTGCCATCGGGGCGGGGTGTCACGCTGCGCGAAGTCATGCTCTTGAGCTCCGCACTGAAGCTACCGGGCCCGCCAAATGACGGAGCCAATGACGAACCTCCTCGTGTGCCAGTGGTAGCACTCCCTCCAGAACCCGATCGTCCATTTCGCCCTGACCGGGGCACTCCCTCATTCCAACTCCCATCTGCTGAGGCGCCATCTTGGCTGAAGGAAGAGCGCCCATCACCCAGTGCACGATGCTGGGTGGACGCGGAGAACGCTGATTGGTGTCCGGAAGCCATGGAGCTCCATCTAGCCACGAAGGCTGTCTATGACCAGTCGCAGGTGTCTGAAGTGTCGAGGCGCTGCATTGGTGGTCGAGAAGGAGGTCGAGTCGCGGAGCAAGGGCCCGAGTATGGGGAAGCGAAGTAGGCGTAGGGGCGGAGGGGGCCAGCTCCGCAGTCACGGGTTGCACGTCTGGCGATCGGAGAGCAACTGCTGCTGTCACCACGACTGGGGGTTGAAGTGAAGTGAGCACATGCACAGAAGCGATTTGCACGGGTAGTCGATTATCCCACTCGGTTCCGTTCAGCTTGGAGCCTGATCGCGAGCAACACAATCGTGGATGACTAAGTCGCCTTATCACCTGGTTTCTGCCCTAGAAAACGTCCCGTCCGGAGAAATCAATTCAGCCTCTTGAGGAATGTTGTCTAGCGTTTCTGCTGCGACTTACTGATTTCAATTGTAGAAATGAATAACGAAATCACGGGGCGCGCTTGACAGATCCATCCGCGCAGGCATATATATATTTGACCAGAATGCAACGGAACTCTTGGCATCATGATGGAGTGAGTATACGCTCAGGTACATACCGAGCAACTCGTATAATGTACCTTAGGTTAGTGACTAATATGATAGTGGTATTCTAATAATATAACATGAGAACATTATGAATACATAATACTCTTATATATAGACTAGTCAACATCTCAAATTACCCGAGACACCTATCATAGAACAAAATTAACGATACACAGCAGCCGACGACCAGATACTTCTGAAATCCCGAAACGCCTTACACCTTGGGGTGCTTGGTTATTGTCCCACCGAATATCATACAAGACATCATGATAACTCATACAAAACCAAATGATCACATGTTCTTATCTTATGGTAGCAGTAGTTTAAGACTTGGATGTCTTCTCTAGGATCGTCTTCATCATCTCGTTTCCAAGCTGGGAAGCTTCGGGGAAACGAGGAGCGAAGTACGAGGCAATTCGCTCGAAGCGATCACGGTAGGACTCAAAGTCCCCGAAGGAAACGCAATCCGACCAAGCCTACATGGAGAGAGTATATCAGTTTATGAATCGATTCTGGCGCAAGGAGATATCGCCCGAAGCATTACTCACCCGTGCAGCGAATGTGAATTCGAGGTCATCCGAGCGGAATGTGTTGTCGTCAATCGCAGTGTCCAATGCTTCATCCAAGAGTTCAGGGTTGCGGAACAGGTATTCGGTGACACCTAGCCACAGACGGAACAGCTACAATTGGTAAGCAAGGCCGACTTTCACAGTATTCATGATCCGTCAGGGTTGAGACATACCGGGGTCGAACAGATCATATGGTCATAAGGAACAATGCCGAGTTTCGACCAACAGTCGACGATAGCAAGCAGGCTGAGGTGGCTGTTCGGGGGAGACTTCTCACGAGACCGGTTGGATAGAGAGAACCGATCAAGCACCTCATCCTTCAGCAAAAGATCCTGACCCTCTTGGCCCTCCTTAAACACCGAGGCACCAGCCGATATAACTCGTTTCTTGAGTTCTTCACGGTGTCCTCCGATCATAAGCTTGTAGAGATCCGTAACCGACTCGGCGTACTGGCGGATCTGCTGCTTGGCTGCCGGGTTCAGAATCGCCAGACCAGCATAGACATGCCATTTGTTCGAATAGATGCGCAGGGTGATATTGATCTTGACGTTCTCAATGCCACCAACCCACCGAGAGATTTCCCAGGGGAATTGCTTATTGGCCTGCCATGCGGTTCCCATGCTCAGGAACGCAGCGTGGGTCACAGCCTGCGTATCAGCCGTAATGCGGTCGTGCATTTCGCCGGTGAGGTAAACATGCTTGGATCCGAACGACGACAAAATGCGGTCAACGAATTGCAGACTTTCGTCCGAGGCTCGATGCTGGATCAGGACCTAGGCAGAAAAAGAAAGAATATGGCGTCAGCGCATCCAATGCTAGACCGGGCAAAAATGAAATCAGACATGGGTGCAAGACCCTACCAGCGGCTGTCCCTTGGGGTTGACCTTGGGCCCGTGCAGCGAATGGCATGATACGATCTCTACATCTGTCGGCAGGTGTTTTTCGAATGCTGCAAGCTCCGGAGCCTTGCAGGAAGTTTGACCACCGACGATCGCTCCGACCTTGGTTGCTTGAGTGGGAGAATGTCAGAGATACTGGACCAGGTGCAGAAGATGGGCAATTGTATGAAGGATCGACAGGGGACATACAGGGCCCGTACTGTGCCACGACTCGGTCGATGACGCCGGCCTCTACACTGTATAGAATGAAATCGCTAATTCTGGAAACGAGATGGCCATTCGGGAATATGGTGACTTTTTGCTATTATATACGATGAGCCTCTGGGCATTGTGGCCCGGCGGGGGACGTACTTGAGAAGCGAACTCTTGTTTCAAAGATTCATAGTTCTCAGGTCTGTCACACGCGTTTATCCTTCAATTGCGAAGATCCATGTTAGTATCAATGTTTCCACATCCGATAGTTCCACAAGAGAAGACGAGGTGTCGTTCGTGAAGGGGACCTGATTAAATGACCCAGTTAGCATCGCGTCATAATGAGCAGCGACAGTACGAGGCAGATAACAAAGAAGCTTCAAGAAGCTTTTCAGACAAGAAAAAAGTAAGGTAGCGAGATATTTACATCATCGACGACCCAGCAATCAAACCACCGACCAGAATGGCTAGGCAGTAGACCACCGAGCCATACTCGAGCCAAATGCACTCAAGTCATCATATAAAATGGGGGTAAAAAAACAGAGGGTTGGAGTTGAGCTTACCTCTGGGAAATGACTGGGTTCCAAAAGGGAATAGGTGGTAGAATTACCTCCATCCAGCAGCGCTGAGGCGCTGGGCATACATCTTGCCCATATCGCCCATGCCGATGATGCCAATGGAGGCATCCTCCATGGTGCGTCCCATCCTGGTGGTACCACGCCCGCGGCTTGTGCAAGCAGTGCGGACAATAACGCCGTCGGTAGTTAGTAAAACAAATATAATGTGCCTTCAGGAACCGAAGCACCGTTTATTGACCGGGTCAGACGAGTTCGCGAAATCAATTGCAGTTCTCAGAAGCTGATGACCGAGAGCAGCAGAAGAAAATTTAAATAGGCGGGCGCAGCTCGGTGACTCACCGCCCGTCGGGCCGACTGCGCGACCGGGTTCTGATGCCTGAGGCTGCCACTCGCTTGTCTCCGTCCTGCAAGCGCGGAGCCAATCACGGGCAACGGAAGTGCTAGGGCACACACCCACTTTTTCGCTCTCCTCCTTAAACCCGCCGCGCTTTTCTCTTTCCTCTCTTCATATTCCATCCACGACAATCCCATCCACAATGGCCCCCAAGACTGCCCCCAAGGCTAAGGAGAACGTCTCCCTCGGCCCCCTTGCCGGTGACGGTACGTTGAACAAAATTCCCTCGAGAAGAAAAAAAATTGCATGAGGCTGACTAGATTTGCGCATGGAACAGGCAAGCTCGTTTTCGGCGTTGCCCGCATCTTCGCCTCCTTCAACGATACTTTCGTTCACGTTACCGATCTTTCGTTAGTCTCCCCATAGGATCTCTGGCAAGCCCATGCGCTCGACCGACTAAATCGATTCGATGGGATCGATCAAGCGCGGCGCCGTGATTTCGGATCATCGAAAACTTCTGGATTACGTTGGCTGACACATCTTTGTTATACAGCGGCCGTGAAACCATCACCCGTGTCACTGGTGGTATGAAGGTCAAGGCTGACCGTGACGAGTCCTCCCCCTACGCTGCCATGCTTGCTGCCCAGGACGTCGCTGCCCGCTGCAAGGAGCTCGGCATCAACGCTCTGCACATCAAGATCCGTGCCACTGGTGGTAACGGCACCAAGACCCCCGGTCCCGGTGCTCAGTCTGCCCTCCGTGCCCTCGCCCGTGCCGGTATGCGCATTGGCCGTATCGAGGACGTCACCCCCACCCCCTCCGACTCTACTCGTCGCAAGGGTGGTCGTCGTGGTCGCCGTCTGTAGACGTGTGCGGGTATGTCTTTCATTTCCTACTACGTCTTTGCGTGGCTGGATCGGGAGCAACCTGCAGGCTCTACCTGCAATTGTGGATGGAATAAACGCGAAGAACGGCATTTATCGCCTGGTCTTCAATTTCTATCACGCCCTAAAAGTTCGATCTCAGCTGTTGCTGTTGAGCTAGGTAGTCTGATAAGACGACTGAATCAATTGACTTGGTCTGAGTAACCCTAAAGCACTTTGTAAATCCAATTGTAGTTCACTTATGTAATTCGCGCGCATTTTTTGTTCTGCGACGAAATTAAGAGTGCGGGGACCGCTCTCTAGCTGATTGTCGCGGCGTCCCTATCGCGGGGCCGAAAACTAAAAAAGTACCTCAGGATGATGCGATCCTACCGATTTGACTTCTTACTTCTTCGCTCAACACCGTCTTCAACACTCTGCTCGTGCGACTATCTACAAGATACGATCGCTTGCACAGCACGAAGCTCAGCATCACACTGGTCATAGGCTCTCGGCCAGATCCTGACTTTCTGCCAGGGACGGGCGGCAGTTCCCTGTCTTGCACCCGGCACCAGACAAGTTTTCAAGCTGCCGCAAGGCCTGCTTGCACCACGCGACTAACTCTACCGACCGAATAACGCGACCAAGACGAAGCTTGAGCTTCGTCAACTCGGACAAAGCGCGATGTCTTCCTCATTACCGACGCCGCCATCTATCCTCCTCCCCCACCTCCCTCCCAAGACCCACGTCGGTATCGACCTCATCTCCTTCACCTCGACGCCTAATTTCCACGGTATCCGAGAGCCCCCGGAAGGATGGCACTTCCTCTATACTGGAACTACCGCGAGTTTGTCGTTGCGGTGCGGCTCATGGTTCTATGTGGGAGATATCAGCGCAGCAGGGCATGGCCAAAATGATACCGCGCTCGTGGTACGAGATGAGCGCACCGGAAATCAGCGGACCGGTCCGGAAATTCACATCTGGAAATGGAACGCAGACACAGAATCGCTTTCGTCACTCCGGGAAGGCAATGACTCAGAGCGGCTGGAAGCCATGCGCCTCAAGGCGAATTTGGGTTCGCTCTGGCGGGCCGGGGGCCTTTTTCGGTATCGAAGTCGCGTATCGAAGGTCAGGTTATCCGACCATTCTAGCACAAAGGAGGGCGTGGTGAAAGTGAAGGATGATGAGGAGACCGAGTTGAATGGTCGCAAAGACTGGCAACAGCTCACCGACTGGATCTCGCCTAGACTCTTAACCCGCATCACTGGAAGCCCTGAAATGGACGTGGATGGACACCCGCGGTGGAATTTGACGTCTGCCGGTACTGCCAATCGTGATGCGGATCATATTCCCGGGCTTGATAAACCCGCAGAAGGGTCAACTAGTGATGCGGACGCAGATCAAGAACAGGAGGCCGAATTCGGATTCCTCCCAGTCGATCTGAGACGAACATGGCGAGAAGGTGCTATTGGACGGGAGAGAACAGAGGCTGCTCAAGACCGGTCTTGGGCTCTGGGAGACCTCATTCTTCGAAATTCAAGCTTAGTCTCCGGTGAAACAACCGTCGACGAACGAACCGGGGAGATTCAGGTCCTTGGAGAACTGCAGTTTACGTTTTTGATGGTCATGACCTTGATGAACTTTTCATGTCTTCAGCAATGGAAGCGACTGCTAGAGCTTATTTTAACTTGCCGTCAAGCCATTGTGGATAGAGAGATGTTCATTAGTGACGTTGTTCGGTTATTGTTGTTGCAGCTACAACGGTGCGACGATGTGGATGGGGGCCTCTTTGGGATGGATGGGGACGATGATGGAAGGTTTTTGCGGAGCCTGCTCAAGAAATTCCAACGAGCAGTGGATCAGGTCATTGAGAAGGGGACCAAGTCAAAAGTCAAGACAGAGCTCGACAAGTTAAGAGCTTGGGCCAAAGACGAATACGACTGGGAATTGGCCCATGAAGATATCGTGAAAGAGGGCAAAATCCGACTTGAAGACGGCGAATTAGTCGACATGGATATTGATGAGAATGATGAGTACGAGGAGACTGGCGAATATGCTCCTCTTGTCGTTGATCTGGGTGACGATAATACCGAGACCCAGTCTGTGTCTGACGATGGAGAGGCGTCAGACTTGGAGGACATGAGATACTGAAATACATATCCATGTTATTCCAGAAGCTCCCGTTTTGGGCTACTCTGTCAAATATTAATTCGTGATTCCCCTTCATGCATTTATTGCAGTGTCCGTGTGTTCAGCGCTCAAAGGCGTCGCCTCAGCCTATGTATGATACTACCGGTCGAAACACAAAGCCATTTTCTTTTTATGAGATCCAAGCCTTCTTTTCTATGAATCTAAACAAAAACCAAGTTCTATATACACCAAAACCCCATAATTCATGAACATGACCCGCAAATATCGTATAAAATGGTCATAATGCAACTGCAAATGCAAATCAAAATTTCAACAGTGTCGAAACTTAGTTCTCCTCAACAACGTAGGCCCAGTCGTGCTCCTCCTTGCCATACATGATGACCTCAAGCCACGACTTGATCTGCGACGCGTAGCCAGCAGGCTCACCGTCGGCACCGAGGGTGCTAATATCGGAGTCGTTGTTGCGGATCATGGCAACGGGGGTAATGAAGTAGGCGGTACCAGAGACAAAGGATTCAACGATGCGGCCCTCCTTGGCGGCCTTCTCGACCTCTCCGATGGTGAGGGTACGCTCGACAACCTCCAGAGGTGCCAGGTGGCCAACGAAGTTCTCAGAGAGACGATCACGCACGAGCTCAAGGACACTGCGGCGGGTCACACCGGGCAGGATCAGCTGGTTCTCCAGGGGGGCGGTGACGAGCTCCAGCTTGCCGGTGTCACCGTTGTGCCAGATGATGAAGAAGTTGCTGGCGCCGGCTTCGGTGACCTGGCGGTCCTCGCCGAACAGCCAGAGGATCTGGTCGAATCCCATAGCTTGGGCCTTGCCGTGGGCCTGCAGAGAAGGACCATAGTTGGCGCCGAGTTTGGCCCAGCCAAAGCCACCGGGCCAGGCACGGATGGTGTCTGGGGTAGAGGCAAACAGTCTCAGGCCTTTGGGCGCATCGGTCTGGCCTTCCCTCTTCATCTTGGTGAAATCGGGCCATGGGACAGCAATGATAAAGAGAAGAGCCTCCTTCGGGACCTGGACACCCAGGTGCGGGCCGTTACCGATGATGGTAGGGCGGATGTACAGGAAGGAGCCAGGACGCTCCTTGGGCAGCCAGCCTATTTTTTTCAAGTTAGCTATAGTTCTGCCTTTGAAGAGGGTCTCGATACATACGTGGGCCATCAATCTGCATCAGCTTGGCAACCAGCTTCTTCAGCTCATCGTACTTGAAGCCCGGCAGAGAGGAACGCTGGGCACTGGTGTTCAGGCGCTCGCCATTGCAGTCGGGGCGGAACAAACGCAGCTTGCCATCGTAGCCACGGTACACCTTCATGCCCTCAAAGCACTCGGTAGCGTAGTGGAGGCAGGAAGCAGTGGGTGGGATGCTGAGGTTCTCATAGGGCTTCACCTCGGGAGTCTCCCAGCCATTGGCAGCAGTCCAGCGGACACTGACCATGTGGTCGGTGCAGTAGGAGTGGCTCATCTCCTCGGGAGAGCCGGGCAGAGGGACATTTCGTAAGTTGGTGGAACGAGTGATCTTGAAGTTGGAGCCATCAAGCTCAGCAACCTGGGGTGCAACGGAACCCATTATGAACGCCAAGGACGTTTAATTTGTATTCGAATGCAAAAAGACAAGTCGACTAGTGATTCTATCCTGAAATGAAAATTTCTTTACAAGAAATCGTTCAGGCGGTTTCAGTGAGTCACCTATGGCTCAGGGCGGGTCAATAAATTCCCCAAATTAGAGAATAGGGACGGGCGAAAGGTCAAAGTGTCAAAGAAGTTGATGTTGAATATTGAGTATTGATCGAAAGGAAAAAGTGGACATGGAGAAAACCAATGCAGTGTTATAAGTCCTGGCGGTTTGCCCCGGGCCTGATAGTAGCCACAAAAAGTTTTTTCCGCCGAGCGGGAAGAACTCTGGAACTTCGCCATCCAGACCCCAATTGAACCAATTGACATAGGCGGGAACGTTATCCTCCTCGTCTATCTACAAATAAGATTGTCGCAGGCTACACTAGATGTGCGATTCCTACTGGTGAATTTTGTGTAACCCTTGACTGCCATCCTGCCGCATCCGACGCCCTACGCCCTGTGGATGACAAGGAGGGGAGGGGCACACTGATACTCTTCTTATCTGCCGGGTCCACTTTTTTCTGGCATTTACTCCGACGATAGCCGTGCAGAATGGACTGCCAAAGAGAGAAAAGCCTGGTTCGAAAGGGGTGGAAGATGCCGCGCTGCGGTTTGGCAGGATGCTGCGCGAAACGACACTAACTTTAGCCATGAAGATTCAGTCGGGTCAGCGTGACATATCCAATGCCGAACTATAAACGGGCAATCAAGGGCCCGGCATGCGCACAGCCACCACCGTGATGATACATGATACTCATGAGACTTGCTTTTACTGCAATCTATTATGGATCGAGAAGAAAAGAATAAAAGGATATGGTCCCAACAATCCGGTCCTCTGCAAGAGACCTAAAGTCCGTCGACGTATTTTGTGTTACCGTGGAGGAAAAGCTCCAGGCCAATGGCGATGAGGACACGTGGGCCCCTCTATACCTGGCGGTAGCATCATATCAAGGGGTTAAAGAATGGTATCATGGTACAGATGGATCGTCGGTCTGTCGTCAAGTTCCATTGGATTTTGTACCAATTCAACCCAATCTGTGAGGCACGGGACCGCCGTGGAATGACATGCTATCGGTATGCTCATGGGCCACGGCCAGCTACAAACTCACATTGTTATAACTGATCAATTTATACAAATACAATAGTAGAATAATCAGACGGTACTTGCCATCAAATAAACGTTGCAAAGGTATCTTGGTGTACCTAAGAACCGTCCAGTCGATGAGATGAAATAGTCCAGAGGCTAGGCTACCTTTATCTCTTCGTTGGCATTCTTTACTCTTCTCGGGACCATGATCAAGTGCAGTTAGTGCTTTTCAAAGAGAATCATTATTTAAGTCTCCAGAATCCTTTGAGAACGTACAATGCCGACCTCATCATTATCGTGCCTCACATAAATGACCAAAGAGGGTGATACAGATTGTTCTGAAGAGTGCGCCGAAAGCCATTGAGAATTTGGATTATGGTACAAACCGACAGCTCTCACACTCATGAAAGCTGCATCTTGAAAACTATTTGTATGACGTCTTCTAGGAACTAGGATGGACTTGGCGTGGTGCATATGTAGAGGTCAGGTGATCTCTCCTTGGTCAGCGCTTTCCTTCATGTCCTCTCTTCCATTATGCATCTATTTTCAACCACCTTCAGTTTCTTTTGCCGTGGACAATACGTGCTGCTCGAAGCGGTCGACCATGGGATTGGCTGACATTACGACAGTCTGACTGGGCTTTACTCGCAATCGCTAACTCGATTGAACACTTCCAAGGTTCTGCTCTAAAAGGTACCACGCGACTTGAAAATTTGATGAACGCTGTTTGTCAGCAACCTTTGCTAGAGAGAGAGAGAGAGGAGGCTCGCAGCTTACAGAAGTATCTATCAATGGAAACTTTCTCCTATCTTATCTGATTCCATGTCATATTTCGCACATGGTTTCTCCCAACATATGGTAAGAGAATATGTTCACTCCATGCCTGGCGAACACATATCCCCAAAAAAAATCGACAGGCCCAGCTTCATACCCCAGTAGTTCAGAGATACCCCAGCTATTGACAAGATATGCTGCCTATGGATCATACATTGTTAAATCCATATGATTGAGCTACAAGACAGAGCAAATATGAACCGACATCCAACATGACACAAGGAGAAAAAAGTTGTGAATTATGAAAGAACGAGTGCTAGTGATTATCATTTGGGCAAAGTGGTACTCTGTTGGTTCATCACATAATGACGTAAACTAATAATTGGGTTGTCTAGCCCGTATTTTGAGGGTGTTTGTCCGCTAGTAAGTAGTAGATCTTGTCGTGTTCGTAAATCCAGAATAAGAACCCGGTGGACCTGTAAATGCAAAAGTACCACGATGAAAAATCGGAGTCTCGTTTGACATTGAATTTATTACCAGCGTTGGAAAGCAAAACACTAAGCGTGATGCCAAATGGATCCGCTATCATCTCGACTATACCGAAAGAGGGGATCCCCACAAAGCTATCTGACCCGAACGTGCATTGGATTATGTTTTCCGATAGCATTCCCATAAACCGTGCCAGCCACGGAAGTCAGCCTCTAATTTCCGCCAATGCGAAAATCGTAAACTCGATAAGCCTGAAACCGCCATGTACGGGGGCTGCGGACAACTTATGCGAGGTGATGAGATCCGTCATACGGAGTACGGCTAGGGCTATCCCGATCCGGTTTCCAGGCGGTTCTATCCTATTCTTCTCAGTATCATTTATGGAATGCTAAGAAGTAGGTACACCCGGGCGATCTACTCCGACGCAAGACCAACTGATGCATCTCGCTAACCCTCCCCGCAAAGAGTCTAGAACCATGCAAGAACCATTATCCGCAGTGACCGGGACCAAATGCGAGCGTACTTTACCTCTGTTGGGCCTTTATAGCTTCCGGACGCTTGGTAATTATGAGATTGTTGCACCTAACAGATACTAGCACCCCATACTTGTGCTCGTACTAGCATGTGTACTATACTCGGAAACTACATCCTCCCCTTGCCCATACTATTGCAGGTTTGCCGACCAAAAATAGGATCAAACGCGTGACGTCTTTCTAATCGAAATTCGAATGAGCTTGGTGTGCTGCGTGGCTGATTTGCCGTCGTTGAAATTAGGTAGCACACTAATAGTAAGAACAGGTCGTTGCGCTGTGGTCGGCGGCAGCCGTGCATCTGGCTTTGGCCTGACGGTAAGAACAACCAAAAAGTTAAAGATGCCAGAGGAGATGATTCCACACCGAAAAGAGGTTCTGGACGAAATTACGGCCAATTCCGAGATGCCCAGCGCCTGCGCATCTCGAGGATGCTTCGCAGCGGGGAAGATTGTCCCGTGTCTAGAGGAAGTGGCAACGTGGCCAATAGAGGCGCGGATGGTTGGCCGGCTGAATTTTCCGGCCCACTTAGCGACCATAGGGTGACATCAACCGTCGCAGCGTCTTTCGACCCCCCTTACGGCCGAGTGCATATGGATCTACATACTACTAACATGCCGGAGCACGCTCTTGTTTGGGGGGAGACTACCTAGGTAGGTTCCAAGGTTTGGGTCGGATCCTGTTGGGAATGAGCCCAATGCCAGATTAATCCTGGGTCCACCAAATGCCACCCATCAAATTGCTTCAAGAATTTACTACCCGGGTAAAGTACGTAGGTAGTGTATTTAATAGTATAAAGTCGGAAGAATCACCCAAAGCAACTAAACGAGACAAAAGACGATGGACTTTGAGGTAAGTGTTGACATGTCGTACCTTTGTATCAGATCCCGTTGCTATCCCGCTGCTGCAGGGACGGGGGCCTGGGGTCAGTGTGGGACTATACCACAAGAGGAAACAGTGTCGTTCAATGGGAGGCTGAGGCTGGCCGAGATGGTCCGCATGGTTTGCATGGTATGACAAGACTCGCTTCCTATACTATCAAGCATGCCAGACTAAACAGAATAATAATATGTAATAATAATGACTTGGGGATTCGCAGCACTGGTGTCGCCGGGCGCTCCGCATATGCAGCGACAGGCCCCCCTGTCCATGGTCGTAATCATGTCCGGTGCAGATGCCAAGAAAAAAAAAAAAAAAGATCCGACTAAAAATAACACATCATCAGCACAAGCTCAAGCGGAAGGGCTTGTGATTGGTCGGAACATTACCGGCCAGTGGCAAACACCAGCACGGAAGAGGAACAAATATCCAGGGCGAATCGATTGGGTCTTCCGAGGAGGAATGAGAATGCCCACTTGATACCATGACGCGATGGCAGGCTTGGTATATACATACATACAAACCACGGATGCGGGGGATGTAGATCGGCCTGAGGACAAGGCTCACCACGGTCCAGAGGCCTATCAAGGACCACGGAACATCCTGGGAAGGTCAAGGTACTGATTTCAATTAGATCGGGGTGGCGAAGCGCTCCCTCTCTGTCCGGGACGCGATGCTGTGTATCGTGTGTACCACCGTCCTTGTAGCGTGGGAGCTCATGGGTGTTCCCATCAACCAGATCGCTGGGAATGGTCGCCACCTACCCCGACTGGTGGGAGTAATTCCCAGAAATCGAGGGGAAGGATTCAAAGATCTTCGCGCCTTTGACACTTCAACTAGGTGTCATATCTTGCGATTGTGCCGGACTTTGTACCAGCACGAGCCGAGTCAATCGATGAAAGAATGCATGAACTGCGTCAATCCCATCGGCATTAAGCAGTGCCTCTGGTCCAATTGTCGCAGTCAAGTGTTGCATCATCTCCAGACTGGACCTGCAAAAATGCTCCCAAAGCCGGTTCGAAGGCACAGTTGCTTTGATTGTCGGTACCTCCGAAGAGGAAGTCCCGCGGAATTTGTATGAAAATGCGGCACAGTGTGAATTGAAGGGGTCGATCGACGCAGACAGGTGGCGCTGCGGATACTACAAGCCCAAGCAAGGCCTTGGTCATGTTGGAAGATAAACAGGAACCAAAGGTTGTCGGCTGGCTGATGGTATCAACTGGGAAAAAAGTGGGAAAAAAAAAGATTTTATGTAAACGGTCAACTCGTAACTGGGAAGACCCACGATCATCGCCGCAGTCCCGAAGTACGACTGTTCGTACCTTGCGGAGTCCTTACGGTACAAGTAGGGCAGCGGCACTCCACGGGCTTGTCGAGTCCCGACTGGCTGGCTTCTCCCGTCTTTCCTCCAAACGGATCTTCTTTTTAGCGCTGAACATATACAGACCCTTGTTCGGTCCCGGTATAGCGCCCTGTTTTCTACTCCACCCTCGGGGTCCGGCTCCGCAGGCGTTTCCGGTTCCTTGATGCATATCTCACGTTGCCCGGATTCCCGACTAGCCTCATCTTGAGGAACTTGGCCCCAATCCATGCTCGCTGCATGTCCTTAACGGTAGGAGATTGACAGGCGACTGGACCATTCGCTTCCGAACCACTTGTGACGTTCAGGAGTGGCCCAGCTCGCCTCCCTGGTTGTGTGACAGCTATTTGTTTGCCCAGCGTGAGCCCCTCTCATTCTTCTTTCGGTTATCATCCAATTTTTTTTTTTTTCGTCACCTGCATACTAAATGGAGCTGATCACACGATTAGCCCGACCTTCCCATTGCCCCTCGAGTCCCAACGGGCCATACATAACGCAGCAGGCGCATTCTGGCCACCAACGACCCGGCAAAACGAGTCACATTCCCATCTAACGCTGTATCGACGATACCGAAATTTCCTCCGCTAGCGCCTATATGAATACCCCAGGCTTAGTGTGAGCGATTCCTCGCGCGCGCGACCGAGGCGCTCGGCTGACCTCCCATGTCTTGCAGCTTCGCTATCCTTGGGTGATTAAGTGGCAGTGGATGTCCCATTTGGCTGAACAAGGCATGGCAACACAAATCATATTGATTCAAAGGATACACGAAAATGAGCCATCAGGATAACCCCAAACATTTTCCGGCACTGGCCCCAGGCCCACCACGTATGTTTGCTGGCCCTTCTTCCATGGCTGTCACTCGACCGAAGAAGAACTCCACGGCCTGCTTAGCATGCAAGCAGGCTAAGAGAAAGGCAGGTCAACCACCGCTCAACAAATCGGCCCGACCCAACACGAGGGCTCGTGGCATGAATGATCAGAGAGAAAATGGGTTGCTAACGATATTCGACGGGACAACAGTGCTCTGGCCCCCCTCCCCATGTAAGGCTTGCCTGAGTGCTGGCGCCGAGGACGAATGTCAATTCGACCCAAGCAGAGACCTGCGACGCAAAGTGGCCGTGAAGCGAACCATACAAGAACTTGCCGATTATAAAAAGCTGCTAGATTCGTTACTGTCGACAATAAGGATCGCCAATCCAGACAAGCTCGGAGAAATCACAGAGCTGTTAAAGAGCAATGGCTCCATGCGAGACCTTGCTTGTGCCGTGGGAAGCCCGGTCACACATTTTGCAGATACACGGGCCTTGGCCAGCGCCAGCCAGCTCTCTATATCGGAGGATGGGGAGCAGTCGCTGGAATCTCCGGTGACCGAGTTTGCGAATAAATTACGGCGACCTTTGGAATCTGACAAGGTCTCGACTTCTCCGGAAGAAGAGCACTATATGGATTCAGCCCGAGTTGGATCTAATCCTTATCGAGTGACCTTAGAAAGCCTTTGCGATATCCCGTTGTATCAAGTACCGGCAAAACCATGGACAGAAGTCACCGATGACACCGACTTTGTCTCGCACTTGGTCTCCCTCTATTTCACATGGGACCACCCTTGTGCGCAGTTTCTGGATCAGGGGGTTTTTCTCGAACATATGAGGCGGCAAGATCTCAACTCGGAATTCTGTTCGCCGCTCCTCGTCAACAGTCTCCTATCTGTGGCAAGCGTATTATGCCCCGTCTGAGTTTCTACACTATCGCATTTCTAACGCTCAATAGATATACTCGGATAGTCCCCGGGTGTTGTCGAACCCAGATAACACATTTTCACGTGGCCAGCCATTTTTTGCTGAAGCCGAGATATTGTGGGTAGCCCAGGAGGGGCGAGCGACGTTATCCAATATCCAAGCCCTTCTAATGTTGTGTTGCGTGTAGGTGATCTTCTGATATACGCAAAAGTTCATTTAGGAACTTCCGTGAATACTAATGAGTTCTACAGGCTTTCATATCAGGGCAAACCAGACCTGAGCTGGTTGATGTTGCAACAAGCAGTTCAGCTAGCACAGGATATAGGGCTCTTTATGCTTCCAAGATCAAAGCATCGATTCAGAGAGAAAATGACAGCAGAGATGGAACGTTCTCGTACAATTACGGCTTGGGGCATCTTCAGCTTGAATCGGTCAGTCATGTCCATGTTGTCGAATCAAATGGCCTTGCGGTTAACCCACATACAGGCAAATGTCAATGAAGTTGCATAAAATGTCAGCTCTTCCCCGACCAGCGTCTGGGATAGATACAGGAGGCGAGCATGATTTTGACTGGACACCATATCCTCGATCGAACCAAATCACATATGCCACCAAGCGCGCGCATCTACCTCAAGTTAGACAGGGTCTTGCCGATTTGACGGAGATCATGATGCAAGTTGAAGAGCTTCTAGATGATGAGGAGCTAAGCAGCAACTTCTCTGCTATATTTGCTAAAGCAGAACAACCATACACCAGACTGCAACAGTGGTTAGCGGCCTGGCCCAATGCGTCGCAGAACGGAAATGAACCAGTCCCACAGCTTCTGATAGTTCGGTGAGCCCATGCTCCATGTCTACTATACTCACTCTCTTCGCTGACTGTCAGCTCAAGCATCAAATGCCTTCAAGCGATCATGCATCTCATAGAGATGTTGATTGAGCGTGATCAGCAAGGCACGGAGATCGCCCAGTTAAAGCATAAGTGGTTTGCTCAAGCGGAGGAAATGGCTCAGTGCCTTCGCATCCACCGTCAGTCCTATGGAACTAAGCATATCCCCAGTCAGTTGGTTGATGCCGTCCAGACAGCCCTTCGGGTTTTGGTGCATCACCTAGAAGACCAGGACGAAATCAGACAGGCAGCATTTACTGAAATTTGTCGGTTCGGAATTGCTTTGAGCGAAAAGTTCAAGCCGACTGCCGAAACTATCAACGCCATCCACTCTATGGCACTTCAGGGCTCAGTGAAGTTGCCCAACGAAGCTATTGCGATCCTGGACGGGTCTGAGCTACGAAGAGTACAGGAATCGATATAGAGCGACCATTTAAACTACCATTTCCGTTCGTGCGGAATGGCTTCTTGGAGGAATAGATATTAGGGGCAGACAAGGCATTACCTAAGCGATTGACCGTCGGCGAGAAATGTCGAAGATAGCTACCAGGTCTGACAGGAAATATTGAAAATAGAAAGCGATGACCACTACAGTGGTTTCAATCTTTTGTGAATGGAGTTTCTACTTTGTTGCCTTCTGCTGGAAGATAGTCCAAGCTAGCTCTTGCAGGAGCATTCTGATGGGTTTGGTCAGACCCTCATACTTCATGAAGCCGCAATGCAGACTCTGTAGACACATATTCAACTCTTTTACACAGTGTATAATTGTGGGAATCCATCGGGCTTTATTTTCTCTTATCCCAGGATTTGATTGTCTAAAATTGGCCGGAACAGTCAAGAAGAGTCGAAATCCTATACTACCAGTACATTCAAGCCATTCGACAGGTATCGTAAATTTCGGTCACAAACTATAGAAAGTACCACGGACAATATTTAATATGCCTAGTAGACTACAATAAAATAATTGAGCATCCAGTAAATCGCCGTGGTCAGTTTGCTGCAGGTGCCAAGCGGCTGCATATCCCGGCACAAGCTTAGTCATCATGTTCTTTATGCGCAGATAAAGATAAGCGAAAATCCTCAAAATTCGACCTTTGGCAAATCGCACACGCCGAACGACGGACGCCCCCACCCATCTTCTCCCCTCCGCCTCCTCCATCCCGGTCCCTCGAGGAAATTTCCAATTCTTGTCGCCTCGCATCTCCTTTTCCCTCGCCTGCCCACAATGTCGTACGACGACCGCGCCAATGCGCGCCCCAGCCTGAACGATGAGTCCGATGTTGAGGAAGAGGCTCTGGTCAACGACTACCGCGAGCAGGTCAACTTTGACGATGGGATGAGTGATCTGGACCGGACAACATCCCTCGGCGGTTCTCAGCCCCAGGATCTCCAGGCACAGCTGGCCGCCGCAGCTACCCCGCTGGAATACCAGGCGACTCTGGAGACCAAGTTCGCCAGCTACGACAACTACTGCAGCCTCTTCCACTACATCTTGAACTCGGAGGGCCCCGTCGATCTGGACGTCCCCTCGGTATGTTTCTCACTGCGCGTCCCAAGAATGGTGTTCCAGAAATGATGAAAGATATGTGGCTTGGCATTCATCACTGGATCAATTCTACCAATGAATATATGAAGAAAAATGGAACTAATGACATGGCTTTTCTGTTTAGTACTACTGGGCTTGGGATGTTATCGATGAATTCATCTACCAATTCGAGTCGTTCTGCCGCTACCGCAACCGCGTTGCTCGCAGCGGATCCAACGAGGAGGAGGCTCAGCTTCTCCGCGAGAACCCCAACACCTGGGGCTGCTACTCCGTCCTCAACGTTCTCTACTCCCTCATCCAGCGCTCCCAGATCAATGAGCAGCTGGCTGCTATGAAGCGTGGTGAGGACCCCGTTGCCTTCGCTGGCGAGTACGGCTCCCGCCCGCTGTACAAAATGCTGGGCTACTTCTCCATCATTGGTCTGCTTCGCGTGCACTGCTTGTTGGGTGACTTCAGCCTGGCCCTGAAGACTCTCGACGATATCGAGATGAACAAGAAGGCCATGTTCGCCCGGGTAATGGCCGCCCACTTCACCACCTACTACTACGTGGGTTTCTCCTACATGATGATGCGCCGCTACGGCGATGCCATCCGCATGTTCAGCCACATTCTGGTCTACGTCTCCCGGACGAAGAACTTCCAGAAGGGTGGCAACGGCTACGATGCCATTGCCAAGAAGAACGATCAGATGTACGCCCTGATCGCCATCTGTGTCGCCCTCCACCCCACCCGTCTGGACGACACCATCCACTCCGCCGTGCGCGAGAAGTACGGCGAGCAATTTTACCGCATGCAGCGTGGCGGCCCCGAGGCCCTACCCGTCTTTGAAGAGCTGTTCCGCTCCTCCTGCCCCAAGTTCATCAGCCCTACTCCTCCCGACTTCGACAACCCCGCCGTCAACGTCGACCCCGTCGACCACCACACCGCCATCTTCATGGATGAGGTCAAGAACACCCTGTTCAACCCCACCATCCGCTCCTACCTGAAGCTCTACACCACCATGGATCTCAAGAAGCTGGCTGGCTTCCTGGAGGTTGAGCCCGACCAGCTCCGCTCTTGGTTGCTCGTCAACAAGCAGCGCAGCCGCCAGATCCGCTGGGTCGAGGGTGGCCTGCTCGAGGGCGAGTCCGCAATTGCCAACGATCTCGACTACGCTCTCGAGGACGACCTGATCCACGTCAGCGAGACCAAGGCTGGCCGCCGTCTGGTGGATTGGTACCTGCGCAACCTTACCCGCGTGTACTAAGGACATTACGATACGCAGGAGCCACGTGGTTTGACTGTTGCACCATGGCATGCTCTGCAGGTGTTTGGAGAGGAGAAAAAGTAAAGTATGGACTTTACATGCAGGAAAAGAACGGACATGACTCGAGATGATTTTTCTTTCATAACCTTTTCCCGCTTCCCCTTGTTGTTTTCAATTTTCCCCACACATTGCCCACTTCTCGCTGCTTTTTATACGCTTTTCCCTATACTTTTTTCATTTACATCTTTCTGTGATTTGACGGCCCCGAGTCCTTCATTGTGAGGGCGAGGGGATCCAAAATCAAGTCAGGTTATCGCGATATCTCTGGAGGGCGTACGATTCTCACATTTGCCCGGTCTGCTGTTCTGCCTTTTGACAGGTGATTCACTCTGTGGAGTGTTTAGTGTGAAGTAGAAGAAAAAGAGATTTGATGAAATGCATAGACAACGACACTGTTCAGTCCAGTCCCTCGTAGACATCTTCTACCATCGTAGTCGATCTACAAGACCACAATACATGGTACAAGTTCGTATTTAACTAGTAGATATGCAGGCGTCAAAGAGAGAAGAGGGGTATACATGCAAATTAATCTAGTCCTATATCTTTCCAATGTGCAATATGCCATATGTGTACACGCGAAACAGGGGAGTTGCAATACTGACGGATCACTATTTTTGCAATCTCTCCCATAAACAACTTACTTGATCCCCATTTCTTCTCAATCGCTAACATCAAAGCTTGTTCCGCAACCGCAGTTACTTGTCGCGCGCGGGTTGTCCACGATCTTGAATTGACTGCCGATCAGCTCAGTGGTGTAGTCCACCGTGCTACCGGACAGTAGCTCCAATGAGGGCTCGTCCATGACAACCTTTGCTTCTCCTGCTGCATCGGTTTCGGAAGGCTCGGCAGTGCCCTCAAAAATTGTGTCCTCTTCGGCATCGATTTTGGATGCTGATTCGAGCGACATCATGTACTGGAAGCCATGGCAACCTCCACTAGTCACAGTGATGCGCAGATGGTGGTAAGGGTTTTCTTCTTTTGTGGCAGAAGGTGAAGTGGACGGGTCGGTGATTTCACGAAGACGCTGTTCCAGTTAGCTCTCTGGCTGGGAAATATGCAAAGAAAGAAAAGGGAGGGTGAAAGATCGACAACGAGCCAAACAAAAAAAAAAAAAAAAAAAAGGACAAAAACATACAACAGCAGGGATTCGCATGTGGTCACCCACCATACTACTAACCTGCCGGCGTGTGGCTTAAGTACGGCTGAGCGGACGGGAAGCCCTGTTCTCCACACCCTATGGTCGTATGTACTAGACAACGCCCAGGACAGGTTTAAGGTGCCATTGTTGGTTTGCCTTCCGATGGAAGTTGAAGATACCGACAGTGGCCTCGCTGCACGCCTGTTCCCAACAGTCCAAACAGGTTCCCGTCCGAGCCACCACACGCTTGCATGTCTTTTCAAATAAAACGGGGTAGTTCAAGCAATTCAAATCCATTGTAGACGTACCTCCACAGCTCGCGGCGATATTCCGATCATAAGCGTTTCGCCATCGTCTCCGGTTCTCGGGTTCTGTAGGACCTTGGTAGCCGGGCGAACTGACGACGCAGAAAATGAAGCGACTTGCTGGCGCAACGAGGATTGAGAGATATATGATCGTGAGAAAGAAGATTTGCAAAGAGAGGTTCGCGGAGTGAGCGCAGCGCTTTGCCGACAGGTAGCGAATTCGCCGACGGAGGTTGCGGAGAGGCGCAAGGCGGGTCGGGAAGTCGAGAAGAGACGTGCGGGTTGCTGCGAGAGCCGGCGGGCGGATGTGGATGGAAATAGTGACCGAGACATGTTCGGAGGTGTGTGTCAGTCTCTTGACTGGAAATATGGCGAAGAGAAGCTTTGTCTATCGCATCGTCTCATCCGATGATATCGCGTTAGTCAGATTCGGCAGTGGCACGATTGGTCAGCGACGGCGGAGGGCGGTGGCAGAATAAAGACCGGAGATGGCGGGGTGAAGGTTGAACAGCGGTACACAGTCGGAGTGCAGAGTGATTTGGAACTGGTCTCTCTAGGAGATACGATTTATTGAGTTGTGGGTAAGCTGCATCGACAAGCAACCAGTGCTACAATGGGTTCGCGGCAGCATCTTCGCGATATGAGGACTGGCCCCCCGCTTTCCTACGAGGATGATATCAGAGCCTACAAAAAAGAATATGCCGAAGCTCTCGATGCTCAGGATCCTCTGAGGCAGTTTCGAGACGAATTCCTTATTCCCTCCAAGCAAGATCTCAAAAGAAAAGGTCTTGCAGTAGAGGAAGGTATGTCTTGGACCTCGGTTATATATTGTGACGCAGGCCAAAATTATTTACATTGTCCGATCTGCAGGTTGTGACGAAAGCTCCGATCCTCGCTGCATCTACTTTTGTGGCAATTCACTAGGTGTTCAACCCCGCAAGACACGGCATTATATTGAACTGTATTTGCGAACATGGGCCACCAAAGGTGTGACCGGACATTTTGTTCCGCATGAGGATCAACTCCTCCCACCGTTCGTCGATGTTGATACGGCTGGTGCCAAACTCATGGCACCTGTCGTGGGTGCTTTGCAAAGCGAAGTAGCGGTCATGGGTACTCTAACTGCTAATCTTCATCTTCTCATGGCGAGCTTTTACCGGCCAACTAGTGAAAAGTACAAGATCATCTTGGAGGGCAAAGCATTCCCGAGTGATCATGTAGGCTTCTTCATACACCCCAATGCAAGTTTCCAAGAAGGATCGAGTACTGACGAAAGTTAGTATGCAATTGAATCTCAAATTCGTCACCACAACTTCAGCCCTAAGGAGGCCATGGTTTTGATCGAGCCGGAGAATGTGGACCTACCGATCCTGAGCACCGAACAAATACTGAAGGTCATTGATGACAATGCGTCGAGTACCGCATTGATTCTTCTGTCGGCAATTCAGTTCTATACTGGGCAGTACTTCGATATCGAAAGAATCACCGCCCATGCCCACTCCAAGGGTATCCTAATCGGCTGGGACTGTGCACACGCTGCTGGAAACGTTGACCTGCGTTTACATGAGTGGAATGTCGACTTTGCAGCATGGTGCACCTACAAGTATATCAACAGCGGACCCGGTGGAATGGCAGGATTGTTTGTTCACGAAAAGCATGGCCGTGTGGATGAGAAACAGCCTGATAGCGAAGAGACCTTCCGTCCTCGCTTCGCAGGTTGGTGGGGCGGGGATCTCAAGACTCGCTTCAATATGGAAAACAGTAGGTGGCACTCAAATTTTGGTGAATCATATGGAGCTAACAACGGAAAATTAGAATTCGTTCCTCAGCCTGGTGCCGCAGGCTTCCAACTCTCCAACCCTTCTGTTCTGGATATGAATGCGGTCGTTGCCTCCCTGGAGATCTTCAACCGGGCCACCATGGAGGAAATCCGGAAAAAGTCCCTCAATCTCACAGGCTACCTGGAACACCTGCTGATGAAATACCCATTGGATGCCTCTCTAGAAGAAAAGCCATTTACTCTCATCACGCCATCTAACCCAACCGAGAGGGGAGCTCAACTGAGCTTTCGGCTCCGACCAGGGCTTCTTGATAGCGTTCTACGTCATCTGGAGGAAAACAGCGTGGTCATTGACGAAAGAAAACCGGACGTTATTCGCGTGGCACCTGCCCCATTGTACAATACTTATACGGAGGTATGGCAGTTCTGTCAAATTTTCCTGGAGGCATGCCGGGAAGCTGTCAAGGGCCAACAATGATGTGATGTATATTAGTATCTTGCACGCGACATCCCGAATACTCAGAAATGAGTACTAAACAGAGCCATCTATCATAAACTAAGCCCTCGGCGTTCCTGAAAAGTGCCGAAGAAGGCAAAATGCGGGTCGGAGTTAACCGCCGAAAAGCATTCAGTTCTCACTCTAAATTGGTCGGCGGCCGGCATTTCGGCACCGTTTCTTGTTTTTCTCTCCACAGGTGACTGACTGGTTTAGGCCCCGCACTGGAAGTGGATTAGTCTGCCACAAAAGACGCCATATCATATCATTTTGCTAGCGGAAAAGTCTCCGATGTGTCTTTGCCGTCTTCACTCTGGGTACCACTCTAGGTACTGGGCGATATCGTCCTGGATACTCTCCCTGTGAAGAAAAGCGAAGATGGGAACATCAGCGCCAACTGTGACGGCCACGGCCGATCCGGAGTCTGCTCAGAATACATCTGGAGGTGCGGGGAACCGAAGCGGCGATGTCGCTGATGTCGACTACTCCGTCTTTACGATCAGTCAACGACGATACATTGTCTTTATGGCTTCCTGGGCTGGGTTCTTTTCGCCTGTTTCGTCGCAGATCTACTTCCCGGCGTTGAATACTCTAGCCCGGGATCTTCATGTGCCAAATTCATTGATGAACCTGACCCTCACGAGCTATATGGTAAGGCAACCGTTATTCTAATCGATGACTCGAGGCTCTTGGTGTACTTACAACTTCGACATACCAGATTTTTCAAGGCCTGTCGCCGATGTTCATTGGTGATTTTGCCGATAAGGCCGGACGAAGACCCGCATACATTCTGTGCTTCACGATCTACATTGCTGCCAATATTGGACTGGCTCTGCAGAACAACTATGCAGCACTCTTTGTCCTTCGATGCCTCCAAAGCGCTGGAAGCAGCACTACTATTGCCCTTTCGTCTGGCGTGGTCTCTGACGTGGCTACAGCGTCTCGAAGAGGATCCTATATGGGATTTGTGACGGCCGGCTCTCTCCTGGGTCCTTCTATCGGCCCAGTGATTGGTGGCCTGCTGTCTCAGTACCTTGGATGGAGAGCGATCTTCTGGTTCCTTGTGATATTTTCAGGAGCCTTCATGATCCCATTTCTTGTAATTTTCCCAGAGACTGCTCGAGGCGTCGTTGGTGATGGGTCACTACCACCGCAAAAATGGAACATGTCCTTGATGAATTACCTGAAGTCGCGCAAGGCCAGTGAAGAGGGGGTTGAGTCGCCAGCAAGCTCGCCCAAGCAAAAGCTCAAGTTTCCGAACCCATTCCAGACCCTTGCCATCGTCTGTCAGAAGGATACCATTATCATTCTCCTTTCGAATGCGATACTTTTTGCCGGTTTTTACGATGTCAGTGCCACGATCCCGTCCATCTACAACGATCTTTATGGTCTGGACGATCTCCAGATCGGCTTGTGCTACATTCCGTTTGGCCTCGGTGCCAGCATTGCATCGATCTTGAATGGGAGTTTCCTGGACCGCAATTACCGGCGTATTGCGACCAAGATGGGGTTACCATTGGTCAAGAATCGTCACACAGACTTGAGAAATTTCCCCATCGAGAAAGCGCGTCTTCAGATAGCTTTCCCGATGCTTTCCATTGGAAGTCTGTGCATTCTGGCTTTTGGATGGTGCCTCAATTACGGTGTCCACCTCGCTGCGCCGACGAGCATCCTATTCATCATGGGTCTTACTTTGACAGGCGCGTTCAACACTGTGAGTACACTGTTGGTCGATCTGTACCCGACGCAAGCTGCCAAAGCCACTGCGGCGAACAATATTGTCCGGTGCTTGCTCGGCGCTGGTGCTACGGCCCTGATTGACCCTATGCTCTCGGCTATGGGCCGTGGATGGTGCTTTACTTTCATTGCACTTGTGATGTTATCCACGTCACCACTGCTCCTATGGGAGATTCATCGAGGTCCTGCATGGCGCGAAGCGCGCCGGCAAAAGGACGAGGCGAAGAAGCTCGCTGGTGAAATGAGCACTGGCGACGAGAAAACCTTGAGATAACTGGACTCCAGCTATGTGGGAAGTTTTGAATGCCCTTGTGCAATTAATGTCGTTACGATCAAATAATGAGCATAGGGGTAGTTTTTGGCGATGCCTTTGCATGATAGATTAATGGGATGACATGGATAGAGTGAAGACAACAGTCTTGCATAATTTGAATTAATTGCTACCGTCATTTTGGTATCGTGCGTATCACTTGAATGCAAAATATGCCCGTTCCAGAGGCTGGCGCTCTGATTCCCACGCAAGCCAATCCGACCTTGTGGTTCTGTCCGAAGAGTTAGTATACCGCGATAACATGGGTAGAAGTGGGACACATACGGCAACAGTCCCATTCCATTAACTTTCCACACCCCAAGAGCCAGCAGTAGCAGTTGCATCAAGACATATACCGCCTTCACTCCAAGCAGGCGTCCACGTGTCGACGGTGTCTCGTATTTAGCAAAGGCCGCATTGGTGTTGATCAAGCCCTGGATGGGACCCTTGAACAGCATCAGAACCATCATGATGCTGAAGATCTGAAGACTGTTGCCGGACATGTACATCATGATCGCTTGCATGGGGAGTTGCTTCGACGGGGCGATGGCGATCTCCCAAGCCTTCTTCAGCTTCAGGGCGTCGGTCTCTTCGGGTCTCTTTGCGCTCGGTTGTTTGTCCTGTTGCTGACGCTGGTAGGTACCCCTGTCAGCCCTGATCACGATCTTGTCTGCGCTATGCAAGCTCACCTGTTTACCACCTCGGGTGCTTGAGCTCGAGAAGCCAGGTGGATCCGGGATGCTGTTGGCCGCCTTCGTAGGACGCGGCATCGGGGAGTTGAGCGCGACGACCCATTGCGGCGGGGGCGGAGGAGGGAGCGCAGACATGATCACTGCGTATCCAGCGGACTGTCGGTGCTGAAGGGGGTGATGGAGAGAGGGTGGCGTGGGGAAGGACCGAAAAAGTGGGAAGATGACGGGGCGCGCGGTGCCAGGAGGTTTCCTCCGCAGCTCCCACTCCGCCCTCGACTCTCCTTTCCCTCTTGACGCTCCTCCCTGTTTCGGACCTTCCACACCCCCGTCGACTGAGGATTGCTCTTGACTATGCTCAATCAATGATTCGCACTGTCTCCGATTCCCCCGAACGGGCCACAGTTGTGGTGTACTGAAGCAATCCACGGCCTTTTCCCGACCTGAGACATCCTCCCCTCCAGAAACCCCCCGAGAACCTCAACACTAGACCTCTCGAATTTTCGCATCGCGCAAACCCCCCACGATCGCATCTTGCTCGATCTCTTGACAGAAACCAGCTCGATTGTCGCATGTGATCGAATTGCAAGGCCGCTAGACTCGCCCAGAAGCACTACCGACGAGACCCGCGCTTAAGTAACCTTACGATTCGCCCAACGCAGCCATGAGTTCCGGGGGCGACGCGAAGCTCTTCGCCAGAGTAAGTACTGTCAAACTGTCGGACCATCTGATCTTCCCCCTTTCCCCGCACTGCCCATGTTCCTCTCGTCTTATGGCCCTGGAGGCTTTCGCACACCTAGCATCGTAATACCTTGCTCTTTGCCCTTTATTTGCTTGTTCTGTCCCACATTATACCCCTCATGTTTATCGGATTTGCCCCCTATGCTCCGGCCTATAGCTCACGTTCTGCGCGAAACCCACAGGGCAAGGTTGCCGAGCTGCGACAAGAGCTCAACAGCGGCGGCAAGAAAGACAAGAACTACTCCGCCAAAAAGATCGCCTTGAAGAAGATTGTCGCCAACATGACGATGAGCAACAATGACATGGTTGCGCTGTTTCCCGATGTTATCGACTGCATGACCCTGCCGAGTTTGGAGATCAAGAAGATGTACGAGACACAAACCGATAAACCCCCGAGGTCGCGGATTTATGGACTGGTTTGCTAATAGTCATGCTAGGTGTTTCTTGTTCTTGGTCAACTACTCTCGCCTGAAGCCCGATGTTGCGCTGAAAGCGCTGCCGATATTGGTCGATGTATGGATGTGCCCTATCGTTACAACAGCTCCTTTAAGACTGCACTTCTGACATTGACTAGGATATGGAAGATACCAACCCGCTTGTCCGCGCACTCGCCCTGCGAACTATATCATATGTTCATGTGCGCGAATTCGTGGAGGCGACCTTCCAACCCCTCAAGCACCTGATGCAGGATAACGACCCCTATGTCCGCAAGACGGCTGCGTTCTGTGTCGCGAAGCTATACGAGCACGACAAAAAGATGGTGGAGAACTCGGACTTGATCGACCGACTTAACCGGATGCTGAAGGACGAGAACCCAACTGTCGTCTCCAGCGTTTTGGCATCATTGGTGGACATCTGGGGTCGGAGTGAATCGATTTCACTCACCATCGACTATGTCAGTGCTTCAAAGCTGGTCTCAATCCTGCCCGACTGCTCCGAGTATGCAACTTTGTCCCTCTTAGAATTTCTAGATAGGTTTGCTGACCGATTGTTCAGGTGGGGCCAATCCTACATTCTCGAGGCCTTGATGTCCTATGTGCCCCAGGACACTGCCGAGGCGCTTCTGCTGGCAGAGCGAATTGCCCCGCGGCTCTCTCACTCGAACTCCGCGGTGGTCCTCACATCCTGTCGAGTCATCCTCTACCTCATGAACTATATCGCCGATGAGAAGCACATCACCTCATTATGTCGGAAGCTCTCACCTCCTCTCGTCACCTTGCTCTCAAAACCGCCCGAGGTTCAATATTTGGCATTGCGAAATGCCATTCTCATTCTACAGAAGAGACCCGAGGTCTTGCGCAATGACATTCGGGTATTTTTCTGTAATTATAACGACCCGATTTATGTCAAGGTGACCAAGTTGGAATTGATGTTCATGTTGACAACGAAGGAGAATATCTCGGTGGTCCTGGCAGAGCTTCGAGAGTGTGTACCTTGTCATCCATTCAACAATATGCCTTTTGCTAATATCTCCCTGCAGGTATGCTACCGAGATTGATGTCCATTTCGTGCGCAAAGCAGTTCGTGCCATTGGAAAGCTCGCAATTAAGATCGAGTCCGCTGCCAAGCAGTGCATCGACACACTTCTGGAACTGGTCGACGCCAAAATCCCGTATATTATCCAAGAAGCGACGGTGGTGATTCGCAACATCTTCCGCAAGTATCCCAACAAGTACGAAAGTATCATTAGCCACGTCATCCGCAATATCGACGACCTTGACGAGCCTGAGGCCAAGGCGGCTGTTATCTGGATCATTGGCCAGTATGCGGACCGCATTGAGAATTCCGATGGTCTCCTCCAAGATTATCTTGCGACCTTCCACGATGAAACAGTCGAAGTGCAGCTGGCCCTGCTCACGGCTACTGTCAAGCTTTTTATTCAGCGGCCTACGAAGGGCCAACAGCTCGTTCCGCAGGTACTCAAGTGGTGCACAGAGGAAACAGATGACCCTGACCTGAGAGACCGTGGCTACATGTACTGGCGTTTGCTGTCGACCGACCCAGCAACAGCCAAACAGGTGGTGATGGGCCAGAAGCCACCCATCACCGCCGAGAGCGAAAAGCTGGACCCCCGAACCCTCGAGGAACTCTGCCTGAACGTTGGTACACTTGCAACTGTTTACCTGAAGCCTATTCACCAGGTCTTCCGTGCCGCACGTCCCCGTCGTCTGCAGCCCAGCCCAGCCCTGCAACGGCCACGGATCGAGGACGGCACCGCCAGCCTACTCGAATACAACCCCCCTACTGCCAACCTCGCATCATCATCAACGAGCAACAGTGGTCTCGCCACTATCACTACGACGGGAAACCCCATCAGCCCGATCAATGCTCCTCCTCCACCCAACTTCCCCGTTGGGCCGGGCTCTGGGCCTGGCCCCACTGCAGCTCCGAACACATCCAACGACGCGATCAGTGCTGCGGACTCGTACTTCAACGGGATTGGCTCGCAGCAAATGGCCGCGTTGGACCTGGGTGGCCGAGGTGATGGTGGTGCTGGAAGCGGAGGTGCACCGCAGACACAGTTTGTTGTCACGCAGAACCAGCAGCAAGGATACCAGCCTCAATATGCTGGCGGTGCTGCTACAGGCGAATTGCTACTTCTGTAGGTTGCTTGATTTTGGTTGTAATTGTAGATAGGTAGAGAGCATAGATATCTGGTCAACGACCCCTCAGCATTGGAACTTGAAAGGATAATGTTATTTATACATATTTCATACTGATAGATTTCCTCTAGGATGTTTCATAGATGTAGTGTATTTCAACCACGCTGTTATTGTGATGGCAATACCACAAGTCTGAACCCGGGCTTTATTGTTGAAGCCTAATTCGGTGCTCGATTGGATAGCAAAAACTTGCTGAGATCCCACAGTGCACCATGGGTTGGCTTCGAGATTGTGTGCACCGTGAAAAAGATCCGGGGACAACCCTAGTGGGATTCCCGAAATGGACAAAGGTATGAATGGATCATGATCTTGGCTAGGGTAAAACGGTAAGGATATCACTGGCAGGTAAAAGTAGGGTGAAACTAGGGGGTAAAAATATTGAATATGGCGTAAGCCAAATCAGAAATCCATCAAAAAAATCCATCCGCGCTGACATGAGGTCAAATCGCGATCAAAACTTTGCATGTGCGTTCTTCAATCCTCGTCCAGCTTGGACAATCCGCCACGACCGCGCCGAATACGCTCGTCAAGGCTGTCCTCGCCCGCGCGCTTGTGAACCTGGGACATGAACCGTCCACGGTCCGAACGCTGGCTGTCATCTGCTTTGCGCTGCTCCTCTTCCTTGGCATCGATTGCGGCAAGGCGCTTGAGCCGATCAGCTTCGAGTTCCTTGGCATTGGACTGCATCTCGGCCAGCTTGCGTTCGGCTTCCTTGGGGTCAATCTTGGTCGGTGCAGGACGAGAGGAAGGAGCATGGTCCCGGTCATGATAGCCACTCCGATTGTTGTTGTATTCTCGGGGGCGGCGGTCGCTCTCCTTACCATCAGAATCGCGGCGGTCGCGGTCTTCAGTAGAACGCGAGGGTGGAGAGTCTCGACGAGGAGGGGATCGTCGCGGAGATCTGGCACGTTCGCTTTCACGCTTGTCGTCTCGGTCCCGGTGGCGGCTGCTGTGAGAATCTCTCCCACGATAGTATCTGCGATCACGGCTTCGGTCCCCGTCGCGGTCGTCTCGGCGTGATCTCGTCTCATCATCTCGACGGTCACGATTATCCTCGCGGTTTCGGTCGCGGTCGTCTCGGCGTAATCTCGTCTCACCGTCTCGACGGTCACGATCATCCTTGTGGTCTCGGTCGCGGTCGCTGCGGTGCTTGCGAGAAGATCGACCGGGGGAAGCAGATCGGGATCGGTGTCGGTGAGAGCGGCGGTGGGAACGGTGACGGCGTTCATCTTCTGCATCATCGCTGTAGCGGCGGCGCTTGGAGTCATGATCTCGATCACGATGACGGTAGTCTCTCTCGCGGCCCCGATCACGATCATGACGGCGAGAGTGCTTTTCTTCCTGTTCCTTGTTTCGGATAGCTGCCTTGATCGCTGCTTCGCGCGCTTCTTGCTCCTTTTTCTTGATCATCAGCAGCGGGTCTGCCATAACCTTGGTCATTGTATCCCGGGATGATCCAACGGGAGGGCCTGCAGTCACGGCGGCATGTCCAACAAAATCGGCGCCCTTCTCGAGTTTCTGGGCGTCGTTGTCCTTTTTCAGTAGAATGCCGTCGATTCGTCGCTTTCCCAGCAAATATCCTTCCATTTCTTCAGAGACATGACCACCCGATTCACTGTTGGGCGCTTGGTACATCCAGTCGACTCGGTTCTGCTGTTTCGGCTTGCCGGAGGCTTCTTGGAGGCGCTGAAGCTCTTCGATTTGACGTTCCTCTTCGCGCTCACGTCGAACTTGCTCGATGCGCTTGCGCTCCTCCAGCGCACGCTGTTCTTCCTGCCATACGCGCTCCTGGTTGCGCTTGAGCGACGGATGCCAGGACCTAGGGACAAGCCGAAATGTTAGTCGACCTATTTTGTTGACGTTTTCGAGAGACTTGAGTACTTACTTCTTCAAATTTAGGTCACCGCCACCCATATTGCGGCAGTGAGATGATCTTGAGATTTCCCTAGAATGGGGAGTGGTGAATCACCAGGAGAAGTGTTGCTAGGAGAGAAAAGTGGTGGAAAGATTGGTCAGTTGGGGGGCGACACGCGGGTTGGAGGAAAGTAAGTTGAGATCCTCAGGAATGGGAAGGTTGGACCTGATAAGGTACCCAGCCGATAAGTCTACGATGCACTGCAGCCTTGTAGCCCAAAGTCTTGGCATGTATCGATCACGTGATTTTACCCACCTCCCCGGAAAGAATCGTTCGACACTTGACTGCGCGAGTGTAGAAAGCTTTATATTGGGAATTCAATGAATACATTGCGAAAATAGATACAGGTAATGGAGAAAACATGGCGGAGCGGGAAACATTCATCATGCAGAATTTACCACAAGAAAAGAAAGAACAGGGTGCACGCTCGCTCAATTCTCCATCAAAAATAATCACCCAGGCTTTCTCATTACCACATAAGCAGGATGATAAATAGAAAGAAAGAACAGGAAAGAAACATAGGGGGTGGGTGGTGAGGAGCGAGTCAACATAATGAATCATACACGGTCTCACCGATCTAGAAAAGGGGAAATATCATTCCATCGCACCAAGTGAAATTGAGGTCTGTCCACTACTTCGTAGACTCCCAGCCGACCCAGCTGCGCGGCATCACTCGCCAGACCTTGCACTCGCCGCTGCGCATGTCATTAAGTTTGAAGCTCTCCATCTTCACCTTTTTACTCTCGCGGCCCTGCTCCCAGGCACGAATCTTCTTTTTTGTACCATCCCAGTCAACCACAACGCCTACATGGTCAGGCTTGCCAACCTCAGCGCTGTATTTCTGATGCATGGTGCCACGGTGGCCTTGGAAACGGGCGTTGCGGAAGCTGACAATGTCACCGGCTCGAATCTCGTCATTCTGCGACACAGAGGCGTTGGCCAGGTTGGAGTATACCAAGGCACCGTAGGCTCGAGTGCCAATTGGCAAAAGTGCATCTGACAGAGGGTCGAGGAGATGTTGGACAAACCCAAATGGAGTGCCATCGCCGACGGTCGAATTTTGAATGGAGTTGACAGAATCAGAGATGCGAGCTCCGAATTGTACATGCGCTTGTTCCAATTGATCCTGCCGGGGTTGAAGTGGGGAGCCTTCATGACGCTGTTCAAGTGCAGCATCCGCAGGGTTCTTGGCATCAAATTGAACCGTCACGACAGTCTGGGAATAATCAATGAACAAGGCATAGATGTCCTTGGAGATGATCGTTTTGCCGCCACGCTTCGAAGAAGATGACTCCTCGAACTCGAGAAGTATATCTTTGCGGTTCTGGAAGGCAGGAGGTGGAACGTTAGGCTGAGTCCACCAAATAGTGTTCTCTGCCAGATCGATCTCAGTAGCGATATACCCCTGGTCAATTGACGGCCGAGAAATATCCATAGATCGACGGACACTGGGCTGGCTTCTCAATAAATCCATAGAACCCCGCTGGCCGCGACCAACGGATGGAGACGGAAGAGAAGGTGCTTGACCTGAGGGCGGAGGTGGTGGCGCAAGAGAAGGTCGCTTCTCATGCTGAGTCTCTTGAACAGGGCTTTGGACAGGAGAGGCGTCGTACATATCGTCGTAGTTCTCGGTCATGGGCTGCGGAGGGGGAGGAGGCGGAGCCTCGGGGCGACCCCCAGGGATGGGAGGCGTGGGCAAACCATGGTGAGGAGCGGCATAATTGAATGGGTCATAGTCATCATCTCCCTCACCACTGCGAGGGGGCTCCCTACCAGGCGGCGGTGGAGGGGGCCCTCGGGGAGTATCAATGGAAGCTCGGGCATTCCGAGGAGGCTGATTAGGTGGCGGTGGCGGAACTCCCCTCGGAGCAGCCGTCGGAGGAAGAGGGGGAGGTTGGCGGGCCTCCTTGGGGCTGCGAGGGGATTGAAGAGAATGGTCATCCGTTATGGTTCCTTCGTCAAAGCTAGAGTCGCGCTCATGAGAGCGTAGAGCATCCTTGAATTTGGCCCCAGAGGCAATATCGGTATCATAATCCCCATCGTATTCAGTGACTTCGCCTTCCACATCCTCTCCAGCCTGCCGGGGAGCGGACATAGCACTTCCACGGCTGTCAGCGGTGGAGCGTCGACGGGGTGGACCAGGAGGAGGTGGGGGTGGAGCGCGGCTCTGTTCCGGGGGCTCAGGAGGGTTTGATGGGACTGGCGGAGGCACACGACTGGCTCTCCGTTCGGCCGCAGGAGCTGATGGAGTCGTGTCATAGGTCGAGGAGTGTCGAGAGTCAGAGCGATCAGGAACTGCCGGTGCGGGAACTGGTGGAGGAATGGATGCAGGTTGACCCTGATGACCAGAGCTCAAGGACAAGTTCCTCGCATGGACAGATAGCTCATCGTCGGATTCGCTGCCCACATCAGAGGGCCTTAGCGGGGGAGGAACAGGCCGACCTGGAACTACTGTCAGTGCATTAGCTCAAATAATTGTCAGGACAGCTTCCGAACTTAACTTACCTCCCGGGACTGGAGGAGGGGAAGCAGGCTCATCAGCTGGCACTGGCGGAGGCGGAACGGGGCGCGTTTGAGGAGGTGGTGGCGCAGGGGCTGAAAGAATGATGAGGTCAATCAATGGGCTTTATATGAGATTGGCAGAATGTCTTACCAGTAGCAGGAGGGACAGGAGAAGGTCTGTCAGTCGAGCGACGCGGAGGAGCACCCTCATGAACAGCTTCTTCTACATCTGGCACCTCTCGGGGAGGATGCTGCTCCGAGACCGGGGTCGCCAGAGGCTCTCCTTCCTCCTTCTCAACATCGGCAGGAGGTGGAGGCTTGGTACTGATGTTCATTCCGGGCAAAGGAACCATGGGGACGGGAGGGGCATTTCCCGGGGAAGTGGGTTCCGGCTCAGCAAATTTCTTCTCCGATTCACCAGGAGTCTTGGGCTTGCGAGCTCCAGGAGTTGACATGCCTGGAAGACCGCCTGGTGGTCCGAAAAGACCCATCATTCCCATGCCGCCACTCATTTTCGCCATGCGCTCACGAAGTTCCATTCTGCGCTTTGTTTCGGGGTCCATTTCCTCTTCCTCCTCGGCGTCCTCCTCAACATCCGCCTCTTCGCCTGTTTGCTCAGCTGCATGTGTTGAAACCTGGCGCGGGCGCTCATCCTCATCATCTTTGCTGGTAGAGGTCTCACCCGCATCCTCAGAGTCTGCGGCGGCGGAATAATCGGCATCATTGGTATCACTGGCAATCTCCTCGTGGGGAGAGAAGGGAGCGGATGGTTGAATGGGAGGGGCCTTGGCTCGCAATGTGTCGACGCTAGGATCCCGTGCAGTTGCGGCTGGTTCAACAGGCGAAGCTTCGGTTTCTTCCGCAGGAGTCGCAGGAGCCGCAGGTTCAGCAGCTTGCTCGACAGGCTTCTTAGGAGGTTTGGGCTTTTCCTTCTTCTGAGTAGCCTCGGCATGACGTTGCGCCTGCTCAAGCTGCTGCTTTTGGAGAAGGGCGATTCGGTCTTTCAAGCTTGTAGGCTTAGGCTGATCCTCCGAGCCTTCCTCGTTTTCTTGCGAGAGAGGCTGTGGAGGAGGAGGAGGTGGTGGTAGTGGCCGGCTTTCTGAGACAGGAGGTTCACGAGCAACCTGTTCCTGCACCTCCGGATCTTCCTCACGCTTGTAAATTTTGGGAGCCGGTTCCCGTGGCAGAGCAACAAAAGAATCTTTGCTCGGAGGAGGTGCAACGAATTGCTTCTTCACGAAGGAACCAGGCTGCTGCTGGCCACCCGGCTTGAATGGAGCAATCGGGGCCGCTGTTTTGTTGAAAGCAGCAATTCGGTCCTTGAACGACGAGCCAGAGGGCTTCTCCGCAACGGCTGGTGGTGGAGGCTTGGAGGCTTTGACCACAGGAGGCGCGGGGTCGGCCGCAGGTGCAACAGGGGCAGGTAGCGGTTGTGCGGGCTGAGGGGGCGAAGATGAAGCCTCAGGAGCAGTACTCGAGTCCAGAGGGGACTGGGGTGCAGGCACAGGTGGTTTTTGGGCAATAGGCTCGGGCTCGGGCTCGGGCTCCTCTACTGGGGGTTGCGGAGCAACCTCGGGTTCCGCAGGGAGCTGGCTCTCGACCACGGTAGCGGAGGGTTCGGCCAGTTCTGGCTCGGGTTCCTTCTTGGGCCTACTCGGGCGTGCCGGACGTGGAGGAGCCGGGGGTTCATATCGTTCAACGAAGGTCTTGGGAAAGATGCCCTCCTGTTTGGCCCCGGACCCATCTGTATATTCACCGTAGTACCATTCAGCATCTTCTTCGGCGGTGACGGTTACCACCTGGCCGATTGAAAAACTGAGATCGTCATCGTGGCCCGAAGTATACTCGAAGACCGCTCGAACTGTGAAAGGCGGGCTGGACATCTGGCAAGACGACACCCAACCTCGGAGGGACGGGAGGTAAAGGGAACGCTAAAGGACGAGGAAGCGATGACGACACTAAGGCGAAATCTGTACAGAGTAAAGCACCAGCTTCAAAACCTCCAGCATGCAGGGGTCGTAGAAGTGGCGTGGAATGATTTCTGGGTAGCACCAAAGGTCGGTCAGATCGGATGACGAAAGTGTGGATGAGTGGTGCCTAGCAGTCGGCGATGAGGGGGGACTTGAAGGAGGGGCGGAGGGACTCACTGCGTGTCGGAGAATCGAGCTCCCGAACTTGCGCCAGGGATTGAAAATCGATGCAAAAAAGAAAAGAGCCGGTTAAATGCGGGCACGGAGGAGGGAGAGACGTGGAGGGGAGGAAGAGGGAGCAGTGAGGTGGTCGTCACTTGGCGGGATGAGGGAGAGACTCCACACTGACGATCGGCGGCTAACCAGTAACCAGGGTACTGCCCAGCTGGGGGAGCTCACGAGGAACGTGGCAATGCGTATTGACGAGTGCTTGCCCTAGTGTACTACTCGTAGTACTTGAGAGTATGTATCCTGGCTGTGCTGTCCAGTCTCATCTTCTGTATGCCCGATGTCTCTGTGATGCCCCGGAGAATAGAACAGACTCCACCACGTAACCGACTATAAAATCGGCACCAGCGCACTTTAGTTATATTAACAACATGAGTAGAAGCGTAGGTGAGACCAAAGGCCGCCAGCCAGCTGGGTCTTCTTTTATATCCAGCGTTCGCCACGCCCAGCTTCTGCCCAAGCCGACGTTAGCACCTTGGAGGGGTGCAGCGTGCTCTCATTGGCGACCTGCCCTCATCCCGCCTTTTCCGCTGTACTGGTATCTGCCACCGAATTTCACCCCGAAAAAATTTGGGCGACTTGCTTCTCTCGCATCTGCCACCTTTTCGAGCTCCGAATGATCCTGGTCTTTGATCAGTCTGAACAGCTTGACAGTATGGCGTCAGGACAGGGTCCATCGCAAAACTCTGCGCTCAGAACGTCGCTTCCGTCTGCTTTCGCCGCCGTCAACGCCGAACAATCCTCGCTGTACGCGCCGCCGTCCCAAGAAGAGCAGGAAAGGTATCTCCAAGCTCGACCAGGTGCAACGCCGCAGCACTTAGGGATCGCTCTCCAACATGCGCACCAGATCCAAACCCAGAAAGAGGCCGAGGACATGATCCTAGACCGCATAATTGACCTCCTCGCGATCCCCGCATCCCCGTCCGCCGACCCTGCTGCGCCCTCTACTGAAGAAGAGCAGATCTTCAGATCAGCCATGAAAAGTTTCCGCCCGGGCGATTTTGACAATCTGATCACGGAGCGAAACTACGAAGACCTGTGTGGATATGGACTCTGCCCGCGCAAGAACCGCAAGGAAGCCAACGCAAAGGGAGAGACGTTTCACTTTAAATATGGTCCAAAGGGAAGCGGACCAGGTGGTCGTGGACGCAGCATGGAGATTGTGCCTCGAGAGAAATTGGAGAAATGGTGCTCGGACGAATGTGCGGAGCGGGCTCTGTTCATTCGTGTGCAGCTCTCTGAGCAGCCGGTGTGGGAGAGACGGGCAGAGGCGACACGCGCGATAAAGATTGAGCTTTTGGAAGAGTCCTGGGCTAGAAAAGAAAAGCATAAGGCAAAGGCTGGCAGCTCGACGTCTGCTTCAGCACCCGATAAAGTCAGCCAAGCGGACGTTACGACTAGCTTGGAAAACTTGACGATCCAAGATACTGGGCGATCGCAGGAACTTGCAATGGAGCGCGGCGACACTGCGCTATCCCATCAACAGGGACGTGTGGACATCCAAATTAAAGAAAAGGAGCAAGGACCAGACTCAGTCGCCAGAGCGCCGGAGCTGAGACCCGAGGATGCATATGGAGGATCGGTCGAAGGTTATATCCCCCAGGAGCGGCAGAAGCAACCGTCCGATAATCAAGATGGTCAAGACATGCTCGACCAACTATAAAAGTTGATCCAAAAGCCAGTGACATATACACTTGGCGGTTTGTGCTTTGAAAGGCGTTCTACAATTTATACCCGGTTGGGCGAAGGTGACATACGAATTAAATTTACAAAATGACCACAAGCTGCAAGATCACCAAGAATCTGTGCGTAGCCGGGACCAAGGTCACCGAGTCGTCTCGAATCAGATATTCGAGACGGCCCTCTACGTAGTTCGACCTGGGGGCGCAAATCCTCCCAGGCAAACGCACGAGGACAAGAATTGGCAATCAAGCGTCATCCCCAGCTGGAGAATCGGCGACACCTTTGTCAACGGGAATCATGTTTTCATTCCTTATCCATAGACTCCATTCTAAGCTAAAACCGTAATAGCCGAGAAGAGAGCCAGCCAGAAAAAGTGTCGTTATGGGAAACGCCAGGAGTCGGCCGCAGACAAAAGACTTTTTTCAGTTTTCCGAGGTGGTTCTCCAGAGTGCTGGATTTAGCGGGGACCGAAGCGGCGGGGGCGGTCGACCTGCTGCTGCTGGCTGACGGTGACGACGTTGACCTTGAGGTTGTCGAAGCCCATGGACTTGAGCAGGTCCTTGGTGTCGGTGTCGACGTCGAGCTGGCCGGACTCGGTCTGGGAAACATCCAGAGCGGAGACCTCAGGGACGTACTGGTCCTTGCGCTCACGCTCCTCCTCCTGAAGCTTGAAGGAGATACCGCGGACGGGGCCACGCTGGATACGCTTCATCAAGTGGGTGGTGTAACCGGCAATCTGTGGGAAGGAGACAGTCAGAATTCCGTCCTCTCGTAGATTCGAGCATATGCGAAAACCATGTGATTCGTACCTTGTTGCGCAGGCGCTTGGAAGCAATGATTGCGATCTCATCGCAGATGCGCTTGTTGGTCTCGAAGTCCAGAGTCAACTTGGGGTAGTAGCGCTCAATGATGACCTTGGCGGACCGCTTGACGGTCTATTGGGAAGTAAATCAGTCAGTGTTAATTCGTTCTAAAGTATGCATCGATTTTTTCCTTACCTTAGTACGGACGCGACCCATTTTGGCGTATGTTGGCTGGACGTGGACGGATGTTCAAGACGAGGAACTTCCAGTGTCGGCGAGCTGGATGGGGTCTACAGGCGCACTCGCTTAGTGCGGTGTGGGACTATGCCCTAACCTTGGCAGAAAGCCCTAACCAACCACGTGACCGTGTTCGATTATGTAATTGGTTATTCTGCCGGGCGGTAAGGGTAATGTCAAGCCTAAGGTGTGTACGTGACTAGCTATTTGATCTTTAGTCGACAAAATTTTGACACTGAGTTGGCTTATGGTTTCAAAATAATGAGAATGATGCAACTGGTTTATATAACATGTTTGAAAGGGTAATGGGAGTAGCTTTACACTAGCAGCAAATCTAATCGTACAAATCTTTGCGAATATCGTCCACCGGCCAGTCCTTGGACACTCATTGTGCACTTCTAGTTCCCCTTGGAAGAGTTCAAGTTTTCCATGAGGCTGCGGGCAATATCTTCAGTCCCCTTCATGGGCTGCCTGGGGGTAGGCTCTGAAGTGGCTCTGTAATGGGGGGCGGCCTCCGAAGTGGCCCTGAAACGGGGGGAGACAAAGCGGCGGGCGTCCATGCGCGGAACGACATTAGCATCGCGTTGAGCTGCTTCTGTGATGCTGGTGAGATGTGGCTTCTTGTAGTCCTGGATTCCGTAGGGAGTTTTGGCCGCTGTTCCAGCACGGTAAGAAGAAAGACCAATGCGGCCGTCAGAATCGACCGAGGCACGGATGGGCGAGACCCAATATTTGGCACCACCCGGGATAGTTGCGTCGAAGGCAGTAAGGCCCGGAGGTGTACCCTGATCAATAAAGGTCATGGCATTCAAGTCCTCCACAGCAATACCACCAACACCAGCAATAGCTTTCGACACGCGTCCCTTGAATCTACCCTTGGGGCGCAAGATGCGAGCCTCGACGGGCTTCTGGTAAGCTTGCGGACCATGTTGAGGATGGTTGTATACCGAAGCGTGTGTTCGAGTATAGGACAGACCAGCAGATGGGTGCGTCTTCGGGGGGCCAGTCACGGCATATTCGGGGGCGGAAAGCTTGGTTCCCGGGGACTGGTAGTACTTGTGGCCGATGCGCTCGCTGGGCACAGCAGGGGATGAAGGAAGGTCGAGCAACTCGAAGACAGCGGGGCCAAGGGCAAACGGGTCCTCACGAAGAGATTTGATATATGTACTGAACTCCGCATCGGTGACCTTGGGGGTCTGGACCTTCTCGAGGTCTTCCCCGTTGTCCTGGGCCTGTTTCCGCGCCTCGGCGTAGCGTTTGGCGTCATATCTCTCACGCATCTTCTGGAGCAATTCCGGCTTCTGGCGACGGATTTGCTTCAGGTAAGCTGCGAATTCCGCCTCAGTCTGTCCCGCAAGCCAAGGTCCGGTGTGTCGAAATTGTTTGGCTCCGGCCTCCCCGAGCGCCTTACTGGTTTCCGTGTTATCGACAAAGGTTTCAAACGGACTCTGATGGCGCGGAGTCATGCTTGTTGCGTAGTTAACCTTGGAGGGAAGCGACATTGGCATGTGCAATTCTTGGAACTTTTCCAGGGTCATGGTATGATCGGCCGCGGACTCGAAATCGGTGACATGTTCGTAGGTATCGAGGGCGTTCATGCGAACAACAGGTCTCGATGATTTCTCCGATGTCGACTTTGCCGGCAAAGGTCGCTTCAGACCCCAATCGCCCCGAGCTAGCGAAGACTGTGGTGTCACGATTGATGCCCGGGTAGGGTGAGGAAGTGTCGCGGTCTCGGATTCGAAAACGATCCTGGACGAGGGCGGATCCTGAGGAGGCTGCAAGGCCTGTGGGAGTGCGAACAAACGGGACTTTCGCAGAAGATTCGCCGTAGGCGATACCCTTGCGGCCGCCATCTTGCTCAATTGACGATGTGATGGAGCTGGACGGGGCTTGCGCAGAAAAGTTGGCTCGGAACACGGGTCAAGCCGATACGGTGAGGCGTAGTGACCTAAAATGCAGTTCCCCATACGTAGTGGCCGGTGGGTCACTAGCAACGAGTACTATTATCTGGATTTAGGCAATGTTCTTGATTTTTCAGTATATGGGAAGGTTCTATTTTCTCTCCATAAGCCGTCTAATTGATCGCGTTCCCGTGATTTAATATCCCCACTACGCACCAACGGCCAGCAAAGAGTCAATACTATCAGAGACCGATTGCTGCAACGTGCGATATTTGAGTCCCAAAACCTGTTGTGACCGTTGATTGTCAATCCCATATATGTTTTCTGGGAGGTCACTGGGCGAGTCCTTGGGCGGAAGCTTTGACTCTAATTCAGGATGACTCTGGCGAGTGATGTCGACGAGATCCTTGTTGGAGAAATAACCAGCGGTGACAAAGAACCTCTGACCGCCAGCCTCGTTGACCTCAATAGCACGGACATGTGCAAGTGCAACATCTCGAACATCTACCCACAGGAATGTCCCCGTCGGAGCAATCTTCTCCTTCATCTGACCTTGGATGATGTTTCGTAGACGTTGGTTCGATGTGTTGACTGCCTCCAATGAATTCAGGTAATGAACAATTGGACCCAGCACCAGAGGTGGGTTGATAGTTGCAACATTGAAGTTTGGCTTTTCGTTGGCCACGAAGTCCCAGGCGGCTTTCTCGGCGAATGTCTGCGAGAAATGGTCAATAAAGGACTCTGATCCGCCGAGGCCCACGATACTGCACCTTGCTTGCCCGGTAAACATTGGCATGATCCATAGCTTCTTCCCAGGTAACTGGATTCCAGTCTTTCTCACTGTACACCGTCGGGTGCTGCTTGGGGTTCACAATTGCAGCGAATGAAGATGTGATGACAACCCGCTTCACCGTAGGCGCATGGGCCTTGACGGCTTTCAGAATACCGGTAGTTCCTTTGATAGCAGGGTCCAGGAAGTCCTTTACTGGATCTTGGACGTTGAAGTGGAACGGCGATGCCGTGTGAAGAACATAATCAAACGGTGGATTCGATTTGACCGCCTGTTCGAGCATGTCAGCATTATGAGCTTATGAGGTGCCAGAGACTTCTTTCTGACCTCTTCGAATGCTCCCTCTTGAGCAACGTCCTTGACGATAACATAGGACAGCTTCTCCTTGGGCGTGTGAGGATGGGCCTCGATGATTCGCTTGCCCTTTTCTTCCGATCGGACAGTAACCACAGTCTCGAATCTAAAAGTCCACTGCTGTCAGCACTGAGAAAGCATCACAATTCAAAATGCACATTACCCATGTTCTAGCAAAATATCAAGGACATGGGCAGCAATGAAAGCCGCTGGCGCCTATTGCAGTTGGTTAGATCCATGACGTGAGTTGGTGATTGCTTGTCGTCCACTTACCTGTGAGGAGAATTTTGACCATATTGCCGATTGAGAGTACCTATGCGATCTAACAGTGGTGAAGTGGGTAAGAATTTGAATTAGAACGCTTTGTGAAGTCGAGGACCTCCTCAGCTTTTATGGTCTCCGTACCCCTCGATCCCGTCATCACCCCCACCACATTCCACCGGCTCGGAGGTGCAGTGTCGCTTACAAATAAGCATAATCGGCATAGTATTGCCGCTTTTGATGGAAGGTAGGAGTTAGTCGTGCTATAAACCCGTGTATCTCCGTATATTGTATTGCACTCTCTATATGAAACTGTCAGCAGTCACATCCGTCATACACTGTGAGTCGATCATCAAATCGCTATCGTCGGAGCAATGGAGATATGATAACCGGATCATTTTGTCTCACATTTACGTGCGCTGACCGCATATACCTGTAAACCTACAAAATAGCCACGAGCGATTTTTCTCTTGAGGAAGATGCAATCTCCAGTCAGACCTTTTGTAGAGAGCTGATCTTAAAAGCTTGGTACTAGCAGGGATGACGTCGCCTGCAGAACGTGATTAACTAGGTTCCCATTGGACACCATGCAGATTGAATACACACATGAAAAGTAGGATAGTGCAAGACAAACTCCAGAGTTTAGCCCAAGTCAAATGCTTCTTTCTGAAGACCTTAAATCGGTGACCGGTTTCATGCACAAGTTGATTAGTAACCATTGTCCTAGTAACTAACTAGTTAGTTATCATCCTGGGACAGCTTGGTGGAACGAGAGAGTATCAGGTACCCTGACGTGTTTTCAATACGTGGTAGAGATAGGAAGCAACTATGTTCGAGTAAACTCCGTATAGTAGAGCTCGTATGGGCTTGTGATATGCTATTAGGATTCGGTAGCCTAGGCCCCCGACGTGTCTTGCAAGATGGTATAGATTCACATCACACACAAGCACCTAGATCTCTGAAGGCACTGCGAGATCATTGCATTCTGAAAAGATAACATAAAAAAACACCTGGAAGATCTCGAGCCACGCATGCTTCAAATTCTTGGAATTTATTCTAGAGCGCAAGTTTCGACTACAGCGAAAGGGCGACCCGTTCCAGTTCCCGCGCGGTGAAAGGCGGTGGCCCGTGCGCGACGGTTCTCCAACCTGAGCATCACGCCCGACCTTCCCTCCTCCAAGTCCATGCGACCTGCGCCTCAGCTTTCCCAAGAGGTCGGCTTCAAATGTCCACCCGGGGCCGCGTCTCGCAATCATGGCGCAAACAGGCCCTATTACCGACGTGACTCAGCGATTATTTACAGAGCTGAAGTCGAAGAACGAGGAGATCCGACTTCGAGCTGCCTACGAGCTCTATGACAACGTCCTCTCGGTCTCACGAGGTGCGGGCGACATCCCATACCTCAGGAGGTTCTGACAACGTGCTAACATCTCCTCTCCCTCTAGACTGGCCTTCCGAGAGGTTCGTGGAGTACTACAATACGGTCAGCCAACGGATCGCCCAGCTCGTGGTGACGGGTAACGATGCGAATGAACGAATCGGCGGCCTCCTAGCACTTGACCGATTGATCGATTTCGATGGAGTCGACGCGGCCCAGAAAACAACACGCTTTGCCAGCTACCTACGGAGCGCCCTTCGAAGCAATGACAATGTCGTGTTGGTTTACGCAGCTCGGTCGCTGGGACGTCTGGCAAAGCCGGGTGGGGCTCTCACCGCGGAGTTAGTGGAAAGTGAGATCCAGTCGGCTCTAGAATGGCTGCAGTCAGAACGACAAGAAAGTCGGCGTTTCGCAGCTGTGCTTGTGATCGGGGAGCTTGCGAAGGGTTCGCCGACACTTCTCTACGGCTTCGTACCCCAGATCTTTGAGCTCGTCTGGGTTGCGCTACGAGACCCCAAGGTATTGATTCGAGAAACCGCAGCGGAGGCTGTTGGAAAATGCTTCGAGATCATTGTCGCTCGTGATGCACAAGTGCGGCAGTCTTGGTTCGCCAGGATTTACGATGAGGCACTGCTGGGTCTAAAATCCCACAATATCGACTGGATTCACGGATCACTTTTAATTCTGAAAGAGCTGATTCTGAAGGGTACCATGTTCATGAAAGAGCACTATAGAAATGCTTGCGAAATTGTCCTTCGCCTCAAGGACCACCGAGATCCCAAGATCCGCACCCAAGTCGTCCTTACCATTCCTATCCTAGCATCCTACGCCCCTACCGACTTTATCGAGACCTACCTACACCGATTCATGATTTATCTCCAAGCTCAACTCAAGAGGGACAAGGAGCGGAACTCGGCATTTATCGCGATTGGCAAGATTGCAAATGCAGTTGGACCGGCAATTGCAGGGTACCTTGATGGAATCATCATATACATCCGAGAGGGACTTGCTATGAAAGCGAGGAGCCGGGCGAGCGTGAATGAGGCCCCGATGTTTGAGTGCATCAGCATGCTTTCCCTGGCTGTGGGGCAAGCCCTCAGCAAATATATGGAGGCTCTTCTTGATCCCATCTTTGCTTGCGGCCTCAGCAAATCATTGACTCAGGCCCTGGTTGACATGGCACACTACATCCCCCCAATCAAGCCCGCTATTCAAGAAAAGCTCCTTGATATGCTGAGCATCATTCTGTGCGGAACGCCATTTCGGCCACTGGGGTGTCCCGAGCATCGCTTGCCTCCAATGCCCTCGTTTGCGAAGGACTTTGCAGCCCAAGACTCCCACACCGACCCTGAGATTGCGCTGGCTCTCCACACCCTCGGAAGCTTTGACTTCTCTGGCCATATCTTGAACGAGTTTGTGCGCGATGTTGCCATCAACTATGTCGAAAACGATAATCCTGAGATTCGGAAAGCATCGGCACTCACTTGCTGTCAGCTCTTCGTGCACGACCCGATTATCAACCAGACTAGTGGTCACTCGATCCAGGTCGTCAGTGAAGTGATTGACAAGCTTCTGACCGTTGGCATCGGCGACCCCGATCCAGAAATCCGGCGGACTGTACTGTGGTCATTGGATCGCAAGTTCGATCGTCATTTGGCGCGACCAGAAAATATTCGCTGTTTATTCCTGGCAGTCAATGATGAGGTTTTCGAAGTCAAAGAAGCCGCGATATGTATTATCGGTCGTCTCTCCAGTGTCAACCCAGCATATGTCTTCCCACCACTGCGAAAACTGTTGGTCAACCTTCTGACCGGGCTAGGCTTTGCCAACACGGCTCGCCAAAAAGAAGAGACCGCGCAGCTGATCAGCCTGTTCGTCTCCAATGCAACCAAGCTCATCAGGTCCTACGTCGACCCCATGGTAACAGCACTGTTGCCAAAGTCAACAGACACCAATCCCGGCGTTGCTGCCGTCACGTTGAAAGCGGTTGGCGAGCTCGCCAATGTTGGCGGAGGCGAAATGAGGCGGTATCTTCCACAGATCATGCCCATTATCTTGGATTCACTCCAGGATCTTTCTTCTCATACAAAACGTGAAGCCGCGTTGAAGACTTTGGGACAACTAGCTGGCAACTCGGGCTACGTCATCGAGCCTTATATTGATTATCCTCATCTTCTCGATGTTTTGATCAACATAATCAAGACCGAGCCCACAGGAGCTTTGAGAAAAGAAACCATCAAGCTCGTCGGTGTCCTTGGAGCTCTGGATCCCTACAAATACCAGCAAATCAGTGACATTGAGCCCGATGTCCACCACATCAATGAAATACAGAATGTCTCGGATGTTGCCTTAATCATGCAGGGCCTCACTCCCTCCAACGAGGAGTATTACCCCACCGTGGTCATCCATACCTTGCTGCAAAATATCTTGCGTGAGAACTCCCTGGTCCAATACCATTCTGCTGTCATCGATGCCATTGTAACTATCTTCAAGACCCTTGGTCTTAAGTGTGTTCCGTTCCTTGGGCAAATCGTCCCGGCTTTCATTTCGGTCATAAGGAGCTCTCCACCTAGCCGTCTTGAGTCTTACTTCAACCAGATGGCCATCTTAGTTAACATTGTGCGGCAGCACATTCGTGCATTCCTACCAGAAATTATTGACGTGATCCGTGAATTCTGGGATGCTTCCTACCAAGTCCAAGGTACTATCCTATCTCTGGTCGAAGCCATTGCTAGGTCTCTCGAAGGAGAATTCAGAAAGTTTCTCGCTCGCCTGGTTCCGTTGATGCTTGATACTTTAGAGAAGGACTCAACACCACGCCGTCAACCATCAGAGAAAATTCTCCATGCTTTCCTGATCTTTGGATCTAGTGGCGAGGAATACATGCACCTGATAATTCCTTCCATTGTCCGTCTCTTTGATCGACAACAAAATCCGCAAAGTATCCGCAAATCTGCGATTGACAGCCTGACAAAGCTTTCTCGTCAAGTGAACGTTTCCGACTTTGCATCTCTCATGGTCCATTCCCTATCACGGGTAGTTGCTAGCGGGGACCGAGTATTGCGACAGGCTGCTCTAGACTGCGTTTGCGCACTCATTTTCCAGCTTGGGCAAGACTTTACTCACTACATCCATCTATTGAACAAGGTCCTCAAGCAGCACCAGATCACACATGTCAACTACCAGATCCTGGTGACGAAGCTCCAAAAGGGAGATCCACTGCCTCAAGATCTGAATCCTGAAGAAAATTACGCCTATCCTGCCGATGACACCAGCTTCGCGGAAATTGGCCAGAAGAAGATTGTTGTGAATCAGCAACACCTGAAGAATGCTTGGGATGCGTCACAAAAGTCCACCCGGGAAGATTGGCAAGAGTGGATTCGTCGTTTCAGCGTAGAGCTTCTCAAGGAATCTCCATCCCCAGCTCTGCGGGCATGTGCCAGTTTGGCTGGCATTTACCAACCGCTCGCTAGGGATCTTTTCAACGCTGCATTCGTGTCTTGCTGGACCGAACTTTATGACCAGTATCAAGAGGAGCTGGTCCGATCGATCGAAAAGGCACTTACGTCGCCAAACATCTCCCCCGAGATTCTTCAAATTCTTCTCAATCTTGCTGAGTTCATGGAACATGACGACAAAGCACTCCCAATTGACATTCGGACACTTGGGAAATATGCTGCGAAGTGCCATGCTTTCGCCAAAGCACTCCATTACAAGGAGCTTGAGTTTGAGCAAGATCAAAATTCGGGTGCTGTTGAAGCTCTCATCACCATCAACAACCAGTTGCAGCAATCAGATGCCGCTATTGGTATTTTGCGCAAGGCACAAGCCTACCGTGACGTGGAGCTAAAGGAAACCTGGTTCGAGAAGCTTCAACGATGGGATGAGGCCTTGGCTGCCTATAAACGCCGCGAGAAAACCGACCCCGACAGCTTCGGTATCACCATGGGTAAGATGCGCTGTTTACACGCTCTTGGAGAATGGAAGGTTCTTTCAGACCTGGCGCAAGAGAAATGGAATCAAGCATCACTGGAGCACCGTCGGGCTATCGCTCCTCTGGCCGCTGCTGCCGCATGGGGCCGTGGACAGTGGGAGCTCATGGATTCCTATCTTGGTGTCATGAAGGAGCAATCTCCGGATCGGTCCTTCTTCGGCGCCATCCTCGCCATCCACCGCAACCAGTTCGACGAAGCCAACATGTACATTGAAAAGGCACGAAATGGGCTCGACACAGAGTTGTCTGCGCTCCTTGGAGAATCGTACAACCGGGCATACAACGTTGTCGTCCGAGTCCAGATGCTTGCCGAGTTGGAGGAGATCATCACATACAAGCAGAATGTCGGAGATCCAGAGAAGCAAGAGGCCATGCGCCAAACCTGGAATCAGCGGCTGCTTGGATGCCAGCAGAATGTGGAGGTGTGGCAACGCATGTTCAAGGTCAGGGCTCTCGTCACTGCGCCGCGTGAGAACCTTGATATGTCAATCAAGTTCGCCAATCTCTGCCGCAAGTCTAATCGCATGGCCCTTGCGGAGAGATCGCTTGCTTCGCTCGAAACAGTCGTTTCAGATGCTTCTGGTACCCGTACCATCTCGCCTCCCGAAGTTACATATGCTCGACTGAAGTTCAGCTGGGCAAATGGACATCAGCAAGACGCCCTCGAGATGCTCAAAGAATTCACTGCTGATTTGAGTGATGACTTGTCCAAATACAACACCCTGATGGTCTCACACAATGAGCACCACGGAATCAATGGCGTGAACGGTATGGCAGACCCGACCCATCCTGAAGCCATCAACCTGCGTGAACGGGTTGGTGATGTCGCCAAGTTCAAAAGGTTGCTCTCCAAGAGTTACCTGCGTCTAGGAGAGTGGCAAACTGCTCTTCAGAAGGGCGATTGGCGAGCAGAGTATGTTCGTGAGGTGCTCAGTGCCTACTCAGCAGCTACCCAGTATAATCGCGATTCATACAAAGCCTGGCACTCTTGGGCTTTGGCAAACTTTGAGGTTGTCACGACAATTTCGAATCAAGCCAACCGAGACACCAAGCCTGCTCCAGTCCCTGCGCACATTGTAACAGAGCACGTCATTCCTGCCATTCGTGGTTTCCTGCGGTCTATCGCGTTGTCCTCAACTTCTTCCTTACAAGACACTCTGAGATTGCTTACGCTGTGGTTCACTCACGGCGGCGACCACGAGGTCAATACTGTTGTTACTGAGGGATTCACCAGCGTCAACATCGATACCTGGCTCGCCGTCACTCCTCAGCTGATTGCGCGAATCAATCAACCCAACATTAGGGTTCGCGGGTCGGTTCATCGACTCCTCGCCGAAGTTGGCAAAACACATCCCCAGGCCTTGGTCTATCCATTGACGGTGGCTATGAAATCAAATGTGACTCGCCGCTCGCAGTCAGCCAGCAACATCATGGAAAGCATGCGGCAGCATAGTGCCAAGCTTGTTGAGCAAGCCGATCTTGTCAGTCACGAGTTGATCCGAGTTGCCGTATTGTGGCATGAACTCTGGCATGAAGGCCTGGAAGAAGCGTCGCGCCTCTACTTCGGTGATTCTAATGTCGAGGGTATGTTCGCAACCCTGGCTCCCCCTGCACGACATGCTGGACAAGGGCGCCGAAACCCTCCGTGAAGTGTCTTTTGCGCAGGCGTTTGGCCGTGACCTCGCAGAAGCCAAGCATTACTGCATGCTTTACCGTCAAACACAGGAGATCGGTGATCTCAACCAGGCGTGGGATCTCTACTATACTGTGTTCCGCAAGATCAGCCGACAACTTCCGCAGCTGTCGATCCTTGATCTCAAATACGTCTCACCCCGCCTCAAGGACTGCTCTGATCTCGACTTAGCTGTTCCGGGAACTTACCAGAGTGGTCGCCCCGTCATTCGTATCATCAGCTTCGACCCTATCCTGCATGTTTTGCAAACCAAGAAGCGCCCTCGCCGGATGACTCTCAAGGGTAGCAATGGAAGTTCATACATGTACGCTCTCAAGGGTCACGAGGATATTCGACAAGATGAACGAGTAATGCAGCTCTTTGGTCTCTGCAACACTCTTCTGGATAATGACGGCGAGAGCTTCAAGCGTCATCTCTCCGTCCAGCGATTTCCCGCGATTCCCTTGTCTCAGAGCTCTGGTCTCCTGGGATGGGTATCAAACAGTGACACCTTGCACGCATTGATCAAAGAGTACCGTGAAAGTCGCCGCATTCTACTCAATATTGAGCATCGCATCATGCTTCAAATGGCGCCGGACTACGATAGCCTCACACTGATGCAGAAGGTTGAGGTCTTCGGGTATGCCATGGACAATACCACCGGCAAGGACTTGTATCGGGTGCTATGGCTCAAGAGTAAGAGCTCTGAAGCCTGGCTTGAGCGACGTACAAACTATACTCGATCATTGGGTGTTATGTCCATGGTCGGCTACATTCTGGGTCTTGGTGACCGTCATCCTTCCAATTTGCTGCTGGATCGCATGACTGGCCGTGTCGTTCATATTGATTTCGGTGACTGTTTCGAGGTGGCCATGCACCGTGAAAAGTATCCCGAGCGGGTTCCATTCCGTCTCACTCGCATGTTGACTTTCGCGATGGAAGTGAGCAACATCGAGGGAAGCTACCGTATTACGTGCGAGGCTGTGATGCGTGTTCTCCGAGAGAACAAGGACTCCCTGATGGCCGTTTTGGAAGCTGTAAGTTCTCGGGTTGCTTCCTTGCTGTCTCCGTTGGAAGACGGCAACTAACATATTCTTTAGTTCATTCACGATCCCTTGATCAACTGGCGCCTTGGGGCTCAGGAATCCCCCGACCGAGTTTCTCTCACAGCCGAACGCCGCCAGTCCATCATCGAAGGCATCAACGCCGAACATGGTGTCCAATCCAACACTTACAACCGCCACCGTCGTCCATCAATCCTGGAAGGCGGCATTCTTGATACCCAAGAAGGAGTTCCGGCCGAGGCTCGTGAAGCTCAGAACGCGCGTGCTCTCCAGGTCCTTGCTAGGGTCAAGGAGAAGCTCACCGGACGCGACTTCAAGCACTATGAAGAGCTCAACGTTAGCGACCAGGTTGACAAGCTGCTTGCGCAGGCTACCAGTGTGGAAAATATTTGCCAGCACTGGATCGGCTGGTGCAGTTTTTGGTGAACGATACTTGTTTCTTGCGGCTGGAGACTTGCTCCTCTCCTGGTGCTTCCCGGCATGGTTATGTGATGTGACATGATGAGTTTCTTCTTCTGATATGCGCTGCCGATTTCTCTCTTTCTTTCCTCTTGTATTTACAGGGGCCCCTTATTTTGCTGTTTTCATAATTGCTCTTTTTGTCCTTTTGGGGTGTCTACTCCTTGCAGCTTATTGCTATAGCATGGCCTGAGAGTCCATAATGAGGTCTGGACTGGGTCGCCGCTCTAGATTTTGTTGATTCAACAGTAATGGAGCACAAGATATCCTGTTTCTTGTACTTGAATCTAGATTTCTTGCACTCTTGTTGTCAGCCCTTAGAAAATACGTACCTTGGATATATGTAGTATATATTTGTGCCCTCCCGATGACGTGGCCCGTTCCTTGCATGTGACTGGGGAATCCGGGGTAGACCGATAACTACGCTGGGCAATGCGAAACTCCAAGGAGGTTACTGAAATATCAGCAATAAACAATCTGTGTTATACTAAGTGCTTGTTGCGTGGTGTTGACACACTGAAGCGTCAGATTCCAATGATGGATGGACCGCGCGGACAGAGTGGGCACGCTGGAATTCCAGCCGAGGTCGGTCTGAAGCGGAGAACCTCCTCTCCCGCAACTTCCCCCTTCTCAACTTCCCATACCAACATGGGCGGTTGAGCTGGTATCCTGGACCAAGCCCACCATGTCGAGCTCAGAGGCCGCCCCAGGCGCTCCTGCGGGAGCTTCTGAGAAGGCACCCGACATCCACCCGGTGCTCCAAAATGCTCTGCGCCTCTCCCTCAGCGCCAAAGAGTACCGCGCCCTCCACGCCATCACAGTCAAGCGCGCCCCCCAGCGCCCGGGGAAAGCTTCCTACCCCCTCCAGCTTCGATGCGATGTCCCACTCGAGTAACCGTCACAATGAGGCGGCTCTGCGCGCATCACTTCGTCTTTTGTGGGCTCTGGGCTCGTAGTGAAGCTGCTGGAGATCGTCACAAGTCGCTTTCGAGGTGGTGCTACAGAGTAAGACAGTTTCTCTTTCGCAACTCATTCAACTACATGCACTTTCGTTCTATTCCCAACTAACAATATTTTTGGCGCTCTCCCAGAAAGAAACCCCGTGTCCCGCTTCATCGTTCTCCAACACTCCGTCTTTCCTTTTCCCTGTCCCTCTTGCTCCTCCTCCACCGTCTGCTCTACCGATTCCTCGTCCGACTTCGGGCAAATCTGCGCACCGATGACGCGAAGCCGTTCCGCGAGCGGAACCCGCGAATCTCGCGTGCACTTACTTCACGCTTTGCCCCGGCCATCGGCGCAAGTTTGGCGGGGTTTGCCGTAGGAATCATGCCCCAGGAACAGCTTCGTCTCACCGGGGCGATTTACTGGAGTACGCGGAGTCTAGAATTTCTTTTCAATCTCGTGAATTCAAAGGGACTGCTCGGGAAGCGCCCATGGTGGTTCGGCAGCTGGCTGCTGATGCCCGTGTCGTGCGCCCAGCTTTTCCATGCGTTCGTATTTGATCGCGAGACCACGCCCAAGGTAAGCCTCCGGGCAAAAGCATCCATTAAAAATAATCCAAAATAAAGCTGACCTATCTGATAGTGGTTCGGTAATGTCATCATGAAGCTCTCCCCGAGCTATATTCCAGACCGACCGGAGTCGCTCCCTGCCAACATTGCCTGGCCGGAGAAAGAGCAGATCGTGGACTCCCTGGCATCTATTGCGGATTTGCGCTGGCCGTAAGTACTGACCAATTAGCTTAATACTATGAATATATCGAGGACTAACAATATCCAGGGCATTCGTGTCACCCATTCTGCACCCAGGCGATCCCAATATCTTGCCCTCCTCGGTCAAGGCCATCTCTCCGATCACAGGTCCCGCACACCCATCAATCACACAGCTCTCTTGCGCGCTGCTTCATCCCGGGGTACCAAGCTGTAGCACCGCATTTCTGCACCACATTCTGCTCTCGGTGCCGCCCCTTGCGCGGTTCCTGACGACAGTGACCCTGGCACTGAGCATCCCCAAGATCAAGAGCATCCTCAGTCAACCGATAACCTCCATCAATTCTATTTGCAAGCGTATTATTGTGATGACTGCAGTTCTCTCGGCGGCCATCGGCTCGGCCTGGGGCAGCGTCTGCATGCTTAATAGTACCCTGCCCCGCTCGACTCTGCCTACCAAGCGCTTCTTCCTCAGCGGTGCGTTGGGTGGACTACCGTTCTTGTTCCTGAGCAGCAGCCGCAGTGTTTTCCTTTATTTCTTCCGCGCTGCCGTGGACTCGGCCTGGAAGACTGGTGTGAACCGCGGCCTGTGGAAGGGACGTCGCGGTGGAGATATGTGGATTCTGGTGCTGTCGTGGGCGGTGATCGGCTCGATCCTCGAGGCGAATCCGTCGGCTGTTCAAGGTAGCGGTCTGCGCAAAGGACTGGCGTGGATGCGCGGCGACGGATTTGTCGATCCCGCGGCCCTTGAGAAGCGCAAGGCCCGTCGCGAATCGAAGAGGGCTGAGCTGTAAGCGAGTTACTCACAGGTCGAACTGTATCCATGGTTTCATTTTTATACACACTCTTCCTGTGTCTGTAGCTAGCTGTTGTAACTTTGCAACGGTGTCTCAACTAATGCCCTCGCGCTGTTTGCGAAGAGCGGTGACTTTAAATGATGCTCGAGGACACCATCCCAAAGGTACCCTAGGTAGGCCAAGGGTCCGTTCTGTATATGATTTGCGTACAATTCATTTTAGCATAGCCTTCCAAGGCCATCTCCATTTTGTAGGAGCTCAAAAGTGTTGTAGCGGTGCAGCGTGGAACTCGCTTTCCGACCCCACGTTCTCGGAGAATGGACTCCGCATCCGCCGATCTTTAAAAGCCGGGGTAGCTTCGCCCTTCCCGACCTCAACCCAGCCTCAATCCGTTATTTCTCGTCCCCTTTTCACGGCGTGTACGAATAGCAACATCATTTTCCACACATTCACTCGTCTGCCAAAATGTCCGCCCGCAGAATGAAGATCGGCTGCGCCGGTCTCGGCCGTATGGGTAAGCGCCATGCTCTGAACTTCCTCGAGCGCACCCCTCGCGCCGAGCTCGTCGCCGCCAGCTCGCCCGACCCTGCCGAGCTCGAATGGGCCAAAACACACCTGGTGCCCTTTGGTGTGAAGCTGTACCAGAACTATGACGATATGCTGAAGCATGAGGGTCTGGAAGCTATTGTCGTGGCCTCGGCGACTGCGGTGCACGCTGAGCAGGCAATCAAGGCAATTGAGGCCGACAAGCACGTTCTCTGTGAGAAGCCGCTGTCGACTAGCGTGGAAGTTGTGAGTCTAGTCATTTCCCGTCTATATAGTAAAACCGACTAGGGACGTTTCCGTCGCTAACATATACCCCCGGATAGTCCCAATCGGTCGTGGACGCAGCAGCCAAGAAGCCAAACCTGAAAGTGATGTGCGGATTCTCGCGCCGCTTCGATAAGTCCTACCGCGACGCCTACTCAAAGATGCAAGCCGGCCTCATCGGCGCGCCCTCCGTCCTCCGCAGCCAAACCTGCGACAAGCTCGACCCGTCCGGTTTCTTCGTCGCATATGCCCAGTTCTCTGGCGGTATCTTCGTCGACTGCTCCATCCACGACATTGACCTGACGCTGTGGTTCTTTGGCGCTGAGAGCAAGGTCAAGTCCGTCTCCGCGGTGGGTATCACAGCTGTGGAGCCTGATCTGCGCAAGCACAACGACCGCGATAACGCCGTGGGACTGGTGGAGTTCCACGATGGCAGAATTGCGTACTTCTACGCTTCGCGTATGATGGCAGCCGGCCAGGAAGATACGACTGAGATCATTGGTACCAAGGGCAAATTGGCTGTTAACACCCAGCCGGCTATGAACCATGTCAACCTGTTCGATGACACTGGTATTCGCCGGGAGATTCCTCAGACTTACTGGGATCGCTTCGAGTACGCTTTCGTTACCGAGGCTAACGAGTTTGCTGCGGCTGTCCTGGACAACAAGCCGCTTCCTTTGGAGCTGACCGCTGCTGTGCAAGCGGTGCGCATTGGGGCTGCGCTCCAGGAGTCTCTAATTACCGGACAGAAAATTTTCTTCGATGAGCAGGGCAACCGTATTGAGGCTGCTCGTCTTTAATGATTTTATTAGAAGATTAGAGATAGATCTGGATATAGCGCATAAAATATACAGTGCATTTTTTTACAAAATTTTATCCTTGCCACCGTAGTATGAGACGTAGTTCGCTGCCTCCATGAGTATGCTTTAGTTGCACTAGCAATACCTGATAGAACAAAACCGTAAACATTAAGTTGAAGCTGCGATCTAAAAATACTAATAAAGTATGAAGACCATTAAAAAGCCTGCCAGTGTGTGCGATACTCCGGGCATGATTTGATTCAGGGCACTGCTGAGTGGCCGGCAAATGCGGCCCGATCAGGCATGGAAGTGAGGTTCCGGCGAGGGCCAGCTGTCCCGCCCTGGTGATGTGGGCCATGCACAAAAGCCGGGTCTCGGATTCTTACAACCATTGCTACAATTTTCTACTGAACAAGGAGAGGTTCATGCAAGTAACTTTGCACGGTCTATTTCATGTGGACCGGGGAAAATTCATTTCGTAGTCGTTAAAACTTGTTTCAAACGCTTCATCATGATCGACAAAATAAAAAGAAATAAAAGTGGGAATCTCAGAATGGGTGGGCAAGAACCGAAATGTGCAAACTTCTAGAAATTCTTTCTTGTTTCAGATGCAGTTCTTCACCACCGGACGACCTTGTTAGGGAAGTACTCGTCAATGAGCTCCATATAGTAAGGCTTGAGCTCCTCGGCACTAGGGATGCCGTCGCTCTTGCTGTATAGGTCGTAGGGGTTGAAGGCCTTGACAGCGCGAAGCATCTCCTTATCATGGTCATCCATGAGTTCGTGGTAGGCACCGGCGCTGTGCCACGGGTAGAAAGAGTGGTAGCGGATCATGGCCAGAGCCTCGTCGGGCAGGGTCGACTGCTCCTTGGCAATGTGGTACAGGTATTCGTCGTGGCCCCAGGAGAGCATAACCTTGTCAAGACCGCAACCGGGGCTGTAGATACCGAACTTGGTGTCATAGACGGGGTGCTCGAAGTCCTCGTTGTCCTTGAAGGAGTCTCGGCCGTAGATAATGCGCTCGTCGAAGCCGATGCCGACAGGGAAAGTGTCGCCGACGACATCCCACTGGCCCTGGGCGTCGTAGAAGAAGAGCAGCTTGCCGAGGTCGTGGATCAGACCGGTCAGCTGCATCCAGCGGGGCTTGCCATCACGACGGATAGCTTCGGCTGACTGCAGGAGGTGCTCGATCTGGGACAGGCTGGTGTCGGGGTCAGACTCGTCAATGAGGGTGTTCAGCTTCTCCATCGCCTCCCAGACGGTCATCTCGGCGCGGGTCTTGCTGTGGAAGTCGTGGCGAGCCTTCAGGTTGTAGGCGACGGTCTGCTTGGTGTGCTGCTCCTTGTAGAAGTTCTTGACCCGGTCACATGCATCCTCATACTGGCGGAAGTTGGTCTTGTCCTTCTCCTTGTCGAACTCAGACTCGTCGTAGAGATCCCTCCCCTCGGCTTCCTTCTTCATGTTGGCCTTGAGGACGTTGACCTCATCGATAGCATCGGAGGTTTCCTCCAGCGCCTGACCATCTCGCATCTTGTTGGCGAAGACGGGGGCCGGGGCATTCTCGAGGGCGACGGGTGCCATCTTGAATGTGTGGTGCGTTTTTGGATGTGGGTGGAAAGAGCGAGTCAAAAGGTGCTAGTCACTCTTGGTTTTTCTCCAAGGATAGTATGATCAGAAGACTTCCAGAGTCAGATCTATGGCAAGTCAAGATGTAACGAGAGAGTACGTTGAAGAGAAGTTGAAGTAACACGCCGGAGTAGATCCATTTTTATAGAGAATGGCAAACCGCGTCCAGATTTCCGATGTTCAGCCAGCCGGGGAAAATTGCTGTGTGTGCAATCCGCAACCCCATACGATCGCCCATGATTTGCAGGGATAGCAGGTGCGAACAAGCATCGTGGGGCATCATCACGGATTCCAGAATCCGTATCTCGACCCCCACTCCACCCCTGGCCCAGCAGGGTTGCTGATTGGGCCGCCCCCGTCGCCTGGTGGACACGTGGGGAAGTGATGTCAGGCGTGGGCGACAGGCCTAGGATTCTGGTTTCCGGGGCTGACTGATGCACCAGCCCTGTGTGGCTCGACCCAAACGGGCTACATTGCCCGGTCCCTTGCCAGCAGCTGCCCTCGCCGAAACGTTTCCCGATCGAGCAATCGAGGGGTCCTGCTCAGCCCAGTCTCCGTTGCCGATGTGAGGCGCGATGTGAGACGTGGGGGCATTGCAGAGGGGCTCCGACAGGACGTCATCATGCTGGCTGTCGATGCTCCCGGGGCACAGCAGGAACAGATTCGGGATGAAGCTGCCATGAAATCTCCCCTCAGCGATTGAGAAGACAATGGAGTCGAGTCGAGACGCAACGACCTCGCGGCTGCGATGGGCGGGGGTTTGGGGGCCGGGTTTGATTGATGGAGAAATCGGCAAAGGGCGACGGCGGGGCAAAACACCCCGCGTGGGGGGTTGACTCGGGCCATCTTTACATCGAGCTCCCCGCCCTCTTTTCTTCTTTCTTCCTCTTACTTCCAATTCCTCTCTATATCCAATTCACACATACACAATGGCTGCAGCAGACGTCCGCTTCAAGCTCAACACCGGCGCCGAGATTCCTGCTCTCGGTCTGGGAACCTGGCAGTCCGCTCCTGGCGAGGTCGCCAATGCCGTGCGCCACGCCATCGAGGCCGGCTACCGTCACATTGACGGTGCTCTCTGCTACGGCAATGAGCACGAGGTCGGTCAGGGTATCAAGGAGGCCATTGCTGCCGGTATCGTCAAGCGCGAGGACCTCTTCGTTACCACCAAATTGTGGTGCTCCTTCCACGCTCGCGTGGAGGAGGGTCTCGAGACCAGTCTGAAGAACCTGGGCCTCGACTATGTCGACCTATACCTCATGCACTGGCCCCTGGCCATGAACCCCAAGGGTGAGTCTCTGAAAGTCGCATAAGGCCTGGAAACCGCAGCTTACAAGATCCAGGTAACCACAACATCTTCCCCAAGCTGCCTGACGGCTCGCGGGATATTGTCCACAGCCACAGCCACGTCACCACCTGGAAGGACATGGAGAAGCTCGTGGGCACGGGTAAGGTCAAGGCCATTGGTGTCTCCAACTACAGTGTCCAGTATCTGGAGGAGCTCCTGCCCCAGGCCACCATCACCCCGGCCGCCAACCAGATCGAGAACCACCCCTCTCTGCCCCAGCAGGAGATTGTCGACTTCTGCAACAAGAAGGGCATCCACATCACTGCCTACAGCCCTCTCGGCAGCACCGGCAGCCCTCTCTTCACTGCCGAGCCTATCGTCGCCGTGGCCAACAAGCGCGGTGTCACTCCTGCTACTGTCCTGCTCAGCTGGCACAGTATGTTTCCCCCGTATCTATTCCTCATGAATATTATCTAACGTTTTGCAGTCGCCCGCGGTTCCTCCGTTCTCGCCAAGTCCGTCACCCCCGCTCGCATCGCGGCCAACCGCAATGACCTGATCCACCTGGACGCCGAGGACATGGCCACCATCGCCAAGTACTCCAACGACCTGGCCGCCAAGAAGGCCTTCCAACGTTTCGTTTTCCCTCCCTTCGGTGTCAACTTTGGTTTCCCCGATAAGATGTAAGTGGCCCTGGTGGCTGTTTGATATCTCTGGGACATGTATATATGACATTTGGATAGACAGGATTCTTCACGACTATGAATAGAAAATTAGAAAATGTTTTAAAAAGTGTAGAATCCCCTGAGTTGAAGTTTTTAGATTTCTAGAAATTGTGTGTGATGTGCCTGCAGCGAAAGTAAACCACCCCATCCTCTTTCTGCCCCCCGCACAGTCGAGAGAGAAGATCTTTAGTTTAACCATCTTTCCTCTTCCCAGAATCTTCCTTGGGAAGCCTAGAACGTTCCAACCCTAGCCGTCTCCGTCGATCCACGCAGCAGGCTGCATACCTGACCGGGGTGCTGGTTATGGCATAATGGGCAAAGCAGACTCATTCATGTCCTCCGGCCAGAAATTGACGGTCATGGTATTGATATGAAAACAGACCTTGGGGCTTCCGAGGTAACCCGTAGAGACCGATCCCGTATTTTTTTACCTTCGACAGTACTTTTCATGTGCTGTTCCATCTCGAATCGGTTACCGGGGAGGTCTTTGCAATAGCCCCTGCAATCGGTCACGCATCGACAAACCCGGTGTTTGTAGCCACAAACATCGTCGGTTTGTCAGTGCAATACCTCTGGATGCCGGGTTGCAACTGTGGCCCCCGGGTCTTTCATCCTTGGCGGTTTTGCCGTCCAGGGTAAGCACTAAGGCGGTTCTAACGTAATCGGTAAGCGAGCCGCGCATGTAAGCCAGTCGCGCACCTTAAGCAACCTATTAATTTTAAATGCATTTATTTCAACAAAAACGCTATTAATCTAATTCAGCTAACTTGCTGGTCTATCTGGGCATGTCTCCCTTCTATGTCCCGGGCGCCTACATATTCCACATCCTCGCTGGGCCCGCGTAGGTGGCTGTAAACCCTCCGAAGGCCTTCCATCCCCGGGGGTGGAGCGGGTTCAATTGCTTGCTGCGACTGCATTTTTAATGCAGAGGCCTCGAAAACCGAGAGGCCCTCAGTGGAAGGCATCTGCCTGCGAGATCTAGTGCGTTTTTGTTTCTTCTTCTCGTTTTCCGCCCGTAATCCTTTGACTTCCTCCGCTAGTAAAGTAGCGCTCTGCATCGAAAGTTGGCAGCCTTTAATAAGCTGGTTTAACGCTCGATCTGATGGGCTTGGTGGACTTCGAGACCCCGTACGAAGTAAAGCTTTGATTGATGAAGCTTGCCGACGTACCTGTTTATCGGTAAAAGGGGTTTTTGGTGTAAAATTCTGGCTTGATTCGCTATCCCGGCTCGGAGGGGGGTCGGGGTTCGAAGACAAATATCAAGCTTTAAGATCACTTGATCGGGTGAAAAAGGTACCAAACCAGCTGCTCTGAAGCTATTTAAAATAGTATCGGAGCGGAAGGCTTCGTTTCGCGCGGAAGGATAAGCCTCGAGGAAATCAAGTTTGTCGATATGGTTGATTCCGTTCCGCATTTTCGTTTCAACTAGCCGACCGTACGAGCGCTTTAACACGGCAAAACAGCCGATATCGAGTGGCTGTAAAAGGTGAGACGAATGCGCAGGCATACAGATTGGTATAATATCGTTTTTTTCACAAAGTTCATCGAATTTCGGAGTCAAATGGCTTCCGTGACCATCGAGTATCAAAAGTCGATACCTTCCCTTCACACGCGAAGAAGTCGACGGAATAAAGAGCTTTTCGAGCCAACGAAGGCCGATCTCATCGGAAGTCCAGCCATTCGGACTAACCTCGAATCTCCAGTCTATCGGAAGATTATCGAACCAACCCTCGATCAAAACTTTGCCTTTAAAAATCACACACGGAGGGAGCGCCCACCCTGAAGCATTCGTACACTCGATTGTAGTCACCCACTCGCGATTTCCGGGCTGTAAAAGCGATCGCCGACCGTAGTATTCAGCCCTCGAGATAACCTTCGCGGTCGCTGTTAATCCCATCGCGAAACCAGTCTCATCGAAGTTATAAATATCGTCGGGATCGATGCCGTATTGAAGAATGGTGTTTTGAACAAGATCAAACCACTCCCTAATGATTCTTGGATCTTCGCACTTCGCACGTTCGTAATTATAACGTCTTGAGAATCGGGATGATAGGCTTGGGTGTCGTTTTACGAAGTTATAAACCCATTTTTCTCCGACGGTTTGAACTGGTGTAGTTCCGCGGGCCGCGAGAAGAAGATTCGCAGTTTCGCGTACAGTAGATGGCCGGGGCGCTGCTCCGCGATCATCTAAAGAGAGTATCCATTTTTGAAGTGATTCCTCTTCGATTTCTGTTAATTTATGCGAATTTGCGCGAGAAATCGCGCGATTTGTGGTGCCGTGACGACGATCGCGAAGTGTAGTTTCAGGCACATTATAAATGCGCGCAGCTTTGCGAACGGAGGATATTTCTTGATTTTTAATAGCCTGGATGGCTAATAATATCCTACCCTCTTGCTCTGTTGAATTTGTAGAGCCTCTGGCACGAATTGGTGGCATGGTGGGTGGTTGAATGAATTAAGTGCTAATTCATAGACGCGTTTTGGGGTGGGTGCGCGACTGGCTTACATGCGCGGCTCGCTTACCGATTACGTTATCCAGCTGAAGTAGCCACATAGCCCGCGGCTTTCTCAGCATTTTGAAAGTCTGTTCGACTTGAAAACGTGTCTTGAAGGGTACCAGCCGGATCTGGACAAATCACCAAGTGATTTTTCTTGACGCGGAAGCCGCAGGCACTAACTATATTTGCCAATATACTCGTCACGGACCCGGCATTTACCTCTTTGTGGGATGATCTGATAGAGTCCTCGTGGTCTCTGGTGGCAAAGTAGTCCTCCATTCCAAGGACTCGAATATAGCGTGAACTAATCTGCTAAGTTAGGAACTGGGAGGCATATCCACTTATTTATGCTCACATGACATTTAAGCACTTTTCTGCAGCTGTGCACCGATTCTGGAGATGCGCCGTGGCTTGTTCGGTTTGGTGTTGATGGGTCTGGTAATAATAGGCGGCAGGCCCTCTTGTGCTCCAGGGTGGGCTTTTAGAACGCAGATAATGCGATCACACTCTGAGGTCATTGCCTTAAGCTGTAGCTCGCCAGCGGGGGGGGGTGGGTTTGTGGCCATGATTGCCGCTGAGGATAGTTGTGTTGTTAGCTTCTGTGTGGCCGTAGTATTGGGAGATGCATAGTGAAGCGGAGGGTTAAAGAAGGAAGAAGTCTCCTAGTGATGTCTTACCAAATCTTTCGGGGCGTGTTGATATCCTTTCGCTCATTTGAGCCCAGAGGTTGGGTTGCGACCCGGACTGGAGCGATCATGTCCTTGTGGAGCGAAAGTTACCTTTTTGAAGGCTTGCACGTCTTGTCACCTTGGACCCAGATCTCCTCTTTGGGGTTTGGCTGCATTGTGATTTGGCAGGTGGACCGGTACCCAGACCCTGATTCCAAGCCACCTGTTTAAGGAAAATGCGGCGGTCGAACTCAACCCGCTAGCTTGAGAACATCGGCCAGCACAGGTAGTCCGGCCCCAGAGAGACTCAGGTGGCCAGACTCGCAGTTGCCACATCTCGCGGGATGGGCTTGGCTTGGCTGCACTGTGATGGCAAAAATGTATTCAAGTATGAAGGGATTGAGGCTTGGGAGGAAAGAAAGAACGAAAGAGGAGAGACTGAGAGAGAATGTTTGATGCCACGTGACCTGCCATCGAAGTGCGTCCGTCCTCCTTCCTACATGTCAAACACGGCGTCGACGCTCAAAGCTTTTTCTTGTAAATCGACAGGCACTCCAATGAACCGGCCATATAGAAGATCTTGTGGCATTTTGTCTTCAGTAAAGTGTCAAGTTTGGCTTCCCCATGACGTGCAAGTGGGCCTGGTGGCTAGACGCTGTATTTCTGGGACATATTTGAGGTATAGACAATATTTGGATAGACAGTACAATGTAATCTTGTAGTGTTAGGGTTACCTGGTTCACTTGTTATGAATCAAAAAGTTCCACGAGTGGAACATTTATCACATCACTCCAGAATCTCGTTCAAAAACTCCTCCCTTCATGTCAAGCAGGGTGTCGGCTATAGCTTCTCCCATAATATACTTTATGCGATAATATATATGAACATATGGCTATTTACAATCTTTCTGATTTTCTGTTTCTCCTTGGTGTGGGGCTAGACTTTTCTAGTAAGGCTTTAAGGGGCCAGGGTCTTGGCCCACGATACAGGCTGTCTGATAGTACCCTACATCAAGGTTGTACCATCGCAGTGCACTATATTGCGATATATCATGTTTAGACAGTCAGATGTCGTAGTATTATGACAATTTCGGTTAAATTAACGTTCTAAAGGTGAAATATCATCTTCACTATCCAGTCTCTCGTTCTCTTTCTTTTTCTTCTCTTATCTGGTTACTTGTGATTTACTAATCAACAGAAAATGCGCTGTGAACTGGATCCATTGAGATTGTATTAATAATAATAATACTGATGATGATGATGATGATGATGATGATGATGATGATGATGATGATGATGATGATGATGATGATGATGATGATGATGATGGTAACCATCGCCCTATTAAATTTTTATTTTATTTTAAGATTGACTTGGCTGCAATGCAGCCAGTACATTTATTAGCCCACACAGCCCCATCACTCCTCGTCGGGGTTACCCCGGTCTCCGCATCGCCCTTCAACACCTAGAGCATCTGCGGGTGCTTAAGACCCACACGACGACGGAAGACGGATGGCACCCCTTCCTCCGAGACGGCAACAACTTCCTCGTTCGCCAGCTCCTCCAGTCCATCCTCGTACAGAGGCTGAGTCGGCCAAACACGCTTCTTCCAGGCCTCAATGGCCTTAAGGCGCCGCTGCTCACGGTAACGAACGACCTCACGAAGCAGACCCTCGTCAACGCGGTAATGGACATTCATGATGCCCACAAGCCTGGCGAAGATGTCAAACGGCAGGGTCAGGAGCATAGCGGAAGCAACCCGAGCTACCGGGTCGCGAGAAGCGAGATCCGCGAGGGAGGGACGGCCACCGAAGTGGATGTACTCGAGGCGTTCATCGGTGAGGTCCAATTCGGGGGAGGGTCCAAAGGCCGGGGGGAATGCGGCCGCGGATGAACTGGGCCTGCGCACGGTGGTCGAACTGGAAGTTGGGGGTCACGAAGCTGCCGATGAACTGGAGAGCCTCGTGTAGGACATTCTTAGGAGCGTTCTTTTCAAATTCCTTGATGAAGTTTAGGCTTGCGTTCCGGGTGACATCCTTCATCTGGCGGCAGGTCAGGAAGTAGTTGTGGGGAGCCATGCCGAAGTCAATCAGGATCTCGACGGTGTCCCAGGCCATCAGGCTCATGGCGAGGTCAATGCCTCGGTTTGCGACGTCCATTCTTCCCAGAAAGATACCTGAAGTGGCATAGCACAATGCCCAACGGACCCGTACAACGTTGATATTCGTTGCGTTGAGGTGCACACCCATGAACTGGGTCACGATGTCAAAAAGCCAATCATGACTGACCAGTGGAGCACCGTACAGAGCCCGGAGGGCCTCAGAAAACGCCATGAATGCATAAGCATTGAAGGCGGGACCGGCGGCGACGTGGATGTACTGGAATCCGTTCTGCTGCTGGTACACCATGGCGTCCATGAGATATTGCATGAACGGACTGAGGGCCATGGTGGCCATGTGGAGGAAGAAGATTGTGTGGAATCCAGCTTGTGTCGCGAGGAGGGGATCCAGGACACTGTTGTGACCGAGGAGAATGTGGAAGTCCGCAGTGGTGGCCGAGCCAAACATGTAGCGGACCTGGCGGAAGGCGTGGATGGGATGGTCCACGAGGGAGGCCTGGCTACCACCGACAGTGGCCACGGCTACTTCATTGTTATTTTCCGCGGTATTCGAGCGGATGGAAGTTGCAGAAGTCGAATACGTACCAGAAGATCCACTCTCGGTGGACGAGGAAGAAGAGGTGGCCGAGCGAACTCGCAGCTGGAAGGTGCTGGAGCACGCCTTGCGGCTCACCTGGAAGAGCTTCACGACGGACGGGGCGAGAGGGGAAGGAGAGGACGAAGAAGAGGGAAGGGTGGGAGGAGGAGGGGAGGGAGTCGAGGTGGTCATCCCGGTGTCCAGGTTCTTGGTTTTCTCCAGCTTAGATGGAGGGCTGCTCTCAACGGCGGTTGGTAAGAGAGATTTGCGTCCAAATCAGTGGGACTCGAAAGAAACGGTAAAAATAGGGAGATAAGAGGGGTTGCGAAGGGAGAAAATGATGGAATTGGATAGCAGAATAAATCCCACTTACCTCCCAGTGAATGCAAGTCCCGTGCCGTCACCCTCTCCCAAGTGAATCAGCCGGCTCATTCACTGCCAGTCAATACATGGGTGGGCGACGGCACGGGACTTGCCATTTACAAGGAGCCCGCCATTGCATCTACAATTGTCCATTCGGGTGTACCCTACGCACATTAGAAAAATGTTGGGATATCGAGTCAATACAACTGTCCCATGAGATACTATAGTACTCGAACAAGGCGTACTGGAAGAAGAGACCTCTGTGGATATCTGAAGTCCATATGCTCATTAGTCGTACATCTTTATTGTTCTCTATGTCCTGTTTGTCTTCCTCTGCTCCCACATTAATTCCGTTCACTCCATTCTCATTTTACAATCAGCAATTAGAATTATATTAAGGAATTGAGGCAATGAAATGATGCAGAAAACACTCAGAAAAGAGATGTAATGGAAAATTAACGCTTTAGCAGTAAAATAATATCAAGATACCCAAGCTTATTGCTTCCTCACCTCTCATCTTCCTCTCATCCTCCAGCAATTCTGTTCACCTTCTTCTCATTCTACTAAGGATCTCGCCCAACTGGAATGATATTGGTGCATCAAGACACTACAATCATACTACACGTAGGGATTTAAATCATAGATGCAAGAAAAAAATAAATTTACTGGCATTCCTACTCGTACACACCCACTCCCACCAGCATTCAATCTTCTCCTCCTCCACAACCCATCACTCCATCTTCAATCTTCACTCACACACTAGTGGCGAGAATGCGATTCATCTTCCACGGGGCTCACAATGGCTCCCCAAACCCCCTCCAAACCCCCTCCAAACCCCCCCAACTGCTGACCGTTGCCGCTGTTCTAGTAGTAACGAACTACATGCTCGAACAGGCAGTCAACCGGGGCATGGGCACAGCAGCAGGTTCGATGCGGAGGGTGGCACCCAGGGTGGCTATGGCTGCTGCCACCCTGGTTGTGGTAAAAGCAACCAGGGGTCCAATAGCAGAACGGCCCCTCGCGAGGCTCGCTCTGGAATGGCGAGGGCCGAAGCACCGTCACCGACGTCACTTGGCCAACCACCGGCCCATAGGCCGGGAGGCACTGACCTAGGCCGCCCATCTCGGGGGCGTATCCTGGACCAGGGGCCTCGTGAACGTCGGCTGGGCGGGCTTCGGGATGCCAATCGGCAGGGTCGACGATATACGGCCCCGTGTATACGTCGACGGCAATTGAAGCACCACCCGCGACAGGTTGCTGGGTGCCGGGGAGGATAGAGTCCTCCCCGAGGGGCATGGCCTCTGCTTTGTCGAGAGACGGGGCAGGAGAAGGTGAGGTGTGGCGGGCCTCAGTGATAAGAAGGTCGGCGGGCAGAAGAGGAACAGGGGGGTAGAAGTGGGCTGGGAAACCTGGGTTGCCGCCGCGACCACAGAACTTCCCTTCTCAGCCTCACTCTCGTCCGCACTTTCGACGGACTTGGCCGGACCTGCAGCGGCAGCACCGGCGCTCCCAGCGGCGCGGTGCTTCTTGCCCCGGCGCTTGCTCTTGTTCTTCTTGGCCCTCTTCTTTTTCTTGACCTCCGTCTGCTGTGTCGGGGCAGACGGGGCATCCATCTCGTGGCCCTTGGGACCAGACTTTGAGGGCGGTGCAGCGGACTCGGGCTTCACCTCGGACGAGGGGGCGGGGACGGGGACGGGGACGACGGTCGAGCTCGACGCGGTGTTGCTGGCCGGGTGTACATTAGTGCCCTGGCTTGCGATTCTGCCCAGAATCTCGTCGACCTTCTGAGCATAGTGGCGCACGGCCTCGTAGTCGTTCTCGTCATGGTCGGTGCTTTCATCGCTGTCGACATAATCCTCGGGCACATTGGCCGGCTCGTCGTGGTCGGCGAGGGACGACAATTTCTTCTTCAACTTGGCCAATTCCGAGTCATTATACTCGTCGTCCTTCCCAGCAACAATCCGCGAGTAAAAGTGTGCCATTTTCATTTAACCGCAAAAGAAAGTGGAGGGCTTTCGGACTCGATAATTAACGCTTTGGACGGCATCGTCAGCGCGTGCGCCGTCGACGGACCCCATCGGGGTCCACGATTAAATGTGTCCTGGATGCTGTACTAACCTTTGATGATATTTAAATAAGCTATTTTTGATAGCTGTGATCAAGCTGTGCTGCTGTGCACTGTGGGAAACGAGCTTGTGAGGAGGGTGGTAGAGGAACAGAGAGCGGAGCGTGGGCAACATTATGAAAACCATCACCCGCCCAAGGCAGCGATCAGTGAATGGAAGCCGCTATTAATACGGTACCATGAGACGCCTCTCCAGATTTCCAACCCCATTCTCAAATCTAATAGCTACGGGCTCTACAAGGACTCGATCTGTGTCAATAATTGATCTCAGGGGATATTCACTCTATTTGAAATGTCCCAAGGCTGGAATCGCAATCCCAGTAATTAAGAGAGTTCTAAGTGCTGCTTTTGATGAAATGGTGCGCTTCGCGCTTAGCACATGCAAAATTACGGTACCGCCCCTGGCGCCTGAATTGGAAGCTCACAGCAGCTCCCAGGCTACCATACGCGGCTTACCATACGTATGCACACGAAGAATTTCACCCTGTACCCAGATATCGAGGCACCACTCAATATGCTCTTGAGTGTATATACCATTGCTTTAACTAATGAATGAAGCAAAGCATGCGAGGTTTGATCAATAGATGCATTCACATTTAACGGAACTGCAGGATTGTACGTTCCCCTAAGATAGCTCGATTCCAATATCTACAATGTATCCAAGTCTCAATATGCCTTAAGATTAATCTTAAAATTGACCTGTTTGTATACAGGCTAAAGTGTGCGCAAACAAAAAACAATAATAATACTTTGGGCTGAGATATAGTTTTGAGGGTTATCAAGATCACGTGCGCCACGTTGCGGATCTTCCCGTTCCTGCAGCTGCCAATGCACGCCCCATCGCATCACGTGTAAGCCACGGGTGTACAGTGTAAACCAAGGTACGAGCTACTCTATTTCAACTTTCGAGCTTCTAAAAAAAGGTTGCTCGTGCAGATTAATTGTGTTCTACACATATAGATCAATGAGAGAAAAGTAAAAGAAATATGGATACATTTTCAATTCAAATACACCTGGTTACACCTTTGCTCGGGAATATGAGTTCAACAGAACTGTCCAAAGAAAACAACAAGAATAAAGAAAATGTGTAGGTAGAGTAGACGACAGACGCTCAAAAATGCACCAGGTGGTATATAGTCGTGAAGTTTGATGAAGACAGTCAAAGGACAAGGGAAAAAGTGTAAAAGGAAAGAGGTCGCTCAAGCAAATCCGAGCAGTTGAGATATGTGGCACGACACAAAGCCAGGATAAGAAAGAGGGCAATAAAAACAGGCAAAGAGAAAAAAAATTCAAAGAGTGGATCGGGTTTCGATCAGAACATGCCGCCGTCAACGGGGATGGCGGGAGGAGGATATTGTGGGACTGCAGGGGCCGGACCAGCCATTGCCTCCTGGCGTGCCCGGGCGTTTAAGCTGCCGCCTGCGCTGGATGTTTTGCGGAGGCGGTTTCGGGACGGAGGTCGCTTCTCGTCTTCCATGAATGAGGTATGCTCTTCGCCGAGACTCGGGGCTGGGGATGCGGCCCGGGACGAGTCGTGCTTGTCGGTTCGGAAGGCGCTCATTATGGTTTGGGTACCACGGCGACGACGTGGGTTCATTGGAGGCAGGGGAGGGGCTCCATTAGATGGGATAGCACCTGGTGGAAGGCCGACAGTGGGAACGTTGGAGGTCGATGAGACGAAGGTGGGCTCCGAGATCAGCTTCTTATTAATGGTGCGCTTTTGAAGCATGGTGTGTCCGGGGGTACGTTGGGGCAGAGGGTTGCCACCAGAATTAGTAGCAGACGCGAGAGCCGAGGCGGGAGATTGCTCTGGAGGCACGTCGTGCAACGGGGGGGTCGCATTGGCCGAGTAGGCCGGGGTGGCCGGAGATGGTCGAGGAGAAGCACCGATGATTGATGGCGGGTGAGCGGCCTGGTTGAAGTGGAAGGGTCGCTCGTATTGGAAGTTCGGATTGCCAGAGCCAGAGCGGCTGGCACTGCGGTATCTGCCCGAAGCGGCAGAAGAAGAGCGATCATAGACGAATGGCTCGGTCATCTCCACGGAGGGACGTCTCGAGCCAGGGGCCGTGGCAGGCACGGGTGGCTCGAAGTTGTCGGGCATAACAAAGTTCTCATGTGCAATGACTGAGCCTTCGTCCACGGTCTGGAGATCATCTCTTTCGCGGTACCTGGAGCGGCTCTTGGAGCGGCCCGAACCATCAGAGCCCGAGCGGTCTCTCTGGGTTCGGAAACTAGGTTGCGGGGAGACACCGCGGCTACGGCTGGACTCGCGCGACTCTTCGTGGCTGCCGCGGCTAATTGTTGGCATGCGGGAACGGAACGAGCGCTCAGTTGGGACGTGGGGAGAACTATTAGCATAGCGGCCAGGGCCAAAGGAGAATCCTGGCCGTTCCTCGTGCCGCCAGGACTCTTCGACCAATGCGGGAGTGGAGGAGCTGTTGTAACCGTACAAGCTCTTCTGGTCAGGCTTCCCGAGGCCCTGCTTGCCCGACTTGTGCTTCAGGATAGAGAAGGCATTGCCAGCCTTTGGCCCAGCGCTAAGATCCGGGGTGGAGCGGCCAAAGGTAGGGCTGCTAGAGCGACTCTCACTCTCAGCCACGCTACGCAATTTCTCCTGGACTTTCTTGCGTCGCTCAGCGAGCTCAATCGCAAACTCCTCCCGTTCCTTTTGAGTTTCGGTGCTACCATCCCGGCGGTGATGGTAGGCCAACTCTTCTCTCCATGAAGGAACCTTGCCGAAAGTCCCGTTGTCAGAGGAGTCCTCACTAGAGCGCTCAACCGAGACATCAGAAGAATGTCTAGAAGGAGCTCGGGGGCTCGACGTCTCGGGCTGCTGAACTGGCTCGGGGAAAGCCTCTGCGGGGAGTTTCTCCTCAGTCGGGGGCGTGGGAATATCCTCTGGGACAGGATCTTGCGGAGCATCCTTGCTCGAGTTCATCTCCTGCTGCGGCAGACCGGGAGAAGGAGGAGGGAAGATGGAGGACTTGTCACTCTCCTGGCGAAGGTGAGACCGAATTCCACCAAGACCGAAACCAGCTTGAATGACTGGCGAGTCAGGTCTGGGAGGCTCATTGTCTTGTGCCTTGTCCGAGGCATTTGTCTCCTCTGGATCATTCTCCTCAATCGGCTTGAGGTCACCCAGATCCGAATAACGCACCTCGGGGAGAGTCTCGAGTTGCTCCCCATTGGGGGTAGGCGGCTTAGTTGCAGTGTTGGATTGGTAGAATTGACCGTATTCAGTTGCCAAAGATGTAGCGGACGAGACCTCGTACGATCGGCGATCCTCGCCTTCGTCTCCAGACTCGCTTGCAGTGGAGTTGGCGTAGAAGGTGGCAGACACGCCGGGCCGCGAGGGCGAGGCGTCTCGAGATTGGTCCATGCCGTGGTGAGCGTCACTGCTATAGTGCGAGGAAGCAGACTCTGCTCGAGAGCGATAGCTTGACTTGGAAAGCCCGCGCGAGCGGCTGGCAGGCTCCTGGGGCGGGGCCCGACGTGGCGGTGAAGGTCGTCGCGGGGGAGGAGTTGCGCGGCCCTGATGCATCTGAAGCTGACGACGAGAGAAAGCCTGCTCGTCGAATCCAGTAGCGGGTCGATTGAACAGACCCATAGCGGTAGCCTTGCCATGGTCCTCTGGGTTCAATGCCGCCGCCAACAAGGAAGCGCCATCATCCGTTTCGCTTGAAGGCGGGCTCAGGGGAGGTGCGGCCCCGAAACTGGCCGCCGTAGGCGAGATACGATCCCTTGGTGCAGGCTCGGGGATTGTCGGTTGCTTCGGTGAAGTAGCAGATGACGGCGGGCTGGTTGGTCGAGATGTAGAAGCTGGCTCGGCAATTGCCAGTTTCTGCAGCCGATCACGCAAATTTGTGGCGCTGCGAGAGTAGTTTCGGTTCAAAGAAAGGGAATCAGGGGTTCCAGCGCGCTGGCGACTGAGACTTTCAAGACGATACAAAGTCGAGTTTTGCTGATTCTGTGCCGTCTGTGTCAATCCCTGGCCGTAGAGACGTCGAGATCGGACAGATCCATTGCGCGGGGTTGACATGGCTGAAGGTGGCCCAGCCTCGACAGGAGCTTCGGGAATTGCATTATTAGGAGGCTGACCCTGAGATGAACCAAGCTGGTTTTCGTCGATGGAGGTGGCGGCGGTCGACGTGCGAGTATTAACGGTGGGCCCGGAGGCTATGGATGAGTAGGTCGTCCGGTTGATAGACGAATTGGTAGATATCGTATCCTCGTACTCATGAGCAGCATATTCGCGAGCAGATTCTTCCGCAGCAGCCTGTTCCTCCTTCTCCTTGCGACGCATCTTCTGGAAAGCGGACAGGTTCAAGTCATGTTCATAGACTGCCTTGCCCATTCCGCCTGGGGAGCTTGGTGACGGAGCACCACCAGCACGCACAGGAATCCGGTATACCTTTTGGCGACCACCGAACAAGTTGTTTCCGTCTGCTCGGCGGGCCCTGCTCATGATACTGCCACTCTGAGGCCGATCGTCGTCTGTGCCGTATCCAATATCGGCACCAGAAGCGTAGGAATCGGTGCGTCCCAGGGCAATTGAAGGTCGACTCCCGTCGTTGGAAGATACTTCGTCAATGTCTGTGAGAATATTGGGGTTGTGGCCGAAGAGATTCAATCGGGAAGCACGTTTGGGAAACAGCACGCTGTCGTCGCTAGCCTTGCCCATCTTGGATTCTGGGTCGTCCTGTTCTCGCAGCATGCTGAATCGGGCCGACAGTTTTGGCATCAGCAGACTAGTTCGAAAATCATCCGTCGGCGGGAGAGCTGCGGCAAAATCTAGCTCTGGTTTCGGTTCGCGGGCTTCCTTCTTCTTGGATGGTTTCAAGCTGAACGGGGATGAACTCGTGGTCGTCGTCGACCCACCCTCCAGCTCTTCCAAGGTGTCCTTCACCTCCTTGTTCTTCTTGTGTTTACGGAATCGATTCATTGTGGCGTTGGGGTGTTTCGTCCAGTGGGAGCCAAAGAGAGTGACGGGCGAGGAGGATCCTCGGGGGCGGTACTAGACCGAATAACGAGTAAAGCGAATGACTATGGCTTCATCACGGAACTTGTTAGTCTCCCCAGCGTGTTCCACACAGAGACTTGTCTCGAGTTCCATTCAATCTCGTACTTACTAGGCTAATCCTTATCCGGAGAACGAAGAGAGCGACATGGCCATCCGGCGCAAGACGGTGCAGATGGGAGAAGACGGGGACTAGAAGTCCTGGGGGACGAAGTGTGCGTAATGAACGGCCCCCGCGATTTGATTTTCCTTCGCGTACCGTGTACAGCTGGAATGTCCAGGGGTCGAGCGCCAATCAAGCGCTGTGGGTGACGGCGGGCGAAGCCGGTCGACAGATCACACGAGGAACAAGGGAAGGGTGGCGCAGACAATTGGTTGGTTGGCGGCGCAGGGCGAATTTTCCAGCGGGAACAATACTGACTTGAATTCGACAGGTTGAAAGAGCGACTGAGGGGCGAGAGGACTGTTAGAAGAGGGAAGGAGGGACCTCGAAGAATGCGATGCGTCGCGGGAATGGGGGAGCGGCTAGTATTGAGTTCCGGGTACAAATGTTGTAACGGGCTAGAAATATCGCAGAAAAAAAAAAGGGATCTGGATCCGGATCGTCCCCGGCGAGCCCACCGTTCAGGCGATCACTATTCAGTATGACATGTTCTTTAATTATCGGTTAGTATTGAGTATTTCTTTTGCCTCCTCTCCTTCTACGATGATGCTATTCGCAGAATGCTATGAGCGAGTATGCAGCTATCTTTGTTTATCTGTCACCAGGGGCTTCCCGAAGCGCATCCATGGTGCAGGCGTACCGGACGAGAATCCCCGGTGGAACAAATCGAAGGGTCCCTTGCAGGCCCGTACGGTATTGGCGGTACGGTATGGTACCGCAGCAGGTTGAATGGATCATTTCCTGGCCCCAGTTTATTTTATTTCTACCATACACGTTAATCCCAGGACCAGGATCCAGTTGGACCCCGGGCTGAACGCCCACTGCGGAGGCCTGGTTAAACTATGCTCGTTCCATTCTAGGCGCTGCGGTGCCGCGGGGCTATATGAAGATGAAGGATGGAGGGCGGACGCGTCGAAGATCCATGCCAAATATGCAGATGCTCCTCAACGCCCTGCGATCATGGAAATTGCTGGGCTCCGCTCGTTCCGAGGGCCTGGACGCGGGACATGCCCATCACGAACGCTCTGCCTCTAGGTGCTCCGATCGCAGACGAACTTGATTTGAGGCCGATCGCTGGGTCCGATTCCTCCACTTCCGTACCTGTACACTGTGTACTCTGCACTGCCTGTAGAAGGATTCTAGTTTTATTAGAAATCAATTACTCCTTGCATGCCGGGAAAGCCGCAGCTGCAGCGCCTCGATCTCTCCTGCGTCGTGCAGGAGGCGAGATGGCCTTGGTGCAGGCGCTGCGGAGCCCCGGACAATGCAATTTATGTCGACAAATTCGCCGGGTTGCGAAATAGCCGCGCTCGTGTGGACGATGGCATGCAGCCCATTCCTCCGCCACGCCGCGCATTGAATGACTCTATCTGTCTACCATTTCTCCGAAGGCCGCCTCCTGCGTCGTGCAGGAACCGGGTGGGCCAGGCTGAATCTGGGATCGCTCCTGCTCGCAGATGCCCATGTACCTTAGGGTAGGAACAATATGTGGTTGAGGCTATCGACCTGCCGTGCCACCTTCTTTGTTAGGGAACCGTCCGAGGCAGGCAATCTCGGCAGCATCGTCATCGATCTTTTTGTTATGATTTGGATTTGGATATTTTCGCGAATGTTTATTTATTTTTTTTTTCTCGTCGGTGGATCCCATCTGGAGAGGACCAAAAGACGAGCGGTGGACAGGGCGCCGCCCGTCCTCGGTTTCCACCTAGCATTGCAGTTTGTTTCAAAGAAGGCAGTCCGTTGCATCATTGCCGGGCGATGGGAATCAGGATCCTCAGAGGTAGTGGGACCATGAGATCATGCAGCACAGACCTGAAAATGAACCTCCGGCCAGCTGGACGGAGGGCCGGAGACGATTGAAAGGAGCTCAACGGGACTCAGGCGCGGACGTAATCCCCGACCAGAGGCCACATCCCTAGCGCATCTTCTGGGTCGCAAGTGAGAGCCGGTGTGAGGCTTGACAGCCGTTGTTGGCGGATCCAGTGTGGGCAAACCTTGAGCCCAGAACCTCAGGCCATAGTATGCGACAGATGGGCGGCTGGCCTACTCCGTCGGGGGTAGGGCGTACCAAACAACGCGCACAGCGAGCGAACCGAGGCCTTCGCTTGCGATCTCGAGTGCGTGCGGGTTGGGCGGTCCACCGGGTGTCCTCCCCTTTGAAAGGTGGTCGAAGCAAAGCCGACGCACTCCCCCTCTCTTCACGCCGGCATCTGAATGGGCACCCCCGGGGTGGCACCCTAAAACTGCGGGCAGTTCCCCGTGCGTGCTGATTGGACGGCCGGACACCGCTGCCCCTGACTAGCCCGCGTTAGCCTCGTATTGAAAGGAAAAGTTGGGATCAGGCCCAGCGTGAATGCGAATACACCAGTAAGTAGTACACTAGGCGGGTGTGGGAGGATGTTGTATTGCTATCAAATCTCAGTTGCTTCAATGTGATACCCTCAGCACTTACACCACATAGAACTCATTATTTATGTATGTAGGCCCATTCTTTAGCAATCGCCTCGGAAAAGAAAAAGGCGTACCTGAAAAGTGGAGCCGCCCAGGTCCACCAGGCCCATCGGAACAGCTCAAGCCCGGCGGAAGAAATTTGGTGTGTTGGAAGAATTGCCATCCAGAGGAGTCCAGCGGAGAAGATTTGCTAAAAACTGAGTAAGCCTCAGGCCTTCCCGTTCGATCTAGTTAACTATTACGCTGGGCCTGGATCCCCGATGCGCTGGTCGGTTAATCTATTTGATCGATTAATCTATTAATCTATTAAATGCCCACCGACCAAAATATGCCCGTCTTCGAATCGTGGAAATGCAAATTCAGGGCGATATGGCCATACACGCCTACATGGATCGACCGGAGATCGATCGAAGCAAAGACCAAATCCTCCGCGAGCCCTTCCTCCAGATCCTTCATCCAATGCTCGTTTCCAGAAACACGACCGGGGCCTAAGGACCATGTCGAAGGGCCGATCGCCCTGTTCTTTGGAATCGCCCGACTCCGCACTGAGACCAAGGCCGTTGTTTCAGCGTGCGATCAAATTACAGAGGGACTTCCAGACCACTCTTGCGCTACAATGGTGCTAGGGCTGACCGAGGCCATGCTGCGGCTTAATAATGGTCTTGCAGTAAAATAGGTACAATGGCAATCGGAAACATCCCCAGAGTTGCCTAACGGTCTCGTTTTGGAATTTAAGTTCGGGACGCCGTTTCGTCTGGTCGCTTCACTACCTTAACTAGCAGGTCGTGACACTAGTATGTCTAGCACAGTAATGTGCGAGTCCCGCCTCGGTGCCCAATTTCAGCAGGTGACGGTCCAATTCACGAAAAATTGGTGGGAGCGAATTGGAGGGGGCCGTCGGGGCTCGCGACAACGACGGCCCTGGGGGGCAGTGGGCCCTCCAGCTGGCGTGAACCTCGTATTTGTACGAAGTATTCGGTATTCGGTATTGTGGTAGTGGTCGGCTAAGCCTCGATGTCCCTCCAGGGTTTAGGGCAGTCTCGTAATCTATTTGATTCAACACTGCTTCGTGATCTAGGACCTCCCCAACCAGTCCGGATTGAGGCGAGATTAGTGAACGGCAATGCACTACCTACCCGACCTAGGTAAGGGTTCAACCTACCCTCCAGAGAGTGCCGAGACCAGCAATCATGACTTCATTCCCGTGAAGATCGTCGAATAACATGACGGGCAGTCAATATACAGTTGATATTAATAGTATACAATAAACATTATATTTCACTAAGCATAGATGGAGATTAATGTCACTTCTGCTAGGCCAGTGTAAGGAAAGGGTTGAACGTGATTGATGTATTTATCTTTTTGATCATCTCTTGGAAACGGAAATTATGGGAAAAAGGAGAGAATCTATGAGATCGAGGGCTCTGCTGATGGACTGGAAAGCATTGGGCTGCGGGTACTGATGAAGGAAAAAGGGGGAAAAAGACAAGTTGGTCAAAGTCAGGATTGATTGGGAATCATGGGAGTTAGCTGCCTGCTATTCAGGGTATTTTTCTGGTTGTTTTTGTTAGTTGTTTTCAATTTTTTTTTTTTGTCGATTGTGCTGTCGATTTGTGAAAGGCGGCTGCAACTGCGGCTGCACAAGACACGGTGCGGATTCCAATTCGATTTCGAATCAGAGCTCCTTGAGCAGCCCTCCCATGTGGTTGAACGGGACGTCATATCCAAACTCAATACCTGCCGCAAAAGCTAGTTGATAAACGTGCAAGATGGAGGTCAAGGCAGTGTGGTGCACGGTCTGGATCCAGTCCACTCCTCTCCAGAGACAAATGCGTCGGAGATTGGGCAGGGCTTCACGGGGTTTGTTCTCAAGGAAGGCTTCCAGGAGTTGAAGGAAGCGGGTAAACTGGCGTGTATCCTTTCCAAAGTCAACCTGGACCCAAAGTTCTTGAAGAGTTTCCGGGAGCGCGTCTCTGAGGCGAGGTTGGGTGGCCTCCCGGTCAAATTCCACCAATTCCTCTCGAAGGAAAAAGGAGGCCGGCGCATTCAGGGATTCCAAGCGGAAGAAACTCTGCAGCAGATCGCAGAAGAGGTGGCTTTTCCATCCCCAGGGGCGGCCTTCTTTGTCAGTCCAGAAGCGTATCAGTGTAGGCACCGAGGCACCCTTGCGATTGGTCGTTCCAGAAATAGCAAGCTTTCGAATGTTCACGAGGGCCGGATCGTCCTTAATCCCCTCAGTGATCTCGATCAACATGGTACCTCGCAGGAAAATTGCCATAGACTCAAGGTTAGGTAGATCCAGCAAGCTGAGGACGCTGTCGCTGCCATACGAGACGTTTTCCTTTCCGCGCTGGTAACGCCAAGTCAGGTTGCTTCCCAGGTCAATGGTCTTGAGGTGATGGAATTTGGAGATAGAACAATTCCGTGCCTGGCGTGAGTCGGGGTACGCGGCAAGCTTTCTACCATGCTCAATGACCCACATCATGAACTGAGGGTTTTTGAGGAATTGATAATCCAGCCGAAGATCTCGGAGGTTCCTGAACTGAGAGACAAGCACAGCAGCATAGGCATAGACATGTCCGAATCTCAGATATTCTCCCCACCGTGATCCAAGTTTAAGACCCGCTCTTCTGAACTGACGTTTAGCAAACGAATGCACCTCCGGGTAGAGGCGTTTGAGGGTCTGACTGGAACCAGAGTTATACAACTCCAATCTGCGAGGCACATGAACCACCCGGGGAGAGAGGAAGCTAGCATATTGAACGTAGTCAGCTAGTCGGGGTCGTTTCTGGATGATGTCCAGTAAAGCGAGAATCCGAAGCAGCGGAGGGTCGTACCAGTCAAACTCGATCCGCTTGTAAAGATGGGGTTCGGCTGCAGAATTGAGTGCTTTGGAAACTTGGGACAGGGAAAGAAGATCCTGTTGTGACAGATAACCTGCAATGTGGACCCAACAATCCATTGGTAGCTGTTTGAAGGGGCTTTCCTTCGTGATGGGCAGTTTTATGTGCGTCTTTTTCTTAGCGGTTTTGCCGGGCTTCGTGATTGCCATTGAGAACCGTTCCATCATAGTCTGAGGCATCTGTGAATACCAGTTTAGGGGACCGATGGAGGTGGGGAATTCAGCTCCCCAGTATGGGAGTGGCAGGGGTGGCGGAGTGGTGGATTGGATGCCCGGGGGTGGAACCATTTGAGGAAGATAGTGGATAGAGAAAGGCTCAAGTCCAGCTTCGAAGAAAGAGCCGGCAAGGGTGAAGTATGAGGAGGGTGGCTCGTGGATTGGTCGTTGAGTTGAGGCTTCAAGTTGGCTTGCGTCGAGATGGGCGACCACCACGAGGCTGTGGCTTGAAGCCTCTCCGAATTCCGAGTCGCTGTCCTTTTGCGGAAAACGAGGGTAATGATTTCAGATCTGTCTTTGAAAGAGACATTTCGTTAGCATTCACAGATTTCAGTGGTAGGATGGGGGAAAATTAACCAACCTTGAGTATCCGATGATGTGGTGGTGGAGGGATAGAGAGATATGCAGAGGGAAGGAGAGATGTGAGGCAGGAGGGAGATCTTATCAGAGAGTTAGCGGAGATTTCATCATGTGAAGGCCTCATTACCACTCACCTGCAACACCGCCTGGAGTGTTGCCTTTGGGCGGTCAGCTCATGAACACCACATTCTATCACCTGAAGAGTCTTAGAACCGGAGCCTGCTCCAATTGACCTGTGTCTGCCTGAAAGATGCATCGAGAAAAGATTCCATGTGCTGCCGCAGATCGACTCGAGCAATTGGAACTGACAAACGTGGACAGTCCTGTCAATACTTCCCGAGTCTCGATCGTCGACGATGTCATTGCTATATTGAAGAGCATCAAACGCTTCTCAATACGATCGACCTGGGCGTTGCGGCCTATCTTGTTTCATTCAAAGCAACACAGTCAGTGCTACAATCTATCGCGCCTAGGGCACTACTTCCAATGGCGTTTAACCTATCCGTTGTGGGTAGTTCTCTTCTGGCTGCGCCCTAAGATGCGTTGTTTCGAACAACTGGAAGTCTTTACCACGAAGCTCTGAGCCTGGCTGGCCCTTGCTATACTGGATGATACGTCTCGTTGTTTGCTGGCACAGGCATATATTACTGACAAGTTAATCCACATCGCACAAAACGCGCCATTTCCGACCATATTGCGATCCCAGATGCACTTTCTTGTCGTTGAGTTGTGTTTTGTGTTTCTTTGTCACGGAAGTCTCTGGCGCTGGGGGTTATAATTTGTGGGGATGTGGAGCAGGACAAACTATTTGGGGAAAGCCCCATCGGCCAACGGACCCGACGTCCGTTTTGGAACCCGCATACCGATGCGGAGAAAACAAGTGGAATGCAACTTTAATGTGATTGTGGCAGCTATTTAGGTAGCATTGCCCCGACTGGGGCATTCCATTCGATACTATTCATTGAAGATCCCTGCAGCTTCGAAACTCACAATGAGAATCCCTCTATATGCCCTCATGGTCTTCAGCTGGCCCACCAGCTCTCAGGCTGTGAGATGCTCCGAATTTTGGATACATCATGATATCCCTGGAACAATCATTCACAGTATTGAGCCTGCAGAGCACCGTTTGCCCGAGGATAGTATGCCATACTGTCGGATTGTGGGATCCGTGGCATATGGAAAAGCAAACAATTCCGTGGGCTTCGAGCTATGGCTTCCATCACATTCAGCTTACAACGAGAGATTCATGGTAGTGGGTAAGTTTTGTCCTCACATTACACGGCACGTCAGGGATCGGCTAATTGTGGGGCCAGGGAATGGAGGATTTGCCGGGACGATTGATACAGACAACATGTTAAAACAATTAGAACAAGGCTTCGCTGTGGCTGGGTATGTTTAAGATATTGTCCCTCCTATGTGTCCACATCCGCTAATGATCTCTCTAGTGGTGATTCCGGGCATCGCCAAGCTAAAAATGGTAACGGAACAACTACTCCTGGGCAGTATATCCCATTCCTAAATGATGTGGAGCAAACAAAAGCTTGGATTCATGATTCAATTGCTATCATCACCATATCAGCTCGAACCATTACATCCTTATTCTATGATCGCTCGCCGAGAAAAAGTTACTATAATGGATGCTCCACCGGAGGAGCGCAGGGCTTCGCGCTCGCCCAATACCATCCTCATCTTTTTGATGGGATTTATGCGGGGTCTCCAGGAAACTGGTACTCACACCTGATGCTATCCTTCTTATGGAATGGAAGACATACGAAGGTCTGCTACCCCGAACTTGTTTCGATTAGCCAACTAACAGGCATTAGGGTGATGCATTTCTCGACCAAGCCATCCTCAACGATACGACCAGAAAGGTTCTGGATGCTTGTGATGAGCTAGATGGAGTCAGAGACGGCCTGATAGAAAATCCTCTTCGCTGCCGTTTTGATGTGAACACATTGGTATGCTCATCTCAAACAGCAGCGTCCAAGCAAAACCAGGCATGCCTTTCTCCGAAGCAGCTTGAGGCATTGAAGGCTTTCTACGCGGGACCTCAAAACCCGAGAACCCACGCCAAGATCTATCCAGGATTCAGTCTGGGCTCGGAACGAGAGTGGCTAATGCAAGAGACATCTTTGTATCTTGATTATGCTGCGCCACTCTTGCAAAACCTGGTTTATCATAATCTCTCATATGACATTGACACCTTCGACTTCGATAGAGATGTCGCCAAGGTCAATTTTGCCGCAGGCCCTTTTATTGACGAGACCAGTGTTGATCTCACTTCTTTCCGGCAACGTGGAGGCAAAATGATTGTGACGCAGGGTAAGCCGCCTTCTGTCTCCTTCAGTCTGAATTAAGGAGGCTTATCAATCATCAGGTTGGACTGACCCCTACAATGCTCCGACCTGGCCCATTGAGCACCTCAAGCATCTCGAACAAGCGAGTCCAAGTGGATCAGTCGGTGACTTTTTCAGTCTTTACATGGTACCGGGTAAGATGATGCTCTATCTGAAATACTTGCCCCTGACGGCTGCTAAATCCGACTTATCAGGTGGAGGCCACTGTGGCGCAGCGGCAACTTATTCCTCTGTGCCTGCCACTTACCATGTGAGCGATGCGCTTATCTCTTGGGTTGAGAATGGCACATTTCCTACCTATATTTATTCGACAAATCCGCCAGATGGCTCGTCGCGAACACGCAAACTGTGCCCTTGGCCCAAGACAGCACGATTGAGGAACACCGGGGACCCTGATAATTCGGAAAGCTATGACTGCGTTGAGGCTTAAGCTTCTTGGTGGATAAACCTATGTTCTGGCTCGTGGTGGGCCCGATAGTCCTTGTCTGCAGGAGTGTGATGTCTTGCCTTCATGTAACGGATCTGGCCGGGTGTAAATCATGTTAAGTCTTTTCGCGGATACTAGAAGATGATGTGTACCAAACGATACTCGAGAACATGCCACCTGCTTCTTTTGGTACTTCTGTATCTGAATAATTAGCGGCTAGCCATCCCCTGCATCCGAGATTCGGCTCCATAGCCAACGGAAGATCATCATCAGGGGCAATGTCCACGCGTTTTTTCTCAAGTGTAAAACCCCAATTTTGATCGATGCAGCGCACCAAAACATTGAATTGCGCGACTCTCAATTACTTTGACAATGAAGCCAAGATACTCACAGTTGAAGGCGGCATCATCCGCACGAGCCGAGATCAAAGTGAGACAAGCATGCCCCACACGGCAATGGCTTGTTTAGAGCCCTGCATGGCTCCAGCCGCCAAGCTCCAATTGGATCATCGCGTCGCCTGCTTAGGCTGAAACTGATGGACTGAGCCAAGTTTTTCCCGAGCATCTTCCGACTTTTGGGAATAGCTTATTGTTGTCAAGGCCCGGGAATTTTATGCCGTGCGCATGCTGACAAGCGACAGGTGGACCAATTCTGGACCTCCTGATACAGGAGTAAAGGTCGCCTGCCCCAACAAGGTCATGATGGACAGTGTGGAGTTATAACAGTGCTTCTGTTGGCCGATCAGTTCTTTCTCATAGATTAGCTGCCAGGGGCCGTCACAGGGGTCTTTATTGGTGGAGCGCACATGGTTATTCCGTTGTTTCATGATCTGTGCCGTGTCTGGAATTCTACTTATATCGAGATTGCTCGAGAGGGTTGCTGCTTTCTTTTGCTCAAACCATCATTTTGTACTATTTCTTTCTCTTTTATTTCCTTAGGAGCTAGTCTCTTATTGTCAGTCTTTTCGTCTGTTGATCGGACAATTTCTTTCATTTAAACAAAATGCGCACTTCTGCCTTCTCTGTCCTCGCGCTGTGCGCGGCTGCCTCCGCAGCGCCGGCTGATTCTTTTGCCAAGCGGACCAAGTGGTCCATGGCCACTCGTTCGTCTTCTTCGGCCACTTCTTGCACTTTCAACTCGGCTGCGAGTGCCAGTGCCAGTGCTTCTTCCTGCTCCACTGTCGTTCTCGACAACATTGCCGTTCCTGCCGGTGAGACTCTGGACCTGGAAGATCTCCAGGATGGCACCAAGGTATGATAAATTGGGATTATACGTTCTACCTCGACATCTTCGCTGATTGTTCTATCTGTGTAGGTCATCTTCAGTGGTGAGACCACCTTCGGATACAAGGAGTGGGACGGTCCCCTGATCCGCATCTCTGGATCGAACATTGCCGTGTCCGGTACCTCCAACCACACCATCAACGGTGGTGGAGAAAGATGGTGGGACGGTGAGGGCTCCAATGGCGGCAAGACCAAGCCCAAGTTCTTCTACGCCCACGGCCTGGACGACTCGACCATCACTGGCCTGAACGTCAAGAACACCCCGATCCAGGCTTTCAGCGTCCAGTCTGACAACATTGTGCTGAGCCATCTCAACATTGACAACTCCGACGGAGATGACAAGGGCGGCCACAACACCGATGCTTTTGACGTTGGTGAGAGCAACGGCGTTACCATCCGCAACGCTGTCGTGAAGAACCAGGATGACTGCCTGGCTGTCAACTCTGGCACCGTAAGTGTTTCTCCTGTCTCGAGCCACATTTCTAGTAGCTGATCGAATTCTTAGAACATCATTTTTACCGGCGGTACCTGCTCTGGCGGCCACGGTCTCTCCATCGGCTCCATCGGTGGCCGTGATGACAACACCGTCAAGAACGTCACCATCTCCCACTCCACCGTCACCAAGTCGCAGAACGGAATCCGCATCAAGGCCAAGTCTGGTGAGACTGGCTCGGTCTCCGGCGTGACCTTCACCAACATCCAGCTTTCCGGCATCACCGACTACGGTGTTGTCATTCAGCAGGACTATGATGGTGATGATGGCAGCCCTACCACTGGTATCCCCATCACCGACCTGACTGTGCAACGTGTTGCCGGTACTGTTGAGGATGACGCGACCCCCATCTACATCATGTGCGGTGATGGCAGCTGCTCCAATTGGACCTGGTCTGGCGTGAGTGTCACTGGTGGCAAGAACGATGAGTGCAAGAACGCGCCCTCTGCTGTGTCGTGCTAAGCGTTGAATAATTTTCCTTGGCCAATCTTGAGAAATAAGAGACAATATCATTCCAAGGAATTAGCTGTGATCGCAATCTTATAGTTACGTACGTTGTAGTGTGATTAGTCAGGCCGCAAGCAGCAAAGCGACGCCAGAACACATACAGGAGTAATATAGTAAACATCCAGCTATATTGTCTCAATAGCATAATTAATTTGCTTTGAATAACTATTTCGAACGAATCCAATGACCTTGTAATCATGTATATATGACAATTCTACTATGTAGATTGGTAGTGTGGACCTTGGGAGCTGCTGGCGATGACGACATTGCTCACCGCAGCAGCTGCAGCACTTCGAATGCATCAAAACAAACCAATGCTCCTCACCTTCCGGCCTTGAAATCTTTCTGTCGATTCAAAAAGCCTCATATTCACGATGCAAGTTCTTCTTCTCGGCGGTCACGGCAAAATTGCCCTTCACCTGACACCACTTCTCCTCAATCGCGCCTGGAACGTGACCAGCGTGGTGCGGAACCCCGACCATGAGAGCGAGATCCTCGAACTCGGCAAGGGTCGCCAGGGCAAGCTGAATGTTCTAGTCACAAGCCTAGAAGACGTCAAGGCTGCCTCGGATGCCCAGAAGATCCTCGACCGAGTAACCCCCGACTATGTGGTTTGGGCGGCTGGTACGCTCGACCCCTCCATCGACCCCCACTTCCGCAGCCGCGTTCGCGGTGCCGACCACCACCACTAAATAACACACAGTTTGCAATGTGCTAATCAACATGCTCAATTCCAACAGGCGCCGGCGGCAAGGGGGACCAGCCAGCACCATCGCGATCGATCAAGAAGCCGCGAAGCACTTCATGACCGCTTCTTTCGCCTCACCCAGCGTAACCAAATTCCTCATGATATCCTACCTGGGTAGCCGCAAGAAGCAGCCTCACTGGATCACGGATGAGCAGTGGCAGGGTATCATCCGCCTCAACACCGAGATTCTCCCTACCTACGCCAAGGCCAAGCAGGAGGCCGATGAGTACATGACTGCACTGGCCGCGCGCCGCAAGCAGAGCGGTGGAGGCCCTTTCCAGGCCATTAATCTGCGCCCTGGTACCTTGACTGATGAACCTGCCTCGGGCAAGGTCGAGCTTGGTATCACGCCTGGCCGTGGCACTGTTGCTCGAGAGGATGTGGCGATCGTTGCGGATCAGTTGCTTGCACGTGAGGATACGGAAGGCTGGATTGATCTGGTGAACGGGAACAAGCCCGTTAAGGAGGCGGTAGAGAAGGTTGCTACTGAGAAGATCGATGCTATTGAGGGTGAGGATGTTGAGGGCATGGTGAAGAGATTCTTTCCCTAGGCGGAAAGAGAATCCTCGAGTTTCTTTCGGGTTAGCATATTTGGAAATATTACCAAAACACATAAATGCGTTTTCGGTATACCTTTACCAGGGTGAGGATTAGCTGCAGAAAGCTTGTCTAGCCTAAGCGTAAGCACTAGCATACCTAGGCCAATGTGAACTATATTAGAAAATGGGCCTTCTGAACGGATGAGGATCTCTGAACTTTGTGCATTGTGCAATCTATAATATTTCTTCTCTATTGATGCAAAATTTTATAGCTTGGCCTTGGGTGCCTCGGCCGCTTCCTTGAACTTCAGCCTCAACATGCGACGCAGGATCTTGCCACTAGGGTTCTTGGGGATCTGATCGACAAAGCGCACACCACCACGCAGACGCTTGTGGTGCGCAACCTTGCTATCTAGCCACTTGACAATCTTGGACGCTTCCTCCTCCTCGCTTGCGCCAGAAGCCTTGCTCTTCGCGCTGCGAACAACACAGGCCAGGGGCACCTCGGACCCATGAGCTTGGCTCTCGATTCCGATTACCGCGACATCATCGATGGCCTCGTTATCCACCAAGAGACCCTCCAGCTCGGCAGGAGGGACCTGGAAACCCTTGTATTTGATGAGCTCCTTCACACGATCCGTGATGAAGAAGTTACCCTGGGCGTCCTGGTATCCCACGTCACCGGTTTGAAACCAACCGTCTGCGCTCAAGCAGTTCCGGGTAGCGGCCTCGTTCTTGTGGTAGCCGAGGAAGATGTTGGGCCCGCGCAGGTACAGCTCACCAACTTCGCCGGTTGCGACCTCGCTCGGTTCCGAGCCATCCTCTGGCATGGTCATGTACTTGGCCTCCATGTTAGGCATCAGACGACCAACGGAGCCAATGTGGTCGCGCCAATCTTCCCACCGCTGGGAGTGGGTGGTGGGGCTAGTCTCGCTGAGGCCGTATCCCTGCTTGATTCCGACCTTGATACGATTCCACACAGCGAGGACAAGCTCTTGGGTCAGTGGCGCGGCGCCGGAGTTCATCATCCGCAAGCTAGACAAGTCGTACTTATCAACCGCGGGGTGTTTGCCCAGCAGAAGAACCACAGGGGGCACAATATAGCTGAAGGTGACACGGTAGTGCTGTACATGCGCGCACCACCTCTCGATATCAAACTTGGTCATGACAATAAGGTGGTATCCCTTGTACAAAGCCTGTGTGATCAGACATGTCAACCCTAGGATGTCAAAGTTAGCAGTCTTCGAAGACCCATTTATCTTTTCCAATCCTTACCATAGATGTGATAGAATGGTAAGAACGCCAGCAATTTGTCGCCTTCCCCATTCGGGCCTCCGTTCCAGCTCAGATTGCCTCCTTCTCCAGTGGCTTGCTGCATAATGTTGGCAATGATATTCCGGTGCGAAAGGCAAACTCCTTTAGGAACTCCGGTGGTTCCCGAGGAGTAGGGCAAGACGGCAATATCGGTCTCTGGGTTGATCTTTTGTTTGCGATACCGAGTGGCACGGGAGATATTTCTGACGGATGTAAAGTGCTTGGCGCGATAGGTACCTCCTTCGGCACCGCGCTCGACAAGCATAATATGGTCCTCGGGAATGCCAGCCTTCTTGGCTGCAGCCGTCGCAACAGGTAGGAGAAACTCCTGTGTCGCAAGAGCCTTGGCGCCAGAGTTCTCTAGCTGAAAGGCTAATTCCTCGACAGTATAAGCCGGGTTGGCAGGGGAGATGATGCCTCCGGCCCAGAGCGCACCCCACATCAACACGGGGGTGTCGATGCTGTTCGGAGTGAAGAGGGCCAATACATCGCCCTTTTTCCAGTCATAGGTTGCCTTTAGGCCCTTTCCAAATTCCAGAGAGGCCTCTTTCAAGGTCTTGTAGGTGTAGTGACGCTGGGATTCGGCATCCTGATAGATGACTGGGATGCGTTAGCACGAGGTCTCGTGTCGCGCTGTTGCTCTAGTATCCTTACTTTTGTCATCTGGGAAAGGCCTGTCCTTGCGCTCGAACAGGAATGACCAGAGGTCGACATTGGGGATGTCGACCGTCGGATAATTGGAGGCGACGGGCATATTGCGGGGGAAGAGAAAATTTAGGCGTCGATCCGGGGTTGACAAAAGGACCTCAGGGAGATGGGAGTCCGCAGGCCGTCTGTTGAGTGCAAATTAATGTCAGGTGTAAAGTATTGTGAGAGCTATGAGCGAGGAAAGGCAAGAGGTCTTGCTTTCTCCGCAGTGTCGGTACTTTGAGGTTCGGTCTGCCTCGGCCCATCGTTACATTCGACCGTTGGGGTAGCCAATACCCGAATCCGCCTCCACTTTGGGTCGGAGTTAACGGAATTCGAACACTGACTTATTCCCTTCACTGAATGTCCTTAGGCTTTCGTCACTGGGTCTCTGGTGGAACAGGTTCCAGAATGCTTACATTTACCAAGAGACAAATCAAATAACGGCTCTCTCGGCGTTTTCGCGGCCGATCGACAAATAAATGCAGGAACCACGCCTAATACTCCGGGAGAGAATTCCCCGATGGTCATGATGCTTTAGTTGAATTAGCTACCTTACACGGTAGGTCGCTGTGTAATTTTGTTGAGATTCTACGATATTGTTGATCATGATATATATTGGTCGTGTGCTCACCGAGATTGGGTCAGAGACCGACAATCATTATCCACGAACTCCTAATTCGAAGGCCGACATGGAGTACCTTAGCATACATTTGTCGCAGAATGAAGAAAACCATTTTTATTGTGTTCCGTACTCATCTCACCCGAACAATATATTGCCTACATGAGCCACAGTAGATACGCATCAATAATCCTCGACAGCACCGTGCAGCATATTAAGTAGCATTGGTAGGAATCCGGGGAGAGGCGCCGAGCATTAGGTCGTGGTAGCGTGGAAGTCGGTGCTGCTAGATACTAGTGTATCCATGGCAAGGCATAGTACAAAGGGTACGCTCAAACGCGAGTCGCTTCGTATTCCCATTTATTTAATACTGCTTTCGTGCAATGTGTTAAGGCCGTAAGAACGAATCAGAGGCCAAGTGTTGCCAACGAAGCCAGTCCGAGTCGCTTCTTATGCTGAGTGCACGACTGTAGTTCTAGCTTGACCGAAGAGTACACCAGGATATTATTGTATGTTAGGGCTCCTGAAATATAGATGTTGGTGCGATGGTTCACATTACTGGGCGGATTTACGAGACTGCAGAGCGGAGGAGATTCCAGATAACTTTTTTGTTTTCATGCCGACAAGATCTTTATTCAAATGGAAACCGCTGATCCGATCTGGAAATACAAGCTGAATAAAGGAACCCATAACAGAACAGCGCTGGTTTCCATTTTCGTTTCCCAGCACCTTTCTCCACCACGCGCCACTCCAAGGGGAATCGTTGAGGTCGTTTACTTCAGGGGGATGAAACGGGAAGAGTGGGTAGCACCGATACCGGGACGACCGTGCTTGACGGGCTTGCTGTTGGGTTGTTAGAACTGCTGGTTGAGATGACCGGGACATTGAACACATACTAGGAGATAGAGAACTCAGCCAGGTAGTGGCCAACCATCTCAGGCTTGATCTCAACCTGGTTGAACTCCTTGCCGGAGTAGATACCGATGACGGAACCGATCATCTCGGGGACAACGATCATGTCACGGAGGTGGGTCTTGACGAGGTCGGGCTTCTCGTTGGGCTTGGCCTCCTGCTTAGCCTTGCGGAGCTTCTTGATGAGACCCATAGGCTTGCGCTTCAGACCGCGGTTGAAGCGACGGCGGGCACGAGCGTGAACGACATCGCGGAGCTGCTCGGAGGAAAGGTCGAGGAGCCTATCAAAAGTTTGTTAGATTGACGTCTTTCAAAAATTTGGAGCCCGATATCTAAGCAGCATGACGACCAGTATTCTCCGAGAGATAAGCCGGGCGAATACGAGATGTTTTTGCCATGACAATTGTCCCTTGAACCCAGTCTCACACTGCAACGATTTTGGTGGGCGGAAGGGTTGTCGGGTAAACGTACTGGTCGAGGTCAATACCGCGGTAAGAAAACTTGCGGAACTGTCTTCTCTTCTTGATCTCTGTTGAGCGGATAAACAGTCAGCGGTCTGGCGTTCTTGTTCGGTCGGTATGTGCGCGCCCATTCCCCTTTCGTCGATGCCACTTCATTGTGTCGTCCTTCAACCACCATCCTTGTCGTTCCGTTCCAACTTCCATCCCAGCATTTTCCAGTGGCTCGATACCATTTCGGGGCGGAGGGGATGTGTAGGGAAATGTGTTGATGCAAGACGTACCGGCAGCCTCCTCGGCGTTCTGAAAGAATCTTCGTTAGCGTTCACTGTTGGCAGGATGTGCGACCGGCAGGGTACTCACGTATTCGCTGTCAGCCATTTTTGCGGTGGTTTCCTTGGAGCTCGCTTTTCGAACGGTACCTCGAAAAGCGAAGGAAGATGGGTTGTCGGAAGTTTGTCGTGTCGCTGAGCGGATCGTCTGGCGCACCGAACTGGTGAGGTGGGCAGGGCTCGCCTAAGCGACGGGTAGGTTAAACCCTAACACGCTAGTCTTCTTTGGTTAATATAGCCTTCCCCGTGTAACGTATTGTCACGTAGCTGAAATCACTCTTTCGATCGACAAAGCGCCCCGCAGAATCTCGGTGAACAGTCTTGTACCTTTGATTGTACGAGCTCGTAAGAAGAATACATACTCTACTACCAAGGTCCGTCCCATCGGTGGTCAGCATCTATGTATGATATCAAAGCGCTCCAATCGCGAAATTGTTATGGCTTAGTTTTGCTTGTTCTTGAAGGCAGACTATTGATGCCAAGTCATCGGTTCTGCTAGCAAAATCGAATGGTAAATGAAGCGCTTATCGCGATTCTCATTCCAGCTACATCCTACGTAAAAACGAGTTGTGGAGGACAGATAAATCTGTATTGGCTAGGAGCTATTTTCGGCTCACATATGAGAAAGTCGTAACTGCATCAGAACAGCCTGGACGTTGCACATTTGAGGAACCAGCCGGCGAAGATGACTCTCGAACTGGCTGCACCATGCAGATGTCTGTTCCCCCGTATCGTCACTTTTTAGAGTTCCTAGAGGAAGGCATTTAGTCGAACAGACCGAAGCCCATGTCCTCATCGGACTCCTCCTTCTCCTCCTCCTTCTCCTCGGCGGCGGGGGCAGCGGCGTCACCACCGGCAGCGGGGGCGGCAGCGGCACCAGCACCACCGGAGGGAACGGAGGCGAGCTTGGTGGTACCCTCAGCAATCAGCTGCAAATTAAAAGTTAGGATCGTTCACTGGTACGTATGGAGTTCATGCGGTGGGTACTGACCTCCTGGATATCCTTGCCCTGAAGCTCAGCGATGACCTTGTCGAGGCGCTCGGAGTCAGCGTCAATGCCGACGGAGGAGAGGACACCCTTGATGTCGGCAGCGGAGGGAGACTCGTTGCCAGCGAGGGCGAGGAGCAGGTAAGCGGCGAGGTGCTTCATTTTGAATAGACTGCCAAAAATTTGTCGTCAGCGTCCGTCGAATATTGAAGGTTGGCGAGGATCGCGCGGTCGTGTTATGTCGGTGGGAAGAGGGCGAAAGAAAACTCACCTGAATTGTCTTTATTTGAACTTGAGAAACAATCGATTTAACCGCAAGTTGGGCGGAGACTGCAACGTCGAGTTCGAGGTTGGTTGAGGAATAAGTCACGGCGTGCCGCAAAATTGAGTGAAAAGTGCGATGCGGCTCGTTGTGGCTGTGTCACCGCCTGGCAGAAAACCTAAGCGAGTGTGGCGCGCATACAATCACGTGACACAAAGCCATCCGTCCAAGTGGATGTCGGGTCCAGTGAATGTCCTTTGATCGCCCCCGCCCATCCAGGTCTTTGCTTTGCCCTGAACTATTCAAGTCTGCTGGCGGACCTTTGTCTTCTCCTCGAATCCACCTACTCCGTTTTACCCTCCAGGAACGCCCCTTCAGCTCTGTCAGGAGTGTTCCAACATATGGTATCGCGCTCGGAGTCATGAAGCTGCCCAGTCGAACTAACCATCGACGGTAAACGGTTTCGACTCCCCACACAACCTCTGGAACATCTCGAAGTTGAGATCTGTCTACTTAGGCCGTGCCAAAATGAGTGTATGTTGCTTCGATCCTTATGCTTCTAGAGCTTCTCTAACATCTGATCCAGTTCCTCGATTCCGTTCTTTCGTCCCTCGAGTCGGGAAATTCCTCCCAAGACCGGATCTCTCGACCTCCTGCTGCGCCCGTATCCTCATCCGCTACAAAGAAAGACGATAAATCGTCTGGAAATTTTGCGCGACAATCCGCTCCAAATGGAACTGTGACTGGGAACACGACTGGAGGAATCAAGCGCAAGGCGGAGGAGCAGCTACCCCGTCTCCCGAGACCTGATGGCCAAACTCCTGGACTGTTGAACACTAAGCCTGCGATTCCCTCTGTTCCGCCCAAGGTCGTTCCAGGCGTTCCCAAATCGGCGTCTGCTCCCAGTCTGAAGACTAAAACAACGTCGCCAAAGCCGGTTTCCCGAAATGTCGCAACAGGCCAAGCCAAGCCCGCTTCAAAGCCTGCGCCAGTTAAGGCTACCCCCGTCAAACCTACTCCCTCCAAACCTACCGCCCCGGCAAAGCCACCTCCAAAAGGATCGTTCGCTGCTATCATGGAAGCGGCCAAAGCCGCGCAAGGCAAAGCACCTTCCCAGATCGGTGTAATTCGCCACCAGTCGGCGCCCAAGGAGAATTTGAGTAAAGTTGAGCGCCAACGTCGACTTTTGGAGGCCCAGCAAAAGAAGAAGGCTGAGCAGAAAGGTCAACGATTCGAACCAAGCTCATTATCCAAGGGCAAGGTTGTCGGAAAGAAGGCTGAGCCCCAGGTGTCTTCGTACAAAGGAACTGCCAAGCCATCGAAAGCTCCGGAGCCTGCCGCTTATCGTGGAACTGCCAACCTGCCTTCAAAGCGGAGCAACAACGATCGCCGTCAGAACGGCAGACGTCGGGTGGACGAATACCTCGGGACCGATGAGGAAGACGAAGGTGACTACGGAGGCGGTGGTTACGATGACTACTCGGACGCGTCCTCTGACATGGAAGCTGGATTTGACGATGTTGCCAACGAGGAAGACACCGCTTTAAAATCTGCCCGTCGTGAAGATGAAGAAGAATTGCGGATGGAGATGGCCGCGAAGAAAGCGAAGTTGCAGCGCCAGCAGAAGCTGGCCGCTCTTGCATCCCGAACCAAGCGCTGAACATTTTTGCCAACCTTCATTCAAGTATTTACTGCTCGTTGATTCGCCTTTTTTTTTTTTTTTTTTTGCTTTATTTGCGGGGTTAGGTCTTTTGCTAAGCATTCTGAGCGTTTCTGGGGTATCGATTCGATAGATGGAGCTTCTCTATCTTTATTAAAGCCCGAGGGTTTTCTGAACATCCACATAGCGGGCGTCATTTTATTACTAACATACTATCATTATGGGATTTTTGTTTTCGGGAATTTGAACATGATTTCAGTCTGATGTTGCGTGCCTGCTGTAGTAGATAGTAGATGTAGTGTCTGCCTCGATTGCAGGGGGTACAAACCTGTCGACACTTGGCGCGCCCCACCTCGCTGTGACATCACCCGCCTTGAGCTGTTCACTCTTCAGGTCCTTCTTTCTTCCTGTCCCCATTTTTTCTCAATTACCTTCAACATACACACCATGGAGTCAGTCCATCATGTATCGGCGTCATCGAAAATCCTCTTCGGCAAGGTGCGCAAGATTGTGCCGCCGATGCTTGAGAAATTCCACAAAGGTTAGTCAAGCACTCGCAACCTTAAGAGACGCGGTGACCGTCAAAGTTGGGCTCGTTTCCGCATGATCAAAGTATCTAACTGTTGAACAGGACAACTTGGACGCGTAGCGGTCATTGGAGGCTGTGCTGAGTGCGTCTCTCACCCATCTGGTTGGATGTGAGCTAACAATTGCGAAAGCTATACGGGAGCCCCATACTTCTCAGCTATAGCATCTGCAAAACTCGGTATGTCACAAAGATTGCATCCAATTTCCAATATTCCATAACTGACACAAGAATTTAGGATGTGACATGGTATGTCAGCCATGTGTCGTTCGAAGATCGATCATCTAACAATCTCCAGAGCCATGTTCTCTGCGAACGTTCCGCAGCCCCGGTATTTAGACCACTTGCCATTCTCAGTTCTTCAACTGCTAACACTATGCAGGTCGTCAAGAGCTATTCTCCAAACTTGATGGTGCATCCATTGTTGCCCAGTACCGACACGGTCAGGGATCCTAAGTCAATTGACGCTCCGGCGCTTGCGGGCCCCATTATTTCCATGCTCTCACGCTTGCATGCGCTGGTCATTGGACCGGGACTCGGCCGTGACGGGGTCACGCTCAAGGTGGTCACGGAGGTGATCAAGGAGGCCCGGTCACGGTCGATCCCGTTCATACTGGATGCAGACGGACTGTTGATTGTGACAGAAGACCCCAATCTCATCAAGGGCTATAAAGAGTGCATCCTGACTCCGAATGTCGTTGAGTTTGGTCGTCTGGCAAAGGCCTTAGGTGTCAAAGTGGCCAGTCAGGTCGATATTGCAAAAGACGGGAATGGCGACAAGACCAGCAAGGAGTCGGATGCGTGCGAGGAGCTGTCCAAAGCTTTAGGTGGTGTCACAATTCTCCAAAAAGGTCCCCACGACGTGATCTCAAATGGAGTCACCAGCATTATTTCCGATATCAAAGGGGGTCTGAAGCGCAGCGGTGGACAGGGGGATACCCTGACAGGATCCCTTGGTACCCTGCTCGCCTGGCGAGCTGCCTACCACAACAAGCTGTGGGACTCGGGAGAGAAAGACAACGAGAAGGAGGCGCAGAGCAGGGATGATGTCCAGACGGAACTAGATTCCGAGGGCAAGCGAATGTCTCCGACAACAACCCTTCTTCTGGCTGCATGGGCAGGTAGTAGCATTACGAGGGAATGCTCACGACGAGCCTTCGAGGCCAAGGGGCGGAGCATGCAGGCTAGTGACCTAACTGACGAGGTGCATGAGAGTTTCTTGAGGCTGATTGGAGAGCCCGAGGATTCCAAGACACATCTCTAGGCTACTGAACGGCTTGTATGACTGGATGTGAGCTTTGATGTAGGAATGGACATCCTGTTGCTCAAGTCCATGCCTCACAATCCCCGCCCGGACCATTCAACGAGACTACTTGGATATCAATAGAATATTCTTGACTACACCTCTCAATCCTTATCCTTTTCGGTGTGAATAAATCGAATTCGTGGCGGTACCTGCATACCCCGAGAGCCTCGAACCTGCATCTGTGCCATCTCGGATTACAGACTTTTGAGGTTTCAATTATGGCGGGGCTGACATTGCGATGAAGCTCGCGATGTTAATACAGTTGATCGTAGGGTAGAAACTATCCTGAACTTAGAAACCACCTTATGCAAGCACGGAACATTCGGCAAAAGTTACTTCATCCTTGCTCGTATAGCAGGTACCTGACGAGTATCATAGTCAATTCTCCACATCTGTACATAAGCAGGGTCCAGTACTCTCGAAGTTAGGCGTCCAATAGATTGTCGAGAGCCGAGGCGTTAGCGTACATAAGGCTCACATCGCATCAAAGAATAGATATGTCGATCGCAGTGCGATGCTAAAGTAGTACGAGGTACATGTGGCCATAGCTTTTGAACCCAATTTTGATGGATTCAAAACACAACCAACCACGCGGGCCGAGGGGACATTCCTGAATTGGAATCGTATGACGAGTTTGCAGGTGACTGTTCTCCAGCTGGAACTCTAAATAGGCGAACCTGATGTCTGGGCCGAATATTTGGGTTTGTCGAGTTCTATGTTGGATCTTCCTAATCCGCATTAGACAACTCTATTTATCTTGGACATTATCTAGATTAGCCTCGAACTCAGCATTATAACGGTGAATCCCTACAGACAATTATCGGAAAGGTAATCACTTGAAGAAAAATAACCAAGCGGTGAAGGATAATACATGCAGCGAGACGCCAATTGTATTCCCCGCATCTTCAAAAATGGACTGGGGAAAAAGGTTGGTTTCTGGATCCGGGTCGAATAAGGGCCGTCCAAGTGAGACAAAGAACATCCTATGCAGCTACAGCCCCAAGCCAGAAGAGGGCTAGCCTAGCGAGACCCTGCTTCTGTGCTGGCAAGCTATTCCCCCGCTCTCCCAGGGACAAGCATCGAAGGTGTCTGGGGCCCTTGTTCCAGATCTCGTATTCGCGCCACGCCCAAAACCGGTGGTGGTGGCTCTGCACCCCGGCCTATCCGATTGTGAGTACATCCATGCAATGACTCTCAGCTTTGGGGCTGGTAGGTAACTCCTCCGATCATGTTACCTAGCTTTAGGGCATGCATTTTTTTTGTACTTGCTCAATATACTGTCTCATTCACATTTACAATTTATTTTCTATTTTTTGGGCCATTTCCAGTGAGACCACGGCTGACGGCCTCGTGATATCCTTGCAAGCCAAGAGGTCAGAACTGCATAAGCAACGTATCTATTACTTTACCAATTGTTTTTTCCGGAAGAGAATCCTATATAAGGAGGATCTCACCCGGATGATATCGCCATCATCTCTTCATCTTGCGAATATTATCAAGAATCAAACTCTACTGCTCATATCCTCCTTGCTATCCGCCATGCAACTGTCAATCATTGCTCTGCTGGCCACTGCGGCTGGTCTGGCCCTGGCCAATCCTTCTCCTCCCCCGAAGTGTGGTACTTGCAACCCTCTGTCTGGCCAGAACAGTTGCGATATCACCACCTCGTGCATCAACACAGGAAAGACCTTCCACTGCGCCTGCCGTGCCGGTTATAAGGCTTCCAAACGCAACAACGATATCTATTCGCAGTTCCGCCTGCCGATGCCCAACTACGAGTTCCTGGTCTTCGTTCCTGAGAACACCGTTTGTAACACTCTGTGTGACAACCCATACTCTGCTCCGGCGGATCTGTGCAAGGAGGTCCGCCTGTATGACAAGTGTGTTGTCTAAGAGAGCATTGTATTGCTGAAGAGTTTGGGAAAGATTGGGTGACGACGTCGTGTTCAATGTGTCGGTGGTGTATCATGATTGACGTACAAGATTGAACACTTCACTAGCTCGAAGATGCTGTAATTAGCAGACCAAGTCAAGAAGGCTTTGAGCTTCCAATCCTAGGATCATTTATCACATGAAATATGACATGAAGAATTCGATAAGCATTGAACTGGAGCTGCATAATCTTTTCATTGCCCAAACATATTGCAAAAAACCGACTCCTGACCCCGGAAGGACACCTGAACACCCATCGCCCCAAATTCTACCGGTTCCACTGATGCATCTGAATGCACGCATAAAAACATTGTAGAAGACAGAATAGAACAGAAAGGGGATAAATTAAGAAAATATTGTCATTAGGCAACCATCTCGTCGTCACCCTCGACGAAAACAAGACGCGAGCCCTCGCCGGTAATAAGCCAGACCTAAGAAGAGATAGTTAGAACCAAGATTTGTCGTGGATTGAAGAGAGGAACTTACACCAAGCTCGGCATACTCATGCAGGGTAGTAGTGAGTTGATCATCGGTGAAGCCCTTGGCCAAAACACGTTCGCGAATACGTCTGATGCTCATTTCGCTGTCATCGCCCTCTCCCATTGCGGCAGCACCACTCTCACGCAGGCTACCAATCAACTTGTAGATCTTGCTGCTAGGAGTGTGGTCGACTCCAGACTCGCCATCGTTGTACAGAGAAGCCTTGCTGACCTCAATGAGACGGAGAGCCTCATCAACATCCTCGCGGACAACTTCCTCGCTGAAGCGAAGACGTGCCAGTGCCTGCGAGAGACGAACAATACCAAGAAGGGTACGAGGAGTGACGTGGGAGAATTGCTTCTTGTTTGCTTCATCCTTCTTTTGTCTCTTACGCATGGCAACGTAAGCGCCAACCATGTAGTCAGAGACGGTGGAAGGCACGACAGGTCGGAAAGTACGTGCCTTGGCAATGTATTGACGGACCTCATGTGGTGTGAACATGATACCAGTGTCCTCATTCTCAGGGTGCTTGTTGTGCATGTGCACATAAGTAACGTGGTTGGCAAGCTCCTCGTCACCCTCCGGGGTCGGGGTATCCAGAAGCAGGAACATCACATCGAAACGGGACAGCAGAGCAGCGGGGAGGTTGATGTTCTCAACGGGAGATACACGGGGGTTGTACCGTCCGTACAAGGGGTTGGCCGCAGCCAGGATGGAAGTGCGGGCGTTCAGGGTGGTGGTAATACCAGCCTTGGAAATGGAAATGGTCTGCTGTTCCATCACTTCGTGGATAGCGGTACGGTCCGAGTCTTCCATCTTGTCGAACTCGTCAATACAGCAAATACCATTATCAGCAAGAACCAGTGCACCTCCCTCCAGCATCATCTCGTCGGTGACCGGGTCTCGCATCACAGCCGCAGTAAGACCGACGCCACTGCTACCACGACCGGTGGTGTAGACACCACGAGGAGCAACCTTGGTAATATAACGAAGCAATTGTGATTTGGCCACACCAGGGTCACCCATCAAGCAGATGTTGATATCACCACGAATGTGCATACCGTCGCCCATCTCCTTGGTGACACCGCCAATCAGAAGCAGAAGCAATGCCTTCTTCACATCAAGATGTCCGTAAATTTCGGGAGCGATCGAGCGAGAGAGATATTCGTACATGTTGCCCGACTTCTGGTGCTGTTCAATTTTGCGCAGAGTCCGACTGTCCATGCCAATGTCGTTGTAAGACTTCTTATGCTGGGTAATGTGCTGAGCCTCGAGGTAGGTATCGGTCAAGAGGCCGGCGCGAATGGCACGGAATCCAGTGTAGGGGGTAGGCAAGAAGATGCCAGCAATGTCAACGACATCACCTGGGTTCAACTGACGGGTCTGGGCGCCGTGGCAGTGAACAGTGAGAGTTCGGGGGATGTGGCCAACGGGCACTTGATCCGCCATTTCCTGGATCTTCACCTCCTGGAAGGGAACGAATTTGGAGGCGCGGGTCGAGAGGAAGAGCTGGCCCTTGGAGTTGTTCGCCTTGCACTCGTTGGACAAGCATTCGGAGAGGGGAAGGAACTGCTTGGTGGTGATAGGCTGGAAAACCTCGCAACCGCATCGGTCACAGGTGTACGCGTTGATTTGAACGGCGGGCTTGACATCGGAGACACGAGTGGTGATGCCGCGAACAGTAATCAGACTGCCCAGGTGCTCGCCTCGCACATTTCGGACGGCAAGAGCCTTTCCAGCGCGGTCATCACTGGATGCGGAGGGAGTAAGAGGCTTGAAGTTCAGGGTGTATCGGCGGGTGAGTTCAGGGGGGAACATGGACGCAGCGTCCGCAGTATCCATGTCGGCCTCCATGGCCATCTCCATTGTCTCATTGCGCTTATCACGTTGCGACATGATGACATCCAGAACATCGTCCTTGAAACTACACAGTGTCAATTCAGCGAAATACTATCCATGTGAATGTGCGTTGACATACGTGACATCCTTGGTTTCCTTGGGCATGATCGCATCCACCGCCTGCGAAACGACATCGATGTAGCGCTTGGTGTTTTTCTGGATCGATTCGACTAGCTTCAGACTCTGTTCCTCGGGAATGTTTTTCTCATACTATAGTATATTGCGGTCAGCGATTGAACTGAGAGAGGCGCAATAGGAAACAAGACTCACAACATCCAGATCATCAAGCTCAATCACGATATTCGAAACGTCGCGGTTGGCGATATCTTGCAGAATCTGCATGTACTTGAGCTTCGGCTCGCGGTGCCTCCTGGCACTCCGAGTTTGCGCTCCAGCGCCATCTTCGGCGTCGTCCATGAAGTCGTATTCATCACTGGTGCGGTTTCCGTCAATGTTCAGATCCTCCATCGCCTCGGTCGCGGCGGCTTCCGAGGTCGACTGGAGGGTCTTGAAGTGCTGCAGAAAATCTTTGAAGCCATCCAATTGCGCGGCATAGTCAACCGGCGCCTGGTACTGGAGCAAAGCCATGGTGGATGGTGGGGGTGGTGCTCCGAATGTCAATTTAGAGAGGGAGGACGTAAAGTGGTGGAGAGTCAGAAACTAATGGGCTTAAGCCCCTAGCGGGCGGCAACGCTGGGCGACGCGTGGAACAGGCCAGCGCGCGACTAGACGCGTCCGACGCGTTCTGGTATGTGGCTGACTAAGAGGTACCGATCTTAGTCATTCCTCGAAGAACCCGTGGATAAGTCACCTGACTGACCTTCACGGGCCGAGGCTAGGACGGGTGTGGAGAGAGACTCCGGGGGAATCCCACTCCTCAACTTCCCATCTGTGTGCGACAACAGCTTGCGCCTTGACCATGGCGCCCAAGAAGCCTTCCACAACGGCAGAAGTGGCCCTGGTGCCCCTGAAAAACTGTCTTGTCAACCTTCCGCCGTCACTTGTCTCTCTGCTGGTCAATGCCAATACGGTTAGTTACCTGCTTCGGCCAATGCCGCTGTGAAGTTGCCGACTAACAACTCGTTATTGAAGCCTGCTCAAAATGTGATCATTGAGTTTCAGTTCAAGTCAACTAGTAGCAAGTCCAATGGTGCTCCTCCGCAGCGATCCTGCTACTTGGGTTGGACGGGAATGCCGAGCAAGCGTAAGCTTGCGCCGGTCGTCGCCCGAGATGGTGGTTTCTCTCGAGAGCAAGAGATTTCAACTGTTGAGATCGATACTACGTTCAGTAGGCTACTGGGCCTTACCGAAGGACAGAAGGTATGCACTTCCGTCATACCTAGCTGGAACCCACGTGTGGGGTAACTGATTCCTTGCAGGTCGGACTTCTCGTACACCTCGATCCACCCGTTGCGCATACCATCAATATCGAGCCATTAACCCCGGAGGACTGGGAGAGTATGTCTGCCCACAAACCAGCTTTTGATTTGGTTGCTGATCGTTCTTATCGTAGTTATTGAGCTCCACGCCACCTTCCTGGAACTCAATCTCCTGTCGCAGATCCGGGCCCTTCCCAATCCTTCCTATGATGCCTCACAGGAAGAGCACATGCACCCATTGGCGCTTCACTTATCTCCCACATCTACCGCGAATATCGTCGTCACATCACTCACTCCCGCCCCGCCAAATACGTCGCCATTTGCAAAGATTGCGCCGGATGCCGAGGTCATCGTCGCCCCGAAGGTCCGATCGAAAACCCCCAAGTCGCCCCGCGGGGACAGTCGAAGCACAGCAGGTAGTAGCAGGAGAAGCGCTGGTGGGCGAAGTGCCAGCAGCACAGTCCGCCCCAAGAGCAGCCGCTCCGACTCCAGTAGCAGGGGTTCTCTATACCTGAGAGGCGTGGACCGTCAGACCGCATCTGAAATGTTTGAGCCTGAAGAGGAAGAAGATGAAGATGATGGGCTTCGAATCTGGGTTGACCTGGATCTACTTACATCTCATGAATTGCGAGGCGCAAACTGGGCTTCTGTATCCATTGTGCAGCCCTCGGGCCTGAAACCTCCCGTGGACCCTCAGCAGCGACTTGCTCAACAAGAGCAGAAAAACAACGAAGCAGGCTCTCCAACAACCAAATTGGTCGCCAAGCTCCTTCCTTGGGAGGATGCCCCAGATAGCCGTCATGTGGCAATGTCGACTTTGTTGTGCACGGCCTTGGGCGCCGAAAATATAGTTGGTGGTATAATCAGAGTGGAAGCTGCACCGCCGCAGCTTCATCGATCTGCTGTCAAGACGCTCAAACTATACCCATTCATTGCCGATCCGTCGAAGAAGAAGGATGGCCTGAAGTTCGGTGCAGACACGGCAGCTTCTAGGGATGCCCTCGCTGAGCGACTCAAGGTTATCTATGGAAGTACCGGGTCAGACGTTGGGTTATTTTCAGGACCTTTGACTGATGGAATGGTTTTACCCAAGGTCGAAAACCACCCCTCCGTCTCTTCGTTTGATGGTGCTATTCTTCGATTCGATCCTCCCTTGAAGGGTGGACAGGAAGAGACCAAGACGATTTTCGGGTGGCTCCTTGGCTCCGAGGCGAAGATTAACCTGGAAGTACAGGCTGAAATTCCCAAGCCCTTCGATATAAATGCATCCGCCCTTCCCACGGATGATCCCATCCCCTCGGAGGTCCCTCAGCTGGTTGGAATCGATTCCATTATCTCTCAGTCACTCACCAACTTAATAAAGTCCTCATCTATTTTGCTGACTGGAGGACTTGGTGCTGGAAAAACAGCGCTCACTCACCTTCTGGCCCATCGCCTTCGGAAGGAGCACTTGTTCAATGTCAAATACTTCTCTTGTCGCAAGTTGGTCACGGACGAGACCAGAATTTCCAACATCAAAGAAGTTCTGAACCGTCTTTTCATGTCAGCTTCCTGGTGTGCTCGTCTTGGTGGGCAGGCGGTCGTGATCTTGGACGACCTTGACAAGCTTTGCCCAGCAGAGACGGAGCTACAGGTCGGCGGTGACAATGGCCGCAGTCGCCAGAACAGTGAGGTTATCTGTTCGATGGTCCGCGAATATTGTTCGATGAATTCCTCCGTTGTCCTGATGGCTACCGCTCAGGACAAGGAGTCTCTGAACAATGTCATCATCGGAGGCCATGTGGTCCGTGAAATCATCAACATGCGTGCTCCTGACAAGGAAGGACGTCGGAAGGTTCTGGCGAATCTCACTAGCCAAGACAGGCCCAGCGAGTCTCTCAATGGCCATGTACGAGCTACAAGCTCCTCCACTCAGGATACGTGGTTGGACCCCTCGAATCCTGGCAGTCGGCCGAGCTCTTCCGGGGGCGATGGATTTGTCTTAGACCGAGAGGTGGACTTCCTGGAGCTGGCCGGTAAGACTGATGGGTACATGCCCGGCGATCTTGTCCTGTTGGTTGCTCGTGCCCGAAACGAGGCCCTTATTCGCTCTGTTCAAGATCTAGCATCCGAGGCAAAGATGATCACCCTCGGGTCGGAAGACTTCGAAAGCGCATTGAAGGGCTTCACGCCTGCATCCCTTCGCAACGTCACCCTTACCTCTTCTACGACGACCTTCTCTGCGATTGGTGGTTTGTTTGAAACCCGCAAAATGCTGCTGGAAACCCTGCAGTATCCTACCAAATATGCGCCCATCTTCGCTCAATGCCCTCTTCGACTACGGTCTGGTTTACTTCTGTACGGCTTTCCCGGTTGCGGTAAAACGCTCCTGGCTAGTGCTGTTGCAGGCGAATGTGGTTTGAACTTCATCAGTGTGAAGGGTCCTGAGATTCTCAACAAATACATCGGTGCTAGTGAAAAGAGTGTTCGTGATCTCTTCGAGAGAGCTCAAGCCGCCCGGCCCTGTATTCTCTTCTTTGATGAGTTCGACAGTATTGCGCCTAAGCGTGGACACGATTCTACTGGTGTCACTGATCGTGTTGTCAATCAACTTCTCACTCAGATGGACGGTGCCGAAGGTCTCTCGGGTGTCTATGTTCTTGCAGCTACATCTCGACCTGATCTGATTGATCCTGCTCTGCTGCGTCCTGGTCGTCTCGACAAATCTCTTCTCTGCAACATGCCTAACCACGCAGACCGCGTCGATATCATTAGAGCCGTTAGCTCAAAGTTGAAGATGACCGATGATGTTGCATCTCGCTTGGACGAAATTGCCGCACGAACTGAGGGTCTTTCTGGAGCCGATCTTCAGGCTGTCGTCTACAATGCCCACCTGGAAGCCGTTCACGATGCGCTTGGTGATCGATCCGCTGATGAGAAGCCCGGTGCCAAGTCGAATGCCACCAAGAATGCTTCCGCCAGTTCTTCCAGCCGATCATTCATTCAATTTCTCTACTCTTCCCAGGAGGAAGCTTCGGGTTCTTCGGCTCTGCCACCACCCGCCGTGGTCGCAGCCAAGCTCGAGGCTATCAAGAATTCTCGTCGTCGGCAACGTCAAATTGAGAACGGAGCTGCCAATAACGGTTCCGCGGCCGCCCCCGCTACCAACGGCGCCGAACCCTCCGCAGATGAGATGCGGGATGAGATCATGGTGCGGTGGGAGCATGTTGAACGTTCTCTTGCCACTACGCGCTCGTCTCTTAGCTCTACTGAACGAAGACGGCTCGAGGGAATTTACCGCGAGTTCGTCGTTGGCCGAAACGGCGAGATGCCGAACGGCGAGGCTGCCAATGAGATTGGTGGTCGATCGAGCCTGATGTGATTTAATAACTCTTGCGTATAGGGGATCCTTCTACATTGTATATATAGACTTGCATATCTATTTGATGTTTGCCCCCAGGCTCCTTTTTGTACTTATTGAGACAGCATGAATTGAACTTGCAGTTGTACATTGCTTTTTGGAAATCTAAAATGATTTCATCGTTCTGAAATTACAAGGCATGTTATTTCTTAATTACTCAATAAGATATTCTCACTGCTTGTAGATGTCCTTCCCAAGCCAAATGCGTGGTGCCTACACACCTTTCTTTTGTGGTGGGTAAACAAATCACATGTGAACATACCACGGTACCTGCCACTTCTCTCTCCCATTTCTCCCCGGTGCAAACATCCAAGTCTCCACACCCCGACCAACTCGATCGCCAAAATGGTGTCCGGCGGAGTAGCTGACACTTGTGAGGATGACACTGATGAGGATGACACTGGCGACGATGACACTCGTGAGAATGACACTCGTGAGGAAGACACTCGTGAGGAAGATGCTATTCTCAGGAGAATTGCACGCGCCCAACCACACTCCGGAGATGATGAAGACCTCCTCGAGATGGTCCAGGCAATGGCAGTGATGCCCGGACACCTCCTCCCGGCTCCCGCAAATCAGCTGAGCAGGCTCCGCAACACCCTCTCACCTTTGATCAGACAAATTTCCGAGCTGCAGCGGGATCCAGAGCGTAACTGGACAGATGAGTTTCTCATTTACGTGACAGCGCAGTCATTCCCGACCCAGCCGCCACGATCGACAGTGGAAGCCCTGAGCAACTTGCCGATGAATAACCACGTTTCCGATGACTCTCGACTTCTTCCCCTTAATATCCGAGTTTTCTTTTATGTCCTGCCTAACCTCTACCTTCCTGGTACCTCGCCTCCTCATCATGTCCGGAGAGGTCCTCGTCTAGGTATTTGTCTGGTGGGCTGGCTTCGAGTGTGTATATCCTTTCCTTCGGTCTAATGGGAACATGGGGCATACATCGTGTTCTGGCAGTGATAACCATTTTCCTTAAAGAATGAGGTTTGACTCTTCAGTTGTGAGATTGATCAAACTTGCTAACTTCTACATGATTGACAGGCATTCACCGACATTTTCATGGATATCCTCTGGTGGGTATGGAGCTGGCGGCGTTGGTAATCTTCGATGGATCCTCGAAAGTACCCGAGCAAAGATACCCACCAGGAGGTGTTAGAATGATTACGAATCGAGGCCTGGTTAAGGTGGGAGTGAGTTTCCCGACTTTACTGGCATTAATTTCTTTCGATTTAGCCCCTGCATACAAGTCTATATGCCTGTTGTTTGAACGAAGCGCATCCCGAGCATGTGAAGTGCTATCCTGCCCAAGGTAAGATAACGCAAGGACACAAGACCTGTACGAAGGTCCATGTCCTATCACTTACCTTACTCGTCATATCTTCGAAGGTACGTCCTCGCACAGATCAGCGGCTACTGCGGACTGAATATTCTCACGAATGTCAATAGTGGAGAGAACTTCAGGACTAGGCTTTATGACAGGATGAGGATAGTCTTCACTCTTTCCTCACCCTTTCTCCGCCAACAGGGAGCTCATAGTGAACATGTCGGATTCGCGAGAAGACTCGGGAGAGCTTCGTCTGCACATTGTAGAATGGAGTGCGTAGAACTAATCCTGACCAGTTGTGTGGCAAAGCCGCGATGCAACTCGTTCGAGCTAACTGAATTTGTATTTCGACCTGGGTACGTAGACAATCATAATCTACCTACCTTTGGCTTTCAATATGCAACCCACATCCACGCCATGCATCTCTCAAGCGCTCTACAGAACCAAGATCTATTCTTTGTCCAAAGCAGTCTGCACCAGTCTCTCAAGCTTCCTCCACTCAACATTCACAAGAGGCTTGGCCGTACTCGGGTCAATACCATTAGACTTAAACTCGGTATGAACCTGCTGGAAATTCGCTCCGACGAGCTTTTTGAAGCCAGGCACAGTACAGCTTTCCATCTGTCTACTGGCCAGATCAGCAAGGATATACCAGAGGATATAATGGTAGTTGATCTCGAAATCCTGAAGCTGAATCGGATCCTTGGGATCAGGCTCATATCCCTGAGAAAGGTAGATGGCTAGCTTGGCCAGGATCCAGGCGTGGATGTGTCGGATTGGGTGTGTAGGGCTGTAGAGGATGGGGTCGATACGAAGATAACGGATTGCGGCTTGGATGAATGCCCGGGTGAAGCTGTTGGCTGCAAGGAGGGAGACTATGAGGTCGTCACGAATAGAGGCGTAGGGTTGGCGGGTCAATGGCCATGCGGAGCTTTGTTTGAGGGTATGCAGGGCCTTTTCGAGCTTTTCGATGGTTTCGTCTGGTGACGCGTTCGATGATTGGGCCGATTGCATCAATTCCAGTGCCTTTCGCTCTGCTTCGTCGAGGACAGACTTGTCTTTCGACGTGTCTTCGAATCGGTCCTCGGGAGTGTCGGTTCCTTTTTCGCATTTGGGACATTTGCAGTCGAAGAAGTATCTCTCAGACAGCTCCTTGCAGCGGACCTCTTTGGGGGTTGTGGTGTCGATGTAGGATATGAAGATCTGCTCGTTTTTTTTTATGGGGCGAATGGCCTTGACAAACAACTCCTCTCCGTCAAATCCGACGGTGGAGTTAAAATCACAGCTGTGGTTGATTAGGGCAGCATAGGGGTGCATGTATAGCCCAATGCGATCATATAGAGCTGTTGTCAAATTGAATGAGTTGAGATCGAGCTAAGTACGCGTCAGTAAGGGTATTCAATGGATAATAATGCCCAGTTTGCAACACCGCGCACCTTGGCTGCATAGGTCATGATAGTTTCCTCAGTCATCTCTGTTTCAGAGTAATTTTTGACAGCTCTCGAAGTAAGCATGATTCTGTCGAGATGGGCTTGTAGCTCCTGAATTTCGTTGATATGCGTTTCGAGCTGGGAAAAAGTTTCCAGCTCTTGGGAGTTGTATTTGCCTTTGCTTGTGCGAACCACCATCCGCAGAATAGCACGGGCGTTGTTGGGCAGCACATTTGGCTTGACCTTTTGGAAGATAGAGCATTCCGTCGAATGGGCAAATCTCCAATCTTTGGATTGGCAGGTCTATTCTCAATTAGCATATTGCGAGACACGGCATTTTATAACCTCTCTGTGCGAAAAACTGATACACAGATTCAGATCTATGCATAGGGTACCAGGATGTCGTCATAGAAATCAAATATGAGAAACGACTCACCCGATCGCAGTATCTAACCACGCGACAGCCGGTACAAGCCTTCAACTCCGTACCGAAATCCATTTGTCTTTTTCCAAAGCAGGCGGAACAAGTGTCATCCAGACGCGACGAGTCAAGAACCGCCACGAAGGGCACTTTGGCGTGCAGCACATCCTCGCCCATCTTGATATCTGCAGTGGCGAACAGACCATTGCCCATGCCATTTTGGGAAGGACGCGCCACTGTCCTGGTTGTAACCGATGGGAGAGGGTTGCGAACAGACATCTTTGCTGTGTTTGATGTGCATTTCGGAGTCCACAATACTGCTAAGCTACTGATAATGCGGATGGTCACGTGATCAGTCCGCGATGCTTGGGCGACAAATATGGCATCTTATCACCACTAGCTTCTACTACTTCCACGCTCTATTTGTAACCGAAAAGTTTTAGTAGCAACTCAAGATGGAAACTCAAATGCCCAGGACCACACGCCCAACGACTCATTGGAATGAAAGCAAAGGATTATGAAAGAACAGAGGGCCCGTTCGCTGATCTACCTGAATGGAAGGGTACAACTTGTCGGTATAGGTCTACACGAGAATGACATTGAACAAAAGCGAGGTAATTCTTTTATCGCTGAAACACATAATCAATCGACTACAAAAAGATAAACCCGGGAAGCTAACAAGCACATACAAATCCAAATCTAAATCATGAGGCAGATATAGATCGTCCGGGAGTGGGACTCGGGAACTCTTGAGTCCGAACCTTGTTTCGCCGTAAAAAGAAGGCCGGAAAGAAAGATAACAAAAACCCAAACAATCCAAAAAATGAAACAGAAGTATAGAGGGAGATAAAATGCACGCCTTCTATCAACAAGATGACCCTGAAAACCAAGTTCACCAGACAAAGAATGAGGCAGGCGCGCCTGGAATTTTCACAGGCACGGTCGGTGGGAACGGGCTTTTCTGTTATTTTAATCAGGGATTTTGGTCAATTTACAGCAGCTTGCCGCCAACGAAGTTGGACCAGCTGCGGACCTCGGAGGGAATACCCTCCTGGCGGGGCAGCTTCTCGTTCATGCACTGAGCGAAAAGCTGGGCAGTCTGTGGGGGAAGTTTGTTAGATTTTATAAATTCTGTTGGTAAACCGGGATTATGGATTAAACGCACCTTGGGCTCCATGAAAAGAGGAACGCTGAAGTCGACAGCGTTACGGCGCATCACGTAGTCCTCATCCAGCTGGGTCTTGCCACGGGTCTTGGCCAGGTTGAAGACACCACGGATGTCGTACTTCTGGAAGACCTCACGGAGAGCACGCTTGTCCTTCTTGGGGAACTCGATCACCTGGACGGAGGCGTTGTCCTTGCAAGTCTTCTCGATGTGGTTCTTGACCTCGGGGTTGGCGGCGTAGAACTTGTAGCCGAGAGGATTCAGATAGTCGACGATGGCGGCCAGGGTAGGCTGGGTGATGTCACCGCCGAGCAGGATACCCTCACCAGGCTCGGGCATACGGAAGTTCATGGTGGACTGGAGAGAGGACCAGTAGGCCTCGACCAGGTCCTTACCGAAGCAAGCAATCTCACCAGTGGAGGACATCTCGACGCCCAGGAAGGGGTCGGCACCAGCCAGACGGGTCCAGGAGAACTGGGGCACCTTGGTGGCCAGGTAGTCGCGCTTCTCCTTCATGAGGTCAACGGGCTCGGGGACGTCACGGCCGACAAGAGCCTTGGTAGCGACGTCGATGAAGTTGGTACCCAGAACCTTGCTGACGAAGGGGAAAGAGCGGGAAGCACGCAGGTTGCACTCAATGACCTTGAGCTGGGGCTCGGCATCCTCCTGGTCAGCCTTGATGATCTGCATGTTGAAGGGACCGGTGATGTTCCAGGCCTTGGCGACCTTCTCAGCGATCTCCTTGACGCGACCCATGATGGACTCGTTCAGGGAGGCGGGAGGAAGAACCAAGGTGGCGTCACCCGAGTGGACACCAGCGGGCTCAACATGCTCACTGACGGCGTGGAGGAGCAGATTACCGTTAGAGGCAACAGCGTCAACGTCAATCTCCTCAGCACCTTCAATGAACTTGGTGATAACAACGGGGTGATCGGGGGAGACGGCACTGGCGTTAAGGAGCTTCTCCTTGAGCTCATCAACACTGTAGATGACGTTCATGGCGGCACCGGACAAGACGTAGGAGGGACGGACCAGAACGGGGTAGCCGACGGACTCGGCGAACTGCTCAGCCTCGGAGACCGAAGTAAGCTCCTTCCAAGCGGGCTGGTCGACACCAATGCTGTCCAGGATCTGGGAGAACTTGTGACGGTCCTCAGCCTTGTCAATGTCCTCGGGGTTGGTACCGAGAATGGTGGCATTGCCAGTCTCCTGGAGACGCAGAGCGATGTTCTGGGGCAGCTGACCACCAACAGAGACAACAACACCGCTAGAGTTCTCGAGCTCATAAATATCCATGACACGCTCGTAGCTCAGCTCCTCGAAGTACAGCTTGTCAGCGGTATCGAAGTCAGTAGAGTAGGTCTCGGGGTTGTAGTTGATCATGACAGTCTTCTTGCCCATGTTGCGCAGAGAGAGGGTGGCGTTCACGGCACACCAATCGAATTCGACAGAGCTACCGATACGGTACACACCGCTACCCAGAATGATGACACCGTTGTCATCGAAGCTCACGTCGTGGGAGGTGGCGTTGTAGGTGGTGTACAGGTAGTTGGTGTCGGCAGGGAACTCGGCAGCCAGGGTATCGATCTTCTTGACCCAAGGGGTGATACCGAAGGACTTACGGCGGGCACGGACATCATCCTCAGAGGCACCAACCAGGAGTGAGATCTGCTTGTCGGAGAAACCAAGCTTCTTCGACTTCATCATCATCTCAGGGTTGATACCAAAGAGGCTGCCGATCTCCTTCAGCTCGTGGTGGCAGTTGACAATGTTCTCGATCTTGTACAGGAACCACTTGTCGATCTTGCTCAGCTCGTGGACCTTGTCCACAGAGTAGCCCTCGTGGAGCATGGCCTGGCCGACGGCCAACCAGCGGCGGTCAGTAGGGTTCTTCAGAACATCGTCGAGGTCCTCAAAGTGGTCACCCTGGAGACCAATGTACTTAGGGTCGACCTGGCGGATAGCCTTCTGGAGAGACTCCTCGAAAGTACGGCCAATAGCCATGACCTCACCAACAGACTTCATGGCAGAGCCAATGTCGCGGTTAACGTGCTGGAACTTGCTCAAGTCCCAACGGGGAATCTTGGTGACAATGTAGTCCAGACTGGGCTCGAAGTTGGCAGTGGTAGTCTTAGTGACAGCATTGGGGAGCTCGGGCAGAGTGTGACCGAGACCGATCTTGGCAGCAGTGTAGGCCAGGGGGTAGCCAGTAGCCTTAGAAGCCAGGGCAGACGAGCGAGAGAGTCGAGCGTTAACCTCAATGACACGGTAGTCGAGACCATCAGGTTGCAGAGCGTACTGCACGTTACACTCGCCGACGACACCAAGGTGACGAACAATCTTGATAGCCGCGGTACGGAGCATGTGGTACTCCTCATCAGATAGAGTCTGACTGGGGGCAACAACGATAGAATCACCAGTGTGAACACCGAGAGGGTCGAAATTCTCCATGTTGCAAACGGTGATACAGTTGTTGGAGGCATCACGGACGACCTCGTACTCAACCTCCTTCCAGCCCTTTAGGGACTTCTCGACCAGGATCTGGGGTGCGAGGGACAGAGAGCGGGAGGACAGGTCGCGAAGCTCATCGGCGTTGCTAGCGAAGCCGGATCCGAGACCACCCAGAGCGTAGGCAGAGCGAACAATGATGGGGTAGCCGACCTCCTCGGCGGCCTTCAGAGCGTCGTCAACGGTGCCAACAGCAATGGACTCCGCAATGGGAATATCAATCTCCTTCAGAGCCTGAGAGAACAGGTCACGGTCCTCACTGGTCTCCAAGGTCTGGATGCTGGTTCCCAGAACCTTGACACCGTAGCGCTCAAAGATACCCATGCGGTTCATCTGGACACCTAGGTTCAGACCGGTCTGACCACCGAAGGTGAGCAGGATACCGTCGGGGCGCTCCCGCTCAATGACGTGGGTGACATATTCGGGGGTAACGGGGAGGTAGTAGACCTCATCAGCCAGCTTGTGGTCGGTCTGGATAGTCGCGATGTTGGGATTGATGAGGACCGACTGGACATTGGCCTCCTTCAGAGCCTTCAGAGCCTGAGAACCTAATTGGAGCAGCAGCACAACGTCAGTCACTGGAGGCCGGTCTGGGGAAGATACTATGGAGAGGCTGCAACAGGCTCCATGCGATTCCCCGGAGAAGGAGAGCCAGGAGAAGCTCGCTGGAGCACACTCTCCGTGGAGAAAGAATCACACGGCCCAATCCGCCTGCTTGACTATTCAACATACCGGAGTAATCGAACTCGCCGGCCTGACCAATGCTCAGACCACCGGAACCGATGACCAAGACCTTCTTGACGTCGACGAGGTTGCTGCCGGGCTTCACGACACCGCTGGCGAGGTAGGACTCTGCGGCAGGAGCCTTCTGGGCCTCGGCGAGACGGCGAAGCGAGCTGGAGAAGGAGCGCAGCTGCTGGGAGCGAGCGGCAGAAGGCAGCTTCTGCGGGCGCAGGGTCGAGGCCACAGAGCGGACGGAGGTCTGGGAGGTGAAGGAGCGGAGCGACAGGGCCGGGCGAGCCTCAGCGAGGCATCGCTGGCGCAGCAGGGAGGCCGCCTGCCCACAACGAGCTGCAAGAACCATTGCGGCGCGGAAAGCGTCGGGGAGAGCAGTTCAATGGCTCGAAGGTGGGAAATGGCTCGAAGGTGGGAAATGTGCAGAAGATGAGTCCTCGATGCTGCGGAGGTCTTTTTTCCCCACCGCGTCGCTAATTGGCTGCACCTTCACCGTACGGGTCCGCTTTTTTTTTCCTCGCCAACGACAAGATCAATGAGGCGATGGAGATACCAGCGAGTATCCTACTGTAGAGTAATAACTTGGTAGAATTATGACAGGAATTGGCGGTGGTGGTGGTATAGTACAAAGGGTGTTGTCAATTCAGCAGGTCACGGGAACCCTTGTCCTTTCTTTTTCTTCACTATGAGTCAATCCTCGAACCGGCGGGACTGAACAACTAGAGGTGTGGGTACGGCTGATTCTGGGGCGATGGCGATAGTTTAGGGGTGAGCACAATGGATTGAAATGCTAATTGCAGATACTGACGATTTTACGAGCATATCACAGAATACTATCAGTGCCTAGGTAGCATTGAGGTACATAGGGTACATTTAAAATATACCTTACGAGTACTGTTGGGGTACAAAATTCGTACCTCTGGCACTCCAGACGGTGTGCCGATGCCGGAACTGCGCCGGTCGCCAAGGAACCATCCCCGTCAGAATCTTATTGTCGATCTGCGCCTTAGAAGAAAAATACATGCAAGCAGCCTAGTGCAGGAGATCCTCGCACTCGCATATTTAAATATCTTCCAGGTTTGTGGTCACATAGCCAGTACTGCCGTAGTTCCAAGTTCAAGTTATCAGCCCCAAGGTAGTCCTCTAGGGTTGAGTGTATATCATTATCCCAGCATGTATCAGTCGCGATTGAGATCATCTAATCCGAATTGGGTTTGAGAGTGGCGCACAACACAGATTTCTCATTCGACTCCGACTCGCCCGTTCAACCCGGCCCATGGTCCCTTAGGGCCTGTTTCCTGTCGGGACCCACCGACCCGTCGTCGTGTGCGAGCTTCGGAGGCCCATATATCTGACGCCTCCGAGTCCTGCTCCACACCGTCGCCCATGACCTCATTGAGGTCTTGGTTGAGCGTCTCGTACACCTCGGCCAGCGTCTTCCGTGCATCTTGCGTGACCTCTGTCCCCAGTGCGACCTTTTGTTGTACATAATCTCGTTCGTTCGATGCGGCGGCGTCCGAGGCAAATGACCACGCTTCGGCAAGACTGACAATCTCATCTGGCGGGTTTAGATCGGCGGACTGGTGTTGATTGCGGGAATTCAGCGCGGCTACGGCATGTTTGAAGCGGGGTTGACGGGCAAGGATAGGGTATTCGGGGAGCAGGTGACTCTCGTCTCGTAGACGGTGAAAAGCGCGAAGCGTCGTGAATTTCTCTTTCGCGAGTAGTCCGCTCAAGTAGGTCTTTTGAAGGGCCAGTGCCTTCTGGCTCTTCGAAAGCGGGACGAGGGTCCCGTTGGCGTACGCCAGAAGATCCAGCGGATCGGGTGCTGGAAGCTCTTCGGTGGGAAGCTCAGCCCGGTAGCTTAGCCGCTGCGTCGGTTTAGAGCTTACGGTCACCGGCTGGCAGGCTTTGGAGGCGGTATCCAGCAGTTCCTGTCGAGCCTGTAGATAAGCGGCATACTGCTCGCTAATTTGCGCCTTTTGATTCTCCATGAGACGCTGAGTCTCCTCAATCTCCTCCGAAGGCAGGTCCTGCACCATACTCTCGTCCATTTCTCCAACATCCACCAGGCGTTCCTCGACCCATTGTACTAGCTCATCGCGTGTGCGTTGTAAGGCCTGAAGTTTAACATCGGGTGTCGGTTCGTCTGGAGTTGCACTTGATCTCGAGTCGTGCCGCGACTTGACCTTTTCGAACAATTGCTTCTCCCGGTCCAACTGTGCTCGGGCGCGTACTACCGCTCTTTCAAGATTGTGAACCAACCCCTGTAGGTCTGCATAGGAGCCACCACGATCCACTCCCTCTGTCTCCGGGAGGAGCAGCTGTTGGTTGGGATCGTCCCCGAGGCCATCATCCGCCACGAGGCCACTCGGCTCTCGGGCATGGAGCTCTTCAAGATAATGCTGAAAGACCTGCAGCTTGGTATGGCGACGCCGATCGCGAAGGAGCTGTAGATAATCTCGCAGCTCCGCCCCAGGTTCCTGGGGATCGACGGGGTCAGCAGGGCTGTGCCTGGATGACCGTTGCCGCCTCAGCGAGGCAACGTCCTCCGACACAGCCTGCAGCCCCTTCTGTGCCGCGACATTGGCCTGCAGCGCCTTCAAATATTCCTTCCGCAGCCCCGAGAGATCCGCAGGGATGCGTTTGACATCGGTCACGGCGTCCGTCGGCACACACAGGGCGAGATGGGATTGGGCAACGGTCGGGTCGGCATCGGCGAAGACGATAAAGGAGCGCAGGTACGACGTCAATGCTTGTCGGATGCGGAGAGCCTCTTGACGGGGCTTGATGTAAGGAGCGAGCGGTTTCACGAAGGGTGGAATGTGGGTAGGGGGGTCGTAGGGCCGGGCCATGGTATCATTGGCACAGGCGAGAGCGAGTTTTCACGACCAAGTATGAGGTCACGTCCTTTTTTATTTTGTCGTCTAGTGTCGCAGCAGTTGTCCCTCCACGGTGGGGCCCAAGAACAAAGATCCCGGGGCGTTCAGCAGTTGTTGTTTTGCTGTTTTGGGTGCTTATGTAAGTGTGGATCCCCGGAGTTTAAGGCGTCAATGCGAGGAGCAACTCGACGTCGCAACAATTGAGCGGTTCGTATTGTAATAGGAGACGATGACGTGGGGGTCACTACGGGGCTAATTAGCCAGTTGAGACATCAAATATTCCATACCTCGAGGGGTCCGAGTACCAGCGTTGAAGAGTATGGGGGAGGTAGTATACATCCGTCATAGTAGTGTACCTAGACCAACCGCCAGTAACTATGGTCGATCGATGCGGATGGTGTCATTGACAGCTGTTTGTTTACTTCGGGCTGTCGGAATGTCTATAGATGACGGCAAGTAGCTGAGTTGTCTGCAGGGAATTATCGGGTGTCGCTGCAGTCTAGTGCATGGCCTAGCCACAATTGCACACGACTAATCACCTGCAACCTTTGTTCGCGAGAGAGGGGGCGCCCTTCTTCCAGATTCCCTTGGTCGCCCGTTGCTGGTCGCCTCCTGCACCGCCGTCCTTCTGCGTCAGATGAGCTCATCTGCACCACGAGCACTGGAATGTTTCAAGGCCGCTGGGGCATTCTGATCAAGGGGCTACTGTTTTGATAAACTCCGCCACGCCATCGCTGCCCGACGCTAAATCACAGTTATAGTCCGTCGGCCCGCCGCTGTTGCTTCTCATATGCCTTCTGCCGGTACAGAGGTACTCACACTTCGATACCATCCTTCGCTGCTGTCGCCATGGCTCCCGACCTTAGCAACATCCATGCTACTCCCCGGCGGCCGCGTGCCGCCACCTCGATGCTGCCGGCCATAGTATCACCCCCGTCGGCAGCCCGTCAGGGCCCGAATTCCACCAGTCCTATTTTCCATTCGGGCAGTCCGCCGCTGGGCGCAAGCGATCATAGCATCACCAGCACAGCACAGGGTGAGCGATATCTGTAACTCAGGTCTGGCGCCGTACTCTGAAGGCTAACAAATATCTCAGGACCACTGCGGCATCCCAAACCCCTCACACCGTCAGATCTTCACATGGAGCTGGAGAAGGAACAGGAGGCGATGGTGAGTCGAATATGAAGCCGTATATCGCATGCAATGGATGCTAATGCAAATACCCCTCTACAGGTAAACCGGCTGACCCGCGAGCTCTCCCTCCTCCGTCAACAAACAGCTTCGGTGGCATCCACAACCTCCTCCACCTCGACCCTCAACGAATCTGCCGATGGATACCATCATTCACCGTCGCTAGGCAGCTCAAACCGCTCCCACTCCTCACGTCGGCAACGATCCTCCTCTAGCCTGAGCGCACATACACCAGCCGCGCAGGGACCCGCAGCGGCAAGCGTCACGGGCATCGCACCCTCCCGCGAGACGAGCATCCCTGCTCGCACCGCTCGAAGCCGTGAGGCATCGCTGACATCTCGGCGTCCATCCTTCGGCTCCATGCCCTCCTCTTCTCACCACACCTACGCGGAGCCCATTTCTTACTTCGGCACCAGCCCATCCATCTATCCTCATCGCGATTCCGTTTCGCAAACCCAACTTGGACAATCGCACTCCTGCATAACGCGCTATGAGGAAGCGGCTTTTCACAAGTCGGAGTTTGAGACGATGAAGCGGGAAAATGAGCTGTTACGAAAGCGGGTCCGGGAGTTGGAGAGCATCCTCAAGAAGCAGCGAGATGGAGAACCCGAGGGATCGACTGGCATGGGCAATTCTGATGCATAAGATGCGATTAATTTTTATCTTTCTTAGCGCATAGCCCGGAGCGTCGCGCCTTTCTTTCGATTACATTCTTCCTGGACGCGTTTGCAGGCAAACACAATTTCCAGGAGGCTTTTCTTTCGGATTCATTGGTCAATACATGCCTAGGTGCTTTTACGTTACCATGACCATAGTCTCTGTACCACCTACTACTAGTAGGCTGATAGAATGACAGCTGGCGACAAAATTAGATCCTCAACAACGTCTGAGTACTCTTAGGCTACTATTTTCCACCCGACCCACCCCAACTAAGCATCAGGCACTCGTCGCCAGTTGGAGTCTAGCACGAGGCGGTGCAGCCCCTACGTCACCTGTGGCGTCGAGCTTGGGATAATAAATACTTGGTGAACTTGCCAGCCCTTCCCTTTCCCCTTCCTCTAAATTACACATTGCTCTGCTCCCTCAAGCCCACTTACCACAACTTCAACCTTATATCATGTCTACTCACAGCACCGTCCAGGTCTCGGGTATCTCGCCTGCGACCTCTGAGAAGGATGTCCGCGATTTCTTTAGCTTCTGGTATGACAGCCCCGCGACGAGACCCCTCACAACAGGCCCTCGCTAACCAACTTTGCTTCTGACAGCGGCAAGATTGTGAACCTGTCAATCACCCCCGTCTCTTCTGAGCCCAACGCTCAAAAGTCCGCCAGTGTGACATTCGAAAAGGAGGCGTAAGCTACCCCGCACCATGTTTCAAGATGTCAAGATGGCATCATCCCACCCGCCAGTTGCTAACAAAATCCCACAATCCAGTGCTGCCAAAACTGCCCTCCTGCTCGACCAAACCCAACTGGGTGGCTCGCCCGTCCACGTCGAAGCCACCTCGACCATCGACGAGCTCGCCGGCGCCCAAGCCACTGGCGCCGCAGGCGAGAAGAGCGAAGAGGAACATGAGATCGCACAGGAGGACAAGCCTCGCTCGCGCATTGTCGCCGAGTACCTGGCACACGGCTACGTGGTCAGCGACAGCGCGATCCAGAAGGCGATCGCCCTGGACCAGAAGCATGGATTCTCGACCAAGTTTACCTCCGCCCTGAGCAACTTCGACAAGAAGTTTAATGCGACCGAGCGCGCCAGGGGCCTGGACCAAAACTACCAGATTTCCAACAAGGCGGCGACTGGTTGGACCGGTCTGAACCACTATTTCGAGAAGGCCCTCGAGCACCCGCACGGTCGCAAGCTGCGTGACTTCTACGTACAGGCTGATAAGCAGGTCCGTGATATTCACAATGAGGCTCGCCGTCTGGCCGATCTGAAGCTCGGCAAGGGTGCTGAGGAGAGCTCTGCTACTGCCACTGCCCCCGCTGCTGCCCCCGCTGCCCCCGCCGAGGCGGCTGCTGTCGCCCCTGCCACTGTGCCTGCTTCTGAGCCCGCTGGCACGGCTCCCCCTGCTGAGCCTAAGTCGTAGGTTCATCTAGCCTGATGGAACCCAAAGTTTAGGAGGATGGTTCGTGATTCATGCGCTGGCGCGATTAATGCTTGATGATTCCCTTTTCGCCGTGCCACTCCTTGTTCAAAGTTATTCTCCTTTTCTGGTTATTGGGACGAGTTACGATTGATGTTATTCCGACCTTGTAGTATCTGTTTGTCTGGTTCTTTAGTGCAAATGAGCTAATGATCATACGACTGTCTTTCAGATAAGTTTACATGAAATCAAATTAGAGAAGTACTTTACTGAGAACTATTTTACTCATGGCGACCAACAAACATTCGATGTAATGGTCAAGATAGATTTATCATTTGCCTCGTAATCAACAACCTTAAGGGAACAAGTGTCAAGTATCGTCACATTTAAACCCGTATAACGCGCCCTCATTTCGCATATTTCGCCGCCTCAATCTTCTCGAGGGCATGTACGGGGTTACTGGTGAGGTGTTCCTGCTTCTGCTCGTTCGACTTCTTCTGGGCGAATTCGGGCGCTGGCTTCGATGAGGAGCTCATCGAAGATCCGATCTTGCCGCTGCCGGGAACGTCGCGCTGTTGCGCACCACTCAAGAGCTCGGGCTCGGGGGATTGACGGCCGGGAAATTGGGAAGACATGGTGGTTTGTGGGTGTATTGGAAGAGGAGAGAGGTTGTTCTGTTTTAACGATGTTAGATCACACAGTTCTCGAGTCTTGCTGCTGTGGAAACGAGTGGCAAGGGAGGTGGGATGTATAACGTATCGTGAGGCTCGGCGGGATACAATTGTCTGTCGATACTCACCTGAGATATGTTCGTGATGAAAGTGCAATGAAATTGAAGATGAATGGTTATTCTGTTCCAAATGTAGTTCAGGATTGAGCAATTTAAGTCGCCTTCTGCTGTAGCTGACGTGACCAGCCCACACTGGTCGACCTGGTTCTCTCATCATGATGACGTAGCTGTTCACACTTGACGCAGCAGAGAGCGGGCGCGGATGACTAACAAGGCAGTCTCCCAGGACGAGTGTAAATTGTGGAGATGGGAATGACTAAGGTAGTGCAGTTGTCAAGACACCCTGAGGCCCATAGCAGGAGTGGTAGCTCCCTGGAAGAGCTGCCTCGGACGCGCCCAGCGTAGCCGCTATCCGGTCGCCAAGGTCTTGCAGCAATGAGGGCATCTCATGACATCTCTGGACCCAATCCCAAAGCTTAGAAGTCATTATCATAGCAAGTAGAAAAGCAATCTTTCTTCTCCAAGCGACCGGACAAGCCGACCGAGTGATAAAAAAAGTCGCGTCAATCAGAGGTAGTGTATGCCCGATGGCAATGTGCGACGAGGCATGCGCAAAGTACAGAGGCCAGGTCGCGAGGTACAAAGATTGATTAATCAAAGTTTCTTCCGGAAAAGACTTTCAGGGATTAAACTAAAAAGAACAGATACTACACTTGATCTAAACCAAAAGGCAAAGAGCGCTGGAGAGGAGAGAAAGGAGAGAAGTTTTGGAGCTGTATTTATACTGACGGGCAGGCTTCTGTGCGCTAGGCGGTTAGGCAGCGAAGGACATACCGTTATTACGTATTATATCTAATATTAATGGCAAATATTTGATACTTCATGTAATTTGTCGGTCACATCTATTGTTCGAGAGTAAAGGTGGATGTACAACAGCATCCACGGAACAAGCCCCTCAAAATCAGATGCAATTCCACCTATTACATGGTCGTCTCCAATCATGCTCGCGAAATACTGTCTCAGATGAACCGCCTTCTCGAAACATTTCGTACTTTCGTCGTTCTTCCCGAGACCTCCGAGAATTTGCGAGAGCTTATAGTTTACACGAGCTAAATATCCTTCCTAAGCCCTCAACCTGGAGGGCTTCTTCGCAATTTCGATGCACACTTCAAGAAAATTTCTGCGCTGGTCAACAACAGTTGCGGTTTCAAACAGGCTATTTAGCTGCTTGCTGTGCTGGTTTCATGCTTCCCCCTTGTGGAACAGGACAGCAATCTGGTGAAGCGGGTCACACACGTTGAGGCCCTTAACCAAGCATTATTTTTGGAAATCCAGTTGTTTGGAGGCAAGCTTGAGTGCTTCGTCGAGGTTTCCTTGCACGAATCGAATCCTGCTAAGGAGGACCATGTTCCTAGATTCGAAAATGTCAGCACAGAGACCAAAGAAGCAGATAGTGAAGAGACGTACCCAGAGAACCTCGGGTCAGTCTGAAGGAAGGTATCACTGAAAAGTCCTTCAGAGATGGGCAGTTCTTCAAGGCGGTGTTAGTGCCTAGTCTCCATACTCTCGCCACCAAGATTAAAATCGTTCCGAAACAGACTCCCCCACGAAAATCCACGACAATCACCGCCTCCATGGCCCCCGACCCGATGTTGATAGCACCAGAAGGTCCTCTGGAGAGTTTAAAGGTGGAGTTACTGATCTACAACGGGTGGCACTTCAAGGACCACTGGGCATATTGTGTTCGTTCACAACGCGACCCTGACATCGGAGTCAAAAGATACGCGCTACCGGCGACGTTATGAATGGCTTTAGGTTCGAAATTGAGCGATTTTATAATTTACGAAATAGTCCCGATCATCCCACGAAAACTGTTCCTCTGCAGTGGGTCGATGGGTATTATTTTGATGAGAAGTCTATGCCTAACAACGGAGAATACAAAATCGATAATTCCACCGTTTGTCACTTCGAGGCAAGTACCTATAAAGCCAACGCCCCCGAGAGGACGTTAAATGCTGTCAGCAACGCGGTGAGTTTCGGCTTGTTTCGTTTTCTGGTTCCTGACACAATTCTCGGGCACTGCATTGCTTCTATCTATTGCCGGCGATTTGAGCGAAGCTTTCAAACACCGTGACGGAAGTTTGCAGGCTAACTTTCATATTCCGCTAGGTAACGCCAGGCAAGAAACTCACCCAAAAGGATTGCCAGACATGGATCTTCGTGTCTGTCAATCAATTTCTCGAGGACAGTATTTTCAACCTGGAGACTATCACTTATCTTCGCAACATAACGCAATAATCTCATTCCAGAGGGTGAAGTATTCACGAGTCCTTCGCTAGTCCCCTGTTGATTATACTCATGGGAAATAGAATTGCATGATACGAATCTGTCGTCGAACTCGACAGCGCTGCGGATCTTGATTTTATGTCTACGAGATGTATCAGACTACGGAAGATTATAGCGGCCAAAGCTTACTTTCCATTTTCAATACAGCCTGGTTTCTGAATTATGGATTGTTGTACTTCAAATCTGACCCCGGCAAACAGTCACCAAAACAGTTTTCTGAATGGTCAGCTAAGTAGTCATCTGAGCAGTCACCTGATATCACCACTTCTAATCTTGTACGGTCGATGAAGCTTCAATAAGTGTTATTGATATCAAAATTTTTGAACTTGCTTCTTCTCGGCTACTTTTTATCCCAAAATGCTGTTGTCTCTTCAATATAGCTTGTCTGTTCAAGCATTGGCTCCCACTCAGACTGGTGGCTTTCCGCAAGTTTGAGGTACGGCAAGGTAGTACTGTTCAAACTCTCTCTCCAAGTTCCCAGAAAATGAACAAGAAGATCTGCAGGGTGTACCTGTAGGTGTTCAGGTGAGTCCTTACTATATTCGGCTTTAAGCCGTCAGGTGACCTCATGTAGGTGTTAAACCACCGAAGCGGGCACTAAGTGGTGGACTACCTGAAATAATCATGTTCCTTCATAATGTTGCTGAGGTCGGAGTGGTCCGGCCAGAAAAGAGGGACTTCCGGATTCACAGTTGGGTAGGACATTGCGGCTGAAAGCAAGGCGACGGACCATTCATGCACACGAATGAAGAAGACGCAATTATTCATCCCATTCCATTTTTTGGAAAGCAGAAGGTGAATATTCGAAACTCGTGATGGAGGGAGAAAGTCCTCGAGAGGCATATTACGGTTCATGAGAACGGTATCGCTGTCAAATCACTTATAAAATTTAGAGTTGGTTGATCGTGAGAATACTTGGGTCGTCTGCCAAGTAGATGGACGTACAAATACCACTGCAGCCTCTCTTCAGATGGCTCCTCTAACTCCGATAGAATCTTGCAAAAAAGGGCCGCATATTTATTGGATGTACCGTCTACAATGGGCGTTCGCAGGACGGAGAGGGGATAACCAAATCGATTGCTGTGGTCTTGATGCATTTTCAAGCACTTTCATAAATCGGATTGTTGCCGAAGACCGTTGTCACTTTACCGACTATCGGAGGAGGATGGGGTTGAAACGGGCCAGATGGGACTATGAAACTGGTCAGTTCATAGGGCCTTGGAGGCTGGGGGCACTGGACAGACACACAGTAAACAGTGGAGAGTTGAAAGAGCCCCAAGAGTCCGAGGAGATCAATAAAAACTTGTTGAATAGGCCTCCATCTCATGCTGCGTCTCTTATACGACCATTTGGTCATTGTAGCATGGAGATTTTTGAGTCTGTATTCTGTATGAAATCGAGATTGAAGATGTGTCAAACAGGTGCGGGGGTAAGAAACGTGGGGAGTACCGCCAGCGGGCTTGATTGCGCCGACTGGCTACTATTTTTTGACAAAGACAGGACATTGGTAGCTGAAACCCTGGGCGCTAGGTTCGGCTGGAAGACCTGACGAACCTTATCGATCTACCTTGTTCCAAGATCGTATAAGGCAGGAGTCTCTGCGTAGAGCCGTACTGGAAATAGAGGCCCGGATTGCGGTTGGTTGCCTCCTGGAATTGGGATCCACTTGGGCGCGCTAGTTTGACCCAAATCTCACTATGTCACCTTCGCCCCAAGTTTATGCCCGATATGAACGGTGGTACCCGGCCAGAGTAGCCAGGGTTCTCCAAGCCACTGCAAGCCAAGGAACAGGTGATTGATGCCGACACTATCATGTTCCCCAGCGGTTCTTCCGACCACACGACTCACTCTTTCTCATCCCATAAGCAGCTCCTCATATGAAAAATAAGCCCAACAGGGCGACGGCGTTTTAAGGGTCGAATGCCAAGGGACTAGACTGCCACGCGCAAATAGAGGGAGTTTGATCCCATAATCGGACTACAGAGGCTCCTGGCGCTAATTGTCGTGAATGATTACGATCCAACAAACAGCGGAGCCGCACATCACTTTCTATGATACGTTGCCCATGGGTGCCCAAGTGCAACGATTCCAAAATCCCAGTCTTATTCCGATTCATCTGAACCTTGGAAGCAACGAGCCGACAAACATCATTCGTCCAATTTCTGTTAATTTGATCACATCTTTGACCACTGATCCAAAGTGACCAGGTCGGGAACATAGTAGCGATCTAAACGATAGCGGCCACGGGCACTATAGCGCTCGTCCTCTTGCCTACCATATCCATTAAAGAGAGCTTCATGCCTCCCGCGTCTTGCTCCAAGTCCTAGACATTTGTGCCAGAGGACGCAAATGAGAAATTCGGAGGCGCTTCTACGAAATGCTGTGCGTACGGACAGTATTGACGCTGCCTGTTGGCCTTCCGGGTACACTCCTTACGAAAGACTACAACCGATTCGAGTTTTCAGCCCGGGTTGTTGTCTTGTTGGGTATACCTCTGCTGGTGTTGCTATCTCACAACCTGTGAGTACTGCGGATACTGCTTATCGTTCGTGATTTTCCCCTTCGGTCCATTGAACTCTTTTGGCGTCAGTCTCTTCAAAAAGTTACTAACATTCCTTACACACAGGGGCATTTCTTATATCGCAAGCGTTCAAGGGGCGGATACGCACAAGACATACGCCGGGTGTACCATCATGCGTCTTTCGGGAAATTCGACGATTGTCAATGTACGCGGCGATCATGGATCAACACGCAGGTTTTTGTGCCAATAACCATGTGGGGGCAGCCGATTATTGTTGAGCTAGAGTCTTCCGATAACAACCTATTCGTTTCAGCAACTACAAGAACAAATTTCCGTTTGTCATCGACTTCAGCTTCGACTTCAACGACACAGATCATCAAGAACATGAGTGCAAGCACGGGGGCAGGAGAGAATTTTTCAAGCTCAGACGCCAGCAGGAGTCTCTCCACTGGAGCCAAAACAGGAATCGGCGTCGATGTCGGAGCAGGGGCTTTGGATGTTGCAGCCTTGATACCAGCAGTCTTCCTTTTTCGTCAGCGAAAGCGACCAACCTCTCCTTAAGAAGCCACGTCCAATCCGCCTCAAAACCATACGCTAGCGCCTGCTGCCCAATATTCTCAAACCGGCTATTCATCTCAATACCCTGCCACCTGTCACTCTACGGATATATATGCTGAACTATCTGGAAGAAAGGCCGCCCTGGGGTTGACGACATGGATCCTGCTGGGTTGGATGGAAGGCCGTAATCAGTAAAACTGCTCGTGTCTACTCTGTCACTAATCTATTCGCAATATTATTCTAAGAGTTACATTTTATTTCAACGATTCTATGTTTGTAATTATCTTGGGGCAATAGTCTACATGCTTGACGTCGACTAAATGATCATATTGCTTTAGAGTTGCTCATTGGAGCCAGCAAATACGTGATAAACCGCGAACGCCATCTCAATGAACGCTTCTTGAACTCAATAGACCTTTGGAATGGATTATTCAATTCGCCCTTGCAGTACATGCTGATGCCGAGATCCTTCTGGGGTCTATTTTTCCCTTCAACCGCAAGCTATTATTCTACAGAGCACACTGTAGATGAGCGGCTAAATGATCGGAGAATGTATATGGAGATGCTATTTCTGACTTATATAGCAATAGTTTGATAATCATATAATGCTCAATAACGATTGCAGAAGTTTCTTTTTCTTTTATTGACTGTCTCTTTGTGTGAAATATGCCACATGTTCAATCTTTCCTCCATGAAATGGCATGACATTTCTGTATTGCTGACCTTTAAGATAAGAGATGTTGCGAGACTGTAAGCCCAAGAATGATTCAGGTGCTGTGTTTTCATAGTAGCAACTGCGTCTCGCTGCAAACATACTCGGTTTTTGAATGTCTTTATCATGTCGAGGAAGTTGTGAAAGAGGACAGTAAGCATGAGAATCCCATAATGGGTCAGCTTGGCTAAGACCAGGGCCTAGGTTGTTCCACCTTGTCATGACAAGAGCTGTTTTATTGTCGAATCAACCGATTTTGATATCAAAGTCTGTGCCGCATTTACAGCAAGTGTAGTTGGAAGAGACATTATGCCCAGTATATGAGAACTCCTTGAAAGGAGGGAGGAAATGCCGAAACCTGGTGTGTGCACATGGATCAAAAATATTAAGGGGATGCACGATTTACTCCCAGTAAATTCGGCTCCGGCTCTCCGAAAATAATTCACAATTTAGCTTGTCAACTAAATAGTCTTGTGTTGGGATGAGATTTACCTGCATCCTCATATAGAGACCAAGAGGCTGATGGCATATTTGCGCCTCCCTTGAGAATAATGACATCGTGTCTGGCTAGGCTGGCAGTTTATGGTAGTGGCGGACTTGTGTTTAGGATAGAGAATCAGTACTAATCCTAGAAATCGGACCATAATGATGTCTCTTCACTGCAAGCTTAAGCTGGAGGAAGGAAGGGTTTATCAGGAACATTTAATTCACCGATTGTCCGACTCCCCGTTGCCGACTTTTACGCGGAGGAAAATCCAATTGGCGAGGACGAAAAGTTTTTCACTGAATGGTTTGAAGCAATAGGGCATCCGGATCTTGCAATAATCGTAAGGAATGGTCGAATCATCCACAGGTTCCGATTTTGTTCTGGCTACGATCTCAGTGATTGGAAGGATTCCTCAGACTTATGGGGAACTTCAGGCTATCATGGACATCACGAGGGGTTTTAGTTGGGAAAGCTGGAAAGCAGAACTGCTGGAACGTTACCGAATTGATCGTCCAGTAAGTGATATATAATTAGAACCAGTTTGCCTTGCTAGAAGCCAAGAAGTACACATTGATGCACTGGACCACCACATTCATTAATTTCTTAGTAAATGGTGATAAAAAATATACATGTCGTTTGGGGGCATCCCACGGTACCGGAGGGCATCAGGATCGAGGCAAAAGTCCCCAACGAGAAAGCGGACTAGGCATTGGATTCATCGGAAGAATTTTCAGCTGGCTTATGAAGCCACAAGTCGCTCATCACTCAGTAACCAGTCCGATATGGTGTAGTGGCTAACATCGCCGTCTCTCACACGGCAGCCGGGGGTTCGATTCCCCCTATCGGAGTTAAGTTTTTCTTTTTGTTTCAATTCCCCTTCATCTTAATTCCCTTCATTCGGCTCGCTCGCCTGCCTTCTTGTCTTTTGCACTTTTCGAATTTCGTCTGTGCGCAAGTCTCATGCAGACGTGACGTCGTCGTGCATATATACCACGTGACCTCTATAATATGGGAAACGGTGTGCTTACAAAGCTTTTCTAATAGGGTCAAGCTCGAATTTAATGGTAGAAAGGCTATTACTTTGCTACGTCCATGGAAATGATTTGAACTCAGAATTTGTGATGAGGCTGATGTGCTAAATCATGATGTGATAGTTTGGGGGAATCTGTGCAAAGGCGGATTAGGAAGGGGGGCGGTAGCGACTTTTGAGAGCACATCAGCGGGGACATGGGAAGAGGGCAAAAAAGCACAAACGCATATGGACGAATAAGAGGTGATCTAGAAGATGGGAAAGACATGAAATGGGCATATGTCTCGTGAGGGAAAAAACTGCGATAGGGAATCCTGATCCAGACCGGGCATTGGAGCAGTGACGATAGAAAAGTAGTCACAATGGCTCGCGTAACAACCCTTGTCTATTGGTTGCCGTTGGACTGCACGCCCGCGGCGGCGGCGGCTTCTGCGTTGGCAGCGGCGACCATCGCCTTGGCATCAGCCTCGTGGAAGACAGCCTGGAGGATCTGCTGCTCCTCGGGGCCAAGAACCTTGGTGAGGCTGTCGTACAGCTGGGGCTGCTCGGACTGGAGGTCTATTGAAAGAATTAGTCGATGCAAATACAACGAGGAAATCAAGGGTGACGTACTGATGAAGACATGCTTAAACATGCCATACGGCTCAACCTTGTCCAGAGGAGTCTCAAGAAGGCTCTCCTCGTCCAGTTCCTCATCATCATCATCGGCGAAAGAGCCGAACTTTTGGGCTTCCTGGTTAAGGAATTCGAGATAGGCAGCACTCTCGTCGGCAACGTCACCATCAAGAGCGCCCTCGGTCTCTTCCTCGTTCCACTCGACCTCACCATCCCAGTCATTGTCCTCATCATCATCGTCCAGATCGTCATCGAGGGTGAAGTCAGACTCTTTCGTGGCGTCCTCGCGTTCTGAGGATAATTTATTAACAGGTGGAGATGATAAGATGGGATACTCGGTATACTTACGCTTGAGAGCAGCAGGCAGAGTCTGGAAGAGTCTTGTCACGCCCTGCAATAATCTCGGCCATCCCTGCTGGACGCTCACGGGAACGTCGGCCGCCTTCAGGGTGAGAAGGGAGCTGATAGCGGCAATGGACAGTTTCTTGTCGTGAACACGACGGAAGTTGTCAATGTTGGAAAACCACATGCTGAAGAACTTGTTTGTCCAGCCCTTGGACTCAAGAACCTGGAGACTGAGTACGGGGTTGTAGTAAATGGCGTTGATGACCATCTCCATCAGGTGGATGCGATAAGACTTCGTGCGAACCTCCGAAGTATCGATGATGTTCATAGGCATCTCAATGAAGAGGGGAATGTACTGGTCGATATTTCCGCGCAAATTCAGCATGAGAGTCTCAGCAAGCTTGCATCCGCAGATGCGGTCAACACCTCCGACCTTGTCGTCACGGAAGATATCCTCAACCATGCCAACAAGAGCACCAAGATAGGCAGGGTTCTGAGAAAGCATCTCAGAGCCATAGGAAACGTAGTTATCGAGGGCTGGGAGCATATCCTCGAGATACAACTCAGCGCCAGCCTTGAAGGTCTTGTGGATGAGCTCGAATGCCTGCCACATGGTGGGCGAGATGGACTTGGATGCAAAAGTGCAGCTGTCAATGATCTCGAAAACCTCATTGTAAAGGTCATAGAGCTTATTCTCAAGAGTGATGCTGATGACGGGCATCAAGACAGTCTCAAGGTGCAAAAGGACATCGGGGGTGCTCTCAAGGGTAAGAATGAGAGTTCCAATGGTCTGCAGAACACCCAAAGCGGTAATGCTCTTGTCGTCCAAGAAATCACCGTAGCCATCATCGTCGCCGCCCTTGCTGGCATTGCGCTCCAGAACCTCACCAACAATGCGCATGTAGGTGTCGCGCAGCTGCTCGCTCAGAGCTACAGCGAAAGGTGTCAGCTCTGCGGAGAACACCTCAACGAAATCCTCCATCACATTGGCCAGAGCATCAACATCGACCTCGTTGGCCAGCTTGAGAAGCTGCTGCATGATCTGCGGGATGTTCTGCTGCATCGAGGTTCGGATAACGTCGTGACGGATCAAGGGCTGCAGGGCAAGGGCAGCTTCGACGCGGACGGGTAATTCGGGATCGGTCATTGATTCCAGAATGTTACGGTAGATAACCATGAGGTTGTTGGGGTCCTGGAAGTCGAGCTGCTCGAACTTCTCGAGGGTATCACAGGCGCGGGCACGCAGGAATCCATGGGGGCTGCGGAATTCAGGGAAGACATGGCGAACGAAGAAGTATTCAACCTGGTCGGCAATAGGGCTCTTTTTTCCCAGAATGACGGACGAGAGGGAGCCAATCATGCGCAGGGCGCCCTCCTTCTCCCGAGGCTGCTTCTGATCATCCGGAGCGGATTCGTACTTGCTGACAACGCTGTTGACGAATGTGAGGATTGAGAATGTCTGCTTCTTGCGGTTTTTGGTGAGGGAAACGAGGAAGTTGGTAGCGGCGACATCGGGAGCCGAAACCTCCTCGTAGAAGTTCAGCTTGCGGTGGAGATATTCCGAAGGGTCGTCCTCAAACAGCTCGATGTCCTCATCCGACTGGCATAGTGTAGGGAAGACGAAGTGGGCGATCAGGTTGTCCATGTGCGGCTTCAGGTGGTCCCACATCGTCTTGGGCTTGACACACTCCTCCATAAAGACCAGTGTGTAAGAAAGCGCAGGGTTGCTGAGCCATTGGTTCTTGGACACCCACTTGTCAATTTCCTGAAGGTACCCCTTGAGGATTTCAGGAGCAAAAGTGGTGATAAATGTCTTCGCATACGCGGTGTAGTCGGGGGTAGAGGATTTCGTCATCGTTGAAGGGTTACCGTATCTAGCGCGGAGATCGTATGTCAGCCAAAGGTCTACATGTAAGCGAGGTGCATTGAATACTTACCTGATGAAGAGACGGTTGAGGTTGGCGTAAGACCACTTCTTGCACTTCCACCAGTGGTTCAACTCGCGCTCTTCCTTGGAGTCTCCCATGGAGCTTGCCGGAGGCGTCTTTGAGATGATGCGCAGGAACAATGTGCACCAGTCTACGGTAGCCTGGTGGGTCTGAAGGGCAGGCGAAAGCTCAAACTACAGGAATTGCCGGTTAGTTTTTTCGTTTTTGAATGTAGAGCGTTTCGTAACTCACGTAAATGGCATGCTTGTAGGACTTCACCACAATGCGCAGCATTTCGGCAGCCTCGATACTCTCCTCGTCAACCAATCTCTGGCCAATGCTGAGCAGCTGTGGGAACGAGTGCTCCACAATCTTATCGAACTCCTCCCGCTTCTCTCCAGCCTTGAAGCGATAAACGCGGCAGATGGCCAACAGGCACTGCAGTCCGGCGTAGACAGTGTTTGCATCGTTGGTACCGAGGAGCTGGAGGGTGAGGTCGAGGAACCCGGGCCACTTCTCGGGGAAGTCGTGCTGCAGGATCTTCTGCAGAAGGGGAACCAGCTGTGCGCGGACATTTGGAGGAGTCGAGGCGAGGGCAGGGATCAATCGCTCGCGGAAACCAGGCTTCTCGGACTCAGGCACGGGGGCACGTTGGGGGCTGTCATCAATAGGCGCCCAACCTCTGTTGATGCGGTTTTTCAGGTAGACACCGGCTGAAGAAACGGATATTGGTTAGCAAAAATGGCTTGTATCGGTAAATGAAGCTGAAGCGATATACACACCAGAGAGTTGAACGGCATTGTTCTGTTCGCCCTGCAGAATGTCCAGCAGCGCATTGATAAAACCGGGCTGAGATTCGGCCTAGAGATGGGGGGCAACCCCCACTGTTAGTCTCAATATTTCATCGGCCCACGCTCTTCCAGCAGCACCACGTACATATTTCAGGTCCAGCTCGGCCTGCCGGCGAATGTTCGCATCCGCATCCAGGGTACACTGGATACGGTCTCGGAGAGCCGTGACATCCATCTTCGCACCACCTGGGGCACCCCAGCGCCAAAAATCTCAGAAAGAAGAAACTCCGAACTAGGAACCCCCGAGGAACGCGGGCCGGGGCCGATAATGGAGAGAGAGGGAGTCGCGCGGGGTCAAGGACGAGGAGGTCCAAGAGGGGAGGATGGTTTTAAAAAAGTGTAGAGGGGGTGGGCGAAGGGGATTTTCGCGGGCGGTCGCCCCGCAGCTAATCAGCGGCCGCACACTAATTTTCTATACTCCATACGGTTCCGAGCCCCCATGGATCTGTTTTCTACAATGCAAATTACTATTTACGCGTCGGATTACTAGATATGGTTTCGATCAGAATCGAAATTGAATTCCTAACTTGTGAAAAGTTCCGTTCACCAACGACAAAACACCATCTCTCTGAGAAACGCCGAAGATGCTGCTCATAATCGATCATGACTTGAGACGGATGCCCAATGGGCGTGCAAAGAGTAAACCGCGAAGACGCCAGGGCCGCTCACATATAGAGGGATGCCGCGAAGATAACGTCGCGTTTGATCAGCTCCTGTGCCTTCTCCATCTTGGTGTGGAGAGAAGGATCCCCGACGAGCTTGGCGGCGTTTCTCACTTCACGACATGTCTCGTCCAGCCGAGTAATGCAGCGGACGATGGTACCTTCCATCACGTCGGTGAGGTCGGTGATGCGGTTGAATGACATACCACGCGCCCATTCATACACTACCTCGGCGAGACCGAAGCGTGGCTTGCTAGCAAAGTCGTTGGAGTCCTCGGTCGACTGGATCACCTGGTGCAAGACCTGAAAGTCGTTCACCCGCTCAGCGATACGGATAATAGCATCTTGGCCCTTCTCCAACCTAGGAGTGAGCTTGGGGGTGCTCTCCGTCTTCTCCTGGAACACAAACGCGGACAAAAGGGCGACGATCTCTTCGGGCTCGTACTCAGCGAGCACGTTCTCAAGGATCAGCTCCGTGAGAACCAGTTCGTCGGCAGAGTGGATCTCACATGCCACCTTGCCTTTCAGCTGCACCCGACCGACATCATCCACAAAGCCCAGCTCCTTGAGAACCTGAACGCGCTGTTCATAATCCGGGAGAAGTTGAAGATTCTGGTCGGACATCTGTTGTTTAAGCTGCGAGATATTCTCCTTGATCTGCCACTCGTCATTTTGCATTTCGTACTGTGAATATATGCGTTAGTACAAGATCATCAAAACAGAGATAGGGCTGAGGGTAACTCACATGCTGCAAGAAGCTGGCGCAAAGCATGCTTTGAGCCATCTCGGCAACCGTGGCATGCCCCTTGCGCTTGACGAGGATATCGCGAATCTCCAGTTCCTTAATGTGAGAATAGTCGACTTCGTCCCATTCGTGCAAGAGCCAGGAAGGTGTGTATTTCTTCAATTCCTTATCGGCAAATTTGCCCACCTCTTGATGGGGGAGGCGTGTTAGTTCCGGGATTTCGGAAAACAGCCAAAAGCAGAGAGGATCTGGTCTGGGCGGTAGCTTACCTTTCTTGATGTTTAGGTACCAGATGGGGCCCGTGACCTTGACCAGGGTCTTCGTGATGCATTCGATCTCGCTCAAGGGAACCTTGACAACCTTCAGGTGCATCTGGGAGGCATCTCTAGGAAGACCCCGGAAGAATTGGCGGAACTTGGGGAGATACGGTAGAATGTCGCTTGGGTGACGCTTAGTATCCAATGTTCCGATCTCGAGCACTTGAATGCATGGGACGGCGCCAGTCGTAACACCTTCCTTGACGATAATACCAGCAGTGCGCATTCCATCCTAGATGAGGGTCAGTATTCGTGTGGGATTCTGTTTGCTTAGCCAAGATCAACACACCTTTTGGTAAACAACGAGTCTCTTCAGACCGAGAAGTCGCTTGCCGGTGGGGGAAGAGAGCAACTTGAGATGAAGTTCGATTGTAAGACGTCGGTACTCGACTGCAGCCTGGTGGCAAGATTCGATGTCCACATCGCAAATCTCGCAAGGCTTTCGCTTGATTTTCTCGAGATTTGCTTCGGACAGCTGTACTTTCTGTTCGTTCTGCGGAAGAAGCGCTTGCGTAGCATTTTCGCTGAAACTCCTCTTGATCATCTCTTCGATCTTCAGGGCTTCGACTCGAAGGAGGTTCAGGATCATGTTGTAGGTCAAACGGAACTGAGAACGGAGCTTGGTCGGTTCTCCAAGAATCATCTTCTTCAGCGATGCAGCGGGAGGTGCTTCGTCTCGTCCACTGGCCGTGACAATCACATATCCCACGTTGTCAAGACCTCTGCGTCCAGCACGTCCAGCCATTTGCGTGTACTCGCCGGGGAGTAGGTCGCGGAATCCCTTGCCGTCGTGCTTGCGGAAACCAGAAAAGACGACCGTTCGAGTTGGTAAATTCAAGCCCATAGCAAACGTCTCGGTTGCGAACAGAACCTTCACGAGAGACCTCGCGAAGAGAATCTCGACGATCTCCTTCATGATCGGCAAAAGACCACCATGATGCACCGCGATTCCTCGGCTGAGTAAGTCGCGGAGATTGAGGATCTGGGGGAGGACTCGGTCCTCGGGCTTGAGGCGAGTCAGCGACATTTCAATGAACATATGAATCTGGCTTTTTTCTGAAGCATTGCAGAAATCCTGTCGTGAAAGGGAATCCGCATTTTCTTGGCATCGCTTTTTGGAGAAGACGAAGATGCAGCCCGGCAGCAACTCTTCTTTACGAAGATGGGACACCAGGGATACCCATATCGTCTTATCCTGAGCTGCAGAAGTCCGACCACCTCCACGTCCACTCCGAGCAATGTTTCCTGTGCCGCGGTTGGAAGGTTGGCCACGGCCTCTTGGTGCAGGACCACCACGCTGTCCGCCTCCTCGAGGACCACCGCGACCCGGGCCCTGACCACGTCCTCCACGTCCCCCCTGAGGCCCTCCTCGCTGTCCTTGGGCCAGTGCCTCGGCTTCTTTTTTCGCCTTGGCGTCTTTTCCGGACATGGCATCATTCGCTTTCTTCCATCCAGCTTCAATGAACCGCTTGTTTGAATCGACGATCTTGTACTTGTCGGTGCCAGCCCAGAGATAGTGTTCCAGAGGAACAGGACGTTTGGGGGTAGAAATGACATAGATATCCTTCTTTTTCGTGCGGCCCACCCAAGAAGCGAATTCGTGGGTGTTCGGCACGGTGGCCGAGAGAAGGATGAGGGTGACATGCTCCGGAAGCATGATGATGACCTCCTCCCATACCACTCCTCGTTCGAGGTCGTTCACATAATGTACCTCGTCGAAGATGACAAATTCCACGTCTCGGATAATATCAGCGCCTCGGTAAAGCATACTCCGCAGAATCTCAGTCGTCATGATCAAGCAACTGGCCTCGGGGTTGATTTGGACATCACCGGTAAGAATGCCGACATCATCGAAAGTCTTCCGGAAATCGCGGTATTTCTGATTACTGAGAGCCTTGATAGGAGATGTGTAGATGGCCTTCGTCATATGCTTTGCCGCAAGGGCAATGGCATATTCCGCCACAACTGTCTTGCCTGCAGATGTGTGCGCTGCAACAAATACTGAGTCATTGTTTTCCAGGTGATAGACAGCTTCTTTTTGGAAGGTGTCGAGTTCAAAGGGCCATTCTCTGGCCATGTCGGGAACCATTTCTCGGAAATTGTGGAATGATTTGTTGACATTCACAACGTGTGCCCACTCTTTGCCCATCTGCTTTCGGAGGCTTGAAAGTAGAGGATTGCGTGGTTCAAAGGCAGCAAACTCGGTTGGCAGAAGAGCGTCGATGTCTGCGTATGCCTCTGAGTCGGTTAAATCATCATCGTCATCACTGTCATTCTCGCATTTGACTTCTTCCTCAGCTGGCTCTTGGGGTGTGCAAATTTTGAACTCGCTCTTTTCAAGGAGAGCCTGTTCAACTTCCTTGTCTCCTTCTTCGACCTCTTTCGACTTCTTTTCGTCAAAGTTGAGGCCTCGACTGAAGCCGGGAGGTACAGTGAGAAGGCCACCCTCTGCTCCAAAATTGATGATTCGATCGAGGCCCGAGCTTCCGCCGCTGCGTGATTCTCCTGAGCCGTGGGTGCCTGCCTCCATTGCAGCGATGGCTGAGACACCCTCCAAGCCACCCGGTGCGAACGGAAAGAATCCTGCTGCTCCACGAACGAATTCTGCACGTCCAGCGGGACGACGGAGCATGGATGTTGAGTTTTTTGCGGTCTCGCTCGTGGCGGGGACGGTCACCTGTTTGTATCCGGTAACCCGGCCCTGCAGGCCCTCTCGAATGAATCGAGTCACGGTTCGCGTTTGTGTGGGGGCAATTCGCATAAGATCGGTAGGGTCTGTGGGGATTTCCCATCGCCTGTAAAAAGAAAAAAGGTCAGCCATGGCCATCAGTTTCCCTTGATTGCTGTGTTGTGACGATGCAGGTAAAACATGTCTGGCAAACATACTTTTGCAGCCTGTTCAGCATTTGAGGGGTAAACTGAGGGGATGGCGTCATGAATTCGGCTTCAAGATCCGCTTCCAATTCATCTAGATGATCCAGCCCTTCCTTGGGTTGGTCGCGACGTGGGGTGGCCGTGGTGTTGCCCTTTCCCTTCTGCATCGAATTTTCTTCTTCGAGGCGTTTTGTCATAAAATTTGGGTCGATATCCATGCTCTTGAGCTTCAGCCCCTTCATGGCCGAAGCCAGATCCTTGTCGTCATCCATGGTGGATGAATTGCGCGCAGCTGGTCGCGAAAGCTAAGATCAGGTGCGTCGGTGTTGCAGTGAACTATTGATGGCCCACCCCACTTGGATGGGCGGTTTCGTCGGTGTGAAGACGGTAAGAGGTGGTAGATTCTTTCAGGAATGGGCTGGAGTGCAAGGTTGGATGCCTTTGACGCAGTGTGTTCCTGAGCGAGAGAGGCGCAAAGGACAGAGGATATTTTGGGAAAAGTGTTGCTCTTGGTGTTCCCCCGCTGGAGCTACCTAAGCGGTACGTGGTGGCAGTATCGGAGTTTGGTGTCGGAGATTGACGTCGTGTGGGGCTGCGCAACAACCCCAGCAGCTTCGGCACCACCACCTGGCGTACCTACCAATGGATGGTGCAATTGCTAGAAGATGTAAATTTTTACTAATTGCAAAAGATATCGCTTGGCTTTTGATTTAGAAGGGCACCAAATTGGACATTAAATTATCTATCCAGGCCTCGGAAGGATTTTTTTGTTTATAGAAGTGAGATTCCCGTGGCCTGCGGGCACAACCTTGGACTGGACCACCTAACCAATCATTTTAGGCATCCCTGAATTCTATCTTCACAAGAAGCGTAAGGATATAGGCTAAGCGCGCGCTTCTATGCCGTCCAGACAGTGATTACTTGATGGCATAGGCGCATGAATGCATTTGCCGAATTAGAATGCGGGTCAAGTCAGCGCTGACAGATTCATGACCTTTCATACGTTGGCCATGTACTTAAGGTGTCGATAATTTCCGGGGTGCTTCATCATACTTAGTATGCTCATTCACAGAACTATTGAACCAGAGTTTATATTGAGAAAACTCAAACTCAACGCATCACATTGGGGAATATCATACGTAACCGAGCTTTTGTACCAAATCAGCCATCCTAAGAAGAGAATATCTGTGCAAAAAATAGGACGGAGTGGCCGATGAACGAAACCATACGCCCTCCAAGCGCCGGAATCATATGCAATAAACACAATGCGCCAATACCCGCGACCCAGGTACCATTAATCACAAGCCACCAGTAATCGACAAGAATTCTGGATAAGTTCACGGCTGCGGTCCCTCAATCAGTACTTTTTCCCGCATTCTCGAAGCTGCTGCGAAATTAATCGACTGACTTTTTCGTAAAGTTTTATCTGCAAGAAAAGATAGGAAAAGTTTTTCGATCGTGAGTGTTGAGGTGGAACTCGAAAATTCCCTCCAGCGTCGCAATATAACTATGTGATAGTTAGCAATGGCTTCACGCCGCTAATTAGCAATTCACTCACAGTGTCCTTCCGTCAGCCGCCCAACCCACTCCTGCCGTCGCATCTGGCTCCTCGGCTCCTGGACCGTGGATCAAGCTTCGTTCAGGCAGTTCACTGATGATATTTCGAATCCATGCAGAATTGCCCTGTTCAAGCCCTGCAATTTGGCGGTGCAGATGTTCTCTTTCTGCAGAGCGCAAATGATCACGATCAGAGGTGCGGTCATGCGGCGCATTTGCCATGCGGCGCTGGCGTCGATGGCGCTCCGTAGCGACATTGGCTCTGACCTCATACGTAGAGGGACGAGATGGGTCAAATCTTCCCAGTGGTCTTTGCTGCGCTAGGAACTCAATATGCGACAGTCGCTCTGGTCGTCTTGGGATAGAGCTTGCTCGCTGGGGTCGTCGGCGCGGCGTTTCGGGGGTGTATTCAAACTCAAGGCTGGGACCGGGGGCATCAGAGGGGCGTGGAGGCAAACCACGAGCTTCGAATTCATTGTTAAAGAAATCCGGGTCGGCGCTTAGACGGTTCAGAACGTCTGCTTGGATAGATGCCAGTTCAGCGCGCGATGATGATGTCCACCGGAGTGAGTTGGATGGTCGATCCTGATTAGAGGAGCCAGCATCAGGGGTTCGGGCTCCTTGGGAGAGGATTATCGAACTCTGGCGCCGGGGGTGATAAGGTCGGTCCGCTCCATTGCGTTCCGAATGGCCTTCCGGAGCACTATCAGCAGGCTCGTATGGATTTCGAGGGGAAGTAGGACCGGATGTTCGAGTGGCCACATCTGTGGAACCGTGATGGCGTGTGTGAGCCGCGAGCTGAGGATGCAGACCCGTCCTTGGTGGTCGTTCCGGTCGTTCAGAGAGTGTTCCCTCCGTCCTTGATGTCCATCGGGCAGCATTCAAGAAGTCTAAAATCAGTCTCTCCCGATCTCCAAGATCTTGGATCAAGGATTCGCGCAGGGAAGAACGTCCATTTTCATCACCACCACGCTCATTCGCTGTCTCGTCCGTATCCAGCCCTAGCCGCGACGCAATTTCCAGTCCCTCGTCATCTGAAAGAACAATTTCCGGGTTATCTAACAGCGGTTCCGTGTGGACCTCTTCCAACGTCGGCTCGTTGGAATCGAGGTACAAAGTTTGCCTGCGCAAAAATCCCTGGCGTACGTCTGCCACTCCAGCTCGACCATGACCTTCTAGCCAGACCAGAAGATCCCACGGCTCGGGCGCAAAGGTCATACAGCGCACAGCACCACCTTCGGCACAAGGACGGGATGCCGGGAATTGGCAAATAATGGGCGATTCGGTTTCCACGAAATGCTTCTCTTTGCAGATAAGGTCGGTATCCAAGACCGTCACGATTCCAGACTGAGACCCAATTGCGCACAAGTGGCTGGAGGGAGAGAAGGCTATGGTGAAGCAGCACGCATCATCCACCCTCGCACCTATGTTCATCTCAATGCACCGCATCAACTCCCAATCCCATTCCATAATACCCTCGGTTTCTTTGTCAGTGGAAGCCGATGAGTCGCGTTCCCGAGTGATGTAATAGAAATAGGCTCGGTTCTCGTCTCCCACGGCGGCGAGCAGGGAATGGTCTGGAGATATGACTGCATAGTTCATGCAAAACGGATGGTGGAGGACCTTTACGACTTTCGCATGCGTGAGAGAGTAGACGGTAACCGTTCGATCGTTATTGCTATCCATGATTCGTCAGTACCAGCCATGCAAGGGGAAAAGTGATCTATCGAATAGGGCCATACCTAATAACCATGGCATCCTCAGGCGCGGGATCGTCTTCACTCCCCGGGAAGCGGTGGATCGTGACCGAATTGACGATGCTGCCGCCAAACTTATGACGCTCAAATTCCGGCCATAGCCGTCTTGTGGAATGTCGGGTGGACGATGGACCCCCGATCGAACTCTCCGGTGTCAACACCCGCGACGGCGGTTCGAGGTCGACAGGCAGCGCGCTGTCTACATCTACCGGCGACTGCGAGGGCAGTCCCTCGCGGGCCTGCAGTCCTCTGTCCCCGAGCTTAAGAAAAGCGCATTCTCCATTCTCCGGGCCCCCCACCGCGATCCACCCAAACCCGGCCGCTAAGCATCGCGGCTCGAATGGAATGACCGCAATACTCTCCCTTTTCTGTGCAGCGATGTGGATCGCATAGACTATTCTTTCGACGACAACATAGATGCGATCGGGATCGGCGGTGCTGATGTAGTGGCGAAGCTGGGTATGGCTTATTCGCGCAATACTGTTAGCTCTCAGATCGGCATGTCACCACGGGGAAGCGGAGGTACTGACAAGTTGGGGATCTTGAAAGGGAAGAAGCGCCGTTTGCTTGGAAGGATGAGAGACTCGGTTGGGCGATGTCTAAGACAGAGAAAGCGTGAGTATCACCGGTCGCTGAGGGAGGAGGGGACAGTGTCATCGGAGGCGACTCACGGGATCGAGTCCGAGGTCATGGTGAGCAGCTAAGCCGAGCACATTGCTACTCGAACGAGGTAGAGCAGAGACGCAAGGGCATGAATCAGCCCGACTGTTTTGGGGTGCGTTGTTCACGAGAGCTGAGGTCGCATGCGCTTTCAAACGGATGACGTAAGACTTGGAGCTCCCAGCCGGGGAACCAGGCCACGAATGCGGTGGTTACGCCGCAAGCGACCGTGGCGGCTCCGCGGTTATTTGTTGTGCGTCGGAGATTTGAAGAGGGAAATATATATGGTTGGGTTCGGCGTGAGTATTAAAATTTTTAAAAAATAAGCTCCACGGCTGGCTGTTAGGGGAGGGTTGGTGTACGTTTGGGGTTGAAATGTCCTCTCCCCGCAAACATATATACACTATAACTAGAGTGGTACACAGGAGCTCCTCCCACTACACAATAATGTACTGCCACAATTACAACGCGAGGCCCTAGCTAGATAGGAACCAACCCACAAGCTTTGTAGGGCAAGCCATGTTCGATTAGGTGACGAACCCCAGTCGGAGTTGGATTACTGTCGCAGCCATCGGTATCCAGACTAAAAGTCTCGTCCCTTCTCAATGGGAGTCGAGGGCACCGACGAGCTGGGGTCATACAGCAGGCCACTCCGGGGCCCTTCTCGTACAAAATTACGGGCTATCCACATCTCAAATGGTTTAATGGGTACCGTGACTAGAGCGATGGGAGAAAATATCGCCAATGAGGTTCAGGCCGCGTAGTTCGGGGAGGCTTGCCGGTTGGCCGAGGCAATTGCCGGGGATCGGGTTTGGCTCAGCCTGGGTGGCGGCTGACCACTTGGGCATCCCGGGGGAACTGACCAGTGTAATAGATAAACCAAAGACGAGGCAGTTCGTTATCTATGAGTCGAACTCATCTACAACAGCCATTATGGCCGGATCTCGCAGATACTGCATCGGTAGCAGCCCCGGCGTATACTTCGCGGGCGGTGAGCACGGAGCCAGGGGCAGCGCTGATTGGCCGGTCGCGTGATTCCACGCAGTTCGACGACGGGCCGACGGTCTCCGTGCAATTTCTACCGTCTTCTTCCCTCTCCTTCCTCTCCTTCCTCCATCTCTCCATCCTCCTTCCCCCTTTCTCTCCATCCACTCTGCGGTTGAGTCGTCGAGTGTCATCCCCTTTTCTCTTTTCTATATTACTTAATTTATCACACAATGCTTTCTTCCCGCATTTCTCGCGCGGTATGTTCCCTTTTCCTCGGGAAAAAAGATTTCCCCAAGGTCACGCGTCGCAAAACAAATCCAACTAACTCGCACCGCAATAGCTCCCCCGCGCTGCTTTCGCTCGCACTCCCACCTCCAGAATCCCCAGCACTGCTTTCCGACGATGGAACTCATCAGAGGGCGAGGGCAAGGTGAAGGGCCAGGTCATCGGTATTGATCTTGGTAAGTGACACCATGGCTTCAAGCTGCCTCAGGAGACATTTCGCATCGATGCTAACATTAAGGCCAACAGGTACCACCAACTCCGCCGTTGCCGTTATGGAGGGCAAGACCCCTAAGATCATTGAGAACTCCGAGGGTATGTGAAAAATTTTCAATCGTCGATTAATCGCCCCGGATCGTCCAGTTTCAATCTCTGAGTGTTCGGGCGATGAGCTGGCAATGCCTCTGATGGTTCAATCGCTAACTCGATATCCACCCAGGTGCTCGTACCACTCCCTCCGTTGTTGGATTCGCTGAGGACGGCGAGCGTCTCGTCGGTGTTGCCGCCAAGCGTCAGGCCGTTGTCAACCCCGAGAACACTCTCTTCGCTACCAAGCGTCTCATCGGCCGCAAGTTCACCGATGCTGAGGTCCAGCGCGACATTGGCGAGGTTCCCTACAAGATCGTTCAGCACACCAACGGCGATGCCTGGGTTGAGGCTCGCGGCCAGAAGTACTCTCCCTCGCAGATTGGTGGTTTCGTTCTGAACAAGATGAAGGAGACCGCCGAGGCCTACCTCAGCAAGCCCATCAAGAACGCTGTCGTTACCGTCCCCGCCTACTTCAACGACTCCCAGCGTCAGGCTACCAAGGACGCCGGTCAGATCGCCGGTCTGAACGTCCTCCGTGTCGTTAACGAGCCCACCGCGGCCGCCCTTGCTTACGGTCTTGAGAAGGAGAGCGACCGTGTCGTCGCCGTCTACGATCTGGGTGGTGGTACCTTCGATATCTCCTGCCTGGAGATCCAGAAGGGTGTCTTCGAGGTCAAGTCCACCAACGGTGACACTCACCTGGGTGGTGAGGACTTCGATATTACCCTGGTCCGCAACATCGTTGAGAACTTCAAGAAGTCCTCCGGTGTCGACCTGTCTGGTGACCGCATGGCCATCCAGCGTATCCGTGAGGCCGCTGAGAAGGCCAAGATTGAGCTGTCCTCCTCCCTCCAGACTGAGATCAGCCTGCCCTTCATCACTGCCTCCCCCGAGAAGGGTGCTCTCCACATCTCCGAGAAGATGACCCGTGCCCAGCTCGAGGCTCTGGTTGCTCCTCTCATCAGCCGTACTACTGAGCCCGTCCGCAAGGCCCTGAAGGACGCCAACCTCCAGTCCTCCGATATCCAGGACGTTATCCTGGTCGGTGGTATGACCCGTATGCCCAAGGTCACCGAGTCCGTCAAGTCCATCTTCGGCCGTGAGCCCTCCAAGTCGGTCAACCCCGATGAGGCCGTCGCCATTGGTGCCGCCGTCCAGGGTGCTGTCCTGGCTGGTGAGGTCACTGATGTTCTGCTGCTCGATGTCACTCCCCTGTCCCTCGGTATTGAGACCCTGGGTGGTGTCTTCACCCGCCTGATCAACCGCAACACCACCATCCCCACCAAGAAGTCCCAGACCTTCTCCACCGCTGCTGACATGCAGACCGCTGTCGAGATCAAGGTCTTCCAGGGTGAGCGTGAGCTTGTCAAGGACAACAAGATGCTCGGCAACTTCCAGCTTGTCGGTATCCCCCCTGCCTCCCGCGGTGTTCCCCAGATCGAGGTCACCTTCGACATTGACGCCGACTCCATTGTCCACGTCCACGCCAAGGACAAGTCCACCAACAAGGACCAGTCTATCACCATTGCCTCTGGCTCCGGTCTCTCCGATGCCGAGATCCAGAGCATGGTTGAGGACGCCGAGAAGTACGGTGAGGCCGACAAGGAGCGCAAGCTCGCCATTGAGGCCGCCAACCGCGCCGACAGCGTCCTGAACGACACCGAGAAAGCCCTGAAGGACTTTGAGGACCGTCTGGACAAGGCTGAGGCTGACACCATCCGCGAGAAGATTGCCACTCTCCGCGAGTTCGTTGTCAAGAACCAGTCCGGTGAGGGCACCGCCACCGCCGAGGAGCTCAAGGAGAAGACCGACGAGCTCCAGACCGCCTCCCTGACTCTGTTCGACAAGATGCACAAGGCTCAGAGCGAGCAGCAGCAGCAGGGTGAGCAGCAGGGTGAGAACAAGCAGTAAATGCTTTTTCTCTCTGTTCTAACCACGATCACTTTATCCCCGTGGTGACGCATGTATTTTTCTTATATTTTCCTTGTGTTTTTCCTTTGTGTTAAGAGACCCTGGCTTTTTCTTTCGCATCTTTCCGCATCAACTGTACACATATCTCAATGCCCCTTATCCCCCTTCTTGTTCTGGTGTATTGGTGTTTGATTACCAACTTGTATGATCTATTTTTTCCCCTTCACTTCTTCTTTTGCCCATGTACCCTCTGGCGGACTTGATGTTTGGCCAGAGCGCGTATGCCGGGATTGTCTACCATTGTATCTAATGACATTACGGCAAGGGGGCCACCAAAAAGGATGCGGGCTTATGGCTATCTGGTGCATGTGACAATAGAAATCGGACAATTCTCCTCTCGCTTTACATTCTTTTTTCTCAATTAAATTGCGCCTCCATCAGACTCGAAGAGGTGTACACTGTAGGACTGACCGTTGTGATGGCGTCACCGAGACTTGACTTTGCAGTTGGGAGCACGGGCGATTACAATTAGTTCATGCGTCGTAGTGCTCGATCCTGGACTACAACAGGCGCCCGCAGCACGGGCAATGCCACCAACACCCAACAGTGGCCGCGAGCAAATGAAATCAAGGCGCGGCAGTGTGCGCATCTGGTCCGGATGCATGCTGCAAGTCTGTTCAACGGGATAGACATTGCAGGGCATGTGGTGTGTTGGTGTTGCCACTACATTCGTTAGGACAGACTAATCCGAGCATCTCGCAGTACGGCGTCATCGACACTTTCTCATCACTGCTCGTAGGTACTTATTGTAGGGTGTAGGTATTGCGATGTACATATACATCCCTCATTTGGACTAAAGTTTAGTCTCGACACGGGAAGAATTGATAGGTCGATTCGTGTCAGCGATACAGTCCAGCGAGACCTCAATAAACCCGGCCAATCTATTTCGAGCAGGGTTGCGCGAGCGCTGCGACGTCAGCTAGTCGAGCTAGTCGGGCCAATCGCCTCTATAGTCTCGATTCCTTGCATGAGGGCGCGGCGGGTACACTTCATTTGCGACCGGCGGAGAAGAGCGAGGTTGTCCTCGGTGGATGACCGCTTTTCTGGTTTTCCTTGATTTTGTTTCTACTGACTGTCTTATGGAGGACTCTTTATGCCGAAACTGAGTCTCGCGGGTATAGACCTACGAATACGAAGGGAACAAACAAACTAACTCATCAGGTCCCAAATGCCAAGTCCAGACAAAGTCCATTGATCGGGATCATCATCTTGCCTGAGGTTATTTTGAAAACATGGCCTGTGCCGAGCACATCATCGAAATCTGGATCGTTACCACGTTGACCAAAGTACTCAAGTACGTTAGGGAGCAGGCACCGGCTTCCGGGCCAATTGGACCCGCGCCGTGACAGAGTGCCGGGCGTGCAGACTTCCCTGCAGCGGCGCGCTGGACGGGCAAATCACCGTTGTACACACCAGTTAGGCTGCCAAGTGGGTCGTGGGCAATGATGATGTTTGTGAATTACGAGACCAGATGCCCCTTTTATTAATGGGAGGACCCGGAACCAGTCCTATACTCCTACTCTTACAGTACTTCCTACCTTGAGGTACGGTAGTATAGAGTAGGGCTGTTGTTTTGATTTTGCCAACCGAGGCCAACCAGGTAAAAACCGGTAACCCTGCGATGTCATGTTCATCGCTAGTGGACACAGAAATTTCGAAGGCTGCCATCATTCGTCGATCACTTTCAGTCTGGTGAGACCGTCGGCCTTAGCGCGCCCCTAGTTGCTAGTGCCGTGTAGGATCCTTATTAGGACCCCCCAAATAAGATGAAAATGTGGAATGGCCATGACTAACCTGCTCCACCGAGAAATCCAAAATTACGATACACTCTGTGGGAAACTAAGCCCTGGCGTCTCTTACTCTCACAGGAGTGCTCCGTTATTGATCAGTTGACCTTGACCTTGGGCCCATCCTTCCAGATTCCAGATTTGCCAGACTGCCCCAAGTGGACAGCTCAATGGGCCCGTGTTTCCCCTTTCAGGGCTGGCAGAGCGGAGCCACTTGGCACGCTTGCACCTAACCAATTTCCCGCCTTCGTATAGATTTCTAATCTTCATCGCCCATTCGACGGGGAGGAGAAGGTCTGCGACCGATGAGTCGCGAGCAAAAATATTTGGGAAGATGGGGACGTTAGAGGATCTCGAAGCGCCTGAAAGTGGAAACGTTCCCAGCAGACTTTGGTGCTTCCCTGGTCCAATTATTGTGATTCTTTAGGTCAGGCACAGAACCACTATGTGTACTTGGAAAAATGTACTGAGAAAGGGGTGCAGAATCAATAGTGCCCTGCAATCGGGGGTAAGTACCCAATACTGCGATCGGAAGCCTGCACGAAGTTCCGGTATGGTGGTCCGAAGTATCCTGTACTCGCTGTAGAATACATCGTGTAACTCGACCTTTTGCTGTGCTTGCTGGTCTGCTTACTAGTCTGCTCTACTTGCAGACCACCTTCCACTCCGATTCCAGCAGCTTCGACCTGGAACCAGTCTTTCCCCTGCGTTACATAATGATCTCCCCTGATGACCGGGCGAATGAGGGTAGATCTTGGGCGGGCCATTGGCGGCTGAGACCGGAATTGTCAAGAGCTTCGATCACTGAAATGAAGCTAGACCCGTTGTGCCCTGCCATTGGAGTCGCAGGCGCCCCTCTCCCCGGAAAGAGTAATTTCCAGAGTTCGTGTGATCAGTGGTTCGCGACATTTCCTGTTTCTCCGGAGAGCTCGAGCTCAAACTGGAGTTCAGAATGGAGCTCCGGATCCTGCGATGAAATTAGCAAGACTTTTCTTTCCTTTTTCTTCACTCCCCCTACCCTTGGGGTAGGGCAGGTTAAAACTCGGCCATCACCATTTTGTCACCTGAATCATCCGAATCATCCTGCGGCATGCCACTGTGAACAAATTAACCAAAAACAGTAGTCAGACATGGCGGTTTGAGACTCGTCACTTCGACCCAATCCCCGTTGACCGATTCCAGGAGCAAGCGCCGCCGCCCCTGGGCTGTAGTGGAGTGGGACACACCACTGGCCGAGCTAAAGTACACCCCAGGGAAGGTGTGAACCTCGGTGTGTGTTGGGGTGTTCCCTGGTACATGAAGTACACCCGCAGGTGTACCTGAGTCTGGTGGGACCAGCAAAGTGGGTATGACCAAAAAAGAAACAGCAAAAAGGGTAGAGCTTAGAGCGGGTGCGTCAACAGAATCAACCAAGCGCTCGCCCATGCCCCCGCGAGAGCAAAGTTAGCGAGCAGCGGTTTGGAGGAGGCGGGATGTGCAGCCAATCTCCAGGAAATGAGCGATTGTGATTGTTGTGATTTAATTACATCGACTAGCGCCGAGCCAATCCATGGATTCCCGTGCAAAGTACGTACGTACCGTACGGCGTACACTCAGGTAGAGTACATTCCTAGTACTGACACTAGGACAGCGAAAACTAGTTTAACCGCACTCACACTCGGATTATTATGTACTTGTATCCTAAAATACCCAGTCTCTGTATTGGATGATCTCACAATAGTGTATGTACTCCTTGGCGATCCCTTACTCGCCGTTACGGAAATTTCGAGATAACGGGGGTGCAGCCCAAGGGTCGCGCTAGTGGATATTGTCATTTCTTATTTGATTTACTCGATTCGATCATTTTTGACCTTTTTTTTCCTATTATTATAATGGAGTTTGATGGAGACGTCTGGATGTCAATCCTTCCCTGACCGTCGACCCATAGATCGGGAATGGGTCATGGGCGATTGTCTCATTTGCCCTGAGCTTTTTTCTTTTTCTTCTTTCGACTTCCCTGTGTACTGTTGTTCACTGTCCACTGGAACTTCCCACAACCTCATCTTCTCCTCTCCCCACGCCCTGGTTGAGGAACACCATGACGGCCACTCCTCTTGTGCCGCATTCTGTCCCCGAGGGCGCCATCAATGGCCATCTGCGCTACCATCCCATCGCCATGAATCCCAACCCGCCTCCACATCCGCAGATGCCCCCTCCAGATCAAATGGTGCAGAACCACCACTTTCGCTACTTTCGCCCGCCGACCCAGCTGCATGACCCGCATGGCCCTCAAGGGCCCCCGGGTCCCCGCCGCCGCCGCAGCATACCCCGTCGTCGCTCGAGCAGATTGAGGCCCGCCTGCGACAGCTCGAACACGAGGAAATGACCCGGATGGCCACCCGCAGCCATATTCTAGCGGCGCGCAAGCGAGAAGATGAGGATTTTCGTCGATTGACGGAGAGTGCGGAGGCTGAAGAGGAAGTATGTTTGTTGTATTTCTTTTTTTTATATCTCTTTTTATTTACTCCTCTCGGAAGTATACGATACGAGTCTACACTTGGTATCTTACATTTTCGAGGCCACTCTTTTCTTCCTACAAATACTAACCACTTGACCAGGATCTCCGAAGAGAACGCAAGAGAATCAAGCGCGAGTCGATGGGCTTAGGGCCAAATGCTGCTTCCGACTCGCCGCCGATGCGTCCAACGCCGCCGCGCCGGCTGTCCGAGACCAGCGCGGCTACCACCTTGGCCTTTTTCAAGCAGCAAAGTCCCCCGGAGCCTCGCCAGGTGCCTCTTCCACCGCAGGCACCGCAGGCACCGCAGGCCCCGCCAGCACCGCAGGGATCAGGGCCACCCCCATCAATGCCGCCGCCAGCCCATTTACATCCCCAACCTCACCCACCCCATCATGCCGCTCCGCCACCACCTCCATCTCTCCAACACCAATCTCAACACCAATCCCAACTCCAACACCAAATTGTCCCACACGACGCCATAAACGCCGCAGGCTCCATCCGCCGCAAGCAAAAATACACCATCAAGAACGTCGAAGCATGGGGCGAGCGTCACGGCCGCCCCGCCGCACACGACCCCTCCGGCCGCGCCTTGTGGAAGCGGCCCTCGGACGGCAGCCTCGTCTACCTCACCTGTCCGATCCCAGGATGCGGGAAGAGTGACTTTGTCACCCTGCACGGCTTCATGTGCCACCTGACAAAGAAGCACAAGGACCGCACGCTCGGCAGCCAGTCGCGGGCTCTGGAACTCTGCGGCATCGTCTACGACCCTAACGCTCCTCTACCGCCTGTCACAGCCTCCAACCGCGGCTCAACAGAAGATAGCCCGTCTGTCCCGGATCGGGACGGTGATGCCGAGGACCCAGAAATGGATTCCGAGTCGGAGGAGATGGACGAGTCGCAGGATGAGTACCGTATCAAGACGGAGGTGACCGCCGACTCAGAGGGAACACATACACCCCGTGAAGTACCCTCTCCACTCCCTAAACCGACTACCAACGGCTCTACAAAGCAATCCATCCACTCCATTATTGACCGCACCCCGGAAACTGAGCCTCGAGAAGCACTGACTTCCCTCCCGCCTTCCGAGCCTGCGTCGCAGGTCCCCACACCTCTGCCTGAACAGGCGGTTCCAGCGAAGCGCAAGTTCGAGTACACGCCCCCGGCTTCGGTCTCGGAGAAGGAGAATACAGAGCCGAAGGAGGGGTCTGGTCCTGAATAGAAACAAAAAGGCGTGAAGTTCGCGCGTCATTGCTATGACCTACGTTTCTGATATGAAACTTACCTTGCATATGTCATTTACTTTGTTGAGCATTGTGTGGTGTGTTCGTGGTTTCTTCTTTGTTGTATTATTGCGGTTTTTTGGTCCGCGCAGACGTCATTCCTTTTATGATTTTTTCTCTCAATACCCTTGTCTGTCGTGTCTGGGCTTGTTTTGGCCGTGAGATGTGCGATGTTTATGCTGCCGCACTGTTCGTTTATATTTAATCTGCTAAGAGTATTATTAATGATACACGAGACTGTGTTGACTTTCTTTGGAAGTAGTAAGAGGTGTATTCAATGTCGCTCGAGCATGATTGTCTTCCTGTCATCAGGTGTTTGAGAAGTTGATTTAAAATGAAGCATATATCGCATAGACCAAATTTCGCGTACGTGATATCTTCATCTAGTGTTTTAGGGATATGGAGAATGTAAGGAAATGTCCATGGTGTTGTTGTTATTCCACTCATGTTAATGAGTACTTTTCACTGGTATAGGGTACATTGCAGGGTAATCACCTAACATCTCGATATATGACGAGACGAAAGAATACAGGTTTCATTTCTTTCATGTTTAGTGTTGTCTAGAGTATCTCGACACCTGAAATTCTGCTATCAAAGTAGGCGTGTATGCATAGCTTATAACCAAACTTTCCGCTTAGAATGTCTCGAAAAGACCCAGTGCTATCGTCTAGTAAATGCTGATGCCTTTAAACCCATCATATAAACTCTAAATTTAGGCTACATTTGGACCAGTTCCTTATCAAATAGTCTATTTATAAGTATGCATCACCTTGTAGTATGTAGTCTATCAACAAAGTCTATTTGATTTACACGTCTACTCGTATTCGTCATCAACTCTTCTCTCGTGCCAATAGGAGATGCACAAGATATCCTGACCCTCCCTTCAAGCCATCCCCAAGAACATCATCACTCAGCCTCCACACCCGGAACTCTCGCAGCGTTTCCCGAAGCCAGGCCTCAAAGACATCGGGTGACCGCTGCTGCTGCGCAATAATACAGATAGTCGGCTGACGCGTGGACCGTGGTTCATCTTCCTCTGAAGGTGTGTAGGCCGGTCGCAGCCGACAGAGTTCCGCGCAGGTGCGCACAAAGGGCGCGACGAGGGCCTCGTTGTAGATGCAATCGCAGGACAAGATCAGGTCGAACCCTTTGTCTTCCTTCTCGTCCCTCTGTGTTTGCCGGCCTGGTTCGTCCTCGATGCATCCTTTCAGCAGCTCAGGCTGATCCAGCTCCCAGTCTAGGGTAGTAAATGTGATGTTGCTGGCTGCATTCTTGGAAGAAGGCTGCTGCTTGGCGGACTTTCCTCGCGATTTACCACCCTTTGCCCTTGACGAAGAAGCACTGTTTACGGAAGCATTCTCGTCCAGATTGCTGCGGAATAAGCGGCGGACGTATTCTTGGTCAGTGGCGAGGTAGTGGTTCACGGATGGTGCCAAGGCTAGAGCGACGAGAGCTGAGATGCCGCAGCCGAGCTCGGCGACGACGGACGCAGAGGAGAGGAAGAAATGTGTCCAGAGGGGGTTGGAGGGAGAGGAGATCCAGTCGGCGAAGAGGGGCGTGATTTTCCAGAGGACTGGTTGGGGCGTACCACAAGGTCATGAGTTAGTGCCTCAGTTCGTATTGAGAGCAGAAATGACGGGTGAACCGAAGAAACGGCTGGGGATGGGGCACAGGATGGACCAGGAAGACAGCTAGCTAGGGTAAGGTTCACAGGCACGCCAGCGGGCCCAGAAGCACCGAGACGACCGAAGCCGAGGCTCAAGGTGAAACCTCCATGCGATTGTGCCCTCCTGGGTCTCGCCCTGGACCCTTCGGAAGAAAGACAAACTGCGGGGTGGCTTGGGAAGTCCGTGCATTACGGGGGATGCACGTTGAGGTGCGCAGATCTCGAACTTACCGGCGCCCGTGGTCCCTCCAGCACGAGAGGAGGAGAGCAGAGTTGGCGATTGATGGATCGCGTACTCGTCGCCACGGATCGTCACGTCGACGGTGGTTGCGCGCGAGTCAATGAACCCCAGGTTGGCCGTGGGGATATCCTGGCTGAAGAGGAGGAAGGCCTCTTGAGTGAGTGGTGTCAGCCTGGGCGGACGCGTATGATCTCAGTCATGGGAGCCTGATATTTGGCATGGCCTGCCTACCCTCTTCCGCATCGGTGACCTCTTCGCCACTGGCGAGCAGCTGCTGGAGGCGGGCGTTCATGATGTCGATGTGGGAGGTGATCTCTTTTGCTGTTCTGCTGCTTGTCGCCGCGATCACGGGACCAACTCTATACGAGAACAATGAGCTCTACTCTGCCGCAAGGTACTGTCAATACTAGTAGGAAACACAAGACCAGAGAATAGAATTATGCCATTGTATAACCGACCATCAGATCCGGGGCAATCTCTAGCCTGAATGCTTATTCCCCGTGGATTGCCATTAGCCGACCGTGATCGCGCTTCTCCACTATCTGTTGGGCGGTAGCCCCAACAGAACAGCAAAGGGAACTGATCTGCTGCGGATAAACACTAGACTCTCATAGTAGACTAAGGTACTGTAGGAGTTGCTCGGACCTGGAGCTCCGCGGGACGAACCCATGCAGCTAGATGCACTGTAATACTGTCCCTAGGCTACCTAAAGTAATTAATTTAAAAAGCAAAAGGCGCATGAAGCACTAAACTCCATCCGAGGTGCGTCATTCTGCCGAAGCCCAGCCACATCGCGAACGGACACTTGGGCTCTCGTAGCTTCTCCCCCTCAAGTAGCCCCCTTCAGCTTTTCCCTCTTCTGCCCTCAACATCAAAGCTCCCAGCTGCCAGCTTCTCCCGTCTTTAGTTTCCCTTGGTGAAGGGTAAGTGCCTTACTCGACCCAAACCCGGTGGCAGCGCGGCGCCGCTGTTTTGCCGCCCCCAGACTCCGCTAACGTCACTCCTTCGAACTAGCGGATTTTTCCCTGGTCTCTGAACTCGCGACCAGTTGATTTCCCATTCCTCTCTCCATCCCCCACCCCGAGGTCAACCCGCCGAGATGTCGAAGAGCGACCTCCACATCCAGCCTCGCATGGTCAAGAAGGGCCCCTTCTCCGTCGAGGCCCCGGGCTACGAGCCCGTCGCCGGAGAGACCATTCCTCGCCGACACCCGGCGGCGAAGGACGGCCTCATTCTACGCCCTGCAGAGGACGTTGCGACCACCTATGACAACTTCCGCCGCTCCGCTCGGGTGTTCGGCAACAATAAGGCAGTCGCCAGCCGCAAGTTGATCAAGACCCATGTCGAGAACAAGAAGGTCAAGAAGGTGATTGACGGCGTGGAGCAGGAGGTCGACAAGCAGTGGTTCTACTTTGAGAAGAGCGGCTACACCTACAGGTCCTTCCTCGAATATGAGCAGCTCTGTCTCCAGCTCGGCGCGGGTCTGCGCAAGCTGGGTCTTGAGAAGGATGGCCGAATCCACCTCTACGGCGCGACGAGGTAAGCTCCACTGGTCCAAGACCCCGCAAACGAAGAAGAATCGCGAGACTGACTCAATCTGGTTTATAGTGCACACTGGCTGGCCATGTCACACGGCGCTGCCTCCCAATCCATCACCATCGTCACTGCCTATGATACCCTGGGCGAGGATGGCCTGAAGCACTCTCTGGTCCAAACCTCCAGCTCTGCCATCTTCCTCGACCCCGGCCTGATCAAGTCCCTGACCAACATCCTGAAGGATGTTCCGTCCATCAAGCACATTATCTACAACACCGATGACGACGTCAAGCAGGATGACCTGGACCGTCTGAAGAACGACTTCAGCCACATCACAGTGCTCAGCATTGAGGAGCTGCGCAAGCAGGGCGAGGAGAACCCCGTCGACCCCGTGCCCCCAAAGCCCGAGGACCTTTGCTGCATCATGTACACTTCCGGCTCGACCGGCCCGCCCAAGGGTGTTTCTTTGACCCAGGCCAATGTCATTGCTGCGAGTAAGTTGATCCCCCATCACGACACCGATGGAGAATGAATGTGAGGCTAATTCAATTCGAACAGCTGCTGGTGTCAACGAGATTGTCGGCCCCTATATCAGTACCAACGACTCCCTCCTTACCTACCTCCCTCAAGCACACATTCTGGAATTCATGTTTGAGAACCTCTGCCTGTTCTGGGGTGGATGCATGGGTTATGGCAATCCCCGAACCCTGTCCGATGCCTCAATGCGTAACTCCAAGGGTGATATCCGCGAGTTCAAGCCCACTATCCTTGTCGGTGTTCCTGCTGTGTGGGAGACCGTCAAGAAGGGTGTTCTGAACAACTTGAACAAGAACAGCTTCATTATCAAGGGAATGTTCTGGGGTGCCATGGCTGCCAAGAACTTCCTCCTGACCAACGGCTTCCCCCTCGCTGGTCTGGGTAGTTCGATCCTGGACGCGGTTGTCTTCAAGAAGCTGAAGGAGGCCACCGGTGGTCACCTGCGCATCATGATGAACGGTGGTGGTCCTATCTCGAAGGACACCCAGCGATTCCTGTCGATGGCCATCGCTCCCATGATCAGCGGCTACGGTCTCACTGAGACCTCGGCGATGGGTGCTCTGAACGATCCCATGGCCTGGAACCCCAATGCTCTGGGTGAGGTCCCCGCCTCGGTCGAGATTAAGCTTGTGGACTTCCCCGATGCTGGATACCTGTCCAAGAACAACCCCCCGCAGGGTGAGATTTTCATCCGCGGTGGAAGTGTGACTTCAGGCTACTTCGACAATGAGGAGGAGACCAAGGCTTCGCTGACCGAGGACGGTTGGTTCATGACTGGTGATATCGGCGAGTTCGACCCCAACGGCCACCTGAAGATCATCGACCGCAAGAAGAACCTGGTCAAGACTCTTAACGGCGAGTACATTGCCCTTGAGAAGCTCGAGTCCGTCTACCGGTCCTGCCCCGTTGTCCAAAACATCTGCGTCTACGCCGCCGAGGACCAGGACAAGCCCGTTGCCATCATTGTGCCCGTTGAGGCGGCCCTGAAGAAGGTTGCCAACGAGAACGGCATCGATGGCGACACTCTCGAGTCGCTTGTGCACAACGAGAAGCTCCAGCGTCTGGTCCTTCAGCAGCTGCAGGGCTCCGGCCGCGCCGGCGGCCTGAAGGGCATTGAGATTATCAACGGTGTTGTGCTGTCCGACGAGGAATGGACTCCTCAAAACGGCTTCATGACTGCGGCTCAGAAGCTCCAGCGGAAGAAGATTGTCGCCAAGTACCAAGCTCAGGTCGACAAGGCTTACGGCAAGAAATAAAAAGGAGAACGTTGCATTGCTGGATCTCATGTTTTGATATTTTTTTCTTTTCTTATGCCCTGCTTTGTTACCCTCCCTCGCGTTTGCTTTTGAAGTTTGCGATCTCGAGCCGTGTTGATATAGTTTCTTTTATGTGGACGGCTCCGTGCCTTTTGCCACGATGTAGACGAGATAGTGATGAATGCGGTCATGACATTGCAACAACGGGTTGGCTATTTAAATATTTGTATTCCATTGGCAGTATTCTGAAGGTCGCCAATTATATTTTGTACCGTTATATGCCACACATTATATTATAAGCGTTCGTAATCTATATAGCATGTCTCTATCATTCGATTGAGTAGATAAAAACACCATTAATTAAAAAAAAAAAAAAAAAAACCAACTCTTAGGGCATCAGGTAATTGAATGGCCAATATTCTGGCAGCCACTACACCTAGGGGGTGCCCGTTTAGCTGGTGGGATGGCAAAATAAGCTGTTCAACTTGTTCAACTGGGAGCATTGGTGGTGGTAGGCCCTTTCCAACCGTAACACCCTGTTCGCATCGAACTAGGCGGCTCGTTCTTGCTCGTCTTGCCGGTTCTTCTCATTCGCAGCCCGTATCTGAGCATTTTCCTGCGCTAATAGCGCGGCATTATGAATCGAGAGATGGCAGCCCTTTATAATCTGATCTACGGCGATCTTAAATGGCGTAGGGGGGCTTCTTGATCGTCCTTTGAGTAAGGCCTTGGGTGAAGAAGCCAGCTTCTGTAGTTGACTGACTATTTTCGGTCTTATTGGGCTGAAATGGCTTGATCGGCTAGTGGATAGGTTATTTTTGGGGGGGGGGGGTTTTGTTGGTGTTCAAAGAGAAATATTGAGTTTTGAAAGCACACTCTGGATCTAGTGGGACTAGAAATGCTGCAGCAAAACTAGAATGAATAGTCTTCAGTTTGAATGTCTCCTGATGTGCTTGAGGATATTCTGCTAGAAAACCTAGCTTGTCGATATGGTCGAGTCCTAGCCGTGCTTGATTTGTAATCAAGCGACTAATAGGAGCGTTTAAGAACAGCAAAACATCCACTATCCAGAGGTAGAAGATGATGGGAGGAATGTGGTGGCATGCAGAGTGGGATGATTGACTTCCAGCACAAATTCGGTCATATTGAGGTGTAAGATGACTTCCATGGCCATCAGGAATGAGAAGGGATATTTTCCTTTTATCTGAATTGATGTGAATGGAATGAATAGAGTTTGAAGCCATCTGGTACCGATTTCATCTAAACTCCAGCCATTTGGAGAAACTTCAACCCGCCAGTCTTTTGGAAGCCCATCAAGCCAACTATGTTGTGGTTTTTGGCTTTAAAGATTATACATGGTGAGAGTGCAAAACCAGCCGCACTAATTGACTCTAACAGTCTTTCATTCACGGTTTCCAGGCTGTAAAATTGCCCGTTGACTGTAACACTCAGCTCGATTAACCACCTTTTGTGCTAATATAAGGCCCATTGTATAACCAGTCTCATCAAACTTGTAGATGTCATCTGACTGGATGACGTTCTCATTGACCACGTTTGAACAGTTTTAAACCATTCACGTAAGGCATTTGGGTACTCATTTTGGGCGCGTTAATAGTTATAGCGCTATAAAAAGCGTGTTTGAAGTCCTCGTCGGCGTTTCACAAAGGTTGATGCCCAATTAATCCCAACTATTGATGGAGGAGGGGGGAGGGGGAGTTTGTTTCTACGGTCGGCAAGTAGAATATTACAGTAGCCAAATCTCTCATAGTAAAGGGCCTAGGCGCTGCACCATGTGAACCCATGGAGAGTGTCCACTGAACAAGTGAATCTTCTTCAAATCCAGCCAATTTGAGACTATTCGCACGTGTTTTTAAGTAGTGCGCGAGGTTCTTCCAGCGCGGCGTGCATGTAGTGTAGTATATGAGATATTGAATAGCTATGCAGCAGCACGAATTGATTTGACTTGGCCCTTTGGAAGAGCCTCGAGGACTAATAGGACCCTGCCCTCGTGATTAGCCGAATCCCGGCCTGATTGATTGAGTGCGTCTAAATAGCATGGTGGGTGGTTGAACACAGAAGGTACGCGCCGGAACGCGTTTCTTAGTGTGTTGATCTGCTCGTTCGTGTGATCCGTTCGCTCGTGGATTACGTTAATAGCAACATTGACCTCAATTCCTGAGGCATGAAAGGGTGTGAGGCCTAAACCACGTGACATCAAGTTATTCTATCTAATCTGGTTAGATCCAAATTATGTACACGTGACCTATATCTTCATTGAAGCTCACGGCGACCGCCAGCTTTAATCCCCAGCCCGGCGCCAAATCAGACCCAATGTCTCTGTGGAGGTACGTGACAATGAGAAGAAAGCATAGAAAGTCCAAAACTGAAACTGACTTAATTGACTAGCACGTACCGATCCCTCACCCCGAAAACCCGAGCTTTGTTCGGCGTCGGCGTCATGGCCTGGGCAACAATCGGACTATGGACGACCCCGCAAGTCGAGAATGCCTTGGGCATGCAATCTACGAAGGAGGAGCAGGAGGCGCTTGATAAACAGCTTGCTGTGCGAATTTCGCGGGCCGGAGGCGACGATAATAGTGGACGGACGCATTGAGGGATATCTTTGCAAATTTGCGTGAGAATGCGCGATATCCCCCGAAATGCCTTTCCGCACGATGCATATCAAAGAATATCTGGAGCCTGACATGAAATATACTCGAACCTCTTTTGTTTATGTGGTCTTACTCTTCGGGCCTAATGAATCAAACGAGAGCGCAAGGTCACGAGGACGCGGAGACATGCGCGGGCTATTCTGAGACAGACGAGGAGCCTGAAGGAGCCAGTGGCGTCCGTTGCAGAAGCTTGAAAACCTCGCTGCGAACTTGTCTTTTCTGGTCGGATGCTACGCTGGATCCGCCTGAACCCTGCGCGCTGGAACACAACCCTGGTGGCTGAGCGAAAGATAGTAGCCCGGTCCAGATCGTGAGTTCTTACAGGAGCTCCGGGGTGAGGATCCAATCACCGATAATTTCTCTTCCGGACGCGATGGAGTTTGAATGACGACGCCGTTGGCGCGGCGGTGCAATTGATTTGGTTGTCGCGTTGGTTTCTGTTGGTGGGCTGAACTGGTGCTGCGCCTCGCTTCGGGGTTTGTCTTGGTTGGATTGGGGCTGCGTGCTGCCTTCTCCCTGCTGGATTTTCTGGGCTGGTTATGCGGCAATAATGGAGTTTCATATGATCGACATTCCGACAGCAAGCTTAATTTGACCATTGGTGTCAACATCGTGCATAGGAACTGGTATAGCGAGTCAGAACCATCCAAGTGGACATAATGCGAAACATCGTCGATATAGAGAACAATCAAATCCGGTGCCCCTAAAACGCACTGACTCACCTGCAAACAAACCCTCAGCCCAAATCAAATCCCTCCTTCTGCCCCAGCCCTATCTCCCAATCCTCACGTGGACAAACATGATTTCTCTTCCGGACAGTAAGAAAATACGCCCAGAAGCCGTTGACGTGAAACAACAGAGGCCTAACCTGCCGTCCAGAAACCTCCTGATCGTCAGGGTAGTGTAGCAGCACCTGCAAAACTCAGGACCGAAACCTAGGACAGATTCGAATCCCGATATGCATTGCCTGAGCCCGGCTTTTGTCAAACATGACCGACCGAGTTGGGAACAGGAGGAAGAGAAGGAGACGCAATGCGGGCTGGATGCTCGTTTGATGGGTGGTGATGCTGGGTCGGCGGGACAGGGAAAGCACAGGTGATATACATACTGCATGTTGGGTTTACATGGGATGCTCCTGTAGATGGTTTATTATTAGGTTCGGAGACCTGTCCTTGTTGCACCGACAACCCGGGGTCGAATCTGGTGGACTTAGGATGTCGGTTAGTTCTTTTTGGATGGGGTTTGTATTAACTGTACCAGATCAATTGATCACGATCATTTAACGAGCGAAGAATCCATGTATTTTGCACTTCTAAAGAGGATGAAATACAATCTAAACTCGGAATCATGACTTGCAGCCTACCTGCTGTGCAACAGAAACATTCAGAATCCCTCCGCGGCGGTCGAGTGAGAGCCGCCGATAATAACAAATACCATACTTCCTCTAGAAAAGAAATATCTACATCCAAGGATCTTATCAGTTCCTCAAGAGATGCAGCCATGGAATCCCAAAGAAGACAATTTAAGCAGTCGAAACGGACGTCCACATTCCTGACATGTGCATGGCGCGCTCGTGCTGGATCTGAATTCTTCATTCGGCCGACGGCCTTGTACGACGTGAAGATGATGAGAACCGGCAATGGAGCATTCCCGGGACCGCTCTATCATGATCGGGTGACTGTACTAACTTTTCAGTATTGCCACCTCGTTCTCCAGACGGGCACATGTTTCTATACCCTCGTTGTTGTTCACAGTACTTTTGACAGAGTTTCCTTGCTGAAGCCACGAGATGGGACACAAAGAGAACTCTATCCGCAACAAACGCACCACTCAGCGTCTCGAGCCACAGACCCCGTGCCGACTCCAGACTTGGTGTGGTGGTTCCCACTAGCTCGCTGCGCAGCACTAGGATCCCGGCGCTTGACCGGGGCACCCACATACGAAGTTGGTGGCGTGAGGGCGCCGGAACATGCCGAGACAGCGTCATCATGGTTGACAAAACCGAGTAGCCATCGTCTGGGAAGGCTTGGGCGAAGAGGTCAATGCTATAGCCAGGTTGGGCAGGGTGTGTGATACAGGCACTCCAAACCATCACTATCACATCGCCCTACATCGCCCTTCCCCTCCATTTCCAAGGTTCGCGCAACTGAAAGAGGATTGTAGAGTGGAGAGATGAGGCCACAAACAAGGAACAGATATTCAAATTTGCTTTATTCTTCCCCGCCTGTCATTTCCTAGCTAAGGTAGCTTATCGTTAATGCAAGAGGTACTGTAGATGCCGAAGGTACCCTGCATGTGCTGTAATAGCCGCAGAATCAGGCTGAGCTGAAACGCAATAAATCACCTGCGCACGCACCGTCGATCCGATGGGCGATCGGGCGAACGATCTGCGCATTCCATAATATCTTGTCCAATCCTCGTGCTGGACGTGATGCGGGTCATCGCCTGCCGGTAGCCCTTGCTGCCTGGAACTGAATCAGGCCCGACACTTCCTTCACACCGAGGACGGAATCAGTACACTACCTACGTACTTACAATGTACATGTATACCACTGTAAGAACCTACAGGCATTTGCACTTGACATCAGTCGTCAAATGGGGTCATGTACGCGTGTCTGCACCAGACTCTGGCGACAGGGATTGTGATCAACAGATCCCTGTAGCTACCCTACCTACTGTAGGTAGGTACCGTAGGTATGTATGTCGGTAGTAATGAGTAATGAGGTTGATTGGTCGCCGCCGCCGCTGCATCTTGCCATCATCGTCGTTTGACGCTCCTCGCTCGTCGGTAATTGGAAATGAAAAAGCAAACTCCCTTGCGCCATTTGCCCTGCTCCCCACTTCATCAGCCAGCCCCCACTATCATTACAACGTCGGCTGAGCTGGAGCTATACCGATACCCAGTGTAGGCAATACCGCATCACTGTAGATGTAGACCGGGCGCGCTGGTCTGCACCTGGGTGCTGGGGCGGAGTCTGCGAGGCTTTCAATCGAAAATTCGAACTAGGCTCGATCAGAGTGCCCCGTTTTATTGCGACTGGGACCGGCTGATCCCTGTAACACCCTGGTAAAGCATCGTGGACTGGACTGGGACCACAGCAATAACGGTTCCTGGCGGTCAGGGTTGTGATGAGTCGGGGAATTGCACCGTCGCTGAGATGCATGAGGTTGTTTATAAACATTGCATTCAGCGTTTAAGATCAGAGGTAGAGAGGGTAGTGAAGCAATAGTACTGGTAGACATTCTTCAATGACATTCTTGTGCTTCTCCTTTTTGTTATTCCCCATAGAAACCCATGACAAGAAGAGAGAAGCGAAGGAGTCCAGGAGGCGTGAACTTAAACCCAGCAATGGCTCCCTACAGGTAGGGGTCCGACAAATGATGCAGCTCACGTCAATCGGAATCCAATCCAATACCCCGGTCCTTCCGGAGGACGTTCTGGAATTGAGAGTGACAGTAAAAAGAGGAAGATTTGCAGAGAAGAAAACAGGAAGAGAACAAATGAGGAGGATGATGATGATGAAGAAGAAGAAGAAGAAGAAGAAGAAGAAGAAGAGGAAGAAGAAGAAGCCGAAGTTCTCAAGTATAAAAAAAATCACACAAAGAAAGAAATTTGCGGTTAAAAAGGGGCCGTGAAATCGTTCTCCCGCGCCTTTCCCTTGCACCTGTCCGTAAGCCATAATCCCATTCCCAAAATTCGCAAAATTGTCTCGAAAGAACATGAAAATAAGCGTAAATAACACCAAAGTGGAACAAGAAATAAGAAAAAACAAACGTGAAGGAAGCAATAAGGGCATTCATCTAGGTGCACAGACTGTGCGGGTTCTGGATGGGTTCGTAACGGCTGTAAGTCGAGTAGCCTGCGTCGTATCCGCCCGTACTGTGGCGGTGGTGATGCGAAAGATCAGAAAAGACCGAATCCTGGTACGGGTCCAGCGAGGGCTCGGTCTTGAGCGTGTCCATCGGATCCATGGTGTCGTTAATCATGGAGTAGTCGAAGCCGGAGGAGGACGAGGACGAGACCAGCGGACTATCACTCAAGGGCGAGTGCTCGGTCTTGGGAATCTGGCGGTAGTCGTTCCTCCCATACGGCAGGCTGCTGCGATGGCTGTTTTCATAGAAGAGCATGTGTGAGCGAGGGGCGTGGCCCATCCCATGGGGCGGGCCGCCTCCAGGACCATCCCCCTTGCCGTCGCCCATGCTGGCCGTGCTGTCCCGCCGCCCCCCGTCCTTGTAGTGCCCTGGTGACCGGCCACGTACGACCATCGGCTCCGAATGTCGTCGAGCAATCGGGATCCAGTCGGCGACGTCGCCACGCTGGACCTCTGCGTACAGCTCTACTACCAGGTTATAGTATTGTTGCTGGGCGCGGCGTTTTCCATTGTTGGCTGTCGCTTTCTGGAATTGGATCCGCTCGAACAGGTGCGAGGTGGGAGGCTGTGGCTGCGGTGCTCCGGAGAAGGTAGAGTTGTAGTCTAGGGACTGCGAGTTGAGGGAGAAGCCTGGGTGGCCACCGGCCCCGGCGGAGCTGGTAGAGAGTGATTGTGGTGGCTTTGGTTGCAGAGTCACTGGGCCGGGGGTACGCTCGGATTGCTTGTCTCGCTTGGGCGTGTGCTGCACCAGAGGTCGTGTCTCGTTATATGATTCGTTCACGATGGCAGAAAGACACATCCTGAATCCCCGGATCGGCTCCAATGTCTGGTCGGAATGGCGGATGAAGAGAGGCACCGTCGAGGGCCATGGATGAAGGCTGAAGCTGCAATTTACGGAGAAGTAATTCCGTCGATAGCAGGTCCATTTCCCATCCGCATAGAAAGGGCCTTTCCCGATCTTGGCCTCGACTTCAGGCTTCACGATCTGCTGCGTGCCTCCGAATTCCGCCACCACCGTTTCCAGGATCGTTGTCTCTCTGAAAGGGGTTGCTTCCGTCTGGTTTGGAGACCGCTGCGTGGACTCGACCATCGGCGGTTGAAAGACAGCATGGCTCCGGTCCAGGACACCGTCCAAAGCTCGAGGAGTGCTCGAGTATTGGTGCGCGCGTGAAACCTCATTCACCCCCGCCAAAGGTAGCCCTAAGCCCCGGTGGAGTGAGTATGCCGATGAATAGGCATTCGTTCTTCCCATCAAGCCCGGGATCGAGCTCACAGCATGTGTCGGCGTTTGCATGGCGATTGACATTCCAGCAGGCGGTTGACTAGCCAGATATCAACGTTAGTAAAGACCTCGAAAAAAAAAAAAAAAAAAAAGAACAACTAAACCGTCAAGCTTACAGGGGTGGGACACGTCGAAACTCGGCCATCCTATCAAATGGATGTTGATGCTGAGACAGATGTGGGAAAAGAGGACCAGACGTGGGGGAGAACGAATCTGCGAGTATTAATACGGTCAGCCCCAGACGTGGCCCACAGACGCAATGCAGCAGAGCAGAGAATGCATACCCGAACAAGAATCTGGAGGAGTCATGGCGAGCGCAGTGGATCCAGGATAACTATGAGAACGACAACCGTTTAGTACGTCACATCACCACGGAACGGGCCCCAGGCGACCGGTTGAGAAGAAGAAGTCACAGCAAATATGGGAAGAGGCACATCGTCAACAGAAAGAGCAAACGACCTGGGCGCGAGGGAAGGAACCGACAGAAAGCCAGACTTCAGGTTTGAGGTAAAAAAAGGATAATGCATCGGAAGAAATGCATGCGGGCAGCGGATCGGTATGGAAGGTACGGAAACAGGCTGGACTAAAGTCCAAGCTGCCCGGACCCGGAGGAAGCGCAGTGACAAGGGGGTTTGAGAGGGCCGGCCGAGTGGCGTGCAAGGGTAGTCCGGATTGAAATGGCAGAATAACTTACTGTAAGTCCTGCATCGCAGGCTGCTGTGCGTGGTACCGCACGCCGTTGGTGACAGGCATCGAGGAGAGTCCTCCGACTCGCTGGTTGTCGTCGTCGTCGGTCGGAAAGCCTGTCACATGAGAGTTCATATAGTCTCCTTCGGTCGTGACGGGGCAGTCCATGCCAAAAGATTCGGAAAGAAGGGAGGCTGAGAGGCGGCGTTAGTTCGAATGGCAAGGTCAAGTAGAGAGAAGAGCAAATTCCGCGAGAAAGCTAGCCGCATGACGGCGAAGAAAAATCAAAAAAAAGAGGCAGGGGCTGGAGCAGAAACATACAGGGATTCATCTTGATCGTGCTGGTGCCAGGTGCCTCAAGGACCCTGAAGAATGGGCAACTGATGTAACACCAGCGAGACGCCCAAGCCGTCGTCTAGCCCTGGACGTCTTAGGGCGAGATGAAAAGGTTGTCTAGAACAATGTCCAAGTTAGTGACCAGGTTGCCAGGTCTGGGTCTGGCGCCCATCGGCTCTTGCCCACCGCCGCGAGACCGAAGATCCCATGAGAATCCTCGAACGGGCAGCTTGCGGACAGGGGATCAGAGACAAAGGCCTTGTCGTAGATTGTAAAATGATATGCACGCACCGAGGGATTCAAACAAAGAATATGCTTTGGGGATGACGAGGGTGGGGAACAGTGTTTCTTGAAAAGTATGTAAGAAATAGGGCAATGTATGAGGGTTGCGGTGGATTAGTGGGGGGATGAGAGAATAGATGAGAGAAGCATAGAGGGGGGAAAGAAGGGGGGGTGGTCAGATGCAAATAGGACAGAAAATGATAGAGGGTGAAGACGAGTATAAGAACATGTCTCAAAGGTGTGCGAAGATGCCTATTGTCGCCGGTGTTGACCCGCGCCGCACGTACTCCAGTAGTAGGCGGGATTCGCTCGGCGAGCGAAACGGATGCGTCACCGGTCGATGGGCATGTCTTTCCTGATTGGGGCTCCCTCACAGGCCGGTCATGGGCACCAGGGCTCCGGTTTCCGGGTGGAATGTCACGATGCACGATCTCGATTTCTTGCCTCCCGGGCAATAGATCATGAAGATCCTGCCTGATGTGAAGAAATCAAGCTCCAGACATGAGTGGGAAGTGGAAAAGAAAATGAGAATAATCATAAAAAGCAACCAAAGCGCAAAACAGACAAATTCAAATCATGTCAAATCGATGGGCAGGGCGAAAGATGAACGGGGGAAGGGGAAAGGAAAAGAAACCTACTGATGTAATCCGGTGCGACTCTGTTCTCAAATCGATTCTCCCCCAGGCGCGGCGGGCCTTGATAGGAAAAAGTATGCTGTACAGTGTGTACAGTGGTGGAAGGCGATCCCACCTCCTTGACAACCCCGTAGGCTGGGGATTATAGTCGTAATATTCCCTTTCGGCGGGTCCCCGGACAAACAGCACCGACGCCAATGCAAGAGCAGGAGCCTCGGCGGCGGGCTTGAGCGATCAGATTAATTTCTTTTGGGTGGGAGGTTGTGGCTGGGCTGGAGGGAACTGGAGAATGGAGAAAGGATTGTCTTGCAGCATCTCATGAAGGGCGCAATTGGTATTAATTGTTTTCCCAGGTTGATGCGCAGAGAGCAGGAAGATACCAGGTCGCGTTTCTTCAAAGTTCATACCCTGGTCAGCCTAGCAGCGAGAAAAAATAGCCTCAAGCCATCACAGTGTCAAGTCGCCACGAGTTCCTGTGGGAATCTGGGCCTGCCAGGGACAGTGGGAGAATACGTTGTATTCGACAGGGCTAGAGTGGGTGGCAGCAGCCATTTTGCAAAGGGGTCCAACCAGAATAGGTTAAGGACAGTCGTATCTTGCTCTGAAGATCCTCTTGGGAGGGGATTTGCATTTTTGGAATTTCGATCATTTTCGGGTTTCCGAGTTTGGTGATTTTTTTTATTTGCTGTTCTTTTTGGTTTTTTTTTTTGGTTTTATTTTTATTTTTTCTCTTTTTGGGGGAGATCCTGGTCCCGGTAACTGGAGCGCGCAAAGATGCCCCATAAGGAGGAACTGTAGCATCGACTCATTGGCCCGAGCTCCAAACTGTTTGATTGTTCAAGGAACATGGCATTGGCTGGAACCTCCATGTTACGTGCCCTGGGAGGACCCGAAAGGCCCTGCACAGGCACTGGCCGATCCGAGGGTGGATAAGGCCCCGGTACGGGGCAAGGCCATGACAGCACAATGCAGACTCGCAGACAGCTGGGAGGATGTATTTTCCATTACAAGGTCCCGATGAAGTCAGATGTCGCCAGTGCGTACACCCGATGGACGGGTCGCTGCAGGAAAGCCAAATAAGATGAAACTAGACAAGAGGGGGGAAGATGATCAACACCCAGGATATCCGTGCAGAGTCTGCCTTCTCTTTTCTTTGCCCCCCTCCTCCAGTCGCATGACAGTGGTCGATGTATCAGACTTTGGGATCTGCAAGCCAATGGATCGTGGCGACCAACCAAGAAATTCCAGTAATAACAAAACAGAAATGTCTGTTTTGAGTAGAGTCGGCAGAAGGAAAAGAAAATCCAAAAAAAAGAAAAGAATTTCCTCCACAAAAGTACCTAGAGAACCAAGAACTTCCTCAGGTTGGCCCGTGTTGCTGGGACACGCCTGTCGAAGTCGTCCCATAGACGCTTTTTTTCTTCATTCCTGGGGGGTCGAGGCACGAGCTGTAGTCTTTGCATGACGAAAAACAAAGATCAGGCGATCGGCAATTTTCCCTTCAGACAGCTGCATTACGCATGCTGGCTCTTTCCTCACCGACAAAACCCGGGGGGATTGGGCCATCGGTGGGCAAAGAGACCCGGTCTATGAAGGCAGCCCTCAAGAAGAGGGTCCCTCATTTCCACTCCACCACCAGGGAGGGAAGAGAGGGGAGGGGGGCCTGGGAGCTTAGGGACTCCGCTGGTTGTGACCGATGGACTCCTGTCCCGACTAGGTAACGCGTCTCCACCAGGGGATTTCTAAAGCAGGGCGGGAAAAGCCGGTGATGTCGCGGTCTGCACCCGGCAGCTTTTTCCAGAATGGAGCTCTTTCAGAGGCCCACCGGCGCGTCGAGGTGACCTTCTATGGCTGCGCGGCGCAGCATGGCTCTGCTGGGGGTGTGGGTTTGCTAGAACCATAGATCCCAAGATCCCAGTCTCCATGAGTGGGACCCCCGTCCTGATCGTGTTGACCCGTGCATTAGTAGGCAGAAGATCTGCCAAGTTGCAGGAGGCTAGTTGGCTGAGATGGGCAAAGCGCAGCATGCTGGAAAAGCACCCGGCACGGACTGATTGGCGGATCGAGCCCTTCGATCGATACAATTTTGGAACCAGTCACTGGGGGAGGCGGCGAAGGAGGATATGTTGTGCAGCAGCTCCACGGTCCCTTCAGTTTGGCCCCGAACGAGACGTGGCGGTACCGGACTGCCAGTTGGTTGGCTGGTGCAGGGGTGGGAGGGATGTCCATTCTGAGAGCAGCTTTTGAGCGGGACTGGGGCCGAGTACCTAGCCATGGGGTACATCCCACATACCGAGGATACCCCGTAGCCTAGTCTGTCGACGAGTCAGGGCATGTCCACCGTACGTCAACTCGGCTGAATGATGAATGTGAAGCGAACTGAGGGATCTGATTTGGCTCCTCGGGGGATCATCCGCGTTCCGTGCGGCAACACGTGCGGGGCGGTGAGTTATTGCTGCCCTACTATACAGATGTATACTACCCTAGAGTATACTACTTACCCTGGAAACGCCCTAGGAGACGAGGGTACTGTACAATAGTATGTACCCTAAGGTATGGACGTATGTACTAATGTACGCAGGACGTATGTCGGTACTAGCGCCCAGCTTAGTCCCCCCGTACGGAGTTCCTCGGTAGTGTTGGGGGCTTGCGTCCTGGTGGGGCCGGACCCAGTCGCTGGGAATCGAGGTACTTTTAGTGCTGGAGGCTCTTAGTAAGTACATACTACGACCAGCAATCCTTCTCCGGTTGGCCTGACACTCCTCGAGAGTTGTTCAACTGCCGGGATCCTGCGAAACTAGCGAAGTGAAAACCAGCTAAAGCGATGCAGTAGTGGCCGCCTCGAGATCGATCCTCCCGCCGCCGGGCCGCAACTCCACTTGCCCCCACCTTTTCCGATCCATCACACTCGACTATTGCCCCGTGAGACACATAAAGGCAGAACGAGCGCCTATAAATTGTCCGAACCCGCGGTGGATCCTTGGAATTACGAGACTCCGATCGAGACCACGACACTCTGCAGGTACTTGCCTCCCCAAAGTGTAAATGGGAAAATCCGCGAGACGGATGCTAATTTGGTGCCAAATGCTATTTGTGGACGCTGGTTTGAGTTTGCCCGTAACTAGTAGCGGTTGTTGCATGAACTCATCAAGCTAACCACGGTTCCAAGCTCCTTCGTCCGGTCGAGAGTGCCTCGCCGCAACAAGGTTGCATATTCTCCTGAGACACTTTTGCGCTAGCTACCAGGGCTTCCGCGGGCACGTGCCAGATTCATCGCAGAGCCCTCTGAGCAGACCCTGGTCTCTGCCGAAGCAGCAGGAGGAGCAGCCTGTGAAGTCGAATTTTCGATGCAAGTCTTCTCTCTGTACGACCCAGGCCAACTTGCGGCGCGTAAAGACCGTGGTCAATTGCGCAGCGTCCATGTCCGGGCTGCACCCGTCCGAATCCTGACAGGGAAGCAGAGAAGAGCACTGCGCGAAAAGAGAGGCCGGCTTGCAACCGTTACCGGAAAAGAAGGCGAGGTAACTGCAGATGGGACGGATGTCGGGGAGATCGGGACCGTCCGCTCATTGCATCGCATGGTCCGGTTTACCTTTCGAGTGCAGACTGCCTGCGCCCAGGGTATAAGGCAAGAAAAAGCCATTGGCTCACGAGGCATATCCCGAAAAGTTGCAGCAACTGGGCATGATTCTAGGCTGCCTGCTCCCCTTGTTCCGCGACCCCAGCTCCTCATGCCCGGTGTTCTAGGATCTTGGATCCTACAGTGGAACCCACTCATCCTGGTCCCTCTGCAAATTATCGCCGATGACAGGCGCCCTGGTCTGGCTTGCCGTGTCAGCATCAGACACTTCCGAGTTCTCGACTTGCTGCGACCCGGGAAGGGCAGCCGTTGGGGCCGCCCCACGGCCGAAACCAGAGGCAAATCATTGGAGATGACATCCACCGGGAGGATGATCCATGGCGGTTCCGTGGCGCTGATGACCGTCGGCATTAAGGTTTGAGACAAAGAAGCTGATCATGGCGAGTCATGGCCAGCTCCGTAATTGAAGAGGTGGTCTCCGCACAGCCGCAACAAGGGTTGGCCCAGACCACGTGAGGTACCGCCAAAGTACGACTCTAATTGAATGCCATTTATCCTCACAGCATTCATGCTGGGCAAGTCGCGGTCTCCCCCTCCAGCCTGTTTTCTTGATGACGGCGGAAGTCAATGCAGAACGCCCCATCCTTCGGTCCCTTGCTCACTCCAGTCGTTTTGGGGCCACAAGGTTATGTGGTTTGGGGATCACGTATCGCAAAGATTCGAGGGTTACATGGGGCGACGTTCGACCTGACTCCCGGTAGCCCACCACTATGATTCGGTTGCCTTGTGGGTCGCCGAATTCGCGCGTTGCCTCTCCCCCTATTCCTCTTGTGCCATGAAGGAGCCCGATGGAGCAGAGTTGATGCGCTCATTGGTAGCCCGTCCGTGCTGTCATGCTTAACCTTGATCAGCCTGAATTTCCAGTCGGCAGGGCCGATTGTATCACGACCGTGAACATCCTGGAAACGGCTCGGTGGAGAAGTGTAGGAGGCGAAGAAAAACGCCCCAAACGCACCCGCGACATGGATGAGTTGGGGCCGTGAGAAGTCACGGAAAGCGAAAATGCAGCAATGGAGCCAGGATCATAGCATCCGGCGATTGGGCCCCTGCCGCCCGGAGTCTGGACTGACAACAGAGCAAAGGTTGTCAGGAGGCCAACAGACTTTTTGGATGGCGTTCGCTGCAGACGAGTTGAAGACGCATATTCGACACGGCCGTTGTCAGAGTATCCCGAAGTACCAGCCCACACGCAGCCCGGAACCCGTTTTCTCACCCGATGCCGTGACGATACGCATTCCATCATGAACTTTTGCCAGCCATCCCTGGCGCGTGGCAGCCAACCCGGACGCAGGCCCGAGTCGTACGGGGGCGAAATGTCCCCAGGCAAAACCTGCTCTACGGTACGAAGCCGACAGGGTGGCTCAACAATTGCCCTTCTAGTCAATTGCTTGGGCTGTCGTATCACGGCATATCGCCCCCAACTCACTCTCCGAGCAGTTTCTACTTCGCTTTTGGAGTCACTGGGACTTCGGAACACCAGGAAACCTTTTTCACATGTGTATACTTGTGATACTGCATGCCGCAGTGGCGGGCCCAAGCTCAAAATCTGGCGCCCTAGTGATGTTGAGAAGTTTGCGAAGGAAGGAGTGTATATCCCCGCTCTAGATTTCCGGATTTGTATGTCCCTCCCCTCAACTCGGTGGGTAGGTACTGGGGAAGAGCCCAGTTAAGCTTTTATCTCGAAGTCACTTTCCCCAAAGAGATCACCGATACTACGTGATGCAACCCAATTCCACCGCCGGGAAATTAAGCAGCGAGCTGTTGGCTGGGGCCTAGGCGCGCATCGCCTGGTTGAAGCGATCGAGGCTGATCTGTTGGAGCTATTGAGCAGGATCTGTGATCCGCGCGCAGATAATGCTGGACATATTGCTGCATGTATTTGGGGGCGTAACCTTGACCCGTCGTAGCCCTCTGGGCGCATGCATCCTCCGCGACTGTTGGCCAGACGCAAGAAAAGTTAATTCCCTTCCTCTTGCCAGTCAGCCGTTGGCGAAATCGTCTCGTACAGGCAAGAACCATGCCTTATCCAATTTTGTCCAGTTTCTTGTCTCAGGCCCATGACAAGCACCCCTGAATGACAGCTTGATCTCGGCAGTGGTCCTAGCCGACTCATGGATGTGAGCAGGATATGACAAATCACCGTAGTATCCTTGTATCTATCCCGGTTAGGGGTGAGTACTATACTCGACAAAGGTACTTTGATGGGTGCCTGAGACCCGGGGAGGTTGGTCCGGTGAGAGATGATACCTTTGCGCTGCAACGCATCGAAATACATTGTACTTGCTTAGCCGATAGGCGAAGATTATCAGATGTTAAGATTTACCACGGACAAAGCGTTGATATAGTTCCAGAAGTACCGAAATCGCTGAGCAAACATTTGTGAACTGCCTGGTATAGAACAAATATCTCTAAATTGCACATGTCTACGGTCCACCCACAACGAGTGTGAAGATATGAAAGGCTCCAAACCAATTGCTTTTGTATGAACTGACGAATGCAAGTATATGACATGGGTGTCTTTTGAAGAATCATCATTATCAATCAATCATACAGTACAAAGGAGAAGAGCTTCAGCCAAAAGCTAGGCCCGCCTGTAAAAAGAAAAAGGAGAATCCAACCAGGAATGTCGTGACAAAAAAGCGAGAAACGAATCTAAGTAGATCGCTTGGCGAACTCGACGCGAAGAATGAGATGGCGGTAACCGACTGTGGAGAAGTGTTAGCTTGCATCGTTCCAAAGGATATAAAATATGGTTGTGGGTGAAGTCGGGGTCAACGTACAGCCGTCCAATTTCTCGCAGGCGCGTACCGCATCGGTGCGGTCCGCATAGCTGATGAAAGCGAAGCCCTTGGCCCGCTGTGTCTCGCGGTCCCGGGCAAGGAAAACTCTGGTGACACGTCCGAACCGCTCGAAGAGATCCCGCAACTCCTGTTCCTCTGCCAACTCGCTGACCTGTAGGGTAAGAAAAAAAAGTCAGAATGCGTGTTCATCAAAGAATAACGAAGATCCGGGGAAAAGAACATACGTTTGTGACGCGGAGAGTAGCCAGATCGTCCTTCTCGAAGCGACCGGCCATCTTCTCGCCGCCGCCAGCACCACCCTTGCGCAGGTGAGGCGGCACGTAGCTGGAGCTGCCAGCGCCCAGTCCACCGGCATCCTCCGCACCGGCATCCATACCACCAGCAGTGGGCTCCTCCACGGGAGCCATGGTGTCCTTGAAGGGACAGCGGGCCGTGAAGTGCTCTCCGGAACAAATACGGCATTTGACCTTCTTGTCCTTCAGCTGGTCCTTCATGCTACCCTTCTCGCCGCCCTCCTTCTCGGCCTCCTTGGCCTGTGCCTTCCAGTTGGTGCTGGGACGGAAAACGATGTTCTCGCCGACGGAGGTAGTGTCGAACGAGGGACCGGCGGCGTGGCCCTTCTCGAGACCGAACTTGGCCCACGACCGGCGCTCGGCAACCTGGGGGTTCACATTTTCGCGGACGACGGTCGTTTTGATGCGGCGGGTCACCTTGACCTTTTTGTTATCATCGTTAAAGCGGTAGGAGATCACGGTCTTGGTGCCATCTTTGTTGGAGATCACTTGTTGCGCGGGGAGAGCGGAGGGGTCGTCGAATTCCTCGTCGTCGGCCCAGTCGGCGCGGCTGTAAAAAAAATTGAAAAGGTCTCGTTAGCGGCTTGACGGTAGGGGATTATTCGCGTGGCGTTTTACTCACTTCCCGAGTCGAGACATGTTGTGTGGTGTGGTGTTGCGGCAACAGCTGAATTTCTGGGATTTCTTTCAAAGGCGAATCCGTTGTGGATTTCATTCGCGGCGATTTTCCTGTGGCGCAGCTCGTGGCTGGTGCGAGGTACAGCACGTGACTCGCCAGTGCCCCCGACATGTCTGTTGTTTACTCGGGGTTTCAAGTGAATCTCGGAACAAATAAACAAATAAAGGGTCCCGACCATAGAGAATTAGAATAGTAGAATTTTGAGCCGTTTGAAGCCTTAATCCTAATGATTATCATAAAGCTGTTCCCAATTGTTGTCAGACAAGACTGATATATTGCAGCTTCGTCCTGGGTTCCTGCACTAGTCCTAATTAGGAAACAGTGTACACTGCCAGTGGACGAAGGGCTCGGAAGAAAAAGTCCGGATGACAGGTTTCATTTACGTGCAAGGCAGAATGGATTTATAAGGCAAGCACAATCACACAGTTGAAAATAGTCTCTAAGGCTTTCCCAGTTCTCAGTTACAGGTCTACTGTTCCTGCTATATACTGGTGACCAGAAGCTTCTGTACGAGTGTCCATTAACCTTGAACCATATTGAGTATATACAGCCAAATGCCCTCCCTCCATGTTCACAAGATCTCTAACTGAAAGCCAACCCAGTCGTAATGTTGCCCATGACAGCTTTATAAAGATCAAAAAAGTAATTCGTACGCGGTAGCCAAGGGCCCGAATTCCCACATTTAGGCAGCTCACTGCCCCCACGCGTCACATACGTCGACGTCAATCCCAGCAGCGGACGATAGCCTATCGTTTTGGCATCGACCCCTCCTGCAACAGCACTTTGGTAACCCTGACGTTGCATATACTTGACCAATCGACAAAACAACTTTGCAGTAGCATCGGCACCCAGTGTCCAGGACGCATTGATATACCCGACCACAAAGAAGAAGTTCGGTATGTCCTGGATCATTGCATTGTTCCAGGCGTATTTCTCGCCAATATCAATTTTCTCGCCGTCCACGCTGATGCAAATACCGCCCATGGCTTGGATTTTGAGTCCTGTTGCAGTGACAAGAGCGTCGGCGTCTAATTTCTCGCCAGATTGTAGGATCACGCCGTCTTCGACAACTTCGCGAATTGTTCCAGTTGCGACGTTGGCTTTGCCTTCTTTGATAGCTTCGAAAAAGTCTCCATCGGGCGTAAAGCAGACGCGCTGGTCCCAAGGTCGATAGGTTGGTGTGAAGTGCGGATCCATGGGGACTGTTGTTGGGAGCTGCTTTGCCACGCCAGACTGAAGGAGATTCCGGGCTCGAGATGGGAAGAGTCGACAGAAATTATAGAAGAGAATACCGATTGTAATATGGAAGAGGCGGGTTAGTTGGAGGGAGAGGTGTTGAGGTAGAATACCCCAGCTTGAAGACTTTTTGTTGTCGACTTTCACGATGTATGTTGGGCTGCGTTGCAGCATTGTGACATAGGCGGCCTTTTTAGCCAGGTTCGGTAGGAGGGTAACTGCGGTCGCACCGCTTCCAATAAGAACGATATTCTTGTCCGAATAATCAAAGTCCTCAGGCCAGAATTGAGGGTGTACAACGGGACCCCCAAAGTTGTCAATCCCGGGGATCGAGGCGGAAAGCCCTTTCTCGTAATCGTAATAACCAGTTCCCAAGACGATGAACTTGGACTTGAACTGTATGGGGCTTCCATCAGTATCTGTCACCGAAATCTGCCAGCATTGCTCTTTGATCGACCAATCGGCAGCAGAGACACGATGCTTAAAACGAATGTGTTGATCGATTCCCGTTTCAGATACAGCTTCACGAAGATAATTCATGATCAACGGAGCTGCTGCGATCGCTTTGCCTGCCGTCCATGGTTTCCACGCAAAGCCGAAGCTATACAAATCAGAGTCCGACCGGATCCCCGGGTAGCGGAAGAAGCTCCATGTTCCTCCGATGTCCTCCCGCGCGTCGAGAATCACATAACGGGACGATGGGAGCTCGGTTTGCACTCTATATGCTGTATTTATTCCAGAAATTCCAGCTCCAACAATGACGACATCAAATTCCTCCATGATAAGCTGCTGTTTCGTTGAAGGATGCGAGACAAGGAGAAATAAACAAGCGTTTTTTGGAGAGCTAACAGACAACAGATGGATCAGCACGATGTATGATTTCTGGTGTCCAGTCCACAATATACTCTCCCGGGGGGGGAGGGGGGCGAATGATGAGCAGCGGCTTACATTGCGGGGTCAGCTCACTCAACGCAGTGCCTCGGTCGTGGATTGTCCCTCGGATGCGTTGCTGACGACTCCCCAGTGGAGAAAGTTTATTTGAGACAACTGGACCGGAGATGGTACTCGCGTACGGCCGTAAGGATATTGAGCAATATAGCAAGCAATAGTCATGGACTGAAAACTGATCTCTCTCAGCCGTTCATACACAGAGGCGACAATGTGTTCTCGACCCGAAAATGTTGACAAGAAGCAAGGAGACCGGCAGCGTGTCATGCGTTCAAACCGATCTTATCATCGTCAGCATTCACCGCCTTTGGGGGGCGATTTCACCCTCTGTGACATTTAATCTGGACGCCTAATACCTCATTTAAGTCAAGAGCTCATGAGGCAATTGTTTACAAAGGGGATAGGCCCCCGATCCGGGGGGACGGGATCTCATTTTACCGTGGAAAGGGGGCCCGTTCCCAACACCTGCCAAGAACGGGCGTGGCCCAGCTCGCGCAAGGACCCGCCTGATAATCGACGTTGCCTGATTTCTTTCTTCCATGATTAGTGATCAAACCATGATTAGTGATCAGAAAGTCGAAAATATCAGTTGGGAAAGCGCTGGATGGTCATGAAAATTTGTGATCAATTTAAAACCGCATGGTGCATAACGTTGCATAGTTGTTCATCCCATCATAAAAGCTGAAAAGCGGCGCCTATGTCAATGTGGATAGAACCCACAACATCGATGGCAAAGGATACCAGAATTTGAACAAGCGTTATAGTCTCCAGAAATGGCAAGATCTTGGATCCTTTGAAAACTTGAAACTACAATTAGATCGTCTTTTTCATCTCACCGGCCATGCTCGAACTCGAGATTGTCTCGGAGACCGCTATCAAATCCCTTGTCGTGCGCAAGAGATACTATCGGTACTCATGCCAGCGGCAAAATATGCGAAAATTCTATCATCCCGACGCCTCACGAATAGGACAGATATCACCTGGCAATATTGCCCAGCACTAGCAACCGTCGGCGCTGCGAACGATCACCGAAACACAGGCAGGTACCAAGGTGAAATTGAAGGCTTCATCCGGGGCTCCAAGCCAATGTCCGAGAAGGGCTCAAATGCAATCCATAGCTAAGCACGGTGGAAATGACCATCAATGGTCCCAACCTCTTTCCCAGTCCAGTCGGAAATATAGCCGCTCGGTTCACCCGTGACGGAGCGAAATACGAGCTTATCTCGAACTGCAGATTCCTCTCGAGATTGGAAAGTCTGGATGATGGCCTTGGGCTTACGTGGGAATGTTGAGCATGGAGGTGATGTACATGGACGATAAAATTGTTCCTACGCTCCCTGAATCTGGGGAAAGGGTACCTTTGCTGGAGCGGATAGCTACCCTAGGAAGAGCTACAGTCTTTTGGCGTATTACCTTGCCGAGAAAGAGTATCAAGTCAAGCAGGACCTTCCTGGTGTCGATGTGAGAGGCTTGTGGCGGAAGTCTTGGTTCGGAATCTTTTTTGGCTGAATGCATAATGATTCTTTTCGTCTAGTGTAGGTACAGTCTAGATGGGTCGAAGTTGACAACTAGAGAGCTGAAGCCAAGATAAGCAGATAAGACAGTCCAAGCCTCAACGTATTGAATGTGGTCTACGCTAATGAAGTTTTAAGAGACGGGGAAAGCTGGGGTTGTGGGGGAAGTGGGTCTAGTAGGTCTCGGGGAAAGATCAGAACCGATCTATACCCAGACGCGCTAGTGCTATTCTAGTAGACCAGATCAAATAAAACTACTACTAGCCCTGGCCCTGCCACAGTGTATCTGGCTTAATCGATTCCCCAACTTATACTCTAACTTGAGACATCATCATTCCTATCCATTTCATCTGCAAAGAACCTCGAGATCTCCTCGCCGGTATCAGTGGAGATTTAGTATGCGGAACAAAGGGTAATACCTCATAATGTAGATAAAAGCCTGGTGTATGACGAAGCCGAAGAGCCTGAGTTGCACGCGTCGACCTACTTCGCGTTGGCAGCTATGTTCCTGCTCAATCTCGTTCAAGTCTTTGGCCTGATGGGCACTCCAGCAGGGGTAAACCAGATCTTCTTACACCTCCCACTACCGTGTCCATCTTCTAATTCCACTCTCCTGTAGCTCTCATTTATAGAAGCAGACTTCAACAACACCGTAGCAGGAACATGCATTCCAAACTCCCTTTCCCTCGTCCAAGCCGTCCTCGCACCTCTGATCTTCTCAGCCTCGGATACCTTCCAAGCTCGCAAGGCACTCTTAGCTGTTCCGGCAATAATTTCTTCATCGGATCTGCAATTCTTTTATTGCCCCTGGTTCAAGCAGCATATATCGACTTATCGCGACTCAGGTTTTGTTTGGGCTCGGCTTTGCTACTGTACCGTTGGCATACTGCGTTCCTAGCGAGATACTTCCGCGGAAATGGAGACCTAGTAAGTTGGGATCTTTGGCGATGAGATGAGATAAAACAGAATGGAATGAGATGGGATTAATGTGACAAAGATGGCCCAAGCAGCAAGAACATCGCTGCTGCCGTGGGCGCATGCTCGGCATCACCCATCATCGACGCCCTCACCAAAAGAAATGCTAACACAGGAATGCGGGATGTTTACGTAAATCGATCCCATCTCACCTCTCCTAAACAGATCTACCAGTGCCAATCTGCAACCGTGGATCCAAATGGCCCTCTGGGGCCTCACAGCAATCTGCCTATTCATCGGCTACAAGCCCCCGAAACAACACACCGAGTCCGACCAACTCTCATTTAGACAGAAACTCGCACGCCTAGGTCTTCCAAAATTCTGCTTTCTTACAGCTGGACTCACACTACTACTAACCGGCCTCAGTCTTGGCGGTTGTTTGTACGCGGGGGCAACAGCGCCTGTCCTGGCTACTATCGTCATCGGAATCCTCTGTCTGATCGCCTTTGGCATCTACGAGTGGAAGCTACCAAAACGGGAATCCCCCATCATGAACTATTCCGTGGTGGAGAGAACGGTGGTCGGAATTCCGCTATCTGCGTTGGACTGATCTTCATTAAAGGGATTCTTCTCTTTGCCTACACTATCCTCTACCTGACTCTGTAAGTTCTATCCACTTGAGGTTGGCAATGCGCTTCACAAGATGAATTACTAACCAGTAGTACAATGAATAGAACAACTTTCCTCTTCAAAACCGACGCCTCCTTCTCGCAGCCCGCGAACAACCATTCTGGATAGCAGGCGGAATTGGCACCGTGATCTACGGCACTCTCAGCACGAAATTCCTCACAATCCACGCCCCCATCTTTGCAGGCTCCCTCTTCCTAACATCCGGCATGATCGGACTCGCAACAATCCAACCCTCTGACTCCCTAAGCGCCCTAGCCTTCACAGGCCTAGGATTCGGATTCCCGCTCATACTCCTCATCGTCGCCGTCCAACTCTCAACACCACACCACCTCATCGCAACAGCGACAGCCGCAACGACTTGTTCGCACGCTGTTGCCACGGCTGTCTTCACGGCTATTTTCTCCGCGACGTTGAGTGCTCGCGCTGAGAATTTTATTCTCGAATATGTTTCAAAGGCTGTGTTGAGGGCGGAATGCCTGGTGCTCAAGTTGGGGAGTTTGTTCAAACTATTGTAGCGGGGTATGAGAGCGCGCTTGGAAGTATTGCGTGTGTTAATGGGAGCATTGTGAGGGCTGGGGTCGCGACGCTCGAACAGGCGTATGCGGATGGGATTCGCGTGGTGTATATTATTGCGGCGCCGTTTGGGCTTTTGACTTGTTTTTGTGCCTTAGTTTGGGGTATCTGAGTGAAGTTATGGATGATGTAGTTGAAACGCCGTTGGAGGATTTCCATTCGCGACGGAGGGAGGTGAGTGTTTAGTGTCGAGATGTTACACAATTGTGACTGAGGGAAAAGATAATCCATGGTACCACGTAAGTGATGAATGCCAATGCAATTGATTGATGCGATGCTCATATGTAATACTATTATATACCGATGCAAAACCAACGCGAAACCGCTATATACACCCGAAAACTAAAACAAATCAACGACCGAAGAAATGCAACTCAAAAGGACGCAGGACACAATACATGGTAAATGAGAAGGCAAAGCCCAGCTCAAAACCAATATCACCACCGCTAGGGAGTGCACCGGCATGCTTGGCAATGGGACCAACCCACCACGTCTGGCTCATGCCGGTAACCATGCCAGCAACGCCAAAGCAGAAGGCAATGGCGGCCGAGATACCGAGTGGAAGCTTGTCGCGCTTATCGTAAATTTCAGGACGATAGCCGCTGAATCCCCGCTTGAAGACAAAGTGGTCGGCGGCAGCAATGCCAGAGTAGATGGCCAGCCAGTAGGCGATGAAGTTCATGAAGTTTTCCAGGACGGTCTCGAAGTGCGAGTAGCCCGGGATGGCGATGGCGAGGGAGACGCAGGAGGCCAAGAAGGTCCAGATGAAGCGGGGAACGCGCTGGGTGTAGCGGCTCAGGACTTGCAGGGTCAAGGAAACGGAGTAGATGTTGGGGCAGTTGTTGGCGATGATGGACAGGGCCAGGATGACCAAACAGAACTTGCCGAATCCACCGAGAGGCTCGAGGACGGCGCCGATCAGACCACCGTTACCAGAGGTCGCATAGCCGGCGGCGTACTTGTTGTCTCCGCCGTTCAGATCGGTGGCAGTGAAGATGGCGATGCCCAGAAACTCGGTAAAAATGAGGGGAAAGATCAAACCGGCCCAGGTAGAGGCAAAGACCTTGCGGCGGCTACGGTCGGCGGGTTGGTACACAGTATAGTCGGCCGCATAGCTGGTCCAACCAGTAGCAAATCCGTAGACAGTCGATCCAAAGGAAAGACAACTGCCCAGTTCGGAAGTTCCGGCCTTCATGGGGATGTCGATGAAGTCGCCGGAGTGGGCGAATGTACCCAACACGATAATGAAGACGATGCAGGTGGGGATCCAGCTCCAGTATTCGTAGGCATGCACGACCTTGTATCCGGCGAAGGTGATGAAGAGGGTGCAGAAGGTGATAATGAGAATACCGGCGAAACCAGGAACGGTGCCATTGACGGCGTTGAGGAGCTGGGCGCCGACGATAGCGTTGGCGGCGGACCAGCCAACGCAGGCCAGAACGTTGAGAATGGCAACTAGAAGAGGAAGAGTTAGGACTCTAGACCAATGTGGGTGCAACCTGCTAGAGGGGAGAGACACTTACTGAATTTGACCGGATACCAGCCGAACCAGAATCGAGACAGCACCATTTGGCGCAGACCAAAGACGGGGCCAAAGCACGAGAAGAAGCAGACCGTTAAGACTCCCAGCAGGTTAAAGAAGAGGCACACTAGGAAGGCGTCCACAGCTCCCAGCCCGAACAACGACTTGCCGAGCACACCAATGGCGAAGGAACTGACGACCATGTTCGCCGCCAACCACTAGGGGTTTGGGTCAGTGGGAGCGCCCACGAGATTAGAAAAGAAGGGTCAGGAACACACCATGCTGCCGATGTTGAAGTAGGAGGTATCTGTCCGCTCGCTCTCGGGCACGCGCTCGATTCCACGCTGCTCGACATTGAATTTGCCAGCAATGCGCTGGATCTTCGCGTACATCGAGTTACCATACTCGAAGCTCTCGCCGGGTACGGCGCCGTCGCTAACATTGTCATTGTAGTTGTCGCTCGGTAGCGTGTCGTTGCTGTTGGTTTCGTAAGGCGCGTTCTCGACGTTGGCACCTTTCTCGACGTCGGCACGCGACCCAAGACCGAATTTGGAGCGCATCGTGGGGAAGTCCGAGTCGAGTCCGAAAGACTGGAAGTCGGAGGTAATGAGAAATTGGGGAATGCAAGGAGCTTAGAGCTCAGCAGGCTCGACCCAAGAATGGAGGAGGTGAGAGTAAAAGAGACACAGTCACATCGTTCTTTTTTTTGGTGCTCCACTGGCAGGGCCGGACATCTAATATAGTCGAAATTCTGTGCCGCCCCACCGCGATGGCAGAGTCTGCGTGGCGACGGCGACAGACGTGGGAACGACCTCCAGAAAGAAGCAACCGACAAGCATTGCGGGCCCGCTGTTTCGCCGTCGCAGCCACTCACACCCCCGGGCTTATCGTAGTGGGGACACTTCCACGCGAAATCGCAAGGCCGCTCCCGCTCTCTCTGCTTTCACGCGACGCGACTGGCTGCTGCTTTCGCGATGGTCGGACTACCGATAAGACCCGTCCGAGATAGCTGCGCTGATAATTCAAATGGTGCAAGTTATGCCGGCTATCAACTGGTGTGGCTGACACGCGAATCTCCAAGCTTTGGTTGCCCCCTGCGATTCTGCCTGCTGTCACTGGCCAGGAACACGGGCGTGAACGGCATCCGCCGATGTGCGTCTGACATCAAGCCAGCCTAGTCTGACAGGAGCTGCGATGGCCAAGCAAAAGCTTGACCTGCCATGGCGTGCACATGCACCATATGTGCCCCCGCGCGGGGACCCTACCACGCGCAACCTAATTTTGCATGGCAAAAAAGTAAAAGATCAACTCTGTCTCCGAGGTCCGTCCCCATGTCCCAATGCGGTCACGGGCGTAGCACCCGTGTCTGCGTACTGGCAGCGCCAGGCAGTCCACGCCGAGAAAAGACGTGCGGAGAAGCCTCGATTGAGCAGGTTGAACCGGTAACGGGGATTCATGCAGCCTGCGATCCCGATCCCACGGGGGACCGATGGCTAGCTCAATGCGGTCTGGGATTCGCGATTCGCGTCTGGAGATCTCACTCGCCAGGACTGGGAGCAAGACCCAGAATCTATCTCAGGACAGCCGACGGCCAAGGTATGTAGGTGCATGCTAGAGACATGATAGCGGAGATCACCGTTCTGATTCTCATTGGTATAATCGAGAGAGACTGAACCGGATCGACGATGCGCCGTATTCCATTCGGGGTTCCTCCCTGGTCACCACCCTCGCAAATCCGTGCTTGGCTCTTATCAGCGGTGCAGTGAGCCCGGCTCCTCCTATCGCTGGTGCATCCCCTGTAGGGTCCCACAGGTACTCCGGACTAGCGCCTACTTCCGTAGGGTACGCAGGCAGGGGGTGATCATCTCGAAATCCCCACGACTGACGTTAGCGTGCATGAATGATGCTTGTTTTTGCTTGTATGTCCTGCAAGTCATCTTCTGGTCTCCCGTTGTGGTGTTTATAGGCACGCTACGCCCGGTCGGAGGCCTCCGATCTCGAGATCTTCGCTATCGATGCCGTTGATCCAACCGGCTGTTATTGCTGCACCTCTCTTGACCTGCTCCATTGGTGGCTTGTTCGGATCTCGTTTGGTCCCCCGGTCGGCGGTTCCTGTGGTCCAGGACCAAGAACAGATGCCGAAAACGATGTCATAGCTTCCAGCGGAGTTTGTAAGCTGGTGGTGTAGATCAACCGGGATATCAGTGAGCTCATGTTATCGAATAGTCTGGTCGGACTTTTATTTACTCTTCTTCGTCATACTAAGAATCAAGACTTGGTTCATGTCATTCTAGTCCGTCTCTCTGGACTTTTGATTCAGCATTCAACAATTTAACAGCTCGCTATGTTGACACGCAGAAACATTATGGATTATGCAAATGATTAAGGGCGGGGTATATACAAACAGTGGCAGGGCGCTTGGAGTACTCCGGGATATCGAGACCAGCCTCACCTATCACTTCTTCGGCCCCCTCAACTGAACAAGCTCCTGCGTCCTAACTCTCGAAGTATCATCCATTTCAAAAACAGGACAAGAATCAAAACCCTTCTTCACATGCGCGACAGTTTCATGAACAACCTTCTCCTGTCCGCCAGATTCATGAACAACATGGCCTCCCACGGCTGAGGCTCAAACGTGCCATTAGGAGGAACTCTGAGATTCCGCGCCTCCGGCCCCTTTTCCCGACTCAGACTATCAGCCCTCCGCTTCAGCTTCTTCCGTCGCAAACAGAACAACACCGTCAGCAGGATAGCAAGACCTCCAACTCCAATATCAATTCCGTCTTCCGCTTTCCCTCCCGTTGAGAGACCCCCAGACTTGTGCATTCCCAGCTCGGACGTTGCCGTCGCGCCTGAATCAGCAGTCGATTTAGCTCCCGTAACAAACGCCGTGGCCAGGGCGAAGGAGTCACTTTCCTGTCAACGCACTTCTATCGCATGCCTATTGAATCCCGCGCCGCCGGGATCCATCGTTGTGGCCGTCACGATCGAGACATCGTGTCACATTCGTGTAGCTATAGGAGATTGTGCTCGGCGCGATGGATTGGCAGAGCTCGGCGTCGTACCAGTAATGCCAGGGATACGAGAAGCTGAAAGACGATGTGCGCGTCAAGAAGACCCAGCTGGAGGTCTAGTAACCGCAAGAATATAGTTAGCACTGTGGCATGTTCTGATATTCCGCTTTGCTGCTTCACTCACAGATATTGCGGATAACATGTCCCTCACGTATCCGCCGATCCCCCGGCCGACTTCGTAAAGTTCGTCGCCATCACCCATCCACTCGGACATGTTACAGGCGAACAATGTGACCTAAGTTCCCACCTGGGAGGAGTGCATCGGGGGTATTGGCAGGACCCAGATTCTCGAACCACACACCCAACTCGGTTGCTTGAATGTCCTATATCTGACTCTGACAGGAAGAATGGGCTAAAGGTCGTCATCGGCGGGACAACGCTCCGGCCTGGACTTGTCGGGCCTGGTGTTGTTCGTACAGTGCTGATCATGCTGTCAGGCGCGTGAAGTATTTTCTAAAGGCCTTTCCCGGAGGGTAATGTATCGAAAAGAGCGCGAGAGGGTTGCTCAGACTTTGACCTTCGAAGATTCATAATCATTTAACCGGAGTTTTCGCTATTGCAAGGCTCGGGTTCGCGTAGTTATTGGTTCATGACTCGCAGCCTGGTAACTAATTTAGATCGTATAAGGCTGGCATCTATTGGTTGAGATGGTGCCCAGCGACTGTCAGGCCCACTGCTGATTCCGGATGTCGATCTCCGACCCGAGCTGATATAGATGAAATATATACGGCAGGTGTAAGGGTGTTTTAGATCAGGTTTACATTTCCAAGTGTCAATACTTGTGAACATTGAAACATCACATTGCAGCCTGACACATGATGATATCTATGAATGGACATTTCCAAAGGTTCCAGATCGACTCTTCTAGATAACCTTGGAACGTTTTAGGCAATGGCTTCAAAGAAAGCAAACAATTATACAGTGCCATGTTTTTGACATGAATTGTGGTAGCTCACTCAACCGGGACAGATCCAGCATAAAAATGGCGAGGACCTGTGAACAAGACCCTTCAGTCCTCAAGCATCACTAAAATCGACATGTGTGTGGCCCCCTCTAGAAGTATGTCAGAAGCTGATGGCTGGAATCCATAATGGACCGACGACTACTCCTTCCAATTTGGGATATCTACTGAATCACTTGTCACAATTATCTTGATTAAGGGTAAAGAAGACTTTCTGGCTGTCAGCATCTTCAAAGTCATGGTTTGTTCGATGGATTCACATGATATCGGCAATTCTTACTGAGCACGTGACGACATACTACCCTCTAGTTAATACAATTGTACCCTGAGGTATGCATCGAATAATGCTTGATAGTGGATATTACTGGGGAAAGATTCAATACCAAAATATTATGCTTCACATAGTATAACTATGATTCTCGGGTATAATTAAGAAGCACCCCCCAGGGTGGGTGATGATATTGACCAGACAGCCGGTCTTATTGGCTATTTACCCCTGGGACCAGCTATGGAAGGCTCAAACAACAACGAAACATCATCATTTACAGCTTGGCGGCAACCATCTGGTTGCCCTTCTTCAGAAGAGCAGCAGCGTCGTAGACGAGCTCGTCAACGATAGCCTTGGCGGGCTTCTTCTCGTCAACAACGGCAGAGACCTTACCCATCAGGTAGGGACGAGCGTTGTCGAGGGTGTCATCATCGACATCGTCGGGCAGGTTCTCAAAGTCGTGCTCGACGGGAATGATACCCTTAGCGGTGAGCTGCTTGATCTCCTCGGCGCGGTTCTCCTCCCAGTTCATAATGTAAGGGTTCTTGCGAACACGCAGGGGACGACCCTAGAGACTTGTTAGCATGACAGTTACAGATCACTGATCAGACAGGGCAACATACAGTGAAGATGATGGTACGGATGTTGTCCTCGAAGCCAGCAGTGCGGACAGCCTCCTGGTGAGCCTTGGGAGCACCGGCCTCATCGGCAAGGATGAAGCGGGTGCCGATCCAGACAGCCGAGGCGCCGAGCATGAGAGCGGCGGCGACGGAGTTACCGTTGTACAGACCACCGGCAGCAATGACCTGGACGGGCTGACCAGTCAGAGGGCTCTTCTTTCCCTGGACCAGCTTGGCAACGGTGGGAATGAGGATGGTGGTGGGGACATCGCCGGTGTGACCACCGCCCTCGCCACCTTGAGCGCAGATGATATCGATGCCGACATCGAGGGCCTTCTGGACATGCTTGGGGTGACCGATCATGTTCATGGTGAGAATACCGGCACCGTGGAGCCTCTCAACGACGGGCTTGGGGGGAACACCGACGGCGGAGACGAACAGTTTGGCGCCGCTGTCGATGATGATGTCGACGAGCTCGTTGAGCTTACCCTTGGTGTAGTCGTAGCTAAGAAGAGGAAAAGCTAAAGTCAGAAATGTGTTGTGTAAGGGTCATCAGGAAAGCCAGACTTACTTGGTCTTGCGAGCACTGCCACCGACCTGGGGGAGTAGCAGGTCGACACCGAAAGGCGCGTTCTTGTCGGTCAGGTAGCTCTTCAGCTCAGCGATCTGTTCCTTGAGCATTTCGGGGGTGTAGCCAACACCACCGATAACACCGAGACCACCAGCGTTGGTGACCGCAGCGGCCAGCTTGGGGCCGGCCGCCACGTTCATGCCTGCCAGCAGGACGGGGTGGTTGATCTTGAGCAGATCAGTGATCGGAGTGCGGATGACCTCTGCGCATCATCAGCAACAACTTTAGATAAGAGGGCGATTCTCGGATGGGAGGAACGTACGGGGAGATGCCATGATGTGGGATGTAGACGTAAGACTGAGAAGTGAGGAGACTTCAGAAGAATCCGGGGAAAGCGGACCTATAAAGGGCGACAGCCTCGGCGCTTTCACAGTATCGCCATGAGCCTCGGTCCAGCCAGACTGCAACCTCAGGCCATTCTGTTTATCCGAGGCGGGGGTCGACACCTAACAGCCTAAGAAATAAGGCACAAAGGCAGTAATTTAGGCATGCAGGCAGCAACTCACCTGACGTGCACGAGACCTCAGCAACACCACCACACTCTCATCCGCCAGAGTCCATCTTTCTGTCCACAAAATGAGTTCTGCAGCTCTCTATCGCCAGAGGGCAACAGCATGGACTTATTCTCGTGGCACAGCGTCTGCATCACCGCCATTGACATCGGTTAGCAGGTCCCCGTCCTTTCCGGGGGCTCCGCACGCATCGCGGCATTGCGCTCGGCCATTGCACGGGTATGTGATTAGGAGGCAAGTCCGTGATCATCGCCGAGGAATAGATCTAGGTCGAATATGCTAACATAAAATTCTAGTATAACTTCCTTCGCGCGCTCGAGTACGTTGCTCCGCAAATCCACTGTTTGCCGCAATGGCGTTATCTGTCATTTATCTGTATCGCTGTAAAAAAAAAAAAAAAAAAAAATATCGCACGCGTTTTTCTACTTCCCATTTCGCAGCCCTTTTTTACTTACTTTGACCTCAAAACAGCCAAGACTAATTTCAGTCAGATCCATTTTCTATGGGGAATCCAGCATTTTCATCATCGCGCAGTGAAAATGCCCGAGCGAAGCGTATGACCCCGCTGTCGTTCCTGAAATCTTACGCGCGGAGATTTTCAAGTGGACAAGGGCCGCGTTTGGACGATAAGATGAGCACATCGGACGGCAAACAGGCTCATAGAGCTTTCATTGCCCTCGGTAGCAATGTTGGTGATCGAGTTGAAATGATTGAAAAGGCTTGTCTGGAACTGGACCGCGCCAATATCAGAGTCAAGCGGACAAGCTCACTCTTTGAGACAACGCCGATGTATGTCCTTGACCAAGGGACTTTTATAAATGGAGTCTGCGAGATTGAAACAACACTTTCGCCCATGGAGCTTCTGGATGCTCTTCAAGGCATTGAAAATGCCTTGGGGCGGAAGAAGTTGATCGACAAGGGGCCGCGCTCCATTGATTTGGACATCCTGTTGTATGACCAGGAGATATTCTCCCACGAACGTCTTAATGTCCCGCATAATTTCATGCTAGAACGTGACTTCGTCCTCCGGCCTCTCTGCCAACTCATCCCTCATGAGCGACCGCCTCAGCCTGGGAAGGACTCAAAAACATACCTCGAACATCTCAAGGTGCTACCACCACCAGAGCCAACACCTTATTCAACGACACCGATTTCTCCTCACTTCCCCGCAATTCATGCAACAGATCCTCAACGCAACACACACGTTATGGCCATCATGAACCTCACCCCCGACTCTTTCTCCGACGGCGGCAAGCATTCACCCTCCGACGTGACCTACATTACCGAAACAGTGCGCAGCTTCATCGCCCACGGCGCTACGATTATCGACATCGGGGGTGAAAGCACTCGCCCCGGCTCAACGCCCGTCGGCGCGGATGAGGAAATCGCTCGTGTTGTCCCCGCAATCAAGCACATCCGCACCTCCGTCCCCGAAGCCGCCAACATCGCCATCAGCATTGATACATACCGCGCAAGCGTCGCAGAAGCAGCATGTGCCGCAGGCGCAGACATAATTAACGATATCTCCGCCGGCACTCTAGATTCCGAAATGCTACCGACTGCTGCGCGCATTGGCAAGTCGATAATCCTCATGCACATGCGCGGCACCCCTCAAACCATGACCAAGTTGACCGACTACCCCAACGGCGTCATTCCAGAAGTTAGCGCCGAACTCCGTGAACGTATCGCAGCCGCCGAGGAAGCTGGTATTCGTCGCTGGCGAATCATCCTCGACCCGGGGCTGGGCTTTGCGAAGAATCAGCCGCACGACTTGGAGATTCTGCGTGACCTTTCCCGGTTGCGCGAGTCTGAGGGCTTGGACTGCTTTCCCTGGTTGACGGGACCTAGTCGGAAGAGATTTATTGGCCACCTTACTGGTGTGAAGACCCCCCGCGAACGAGTATGGGGTACTGCGGCTACGGTCTCGGCCAGTATTGCCGGAGGGGCTGATATTGTACGTGTACATGATGTACATGAGATGTGGCAAGTTGCCAAGGTTGCGGATGCAATCTACCGTGTTGAATAGACATTGTGGGATATTACGATTCCATGGGTGCGCCCGTGATGGACCTATACGTATACCTTTTACGAAAAATTTTACCTTATTTCGTGCCCTCCGCTACCCATATACGCTCTCAGAGTGATGCGGATTTGTGACAAGGAAAGCTCTCAAGGATTGGAACCTGTTTGCTTATGGCGATCCTCAACTAATGCGGATATCGACTAAGTGATCGACCATTTGCCGATTTAGCTACGAACACATGCACGGTCGGTACCTATTCCGTGTATTATGGTAGAATTGCAAAAGGTGGTGGATGACCTAGAGGAGAGCCGCCTTGGAAATTTTCAAGGAGAATGGTGCCACGGCGCAGGCTTTTAGTTTGCAAGATGTCGCAATTCACAGTGTCATCATCCCAAAATTCTTAATCTGGGCCACGGCCTTACTCAAGAGGATCCATTATGAAAGTCCCATGTCTTTTGGCCTGATCCACATCTTTTCCGACGTGACTTCAAAATACCAGAGCCCCTCATTATGGCTAGTCCACTGAACATACGGCTCCTCAATCATTCGGGGATTTACGATCTCGCAATCCCTTGTATCTCAGAGACCTACAGTACAAAAGGAATTGAATCCCTGGCACATCTCTCACAAGGAACCATCCTAGAAATAACGTGGACCATGAAGAGTGCTTCTGCAATCTTTATTGAACCCCTCATCTTCATACTGAGAATAAGGCTCCCCTCGGAAGAAGCCGGACAGAAGTCGCTATTTGATGAATTGCTTTAATATGATTAACCAGATCACTCATTCCCTCCTGGTAGGTGAAAATGATTTTGGAATACAGTGCCAATATCGCTATATCTGTCAGACTTTGAACCAGAAAACCCGAACTTTTGCAAGGAAATACTGTAATATTTTCATTAATCAATATACTGTGCTCCTTCGCAAAATCCTTCACAGTGTTATGACGACATCCACAAGTATTACACGCCCTAGATAATCCTCGCCCTCTTTAAAATAGTGCAAAATATAACCGCAAGTCCCAAAATAAATCCCAAAACCCCAAACCACCACTGCAAACCAGAAACATATTCACCCGGAACCTCAATATTCATCCCAAAAAGACCCGTAACTATTTGCATAATGACAATAATTGATCCGATGGCAGTAAGACGACTGAGGGTATCTGCAATCTGATTGCGCATGCAAGTAGAATCGAACGAAATCCTCCCAAGGAATTTCGACTGCGACCTCGAAAGCATTTGCTCCGCGTTGGCCAGGTTGGACATCATGGTCAAGACGTGGTCTTGGATATCAATCAGGTATGACGCGACGTCTGAGGGAGAGGCGCCTAGGCCATCGCAGTGGCGTGCGAAGCATCGAATGACGTCGGTTTTGTCGTTTAGCAGCTGGCGAATGTGCGTGACCTCTTTCCGGAATTTGTGGATGCTTTGTAGGGCCAGGCCGATGTCGTCTGGTTGGGTGATGGATAATGTGTCTTCGGTTACCTCTACGCTTGTTGTGACGCGGTCGATGAGGGGTGCAAAGCCATCCACGATGTCGTCACTGGGATATTGTTAGGTTTGTTCGAGGTCTCAGAGAGGGTGGGTTCGTACATTAGAGCATAGCAAATCCAGTCGCTCGTCAAATACAAATGACTCTGGTGCTCCCTGATGCGGTTCCAAACATGGGCGGGATGCGGGGCATTATCGAAAGTAAAGCTCAAGATGCTATCATGGAAAACCACGCCGTAAAAGTTGGACGACGGGTCCCGAGTGCCGGGAGTCGAATCTGGTTCACGCGGAAGCCGCAAAGAAACAAAATAATAAGGACCGAAATGTTCGATCTTTTCTCGTGTTTCGTGCATTTTGATATCTTCCGTCGTGAGCGGGTGGATATCGAGGAGCCGCGAAAGTGTCTCGATATCTTCGTTGGACGGTGATGTCACATGAAGCCACCACAACCCGCTATGTGAGCCCGTCTCCATGAGACAGTTGAAGGGATCACATAGCGCCTGCAGCAAGAGAGCGCTATCGGCGTGAGCGACTGTGTCGAGATGCGTATTAAAGAAGCTGTATTTCGTAGGCTCTGGCGTGACATCCTGCGCCGGCGGCTTCTCGTTGACGGTCATTTCTTCATTCTTGGATGTGCCGATGGATGGCCGGACACGGAAATCATCCATCAGCCCCATTTTGTGCGAGAGATCCGACGATTAGATTGCAGAGTCCCATATGGAAAAGATGATAATATTGGAAAGGGAACAAAATGCTCGAACGAAAGCAATTGGATGCAGTATGACGAACTTCTCCAGGTGAAAAATTGCGGTCTAATGCGGGAGTTCAGAGGTCTTGGCATTGTGGCGGAGCCGCCGGTTATACTCCCCCCCTTACTTCGGGGCGATTAAGTAACAAGCTTCCATGGTTGAGCTTTTCTAGAATCCAATAAGAAGCTTCTCAGAGCACTGTTTTTGTTGTTTTGCGTATCTAGAAGGGCAGTGTTAGACATCGACGAGGACAAGTAAGGATCATTTGGGTTGCTGGCGGTGTCCGCCGGATGGGCTTCTTGGCTCATTCTAGCTTAATTAGTGTTGCCCCGCGGAGTTCGCTGTCGATGCAGTAGTCGCAGTTCGCACTGTCCAATGTCAGTGGCTCGCTCATACCACACATATGTAATATAGTGTGACATGATGCTCCGCTAGGGAATGCATCTGCCCAATTACAGTGCTTCTTGATACAATCCATAAGAACCAAAGTTTATCCATTTATTCTGTAATTCTCGATATCCAACCAAGGAAAAAACAAGGGAAATGACAAAAGAAAATAAGATCTTAACTCGTCCGAGCGGTGCTGCGAAAATACGAAAAAGTCGGAAAAGCCATAGAGGTATCGTATCGTCGATAGTCCACCACTCATCCAGTGCAGGTCTCCCATATTCAAATTGGGCTCAACTTCTCCTCGAGGATCTTTTCGATAAACAAACAGAAAAGGAAACTGGATATGATGGCGAGAGCTTCGGAGACAAAATGTACGTCACGCATCAAAGAACGGGGATCAATAGGCTTGCTAAGTAGATATTCGATGTGACAAGAATATGGAGTCATGACAGTTCAAGTTAGTTGTTCAGGTAGTTGCGAATAGCACCTGTATTGTGTGGTTAGCAAAGAGTCTTATACATGTGAATAGAATTCATTGGTGTAATCAGGCTCACCTTGAAGCTTAGTCGCCCCCTCGCCAACAATGTACGACAGATTCTCGAGGTCATCACCGGCAGTGATCCCGAAGCGGCGAACAAAGTCCTTAGCCGCATTCTCCAGGTCACCATATCCATCATCGATCGCAGGGAGCTCATCCTCGGGCCGGCCGAAGTAGGCGTTGCTGGAGATTGAGGTCGCACCACCAAAGTCCTGCAGCCGCTGCTTGGCCTCGGCCTGTGCGTTGGGGTCGAAGCGGTCACGTCCAAAGAACTCGTCAGAAGAAATACCCTTCTGGGAACCGAAACGCGTCCGAGTCTCAGCAAGTTCCTCCTCTGCCAAATCGTTAGTCCATCTATCAAATGTTTGCAAAGGGAAAAGGCAGTATATACCATCCAGAGGAGATTTGGCAGCACCGACGGCGCCAAAGCCAAGCTTCTTGGGAGCCGGAGGCTTCGAGACCTGGCCGAATCCGAGTCTGTTCATGCCCATGCCGAGTCGCTCAACGTCGCTCGAGTTCCGCTCATGGGTCTTGCTGTTGCGTCCTGGGCTGATGGGGGTGGGAGCCGTGATGGGAGTAGCCGCAGTGGAAGTGGCGGTACGGGCCTTCGCGTCGGCCTCGGCCTGCTCAGCTTCGGGATCGTATCCAAGCTTCTCAATACGCTCGGCCTCTTCTTTGGCCTTACGCTCAGCCTCTTCAAAATCGATGTCGCTAGCAACCACCTTCTTCGCTCCAAGCTTTGGTGCCTTCTTAGCTCCCAGAACGCCACCCTTCTTCGCACCGGCGGTTGAAGAGGTCTTGCGAACAGCGGGAGTGGGGCGAATGGCGGTCGGGGCAGGAGACGAGGCCTTCTCTTCCGACGCAGACAGGGGAGACTTCGAGCGAGAGCCGTTCGAGCCGGCGTTCAGGAAAGGAGATCCGGTGCGGTTCACAACAGGTGGCGTTCCAGTGCGGGACGGAGGGTTGCTGGGGCGCTTGATCGAGGGCTTGTCCCAGGAGGAGAAGAAATCGTCGTCTGTATCGGCAGGGGTGTTCGAGCCATCGGAGGGGGTGCCAGCGGGCAGATCAGTAATGACGACCTCTTCGGGATACCTATAAAGTTCCACCGTCAACCTTGCGCCCATGGTCATCCGGATAATTGAAGGAGGGTACTGACTGTTGCGCATCCGCCGCGGCGCGTCTCTTGAGCTCTTCCTTATACTTGACAGCCGCATTGGACGTATACTTGACCTTCGAGTCCTTGCTAGCCAGGGCCGCCGACCCACCGTGCGACTGGAAGTATTTCGTCGCCGACTCATTTCCGCCAACCTTCATCACCCGCAGCTGTTCCCATTGCCATTCTGTGTATCTCACGTTAGCCTCTGTAAAGCGCCGGGCAGATTTGAAGATTCGGAGGAATTTGGGAGGATACGTACGGTCGAGGTTGGTGGAGCGAACAAAGGAGATGTGAACACCGAGATTGCGATGGTGGGCGGAGCAGTCCAGGCACAAGTAAATACCGAATGGCACCGAAGACCACGTAGGATTCTTAGAGCCGCAGTCGAAGCATACCTGTCCGCGAGAGTCGTGTTAGCGAACAATGTCCAAATCGCACGAGGACGGGCCTGGAGATGGCGGGGTGTGCGCACCTTGTTTGCGGGCTTCAACTTCAGCTTCTCGAAGATCTTTTGAGACTGCGCCTTGGAGGCACTCATGGTGGACGAGAATGAGAAAGAAAAACGTCAGATGTCCAGCAGTGCAAGAGTCCAGAATGAGGCCGAGACGGAGTCGGGAACGGCGAACGTGGTCGGACAAGACTCCCTGTGCCTGGGTGTAATGGCGTAATTTGCAATCTGGCGGTGGCGACCTCAGCGTGTGGATCGCCCTGATTTACGCCACCCGCGCTGCAAAATTACGGTATTGTCATTTTCACAAGCACGTGAGCGCTCGCTATCGGCCCGCCGTTATCGTCTCGCCAACCTGGAGGAGGCATTTCAGGCCGAACGGTCATGCTCGCACGACTCAGCATGAACTCGCAATACCTGCGTGCTCTCCCGAGAGCCTCGACCAGCGCGTCAGCGGCCCTGCGCCCAGGTTTTCGTTCCGAGATCACACGACTCTATGCCACACACAGCAACTTAGGCTCTGGGCCTCGACCGAGGAGGAAGAACATCAGTGTTCTATCCGACGATGGACGTTACGAGTGGGGTGAATTGAGTGGACGAGAGAAGGTGTCGCGCGCGACTCAGCAATCTGTCAACTTCGTGGTTGTCATCGCTGGTGCGGTGCTTACTGGCGGTGTTTTCTACCTATTCTGGACCGAGATTGCGTCCCCGAACAGTCGGACCTGGCAGTTCGAGAAAGCAGTGGATCGCATTAAAGAGGACTCTCGATGCACAAATTTGTTGGGTGATCGGAGGAAGATCCGGGCATTTGGCGAGAAAACAACTAGTCGATGGCAAAGCAACAGACCCATCGCGTGAGTCGCATGGAGTATTCCATCTCGAAATATGTCGCTAATGATTTGATATAGGTCTACCGAAGAAAAGGACAGACTTGGTCGTGAGCATCTCCGCATGACCTTCCATGTAAATGAGCCGATTACCCATATCAGAACTATTTTGCTAACCGCATCGTTCAGGTGGAGGGACCTCTTAACTCCGGTGTCGTCATCGTACACATGATGAAGCCTTTGGACAAAACTGAGTGGGAATACCAGCTTCTTGCTCTGGATGTGAAGGGCCACTCTCGCATTATCCTTGAGAAGGCTTCGGAGAGGCCCAGTGTGGCTAGCTCTTTGAAACTCTTTGGCATCCAATGGCGTTGAACTCGGTCTCCCTGCATAGTCTTCTTATGTCCTCGAATTGCATAGTCTGTCAAATTGTGTGCATTCAGCATTGAAGAACCAATGCTAGCGATTATGCACCTGAAACACGATCTTTGGAACAATATTTGGCGTTCCTTTTGATATCGTTCATGACTCGGTGCCTGCCGTCTTGCAACGATTCTCTGTACTTTGTGGTTGGCTACCAGCCACCCACTCATATGATGGCATTGCCCTCTTTGATGTATCATACTTGACTTGCTGCACCCGTTTCACTCGGTGTAGCCCGCCAGAATATGGCGAATGAATTGTATACCCTACCACAAGCAAGCGTTTTTCAGATCAAAATTCTTTTCAAATAAGCTATTAACATAATACACATAAAATCATGATCGAAGAGCAAATTCCGTCTATACTACGCGAGGTCCTTCCAAGATAGCCTTGGCTTCCTCTGACCGCCACCAACTCTTACCCTCCTCACCGGGAAATGCAAATGCATCCATACTATCAGCCTTCATCTCGACGCTGTAACCAGGCTCCATAGGAGTGACATAGTAGCCATCCTTGACACTGGACGGGTTCACAAAATGCTCGTGCAAGTGATCCACATACTCCAAAACACTCTTCTTGCCACTAACAACGACATAGTCAATGGTGCTCAGGTGCTGGGTGTACTCAGGAAGACCAACACCGCCAGAGTGCGGCACAATGGGGACACCGAACTTGCGGGCCAGGAGGAGGATAGCCAGGACCTCGTTGACACCACCGACGCGACAAGCGTCAGCCTGCAGGACAGTCAAGGCACCGGCTTGCAGAAGCTGCTTGAAGACGACGCGGTTCTGGCACATCTCGCCAGTGGCAACGCCGATGGTACCATGGGGAGTGTTCGCGAGGGCTTTGCGGATGGCAGCGTGGCCGAGGATGTCATCGGGGGAAGTGGGCTCCTCGATGAACCAGGGCTTGAATTCGGCCAGCTCCTGCATCCAGGTAATCGCCTCGGGTACGGACCAGACCTGGTTCGCATCCACCATGAGGATGTTACCACGGTCATAGCCAATGGCCTCACGGGCGATTCTCAATCGCTTCTTGTCGTCTTCGAGGTTGCCGCCCACCTTCAGCTTGAAGTGCTTGTAGCCCTGCGCAACGCTCTGGTCCAGCAGGGACTTCAGCTTCTCCTCGCCGTATCCCAACCAGCCGGCGCTGGTGGTGTATGCGGGCACGGCTTGGCTAGCCTCGGCCTCGCGGATACGGTCTTGCTTGCCGGACTCGACCTCCTTCAGCAGGGAGATGGCCTCCTCGGGAGTGATGGCATCGGTGATGTATCGGAAATCAATGCAGCGCACGAATTCCTCGGGGCTCATCTCCGCAACAATACGCCAAACCGGCTTGCCCAGGGTCTTGGCCCACAGATCCCAGAGGGCATTGACGACGGCCCCGAGAGCTAGGTGGATGACGCCCTTCTCGGGACCGATCCAGCGCAGCTGGCTGTCGGAAACCAGGTAGCGCCAGGTCTTGCCCCAGTCGGCAGTCAGCTCGTCCAGATCCTTGCCGACAATGAGGGGGGTCACAAGGGAGATGGCGGAGCAGACGATCTCGTTTCCGCGGCCAATGGTGAAGGTCTGCACAGTGACTTATATTAGCAGATACCCTCGTGGCAGGTGGAATGTTAAGATGACGTACCATGCCATGTCCACTGAAGTCGGAGTCAGTGTTGATAATGCAGTATGCAGCGGAGTAGTCGCCGGCCGCGTTCATAGCATCAGAGCCAGTTTTGTCGAGGGAGGTCTAGCAAAATCGTTAGTGAGACCCTGCCAATTCTCCGGACAATGCACAAGGGCAACAACAATACTTACAGGAAACCTCACATCCCGGGTGGTGAACCCAGTGATTTTGACCATTGTGAGAGTAGTTATAAATGCGACGATGGGACACGCTTTTCCGAGTCAATTGCACGTAATGCGGTCCTGTCTTGCAGTCGCAATGCGTCGATAAAGATAGAAATGCGGGGAGTATGACGGCACAACTCTATACGTGCTGTTCAAGCAGATCAAGCCGGGAAAAGTCAACGAGGCAGGGGTATATGAAACAAAAGTGAAGGAAAAACGAGTGGAAAAGCGGGAGAAATTTGCGCGTCGTGGCCTGTATATAGAAGACCATGTAACCCCCCACACGCCCGCAGTTTCTCCCTCGCCCCTCATTTCGCCTCCGTTTTGCTGGGGTTGGTAGTTTTCCGGCTGTTTGGTTGATGGAGTATCTTTTTCCACCAATCAGATGGTCGGATGGGACATCGGGGCAACTCCGTACGGTGGAGACCGGATATACTTCCAATGCGTTGATCGCGGATATGCTTTACACCTGTTCTAACACTTGTGAATGTATGAGCTGCCAGCTTCGCTGCGCGTTAGTAGTTAGTACGTGGCCTATAACTGTACTACTAGGAGTTAGGCACTGTGCGCTCGGCACGGAATGGAACTAGGAAAAGCATCGAAAAGTGAAGGTTCATTCATAGTGTGAAGGCAGATCGAGGAAATAGATTGTGGAAGATTCAAGGCCCTCTCGTCCATGAGCAGCTCTCCGAGTACTCCCTCAAATGGTTTCCCGCAGGACCCAGGGTGCGCAACATCTGCTAGCACGCCCCAAAAGACAACAATTGCCGATTCCTCCAACACACCAAAGACCTAGTCAATGCGGTGTTTCCTAGATAGCGCGGGTGATGTCTTCTCTAGACATCGGCGTCTCCTGTGAGCCAGATCCTGACGTCATGGTTGGGGATACAAATGAGGGTAATACAGGAAGTGGTGGTCAGTGTGGTAATGGAAGAGGCTGATCGTGGCGTTGCCAGCGACCCAAAAGAGAGCTTGAGTTTGCGAACGGATTTAGGTTAAATGGGGTTTGAGAGGTTGCGTCGCTAAGTGACCGAAAATGAGAGACAGAAGGTGCATATGATAGAAAGACCACTCGGGTCTGTCGACGGCATTTCTTAGATGTACTCTTGAGGGAGAGGATAGTGGCGAAGATGAACGTGATGAATGAGGCGAAACTGGAGCTGGGAGTAGATGTGGACTTGGCGTTATAGTTTTCGCTGTGATGAAACCCCTGTTATTCAAATCTCTACAATCTGGTTCCAATTTTTTTTTTTTTTTTTGGTAGAAGATGAAAACAGATCATCCTGTACCCGATAGGAATGGCTTAGATAAGGGATGGGGCGGATTTGAGGACTGTAATTGGCTACCTAGGTCTTACATAACCATTGATGCGCGTAGTACCGTACTAGTAGCTAAATTCTCGATGTCCCATGCCTACAGCCTGTCCCCTCACACCGTGAAAGATAGCGTAGCAAGGCGTCTACAGAGACAGCCCACGCTTCTCGCATTCCGCGTAGAAGATAACACGGCGCCAAATCTTGCGAACCACGTCCTCGGCATCGTCCATGGCCTGAAAAAGATGGGTGAGCAATCACATCGGCGCTGGAATAACCAAGATATTGGTCGTAAACTTACATCTCTGATCTCATCCACAAGCTTCCGTGGAGAATTACGCTCGCGCAAGTGCGTCACAACCAGATCAACCAGCATCGAATCCGGAACCCCCACACATTCAGCGATTCTCTCCTCGATCATTGGCATGATGCGCTCGGTCATGATGGCGCTGTCCACGAACTCCCATGGGACGTCATAATTCCAAAGGCCGTCCTTATCCTGCGGGATATCAGCAGCCAGCTGCTTCATGACTTGGTTCTGTTCCTCCTGGGACAGGTCGGCGCCTTCGGCAGCAGAGTCGAAATTGATGGGGATTAGAGGACGGCGAGTGGTATCAGCCGGTTCCTCCTCGTCTCCCAACAAGCCTTCCACCTCGGCAGCTGTACGACGACGGTTCGTGCGTGCCTTCTCGGCGGCGGCCCCAAGTGAAAGCTTGAAGCGAGGTTCCTCACGGGATGCAGAGTTGCGAACCTCCTGGTTCTGGGCCTGGCCGGACTCTCCCGCCTTCGCGCGAGCTTCTTTCTCCAGCAGCGCCTTGTATTTAGCAGCATTGATTTTGTCTTGTGCACGCTCCTCTGTGCGCCCTGCCATGACCTGCCGGCGCCATTTATCCGTGTTAGTGTAGAATAGACAGGTGTTGCGACGCGATTCGATCGCGCTTTTGAACTCCTGAGAATGCTTCAAATCCGCCTCACGGACAGCTTGGAGTCTCTTGTCATCCTCTTCGTCAGGGCCTCGCTCGCGTGCCGGGCCTGCTGCTCGGGACATCTCACGCTGGATCACGCGGCGTTCCAGGTCGTTGGCCTTTTTGTCCAGGTTCGGCCTGCGCTTGGCTTGACGGCGGCGCTCAAGCTCTCCATCACTCGCCTCGGACTCATCGTCGTCTCTGAGAAGGTAAGCAGGTCTGACAGAGTTGAAAAAAGACACACCCTTCTGGTACTCCTTGGGAATCTGAACGCCGAAACCCTTGGGGCCGGCAGGGGCGTTTGGAACAGCGCGGGAGCGCGATCCAAGGGGAACTCCGTTCGAGCCACCCGCAGGGCCGCTCGGGGCCGAGGCTGGAGGAGAAGCAGCACTCACACGGCCGTGCTGAGCGCGCTGACGGGCCTCAATCTCATCCTCACGCTCTTGACGTCGAACATCGCGGAGGAGGCTGCGCTCGCGGAACCCCGAGATTTCCTCGGAGACGCCTTCACGCACTTCGTCAGGAAGATCACTCAAGTCGTCTTCATTGTTGGTGAGTGTGATGACTTCGCCCACCGCCATCTTACTGTCTCCGTCGGCATCGATAGCCATGTCCTCCTCGTTTCGAGTGGGTTTAGCCGGCTGGAACAGGTCGGAGAGCACGCTGTTGAGGGTATTACGCGCAGCATCAAAGCGAGCCTGGAGCTCTGCCGGGTCGTGCTCCTGTCGGGTGGAGACATAATTTTCCAAGAAGCTCAGAGTACCGTCATGAACAGATACCTATTTCAAAAGCAGCGTTAGCAGTAGGAACCGACTGACACGACAGAACGGAATACACACGGAAAGTTTGCGCTTTTCAACTTCTTTCTCCTCCTGGTGACCATCGCTGTTGCCCGGCTGGCGCTTCATTGGCACTTCAATGTCCTTAAGAACCTCAACTGCGACCTCCAGGCTATCCGGTTCGAATTCAGCGAAACAGAAATCGGCAGACGTGCCATCGCCCTTGGTTCCAGGAATCCAGCGACGTAGAGTACCCGCAGATTGGAGCATTCGCTCCATGCCGTCGTGGCCGCCTACACCTTCCGTGATACCGGAAATCACAAGAGTGCGCACGCTCTGATCCTTGGTGGGCAGTTGGAGAGCATCGCGGCCATGGCCATAACCGTGGCGGTGGTGGCGGTCTTTGTCCTGGCTCGAGTAGCCGAGACCCTGGCGCCGTCTGGGATCACGGTCGCGGGGAGTGTCTGCGCCAGTAGGGGTTGTGTGCGAAGGGCCTGAGGTGCCCAGTCGGATCACCGGGGCAGAGAAGTTGATATCGGTAGGGAGGTTGGCCGGGGGAAAGCCAGGGAAGGCGGGGGGCGCACCCGGCATTTGTTGCATGCCTGGGGGCCCAGTAACACCCGGAGCGCCCATACCTGGAGGGGGAGCTATAGCCGGTTAGCGACGAAGTTATTCAAGCCATCACGCATGGGATTTCTCTCAAGAAACTTACATACGCCCGGGGGCGCGCCAAATGAAGATGGATCCGGAGAATTGCTGTACGTGCCCGGAGCTATGATGAAGATTAACAATGTCAGTTTGGCGATCGTACGAGGGGTGGGGAGTGCGCGACGTTGCGGCTGTTGGGTCCAGAAGAGTACTCACGCGGTCTGTACGGCGGATACATGATTGCAGCGCTTTCAGCAGCGCAAGGGTCGGAGTTTTTGTCGATGGGTGTTGGTGAAAAACAGGGTTGCGGGTAGATGGGGAAGCGAAGTTTGGTGGGCGGTAGACGTGTTGCGTCGCGGTATTATGAATTGGTTTGCGCCTGCTCGCCTGCTGCATCGGCGGCCAAAATGGAAGGTGCCGTTTTGAAGGTGGACCGTGCATGACTCTTGGCAGTCGAGCCTCGCAGCTGTCTGCTTACCTAAGTGCCTCCCTCTGGCAGTGATTCCTGAGGCACCAACTTCCAGCTCTCACTAAGGAAGGGAGCTAAGCTAGTCTTATTAACTCAGTCGTCTTCCTCTACCTGCAGGTATGCACCGTCTACACACATTAGGGTACTCAGGATTGTGTACCCTGGCATCTGCCCCAGGAAGCTATCAACACACATGGCGACCTCCATTTCAAATGCTCGAGATAAATTATTTTCTGTCTCGATTGTGATCTGCTGAGTAGCCTTGGTGGCAGCTGCAGGTGGGCTCCATCGATTTTCTGAGAATATTTCCGGACCCGAGTCGAGACCCGATCGGAGTAGATATGTCCGGACAGTGGGGGACTCTGCGCCGACTCTGTGCCTGATTCGAAGAGATAAGGCCCGTCATCTGAACAGCTGATCTGGAGGAATTTTCTAACTCTGCACTACTACTGAGAGATCGGCATTTCTGCAGTGTGTTTGCGTCGGCTCATGTTTTGTAAAGAGCCCGGGCGAGATTCACTGTGCTCTGTAGGCGTGGTTGCCGCATGTTCCCATACTGTGAGCGGTTGGCCTTGGTCACTGTGCCCGAGATTATTCATGGTGATATAATAATTTTATTACTATTATTTTTTTAGTACATTTTGAACCCTTAAGCACTGTCAGGTATTTGTGTTCTGAGCTGTGGGCAGCGGTGGTGGCTCGGTGATGCCAATACTTCCTTCCGGTAGGATGCCGTACTAGCAGAAACGAGGGTGCCCGGTGAGGAAACCAGCCTGATCCTCCGTCTGAAAGATGGTCGCGAATCAAAGGCCTCATGGGATTAGAAATCAGGCACATTCCAAGCCTGGCCGTCGGCAATTGAACACGGGCGCGGCCTCGTCTCGCACGTTTGAAAACAAACCCGCTCCAGGCCAGGCCCGAATGCGGCAATGATGATGCTTGCCCCACGGCCCCTCCACCGGACCGCAACACACCGGACTTGACGCCATTCTTTTCTTCCTTTTCTTCCAAGGTTTTCCCTTCCTTTTCCTTCACTTCTCTTCGTGATACCCCTGTCCTACACAGTGAGTTTGCCTATTCCTGTGCCGAGTCGATCCGCGTCGCATCTCTGCTCTCTGTCCCTGCCCCGCACTAACCCTCGACAGCCCTCTCTGTATACCGTCATCATGCCTGGATTCTCGCAGGCCTCCGATCTCAGCGCCTGGAAGGCCCTCCAGGAGCACCACACTACCCTGGGCCGCAACATTGTGCTGAAGGAGTACTTTGAGAAGGACCCTCAGCGCTTCCAGAAGTTCAGCCGGACCTTCGCCAACCCCGTGGATAACTCGGAGATCCTCTTCGATTTCTCCAAGAATTTCCTCACCGAGGAGACTCTGTCTCTGCTGGTGAAGCTGGCCAAGGAGGCCGGTGTTGAGGAGCTGCGTGATTCCATGTTCCGTGGTGAGCATATCAACTTCACTGAGGACCGCGCCGTCTACCACGCCGCCCTGCGCAATGTCTCCAACGAGCCCATGGAGGTCGATGGCCAGAGTGTCGTCGAGGATGTCAACTCCGTCCTGGAGCACATGAAGGAATTCTCTGAGCAGGTGCGCAGTGGTGAGTGGAAGGGTTACTCTGGCAAGAAGATCAACACCATCATCAACATTGGTATCGGTGGTTCGGATCTGTAAGTTCTTGAAGAGCTGAAAATGAGAGATGGAAAAGTGTCACGAACTAACTCTCACCTTCTTACAGTGGTCCTGTCATGGTTACCGAGGCTCTGAAGCCCTACGGCCACCCCGACATGAAGCTTCACTTCGTCTCCAACATTGACGGCACCCACATCGCCGAGGCTCTCAAGAGCTCAGACCCCGAGACCACCCTGTTCCTGATCGCATCCAAGACCTTCACCACCGCGGAGACTACCACCAACGCCAACACTGCGAAGAGCTGGTTCCTCGAGACTGCTCAGGATGAGTCGCACATTGCCAAGCACTTCGTGGCCCTCTCCACTAACGAGGCCGAGGTTACCAAGTTCGGCATTGACAAGAGGAACATGTTCGGCTTCGAGTCGTGGGTTGGTGGTCGTTACTCCGTCTGGAGTGCCATCGGTCTCTCCGTTGCTCTGTACATCGGCTATGACAACTTTCACCAGTTCCTGGCCGGTGCCCACGCCATGGACAAGCACTTCCGCGAGACACCTCTCGAGCAGAACATCCCCGCCATCGGTGGTCTGCTGAGCGTCTGGTACAGCGACTTCTTCGGCGCCCAGACTCACCTGGTTGCTCCCTTCGACCAGTACCTGCACCGCTTCCCGGCCTACCTGCAGCAGCTTTCCATGGAGAGCAACGGGAAGGCGATCACCCGCTCCGGCGAGTACGTCAAGTACACCACCGGACCCATCCTGTTCGGTGAACCGGCCACCAATGCCCAGCACAGCTTCTTCCAGCTGCTGCACCAGGGTACCAAGCTCATCCCGGCCGATTTCCTCATGGCCGCCGAGTCCCACAACCCCGTTGAGGGCGGCAAGCACCAGCGCATGCTGGCCTCTAACTTCCTGGCCCAGTCCGAGGCTCTGATGGTTGGCAAGACCCCCGAGCAGGTCAAGGCCGAGGGCGCTCCGGCCGAGCTTGTCTCGCACAAGACCTTCCTGGGCAACCGTCCCACCACCTCAATTCTGGCCCAGAAGATCACCCCCGCCACCCTGGGTGCTCTGATCACCTACTACGAGCACGTCACCTTCACCGAGGGTGCCGTCTGGAACATCAACTCCTTCGACCAGTGGGGTGTTGAGCTGGGCAAGGTCCTGGCCAAGAAAATCCAGAAGGAGCTGGAGACTGATGGCGAGGGTGGTGGTCATGACGCCTCGACCAGCGGTCTGCTGCTCGCCTTCAAGGCCAAGGCCAACTTGGCGTAGATTTCCTTTCCCAGTCGATCATCACTGATGCGGCTTTGACGAGCAACGAACGATAATTTTTGGGTTCATGCCTATGTGAAAAATCAATTGAATGTGTGATTTACTGCAGTTCTCTTTTTAGTAGCCATTCCAACATTTCAACTCATTGTAGTAGTGAAATCCGGGGTCGAGTGCATGCCTGGGCTACCATGGTTAGCCAAGGGCGAGACCCAGTGGGACTCGGCGAGATGGACAGATTGGCCGATCTCCGCAGGCAAAAACACTCTGTGATTCCGCGCCGACTCTTCAACCCACCACGCCAACGCGGGGCGGCACACACACGCCATGAACCTCGCCAGCATGTCCTCTGCGTCCTCAATGACCCGAATTCCCGGTATAACCGCGCTGCTTGCCCTGACAGGTGCGCTGTGGCCAGTCGGAGCAGCAGCGGGGAGTACCAATGCCAACAGTGGGGAGGGATACAGACTGGGCGATGAGATCCCAGTATCCTGTCTGAACCGGACAATGTAAGTGTCACGCGATTGGGCTGGAGGCTCAAAAAAAAAGCAATTGCTAATCACCAAATATCACGGTGTTCAGGGAAGGAGAACATGTATGCGCCGCAACCTCCTGAAAAGATAAAACCACCAGCATGACAATTGACACCACAACAGATCACAGACGACCTAGGCAAACTCCAATATGTTCCTTTCGTAACATGCAACGAGACAGCCCGCCCTCTCTCCCTCCACTACGGCGTCTCCGAAACAATCACCTGTACCGTCCCCGAACTGCCAGACAACCTCTACCACCTCCTTGAATTCTACGTCCACTCCGACGTGCCCATGACCTGTCGCATACCAACTGCGCCCCTCACAAAATCAAATACCTTTTCACCGGAATCCAACGACGAGTCCGTGTCCAAGGAATTCGACTCGCTCGCCGCATTGAACGAGAATGGACCCCCCTTCACACCCGTCACCATCGCGCTGCAGGGAACACTCCAGAAAAGCCACCTGCACATTTGGACAGACATGAACATGCTCATGCACAACATGGCCTCCGACGCCGCAGCGCAACAAAGCACCCAGAATTCACAGACCGGACAACCAGGGTACGCGGTAGCGGGAACAGCATACTCGACGCCCGAATTCGAAGCCGCGGTGAAGAACGTCAAGCTAGACGACGACGATAAGGCCGTGGCACTTGCGCAGGCTGCGCGCGAGCCCTGGACCCCCGGCCACGGCACAAAGGTGATTCGCGGCGAGCCGCTGACCTTTTCTTTCCATGTTGCGTGGGTTGAGGGCGGGGCGGGCATTGGATGGCCGGATCGGCCTGCCTCGTACTCGTTCCTGGGGCCTGGTGGTAAGATTGTTGTGCAGAGCTCTGGGTCTAGCTCGTTCTTCTCTCGCATGTTCTTGTTTCTTATGGCTGCTTCAGTGGGCGCGCTGGGTGCGCTTTACTGGGAGCGAAATAGGGATCGCATTCGAGGCCGTTCGTCCTGGAAAGGTGATGGCATTCTCGGTGTTTCTCCTGCCCGCGGTAAGGGTGCTAGTGTGACGTTTGGTAATGGTGGTCGTATGAATGGGTATGGTGGTTACACTGCTACTGCTGTCAATGGCGCTGGAGCCGGTGGTGGGTATGGGGGTTTTGTTGGTGGGAAGAAGGATTAAATGGAACCCGTGGAGTTTACACACATATTCAGCATATACCCTGGGGTGATAATTCATATGTTTCATATAATGTGCATCTGAAACCACTGTCTAGAAGGTGGTTTTTGATACACCGTTCGAAATTTAAGAAAAGATCTTATGTTATATCATTCAATCAAATGCATCCCATTGCAATGTCTAATGCAAGTGAACAGGAAATAAAAAACTTTGCAGATCAAATAGTTATACAGATATCAAAAGGTCCCCTCAAATCTCATGGGAAGACCAAAGAAAAACCCCGTCACCGGTCAGAGTATATATACACCACACAGCAGCGAGCTCACCACCCCTGAGTCTGCATCCGCTGAATCTTCTTAACAGTCTCCTGAAACGAAAACTTGAAAAGCTTCCTCCACCGCAAACGCTTCTGCTCCTTCCGCACCGCACCCTTCCTCTTATAAAACCGCTGCTCAAACGCCTGCGCCTTAATCTTGTTCGTCGCGCAGGTAATCTGCAAATTGCGAATAGCAGCCGCAAGATCGACGCCACGCTCCGGCTCAACGTGAATCTGTCGGCCCAGAGTCGGGCCCAGCTTCAGGTCCATCTTGCGCGAGGCCAGCTGCTGCGCCGTGCGATCCTGGTTCGCCCGCCACGCCTGCTTACCGCCCATCGAGACGACTGAGTCCGAGACGGAGTCTGAGACGCCGCGGCGTCCGCGGGTGAGGGAGTCGTTGGAGGTGGAGGTGCGGTTGCCCAGGTCGAGCTTGGTGAGGATTTCGTCGAAGTCGGAGGCAACGGTGGATTGGTCTGACTTGGGAGAGGCGGGCGAGGATGGTTTTGATTCTTCGGATTTTGTGGGCGGTTGGCTTGGTGTGGAATTTGTGGAGTTGTATCGGAGGGTACTGGTGAGGAAGGACTGGTGGAATCGGGGTTGCTGGTGAAGCAACGAGGTCGTTCGTCGGGCGCGGAGCCCGCGAAATAGAATGCGAGCGTCCATTTTGAGGGATGCGTCGGAGCTGTCTGGACACGTCCAATTGAGTGTGTTCGACTGGCTCTGCCTCGGAGATGGATGTGATGGATGTTGGCGTGGATCGCGAGCGGAGCGGGAAAATCAAATGAAATTATCGATCACGTGCGCCTCCGCAGCTTGAAGGCTGGCATATTCTCAACTTCTGACCGCAAACTCACTTTTTACATAGAAGAGAGATATCGGCAAGTTCGCAAAAGCATCAGACAAATCATGTCGTCCATCTCGATTGCGACCCTCCCACGCATGACGCGCGATACTCTCGCTGCTCTCCTCACTGCCGGAACCAATAAAGTAGTAGTCGTCGACGTCCGCGATTCAGGTACGTCCTTTAAAAGTTGCAAGCGCATACTCCTCACTTTTTAACTAAACATACCAGACCACGTTGGCGGCCACATCAAATCATCAACCTGGGTCCCCAGCTCCTCTCTCGACGTCCGCCTACCAGAGCTCCTGCGCACCCTCCAAGATAAGGAGAAAGTGGTCTTCCACTGTGCTCTGAGCCAGCAGCGAGGTCCTTCTGCGGCGCTTCGCTATGCCCGTGAGCGTGAGCGCACTCTTAGTGCTGAGGAATTTGAGAAGCAAGAGGTTTATGTTCTTACTGGCGGGTTTACGGAGTGGCAGGAGAAGTATGGCAAAGATGAGAATTTGACCGAGGCGTATGCCGAGGATATCTGGCAGTATGAGTGATCGTTGCTTTGCGCCATGCTTTAGATGCCATTTGATGAGACATGAACTTTCAGACATTTTACAGATATCCACCGCAATAGACATCATGATCATGTGATTATATGGTTTGGGAATTTATGTGTAGGACACATTCACTTTATTCCTGGAGCGCATTGAAAATGACTCACAGGTGCTTAGGTGCTTTGCTGTAGTTAAAAAATAATGCAAGGCAACATGTAGGTGACACGTGAACTGATTAGTGTACTTTACAATTTTTAATGAATACACTCAGTGTTGGCATGAAGAGCTAAACTATATATTTAGTCCTCCTGCCTATGCATCCTATTGTACAATATATCTAACAAACTAATCAAGACACTTAGGGCATCCCAATCCCACCTCCAAACCCAACAGGCCGTCTCTGCCCATCATTCTCAGGAATAATAGTCATAACCTTATAAATCTGACCCATAGATCCACCACTCTTCTCAATCAATCGCTTCCAACCAGTCTCCAGAGTCTTCCGGTGCCCCTCATCCTTAACCTTCCTCAGAAGCTGCTGCATCCGCTCCTCGATCCCCAGAGCCGTAAGGAAATCACCCTGTTCAACAGGGCCATGAACCTCAACGCCCTCACTCCCCTCTAGCGCAGCCTCGGCCAGAGAGGTAAAGTCGACGTCCGCACTGACATCGACCTGACCAGGCGACGAAAGAGGAGGGACATTCTTGTGGTTCTGGATTCCCCGCAGCGAGTTGATAGGGATCGTCGACATAGTTCCGTAGTCCATGATCAGAGCCGCCCCCGAGGGTGTCTTCTTGACGGATTCGGGGGCAGGAGCCTTGGCGGATCGCGGGGGGGCACCGTCGCCGCCGATGCGCCGGGCGAAGTCCGCGGCGTAGATGCGGCTTTCTGGGCTGACTTCGATGGTGGAGCCGGGCTGCGACTTGAGGGCGCGGTAGCGCTCTGAGGCTTCGGGGATGACGAGGGAGTTGGGCGTTGAGGCTTTGGCTTTGGTTAATTTGAACTCGGGCTCGCCTTCGATGTTCTCCTCGACTGCTTTAGGGTTTAGGGTAACTAGCAGCTCGCGCCATTGTGGGGTGTTGGCGACCTTGAGTGGTTCGTGGAGCTTTTGAGGTCCGGTGGGTGTCATGATTTCCTTGGTTTGGGGTTCGTTCTCTGGGGATGGGGGCACTGATTCGAAGGCGTGGATGGGGAGTGCGTCGAAGAATTCGTGGGCGAAGATGAATGGGGTCTTTCCCTCCTCTATATTTATTGTTAGCCACTAGCACAAGCTGGATGTGGGCACTTGGTCACTTACCATGCGGAAGCAGACGAATATCCTCGACCCAGATAACTGGCACGTCAAAGTATTTGCAGATACTGCGGTGGCCAATATCGGTCTCTTCCATAGCCGCCTCTTCCCCGCAAAGAGTATGTTTTTGAATCTGTCTCAAAGTGGGACTAGCCTCAACGAGATAAATTGCTTCCACACTTGACGAGAAGCTCTTGAAGTTCCGGAATGTCTGTTCCCTCCGAGTCAGTTCACTGCTAGTACTTCCCGGTGACTTCGAGTCAATTGCAATCGCAGCACCATTAACTCACGCGCAACATATCATCCATAAGCGTGCCCTTCCCAGGCCCAACCTCCATAAGCTGAACTCCACTCCTCGTCCTTCCCTGCGCCATCCACTCCGCAATCGTCCAAATACCAATCAGCTCGCCAAAAACCTGAGAGATCTCAGGCGACGTGACAAAGTCACCATGTTTGCCGAAGACATTCCCGCCCTCCTTAGTGGTATAGTATCCGCCTTCTGGGGAGGTCAGAACCTGGCGCATGAATGCTGCAATGGGAATCGGTCCTGTAACCTGAATTTGCGGCGTCAGTCTCGGAGTAGGCGCATTTCAACGAGGAGAGTCGAACCTTCATTGCGCTAGCTAGTATGCGTGCTAGCGGTGTCGACCATTGTCTTGTTTCGAATGTCGATGTCGAGTTCCATCGCCGTGAGGTTGTGAGTGGTGTGTTGCGTGTTCGCCGTAGAACTTGCGACGCGATGCGCCTCGCCGCGGGATTCATTTTCGCGGGCCCGGTGGAGCTTGGTTGGTGCCTTTCGGCTGTTGAGGTCGGCTAGTCCTTGCGGATTCAAGTCTGGGAGGTTGCAATTGGCATCAGCCGCTGCACCGCAAGTTGGTCTGATTTGTTTCAATCTTTAAATCTGTCGACCTCCGCAAATTACCTACCTCCGTCCCACGTGATCTTATCTCTATCAGCTGGAATGGCAACAATCTTCCCAAAGATATTTGGCCATTCAATTGTACAGTACGGAATATTCCTGGGAGAGTTGATTTCCCTGGGAAATGGATTCGAGTCGATACTGGCTAATCATACATTTCATAAAGTCAAGGCAGCGAATGGGAAAATTGTACATTGCTTGTAGGTCAGGGCTCAAGCGCGCACGAGACACCTTGGTTGATGTCTTGGTGCCGTCGCGAGACCAATCTGTTCCTCGCGTAAATTGCATATCTAGTCCCTTGAGCCAAGTACGCACGAATGATTACCTTGTTGGTCCCTCACTTCCGTCGTCGCCGGTTCTGGGTTCCCCGCGCCGGAGGATCTACCATCATCTCGTCGCTGTAGAGTTGAGACGTCAGCTGAGGGTTCTGAAGAGGTTGTCCATTTTCACCGAACCCGTATCTGCCGTCTTGGAATTGTGCATCTCGACGGTTGCGTCGTTCGAGTTCGTTTTGCTCTCGAAGGTTGTTAAAAGTGTTTTGGGTGTTGATGTGGGTGGCATCGCCAACTTGATTCAGCCTGAATTCGAGCAATCGTCCGTCGGCCTAAAACTGTAGAATTAGCACTCCGTTAAAATTGGCGTGACAGCGTCCAGCCTCCTTACCCATTGATTGTGAAAGTTCGCAACTGCATTCTCCGCAGCTCCCTTCTCCGCATAGGCAATCTCTGCAGTAACAGCCGGGTGATGACCGATGACACGACAGCTAAGAATTGGGCCAGTGATCTGCCCCAATGCAGCCTGGATATCAGCGGCGGTCGTGCCTGGCGCAAAGTTGCTTCCCACCACCACGAACGGCCCCGACGCACCCTTGATCGAGAAACCTGTGCTCGCGACATTTTCCACGAGCGACGCGTAGCGTTCCTTGTGAGGGTGTTCTTTCTTATTCTTCGGGTTCTGCTTTCGAGCGGGCTTCTCGCGTAGCCGTGCCGACGCGACTGTCGCGGGGGCTTGTCTGGTTTGGGGCTTGTTCTTCGGTTGAGGATGGGGCTGGTTTTTCTGGAGCGAGGTCGAGGCGGATCGCTTGAGCTGGTGTAGACAATTGATTAGTGTGTTGCCTGCGCGATCGAGGGAGGGTAGAGCGGTTGTACCTGGGGAGGTCCGATGCGACTGGCCAGGCTACCCGGCTTCGCCTTGCCAACGCCTGAGCCAGAGCCCGGCGCACTTGCCCTGCGACCCTTGTTGATTCTGTTCTTTCCGAGGAGTTGGTTGGCCAGCAGTTCATTCTGTCTCTTCTCGCGATCTGGAATGTGTCAGTAAGCAGGTTTTGAAGTCGTGGCCGGGACCGGGAGGGCGGAGGTGCTTACCAGCCTGGATGAAATCGTCGAAGGAGGGGGTCTTGGGCGCATGCGAGGCCTGCGAGGCCTGCTGGCCATGTTTCTTCGCCATCGCGGGTGATATGGTCAACTGATGGGTTGGAGAGGACGAGGGAGAAGGCGACGTCAGGGCGGAGAGAAAGAATTGCCGTCATTTGGGCGGAGAAAGAAGCTCTCGGCGCAGCTTCGAGTGGAGCCGCGATCGACACTATCCCATCAACCACCGCAATGTAATACGCCAACCCCAAGTAGAGTCTGAAAGTATGCCTTGCGGTAACTTATAGCTGTGGTACGCTTATTTGGCTCTTATTTCGGACACCAGAGAAAAAGAGATGTTCTCTGTTTTTTCTTGTATGTTGAGGAATTACACCCATGGAGATACTATTTTGGCGCATTCAGAAAAGCATCAAGCAGCAATGTCGAGGGCTGACCAGCCATGGATGAGAAAAGATCTCAAAGGCTCTCGACTCGACCAAAGATACCTACCAGCAACCCCCATCGACCCCAAAACAGCCACCAACCCAACCGCACTCACAGCATAAAGATCCCAATTATTGACCTTCCACACAGCCATCCTCGAATCAGCAGTCTGCAAATGCATCGGCCGCAGCTCTCTGCCATCTTTATCAAATCTCAACTCATGGTCATAAATAACCTCTTCCACAAGATCAGCCGCGTAAAACTTGCGGCGAGCCGCGACGTGAGCAATACGCTGCAGCCGTAGCACATTACGGGCATAAGACCAGTTTTCGCCAGACTCGAGAATCTTCCTAGCCTTCGTATATATCTCATCAGACGTAAAATGGAACTTGTCAAGAGACTCCGCAACACCACCAGCTACCAGTCTGGTTGTGTTTGCCGTTTGGTCGAAGAATATACCCATTGAAAGCATTGGTTTCCCGTGGTACAATGCCTCGTTTGCGCTTGAGCCGCCGCCGTGCGTGAAGTAGAGTTTTGTGGAGTCGTGGGCGAGGATGGCGCGCTGTGGAGCGAAGAAATGGAAGAGCCAATTACGGTGTTTGTTTGCTAGTAGGTTGTTAAGTGACATCTCGTCTTCCTTTGAATTGATTTTCATTTGGACTGTTTCGCTGCCGTCGATGTCAGCACGCCCGGTTTTGGGAATTGCCCATATTACACCGTCTATTAGGCCTTCTTCCATTAGATGGATAGCTCCGTTCATGATACGGATCACGTCTTCATGCGGCAGGATGATGTGTGTACCGAGGGCGATGTATAGCACGGAATCATGGCTGTTTAAGAAGGCATCGCATTCTGTGTCCAGGGGAGCCCATGTAGGACACAAAAGCGGACCAACAGGGGCGCAACTGGGAGGAAGATCCCGTGGAATCTCTAGCCCCACGAAAGAATTGACAAACAGCAGATAGTCCGGCTTCTTGGGCTTGTGCAGGGGATAAAAGACACCATGTTCCCTGCGCATAGCCCTAGTCTGCTTGAACAACCGCATAATAGCTGGCAAACCAAACAGAATGACCAACTCATTTTTCAAACGCAGCCACATCGAAGCATTTTCCGAGGTCAAAGTACCCGGAAGCTGAAAACCAGGTTGACCGGGAATATAGGAACAAGGCAACTGTAGCGGCGGCCAATTAGGACACACAATCGCAATAGGCAAGCGATACTCAACAAGAATATCATTCGCAGCCTCAGCAAAAAAGTCCGCAATGATCATATCCGGGCGAGTAACTGGATCATTCATGATCCTGTTGAGCCCCCGATATGTCTGCGGCCAGAAGGTGTCGAACATCGCCTTAGACACCAAGGTCGGCTCGATGCCCTTCCGGACATCCCAAGCCTGCATTCGCCGATAGTGGGCATCCAGCTGCTCGGCCGTTGGGCCGGGGCCGAGGAGGTGGACTTTGGCGATAAATCCGTAGTCCGGTTGGATCCATGATTCTTGGCTGTCCAGTGTTGCGAACTCGATGTAGTGCCCGCGGTCAGCGAGGACTCGACCTAGCTCTAGAACTGGGGCTTGTATCCATATCAGCGGGTATTCACTTGCTTTTGAGAAGTGTTGTCAGATCTTACCGGCGTGTGTGAAGCCACCAGTTGTTGCTACGAGTAGGATCTTTCGGGGTGGATGGACATGCGACATGGTCAATCGATCTGATGATGACAGTCAGATTGAGAAGTGAGGTAAGATGTTGGCGTCTGCTTGGGGTTTCGAAGCTTGTGCAGCTAGTAAAGCGAGAACGTTGCCTAGGAGAAGAAGAGTAGAGACAAGCGGCGGGAATCAGCTCTAAATTGTCAGATCAGGCTGATCTGCCATTTGAGCAAGTACCCTATCATCATTCGGCCCCCAACTACGGATTTGAGCGAAAACCAAGCCCTCAATTCCGCGGGGCACGGAAAATCATCCAGTGTTTAATCCTTCCCGAATACTGGAAGTAAGCAGCGAGGCTGTACTATATTAGTCAAGCTATGAGTCAATCTATGAGTCAAGCTATGAGTCAAGCTATGATTCAAAATCTCATCTCCGAGCCGAGCTCTACTCCCATCGGGACAGTGTATAGTAGGGTCAAATCTAGCAACTGCATTAAATATCCGAGCCACAATCCCTCAGAACAACAAATCAGAGAAATCGAACAAGCCACAAAAACACCAATAGGTCTCAGCCCTTTCAACCGCGTCTCAGCGCCAAAGTGGGATGGATGGCCTGATGCGGGGCGAGACAATCACAATCGGCCCCAAATTAACGCCGTCGCATCCCCTGGAACCCACGTAAATACTTCACCTCTCCCACCCACAACCTTCATTCTCTCACACTTCAAAAGTCAAACCAAGATGTCCCTTCCACCCCGCTACGAAATCCGCCCTTTGGGCGAAGAACACGAAGAATGGGCCCGCGCAATCTGCGTCCATACAAACTGCTTCCACTCACCCCTCTGGTCAACCGTATACCCAAACAACAAAACAGAACGCCTCTACGCCGCCTTCGAAACGGCGAAATACTTAATAACCCACCAAATCAACTCGGGTCACTCGCTTGGCGTCTTTGACACAGAATACGTCTTCAAGAACCCGGCGTCTATTCCGACTGGCGGGAAATTATACTGGGATACAACCGATAAATGCGCAACCGAAGAACAACTCGCGTCGCAGATGGACTTCCCACTCGTGTCAATCGCCATGGCGTACGATGCCATCGACCCGCTGGATATAGCCCAAATCGAGCCGATGATCAAGGTTCTCCCGCTCTTCGCGACGGTTTACGAGAAGCTTAACACGCTGGATCCGAGAGATGAGACGTGGAAACCGAGTGCCAGAGGGCAGGTGCTTATGCGGAATGCGACGAATACGGTGCAGAAGTATGCGGGACAGGGACTTATGAAGGCGGCGGCGGAGGAGTTGATGAGGAGGTCTGCGAAGTTGGGATTTCGGGCTATTCAGATTGAGAGTGCGTCGCCGGCTGTTGAGAGGGTTTGGTCTAAGCCGCCGGAGCCGTTTCGCGCGAGTGTGGTTGCGCAGTTTCGGACGGAGGAGGTTGAGCAAGAGCAGGATGGGGGTGTGGTTAATCCATTTGAGCCGGCGAGGATCAATATTGCGAGAATTTTTGTTGAGCTTTAGGGTTCTATTGCTTGGTGTGATATTTAGGTCGAAAATATAAGTGAATGGAGTGGCCTGTTTGTTAGATAGTGGTTCACCAGGCTATCTGGGTATATGTGGTACATCACAAGTTTGATGTATGTGAATGAAGCTTCGTATTTCCATGCTAATCAAAGGGTATAAACAAACCAAATGCTATAAACAATGCCATCGTACCAAGACCTAAATCATCGACCTCTCCTCAACCCAAACCTGCAAAATGTTAGAACATTCATCAAGCCAATATAAAAGGGGAGTACTCACCTCCATCTTTCCCATCTCACTCCCCTCCCTCCTCGCAACCTCCCTCGCAGAAGAAAGCAAAAGATCCAAATCCTCCTGATCAACCATCGTAATCATATCCCCATCATCCTGCACCTTCATCTTCAGCGGACGCTGGAACCCAAACTTCTCGCGGATCCGCGTCTCAAACTCGCCAAAGTGCACCGTCGGGCCGATCATGATATACCGAATATCGTCGGGAGCATGCACCTTCGTTCTGAACCGTCGGACCTCCGGTCGGCGCGAATTCGCTCGACGCGAGTACCGCGCCGGCGATCTTGTTCGTCGTTGTTGGGGAGAGGTAGATGAAGGTGCGCCGATGACCATTTCAAAGCCGCTTTCTGCCTTGATAGGTTCGTCGTCGCAGGCGTCGCTGCCGTATTCGTCTTCTTCGTCGATGTACTGCGGCGGCTGGTAGCGCGGTCCGCGGCCCCAGCCTGAACTGGCAAGGCTTTGGGGGCTGGCGAAGTTATTGTAGGGGTCTGATTGGGTGTAGGGCTGCTGGAAGGGTTGTTGTAAAGGTTGTTGGAAGGGTTGTTGGAAGGATTGTTGGAGGTATTGGGGTTCGACGAAGCTAGTGTCGCTGTGGTTTCGGCGGTGGCCACTGTTCTCGGGGAAGGTGGTACTGCGAGCGGGTTCTTGGCCGAAGCCGCGCATATTGTTATGTCGGATTGAGGGCCCGCGTGGCTCTGATGCGGTGCGAGTCGTGCCGATTCGTGGTTTCTCTGCTGTCGGTTCTTGTCGGGCTGGCTGGCGGTCCAGGCCGGCGCCGGTGCGGTCGAGGTCTAGGCGGGGTGGGCGGGCGCTGCGGAGGGACGAGGAGCGAGAGTGGGAAGGGCCCTGGCTTGATGAGCCATTGCTGGTTGACCGATCGTCCGGGGGTGGGGTGGGTGGAAATACGTTGCGGTTGAGGGGTGGTTCTGATTGTTGGCGGGTGCGGCTGCTGAGGCCTTTGTGGACGAGGTTGGTGGCGGCCCACGAGACGCCCTCGCGGTCTTCCAGGGCGGCTTTGTCGATCACCATGGGTTTCCATTGGTGGTCGGCGCTCTGGTTGCGGTCTGAGGCTGCTACTAGTCGGGCTTTGCCGAGGTAGTCTTTGGTTTTGAGGTTCTTGACCTTGGCGGCGTTGGGCCGGTATAATACCCCCACGGGAATGGAGAAGACTGTGTAGCCCTAGTTTGAGTCAGTATATAACGGTCAAAATGGGCTGGGTGAGACCTACATCTGCATTCTCACGTATTGCATCGTCAATCACATCGTGATCCGACGAGACCTTTTCCTGAGCAGCGAATTTGAGATCCTGCATGCCAGGTTCCATCTGACGAAGATAGATATAGCAGAGACCCCGATTGAAGAGGACCTCGCATGAGAAGAGACGGAATTTCAAACCCAGTTGCTCATAATCAATGGAGGTGTTACCCCTGAGGTACAACAGAGTGTCATTGAAATTGGCCAATGCCTCCTCAAAGTCTCCCAGGAGGAAGTTGGATACGCCTTGCTGAAAGTAGGCAATGGCCAGGTACCGGTCCAAGCCGACGGCGCGTTGATAGCACTCGACCTGTGGATGGGTTAGTGACAGCGACAAACACTTGTAGGCAAGTACATACAGCTTTATCATGCTCACCCAGCGTCGCATAAATGACCCCGCAATTAAACAGAATCTTGGACGTATCGGCAATCTGGTCGAAGAAGCGCAGCGACTCCTCAAACTCCTGATTATCATAGGCGTCCAGGGCTTGCACCCACGTCTCGATTTCCTAAACAGATATCAGCCCCGCGATCTGATAAGCGTTGCCGCGTGCATTGTGGGGTTGTGTCTTACTTGCTTCAGAGACATACTGCTCCAATGCAACCATCCAGATGTGAGAAAATCCCCGGTGGCTCAACCGAAGTAATCGAGGGATGCGAAGGGGTTCTGGAGAAATGCCGCCCGGCTCAACCCACGGAGACAACCGGTATATCTCCAGGGTGTACGCCGCTGCTCGGGCTGAGCTCGGGCTCGTATTCGGGGCGGACCCGGGCTATTATAGTCGTCGGCAGTTATCGCACGATCTTGCCAGAGCCAGAGCAATGTGACGAGCCAGACTTGGAAATGTCCGCAGCCAAGAAACGCGGGACGCAGACCTTCAGCGGCGGCGGGGCGGGTCCAGCTCGTTCGACCTTCGAGTACGCTAGTGTCGAGCAGGCGAAAGAGCGCGATTGGAAGAGGAGGTGAGAAGCGAGAAGTGCCAGGTTCCGATCCTCGAGCGATACGGCGATTGCCTAGGGTAGCGGTAGCGGGGCTGGAGGTGTGAATACAGGGCTGGGAATATTGGCAGTCAATGGCGGGCACGTCGAGCCGTGCGAAGGAATTGGGACCACGATCAATGCCAAAAATGTATTTATAGAATCACGCGATACCAAGCGTTCAAAAGCGGTGGCTGGCCGAGATGACGAGAGGTTTGTTGTCCGATCACGGTGATCACCTTCCGTGCGGGCTAGCGACGAGCGGAGCAGCCCAAGTCGTCGTGGGTGCCATAGATCAGAGCGGAAAACACCAACTCTAACTGCACAGAATGCCTGGCGACGAAAGAAGTGCCCTAGGGTATAGGGATAGGGAGGTCAGGGGGGAGGGGCAAGCGCCGAGGGGGTGATGGACCAAAAATAACTTGCGTTGCACCTGCAGCGCCTGCAGCATTTATGCACCGCGCGAGCAATCAGCGTGCGCCCTGGCCATTTTGGCTCGCTTGCGCCTGTGAGTGGTCGTCCCACGCGGTCGGGTCCCTGTCACATTTCTTCAACTCCTGTCAGTGCTAAGTGCTAGTAGTACTAGCAATAGCCTAGGCCGAAGGTGGTTGGGAAAAGGCATGGTGGTCCGTGGTTGCGTGTGGAGAACGATCGAAAATGGAAGACTGTTTACCTCCCAGCGGTGAACACTCTACCCACAACCGACCCGCGATGAGCCTGTCCAAGTGATAGGACATGATGCCCCAGATCATAATCTGCGCTTCTGCACGGGCCCAAATGCTGGTTTGGGCGGATTGGCCTGCGCGTGCTTCTAGCAGTTCTGGGGCCACGAGCCACGGCGCTAGGAGCGCTCTCCACTCTCCACACCCCTGTACATACCCTACCCGAATGCACACTACAGAGTAAATGTTGGGGAGATATATACTGGCTTGAATCCACCAGGGCTATATTTAGGACTGACAATGTTCGTGTCGGACTTTTGTCAACATCCAATCTTGTCGGTGATACCATCCATGGATAAAATGCGATCAGTCATCCCGATGATCAACCCGATGATCAACAAGCAGGAATAAAACATATGCGCCCCTCTTCCCGGTGTGGATTCTCTGTGTGGTGGTCCACTATTTCCCCCGCTTTTGTGTGCGTCGGAATTGAGAGATTCCATTGATGCTGGTGATCCCGGTGTTGCTGCTTTACTCTATTGGGTTATGGTAGAGGTGTGATGGAAATAGCTCGAATGTGCAAGGTGCATTGAGGCCTATCTGGTCTTCGCAGATTCATCCAATAGTCCTGTAAAGATATCATCCAATGAAGTAGGTAGAGCAACTTCCCAAAATGGCGCATTTGCTCGTCCGTATAGTGATACCTAATCAAACCCCTCGGGAATCGTCCCCAGCGACACTGATACCTCATCAAGAACATACGAAAATATCACCCGCTTATACCTCCGAATCGGATACGGCCCAGCCGGATTAGTGACCTGTAGCAAAACATGAAAGTCCGGCGTGACCAGTCCAGTCTGCGGATTCCTTTCCACCCCCGGCACCACAACCGTCACCCTGCGTCCTCGAATTGGATTATCAAAGCCCGCCACGCCATCACCTGCCTCTATAGGCTCATCAGCTTCAATCCTAACCTCAGGTCCCTTCCCAAAGAAATGAAACCCATTGACGTCCCCATACAACACCCAGGAAAACTCAAGTCCAGACCGGGCCTGGTCGGGATTATACGTGCCACTGGCATCAAGCACACAAGTCTCACCAGGCTGAACCTTCAAGACCAAAGGCTCGACCCCAGAAATTCCATTCACATCCACGACAGGCGGATGCCCCGCCCGCCCAAAGTCACCAGTAAGAGTCCAATGCATGCGCGCCGCAAAATCATCCTGAACAGCCTCCCTCCACCGCCAAACCGTTGCCTTGTGATCACTAACCCTCCCTCCCTGTCCCAAGACGCCAAAATCACTCGCATTAAGAAAATGGTTCGCATCAATCCCATCCTCGAAATCCGCTTCCGCCTGCGGCCGCGTATACCTCCCTCCCCAACCACCCCACTCAATCCGGTCCGCAGCATTCAACCCATTCTGCACAAGCCACAGGAACGAAGGCGTATCGCCCTCCATCCCAAATTTCACAGCCGGGTACGCTTCGCCGCCGAATGGGCCGACTTGGATATGCGTGCGTAGCCATGGGTTTTGCACTTTGGTTGGATCGGGTCCGTCCCCGGCGCCTGTGTTCATGCCTAGCCAGCTTGCTTGGCTGTATTGATTCCAGCCGTGCGCAGAGACGATGTAGAAGATGTCTGGGTAGGTGGCGCGGATCCAGGGGCCGGAGTTGTCTTGGTCGGAGATGGTGTAGATGCGTAGTTTTGCTCGTTCTTTTGCAGCTTCTGAGGGCGTAGATGTTTCTGCGAGAAACTTTAGTGCTTGGGCGAGGGTGTTGACGCCACCCCAGACTGGAATGTAGAGTGGTTCGTTTGATTCTTGGATTGCCGAGAGGAGGCGTTGAGCACCTTGGCTTAGTGGTACGTGGAGGGCTTTTTTGCCGTAGACCTGGTGTTTGTTAGCAAGGTAGTTTTTGGAGAGATTGGTTGCAATCCTTTTCTTTGGTTGTGCCTACAGCAGGTCCCGACGTCACCAATGCAAGCAACTCCTCTGCTGACTGGTACCGAAAGTCCGGATGAACATGACAATTCAGGTTATCGACGACTTTGCCATACGCCGTGATGATCCGCCGAAGTTCTTCCGGGTGGGTGCTAGTGCGCAGCCAGGTTGAGGTCGTTGCGCATATCCCGCGCGTGTCGAACTCATTGGCATATAGCAGGTATCGGACGAGCGATTGGGAGTCGTCGGGCTCGTTAAGCACGTCTGTTAGGATGAAGATGCGGGGTTTGGAGGGGAATGTTGCTAGTTTGGTGAGGTCGGCTGTCATGTTGAAATTGATACTTGATTGTAACACACCACTGAATGAAATTTTATTCACATTTCTCCCCTGTGCAGGGCCATTAGTGGAAACTGGTAGGTATATAACCCCGGTGGTTGACCCTACTGGTGTAGTGTGGCAGGAGTCCGGTTGCGCTTGCCTTCCCCGCGATCCACCCAAGCCAGCGACGCTTGCCACCCCGCATTCGCGGGGCCCCGACACGCACCCATACCTAGCGAGGGTAGGTAAGCGCTGGTGGGCCAGGGAAGGAAACCACAAGCACGGTCACGTCTCCAGCTTTTGCCGTTATATATGAGCTGTTTCTGCCTGTTGCTAGGATATCATGGAACTACGCTACCTGAAGGTACCCTAAGGTAGAGTACCTCAGCCTTATCACTCCGATATATTGTCGCTATCGGTTATCCGAGTGGGGCGTTCAATCAGGTAACAAAACCCGAGGTTCATTAACCCGAGTGTCGAACATATTAAGATGGAGAGTCTTATATTTAGAAGGAGTTCATTGTGTCGAGCTGTCAGGGAATTTGTATCTTTTAAATGGACGTCATTCGATCGATTTTGATATTGTAAGTGGAGACGGAAGCAATGGGCCATAACCACATCGTAGCACCGATGATGCAATGAGCTATTTAGCGTGTCGCACAATTAAGCTCCATGTGAGCTAGCTATGGAATTATCTCGCCTCTCTTCTTTCTGATCAAGATATATGATTGTCACCAAGACTCTAGTATAAGGTAGAAAACGACCCGTGGTTCGACCCTACAGCCAAGCGGCTATTGTCACCCCTGATGGCTGGTACGGCTCGGAGAAACTTGGAACGCCATCAAATATTTCGGAGCAAGTCTCTTTTCATTACTTTCAGCGTCCGCCGACCGACCTGACGATAATCCCTACTTAGTAGTGTACGTCCTACACTTAAGGCAGTCACGTGTCTCATCCTACTAGCACCGCAGGGATCCGACGCCAGACCTCCACGCCAACCACGACAGGGATCGGTCGTCAGCCCCTCCCCCCCAACTCCTAACCTCCAGAGGATGGGAGCTCCTATTATCACCGGGGACCAGCGGATGCTTCCATCCGATTCTTGCCTTCCCTCCCCCTGAGGCCACGATGGCGGAAATCTACAACACAGACCGCTTCGCAGAGCTTTATTACCCATCCAATACAGCCGACCTCCTGCACCTGGGCCTCGCGGCGCGCTTCATTGCGGGGCTGTTCGAGACCAATCAGGTCACCTATGCCTTTATTGGGGGTTGGGCTGTCTACCTGCGCGGCGGCCGCCGCAGGACCCAGGACATCGATATTACGGTTGCCACCTCCATGGACCATCTCAAGGAGGTGCTGACTGCGCAGTCTCGGTATACGCTACACCTGCCAAGCCATTGTCTTTCGTGTCTCTTCATGACTGCACCACACCGGACGGGTTCGGATATTAACATTCCCCAGAATCCATTACCCGGCTATTCACGGCCGAACATCGGTCCAGATCTTCATTGACACGGGCCGGAGCCATGACGGCGAGTTCCCGCAAGTTCCAGACCTGGCCGTCAGCATGGACATCGTGATCAGTGGTAAGCCCCCTGCCTCACTCGGAGTTGGACGCAAGTGTTGACATGTGATACATGCTTAGGAAATTTGGGCACGCCTTCTGATCTCCAGGCCTCGCGCGAGCCCATCAATCCCTACCGGCCGACGCCGTTGAGGTCACCGGTATTGGTATTGGGACTCTTCTTCCAGATTTATGCCAAGCTTGATGCGTATGCGCGGCGTGGCGAGCAGGGGAGTAAGGATTTCTTGGATCTGGAATTCTTGCTTACGCAGTATGCGGCGCAGATTCCGACGTTTCGCGATTATTATGATGTTGAGCAGAGGAGGTACTTTTTGATGCATTATGCGGCGACTTATGGGGCTTTTCCGGATCAGGTGGATAATATGCGGTTGTTATTGGGGCTTTGACTCTGAAGAAGATCTGGCAGGCCGACCAAAATTGCGATGTCGTGTATGTATTCAGCTGGAAATTAGGCACAGGATAATACCCTTGAGGAACTTAGGTAGAGTACATCGTGTAATTAATTCATTATAATCATGGTAACATAACTAGCATGACATGAGTTTCTGCGTCCACGGGTCGGGCGAGCCCTTCAGACGGAATCGTGTATCAAATAATGAGTCCGGGGTCGTCCAGCCAAGTCTGCCTTTCTTACTGCGAACCCGCGACTCCCATTTTTCTCGTCGATTGATGCGTTGTGTCGGGAAATAATGCACAAACAGCCACCCTTTCCCTTGAGCAGCTTCTTTCGCCCGCTGATTCATCCGATTCGCCCATTCCAGATCATTACTGCCCTCCAAATCTAGGTACCGCCGTCCCCACTCCTCCGACACATTCGACCCGTCAATACAATCGCACAGCGAGACATCGTCATTCGTATCCAGGAAGCTCTGCATCAACACCTGTAATGTCGGGTAGGGTATCCCGTTCATGCTGCGCTGGATACGAAAGGGCGCGGCGGGGATATGAGCGTCATGGGCCGGGACGAGAATAAAGTAGAAGTGGATGCCTTTCCCTTTGAAACGGTGGTAGGTGTGCGATAGCGAGGAAGGATGCGGTATAGCGAGGGGAGGAACGGGGTGGATTCTGTCGAGGGAACCGGACGCAAGCAAAGACACGGCCTCACGGACCTTGTCGTCGGGGACGCAGAGCTCCCATTCCTGGCGCTGTTAGCCTACAATCGAAGATTGAGGACTCCGGTCTTCCTCCGGAACTCCCCAGGCACGTAGATAGAGTCTCACATCTCGAACCCGCCCAGCACCGTAGAATATCAGCGCCGACACGCCTACGACGCAGCATTCGATCCCATGCGCTTCCAGAAACCGCGTTACCTCGAGTATCTCCAGTGTGCCATGTCCGCCGCATGAGGGGACCTGGTCCGGAGAGTAGGTGGGGGCCTCTTCTACGGGAGGGACGGTCGGGACAGTGAACTGGAAATTCGGAGCCAGCATTGCGAGGTGACCGAGGAGGAGGAACTCCTCAGATCCATCGTGGATGTGAGGGAGGTACTCGCGGGGAACGGGGCAAAATGCTTTGGACGCCACGTGATGCCTTTAGTCACAGTCTAGACCGAAGTCGCCACTTTGCTTTTTGCGGAAGAAATGGATACAACTTTATTTCAATTAGAGCGATCGATCCAGTGGTGAGTGGTGACGGATGTCTCATTTGGCGATTTACTATTTAAGAAAAAGGGCGAGATAGTAATTGGCGACATTCAGCGGTTTCTTCGGCTGCCACTCTTCAGTCGATCTGCCCCACTAAATTGATTACGCTTGGAGGCCCCTGTGTCGATCACGGTCTGCAGACGAATCCGTGCTACATAGTAAGGGGTGCTAGCCAAGCCAGGTCATCAAGAAAGAGAAAAGACTTCCGATCGCCACTTTCAAGCAAGACCAGTGTAGTTATGATTAGGCCTTCGGGTGAGATCGAGGGGCGCGCAATTGTATCTATAGGGTGTCTAGGCTGAAACGTTTGCTTGATGATGAGGGAATACCACCACTATGGTTGGACCCCGGAGCGGGTATAAGCCTTCTCAATACATGTACGTTGGAAAAGTAGGAGAACAACAGGTCGGAAAATTCTTGAAGTCAGGACTATAAGAGTGCGATTCAGCCATAGTGTAGAAACAGAAAGTCCGCGTTGAGGACAAAAGAAAGAAATCAAAAGACTCACCTTCTGACTCTTGCTCCTCCAAAATATAGTTTATTCGCAGCTTGCCGTGAACTCTACGGTAGAAACTCAAGCTCAAACCAGCAAGCAAATTGTACAACTCCATCCACTTCCTCCTCAGCGCCGCCCTCCTTCCGCAAATCGCCGGAGGCATACCGAACCCACACCCCCAAAAACACAATGACGAAAAGAATCTACCTCGACCCAATAAATTTCACATTCCCGGTCTCAGACCTCGTCCTGCTGAACCTAACAGCAGTCGGCACAGGCGCCTTTACACCAAGCCAAACCCTTGAAGCTCTGCTCCTCAACCCAGGAGAATCATACAGATTCAACAACAGCCCCAGCACACTCATCAAGCGCGCTGGCGACCACGAGTTCACCTCCTATAACTCGACTGGCTGTGCTCTGGAGGGGGTTATGGCTTCAGTCGAGGGCTTTGGATGCGAGCTTGTGTTAGTTGGGGTGGTGATGCGTACAGCGCGGCGCTGGTCCAGAGGTCGACTGGTATCCCCGTGCTGACGGCATGGTTGTTTAGAAATCTTTCTTGCACGGGTCAGTATGAGGCGTTGGTTTTGGAGAGGAATTCGCTGTTGGTTTGTCGGGATTCTGGGGCTGGGGATTTAGGTCGGCGCTTCTGTACTGGGGTTGCTAGGAGACTGGCAAAGATTAGTGCGGAATTGGTGCAGCTCTGGGGAGTATGGGTCGCGTCGTTGGGGAACTTTGTGGGATCTGTTGGTTAGGTGTGGGCAGGGAATGCAATGATTTAAGCTTGGTCTGTGAGCAGAATTTAGTCATTACAGAGGTACTTACCTTGGTAAACAATGAACAGCATCCGATGGCATCGTTGTGGGTACTGGGCTGCTGTCGGTCTTGCCACATGCCATTAACTTTTCTTTCAGGCATGCTGCTATACAAGAGGGCCATGTTTTTCGGCAGCCATGGACGGACGCACATAGCATGGGTATGATAGCTCCAAGGAGCTCTCGAGTACCTGGTATCAAGGTGATAAAAACATCTGGATTCAAAAAATTAAACTAGTAAACTCCTGTGTGTAGGTGGAGTTATTGATCAGGTTGCCGAGGAAGATGTCACTTACCTTCCAGTTGAAAATTCACTCACCTTTCGCGGTGAACTTCAAAAGAGAATATAAATCAAGCTTGTCGAGGAAGTTGTTGGTCGGGTTGCCGAGGAAGAGGGGGTCACTCACCTTTCCAGTTGAACGTTCAGTTTACCTCACTTGCTTGAACCACAGAAACAGAAACAAGAATCCAAAATCCGGCACCCAGCCACCGTATGTTAAGCTTTGCCCAACACAATTCTCGCACTTCCCTCAATTGCCATTGGTGTACTCATACTCCGGCGACGGGGAAGACGATCGGGAGTGCTCCTGGGTTTGCTCAGGCGAGTCGAGGGTCGGAAGCCAAGGGCGCTCGATATCGAGGAACTTGCGCCACTTGTAACGAATGAACCGGAGCAGGAACGACCTGTTGATCGATTCGTCGGTAATGGCCTCGATCAGAGCATTCTGCTTCTCCTGGGTGTCAAAGTAAGGCAGGTTGAGCCTGTCAAGGTTGGTAGAGCTGCACAGGATCAGGAGGGAGTTCCAGACGTTGTCACGCGTCTCCACGAGATTCTCGAACTGAACTTCAGTTTCTCTTCTTTCCACCGAATGTTTCGCGGACCAGAGGTCCTCGTCATCCAACTCGCGGAAGTGGATGTATGATTCCTGTTCTAGGATCTGGAGGACGAGCTCGGCGGCGCGGGCCTCGACACGGCGGTCCCATACTATTTCCTGCATGGTGATGGTGATGCAGATTGAAAGGTGCGGATCTTTGGTGTAGCGAAAGATGGTAGCAGGGAATATGGGAGACGCGAGAAAACGAAGGTATCAAAAAGAAGTGATGAAAAGAAGACAAAATGATTGCGGGACGTAGGCAGCATTTACGCGGGCTGGCTCTTTCCCAAGGAAGGTGCGAGCTCGACCACTCGCAGCCTGCATCCATTGCACGCGGGGGATTCTAGTATACCAGAACAGCAGCCTAAAAAGTTGCAGGTATAGGCAGACAGCTCTCGTACCTACATTTCCCTATCATTGGCACATAAATGACATGATATAGAAAGTCCATTTTGCATGATGCTGGGTATTAAAAGCATGCATCTCGCAACAGAAAATCACCAACCTCCCGCGAGCCAGCCCAATTGATTGAACAATTTAAGCCATTCCCTGACCGACCTGCTCCTGCCGCTCCTGCCAAACATTCTTCCCAGAGCAAGAGCATACCATCTTATCATTATCCCAAACACCCGCACTGCGAGCAATCACGCCAACCAATGTATTCTCATCCTCACGCTTGAACGGGCCTTCCTTGCTGCCCGATACCACCATACTCCGGCCAATCAATTCCCAAATAGCCACAGGTCGGTCCAAGAAGACATTGCCTCGGCCCTTGTCGTCCACATCGACCGAGCCAAAGACTCCACGAGGCTCCTTCTCAGGAACGTCGGAGCCAAGTACCTTTGCCTTGAGCGAATCCCAGATTCCGCCTGTCGACGCAGCTCCTTGCGAGATGTCACCGGCCTCGCGGATGGTGGCGTGGTATTTGCCCGGAGACAGGCCATTGATAGTCAGGTCGACCAGAGTCATGTTCGGGGAGACCTGCACCATGCGAGCGAGGCCTCGGATCTTGTTCGAGACACTGCTGGAGTGTGTTTCGAGGATGCAGACAGCGGAGCCTATAATTAGAATTGGATCAGCATGGCCTTTTCAAATCCCAGTCCGGCAAGGCATACTGTTGGTTGTACCGCTTCCGCGCAGAATGGCATCACGACCAGTATCCTGGATCGCGGAGACAATGGAGCTCGGTGGCGCGGTGCCTTCGATAAAAATGAGTTGGTCCTTGAGGCTTGCGTCGACCTTCTTAATACCTAGAAGACACTCGACTGTTAGCTCGCTGGCAAAGAAACCTGCGACCGCGTCGCATTATGCTTGGTGGGGGGGCCATATTACCATCCAGTTTGTACAGCGAAGTAGAGATATCCTTCACGCAGCCTTCGCAGGTCATTGGGACCGCAAAGGTCGTCTGCACTCGCCATTCCATTAGTATGCATTGCCACCGAATCGCAACGATATCCGAGCAAACCGACCTGGAACGGCTCAATCATGGCGGGGGAAGTAAACTGCGGCGATACCGGAGTAACGAGAGCGAGCGAGGCGGCAGCTGGGGGTCAGTCAAATATAGTGCAGAAGACAGAACCAAGAGGCGACCGAGTAAATGCAAAATTATAGTGACAAACCCGCTAAAAGAGAAGAAGCGATGGCGAAGCAGAACCGCAGCGGGGCGCGATTTGGATTTCAAATCGGAGCAGCTCGTCGGCCCGTTTCTTCCCCAGAAGCCAAACGTCATTCCGCCCCTGCGAAAAGTCCACCCTCCCCAACGCCCAACGTCAGCCAGCCATGTCGGCCGCCAAATCGCGCTGGGCCGACGACGACCCCGAAGCAGACGCTCTGATAGCCCAGCGCAAACGCGAGAAGGAGGAAAAACGACGCGCCAAGGCGGAGAAACAGCGCCAGCAGGAGGAAGCCAGCAAAGCAACTGCCGAGGCTCAAACACGCAATGGGGACTCAGGGCCTCCGAAGAAGCGGAGGAGATTATCGAATGATCCCGATGCACCTGACGCGGCAGAAGAGGCCAAGAGCGAAGAGCAGAAGAAGGTGTCGAGCCTTTTGCGCTTCCCCGTTGCGGAATGGGGACCCTGTCGGCATGTTGACAACTTTGAACGATTGAATCATATCGAGGAGGGGTCTTATGGATGGGTTTCCAGGGCGAAGGATATTAATACCGGGGAGGTGGTCGCGTTGAAGAGATTGAAGCTCGAGAGCTCGCCGGACGGGTTCCCGGTGACGGGCTTGCGGGAGATTCAGACATTGATGGAGGCTCGACATCCGAATGTCGTTTATCTGCGAGAGGTGGTTATGGGCACCAAGATGGACGAGTAAGTCTTCCTTCCAGATGCCTTTAACTCCCTCAATGTATCCCGAACTCACTGAGGTATTCGGGGCATCAACACAAGATCAAAGCTAACATCCTTCACCAGCGTCTTCCTGGTAATGGATTTCTTCGAACACGACCTAAAAACCCTCCTCGACGAAATGCGCGAGCCCTTCCTCCCCTCCGAAATCAAAACCCTCCTCCTACAAGTCGTGGGCGGCCTCGAATTCCTGCACTCCCAATGGATAATGCACCGCGACCTCAAAACCTCCAACCTCCTCATGAACAACCGGGGCGAAATCAAGCTCGCAGACTTCGGCATGGCCCGCTACTACGGCGACCCGCCCCCAAACCTAACCCAACTTGTCGTAACATTGTGGTACCGCTCGCCAGAACTCCTCCTCGGCGCAACCAAATACGGCACCGAAATCGACATGTGGAGTATCGGGTGTATCTTCGGCGAACTCCTCACCAAAGAACCCCTGCTACAGGGCAAGAATGAGGTAGACCAGGTATCGAAGATCTTCGCGCTGACCGGGCCGCCAAATTCACAAATTTGGCCGGGTTTCCGCTCGTTGCCGAATGCGAAGTCGCTACGTCTCCCGTCCTCGTCTGCGCCTTCGGGAGGAGGTCTCCCGCTTCTGCCCCGTTCAAGATTCCCCTACTTGACGAACGCGGGTCTAAATCTTCTGTCTGGATTATTGGCGCTGAATCCGGTCTCGCGCCCGACAGCGCAGGAATGTCTTGCGCATCCGTATTTCAAAGAGGATCCCCGCCCCAAACCGAAGGAGATGTTCCCGACTTTCCCTTCCAAGGCGGGAATGGAAAGGAGGAGGCCGAGGCATACGCCCGTGGCGCCGAAGAGAGGGCAGGAAGCACCCCAGCTGGACTTTGCGGGTGTTTTTGGAGGTGCGCAGGGGGGAGATTCGGGCGAGGCTGGGGCAGGCTTTGCGCTTCGGTTGGGCTAATTTATCCAGCATTTGGAGCTCTACTGTAGCTAGGGCAGGCTATCTTGCCAACGGATAGAATCAACATAACGAATTACTTGCTGTCAATCAGTATACAATTTGAACCCTTCAAAATGAAATGATAATCATGGCATGGCATTCACAAACCTAATCCGTGTTCTCGAGATGACATAGTACACTAAAAATAGAAGCAAAAAGCGTAAGAATCCCATAATAATACAAACGCAGAAATTCGACAACTTCGACAACCTCCGACCCACCTCAAGTTTGAATCCAGCGATCAGCCCTGGTGCGGGTGACGAAGGAAAGTATCGTCATCGGTCGATTCACTTTTCCTCTGCTCAGGACGTGGATTAAGCTGCGACGGACGTTGAAGGCTTCTCGACGAAACACGTTCGGTGATCTCGCGCAGTCTGTCAGAGGGGGTTCGATCGAGACCACGGCCACTGTGCATCGTTCCGTCGCCAAAGACACGTCGCTCTGCTTTCACGCCCATATCGCCTCCGTCAGGTCGGTGGTCAGTAGTTGTTTTGCCGTCGGCCATGTAGTACTCGTTTCTGAAGTCGTTTCTGAAGAATGATGAGAATAGAACATCTTCGTTGATCGGTGATTCAAGCGGAGACCAGATGTCGTCGTAGACTGATGTTCTTGAGGTGACATTGGCTGAAGGGGAGCTTCCGGAGGTGTAGTGGCAAGGTGAGTAATCGGATCCATCATACAAAGATTCAATCGTTCGATCCCAGCCGCCTATCGAGAGAGAATATCGGCGGTCGGTGGGCGATATTGTTTCCCAGGGCGCTGTCAAGTCAAGCCTGCTGTGTTGGAACTCAGAGTAGGGTTCTGCGCTGGTTTCCTGATCCTGAAAGGCCATTAGAGAGGTGCAATACCTTCAGGATTGCACTGTGAGTCGTCGACTGGGTCATCAGTGTCCTGATGGCCGCATACGGGCTGGGAGGTCGCAGGAGTACCTACCTCATTTCTAATTGACATGTGCAGTTCAAACGAGTGGTGGTCTTCGGATTGAGTAGGACTGAGCTCATCACGGGCTTGAAAGACTTGGGGTATTCTCACTGTGTTGTATGTCGCAGACTCTCTAGTGGTAGATGGGATCTTGTCGGTCTTATTCCGTGGGTCCGTGGTCCATTGGTCCAGGAGCGCGTGGTATACACCTGGAAAGGCAACTGGGACAACGGCAGAAGGGGGGCTTGGTGCTGCGAACTGGGGCTCTTCCTCATCATCAAGGAACTCTTGGAGGTCCTCTCGGAGCGGCAGGCGCTCCTGGGAGACTAAGGCCTCGGACCGAGAATTCGAGGGGGCGGAAGTAGAAGACCGAGCTGATGTGACAGGACTGACGGTGGCAGGTTTATGAGCTTGCACATGTAGAGTCATATTCTCATACCTGAAACTTGAAGCTGGCGAACCCAGTCCTTCCCATTCGGTGGATGTACCGGAGCGAGTTGAACGATCCTGGGTCTTGCTGGATGCAGCTCTATCCAAGGCGCCATCTGTGCTTGTATTCTGTGAATCTCGAGACATCCTCGAGCAGTATGGAGGCGGTTCATCTCGCACCACTGTCGCAGGCTGCTCCTCCGTCATGTCAGGCTGATCAATCGACTGGCTGCTACTAGTACTTCCCAGCTGTGCCGGCGCGGAGACAACATTCGTCAACAGTGGTGGTGACACAGCTCGAGGGGTGAAATTAAAATCGTCAGCAGCACCATCAGTATTCGGGGGAGGTCGGCGGCCGAGAGACGCCCGGTACAAACTATTTCCAAAACTCAGGTCCTCCTGAGTTGTGCTCGAGTGTCCAGGCCCGCGGCGGCGAACTGCCTCACGCCTTTCCTGACGCCTTTCCTCGCATCTTTCGTTCGGATGCGGCACACCCTCAGTGACTTCAGCGCTTTCGCGAAAAGAAAGACGCTGTAGGCCTGTTTTGATAGCAAGGAGACCGGATCGGGCTTTGTGGATGGATCTTTTAGGCAGCTCCTCCAGCAAACGGTGTTGCTTCTGCGTCTTGGGTGTATGAGCATCGTGCGAATTGGACGTGTGATCATCGCGAACTTGTCGGGATGGATCGCTTCTTACCGCTGGGTTGTGGCGTGGGTTTAACGGGTCATAAACTGGATAGTGCATTCGTTCGACGCAAGTTGGGATGTCTCGAGGGTCCGGTTGCGAGACTCGAGGGAGCGTCGGTGAATCTGGAGGACCTTGCTTGATTGCATCGGTAATGGGTGTTTCGAGAACGCTGTATCTATGTCAGTCTCTGTTTTTCAAGTCTGTTTCATAGAACATCGTAGGTGTGCTTGACCGACCTGGTTCTTTTGCGCGGAGAGCGAAAGGCGGCCGACAGGGAGAAGGTGCTGCTGCGCCTCTCGCGCCTGGGGCTGCCCTCGCGCCTCTCCGGAGGCATCTTGAAGCGCGTACTCAGACAAGTATCAAAGGTGGTTGTGGGAGTCGATGGGTTCGATCAATGTGGATGAAGCAGGTTGAAGATGGGTATGTTGAGCTTTGACAACATGAGAAGTGGGCGCCTGTCAGGTGGCAGCAGCCTTGAGCGAAATGGGCCCGGTGTTGTTTGTGCGCTTCTCATTTTGGCAGGGGCGCCTGGATAGGACGACGAGGTGCCATCGCGCTTTTCTGCTCCTGCCTTTGGTAGCTTTGGCGCTGTCTCAAGTGATCAAGTACTTCATTAGCATTTGTGAAAATGTGCGCAGAATTTGAAGCGTGAGGCGGCGACAGCGACTCATCTGCGAAATGATTCTTTCAAAGTTGTTTGTAGTTTGCATATACATTGTATGGGGCAAGTTTAGATGATCAAAATCCAGGGGAACCGCGCATGAGCTGCAGATCGCGCCTACCTTAGGGTAAGGCAAGTACTACATTATTGTATCTTCTCATCCTTTTGAAGAGAGCAATCTAGTAGTAAATTTGCGCGATGTAAATGATCTGTCTCGACCAGAATTGAATTGTTTGTCTGATACAGTTGTAGATGACGCTCAAACTCTAATGAGATCTATTGCCCATTTCAGCCAGAGAATACAATGGGTTGTGACAGCCACCCTCGATCGAGCAAAGATACTACTCTCACACTGGGTGCTCACACGTGATGAATAAAGCTACAATATACTGCAAGATGGCATACATATGGCCTGCAGGATTTTAGCAGCACGTTGTCTGAACATGACGTTCCAGAAAGACCGGATCCTCAGTCATGTGACCGAGTGTAACCTTGAAACTGAATTATCTGCATGGTCGTACCATGTGATAGATGACCAGAATTGACGCCATCCGTTATTAACCAAGAATTGAGCAAGACGAGAATCACAAAGAACATGTTAGCATACAAATTAACCTGCTTGGTGTCGATTAATCATGGATTGGGGCTGTGGTGGCACCTCAAGAGCCGGTGGGGCGCCCGTCAATCTTCCGCGAATCCTGCTGGCGGCATGACGCTGCATGACATCAGCGCCTGCCATCCGCAACTATAAGAGTATCACTCTGTTGCAACCAGCTCTCTTCTTCATCAACAAGCAAATCCTCAAGAACAATCTTGAAATTCAAATCCGATAACCACAATGGAGACCGCCAAGGTACGAGACTTTGCGAATTCTGAGTTGACATTCTCATCTAACGCAATACACTACAGAACGCCGTCAACTACGTCGCCGAGACCGTCCAGGGTACTGGTGCCCAGGCTTCCAAGGAGGCCAACAAGGAGGTTGCCAAGGACAGCAATGCCAACGTTACCACCCGCGCCAGCGCTGCCAAGGATGCCCTTGGGGACAAGAAGGACCAATTCACCCACGACACCAAAGCCGATGTCCACAAGGGTAAGTAACAGAGCCCTCAGGCTGCTGATGAAGAGGCGATGGACCGATGCTAATTGATTACAGAGGCCGCTCAGAAGTAAATGATCATTATTCGCATACGGTCAACGAGTTTTTCTCTTTTGATGGTGGACACGAGTAATGTTATGATAATTTGAGTCCATACCAATGATACCAGTCAAGAAACGTATTCTTCTTTCTCCCTTGAACAAACTTCTTTCTTCCTTGAACAAATTGTTTATCTCATCGTTGTAGTTTGCATTCTGAGTGGTGAACCGGTCTTTTGCCTACTTTCTGCACTGCCGGTAGTGTAGCTTAATCTTGATGGGTATATGAATTGTTGTGGCAAACCCGCCCAGTCTTGTATACTGGGTTTAATTGGCAAAAACAGTACTCTTCTCCAACCCTTCCTTTAACGAAAGTTCAAGTCCATCCGCAACCTGATTCGGCACACTCAAAAACGCCGAGTGCGATCCATCAGCATGATATGTCCCGGGATTCCCAAGCGCCTGGGCAAAGGCCTCCTGGACCTGCAGGGGCAGTGCTTGATCCTTGTCGCAGAATAGATAAAAAGAGGGTATCTCGTGCCATGGCTCGTGAACGGCTTTCTCAAGGAATGAAGGTTTGGGATGCGGCTTGAGGTTGGCGATAGCCTGTTGCTGCGCTTCTGGAGTCATATCCTGGTAGAAGACAGTCTCTTGCTCGGAGGAGTAGCAGTATCCGTCGTCGGGGTTCTAGAGAGCAAAGGATGTATTAGCACATACTTCATCATCAACGGAGAGAAATTTGTTACCTTCAGCAGCATCCAAGGGAGCCAGTTACCCCCCAGCATATCAATAACAGACTTGCCCTTAGGCGTGACGAACGCAGCCATCCACACCACCTGAATAACACCACCAGGAAGACCTGCCTGCGCACGCTGTGTATATCCAAGACCCTCCACGGCGCCAGCGCCGACAATTCCACCATAGGAATGTGTGACGACGACGATTTGACGCCCTTGCTTGGTGAGCCTTTGTAGAACACTTTTCGTATACGCGATATCGACATGCAGACCCGTCGAAGGATCAGCCGAACCAACAGATTGATTGGCAACAGCCTCAGACTCGAACCCCCGCTCATTCAACAGGTGGCGGATGGCATTGAATGTGTCTGGCGTGTGCCATGCGCCAGGCACAAAGACGAAGATCGGTTTCGAGCTGGTCATTGCTGCATATTGTTTTAAGTCGAGCGTCTCGCACTACGTGTAAGCATGTTTCAAGATACCTGGATAAAAAGGGGGATTTAGGCAGCATCGAGATGAGCTACCTCTCCTTTCGAGATGAAATCAGCTACGACAGTTGCTAATGCGAGGCAAAGCCACTAGTAAGCCAATGCCGGCAATGCTGCTAATTCGGTACAACGGCTCGTAGATCATCGAGCAGTCCGGACCTGGGTGGGGAACGCGGAGCCGTCATTTAGAAGCCGTTGGCCCGCGGAGCACTTCCGGCTGAGACAAGCCCGCCACTAGATCCAGGAGTATGTCGCTAGGTTGCTGGTGTGACTATAGTCTCCCGCCCGCGTTGGATCTACTTCGTCTCTGTGCGGGAGGAGCCGATGGGATCGCTGGGGTGACAGCGCCCCATATGATGGGCTAGCTCCACCGGGATATTTTCGGAGGTAAGGATGATGATTTGTGGTGATCTGCTTTGGAGAATTGTTCATTCGGCCGTTGGGTATAGAATAAGAAAATGAATAGTAGATGGCAAGGGATTGGCCTCGGTGGCTGCAGTAGCAAATGCTCGACATCTTCGGATTATTCATAAGGGAAGGAAGGGTAAAATCCATCTTCGAAATATTGTAGACGTTCGATGACTGTATTGGAATTGGAAACATGAGTGTCCGTCCAAAATGGATTGTTGGCTGTCGAGATCAACTCCTGAAGGCGAGAGACCATGCACATGACTGTCGATAGCTGCGTCAAACCGGTCAAATACAGCCGCGACAGCAGCATGGGACTGGTTTTCTTTGGTGAATCTCGTGGTTAGATTGATGCCTATACGTTATTCTTTATCATCATGAACACCTTGCCAACCTGCAAAGTAGGAGTTTGAAGGCCGAGACGTGAGGGAGATGGAAAGACAAGCGGAGCAAGAGCCCTCCGTCCGGATTTGGTCTAGCTCCGAACGCTCAGCTTTCGCCATTGTTCTTCTACGATCCTCATCACCATCCCCAAGACATACTGATTCTAAAAGCGAAATGAACACTTGACTGGCAAGACAAGTCGTGCTCACCAAGCCACGGCATTTGTTCTATTTCTTGAAAAGAAAGCTCAACGTCTGTCCCTCAAACCACTCCCTATCCTTCTTCCAACCATGAACAATAAAATCACTCCCCACCTTGACCACATCTTCAACCTGCTCCTTACTCCCCCATCCGGGAACTCGACTTCCCCAGCAAACCAGATGCACACCAACATGGACAGCAGTGCGGAACGCCATCTCGTCACTCATCGAACCATACCCCTCCAAAAATCCGTCCATAATCCAAACGCCAGCCTCTGATCGTCCGAAGAGTTCAGTTTCATAGAGTTCAGCGATCATCTGACCGAGATCCATTGCCCGGCTGCCAATCTGCGTCATTTCCCAGTCGATCACGAAGACGGTCGTGGCAGACTCGTCCTTCAGTGGGACGTTGGGGATGAGGACGCTAATGAACTGTTAGCATTCTTCTACATACACTCTCCCACAAGGATATGCGAGGTAACTTACTTCCCAGTCCAGAAATCACCATGAATAATCCCATACTCCGCGCTATCATCCTCCCTCGAGAGCTCATCCTTCGCAAAATCACGAACCTCTTCAAGAACCCCGCGATTCGTTTCCAGAATCTCAGGAAAATTCGAAATAGTATCCACCAACATGGCATAATTCGCCCAGAACTTGATCTGTTTCATCGACTCATTTTGACTGAGCGTCGTCCGGGTCTCGTCTTGCTCCACTCGATTTCCCCACTCGTGCAGAGACCGTAGCCAAGCGCCCAGCGTGCGACCGAGGGCTGTCGCCGTTGATTTAGACACGCCTTTTGAAATCGCTGAGAGCATGAATGTTTTTAAATCGACGGAGTTTGGAAGGTCTTCGAATATTTGCGTGTTTGTTTGAGGGTCGAAATACAAAAGTCGTGGGGTTTTCACAGTTATGCCTTTCTGGTTATAAGGGGGGAGGTCTTCCAGGGCGCGGAGGACAGCTTCTTCGAAGTGCTGGTCAGGAATCAGTATTCGACTCTCAGAAGAAAAGAAAAGAAATGTGATCGCAACTGACACAGCGCTTGTTGTCAATCTTCAAGCTCGGTTTAGAGGCGACATGGTCTTTGGTGTGTTTGACGATGATCGAGTCTGAGGTTCCAGACAGTGTCCCTCGATATACGAAGTTCGCTGTTCCTCCTGAGAGACGGGTGAGCGTAGAGCAGTGGAATGAGGTACGTGAGAGCTGCTGCGCGATTTGGTCGCGCTCCTCGTCTTTCTCGATGGTGTTTGTTGCCATCTTGATTTAGCTAGGGTATTTGAGACGGCTGATTTGAGGTTGTTGATCTTAGTGCGATTGAGATCTTGATGGGATATTGATGTTTCATATGACCGTTTCTTTCTGAGCTTAAATAGCTAACATTAAGATATAAGGTATGATGTTCGACTCTGACAGCAATTCCAGCCGAACTCCGCGGTTTGTGCGCCACATACCACCTCGTGCATGACTCATCTCGTGTTCAGGCCTCGAGCCGGCCACTGACAGCCCTATATCGCCCCACTAGCAATGACTAGAGTTCATAGTAACTCGAGGCATAAACACACTTCTTGCTAAGGCCTTGGGGTGCAGTCCTCCCAATGAACATTCCCAGTGGGACTTGCAAACCCATCCACGGTGTGAGAAATGCCAAGAATACCATTGTGGACAGCCCCTCATGTCTCTCATGAACCAGATATTGTGTTTGCTCTTGCTTATCTATGACAAAAATATTTTTTCTCAGACATGCAGTAATTTTGAGAATCCTATTGCTTCTCAGTATCCCCTAATTACTTTTGGTGTTGAATAGTGGCAGTTCCAGGTCGCCTGGAGCGGAAATTACTCTTCGATTGCGCAATGTTTCACGTCAATCGCCGAGGTTACAACCTGGGCCATGAGAATCATACTCATATTGATTATAAGGCAAAGCCGCGATATTCCCGATGAATGACACATTTACCTTGATCTGCATGCGCCTATCTGTATGCGGAGATGCAAGCTAAGGACGCAACTATTGAGTCTCATCTGTTCTCGCAGGTTTCGAGGCTTAGCGAAAAGCGCCCCGCAAGGATCTCCAACAATCCTTCCGGCAATTGAGCTGAATCCTCATTGTGGACCAAGCTCTGATCGCCGTCACCATCAATTGGTGGAAAGAGCACAGTGATTGGCACTGGCACGCCTTGATCTGTGACCCCTACAATGTATCTTCAGCAATTTAAAAATCTCTGAAGCAAAAGAAGTTCTTACACATGCAGATGGATCTTTCGTTCTTCCGCGGAAAAGAAGCGTTCAAGAGTACCATGGTATGGTCGAATTAGACACTGAAACCTCGTGGCATGGGTGGGGCGCTGAGAGAATGAAAGACTAGGTGCATCAAATACAATAGCCGCGGTCCCTGCATTGGGGGATCTACAGCATCGGAGGACAACCGGAAATGGAAATGATACCATGGCCCCCAACCTAGGAGTAGGATGCAGCGAGGGTGCATGTTTCCTCTAAGTTACTTTCGTCTAACACAGAATCAAATCCAACGAGGTCGTCCACCGACAAATTCTGCAAAACAAAGCCAAGAAAGAAGAAGCCTAGCGCAAACCTTGCACCTAAACAAGCCAAATAAAGCGACAAACCACAATGGCATTGTCCCTTTTTTTCATAGTGGATACGCAGGGGCAGAGTTTGGAACGATCTAGACGGATGATTTGCCGGATCCAGATCTCGCCGGCGCTCCCGGCGTAAGGCACTAGGGCTTCATTATTCGACCCACATTTTGAGGCTCGGTCGGGACTGGTTAGGTCTGCGCCCTCGTGCGGAAATCGTGCGAAGTAGATCAATTTAACTCGGGGAGTAGGTGGCGTACGGCGTTGGTACGATTCGTGCAAGGCGCGCTCTGCTCCACATTTGCTAATATGGACGGCCATGCCGAAGGCAGTCAAAACCCCCCTGTGCCCCGTGGTGCGACGCTTTCATTCAGTGAAAACATCTACCGCCATTATGAGGACTTCGTTTCTGCTTTGTTTGTTTGCGCTGATGCTGGTGGGGCTGGCGAGGGACGTGGAGTCGAGTCGATTGTCTTCTTGTGCGGTATGTACTTTGCTGCAATGTCTGATCATGCCATTACTGACTGCTCTATAGGCGAATTGCAACGAGCGATCATTTTCGAACAGCTGCTCGCTCACTCACAACACTACTTGCTTCTGTGCTAGTGACTCACGTCCAGCCATCTTGTTTGATTGTGTCGAGAGCCAATGCACGACCAAGGAATTCTTTAGTGAGTTTCACAAGTGTCTGATCCACACCTCTTCTCTGTGCTAACAATTTCAGCTACAAAACGATTTTACGAACACGAATGCTCGATTACGCCGCTCGCGGGTCCTCCAGAGATCCACCCGTCCACTCTGGTGCCTATGATACTGGCTTCGATCTTCTTTGTGGCGAGGATGGTTGCCAAGGGAAGTGGACTTGCGGGTGGATGGGGCTGGGATGATTATACGATCATCATGTCTTATGCGAGTATCACTGTATCACTGCGCGGGGTTTTCCAATCTTCTAACAGCTTGCAGATCCTCGGTCTTGCGATCTACATCGACAGTGTCTACAGTAAGTCACCCCTCACATTCTCTTCTACCCTAGAGTATCAAGTTAACACCAGTCTCAAGTGATCCGCGCTGGCTTCGGCAGAAACATCTGGGACATTGACTTTCCCATAATTACCAAGTTCTACAAGGTCGGTCCAGAGGGAATCCCCCCCCCCAAAAAAAGGACATCAATCTAACAAGACCTGGGTCAGCTCTTCCAAGCCCTCGCAGTGATGTACAAAATTCAAATTTCCCTCGCTAAAATCTCAGTTGTTCTCTTCCTTCTCCGCATTTTCCAAACCCCGGTATTCCGCTACGTCTCCTACGCGCTCATCGGCATCAACGCCGCAATTGGAATTACATGGGCCTTTGTCGACTCCTTCCGCTGCACCCCGACCCATCTAACCTGGGATGGCTGGACAAACGAGGAGCCGGGGAAATGCATCAACTTCATCAACTCGATTCTAGTCAACTGTCTCGTGAACATCTTTGTTGATGCCATTATGATCCTCATGCCCGTGTATGAAGTGAGCAAGTTGCAGATGCCGACAAGGAAGAAGTTTACTGTTGCGTTGATGTTCGTTGTTGGTTCGGTGTAAGCACCCGATTTCCTCACACTGGTGCACAGAATCTGTACAAGTACTAACTGACTTTGTATTTAGTCTAACCATCATCGCCATCATCCGCGTCATCGTCTTCTGGAATAACCGCTGGGGCATCAACCAAACCCTCGGCCTGTACCCACTCATCCACTGGTCCGTCATCGAATGCCAAATCGCCGTACTCTGCGCCTGTCTCCCTGCCTCCCGTGCGCTGATCGGCCGATGGTTCCCGAACCTGCTCGGCTCTTCACGACGAACGTACGGCTCGACGGCGCCGGGCAATTGGAGCAATAATGTCAATTTTGGCCAGGATAGCAAGATTAACAAGTCTGTTAGCTATTCGGTGAATTATGCGTCGCGCTCGCATCGCGATGATTCTAATAGTGATGTGGAGTTGGTTGATCGGGATTTGAGGCTTGCGAGGTAGTGCTTTTTTTTGGATTTTCTTTCCTTTTTTGATGTGCACTTTCTCAAGATTTATGAATACCCTACCCTATACCATGTATTATCTGTCTATCTCTGCTAGTAGTAATCACAATTGCAATAAGACATTCGGAAGAGTGACACATAATGAGACCACTTCTCAGTTTTACAGCCAGTGACCTCTTCATATCCGAAGTCCTGTCCTGCTTTGGTGCTTGTGCCGCGAGGGACTCGTACATCCCATCCTCGGCTCAATCCGCATCAAGCCATCACCCCCGTCTTGGCAATCTGCCTCTTTTTCTAAGAACTGTCAATCTTATTGTCCTCAAATATGCCAATTTTCTCCCCCTTTCCTCATTCCAAGGTTTTAACTTGAGTCTTCCGTTAGTCCGTGGCATCTAATTCGTTGCGGCACTTTACTCGTTGCGGCACTGAGACAGCCGATCCGACCGTTGTAACGGGCTTTTAACTACTAGTCAGGAGAACTGTGGGGATTATTGCATTATTTGGTTCAGACGAACAGGGAAAGTGTAGTCCGTAAAGCGCCCTTGTAAGCTTAGCTCGAGTGCCGTTGGTATCTTCCGTATATATACTTAAGAGTCTCCGTAAGGCGGCGAGAGCCTAGATTAAATGAAAACCACATTGGCAGGCATTCTCTCCCCTCTCAAGTAGTATCTACACTCTAATAGTTAATAAAGCATATTCGATCGAAGAAATAAAAAAAAATTACTGATTCAAGCGCAAATTAAATGCATCGCTCTCATTCAAATTTGGCTCATGCCTACCCCAAGGCCGTAGGTCAGGGTCAGGTCCAACCACCACCGCCTCGGCCCCGACACCGACCCGGCGGCACTGACGTTGTTGACAGATCCCCCACGAAACCTCACCTCACCACACCACCAACCACGCACCAAAATGACAGACCTAACACCAACCTTAAACACCCTTTTGCTCTCCAGAAACGCCCCCTCAATCCCTCCACCAGCACCACCCACTCCATCCGATGAATTCCTCAAAGAAGCCCACCGCATCGTACGCACCCACCACCCCCAGCTAGACACCGAAGAACAGAACTAACCATCGCAGAACTCCCACATAAACTCCCTAATAACCTACCTCTCTTCAACACGACAAGCCTACCTCTCAACAACAAAGCGCACAACGGAACCCCTAACCGACGCCCAACGCGACACAATCGACGCATCGACCGCGCTGGTCCTGCGGGACCTCGCCTCCTCAATCGCGAACCTCTCCGACGCAGAGTCTCTGCGCCAAAAGACTTCCACGCAACTCTTACATAAGAAATACGGACACTCCGGCACGGGCGCGTTGTTGCGCCGTTGGGCGGGCGGCGGCGAAGATGAGGGGAAGTCGGAGGAGCAGGTTGACGCGGAGGAGAGGGAGCGGACGCTGGCTACGGTTCGCGAGGGTGTGCTTTGGTTTTTGAGGAGGGGGCTTGAGGTTGTTGCGAGTGTTCAAAAGGGGATGGTTGAAAAGCGGATTGAGAGGGTTAGGGAGAAGGAGAAGAGTGTTCTTTATAAGGCTACCAAGGGAGGTTCGTCGGTCTCAAGCTCTGCTGTGGCTTCGAGGGAGACGGAGCTGGGGAAGGGTCCTGTGGCGGATTTAAAAGTCGCGCCTGATACGGCTGTCCTCTCCGAGTCTGAAACCCGCGAAATCGAACAACTTTCGGCCGAGCAGTTACAGCTTTTTGAGGAGGAGAATGATTCTATGCTCAAGCATTATGAGGATACACTGGGCAAAGTACAGTACGTCCCCCCACCCCCTTTCTTCCTCTTCCTCCCTCAGTCTGGATTGGGGTTTGCTAATTTCTTGCAGAAACGCAGAGAAATCCCTCCTGGAAATCTCGTCTTTGCAAGAAACCCTCGTCACGCACCTGTCCACGCAGGAAGAGTACATTTCGCAACTTGTCAGCGACGTTGATACGACGGAGGAGAATGTTGGTCGTGGAAATCGCGAGTTAAAGCGTGCGACGGAACGGAAGAGTCCGGCGCAGGCTGTTTTTTGGGGCACTGTTGGGCTTTGTACGTCGTTGGTTGTTTGGGATTTGGTTTTTTGATCCTTGCCTTCATTCGTGTTGGATCTGCATTGCATTCGGGACTTGCCCGGTGTGTATCACGCTATTGTGGTATATCCCGGTTTGTTTCGTTGATGGTGTCTGGTGCTGTGTTGGTGCATGGTTTGATGTAGCTCGTTGTACTTTAGCGCATACCCTATCAACTGTTCTTTATGCATCTTTTTTTGCCAGTGTTCAACTTGAGTGGACTATAGTGCCCCTAGAGTACTTGTAGATATGACATGCAGTAGCTAGGGCGGAGCTAAGACGATTTTGCAGACGTCTATCGGACAGTTTCATCTACGTATATATCTGCAGTCATCTCGAACATAAGACAAACAATGTATTTTTATATCATATCCCCTACCTTAGCTAAGGTAGGGTAGATTTACATGTGATGCATCGGATCCACAAATCCGAGCGGATAAGTCAGAAGACAATCGAAGAATTTCACATGCAAGCTGCCAATGGAGATTCAAGAAATAGATTAAACGCTACAAGTGGTATCGATACTGCCTAGGAGGTCTCGCGCACGACGCTGTCGACAGCCTCGGCGAAGTAGTCCAGGTTATTTGTATTTAGGCCGGCCATCGAGATACGGCCGTTCTTGGTCTAGAATGCAGTTAGTATTATTCAACACTTGAGGAGAAAAAGGGAGGTCTCACCATGTAGACGTGCCACTTGTCACGGAGAATCTTCACCTGGGCCTCAGACAGCCCAGTGAAACTGAACATGCCAATCTGAGTAGTGATATGATCCCACTTGCCGGGGGTCCCGCGCTTCTCGAGACGCTCGCGCAACCCACGACGCATCTCCTGGATACGACCGCTCATGGTCCGCAGATCCTCCTCCCACTGCGCGAAGAGGGCGGGATCATTCAGAACGCGGCTGGCGATGCGGGCGCCGTACGCGGGCGGATTGGAGATCTCCGAACGCTGCAGGATCGCCAGCTGGCTAGCGATATGGGCGTTGGCGGTGGCGGCATCCGCGCCAGGCGCCGAGACAAAGTGGAAAGCGCCTGTCCGCTCACCATACAGCCCGAAGTTCTTGGCGAAGGACTGGGCGACGCACAGCTCGAAGCCCTGCTCGACGAAGTAGCGGATGGCCCAGCTGTCGCGGACCAGGTCGCCGGACGCAAAGCCCTGGTAGGCGGTGTCGAAGAAGGGGAAGTGCTGGCGCTCGCGCATCACGGACGCGATGGCGCGCCATTGATCTTGCGAGGGGTCCACGCCGGTCGGGTTGTGGGCGCAGGCGTGCAGCAGGATGATGGAGCCTGCCGGCGCCGCCCGCAGCGCTTGCAGCATGCCATCGAAGTCGAGGCCCTTGGTGTCCTTGTGGAAGTAGGGGTAGGTGGCGAGCTGGAGGCCGACGTTGGTGAAGATCTGGTTGTGATTGGCCCAGGTTGGGTTCGAGAGGTAGATGGCGGGCTTTTGGGGGTGGAATTTCGAGAGGAAGAGGCCACCCAGGTGGACGGCGCCGGTTCCCGAGATGGTTTGCAGCGAGCAGATCTGATGAGCGGATGAGTTAGTGACGGTGTAGATCGTTGCATTCGGTTCGACATACCCGTTTCTCTCGGATGGCTGCGCTGTCCGCGCCGACGATGAGCTTCTGCGCGGCGGAGGTGAAATCGGCCAGACCGCCGATGGAGAGGTATTCGTGGTTGAGGGAGGGGTCGTTGTGAATAGCGTCATCGGCCTGTAGAGCAGAGCGGTATTAGCATGATCGTATGACGGACAGCCAGGCGTGGGGACCAGCGCTGGCATGATACTCCAGCGTTGCCTCGCAGTGAAAAGCATCAGCAGCTGGGACCGAAGAGACACACCTTCTTGACAACAGGTAGAATCCACGGCTTCGCATTGTTGTCGCGGTAGGCACCAATACCCAAATCAACCTTCTTATCGGAGGGATCTTCGCGATAGGCCTTCATGAGGCCAAAGAGAGGATCTTCGGGGGCCGCGGCGACGGTGGCCGCGGTGAAAACGGAGGGGTTGGAGGAGCCCATGATGTGCGTGGTGAGGGAAGAGAGACGGTCGCGCGCAGAATGGGAAGAAGGGGGTTTTTGAGCCATGCTGGGCTGTCGCAGGTGTGACGATTGACTAAGAATCGACTGATCTTCCCCGGAATCCCAGCGGGACCTTGCTGCTTGCGGTCACCGGAATGAGGGGCGGGCGTGGGTACTACCTAAGTAGTAAGTAGAGTAATATGTGTAGTAAATAAGAGGGTTTGCCTGTCGAATGCAGAATAAATATCCCTTGATCTTTTTAACTATTCTTAGGCTGCTATTTCTAGGGTACTAGCTATCGTTTATCCTCGGCTCGCCAGGCCGAGGAGCGCATGATGTGTGGAGTTCACATGTTCCCTCATGTGCAATTCCATGCGATCACTTTGCGACTATTTTACTCTGGGTATTTCCTCGCGATATTCTACGCAAATCTGAAAAGAAGAAAAAATTCGACTGTCGCTGACCAACGCATGACCAAAAAGAACGCAGTCTATGGCCGAGACCCCAATGCCCCACGACCCGACAGGCTGCGCCCGCCGAAGTGTGTCATAACGCCGAGAAAAAGACGCAGTGGAGATGCGGAGGAATTTCTCCTATCTTGCCATGAACAGTGGGAAAATAGAAATGGAAAGAAACGGAGAATAGTCACTCCAGGGAAAAGAATGCACCCCTGGCAGACCGTTTACCCCCCACGAGGAGACAACCGCTACTTACCTCCTTCGGGTAATACTTAGTATGGGAAGATTACCCCATCTCCATTATTCTCCAGGTCTCCCCATCCCCCTCCCTCTAGGATGGTAAGAAATTAAGAAAATAGAGAGAGAGCCAAACGTCTCCAAATTTACCTAACACCAAACTCTAACGGCAATTGACTTGCCATTCAGCCCCATCGGACTCCTTCCTACCCTCTCCATAAGAGTCTCCGACCCAAAGGCACCTTCGGACGGACATTCTCCGACTCCCGCCGCGCCTGGGCCGAACACGTCCACGGGGCGTAATAGCCCGATTTCCTCCAGCTGGTGTACTACACTAGTGAAGTAGGGCACGAGAATTCCCCAGGATAAATTCTCAAGGGCCTCCCGGATGATGTCAACCGGAGATTGCTGCGAGAAATCTCGGTCTTTTCTCCACACTGTGGAGTCTTCCCCTCCTGGACTCCGTCTTCTCCCCGCGCCAAGTCCGGCTTCCCTTTTCTCTGTGTGCTTGGGGTTATTTGGTCCGCTGGTAGCCCGGTACCTGGTAGGGATGGGGTACCCATGCCCTGATTGGGGGGTTTTTGACTTTGGTGAACGAAGTGTGATTTTGAGGTATATATATTGTTAGGCTGGAATGATTGCTAGAAATCGAATGCAAATCTCATATTCCACGCTGGCGGAGTCGAAATATATCACGGTGCATTTTTCGAAATAACTATTCATTTTAAGCTGGAAAATCACCTGATGGCTGATCGGAAGATCGTTGTTGCAATATGAAATCTCTCAGTCAACTTATCCGATCAGCCATGCTCAGCCCCATCCATGGGCCAGTCATATGACTACACTAGTCCACAACATTGTCTTACAATCATACCGAAACATGGATGACGTAAATAACGTGGCTATGTATGGCATGTCTTGGATCTACCAACCCTATGACAAAGAATACAAATATGTGCAAACCAAACCAATCCATTCAACAGTGAAACAAATGGATGCTCTTTTCCTCCCGCTCTCAAAAACGCCTGTATCGTCTTACCCAATTCACAAAGTCTCATAAATCCAAAACGCCATGAAGCTGTACCCCAAAACAGCCGTACATAAAAAAATAAAAAACTTTAACGGAAAAATCATGTGCAGATATCAAGATCACGTCGTAAATCAGAAAGAAGGGTCGTAACATCAGATGGAAAAAAAAAAAAAGAAAACTGTGCAAGAATCGAACCTCATTCACATATACATTCATCGTGGATGGAAATGTAGAGTATCACGTTCGCGATTCACCGTCAGTGGTTGGTGCAGTGTGTGCGGGCGGCGGCACGGTCGGTGTCGAGGTCCCGCTCGTCTCGGCGCTAGAGTTGACGCCGTGGGGGCGCGTGCGGATGCGGAATCGGTCACGCAGACGCGTGGTTAGACGTGTGCGGTTGGGACGGACGCCATCCTCGTTGGTCTCTTGGTTCTCCTCGCGGACGCGGCGGAGAGCTGCCAGGCGCTCTTCGACCGTGGCGTGGCGCATGCCTCGGGCGTTGAGCGAGCCGTGGCCATGTAAGTAGTTTGTCAGGCGGTTGTGACGGGGTTGGGAGGCCCCGGCGGCGGACGTGGTCGTGCCTTCGGCCGGTGTCTCCTCGGTTTGTTCGGCGTTTTCGCCTTCTTCGCCGTTCTCGTCTGTCTTGGGTGGGTTGAGGTCGATGCGGCTATAGATATATAAGTCAGCACGAGGTATAGATCTTGATATCGATCGGGATGAACCTACCAGAGGGGACACGTGCCGGACACGTTGATCAGCCACGGGTCGATGCACTCGGGGTGGAATTGGTGGTTGCAGGGCAAAACACGTAGGTCTTGACCCTTGATGAAGTCGTCGGTGCAGATGGGGCAGGAAAAGTTGCCGCCGTCAGCCGCGGCGTCGGGCTTGGATGCAGGTGCCGCGGCGGTCGGCTGCTCGGTGGGCTGATCGCTGGCAGTAGTCGGCATCTCGGTCTCGCGGGGGGTCGTGGTATGCTCGGCGTCGGAGATGCTGTCGGAACGGCGAGGCGAGTGCTCGCGGGCGGGATTCTCCGGATGCATGGACATCTCGACGTCCCGTTTGGCGGCTGCGACGCCGTCCTCATTGTCGCCGAATTTGACGATCGGAATGGTTTCCAGCATCGCCCTGGCTATACCTCTTGCTCGACTTTGTCGTGGTCGCCCTGCTACCCGGCGAGGACCATATCGCTCGGGATGACGGTGGGCACGGACGGCACCCGTAATGATAATGCCCAGGAACAGAGCCGTGATGATACCTGTGATACTATACAGGATGATCATGGCTAGAGTGTGTTAGCAATGATATACTCTTATCAATTCTATGTACTACTATATAGTAGTAGTCTAGTCATGGCGGACACACCTGTATTGGGGCTATCACCAGAGTCACTGGTGCCGCCGGTCATGCCGTCGGTGTTACCGGAAGGAAACGACATGGACACGATGGATGCGGTGTTGTTCGTCGGAGTACCGAATGCTTTCTGGAGAGCGGCTCCACCGCGTAAGGCGTTGAACGTGAAGATGTTGCGGTAGTCGAGCTGATCATCCGAAGAGACTCGGAGGGTACAATGCGAGGCGGATGAACTGTACAGCAGAATGGCCGCCGCCTGGTTCTGACTGGCGACGGTGTTGAGGGTATCGCCAGGCCCTAACTCGCCGGAATAATCCGCCGAATCGCACGAGATGCAGGCGATCTGGGAACTATGTAACTCAAAGGGATTGTCGGCGGTGACTTTGACGAACGACCCCCTGGCCTGAAAGGTCTAGAATTGAAGGTGGGACAGTTAGAGACACAATAAAGATTGTGTGAGGTGGGAAAAAACTCAAGACGACACACCCTGAGAGCACTGTCGGTTAAATGGAGGAGGGAGTCGGTCAACGGGGCGAGCGGCTGCTGGTTGAGTTCGGAGCCCCGGACGAGGAAGAGACGGGACTGCGCCCCGTCCAGATCGAGGGAATTGTTCGAAGGCGCGACGGTGAGAGTGGCCGATGACGCGACGAGGAACGAGGCGAAGCACAGATAGAAGAAGAACGACGAAGACCACAATAACCCCATTGCGTATTGCGGGATGCGGCGGATGTGGGGGATGAGGGACATTAGTCAGGGCCGCAAAAAGAGGACAAAGGAGGGAGTGGAGATGCATAAGAAAGAAAAACGGAAAACAGGGAAAAGAGGGGAGAGCTAAGGCCGATCTGAGTATGGATCCCCGTGGAGAAAGCAGATCCAACCGATCATGACGAGGTGATTAATGCGGGAGGTTCAAGCGGTTCGTTGGTTTCGTTTTCGTGCCAACGTTAGTGCCATGGCAGCCATGGCAGCCATGGCTGCCCTGTGTCGTGGCTGCGCGTGAGCGTATACGCCTGTCCTAAGATATAAGGCAATGAGCGTATTCATAAGGCAATTCCATGGGACTCCGCGGTCAGCCGCCATGCGATTGCCACTTCCCTCTGATAGAGCATTTGCCCAACGGGGATGCTGACGGCCATCTGTCAGCACAGAGATCCCCCTCCGATCGTCGCAGCAGACGAGCGACACCGGGGCTCGACGTCCGAGCGCTCGGGCGACCTGCTGTGTGTGTCGCCGAGATCATCGTACTGTGCGGGCGAGTATATATACGATGAGCGCATCGCCAGGGGAAAGTACGTGTAGATCCAGTGATGCAGTATACGCTTCCCGTTCAGTTGGGTACCCCCCTACTCTCTACTACTACAACTTACTATGTGCTGTCACGGGAGGAAGGCCTCAGGCCCTTCCCGCTCGGTCTGGACCACTCCACTCCACAGTGACCTGCCAATGCCTACACTACCACAAATACAGCACGAACTCTCGGTCTCACTCGCACTCGTACCTCGGACGAACGTCCTGCAGACCAGCTGCCACACTGGCACCCCGCATGGAGAATGAGGAACCGGGGCCACAGCAAATCCCCAACCGGGCTGCGACCGAAACCTTCGGTCGATCAAACCATGCAGGTTGACACGGAGTAGACACGGTGACCTGACAACTTGGCAAGAGCTCGACCTGCCTGATCAGCTGTGCAACCGGGATTCTCTTCCACTGCGACGGCCTGGCTGCTGCTGGCTGCTGCTGGCTGCTGCTAGCTTGCCGAGTGGCCACCGTCCCTTTGACCTGGGCCGCCGGTCGCCTGTGATTTGCGGAGACTGGGGGTGGAGGAATGGTCGAGGCTCCCATCGACCGGCGTACAAGATGGGCAGAAATGGACTTTTTTCACGTTTTAAAATAGGTCGTAGGAGTCCCTACTTAGTTCAGAGTAGGGTTCGCCCAGTTTGCTCGTAGCGGCTGCACCCGCCCTCCGGTCTTTTCCATCTTTCCCTTCCTTTTCCCCCCTCGATCGGCACTCCACACCAGGGCGATCCACTCGCTTTCTGGTCATGACAGTCTGAGTTTCCTCATCTTTGCGGCAAACTTCGTCCTTCCCGGAGGTGCCTGTTCGGGCGCGCTGCGTTCGCACCATGCCCTCCGAGTTGTCGCCCGCCGACGCTCAGCGCTGGGGCAGACGTTTCGACCGGATGCCCATCTCGACGTACGTTCTTAGTTTCCCTCCCCTCCCCTGTCCGCGCTCTCCTGCTCGGCACGAGACACACACGAGACACCCTCAACGTGAAACAGAGAGGATTCCGGGAAGGACCACTGTGGACAAACAAAGGACCAATCTAACAGCGTTCCGTAGGAACCCCGTGATCGCCAACCTCGACGTCGAACACAATGAACTCGCGCAAACATGGAAGACCTTCAACCGCCATCTGCCGCCGGAGGACCTCGTCGGCTGGGAGGAACGGCCGCAGACGGCAGACGATGTCCGCGCTCTCGTGCGCAAGATCGAGTTGTTCTGGACGTCGCGGCCGCGGCAACGGATATACAGCCAGGCCAGGGCTCTCTGTGACAAATTCCTCCCCACAATCGAGACCCATGCGTCCTTGCTCGCCTTGCTCCCGGATGCTGAGTCCTATCATGGCCCAACATTCTATGGAGTGTTGCAGTCGGTGCTGAAGGTGAGTCGCTCGTTCATGTTGTTTCCTTCCAAAATGGCTTGCTAACTGTTGAATGTCAAGGCATCGTCGCACTATCCTCGCGTGATGGAGGGGTTGCTTTCGGCCCTCCTGAACATCCACAGCGCCCTGGACGTCCCCCAACATTTCCTCACCCCCGCCAACATAGAACCGATTGCCAAAGTCTACACCCTGATTTTTTTCTTTCTCACCGAGTTCATGGACTGGTATGTGCGGCGGTCCACGTGCCAATTGTTGAAGAGCCATAGCCAGGATACCTACTCGGAATTTCACCACCTGGTAGATTGTATCCAACGGCAGGCGAAGACGCTCACAAATTCCCCCGACGAGATGGATGTCGATGAGGACTGTGACGCGGCGTATAGCCCGCGGGCGCTGTGGGAACACTCGCAGCTGAGCCAAGTTGGTCGCCAGGGCACGGAGCGCCGGATTGCCGCGCAGAATACCATCACTCGCCGGCTGATCTGGGAGATCCAGCAAGATGCGGAGGAGCGAGCCCGAATCAAGGAGCAGAGGGCCCAGCTGTTGGCGCAGATGTTGAGAAATGTGAGCGAGCAGCTGCGCCCGGTCAGCGAGCAGAGTAGCGGCATCGTCTGCCTGACGACGGCTGCCCCAGATATTGGTAAGAGCGGCCATCCTTTCGGGTCTGTGGAACGTCAAGAACATAGGAATGCTAATACGTATTTGACAGTTACATCGGGCTTTGAATGGTCTCGCGGATCCAAGCGTCGTCTTGCTCGACTCGAACTCCAAAGCGCATCCAAGGATCTCCAAAAGTTTTTCGACAGCGATGACCAGATTGCCGACTTTGATTCGGAGGTGGAAGTTACCGCGGAGGACAACGTGGTCACGTCGCTACAGAAGTGGGCTACCAGTCCCCGGTCCCAGGCCCTCGCCGTTGGCGGATCTCATTCGACCGAGTTCCCTAGTCCCGTGGCCTTGATATCGGCGTGTTATGCCTCCTTCGCCCGTGATGCCCGACTGCCTGTTGTCGCCCACTTCTGCGCCCTTCCGACAGACGAGGTCCAGGGAATGACCCCACACCAACAAGGACTGATCTCGCTCACCTACAGTCTCATCCGGCAACTGATCGATACGCTGCCGACGGTCGTGGACAGTGATGCATTGCTTGATCTGAGCGCCGAGAGATTCCGCCTGCTGGACGGCACTCTGTCCAGCTGGAAAGCAGCCCTATCCCTTGTCGATACTCTTCTCCACTTTCTCCCACCCTTGCTTGTCCTCGTGATCGACGGCATCGACCGGATTGACGACCCGTCAACGGATACCGCTGTACGAGAGTTGATCCGGGTGCTGCTCACTCACACCCGGCATCAGCCCCAATCCGTGGACAGCGATAGTCACGGCCAGCCGTTCCTATTCAAGGTACTCTTCACCGTCGCCGGACGGCCAAGTGCACTGGTCGAGACGATGTCCGAAAATCAACTCGTCTTGAGCGAACCAAGCCAAGCAGATGACCCCGCGCCCTCCGATACGGTGCTGACATCCGACTTGGGCGCAGTCATGATGAATGCCTGATCCTGATCATCATCCTCGGCTAATATTGGGACGGTCGACCTGTTTTAATCTTGACATGACGAATTTCCTTTTCTCTTTGGTCTGCTTGACGGATCCTTAAAAAAGACCTCCGGTTCCTAACATAGATCTCTGCATCTCGGGAGGCACGCCCCACGGGTACCAGGTTTTTCATTACGATGCATGAGGCACGAAGCAACGGCGATATTTGAGCAAAATCCTTTTTTATCTTCGTTTCCTGCATGGGGGTCTTGTATTTAGTTTCTTGCTTGATTGAATATTTGTATTGTCTGTCCTCTTCTGTTTTACTTTCTCGGCGTCTGGGAATCGGAAATGGATTTGGGGACTTTTGATTATCTTTTGGCCCGGACTACTACTTCTTGCATCTTGCTTTTCGGAGACTCGTGGTAGACTTGCTGTACTTTACTGCTTGATCCCTGAGATACCCATAACTAGATCTAATTCCTTTGCCCCAATATGCTATTTTTGGGTCTGCCTTGATTTTGTGCTCCGGAATTCGAGATCCGAAATAGCTGTCATCAATATCTGGAGCGAACGACGTTGAAATGCGGGTCTGATGGACAGTGGAGTCGACATGCGGGGAACGACTCTGGAGATTGAATTCCGCCCGCAATTACTTAAACTGCTGCAGCGGTGCGTGCAGCGCGGCGCGACTTGCGATCTCCCCCACAATTACCGTCCCATTGAATTATTAGTTTATACCCAGACCAGCATGAACGGTCATACCTTGATTCCGTCCCGATTATACCAGTCTGCCTCTTTGCAGCTGGACGACTTCAAGGAGATCTGCGCGCGGCAAGTCGACACTACTACCTACCCGCTCGCGTGCGCGGTCGAGCAAAACGTCCCCATCTACGACCTCGCCGCCATCGACCTGCAAAATGTGACATGCGAGACAATCTCCCGACTGCAGGATGAATGGCATCATATCTTGCACACGGGGCCGGGCATCTTCGTGCTGCGGGATATGTACGGCCCCGCGAGGTATGGGGATATTCTCTCCGCCACCAACGACGCCTTTAACCGGATTATCGCGAAGGAGCGCGCGTCGGATACCTCAAAAGGCGACCACTTCGCCGCGGGCGGTACCAACGACCGGATCTGGAATGCTTTCTCCAAACATGCGCTCGAAGACGAGGCCTCGTTCGTCGATTACTACGCCAACCCATGGCTGGCTGCTGTGTGCAGCGCATGGCTTGGGCCGGGCTACCGCGTCACGGCGCAGGTAAACGCAGTTCACCCCGGCGGCGTGGCACAGGACAGTCATCGCGATTATCATCTCGGGTTTCAAGAGGCGGATGCTTGCATGCGGTATCCGGCCCCGACACAGCTGACGTCGCAATTCCTCACGCTGCAGGGTGCCGTTGCGCATACCGACATGCCGGTTGAGAGTGGACCGACGCGGTTCCTGCCTTTCAGCCAGACCTATGCGCCGGGGTATCTTGCCTGGCGACGGCCGGAGTTCCGCGCCTTCTTCCAGGAGAAGTATGTTGCGTTACCGTTGAGCTTGGGGGATGGTATGTTTTTTAATCCGGCGTTGTTCCATGCTGCTGGGGCGAATGTTATGGGTAAGGCGAATGGGTTCCGTCGTGTTGCGAATCTGCTTCAGGTGAGTAGTGCGTTCGGGAAGCCGATGGAAATGGTCGATTCCGTCCCGCTCATTGATCGCTGCTGGGATGTTTTGGTGAAGCGGTACAACGAGCGTGCGGGGAAGCAGTTTGCGGATCAGGATCTGGACCCTGGGAAGTACTCGCTTGCGGCGCGCGAGGTGCGGGCGTTTATTCAGGCTGTTGCAGAGGGGTATCCGTTTCCGACGAATCTGGATCATCGCCCCCTGCGCCGAATGGCATGGCGCCGGAGAGTGAGCAGGATATTGTAATGCGAGGGTTGGAGGCGGGTTGGAGTCGGACGCAGGTTGTTGGCGCATTGGAACAGATGCATCTGGACTCGCGGGCTTGAGGATGGGACCGAGGACACGGTACTCATTTGGGGTGGGGGGGGAGCTGAAGACCGGGATTAGGTCGAGATTATCTGTAAATACACCATTCAGGAGCACAATGATATTAGCATCCCACCGGATTCAATTGCTGTTCCGAGCTGCCCAGACCCACGTACGATCGGACTTACGCCGGAGATCGTGCAATGCCATTGGCGTATCAAGTCAACGCCCGGTGGGGAAATGGTGGACCTGCATCCATGGCTGTTAGAGACTTCCACCGGGAAGGCCAGGGGCAGGTGGCAAAATTAGGGGCCGGAAAGTGTGGACAATAGGGAATTGCACAATTGTGTAGGCATCGTCAAGAGGCAAGTTGGATGTGTACCCTAGGGTAACTCAATAGACCGGGCCCGCAAGCTGTACAGAGTAGTGTGGTAGCGCAAGAGAGATGAGGACGCAACGCAGACAATGAGAGCTCAACTGGAATGCGGCTGTCACGGGTGGGCCACCGTGGCGAGGAATGGCCGTCTCACATTTTTGTGCCTTCTTTGTGGCTGGCCCCCCAACAATGCTGAAACACGCTGTTTTTCCTTTCTCTTTTCCCTTACACCTCGTTTCTTGTGGGTTGGAACGATCGATTAAAATCTCCGTGAGGCCCCTCTACACTCTTTGAGGAATCCCTCCGTTCTTCGACGTTTGCAAACTACTTGGCCAACGCCGATCGTGTGCTTCCCCACCACGACACTATCTCTCAATTGTGGATGATCGACTGAACCGACCACGACCACTGGCCCGGGGAACAGGGCTAGCGAGACAGCAGCGAACGGCGCGAAAATTTCTGGGCTGGCAGCTGTACTGACGTTACCGAGCTGCGTGTGCGTGAGGGGGGCCCTAGCGAGACACTTCATACGCTCGCGCACAACGCCTGGTAATTAGCCAGTCAGTATTTTCACTCTGCTCCACCAGACCACCCGAATCGGACCAACCAGCTTTAGGATCGATCTACAAGATCGTTCACAACCATAAAAGGGCCTCGACCCCTCACAGTCCCGCGATGAAGAACACGTTGGGTATTGCCTCCCAGCGGCTCTCACAACATCGGTTCGAGCAGATCCCCGATCTGCCGCACGACGGCATGACGAACCCCAACGACGCGACCATCGATATCCCTCTCACCGAGGCCCCCAGCCGCGGTCAGAACGGCACTCGCAAATGGGGCAGAAGTCCCGAGGTGGTTGAGCAGTCCGACGAGAAGGCCGGCCTGCCCAACGACTCAGGCACTGGTCCTGGCCGTCGCCGTCGCGTGGACACCGATATCAATGACTCGACTGGGAAGCCCTCGGACTCGCCTGAGGATGGCAAAATCAATCGTTTGGGCCGCATCTACCAGGCCATCTACAATTTCTCTATCGTCACTCGTTACATGATCTACGTGGTCCCCATTGGCGCGCTGCTCGCCATTCCTATTATTGTCGGCGCGACTGTCGCCAAGGACGCCTTCATTGGCGGTGTCCATCTTTATTGGTTCTTTGCTTGGATTGAAGTTGTCTGGGTTAGCTTGTGGGGCTGCAAGATCTTCTCCAAGTTCATTCCTTATGTCTTTCAAACTCTATGTGGTTTCGTTAGCTCCGGTACGCGCAAGTATGCTCTTATCTTGCGCGCTCTGGAGACTCCCATCACCATTGTGCTGTGGTGCGTGATCTCGTTGGTGACCTTCTTGCCGGTATGTCAATTGCCCCAAAACCCGATGGAATGTCCGGTGGTGAAATGTCTGCTAACTATTGATGTCTAGATTATGCGGTATGGTGCCGACAATAGCAGCGATGTCTCCTCCTGGGAGAAGAGTGTCAAGAACATCCTGTTCGCTCTGCTGGTCTGCAGTTTGATCTTCCTGGCCGAAAAGGCTCTGGTGCAGCTCATTTCGATCAGCTACCACCGCAAGCAATTCGATGCCAAGATCAAGGAATCGAAGCGTAATGTCTACCTGGTCGGTCTGCTGTTCGAGGCCTCCCGCAACATGTTCCCCGTGTACTGCCCCGAGTTCCGCGACGAAGATGACTTGATCTTCGACTCGCTGCTTGCCCAGGGAACCAAGAAGGACAAGAAGCACAACTCCATAATGCCTCTCCGTATGGTGAGGGAGGTCGGCCGTCAGGTCGGGCACAACGTTGGCCGTATCGGTGACAAGGTTACCACGGCTTTCGGCAATGTCGCCTCCGAGCTTACTGGTAAGCAGGTGTTCAACCCGACTGCCACCCACTCTATTGTCGTGCAGGCCCTCGAGCGGAAGCGTTGTGCCGCGGCGCTGGGTCGCCGTATCTGGATGTCTTTTGTTGTTGAGGGTCGGGACGCGCTGTACCTTGAGGATATCGTCGAGGTTCTCGGCCAGGGGCACGAGGCTGAAGCCGAAGAGTGCTTCAACGCTCTTGACAAGGACGGCAATGGTGATATCAGTCTGGACGAGATGATTCTTTGCATCACCGAGTTCGGTCGTATGCGCAAGTCCCTCAATCACAGCATGCACGACGTCGACCAGGCCATCCGTGTTCTGGATAATCTGTTGCTCTCTGTTGCCTTTGTTGTTGGCGTTCTGGTGTTCGTCTCCTTCGTCACCACTGGTTTCGGCACTGTCATTGCGGCCGGTGCTACCTCCCTGCTGTCTCTGAGTTTCGTCTTCGCGACCACTGCTCAAGAGGTTCTCGGCTCTTGCATTTTCTTGTTCGTCAAGCACCCCTTCGACATTGGTGACCGCATTGAAGTCAGCGACAAGCCTTATGTCGTGGAGCGTATCTCGCTTCTCTTCAGTGTCTTCCGCAATGTGAACGATCACCGTATCACCCAGGTGCCCAACAACATTCTGAACAGCTTGTCGGTGGACAACTTCACCCGTGCCAACGCCATGCACGAGCAACTTACAGTCCCAGTTGCTTTTGACACCTCTTTCGCCGACGTTCAATTCCTTCGTGAGGAGATGGAGACTTTTGTCCGTGACAAGGAGAACTGCCGTGACTTCCAGCCAGACATTGATATCGAGGTTGTTGGCGTCGGTGACATGGACAAGCTTGAGCTGCGCGTCGATATCCGCCACAAGTCCAACTGGTCCAACGAAACCGTCCGTGCTGCCCGTCGCTCCAAGTTCATGTGCGCTCTGGTCCTTGCTGTCCGCAAGATCCCCGTCCGCGCTCCTGGTGCCGCCGCCCCCGAAGAAGAGACTAAGGAGGAGAGTGATGACGACGATGCCGACGACACTGGAAACCGCAAGCCCGGTCAAGATGGCATTGACAGCAAGGGATTAGCTCCTGCTGCTGCCGCCGCCGCCGGTCTGTCCACTGCTGACACTCTGTCCCCGAACACCGCGCAGTCATCCGGGTTCGACCCGAAGCGGTCCTCCGGCACCATCCACAAGCGTGGCTCCCAAGCCAGCGAAGCCGCCATCGCCGATCGTCTCAACTCTCGTTCTCCGGCTGTTGACGTGGGCCGCGACGACGGCACCAATGCCGACCTCTACCGCACCACAACCAATGCCTCCGGCCAAGGCCAGACCCTCAGCGTCAAGGACGGCGTCTCGGGCGTTCAACGCGGCCTCTCCACCGGCCACCGCAAGGCTGGTGCCCACGTCTCCTACGCCAGCGAAGAAGGCAACGTGCCTCCCCTCTCCCCCATCCGCGCCGGCATGACTCCCTCCACCAGTGAGGTCCCCATCCTGGGCAACCCTGCACCCCCCGGTTCCCGCGGAAGCGCCCGCTACGAGCCCACTTCGCATAACCAGAGCTCCATAATCGGATCCCCCGAGACGGGCACCTACAACACTTCCTACTACCGGACCCAAGAAAACCCCTTCAACCCCGTCTCGACCCGCGGCGTGAGCGCCGAGCAGCACCAGGATCATCACCACGAGATGGACCGGTATGACCCCGTCTCGCCGACGTCCATCTACTCGCCTCCTCAGCCTGCCCACCCCGCTGCCGCTCGCACTGCTGATGATCTCGCGGCTCGTCGGCCTTCGCTTCTGGCGCGCATGAAGCGTGGTAAGCAGGACCGCACTTATGGGGAGCATGAGGCGTGAGTGAGGTTGAAAGAGTTGTTTTCTTGATTTATTTCATTGCATTTTTTTTTTTTTTTAATTTTTTTTTCTTTTCTATCCCGACGATTTGTTTATCAGGCCATTTGCGAAAAATTCCCGGTTTGTTGTATGAATATGAGCCATGCGCTGTAACATTAGATGATCTATTTTGATCTTGATCGCAATATTACGATTTTACTACTTCATCTGAGCAATTACTGTAGCAGAACCCCTTAGGAAATAGTATAATATAGTGACGAATGTAAGGTAGATGGGTCTTGCCACCCAGCTTTAGACGAGAAGTGATTCCATTCATACATCCACAATCAATATAGTACAAACGAAGTAGCCTGAGAAAGCCTACATCCGGGCTCAAGATTAGAGCATCTCCAGCACAACCTTAAGGTACTTATTTACTACCCGTCTCCTTCCACGGGTACGAAACAGGATCACCCTTCCGAATCCAGATCTTCGACTTCTTCTTATTAACAACATGCTCAACAAAGACCTCCCGCGTATGCGCCGCCTTGAACTTGCGGATCCACCGCGGATCCCACAGTTCGCTCGCAATGCCGAGATCCTTGCAGCAACGGACTAGCGCATTCGAGCGGCAGCCTTCGGTGGCGGTGGGAATGCCGTCTGGCGAGAAGTAATCTTGTTCGCCGCGGGCGACGGAGACAAGACTGGGTTTATCAGTATTGCGATGGATATGTTTTGCTGCAGCGAAAGCTACAGCTTACCAGGAAACGTACCGTCCATTACAAACGAGAGCATACTCCCTCGTAACCGTCTTCGGCGTAACAATACTCTCACTCCGCGGAACAAGCCCCCACCCACCAGGTCCAAACGCCCGATTCAAGATCCGCCGGTACTTGATCTCAGGCAGATAAAGGATCCCATCCGGCTTAATCTCCACCTCCTCAGGATCCGTCTCAGCGAGCAGAATATCCGCCGCTTCCTTGGGGAACGGCGCGGCCGAGAGTCCGTGGAACGAGCGTGTCCAGTCGATCTTCTCTTCTGGCGCGGACTCCAGCTCCAAAGGCTTGTCTGAGAGCCCGCTTTTCGAGATGTTGTCTGTTGTGGGTTTGTTTGGAGTGGGTGCGGAAACACGGGTTGCTTGCGAGGAGGTGGATGAGGTTGGTGAGGGCTTGGGCGTTGTGCTGGCGTTCTGGACTCGTGGGATGCTGTAGCTGATTGCTCGCAATGTGGGGATGCGGTGGTGGTAAGGGGGGATCCTTGTTCGTGGTGCTTGCGAGATTGAAGTCGCGTGTTGGAGGGTTTCCAGTGCCTGTATGGAGCGGGATCGTAGGGCTGACATGGTGGGTTGGGGTGGAAGGTGCTTGGAGCTGGCGTCGCGTTGAAGCTGATTGGGATCCAGATGATATAGATCACGTGATTTATATAGGAGGTGATGCGTCAAATGCTACGGATGGGACCCCTCGGGGAGATTTGATGGAGATAAGGTATTGTACATTGAATGCGCTAAGAGTGTGTTCAGAGAGAGGAATGAAGTGTGTGAAAATTTTATCACGCGTCTTTCGTCTGTGTTCGCTGGTCGTTGCCCTTTTGCTTCCAGCATTCGCGGAAGGCCTCCATCTGCATGGTTGTCAGCATAGGATCCACAATAGAATCGCTTGAGGCCAATTCATATGAAAAGTAACGAAGATACTCGATAATTGGCCTAACGAGACAATCTTGAAGTTTTTCGAGCTGCCATGTTGTATGGCGAAGCTCGAGGTGAAGGGTGACCCACCTCCTGCTTGCACTCGCGCCAGTCTTTCTTTGCAAAATAGCAGTCGTTCATCTTGTCCTGCTCGGCTGTTTTTATAATCGTCAGAAATGAGTTTCAAGTCAGGTTGGTACTTTGAGTCATTCACCGTGACAGCCGGTGCTGAAGATGCGCTTGTCCCTGTAGTCTCTTAGCATCAATCGTCCCACATCACAACCACAGAGATCACTTACCACTCATCAGGTTCATCGTCATCCTCCTCCTGGGAGGTATGAGGCTTTTCCGTATTGTTCGACATGGCTGAAGTATGAGAGCGCGGAGGATGCGGATGCAAGGCAACTGGAAGGTGCTCGGCTGGCGTCGGCGGGGAGATCTATCTTATCGTCCTCGCCCACTGGATTTCCATCCCCAACAATCAACATGGCCGCGCCGACGGGCAACAATGCCAATTTGACCGGCAAGAAACTCAATGTCTTGGTCTACTCCGGTTCGCTCGCTCACTCCGCCCACCAAATAAGCCGCTTGCTGACCGACAGCGGTACCACAGGGACCGGAACGACCGTTGACTCAGTCCGTCATTGTCTCTACACCCTGCGCCGGCTGCTCGCCTCCCATTATGCCGTCACCCCGGTCACGGGTGACATGCTCCTCAAGGAGCCTTGGACAGCGACCTGCGCTCTGCTGGTGATCCCCGGCGGCGCCGATCTTGGCTACGGCCGCACGCTCAATGGCGCGGGGAATCGGCGTATCACACAATTCGTGCGCCGCGGGGGACGCTACTTGGGGTTTTGTGCGGGTGGCTACTATGGGAGCAAGCGCTGCGAATTCGAAGTCGGCGATAAAACTATGGAAGTCATTGGGGAGCGCGAATTGGCGTTTTTCCCGGGCATTTGTCGGGGCGGCGCGTTTCCCGGCTTCGTTTATCATAGCGAAGAGGGCGCGCGGGCGGCTGCGCTGAATGTCTCGAAGGAGGCGCTGAGTATTGGCAATCCGCCTATGCAATTCCGATCGTACTATAATGGTGGTGGTGTATTTGTGGATGCTCCCAAGTATAGGGACCAAGGCGTGGAGGTGCTGGCCAACTACGCCGAGGAACTCAATGTTAATCCGGGTGAGGGCGCAGCTGCTGTTGTGTACTGCGAAGTTGGTGACGGCGCTGCCATTCTGACCGGGCCGCATCCAGAGTATGTAGCTCATTTCAAATGGTGTGCTGCAGTGTACATTCCACTAACTCTGGATAACAGGTTTGCCGCAGCAAATCTCGACCCAAAGACTGGAGGACCTGGATTCAAAGATGTCGTTGATGCTATTACTGCTGACGACAAAGAACGTACTGACTTTTTAAAAGCCTGTCTGTCTAAGCTTGGCTTGCAAGTTGCGCAGGATACATCAACAGTTCCCTCGCTGTCGTCCTTGCATATCTCTGGCCTGGATGCTGAGGAGCCACTGGAGATCCTGTCTTTACTCGCCCCATCCCTGACGAACGAGAACGGTAACGAATACCTAAAGGATGAGAATGATACCTTCCGGATTGAGCGTCCGGGCGCATGGAACCTAAGCGAACTGGAGACTTCGCTTCCCAGCGATGGCATTGTCGATTATCAGGCAGTCACCAAGCGACTTGTGATCCACGATGATCTCCCATCTTCGAAGCTTACGCCTTACTTCAACCACCACGCATTTTACGCTAATCTGCAACAATACCAATCTGAATCTCGAGAAGGTGCCTCGAAATTTGGATCGAATCTCATGTACGGCGAGGTTGTGACGAGTACCAATACTATTCTAGAGAAGTACGCTATTAGATTATCTGTCTGCTGGACTTTCTAACAAGTCTCGCAGGAACACGAATCTTCTTCGTCTGCTACCGCAAGGATTCACCGCCACAGCCACAGTCCAAGTTGCGGGCCGAGGACGAGGCTCCAACGTTTGGATATCGCCGGCCGGGTCACTGATCTTCTCCACCATCGTGAAACACCCCATCGAGAAGATACAATCAGCGCCGGTGGTGTTTATCCAGTATCTAGCCGCTATGGCCGTTGTGAAGGGCATCAAGAGTTATGCCAAGGGGTACGAAAAACTCCCGGTTAAATTGAAATGGCCGAATGATATTTGTAAGTCCCTGTCGCTTTGTTTTCTGCTGTCTAAGAAACAATATCCTGAGGCCCGCTACAGACGCTCTCGACCCCGAAGATCCTGAACAGAAACGATACACCAAAATTTGTGGCATTCTGATCAACTCTCATTTCATGGCCAATGAGTATATTTCTGTTGTCGGGATCGGTGTGAATGCCACAAATGCCTCACCAACTACGGCACTAACGGCACTTGCCGCCCGCTATGCCTCGCCGGGGGCTGCAGCGGCATCACCTGTCACACTTGAGAAGCTGCTGGCCCGCATCCTCACAACGTTCGAAGACCTGCATACACGTTTCTTGAGAACCGGCTTTGATCGTGCTTTTGAGGAGATGTACTACGATGACTGGCTGCACATGCACCAGATCGTCACTCTAGAAGAGGAGGGCGGCGCCCGGGCTCGCATCCAAGGTATCACTCGGGATTATGGACTGCTACTTGCCGAAGAGCTTGGGTGGAATGACCGACCCACTGGGCGTGTCTGGCAATTACAGAGCGACAGCAACAGCTTCGATTTCTTGAAGGGTTTAGTGAAGCGGAAGATCTAAAATAGAATACGGGGTATATGACACGCAAAAGTTGAGCGACAATTGCGGCTCGTGGATCTTTCCCTCTCCCTCACGGCTGAGTCCTCACCGTCATTCATATATCCGTACTTTCTGAAGATCCCGGAATTCCTCCGATGCGATTCTGCGATACTACGTACGTGGGCCCCGTCGACCTCCTCGGTCCGAACGAATTCTGCCTTATTCATAGCTGCCTACTCGAAGCCAATAGCCGACTTATATTTTTGGATCTCAATCTAGCAGGTTCTTCCTATTGGGCCGGTTTTGAACGTGCAGAATTCTCCCCCCTCCCAGTCCCCGCAGAAGTCGGCTGATTTATCTGTCTACTTCTTCCTTCACATCTATCGTTTGCCTTTGCCCGTATATACCATCTCAGCTTTTTTCAATGATAAACTCGGAATCACACTGCAATTCCAATCTTTTGATCTACACGAGATTTTCAGCCGAAGAGCCCCTAGTCATCCTTCTAGAAATATGGTTTAGGGGTGACGATCATCAATAGTGGATAAATTTCGGGTCTGGATGATCACTAGGCTGCTCCGCCCATTTTGCTTGTCTTTCCTCAGCCCCAGTCTCTTCGCAACCACCGGACTGGATCATGTTTTATCTTCCATTGAAGTATGACATGTCCTCAATTAATAACATTGACATCATGTAAAAAGTTCAATTGATTTCATGTCTCATTATCTTCCTCAAGAGATTCTTCGGGTGGACTTCCAGTCAAATATATCTCAACCCACCGCGACCCACATGGCTAAGCCTCTACTATGTGCACTTTACAGCTTTCCCCATCTAACCGTTTCTTTCAAGGGCATGTCTCAGACGATCTTTCCCAATTAACTAAGTCTCCGTCCACCGCCGAACTGCCCTATTTTCGGAAGACGGTGTTTCGGACGATCTTCTCTACAGCTAGCCACAGCAGACCTGACCGCCGAAGGACGTTCAACGAGATATCTGGAGACTCCAGGGTATAAAAAGGGCGTTGAACCCGACGGTAAAGAACCATCCACTACATATCATCTTCATCCATTCTCCAAAACAAAACTTCCAACCGCGAAAATGGTCAAGATCTCTGCCCTCATCACCCTGGCTCTGGCCTCCGTCGCTCTGGCCACCTCCAACTCCGACTGCCAGAACAAGTTCGACACCTGCCGCTCCAGCGGTGACCCCAACGAGGCCGCCTGCGCTGCTGAGCACACCAGCTGCTGCGCAGACGCCTTCGACACCTGCCGTTCCAGCGGTGATCCCAACGAGGCCGCCTGCGCTGCCCAGAACGCTGCCTGCAAGGGCCAGAAATAAGCTCGCCCCGTCAGACCGATACCTCGATACCGAATCCGACAGTCAACATGATAAAACTGACAAGAGGGATGATTGATCTCAATCGTTGACTCGTTGGCCATATATCTACGACGGAAAGGAAAGCGAGGAGGTACGGCCACCATGGACAAGCTGTCCAGAGTCATGTCAAATAATAATCATCCGGAATTCCCGCCCCTCTCTCATACAATGGCATGAATTCGAACCAAGCAACTTAACTTCAAATGTAGAATGTGGAACTTAATTGAGCTCCGTTTAGGAAAATAAGGCGATAGGGCGGCTGAGGATGATGATCACTAAGCTAGCCTTATATTTGCGGGGGATAGTGCTCTCCTTTTGGCATAGCCAAAATATAAATTGCCTACTAGGACAACGCTATTGAGGCATAAGGTATCCACTCATCTGAACATCAGAAATTCCAGAGGCTGACTCAATGTCGGTCTCAAGTCTACTTATTGAGATGGACAAATTCGGACGAGTCGTATCAGAGAGGCTTTACATGGCTCTATGATATTTGGCATTGATCATCAAGGTATGTACAATATATAGAAAAATTCGTGCAGTGTCGCAATCTCATCTTGTACTTGAGTGTCTTGAGCATATCAAACCGTCCGGGTCACATAGCCCTCATGCATTATTGGTACATGAGAAACTCGCACTACCGGGGTTATCATGTATCGCCTTTCCCGAGCTATAAAGTCCAAGTACACACTGTGATCCATGTTAGTGAATTGATTACAGACAAGCAAAGCACGCCAAGGAGAGAACTTACCAACACGACCCCAACAGCAATAGCAAAAGTGTTAAGCAAGGTTTGCAATGTCTTTTTGGGAGACGAAAACCATAACCCTTTGTCCATGTGCAGACCAAAGATACCAGTGAAGCCAAAGGTAAACCAACTGCCGAAAAGTGCGGTCTAAAAAAATAAGGGTAAGTCGCAGTGCCCAGAAAGATAAGAAAGGGTTCAAAACATACGATCAGACTAAGAAGATTGTTGAAAACAGGAATTGACTCTGCAATTACCCATGCGAGTACCCACAGGCCTGCGGCGATGCCAATCCATGAGCCAACAGATACCCAGTCTCGTTTGTGCATTCGGTCAGTCCCTGCGAAGAGACTGATGTATATTGATTTGGCTGCGACGTGGCTGTTGATCACGCCCGCAATGACAATCTAGAGACAATCGCGATGCAGAGTCAGTTCTGCATCCTCAGAAGGTTCATCAAAGTAGACTCTTACTGTAGGGAGAGCCACGCCATAGGCGATCTGAGCCACCAGGGGACCTGCGGACCCCAGGGCCGGAGAAGTGACGTCCGCACCAGCATAACGGTAGATTACGACAGCCGCAATAATGTACAACGTTATGTCAACAGTTTGAAGAAGTGCGAGGGCCTTTGGAAAGTCTTTGGGGTCCTTCAGCTCGGCAATGAATGTGAAGAAGGTGTTGTGGCTGACTGCACACTGTTAGACACTGCTGGCATCTCCCTGGGAGATAAAGGACTCGATTACCGTAAGAGAAAGCAATGTTCGCGGCAGATGTAAAACCAGTCACCAAATTTGTTTCGACGGTCGCACTAATAATAACATCGGGGTTCTGGATGCCTAGGGAGATCATGCAGATCAAGACAGCGGATAAAATACTGGCGAAGGCTGGGCAGAGACCGGAGTATTAGTTATTGGGCATACAAGAGCATGAGTTGCTATATAGGACAACTTACAGACAAGTGACAGCCAGGAGACTTTCTCCAGTGTCCGCGGCAAAGAACAGATAAGTGAAAGAATCAAGGCCACAACGCCAAAAACAATTGAGCAAGTGGCATGCTTGGTAATGGCATTGAGCGCCACGGTAAAGGTCAGGATATGGCTTGCCATAATGAATACGAGGAAGAGCAATTGTGCAGTTCCAAACAGCCCATATCCAAACCGGCCCATTAGAACCTCCCCTGCATCAGCCATGCTGGAAATATGAGGATGCCTCGACTTGAACTTTCCGATGAGATATCCGGTATACGTAGCCAAAAGGCCCATGCCAATGAGGACGACAAGGGCTGGAGTAAGTCCCATGCCTGCTACGGCTGCCGGAAGAGACAATATGCCTAGTGAGATGGTTTCGGAAACCATGAGCAAACCACCTTGCCTACATTACGATGTCGGCATTAGCCATTGTATATAACCCAGCTATGAAAAGAGTCAGTCAGAACGTACCACCACCTCAGGACCTTGTATTTAACCTCCGCAAATTCCTCATTTCCAAATGCATCTTGGCGTTGTGGTGTAGGATCAGGCTTTTTCCCAATATCAGTAGCGTCGGCATGGGCCCATTGCGGTTCAGCATCGACATTGGTCGGCTCAATGTCAACAATTTGAGGCCTTGGAGTAGTCGTCATTCTCATATTAGATTGGATGACATAGAAAGAGGAGAGGAACGATATCTAAGACAGTGAAACAAGAAGGTGATAATTTCGTTCCGTGGCGGAATAGGGGAAAGAAATCATGGACTGGATAGCGCATATGGTGGGGGAGCATTATAGAAACGGCCCCAGAGTCATTTCTTGCTGGGATATAATACTCTCCTTCCCGTTTCGATTGCTACCGCGGCCTAGTAGATGTCATCGCGCTGGTCTGTACCTACTAAATGGAAGTGCTGGACATCGGTGGATCGTGTCGGCGAGATTTTGCCCAGTAATACAAGGACCTGGATGGAGGGAGTGGATTTCGGCGGCAAAATGCTACGTAGTGGGACTTTTGAGGGGAGGGAAAGGCATGCCTGTTCAGCGGTAGATAAGGTCCGTACTAATTTACCCTGCAGCCCCTTTAGCAGATTGTGTCCTATCAGAAATCGGTTCTGGGGGCGTTTTAGGTCTCAAGGACGCGAAGGGCGTTGGCATCTCAATATTTGCGATTATGGGTGCATCCATGCGTTATCTTGATATACGTTCCCTTGCGCTTCCCCAGTCGAGTCCCCGGTCTATTCCCCAGATTTGGCGATTTGTCACGCAATGAATGAATTAGGAAATCTGGGGTATTCGTATGGACAACCACCACGGAAACGCTTTCCAATCTCGGAGTTGATTGTCCCTTGAGTGGGTCCTGGTCCGTGGTATCGGTGTGCTTATTTAATGCACTCATAGATGGATCAAATATATCTTCATCGTAATTTGACTAGTGCCCGGCGGCAAAATATTCTGAAGGTGTTATTGTCGCAACTCAAATAGTTATCCAGCTTGATTATTAATTAAAGCAATTTAAGTACAGTCATAAATCATAATAGTACCCACGCAACAGGATATAGAAAGCAGGCGGCAGCGAAATCATGTCTCACCTCGCCTAGCTTCCGTTTCGGTCCAACGTCGACACCATTCACCCAAAAGCTTCTGTGAAACAGGCTCCATCCCAGCCATTGTGAAGCTTGTCAACTTACACTTATCCAAGTCGAAGCGCGGTTGTTCTTCACCCACAATGGATTGAAAGAAAGGCAAGATTCGAATCTTTTCAGCCTCGGCCTCCCTGGAGAGCCTTTTGGGTAAGAGACAAGTAAAATGTTCCACCCATTGCTCGAAGCTGACTAGCTGCGATGAAGATATGCATGCCTGTAATGCGGTTGCGAATTCTGAGAATGGAACTGGTCGGGGATGAACGACATTGTATAGCTGCACGAAGGGGGTGTCCGTGTTGGCGGGTTGCTCCTGTTGCAGAGAGAGATCGAGGATCGCGCGCGACATCTGATCCACAGGTATCCAGTCGACTTGACCCATTTCATCCGGCACAAGGCCACTGGCTTTGGAAAGAATTGCCACGGAGTGAACCCAGTCGCGACTATCCCATTTACCTGCATCTCCGATCGTAGTCGGACCGGCAACTTGTCCTAGTCGAAGAATTGTAATGGGAATTTGGAGCTCGGCACCTGCTGCAGCGAGTAGTCTTTCTGCAACCTGTTTTGATTGTGCATATCCCGTCAAAGCGGTTGTATGTGCACATTTAATCACCTCTTCGGGAACTGGTACATTTGGAGAAATCACTTTGACCCATCGTTGCACAGCGCCAGTGGATGACATGAAAACAATTCGGGGGTGGGATGGTGCCCTATTTGCGATTTCGATAAGCGTGTTGACACTTTTCAGCATTTCGGGTAGGAATGAGGACAGTGATAAAGCGAAGTTCACGGCCCAGGCGTTGTGGATGATGACGTCTACGTGGTTGGATATTTCATCCAGCTGCTTTTGCGGCAGATTCAGATTTGGTCGAGATAGATCAACAGAGATAAACTGCAGCCGCGCGTTATTTGAATCAATGTCTAGATTCAGCTCGTCGGCGCGACGCTGGAAAGCTGCCCGCCCATCTGTACCTCGATCTAGGCATTTGATGCCTGCAACACGGGGGTCATCGAGCAGGTCCTTGACGATGTATGGTCCCAGTCGCCCTCTTGAGCCCAGCAAAACGACTTTGATATCTGCATCTGGAAATGACGGAGCTTGATTTTCCTTGCTAGGCTCTGGTAACTGAGCGACAAGGCCATCCAAAATCTCATCAACTCCACTTGCTCGCTGCAAGTCAAGCTCATTCCGTTCAAAGACAGCATTGAACGTGGCTTTTGCCAGTGCCTCGATAGATGGATTCTCGAAGATCGTGTGCAGCCAAAAGTTGATCACGTTTTTCTTTTTATCCATGCGCCGATGGAGACCGAGTCTTAGTTTCTGCCCAAGCTCGACGACAGTGAGCGAGTCTATCGCCTTGGCAACGAAGAAATCATCGCTTTCTTTGAGGGTGATGTCGGGTCGAATGTCATGGACAATAGACCCAATGAACCTCTTCGCTTCATCCATCCAGTGATTCTCTAAGATCCCTATCTCGCTTTGCTCATCCGTTGTGCCATAAAGGAACACCGCAGCAATATACTCGGCGTACAGTGACTCGGTTGGTTTTCGCGATATTGTGCCTTTTGGGGCTCTGAAGAATCCAAGATTGGGCTGGCTTAGTACGATTCGCGACCGGCGGATCTTGCCATACTCTGGCGCGATCGAGTTAGCTTGTGCGATGGATGGCCAGATTGCATCGATGAATTCCTTCTTGCTCATCCTGGCTACTTGAGGTCCTGGTCTTGGCTCGATTAGGAGGAGTACCTCAGGCCGGCCATTGCCCACAACCAAAGCCCCGGCGATATGGGGATCGCCAGCAAGAACAGCCTCCATGGGGATGGGCCATACTATTTGGTTGCTGCTCAAGACGAGGATGTCGTCTGTACGAGAATAGAAGCGCCACAGACCGGGCTTTGATGGATGAGGAATGAACAAGTCCTTGGTTCGCCAGGTCTTTGCCTCTGGGAAGTTGTGAGACAAGGAGCGTCGTCCGATGAACTTCTCGTCCTGATGCAATACCATTTCATAAATGCCCACGCCAACTTCTTGCATGTCACATTCGTCGTATGGATTGAGCTCTATATGTTCCCATTCTCCCGGTTGAGGCATCAGCGTTTGAATCTGACCCATTTCGAGAGATCCGTACATTTGACAGACATTGGTCACGTCGTCAAGCTTGTTTCCAGCAGTTCGTGATAGAGGGCCTCCACCATAGAGCACAAAGTCAAGATTTTTTGCTTGCTCATATGCGGTCGGCTCTGTCACCCATTGCTCAATGATAGAAGGAGGAAGATAAAGAGCTCGGACATCTTGCTCCTTCATGACGGTGTCTACCAAGGACCCACTGGGTGGCATCATGGGAGGCCCCATGATCACAGCGGCAGCCTGAGAAAATGCAGGCAGCAGTGTGTATGCTTGGATGCCAGCCATCTTGGTAATTGTTAGTCCTTGAAAACAAATACACACGGTGTAGACATCCAACTTACATGATATGGAGGGAAGCAGGAATAAAACCTTCCTGGCGGAGAGAAATTGAACTGAGAAGCATTCTGCGGACTTCGTCCTTCGGGTACGGGAATTTTGGGATCGTTGTCTGTACAGGAGAATGTGGCATGTGTGAGATAGACTAGTTTCGGTGGGCCTATACGTAGATTAGTGAGATAGACTGATACTGATGAGGTTGCCATACCGGTTGAGCCCGAAGAATGTAAGATTAGACATTTCTCATCCTTGAGCTCCGCGAATGACGCATCGAAAGGGTATCGCGGAGTTTGAGATTTGAGCAAATCTGTCATTGATGGCACTTGTTTGCAGGACATAGATGGGTCGAATTTCTGCAGACCTTTGGCCATAGATCGTAGAACATCTGCGTAGAGGAGTGCATGAACATCGGCTTGTTGAAGGAGCCCCAGATTGAGAATAGCCGGATTCCGCGGCGAAATGAACAGTGTCTAGTTCATGAGTATCGACATTGAAAAACTGCCATTTGAAGTGACACAGGGTTCAACTTACTTTCCAATCGCATTTGATCGCCGCCAGCAGCAGAATCGTATATCGAAGGTCCCCTGCACCAATGTAGGCCAGGGTTCTTCGCTCCTTTGGGGCATTTTTCAATGTCCGTTTGATCCACCACGCCATGTGGTCCACCGCCGAAGCCATGTCCTTCATCGTAACGTCCTGGAAGCCATTGGCAACGCTTTCAGACGTCGAGATGGCCGCAAACACGCGATCGGGCTCATGATGGGCACAATAGTCAACAATGTGGGGCAACAGTCGATGTCCGCGATATTTCTCTGCTCCCTGAGCCCATGGTTCAATGGAGCTTGCGCCTGTCATCATCAATCTGTGGAGGATGGATTGTATAGCGAAATTGTGACTCCGCTCGAGGGATGGGGCAGTCCGGCGTAGTCGACGTAGATAACCTCGAGGTTCATGCCAAGATCTAGACAAGTGCGCAGGCCGCAGGGATCCTCGAGAGAAGAGGTGCTAGCTGCAACGCAACCCGCAACTGCGGGTCAACACTATAACCCTTCTGGAGACACTAATGCGCGGGCATCTCGCCCCCTTGTTGGCCTTCCGAAGCCAAAGAATGGATTTGATTTCCCCTGGCCTGGCCTGGCATCGGCTGAGGCGCACTTCCAATTAGATGGCGCATGTCACCGAGCTGCGCCATCGCTCGACGGTGCATCTTGATACCATGGCCCTGGATCTGCTAAGAGCGTGGAGGATCAGACTCCACTCGCTGTGAGTCCCTCCCCCCATTCGTGGCGCAAAATTGGACGCTGCTGGTCATGATTCAACTCTATGCCGATGACTGTTCGAGACGTTGGCTGTTTTCTTTTCCTAATCTGTTTTCGGGCCCCCCTTACTCGAATCCCGAGGTGGTGGTTGACGACACGCGTAGCGCTGAAGCACAAGTCAGTGGGGACCTTCGTGAAGCCTTGCGGAAAGAGTGGGAGCAGGATGCAGTGATTGGTAGGAATGCTCCAGCTCCAGCTTTATCGTCATTTTCGTCGAGCCTTGTGGCATCTTTCTGCAGATCGCCTGTCGCTGCTCATTAGGCGTTCTGGGATCGGATGTCGGTATCGGAAGCATCAAAGCATCGGAGAGGGCCGCCTAAAATCTGGCAGCTGACGGTGGAGCCGGATGTGGACTGCGAGCGATCCGCTGTGCCGCATTTAGATTTTGCTTATTGCTTGGCTTGATCGCATGGACGAGGGTGAGCGAAAAGGATGGGTGGGGACGGGTAGCGGGTCTGAGGGAATCCCTCGGCCACCGGGCCCGACTTCCCCGGGTGATCCTTGCCATAGCGAACATGTTCAGACCCTCCTGTCTCAAATTCCAGATGTGCTTATTCGACGATCGTGTGCAGACGGGAGATTCAATTTAAGCCATGAGTGAGTGCCGAGTATAGGAAAGCCTTCCAGCTTAAGCTTATCCTTGACAAAATTTACCTGGGACCGCCGTAGCTTCCCACTGTTTACTAGTACAGAGTGTAGTGGTTACCGTTACCAAGGCAATAATTTGCTGTAACCAAATTAGCCCTGCTTCACTGGAGACAGAGAACGCAATGATAGCTCATAATGAGGCAAGTCACAAAGGTACATGGCTTACTACCTACGCCTCGCCATGGTGTACAGCAGCCCGTGTTTATGACCTGAGCGAAAAAGAAAGCACCCCTTAGACCGCGCGTGCTAGAAATGATATATATGAAATACGCGCAGTAGTGCATACTAAAAATTCTATGATAGGGGTAGAAATAAGAATGGCACCCCACCCCCTGTCAACCGCATCTTCCATAGCAGGAGGCGTCAAAGCTAGTACGGACTTCCGGTAGGCAATAGATTGACAAGTCAGATTTCCTGAAGGCAGCTTCCTCTCTAATAGCCCTATATCCAGTACCTTTGGGGTGCGCTGAGATCGCAATTTATTGTCTGTATATTTGCCTGGCAATGCGAAATCTCCGTCGTACAAGTCATTCTGGCCCCTTGCCCAAGGCCCAGATTTTGAGCGACTGCTAAGTCGAAAGCACTCCACAACAGTGGGCGGTGCACTTCGTGCTACCTCATAGACTTACTTTTTCATCTTCATTTTCTCGTATTAGAAGGAAGGCAGCTTAAGGGGTCTGATGTGAAAAACGCCTCAAATAACGCCCTGGCCGTGCTTCGACACTACCGCTGTAAATTCTGGAACATGATCTGCCAAGATTACGCTGACAGCGGGGACTAAGACCGCCGCGGGGCTCGGTGTTGATTCGGAGTCTCAGTTGTCCTTCACTCTCTTGCCTGGCCTGTGGAGCTGTTCTAGACAACAAAGCTCAGCGTACCGCGTGTCTCTCCGCACGGCAGATTTCGTCGTTTCGGGCCGTGGCTTGGTACCATGTGAGGATAATGTGAGGCGCCAATCACAACGCAGAACCTTACCTTGACGGCTCCTCCCCGAGTATACACCAACTCCTTTTTTGCGAACGCTCGTCACAGGTGAGAAACAGAATGCACAAGATGGCGATGTTGAAATAGTGTACTAAATGTTGGTTTGGTGGAAGAACACCCATGATACCTCGACAAACGCTTTTCAGAGGCTAACAGCGCGATAAGACCAGGACTGACCACGAGCGATCCTGCCCTGCAGCAACCCCTGAAGGCGTCGCATTCGATCGCGCATGTGTTTCCCAGAATCCGGAACCCTAGCGACCCTTGCTGCAGTTATCGAGCCTCGTCTCCACCTGGCGCGACGCCGGTGAAGAACCATTGACAGCCATGAGCGGAGCGTGTAGTGGTGTCTTTCCGGACACTGTCGGCATGAGGCTGTTTTTCAAAACGACCTAGCGTGGTCTGAATCGAGCGTCGTTCCGGTCTCTTAGCAATCTTCTACACTCCATGGGTGGACGGCGCGTCTGTGCCGGACAGGGGTGTGACAGGGGTCGGGAAAGGACTGGCATTAGGCCTTGGAACCGCCTCCAACATAAAAATGATTAGCACGAGCTAAGACACCCTTCATCCTTCGATCCTTTTGGACCCCTGAGACCTGGATGTCACAGGCCGAGCCTGGATACGAACAAGAATATCGTACTCTGGACTCGAGTCTAGTCTAGGATTCAAACAGGGTCGCTGGTCCCTCGGCTGGATGTCGCAATCTTGCATTGTCAGCATGTGAGCAGATTAGCTTATACCAGACGTCTTGATTCCTATCTAGATAGAACATGTTCGCTTTCAATATTATGCAGCAATTTATCGTGACGTGATGGCTGACAGCGACCTGTCTAACTGGGGTGATGCAGAACTATATCAAGCCTCTGCCATGGCAAACTACCCTATCTCGATCTTCGATGTGTGCTGGCAGAGATATTCTCACTGGCTCCACTGAAGATGCCCTCCCCCCAATATTAAGGCGAGCGACTCTTAATCGATACCAGACCTAGCTACCCAGTCGATCATTTTGCAGAGGTAAACGAACCGGATCGAACATCCAATTGCATACTGTGCGGAGTCGGTCGGGATCCCACAGACGCCAAAGATTATCCACGCGGCCATCTCTGTCAGTTTGTCTCGTGCGTGAGTCAACATGTTGCATTGGGGTGTGCAGCTGAGCCACGCACTGGCGAGCATACGTGATCACATAAAACGCATGAATGAATGACTCAACCTCCATCCATCAATTCCAGAAACGACCGACGTATAAGACGGATGTTCCTCCACCCTTCCAATTTCTTCGTCGTCGTCATCAAACATGATCTATAGTCAAAAGCCAGCAAATGACGGCATTCCATATTGACTAACCAACCAAATATTCCAGAGTACAAAACTCTTCTTATCCGCCTCGGCACTTCGAAACAACAGCATTCGACCGGCAATGAGACAAGCCAGCAAAGCAAAATACACACCCGCCCAGTGCAAAGCTCCACTCTCACCACCCTGCAACCAACCCCAGTAGCAAGGACTAGCGATACCCCAGAGGACCACGCAAACTGCAATGAGCCAGCGCGCGAGCATCGCCAATTACAAGCGGCAGTGCCCTGCGACCATGGGCACTATCCTCAACTTGGTCATATAGATCCTGAGCCTGGACCGTGGTGAAAACAATAACACCGATGATACACAGCCAAGGAAAAATTCTAGTCCGTCGACAGCCGTGAACTGTATCCACTGCGCAGAGTCAAGATGTATCTGCAAGGCTCCAGAAGTGTAGCAGATGAATCCGACGGCGTTAATGAGGTTCCGAACCACGCAGCTTGCATCCGCACCCTTGGCTTCGCTATACGAGAATCCCAAACCGATCAGCGTGATGCATTGTGCTAGTCCGCTGACATGGAGACTTGTAGCCAATGCGAGGAGGTAGAAGACTAGCATCGTGGTTTGGGCGTACTCGGGACTCATTCGGCCTGATGGCATCGTTCTCCACGGTTTGTTGATTACTTCTTCTGCGATTGCGTCTGGTTGGTGCTGGTTGTCGACGTGACAGGAAGGAGGTTCAGCAATGCCCAGAGTAGGACGACTGGTACGAGCTGCAAACACGTGCTCCATGCTGGTGCGTCTTGTATCCCGAAGGATGATAGTCCCATTGAGGTGAAGAGGCCCGAAGCCGAAGCTCGTTGCGATGATGGTTTTAGGTCGCTGAATGTGAATAACCAGATCGAGTATGCGAATTGGGCTGGGTCTTGTATCGCAGCGTTTGCAAGAGAGGGGATATTTTTGAAGAATTGAGGCGGCTTCAATGATTCCTGTTGAGGAAGAGTCAAGATGTGCGAAGCCATTGCGGTTGTGGTCGATTGCATGGTCATGAAACTTGAGGAAATTTGAAATGCCTTCTTCTTTTGCCCGGATCTCCATACAAATTATGCTCTTTGAGAAATACCATCCTGGAAAACATAGCTGCTGCATCGACAAGGTTGGCTTGGTGTATGTCGAAAATAACACTGTATCCGCCCAACTCCAAAACATCCCAGCTATTGCTGAATCCGAATGCTGGCATCACCACGTCACATCATCCCTATCTCAATATCCCTCAATAACATTCAGTATCCCAGTTCTCTCGGTTTTTAGCCTTTTTGGGGTCGAGGCGCAACTATTCGCAGTTCTTCGCAGCTCCTTCCTAGAAAGGTTTAGTATAGCCCTACCAGATTCTCACATATGCTGACCGATTTCCAGCTGCTCATACTCAATCATTACCTCCTGAACTACATGGGTTTCGTGAATAGCACATGCATCGAACTGACGCTGGTCCCGACCAGAGAAAATGTGATTTTCACCACGTGCATTGTGGCGGGCGTGGTTGGTGTTTTCATCTGCAATTTTCATCAAGCACGAGTGGAACATGCAAGGTTCAAAAACAATCAAGGCAATCACCTCTTCATTTGCCATCTTATCGTTTTACGAGAGCAGGAAGACCTTCTCCATCATGGCCCTCAAACTCTCTGCCCTGATCCAAGCTTCCTCCTATAATTATGGCTCAGCATGGCCATCTATCGACTTTCCAGACATCGCACTCGCCATTTCCCCAGGGCCACATCTAGCAGGTGTATAAATCTCTGGTACATGTATCAATGCCGACACGGACAAAACCTCCTTGTCCTTGAAAACCTCCATCGCAAATATGGCAACTTTGTCCGGACAGGACCTTGTGAGGTTACCATCTTTCGTCCCCAAACACTAGCCCGACTCGACGGACCAGACACTCGAACCAGCAAGTCCGACTGGTATGACTTTCTCCTCCCGAATGTCGGGGTAAGCACCGCCCGCAACCAGTCATATCATGACCAGCGACGTCGACTCTGGACAAAAGGGTTGTCCAACAGCGCGATGGAGCGGTATCAGAAAGACATTGATAGCCATGCGTGAATCCTGGAGGCTCAAATTGCTCAGTCTGCTGCCAAGAGCACAGCTGTGCCATTCTCTACTTATGCTTACTGATTCTCGTTGACACCATGGGTCTCTTGCTTTTCCGAGGTCTTTTGATATGCTGCACCGAAGGACTGGGATTACTGTGTGAGGAACCTGCGGAGAACGATGAGCCTTATCGGGCCTTTTTCACCTGTTCCGTTGTTGGCCCAGATTGGGTGTGGCCTTTGAGGGGTTATTGGGTTGGTCGCGATTGGCATACTATGACGTCTTGGTATGCTGAGCAGATCAAGGAGCGCATACAGGTCAGTCTTTTGATCTTCCTCACTGGCAGTGTCACGCATTTTGATAGACTTTGTTCAAGGAACCTGATACACATGATGTGGCGCGGGGATGACAATGACGAAGTAAACATGATGAGCTAGTATGCTGCTCTGGGGGATAGCTAGTACCGAGTCCAGCTCTGCCAGCCCGGCATGGCTACACTAGTAACCGTTACCGTATACTCACCAAAGTATCAACCGAGTAATATGTTATACCCCGCATGGACCTAACCAATACGGCTAGCTCTTCTACGTGCGGAGTCACTTGCCTCTCCCACGTCGACCCACTTTCATTCCGACTCCCTCACTCCATTTGATAGCTGGGCTATATATCCTTGCGGGGGTCGGCGACTCTTCCGTTGCCCAGGCTAGCTCTTTTGTTTCAAAATGGCTTCATTTCGAGAAATCACCGCGCCCAACGGGCAGCGCTACCAGCAGCCCACTGGCTTGTTCATCAACAATGAATTCGTACCCGCAACGGGCGGGCAATCAATCACCTCTTTGGACCCCGCGTTAGTTGTTTCCGAGCCCATTCGCATGATACAGATTTTCTGACCTCAATTGAAATTCAGAACCGACAAGCCCATTGCCACCGTCGATGCTGCCAGTGCCGCCGATGTTGACCGCGCAGTCCAAGCCGCCAAAGCTGCGTTGGCGCATCCCTCGTGGAAGCTCCTCCCCGCAACAGACCGGGGTCAATTGATGGCCCGACTGGCCGATCTGCTTGAGCAGAACAGGGAGCTGCTGGCAACTATCGATGCCTGGGACAATGGTACCTTTTTTAGCAGAGACACAAGGCTATTTGACAAGCTAACTCAATTGTCTAGGAAAACCCTACCACGTCGCATTCGAGGAAGATCTCACTGAAGCCATCGGCACCATCCGATACTATTCTGGCTGGGCCGACAAGACCTTCGGACAGACCATCAACACCACCCCTCAGAAATTTGCCTACACCATCCGCCAGCCGGTCGGCGTTGTGGGCCAGATCATCCCTTGGAACTACCCTCTTTCCATGGCCACCTGGAAACTAGGACCTGCCCTGGCTTGCGGTAACAGCGTTGTCCTGAAGCCGGCCGAACAAACCCCACTCAGCGCTCTTATCCTGGGTAAACTGATTAAGGAGGCCGGGTTCCCACCGGGCGTGGTCAATATCGTTAATGGCTACGGCCGTGACGCCGGTGCCGCGCTTGCATCGCACCCGCTCGTCGACAAGGTCGCTTTCACCGGGTCGACAGGGACAGCACGCGAGATTATGAAGATGGCCGCGGGGTCGCTGAAGAACATTACTCTGGAAACGGGCGGCAAGTCACCGCTGCTTGTGTTCCCCGACGCGGATATGGACCAGGCGGTTAAGTGGTCGCATTTCGGTATCATGTCGAACCAGGGCCAGATCTGTACGGCTACGTCGCGGATCTTCGTGCACCGGAAGATTCTGCCTACTTTTCTGGAGAACTTCAAGAAGGCTGTTGAGAGTGTCAAGATTGGCGACCAGTGGGATGAGTCGACTTTCCAGGGTCCCCAGGTCACCCGTCCCCAGTATGAGCGCATTCTTTCATTCATTGAGATTGCAAAGAGTGAGGGTGCTACAATCCTGACCGGTGGTGCTGCCCACGCCCTTTCCGACCCCAAGAACAAGAATGGGTACTTTGTCAAGCCGACTGTCATTACCGATGTCACCGATTCGATGCGCATTGTCCAGGAGGAAGTCTTTGGGCCTGTTGTTGTGATCCTGCCATTTGATACTGAGGAAGAGGCTATTCAGCGTGCGAACAATACTACGTATGGCCTGGGTGCTGCGGTGTTCACGACTGATCTTGAGCGGGCGCACCGTGTCTCGGCTGAGCTGGAGTCTGGTATGGTATGGGTGAACAGTAGCCAGGACTGCGATCCCCGTATTCCGTTCGGTGGTGTTAAGCAGAGCGGTATTGGTCGTGAGCTTGGCGAGGCTGGCTTGGAGGCTTATAGCCAGATTAAGGCTGTTCATGTTAACATGGGCACTAAGCTGTAAGGGATAGGATTGGATGTACATGGAACTAGACTGGTTTACGATAGAAACTACGGCTTGACGTTTTTCACTATACCTCCCTGATTTGCTTTCTATTCATATTCTATAGCAGCTTAAGCCAAAATATATCACGAGCTCTAGGAAGTTCTAGTAGTACTAACTAGTTATGCACCATCCTAGTTGATGCCTTAGGCTGGAGGAAAGTATCCACGACAACAACTCCTTATTCCCTAAACGGCAAGAAGTCCCTCCGTCCCATTCAAAAAAATCAAGCCAAGAGTAAGCTCCCATCTTCGATGATGAAATCAACAGCGGGGTATCTTGTGATTGCTGAGGGGCATCGCAATCACCCCTCTTGCCCTCATTCCTAATGTGGATATCACTCGTAATCTCCTTCCAAAACCGCAAGTGGGCCCACCCAATCAAGTAACCAGGCTCCCCTAGAGGTATCTATACCTCCATTCTCCAGGTACAGTGCCAAATATACAACCACCATGGGCAACACAAAGAGAAAGTCGCTCCGCTGCGTTTCAGTATATCTACAATCGAAGCACGCACCATCTGGCAACACTCAACCCCTCCAAACCCTCCTCTCATAATCACATACCGTGAACCTCCATCTCAAAAATACCCTCCGAAATGGCATCCATCGGCGGCATCATGGTGGCTTTGATCACCCCCTTCACAGACGACAAGACCAAGATCGACGAAGGCCGCCTCCAAGCCCACATCGAGCACCTCATTAAAGCCGGCGTCCACGGCCTCGTCCCTGGCGGCAGCACAGGTGAATTCACTACCATGTCCACAGCAGAGCGCAAGCAGCTCACAGAGTTGTGCGTGAAATTCGCCGCCGGCCGCGTACCCGTCGTCGTAGGCACTGGTAGCACCTCCAGCGATGAGGCCATCGAGCTCTCTGCGCACGCGGCCAAGGCCGGCGCCGCGGCTGTCATGGTTGTGCCTCCTTTCTACGATCCCGTCAACCTGGAAGAGTTGCATGAGATGCTGGGCGAGATTCACAACGCCTCCAAGCTGCCGATTATGTTCTATAATATCCCCGCTGCGTCTGGCTTGACGCTCTCGCCGCAGGAGATTGCGGGACTGTCCAAGGTCGGCGTCAAGTATCTGAAGGATACCTCTGGCAATGCGCCTGCGCTCACCGAGTTAATTTTCGGTCTATCGGATCAGATTACTGCGTTTAACGGGTGGGATTCCTTGACCTTCTATGGTCTTGCGGCGGGCTGCCCTGGTGGTGTTTGGGGCGCTGCGAACTTTATTCCCGAGTTGGCGGTTGAGCTTTGGGACGCTGTTGCCGTTAAGGGCGATTTGAAGAAAGGTCGGGAGCTTTGGTCTAAGGCGTGGCCGATTTGCAAGTTCCTTGAGTCTCATAACTATTGTGCGGCTGTTAAAACCGGTGTGGAATTGAGTGGCCAACAGACTGGTGGGCTCCGGAAGCCTTTCTCGTTGTTGAAGCCTGAGTTGCAGGCGGAGTTGAAGGTGCTCCTGCAAAATGCTGGTGTGAAGACTATCTAGATGGTGCAGCACATGTGGTCTTGATTTTGATGTAAATATTTGAAGCTTTATGCTTGGAACCATTATATGATGTTATGGTATGAAAGTCAGTTCATCAGTTCGTACAATACTTAGGTATACATGCTGGTCGTAAAAATAAACAAGAAGTGCAACATGAAAAAACATTCTGTAAGATCAACAGAAAAGAGGCCAAATTTGTTCCTCTTTGGCAATATCAATCCAACACGGCATCGCATCACGCCGATTGGCTGTGAGATGCTCGTCTTGTCTCCGCCACGATTTAATCATGATATCGCGAGCGGTTGCGTATGAAGCGAATCCACATTTATCGCCAGCGTCCTCCAGCCACTGCATAATAGCTTCTCTCCTCGGTGTCGTTATCGCTTCGCATCCAGCAATAAAGGCCGGCCAAGCGGTCCCAGGGCCCGAGAAAACCTCTTCAGACAAAGAGGCGCTGCATTCTTGCAGTGCATGAATAACACTATCGACGTGGCCCTGTAAGACAGCAGGATGTGCCTCCCGAATTCGGCGATAGAAAAAGATGACGAGGGCCGAGTTCAGTGCCTCGAGCATGTGCGCATGCGGCTTCGACGTCGCTTGCAGTTCTGTAGATTTGCCTCGCGCAAGACCGAGGTTGAAAGAGCAGATCATGTTCTCTAACCGCATTGCGCGGCGCTGTAGTGATTCCCAAGCCTCGAGGTTGACTGGCCTGTTTAGGTTGCGAGCAACTAGGAGTGTTGCGAGTACATTTGCTAGTCTCGTAGTCTGCGATACAAGGCTCAGCCATGTCTCGGGGATTCCGTAAATCTGCTTGTATAGTGTTTCTGGGAAACTTCGTGAATCGTGTAGATGGATGTCATGGAAGCCGGAGGCTCGGTCTTTGGGTTCGTCGATGTTGAGATCGCTGTCTGAGCTTTGGTTTTCGATTCGGAGAAAGTCGTCGAGTCGAGGATTAGGCTCGCTCTGCACGGTGTAAACTTCGGAGGTATTACCGGCTCCGCCTGAGACATGGGAATGGGAACGGGATGAGGAGCTGAGAGTTCCGAGACAGGCATATGACAAGCTGTAGTCGTGCAGGACGAATGTACTTTCGCCTACGATACGTAGCCAGGTGTAAACGTGGTGCAAAAGCCGGGCTTTCTTGGATATCCTTCTCTTTGATAAACCTCGAAGACGTAGAAGCTTTTCGGCGTCAATCAAGAAGCAGCGGGCGTGCTGTTGTTGCCCGGACAGAATCTGGGGTTATCAGAGTCGACTCAAACAATGCAAATGACTCCCGGTAGGCTCTTACCGCATATTGTGTGAGGATGTTGGCTGCCATCAGCTGATCCTTATATTTGGCCTTCTTTGGCCCTTGGGTCTCATGTTGTAATGAGACCTGGATATGATCTTTCGCCTGCTGATATGTCCGATTCGCTACTTGAAGCCAATGCTCTGTAGACTGTGTTGGGTTTGCGGGTGGCTTCAAAGCTAAATCAATTGCAGAGCAAGCAAGAAGGCCGTAGAGATTGGCCAGTCGAGCATGACTTATTCCCTCTGTTCCGAGGAATGTCGTATCTCCAAATGCTACTACTGCCGCTGGCAGATTCAGAATCTTCCACGGAGATTTCTGTCCGAACGGAATGGCCATAATTTGGGGAATGACAACATCCTGGAAGTGTTTTAGGAGATATTGCGCGTCCTTCAATACATCTGTGGTTGTGGGGCCCAGCTCCATTGGAGTTTGCTGAGGCGTCAGCATTCGAGCCGGCTCTTCCGGACCATTCGTCAGGCCTTGGAGCAGTGCAGTTTCGTTGTTGATATCAAATGATAGATCACTTGGCATCGTCAGCGTTGGAAGTGTAGAAAATCCGGCTTGGTCGGGACTGAAGCTTAAAAGGTCGGACCAATGCAGGAAGTCATCCATCTGCGACAACGACTCGATTATCGAGACCGGACTCGCATCAATGATCTCCGGAGGGATGACGGGGTCCGCAGGATCCCCTGTCGGAGCCGGGTCAACGAGCGTCGATTCATTTCTCTGTGTCGGCGCCACTGGCGGCTCTGCTTCTGCAGACGGCCCCGAGAAATCGAGAACAGCAAAGGGACCGATGACGATGTCGTTTTCAAGCGACCGGTCCGGATCCCGGGACCTCACATCGACTTCGGCCAAAGACGCATCAATCGAGCCCGATATCAGATTAGAGCTGAGAGCCGTGCTCATGGACAATCGCGATTCCTCTGTAAGACGTTGTCAGTTCTCGTCCATTCCGCAGAAATTGATGACCGCAAATACCGGTGTACAAATGCCGACGAGTCCCGCGGTGACCACCATCGCCTGCCTCGCCGGTCTCATCATCACGCATCCAGAGAACTTGATCGGGAAATCCCTCGCAGGTGACTCCGAGCGCACGGCAAGTCCGGCAAGCGGGCCGTTTCTGGTCGCATTTGACGTGTCGCCGTCTGCAAGTGCTGCAGCCGCCCAGCACATGCGATCGGCGCGTGCGCGCCCGTTTCGAGCTTACCATGAAGCTAAGCTGGTTGATATAATAAGCTGAGAGGATTCAGTAATTCATTCATGTCAAAATCGTGGCGAGGAATGGAAAACCGGAGTGCCGGATGTTGGAGCCCCGCAACTTCGTCGTCGCAGCGGAAACGCCTGCCATTTTGAAACGCATTCTTATCTTATCTACCATACAATCCACCAACCCTGGGAAGACCCTCAAATGAGGCATCCTGTGAACCCGGTATCTTTCCTCGCCATATTATACCTCACTTAACTCTCAATTTACTCTCACTTCTCATATTAGGTAAGTCAATGTATATTTTAAGTAGGTAGGTGATTTTAAGATCATATAAGCTTAACTTTAAAGCTCAGACAGAAGAAGTTAAGGCCACATGGATATAAGCTTAAGACAATATGGGTTTAAGCTTAAAGATTAGATATACTGTTCGGATGACTGTTCGGGCGACTATTTGAAGACTGCTATTTAGGGCGGTCAGATTGGAGAACATATCTCAATGATTTAGGCGTCAGGCCCGACTGTAGATTGGAAAGTAAGCCTGGCCGCTATGACCCGCCGCACCCCAAGGTAAGGAAGTGCTGCCATAACCCCACGCTCGGCCCCATCAACAACTTATAACTTGCCCAGTCGCGTCGCCTCCACCTTAACGGTCGTCGGAATCTCCTGCTCAACTGGGTGCTGCTTCGGAGACCATCCCAGAAAACGTGAGGCTCGCTGCCCCTCCATGCGCGCGTTGGTACCCCAGAAGACTCGGGCGGGTGCCCATAGCTTATCAGCCTCGTCAACACTGAGGCTCTTGACAGCTGTCGAGTCAGTCAGGCCAAGCCTGTGTGTAGCATCCGCGACGAGCTGCGAAATCTTGCCAAACGACTGCATGGAATTAGTACCGAATCGGGGGTCTGCTAGGGGAGAGCGACTTACCATCATGCCATTGCCAACAAAGTAAAGACCGTTCTGATTCCACAGATCACCCTCGGTACCCTGAACAGCCTTCTCGACAAGCTTCACAAACAGATCGCTGAGGTCGGAAATATGGATGTTGCTCCAGGTGCTCTCGCCCTTGCCCACCTGAACGACCTGTCGCGTCTCAATCGCCACACGCGATAACTCGGGAATCTGGACACTGCGCTGCTTGATGACGCCCCTGCCCTCGCCGTAGATTATAGGCGGGAAAATCAGGGCAGTCTTGGGACCCTTGACATTGTTGAGGAGGTAGTTGTCTACAACCCGCATACCGGAATTCTTGCGAATGATCTCACGGACTTCTTCGGCGTTGTCCATGTCCCCGTAGACTTTACCAGCGGCCTCACCAAAGGTGCCGTTCAGAATATCTGGGACGGAAATCACACTTGCGCCTGATACTTGGATCCAATGTCCTGCGGCTTCGGATTAATCGGTGCGTACTTTTGGTCCAGGTAATTGTTGTTCACCCACCTGGCTTGGGGTCATCGCGCTTGGAAAGTCCGCGGGCAATAGCCTCGACGCAGGTCATGTTTTTATTACTAGCAGCATCTGTAATCGATGAGTTCACGTCTTCATCAAGGACTGACAATCGACTTACTGATAATGACATCCGCCTTCGAGGCTTCTTCCTCAATCAACGACGCAGCATCCAGATCACCCAGCACAATACGGACATCAGGGAAGACCTTTGATATAGCAGCGGCCTTCCCGCTATCCCGCAGCAAAACACTGCATTCATATTCTGGATGTGTCTTCTTTAGGAGGTGGAGAACATCCCCGCCAATGTAGCCCGAGGCACCAGTGCTAGTCGGGGCAGAGTCAGCAAGCCACCAATACCCCAAGGCATTATATCGGAACTCACAGGAAAATCCGAGCCATTGTGGTGTGTCGTAGATCGTCTTTGCGCTATTCGTCTTAGTTTGGAAGGAAGTGATCATGCGGTGTTGAGTTGCGTTCGCAAGTCGCTTTAATACGCCTGGCCATGAGACTGCGGGGCGCAACTTTAGCAGGAAGGAGATTCCGACGGCCTCAAGGTGGGTCTCGGCGAGTCTGCGGGGAATTCTACGATAGGAAGTCGACCAGCTAGCATGTATACACTTGGAAGGTACTCGTACTAGTGCTCCAATTTGGATGGAAGTGTAATCAGTGGTAGGTTTGCGCGACATTGCTCGACTTATTTATTGGGTAGGACTCCGTCCTCCTTTACTGGTTTTCTTCCTGCTACACCTTACTTACTACTCTAATCATGGCGCACCGCGGTGAGACCCTTCACAAAGATGTGTGCTGCATCGCCGACTTGAAGGACTTGGGTAGCAAATGCCTGCCACCGATGGTTCGCGGTAATTTGAATTCACCAGCAGTAATAGTGTTTGATGTTCCCTGCTAATTCTGGCAGACTACTACAATGAAGGAGCTATGGACTTGCTCACGTATGATCTCCACATCTGTCAACCTCAATGCCATCCTATTTTAACAAAAATTTACTTGAACAGTCTCCGCGAAAACGAAACTGCCTATGATCGTTACCGCATCCGACCGCGGATTCTAGTCAACGTCGAGGAGATCGACACCAGTACCGAAATCCTTGGCACCAAGGTTCGACACGCGAGATCGTTATATGGATGAATATGATCAGTTGACACTTGTTGGGTCTAGGTCACTCTACCGTTCGGATTCAGTCCCGCCGCCTCTCACCAACTCGCACACCCCGACGGCGAACTCGCCACCTCCCGCGCGGCCGCCAAATATGGAATCGCCATGGGACTGTCCTCATATTCGAACTACTCCTTGGAAGATGTTGCCGCACAGGGACAAGGGAATCCATATGTGATGCAAATGTGTGTGTTGAAGGACCGATCTCTCACGATACAATTGCTGGAGCGAGCAGAGAGTACGTCTCATCCCTAGTGAAATGTCTGGAGCAGGCACTGATGACATCTGTAGAGGCTGGGTATAAGGCGTTGTTCCTGTCGGTGGATGTACCGGTACTAGGCAAGCGGATAAACGAGTATCGGAACAATTATACCCTGCCCGAGGATATGCAATGGCCGAATATTCTCAGCAGTGGAAGTGACCACTCGGACCGCACTGATTATGGTAAGTCTGGCCTGACATTAAGTCGACATGATCAAGCGTAGTCTAACTCGCTCAGACCCCAGTCTCGACTGGGAAAGCACCATCCCCTGGCTCAGGGAGCACACTTCACTGCCCATCTGGCTGAAAGGAGGTAAGCGCCATCATCCCTGCATCCAAGAGATCTTGTTAACTCTTGGCAGTTTGCTCGCCCGAGGACGTGGAACTGGCCATCAAGTACGGCATTGACGGGATTGTCATCTCCAACCACGGCGGGCGCCAACTCGACGGCGTCCCATCCACTCTTGACGCGCTGCGGGTATGCGCGCCTATCGCACGAGGTCGACTAGTGATCGCCGTCGACGGTGGCATCCGTCGAGGCTCGGATATTTTCAAGGCGCTGGCGCTTGGAGCCAGCTTTTGTTTCCTGGGACGGATTCCCATCTGGGGCCTGGCCGTATGTTTCTTGCCCTCGCATTCTCGCAAGATCATTACTCACTCCACGAACAGTATGATGGCCAAGAAGGCGTGGAACTGGCGATTAAAATCCTCCGCCAAGAGCTCAAGATTACCATGGCGCTGGCCGGGTGAGTCCATGAAGCCGCGCGCGTGGTCCCTGCATTCGACGCCACTGACATTTCTCCTCCTCAGGTGCCGCAATGTAGGCGAGATCCAGAAAAGCTATTTGTCAGTCCTGCTGCCCGACGGCATTCTTGCCAAGCTGTAGGACAGCACGTCCTTCATAACCTTCCTCGTCTTCATGAAGGAGAGCATGAAGGAGGAGGCCGTGATCCGAACATCCGACCGGCCCCGTGACAAGTGGTGTGCCAAGAGGCTTGGCGCCCCGCCAGCAGTAGGGCTGAAAAAGGGCTGGAAATTACATGACAGCACAACAGAAACACCCGACAATAATAATCTGACCCGAAGGTCCCAATTGCTTACCACATTTACCTCCTCGTATTCTATTCTCACGGTTCTGAGTATCTCCGTAGATCTCCGTAGGCACGGCAGACACGGCAGACGCCGAATTTTCTGTTGATGATCTCCACGCTATCCCCGATCGCCCATGGAACCAACCCGCGATCCACATCCGACCCAGACGCAGCCTAAGCCACCGCGTGGCGGTGTGTGCTTCGCAAGCAGAGACCGCAGCGAGTGCAGGCAGCACCATTCTGATTAGTCCGGCGCTATACTTAGCACTGAAACTGCAGCCATCCCGGTGTTCGTTGGAATGCAACAGTGTATTTTACGGCCTGAACCCACTTAAGCACTGCGGGACGCTAGCCGAGTCAATAGTGAACAGCCGATCCTCCAACATCGCAAACCGTATTAAAAAACAGTCGTACATTGTCCCATTTACACTTCCAGTTTAGTCCCTTTTTTTCACTCGCAGCCCTGCTGATCCCGGCTAAATCTATTTAAATTCTCACCTGCCCCCCACCGTCAAGGTTCTTTCTTCCATTCCCCCTTTAATCTAATCTCAGACACGATCTCAAACGCGGCCATCCCGTGTCCACGCGCCTAGAAAATCCCCTGCTGCACCCCAGGAAATCTTTCCTTCTTCATCACTCAACCGACACCATGTTCAACTTCAACTTCTTCAAGTCTGCCCCGGCCGAGACCGAGTCCAACCAGGAGAACAGCTGGAACCCCAACACTGTCGCCATGCAGCAGCCTTCCAGCCCTGCCGCTCCCTCTACCAACCAGCAGGTTGTCTCTGAGCAGCCCGTACGTCCCACCCGTTTATCATGCGATCGTCCCAGTGAGATAAGTCTAATCAGTGCGCTTCACAGGCCAACCAGGAGGAGATGTCCATGCAGCTCCGCGGTGGTGGTGGCGGTGGCCTTTGCTGTGGAATGTGAGTTGCGATTTGGGCCCAGTAGATTTCAATCAAAGTGACTAACCCCGCGACAGCTGCGCCGGTCTTGCCTGCTTCGAGTGCTGCGAGATCTGCTGTTAGATTCTCCACCGAGAACTAGATCGGAATCGAAGAGCCACGCGTTCGTGGAGGGATCAGCGATGAATACCCGAATCAATCACGGCGCAGTCCTTCGTTCATCTTCTTTTCCGGCTGACACGGCGTTTCCTTTGTCATGTCCTCTAAGACGTCTATGCGAATATACCCAATGACAAATCATGCGATCAAGATTGACATATATTATTTCTAAGCTACTAGTAGATCCTAACCAAGTGTCGTATCTCATAAGTCATAAGGTCACGGTTTGATTTAATTCGCGCCGTTTACATTAGCCAAGCGGCCGCCGGCGAATGGACACCCGAAGAGCCGCATCAACATCCCACAATCGAAACCCTGGGGCTCGGCCCAGAATGCGGAGATTGGCCAGTAGGACTGGCGATGGCGTTAGCTTGTCTTGAGGATCGACGAAATGACGCAACTCACGATCAAAAAACGATTCTAGATCCAAGACATAGCTGGACTGTCCCAAATACTGCGTTCCACTCATGTCACTCGAGGAAAGCTCGCCCGGAGAGACATAATACTGCGACGCAGAATAATCCGGCGAGAATCCATACAGTATTCCCACGGTCGACGGCGGAACTTCCAACCACATCGTCGAGCTGTCTAATGAAACGCCCCGGTGTTCCAGGTAGCCCTGCACATCATGGCAATCAAACCACTCCCCATCGAGATTTAACGCGCGCAGTCGATCTTCTTCGCTCATGTCCTCGCCATCTCCCTCTCCGCCACGACCAGGCTCCACATCCCCACTCCAGTCTTCATCCCAGTCTTGAATTCCGCCGCGCCGCAGAATCCTCGCTAGCCGTCGTAGGATCTTCCCCGGTCGTCGCAGTTGTTCTGGGTAGATGGGCTGTCCGTTTACTCCCCTCCGTGGATAATGTGTACCTGCGCCCCCAAGCTTATAGAAGGGGAGCTTGTTCACTTCGAGGGGCCCGCCAATTTCAGAATGCAGCACGCGCCGGAAGTTACGGCGTACACCGGGCATGTCGTGAATGCAGGGGAACAGGCCGAAAACTCGGCTCATGAGTTCTGGGCTGGAGTATGGGTCTGTGAGCCAGCGGTATGTATGTTCCAGACAGAAGCGCTGGAGGCGGCGCGAGAGATCGGATTCCTGGTAGCTATAGGTGAAGATGGTGGTTGTGGGGAAGAGACGGTTGATGAGAGGAGACGGAGATCGGGGACGGGGATATTTGTGATCTTGACGATGTGATAGTGTCAGGTCTGGCATCTCTGTATCTTCAGCCATCTTGCCAGTATCAGAAATATGATACCCGAAAATATCGCGCAGAGTCTCTGGACTGTGTCCATTCTGCGGACTCTGCTCTCCCGAGGAAGATCGCGCACGATCAATTTCCGCAAGCACGAGCTTTCTCGTGCGCACGAAATCCAAATCCGCTCTCCGCGCAAGGGCGTGGCTGCTGCTACGAGTGTCAGCGTCGGGCTCGGGACCCATCAAGTCAGAGACATTCTGCAGGGTCTGCTCCAGGACTTCTACGCGCGTCTTGAGCGTCTGGATGGTAGCCTCTTTCTTCTGGCGGTACGTGCGTTGCGCCCGACGGATTTGAAGACGCCGTTCCTGCGGATTGTCAGCCGTGCCACTGTTACAAACATCCCGATGGGATTGTGCAAGCATTATGCCTCCCAGTGGGTTGATACCTCGACAGCCGCTGCATTCTTTGTCGTCTCCAGTCTCGGGCGACCTCGTTTGCGCGGGAGACCCGCTGGCGGGTCTCCAGCCTTGACGGTCTTCTCCGAGCCCAGGGGTTTCTGGGTTGGGGATCGGGGGCCAGACTTGCCCTCGACGGATACTGGCTGGACACTCGGTAGAGTCGCAGTGGTCTCTTGGAGACTGTCAGGCGTCGGGGTGTCTGCCTCGTGCGATACTCGTAATCCTCCCAGCTCAAGGTATGACCTGGCCGACAGCGTATCTGACAGTGGAGGGTCCGATCGCGAGTCCTCGGCCGCAGGCATGCTGGAATTGGCTCGACAATAAGACAGAGAATCCGTGGCCCTGGATCCGTGATCTTACCTGTTGGTCCTACGGAATTCCGATGGTAGGTATCATACTGAACATGAATCCGGCGGAGTTGGGATGACCGATGGTCCTCTCCGCCTTGTTGAATAATCCGAAATGGCACAACCGAGGCTGCCTGCCGAATCTACCGAGCAACCACATTGGTTGTCAACTTCTGCCGCACGAGGGACCACCTTTCTGCAGTGTTGGGCCCTTGTCCGTGGGTTAACACTGAGCTGTCTTAGCTGCAGCTGCGTTTTACTGATCGTTCCCCGGATCCGCCTTAACCCCCATTCCTGCACAAAAGCATTATCTGTACATTCCACAACTGGGAGCTCTGGCCCCATCCAGCCCGCGGCCGGCATGTGGAAACCTGGCATCTCTACTACTACTTCATCCAGTAAGAGCGTGTTGATGACGCTTTCGGGCTGAGATTCACCAAAACTCAGACTCAGCTTCGGTGGGGCGACAAAGGCGACGGCGCGACGGGCTCGCCGGCCAACGCGGCACACAGACACCATTGCCCACACCGAGTCCTCAAGGGGCCGATCTGATCGGAATCCACTGTTGCAAACAGAGCGAAGTCCGACAGCAAGATCGCTTCTGACCTCCTTGCCCCCTCCCATTGGCCCAGCGTCATGGATCATCCTGTCTGTGTGCTGCCTCCCCACTTGTGATGCACTAAGCCGAGGCCCCATGAGAATACGATACATATTTTTAATGCCCCCGTATGCTCGGCTTCAAGTGTGGATTCTAGACTCTTCCGCCGCACTGCAATCATGACTGCGACTTTCATCTTGGGTTTTACGGCCGCCGCCGTGGTCCTACAGATCATTCGCGTGCTGGTCAACTCCTGGCAGCATGCGCGCAGAGCACGCAGTTTGGGCTGCGGTCCTGTGCCTCACTACCCGTCCTCCGATCCTCTGGGTATTGGAAACCTGAAGGACTCGCTGAAGGCCGACAAGGCCAAGGTCGTGCCCGAGCTTTCTGAGCAGCGAGTGCGCACCATTAGTGGTCAGGAAAACCGCTATGTGACTACCTTCATCGTCCGCAACCTCGGTCGCGATCTCCACTTTACCATCGATCCCAAGAACATCCAAGCCGTGCTCGCGACGCAATTCAAGGACTTCGAGCTTGGTGAAGTTCGTCGTCGGAGTGTGCATCCTTTGCTGGGTACTGGAATCGTACGTCATCCTTTTTTTTTGCCACTGCTTTCGTGGGGGCCTAAACAAATATCAAAGCCCTACGCCATAAGCTGCCAAGAGAGGCTTAAGCATTGCTAATCTTTTCCTGTTGATCGAATTAGTTCACTGCCGATGGCGAGGAATGGTCTCGGTCCCGCGGTTTGCTGCGGCCTCAATTCACCCGTGAGCAGATCAGCCAGCTGGAACTCGAGGAGGCTCACGTCCAGAAGGCCATGCAGGCTCTGCCCGTTGCGGCCAACGGATGGACCGCGGAGACTGATATTCAGTCCATCTTCTTCCGACTGACCATTGACAGCGCCACCGAGTTCCTCTTTGGTGAGAGTGTGGAAAGCCAGCTGGGTGCTCTGAAGGGCCTGCAGCGTATCGAGGACTCATTCGCCAGCTACTTCGACAAGTCCCAGTGGGTCTGTGCTCAGCGATCTCGATTCGAGAAGCTCGCCTTTATCGTGAACAACAAGGAGACCCGCCACTCTGACCAGCAGGTCCACGAGTTTGTGGACAAATTCGTCGCGAAGGCCCTGAAGACTGCCAAAAAGGAGAAATTTGCTCCCGCCGACGCCGAAAAATCCGGCCACTACGTTTTCCTGGATGCCTTGGCCGAGGCTACTCGTGATCCGATCGAACTGCGTTCTCAGCTGCTGAACATCCTCCTGGCCGGCCGAGACACCACCGCGTCCTTGCTCAGCTGGACTTTCCTCATGCTCGCCCGTAACCCGGAAATTTTCCGTAAGCTCCGTGAGGTCATCATCGAAACCTTCGGCACCTACTCCAACCCCCAGAACCTTACCTTCGCCGCCCTCAAGTCCTGCCAGTACCTGCAGTACGTCATGAACGAGTCTCTCCGCCTGTACCCCGTCGTGCCTTTCAACCGCCGCCAAGCCACCCGCGACACCACCCTCCCTCGCGGCGGTGGCCCGGACGGCGAGTCCCCCGTCTACCTGAAGAAGGGCACCGCCGTCGTCTACAGTGTCCACGTCATGCACCGCCGCAAGGACCTGTGGGGCGAGGATGCCGAGGAGTTCAAGCCAGACCGCTGGGCCAACCGCAAGGCGGGCTGGGAGTACATTCCTTTCAACGGTGGTCCTCGTATTTGCATTGGTCAGCAGTTCGCTCTTACCGAGGCTGGATATGTCATCGTTCGTCTGCTTCAGCGTTTCGACCAGATCGAGGACGTCTACCCGGAGCTCAAGCCGCGGTGGAACCTGACTCTAACGGCTTGTCCCGCGGACCTGGTTACCGTGCGCATGCATGAGGCGGCTGATGCGTGAATCTTACGAGAGCATTTGTAATGCTATTTTGCGGCATTGATGTAAATGTGTTTGTATCTCAGGCTGGGTGGCTGGACTTGGTTTTGTTTTGCATGCTTGAAATTGGTGCGTCGCCTCACCTCTCATTGAACGATGACTACGACATATTTTTCTTTTGATGATTGTAATTATCCACATCTGGATTTGAACCGGGACATACTCCTTTCTATAATGCTCTACCATCTATACACTGTAACCTCTTAGACCATCATCTAACAAACAGTACACTCCTCCCCCCTCAACGCCTCGACAACAGCTGTGTACGCAGGGTGCCTCCCCAGATCACTAAAAAACAAACAAGCCTCCCCTTTTCCATCATTCGTACCCGGCTGAATCCAACTATATTTATCATCAAATCCCAAACCGTAATCCCCGTGCAATCCTCCATCTCCACACAAGCCGAAACCGTATCAAAGTACGCCTTCGCCTGCGTCGCAAGATCAGACCGCGAACACGGCACAGCCGAGCACGCCACATCCAGCTCCGTTACCTGAACCTGTAACCCGAGCTCGGTGAATGCGGACATGGCCTGGAGCTGCTGCATCTTCGTCGGGGGCCAGGAAGTACTGAAGTGGGATTCGAAGCCGATACCGTCGATGTGCGCGCCGGGCCAGGATTGGATTTTCTTTGCAAGCTTCACGGCTGCACTGTGTCGGGCTCCTGGGTTCTCGATGCCGTAATCGTTGTAGAAGAGTTTGATGTCGGCGTTTAGGGATTGAACGAGGGGGATGTAGGATTCGCTGATTGTTTCGAGGAAGACTGGGAATGTATTAGCTTTTTCGGTTGCTTGACCTTCCTAGGTCCTTCTTCACATAAAAGAGGGAAAATACCATTAGAAAGAAACTCCCCATCCCCATCAAGCGCCTCATTAACAACATCCCAAGATCAACAATTCTCCCCATAATGTCTCACAACCTTCGAGATATGATGCTCCAAAACAGCAAGCAGGGTTTCATTCGTCCAGGATCCCGACGAAACCCAACTAGGCAATTCCTCCGACCAAACAAGATTATGACAGCGGACTTTCTTTCCCGTCGCATTTGCCAGCGCGATCATATCGTCGCCGCCTGCGAACGAGAAGCTATTTTTGCTCGGCTCGACGAACTCCCATTTCATCGTGTTGCCTGATGTCGTTTGTCCGAAGATACGACTGTTGTTGAAGATCTGCATGTAGCCGCTGTCGTCTATTTGGCTTGTTGTTGTGTCGATTGCGCTGCCGAGCCAAAGTTTGCCGGCTGTTTGGGCGAGGGTGTTTAGAGGGGCTTTGTGGTGTTTTGGCGTTTGTTGTGATAATGGATGTTGTGTGGGTTTGCTTTTGCTGTTGCTGCTAGGAAGGCTAGCAGGGTTGATTTCAGGGTTGGCATTTTGCTTGAGACGAGATGGATGGGACCGATTTTTTGTATTGCCCGGGATGCAGCTGCGCTTTTAGCTCTTGTTCAGAGGAGACTGTGGCTTTATATTCGTCCAGACTTCAGTTATCACAACGCCATTTTGATAGACTTCTACTTCTGACAGCACCTCTGCAACTACCACGACCTAGGTAGACGTGGAGTCGACTCCGTACGGAGATACATCTTCCATGTCCACATGGAGGTGTATCACATAAGGACCTCCCTCGCCTGCCACAGTAAGCAATCTGAAATCAATCGAGGATATGTTTCCGAAGATCGACAGTATCAGAATATCATGACACATTCACCTTTAATTTTGCAGAGATCTGCAGTACCCAGACCTACACTAGTGTATGACATACTCTCGTCGGTTGGCTGTTTGAGATTGGTGGAATCGGTGGCTGCGACAAGCTTCTGGATCTAGTTCCTAATGTAAGTGGTGCGCTAGTTGAATCTGCGGCATTGACTGCCGGAGACGATTGACAGGGTATGCGGGGTGGAGAAGGCACTAGTGTTACAGGGGTTGAGGTGCATAAGCTGTTGCAGAGTTATGCAGTGTTTTCCACGATCCCGGTCTTATATGACACGTGCATGGGTCTTCTGACTTGTTATGTCTTGATATTTACTCATTGGACGCTGCCTTACTACTTAGGGTAGGGTAATGTAATACATGCACGATTTCCATGGTCTACTTAACCCTGAATACACAAATTCCTCAAGCGTTAATCTTTTGTCTGTAAGAATATACGCTTTCTATTCTGAGTCCCTATTGCCAACACCTAGTCACCTGGCACCAACCAACCTGGCCAATCTCTCTACAAGCTCCCCTATCTATAGGATATTTAGTATTATATCGAACAGTGAAGATAGAATCTAATAGTAGATTTAAGTGGAAAAGTGCAATTTATTGCGAAGAACTAAATACATATTTGTGAATGAGTGTCCTTATTATTATTATTATTATTATTCCTCCAGCTGTGCGCAGCCTCAGGCTGCATGTAGCCTCCGTCCCAGTTATGCTGAGTCATCCATGTACATGTAGTTCCCTCTCACAAGGCCTTCTACCTCTCTCGATTTAATCGGTTCGTTGTCATGGCGAATTGGATGACAGATTTGACAAACTCCATATTGGAAGTCCAGTTGTTTTTGGATTCAAGATCTTGTCCGGTTGGTCCTTGGCTTGGTGACCTCCCCCCCCAGTGCGAAGGATGTGTCTCTATATCGATTTCCCATTGTCGCTCTCATCTCGCCGCGGTGTGTTTCCCATAGTGTACAATCAAATAGAAAGTGGTTAATGGTTTCTGGTCCTTCTTGGCATTCACTGGTGTCGTCTAGTATTTGTCCAATTTGACTCGAGTATCGATTTTGTAGTCTCAACCCTTTTAGTCGCATCAACGCTTGGCTAGCCTGGATACCCCTCTTGGTGACTCTGCCAATATGTTCTCGGAATTTTAGTTTCTGATCACATATCACTCCCAGCAGTTTGACCACATTGCTCGGGCCAATCTTCTGTTTGTCGACCTTGAGTGGTTGTGCAGGTTGTGGGTTGCGGATGGTGCTTCTAGTGAAGTGGATATATTGAGTCTTCTGCGTCTCGAATGTAGCGCCCGACCTTGCGGCCCAGCTTAATGCCCTTGGTAGGATGCGTGCTTGGAAGGTCCCTGCATTTTCATCTGCTGACGGGCCTACTACCCACCGGTTATAGTCATCACGAATGCTATTGCTCCTCCATGTTTATTGATTGGCACCCCAACTAGATCAGCATTGAAGAAAAGGTAAAGGATCGGTGATAGCGGTGAACACTGTGGGAGTCCAGGGCAGGTAATCTCCATGGTTTCAGAGCAATAGTCATTGATCACGATCATCGCGCGTCGGTGTGAGCAGAAGTCATCGATCCACTGCACTAGGCCTGTAGGCACACGCCTTTGCTGGAGTCGGCGAATTAAGACTTCTCTGGCCACTCCGTTGTAAGCACCCTTAACATCAAAGCTGACCAGGCTAAGAACTTGGTTCCTGTTCCATGCTTCATGGATTCTTTCCACCAGGACATTCAGGGCCTGCTCACTGGATCTCTTCCGTCGCGCGCCAAAGTGGTTTGGGGGAAGGAGTGAGTAGGTTTCCGTCAGATATGAGAGTCGCTGTGCGACGACGGCTTCTAGGATCTTGCCAAGAGTCGATAGAAGTGATATAGGACGATATGAGTGTGGTCGTGACCAATCTCGTTCTGGTTTGCGGAGCAGAATGATCTTTGCAATCCGCCACCGTGATGGGACATAGCCTAATGCGATTGAAGCTTGGAAGATTCTGCAGATATGGTTGCCAACCGTGGACCACAGCCGTTGCCAGACACCTGCTGGGACCTGATATTCTCCTGGTGCTTTCCATGATATATGCTTATAGTAACAGTTTCGATTTCTTTGTCGGAGATTGGGTCCATGTGTAGGGGTGCCGGCATTTCTCGGACTTAGGGTTTGTGTACCCAATGTTGTCCCCAATGTTCACCCCCACAAATTGACCATCACGTAGGCTGGTTCGCCCAGTCCATGTGATGAAAATGAGTGTGCGGGGTCTGGTGCTACGAACCAATGAATCAAACCGTAAATTATTTAGTGCAAGGCTAGCTAAGGCCCTCCGAGTGGAGAGAATAGAGAAGAATGCTGTATTGACTGACTAGAGAGAGGAGAGGAAGGAAGAGAGAGAGAGAGAATGGTGGAGAAAAAGATGTGGTAGATCATCCACTGATGTACTGTTCACTTCAGCTGAAAGGGTCAGAGCACGACTCTCACCTGACGGGAATGGTTCTCACCCGATCTCACCCCATTCTCACTCTGTCTATTGCGCACTCACCCTAATCACGCGAGTCACGCGACGCTAAAAGGGCGCTCACTATACTCATCCAGGCAACATCCACTAGGGTATTGATTGAGCAGAAGCCGTACACAGGCCGGATTGTAATATGTTGATCGTGCGAAGACAGGATATTATTTTTTGTAACTGTGTTTCGAGTACATACGACCATAGGGTGTGGAGAACAGGGCTTCATGTCCACGCAGCCGTACTTAAGCCACATTTTGTGCACCGTCAATTTCTAAGAAGCCTCGATCCTTAATCCAGCGTTGGATCTCACCTTAGGGTAAGTGTGGGTGAAATGGGTGAGAAGTCTTTAGACTAAGGTGACAGGGGTGCAAGCTTCAGATGTTGAAACTAGCTGTAAACTCTACATCTTCCCGATGAAAGTCAATTCATCCGATTCATTTGAAGCCGTCTCCGTTGATCATATTATGATGCTTTTTTCTCCAAACATGTACAGGCCTAGCAAACCCTTCCTCGTCCCTCTTAAATTCAAGTATCCTCTCAAATCCCTGCGCTTTCAACTCATCATCAAACGATGGTTTAATCTGGAGAGTCTTATACGTCTCTCTCAATTCTTTATTTCTTTTCGAAGCCCTCGCACAATTGCTCATAGGCTGCGGCTCAACGAGATAACCCTCCTCATTCAGTATACTTTGTATATGCGCAAACAGCGTAACTATCCCGGCGTCCCCGTTGTTCAGATGAAGCCACTTGGTAACAGAGAGCAGTAGGACAACGTCGAACTTGCCCAGCGCGGTACCTTTGTACGCGGACGCATCCAGGAAGCCAAAGTGCTCAAATGTGCACGGCCCGTCCGGGTACGCTGCCTTCGCCTGCTCGACCAGCCATTGATCGATATCGACGCCGACTGCGGCGGCCGTGCCGCATTGCGCTATCGCCTCATTGGTCAGTTTGCCCCGTTGCAGCCGAGGTCCATGACTCGCGCGTTGCGGAGGAACTCTGATGGAAGAATGGAAAGGTTTCATCCGGGACATTGGGCGCCCGGAACTTCGCGTAATATTGGTGGTAGTTTCCATGGCGCGCGTCGAGGTGCGTAGCTTTGAAGCGCTCTGCTCTAGAGAGTTCTGTTGCAGGGTGATGGTCATGGCATGGTTCTGCCATACTTGGAGATCGTGCGAGCAGAGAGGCACGTGGTGTAAAAAAGTAATCGATTATGCCGAGATGAAGATTTGCAATGATGCGGCGCTAGGCTTAAGCACATTATATTGGCCATATATAGGCCACACATGAGGATTTCAACCTCTTGTGATGCCAAAGTTTTCAATAGAGGTTTGCAGATTTGCATATTCTTAGTGCCTGAGGCACCATGGCTCGATATCCACAATATGACGTCAGCTTTGCTTACCGTCTCTTTTCCGCATCCTCGCTACTTGTGCAACTACATCTATACCGAGGTCGTTCTCAACATGCCACTCAGACAGGCGCTTCAGGGCATTCTCAATAAGGCAGACAAGGCTTGGGAGAAATTCAGCCATTCCGCCCCCCAGCCGGGACCATCGTACAACAGGCCTCCCCCGCCACCTATTCCAGCCTCCACTATACCACCAGCTTATCAGGAGCAGGGCTCGGAACCCCAGATTTACTGGCGACCCAATCTACATCCCCAAGTACCGGTGTCCGCCAACTTCTACCACGAACAGGGTCAACATGGATGGGGCAACAATGAGTCGCAGAATTATATCGACAGCCCACAAAACTCATTCCATTCACACCAGGGCGATGCGGTGATTGTGCGCGCTCTGATCAACCACGGGCATCCTGACCCTGCTCAGAAATTTACCAGCGCCAGGTTGTCAAGTCACCAGAACCTCGGTCGACCACGGGGCTGTCTGTCGGCCAGAATTACGGCGCCGGTGGCACGAGGAATCTGGCCTGCCTTTTGGCTGCTGCCTAAAGACCCCTTCAAGTGGCCCGAGGATGGTGAAGTCGACATCATGGAAGCGTGGAACGGCGATGCTGTCAACCACACCTGTCTGCATTGGGGTCACTTCAACGGTCAGGACTGGGACAAGCATCGCGTTCTCGAAACCCCCATCCCCAACATTAACTCGCCGGCGGGAGTGAGGTACGATTTTATCTGGGATGAGGACGAAACAACGGGCAGAGGGCGCTTGGTCTGGTTGATTGATGGTAGGCCCATCATGAGAGCCGAGAAGCCGCCTGGAACAAGGAAGATGAGTGAGTTCAGAGTCCTCATCAACATCGCTGTTGGAGGAAATGTCTGTCAGGGAAATATGCCCAGTGATGGATGCTATGAGACAGTGGTTCGTGAATTGGCCATGTGGGACGCACCGCCTGGGGGTTGGAATGAGTTTGAGAGGGCTTGGAGCTATTCCAAAGATGGCAATACCATGTAGCGAAAGGAAGGAAATTCGCGTTGCAAGACATTCCAGATCGAACGCTGAGATCTGATGACTACCCCCAATCCCTCAGCTCAGAGAATGAGCTCATTGGTCGCTGGTGTATGTCATATGATGTTCCATGTATTCGGTCCTTTCGAGCGTTTGTATTCCAATACTCTAGATGATGTGCTTCCCATGCCATGTACTTGAAATGATATTCTTGGGCATTAGCTGTATGAATTAATGCAACTTTTCGAGTGGAAAAGAATCGAAACTATGGAGAGGAATTGTATAAATCCATGTAGTATTTCGTGCATGTCATCTCCCAGACTCGCGATTCCTTCTTTATGCCGGGACATTCGGTCACGGTTACTCCCGCCCTGGCTCCGGCTGTAGATATCGGTGGACAGACCTGTAGACCCTTAGCAGCTGCTCTGGGCAGTCGGCCCAATGTTCCAATCGAGCTGGGCAATCTTTTTCTTGGGGAAGGGGTATTTTATCAGTGGTTAGGCGAGATGGTGTCTCGACCCTTAACTGCCGGGAGAGAAGGTGGCCTTTGCGGTACTATTGCTAGCCTACCAAGATATATTTGTACGTTCCTTACTTCTGAGACGTGTTGTCGACTATTTGATGATATATAACGCAGTGTCAAGATTGGCCTGAAGACCGCTGATTATTTCCACAAGAGTCATCATTGTCTCCCGCCGGAATGGGTAGAGCATTCGGTTGATCTGAAATTTGGATTTGAGTGTGTTTCCCGACGGAGAGTTGCTACACTGCTCGAGCGTTTTCTCTAATTTTTGTAGACGTTGCCGGCAACGCAAAATGATGTCGATCGCAACTGTTGTGCATTCGGATTTCGAAAGGGTACCCGAGGCAAGCGGATTGACGAGCATCTTCAGAAGTGAGTTTAGAACGGTGTCCAAGTTTACATCCCGACACGTCACATCGTCGATTTCCCCATGGAATGACCTAAATTGTCCATAGTACGTCGCCAGACCTTGGCATACAGTGATGCCTAGTGATACCACGCCCACTGCGCTACCAGCCACGAAAAATGGGTCGGTCATGAAGCCTGCTTGTCGATGAAGTTTTTAGAGAGAGTCCGAGAATGAGATTCAGGGGTAGGTTTATTGTCAATTTGTTTAACGTGTCCGAGAAGATTCTGACCACTCATCAAGACCTAAGCGCCCTTCCTTTGTGGCGCAGCGCTCTACAAAGAACGTGTCTTGTCCTGAATTGGGTTTGGTGTAAAACAAACGTCCTCGCCACGTCTATCGAATTCCTACCCACAGGTATGACTTTTCTATTTAGGCTTCCAGAATTTTGATGAAGGGGTTGAGGCTCAAAAATATCAAAGCATCATGCGGCGGCGATTTGAGTAGGAAATAGTGGTAAAAACCGCGATCGCTATTTCAACATAGCGTCGTGGTTACCACACCATTCAGCTTGATAAGAATCTCGACCCCCTCCTCTTCAACCACTCAACTATGCCACCAAATCGCACTGTATCCTCGCAAAAATTGGCCAACCACGAGGGCAGGATCCTAATTAGTCCTCCAGGGTCTTCAAAAGGGTCAATTCAAATCTATACGCACAGCTACGAAGCTATACGATACACCATACGCTACACTACAGACGCGAGATACCGGAAGATCCCCACTCGTTGACATACGCGTGAATGGTTATAAATTGACCCAATTAGAGGAGGATTCACTGCTCTACTTTGCGAGAAATAAAGACTTTTGTAGCCACCGGAGTCCAATTTCGTCTGTAGTCCAGCCATTCTGTCAATTTCGATCCTCCAATAATCAGGGATATCATCAAACTATGCGTATTGTTGGTAGGTAGTCGATTTGAAGATTATGCATGGTGGGAGCACAAACCCCGTTGAATTCACGCATTTAACTGATGTGACCCATTCACGATTCCCTAGCTGTAGAACTGACCTCCTACCATAGTATTCAGCTCTTGTAATCACTTTTGCAGTAGCTATAAGCCCTATTGCAAAGCTAGTTTCATCAAAATTGTAGATATGCTCAGGTTGAATACCATTCTCATCAATTGTATGTTGTACAAGGTCAAACTAGGACTGAATAATCTTAGGATCTTCGCATTTTGCCCTCTCATGATTATATCGACGAGAACATCGAGTTTTGAACTGGTTGTGGCACTTAATATACTTGTATACCCAATTAGATCCAGCTCTCCCCCCCCCCCCCCCCCCCCCCGGGCGGCGGCGCCTGCGCTCAGCGAGTAGAATATTGGCCATATCCCTCACCATATTAGGTCGGGGAACTGATCCATGTGTATCCATAGAGAGTATCCACTGTAGGAGCGATTCCTCTTCATTTGTAGTCAATTTATGATTGTTGGCGCGGGTATCAGGACGAAAGATTTTGCCTTTGCATCGATTTTGGAGAGTTGTTTAAGGTACTGAAATCGGCGCGCAGCTTCCTTAATCGATGGAATTTCTTTGTCTGATAGGCTTGTATTACGAACTGGATCCTACCCTCTTGCTCGATAGTATTTTGTGGATTTTGACTGCGAATTGGGGCATGGTGGGTAGTTGAAGTGATGAAGTTAACGCGTTGGGGCGCGATCGCGTTTTCCGATCGACTCGCTTAACGTGATCCATGGGTGAGTGACGCACCCAAGACACCATAGTAAATGCGATAAATTACAACTTTATATCTCAGCAACTGTGAAATGTCTTGGTTTCGAAGTTTGTCTCGAGGGTTTTCTAATCTTTAAAAGAAATTTATTCTTTTTAGAAGTATTGTAGTTATCATTTCTCTATGATTACACTAAATTTAGACATTGAGCATATAAACAAATGTCGCCAAATGAAATTCTAAATTTACGGCCTACGTAGAAAATATTTCTTTGTAGGTTGTGGTTGTTGAGATGTGAAAATTGTAACTTATCGTATTTACTATGGTGATGATGATGAATGCATTATACTCGAGTACAGCTCCCATACAGGGCTCTTTCCGAGTCAGCAGAGGCCGAAGCGAAGCTATTTACAGGTTTTTCCCTTTTGTGCAGTTCCAACCTTTCGTATCCGCTTGTAATTGGCTGGCTGTCTGGTCTTTCCGGGGCCGAACCCGCTTTCACTCTGTGTGTGTTCGTGGCAGCTCGCCAGTTGTTATTCCCATATTCGCCAGTTGTCGCATTTACTATGGTGTTTTGGGGTGCGTCACTTACCCGTGGATCACGTTACACGATCTACTCGCTTACGGAATACGTTATACGCTAGTTAACGTAACCCACAAGCGAACCGCCCACACAAGCGAACCGCCCACCCCATCAATTTTGATCTGAGTACTATAACCTCTCTTTTATAACCATCCACCATGCCACCAAATCGATCTAGTTCTGCCCGATTTTCGCAGGATAGGCAGGGCAGAATCTCATTAGCCCTGCATGCCATTCAAAATGGTCAAATTACCTCTATTCGCAAAGCAGCACGCCAATTCGACGTCCCCTGGTCCACTCTACGCGATCGCGTCAACGGTCAACAAAGTCGCTCAGAAACACGCGCCAACAACCATAAATTGACAGAAGACGAGGAGAGATCACTTCTACAATGGGTGCTCTCTATGGATTCACGTGGATCAGCTCCTCGGCCTGCTATGGTGGCAGAAATGGCCAATCTTCTATTAGCCGAACGCTGTACGCAGACTGTTGGCGTCAACTGGGTCTACAACTTTGTTAATCGCCATGATGATCTTAAATCTCGGTTCTCTCGAAAGTACAACTACCAACGAGCAAAATGCGAGGATCCAAAGGTCATACGAGAGTGGTTCGACTTGGTTCAACGCACGATTAATGAGAACGGCATCCAACCTGACGATATATATAACTTTGATGAGACTGGCTTCGCAATGGGTCTTATTGCTACTGCAAAAGTCGTCACCCGTGCTGAATACTACGGTCGGAGATCTCTTAAACAACCTGGAAATCGTGAATGGGTCACATCTATCGAGTGTATTGGTGCGTCGGGCTTCAAATTACCACCTTGTCTTATCTTCAAATCCAAGACACATCACCAGGCTTGGTACGAAGATAAAGGGGTAGGACCGGACTGGAGGATCGAAATCAGTGATAATGGATGGACAACTGATGCTATTGGCCTTCGCTGGCTGAAAGATCTCTTTATTCCGAGTACGGCGAGCCGTACAAAGGGTAAATATCGTCTTCTAGTCCTTGATGGTCATGGTAGCCATTTGACACCTCAATTCGACCGACTTTGCGCTGAACATGATATTATACCAATTTGCATGCCAGCGCATTCATCTCATTTGCTACAACCACTAGATGTCGGGTGTTTTGCGAACCTAAAGCGCGCATATGGTGGCTTGGTTGAGCGAAAAGCTCGATGCAATATCAACCATATTGACAAGCTTGATTTCCTTGCCGCCTACCCGCACGCTCGCGAGATCTCATATCACTCGGATATAATTCAGAGCGCATTCGAATCTGCTGGTTTAATACCCTTTGATCCCGATCGGGTTATATCGAAGCTTAATATTCAGCTTCGAACACCAACCCCCCCAGGAAGCCGACCAGGAAGCCGATCAAGTGAGTGGAGCCCTACAACACCACTCAACACAAAACAATTATATCGGCAAGAATCTTCAGTCAAAGCTCTACTCAAATATCGATCCGTGAGCCCTCCAACGCCTACAAAGCATGTGGTAGAGCAGACTCTTAAAGGCTTCCATGTCACGCTTCAAAGGCTAGCGATGTTGGAGAAAGAAATCCGGGATTTGCGCGCTGCCAATGAGGTTCGGAAACAAAAACGCAAGAGGTCTAATAAACGCATCGACCGTACTGAAGGCATGTCAATTCAGGAGGGAAGAGACGTAATATTCAGTTCGAACCAAGCCGTTGAATCTCTGGATCCTGTTCATCCAGAACTAGCTCCGGTCGCAAATGAGACTAATACACCACGACAACGGGCGCCACCAAGATGCAGTGGTTGTGGAGGGATAGGGCATAAGATAAATAGATGTCCGAAGCAGTGATATCAATAATTTAATGGCGTTGTGGTTATTTTATATGCAAATCAAAATTATAGGTTGAGATGGGTGGGCGGTTCGCTTATGTGGGCGGTTCGCTTGTGGGTTACGTTAACTAAGGATTATCCAGGTTAAGCGTTGGTGGGGTGCGATGAGTATGTTACCAAGTAATTACGGCGGGGCGTAACAGGGTGATGCAGGTCGGGTTGAGAGTTCAGATTTTGGTCTTAAATTGGGTCTCTCGCCTCCCGACTATCTGATGGCCTTTGTTGCCAAACCACTCTCCCTCCTCCCAGTCTCTGCTACCCCACCAACCCTCGTGCACCAACACTACATGATGTCGGACTCCCATCAATTCTATAACCTCCCGCCGGAGCTCTGGCATGCAATATCATCATACCTGCCTAATCGCGATGTCAAAAGTCTCCGCCTTGTCTCGAAACGATTTTGCAATTCAGTGGAGCTCAGACTGCAGAGAGTGTTTTTGTCGGCGAACCCCTTGAACATCAAGGTCTTCCGCGCGATCGCAAATCATGAGGAATTCCGACATAAGATTTCAGAGATTGTTTGGGATGACGCGCGATTTGCCAGGGGCCCTAGTACAGAGATTATTCATCCTGAGCAGGGATTATACTTGCCAATCACTGATGCAAGTGATGAAGAGACGGAGGAGTCGTTCGAATTGAGGCGACGTCACGCTGAAGTTCAGGGGCCACCAGACTGGGAAGTTTACGAGAGCGACTTCGACTATGGGCACAGGGAAGACGAGGAGTTTGGAGATTCGATCTATCAATTGAGGAATAGTGGAAATTTCAAGGGGCAAATTTGTCCACTTTGGTTCAAGGCTGCATGTGTCAACAACATTGAATATATTTTCATCCGGCGGCGCAAGCTCAACATGACCGAGGCTTGGCATCAGAAATTCAAAGACGAGAAGAAACTGGGTAAGGCTGCACTCTCTATGAGCGAGTCGTGGGCAATTTACCGGAGTTTGCTCCGCAAACAAGCGGACGTTTTAGCTGGAAACTATGACGAAGAGGCGTTTCTTTACGGACTTGAACGGTTCCCTGCACTGAAAAGAGTGACAGTCACCCCCGCAGCTCACGGTGTCCCGTTTGCCCCGTTATATAAAAGCCCCATGATTCGAGCATTTCCGCAAGGATTCAACTATCCTATCCCTCGCGGATGGCCAACCTCAACCACCGAAGAGCCAGAGGATGTGATAACATTTCCCTGGCAACGAGTCGATGAAAGGCACAGAGAGAAGTACCGCGCATTCCGCATTGTAACGCGCGCCCTTGCACAACAGAAACACAATGTGGTGGAACTGGTTCTAGAAGCTCGACAACTCTACACAGGGATCAACTGCACGATTTTTGATGAACCTTGCGCGGAACACGATAATCTTCTGACAGTCTTGAAGAAACCAGGCTTCCGTCGCCTAGATCTCTCTTTAATGTTTGGTGGAAGAGGATCAGCCACAGAGAACTGGAAGACATTCCGCGACGGAAGGCTTCGCGAAACACTAGGCACAATGACAGACCTGGAGGAATTCACCTTCTACACGGCGGGGCTGGATAATTGCTATGAGTGGAAAAACCCACCGGTTGACACCAACCCCGTGTCGTTAGAGCGTATATTCCCTGTCGAAAATTGGTCTAAACTTCGTCATTTTGCATTATCGCGTTTCATAGTCAGCCAGGCTGATCTTGTCACACTCCTTTCGAAATTACCTGACACACTAAAGTCAGTGAAATTGAGCTTTTTGGTATTCGTTGACAACGGGACATCTTGGCATACTTTCCTTGTAGAATTGCGCACAAAGATCCGGGAAAAGAGTCTTTGGCCGGGTCATCGACCAAACGTTGTTATCGGCAATGAGCGAACTTTTCTTCTCCTTGGAGGTGCTACTTGGCTCGGGAAGGCAGTGAACGATTTCTTATACGAGGGCGGCGAAAATCCATTCTATGACCCTCCTCGTGTGTTAGTCAAAAAGGAACTTGGAACAACCAAGGATGCATTTGATCCATATTGTTGATAGTTGCATCGTGTTTATTCAAATTATATACCACCGAACCGACGGTATGTAGTTGACTTGTCATTCCTGGAATTATTCTCTGGTTCTCGTTGATATGATCGTACATTGATTAGATGAAAGTCCCGAGGTCAGGTATACTGGAATCTTTTATAGATACTCCCATCGGGAGAAAAAGGAGTGTAACAGGCTGAAGCCTAGGATATAGCCCAGGCTATGCTGTGCACCACGTGACTGCCAAGCTTCTGAGGTATCTATTGTAGTGGGAAGCCCCCCTCCCCCTACTACATGGGTGCCATCCAGACTATGTAACATAGCCGGCAGTATACAGTGGCCGGATAGCTAGTTCTAGAATACACCTTCTTACACCTCCCCGACCTGACCCCTACATTTGGGGTTCTCGCTATTTCCTGATTGCTACGCCCGTGTTTTGTGATGGTTTTTCTGCTGAATCGACCCGCACGTCTCAGCGCGTGCTGCCATCGAGCGTTCCCCTCTTCACTATATAGTTCACCGCTAGATGGCCCTGTGTTTACTTTCCTTAAGCTTCAGATAGGCTGCATGTCGGTACCGCTCAATTGAATCAATTCGGCCGTAGCCCTTCACAAAAAGCGACAATACAAATAGCCGTTAAATAGTCAAGCTAGAATAATTATTTGACTTGAGAGTTATTGTTTTAAGTATTTGTTGAAAGGCTACGAGTGGAGAGAAAAGAGAAGAATGCTGTATTGACTGACTAGAGAGAGGAGAGGAAGGAAGAGAAAGAGAATGGTGGAGAAAAAGATGTGGTAGATCATCCACTGATGTACTGTTCACTTCAGCTGAGAGGGTCAGAGCATGACTCTCACCTGACGGGAATGATTCTCACCCGATCTCACTCCATTCTCACTCTGTCTATTGCGCACTCACCCTAATCACGCGAGTCACGCGACGCTAAAAGGGCGCTCACCCTACTCATCCAGGCAACATCCACTAGAGTATTGATTGAGCAGAAGCCATACACAGGCCGGATTGTACACAGTAGTATGTTGATCGTGCGAAGACAGAGACAGGATATTATTTTTTATAACTGTGTTTCGAGTACATACGACCATAGGGTGTGGAGAACAGGGCTTCCCGTCCGCTCAGCCGTACTTAAGCCACACGCCGGCAGGTTAGTAGTATGGTGGGTGACCACATGCGAATCCCTGCTGTTGTATGTTTTTTTTGGGTCATTTTTTGGGTGTTGTTTGGTATTTTGTCTTTTCGCTGAACAATTTGTAAGGTTAGTTACGATGCGACTCGATTAGAAGGAAAGTGCTGGTTATATGGCGCGCTGCTGGCTAATCAGCATGAGCTAAATTTTTACTGTTACCCGGCTAGCATCCACCTACTGTATGACTTCATTGCTAGAATCCGCCAATTCGTCTACTTAAGATCGGGAAATATAATACATCCACGATTGCCATGGTCTACTTAATCCTGAATACACAAAGCACATTTGAAGCAAAGAAGTTCGGGATGAGAACCATAAATTTTGAAGAAGTAAAAATATACAAGGAGGACAAGCTTTAAAAGAAGTACCAGATCAAACCAATCAACCACCCTATCCTACGCTCATCCCCATAGAGAATTAACCGCTTACAAGCACTGGTGGTAAAACTCATTCTGCACGATGCAAGTCAGACCGCTCGCACAGGTGATAGCACCGGTCCAGTTGCGTCCACCACACTGGTAGTAGCGAGCAACAGCACCGCCGCTGGCAGAGGGGGTGCTAGTGCCAGCAAGCGAGCTTGTGGGCGAGTGGATGGGGGAGGGCACGCTGACGAACGACGTGGGGGCGGCGGTAGGGACGTCGACTGGGATAGAGGACGGGGTGGCGATGGGGGCGACCGACGCGGCGCCGGTACTTTCAGGAGATCTGGAAGATTCAGCAGCTGGGCTGGAAACTTGGACCTGGGTGTTGGGGGTGCTGGTTGCCTCCACGGTGGAAGTGGAAGTAGTGCTGGTGCTGCTAGAGCTGCTGGTGGTGCTTGCTGCGGCGCTGGCGGACGCAGTGCTAGAGGCAGAGGTTGAGCCAGAGCTACTCACGAAGTATTCCTTTAGGATGGGCAGATAGGTCTCGTAGGCCTTGCCGTCTGTCGGCTCCATGCTGTACATGTAGGTTCCCCACCAGGGACCGGCGGACCACCATTCAGCGCCCATCCAGACGTCGCTGTTGTCGGACATGTAGGAGAGCATGCCCTTGACGGCTGCCTCGCAGTCCGAGTTGACACCACCAGCGACCTCGCCGATGAAACCCTTCTTGTTGTTGTCCTTCAGCCACTTGGTTGCAGAAGTCAGGCGCTCCTTGCCGATGGTGGAGCTGACGCAGGTCTCGGAGGTGCCAGAGCTGTCGGAGTCGAGGTACTGGTGCATCTCGTAAACGATCTTGTCCTGGGGGTCGGTCAGTCCCTTGAGGTTGTCGTTGTTGTCGGTCCACGACCAGGCGCCGCTGTAGGCGTTGCCCTCGACGAAGATATACTGGGTCTTAGCACCGGCAGCACGGATACCGTCAATAGCAGCCTGGTTCAGATTCAGGACGAGGGTCTGGTCCATGTCGTGGTACTCGTTGTCTGAGATTGTTGGTCAATATATCATTTGGGGAATAAATTACCGTAAAAGCTTACTGGTGTCGAAGATGACCTTTTCGTTGTCGGCAAACTCGGTGGCGACGGTCTTCCACCAGGCCTTGAAGTTGTCAGTGGAAGAAATGACATTACCATTGCTGCAGACAATAAGTTAGTATAAGACCAGTTGTATCAGGGATAGTGCGATCTTACTATCTTCCGTAGTTGTGGGGGTCGAGGACGGCGTGGGCACCACTGTCGGTGATGAACTTGACGGTCTAATAGACACAATTGCATTAGCCTCCATTATACCCTGTGCTTTCCATCCCGTTAGGAATGATACTTACAGACTTGAGATCAGCCAGGTAGGTCGAATCCAGGCTGCCGGTCAGGCTGTCGGTCACCAGGCGCTCCATCAAGAAGGGAACACGGAAGATGTTCATGCCGGCCTCGCGCAGGACCTGAATCTTAGCAGTCTTGGGCCAGACATAGTCGGTGCCCAGAGTTCCGGGAATGTTCGACTCGCCGAACTCGGCACCAGACTCGCTGACGCCCATCCCTAGTCATCATCAGTCCATGTCCTTGTCTCAAATGTCAATGGTTGCCATACAAGTAAAGCCGCTGGAAGCGCGCTTGGAGATACTTCGCTTGTTGGGGATAACATCGCGACCCTTGGGGTAAGCGCAGGCCATGCTAGCGGCGCTGGCAGCAAGAATAACGTTGGTAAACTTCATTTTAATCGGCAGAGAAGAGAATGACTGTCGAGCTTGTCGAGCAAAAAGTACGGGACAAAAAAGAAGGGAATCGACCAAGAAGCCAGTTCTTGATAAAAAAGGTAAGGAAGGAATGCGACGAAAAGTGCCAAAGGAAGCCCGAAACTGCCATGGATCTCTCACATTATATACTCGGTTCTCGTTGAGATGAGAGGGGCGTCAACTGCACCTTCCATTAGGCTTAGTGGTGTCTAACAAGCCTCTGATACACGGAGTGGGCTCGTCGTTCGAGGCCCCATCGGACAAGGCACCCTTCATGTTCTCGGCGTATCCTGGAGAATATTTCTGTGGGGGCTTCGTCTCTGGAACAACATCCTTTCATGATTTTTCCGGGTCGATGGGATCGACGGTCTATCCAAAGTCACGGATCAAGGGAGAACTCAAGGCTTGGAAGCCATTAAATGGCGCACGAACGGCCCAAACGGTCATGATCAGACCATAGCACAATTTAGTTTCATTTCTCTGCCCGACGAAGAGGAAATTGGCTCAGCGACCGGGGCGAGTAGGGCGCCCGGTCCATGAAGAAGCTGGTGCTGGTACGGAGTGGAGTTGGGTTGAAGATCCACAGAAGTTCAGGGTCAAATTCCTGGCTTTGTTTCTGGAAGCCCCTTAAAGGTGGAATAATGACAGGAAATTATTCCGGTATGAGGTTGGAATCGTCCATACCGAGTTGGGGTGGTGGCCGAGAGCGAAATCCCGTGTAGATGAGCCATCCTTAAGGTGAAACATTTAATGACAGCCGGTGGAGGCGCTAGTTCGTTTGTCCCGAAGTGTTTCGGAGGCTCCTTTGCAAACAAGTACGGACGATCTGTTAGCAGAGCTTGTCTGTCATGTTTATTTTCTGCCCGCATCTTCTCGGTCGGAGTTTCATGCACTGTAAAGAAAAGTTGTGGGGAGGGTGGAAGCCGTCGGACACGATCAGAAAAGTGGAATAAAATGTTCCGTATCCATTTGAGATGTTGAATTGATGGTATCAATGACATGACTGAGCTTGCGCAAAACCTTGCATAATAATAATAGGCGCATAGGGCAGGGTAAAAATAATAGGGGCATAAAAGTCATAGGCACATAAATAGTCCATCACATCTTCCTGGCACTGCCTTGCCACTCATAAGAATAGCTCCGAGGCCGGTGTGGATTTCACACATTGCTCCTCAATCGTCAATCCAGGTCTAGCAGTTGGAATAAATGGGGCAAAATTGCTGGTCATAACACATCACAGTCTTGAGTTTCGGCAGCCGCGGTCATCGCTGTCGCGGCCGGTTGATTGTCATGGCTCAATGTGGAATTCAAAGGACCGGTCGCCCTGGCCGATCGGGACTGCGTTCACCTGGTCATCGTACAGAGTTCGTTCAAAGTATCGCACGCGGCCGCTGGGCTGTGCCAGGAGCACAGTTTGCTTCTGTGTACCATAGGGGCCGGAGGAATAGTTCTGGAATTCATTCATGGCGGGTATATTGACTTCGTCCTCGACGCAAGCGGCCGCAGTCTCTTTAGTGGCCTGGTCTTTGTCGTCGTCGGTTCCGATGACAGGAATGAAAAGGCTCTTTCGGAGGAGGTTGATGTAAGTATCAAGTGATTGCTTCTCGCCCTCGAGTCGCGGGAGGGTGTCGGTGCTCAACACTCCGAGGAGACGCTCCAGTAGAGCATTCTCGTCTCCCCCGGACTGGATATGGTCCTCGATAGCATGTTGCATCAGCTTCTCTCCATCGAGAATCTTGGGCCAGGTGCGATCATCGAAGTTGGTGTTGCTTAGTCCGCGTGTCTGATTCTTCTCTCCCGCCACCCAGGCGATGTGACCCATCTCCGAGGACCGGTTGGAGACGATGGCCAGCGGCTCGTTGATATAACCACATATCAAACTAAATCCGCCGACCTTCTTGGCTTCGGGACTAGCCACCATCGCCGACACGAAATCATGAGTAGTTTGTCGTTCATGGAGCGCGCTCGTCAGCCAGCTGTTGACGATCATGCCCCGGCTATATTGTCCGACTGCCTCGCCGGCCGTATCTTCTCGGTAGTTTGTGAGCACAGCGACCTTCCCTTGCTTGGTCACCCCCATCCAGGTGCCGTGGGTAGCCCGCGCTAAGTCGCGTGAGCCGAGGACAAACGAGGATGGCTCCGGCCACCAGTCGGGGGATGAGGTTGGTCGATGGAGGAATTCCTGAAATCGATGAGACCCCGTTCAGATGCCAGATTTGGATGAGTACTTACATCTCGATTGTCAATAATGATCAGGGAATAGGCCGGATGCAGAGTTGAGACCAGAGCAATGCACATGATTGATCCGAGGCGCGTCGGTAACTGCGGGGGAACAGAGGATGCGGAGGGGAAGTGCGTCAAGGACAGGCGAAAGGAAATCTATAGGCAGCCGTTGAAACCACAACGCAATGTATGCACGGAGGAGAATTGAAGGGACGGAAAAGGCAGGAACGACGGAGGCCAGGCGTCATACGAGGAGCTTGGGCACCAGGTGATTGGGCCGATTCCAAGCTCCACCAGGCGATCGCAAGCTCTCCGCGCGACCTGCCTGCCTGTCTGGGGAAATATGCAAGAGTCCAGCATCGACTGCGAGTCGTTCTGATGGCAATCTAATCGCGGCTCGAAGCTGGAGCTCCTTCCCTGTCGCGTGACGTCAAGACGAGCCGTTGATCTGCCGGCGGTCGATGGTCATGCTTCAGCTGAGATGGAAGCCTGCGGTGGGCCTCGTCTCTTTCACTTCCCCCTTTGTGTTTCGACGCTCCTCCTTTTTTCCCTCTACATTCGTACTGGCTGGTGAACTTTATCCAAGCTGACCTGAAGCTCTTCCTCGCGAGCTGTTGGAGGAGGGGAGCTGTCTGTTCCTCCACCGCTGCTTTGCTTACCCCTCATCAATTTTCCGTGAACTGTGCTCTCGCCCCGATTCCGAGGCTACGCTTCGCCTGTGGCCATCATGTTTGGGATTATTGCGGACTTGATGTCGTGAGTGTTTTTGCGACCACCCCTTTAGATTCAAGTGTTGACTTGCCTATTCTGCCGCAGCTCGGTGATCACCATCCTCTTCCCCATTTTCGCATCCTACAAGGCCCTCCGCTCCTCCGACCCCTCCCAACTCGCACCATGGCTGATGTACTGGGTGGTGCTGTCCGTGATTCTGCTGGCTGAGTCCTGGACTGTGTTTATCATCGGATGGTACGGCGTGATGGTACGCTCTATGGCAAAAGAAACAAAGCTGACCAAATGTGTTCCTGCAGGTTTCCATTCTACAGCTGGATTCGGCTCCTTTTCATGTGCTATCTGGTCCTGCCCCAGACCCAGGGAGCTCGGCTGTTGTACCAGGACTATGTAGACCCGTTCTTGACGCACCACGAGCGCGAAATCGAAGAGATTATCGGTCGCACCCACGAGCGTGCCAAGACGCTGGGTCTGCAATATTTCTACATGGCCATCGACATGATCCGGGAGAAGGTGATGGGCCTCCCTCCTCAACGTCAAGCACCTCCGCCTCCATCCGGGCCCGCGGCCTATGCGCAGTCCCTGCTGTCCCGATTCAACCTCCCCGCCGCTACCGCCCCATCGAACATATCCAACGATTGGTATTCGGCGCTCAGTTCGACGCTGGGCTCGTTCACCTCGACGGGTAAGTCTCGTGAGGCTCGCCAGGAGGAGCTTTCAGCCAGTGGGACGCTGCTGCAGCGACACTTGCAGAACATGACGGGCACACAAAAGGCCGAGTATATCTCGGCTCAACGCGAGGCACTGGATTACCTGCGATCGACCTTGATGCGCGAGGAACAGTCGATGGGCCGCGATGACCACGAGACGGACGATCTGGCCTACGGGGCCCCGCTGAAGAAGGACCTCAGCGACAACTCCTTTGATGTGGTTGACGACGAGGATCTGGGCAGCCGGGCCTCGCGACGGACGAGTGGATGGGGAGGGTGGCTTGGAAACGAGCACGATTCCTCCGGCTCGTCCGGCGCAGATGCGGCCCGGACGACTGGGTATGATCGATACTAGTCCTCGCCGCACCCAGGACCAGGCAACACAATACAAAATAGAAATCGGCTGCTTGCTTTTCAAATTGTGTTTGAGATTTGGGGGGATTACTCCTGCTTGCTCGTGGGGTCCCGGAGCCCCTCACCGCAATATAGGAATACTGTGCAGAATCCCCTGCCTCGATGCATCGTCTATGTCATTCAACAGTTTAACTGTAATGGGACGGGCCGTACTGGCTAGTGCAGGCATCTCATGAAGCCCGCTCGGATTATTATCCTTAGTCGTCTACTAGTTGTATGTATACCTTATGCCCTAGCGGGTATTCCGCTTCGGGTGCCTATTGTTAGGTACCTACCTGCTTGGAAAAGGTAGTAGTTTAGGGTAAGAATATGACGACGGATTCTCCCCAACGAAAGTCCAAGCGCGACCAGGCCATCCGATCTGACAGCCGAGGTGGAGTCCCGAATCAATCCGGTCGGAAGAATTTGGCCTGCATGTCGCGAAAGTTGGCGCAGCTGCAAGGCGGAAGCCGATCGTAGGAATGCATGGCCATCCCTTTGATCGATGCGATAGGCCGTTGGAGGAGTTCCTGGGTATCTGCGTCTAATATTGTGGTTAATAGTACAATATTTATCCAAGTCGTGGATATTTATTGCTATAGCAGGAAATACTGGTAAGTATAGATTCCCGATTAGGCATTGCGGTGGCAAAGTTCAACAAGTGGATGGCCGGGGAGGCTCCACCCTTCATTGTCTACGCACCATCGAGACCACCAGAAAACACTGTGAATCGAGTCATTGTTCGCTCGCTCGCTGCCAGTAATTATTGTGACTCAAAGAGCTCGGACTCGACATGCCCGATTAGCTGGGCGTCCGAGCCTCAGGTAACAGCGTAGTGAAACGGCCACAAGCGGCCTAGTAGCGATGTCATGGTGGCGGCCGTAGTAGATGCGAGCCCCCCCTTCATCTTTCACGCCATTGTACTTTCCTCTCCCTTCCTCCTCACCATCCCCCCGGAGGATTCCAGAACCGTTCGTGTTCTCTTGCTTCTGCGCTTTTTCCCGGTAAGTCATTGTTGCGCCCGTCCGCCCTGCACGCGTCTTCCACAAACCCGAGCAATTTTTCCCACCGAAACAACTTTTTTCCTCGTTGGATTTTTTCTCCCTCCCACACAACCCTCTCCCAGCCCAACAACCAAACTTCTGGGGAACCCAAAAAAAAATCACCAACCGCGCGGCTTTCACTTGCTGCGTTTGTCGGTCCCGGTCATTTTTGTGAATTTGACCGCTTTTTTTCTCATTCACTCTCTCTAACCTTTTTTGGTGGTAGATTCTCAGGTTTGGATGTGGCCTTAGCCTCTTCCGCGACTTGACATCACCTTCCTCCCCCCGAGAACCTCCTTCTCTACGCATCCGACGTGGACACCACCTGTCTAATGACCTCGAACCCTCCTCAGTCGGGCGTTCAACAAGGACAGAGCACCGCTACCAACCCTTCCAACCCGCCCGCTTCTTCCACCCCCTGGCAGCTGCTCCGGCGCCGGCCAGGTCCTACGCCAACGCCGCAACGAAGAAGTCCGCGACGGACTCGACCGCCGCTCCCGTCACCGTGGGTGGCTCGGCGCAACATGGGAAGTCGACTTCAGTATCTCCTGTGAACGGCAACCCCATGCAAACCCAACAAACCCAGCAGCCCCCGGCGTCGGGTGTGACCATCGTAAACGGTGCACCAACCGCCCCGGCCGCTGCGTCGACTGCTCCTTCCTCGCAGGGCGATCACTCGCGCAAGCCCTCCGTGACCATTACCTCCGCTGGTACTTCTGGATACATGCCGAACGGCGGCTCTGCTAGCCGCCCGCAGAGCCTGCAGTTCGGTTTCGCCAACCCTCAGAGCTCGCCCAACATGGGCAATCCCGCTGTTCTCGCCTCGAACCAGTCGCAGGCTGGTCTGGGTGCTCCCTCGGCCAACCCGCGTGTCACCTCGCCTCAGACCTCTCCGTCGCCCATTCCGCAGCCCGCCTCTAGCGGCGGCCGTCCGCCCTCTACCTACCAGGGACAAGGCAACGTCCCGAACTTTGGCAGCTTTGGTGAATCCGGTGATAACAACGTAAGTATTTAATGACCCTATGCGACTTCTTTTCAAATATTTTTTTTTTTTTTTCTCTCTCGGGTTAAGATGTGGTTGTGCGCGCATTTACGGAAGCGCGCGACGCGACCGCACATTAAACTTCTTTTTCCGAGTCTCCGCATTTTAAATTCGTATGCTCACACGTTTTCTCGACATTACAGGCTCCCCTCGGTCCCGGTCCTCAGCACCTGCGTCGCGAGTCTTCGCAGTCTACTCACAGTGATATGAGCAACCACATGGGCAGCGGCCCCGGCCCCGGCCGCGGTGGCTACCCTCACCAGGGTGGCCGTGGTCGCGGATACTCCCAATCTGGTTATCAAGGACAGATGCCCTACTCGCCGGGCCCCAACTTCCGTCAGACTCACAACCAGCCTCGCGGTGGCCCCAGCATGGGCCCTCAGTTCCACGGTCCCAACCAGGGTCGCCCCTTGGCCCCCTTCCCCAACTCGCCGCACCAAGCGAACCGCAGCCCAGCTCTCGCCAATGCGCATCCTACGACCCCCAACATGAACCCCGTGCCAATGGCCGGTCACCCTCAGATGGGCCAGCCGTATCCATATGGGCAGCCGATGGGTCCGCAGAATGTGAGGCAGAACACTTTTCATCATCTCCCCCCGAAGCCCGGTCATGGTCGGCGTCGCAACGACTATCCAAAGCGATGGTACCAGCGGCCGCCTACCCAAGTCCAATTCCAACCGCAACCGCGCGTTGATCAAATGGCTATGAGTCCCCTTCCTCCAGTTCCAGACATGCGGCCGGAAACCGGCAACTGGCAACAGTATCTAACAACTGCCAAATCCTATCAGACCTATCCTGCCGCTCCCTATGATCCTAATTACGGCTACTACAACCCTGGCTATGCTTCCATGCAGCCCCAGTACATGCCCCCTTCGCCCCAACCCCGTCCGGGCATTCCTTACAACCAAGCTGGATACATGCCTGGACAATTCCCCGTCCAGCCCCCCCAGTCGACTCCTCTTTCACGAACTCCCTCTCAAGTTTCTACTGACCGTCCCGGTTCAAGCCTTGGTCAGCCCGCACAGTCTGGTCCTGGCCATGCGCACACCGGTAGCCGCTCCTCTAACAGTCCCGCTCCGGCCAAGTCGCACTTTGTCCTGCCCACCAAGAAAAGCGCCATTGTCATCAAGGATCCTGGCAGCGGTGCAGTCAAGCACTTCGACAAGAACCCTGCATCCCCGGCCCGTGCCACTCCCTCTCCCGTAAAGATTACGACTCCGACCTCGACTCCTCCGCCACGCACCGCCAGCGCGTCAGAGCACAGCCGCTCCGAGAGCAAGGCTTCCAGCTCCAAGACTGACGAGGAGAAGAAGCAGGAGCTGAAGGATGCTGTCAAGAAAAAGATTGAAGAGGATGAGGCTGCGCAGAAGCGTGAGGCCGAGAAGGCCAAGAGCCAGACCACCGAGGAGACCGAGCCTACTGAGACCGCCAAGCCCAAGGATGAGGGCACTGACGCTGCCAGTGCCGCCATGGAGAACCTGACCTTGAAGGATAAGGCCGCCCCTGCTGAGGAACCTAAGAAATCGCCTGCTCCCGCCCCCGCGACCCCGGCTCCTGCTCCTGCTCCTGCTCCCGCTCCCGCTCCCGCTCCCGCACCGGCCGATGACGACGAGATCGATTTCGATGCCATTGAGCGTGAGATGGCCGAGATCGAAGCCAAGGAGCGTGCCGCGGAAGAGGACTACAACCGCAAGAAGCAGGAAAAGAAGGAGGAAGCTGAGCGCAAGGAGCGTGAAGAGCGTGAGCACTACGAGAAGACCATGAAGCAGGCCGAGCGCGAGGCTGAAGAGCGTGAGCTTGCCCGCGAAGCAGCTCGCGCCAAGGGTGAGTCCGCCGCTCCTAGCGAGGATACGGATCTGTTTACTACCCTGAAGAAGGGTGGATTCCCTCCTACCGAGTCCTCTACCCCCGGTGACAGCGGCGCTGCCACCCCGGTTTCCTCAGACATGTCTATGGGTCCTCCCGGAAAGCCTGCCAGCGCCACCGCTAAGAAGCCTGCTGGTCTGAAGCTTGATACTCCCAAGCCTAGCGAGCCTCTCCAGCCGAGTGCCGCCATGAAGTCTCTTCAGAATGCCAAGTTCCTGCAGGATCTTGCTAAGATCACTTATCCATCCACTATCACCGCTCCCAACCTGGCTCTGAACGCTCAATCCCCAGCCGGTCGTCAATTCCACTATGACCGCGAGTTCTTGCTCCAGTTCCAGACCGCGTACAAGGACAAACCGTCCATCGATTGGGACACTCGTGTGCGCGAGACCCTTGGTGATCCCGCTGATTCTTCTCGCCCTCAGTCCGCCCGCACTCCCAGCATGGGACCCCGTTCTGGCTCCCAGCGTGGTGGTATGCCTGGATTCCCAGGCATGGGCAACTTCGGCCAGCCCGGTGGCAGCCGTCACAGCATGCCCCCCGTCAGCTCCTCTCGTGGCGGTTCCTTCCCTGCCTTCCCCCGCCCCATGGGTATGGCTCCTGGCATGAGCCGCAACAACTCTTCCAACATGCCCATGTCTCCTCGTGTCGCTTCTAGCAAGGGCCGTGCTGGTAGCAAGCGTGACAAGCACTCCGTCAAGAAGGAGGAGGATATGAACAAGACCATGCCTCTCACAGCCGGTATGGACCTGAAGCTTCCCTCGGTTTCTTCCACTGGCTGGAAGCCCCGCAGTATTGGCCAGTCTACTGCTGCTGCTGGTCCCGCGCCTGGTGGTGAAGCCTACATGGCACCGGATGTCGTGCAGCGCAAGGTCAAGGCCGCGCTTAACAAGATGACCCCCGAAAAGTTCGATCGTATCTCCGCTCAGATTTTGGAGATTGTCTCTCAGTCCAAGGATGAGTCTGACGGCCGCACCCTCCGTCAAGTTATCCAGCTCACTTTCGAGAAGGCTACTGATGAAGCTCACTGGGCTCCCATGTATGCCAAGTTCTGCAAGGCCATGCTTGAGAGCATGAGTGCCGAGATCAAGGACGAGAACATCCGCGACAAGAACGGCAATGTTGTCGCCGGCGGCAGCCTGTTCCGCAAGTATCTGCTCAACCGCTGCCAAGAGGAGTTCGAACGTGGTTGGAAGGTCAACCTACCTCCCAAGCCCGAGGGTACTACTGAGGAGATCGCGATGATGTCTGACGAGTACTACGTTGCTGCTGCCGCTAAGCGTCGCGGTCTTGGTCTGGTCAAGTTTATTGGTGAGCTGTACAAGCTCGGCATGTTGACTGAGCGTATCATGCACGAATGTGTTAAGAAGCTGGTCGACTACGAGGGTATTCCTGATGAAGCTGAGGTAGAGTCTCTGACCAGCCTTTTGCGCACCATTGGTGCCAGCCTGGATGCCTCTGAGAAGGGACCTGCTATGATGGATGCCTACTTTGCTCGTATCACTATGATGATGGATATTCCTGGTCTTCCCAGTCGTCTTCGCTTCATGCTTATGGTATGTCCTTTTTCCCAAAGTCAAAAAACAATGCTAACATTTCTCTCTAGGATATCGTTGATCTGCGTCGTCAGCGCTGGCACTCCAAGGACTCCGACAAGGGTCCCAAGACTATCCAGCAGATCCGTGAGGAGGCTGCTCGCGCTCAGCAAGAGCAGGAGATGGAGCGTATGCGCCAACAGTCCAACCGCGGAGGTGGTGGCGGTGGTCGCATGGCCATGGGTCGTGGTGATGTCCGGAGCTACGGCCAACAGGCCCCTCCCCCCGACTACGCTTCCAGCAAGGTCGGCAGTGACGACCTCCGTCGTCTGCGTGCTAGCCGCAACACCAACCAGCCCATGTCCTTCGGTCCGTCCAGCCTGCTCGGCTCCCGCAGCAACAGCGGCCGCAAGAACCTGGGCCCTGGCGGCAACCTGGTCCGTGGCGGTGACGACAGCGCTACCTCCAGCCGCAGCGCCAGTCAGGCCGGCAAGAAGGAAGACAAGGAGGCTTCGTCTTCCATCAATGCTTTCAGGTACGCATACACTAACCGTTTGGCCCCTCCGGCTTCAACCCTAACACCACTGCAGCGCCCTTGCGGCTCTTGAAGACAAGGACAACATGGCCACCTCGCCTCCTTCCAACCCGACCTCCCCCATGCTCACCAAGTCTCAGCCCGCTACCGCTGAGCGCCGGCCCTCCAAAACACCGTCCAAGGACGGCGAGAACGCAGCATAGATTCGTTAGGCCTAATGATCAACGCTTTTCAATTTTTTCTTTTCATTTTGCCTCGGTTTCCCCAAAAGATTTCCCTTTTTCTCTTCCAGCTTGCTCCATCACTGCGTCTTGATTTTCCGGTTCATTCGGATCGGACCGGTCCTCTTGCGTTTGCACACATGGGAATTTTTTTCGACCCTTGCATTTTCCGACTGGGTCGGTTTTTCCATCTTTTTTCCTCTTTTTATCTCTTCGAGGGTTCTTTCTTCTGCTCTCCTGACACTCTAGTGAACATTCTCAGGCGAATAAGAAAGGGAGATATTTACGAACCAATCTCTCTTTGTGAACCGATTCGATGCAGAAAAATGGATGTTCATCTCGAAGAGCTTCATAGTGTACAATTTTCACTTTTTTCTTTTCTACCACCGGTCCCTTTTTTCTGCCAACCCTGCGTCTGCCTTCCTGACAAGTCGAATGAAATGGGTGGTGGATCAGGATTCTATATGGGCAGGAATGGATGTGGGTGGAAGTTGTCGTGGATCATTCGAGTTTTCTCTTGCTTCTGGGCGGTAGTAAGAGAGCTAATATCCACAATGATCATTCTATTTAAAAGATTGATTACTATTGGTAATGTTATGCCTATAGACTAGACGTTGTTTAATTGGTTGTTAAAAATTGTCGGTGTCTACGTGTAGTATGGGGTGTAGTCCATCACAGTGCGTTATATTTGTACGTGGTCTTAATAGACATGCAAAGAAATCACTAGAGAAGCAAGATGTATAGAAAAGGCTCAGTCATTTATACAAGTCAAAACAAGGTATCTCCTAGACAATATCACACCACCAGCATTCAACCGATTTCCTTACCTAGGAAGCAACTCATCCCTCCCTTTCCCCCACACCTCAAAACACCGACACCCAGGCGCAGGATTAACACCACCCAACTTCCCCTCCCCCCTTACCCAACTCTGACTCGGATCCAAAACATCCAGCAAATCCAGCAAAAGATGCTGCACACGCCTCCACCGATTCGCCGGCAACCTCTTCCGCTGCGCCAGAGCATGAAGGGGAGCTCTTCGGGGTTTGAGTTGTGAGTGTCTGTGTTGAAGGATTGTTGGATTGCGCCTAGGGCTGATGAGAGGATTGTGTTGTTTTTTGAGGTGGAGAAGCGGAGGAATTGGACTTTTCGGCGGAGGATATAGATCTAATAGCATTTGAGTAAGCGACATTATCATCAACCATGACATGTAAATATGGTCAAGTTTGATATACACAAGAAAAATACCGCCCAAACAAAAACGCAAAGTGCAGGGTAACATATTGACGCTGATCCTCGTCACCGAAATAGTAGAAGAACAAATCGCGCTCGATGATATAGTGGAGATCGGATTTGAAGGTCTACTGCTGCAAGGAGGAGGGGATCGCGGTATTTCGAGACTAGTTTTTCGGTTTGAGAGGGTCATTTTGCGCGGTCGCTGTGGAGAGTTACGAAGCCTGAGATTGAGGCTGCGATTATTGAGCCGACGAGTGAGATTATGGCGATGATTATTGAGACTGTTTCTGCCATTTGATTTCTATAAAATGCATTAGACCTTGAGGAATTGGTTTGGAAGTATAATTTAATAGATAGTCTTACCGTGGTGATTAAGCTACTGCTAGTAGTCCCTAGGTAGCGAGCCAATTGGCGATCGCCGGAGAATATTTCAGTTCGGATTGGCGCGTTACGAAAAAGATCAGATGGGTGAACAGACCAAGTAGATAAATTTCCAAGTGCGGCTGAACAGCCTTATAACACGCATCCGAGCTGTCAGCTTGAAACTACATTCAGGGCCGGAAAATGGTTGATGACTTGACGTGGCGCTGATCAACTGGGCTGATGCGTGGGTATGGGCGCCACAATATGCAGGTTAATTAGCTTAGCGAATGTGACTTTTACAGTGTTGAGAACCAGTATGCTAGCGTCTACAGATGTTTATAGCTGAAGGTCTGCTGAGTTGATATCAATGTTTGATTCTCTACTAAGAATATATGATCTGGATAAAATGCAGTTCACTCAAGTAATGTCCTTCTCTGTCCAAATTTGTCCAGAGTAAGCATCATATGTTCTCGAAGCAATGATAGAGATAGACGTGGTAGGTGCATCATTCGGTAAGAGTCGTGGCGGGGTATTGTGCGCTTGAGGGTATCTGGGCCAGGTCATGATCATGAAGGTCGACCGGACTTTGTACAAATGCATAAGGCGTGGCGTGTGAATGTCATTATCCTTTGGTATGCCGAGAATGGGTATCAGAGGTCTGCCGTGCTCATCATTCCTTCGATTTCTCCTCGTTGTCGTTGGACACTTCGATGGAGGGAATTGAAACGCGAGCTGGAGAGTCGGGGGTTTCGGTGGAGTCTGCGGTGTCGTTCTTTGCGGATGATGATTTGGCTGTCGAGGATGTATCGTCTGTTGAGTCATCTTCCGATAGCGGAGATGGCGATCTGGGAGGCGGTCCGGGTGACGCTGCACGCTGCGTGCTTTCGCTTGTGACCATGCTTTCTTCGGAGCTGGCGGGACTGCCAGTCAATGGGCTCTTCATGACAACCGTATCGAGGGAATAAGGGACTGGAGACGTCGAGTCGGATTCGTCTTGGCTTATGCTGCTGCGGTCTGACACGGACAGCGAGCTACGCGAGTTGGCGTGGGAGTAATGGGCTGGGAGACCCAATGCTTTGGCGACAGCAGCCTCCTCATCGGGAAGTTTGGAGGCTCCACTCTCTGTATTAGAACCGGTATCAAAAATCCCGCTGCCGCGCCTCTCGCTCAATTCCAGAATGTGATTGTAGCTCCGTCGGCTTGGGTCTGCGCGGCGCTTCTTTTTCTTCTTCTCGCGCTTGGGTGATGGGCGGACAACAATGACAGGAATGGGTGATTGCTGCAAGCAGTACTTCGAGACGGATCCTGGAAGAAGGCTGTGCACGCCCTTTAGGTTGCGTCCTCGTGTACCAACGACCAGCATGGCCGGCTCATAAATTCGAATCTTCATTGCGTTAGATGTTTGATATATATATATGAGAAATGCAGAGACTCACCATTCGCTGGATAATATCCTCGACCTTACCGACGGCCAGTTCCAATACAAGGCTGATTGCCTTCTCGTCTTGGCTATTTTTCTGAATCACCTGCTCAAACAGCTTTTCGGCTTCCTTGCGGTAATTGCCCTCCTCAATCGCGGCGTCGCTCGCCATGCGCGAATCTTTTTCAACTGCTCGGAGACAGACAATCTCATCACCATCATCGACCAATTCATCTATCAGCCATTCCAGCGCAAATTCCGAGTAGTCGTTTTGATCCGTGCCGCACAAAAACGTCCGACTGCGGCGGGTACTTTGGTACCCCTTGTGTTTGTAGTTGAGTGTCAGGGAGAAATTGGGGGCATCGCGGTTATCAAAGGTATCGAATGAGACACCTCGTTCGTAAGTTCTTTGTTATGTGTCAGTACGGACATTATTTTGATATGAAGATTCAACGTACTTTGGCGGCGGGGGAGATGGCCCACGAGCCGAGTAGTGTCGCTGCAGGTCCCGTTCCTGCTCTAGCTCTTCATGTTCCTCTCTAATCGGCAGCCCTCCTCCAAACGACAGACGCTTTTCTTTGAAGCTCGGCATGCGGGTAGGGAGTTGGGCTTCCGCAGAGCCCACATTGAATTGAATGGAGCGCCGTCGCGGACTGTAGTCGCGAGGTTTGGCGTCCTCAAACGAAATACTGCGCGTGTGTCCGGCCCTCTTTGCCTGTTGTGCACTTTCGCTGGTACTGGGACGGTCCTCGGACTCGAAGGAGGGTTTGGGGGATGGCGGGGCTGACATCATGCAGGGAGGGGCGAGATCCGATCACTTTTGTCGGTCTGCTCGTCCCATAAGCCTTCCGGTGTATGAAATGTGGCTGTTGAGAATATTCGACGTTTGTATCGCTCATGTGGTGGTCGTCTGAGGAGCAAGCAAAGTAAGGAGATTGTGATGTGCTCTGTGCTCTGTGCTCAGTTTGGAGATGGGGTCCCACCGAGTGAATGTCAACACTGTGCAATGCGCGGGGGCCTGTTCAGTCGTACGCCTCCAGGACGAGGGAATCGCTAGTTGTTGCACGGTGGATGATGGGCTCCATGTTTCACAGGCGTCAGAACATTGCCGGGTTACTGAGATTGAAGATGGAGTGCCTGCCGTGGTGACGCTTGCAGCGAGGGTTTCCTCAACCGAGGACACATCCTGGTTGGGCAGCTGCGCGGGCGGTGAGATCCCACTTATCGATAACGACCGGGTCACGTGGACAATATGTGTGGCACTGCTGCTGTCAAAAGCCCCCAGTTAGAGGTATCAAGATGTTGAAGTTATCAAGTACAACTATGGAAGAAGAGTCTACATGAAAGGGAGTGTATAAAAGAACGCTAAAAGCCACCACCAAGGTCAGCCGAGCACACATAGCTGACGCACACCACCCACCCCCCTCCTTCTGGCGCAACCTACCCCAGCCCACTTTGACCAGGATAGATCAGCGACTCCATCAGGAAATCGAATCCAGCAGGACTCAAAAAGCAGACAAGCCCGCATGCACCTCAATTCCCATAAGGTGTATACTCACACGGTGCATATACACCATGGGTCTCCGTTCTCGCACTCACACTACTTACAGTACAGTGAAAGCCCGAGTCGAGGACCGACCGCGGAGTGGCACGCCATCGACGCAAGATAAGAGGGTCCATCAATGGGGAATAAGTTTGCAGATCCCGATTGCCATCATTCTATTTCATTCTTTGCTCCGCATGGAGATCCTTCAAGGAAAGTGCGGAGTGCCTTGGCAGGCAGCCCCTTTCTCGTTACTCGTTATCACACGGGCTGAGATCAACCGCGTAATTTGGGTGCTGCCTCAGTATTACCATCAGGTACCGATGGTGCCTACACAATTACACTGTTTCATCAGGTACCAACTTGAAGATCCAGCCCAATGAGACCCGTGCACTGAGGCAGCAACAAAGTACCACCCTTAAGACAGTGGCAGGGCAACCATGACACGTACGTAGTGATGTGACGCCCTAGCACTTCACCTGTGGACTTGGCATTGACAATAATTGAGTCTGCCAGTGCGGCAATCGCGACATTTCTCCTCACTTTCCTATCGCTGCTCTAACGCGAGTGACCAGGTGACCCCCACTGTTCCCCCTAGCAAACCCTTCATGCCACTAGCATCCGTAGCAGACCGACCATGCCGTCTTAGCCGCGATGATCGGAGACTATCGCCTTAGCGTGGATATTTTAGCGGTGAGAGGAGACCTCCACATACACCAGTGAGGTGTACCTTAGGGTAGGCAAGACGTGATCGACCCGTCACATGCACCGTTGAACCGGTGTGGTTGGCACTGGCACTGACACTTGACACTGACTTGCTGGGAGACCAATGGAGGGAAGGGCGATGCAGACTGTACGTGTGAGGAGCGAACTACGAAGCCCCGTGGAAGCAAGACAGGCTGGATTTCAACTTTGTTTCAATTTTGGTTCGTGAGATTCTATGTACAGGATGTCTGGTCGAGATTCCAATTTCCAACGTCTCAGGCAGTCTCAACCTTTCTTTTTTGCCCCGCCAACGTTGTTGGAAGGGGGGAAAGCTGCTCGAGTTCAATGAATAGTCACAGAATTTCCGTCAAGCTGGCTAGCCTGTAGCTCAGCGGTGAGATGAGATGTAAATATTGGTGCAAGATGCGACCGTGTCAGAACGCCGTTTGAAGTATAAGAAAGGAGATGATGATATAGATATAAGAGTAAAAGTCGCTCCATCGTCAGGCCAGGGTATCACAGGTATCAAAAGTCAAAAACAGAGTCATGGTCGTGTGGTATACAAGAAACAAAATGCGTCATCGAGATTCGGACGGCTAGTACGCCTCGATGAGAGTGCTCTGCTCTTGTGCAACGTAGTACCCTGGCTCAAACAGATGAGGTTGATCCTGGTCCGAGGGCGCAAGCGGGATGGCGGTGGTGGTGGGTTCCTTCTCGTCAAAGGCCTCGAGAGTAGGTTGAGGCGGGGAAGGAGGCGTGGCCTCGTCCTCGGAGGAGTCGTCCGAGTCCGCCAGCAGTTCGGGCGGCGACTGTCGCGATGGCGAACGAGTCAGGCTGAGATCTTCCAGGTCCTCCACATCGTCGTATTCAAAGTCCGAATCGGTGTCGTCGTCCTCTTCCTCCAATTCGGGGATCGAGAGGGTGAGCGGGGCGGGCGGCGAGGGTGCCCGACGGCGGACAGGAGTGTTGATGACAAAATCGTTCTCGTCGAAGTCAGAGTCATCCTCGTCGCTGTCCTCACTGACGTCCGACTCCAGGTCGGAGGCGTCCTCCGGGTTCCAATCCTCCTCGGGCTCCTCGACCACGGTCGAGGCCCATTGGATGTGTCGGGGCTCCTCCTTAGTGGCGCCGCGGACGGTCTGGTTGAACCAGCGCTCTTGCTCGCGCTCGGCGTCGGCGAGGTCGAGCATCAGGCTGTCGAGGAAATTGGCGTGGCCTACCAACAGGCGCAGGTCGTGGTCTGCCTTGGACGCCGCAACCGACAGCTTCTTGCGGGCGGTGTGAGCGAGGTAGTATGTTTGGGTGATGCTCATTTTCTTTTGTTGGCGCCTCCGGAAGAGGGAATCAAAGTATGGGGAGGCAGCGGAGGCGAAGGAAGAGTCCTTGGGGCTGGTGGAAGAAAGAGAGTCCATGGCGACAGCTGAGTTATATGAGTCGGAGCTATGTGACTCAATGGTGTGCTCGGGATCGTCCAATCACGGAGGGAGGGGAGGCGGTGTGTTGGGGAAAAGTACAATAGTGTGCTAGCATAGGATGTACCCGTTGCTTCAGATAGGAGGTGCACTCGTCGTATGAACCAGGGTATTCTAGTTCTTGTGTGCGAGTTTGTATGTATAGAAGGCTTGGTGACACGGGGGAGGGGGGGGATCGAGTGGTTTTTGTACTGGCTGTGAAAAAAACAGAGCCAGAGCCTTGATCCGTCCGGGCCCCGGGATGACCGATCGACGATTATGCATCCAGGACCCACTTTGAAAGAACCCGCTTAGTAGATTTTCATCGGACTCGGATCCTCGCTCGGCGTCTGGTATCCGGGCACACCGCTTCGCCTCTTGAAAAAGAAAATTAATAATTTCGAGTCGAATATACCCTACAATTCTACAAATCGTGATTCGAAATGGCTCATCGATACTACTAGATTGACAATTCCGTTGCTACAAGTCTTCGAATTTTCCATGAGTCATCTGGAGGACCCTTCCTGCCCCACTCGGCGATGACCAATATGCCGCCCGGAGCCAAGGTCGGACATAACAGATGATTTACAATCCTCTCCCTCATAATCACATAACGCCTGGGTTGTCCCGACTCCGATCAACCACACTTTTCCGTCCGATGGTTCGACGGTTCTAACGGTTCTAGCGGTCTTCCATCTCGCTATCTCCAGACTCGCTCATCCTGAGCTTGGGCAGTTTCGTCCGACCGCCAGCAAGGTATGACATGTATCGCAATGCGGCTGTGAAGACGGCTTGGCAGTACGCTGCATTCCCCCCAAGTTGAGACAGGCTGCGACATACTGACTCCGGGTGACACGGCCACGCTGCAACGCGTGGAGATGCGGAGGCTACTCAGTTCTCCCTTTCTCTAACATGCCAGCGGTCTTATCACCTCCACGTCGTCCTTGCAGCTCGCAGGCGCAGCTGAAAGCAGACCTCCCTTTCCTGTGGGGACCAATCATCGCATCCGACGCTGTCTCACCCTGGAATGCTCATACCCTGCTACCCAGTGGCTGGTAGGGACTCCAGGGATGAAGAGATGAGGCGAATGCGGCCACGATGCCGAGAAAGCCAAGCCAATACTGGCACGCAATCTGTCTACTCTCTCCAAGGCGACCGAGTAAGGCACCTAACTGTCAGAGTAAGGATTTGGCGCCTAGAAAGTTAACATTTCGCGCTGAATTCCGATTTCTAATCTGCCCACTGTATTACTGCCTACTAGAGGCTCTTCGTATTGGCATGAATTTTTTGGGCGTGGCCCCCACCAGTCCCAAACTTTGACTGCCTGGGCAGCCCTACGAAAGCCCTCTATCCACTTAAGGTAATATCGTACTGCCAAGTGGGACCACGAACGGCGACCCCGAAATTCCATTGGATTCCACTAGCGAGCCGAGCGATTTTCGCATCATGAAACACTGGAGTGACAAGCCTGGCTGGTCGTAGATAAAATAAACGACATCATCCTCGCACATTCCACGGGTTCTGGAGATGATGGGCGCAATCGCACAAACAGAGACCGTGGACAGGCCGGTCCAGCCGCGGCCAGGCAAACCGAGATCACGTTCGGACTAATCGCCTATTTCCGCGTAGGGCGCGTCGTTCGTGGTTCCAAAGAAGGAACTCGCGGATAACGTGTGCCGGTGGACTGGCGCCTTGTGTGGGCTGCCAGCACCCGAGGCTCCACTAGTGACAGGTCGATGATGTCAACACGTGTTGCCATTTTATCGCCGAGATACCTAGTTAGTTACTGGATGAGTGTTGACATATCATTAATCATGTCGGCATCCGGGATTTGGGATGGATGTACACTACGCCAGTAGAGGGAAATTGCTTTTTAATTGCTTTTCCCAACTTGTCTTCTCTCGTATCTGCGATATATATCTGCCAGTGCGGGGTGCAGCATCAAAAGCAAAGATCAATACATTGCCTAGCTTACCTACCCCAGTTTAGTGTAGCGGGGATAAACAATCCTACCTCAATAACTAGAATCGCATTGACACTAGACCTCAGGTCAGAAGTTCAAATCCCGGCATCCTGCCTTCCCCAAGTTTGTAATCAACGTCAGGTGACCGGCATCCCTAGTGTGTAATCACAGTGCTAAACCTTCAGTGCACAATACTCAATGCCATAACTATGTATGCCCTAGGATAGGCTCACTTAATCAGCGGAATCTGTCAATTCTTGGAATCGCTCGTCCTCCGTGCATTTCCTCCGGCTCCACATATTCGGCCGCGGACGATCCGCGGTGACTCAGGATGAATCTTCGGAGCCTCGGTAAATTATTACCGCCGGCGTTCGCAACTCCAGGGCTCCGTCTCCGATGACGTTCCGTGGATCCGACCCTCGTGGACGCCCATCGATGATCACCCGTGCACATCTTTATACCTTAGGGTACAATCTAATGCCATCCACGTGCTCGTTGGTAAAACTTTCCGTCGGCCTCATCGGCCATTTCAACCCGCAATATCCGCACGACGAGCTAATCCGTCCAAGATCACTGCACCGTCCCCTCGTGCAGGGCTGATTGTGAATTGTGCAATCCGACCGTCCGTGCTCGCCGTTCCTGTCCGATGCGCACTGGCACTTACCCCGATGAAATGTGCCTACTAGTATTTTGTACAAGTCTTGAGCTGGGACCTAAGCGGGACAGTTGATTCAGGTCATGCGCCCGAACAGGATTCCTGCAGAACCACTTTACAGCTAGGGTAGGAGCTCGGTCAGCCGATGCCGCCGTAAAGCTTGGTGCTAAGGCCTTGATGCGGCTGTTTCCGGGCTGGTGCGTTTCGCGATCGGACTGAGGCGTAGAATCCTTCAGCTTTGACCGTAAGCCGACGCCGACTTTCGGGGAAATACGGTGCGTCAATCTCTTATCTGATTCCATTGCCAGCCACGATGGGTGCGGTGGGTGCGGTGGGTGCGGGGCCTCCGGCTCTGAAGAGCTAGGCTACTCTGAGGGTGAGGCTCTCGACTCTCGATTTCTAAGTGGGCTAATTAGGGCGAAGCTTGGTCGGTGCTGAGTGGATGGATGGCACTAGTAGGTTATTGTGGGTTCTTGTACTATATTGTAGCGGGTGGACGGTTTTATTGATAGTACACTATACTCTACTTCTTAATATCACAGTGGTATCTACTTGGCTATCTACAGACATGACGGATTGACCACACAAATTCAAGAAAAGACCCCGATAGGTAGATCTATCATAACCAAAAGAGCCGCCACTCGCAAGACCAATTTGTCAATGTAACCTATCCCCAAACCAGAATATTTCCCCATAAATCATCTCCACTCGACCCTAGAACCACCATCTAAGACTCCTTCGACGGCGTAACAGCCGCAGAATCCACGGGCTTAACAGCAGCAGCAGACTGCATCGACTTCACAGCCGAAGCGTCTTCCCGCACCGGACTAACAACCCCCTTCTGCGGTGACCTCATCCGCTCCCTCGATCTCTCCCTCGACCTCACAATCCCCGCCAGATCCAACCATTTACACGCACCCTGCAACAGCCTCCCCATAATACTCTCCTCCATCCCAACCAGCTGTCTAAAATCATTCATACGGCGACTCGCTTTCTCCGCGTCGTGCTTATGCAGTTGCGCAATGCGATCCTCGATCGAGAAAATCATGTCCTCGAACCGCTTGTGCCGCTCCTCCCATGTGGCGTATGTCTTTAGGAACTCGCGCATGGCCGGGTTGGTTACCTCGTCGGCGAGGCTTTCGGTGTTTTTGACGTGTTGGAGGGCTGCGTCGATCATTTTGTGGACTTCGAGGACTTCGCCGTATTCGGATTGGGCGAGTTTGGATTCGCCGGGTTTGGATTTACTGGTGGGGGCATTCTGCGGTGCTGTGTCTGTGGGTTTAGAGGTTGTATGATAAGTGGAGGAGTGGGACAGAAGTGGAATACGTACAAGGGGACGTTGATGACTCCCTGATATTGTAAAAAGCATGGGAGGTGTAGAATGTCGAGGTATATGACGTGGAGATGAAGATTGCAGGTATGCGATAGAAGGAAGAAGAGAGGAAGAAGAAACCCTCAAAGAGAAGCAGTTTTAAGCTTCGACTGGTAAAACGAATCAAACCCATGGGTGGAGAATGGCGGATGCAAAGGGAATCATGGAAAAAGGTCAGTGTGCAACTATCGCACTGATTCAAACACATTTCCCTTGTAGCTTGAGCGGTAGATCACTAATAAAATGTAGCCTATGCGAGGATCAGATATCATTTATAGACACTATAATTAAATTCGGAGCCTCACTCCATTGTGTCATTATACTAAATCGATCATTACCCATTCACAGAACGAACATTCGTCAATCATCAAGATTGCTTTTGCAACACAATCCGCAACACCCTCGGCGACACACTAACAGCATTACTACTGCTATCCAACGCAAAAACAAACTCATCAAGACCAACACTCCCATAAACCTGAGAGTCCACCGTGACCCAGGTAATGCAAGAGCTCGTAAAAGGCCCGATCGGATTCAGACCCAAATTCGGCGGTATCAAAGCCCGGAAGGAGATCTCGCCAGAACTCTCAAGGCCGGTGGGATACAAGCGAATACTAATCGTCGTGGTATCGTTTGTCCCGCGCATACTGGCAAGAGACTTGAACATGTCGGTCGAGTTACTAATCCAGTTCGTGACCTTCAGTCCGGGACCGTCGTCCGTCGTGATAGTGATTGAAGAATTCACGCCATTGTTGGCTGAGTAGGTACCAGCAAATCGTTTCCGCGCTTCGTATTTTGCAATGTATTCTACCGCTGGTATGATTATTTGCGAAGCTAGGTCTGATGCCATGGCTGCTGCTGCGTGGCCGCCTGTTCCCGCGACTAGGATCACGAAGCCGACGCCGTGGTCGGGGGACAAGGCGAGAACGGTAGAGTATGTGCCGATGTCTCCGGCTTTTGTGTAGAGGTCTATTAGACGGGGTGAAGGGAATGAGACTATTTCCCAAGGTGTCCCGACGCCGTAGGCAATTGAAGATGTGTGGGTGGCTGGCTTCATCCATCGTCTTGTGGCGAGGGGGTCGAGAAGGGTGTTGTTGAGGATCGCACGGCCGAGAGTTGCCATGTCGTTGGCGGATGAGTAGATGCCGCCGGCCCTGGAATTCGTGAGCTTCATTTTAGTAAGATAATGACAGGGAGCCTTACGGGCCCTCGTCCCCCAGATCCATATTCCAGAAGTTCGCACCCTGACCATTGGCATTGGGGATCACACCAAGCGATGAATTCGGTGTGGTGTAGAAGGTGTGCTTCAGGTTAAGGGGCTGAAGGAGCTTGTTCTGGAAGACATTTTCGAATGTGTCATTGGTCAGTGCCTCCAAGGCATACCCGAGGATCTGGAAAGCAGCATTTGAATAGATGGGCGTTGATGAGACGGGAACGATAGGATGTCTTTCAAGCAGCCCAGCGAAGAACTCTGGCAGGACACCTCGTTAGTTACAACCATGACATAGCAGCGAATAGTATCAGTAGCATACGTGTTCTATTGCAAGGAACTGGACTTCCACAGGGCGGGATCTCATTTGGTGGTAGCACAGGGAAGCCCATTGCTTCCATCCCAGCAGCATTGGATGAAAGGTCGAGTATACCGTCTGAGAAAATCCGATTAGCGGAGACTCATTTACTGTCAGGGAGCACATACAATCTCTCGGGACGCCAGCCAGGTGGCTTGCCAGTTCTCCAATGGTCACATTGGCCCATTGCAAGGTGTCAATTGCATCACCCGAGACGGCTGCTTGCAACTCCGGGACGTAGTTCGCGATAGGTTGTGCGAACGGATCGAATCCCTCCTCAACGAGGAACAGGTACACGGCCCATATCTTCGAGACACTGCCGACACGGAACACCGTGTCCTGCGTGACTTGTCTCACGCCTAGCTTGGGGTCAAGGTCGTCGCTGGTGTAGGCCCACTGAAACAAGGGGGAAGGGTCAGTGGCGTCGAACACCTGCAGCGCGATCGAGTTGGTCGTTTGATTCGCATCCTTGAGCGCATGTTTAATTGAAGTGCGGAGTTCCTTTCGCGCCTCAAGAAAGTGCGAGTTGGTTGAGGCTGGGGTTGGCCATGGGTATGCGGGTCCGACGAGAGGACACGGACTCGGGGCGGCGGCTAGTACGGTGCTGCACGCCGCACCTAACGTCAATAATGATGTGTATAGTTTCATGGTGAGATTTTCGTTAATGAAATCTACAAATTGGCACTGCGCGCTATTTAAGGTTGTTAAGGTCTCCTTCTATTGCCTATCATTCCTACGATCTTCACATTCCTCTATCTACATCTCTGGTAGCATCCCTCCCAAGGAGGAAAAATGCGGGAAGCAAGACGGGGCCTGTCAAGCTCCTGTATTACCGACCTCACGAGTAAAAGTGTTCTCGGTTTGTATTTATATGATCCGCACGAATTGGAGGTTTTGTCTTGCGCCCACCATAAGACCGCACGTGTGAAGGACAATTCAATCCTGCTTGCATGAACTATCGTGGGAGGTACAAACCATTGGATTGACTTCCCCCGCCAATCAACCTGGATTGTTGTCCTGCAGGGGAAAGAGGTGTATAGGCTTTAAGGAGCTGTGGCATTTCCCTAGAGTGTCAAGGTTGATTAAATAAATTGCTTGATCCAGGGAGGCATTCCTTGTCAGGGCGTGAAGATCATTACAATTGAGGTTGGGGGTCTTCGCGAAGGGGTGGATTTCGAACACACATATCCGCCAATTACTGCTATTGGAAAACAGTCTATTGCTGGAGAGAATGAACCGATATTTTATTTCTCGGCCTTGATGTGTACAAACCCCTTGGTCCGAAAGCCAAATTTGTTTCACGAAATTGAGATAGCATGACCTTGTACGACAGGGCAGATGGGCCCAGAAACTCTAATCAACTTTAAGTTTGTCAGCGGATATCAATACAGTCCTCTTTTCGGCCATTACCAAGCTATGGGATCTAGGTCTAATTCGTGGGCGATACACCATTGGAGCGAAGCGGTTGAATTCAGAGATCTAACTCGAAACTAAAAATGTAACAAGTGCTATCATTGTAGAACGGCCCGCAAAAGAACTTGACCGGGAGCCTGACCATCACTCCTTAGAGAAGGCAGAATCACTCCGTATGTCCAAATTTCTTTTTTCCTCCGTAATGGCATTCTTGCAATAGACTACATTCACTTCCAAAGCCTTCCTCAATTCACGGGGAACAGGTACCTCGAATTCAGGATACTTCTCCATATCAACGTCAAATTTGCAATTGTTCCCTGCATTGAAACCATAGCACTTGCCACACAGAGCAGCTATTATCTGACTCACCTGATGATCCAGTGGCAGGCACGTCACCAAATCAATGTGCTCAGAGCTAAGCAACAGATGCTCAGTAGGGACAAGGTACTCGTGCTTTGTCCTCTTCTCTTGAGGCCAGTATTTATGAGGTATGCCTTAATAGCATCGGCGATGGGCTGCTCTAGCTTGGCCACTCCCAAAAAATTTGCGAGCCGTGTGAGTTCAAGTGCGGCCGAAAGACGGTGTTCGGGGTTCACCGAATCGAACTGGACAATCCCCAGGTAGATCCACTGAATCATGTGCTAGGGAATTCTCGACCTTAAGTTGGCATGGGTACAGCAAGTGTCAAGCAGTGAAAGCTTCTCCCACATACACTTAAACCTGCTCCTTTTCACCTCAATCTTGCTCTCTTGAACATTCCATATTGCATGTACTCCCTTGCTCAGGCACCTATGTGATCCTCAACTGGCTACCTTACAGGCGCGCGTTATTATGGCAGTTCGTAAATGAAGGAACTGGTCAAACGTATTGCTGCTTACTGTAAAGCGATGACTGAAATATATGTAAATTTCTAATTCATAAACAAGAAAGCTATCATCATCATAAACTAAGTATTGCTTTTTATAACCAACCGAGATCTAGCCATCCAACTTTTCCCAAATCACTAGTGCACTGCATTAGTGGTGGAACAGACGGATACCCTGCTCAACAAAGGTGATGCCCAGCTTTTCGGCGGTCTCGAAGACAGGGGTGTCGTTCTGGCTACCGGTGGGGGCGGCAATGTACTTGACACCTGAGCGAGCAGCGCGGAAGACGTTGTCGATGAAGGGGAACTAAAAACACATGAAATTAGCGTTGCTAGGAAGACGGTGCCGAGGGAAACTTACGAAGGCATCGGAGGAGACAGCAACCTCGCTGAGCTTCTCGAGCCAGGCCTCACGCTCCTCTTGGGTGAAGGGGGCGGGAACCTCCTCGAAGACACGCTCGTACTCGACCTTCTCGGCCTCATTGCGAGGGGTCTGGCCGGAGCAGAGCAGGTCAATGGCGTTGCTCTTGTCGGCGCGCTTGGTGCCCTGCTTCCACTTGATGTTGATGACACGGTCGTGGAAGCGCATCCACCAGTTGTCGGCCTTGTCACCGGCCAGACGGGTGCAGTGGATACGGCTCTGCTGGCCAGCGCCCAGGCCGACGACCTGGCCGTTCAGGGCGTAGCAGACGGAGTTGGACTGAGTATACTTCAGGGCAATGGTAGCCACAGTCAGGTCGCGCAGAGCAGCCTCGGGGAGGGCACCGGAGTCCTTGGGGGTGATGACGCTGTTGAAGGTCTTGCTTGGGGAGATGACAACGTCGTTGCGGTGCTGGGTGAGCTGCACGCCGTACAGAGTGCGGGTTTCCTCGGGGGCGGGAGTGTACTCCTCGTCCATCTGCAGGACAAGGTACTTGCCGCCCTTCTTCTTGGACAGGATCTCCAGAGCCTCGGGCTCGTAACCGGCGGCGATGACACCGTCGGACACCTCACGGGAGATGATCTTGGCAGTCGGGGTATCGACAACGTCGCTGAGGGCGAGGATATCACCGAAGCTGGACATGCGGTCGGCACCACGGGCACGAGCGTAGGCCTGGGCGAGGCCAGACGACTCAATGCCCTTGATGTCATCGACCATGTAGACCTTGCGCTCCTTCTCGTTCAGAGGAACACCGATGGCAGCACCAGCGGGAGAAACGTGCTTGAAGCTGGCAGCAGCGGGGAAGCCGAGAGCCTGCTTAAGCTCCTTGACGAGGGGCCAGGCGTTGAGAGCATCAAGCAGGTTGACGTAGCCGGGAGAGCCGTTCAGCACTTTGAATGGCAGCTTGCCCTGGGGCATGTAGGCGGAGGCGGGCTTCTGGTGGGGGTTGGTGCCGTAGCGGAGAGAAAGCTGCTGCACACCGTTGCCAGCGTACTCCTTGCGGAAGAAGCCAGAGATGGCAGAGTCGTAGTCGGCGGTCTGCTCGAACGCCTTGAGGGCATACTGCTTGCGGCTGGCCTGGGTGATCTCACCGGCCTCGAGCTCCTTCAGAAACTCGGGGTAGTCAGTGGGGTCGGACAGAATGGTGACGCGCTTGTGGTTCTTGGCCGCAGCACGCAGCAGAGTGACACCGCCAATATCGATCTCCTCGACGGCCTCGTCAATGGTGACGTTGACCTTGGCGACGGTTTCCTTGAAGGGGTACAGGTTGCAGACGACGAAGTCAACTTTGGCGATCTTCTGCTCAGCGAGGTCGTTCTCGTCGGATTCGATGTCGCGGGCAAGGATACCACCGTGGACAGCGGGGTGGAGGGTCTTAACACGGCCACCCAGCATCTCGGGGGCGTGAGTGATGGCAGAGACGTCCCTGCAGAACAATTGTTAGCAGTGAGCCAGCAAGTTGATGATCATGCTCGTCCAGAGAAACTTACTCCACGGGGAAACCGGCCTCGCGAATCATCTTGGCGGTACCACCGGAGGCGAGAAGACGGACATTCTCCTTGACCAGACCCTTAGCCAGGTCAAGCAGTCCAGTCTTGTCATAGACGGAGATGATAGCTAGTACGGAAAGACACGATTAGCAATGGTTCCAAGTGGGATTCCGAACGCATGTAAAATAGTTCGGGGGAGCATTTTAAGGCCAAGAGCCTACCGGACTTTTGTTGAGACATGGTGTCGACACTGTCAGTGGGCACGGTTAGCGAACGTTTTTTCAATTGAGCTCATTGGAAGTATGCGTACCTCAGTCCAAGCGTGAATTTTTTTTTTGACTGGTTGGAACTGAATTCTTCACGCGGGGCAACGACGAGGGGCCTTCCGAACTCGGCCCAAAGCACGTGATTGCTGACCTAGGTGTGGAGAATACTTGCCGTCCGCTCAGCCATACTTAAGCCACATATATACCAGATAATGACTGGCAACTCTTGGCGCTTTCATGGTAGAATTGTAAAGCCGAGCATATACTCGCACGCACATGGACACGATAAGCATAGACCAACACCACCATTTACGTTATTCTAATACACCGTCAAATGGTGGTGACTTAGGACTTTCACACCGCTACCTGAAATATTCTGTGGATAACGAGAGCCAATTCAGCTCCTGTGACAAATAAAATTGTGGTGGTCAATACGCAGAACCAAGGAAGTCCCAAGACCACTCTTGATGGTGATTAGCCAGAAAAGAAGGGAAAATATCTCCTTTTGCTTGATGTTCTCTGACCGATGCCCTTCCAGGCGTCATCACAGCTACGCAGCGGCCATAACTGGCTGTCCATCCACGCCAAAGCCCTTGGCTTCTGCAACGACGACAACTGCGCGTGCGGTGCGGAGGAGACAGTCGTTCACGTACAGATAGACTCCCCAAAATCTGAAGGTTTTACGAATAAAGCTGAGGAGAGAAGCTGGGGATGCGTTTAACAGCGTGTGGAGTCTGCTGGGAGTCTCAAATGAAGTTGAGAGAAGTAAACCAGACGTCGTCTCGTGAGCCAAAACGGTCAATGCCCCGTACTGGACTTCGCCGAGGCGTCACAGGATTTTCGTAGTCGCACGCCACGAGAGCAGCCAAAAATGGGAAGGGCAATTAGGCCATGGCAGGCCGTGACGAGGCTCTAAGTTCGTTGTCAGGAAATGGAACATTTAGATGTACGCACAAGAAGACATATATAGTTGTCGTGTCCTGCATATCGTTCGCGAGGTGTCAGGGCAAGTGAGATCTACTACTACTACTACGATGACTGTACGTACAGGTCGGTACTACTGGATAGACCGCCGCGGAGTTAGCATATGAGTGTTAAAGCGTCCAAAATCCTAGGTGGGAGCTCTTACAGCCTCCCAGGTTTGGGAGGGAGGTTGTAAGAACTAGTGAGCGGTAACGATCCTGTCTGGCTGCTTGATAATTTCATTGATTCAAGTGCTTGTTTGGGCGATATCACCTATATATCATGAACAATAGGAGACGTCATTGCGCGAGACTGTAGTTCCTGCAACTCATGTGCACACGAGGAGCCTACCATATAAAAGCTGGGACATCGGAAGCCGTAATCGCGATCAAAAAGTAGAACATTAGATACTCAACAAGATAGCTCTGTCAAGATCTTTGGTATGTTGCTATTGAGGTTCAGGAATCAGTACCGCTCACTTGGCTCAGAAGCCGAAGGTATGTCGTGCTGAAGGTCTCTACCTCTATTACTACTACTCTCAATGGATATAATGTATGTACTATGTGAAACCAGAACGTCTAGGGTCCATCCCACTAGCTCGGAAAGCTGAATACCCCATCGGCACTAGCGCCATTAGTCATTTATCACGTGCCAATCGAGATTTTCGCGTATATAAAGCAGCTAATCCCCGGACCCCTCTTGATTTCGACACCAAACGCTTAATATTCACTTTCTTCCAAAAAGCGTTCCTACGAGGACTCACAGTCCGAGGACGTACGGAAATCGTCATAAAGAAAAGGAGATAAATGAGTCGATCTTGGGTGCGATGCCCGCCTGACCTTTGTGTCCCATGGCAGGGAATCGCAATGATCAACCCTACATTAATTCAGAAACCCTACTGTTCTATTCTATCAAATTTATCTTTTATATATATATATTTGCCCAGTCACATTCCATCTTCCAAGTTTTTAGTTAGAACCAAGAAAAGTGCGACCCGGCATCCGTCATTCGAACGAAGACACGATGGCGCGTTGGCGAAAATTGGCATGCGCAAAAGGTAGCATGAATGGAAAACATGTTTCTATTACGATTCTATTCAATTAAAACAAATTCTGCAAAGCCTCTGTCCAAAAGTCCCTTCAAGGGTTGCCTCCCGTTCAGAATATGCGCCTCATGGCCTGAGGCTGTCTCTACTACCAGCTCCGATAGCGAGTTGGCGCCCAACATTCCCAAAGCAGACGGATGCGCAAAAAATGACACTGGCGACCCAGGTGCGGACGGCGACGCTTTCCTGTGTAATTCCTGCTCCAAGGGCGTTCTCCCATCCAGTCCCATTCAGTAGCGACGCACCCACCGATGGGCCAGTCGACGCCGGGACCATCTCGGGCTTGAGCCCTAGAACCACTGTCATTCCGCTCAGTCCGACGAAGGAGGAGAGGAGAAAGCCGGTCGAAGTGCGGTCGATCAGGTACCAGAGGACGGGGTTGGCCAGGGCCAGAGTCAAGGAGGCTTGTGTGGTGGATTTCCAGGGGAGGCGGCGCTGGAAAATTTCATCTTAGTAGAAGCCTCGGCGGGAGAGAAAAATAGTGAACATACCATGGCAAAGGCAATGCCGACAAAGGCACCCACGCTACGAGCGACAGCGACCCATGATGGGGTGCGCTCCTCGTTGTCATCTTCGTCCCTGGCGCGCTTGGTCTGATCCGCCTCTTCCAGGTCACAGTCGCGCCAGCTGTCTAGCCAGGGCAACACGTTACCCAACGCGATACCAGCCAAGCCCCAGAATGCGAGGTATTGCCACGAGTCGTAGTAGTGGGTGTTCTCCAGCTTCACAGGCGTAATCCAGTGGTTGTCATGCAGATGAACGGTGATGACCCCGTAGACAATGCCGAATCCAAACAACAAAACACTGCTCAGCACCTGCGGCAAGATCACACCACGGAACGTTCCCTGGCTGAGTCGCGAGCGCGTGCGACGCAGAGCGAACTGACGCGGGTTCGTAGCGGAGTTCACGGCGGCCTGCTGCGAGGGCTCGGGAGGATATTCGGAGGTAGGCGTGTGGGCTTCCGTGCCCCAGGGGCTCGATTCGTCGCGGTAGCTATCGAAGGCCGTGGGCTTGTAGATTCCGTACAGGGTGGAGGAGGTCAGGTTCAAGATGGAGCCGGTGCGACTGACGCTCGTCGAGTTCGATTCACCATCTTGACCCAGGTTGGGGGTCAGCAGATCGGGGTTGGACGCTTCGGCGGGCGTGACGGGCTCGGAGGACTCGTTGGAGGCAGGGGTCACGTCGAAGGCTCGTCGCGGCCGCGGCCGCAGGATGCGAGGCGAGTCCACCATCGTGTGCGGGTGCAGGCTCGTCGCGTCGAGAGAGTAGGTAAATTGAAAGGAGATCCGCGGAGGTCACAGGAGAAAATCAGAGGGGCCGGTCGTCGGACAGAGAAATGTCGTTTCCACTCTCGACTAAGGCTGGGCGGGGGAGTGCAGGGTCAAATATGCGCGCGCGTCTGGGGCGAGCTGTCAGATACAAATGTCCGATGGTCCACAGGTTGGATGATAGCATCACAAGTGGTGAAAAGCGTAGAGAAATGGGGACCTAACTGATAATTGAAGAGTGTAACAGTTGGGTGATCAGGTGGGCCGACGTGCCAGAAGGGAAGTGTTGGGGATACGTCAGACCAGCAACGGGAATGTCCACGAAACCCCGAAGTTGCTCCCTTTCTTTGGAATTAGTGATGCCCCCGCTACCGTTGGTCGGGTTCAGCCCCCTCCTCTGCGTGCGATAAGTTGAGCGTTGCTTTGGCGATCCCGAGGCTGTGGGGGATCCTGAATTTAATGACTTTACTGCCCGCAGCTAACGGAGTCCGGTGAAGTCGATGCAGGTGATCGACAAATGCTCTGGTAAATCCGCCGAGAATACGAGTCGCTGGGAGAAGAGCAGAACGAATGTGAAGCAGAAAGAACTGCGACAGAGGCGTCAAAGGAGGAGAAAAAGAGGGGCCATCACATGCGGAGGTCGAGCATGCAGATGCAGTTTTGCGATGTCACTGTGGAGAGGCACACACGGCACGCCCAGTGGGATCATACGTGGCATTTGCCGCAGTGGAATTAGACTCCCACGGGAAGACTGAAGAGAGCAGCTGTGAGGGGCAGCAGGAAACAATCAACAAGAGCTATTGTAGAGGATCCATTTACTTACTGTACTGGTGTTGGGGTTTGTGAGGCAATAGCAGGAGCTCCCTTCCGCCATCCCCCGCATACCACGCCACCAGACGAAGTATCGTGTTGAACGCACCACTCGAGACATTTGAATCCAAATATCGCTCAAGGCGCATTGCCACAGCGAGTCATACTTCTTGGCAAATTGTCTCCGAGCTTCCAGTGTCTTGGAGTGCCTTGGTCGTGCCAGAGAATACATCCTGACCGGCAGGGCATGTATCTACTCTACCTACACTCGCAGCCCGGGTGAGATATACCATTTCAGGCATCAGACAAACACACTTCTGACTTCAATTATGCCCTTTTGAAAGCTTTTCGAGGAATATCTTTTCCAGTGAAATACATCAGGAGGATACACTCATACTGGATGCAAAGACTGTGTCGATCTGCTTCGGAAAACATATCTGACCGTTTCATCTCCATTTATGGATGAGATATCCATGGAAGCGTTAGATGCTCAATTACACTTTTGGGACCCGACAGAGTCTTAAATATTTACAATCTTGGAGTTCTAGAAGCAAATAAGGCATTAGGCTCCGACTTGTTTGCAAATATTTCCTCTGCTTCAATTATGGCTTTTGCGCATCACAAAAGTCTTGAAAAAATTGTAGAAATGTAGTATAAACTATAGATCTGAGTCCATGTGCGCTTCAAATGTTCTGATGAACAAGGTGTTAATTATAGATCAGCATATTTTATCATCGATATTTCCAAGAACCCTGAATAATACGATGTGGCGCTTGGTTCTTGACAGATGAGGGGACTCAAGTCCTGCACAAATGATGGTGTCAAACTTCTGAAGGGTGGTCAATTGGTCAAGCACGGAAGTTTGCAAGACATTGAGCGCGGTAGATGAGAGATCCTGGCATGTGGACATTGAATTAAGCCTCCTAAATCCTCTTGTACCTCAACAAATTCTCCGGACCAAGTCGAGCCCTCGTCCAGGATACAGGGTCTACCCGGAAGCAACTCGATAGGATCAACCAACAGCCAAGCTAAAAGGCAGAACCATTCAGGTAAATCCCTGTTTCACGACAGGGCCTGATTGAGTCGCAAACAACTTAAGTATAATACAAACTCCAGATAGTCAATAGCACATGCAATTCTTTGGTATGACTTGTACATTTAAGAAAAAACGACACACTCTGCCTCATCAGCCGACAATTGCGTCCGGGTATCCGGAGACAGGGCAAAGCCATGGTGTCTGTTTCAGCGCAAAGACATTCTTCATGCGGAACTATGGAATACTCGGATTCGAAGAGATGATCGCGAAACCTCGTCTATAAGAAGGAGCTTCCATCAAGAGCAGTTAATCTTGATAGAACACCCACTTCCATGCAATCTCACTGATCCAATCCATTTGGAAACCGCAAATCCTCAACATGCATATCCTTAAAGCAGCCCTGCTCGCCTTTATGGCCCTCACGCCCTCAACCCTGGCAAGACAAATCCGATCCCGCACCGAACAAATCACCCCGGAAGTGGAATACTACTACAAGAGTCACAACCTCGCCCTCGATACTTACAAGCCCTCGAGCAGCGACACAATGCAAGAACAAGCCACCAAAATGATCTCATGCAGCATGGGCAAAATGGACTGCGGGACAGACATGTTCTGCGACCTCGAGTTGATGACGTGCATGACCAAGGTCCCCGTCGGAATGAGCTGCCACTCCAACGAAGGCTGTACCTCCGGTGTCTGCGGTAATGCGAACATGTGCGTTCCCAAGGCTGGCGAGTACGGGTCTCATTGTATGGATCCGTCCATGTGTAAAGAGGGGATGACTTGTCGGTATGGAATGATGAATATGGATCATATGGAGTGTCTTGATATGGTTAAGGGAGCTTATGGGGCTGATTGTGCTGTGGATAATGATTGCAATGCGGGTCTTTATTGCAGGAATATGGATATGATGGATGGGAAGGGTAGTGATGTGTCGCAGAGCAAGATGATTTGTATGACCATGACTGGAATGAGATCTTGCAAGCCTGCTGGGTTGGCTTGTGGGAATTCTTCTCAGTGTTGTTCTGGGAGGTGCCTGATCCTGGCGGGGACTGTGATTCCTCGATGTGTTTAGGGGTTTGATGAGGTTTGAGTGGAGGTTTGAGGTGGAGGTGCTTAGGTTGGAGTAAGGGCTTTGACGAAGTCGAGAATGCTGGAAGTTGCAGAGAGGTTGAATTTTTCATGTGGTTTCATACTTCGCAGCGATTTTCGCTTTTGGTTATATCTTTTACCTGAGCAATAATGTGATATTTTTCCTATTCAGGCGAACAACTTCTCACTGCTGTGAAAGGCAGTGCTCTTGAAGTATCATCTTTCCGCTCGAAACTTCTGAGCCAATTCCCAATCTCCCGGGGAAAATCATGAATCCACATTGAAGCAGCCGGAACATATCGGAAATACCAAGTTCGTGATATAGACAGAAATAATTGACTTCGTTCCTCTGGAGCCGAATGGTAGCATTCCCTGTCGACGCGGAATGCTGCATATTGTGTTACACACAGTGCAGGACCTTTGAGTTGTCGATCTAGGCCCTGTGACTTTATCATCCATGTCGTACAAAGTCAAGAGAGGCTCAAGCACGGGAGGACTCTGCAAAATAGAAATGAAACCATAAAGGCTCACATAAATCCTTGACCAAAAAAAGGCGGTAAATAAAAACATTGGGGACAAGGGTTTTATCATCGCCCAAAGAGTGTACAATTCAGCGCAGAATCCTAGAGAACCACAATCCATGGGTTGATCCAACAATATTAAGTCATAACACAAAGAAAAATAACGCCGACTTCTGTTGCCCAGTTTATTCCTCCATCGCCTCATCACCAGCTTCGCGTCGTTCAGCTGCCCCTGACGGAACGGGTGACGAGCTCTCATGCCGTGCGTAACCATTGGGGCCATCGTAGTTGGATATGTTCTCATCTTCATCACCTTCCTCATCAGCAGAGTCATCTGATGAATCTCCATCATCGCCGGCACGAGCAGGGCCTTCTTCTTCGCCAGACCCCTCGCCCAAGAGCTCACGGTCGAGATCATCGAGTTCACCCTCGACCTCTTCGCCGTGGTCTGGGTACCAGTTCGGAGTACCAACAGTCGATGAAGTAGGACCGGCACCAGCAGCAGGGCGACTGCGTGCACCCTTCGAACGTCCTGCTGCGGCCGCCTTCTTACCGGTTCCAGGAGTTGCTGCAGGACCGGTAGGCTTGCGCTTGGATTGAGCACCACCACCGCGAGGGCGCGCTTTAGATCGGTTATTGGCAGCTCGGATATCGGCTTCCAGAGTAGCCTTGGCTTTTTGCCGCTCCTCACGCTCTTTCTGACGGTCCTTCTTTGGCCCGTTGGCGTCCTCACAATCCCATCGATCAAGTCTCCGAGCTGCCTTTCGGACCACAGAGAGGAAGAAGCTGGCACATTCGCCATAGTCGTCTTCTTCTTCAGGGTTCGGGAGAAGACCACCCTTGCCCCAGGACAAATCTTCATCTTCAGTATCGTAACCATCCGGGAGTCCTTGTACCAGACGACCGTACCGAACAAAGGGCGTTTCAGCATTACGCTTCGCGCGAAGCACACGATATGCGTTGGTCCTCCGCTTGGCCAACAGGTAATCAATGCGTTGGCGACGGTTCTGCTCAACAGCAATCTGATGCTGTGTCAAAGGACGTGGTCGACGGCCCGGTGCTGTAGAGAGCGAAGGCTCAGGAATAAAACGATTCACCATCGGATTATTAGAGCCCGAAGGGGCAGGGGAGGCATCTGGGGTGTGGTCCATTCTTGTCTTCAAGATAAGCCGTTGCTGACCCGCAGCTCGGTTGAGTGAAGGCTCTCGCTTGACCTGTTTGGTGCGTGGTCGCGATGAGTTGCCTGGAGTCAGCTCATCGTCATCGTCATCTAGGCCGCGTTTAGCAGAGGTAGGGATGGGCGTAGACATGGCGGAGCCTCGCCCTCCGAGACCAGAGTAGTCATTCACAAAAGAATCCTCGTCCAGGCCGTAGTCTATCGTGCATGACTTTAGTAAAGATTGAATGTACAGAGGCAGCCGTGAGAACTCACCTTTCTTCATGCGTTTTGGTACGCGGGGTAGTGGCTCTTCCTCTTCCAAAATTCGTTTCCGCTCAAGTCTTTTAGACTCTCCATACTCCACTTCTTCCGGGGTATCAACATTCTCCTCATTTGCCTGTTCCTCTGTCAAGCTTTCGAACCGGGGAACCTTCAGCGGGAAGCCTCCAGTGTCGTCGTCTACGAGGCCAGCGCCGAACGGGTTATTCAGAGCAGCTTCGCGACTAAAGTCGCTCTCCAAATACCACCACATAAGCCACAGGAATGCCCTGGCACGACTCTTGCTGCTTAATGTAGATCGCATGACCAGGTCGAAGAAATCGCGCGGCGGGAAGAAATGCTGTTCCGATACTTTCGGGGCATATTGTGCCAGTACAAAGATGAGATTGACAGGGTTTGTCCGTGGGATATCCAAGCGCTTGATTTTGTCCAGGGTGTTTGGCTGATCGACGTCCTCGGAGGCACCCTTCAGGATGGATTTCAGACGTGGCGCATCCTGCAACTGTTTGTAGGCATTGGAGTCCTGGTGGGCTTGAAGCGAAGGGATAGAGTGGTAGGTTCGTAATTGGGCACGCATCTCGGGGAAGACTATAGATGGTTAGATGGTTAGCACTCCGAAGTAGGCGGGATGGGGATGCGAAAGCAACTTACAGTTGAGGGTGGTGTTCATGCGACCAAAATTCACAAGCAAACAGACCATCGCCATACTAATGGCAGCCGGTTTATCATTCTGAAGTTTGTCCTTCAATATCTTACTGGTCTTGCTGCTCCTGGCCATCGCGTCGATGTAGATGTCGGCGAAATCCATGTTCTTCTGTCCATCGGGGTATCGCGTGAAGACCGGAGTCTTGTCCTCGAAGACGAGTTTAAGAAACTGGTATTGTATATCCTTGCGCCAGAGGGGGATTCCATCCTCCTTTTTCAGATGTCGGATCTTGTTGCCGGAGTAGACAGAGCCAATCGTGCCATTTGCCTGGCGTCTCGTACCGACCGTCGCGCTGGCCGTCGCGCCGTGGGCTTGGTCATCTGCGACCTCGGAAGCAGCGAAGGATTCGTCCATGGCGGGGGCCTCGACCTCAGCCATGTTGAAGGAGAATTGCGATCAAGGGTGTCGGTTTGTGCGAAAGCTCCTGAGATCTGGGGGGCTGAGGGTGTCCTGTGGGGAGGGGGAAGGCCAGTAACGGCGCCCTTTAGCGCAAAAGTATTAAAGAAAGATAAAGATCGTAAGAAGATGGATGGGTGGAGGGATAAAGGAGTGTGGGCGAAGTTGAGGGGAGAGGGGAAGAGGAGAGTGAAAGAAAGGGAAGGGCCGGAAGGGACGAATTATTGCCGCAACAGTGAAGGTCTGCACCGGTGATAGCTACCCGCATCCAGGATCCGCGCAACGCGCGGGCGTGTCCTCGTAAGTCCGGTACCCTCAAGTACGTACTAGTGTTCATTTGCGTAACTGTGTTGGCAAGTAGCATTTGAATTCTCTATAGACAAATTGTCGACAGGCCGCTTATTTACTGCTGTCTCCATTAAAAAACACTCCGGCAGCTACTGAGTGATACTAGGCCAGTCTCTTGGAGTATACTCGGCTCGGATAACTGATTCTGTACAAGCCTGAAATCACCACCTTAGTGGAACCCTCCAAGCGGCAAATTGACGTGTAAAAATCTAAAATGCCAAGCGAGACAATATCGATAACCCCTTGAAAGCCAACTTATTTAACGAAACTCCCAAGACGTGGATTAGTATTCTTACTCGGAGAACTACGAGGGCTCTACGGGTTTTACGGGCTTGAGCATTTAGAGCTTTTCATAAGTAGATTGAAACAAGAGGGCTTTCATTCTCGCGGCCTCGCTCGCTCTGCTTCCTCCCGGTCGGACCATGCAAAGGAAAACCCATGATACTGAGCGAACCATTCATCCAGTGCCGGCGACAGCGTCCCATCCTCCACGGATCCATGATAAAGTGAAGGAAACAAAAGAGAACCCATGAGGAAACAATAAAGCCTCCGTGGACCCCATAGGACACAGTGGATGCAGGTCAAGCCAACGCCATACAGAATGCAAAAGAATTCCCATTCGAAAAACCCTCCACCAGGTGGCCATCCACAGCGACGAAGTAATAACGCAATGTAGAAAACACTGGAACAAAACTTTGTCGCCACCGGTTGCACAACCATATTTTTTTGTTGTAAAAATAAAAGCATAGCCCGGAGAAAGAAAGCGCGGTTTTTGGTTTTCGTAAACGCGACAACACGAGGGCAGCAGCAACGCATTTAAAAAAAAGGTCCGCCATGAGATACCGACGCAAAAAAGTCGGTGCTGCAAAGACTCAGCCGGTGCAGCCAGAACAGCGCCGAGGAGATAAATGCAATGGTAAAAAAGCACTTTTCGGTTCGAAGAAGATGAAAAGCCGACACTCTCCTGCTCGGCGCGCGCGTCATTCGAACGGGGTCCCCGCTGGGACTGCTCGAACAAAGGGGGTATCTGAGAGCGGACACAGAAAAGACAACGCATTCTATCATGTTCATGCAGTGCCGATCGCCGGTTGCTCGAAGAGTTAAGGAAAATCGTCATCGTAAATGACAATGAGCAACAAGAAAAAGGAGATCAGAACTGCTCGAACGCCCCGTGTCTAAACAAGGCCAGATTGAGAGCCATGAAAAAACGTGCGAATAGAAAAGCAAATAAAGACATACAGGGAAAAAGAAATAAGGAGATAACGAAAAGAAATAAAGCAGGAAGCGTAAAATCCAGACAAGCATAGGGAAGTCGTGGCAGTCGTGACAAAGCCGTCCCCGAGAAGCAGCAGGAGAAAAGCTCAGGGAGTCCGTTCTGATCGTATCCGTCAACGAGAGACAAAAAAAAGGAAATAAGAAATGGGAGCCAATCAGACCCGACGGCCTCGTCATCAGACCACGACTGATTTACCACCAGGAGGAGGGGCCGGCAGAGCCAGAGGGGTTGCCGTAGCCACCGCCGCCATAGCCGCCACTGTAGCCGCCGCCGCCGCCGCCGCTGCCGTAGGAGGGAGCACCGCCGTAGCTACCGCCACCACCGCCGTAGGAGGGGGGGGCACCGAAGCCACCGCTGAAGCCGCCAGAGGAGGGAGGCAGACGACGCATATCGCGAGTGGCAGCGCTGCCACCACGGCCGCGACCACCGCCACGGCCACGACCACCGTAGCCGCTACCTTCGCGGGCAATGCTCTCGAGGAACGAAGGGCAATCCTGGTGAGCCTCCTTGAGCAGGTCGATCAGGTCACGGACGACACCACGGTTGCCACGGTTGAAGAAAGCAGTGGCGATACCGGTGTTACCAGCACGACCGGTACGACCGATACGGTGGACGTAGTCATCGATGTCGGTGGGCAGATCGTAGTTGATGACGTGGGTAACGTTGGGGATATCGAGACCACGGGCAGCAACAGCAGTAGCGACCAGGATGGGGCAACGACCGTTACGGAAGAACTCCAGAGCACGCTCACGCTCACGCTGAGTGCGGTCACCGTGAATGGCGGTGGCAGGGAAGCGCTGGTTGATCAGGAAGTCGGAAAGCGAGTCGGCCATGCGCTTGGTCTCGACGAAGATCAGGGTCAAACCGGTAGTACCGTGGGTGTGGAGAATGTCCAGCAGAACGGAGCGCTTGTCGTGGTCCTCGACATATTCGACCTTTTGGGTGATGTTCTCGGAGGTGGAACCGACACGACCAACCGACAGGAAAATGTAGTCCTTCAGGAAGTCACGGGCCAGCATCTGGATGTCACGGGGGAAAGTGGCCGAGAACATGAGGGTCTGGCGGTCCTCAACACGGGGCATGTCCTCACCCTCGACAATACGGCGAATTTGGGGCTCAAAACCCATGTCCAGCATGCGATCAGCCTCATCCAGAACCAGGTACTTGATGTTGACCAGAGAGATACGGCCACGCTCGATCAGGTCGACCAGACGACCGGGAGTGGCAACGAGCAGATCGCAGCCACGCTCGATCTGGCGCAGCTGGGAGCCAATGTCGGCACCACCGTAGACGACGCAGGGGCGAACCCAGGAGCGGTAGCTGAACTTGCGGGCCTCATCGAAGATCTGGGAGACCAGCTCACGAGTGGGAGCCAGGATAAGAGAGGTAGGGTAAGCCTTGCGCTGTCGGCCATAGCTGAACTGGCCAGTAGCCTGGGGAGGAGTAACGGACGGGCCGTTCTGGAACGCCTGAGAGAGAATGGGGAAGAGAAAACCACCGGTCTTTCCGGAACCGGTCTGGGCGCAAGCCATAAGGTCACGGCCGTTCATGACAATGGGGATGGAGTACTTCTGGACGGGAGTAGGAGTGACATAGCTCGCGAGCTTGATGTTAGAGATGAGGTGGTCGTCCAGGGGAGGGTTGGTGAAAGCGTTAACGGGCTCGGGGACTTCGTGACCGGAAGCCTCAACGGGGATATCATCGTAGTTGGAAAAGTTGATACCAGTCTGCTGCTTGGAGGGGTCGTTGGGGACGCCGAACAGCTCGCGCTCGACGCGAGCGTTGGCGGGACCGGGGATGTGCTTGCCGTCGCGCCACTGGCCATCACCCGAACCACGAGCAGAGCCACCACCGTAGTTACCACCTCCATAAGAGCCACCTGCATTTCCTAAGAGTCCGTAAGCATTGGGGTCGAAAATTCGGCGCGCTTGACCGTCCGAGGCTTGGGCGACTCTACCGTTGGCGGGACCGCGAGGGCTGAAGTCGGGAGCGTTGGCATTAGCCCAGTTGCCGCGAGGGCCACCGCTGTAAGAGTCAAAAGTCAGTGAATGAAAATGAGAGTGTGTAATTGAAATGACGCGTACCGAGGGCCACCGTAGCCAGGACCAGGAGGAGGAGCAGCGCCGTCCATGCTGGCACCGGCGTTGCGTCCGCGCAGGTGAGGAGGGATGTAAGCAGCGCGACCAGGGGGAGGACCGGCCTGGACCGCGTGCTGGGAATCGTTAAGGGACAAGTTGCCCATCTGAAGACCGTCGGCCATGTTTGCGGTTGGATAAAGTTTCTGTTGTCGAAGGAGAGGTCTCAGTCAGTGGGAAACTGAAGAGTGGGTGAGGTGGGTAATTTTTTTTTTCGGGAAGTGGGAGAAGAGGAGAGAAGGTATGCGAACCCTTTTTTTAGGCTGCACCGAGCACGATTCTCTGTTTGTTCGATGAAAATGCAAGCGATCGAGAAAAACGACGACTTGCAAATAAGAGAATGTAAGACCTTCAAAGACTGAGAAGGAAGATTGCTCTCTTTTTTTTTCCCACTTCTTTAAAAAGTGAGCAAACGATAAGAGCGCAGGATACAGGCAAGAGAAGGACGAAAAATGCGAATCCTCCCAAATCTAAGAACTCTATGAGCACCGAGAAGAAGAAAGAGAGGGATGAGTGGAGTGAAAAAAGGGATGATGAAGAGGCAGGGTTTCTGTGGGAAGGAGGCGAATCGTCTTAGTACTACATCTGGTCACGGTACGGGGTGTTGTGGGCGGTCGACGGTCGGGCCCAATCGCCACCGGTCTACCGCCTCTCAGATTTTTACCGTACACCACTGGCAGCACCGGACTGCCAGTCTCGACCCCTGGCTCGCTGACTAAGTGCACAACGCGCATGGGGATTGGCGGGCAGCCAGGACTGTGATCTACACATACAGTATGGAACTTGCAATCGTACTCGTACTAGTACTGATACTACAATATATGTACCAGCCAGACATGATGGACTCTTTTACTAAGGCGTGTACAGTTAAGGGCAGTATGACTCAAGTTGTACTAGTACTCCCGCAATATACTTTAGAAACGGAGGCTCGTGGGTGACACCGGAGCTGATGTCATGCTGATCACACATTTCTTCATGCCTATAGCCTCCGAATACACTATCCGCATTTCCTTACGCATCGTATTCCTTCTCATCAGGCTGTTGGCTGCTGTTGCGCCGGCGCCTCAAGTAGATACCCACCATGACAACCACCGCGAACATGATCCACAACGGTTGCATCGAGTACGAGTACGAGGGCGAGTTGTCCGCCGAGGGGGCTTCTTCCGCGACTGGAGGGTGTTCGGCATCGTCGTCGAATTCTTGAGGGAGTAACCATAATCAGCCACCTTCAACCAGCAGTAGAAGAGCAGAACGAGGGCCGAACTGCCGGTCTACAGCTCGTCACGGCTACCTTTATCCTCAGCATCCGTCTCGATTTCCAGCTCGCCACTCTTAACGATAGTGACGGGCTTCACGGGCCGGTCGCCGCGGGCCTTCTCGACATTCTGGATCTTGTCGACGATATCGTAGCCCTCGAGGACTTCACCGAAGACAACGTGCTTGCCGTCGAGCCACGAGGTGATGATAGTAGTGATGAAGAACTGCGAGCCGTTGGTGTCCTTGCCGGCGTTTGCCATACCTAATAACACATCAGTTTCTGAAGTCGCTTGGGTCAAGGTTCAAAAGGACACTGTCATACTCAAAAGACCCTTCTTGGTGTGGCGGAGCTTGAAGTTCTCATCCTTGAACTTGTTGCCATAGATAGACTTGCCGCCGGTACCTGTAACCCCCGATTATTATTTGGTCATCAATACAAATTAACAGGGTACAAACCGTCGCCATTGGTGAAGTCACCACCCTGGATCATGAAGTCTTTGATCACACGGTGAAAAGAGGAGCCCTCGTAACCGAAGCCCTTCTCGCCAGTAGCCAGAGCACTAGAGAAAATTAGAATGGAGAAGAACAAAAATCAAGAGCATTGTTTGCGACGGTCATACCGGAAGTTCTCTGCAGTCTAGATTCACAGAAGCAATGTTAGTGACCGTTTCTCAAATCTGTATGTAGCCAGGGTTGAGGGCAGTGGGGAGCTTACCTCCGGGACAGTCTTGCCGTACAGTCCCATGACAATGCGACCAAGGGACTCGTCTCCATGCTGAATGTCGAAGTAGACCTGGAAAGAGGTGATGAGTGAGAATTGGCAGGTAGGTAAGTCAACAAACGCTAGATACCTTGTTAGTGATCTTAGGACCACGGGGCTCCTTCTTTGCGTCGTCGGCCTGGACCAGCGCAAGGCCGATCGCAAAGACCAGGAACAGAGACAGGAACAGGCTGCGGAAATTCATGGTTGCGAATTGCCACTACTCTAGGGGGTTGCAGTGGAGGAAGAAGAAACGGGATCAGAGGGGGGAGGCCAGCTTGCAATGGTGTGCGGAGAAAGCACCAAGCCCCAGACAGCAATTGGTAATATTTGCAACTCTCCTAGGGCGTGACAGCTGCAACAATCACAAATGTTACGTAATATACGAGCAGAGGAGTTGCAAATATTTGAGTTCCGCTGCAAAGACCGATCCGGAGAAACATTGTTGCCGGAGGATTTCTCCCGCGCATCGCGGACGGCGTCGTGATCGATCCGAGTCGCAATTGAACCAGCAATCCACTCCTAACAAGATGGTATGGCTCTTCTGAATGCTTCTCTCAAATATTATATTAACTAACACGAACTCCAGGTTTTTATCCTCGGCGTCAACTTCCCCGAGCGGAACCTGCTCAAGGCAAGCAATCCCTCTACCTCGCTGCTCCGACGCAGACCCTCCGCATCGACCAATTGAACAGCAGACTAACTCGCATTCACGTCTACAGAAGTCTCTCGAGACTTTCTTCGGAGTCGGCAACCACACTTCGTCGCGCCTCCTCGCCCGCTTCAACATTCACCCGACCTGCCGCGTCGGCGAGCTGGCCAACAAGCAGGTGCTCGACCTGACCGCCGTGCTTTCGGATATGAAGATTGAGAACGACCTGCGCAGAGAGGTTCTGAATGATATCAAGCGCCTGAAAGAGACTGGAACTTACCGTGGCCGCCGCCATGCCCTGGGTCTGCCCGTGCGCGGACAGCGTACTCGTACTCAGGTGGGTGTTTCTTGCTCGGCCTGGTTGTGGTGGTTTCTTTATGAGAAATTTGCGAAGTCATTGGACTGTGGTGCTCTGTCTCAGTTCATCACGCCATTCAAGAAGCGCCTAGTTTTGGCTTTGAATCAACGCTAACAACTTGCACCAGATCAAAACTCCTGTCAGATTGAACCGGATGGAGCGTAAGCTTTAATTTTAATGGTTGTCTGACATTTTGAAACTTTTACGGGACAATCTCACATATCATATAATGTCTGAAATATATGATTGTGTGAGAGGCATGGGAATGGCGTTTTCTTGATTGCTGGCATTTGATTACCTGTCAGCTTATGTGTGAATCTACCCCTCTATCATTGTATTATAGTTTAAAATCAGAAGGGAAAACTTCGAGTATGAGTTTGTTCAGTGCTGTAATGATAGATTTACATTTCAATATATATCCACATCCAAAGGCTAAGTAAGGCTGTAAGGACAACGAAAAACTAGAACGAAAACTTTTACCAAAGACCACAATCTAAAAACGCCATTCCCATATGCGCAAGTCTACTCCTTTGTCGAGGACAGAACACCCTCACCACGGTTGATCTGGATCCTCTTGTCCTCACCCGCGCTCACAATGCCCACGGTCTCGTCCCAGCAGACACTGAACACCTTGACACCTTCACCTCCGACTCGCTTGGATTCCGCCTTGCCTTCTTCCTCAAGGCTCTTCCGGGGAATCGAGTACACACTCTCGCCAACGACACCTTCCTTGTCAGTCTTGGTGCTCCGCAGGTCCCACAGACGGACCGTTCCATCATGGGAGCCGGAAATGAGACCGTACGAGCTGTGCGGATCGCGAGCCAAGCTAACAACAGCGTTGGTGTGGCCGCGAAGAGTCATCGCGGTGACAGTTGTGGCAGATGCGCGAGGATCAATCATGGTAATGTGGCGAGCAGAGGTCCCGGCAGCCAGGAGGTTGTGGTCGGGGAGGTGCTCCAGAGAGAGAAGAGAGTGTGCTGTGGTACGGGTGTCAACCAGAGAACCAGTAACCAGATCCCAAGTTCGCAGCGAGTGATCCCAAGAAGCAGAGTATCCAACAGTCGAGTCTCTGGCGTCGAAGATAGCAGCGGAAACGGGTCCAGTGTGGCCGGACAGCAGGGCCAGAGGGCCACGCTGCGGTGTGCTGACGGTCGAGTTCAGCTTGCGACGCTTGGAGTTGCGGGCAGCACTGGATGGGAGCAGGTTCTCCGGGGCAGCAAGAGCATCGGACTTCTTGGTGCTCCAGAAGCCAACGTTGTGATCGGACGAACCGGTCAGAAGACGGTTGGAGGGCGCATGCACGGCCAACGATTCGATACCGGACTTGTGGCCATAGAGCTCTAGCTGAGGGGCAATCTTTCCAGAGAAACCACCGTCCTCCTCAGTATACTTCCAAAGTCTCACAGTGCGGTCCAGAGAAGCCGAAGCGATCTGGTTCGGAGACACGAACTTGGCGGCCTTGATCGGAGCTGTGTGTCCACCGTCGGCGAGAGCGGGCGAGGTCGCAATAGTCTCAGAAGACATGTTCCAAACTCGGAGGAGTCCGTCATAAGAACCAGACAAGATTCTCTCTTGACCCTTCGAGAAGGTGGCGCCCGAGGCCCAGGTTGCGGCGGGTGCGGTTGCGGAGAGCACATCAGTCGCACTGACCCAGTCATCATGCTGGAAAGAGGCAATGTGCAGTGGCGGGATCAAAGCTCGAACATATTCGATCTCAAGTGTCGTTTCGGCGGAGATGCCATTGGCAGTCAGATATTCATCGATCGATGTACGCAGGAAAGTTCCGTTGATCAAAAATTCGAACGGGACCGGCTTCTCGCTGCTGAGGAGGTTGTTCACCAAGGTTGACAGCGCATAACGTCGCAGACCTATCATGGAGGCAATATGAGCATCTGGAAGCCATCTGATCGATATCTGGAGGCTTGGGAGTGTTCTTACCGGTGGGAACGAGGATAGGACCGGTGGATTCAGGAAGCGCAATATCCTCTTGCTTGCTCGTGAGTTGCACACGAACTTGTCTTTGCGCAGACTCGGCGGCGGCCGAAGCTTGGTCGTCGCTCATTATGGGCGAAAATTGGTGCAGTATGCGATCGGTAGTCGCTGCAAATGGGCTGTCGCAAATTGAACAAGCCTGCGCGGGTGAGGAAAAAATACGGCGGCCGGTGCGGCACATTAGTGCAGAGCGCGGAGATCCCCCGGCTACCAAGCACATTATAGCTACTCTTTCAGTGATACCTTGAGGTAATTCATGAGCGTGACAACAGATCAGACTTGCGTGAATATGATGTGCTATGTTTGCTAAAGTCTATCGATGATTTTCTCATCCACGGGACGCCCGCCGGATCTCTGCAATGGCTCGACGCCGATAGTCAGACTCAGCGAATAATGCTTCAATCAGGTCAACAACCTCCTCAATCGAAAATTCGAGACCCAATTCACCCTCCAGCCATAGGAACTTAATATCAGCCAGCGAACTCTCGAGGATGTTGATCAGGTACTGGAAACGAAGCCAGTTTGGAACATATACAGCGGTGACCGGTACCGCTTCAGCGTCGCTGGTTGTCTCAGGCATGAACAGATCCTCCAGCTTCGAAACACGGTTGCAGAACTGAACCAGTTGCTTTGACTGATCTTCACTGATGTCCCCAAGATCCTCAACATCAATGATGATTTTACTGATCATGGTCGACAGCAGAGAGCCGATAGACTGAAGCAATGCGGAATGCGACAGGATGGGCTGCCATTCCTTATAGACGTCACGAATTCTGTCGATAGTGGCGCTCACGGCATTTTCACATTCGATTTTGAACGGTTGCTCGGAACATTGCCCAAATCCCTGGGCACCATCAAGAAGGTCTGTGACAATGGTACTCTGCGTCTGCATCTCCTTGCTGTATGCAAATTTGCCGAACTTTTCAAGGGATTCCACATCGGAGCTGAGCCTCGAAAGATTGTGCTCCTCCATCAGCTCCCGAACACGCCCCGCAAGGTAAAGGCTGTCGTTGTAGAGATACATGTGCCCGGAGTTGAGTTTGAGAGAATAGAAAGAAGAGGACGTGGCTTTGAACATGGCCAAGATCAGTGTGGGCAATGCAAGCAGGCCAGCACCTGAGGAAGCAACACGAGAGCTGGAATAGCTGGTTTCAATTGTTAGCTTGGTTAATCGCGAGGACGAATAAATGGATCCTCACGGTGGCTGCGAAATATTCTTGGAGTCTGTGATCTGCTGCTCGACGATCTGAAGCACCAACTCCGGTATATCAGTGACAGTGTAGACTTCCCTCAGCACCATCTCCTTCGGAGACGAGGACGGCGTTGCATCCTTGCCAGTAGTTGGCTTTGACGATGAAACAGGTTCCGGTTGCCCAGTCTTATCATCTTCCTCGTCACCCCACCCCCATGCATCGTCATCATCAGCATCAGCATCATCATTTCCAGTCGGAGCTTTTGCATCTGGCTTTGTCTCTTCTTGTGCATCGTCATCCAGGCCCCAGGCACTGACATCTTCTTCTTCGTCTTCGGGATGAGGGTTTGTAGTCTCTGTCGTAGATTCTTCCTTGTCGTCATCCCACTCCGCGTCCCAGTCGTCATTGTTGGTATTCTCTAACAAGGCCTCATCGGACTGGGACACTGTTTCCTTCTCAACTCGCTCGACCTGTTTGGTAGCGCCCTTGCTAGCCGCGAGTACCTTGCGCACACTGTCGAGCGAGTCAACACGGCGCCGAGCCAACCACAATCGAGCAGCTTGATTCACCCAGCTGACTAGCTCCTCATGTCCGGACCAACCCCAAGACTCAATACTTTTGGTTAGCTGAAGGACGTGATCCAGCGTTTGCTCGAAATCACCGAGACCGCCGAGGTCGGTCGGAATTGCAGAAGACAGCCAGCCCGAAATTGCCTTGGAAGCAACGATGGGGATAAATGACTGGGAGAACGTCGATGATATGGAAAGCGGCAGGTTTTGGTGGAGGTAATCCAGAACTTTGGTGATGCGATCCAGAGTTTCGGCAACACTTGTCATCGATGGTTCGGATTCAACATGAATGCCCGTTTCTGAGACAGTAACAGCATAGCTACTACCATCACGGCGGGGGAGCAAAATGGGGTCAATGATGGTGGATATGAGGTCTTGCTGGGATTTCTCATTGGCAGCCGTGAGGGCGTCCAGTCGCTGGAGGGACGCAATGGTGCTCTCCAAAGAATCTGGGCCGTCAGTCTTGTCCACCTGAAGCTCGCGTTTTTGACGATCTACATTGAGCTGTTTGGCCCAGCGCAGTCGCAACGATTCTTCGATATCTTGTCTCAAACGTGACACCTCGACCGTGAGTATGCTCATCACATTGGTATTGGCAAAGAAAGTGTCCTCCCTAAGAGCCGCTTCGGTAGCGCCCAGTTGTTCAATGGCGGCTGTGATATTACCACTTGCAAGCAAAGCTCTCCCTGACTCCAATTTCTGGCATAGTCGTTGGACCTCTTCCAGTGTTTCTGCCACGGCCTGGTTGAAGGCTATCTCGGTCTCGACCAATCCCACTTTCGCTTTCGCATCCTCGACCTTAGATCGGAGCGGGTCCGTCTGCTCATGTTGTTCGACAATTTCTCGTGCCGTGACGCGCGAGCGCTCGATGTCCGCGTGCAGTTGTTTTGCTTGAACGATCCATTCGTCGGCATCAAAGGTATTCTCTCGGCTTAGGAGCTGATCTCGTTCTATCGGAAACAACCAAGCCAGTTAGTATCTTTGAGATCATAAATGAACTATCATCTGCCTCCGCGTACCTCCACTTGCTCTCTGGCTTGCGAAATGAGCTCCAGCTCTTTCGCGAGAGCTGTCGCTGGGAATCCGGCGGCCACGACATTCTCTTCCGGATAAGCGCCTTTGGTGACGAAGCCAAGAACCGCCTGGCATACCTCGTTCTCGGACGGCATCTTGGAAGCGCAATTGTCAACGGATTTGGAGCTTGCGGGAGGAGCGCAGAGTCCCGTGTCAACAACTTGAACCCCGTGATCGGGCGTCACCGCCCTTGAAGCGCTGGGTCTGCCTTAGTGCTGTTCGACGTCAACGACCAGCAGGAAGTCTCCGCAAAAAAGAGAAGATCTTTGGAAACCGCTCCACGATGACTGGTAGGGTATAAGGGCACGGATCCCCGTATAGAAGAAGACCAAACCACCGCCGACGTCAAGTGCCCTTAGTAAGACCGGGACCCAATCTTTGGAACACCGCGGTCCAGCACACAAGCTCGATTTCTCCAAACCAAACCCACAGTGTCTTGGTTTCGTCGAGGTCTGAGTCGGGTGCAGTCTACTCGGTTCCTGTGAGTGCAAAAAGTCCCCTTGGTGCTTGTACACCAATCCCCCCTCCCCCCACTACACAATTTCGTGCCCCGCCGATTGTCACACATGGTCGCCGATGCTATGTGGTGATCCTCAATATGCGTCCCTGCAGGACCCCTCGTTGGTCAGGATTAATTTTGTCTCTGGCCTTGCTTCCGGTTGTTCTCATGCCACTGTGGACAGGGTGCATATGCCCTTTTTCCTTTACGGCGGCTCCGGGGGCCATGGTTTGTGGCGGCGTTAAAAATATGTTGCCCGCCGTGAATAGGCCGGTCAAAAACCTCGAGATCTATTCATGTCAACCTGGATATTCTAACAAAAACCTAGGCTTTCAAGTTTCCGACGGAATATTTTCACTGGGGTCTACCCATTGAGCAATATGTCGCCCTCGGTGCAACAGAGTCACTTTAAACTGCTGCAGCAGTTTAAGCCCGACTACTCGCCCAGCAAATTCGCCGAGTATGAGTCCCAGCGCACTGGCATGCGGGTTGTGGTCATTGACCAGAAAGGACCCAAGGTGAACGGTTACTTTGTGCTCGCAACTGAGATCCATGATGACTCTGGCGCCCCTCATACTCTGGAGCATCTTTGCTTCATGGGATCACGCAACTACAGATACAAGGGTTTCCTTGACAAGCTGGCCACTCGGGTCTATTCCAACACCAACGCCTGGACAGCTCCCGACCACACAGCTTACACTCTTGATACTGCAGGCTGGGAGGGCTTTGCCCGGATTCTGCCTGTCTACCTTGAGCATGTCATCGCTCCGACCCTGACCGATGAGGGCTGCTATACTGAAGTTCACCACATCGATGGCTCTGGAAATGATGCGGGTGTGGTTTACTCTGAGATGCAGGGTGTTCAGAATAACGCGGCCGAACTGATCGACCTGGCGGCCCGTCGAGCAACTTACCCCGAAGGTGTCGGCTTCCGCTATGAGACTGGAGGTATGATGGAGCAACTGCGTGTCCTCACTGCCGAGCGGATTCGGGAGTTCCACCGTGAGATGTATCAGCCCAAGAACCTTTGCCTGGTTATCACGGGTGAAGTCGATCAAAACAACATGCTTGAGATCTTGGACAAGTTTGAAGACACCATTCTGGACGTGATCCCGAGCCCCGAGGCCCCCTTCAAGCGACCTTGGACCGACTCTAAGCAAGCTCCTGCCTTGACCAAGTCGATCACTGAAACAGTCGAGTTTCCTGAGGAGGACGAAGATTTCGGTGAAGTCGAGATTCGATTCTTGGGACCGGATTGCAATGATCCCATCCAATGTAAGTGAAAAACGATCGAGTACTGAAGGCCAACAAAAACTAATATCCTGATAGCTGGTGCTCTAAACGTGGCTCTTTTGTACCTGGCTGGATCGTCTGCATCTCTGCTGGAGAACGTCATTGTCGAGAAGGAACAAATTGCCAGTGCAGTCTACTATGCTACCGATGACCATCCTAGCATGGAGATTCGATTCACAATGACCAGCGTCGAAACCGACAAGCTCGCCCAGGTTGAGAAGAGATTCTTCGAAATTCTGAAAGAGGCCATGGGCAAGGCGCTCGATATGAAGTACATGAAGGAGTGTATCGACCGCCAGTGCCGTTCCTGGAAATTTGCAACTGAAAGCAACGCTGCATCGCTGGCCGAATATGTCATCACCGACTTCCTGTACGGAAAACGTGACGGCTCGACTCTGAGAGATGTTGCGACCCTGAAGGAGTACGACGTCCTTCGAGCTTGGTCTGAGGACCAGTGGAGAGAGTTCATCGTCAATTGGATTGCTGATGCACACCACGTTTCCATTCTTGGTGTTCCGTCCAAGAAGCTTGCTGACAAGCTCAAGACCGACGAAGAAGCTCGCGTCGCCGCGCAGAAGCAGCGTCTTGGTGAGAAGGGTCTGAAAGAGCTTGCTGAAAAACTTGAGCATGCCAAGGCAGAGAATGATAAGGAGATCCCCCAGGAGATGTTGGCTGAGTTTGCTATTCCTGGTGCCGAGTCTATCCACTTCATGGACACTACTACTGCTCGATCTGGTGCTGCTCTCAAGGCTGGATGCCCAGACCATAAGATTCAAAAGATCGTAGATGCCGATGGATCGTCAGAACTCCCTCTCTTCATCCACTTTGAGCACATTGAGAGCAGCTTCGTGCAGCTGGCTGTTCTCATCTCTGCGCAGACTGTTCCCATTCAGCTCCGCCCCTTGCTCTCCATTTACACCGAAGCATTCTTCAACATTCCTGTCCAGCGCGACGGCAAAACGATCGACTTCGAACAGGTTGTCGTGGAATTGGAGAAGGATACCGTTGGCTACGGAATGGAAACCGCCCGCAGCCTCGGTAACTCTGAAATGCTGCGTGTCTCCTTTCAGGTCGAGCTTGAGAAGTACGAGACTGCCATCGCATGGCTGCAAGAGCTGTGCTGGAACTCCATTTTCGACGTCGAGAGACTCCGTGCTATCAACGCCAGACTGCTGGCCGATGTGCCCGATTCCAAGCGCAGCGGTGATGACATGCTTGCAGCGGTGCACATCATGGTTCACTATGCCGAAGAGTCTATTGCTCGGGCTCGCAGCACTTTGGTGAAGGCTCGCTACTTGAAGCGTGTCAAGAAACTGCTTGCTGAGAAGCCCGAGGAGATTGTGACCCGCATGGAGGAAATCCGCAGCTCCCTCTTCCAGCCCGATAATGTTCGTGTTATTGTGATCGCCGACTTGGAGAAGCTCTCTCGACCCGTCTCATCCTGGAAGCCGTTTGCCGATCGCCTCGGAATTACAATGGATCTGCAGCCTATCACCAACCGCCGGGCTCTGCTTAGCGATGCAGGCAAGTCTATTGGGGGCACGTCTTACATTGTTCCCATGCCCACTGTGGACTCCTCCTACGCTTATGCTACTGGTCGGGGTCTTGACTCTTATGACCACCCCAAGCTTCCGGCCTTGCTCGTTGCCATTGCCTACATGAATGCCGTTGAAGGACCCCTTTGGGTTGCCGTTCGTGGTAAGGGTCTGGCGTACGGCACCAACTTTGCCTACAACATTGACACTGGCTTCGTCAACTTTGATGTTTACCGGTCCCCGAACGCACACAAGGCGTTCGAGTCTAGCAAGAAAATCGTCGAGGACCACCTTTCTGGTGCTACTCTCTTCGACCCTTTGATGCTGGAAGGTGCTATTAGTAGCATTGTTGTTGGTTACGCCAACGAGCAGATGACTGCTGCCACCGCTGCTCAGGGTAGTTTCATCCGCCAGGTTGTGCGCAATCTACCTAGTGATTACAAGGAGAAGATGCTCAAGAAAGTTCGGGGTATCAATGTTGACGAGGTCAAGGGTGCTCTCCGTGAGATCATTCTGCCGCTCTTTGAAGCTAAGACTGCCAATCTTGTTGTCACCTGTGGCACTGTCTTGGAAGATGTAAGTTCCTTTGGATCCTATCAAGTTAAACCTGTCATTGAGAATTCTTGATTAACATTTATAAACAGACTCTCAAGCAAGGCTTCGAATCATTTGGCTTTACACCTCAGGTCCAGGTCCTCAAGGAGTTTGAGGATGACTATGGTCTGAAGCTTGATGGTGACGAGGAGGATGATGACGATGAAGATGTCGAGGACTACGAATCTGATGAGTCTGGTTCGGAAGAAAGTGACGAAGAAATGGACGAGTGAACGTACTTCATGAAGTTTAGAAAGAGCAACCTAGATAGTAGATTTAGGACGTTTAACGAAATACAATGGCAACGGAGTTAGGCCAACACATACATGCACCGTAGACACACTAAGGGGCCAACAATTCTATTGATGACCTTCCATTCAAAGGCTCGAACCTGCCTCTTGGAAGTATACATTCATACAATTAGCTCTTGAATCCTTCGAGACTAGCACGGCAAACCGACATAGCGAAGGCAGTTCGACTATTGGAAGAAAGATTGCTGAATTGAGTATAATCTCACACGTCCCCAATAAGGAGAGGTAATATGGTACAATGTAAAATAGATCTGACATATCTTGTCCCAACGCTTCCGCCTTAATCTCACCAACTTGGGAACAAGCTCCTCTAAGCATTCTTCTGTAGTGCATTCACGATTGTTTTGCCATGCTTCCAACTACCTTCAAAGCACTTCCTGCTCTGACAAAATTACCAGCTCATGGCTTTGCGGCCCTTCAGACGCCGCCGAATCAAAGTCAGGCGTCCCTTCCTGTCCTTGTTGCGGGCCAGGAATCCGGAGCGTCGCTTCTGGACTCGTCGAGATGGACGGAATGTGTTGCGCTTCACGCCGAGCGAAGCAGTTGCGGAGAAAGTACGGCTTTGCTGCGATTGTTGGGAGAGCAGCGAGGACACAGAGAGGGTGGTGGGTGTGGACGTGGACGTGGACGGGAGCCGGGAGAAAGTCTGGGGTTGTTGGGGTCGAACCGGCGCAGAGAGGAGAGCTGAAGAGAAGGGTCTGGAGGAGATCATGGCGGATGGAGTGGTAGTGGTAGTTGTCTTAGGTGTGAATTGGGAAATTCTGTCACAAAAGGACTTGTTGTCAGGGCTGGACTTGGGGAGTTTTATGCCGCGGAGGAGTTCATGCGTACCTGTTCACCACGGTTCGAGGAGTGGACGCAGGGGCCCGGAGGGTGGGCAGAGCCCTGCAGCGAAGACAGAACATGACGATAACCCTGAGTTTGTGAATGAATGGCTGACTCGGGCGTAGCTGGGGTTAAAGATGGACTGGTGGCACTTCGAGGTATCTCGCGGCGCGCGGTGACGGGAAGTTGGAAGAAAATTAAGCGCCGAACCGCAGGCGCGGATCGGCCTGCACGCCTTTCGACCGCAACGAAAACTAACCCATGGGGTATAGATTGAAAGTAGCTCGAGACATTTAGCTCTTGCTGAGTATATTGGCTTGAATTAAAAAAAAAATTTTTATTTTAAAAAAAAAAATAAAAATTTAATTCCCCCGTAGACTTATGCACCGCATATCCGACCGCTGGTAGATAGCATATGTTACCCAATCGGGACTAGCGCCCCGAAACTTTTTTGTTGCGATGCGCCGAACAACTTGCCATGATTTCCGCAAAGACCCTCTTTGGTCTCAAACTCCCATTCAAAATCCCAAATTACGGGCAAACACTCAGCCTGCCGCCACACAACCTTCCGAACCTGTTCGATCGGCCATTTTAGGCCAATAATCGCCCGGAATGGCTGCCCAAGTCCCCGTCTCTCTGCCTCCGACCACAGTGCAGAGCATCAAGTCAATCAGTCAATCCGCCGCGCACGATTTTCTGGCCGCCTACCTGGACCGCGCAGCTCAAGACCCAGCCCTGCAACCGAACGCCGGCATCAGCGAACATGGCCCCGTCTCCCGCTCGACTGCCGCGGCGCCGAACTTGATCCTCCACAACCTGAAGCGTGTGCAAGCCGGTCTGGCCGGCGAGGTTCTCGGACGTGATCTCACTGTCGCAAAGCAGAACCCTAATGAGGATTACCTGGATAATGCTGCTGGTGCGAACGAAAACGGGAACCAAGAGCAGGAGGAACAGAACGAAGACGATCTTGTTATGAAGGATGCTGAGTTCGATACTGAGGCTGAGGCCTTCGAGGCGCAGCAGGGGGGTCGGGATACCCTTGATAAGGAGGAGCGCAAGCGCAAGAAGAAGGAGAGACGGCAGGCGGAGAAGAAGGCCAAGAACAAGAAGGACGATGACTCGGATTGATTTTCTTGCTTGGGTGTGTTTGAGCTATGGGCGTTGTTGCATCGGTTCGGAGTTTTCTCTTCCTTTTTTTTCTTCGGCTTACTGGGTCTCTATGTTACTGGATATCCGTGCGCATTTGATGTTTAGACAAAAGTGTCTTCTTTGTTATATAGCTGTTATATAGCTGCCAAGATAGCCATCATATGATCTGATTGCGTCCATCTTCACAATCCAAAAGTCAAAGAAAACCCCACGACAGATCTTCTGCTCTTACTTCATAATCCCCCGGTCTATCATTTCTTACCTCGTTACCTCGCTAGCACCGGGGAATGATTTTATAACGTGAAAAAGAAAATAGAAATGATCACCCGGCCGTCAACCATTACAGCTCACGGTCAGCTGCCTTGACGGGCTTGTCGCTGTCTTCGGACTTGATGTTGGTAACCTTTCCACCCTTCCAGCCAAGAGCAGCAAGGCGCTCAGTCAGAATGGGATGTGAATAGTGGTAGCTGGCATACATCCAATCGGCATCCATGGTACTCAGATTCTGGATTTGCAGCTTGAGAAGAGAGGCAGCAAGTGCATCGGAAAATCCAAGGCCTTGAGCAAAGGTGTCTACAGGAGCGAAATTAGTATTATGGAACAGGGAAAGAATACTGCACAAATACATACCAGCTTCGAATTCAAACTTGCGGCTTAGGATGTTCATCAGCAGCTTGACAACGGCATCCATGGGAGCAAGAGCATCAGAGAACAGAAGGAATCCAACCATGATAGGCTTTTCCTTGATGAAACCGAAAGACTCGTACATGGACTTGTTGTTGATGAAGACGGAGAAGAGAGCGAAGATGTAGAACATGTGGAACTGAGCAATACCGAAGAGCTTCGTAGTATGGTTCAGCTTCCAGTGACCAAGTTCGTGGCCCAGAACGGCAACAACCTCTTGCGGCTCGCTCTTTTCCAGAAGGGTATCGTAAATGACGATGTGCTTCTTCCAGGGGAGACCGTAGAAGTAAGCGTTGGAGTGAGCACTGCGCTTACTACCGTCGATGACGTGCAGCTCAGAAAGCGGGAATTTCAACTTCTGAGCGAGTCTCTCGACGTTGCTCTTGATCTCACCAGGCTCCAGGGGAGACAGCTTGTTGAACAGCGGCAAAATAGCAATGGGGTAGATAGTGATCGCGAACACCTGGAGGAAGATACCAAAGAGCCAGAGATAGTAGAAGAACCCGTTGCCAGTAATCTGGATAATCTTGAGCACAGCACTGATTATGGGAGTTCCGAGAACAATCCCCAGCAGCTGGCCTTTTATCATATCCGTCACCCAGAGCTTAAGCGTCTGCTTGTTGAAACCGAACTTCTCTTCAAGCACGAATGTCTGGTAGTACGAGACGGGGAGAGTGAACACGGTGCTGAGGAGGTTGAAACCGAAGACAAACAGGAGCGTTTGCGAGATTTCGCCTTGGAATCGACTGGGGAAGTACTGCGCCAGCAACCTGCCGCTAATGCTCCAGATCGTGGGGAGAACATCGCCGTAGATAAAAGCCAGGTTTTGGAGTTGACCGTAGAGACCAGAAACGAGGCTGAAAACTGCCTTGTTGCGCCCGTATCGCTATTTCCGAAACCTTTGGTTAGCGAATTGTATGATCACACTTCAATCCGCAACAAATCATACCTGACTCTGATCGTAAACCTTCTGAGTAACCTCTCCCTCGAGAACTTTGGGAGTCTTAGTACGCTGGAGCACCTTGTATTGACGAAGAGTGAGGAGCCCTTCCAGAACGAACTGGCCCAGGGAGAAAGCCGCGAGGACGTTCTTCCATGGGAAGAGCGGACGGTCGAGAGTTCGCGCGAGTTGCTGGCAGAGGAATAAATGAGCAGGTGATCCAAGATAATATCGAATGGAGAAAGACGCGATCGCGAGTATCAGCACCAATAATCTTACCTCGAGAATCCACATGATTTAGACCGCGCGACGATTTGAAGTGGGTGTCGGGCCAAAGAAGCTGCGCGAGGTATTTAGGTGTTAACTAGTTACTAGTCCGATGGCCGCCTTAGTCAGATCAACAAAGTGAGCTCCGCCGCCCTCAGTCTAGGGCCCCGCCGATCACTCACATGCAGGAATGCCTCGCAGCTTTAATTTCGAATATTTTGAATCGGTGAGATTTCAAGAGTAAATTGAAGGACAATTTTCAAATGCAAATGCTGGAAATGCAGATAATTTTCATATACAACAACACTGCTCCCCTTCGCTACAATTTTGAACCAGAAGCCCTACATTTTATCTACACAGGGCTAAACCATGCAGACATCAAACTGAAGGAAAAAAGAAAATTGATAGTAAACCTCTTCAAAACAACTCCCTAGAACACTCAAAAGAGAAAGAAGAACATCTCTTCTTAATCACGTGAATCATATCCTAATAATTGCCGTCCTTTGCGTCTGCCGCCAGTACTACCTTTAGCCCCTACTACAGGGGGCCGTAGTTGTGCTCGAGGCGAACAATTGACCAAGGAGACAGAATAGGATTGCGGAAACCTCCACTCTATTCAACCAGGGGGAATCTGTAAATGTCATGCCATCACTTTTCCGACTCGTCGTGACCGTAAAACTTTTCTGCGATGCGAGAACCGCGGAGCGTGAGTCACGAGGATCGGTGGTTTGGAGCTTAGTTGCCGGATGAATTTGCTCCCAAGACAACGCGCTTCACTCCAAGCCATTTCCCTCGAAACTAGACGTGATGAAAGCTGCGCAGCTTTAGTTCTGCACAGGCTCGAGAGTCACACCGTGGACGATGTTGGCCCATCCAATCAGACGCCCTGAAATGAGCTAGTTAGCACCTGGTAGATAGTAAAAGAGCTTAGATGGGTGTAACTTACAGTGCTTGTCAATTCTGCGACTGATGGCAATCTTCTCGCCAACCTCAGTACAGGCGGGGCTGGTCAGACTGAGCTTAGCAGCATCGGCCTTGACACCCAGAACCTTGGCACCGGTGGCAGTTGAGCCAATGTTGACCATGAGGACTTCATTTTTAGCAAGCTTGGCGACCTTGGCCTGCTTGCCGTCGGCGGTCTTCACACCCAGCAGACGACGGAGCAGGAAGTAGTTGACTTCAATCTCAGTGTAGATAGCAGGGAGACGCGAACGGTGTCCCAGAACGAAACCAACCAGACGGTCAGCACGGCAAAGAGTGGGATCGATACGGGTACCGACACCAATAAGTCCACCGGGAATGGCGTAGTTGAGGTTGTTGTGCTCAGCGAAGAGAGACTCAATACGGCTGAAAATGGGGCGGCACTGGATTTTGCCGTTCTCATCCTTGGTAACCAGACCGGGGCGAATCTCGATCTCATCGTTGACTTTCAGAACACCGCTCAAGATGGAACCACCAGCAACACCACCCTTGAGCTCATCAATCTCGGCACCGGGCTTGTTAACATCGAATGAACGAATAACCATCATGTGAGGGGCCTGGTCGAAGGTTCGGACGGGGACAGGGATGGAGGTTGTGAGATATTCGTTCACAGCGTCGATGTTGTACTTGAGCTGGGCGGAAATGGGGATAACGGGAGAGCCATCGGCGACGGTACCGCGGATGAACTTGAGGATGGATTGGTAGTGCTGAAGGGCGTTGTCCTCCCGCATCAGATCGACCTTGTTCTGCAGAATAACGATGTGGTTGAGCTTCATAATCTCAATGGCGGCCAAATGCTCGGAGGTTTGAGGCTGAGGACAGGTTTCGTTTCCGGCAATGAGAAGCAGAGCAGCGTCCATGACGGCGGCACCCGAAAGCATAGTGCTCATCTATCCAACACGATTAGCTATGATCTTCAAATATCGAAGACAAGTAAGAAAACTCACGAGAATATCGTGGCCTAAAAAGTCAGTTAGCAACAATTCTCGGCATTTTCAAAAGGGCAACGGTTATAGTGCAAACATACCAGGGCAGTCAACGAAAGAAACATGGCGACTGGAAAGAAAAAGCTGATGTTAGTCGCAAAACTCGAATTCGGACAGATCGATACGTACAGCAGACGGTAACGGCCCTCGCATCCATCACGCTCACAAGGAGGATCGACCTCCTTATCACTGCTATAACTCTTGTAGCATGTCGGGCGAGGACAAGCAGGGTTGTCACACTTGTAGATCTTGGCGTTGGCGTAACCAAGCTTGATGGTGATGTTTCGCTCCAATTCGTTCTTGAATCGCACAGTCTGGACCCCGGAGATAGCTTTTACAACGGTACTCTTGCCTGTAAAGAGCGGTTCATATTAGCAAAAAGTCCTTGGCGCACTTTCCGAAATAGCGCATCATAGATGAGAAAAAAAATGTACCGTGAGCGACATGACCGATTGTGCCAATGTTGATTGTGGCTTGACGGGCAATGACTTCGGGTGTCAAGGGTGTCAGAGTTGACACATCCAGGGTGGCCGGGTCCGATTGCGGCGGTAGCTCAGGCCGTTGGGGTTGAGGCGCAGCATTGCTCTTCTTCATGGCCGACTTCTTGGGCTGGTCGAGAGGCTCCTGGTCGTCGAAGTCTTGGGCATCGTTGGCGTCGAGAACGGGCGAGCCGGGCTGGGACAGATCGTCCTCCGAAAAGTCTCCGTTGGCAGCCATATTGCAAAAAATTCGGGATCGCGTCAGCAACGGCGGCCTTTGTCAGTCTCGAAGTACGGGAGCGGAGGAGAGAGCGATGGGAGGTGAGGCGGAGGGTGGAGAGTCGAGCCGGACGAAATTTGCGGGCGATATGATAATGGAAGAATGGCTTGGTGGGGTTTTTGTGCAGTGGAGAGCGAGCGGGCGGTGTCTTGGTTGACCAGTTGACTCTCCAAAGCACTACAATAGCACCGACTGACAGACCCTCGATCTTAAACTAGGTTTTCTTTTATTTTACAAGCCTGTGTCGCTTTCTACTATGCTGCTTGGACTGCGCTGTGCTTCTGCGTTGGGCGCATGAGTCATTAGGCCCCGGGAAAATCGAAAATATTTGTCGGTGACCAGCCCGGGAAAGTCTTGCCACGGTGCTCGCGATCATCTACGGACTTGAAACATTAAGAGCTTAAAAAAGGGCATTGATACGTCTGAGTTGCTTTTGTCTCTTTCAGAGCCTCATTGATGGGTTTTTGATGATGTTTGGATAGAAGCTGGGTCGAATTGGAGCTATTACCGACTTCGCTTTCTTGCCACCTCAAAAGTTGCTCTGCCATGGTGCTTCTTGGATTCTGGTAATTCTATAGTATATTTAATTTTAATCCGATTATTTACCCAGTCACTTCCGCATACCGTTCAGGAGATATATCTCTCGGGCTATCTGGGTTCTGTGTGGTGGTTGTAATAGTAATAGGTGAGGGCCCCGTAGCTAATATACAGTGCCAGAATATATTTCTCTTATTGCAGTGTGATAGACCTGGACCCCCACGCGATGTGACCTTCATGCCTTGTAAATGACGGAAAATCCGGCAAAAGAATATGCGATACAAGACACTGGGAGAATCGAGCTTGAAACAATCTTGGAAACATTTGTAGACACTTTTCTTTTCATGTGTGGGAATACATGCTATCCTAACAATACAATGGGTATATGGTCCATGGACGGATTTACTCGTCGTCACTATCATCACTCTCCGACTCTTCTTTCCCCTCCTCTTCGCTATCATCATCGAGGTCAGATAGGGACGAGGAGTCCTCTGTTGGCAGCATGATGAAAGAGGCCAGACAAGTAATGCGGTTCCCGGTTTCATAAGTGCTCAGGAGGTTTCCGATCTGACGAGTAGCGTCCTTCGGCTTCTTGGGGTCCTTGGACTTCTTCTTGGGGGCAACAAGATCTTGCCCAACGATATTCCAAATCCGCACAACACCATCGCTGTTGCCGGTGACAACCACGAAACCGTCCCGGATCTCCTGGGCTTGCTCTTCCAGGCTCAATAACGCAAAGTCCTTGATACGTCCAGGGAAACCTGCCTGTTTCCCACCAACCTGAGCCACGGAGGTGGCATAGGGGATCTTTGACTCTTCATCCTCATCGGGTTCCTTGAGTTCGGTGGTGGAATAGAAGATGACGCGGCCATCTTCAGTCGACACAGCCAGCAAGTCATCGATCTGGTCTTTGCCTGCAGAACGAGGAACATATTTCATTTCATGCACCTTGCTTCGAGGCTCTGGGAGCACTCTGCACTTGGGTTCTGAATCCTATGATCAATGTTAGTGTTTTAGACTCAATCGCAAAGAAAATTCATAGGTGACTTACAACTCCAAATACGACGATACCCCATTCAAAGGCGACGGCAAACTCCTCTCCAGCAGGGTTCCAAGCGATGCGGCGTCCTTCTCCGCTGCTCCATTTCCCTTCTTTCACACTCTGCAGTATCTCCCGGTTGAAATTCAAGACACCGGCCTTCTTGCCCGTCACCAGATTCCACAGCCGCATACATTTCTCTCCCTTACCGACACTCAGCATCAGCTTCATGGACGGATGGACCGCAAAGTGGTTCACGCCCGATGGAGCAGCTCCCGGAGGCGCAGTGTCACCACTAGGGCGGCCTTGGACCTTAGGGCGTGGCGCCTTGATGGTCGAGACTACAGTCCAATCACGAGTTTTGGACACCGAAATGGTGTTGTCCTCTGCACCTGCCAGAAGCTTGCTGCGCGAAGGGAAGCTCAAGCCTGAAATGCTGGCCGAGTGGTGCAACAATGATCCCAACTCGCGATTCTTTGGGTTCTCAAGGATTTTGTTTCCGGCCAAAGTCGGCACCGTGGGATAATCGTCATTCACAGCGGGAGGAGCGGCTGATAGCGAGTAGAGATTGATGCGCTCATCGGTAGCACCACTGGCCATCATAACGGATTGGTTTTGTTCGGTGGTCTTGGGTAGAGGAGATAGTGCTAAGCACCGGATTGCGGAACCATGAGCCTCGAACAAGAAGCTGTCGAGGCATTGAATGGAGGTCGAAGAGTCCTTTTTGCTTTCATTCTTCGAACTCAAGGCAGATGCGGGGATGCCAGCCGTGAAACCATGCAACACGCGCTCGTAAGAACCAGTGACAACCTGGATAGTGAAAGCTGCATCTGGAGCTTGGGAGGCGGTGGATGCCGATTTGACAGTCTTAGAGGGGCTCTCGGCAGATTTGTCCGCCTTGGAAGCATCGTTTCTCTTGCGCTTAACCATGATAGCGAGTGGGTGAGGTACTGGCTGTTAGAACCAAAAATTTGCGGTGACCCGTAGCGATTTGATTTTCTAGCAGCTTATCGCTGATAGCGCCTGAGTTTGATACCTTAGTGCCTTAGAAATGTTGATGCCTGAATGCCTGAGGTATCGTTCCCTGCCGTAGCATTGAGCAAGATTACGTTACGCGTCGCCATCCTGGAGCACAAGCAGCCTTCCAGCAGATACTCGCGATATCGCCTTCAGACCCGCCCCAAGGCTCTGCCCAGTATTTATAGGAAGGAATAAATTAAAATAATAATTATTATTCTGGGCGGCTGTCCCCTCCGCTCGAGTGAAGACCCTAGGTAACTTACGGTATGTATGGTACACCCGGCTACGTACTCACTCGCCGGACTGGTCTCCAGTGGTGTACCCCTTCAAATCTCTCCCGCGCCCAGCCAGAAAAATCCCTTCCGCCGTGCTCACCATCGCTTCAGCACGACAACCAGATCTGAAACCATCATCAGCAATTTTTCTCGGTCTCTGAATGACCTGTGTCAATCGGCCCACATCTTTTCCGCGTTGAATCGGATGCTGTGCTCCCAAGTTAGACCTCATGCTCCGCGACGAGCTTCTCCGGTCTAAGAACGATGAGATCGCGTGAGTATTAATTCGAAATCAACCGTGTTTCGATCATTTCTAGTCGGTGTTTGATGGATTTGTCGCTAATAAGACACCAGAAACTGTTTGTTGTCGCGCAAGCGAAAACTGACCGAGTTGTATTATGCGACCGTGGGTTTCGAGGGCGCGACCGGCGACACTCTTTATCAGCAAAAAGAACGGGCGTTTCTCGACGCCAACGACCTCTCGAAGTGAGTCCCTTGTCCCAAAAACTCTCTGCCGCCTCACTTTGTCATGGCGAAACAATTTATTTAATTGAATTGCTTTTACTGACCCTTCGCTCAGAGGTCGTTACTTCGACGAAACCACCCTACCGTCCCCTACCCATACTCGTGCGCGTTCTCCAGGAAGAAAAGCTGTCGCGTCTACTGCAGTCAGCGACACAAATACACAACAAGCCACTGGAATCACACCGCCGCCGACAGCCGATGGCCACGTCCTTCCGATCCCGACCCAATCCAGCCCAAAGGGAGTCGCAGTCGTGACTCGGCCAGAGGCCACAACTACAGGCGTTGTATCGACCGTGAAGAGCGTCGCGGACGTCACGGAATCTTCTACATCAGCAACCACTTCGCAGGCGCCACGGGAGGCCAACTCCTTGACAGAGAGCGTGTCGTCTCGACCATCAGTTGTTAACTCGAAGGTGGGCGCATCTGCGCTGGAGACCCCTCTCAGCTCCCAGGATCACGATGGAGCAGAGATTACGGCCTCTTCCGGTGCAGCGAAACTTGCAGCGACAAGCGCGACTCCTTCCCTCGAAATTCCTCACAACACCCATGCGCGCAAGAAGCCCGATTCACGACCTTCTCTTACTCTAGGACCATCTCATTCCGACCAACCTCTTTCTCCCGTCTCCTCTGTCGACCCCTACTCGAATAACACCCCCGTCCCAGTCGCCGCCTCGCCGGATACTAGTCCTGGAGAAGAGGTGCCTGATGCTGGAAAGATTGGCCGTCCGAGCCCCAAGCATAACCGTACCATGTCTCGCGCAGGCCTGGTCCCGTCGACACCAGATGAACAGCTACGACTGGAGGAAGCTCAGTCGTTGCAGCAGAATACCGAATATAGTGTCAATGGCGCCGGTGGCCCTCTCACAAAGGAGGTGATTGAAGAACGCGTTGGCCCCGTGGCAGATAAGGACCAAATGGAAGTCGATCAGGATGCGACCTCCGAATCACGGCAGAACGCTTCCTATGGAGATGGAACAGCTTCCGCTGGTAGAGGACAATTGTCACCAACTGAGCGCCTACAGCAAGCAGCTCAGACCCTCGGCGATACTGCCGCCGAGGTATCATCCACCAAGAAGCCAGTCTCGATTCCGCCTACGCAGCCATCCCATTCCCAGCCAGAGCGCATGACAACACGCGTGTCCTCGGGGGCCATTCGCCACAAGTCTGTATCTGAGATTCTTGGAGAGGCTTCAAGAACCTTTGCGCACGACAAGCCCCATTCTACTGGTGAACATCAATCGCCCGATAGCGTTGCGCGGATGCGATTCAAAGACCGGAAAGATCGAGAAAAAGAGAGAACACGTGTTTCCACGGTGGTTTTCCCTAAACAGACTCCATCTCAGCAAGACAAGTCGGAATTGATGGATCTCATTCATTCGGAGTCTGGGGATGCGGTTGCCAAACTCAACGAGGAGAAGGACTATCTTTTCACTCTGTTCTTGAATCGAGCCTACGCCCCGCCGCGCGGCGCTCACTTGAATACCCTCCTTGCATCCGCTCACAAAACGTTGAGCACGTCAAACCATCTTCTTGAATATCAAGAACAAATGGATTGTCGATCTCTCCGTCGTATCTATGGCCTTCAGAATGCCAACCGATGGCCTTTGCGGCAGATGAAACGATCAATGGAACCCCCTCGACCAGGCACACATCTGGACGTCCTTCTGGATCACATGAAGTGGATGCGTACCGACTTCCGTGAGGAGCGCAAATGGAAGCTTGCAGCAGCCAAGAGCTGTGCGGATTGGTGCGCGGAGTATGTCAACAGTGATGATGAGCACCGAACTCGCTTACGCGTGAATGCGAAGATACCTACGCCCACATCAGCACCACAGGGTGCGTCCTCGAAAATGGGCGTGGCGTCTCCCTCGGAAGATACTGGGGATGAAATTTTGACCGTATCTCACGCAACCCCAGACCTGGTTCCGTCGGCCGAGGAGGATTCGGTTAGTGATGGGTTCAATGATGAGCCAAGGCACGACATTCGTGATACTGTCGCTCCCGCGGCCATATTTTCGTTGGGTTCCGACGAGTTCAATTTTTCACTTGAAATGAACCCAATTGCCGAGAAGCTATTAGATGAACTTCCACTCTACGAACCTCTCCGAATCTCTCCACAGACTCAACTGCCAGATTTCAAGCGACCACCGGACTCGGTTTGGAAAACAGACATCCTCCCTGTATCCAAGTTTGCTACGACAAAAATTACCTTCCACGACAATGAACATCCTCGCAAGCGGAGCCGATACGACTATTCCCAATATCGCTCCGACCCTGAGGTACGTCTCATGGACTTGCCACCGGAACAGGACAACGTTGCGCTCTTCCGGCCAGAAAACAAGCACATTCGTGATCGAATCCATCCTGGCCACTCTTTCCGACCGCCCACCGAACATCCCATGCCATCGGTTGGGTTCTTCGAGTCGCGGCAATCATCTCAATGGACAATGGCTGAGGATGACGAACTTCGCCGTCTAGTCAAGGAGTATTCCTACAACTGGTCCCTCATCTCGAAATGCTTGTCCTCCCCATCTCTCTTCACATCTGGGGCTGAAAGGCGGACTCCCTGGGAGTGCTTCGAACGCTGGGTTGGATTGGAAGGTCTTCCGGCGGATATGTCCAAGACCCAATATTTCCGAGCCTATCACCAGAGACTTGAAACGGCTCAGCGAACGGTTCTGGCTCAACAGCAGGCTGCTCAGCAACAGCAACAGCAGCAAGCCAATAATGGCCAAGCGCAACAGCCTATTCGCCGCCGGACAACCCAGCCTCTGCGCGTGGATCGGAGGCGGTCTTCCCGACATCTCGCACTGCTTGACGGTATGCGAAAGTTGGCCAAGAAGCGGGAAACAATGCTCCAAAAGCAGCAACACGCTTCCCATCTTGCTTCGCTAAGGAAGGCAAACGAGGCCAACCAGCCTAAGCCCCCTATCTCGTCTCCGGCAGAATTCAGCCGCCTGAAATACGACAGGGAGATGAAGATGCAAGAACGGCAAGAGCAATACAGGCAGCAGATGATCGCTCAACAAAGAGCAAGTCTCGCTGCTCAGCGTGCGGGTCAACTTCCCAATCAGCAGCAGTCGTCACAACAGGCACAGATGATGAACAATCAAGGCCGAGCTCCTAATAATATGCCACCCAACCCCGGAAATTCTGGCATCTCGAATGGCACGCCGAACGGCGTTTCCAATGGCATGGCACCGGGTGTTGGCGTTAACCAAGGCCGTGCGCAGCCTATGCAGGGTATGCCAAATGGGGGGACACCAGTCAATAATCAAATGCCGGCAAATGCTATGGCTATGAAGATGATGCCTCAGAATCAGATGCAACAGCCTGTTGGTGCGCGACCCGGAATGCCAATGCAGGCATCTCCAGATAATGCCCGGGTGATTCGAGAGGCGAATCGACTCCAAGAGCAACAGCGCCTTTTGCAGTCACGCCAACAGCAACAAGTTCCCCACCAGGCGGGCCAGAGTCAACAAGCGCAGCAGCAGTTCCACAACCAGCAATTTGGGCCGCAGGGGTCTCATTCTCCAAACCTGAATATGCCGAATGTGAATGGAACTCCGAACAATCCTGCGATGATGGCTGCCTTGCAAGCTCAAGGGGGAATGCAAAGCCCTTCGTTCCATGGAGGTACTCCGCAGGGAGTTTCGACTCCCTCGCCTCGGATGGGCCAGCCAAATCCTCTCTCAAGTGGCGTTGTTCCAACTATCAGCACCTTCCAAAGCCAAATTCAGCGCGCCAATCCGCATATGCCCGCTGAGCAGGTGAATAAACTGGCCACGGACAGACTCAACCAATACCAACAGCAACGCATGTCGCAACAAGCAGCCATGAATGCCGCTGCGGGTGGTATGAATAATGTTCAAAACAACTATCAGGTTCCCCACGATGGCAATTTCCAAACACCTCAGCAGCCCGGCGTGCCCAACAACAACTCTGCTATGCAAGTTCCTCAGAACCAGGGGTTCTCACCGATGATGCGAGTTCCCCAGGCCAACCAACAAAACCGTGTCAACGTCACGAGCTCCCCGGCGATGAACGGTGCTGTTCCCCAGACTAGTCGCAGTGCAACACCTCAAACTCAGCGCAGCGGCAGCGCCCAGGCCGGAGCGGTGCAGGGTTCTAGCAAGAGTCCTCACCCTCCAGCCGCTCAACCTACGAGCAGCTAAGGGATATTCCAACCATCCCTAGTTTTGCTCACCTACCCATACACTATCTACCTCTTCTTCGACTGTACATATTTCGACTCTTCCCGTCGTACCTTGGTTTATTGCCTCTGTTTTTTTGCGCTTTTTTTGGGGTCGGTCTTTTTGCGCTGGTGGACCTGGATGGTGGCGCATTTGATTTACTTTTACCCTCTGTCCTCTCCTGATGCCCTTACACACTCGATTCCTTTCTCGCACGCGTTCTTTCCTTGCCTCTTTCACGTCTGAACCTTTATTGTGTTCATTAATTCAATGGACTAGATAGAGCGCTGGCTCCTATGTTACCAGCGCTGCAATTGGGGGCATGGACTTGTAATAGTATCCATGGGATTGCGAAAACACTAGTCTGGGTGGTTTAAAATCCCAGGAATTGACGAACATGAATTGTATGATTAGTTTCAATCTTTTCCATCTGCTAGTATATTCTCGTACACCGTAAATGCATCGCTGGAGCTTAAGGTATCACATTCAGGAAAGCTTTGATAATAATGGTGATGGAAATGCAACATGTCCCAAGAACACGATGGAGTGTTTCGCAACGTGAGGTGAAAGGTCGACTGGGGAAGAGCGAAGTTTAATGAGAGTGGGTATTGATTTATTTTGATAGATTAAAAGCCTGTGGAAAGTCTAAGGGGTCAGTAAATAAACATTACAAGCAAATTATCGAAAGGCTACAGCCACAACAAGCATGTACTACCCTTCGTCCCGCCAAGGTCCCGCGGCTAGAGCGCGCTTAGTGTAGTTCCGCTTTCGCCACCGCCTACCCTCGAGCTCTTGTATCAAATCTACGATCCAGACGTCTCTTGCGTTATCTCTGCTCTCAATACATCCCATTTGCAGCCATGCCGTCATCGTCGCAGCCCCCGGGTGACCGCAACGGCGGCATCTCGAAACCCTTCTCCCTTTCTTCCAACTCAAAAGAGCCACCCGTGAAGAAAACTGCCTTCAGCTTCCAATCCAGTCGCAGTCGCCCCGACTTAGCACTCAAATCCGGTTCTCTTCCTCGCCGTCCGCACCAGCTGGGTCACGATGACTCCTCCGATGAAGATGAAGCAGAGCCAGTTCACGAGGAAGTCTCCGGCTTCGACACACACACCGGCGGCGCCATTACAACGGATGGACAGGCCGTCAACACCGGGAAGACGCCACTAGTGATCCCAGTCACGAGCAAAAACAACTGGCGCGATCGGCCTGGAGTCAACGTGAGGAAGAGCACGAACCTCCTCCCTCGCGAAGTTCAGGCTATGCAGGGGGCGCAAAAAAATGGACAGGCCCCGCCAGGAAACGAGGTCGAAACCAAGGGACCGAGTATGGCATACGGCCTAAGTTTTGCTCAGAAGGCTGCAGAAGATGAGAAGAAAGGCGATACTGGTGGCGAAGACCAACCCATGGCGGATGCGAAACCGGCCGAGGACAGTAAGTCTCTCACAGACGACCAGCTCGCTTTACGGGCTTTAATCCAAGAGAGTACGGGCGAGGCGCAACGGAGAACCGACCTTGTTATTGAATCGTCAAAGGGAAAGAACGAAGATGGAACGCCTGCGCATTACGACGAAGCAGCTTCCTTCAAGACGGATGTGGGTTCTCGACCCGAATCAGCTACTCTGGATCAATACAACGCCATCCCTGTCGAGGAATTTGGTGCTGCGCTTCTTCGAGGAATGGGTTGGAAGGATGGCCAATCTATCGGGCGCGGGAAATATGGTTCTTCCTCAAATGCGAAAAAGTCCAATGAGCCTCAAGTTCCAGCCCCTCGCCCTGGATTCCTGGGAATCGGAGCTAAGGACTCTGGAAAGGGCGCAGAAGTTGAGTTTGGCGCATGGGGAAAGTCAGCCATGCGCAAGGCGTCAAGGAAGCAAGGCGAAGAAAACGCAAGCGGTAATACAGAAGGTCTCTACATGCCCGTTATGGTGCGCAACAAAAATACCGGAGAGTACATTACCGAGGAAGAGCTCGCAGAGCTGAAGAAGAAGGGCTCCAAACCACAGCCTCCAGAAGACGACTGGCGCGACAGACGAGATCGCAACTTGGAGAAGAGCGGGCGTGGTAGAGACCGTGACCGGGACTACCGCAGACGAGACTACGACGATGAGCGCTCTGATCGGAGGAATGGGTCTTCGCGTCGTGATCGCTCTCGTTCTGCTGGTCGCCATTCTTCTCGACGATCTAGATACGACGATGACGACCGCCGGAGGGACGACCAGCCTTCGCGCGACTCGGATCGCGATCATCGACGAGCCCGTGATGACGATAGGGACTACTACAAAAGAGACCGGGACTATGACAGGGAACGACACCGATCTCGCCATCACAGAGATGATGGTTACAGTAGTCGCTCGTCTCATTCATCACGACACGATCGTGACCGTGACCGTGACCGTAATTCTCACCGGCGTCGGCGAGAGGATTAGGCAATTTTATGGCCGACTTCGAAAGACTTTGTACATTACGAACTACAACCTGACTACAAGATTGCCACTGGATGATCATATAGGCCCAGTACCCAGCTAAAAATTAAGATACCCTTTCTCGGACACGAGATTTGTGTGCCGGGACTCTCTATACATTTCCTTTTTTTTTCGAAATATCACATATAGAATAAATTGAACAACTGAATTTAAAAGGTGAGAAAGTAGATGCTTTTATTCGATCCCACTCCCATGGTACTCCCAAAAGCAAAAGCGCCATGAATATACACAGAATATAAGGCTTGCTTGTCTAAGCCTCCATCATGATAACATCCTTCTCTCCCTCCCCATCCGCGCCGTTCTGATCAAGACTCATCAGCCCACCAAGACCAACTCCGCCATCCATCTCCCCAAGAACCCACTCAACGAGGTAGCTGTCGTCGGTCAGCTCCTCGACGCGTTTGTAGTGTCTCTCGGTATATGTGGCCAAAGCCTGCAAGATATCCTTGAGACCTGCCGCCGCACGGCCATTCTTGCCGCGGACGGATTGTGTAGCGAGTTCGACAAAGGTTGAGGCAGGGTATGATCGGAATAAAGCGTAGAGGATGCGCTGTGAGACGAGAGAAGTACGAGCGTTGGTGTTCCAATCACGTAGACGAAGCAGCAAGGTCCGGAGGTTTGTAGCATCCAAGGATTGAAGCACCTCGTCGATGGACGGGTTACCGGTCAAGCTATCAGCTGCACATTGACGCTCCTCCTCTGGGCGAGCGGGGTCATCTGCTGCATCAATGGCGGTTGTAAACAGAGACAGCAAACGACCAGGGTGGTTGAGTTGAAGAGCCAGAGTAATGGCTTCACGGTACGCTCCAGCACGGATGTAGTTCTGAAGTTGTTGGTCTTGCTCAACACGCTCGGAGTTGGCGTTGACGGCAGCAGTGTAGGTGGCAGAGGTTGTGTCAGTCCAACAGGTCACTGTGGCATCCGCGGAGCCAGAGACAAGAGCATAGGGGGTCGTGTTGAGTTTCGAGGAAGTGGGTTTGGCATCGGAGCGGAAGCCAGAAGGATAAGGGGAGGCAAGGGCCCACACTCTGTCCGTATGGTTGTCGATGGTGCATTCTACCTCTCCTGTCCACACGTTCCACAGCTTGACGAGCCCATCGGCGCCTGCTGATGCTACCAGGGGCCTTGTCTGAACATTTTGCTTGCTAGCTGCTGCCTCCTCATCCTCGTCATCTTCGCTGTTCTGCTTGGAGACTTGAGGAGGGGGAAGCCAGATGACCTTCAAGACCGAGTTTGAGTGAGACTCCAATGTGAGCAAGCAGCTGTAATCGACCAAGTTCCAAATCTTGACAGTCTTGTCACCACTGCCCGTTGCAATGACACCTTTGTTGGTGCTAGTGCCGGCTTCAGTGTTGATCACTGGTGTGTTCTTCGGGCAGAACCGCACTCCCCACACACCACGCTTGTGTCCACGGAGGATTCCAATTGCTGATCCTTCCTCGGCATCGAAGATCTTGACGGTGCGGTCCTGAGAGGCCGAGGCAAAAAGGGTAGATGTGGAGTCGATATCAATGGAGTTGATATCCTTCTCGTGGGCCTTTCTTGTATACACAGCCTTCGGTGTGTGAGGCTTATCATCATTGAGCGGGCCCAACTTGCCAAGATCCCATCTCTTGATAGTCTTATCCTGCGAGCCAGTAACAAGGAAAGCCGGCGGGTGGTTGGCAGGGTCATTGTATGCAGAGCTACCAACCGGTGGTGGAGAGCGCGGGAATGCAATGGCACCGAGTGATTCGGCGTGACCGGTGAGAGTCGCGAAGCACGAATATGACGAGTTCTTGGGATCGAGGCGGAAAAGTCTTGCTGTGTTGTCTTTACCGGCAGTAACAAGCCAATGTCCAGACCAGTCCACATCCATTGCGATAATAATATCTTCGTGTCCGTCCAGATAAGCAACGTCAGCGCCAAAGAAGTCATCACCATGGGCTGAAGGTCGATCCTCGGACGGCGCAACAGAGACAATGCGGATGCTTTCAGTGTTCGTAGCCAGAGCAAGCATTGACCGATCGGGGCCGACAAAGGCACAGTCAATAATCTCGTCGTCATTGCCAGAGATACGTCGAGTGATCGTCAATGGTTTCAGAGTAAATCCTGGCTTGTAGTCCATCAAAGTCTCCAGGGAATGGATGCGGATTGTCTGATCAGCGTGTACAGTCATCGCGAAAGGCAAGCCCGGCGAGTACTGAATAGCAATGATCGTCTCGAAATCCTCACCACCCTCTTGCTCTTGAGTGATCTCACTGCCGCGGTTGATATCAAAAGCCCTGAGCTTTCCGTGCTCACCACCTATAACGCAAATGCCGCTGTCCGCGACGAACGAAGCAGCCTCGACAGATTCTAAAACAGGAATGATTCGGCGTTGTTTGTATGTGCGAGCATCGTAAATGATGACAGTCTTGTCGCGCGAGGCCGAGAGCAAGGCATTTTCTGTAGCAGAGAATGACAAGCTTCTGACAAGCGAGACGTGCGAATCGAGCGAAGCAACTGCTTTTTTCTTGTGCAGGTCAAAGACACGGACCCGACCCTCTTCGCTACCAGAAGCCAGCCGGAAACCAACTGTCGGATCGGCATCTTCCATATCCTCGTCATCATCTCTTGGCGCCTTTTTCTTGGACTTCTTAGTGGACGACTTGTCGTTGTCCGCGGCCGAGACCTCGAAGAAGCAGAGGGCCGAGATCACACCACGGTCGTTGAAGGTGTGCGTCACAAATCCACCCCGAATGTCGTGGACTTTGATAGACCCATCAGCAGCACCAGTAGCCAGCAAAGTCCCGGTATGGTCAATTGCAGTTGTCACGACTGGCGAAGTGTGGGGCTTGAGGGTGCGGATGGGTTTGGCCTCGATGACTTGGGTGCTTTTGTCGTCGAAGTCGAAGGGAGAAAGTTCGTAAATGCGCATTGTCATCGAGCGAGAGCAGACAACTGCATGCGACGCAGAAGGCGTAACTAAGGAATCGTAAGCATCTCAGAAGCCTTCAATAGGATCGGTTTGAACTAGACATACTCGCTAAACTGGTGATGATTTCGCCATCCTATGCAGAATCAATTGTCAGCATTGCGCGATCCCATCTGCACCAGAGGATGTAACTCACTCCCTCCAAACTGGCGAGCTGGTCTCCAGTCTCCAAATCGACGATGTTCGCATCTTCACTAACACAGCTGAGCAAAATGCGCCCACTGGAATCAAGAGCTGTGCTGCCCCCGGTATAAATAGGCCGAAGGGTCTTGGTGGCCTCGAAAGTCGTTTTAACAATTGCTTTCGACATGATGCGTATCACAGCCCGGCCCTTGCACGCCGTGTGCCCGCTTTGAAGGTCGCGGATGCGAAAAGCTCGGGCGACTTTTTTCGAATTTGTGCTGTTTGCACCTCCGATAAGATAGTGGATCCTTCGCCAGGCACGTGGTCTCCCCTTCTCCAGCAACCACCCGAAGGCAACTCATTCGCAGCCAGTCTACTTGAGCTGTCGATACATCCTTCAAGTTCTCTTCACCCCAGAACGTGACCGCCGACTCACGCTTCGTACGACTTATGAGGAAATGACCGTTTCGCTGGTCTGATCGCCATGGGTCGACAGGCTTATCTGACCCGGCTCGCTTTGGTAAGCTCCGCCTCCTCGCGCTTTCCCTCGCTTTGATCAACAGGTGTTATTTAGATGTTTTCTTGAGGTGAGTGGGACCTTCTTACGGTGTTGTGCTTTATAGCATGCCATTTGATGGTCTCTCGACGTCCATGGAACATCTAAACACCATATTTTTGTCATACACCTGGACCTCATTATACTTGTCTTTCTCTATCTTTTGATTGAAATCGTTTTATGTATGCATCACTACTAACTGATTTAAAGGGCCGATCACCTTATGAACCACCTGAGACTGCTACGGTTGACCCGTCCAATCCGGTCCGAAGAGTCTCACATATCCACGCCGACAATTACATGCAGCAGTATGATGCCCGAGGCCATCCAGTCAATCCGGAATCGAAGGCTCTCGGCCGCGACCTGCGAAGGGCCAAGAATGATATCCTCTCGACGATGGGGATCGTCGTTAGCGGCGAAGACCGCAACGCCAGCTCTGCCAATGAAGAAGAGCGGATCAACCAGATTACAGCTGAGAACGATTTCGGCCTAGTGATCACGACTCTTGACCAGCTATTTGTCTTTTTTGGGACATGGTGGACCTCATCTCTTACCGGAAGAATCCTGGTAAATTCGCTCGTTGACCTCGGAATCACCTCTGCCTTAGTACTAATTTATGACGCCTTGTTTAGACGTTTAGACACTATACCCATGCTGCATTACTCGATGTCATTCGCTCAGAACGTGGATCAACCGGGATTCTAGGTTTCTACTTCGCAGGCATTCCGGCATGGGCAGTGTCCAGTGGACTGGCCATTGCTCGTGACAATCCCTTGAAGCGCGTTTGGTTTGCGATCAAAGACTATGCTGTGAGTCTTTCGGGCAATGGTGGACTTTCACTAGCAATTCGGGCTTTTTCCTTGTTGGGATACTCAGTGTAAGTCATTTCTGTCTTTATCAAATAACCCTTGTGTTTTAACATTTCTTTTCAGGGCAAGGAGCTCAATCCTGGTTCTATCTGTGGAGGCCTACATGTACTCAGTCCTCCAGTCACTGTCCATCGTACCTGCCAGCTCCATTCCAGGAATTCGACTCTTAATTCCTTTTGGCGAGAATTCCCTGATCCAAATGCCTCCTCTCCCGACCCACCTCTCTGCGCCTGCCATCGGAGGATTTTTGATGCGCCTGTTGGCTTCGCCGGGTGTACTAACATTTCTCTATGCCTTTTATCTGCGACCGGAAATGGAGGAACGTATCTACCGGTTGGCCCGTCGCCAGCTACCAAAGCCAGTTATTGCAGATGAACTGTCTATTCGGGTTGCCTTCGAAGAGAACCTTGTCGAGTGGGTGGTCCCAAGCCTGGGACGCAGAGCAGAGGAAGAATCCCGCCGCGCCAAACTCACATTCTTCGAGGATATTCAATGTGAGCTTGCTGCTTTCCGGGACTGGGTACTATCTTCCTTCGGTCTGCTCTCCAGAGATACGTCGAATCAGCAGATCACCGGAGCCTCAAACCAGGAAAGAATTGAAACCCTCAGGCATTCAATTGAGTCGCTTCAGCACGAACTCGATGAGGTCCAGTTTCGAAACGATCTTGCACAAGATCGGCCATTAACCCCCTTTTCAGAGCCCGTTCCACCAAACAGAACCACTGTGCGCAGAAACACTACTGAGTATGGACGACCAGGATTTCTGGCTCGTGCTGGGAGGGTTAGAATTGACGATGAAGGCACGGTTTATAGCATGCCTCCTCAGGTGCTGACAAATGAAAATCGCATGTCTCAGTCACCCGGAGAGATGAGCAATGATTTCTTTTCTGAAATGGCAACTCTTGGGCGGACAAGTGCGCCATCGCAGTCGACTGTCTCTGTAACTCTAAGCCAACAGAGCAATGCGCACCAATTCGAGGACGTCATGCAAGACCGACAAAACTCTCGCTCAAACACATTGTTCTCTCGTCCATCATCTCCGGAAACATCACCACCGACTTCGCCTCGTGTCAGAGCCTCATTGATCCATCAGAGCTCCGACATCATCACCATGCAATTAGAATTGCTAGGAAACCGGAATCGAGCTGCGCAAAATCAGCCATCCGTCTCGAGTCCTCATCTTCCAAGATTTGGCTATAACGGTAACGGTACTACTTCGACTGCCGTTGATCGCAGATCCATAGCGGATTTCCTCGAGGCTCTGATTCTAAGCCAAGCTCAGCATCAAGCCACACAATCACATGTGCGAGATGAGCAGGATGGCCCCAGTACCGCAAACGAAGCAGACCACACAACAGGTCAATCCGCGCCTCTTGAGAGCCATCCACAGGGCTCCGTGGCGGATAGTTCGGCTCCAAATAGAGACTTGGCTACCCCTATCACGGACGAGAACATGGGTCCTGCTGTCCCAAACATCCTACCGGATGGTGTCGAAGAGCCGAACGACGAGGGAGTCGGTGGTCCGCACGGAACAGCTGCTGCTCTTCAAGATCCTTCATCAGAAGTCTTTGATCACCCAGACGAGCCTATTGCACGTGTCCAGGTACCCTCTACGTACCCATCTTCCAACGCGCACCGAGTGACCCTACTCTCTGCCCACCCGGTGGATTCTCTCGCCTCTCATCTTGCTGCGATCCTGAGTACCATCATACTTTCTCCGTTGGAAGCGCTGTGCCATCGTTCCTTGGCACATTCTTATCTTGCTATACATTCGTCTTCCACAGCGGAGCTCTCGGATCTCCATCCCGTCGGTCTTTGGTTTGGCGGGAGCTCTTGGAATGACATCGCTGCCTATACCGGAAGGGTGATACTCATGAGAGGAATGCAAGCCGCCTTGAGGGCCGGTGTTTGGGGGTTCTTGGTTGGTTCGACTATGAGAATTGGAAGGAAATTTTGTGGATGGGGAACGCTTTGAACTCATCTCATTTGCATCGGTGGGCACCGATCGAGTTTTCGAATTCCTATGATATCCATAACCTATGGTATCAGTATCTCATGACCGTTACGATTGGCAACATCAAGTTCTTGCTACAACAACTTTAGCGTAAATTCGTCATATTTGCTATTGTTACACAACACTAGACTGGCCGAGAAAACTGGCGAGATATTACAGCGCGCCATCAAGTAGACCAGAAGAAAATCTCCAACGAACATGTGTCCTCGCACGTCTGGGTGTAGCCAATCTTTACATTTCACTTTCTTTAAGATCGGCCTCTGCCCTTCTTTCCCGGAGTCTTCCTTCGCTCCCAAACCATCAAGTATCCTTCACGAGTAAACAGTGTCTCACTCTCGGCACGTTTGACAAACAAATCCTGAACTTCGAGCCATTCAGGTCCACGTTGCTGGTGTTCTGCTGTACCGTTATGGAGGCGAGAGTTCTCAGCCCCCATAGCCTTGTCATGAAGCTGAACATGCCAGGAGACCTTTTCACTGCCCGCACCAGCACCTGATGAAGAGCCAGAAGCAGCATTGACACCCTTCTCGGCTGCATCCTCCGTGGCACCCGGAGCGGCAATGCTAGGGTCAAGAATGATGTTCGCGACAAGGTCGTACATGATGGGCTCGCCTGGAGGCCAGATCTCGGGATTGGGCTCGACGTACGGAGACATGTCCAGCGAGCGTGGAGAGGGGAAAGTGACGATGGTAGGGTTACGCTCGGAGACGAAACGGTTCTTGCTGAAGCGTTTGATGTGGAAGAGAAGGTATGGCGGGAGAGGGTGAAGGAGGCGGTGGCGGACACGCTGGGCCATCTTTTCGGAGGCTGTGAGGCCGTTGTATTTGTTGAGAAGAGTTGTGAGGGGAATTTGTGGAATAATGGATTCCCGGTTGACGGATTGGAAGAGTGGTGTGGGTGGCAGGTCAAGGGTTAGAACGAGGAATGGTGTAACTTTGCTGTTGATATCGCCCGACTCGGTGAAAACCAGACGTGCATTCTGGGTATCGGAGTGTGCAGTGATGTCCTGGCTTTCAATGCGAACTCGGCCTTGGAATGCTGCATGAATGACACTAGTGGGATTCGGAGAAGGTTTCTTAGAGCCTCCCAAGGAAAGATGGAGAGTATTGAGGAACCAAGACAGGAAATCCACGGGGTCTGACTGGTCTGTGAGAGTGAATCGCTTTGAGGATTTCATCGCAACCTCTTGTAACAATTCATGTGGAGAGACATGCGATCGGAATGCCTTCGGATTCCACAGCTTGCGCACCAAAGTGCTGAAGCGAAGAACGATTTCCGGAGTCCCTGGCGTTGGGAAATCTTGTAGGAGGAAGAAATTACGGATTGGTTGAACATGCGCCAGAAGCTGAACAACGACGTTAAAGTAATCGTTGGCTTTAATGTTGTTCATACCGACAAATCCTAGGTAAAGTTAGAGGTCGTGCCATATCGAATCGAAAGTAAGACATCTCACCTGGTCGGTACCGAGACCCATGCAGGTCCAAGGCATCAAGAACTTCCTTGTCCAGTTTCGAGACCTCGGCCTTGCTGTAGTAAGGATCCACGACATATTTGATATCGTCCAAGCTCTTGTTTTTAACTTCATATCCTTCGGGCAAGACGTAGACCTTCTTCGTTCCCATGTTGATGAAAACGTGGTGTCCGATCTCGAGGGCGTGGAAGTAGGCGTGCGATTTGGGGCCGCGACCTTGGAAGTACTTGCCGCATACGAGACAAGCATACACATTGATGTTGGACAAGCTTATAGAGCACAGCTTTTCGAAGTCGAAATCCAGAATATCCCGGTTCACTGTATCGAGGTAGAGATCGTCGTAACCTTCCACCGGCTGGGTTTGTCGCTTGGGAGCGCTGAGAGCGGACGCATCTTCATCGATATCCGAGGATCCCTGCTCATCCTGTTCTCCTTCTTGTAGCTCCTCTCCTTCTATGTCCGCTGCCGCGAGGATGTCAGAGCCATTGCGTTCGTCTTGCTCCTGTTCTCGCCCACTGAGTCGCTGCGCGTGCGTCGCGCTGTTGCGGGACCGATCTGGGATCTCGTCCTTGACGCGCGCCTTTTTGGAAGCTGGTGATGCGACGGAGTCTTGCTCCAGGGGGAGCTCTGCTGGCCTCTTCGACATTGCGACAAAGTGGTGTGGAGTGCGGAGAGGGAATGCAGCGCTGGTGTTCTTCAGAACCGCAAGCTTGTGAGTGATGCAAACATGTCAAACACAAACCCCGGCCAGGTATCAACAGCTCTGGGTCAATGCGACTGTCGAAGAACATCTCTCCGGCAACAAAACAAAGCCAGTGGAGCCATTTTACTTGTATGTACGTTGTTTTTAATAGAGCTTTAAAACTCATTCCTACGTTTGATGCAAATGTTCAAGGCAAGTTTCATTCCGTAATCAAAGTTAAAACGTCATAGGATATGATACAACAAACGCCGGGGCATGTCGACCATTAAGCACTGCGAACAATTCTATCATTATCGAAGTCAACCACCTTGACACCATCCTTCGTGACAACTTTGACCAGAACCTGCGAGTATCGGGTTAGTGAGGCTGAATCTCAGTGGGGATTGTGGAAATGACGTACGCCCTTGTAGTCAATCGGTAGCCGGCGCTTGAGCTCATCTGTACACATTTCAAGAAGTTTCATTCCTTCCTCCAGACTGATGTTGGGGTTGTGGTGTTTGTCAAGCAGAGAGAGGCAGTAGTATCTGGTCGAGAGTTAGCACAAATGGCTCCCGCGAAGTCTCGTTTGTTCAGCTGAGAAAGGTCCGACATACTGGGCGTAGCCGTGGGCGGCATATGGTACGGGGGCCAGGGAAGCCAGATAATCGATCCAGTACAAGCTGGGTTCCTGGGTGACTGGATCCATTCCTCCCAGCAACAGATTGACGGTGTACGGGCTTCGTGACCGCAAACTGCGGGCCAATTCTCCTCGGACAAAGCTGGAAACGGCGGAAGGGCTGAGTTCGGTGTCATTGCGCATAGTGTACAGAGAAACGTTTGCTTGAATGTATTCGGCGAATTGCACTAGAAGAAGACGGATTGTTAGAAGCACGCTGGTGTCAAGTTGTCGGTCATGAGCTACTGACCGGTGTCTCCAGCCTCTCCAGAGAAGGCCATGAGAGTGTGCTGGTTCAGTTGCCGTGTCTTGTCATCTTCCGCCTTAATGATTGTCGGACCTCGCATTGTGGCCTTGCTGGCCGCAATAATAACGAAGTCCTTGCCAGTAATGCCCAAGAGAACCTCCCTAGAAAGCGTAAGTTTCGGAATAAGAGTAGTCTTGGAGTGCGGTAGAAATAGAGGACTTACATGTCTGCGGTTTGTCAAATTCAAAGTAAACGAGGAAAGATGAGGTTCAGAAACGGCGATGATGGGGAGAAGTGGTTGGATGATGACCGCGCGGCGAGCTTGACGCCTGGAGCTCTCAGCTACCTGCTTACTCAGCCGCCGCTTAGGGCGCTTTTTTTCCCCGAAAAAAAGTTGAATCCGCGCCAGACTCGACCACCCCAACTTCTTTTTTTGGCCCGGGGTTTTTGCCTTCATATTTCTACTGGGGAAGTGAACTGCTTCTTTTGAAGATCGCAATGTCTTCTTTTTTCACGGTCCCCGCTTCGCAGCGCAAGCGCAAGAGAGACGACCGCAACGCGGCCCCGGCAACTAAGAAACGAGGTGTCGACGCAAAGAACGACGGCGCAGGAAATCGCTATGCCAAGGAAAGAGAGGACTCGATCTCTGGAAGTGATCTGGACGAAGACGAGAACGACATTGTCTCTAGTGGGTCGGGGGAGGAGTCCGAATCCGACTCGGACGATGGCGAAACGGCTGGAGACCGAAGATTGAAGCTCGCCGAACGATACCTGGATAACATCCGGGAGGAAGTTGACGAAGTTGGCTTCGATGCGGCAGAGATTGACAGGGACTTGATTGCTGAACGATTGAAGGAGGATGTGGTATGTAGATATCCCGATATCTTGAGACGGAACGCGGTTCTTAACAGTGAATACAGGACGAATTCAAGGGTCGCACGTTTCGCAAAATCGCTTCCAAACTATCCTTGCCGACCGCATCGCATTCTTTCTTCCGTTCAGATACCCAGACTACTACATCTATCGCTGTTCACGCACCTTACGTCTACACCGTCTCCAAAGACAAGACTTTGACCAAATGGGAATTGGCGACACCCAATGACCCCAACGCTGCTCATAATGGAACATCCAAGCGGCCACCGCCGCCTCAGCGGAAGAAGCCGAAGCGTTTGAGATATGCTCGGGGAGTGCGCAAGATTGCTGAGACTGGCGAGGAACATGGTCACACTGGAAGCATCCTTACTGTTGCGGTTTCCCCTTCGGGGCGCTTTGTTGCGACGGGCGGTGCTGATAACAAGCTCATCATTTGGGATGCCGAGACTCTTACGCCTACTAAGACCTTTACGCAACACCGTGATTCTGTCAGCAGTCTTTCCTTCGCCCGCCACATCTCGACAATGAGCTCAGGAGAACAACTTTTCTCCGGTTCATACGATCGAACAATAAAGACATGGTCCGTTAGCGGAGCGGGCCATGCTTACGTTGAGACTCTTTTTGGACATCAGTCCGGAATCGAGCAGATTGCAGCCATGACTATCGACGAGTGCGTGTCTGTCGGCGGACAAGACCGCACATCACGTCTGTGGAAAGTCGTCGATGAAACGCAGCTGGTTTTCCGTGGCGGTGCTCCCAAGAGTGCGCGTTACCATGAGAGCCATCTTGACTGCGTTGCCCCTCTTCCACCAGCTCACTTCGTCACTGGCTCCAACTCTGGCAGTATTTCGCTGTGGTCCATCCACAAGAAAAAGCCCCTGCACACAATCCCTCTAGCACATGGACTGGACTGCATTCCGCCATTGGATCAGCTTTCCCCTGAGGTGGATATAGACACCGCTGCACGCAATGCTCGTCACATGCGCCCAATGCCTCGCTGGATCACAGCACTTACCACTCTTCCGGGAACTGATGTCGTCCTGAGTGGCTCATGGGACGGCTGGGTTCGCGCATGGCGCATTTCGGAGGATAAGAAGACCATTATCCCATTGGGGCCTGTCGGAAACGGCTCTCCAAATCAGTCTCCTGATACTCCCTCGAGGCAGCTCAGCAACACTCCTGAGCACGACACCCCCAACCCCAATGAAATGGACCAAGACGCACAGTCAGAGAATCAGAACCTGGAACCCGGACATCTTATTAAGGGTGTGATTAATGACATTGCCGTCTTCGAACGCCGTCCGGAAAGTGATCTGCCAGGCCATGCACCCAAGTCCAATTCTCAGTCAAAATCCGAGTCCAAGATCAGGGGCTTGTGTATTGTTGCAGCTGTTGGCAAGGAGCATCGTATGGGCCGCTGGAAGTGCTACGCCAACAACTATTCCAAGGGGACATCTCCTGAGGGTCGCAATGGCGCCGTTGTGTTGGAGGTCCCGTTCATCTCATCCAGCACTGATATTGATGAGACCGATGTATAAAAGTTTCCAGGTTCTTGACCAATTCTCAATCTCAGGAAGAGATTGTGAAATTTAGGAGCGTTAGGGTGTCCTGGAGTCGGATTCGTGCATGTACTTTACCATCCTGCATACATATCAAACCTTTTTAAGTTACTTTACATTATGCCTTCTACTTTGAGTCGCGATTGAATGATAGAATTACTACTCTGCATTTTATTTTGGACCAAACTCTATGTTAAATCTATTAGTGGTCAGCATATGCCACGGATTTCGTGTCTTGGGGTACTATAGTTGAAATAACTCGAAGGGTATCTTGAATGCAACAACGACGTTTCCACGTGGTCTCATCCCCACAGGATGTTGATCTTTGACCAAAAGCTGCGATTTTTCACAATGGGTACATTATCCGGGTCATTTTCAGCTTCTTCGAGGGCTTGTGTAATAGGAACTGCTTGCAGGGAAACAATTTTGGTGCGGTGGATCAGTTTATATCCTCCGTACGCACCCAAAACAAGCGGGATATCTCTGGGGCACTTTGTCAGCTTGTGTACGAAAAAGTAAGGATGCGTAGATCGCAAGTGGTACTTACAAGTACGATGACACGAACGAAGCTGGATCCCAATTTCCTTTCGTGAATACGGTAAAGCCTCCTGTCAGCAAAATAATGATGCAGTAGATCAGGGCAAACCAAGAGGTATATTCTGCAGGAATGTCAGTAGTAGCATTTATAGAGTAGGGTCATGGTTTCACATACTAGTTATACGGTTATGCCACGGTAGCTGATCCGGCGAGATGCCTTGTTTCTTCAGGGCTTTCAGCAGCCGGATATGGTTGAGAGCAATCGTGATCCACGAGACCAATGTACCAGCCGCTGTCAAATCGACGAACCAGAAGAAGACAGTCAAGGCCTCGTTGGAAATGCACATGTAGGCCAGTAGAGAGAAAGCAACCTGCAGCAGAACACACATGTACGGCACACCCCACTTTGAGGTCCAGAGAAAGACCTTGGGAGCATGGCCCTTGATCGCGAGTCCGTATAGCGTTCTCGTTCCTGCCAGAATACTCTGGTTGGAGGCTGACCAGGCAGATGTCAGACACACGGCATTCACAATGGAAGGAATGGCCTTGATTCCGGCATCACTAGCAGCGATCACGAAGGGACTCTGCGCTGCCGTTGAACCATCCCAACCAAGTCGATCATCTTGACTAGACACTATCATACCGACTACCAGCACAGCAGCCAGGTAGAAAATAGTGATCCGTGCAAAGACACGTTTACAGGCCTTTGGGATGTTGTGACGCGGATTTTTCGTTTCAGCGGCAGCCATCGCCAACGACTCCACGCCAGCGAAAGAATACACCGCATTCGTCATGACAGCCCAAAAGCCGAGGAAGCACCCCCAGGAACCGGTGGCGATATACTCGACGAACGAGCCAGGATCTTTCCAATAGTGAAAACCCAATCGCGGTACACCGGGCACTCCCCCGAGATCGATGACCAAGCCCAGGATGACCACGAAAATGACCAGGAGGATCTTCAAGATCGCAAACACGAACTCGACCTCGCCGTAAACGCGAATGAATGAGATGGCGACGACGACCGATATGATAATCAGAATGGTCACCCACACCGCTGCATTGATATCCGTCCAGTACTGGATCAGCACTACACTTGCGGAGATCTCACTTGGCACGCTGATGAAGCATCCATAAACGACGTTCCAGCCGACTGCAAAGGCCAGCGCCGGGTCAACCAGGACCTCTGCATGTCGTACGAAAGAACCAGTCACCGGAAGAAGCGCAGACACTTCACCGAGTGAGAATTGAATGGCACAAACCACTGCGCCGACAAAGACGTAGCCCAAAAGTGCGCCGAGTGGACCACCTGTTGCTATAGAGCCGCCAAGGCCCAGGAAAAGACCTGTCCCCTGTATATAATGTGAGATTTTCAAGATCTTGGCGTAGATATGATGCAAGCGCGGAACTCGGTGCGTGGAGGTTCTACATACAATAGCACCAGCGATCGCAATCATTTGCACATGGCGCTGTGACAATCCTCGTATCAAATTCTGCTGTTCATGTTGGGAAACAATATGTCCGTCGTCGGGAATAATAGCCCGAAAGGATGACGGCGAGTCGTGGTATGGTGGCCGCGGTTCTTGATCTTCGACACCGTGCGCGACATACTGAGTCGCCGACTTGTTGTACTCCTGGTCCTCGAAGATGCCCGCCATCTTTGCCCGCGCAAAGGAAGAGGAAAAAGACAGAAGAGCAGGATCCTTCGAGAAGATTTCGATGCTAGAGCTGTCGAAGAGGAGCTAATCACACCATCTGAGTGGTGGATGAGCGAAGGCTATTTGGGCTTATCTCGGCGCCGAGGCTGGAGGGTGGAGCGTGGAGGCTTGCGTGGTGGTATGGCCTCGTCTCCAGTTGAGAAACGCGATAACAGGTCGAGCGTGGCTCACGTTGGGAGTAGGGAGAAAAGAGGTGCATTAGGTAATTTACTAGCTGCAGCCCTGCACCTGATCAGCCGCATGAGATTTTCCCAAAATGTGAGGGAAAAATAGGGCCAAAAGCAATGTCTCATGGCAGCGGACTTCCCGCGGTTCCATCGTGCACAGACTTTCGGGGCTCTCCGAGCAAGTAACCTAATTCTCCTTGGCATTCACGACAAAGATGATCCCGTTCAACTAGCGTGAGCTGCGCTAATGAGATCGCTGGAAGAAATTTTCCGTATTTCTGTGCGTTTGATCAATACAATTGAAAAATGATTGCAGGGGAGGCGAGTGACGCGAGCATATGATACAGTGACGGTACCACTGGAAAAATATTCCGAGTTCAATATAGATCGATCAAGTTAGGCAAGTCCAGCCAACCATCCAAAATCAGGATAGTGTAATTTGTACATTTATTTCTCCAGTTGACCTCGATTATGCTATATTAGAGACAATCAAGTCAGATGGCGCTTCCACCACTCCTCCTTTCGCGTGAACGATTCGTAAATCGCCTTCTGCCCGACCCATCCATGTCCTTCGCCTTCAAACTCCACCACTTCAGCGACTCGGCCCTGTCCCTGCATAGCAGAAGCCATCATCCGCGCCTGTGCCAAAGGAACAACAACATCCGTGGTCCCCTGCAAGAGCAGTAAGGGCGCCTTCATATCCTTAGCATAGTGGCATGGGCTGCGTTCCTTGAGTACCCGTGCCCGGTCTTCCGGCGCAGTCTTCCCCAAAACAATACGGTCCACATCCTGAGACTCAAACTTGTAGGAGTCAGCCTGGAGAGCCCGTACATCGCTGATGCCGTAGGAGCTAATTCCTGCAGCCCAGACATCGGGGTACATGTGCAGAGCCCTCAGCGTGAGGTATCCGCCAGCGCTCTGGCCGTAGATACCAACTCGATTCTTGTCGATCAGTTGCTTTTCGGCGAGGTAGTTCACCGCACTAACGGCGTCGGCTACATCAACGACACCCCAGTGACCTGAAAGCTTCTCGCGGTACTCGCGTCCGAATCCCGTCGATCCAGTGTAGTTGACTGCGCAAACGGCAAAACCGCGGGTCGTCCAATACTGTGTTTCCAGATTGAGGGCGGGGAAAGAGCAGGCATTAGGCCCGCCGTGGACGTACGTCAAGACTGGCGGAAGTTCAGTTCCGTCTGCCTGGAAATTGGGATTGCAAGGGGGGAAGAAGAACATATGAACCTTGCCGTCGGACAGCGGGCCATATTTCTGGGGTGCGATGTACTCCGATGCACGAGAAACGTATTCGGGTGCTAGGTCGAAAGATGCGGTTGACGTGAGAACCGTTCTCTCTACTTCGGACGATTGTTTGATCGATACAAGACCCAATTCTTGCGGAGATGTGGCTGAAGAACCGACGACCGCGAAGCTGGTGTGAGATACGCGGTAGATAGCATTTGCGCGGTGACCGATGTCCAAATAAGGGAGGCCTAGATCTCGGGTCTCCAGGGTAAAAGTATCAACGAGGATCATCTTGCTGGAGCCATTATTCACGGCAGTAGCCACGATGGTCTTCTCGTCAAGAGAGATAAATGTAGAGCTGGAACGAATTTAATTAGCGAACTCGAGTAACGAAAATGAGATAATAAGAACACACCTGCCAAGTTCCCATTCAGCAATGGCAAACTCGGATTTCTCAAAGCCCTTCAGTGAAAGATAACGCTGGGCATTATTCTTCGGATCGAACGAGTAGAGCTGCCAAAAGCCGGTCCGGTCACTTGCGAAATATAGCAACCCGTCCTCAGCCCATTTTGGCTGCGCAATGCTCTCCTGTTGCGCTTTTCCAGCAATTGCGGTATCATTATTGAGTGATCCATTTGCCCACTCCGCGATATGGAAAACAGTGCCTGTCCACGGCATATCAGGGTGAGTCCATTGAATCCAGGAGACATATTTTCCAGACGGATCGAATTTAGGGTGAGAATAAAAGTCGTCGCCCTGCGTGATGGTCGTCTCTTCTCCTGAGTCAAGGTTAATCGCCACCAAAGTGTTGTGGACATGGGTTGCTTGGGTCTCAGGAGTAGCCTCCCGGTGGTCCTCTTTGATCGCAATTATCCACTGTGGATGTTGCGGGTGGGTGCTGAACTCGGCATATCGAATGCCTTCGGGCGCCGCGTGAACAAGCTTGGTATGGCTCGTGGCCGGGTCTAGGAGGTAGACACTGCACGACTTCTCATCTGAAAACAGGATCTGTCCATCGGGTCTCATGGAGATTGACCCGCCTCCAATCTCCTGCACGCTAGCGTGGGCACTGTACTCCTTCGGCAGGACATCTTTGCTGTGACCATCGAGATGTTCCACAATGGCGAAACGGCCATTTTCGGTCGGGTGGCATTCCACCGAGTAAATAGCCCCTGTTTTCTCCTATACTTCTTTAGTTATGATTGTCTTGGGACGTCAAAGGTTTGTGACGCACATTCACGGCTACTTCGTGGAGCGATATGCTACAGGTAGCCAGGCGCTCCGCTGTCAATGGGCTCTCCCACCGGCCATAGGGCACAATCTGAGGCGACATGGTACTGAATTTGTGGGAAGAAAAACGAGCAAAAGAAGCGTAGGGTAATGTGTTGAAGCAGAAAGGAGCAGGGCCAATCGAAGATTTCGCGTGAAGTCTACAGCTTTGCAGTCCTCTTGGCTGGTGATGACTCACCTGGCCCAATGGGGATTGGCAGGGCAAGATGAACGACCTCAGCTGGCTCTGGGGGAAGAGTTTCGAAGCTGGCGATGCTAAAGGACGTCTTAGCATCGTCCAAACGACTGGTAATACAGCGTTGTATCACGCCAGAGAGGAGGCGGCAAAAGGACCTGGGTTGCTTCACTGCCTCAGGCATCAATTCTGCCTCCTACAACAACACCTCGAGAACTACAGTTTAGAATATGAATACTCGCGATTATCACGATTAGAAATTCCAGTGGGTTTAAGTGGCTAAGCTATTTATTTAACATACTCAGCATCTCAAAACTGGAAAGATACACAACCGATGGCCCTTGAAAGTCCGCTGGGACTGGGGTAATAGGAGATCGAAAAAAATGGCGAATCCACCTTGTGGAAATCAGAAAAAATAGTACCCTTAGGTACACAAAATAGAGCTGGAAAGGCTCAAAGTATCACGAAGATAAGCTATCAGCCCGTCGCATGGGTAGGGTTGAAGTCGATGGTCTCATCTTCGTTGAAGAAACGGAAATTTGAGAAAGAACGCCGAGCCATTTTCTACCCTGTCCAGGACGCCACGCTGTTTGAAAACACAAAAGGAAAAACGCCGGGTATGCAAAGTGTTAAGAACAGGTCAAAACTGCATCCAGCAAGCACAGCTCGGCTAGTATGGTGAAAATCGGAAATGTGGTCGTTGAACCGTTCTTCTTCTGACAGGACCAACGGGTTGGTCCTCGTCAGAGTCATCGATAGTGATGACGTTGCTAGCAGAGGCTCCTCCAGTCCGTGAAGGTCCCACTGGTCTTCTCTGGGGCGGAGGGCTTGAGCTTGACGGTTCACTGTCCTCGTCGTCATCATCAAAGATCACACGATGGTTACGGCGGCGTCCACGGTTCGCATTCGCATCTGTAGCATGTACCTCAGCAACGAGACTGTCTTCGTCCTCTGCCACCTCGCTGTCCTCTTCATGATCACCCTCGTCGCTTGTTAAGGCTCCGCGCCGAGGATTTGGGTGAGGCTGTTCGGTCACGCTACTAGTATCCTCTTCATTTTCTTCCTCGTCACTGGAGTAGGTTCCACGAAGAAGACGACGTGGTCGACTGACAACCTCATCTTCGTCTTCGTACTCATCGTGGAAGGAAATGTCTTGGTACACAGGAGAGGAAGGTACAGACGAGGATGGCCGGTAGGGAGGTAAATTTTGCCGTACATCGTTGGAACCGAAAGGTTGGGACCATTCTTCAGTGTGACTAGGGCGTTCTTCATCATCGATGAACGAATCCGCTTCGTACTCATCGGGCTCCTCTTCTTCGTAGTCGTCGTCATAGTCGTTTGAATCCGGGTTAAGAAGATTATTCAAATTAGCGACTCCACCAGTCGGAGGTTGGAAGAATGGAGGGCGAGGAGGTAGGTGATACGGGCGCGTAGGATCAAGACCGGGATTGAAAGTGTACACAGTACCAGTCATTCGCGGGTGGACTTCGAAATCACCTGTATCAAAATCACCAAACTCGTCGTTCTCGACTTCCCCGTCGTAGTCTTCGGTTCCGCTAAAATCATCAGACTCGTCTGTGTAGTCCGATCCATCAGATTCTGCCTGGTAAATGTATCCACAACTCTCGCATACCTCGTCACCCGCCAGCTCCCAGTTGCACTGTGGGCAGCGAGTGACGTTGTCATCTACGTCGACAATAGGATGGAGCTGAGGTGGCTTTGGGTTGAACAGTCCTCCGAAAAGACCTCCGTGCCGCGGATCGGTATTCGCTTTGTCTCGGTCCAGTCGCTCCGACTCTTCTTTCTGGTTTGAAGAATGCTCGGCTGTAGTCTCGCCTTCATCGAGGAGCTCCGCGCGACTTGTAAACATCTGCACAACTGCCCGTACCTATATAGACCCATGGTTAGTTCCATCAAACAACAATTGCCCCTTGGGGGACACATACCAAGTATGCCGGTGCGGGCAGGGTTTTGACAGGTGCTCGACAATCAGGACAAGTTCGCTTCGATCGGCCTCCAGCGAACCATGACGAGAGACACTATGCGTTGTCAGCAAACCTGATCGAGTATGTATTGGACTGGCGTGGAACATACGGAATAGCAGAAAGTATGACCGCAGGCAAGGGTGAAAGGTTCATAGAGAGGCCGAATGCAGATCCCACAGTGCAGCAGACCTCTAATATCATCGACGTGGCTCTGGAGTGTGTTCACAAACTGTGGGCGCGTTAATAGCTGCCGATCGGCGAAAAAGCCGTGATAGTGACCAGGGATGCTTACCCCGGACGCCTCCGTTCCAGTTCCATTTTCGCCTTCCATGATGGATAATGGAAAGGTTCACAGTTTCTGCATTCGGGGTTAAACCAGGTCGGGCATCGGGTAGGTCGCGTTGACGACGATGTGGCGCGCGGCGCGAAGTTGGTGAAATGGGGTGGGGGAAGGAGCAAACGTTTCCCAGATGTGGTGACGACCGCGTTTAAACGAGTACCGCTAGGCAACACAGCACAGGGCGAGTAGACCGAGGCCCTGTGGTGAACCGACCGTCTCACGGGATAGCTTGATCGAACTTGCGAAAAGACTGAGAGATCCAGGAAAGTCTGAGGGTGATGATCAGTGTTTTCCTGGCCTTAGGCAGACACTGACATAACCCGATCCGTACCTGCCTCGCAGGGTGGCCAGGCGCATGTGACCGGCCTTATCGCGAATTGGCAGAATCTCGAAAACGCAGCCAACAAAAGCTCCGAAATACTTCTGTAGTCCTTGAGATCCATTAATTTACCTCCGGTTCTGACTTTGGGTGCTGGATCCCATTTGGTCGATTCTTTTGTCATTCTCGTCCGGATCCCTTGAGTATACATATCAAAATATATTCTGTAGGCAAACATAGCGTAAAAACTATGAACATACTCCTTGCGTTCGGCGCTAAATGCACAAGTGAGTTCGGGCTTCCATTCAAAGAGTGACAGGAATTATTCTCAGATCTAATAGTTCTGACTTACCAGAAAAACATTACGCATAAAAATAAGTACTTCCTGAATCTGCCAGCAGCGTGGTACTTCAGTCCGCCAACACATGTAAGCAGGTGAATGATACTCCTAAGCACGAGTTGGAGCGAAGACTAGATTTGTCTACAAAATAACAATAGAGTAATACATAAATTAGTTCACCGTCAAAATAATCGAGTAAGTCATAACCCTCCATGCCCAGCCATCATCAAGGGGGTCGCAAGTACAAGGGAAAGACGCCCTCCGCGCCAAGACCGTGGATCCGCAATTCTTCGCGGAGCAGCACTGACGTTCCGATCTCCAATCAATCCCCAGCTCTTCGTCAGCTTCCCTCAACTGCTCATCTGGCATCTTACGCTTGCCCGATTCTGTGAAGGCAACAGCTCATCAAGCTTATTCCAAAGAGTGGGATACGCGTCGTCGAATTTCCGCAGCCATGGCAGCTGAATCCACCCAGGACGATGCTCACGGCAAGACCTGGCAGAAAGCTGAGCGGAAATTCTCAAAGTGAGTTCCAGTTTCTTAAACACATGATATTATCCCTCTGAAAGGCCCTGGAATAACACCTGAGCTCTCGCTCTGCTGGAACCATTGTCCGCTGCGCATCTGGAGCTTTCGATAAGCTCCATCTCGAGCTTGCATTTATGAGTGAGTCTTCAGGGCGATCAGAGGGACCTGCGTCGGCATGAATTTTGAGATCTCTACCCTGAACACCACTTATTTCATGATTCATTTCATGTTCTTCTATAGACATGGTTTCTGATTTTATGATTCTAGTAAACCTGCGAGCGAATTCTACGACCCCTGCCAGGATTTTGCGGATCGAAGTCTCAAATGCTTGAAGCGCAACAACTTCGATCGAGAGATGTGCGGCGACTACTTTCAGTATGTTCCTCCATGTTTTCTGATATTTTATCACCTGTCCCTTGAAAACCTCTGCTCCGTGTTTGCTCAGTACTAGCTCTGGTTGACTTGTTGTTTTCGCCTTGGTTTCTCTTGATGCGCTCTGGGCTGATAAGAATTGGCTTGTACTTACTTCTTTTCAAATAGGGCATATCGCGACTGCAAAAAGAACTGGGTAAGTTGCACCATCAAGCTTCCTGAGCACCTCCTTGGGGACCTTTACGCCAATGCTCCAGCCCCTTGGAGTCAGAATTCGAGGCATACAAGTCTCAATTTGCTAACTGAATTGCAGTTAAACCAGAAGAAAGGAGTCACCAAGTCAGGTTAAGGCACGAAATATTCGAAAATCGACTAATAATGGAACGATTATAATCCATCAAAGGGCCTGCACTCGCTGCGAGATAACAACCTGCTCTATACCTCAATTGTCGTCTCAGCACAATTTGGAAGAAATAGCCCTATATCTTAAGAAATTTTCAAGTGAAGTGACCACAGGGGCAGTCACTTTACAACCATCCTCGGGGTGATTTGGACCCTTCATGGCGTTCGAGCAAGTATAACGCCCTGTCCTGTATACTACATGGTGTGTTTTTCAATTGAATCATTTATCCTCAACATTAAAGTCACCAAATATCTTCTCCATGAACAATTTCTATTCCAATAGGCGATCTACTCCAAATAATAGCGGGATATCACATATATTGCAAATACAGTGATCTCCTGGATCCTCCAAGGTCACGTGCAAAACGGAGAGGAGAATCAACACTTTGGCGGGGACTTTCTCACCGCCCGAAGGTCCCCGCCAAAGTACGTTGACTCCCACCATCGCCGCCAACGTTGCTCGCTGTGCCTCAGCGCTGGAAAACAGTTCTCTGCTGGTCCTTTCGGCCTACGATTGACCCCGACAGAGCGTTTTTACCATGGCCAGAACCAATGACTCGGTGTTCTACCGGCGCAATCAACAGATCCAAGATGTTATTGACGGGCAGAATTTCAAGCAAGCTCTGCAGCTCATTGAGAAGCGCATGAAGAAGGGCGAGGTCACACGCTTCTTGAGAGTAAGTTCCGCTGCTAATACGCCTGACCTGAGCTTCAATGCTTGTTTGAACACCCCCAATTCGGAGAACCTGGCTAAGAATACAAGGCATGGAAAGCGCAAATCCTCCTCTGCCTCTCCGACGAACCCAGCCGGCAGCGCGGTGCCACCGAAACGCTTAAGTTGTGCGATGAAGAGTCAGAAACTACTGATCTTGAAACTCTTGAAATATTGTTTGAGTCGTTGGAAAAGATCAAGAAGGTGAAAGGGTTCCAGGTTGACGATGAAACCAAGACCAAACTTTGGGAAAAAGCGGCGAAGACGAGCCCCAAGGACTTGGATATCCAGAAGAGGTGGTTGTATTCTGCACTCGATACTTCTGACTGGAAGTCAGCACAAAAGGTGAGTCTGAAGAACAATGGTGCCATCGGGAGCTTCGAACGCTCATCACAATTCTTTCGTGCACGAAGGCCGCAATGAGTCTTCAAAAGAACTTTCCGAAGAAACGATCTTATTATTTCTGGGCCATTTTCATGAGTTACATGGTGTCAGTGGACGAGAAAAGCTCCGAAACCGATAAGAAGCTATTTGGAACACTGGCATCCCGCATGATATCGAAAGCAGGCGCTGATGTTCCCACGGACCCGGTAAGCTTATTACACTGACCTTCAATATTTGCCGATTTGTTTTCCGTTGGGCTGACAAGGAACTAATATGAAATTCCTCACAGGCCCAGCTTCTCAGTCATCCTCGAGCTATCCAAAACGCCGAGGAGGTGCGTCTGCTGCTCAAAATCCTCGAAACGCAGAGGCAACATGGCGAGGTTGTGAGAATCTTGGACAGCGAAAACCTCGGAGTCAACTCCCAAATTGTCCGTGGGGACAGAACGTTTCATGGTCTCATGGTCGACAACCTACTACTTGCAGACAACATGTGGGATCGAGCCTTTTCTTACGTGCAAAGTCTCTACACTGTTCCCGACGATGAAGATGGCCAAAAGAAACTTCTAGAGCTAGACGAGTGGAAAATATGGAATCTGCTTCACCAGTCGGCTCTGCGCTCTGAAGATGATTCTGGGTTAGTTGATCCATGCCACAGATACGTTTTGACATTAAACTTACCTTATTTGGGTCTCTAGGATCATCACCAAGGCACTGGACCTCGCCGAAAAGTTCCTTGAGTTCGCGCCCAAATCTCGAAACGCTGCTTTGGCTCGTATTATGCTTGTCTCATGCGCGATAGATAAGGGTCAATTGACAACCGATGACTGGTTTCCCGCTTGCAAACAATACGTCGATCAACACATCCATAAGCAGTACGCTTTCCAGGACATCCTGAAAGCGACCTCCCACAGCAAGGACAAAATGAGAGCCTTGTTGGATTACATTCAGAATCACAAACAAGAAAACAAAGTGAGTTCCCGTGAATCATCAATATTTACTTTATTTACTAACTCCCCTTTAGATCTTTGTGCCTCAAATCAACGCTCTCAAGGTGGAATATTGTCTCTGCATCTCAAGCCCCGACACTGTGTCCAAGAAAGTCATCGAAGATTATGTCACACGTTGCTTGAAGCTCTACCATACCACTTTGCAGACGGATTCGACAGAGAAGGACTCTTCCGCAACCGAAAGCGAGCCAAGCGATGATCTGTGCCTTCTTGCAGCGATGGCTCTTCTCCGCACAGCAAGTACCGCGGAAGCTGAAGCTCATGTCTCGGACACATCTCTCATTCGAGCCGCTGGAATCCTGGAGCATCTACTCCAAAGCTCGCCGCTTCACTACCCTGCCTTGCTTTATCTTGTTCGCATCTACTCGCTCCTTGGCGCGGGCTCTCTTGCCATGAGCACATTCAGCAAGCTGTCAATAAAAAATATGCAGTATGAAACTGTTGCCCATAACTTTTTTACACGCATTGGCAGCATTCACCCTCACACCACTCCACCCATCGAGGGCGCGGAGTACAAAGACTTTCACCCGCAGTCAGCATTAGTCCAAGGTCTGAGGTTCTACCGCAACTCCGATGTCTCTACCTCAAGATATCGAGACAATGGGTTGAACCTAGGAACCTACGTGGCGGCTGCAGAAATCGTACAACTCGGAAAATCTCTTACCAACAGCTTCTGTCGCAGAATGTATGCACTGGATCTGCGACGTGCACAGAGGCTGGTTGGCGGAGATCCCACCTCTATGTGGGATGAGATCGGTGAATTCTAGAATACGTCTCTATTTTTGTGCACTTACTGATCAACACCACAGCCCGAAATCGCTCTCCTGTCGAGGATCTGCGAAACTCTTCCGTCTACATGGACTGCGAATTTGCCGGCAAACCCGCATTCGAGGATCGACTACGTGTGGGTCCGAAGCCAAATGTATGCTAAGTGTGATGCCCTCTGGATTGAAATTACACTACTAACCATGATAATCAGGTCAATTGGCTTGCTGCGGCCCAGACCACCGACCAGCTATTCAGTGTGTTGAAGCGTATTGCAATCCAAAGCCCTTTGATTCCGGAGCTGGATCTTCCGGCCCACGACGCCTATTCTACCAACGATGTCGAGACGGACCAGACTGATATGGAGAAAGAAGCAGCCAATATTAACCTGGAGCTTCTTAGGGTGGCAACATTCATGGCTGGCTCGAAGGCCTCTACCTCCGAGCAGGTCGATAGTGCCCTCGCACAAGTGGAGAACTGGCTGAACTCGAAAAAGGCAGATCTAACCCTCAACGGGGAAAAGATATCTCCACTTATTACACGCACCGCACTCTATCTTCAACCAACTGTTCCGGCTGGTCCGACTTGGCGATACCTTCACTCTGTTTTCACGATTCTCGAATCCCTAAAGGCGGTGTCGCAGCTGGTGTCTCTGGCCTCTAGCAAATCTCCGAAGACCGTGGATATTTCCAAGGAACGCGTGGAAAAACTTTCGAACTTGACACCTGTGATTTTCGAGCTTGTCCGGTCCAACACTCGTGCTTTGAAGACGCAGATTTCTGCGTCTGGCGTTCTCGGATCTCTGGTCAACTGTTTGGTCAACGGGGAAGAGTCTGACCGGTATGGACAGGATCTTAAGGAGACGCTCGAGGCCGGTTTTGACATGTCCAAACTTGAGATTTTCTGCGGTGAGTTGATGGAGAGCTGGGAAGTGGCGCTCGACGGGGTGATGGGTGTGAAGCTATGAGCAGAATCAGGCGTTGTCAGTCATCATTCGATGTGTAGATACTAGGATGATTCCTTTCCCAGAAGAGTCTTATCTTCAATGGTACATCCCACGGGATGACAATTTCCATGTCCCAATTCATGTTGTAGGCTATTGAATACTATGTCACATGATCTGGTTCGGGCTAGCTTTGTAAGTCTTGGGGGTGGGTTGACCGCCTACTCAAAGACACGTGAGTTAGGGCTAACCCTTTGCGCACCAACCCGCTCCGATTTTGCGGGTCCAAAGTAGGCGATTCTCACACGGCCGACTTCATTCCCTTTCTACGACAACCACCGCCAACCCACCAACCGTCGAAATGGCCCAGGAACGCACCGGTATCATTGTTGGCACCAACAGTGGCCACGTACGTTTATTCCCTTTTCCCTTGATAGTGTCGTCCCGAACATCTGGTTTCTTGCCGTCGAGATTTCCCATACCGAATCGAGTCGAGGGTTCTTCGTCAATATGTCGCCGCAATACAAACCATCAATGAAACAAATCAAGGAGGATTATCGCAACGAGCTGAAATGCTGGTGGATGGACGGGTAGGAGGGAGATTTATGAATATTTCCGTGGAGCGAAAAATTGAAGATTGGAACGGACATGGAAAGCAAATTTCGACCAGCGACTCGAACCCCCGACTCGTCCTCGAACCACACTGGGAATGCGGCTAGGAGACTACGATTGCCGGAAGAAAACACTGTCGACAAATGGAAGTGGAATCTAGCAGGCGAACTGACTTGTTTCCTCTCGCAGAAAACTACCCCCCTCAACACCCCCAAGAACAAGATTAGCCGCACCAAGGGCCAGTCTTCCCGCCGCACTGCGTTCGTCCGTGAGGTTGCCCGTGAGGTCGTTGGCCTTGCCCCCTATGAGCGCCGCATCATTGAGCTCCTGAGAAACACTCAGGACAAGCGTGCCCGCAAGCTCGCGAAGAAGCGCGTACGTCCACACCACCCCTTGGTATCACTGTCGGTCGGATCTGGTCTGCTTCGGGAATGGACTGAGGATTTGTGAACGCAATGACTTTTGGAAACTTGCCACCTGATCTGAAATGCTTTGGATCCGGGTTGGATTTGTCCACATGATCACTGCGCTACATCAATAATTCTCAGATCCCACCTCGTTCAATCTAGCCTCTCCGATCGAGCAGCGAACCGTCATATGAAATGACGAGACACTCACATCCTTTCCAGCTCGGTACCTTCGTCCGTGGTAAGCGCAAGGTTGAGGACATGCAGCGCGTCATCGCTGAGGCCCGCCGTGTCCAGGGCTAAATGCTCCATTCCGTGTAACCTTTTTTTCATCTTCGAATAACGACTCGAATACCTGGCGCGTGCAAGGGAATACGAACGAAAAAAGAACTCGCATAAGCCTCTTTAGCGCATGGCTTGCGGATCGGAATATGGGGTTTTTTTGTGACTTCCGGTGGATGATGGGGATGGCAAAAGTGGCATCCCTTCCCTTTGATTGGGAAGAGAAACCATAATGAAAATATTTTTGTTCAACTGCTCTATTTTTACCACGTACTGCTCGTAGCTTTATGTTGAGTCGTATATCGTATGTCTGGGTCTTCTATCCCTCGAGCTAATGTACCTTAGGGTACAGTGTGGCATACGGGGACCAGGATTCATCAAGTGCTGTCCGGCGCATGATTTGGTCGCCTGCCTAGTCATGGTGTTGAACTCAGCATATCTGCTCTGTGGTCGCCAGAGTTCTTCAAAGTGTTCTTGTGCAACGACATATTTTACAATATGATTTCATGCAGTGTGGTCTTTTAGGTAGCGCTGAGGACGGATCGAAGTCAGTGATATCCATTTCATGCATTCATATGAGTCCTAGTACCGAACATTTATGATCCCATCATAACGTCTAGGGATTTACACATTGGATCCATTGTCATATTCATCTGCATCATTAATAAAGGAAGATCCACCATATAAATCACTTCTTTCCAGGCAGTTTCAACCATTTTGGTACGCCACCACTCTTCTTCAGTCCAGCCGACTTGGTGGGCTCTCCCGATCCACTATGACCTGCGTCCTTGGAGGATGAAGCCGGCGCCGCAGGTTCATCTACAATATCCCGAGGCTGTTCGATTTTCAACTCCCGAGCTTGGTCCCGAAGCTCAGGACGGAGGATGCTAGACCGGCCCTGCTGAGCAGCAGCGCTAGCGGCATCAGTCCAAGTGAAGTTGACAAGAACGCGGCCTGACAATCCCAGGTCTTTAATCAAAAGCCGGTCCGACTCGGGAATGGTGGTTGCATGTCCTGAGCGGCCTAGCGCTGGGTTGACGAACACGTTCAGAATGATTTTCTCTTTCGCGAACGCAGGATCCAAGCAGCTGCGAACGAATCCATAGAGAGACAGGCCTGAATCCGCGGGTCCAAACTTAGATACCACCTGACTCTGGTCTGGAAAGCGCACCTTCACGTCAACTTCGCGAACCTCAGCACGTCGCTTCTCTTCAGCGGCTGCTTTTGCTTCGATTTCAGCATCTGTCGGAAGACGTTGGTTGCGAGATGACTGGTTCAGTTGTCGCTGATGGGCCTTCGCATGTTCAACCGAAGGAATGTAGTCTTCCTCATTATGGGGTATCTGAGCGGATGACGGGGTGCTGGTGGAGGGAGGAGAGAAGACAGTGACCGGGCGACCTGAACTTGAGGCCGAGGCCGGCTGCTCCTGGGGGGCATCTGGGAGCGTTTCATGGTCTGCCGGGGGTTGAGGGGCCATTTCGTTAGAGGCTTCGGGTTGTCCGGATGAAGAAGGAGTTTGAGTTTGCTCCTCCGTCTTCCCTTCAATAGGAGCGGAAGCTTGGTTCTGAGTTGGAGGTGCTGTATCTTCCCCGGCCGACTTGAAGTATTCGCCGATCTTGACCATTGCCTCTTCAAGAGGCTCTTCTGTCCGGCGGAAGCTCAAGCGTATCAGAATATTGCCGCTGTTAAATCCAAGCTGCGCAAGGGATTTCTGTAGATCGGTGAAGCTTGACAGCTCACGATCCAGAACTTGGAGTACCGGGATTTCATAGAACAAACGAGCAGATCCACCACCCCCAGCAGAGAGGTCTGGTGCGCCACGCGCTGTAAGATTCCTCACTGAGTTACTTCCCGCAACGCCAGCTTCAAACTTGCGTAGGACTAGCCAGAGTGTAGTTGTACTTGGAAACTTGTCCAGGATTCGGCCGTTGGGTGCCCCGCGGGCTTCAGACTCTGGAAGTTGGAGAGCGATCGTAACAACAGACGGTGAGCGGGATTGCTGCACAAGCTCGAGCTTCGCACCAGATTTTAGGCCCGTAAGGCGAAATGTGAGGGAAAGGTCCAGCTGCTTTCGATTATGCCTACTCACAATCAAGTTGATTAGGATTGAATGGTTGCTATCAAGAGGATCGGGTTGGCTCACTTTAGTCCATATTGGCTAGCATTGTATCCAAGTTTCTTGCAAGCCTCTTGCAGTACATCCGTCAGGTGCGTGGACGGTGTCGTCTTGATCGTTGCCCGCCTGGCCGTCGCGTCGATCACAACGACGTGGGCGCTCATGGTCACAATGTGTCGAACTCTTAACTCGTTCGGGAATGATCGCAAAATAATAAAGTAGGAGGAGCGATTTAAATAGTCTTTCTTGAATGCTGACGGAGGAGGGGCGAAACTGTGAAAGTGGTGGGGTTGAGATCGATCGAAAGAACGCAGTCGAAGCCGAAGGTCGAGGCCGACCAAACAGGCAGCGGTGCGGCGTCATCCGAGCTCTCGCGTACCTCACAGCTCCCCGTCATCAACTCACCTCCCCATCCTCCACCCCCGACGTCCCACCGCCAGCCCTCATTTTCCAGCTCGCTTTTTTCTTGAAGTTCTAGGTCTCAGTCTGTCGACTGGATTGGTTAAAAACACCCGCAATAATGGTGAGCAGATGGATCCTTATTCCCCGTTGACCGTTACCGCTGGACCTTGAGCTGACCACCTCCTTCCATCATCAGAGCTCCCCCTTCGACATCAGTACGACGAACCATCTCCCCTAAGAAACAATCGACCGATATACTAACATCTATGCAGATGGTGGTGCCTGTGTCGCCATGGTGGGCAAGGACTGTGTTGCTATCGCTTGCGATCTCCGCTTGGGCATGCAAGCCCTGACCGTTTCCAACAACTTCCCTAAGATCTTCAACTATGCGCCCTCCACCTACCTCGGCCTGACCGGTCTCGCCACTGATGTCAATACCGTCTCTGATCTCTTCCGCTACAAGGTCAACATGTACCGACTGCGCGAGGAGCGCCATATCGCACCCCAGACCCTGGCCAACCTGGTCAGCTCATCGTTGTACGAGAAGCGATTTGGCCCCTTCTTCATCAGCCCTGTTATTGCCGGTATCAACCAAACAACTGGAAAGCCGTTCATTTGCGGATTCGACAGCATTGGCTGTATCGATTTGGCCAAGGACTTCATCGTGAGCGGAACTGCTAGCGAGCAGCTCTTCGGTACTTGCGAGGGTCTCTGGGAACCGGATCTGGTATGATAATCATTCTGCTGGTTTTTTTTTTTTTTTTTTTGCAGTGTTTCTTTGAGCTAATGCGTGGTTTCTAGTCCCCCCAGGATCTCTTCGAGACCATCTCCCAAGCACTCTTGGCCGGTGTGGACCGAGACGCCCTCTCCGGTTGGGGCGCCCAGGTGTATATTATAGAGAAGGACAAGGTCACCCAGCGATTATTGAAGGGCCGACAGGACTAAGTGGGAGGGATACATGGTTCAAATTGGTTTCTTTGGGCTTTCTGCTGGTTTGAGGGCAGATTCGGCGTCTGTGGTCTTCACTGGATGATGATGTGCCGTCGACGTTCAACCATCGGCAGAATGCCGCAGTAGTGACGCGAGAACGGTCGTCATGCGACTCTATGTTTCTCATACTCCTATCATGATAATACAAGCCCCGTCATTTCACGTCATATCAGACTTATTTCCTCTTGATATGGGATACTCTCGCTGGGAACATCCTTCGACTTCAAATCGTTACTAATAACCCTCCTTGCCTTGAACTGCCCCGTATGCCGGTCCATCTCTGCCGAAAAACTGCTTCAAATCACCCGCCAGTAATTCCGGGACCTCCCAAGCAGCAAAATGACCACCACGGTCAAACTCCTTCTCCTTGACCACATTTCCAATTGTATGGTACCAAGCCATCGGCCACATCATGATCTCCTTCGGGAACTGCGCCACGGCAAATCGCACATTGAACGGCGCAGAGGCACTCAAGAGCTGGTCGAGGGACATATACTTGGTAACAGCCTCTCCATTCTCCGCCTCGATCGTGGAGGCATCAATCTTCGGCGCCGACGCCTCGTAATAGATTCGCGTCGAGGCCGTAGGCCCTGCCCGCGAGAAGTAGTACACGCTCACCCACGTCAAAATTTCGTCGTCTGTCCAGGGATACGCATCCGTCCACAGATGCATCTTGTCGTAGATCCAAGCCAGCAACCCAACTGGACTGTCACTTAGACCGTAGCCCAGGGTCTGGGGTCGAGTCTCCTGCTGCTTGTAGTACGCATTGCCTCGCAGGAGATAGTCCATTGTACGGCCGATCCATGCTCGGTCTTTTCCGGAAAAGGGGACGCTCGTGAGGGATTGCAGGAAACGAACTGGGCTTTTCCATGGGTATGGGGGCTTGACTGGGACGAAGTTCAGGTGGATGGCTTGGATGTGTCGGGCGTAGTATTGCGACATGGTGCGGGCGATCATGCTGCCCCAGTCGCCTCCTTGGATGACTAGGTGGAAGTCAGTATGTTCTCACGCAGAAGTTCATGTAGGAATCGTGGTAATGCACGTACCGTATTCCTCATATCCCAATGCTATCATGACTTTGTGGAGTGTTTCAGCGTACTGAGCGAGACCAAATCCTTTCTGTTTTCAAGTCAGCCGGCTGTTACCGAGATCTGTATAAGCTTATCGGGCATATCCAGACCTTCTTCACACCCTCCGAAAACCCAAAATTCGGCAGCGAAGGCACGATCACATCGAATGCCGGTCCATTTTCATTCTTTGTGAGCAACGGAATGAGCTTTGTTGCTTCGAGGAAGTTTCCGGGCCCTAGTATAGATCAAGTCAGCCAACATGTTCACAGCCAATGAAAGGGAGAAGTCGATTCCGAATCCGTGTGAATCACGTACACCCATGAATAAAAAGCAGTGGGATGGCATTCGAATTTCCACTTCGTTGGTGTACAGTATGAATCTCCAGCTCCCCGAACCCGTCAACAGAGATCGGGACTGTAAAATGGCTCAGTTCCTCATTAAGCTCCTTCTCCTGGGCACGCCAGTCGAATTTCTCGCGCCAGACGTTCGTCAGTCTCTTGATCTCCTCGAGGGGGACACCCATATCCCAGCCGATAGCGTCTATTTCATCAGGGAAGGTAGCTAGTTCGAGCTTGTGACGTAGCTGCTCGAGCTGGGCGTCCGAAACGCTAATAGTGAAAGGTGTGGGGGCGCTCATTTTCCAGTTTTTTTCTCAGTAGGAATTATTGCCCATTTCGTAGGGATGTGCTCCCATTCAAAGTGTCGATTGATGAGGGGATGCTTCCTGCTACGAGCCCGAGGTCCTGTCATTGTAGGATAGCACGGGTATCACCTTGGCCGAAGCAGTGATTGGAGGGGCTCTGCCTCGGTTTCACAGCCCAAACAGAAAACGAATCACGTGATCATCTTAGCAATGTGGTAGCTTCGAACTCTAAACGTTTTTGGCAACTCCAAAACACATGGCAAACAAAGAGATTCTCTTGAGGTTATTTTTGAAAGAGAAATGAGTTCTGAATGGCGGGAACCCGAACCTGATATTTTTCGACACCCGACGTGCTGCAATAGTCAATATCGCTATGAAAATTTTAAGCTTGGAGAAGCGGTGGTGCAACAGTCAATTTTTTTCGATTACATTTTAATGTATTGTGCGTCCCTATTGATATCAGTGTCACACAATCAAATCGCACTCTCGTTATTGTTGTCATCTGAATGTCTGAGCCACGTGATCCATGGACGTTATCAAGTGCCAGTTCAACGTCTCGAGGGGAACCATTGGAGGAGACCGACAGACAGTGCGACCTTGCTGATTTTTTTATTTTGCTAACTCGTTTTTTATGGGTCGAAACTGCAAGGCTTGTTTGTTTGGGTCAACGTTCTCCACGTCGAACAGCTAGATGGTTTTTACAGCAGGATGGGTTGTGCTGTGCTGTGATGCGTACATATTTATTTTTGACGACCAATTTGCCAACTCCCGACCGCGGCATTCCTCCACTCTACGATCCGCCTTACAGGACCACAGGACCATTTTTATCGGAGCACACAATAAGTGATAGATGCATACACCACGCTCAGACAGATATAATGTTTTGGTTTGTCTCACAAACGCCTGGAGTGAGATCGATCGGCCGCGCTAGACCAGGCTCTGGGAGCATCGATTTGCGGACGGGGGGATTGAGATGGTGACTAGGCCAGGTTCCAACCCACCCCGCATGGCGTGCAATCACAGGCGAGCGTAATTTAATAATATGGGCCTGAATGGCCTAGTGCGAGGGGACATCGGGACGGTAGAGCTGCTGTATGCGTTGTTCTTTTGCTTTTTGGGCGCCTCTCCGATCGACTTTTGCGTAGAAGAGCCATTGGAGCCCACCCCGGACCCAGGACGAGGAGGTGTTCGTCGCCAGTCTCAACTTATCAACTTGGGGGCCAAGCCACCGTGCAGGGGCCGGGTGGGCGCGAGGGCGTAAGTACCTGGTACTTACGCGCCGCAGGGGGGAGTCGGAGCTAGCGATGTACCCGGTACACGCTGTCTCGGAATGTACGGCGCAGGTCTAGATCGCCGATCGTGCAGCGCGTGTTTTTCCGGCCCAAGCGAGAAATCCATGGACTTCTACTCGCGTGGGAAAGACTGTGGGCATTTCAGCATTTCGTCTTCGACGCCGCCACTGCTTCCCACGACGACTCGGCTCCAGATTTGCCGGAGGATCACCAGCGTCCCTGACCCACGAACTCCTGTTTCAGCCGGCGCACCGCCGTTGTCTAGACCGCCCAGTGGCCCCATCGCTAGAGCCGGGAAAATCCCCTCTTCTTCCCCCTCCTGTGAACCTGCGAAACACTTGGCCTTCGATTCGACTGTCGACTCGATCAGCCATGGTGTTTGTCCTCCCTACAACCTAGCGCAGAGAGATAGTCCCAACCGTCCCATCTCCACATGGACTATGTCCGACTCCCCCGAGTCCGATGTCCCTAATCCCGTCCACGCTCGACCCGCCATGGCTTTCCCCTCTTGCAAGTCCGAATGCATCGCCGAGGGACTTGCCGCCGTGCACGACGACGGGGAAATGCAATACGATGCCTCCGGAAACTGGAACGATGGCGCCCAAACCGCCGCCATTGAACACCTTGTGACCCTCAAGCAGGGCCTGAGAACCTCGGACACCGAGCTGTTCTGGAAACGGCTCATGGAAGACATCACCTCGATCAGCAAGGCTCAGTATGGCTTTGTGGCCCGCCGTGTACATGGCGGCGAACCCATGCCCGAGCTCGGTGGCCGCCGGCCCTCACTGTTCGGTGCAGTGTTCTACTACAACGACGGCTACCAGAATGTCGGACTGCAGCGAGACCGGTATTTCGCTGGCGGCAATCCCCTTTTACACATGGACCACGAGCGACCGTGTCTGATACCTGAGAACCTCAAATCACTGGCATCCTTTGGTGATGACCAGCTACCCTTTGGTGCCGAGGCGTATCTGGCGATCCCGCTTTTCTCGGCTGGCAAGTGCCTGGCGCACCTCGGGTTGATGTGGTCAAAAGATGGACTCCGAAATCGGAATCTATCGTGGTCTTTTCTCGAGATGGTCTTGCATTCCCTGGAGGACTTGATCGTTCAGCGTCTGTCGCTGGAAGAAATGACCCTCGACCATGAAAAATCCGAGTTCCCAGAAATCCACCCAGCGACCGTCCAAGACCCGCAAACTGGAAACCTCCACGAGTCTGCCGATTTCAACTCACAACCACTCAAACCATATGCCCGCAGTTTGTCACATGAGCTACGGACTCCGATGCAAGGAGTCGTGGGCATGCTCGATGTCATGCACGCCACGGTGCGTGAGGCCATGGAGAGCAAGACCCCGGTGAAATCGGGTGGGATCTTCCAAGCTCTCAAGGAAGGTATCGAGATGGTCCAAGACAGTGCACGCCGGGCTGTCGAAGCGGCCGACAATGTCGTTCATGCCTACGACCTCAACATGCAGGTGCCCAAGACACCGCAACGGGAAGAGAGTGAGGTCCATATGGATCCCATCCCACCTATCGACCTGGCCGAAAACCGACCAAGTCTTTTCATCGAAGGAAACAACATCGCCGTGAATCCGTACAAGAGGAGGCGGAGTCTACCTCTCGATATGTCGTCCCGGCCAGCCCGGAAACAGAGAACACGAGCAGCTTCATCCCGGCAAGAGCTCTCCCCCGCAGCGAGGAAGTGAAAAACGCCGTCCACGAGAGCGACCAGATCGTTCATGCCACCCCTGCCCGTCAGATCGAAGCAGTCATGGCTAATATGGTTGACCCACGACCATCGCTTGCGGTTCGACGATCGGCACCACATCTACTCTTGGAAGGTATCAACATGAACTTAAGGGGATCGGCCCTTCGCTTCACCAAACTGCGTGATCTTCTGCGATTGGTCATCAATGAGTCCCTTCACGTTGGAGGCCGACCCGACTCCGCTGTCAGCCATTCAACTGAATTTGGCGAGAAAATCGAAATTCGGTCTCGATCCTCGAACGGCGAAATTTACACGAAAACCGTGGACTGGTCGGTCGACCCCGCATTGCCAGACACCCTTCTTGCAGACGACCGGGATCTTGCCAAACTGATCTCCTGCGTCTTCCTCAATGCCATCAAATTCACCAACAACGGCACCATCACCGTGTGTGCGACTATCGACCACAAGACCAATGATGTTCTGATTCGTGTGGGCGACACCGGCCCTGGAATCCCGGCCGCGTTCCTGCCCAACCTGTTCAAGCCGTTTGCACGGGAGGATGCCTCCACCACCCGGAGCAAGGACGGCCTTGGACTTGGTCTTCTCGTGGCGAAGGGCCTGTCCAGGAAGATGGGAGGTGATTTGATTTGTGTTCGATCATCAACCACCGGTCCTAATCACGGATCCGAGTTCCAGATTCGAATCCCAGTAAATCAACATGAGGCTTGTAATCGTCCAGGTACACCGAATGAGAGGATGATGACACCGCCAGTCATCAATGACCACTCTCGACATGGAAGCGCCAGCAGCTTCATATGGGAAGTACCGTCAACGTCGTCGATGTCTCCATCAGTCGTTTCGAATCAGCATTTGCAACAGCCAACACCGAGCACCGGAGATGACAATTCTTCTCAGAGCCCGACCCCCCCTCGACCGTCAAATGAAATTCGCCCGACTCGCGGCCCAATGTCCGGTGATGCCTACGACAAGAATCTAGGAGAAAAATATCCTCTGCGTTTTCTTGTGGCGGAAGATAATCGCATCAACCGCCGGGTTTTGGTGAATATGCTCCGAAAACTCGGCTATCGGGATGTACTGGAAGCTGCCGACGGCAGAGAAGCTGTCCAAATTGTCCAAGATATCCTATCGACATCAAAAGCCGCCAAGAACTCGACTGAGTCAAACACCGTCGATGGTCAGACTGACTTGTCGATGGGGCGAACCGCCCCAGAGATCAAACCAATCGATGTGGTGTTGATGGATCTCTGGATGCCCGAAATGGATGGTTACGAGGCGACTTCTCGGATTTTGAAGATGGTTGATGAACATAACAGCCAGACCTCTGTTTCTGTCGATGGCTCGCGATTGATGAGTACCGTTGAGAACCCCGACACGATGGAAATGGATCCACCGGTCGGTCCTCTACGTCCGCCGCGGCCTCCCACTGTCCTCGCGGTGAGTGCCGACGTCACCGACGAGGCACTGAATCGCGCCTCTAAAGTTGGAATCAAAGGCTACATGACAAAGCCTTACAAACTATCCGATCTGGAAAGACTCATCATTGGATTCTGCGGGAGTCCAGGCGACCCTGCGGCTGCGGCGAGGAATCCGTTCTGATCAGCATTACACAATTGCTTCTTTTGCTTGAATCTGACCTTAAGTCCTCTGGAAAAGGACCATTATATACCCATAGAACTCTTACCTTTGGAAGGTCTGCGTTCTTATTTCCAAGGTGGCCTCGAGAGGTTTACCATACATCTTGAGATGACCTTCGCTGTGATTCGGCATGGCGATTCTCGTCATTCTTCATCTTGGCGTGTTCTGCTTTTAGCCCCCCACCTTCTATTCTTTGCCATGCCATATACCAATTGGGCTTTTTTCATTTTACCATTTTTATTACTTTGCCCTGGGCATAATGAATGATGACCCCAACCCCAACACATTATATTGAGAAAGGTCTTCCCTGCATGTACTTTCGAACACCTTGTCCATACGACATACATACTCTACAGTTATAGAGCACAAAGTACAGTCACCCAATGGAAAGAAAATCTGTCATTACATCCATTATCAAAATCGACATCGCTCTAACCATGCGGCTCCAGGCACTCCACACCCTTTAGTAAAGTTGAAATATAGACCAGTGCGCTGCCACCCCGACTTTAATGACAGGTGCCAAAACAGAACTGGCCAGCACCACTGGCGTTCTTCAAGAAGAAAATCAAATGCTCCATATAAGGAAGAACCAATCATCACTATTCGCGTAACTGGGCGTGTACGGCACATTCACAGCTGGAAGCAAGATGCGTAGTTTAAAGAAAAGGGCTCAAACACATTCAGAACGGCAAATGGCTCCAACCAAGCTCAGCTTAAGTCAGCTTCTGCTTGATGAAGAAGGACCGCAGGTGGGAGAGCTGCCAGGCGCAAGCGGCAGAGAGGACGGCTAGCTGGATGAGAGTCCAACGCACGACACGGGAGTTGGTAGTCTCGGACTGATCACGGAACTCGGCCTCGCGTTCCTAGTAGCCATAAAAAGTTAGTGCCAGGTCAAAACCGCAGAAGCCATTGCAGTTTCAATCAGTAATATGAAGCACTGTAATGTAGCAAGGAAAGGAAGCGGAAACAACATACCCGTTGGTACACCTGCTCGCGACGAATGTCATGCAAGCGGCTGTTCAGATCCTTAACCCGTTGCACGATATCCTTCATCTTATCCTTGTCCTCGGTTTCGATCTTGCTCGTCTCGCCAATGGCCATGTCCAGACCAACACGGACAGCACCCTGGCTGTTCGACAGCCACCCAGTAGTCGCGACCTCGGTGTCGGCCATGAAGCAGATGCGGTGTTGGCCGGCGTCGGCGGCGGAGAAGGTGAAGCGGCCGGAGTGATTCTCGCGCTTGTTCACGACACGGTGGTCATTGTCGAAGGTCTCCTCGACGGTGATCTGGACCTTCAGGTTGTGATCGACTGCGAAGACGCCGGTGTTGGGGTTGATCACTTGGGTGTCGAATTTGCCTATAATTTGAACGAGACGATGTTAGAAAATCCCATACTATCTTCATGACAATTGCAGACCAGGCAAAGAGGCGCATACCCGCAACCAGAGTGTCCTTGGGGAGGTCCTCGAAGAAGCACTTTGTTTGGCGGCCGTCAACATAGAAGTAGAGGGCGTTGGCGGGGAGAAGTAGCGAGAAAAAGGAGAAGAGTGCCAGAGCGGCCGTGAGCCATGACGGCAGTACCTGGGAAATCATGGCTGGAAGGATTCGTCAATCGGGAGATTTGGCTGCAACACGACGGCGGAACTCCTAATCCTCGCAGTGTTGACCATCTGGCATCGCGGGTGCTCCCCGCCACCGCCTGCTGTATTCGGCCACCTCCCTTGCCAGAAACCGCTCGTTGATTTTCGTCGCGACGGCGACCGCCCATTCATTCTTCATCCTCAGATTCGATAAGCCAACACCGGGCCTCTTCCTCACTATTTACTGTTTACCCGGATTATCCGCTGTCCGTCTGACTCGACGCCGTTTGAGCGATGGCGGCCGCTGCCGATGTTCGCGACATGCTGGATCTGCCCGCTGAGGGCAGCCAGCCGAGACCGCATAAGAAGCAGAAAGTTGTTGAAAAGCGACCGGGTTCGTTGATGTGGACTTGTGTTTATTTGAACCATTAGCTGACTTTTGTGCCAGAGGGTATCACTCGTGAACTGTTCGCGTTGCTGGGAGAGCGAGCGCCGCCGATTGCGATCAATGAGAACAAATACAAGGGGCGCCCGAAGCTGTTGAATAAACTACGCGTGCGACCATGGCGTATGTCGCCTTTCACCAACGGAGCCCGATCGGACGGTCTGGTCTTGAACCATTGGCAGAGGAAGCATGAGTCCGCACGCCAGCCTGCCCCCGAAGGAACGCAGATGGACGTGGATGAGCCGAAGGAAGAGGGCAAGGAGGAACCGAAGCCGCTGGAACAAGAATATGCGTTTGCCAAATACAACGTCAAGGCACAGGTGCCGCGCCGATATACGGACGACGAATACAACCGACTTCTTCGCAATAACGAGTGGACGCGCGAGGAGACGGATTACTTGATGGATTTGGTTACGGAGTACGACCTGCGCTGGGTGATTATCGCCGACCGTTACAACTACCAACCAAAAATGGACTCCGAGCCCGAAGCCAACGCCGTAGTCCCGGCCAAGCAGGTCCGAACGATGGAACAGATGAAGGCGCGCTACTACTTTGTCGCTGCGACAATGCTAGCAATCGAGCACCCGCCCTCCGAAATGTCCGAAGCCGAATTCGAACTACACGAGAAAATGCTCAAGTTTGACCCGAACCGTGAACGAGACCGCAAGGAACTCGCTGCATTGCAACTCAACCGCACAGCCGACGAAGTCCGCGAGGAGGCTATGCTCTTGGAAGAACTCAAGCGCATCACGAGTAATGAGCAGAGCTTCATCACCGAGCGCCGGGAACTCTACTCCCGCCTCGAGGTGCCCATCAGTGTAGGCAATACCGCCATGTACCAATCCAGCCAGGGTCTATCACAACTCCTGCAAACTCTCCTCCAAGCAGACAAGAGCAAAAAGCGCCGCTCAATTCTTGGTCCCGATGGCGCAGTCGCCAGCCCTGCAGGCCAAACACCCACACAACAAGGACCTCTCAATGGCCGCGGCGAGACACCCACCGCAACCACAGCCGCAACCACAAGCAACAAGAAGGGCGCCGCCGCGCAGCCCCAGCCAATGGTCCGCCAACTTACAGCGGCCGAAGAAACCCGTTACGGTGTACAACACCACGAACGTGTCACAGCAGGCGTGCAATTCCGCAGCGACCGTGCGCAGAAACTCACACAGGCCAAATCAAACGTGCAAACGCAAAAGCTGGCCAGCGCCCTCGCCGAGCTCGAGATTCCTGTCCGACTTTTCATGCCTACAGAGAAGGTCTGCAAGGAGTTCGAGAAACTTATCCAATCCGTCAACATGCTTCTTGAAGCACGGAAGGTTGCTGAAAAGGTCGAGAGCGAGATCCGGGTCCTCGAGGCTTCCAAGGCGGAGCGCGAACGCAAGGCGCGTGAGGCTGCTGGTGAGACTCCTGTGAAGGATCACGAGAATCGCCAGGTCAAGACTGAGACGGAGGAGGGTGCTGGTGTTTTGGTTCCTACGGCTGAAGGGTCTGCTGCGCCTGAGAATGGGGATGGAGAGAAACAAGGGGATGGACAGAATGCTACGCAGACTCCTGCGAAGGATGATGCGAATCATAAGAGGTCGGCTAGTGTGCTCAGTGGTGTTAGTGACAAGAGTAATAAGCGGCAGCGCAGGTGAATGGTTGATGGAGGTTGAACTCCCTTAGGGTCGCACCTGTCATATCATCTTTCTTCTGCAACTGTACCATAGCAATACTTACGGCGCTGGGATCTTCGATACCTCTGTACGATTAATGACATTCTGTTGGGAGTTGTATCTGGAATTCATTCTTCTGATCATCTGCACTGCACACTGCACACTGGGTTAATGATAGTAGTTTCCTGTAAGATACAACTCCGAAAACGAGAAAGTTCCGTAAAGTTCGTGTACTCAGCTTGTTCCTGACTTGAAGTTGGTATTTTCCTAACGCCGAAGGCCCTCCGTGCAGGCATCCCACAACATTCGGCTCTTTCGGCTCGCCCAGTGACTTCCATCGAACGATCCGGGCATCTCGAGACAATCCTGGTCTGTGCTTACTGCTTCTTCGGGCCCGTTGCTTTTGGTAGAGGTGGAATGCCCGAGAACTTCTGACTCACAGTCTTGATAAGAGTTAGAAGAGGCCTGCGAGACATCTTGCTGGTGTTTGTTTGACAGGCGTCTGCTTTCCTTACGTCGAGAGAATCGGCGAGTCCATCTGGCGCCTCTGGAGTTGCTATGCTGTAGCGTGGGAGTTTGATCTTGAGCGTTTTCCTGATCGTCTAGGTCAAAGTATTCCGGACCTTCATCATCTGCATTATCGCCAGAACGTACAAAACTTTTTGTTGGGGTCTGAGACAGCCGGCTTGCGGACCGGATTCGAGACCATCGATTAGCAAAAGCGCCACTAGCTCGTTTAGTGTACTCAGAGCTCTGCGGAACTTCGCAGTGTTCGGTCTGGGTCGTAGGAGGAAGTTCTGGGGTGCGAAGGCTTCTGGCTCCCTGGTCTCCGGAGGAACGAGTTTCATGGACTTGAGACCGGTTAGAGACACCTCCAAGAATTGCTCGTAGATAGGGAGGCGCAGGGAAGTCGCTCGCAGATCGAGGCAACGGGCATTTCGAGACTGACGCGGGGCTGTTGTTCTTAAAGGTTGGGTCGTTGTCAGCTATCTCTTGACCCGGTCGTTGAATCGGCTTTTCCGTAGACTCTGCAAAGTTCTTTTGATGCTCGGGGTTGACTTCACTTGATGCCTTCGTACTTGAATTACCAGGCGCACCTTCTGCCTTCGAAAAGAGTCCGGGATTGCGGCATGGGCGATCATCCCCTTCAAGCTGGGATTGCTTTTCTTCGTCGTTGGGCACTGGGTTGTAGCCATAACCGAATCTCCGACCTCCGGACATCCAGCCGATGCTGACTCTGCGAGGTGAACATATTTCATTAGCGTTGGCAGGCGCAGATTGACTCTGGGCCGGCTCTGATTCGTCACTCTCACAATGCTCTTTGAATTTGCTGCGCAAGCCGCAGCTTGCTTGGAAGAGACCGGTTTCATCCGGGCCACTCTGATTGGTCTTGTCCTCCTGAAAATTAGAACTGCGCGCAGCAGGCTTACTTGCAACGGTTGGGGGAAACAACCGATAAGATACGTGGGGTGAAGCCGAGCCCGACGGAGGTGAGAGCGACGACAACTCTCGCTGCCGGAAATCTGGACTTGGCGAGTCATTTCCAGAGCCCAGTGAAACCCCAGACTTTGGAGAGTATTTCGAATTGTCCTGGGACGGAGAGATCACGTAGAAACCATGCTCGTTCGGGTGAATTAGGCCTGTCATTGACGGATTGCAGGACATGGAACCAGAAGCTGTGGTCTGCGAAGCAAGCTGACGTGAGATACCCAATTCATCAAAATGGATCGATCGAGGATCAGTGAAAGTTCTGGCCGAGTGGGAGGGCTGCCGATTCTTCTTGACCATAAGATCCGGAGATTGATCTGACGGTGTGTCGGAGGATTCCTTTCCATAGGGTGGGTTGCTGGTATTCGGCAAAGTCGGCCAGCTCCAGTCGTCCACCAAGGTCGACTTGTCGACCAACTGCGGAAGTGTGACAGAGCCAGAAAGAGGATGAGATGGAGGAGTAGACTGTTGGTTCGTAACGTTCAAATTCGGAAGCGATTTTGCGGACTTCATCTTCATATCGTAGTTTCTCAGATTGAATCGGGCTTCGAGAGGAGCACGGTGCTGGTTGGGTGATTGTGAAACGATACGGAGTGTGCGAACAGGGCCGTGAGATGATTTTACACTGGAAGGAGAAGGAGTCGTAGGTTGCATCGCAGAGGCCGACTGGTGGGATTCGGAATTGTTGCGGCCATTGGCAATCGCCCACTGATGCTCCAACTCGATACGTTCGTGACTTTGTTCGATCAGATCACTCAACTCCATTCTGCGCAAGGGTCTTGCCGCCCTGGGTCTGGCCAGTGGACCATTGCGCGGGGGAGTCATCACGAATTGTGCATCGCTGTCATACCCCCGTTCGCTCATCAAACTGCTCCCGAGATCGCCTAGCATCGTGAGGTCTGGATCAGGTTTGGATCCGATTTTCGATGCGGGTTTGATTGACTTGATGTTGAAAGGAAAACCGAATCTTGTAGGGTCTCGATGCTCGCCCGATGCCTTTGACTCTCGAGAGAAGCGACGTCGAAGCATATGAGAGAAACGCTCGGATTGTTTTTCGCCGGGGGGAACATCATGGTTGGGATCGCTCGAGAGGACTGTTGAAGCTTATGGTTAGAATGCTGCGATAAATAAACCGCATGTGGAGATCACCGTGAAATCGCACATACCTTGACCTTGGTTCTGCTCTGTTCGCTCATCCGTAAACTGACTATCGCGGTAAGTCCGGGCGACGTCCGACGGCGATGACGGACGTCCTTTGCGCAAACGCGGACATACAAGGAAAGTCATTTCATACGGAGGGGGAAGAGTCTTGACGAGAGATGGAGATGAAAAGAAGTTCTCGACGCGGGAGGGAGTCTTTTGTCAACTGTTGCCGCCAGAAGGCAACCGCCAGAAGACGCACCTTCCTCACTTGGATACTCCACAGCAACACGACAATTTGCTACATCGGTGCCTAATGTAGGGGTACCCTCATTTCAAGGACTGTTGACTCGGGGAACAAAACACCAAGAGGCTGAAAACGGGCTGTTTTACTACCGTAAATAGGATTCCAACTTTTCGTTTATTCTCGCGCAAAGTTGGGAGGTAGAATATGATCAGTCGAGGCGCTCGAGAAGTTTGGAGCAGTTTGGAGCAAGTTAACTTGAGTTTAACCGGATATTTTCAGCTTATAGCTATGCCTATTAAATCCGTCCCTGTATTCCAAGAATCATTGTTTTACGAGAGATCTTTTAAAGGGCATCTCCCTGTGCGCTTGAACTGTTGTCGAGGAGGCATAAAGCTGACATACAACAATACGTCACTATATTCTAGTAACTATGTTAGTAGTACTGATGATATTGGGACATTGAGAAGATGTGATTGGATAGAAAGATCCCAGCTGTTTATCAGTACTGGCGTCATGTACAGATACATCATAGTATAATATTAGTAGCTATAGCTTTGCGCTGATCGTATTGGGCCATTGGAAGGGTGCAATTGGATGAAGGAACCTAGCTGTTCATTACTGGCTTATTACTAGTGCTAGGGGAGCGAAATTCGATTGTATATACGATGGCGGGTTAGGGGACATGCGTGTGTTTTGATTTTTGTAGCAGAAATTCGACTCAAAATATGGTGCAGTAATGATCGCTGTTGCCGTGTTGACTTTTAACCCACTCGGTGAAATTTTCAAAGTTTATTTTGACAACTCTCAACAGCTTGTTCTGAGATCTGGTACTGGGAAGATGGCAGTCCTGCTGCATGGCCATGGCTCCGACTAACGCTTCAATTGCAGTCTGACCGTCCTCTCATGCGCTCCCCTCTTCCAGCAGGACCATTTATCGCCCTCAATGGGTAGGATCGGCGTGCATCGCTACCATAGGTAACTGGTTCGGAACCCGAGAGTGGACTCACCGGACACAGGCGGCTGCATTTGCGCATGCAGGCTGGTACGGGGTCGTTTGTCATCCCCAGCCGAGCTGACGTGAGTGTCCTGGCAGGACCGCCTTGATTCGCTGGTGACTATTGAGACGTTGCTTCACATTCACAGAAGGCACAATGCAACTTCTAGCTATTAGTAGGACCTTGACATTCAATTGTAGACCCTTATCGCCTTATCGCCTCGTGTCCAAATGGCGTGATCCGACTCCGTGATCGGCGTCACAATGGTGGGGGGTACTGTTACACCGGCCATACCGCCATTTCCCGCGGATTCGACCTGGCCCCCGTCTAGCGCCCGCCCCAATTTCGGGGCATGCAACTCGTCCCCGGTCTCGTACGGTCAGATTACCCGCTGCCCCTCCATCCCGTTGGGGTTAGGCCCGCTTCTTCCCCCTCCATTTTTCTTCTCGCTCTTCTCCCCCCTTCTTTCTCTTCTTTCTTTCTTCCCTAAGCACGAGGCACGGGTTATTTTCAATCATTAGACCTTTGCTGAAATCCCGCCTTATCCCTTCCTTCTCCTTTATTCACACATCCGTCAGAATGGCTCAGGTTCCATCGTATGTTCATCATCGATATACCCCTCTTTTCGACCCTCGCTGACTTTTCTCCAGCTCCGTTCTGGGTTTCCCCCGTATGGGTAAGCTCCGTGACCTGAAGAAGGCCACGGAAGCTTATTGGGCTGACAAGATCACCCGCGAGCAGCTGCTCGAGGAGGGTGTCCGTCTCCGTAAGGAGCACTGGCAGATCCAGCAAGCTGCTGGTAAGCTTCCACCCACTAGGTGCACATTGATGAATACATCAATTTCGCTAACCATACAAAAGGTGTCGATATCATTCCCAGCAACGACTTCTCGTTCTACGACCAGGTCCTTGACCACCACCAGTTGTTCGGAACCGTCCCCGAGCTCTACAGCACTACCGAGCCCAAGCTCCACCCCCTGGATGAATTCTTCGCTATGGGTCGTGGTCACCAGAAGAACGGTGTTGATGTTCCTGCTCTGGTTTGTGCTTCTCAAGTCTTGACATGTATGGGTCCCCTGAATACTAATTGAGACGATGTACAGGAAATGGTCAAGTGGTTTGACAGCAACTACCACTACGTCAAGCCCGTCCTGAAGAAGGACCAGGAGTTCAAGCTGTCCCAGGCCCCTAAGCCAGTTGCCGAGTTCAACGAGGCCAAGGCCCTCGGTATCACCACCCGACCGGTGCTTCTGGGTCCCGTTTCCTTCCTCCACCTCGCTAAGAACGCCCACGGAGAGAGCTTTGAGCGCGTGTCGCTTGTTGAGAAGCTTGCCAATGTCTACAAGGAGCTCTTGGATCAGCTGAAGGCTGCTGGTGCCACCGATGTTCAGATTGATGAGCCCATCCTCGTCTATGATCTCCCCCAGAATGTGAAGGATGCCTTCAAGGCAGCCTACGAGATTGTTGGCAAATCCGATCTCAAGATCACCGTCGCCACCTACTTCGGTGACATCGTGCATAACATTGAGGTTCTGCAGCACCTGCAGAAGGTCCACGCCGTTCACATTGACCTGGTCCGCAACCCTGAGCAGCTTAACCAGGTCATCGAGAAGCTCGGCCCCAAGCAAGTTCTGTCTGCTGGTGTTGTTGACGGTCGTAACATCTGGAAGACCAACTTCAAGGCCGCCATCGACAAGGTCGAGGCCGCTATTCAGAAGCTCGGCAAGGACCGTGTTGTTGTCGCTACTTCCTCTTCCCTGCTCCACGTTCCCCACACGCTGGAGAGCGAGAAGAAACTGGACCCCGAGGTCCGCGACTGGTTCAGCTTTGCTGTTGAGAAGGCCAAGGAGGTCGCTGTCATCGCCAAGGCTATCAACAACGGACCCGCCTCTGTTGCTGCTGAGCTCGAGGCCAACGCCAAGTCCGTCCAGTCCCGTGCCACTTCCAAGCGTACCAATGACCCCAAGGTCAAGGCTCGCCAGGAAGGCGTCACCGAGGCCATGCACAACCGCCAGTCTCCTTTCACTACCCGTATTGCCGAGCAGACCAAGTCCATCAAGCTGCCTCTGTTCCCTACCACCACCATCGGATCTTTCCCCCAGACCCAGCAGATCCGTGTCCAGCGCAACAAGTTCACCAAGGGTGAGATCACTGCCGAGGAGTACGAGAAGTTCATTGAGAACGAGATCCAGGAGGTTGTCAAGCTCCAGGAGGAACTCGACCTGGATGTCCTGGTGCACGGAGAGCCCGAGCGTAACGACATGGTTCAGTACTTCGGTGAGCGCCTGGATGGTTATGTCTTCACCACCCACGCCTGGGTTCAGAGCTACGGTTCCCGCTGCGTCCGTCCCCCCATCATCGTCGGTGACATCTCTCGTCCCGCCCCTATGACCGTCAAGGAGTCCAAGTACGCTGTCTCCATCTCCAAGAAGCCCATGAAGGGCATGCTCACTGGTCCCATCACTTGCCTTCGGTGGTCCTTCCCCCGTGACGATGTTCACCAGAGTGTGCAGGCTCAGCAGCTTGCTCTGGCCCTCCGTGATGAGGTCGTTGACCTGGAGACTGCTGGTGTGAAGGTCATTCAAGTCGATGAGCCTGCTCTGCGTGAGGGTCTTCCTCTGCGCACCGGATCTGCCCGTGATGCCTACATCAAGTGGGCCGTTAACGCCTTCAAGCTTTCTACCGCTGGTGTGCAAGATGGCACTCAGGTCCATTCGCACTTCTGCTATTCCGTTAGTTTTCCCCTGTACCCCTTTCCTTTGATTCCAAGCTCAAATACTGACTTTTTTTCTGCAGGAATTCCGTTCGTTCCCCCCGTATTCTTTGATTTCAAGCTCAAATACTGATCTTTTTCTGCAGAGGACTTCTTCCACGCTATTGCTGCGCTTGACGCCGATGTTCTGTCTATCGAGAACAGCAAGTCCGACGCCAAGCTGCTCCAGGTCTTCACGAACGAGGAGTACCCCCGCCACATCGGCCCTGGTGTCTACGACATCCACTCTCCCCGTGTTCCCTCTGAGGAGGAGATCAAGGAGCGCATTGAGCAGATGCTTGAGCACCTTAAGCCTGAGCAGCTCTGGGTTAACCCTGACTGCGGATTGAAGACCCGTAAATACCCCCTAACCGAACCCCTTTGTCTTGATTTTTTCACGCTAACCTTATTTCTAGGTACCACCGAGCAGGTCAAGGCCCAGCTGACCTCCATGGTCAACGCTGCTAAGTTCTTCCGCCAGAAGTATGCCCAGTAAATCTGTGCAACTTCCCATTTTCCTTTGTTTCACTTCCTATAATGTGTTAATTGAATGAGGCGGCATTCTCAACCTGCCGCCTCTGGCACGGGGAGTTTTGTTTTACGATGATTACGAAGATGATACCAAAAGTTCAACATATGGGTTTCAAATGGGTTTTGTGGATTAGAGGGCACCAAAAGCGGGTTTACGGAGTTTCAACATGACTGACGATTTCAACATGGGTGCCGCCTATTAGGTGCCGACTATTTCAACAATTTGATTGTCTCTCGTCCTCGCTGCGGATCACCCGGTGATGGACCTAGAGGCAGAATACTTTTATCGTGTAGAATCAGCTGTGAATATAACTTTTTCTATGCCTAATTTCTTCCTTTTATACTTTCATTTGTAGGGTGTTTGTTTCCGAAAGTAATACATAGCAAGACATTAGAGCTTGCGAACAAGTTTGGTGTAGGAGCTAGATTTGTGTAGGCGATTGAAAATGAGATTCAGGACAAAGCAGTGTTTGTCACCCTGAGTATGTAACAAAATGCCAGGCCAGGATTTTCATGACCTGGACACGAACTTTACGAGTTTTTGGAAAGGATTTAAATATCCTACTAGGCACAGGGGTGTTTAAGATTCCTTACGTACTGTCGAGACTGGGCCACGGGATGCCCTAGCGAGAATTGATTGACAGGGCAAGAACTATTCATATCCCTGACAGCCTCTGAAATAAATGAGATGTAGCACCACTGACTGGCCACAGCGCTACTATATCTGGTGGTCTAGATGGGTCTTGACCAGACGCTATCTACGTTGCTTGAGAGCCCTGGAGTGATTGGACGCAATTGCTTCCCGCACATGAAATGCAAGCTAGGGGCCATATCATGAACACGGTAGGAGCAAACACGCTGTTCCTAGCTTGACTGGGGGTCTAGACAACTAGTAGCAGCCCGATAGTAATACTCGCCTTCGACGATCCGCAAAGGGCTTTGGGTCAAATGTCAAGTCGCGCTACCTGCATTCATACTTTATATGTCGTTTCAGTGACAACTATGTACCGACTACAACTTCTCAGAAAATTTCTGCGATACTCATAGAATATTTGGGTAGGTTTTCTAGTATACATTCCAATGTCTGATCGGTATTCCAGCCGATCCTCTAGTAGTTAGGCACGGAGAATTCCTGATAGACTCCTGCAAGGAGATTTGTCACATGCCTTGATTTTTTCGCGAATACTATGTACTAATGTCTACATAAGATGGATGGTCCTTGGCCTATAGCTACTGGGAGTATAAGCGCCCAGGCTAGTAACAGGAATATGCATATCTAAAACACACTAAGATGTGTTGGTGTAGTGAGACCGGAGGGGTTCCCCGCGACCTCTTTTCGGGGTTGACCGCGGCTAGTCATAGTGCCTCGACATATGAACAGAGAATTACAACAAGTCGGCCCTATTGCATGGTGTATTGAACAGTAAAGGAACTAGATTAAAAGTCTGCTATATCTTTTCTATCCTCTCATTGCGGAACAAAGCGAAGCACTCTACAGCGGCAACCCGGTTCGAGTCCTTCATACCTCAGGTCGCAGGAACTATCCTTACAACACTTACTCTAGTCTCTCTAGCCAATATCTCCTGACAATCTCTCAAACAGTCTCTCAGACAATTTATCTAGACAAAAGTCAAATTCATGGTTAGGATAGAATAGTGCTCTCGCTTCACTCCGCAAGTTGTTTAGGCAGACCCAGCAGGCAGGGGGTCCGTTAGGGGGTGGAGGCACCTAAGCCCCTGGTATGTCGAATGGAAGAACCTTGAGTTGAATATCATATAACGCTCCTGGAATGATCAGGATTGCACACTAATGCGTGAAGGTGGAAAGAGCTCAGACTATCAGATACGAGAGAACTTCCATTGGATCGCTCTGAATATATTCAAAGATGGGCGAATTCTCGTTCTGCATTTCAAAGACTGAGAGGCTTATTGCCCCGTGTGGGACTGTATGCTCGATCGTTTCACCTGATAAATTCATAAGCCATGAATAGGGTAGCTGAATGGGATCTAATCTCTCTGCTGATCAACTGTTTTTTATACCTGTGCAGGTTGGAATTGGGCCGAGGTAGAATAAGGGCACAATTTGATCAAGATTAACATGCACCGGAGGGGAATAAATTCTTGTTTTGAGACATTGAATTTCCGCTACGGTTGGTCTTAAGTGAACATGGGGCCGAAACTCCGACTTCGATTATCATGACCCCCAGGCATACTACTGTAGGAAATATATCCTGAATATCTGAGAAAGTCATTTTCCCTAGCCCGGCTTTCCTCTGTAAATCAGGTAGTTACTCCTTCGTCTGGGAGCGTTCGGCTAGCAAGAAAAATGTGCAAAATAGCCCCCGATTAGAGCGTCTTGGCAGGGTTCAAAACGGACCGGCAGACCAGTCACAGCGGGCGAATATGAGGCTCGAACACACCAACGAAGGCAAGGCCAGTTTTAGGGGGCTCTCTAGAGGGAAATTTGGTCGCTGCTAGCTATCTTAGTGAGGGTCTCCGTCGCCGTCGCTGGGCAGTTTTGGGTCTCTGTAGTTTGCCTCCCGGTCTCGAAAAGATCCTTTTAAGGGCCCAATCTGCCCGAGTACGAGATTTGAATCTTGTTCGTGTTCATCAGCCCTAAGGCTTTATCTGATCTTATTTTCCACCCTCAACGCCGATCAACATGCGCAGTGGGTCGGTTTGGCTGCTTGGCTTGGCTGGTGCGGCCTTGACCAACGCCTTGGCGTTGGATAAGAGGGACTCTCCTGCCGTTCTTGCAGTTCCTGTCGTTCGTGGGAAGGCGCCGAGTCCGAGCCGCCTTTTGAAGCGGTCGGAGACTGTTGATGTTGAATTTGACTCCCAAGATTCCGACGACACCAACTTCAAGTATAATGATTCCGGTGTGAACATCACTGGTGACTTCGTGACTGACACTCTGACCACTGGGGGGTGCCATGATTGATGAAATGAGGCTAGGAGTAGCCTCCGACTCCCTCACAACCAGTAAGTCAAGCCCCAGCTTACCACCGTGCTATTACTAACACAATCCTGCAATAGACACCCTGAGCCTGGGATACGGAAATACATCTTCCACCTCCCTCACCCAAGCGCTGGCCGACTCAGGCGCCATCAACTCCCCAGCCTTCAGTTTCTGGGAGGAGGGCATTCTGTTCGGCGGCGTCAACAAAGCCAAGTACGAGTAACCTCTCTACACATTTCCAATAGTGAATGGCTCGGGCCTCACCAAGGCCCTCCGCATCAACATAGACGAAATATTGATCAACGAAACCGCCCAAGACGCAACCAGCTTCCCCCTCGACGTCGTGTTCGACACCGAGGTCGGAATGACCTACGTCCCCAAGTCCGTCGCGCAAGCACTGAATGCCAAAATTGGTGCCACCAGAGTGCCAGATGAGATCGGCCAAGTCAATTTCTCTTGCAGCTCCGTTATTGAGACCAACACGATGATCGAGTTTAAGTTCGGAGACTTGGTCTACCAGTTCTGGATTGAGAATTTTATCAGTGGGAACAGACACTCTGCGGGAAGCTATGGGTATAGTGACGATCTTTGTTATTTCACAATCTGTGAGAATCTGCATCTTCAAGACGAGGGGAGCATCATTTTGGGCTCTAACTCTATGAGCCTGATCTATGCTGTGTTTGATCTTGAGAATGATGAGGTTTCGCTGGCGCTGCGGAATGGAAATGTCACTGCCGATGATATTGTCGAGATTAAGTCAGGCAAGGATGGTGTCCCTGGAGCGAAGAAGAGCGAGGCTGGTACGCACGCATATTGGAGGCAACTTGGGCGTTTGTGCTGCTCTCGCTGTTACTGCCATATGGTTCCTTGCTCTTTGATAATATGATGTGTCTCTAATTACTGTCGGCCATGAGCCGACTCACTAGACTCTATAAAATCGTTATAATGAATTTACCCGACTCTTCTTCCTCGAGCGATTATTACTAAATGTTATGAAAGAGTTCGCTATGCAATAGATCGCCGACCTGGAACACCGGGCTTAGGTTTTTTGATGCTATGAAGTGCCGAGGCACCTTCTCACATCCAAGAGCACCACGGCACAACAGCTCCTCTTTCAGCAACGTCCTTCTCTCCAAATTTCTCAACATACCACTTGCGACCCCAGCGCGCATGAGGCAGCATGTTCGCCATGGCATTGACCACAAACAAGACAGCCGGCAGCGGCAGCGGGAGTCCGAGGCGATCCGTCACAGAGGCAAACGGCACCAACCAAGGTGCTAGATTAAGCGGGGGAGCAACGGTGGCAGCCGTACTAGCAATCTTGGAGGTAGCGGAAAGGGGGTAGACAGCAAGACCAGCAATAGCGAATCCTGTCCACTCGAGCCACTCAAAGACGTAGTGCGGGTACAAGATAGAGCGGAAGACGCCAGTTGCGGGAGGAATCACGTAGACTTTGTGGTATTTGTTGCGTCCATTGTTAGGGGATGTCTTGGTGTCCGACTTCTTTGCAGAGCGCTTCTCGGCCTCGGACACTCTCATGCGGAAGAGAGATGTCTCGGAGTAGATGTTACCGATCATTCCAATAGAAAACAGTGCAGTTCCGACGACGGGCAGCGCAGCAAGGAGCGGAGAAGAGGAGGACCGAAGGGACTCGACGCCGTTGGTCACGAACCCGGGGACGGGGATCTCATAGCCAAGGATCCAGCCTACCAGACAGGACGAGTTGAACCAGTTGAATAGAACAGCACTGGACACGACAAACAGATGCATGGGCGACATGCTCGGAGCCGAGAAGAAGGGCGAGATGATGGCTCGGTTGACATAGTGGATGCAGTACAGTGCCGTGACGAGCTGGTTAGCTGCTGGCAGCTCGAATACTGAGCGTGGCGAGATGCCGAGGTTGTAGATCAGGTTTAGGGGTCCGGCAATTTCCATCAGGAACCACGCTATGCGGCCGGGCATGTTGAAGATGGAATTTTGCATGGAACCCTTGCCAGCTGGGTGCCAAGAGACCATCCATTGGATGATTGAGACCTGTGTAGTGATGTTAGCGGGGGGTTTCGGTGTATTTCAGGACTTCATGACTCAAGTCTATTTACTTACCAGTGGGAAGTACTGGAAGATCGTCAAGGCGGTATTGTAGGCTGGTGGAGAGAAGGGCAAAAACTCTGCCGCGGCGGGCACAGAGGCCCAGGCCGTTGAGAGGGCAGTTCCCATGGTGAATTTGAACAGAGGAGAAGTGTGTCAAGGGGCAAGAATACGGAGGAGAGGAGCTTTGTTTAACGTGGAATCGATTGATCGCGGGTCTGGTGATGTAACGTGACCCGATCTGGAAAGCGGTCATGATAAGCTTCCTTAGCTACATTTCGGCAGTTGCAGCTGGGATTCTGCAGGAACTAACTAACCACAACCCCGGCGCCTCCTGCAGCTAATAACGTCTACTGTACTTGAATGGTGAATGCCGGAATGCTTGTTGTCACTCATCGTCTTAGATCCTAGTCTGCTGCTTAGTCTGCTGCCGTGTCCATTGCGTCTGCGGGGGTGCCCTTCTTGCTTGTACGCTCGCTGACGAATGCTTCGATCTGGGCCTTGAGCTCCGTGTTGGGGATCACATCCTCCATCTTCAACGGGACACGGTTGAAAGGGTCGTGCGGGTCACTGAGTAAGTGCGAACGGATGGTCGAGCGGTCGATAGACATCCGAGAGTTGGGCAGGATGACGGGGTCTTCCATGAGAGTGAACATGAGAGGATCTACAGAAATTATTAGTAAAGCCACAGCTATAGGGAGAGTAGATGCCAACATACCTAAATACTCGTCCGGGATCTCACCCAGATCCTCCTCTGCTTGCTCATCCTCTGCCTTGGCGTCCATGACCTTTTTCTGCAAAGACGACCAACGGCGCAGCTCCTCGGGGGACTTCAGGGACCATTTGCGCATGATATCGGCTGCTTTCTCGAAGTTGGCAGGCTTATAAGAACGCCCATCACGGGCGACAGCAACAACGAAATTCTGCTTCCCCATCAAGTTGAGATACACATCGGTGATCTCAGTAAGCAATGCCCGGGGATTGAAACCATATTCCTGAAGGTTGTCAACGCGCAAGTTCGAACTCTTAGGTCCGACCATGGCATCGAGGTTGTAATCCAGCATGTCGGCCAGTCGTTGAACGATTTCGGGCATGGTGAAGGAGTCGGCCAGTGCCTCCGTGAATAGCTTGAGCATGGCCACGGTCTCGTTGGTCAGTTGCATGTAAGACTTTGCGCTGCGCTGCGCGGTGGCCAAGTGCTCTTCGCGTTGTTGACGGGTGGCCTGGTCCATCGAGTTGCCCTCTCGGTTGAGCTCGGTCTGGGTGTTGTGAATTGTTTTAAAAGCGCCAAATGACTCGTCAAGGACATAAGTCACGTCGTTGAGAAGCATGTTGACGAACCGAACGAAGAAGTCCAGGTTCTGGTTCGCTTGGTTGGACAGCTTCTCTCGGTAAAGAGTATTCGGCCAAATGCACTTGATGATTTGGAAAATCTCGTAACGGATATTGAACTTGTCGAAGAATTGGGTATGGGTTCCGGTGTGCTCGGCCTCAATGTAGAATTTCATGATTGCATGCAGGAGGTATTCGTTGGCAAACTCCATCGAGTTCAGCAGATCAACCAAGACACCGCGGGCACCACCCGAGCGGCTCCAGGTACCTCGAAACATGATAGAGACAAGGCCGGCCTTGAGATAAGGGTTCTTGATGTAGACAGAGCTCTCCAGGAGCGTAATGCAAAGAATAACCAGCTCGTCTCCTTGGGTTGCTGTGATAATGTGCGGCATGCACCACATGATGAACTTAAAGTTGCTCACAATATCATCGAGGAAATACTCTGGTAGGCACTTGAAAACTTCAGGTTGCTGCTCCGACAAAGGCAATGTGACCTGCTCCTTCGGGAAGTTGACGCCAGAAACAAGTCTTAAGAGCCACACGGTGACATAGCGCATGAAGAGCATCGAGCGAGCCTGCCATTGATCATCGAAGAGAAGGCCCTGCAAGCTGTACTTCAAGGCCAGGCCCAAATCAAATTTGTCTTTAAACCGCTTCAGGGTCCGCTCAAACATTGCCAGCTGAGCCGGGTTAGCAGCCCAGCGGTGTCGTTCGAGTTCGAACTTAGCGATAGAAGACTCCATGTGCCGGAGATCCTTCTCGAGTTGTTCCAATTTCTCAGTAAGTGACTCACTGCCATAATGATGAGCAGCAACGGTCAAGAAAAAGATCTCTGTGATGAAATTGGACGTCCCATCTACCTTCTTGGAATAGAAAGCGTCCGAAGCATGCTGGTCGGCGTTGATCTTGGTCTCCTCCCGCATGTCGACTCGTGAGTCTCGGTGCAGATACTCGGCATCGATCCGATCGATCTTCGTGAAAGTTGCGTCCATGAATGGCTCGCAGAGCTGGTCTAGACATGTTGTGATGTTGAACATGAATCCATCGGAGGATACAGTTTCTGGATCAACTTGCATCGCACGTCGTTTGTGGTTAATGTTCAGAGCAGTTGCGAACCAGTCCAGAACCCGGTCTCTGGCCTCCTTGGAAGCTCGGATCATGTGGTTGATCACGTCCAAGAGATCGGAGCTGAGGATCTGCTGTGTCATGCGAAGAGATCGTTGTGCGGTTAAAATATATGCAGGGTCTCGAGTCTTGGGACTGGAGAAATATTGCTTGGTGACACTGCCTTGGAGGGGCGAAAGGCGAAACCAAGGGCCGAGCAAGGTGGCCTTCTCAAATTGCGCTGGATCCCGACAAGCATTGAAGATAGACGATTCAGTGATTGCGGCGGCGATGGTAGGATGTCGGACGAGGTTGCGCAATGCCTGTATGGTCAGATTATTGGCCACTTGATACTTTAGACGGGAGGGGTAACCTACCGTAGCATATTGCTTGTAATCTTCATTGATGTCCTTTGTGGAGAGCTCCACGCTCATTTCCTCCACCGCGGAAATGAAGGCAGGTTTGAGATTTTCATCCTCTTCAAATCTTTTGACGGCCTCGCTTATGAATTCAAAGTCCATACCTTTTTCGTCCTCAGGCTCTCGCAGCAAGTGTGACGCTAATGGGGATCGTCCGGGCTTGTCCGCACTAAGAATCGTCAGCATGTCCTAATCTTCCAATTTACATGAAATCCAATCATACTTGAACATCTCCGGCATAGTGATAGCAAAGATGCAATAGCTCAAACAAAGGCGCCTTGCCTCGCAGAGCACTTGAAACTTTGGGTCGTCGTCCCGTGCTCGACGAAATCCCTTGTGGAGTTTAGTCACCCGCTTCCAGCATGGAAGCAGATAGTCCAGTGGGAGCTGAGTCTCTTGTGATGCAGCCTCCAGGAGTGCCTGATCCAAGAGCGCTGTTTCAATGCGCAATTCCTTACCTTCATCCAGCAACTCCTTTCTCAACCCCGAGAGATAAACACGATTCCCATTGTGATCCCTCTGTGATTCCTCTTTAAGAGTGAATCTAAACACCGCGCTCAAAGTCCGGTCTTCAAAGGTCTCGATGGTCTCGGTTTTTGTGGGTGGTGGAGTCCCCCCGTTCGACGGCGCGGTAGAGCGAGGACGCTCTGGTGTGGCAGCTGGAGCACTAGACGGAGCCGCAGTAGGTGTAATCTTTATCCGCTTTCCCTCGAGGTTCTGTGGTGTCTGTGCAGTGGAAGATGTCGCACTTGGAAACTCGGACGATTGCTGGGTCAACCACGAAGGGGAGGAGGCGGGGGAGGGATTCGAGGAGTTGGGAGGCGAATCTGAGGGGCCATCACCCGAGGCGGGCGAAGCATTCAGGTTTGAAAGCTTTGCAAGGCGCTTGTTGCGGATCTGTGGCACATCGTGATATTTCTCGTTAGCCATTGCGGAGAACGCGGCAATAAGTCTATAGCACGGGAGGTTGGTTAGTATCTTACCTTGTCCGCATCTGATAGCGAGTCTGACATGGCGGATTTGAGATAGAATCACGGTCTGCTACAGCAGACTCGGAGGTTGTTTCGGTTGTTCGGTGCGGGGATAGTGAAGCCGCAGCGGCGTTTGGATGAAGGAGGCTCGTGCCGGATCCGCCTTGTAAATCGGGTCAAACGTCAAAGGCGCGGCGGCGCTGTCGATGGCCCGAATATGCAGATGATGGAGCGACCGACGGGACGAACTTCATGAAACGGGCTCGCGAGCAGTGAAGGGCGAGAAGCGAGGGAAAGCTGCTCGGGGTTCGGTTGTGATCGCCGAGTTTCTGTCGTGAGTGATGGAATTTGACTAAGCAGCCGCTTGATGTTCACGAGGCGGATTCCCAGGCACACCATCGCACCTGCCAGTGCCACACTCTGTGGATAAAGCTGTAACTTTTTGGTTTGGATTTTGAAAACAATAGAAGGACCAGCAGTTTCGTATTATACGACGTAGTATTCATGTGTTAGCTAGGTATTAGAACACAAGCCAGCACCAAAACGGTCTCTCCGTGGAGAGGCTCATGCATTTCAGAGACAATGTACAAAAAGTCGAGACCTTGGGAAGAATAGAAGCAACCCCAAATACGCCATCCATCGCGCATGTGTTATCGGTATCTTCAGAGAGAGAATAATCCGAGGCAAGCCCAATTACATGGTCGTCGGGTTCAGTACTTCCCCCGGAGGTTCTCGAGCCGTCGGCAGCTCTTAAGCTCCATCGCACGGGCTTCTTTCATCTTCTCGATATCTGGGAAGAACCAACCTTGGGCCTCCTGAATTTTCCGTTCCCGAAAGTTAACCTCGCTCTCGCAATCAAACCGCAGGGCTTTGACGTGATCTAACTCGACCTGCTTATCAAGTTGGCGGAACCTGCGTGCGCTAAAGTCTTCCACGTCGACTGGGTTCACGAAATAATTAAGGTTGAGGTTGGGTGTTGTACGGCCCATGGTATGGGGTGGCTTCGCAGTGTCAAACCGGTATGACGGGCCGGAAGGAGTCGAGGAGCCGGTGAAAAGGGAGGAGAGGAGGGGGAGAACGAAGAGAATAATGAGGGGGGCGAGTTGACGAAGAAGAGTCCAGCCATCCATATTGGCTGGTGACTGCCCGGCGGCATTTGTAGCAGGTCTGCGGCGTGGGATGCCACCTCCGAATTGGTGGACTCGGAATCCGGGGCCACCGTTCATGTTGAAGACAAAACCGGGGCCACCTGCAAGTTTCAAAATTAGCTATGAATGTCCATCAAGGGTACTAGGAGAAGACTCCTTCATAAGGCCACCAGGATCTTTGCCAGTGGAAGAAAGTCTCAACAGATGAGAAGGTCGTACCAAAACCGCCACCCATTCCCCCAAATCCACCATTGAAGAAGCGATTGAATAATTCTTCAGGCGATATTTCCTCTTCGAAGGCCGGACCACGTCCTCCTGATCGCGGGAAGCCACCACCTCCGAAACCACTAAACGGAGAGGCACCGCTCGAGGCACTTGGGCCAGGGTTGAATCTGCTATCGGGGTCTCCTCCAAACTTATCATAGCGAGACTTCTTATCTTCATCCGAGAGGATCTGGAAAGCGCGCGAGACCACTGTGTAAGAGTGAGGTTAGTGAGGAAATAACGAATAGATGCCACGACTCAGCCACGCACTCTTGAAGGCCTCATCGGCGCCATCGTAACCGTTCTTATCGGGGTGTGTCAATAAAGACTGTTTCCGGTACGCCTTCTTGATCTGACTGTCGGTCGCCGAGCGCTCAACAGCCAGGATCTCGTAGAAGTCGGTGGCTCCGCATTTCCGGATTCGCAGCACAGCGGCCTTCTGCTCGGGTGTGTATTTGCGGTCCTGGTTGCCCTGGTTATGATCGCGCGACCGCGCGCCGCCATTCGCGTCGTTTCCAGACGCCTTTGCCGATGACATGTCGACCGAGGTTGGAAAAGCGTGTCGCGGAGTAAGACCGTTTGGTTGCGGGCGAGATAACGAGGGGAGGGAGAGGCGCAAAGGCGGGAGTAGGTGGCGTGGGACCGGGGACTAGGGGGTTCCCAATTCCCCAAAAAGGCTGATAGCGATAACCAGGGCTGATGGCAGCGCGCCTAGAGTGGAAAAACACTGAAATTGTTGCGATGAAGTGAAAGGCGGGCGCGGGTCGTGGCTACTTGGGAGGCGTCAAAAGGAAAAAGCATCGTCTGAGATGTTTCTGCCAAGCGTCCGAACTTCCGTCGCGCGGTATACACTTCCACTTCCAACTGCCATCTGCCTGCGACACCTCCGCAAGGGCGCGTTCTGTGCAACCTGCATCGCATTATCGAGCGGATATTTACATTGCGTCCCTTTGCTTCTATTGATCTAGTCCGCAAGAGATTCCAAGCACATCGGAAGTATCGCCCAAAACCGATCCGATCTCCACCATGGCGAAGGATTCCACCATCGAAGAGACCAAGCAGACGCTGGTCCAGCGCTTCCGCGCTTGGGGTGGTAAGTACTGAGACGTCAAGCTCAAGCATGCCCATTTAAGACCTACGGCCAGGTTTCAGTGCGTCATCACCTCATACTAACCTCATTATCTCCAGAAAACTCGTTCCCGCCGACAATCCTCGCATCTCTCATATTCGCGCAGCATGCGCGTCCATTCCAGTTCTTCCCGATGCTCTTCCCGCCTGTCCTCCTCTTCTCCAGCTATGCGAACCTTTCGGGATTCAAGACGGAGAGCGCCGGTATCAGCGCGGCTTGGTCCGGTCTGTATCTGCTGCTTGCGGCCCGTCGTCGCCAGCCGATGATGAAGAAGTTCGGCACTCGAGGTGTTGTGCGTGGTGCGACCATGGGTCTCTGCCTGGTTCAAATGATCGGAGGTGGACTGGCTTACACCCTCGGAAAGAAGGAGGGCGAGGAGGACGAGTCCTCAATGTGATGTGACTGGAAAACTGCTGTGGTGGACCACCACATCTCAAAAGTGTACAATATGCGGCTTGAAACGATTCAAGCTGCCTTCACGATGCATGAAATCGAGCAAATGTCGGCGCCTATGGATCGGGATGATACTGGTGGCACATGTACGATATTTTTTTCCCGGAGATAGCTTGCCAATATCACAAATCAACTTTGATTATGCCACTACACTTAAATTTCTACATTATATCTTCTACGGCCAATGTTCCCCCGCAGAAACCCAAAATACTATCATAGACAATAATCACAGATAGAAGGGGTTATATTTGGCTGGTATATCCAATGTTACTATAGTCATCCTCAGCAAAGGCTAGATTCGAGTGCCCGGGCTGTGAGCACTATATGGCTTCTCCGACAGCAAGTACTGCCGCACATTCTCTGAAACAAGCCACTCCAGGTCCTCTATGGCAGATTGTATCGCCTCTCGCGCCCGGGTAGAGCTGATAGAAGGCTCATTGGCTTTCCTGCCTTCGACGAGCTGGATCTTCTGGGCCCATTCCCGCGGTCCCTCTTCGCTTTCTCGATCGCCGCGTGCAAGCGCACGGAGGAATTCCTGTTGATCTTCCATACTTCCCCAATCATCACTTGGCCGCATTGTCACGCGCAAGCGATGTTTTGAAAATAGCGAGTTCAAGGGCTTCAGCGTATGTTCTGGCGGGTAATACTTAGTGTCGAAGATGCGGATCAGGGTATCGTACCCGGTGAGGTGGACCTGCTCCAGCGGAGTGGAATAACAACCTGATTCCTCAATTGCGGTGGCTTTGTCGATGAAAAAAGGCTTTTTGGTCACACATATATCAATAGTCGGGAGGTCTCTGTTGAGATGAGAGCTTTCTGACGCGCTGTTGGTTGCCAAGTGGGTGCGCAAATCGTGTGCAAACAATTCCATCATGGCGAGGCGATCCTCGAAAGAGGCGGGCTTCGTGGGTTTATCGGCATTTTGTGTCGCAAGCAGAAGAAGCAGGCGAGAACTTGGATTTAGATGATCTCGTAGGGCGGAACTGGCAATGCGGAGGTGGGCGCGAGTTGGAGGATTGAAAGACGAGTCCAGCACGAAGAGCGTCTTTGCTGGCGGGGAGCGCTCAGGAATGCTGGCGAGCACCTCAAAGTCTCGCGATGATGCGTTAAATCGCTTGAGAAGCGATGTATACTGCGTGCGCAGAGTCTGGAAGGGCGCCATGCTGGGAGATGTGTGAACAATCCAATTGTCCCGCCCTGGCGCGCTTCATGGAACAGTCGATAAGATAGCGGTGATCCTCGGCCTCGCCACACTTCGTTTCTCCACACTTTGACCCTCCAAAAGGGATGGGGCGCCCTGCTACGGTCTCTGCATGGCTGAGCTGAGATGCCATCGGGCTTCACGCGGTACATCGATGTGGCTGTGCAGTCCTTTCACTTGAACCCTCAGCAGGCACCCAGAAACTCACTTCCCAGACCTGAAATTATTTCGAATGGAGCACCACGTTGACACGCTTCGAGAAGCATGCGCTGACCCAGATGCACTGTTTGCGATTCCTCATGAAGACCTGCTGCGCCTGATCTACAGGGGATTCTCAATCGATATTGACCGCCTGAAACGGGCATATTCAATTCGCGACAATGGATACTGTTTGCCTTCCTCGTCGTCACCCTCGAGAATAATCTACGATGAAGACTATGACGAGGTCAATCGGACGCTGGTGGGGTTTCTTGCTTTGCGTTGGATTCATCTTGGACAATACGACGAGTTTGTAGCTTCGCAGCCGCCTGAGGCTCGACTGACCAGGGAATCATTTGACTGGATTCGGGAATTCTACACGCAAACAGTTGCCAACTCGGATACGCTCTACGTGCTGATCGTGTCAATCGTCATCAATGACCTTGGCAAAGACCCGCAACTTGCCTCCGACTACGGAAAGCTGACTGGCGAGGACATCTCCGAGATGAATCACGATGCAGTCCTTCTGGAGGCGTGTAACATTGGTCTTGTTCAGTCTCTTCAAAACCTGCCATCTCCAGACCAGGAGGATGTCATGAGTGCAATCAAACTAGGCGCCACTTTCAATTTTGGTCAGCTGGCCCAAGCAGAGAATGCACCTATCTGTCTATCAAGTCTCCTGCAGATGAAGGACAACCTACGCAGCTTTCACATCCGGTTCATGGAGCAACTACTCGACATATCTGGCGCAGCAGGCCACATGGACTGGACCTGCGCCAAGAAGCTCATCCAGCCAATATTTGATTCCTATCGCAATGTCTATGATGCGTGCCAGGGTGTGATATCAGGAAGCCTTGATCTTCGAGGTGCATATGACCTCGTTCTCATTCGGCGAGCCGAGTTCCTTTACAACAAGGGCCTCCGGCTGCTTTGCGTGAGCGATTCTCCGAGTGACCGCGCTGTGGCGCGCTTATTGTGTATGGGCAATGTGGCAACTCTGGAGAAAGTGCGTTTGTTTGAAGAAACTTGGAATGCTCTAGAGGACCCGTACCGGGAGGATCTGGTACATGCCTTGAATATCGATGGCCAGAGAGGCAAGCCAGCAGTGCAGCCAACATATATGCCTGCATTTCTTACCCGAATCACTGACAAGAGAGCGCTGCAATGCGCTTTGCGATACCTTTGTCGGATTATGATTGCGAATGATTCCGAAGATGAATCAGTCGTCATCATAGAGAGGAGTGTGCTGGGAGTTATGAAGATGTACGTGGAGACTGGACTATTCGATAAGGATCCTACGATCTTGGAGAATATTGATATACCGGAGGGAGTATCTGCTCAATCAGAGTCAAGTTAGAGGCTACAAGGTCTATGCATTGATCTCAGGTCTCATTCCAATGTGTTGATACGTGAAAAGAAATGAATTAAAAAAGGCTTCCATGGTATACAAAGCCGGCAATATCAAACAAGTTCAGAATTTCAAGCGGTGACTGAATGAACGGCCGGAACTTTAACTGACTGCGGAGGCAGCGGGAATTCCTTTTCCTGGAAGAGCCGTCGAGTCTCACTCACCTCCCCTTGACTGGCCAAACTAATCTTCAACCAGTCGTTGGGAGTTGCCTGATCCTCGAGCGAGGACCGCATGCGAACCACACACTCTCGGTAGAGACAATTCGTCTCAAAGCGCCAACTGCAAAGCAGAGACCGCACCATGCCCCCCTCCCGTCCGCAAATCAAGGCCACGACTGGCGGTCTCTCTGCAGCAATGACCGTCACTGTCATGTCTCCTGTATCGACAATGGTGAACAGACGATGCGACTTGGGGATGTTAAGCTTCGTCCTCTGTTCTTTCCAGTAATGCGAGCCCATGGGCTCACCGTCTTCATCTCGAGGCTCAATACCAACCCGCAGACTCCGATGCCGAAGGCTCTTCGAAAATATCGACGAAGAGGCCGCATACGAGAGACGAGCATTATAATTACCATATATCTCCTTCTCTATTTCTCGAAGAGTCATCGTCCCTTCAAACCCAACGAGATGGCAGGCGACTCGAGATGATCCGCCGTGGCAAAGCTGACGTACTGCCAGCGGGCTGAACCAGGAGATTGCCCATCCGACCCCGACGTATATCGCCGTACCATACAGATAGGAGCCGACGCTGATCTTGAGATCCCGAGAGGAGCTCGTGTTGTTGGCCATTGCGAAGGACACGGCCGTCGACAAGAGACCGAGGGCGGTTAGGAAGAACCATGCGCCGACATACACGACTGTCTGTGATAAGGTTGTGCGGAAACTGGCTAGGTCCTGTGCGTATCGCATTCTAGGAAATTTCTTCCATCGGATTGGGATTCCACGACAGCGGTCGGTGATGACGGTGGGCGTGAATGGGTCGTTGCCAATACCAACGACATCACAGAGTGGATTGATGTCCCAAAGATGAACGGAGTACTGGTCGCGGTCAGCGATATTCCGCAAGAGCTTGTCGCTGCTCGCCAATTTATAGCCTCCGGCGGCCTGGAGTTGTCGCTGTTCCTCTGGATCACCATATCCCGGCCACAGACAGAGCAGGCGCTCGAGGAGTTGATTGCTATCGTTCACAAGTGAAAGTCGTGCCACGGCCTGGAAAACATCTTCATCGATATCGGGGGTGAGTCGGTATGCCAGCAGCCCCATCGCGGCATATGCCAGCTCCACTGTGCTTTCGCCTCTGGTACCAGAACCAGACGTGAGCTGAGCCAGAGCCTGAATTGCGAATGTGAAAAGTTGAAGCTCACTCAACTTAGTCTTGTTGGTATAATGATTGACGAGGTGGGTGATTGCATCTTCGTGGTCTTCCTCATGACCAGTCAAGTGATAACGAGACGGATGACCCGCCCAGAAGCTGTGGTACATGTCGGTCAACAACACATTGTTGATCTGCATTTCATGATCTTCCGGCGTGGCTGTGAATGGGGAGATGCAGTATCGAGTTTTCTCCGCAGCAAGCAATACCTCTGGCAGTGTCCAGATCCGTTGACCCCAAGTCCTCTTGCTCTCCGAGTCGTCACTGGGTAGGACCACATATACCCGCTTTGCACAGCGCACCGCGTCGCAAATCGAGTTGATATCCTTGGTCATCTCGGAGTCGGGGCTGATGATGATATTTCTCTTCACGCCATTCTGAACAACGGTGGGAGGTTCAGATGCAACACAGTCCATATCAACCCAAAAGGCTTCCACTGGAGGATCCCTGGCGTCACGGAGCTCGTTTTCGTATTTCAAAACACCTTCGGCCACGCGATAGAAGAATGGTCTTAGTTCCTCATCGCGAACTTTAGGAAAGTTCGCGCGTGAGAAACTCAGGAATACGTATGGTTGTAGCATACCAGTATGTTTGTCGCGAAGATTGTCTGTCTTCCTCACCACCCATTTGCCAGTTGACTCATCCTTGACAACGAGCCGGCGAGGAATCATAAGCTTTGTGACGGTCGTTTGAGGCTTCGTATTCTCTGGCGACTGGTCCAACATATTGACAGCATGTCGCGGCCATTCCCAGTGCACATTCTCATAAAAATCATAAGAGTCAGCAGCACCAGAATCATTCCAGGGCGCGGTGATGACCTGGAAAGATAACATGAGTTGGATGATCCAGGCAAAAGCCAAGGTGCAAATTGTCGAGGCTATGAGATGCACCGTGGTCTGCACGATTCTACACCCAACGCTCATTTTCTTCCGACGGATCTCCTCGGCCTTCTCATCATCTTCATCCACGAATCCACCATCATATCGTTCAAATCGAAATGGGTTCAGGCAAAACTCGGCAAGTCGGACGACGAATGGAATGTTTCCATTGATCTTGCTGTGACCCCAATGACGATCTCGGGTGTCTTTCTGAGCTTCGGGGGTGGCTTGCACCACCAGTCGACGCGGTATATCCTTCGTTGTGCTATAGTAGGTGTCCAGGTCGGGGTATTTCTCGTGGTCGTTTTCTCCGTATATGTTCATGTATCGCAGCTTCTTCTCTTGGCCCTCAACTTTCTCCAGCTCCGCCATGCGATCTTCAATCCTTTCCGGTGCGAGATACGGGCGTCGGTACCGAATGCCTGCTGTTTTGTGGTGTCCGCCATCATATTGTCTTGCGACATGTCTTCTCCACTTCTCTCTTTCGCGTTGACCCTTGGTCTTCCCGGAAGACAGAACAGCTCCCATTGTGCCGAAATCAGGCTCAGTATCTACAGGAGACCAAGCAGACTAAGCAGAGATACGAGATATCCAAACGCGACCAACTTACATCGAGGGCGCCGGTGGGGGCTATAGAGATTTTATCGCTCATCCATACAACTGGGACGGAGCATTTCTAAGCATGGCAATGCATTAATCAGGGGCACTAGAGCCGCAAAACTAAAGATTATGGCGGCAAGCATAACCCCAACATGTCCAACTGTGCCGGCATCGCATGCTGCAGACGTTACGGGTCACATACTAGCCAATCCGCAGGCTCGACCAACGCCTCGAGCCCTCCAGGACAATATGGGCCGTTCTTCTTGTTCCTATTTAGGCTTTTGGCCCCCGGCAAGTTCGAACGAAAAGGGGATGTCAGCATCGCTAGCGCGACTTTGCCTTTGTAAGCCATCAACCGTGAAGGGTCTTCCCTCCAGACCCTGGCAGCTGGACGTTCTATATGGGTCGAGCACGCAGTCTACACACAGAGATCTACGACGCAAGAACTATTCTCCATGCCGCCAAACGGACAGGAATGAGAAAGAGATAGGGCGGAGCGCCACTTTGACCTACCATGTTTCATGAATCACGCGAACCTCGTATCGCACGGAGATCGACTCAGCCCGGGTCTTGGTTACGGTTACGGCCCGACAGCCCTTATTTCCATTGGTCCAGGTGACTCACCTGGGTGAAGCATCGACAAGCAAGTTGGCGCTAACCAGAAGCTAAAAGTCCTCCCTTGGCTGCAGAACAGCGGGGCCCAGTTTCCACTTTCTGCTTTCCCAACCGGCTCGTGGGAATTGATGGGCATTACTAGACCGGTAATGGCAACTGCTTGGGTCTCACACGTGTGGCCTGCGTCGTCGAGGCCCTCCGTTGCTTTTTCCAGGCCTGCGAACCTATCACTGGGTCGCCTGGGATCCTGCAGGTAAGCAGCCACAAGCGTGTCTGAGGTTGCGAAGACGAAGACATATCGGCTTTTGCGTCGGCGTGATTACGGATTGATAAACCTCTGCTGCTTTTGTTCTTTGGTTCGTTGTTGGGAGCTAGTTTTAATTTTTGCTTCACGGCGAATTATGCGCGGCCCCTGCGAATAGACATTTGTCTGCGTGCTTACGATATCTTCACGTCCGAACATAAGAAACACCAGTCTTGACAATCGCTCATATTCGCGTCTACTTTCGGCTCGGGCATGTCTTATGTATCCCTGGCATGAAAGGCTAAAGTCATGGGCCCAGGGTACGGGCCTTCGCATCGATGCCCTCGGCCTCGTCACGCTGCTCGGCGCGGAGGAAATGGACCGCAGTATCGGTCGGCTGATGTCGAGCGAATATTTCGACTATCTACCATTACTCGGAGCCTTCGTCGTCGCAGGAAACCGATTCACAGAAAGAAAGACCGGCTTCACACTTTACAACATCACGGCGGGGATCGTGACGCATGAATTGGCCGGATGGGTTTCGCGATGGATACAAACACAGGATCTCCACAAGGTCCGCAGCAAAGTGACCTGGGAGGTTGTCGATCGGCCTCGCCGGTGGAAATGGATCAAATTCATCGTTGGCTTTGTCATGATCAGTTTACCGCTACACGGTATACTGATCGCCTTCACCGTGCTGTCCGCTGACTGGTGGGGCTTTGCGAATGTTGTCGCGATGATTATCTCGGTGATTGTGCGATGTGCACAAGTATCCGAGAACCAAGCCGGGATAGACAAGAATGTCCTGGATGCAAGGAAAGTAGCTCAAGACAAAATGTCGGAATATGACCAGGCAATGGCGAAGATCGAGGAGCGACGTCGAAAGGGAGAGAACATGGAGGGAATCAAACTCCCGTCTGAACCTACTGATTTCGATATTGCAAAGGTCATCGTCGTGACGGAGGAATCCAAAGTCGTCACGCTTGCTGCGCCTAATTATCTTGTCAAATCGATCTTCACGGCATACCCGCGCATTCCGAATCGCTTACTTTACCTCTTCTGCCGTATCATCGGGTGGATCGCATTCGCCGTGCATGTCATCAGTATCGGCATGGCGGAACTCCCGACGCAAATCTGTTCGGTCGTCCTCATAATCGTTGCCACGGTCCTGACGGGGTACAATGTTGGTTGTGAGGACTCGAAGCTGTGGTTGAATATCCGGAAGAAGATGGGATATAGTCCCTGCGAGGACCAGCCGCTGACTTGTTGGGTTACCTCCAAATTGAAGGTCACTATATCTTCATATCCGGAAGAGTGGACGAGGTGGAGCCCACCTCCGAAAGAGCAAGTGCATCAAAGGATAGAGGAGGTGCAGGAGAAGGGATCGAAGCGGTCGTGGGGTAGGAAAAAGACTTCAGTCGATATAGAGAGCCCCCCGCCACATAATAGTCCAGAGCCGATTCAGGAACGGCGTCAGGACCTTTATGTTTGGCTGGACTTGACAAAGGAGCAGGACGACTGCCTTAGTGCATGGGGGTTGATCCCTCATAGCGCGGAATGGAAAAACGGATATCAGGAGAAGAAGAAGATCCATCGTCAGAGGACTTTGGCTATGACAGGCCCGGCGAGGACATTATAGCATAATGATAATGATAAAATGAAAAGTTCAAAGCCTGCTGTCTTGATATGCAGAGATCTTCTATTGTCTTCCAATATCAAAATCTATTCATGTTTTTCCGTAATAGCATTAAGCTCACTATCCCAATCCCAATGAGGCGAACTCTCATCCTCGGATGGAATAGGCGACATGATCGAAACCGGATATTGAACCAAGATATCAGGGTCAATAGAATGACTCTCCTTATGGGGCGTATAATTCGGATCGTCCACGTTCAAATCCACACCGTCTAGTGCAGTCGGGGTTGGCGGCGTCAAATAGCCGAATTCGACTCCAGAAAAATCTGGAAAATTGTCCGCGTTGAAAGGAGCTAGGTCAAAGACTGGATTCCGCGGGTCCATCATTGTCCAGTAGTCCACGACAGCTGTTAGGATCGTTGATTCGGTCTGGGTGAGTTCGTGGAGACGCGGTTTGTGGCAGAGGAGGATATCGCTGTATCGGGAGCATTGGATTACGAAGGATTTTAGGGCGTTTGCCTGTATATGTGAGTATTTCGCATTGGTAGCCGTGAAATAGGAGGGAGACTTACCATCATCTGAGCATTACCCCATAGCTCGGATATCTCGCTCAGATAATCGAGCGCAGTCCTCAGATATTCAGCTGAACTGGCGCTTATAACAGAACTGTCGCTGTACAGATACAGCGCATGGATGGTACTAGCCAGCAAAATGCAATAGCTATAAACCGACGGCACAGGCATATAACCCGCCGCTTTTGCTTCGACAAGAACAGTAACGAGCGACCCAGCATGCACAAGACAAGTCGCACGCGTCTCCTCCAACCATGCACCGGGGATCTCATAGTGCGGAAAGGGTTGAAGCTTAAGCGCTAGCAGAAAAGGGTGACTCAGGATACAGTGGGCGAGATGGTATACCGTATGTGAGAGGACCATGTGGGCTGTCTGTTCGCGATCGGAATCGTGCAGGTCATTTTGGGATCGAGGCTGGCCTGGCTCGGCGAGAACGGGGCTGTTTTTGATGGCGAGCTCTTTCAGGAACTCCAGGTCTGTGTGGATGAGCGAGGATTCGGAGTCGTGTTGCCAGGGGGGTTGGGAAACGGGTTTCTTGCTCATCATGCATTTCACGGCTCGGCCTAGGACGGAGGCGAGGCCGACGCTGATGCCGAACATTCCTGGTTGGAGTGACAGGTTTCGATTTTCTGTTGATAGTAGTTGTTTCAGTGTTGTGGGTGACCCTTTTGTTGTTGGGTCGTGGTATTTTGGGAGGTCGAGGTGACAGTCTGAGTCTTTGATGGCGGGTGGTCGATCGAATGAGCAGCATACAAAGCGGTCGAGGAGGTACAGGGACCAAAATAGATTTCGTCGCTCATCTCGCTCGAGATCAGAGAATTCTGCGGAGGGTTCCATCATCATGTTCAGATCTTGGCTGATTCGGACGGCCATTCCAATCTTTACCCACGCGCCTCGCCGTCGGCCAGCTAGCAGATTCTCAGCATGAACACACACAATCTATATCCACAAGCCGGGTAGTACTCACCAGTCGCATCAATAACACCCAGAATAGCCAATGTCTGGATCAACGTGACATCCTCATTGCCATCCAGCCCATCAGGTGAGGACATGATCAGCTCCCAGGCTCCACGCGCATACCCATCAATCGTGCTTTGTTTTCTTTCTTTCCATTGCGAACGAGACGAATAGCGAGTGGCGCAGGCAATCAGAGCTAGGCGAAGATGAAGCGGGATCTGATTTTTCGCGAGCTTATTTCTGAATAGCTTTGCATTGAAGAAGCCGTATGGTTTGTTGTGGCAGTGTCGGAAGTACACGTCGCATGCCTCGAGGAAGACCCTGTCCGGGGTGGGGGACGCACTTCAAAGGTTTCAAGGTCAATCCCGAAATATTGAACGAGAAACGTTGTCTGCGAGGTCTCACCTTGGAACACGTCTATGGGTCGCCATCGAGAAATTTCTAGTCTGCTAGATCGATACACAACTCGTTATAGGGCAATTTTCGGTGTTGCGCGGCACTCAGGTTTTCGACAATTTGCAGGTCAGGTGCGCGAGAAAAGAAAAGTTAGCTGCAGGTCCCACATTCAGGATCGAGGTCATATTACTCAATTAGATGCTACGAGCAGGTTTACTGAGGCAGGCCGGGGTTGCTACCCGGCCCCGCATTCCCCGATTCTCCGCGTTTAACCGCGGTGGAGCCCCGCGAGCTGACAGAAGCCACGCATTATTGGATGCGCTTGAACTATTGCTTTGGCTGCCTATTAGCAACGGTAGTATTAGGAGGGAATTTAGATTGTTCTTGGTGGAATCTGCGATGCGGATTGGTTGCTGATCTTTTTTTGCGGACGCAGCGATGAAACTAACGACGTCAACAAGATCTTCACCTGATCGGCTTGTTTACCCCGCCAATCTCGATCATTCCACTCAATTGAATAAAATACAGCAAATACGAATGCGATTTTAGTGGAGAGGCAAGATATAGTACTCGAAGTACTCGGCCCGATGGTATCGTGCTATGGTACATTCTGTAGTAGTCTGAGTACGCATTAGATGGGACCAAAATAGACATCTCAGTCTGGACATGATTGTTGGATCCTATGAACAGATACTATTGAGCCTATTCCTTCATAGAATTCTAATTATCGCTGAGTCTGCTCGATGTCATTTCTCCTCTTGAAACCCAAGCACAAAATATAGTGTCATCTACCCCAAGGTAGTTTTGGCCCCCACGCTATAACCCACGCTGATGCCATCGATGCCCCGCGACATCTGACATTTCCCTCCATGTGAAACCTTGGACACAATTAAAGCATCGAAACCTCCAGAATGACCGTCAAAGTCCTCATCTACGCCTACCGCAAACCAGGCCTCTCCATCGAGGAATTTAAAAAACGCTACGAAACACACGCCGCACTGGTCAAACAACTAGCAGGCGCCGACTTCCCCTTTGTCACAAACGCACCTACATCGCCCGCACCACCGTCGAGACTGCCACGAATGAAGCGTCGGCTCGGAATGCAACGACACCGGCGATGGTGGTTGTGGGCCAACAAACAGATTTCGACTTCGACGCCTACGCAGAATTGACATTCGTTGACCAGGCTGCGCTGGGGACGTTCACGGCGAAGGTTCAGAGCCCGGAGATTGCGAGGCGGATTGAGGAGGATGAGGAGGAGTTTCTTGATCGGGGGAGGCTGGGGATTGCGATGCTTGGGGAGGTTTGTGAGACTACGAATTAAAGATGTATTAAGCGTGGTGGAGAAAAAAGGAACTCTGGGATTTTCGGGTGTCAATAGCCACGGAGAAGTTGGAACTTGAGTGACTTTCATCAGAGGGTGCGACGGTGACGAGTAACAAGGTCCTATCGTCAAACTCTGGCAGTTTAGAATTCGTGCATTAAAAGATGGAACAAGAAATGCGATAGCATCTTTCAATTCTGCGACGAATCACATGATGTGTCGGATTGAGAAGGCGTCTGTCTGGATGCTGATTCAAGAGCGAGAATATTGGAATCTCGAATCGATCTAGGCTATCACTGCTTAAAGCCAGTAGAATTCCACTAGTAGAGATCGAAATAATTTCCAGAAATCGGTAGCGAAAATGCAGTTAGGACATCTACCAGGAGGAATAATTGTAATGTGGTGAGCATGGGCGGGTATGTCGAGGTTTGCTTCGCAAATGTGATTCTGAGTTTCAAAATTAACATATCGATTTTCTGGCCTCATCCGATAGCGTCAAGCTCGAAAATCACAGCTATCAAGTGACCACCAGGCGAAATCGTGTTGTTATCTATCTATGCGTCTTCACAATCTTCCATCTCATCCCTCCTGACCCACTCCGCGACGGACCCCTAACAGGTGCAAATCTATGCTGCAATGGCAATTTAGAACCAAATTCCTTCCTTACGCCTCAATTTTCTCAGACCTACTGTCCACGGGAACCTCTTCTAGCCACTTAACTACCGTATCCCCCAAACAACACCGCGTCGTACGTCGAGTCGGTCACGAGATCAGTGAATGGCCTGGACTAGGCCTTTCCACTGCAGCTAGTAGGTATCGAATTGAATCTAAAAGGGGAATTACCATCCGATTGCAGGTAAATTGTTGTTTAGCACAACTCCCATCTTCACGCTGATTCCAAATATCAGACTTTTTGTTGAGCAGTTGGTAATTGTTTGTATTCGTTACGATGGCTTCGGACCTCGGCGATGAACGATGGCCATGCAGTTTCTCGAGGTCGAAAACTCCCTTTCGCAATGTTAGCTTTGCAAAATCAAGCTGAACGAGGTGATCGACGAGAGGTCCTTGCGACCACGCATGCAGATATCGGAAGCTCTTCACATCGGCCGCGAGCGTCCGACACAGATCCGCCCCGCACAAAACCCCCGTCGCGATAATCGCAAAAAATTGCTAGAATCGATATAGGACCCTGTTCAAGTGCAAGACTTTCGGAAGAAACAGTCGCTTCAAACTGGAAGGGAGGGGGAGTGGGGGGCTGTGGTGGTACGCGGTGTCTTTGCCCCTGGTTGCGCGAAAGAAGCGAACGAACGCTGGTGTTTCACCTTGCAAAGCTTCTCCATATTCCTGGCTGGACCCTGCGAGAAGCCCAACGCGATGACGAAATGGAGGCCAAGCTGTGTTCAAAATCCTCTGACCCTTTTACCCTTCTTTTGCTGGGGCGTAGAATTCTGACGTGATCTCCGCCATTAACCCGTTGACAGTGGTGCCCGTCTCTGCGTCTGGCTGCCTGTGCCAAATGACATGGTCCTCGTGGACCAGGTCTGGACGCCTGTCATGTTGCGAATGGGAAACGAGGGATCTTCCAGCGGAAGATCAGCCTTGCCCTTTGTGACCCATTTCAATCATTTTGTACTTTGTTCGGGTGGGTTGTAATTGCGGGCAAGGTCCAGATCGCAGGCCGATGGGCGATTTCGTCCAAGTACCGGCATCGCCAACTGGGCCCTGGGGGGCCCACCGGGCCGCACGGGCGAGACGGGCGGCATTTGAACGATGGGATATTTGGAACTTCATCTACCCCAGGCTCCCGCAGCGGTTCAATGGTGCTGCGCGAGAGTCCAGAACATTTTCCCGACCTCCCAGCAGTGTCCCTCCTCATCTCCAGCGACGGGAAGTGTTATGGGGGCCCTAGACAGGGTTGGTGGCGGGACATTCAATGTGAAACGGTAGCTCGGCCGTACGCACCGATTCCTCGCAGGTGAAACACTGAAACGGTGGCTGCGACGCCCGAGCCCTTGGAGGCGGGCGAACTGGACGAGGCGATGTGGCTGTCGACCGCGAAACAAACGGACTGCACACTCGAACTCGTCGCCAGGCTGGTCTCAACATGAAGCAATGGCGCAGAGATCGGGTTCGTGAATGCGAGCTGTTCTTGCCTAACCTCCACACTCGAGGTCGGGGGGTCGTCACATTGTACACTAGTCGTTTTCCGCGACCGTTTGGCGATGGTGTCACCCAGCACGATGCTGTCCGACTGAAAATTCCGAGCGGGTTGTGCCACCTCGACTGCCATGGAGGGCCATCACCCGCCGATTCGTTGGCTCCGACATGACTGAGATTAAAGGTCCCGTTGTGATGGCGGCTGGGGAGGCTGATTGGGGGAGGCGTTGGTGGTGGTTGTGTTTCTTGTGCCTGAGACGGTGGAGCTGCTCCACATCCGTACTTCTTAGTGAAGTATCGGTACCGCAGTCATCATACTGCGGGCCTGCTATCCGCAAGTACCGCTACTTCGGCACATCCCACTGCCTCCCGACTGCTCCACTCATCTGTAAAATATAACCAGAATAAAATAGGCTAAGATTAATGTGTACTGCGAAAATCAGAAAGTCCTGCACGATGATGTACGGACTCGTATCATTGGGCTGTATTATTACGATATCGCGTTAATCTCAGTAGATTGGCAGAGTGGAGTGGCCTTAATTAATCGACCGTCTGCCTACGACCTCTCTTCCCTCTCGTCTCTCTTGTCTTCCCTTTTTCTGCAAGCTGTGCTGCTCACTTCTCTTCTTCTCTCTCATTCTCTGGAGAACTTTCATTCAGTCATTCTTTTCCTGCGAATCGATTTCGCATCCACTCACTTGTTCAAGATCCTCGTTCACTTCTGCACACTCGCTCATCCGACATTGACTGTCTCTGAGATTCACCTCGATTTCCATCCATCATGCACGGAATGAACAAGCTTGCTCTGGCACTGGTTGCCGCCATGGCTGCCGTGGGTGAGGCTGAGCCCAATGGACTCCACGCCCGTCACCTGCGTGCCCGTGGCCCTGGCCTGCAGCAAACCGAGACTCTTCCCACGCCAGTCCCGGGCCCGACGGAGACCCCTGCGACCTCTGAGCCTGCTTCCGACAGCAGTGCGCCATCCAGCGTTGCCTCCGCGACTCCTTCTGAGGCTCCATCTGCCGTTCCCTCCGATGGGCCTTCCAGCACGCCCGCTGGCGAGCCCCCCGTTGCTCCCTCGAGCACTCCTTCTGGCACTCCCTCCAGTATTCCCTCTGGCACCGGCCCCGCTAGCATTGCTCCCTCCAGCAGTGGCCCGTCCAGCATTGTTCCCTCTGGAGCTGCTTCCTCTGGCGTTCCTTCTGGAACCGCCCCCGTTGTTTCTTCCGGTACTCCCTCCGGCACTCCCTCCAGCACTCCCTCTGGCAAGCCGCCTGGAAAGCCCACTCGCACTCCCTCTGGCAAGCCTTCGGGTTTCCCTACGAGCTACCCCTCCGTGGGGCCGTCCTCTTCTGGGGCTTCCTCCTCTGGAGTGATCTCCTCCACTCCCTATGGCACCGGCCGTCCCACCTGGGGCACCTCTTCAATCTCTCCCGTCTCGACTCCCGTCTCAACCCCCATCGTTGTGACCTACACCCAGGGCAGCGGTTCTTCCACTAGCGTCGTGACCACCACCATCTGGCGCACTGCCTCTAACGTCCACACTGTCACTGCTGTATGTATACTACCCCATTAATCATTCAACAAAGTTCCGCAACTAACAGTTTTATAGACCGAGAACGGCGGTCCCCTGGAGACTCCTGGCGCCAATGGCCACAACCAGAGCGGCGAGGGCGAGGACGAGGATGAGGGCGAGGACAGCACCTCTACCGTTACCTCCACCCTACACTCCACCGCCACTGAGACCGTCACCCTGGTCCAAGTTCCCACCAGCTCTGTCATCGCCGGCAATGGTTCTGGTTCTGGTTCTGGCGAGTGCAGCCCTGTCACCGTGACCGTCACCGAGACCGTTACTGCTGTATGTACTACTCGCAACCCTGCAATTGACCATATTAATGATAAAATCATACAGAACGGCGCCGCCACCTCTGCCCCCAGCAGCAACAACCACCAGCAGGGCAGCGGCAGCAACGGTGAAGGCTCCAGCGAGGGCTCCGACGAGGGTGAGGAGACCACCACCATCCAGGCCACTGCTACCGCCACCGAGACCTCGACCGAGACCCCCAGCGTGACCTATACCCCTACCGGGCGTCCCCCTTACGGCGGCAACGGCACCCGCCCGTTCCCCTCCTTCACTCGTCGCCCCCACTCCTCGGCCCCCTACACCAACTCCCACCGTCCCACTGGCACCATCGCGCCCATCCCCAGCGGCCCTAGCACCCCGGCCGCCCCCTCCGGCCACCCCGAGCCCACCGGCTTCTTCGCCCGCTGGTTCTAAGAACATGCACGTCTGATCCCATGGAGACCTCGTCCCCGTCCTTGACACGAGCCGGTCAATGATTACGAGCGTTTTTTCGAGACTTCTTTTGTCCGTGCATCTGCGCGCTGGAATTGTACCTATTTCGACAAGGGTTTGGTACAAGCGAACTGGCCCATTTCACTTCTTGACCCTTTTTTATCATCTATATTTATTTTTCCCTTCTTACGTTGGATATCGGTCGACCTTAAGAGCATTTGACCTTCCGTCTTTCTCTTGACCGGCAATGCACAGTTCGTCTCTGATCTTCCATACGTCCTTTTCAATTCTCCAATGAGAATAACCTTTCTTTTTTGTTTCGCTTTTGAATAGGACTGGGACTGTCTCTCGTATTTAGAAAATGGTGTCATGACGATTTATGGATGCATTTTCTTTCCAAATTTCTTGCTCGACTGCGGTGCGAAGGGAAATCTACCGCATTTTCACTCCCCAAAGGCTGTATGGAATAGTTTTTTATGTTTATGCTAGGGCATCCCTTCCGTACTATGCAGTGTTTGTTTACAGATAAACTCTGCTTGTGCAGATTCTCGGCCTGACAGACGTACTTACGTAGAGTTTATGTCGTTTCACATAGCTGCGTCGTGGTGGACCTGATGTCGATCATTGCCGATCACCGTCGATCAGATCGTACCGTCGTTCCGTTGAGCTTCAGCCTCAGCCTATGTATAAGCAGTGTTGTTTTCCCGTCGACTTAATATTCCCCGGCTGTTGTATAGATTTGTTTCAGATATTATACATGATAGAACATTAATATATGGTACATTTCCCCAATCTCAAAATCCAGGTAGATCTCACTCCACCTCCAACCCCTCAACTCCCTGACGCACAATCCTTTCTCGCATCCTCAACCACTCAATCCAAGTAACGCCCTGCAAAAGACAATCCGCCAAATCATCAAGCTTCGCCACATCACCAAGCTGCGCCGCATCTTCCTGCAGGTGTCGCCCGCGAACTCCAGGATTCCGCAACTTCTCAACATACGCCGCGGCCAACCTCGAAGAAGGCAGGTCCTTCGGGAGAAGGATTCTGTGGTGTCTGCCAGCAGACACATCTTCACCACTCTCTAGACGTTCCATATCAGCCTCCAGCCACCTCCCCACAAGCTCAATCTTAGCCTTCTTAACCTCCCTTGCCGTCGGCCTCTTTGTTTTCTTCCCACCCTCCGAGTCTTTCCCACGAAGTTTGGACCCAAAGTCGGAATCGGCAACGCCCCAGTACTGCACAACCCGCTTCGGCTCAATACCGTGCACACCAATTTGCGATATAGAGGCATCTTTTTGTTGGAGCGTATGCAGCGTAGAATAGAGCATCGCCTCGAAAATCCCAACCCGCAACGTCCACTCCTGCACAACGCTCGATCCACCAGATCGAAAACGCTGTCGCTCGATGAGGATGTGTGTTGGTTTGTACTTGTTTATCAGGGTTGTGAGGAGGGTATACGCTGCTGAGGCGTAGTATGGTAGGGAGAACGTAGAAACAGCCTTCTCTTCCTCTGCCTGCGCCGAGCTTGCATCTTCATTCCCGCCTAGAATCACCGTCTGGGCAGAAACAAACCCTCCATCCGAGCTCAAACTCGAAATATCAGACAACGCAAGACGCCGCCAGGCACGTACCTCCGGTCTAGACCCCACCCGGTCCCGATCAAAGGCATTCTCAACCCTCAAATGCGCGAACGCAAGATTTTGGATTCCCATATCAATACTGAGGATACTCAGTGGGCCTTCATCCCTGAAGCTCTGACCGGTCCCTCTATCATAGAATTCCTCCAACGCGCCCCCAATCCGCCCAATAAGCTCCTTCCTCGTCCCCGAGGACGCGAGACCCGTCGCGCGAGCTATATCCCGTAGCGGTGCTAGACGTATACTTGAGAGCCACTGCCCTTGGCCGTGCCAATGCGTTGCGCGAGCAGTGCTACCGAAGATGGTGACGCTCGGCCGCATTTTTGGCGGTGGTTGAGTGCTTTGCTTTTGTTTTGCCTGTTTCGGTTGTGTGGGTTGGGTTTACCACTGCCGGGTTTGCGGGCCGATCTGATCTCCTGCGTCGGATTTGCGCAACAATCCGCGCATGGTGTTATTCTTGGAATACCGTGCGCGTGTCTTCTTTTCCGTGGGATTCGGGAAGGGGTGGATGGCCGGATTTGACGCGGTGACTGCCGATCTCGCGCACGGGCCATGCCTGCGTGCGGATGGCGATGGCTAGGGAAAGGGTTAGATTTACATTTTGTAGAAAAGATATTTTGGGAAATTTTGGGATCCATTTTTTTGGATGGGAATTCGATTTGGTGTACATTTTTCCGGGATCGATTCCTCAAAAAAAAAAAAAAAAAAAATTTGAAATGAAAATGAAAATAGCAAAGCAACGCTGATCTATGTCCCAATTCGATTAACTCCGTCAAGAGAATACCAGCCAGTTCCAATATCCGTCCTCAAACGCCTTGTTTTGCCCGAAACGCCATAGCCAGTAGAAATGCAGACGCTGAAGGGCGGGTTCACAAAAAAAAAATGTAAATGATGCAAAAAGGAAAAGGAAATCAACCAAGAGGTGTGGATGGGCTTAGATGAAGGCTGGAGGGTCGAGATCTGCGATTTCATCCTTGAGGTATAGGATTGGCGCCCAGACGCGCCAGTGTAAGACACCCATGTGAGCGAGACGCATGCCAATGCGCTCTATGTCGTATTGTTGGGGATTGAGAGACGACTGGGATGAGGGTGTCGTGGATGGTGCTGTCGACGAAGGTGCGGGAGTAGAGCCTGCCGGGCCGGTTGATGGAGGTTGCGGACCAGTGCGCTGAGATTCGCAGATCGCCAGTGGTGACAGAGGGAGGTATTTGCGAGCTGATGACAGTGTCGCAGTAAGGACCTTCTCACGCATCGTATTCTGGAAGTAGCGGAAGAGGTCGGACTCGTTGGACAGGTGCCATTCGAGGGCGGCCTCGATGGGCGTGATGACCTCGTCGGCAACGACCACATCGAGGCAGCAGGCAGCGCATGCAAAGCGGGCGATTTCCAGGGCAATGCTGCGCATGTTCTGGAGCCAGCGGACGCCGCCTCGAAGATAGGGATCGTCGTCGTCTGCGCTGCCGGCCCGGCTGTTCAGATCCACGCCGTCTTCCATGAGGGACCATATCCGAGATCGGAAGGTGGAGTATGTCTCGTCGCGGGCAGAGAGATACCGTTTCTGGGTGTGGACGTATGATTCAAAGATATACCAGGCGATTTCGAGGTTGATGAGGTTTTGAATGGTGCTGCGCAGTTGCCAGAGTCTGTCGGAGTCGAAGAGGAATGTCTCGGGGAAGTCCTTCGGAGGTTCGAACTGGAGAAGATGCTCGGTGATGCCGCGGAAAAGCGCGTCCAAAGGCTTCATGTCGTCCGGTTGGGAGGATGTTGGGCTCTTTTGCTCGTCTTCCTGTTGCGCGGTGTCTCGGGCTGAAATGTACCATTGTCGTGCAGACTCGATCTGGATACCACCGCGGTTGATCTTGCCTTCGAAATATTCTGTCAAGAAGGGAACAGTATCTTCGATGAGCAGGACCCGGAAAGTGCGTATTTGATGGTTGGCCACGTCCTGGAATCTGTCTTAGCAAGTGGTCGAGTTCGAGTTCGCAGAGAGTCATTTCTTACCAGTTTCATTGCCTCCAAGATGGCAAACAGCGTTTGGAGACCGTTGACAATTTCCTTTGGATCTTGCGATTGCGAGCCATCGGTGATCTGCTCCACCATTCGATCCGCCCACTCGTCCCGCATGGGGGCGCAGTGGGTTTTCAGCAGAGCCGCCAGCCACGTCGCTAGCGCAACCATGTCCAGGACACCTTTGCGAACTTGCTGCATGAGCAGGGATACTTCCAAATTTTGCATGACGCTCGGGTGATCGCGTTCTGGGACCAGGGTTTTAATGACCTCTTGCAGGGTCTCGAACATGCCAGGCAAACGAGGCTCGAAGGTGCGATTCCCATTCCCCCCAGGACTCCAAGATGCATTTGCAGTATCCGCGGGCTGGGCAGCTTGGAAGGCATAAATCGCAATTTCCGATGCCATCGAGTCCCAGTAATCAGCGGCCTCCTTCCGCTTGCGTCTCCCTTTTTCACCATCGAGGTCGGGCTTAAAGTGCAGATCGCGGTCAAAGTTCGCGTCCATACGGAGGTTGATATTGCTCATGATACACGGTAGATCGAGCTCGCTGAGCGTTTTCTTTGTCACGGGCGGGTGGCGGCGGGCCTTGCATAGTAGGCGCTGATCGCGAGAACTGAGTCCCAGGGCCTGAGGAATGCTGACGGCCTCCGGGGACGGTGAAGGCTCTCGTGGCCTCGATGGAGTGCTGGTAGATGATGTGCCGGATGAGCGAGCTCCGGGTGGATATGCGAAAGATGGTTGGCGACGACGAAGCGGGTGGACGTTGGCCGGGTTTTCGTGGGCGTGAGAATCGCGCCCCTCGTTCTTGTGATACTCTTTGGAGCGGCTACTGCCAGCGCCGTAGGCATCCAAGGTACCCTCGGCGCCCTCCTCCTGCGTCCGGGCCTCTTTTGTTCCCTGAAGATCCATCGCCAGGAATTCCCCCGGGTTCTTGCCAGCTTAGAATTTATTTTTGGTTTCTGCCGACCCGTGTTAGATAGGGATAATCCGAGCCACGCGAAAGGGGGGAAAGGTTCGAGGTATGACGGGCAGGACTCCCTACGCCATATTTTTTCACCCTTACCCGGGCAATCGCAAGGGCCAGAGGGGAAAAGACGGGGGGGGAGGGAATCAAGCGAGAACAGTTGACTTACAATTTGATTTCGATTTTGCCCCCTGTTTGCCTCAGGCAGGCGGCCAATCCGCGTTGGCTACGGAGTGATGCAAGTGAGCTGTCAATTGCTGTGGAGCCACCAGCGATGCTGGGATCTGCGGGCGATCGGCCTCGTGGTGCGATCAGGAGGTAAATCGACTTGTGCTTTTTTCTTTGCTTTGCTGCGCAGGGTGGAATCGGCCAGATAATCGAGAGTGATTTCACGGGTCAAACACGGCGAATGTGAGTTCAGATCTCAGCCCTGGGGATCGAAGATCCACATCGAGCGCCGGCGGTATAGAAGTGGCCCAAGGAACTGGACCTGGGAACTGGCGGCCCTGAGAGCAAGCGAGGGTGTTGCAGAGACAAATCAGGCGAAAGAACCGAAAACCAAATAGCGAGTGATTGGGAAAGCGACCGGGTTGGCCTGATATAGGTCTCCAACGTTTTCAGTCGACGGTTCCGGGTGGACGCAAGCAGAGGGATCGACGGCCTCACATTCCAATGCTGCTACCCGCTTCCAGGACTCCAGAACCAGAGAGGACCTCGATGCTCGAGTTTGGCACGATCCCCGATCGGTGGATCGTCGAACCCCTGAAGCCACTCCTGCACCTAACATGTTAGGGTTGAAAGGGGGCAAGCCGACGAAGGGTACACCAAGTCCATCGCGCCGCCTCACTTTTACGCACTGGCCACGTGAGGACTCGCCCCGAGATTTGTCGGGGAACCACTGGCCCAGCAGTGACAGTTGGTTTGGCGATGGCGCCGGGATCCAGTCGCGGGCGAACTGGTCAACTGCATCAGCGCCAGTGTCATTGTCGATTGCGTGGGATCGCGGTTAGTTTTGGGTTGCGAAAGCGCGAGCCCGGCGGAGTTTAGGCTCGGGTTCATGCCTGAGTATTCAGGCAGAAACGCACAAAGCTCCACCCGCGGCTCCACTATATACATCGTCAACAACACCCACCGCAATTCTATAAAAAGAATATCTCCATCACATCCTGGCCAGACCGACACTTTGAACGAATTGTTCACTCGGGAGAGTCGGGCAATTTCCAGGATTTGTCGGCCCGCGTGGAAGACATGTGGCAATGTTCTACCTGAAGTCACTGGTTGAAAGACGGGCTGTCTTATTGAGCCCCGATTGCGGACATCGTCGATTACCCAAAAGGGTACTCAACAAGGATTTCATCCAGTGGCATTTCAACGATGAATAATTCAATGAATATCAAAGAGCCCATGATGGATTCTTCTGCACGGAAGTCTTTTACGATTTTTATCGCGATTCTGTCGATCTTTTTATCCCGAATCCCGACTCCTACGAGTGATTTTTCACCCATATCAACTACGATACCGACGCACCCGCCATGCCACTATTAGGAATGCTGTACTTCTTTCATTTCTTGTGGGCAGTGCCCATCACGCTTTTTTCCCGGTCCACCCGGGGCTTGGATACATCCCAATTTCAAGTTCACTCTTTGCCGGGAAGTCCCTCTTTACCAACCAGCTGGGCTGGGAGACTGGCAATACCGGGGACGAAAAAGGGAAACAGACTTTTCTTCTGGTTGTTCGAAGCGGAAGATGCGGCCCATGATGACAACCTGATAAGTGTGTTCGGGCCGCGAAAATACCCGGTACGAAGCTACGACTAACACGGCCGAACATCACAGTATGGTTTAATGGTGGGCCCGGGTGTTCATCATTGATCGGAATGGCTACAGGGAACGGACCCATCTCTTTCGTCGGGAACTCTACCAACCTTGTCCGCAACCCATATTCATGGACAAAACTGGGACATGTCCTGTACGTGGACCAGCCTGTCGGTACTGGGTTCTCAACTGCCAGCACCCCCTACCCAGTAACCAACAATGCCTATACGACGGCTTATTTCGTTCAATGGCTACAGTACTTCCTGTCAGCTTTCCCACACCTCCAGTCGAAAAAGATCCACCTCATGGGCGAGTCATATGCAGGCATCTACATACCCTACATCTCATCCGCTCTACTGGAAGGAAACAACACCAAGAACCTGAAAATCCGATCCATGTCCTTGGGCGACGGAACCTGGGGCAGCGCTGCAGCAATGGCCGACATCGCCATGGGCGCCTACCTCCACAGCCAAGCCAAGCAGCTCCACGTTCCAAACACTATCCTCTCAGCATTCGACACAGCAGACCAAGCCTGCGGCTTCACGAACGTCCTCAAGCAGGCCCAGACATACCCACCGACAGGAAAAATACACATCCCAGGGAATCTGAAAAATATGAACTATCGTCGTCGTCATCGCCGCGACCTCACCACCGCCGGCGACAGCGCATGCAGCATCGACCCTGTCAACGCATCGGCTGTCTATACGTCCATCATGAACTCAACCTGTTACGAGCCGTGCGCGACTTTCTCTGTTGCAATGGACTATCTAACAGCCATCTCTGCTGACGGGACCGGGTCACCCTGCTTCGATATTTATGATATTCATCATAACTGCAGCACTATCGATCCGCTTCAACTACTGGCAGAGTACTTTAGCCGTTCAGACGTGCAGAAAGCACTCCACGTTGACGACAGTGGGGTATACAGTCCCTGCAATTCTAACATCCTGTCGACTCTCCTCGCCGCATCCTCACCCGTTCCACCAGAGTACGAGCTTCTCCCCTCCCTCGTGACAAAACATAACCTCTCGCTGCATATTTATAATGGGAAGTGGGATATGCTCATCAATCACCTGGGAACGGAGCTTTCGATTCAGAATCTGACGTGGCGTGGCGGTCAGGGATTCTCAACGAAACCTTATCGTCGGTTCTATGTTTCGGATGCGGCGCCGGATGATGACAGTGTACGTGGTGTCGACGCTGGGACGTGGGCGAGTGAGCGCGGTGTATCGTATCATCTGTTTGAGGGTGCGGGTCATAGTGTATTTGCAACCAAGACTGAGGCGATGTTTTCTTTTGTTAGGGATGTTGTTGTTGGTGAAAAGGTAAGTTGAGAATTTGTGGGGGGTTCGGTCTTGTCCTTTATATTGTTATTAGTGTAGTGAGGTGGTATCGGGTGTGAGATACTATTACTATAGATAAAATTATGTTATGTTCGAACTTTATCGATCTTGCATGCGAGATTTTGAGTTAGCATTTGAGCCATCTTGTGGTTTGTCTTAGCAGGTCATGGGTAGGGTTTGTCTGGCTTCGGACGATGTCGACAGAATGGTACATCAAGGAGATAGGAAAATCCAGAATATGCTGGGATCAGAGTTGAAGTTTTCGTCATTTGCCTTTGGGTCTGAACAATAACATTTGAGGAGATTTCACTACTCTCAACACTAGTTTGTTGACTTACCAATTGAGTTGCTTGGCTTGGAGTTGTCATTTGTCCTGCGGCTGCGAACATTTTTGGGTCCAAAGTTCGAGGGATAAGTCGTTATTCTTGGACTACATTACACTAAAATAAAGCTGCCGATGAGAGTTATATATACTACAAATACAATATCGGCAATGTTTCTTGCTCTTCAAAATGTTGGTGTTGTGCCTAATGGCTCTTGGTGCCAAGGCGATCATGTCAGGCCAACCCAACGCTATACTCATTACAATGCAGTGTACGTTGTGTGAAAAGCATATTGTGAAGAAGTAAGTGTCTAACACGATGCACATTGTATCGATAAGATGTAACTAGTAGTCATAATTACCAATAACCTCGTTAGATGCTGTCACTCGGAACTCACGACTACTCACCATGAGTCATGATAGATCATAGCTGCGGGTTCGGCGTATCGCAAACGGGGCACTGTGGATTTTACACTAGTGTAAATTTGGCCCTCCGACAAAGGTACTACGCTCCCGAGGTCTGCGGTAACACCTGGGCATTCGTTCTACATGCCAATGTGCCTCGGGAAAATGCCGACTTACAAAGCAAGACCTGATTCAAAGCTCTGGGCGTTCGTGAGAGATTTTTATTGCCAAATAGGCTGCGCCACGAAAACATATACCGAATTTCGTCCTAATGAAATCCAGCTCTATCGCTAATAGAAGATGAGGTATAAAAAGAGTTTCATGTCTACTAAGGTGAGTGCGCAAAAGCTGCAGCAGGATTACTTTAGTATATGTGTCTGTGGTATCAAATTGTCGGTGCTCATTTCGTTATCATCAAATGTCAACAAAGTGACTGGAGAACAGGCGATGCAATTAACATGGTTGATTGCTATTGAAACATTCCATTTAAGCGCCTCTCACCGACGCGAGAAGAATGGCGTCTGCGTTCCCATAGAGAGGAGGGAATCGGCGCGCTGGAAGACGTCGCCCTCGAAGAACTTGTCGCTGTATGCACTCGCCGGTGTAGAAGGCACAGTAGCTTGTGCAGCAGGCCCTAGTGCCGCGCTCAGCGGTGTTGCAGGGACGGTGATCGATTGGGGGGACATGCCAGCGTTGATCTGGTAGATATTGGGGTGCGGAGCCAGGGCAGATGTCGAGACGGAAGCCTGGTGCTGTGATTGTGAGGTTTGCAGCGGAGGTCCGTAGATGTTCCCATGGGCATTTGTCGGGGCCATGTCGGCGAGGTAAGACCAAGGCGAAGCCTCGATGAGGCGACCCGCTTCGCGACTGGCTTTTTGCACCGGTCGCAGGATAATGATAATGTCTGAAGGGAGGAGTTGCATGCTGCGGACCTCTCGCATGTCGGTTACTAGGTCCACGAAGGACTGCATGAATGTCTTGCAGAGTTGCCAGAATTCTCGTTGGTTTCGTAGTCCACCACCTGGTTCCTTCACCTTCATGCTGGAGAGACGCATTCCCAAACCCTCCGAGACCTCGAGGCAGAATCTGCAGCGACGAATGAGATTGTTCCATAGCATCTGGATCCCATCAGATTCCCGTGATTGCTCTGCAATTTCGAGGCACCGGGAGAATTGACGCCGCGCCAGTGGAAGCGCTTGCAGGGCGCTTGAATAGGCTGAGGTAAGCTGATGGAAAATCTTTTCGAATATGCGCTCTTCTTCAAACTCGTCTAGTCCAGTGAGAGGGTTGATTCGAGGCGCACTCGTAACTGGGATGGGTGGGAATGCCTCCCCAGAACGAGGTGTCGCCAACGAAGATGGAACCGAAGTGTTGACCAAGTTGGACCGGCTGCTGGACCGGCTTCGTGACGCATAGGGAATAGAGAAAGGCGGAGTGGCAAATCCAGGTGATCCAATCGATGTTTGCCCTGATGAATTCAGAGGCAGAGGAGGGCCAAGAGGAAGTTGGGGATGGCGAATTGTCGTATCGCTTCGCAAGCGCCGGGGTGGTGCAGACGACTCCCTGGTTGGAGTGACCAGAGGCCGCGGAATCCGTTCCGTAGGTGGAGGAGGGCCTTTGATAGGTTCCGGCATGGATGGTTTAGGTGCGGAGAGTCGCTTCTGGGATGGTCGAAGTGGAACACTTAGGCTGGCACAAGCATTACGCAACTCAACCAAGCTTCCGTACATCATTAACATCAATGATCGGACATATCGTGAATCGCCATTAGAGACGATCTTTGCAGCGCTATTACGTAACTGTGTACCGACATGTGTATAGGCCACAATGCACGTTTCACACTCTCGTTTAACAGCTTCGTTGACAAGTCGGGTCGAGTCAGGGTCATCATGGATAGTCGTTTCCGCGTTCTCAAGAGCCTCGTTCAGTCGGTCAACATGTGTTGAAGCATTATAAAACACAAGTTCCAAGCTGTGACGTCGCGTATCATCTTGCCGGATGACATTAATCAAAGTGGAGATGTGAGAGTGAATTTGGAAAAGCGCAAAGAGGATGCCTTTGGCACTCTCAATGATCGGCTCATCTGATCCTCGTTCCCCTTTATGCTCAGGAAGACTAGACATACGATTGACCCAGCCATCTCGCAAACGACGACGTTCTCTCGGACTGCTCGGACTTGAAGAGCTGCTTCCACTAACGGGAGTCGGGGCTGTCGGACGAGCCCTAAGGACTGATCCGTGACTCAGACCTCGCAGATGGCTGTTGCGGTAGGGTCGTGTCTCATCCAGGGTGCCCAAATCGGTGTTCTTGCGAGTTATTACACCCATTCGTTTGCTCCGAGCTGCGTACGAAGCTTGGATGATGCCCTCGCTGTTGCTTCGATTACGTTCATTGACTGTGTGGGGATTCAGTCCTGGCCGGGGGAGACCAGCCATATGATAATTGCCGCTTTTGTCAATGTATGGCTGGCCAGACGCCATGCGGTAGTGAGACTTGGTAGAAATTGGAGGAGGGCGTGAGATCGACGGGGATCGAGAAGAAGGTGCCGACGACCCATCGCCCATACTGGGTATGACAGGGAAGCGGCTGCTCAGCTTTCGCTTCACGGGAGCGGGCTTCGGGGTTTCGAAGGATCCCTCACTATTCAATCGTTAGCTTGGGAACACGCACTTGTGGTACATCTGAAGTACATACCTTGATTCGAAACCGAACTCTGGCTCAGGAGTAGTCGCTGCTTGTCGACTTTTCAAGAACCTTTTAGCTCTGCGGTGACTGCGACTTCTTTTTCGTTGTCAGTCATCCCCGAAGTCGCTATATCGGTCTCAGAGCCCTCGAGCACTCGGCGCAATGGATAGCGCACAGGGTTTCCCGCTATCTTGAGAATCTGAAGCTTGTTCATATCAGAAAGGCTCACAGGCAGGTCATCGAGTCGGTTCTGCATGACCGAAAGGACTCGCAACGACTTCAGCTTGCTGATCTCGTCTGGCAAGGCATTGATTTTATTTCTGCTGAGATCAAGAATCTCCAGCAGAGGCAATTTATAAACCTGCCGTTTGTCAGTATACCGGAATTGGTAGATCTTGTGGACATCAAGGTATCGCTGCACGTACCCCTTTCGGGAATTCTCTGAAGTTGTTAGCTCTGATGTTGAGGTATCGGAGATGAGAGCATTCTGCGAAGCGGTATGGGATGTGAAAGAGGTGATTGTTAGAAAGAGAGAGTCTTTGCATCAAAGAATTAGTCAAAATTCCGGGGTATCGTTCACGCCGCGTATCGCGGCCGGGGAGTCCGAGGCAATCGCATACCTTTCTACATCATCCTTGATGATATCAACAACAGCCTCGGGTATTCGCACAATACGCGAGTGTCCGAGGTCAATGGTCAATTTCGGCTTGACCACATCTGTAACAGCCTCACTTCCTGCCAAAGAGCGCTTGGTATCCTGAATTCCGCTTTCCACGGCATGTCGGGCGAGTTCGATGGTCTCTTCTGGTGTGAGCAGCTTTTGGCCGGAACCTTGTCTGCCACTCCCACTTGAGCCGTCGCCCATAGCTGTGTTCGGTCGGGCATCCTCGTCATCGGCGCGCGCGGAGCCGTCGTTGTACGATAGCGGAGGCGGCACAAGGGAGTCAGTGGGCTTTTTCTCATTGTCATCTTCATCGGCATCCGCCCGGTAGGCGCGTGGGCCTCGGATCGTATCTTCCGGTCGAGTCATTGCCGTAAGTATGATCCGTCTTCGGTTGGTTTGTTATAATCGATTAACAGGACACCGGCCTAGATATTCGTTGGTAAAGATTTCGAATAGGGCCAAAGATCGCCGAGCCCAACCCTTAAACAGTGACAAAAGCACACTTATCTGCGCCGAACATTCTCCACGGGTTACAAGTCGTAACTGTGCACACAGGCCCACTGTGAGGCTCAAATGTTCACCGGGCTGTCCGCGTTGGGTGTTGGATGCAGGAGTGGTTCTTCTGAGGCAGGGATTCGCGGGCTGCAGGCTGAAGGAGTTCGTCGGGGGTGCCGGAGGAGTTCGAGTCGACAGAATCGTTCAAGTGAAACCGGGGGGTGGAAACGGCGCATGGAAAGCTCAGGCTCGCCGGCTCGCGTGACTCGTGGCGACGGTCGGGCACAAGATCGGACCAGAGAATGCGATCGAGTCCTTTAGACAATCAAATATCAGACTGTTGTGCGTTGGCAGCGAGAGCGTTGCGAGTTGGCAGGTCAAGTCAGGAAGGGACGTTGGACGGTTGGAGAGGCTGGAAGTGTTGTGATTGGGCCGAGCTCCAGCAACGGTTTCGCCGCGTGCTTCGTGTTTCACGTCCGCGCAAACACGCCCGCGCCAGGTTGCTGGGGGTACATCGCCAACTACTGGGAAGTTTTGATGCATTTCCTATGATTATTGATCTAGTTTCGATGGCTATTGGCGGCAGGACTAGAAGAAAGGTCACTCTGCAGGGCTGATCGTCAAGGGGGATCGCCCTCTATCAAATACGGAATCTACAATTGATACATAGATCGATGAAGCGTTGTGCTATCATAGAGCGTAGGGCTATGGGAATACATCCAACAGAAAAAAGCAATTAATATACATGACCATCAACAGGGACGCCACAACCAGATGGCACTTGCATCCAGCGAAGGGATGTCGGTTTTTTACTGCTCCGTAGCCCCCTCGTCCAAGGCAATACTCTCTGGGCCCTCTGCTTCCTTATCCATGTTGAGTTCGGGAGCACCAGACATCGAGACGGCCCGCTGGTCCATCACTTGCGCCTCCATGCGAGCCCATGCCTTCCACTTCTCGTGCTGCTGGTTCTCCAACTCCATACCGATCTCTAGGTAGGTGGGTCCGAAGTTCGCACCGGTTGCCTGGGCCTCCTCCGCGGCAACCCGGCGTTGAATATCTTCCTTCAGTCGGAGTTTGTAAAATTCCCGTCGGGCGATGTCGTATGCGGCACTCTTGGTCATATCGGGGACATTGTTCAGGAGCCAAAGCTGTCGCTGGACAACACTGGAGGAAGAAACATCATCGGTTAGAAGAGATATCGTAGATAAATACCGGACACCTATCTGGATTCAAATGGATCTGAATTCCAGTGGGAAGTACACACCTTTCACCGTCCAACCGTTTCCCAGGTTGTTGAATCCGACTCCAGTCATGGTTCTCAAAGTCTTTGCCGGAGCTTTCCAGGACCACACGGGGACGCGCAAGTTCCCAGGGATGATCACGGAAGAACTCCTGTCGCAACTGGTCCTCCTCATAGCGGAGCTCGACAGGTTTGAAAAGACGGCTGGGCTTCTTGGGCTTCCGGCGTTTTTCTTGGACCTCGAAGACGACCTGCGGCTTGGAGGCTTCCGGGTTGGTCTGAATGCGCTGGCGGACCAGCTGGTGCTGAGCGGTACGGTTCCGAATAAGGGCCTCAGCTGGAGGAATTTCGCCGACGACATCGACCCATTGGGGCAGCTTCTTGATCTTTCCGCTGGCGTATTGGTTGAGCGCGGTCTGTCGCACCCGGAGGGCCGTGAGGTTGATCTTGCCCATGGCGGTGGAGGAGAACGGTGGAGGGAAACGGCCGGCAAACGGGCCGTTTATTGATCGATCGGAAAAGAGTAAGGGATTGGTAGCAATTCTCGATCCAAATCGCAACCAAGCACGGCGTAGTTCGAATGGCGAGGCGTCGAGAGGTGAAGGTCGCCGTGTCGGCGGAGCAAAAAAGATGACATTGGCAATGCGCGGCCCCAATTGGCCGGAGCGGCTCCGCTGCAAAGTCCGCCTCGAAAAACACCTTCAACACCTTCACGTCTCTTCATTCGACCAACTTGCCCCCATTTCCGCTCGTTCGCTTTGTGAGCTGTGGAGCATCTCTCGACGTGCTCGGCCTGGGCTTCACTTGGACATGCATGGCTAACCCGGTCCCACGATGTCTGCCCTCTCATGTCTCATCCCAATAGGTTCCCCAGCTCGCCGAGCCTGCGAGGTTCCTCCAAGCAGGCCGCGAACGAGCTCCACCTCACGCCGATGCCCCGTCCAAAATCCTCTACCTCGCATGTCGCTGCTCGTCGATTCTTTTCCCGTCGTCCACACCCTTCTGTCGCGTCAATAGCAGACCTTTTCGTCGGCTCGCTTATCCTGGCGGGTTATTGCCATGAGCATTCACCCCGGGCGCGCAGCCTGTCTATGGTGTCTTCACGGGCACCAGGGCGCCAATTCAGAAACTATCATAGTGGCGGTTTTGTCGATCTCCAGACCCCTCCGGCTCCGAAACATTCAAGTTGGAAGAATCCGGGGTCATCGTGGCCGCAATTGTCGCAGCATCAATCCCGGCTCAGTTCTGCAACCGCACGGGCTGAGCACGAATACGCAATCGAAGAGGATACCAGGAGGGTATTGGAAAAGAACGATGAGAAGAAAGACGAAAATGCGTCTGCAGACTCGAATTCGCTCGAGGACACGGACAAGAAATTACAAGCAACACTTTGGAATCACTACTTCGATGCCGATACACCTAATCCCACCTCAAATCCCAACGACGAACCTCTACCCTTACCCGACGAACCACCCCCCATGGAGTCACACTTATCATACGACGAAAGACGTTACCTCTCGACCGCGAGCTTATACAGAAAGATCTTAGGGGAGCACTTTGACTGGAAGGAAGCAGTGAAACTTGTGTTACCAAACCCACAAGCCCGCAGGCTTGCGCCGGGAGACCCCGAGATTGATACAGACAGCCCATCTGTCGCAATGCTCATTGCATCTGTACACGCCAAACCTAAAATGAGCTCTCAGTATCTCTTTGGGCTCTATCGCCAGATTCCCGCACCTGGAGTTGCCAAACTTCCTCCGCGTACTCGTGGATACCTCTTGCGCCAACTCGCGAACCCTCCCAATCGACGATCAGTGGACTGCCGTCGATACCTAGCTCTAGTGGAAGACATGATTGCCTGTCGTCTCCCGATGTCGCTTTCCATGTGGACTACTGCAATTTCCTTCGCCGGTCGAGCTTCAAAACGAGGACATACGAAAAAAAGATACTTGATTCGAGCTATAGGGCTTTGGCAGCAAATGGAGCATTATGCCAAGATAACCGCAGACGATGCTGTCTTCAACACCCTGTACGATACTGCGGTCAAATCCGGCCAATTCAGCATTGCCGAGCGCCTGGACCACGAAAGAATTAAGCGAGGCATCCCTGCCACTCGCTATGGGCTCATTCCCAAGCTAAATTACTACGCAGAACACCGAGATTTGGAAGGAATCAGCAACACCTTTAATGAATTCATCCAGTCCGGAAACATGGTGGATACGGTCGTTCTGAACGGGTTGATATCCGCATTTCTTCGGGCAGGTGACTTCCAGACCGCGGAGGGAGTATACAAACGCATGCTTCTGGCACAAATGGCCAGGAAAGGCGACCATTCAAACGTGACTGGCAACTCTCTCTCTACCCAATTTGAGGTTTATCGGGCGACTACCAAGCGGGTAGGCCGTCTCCTGAAGTTGTCTCATGGTCTTAAGGATAAACTTCCTGGGCACCATAGCGCGATTCAAGAAAGTTTATCCTTGACTCCTGACACTCGAACATTTCACATCCTTCTCCGGCACTACGCGATCACCACTGGTCGTTTTGAAGATGTTCTCCGTATTGTACGTGATATGGAAAGAACTTACCGTGTCCCACCTCGCCACATGATCTACAACCATCTCTTCGAAGGATTCAGTCTCCATGGCGCGGCAAAGAAGAAAATCTGGACGCCAGAAAGGCTTCGTCTGACGTGGTTCTCGTATATCCGTGCGTTGCACGATTCGAAACACAGACATGATGCATTGCTTGAAGCACGCGAAGACACAATATTTGGAGATCAAATTCCATCGAGCACCCTTGTCAAGCTTCGTAAGACAGCTTGGGACAATCCTTTTGCAGATGAGATGGCAGAGATGGAGGAAAATAACGACTCTGGTGCTGTGGACGAGCAATCACCTGCGAACGAAGCGCAGGTCGAGCTCTATATGCCTTTACCATCTCCGGTTGTGGAACCCTCTGAAGATGCGCAAGAGACACTGCAAGAGCGGGATGCTCGTGCTTTCACCAAGGATCATGCGCACTCCAGCAGCCCCAGCCAACCGTCTCACCCAGAGAAGGATGTACCCGAAAAGGAGTTCAATGCGGACGAGTATCTGAGGACCGAATTCCTTCTCAACTCCAAACACCTCGATAAAGACCTGCAGGCTCCTGAACGTGAGCATGCCACTTATCTGGAGACGCGTCTGGAGAACGGAGTCTTCATTGGTCGCCAGACAATTATATACATCTTGCGTGCGTTCGGTACCTGCATGGGACCCCACGAGGTGGTTGAAGTCTGGGGTCAGCTGGAGCACCTCTGGGATCCTATACACCGACAGGCAGTGGATGTTGCTGCTGTCAAAGAGGAGCTCGATCGTCAACTTGAAAAGTATGGCATGTATCTTTAGAACTGGAGATGCGGTGCGGATGTGGCTCTGACATCGACACTTGTACATTATTCACAGATTTACCATATACCGATTTTATTCTAGCGAAATGTCGTTGAATTTCATATCTACTTTTTCTGTTCGTAGAGTCCTAATATCCACGGATGAACGTTACGCTAGTGGCGGTGCAAACCTACAGAGCTGGAGAGAAGTTCCAGAGGCATAGCTCATTTGGTTTAATATAATTCAATACCCAGTCAGCAAAGTTTAGCGAAATCTCAAGCTCAACAATCCCACGATAAAGAGATGTGAACAATTCGAACCTGTTCAGTTTTCAAGACGCGGCTCAGGATAATGAACACAAATGCCTTTCGTGGCCAACCCTCCCTGCTCAAGATCTTTAACAAATTGAATAGTCCACTGCTGAGAATTTCCCTTTCATGCATCAACATTGTCAGCAATTCCTTCGACATCCTCGGCTCGATTTCCCTGTATCCCAGAAATCCAGATTTTTTCGTCGAATTTAGAATTGTTCAGCCGTTGGTTTTCTTTGACTCCGAATCGGTAGGATCATCTTCCTCCTTTTATATCTTCATTTTTGGATCTCTCGCTGCATGGTACCATGTGCACATTACTGAGCCGTGATGAGAGAGGGATCCGGTGGGATGGCTACGCGCCTCGAGGAGCGCAGAATGAGACGTGTACGTTGTAAGGGCCACTGTCGAACCCGGTCATTTTGTCCTTACTGGTGCTGTTTCTAGTTTGCTTGGTGGAAATTCAATGTCTCTTTGCTTGCAGTAGATTTAGTGTAATGTAGCTCTGCTGCGCGTGTATTTGCATTGCTGCCGCGAGGTCGGGAATATATACAGTAGCTGATCTTAAGTCCCCTCGGATTATTTATTTGACGCCATCACTTTGTACTTGATCACAATGGTGTTTCTGACTCAGATGTGATTCCCCGAGACCGTTCATCGTTGCTTTGTCTAGACAAAGTCGTCACGGCATAGCGAGTCTTTGTCAGAGGACAATATATTGCTACGCTAAAGAGACCTTCTACGCAAGAATCGAGATAAGGACTATGTATGAGCTCACATCTTAATGCTAATTCGACCTATGAACGAGATCTCTGACCTAATACTTCATCCGATCATATTCTCTGTCCATGATTGGCATTACCCTTTCTGTGAGTGAACTCATACTAATTTGGCAGCCCGAACCACTCCTGGACGGATCACCTGACCTCCAACAACCTTTAGTGGCGGAAGTGTGTTGTGGCCGTTTTCGTGCTGCAAAATGTGTTGGGTTGCGTATTTTGAAGCATTGGCCACTGTAGTAAATTATCTTCGCGACGAGCGAAGCGACCCCTGACTTCCTTCGTCAAACTGACATGCAGCGCGGTTACGATGCAGTCGCGGATCGATGGCTCCCTTGCCGCGTTCGGATTCCACCATTCCCGTGTCTCCAGGCGTGACCGAGGGCTTCAGTGATGACAACTTCGCGCTCAGGGCTACCGTCGTGGTTTGCGCGGGAATATCAATCTACAACGCGGTCGAGCTTCTGATCCTCATTATCTCGACCTTTCGGCGCTATGTGACCGTCTATTTCTGGAGTCTATTCGCCTCCACACTCAGTTTGATTCCATATACGCTGGGGTACGCGTTCAAGTTCTTTGAAACCTTCTCGGGAAATGGGAAATGGGCTTCGCTCTCCTTGTTGACAATCGGATGGTATGTGATGATCACGGGACAAAGCGTTGTCTTGTGGTCGAGATTGCATCTAGTTGTTGCTGGAGGCTCTGCGAGCAAGATCTTGTTCTACACTAAGTGGATGATCATCGTAGATGCTATCATATTGCATATCCCCACGACTGTGGTGACATTTGGCTCCTTTGGCGATCTCGCCACCAACAATTTCGTCAAGGCGTACAACGTCGTGGAGAAGTTTCAGATGACTGGCTTCTTGTAAGTCTGCGAGGAACACTTTCCTATCCGAGACTCGCATCTTGAGAGCTAACTTGGGTTCTTAGTGTACAAGAAACAATATTATCACTGGTCTACATCATCGCAACGGTAAAGCTTCTCCGAGAATCTTTTAGAAAAAAGAGTCGCCAGCTCATGTACCTGCTGGTCTGCATCAACATAGCTATCATCGCACTAGATGTCGCTCTTCTTTCGATTGAATATGCCTCGCTTTTGATCCTGGAGACCGTGCTCAAGGGCGTGATCTATTCCATTAAGCTCAAGCTCGAATTCGCAATTCTTGGCCGTCTTGTCAAGTTTGTCCGCAGCGACCAAAGAGATCCCGTTGAAAACTCATGTTCAACTCACGGCAGTTCATCTCTTTCTCGACAGCATCGGCAATCACAGACGAGATCAACAGACATCAATTTAGAAGAGGGACATGCTCGGCATCTCGAAGAATATGATCAGCCTGCTCATAAGGATGTATTTAGCATGTCACGGTCCCAAGGGTCAACGGGATCAAACCAATTTCCTCTGAAAGAGCTTGGTCCTCTCTAGTGAATTCTCAATTGAGTCATACCAGCTATTTTTGCAGATACAATAAGGTATTACTTTTAGAAGTTGTACGAGGATCCAATCTTAAGACCGTCTACTACTTAGTACCGTTGCTGCTGCTGCTACGGCAACTTCGACACTTGTCGGAATTCAGCCATTCTGATTTGTTTCTTATCGTAAGAGACCAGGAAAAAAGAACGGAACGCCAAATAAAGCAGCAAAAAAGCAAACAACATACAACAGCATTTGTATGTCGGTGGTCACCTATCGCCCACGATCTTGCTTTAGGCGGCTCGCCGCCCTATCGGGCCTGGGTTCAGGCCCGTTCACCTCTTCACCTGAACCACCGGAACTGGTATCCAAATGGTACATTCGGGCCTTTTCAGCAGGGCAAGAATTAACGAGACCCCATCGAGTACTTTTTGACACATAAAATGGGGGATTTTCGCTCCTCAACACCTAACTCTCTTTATTCACATCGCTTTTCTCCCTTGATAATTTGATTCCTGATGACATTCGATAGATTTTGCTCTAATCGATTTAGACGAAATTGACAATAACGAAATACGTCGCTATGTCTTACCGTAGACGGAAAATGGCTATCAGCGAGCTTTGGCTTTCTTTGACAAGTGAGAACAACATCTATGTCGTAAGCCCTGGTGCTAGCTAATAATAAGATTCCTTGAGGTACACCCGGGCTCCGAGAGTCCGCTAAACACTCAAACTAGCAAGGGGTTCTTAAAATGGTATGCTGTGAATACACACGGTCGCATCGAAGAAAAGCCTACTGTAGAAGCATTGTAAAGTTTCCGCAGAGACTTCTAGGCTAGAATGCAGAAGATAAGGGGCTGTTTATTCTTCCCAGAGCATTCCACTACACTAGGAGAGGTTTGAGCCTAACGATCTAGAATTAAGAAATGAAAAGAGTTTACCTAATTGCGTGATAGTACATCATCGGATCCCTACGGCCTTTTGTATCCACGGCGGAAATGGACAAAAATGGGTTTTCTCTGAATGACCTGATGATACTCATGACACAGCTTTGGTGTCGGAATTCCCATGAATACCGTGGAGGTCCTCCAGACCGAACGAGAGTCCAACTCAGTGCAGCAATTTTACTCTATTGCTTTACATCTGCAAGAACTGGGGAGGCCTATGAGTCAACTGCACGCCGTGGCCTGGCTCAGCAAGCCACTGAAAAATGTTCGGATAAGACACTTGAGGCCCGCACATTGGCAGCGTGCTACAAGACTAGTCCTGATTGTTATGTTAGCTAGGCTATTTACACTGATGCAATCAGAATTTTACATTTACCATCAAAATTGTGGATCAACAGCCGATGCTTGTTCTCATATACTAAAGAGAGTTTATCAAGGGGTATTAGAGGATGGGAAATCCCTATCTATGGCTTTTATGAAACTTACAGAGTGGACACATCGCTGTTTCTGAACCTCTTGGCATTTTTCTTGCCTATGGCAATTGCAGATAATACGCTAGAGAACTATTCCTCTGTCGGTGCAATTCTAGACGCGGCTGAGGCTTATATAAATGGAACTACCCAGAACAAGGTTCTAGAGGTGATCAAGTTCAGAAAAGAAGTACTTGATACACTAATTTTTCACCAGTATACGGAATTGCGCATTGCGAAAAGTACTGGCAGATCTTGCGGCGCCGACGCATTTGGCAAAAGCCTTGTTGGGCTAGGACATCGCAGTGGATACACCCGAAATATTACGGTCCGGGCCTGTCGCATTGTCTTCGGCAGGAGAACGAGCGACCGGGGAACGACCGAACTCGACTTTTAAACATGCTAGGACTCATGCAGTCACTGTTTTTTTCCCCTTGGTGGGCTCGCATCCTTGTCATAGGAGCGATGTTTAGGTTATTGGCCGAACATTTTCGACATCATCATTCTCCTTCAGTCAAGATATCCTCGTCTTATTATTGGTGTTGTCATGATCCCGGATGTTCTGCACTTTTACCTTCCCAAGCCTCACAGGTGCTTCTTCGCTCGCTATATATGAACGGACCCCTCCGTGCGGCTTGGAGTTTTTTGTTTCACTACATCGCCAACCTTATACCAATTTTGTTCAGTCAGGTGACTAACCGTCGAGCCTCACACCTCACTAGTACCTAATATATGTATAGGGTGCTTATCACACACGTTCATCACCATCATTTCCTAGCACACTGGTGCATCATCTTCCGACACTAACCGGATGGGAGAAGACCCACTGGGCAATGGATTACCCAGTGGGTCTTCCCCTGGTGCATCATCTTCCAACACTATGTAATCCATTGCCCAGTGGGTCTTCCTCTATCCGGTTAGTGTCAATGGCGTTCTCACACTCAGCTCGAGATGCCTCGCAGGGCTCCTACGGCGATACCGGTCACCAGTCTAGATGGTAAATGCTTCGAAACCTGCTTTTTATTCCCCCTCAATTCTTGTTCTCATGCCGTCTCATGGAGGTTAATTCGCCGGATATTCTTCACTTGAGGGACTTTATCGTCTGCATTACTTCGCCCTGCGTATTGGCTCAAGTTCAGACATGAGCTTCCCAGTCTTCATTCACCGTAGTGGCTTGGGAAACGAGGCAATACCGGGGCTAGTGTGTGGCCGGAAAAAAAGGGTTGCCGAATTGATGGGAGGGTTAGACGTGTGATAGGGTGAACATGATGTGACGGCATTTTAGGTGACTTGTCTATTTTCTACAGTGTCAGCTGGCTGATGTGTCAGTGTGACCACCCGCCATGTGGGGACCTTCCATCCGGGGAAGGGATGGGCCGGTGCAGAAGAGCCAATAAGAGTGACAGAGCGTGACAGGGGACAGTTTCAGGTTCTCACAGGATCGTACGCAGTACCGGAGCAGGCAACCTCATCTCATCCCATTTCAGCCTTTCGAGTCTCGAGTCTCCGTTTTGATCGCGAGGTCGACAATCTAGATCGGTTTATGTTAAGCGCGCATATGTATAGTTATAACGTAGATCCTGAAGTACTGTAGCCTCCAGCGTAGAACACCCCTGGATGGATGATATGTGACCCAGGGGCAGACCAAGAAATTCGCAAAATAGAATATTATGCACCCAAGAGACTGCCAATTTGGGTCAGTATATGTCCTTTCTCGGATGAGATAAGTTGGTGTTTGGACGAACCCTGATGGGTCCGAAAATTTCCGGCTAGCAGGAGCACGAAGAGGCTGACACGACGAGCTAGTAGTGTGGATCGCCAGGAAAAGATTGGAGGTTGATCGGCATCGACCGTGTTGGGTTTTGGGTTGTCTAGATGTGTAGGGAGGCATGCCGCCCACAGTTAGTACTTCATGCTGAGTGGGTCAGGAACACCTACCCGGTCGATCTTGTCGAAACTCAGAGCACCTTGAAAAATGGGTAGAACAGCAAGATCTTTAGTTTGGTGAGCATGCGTCGAGGACGTCGAGGAGCTGGCGCTGGAGTCTCACTGGAGATCTTGAAGAATAGATTCCTGGGAAACGACAATGATTTTGTTTAGAGATAATAAAATATGATTCGGGTGTAGGCGCACTCACCTCAGGTAGTCGGCAAAAAATTTCCACTGCCCTTCCACAGGGAAGGGGGCCTGGTTGGGCTTGAGCCTTTCAGGGCGGAGATATTGTGATATCAATTTCTTTTCGACGTCATGCAATAACGCTACTCTCAAAATAGTTAACCTCAGAACAATTCTATGGGAAATCTTCCCAGTACATTAGTACTTATGTACGCGCAGTCGCGAACGCGACTCCACTTGCCAGGTAGACTCTAAATGAGTGGGTCGTCGACGAGAGCACAATTGGACACCGGCCGAGGCGAAATGAGCCGCGGAGTACCTAGACTCCAACCCTTGGAAGGAATCTGCGCCATGCCGCGGAGCTATACGGCCGATCGTACTAATGTTGGGGATTACCGGTCTGCGCGGCGACACCCGTCCTGCGCATCGACAACCTGCAGCCGGGTGCCAGCGAGTGTATGAAGACCATAACCCTACGAGTTCCCTTCTCCTATAAATCATCCATCGAGGAAGCCCTGAATGAATGTCATTCCAATTCATCAATTCTATCTATTATTGCACTCTGCCTTGTCTATCATTCAATTTGATACATTCTAAACTACTAGTATGTCTCGGCCTGTATGCAGTGCAAGCTCCCTGGGCAGCCAGGAACATGAACAAGGTCGTGATACAACAAATTCAACTGCATACAACTCCTTGGACGTATTCACGGCTCAAGATCTCTTCTTCGGGTTCCCGGGTCTGTTTTCTCCCCACCACGAATCCAACTTCGATCAATACAACAATGCCTTCATCGATCCGCACGTTACTACCCTTCCTAATCAAGGAGATACACTCCCTGAAATCCCAAACACCACCGAAGCCACTCCAACAAGTGATGAAGCGCCAATCAGCCAACCTCCAAAAGAGACCAAGTCAGTGTTGTGTTATGTTTCGGGTCAGATTTTCGTATGCTCACGATGAATCGTTCAATATAGCACAGGACCTCCTTGGATATGCTACGAGAAGGGCTGCAAGCATTCTTATCCATTCCAATTCAAATCGCGCTATACATTCCAGCGCCACGTCGAAACCACGCATAACAACCCGCGGGCTTTCAAATGTCCTCATTGCAACCGCGAGGGCTTCGGTCGAAAAGATAACCTGACTCAACACCTGCGGAATGTCCATCGGGACAAGACCTAATCTGTGGAATTTTCATTTTGCAGTAGCGGGCTTGCTATTGAGCATCGATCATGTTCTGGCGTTTGGAGGATTCTCGGGGTCTATACAACAGACGCAGCGTGCAGCATCGATTTATTCGTTCGACTTCATATTGTTGTAGTAGGGATGTCTCATTGAGGTTGTCGCGACCCCTACATGCTATTGCGGCCGGCAACGCTCGACTCTTAGGCATGAGTCAGGGTATTTCACCTTCCTTCCAAGGTTCGTCTAAAGCAGGAAGCCAGTTCATGAGCCGGGTACTGAAGGAGTAGACCTCTGAAAGAATTTTTTTTTCGTTTTTTTTCTCCCATTTCTCCCAACTCTTCCCATCTCTCCCCATCTCTCCCCATCTCTCCCCATCTCTCCCCATCTCTCCCCATCTCTCCCCATCTCTCCCCATCTCTCCCCATCTCTCCCCATCTCTCCCCATCTCTCCCCATTTTACCCATTTTCACTTTTCTTTTCACTTTTCATTTACTTTATTCTTTTTATTTATTTCTTTCCCTTCTTCCCCCACCTTCACTTTTTCACTTGTTTAGTAATCTCATAGGTTCGAATTTGTACATTCCATTTCAAATAATTATACGCTTAAAATATCGTTAAACAGATCACAGCTGGCGTATAAAAATATCTTCAAAATTAAACATAAATCCACCATCACATCCCTTCCAGTATCACGCTGAAAAACTGTGTTTTCTTCCCATCAGATAGGGGCCAAAAGTGATGAGATCTGTGACGGTTGCGCCTGGGAATAACTTCATCCCGTAAGAAAGGTGCCTGAGGCATAAGTTTGGGTCGTTTGCACTACGCGTTTGCTGGTGCGCGTTTGCCGGGTACTTGAGCCCTCTTTTTCTGGCGGACTTTCCTTTCTTTCTTCTTTCCTCTTCATCTTCGAGATTCTCGTCCATAGGCACAAAATGAATCCCTTCTTTGACTGGCCCGTAACAGCAAACTAGAACTTTAATAAAGTTAATACACTATCACTAATAATATCTAGATTAATTAACCTAACCTTGGCCCTCCCTCTGCAGAACCTCTGAGGCAGTCTAGTTGTCCGAGCTAGATATAAGTTAGGCAGTGCGAATTTGTGCAGTCAATAATATTTATAAGTAATAATATGATGATGATGATGAATTCATTTGCCCGATGTAGCTTGCTCTATTAATATATGCTGCTATGCGGGAGTGCTGTCAGGCCTGCCGACAGCTTGAAGGTGGTCGCCAGCCCACTGAACGATTGTTTCCCTGGCTTGCAACGCAAGCCCCTGATTGGTCGCCCGAGAATGTATGCAAACATGACAAAATAGACAAAATAAACAAAAGAAATCCAAAGCGAACGTCGCTTCCCCTCTACCCACTCTCCTTTCCACAATCAGACTTCATTCTCTGATCTACTTCATCCCCCACCGCCTTCATCTGCGCAGCCCTCTGGGCCGTCGGCTGCCGTTCCTGCGCTCGCTTGCATCAAGGGAGTACAGTGGACCTGGCACTGCACTCCTAACGGGCACCATCCTTCTCCTTCCGTCACACTGTCCTGAGGGGTCATCCTTTTTCGTCGCCTTTTTCCGTGCCGAGAGCCAATGGGTCGACTGCTTGAAACTGGTTTAAGAGACCTGTCCGGACCATGAATTCGGCCACAATTATGCGAGCCTCTGGCCGCGTCAGGAGCTCGTCGCGTCGCAGAGCAACTCCGCGGTCGGACAGAGCGTTTCTCATCCAGTTGCGCTCATCTTGGAGTAGCGGGCATTCAAGCAAGATATGATCGACGGTCTGGTTCCCCAGATTGCAACCACATCTCGCTGACTCGCGCCGATTGATGCGAGTCAAGTAGGCAGCAAGGCCAATTCGTCCAGTACGAAGCTGCATCAGAATGGACGCTGTCGCTTTCCGCAGGTCGGACCAGTATTCCAGGGCATTCTTTGTTGGTCGTTCGACTAAGCGTTCCGTCGGCCGACCTGTTCTCTCTATAGACCATGACCTTTCCCACTCGATTTTTGCCTCGCGGCGAATGCGACTTTTAGCTGCAGCTGCAAGGCGAATATAACGATTGTTTGGGTTTTGTGGTCCTTCTGGTTCCTGGGCCGCCTCCTTTGCGTGTCGGTCGACACGTTCATTGCCGGCCACTCCTTGATGAGCAGGTATCCACCTGAGGTGGATTTGACGGCCATTGGCTGCGTGTTGCCTTACCAGGTGGAGGCATTCTTCCAGGTAGACCTGTCCTGATGGCATCCGTGGTTGGCGGAGCGCCTTCAATGCCCCTTGGCTGTCTGCAAAGATGACAAGCCCGTTTCTCGCCTGTGCCGCCCACGGTTCCGTGGTCTCCAAGATTAATTTGAGTGCCATTTCGATGGCACTGAGCTCGGCAGCGTATACAGTGGACGTTTCTTCGCCGCCCATTTGGCTGTGAGCGTGGTGATCCTCGAGATCAACGACTACTGCTGCTCCAATTTTTCCCTCGATCCCACTCCCGTCGGTGTAGAGAATCAAGGGTCTTTCGCTTGGGTCTTTGGATAGAATGTGGTCGTGAGTTTTCACTGCCGTCTCTCTGTCCTCGATGAATACTTCTGGCGGCGCTCGCCATGGTGCCTGGACGAATGCCTTCCGACTCACCCAGTCCCTCGCCAAAGTTCCCGGGGGAGTCGTAAGGCATCCGCCCGTTTTCCAGGCTTGCGCCTCCATCGGTGTCCATCCAGACCAATCTCTCTCGTCCACCGGTCGGCGTCGTAGCATTGTTGGTGGGACAGCGAATACTGGTCCAGTCCGTAACCGTAAAGCCGTTTCTTTTACGAGGCGGTTAATATGGATCGCAATTGGTGGTAGGTGTAGTTCTGTGTTCAGTGCCTCTGCTGCTGTCGTTCTGAAAGCTCCGCTGATCAGGCATGCTGCCCGCTTCTGGATGGCCACGAACGGTTGACTGATCATTCGTGCCTTCATCTTGCTGATCATCATTGGGTGGTACCAGGCCGATACTCCGAAGAGCATCTGTGGGATTACTACCGCTTGGTAGATCCTGCGCATAGCTGAAAGAGAGGCCCCCCATGTCGAGCCAGCCAAGCTTCGTAGCGCCTGGAGGGACACGCTTGCCTTCGAAATTGCCTTTTCGCGGTGATACTGAAACTCCAAGTTGGGATCAAGCCAGTAGCCCAGATAGCGTTCCGCCGTCCTTGTCGCAGGTACTGTGTGCCCCTGCAGTGACAGTGGTGTGTACCGAGGCTCGACTTCTTTCGTATTTACGAAATGCACGAGCGCGTACTTCTTCGTGTCACACATTCTCAGCTAATCAATTTAGGTGAAAAATCCTATGAAGAGATCTGGCCAGTTGATCAGTTGATTTTGATCATAGCCTTGGGAGTTGGGTGTTGAGCCGTGTTAACTTCTAGTTAACAGTTCCTCTTCTTAAGCTTCTTTATATAGTATCTAAGGGTATCTTCCTCTGACTAGCTAGATAAAGATAATGTAAGAATAACAGGCCAGATGAGCGCCTTTAGGCTACTACTTATCATTGTAGACTATGAGTAAAGGTGGGAGTGCCAGGGTGGGTATTCTTACCCTTTTTTCACCCTGTCCTTACCTGCTCTCATCCTATTCTCGACTCTCTCACCCTAGTCTCTAGAATTCTCACCCTTACGCAAAAGACGACGCCATTAAAAGTCTAAAGGCTCTTTGAGAACTGACCGCGTTTAGTATGTGGCTTGAGTACGGCTGAGCGGACGGGAAGTACTGTTCCCCATACCCTACGGTCGTATGACCAGAAATCAGATGAATGGAGTATGTAGAAGAGACCAAAATAATCAAATCCAATTAAGCGATCGCCAGAATTGATGTCACAGAGATGTTAATCAATGCCTCAAAAATGGCATCTACTTTTCAATGGGCAAAACCTTTGAATCCATTTGATCTTATTTCGTGTAACTGAACGTATTTATCTGAAATCACCCACATGAAACGAATTCATATCCAAAAATATAGACGTCCCATAAGGAACCATCTGCCAATCCTCAAGCCCCACAACAACTTCGAGAGTCCATTTCTCAGAGTTGAATTGATAGGGATCTGTATTGCGATGCTCAAGATCCCAAATTTGGGAGTCCCTCAAGGGAACGGATGCCAAGATTGTGTTGAATCTGTCGATATCCGTTGATTGGATGGTAGCGATTCGCCTCTTTTTAATAACTTCATCACCGTCGAGTGGTTTGAAAGACCGAACATGGCGCTCATAAGTATCGAGCTTTGCTTGTCTTCGGCATCTGATGATGTGGTACATTGTTCCGTATTCCATTCCCGGGTGTGCAATCATGATCGCCCAGTGAGTGCCGTTTTCACCGAATAGGATGGGATTTGGTCTCAGGGATGTTACGTAGACTTCGTACGAGGATATGTCATCTCGAGTCGCGCTCATATTGTTGCTTTCAAAAGTGATCGGGGTTTGAGTTGTGCCAAAAGGAGACAAATCGGTCGAGGACGTCGTCTTTTATACTGAGTCGGTCTCCTTCGAATCAGACAAAATAAGCCAAAAATCCAGTCGTCTCAGGAAACTGACATATTTTTATTCGCCTGAGCTATCTAAACCACTTTGTCTCTGAGCGCGTGCCTTATTTCAATCAAAATAATCACAAAGGATAGCAAACTTTCTTTCAGACCTGAAACTGGAGCGGAGCTGCGCATATAATGATTGCTGCTCTTGCCCACTAGATCAGGCAGATAAGAGACTGTAAAGGTGAATAGCCTCTAGAAAGATTAATTGATACTTGTGATGTCAGCCCTAGAATCTGCTCCACAAGATACCGAAGGCACTTAGATGGAAAACCACTGGGGAAAATAGATCCTTCACCCCGTATTCGTAGAACGTGCTGGCGTCGGTTTTTTGCTTCTGAGACGAGTCACCATTAAAGCCCTTGTCTATCTTTAGCTTTGGAGGGTCTTCATGATCACCCATTTGAGGGTGGGTATCATCCTTGGGCGCCGGACCCTTTCGCGCGAACGAAACCGCTGAAATGAATATTATATTGATGAAAGAAACGCCTACCTTTGAGAGCCTGCCTAAGAATTCTGGTGTCGATCACCTCGCAACCCCTGTCCTTCTTACTCATAGGTCAGGAGAGGCTCCCATCTTGGCAACGAAACGTCTGTTCCAATAATAAACTATCGAGATGGCAGACAAATGCTTCGCATACTTACAAGAGTGTTGTTGATAAATACCATCTGGAAGGAACATAATGGGGAAAGAGGCATTTACTACCGATATATGCTACATGATGAGATCGAGGACATATGTGGCGTTTTGCTAAACACAGTCAGCGCGCCCGTCAAGGCTGTTAAACGAGATGTTTCGAAAGAGTAGCATCAATTTTTGGTTGATACGCGAATTGCTATTATCCTGCTATTCTGAGTTCACTTTCTGGCAATTCATTGTTCTGTTTTCAATCAATGTAGGCATAAATCTCCTTGCAGAAGAAATCCGTCCGAAACAGGAAATATCGATATCTCGATATCACGTGATCACGTGTCTCCCGGGGCCGACGCGACTTCCCGAAAAAAGCAACGCTTTGCGCAACGACGGCGGCGGGCCTTGAAAGCTCTCTGAGATGCTCCCAAATGGATAAACGGAGAGGGCTTCCACAGCGGAAGCCTGACTTGGAATTTTACCTCCATCGTGTCTTCCGCAAAAAATCTTTCCGGTTCGTGAAGCATTTCCCGACGCGCAGCGGCCCATCACTCACTTAATCTCAGACCGCTGCAGCGCGAAGTCATATCCGCTGTTGTTGAAGGTCATGATGTCTTCCTCCAGGCCTCGACTTCCTTTGGCAAGAGTCTTTGCTTCCAACTTCCTGCCGTTATCGGCACTGGATGTAAGTCTCGTCTGCTATTGCATGCGAAAGCCAGGATTTCCCACTGACTGACGTCGCGCAGTGACTATTGTCATCTGCCCGCTTCTTGCATTGATGGTGATTCCCTTACGATCAGTCGGTATTCCTCAATGCGTTAGCTGACATCTTGGTAGATGGACCAAGTCAATGCTCTCCAAGCGATTGGTGTAGCCGTTTCGACCATCAACTCCAACACACCTTTGGCCGAGCGACGCTTGATCTTGGATGATATGCTCTCGGGTCACCCGTGCACTCGCCTTCTCTACGTGACTCCCGAACTGTGCCAGACGGATAGTTTTCGCCGCAACTTGCAAGTCATCCATCGGCAAGAGCAGTTGCAACGGATTGCCATCGACGAGGCCCACTGCATCAGCGAATGGGGCCATGATTTCCGCCCAGCTTACCAGGAGCTGCGCTGGTTCAAGCAGAACCTCACCAATCCTCCTGTACCTATCACGGCTCTCACAGCCACAGCCACACCACGCGTCCGCTCGGACATAATCAACATCTTGGGCCTTGACACTACACAGTTGAGATTGTTCAACACTCCATCTGCACGCCCAAATATCCATTACGAGGTGCGATACCTTCAGGAATACTCCGATGATGAGGACCAGCTTCGCAATCTTCTCAAATGGCTTAATGCTATTCAGTCCCGGCGGACGGCTCGAATTGGCGCAGAAGCCGCAACTAAATTACCGCCAATATCCGGCATCATCTACGTCGGACTTCGTGCAATGTCAGAAAAGCTCGCCGCAGAGCTTTCGCGCGAAAGCAACATCGCGGCAGTTGCCTATCATGCAGGACTCGCCGCGCAAGAACGAACCCGCATCCAGGCATTGTGGACGTCATCAAAACCCTGCGAATCGAAAGACGGTAAACCTTCACCCACCTTCTCGATTATTGTCGCGACCAACGCTTTCGGCATGGGAATTGACAATTCCCACGTCCGATTTGTTGTACACTGGACACCACCTCGCAGCTTCGAAGGGTTTGTTCAGGAATCCGGTCGTGCAGGACGTGACGGGCGTGCCGCCGCATCACTCGTCTACTACAGTCCCCAAGAGCGAGACCGGATCGGTGACCGTCTCAGCCGCGACGCGGAGAATTTAAAGAACCGCGGCGGACCAAAGCCGCATGTGGAAAGTCAGTTGAAGAACCATGCCGCTCGCTTGGAGAGTTTCCAGAAGGTCATTCGGTATTGCGAGAGCATCACTAAGTGCCGGCATGACATGATCAAGGATCTTTTTGGAGACTTTGAGCTGGAAGAGATGGGTTCACAGCGGCCGCCTTCCTCGCAAGCGATGGATTCACGTGGAGGGATGAGCTCATCACCTTGTGATTTTGCCTGTGACTTTTGCAAGGAGGGTCGCGGTGGTTTGGCGAAGAGGCAAGCGAAGATGGCCCCCGATTACATGATGCAGGTGATGTATGAGGGCTATGATTGATCTGGACTACGTAACTTTGTTTAACTTGTACAATTTACTGGGTGGTTGCTTTGCCTTTGCATTTTTGGGCGTTGGTGGTGAGACTTACTGTGGCTCGAGAACATCGTTTTCTCGATGAAACTGGTGGAAATAAGGCACTGCGACTAGGTTACCACAGCAGTAGATCTTGAAATACTTTACTGGGGGAAAAGAAGAACTCCGGTTGCGCAAAGCACCACTCCGAGGAAATTTGCTTGAAAAGATCAGAACCTAACTTTGCCCATTTTTGAAAAAATCCAGGTCGCGCAAAGATCATATCAGCAAAATTTCCATGAAAAAAAAAAAATTTCCTATTGCAAAAAATCAACAGTCATGAAGATTAGAAGGCCAATGACTAGACGACGAGGGGCGGATGTAGTCCCAAAAAGGACACCCCAGAAGCTAGCAATGCGCGCCCTACAGACCAGGCGGGGGAGGAGGCTAAATATGTCAAATTAATGCCGGTATCTCTGAGAAAGATGATCAAGTATTTTCTTACCGCTTCGTTGCTGCCCGTTCCAGGAGCCGGAGCCGTAGCCGGAGCTGGCGAGTCAGTGCCGGAAGTAGGGGCAGCAGCAGCGCCATCCGCCTGCTGCTGAGCTTGCTGGTCGGCGAGCTGCTGGTAGTACGCGACCCACCGCATGTAGTTTTCGTATCCGCCATACTGCTCGTAAGGGTCGATTTCGGCGGTCTGGGCAGACTGGGCGTTGTAGCCTTGGGTGTTGCCGGTATCAACACCAGGGGAGTTGGAGGAGTATTGGCCAGCGTTATGGGAATACTGGGCACCATAGCCCGAAGTGTTGTAGGCGTCGTAACCAGAAGATCGGTGAAACCCGCCGCCCGAACCTTGGTTGCGTTGGTAGCGTTGAGGAGGGTTACGTTCGTGCTCCTCATACGCTTCCCGAACGGTTTCAAGGAGTTCTTGAGCCATTTCACTGGCCTGCTTGACTTGATCACTGGTCGGACCGCTTTATAGCAATGTTAGCGGGGGCCGCGGCATCTTGGAAGTTGCATATGGGCACTCACAGAATGTGGACGAACATGGGTTCATCGCTCTCATGGTTATTGTGGTCACGCCAGTTCGAACCACGGCCCTTGACGCGGACCTCACAGCCGGTCTTGCGCTCGATGTGCTTGACATTGCAACCCTCTTTGCCTACGATCTTGGCACGGGTGTTGAATCCCTGAAGGTAAGGGAGGTCGGTAGGAATCCGAGCCTCTTCGGCGTGACGTGGGTTGCGCTGTGTAAAGTTAGCCGCATTTCTTGAGGGCCCATTATATGGTAAGTGGGTTGTTCCATACTCGTTGATATTGGCCTTGGTCTTCAGGACCACGGTTCTGGAATCGACGTTGGTCGACCAGCGAGGGAAGCTCTTGGCTCATCATTTCTTCGATGAGTCCGACGGCCTGATCAAGCCCCTCCTGTGTCTTGCTAGTTATGCGCAGAGATAGGGGAGGGTTCTGTAGGCCAAGTCAGTGATGAACGGTCATGCTCCCCGGGCATCAGACTCCGCGACAGATGATGATCACTTACCTCGGCCGTAGCCAGTTTGCGGTCAGGGTAATAGCTGCCGCGAGTGGTCACATCTTGTAGAAAGTTAGTCATAAGTCATATTGCCAGCATGGTGGAAAAAGGCCTTACCGGCACCAGTTCGTTCCCGGATCTAGAAGTCACATAGCGAGGGTTAGCAGATGCCATAAAGCAATTGTGAGATGGTGTGCATTCAGTTAATGGGTGCAGTAAGCTTCATTGGCCACACAGAGATATGAGAGCAAGAAGAAATAAATTTTGTGGGGGTGGCCTCGGCAAAGACTGGAGTATCAACAGTAATAACAAAGCAAAGAAGATTACTTACCATTGACTGGGTAGCACCCTTGGTCAAGGTGTACCGATTGCGGGAATCGTTGATGTCGATGTCCTTGAAAAAGTCATGCGCCAAGCCGCGCTTCTGATCATGAGCCCGAGGGCTCGAGTAAGCGTTGCTGCTATCCTGTTGTCAAGTGTTAGGGCCAACCGATGGAACCGAAGAGCAACCGATTTTTACGAAGTGAGTTGTGGGGGGGTTAGGGTTGACCGACTTGAATTCCAGCAGCACGAGACGCTGTAGAATCAACAATTGTTAGCAAGCGAAGATAAGTTCAACATCGGACAGGGAAAACATACTAGCCTCAATCAGGGCATCGTGGGAGACGGGAGGAGTCGAAAGAGCCAGAGGGCTCTGCCGGGAGTCGCGGCCATGGGGACTGCGGGTGCGAGTGTACTCTGCCTGACCGGCAGAGGGCGAACGGGACCGAGAACGGACGTCCGACTGGGTTCGTCGAGGGCGTTCGGTTTGGTCGAAGCGAGAACGCTTCGGGCGGTTGAGATCGGCCATGATCGGCCACGAACGGACGCGGGTGGAAAGAAGTTGTAGAAAGAGGTCGGGAGGTGGAGTTGAATAGGGAAGAAAGTTTGATGGGGAGGAGAAAGGCAGAAGGCCGTAGATGTACTCGCGGGTGGAAGTAAATGTAGGCAGTGCGGGAAGGCGCGCGACGACAGAACAATTCAGGAGGGAGCGACCTGCGAAGGTGGCCAATTCACTCGGTTCTGGCCCCCAGTGCTGCCTTGGGTGCTGCCTATCGTTGCGCGGCCATGCACGGTGTGTGTGGGAAATCGAAGAGAGCTTGCGCCTTTGTATTTGCTTCCCCGGTCGTTGCTCGAGCGCATCGCATCGCCCGCGCGCTGAAATCCATTCATCTTGAAAACACGTGATGCAGCGGTGAGCTAGTCCCAGAACGGCTAGCGGGTGGGTGAGTCAGCCTGGCCGAGGTCGGAAGAGCAAAAAGTATCCGGAGATTCTGGAGGAAGCAGTGATTCATCGCACAACTGCCCCGATCAGAACCAGTTATGGCATTCCGGCGCCCCTCGACGCTCGCAGCGTCAGCGTCGCTGCTCTCGTCGGCAACCGCTGCCAGTCGGTCTCGCACCGCCGGCGCTCTGCCTCGTTTCAATGGCTTCCGCTCCTCTTCCAGCTCGACCTCAGCCTTGGCCTACAAGGCATTGCACCGTCGGTCTCCCCTCCCCCTGCCGGTCTCCGATGCCTCGCCTCAATGGGATGCTCCGACTGCCGTCTCGAGCATTCTGTACGAGACGCCCGTTCCTCCTAGCAACCCCCCGAAGCGACACATCCTGAACTGCCTTGTGCAGAACGAGCCCGGCGTGTTGTCCCGAGTGTCCGGAATTCTGGCTGCCCGTGGCTTCAACATTGACAGTTTGGTGGTGTGCAATACGGAGGTCGAGGACCTCTCCCGCATGACCATTGTGCTTAAGGGTCAGGATGGTGTTGTTGAGCAGGCTCGCCGCCAGCTGGACGACCTGGTTCCCGTTTGGGCTGTCCTGGATTACACCGATTCCGCTCTGGTGCAGCGTGAGCTCTTGCTCGCCAAGGTCTCCATCCTGGGTCCTGAGTTCTTTGAGGAGCTCCTGCAGCACCACCGTGAGATCACCACTCCCACCGAGAGCCTGGAGAAGGACAAGCAGAGCGGCCATTCCATTGAGCAGATCGAGTACCACCCTCGCAATCTGCCTCCCAGCCAGGCTCTACGCCACAAGCACGAGCACCTGGACGCTATCACCCGCCTGACCCACCAATTCGGTGGTAAGGTTTTAGACATCAGCACCAACAACTGCATTGTCGAGCTGTAAGTCCTCTCGCGACCCAGCAGGCCTTGTCATGGCTTTTTCTAACAACCTACCCATAGCTCCGCCAAGCCCAACCGTATCGACTCCTTCCTCAAGCTCATCGGCCCCTTCGGTATCCTCGAGTCCACCCGAACCGGTCTCATGGCCCTGCCCCGCTCCCCTCTGTCTGAGCAGACCGAGGAGCTCGAGAAGGAGGCCGCCGACGTTGTTGATGCCAGCACCCTGCCCCCCGGCTAAACGAATTGCCCGAGCCTTCAATTCAAAAATACATACCCAATATGACTTGATCCGTTCGCCGCGCGTTGCTTCGAGCTGTTGATTCTCGGTTCAGCTTTAATATTCAAGACTTTCTAGCTTCATATGTAAAATGACCCAATATCTTGACTTTGTATCTTGATTCTGTCGTAACAGTGCCGTGAGCATCATCATATTGAGCGAGCTATCGAAAACTGGAAAACATCCCAATTCGGGTGTGAATAAGCAACGATGCTGCGTTGTGAGCATCGACCGGTTTGAAATCACCTCTCAACACTAGCCAGCTAAGACCTGAATATTACCTCGTGTCCCTAAATCCTGACCTTCGCAGCAATCCCTTTGCCGCGGTAAAATATGACATCAGTATACTCAAGAACCTTGATCCCGATCTTGGCCAACGCATCCATCTCGAGCGACTCCCCGAGCGCCTTGCGCAAAGCGTCGTATCCAACACCATCCAAGACCAAGTCAACTGGAAGACGCGGCGTGTGCGAGATACCTGGTGGGACATCAAATTGCTTGTAGTGGTTGATCCTGCCGACGGGCTCGTCCTTTTCGTAGAATGCGGTTGCCTCGATCGAGGTGATGGTGATGCTTGTTTCGTTCAGGGGTGAGAAGAGGGTGAATTCGGCCGTTGATGACCAGAAATGGAGCTGCGTGAGTGTTAGTAAATAAGTTCTGATCCGTTTTCGCATTATAAGAAATGATGGAGTGAAGATAGGTGCCGAATACCGTTGCATCTTGAATAAAGTGAGGTCTGTCTTTGCCATCATCGGGAGATCCTGGTGTGGATAGTTGAGGGATCGGAAGGTTGATATGAATGGCCGATAACGCTTTGCCCAGCGCTGGAAGGGAGGGGATGGTTGCCTCGTGTGTTTGAATGGTGACTGTTGTATTGTAGCCTGTAGCGAGTGGTCTGTCAAAACATCATATCATACTTGTGCATTTTTCAACACTGACCTGAAACATATGATGAGACCAGTGTTCGACCTGCTTCTACACCGTCAATGCCACTGCTGTCAAGTGGGTTCCACAAGAAGCTAATCGGAACATCTGTGTTATTTCCGGGGTGAACGGAGATATCGCGGGCAGTGATATGCGCGATGGCGGTGCCGTTGTACAACATAAGAAGATCAACGAACGGAACAGTTGCTGAGTACGAAGTGGGATTCGTAAAGTTCACCTTAACAGAGACAGAAAGCGAAGATTCAGCAGTCTCGTTCAATGACAACGAAACAACTTGCGGATTGAGGTGATGAAGTGGATTTCCAGCAGGAGCTAAGAACAAGTCAATTCCCGAAAACAACAGCAATGCTAAAACTTATACTATGGATCTAGATTATGAAAGTAGCGAGAACATACTGTTCACCGGGACATCGCCTTCTGCGGGGATGCCGCGCACTGTCAAGCGGCCCAAGCCAGTCGAGACTTTTGTATCTACAGTGGCCGCAACGTGCAAGACCACTCCGTTCCCAAATAGCATCCCTTGAACGACTTCCGATAGGACGCCGCTGTCGGTCACGTTCAACGGGGCGTCTTTGATGGCAAACTCCACGAGCAATGCGGGCAAGCCGTCCTCGTCCTCGGTGAGGGTCGAGTTGGCTTTTTGCCACTCATCGATGTTCAGCACTCCGAGTTCTTTGCCTTTGTTGTACACCTTCGCAATTGCTCTGACACGAGGAACTTCGACTTGGAAGTTCATCTCCTCTGGCAAGCCGATAAGGACCTTCATGATGGCTGAGACAGACGGCTGTGCTCCCGGGGCACCAGGCTCTGCGAATGGGTCGGGAAGTGAGAAGTGAGTGTCCGTCATGGTGAAGTTCTTTACCAGGTTGTCCAAAGCATGTCCGGTAAAAGGCAAGGGCACGGTGACACTGCGGAGCAGGTCCGCGATCCAGCCGGGTGTTTCGGGTGACGGAGCATCCGCTCCGCGCACAAAGATGGTAGTCTCCACGCCTTGGATGAAGTTCGAAACCAGCAGGTCCAAAGGCGAATCCCTTTCCCCGGGGCAGCTGGTTGTCAATTCGTCGGGAATCTGCTTGATGAGGCCTTTGACGCTCACATCGGTGGGCTTGTCGGTGCGAACTTGTACCTCTGCTGTGTCGGCATTGGCTACCATGATAAGAGGGTCGCCCGGAGAGCAGTTGGGTACGAGCACTTCGAACCCAAGGGCTGGGATTGTCACAGAAACTGGAGAGTCGATCTTTGCAGTGAGTGAAACGTCAACGGCCATCGACCCGTTGTCTGCATCGTGCACGTTCAGCCGAGTCAGGCTGATCACAGGCAAAACAGGGAAGTCATTTTCTATTCGGATTAGTCTCAATACTCAATTACTTATATACGGCTCATGGGCTTACTTACCTTCGAATGTGATTGTCTCTGTTAGGATTTGAGACCCTAGAGCAATAAGGCCGGTCTTGAGATGCAGTGTCGCCTTGCCTCTGACGCTAAGGCGAGCCAGTCTGCCTTCTATCCAATCCATGGCAATGGAATGAATCCCTTTGATGTCACCAGCCGTCAGATCAGTCAAGAAGTCGATGTGGTTCTTATGACCATTGCGGATATTCACTTTAATGGACGGTACCGCCGCGTTTCCAATGAGCACATTGCCGTACTCTGGCAGGTATACCTCGACATCTGACTCGCCCGTCTCGACTTCCCGAGCAATCCATGTGGCGAACCGACCAAAGCACTGGATTGACTTGTTCTTCACGCGATTTGCATCCATGACGAAGTCGCCCTGCACTCGAGCGCGAACGCCATCGGGGGTGGTGGAGTCTATGGATAGAGCCGTTGGCTTGAATACGGCCGCTTCCTGCGCATACCCTTTCACCACGGCCGGCGCGGCAAAAGCGAAGACCAGAATCGCCAGGACACCCGTCGTCAGTAGGGCGAGGGAGATGATTATCGGCCATCGTACTCGGCTCGGTTTCTTCGTGGAACCATCCACGGGAGATATCGATCTTCGAGAAGCGACTGAGGAAGGCCTGTCTGTTCCATATGTTGCGATGTCCTCTTCGCGACGATGGAGTAGTGGTGTGGATTCTGATGACAGCTCGAATGATCGGCGAGGCTGGTCTGGACGAGTGGTTCTGTCATGGGACGGAGTCGGAGAGGACGACCGGGCCTGCCCGTCCAACAAGGGCCTGCTCGCCTCATCAGCCATCACGAGAGATATTTCAAGAAATAGACGGTAGTAGTGAGACCCTCTCCGAGCGCCTGAGTGATGCCAGAAAGCTCGAGAGAGGGATGAGGAGGGAGAAACCCAGTGGATTGATGACGATAAGCCACCCCAACTGGGCGATAACGGAATGTGGAGAAGTTAAAAACACCTGAAATACGAGGCTCCAAGTACAGCGGCGAGGCATAAAGGCATTAAGGCACTAAGGCACTAAGACTCCCGCCGAGGCCGGCGCACATCCTCCACTGGGGAATTTGAGTTGAGTCATTGCGGTTCCCTTCTTTGCGACCCGGCCCCTCCGTCCCTCTTCCCCCATTGCACATTGCACCTCTGTACACCTTCACCCTCACCTGTACTCCTTTCTCTGCCCTCAGCCCACAATGGCTAGCGGTCTTACAGCTGCCGCCCGTTATGGCGCCCAAAGTGTAATTCAATTCGCCGGCTCCACCTCTTCACTGCGTCGAACACTCCAGGCTAATGGTCTCCGACGATTTGCCCACCAGACACAAACCACTCCCCCCTACCTCTCCTTTCGCTCCCCGCCACCTTCTGTCCATTGCCGACCTGACTCCGGCTGAGTTCGCAACCCTGGTGCGCAATGCCGCCTCGCACAAGCGGGCTATCAAGTCCGGAGCTATCCCGCAATCCCTCATTGGATCTCTCTCCGGCAAGACTGTCGCCATGATGTTCAACAAGCGCAGCACCCGTACGCGCGTGTCTACAGAGGCTGCCGCCGTGCAAATGGGCGGCCACCCTATGTTCCTCGGCAAGGAAGATATCCAGCTCGGCGTCAACGAGTCTCTCTATGATACCTCTGTCGTCATTTCCTCCATGGTTTCCTGCATTGTCGCGCGAGTCGCCAAGCACTCCGACGTGGCTGATCTGGCCCAGCACTCGACTGTTCCGGTCATCAACGCTCTGTGCGATTCTTTCCACCCCCTGCAGATCATTGCCGACTTCTTAACCATCTACGAATCATTCACCCCCAAGGCTCACACTGTCTCCAGCCTGGGCCTGGAGGGCCTGAAGATTGCCTGGGTTGGTGATGCCAACAACGTTCTGTTCGATCTGGCCATTGGTGCCACCAAGATGGGTGTTGATATCCACGTCGCCACCCCCAAGGGCTACGAGATCCCCGCCGCTATGGTCGACATTATCCAGCGTGCTGGAGACGGCGTGACCCACGCCGGCAAGCTCATTCAGACCAACGTTCCCGAGGAGGCCGTCAAGGATGCCGATCTCCTGGTCACCGACACCTGGGTGTCCATGGGCCAAGAGGAGGAGGCCAAGAAGCGTATGAAGGCCTTTGAGGGCTTCCAGATCACCGCTGATCTGGCCAAGCGTGGCGGTGCCAAGGAGCACTGGAAGTTCATGCACTGCCTTCCCCGACATCCCGAGGAGGTCAGCGACGAGGTCTTCTACAGCCCTCGCTCCCTCGTTTTCCCCGAGGCCGAGAACCGTCTGTGGGCCGCCATCTCGGCGCTGGAAGGCTTCGTCGTTAACAAGGGCAAGATTGTCGAATAAATATATAAGTTGGAAAAAGTCCAGGGGGGACATGGTTTCTTGTTCCACCCGCTGAGCGTTTTTTGGGAGTTGATATGCTAGGGGATACACATAGATTTTTCATTCGGATGTAATCTTTCAAAATCCAAAATTCACCCAATTTTCATTACCTCGCATCCGTAACCGCCGTTCCCTCTTCCGTTGAGAGGGGCCCTCTTTAGGCACGCCAATGACGTCGATGATAATTTCCCGAGAGACCCTTGCGGTTTCTTAAAATTCGGCGCACTCGGCATGCCTGGCGGCCTTTCGGTTTGATAAGCTTCCCCCATCCGACGCTGGTGGGGCCTTCGGATGCCGACATGCGCTGCGTGTGGTGGGGCTTCCGATCCCATCAACGGAGTTGGAGGGGTATGGCTGGCCATGCAGTCATGCGAGACATGGATAGAATCAAGCCTGCGTTGGTTGATGTTGATAATTTAGGTCATTGTGTATCTGCTCGGCTTTCTGAGTTCATAGACAACAACTTCAAAAGCAATACTACAATGTGCAAAGCCGACCCCCATGCGCTGCTCGGCCCGTCAACCTACGTTAAATGGCATGCATTTGACACACCAGTATCTGTTGCACTTGATGACCATATTAGACTGCGATGGATCTGGAAGTGCATGGCTTCTCCGGAGGATCGCCCGGAAATTCCGTGGCAGAGTCCTCGGAAGACTTAATTATCAACCCCCCACACTCTCTCCACGCTCCGAAAAGCCACCAACTCGCACACCATCGGATCGGTAATTCTCCAGGCGGGGCGAAGCCTGTTGTCCCACTAGATACTTAGCTACATATATCTGGAGGACGCAATCGCCCCCTTCTCATTCCCGGAACTGTTTTCACTATATCAGTCTTTATAAAAACAAATTGCAAACATAATCTTGCAGCATGGGTTTCGAAGACAAGCGCGTCGCCATCATCGGCGGCGGCCTGGGCGGAATGTCCTTCTTGAACGCCGCCCTGTATGCCGGCCTGAAGAACGTCCAGCTTTACGAGCAGGCGCCGCAATTCGGCGAGGTCGGAGCCGGCGTGAACATCACTTCCAACGCCAATCGCATTCTCGACGCATTCGGTTTGCAGGAGAGCATGACTGAGAAGTCCTCCCGCCAACTCCCCTGCTACATGGAGTATCACAACTACAAGACCGGAGACTACCTGGGCCACATCGACGAATTCTCTCGGCCCCCCGCCCGACTACTGCACCGCGCCCATCTGCTGGATTCGCTCAAGGAGCGCGTGCCCGAGTCCTCTGTGAACTTGGGCAAGCGATTGGCATCCATCGACCGAAGCGCCGCCGGCGCAGCGCCGTACACCCTGCACTTTGAAGATGGCAGTACCGCCGAGGCGGATATCGTCATTGGATGCGACGGTATCAAGTCCAATGTGCGGCTGGACATGGGTCTGGGCGATTCCCCCAACTATTCCGGCCAGGTCGTGTACCGTGGTTTCGTCGACTACAAGGACCTGCCCGAGGAGACGGCGCAGCTGCTCCGGAAGACGGTTAACTTCCGTGGTCCGAAGCGACACGTCCTGATCCTGCCCATCGGAAACAAGGAGACGCAGACTGATCGCGCTGCGATCATTGGCTTTATGTCTGAGCCGCTTGAAGCGTGGGATTCGGAGAGCTGGATGTCCCGCTCGGATATCGAGAGCTTGCATCAGCATGTGAGAGACTGGTGTCCGCAGGTGCAGGATATCATTTCTGGTCTGCGGAAGGGCTCGCCTGATGGTCGGATGCTGAAGCAGGCGCTTTATGTGCGGGATCCGCTGGATAAGTGGTATGAGATGAAGGATGGCCAGAAGGATGCGGGCATCATTCTGCTGGGTGACTCTGCCCACTCCACCCTTCCTCATCAGGGTAAGTCGTGCTTCAGTTTAAAATTCAGCGATTTCAACTGACTCAAGAACATAGGACAAGGAACCTGTATGGCGATCGAGTCTGGCATTGCTCTCGCTACCATCCTGCGTCACTGGAAGGGTGAGAACCTGGCGGACGCGTTCCAGTTTTATCAGGATCTGCGCAAGCCTCGGACAGACCGGGTCACGCAGACTAGCTATGAGGCTGGCAAGCTCGCTAGCTCAGATAGCCCTGACCAGATGACTGGTAACTTTAATCCCGAGGCGCTTGCGGAGCGCATGAAGTGGATTATGGAATATAATGTGTTGGAGGATTTGAAGAGCAAGGGGGCTGAGGTTTTGGACTTTCAGGACTCCCGCCTGTAAATAGACTGGGGGTTATTAGAGATGCTGTATATACCATTGAATTTGTACAAATGATGTTCATGTGACCCACGATATCAGTGTTCTTACCTAGGCAATGTAAGGTATTGTTGGGAGATTTATGTAGTGTTGAAGTGGTGTGGTGTACTTCCTCGGTCAGACCACCCCATGCTAAAATATAGATCGGCTGATCGGGTTACACAAACGACAATCATATTTCGCCACCCGAGCTCAATGTCCAACCGCGATTTGCCCCGAGAGATAAGAACACTAGCAGTGACAGATATATATCTAAACAAATATATCCACCTCATAACATCACGGAGCCCACAACTATAGATACACCTAGAACAGCCGAAGTGTGCACGGCCATTTTCACATGCCGACCGCACGTGCAGCACCTCCGCATTTCCACGGTTGACATTGCGACATCCTCCTCTCCTCGCGAGCTCCCAGGAGACCGACAAGTTCACTATGGACGTAAGTATACCACCTAACAATTGGCACAACTCCAGCTCATACGAAACGCAGTTCAATAATTCGGGCGGCTTCCCATCCCGGCGGTCATACCCCAACCTCAATCACGTCTCCCTCGCACCACTAACACCCCGATTTCCAATCGACGACGACACCGAACCAACAGACTACTTCAGCCCCCGAGACACAGGAGAAAACACAGGCACCAGAACTCCACCACGAACATCATATTTCTCCAGTGTCTCCGTTCCAAGTACACCACCCATCCTCTCGCATTCGCGAAGTACATCCCGCGCGCGACACACCCGCAGCAAGAGTTCAAGCCGCGCGACCACATTCAGCGATACAAATCTGACGAGCCGAGATGTCTCGGTTCCGCTGCACCACGCGTACAAGAAACGGCCCAGCTCGACGCAGCGTCGCCTCGGTCACAGTCACGGTGAAGGACATGCGACCAAGTCGGACGCTGAATGGATGCTTCGAGCTGGAATAGCCCTCGCCTCCTCGACCCGCGAAGAAAAGGGCCAAAGCTGGCTATCTAAGCGCGAGAGCTCAACAAGTCTCGTCTCGGAATCCTTTGACAATGCACCCCATCGACACCACCACCGGACGAAATCGGGTTCGTCGCGCAAGTCTCGATCCAGCGCTTCGACGCCCGCTGCGCTCTCGCGGCGGAGCTCGAGATCTAGGGGTGGGAGTCGCCGTGGAAGTCGTGCGGGATTGGCGATGACTACGCTACCTCTCTCTTCTATATCGTCCGGGGCCGGTAAGTTATCCAGTCCGGCTGGAACGGCGAGTCCTGAGGTCCGTGGCCGGAGTTCTGGCGTCGAGCCGGATTTCGTCGATGAGCGGATTCGCGCGGAGATGGCTTCGTTGCAGGAACGCGGGTTCACAGATGATGAGTCGGAGTTCTGGGATGAAGATGAAGAGTCTGAGTGTGATTACTCTACTGATGAGGCGCCGGATGAATTCGATGAGGCGGATTTGCAGCGTCTTACCCGGGAACGTGGGTTTGGGCTGGGGAGCTGGATTGATCGATTAGTTGAGTGGACGCTTTTTGGCGTTGAGGAGTGGCCGGCCCCTGCGCCGACGGCTGCTACAAGAATTGGGACTACCCTTACTACTACCACTGTTACCTTTGAAGAGCCGCTGGCTATTCGAGAAGGGAGTGAGGGGGTGCAGGCGCGTGATAGTCTGTCTGTTGCTTCTGCGGAGAGAGATCAGGATTCTGATTTTGAGACTCTCGAGCTTGAAAATGATGAGTCCGTTGTCGGTGTTGAGAAGCCGGGCTCGCGTGGTGGGTGGGAAGATGCGAGTTGGTTGTTCCGGGTCGTGAAGCGGGCCATAATATGATCGAGGGCCTTTGCTATTGCTTGTACATACTATGACTTCTTTTCTCTTCTCATATGTTCTTGGCGATGTTAATGGTACGGCCGTGAGATCAGACTGCAAGATAATGATGGGTTTCATTCTTTACGACATAAGAGCGTGCGAATCAATTGAAGCAATCTTTGTGAATTTGTGACAACGATCGATCTAGTAAGGCATTGTTCGATGTAGACCGCAGATGTAGATCCACCAGGCCGAGTACGAATACGAAGAGGGGCATGTATTGCGTGCTTCGGAAGGGGCCGAGAAAGTATCAAAGTAGATGAATTGACTGTACAAAACTCCGACAGTGCAAAACGAGAAAATCACAAGAAGCACGCCATCCGAGATTGTAATACCTTGGTAAAAGCGACAAACGAGATACAGAATCGAACGACAGGTTGAGAATCAAGCCACCCAAGGGGCAAGGTACGAAAGAAATGACAGCGCGACTTGGAAAACAGCAGTACCAAGCTGTGATAGTGGATTGTAAAATGAAAGATAAGGAAAAGTCAGGTCAAGACTAAATAGAGATGCAAAGCCGCTGGACAAACCAGCGCAAAGAAACGAAAGTTAACGAGAAGCAAAAAGACATGTAGTTGTCGGGTAATTCGCCTTTGCATACTATAAAACGCCAGTCAGAGACCAAGTGGATTCTCTAAAGGTCATGCAGTAGTTATCGTGATCGTGGCATACGTTGGAAGGTGACGGTCGGACAGGTGAGGACCGTCGGGCGGGGCTCGGCGTGGTGGGAGCGACGAGTATGTGATGTCGAAGATTAGACCTGAGTGCATCCGCATGCAAGGTATAATTTAATCCGAGCGGGTTGGTTTATGTCGTCGTCGTATTATCGAGATCGAAATTGGAAAAGGGGGTGATCATTGCTTTGAGTCATGGCTGCCTCTTTTTTTATTTTCGTTCACCAAGGTCCGACCTTGACAGGAGTCCCAAGACCATAAGTGCCGGAGAGAAGTTGGTCTCGAATTGAGCCGAGCTCATTTCCACCCGATCCGTAGGATTGCGAGTCTGGCCCGTTCATCCATCCTAGGCTCGAGCCGAGTTCGTTCACGGCGGCCTGGAGCTTCCCTCCCGATGTGTGGTTGTGTTTCGCGAGCTTCTGATCCCATCCCCCGTACTGCAGCTGAATTCCTCCGCCACGCTTTCCTGCTTCTCGGATCACCAGGATCCAGGCTTTGCAGATCTCATCGTAGGCGGAGTCTCGCTCGATGTTGTTCTGTGGCGTACTCCAGCGAGGCAAGGCGTGGATGATGTCGGTCGCTCCGTCCAGATAGCTGAGTGAGACCGATGGCTGCGCTTCGTTTGGAGGGAGGAAGTTGGGTGTGAAGTCGCTCAAAGCTTCAAGAAGGTTCGTGAGTGGCTGCCGGACTCGATTGTAGGCGTAGTCGGACTCAGTGTTGCCTCCCAGCGGGAAAGACGACTGGAGGATCCCTTGGTAGTTCCGAAGAACCTGGAGAGTAGACGAGACGCTTGGGCGAGGTGATGTATGGGCGACCTCGTCGGCGAGCTGAGGATGACGCTCGCACATGGTCCGAACCACGGTCCGAAGGGCATCGGTGTCCAAAGTCTCTAGCAGACGAGGGAGGGAGAGAGGTCTGCCGGAGACATTTGGTCGGGATCGTTTGATATTGCGAAAGGTCGGAGGGAGTTGGCGAGGAGTAAAGGCAGGGGAGTTGGTCGGAGAGGCGGACATGCGTCCATCATGGTCGTTGCCATCATCATCGGCTTTCCGCTTGCGGTTTGTGTAGGATGGTGTCGACACTATAGGTGAGAAAGTCAGATCATGATCGATGGATGACTCAGAGAGCATGGCTTCAGAGAGAGGTGAGAGTAGCGAGCGAGCGAGAGACTTACTGATCCGGGAGGGCGAGAGTCGAGGGTTCTCGTAGAAATGAGGAGGAACAGGAGGCGTGGCCACCAGACTGTTCATGATGACAGCCGGATGGCAGATGAAGAGTGTCTCCAAGATTCTCACGGAAAAACCGGATCACTTTCCAAAGGGCAAGGAGGAAATGGAGGAAAAAAGGCGCCCAAAAGGGTGAGGTGGGGAGAAGAAAGGCAGAGAAGCGGTGGAGAAAAGAGAAGGCGTAGCGTTGCGGGCGGCAACGCAGGCCGGCCGCGCAGGTTTCAACGTAACTTCTCGACGTTGCAGAGACGGGATCTCCCTGCAAAAGAAAGGGTTTGGTGAAGGAACTGACTGCTGCGATTTTAATAGGCCTGTCTTGACTCAGATTTTACACTGAGGAAATAAAGATTACATATGGATGATCCTATTTTCGCTGGTGAGACCCGCTCGGACGCTGCTCTACCAAGTACTACATTCCGTGCTGCGCAGGGTTCGGCTTGGGCTGCATTCGGGGCTCCCCGACCTACGTGCTACTATATGTGCTTCTCTTGAGAAAATGATGACTGAAAAAACATTCCTTTTGTTTTGACCTAAAGTACGCCCGGGGATATCGAATGTCGAATTTACAGATACAAGGATTGGGCAGCGACAATGTCCCGACGGACCTTCGTGAGCGCAGATTCGAACTTGTCCTGCAGGTCATCGCTTCCCATTACCTTAGAAGCCTGCGCCATCTGTCGCAGACACTCTTCCAGCCGCCGGAAAACGCGGATCAGACTGCCCTCGTAAACGTCGGTCATTTTACTAGGTAGAAATTTGTTAGTGGTGGTTCGGTTCACATGCAGGGGGTGGCAAACACTTACCAGATCTCGCCGAAGGCCTTTCCGTTCGCCCACTCATAGATCACCTCCATGAGCTCCCAGTGGAAGCTCTTGACATACTCGTCCTCATTAAGAGCCAGCTTAGACTCCTGAGAGACCTTGGCAATATGCCGAGCCTGTTGCTGGATAACCTTAAGAGGCTTCGACAACTCGTCCTTGGCCAGCGGAGGAGCCTCCTTTACTTGCTCATCGAACACGAATACACTCATGACAGCAGCAATTTGTTCGGGAGTAAAATCATTGAAGAAACCGTTGAAGAGCAGCTCACTCAGCATTAGCTCGTCACCGGTACTGATCTCACAGGCAACTCGGGCCTTCATCTGAACAACATCGGCGTCATTAATAAATCCTAGTCGACGGAGCACTCGCTTGCGGTATTTCAGCTCATCGAGCTGCTGGATAGCCATGGCTTCGGCAATCTTCTTCTTAACGTCCTTGATTTGGTTGCCCGTGCGGACCTTCTCATCATACTGCTCGTAGAGTTCTGGCAGTCGGGGTGAGTTGTGCAGCGGGTTGCCCAGGAGGCGGGAATCGAGAACTTCAATTTTCTGCAGTAGTTTTAATATAAGATCGGGCTTTTCATAGAGGAAACGAGGACCTACCCTGAGAAGCTTCTTGAAAGAATCATCCTGGATCTTCATATCCTCAATGGGGTCGATCTGTGGCAGCCCATCGGGGAATCGTCTCTGGCACTCATCCAGATGTTTCCTCACGGTGTTCAAACTGTCGGTCGAAGTGAGGTCCTTGGGCAGATTGAGTCGAATGGGTGACAGACGACGCACGCAAGTGAGCATGCTGGGTACAACCACTGTCCGGCACTTTTCGCCGTCCTTGGCTGGCTCGATTCCGGCAGGAAGATCCGAGAACGACTTGGTACCAATGGAAGGACCCTCCGCGAGCTTCAAAATCACATCGACAAAGTATTGTTCGTGAGGAGGAATCTGCTCAGTGGGGTTCTTGGGGGGCGGTCGCTTGGTGTGTCTGACAGTTACACCCCAGCCAAAATTTTTACCCTTAAATCCAATCTGAACCAGACGGCCCGGTTGAATGAAGGGCAGAATATGGTTGGGGTGGCTAATTACAGCCTGAACGTCGTCGGCGAAGGTATCCAGCTGCTTTCTAAGGTCGTAGTATTCGCGAATGGTTCCTTCATCAGGAATAAAGGTGTTGGCTTTCTTGTCTTCCAGTTCCTGAAGCTCTCTCTCCAAGCTGGAGATGTCGCCGGTATTTTGAAATTGTTTGAAGCAGCGTTCAAGCATGTATTCGGGAGAGATACCATCCACACGGAGGAGATTGAGGATCATGTTGTAACTGAGGTGGAAGGCTGAGTTCAGTCGGTCTTGTTCACCACGGACGATCTCCTTGGCAACAGCAGGATCCATCTGGTTGTCCACCATCATAATCACGATACCTCGGTCATCAAGACCTCGTCGACCAGCACGACCGGACATCTGAATGAACTCGGATGGGGAAACCCAACGTTGGCTCACACCGTCAAACTTCCGAACGCTGGTGAACACAACAGTCTTGGCAGGCATGTTCAGGCCGATGGAAAAAGTCTCGGTAGCGAAAAGGACCTTAATCAGGCCTTCCTGGAAAAGAATCTCAATAGTTTCCTTGAGAATAGGCAGGAGACCGGAGTGGTGGACCCCGACACCTCTGCGGAGCAGGGGCAGAAGGTTCTCGATCTGAGGCAATTCGCGATCTTCCTTGGAAAGCATTTCGATGGCACTGTTGAAAACCTTGGAAACCATTTCTTTCTCGGAATCGTCGTTGAAGGACATGTTAACCATTTGCAGAGCGCCCTGCTCGCATTCTCGTTTGCTGAAACTGAAGACGATGACGGGGTTAAGGCTCCTCAGCATAATCATCTTGACAATTTTGAACATATCAGACGGGCCCTTGTTACCGCCCTTGTTCAGTTTCTTGTCCTTGCCATTTCCTTTCCGCTTGGCCAGAGCATCGGCGGGATCGTCTCCCGCCTTATCCGCAATCGTACTCATGGCCTTCTGGAAGTTCTCCTCGCGGAACGCTCCCTTCTCGTCAACAATAAGGTGCATACCATCGCCACCAGCTGGGAAGAAGTAGTGCTGAAGAGGAGTAGGGCGGAAATCGGTGTAGACAACGTGACAAGGCTGGTTGTGCATCTTGGTGACCCACTCGGCGAACTGCATGGAATTGGGAATGGTAGCAGACAAGAAGACATATCGAACCTTGTCTGGCAGGAGAATGATGGTCTCTTCCCACACAACACCACGGTTGGCGTCACGCATGTAATGAATTTCATCGAAGATAACCCAGCCCACCTCGCGCATGATCTCAGAGCCACGATACAACATGGAACGCAAAATCTCGGTGGTCATGACCAGACAAGTGGCGGTAGGGTTGATGGTCACATCGCCGGTCATCAGTCCAACATCACCGAACTCGGCCGCAAATTCACGGTATTTCTGGTTGCTCAGCGCCTTGATTGGACTGGTGTAGATCACTCGTTGGTTGTTCTTCAAGCATTGCGCAATGGCGTATTCTGCAATAACAGTCTTTCCTGCACTAGTGTGGGCCGAGACCAGCACACTCTCTTCTCGTTGAATCGAATAGACCGCAACCTGCTGAAATGGATCAAGGGTAAAAGCGTAGCTTTTCGCGGGATTGGCAGGCGGCTGATGCTGCGAGATGGGGACGTAGGGGTAGTTTGGAGGGATGGCAACTTGGTGGCGGACTTGGTGGGACACCACAATCCCAGTATCTTGCGAAAGTCCGCCAGAGGCGAGCTGACGCTCTTGTTCGGTTTCGAAGGAATCGGCGACGACTGGCGCGGGGGCGTCGGCCAGTTTTTGTCGTTTTGTTTCGGGTTGTTCGTTGTCGGCTGCTGGCTCTTCATTTGCTGGCTCAGCATCAGCCATGGGCTCATCAGAAGAGGCCTCCTTCTTTTCCTCAGCTGGCGCAGCTTCCTCTGCTTTGACCTCTCCGTCGGCCTGACGCTTCTTGCTTTTGTCCTTCTTGGTCTTCTTGTCCTTCTTGCCGCGCTGAGGAGTACCACCAGGCGGCTGAACCGCCTGGGGTTTGTCCTCGAAGACGTCGAAGAGCTCGTCCATGTCCAGGTGCCGACTTTGGGGACGAGTCGAGTCGGCAGCAAAGCGGGCCTGGACTTTTTTGCGCAGAAAAATGAAAGTACTTGATCGAGAAGGCGGTGACCCGCGCGCGCGCCCGCATCACCTGACAAATATCACGTGACTACAATCGACCCATTCCGCACCTTGCGATGTTCACTTTGGCTTCGCCCGTCTGTTCCCGATCGTCCGCTCTCTCCTCTCAGTACCTCAAGGTGGGTGACTGTTGCAATATTCTGACTCTCTCATGCACCAGCTCACACTATCTACGAAGATGTACGCCTCCTCCGCCGTCCGCGCCCGTCTGGCCACCGTCGCTGCCCGTCGTGGCTTCTCCACCACTCGCACCCAGCTCGGCAGCCCCTACCACTACGCCGAGGGTCCCCGTACCAATATCCCCTTCAACCCTCTGACCAAGCACTTTTTCTGGAGATACTGGGCCTTCATGGGTGAGTAGTCCGCAATTGACCGACAGATCGCGACAGGGCTAACTCGAAGACTCATCTAGTTGCCGGTTTCGGTGCTCCCTTCGGTATTGCCGGTAAGCTTTCAATTGACCCGACTCTCTATCAGAGAGGTGCTAACGATTCCTATCATATAGTCTGGCAAACCTACAAGACCAAATAAGCTGTTTTACTAGTGCAACCCGCGTGATCCTGATAGGAGGAATGGTCAACCTCCGCGGTGGAAGTTTTTGATCAGGCAACCAAGCCGCTGCAAATCGTGTACAAAGCTAGAGAATAAGTTTGGATTTTCTTTGCACCCGAAAATCGTGCCATTGTAGCCGTGTAGTGCGCGTAGAATGTAGCTCCTGCGACGTTGAAATCTGAATGAAGTCATTGGCTGAGCGGATGTGGAAAATCTAAAATCTGTGGTTCGGCCTTGATACAACATCCACAACCACGTCGCCAGCCGCACATCTGCCCGCTCTCCCAGACTGGAGGACAAGCTGTGGTCAGAGATTCGCGGGCATTTTTTCGAATTTTCTTGTTTCTACGCGCCCGTCCGATCTCACCGTCCCATGGCGGGGTAGAAAAAGAGGGCCCTCAAAAAAAGTTGATACCCGTGAAAGATGCGCAACCTGCGAAATGTTTGGCTGCGGGAGACGCAGGTCCAGAGTGATCTGCCTCTGACGGCCACGGCTTGGGACACCTCGTCTGACTCGGTCGTCTGTACCTTTGGTCCGACAGAGCAGGCCCCAATTATCGAGCTGCGAAGGAAGCGGCCTGATACCCAGGCTGATGATCCCGCCGACCACCCGCTCAGCCGCGATGCGCTCGAGATTCTGGCCTCCTGGGATGCGCCCTGCCCGTTGCCGGATTTGTCTTGTGACCGGATTCTGTCATTGCACTACTTTGCCGATAACCTGACAGCATGTCTGGTGCTCGAGGGTGGTGATATTGTCATGGTCCGCGAGGAACCCCTCCCCGGCGAAGACAAAATTGAGATTCTGGGCTCTGTGGATGTCGGCATCAGCGCTGCTGCATGGTCGCCTGATGAGGAGCTGCTTGCTATTACGACAAGAGCTCGTACTCTTCTTTACATGACACGCGAGTTCGAGAATGTTGCTGAAATCACATTGGCCCAAGCCGATCTTCAATCTTCCCAGCACGTGTCTGTTGGCTGGGGTAAGCGAGAGACGCAATTCCAGGGAAAGAGAGCCAAGGCCCTTCGGGATCCTACGGTACCAGAGAAGGTTGACGAGGGAAAGCTGAGCAGCAACGATGATGCTGGAACCACCATCAGCTGGCGAGGTGACGGTGCCTACGTTGCCGTGAACAGTATTGAAGAAGGCTCTCGTCGGGCGATTCGCGTTTACTCCAGAGAGGGTACGCTTGATAGTGTCAGCGAGCCGGTTGATGGACTCGAAGGGGCCCTGAGCTGGCGGCCGTCTGGAAATTTGATTGCAGGAAGCCAACGACTGGAGGATCGTGTTGATGTTGTTTTCTTTGAACGGAATGGCCTTCGCCATGGCCAGTTCACTTTGCGCCTCACAGAGAATGAGCGCCAATCCTGGGGATCGCACATCCAACTCTCATGGAATGTCGATTCGACCGTGCTGGCTGTCCGATTCAAAGATCGCGTCCAACTGTGGACCACAGGCAACTACTACTATTATCTCAAGCAGGAGATCCCGATTGTCAGTGATCCTGAATCCTCCCTCCCATTTTCCTTTGAATGGCATCTGGAAAATGCACTGCGTGTTGTGGCTGGCTCCTCGGGATCTATCCTGGACTTGGAATTTGCATTTGATATCAACCACGGCTCCACTGTGATTCCAAATGATGTCGGCGCCGTTGCTGTGATCGATGGAAAAAACCTGAAACTGACTCCCCTTCGCTTGGCGGGTGTGCCACCTCCCATGGCTCATAATGAGCTGGCATTAGACTCGAATGCCATTGATGTTGCGTTCAGCAAGTCAGGTACCCGCATCGCGGTCCTCATGAAGGACAGTTTCTCTATTTTCTTGTGGGCTTTGAAGAGCCGCCCGGTTCCTGTCCCTATTCTCGAGTCAAGCTACCCACTCTCCGACGCCTCAACTAGCCGTCCCAGGCAGATCGCATTTGTGGACGAAAATGAAGTTTATGTGCTTAGGGAGCCCAAGCCAAACTCTACCATCATCGAGAAAACGATGCTGGAGACTCGTTCTACTGAGGTCATCCATGAGGCTCTCGGTACCCGATTCTCCTCGATCTTCCCAGGAATTGGTCATGATAGCCTGTGGATTTCGCATAAGCCAATCAGCGGTGCTACATATTCCAGCATCCCGTCCGGGTCTGAAGGAGACGCTGCAGTCGATCTGTGGACTGAGAGCCCTAGCATTGACACCCCCTTTGCTCGGGCCGTGTCTATCTCGGAGGATGAGAAAATCCTCATCTCATTAACGAGAACAGGAACGCTATTCGCGAATAAGCGTGTTCTGGCAAAGAACTGCACATCTTTCCTGGTGACTCCATCCCACCTCCTGTTCACCACCTCTCAACATCTTCTCAAATTTGTTCATCTAAACCGTGTGGATGAGATGGAAGTCCCCGAAGACACACCTGAGACAGATGAGAGATGCCGAAGCATTGAACGAGGATCGAAGCTGGTATCGGTTATTCCTTCAATCTTTGCCGTCGTCCTCCAAGCACCCCGAGGCAACATCGAGACCATTTATCCTCGCGCTCTGGTGCTGGCGGGTATCCGAACTTTCATCGACCAGAAGAAATACCGATCCGCGTTCCTTGCATGCCGCAGCCAGATGGTCGACATGAACATTCTCCATGACTATGCCCCGCAGCAATTCATGGAAAGCGTTCAGCTATTCATTGAGCAAGTGAAGAAGGTTGATTTCATTGATGACTTCCTCTCTCGTTTGAAGTAAGGACCGCCACCAACAAGCAACATGAAAACCTGCTAATGTAGTGTCTAGGGAGGAGGATGTCTCGCAAACATTGTACAAAGACACCCTCAAGATATCCAAGCTGGAGTCGGCCGTTGTTGCCAAGCCAGATGCGCCAGCTGCGCCTTCTACTCAGAGCCCAGGGAGCAAGGCTAGCAAGGTCAACTCTATTTGTGATGCTTTCCTAGCAGTCCTCAAAGGCCGCGTGGATACCAATCTACAGAACCTGGTCACAGCGCACGTGTGCAAGTCGCCGCCTGATCTGTCAGCAGGATTGGAACTCGTTGCTGGATTGCGAGGTAAGTTCACTCTAAGAAATACAAAAGGCTTTGTAACTAATAATTGCGACAGTGGAAAACCCCGAACAAGCTGATGATGCTATTGAGCACATGTGCTTCTTGACAGATGCCAATCGGCTCTACTCTCACGCTCTGGGACTTTACGATCTGGAGCTCACTCTTCTGGTGGCTCAGCAAGCACAGATGGTAAGCATTTGAGTCAACCCGTGCAATTGAATTGTCTGACATTTTCCAAAAGGACCCCCGAGAATACCTTCCATTCCTTCGTAAGCTGCAGCAGCTGCCCGAGACCCGACGACAATTTGAAATCGACAACCACCTCTCCCGCTTCGAAAAGGCTTTGAAACATCTCTTTACTCTTGCTGCTCATGAGGAACTCAGGTCCTATGTTATCAAGCACGTCCTCTACAAGGAGGCCTTGGAAGTGTACAAGTACCAGCCAGAGCAGCAGAGGGAGATCACACACCTCTATGCCGAATACCTCACAGACCAATCGAAGCACAAGGATGCAGCAATTGGTGAGTATAAGAGCGTCCTTGATTGAAAATACGGTCTTGACTAACCTACATTCTAGCTTACGAATCGTTGGGACTTTACGACGAAGCTCGCAAGTCTTACAAGCTTGCCCACATGTGGCGCGAATCTTTGTACAGTGCAATGATGGCCGATCTCCCAGAGAGCGAACTGGCTGCGCACACAGCCGAGCTCGCCGAGACACTCACCGACGAACTCCGCGACTACATCTCAGCGGCAATTGTCTATGCCGAACACCTGCACGACATTGTCACCGCCGCACGACTCCTGTGCCGCGGCTCGAAGTTCGCCGATGCAGCTCGTCTCCTCACCCTCCATGGTAAGAAGGAATTGGTCGAGGAAATCGTCGACACTGGCCTCGCCGAGGCAATGGGTTCCATGACCGATCTCCTTGCCGACTGCAAGAATCAGCTGAATGCCCAGGTTCCCCGCGTTGGTGAACTTCGCAAACTCCGCGCCGAAGATCCCCTCGCCTTCTACGGAGGAGACCCAACCGGCGGCGAAGGTGGTGTCGATATCCCGGACAACGTTTCTCTCGCCCCGACCGAGACATCCACTCTGGCCGGCCGCACCATGTTCACGCGGTACACCGGCAAGACCGGCAAGACCGGCGCGTCTCGACAGACGTCCCGTAATCGCCGACGCGAGGAGCGCAAGCGCGCTAAGGGCCGTAAGGGTACTGTTTACGAAGAAGAATACCTCGTCAACAGCATCAGACGTCTTATCGAGCGAGTCAACACGGCTGTCCCGGAAGCCGAGTCGCTCGTCGACGCCCTGTTGCGTCGTGGGATGCGCGAGCGCGCCGCGGCTGTTGAGAAGGCTTTGGCGGATGTCATGAAGATGTGCGCCGACTGCCGTGATGATGTGTTCGAGGTGCAGAAGGTTGAAGCACCGAAGCCTGAGGAAGGCGAAGATGGAATCTATGAGGAGCCTTCTCTTGCTCTTCGGGGTGGGTCTGCAGTTCTTGCGGAGAGCCTGGATTTCCTCGAGGGAGGAGCGCGCGTCAAGCCGCCGCCTGTTCTTAAGGAGATGAAGAAGTCTTCCCTGCTGGCATAGTTTGCCCAGGCCTAGCTTAGGTACAGCATGCTGTTTATGTCTACATGTCGTATGATTCGATGACTGAGTAAACAATATCACTAGACGATGTTTTCTGTTTGTTTATTTTCGGGTTTCAGAGCTCGTGCATCTACCTGACTTAGGGGTGGTTGGTCCTGCAGGAGTCTTCCTGCACAAACAACAACAAACTTAAAAAGTACATTATTTCCATTCCATTAGAATTCAATAAAAGCCCAGCCAATTTCCCTCGATACTACGAGCCCCTCATCTAAGCCAAATCCGATGGAGACCGGGTAGTTGAATCGGCTCATTTCCCAGCCGTCGGACGTCCGCCCTTGCATAATCCTACCTCATTCATATTACCCAGACATGGAGTAGTGCATAGTGCACCACCGGCCATCCCTGAAGATAAGCCTCGCTAGCGGGATTTGGGTCGGCAGAGCTGGGTTCTCTATTGGTAAGTTCACTGGTAGTTGGTGATTCCCCGGGGAATGCACCCAGTCGGAGCGGGGTGATAAGTATTCTCCAGCTGCGAACTAAACTACGCTAGCAGCCATCGCTTGCTTGAGTGGAGCGATTGCCGAAACATGGTCTCCGCTGCCGTTGCTTAGCCTTGTTGAAGACCAAAGCCACGCGTGATGTTGCCCTGCACACCCCTCATGGATTTAAGCGGGATTCGGGATAGTGTCTCGATGTGTCTCATGCCCCATGCAGATACTCGTGCCGGACCCAATCAACTCTTGCTTCGCAAATTGGCTGTTTTGCACGCCTAATTTGGTGGAGATGGCTGTTGCCGTGATGCCCTGCTGTCATCCGAGGATAGTATTTCTAGGGGTAGGCCCCGCGTTGGTGAAGCGGTACTCATTGACCCCAAGGGACCTTGACAGTGCATTGCGATGTTGGTCAGTCAAATTCTTGCTGTTTTGGCTGCTGCGGCCTTTGTCGGCGCTGTCCCGGCTCCTCACGCTACGAATCGTAGGCATGTTTTGCACGAGAAGAGAGAACGGCTGTCTCATGACTGGGTGAGAGGTGATCGAGTTGAGAAGTCTGCTATGCTACCGGTGCGAATTGGATTGACACAGAATAATCTGGAGAAGGGATATGATTTTCTGATGGATGTGTGAGTATTGCTGTGTCTTGCTTGGAGAAGAATCATGCTAATGCTGTCCAGCTCTAACCCGTCGTCAACGAGGTATGGGCAATATTGGACTGCCGATGAAGTACATGACATGTTTGCACCATCGGCTCAAGCAGTTGATCAAGTGCGAGAGTGGCTCCATTCGTCTGGAATCGATCCATCGAGGGTCGTCCACTCGGACAACAAAGGCTGGATCGCATTCGATGCCTATGCTCACGAGGCAGAAAAACTATTCATGACGGAGTTCTATGAGCATAAGCATGTTGCGAGCGAGGGTATGAAGATTGGCTGTGATAAGTACGTCAGCGAGACCCCGATCTTTCATCATATTTAATTGTCAATGCAGATATCACGTTCCCGACCATCTTCAGGGCCACATTGACTACATTACCCCAGGCATCAAGTTGACACCCGTTGTGAAGAAACACAAGAAGACAAAGCGTGCCTCGCATCTTGCCCACAGCAAGCCCAGTCTCGAGGGCGTCTTCTCAACCGAAGCAAAGTACTCAATTCCAGCTAAGGCACTATCCCTCTCCTCGGATCTCCAGGGATGTGGGTATAACATGACCCCGACCTGCATTAAGGCCCTGTACGGGATCCCGGATGCGACCAAGGCATCCAAGAAGAATTCGCTGGGTCTCTATGAGCAGGGCGATTACTTTGCAAAGTCGGATCTGGACTTGTTCTACAAGGACCATGCGCGCTGGGTTCCGCAGGGTACTTATCCTATTCCTGCTTTGATTGATGGTGCAAATTTCTCTGTGCCGTCAGACAGTTCGTTGAATACGGGCGAATCGAATATCGATATTGATCTGGCGTAAGTTAATATATTTATTCTGCCAGAAGTCTGAACGCTGAAATGCTAACACGGTGAAGGTACTCCCTGATCTATCCCCAATCCGTGACTCTGTACCAGGTCGACGACCAGCTCTATGAGCCTGAGGAAGTGGCAACAACCAACCTCTTCAACACATTCCTCGACGCTCTCGACGGCGTATGTCCTCTCCCACAGTCTCATCCGACTCCGCTAATTCCCCCAGTCATATTGTACATACAGCGCCTACGGCGAAACAGGAAACAACCCCTCCATCGACCCTGTTTACCCAGATAACCGAGAAGGCGGCTATAAAGGTAATCCCTCTCACAAACCAACAGCCACACCCATACTAAACTACCCAGGCAAACTCCAATGCGGCATCTACAAACCAACAAACGTAATAAGCGCCTCCTACGGCCAAGCAGAAGCTGACCTCCCAGTGAGCTACACAAAGCGGCAATGCAACGAATTCATGAAACTAGGACTACAGGGCCACTCAATCCTCTTTGCATCCGGCGACTACGGCGTCGCCTCCTTCGCCGGCGACGGCAGCGCAAACGGCTGTCTAGGTCCAGACCAAAAAATATTCAACCCGCAATACCCATCCAACTGTCCGTACGTGACATCCGTAGGGGGCACGATGATCTACCCAGATCAAACGGTCAACGACGAAGAGAGTGTCATGCACGTCAATCTCGGCGGGACGGCGAGCAATTTCAGTTCAGCTGGCGGGTTCTCGAATTACTTTCCACAGCCTGGCTATCAGAAGAAGAGTGTTAAGAAGTACTTTGAGAAGGCGGGCCTTGATTATCCGTTTTATGAGGAGTTGCAGGTTGATGTTAATTCGACGAGTGGTTTGTATAATCGGATTGGGGGGGCTTATCCGGATGTCTCGGCGAATGGTGCGAGGTTTCCGGCTTATACTGGTGGGGTCAAGCATCATTATTATGGGGCTAGTCTTGCGTCGCCGCTTTTTGCGTCCGTTTTGAATTTGGTAGGTTGATTCCCAGAGGTTGGTGGGTGGGGCATTTCTGAGCTAATTTTGGGATTGCAGATTAATGAGGAGCGGCTTGCTAAGGGAAAGGGTCCGGTTGGGTTCGTTAATCCTGTTCTTTATGCTCATCCCGAGGTCTTGAATGATATTACCAATGGGACGAATGCTGGTTGTGGGACTTATGGCTTTAGTGCTATTGAGGGGTATGTTAATGAGTCTTCTATTATTTATCTGCAGCGGGGACAGAGATGGCTAACGATCATTCTAGATGGGATCCTGCTACTGGTCTGGGGACTCCGAACTATCCCAAAATGAAGGAGTTTTTCCTGTCCTTGCCGTGAGTTGGATCATGGGATTACCGTTGCGGTATTAGATATGTGGATCTTACTGTACATGACAATGATGATATTCGATGTATATACGTATGATGTTACACTTAACCTGTCTCTGGAGAAGAATATTGAGTAGGAGAAGCGAGCTGAAACAAAGAAACATGGATTGACAACAAAGGAACCTGATCAAGGAACGTCCGCTTGCTACACGCCCTGTAAACCGGGCACTCGCTAGGAACTTCCGCCCCATCCCATACGAAGCCGATAATCCTGATGAATCTCCGAAACACCCCTAGCCAACCCAATAATCCCATCAACAAACCCTCCCTCGCCACGATTAACCCGCTCACGCCGTTCAATCTCCGCGGCCGACTCATTCTCTCTTAGCCCAAGCAACTGCTCCGTCGTCAAACCCTGCACACGTTCCGCATCGATCCTCGTCAACAGGGCACAGTCGCCCTGTCGTCGAGTCCATGCCGCCTGCTTCACAGCCGGGGCCCAGAATGCAGCAAGTTGAGACTCATCCCGGCCTTGAGCGTAGCAGTTACGCAGTCCGGTCGTGACGTCGGATTCGAGGGCTGCGTTCCATTGTGTTGAGGCGACTTCGTACCGTTTTTCCATGAGCCAGATTATCGGCCAGGTTATGATCCATAGCTGCAGGATGACGACTGTCCACCATACGAAGCGGTTCAGACGGAGTCGGTTGATCCAGTGTGGGGAGTAGACGGTTACTGAGCCGTGAGCGGAGAATTGGTCGAAGGTGACGCTGCCGCGGTAGTTGAGGTCTCGGATGTGTGTTTCGAGGGCATTGGTGAATGTCTTTTTGTTGAATGCTTTCAGGTGGCGGTGGAGGGTAAATCTAGAGAATAAGTTAGCAAGGCCTCCGAGAAATATAAGGGGGATACATACGACTTCACAGGTGTAGGATCCTGGCAATACCGCTCACACCACATCTTCAAATCAGCATCAATATGCTTCAAAACATGATGCTCACGATCGACCGCAGAAAGACTCTCCGACCCAGCCTCCGCATCCGCCCCAATAAGCCGCGCATCACTATCATCCTCCAACGCAATAGCGCCATACTTCGCGCTCTTCGGCGTGTGCGCGCGCGACCGGAGTCTGCCCCCACGATACGCGAGCATCTCATCATTGTCTTTATTCACGTACGCAGTAAACCAATTCGCAATCCCATCACCCTGTCCCGCCTCCCAGCCCGTTAACATGGTTTCGGCGAGGTCCAGCTGGAATTGGAAATCCGTCACAGTATTATTCTGCTTCTTCTTGCCGTCATTACTGCTCTCGGAATGCGTGCCGCGGACTGAAAGGATTGGGCGCGGAGGCAGCTTCATCTGGCGCCGGATGGCGCGGTAGAGGGTTTCTGCATCGCGCGAGAGGATCGAGGATGTTGTCGCGGCGCGCTTGTCTTCGGGGCGGATTTCGGCGGCGCCGGGGAGGTGGTAGGCGCTGTCGATTAGGATGAGGGGGCGAGTGAAGTGGCTGGCTGTGGAATGTGGGGTTGGCTGGGCTGGTGCGAGTTCTGGCTCGTCGGTGTAGGGAGGGGGGAGGTCGGTGGTGTCTTCGAGGGTGTGTAGAGAGAGGGAGGAGGAGGTGGGGGGATCGTCGCGACTGCGACTGGGATCGTCCGTTGGGTGGCCCATGGTTCAAGGTGGGCTCCGGGGTTGAGTGGGAAAGGCAATGAGTGGTACCTGCAGGGCTGCTGAGAAGAAAAAGAAAACAGACAGAGCACACAGAACAGAGGAGACTGCAGCTTGGCGAGAAGAACAAGAGATGGGTGGTGCAGAGGGAAAAGTGGGAAGGGCGATGGGGGCCGACGATGAGGCTCCGAGTGGAGTCTCGTATTCAGGTGAGACATCTCTCTACTAACACAGCCTCAGCATGGATGCGTGGTACTACACGCGCAAAATTATTCAGGTGCCCATCTGCAAATCAATTAGTTTCACAACCACAGGGAGTCAATTACTTTATTTTCAGTCTCATCGCTGCAGTTGCTGCGTCTACGAGCATCCCGGCTAGAGTTGTTTACTGTAACATCTACATACAGAGCCACGGCACTCAGTGATAGAAACTCAATAGTCGAGACTGAATTTCTATAAGCTTATCGCTGAATTGGATCGCATCGAACCGTGTTTAATGTTCAATATTTCCAATTCAATCCATACACTCTTCAATTCACCCAAATGGAAACCATTATATACACTTAGCACCCCCGATCTAAACCATGGAAATAACCTCACCAAGAACCCACCGACGGAGTCGAATAAGACCCAGTCGCCGACCCACCCTGACACTGCGACGGCACACTCTTAGCTCCAGACGCGCCCCAACTCGCAGGCACACCACCAGCACGACGATCAGCGGCAGACAGGAAAGCAGCATAAGACCAGGTCAAATCCCCAGCCGAGACAGGGATCCCATTGTCACGAGCGAACTGCTCAGCCAGTGACCCGTTGCTAGGAGTGTACTGCTGCACGACAGAGACAAAGCCGTCGGCGTAGGTCTTGACTGCGCCTGTGAGCGAGGCGTAGGTTGCGGAAGAGCTGGAGTAGTTGCCGACGCGGGCGGTCGAGTCGAGATCTTGGAAGAAGGGGAGGCTGGTCTGCGTGATGGTGAGAGAGCCTTGCTTTTTCCATTGGTGGAGAGCGTCGTAGAGTTGTTCTGCTGCTGCGAGGGTTGCGAGGTACCTATCATTGCTGATGTTAGTATTTGCAACTAAGAAGAGGAGGGAGATGAACTTACCAAGGGTTGCCGCCCTGGTAGGTATCCTCAGGGTAACGACCAATAGCCACCGCACTTCCGGCCTCTTTGCCATTATTCACGGCATAGATCGAGCGGAAGGAGTCAACGACTGCCTTGTGGTTGGACAAGGCCCGGGCAGAGCAGGGCTGGAAGGTGATATCATCGCACGAGGCACTGGGGTCAAAGATTTGAATCGAACTCAATATAGAGTTGACATCCAGACCCGAGCGACCATCATCAGCCAAATTCGAGATAACAGCCGTGCCATTCCAGAAATCCTGAAGGAAGCAAAGAAGCTGCGGAGCCTGGGAATCACAGCCTTCGCAAGATTGACTCAGCGACTGAGCGAAAGCACTCCCCTCCGCCAGAGCGCGGTGCTGAGCCGCAATCGTAAAGAACGAAGATCCCTGCACTTCCTCCCACAGATCGAAGCCGGTCTGGTTCCAGTATTGCGCAACGTAGTTGAGGTCATTTTGCAACAGTGGCCAGATGTTGGCCTTAACGACGGACTGTTTGCCTGATGACAGCAGGTGCTTTCCGTAGGCGACTAGGGCTGTGGCGCGGAGGGCGGGCCCGTCGCGTTGAGGTCGGCCCCAGGAGCCGGTGAAGGCGCTGATGTTGGTGTTGAATTTCGGTTCGCCTAGCCCGGCACCGCTGGCGAGGTCGCCGGATGGGTTGGAGATTGTTTGGAGCTTTGCTTGTGCAGTGATGTATTGCTGGATGAGGGATTCCAGGGAGTTGTTGCCAGCCAGGAATTGGTCGATGAGCACTTTCAGTGTGAGAGCGGCATCGCGAGTCCAGGTGTAGAAGTCTGTATATGTATTAGTGACTGGTTCAAAGAGAAGTATAGATCTCACTCACAGTCGGGGTTCGACTTGGAGGGCGACGCAACAACGACACCTGCAGCTGCACCAGGAACAGCGGATCCATTGGCACCAATGTTGTTCAGGATTCCTTGCAAGGCCGCCGAGGATTCAGACTGGATGAAGCCGTCCAGGCCGGACTGGCGGCGATAGGGGTGCACGGCAGAGGATAGAGCTGCTGGAGCCAGCAGGGCGAGAGTCAAGATGTTGGAGCCCACCATTTTTTCAAGAAAGACGATTCTGTTCCACATCACATCCAGGACCTCCCTTCCAACTTATATCCTCCAGCTATGACGGATTCCATCACCCCAGCTCCATCCGCCCCACGGGGCATGCTACCTCCCAACCTTGAGTCTCCAGTGGATCAACAGACGGAGATCTTCAACGAAGAGGGGAATTCGGTCGGAAATTAGGTTGACCACCTGCAGACAGACACACCGGTCTCCGACGTCGAGAACAATGTGTCTGGGGGTAGTTAATTTGCCAACATGTGAGAAAAGCAGTCCGCGAAGAGGTATTGGCTGTGCCTCGGCGTTTCACAGAAGGCGGAGGTTACATTCGTAAAATTATCCAGCAGTGCGCCGGAGCCAATCAGGCTGGAGTTCGGGGGCATTCAGCTGTAGGTCGGCGTGCTGCTGATCGGCATGTCCGATCCCGATGCGAGTATGGCCCCCCGATAAATCGCCGCCCGAGAACCTCTCCGAGAATGCTGCGGGACTATTTGTCCAATGGGCCATTCGCTGTTGTTAGAATGAACAGTGACGCAATGCGGGAGTTTCTGCAAGGTCCTGCTTCAATTATTAGGCGGTTCACGGTGTTGTGGTCTAAGTAGTGTGGTGAGGAGCCTTGCTTGGCGATGCTGTCATAGTGCTGTTTGATGTGTTTGCATGGTACCTGCATTCCATATTTTGGCAATGGATCTAGTTGTTCCCGTTCTCGTAAAGTCGGTGTGCATGGAATATAGGTATATTGCATCTTTCTTATATTAATTGATGGATCCTCGATTTCTGGCTATATATCGACTCTGGTCACACATGGGTGGTGGCTGAGACGTCTCCGAATCTGGTCATGTTTTTAAAGAAACAATAGAATAATGGACAAGAAAAAAAAATGAAAGGAAGAAAGAAAGAAGACGAAAAATAGTGCTGCGAACGGCGGTTTGAGCAACTTCTGCTCCGGATTCTGTGCTGTAATTTTGGAATATGATTCTTCTGAGTGTACAAAGCATGATGTTTTGAATATATCAGAGAATACCTGAAGCTGTAGCAGAGTGTTGAAATTGATACCTCGCAATAGGATATGAGGTTGTTTGCAGGTCGATGCCGCCGGCGCCTAGCCATCCATGAACGCGAGGTACGCGTTTCTGGAGAAATTCTCCAGGTCATCGAAGATCGGGGGCTCGAATCCCGCCATAAGTCGGGTTTTTTTTTTCTCATTAATTTCTCATCATGCTTTTTCCCCTTCCATTTCTTCCAATTTTATGGATCTAGCCACCTCCATCTCGTGCGGGGAACGGCGGGGCCGTTCAGTGAGTTAACCACCACGCCCTCTCCTCCACCTCCGAGACCCCAAGATCAAAAGCCAACGTCTCCTCGAGGCTCCAACAGAGCCAATCATGCCCCGCAAGCGCGAAAGAACAGTCAAAGGATCCTGCTGGCCCTGCAAACAACGCCGAGTAAAATGTGACCTGACCCGCCCATACTGCCGACGATGCACCGGCTCCGGCGCAACATGCAGCTTCAGCAAAGTCAACGTGCGATGGAATGCGCGTCCCACAAAATCAGCGCCAGCCGCCTATCAAAATTCGACTACCCTAAGGGGTACACCGCGAGATAAGCCTATGCATGATCCCCGCGTGACTGGCGATACAATGAAAGCGCTTTCGTATTTCGAGTCTGCTATTTGGCCGCTTTTCATGACCACGCCGCATCCGTGTCCGTCGCCTATTTCGCTGGCGCTGGATTTTGAGCCAGTTCTGTTGTCGATTTGTGGGCTTGCGGCGTCGCATCGAAGAATGATTGAGAATCAACCGGACGGTACGACGAATTTGCTTACGGATGAACGGACGGATTGTCTGTCAAAGGTTCGGGAGAGGTTACAGTGTTATGGCTCTGATCCGGAGATTTTACCGAGACTGTTGGTTGCGGTGTTATTTCTTTATATTGAGGATGGGTTTATTCGGTGCGAGGAGCAATCTGCTTCGACGATTAGCCATCAAACGGGGGCCCATGCGATCGTGGAGCATTTGGGTGGGCTTGAGAAGTTGATCGCGGAGTCTAAGAGCGATGTACCGCATATGCTGCTTTCGGTTTTCTCTTCTACAGATCTGACGCGCGCGTTGCTGGATGACACCGCTCCGTGTTTCCCGGCGAGAGTGTGGAGGCAGATGGAGCGTGGGACCGTGTGGTGGGAACGACAGCCACTAGGCGTACCATATGGAATGAGCTTGGCTCTAATATTCGAGATAATGACGGAGATGGCAGCATACAGAGAGTCAATCAAGGGCAAAGAGAAACTTTGCATCGATCAAATCCGAGATTTTGAACGTCGCCTTCAACCCGGCTTCTCGGTGATCGAGCCAAACCACCTGGACCGGCCAGAGCAGGGACTCCTTTCTAATGACGATCTTAAAAATGTAAATGCCAGCCAGACGGTCTCGTTTGCGAAGACGTTCCAACATACTGCGCTGATTTATCTTTATCGTGCTATCTGTGGTCTGCCGGCGAGGCATCATCTTGTCCAGCAGCATGTTACTTCCTGTATGGAGACTATTCAGGCGATTAACCCCAAGTCAAAAGTGCATAATTGCATCGTGTTTCCAGTTTATGTGGTGGGAGCACATATCTTTACTGTTTCGCAGCAGATGCAGATTTTGGAGAGACTGAATTGCATTCTTGATGCGTTGCATTTTAATTCGTTGTTGAATATTCGGAGATCGCTTGAGCAGATCTGGGCTGAAGAGAGGAGTGAGCGGAGTTGGAAGGACATGTTTGTGTCTTTGGGGGAAAATGTATTAGTTTTATGAAATCAAAGAATGGCATCGTGTTGATCTGATCCATTATCTGGAAATCTCGAAATCTCGAAAGAAGACTTTCTCAGTACAGCTAAGAAACGTCAAATATTCGAAACCAAGCTACATTGTCATGACTTTATTAAGCAGGACCCCCAGGCTTCAAAGCAGCCCCATCAGGCACATAAGAGCACCTCAACCCATTAATGTTAGTCGGTGCCCACTTATCCGCCATATTACAGCTGGGCTTAATCGAAGAAGAATAAGTCTGCGACCACCCCTTCGGATCACACGTATCCGTATCGTATACGCTGCACACGCCATTTTGCATCCGCCACGATCCAACGGCTCTCATGGACCCGGCGTCGCAGCTTTTGGATTTGAAGCCTCCGTCAGTGTAAAATTGACACTATGTGCCGGTGTCTGTGGATGTGGTGCTGAGGCAGCCCTGGACTGCGATGCATTTGTCGGTTGTGTCGTTGTGGCCTTCGACTCTTCGCAGCCTTGTTCGCTGTAGAAAGAGATTGTCCAGACGTCGTTTGGTTTGATTGATGGGGTTGCGCTGGTTGATAACTTTGTGGTTGTTGTTGTGGATGTGGTCGTCGTTTTGCTGGTTGTGGTGGACTTTTTTGTGGTGCTGGTATTCGTTGACGTCGTCTTCGTGTTGGTTGTCATTGGAGTGGAAGAGTGAGATGGACTTGTCGCCGGTGTGGCGCTTTGTACTTGTCTTGAGCTGGTCTTCGGCCTTACACTTCCCTGGAAAGTGATCCTCACAGTCGTCCAGGTCGTCAGGGGTGGCAGCGTTTTCGTTTTAGTAAGGTAAAGAACGGTCGTCGACGCACTGAACGAGGGAGCAGGATTGCACGATTCTCCCGCTACAACGCATTGTCATCTGACACACTGCAACAGTTAGCTCAGGAACCCTTGGACTTCCCGACATTGAAAGTCTTACACATTCACCTGCAGCGCAAGGATTAAGTGACCCAAATGCAGACTAAACCCCTGGCCGAGGCGTACCCGGAACTTGAGGTCCACAAAAGTGATCAGCCAAGGCGACAGGCATCGGAGGATCACCCGGGCCGATGCAAATAAAGTCGCCTTGGAGTAACTGCCCGCAGCCAGGCCATGCCCAAGTGTCCTTGTTGTAAGACTCGATGTCCGCAGGAGTGGTACAGTGGCGCTCGTTATTGCCTTCCATATCGGAAACATAGAGATGCTCTTTCAAACCCTAATCACATGATGCGCTAATGCCCGATGTGAATATCACGTAAATAACGGGTTTTGTATATACCAAGTAATAATATCAGGCTTTTTATGATACCACTATGAAAGATCCAAGATCCCAGAATAGTGTATCTATACCTAGCATCAATATCTGACAACTTGACAAGGGACCTAAAGTTACTTTGGCGTTACTGAAGAGTTACGAGGTGAGGCATGCAAACTCTTGCCTGGGAGGGTGCACAAACCAACTTTGACGACCCTCTCTTCACCTGCCCCTACTGTTTTATTCCGAGGGGGTTAAGTAGGGTAGAGATTCTGGCGACTCAGCTGTTCGAATCAAATTCGAAGTTCGAATAACGTCTGTTGACCTCGTACTGGTCGAAATTCGGCCCGAAAGGTTCCGGATTGCCTAGGAACGCCGTGGCTTGGGCGCGGCTAACGGTAGGGGACAGTCCATCGACCAGCGTCATTCTCAAAGACCAGTTCCGTTCCGGCCGGCTTTAAGTCGAAGTGCATCGACTTCTCGCAATCGAGGTCGAACACTTGACCTCCGTCACGGGGCCCACTAGGACAATGGCTTCGAGGATTCGGTCGTCGCCCTGGCGGTACCCTAGCATGTCAATCATCACACGATTTCGCCGGTGACTATGGGCATATTCCGCTTCTTTCGAGTCCCATCACATTTTATCAATGGCCCTATTAGCTTCCTTGGGTGGTAAACCGTGACCAATGAGGTTCTTGCGGAAATTAAGGATCTCGTCGAAGAAGTACGCAGTAATAAAATCGTCTCCGAATCAGATGTCAGAATCTGCTCGGGAAGAAGGGCGCTGATGTTAGTGTCAGCATAAATCGTATGTGAAATGGGGAGTTATGACACAGAATTATGAACGAAAATCCTTTCACTATACACCTAGAAGTTATAGTCTTGGCTTCTTGGCCGCCAGCCATAGACTCGGAGTGTGCAGGTATTCAGCGAGCTGTGTTGTGAACTATGGAAAGGTGACAGCCTTTGTGGAATGTCTTTAACTGTATATATTTCCAGGGACGAAAAGGCTGATCACGAGCAAATCTAATTGGGTTAACCCCTCCAGAACACCTTCGAGTACTGGAACTTTTTAAACATTCCAACATCGACAGCTGACACCGTGACCCGAACATCCGATGGCACAATCGCGCTTCGATGACAGTCCTGGGCACACAAAACGGAGAAATCCAGCAGGAATATCACCAAGAGGGTCATCACATTGGCTAATCTCTCCATCATCTCCTTCTCCCTTTCTCCCACCTTGTTTTCATCCGCTCCCAACCGCGAATTGAAAAATGCCACTATCCTTTCCATCACCACCGCAACCTCAAACCCATCTATCGGAGACGCATGTAGGAAGTATTCATAGAGCATAAAATCATTTGTCCCTCTGCGCCTTCGATCCGGATGATGGGGGAACAGAGCAGCGGCGAACGACTCTGCTGCAGTGGCAGATGATAATTCCAATTCCGCTGGCAACGAGAACTGGGCACGAAGAGCTCCCAACACGCTCCTCTCTAGGTAACTCAGGGCCATCTCATTGATAAGATCATAGATCTGCTCCTCCCACTGCTCGACAACACCAACTCCTTGTCCAAGCCCATGTATTTGCATAAATCCTAGCGATGGCGGGTTATGCAAAATCGGCGGCTGGTGGTGCAGAGACTGCAAATCCTCGGGAAGAAATAAGTATTCTCTTCTGTTGTATGGGCCTAGCCATGCCTCCTCGGGGGGTCTGACAGGATGTAGGCGCAGAATTCCTGCGCTCTCCTCTTCAGGACGAGGGTCGCACCGTTCATTCAACTCTTCAACCCCAGAAAAGTCGAATCCCTCACGGAGGCGACGGTCGAAGGCTTCTTGATCGGTTTCTTCCTTGCGGAAGGTTTCCTGACCTTCGCCACGGAACGAAGTCTGCGTGAAATACGTATTCGTCGTGAAGAAGAGGAAAGACCGAGCCGCGGTTCGGGTATCATTGAATCCAAAGCGACCAAAACGGTACTCGCCGTCTGGAATGATCATCCAGATTCCATTATCGGCGACGACGGCGTCATTGGCTGGTCGGGGTCTCTGTGCTCGCCATGCATGCACCTGGGATATGGCCTGGCCGTAGTCGATGATGCCTGCGCTCTCACACATGTTCGGTTCAGAGAAATTTTCTTGAGACGGAGAATTGTTTCCAACATCGTCACTCGTGTCAATAGTAGTTTCATTCCCACTCGACAAGATCCAGTCATATCGATTGATGACAAAGATACCCTCTGCGGCTGTTTTATCATCGTTCATCGTACTTCCACTCTCTGTTTCGTATGGGGAGCCGGAGACTCGGAGAATCTTGTCCATTTCCTGGCCAGGGTCGTCGACGATGGTAGAATGGCAGACAAACCAACCTGAGACGTCGTCTTGTTCCCGGTCGATTAGCTGATAGACATTCCAGATTCCATTCTCTGCCGCCACGTTATACTCGATCTCGTGCGATTTGACGGTTCCACTGGGTTTCGGTCTGATGTTAGGGAACATTTGGATCGTGGTGGACGCGCCTTTGTAGATTTCGGTGAGGTCTCCGAAGCAGAGTCCGCCCGAAGTGACGGAGAAGCTTGAATGGATTTCCGGAGGTGCCATTATCAACGCTCTTGAGGGAGGAGATAAAATGCGAAGAAGACCTCATGGATGAGGGAAGCAAGGCGCTTCTTTTAGGATTCGATCGCTCTATTGTCAGCCGTGGCTCCACTCACGCACAGCGCAGCGGAATAGAATTACGAGGTGAAACCCAGCCAATTTTGTAATTCGACTGACGATCGTAATTTTGATCCTCGGACTCTTACTGTACGACGTTCTTGGAAAAGGAGAAGTAGGTTAGCTAGCGAGAGGAGCGGCGATTCTTGGCAAAATCACATCTATTCCTCTCCGTGAGAAGGCCGTTTAAACACCATCCTCTCTGCAGCAACGTCCGGTTGATGGAATAGGATTGGCTAAACAACAGCACTTTCCCCACCTAGTTTGAAGCTCCATGCATTTCGTAATAAATTATGCGTTCCTTCGCCACCGATCAAGGTCTTAACGGCTCATGTACAGTAAACGGGTAGGTAGGATATCCAGTGACAGCTCATAAGTTTTAACATCCCTTTGACTACCGCCTTCCTATAGAGGCTCACCGCCTATATAAATAGTCAAACCGTTCATTAACTAGTTATTCTAATTCTAAGTCTTTTTTTGGGTGGGATTTACGACAGGCAGAATAGGGTGTTTAAACTGTACACTAGTTTGGTGCAAACAGAACAAACAAGCTAGATGGTCCTCCTATCTCGCCAGATCGCCCAGTTATCTTCCCTATCGCATGCAGTCTTCGCCTACGCTCAGTTTTACATACAATACGGAAGGCTATACTCTGTATAAGCGTTGGAAAGGGCAAGTCCTGGCAACCTCCTGTTCAAAATTAACTTCACCCAAAACCACTCACAATCTATTTAACGAAACTGTCAACTCTGAGAGAGGTAAAATACTGTGGATTCTCCACTGCTCTTGGTTACTCAGCATCCACCCACATTGCAATAGTAATTGTATGGTAATTCGGGTCATTCTCGGAAGAACTGTGATGTAATACGCAGTTTATAACTAGCCCCTGGATCATTTTCAACAGATCGGAACACACAGACACACTCTCGTTAATCCATCTCATGCATCAATTGGCCGTCCCTCGATACTAGATGATACACGTATCCGACATCCTGACAATTATTTCCGATGTTGCGGCTTTGTTCCTGATCTGCGCAAGCGTCGTATCACAACAGATAGGTGTAATCTACGCTGTTGGGGGACTTTGTGGGAGAATCCGCCTTACTCAGACTTTGATTGGCTGATAAGCTTGACCCCAATTGTCGGAGGGAATCGGTTATATCGTCTGGCTGAATGCAGCACTCGATCAGACACAATTTCCAGCTTTCAGCTTTTGCGCGGTCGACCGCTTGGTTGAGGCCGTTGCATGTTCGGACCTGCATCGTGATGAAGGATAAATCGGGGTCGGACCCCGGCGGCTCGGAGACGTCAACAGTATGTGGCGGCCTGGAATAGCAGGCAGCGAGTCGAGAATAATCCCAGTTTGCGATGTAATTGTAGGGACCATCCTGGATGGCAATCTGGTGGTTATGTCAGCAAGTGGGCGATCTTGCGCGCTACTCTATCTTGTCAGCTTACGAAAACTTACTTCTGTTCGATAACCCATATTATTGAATACGAAAATAATGGGATTCACTTTCTGACGGATCATCGTGCTGATTTCATGGCCGGTCATTTGGAATGCACCATCTCCAATCAGAAGGATAGCTCGTCCCTTGGGACAAGCCAGTTGGCACCCCAAGCCAGCAGGCAAAGCCCACCCCAGTGACGCATATACCAGTTGTAACTGACACGTTGCTGCCGGTGGAAGCTTGACCTGTTGAGATATGAACCAAGTCTCTCCTGTATCAGCAATCAGAATGTCGTTTTCTCCGATTAACCGGTGGAGTCCGTCCACGACGTTGGACAGGGTGACAGGTGAGTCAATTCTGGAGTTGTCTCGGTCGCTAGAAGTAACCACTCCGGGTATACTTGCTTGAATAGCAAGGACTGATCGTCTATTTTCCTCGACCTCTGACGAGATAAGATCAAGCATTAGATCCTGGAGTAAAATCGCATGCGAGCATCCACTACGCAGCCGAGCGGAGTTGGGCTGAAGATCAATGATCCGATGCAATTCTTTGTTAATGTCGAGGTTCCCAAGCGTGTGAAGGTCGCTCCAACGCCCACCAATAACAATCCAGAGGTCGGATTTCATCACGATCTTTTCTCCTAGTGGATTGAACACCGAAGGCCAGAAGGTGCCACAGAACTGGGGGTGCGATTCAGGGAAACCTCTCGCATCAGGCTGAACCAGGACAGCACAGCCCAGCTTTTCAGCGAGTAAGGTGAGAGTAGTTGGGGTACAACTCGAGTGCGCCCAGGGCCCGACCAATATAACTGGCATGTATGCTGATTGCCAAGCATGTGAAAAGGCTTCTACCACGTCACGGTAATCTGGAATCTGAGAGGTTGAATCTCGCTCTGCGCTCAAGGGTTTCGGGGCAGAGCACTTGCCATAAGCCAAATCATTGGCAATTTCAATATACACCGGCAAAGATTGCCGGACACAGTCGGTGAGAGTATCGTCCAGTATGCTCACTGCATCTTTTATACTGGATACCCGAACAGCGGCTGCCGTCACATCCCGAAAGGCATGGAGGGCAACATCCATACTGGCCACACCTGGAGTATGATGAAGGTGCTCATTTGACAAGAGCCTTGACGTGTCGGGGCAGCCGGCAATAACAATCACTTTCAGCCTGTCTGTATAGGCTCCACAAATGGCGTTCAGAACGGACAAGCTTCCCACGACAAAGGGCACGACAACTACAGCCACATGGGAGGTCGAGGTCCGGGCATACCCATCTGCGGCATAGCCGGCATCCAGTTCATTGCAACAGCCGATGAAATTCAAGCTCCTTGTCTCCAGTATTACATCCAGAATGTTCAGGTTAGAGTCGCCTACTTTGATGTAAGCAAATGCCTCATCCAAGGAGCATATAATGGCAGCTGCGAATTACCGGGAACTCCAAAAAGGTCTTTAACTCCTAGCTCCTCAATGCGATATGCCAAGTACCTTCCGAAGTTGAATGTTTCGGGTGCAAATTGTAGGCTCTTGAAGCTGTTGTAGCTGATTCGAGCTTGCGTCTGAGGGATATCTAGGACAGTCCAGACACCGCTTCCGCCTTTGTGAAAGGTTAACCTCTGATAATGGAGCAGGAAGTCATACGCTTGTGTGTATGCTTGCCTTCTTTCGTTGTCTGCTCTGTTTCCAAACCCTGTTCGGCGACCTTAATGTGCCGGGGTATCTGAATTTGTCGCATGGACAAATGACACAGTGCTTTTTCCGTTTCGGATCTTGCCCCAGTCCAAGCCCATTGGATGCTGACGGCACGCCGGATAACGCTGGGGTAATCTATATATATCAAGTCCTCGGGGTGAATTCCAATGAGGACGACCTTCCCATACGGGCGGACGTACTGAGAACCGTCAGATAGTACCAAATGTTCAGCTTGGATGGAGCTTACCTGTGGTGCGAGCTGGAACGGAGTCCCAGTCGCTGTACAGACAACAATAGCAGGAGGCCCACGAGGTATGATAGACTGGATATCGGCCAGAATATTGGACGGTGAGCCATGTACCACATAATCCACGTCTAGATTGTCCACCAGAGGGCTTGCCGCTTCTTCCTCTGACAGTACGACCAGGACTTGGAATCCGAGGGACCGGGCATACTGACAAGCCAACAAGCCGACATTTGTCGTGGCTCCAATAATACCTTTTCAAGCGTTAGATGCAACTTACAATTTCTAACTTTATCTAGTATTCCCCACACCTATGATTTGGCCTTTGGGCGCGGAAGTCATTTCTACCGCTCGCACAAGGGTACCTCCAACACAAAGAATCTAAATGTGTCATGTCAAACTCTCAGTTAAGGCATCGTGATGGACAGGGTATCCTACCGGCGGCACAGCATCCAGGGGGGTACAGTCAGGGACCCTAATCGCCTCGGATGCTTTGCAAACGCAATATTCCCGAAGTGTGCCATCCACAGTATGCCCAGAGAGTTGCATGTAGGGGCAGCATACCTTGTTATCAAAGGCATTACATTCAAGACAGTTACCGCAAGTTCTGTTGATCAGCTGAATGGCGAATTACATCGGTTAATAGCAGGTTCCCAAACTCTGTTAGCGCCAAGACACTTTATTACCTGGATCCCAATCGCATCTCCAACTTTGATATCGTCAACTCCATCACCCAGGGCCACAACTAAGCCTGCACCAGCGTGGCCTCCTGGTGCCATATTAACCCCCGAGACATAATTCAACCGACTTAGTTACTAACGTACCAATGATATCTGGTTTTGCTTCCGCTGGACGGAGGCCGGAGGTGTCATCAGCTTGAATGGTAGCGACAGAGGGTTAAGATCTTTCCTACCTGTAAAAGGGAGGAGTTTTTCATCGATAGTTGCAGCGTATTTAACGTTGACTAGCACGTCATCAAATCCCAGGTTGGGATAGGGGAACGTGATAGGTGCTAATTTTATCAGTATCAGGCAAACTCGAGGCGGACAGGTGTGTCTCATACCAGACCTGCTATATGCAAGCTTAGACGCCCGATCGGGTCCATCATGCAGTTGGGTGGTCATAGGCATTACGGGTGTAAGTGGCTATACTCTTCGTTGTGTCAGAGAAAAAGAATGATAATCTAACACTTCCCTGGCTATCCTTTTTATATACCGAGGTGGAAACCGGTCGCTGTAGACTGCAGATAAAAATAATTAGCTAAGATCATCGTGAAAGCTGGTGTTTGGATTTGGTCAATCAACGTGCGCATACTGTGCACGTCGACCGGCATCTGCTGCCGACCACTTCTGTTCAGCTGCATTAGTAGCGTGGTACAATCACTCACCGACTTTCTAAACATCCCTTTGTAAAGTCATCTTAAGAATAGTACGAAGGTGTACAATCACTCACCGACTTTCTAAACATCCCTTTGTAAAGTCATATTAAGAATAGTACGAAGGGTACATCTTTATATGCAACCGGATCTGTGATAGTAGATGGGGCAAGAATAATGCGCCTACATTTTATCTAGGGTTTGTCCATCGCCGAGCTACATAAGCTTCTTTATAAAGAACACATACCCATTTCCCTCAACCAACGTCTTTCCAGTCGACCAGAATATACACACATATGAAGCCCTTGCCAATTGAATAAGCCATGGCAGCCCTCGCTAATCGCACTGCGTCCAACGGAAAAACTATCCTGGTCACTGGCTCGACGGGGTTTATTGGTTCGCACATCACGGCGGCCTTCCTAGAAAGCGGATATCTCGTCCGGGCTGCAGTGCGCTCCCAGACGGCTGCTTCTCAGGTCTTCAGCACCCATTCGAAATATATAGACAGGCTATCGCTGTGCATTGTACCAGATATCACACTGCACGGAGCGTTCGACAGCGCGGTCAGTGATGTTTATGGCGTACGAGACTCATTGCTTCCTTGACCATGGTATTATGGTCTTTTTGCGTCACAGGCTTACGAGGAATCTACAGATCGTTCACTCAGCTTCCCCGTTCCACTTTAACGCTGAGAGGCTGTCTGAAATTGTTGATCCAGCCATTAGCGGCACGACCTCACTCCTAGAATCCGCCTACCGGTATAGCCCGGGAGTTAGGCGTGTGGTCAACACATCATCCCTCGCGGCGATCCTGGACCTCAGTAAGGGTATCCGGCCTGGGTATACATACACAGAGGCAGACTGGAACCCTGTTACTGCCGATTCGCTCTCAACCGCGGACCCACTCACGCTGTATTTGGCAAGTAAGGCTTTGGCCGAACAGGCAGCGTGGAAGTTTATGGAGGACGAGAAGCCTGGCTTCACCTTGACCACCATCTGTCCCGCACTCACGTACGGGCCCATTATCCACCACGTGGAAAGCCTCTCGGGCCTCAACACGAGCATAGCTGACTTCTACCGGCTCATGGATGGAACGTGTGCTGCTGTGCCTGAGGGATCACCTATCTCATGCGTATTTTCGGATGTCCGGGATGTGGCCAAGGCTCACCTGCTTGCCTTTGAGTCTCCCGATGCCGCAGGCCAGCGCTATCTCGCTGTGAATGGCTCTTACGCTTATCAGCAAATCGTTGATATCCTTCGCAGTGAGGTCATGCAGGCACGGGAGAAGACAGCCGTCGGACAGCCTGGTTTGGCAGGGCCCGAAACCTACCGGGTGTCTAATTCGAAGTCCAGAAGCGAACTTGGCTTGACATACCGAACTTTGGCGGAAACCGTCGTCGAAACCGCTTACGATCTGTTGCGAATCGAAGAAATTTTGGTAGGAAACAATGTTCATGGATAGCCACCAGCCTGTTCCGGATAGCCTCGTTTTACTGTATGCCCATGGCTGCAGAGGGAGGACATTAAATTGATCTCGAAGAGCCAGAAGAAATATACCATAGCTGCGATTCGCGCCAGCCTAGTTTAGTGTCAATATGCGTCTTGTGCAATTTCGATATTTCTTTCGATTTTCAGTCCCCTCCTAAGCTGACTAATCCAACACAACGAAGAGGGAGATGCACAATGGCAGTCTGACAGAGCAGACGGGTCGATACCAGCGAGCAAATATAACTGCCCTGTAGTGCCTTCAATGAGATGAGATTATCAGGAAGTAAACGCCTGCATTATAAAACCAAGAAAAGGACCGTAACCGAAACCCGAAATCCGTGAAATATGTGTAGCATGCTATGGGCAGATATAGCGAAGACGAAGAGTATGAGCCTATCTAACCGATATATACACCTGAGACTTGAGGCATGAGTATGGAGTCGGTGGCCAATTCGACTGATGGGTCACCTCATCGACTGATCAACACCCCTAAAAATCAATACCAGGGCATCCCCGACCCTCAACAGGATATTAACTAGTGGATGACTCTGGATAACGTAATTCCCTGCCGTTCGGAACACCCGCCCGTTCGGAACACCTACCCCCATTAGAAATTTTTGCATAAAAATTTATCAACCAAAACGCATCAATTTAGCTATATCTGACGATTTTTACATTGATTGATCTTATGGCCAATTTCCCTACACCCACTACACCTTGGTGGAGCCCTGGTTGCTGGCTGAGCTAGTTGAATAGCCTCATCGGCCTGCTCATGCGAAACGACCCGATCAGCTTCAACTAGCTGATTTAGCTGCGTAACTAGCTGTTGACCCTCTTCAACTGTCAAGCCTCCTTCGTGAACTATTTGCCGATTTGACCGTGTGCGTTTCTGGCGTGTTTTCTCATTACCCACGCGTAGTCTAGCGTTTTCATGCAATAATAACGCTGTTGAATGAAGCTGTTCGTAATGGCCCTTGATGATTTGATCTACCAGCGTTTTTAATGGGCTCGGAGGGCTGTTTGACCGTTGTCTTAATAGATCTTTGAGTAACGAAGCTGATTTTTCTAGTTGAACGACGGTCCTGGGTATTTTTGGGCTAAAATGGCTATCGCTGGTGGTTGGCCGGCTATTCGGTGGTGACGGTGTTTTGAGTGAGATATTAAGCTTCGAAAGTACCCGTTCTGGGTCAATTGGAACAAGACCAGTAGCTGCGAATGCACTTTGAATAATATGTGGTTGAAAGGCCTCGGTACGCGCCTGGGGGTAATCATTAAGGAAGTCGAATTTGTCGATAGTGTTATATGACCAACGAGCTAGATCGCTCACGAAGCGGCCGTATGCGCGTTTTAGTATAGCAAAACAGCCAACGTCAAGCGGTTGTAAGAGATGCGAAGAGTGTGGAGGCATACAAAGTGGAATCACATTGTTTTCAGCGCAGATTTGGTCGAATTGAGGTGTAAGGTGGCTACCGTGGCCGTCAAGAATCAATAGCCGATATCCACCCCTCGCACGCGCTGTAGTCGCTGGAATAAAGAGCTTTTGTAGCCAACGAAGGCCAATTTCATCGGTTGTCCAGCCGTTTGGCGAGACCTCGATACGCCAGTCTTTTGGAAGATGAAGCTGTTCGTCGAACCAAGAAGCGATGAAGTTTTTGCCTTTGAATATCACGCAAGGCGGTAGCGAATAGCCATCAGCGCTTACTGCTTCGATCGCAGTAACCCATTCACGATTACCCGGTTGTAAAAGCGCTCGCCGACCATAATATTCAGCCCTTGTAACTACCCGTTGTGTAGATATAAGACCCATAGCCAAGCCGGTCTCATCAAAGTTATAGATATTCCCCGGTTGGATACCATTCTCATCAATAACACGTTGGACGGTCGCAAACCAGGTTCGTAGTGATTTTGGGTCTTCGTTTTGGGCGCGTTTATAATCGTAGCGTCGTGAGAAGGTTGAACGAAGCTCGTCTCGTCGGTTGACGAAGCTTGATGGCCAATTCTTGCCTACTGTAGCCGGAGGGTCGTCACCACGGGCAGCCAATAGAATATTAGCCATTTCTCGCACAGTAGACGGCCTAGGCGCTGCTCCACGTGAATCCATAGAGAGTATCCATCTAGTAAGCGAATCCTCTTCTAATTGGGTCAATCTATGGCCTGTTGGGCGCTTATCGACGCGTGAGGTTTGGCCAGTGGCGCGTGAGTGTAGTGTGGTGAGTGGTATTTCGTATAGCTTCGCTGCAGCGCGAAGAGAGTTGATACGGCCATTTTTGATATCTCTAAGGGCTAATAAGATCTTGCCCTCTTGATTAGCCGATTTCTGCGCTGATTCGGCGCGTTTTGGTGGCATGGTAGGTGGCTGAATTAGGTGGGTGGTTGGAAAGACGCGTTTTTGGATGGGGTGTTCCGAACGGGCGGGTGTTCCGAACGGCAGGGAATTACGTTATAAATTGTTAGCTTAGGTGATGTACTAGAAATCAGACTTGTTCATTTTCATCCACTGGTTACCATCATATATTCGGCCCCACCGTCTTCCAACTTTTGGCCAGTCCTGCCATCCATCAACAATTCCTCCACTTCAATAACTAAGTAGTCAGACGGAGGACTAGAGGCAACACGTAATCCCTGAAGTCATTGGGCAAAGGAGAAGAGGGGCAATCGGACCTACCGTTCTGTACACTGTTGTAAGATGCTTGATGTTACACAGAAGGGCTGACGCCACTAGGCCAAGAAAGCAGAGCTAGTAAGTGTTCACGCCTTCGTACATGCATGCATACATGCTACATTTCCTCATCACGCCAAACTTTATTATTTTGCTGCATTCAACCTGAACAGTATAACTAGTCATGGTATCATAAATTTTCATGTAGCCTCCCAGTAGACGCTCCTGCGTTTGCAGAAAACCGGGAAAGATATTGTGAACATCTAATATCGGCTTCATCACCACGATGTATTTATCAAATACAGGCATATCGCATTTACTTCACAAGGTCCCTCCCAATATCTAGCGCCATAGGCAACAAAAGTAGTCCCGATAATAGTAGATATTGTTGGACTGGTCAAGTATGGAGAACTGTTGGTTCTGGGAGAATCGAGGCAGGGAAATTGCACAAAACAAACCTGTTTCATTATATATAAATATACTTAAAAATTGCCTTTGAACTAATGAATATCCAGATACTCGGTGGTTTCTACACAGAGATTGCCAGTTGGACCAATTCACCATACAGAACGCAAAGAAATATGGGTTCCTGGGTAAACCATTCGCTTGTTAGGGGTAAGCTACCACTCCGTGCGCTGGTTGTTATAGTTCAGAGGAATTGATTGAGTTATTTATTCTTGAGGGAATACACGAGGCTTTATATACAACGAGAAGACCAAGTTGATTGAAAATCAACTTGATTCTTCGTATAGGCAACCCGGGATTATTTCCGATGTTGCGGCTTTGTTCCTGGTCTGCGCCAGCCTCATATCACAACACCAGGAAATATATTTTTGGAACTAGCGTTATTTGCAGGGCCTCAGGAATACGGTGTTTTATGCAACCCAATACTCTGACAAGAGTACATTAGGTAGAAATTGAGGCTAGTGGAAGCAGAAAAACAAACAGTCTAACAAAATGATATCAAAAGTAGGCTGGTTGATGAGTCTGCATCCCAATTTTTCCATGCGACGTTGAGCGTCGTCGAATATTCACCGAAATGAGCAATCATCATCGTTGAGAACAAGTAGAGAGAGGCCGCAGAATTCCTTTTCATGCCACATCTTGAAGACATACCAGTCAGTGTGTATTCTAACTGGTAGAAACTCAGGTTTATGAAAGCTGACACCACCTGTTGTTAGTGTTTTGATTTGTGGTAGCTGCGTGACAAACGTTGAAGCGATGTTTAAATATTGGAATAAGACTCCGGAATAGTTTTTCATCGAGATAAAAACTGCGGTTCCACCCGAATCAGCATAGATTCAATGATGAAACGGTTCAACAGGCCAATCCCGGGTAAATGAGGTAGGAACTAACTTACGTTCTTGCACTGTACTGAGCCAATTAGGGTAGGAATAAAGATCGATATGATACCTCAAGAGCGGGGTCCCATCCTTTTCGACCATTTCGTAGCGACCAGGATATGCCAGGTAGTGTTTCATTGCCTCCGCCAATTGTTCCTGCGGCTCTTCCAGAAAGCCAATGTCGACGGAGTGCTGGTGGAAAATTGTGTGTATTAGTTTCGATTGTCTGGATTGGAGATAAACATAAATGAATTTAGTAATGAACTTCGCAGGCTGCTTAGATACGGCATAGTTGAGAGCTCACCTTATCTAAGAATAAAACACATAATTTCCTCTACCGTCCATCATTTAGGGACACCCTTATCTGCGGTAACCCTATTTATCATAACATATATATTTGCCGCTGTCGTCCGATTATCCAAATTATCTGAAAGACGGCTCGATCGATAAGAATGGCAGCGATTATCAAACCAAAAAGAGGAGTTAAAACTAGACATCTCCGGATACGGATTCAGATGCATCAAGTATAGATAGACACTACGCAGAGCAGCATATTAGTGGGGATATCACACAGTAAGCCAGGTGTCGGGGAACAAAATTTCAATCCTCCACTTGCCGATCCTATATGCACTAAAGTCATGCTTTCAAAGACAGAAAGACTACTATGCGATCTGCACTCCTTTTCTGTAGATTGAGAGATAGAAGGGTGGGGTGTCCCGGTTCGGGGACCAGCCCCGGGACCAGGTCTCAGCCACTAAGTATGCAGTACGTAGAAAAAGTAGTCTTGGAAATGCAAGAGGGGTGGGGTTAGGATTTATCATCCAATACCATTAATTGGCACGAGCGGATATGCACATGTCCAGTATTGGAGCATTAACTCAAGGTTCTTTCTCCGCACTTTTCACCTTCTTATTCAACTTTCCAGTTATGAAGTTAACCAACCCACTATCCAACAGATCTTGACATGGTGATGACCAACCTCCAACAAATTAACACTAATCAACTGTGGTCTGGCCGCACAACAACTAATTCCTGACTTATTATTGCACAACTTCCGAACCTATAGGTCGTATCTAGGTTTTCCGTATTAAGTCGATGCTCGTTGCTTTCCACAACTCCACACGCGAAGACTTGAGATTAAATTCCGAAAGGTCGTCCAGGGCTTATCATTTGTCAGAACAGGGAAGAGGTAATTATCCCCTAGCAACTGATTGGTTGCAGGGAGCCCCACATTCTTTCGCGACAGAAATAAGGCAAAACGTGTCATTTGACCGAAAAGTGCGCACGCACAGATTTGGCTCTGTACGTTGGTATTTTTGCCTTGACACATTCTTTCGGGGCTAGAATTCGGTCACTATCGTCGTTTAGGGTATTGTATGGGAAGAGGTGAAAGTCTGGGGGTATCTTCCCTCTTCAACTATTTCACAGGAGTTAGTCATTCGCCTCTGCAAGTGCCTCGTCATCTCTCATGCAGTCAGGGCTCGATTTTGTTCCTCCCACTTTCCCCTCTGTATATAGAAGCCACCGCGATATACAGACACATTGCCTTCTTACTGGGAGAGCGGATGGGATGTCTGCCGTTACGGTCTAATTCATTCACGTATAAGACCGTGGCGACAGGTGGCCCTTTACGGCCAAACTATATGCACACCTTATCTACTTGACTGCGTGAGATCCCCAATAAAATCATATTAAACTAAACACCGCTAGACACAGTCCCATCGCGCTCCATATGTTACCTAAATCTGGTGGTGATGTACGAAACATAAACTTAATCCTCATCGCAGTCTTCCCAATCTCCCTCGTTATACCCTTCGCTACCTAAGGTCTCTTCAACAAATTGAGCCAAGGCTTTCAAGAAGTGCCGGGTCCGGGGAACGTAATGTGTTCCGTGGAAAGAGTGTAAAGATGCATTTGCGCAAGACTTTCTCAGCCTTAAAGATTGAGAGGTGCTGACCATTGTGTCCAGGGTTCCAATGATGTGCAGAATCGGTGTTTTAATTTTCGGACTGTATATATGTTTGTAATCGGGATTTTCCAGCTTAAATCCGCTGAAAGAAATTACAAACTCCAAAGGAGGGTGAAACGTCTGCCGGGGAAACAAGTAAGTCACCAAAATCACAAGTATCAAAATGCAAATGCTCTTGTTCGGATGCGCTTACGTCGAATTGAAAGCCGTAGACCGGCTTTTCTTTTTCCAAAAGCGAAGCAATAATAGCGGCCAAGGCAGCACCTGTTGAAAACCCCATGACTCCAATAAACGGACCATGCTGCTCAAGTAACCGGAAGATGTATTGAATGGACTGCTCCAAACCTCGGATAATGTCTAACTCAGGATCGCCATTTCCCCATGCCCACATGTCGTTGCTTTCTCCTCGGGGATGATCCGGGTTAGCTGGCAATATGCCTGAGGGATAATGAAACTCCACCGTGTCAACTTGACCTCGACGTGGATTTTCCTGTAGAGCTTTAAGCACAACCTGCCTTATGGCCTGGTGCATAAATTGAGTCTTGCATCGAAAAAATTGTCCAGATTGGCCATGCCCTAGATAGGTCCGTAAATCAAGTTCATTAGCCAAAGAAACGTAGGTATAAGGCGCAAGTTACCATGTAGCATCAAAATTTTCACGCAAGATGGAACTGTAGCGCATGGTTCGTTCGAAGTCATGTTGATAAAGGGTAGGTAAACCACTACTAGATACGTGTGGCTAAGAAATTTGCCTCGACTTTATTTTGAAGCCTTCATCTGGGTAGTCAGGAAGTTAAATACTTAATACCGTCTTTTGTTTTTACTCGCATATTTTAAATGATAAAGGTGGAATGTTGAAGGGTTGAGTTACACATGTGAATTACTCAAGCACGATGATGTTAAGAGGGCCAGAGTGAAAGGCGGGTTATTCTACTCAAATATTTGCAGTTGCCTAGAACTGGTATTGCCCCTATGCGGAGTGCTTAAATAGGCAAGTGCATCTTGAATCATGCTATAACATTGATACATGAATCTGGTGGTGAAATGGTCACCACACTTAAGAGATATATGAGATCAGGGAAACAGGCCATGGGTCGGAAGCTACATTCAAAGATCCCATATATTCCAGGGTTTTAGACAGTATCGATGTAACATTTCTCCCCACGGCTCCCCGTATCCCAGTAAACATGCTCTACAGCATGCCACATGATATTCTTGCTATCTCTAAAGGCGAACTCCACTCTATGAGACGCTATGCTTATTATGTTAGCCTACCACCAAATCATGATATTGAATGTTATCTGATTTGGCACTGCTCTCGGGGCCAGGCCAATCAAAGATTCAGGAGGGTCTGGCCAAGACTTTTCAAGAATCAACGACAACAAAGGTGGTGAAACTAATTTCGATCCAGCTCTATCTGGGAGCATCATGATACGTCAGGGAGTTATGTAGATCTGCGAAGGCATGCTGCAACCATTATTCCTATGACATAACTCCATGGTACAACACCAATGTGCATACCGGTGTGTTACAGATCTAGGACAGGTTTTTGGCACCGAGGATATTACGTGACGTCTTCTCTCCACATCCCGTATTTGAGTCACAGTGAGCTTCACATCTTTCCCTTAAATATTGTCCTCTGGCTTGGCCCACCACGGATTGTATGTAAATCCTCCAGTATATAGAGATCTAAATCGACTTTATCCTGCTTATTGATCCGATACTCTAATAAGGCGGTATTCTTAAGGGCCCTAACAGAAATAGGTAACGGTTTCTCAATAAAACAAAGTTCAGAAATAAGAGGGTTGACTGTGGAGCCTGCACCTGTTGCTATGGTTGATTATTGTCATTCGCAGTATCTAGCGGTATGTACTCATTCTAGAATATCAGATCAGCGAATTTGCGATTACACATGATATCAAGGCGGTGAATGTAGTTCTGAAAAATGACATTACTCATCAAAAGCCAGAACAACCCTTTAACGACATTGTACATTGGAATGTAGATCATGACTTGTGGTGTGGTTACACAATATTGAAGAGATGGCGTCATGAATTTCTTCTTTGTCAACACTCATCCCTTTATACCTATCACTATGGGCGTATAAAGTCGTATCCTAAGCTCTATCCCCGGAAAATAATGGCTTGAGATATGTCCCACATTAGAATGGAGCAAGAAAAACCTGAGCTACACCATAGCAACACGCCAGATAGACCCTCATCGGCGAATTTCATTGACCGTGATGAAACCGCTTACCCCGATGGATGGAGGATCTATTTTACCATGGCTGGGTACGATTCATTTACTTTCTTCTCCAGTCAACTTCTAACGACCACAGTCTTCTCATTGGGCTTTACTTGGTCAATCTTGAAGTCACCATTGTGAGCACGTCGCTCATCAATATTACGGACGATCTAAACGGTTTCCAAAAGACCAGTTGGGTTGTAACAGGGTTCCTGACGACTTATACCGGTAATATCACACTGTCCTTATACTTTACAATCAATATTTCTTCTGACCATCACGTCAGCATTTATGGCCCAGTGGACAAAAATAAGCAACATAATTGGTCGCAAAAGAGCCGTCATTGCTGCTGATCTTGCGTTCTTGGCCTTCTCGCTTGGGTGCGGACTAGCTCAAAATATGAACCAATTGTGCGTTTTTGACATGTTTATTTGATTTAAGCACAAGTCTGATGTTCTACCAGGATCATATTTCGGTCGCTACAAGGTGCCGGAGGAGCAGGAGTTTACTCATTAACTATTCTGTGTGTATATGGTGAGTGATCTTAACAAATATCTTCTCCGTGGAAGTCAAATCTGGCCATTACTGATCCAGCCCATGTAGAGGTCGCCCCCAAGTCAAAAATCCCATTTTACGGTGCTATGGTGGCCATTACTATTGCCCTCGCATCATTGACTGGGCCAATTTTTGGCGGCCTATTGGCCGAGCATTCAGCCTGGAGATGGGTCTTTTACATCAAGTGAGTGGCAATCAGGGTCCACATCGGAATATAGTTCAAGAACTACCATTGATTTATGATTGCATGGAACAGTCTCCCACCCGGAGGATTGGCAGTAATGATGTTGTTCATTGCAATGCCTTCGTCATTTGGTACTGCGACACCACTATCGATGCCTTCTTTGCGACCAAGTCTTTGGCTATTCAAAAGGTTTGATGCACTGGGTAGCTTTTTGCTACTAAGTGCATCTCTCCTATTGGTCACCGTATTGAATGAGACCAGCATCGAATTTAGTTGGTCGTCCGGAGCCGCCATTGGCCTCCTCACACTTTCCGGTACTTTGTGGATTGCCTTTTTTACATGGGAGTGGTATATACCCGACTACATGCCGGATATCGAAGCAATCTTTCCAAGGCGGTTTGTCTACAACAAAGCATGGATGGGGATGCTATTGTGAGTTTGCGCCATGCATTCTGCTTGCTGATATTATCTCACGTTATATTTTGCAGGACCAACTTCCTTTGTGGATGCCCCTGGAATGTGGTCATTGTGTACCTTGCTCAAAGATTTCAGGTGCTCACCAAATTCTCGACACTTGAAGCTGGTATTCACATTATACCGTACTCCGCCGTCGCAACGGGGGCTACTATGCTAACTTGTCTGATAAGCCGAAAGTTCTGCGTGCCTGTAGTTTACTTTGCACTTATTGGATCAATCCTCCACACCGTTGGGATGTCACTTTTTTCCATTCTTCCAGAGAACACTTCCTACCCCCCTGAGGGTTATGGATATGAAGCTATCGCTGGGGCGGGTGTAGGAATCACAATCGGCATCCTGACTTTGGCTGTACCCTATATTGTTGAACCCAGAGATTTAGGTAATACTCCCTCAATTTCCTAGAAGTGCCTGAAAAGGCTAACCTTTATTTTCATGGCACAGCTACTGCAACCGGAGCTCTCAATCAAGCTCGATTCTTGGGCGGAGCTATTGGATTAGCTATCGCATCGAATATTCTCTATGGGAAAATCAAAAGCGAATTGTCCGACACTTTGTCTCCTGAACAGGTTGACCAAGTGCTGGAAAAAGTGAATAATATAGATTCCCGACCGCAAGAAGTGCAGAAGGCTGCCGTGGATGCTTTTGCCAGGAGCTATACCCGCCAGTTCCAGACTATGATTGCCTTTGCTGCTTTGCAGATTCCGGCGTCATTGTTGATTTTCAAACGTGGGCGGCAATATGTCGCCGCGTGAGTCAAAGGGATTATTTGGTCAATTAAGACACAAATGCCCTTCATTTGATATGAGTTAAGCTTGAAGTACCCGGGTGGTAATGAAAATCAGGTCTGTCACAAATAAGTAATATTTCGGGATCGTGCGATCTTAAGATTGTCTGCGCTTTTTATTTACTATTTGGTTCTTACTCCGTAGCAGGGCCCCTGCGGATGCGGGCAGGCGGTCATAGGCGGCAGACCGAAGGAGCGAATTGCGGCCGTTTCTGGCCCCCCGCTTGCCGTTGTGTGGAATACTCTTTATAATAGTGCCGTATAAGTGTTAGAGATTTTGGGTTGTGCTCTAAATCACGGCGAGAATTTCACCGCAAATACCTCTATCGACTAAATTATCTGAGAATTAAGCTTTAGCACTGGCTAAACTGTTGAAGTGTTTTAGGCATCGTATTACGTCCCAAATACTAGTGAGTTTATATAAGTAGCCTTCGTTATCTTAGGATAGACGTTTATCTTTTAGACTGCCCCTTCTTCTCATCGACGATATCTTTATATCTGCGGTAGGAGTCGTTTCTGAGAGAATACGGTTCCTCTAGGGATCGCTTCTTTCCTCTTACACTAGGCTACGTATACACGTGTTTGCTTCCTTGCTCTATTAGATTATTGTGAAAGATATTAAAGATCCTTCATATCCTAGGCCTATCTAGACTAGTCACAGAAGGGTTACTACTAACTCGAGAGGAAGGGTAGAGTGCAACATTCTTAGGGTAATCGGAGTAAATAAAACTTAGTTACTTACATTATAATATATAGTGAAGTCCTCTGTTTTATACTTATTATGCGGTATGTGTTTCTACAGGACGTAGCTATTTACCTCGCATCGTCCTCTGACAGTAATAAATTATCCCAGTATTCTAGAGGTGCTAAATTCCGGACCATCATCTGAACCTTCTCTGGAGGTTTCTGTGGCTAGTTACTCGAAGTTTCAGTGATTTAGTTTCACTATAGTGACAATAGATCAGCGCAATTCAAACAGGAGCTATCGAACAAGGAACTCAAGGATAAAAAAATCTGAATGGATATATTCTAAAGGTTCGTGAAATAGGGGACAACTGTAGCTATTTATAATTTACTTATAATATCGTGCTTATCGAGGTCCTAATTCTAAGGAAGTGATATGACCAAAGAATCAACTTCTACCTAAGCTATAAATAGGAAGAGATAAAATCGAAAACACACCAGGTTAATATCCGACTCTACTCCACTACGAGTTGCCGTAACTAAGCAAAGGGCCGCCCTTACCCGGAATATACTAGTGAAAGTAGGTAGGTGCTCCTAAGAACTCTCGTCTAAAATAGACGCATAATCAGCGATTAGACAGTAAGTAATTTTAGTAGGCTATTAACGCTTTTCTAGCCGCTTTATGTGGGGTAAATACGGCCTATAGGTTATAGAGTTTGTGCCGGGCTATAGTGGTGAATGACAGTCCCAGGGCTGAACTAATCCAGAGCATAGAGGCAGAGACAGCTGACGAAATTCGTCTTTTAGAACTCTGTTAAGGGAAGCATATATTGCCATTATGAAAGAAAGAAGAGACAACAGAGACCGAGTTCAGGGAAAACTCATTTCTCCTACAGAATAGCGGATCATGGTCGTTAGGCAATGAGCTCGAGTAAGCAAGGGCTGGAGAATAGATACAATGCAGGATCAGGTCATTTTTTCGCTCAAGCTCTTAGGAACGACAGTAGGCAGCAAAGCGCTTATTATCGGAGGAAGTGAAACAAAGAAAGAAACGTAACGTCGGCCAGCCGGAGCATCAGGGTTTTGCGATCAGGGTGCTCCGGGAGCCAATCGCATCCCGAGGCGGCAGTGTTACCGTCACTTTTTACACGTAAGAAATCGGCTGTTCCGACAATTTGCTGCTGAATATCCATCTGAAACTCATTCATCCCATTTATATGCTATCCGATATTTATCCGAAGAGATTAATCACCTTTTAATCGCATCAAAAATACACTGCTGTCACACTGATGCCGCCCTTGATGACAGATATATCGGACCATCATACGATATGACAAGGGCAGATGTACACAGCTAAACTAGTGTACTCACGACAACACAATAATCCTCTATCATGTCATAAGCTCAGTATTCGTCGGATAGTTATCGCCAATGATTACTCAAAGTCGGAAAATGAACGACTAGCGCATGAGACATGCAGGCTTCGGATGGCGTGCTATGTAACCATTTAGCCGTTGATTTTGACGTCTCGGCTCATGATTACTCCTACATAAACTAGACGAACAATTATGAAGAGGTCCCAAGCCAAAACAATTTGACTTTCTACAGCAAGTATGGGCGAGCGGTCCTTGATCTCAGTGGCTATAATCGGCGGCGGTCCCGGTGGACTGGGAACCGCCATAGCCCTCGCACAAATACCATTTCTTAATGTGACACTCTACGAGAAAAATCCCGAGCCACGTGAAACTGGCGCAGGTATAAGTCTAGGCGCCAATGCGTGGAAAGTTTTGGATCTGCTGGGTGCAAGTCAGGGTGTTAAAGGAGGCTCCAAGTCTAACACGCATCAAAGGTGAGTGGGGATTTATATTGACGACTGCTAAATAAGTTTGAGACTATACGCTCACTCATGCAGAAACGCATACAATGGTAAAGTGCTCAACGTGGTTGAGCATCCCGAAACATCGGATGCCGAGAGTCGTGGGTCCATTCGTGCTCGCAGAACCCGATTACAGTCGGCACTCCTGGCCAGAGTACCCGAGGGCATTATCCAATTCAACAGGAAACTTGTTCACCTGGAGGATCTGACAGATTCTGGGGTACGGTTAGTATTCCAGGATCAGACGGAAGTGGTTGCGGACCTCGTGGTCGGGGCTGATGGGATTCATTCTGTGCGTGGCAAGCTTTCTGTCAGATTCTCCAATTTGAGTGACTAACATCTCAAACTGTATAGGGCGTGAGAAAATATCTCTTCCCCGAGCATAAGCTTCGTTTTACTGGAAATACAGCATGGCGCGTCCTGATCCCCAATTCCCGTCTCACTGATATTCCGGAAATCACTACCACAACGGCTTGGTGGTGGGGTGAATCCGGTCATGTCTATTTTTCGGACGTGGATGAAGAGTATGAACAGTCTGATCCATTGTTTGAGATTACTATCCGGTCATATAATGAGCCTGAGATTCCTGGTAAGACGGTTGGTTGGGGAATTCCGGCTACCAACAAAAGGGTGTTCGCTCGTGTTAAAGTGCGATTTCTCACTTTAATGTTCGAGATATTATTGATGGTGCTAAAATGAAGATAGGAGTTCGATAGAAGGATAAGAGACGCAGTCAATCTTGTTGGGGAAGGTGAATGGTGGGAATTTGCAGGATTCGCAGGGCCTCGTCTGGACAAAATCATCGGATGGAACAAAATTGCTCTTATTGGCGACGCTAGTCATCCCCTGTCAGGTACGCCCATGTTTCGTTCTAAAGCGACAGAGAGCTGTTTTGCTGATGAATTTCTAGGAGCCTTTGGTTCCGGAGCGACATTCGCCATGGAAGATGGCTGGATTCTCGCCCGAGCTCTTGAGTACACGCAGTTTTTATTTCATCCCATACAAGATGCCTTGGAGATATTCGACAAGATTCGCACTCCCTACTACAATAAAATGTAAGTGGATCAGAAACTCAGAGTGTTCCATCCATTTCATCTATGATTGGCTGATTATTATAAACAGATATGAGCATCTAGATGAAAGTCAAGAGAAAATGCAGCAGTTTCGCGCACAAAACAAGGAGTTTGATGCGATTCTTCAAGCAAAGATCGACCTTATGCTCTATGGAGATAAGGATTTCATCTACAAGAATGATATCTCGAAGACGTGGAAGGAATATTTTCAGGATGAAAAGAGACAACATAGACCTTGAATAGCCTTCGACTTCGTTTAAAGAATGAGAAATTGCACCATTTGCCTTTCATTGTTTTGTGTCGGCGCTTTGATGAGCCTCTTCTACGATAGATATTGATTTTTGGCGTGGTCAGATATTGACAAAGTATTTTGCGGTCTTAACTAAACAGTTTTTTGAAGGAGTTAGATTCACCGCTCTCCTTTTGTGCGGTATGCAGAAACCAACTAGATTATTTCAGATTCAATATTGTTAACCCCAGGTATGATCTCAGGCCTAGGATTTTAAAATCCGGCATCCTTATCTCGATAGCGAGGCCCCTCTCCTTCCTTCATTCATACTGGTGCATGTAACATCCATCACCGTTCAAATGGCACCCACGAAGCAATAGATGTAACAGTATTTATATTATAGTTGTGATAAAAAGGCGGGGGTGAGGCTCTCGTGGGGCGGTGCAAGGCTAATATGTGGCTGTGTTTCCCGCCGACTTTTTGTATATCGTAGCTTGCGGAGACTATGCAGAGGTCAGGGACTTGGCAAGGGGCGATTTCCGAGATTTGGCCGGATATTATTTGCGAGTATTTGTTTTCTAAGTACTGGCTTAGTGAACCTGGGTGTAGAAACCTCGTCAGCAGCACATGGAGGACGCAAGGCTCAATGCGGTGTGGCTACATAAGCGTGGTTGACTGCATCCACGTGAATTGGGAAGAGCTTGAGTCGGTGTCGTTGCGTGCTCCGTGCTTTCTTTTCCATCCGGACTCGTGGAATGTCCCCCTTGCATGCATACCAATCGAGAACTCCGTAAAACCGGCTAGAAACATAGGAAATCTTCGCGCATATTCATTCCGGTAAGCTAGATTAGCGGGAAGGATTATGAAAAAGACCTGAAATCCAGTCCGGTCGAGATTCGAGCGATTAAAAGCCGCAACGGATCGAGCTCTAATGGATACGCTAGTAAATTTATATGGGCAGAAATTGGCGGTGATAATGCGCGAAAGGGTCAAACTGTGGGTGTATCTAGGATGCGTCCTTTTCTTCGAAAAAGACACCGCAATCCTGTAGATATCCGGTTAACGACCTCATGGATGCAATTCATGGCGACAGTGTAGCTCAGGCCTGAAGGGATGAAATAATGTGGCCCGAGTTGTACTGGGTGGGTCCATCTCGGTCCACCCTCTGCGTGCGACTTATCGCGGTATTCGTGTTCAAACACCCGAAGAGAATGTCGCGCCGGGTCCCGATACTGAATCCGAAAAGGAGGTGTGTCCGTGAATTCATTGTTCTGTTGTCTCTATATATTTTTATTTTATACTTAACTTATAGAATGGCACATGCTCGCTTGTAGCCTTGTCAGCCGTGTACGCAGTATGTGTGATATGAGTGAGACGTGATAAAAGGTTGCATTCTCCACTTTGATTGATCATATGGTGTTCTTCTAGACCGTACAGCACCAATGACCAGAGGTATGAGGTGTGTGATGAAAAATTATATGCGCGTAAACTTAGCTCCTTCGGTGCGTCGGTAGATATCCAACCCAAGTCGAGGCCGAATTGCGTCAGCGAGGGAGAAGGGAAAAATATACCGCGTTCGAAAAAACCGGAAATCTCCGTTCAAACACGCTCAGAGACCCATACTTCGGCTTTTTCAGCGGTGCCAGACTCGCTTAGGGCTGGTCTGGCAGGGCGGTCGGCTCAGAACGGAATGGACTGGCCCCGCCCGTCCGACCGGCCTGCTTAATCTGGACTAGCTCGGTGGATCTGCCGCGCAGATTGCGGCATGGCTTGATTGGGCGGTGAGTAGCGGGCCCATCGCGCCACATGGTGAGCCTCATGGTTGGCCAACACGCACTTTGGCCCCAGGGACTTGTTGCCATTATCTAATTGCGCAGCGTCAGGTGAAAAGATTTTCTTTATATTGGCCCATTTCCTTTTTTTTTCGTTGAATTCTCCGTGCTTTCCCCTCCCCCAGAGTCCATCTACGTCTTGACTGCTCGTAGTTTCCACTTTTTTTGTGGTGACATACCTGTCTCGGGACTTTTTTTTCTCTTCCGTTTTGGGCATTGCCTGGACCTCACCTCACCTCACCACTCTCGTCGACTCCAGCATTTCTGGCGTCGACGCTCTCCCGGCTGGATAGTTTCAAACTGCAAAGGAACTTGATACAATCTCCGCAACTTTCGAAAAAGTAGCCGCTATCTAGTCGCATTTTCAACCCCGTTGCGCCAACTTGACCGGATTCGACTACCCCAGTGCGAAAATTCTCATCTGACCGACCAGCAATCGCCCGCACGAACCGGACCTTCGATAAATTGCCTTGCGACACTGCATTTTCCATTAGCGCCCCATTAGCGCCATTTCCAACACGGATCGGATCTTGCACCAAAGCGACAACTATATTCATCTGCCACGCGCCTCGAATTTCTAACCAGCATTTCCAATCGCGACAGTGACCAACCGCCACGATGGTAGACTTTAACTTCAAAGATCTGTTCTCGAACAAACAGCGACGAGCGTTCCCCGAAGTCGTGGTGCCCCTCGCCAGTTCCAACGCGACTACTACCAAGGACGATGGCTCCAACAGCTCTCTCGACCGCGCATCCAGCCAGGAGAATGGCTGCAGTGCCGGCCCGGTCAGGCGTAGCTCACTGACTTTGGAAGCTCTCCGCGAGGAGGTCGATTCCAGTATCGCTGCCTCCGGTCACGACACTATCTATGATCGTATGTCTCACGATGTCCAGCTGGCTGCTCTCTCCCCCGCGTCTGGATCGGTTTCGTCTACGCTGAAAACCCCCGAGTGCCATCTACCCTTTTGAACCTGGATCCGGATTTCTGACCGCATTATAGGCAAGGCGAAGGTGATTAACCGCGCTATCCAGGACATTGGTATGGGTCGATACCAATGGAGTCTGTTCGTTCTCTGCGGCATGGGCTGGGTTGCCGATAACTTGTGGTTGCAGGTAGGATTCCTGAGTTCCATATTGATCTCACCTGCTAATCTTGTATAGGGTGTTGCTCTTACCTTGACACCTGTCTCCATGGAGTTCGGTGTCTCCGAAAACGCCTCCCGTTTCGCTACTTGCGCTCTCTTCGTTGGTCTCATTGTCGGTGCTTCCTTCTGGGGTATCGCCTCTGATGCCATCGGTCGTCGACCCGCTTTCAATTGCACTCTTTTCATCTGTGGTACCTTTGGTCTCGCTGCTGGCGGTGGATCTAGCTGGGTCGGGTAAGACTCCACAACCAGTCTCTATTAAATACTCATGAAACTGACTGGAATCTCAGCGTTTGTGCTCTGTACGCCTGCCTAGGTCTTGGTGTCGGTGGTAATCTGCCTGTTGACGCGGCCGTTTTCCTCGAGTGCCTGCCTCCTGATTCGGCCAACATTCTGAGTGGTCTGGCTACCTGGTGGTCGATTGGTACTCTGATCGCCAGTATGCTGGCCTGGGCCTTTATCCCCAACTTCTCATGTGAGACCTATGCCACCTGTGACAAGTCCAACAACTGGGGTTGGAGATATCTCGTTCTCAGTCTGGGCGCCATCACTTTCTGCATGTTCCTTTCCCGGTTCCTCTTCTTCACTCTGTACGAGTCGCCCAAGTTCCTGGTCTCTCGTGGTCGTCAGGACGAAGCCGTCGCCGCTGTCCAGGGTATCGCCCACAAGAACAAGACCACGACCTGGCTCACTGAGGAGATCCTCAACGAGATCGGCGGTGTGGCCGAGAAGCACGAGAAGGAGTCCTTGTCCACCGTGGAAATCATCAAGCGATCCCTGGAGCGCTTCTCCGTCCAGCAGGTCAAGCCTCTCTTCCGGACCAAGAAGCTTGCCATCACCACCATCCTAATCTGGTTCTGCTGGACCTGTATCGGAATGGGCTACACCCTCTTCAACGCCTTCCTGCCGCAATACCTGAGCTCCAACGCCACCTCCACCTACGAGACCTATCGCAACTACGCCATCACCGCCGTCTGCGGTATCCCTGGTCCCCTGTTGTCTTGGGTCATGGTCGACATCCCGTATATTGGCCGCAAGGGCACAATGGCATTCTCCACCGTCGTCACCGGTGTCCTTCTCTTCTGCTTCACCGCCACCAAGGACCCCAACGTCCAGCTCGTTTGCTCGTCCCTGGAATCTTTCTTCCAGATGATGATGTACGGTGTACTCTACGCTTACACCCCAGAGGTCTTCCCTGCCCCGAACCGTGGTACTGGATCTGGAATTGCTAGCTGTCTGAACCGCATTGCTGGTCTTATGGCTCCTATAATCGGTATTTATGCCAGCACTGATCCCCAGGCACCTATCTATGCTGCTGGTGCCCTCATTCTGGCCTCTTTCTTGGCTATGATTTTCCTGCCTATTGAGACGGCGGGTAAGCAGACTATGTAAAAAACTTATATATACCCCAAAGCGCTGCATTAGAGTCTAGATGTTGCATAGCGATGTCTTTTTCTGCACATACATAACAGGTTTTCTAGCGGTGGGCTGGTTTTCCGGGTTCGGAGGGTCAGCTTGCTTTTGCTGATGCCGTCAAAATTCCACATATATCATTCAAATTTGCAATTCGGATGCTTCTTCTAAAGTAAAATATCATAAAATCTTAAGCGATAAGATATTCATGGCAATCGGACCGACACCAACTGACTTCCACATGTAACATCAGTCACTGATCAAGCAGTCGACCCATTCGCCCTCTCCCCCAGCACCTTCCGCACACCAGGGAGGATATACCGCCCATAATCAATAGCATCATTAAGATTATCATACCCACGAATAGAAATCAACTCCGCGCCCAGATCAACATAATCCAAAATGGATTCAACAATAGTTTGATAAGACCCAACAAGCGCAGTCGACGCGCCTCTCGCATTCGTCGCCGTAACAGTCGGGTACCAAAGCGCGCGATCTTGAACCTCGCCTCTGGCCGCAATGTCCAGCAACCGCTGAGACCCAACATTCTGCGGTGGTGGTGCATCGGGCGGCGCCTTCCCCTGCCCCAGCGCCCGGTTGGTCGTCAACGCATCCAGCGTCGCATGCGCCCGCTTCCAGGCCAATTCGTCCGTCTCCGCGGCAATAGGTCGAAACGTCACCCAGATGCGTGGCCGGTTGGTCTCAGCTCGACCCGCTTTATCGGCCTCGGTGTAGATCCGGTCGATTTGCTCTTTCGTCTCTTTCAAGGGCTCTCCCCATAGTCCGAAGATGTCGGCTAGTGACCCGCCAATTCGGTAGGCTTCGTCTGATGAGCCGCCGACGGAGACCGGGATTGTTCCGTTGACGGGACGGACCTTGTTGCTGAAACCTTTGAATTGGAAGTATTTCCCGTCCCAGTCGAATGGGTCAGCGGATTCCCAGGCGCGGCGCAGGATCTTGATGTACTCTTCCAGTCGGGCGTACCGCTCTTCTTTGTTTAGGAAGTCGCCTTCTTTCGCTTGTTCTGCATCGCTGCCGCCGGCGATGAAGTGGACTACTGCGCGGCCGGAGCTGAGCTGGTCGAGGGTTGCGAGGGCTTTGGCTGCGACGGTGGGATAGAGGGTGTTTGGACGGAGGGCGATGATCACTTTCAATTTCTTGGTTACGGAGGCGATTGTCGCGCCGATGGTGAAGGGGTCGAAGGAGGAGGAGTCGTAAGGGATGAGCGTGTAGTTGAATTCGTGGTCGTCGAGCGAGCGGGCGTAGCGGACTAGGAAATTGGGGTCGATGCTTGCATTTGGGATGGGTTTGAGTTCCGTTGAGTGATTGGGGAAAGTTAGGCTGATGAATTCGGTCGGCATGGTGACTTGTGTTTATTTTCTGTAGTGTATTTGGTTTTCTTTTACACTGTGCTGCTCTGGCTGCTGTGATGGTTATATATGGGTTCGTCGGAGAGTTATTGAATGGGCAGATTCAATGACGCCAGCTTCCTGGGGATCGCGTCTTATCACGCAAATCAGCATTATTAATCACCTACGGGGGTATATCGTCTCATACGACTTATCTGATCTTTTATTCATTTAGTTTACATTGCCCTAGGGTAGGCGTTGAGGCGGTTGATATGACGTGAAATACCCCTCAATCACGTCACCAAGTGGCCTCGTGTCGAACAGTCTTTTGTCTAAATAAGAGCTCTCGGATGATTTCCATTTAGTCCCATCTTTCTTCGGATGGTTTTAGAGATGGTGCTGCTAGAAGGGAATGTCTCTACCGGCTACTCTTTCATCCCAGGGCTCTCAACTCTCGGTTTCCCAATTTAGATATAGCATATCATGGCTTATACGACATGTGTAGGAGGATTCGATGAGACCCCTAAAGCTTATCGAGCTCAGTGATACTTAATGTTCCTTATCCTGCCATCGAATATTGCACTTTTGTTTTGTTGTGCCAAATCAAGAAGGCCTGTAAATAACGAATCACGTGATACCATTATTCCTTATATATTGTACCAACAGTGCTTTTGCAGACGCTTGATCTCTGCCATGTAAGAACATCTCTCTGAGTATACCAATAAAAAAGATTAATGCATCGAATTATGCCGAACTTACCAATTGTTTGGTCCCTGGGACCTGATTATGAGCCACCAACCCTATATCCGATAGAGTCGAATGGACTCTGGTAAAAGCGGGATGTCAATGAAAATGGATTGATTGATTGTTCTCATGATAGACACAAATGAAGTATCGGCTAAATACCAGAATAACCTGGGCAGAGATTGGTAAAGTTAAACGTACCCAGAAGCTTCACCACAAGTATCGTCCACATGACTTGGTCGGATCAATCAGCTGGTAGGAGATCCATAAGAATAAATTGACTCAGAAGTACTTCACACCGAGATATCACTGGTCACTAGTATTTACCGCATCGCTTAGTTGAACCGCTCCCATTGAGTCTTCCACTCTTTGTCAGCCTGCCGCCGAGCCTTCGACACATTCCATCGGGTACCGAAAATAGTATCGCAGAACTCGGGGCTACCGAACCCATCCGAGAAAGAAATATTGGCACGCGCGTGGTGCTCGCCATGGGCCCGATTATCGAGAGTCCCACTCAGCCACTTGAACAACAAATTTAGAACATATGACTTGAGGCTGCCCTCCGATCCTGCGGGAATCTTATCATGCAAGTGGAAAGACAAGCACAGATCATATCCAGAATGCTCGTAAACACCACCCGCTGCGCCGAGTCCAGCAACGGGAAAGTGAAAGAGTCTGCTCATGCCGCCCCCGCCGAGGACAGCCAATGGAACGAGATAAGGAAGAACGATCTCGAGGAAGTAGTCGGTTGGAAACATGTAGCAGGCACTAATACCCCGGGACGCGGTCGTGGTATGGTGGACGGAATGTCGCAGGACTCGCATGAGGCGGATGTTGTGGTTGTGGAGTAGGAAACGGTGCGTCGTGTACTGGACGATGTCGTGGCCGAGTGCCATACCGTAGAAAATGACGAAAATTCGGATGAGGGTACTGTAGCTGATTCCAGTGAAGCAAAGGCCGAGCCATTCGGTGAGGATCATGCACGGGAGCAGGACGAAGAATTGGTTGAAAAGGACCTGTGGGAGCATCTTCATGAATCCTTTGCGGTCTGGCTCGCGGACGCGTAGGCTGCGCGCAGTCGTTGTGTCGGCATATTCGCAGAAGAGAGCAGTGCCAAGGAATGATAGTTCCTGGACGATCCAGGTTTGGATGGAAATGGGTATCATGATGGGTGGTTGTGACAACGAGCTTTTTTCGTCGCGTGGTCTGGTTGTCGCCGATGGTGGATGTTGTGGGAGGGAGATGATACGTATGTGTTGCGTCGGCGACGGGCTTGTGATAGTGAGTGCGACTGGAAAGTGATGGCGCGGTGGCCTAAATGGGTTTACTCGACGAAACCGCTGTCTATTTGTACATGACAGCTTCGTGAGTTCCCGATCGGGAAAACCTGCTCAAGTCGCGTGGTATTGACGTGATGATGATCATCTCCGCTTGTAGGGCTATCCATGGATGCACAAACTCGGGTTTCGAATTTTTAGCCTGATCGCTTCCATTGCATTAAATTAACCCCAGCACAGTGAGGTAGTCATGGGGATGGAATTACCTGGTGACCGTGAATCTGGCCACTGTATTCCGCTCAAGGTACATAATCTGATTATTCATAGACTTTACAGAGCTCAGGAGAGAGCAAGCAACACCGTATGAATGCTCTGCCGGATAAAGATTCTATGTGTACTAGTACTGTAAGATGATATTTACTCAGCTTTCATTTCATCCCGGGAGATGGAGAATGGGATCAGATGAAAGAAGAGCACAAAGACAGTCAAAGTGCTTGTGTTCCTAATACTAAACTGACATCGATAAGAATACTGCGTATAGCCGAAATCAGGAAAGACGGCGACAGGTGCCTTGCTCTAGCGGTCTTCGTGTCTGTAGCCTTCTCTTTGTGGCTCTGCAAATCCCGGACACCACAAATGTAGATGCATTGAGTCGTCGAATCACATGAGGTTACAGTCATTCGTCCGGCCAAGCCAAACGTAACGAATTCGCAAGCTCCTAGCTCAACCTACTCTACCAAGTTAAGTTCGCTGCTCATTGGGTTGTCTTCACATTCCCATAGTTCTTTTGAGAACGTCAAGAACCGGTAATTGTAGCTCTTGGGATCCATTGAGGTATATCAAATTTCAGGCCTCATTGATGCATTTCACTTTATCAATCATCAGACGATGGCATATTACTCCCATGGGTATTTTCACAACATTGCTTAGAGGTCCGGATAATCCGGGGAAGCGGGGCACCGGTGATTCCTCGGACTGCCAAGCCAGCCCTCGCTTACAATTTATTCACAAGTCTAATTTATCCCGCCGAGGCTTTTCTTCAGGGTGTTCCTGGACCAGACTAGTCAACTAAACGAACCTATCAATTCGCGGACTTCGGACTGCAATGTGAATCTCAAACCTGATCATGCACACCTGCCGGAAATTTGTCGGGTAGACGATGCATCAAGGGCGACTCGGTTGCTCTTAACCCTGTCACCAAGAAATGCCAAGGTCTTGGGAGACTACACTAGTGTGGTCGTCTAGTATACCTCCGTTTTTCTTCAGGCGTAGTATCGTCAACTGCCGGTCTCAAGACAGCATATAAAGAGAACATTCATGCACTTCAAGATATCTGACAGATTCCACTGGTGAAACTGGTCTTGATAATTGAATCACAACTCGAGATTAAAGAACCATGAAGCTCGCAGCTCTTACATTGATGGGTGGTCTTGTGACCTGGGCAGAAGCGCACGGATATCTGACAATCCCGTCCAGCCGCACCCGTCTCGGCTTTGAGGTACCATCTCCCATCCTCCACAGGATATTCTGATATCTAACCTCAAAAACATACTAACCATCACAGGCCGGAATCGACACCTGCCCGGAATGCTCCATCCTCGAACCAGTGACCGCCTGGCCAGACCTAGAAGAAGCCCAAGTAGGCCGCAGCGGACCCTGCGGCTACAACGCCCGCGTTAGTGTGGACTACAACCAACCGGGCGACTACTGGGGCAACTCCGTCGTCGCGAGCTACACGGCCGGAGACATCGTCGAAGTGCAATGGTGCGTCGACAACAATGGCGACCATGGCGGGATGTTCACGTACGGAATCTGTCAGAATCAAACCCTCGTCGACCTATTCCTAACACCGGGGTACCTGCCCACGACAGAGGAAAAACAGGCTGCTGAAGACTGCTTCCTCGATGGTGAGCTCAAGTGCACGGATGTCGATGGGCAGACGTGCGGGTATAACCCCGACTGTGCTTCTGGTGAAGCTTGCTATCGTAATGACTGGTTTACGTGTAATGCGTTTTCTGCGGATTCGAATCGCGCGTGCCAGGGGGTTGATGGCGCCGCGCTTGGGTCTTGTACGACTACAATTGCGGGTGGGTATACTGTTACGAAGAAGATCAATATTCCGAATTACGAGTCTGAGCATACGTTGCTTCGGTTTCGGTGGAATTCGTTCCAGACGGCGCAGGTATATCTTCATTGTGCGGATATTGCTATTGCTGGATCTGGTTCGTCTTCGTCTTGAATACTGGATCGATCAGCCAGCTGGGCTCGTGGGATACATCGTCGGCCATCGAATTGTCGGCCAGCTCACATACCACCTCGAATTCGTTGTGGATGGCGACGATCATTCTGCCTGTCGGCACAAGCTCTGAGTACAAGTTCATCAAGAAGGAGACAGGTGGCAGCATTGTCTGGGAAAGTGATCCCAACCGGAGCTATACTGTTCTGAGTGCATGCTCTGGGGTGACTGCAACGGTTACTGGGACATGGGAATAGTATATTTACTTCAACATTGTGATCATATTTGAACAGTAGCTTCATTCAATACATGATTAATTTGCCTGACGCGAGGAAGACTGAAACATTCCGCATATCTCGTAAGAATACAGTTCATGTGTGAGATGGGAGGGGGATAACTGACCTGGTCTCGTTAGTGCTTTCGCACATTCATTCTCAAGCATCAGTTTTAAGCCCGGTGGGCCTCGATCAACTGATCCCAGAAAATCCAGTTAATCTCACCCCAGGCTAGTTCATTCTTGAAATCAAGGTTCATCTGCAAGCCAGTTTTCATGGTCTGGTTGGTATTGTCGGGTGCAGATGTCGTTATGGGATGTCCATCATCTCGTGGTGGGAAAACTTCTTTACCTTTCTGCTTCTCATTTGAAGGGGACGACTTCTTCCCCAGAAGGGAACGCAGGTTCTGGATAAACTCTGGCTCAGCTGTAGAGCCATCAGGCTTGCGCATATCCCACGCCTTGAGAGCAAATCGTCCAAACGCGACATAGAGCGGTTGCTGGGAGGACAGAATTTCACTGTGGTTTTCATAGACTTGCGCGACACGGTCCCAAGATGCGTTAGCTTCAGAAGGGGAAATCACATCAAGCCACCTCCACAGACTATTCAGAATTACAACCAGAGCATCCCACGTCCCCCACACAAAGAACGACTTGGTATGCCATTCGAATCGGTGAAGACCAGTGTGCGAGTGAGCAGCTGAGTCAGTATCCAAGAATTTCTGTGCCAGGCGGATCATCTCACGTCGTTCATCATCAGAAATGAGATCTTTTGAAGCCTTATGCGCTAGAACCCGAATACGCATGGCCGTAATTCCAGCTCTGGCCAAGCTCATGGTCAAAAAGTGGAGCGGGTTCACGACATCGCAATAGCGAAGGAATTTCTGCTCGACCTCGTTTTCGGCCTCCTTTATGGCTCTCTTGGCTTGATCGTAAGTATCGAATCGCCATGGCCCTGGATTTACCCCTGGCTCTAGAACTTGGGCGAAGTGCTTTCCGACACAAGCACGTGAAAGACAAAATATCATGTCAGTCGCGCCGTTCTGACTTTTAGGGGTTTCTGTCATCCCGGGCCAGATCTGGCTGTCATCGATGTTGAGTGGCAGTTGAGTATCCCGCATGGTGGTCTTTCCCATTCTCGCAAGTTGGCTAGTGGTTCCACCAGGTGCAAGAAGTTGAGACTTTCCGTGTCCCGCAAGTTGGCTAGTGGTTCCATCAAGTGCAATAAGTTGGCAAAGCAATCTTCGCCTCATCTCAACCTCGAATGGTGGAAGTCCAAGAGCTTTGCTGTCGCGGTGAAGACCAATGCGATATGCCATGTTTACTGCGACTCCTGTCAAGATCCAGTAGGTCTGCGGGTCGTAGTGGAAGCGGCAGGATGTTAGAAAGAGCACAAAGGCCTGGAGAACCCCCAGGTCAACAGTTTTGAGAAAAGACGCGTCCACGAGCGCCTGGCGTATTGCGTAGTTGAACCGATGGAGCAGCTGGGCCCGTGATTCCTGGTATTTTTGAATACAATCCTTGTCAGTCATTGAGTGGATCGCGAAATGATAAATGGCAAACACTAGGCATTCTTCAACCCTTGAGGCGTCTTGGTGGTGATATGCGACCCTGCGAACCATCGCCTCTGTTGATGGGATATGAAGAATCTTGCAGAGCGGTTCCACATTTCTGACATAAATGTTCCATAGATCGATTGCCGTTGCACTGTCCGGATGAGGCTGGGGCCTACTCAGCGGTAGAACACCCATGAAAGCTGTTGTCAAAGGTTCTGGGGGGACAAGGAAAGCACTGCTTGTGGTAACTGGAGATTGCTCACCGCCACGCACGGCCTGGAGCCCTTCGTTGCCCAAGTTGCGCCGGACATTGCTGCCAACATAACTAGACATACCTTGAGTTGTCACCAGAGCCCCGGACTTTGCACTCTGTGGGCCATTCCCCAGCAGTCGATTTGATTCTTTCTGTGTTTTTTCCATGGCGTATGGTCGTTTCGTACCTTTTGAATGCAAAAGTTGATATTGGCGAATGAAATTTTCATATCGATCGAGCCTTGCACGTTCGTTGTCATCCAGGTACCTTCTTTCTGATGACGCAGGCACCGGGTAAACGCACTCACCTTCTTTCTTTTGACAATTATTGCATCTCGGATATTGTCTGTTGCACAGTACTTTGGCCTTCAAGCACGCTTGGCAGGCTAACATGATGTAAGGCGGTGTGTCTGGATGTTCAGGCTGATTCGAGGGCGCGGCATGGGGACCGGTATTCGGCCCAAGAGCAGACGCAGGAGAAAGAATGGGAATAGGGAGGTGAGCTTTATGAGGTAGAGTGGAAGCAGGAGGTAGAGTGGGAGCAGGAGGTAGAGTAGGAGCAGGAGGTAGAGCGGAAGCAGGAGGTAGAGTGGAAGCAGGAGGTAGAGTAGGAGGAGGTAGAGTAGGAGGAGGTAGAGTAGGAGCAGGAGGTAGAGTAGGAGGAGGTAGAGTAGGAGCAGGAGGTAGAGTAGGAGGAGGTAGAGTAGGAGCAGGAGGTAGAGTGGGAGCAGGAGGTAGAGCGGGAGCAGGAGGTAGAGTGGGAGCAGGAGGCTCAGTGGAAGCAGGAGCTGGAGCACTGCATGCTGCCTTCTGGGGCACCGAAGACTTTGGCCGCACCATCTCCGGGACTAGGACGTAGAAACGATACAGAAACGAAAGTGAATGGGTGATCGATAAGTGTGGTTGGTTTGGTACGCGGTAGTTGCAAAAGACAAGATTAATCTGGGTGGAAGAAGAGGTCTTATAGTAGCCTGGTTCTATAAGTGGAAGGCGCGTCGAGGAGGGGCATCGCCCGTGTAAATATTGCCGCTGATTGGTCTGCATCTCGGATGCCCGAGCCCGAAAATAGCAGCTCTTCTGGCCAATCACAATACGCATATGCTCGGGCATCGACACTCCCGAGCTTCCTTGAGCGAGTTCAGGTCTTACAAAATGACACTGGATCACTCAATTTCAGGGCAGGATTGCAGTGCAACTGTGAAAATAATTTCTTTCTTCCCTGATTTCCTCTCAAAACGTCCCGACTGAAAGTCCTCATTGTTGGAGCCTCCATCGCCGGCCCCACAGCCGCCTACTGGTTCGCCAAAACAGGAGCACAAGTCACCATCATCGAACGCTTCCCTCAACTCCGACCAAACGGACAAAGTGTTGACATTCGTACCGTCGGAGTCCAAGTCATGCGCAAGATTTCAGGGATGAAGGGGGCAGTCCGAGCGAAGAAGGCTGCTCTCAAGGGAATCAGCTTTGTTCGCGCTGATGGTCGACCATATGGCACTATCACGACGACCGGAGATTCTGGTCAACAGTCCTTGGTGTCGGAATATGAGATAACTCGTGGATATCCGTCAAGGACTTTGTTTGGGTCGACGGAGCGGAATGAGAATGTTAAATCTGTGTTTGGGGAACAGGTTGCTTCTATGCAGAACAATGGACAGGGTGATGGGCCTGGGACGGTCGAATTCGCGAACGGCTATTAGACATCAAAGTACGATCTTGTCGTTACTTGCGATGGTGCTACATCAAGTACTCGTGCTATTGGATTTGGTTGTGACGTCCGAGATCATCTCGTCCCTCGCAATTGCTGAGCAGCGTAATTCCCAATCAAACAAGATCTTGTTGACGGAAGTGAGAATAGATTTCGAAATTTTCTCTTTGCGTTCATCTTCCAGGGCAGATTTATCGATTTCTTTGCTGGTGCTTTTGCTAACAGCAAGAATCATGGGCTGCCTGATTAACATTATTTACATTGAGAGCCAGCGAGAGACAGAACGTATACTATTTAATGAAGAACTGGTATTAGAAGTGGATATGAGGTCCTTGAATTCTGCAGATAAGGGTTTGACCTTATTTCGAAATAATTGAGCTTCCTGCTTAACAGATTGTAGCTGAACCCGTTGTTCAAAGCATTCGACCTGTAGTAAATGTCGAGTGTCCCGCCTTTCTAGTCTCAATCAAGAGCACGCAACTGTTCTTCTTTCTTCCACTGTTTCAGATTAAACGTGCCTTCTTTCAACTCATCCTGCTCTCCATTCCACACGAAAGTGACACCCTCGATAGTCTTCCCAACACCATCGTCGCTCAGAAGGTCAATCAGGCAAGCTTGCAGCCGATACTGCTCCGTCTCGTAAGTCGCGAGCCGATCAAGTTGAGTCTGTGACCGGAGTTCGTATGCCATCCCGTCGACCGGGTTCAGTGACTCTCCATCAAGAAGCGCGGGGTAGAGACCCCAAAGCTTGACCTGGTAGCCCATGACTCGAGCGCGATGCATGATGGGCGGTTTCTTTGACGACTTCAAGACTCGAGAGAGTATATCTGGATCCATCAATGTGCCGTAGAAGAAGCAGTAGTGTCTTTGGAAGGCTTCTTCGGGCCAGCTTTCTTCGACAGACCTTTCAAATGATGTTTGGTACCGCTTTGTCGTGTTTTTCGAGTCATCGACGAGGAATTCGCGGACCATCAGCGACGGTTTGTCGGTCATCGTGTCGGTGTGTAGTCGCAGGTCTCCCGGGTCAGGTAGTAGTGAAAAGAACAGCAGTGATGTCGTTGCAGGGTCTGGTGTCTCGGGTCTGCGGTGTCATGGAAAAGAGATCGAGGAAGGAGAGGATGTGGTTCGAAGCATTCACTTTATGCCTGAGGCATCCCGGTCACTTTGGGAAGAAGTGAGCCTCATCCATGGATATGGCGATGGCGCTGCGCAAGGCGGTGTACACTGGCTTCAGATTCCTTCTCCTGTTAGCGCATTCTCTACATCTAGATTTTCCAACCATGATTATGGATTCATTTCGAGGCATAAATATGAAGCGAAACAGAGCAATCTTTTATACCCGGAGTCCACCTACACGCAAATTGTATTTGACCTGCCATCAAAGAAGTCGCCCAAGCAGTCTTCCAAAAGGTCAACTGAAGAGTCATATGAACAATTACCTAATCTAGTACGGTCGATGAAGCTTCAGGAGGTGTTATGGATATGAACCTTGTCTGTATTCCTACTAGTAATTCCCGTTCCGTTTTGTGGTTGGCTCTACCATCAATAAAAAAAGGTAGAAACTTATAATGCCTCATACCAGATTTGGCCTTCAAGATCCAAATTCCATCAAACGCCGTGGCGTAACACTTGCAAACAACACCGTGTCACGTGCCAGTCTATTTGAAAGAGATAGTACTTCGGGTTCTTCTTCGTTCTTTTACTTCTATCTCACTTTTTTCATCAGTTCTCTCCCTCATTTATCTTCGAAAAGATGCTTCAACCTCTAATCGATTCCTCGCTTGTCACGACGGCCACGCTTCCGCATCCGTGGCTAGTCGTCAACTACCTCCGCAAGAAGAATCCCTCCATCGTCTTCATCCAGCTGCAATGGGTCAACTATTCAGGTGTTCCTAGTGCGAGCGTGCACGTCCTGGAAGAATATCTTGTCACCTTAAGACATGGTGAATATATTACATGTCCCGCTGGCATTCCACTACGCCATGAACCACACGCTTTACCCAGCTGCCGATCCAATCTCCGTCAACTGGCTAATTCCAGATTGGTCATCCGCTACTCTGAGCGCCAGTCCAAGCCCTATGACAGTGATGTGTGATATTGCGAGTACGACGCCTATGTGCCAAACCCCAAATAATGACCTCTGTCCTCGTCAGGCCCTTGTCAGACAAATGAGACATGCTGCCGCAAGCTGGCAGTGGCAATTCCTCGTTGGTTTCTGGGTCGAATTCCCAAGTAATAAAGTACTCCGACGACGGACGCTCTCTGATAAAGCCCTACAGCGAGAGAGTAGGGTATTCTACTGTCGCTGGAACGCTTGACCCATGCTTTTCCTATGTTGAGGAGAGTGTGCAAAAACTATTTAAACTTGGTGTGCGTGTTGGAAGATTTCGCCCCGAAGGACGCGGTCAATACAAGATTTTCCTGGAGCTGCTGTCACCTCTTCAGGCAGTGGACCAGCCGGTGTTAACTCATAGCGTTCTCAAAGACACATTCAACAACCATGGTCTCGTGGCTACACTGTCGCCTCTAGTCTCCAATTACGGGCCGCGTCCAATGAATAGCCAACAGATGCAACTCTTCTACAGCACAACCGTCCGACATGAGGATCACTTCTTAGCAGGAATACTTAAACGCCTGCCGAGTTTGTGGGCGTCCTTCTTACCACAGAAGCTCTCATATTGAATCGAGTATTCTTATTACTTTGTCGGATGGGGTTCCGATCATCGACTGGCCTCTATTAACAAAGTCAGATCGGGCCATTGGGAACTCAGAAACATTGACGCTACAGCAAACATGTAACTAGTCTTGGCAGTAGTGCTGTGTGCAGGGCTTCTCGGACTGTCTGAGAGTGAGTTGCGTCCTTGGCCTGGTCTATCGATGGGCGATTGGCCCAGCATGACATTCGCGAATATCCGTTCCCGTTTGAGCCTCTACCGGAAGTGTCGATAAATCGTTGAGACGTCTGCAATTGGATCAAGAGGGACTAAGCGCGATTCTCGGTGACAAGGTGATCAAGCATTATCTGGATTTGAAGAATCATAAATGCAACTAGACGGAGATACTGGGCGAAGACGAGACACTCCAGGGGCTGATGGAAGTTTTTTAAAACGATATGCTGTGGGTGAGTGGATTCATGTGATTGTCACATTGTGAATGTGAGTGGCTACGCCGCATGAGGACGTCAGAACATGAGGTAAATTCGAGTCATCAATTTCCTACAATAACCCGTAATATCAACATCGTTTCTTTCCCGGCTCTCATGCCTTGCTGACTAGCATGCTACAGATTGTGAGTGCCAAAATGGGACTCCATGTGGCCAACGTCAAGCTTTCCTCCACTCCCCTCCCCCCAACCCAAGAAAACGTTCCCTTGTTTCAAGGCTCTCTAGACGGTATTAGTTAAAATTTTGTACTCCCTCTCATTATTTTCACGGTGTACCCAGGAAGCCAAGGACTAATAACTATGAAAGCGCCATCTGCACCGCAGCCTCCGAATGAACTTTAGCTGAGTCTATTAAAGGAACTGAACAATCCCCAACCCTAACAAGCATTCCGAACTCCGTACAACCCAGAATCACAGCTTCAGCCCCTTCCTCAACCAGCCGATGAATCACACTTTTAAACCTCCCCCGCGTCTCTGGCAGAACTTTCCCCATCGCTAATTCCGTAACAAGCGCATTGTGTACCGTCTTCCGGTCTTCCTCGCTGGGGATCATTGTCTCAATCTGATTCTTTTCCAGGCGTGAGGTGAAGAACCCGTCCGTCATGGTCACGTGAGACCCAAGTAATCCGACCTTTTTGAAGCCTTTCTGTCGTATCTCCGCTGATACACCATCGACTATATGCAAGATCGGCAGTTTAATCTTAGCTTGAACCGCTGGGATTGCCTTATGCGCTGTGTTGCAAGCAACCAAAATGAAATCGGCTCCCCCGCACTCCAGTTGTTGCGCAAGTGAGAGGAGGGTCTCTGCCACCTTGTCCCATGCATCGTCGTCAAAGTATTTCTTCATTTGGTCATAATCGGTTTGTACTAGCATCAACTTAGCGCAGTGTTGAGGTCCTAGCTTCTCTGCAATGAGGCGGTTGATGTCTTGGTAGTATGTGATCGTGCTGGGCCATGCGATGCCGCCGATGATTCCAATCGTTTTCATGCTTTTGGTTGGAGATTATTGTTGGTTGCGACGGTGTGGTCTTGGTGAGATGGTCCCTGTACATGACAATCGCGCAAGGTTGTGGAGAGATAGAGAGGATGGGTACTAAAAATGAGTCAACACAAAAGCACCCCGCTCTCTCCCTAGAAAGTTACTCTACCTTGTCCGCAATACCCGCAATATCCGCGGCAATCATAAGAAACTACTTATTGATGACGCCTATTAAACAAAGAATCTATGAGAAAGCTCGTCGTATTCGAAAAGTGTCTTCGTTCAACCACGCATACCACATGCGATACCTTTCCAGCATGAGCCGAGCAATTGATTTCCACCCATTTAGTCAGGTGGATAGCCACAAAAACCCCTGCTCAACACTATAGAGCTCGCTCTATTGATTGTTTTTGTCTAGTGTGTCTACTCCGCTGCGCGATTACAACAAGCCGCATAGAGTGTAGTGGGGAGACCCCCTCCCCCTACTACATGGGTGCCATCCAGACTATGTGGCATAGCCGGCAGTATACAGTGGCCGGATAGCTAGTTCTAGAATACACCATCTTACACCTCCCCGACCTGACCCCTACATTTGGGATTCTCGCTATTTCCTGATTGCTACGCGCGTGTTTTGTGGTGGTTTTTCTGCTGAATCGACCCGCACGTCTCAGCGCGTGCTGCCATCGAGCGTTCCCCTCTTCAATAGATAGATTTAGCGTTCCAGGCTAGAGGTCAGAACTGGCCAGCGATTTACAATAATATACCGTCTTTTCTGGTATGCTAAAAATAACTGCCACATACCTTCTTTAATTCATTTTGAAAACCAATAATTAGAAGCCAGGCCTACTAGGCGACGTGTGCCATCGTGTGGTAGGGAGCAATATCTTGTTGGTCTCGTCGCTTTATTAGGACCGCCAAGACCTCGGCTCCTGCCTCTCGCCTGGTCGCCGCCATACACTTCGACCAGGGCACTACCATGCTTCTAATAGAAGATCGCTTGCAATGTCTACATTAGACGCACAAGCACAGTCCAGGCGGCACAGGGGCCGACCATGCAAGGACACTACCGGTACAGTTGACGCTGTAGGTGAAACCGCCCCCTATCTCGACTCAACCAACCCTCACCAAATTCCCAGGCCCGCCGACAGCAAATTCGCGAAGCCCAGCGAACATACAGGTCACGCCAACAAGGCCTTCTGACCTCTTTGAAAGAGAGAAATTCGCAATTAGAGTATGCTCTGACTCAACTTGCTCAGATCATGCAGACCTTCCGCAAGGTCCGGTCAGACCCAGTTCTCCCGCAATCTGGACTTCCGGGAGCAGTCGAACTGCTCGAGGACGAAATTGCGCGGCAGCTAAAGCGAGTTGGTGTCACACCTGGGTGCTCCAAGTCTAGTCACTTTACCCAGTGTTTGGATTTCCAAGAGAACTTGCAGCAACGACTAGCTCAACCTTCAAGTTCCCTCGGGTCGGCGGTGATTCCGTCCTCGCCACCCTCTATCTCAACGAATTCCGAATCTCCTTTCTGGGCATCGTTCCTGCAAACATCCCACCCACTTATTCCAGGTGCTTGTCCGATGACCTTTGAGGCCTGTGTGCCCTTATCTACATTCACGATCGGCACCCATGATCGACCGATACCATACACAACCACTCAATTTACGCAAAAGCTTTTCCGAGCATGTGCGAGGAGCGGATATCGCCTTCTGACATGCGAAGCCGTTACTGATCACGAGATGTGGCATGAATTCGGCCTCATGCTTCGAAATACACCGAGGAAGGAGATCATCGCATACTTCCAGCGTGTCTTGGCCGTTACGCCTTGCAATCCTATTGAGGATTTTCGATTCCCTTATATCTGCCTCGGCGGTGCGGGCACTCATTTCCCTCGTGAGCGGCAAATGTCTATCGGATTTTCTGGATTGCAGAATTTGCTGCCTTTTCAGACTACAAATGGTATCAGGGAGGTCTTTTCGGAGGAAGAGTGGTTCGATGTTCACGATGTTGAAGGGTATCTCGCGGCCCGGAATATCCAGGTGAAGAACGACGGTCCTTCCAATCTCTCAACGGACACGCGCTCTATTTCTTCCGGGCTCTCGTCCTCCGATCTAGCGAGTTTCAAAGGTCAAGCGATTGTGCACACAGCCGGCATCCCGGAACAAAGAAGTGAATTTTCTGCGGGACTATCTCGTGCTCTCGCAATAGCAGATCGGGAAATCGGTGATCAATTCCTGCCCCCATTTGACCATGATACTTCTCTCAGCTCAACTATGAGCGTTGATGAAAATACCATCATCAAGGGTAAGTTTTACTGAGCAGGTAGGTAGATTCTGAAAATGCTGACATTAAGCCAGGACTGAGCCGGCTTTGCATTGGCATCGGATGTGCAGCCGCCTTCCGCCGTCGCGATGTTGAGGCTTTCATCGCTCACAATGTCGAGTGGGCTCCCTGAAATAACTATGGTTCTTCTCAGGCACGAAATCTTCCGTCGAAGCATCCACCATTGGATTACTATTCACGACATAAACTACTCCCCCCACCACCCCCTCGGCCGATACCAGCACCTTTCTTCTAGTCCTGGCGCTATCCGGCATCACTGTCGATTTGAATGCCAATGTCGGAGACCGATCGCTTCCTCGCGCAAGAACCACAAAGCCGCAACAGTCGCACCTGGCCCAATGAACACGAACCCAGCGAACAGCGCGCAGACCCCAGTCCGCCAATTCACATTTGACAACCCCGATCTGTAAAGATCTGAAATATTGACCAGACTCCAAAGGAAGCTGGCGACGGTCACAAGGAGAAAGTCGTTTTGGAAGAAGATAAGGACACCGTCCACCAACCTGCCAACCTGCCCAAACGAGTCCCTCGGAATGAAAAGTCGTGTCAGGGAAAGGTCCCCTGAAATCAGGCATCCAGTGACCACGCTCAAGTGCACGCATGCAGCGATGACTCCAGTCGTCTGGTAAATGGTGCGCAGATGGGAAATGCTATTCTCCGATGTGGACTTCTTGCATCCGCTCGCTTTCTTGGTGGCTTCTTCTATTCCGGCGAAAACGTATGTGAAGCAAGAAACCAAGACTGGTGCAGGCTGCCAAAATGCAATAATACCCTGGCGCGTCTCGGGATTATTGAAGGGAAAGAAGAGCAGAACGGTGGGCACGATGTAACCGACTATCAACGCAGGCAAAATGAATCTAGCCGCAGAGACTTCCCGGCCCGGGAGCAGAAGGAACGTGGACTTGCGAGACGTAAACATGCTAAAAGCAAAGTAGATCGGTGCGATACAACCGATTCCTCGCAGTTGGTAAAGAATCCCCCAGATGCTGGGACTATGCAGATGTCAGCGAAGTCAATATCAATCACAAGGATTTTCAAATACCTCGCGATGGCCGTCCACCTATTCTTTCGACGATATCCCTCAACTGTGAAAACGGCAATCAAGGGCAGCATCGAAGATAAAAAGTAAATTAGCTGAAGTGGCTGCTCCGGATTCGAGCTAGTGACAGCGGGCAAGAAAATAGCGACCAATGTCTTAAGAATTCTGTCGATAGGTAGGAAACCAGTATAAGATGGTTTCAAATTCAGACCTGACTCGCCGATCGAGCTATTGATGACCGCCTCTCGAACTTGAGAAAATGTGCCGTTCTCTCTCCCTGCCTCGAATAGAAGCTGATATGCAAGGAACGATAAAGCCGCGAGCAGGATGTACACAATCGAGCTAAATCGACTGCGCGATGACGGGAACCTCAGCAACTCGTCGTAGTACGGTATTGTTCGCTTCTTCACCGGGATTGGTAGCATGTTCAGCGACACTGCGGCGGAGTATGTATCTACCCAGCGATCGGTCAGCATGCTCTTCGGGACATATGGGACGATGAAGTTGGCAATGAATTTCAGGAGCGGGGTCTCCATGCATTCCAGACGCTGTCGGGCATGCGACGCTTTAACAAGACTCCGAGTTCGATCCTCACGTTGGTGTTGGGTTTTCTCGAATATTGAGGTGATTTCTGCGGCTGATAGCTCCTTCGATGAGCTTGCGTCCAATGCAGCGACGAGATGATTCGTCAATGCTGCTGCCGTTTCAATTGCATTGTTGCCTCCTTGTCCCGTCAAGGGTTCGAACTATCCCGAATAATCAGCCACTGAAAACATGTACTTGATGGATTTGACGTACCTTATGAGCTGCATCGCCGATAGTCATCACCCTCTGGAAATACCATCTCTTATACACATACTCCGGCAGCGCAGTGTATACAGAGCTGATCTTGTTTTTGTAGAGTTCGGAGAACCGCAGATTTGGCGTGATGCAATCATCCCAGTGTTCTCTCGCAAGGCTTTCTTCTTCGTCTTTGGTGAATCGTGGGATCTCGGAGCCATGCAGCGCCTTTCCCATGTTCCTCACGAGGAACCAGTAGGTTCTGTCACCAGGTCCGCTCGGGACCAGGTAAGAAAAGTGCTCGTTGAAGACGGAGGTGAGTGTCCCTTTTTCGATACCGGACACTCCCCTGGATATACCGAAGATGCATGCGTATGTGGCTGGCAATGCTTTGGTTCAGTCAGCTTTGCATTCAATACTGGTATTCGTCGGGGTCACAATACCATCTTCCTCGGATGCGTCAATCCATGTTGGATCAACCTTCTGCGCATTCTCCCACATCTGCTGCCGAACAGCAGAGTGAATTCCATCAGCTCCAACCAGGAATGTTCCGGTATAGGTTTTTCCACTCTTCGTGGTAACGATCGCCTCATCCGGATTGTTCGTCACGGACACCACTCTCTCAGATGTCAAAATCTTGTCCTTTTGCTGAATGTTGTCGTACAAAATCTGAATCAACATGCGTCGGTCAAGAAAGACAACAGGGTATGTGTGTCTGCAAATAATCGTCAGGACTATTAATCTTCCCGGAGATACTTATAGCTGCAGCATGCAAACCTTTCAGTTATCTGTTCGCCAAAATTGTCGAAAGACCAGAACCTCTCTCCTCGCGAATCTCTGAAAACAACTTTCTCAACCGGATACTCAGCCGCAGCAATAACATCTTCATAGCAGCCCAGCTGATTGAGAATCCGCAGTCCATTCGGCAAAACACCGATACTCGCTCCGACCTGTGGTGCGATGCTAGGATAGGCTTCCAACACTAGGAAATCGATCCCATTCTGCTCAAGCATGAGCGCAAGTGATAGCCCCGCGATGCTTCCTCCTGCTATAAGCACTTTGACATTACCACCTTTGGGCGACATGGTTGTGGATTGCCAGTGGTTCTGGGGTGTATTTCACAGAGTCAGACAACCCACAATTTATACATTCCTTCCGATCTGGAGGGCAAGATTCACAAGACCCCTGATTTGTATTCAGCCTTAGCAGTTCTTCCGAAGAGCCATTCTACTCTCCCTCTTTTGGGTTAAGCAGCGGAATATACACACATGGAAGCCTGCTAAAATTACTCCGAGTCGTCTCTGATCATTAATCAGGCCAATCAAATTGCGCGGATGCGCGGGTTCGGGGGAATTTCTTGACCCACATTTGTCAATGGGTGGGCCGGGGCTGATCTTAATGTGGCTGGCACCTCTGCCCATTGTCCCACGGGTTTACTAAATTGAATTGTTGGCTTCGCCTGTAATGAGTAGCAATGCAGTTTATCCCAAAATGATTATAACTTTATCATCTCCCTTCTGGGAGGGACACTAGTACATATTTGTACGACCCGTTAAGTTGTCAGTGCAACTAGTCGTCTTTTGGAAGTGCGATGCTTGACACATCCATAGTAGTCCCCGGGCTCTTCTATCTCAAGTTATTTAGGAGATTGGAAAATCAAACTTCTCCTTTCGATTCTCATCACTCAAACCACGATCACAGTAGCATACAGAACGAGTTGGAAGATACTCTTTCCATCAATACCCCGCAGAAGCTAATCGCTCTCGTGGACTGGATCGCCGTTCAGCACGCCTGGCTGGGAGCTCAGCAACTCCCACTTTACATCGACACAAAGGTACCACGTGTCGGGTCAAAAGAAACGGTAACCCACTTGACGATCCTAATTAATGACGACACTGGCTGTGGGGGTTCTCATGTTTTCGACATCCAAACCCTTGGGAATGCCGCATTTTCAAATATCGGCAAGCGTGGGAAGAGATTTAGAGATATCTGGAGCCACCAGAGTTCCTCAAGGTCTTCTTTGATGCGAGAAATGGCACTAATGCTCTCTATCATTACGGGGTTGCTCTAAGGGTGTCCACGGAAAGTGCTTCTCGGTCCTATACGAAAGATCGAAAAGGCCTTTGCAGTATTTCAGAGTGCATCAATAAACATATCCAGGTAAACGAAGATGACGAGATAATCTACAGATACTCTGAAGAAGTTCAATGTAGTCTTCAAGCAAGACTCATCTAGCGTGTTGAGCCAGTCACCACTTGCGAGTGAGAGAGTATCACACTGTCTTTGTGATATCCAGTATTTTCCGGCTCTATATCATCAATACAGCCCTCAAAAAGAGCTGTGGGAGGAGCTGAATATAGAGAAGTCACACGAGAGGGTCTCAGAATTACAACGGCCCGCAGTGACTAATTCAAACCGGAAAAGTCAGAGAAATCTCAGAGTTGTTGGAATCCTGAAGACAACCACATGATTGATTCTTGTCATGTTCGTTCCATGCCAAAGGACGATTCTTCATATTTCCATCACAATGGGTTCAAAGGTATCCCTTGGGGTTTTAATGAAAGGAGTGGAAGATGGTATCGATGTATGCTTTAAGAGTGAGTTTGATGATTGAAGGTCTGTGCAGAGTCAGGATCTTGACTTTACCCCGTCTGATTTGTTGACTTGCCGAAAGTACATTTGCTGAATGAAATCATTCTTATTCGCTTATCAGGCTCATACTAAGAATACATTCTCTTAATTTCATATACCCTGGATCCGTCCGTGACCCAAATTTAATCATATTTCCGTGGTCGCTGTTTATCAGGATATGCGGGGAGAGGCGGTGCGATTCAGATACAGTCTAGTTAGCAAGAAATTAATTATCAGTTTGTTGTAAGTGAGTGCTCGATATTGCGCTTCTTACCTGAGTCCATGTGTCGTGGTGCTCTTTCTGATCAAGACACTCATAGACAAAGATAGTAATAAATCTGTCCGCAATGGCTGCGTACGATTCCAAAACTGACACTATCCATCGTGCTTCTTTCAAATCTGCTGGTTCATCTTGACCAGATTCCCCGAGGGAAGAAAGGTAAGCTCTCAGTCCGTTGAGCCTCGAGTCCAGCTCGGGCGTCCCAATGAAAATAACTCCACGCGTCGCAAGGCATACACTATGTCGATCGTCGATCGACGTACTTTCGCTCTTTTTTCGCTCTATATCAGAGTATAGTAGCGCCTGCCAGTTATGTCAGTTACAGTACTGAAATTCACCGTCCTGGATTCCATTCGAAAGATCATTCTTACGCTTTTGACCACTGTTCCGCCTTGACTATGTGCGATGAAGATGATAGGCAGAGCATGTGTCTAACTGAAACATTCAGCATGTCACTAATTACAAGTCCCGTTGAGACTCAAAACATACGGCAGTATCCTCTCTCATTCTCTGAACATCATGCACCAAGTTCTTCGAGGCATGCTGAAAAACCGATGTCTGGGGGGCCGTGTTGTTGCTGGGCGTGTCATATCCCCACGTGTGGACCCTTGCATGCGGTATATCGGTCGGTAGAAGGCTCTGAAGCCAATTGGTAGTATTGGAAGCAGTCCAAGATCTCTCGCGGTGTCCGTTCAAGCCGTGGACGGCGATAATGCTGTGGAGTCGTGTCAGTCAGACCAATGTCCAGATCCACTGCGAGGGCGTTGTGTTACTCCATCTGAGCGTCGGGTGCATCATAAAGCAGCTTTAGGCCATTTTGTTCTTCTATATTCCGAAAGTTCTATATTCAGTTAGTCTCTGACGGTGCCCGAACGTACTGCGGTGCGAAAGACGCCTGCAGCGTTATGGAACTCACATCAGCTTTGGTTGGCTTGTCTTTCTTGTGTTTGGAAAGCCAGGGCCATTTTCGAGTCAATAATCGTGCCTTCATATCGATATGATGTATATCAGGAGACTTTCAAAAGCAAAGTCATCTATCTAGGGCTGGACGACTTTGTTGTTGGGGTGTTAATGTGGACCCGCCTTCGTTTCATTTGAGCCCCCAAATGGGCGGACCTAAGGTAGACACTTGTTTTACATGGTGCCCACCTAGGTAGCAGATCCAGGTCTCCGCACTGCCACCGTTACATAATCACTGGAAACGCTTTTGCAGATCTTCAGATTAGCAGTCATTTGATTGTTTTCGTTACTCCGTATTTAATCTATTTAATCAATCGGCCAATTTGTACGCAACATTCTGAATTTACACACCTGTACGAGTGAAATTGTACAATGAAAGCGACGATAAGATAAGCCCATTGCTCCCCTCATCACGTGCGACGCATCCATCCAAAATTTTGGGGACTCGACTACTCGACTTCATTCCCAAAGCTTGAGAACCTCTCTCATTATACCTTCTTTCATACTGCCCTTCGGCATTTCTCATACAATTCTTCTTGTTGATCAATACTCAATTTATTATTGAGCCACTGCTCCATTCCCGAGCCCTGAACCAGACCCTTCTTGTCGAGCTCCTCTAGACATACACGGTCATACTTGACAAGATCATATATCATGTCATCACAAATAGAGGACGTGGGCAATGCAGCCCCAGAATCCTCTGTCCCGGCAGACTCTAAGATCAACCACCAAGCCTCCATCAACTACTGGAGCAGTCTACCAAGTACCAACAGTAACATGCTAGGCATGCTCGGCACATACCCATGGTACACACGAATCGAACTACAAGGATCGAAAAACTTCCTGACAAAAGTCCGGCGACTACTCCCCGCACTCCCAGCAAACGGCAAATTCAGCCTCGGCGTCGACTGTGGTGCCGGCGTCGGACGCGTGACAGAGGGGTTTCTCAGCCACGTCTGCGAAGTCGTGGACGCGGTCGAGCCCGTTTCAAAGTTCACGCAAGTCTTGTCAGAAAGCAAGATGAAAAATGATGGTGTGGTGGGCGATATTTATACCGTTGGCCTAGAGAATTGGGTTCCGGAGAAAAAATATGATTTGATCTGGACGCAGTGGTGTGTGGGTCATCTCACTGATGCGCAGTTGATTGAGTATATTGCAAGGTGCCGTACATCGCTTACGGAGAATGGGCTTGTTGTTCTCAAGGAGAACTTGTCGACGGATTTGCAGGGGCTGGATATGTTTGATGAGTTGGATAGTAGCGTTACCCGGACGGATGCGAAGTTCAAGATGATCTTTGAGGCTGCTGGGATGGATGTTATAAAGTCGGAGATTCAGACTGGGTTTCCTAAGCAGTTCAAGCTTCTGCCGGTCAAGTCTTATGCTCTTCGGCCAAAGACTTGAATATGATCCCTGGAATGGCAATGTTGCCCTTCATCTCGCCGACGCAATTTTTGTCATTTGCTCCTACCTCAAGTGTCTTCAGCGTACCCGAAGGTTCACTTACAGCTTTACTCTGGGTTCTTCGGCAACCAGGAGGTACCACGGAAGGTTCAAAACTATGCCTTAAGGATCATAGCTGGTTCTATGTATACAAAACCTCCAACAATATTCATCCGTATTTAATGTGACATCTTGCCCAGACAGCAGACGAAGCAAGGCTACATGCAAAAACTCCAAGGTTCGCGAAATATATGCGGTTGAGAAGCTACATCCATCAGGGGTCCCTTCCCTTTGCTTCTGGGAAAATAAACAGATGCCAGAGACGAACCAACTTCCATCCGTCGACTACGCTGAAAAGATATCATCGAAAGCAACATATGTACGATTCATTCCATTTCTCCAGTAAACAAGACAATCCTCATTATGAATAAACTGCGCTCCAGGGGGTGTAAACTCGTTCATCATCCTATGTCTCACAAAACCAATTGTTTTTCTTGGTTTTCAACTGCGAAACAAAACTCTCGCTTCTAAGACGGGGGAAGGAAAAAAAACAACTTATAAAAACTCCCTTTACACCTCCATGCGCATACCATAGTTACAGTGGTCGGAGAGAAGCACGATCATGCCTCGCCCTCGCCGCGACGTAGCGCCAGTAATGCCCGTACATCGGTGACGTACTGCAGTGCCTCGAACATGGGAATTAGATGTAGAAGGCCGTTATCCGTGGGGTCGTTGATCCAGCCCTCGATAGGAACGGCATTATCTTTTAAGGTTGTTAGAAGACGCCATGTCATGGGGACAGACGGAGCAAATGACTTACCCTCGTGGAAGATATAGCTCATCGGGCTGTTGTCCAAAATCATCACCTTGCTCAGGTCCGGCTCCACAGAGCTGAGGTCTTTGATGTACGCGCCTTGGCGGAATGTGCAGTGCTGCCGGTAGTAGCGTGCCTGGAAGTACTTGCGCTCCTGCTCGAGCCAGTCGATGACTGGATCAGCATACTCCTGGACACTGGCCGTGAAGATGACCAGCTTGTACCACTTGGAAATCTTGCGCAGGAATTCGTCGCAATGTGGTCGCTTGTGAACATAGTACAGGATCGGGTGCTGGGGTCCGAGTGTTGTCTGCGGTCCACCCGGTGTCAATGCTGTTGTCATTGGCATCGAGAGCTTGACCTCGACCATATGACCACTGGACATTCGTCCGCCTTTAGCGAGTGAGTGGATCAGCGTCTCGTCGAGGTCTAGTACCAGGGTCTTCTGCGGAAGTCTGGCATTGCGTGGGGCAGCTGTGTAGGAAGGCAGTCGCGGGGGTAGGAGAGGCCGCGGCGGATCAGGAGAGGTGTGTGGGTATTTAGTGATGCGATGAACAGATGAAGAAGTGGGAGACTTGAGACTATCGGCGCCCTGGACACGGGTCACACCCTGGGGCATTGGATGGCCCAGATCGGCGCTTTGGGTCCTGCGCTGCCTCTGACGCTTGGAGACTTCTTCGTTATGTAGCTTGATCCGTATAGACCGGCGCGGTGTATTGTCGTCCGCGTTGGCGTCGGGGAAGGGCTCGGGTTCAGCGCTTGGGGTTCGACTATGCCGGTCCTTTGTACTGGCGAGACCTTCGATATGTCGTTTATCCGTATCTGATTCTGAAGTTGTTGATATGATCGAGTCTCGAGAGGTTTGGGGTTTCAGCTTGCGAGTGGAGCCACTTCGCCGTCGACCTTCTACCCGAGAGGCCCCTTTATCCGATCGGTTCCTCGAGTCGGCAGCTGGTCGCCGCCAGACTTTCCTGACGGGAGCCAGAAGAGAATAGTGTCCGTCGTCGTTTTGGAAGCATTGAGCCACGTAGATACCGGGAGCCGCTAGCGTGGAGAGGATAAAGTGTATCGTTTCCGTGATCGCATCAAAGATCCGATGGGTGATCAGTCGCCACGTAGTACTTCTAGTTATGACTGTACCATCCTTCTGAATTCCATGCAGTAAAGTTGTCTTCTCGTTGAGGGAGTCTGGGGAGTTCGTGTCATCGTCTCCGTCTCCGTCTCCGTCTCCGTCGACTGATGCGGTCCCGTCGTAGCCCTTCTCAGAGGCGACACTCGAGCGAAAGTTATCGGTGCTGTACGACCGGAGCTTGCCGAAATCACCAGGCGGGCTCGCGCGCCTATTGTCGCCTTGGGATTGCGATCGCGGACGCGTTGAGCTGGAAGACTGGCCGATGACTCGCGAGGACAGGATGTTCAGCGAGTTCATCTTCCCACGAGGCCCACGGGAGACAGGGGGCGCAGAAGATCTAGAGAGATGATCGTGAGCTCGTCGTCACCACTTGCGGGGGTCCATGAGTGAGTCGCAGGGAGTCTCAAGGGGAGGGGGGCATCGCAAGGAGGCAGGAGGTAGGGTAAGCTGGGGTGCGAGTCGACCGACCTCGATGCGCCAGTCACCCGTGCCTCGGAACTACTTCCGCAACTCCAGTCCGAATTCTACCGCGGGTGAGGGGCGACTGCAGCAGATCCCCAAGCAAAGACAGGCGAAACAGCAATCTGGAAAATCGGCAATCCAAACGGGCGACGAGGACGAGAAGTTGCGAAGTGTGGGGAAGCGGACAAAGAACCAACGGCAGAAAATCGGTTTCTTTGCCCACTTTGGCTCGCCGACCTCGACTTCGCATTGTTGCGCAGACAAAGGTGAGTCCCCAATTCCAGCGACAGAAAGACAGACAGATAAGGAGAAAGCACTTGTTGCTGGTCCTCTGCACTCGCCTACTTCGCACTTTCACCCCTTCACGAACCGCGCTCACATTTCATCCAGACTCTACAACCTCATCCCACATGCCGTCGACGTCGCCGGCCCTGACGCCGGGCCTGTCGTCTTTTTTGAAGTCCCTCAAGGCCAACCCGATTGACACTTCGATCGAGAACCTAATATCGTATGTCCTTTGGACCAGCTCTGCTCGTTGCGCCTTTCTCGAACCCCTCCATGCTAATATGACTCACGGTCAGACTGCTCAAGCGCCGCCAGATCTGCCATTCTCGATCATGCGCCACTGCAACCGCCTATCTCCTCCGCAGTGTGGTCTCCCTATGCCGTACATCAGAGTCCGTGAGGCTCATTGAGCGGGTGCAGAGCGTGGGCCGCCGTCTGGTGGCCGCGCAGCCGCGCGAGATGGTGGTGGGAAACATTGTGCGACGAGTCCTCGGCCTTATTCGCGATGAAGCTGAGGACGACCGCGAGGCCGAGTTCGCACTCAGTGAATCTGAGAGCCAGCCCCAGACCCCGCGGGCCTTCGATGGTGCGTTTCAGCTGCCAGAGCTGCTGCCACAACTTGTTCTTTTCTCATAAACTAACCCAGTCTGAATAGATGCATCCCTGCCCTTGGACCGCGATTCGCCTCTCCTGGGCTCCGAGCGCTCGTCTCGTCCTCCTCTCACTTCCATGTTCAGCCTTCTTTCTCACCCCGAACCCGAAAATTCCCTGCCGAGCACACCGGGCTCTCAGTCACCGAATGGTCATCTGAATGGCCCCTCGAAAGACCTCCGCGCTGAGGTGCTGGAGGGTATCAACGAGATTATCGATGAGCTGGGCCAGGTCGACGAGCAAATCTCTAACTACGCGCTGGAGCACATCCACTCCAACGAGATCATCCTCACTCACACCTCGTCCACGACCGTGCAAAAGTTCCTGCTGCGAGCTGCGACCAAGCGCAAGTTCACTGTCATTCATGCCGAGTCATATCCCAACAACCACGAGGTCACACATGCCACTGTCAGTGGCAACCGATCCAGTGACGACGAGAACCTCAGCTTCGAGTCCTTCCAGAAACCGTTGATCGCCCTCGGCATCACTGTCATTCTCATCCCCGACTCCGCCGTCTTTGCCCTCATGTCCCGTGTCAACAAGGTCATTCTGGGCACGCACTCCGTTCTCGCGAACGGTGGTCTTATTGCTGCAGCCGGTACCCGCGTCATTGCCCGTGCTGCCAAGGTTCACCAGACTCCTGTCGTTGTTGTTAGCGGTGTCTACAAGCTTAGCCCTGTTTATCCGTTCGACTTCGACTCGCTTATTGAATACGGTGATGCCAGCAAGGTCCTTCCTTATGAAGATGGTGACCTGGTCGAGAAGATCGATGTTCAGAACCCGCTCTACGACTATGTTCCCGCGGAGCTGGTCGATCTCTACATCACCAACCTGTACGTCCTTACCATTTTCACTCCTCTTTTTTCTTTCCGTTACTAACTCGACTCTACAGAGGCGGTCATGCCCCATCATATCTCTACAGGATTGTGTCTGACCATTACCGGAAGGAGGACATCAGCTTCTAGGCGGAGACTGGGGGGATCCACTAACCAGTAATGGGACAAAGCACATTATATGAGCGTCAATGTGGAACGATATCCGAGGAATGATATGCGACGATCGTAACGTGGGAGTCTTTATTGTTGGTTTCTCTATGCACAGCTGCGGAGAATCTATGGAGGAAAGGTCATTAGGGCAGCAATGATGAATCCATCTAGGGTTGTGCATTAAAGTAGATTTTCTATTATGCGATGTAGTTCAGATTCCTGTTATGACATGATCGCGGGAAGATAATCTCATCTTAGTAGTGTACTAATATGAAGTCTCGAGATATTTGCGCATTCGTTTTGATTCACAGTCAAATTTCTTGAATTTTGTATCAAACTGCACAATATTGTGGTGCTTGAGTGTATATATAATGTATGCACCGCGGTGCTTATGAAGTGCCAGAACACTACAATTGATGCACTTTGTACCTGGGGTATATACCGAGGTCTGAGATATATATCCTGGACCACCATTGAAGACATCATGTGATCCTTTGACAACACCATATCATCGCGCTTTGATCTAATGTCCACACACATTGCTGATTGTTTTAAACCACACGCTTAATGCATATATCACGTCCTTTAGGGCTCGAAGATTACACTGTATAATTGTGTACATTATGTTGTACTCAATGTGAATCACATCACGCTTGAGCTCATTCCACGTGGAGACTAATTAGAGCACTAAGATGAACCCACTCTTGAAACAATATGTAGCACCCATACAAAAGGGCTAATTCCTGGAAGCATACGCCTTCAAACCAGCATATGATAGATTGACTGCTGCTATTACGTTGGGATATACAGGATACAACCCCCAGGCATACCCCTCCTCAGCTCAGCCGAGTGGTACGATCATGATAGATAATTGGAAAGTCGTAGCGCCAAGTTTTTGGAATTGTATCAAATCGTGGTTAATTCACATCAAACCAGACCAAAGCCCGCCAAGGGTGGGTTTTATTCCCAAAAGAACTCATGAAATCCAGGCGCTGACATGGCGGGCTTTTCTGTCCGGCACCGATCCAACTGCCATCACCAACACCCCTGCATTTTGATTTTGCAATTGCACTCCCTTAGGAGCGGGGCTTCTCCTTCTTCTCCTTCCACAGAGCGAGCAGACCGACACCGGAAACCTTGACGACCTTGAAACGGACACCGGGAATATCACCCTTGGCCTTGCCCTTACGACCGAAACCGGCCAGGAGAACCTCGTCGTTCTCGTCGATGAAGTTCAGACAACCGTCGTTGGGGACTGGAGGAAATATATGTTAGGGCGTTGCTAAGTTTTTAAAGGTGCTGTGCCGTGCCGTATGCCGTATATCTCCCGATGAGTTGGACTCGTAGAGATTCGACGTGCGACACGGTCGTAGTGGTTCATGGGAAGAACGTACCGAAAGCAGCGACCTTCTTGCCGTTCTTGATAAGCTGGACCTTGACACACTTGCGAATGGCGGAGTTGGGCTGCTTGGCCTCAACACCGACCTTCTCAAGGACGATACCCTTGGCGTGGGAAGCACCACCGAAGGGGGAGGACTTGTAGGCGGTACCGAGAAGGCGCTTCTTGAAGTGCAGGTCGGCCCAACGCTGCTCCTTGCGGTTGGCCTGGAGCTTGCGAGCGGCGTTAAGACCACGAGGCTTTCCCTTACCCATGTTGGCGGATTATAACGGACGTCTAGACAGCAAACTGCGTTAGTCTTGATTTTTTTAATTTTGTGATGTATGCGCTCGTAACAATCGACTGGAAATCGGTGGGTTTCGAGACTGGTGGTGGGTGGTTCGATGGTGGGAGCGCGATCTGGAATTTTTGTGCGTGCAGTCGGGATCGTTGGACGGTGGACGGTGCAGTCGAATTTCTCCCAGGTACACACGCAAAAGAAATTCCAGAGGCTTTCTCCGACCACGTAGAGGGTTGGTCGAGTACGTACCGACTGAAAATGGGTGTTGTCGCCGAAGGGGCTTTGGTCGATGGGTGTCGAAAAGTCGAAGGGTTCGGTTGGTCCTTGAACGCCGGCGCACTCGCTTGCTTGGGACACTTTCTCCCGTGACTTTGTGCGCTTGCCCTAAGCGAGTCACGGGACCGTCGGAGCCCCCACCCGGTCCGCTTATGTCATCTAGACTGATAAGTCGCCGATAAGGACTTGTTGTTATCGGGCGGGCTTGGCATTTGGCAGCCGACGTTAGTCTGGAGCTTCTCAAGGTTCATACAATTGTTCTGGGATCTTTAATCAATCTTGGGAAATTTGGGAGGTAACACCGACAAGCACCGATGGAGCCACTTTCGAGGAAGCCAACCAACTCGCAGCGGCTACCGCCACCAGCTCTATTCCAGGGCCCTCCATCCCATAATGCTTCCAACGTCTCTCTTTCCATCCCACCAGCCAACCCTGCACTTGCGACACCCTCTGGTAACCAACCTCCACCGCTGCATCGCAGCCGATCACCCGGTGATAGAGAAGGCGGAAACCGCGGTTTACTCTCCCCGTTCATTACCCGACGGCCATCCAAAAACGATGTCGACAGATCTGACGCCATCTGGCAAGAGATGCAAAGCGCCTTGTCCGAGGTAGAGCTGAGCGCTGTAACAAGCGAGCACGTCTTCGGCGAGAAGCACGCCGAGGCTCTGAAGGACTTGCGCACAAAACAATTGAATCTCGCTCAAGCCTGGGCGCGCAGCGAGGCAGATGACGAAGTTGTGGATTCTAGTCGCAATACTGCAGACGGGGAGAGTGTTCAGCGTCAAGGATCAGCTGAAGCTGCAACAAAGGAAGAGGCAGCAGAGCCTGTGCCTGGACGAGATCGTGTATCACATCGCACGTTGGATGAGGAAACGGAGAAGGATATTATTCTTGCGCGGAAGCGCCGCGATGCAAATGATCGGTACTTTGATCGGGTGAATCAGGGTGTGTTGGATGTGGTTGCGAAACTTGAAGAGGTCTCGCAGGCCATGCGCACGGTTGAGCGCGAGAGCAAGGATATCTGGAGTGATTCGGATAGCGTGATTAGTGCGCCGCCGTCTACGAGTGCTGGGTGATCTGCCGAAGCATCAGCCTTAAAATCGAACGCCCTTGGCGTCATCATCCATGGATGTGCTCGATAACGTGCTGGAGTAAGATCCATGCTCAATAGCATTTCCGTCTCCATCTCGACATCTGCAGCTTCTGGGCGAGGGGACAACGAAGCCTGTTTTACGCCACCAATCTGAGGGCCCCCCTCCTCCCCCCCGCGGGCCCCTTATATCGCCCTATCTCAACCTACCTTGCGATAGACACATTTGATGGCATTGGTTAGCACCAAATGTTCTGTCCATAATGCCGTTACGACTCGCGCTGGACGCCTCTACATGCAAACCTTGGCTGTATCATCACAGTCACACTAATTCCTATATATATCAGAATCAAGAGTGTAGCAAGAAACATCATCACATATGCATTCAGAGAATAACTATAATACAACGCCTGGGTATCAAAACTCCACTGGTGAACCCGCAAACAAGCCCATAATATACATAACAAGAAAGATCTCCAGTCCGAAGCAGGGTCGAGCCCCAACATCACAATGTGACTTGGATATTCAGGAGCAGTCTCAGAACTACTCCTTCTTCACGTACTGCGAAACCCTCTTCCACGCCTCAACCGAGGCATCTCGCACATCCTCCCACGTACTCTCTTGTGCCTTGCGAGCCAGCTTCTGAACCTCCGTGTTCCACCGGTGCTTGAGAACTCCCTTAATGGTGACAGGTTCATCCTGGTGCGTCAGCCGCTCCGAGAGTGGACGTCGAGTTTCCTCGGGCAAATTGCGACGGTCGTAGGCGCCAAGAGAGGAGGTGAGCCAGTTGATTTGGTCCACTTGGTCGCGGATCTGCCGTCGCTGTTCGAGGCGGTTGGTGCGGTGGATTGTGATGGTGATGTAGAGGGCTGAAGTAGTGAGGGCGAAGCCACTCATCTGTTTCACCAGGAAGGTTAGACTTTTGGCCCTGGGGTGAGGCGTGTTTTTGCTGGATGGAGACGTACAAAGCCCGTGAAGAAGCCCATTGAGGTGGTTGGCGGTGTTTGGACTCGGATGGATCGGGAACAGAGGCAGTCGATGAACCACCGTAGTGCTCGGGTTGTAAAAGTAGCCCTGCGCAATTCACAGACTCACAAGTCCGCTCGAATCCCGCGTGGCCGCGATGTTGCAAGATCGAAAGGCCCTCGCGGGTGAAGGCGGGCGAAGGCGGTGGCAGCTCTCCGATTGGCCGGCCGGCTCACTCGAATCTTTTGAACTTCGCGTTGACGAAGTCCATCCTTGCGATCCTCCCGTCCTGCTCGCTTCTATCGGGGACTGACCATCGCTTGGTGTTTTTATCTGACCTGTCGACCCGCTCAATTCATTTGTCTTTTTTCCCGCCTTCCACCTCCTTCTCACCATGGCCGGCGGCGGAGGAAAATACCGGCACCTGGGCCGCAAGTCCTCGCATCGCCAGGCACTGCTGCGCAACCTGGTTACCTCGCTCTTCGAGAACGAATCGATCACCACAACATGGCACAAGGCTAAAGAGGCTCAGCGGTTGGCCGATAAGTTGATTACCCTGGGCAAGAAGAACTCCGAAGCCAGTCGGAGACGGGCTCTGGAGATTTTCTATGTACGTCCATAATTCTCTGGGGCATCCATTTGATACATTCTGCAATTGGGCGAATCTTCTTTTGTCGGATGTATCTCTTTGGCCTCTCAAATGCCCCAACGCCCCTATTAGAGCGTCACGACTAACAGCTGATCCTGACAGAAACCACACTCCATCATCCCCAAACTTTTCGGTCCCCTCCGCGAACGCTACGCCGACCGACCCGGCGGCTACACCCGCGTGCTGCGCATCGAGCCCAAGCAAAAATATGAATACTACTCCGCACCAAAGGGCGACAAGAACGCCGTCCCCGAACGCAAGCCGCACGACCAGGCCCCCTCCGCCATCCTGGAACTGGTCGATGGACCCAAGGACATGCGCTTCGCCATGACAGCGCGCACTGTTGCGCGTCAACGAGAGTTCCTCGGTAACGGCCTGAACGAGCTGACTGAGCTCAACGTGCGAAAGGTGACCCGGTTCCGAAAGGGCGGTCTTGAAGCCCTGGAGGAGGCGGTCCGCAACCTTAAGATTGGCAAGGATGAGGGTGTCAAAGAAGCGCTCACGGACTCCGAGGCTAAGGCTGCTGAGGAGGAGGCCTCTCAGAGTGTGGAGGAGGAGGCTAAGAGGTCTGAGGAGCAGGCGGCTCGTCTGACGAAGAGGCTGGAGGCTTTGAAGCGGTAAATGTCAGCTGCTGAACGCATGGTATTGCACTAGCTACCTATCCATGAATGGAAAGATACTACGGCTATAATGCTGCATGTATGCGGTCTTCGCTCGTCCTGGTTGTCTGGTTGGTGGATGCCTGGCTGTCAATTTCTATATATTCTTACCCTGTTTTCATAGGAGTTTTTGCTGTTTTCTTTCGCATCTTGTTCTGTTGCGTCTGCGCTCATGTGACATAGCCTGTGTACAGTATAAAGTATTCGATACCTTTTTCCCGGGATTGGTCGTTACCTTCAATTGTATATTTTTTTGGTGCTTGGGCAAACATGGGAACTATGCAGAGTATATAATGGTATGAAACCACTATATATCACATGTGGTATGACGATCCTCCGCCATGGCCACTCACATACACTTGTGACGCGTGATTAGTTTGTTTTCCCACGAGGGTCACTTCTTAAGTGTTCACCGAATCAGTGTCAACATTACCCATGAGCGATTTCCAAAGTTACGAGAGGTTACTCGGCAAATGAACCCCTTCCAAACACGAGAACGTCAATCTACTAAAGCTTCCCTAGCGCTACTGTCTTACCTTGTAATTTTTGAGGTGCTACGATACCAGTCATAGACAACAGTTTGAAATTCCGTCCAAGGTATTGATATGACATCAAACATTGAGTATGCATTCATGGCCGGCGATACACTCCAGACGCCGCTCACCATAACTAATCCTAACTGTACAAGCCATCGAGTCGACACGCAACACGAATACATGCCTACTCCGGAACACTGGTCGAAGGCCCGTACCATACACCGCCATGCTGAGAAAAATGCTGGGTGGGACACGGATTAGAAAAAGATTTCATGAGTGGATGGATATGTCTCAATTGGCCTTCGAAGGGGCGCCTCCACCAGTGACGACCAGGGGCCCGTTTCTGGCCCCAGCGATGCCACTGGGTTGGTAGGGTGATCCATTTGGACCACTCAGGTCAAATTTGGAGGGCACTTTGGAGGGTGGTGGTTTCGGGGGAAGATGGGATGGTGTGCCCCATTTGGCGATTGAATCGCGAGAGCTCACGCTTACTCTGCGGGTTGAACTGATTGGCGAGTGCTCTTGCCCTCGCATTTGGATTGGCTCTGGGTAACCGGTCCATTGGGGTTGGTTTTGGAAGTTTGGTTGCACATTGCCGTAGGGCATGGGCTGAGTACCTCGGCTTGGGTGCCGCGATAAGGGTGCACCGCCTGGAATGAAGGCCCGTGTCTGGGGGTTGAAGTGGGACCTGCCGTAGCCTACTGGCATCCCCGGTCCGCCGGCGCCATTTTGAAAGGCTGGGTTGAAATGCTGCCCTGGGAACTGAGCGTAGGTATTGGCTGCCATGTTGGGTGGCATTGACTGTTGCTGAGGATAATTTGGCCAATGAACAGGGGGCTGATTACGCTGTTGCGGAGATTGATGGTAGTTCCCGGTGTATGGAGCAGGATTCCAGCTGGCAGGTTGCGGGTACTGCGGAGGATGGGGCATTGCATAGTTGTTCGTTGCCGGCGAAGAATTGTTCTGGGACTGTTGGTTCATCATTCCGGGGGGATTCATCGATGCATATCCAGAATACGGCGATTGCTGCGGCATAGTTCCCCCCGCCCACGAGCCATTACTAGGCATCTGTGATGATACAGCCATTGGATACTGCGGCACGCTGTTCATGTTCATCTGCCCTGGGTGCATGCTGTTGTTCGGGCCGGGTGCCACGTACGCGCCAGAAGGAGGCTGTACACCCGGTCCAACCAGATAAGGAACGGCTTGGTTGGCAGAATACCCGTCACCCATGGTGCCATTGTATGGAATTGATCCGTTGGGGTACTGGGTACTCGGATAATAAGCATTGAACTGCGAACGAGCCTCGAAGCCATCGTCTTGAGGATTCCGATTCCTGTTGTTCTTCTTGCGCCCAGTTGTGGAGCTAGATCGTGACATATTGGGGTTCGAATCACCAGCGTCGGACTTGGCACCCTCAGGGAAATCACGGAAAATTCGTGCGCGAGCTTCTTCGTATTTGGCTTCTCGCTCCTTCAAAGTCGGTCGATCCTTTGCGCTCGTAGTAGAACCGGCACGGTCGTCTCCCTGGCCACTGTCACCTGCTTCTGATGTTGCCTTCGATGGCGCGGACGAGCTGGCTGCAACACTGCCCTCAGTGGAAGGGCGGTCTCCATCTGTTCGGCGCATGATCTTCATAGCTGGAACCACTGGGGGTTGGGTGTCATTGTTGGCGGCGTGGATGGCAGAGATGGGGGTAGGCCTAAGAAGAGTTAGCACTGTTTGGATTGATGAAGCAGCCATGAGCTCACAGTCTGCAAAACGGTGTTCGATGAAGCCGAACGGACGTCACATTATTGTCCACAAAGTGCGTCAGATGATAATAGTCCCCAAGTTTATGAGCAAGAAGGCGACCGAATGCATGTGTAGGAGGCAGCTCCAAAGATTGTTCGCTAGATGAATCTCGTTAGCCTCGAGGCAACAGACAACGTTTACCCATTATGATCACTTACTTGGATTCCTTGATGAACACGCGGATTTTCTCCTCCAGTTGAAGCGTTAAAAGTCGGTCCCTGGGATTCCTCATGGCCTCCAACAGTTTCTCATCAGGCTCCAAGGGAAAGCCATGCAGGCTCGAGCCATCCGCCAGCACCCCCGGGGAAGCAGGGACGACGAAATTATTCGCAACAGAGTCTGGAGGAATCCCTACCGCACCTCTCTGACCACCGTTATTGAAAAGAGGACCAGGCGCCGCGAGAATGCCGCGGGGACGGATCACATTGCCATCGCGGTATTGATCTCTAAACCCACGTCCTCCGGCCTCGGATCCAGTTACCGAATTCGGGGCACCAGAGGCAGGCCCCGAGAGTGATTCGTCCTCGTCGTTCGCCTGTACACTAGCACTATCGTCGGGTCGGACCGAGTCCTTCTCGTCCATTGCAAAGGTAGTGACAGATGCCAGGCTCTTGGAATCGAAGTTCGTCATTTTCGTAGACGAATTCGAAAGGTGGGTGCGATCATCGTCGAATGAGTTCTCACGTTTCAACAAGCCACTGTCCTGTCCATCCAGCGAAGAGCCAGACCCTACCCGCTTTTTCTGTAGGGTGATGTCGATATCCTGGACTGCTCGGCCGAGATCATCAATGCTAGGCTCACTCGGCGTGCCCTCCTGGGTGATGATGTGTGTGTGGTGGGGATGGGGTAAAGAAGCATCGGCATGGTGATTTTGGGACTTCGCTGCGATTGCTGACTGAGGATCGTTGTTCACGTTGTAAGCCGGAGACGACTGAGACTCATGGAGATCGGCCATAGCGGCAATCTGATATGATGGTAAGGAATTCTGAGGCGGAGGTTGCGGTATGCTGTTCAGATGGGAGGAACGTACTGTCCCAAGAGTGAAATGCCCGTCTTCTGCGGTTAAGCTCTGGGGTGCTGCCATATCAGCTTACACCCGGCGGAATGTTGAGCTGACTGAAATATGGGGCAGAGAAGTCACAGAGAGAGAACCGAGACGTCGAATAACCGAGCAGGCAGCAGTTTCGATTCAGACGGAGCCTGGAGATTGAATGGAAAAGAGGTCGTTGGTGTATCCCGCTTCACACAAGGTCAAAAAGAAAGACATATCTCTGGTGAAGGTCCGGCGCCATAAGGAAAGCTGGTGTGAATCTGCGTTAACTCCAATGCCAAAGTAAGCGCTCCGCGTCGAGCAGAGGGTGACCGAGTGGCGCAGGCCTCTGCTGGAGCGCGATCTGGGGAAGAAGCGGGTCTTACACGATGTCAAAGCTGGCTCATGATCAGGGAGAGAGACCTCGAATTGAGATGGGAAGGAAAGTCCGGTTGGGGCCGGAAGGAAGACTGGACACACGCCGCGAGAGATACCGGTCACGATAACGCTCGAAACCGGTGTCGACGAGGCGCAAATGGATTCTGCGAGGGAAAGAGCGTTGGAAGTCGGAATTCTTATTCTTTCACGCCTAAAGGTTCGTGGGCCGTTTTGCCGCGCCTGACCGCCTTTACCGCGCGCCTAATTTCGCATGAGAACAGGCGCGGGGAGACAGTCCAGTCGACCTTTTTACTCCGACGATCCCTTACGCTCGATAACGCGGTTTCGGTGTGTGCGGTTCAGTCTCGGTGCTCAGGCTCCTGAGACTTTGGGAAATTCCAATTTCGGTGACCTCTTTGATCTCGACTGGAGGCCCGTTATGAATCGATATCGAAATGCTCCGGGCATGCGAGGCCCCAGTAAAGCCTCTGCGACGACGCAATGCCAAAAATGCTTGCAACGAGATAAGTTACCCCCCAGATTCATCTGATAAACTATATGCTGACATGCTCTGCACGGCACTACAGCTATGAATGCAAGAGCACCCCGCAAGAGCGCCCATACAAGCCGCGGCCGTCGCGGACTCAGCAGTTTTTGAATCCGCGACTGATGCCCAAGCTCTCAACGGAGAACCCCAATATTACACTTCAAACGTAAGACTATTACACTGCCGCTACGATCTCATGCGCGCTCCCAGCGTCAAACAGTAGACTAATTCGAATCACAGTGACGGCGTCGCAGACGGGATATTGGCGAAGCGGGAGGAAGAGCGCGGCCGCAACAGAGATTCCGATAGAGAAGATGGGCCAGGCGGCCACGGTTACTCGCCGAAAAGGGCACGGTCTGCATCGACAGACTCAGTTAATTCGATCTCAACTATTTCCACCAATCGATCCCGTTCACGTTCGCCTGATCGTCGAAGCAAGCGCGATGGAGGCGACGAAGGCCGACGGACTAGCTCGGTTTCCCGGTCTCCTTCCAGAACTCGCAAGAGAAGATACAGTGACTCTGCTGAAAGCTACGCTTCCTACTCATCTGGGGCGAGAAACCGTTCTCGATCCCGAGAATGGACAGAGGATCGAAACATTCGCCGACGACGCCGGGAGAGCAGCCCGGCGCAACGTGGAAGAAATCGTGATTCAGAGCGACCGAACTCTCGACGAGACCGACGCAGTACTAGTGTTGACAAGTCTCGCGTCGCCAAGGAACGCCGGTCAATGACTCCAGAAGGCGCGCGGGACCGCGATGCTCGACGCTCCTACCGAGTTCGAGACAGACCGCAAGGACGAAGCACACAAGACCCCAAGGCGCGGCTGGACCCGCCTCGTGAGCGAAGCTTGAGTCCCTTCAGCAAGCGCCTCGCCTTGACGCAGTCCATGAATATGGGACGCTAAAAAAGGCGAGTTACGACAATCGGTGTTATGAGGTTGGTCATTTGGGAAGGTTTTCAATCGGCGCAAAATTTGTTCATTCTGAACACATACTGCCTTTTTTCATGTTCTGGATTGGGACAACTGTATTAATAGCAATGGCATATCCTTAAATACCAATGCGCAAACCGTTTTCAACGCCGCTTTTGATGTTCGCAAAATGCTCAGACACCCCTAGCCATAACAATAACAGAAGAAACGGAGCTTAGATAGACATGAAAATGTAGAAAAGAAAGTACAGGAGGAGTCAACCTGTGCTCGTAGTCCTGCAATTTAGGGTATCACTTCAAATCGTATCATCTTGATCTTGCTCTTGTTCACGCAGATGAATTCCTTCCACCAGAGCTTCACCAGCAATGCCCGCTCCCTCCTCGTGACCGCCATTGGAGCCCGTATTCTTGCGTTGAGCATTCTCAATCCGCTGCCGGACCAGTCGAGCAATTGCATTGTCAGTCCGCACATCCAGAATCTTCTGCTTTTCCTCGAGGTCTCGTCGCAAATCCCAGTTGGGCTTCTTCGGTTGTAACTTGAACAGATCGATGGGCTGATCGACGCCTTCTTCGTCCTCTTGAGCTTGCTGCTTGGCAGATTCCGCGATTTCGGCCGCCTGCGTTTCCACGGTCACCTGGCCTTCTTGCGGGCCTACCTCGAATCCCAGCTTCGGGCCTCGAGTCTCGGCGTCGTAATTGCGACCGGAGAGGTAGGTTGTTGTCACATCCGGAGCGGTATCAGCATCAGCATCGGGCATAGTATTGTCTTCGGGTTGCTTGCGTTTCAGCGCCGCGAGCTTGGCAAGGCGGGCTTTGCGGTCGTTGGACGCCGCATCCAGCGAGGCGTGGTTTGACGACATGTCGATGGGAGATTGATCCGGCCTGGAGTCATTGTCAGGCGGGGAGTGAGAGCTAGAGGGAGAAGACATTATTTCTTACCTGAGTTAGATTGCGAGCCGGAAAAACAACCTTGAAAGAATCCCTAAGTCCTCCGCGACGTGAAAAAGTTAGGTTTGATTTGAAGGTGAGGGTGGACAATCAAATCGGCGGGCGATAAGACGGGGGTGCGCCACAATTTGACACTAGCCACGGCAAAATCGGGTCTCCGCTCGCCGCTCGGTCTCTCTTTTGAATAACCCGCGCGTTCGTTCCCTGGTGTTTTGCATGCGATCGCGGGCTCCTGAATGTCATTGTGTCCGCATCAGTACACCCGGTCCAGGCTTAGCGGGCTGTTGTCGACGCAATGCAGCAGCCCCGGCCGCTGGCACCGGAGTTTGTGCATACCCTGTCCAGGAAACGCAGCTAATGTGTCGACCTCCACTCCGTTCAACCACGATTCTGCCGCGAAAGAAGACCACCTTGCAAATGCGACAATAAAGCTCGACTCGATTGCCAACGGCGATTCGCCCGAGAATGAAATCTCCACGGGAGACCGACAATCGAGGTTGAGCGACGACCCTAGCCATCAAGATGAGACTCTTACGCGCAATTCCAACAGCGCTTCTCGCCAGACGAATTCACGCCCTCGAAGGAATTTCGCCCAGTCAATAAGCAAAACATTTGTCCGCAAGAGATTGAACGCACATGGTAACCCTCACAAGCTCACCCATCATATCACTCGCCGGCTTAATGCCGAACTTCGGACCAACAAGAGATACCTCAACGAGAGATCGCTGGGTCTTGCAATTGCCATTCGGGGAGATAACCTTTACTCACGAGAGCTGGGTCTCCGACAATGGAGGATTGCGTACAAAGAAGTTTATGTGTCCAAGCGTTATGGGCGAGAGATTACGAATAAGAGCTTGATACCAGCGTTAAAGGAAGATGGCACTGAGCTCTTGGAAAAGGCTCGCTCCGACTGCCGCGGCAGCTTTCGAGAGACATGGCATGCCCTGGACCGGCCCACGAAAGCCAGACACTGGCAGCGTTTGGCTTTCTGGATGATGCAACACGACCCCAAGGCTTTGCCAGACTTTTTGCTTGTCACAACGGAAGGCAATGACAAGCCACAATTTACCATTACTTTTGACTGCATTCGGTTCCTGGAAAATTTCTACTATGCAGACTGGTTGCAGGATTGGCGAAGTGGCACTCACACCTACCAGTCGCTAGTTGAATCTTGTCTTCCACCACGAGACTGGCCTATCGTTACCTTGGCGCAAAAGGGTGTTCGGCTGTACGTCCGGCGAGCGGGTCATCAAGCGGTCGTGTCAGCTTTTCGCATTGTAAGGGAGAGAACGAATCAGATGTGCGGAGAAACGGCACTATGCTTCATGTGGCGGTTTACGGAACTGGGAGAGATAGAGCTCGCTCTGAAAGCTCTCGAACTCACTCTACAGCTAAAAGATTTGAAAAAAGATTCGAAAGGAGTGATGCGTCATTGCTGCAAGCTTTTGACATTGGACACTGTCAAAGATGACAAAACCGGGCGCAACTTTCACATTCTCCCACGGCTGCTGAAGCTGGGCATCCAGCCAGACCGCGACATGATGAATGTGGTCCTCGCCAACGCATTCAAAACTGGCGACCCGCGGATCGGTAATGACATGCTGCAATACATGAAAGACCAAGAACACATCTTCGACTCATACACCTATCTCACCCTCCTCCAAGATGCTATTGCGCGCGGGGACAGGGGCCAAGCCGACTCCTTGATCCACGAAGTCGAGACGCAGGAAGACCTTCGCAAAAATCCCTTTCTTGCTAGCAAGATCTTCCATTCACACTACACCTTTTCCGTCAAGCATATGGATGCCGACGCCGACCCCTCAAGGGTCTTCTACAGCATGCTTGACATGTATAATCAACTCTACGACATCAGGCCTCTCAAGGAGCTCACCATTGTCCCTCCACACTACACACCCCGCGAAGGTTCTAAAATCCCACCTGGCCCGGTTGTTCTCTTCCTCATGATTGCCACCTTTTTCCGTTGTCAGAGAGGCCTACCAAGCGTTCAACGCATCTACAGCCGATTCCGCGAGTTTGCGCAGCAGGGACATCCCCTCATTGCCCCTCTGGCAGCAACCGACCACGTCTATAACGAATTCCTCATTGCCCTGCGTGGAGATGCCCGTGGATTGAGGTCATGTGTGCATCTCGTGGAAGATATGCTGAAGCCTTCCAGCTCAGAGGTGAATGGTCAGAAGATCGACCACGCCAAACCATCCATGCGTACTTGGTGTATCCTTCTCAGTGCCTTCCTTTGGAACGGACACCAGCAGGCGGCTACCAAGATTCGCCAAATGATGGACAAGCATAAAGTGAAGTACAATGGGGCGACCTGGAACGTCATCATCAATGGCTACGCCAATCAGCAGGATATCCCGCAGACAGCCAAGGCCATCAAGAAGATGGAAGAAGACGGTTTCGCCATCGACCCTTACACAATGAAAAGTCTACGCTACCTGCGTGACCCCGAGCGCCTCTGGGTAGCTATCGATGAGCTGGACCAGACCATCCCAGAAGCGACGCCTGCGCAGCCGACACAACAGCCCGAGTCTACTCCGAAGGTGGTCGGCAGTAGTGACGAGCAGCAGCAAGAAAGGCTACTTGATGAGGGTCTGGGGAAGTTGGGGACCAAGATGAAACCCAAACTGTGAGATTGGAGATCGGATACCCTTGTTTTTGGTTTTTCCCACTTTGTATCTATATTATTGCATACCATGGCCCCTCAGTTGGGGCCGGAGCAAGCGTTGGTGTTGCGATTTGTGTAAATTGGCTCTTGTGTACTGTACATTGAATCATGAAACTTCCATGCGCTTATTGTCATCGCTTTAATTGAACCGTTCCGTAACACCCCTGGTTTCATGCGAGCAATGGATCTGCCCTTTCTTGTATGTCGTAATAAAACACCGTTCGCGAGCTAAGATTCTCAGCCGCCGAAGAAGATCGAGCACTAGACAGCACAATCAGATGTTATTTACCATTCCTCCTAGTCGGCTTGCAATCAAACAAATTCCCAAACTTACCGCCATTAGAAAGCAGCAAATGCTGACATACGGACTCAGCCGTTCTCCCACGCGAGCGCATTTCCAGAAAATCCCAAATAGTCTGCGATACAATTGTGTCAGTCATATCGCAACTCGAGGCTCTTCTCCTGAGCTCCGTGAATGACAATGAGCTTACCCATTCTGGTTCCGGTCCATGATACCGGGCATTATCGAGTGCGCATAGGTGCTGGTACAGATAATCAATAGGATCACCAGAAGCAGTGACTGGAAGTTGAAGAGGGCGGACTGAGTGAATGCGATCGCGTTAGTGAATGTTGTCATGAACGTATGTAGTCGTGTGTCGCAGCGTAACCTCGACTTCAACGCCAGTTAAATCCTCGCTCTGCTGAGTTTTAACATACCATATTCGGCCACCGTCTTCGTTCATCAAAATGGATCCGAACCAGGAAGCGGAGAGTTACTTAGCTGCCCAGAGGGAAGAGGGCCATCGGTGGATGACCGAGGACTGGCTCAGCCGACCTGTTCTGCCTGTCTCGTCCGCCCAGAGCACCGCCCAGCGCACCGCCCAGCCTCGAGCTTCCGTTGCTCCTTGCGCGGGCCCGATTTCGACAGTCGCTTCGGAAGCGCCAACTCCTCGTCCCGTTCCCGCCGCGAGTCCGAAGCCTCCAGCTGCTGTTCCCGTCGCTGTTCCCGCGGGTCCTCGCTCTCCTGTCGTTGCGGTCGAGAAACCCAAGTCTGTCGCTTCGCCTGCAACTCTCTTCGTCGCCGGTCCGAGTCCCGTTGCTGCTCCGGCTGCATACTACTATCCAGTTCCCACGCCTATTGCTGTTCCAGCAGCATACTTTCCTGGTCCCCGCACTCATACTGCTGCCTCGGCAGTATATAATCCTCGTCCGACTTCTCCTGCTACTTCGGTAGCATATTACGATCGACTAGCGGCTCCCACTGCTACTGCAGCAGCGTCTTCTAGAGTCGCTGCTCCTCCAACACATAGTGTCGCCGGACCGACATTTCGTCAAGTTGCTGCTCCTGCAGCTGGTGAAGCTGCAATTCTTCCAGGTTATCAGATTGGAGCTTTGATCAAATACATCAATACTCCCACACCCCCCGTACCTGCTCCCGAGCCCGCTACCCCGTCTGTGCACACGCCTGCACCTGAATCCTGGCAGCGTATCCCCACCTCAACCGTCGATCCAAGTCTAGCTTCATATTTCCGCGAACATCCCCGCGAAGAAGCTCTTGTCCGGACAGGTGCCTATCGCCTCGGTTTCGTTCCTCCTAAGCCGCGTCCATCAGCCCTCAGAAAAGACCCCGAGGCCGCCGAAAATCCCAACGAGCAATCAACCAAGAACAAGAAGAAGAAAGTCGCCTTCAATAAACGGACCAATTTCAGGGAGTATTTTGATAAGAATCCTATCAGCAACGACCCTTTTAACACCTGGGACGAGGACGTCTATTCGGAACCCGAAAACAAGATGGCGGAACCACGTGCTCGTGTCGCAAGACACAAGGGACAGATGAACTTTCCCACTGAGCGTATGCCATGTCTTCAGTTATCTCTCACTTCTATAAAGAATTTTAGTCACTGACATATTTCCCAGTTCGTCTCCTTCTGCAAGCATACGGTGACCCAGCTCCCCACAGCTCTTTCCCGCAAGAGCCTCTCCCCGAAACAGTTCGTGTACTCGACGAGATTGTCACGGACTTCATCCTCGAATTGTGCCACGGGGCCGCACAAGTCGCACACCACGCCCGCCGACAGAAGATCAAGGTGGATGATTTCCGCTTTGCACTGCGCCGGGACCCGAACAAGCTTGGTCGTGTGCAGGAGTTGCTGCGCATGGAGCGTGAGCTGAAGGAGGCGCGGAAGGCATTTGATCAGAATGATGATCAGGTCGCCAAGGATGCTGGAAAGAAGGGCAAGGGCGCTGCTTCGGATGATGAGCCCACAGATGCTGGAAAGAAGAACAAGGGCAAAGGGAAGCGTGCCGCTCGACGAGAGTCTGATGCCACGGAAGAGTCAGTTCCTAAGAAGCGGAAGACCACCGGTTAATTCGTTCTGCTTTTTTTATTATTTTATTTTAACATATCTTACCGGCGCTAGAGGATCCGGAGACTCTTATGGTTACTTCAACTGGCGTTATGGATGGGAACTTACGAACACAGCATACCCATGGTTTTATATCTTTAACTTCATGTACCAATACAATATTCAATGCTTTATGATTTTGTCTTCTGGCCACGTCCCGTTGCGAGTTCTCTGAGCAAAGCAAGACATTTCAAGTATAGCTGAGCACCATCTACCGGAGGAATTGAGTCTAGAGCGCACGAAGTGCAACATCTGGACCGTTATAACAGCCTGAGCTCACTTTCCCTTTTCGTCTAAGTTGATGTAAGACTTTTAATTGGTGGCTGATCTAACATTGACAAACAAAAAAGCATCAGAAATACGAACAAGTTTCATATCCATGGCACTTGTCGAGGCTTCATCGACTGTATAATATTAGGAGTGGTGATATTAGGTGACTGTTCAGCTGACCGTTCAGGGAGACTTTTTGGCGACTGTTTTGATGACAAATTTCTATAATTCATGCATCAAGTTCGACCGAAAATGGAACGCGAGTTTTGGCCGCTATAACCCTGCGTACTCGGAAACCCCTCCTACTTTGATCCAATTTTGTTTTATACGCTCCTTTGCAAACATCCCATCTCAACAGTACAGGCGTCTATCGTTCCGGGTATGCCTGATCATGGCTTTATCCGATTGGTATGTTCTTCCTCAAACCCTTACTGGCGAGTGACTGGAGTGAATATGGAGTTGGCTCTACTCATTGCTGAGTCTCCTATCTAGGTGCCCCCTGCTAGTGTACGTATAGATCTGACCGTTGAAGGGGAGACTTGAGTGGAAAAATCAAGTACGGATCATAGGGTACCTTAAATTCATGTTATGTATTTATAAGTTATGTTAATTCCGCCAACAGAGGAAGCCGCCCGGCGAGGTATATTTCCCTGACGCATATCTAGCTCGGAATTGACGAGAGTTCCGCATTCATATGTTTACGCCAGGTTATACTCTTTGATCAGCTTCTCGGCGCAGGTGGCACCGGTGACATAAGCCACCGCCTGGACGTGAGCATTGACCAGAACGGGCACAACACCCATATCCGCAATGCGCAGGTTCTCAATGCCAACGACCTTGAAGTCAGGGTCGACAACAGCATCCTCGTCGCCCTTCTTGCCCATTTTCACGGTTCCAGTCATGTGCCAGCTCGACGAGATGTTCTGGCGCCAGTACTCAAGGAGCTCCTCATCGGATTCGCCCGCGGGCATCGCGAGCGCAGCCACGTTATCCTTAGTATACGCCTCGTGCTTGGCCACACGGAACGAGTCGCGCAAAGCCTCGATCGCAAGACGGCGGTCGAAGGGGTGAGCGAGGAACTTGGGGTTGAAAAGTAGCGGCGCGTCGGGGTCCGAAGATTGCAGAGTGACCTCTCCGCGAGTCTGCGCGTTAAACAGGAAGACCAGCAGGCAGGAGTAGTTCAGGGCTTCGACCGGGAAGTCCGGGATGAACCAGTGGACGGGGAAGTGCGTGATCACTTCATAGTGCGGTACGGTCTCCTGGAGGAGATAGCGCTGTTCATCTTCGGGGAGAGCCTTGAACTCGGGTGTCGAGGTCAGCTGCTCGGTCAGCTTGAACCAGCCGATGCCCAGTTCGCAGGCGAATTTGGCCCAGGGTCCGGTGCCGTCTTCTTGCCATTGCTTCTTGGCAGCGTCCATGGCTTCCTGGGAGCCATAGAAGTCTTTTCGATCTGTGCTGCTTGCGGTGCGGGTGCTCACCATCGGCACGAAGCAGTGGTCACGGAGACCCTGGCCGACGGCTGGGACATCTTGCACGACGTTAATGTTATGTTGCTGAAGCTGGGCCGCGGGTCCAATGCCGGAGTGCATCAAAATGCGAGGGTCGTTCAGCGAGCCAGCGGACAGGATGACTTCCTTGCTGGCATAGTCTGTGGATGAACTCGTCAGTATATCTGGACAACGAGCATGGGGATTCTGAGGAACTCACATTTATTTCCGTTGGCTTCAACCCCCACAGCCTTCTTGCCCTCCAGGAGCACACGTTGCACAGGCGAAGCAGTTGTGATGGTCAAGTTGTTCTGCTTGTCATTCTTGACCAGATCCTCTGCCGTTGACCGCAGCCCTTGGTAAGCCGAGTTGATCAACACGGACATACCAATGGGGTTACCAGAATTGTGATCCGGGTTCAAAGGGAACCCAGCCTTCTCAAAAACATCCAGCACATCAGTCAAGTCTCGCTCCCACTCGCGCGCAAAGCCGACATGCAATGGGCCAGCAGAGCCATGATCCTCAGCCTTGGGATCGGCATACTTCTTATCCATGCCTTGCGGAATCTCGCCGTGGAAAGTTTCCAGATCCTTCAGACGTCGCTGAATATCTTTCCAGGCGAACGAATCATCGTCCACAATCCGGGCCCATTCCTGGTAGTCGTCGCGCGCACCGACGCTGTACACGCCAAAGTTGATGGCGCTGGATCCGCCCATGCACCGGCCGCGACTGTAGTCGATTTCGCGGTTATTGCAATCGGCCTGCGGGGTCGTCTTGAAGCCCCAGTTCATGGACTGGTTCATGAAGGTCGTCCATCGCTGCCCGTCCACGCGCAGGTTTCGGTCTTCCTTATTGTCGCCCGCTTCCAATAGCAACACGCTTGGTTTGGCGGGGGAGTTGGCGAGTTGCGCGGCGAGTGTGCTACCCGCCGGACCACCTAGTGGCGCGTCAGCTTCTGAATGGGAATGGGGTATTGACTTTTTGGTTGGAGCCGTGCTGGACCCTCGAGGGGATTCCCCTTGTTTTTCTCATTTTCGAGAACGGGGCTGAAACCTTACAAAAAAGGCTATTACTCACTTCCGACAACAATAAATTCGTAAGTGGACATGGTTGAGAGAGGGATGAGAGGGAACACGAGCACTGTCAGTGGGCAGGGGTCGATCCGGCCTTTTACAGGATTCTAGAGCAGATATAAGGTTTGCTGTCGACCGTAAGGTACGGAAAACATCCCGAGCCTATTTGGCAGCTCCGCCTTTAAAGTACCGGAGTGAGTTTCCAACGGTATCTCGTCAAGCCCTAGTTTGATTAGGCTGCACCCCCTGAATGCAGGTCCCGCTGTCAGAATTGTCGGTCAGTTCGCTAAACGCAGTATCGTTGGCGCGATTCGGTAAAACACCCCCCACAGCGCCACGTTCAACAGATGACTCGGTGGCTCTTGGCGGGGCGGGATCCTCTCCACTGCCCCTGTTGAGGTGGATGAAGTGGAGTGACATGCGTCAAACTATGTAAATCTTGCCCATCACGGATCACCCAGACTTGCGTGCGACACGAGCTCGGCGAAAAGATCTTCATGCACAGCCTATCATTAAAATTAAATTGGACAAGCCTATTGTGTTAGGGTACCAGAGATTACCCAGCGAGCGGGCCGAGACGAATACAGTAAGCCTTGAAGATCCCATCCGACCGGGTGGAAGGATCTTTTAATTCCTTTCACTCCGTTGTGCGAGCTGGTCGACAGTGTCTCTCTCTGTTTGTGTTGTGCCCGACAAGTGCCGGGAAAGTCGCAACAATGGCGAGTAACGTTGAGGCTTGGGTCCTGTTGTCCTTGGCTCTGTTTACTATCATCGTGCGCATATTTGTACGATGGAAACTCGTCGGCCCGGCTCGTTTCCAGCTCGATGACTACCTGATGCCGCTGGCAGGTGTATGTGATTTTTTTTTCTCTGCATAAAAATCTATTGTAATGGCTAATTGATCGTTTCTACAGGTCTTCTTCATTCTGGAGACGGTGGCTGCCTACCTTGTCGTCGCCGAATTTCAAGGCTTGACCAACAGCTACATGTCCACCGAGGAGCGGGCAAAAGCTGATCCCCACTCCAAGGAGTGGTCTAACCGAGTTGCCGGCTCGAAGATCCAGATCATTGGATGGTCGTTTTATGTGGTTATCCTGTGGCTGGTCAAGTTCAGCTTGGCGGTTTTCTACTCTCGTTTGACGTGCGTTCACCTACAACCACAAAACAGATAGAAAGAGGGTTTGATCTAACATTTCTGCAGAACTGGTCTCCAGAATCTCCCCAACCGGGTCCGACTGGCCTACATCATTCTCGGCATTACATACATCGCGACCCAACTCTCTCTTTTGCTGTCATGCCAACCCTTCCATGCATTCTGGCAGATCAATCCTGACCCTGGCCGTGAGTGAACTCATCATACCGAGAGAAACATCTATCTGACTGTCATGCATACAGAATTGTGCCAGCCCACAAACTCCCCGGTATATGTCCTTGTTGTTGTGATCCTCAACATCATTACCGATGTCTATCTTTTGTCAATTCCACTGCCCCTGCTATGGAGAGTCAACATTAGTCTAAAGCGAAAGATTCCTCTCATGGCTCTTTTCTCTGGTGCTGCATTTGTTATTACTGCTTCGATCATTCGAGCAGCCACCATCATGAGCGTAAGTTACCAACAGCAACCGGAACCTACCTCAAATGGGCAAGTATATGATGACTAACAACGCAATACAGTCAGGACCCGACGGCGCTGCAGCCGGATCTAAATGGGCCTGCCGTGAGACCTTCGTCTCAATCGTCGTCTCCAACCTACCTATCATCCAACCCCTCATCCGCAAGGGCTTCAAGAAAATCGGTCTCTCCCAGCTTCTCAGTTCCTCAAATAAGACATCTGGACAGCAATCATACCCGCTGTCCAGCCGTCTGCAAAATCTGACAAACCGCGGCGACCGCGAAACAAAGAAGAGCAAAATGAATGCGGCCGGTCCGTCCCATTTGCAGACTTCTGCTTGGGGAAGTGACGAACATATCCTGACTGAGCCTGAGCCGAACTCGAAGGATATTACCGTTGTCTCGGAGACTGTTATTCAAAGTGAACAGTGGACTTTTGATGAGTCGGCTCAGGCTCATTCGACGACACCTCCGAAGGAGTGGAAGAGTTCTCTTTCGGAGCGGTAAAGGTTCTGGTTTCTCGCGGTGTACGATATTTCGTAGATTTGGTCTGTTGGTGTCTATGCTTTCTAATAGGGGTAGCTTTTACGCTCCACCTTGGCATAATGGACTGCCTTGGTAATAATGAAATTTTCTTTGTCTTTTTTCACTCCATTCTGAGTACCTGGCCTTCGTGTCAATCTATCACATATGCCAGTACCTACTTTTAACACCTCTGAGAGACCCTTGGTCGGCTTTTCAAATACTCTCAACCCAGGAGTAAGTTATGTTTGGAAAATTTGCGATTCTAGAGGACTTGGCATAGCCCTGGGGAGGGGATGCTAAATGTGATGTTCAGTGGACGAGATGCTGCCTGAGGCAGGAACTACTGACATCCCTAAGCCCATGAAGGCGAGCTGCATTTCCCCAAATACTGCCTCCTCCCGCCCGCCCACTGATGCTTGAGGAGATTCATGCAACCCCTCCCCGTCCTTTCGTCAAATGGGCTTCCAAATTTCAGGCGGCCGCACCTCGTGGCGTGCCTACCAATACGAGGTCAATCGCGGACTAAACCCGAAGGGCCCCTGCTGCTAACCACATCGGCTAACTGGCATACAGGCTAGCACCGGCTGGACGCACGTTCTCACTGAATCGACTAACCAACTCAAGAATAGCACCACTCGACAATTAAGGCCCAACAGGCGAAGGTGTCTCCGAGTCCCCCTTAAGCAGCTCTACGGGCCGGGCCGAAAGCTTATTAGCCAATGGAAGTTATGAAAAAGGCAAAAGGTCAACACGTTGTTGATTCACACCTCGGATTACGTGAATACCACCATGCTCATTATCTCTACAGTATCTCACGTCATCAATGCGTGGAAAAAGCTGGCGACCACAATGTTTGCTTTCTCCTGAATTACCCGTCGCGTCCTAGTATCGGCTACGATAATACCAAGCCACTCAAGCTCGATTCGATTCGATGCACGACATCTGCCAAGACGGAAATACCTATTCCAGATACAGAGTGGATGTAAGCTGATGCCTTTACAGCGAATCAGGCTAGGAACGAAGAAGGTCTGAGTTTGCGGCAGATTCTCCGGGCTGCATTGGCCCAATTATCTTCTTGTGATATCTGCTCCAGGTGCGTCAGTCGGCATCATTACTACGCGGCAAACCGTGTGACTAGACAAATTATGGATTACCTAGATCTTTCAGCGATTTGTCTAAGGAATCTCTTTAGGAGCTTCAGGAAACGGGGTAATGGATATCATTCCGATCGTCCCAGCAGCATTTTAATTCCGACAAATGCACCATTCAAGTTTTCTTTTCCGCAACAGAGTTTCTCCCATTAGCAAACCGATCGCGTTTTGGCATGTGAGCTGGAAACGCCCATACAGCCTCAGGCTCTCACGCTTATGCCTCCCACACATCTCCAACATGCGACTGCCGCTACAGTAGTTTTCGAAATCAGTTATACCTTGACACTCATGAGACACCTCTCTCGGAAAATGACTCCGAAGTGCGCTAGTCTACTTTAGGATACCGCCCTCTGATTATGGCAGAATACCATCTGTAATAGCAGTACCAAACTGTAACAATGAAACGAGTCATCGTTATAATACCGTAACGTCTCATGGAATCTCGTGGGATCGACTTGCAGTTCGGGCGATCTGGCATGATCGCTGGCCTGTTGCCTCCATTGCCACCTGTGAGATCACTCTCTCTCTCCGTATGTCGCAGACTTCCACTACGCTCACTAGTCATAATACGGAAGCTGTGCTTACGCTTACACTTATTCTGTGAAGCTAACCCGGGTAGGCAATTATTTTTCTCTGTTTCCAAGGCTTCCACTACTGTACCAATCGCGGCTTTCATTCGTCCCCAGCCCTGGCCAAGAATGGTTCTCCCAATAAGCTGACAGGTTGTTCCAAGGATTGTGATTGCTTATTCGAGAGAGACACGAGTCGAAACCATCGACTACTCATCTCAATCTATGGAGCCTGGAACTTGGGAACAGAACTCAGACTATGCACCAACCCCGGGGTACTTTGGCAGTCCTTATCCTGCACAATCTGTCGCCAGCCCTCCTCCCACTAGTTTGCTTGAAGACGGCTTTGAGCCTAGAAGCAAGCCTGCGGCATGCCATCTCAAATTCCTCCAGTTGTCCGAGTGGGAAGAGGGTAGAGTTTATGACGAGGAGCCGCCAAGCTGTATCCACTACCGCATAGAGTGGCGCGTGACAATCAACAATCGGGAGGTATCTCAAGACACGGAGGAAGATGTCGTCCTGGCTCCTAGCGCCTTTTGGCGCTGGTCATTAGAGAAAAACCTTGAGAAAGTGCTTCGACGAAAGACTCCACGCAACCGTCGGGTAACAGCTGACGACACAGTTATAACTGTATTGACAACTGATCGCATTAAGCGTAAATTGATCAAACGATTTGATGATACCGACATAACCTGGACAGCTATCGAGAAACAGCTTTTGATCTGGTCTGATCTACTGATACGAGGTAAAGAGCTCACACTGAAAATCAGTTTCAATTATGTAGATTGTAGATGACCGCCGCCCTTCCTCAGCTGCAGGCCGGAAAGGAGAAAAAAGAGGGAAATCTTCCGTTACGAGCAGGATGCTCGATGAATGTGATGCCAGGCTTGATGCGGAGGAAAATGCTTCTGGCGAGAAACCCAAATGGCGTAGCATCTATAATATGGTGCGATGCGATTCAGCAACATGCCCACAGGGGCCCCACTGCTGGGTGGACCCCAGGGGCAAAAAAACATTATCCGCTTAAGGCCCATCACATTAAGCGCCTGATCACCCATGTCGAGAAAGGTGGCCTATTGGAAAGCCACAAAGATGTCCCAGAAACCGTACGCGACGAACTATACAGAGAGGAGCAACAAAAGATGGATAAAGGCAAACGCAAGGAAGTCCAGTCCGCTGGGGCTGGGGCAGCGTATCCTCCCATTAGCATTCTCAACGTCCTGCCTTCCCAGCCTTCTGTCCATGGATTGGATGTTTCGACTCCCAGGCCGGCGGCTGATTTGACGGTTACCAGCCCACTTGAGATTCCTGGTCTCAGAGATGTAGCTGTGAAGGAGTATGGCGAATGGCAGGTATCAAATGTCGGCGATGACACTCTTAAAACCGCATTTCGACGTGTGTGTGACGTGATGCTCGAGCATGGTCTTGACCTCGAGCAGGTGTACAGAGATCAAGACCCAAATTTCTTCATCGAGAAGGGAATAAATTAGGCGTCGCCCGACGCTTTGTAGAGGACATTGGAAAGTGGGTTAAGAGAGTGAAGAGAGCCATGCCAGTCTATGAAACTGTGTAGACCAGGCGACGTTCGATTAAGCACCGAGAGGTTCTTCTTTCGTCATGGAGAATGTATTACGACCGCGCCCTTACATGTTTCAATTAGCTGCTTCTGATTTTTGTCACGTTTTATCATGACTTATTTTGCAAAATCATAACAGTTCCTTTGAATATTCATATCCGGTAAGATAGGCAAGCCAGTAGCCTACGCAGCTTTTTTTCATGTTTGACTCTTAGCCCAATCAGTCCGTTTTTCACAAACATCCCTTTCTTCGTCTTTCACGCGCTTGGGACTCAACTTGCAAAGGTAAGCAAGATATATCTTCACTTAAATGCACTGATGTGCTCCGCCTCATTGGCGTTGATCCTGACCTAAGGCGCCCAATTCTATAATACGACCACCTCCAGCCCGCTAATATCTTTGCCGAAAACAATCGTACCTCAGCCTCAGTGTCCCGCATCAAGCCTCACCCGGGTATTCTTTCAATTGGCATTTCCACCGGCGACACAACGAACGATGGCTTCAAACCTGGGCAAAGTCTGCTCCGGTGTTGCTCTCTGATCAAATTAACATTGTTGGACGAAATAACGTATAAATGGTGGAAGCTGCAAGCTGCGGCAATCGGATCATTATCAGGATCTGATAAGACCTATGACTAAAGATAGATCTGGCTATGTGGCTTCATCTAGACCGAATGTCCCGGCCTTCCTACGCAAAGCTCGGTCGATCACTGCACCGAGACTCGGAGACTCGAAACTTTATCACTGAAGAAGTCGGCGAACGTGAAACGGAGGTTGCGCTTACTTCCACACTATTGGCTCGCAGAAGTCTGTCCGGCTACAAAACTTATGATGTAGTCTCGTTCCCCAGCAGCACACCTTCCTTTCGCAAAATTGCATATACAATTGTGAGATGAAAGAATATATTAGGGATTGCCGTGCCATTAACGAATGCAGCTCCACTCATCGGCAAGATCCTGTCCGGGCCTAATACAGTGGCTTCCACCTCTTCGCCACGTTGGTTGACGATATCCTTATCGGCTTCACTCAGAGCCCTGATCGAATTCTCGAGGCGCTCATACAGTTGCGCATAGCATTCGAGGTTGTCATCGTATACCACAGGCTCCCGCCCGGACAACCTCGCAAGCATCTTCTCTGTGACTTGGGTGGCGATATGGATTTGAGAGGTCAATGGTTTCATGTCCTCTTGTAAACGTGCAGTTAGAAGGCCGGCGGAATTGGGGTGTTGCTCTGCTTGATGCAAAATATAGGCCAAAGAAATAAGGGCACTTTTGGCCGTCACGATGGTCCCATCGTAAAGAGAGTACACCATATTTAATTGGCGAAGGAAAAACTTGGACCAGGAGAGGCAAGGGATTGCTTTGATGATGAGGAAAAAGAAGAGAAGAAGGTGATGTTCTTATTTAAGCAAGTCTGCTGAGACAAATGGATCATTATAATTTCTGAGTGGGTCGGTTTTGGCGCCACTGATTGGGCATTTGGCTTTCCGAAACGAATCATTCAGATCTCAGATCTCAGATCTTGGGGTAGTTCGGTGAGGTACTCAACAGGCCGAGGTTATCTAAAGACCTAGGATTTATAGTAGGTAATGAGAATCTCTTAGCGACCATTGCTTCAGAACACCAGTCACAAAGACCAGAGCAAATATGAGATCCTGTGTTGGTCGTCTCCGAGTTTTAAGGAATGATAGACATACTCGTTTCTTGACGTTATCAGGAAGGTACCGTGAATGGACGTTTGAAGAAATTGATATATCAACTTTCCCCCGTAAGCCTTTGACGCGAGGCTGGGGGCGTTCATCTGAAGCTCTGCTGTAGCTGTGTGGCCCAATCATAGACCGTATCAACATCACCTGCAACACACCTAATGGTTACGCGCTCGTCTAATCCCATGAGGCAGCGAGGTAAGGACGAGGGTGGCGAGAGAAACTCCACCACTGCAACCTCGTGTCAACCGCAACACCGCAGTGTCGGCAGAGGTAGTCGAGCGGTTATCGTTTCTGCCCTGTTTTTTTAATTAAAACAGAAAATTCAGCTAACTGTTCCTAAAGCTGGTTCTTCTTCTTGCTGCTCTGGACGTGGTAAGTTGTTTCATGTGATAAACCAAGACCCCGCTTACTGGTTGACAGACAGTCATTACAACGGCATTGCCGACAACTTCCGAACAATCGCATGACTATGGGGATGGCTATACTTGGATCAGCTCATCATTTGTTCTCGCTAATGCAGCATCAAGCTTGCTTTGGGGCAAGCTTAGCGACATGAGGGGTCGGAGCTGGTACGAAATAGAGAACGCGCTCAATACTTTGGCATTCTCGGGATGGTATGGGCTTTAGCCAGCGCAATTGGCTCCATCATTGAAGGTCCTTTCACGCAAAGATTATCCTGGAGATGGTGTTTTTATACCAATTGTATGTTTTATTCTGTTCTACAGAGAATTCTTTCAATCATTCCTAATCAAATTAGTGCCGCTTGATGGTGCTGCTCTTGTGGTTTTGGTCTTTTCTTCAGAATTAAACTTGAGCGAATGTCGTTTATACAAGAGCCCTCGTTTATACAAGAGCCCGAAGCTATCGACTTGACAGGCATTTTGACTATCACCGGAGGCACACTCATGTTCCTTTATAGCCTCCAACTCGCTGCAACAATGGTCAATGGTCCTCGTGATCACAAGAGGTTATAGTTGTCATTTATATGTCTATTTTTGCGTGGTTCATATTCGGCGGGGGGCGGCCAGCAGCGGCAGAGCTTGGATGAGTCTCAAATTGATGGAGTTGCTGTCATCGTTGTTGATGTCCATTTTCCCTGTGCCGAACGTAAAAAGCGCCGACATCGATAAAGCTAGTACGATGCTGATTCATACCGGCTCGAAATTGTGTTGAACTGGCCAGCACAATGCTACTATAGGGGATTATGCTTCTCCAAAGTGGAGCAAGGAGCAGCTGAGGACCAATCATGTCCTAGCACTCATAAACGCGCGGTGGACGTTCTTCTAAAATTGTTCGAAGAGTCAGTTCTCATCACAGAGCCACAAATCGTATATTAATCGAGACAGCCCGCTTCATCTTTTGCCATGAATCTCTCGGCTACGGCATGAGTTTAGCGATGTTTAGAAGACCAATTAGTTTCAAGAATAGCTAAGTCTAGTCATGGTAAATCAACCCTTGAACAGTACCATAAGAAAGGCTATCATCTATCTGGTAAATAGCTCCAGACAGAGCCAACGCCCAAATTGAAGAGAAAATAGGCAGACCGTCACTGCTAACGTTCAGATCATTGTGTCTTCTTTGCCTTCACCTTTTTCCCTCTTCGGCGCTTCAGGGCATCCGGAGTGTATTCGGTGTCAAGGAGGTAGTCCCACCAGCGGAAGCTGCTTGAGTAGTTCCCAATGAATTTCTCATGGTGGAGGTCGTGATGATCAGCACCAGCCCAGAAAGGCAAGAAATGGTGAAGACTGCAAGGAAATTCGTAGCCACTGTGGGCATCGATAGCCTGGAACAAGCGCAACACAATCCAGATATACATAGTGAGAATATGCAGGTTACCGGTGAAAGCACACCAGAGGATCGGGCAGCTGACGGTCCCGAAGCCGAGAATCATCACTTCAATAGGAGAAGCATATTCGGCGGCCAAACCAAATGGTGCGGAATACTGATGGTGAATTTTGTGAATAGCCTTGTAAAGTGGACCCCAATGAAGAGCTCGGTGGAAAAAATAGTGCCAAGTGTCCTCCATCACGAAAAATATTGCAATCTGATATGTCATAGTCCAGGGAGACGGAAAAGGAATCGATGTTGATAGACCGCAGAACTGGGCCATTGGGTGGAAAAGCCTAGAAGAGCCGTTACTACTCAATCGGGCCCGAGAGGCAAACGTCAGGTAGAATACCACTCCGTCGAGGGCAGGAACATACCAGATTTGAGGAAGTTCGACGGTGAAGTGGCTCAGAAGCACAAACTTGGCGCAATCCCATTGCTCGCGTAATGAAGGTACTTTGCTCTGAAGCAGAATGTTAGTTTCGATGGCGGCTGGAATTGGGTTGATTTCGGCTAGTGCCAGGTGTTAGGCTTGCCACTTACACTTTGAATCTTGTATCTCTTGAAGAAACCCAAGCTATCGATGAAGACCCACGGAAGAGAGCGGCCGAAGTAGAACAGCTCGTGGATGACGAAGGACATGATGCCGGTGGCCAGGACATCATTCTGCACCCACGCATACCATGCGACCCACAATCTCTCTGCCACGCTCAGGTGGGTATTGAATTTGGTGATATCCTGATATTGGCCCCAATAGGTGCCGGGGGGCAGCACGGTAGAATTCCTAGGAGAAAAAGGGTCAGTATGCGACAAATTCCACAAAAGAGTATAATATAACCACCCAGGGGGGTGCAAAAAAGCGGAGGAGACACAGACATTGTGGTTCCTAGCAGGTCTTGAATAAGAGAGAAGAAGCAGAGGCTGAGAGAAGGAGAAGACTATTTCGTGAAGAGGGGAGTAAAAGGATCTGGGCGAGAGTACTATGTGCTATGTAGTGTACAGTATATTCCCTACTATTACATACCACATGCAGGAAGGTTCCAGGCAGCCAAACACAGGCGGGCAAATGCGCATTATCCGGGTTGGTGGGGCCCGGATGGCTATCGGCCCATCTGTGGCCTGACCTTTGCGGCGCTGATGACTTTTGTGTTCCGGCTCCCGGCCTCACCACTTCGGGAATGGCCCGCTCCGAGTTATCGAAAGCAGTACTGGTTCTTACAGTATTTGCAAAATCTGGTAGGGCCACGAACAGTTTCCGCAGGTGTCGTTCACCCGGTGCCGCAACCTGTAATTACGGTAATTTTCTCGATCTACCAGAGAAACACCAAGCAAAGAGAGTGGAGATTTTCCTGGTGAATTAGGATTAGCGCGGCTTGGGTGGAGCGCTGGGAAAGAAGGCGTGTGTTAAAGGGCTAATCCGTTTTCGAATTCTACTGTACTATATCTGGTGTAGACGTAGAGAACCCACGGTCGATTGTCTATCAGCGTGCTACAGGCGGTTGCTTCTGTCAAAATTTTCAATAAACGAGGGGTGTTATACTGATAACATTTTGGTCATGATACAGCGCTGCGACCCATGAACGGCAACTCAGCGAATAGGGGCGAATTCTAGATATAAGGCCATGAGTTTTGATCTAGTCGATTGTTGGTTCTCTTCTGCTCGACTTCATGTATGTGGCGCGAATATTTGTCCCATGCAGTACCTCATAATGCGCTCTCTTTCCTCACATCATTATTCATAGCTTGACCCTTCCAAAACCTCTATCTTCAAACCTGCATGACGAAAATGGCCCTGAGCACTTTCTTCCCTTGCGCCGACCATATTGACACACCATCCGAGGAAAACATCGAAACCTTGATCGGTATCCTTTTCGTAATAGGTCCAATTACGTTTGATGAAACTTTTGAGCTCAGCAAAAAACTCTTCAATCGGATTTAAATCAGGTGAACAAGGCGGCAGATAGACCAACTTCACACCAGCTTCCGCGCACATTTGCGCAGTCGACTCTGAGTGATGAAATGATGCATTATCCATGACCAGTACGGATTTAATCTCCGGCCATCGTCCACAATGCTGGAGAAGCTGGGCAATAAAGTCCACAAATACGGCAGCATCTGTGGAGCCACGGAAAATACGGGACAGGACAATGCCATCCGAGCATATGCAGGCAATATTTGATATCGCTGGTCTCGGTGAAACTGCGTTACTTGCAAAGGCGTCCTGCCAAGCGGTGCCCAACCCGTGCGTCTAAAACCGGCTCGTTTATCACATCCGGATTCATCAACATATACAAGGTGATACGATTGAAAGTCGGATAGGTTGTGCAAGTAATAATCACGCAAATCGGCATTCTGCTCTCTTGCGCGTTGTCGAGCAGTCTTTTTGGACCAACCCTTCGCAACAAGGGCTCGTCTGATGCTGGAAACAGTGACCAATGTCTGGAACTCATCCCACAAAAAGACAGCCATCTCGTCAAGGTAGAGCCCTGGCTTTTCTAGGAGGTGGTGGCACAAGGCTCCTGTCATCTGCGGCGTCACGGTTCGCTTCCGGCCTATTCGCGTTTGGGGGGCGTAGATACTTCCAAATTGCCACAGGTTTCTGCGGATGTTAATGATTGTTAGCTTGCTGCATTTAGCTTCTTCGGCCATTTGAGATGTAGAAAATGAATGGCTGTCTATCATGTCACGAATAAAATTGAGCTTTGAAGCAGGGAGCCTTGGAGCCATGTCAATTTTTGCGTTGAGTTCCAAATTTCCTTGGGTGGTTGAGGGAGGGAGATTTGTGCCGAAGAACAAGAAGCAGGGACAGATCGCTTGTGTATACGAGTTGGACACGAAGGCCGTCGTGGCATTTGCGAGTGACCAGTATCTACCGGAAATTTGGATGTCGGGTCACGATTGCGACGCAGACGTTTGGGACGATTGTACTTATTATCTCGCAAAAACGACCGGAGGGAAGATCGCCCAGGGTCTTCTTTTTGCGACTCAACATCTTCAAATGGATCCAGAGACCATTTTCAGCTACTCCGAAATCAGCCAAAGTGAATTTGATCTTCGACACTGTTCATATGCCGAAACTGGATTCACTTGCTTCACTGAAGTGCTGGCGACGGTTAATGTAGTCTGGGGAACTCTACTCTTTCCCAGTATGCTGTTCATGAACCCTGCTGAATATTTTGTCGTTATTACACGCTTCATGAACTCGTTTATTGTTTGTCGGATTATTGTATGAGCTTTGTATGGTGCGAGGGGTGCGGAGGGTTGAGTCAGATTCGGTCGGGCTGAGAGCTAGGTCGTCCTACGTTGGTCATTATGACGATCAGTGAGGAGTGCGAATTCCTACATTCAAATGACACACTCGGGATTCAACTAAGTTTGCCGATTGTTTTCGAATATCTTGGTGTAGACAAGGTTCTGGTGGATGAAGGGGCGCTGAATTTACCCGAGGCCCACTCAGTGGAGCGATGGATAAGCTGTTCACTTTGACAGGCAGATGGTCCTCAACTTCGACAGAGCACTGCGAGACCCTGGAACTTTCCGACGTCTGCAAATCTTATCTGATCATGTTTGCAAAATTGCGCGAGTCTGTGCCTGTGCTTTGGTATGGAAAGACCCCGCGCGACAACCCAGAGATTTCCACTTTTCGGAATCTTGTTCCAACGATTCTGGTCAACGACAGCGAGACCATCCTGCGCCTGTTTATGGCTACAGTCCTAGAGAAGGAAGGAATATCACGTCAATTCCCAGCCCCGCGAGCAATGCAACCTATTACTCGCAAGTGCGGCGTCGGTGCGCGTGCGTCTAAAGTGGGGTAGTGATAGCTCTCTTGAGGAGAGGAAGACATCACTTTGTTGTTATATACCCATGTATTGCTGAGCGCTGTGAGTCTCTCTCTCCCATCTGGTGGCATAATCACTCACCAACTTGGCAGGCTCATTCACAATTCGAAAAGAAAAATCGACACTCGAAACAGAACTCTTGGCATGCCAAGCAGATCAAGTGAATTCGTGATCGAACTCCAAGATTACGAAGAATGCAACATGATAAGATGCCATTCAAGCAATTTTTTCAGACTTCCTGCCATTCTCCCATGTATTTGAAAGCACACACGGCAACTGTCAGACGCAATAATGACAGATATAGCCGGACGAAGAGCGAGAACACCCCAGAACGATGGACCGAACATCGCCCAAAACGGCCTCTGGCAGCTCTTACCCTTCTTCCGGAACCCAGAAAACGTCCTTCTTTTCAAACTTGACATCTTGCTATTGACATGGACCTTTATCGCCGGTATCCTAAAGGAAATGGACCAAAGTGCAACAACTCAAGCATACGTATCGGGCATGAAAGAGTCACTCAGTCTTTATGGGAACGAGCTTGTCAATTTCAACACGTTCTTTTCTGTGGGATATGCCATCGGCCTGATTCCGGGACAAGTAATTCAGACGAAGGTACCACACCAGAATCATCCGATCAGACATAGGACGAAATTTAACAGATGAATCAGGTTCGTCCGAGCTATTTCCTCCCATTTTGTGAGATATCGTGGGGTATTCTAGTGACCTGGTTTGTACACCACTTCGAATCTTCACTTCATATGCTTATAAGTCATTCAGCATCGCCCAAGCCCCCAACGCCCAAACAGTCTACGGACTCCGCATCCTCCTCGGCCTCTTCTCAGCTGTCTTCTGGCCAACCGCCATCTCGCTAATTTTCAACTGGTATAAGCCAGCCGAACTAGCAAAGAGGGTCGCCTTTTTCAGCGTCTCTGATGCCGCGGGCGGAATGTTCATCAGTGCGCTCCAGGGAGCCCTGTATACGAACATGAACGGTGTCCATGGCATCTCGGGCTGGCAGTGGCTCTTCATCATCTCGGGTACCGTGACTATCGGTCAGGGTCTACTTGGGCTCGTGGTCATACCTGACACGCCTGCCCTGAGTCGTGCGCTATGGCTTACAGCGAAGGAAAAGCGAATCGCACAAGAGCGCATGGATAGCTTTGGGGCAAATACGTCGAAGATTATTCCTGTGAGAGTTTTGAAGGATAAGTTACGGAAATTGGTAACTCACCCGGTGACCTACTTCTTTCTTTTTTCGTTTGCCTTGTCCGCCTGGGCTAGTCGGGCTAATTCTTACTTCCCACTCTACCTGGAAGGATTGGAAGATGAGTCGGGGAATCTTCGCTTCAGCACCTACCAGGTTAACATCATCCCGATCGGGGGCTACGCGCTACAGATTGTCAGTAATCTCGGCCTGAATGCATTGTCTGATTGGAAGCAATGGCGCTGGCAGATCAGTATTGCGCCGCCCTTTTTGCTGGGTATTGTGCTGAGTGTTTTGTCTGCTTGGCCGTCGGACTACAAGGTCATTCTTGTGTTTTATTTCTTGACGTATGCGACGAATGCGGGAAGTCCGTCGCTTTTGGCTTGGATGGCGGAGTTGTTGAGGAAGGAGCCGGAGGCACGCTCGATTCTTGTTGCGCTTACGGTTACTATTGTTTATGTTGGTCATGCTACGATTCCTTTGAGGGTGTGGCGGACGGCGGACTCGCCGAGGTATCCGATTGGGTTTCCTCTAGCGACTGCTTTTACGTTTTCGTCTGTTGTTGTGCAGGTTGGGATGCTTTGGTGGCAGCGGCGGTATTATCGGGATGAGGAGGAGGTTTACTCTTCGTTTGTTGCGGATGGGGAGTTTGCTAAACCCTCTGATGGGAACGCACATACAAAAGATAAGGGGCCAAGTACAGTCATATCAGAGGCATGAGTACTAACCCAAAGGAACCAAGGAATCCGAACCCTCTCATCTGAAAACGTTCATTGCTATGTTCGTGGGAGTGTGATGTGCTGTCGCCTTCCTTTATGCTTTCCATCAGCAGATTTATCATCATATTTTGCCCATAGTTCAATTCTCTTCACCTATTGAAATCTCGAAAACAAATTCAAGCTCGTCTATACAAAAAACACCTTAGTCCAACAACCCCCACCGGAACCTCATACAAAAACACCCTCCAAGCCAACCTCACCTTCTCACCAAATCAACTCTACTCATTCAAAGGCGGAAATGGCACACGCGGAACCTCCTTCCCAAGAACCTCACACAACGAGCCCCCACCCTCCTCAAGCCTGAATTTCAACAACCTCTCGCTCAGCCTAACCCTCCTCACAAGCTCATAATGCTCGCGATACTTCGCCCGATTCTTAACCCACGCTTCCTCCACACTCTCAATCCCCGTCCACCCCGCAAATGTTGACTTATGCACCTTCCCAATCGGATGCCCGAAGAACCGGTCGATATGATAGATGAGGGTGACGAGCGGATCAAACGGGATTTTGAGATACCCGCTCATCCAGATGGTACACCACTCCTCGATATCGCGCTCGACAAGCACGACTTTTGCTTTGGGGTATGCTTCGATGAGGTCTTCTGCGGAAACGATGGCTAGTGGGGGGGTCAGATGAGACGGCGCCGAAAGAGTGGAGGAGTTGGTAGAATTCTGCGCGGCCAAATTTGGGACCGGCTGAGAAGAATATTCGATTTATTGCTTCTTGCCACATTTAGACGGACCCGAATTGGCATGACATGAATTGCGTTGAGTGCCAGTAGGGGATGCTGAGGGTTTCGAGCGCGCTGCATATTGCTGTTCCCCCAGGAGTTTGAATATGGATTTTACTACGGTATGAGGTGATAGACGAGCAGGTTGTGTCGATCCGGTTGAAGCCTAGACAGAGGCATTTCCTTGCCGCGGGGTGAGTCGAAGTTCATGGGGCGGAAGTACTCTGGGTGTCTTTCTTGGACTGTTGCGATTTGTATAGACAAAGTTGTTTGTGATCAGATTCACTCTTCTAAGGTAGATTGTATGGAGGTATTATACCAGGCAGTGGAATACTAGGGCTTACAAACGCGTCAGCACAGATTCTCTAAATGATTTGGGTTCCGTTTACGCCTTTTGCTAGACACCTCAATGCTATGGACGCCAAAGGGGCCAAATTACCAAGCTTTGACTAAACCGGATGTGGATATCGAGATACAGGAGGGTTCGAAATCAGATTCACCACTTGCACATAGAGTTCCTGGGAGCTTCGTGGCTCACAAAGCTGTGGGCCTCATGAAAGTGCGGTTGGAAAGACGAAGCGCATCATGCTCTGTGCTCTCAATTATGGCAATCACAAACCGTAATCTGGTGATTCTCGGAATGTGCGCTTGAAATCGTAGGGTAGCTGTATATAGCCTCTTTGGGAGATAAGGTTAAAGCGTTTGATGTGGAATTTTGGCTGGTTATCGTGGGGCCTCGTTGGATTTGACGAGTCTGGGTCGGGTCGAGCCGTTCCTAGGAACAATGCTTAGCCCCATATGATCGACAGGCTACCACTTGGAGAGTCGTGCGTGTGGGTTGAAATGCACAGGTAATTTCCTGGCTTAGCGCTTTGGAATCACATGATGATGAGGCTGAGGGATGCCCCTCTTTCAACTCGTGGGAGTCTAGCAAGGATCCTTCTCATGAATCACTCACGAGGCACTTTATTTCATCATGACATCCGTATCTTTTGGTAACAACAATCGTGGACTCCAGGTTGGTCATAGCAGTGGCTCGATCCACGCCGAAATTCATCTGCCGCCGGGTAAGACAGAAAACCCGACCAAGACCAAGACCGCCTGACTAATAGCCGCAGCTCCTTTAGAGCGACCAGAAACTCCGCCGAATCCTCTATCAACAGTCCCATTCGCACGCGATCCAGGCTTCGTCTGTCGTAGGACCCTGCTTCAGTCGATTCACGAGAAAAGTTCGATCCCAGGGTCGAGAATAGCCCTGGTCGGCCTAGGCGGTGTCGGGTAAGCGTGAAGCGACCAGTTCGTGGCCCGCTGCTCACAAGTGAAAGGAAATCGCAACTTGCCATCGAATACTCGTATCTGAGCCGATTAGAGTCACCAGAGACATGGGTTTTGTGGGTCCACGCAAGCAACGAGGCCCGGTTCGAGCAAAGTTTTCGGGATATCGCAGACCAGCTCAAGATCGCCTGTCGTCAGGATCCCAAAGTGAACGTTTTCAAACTAGTCGAGAACTGGCTCCGAGACGAGAAGAAAGGGAAATGGATTTGTATCCTTGACAATGCAGATGATGGAAAGTTCCTTTGTTCGCTTCCGGCGGCAGGGAAGGGAGCCTCGATGCAAGAGCCACCAAACGCCTCAACGAAACCTCTTTTCGAATACATTCCCAGATGTCGGAATGGATCTTTAATTATCACAAGTCGAAGCAGAGAGGCTGCGCTCAGGATGGTCAAACATAAGGACCTCATTGAAGTTAACCCGATGGCAAGGTCCGAGGCACTAGAGCTTCTTCAGAAGGCGCTTGATCAACCCGAGGAAAGCCAAGAAAGCCAACAGTTAGTAGAAGAGCTTGAGTTTATGCCGCTTGCAATAGCCCAGGCCGCGGGATATATTCGAAATCGGGGCCCCCGCTATTCAGTATCACAATACCTGAAAGACTTTCAGAAGAGTGATCGTGAAGCGATAAAGCTTCTCAAAGAAGAGTCGGGTCACCTTGACCGGGATTGGGAAGCAAAGAACTCAATTCTATTGACTTGGCAAATATCGTTCGATTATATTCGCCAGGAGAAGCCATCAGCAGCGGAACTACTTTCTCTTATGAGCTTTTTCGATCGACAAGGGATACCGGAGAGCGTTATCCGCCGCCAGCCACCCGCAAGCTGCACCTCAAGGACAGAACTTTTCGACGATTCTAGTGACGGGGAGACATCCGAATCCGACGGAAGTACGGAATTTGAAAATGATGTCATCACTTTACGGAATTACTCATTCATATCTGTCAACGAGAATGGCACTTCCTTCGCTATGCATCGACTAGTGCAACTGACTACGCGCGCATGGCTAAAATCTCATGCACAAACAGAACGATGGAAGGAAAGATTTGTCGACAATATATACGAAGAGTTCCCTACGGGTGACTATGAGAATTGGGGGAAGTGCCGGTCTCTCTATCCTCACGTTCGGTCAGCGATGTCACAGCGGCCAGAGTCACGAGAGTCTCTATTGAGATGGGCCACGTTACTTTATAAAGGTGCATGGTATGCGTCAAAAAGCGGGCATATTACGGATGTGAGGGAAATGGCATCGAAATCGCGTAGGTATAGAATGAAACTGCTAGGTGCGGAGGATGAAGAGGCCCTTGCGAGTACTGCGATGTTGGCTGAAGCCTGTTCATTAGAGGGCCGATGGGAGGAGGCGGAACAGCTCGACGTGCAGGTCATGGAGACGAGCAAGGCGAAGCTCGGCGTGGACCATCCCGACACGCTGATGAGTATGTCCAACCTGGCATCGACATATCGGAACCAGGGCCGATGGGAGGAGGCGGAACAGCTCAGCTTGCAGGTCATGGAGACGAGCAAGACGAAGCTCGGCGTGGACCATCCCGACATGCTGATGAGTATGTCCAACCTGGCATCGACGTATCAGAACCAGGGCCGATGGGAGGAGGCCGAACAGCTCAACTTGCAGGTCATGGAGACGAGCAAGACGAAGCTCGGCATGGACCATCCCGACACGCTGACGAGTATGTCTAACGTGGCATTGACATATCAGAACCAGGGCCGATGGGAGGAGGCCGAACAGCTCAACTTGCAGGTCATGGAGACTCGCAAGTCGAAGCTCGGCGTGGACCATCCCGACACGCTGATGAGTATGTCCAGCCTGGCATCGACGTATTGGAACCAGGGCCGATGGGAGGAGGCCGAACAGCTTGACGTGCAGGTCATGGAGACTCGCAAGACGAAGCTCGGCGTGGACCATCCCTCTACGCTGATGAGTATGTCCAACCTGGCATCGACGTATTGGAACCAGGACCGATTGGAGGAGGCGGAACAGCTCAACTTGCAGGTCATAGAGACGAGCAAGACGAAGCTCGGCGTGGACCATCCCGACACGCTAACGAGTATGTCCAACCTGGCAACGACGTATTGGAACCAGGGCCGATGGGAGGAGGCGGAACAGCTCAACTTGCAGGTCATGGAGACGAGCAAGACGAAGCTCGGCGTGGACCATCCTGACACGCTGACGAGTATGGCCAATCTCGCTTTCACCTGGAAATCTTCAGGGTATAATATCCAAGCCCTCGAGTTACTGCGAGATTGCCTGACCAAGCAGAAGCAAATACTTGGGCTTAATCATTACGAGACCATATCCAGTTCTCAAGCTTTGCTGGAGTGGGAAACAGAGATCTTGGATATTGGTAGGTAGATGAGCGAGATACTTGTATACACTCTCTTTCCTTCGTTGTAGACATAGCTTCGTGGTGTAATTATATAAAGTAATTCTTTGATGAGCTTGCCGTTATTATTCTGGCTGAAGTCACCAAGACTGTGATGGTAGGTGTGAGCGTATTCACAGTCAGGATATTTCGAGTAATTTATTCAACTGCTTATCACGTGGATTTGTGTTTCAATACGATTCAAATCTTCAAAATAGGCCTGAGCTAAGGAAAGCTTAGCGTGTTTCAGAATAGAGTTCGAGAAAGAATCTCTGTGTGCAAGTTGTGAATCTGATTTCGAACCATCCTGTAAGAAGCGCTTTCTTAGACAAATAATTCAAATTAACATCAAATGTTACCTTAGAGTTATTACTGGGTGTGTTTAGTAATAGAAACCCAAAAGAATGGAATACAATACTAGCCAGCCTGAGCATACGCAAGCCAAGACAACTTAATCCATCTTCTTCACCAAAGATCCCCAAGATCGTCCAATCCTAGGAAGGTGCATTAATCGACCTAGAATTGACTCGCGTTTTCAACTCAGCTACAAACATGTGGGCTGGAACTAAGATATAATGCGGCTCTGAATGCGGTACCTCCTTAGTCGCAATGGAATGGAAACGAAGAATCAACAAGATTTCATCGGAATGCATGTGTTGATCTGGAATGTAAGGTATACATCTGATCATCGCAACATAATCATCCCATCTTTGCTTGGGATCACATACCTTGGGAAGCCCAATCCCTCACTCAGTTTTCAGTCATACATCAGATAAAACACCCCACCTCCACTACGCCCCCAAGCGCCTCAAAAAAAAAAAAAAAAAAAAAAAAAAAAAAAGAGAGAACTTTGGAAAACAGCGAGGTAGTCCGACGACAACCGAATCGCAATGCGCAAGTCATGTAAATCTATGTGCTTCCACCTATTCATCGCATCTACCCTGGTATCGGGAGTTCATTACTACACATACCTAAACTGTATTTGTCATTGAGGTTGAATGTGGAGGCATACGTAAATGGTGAATCATTATTCATTTCGCTGCCACGCTATCCTGCATGAAATGTGTGCTGTGCTACGCCCCCATCGAGCTCAAAAGAATCTCAAAAACCTGCAAAATCTCCTCCTGCTCCTCGCTGGACAACCCCATCCGATGCGCATCCGCATACCCCTCCCTCATCCTCGCCAAAACAATTTCCTTCGGCGTCTTGGTCCGAAACGCACCCTCGATACTCTTCGAGATACCATGGAATGGGTACGCCATAAGTCCGATCCCCGCTGGAACAAATTAGCCTCAACCCACCGAACCCTCACCAAAGAGAAAGAGGGAACTTACCCGAAGGCATCTTAGTAGCCATCCCCAAAGCCCCCCTCGTCAACCCCCGAATCGCCCCGTCTCTCCCCCCATCCAGCGCACCCCTAATCGGCTCCGTAATCATCCCCGCCACGCCACCGGCCATCCCACCAACGAAATTCTTCCCTCCAACCGCGATGCCAGATTTCCAACCCGAGACATGTCCGTACTCTTTCGGTTTCTCGCCATACAGCTGCGGTGCCCGCCGAAAGCCCTCTGCGGCTGCGTGGGGGATGTCGACTATTACGCCGCGGAGATATGTGCCGGAGAATTTGCCGAAGGATTTTAGACTGGCGCTGGCCATGTTGGAGGCTGTTTGGAAGGGGTCATTTGACTCGGGGCTGGAACGGCTGCGTTTGAATTCTTTGTACGGGTTGTAGAACATTTCGCCCGTTGACTTTGCCATGTTTGTGCCTGTTCCGGCTGCTGCGCTGAGGACGCCGGTCAACGGGTCCCAGCGGCGGTTGTAAATTAGGATAGGGTTTGGGGGGTAGCTTTAGATCGTTTGCATTGGGTTAGCATCATGTTTTCTGGAGTTGGTGGTTGGACTTACCACTTGATATGCTGCGCCTCAATTCGATTATGTTCGATCAAGACATTGGCCGCTGTCTTGGAGAGGATAAGTGGGTTTTTAGCTTTCGTGTATTTCCACACAGCCACCTGGTCAGGCATAATACTGCAGCGCATTCGCTCGAGCGGGAGATGCCGATGGAATGAATCCACGGCCGCCGTCACGCCCGCATCAGCCTGCATTTTGATAGCGATTTCCTGCGCTGCGTTCGCTGCTTCGGGCGTGAGACAGAATTGGATTGCGGAGGCGAGTAATTCGGCGTCGAGGGAGGCGTGCGGGATTGGGTTTGGGCCCGCGCCTGCCTTTGCGACCATGTTGCCCCAAAATGGTTGACTACAGCATATTTAGAATGAAAAAAAAAAAAAAAAAAAAAAAAGGTGAAGGTGAGAAGAGGGTAAGCGTACTCGCCAAAAAAAGGAACAATTGTCGTCGGCTTTCCATTCAATAACCCGCAAGCAGTCGTCCCCGCACCACCATGATGTACGACCGCCGAGACGCGCTGGAAAAGCCAGCCGTGCGGACAGTCGCCGATGTAGTAGATGTTCTCATCTGGTCGTCCGGCTAGCTCGCTCCAGCCTTTTGAGACGATGGCTCGCACGCCGGACATGGAGACTGCATCTAAAATAGTGTTGATTAACTTTTGCGGGTCGTCGACGACGATGCTGCCGAAGCCGATGTAGACGGGTGGTGGACCAGCGGCGAGAAATTGCACTAGGTCGGGTGGGGGTGTGTAGTCTGGTGTATCGGCGAAGAAGAAGCCGACCACGTCTGTTATCATAATGGTTAGTTGTGAGTTGTAAAGAGTGTTGGGTGTCCTACCGATATGAGAAGGCCAGTCTCGGGGTCGTGGTATTAAGGCCGGTGACCAGCAGTATGTGAAGGGGATTTCGAGTGCTTCTGCTAGGCAAGGTCCTTCTGTTGCAGGCACTGAGGCGAGGTCAATCGAGGAGCGGAATTTATTAATTACATCCCCGAGCCTGCCGTCTGATAGTTAGCGTCGTCTCTCTATCATCATTATCATCATTATCAAGAGGTACATACCCCTGCCAAGTCAACCACTCAACAATCCCATACGAAACCCAATTCGCAGTAGTGGTATTCATAACCTCCCGATTCAACTCCTCGCCCAAATTCGCCAACGGATGCGGAAACGCCCGCGTCGTGCTCCACGGCATCGTAAACATCAAATGCACGGGTATCCCCAGCGCCTGCGCACAATGCACATGAGCAAAACTGGGCGGGTTGGCAATAATTGCGTCAGCGACGAACGGCTCGCCCGTCTCCGGATCGTCTTCAATACAGCTCTTCCAGCACCCCTCCAACATCTCTGCCACCATTACCTGCTTCTTCTTGATCTCACCGTCGCGCACGGTCTTCATTTGCGGGATCAAACCTGGGTTCTTCACCATGTACGCCATCAGTGCGGCGGGGTCCCCGCCTATCGGGAAGAATTCTAGATAGGAGTTGCGCACGAACGAGGCGAAGACGCCGTGTGTGGCTATTCGGACTCGGTGACCATGTCGTTGGAGGGCGTTGCCTAGGGCGATAAAAGGCTGAACGTCGCCTCTGCTGCCGACTATTTGGATTACGATGTTGAGTTTCAAGTCGCAGGTTGGTTTGGGGGTTGTTGATGGGAGTTCTGGGGGTTCTGGGGGTTCTGGGAACGGGTGCTCCTTTTTCTTCGCGCTCGGCGATTTGCGCGAGCGATTTGGCGAGTTTGGATTTGAGGTTCACGTCGATGCGGCCATCTGTTCCGCGTTAATTCTTTTCATCCTGTCTCTTTCTTTCAAGTGATCACTGACTATGGACATCGCCCAACTCGGCTGTCACTTGAGGGTCGACATAGGGCGTGTATGGCGGGGGACTGTCGCCCTCGCGGTCGGGGGCTTTCTCTTTCTCCATTTTGACGATGGAGGGAATCAGTGCTGCATCCGCTTGTTCAGAGCGATCTCATATATGGGGTTAGCTTGTGCAACTGTTGACGCCGTGGCGACTCTCACCCCGCGATGCGCCCGCTCCGCAGCTGTGTTCAGCCACAGCGATGACCCAATAACCACAAGCTAAAGAGATGAGCAGCGCGCTCTCCACAGTCTCGTCCAACGGTCGCCGCGCATTTCGTTAATCAGCCTGTGTTGCGGTGGCGAGCGGGCCGTGCAGCGACGATCGCCTTTTCCTCTTCGAGAAGATGGGGGGTGTTGAGGAGGGAAGTGTGGCGGTGCGGGTGGACTCCGTTTTACCCAAGCATTGGGATGTTATGCCGTTTCCCCTCCATCCCCCCCCAGGCTCTTGCCATGGCCGTGATCCGCAATGACGCGAATCTCCCCAAAGACCTCTCGCTGCCGGCGGGCGCAGAGAATAAGCGCCGTCTACTCCTGATTTATATCCATGGCTTCATGGGCTCCGAGGCTAGCTTCCAGGACCTCCCCGCGCATGTCCATGAGCTTCTCTCCGGGCTGCTGGGCGAGTCGCATGTTGTTTACACGAGGATTTATCCGCGGTATAAATCGCATGGGGAGATTCAGTCGGCGGTGGAACAATTCAGTGCGTGGTAGGTCATCCTTCCATCCTTTCATTCATGTTGATGTGTTGATGAGGCCGGCCCGACCCGCCTTTGTATCAACCCCAATCTGGTAACAATGTACTGACACCATGAATGCAGGCTAAAACCTCACGAAGCACCAGACCTCGACATAATCCTACTCGGCCATAGCCTAGGCGGGATCGTCGCCGCAGATGTCGCGCTGCTGCGGAGACATCAGATCCTAGGCCTGGTGAACTACGATGTCCCGTTCTTGGGCCTACACCCGCGTGTCGTGCCAACGGGGATTTTGAGCTCAATGCCAAAGAAAGACGTCGCGCCCGAAGAGAAATTGGCCGGCGAGCAGGAATCGCTCGGCATGGAGCCGGCGTATAAGGTGCAACCGGAGCCGGATCCGAATTTCGATCGGCCCTGGAGGAATGATGTCCGTCTTGCGAATCGGGGGTTCTTTAAGAATGTTATGCACTTTGTTCAGAAAAATACGGATAATCTGGCCCGCTCGGTTTTTGATCGCGTGGTGTCCTCGGCCAAGTTTGCCGGGTGTGTGAATAATTATTCGGAGCTTAGGAGGCGGTATCGGGAGATTATGGAGTTAGAGAAGGAGGGTAAGGAGAGGGTGAGGTTTATGAATTATTATACTGCTAGTACTGGGAGGAGAAAGCCTGTGAAGGAGGATGAGGAGAAGAAGGATGGGAAAGATGAGGAGGCTGAGAAAGAGGTGAAGGTTGAAGAGTCCCCCTCACAATCGACAACGCCAACTCCCGAAGACTCAATAGAGAAACTGCATATCTCTAAGCCCAGCGGCAAAGACGCAACACCGCAGCCATCGCCAACATCGCAAGAGCCATCGACAGCTTCAGCTACAGCAACCCCCTCACCACCCGAACTGCCCCCAAAAAAGCCCACACCACCACCCCTCCCAGAACGAAACCTCCCAATACCAGACCAAACCACACCAGAAACCTCAAGCCTGCACCTCTCAGAAAGCACCTCAGAATCTGGCATTAGCCTCGAGACCACCGAAAGCGGCGGAGAGAAGGAGCAAAAACTGCGCAAATTCATCCTCCTACCAAAGAACCACTGGAAATACCACGACAACGCGCACTGGACGCCCGTGCTAATGGAGGATATGGATGAAGTCGAGGCGCACCAGTCGATGTTTATACCTTCTGGTGCGAATTATGATCATCTGGTTGGTGATACGGTGGGGTTGATTGAGAGCTGGGTGCAGGCTGATTTGAGTGCGAGGGTTTTACAGGAAGGTCTGGATTAGCCCACTGCCCCCTGGGGATGGCACTAGGTTGTATATACTACGCGTGGTGTGGTGCACCGGGTATTAGTCGGGGTAGACCACTAGCAGCATGATCAGTGCGTGATAACGAATAACGATCATAAGTTTCAGATTTTTTTATTGAAAAGTCTATATCTAATAATCTCATAAAATGATAAAAAAAAAAAACCAAAAAAAGCTATATCCATACATGCACGCCATGAGCCCTCTCTAAATACGAAGGTAGGTATAAAAGACCGTTAACTCTAATTTAATTCTTAAGAGGGCTAAACCCAGCCCCCATTTCCAGGCGCCGGTGCAGCACCAAGAGTACTAAGCCGTCCACCATGCGGCCCACCCATACCAATCGAACTCATGCGGATAGTCCGTCTCCTGGCCAGCGCAGCTTCCGACTGCTGAATCTGCGGCGAAGGCGTCTCTTGCTTCTCGGCTGGCGTCTCCGGTTGCTCCTTGATGGACAACCACTCCATGAAAATGGGTCCGAGGATGGAGATACTTCCCGTCGCGACAGCGACGTAAAATGTCTGCATGACGGCGTCATTGTACGCGAACATGATGGGCGGAAGTAGGCTTTTTGGGACTGTGTTGCGGAAACCGGTTGCGCCGCCTTCGAGGACGAGGGCTGCATTTGATTTTGAGAGGGAGGAGAGGAGGTTGGTCATGAGACTATTTTGGAAGACGCTTTCGGCGACGGAGAGGAAGACTGTTCCGGCCAGTGTTTGGACGAATGTTAGGATTGAGGTGGCGATTGCCATGTCATCGGAGTGGACGGCGACTTGGGAGACGAGCATCACGTTTTGGCAACCGAAACCGACGCCTGCGGCGAGTAAAACTTGGTAGCCGAACCATTGCGGCATGCCTGAGTCGACATTTAGGGTTGTGAGCAAGCCGGCGGCGATGGAGGTAAGGACTGATGAGATGAGGACGAGGGGCGTGTAGTAGCCAATTACGGAGGCGAGGCCGCCGGCTATGATGGCGAAGATTACGATGCCGATTAGACTGGGGAGGTTGTCGATGCCAGATTGGGTGGCGGTTACGCCTTTGATGGCTTGGAACCAAATGGGGAGCTGCGGTGGGGTTGTTAATGAAGATAATAAAGGGGGATTTGGGGCGAGGGGTGACAAACGTAGTATGCGACGACGAACATCGGTGCTGAGATACAGCAGGCGAACCAGGCAGCACCAAAAACGCTTCGGTTCTTCATGAGGCGGACGGGGACGGTGGCGCGGTCCTTTTGCCAATATTGGATTCCGAGAAAGGCGATGAACAGGACAACGAAGAGCACCATCAGGGCGATGATGCGGCCGCTCTTCCAGGGGTATGTCGAGCCACCCCACTGCAGGGCGAGTAGAAGACAAATAATCGATGGGATCATGGTGAGAGTGCCGGGCAGGTCGAAATGCTGGATTTGCTCTTTCCATGGCAGGTGCTGAACATTCGCCGTCCGAGTCGGCATGAGAGTGAGAATGGCAATGGCAGTGACAGCGCCGAGAGGTAAATTAATCCAGAAGCACCAGCGCCAGGTCAGTTTATCTGTAAAAGCACCGCCCAGGCTGCGATGGAATTAGTTTCTGCAATGCCGGCGGGATACGGGATACTCACATTGGACCAGCCACACTGGCGACGGCGTGCATACTCGACAGAATCCCGATATAAACCGGACGAATGCGCAGCGGAACGGTGTTGGCGATGATGATAATCGCACCAGAAAACAAACCCGCGGCGCCCAGGCCTGCAATTGCACGGCCGATGATGAGAGAGACCGAATTCGGCGCGAGGGCACAGATCAGCGAGCCGATCTCGAAAATGGCCAGGCCACACAGAAACACCCATTTCGCGGAGTAGAAGGTGTACAGCTTGCCGAATAGCAGTTGCACAGTGCAGTTAGTAAAGAGGTACGCACTCCCGTACCAGCCGACATCATCCAGAGAATTAAATGCATTGGTAATTTTGGGAATCGCCGTAGCGAGGATCGTCCCGTCCTGTGCAAGCTAAGGTTAGCGACTAGTGACGGGGAGACGCGCGAAGGAAGGGAGGAGATGTTCCGCGACAACCAGCGGGAGAGCATCGCGACACTTTTGGGCACACTCACCAGGGACAAACAGAGCATAGCCAGGCATAATGCGATCGTCAACGGCACCAGCTTCAAATAAGAGACCTCTTCAGTAGATTTGCCGCGCTCGGTGGGGGTGGGATCTAGCGCGTCCTCCGCTAAGATGGGCTTGGTGTCGTAGTCCAGGGGTTCAAAGTGACGGTGCGAGTCCATATGCTGAAGCTCCAGGTCCTCTTCTTCTGGCGGGTCCAGAAACGTATGCATGGTGTCGGATTCGACTAGACGAGCCATTGTGCGCAGGACATCGATGTCAGATAAGTAGGATGTAAAAGGCTATGTCCGAGGGGACTGGAGATCGCGCGACCTCGAATTTTCCTGGCTATCCCTTAATCCACTTATGATACGTGCTGAAATTCGGGGTTGGCAACGCCATCTCGTTGGTGCAGATGACCCACAAGGGGTTCATCGCATGCCGCGGGCCCGTGGACGCGAGCTGAGTCTGTGGTGATCGGCGATCGGATGGAATGCGTCGATTATGCTGGAATAATAAACTCTTGCGAGAGGTGTCAATTTATGTCTGCTTGCTTTTGCCTGTCATGATACCTCCGGTGCCATTTTTGTCTGGTTGTGTACGATTCCATTCTATGTCGCTATCTGAAGAACCGAGTGGGTCGGACCCTGATTGCTTATTTCCGCCTTCGCTCGCGTTAGATCGGACTGCACGTATGCAGGCACCTAGATACGCTGCAGGACATTGCGCGTCGCGTTATGTGAAGAGCGAGAGAATCTATCGTCAGATGCCTCGATGCATTCCCAGAGGTCGCCCGGCTTGGAGGTGTGGAAACGTTCCCGGTTTGCGTTTGGGATCGTCATCTCCACCACTTTGCGACCCCTTGGCTTTCCCTTGGTTTCACGACTGCGGGTGTGACACGACAGTGTCGTGTGGAGTTGTCAGAAAAATTGATGCACACTCTAAGTGCTCAGCAGACTGGTCGACAGCCTCAATCCGTGATGTCAATACGGAGACTGCAAGTTTGGGGGAGGTGAGACTCAAAAAGAGGGTGGCTCTACCGGGGTTGGCGTAGGACGGATTGGCGGTCGGGCGGGAGCGGACTTAGTAAGACACAACACTACGCAGAATGGTAAGTATAGGATTAGATACCCTTGGGCATAGAATAGTTTAGGGTAGTGAGTGTACGCAGTGCAGTAGTACTGATCTGATAATGCCCTATCTCTCAGGTAGATCTACGCGAGCAGAGTCTAACATATATGTCCATTTCGTCATAACTAAACGCCGCTCAGTACTTACTAGATGCGACTTCATGAACCGGTCAACCCGGGTTTCTTGACTTTGACTTGACAGGGCAGCTCTCCCTGCGCGCTGCTCGCTGCTCTCGAGGACACTCGTAGGAGCTCCGTCCCGTCTCCCCTCCCAGCAAGCCAAGACTCCAATGCGCCATTTTTCGCAGGACTGCAACAACAGTCTGCAAGACAGAATGCGGAGGAAAGAAGTTTTGGTGCCCGAAGATGAATTGCCTCTCGCAAAGGGATGGAGAGAGACATTGGAAAATAAAAGGGAAAAAAAAAATGTAGATAGAACAAACAGATAGAAAATAGGAAGGAGACATAAAACATCAACGGGCAAGGTGTAGCTTCGCAAGAATTCACGTCATGCATCATTTCGAGAGAACCATCTATGCGCGAGCCTCCTCGGGAGCGCGGTCCTGACGGGGACGACCGCCCTTGCCACCGCGCTGGTTGCGCTGGCCCTCGGCACCGGTCGACTCGCCGCCGCCCAGGGTGAGCTGGGCAGTGGCTAGTCGGTTGGACAGCTCCATCTGTGTGCGGATGGTGTTGGCCAGGTAGGAAACGACCAGGACGTCCTGGATGTGGTTGTTGCTGGAGGATGTTAGTTAAGAGTCATTCATTATCAGCAGGGAACAGCATAGATCAGATGGTTGAGTCATCTGATCCATGTGGTGCACATACAAGTCCTTCTCAATATCGGCAGGCTCCACCTTGGGCGCAAGAGCCAGAGCGTTCAGCAGGAACTGACCCATGGCAGTCGAAGCAGGGGCCTCCTCGTCAATCACCGACTCCACATAACGCGACACACGGTCAATCATGGCCAGAACCTCCTCAATGGCACGCTCCAGAGCCTCAACATCCGTGGCAATGCTAGTCGATCGCTCCTCGGTATCCTTGGCGTTGGCAATGGCCTCCAGACCGCTCTTGTCGGCCTCGCCGTATCGCAGCTCGTACGGAACGGGAATGAAAGCGGCGCTATCGGCGGCGCGCTCGGCGGTCACACCAACAGGCGCAGAGATATAAGCGCGAGTCTCGAGGTCCTTGCCGGCTTCGGTGGACACAGTCAGGTGGACGGCGGGGTGGGGCCAGGTACCGTCGCCCTGGCCGCTGTAGAAGTTCTGGATCAAAGCAGAGAAGGTGTTGAGCTCAGAGGCAGTGGCGTACCAGCCGACCAGCACCTCGCGCGGGTTGGCCTTGAGGTGCAGGGCCAGCATCTGCTTGTGATACTCCATATCGACCTCGACCTGGTCCTCGGCCTCGGAGTGGCCCACGGCAAAGGCGGAGCGCACTTCGACCTCACCTCCATCCTCGGATCGTGTTCCCAGCAGAGTTCCAATGACCCGTTCCTGGTCGGCGTTGCGGCGGAGCGAGTGGTCGAGGATGGCGAAGACAGCCTAGACAATCGATTAGGACGAATTTTCCCCTCTTTGTGTTCGGCAAACGCACCTGCGGCTGGATGACCACATTCAAGGGGGCAGTGGTCGGGGCGGTTCCCACGGAGACGGGGCCCAGAGGGCGGGCGAGGTGCAGGAAGGAGTCGGCCATGGTGGGATGGTGGGAGGATGTGGTTGAGGTGGCCTAGCAGATCTGGAAGTTCAAGTTGCAAAGCGCTTCGGAGGGACAATTTTTCCTTTGCGGGTGGAGTTCCGCCCGACGCCTTTGTGTGCGGCAATTTTCGCGCTAAGATAAGATAACAATTTTCACCTCAACTCAGGAACTTCCATCCAGCTACATTGACTACTACACATTTGATTGACAATGCCCCCTCCCCGAAGCGGTTCTTCCAGAGGTCGTGGCCGTGGTCGCGGTCGCGGTGGCCGTGGCCGCGGTGGCTTCCGGCGAAACTTTGACTCGTCGCGATTGCACGATGTGGAGTGAGTTGCACCACCATATTTCTCAGGATAGAGCTAACAGTCACAGCTCGGACGAGTCCTCTGGTGAAGATGCTCCTGTTGAAGAGGTCGAGGAGGATACTGTCATGGATGACGATGTGTCTTCGAGCAGCGACGAAGAAGAGCAGACGGGACGCCCATACAATGAATTGCTGCAGCTGCTGCAAGCAGACTCCGACAAAGGACCCGATCGCAAGAGGAGAAAGATTGCCAATGATGCCAAGGTGGCTGTAGAGGAGGAGGAAGAAGAAGAAGAAGAAGAAAAAGAAAGTGACGATGACGCTCTTCAAGATCAGGCTCCGTCCGACGACGAAGAGGAGGATGTCGACGAGGACGAGGATGCTGTCGGTCCATTTGAAAAGCATTTCAACCTGCCCGATGGGTCTGATATTCCCAAGAAGATTGAGCAGATCCAGGCCAACAAATGGGCGAGTGCAAAGAAAGAAGTCGATGGATTGCGTCTGGTGCACTCGGTCCCGGACATGGGAGAGGCTGCTTCGTTACTGCTGGCGATGAAGAGCACAGCCAACCTAAAGGTATTACACCACTTTTTATAGCGTTTTCATCACAATACTGACAATCGTCCAGCTCAAAAACAAACTCAAGCCCCGTGTCGCCGATCTTCTACCCACCATCCGCGGTCCCGCCCAACACCTTGCCCCGTATGTCTTCGACTACCAGGATCTCCTCTTCGGCTCGCGGACGACCGACACCGCGCAGACGATGCGCGACATTGCGGCTCTACACACTGTCAATCACCTGATCAAGACCCGCGATCAAGTCCTCAAGAACAATGCTCGTCTCGCCAAGGACCCCGACACCGACATCGAGTGCCGTGACCAGGGCTTCACCCGGCCCAAGGTCCTCTATATCCTTCCAACCCGTCAAGCCTGTGTGCGCGTTGTCGATGCCATCACCCGATTCTACCAGGCCGAGCAACACGAAAATAAGAAGCGGTTCCTCGATACTTTTTCATCGCCTGACGACGAGAGCTGGGAGAACAAGACCGAGGACTTCCGCGAGCTCTTCGGCGGCAACGACGACGACATGTTCCGAATGGGACTGAAATTCACCCGCAAGACCGTCAAGTACTTTTCGCAATTCTACAACTCGGATGTTATCCTCGCCTCCCCCTGGGTCTCCGAACGATCATGGACCAAGCAGACGCCAAAAAGCGCGACCACGACTTCCTCTCCTCAATCGAGGTCGTCGTCGTCGACCACGCCGACGCTCTGCTGATGCAAAACTGGGACCACATCACCTTCATCTTCCAGCACCTGAACCAACAACCAAAGGAAGCCCACGGTTGCGACTTCAGCCGCGTCCGCAACTGGTATCTGGATAACCAAGCTCGGCACATCCGCCAGACAATCGTGCTCGCCTCCTTCATCACGCCCGAGATCAACTCGCTCTTCTCTCAACACATGCAAAACACCTCTGGTCGGACCAAAATCACCCCCACGCACGCCGGCGCCATCACCGAGCTCCCGCTCCCGGTCTCCGTCAAACAAACCTTCTCCCGCATCGACAGCCTCTCCCCACAAAAGGACCCTGACGCCCGCTTCAAGCACTTCACCACGACCATCCTGTCCAGTCTGGTCAAAAACATCACGGGCCGCGGCAAAGGCGGCGCGGGAACCCTGATCTTCATCCCGTCGTACCTGGACTTCGTCCGCGTGCGCAACCACTTCGCCACCTCGGCGCAAACGACGAACGTCTCCTTCGGCGCGATCTCCGAGTACACCGAGCCGCGCGATGTGTCACGCGCCCGCAGCCACTTCATGACGGGCCGACATTCGGTGCTGCTGTACACGGAGCGGGCGCACCATTTCCGCCGCACGCAGATCCGCGGCGTGCGCCGCGTCGTCATGTATGGATTGCCCGAAAACCCGGTCTTTTATCAGGAGATTGTGGGATTCCTGGGTCTAGATCCTGCGGCTATTGTTGAGGCGGCGGAGGGAGGTGTGCGCGCGCTGTTTAGTAAATGGGATGCGTTGAAGTTGGAGCGTGTTGTTGGTTCGCAAAGGGTAGGGAATATGTTGAGGGAGAAGGGGGGTGATACGTTCACGTTTGTATAGTAGTTTTTCTAGGAAAGCATTGAGCGTTTTCATTGCATTCTACATCGGACCTACCTTAGGGGTAACTAATGGAAGGTGGAATGGATGTGCATAGCTCCTTCCTGGATGCAGTACTTCTGACTCCGCAGCGATCTGTCGATCAGTCAGATGAAGCCATGTCGGATACAAGTCCGTCGTCAGCTGCGTACATAGCTGAGCAGGCAACCATACATTAGATTCTAGTTACATTATTCAGCCAGATTCATATGAACAGTTCACTAGTCGAGTTGTGAGTAATTACCCTCGTAGAATGACTTGCTATACACTACACTAGTGAAGTGAGGGTAGAGCGGTCAGTCCCGCGCGTCATGCTCCGCATCATTTTTTTCCTTCTTCACGGTCCGCCTATGTCACCCCCCTTCACTCCAGTCTTTCAGGTCTCCAATTCTCATTTTTATTTCCTTTCTACATCATACACTAGAGGATAGAGGCACCCACTCATACACCATTCCATCCCACTGGCACATAGACCACCTTACGACTCGAGGCAAAATCACCATGCGAGACCCGCCCCACTCCGATCACCACCAATCCACCCAGGAAGAAGCAGACAAAGATGTCACTGCCAGTGTCCAGGGTGAACACCCCGACGCACCCCTCCCGACACCCTACCGCGACGACCCCGACTCACTAGCAGAGTACGAACCCCGACCCATCTCTGACGACGACGATGAATATGACTCCGCCGAATCCGCACGCCCACGCACGAAATGGGCCGCTTCAGCCCGCATCTTCTGGCTCCGGAATAAAGGCATGTTCCTCGTCCTGCTAGCGCAGATGTTCGGCGCAAGCATGAATGTTATGACCCAGATTTTGGAAATTCATAGTTCGATGCATCCATTCCAGGTAACCACCCTTGTCTCCAATCCTAAGATTTTATTTTATGGATGGTTTGTGCTGATTTTACTGGCTAGGTCCTCTTCGCTAGAATGTCCATCACAGCAGTAGCAAGCTATATCTACATGTATCTCTTCAAAACACCACACCCACTCGGCACGCGTCCAGTCCTGGGGCTGTTGTTGCTCCGCGCAACAAGCGGGTTCATGGGCGTGTACGGCCTATACTATTCAGTCCAATACCTTCCCCTCTCCGAGGCAACGGTCATCACCTTCCTCGCGCCGATTATTACATGCTACGCCTGCTCGCTGCTCATCCCTGGCGAGACGTTCTCAAGGCGGCAGCAGGTTGCTGCGGTTATTTCGCTGGGGGGTGTTTTTCTTATTGCGAGACCTTTCTCCTCCTCCAGCAACGAGGTCAAGGGGGAAGGGAAAGAATCCCCCTCCGACACAGACGCCTACCACCACATCCTCGCGACAATCGTCGCGAGTCTAGGCGTCCTCGGCGCAGCAGGCGCATACACCTCTATCCGGATGATCGGTAAACGCGCACACCCGCTCGTCTCGGTAACGTACTTTTCCTCCGTGACGACGGTGATATCTGCAGCGGCGATGGCATTGATTCCGGGTGTTCCGTTCCGGGTTCCGAGCACCGGGTTGGAGTGGTTGTTGTTGACCGGATTGGGGGTTTGCGGGTTCTTGCTGCAGTTTTTGTTAACGGCGGGTTTGGCGTATGTGCCCCCGAAACATTTAGCCCGGACAGGGCAGGGGTCTAGAGCGACGAGTATGGCGTATACGCAGGTTGTTTTTGCGCTTTTTTATGATAAGGTTGTTTGGGGGACAACGCTTTCGGTGTACGGATGGGTTGGCTCTGGCCTGATTCTTGTTTGTGCGGTTTACGTGGTGCTTGCGCAGGAGGGGGGGAGGTCTGTGTCGTCTCCTGCAGAGAGTGCGAGGGAGAGGCATCGTAATGCGAAGAGGGATGACGAGGAGGCGCGGGTGTAGCTGCATGGGAATATGCATCTCTTTAGTCTATAGTATATATATAATGTAGAGTAGAGCGGAGCAGAGTGCTCCTCTCGGTACCTCCGACGTCATAGCGTTGCAGCCGTCCGGGATCGCCCGAGCATCGCCATTGGTTTGCACATGAATTCACCAATAATTCGAAAGCAGTGGGGTGTCGAATGTCCGGGTGCAGCGACCTCAAGAGTACACAAAGAGTAAAAGTGTTTCGGTGACGGTTGGTACGAGTAGAGAGGGTGGACTTTATAAGCCCACTCGCCCCGGTTTAAAGTGGATTTCCCCAGATTTTCCTTCTTTTTTACTCTTTCCATCGCTCGCATGATCACTCTCTTATCCTAGTACTACCCACAGCCATAAGTACTCAGGCCAAGTACTTGTAGTCGATACTCCCTTGAGTATACGACTAGGGTATACCACTCTCTGCTATACCATCTCCGCTGGACACTGCAGAATGCGCCACTTCGACGCCTGGGTCGTCCGCGACCCCTACTCCATCTGGCACTACTACTCCACCGGCCGTCGCTGGCAAGATACCGTCCGCGACCTCATTCACGAGCGCGCCATCTGCTCGCCCCTGCAGTTGCCGGACGCCAAATCCGCCACAGCCCTGCCCAAGGGCACCCGCAATGCCCCTCCTCCTACACCTCCAGATACGAAGAAGGCTGCTGTCGGCGAAATCGACCTCACAACAATCCATTCACAACAAAGCCTTCTCCTCTCCCTTCCGCCCGAAATTCGCCAAATAATCTGGTCCTACGTCTTCGGTGCCTCAACCCTGCACCTCGTCCAATTCAAGAATAAAATCCGCCACATCCGCTGTGATTCTGACAACCCCTCCCTCACCCACCACCGCCACTGCTGCCCCCTCACGCCTGCCCGTTGGCGTATCTACGACGGCCGTCTCCCGGGACACAGCGATAGTCTGCTGTATCCACACACGCACGAACACCTACCGGACAATATAAGCGATGCGAGCACCGCCCTGCTTAGGACTTGCAAGGCCGTCTACGCCGAGGCGGCGGATACACTCTACCACGCCTCAACATTCGACGTCGACGACCTATACACATTCATCGCATTCGCACAGAGCCTCTCCCCGCACGCCCTCCGTTCCCTCCGTAAATTAACGGTACAGTGGAGTCCCGTCTGGACGCCGCTCGCGGGGCAAGATCACAAAGGATCGATATACGCACATACGCACAGCGACGCGCTCTGGACGCGGTTCTGGGCGACGGTTGCCTCCTTGCCTTCACTTGAAGAGTTGAAGCTCTCGATTGATCTGGGTCGGTTCACGGGGACGATTACCGGTGGCGGGGCGGTCGTCGTTTCGGGGCAGAGACTTCCGCTGCTTCTTTCGGAGCCCTGGGTTCTGCCCCTGCTGAATGTTAGGGGCTTGAGGGAGTTTGAGATGGCTGTTACGGCGCGCTGTGATCTTGTTGCGAAGGGGGTTGTGGAGCCTGAGCTTGTGCGTAATGCGGGCGTGCTGAGGGATCAGCTTAGGGCTGTTATGACTACCCATGAGAGGACTCCGCTGGGCGAGATTGAGGGGCTGGGCGTGGAGGGCGTTAGGAGTTTACTGAGCGGGTTGAGGGAGTTGCTTGGGGAGAGGAGGGTGAAGAGGGGGGTTAGGTTGGCGATTACGGCGGAGTAGGTTGGTTGGGTTTTTTGTGGTGGATTTGGCGAGATACCCTTGTATTGCATATAGATTAGATATTTTTGGACTTTTCCTGAATATGACAAAGAACTGCACTCTGCCTTTCTCTATTCAACCAAGAGCCCCTCCAAGGGTTGAAATCCATGTGTCATGCAACTGTTCGATAAGGGCATAAAGAATGTTCAAGAAAAGCGACACTTGGCAAAGGTTTTTTTTTTTTTTTTTTCGCTTGCATAGGAGTGGTGGTGCACCCCCTTCAGAACCGGCAGCCTCTTTTTTTGGGGTGAATTTTCCTTGTGTGCCTTGTCACGGTTGGTAATGACCATATGGTTTTCCCTTTGAAGGTCAGCTGGAATGGAACCGGGTTTCCTACTGCTGGGATACGAGTCCCATTCCCTAGTGGCTTGAATCACTGCAAAGCTCTATGGCTGGAAAGAGTTGCTGATCTCTATCTCTGCTCAGGACACCTGGATACAGGTACTACCCAAAAGTCTTTGGGTATTTGCGTATTCGGTTCTGAGAATTTCGAATATCTCTTCAATTACTTTCGAGCGAGGTTCTTATTGTGCCCTTAATTCAATGGGATCTCTTCATATAGAAGGTGCAATACGAGGCTGTCGCTTGAGGATATAATTGGGGGATCTTCAGATAATCGGAATCAGATCCGCGAATATTAAGATTAGTTCATCGCAAATTCTCATTTGAAAAATAATTGCAGATTTCTCTATATTTTGGTACCCAGGACACTCAGTGAACGATGCTACACGAGTCATCTTAGATATTTGCGGACCTGACCCTGAGGGTTTTGAATATCTCTTCAATTTATCTTCACGGTTTTCGGTTATTGTGCCCTTTACTCAACGGCAAGATCCCTCGACATAGAAAGAGGCAATAACTGAAAACTTTGAGGATGAGAGTTGAATAGATCTTCGTATAATCTGAATCAGATCCGCGAACATCAAGATTGATTCTTTGCACTTCCTCATTCGGACAGGATCGCTGCACCAGTGTGCTTCCTTTCATGTTTTGGTACATGGCGCACCCGGTGAAGGTCCATGGATGTTACTGGAATCAGCTTGGGTAGCCGGCCTGATTCTGAGGACTTTATATCAGTTCAATTGCCATCTTGCGAAGTCTCGTGTTGTGCCCTTCACTCAATGATGATGTTTTCCATTATGGAAGAAGCAATACGAGGCTTTGGGGTTGGGTGGGTGGGGGGGTGGTTTCCGCGGGGGTAATGGAATGGATCTTCAAATAATCGGTATTAGACCTGCGAACATCAACGTTGAGACGAGTAGTTTTATCCTATCGCGGATTCATCTATATTATGTTTTGTCGCGACTGGAAAGTATATTCAATTTCCAATTGTTTCAAAGGATGAGTGTCGTTTCTTGATCAATCATACAACCGAAGAGCATAGAATAAAGGTGTAGGGTCTGAGCTTCGAGTGAACACTGTCAGATTCGTGAACGCTACCACTGCATTCCATCTCATGCTATTCCTATCCAGAAAATATCATTACTGTTCATAACTCATTTCATATCCCCTCATTTCCGCAATTGACATATCATCGCGAGCTATCAAGATCAATGCCATTCCTACTTGGATCCATTCTAATTGGCCAGTAGCACGATATATCTTAACAGTTAAGCAAAAAGGACAACGAGCCAAAAAAATGTTGAGATGGGCTACGACGAAGCACTGAATATAGAATGAGGGCCTGCTAGACAAATCGATCTTATGAATTGGCAGAACTTTGACTTGACTGTATTATGTTGTCTACGTGCGATTCTGGGGGTATTTATCCCTGAACGGGCGGCAAGCTCCTGACAGTAGTAAATCCCTCATAATCGGTCTCGATCGGGGTTCTTCCATTAAGATCTCCCGAATGTAGAATATAATGGTGGCAAGAGAGCTTGACGCGTATATCAAGCTTAGTGCCTCCGGTTTCCCTGGACAGGCATGCCGACAGAGGTTGGGAATGAGGCATCAATCCGGTGCCTTATCCTGGAACCTCAACCAAAAAAAAAAACATGAAAACAACATAAAAGACACAATCATGAGAAAAATAAATAAAAAGGAAAAATATTCAAATAATGGAACGAAAACATCAAACAAGAAAAAACATTTAAAGCATAAAAAATAAAAACATACAACAGCAGGGATTCGCATGTGGTCACCCACCATACTACTAACCTGTCGGCGTGTGGCTTTCGCTAGAATGGCCACAGCCCCCTGGCATGAATCAAAGCCGATCAGGACGGATGGTTTTTATTCGGGTTCAGTCGAAGACAATTGGGCCGCAGTGGAAATAGATGGTTGGAACCACGGCAAAGCACTGCTCTTTGATAAGTTGTGCAAGGACCCAGATGTCTCTGTTGTTGACATCGAGGACCTTGCGTCGGGCGAGCTTAGACCACACGGTCTAAGATATTCATACAGTGGCGAGTTCACAAGCGAGCAAACAGCACCCGAACACGCTCACCATGATCACAACGGCCACTGGCAAGGAAACCGTCATTACCTATACAAATTGGACTTTTTAGTCCGACAGAGATAATACCTATTATAAGTTGGGCTTTTTCCAGAACACTCCTTCCCTCTGTACTTCTCAAAAGTCGCGAACTAATAAGAAACTGCTGTCAATGGCCGTAAACGCTTGTGGCTGACGTGGCTCCTTATTTCCTTATCCAGGTCTGCGCTTTATGCACTTTTACAGCCCCAAATTGTTATGTATGAAATGAACTAGTGGACTTATCAAAAACCCAACCAAGCGAGATTCGCGAGGCATCAAATAAAATACGATTAAGGGTAGTCCTTACCATGATTACTGGATAGTTTCACGTTCAAGTTTTCAGTACAGTGCGTCCCGAAACTAGTGCGACCACCCACACTCTTCGCCCCTGAGGCAAGATACACTAGCCTATATTGAGAGTTATTCCGAACCCCCCCCCTGCAAGTTGCGTATGTATTGCTTCCATTGCTTCGTCAGTACATTACACAAAGTTTCGGGCACGTAATTTGTAAATTCACATCTAATCAAGTATGGCTCCAAAGCTAGCTCCTTCCAAGCATGAGCCTATCTACTGTGACGAGCGCTGCCGCACGATGTGGCCCTGAAACGATAACAAAGCTGAAAAAAAAGAGCAGCAGAGTTTAGTGATAATACGATGAAATTTGAATGGAGGTTTGGGTTTGCTAGGGACCGGAAAAATTACACGCATGTGTAAGACAGGAGGAAAACAGGACCCGCATTTCAAATGACAGCTGACTGTAAAAGGACAATGCAACAGCCAATGAGCGTCAAAATGGCCGGGATACGTTGTCGTGCGGTTGTCGCGTACTGTCTGCGGAGGGCTCGTAGGGGATAGCACTGGTGACGCGCGCCCGAAGGTCACATGATGAAAGGCGGGCCGCCCCTTTCTCACTTGAGTGTCAAAACAACGCCGTTGCCTTGCACACCAGTCACAGTTTATATCAACCTGGTCATGGCTTCGGATTATCACTATGGCCCCAATGCCGGGATCCAGATAGGAATTAACCATGGACCTATCACGGCAGACTTCCATTCGCCCCAGCGACAGATGATTTATCAACGTGACGGATTTCCCACCGTGAGGCACGATGAATACACCATTGCTTGGATATGCGCGTTACACACAGAGATGGCAGCAGCTCGTGCCATGCTAGATGACATCCATCAATCTCTGCCCACCCATGCAGATGACACCAACACTTACGTACTGGGAAGCATTAAGCAACAGCGGGTCATTATTGCGTGTTTACCAGCAGAACAATATGGAACAAATAGTGCGACAAGTGTAATCACCAACATGAAACGATCTTTCCCAGCAGTTCGTGCCAGTTTGATGGTCGGGATTGGTGGTGGTGTTCCAAGCAAGTCCGATATTCATCTGGGTGATGTCGTCGTCGGAGTAAGGGTGATGCAGTATGATCTTGGGAAAATCGTTGGAGATGGGAAGTTCCAGCGAACAGCGATACCTAGAGCTCCTGATATGTTACTCGGGACAGCCGTGTCTGCGCTTCGGGCGAAACATGAGTTAGGACCTAGTCGAATCCCGTCTATCCTACAGCACAGGCTAGGAACAAACGTTTTTTATGGCCGCCCGAAGGCCCCAGACCGTCTTTTTCTAGCAACATACGACCACGCATCCCCGCTATCCGCCAACTGTGACAAATGTGATTATTCAAAGCTTGTACCACGAAGCAAACGGAGATCGAACAATATTGTGATTCACTACGGCGCAATCGCTTCAGGAAATCAAGTTATGAGACATGGGGTCACTCGGGATAATGTTGCTCGAGAACTTGACGTTCTCTGTTTCGAAATGGAGACAGCTGGCTTAATGGATATTCTCCCTTGTCTTCCAATTCGAGGGATCTGCGACTACTCTGATTCCCATAAGAACAAAGAGTGGCAACGATATGCCGCAGCGACTGCGGCTGCATATGCCAGGGAATTGATCGAGGAGATACCAATCACTGAGACGCACATAAAAGTGAAGTACATACAGGACGCTCGTGAGTCACCTAAGGATCGTGGGAATAACGTCAGCCGGCTACTGCTCACACTTTTAACTAGATAAGTCGCTGTCGTCTGAACATCGGCAGTGTTTGCTAGAATCCCTCAAGTTTGAGCAAATTGACTCCCGTAAATTGACCATCGAAGCAGCGCACGCCAAGACATGTTGGTGGCTTCTGAGCCATCCGAGTTACGAAGAATGGCTCAATCCCGCGAAGCTCAAACAACATCATGGTTTTCTGTGGATAAGTGGTAAACCAGGCGCCGGCAAATCGACAATCATGAAGTTTGCCTATTTGAACCTCAAACGCAAGCCCCACTATAAAAATGCTGTTACGGCGTCCTTTTTCTTTAATGCTCGAGGCGAGAGCTTAGAAAAGTCGATCAGTGGGATGTATCGATCGTTGCTGCTACAGCTACTCGAAGGGTATCCTGACCTGCAGACAGTTCTAGATAATTCAGAAGTTGTCTCGCAAACTCAAAGCGGTTGCCCATCTCTGAATATTCTGAAGGAACTCTTTTGCAATGCTGTTTCCGCCCTGGGCAACCGCTTATTTACTTGTTTCGTCGATGCTCTTGACGAGTGTGATGAGCAGCAAGTTGTGGATATGGTTCAGTGCTTTGAAGATCTAGCAGAACAATCCACAGCTAAAGGAGCCGCGTTCCGAGTCTGTTTTTCTAGTCGGCATTATCCCTATATCGTCATTCAACGAGGGATTCGACTTACGCTAGAGGACCAACTAGGACATACAGAAGACTTGACAGCCTACGTCGCATCCCGTCTTATAGTTACGGACGTTTCTCTGAACGAAGAGCTACGATCTAAAATTATCGAGAAGGCTGACGGTGTCTTTTTGTGGGTAGTTTTGGCCGTTAATATGCTCAACAAGGAGCATCGGCGAGGTGGAATGTCTCTGAGGAGGAGACTCGCAGAATTACCCAGCGATTTAAGCGAGCTGTTCAAAAACATCCTTAACCGTGACAAAGAGAATATAGAGGCGCTGTTGCTCTGTGTCATCTGGATTCTTTATGCTGAACGACCTTTGCAGCCAAATGAGTTTTATCATGCTCTATGGTCAGGTTTGTCACTGAAGGGTCTAGTAGACGACCAAATTCCAGATGTCGCTGCTCCTGACTCTAGTGACAATCTGAACAAATTCAAGAGATATGTCATTAGCTCCTCAAAAGGGCTTGCTGAGACTACGGAAGCCAAACAACCAACAGTTCAATTCATACATGAATCTGTTCGCGATTTCCTGGTCAAAGACAAGGGCTTATATGAACTGTGGCCTGAAATCGGATATGATTGTGCAAGCCTAAGCCATGAGACGCTAAAGCAATGTTGCAGCGTTTATCTGAACCATAGCCTAGTGCGCCAATCTGTGAACAGATTGCCTTCAGAGCCCAATTCGAGTACACAATCTGGTATCTCACAACGGTATCCATTCCTGCAGTACGCCAATCAACACATTCTCCATCATGCCAACGCCGCCGCGAAAGTGTGTCCTCAAGAAAAGTTTCTCTCTGCATTTAACGTCCCTGACTGGATTGTCGTTAACAATCTTTTCGAGAAATTCAAAATTCGAAGATATACTGCAAACACAAGTTGTTTTTACATTTTCGCAGAGAAAGGACTATCTGAGCTCATTCGTACGATGGCCCACGAGGACCCACAAGTCTATATGCCCCGGGAGAAATACAAGTATCCGCTTTTCGCTGCTTTGGCCAGTGGCAGTAGAGACACTGTTGCTGCTGTCTTAAACCTGCCATCAACTATCTGCAACGGAGTCGACATCATTAGGGGTATTGAGACCAAGAAAGATTTCATAGGATACGAATGTCGAACACCCCTTTCTTGGGCTGCCGGGCATGGTTGTACAGAAATTGTCAAACTACTCCAAACAGAACAAACCATCAATCAAATGGATAGGTTGGGGCATACTCCGCTCACACAGGCCTCAATAAATGGTTACGAGGCCATAGCGAGGCTTCTCATCGAGAGAGGAGCAGACATCCACGCTAGCGACAAGAACGGATGGACATCGCTTCACTGGGCCTCAATGAACGGCCACGAGGCGACAGTGAGGCTTCTTATCGAGAGAGGGGCGGACATCCACGCTAGCAACGGCAGCGAAGGGACATTGCTTCACTGGGCCTCAATGAGGGGCTACGAGTCAATAGCGAGGCTTCTCATCGAGGGAGGAGCGGACATCCACGCTAGCGACACGAACGGAAAGACATCGCTTCACTGGGCCTCAATGAACGGCCACGAGGCGACAGTGAGGCTTCTTATCGAGAGAGGAGCGGACATCCACGCTAGCAACAGCAGCGAAGGGACATCGCTTCACTGGGCCTCAATGAACGGCCACAAGGCGACAGTGAGACTTCTTATCAAGAGAGGAGCTGACATCCACGCTAGCGACAAGAACGGATGGACATCGCTTCACTGGGCCTCAATGAACGGCCACGAGGCGACAGTGAGACTTCTTATTAAGAGAGGAGCTGACATCCACGCTAGCGACACGAACGGATGGACATCGCTTCACTGGGCCTCAATGAGGGGCTACGAGGCAATAGCTAGGCTTCTTATCGAGAGAGGAGCGGACATCCACGCTAGCGACACGAACGGAAAGACATCGCTTCATTGGGCCTCAATGAACGGCCACAAGGAAGTGGTGAACCTTCTTCTCAATAGTGGGGCAATGGTCAACACTGACGTTGGCGCATGGACACCTATCCAACAGACTGTAAATGATCCGAGGCAGTGGCGACGCTCCTAATCGAAAAAGCAGCAGAAGTCAACACCAGCGATGGAGACGGCTTCCACCCCTTCACTGGGCCTCAATGAATGGTAATAAGGATATAGTGAAGCTTCTCCTCGAGGAAAGAGCAAATGTTAACGCCAGCGACAACCACGGGTGGACGCCGTTTCACTGGGCCTCCGCAATGGGCCATCAGTTGATAGCGAAGGGCCTTATTGAAAAAGGATGAGACATATGTATCAGTGATAATGAGGGATGGACTGCGCTTGAATGCGCGTCTTCGAATGGCTATGATGAGGTTGTAAAGTTCATAACCAACAAGAGAGCATAGGTGATATGAGCTGAGCAACATAGAATGGTCGGAATTATTTCATTTAGGATCTTTTAATTGCCACGACGTAGTGCCAAAGCTCCCTGACGAAAGAGGAGCGTAAGCCAACTCCAGCAAAAGAGGCTGGTATTCTGGAGCAGCTAATCGTAAAATGTATCTAGCATACATAACAAGAGAAATGCTTCGCAGTAGACTATCTTTGCTCGGTGGTGCTTTGAACATGTCAGATTTCAATATATTTAGAAGAAATTTTGTGGATGATACTTCTATTGCAACCAGCAGCCAATATCATCTGCGATACGGATAGTTCTTCGCTCTAGAACATATGGAAGATAAGCTTACGCATTGACGGGGCAAAGATTGATGCCATCTTGATGTAGCAACGACTTATAACTATCTGTCTAGAGCTGTCAAGAGCTCTGTGCCTTGTCTCAAGGAGAGGGGTGTAAAAGGTCGTCCGACGTAATTAATACAGGCTAATACAACCCCACTATAGCTGCATACAGTGGCGCCCCAAAAGTCTGTGACCACCCCCTATTGACCGCTCCGATCTCCGCCTTCCTAAAATAGGCTAGCACGCCCAGTCGCGTTATAGAATCGCGGTCGCGTCTCGACGATACGGTCTCTCTATTAGACTATATGTCAGGATGTCGGATACGTGTATCATCTAGTATCGAGGGACGGCCAATTGATGCATGAGATGGATTAACGAGAGTGTGTCTGTGTGTTCCGATCTGTTGAAAATGATCCAGGGGCTATAAACTGCGTATTACATCACAGTTCTTCCGAGAATGACCCGAATTACCATACAATTACTATTGCAATGTGGGTGGATGCTGAATAACCAAGAGCAGTGGAGAATCCACAGTATTTTACCTCTCTCAGAGTTGACACACCCCCCCAGCATCCGCTCTCATTGCTGAGGTTATTCCAACCAAGTGTGGATATCCTCCATTCCCAGTTGTTGCAGGAACTCGGTGTGTTTCTGTCGTGGGAGCTGCTTTGTTAGGCCGTCCGCGGCCATATCCTTTGTTTCCACCCATTCAACATGTATCCGGCCAGTTTGAACCTCCTGTCGAAGCCAGTGATGGTGTATGTCGACATGACGAAGCTTCGTACGTAAATGAGGTATTTCCCTGGTGAGTATACCAATCGTTTGCTGGTTATCGCAATTGATCGATAAAGGGTGTTCAGGATCAAAGCGGATGGATAAGAATAGGCGCTTCCACATTTCCATGGTCTTCGCGGCTTCCGAAATCGCTAGCAGCTCTGCTTCCGTGGTGCTAGTGGTAACCGTATGTTGCTTGCTGGCACGCCAATCAACTGCTCCACCAAACATCTTGCAGATATATCCTTCTGAGCTCTTCCTATCTCTGTTATCCGCAAATGATGCATCGCTGAAGAAGGATACTGCTTCAATGTCTCCATGTGGACGTGAGCGATACGTCAAAGCAAGAGAACGCGTGTGATATAGATAGGTAATGACCCTGTTGATGGCGTCAAGGTGCTCAGGTCCTGGATTTGTGAGGAATTGTGCAAGCGCAGAGGTTGCTTTTGCTGCATCTGGTCTGGTGATTGTGGTAGCATATTGCGTTGATCCAACTTTCTGCTGATACTCATGGATCTGTTGTCGAGTTGCTTCTCCTTCATATGGCTTCAGTGCCAGTGCTGAGGACAGTGGGGTGTCAACTTTGCGGCCATTTGTGAGATGGTACCGGCTTGCCATAGAAGAGATATAAGAGTCCTGACAGAGCCAGAGTGCTTTCTCCTGCCGATCTCGAACAACTCGGATTCCAAGAAACCACGCTGCTTCTCCCATGTCACGTAGTTCCCACTGCTCATTAAGCTTCTGGCGCAGTTCCGTTGCGCGTGTGCGCTGGGCTGGATGGTTGACGATGATGATATCATCCACATAGAAGAAAACAATGATGCCGTTTGTGGAGAAGAGGCAGAGGTCTTCCTGTACAACTTGTAAGCCAAAAGAAGTCAGGACCTTAGACGCTTCTTGTTGCCATAGCCTTGGAGACTTTCGTAAGCCATAGAGAGCTCGCTTGAGTTTCCAGCACTGCCTCTGTTCCTTGAAACCCTCTGGCATCTCAGTGATGATCTCCTCATCAATCCAACTATTAAGGAATGCATTGACAGCATCATACTGGTAAGTGTCAAGGTCAAAAGCAGCCACTAATGAGAAGACTGCTCGTGCAGTGCGTGCAGCGAGGGTTGCCGAGTATTTCTCCTCTGTGGTAAGTTTCTGGAGATCTCCTCGCACGCAGATTCTGGCCTTGAGCTTGCTGAGATAGCCATTGCTATCAACCTTATAGTTGAACACCCAACGGAGTGGTAGAATCTGTATGCTGTGGTCATTTGGTCGTTGTATGACCTCATATGTGCCTTTCCTCTTGATTGTCTGAATTTCAAGAGCACAAGCTGCCAGGAATCCCTCTCGGTAAGGATGGTTCATCATCTCCTTCCAGTTTCCTGGCTCTGGAGGTAACTCATCCTGATGCACTTGCGCGTGTGTGCGGGAGCTGTTTAATCCAGTAGCGAAGGCTGCGAGTACGCTATCCTCTTCCTTCTCAGAGATAGCTTGAAAGCTGACAAAGTTGTCATCCTCTCTTGTTCGTCGTTTTCTCGTTCCTCTCACAATGTTTCGTTCTGAAATGTCACCATCGATATCTCTAGGTGCTCTGGGAGTCTCCTGTGCGGGTGATGCAGCTGTGAGCTCATTTTGAAGCTGCTCAGCATGGTCATATGACTCCCGTGGCGGTGAGCTAGGGAATGTTCCTGGTGGAAGCGAAGGTGCCCGTTGCTGTGATGCTGATGGCGTTGGTGAAGGTGTAGCCATCTGTCGTCCCTCCTTCTGCTGCGAATTTGTTGCTTTTCCTGCTGAATGTCTTGCTGCTTGTTCATGCATGTTCTCAGCAGCGCTTTCTCTGCTTCCTGCTTCATTTGAGGAAAGAGGGACTATCTGGTGTTGTATCTCCTCTTCCTCATCCTGTTCAGTGATCCAGGGCATTGATTCAATTATATCGCTGACTGGTGGTTTGTCTAGTTCTCGTGGGTTGAAGAACTGGTTCTCATCAAAGACAACATCTCGCACTGCCCGTACAGCTCCTCTCTGTGGAAACCATACTCTCCAGATATTTGAGGCTTCATAGCCAACGAGATAACCGATCTCTGCGCGAGGCTCCATCTTCGCTGCATTCGGGATGCCCTGCTTGCGTACATACGCTCTGCATCCATAGATTCTGAGGTTGGCAAGGTTGACTCGTGGTGGTTGGTCTTGCTGGACATGAAGTGCTTCCTGGTATGGGACAATCCACTTTCCATCTCTCATCCTCGTGGGCGATCTGTTAACTATCCAAACAGCTGCTTTGACTGCTTCTGGCCACAGGTCTTTCGGAAGACCTGCATCCTGCAGTAGTGCGCGTGCTATAGTGACTATCACCCCCCAGATCGCTCCGCGAAGCCATTTTGCTCTGGCGTTCCAACGACGCTATGCTCAACAACAAAGCCTTCCTCTGCTAGGAATTGCTCTACCGTACGACCTGCTGAACGCTCATTATCATAGCGAAAGGCTCGGATTGGTAGGTTCCACTGGGTCCTCACATATGCACAGAAGAGTGTCACAGCTTGCTGACAACCACTTTTCTTCTCGTGAGTGAATGCTGCATGGAATCGAATTCCATCCACATAGAAATGGGATAACCAGCGATCACCATTATAGGCAGGGTCAATTTGAACAAGGTCAAAGTGTATTCTCCCAAATTTCCCGTATGTGGCTCCCTGTGGTCTTCTTGATATCTGACGTTTCGCAGAGGTGATCTGACAGACCTCACATCGTTCAGGGTTACCATGAGAGTTGTCTTCACTCTTTCCATCAATTTTGACTCCATCCACCATCGCTGGCAACAGTTCAATCTTCTGGCTATATGCGTGGCCTAGCCGACGATGCCAGCGCCTGGCTGATGCTGCTGAAATGAGTGGCTTTTCTGACTGCTTGGTGGCAAAGGCTGCATCAGAAGAGCAGTATTCCATGAAGTATAATCCCTTTTCCTTTCGCACATGTAACACTGGACTGTCGCTGTTGTTGACAATGGCTTTCTTGCTAGGATTCCACCAATATCCTTTATCCTCAATCTTTGAATAGGATATCAGATTGGTATGGAAGCCCGGGGAATAATGAACATTGGTGAGCTCTACCACTTGAGGCTCGCCAGTTTGAGGGTCCTGGCCTACCATGTCCACAGTGCCATACCCTGTAGTAGCAGTCATAGTATCACCTGTTTTAACAGAGCTTTCCCCTTTGATGAACACTTTGAAACGCCAACGATCATTACAGATATGCAGGGTAGTGCCTGAATCAAGAATCCAGCGATTTCTGAGCGGTTTGGCCACCTGATGCTGACCAGTTGATGCTGCAGCTGCAATGAAGAAGCTAAGCTTCTCTTCTGATACTGCTAATTGAGCCTGCGCTGGTGGTGCTTCCTTCTTTTTCTCCATCAGCTGCTTGATCTTCTGTTGATCCTGAGGACTCATTTGCTTGATAGCATCAGTTAAGCGCTTCGCAATTCCTTCTCTTGGCTTCCAGTTGTCACTTCGCAGGGTCTCATCAATATACCAGCACTCTGAGTAGTGGTGTCGAGGGTATCCGCATGGGCACTTCGTTCGATAAGTCTTCTCTGTTTTCCCAGTTGGCTTTGCCTCTTTCTGACCATCCAGGGTTGCGAAGGCCATCTTCGGTTGCTTCTTTCCAGAAGTGAGTGCTAGATCTCCACGGCGGCTACGATAATCGGCAATAACCTCATGAAACGTAGCAGTCGTGTTCATACGAAGCTCACGTCGCCATCCCGAGCAGAAGGTGTCATCTAGCCCCTGCACAGCATCTAGGAAGTCACGAATAGCATCATCTTTCTCAATACAGTCAGGAACCTTGGCAGCTTTTGCCTCCTCATATAAGCTTTCCCACTGTGTGAGCCACTGATCAATGCTAACATCTCTCGCAGGTTGCCTGATCATCAATCTCCACGCACGTCGGAGCTCCTGTCGTCGATTCTCAGGCTTTGGCTTGAATGTCTCTGCCAGTTTCAATAGCTTCTTCCTTGGAGTTTCCTCATCGACAATAAGATAGTGAAACTCAGTGGCTACTGAACGGGTAATAAGGCTATTCATGCGCGCCATAGCCTTAACAAGCCGCTGTCGCTTTGTTTCCTGCCGCTCATACAGCTGTATCTGCAACTGCCATCTCCTTAACTCATCATCAGTGAGGTCCATGATATCCTTCTCTCTACCGCGATGGTCCACAGGCATCATAGGTTCCCGATGTGCGATTGGAAGCTGTTCAACTTCTTCGTCCGACTTCTCGAGGTCAAGATAATTCCACACATCTTCAGATATGGCTGCTGACCTGATATGTCCTATCCAGATCCTCCACTGCGATTCCGCCCGTAGTTTCTGATCGGGTGGGATCATTGCCATCTCCTCTCTTTGTGAATCGGCCATCCTGTCTTCTCTCGCGATGATACTGATGCTGTGTTGATGCTAGGTTCAAGGGTACGGGATTGCTGCGTTGAGCGCGGGGCGAGGTTCCAATTTCTCGCGTGATGCGTGCGTTCAGGGGTATCCCGATCGTGCGAATCGCTGCTGCAGTGCTGCCAGGGGTGGTACGCTCGCAGTTACACGTGTGCGGCGCGGCTAACCGGGCTCATAACTGTCAGGATGTCGGATACGTGTATCATCTAGTATCGAGGGACGGCCAATTGATGCATGAGATGGATTAACGAGAGTGTGTCTGTGTGTTCCGATCTGTTGAAAATGATCCAGGGGCTATAAACTGCGTATTACATCACAGTTCTTCCGAGAATGACCCGAATTACCATACAATTACTATTGCAATGTGGGTGGATGCTGAATAACCAAGAGCAGTGGAGAATCCACAGTATTTTACCTCTCTCAGAGTTGACACTATATCCCACGATGCCTCGTGGAAGAGCTTTACCACAGCGCCCAGTGCCTAAGGGCCCTCTACCTACACCTCCCAGGCCACCTAATCTTCCACCTACTAGCGCACCACGTCGCCAGAATTGTGAACTGGACCCGAATCTACGTACCCAGATCACTACATTAAAAGAGGTCGCTAAGTGGTCTTATGGGGAAATTCATAAGAAATTCCCTGATTTACCACTTTCAACTATCAAAATGACATGCCTACGATCAAGGATTCGACATAAAGAGCAGTCTTTAAGCGATCTGGACGACCAAAGATCCTAAATGAAGACGATCGTCAAAAGATACTTCAGAAGATTCACGAAACACCTCGAGTCACGTACGAAGATCTACTCTCTGAGGTCGATAATAAGTGCAAAAAAAAGTCAATCGCTCGTCTTGTGTTGAGAACCTTCGAAAGTGGCGAGTACTGAAACGACCTTATCTAAAACCTGAACATGCTGAACAACGACTCGCGTGGGCTTTCCGGTATCAACACTATACAAAAGAGGATTTCGACCGTGTTTTCTGGTCTGACGAATGTACAGTTGAGCATGGTATCGGACTTCGACCAGAATATACGTTTATTCGTCCTGGAGAACAAGCAATCCAAGGCGAAGTCCATCCAACTCCATACCGAGGATTCCAAGTTAAACAGATGTTTTGGGCTTCATTTTCTGGCTCTCCTCGACGAACTGCTCTTATCCCACTTTCTGGAGATCCGAATTCACGTAGGGGAAGTGTAAATCGTTTTATTATTCTTGATTTATATCGTCGAATCTTACCAACACTACTTATCGACCCAAGATCAATTTTTCAGCAAGATAATGCTCCATCTCATACTGCAATTATTGTACGTGAATATATTGCTGAACTTGGACGTGAGATCATAATCTGGCCACCTTATTCGCCAGATCTTAACCCAATTGAAAATCTCTGGACGTTATTAAAACAGAAGATCTATCAAATCCGACCAGATCTACTGCATATGCCTAATAACGATAATACGCTAGAGGTTCTGATCGCTACAGCCGAGGAAGCCTGGCAGCAACTTGACCTTGGTATCTTAGAAGGTCTATCAGAGAGTATGCCACGTAGGGTGCAGGCTATTATTGAGTCTAATGGATGGTATACTAGATATTAGTTATATTTGAATATTATCTGGAGTTTTTGGTACGGCAGAATTATGGCAGAAAATAGCGGTGAATAGGGGGTGGTCACAGACTTTTGGGGCGCCACTGTAACTCACTGATCGCTGAAATCATTTTCCTCGCTGTCGGCGTATTCATTATGACCGGTACCCGAGACCTCTTCTACAAAGTCATGTGGACTCTTGTCTTCTGCCCGCTAGGCATGGGCGGGGCAATGGGCGGATTGATAAATTGCTTTATCGTTGACTATTACTACGGGAAAAAGGCCGCTCATTTCACCGGAATACTGGCGCTCCTGATTCTCAGCACTTGTAACTATCTTTGTTACAACCTCGGCAGACATTTTGGGTGGTTTGGAGCCGCGGAACATCCGATGTGGTTCTATTGGCGGTATCCGATGATCTGGGCGGTTGGGTTTTGGAATGGGGTGCTTCTGTTTACAGATAAGGGGCAAGAGAAACTTGCTAGATTGGGGTTATGATTTATTTTTGTGGACTTATCTCTGAGCATGGACTACTGGACTAGGTTCGACTGAGAGGCTCGAAACCTGAAGTGGGAGCCTCGCAATTTCAACATTTGCGTATGGTCTCCGTGTATAAATCGTGAATCTGCCAATTTGGAACCTTAGTGTCAGCTGCGGCCGCGCTTCCTCTCCGCACTAGGAACCACAATAAAAATTTTACCGGGACCGGGGCATCCGTTACTTTTCATATGGCGACTTGATAGGTCTTGGCTCCTGTTTTATTTAATTACTGTGCTTGCATGTCTCTTCTCGTAATAGGTGAATTCATATGCATAATTACGGGTACATTTTGTCGCTATTCAATTCAATTCAATTCAAAGTTCTATTAACCTGATGCAGCCCAACTAGAACGTAATGGCTATGCAGGTGCTTCCTCCGTCGGAAACAAGAACTCGTCCAAACGCCACCCCCAACAGTAACAAATACAAAGAAAACACTGCATGTCGCGATTCAAAAACAGGTGACAATCTCACAAAACCCGTCATAGAACGCTCAAAATGAATGTAATTGGCTTATGCCAGCACACGTCGTGCCATGCGGCCACATCCCATCCCCGTATTGCCGCATCATCCCATGCTTCTGCTTCCACATCTGCTCCAGTTGGCATGCAGTTTTTCAACATGCCCTGTTCGATCGATATCGTTCCTCATCGGTGTTGTATTTCTCCCACTGTCTCTCGTCGCTGTAGGTTTTTGAGATCTTCCTTATACCCAGCGTCTTCACCTCCTGCTGCCACCTTGCCAAGTTATTTTGGCGTGTTAATGTTTGCATCAACATCCTCGTAGTCCACGTGCCTGGACTGACCGAGGAGTCCTGTCCGGTGCATGAATTCGGCCACGTAGCGGATGGCCTGCGAGTCCGACATGATCGTGTCATAATCGGTTGTTCTCCCCAGATCGGTTTTGTACCAGATCTTGTTCAACACCACGGTCCTAAGCCCGGTGTATAACGGACACTGGAGAAGGACATGCATGGGAGTCTGGCTGCCCTCGTCACAGTGACACCGGTCTGTGGCCCCCTCTGCCCTCTGCTGTGCGGTGGCGATCTTGAACAGGAAATGTCGAAGCCCAATCGCTGTGGCCTCATCTGAATGAGAATTGAGGTGTAGGGATTTGAGAGCCCCTCATATAGACCTAGAGCCTTCTTGTGCGGTGTGTTGACCAGTCGATAGGTCGGTCTTCCTGTCTTCTCTCTTACCCACTCCCTTGCCCATCTATCCCTCATCCGCTGCCGCACTCAGCACCTCGCTGAGGAGGCAAGGCGATATGCTTCGGGAGCACTATTCTTCGCCCCATCTCCGTTCTCCGCAGCAACCTTAGCTTCAACGTCAGCTGCTTCATTACCATGCACGCCCACATGTGCGGGGATCCAACGGATCTCAACGGCGGGAATCTGGCCGGACGTGGGTGTGTGAGAAGTTGATCGGAGGGCCCGTACATGATCATATATGCGTGCGAGCATGTACTGGCCGCCTGGCTGTCAGAGAAAATGACCAGCTTCTTGCTGCACTCTTCTGGTCATATGTTTGGTTTTGGTGTTTGAAAAACTTAGAGAGAGTCATCTCTATACCGTTGAGCTCAGCAACGTATACTGAAGAGTCCTCTGTGGAACCGAGATGTCTTCGTTCAAAGATGCCTGTGCGCGGGGCAACCGCGGAGGCACCCACATGGCCTTCGTAGCCACTACCATCGGTGAAGGACGAGACCGTCGGGGGGCGGTTGGCATCTGAGGGCTGTCGGATAATCTGTGGGTGTTGGATATCTTGGTGTTCCTGGAGTTGCTGGGTCTCCTGGAGATGTTGGAGATCGTCCTGCAACCGGTCAAAAGTACGCTCACACTCCCAATCAAGGAGTTCCCTCTCAATCTGGTCATGCGAGGCTCGCGCTGCCTCTGCATCTTCAATAACGCATGGGATCCGTGCCTCCCATGGCGCTAATATGAAGGCCTTCCACGTCTCCCACTTCTGTGGGCTAGGGGCCTGAGAACTCAGGGAGTGCCCCTCATTTCTCTTCCACCGTAGATCTTCCAGTGGGCTCCACCCTCCACGTCTCTGCTTTGCCTTCCTTTGCTGGTACAGGCATGCTGGCTGAGCCCAGCGCGCCCCTGTCTGTATGCGGATAGCTGCTTCCTCAATGTTTTGTTGCATCTGGAGATGGATTGGTTGGATAAAAAGCTCCACATTGAGCGTCTCCGCACTAGTGCTCTTGAAAGCCCCACTGATCAAGATCGCCGCACGTTTTTGGACCCTGGTGAACTCCGCTATCACACGGTTCCTTTCCGCGGCGGGAAGGGCCCCTGTGGCAGGGCAGTACCAGGCTGATAGTCCGTAGAGCATCTGTGGCACCACTACTGCCTGGTAGACCTTCCTCATCGCCAGCAGCGAGGCACCCCATGTGGAGCCAGAGATTCCGCGCAGAGCGTCCAAACTGCCGTTGGCCTTCGCGATCAGCTGTCTTCTAAGTTTGTCAAATAAGAGACATTTGTCCAGCCAGATTCCTAGATATTTAGCATGTTCCTTAGGTTGAATTGGGCATCCAGAGGTGTAGACTAGCATTCGGTCATTGCCTTCTGGGTGGCAAGCTGCAAAGTCGTATATATCCACTGAATGGTCGTCGGCTTGGCCGTTGGATCGAATATCGGTCTGAATTCCAGGTTCAGTGTTGGTGTGGTCATTGGTCGGTGTGCTGTCCTGGTTGATTCTCGGATTGGTGAAGTGAATAAGTTCAAACTTGTCCGCTGCGAATTTGGCTGCATGCCTCCTTGCCCATAGTTCTGCCTTATCCAGGGCCTTCTGCAGGAGCTGTACATTGACGTAATAGGATTCTAATACTGCTATAATAGCTGCATCGTCCACCCAGCCATATCCTACAGTTGTTCCCTCACCCAGTTGTTGGCAGCAGGCATGGATTAGCGGGGAGTTGAAGAGCAGAAAGAGAATTGGGGAGAGCGGCGAGCCCTGAGGAATCCCTGTGGGCGTTGGGAACGCCTCACTGAGATAACCAGGCACTTTGATCCTGGTGCTCCATCCTGATAGGAATGACGTTATCCATGGCGTGAAGTAACCAAGGCCGAGCTGAGTTATATTGGCTAACAACCTCTCATGTGAGACATTATCATATGCTCCCGCCACGTCTAGCAGGATCATTGACACCTTTCGGCCGTTTCCCCACGCCTTATGAATGCGGTAGAGAATCAGCTGAATAACATGGTCAATCGAGATGCCTTTTCGGCCCCCGAGATGGCTGTCAGGGAGCAGTTTGAATTCATCCACTGCCCAGGCAATCCTGGCTGCCACCACTGATTCCAGTAGCTTAGCAAGGAGTTGATAAGTGCCACTGGCTTGTATGACTTTGGGATGCGGTAGTCACGAGGGCCCCCTTTCCGAAGGGTGAGCGTGATTGACAGCTGGAAACACCGAGGATTGAATCCCGTTCGCATACACGCGTCAAAGACCCTGGCCACGACTGGAACGAATTCGTTGCACAGGGCGGCCAGCACCTTCCACACGCGGTTAGGGAGACCATCCTCACCAGGTGCCTTGTCTGGCGGTGCTCTGTGAATAGCATCAGAGATCTCCTGCTCTGTCACGCCAGGGAAGTCAATCAGAGGACGATGATATAGGCGGCGGCTGCTGCTGAGGTCCAAGAGATCCGCCTGCGGTGGCTGAGGGAAGAAAACCTCACGGAGCAGATTGACCTTCTCTAGATTGCTTTCCGCAGGCGAGGCGTCACTGCCTGGCACCTTTAGCGGCGGTATCATACTGCTGCCACTGCTCTGGTCCCTGTTCCTGGCCCACTTAGATACTTTCCAGAGGCCCCGGGGGCCCTGTTCAGTGGCCGATTTAACCCAGTTTCGGACCAAAAGACATTAAGCAGCTTCGACAGACCTACTTGCATAGGCCACTACCCCAGTTTTCCGCCCAAAACTTGAGGCTTCTAGACTCTCGAGGTTCACCACGCCTCTCACCCTGGGTGTCTCTCAGTTTGCTCCATAAGCATACATCACGGGCAGGCCAACTAGGTCAACACCGCTTCAACCGACCAAGGCCAGTCTCAGGCCCCCAGTGCGAGTGAGGTAGTTGGCTTCCGTCTCTTTGTACACCGATACGCGCATCCGTCCTCTCGGGCCATACAGACAGTCTCTTGGCAGGACTTAATCCTGCCACAGTGGCTGCCATTGTACACCATGCCCCGCGAGAGCTCGCACTCTCGTTTCGCGTTACCTAGAGAGGTCTCCCTCCACTAGGCCGACCGTGTCTTGCAGAAAGCCCTCGTATACGCCCCAGCCGGCAGTGTATGTCGGTCGCTCCCCACTAACCAAACTTGTTCCCCAGTGACTGAACAGGTTCGATGATTTACCCGTGGCATAGCCTTAACGAGCTCCATCGTTTGCCACCAGCCAGCCACCAATATCTTCCAGATTACCCGTGTATCTCCCAAGAGGGATGCCCGTGTCTCGGCGGTGCCCGTGTCTCGCAGAACAGCCGCACCCAGAGCTTGCCCGTGGCTAGGCCTTAACGAGATCTCCTGTGAGCGATGTCCCCGAGCCTTAACGAGTTCGAGTCTTAACGAGGCCTCTGAGCCTTGAACGAGGTCTGTCCGATATTAGCTTGATTGCCTGCGTCACTGGTTCACTACCGCCTCGCCGCATCTCGCACGATGCGATCCCAGACCGTATGCAAGCTCAGAGGTGTCCTGTCTTCTTCCTAGGGCGACACCACTTCGACTAGTAATGCAAGACCAGCGTCTGGGCCCGAGTGCGAGTCGGGTAAGAAGAAGTCGGATGGTTTTCAACTCCCAAATCCCTGATTTTGATGTGGTTGTGTGGTCGTGCCCCGCACCGAACGCACCGGGCCGAACCGCACAACCACAGCGGATTCACTTTGGTCTCCCCAACGGGGATTAACACCGGACACCACGAGAAGGTATGAATCCATTGTCCTAACAGCCTGGCGAGGACTGTCACCCAGTGCGAGCTCACTGGGGGCTTCGTTTCAGGGCATTTTACGTGACGAGCGTGGGACCCCCCCCCCCCCCCCGGGGTGAATTTTACATGAAACAGCTATACAACTGCCATCTTTCCTCTAGCGAAGATAGGTTCCATTATTTCAAGTATACCTGTTGAGTATCACTCTTAATTAGCCTTGCAATATGCTGCCGAGATTCCTCTCCTAAAGCTGCATTTTTTTTGGGATGGAATCGAGAGCTCCAAATGCCGAACTTTTGCTCGAGTAGATAATATTGCTTTTTGGGGCATGTGCAGCTGCTCTTGCCCATGTTCTCACCTGGGAGCCTTATTTTTGCTTTTTCGTACAATACTGACCTGAGCTGCGCGAAATCAGCCTGAGTGAGGCTGAGTCTTTAGCGCCCACAAAATGAGGCTCGTCCCAGCTTTATTCGGATCTTCGAGCCCTCAACACTTTTCTCTCAACTTGCTCTCTACTGCCACTCCATGAACGCCCTAAATAGGTCTCGCCACCCCCCGCTGCACTCTCTCCAATGGCGGAAAAAATTTTCTACCCGCCAGACGAGCATCTACCGCTTGCAGGATAGTCGTTTAAGCGTGCCCACTGGGGAATCAGTGATCGATGAGTTCTTCCGCAGATTCGAACCAGGTCTGTCCCCGCCCCGCAGCCATGAGCCGCTGAGACTTTTCCTCGAGCAAACCGGAGCGCTGCATTCGTTCCTGGACATTTTTGGGAGCCAACGTCCACCATTGAACAGACGGGTGCTCGCCGTGGTCGACGACCGATGCGATCCTTGCTTGCAGATAACAGGCATCGCGGAAAGCGCGGCTTTCCTGCCTGTTCGACCATGGGAGTCCGAAGAGTACATGCGACGGCCTCCTGAGGGTTTGTATACTCAGATTTGCGGCGTGGATGCGGAAATGCTCTACAAACATCTTAATCAGGATGTATGTTATCTCCCCTTTAGATTATGGTCTTCTTCTGATCTTCCTAGAGAACAGGCCGCGCAGAGCGCCGGATCATGTAGGTTTTCTCTATCATCGATGAATAGGGGCTAATTGAAAAGATATTTGGTCGATCTGACACCACTGGCGGGCCTCGCCTTGATCTCAACTGTCAATTATTTTCATCTTCCCCAAGTGAGGTCGTTTCTCTCGCGATACGTGGCGTTTGACTCGTACATAGGAATCTCGCAGGTATTCTTACTGTGGGAGAGGAAAATTAGAAAGTGATTGCTGACATTATTTCGAGATCCGCGGTTTCACCCTAGAATTCCATCTGCCGCATTACGTCCTTCGGCCAGAGGATGATCGGCTCCGAGATGGTCGGCGACTTCGGAAACACCGTCTTTTTCGCCTCTCTGGTCAGGATGCCATCTACGAGGTTCAACTATCCTTAGTCGTTTTTGGGGTCGATGAATTCTTCTGGACAGCCTATTTCTGCGAAGACGCGTACTTCCGATCCAGCAATCCAATCACCGAGCACCTTAAGGATAAGGGAGATGGGCCGTCGTCGGGTGTGCGGATGAGCAAGTTCCCTATCTGGGACCCGCGGTACTATTTTCTCTACATTCTGGTCATTCGCTTGGGACAAATCACGATGGAATGGGCGGTCTTGACGGATATCATCGCCGGTCATCTTGACAAGCATGTATTTACACTCCCTCCAGTGCCCCTTGAAACATTAATATGTACGCAATCTAAATCGCTAACCAGGATGACCTGTTCCTGGAAGACGACCCGTCCCTGAGGAAAACGAAAGAATATACTTGGATCTTAGTCACATTACGACGGCTTCGTAACCTACTAGCTCGAGTAATCGCGACGCTGGTCTCCTTCGATGCGAATAATTGCGTCTACTTTGACCTTGAAGCTGAGGGAGCCCTGTACGACCGGTTCCGCGAGTGTTTCGACCAGGTGCGTCAACTAACCGCAGAGCTGTCTTCTGCCCAAATGGTTCTAGAGCAGCGGATCGAAACATTAGAGAAAATGTCGGATGTGGTACGTCGGTTCTAATTGACTTAATCCCTTCAAGGATGTTTCTCTAATATGTTTCAAGCTGGTGAATGCTTCCTCCTTGGCAAAAAGTATCACGGCCACCCGCCAGGGGGACAATATCCGGCTTTTGACGTATATTAGTATTGTGGGTCTCTTTACTTATCTGCTGAGCGTAGCTAATAAAATATCAGATCTATCTCCCAGTGACTCTGGTGACGGTGCGTTACGCGGTTTGATATACCAGTTTACATACTAAGATACTGCAATTAGGGCATCTTCAGTATGAATCAAGTCAGCGGCGAGAATGCCTGGTGGAAATACTGGCTCTGTCTCATTTGTCTCACAGCTGGCACTATCACCATGGCTATCGGAGTACAAATCATCAATCCCCGTTGGAGATATGGACAAAACATGCCTAATATCACTTGAAAGTGGTGCAGTAAGAACATACACGATGATTGCAGTAAGAACATATTGGTTCCATTTCATACATTCTCGGGCCAGCACCGCAATTACACTGAACAATCAGTAGCTTTCTCAATATTAAATGGGTTTTCGCTGTCTTACACATATATACAGGTATGCCAATTGAGACATCCCATATGTCGGACTTTGGCATTCCGCACATTTCTCATGTTGACATTTCTCACACTTTCCTGAGTTGGCATTGTTATATGATTTGCAATCTTCAATGCACTGGACGTGTATCAGTGCTGGATAGTATGAAGAAACTTCGAGGCCGCTTACACAGTACCAGTCCTTCCCTAATTGGACAGGAAGATGGAGAGAGAATATATCCCTCGGAAAGAAATCCATAATCAAGTGAGGTCCAGTATAGGTGGTAGATATGTAAAGAGAGTAAAAAGAGTAGATGGGTAGTAAGACGAGAAAAATGGGAGGGGTAGAAAATCGTTTTCTGAAATAGACGAGGCTACCCTTGTCACGCTGACATAGCTGGCGATTGGTGGATCGAAGATACAGCTGAAACTATCAAGTTATCCCATAAATGTATTGTGAGTGTAATTATATTGTATATTATATCTACAATAGGTTACAATAAGTAAACATTAATTTGATGGCGGTATATCGGTAGTCGCTTCTTGCGTTGGTGTCGCTTCTTGGGATTGGCGTGATCGCTGACTCCGACGCCCCCGAAGCACGTTGAAGTGATTGTTATCTTATCCGAAGAAGCCGCATATCTGCAGGGCCAATTGAGTCAGGTTCTCCCGCCGAGCCCAAGCTCCCCGCCACGCTATGTGCGCAGACAGGGGCCATTTCCGGGTCTGGCTCGTGCCTTGGCTCTGGGCATGGGTATGCTGGTGGTGCGGGAGGTCGGCAGATGGAGCTCTGGTGGGAGGCGTAGGAAATGAGCCTAGGAGCTCCTCTACAATGACGTACTTTAACGAGGTCTCTTTCATCATTGAAAGTGACTACCATGCCCTGAAACGGACGTAGTGAGAGAAAGGGTACTAAACAACTCGGATGCACTTGCGCGTCCGCAACAAGACCGGCTTTCTACCTTGGACAGCTACTGCCAGGCGCGCTGCCCATTCGCCCCTGCTAGGCCTTCTTGGGACTGGCCTGTCTTGGATTTTGTGTCGGCGTCCTTGGCTGCGTGTCACTGCACTCCCACTTTGCTTTATGCCTCTACTACCATAATTCTAACACCGCTCTTGTCATGATTGTAGTCGCCAAGCCCGTTTATCTATAAGATTACCCCATTTTCCCGTATTTCTAATTACGGTACACTCGAGTCTGTAAATTCTCAGCCGACAAAATCTTCACAGCATTGTTGGAAAACAGGTAACCAAGGCCAGACCAGACTGTGGTAGTTGCCACAACGTGTCTATTTTCTCTGGCGTCAGTGAATCAGGTTGAATTGCCCCCCCCCCCCCCCCCCCCCCCCAAAAGAAGGCAAAGAGGGGGCTGCAGCGTGGTAAAGGGAAGGGTACAAGATACGGCAGGTTTAGCCGTGGGGACACGTCAGCCGTTCAGGGGCGTGCAGGGCATATGGGTGAAGAATAGAGGGGGCTTCAGGGCACTCAGGGCGTTCGGAGTGAAGACCCTGAAAGGAGTGAAGTGTAAAGCGGCAAGGGCACTAACGTAGTTCCCAAGCGAGTGACGCACCCAAGCGAGTGACGCACCCAAGCGAGTGACGCACCCAAGCGAGTGACGCACACCGCCTACCCCTACATTTTTAAAATGATATTAGACTACTAAAAACACTATTAAATTCAAAAACTATAGACTAGGGCACCGAGTAATTGAATGGCCAATACTATTGCAGCCGCTACATCTCCGCGGTGCACGTTTGGCTGGTGGGGGTGGCAAAATAGGTGATTCAACCGGTGCGGGCGGATGCTGTTCAACAGGTTCCACTGGCTGCACTGGCTGCACTGGTAGTCGCAAGCCCTCTCCAACTGTAATACCCTGTTCGCATCGAACGAGACGATTCGTTCTTGCTCGCTTTTGCCGTTTCTTCTCATTCGCAGCCCGTAAATCAGCAATTTCCTGCGCTTGTAGCACATTGGTATGCATTGAGACACAGTAACCCTTGATAATCTGATCTAGGATAATCTTTGATGGGGAAGGAGGGCTTCTTGATCGTTTTCTAAGTAGTTTTTTGAGTGAAGAAAACTGTCTTTGTACTTGTTTGACTGTTTTTGGCGTTTTCGGACTGAACTCGCTCGATCGGCTGCTTGGGCGGCTAGGTGGTGGTGTAGGTGTTCGGAGAGAAATATTCAGTTTTGAAAGCACCCGTTCAGGATCTAGTGGAACTAGACTTGCTGCTGTGAAACTATGTTGAATAGTCTCTAGTTTAAAGGTCTCTTCTCGTGCCTGAGGATATTCTGCTAGGAAATCTAGCTTATCAATATGGTTAAATCCTAGCCGTGCCTGATTGGTAATCAGACGACTATAGGCACGCTTAAGAACAGCAAAACATCCAATATCTAGAGGTTGAAGAAGATGGGATGAATGTGCTGGCATGCAGAGTGGGATAATTGAGTTTTCAGCGCAAATTCGGTCGAATTGAGGCGTGAGATGGCTACCATGGCCATCTAGAATCAGAAGGCGATGCTTTCCTTTCATCCGACTTGAGGTGAATGGGATGAATAGATTTTGAAGCCATCGGACGCTAATTTCATCTGGAGTCCAGCCATTAGGTGAAACTTCAAATCGCCAATCTTTTGGAAGGCCATCAAGCCAACCGATGTTGTGGTTTTTGGCTTTGAAGATTATACATGGTGGAAGAGCAAAACCTGCTGCACTGATTGACTCGATTGTAGTCACCCATTCACGATTTCCTGGCTGTAGAACTGCCCGACGACCATAGTACTCGGCTCGAGTAACCACCTTTTGTGCTGAAATAAGGCCCATCGCGAATCCAGTCTCATCAAAGTTGTAGATATCATCTGATTGGATGCCGTTCTTATTGATCACATTTTGAACGGTTTTAAACCACTCACGTAAGACGTTCGGGTCCTCGTTTTGAGCACGTTGATAGTCATAGCGTCTTGAGAAGCATGTTCGAAGCTCTTTTTGGCGATTGATAAAATTTGATGCCCAGTTTTTTCCAACTGTTGGTGAGGGGGTGTTTCCGCGGTCGGCAAGTAGAATATTCGCTATTTCTCTCACAGTTGAGGGCCTAGGCGCTGCACCGCGTGAATCCATTGAGAGTATCCACTTTACAAGCGATTCTTCTTCAAATCCAGTCAATTTATGACTATTAGCGCGTGTATTCGCGCGAGAAGACTGGCCCGCACGTCGGCGGCGGATTGTAGCCTCAGATACGCCGTATGTCTTGGCTGCAGCGCGAAGACTAGGAAATTGTCCTTTTTGAAGAGCCTGAATGGCTAATAAGATTCTGCCCTCACGATTAACCGAATCCTGGCTTGATTGAGCGTGTTTTGGTGGCATGGTGGGTGGTTGAAAATAGTGGGTACGCGTCAGGACGCCATTTTTGGTGGGGTGCGTCACTCGCTTGGGTGCGTCACTCGCTTGGGAACTACGTTAGTCCCGACGAATTACAAAAAAACATATGAAAGCAAAAACATACAACGGCAGGGATTGGCATGTGGTCACCCACCATACTACTAACCTGCCGGCGTGTGGCTTATACGCAATCAGTAGTCGGGTGCCTGCCGCCCGGGTGAGAGCGCCGCTTTAGCGTCGCGCGACCGGGGGTGAGAAGGGTGAGTGCGCAATAGACAGGGTGAGAAGCAGAGTGAGAACAGGTGATTCTCATCCTCCGTCATGGGGCCGCTGCACAGACCGCCTTCGCACTCTCCCAGTCTAATAATTCCACAGAGCATCTTTCAATCGGCTCAGACAGGACAATCGTGGAAAAACGCATGCACTCTACTATAGCTGGCCGTTTCGCGATCCCGGCCATTACTTTCACCAAAAAAAAAAAAAAAAAAATTTAATAATTTTATTGAGTTTTCATCGACGTTCTCCGAACCTCTCAATATAGATCCGGCGTCGCTTCTCCAAAGTGGAGCAAGAGCAAGGAGTAGGTTTGAATTTTGAACCTATCATGTGAAGCCACTTATATTGCCGAGATGATTGTTCCAGAGTCGTTGCATCGCGCGTTTCCGCAGTATAGACTATATCGAATCGCCGACCGGGCTCTATTCGTGTCTCTATAAAAAGCCATTTCAAAAGACGCAATGTAGGTTGTCAAGTTATTAATTGAGACGATCTTTCAGGAAGATCCGTGCTGTAAGGATATGATCTACTTCGCAGGGTAGAAGGCCTGTCAATTAGGTAGGAGAAGAAAGCACTAAGTTCCGAGTTGCTTCAAGACTGTTTCCTGGGGGTTCCATAACCCCTAGTGGCTCTCTTTATATACAGTCTCCTCGCCAGAACGGGAACAAACGGGGAAACACCACAAAACGGAGTGGTGAGAGTAATGCGGAATCATACATCCCACTACAGGGTTCCACCCTGTAGTGTTCCCTCTCAGCATCACTATCGAAAGGTTGCTGATTGACCGCTGAGGGACAGCTGTTTTGCCGGGATTCTCAGGCATAGCCTGAGGCACCGGTGTAGAAATAACTAGTTAACTAGTTATCATAACACGTGCGTTAATTACAGCCTTAAAATTCAGGTCTAAGTGTATGCCATGAATGTGAGGCAGAACAACCGCTCGGCCACAGACTATCATCCATCAGTAAGAAATGCCTAGGTGCACCTGCGCCACATGGCGTAACAGCATTCTTCTTGCCAAGAAAACCTGAGGGGTCAAACATCCTTGCTATTTGCATTGCAAAGCTTTACGGGGCATTCTGCATAATATTAAATGGTTGAAAAGTCAGTGAATGAAGATTCGTATTTTTTCGCGCGGAGAATGTGATGGCGTTGTCTGCCGGTGACTCTTTGCATGTGGCCTTATGCCTCCTCCACGACCTATCGGACTCCTCGCATCGATTTCGTATTAGGCGCCTCACAGGGAACATTGGGCGCGCTGTTGTGGCATTCTTAGTTCCACCTGTTGAACCAATGATCAAGAAATACGATGCGATAATGAGAAAAACCGTAGCTTATTCAATCACAGCATACTGCATGGTGCCCAGCCGCTTCAGTATCTCGTAGCCCGAGTGAGAAGAATGACTGTGCAATAGACGGCGTGCCCAATGGGGCGAAAGCGGGCAAGAAAGACGCTTTTGGCCCGTTTTCCCTTAACAGGAATAGCGCGAGAATCGGGGCTGAGGCTCAACAACAGAATACCCCGCGTCGCTCTGTTTTACCTTCCGCATATACACCTATACGCCAAGAATGAATGGCGCTGGACTGCTCGACTTACCACACGAAATCCTCCTAGAGATCGCTAGCAATATCTTGCGGACTAGTGACCTTTCGCACTTTTTGTGCGCGAGTCGAACCCTACATGATGTTCTCTCCCTGGAACCTTACAAAAGAGAAGTCGCCAACACCGGTGGCGAAGCCATAACGATCTTAGCTCAGCAGGGCCATGAAGCTGGAGTTCGATACATGCTCGATGAAGGGGTGAAAGTGGATAAACGTGGGGCAAAGTTCCCCCATACAACGGCGCTGGGTGAGGCTGTGGCCTCCCACAACCTGGGCATTGCGAGACTCCTCCTCGACCATGGGGCGGGAATGAATAAGGTCGACTCTTTAGTGACTCCTGCCTTAACCCTGGCCATATATCCAGAGATTTCGCGGGAGGATACTTCTATGATGGAGTTACTGCTTGACTACAAAGCTGACATGAACATGGGGAACTTGGGAAACCGGACATTGGTCCCTTTGATCGTTGCGGTTAGATGCAGGAACCAAACAAAGATGGAGTTCCTTCTCAGCAAAGGCGCCGATCCAAATATTTGTGTACCGCAGACGCAGCAAACCGCGTTGCATATCGCCATTATGAAAAAGATGCCAATTCAGACTCTAGAGGTACTACTGAATGCTGGCGCTAAAGTGAATTGCCTAGACAATGAGGGCAGGTCACCGCTTCATATGGCGGATTTCTGTGCTCCAATCAACCTTGACAATGCCTCAACTCTAACAGGATCTGGTGCAAAAGTCAACCTGCCAACTTCGATGCCTATCATTCAAGAGACTGTCGGATTTGAAAACTTAAGATGCGCAGATATTCTTCTGCAACATGGCGCCGATATTCAAGCCCGAGACAATAGAGGCTGGTCGGTCCTTCACTACCAGGCTGACAAACTATGCGATGCGTTTTTCTTTAAGTGGTATTGCGATCAAGGCTGCGATGTGAATTGGGAAGATGAAAATAAAGAAACGCCGATATTCAAGGCGATCGCGTCAAAGAGAAACGCGAGACTCAAACCAGTGACAGTCAAGACAATTTTATCTCTTGGAGCAAGCGTCAATCTGGTTAATTCTCAAGGCCAGAGTCCTCTCGGTCTTGCTGTCACCCAGGCATGTCCAGAAGTGACGCGCGTGCTTCTCGAGCATGGGGCGGATATTCATCATCGAGACGGTGAAGGGAAAACGCTACTGCAAATGGCAGTGCGGAATCGCTACTGGGTTCGAGATGTTTCAAACAATTATGATCCCCGCCGGGTGGTGAAACTCCTTCTTCAATATGGCGCAGATCTGACTGAAGTTGTTCCCGCTGGGCGCACGCCTTTGAGTGTTGGGTCGCTCTGGGATTTAGATGATATAATTGACTCTCCGCAGACGGCGCATGAGACAGCACCTGTGTAGAATTTGAGTGTATCGCAAATGTGAAGTGCAAGGATGGGAAATGAATGGTACACTCAAATTCGAAATTGGCTTCCATGGCTGCTATGGTCTGCCTAAGCGATACTCGAGTCTTTGGAGGAGCTGATCCGGAGCCGCTCCTACAACCCATGAGAGGTTTGTTAAATCATCTAGAAAAAAGATGGGTTGGCTGCAAGTAGGTACTCTGCTCTTAGAGGACCATATACCATATACTAACGATGATAGCACGATATTTGGAAATGATAGAGAAAGCATATGTCGCATATGACGTGTAGCTTGAATTTGAAGCTTGATCTAAGGATTCAGAGATTCAGAGCCACAGAAACAAAAATTCTAGCTTATGCAAGAATCCTATCTTCTCTTGCCTAGGCTTGCTTGAGCTTGAATCAGGTCAAGGCGATTTCGAGAATTGTTGTAATTCAAAGGAAGATTGCTTGTATTCCTTCTGGACAGAAAATTTGAGGGTTTATATACACATGCGACCTCCAGATTGATTTCCAATCAAAGCTGGTAATTCCGTGAGGTTAGGAATTGATTCCGTTACGATACGACATATCACAACAGTCCATGCGTTGCGGACAATGTTTAATGTACTCGTGTAAGAGCTTTAGCCCACGAGAAAAGCCAATACCTTCAACTTGCTCCACGAGTGGTCGAGTCTCTGATGCGTCTGCTCGTCGTGCACCAGTCGGAAAATTTCTGGGGCGAGCGACTTTGGCAGGCACAGTCAACCTAGTACAGCGACTCTATATTCACGTGACCGCACTTCCGCACTGTCGGAATCCAGGTGCTGGAGGACCTAATTGGGTTTAGATTGATGCCTTATTGCCTTGTTTTGTAGTTAGTCAGCTTGCCCCCATAAATTGCCAGAACAGGGGCTTCACAGCAATTCAGACCTCTACCACCCCATTGGTTGTGGGATATATCCACTTCTTCGTTGTTTGCGACACGCACCTACCTCATATCTACGCTATCTCCATAGCTACTAGTAGATAGCTTCATTCGCTACTGTCACCTCTCACAGATTCTACGTCCCCTCTTCTGCCTCTTCAGACCGGAGTCCCACTCAGCCCATCCCTCTAACTTCTGTCAACCGAGCCAAATTGTGACAGTGCTATCTACGTGCCAAGCTCTCCCCAGTCTGAGGCTCGTAAGCGTCATGCCGCCCAACGCAGTCCACGAGACATGTCCTCCTTCTAAGCGGCAGAAGACGAACCACATACCCTATTCGACGCATCTGTCGATCGAAAATACAGACAGAGATTTTGATCGCCGTCCTGAATCTGGGAGGCGCGAATGGAAGCACCGCCTCATTCCTAGTATATTACCCGAACTGAGAGACAGAGCGCTTTGTTAACAGGAACAGAAACAAACTCGACCGAATGGGGCGCTGGCCAGAATGCCTCCGACCGGGCCGGGTTGGTCAGCGAGACAAATGAGTACAACGAGCGTCTACTCCGCACATACCACCGATCGCTGTCGAAATCCGATGTGGTCCTGTTGGTCTCCTCACCATTCGGCGATCGCTTTTGGTCAGTGTCGCGAGACGCCGCCGATATCAAAGTCGGTGGGCTTTTCATCCATATAACGCCTCTCGGGTACTATCCGACAACCCAGCTCCTCAAAGCACCTAGAACTTTCTTTCCTCAGTTGACCATCGATGGATACATAAATCCGCGGAAATTCCTAACCGACGCCGACTTGCATTCATTACAAGCGCTCTTCCCTGAGTCAGTCGGTGCACGTATCTTCATCTCTGGCTTTCTTTGCATCTTGTTTCCCACTGTTACGACACTGAAAAGAGCCAACTGTCTCGAATTTCCACCAGAAATCGGGGGCCTTCCAGTTTTGCTAGATATCGCAGATTTTACACTGACGGCTCAAGATGTTGAATCAGGCGCAGCCCTTGCCGACGAAGAAGCTAAATCAACCGCATGTCTTGGCCTGAAAATCCGCTTGCCCGATGGAACCACCGCTCTCACCACGGTTACCCACGCCTTCATTCCCAATCCTTCAAGATGCAAGTTTAACCTACGTATTGCTGATTGGATAACCCGCGCAATAAATGCTCTCTCCCAATTTAGAAACCCACTTCTGGGACATGAAGCTCCCGCTTTCGGTAAAACACATCAAAGCCGTACGGATGACATAATTGGCAAAGAGCTTCGACTTTTCACCACGAACGCAGCGATTGGGAAGATCACCCGCTGTTATGACAACCCGAGCCGCATACTCCCATATCCATCAGGATACCATCACGACCTTTCCTTGATCCAGGGGAACGCCTTACCGGATGTGATGACCCCCCCTGGTTATCCTCCGATATCCGAATGGGCTCCCCACAGTGAAGTCCTCGCTGGAGCACCCCTCTACGCCACAGCGATGAATGCAAAAACTCAAAGATGGAGGGTCATAGAAGGTGAAAAGGTACCCTCAGTTGTTGAGAATGCGGTGCTACTGGGGTCGCAATACTTCTGGGAACGAGAGGCATACCGAGCAGACGTTTCACTGTTATGGAGAACGGTTGATCATGTTGACAGTGCCTCTGGATACTCGGGTTCTGTTCTTTGCACCGGTGTACCCGGTGGCAGTGGCCAAGGAAAAGCTGCTCTATTCCAGAATTTCGAGGCAGGCCTTCGGGTCTGGAACAATCCCCCGATGTTCGCGAACATAAAGGGAGGATTTTTACTCCCTACAGAAATCCGGAATTCGGTCATCGTGGCCCGTGACCCTCAACCGCAACCTCAATACAACACTTTGCCCCAGCACAGCAGACTCTGGACTCATGGACGCCGAAGTCTTTCAGGTCCCTAAAGGTACCGCTAATTGGTTACTTTGGACATGGGAGGTTATCACAATTACTTCGCTCAGAGGAACAAGACCCGGTTTATTGTTTGTATTACTAAAGTCCCAAGTTACTCTTGTTTTTATTGTTCAAGTAGGTGTCATCCCCTCGCTCAATACCAGACAATGATCTTTTTCTATGACACAAGCGTATTAGAAGATTTAATCTCAGGAATTCTCTCCATGCGCCCGGCGTAAACCTCACACAGATTCAATTGGCAAGGTCCCGAGAGCTCCCCAGGACAAATATGGCTAAAGGGAGTCGGAGAATACTGAAAGAAGATTGATTATGAGAGATTGATTCAATCAGGTGCATATGTGAACCTTCCAGCGTCGTATCCAAGAAATTATTCAAAATTTCATATCTGTATTGTCGTTTCATGCTAGTTCAGATAAAATATTTGACTCGTGAGTTGAGTCAGAATCCCTAACATAATCAACGGGCGAGCCGGCCACTGCCAAAAAACACGTTCCACACATGCCCACTATACTTAACCACCCACTATACCACCCAAACATGCCCGATTAGCTCAACATATGATTGAATTGTAAACACGAAGCCCAAGGGGGAAGAAGTTGATTGCTATTCTTTGGGTAGCCCAGCTCATAGGCCTAGATTAGACAGCTCGGTCGGCCCAGATATCAATCAACTTTCTTCCCTCTTGAGATTCGTACTTATATATGCCTACGAAGGGTTAATTTTACCTACATTGCTGCTTTATTAGAGCTACGCGTCTTAATCAATAGTATATATAGGAGCTATGTAGTAAGCTGCAGTAGATCGCACCTAGCTAGGCGGTAGATCCAGTAAGCACCATAAGTATAGCAAAGCTCATTCCCTTCCTTTACTTACACTAGCCTCCTGATCCCAGTTTGTCATCTTCAGAATACTAGGTCACCAGCATTGGAATCGATGTTTGCCCAGGCACAAGATTCATCCCCAGATAAGCTTTAAGCCAAAAGTTCAATTCCAAAGCACCCCAGATGCCATTATACTGCCCTCGAACACGCCCACATTCTAGAGTGAAAAACACGATGTCACAGTCCTGCAGATATTTTGAGGAAGCGTATGCTATACGGCTCCGCGGGATATCTCCATATATCTTAGCTTCTGGACATCTGCAAAACTCGTCTTCCTCTCTATGATAATGTCCGTACCAGATCAGTCCTTCTTCAGGTAGAGGGCGAAGATATTCTGGAATCCAATTCATGCAAGGAAGTACCACATCTCTTATTCGTAAATAGTCTTTCTTTGCTTGAACTTTCACTTTGGTGTATGCCGGACCATCAACTACCTTTCCATCTTTCTCCACAATTCCAATAGACGATTGAGGAGGTTGCTGAAAGAGCATTCGTTTCCAGCTCGCCCCTTTTCGGAGAAAGCTTTGGTCACTCTGAGGGTTTATTTCAGGTATCTTCACCCCTCCTTCTACCGGGGGATCTTTCCAAATACGCGCTTGTCTTGCGCAAAACCATGGCCATATACATTCCTCTAGTAAAGGGTTGCGTATCCCTGGCGTCTCACGTGGTAGAATATAGTGTGACCTCAAGGGCTTGAAAAAGAGGGCGGCCTGTAAGTCGCTTGAAATCTGGATCAGATTATGCCATTTGTGACAGACCCATTGTGCAGACGTGAGCAAAGTGCGCGTGCTAATTTTAAGCAGGATCATTTCCAGGATTTCGGTTATCAGGAAGACCGGACGTAAAGAGATCACGATGTGGGTTTGATAAGTTGCTGCGGTAGAGGTGCAGGCGGTACGCTGCATTGACTGCCTGCGGAAATTTAGTGTCTGATAATCTGGAGGAAGAAGACGTCGAAGGTCGGCTTAGACGTGAAGTTGCTCGACGCTTCCTCTGTGCTAATCCAGGATAGGACTAGTACTCGGTGTCGGCGTCGGACGGGCGTCACCCTAGCGACAGAGACCAGAAGGAAGGAGGGCCAGAAGAAAGAGAGGAAAGCACTATTATAAATAATAGAATATACAGTCAGGTCTCACGCACTAGGACAATAGTGGCGTCAGACGAAGATCTGTAGAAGATCGACGTCCAGCGATCGGCACAGGTTGCCGAGCACGATGAAAACACAGAAGGAATTAACGACAGATGTGACCGTGTTTTCTGTGAAACGGTTGCGTCGTAAGTCGGAAATTGGGTAGGTAATCCGCAGTTCAAGTCGAGATCGAACGTAGATAGCTTTGTGAGCTATGACTGCTGTCCGGAAGCACCAGGAACAAAGCAGGGCATTCTACCAAAATGCTACGTGGTACGTAGACAGAAACCTAAGAGGGGAAACGATGATCATTCTTCAGGTCCTGGGTCCCCAGGCTTAGTTACTAGTTACCTCACAGCGATATTAATAAAGGACAATAAATCAAAGGAGATGTTCCAGATGACGTGTGTTATTGAAAGATTTTTATTAAAAGGGGACCGTCACGAAGACGTCAGTTCCATCTACAGTACTATGATCTCAGACAAGCTCTTACCTAAAGCAGCCTAACTGTGCGGGTTAAACCGTGGACCAGTATGAATTAGTGTTTCATAGCCTAGCTACTACTACATACTATAGAACAAAGCGACCTAGTAACAGGCATGGGCAACTTACTACTTCTCATTGATCTCTAGTGTGTCCAGTCATTAACACAGCGTATTAGATAGCACGCAGTCACTAGTCCCTCACTGAACCTCTCAGCCACCCGCAGTCGCCGACTAACGACGAATTCGAATCCGAGCAGAATATGCCTGTTTTGCAACTCATAATTTGCTTTCCTTCGTCCAAAATAGGCTTAGTCACTGGATAAGTGGGAGAAAGTGAAGAAAGGGGAGAGAACGCATCGGGTTAGTGAATATTGTGTCGCATGGCGTTGTCGCATTGCCTCTCAGCCAATACACTATCAGACGTTTTTAAGTTTCATTTTACTCATCTGTATATAGTTGTAAGATCATCGTCTTGCAGTCGAGTGCGGGGTTTAAGCCTGCGTCGTCTTCAACGGCACCGTGGGCGAAAATTGGGGGCCAAATCCAACGTGGGAGGCTTTGGCGGGAACTCTTCGCGGGGAAAGTCACCACGAGCTATTCATCTCATCCAAATAGGAATTGCCTCTGTAGAATCGGAGAAGCCATGTACTCTATCAAAGTATATTACTAGTAAGACTAGCATAGATACAACCCTACTATAAGCTGGAAAGATGCCTAGAGTGCACCAAAATATGAATAATCTCAATAAATGTTCAATGGAAAAGTTCCACTTCTTTCTGTCTCTTTCTCACACACACTGGCATTTAGTGCTACATAAGTCAGTAGCACAGACAGCAAGGGCCAGAATTCTCACCCGTTCTCACCCCGGTCACCCCGGTCTAAAGACTTCTCACCCATTTCACCCACACTCATCCTAAGGTGAGATCCAACGCTGTTTTAAAGAACGAGGCTTTTTGAAAATTGACCGCGCGTAACATGTGGCTTAAATGCGGCCACTAGTCGGGTGCCCGGGTGAGAAACGGGTGTGTTGATTTATAAGTGATGCTTCAGTGTTCATGTTGTTGAGGGGAGTTGATTGTGTAAGATACAGGTAGACTGGTGAACAGATATATAGAGGATATATGGGGGTCAGATTTGCCGCGTAATTTCGCGCGTTATTATGGCGAAACCGCCAAGCCCTCAATACATGACCCATGGAATGGGGGTCAGATTTCTGTATTGACCTTGTAAGAGGGCTGTTTTTACATTCCAATCCCCCCTCCTTCTTCTGCCGGCAGAAAATCAAAAATCAATTCACTATGGAGTCGCTAGCGAGCTTTTGAGAGAAGCTGAGATAGCTGGTAAAGCGAAAGCTTGCCTCTGCACCGTACAAGCTCTAGCTCCTCAACAGCTGCGTCCAGAGACAGGCCCTTACCATATCTAGCGTAGATCTCGTCGATGATAACTTTTCGGCGGCAAAACATGACCCTTTCGCGAGAGGAAGGCCGCCAGGTCGCACCATACGATCTCTCTAATGACTGGACAGATGGATTTGCACCTAACCCACATGTCCATTCTCTCCAGACCTCCGGCACAGTCTGTATCGTACGAGAGAGCGAGTAGAGAGATCGAGAGGGGGATAATAAAGAGGAGGGAGTATCGATCCCCTGTGGGAGAAGCTGCTGCTTATCTACAGGAGGCTGCAAAGATGATGCCTCCGATAGACATGCTGCTAGCTGAGAAGACGGTGTGAATGAGTCCGAGTCTGGTGTCCGCGCTTCGATAATAGAGGTATCCATGGCTCGTACGGCAAAGGTAACGTGACCAGAAAGGAGATCATGAAGCTGGCGAGAAATCTTTCTAAGCTGTTCATGAGCCTGATAACCATGAAGATCAACCGCCTGATGGATATCCTTCTGGAGGACACTAAGACGGTCGGCAATAATAGGAAGCGTCTGCCGGAGCTGAATCTCCTGAGGGGTCTCCGTACAAAGAAGGGACTGCCGTATTTGCTCTGCAAATGCAGTATAGTCTTCTCGTGCAAAGATAGGATCATCCCACATTGAATGCCGGGGGAATTGCGCCTGTAGGAGAACCGAGTCCTGGAGGAGGATGATCCGTAGTTGATTCAGTAGCTGCAAAAAGCCTTGGGCTGCCATATCATCTCGGTCTTCCTGCTCCTGACTAGTAGCCCCGCTAGGTGGCTCATTTGTAGGATCGTTGGACTGGAACCAGGCAAGCCACTGATCGATCCATGGCCAGAGAGCTCGTACGAGGGAATCTGGAGGTTGAATTTTTGCTCGAGGAAGATAGTAGTTCCCAATTGCATCGGGCTGGAAACCAGCCATAGAACGAAGGAATTTCCGCGGCAGATGCGTCAGATAGCAGTTAGTTAAGGCATCCTGATTCCATTGACCAGCACGGCGGATCTGGTTCTCTTCCACACCTTCTAGCTCGGCTTGTTTTGTCCCCTGAGCTCGGCCTGCATGTGTCTTCTTGTCGGTAGAGAGATTGATTGCCTTATAGACCTCATTGGCCCATTTCAGCTGGATTTCGTACGAGATTGGCTTCTCTCGATCTGAGCCCTTGAAGAAGTGGAAATTATACCACTCTGGCCGGCTCTGAAACCGAGGCGGCGACTCCCCTACTATCTGCCAGCGATAAAAGAGATAAAAAGCCGCCTGGCTCATCGTACAAAGGAGAGGATCCTGATGGCGCATTACCCCCATATACTGCAAGCGGCCAAACTGGTTAGTCTTTCCATTATTCATAATCATGATCATTGGCCAACAGGGGGTCGGTCCTTCGTTGGGTAAGGAGATAGTGAACAGGTCAGGAAACTGGAGTTGCCGACGCGATTCTCCACGAAGGAGCATATTGTGACTGAAAAGGAAATCCACGGCCGTGCGAAGATAGGACTCCTGAGCTTGAGGCTTTCGATGCTTAAGATCTTTTGTTCGCCATCCTTGCCAACAGTATCGTACGAAGTCCTTGATTTTATCCTTGGAATATCCATCCTGCAGGGTGCCTGCAGCTCGGTCAAGATACTGCTCGCGCTTTCGCTCGCTTTCCTTATGTAGTCGGCCAGTCATCAAGGCGGAAACAGCATATCCACGGGGGTTAGGGAAGCTATTCGTACCAATGCTTTTTTGGAACTTCCAGAGGTCCACAATAGCATTGATATATTGAGTGATTGAATTGCTTCCCAGGGTTTGTTCTACCTTTGATCCATCTGGCCGTGTACGATCCTTCTTATATTGAGAGGACCGAAGAGGTCGATTAAGAACCTCAGTGTCAAGAAAGTAGACAAGCTTCTTCTCTGTGACTAGTTCGCCGTCTGGGAAACCCTGCTTTTTGCAGAAGCTCTGTAGCATCTCGTTTAGCATCTCGTACGAACTAGAGACAACAAGGGTGTTCCTTTACCTGCCATTCCTTATGCTTGTTAACATAAGCCTTTGATGTATTCTTAGGCCGCTGGCTTCGCATGTAGTGTAGGGCCTTGATGCTGTGGAGGTTTAATCGGTCCTGGAGCTCAATCTGCGCTAGCTCCTGGGTCTGTGATGATGGAGGAGAGGAGCAGGGAGTAGAAGGTGATGATAAAGCCATTTTTGATTAGGTTCGAAATAGTGTTCTCTCTTTCTCTCTTTCTCTTGATGATGAGATGCGTGTAGGTAGGAGTAATGACAAGAGAGGAAGGAACGCGACGTGGAATTCACACAGTAACCAGCTGCCTTTCTTACCACCCTTCCTACCGCCTATCCCCATCATCCCTAATCCCCCCCCCCCTTGATTCATCGTAAGGTACTGTCATAGCCCCGTAAGGGCGCGTACGAAGCTATCCCTGGCTTCAGGATTACTGCCAAGATTTCGCAGGCTTGATCTGCGGTCAGATATCTTGCGCGGGATGGGGGTCAAATGGGTGGGTGCTGTCAGATATCTCAGATATCCTGGGGGTCACGTGAGATTTCGCGAAATTTCGTGGGTGTGGATACATAGGCATGCACGTGATCCCAGCCCCCATGATTATCCCAGTAAACGTGATATTTCAACAGGGTGAGCGCCGCTTTAGCGTCGCGACCGCGGGTGAGAAAGGTGAGTGCGGAATAGATGGGGTGAGAAGATTCACCCTTATTACGCACGGCCACCGCCCAGACCAATCCTAGCTCAGCTCAGGTATAGCACGATTGGTTCTCCTCGATCTTCTTGAAACCACGGTCTCTTGGCACCTGCAAGTGTTATCAAATTTCAGCCCAAGAATAACCAAATCAGCGGCGAGGCTGACTTCAATGTTGCCTGCATTGTTGTCAGTGTTGCTATGCCATAGAAACGCTAGCTGCGTAGTCCCTTGGGCACTTACCTCTTACGCGGCGTCGTTATTTAACTAGTTAACTAACTAAACCGTTGTTCGAAAGATGATTAACTGTCAACTTCCGTATAGTATCCGACCAATTGGAGATATCAATGACTCTGTATTTCCATTACCCCTATTCGCGCTTTTTAACGTGATCCACGGTCGCGCGAGCGACCCCATCAAAAACCCACTTCAATAATAATCCATCTTTTTCAACCACAACAACAATGCCCCCCCAACGCTCTGATAAAAAAAAGTTGACAGAGCAGGAGGGTCGCCTTTTATTAGCTATAAAAGCTATACAAGATGGCAAATATCCCTCTGCTGCAGCTGCTGCACGATCATTTTGGATACCTGTCTCAACTTTGAAGGCCCGGATCAATGGGCGCCAATCTGCTACTGAAAAGAGGCCATCTGGCCATATTTTCTCTCAAATCGAAGAGCAATCGATAGAAAACTGGCTACTCGATATGGACTCAAGAGGTGCAGCTCTTACTTTGCCTATGTTGCGAGATATGGCCAATCTTCTACTTAGTGCACGGAAAAAAGGCCCCTGTACCACTGGTATTAATTGGCCTTCTCATTTTGTCAAACGACACCCAAATCTCTCTACTCGACTTTCACGCAAATACGACTATCAGAGAGCTCTTTCAGAAGACCCTCGAATTATTAAACCATGGTTTGATTTGCTTCAAAGGACGATGGAAAAGTGGGGTATCGCTTCAGACGATATCTTCAACTTTGATGAGTCTGGTTTTGCCATGGGGGTTGGCGCAACGCAAAAGATTATCACTTCAGCGGAATACCATGGAAAAAGAGCACTTTTGCAAGCCGGAAATCGTGAGTGGGTGACTTCGATTGAGTGTATAAGAGCTTCTGGAATTGTTCTCCCTCCACTCTTCATTTTCAAAGGAAACCGATTCCCAGAGCATTTACGACCCTACCTCCTTTTAAATCAAAAAGGAGCTCGTCTAACTATGAGCCCAAATGGTTGGACTACCAATACAATTGGTTTATGGTGGCTAAAACATCATTTTATCCCAAATATTGGGACAAGAGTGGGAAAATATTGCTTACTGGTCCTTGACGGTCATGGGAGTCATTTAACACCTGAATTTGACCAAATATGTGAAGAACACCAAATCATCGCAATCTGTATGCCTCCGCATGCTTCTCATCTTTTACAGCCTTTGGATGTGGGTTGTTTCTCGGTTTTAAAGAGACTTTATGGAGGAGCGGTTTCAACTTTGGTGCGGAACGGAGTTAACACCGTTGACAAGGAAGATTTCCTAGAACTAATCGCAGATGCGAGAATGGGTTCTTTTAAGTCTTCCACTATACAGAATAGCTTTTTGGCTACTGGATTAGCACCATTTGATGCTAATAAAGTCTTGGAAAAGCTAAATGTGCACCTGGACTCTCTTCCTCCTCTGGAGATCCTCTCCCAGCGACCACTCTCTTCTGGCAGTGATAGTGATCCAAATACTCTTTGGACCCTCTCAAGATTCACAAAATAGCAATCTCGGATCAAAAAAGGTCTAGAGTCTTCTTCTTCTTTTCTTTCTTCACCAACAAAAAAGGAGATTGAGAAGACCTACAGGATGACTATAAAAGTAGTCCATCGCCACATTTTTCTCCAGCATCGCTGTACCCAATTAGAAGCTACCAACAAGAAACAGGCCAAAAAACGAGAGACCAAACATAAGTCTACGACCCAGAAAGGCATCTTTGGTGGTCTAGAGGGTGGTGAAGATGATGTGGTGGTTGAGGATGAAGATAGAAGCAAAGATATATCTTTACCAGAGGTGCCTGCAAAACTGGTTACTGAGCCTACTTTACCTTCTACCCCCTTGGTTCTCACCAGGCATCTCAATCATTGTGCGGAGGGACGGTGTGCTGTTCTTTCCATACATAGCAAGTTCCACATGAGCATGCTAACACGACGAAAGGTATGGCAGTCCGTAAGTGATTTATTCTTGTCCATATGAACAAAGCCGTAACGAAACTCTCCGCGTCTGGTCTAATACTCAAAGTTAACAGCATTTATTGAGTTAGCTAAGCGATATTCAGAAACTATTCACAAATTTGCCACACGGTGGCGGCGCTTCATCTCCATTTCCCTCAGAACTTTCTTTTGCATCTTTCCAGTGCTGTTCTTGGGCAGCTCCGGCACAATCTCCACTTGGCTAGGCACCATGAACCCACCGATCTCAGAATTCTCGCGCGCCCATTGTCTAATGTCTTCGCCTTCAACGCCGGAATCATGAACCGTTGTGATAAATGCTTTGGGGGTCTCGCCCCATTTTTCATGAGGGATGCCAATTACAGCAGCTTCGATCACATCAGGGTGCTTCATGAGAACATTCTCAACTGCAACGGATGAGATGTTTTCCCCTCCTAGGGAACAGAAATTCAGGTTAGACAACTTTCCTTCGGCGCGTTGCACGGGAAGAAACATACCGCTGATAATGATGTCCTTGGCGCGATCAACAACTTGAATTGCTCCGTTAGGGTGCATCACTGCTAGGTCGCCAGTGTGCAATTGTCCTCCTTCGAAAAGTTTCTGAGTGCCCACAGGATCTTTGTAGTAACCCTTGGTGCAGAGGTTGCCTGTTACAACGACTTCTCCGATTTCAGCCCCATTTTTGGCAACATCAATGAGCTCTGGGTCGCTTTCAGATTTGACCACCCTAACCGGTAAGGCAGTAATCATACTATGCCCTTGACGAGCCAGGTAAGTATATTTTCCCTCCGAGTCGCCAACCCACTCTGGGGGAATATATGACTTGGTAGCTGGGCCGTAAGTCTCCGTTAGGCCATACCCATGCACCGGTAAGAAATTCAACGCAGTCATCTGGTTAAATAAAACTGCGGATGGGGGGCTAGCTGCCACAACAACTTGTACTGGCCGGGAGAGACGTCTGGCATCCTTGTGACGGCAAAGGTTCGTGTTAACCGTCGGCGCTGCACAGAAGTGCGTGATCGGCTCGCTTAGTAGCAATTTCCAAATGTTGGAATACTCGACCTTCCTCAGGCAATAGTGGGTGCCTCGCACAGCAGTGACACCCCAAGGGAAGGTCCACCCTATGAGATAGATTAATTAGAAAGATCAGGAAAGAAAATACGACACGGCGGGATTCTTACCCATTGCATGAAACATGGGTAATATCCAAAGATATCCACAGCGAACCGAGGAGTTGTTGAGCCCGGATTCGATCAGATTTCCCAACATAGCAAGGTATGCACCACGGTGCGTGTAAATCACTCCTTTAGGCCTCGAGGTTGTACCACTTGTGTATGACAATGCTATCATTTCGTCTTCATTTGGGCACTGTGCCTGAAGCCCTGCCCATCCAAGATTCCCCTGACGGGAATCGAGATGAAGGCCTTCTCGGATGGCCTCATTGAATGGTCCATTTTCGGGTCCTGTGTCAGTGTCTATAATTATAGGAACGGATGGATGATCTTTCCTGAAGAATTTGAGTAGCGGTTCGTATTGAACGTCCGCGATAATTAAGTCGACTTCTGAATGCTCGAAGATGTATTTAACATCTTCTTCTTTGAGGCGGCTATTGATAGCTATAGATAATGAGCTCTGTATATCGAACAAGATTCATGCATTAACCTACCAACATTAACGGCTCCTGCACCCCCAGTACCAAAAACCGAGTCCAAAAATGTGGGCGTGTTGGGAGCCAGGATCCCAACCCGCTTGTTACCATGATGCTTCAAGTAATAAGCCAAACCAGCGGCTCGGCGCTCGAAAGTCTCGTACGTCCGACGTTCGACTTGGCCGTTGAGGTTGACGTGGTAGATCGCAGTAGCCTAGTATGAAACTCAGAAATCACAATCGAAAAAATAGTCAAGGTAATAATCCCTTACGTCTGGCTCAATGGCAGCTGCTCGCGGCAAGAATTGAGTAGGTGAGAGAGTATGTTTGGAAACCATGTCACCGGGCATCGCCATGTTGGTATATGTTTTCTTTTCCCGATAATGCCTGCCGAAAATGTGACCTTGTTTGCTGTATACAATCGATATAGAAGTATATATGTAATCGAGCAAAACGGCCGACTCTATCCGAGAATCTCTTCCTCGGTTTCTAAATCGCCAACAAACCCCACGGATACGGTCCGACCAGGACCTTTGCCGGTAGACACTTAAGCAAATATCAGCTTTGCTTCTCAAGAAGCGTTCGAAGTGGACCGGAAGCGGTCCGCTCTTGCAGCTAGCCGGGGCTGTGCAAAGTGGGGGCCTTCCGCTTTGAAGATCTGATCCCTGTCTTACTAGTCGGTTTGTTGTCTAGGCTTGGGGATCTAGTGCGCCATGTGCCTCGATTAAGTCCCCCCCTTTTTGTTTGTGGCGCGAAACTCTCACCACCAGATCAACGCTTTTTCTAATCTACTTTCACTTTTATTTCGGCATCTCCAGGCTCTTTCTGACCCCAACCCTCAACTGGTTTTTCCCTTTTTCCCCACGGTATATTCAGGGGCTCTAAGCCGTAGCCTCACCAGTCATCACTGAAGTGCGACAGTCTATGAGTGGGCTTTGGCGAGATCGCTCACATTTGACCTCTGACCGCCAATATTCTGGCTTCTGTAGATTCCCTCTAAGCCCTTACTCCTTTTACCCTATTACCCTAGGTGGACCACTTACCCTAATGGTTTCGTCCCACTTTGCCTGGCTAGAGCTTTGACCCAGGATCAATATTGCGCTCTTCTGTTCGACATCGAGATCGGACCGTAGCCGGAGAGAAATTTACCCCAGACTCGCAACACTCGAGGCCCACTACACCGTAGCAGTCCCTCCCCCACAAAGTTTAAATCCCGATTTTTCTACAGCGACCCAATTCAGGGTTTCAGCACTCAACAGGATTATTTTATCTCGTCTGTCTAAATTTTCAACTACAACGTTGATATCGTAACTGCTGATCTTCATGATTCTCTGCTTTCGCATTTGTCGTCAATCATTTGAGCCGGACTGTCTCCGTGGCAAAGGTCACCCCAGGCTTGCAACCCCGCAAATTTTGTTCCGGCAATACAAAAAGAGATAAATATCAGCCTTGGAACCCAAGATAGTCTGTAAACTTACATCGTGCTTTTATAATTTAACCCATACCTGTCAGTCCAAATAGCTCGGAGCCAGAGTCCCTTGACCCTCTTGCTGCCTCTTCCATATTCTCATAAGTCGACAACATGCCTCTCATAAAAGCCGAATCTACCAAGGACTCGCATGTCGACACCTTACAGCAAACTCGCACGCAGGGAAGCATCCAGATACCTGCAGATCTCCTTGAGCAACTTTATCTTTCCCCTGAGACTCGTGTGAAGGGTAGGCTTAGGCAGACATTTGGCAATCCAACGCCTGTAGCCTTGGGGGGCTTCCTCGTTTGTGCATCCGCACATTCCATGACGCTGCTGGGTTGGCAAGGCGCCAGTGGTCTGGGTGGGGCGAATTTGTAAGTTGGCGTTTCATGAGATTTATCTGGTCATACTAATCGGTGTATTAGAGGCTGCTTCCTCTATGTCGGAGGTGCTATTCAGTTTCTTGGCGCTATTGGAGAATGGGTTCTCGGTAAGATCTAGTGATTCAAGCCTACATTATGTATGTTCATAAGTCATATACTATGTCCAGGAAATACCTTTTCGACAGTTGTCTTCTTCACGTTCGGTGGCTTCTGGCTGACCTATGCCACCGCAATAAACCCTAACTCCGGGGCGTCTGCGGAATATTCGCCGAATCCCCATAATCCTGCCTTGGGTCTCTCAGAACCTGGTTTCTTCGCTACTTTCGGCTTCTTTCTGGTTGCTATGACGCTTGTCATTTTTTTCTTTGCTATCGCTAGTGTCCGAACAAATTTGGTTTTTTTCACAGTGTTTCTTACACTAATTCCTACCGGTAAGTTTACGATTCCCGACCGCAGGTATCCATTGCTGAATCGATGAGTCAGTGGCTTGTCTTTCAGCAGCATTCTTTGCGCTAGCGCATGGTGATGCTGCCACGGCTGCCACATGCGAGCACGTTGGTGGCGGGTTGCTACTTGCTGTCGCATTCCTGGGCTGGTATATCTTTCTATCTCTCCTTTTGCTAAGCGTGGACTTTCCCATTCGGCTGCCTATGGGAGACCTGTCAACCAGAATTCAAGGGTTTAACCAGAGACAAAAAGCCCATAGCAACCCCGAAGAAAGTGTCTAAGGTATTGCTTGGGATTGTTGAAGTTTCCAGGATAAGGCATCAAATGATGCCTCAATCCTGACCTCCGTCGGCATGCCTACCCGGGCAGTCCGAAGACATTGATTGCGATCCCCATGAAGGAAAACCGATCAAAGCTAGTTCTGTGGGACCTGCTACTATGTTGAGAGAACTCCGTTTGCAGTTCCTCCTTTTCCCCACAACGCCCAGCATTCTCTTTTTTACCCTTCACCTCTCTGAATAGCTTCAGCCAATGCAGAGATTTCGCTCCTTCCATCTACCAACGTAGATGCTTCTCGACTTTCAAGCAGCTATCAAGCTCAGCAGCCTCAACATACTATCAGGGGCTGACTGTAGCCCCTGCATAGTAGCCCCCTGAATTCTCTACATTACTTCTACACAGCTTGATTTAGCTTCAATATAGTCAAGCCAAGTCCTGTCAATCTTATTCACGTCGATTTGGCCAACACTCGCTCCCACTCAGTATTCAGCGCTTTTCATAACCCTGTAATCTCGACAGGGATTAAGTACGAACCTCGCACCTGTGATTTATGGGTCCATGCTGCACAACATGTAATCGCGCGGCTTATAGTTACCACATACATCTCTTACATGAAATACACTTCACTATGCGTGATTCCTGTGCTCCATACATCAGATCTTATGCTAAAACCTCTTGATTCTCGACGCGGCGGATATCCCGAATATCCGCGGGGCTTTGTCGATGGAAGGTCCCGCACAGAGTTGACCTGGTTGGAGCTTTCTCCGAAACACTCTCACGACCTGGATGGGCAACAATGGATGATGAAGCGGATTGCTAAGAAACCGGCTCTATAACGGCTCTTCATTGATTCTGTGAGGCGTTAGGTCCGCACTACCAACTGTGAGGACCTACGTACGACTGGTTATGGCGTTTCGAGAGAAGCTTAAACGTTGGTGGTAAAAGGACGCGTAAAGAAAGCTACATAGAAACCACTAAATTGTTTGTTTCTAGACGGCACTTGCAGGTACATAGTCTTGTTGACGTACAATATAGGACGCATTCTACGGGTTTGAAAGCCCGCCCGTCCTCACGTAGCGACAGAAGTGTCTATATGCAGTCACATTCCTTCAGAGCAGCATAGTGGAGAGATTCCCAGTCAGCTGCTCCCGGCTTTGTCCCTTACTCTTTGACAGTGAATTCCCTGCGTACTTATCTTCTATTTTCTTCTGGCCCAGGAATATTCCTGCACCACCAAGACAAAACTCAGAGTCTCAACATTCGGGTTTGTCAAGAGAGAAGGGCAAAAGGGAGAAACAGATATACGGTAGTATTGATTGCTACAGAGAGAAGGAGAAGAGAAAAAAAAAGGGAGGAGAGAACTGGGGAGAAAAGCAGAGCTGCAGAGGGAGGGCAGTCACGTGGCCCACGAACAGGGGTTCTTCCGCCGGGTGGAATACGCACAACTCGACCAGATCTTCCGATACGTTTTGACGAATTTCTCGCGCACGTTGCGTCCAATAGCCGGTGCCACATCTTCGAAAGCGATCGGCATTAGCTCCATGCATGAGGGTATTTGCATACGAAGTAGATAATCATGTTATTGGAGATATTCACATGTTGCCTTTTCGGAGCCCTGCATAGAGTCGATCAATAAATCGGATAGAGCAATACCGACCGGCAATTCCTCAAGGTCCGTAGGAAAGTTGTCCAATATATCATCGAAGACGTTATGAGCCATTGAGCCTGTCTGAGGTTGTGTGCATGCTGTAATTGGCGTGTCGGTAGGTGCTGAGTTGGGAGACTGGTCGGTGCCGAATTGTAGGTAGGAGGCGCCACGCGCAAAGTAAGAGTCGTTGTCCCCAATCTTACTGAACAGCAAGGGGATATGCTCGGTATCAAGGAAAGGGTTCAACCAAAATGGCGTGTGGTGGTTGAGTAGGACACATAATAGAAGAGGACGGATAATGGATGGCCCACTGAGTTGCACAAAACTTAACATCTGGTTTTCCTGAAGGCTTTCGAATTGGCTAATGATTGGTCGCGTGGCTGACCATAGGCTCTTGGTCGCATTCTCCGGGGCATCACCAGAGGGCGAGGCCACCTGCAGCCAGTGCAAGGCAGCCAGTTGATTGCGTGCAACATAATATAGCAGCAACACCGTAGCGTAATTCTGGAGCACAGTCTTACCGCCATTTTCCTTTGCCTGCGTATGGCTGTCGCGCATACAGGTAAGCTCGAGGGGCATGTCGGCTACCCAGCGGTCCAAATCACGGCTGATCTTGTCAAGTCCCTCCACACCCTTCGCGCAACGTTGCGCCCGCGGCCAACCGTTCTTGATAAATGGTGCATCAGAGGTGATAGGGCCTGTCGATATTGGGATGAGACGGCCGAGAATGACGGTCAACTTTGCCTTCTCGATAAGGATTTGAGCCTGTTGGCGCTGTTTAGTTGCCTCATCTTGCGGACTGGACCACCTTGTTTGCTTGTGAGATGGTGACAAGGGAAACTCAGTAAAGTCATCCAGCGATAACATAGGAACGTCATGGTCACGATCGTCGATAATCCATGGTGAGCCATGGTCAAGGGTCAAAATGCGCTCGCGGATGTAGATGCTCCACCATAGATGCTTACGCAGACTTATTGCACGTGGAGAGCTAGAAATGCTCACAGGGTCTCGATGTAGTCCAAGGGCGTAAGCCAAGGAGATGGCTTGGGAGATCAGGTAGATTTGGCCCTTAGGTTCATCGACTTGACGGGGGTAATAACTCATTAAAAGCAAAGATTGCAAGGATGTAAGCTGGTCTGTTTCCCATCCGAGAACATAGAGCAGACGCGCCTTGTCGAACATAGAGCGAAGAATGGCAGGTGTGGTGGTCCGGCGCTCGTAAGCATCCAGAAACAGCCGCGCAACTAACATAATGCTGTGAAAAAGCAGGAGGCTGATCTGAGGCACCTCTCTGTCTGGTTGAAGTGCGCACAAAACTCTGTTGCGATCGAGAATGGGAAAGCTTGGATGAACAAGCTCAAAATAGCTAGCCCAGAGCTTATCACGGACTACTGGACTAGGCAGGCGCAGGGCACCTTTGGTCCGAATGTAGGCCAGGTCGTCGTTCGAGATGTGGGTTGGCGATTGAATGTAGCAAGGCAACAGAGCTTGATATTGCGACGAAGCGGCATAACCCCTAGAATTTCTTCAACAGGGTTAACAATTATATCCGTAGATGGAGAAGTCTGGACCTACCGTATTATTTTCTGATGGGGTTGTACTTTACACGGAGTTTGGTCGAGGCGGCAGTTCGTGCAGGGCAATCCCAGGAGCGCAGCATCACAACGGACCTTGCGTTCTCGACAGCGACTACAGGCAACCCGCGACCTTTGCCTGCGATATCGGACGCCCTCGCACAGGATTGATGATGGTTTGAACGGTATTTCTGTGTACATGGCCGGTTATGGCATGGACCTAAATGACTGGGTTCAGATGGCACACTACCTTCGACTAAATATGAATTTGGGATGTTATACGCTTGATGTAGGACGGACCGGGGCCGACCGCCCATTAGTCCGTAATTGATATTGAGGCTTCAGGCGACCCAAACGAGCACCAGAGGAAGGGCGAGGCGTGGCGGTGATATGCGGTACCCATTTGCCGCGAGTGAGTTCTATTCTCCAATTTTCCCCGCGCCCCAAAGAGCAACCAAGAGCTGCTGTCAAAGATGAGCCGGCCCGACGAGGGTGATCTTGTGGAACACGGGATCATGTCGATCCGATGAAGGGGAAGTTGTTTGGGACCTGCAAAACCGAGAATTTACCTTTATTATCCTCCCTAAGGCCCGCACACGGATGCGGTCCGGTGTGCCTCGACTTATGTAATGTTATTTACCGGCACACTGAAGCTGTTGAACTTCCGCTCCTCGGGTAGAAATACCTCGGTATTTAGGACGGAGCTTGCTCGGTTCGACAGGAGGCAAGCACAGGCAAGTTTTGGACAGCCGATTTCAACCGTTATTTACCAAGCTACGCCCTCCTTTCGAGAATCCCTTATAGAATGCATGATTGCTCACCTCAATTTCATGCGACGAAGATAGATTACACTCTGCTCCAGAATGGCAGCACAGGACGAGGTACTTTGGTACTTTGTTTCTCGCAAGTTATTTCGGCTGTACTGACTGTATTCGACGAAGCAGGTTCATACTTGGGCTTTCATTGGCCTCGGCAACATGGGTAGGAGAATTTCAGAGGCCTGAACTACCAAAATATGACTAAATATTGGGCCAGGAGGGCCTATGGCTCTGAACTTGCACCGGAGGCTGCCCGCAAGTGATGAGATGCTCGTCTACGACACTGACATCTCCGCTGCGGAGATGGTCGTAGAAGAAGCGAGTGGTAGGGTTACTACTGCTCCTAATCTCGCGCTTATTTCTCAAAGAGCAGTACGAAAGACATCGAACCTAAGTTGAAGTCATCAATCAGTAACCCTTTTGATAGGATACCATAATAACCTGCCTTCCTAACCCGGCTATAGCGGAAGAGGTGTGCACTTCCCTCCTCGTCCACAAGGGAAGCCCGCGACCCGGTCGACTCATCATTGATTGCTCGACAATTGATCCCGTAACTTCTCGGCGGATTCACCGTATCCTCGAGAGCACTGGGTTTGGGACTTTCGTCGATGCTCCTATGTCTGGCGGTGTTGTAGGTGCAAGGGCCGCAACACTGTCGTTCATGGTTGGCGGCACTGAAGATACATTCCGTCGCGTCCAACCAATTCTGAATCGGATGGGCAGAAACGTCGTCCATTGTGGGAAGCATGGAACCGGGCTATCGGCGAAACTAGCAAACAATTATCTCTTAGCCATCAACAATTTGGCTACGGCGGAGGCAATGAATTTCGGAGTCAAAGCGGGCCTAGATCCGCTCATCTTGGCACGCATCATAAATTCAGCAACCGGGCGCAACTGGGCTAGCGAGGTTAATAACCCTGTTCCAGGGGTGGACAAAGCTGCTCCCGCGTCCCGTCAATACCAAGGCGGGTTTGCCAGTGCTCTAATGAACAAGGACCTGAAACTGGCCATCACGGCAGCTGAGCAAGTACGAGCGCCCTTGCTGTTGTCTCAGGCTGCATCCGATATATACGGGAAGTTGGAGGGTGATAAGCGTTACGCCGGTCTGGATTTTTCTGCGGTGTACGACTATTTGCAAGGGAACGAGAAAGCCAAACTGTAGGATTCAAAATACGGAGTATTTGCGTTCCTCGTATATCTACTCAACTCTGACTATCTCGAAATAGATTTCTCTTAGTGTTAGAGAAACGTACATTAGGAAGTACCTTTCCCGAATAACATTTTTCACCTACCCCCAAAACTCGGACATGAGACATGACCGAACCCAGCTCTTCCAAGGTTCCTCCAGTCGACTAAGGTGATAGATCCAAGTGAATTCCGTTGCTTCTGAAAAGAATGGGAAGGTCCGCGACGAAGTAGGCTGGTTATTAGTAGAGGCAAAGGAGTCAAGAGCAAACATGTTCTATTCTACAATTTGGCAGGGGGAATCAACTGGAAAGATGATCTCTTCGCCTGCCCCATGACCTATCCACTTAAATAGCAGCTGCTCGCCCTATGGCCCCACGGGTATGACTAGGCATGTCTATCCAGCTCCAGTTACCCCTTCATTGGCCATCCCTTGAGTACCTAAATTTTCCCACTGCAATTGTACCAGTTGGAGACTCATCTAGGGATACGGCAGGTCGTTGTAAATAGCCTGAACTCTCTCGCTCAATCTGGGAGAGCGCTGGCGTACAGCAAGCGACCGTGCCATCGAAGGTGCTTTCCTATTTGGTCGTTGTTTCGTTGTTTTAGATTCGAGACGAGCTAAAAGCAGCTTTCGAAGATGTGGCCAGTGCTCCCGGCTCTCCTTTGGACCAGGAAGCCCCTCGTCCTTTTGTTCCCAGGCCTTTGAGCGACTGCTGAAAGACTTGCGGCTGCAGAACACCCCTGCCGGCGAAAAGAGAGAGAAAAGCGGAGGGGGGCAGGGGTGTCATCAGCATCCGACCGGCCATTCAGGGGATTATACTGCTCTCCTTATATAATGCCCCTCTTCCGTCTTAACAGTCGAAATACGGGCAGCCTCCATCAAGGGTGTTGTTGCCATTGTTGCCTCGTGGATGTTCCCACATATGTGTTTTGATACCTAGCCTAGGTATCGTCGATAGACAGGCCACGCCATCAACTATATTTGCCTGAACATCCTGACCATACCCACTCTGTTACGCGATAGTAGAGCGCTTTCAAGTTTCCGCATGCAAGCATCAGGCAGCGAGATACCCGAACAGGTTCGCCGTCGGGTATGGTTTCTCGTCGGCAAGGCCAAGCAGGGACAACACACCGGACACACCAAGCTAGTTGATGTCATGGCTAACCAATATAAGGCCCGTCTCACACGAAGACTGTCATGCATGTCACGATCGTTAGTGGATTCAGCTTGGAAAGGACATCATGAGGACCAAGGCCGAGCTTTTCTCGTACGCCAGGGTGGAATGATAAATGAGAATATCAGCGATTTTTACAAGTTCCTTAATAAGCGGAATTCTAGATGGACTCTTGATGTCGACGGCAATGGCACCCTCATGCCGGGTCAAAAGATCAGGGGGTAGATACGACCCCCCTTCGGCTTCAAACCGCTCTGGCTTACCAACGCGCAAGACAAGCGCTCCCCAGCCAGTCAGCATCACACCAACAAAGGGGCCTGAAAGATTTATGAAAAGCATCTTTTACTTCCGAGCAGGACGGTACACCCGGACCAAGCCCGGCGAGTTCCACAATGCGAATAACGATGAGAGGGAGGTTCACTAAGCATAACTGCAAAAAAAAAGAGATAGGTATGACATCAGGATTGGAAAGTCTCCGACATATTTTTCTATTAGATAGACAGAGCTGCTACAGTTCGGATCCGCGGCTTCCCGGGCCACACGGTCCGCTGCCGCTTTTCACAGTGTCAGGAGACACACCACGGACGCTGCGCTTCGGAGGGTCGGCTCCTGCAAAAAGAGCCTTGTCCATTGACCGAGATTAGGTTTTGCGGGCCTGTGTGGTCGGGCTCTCATATAGACCGCGGTTGCAAGTTCGGAACGGCGGCATATAAGAAAGTAGTTGCGCCACACAGACGTGTCCGCCCTGCCACTTCACCAATTTACAATATTTTGCGTTCCGCCTCATCGATCCTTGCTCGACCATGTGCTCCCATCCAACCGCCGTTCAACGACTCCGGCAAACTGGCCAACACCTCGGTGCCTCTGACACTGGACCCAAGGTGACAGCCAACTTCCTGGATAATCAGCCGATCCCGTCTAAGACATGTACCTGGTACGAGGTCCACGATCCGGCCACGAACCAGGTCGTGACTAGGGTGCCGCAAACTACCCAGGATGAGCTAGTCTCAGCCGTTCAGAGTGCAGAAAGGGCCTTCCCGGCGTGGCGAGCTGTCAGCCTACTTTCCCGCCAGCAAGTGCTTTTCCGCTATGTCCAGCTAATTCGCGACAACTTTGAGAGGCTGGCAGTCGTCATCACGCTGGAGCAGGGTAAGACAATCGCGGATGCTCGGGGCGACGTCATGCGAGGTCTTCAAGTCGCCGAGGCTGCTTGTAACAGCACATCGCACATGATGGGCGAGGTTCTTGAAGTCGCAAAAGACATGGAAACACGCAGCTACCGACTACCCATTGGTGTTGTAGCGGCGATATGTCCTTTCAGTAAGTTCTGCAATTCACTACGCCGATAGATTGTTGGGGGGTAGAATCTGTCTCTAATACCCCGAAGACTTTCCCGCCATGATTCCTCTCTGGTCTATCCCTATCGCTACAGTCACCGGGAACTGCCTCATACTGAAACCATCTGAGCGAGCCCCTGGTGCTGCCATGATTCTAGCCGAGCTAGCACGCGACGCAGGGCTCCCTGCTGGTGTTCTAAATATTGTCCACGGCTCTCATGACACTGTGAATTTTATACTAGACGAACCGGCTATCAAAGCGATCAGTTTTGTCGGGAGTAACCGTGCCGGAGAATATATATACACTCGTGGTTCGGCAAATGGCAAGCGAGTGCAGGCTAATCTCGGAGCCAAGAATCATGCCGTGTTAATGCCAGATACGAATATCGAGGATGCGCTTAGAGGCCTTGCGGGGGCAGCATTCGGAGCGGCAGGTCAGCGTTGTATGGCCCTAAGTGCACTTGTTACTGTTGGTGGCACGGAAAGGTATCTCGATCGCCTAGTCAAGGTTGCGCAGTCGCTTAAGGTCGGATACGGCTTCGAGGACGATGTGGATATCGGCCCAGTCATATCTCCTGGCAGCCGCAAGCGAATCGAGGATATCATCGGGACCGCAGAGAAGGAAGGGGCCAGGCTTTTACTTGACGGGCGAGGTGTCTGCCCGAACGGATACCCTAACGGAAACTGGGTAAGTTGTCTGGGAAAAGCCAGTAGCGAGATTTTGCTTAACACTAATTAGATCGGACCAACAATTATCACCGGCGTGACGCCGGATATGACTTGCTACAAGGAAGAAATTTTTGGGCCCGTTCTTGTCTGCCTGCAAGCAGACACTTTGGATGACGCCGTGACGCTACTCAACTCCAACGTGTACGGGAATGGGTGCGCCATTTATACACGCTCTGGGCCTGATGCTTTGAAGTTCCAGCAGGAGGTTGAAGCTGGTCAGGTTGGAATCAATGTGCCTATTCCAGTGCCGTTGCCCATGTTCTCTTTCACTGGGAACAAGAATAGTATTGCCGGTGGAGGTGCTAACACTTTCTACGGAAAGCCAGGCGTCATGTTTTATACTCAGCAAAAGACCGTCACCGCTAGTTGGAAGCGAGAAGATGCGTTTGACGCTCGAGTGAATGCTAACATGCCGACCATGTTCTGATGGCCTAGTAGCTCGATCGCAGTATTCGCATTGCTCAATAACTGGAATATGATACGTACGCCTTTCTTCCCCTTAATGTAGCCAGCGTACGGATAAGTCCAACTTCCTGTAACCTAAAACCTTCGCAATGCGTTTGGATGGGACCACGCAGCCCGCACCAAAACAAGGCATAATAATGCATTATAAATACAAGCGTATCCACGGTGCTTCTAATATGGAGTTGTAGTCGGGCACGCTGTACATCGTAATGGGTGAAATACAGTTTACACGGAGTATTCAGCATCTTTGCCGCCCTTCTCCTGTATTAATCGAGCCGTTTGGAGTGATCATTACGATCCGGATATCGTGCTTCTGCACTGGGAGTTGCCAAAGAAACAATACAGTGCTTGTATAATGGCCGACACAATGTGTAATAGCCACTGAGAGGAGCAGGGAAGCAGGGTAAAAGCCCATCTACTTCATGTGAACCAATTCGACGATAGGGCCGCTGAGGGACCAGCGTCAATAAACATGGATATTGATAGTCCTTGATTCCCAGGTGCTTTCTACGAATAACTTTCTATTAACCTGCCACAATAGTTACCGTGCTGCTCATATATGCTACCCTTTCGGTTCGTTTTTCCAAAATTTGTGCAGGGAAAGTGGATATGAAATGAATAGACGGAGTCAAACACCCAAACAGTGGGCAGGCCCAATGGGCTTTTAGCTTATGAAATATAGCGCTTGCAAATGGCGGAGAAGTATCGCAAAGGAGGACCGTAAGATATCGATCCCGGCAATACCTGAGGCCGCATAACTTGGGTACGCATCTGCCTCATAGCAGAAGATGATGTCGAAGATGAGACAGCCTCTAGTAGACGGGGGGATGGAAGCAATGATATTCATATTGGCATAATGCAATGGATTCTTGCAAAGTTTCTAGACCACCCAAATCAGACAAGCGATATCGGCAGACACAGCGCTCCAAAACGCGCTGGATGAAGATGTTCTTCCAGGGAAGGTAGCTGTGAGGACTCGATTCTCGCACTCTGCCTTTCCAGATCTGGTTAGACCGGGTCCCCTTCAGGAAGGTCCTTCTGCTTCTTGTGTGTAGATAGACCTTGTCTTCTTCATGTATCTTGTATCAACTCAATACACTCAGTTCTTGCTGCTTCCTTGGTTCCAACGGTAGCCATTCCGATCCACATGCTTGGGTTGCCAGTGATATTTCCCATGAAAGTAACCTGAATAATGACGCAACAAGCCGTCACCAGAATCCCCAGGAACGCCGGTTTTTCTTTCTTGGATTAAAGCTATGTCTTCCTTTGGAGCCAATGGAAGAAGATTCAACATATATATACTCGCACAAGATCCCATAGAGGAGGGTGATATAGAGGGTTTATCAGAAAGAAGATGGGTTTGATAACCACAGTTCAAATGGACGCACCAGTGTTTCAACGAGGACGTACCGTTTAGTCTATTACTCTCCAGGCTCTTCTACTGGAAATAACAAACAGATACTGCTTCACAGCCTTACCTTGGAGACATACCTATAATCTCAATCTCGCATGAGACACATACTTCTGATTGTCCCTGATTCGGCCTACCCTGGCCATGATATTAAGCGCTTCCGCTCGTGGACTGGCGGAATTACTGTTGCATGGCGTTAGCCAGCCCCTCCAGCTGGTATCTTTTCCGGTCCTTAGGGTTTCCGTTTTACAACCGGAGCAAGCTTGCAAAGAGTCTGATCAAAACGGCAATTCCTACATGGAATCCCTAAAAAGGTAGCTGCGGGCCGGCTGCGGGCAGGGTTTTCTGCCTTGCTCCTTCCCTCCTTTTCCTTCTTCTCTAGATAGCTACACACGCACAATGTTTCGCTCTTCTCTCTTTTGTGATTGCCTCGTAGACTCGTTCTCCCTGAGATCTACTAATCTCAACATTTAAATTTTGAAAAATTGACTACTGGTAGACTTTGTTTAGGGTGCCCAAGCCCCCACAAATAAAACAATCCAAAGCATATATGTAATGCTATTTGAACAAGATCCATTTGGAATGGACTAGCGCCCCTGTGGAACTGTAGGTCAAATCAGATAAAAGTTAAGATCCTGCACCCAAAGCCGCCTCCTGGGAGTATTCACTTGTCGGGACACAAAGGGCCTTTGAAAGGGTACTGTAGTCCATAAGGTCCCACAGAAATTCTTGATCGGCGGTCTCAATTGGAGACCTCAGAATATTACCATCTACAAGACAGCAGAAGCTGAGAATTCGATGGGTGAAATGCCGTAATTTCGTTCTCTGTCGGCTGGTTTAGTCGGGGTAAAAAAAAAAAAAGGATTAAGGTAGATTGGCTTACCATCTCTGTCGCACTTTGCCAGTATTTGCATAGCATTTCGAGATGCTCGATGCATTTGTCAAATTGTTCGGCAGCTAAAGATATGCCTAGAACAATCTCGCCAGTAGTTTGTAGAGCCTGGACTGTGGCCGCTACTGTGACACAGTATCCACTGAAGCAAGAAGTCGGGGTACACCCGACTTCGCTAGCTCGCTGAACGAGATTGATCATCTCATCAGAGGCTTCCATACACGTGCTTATGCAATTGTTCCAGAAGACACTGGGAATATTGTCTCGGGATGAAATCGTCTGCTCACGGAGAAGGAATGGATGATATAAGAGGCATCGGCAAAGATGGTAGAGCAGTCGTGAGAATATAAGAGAGTCCGAGAGGGGTTTGTCAAATATTCCATCTGAAAACGCGTGTTTCTGGAGAAATTCGTCCAATGGTTCGCTTAGCTGCAACCGTTTTTCCAGGAACAACATGTTGGAGACAATTGCAGCATGTCCAGACTTTGGGTGCCACGGGGGCTCGTCGGAACCAATAGGCTGCTTTTGCAAAGCATACTGTGCACATTGGCTCAGAAGGCTGGCGGCCATAATAACAATAGCAAATGGGCCCAAGTTCTGATTTTCAGACACTCGATGGTTACAAAAATCGTTCAGATTTGGTGTCTGCTCTTCCACGTCGGAACGCCATGCCTGTTCATTGCATGGCAATTGGAGCAAGAATGAGCCATCCAAGATAGCCGGAGGGCGACAGCGACCGCATGATACAAGTCTTTCGAGAAGATAGATGGACCAGAAAGTCCGGCGATGCTCTTCTTTTTCTGAGGCAGGCAATGCGGCATCGGGCTCTTGCATGAGGTGCAAATCTTGGGCCAGACGAACAGCGACTCCTATTTTGACCCACGCAGACTTATGTCTCTCAGCACCGGCTGGAAACTTGTCAGAAGGCTTCAGCATCATGCAGGGAAATTGATGGGCTGACCAGTAAAATCAAATACAGCGAGAAGAGCCACTGTTTGCACAGTGATTACATCCGCATCCATCGAGCCCGAGAAGCAATCCAAGCTGACAACCTGCCACGCATAATCTGCAAAATATGTTGCCGTCTCGAGGGGTCCATGGCCTAGTATCTGTGCATCTGCGAATCGAGCAGCGCTGGCCATAACTGCTAGTAGAAGGTGGTCCTTCAAGTGTCCAGTGTGGAAATTGCGTCGAAAACGCCCTTCGTGGAACAAAGAATATGGATTATTGTGACAGTGAGTAAAATAAAGGTCGATCAAGGCTACCTTGACTTCAAATGGCGGAAAGGAAGTGTGTGCTTTCATCCTCTCCTGCAAAGAGAGCGTAGGATAGGAAGGCTCCTCTATGTCAGAGGTGACTGGTCTTCTAACTTGGCGACCCTCAGGAGATTCGACGATGCTCGTGTCAGATACCACGGGTGTATAAGGTGCCCTCGGTGGCTCTAGCAGTCTAGGGATGGAGTTTGACTTTAGCGTGAAGCTACGCGTACTCATGAATCTTACCTTTCCAGCTTATCGTCTATACTCGCAAGACGACGTTCCACATTATCCAGTCTCTGTGTCATCTAGAGACGATTAAATTTGGTCCTTGGCCTCCAAACACCTCCAACTGCGTGAGACTCACCTGTTCCCAATCATTTCGATTCACTTTGGACAGATACGTTGGGTCGGACAAATGGCTGCAGGTAGATGCGTATGAGCAATCTTGGAAGAGACGCGCGCAGTTGGAGCATTTTGGACGCTCGCCCGTACAGCGGGCTTTTTTTCGCCTATAATTATTATGAGAGGTGCTTTCCCCACGACCATCGTATGACACGGAGAGAGGTACCTGCAGTTGTCGCATGCCTGTGCGATTCGTCGAACGGGCGAAAACTCTCGACGAACACGCTGCGGTTGCGGTTCGGTTTCAGTACTGGAAGAACAACGTTTCGACATGAGGGCAAGGGGTAGACCTGGAAAGGAGAGAATTGTAGGGAACCTCGACTGTGGGATCCGGGGAGGGATGGGGAAGTTCGGAGTTCGGTGTAAGAGGTGTGGGGAATGATGAAAATCTGTCCGTTCCGGCGTGCGGGGATATACACAAATCGGACACTGGGGACAGAGTTTCGCCTATGATTACGCGCCATTACCGGTGATGTCGTAAGCATGAGTTCGTTAAGTATGGGAGGGGGGAATTGTTGAGGGGACTCTGCCTGACTTGACTGTCTTTCAATTCTGGCATCAGCGCTCCGTTTGCAGCTTCTCCTTTTCCCACAACGCCCAGCGTTTTCTGTTTTCCTTCTTCACCTCTCTGAATAGCTTCGCAATACGGAGATTTCTTTCCTTTCCATCTACCCAGTAGATGTCCTTCGTCTTCCCAGCTACAAAGCTCGTCAAGCCTCAACAAGAATCCTATTCACTATGTGGTTGTTGGCAAGATCGCCCCAGATTACAGGTCACTGCATGTTGACGATCTACTTTGTCAGGTAGAAGACCTGTCAGGTAAAGATCAACGATGTCGAAGGAGGCGGAAAAATCAGCCTTCTTCCGGGGTTCTGTAGCTGCCGCTATAGGAGGTTTCCTTTGTAGGTGTTTTCCTTTGTTGATCTTCCCTATATTAGGGAGATATGGGATGTTTTCCTCCTTGTCTCTACCACTCTCTGTTTTCTTAGATAGTATTAATACGACTATCTTTCGATGTCTTCTCATTGTAGAGAGTGTGTCCGCTAATAGATATAAGTGTTACGGACCCTGCAACCACCAACTGTTCACGTGCAGACTGTATACCTCGCCCCCCCTCTGCGGGGGTGTACCGAATGAAACCAATTCACCTTGATCACTGAGCATCAGGGTGAACAGACCCACTCGCAGTACTTATCCTGTGTATATATGGATTATGCACACATGATAATGTCTGGCGCCGTTTCCAGCTACTTCCGTACCGCCACCAACATTACACCACAAGGCTAGGTGAAGGTTAGCCACCACGCGACCGCTCATGGTAGATCGGTATCACGATCGACAGATAGAAGAGCATCTTCTACCAATATACAATCTACCAACGCTACCACTCGTGGAAGGAGTATATATAAAAACGCTCATTCATGTACTTAACATATCGAGATCAATCAATCTAAGTTACTGGGACATATAGCTCACACTTGGGTACTTCTTGTGTTATCGTATCCACGATTCATCCACGTTCGACAAACCATCCTACAAGTAGGGGAGCTACTTCGGTACTGACCTACTTGGCGCTCTACCTGGCACCGTTCCTCGATACCTCTAAAGACTCGAGCCTTTGTAAGGCCTGACGGATACGGCGACAGTACGGTTGCGAGGCAGGTCGTTGACCAGACTTGGAATCAGGCAAGTATTCCGCTCTACTAACGGTGACCAGTTAGCATCGCGTAACATGTGACGGATGACCCTGGGAATAGCCTCGTCTCGTGGAAGGATGCCTGAGGCATAATATTGGGTCGTTTGCACAACGCGTTTGCTGGGGACTTAACCCCTCTTTTTCTGGCAGACTTTCTTTCTTTCTCTTTCCTTCTTCATCTTCGAGATTCTCGTAAGTAGGCACCGAATGAATGTATTTCTTTCGAACGGCCCGTAACATAACACAGCTTCCACCGATTCAGGTCCAATCTATGGGTGAAATAGGGAAATGAGGTAGTAGGTAGGCCAATGCCAATTTTCGATGATCACCTCGACAAGCCTTTCCTACATATGTGTTTGCCTTCGCACCCTTTTCCCAGGCGGACTTTGGAGGACGAGACCGGAGAGTGTGGAGACACGGATGCGGTCCGGGCTCCACTTCACAATCAAGTGGGATTGGATTTGTGCTGGCCCTGGTCGAAACGTGACGAGGTCTTGGCAGCCAAATAACGTGATATTTGTTGTCGAAAAACAGGCGCCCAAAACCGAGTACGGGAAAGGACATCAGACGGGTATCTACGGTCCGGCACATAGGCCCGTGTAGGCATTGTGGTCATGTAGGGCGCATATTTGAATGATATGTAACTGCTTCGACTACGAGTAGAAAATTTGCTTTCGAAAGAAACTATGCCTTTCCCGACATTGAGTAATCATTCTCAGGCCCCACGAGATGAGGTTCGCCTGAGGCAAAAGCCCTCCCGCATTGTCTGTGTTCACTGTCGAGAGCGAAAAGTCCGTTGCGATGCTGCCTTCCTTGGGACGCCCTGTGTGAACTGTCGCCATGATCAGACCGCCTGTGAGATTGTCACAATGAAGAAAGCAAGAAGGTATGGTTCAAGAGTGAGATAATAGCCAGCCAAAAGACTGAAATTCGTATAGGAGAATTGCCTCTAAATGCCTTCCACGCCTGGCTTTGGACACGTCACTGCCTACATACTTGAAACCTCTGCCATCGGACCTGCCGGAGACCGACCTCGAATATTTGCGCTCGAAAGGAGTGTTAAGTGCTCCGATCCCATCCATACAGGAAAAACTTTGGGAAACGTATTTCCGAGTTATTCATCCGTTTCTGCCCATTCTTGATCATCACGAGACTCTGCGGTCGATCAATTCAGACCAGGGTGCAACCCCTATTAGTTTGATTCTCTTTCACTGCGTCAATCTGGTGGCACGTCTGTTCATGGATTGGCATGAGACATACCACAGGAAGGGAGAGAGTCTTCACTCTATGTTCGAGAAGGCAAGGGTTCTCTATGATTTAGACTTAGAGAGAGACCCGGTACCTATGCTACAGTCTGCCCTTTTGATGACATTTTATCCGCAGCCCTTGAATAGTGCCAAGGGACCGGTCCACTGGCTTGCTCACGCTGTCTCTATCGCCTACAGCATTGGACTACATCGAGATTCGATCGACCGAGCCCTCACTGCACGCCAAAACAGCGTGCGGAAACAGCTTTGGTGGTCTCTATACATACGCGAACGAACTATTATGCTTGATCATGGGCTGCCATGGATGATTGACGACAAGGATTACGACATTCCCATGATGACGAACGAGGACTTCAGTTTGGCTCCGCTAATACACGATGCCGAAAGTCCAGAGTGGGATATGGATCTCGAGGGCCGGGCCAGTCAGACTCGTCTAGGGCTGTTATTCCTTCAAAGAACGAAGCTCGCTACCGTGCTGAGCCAGCTGGGACCTTTTTCAATAATCTGTTACGAGTGGAATACCCGCTCAATAAAGACTCAATGGCCTCGGCTCCATAGTCGGACACCGAATCTGGAAGATCTGCATGACATAAATCGCAAGCTGGATCGATGGTGGACGGAGATGCGACTTGAAACCGTTTGTAGTGAATGGTTCAATTCGGACACTGAGAGCACAGACAGTGCAGACAATTCGTATTCCGCCTTACTACAGTTGCACTACGCTGGTCTTCTTCTCACATACCGCATCGCTGTCCATCATATATCTTGCTTACGTTGGCTACAAACGACCGGTTTCCAAATAACAAACGCCCAGGTAGTTATGAAGGATCTGAGGGCTGCAACTTGGGCTATTATCCACTTGGTACAGGATCTTCTCCGTCAAGAAGCCAGACGCCGTCTCGACCTTCTCGGTCCCTCTGCCATACGGCCCCTTCTCATTTATGTGATACTGAGTCAAAGGTCACCATCCCCACTTCTGACTGCTATGGAGGCAAACAACATCCATTCGTTCTTGGTAGAACTCGGAGAGGGTGACCCTTGGTTTTCGCAAGTCTACTCGTATGTGGGACGTGGGGCTGATACCGTGGATGGCTTGAGCCCAGTTAGCTTTAACGATTCGAAGGGCTCAGTGTTGCAAACTGAGCCACAGACACGTCAAATTTCCAACATCTTTGACGGAATCCTGAGTGACTTCAATATGGACATAGACGGCTTTGTGTCTGAGCTTTCCCGCCTCAATCATATATTGCAGCCTCATGAACTGGCTACGGTTGATTGCTTCGAAGATTTTGCCCCATCTCGGTCACCATTAACGGCAAGTGAGGCCAAAGAAACAAAAGCAATCGATCCTTCTCAGCTCTCTCAGATTCATCTTAGAACGTCAGCAGGATCCATACAAGATTAGCGTTTTTTTGACGACCTCGATTTCCAATTGCGGCCTTTATGCTTGGTTCACAACTGTCAGCGATTCACTAGAGGTGCTTCATTCAGATCGGTGCTCCTGAGGTGCGAGCACACTGCCCTTCGGCACATAAGGTGTGAAGCAAGTCCCTCGGGTTTGCAAATCGCGGTGGCTTGGCAGAAAAATAAGGATATATTCGCATTTTTAATTCGTCGATGATACCGCAGAGAAGCATTGTCTTGCCCTTTCCAGGATCACCTTGGTCCAGAAAAGACGGCTGCTCTGGTTATCTTACCATTGTTTGGACTGTTGGCTGCCTACAATCCAGCAATATGAGACTAAGCAACCATCAGTTGGCTTCTTCGATGCGGTCCTTGTCATCATGAGGAATAGTCGTTCGCAGATCCCGTAGGCACGCTTGATTCAATGACGTTTCCATTGTGCCGAGGCAACCACACCTTGATTAGTCATATTCTGTTAGAGTCGTGTCTGTTGTCGGAATCCAGTGGTCGGATATGGATTATCTAGATTGCCGATTGTTTTTATATTAGTCAGATTGCCCCAATAAATTGGCAGATAGGGGCTTCATAGCTATTGAGACCCCTTTTGCGATTCCATTGGTTGAAGCATATATCCACTAGACCCTGGGTCGCGAATACGTAGTCTAATCAGCCCGAATTGGCCAAAGTGAGGAGGTGCTGTCAAGTGGTTTGAGAACCCACTCGGTATGAGTAGTAAACGGATAATAATTCTAAGTTAGCTAAGTTATCGACCCAACATCTAACTATTGGCGGCTTTGCCCTCAGAGCTTGAGGTTAATACATCGGCAAAGATTTCTCATCTCAGCAAAGAGACACATCATTACCAATGTGATGGGGCGTTGTCCGAACCAACGGTGGGCTTCGTAGAAAGACATATATATAGCTAGACCTCGCCACGACCCTGATATTGGGTCCCTCCTACCGACTCGCGACCCGGACCTGGACGGTTCCGGTTCCGAGCCTTACGACCCGGACCGACCCTCAGGGTCATAAAATCTCGTCAGGGTCACCCTGACTACGACCCTGACTACCCTGAATTGCATAATTCTTTTACGCCTTTCCTGATTAGGATGAATAAATTCGCTGACACATCATTATATATTACTGTTTCTTATACCTGTTCTGTATGTCTAACTATGATTCCATCAATTTTCATCCACCCCCTATGTAATTCTTTGTATTAAGTCTTTTGAATACGTCTTCTGGCTTGGTAATACTAAACTTGCCCTCTTTTCTACCTAAGAGGAATTGTTGTGGTGTGTTTTATAGAAAGTTGGTGAAATTGGTGTGTAAGGATGCGGAAATATATTTCGAATGTATGAGATAGTTGCACTACATTCCGCAGAACTTAAACACTATCCTAACTCCTGCGGTGATGGTCTTGAAAACCTAGGTCAGTGACCTAGGAAGGACCGTGGCTATCGCAATGAAAGGGAAATCCTATGGGAATCCTATCCTATGCCATAATATTCGGGTGGGATTCAGGATAGGAAATTCCCTCCCACGGTCAGTCTGACTACCCTGAGGGTCACCCTGACTATCCTGAGGGTCACCCTGACTATCCTGAGGGTCACCCTGACTACCCTGAGGGTCACCCTGACTACCCTGAGGGTCACCCTGACTACCCTGAGGGTCACCCTGACTACCCTGGAAGGTCAACCAATTAGCTTGAGGATTTGAATAAAAAGCGGGGTTTAGATGTGATCTATCAAGCAAAAAATCAGATAATGCAGAATCAGCATGTACCTCTACCCCTAAGTCCTTTCGCCTAACACCAAAGAAAAATCTCAGTAAGTCCTTCCTTCTTATACACAGCTTCATCATGTCTCAGTCATCTGATATATTCCACTCCTCTATACATGATGCGCCACCTTCGGATTTCCTTGAATACGTTGCTAATTCTACACCACCTCAGCCTTTCTCCCCCGTCCCCTCCGGAAGCCAACAGACCGTCTACGAGCCTCTGAAAGCCCCCGAATGCCTTAAACGCGTTTGCCCGGACCGGATCAGAACATACATTCTATATTCTCCAGAAATGAGTGATGAATTTGTGACTTGGTGGCTTCAGACCGACTTTGGGAGGAAGAAACGGATGACTTGGGATGGGAAACGCGCAAAGTGCTGGGAATACTTTGACCAGGTCGCCTTAGACAGAAATGGGAAACCAGGAGTTATGTGCCAGCAATGTCAGAAGGTTCTTGATCACCCTGGTTGGGCTCATAGCGGAACAACTTCAATGAACAAGCACTATAATGGGGTGACTTGTCGGAAAGCTGCCCTAGCCAAAAGGCAGAAGCCAAATATCAAGCTGGCATTAGAGCATGCTGTATGTTCAGCACCCTATTATCGGCTTTATTTTACTAACTTACTTCTACGCCTAGGCCCAGAATTCACCCGTACGAGCATTCGATACGCGTATTTGGCAGCAGAAGCTTGCGAAGCTTCTTACTGTGTCACATCTTCCGTTCCTTTTCCTTGAACACCCTGAGTTCCGTGATCTTATCTCTTACGCCCGGCTGGCACCATCAATGCCAGATATCCCATCCGCTAAAGCTATGCGCCGGCAGCTTCGAGAGCTAGTCCGTGAGAACCAAAAGATTATCCTTCAGACACTTCCTTCTGGTGCTAAGCTATCACTTGCCCTTGATTGCTGGACATCTCCATTCAAACAGGCTTTTATGGCTATCACTGGGTACTTCATTGACAAAGACTGGGAGTACCGTGAGATATTACTTGGATTTCAGCCCTTACATGGAGCTCATTCTGGTGCAAATCTGAGTGAGGTGGTTTTCGACTTGCTACAAGAGCATCAGATCACGAATCGAGTGCTTTCGGTGACTACCGACAACGCTTCAAACAACAAAACTCTTATGGAGAGTGTCAACGAGGCGATTGAAGGTCTACAATCCTCGAGCGACGTCGCTATCATTCGGGTACCATGTATTGCACATGTGATCCAGATTAGCCTAAAAAGTCTTCTTGGGAAGATGAAGGCTATTCCAAAAAATGATAGGGCTGAGCAAACATGGTCTGATGATCGGGTAGAAGCTCTGCGGGCGACGCAGCAGGAAAGAGGGATTGTTGACACTCTAAGCAAGGTAAGACGTCTTACTTAATTCCGATTCATAATCCAATTTGTTCCTTAGGTCCGAAACCTTGCGATTTATATTAATGCAAGTCCTCAGCGCCAGGAGTCATTCTACAACCTGCAGGCAAGAGAGAAAAAGCTAGTTCCAATCCAGGACGTTACTCCTCGATGGAACTCTACATTCTTAATGCTCGCACGCGCGAAGAAGCTCCAGCAGGCCTTCGATGCTTTCTGCTCCCAGTATGACCAAGGGCACTTTTCCTTGAGCCAGGAGCAGTGGCGGCAGGTTGATTATCTCCTTTGTATTCTTGAGCCTTTTCACCGATTCACAACTCTTTTGTGCAAAACAAAGAATGTCACTATCCATCGGGTTTTCAAGGTTTACAAGAAGCTATTTGATCATCTTGAAAAGTCGATTAACCAGCTTCGACGGAAGAAGGTTGCTTGGAAGCAGGTGATGCTTATATCCCTCGAAGCAGCAAAACTCAAGCTCTCAGCCTACTACAGAGACACCGACAAGATTGACAGTCATCTCTACGCAGTTGGCACAATCCTTTCTCCACAGGATAAACTCAAGTTCTTCTCGACTCCCGACTGGGATCCAGACCCAGGATCTGGGGTCGACTACCGAGCAGCCTATCGCCAGAGCCTTGAGTCCTTCCTCGAGAAGTACTCTGAGAGTTTTGCCGAGGACCATCAAAGGTTAGGTGGTCCGACTATAAGTTCGATACCGGATGAATTTGATTTAGCTTGTGCTCTAGATGAGTCGCAGCAGTCTCAAATTTCACAGCCAGCACAGTCAGATGAGCTTACAAGGTATCTTGATAGCAGTAAGTATTTCTTGATCTCTATTTGAGCAATTACTGACTTGTCCTTTAGATATAGTCACAAATGCCCAGCCTCTGACCTGGTGGAGAGATCATCAAGATAAGTTCCCTACGATGGCAAGGCTTGCTCGCGATGTGCTCTCTATCCCAGCTAGTGGTGCAGGGGTAGAGCGGCTTTTTAACTCTGCACGAGATATCTGTCATTATCGTCGAGGCTCTCTTCAACCTCAAACAATCTCAGATCTTATGATGTATATGTGTACATCACGGTTTGAGATTCATGAAGAGGAGCGAATAATGCTTTCTGAATATCTTTCGGCTCAGGAGATACAGGCTGCAAAGGAAGAGAGAACACAGCAGCAACTCGCTGTTGATCCAATTAGCGACAATGAAGAGGATGAAGCGTCTACGACACAGCTCCGAGCCAGGTCCCAGCCCCGAGCTATCTCGAAGACCCGACCAACCTCGCAGGCTGCCCAGGGTCCGTCCGCAAAAGCACTCGGCAAAAGACGTATAAGCAATATAGCTGACTATGTGAGAGGTGATGAGGAGGAAGACGATGGTCAAGAGTCGGAAGCAATACCCCTGCCGGAGATACAGCACCGAGTGTCAGGCAGAGTCCGTAAGCGTTCAAGGTTGCTAGATGGGTATGAAACGTCTAATATGTAATTCGAGATTCGGGCAGTCTTTTCGGTTGATTCATTAGTTTGATTTGTTTTGATTTAATTCATTCTACATTGCCAAATTAGGAAACTTCTCCTCTAAGTACTGTAAGTGAGATACTCAAAAATACAGACAAAATCTGCATAACTTATGCTCCGCGTGACTTGGCAATGTTTGCCTTGTTTGACGACCCTGAGGGTAGGTTCTCGACCCTGAGGGTAGGTTCGCGACTTTTATGGCCCTAGCCTGACCCCATTTCAGGGTCTAACCTTACGACCCTAAAACCTGCGTGGTCCGGGTCGCGGTCCGGGTCGTCAGGGTCACCCTCGGGTCGTGGCGAGGTCTATATATAGCATGGATGCCGTGCGCCCAATATCATTTGCTGTCGTATTCGATTATTCTGATCATTTGTGTCCTATCCCTACTTCATGTTCTATACATCACCGTTACACCAGATCTATCAATAATGGCTCATTCGAAAATGTTTGGCGTATGTCTTATGTGTTCTACACTCTCGTTCTCCAAAACAATGGCATTATAGGCATCTTGCTGATTACGCATTACAGGCAGGCGGAAATCTGGGCCCGCCGTCATCCAAGAATTCCTCCATACCCGATTTCGAGTCACCGTTCTCTCCCGCCAAGAATCGACATCCAGATTTCCCGAAGGCGTGCCTGTCATTAGGGCCGACTACAGCAACCCACACTCGCTCAAGTCTGCTATGCAACGCCAGGATGTTGTGGTCAGTATGATTAGTGGCCATGTCGCCGGGGACTAAAACCGGTTTATTGATGCCGCCATCGCCGCCGGCGTCAAGAGATTCTTTCCCAGCGAGTTTAGGCCATATTCGCTGGATCCTAAGTTTTCGGAGCTGAATCAGGCTATTTTACCGGCCAAAGTTAAAGAGCCTAAGATGTCCTGGTCGAGCCTCGTGACTGGTGCATGGTTTGACTAGGGTATAAAGGTCCGGTTTTTCGGCTTCGACCTCGCTTCTAAGACTGTCACTCTTATCGATGGTGGGACTTCGGTGTTTACTACCACCACGTTATCCACGGTCGAAAAAGCGCTAGTTGCAATGCTGGAACATCCAGACGAGACGAAGAACACATATGTCTTCGTGTCGTCCTTCAATGTCAGTCAAAAGTTATTCTAGGTATAGCCGAGAAAGTCAACGGCCAGAAATGGACTCTAAAGCACATTGCATCCGAGGAGGTCATCGCTAATGGTAGGAGGAGGCTTGCAGCTGGGGATTTCGCAGGGTGGAGCATTTGGTAAACAGGGTCTGGGCGATTCAGGGCCGTATAGGCTTTGGAGCGACCATTTGGGGTTACCCAGGGAAGATATCGAGAAAGCCATCAGAGATGTGCTTCAAGGGACGTAATGGACATGACGTGACCGGCCAACTAGTTCAGTTATCTACCTTCTTACCTATATATCACAGAACCTTACACTCTTAAATGGTCCTCTCCTACCTTTAATGCTCATTAATATAATGCGTTCCATTGGTAGCTAAGAACTTCCATCAGCGGGATGATCCCAGTCTCGCCAACCTATTATACCACAGGTAGGTGAAGGATGTGACGGCGACATGAACCCGCGCGAGACCTGGTTGCTCTTCTCTGAACCATAAAACATTCCGCACGTTAACTCATATCAAGACTGTAAAAGTCCCAACCCGCCAAACGTAACGGCTATGGCCCCTCCAATCAGTCCCCAAACCCCCTTATCCCATCCTCTCGGTCCCTGTGTCGTAACCCATGTATCCACTAAGCACACCCCAGTCCAGACCGTCAATAGCACTCCCATTTCCCTCTCCTTGCCTTCACGGTAGAACCAAAATAACGCCATCGCAACAGCTAAGTCGCGTATACCAAGGAACAACATTGCTTTTTCGGCTACGCTGTGACCTTCTAACGTGGTCGGCGCGACCCCAAGGGTATCGGCAGCCATAGAGGGTGCGAAGATAGACAAGGCTCCAAGGGAGAACACAGTTGTGGTGAGGCCGAGTCCGATGAGTCGCCATGTTGAGCGAGTGAGGAGGCAGCTAGGGAACGCCATAGCGCTATCAACTTCGGGGACTGACTGACTTGAGACAGAGAATTTGAGATTGCGAGAATGTGAGGGTTTGAAATGTACGGTAGAGACGTTGCGAGTTACAAATTATATATCCCACTAATACGGCGCCAAGTCTTTATGCAGATTTATCTTCTATTGGCCGCAGTGTAAGCGCGGAATTAGAAGAAGAGAGCTTACAATGTATACGGAGTAGAGCTTGCGCGGAATAACAAAAGTCAGCTTGGTAATGCACGCACCCAAGAACGGGAACCATACTCCGTTAGCGGTGGAGTGGCGTCATTCATGACTCACCATCCGGGATGAATAGTAATCAAGCCGGTGGTAAACTAACATAATCAACGGGCGAGTGGGCCACCTAAACCACTACTGAATATTCAAAAGTAGATAAAACCACCAAAACACTATTAATTCAAAAAGCCATTGATGATGGCACCGGGTAATTGAATGGCAAATACTATTACAGCCACTACATCTCCGAGGTGCACGTTTGGCTGGTGGGGGTGGTAATCAGACGACTATAGGCACGCTTGAGAACAGCAAAACATCTAACATCTAGAGGTTAAAGAAGATGGGATGAATGTGCTGGTATGCAAAGTGGGATGATTGAGTTTTCAGCACAGATTTGGTTGAATTGAGGTGTAAGATGGCTACCATGGCTATCAAGAATCAGAGGGCGATACTCTCCTTTTATCCGAATTGATGTGAATGGGATAAATAGGTTTTGAAGCTATCTGAAGCTGATTTCATCTGAAGTCCAGCCATTAGGTGAGACTTTAATTCGCCAATCTTTTAGACGCCTATTAAGCTAACTGGTGTTGTGGTTTTTAGCTTTGAAGATAATGTATGGTGGAAGAGCAAAACCAGCCGCACTAATTGACTCAATAACAGTCACCTATTCACGATTTCTAGGCTGTAAAACTGTCCGACGACCATGATACTCGGCTTGAGTAACCACCTTTTGTGCTGATACAAGGCCCATCGTAAAACCTGTCTCATCAAAGTTGTAGATATCATCTGATTAGATGCCGTTCTCAATGATGACAGATTGAACAGTTTTAAACTATTCACGTAAGACCTTAGGATCCTTATTTTGAGCACGTTGGTAATCATAGCGTTTTGAAAAACGTGCTTGGAGCTCTTCATGGCGTTTCACGAAGGTGGATGGGATGCCCAGTTGATTCCAACAGTTAGTGGGAGGTGTTTCCACGGTCGACAAGTAGAATATTAGCCATTTCTCTCACAGTAGAGGGCCTTGGGGCTGCACCACGTGAATCTATAGAGAGTATCCACTGCACAAGTGATTCTACTTCAAATTGAGTCAATTTATGACTATTAGGGCGTGTATTGATACGAGATTGTGTATTCTGGAGGCGACGCGTGAGTGTTGAGCGGGGTACTGGTAACGCGCTGCGATCACGCGCACCGACTCGGTAGAGCCATTCTGAATATCTCTAATAGCTAAGAGAATTCGGCATTCCTGTTCGATCGAGTTTTGGCCTGATTGAGTGTGTTTTGGTGGCATGGTGGGTGGTTGAAGAGGGAGGGTAAGCGTCGGAACGTGTTTTCGGTCAAAGTGGCTCACTCGCCCGTTGATTACGTTAGTTAATGTTAAAAATCTATTGCTTATTTATTATTTGTCATTGCTCCTCTTCATCATTCTTTAAGCCAAAGCGTATCTGATATACGTGCCGCTCTTCCGATCAACTTTATAATAACCCTTCACGATCTTAACAGTGCGGTTAGATCACTAAGCATACCGATATCTAACTAACTAGTGAAGAGGGGAACGCTCGATGGCAGCACGCGCTGAGACGTGCGGGTCGATTCAGCAGAAAAACCACCAAGAAACACACGCGTAGCAACCAGGAAATAGCGAGAAGCCCAAATGTAGGGGTCAGGTCGGGGAGGTGTAAGAAGGTGTATTCTAGAACTAGCTATCCGGCCACCGTATACTGCCGGCTATGTCACATAGCATGGATGGCACCCATGTAGTAGGGGGAGGTCTCCCCACTACACTAGTTATACTGAGTAGTAAAGAGTGTCGGGAACGGGGTGGGGCTGCTTACTATAGCCCGTTGATTTAAGGGTCCTAGTTTGTTAGAAGTCTCAGATTAATTACTATTTAGCCTAAAGTCAAATAGTCAGATGATCCTCCTAAGAATACTTAGAGGCAGTATATATATATATATATATATATTTTGGCCGTAGCCGTTCAAAGGTTTACCATGTGCGTTCGACGACCCCGGTGGTTCTGGTGGGCGGATCCTCGGAGACTTTTGTACAGAGTTTCTAAGCTATGACAAAACAATACCGTCATTATTCAGCAGCTCAATCAAACGATTCTCGTTGGGCCGTTAGCTATAAAAACCAGAGGCAATCACACGCATAGTTCGCTAATTTGACCTATTCAGGATCGTCAGCTACTCCAGTCGGTCTAAACTTGTCTTTGTCATGTCTTCCAAGAAACTCATTGTCATTCTCGGCGCCACCGGTAACCAGGGCGGCTCCGTTGCGGAAACGTTCCTGCAGGAACCCGGCTGGCAGGTGCGCGCGATTACCAGAAACCCTTCGAGCTCAAAGGCCCAAGCATTGGCTACTCGCGGTGCAGAAGTGGTCAAAGCTGACCTGGATGATCCTTCTTCATTTACCCCGGCCTTTAAGGGCGCCCATGTTATTTTCGCGGTTAGCGATTTCTGGGGCTTGTTTGGCGATCCCGCCAGTCAAGGCAAGGCGGCCGCAGCAGCTCAGCCTCTCAATGTCTGGGCTGCTAAGCACGAAACCGAGCAATTGAAGGGTGTCATTGACGCTGCGGCAAAAGTCCACACCCTGGACCGTTTTGTGCTCTCCTCTCTCTCCAATGCAGCCAAGTGGTCCAATGGGAAATACCCGCATGTCTATCACTTTGATTCCAAGGCCAAGGCCGAGGCTTACGGCAGCGAGAACCATCCTGAGTTGTGGGCCAAAACAAGCATCTTCCAGGCAGGGTACTTCTTGAGCAACTTTGTCTCCAATCCTATTACTCTTCCCAGAAAGGTACGTTGTCGGCCTCCCTCCTCTTTATTAATATTGACTTATTCTTCCTAGAATGCGGACGGAGTGGCCCAGTTTATCGGGGGTCTTGACCCAGACGTGGAGCTACCTTTTATCGCCGCGGAGGAAGACACTGGACCCATTGTCAAAGCCATAGTGCTTGATTCAGCTCCAAAGAGGGTTATCGGTTATAGAGCCCGGATTTCGCTGCGCGGCCTGATTGAAACCTTCTCGCAAGTGACAGGTGTAAAAGCTGAACCCGTCGTGCTACCCAAGGGGGAGTCAGTCGTTCCCTTCCCCCTGAGCTACAGCGGGAACTTGATGACAATTGGGGGTATTGGAAGGAGTTTGGATACTACGGTGGAGATCCAGCCGTTATCCATCCCCAGGATGTGAGTGCGATGCAGCTTCGCGTCTCGTTCTTTACGCTAACTTGTGTAGTTGGAACAAGCACCGGAGCTCAACAGCGTGGCGGACTACTTCAAAAAGCAGGACTGGTCCAAGGTCTTTAGCTCGTAAGGGCTGGGACTATTTAACAGCAATCCATTTTGCTGATCCAATTAATCCACTGGAAGTGGCGTCTTGTGTGTCTGGCAAGGTGAATGGACGCTGGGTTGTTAGCAGATTAGGATGTGTTGACGAAGCGAAAGGTATTACGAGCAATTACCTTTTGCTTACATTACTGGCTAAAGTAAAAATTTCGGGAAGTTAGGAGACGTAGCAGCTTCCCTTTTCGCCCTTGTCTACCACCAACAACACACAGAATCTTTCCGTGCAGCCTCACTTCCTTCGTGATCTCCGACAGACGTAGCAGGTAAAAACGTCCTTCTATTTCTCGGCACGCCACCTCGAATCATACGTAAGTTTTGTCGCTTTCATCTTCCAGGCAAATATGTACAGGCCGCCCCGGAAGCATCTCGGCAGCCAGCAGTCTGGAATTCTGCTGAAAAGCCGAATTTTGTCACGGACTCTAGGTGGGCTGCTCTTTGTGTAATACTAAAGGAGGATATATTGGATCTGTTTACAGAGGAGGACTACGATGACGGACCAGGCGTGCACAGCACGTCAAATTCGCTTTCAAGCCTCTGCTGGAGCTCACCACCGAGACGGCTGCAAAGCCTTATAGACGCCGATACCCATGCTCAATGGAATGCTGTCCCTCAAAGCTGTCTCCTTCAATGTAGTCTCAAGGCATGTGACCGGCGACCGGTGGAGCATGACTTCATGGTAAATATGGATAGTGAACATTGTCAAGTTAGGATGCATGTTGTCGACGGCGCTACCTGGAAAAATGGCCAGATCGTCAATTATACTGCCGGAGAGGGACTAGTGGGGATCAAAATTGATGCACATAATACAACGATTCAGTGTACCAATATCCACGTTTGGGGAACTGACACAGACGGCAGTCGTGTCTCAGGTCTGGTATCTTCGGTCTCGTTAGATAACGTGTGGGTCGAATCTTGGGCTCAGGGTGGTCAACCATTTCCCGCAATTGAAGCTGCAATGGCAGACACTACTGACTCAGTTGGAGGGAAAACAGAGAAAGTGAAGGGATCCACAGTGTTGGTAGGATACAATCATCACTGTCCGGAAAGGGCCCCGGGTTAGTGGCGTTAGGCACATAAATTTTTCTAGGGATGTCGATGCTTTGAATAACTACTTCTACCCCGAAGGAGGATTTGTTGTCGGTATGAACGCAATACCCGACTGTTGCTGCCGCAGAGCCTGCCATGTCCGTCTCAAAAGTGATTTGTCGGAATCCAGAGCTCGGAAGTGGAATCTTAAGCACACTCTCGGCCAGTTCCAGATTGAATTCTCGACCGCACATGTTCCTATATCTCCTGCCAAGCTCTGGTCCAGCCGAGGGTGATAGTGTAGCAGTATTGCCCAAACGCGAAGTTAAAAGCTGTCGTGTACGCGTGCCCCGGCAGGTCTCACTTTCTAATGGCTGTTTGCCGCGCTGGTCCACACAACCGCCCGCCCCCAACCAAAAATAAATTTAAAATTTACGTCGGATGGAAGAAGAAGAAGAAAGTAGGTAAAAAAAACATACAACAGCAGGGATTCGCATGTGGTCACCCACCATACTACTAACCTGCCGGCGTGTGGCTTAAGTACGGCTGAGCGGACGGGAAGCCCTGTTCTCCACACCCTATGGTCGTATGTACTCGAAACACAGTTATAAAAAATAATATCCTGTCTTCGCATAATCAATCATACTACAATCCGGCATGTATGTGGCTTCTGCTCAATCAATACTCTAGTGGATGTGGCCTGGATGAGTAGGGTGAGTGCGCAATAGCCAGCGTGAGAATGGGGTGAGACCGGGCGAGAATCACCCTCCGCCATGCGACAGTTACGCTCTGACCCTCTCAGCTGAAGCTGGAGTGTACATCATTGGATGACCTACCACCACCTGAAACACTCGACTTCATGGCACTGCACATAGCCAGTGCATTTATGTGAATGTAGGTCTGATGAGTCTGTCCTGGCAGTTGGGTGACATGCTGACTTATCTGGACAGATAGATAGCTACCTTCTGCAGATCCAGCGAGCCATTATCCAGCGTATGGAAAGTTACCTCAATTTTGTATACGCCTGGTGAGATACGACAGGGTGCACATATTCTTCAATAATTGAGGGACCTAAGAAATTAGTTTGCAGGTGTGCAAAATCTGAACTGGAAGGAGCGTTTACCAGCCGTGTGATACTACCAAGTTCACTTGTTTGCGAAATAAAATAAGTATGGCATTCCAGTTCTGGTTTGATTTACCCAGCTAAGGAAGCCCCAGGAAAATCTAACACAAAAAAACAAGATCGTACATTTAGACCGCAAAAATTGAAAAGAATTTTCTCTGACTACCTAATTTAGTACTTGACTAGTTATGGAAACTTCGGTGACTAGAAGAGGATACAATTTATATTTAATCAACTTCAACAATGGCAGGGCCAGCCCGGATATTATCGGTCATATTAGAGCTGCACCCAAGAATAAAAAGGTAAAGTCCTTTTGGTCCGACACTCAAGCCATCGGTTTGAGAGACTCGGCAAATCATGGAGACGTGGCTCAATCCCTAACAAAGGAGTGTCTAAACTTTCCATGATCGACTGTCAATACAAGAGGAGTACTAATACACACAGATTTGATCATTCACGTTCTTTGTCAATACAAGCCCCCAGCGACGAGATACATTTTTATGTCTTCAATCAGGCGGCGCCCGGCTGTTTCCATTGCACGACTTTCGTTTTCAATTCCTCCATCTATTCTCTTAACCATATACGGCCTGGTGTAAGTACCCGGGTCCGAATCGGCACGGTCCGTGGCTGGCCCGCCTTTGACAAAAGCTCTGCCAGGACAGATGGTCCGGGCAGAAGGGATAAGTTTTCTCAGGCGTACAGTAACAGGGAAGCAGAGAAATTGGTGAAGAGCCAGAATCAAGTCATAAGTAATGTGGCCTCACTGCTTGTATTACATTGGCCCTGGTGAACAGCTATGTGGAATATATCGCGGTCGTATCTAAATCAACGCGTACCTTCAATTCATGGAAAGTGGTTGACAAGTGATTATCCCGTGGTCTAGCAATTGATTTTGACCTATTTCTATAGGCTTGCCATGGGCAAGTTTCCAGCAAATTCTAACCCGGGCCATCCTGCCGCCCTGCTCAACTCGCACCTCCTTCTGAATTCAATGGCACTACCGGCATACCGTGCCACGTTTCTCACCGTTTTACCCGCGACATTCTTGTTCACACCAGTCATCCAGCTATCGACCTCGTTCAGCAACGCACCCTCGCTGCAGTCCGCCACATGCTCGGTCCAGGCTTCCACTGCTTCTTCTTTTGGTTCGACGTATGTATAACCATTCTCGTCACAAGTAGTCAACATCTCGACGATAACATCAACGGCGTGCTCGATGCTACGCGGCGCGTTCCCAAAAGGCTGGTGAGGTCCCAGGACCATGAACATGTTAGGGAACTTGGGAACTGTCATGCCCAGGTACGTCCGTGGTCGATAGTCAACCCAAACGGCTTTGTCACCTTCTTCAGTGCCGCTTTTACCCATGAGAGGGGAACACCGTTCTTGCCAATCCAGTTAATGTTTGCAAAAGCCCCAGTGATAGCATTAAAGCCGGTAGCGTAGACCAAGATATCCAACTCGTGCTCCGTCCCATCTCGCCCTTAGGTGTAACCTGGTCAATAGCGTTCTTCTTTAGATCGACTAAGTGAACATTCGGCTGATTATACGCTTCAAAGTACCCGCTCTCCAAAGGCACACGTCGAAGGCCAAAGCCGTGATCTTTCGGAATCAAACTTTCTGCGACTTCAGGATCGTTAACGCGACCTCTGATTTTGTCGGCCATGAAGTTGGAGTATAGTTGGTTGCTGTTCGGTCCGTGTATGTATCGCTAAAAGCGCCTAGCCATTTCGCCATTCCAGGCGTGGCGTAGATTCTTTCCCACAGTTCGTGACGCTCTTCCGGTGTGACGTCAGACGACTTGCGAGGGTCTGCCTTGTATATGAAGCACGTTGGTGTGTCCGCACAGGTTTGAAACATCTCGGCCCAGTCCTTGCGAATTTCCGCCATTTGCTCGTCGGTAATTTCACTATTGTGGAGTGGAGCAGACCAGTTGACGGTCCGTTGGAATACTGTGAGCGACTTGATGCCCGGTACTTTGGAAAGGGCAGTGATTGTTTGGATACCAGTGGCTCCAGTGCCCAAGACACCGATACGTTGGTTTGCTAAATCAGCATTTGTTAGGTCCTTAGGCCATTGTGAAGTGTGGAATCCACGGCCTCGGAACGATTCAATGCCAGGGATAGCAGGAACCGTTGGGTTGGAAAGGAAACCGAGGCAGGAGACGTAGAATCTCGTGACGTAGGAACGGCCTCTGTCATCGATGAAATGTCATTGACGTCTGTCATCGACCCATTGTGCAGATACAACGCGTGTATTGAATTGGATGTCGCGGCGCAGATCAAGCCGATCGGCGATGAACTGAAGATACTTTAAGGTATCTGGCTGTGCCGAGGAGGTTTCCTTCCAACGCCAGTCATTCAGGATACTTTCGTCAAATGAGAAAGCATAAGAGACAGACTCAGAGTCGAAGCGTGCGCCAGGATAGCACTTCCAATACCATGTGCCACCAACATCCGGTGCAGCCTCAAGGACTTTTATCCGCCAATGGGGGAATCGTTTCCGAATATGATGAAGTGCGCAGAGGCCAGACATACCGGCCCCGACTAGCAAGACATCATATTCTTCGCGAGATGCAACCATAGTGGGCTTGAAGATAGTAGAAATGTTTCTAGCGAAGGAAATGGCAGATGAACACTTTATCTGGCTCTATTGAGGCCGCGGAAAAACGTCGAAACTGTAACGGGTTAGGTCCCGATCTATTGCACAGGCCAAGCCTGTGCGATGTGATCTATCAACTCCCAGGATATTTAGTCACCGCTGGCCAACCCCCTATTCTAAATTTCTCTAAGCTTCAGATAAACAGCATGTTGGCACCGCTCAATTGAATCAATTCGGCTGTAGCTCTTCACAATATGAGTAATATAACAAGAATAAATTGAGAATGTGTTAATACCCTTGACCTCGTCCATCTCGTTAATAGCGTGGCGGCCCTTGCTAGCGTACTTACTAGACCGTCACGCCTTGATGGCTGGTGAGGTGTGTCTTGAGGTTGCCAATGTGGGAATAGTGCTTCTAATAATACATTAATATTAGGCTCACAATATTTTAAGAACATATAACATACCTGGTGATCGCAATCCTCGAATCGACAAAAAAGCTCTCCAGGGAGAACAATAACGATACCATCATCATCCTAGAAAAGCATATCAGTAATATATTCAAGGTGAATTATAGGATTTCTTAGATGCTCGGACGGCGCATCCAAAATATATTTCAATGCTTGGGACAACCAAAAACCTCAGTAAATCAGAGGTATTTCCATTCACCTTTTCATACCCAGGTAGTTCCAACACACCGGCCTTCGCATCCGCCGCGTCTTGCTTGTATGGGGCGTGAGACTCCAGGAAACGCACCATTTTGTGTCAGGGACCTGTATGGAGTAACTAGGATGCGAAACTAGATTATTAATTTGTTCTTGATGAAAATGGGCGCGGGGGATTGGGAGCACTCACGATTGGTGGGGAGGCGGATGTGGAGATTGAAAGGGTTGATATTGCCAAGAAGTTGGTAGTTATTTGACCTGACCAATCATAATAAATTACTAATCTATGCTCTACACCTGGAAAATAGATCTTCCGGTCGGGTGTGGCCCGACCCACCTGTTACTGTCGGCCTGATCTGCTTCCTGTTTGTATCGCCGGCTCATAAGTAGGAGTGGCCGCCGGCGCACTCTTTTCTTTCTTTCTTCACGACTCTTCAGCTTATCTACTCTCTAATTTTGGGTGACAATGAAGGAATCCTTTGATATTCCATTTTATGCAACTGACTTGCCCTGCCCTCTACCCACAAATGCCGAAATCGAGAATGCTCCAGACATATCCTTGGAATACGGAGGGCGAAGAATCGTCGGAGTAGGCCAGCATTTTGTTGTGAAGTTTGGGCAAGGAGTCGACCTCACCGAAGGAGAAAACATGTTGTTTGTGCGGGAAAACACAAATATTTGTGTTCCACGGGTCTTCGCTCTTTATTCGGACACCAAGACTGGCAAAAGCTTTATCGTTATGGAGCGCATCATCGGTCAAACACTTCTCGCGACCTGGCCACAACTTACAGAATCGGAGAAACAAGATATACTGAGCGACCTGCGCATACACTTTGATGAACTGCGTCAGCTACCATCTCCAAACTACTTTGGCAGTTTCGGCAAAAGAAAACTTCTGGATGGCATATTTTGGACAGAAGAACCAGACCCATTAGTAAATGGGCCGTTCGATTCTGAAGAAACCCTAAACGAAGCGATGATGCGAAAGTATTGCTATAATGGAGGTCCACCCTACAGAATGGAATATCTTCGAAAATGCCTTCCTCTCATTTTCCAAGGCCACAAAGCGACTTTCACCCACGGCGATTTACAAAGAAAGAATATTATCATTCGCGAGAAAATCCAGCAAGATGAGGACAGAACGCGAGTCGTGTTAATAGATTGGGAGAAATCTGGATGGTATCCGGTGTATTGGGAATATTGCTTGGCTGTTTGTGCTCTACGATGGGATGATGACTGGCCCCTTTGGATTGACGCCATTTTGACGCCATTTGTCTCGGAAGCTGCATGGCTGCAATCACTGCGACTTGAATTATGGTCATAGACGTTGAGAAGACACATTGCTTCTGTGCATCAGCGACTATGAAAAAAGTGAAGAGACGGATGTGTGCTCGATCCAAGCCTCAGAATCCATTCAGCGGTCAAATATGAGCTGAAGGGTTATTATTGATATGAAAAGAAATGATGAACCAATCACTGTCTCCCAGCTTGGCAAATAATGAAAGCAAACCTGTACACACAATAAGTGTGGCCATCAGCCTGAAGGCCTTCCTCTCTTCTCTAATGTATATATGTAAATAATCCAATGTAAACAGTTTTAAGCTCCCAGTAGCCAAAGCCACGGTAAATTGCTCCGGCTCAAGACATATTTGGATAACTTGACACTGTACAATCAGCTGAGGTATTAAGGTATATTCGTAAAGGTAGGAATAGCTGCCGGAAAGTATTGGAGCACGGTGCACATCTCGCCTGCGTAGGTATAGCAGCGAGTTCGGGATTTTTGAAGTTTGGCTGCGCGCTATGTGGCTTCTGTCATTGGGCAAATTGGCGAGAACGAATGTTTCCAGGAGCTTTTAGAGGATGGTGGTTCTTTTGTCTCTGATTTCTTGTATATCATCTGGAATGACTCCTGGAGCTAAAACAAATGCTATGATGGATCAATTTGAGAACCCGGATGATCACCGCATGTGTCTCAATAACCTATCAATGCCTCGTAGGTTCTGTCATCAAAGTAACTAAAGCTCCCGCGATACTTCCAATTCTGCAGTCAAGTTATTTCTCCCATGGAAACTTTGTGATAGCTTCGCCCATGATCGTCACTTCATCCATTGGGCCATCCGTTTCCACAGAATGAGCTGTTATGTGTTTTCAAGAGTCCCTATGTTCAGGAGGTGTCTGCGAGGTGCCTATTCGACCCCAGGAACCAGAAGTTTGAGCCAAACTGCAGCTGATCGTCACCTGAGCGGGGCCATCCAGTGTGCAGGAGGTGGCGGAGGCGAAAGAAGAGAAAGTGCGTGGTCGTGTCGAAAGGGGAGAGCAGTGATCTTTTATACACTGCAGCTGCCAAAAGCGGCCTAGGATAACACTAGTCCCTAGAGGGGCTAGATCGAGGGGCCGTACCTGGAAGGGGCATTGTAGTCTGTGGCAGGCGGTCGGTAGCGGTAGAAGAACGGTGCGATGGGTGCCGGAAAAAGCGCACCGCTCACCATGTCCTCGTATACCGGTTATAATGGTCTTATTAAAATTAGAATAGCTAAATATATTAAGAGCAATATTAGCGAGGAGGGAGGCACTGAGGGAGTAAAGCTTAAGTAAGCAGCAGGTTTTGATCACTAATATCGGAATTAAAGTTTTATCGAAGTTTTTATCCGAGCTACAGTAGCGCTATTAGTTTATAGCTATACTGACAATTCACTCGATCTTACTGATTCTATAAGGATTCTAATCTATAAAGCTCCCAGACGATACACCTCAGTCAGTGGGTAATATCAACGGAAGGAAGGCAATCAAATAGATTTCGAAACCTCTCACTCTTTCGTGCTATATCTTATCCAATAATAGCCGTAGCATCCTATGCCCTCTGAGATCTAGCATAACGACAAGCTCGTCAATATGTTGTATCAAGCACGTTTGCCTCGCGTACTCTCTCTGTGCGAAGATTGCCAACCCTCTCTCCGTAGAGCTGATAGCCTGTTGACCCAATATCTTTGGTATTCACCTGCTCCAGTGTCAACGTTACATGTCTTTTATGTCTTTCTAATCCTCTCTTGCCAATACCCTGGTTATTTTATGACCTCCCCTCGACTTAACGTTTCTTGAGTTAGTTTCATATTCTTTCATAGTGGAAGCCCGTCGCAAGTAAAGTCTGTCACTTCAATATAACGAACTTCATTTAGAGAAGTTTGGCAGGCACTTAGGTCGATCAATCTTTGCATTTCCGCTTGGATAGGATGAAACAAGTGGCGGCCGCGAGACTCAGTGATTCTCAGCAAGATTTCACCCATTTTAATCGAGACTCACCTTCTTCTCACCCTGGGTCGCGCGACCATCAAGCAGTGATCGGCTTTTCTCCACTAGGTAAGACGGAACGATTGGCATAGACTGGCATTCAGTGTGCGGCTTTAGTACGGCTGAGCGGATGGGAAGCCCCGTTCTCCACACCTTATGGTCGTATGTACTAGAGTTCAGACGGAATGGGTATACATAGATCAAATGAAAGAGTATAAAAAATAGATTGGCTACGAAGATTGCATTCAATCACAATTCTCTTCACGCGTAGCCCTCCCATGTTTGGAATTGATCATGTACTTGTACTTGAAGATTAACTGCTGAAAGAATAACAATATCCGATAATGAGGATCGCCAATACCACCTCACTTATTCATCCATCTTCAGGGGTTACCCGCACCTGGTGGGAAAAGATGCGCAAAGTCCGGATCCTGCATAATCTGCTGCATGATCGTTTGGAATAGGCCAGGCAAATTTGTCCCGGAACCTCTGGTCCCCCATGTGGAACAGGGAAATATACATCAACATTCGAGTCATAATACACTCCATCCGGAGGTCCATCTCAACTTCATGAATCTCAACCCCGTCTTCTGTAAAGTTCCACCGGATAATCATAGGGCTTTACCACGAAATCGACCTCCGTTCCTTTAATCGCGTCCCGCATCCCCGCATGGATTCTAAGGCTGTAAGGCCCTCGGATTGTTGTGTCCAGGTAGTTTCATTGATTGGATGGGGTCGGCTCAGTTGACAGTAATCTCTTTCAAGTCAAGATAGAGTCCTGCTTTCACGTTCTTGGCGATACTCATAACCAAGTCTCGAATCGAGCACACGCTGTCTTCGATGTCGAGCTGCCCCAGTCGCGGTGAGAATTTCACTCGTTCAGAAAGACAGGCTTCTGGGATGGTAAGATATTCAAGTGATGTGAATTCGCGGAAGGAGTCGACTTTCACTTGGGTGTCATTGTATTCTTGCAGCGACTCTGGACCCAGCATTTCATGTTCCCATCAAGAACGGTGAGTTGGGGATGCATCTTTTTGAGCGTGTCTTTGTATGGAAGGAGCGCTGCCCTTAGGTCGGCTGCATTGAACTGAAGTGGATCCCATCCTTGTGTTATCATGGGTTCTTCTTCACTCTGCTCGAGATTGTCGCAGGTAGATTGTTTCAAATATTTGCAGGCATTGGTCAGGTTCTTTATGGACCCGGCGTCGATTTTGCACTTTTCAAACTGGGTCTTTCGATAGATAGTGATCCAGGAACACAGGAGTCTGGAAAGAAGCTGTTTCTCAGCAAACCATGATCGTACTCGAGGGTAGTGAGTTTTCAGAGAGCGAAAATTTCTCTTAGTTGGCGATATCGATTGAATCTCCGTCGACGAAATCGTAAACACACCCAGCTTCATCAATGATTTTGAAGCATCTCTAGCTTGGAGAGTATTGTTGGCTCCTTGTCAAAGAGTTGTTGCATCGGTTGGGACATGAGTTGGAACCCCTCGAGATTTAGGTTGAGGAGATTCGGGGTTTGGTTTATCAACAGTAGATTGACCATGGTAGTATTTTTGTCCTCCAGGAGCTTCAGCCAGGCCATCTCTTGCCAAAATTCCTGTCAAATATTGAGCTCCTTTATCGTATCTGTGAAGAGCTTCTTGTCGTCGGCAGAGAAAGGGGACTTTACGCGAGGGATGAAAAAGGGCTCATCTCGATGATATGGGCACCCAGTTCTGGCCAGCGATAGAATGACCTCACGAACTTGATGGTTTTGTTAAGTTCGATGTCATCCGAATTATTGATTTCTGCAAAACTGCGGAATAGAAAAGGCTGAGCGAGATCGCGGAACAGCTTTGAAACAAGACAGAGGTTGCGCAGAGTGAAAATCCGGGAAACTTTCTTGCGAATGGCATATTTGTTTTTGTCTTGAGCATTGCCTTCGTCTTCGTCATCGTCTTCATCTTCTCACTGGCTTTCATCTTCGATCTCCCATGGTGATTTGAGTATCTTGCCCTCTCTTATGGCCTACGCATCTGTGGTCATATCATATAGAGACTGGGTGAGCTCAATAACCTCCACCAGCAATTCCGGCGGAAGGTCCGTGAGACCAACCATGATGATCAGGTACAATTGAATAAGAACAGAGAAAGAGTCACGATCGAGTTGAACTTATCAAGACTCAGGAGCTGTCGACGCTGGGTGACGCGCAAAGCGTGTCGATCAATAGTCCCAAACGGGTAATTAGGGCAGGGGCTACGCCGCGCGTGAGCGTTTGATAAGGTGATGTGAGACCAGATCTTGTCCATCGAGAATGGCATGTGATCTATTCTGAATTGCCTACCTGAAAGTAGGCAATGATTCAATTTTATCAAAAGGAGGCCGTCGCCAGCTTCTATAGAGAATGATATAATTTGTACTGGCAATCCAGTAGATTCACTACTTTATCAACCACACCACACGGCCAAGCTATGGCAAATGGATTTCGTTCTAGGAAGTATACCGGAAGTAAATTGAAGCAAACCCGCAGGAAACGGGACCATTTTTCCAAAAGCAATCTATCATGCACAACAGCAGCCATCAAGCCAATTTTAGCAGGGCAGAGCAAACACCCTCGTAGATCTGATCCTGGAAATAGCCCGACTTGACCCACCATGCCAAGTATAAACAAGAAAAAAGCGGGCTGCACCAAGCAACGAAATAAAGACAGGCATAATGACGTCGGGAGAGGAGAACGGGGTCTTGGGATTCATTTGCGGAATATTAGGGATGTTGAGGTCAACAAACATCAGATGTGATGGGGAAACACCAAGCGCCGGACAAAAGAAAAATCGCCTGCAATTTGGACCAGATATCAAAATATAAGACATGAACCGAATGCAAAGTACTATAGGGGGAGGGAGGAATGCAGGGTTTGATTGGCCGTAAACTAGGACAGCACTCTCTTCTGATATACGCTGATCCGTGGATGGCAGTCTGGTATATTGGGAGATTGTGCTGAAGTCATCAGAGTGTAAAAGTTTACGCGGAGACGTTCTTGCCCGCCCGGCCGCGGTGTTCCTCGTCGTAGCCATTCTGCTCGGACTCGGACTCGTCGTTTGCCGGCGACTGCGGGTGGCTGAGTGGTTCCGTGAGGGACTGGCGGCTACGAGCCATCTAAGGTGATGTGTTAATGACCGGACGCACCGGAGATCAGAGAGAGAGATAGTAACTTACCCATGCCCGAACTCCTCCAATCAAACCCAGGCTGTAACCGGTCGCAAAGTCCTCGTTCCGACCTCCGACGCCAGGACTCTCGGGGCGGTTGAGGGCTTCCACGCGGGAAAGGTGCGATTTGCTACCGCCGGTTGGACTGGCCAGGGGACCACGGCTGCTGCCGTAGTCGACGCTGTTCCGAGCGCTGGGCGCCGGGCTGTTGGGGCGGCTGTTTTGCCAGATCTGACGCAGTTCCCGACCGAGTTCTTGGCCCGTCATGCTCCAGTTGGTTCGGATGTTGTCCCGGAGTTCCACCACGTGTCGCTTGATCTCGAGTTCGTTCTTCTTCAGCCACGATACGTTGAGTTCCTGTCGGGAGGCGCCGCGCTTGAATTGGCGGGATATGTACTGGTCGTAGTCACGGACGATACTAGAGACACAAAAATATGATGAGCGTGTGATGTCAAGGAAAAAGGGAATGGAACGAACCGGGTGATAATGCCGGTGGTGCTGACACCCTCTGTCCGCTGGGTAACCAGGAACTTGCCCTGAGCTTTGATGGGCTCGTAGATATCATCACCCTCCGCGGCCTGGTAGGGCAGGTCGTCGTGGGCAACGTAGTCGATCTGGTGCTCGGACAAGAACTCGGGTGTCACGACCCAGGGACAGTTGGGGATGACCTCGTCGACCCATTTGCAGTGACGAATGGTTTCCGCACGCTCGGCTCCGCTCAGAACAGTCAAGCCCTTTCGCATGTGGGTTTCTTCGTCACCGGTCACACCGACAATCAGGAACACGTCAGGGAAGGCCTTCTTGGCCTGTTCGAGCTGTCTCATATGACTGCGTGTCATCAGCAAATGTCCACAAGCTTATATCATCGTGTCTCCCACTCCAATCCAACGCGTCGACACATTTCCTAGCATCACATCACACTTCATCAAGTCGGGATAGATCGAACATACCCAAGGTGGAACAGATCAAAAACACCATCCGCATAAACCCGAACCGGTCTCCCCGTCGGCGGCGGGTTAGTATGATACCCCACAGGATCCTGCAACCCACCACGCGCCGGCGGCGCCATTGTTTTCTCATCGTCCGCGGGAAGTTCAATATGTAGCCCAGGACGACTCCGCGGCCGGCCCTCGATATCGCTACTAGCGACCGTCGTCTCCGACGGCTCGCCCGGGTCTTCTTTGTTCATCGTGGGATCAGCGCCATTGGGACTGGCGGAGCTGGCATTGTCGGAGCTCTTACGAGCCCGCTTCGATGGCGGGTTCGAGCTGTCTGGCTTCTTGCTCGGGACGTTGGCACCCGAATCCTCGCCTTCTTCGCCGGACGCGTCGCGCGAGGAGGGTTGCGGCTCCGTGGCGGTCGGCACCTGGATGTTGGAGGCGCTGCGCTTGCGCTTGCCAGGGGGTGAGGAGGGAGATGACATGGTGGATAGGTTGTTGGGGATAGTTGGGGAGCGAAGAGTGTCCCCGGTGCGGGTGGCCCGGTTAGGGGCCCGTGTAATTTTCTGGCGCGCAAGTGGGGCGGTGCTACAGCTATCCAAGCTATGTCAGCTCAGCAGCCGTCAGCAGTCAGCTAGACCCAGAGTATTTATTTTGAATTTTCTACAAAATTGAAAGAGTGTTTTATAGCCATTAGACAGAGCTAATTTCATCATGTTATTCCGATGCGAGGTGGGGAGCGCAGAAGCGGGCCTCGATTCTAGCTCTCTTCCAGCTATGCTCATGATACGTGTTTATCAACTCAGACTACGAAAGTTGCTGTTCTCGTAGCACACCATTAAATCCAATTGACTCTATTCGATGGATAACTGCTAGGTCCCGATCGAAAGCAACTTTAGTAGTAGTAGTAGTAGTAGTAGGTGGTGCAACTGGTCCCTGAGATTGTCGGCTGTGACATTGTCTCTCTGGTTGTACACCGATACCGGGGCTATGACCTCGAGGAACTCAGTAGATACAGAAAATCGGCATTGAGGGTAGACCTATATACCTTTATTTTCTTTATTGGCAAAGTGTTTTCATTCTCTAGTTTATTCTTCTAGGGTTTTCCAGATCCAATAGGATAACACACCTGATACTCGCTTAGTACATTGTCATGGTCAACTTCATCTATAACCGTCTATTCCTCTGGCAATACCCTACTGAAGCAGCCGGTTGGCACTATGGAAGCTCTACTTCATACCTGTCTAGACAGACACTCCGACGCTCATTCAACAGGTCAGTAAACTACTAGTACCCTGCACTACACTCTGAATCGGACGAGTACATTCTATCTAGGAGCCGACTACACCCTCCCTCCTAGAGAATGATTGTATCATCAGAGCAGGCCCATCAACTCCGGCAAATCCCAGGGTCTACCATTTGCTCCGTCGCAAAAGATGTACCGCATACGCCAAGGGGCACCGTCCCGGTATGGAAGGAAGGGAGAAAGTTCAGCGCTCGGAAGCACTGTAGCAGAAAAGAAAGAAGCCGGGACGGCGTGGAAGTGGTAAGTAGTTCGTCAACGGGGCATTGTCTGCGGTATCTCGTGTGGTGGCATAAAAGAAGACAAAACGTTCATGAAGTCCCCCGCCCGGCGAGGGCCTCACATTTCCCCAGTCCAAAATCCCATCCATTCCATCCAATATCACGCGGTTTCTCCTCCCCACTCGACATGTATTTGGATCCGACCGGAAAGTCCGACTGTAACTCGGAAAGAAACCCAGGGTAAAGGTGAAAACAACAGGACCGTAGAAAGAAACAAAAGGTCGTGAACCAAACAAGTACTAAAGGGGAAAAAAAAAAAAGAAAAAGAAAAAAAGAAACATGAGGCGGAGACAAGGGGGTTGTAATGGGGAGGGAAATCACGAGGCAAAAGAGAACAGAGCAGGAGTGTCGAGTCAGACCAAGGAACCCGAGGTCAAGATCAATCATTGTAATATGGTCGGCATGTTGGAGAACCTACGAGGAGCCGGGCTTGTCTTTGTCGTCGGTCGAGGCGGGCGACTCGGATATTTGCGCAGCGCCAGCCTCCTTGCCCTGCGGACCGGGGGTGTCCTCACGAGCATTTCTGGTTCCAGTTGGGTTCACCTGGTTGACTAAATCCTGATCTTCGCTCTGGTCGAACAGTTCTTCCTCATTCTGGTTGGCGATTATCTCGGTGCCATCGCCCAGCAAGATGATCCGGCCTGATCGGTCGCTAAAGGCCCGCGAGCGATCCATCTCCAGGTCGTACTCATCAGGCTGATCCTCGAATTGGTTCCGGATCCCGGGACCGCGGAATTCGGCTGTGGACACTGACCGTCAGCACGACGAGGGACTGGACTCGGGTTCCTCGTGAGACTTGCCGTACTCGGGCGCAGCACAAGGCCCGTCTCCGTTCGCAACCCTCTCTGCAATCTGGGTATACCACTCCTCCTTGCTCTTGCCGTTGAGAAGACCGATCACCGTCATGGTCATGTTATCGCAGCCGACACCGCCGGTCTCGCTGTTTGAGGCCAGGCAGTTGTCCATCATGTTCTCACAGATCTGGGACAGTGTTTGCTTAGCGGCGATGCCTCTCCGGACGAACTCGACAACCTGTTGAGAAGACTGGCAATCCCAGATTCCTAAAGAGTGGTGTCAGTTTCAATTCTTTCTTCTGGGCCGATCCTTTAAAAAGGGTTCAATCATTAGAAGCCTACCATCACAAGCAATGACAAGGAACTCATCGTCATCGGTCAACTCGTGCACGGTCACATCGGGGAACGCGGTCACAATCTGTTGCTCGGGAGCCAGCTCGGGGCTCTTCTTGAATTCGAAATCGCCAATGGCGCGGGAAAGGGCGAGGTTGCCGTTCACACGGCCAAAGTCAACGAAACCGCCAGCAGCGCTGATACGTGCTTTCTCGCCTGTTATGAGTTAGCGGAGATCTAGAAATGTCAGACGCAAGAAAAAATACCTTCGTTTTGAGGCTTATGGTCGAAAGAAAGGGGCTTTGCGCGGCCCTTGACACCAAGAACGGATCGAGAGTCACCGGCATTGGCCTGGAAAGCGTCAGTCATGGGGACCGTCTTTGGGAATTTCACAATCGTCCACATACCACCCAGATCTTGTGCTTGGAAATAATGCTAGTCGAGGCAGTACATCCGGAAACCTCCTCCTCATACTTAGGATCTGCGGACACACAGTTAGCACCTATGTAGCCACGGGCTTCAATCGAAATCGACAGTGTCGTATGCGAACGAACCTTCGAGGATAGCACGGTCAGTAGCCAAAAATCCGTCCTTCAGCGCCTGCTCGATATCTCCACGGGCAAACGAGTCCTGCTTGGCAACAATCTTGTGAAGGTTCTCCCCCGCGAAGAGCGCGACCTTGTCTCCACCGTGACCGTCATACACACCAAAGAAGGCTAGACGCTTGCTCGGATCGGTCGGTTGGTTATCATCACTACCGGTGTACTTGGCTTGAAGATCGAGGACGGCGGCGTGGGCATCTTCCATGCTGATACGCCAGCCCTGCATGGCCGAGACACCATACAGACAGCACTCATCCTCACCATCGGACGATGTCTAGAAATGCAAAAATCATTCGTTAGCCTTGATGTTAAATGAACAAAGGTTGCAGCGGATCGTAAAAGGTGCCCGGGCAGAGATTGCGGCCTTGCGAATGGCGTCCGATCCCTTCCCACCGAGGTCGCTCCAGCCCCTCTCGGTCAGCAGGGGCGCCCCGCATGGCCTGCAGATGCGTGAAAATTCGCTCGGGCAGATAACCCAAGACCCAGAGGATTCGGAGGGGTTGGGTTGGGTGCTGGCCGCGTTCTCTGGGGAAATGATGGGGGGCGCTGCTGGTTTGCACGGCGAGGGCGCTGCGTTGAAAGCGCAGCCGAGCCATCGGCGTCACGGCGGCGGATGTGTGGGGAGGGGCAAAAGGACAGATAGAAAAGAGAATGGTATACCTTCTCGACCACCGGCTCCGACAAGGTCTGACCCATAATGGCACGGATTGATAGTTCTCAAGGGGAGGTGGGGAGGGGAGGGGAGGAGGGGTGTCGGGGTTGAGCACCAGATGAATGGTGGGAGGAGAAAGAAGTCAGGTGAGGCGCAGGCCTTTCAGCGCGTTGGACCCGCGATAAGTCGCCAGCCGAGTGGGGAACTCAAATGACGATCTAGGGCTCGTCGGGGCGAGCAACAGGGGCGAGGAGGAGGCAGCGGGGGAATTTGTGGCAGAGGTTTTGAAGCAATTTGGACAGGTCAGAGTCAAGATGTTCACGGCGCGCAGAAATTTCCCGTAATCGCGTTACCTTACGCTCGTGTGCTCTATAGAGTCAGGTGATCTGGGGCTCCTCGTCGTATGCAACCCAGAAAAGAGAGATGGAGGAAAGACACTCGGGGTATTTAGGGTTTTGATTTATTTGTTCTTTCTTTCTTCTTCTTTCTATACAGCTTGACGGTGCTGTTCTTTGTATGTTGGGCATTTCGCATAGCACGCAGCCTCTCGTGACTGGGCCAGCCCCAGGCAGCCGCAGGCAGCGACGCCCAAGCCGGGACACCCTCAGACCTTCAACCCACTCTCCTGCCGAATCCAGCCGACACACATGTCAAGGTGCGATCGACTCCGAGCACTCACTTGTAACTCAGCGTGCACTTACAGAATACAGTAGGAAAATCTCTCCCACCTGTCAGGCGCTGCACGTGCCACCCATTGCCCTGAGCGGTGTGGAGTCATCTACACTTACAAGACGATCCATGACTACTTGGAGATGAACACTGGTGGCTGCATTTGCAGTTCAGATCAATTAACTAATTTAATCTACGACTATCACTAGCTCAACTAGCGGAAATCGAAGTACAAACTCAATGGATATCATGTTCGCCGTGCCCAACCCAAACTCCAGAAAAATCAAAACAAAGGTGATCCACAACGCAGTCAACAAAGGATGCAAAAGAAGTCAAAAATAGAAAGAGACAACACATGACTTGAAGCGTGGACTAAACAAAGGCAATCTCCCCACTGCTAGCAACGGGCAGTCCTCGATTAGGATCCTTGATCGGAGGCGGTGGTTCCAGAGGCACGGTACTCCATGATTGCGAATCATCGCTCTTTTTCGACGGCACCTTGCGCGACAAATGCTCTTCCAAATCGGAGATAATCGATGAGCTAGGCGGAACAGCCGACTGTCGTTCCGCGCGCTGTGGCTTCGCATGGTTCCCCGAATCCAGACGACGCGCACTACTGAGACTGGTTTCGCTCCAGAATCGAGGCAGGGGAGAGACGACGTTGCGGTAATCTTGCGCGAGACTCAATTGGCTTTGGCTCTTGCCGCCACCCTCAGCGAGAGGGAAGAGGTTGGGCGGGGGTTGGAGCGTCTGATATTGCGAGAACCGGGTACCCTCATCCCCGTATTCGGAGACCGACATGGCGGTCGAGTAGGGGCGTCCTTGGATGGATTGTCGGTATTCGTCGCTGAAGGTAGATACGGAGACGGTGTCCGCACGGCTGCGGATACTGCGGGCTCGTTCAAGAGCTCGCAGGCCGGAAGATGTGCGCCGGCTGATTTGCGCGGAGAAGAGAGGGTTGGAGGAGTTGCGGTGTTTGGCGCGGTTTTGCACAAAGGCTTCGATTGAGTCGGCTTCGGAGATGGTCGATTCGTCGGGCTCTACGGTTCGGAGTGTTACTCGCTTTTCGGGGATACTGGATGCCAGGCTGTGGCGCATCCGTCCGGCGGCTGGGGGGCGTGGAAACAAGGGCGTCATGTTGGTGAGGCTGCTCTCGTCGCTCATGATGGAGAATTTGCCGGTGTTTTGCCATGACATGCGGACTAGGCCGTGGCCTGGGGGTCCGTATCCGCCTGCACCGTGTCCGGCACCGCTCATGCGGAATGGCAGGCCGGTGGCTACAGAGGAGATGCCGCTGGATCGCTTGGAGTATCGCTTGGAACGAGATGACTGAATGGACTCGCGCTTCTTGTTGGTGGCTCGCGGTTGGATGGATTTGAGAGGTTCCCGTCGAGAACGTTGACTAGTGCGACGACGCAAGGATGGGCTGTTCGAGAGCGACAATCGGTTTTGCTGCTTCTTCGAGGGAGACTTTTCGGCCTGCTTGTCTGCAGCGACGGGGTCTCGGAGAGGGACGAAAGGGCGCTTGGGAGAGCGTGGCGGAGGACTGGGCTCAGGAAGAATATTCATCGAGTCCTCGTGCTTTTCGAATGACGCTACATTCCATTCCGGGCCCAGCTCGAGTTTGGGGAGGTCTGAAGCAGGCGAGATGGGGCTCATCCAGTCGTCGGAGTTGTCGTCACGAGAAGGCCGGTAGTTCATTCCGGGTTGACAATTCGGCATATCTGGGCGCATGGGACGAGGAGGGGGTGAAGACTTGGCTTGGAAGGGACCCTCCTCAGCGCTCGGGGCCTTTCTTCTACGGCGCCAGCAGCAAAACAGAATAATAGCACTTAGAACGACGGCGACGGGAATAACGACCGAGATAGCGATGATACCAGCCTTCTTGTGTTCAGGACTCGAGGAGCCGGAGAACGGATCTGAAGAGGCATTGTGTGTATCAGACGGCTCGAGGACATCAAGTTCAAAATCCTGCGTGCTTTCGGTAGAGCCTTGGTACGCCCTGAGGGGGATAGTGAACTTTTGCGCATCCATATCCGGGGGAACATGTCCAAAAAGCGTCTTGTTGTCGGAGAAGTACTTGAGCCACGAACTCAGGTCATCGCTCAAGTCGACGTCAAGTTGCACGGAGTCGTCAGTCACAATGGACTGGTTGAATACGAAACTAAAGTCCTCGCCAATGGTCGCCTCACAGCCCTGGACAGTCTCGAGAAACAGTTCATTGAACTGAAGACGCACCATCAGCTTGGCTTCATCCGAGTATGCATCCGTGGCCGAAATGGTGATATTCTGATTCACGGCATTCTTCGGGGGAGTACCGCTGATCGAAAGGGTGTCATCGTCCAAAGTCAACCAGTCCGGCAAGTCAGCGTCCACGTTGTTTAGATCCCTCGTATGAATAGGCGAGCCATCCATGGAGAGGAGATTAGCGAATTCTGGACTGCTGAACTTGTCCCCTCTGGTGAGGTTGAAGGTCTGGACGGTCTCGTTGAAGGCCAGAATGTGCGGAGCGATCACCAGCTGGAAAGTGGAGTTGACGGCACTATATCCAGCCACGTCCGACGCAACAAGCTGAAAGGTAAAAACCTCAGGTCCGGATCCGGGAAACGACGGGGTGTTTCCAGAAAACTTGAGCGTGGCAGGATCAAAGCTCATCCACGATGGCAAGGGGGCGTTGTTAGGCGATGTTCCGTAGTAGATCGTAGCCGGGTGCGTATTATGGAAAGTATCGGCGTCGAAAGGAATCGCAAAGGAACGACCGGGCTGCAGGAACAGAGTCGCGGGATACGAAACAGGTCCTAGAGCTTGTAGTTGCGATACCAGCGGTGTCCCTGCTGTTGGGCCTTGATCTGCCGTCACAATCAGGGTCACGTCCATGCTGTCCGTTTCTGATCCATTGGACGCCACAAGCTTGAATTTCTTCGAGCCTGTATCATCCGAGCGCGGCGTTCCCTCCAGCGTGCGGCTGCGGCTGTCGACCGAAAGCCATGACGGGGCATCTGAGAGCGAATACTTGGTGTCCTTGTCGCTGTGGGCGAAGGTACCCTCGGCGAATTCGAAACGGAACGGTTGCGAGACTCGCGCAACAGGTGGGAGCTGTGCGTTGATGGGATAGTTGGCGGAGAGGGCTGCGGCGTTCACGGCAGACACAAAGGCCAGAACGAGGATGTAAAGAAAAGCCATCTCCAGTCGAGGCATCCGGACCTTCCTCCAGTCCGGGGGCTTCTTGTCAGGTTGTCCTCTTTCACGGATACACAGCTATCACGACGGTTTAATGCGGGAATTGTTGTAGCTGCGCAACCTGAAAGCCTCAACCGGCAGATAGAGAACACGACCAAAGGAGATGAGAAGGAGGAAAGGTTGCGATGCGAAAGCAATTCACTAATCCTCTAGTTGAAGGACTCCCCACCCTCTCGTGCCAAAGGGACAAGGAGTCATTCAAGGCGTGCCCTTTCGAAGCCATGCCTGGATATGCTGGATGTCACTGAAGTATGTAGCAGAGTGACAGCCGAGAATGAGAGGGGCGCGCAGCGCGTAGCCTATACCCCAGGACAGGTACCTAGGGCAGCTACCTACTGTAGGGCGGGCAGTGAGGTATGGAGCTCGGTCGACACGTTTCAAGGTGCGCGCGCTCCTGCAAGGGATAAGCTCATGCTCCTGTGGCTGCCCAGGAACGCAGAACTTGCCCAACCACCACCACGCTTGCGTTGCCCCTCCCAAAATTTCGAGGATAGAAGGGTTGATAAGGCAAGGAACATTTTCGAAGCTCCAAAAAAAAGGTGGATTGGTGAGTTGAGCTTGGATAGCGGCCGGTGGCTTTTCCCCGTCACGCTTCACGCTCGATGTCCAGGCACATCCTGGTGGCCCGTCTAGGGGTTTCGTCAGGGATCACCTCGCACTTGAATTCACTTCGTCAGGATGGCTCGCTGCTCTCAGGAGCTCTCCCTCGCCTCATCTCCACTGTCCCTTCACAGGCGAGTACTGGTGGCTCTCCTTCGTAGGCACTCCTGAATGTAGGATAAGAGCTGCGGAGCTGCTGCGGACGATCTTCGACCACACTGGCACTGGCCTTATGATGGAATGGATCCTATTCAGCGTAGCGCACTTCAACCCGATACGTCAAAATTCAAGCTCGTGGCGTCTGGCTATTTCCATGAGTCGCGTAGAGGACTCACGTACACAGGATGAGGCGCCCGCGTGCTGAGCTCGAGCTCTCCACAATCCTTCGTCATTTCCGAGCTTCTCATTGGAAGTAGATCTTCCGTCCAGACGCGTGAAGCATTGTCCGGGATTTCGGGCGCGTTGTGGTTCCTCAGGAATGGGTGTTCGAAGATCAATGTGGGGAGCATTCTTGCAGGCCCGTCGGAACTCCAATTTCATTCCCGAGTGTCACAAGTTAAATGAGGCAGGGTTCTGGATCGTGGCTGGCAATTTCGATAATGTAGCTGTACTATCATGAGGGTGTGATGAGGAAGAGGTTGGCCGAAACTCAATGTTGCAAGGCCGTGATACCACGAGTGTTGCCTGAAGCCACCACGAGCTAGAGAATCAGACGGCGACAATCGACCAGTGTCGTAGCCTTACAATCAATTAAACCCTTTTTTCACCATGGTTTCATTGAATTATGTGTGGTATTAAATCTGATATGGTCCTCTAGGGTCATAACCAAGCCCCGGTGGTAAGGGCGTTGTCTACCAGGGCTACTCAGTACCAAGGGATACAACTACCCACAGGCACAATTCAAATTACATTCGCAGTCATTGTTTCATGGAGAGAAGCACTCAATTAAAAGTAGAAATAACAAAATCTACACCAACTCACGCCTTCAGCGGATCGTGGCCCCAGTTCTTCAGGGACTTGTAGCTCTTGCTGTCAGTATCCTGCTTCGCCTTCTCCTCCTGCGCAAGATGTCGCTTATTATACGCGACAACGCGACGCATATGATCGATATCCTCATCTCGATACTTTGAGGGTTCTTTTTTAGGATTGTGGGAGAGGATATCGATGATCTTGCGACCGCTTCATTTGCAAATTTCAGTATAGAATCGTTTCGAGTGCGCATAAACTACCTACCTCTCGTGGCCGATGGTCTCGCCAGATTCTCCCTGCCAACCTGCATCCTTGGACTGATCTTGCTTCAGCCAATCTCTTAGCTCGTTGGCTGACATGTTGACGAGATCGTTGAATTCCCTTGAGATGTAATGTTAGTGCTGGTCTACCGAAACTGTCGTGTTAAGAGTATCCCACGAGATGACGGTTTCAGTATCTTTGACCATGATGTCTGTTGAGAGTGTTTCTTCTTGAAATGAAGTTGGATCAAGTAGGTGCCAAGTTCATCAGCGCTCCTTTTCCTCCGACCAGTCTTATATATACAAGAAGTTGGTTATTACTTGACGTCATGGATCCGGAGTTTGAATCCATCGACGCGCGCGGTATAGAAATTCAAGTTTGCATTTCCATTGATTCTGGAATGACCCATATATTGATCATATCTCGGTCCTATGTTTCCCTTGCGTTTGGTCTCAAGAATTATGGCGGGTTATTGCTTTAATTGCTTCTTTCCTACCCAAGTGGTTTAAAATCCTGCTTCTGCGCCAGGGTCTACGTAGAGTCCACCTGCTTCTCGATCGCGATCGGATCAAATAGTCAACCTTGTCATGGTGCCCTAGAACTCTATAGACTTGCAAATTAAATTGGAGAGAAATCCATACGCAAATCTACACTTGTGTCTTCATTGACTGCAAGGCTCATACTCATTGTTCGTATCGAAATTCTGCCAAACCTTTGAGAGAAGGCAAATTTCGTCAGTTCTAGCAATATTTTATTCTTCATCTAAACTATAGTAGGAATAACCTATCCCAGTTTAGGTAGAACCTATACTCAATGTCGCTACTCCAAGCCCTCCAAACAACACTGCCGCGGAAACACCGCCCCACACTCCCACGAGTCCCACCCAACGCGACAAGCTTCACCTCCCATCAACCACAGCCGTGCCTCAACACTCAAGCCCCAACCCTAGCCCCAAAACACTGGCAAGATGCCCAACCCAAACCCAGAAGACAAGCGCCAAGCCGCGCGCGAAGTCATCGATATCCTCCACGAGATCTCCATACTTCTGGTACGTCGCGGCCTTGCCTGAATCCGATCGCGATGGCGGTACCCAACACGATTGGATCGGCAAGCGCTAGATTCTGGAGGCGGCAATGTGCTGACTACTTCAGAATACGAATCTCGATCGCACGGAACTCTCGCTTTGCGTTTCGCTCATTGAGAATGGGGTTAACCCTGATGCGTTGGCGGTTTGTGATCCTCTCACGCACTCTTGCAGGCCCAGCGTGGAAAATGGAATGCTAACTCGGCGCGGGCTAGACTGTGATTAAGGACTTGAGGAAGGAGAATGGGCCTACGCGAATTCCTTCGCAGGCTGCTGCTGAATGATTTGATTTGGCCTCGTCTAGTGGTGCGAGGCTGGTGGTCTTCGTGTTTGTTAGGCGTTTATCGGTACGATGCATATGTATACCCATCGCTTCGAGTTCTTCTTGTGTTTTGATTAAGGAGGAATGTATTTCGACTCATCGAATGATTTCTTCGGTAAACGTTTACTCGTTCTCAGTATCACGATTGGTAATGCGCTAACAAGGTAGAGAAGCCTGGAGTGGTAGAGCAGAATGGGTAGGTCAAATGACAGAAGTAGGGAGTATGGGAATAGTCGTGGAATTGGGGAATTCAAGACAAAACAGCAGCGCGAAATAAGCAACACATTCAAATAATGCTGGCCCTGTTCTCCACTATTTCGAAGCATCTTCGGTCTTCTTATCATCCTTGGATCCCATCTCGCCAGACATCGCTTCCTCGGTGGCCTTCTTGATCTGGTCACTCCCCGGAACGCTTGTCTGCTCCTTGGATTTTGCCTCCTTCTCCTTCTCGTCGTCACTGTCACCAAGACTGAATGGGTCATTCTCCGCCACGGGGGAGGGCTCAACGTTGGCCAGGGGCTGCCACTTGCTGGGCTTGCCGCCTGTCGAGGGGGGATGCTTGGAGGAGGTGGACGCATCGTAAAGGTTGTCGATCTCGGTCGGGGGACCTTCCTGGAAGGAGACCTTCCGTCTATCGGGGGAGGGCGAAGATCCAGTCTTGATGTTGGGTCGGGGAGGTCGGGGAGGGGGAGCTGGTGTGGAATGGATTAGTTCGTTGTGCAAGGTCCCGGCATGTCTGGTTCATCCTCACCTTCTCCATCTCTCAGCTCAAGCGCGGAGAAGTCATCGCCCAGAACCTGAGGGTCTGCGTCGTAGCGCTCGCGATCTCCACTGCGACGGCCCATGTCGCCGCTGCGCCGCGGACGACCGTACGCAGAGTGCTGCGCCTCATATTCCTGGCTAGATTGCGGCTCATCATCCACCTCCTCACCATCGATTCTCTTCTTCAAGTTCGCGACCCAGGAGTTGACCTTTGTTTGTGTCTCCAGGAATCCTTTGCGGAGATTCTCGCGGATCACGGGTAGATCATCTGTAGACACGCTAAAGTCAGTCTATGCGCCTGGCCAGAAAAGAAATTAGAGTGACCCACCTTCAAAAAAGTTATACTCCCTCTCATCCGACTCCTCGCTGCCTCGCGGCCGGCGGTAGCGAGGGTCATTCTCCCATCCGGGGGCCGGTGCCCGCCGTCCCGCAGCGTTGTAGTGTTCGGCCAGTTGGCGCGCGTACATTTCGTCCGCCTCCAATTGTCGCTGCGCGGTAGAGGTAGGTTGCTGGGATGGGCGCGGGGGCTTCGGCGGAGGAACCATGTCCTCCTGGGCAGTGGGATCGGTCATGCCTGCAGACGGAGGTTAGCACAAGTCAAGCTGGTTCTCTGCGGAGGTCCGAACGTACCGAGAAGAGCATTGAAAGCCCGCTCGACATTCCAATTGCTTGCATTTAGAATAGCCTTGATGACTGCAGCATCGACACTAGGGAATGCCTCCTTCAGCGTATTCTCGGACTGCTCTCTCGCGCTCAGCGGACGAGGGGGCTTCGGCGGGGCAGCCGGGGGAGTCTCGGTGGCGGTCTGCGCGGTCTGCTGGTTCGCGCCGAAGGTCGCTGATGCGACACCTGTGTCTTGGGGTTCATCATCAAAGTCCAGGGGTCGCGCCGTGGTCGGCGATTCGGCGCGAGGGTCGTTGGCCGCAACCGAGGGCTTACTGGGGGTCGACTGCAGGGTAATGTGAGTCTCGGTTTCGGGGCTGCAGGTCGAGCCAGAACGTACAGTCTTCTCTTCCTCCGACATGTTAACAATTTGGCACTATTCAGTCAAGCGAGAGTACCGGCGAAATGGTGTCAGAGAAAAGGTGGTGCCTGTCAGAAGAATAGGGAATAGGCAGAACACTTCGGGGAAGCTCCAAGCAAGTGACGTGGGGTGCACGTGATGGCGGTAGCTTTTATACAACGGCCGCCTTGCAGCGATCTTTCACCCACCCGGCATTTATCATGATTCTTCAATTACTTCAACAATAGAGCGCGACGCTTGCAATATGTTTTTGGCATGCTACGTTTGATCTCATTTTACAGAACTCGACGCGTTCGTCAAACCAAACAGCCCAGACCGGGCAGTTTTGTGCAAAATGGCTTCGGAGATGGATGTGTCGACCACCTTTATTCCGGCTTTGTACAAGCCGGCAGCATTACTGCCTATTGCGCGACACAAGAAAACCCTGCTCTACCTGGTTGAGACCTACCCAGTGACCATTGTCGTCGGTCAAACTGGTAGTGGTAAAACGACACAACTTCCGCAATACCTGGATCAAGCGGGCTGGTCTGGAGATGACAAAATCATTGCAGTGACACAAGTAAGGTTGACGGCCATGATTTTCTACTGTATCACAAACTCACATATGGTTTTCAGCCTCGGCGAGTTGCTGCGACTACAGTAGCAGCTCGAGTCGCAGAAGAGATGCGAAGTAAGGTTGGAGATACAGTGGGCTATTCAATCCGCTTCGAAGATGCCACATCCGCAGCAACGAGAATCAAGTTCTTGACCGATGGAATGCTGCTACGAGAAGCACTGGTTGACCCTCTTCTCTCGCGGTATTCCGTGATCATGGTCGATGAAGCGCATGAACGATCTCTCAGCACCGATGTCCTTCTTGGACTTCTCAAGAAAATCAGAAAGAAGCGCCCCGAGCTGCGCATTATCGTCAGCAGTGCCACCCTTCAAGCCGAAGACTTTCTTGAATTCTTTGCCGACGAAGAATTCAATCCAGATGCAGAGCCTTCCGAGCTCGGTGGGAGTGTTGGGAGGATCATCAGTCTGGAGGGCAGGATGTACCCTGTCGACACGCTCTTTCTTGAATCACCTACCGAGGATTACGTTGAGCGAGCCGTCAAGACAGTCTTCGATATTCATACCCAAGAAGCAGAGGGTGACGTGCTTCTTTTCTTAACCGGTCGAGAGGAAATCGACCGAGCGATCCAGATGATCTCCGAGCGAGCCGCAGACCTCAACCCGAAAGCACCCTCGTTGCTCACCCTGCCCCTTTATGCGGGTCTGACGACGGATCAGCAGATGTATGTCTTTGAGCAAACACCAGAGAACACAAGAAAGGTTATTGTATCAACAAACATTGCGGAGGCGTCGGTCACGATTGACGGAATTGTTTATGTGATCGATTGTGGATATGCCAAGCTCAGAGCTTTCAATCCCAGCACAGGTATCGAGACATTGACGGCTGTGCCCATCTCCAAAGCCTCGGCTACTCAGCGGGCTGGTCGAGCCGGCAGAACAAAGCCGGGAAAATGCTTCCGCCTCTACACCCAAGAAAATTATGAGCAACTTCCTGAGGCGACTGTTCCAGAAATCCAACGCTCAAACCTTGCGCCTATTGTGATGCAGCTCAAAGCGCTGGGGATCGACAACATTGTTCGATTCGACTTTTTAACACCGCCTCCGGCCCAACTCGTCATCCGTGCTTTCGAGATGCTCTTTTCTCTGGGCGCAGTAGATGACTATGCCAAGCTCACTAAGCCTCTGGGAATGCGAATGGCAGAGCTTGCCGTCGATCCGATGATGGCTAAAGTTCTTCTGGCCGCCCCCAAATTCAAGTGCTTAAGCGAGATCCTTTCGATTGCCGCCATGGTCAGTCTTCAGGGGACCGTGTGGGTGCAGCATGATGGCCAAAAGAAGGCCGCCGAAAGCCAACGACGAAAGTTTGCTGCCGAAGAGGGCGACCACCTTACTTATCTCAACGTCTATCAAGCGTTTGTCACTAAGGGCAAGAAGGATAGTAAATGGTGCCGGGATAACTTTTTGAATTTCCGCGCTCTCCAACGTGCAGTGAGCATTCGTGGACAACTGAAGCGATACCTTGAACGCTTTGGGATTCAAACCGATGAGTCTCTTTCGACTCGACACGGCAGTGCCGATCTCAGCAGTCAACCTGAGCAGATCCAGCGATGCCTCACGACCGGCTACTTTGCTCACGCCACCAAGATGCAGCCGGACGGCTCATTCAAGACCGTCAGTGGCGGACTGACTCTCTATGCTCATCCGAGCTCCTTGATGTTTGTAAGTCTTGCCAATGACCTTACTCAGCACGAGTGAAAACTGACACTTCACACAGAATCGGAAAGCTGAATGGGTGATTTTCCATGAAATCATGCAGACGGGCGAGAAGACGTACATTCGCGATATCACCAAGATTGAAAAGAAATATCTTCTCGAATATGCCCCTGAGTATTACAAGGTCACTTAGTTCCGAACAAGTATCTCGATGCCAAGCAAGAATTCTGTTGTCAAAGATACCCAGGTGTTGAAAGTTGCGAATGCAATGTACGCGAGAAATCCATTTTACAAGAGCCATTGTGCTTCATACTTAGCGCTCATCAAATCAATCTCGAGATAAGTAGTTCTGCCCTCATAGTACAGCTTGTACTTAACGAACCGTAGTTCGGTGTTGGGGTTGGTGGCTGTAGTCTATACTGCAGATCGACGTCACGGGATGCTGCGAAGACCCGCCTCGACAAACTTTCGGAGCTTCAGGAACTCAGCTGTACTTTCACTTCTCCCTCTCCCTCCACGCGTCTCGGACTACCTCGACACACGCCCCACCATGTCAGGGCACCATCATCATCACGGTGACGGCGGCCACTGCCACGCCGAACACGACCACTCAAACGATGTGACCCCCGCCATCCAGTCCCTGCTTTACACCCAGATCGACTTTGATAAGATCAACACCCTCAACGGTAAGATTTTTCTCGCTTACATGGCTTGTTCGCCCATATAGGACACGAGCTTGATCCCCGTACGCGATTCGGGAGACTAATCTTTACTTTCAGAATCCGCTTCGAAGGGCGGGGCTGCGATTGTCAAGAAAACCTGGGCGGAGCGACTGAATGATAATCCCGAGCTTGAGAGCGATGCCGACGAACAGCTACTCATGTACATCCCGTATGTCCTTCCCAGATGCCCCAACCCGCTCCTGTGTCTACGACTTCTCCATGCGCTTGTCGATTGTCGCACATCGCAAAGATATTTGGATGGGACAACCCCCACCATCTTCCCCTCATGACGATCAGCAGGAAAACCCGATTGAAGCTAACTCTCGTATCTCACTAGATTCACCGGCCAAGTCAAAGTCTACTCTCTCCTCATTTGGACAGCACCTACTTCCTGTGCTCCAAAGACCCTGAAGCTTTTCAAGAACCGCGATGATATCGATTTTTCCACTGCCTCGGAGCTTTCCCCGACTCAGACAATTGAAGTCCCGCAGCCCGTTCCCGGCGAAGATGTCTTCGAACTGCCCTTGAATCGCGCTCACTGGAATACCACTACGTCTATCACTATCTTTATCGAGGATAACTGGAGTGATGGCGAAGAAGATGTGACTAAGGTCGGATACATTGGTTTCAAGGGCCAGTTTATGGCTTTAAGTCGTGAGCCTGTCAATTTCTTGTACGAGGCTGCTGCCAACCCCAATGACCATGTCGCGATCCCGGGCGTTAACAGTGTTGGCGGTCGGATCATGCCTGGTCAATAGACGGTTGCCTCGCCTCGCCTCGGAAACAGCTGTCTGACAGTTCTTTGAGACTTGCGCGTTCTTCGTTTCTTTTCTTTCGTTGTTTTTTTATAAACAGCATCAAATGTATTATAAAATCTACATGCCAGAGCTAATTACTGTGCCGATGATTTCCTAGGGTAGGGGAGAGCCCGAGTGATACCCCCCATTCTCCCCTCCCAAGGCGATCATCTTCAAATGACTAACGAGGAATATCAAAATTCGAAAAGCTAACCCACCAACGCCGATTCCATATGCTCCGATCTTTATGTGCGAGTGATCGATCGGTTGTAATAATAGATGCAACGAAATCATATATAAATCATGCAGGCAGCGCAGTCCGGGCCTTGGCCTTGGTCCTAGTCTCACCAGTAGACTCCTCACCAACAGGCTCTGGCTTGGCTGGCTCCTTGGTAGGAGGAGCAGGGAGATGAACCGGCTCGGCCACCTCTTGCTGCAAAGCCTCCAACTCATCTTCGACATCCTCTTCGTCCTGCGTCGACAAATTTCCCTGAAGCATCTGGCTCACCTCCTGTAATACAGCGTCAGCAGAAAAAAAGCAAGCGACAAAAGCAGCGGCAAATCTTACCTCTTGGTAAGCGCGAGCTTCCTCCGATTCTCCCATTAAGCGCTCCACGCCCTCGATCCCACCCATCTCCTTGTTGATGGTCTGTAGTACCTGCGTACCTTGCTGCAGGCCAAACAAGACATCTTTCTGCACAAGCGCGAATTCGACTTGACCTGTCAACTGCTCCAGCTGCGCAAGTTGGCCATCTGTCTTGTCGAGCAATGATTCTTGGTACTTCTTGCGTCGCAGTGCGAGAAGCGCCCGCCGCCGATCATTGCGCGCGAGGCATTCCTTTGCGATCTCTGTTTCGCGGTCGGTGAGGTTTGTAATGCGCTTGCGGTATTGTTGGAGTTTGTCGCGCTGGTTCTTGAGATCGAGGATTGCCCTGGTTTTCATAACAGGATTAGTGGGCAGTTTCGAGCTTCTGGTTCATTCAGTCATCGGGCAGGGGAGGGTCTCGTGAGGGGAAATTGAAATGCAGGAAGCTGCAGGGAAGACCTGCAGCGCGATTTCAGGTGGTGTTTTCGATTTGAGGAGGATCAGACTTACCGATCCTGGGCCGAGATCTTCTGCGAGCTACCGGAGTTTCCCATCTCGCATTGTTGTTGCTGGGTGAGTCCGACTGCAAGTTGCTCCGGGGTAAATCGGCGGGATGACGTTGTTACGGTCTGTATTGCAGCGGTTATATTACGCGTAATTTTCGGCGTCTTTCCGCCCCGATTTTTTTTGTGAACTTGCCGCTATCGCAATCGCACATCAAACAACTCAGTAATGCCTTCGAGGAAGGGGGGTCGGCCGACGCTGAGCCAGGGCTTGGACCGAGAGGTGAGTTTCTTCAGTTTGGACGATATGTCGTGGAACAGTCGCTGATGTTCTGGCGCAGGTCTACCAAGTCGTGCGCAAAATTATCGATGACCAGCCCGATGAGGCCCGCATTCGCCTTTCGGTCCCCGCAATTTATGAGCAGTTGAAAAAATCCAATTCCAGCTTGAATCGCAAGCCTAAGAAACTGCTGGAGGATAGCTTGGAGCGGGTTTTGGAGGTGGTGAAGAGTGATGTCCTCGGTGATGATGAGGATGATACGGTCGAGGGAGATTTTGAAGGTCTCGAGGAACCGCCGGCTGTGGTATGCAAATATGACTTGAGGATATATTCGGAGGTATTTTGACCGGGGATTTTTTTTTAGGAACCCAATGGCGTGAACCAGAGCATTGTCGGCGCATGGTCGACCGCCAAAGCAGCGACATCCTCTCGCAAGGCCGAGGGAACCTCAAAACGAAAAGGACGCGACGGAGAATCTTCCTCGAAGCGACGCAAGGCCGAGGCCACAATCGACCGATCTCCACCTACGCACGTTAGTCTTACAGATCTGGGTGGTCTGGACGATGTGGTTCAGGAATTGGGCGATCTGGTTATCCTGCCCATGACCCGACCACAGGTGTACCTGGCTTCGAACGTTCAGCCGCCGCGCGGTGTTCTACTTCACGGTCCGCCGGGATGCGGAAAGACTATGATTGCGAATGCATTTGCTGCGGAACTGGGCGTGCCTTTCATCTCGATCTCGGCTCCCTCAATTGTGTCCGGTATGTCCGGCGAGTCTGAGAAGGCGCTGCGGGAACACTTTGATGAGGCCAAGCGCATTGCTCCTTGTCTGATTTTTATTGATGAGATCGATGCGATTACCCCGAAGCGTGAGAGCGCGCAGAGAGAAATGGAGAAGAGGATCGTCGCCCAGCTGTTGACCTGCATGGACGAAATTGCTCTTGAGAAGACGGACGGCAAGCCGGTTATCGTGCTCGCAGCTACGAACCGACCCGACAGTCTGGATGCGGCATTGCGTCGTGGAGGCCGCTTCGACAAGGAGATTAACATGACCGTTCCCTCTGAGCCGGTCCGAGAAAAAATCCTGCGAGCTCTGACACGGAAGATGCGCCTGGCGGATGACCTCGACCTCAAGACATTGGCGAAGCGAACCCCCGGATTCGTCGGCGCTGACCTCAATGACCTCGTTTCAACCGCTGGTGCCGCTGCGATCAAGCGATACCTCGAAATCCTCAAAGCCAACAGCGGTGAAGACATGGAGATGGAGATCGAGGGCGAGGATGATATCAGTCCTAAGGTCCGCGAACTCCGCCGTCTCATTACACACGCCAAAGAAAACCCCATTGGCGAGGAAACACAAGAGATTTCCATCTCCAATGCGGATTTCTTCACCGCGCTACCCAAAATCCAACCCTCCTCCAAACGTGAAGGCTTCGCCACCGTTCCTGACACAACCTGGGAAGACATCGGCGCCCTTACTGGTATTCGCGACGAACTGGAAACCGCCATTGTCGAGCCGATTAAGAACCCTGAGATCTACGCACAGGTTGGTATTACCGCGCCGACGGGTGTTCTCCTCTGGGGACCGCCGGGTTGCGGTAAGACGCTTCTGGCCAAGGCCGTTGCGAACGAGTCTCGCGCCAACTTCATTAGCGTCAAAGGTCCTGAGCTGCTGAATAAATTCGTTGGTGAATCTGAACGCGCTGTTCGCCAGGTCTTTGTTCGTGCTCGGTCTTCCGTTCCTTGCGTGATCTTCTTCGATGAGCTTGATGCCCTTGTTCCCCGTCGTGAAGATACCCTCTCCGAAGCATCTGCCCGTGTTGTCAACACATTGCTCACTGAGTTGGACGGCCTTGGATCTAGTCGACAGGGTATCTATGTTATTGCCGCGACAAATCGTCCCGATATCATTGATCCGGCTATGCTTCGCCCCGGTCGCCTTGAGACTCTTCTCTTCGTCAACCTGCCTTCGGCCCTTGAGCGTGTCCAGATTCTCAAGACCCTTGTCCGCAAACTCCCTATCGATTTCGATGACGATATGCACAGGCTCGCAGAGGAGTGCGAGGGATACTCTGGCGCCGATCTGGGCAGCTTGGTTCGTCGCGCTGGTTACTCGGCTATTAAGCGTCGGGATGCGATCAAGATGGATGACTTCGAAGCGGCCAAATCTTTCATTCGGCCCAGTGTTACTGATATGAAGAAGTACGAAAGGCTCAAGAGGGACTGGAGCGGTGGTGTGGTTTGATACCTTGCTTTGGGACATTTTCGTTTATACCCAGATCCCCTTCAAAGGGGGCCTGCTTGTTTGGGTCCGCCAAGACGACCTTATATATAGATACCTGGGAGTCTTGTACTTTTGCTTGACTTGCTACACATAGAATCAATGAGTGATCAGTACAATATGCTTGTCATCTAAGTATGAGGCTGCACGCCGGCGATTGATGTGGCTAGATAGTGGGTCCCATGCCACTTCATAGTGCTCCACAGTCAACAAACCCTGAACCTACCAGGTCCTATAGTTATAGACCTCAGGGAACGAGGCTGACTAAAAGTCAAACTGTAACTATAACGTTACGCGCAAGGCCTTGAAATATCGAACTAGAGGGGAAATCCGATAAAGGTACACTAATAAAAGACTGCTCGTATCCATACCACCTCGGTTGCAATTTCACGATGTCCATATCTCGTATTCACGTTGATCATGCCTCTCTTCAACGAACACAGCCACAGATCGCTCTGGCCCGCTCTTGGCATTCAAAATCGAAGTGAATTATTATAAGTGGGTATTTCCACGATTGTTGGAAATGTCTAGGGTGTTACAGCCTCACTGTCCTCCACATAATGCCTGTCCATGTTCCTGACTACAGCAGGGATAGCAGGGAAGAATATTTCAGGAACAACCGAAAACGACCTAAATATCTCGAAACCTTGATAGTGATCGAGGAACTGCTGATATGTCTCATCAATGCCATCGTCTTCGCAGCATTTGCCCAGGGGACGGGTGTATTCTCCAGGCGGGTTCATGAGTTCCCTGAGCTTTTCAAGCCACCGTATAGCCCTTATATCGGGCGAGGCACTGACATGCCATTCATCACAGTTCGCTCTTCTATTGGTTTCTTGACAATGGCAATATACTAATATCATAACTCTAGGCGTGCATTGTCATCGCTTGGACAGTCCTCCTCTTCCTACCCCAGATCTGTTGGTTGGCTTCCAAGAGATCCTGGTGGCTGATCGTCACGCTATTCAGATGTGGTGTTGTAGTGTGTCTGGCTCTCAGTGCCGTGTTTCAGTCATGGTATCTCCCACTGCCGTTAGGATCATGCCAAAATGACGGGGAATGGCGAGATACGACGAATGTTCCTGAAGGCACTCTCACCATGTTCAAAGATATGCCCACTGAGATAATTGATCATAATGGTGGAATAAAGACTGTATCGGCATGTGAGCGGTTACTTTGGATATGGAGGTTTGAAATTGCGAATGCGTGCGTTCGCTCAGTCTCATTCAAGGGGTCGCCCCGCTGATAGATACTTCGCAGTGTTCTTATGGGCTTATTTGCATGCTCTTCTGCAATTATTTTCATCTCCTTTGACCGTTTTGAACCTGGATATCTCGACTTGACTGGCCAGAAGGCGGATATTATAAGCCGAATGATCGCGCCGTATACACGGTTCGCGATTGCTTATATCCATCGCCGAAAGGGTCGAAAAGGGGATACAAGTTTAATGGGAATATCTCGTCTACCACATACTCTGGGGTTCAGATCCTGGGGCTATAAGCATGTGGATGTTGCTATGGAGCATGTTTCCCACGCCGGGGTTGGCAGATCCGATAATGAGCAATGTTCATGCACTGGCCTGGAAAAGGATATACAGTGCTGGGGTTGTCGGAAACAGATTTGCGATGTAAGTGCCCTGAGAAAGGCCTGCTCAGAGGATAGCTAATCAGCACATACAGAATTGCAAGGTCATGAAGACCGTCCGGCCGCCAAAGCGATCACACAGCGATTGCAAAGTCGCATGTAGCCGATGCTTCTACAAATCTTGCTGTCGCTCCAAAATGCGACAATCCTGGTTCAAACCTGTCACTTGCACTGAGCATGGAGACTGGTCGAAAGGTTTGGGACCGCAAGCTGATGAGGGAATGGTGGATATGAACCTCTGTCGAGACAACTGTTCGAAGCTGGACAAGTATGCACTGTTCGAGATGCAGGGTGAACGGAAGCGGGGAGTACCTACAGCGTCTGATCTGTCCGAAATATCCTGTGATAGTTGTGGTGCGATGTGTCGACGGGGAGCCAGGATAGACAGGGAATATTGGTGGTGTTGTCCTCACTGTGATGGTTTCTGTGATAGTAAAGTACACAGAAATAAGTAAGAGAGTATTTCAATCACACTCCCTTTTGGCTGTATTAATCTCCAATAAGCAAAGTACCTGATCAGTGTGGGGTACAAGAGCGTGGGAAGGTACAGTAACATTTATTATGAAATGCAAACAAGCCAAATTAGTGAGGCTGAAGCTGACCAATGATTCGCGTGGCTTTCTTCTAACACCATTAAGCATTCCCTAAGATAATTTCGAAGACAAGGTACTCTAACAGTCATCAAAACTGTCACCTACCCAGTAATATCGCCACTCCTCATCTCTTTGCGGTCGAAAGTGAGCTCCGGCCGTTATAACCCGCAGCACGTTGCCCCGCCTATTTTACCTATCAAGGATGACTTCGGTGGGAGAGTACCCAAAGAGCCTACAACCGAAGCGTTCAAAACACATACCACGCAATCGTACCCATCTCTCGATCCAGCTCTAGTACTTCGCTTTTCTCAAGAGCAATTTCGTCGGTATTGAGAGACTTGTTAAGATAAGACGAAAACACTCAGACGCCATTTCCAACTGTGCATGCCCGTCTGGAAAGTACTGTTTTGCCTTGGGAGGCGAAGCGTCCATATTGCAGCCTCATGGATCCACTAGCAATTTGATAGATGAGACGCATTACGAGATTACACATGAATCAGGCGAAAGTACTATACATGGCGCATTATTCCCCGAACGTCCCCATTCCTCCTGTCATGAATCTACCAGCCGAATTCGAATGTCCTTTTTGTTTCGAGGTTTCGAACACGCACTGAATGTACCAAACATGTCTTTCAGGACGTGCGACCATACACGTGCAGTTTCCCTAGCTGTGAAGCCAATCGCGTCTTTAAAATAAAAACAACCTGGATTCGACACGGGATTGGAAAACATTGGCGTCTTGAATGGTGGGCCTGCTCTTTCGCTAGCTGTAGCCATATTAACTTTCGCAAGCATATCTTGGTTCAGCATCTAGCTCGGGAACACAAGATGGCTGCACCGGGACGCCGAGACCTCCGGGGCTCTGTCACTGGAGAAGAGCGTTCTCGGCAGGAACAAGACATCGCCCGTTTCTGGAACATGGTTGACGATTGCAAGTGTACGGTCCAACCTTCTCCTAATGATAAAGCTTGCCGATTCTGTGGTTTCGTGGCCGATGGCTGGAAAGCATACTCAAAACACCTAGAGACACATGGTACAGATTGCCATGCCGATTTTGAAGCTTGTTGATGAGCGTTGTGCCTAATGTTTGCAGAAATAATAAATGTTGAAATAGAACTTTTAAGTATGGCTATACAATAAATACTATGCACATACAACAACGCCGGAAAGAGTATCATGCAGAAAGAAAACCAGGAAACATAATTACATCCACAAACGGCACGTTCCATCCGCACCGGCACTAACACACCACGCCTCACGCGGATGCCAGTCGATATCGAGGACACCCAGCTCGCCCGTAATCTTGTGTCCCTTAAGCACCTTAAGAGGAACAATACTAGCATTGCTGAGCATGTCGCCCGTAACGCTGCCGTGGAAGATCTGTAACGAACCATCGTCACTGGCATCAGCGAACAGCGGGTACCGACCACCAGGGTGGAACTTGACAGCGCGAATGGCCTTGCGGTGGTAACGAAGGGTCTTGTACGGGCGCTGCGAAAGGTCCAGATCGTGCCACAGGAGACGGCGGTCATATGAACCGATGATAATGTTGTCGCCACCGGCAGCACTGGATGAGGTCGGGTGAATGTCGAAGGAGGAGATCCAGCGAGCTCCGGGCTGGAGGATCTTGACGAGCAGCTGGCGGGAGAGATCGTAGCCGCGGACGGAGCGCTGGTTCGCCACGAAGAGGATGGGTTTGGAGGGGTGGAAGTGGGCGGTTTGCGGGGGACCACCTCCCTTGAGGCGGCGACGGAAGGGGAATTGAGTGAGGTGCTTGGAGACGGTGTGAATGGCGACCGCGACAGAGGCAGGGGTTGAGGCGCCGGAGCAGACGCTGACGAAATAGTCACCTCGACGGTGCCAAGAGATTGACTTAGGGACGTAGCGGAGGGGAATGACGGCGCAAACTCCGACGTCGGCGAGGGCAGACGAAGGACGGATCCATTGAGGAGGTGCGGCCTTCTTGTTGGCATCGGCAGCGCTGGGAGCTGGGCTGGAGGCGGCGTAACCCCAACCAGCATCGATGATCTCCAGACTCGTCTTCTCGATCTCGGGATCGGCAATTGGAGGCACAGACAGGAAGATATCATCACCGCAAGCGGCGGCCAGGACGACGGCGTCCTTGCCGGGGCGCCAGCGGACAACGTTTACCGCACTCTCGTCGCTCAATTGAGCACTCCACAACTGACGACCAGTAAGAATCTCCCACACACGAACTGTACCATCGTCACCACCAGTCGCAAGCCAGATTCCAGTAGGGTCCACATTGAGCGAGCGAACACGACCCTTGTGGCCACGGAAGACGGTGGCACATGTGGTAGGGAAAGGCTTGAGCTCCTCAGGGCTGGGCAGCTTGGGGAGAAGGCTCTCCGGGTCGATGTTGAGCTTGCTGCGGCGAACACGGGGAGCGAGATACAGATCCAGACAGCGTTCGAACTTCTCCTTGACGAAATTCTCGTAACCGGGAACTTTGCGGAGAGAGGCAAAGTCATTGGGCAGGAAATCTTTCTCGCGATCCTCTGGGTCTGTCTGCTCCCAGGCCTTGCGCTCCTTGTTGTCGGGCAGGTACTCAGGGGGCGGGTGATAGCTCTCCTCGTATCCAGGAGGAGGAAGCTTAGGAGCAGGGACATGCATAGGGTGATCTGGCCGCTCGGCCTCGTCTGCCCACAGGTCGAAGTTGATAATGTTCTCGTCCTTCTCCTCGCGCTCCTCGGGCGCCTTGTAAGGAAGAATGCGGCCCTCGCGAATGGCCTTGACAAGCTTCATCACACGCTTCTGCTCATGCTTAGACGGCACAAATCGGCGCTTAGGCTCAGGCGCAGCACTGAGAGGCATGATCTCCTTCTGGCTAGTGAAGTATTCCACTAATGGCTCATACTGATCGTAGCCCTCACCAGGGATCTCATTCATCTGAACCTTCTTCAGGACCTCCAATTCCTCCTGACTCAACTCCAGGGGCTTTCCGGTGTTTGGATCGGTCATACCAGTCCAGCCCTTGGGAACCTCAATGCTATCCAACAAAGCATCGAGCGCCTCGCCCTTGGCGGGACGCATGATCTTCTTGCCGTTGATGTCATATCCAATGTGAGGGTACTGGTCGTAGAAAGACAGCGGGATGTCACCAATTGTATTGGCATTCTCTTCAACGTCCGAATAGTCCGAGTTGTCGTCCGGGTTGATTTCGTCGTACAGGTAGCGGTCGTTTCCATTGGCGTCCTTCACGATGCGAACATTGGGCTCGTCAGCCTGCGATTCTTTTACGACAGGCGTCTTCGGCTCCTCAACATCGGACGGAATCTCGTCGCTATCCAGTTCCTCCTCTTCATCCTCGTCCTCGTCGCTGACATCGTCAATCAGCTCGATTTCGGATTCGTCGTCTTCGCTCTCGGAAAGGTCGTTCGCATTGTCGGAGAGGGCGCCGTCGATATTTTCCGCACCCAATTCATCTCCAGAAAAGACACCCGCTTCTTCCTCCACATCACGGGTTACAGCCTTGCGCTTCTTCGAGGCCTTTCGAGCGTCCATGGTTGGCGTTGGGCGTGGAGCTTGGAATTGTTGTCCGCGAACTTTTTTTTTTTCTCTCAGTACATCCCGCTCACCGCCCACATGACTGACCGCCCGTCTTATCGTCTATCGATGACCTAACCCGTTTGGCCGCGCCCAAGCGCCGCTTTTTCTTTTGCCATTTCGTTATTTACAAAGAACATGCTCGATCATGGCAGCCATGGCTGATTCGATTAGTATGCCATTACCTGGAGGCGCTTCTGCCTCAGGCACCGACCCAAAACGACACGCAGCTTGCGACGAGTGCAGTAGGTTTACTGGACGGCGAATCTACTAGTTGGCCCCTCTGCTGACCACATATTTCCACTTCAATAGGGAAACGAAAGCTCAAATGCTCAGGAGATCTGACTGGGTGTACGCGCTGCGTGGAAAAATCAATACCATGCAATTACTCCGTTCAAAAACCCATGGGTCGACCCCCTAAGAAGAGAACACGATCAGATGATGAGGGGTCCGAATTCCCTACTCAATCAAACCATAATGTCTGGCCAAGTCCAGAAGACTCGCCTCCGAATGGATATTCTATATCATCAGAGACATACAATGCAACCGACGCTCAGCACCTCTGTCCACAACTCTTCTGGCAAACTGGCAGTCATTCACCAGCATCGCAGCCGTCGATGCCTGATCTACTCGCGGAGGACGAAGACCACAACCATAGCTGGCGCCCAGATCGACTGAAGAATCCTAATCTACCAGTACCGCCATCTTCTAGTCCCTGGCCGGACTTCTCGACCGTTTCTGAAGCAACAGCTATGCCATTCCCTACTCCGACGAATTTCCTAGACGCGACCTCCCTCCCTCTCACCCCGCCAATGTACACCCCCTCCGACTCTACGCCTCAATGTACATGCCTGTCCTACCTCTACCTCTGTCTCAGCCATATCTCCTCCATCGCCTCCTTCCCCGTCAACTCTCATACACTTTGCTCCCTCTACATCGCCGCTCGAACCGCCCAAGATGTGATCCGCTGCGAATCGTGTCCCAAGGTCTTCGCGACTGGTGTACAAAACGTCATGTTTACCGGCACGCTATTGACAGTTGTTGCCGATTCCTGGCTGCGCGTTTATAACAGTGACCCTGTCGAATTGGGAATACAATCTGCTCCGCCCGAGTACGTCTCAATCGCGCTGCAGAGCGAGGATCCAGCGCAGGCGTGGAATAGCTGGCTTCGGCAGATTGTTCGTCGGGCCGTTGTCGGCGGCTCTCTTTCTCCCGAGGCTGGGACTCGATGCTCTGGTCAGCCGGATCTATTATCTCTTATTAGGGAAGTGGAGAATCGTCAGCGACGTTGGCATGCGCCCGGTCAGCACCCGTTCGAGGGCTATAATCCTCTGAAGCCTGGTCCCCTTGGTCCGTCTCCGGATGAAAAACCAAATGGAGAGTGCGATGAGAAGGAACTTCTTTGTTTGCGTGTTGTTGGGAGTGCGAGGTCTGTTCTTGCGAGATTCCAGTTTGAGCCTGAGGATTTCCCTGGTGGGGTTATCCCTGATGACCTGCAGAACAAGTCGAACTGAGATGATTGTTTTAACTGATGGGCGTTGAGTTGGGTTTCTTATTCTGTTTTTGGCTTTGATTTCCATATTTGCATCTGGTGTGGACAATTCTTTTGCTATGATTCCCTACATACTACTTTTATCAACTCTGAAGTTGACTCGCGCCAACGCAATGGTTAATAGTCTACGTTAAAGTATTCGGTGAGATCATTGACCATTTCATTGAGGCCTGTGCCGGTAACATTTTCGCTGGTAGATGATTACATATTGCTAAGCAAGAAGACATGACGTTTCTTGCTTCGAAAGGATAGGTCCGCAAGATCACTCATCATCGTCGTCATCCACCACATAACGGTTCTTCTTACGTTGCTGCGGAGTGCCCGTACGCTCAGGCTCGGAGGGCTTGCTGCGCGCCGACTTGGACGGAGCAACCTCATCATCTACCTCACCCTCAGCATCCTCCTCATCGTCCTCGAGAACATCCTCCTCGTCCTCATCATCACCTTCCTCTTCGATCTCCTCATCGCTACCGACCAGGAATCCATCATCCTCATCGTAATCATCCTCGCGGGTACGGTGATTGCGGCCATATTCCTCTTCATCGGAATATATCTCGCCCCGGCGGTTCTGCCGACGAGGCTTGGCACGAGGGCGAGTAGACAAGCCATCTTCGAGAGAGCCGACATTTAGACCAGTGCCCATGGAGCGCGAGGTGGGCCCACGGCGGCCACGGTCAGCTTCCCTATCGGCCATCTGCTGGCGTCGGCGCTCAGCTCGGAGTTCCTCTCTCTGGGCAATCTCTGCCTTGCGTGCGGCCGCCATGGGATCCTCCATGGTTTCAAAGATAGGAACAGTGCCATCAGCGGTCTTCTTGCTGCCTCTGGCGGCTGCGAACAGGGATTCCTGCAACTTCTGAACTGCATCATCGGTTTCGTTAGTAGTGGGAAGGATGGTCAAGCCGTGAGTGACGTGAGAAGTCAATTGGAACACCTCGGCGGTCTCCATTGCGGATCCCAGGTAAACGTGAGAATCCAGCTTCGAGACGTAGTCGTCGGAATTGTCAAGAGGTGCGAGAGGCTTGATGGAGGTACGGTATTGCTCCAGCGGAGCGGACGCCAGCTGGAGTGTGACGGAGCCATCCTCCCATTGAATGAAGCGGGCATTGGACTGCAACTTAGACTCGTCATTTGGATCTTGTCGCCAGCAGAGCGAAGTGGCGGCGGTCGAGAAGGGAGGAGCGACATAGGTTTCGGGATTGAACTCTTCAGCTTCGATGTTGAGGAATTCCGGTACGCGCATGGTGTAGATCTAGCAATTGAAAATTAGCAATTGTTTTTCAGGTGTAAGTGAATTAATTGCGCCGCATACCTGACCATCGGTTGTCTCTGGCACTGGCGCCCGCGCCAGGGTCACGTCCATGAGATTGAGAGTACGACGGACTTCCTCGTCTTCGCCCATATCCATATCTTCTCCGTATCGGTCATAGCGGCCCTCGTCATCTCCGGAGTCCAGTCGTTCGTCATCTAGAGTGCGCCGAGCTCGGCTTGGGTACTTCTTAGCATCTTGTTGCGCGCGCTCTTGCTGAGAGCACTGCAGAGAAGGATAGCATACGTACTTGTCGTCGAGTCCAGCATCTGATCCACCCTCTGAGCCGAACAGATCGGCATCATTGTCTCCATCCATCTGGTCGTCACCGAACAGGTCCTTGTTGTCGTCGTTCGCGTCATTCGCGTCGCTCGGGGCAGGGCTTTGAGCGCCAGCATTGGCATTGCGGCCAGGGCGCCGGATGGCGTCCTCGTCGGAGGACGACATGGTGATGATTGTATGTGCGCTGTCGAAGGAAGAAAATAGAAAAGTAGGTGAGAGGATTTGGAGGTATTGGGGTGAGTAAAGTCGTCGCCTAAGGGAAGGGAAAGCTGGTAATGGAGGTACTGGAGATCTTTAGCTCGGCGCCGGCATGCGAGTGAATTCAGTTGATCTCCGCGCGCCCGCGGACTAACCGATCTTCCGTCGCCCGGACCCAAAGGAGTTTAAGCTGGGCGACGCCCGAAAGGAGAGAGCATCTCACCGTCTCGTCCCTCTCGTCGATATCTCCAGGCATTGCTGATCGGGATCTCTTCAACATGGCCACTTTCTTTCAGAGCGTGTAAGTTACTCCGTGGGCAAAGACCGACGCCGCCTCCTCTTCCCCTTTTCCCGCCGTATCACCCTCCACCACCCCCTCATACTGCACCCGGCGCCACAAACACAGTGCAGCATTCCGGCTTTGCCAAAGCCTATTAGCCGCGCGGTGTTTGCTATGGTCTCGGTGGTCCCTCGCCCGATTTAATATCTCCCTGTCCTCGTCCGGAGCTGTGCCCTGAGTGCCCAGCGCCATGTTTGCCCCTCATATCTATTTCCTTCGATCCTGACCTCGATCCTATTTACAGTCGCCAAGGGTTTGGCCGGGGAGGAAACAACAAGAACAACCCTCCCAAGAGCCCTGTCCAGGCTCAAGCTCCCGCCATGCCGAACTCGCATTCGCTCTCGAACAGCCTTACGATCGATAACTTCGCCGCTAATGACCCCGATGCCCCTAAGTACTTCTTCCAGGAGAAGTATGCCCCGCTGAACGTGAGGGGTAACTTCCTAACCTTGTGTGCTTGCCCGAAGAATGTGGAACTGGGCGAGTGGCTGGCTCATCAAAGTAAGTGATCGTGATGGGCCGTTCTGTTGTCGAAGTATACTCTAGATGCTGATACGTCGATCACAGTTGTCGAACAATACCGCCTCCTCCACGGCATGCTTCAGGTTATTCAAGAAGTGAACTCGGTGAATGGATTTCCGATTTGCAATGAACAGACATGCCCGACAATGTCTGCTGGTCGGTATGTTACAGATGGCGGGGTAAATTTCAAGGAGATTTGGGGTTCGGGAGGCTAATTTGGGATCTCCAGATTGACCTACACCTGGCTGGTCGATGGTCGCGCAGCTAAGATCTCCGCGCCCAAGTTTATCAACCGAGTCGAGAAGTGGATTGTCAGCAAGATCCACGACCCTGTCATGTTCCCTACCGAAAAGGTGGCCTGTACCCCCGAGACCTCTGCCACCCGAGACGCCGCCGCCGCCACCGGAGCCCCTACCACTCCCGCCGACAGCAACCCTATGAATAACACCTCGACGGACGAATGGATTGGCAAGTCAAGTGGGTTCCCCCAGACTTTCTACAAGGACTGCCAGGGCATTATGAAGCAGATGTTCCGCTGCTACGCGCATCTGTACCACGCCCACTGGTTGAACCCATTCTGGCACATCAACAAGCACGATATTCTGAACATGTGCTTTGTTCACTTCGTGACTGTTGCCAAGTACTACCAGCTCGTCTCCGACAAGGAGATGGAGCCGATGCAGCCCCTGATCGACCTGTTCATCAAGCAGCAGCGGGTCCCGCCTGAGGCGCTGAATGGCGGTCACTGGGCTCAGCAGACGACCAACTAAAACAAAAAGCTCCGCGGGTCCTGGAGCATTGACAATGCCTCTGCCATCTTTTTTTGAACCATTACGACCATGACATGTTCTTCAACCCGGAGTTGGGCCGTGCAGTCTTGCGTTCGTGTTTTTGCTTTTTACTTCAGCCATTCAGGAAAATGGACGAATCTGCCGATGATACGACTGAAATCCGGGGCTTTGAGCATTTAGCATGCGGTGTGAATTTTCTTTCATTTTTTTAACATATCTCTATCATTATCATGATCGGCATCTTTTTTTTGCCCCTTTGAACCGTCTTAGGCCGTTGTTTTTGTTGTTACAGCATGATCGGAGCGAGTTCGGAATGACGAATCTAGAGAACCAAGATTTTTTGCGTGGACGACAAATACCCGGGTGCAATAGTAATCTTCGAAGCCCATGTAGATCTGATATGTCGGCCTATTCTGTCGGACGGAGGAAGCTCGGCGTGTGGGTCTTCTTTGAAGTGATCTTGCCGACGCCTTAATAGCCAGGATATCGAGCGCGATGTGACTGATAGACGAAACAGAAATCGCAGGCGTCGCTAATAATATCGAACCTTCCTTCGGGCGGTAGTCGAAAATTAGCCAGCAGTAGTAAAGCACTGGCACTCAGCATAATCCACTTCACAGATAAACACCCTCCTCCACACCAGCTCCAGCATCAGCTCCAGAACCAGCTCCAGCTCCAGCTCTAGCCTGAGCACCCCCATCCCCATTCGTATCCGACGCCCCCCTCTCTTCATCTGCCTTTCTCTCCTCAACCCACTCCTGCCCGCGCCTCTCAACCTCAACCCGAAGCAACCCCACCCGCTCCTCCATTGACCGAATCACGCCCTCATTCTCAACAATGTAGCCCTCCAGCTCCTTCTTCTCATCTTCCGATTTAGAGGCATCGGCGAACTCGCGGATCTCGGAGTTCGAGCGGTGGAGGTGGGCGATCGAGTTGCGGAGTTCGGAGACTTTGTTGAACAAGGATGATAGGGGGAGGTCTTGGACGGCTTCGGCGAAGGCGGCGCTGTCTATTGTTGTGGACTGGGTGGTCATTTTCTTTTTGTTGCGCAGTTATTTGATTGGAGCGGCGTGGTAGGGTTGATTGTTTGTGCAGCTTTGAGGTTGTGGTTGGATTTTGGTTCTTCCGTCGCATGGAAGCTGCTCACATTGCATCACGTGTGTGGGGTATAAACTGGCGGGGGTGGCAGCATATGAAGTACGGTTTATATAGGATTGTTAAAGTCTCGATGCTTTCTTTGTAAGTTAATGGTTCTTTGAAGATTTGGCGTGTACGCGGTTTTTTTTCTCTTGGTCTTAGTATTTGCTGGATTTTTATGGTGGTGCTACCTCATGCATCGCAGATATATATTCCGAACTACATGGGTTCAAATCCAAAAATCGTCTAAACGCCGTTTTTACCACATCTACGCATCCACCCAACAAATATTACCTCTCTTAAATTAGACGAAGCATTTTAAATCCGATTTACACCTACAATTCGACCTACTCGGCCAAATTTTCATCTCTGCGCCCACGACGCGTCGCGACAAGCGGGGACGGAATAACGCGTCCCCCCCGGAGCCTCAAAGCCGCAAAGACCGATCAGATCTGGCAGCTTGCACTAGGCCTAGTGCAATCTGTCTGCAACTCCGGTGTGGTTCTTTAAAAGGCCATTGTGCGCCAAAATCCGGACCCACATTCCTCAAAAACTCAACGCCTGCATGTTTCATCTCGAGGACAAAGGTCCAAATATACACTAGTGCAGTTCACGCGCATCGAAGACAAAGCTCGAGACAAAGACTCGGACATGTCCTGGCCCTCGAGTCCTGTGCTTAGTCAACCGTTCCATGGAACAAGGTCGTGAGGGGGCCACCCTCTTTGTATATACGCCCATTGTTGGACTTTGAGGATCTCGGTGCTGTACAATGGTCGTGGCCTATTGATGGGGTGAATGGGATTTCGCTTTGAGGGAGAGGATTGCTTCAAGGAAAAGGATTGCATCAAGGGAAGAGGAGAGTTGTGTATAAAGATTTCAACGGCGCTGGCCGGATCTATGAATGTCTACTCGTCCAGTCTGAAGATTTAGAGCACCTATGTATAGCGCTTGTTTGCATTTGATTGATTATAAACGATATATACAGTACAACTCGATCACCATGTCTCCACACTCTTCACCCAGCGCCTCGTCCAACTCGAGCGCCAGCGTCCCCGAGAAGCCATACGTCAATGTATCCCGACGAAGCACCTCTCCCTACGACGACGCCGTCACCCCAACAAACCCACACCCCCAACCAATCGACTACTACATGTACCTCCTTCGCATCGAGCAAGGCCGAGACCAAAAGACCCGCCTGGAGGGCGCAAACCCTCTACTTGGCCCCGGATAATCAGTTAGAGACCATTTCAATCAACCACCTCTGGGAGAGATCAAATTTGGAAAGCTTCCTCGATGGACCAAACGCGGAAATCGTCTTCTCGTGCATCCCCGTCCCCCAACCCGGCGTCTGGCGCGAGAAGAAACTCGTCCTATCCTTCGACTTCAAGATAGCCCACCTGAAAGCATACCTCATTGCGCCCCTGCCCATCCCCGTCTCGCGATACCACGCTCAGAAGGATATATGGGATGAATGTCGGAATTCAGAGGCGCTGCAGGACTCATGGGATCGTCGCGAGCTTGTCATTGATCTCTCGGCGAATCGCTTCTATGAATTGGTCGACTATACCATGAAGCAGTACCAGTTGATCGGCGCGGGGCCATTGCAAACGGGTATTTTGAAGGAATTTGGCGAGACTGAGCGTGTGTTTACCCCCCCAATGGATCTGATTATCGTTATTCAATTCGCCCAGTTCTTAACGGATACCATCGATCTTGTTGTCCCCACCCGCATCAAGGCGGATGTCCTTGCTGAAAAGTACACCGCGTACCAGGAATTCCTGCGCGAGCTGCTCCTGCAGGTTTCACGGGAGGCATGGATGAGCGTCGGGTTGCGGGAACGCTGGGAGCAGATTCAAGCGTGCAAGAAGCGCGATTTGGCGCGCAAGATCTCGCACGCGAATCGCCGGGTTGAACGAGTACAGAATCATCCCAGGTGGAGGGCTTTTGGATGGGGCCGAGGCCGGTTGATTACGAGTCATTACTTTTCTGGGGATTTTGGGACGAAGAGAAGGTGTGTTGAGCTTGCTCTTTCGAATATTGTCTTTCTTATCACGAAGGAGTTTGTGTATGAGGAGCCTGCTCTCCGTATGGCGCTGTGGATTTGGATTGCGTATCAGTTTTTCTGTCGGTCTGAAAATTAGATGGAGCCCTTGGGTGTGGCTTTTATTTTTTTGTCTTTTTTGAAGTGATGTCGATCACGTTTGCTTCCTCTTGGTCGTTTGCTGGCGGTACTCCCAGTGGTAGTTTCTTACTGGCGCATTGTGCAGCAGGGACATGATTTGCTCGATGTCATGGGACCCGGTGCGATGCTGGTTTTGGCTTGTGATGCTTTCTTGGAGTGCGTGAAGTATCTGGAGAAGCAGGCCCGAAACTGGCCTAATTAGTGTACGTACCTACTCTCCTAGAGTATGTATACACTCCGGTACTGCTGGGGCTCTGTCTACATAGGTCAAGGAGAACACGGCCACCCTAAGGTAGATTGTTTTGTATTGTTTGATTGCTGATTAGGGCTTGCAGTGGAGCAGCTGGCTGAAAGGGGTTCGGTGGAGCCGGCCAAGACACTAGCGGAGCCATCAGTGCCTGTCTTGGCGAGCTGAAGTCAGATTGTTACTGTTTGTGACTAGAGCATTTCTATTAGATGAAAAAATTGGATTCTATTCTGCAGGGCTCCAGAGAAGCTCAGTAGCCAAGCGAATAAATGAGATGTACATAAGTAAGAATAAGGAGAGTTTTGCGTAACAGACAATAGCTTTGCAGCTCTCACACGGGATATCTGCCCCACTGCATCCATAGTTTCGACTGTCATTTTTCATGATCTCTAGCACTATCACAGCAGTAGGGATGATCGCAGGGGCTAGTGAATCGGACTGGAGATCGAACGCATCTCAGCGATAGGTAGAACTATTGGATGCACTCCTGGATGTATCTTGCTGCACAATGATGGGGCGGCAATAGATCGAGTCCACGCAGTCCACGTATCACCCCTTGTGATCTGACCCTAGTTCCTCGCTCGCTGGCTCCATTTGGCCCCGTCCGGGTTCCCTCGCATCGCCCAAGTCCGAAATGCGAGCGGGCTTGTATCCATGCAGTAACTAGGCAGCAGCTTCCCCGCGCATTCCTGGACAGATCGTGAATACCTTCCTGCATACACATATACCTTGTACCCTAGGAACATACTGAGTTTGCGTACATAAGCGATCTACGCACCGCCACTCCCAAACCGGCTTGTGTGGCGCTGTGGCTCAGGCTGCCGCCAAACCGGGAGGCGGTGATTGGCCCAGCCAATGTCCCGAGGCTTGGCGGCGTCATGCGTTTCCCAGCTGCGACGGAAGAGAGATTGAGGCAGCAGCAGCCAAGAAGTCGCGGGTACCCGGTGCCTCCGCTCCCTGCGGCGCCCCGAGTAGGTACCGAGTACCCATCTGCAGCTCCCAATTTCGCTTCTCCTCAGCCCTGCAGCCCTATATTTCTTCGTCCGCCCCTCCCCCCCCCCCCGTTTCTGTCAATCCCCCAGAGGTTTGGCTTTGATCTTCCTGACTCCTCTCCCCCTCGCTCCCCGTGCGGCTTTCGTCCGCTGTCTTTTTTACTGATCTCCAGCGCATTCTCATCAATCGCGCTAATTGCCACTGCTGACAATGGCTGACGTCTCGACTCAGCCCCCAATCAATGGTTCGTGATGAGCTCCGGCGAGCTGGCCGAGACCCGGGAGATTGGTTTCAATCAAACAGCTCCATGCGCAAGCTAACAAGAAACTATAGGGGATGTCCCGAATGGCGAGGCGCCGGTGCGCGGCGCCAATGACAGCTTCGAGCTCATCTCCGGCCCGTTGATCAACCTCAAGAACATGCACTACGAGTCCGTTGCCGTCTGGCACGGAAGTGTGATGATCGTCACCAAGCCCGTTCAGGAGAAGCCGCAGCTGTACCTGCGCCAGCTGGGCCCAGTCGGATCTCAGGCCCAGACCCAGTCGCATTTCCAATCGAACCAAATAATCGAGGGTCTGAAGCTTTATGAAGATCCCGACAAGACCTTTTGGCGATTTACTCTTGCTGTCCCGGTCGAGTCCTACGAAGCGCGCTGGCAATATGAGATCCCCGGTTTGTTCAACTCGTCCGAGCCCGTCAAGGCTCCCTGGGACTTTGTTGTGCCTGCCGAGGAACAGTCAATGCGCATCATGTTCCACTCCTGCAATGGATTTTCCGTCGGTACTGATATGGACGCCTGGCTCGGTCCCAACCTGTGGAACGACGTCCTGCGCGTCCACGGCGAGCGGCCTTTCCACGTCATGGTCGGTGGTGGTGACCAGATTTACAATGACGGGATCCGTGTTGATGGTCCCCTGAAGGGCTGGACGGCAATTGCGAACCCACACAAGCGCCGCAACCACGACTTCAATAACCAGATGCGCGCTGAATGCGACGAGTACTACTATGCAAACTACGTGCGCTGGTACAACACCGAGCCCTTCCGCGCGGCCAATGGCCGCATCCCCCAGGTCAACGTCTGGGATGACCACGATATCATTGACGGCTTCGGCTCGTATACGGACCATTTTATGAAGTGCGCCGTCTTCCGAGGTATTGGTGGTGTCGCATTCAAGTACTATTGCCTCTTCCAGCACCACATTGCTCCGCCCAAGTCTACCTTTACCACCGATGCGCCGCAGACAATGCATGCCGTCAATGGTACCTCGGGTGTGGACCCGCGCCAGGTCGAGAACACTTATGTCCTGGACAATCAGGTCGAAGATGACAGCTGGATTATCGGCAAAAAGCCCGGCCCGTATGTCGAGGAGAGCAGTCGCAGTTTGTACATGCGTTTCGGAAAACGCATCGGTTTTGTCGGTTTGGACGCCCGTACAGAGCGTACCCGACACCAGGTGAACTACCCAGAGACCTACAAGCTCATCTTTGACCGCCTTGAGTGCGAGATTGCCGCCGCCAATGGCGACATCAAGCACCTGGTTGTTCTTCTCGGTGTTCCGATTGCCTACCCGCGTCTCGCCTGGCTGGAAAACATCCTCACATCCCCAGTCATCGCTCCAATCCGTCTTCTGAACAAGCGTTTCGGTGTCGCTGGCGGCCTTTTCAATGAGTTCGACGGCCAGGTCGATTTGCTGGATGACCTGGACGACCACTACACAGCCCGTCAGCACAAAAAAGAGCGTCGCGAACTCGTCCAGCGACTGCAGGAATTTGCACGCGCCCACTCCATCCGTGTCACCATTCTCGGAGGCGACGTTCATCTCGCTGCCGTCGGTCGCTTCTACTCGAACCCGAAATTGAATCTGTCCGGCGAGAATGACCATCGTTTCATTGTCAACGTCGTGAGCAGCGCTATCACTAATAAGCCTCCGCCCAAGGCCGTGGCCAATCTCCTCGCCCGGCGAAATAAAATTCACCATCTCGATCGCACCTGCGACGAGACCCTCATGCCTTTCTTCGATAAGCAGCCCGGCGGCATTGAGAAGGGTGCCGTCTGGAACAAGGTCACCATGCCTTCGCGGAACTTCGCCTGTCTAACAGAGGTCGTGGCCCCGACTACGAACGGCCACTCGGAGGGTGTCACTGACTCTGCGAAGCTGGACTCCCTCCCTAAGGACGGCCATGCCCCGCTTCACAAGGGTGAAGTCGAAGCTGGCTCGACTCACGCTGCGGCGGATGGATACAGCAGTAACAGTGGGATGTATGGCGGATTGGACGTCTCGATCCGAGTGGAGATTGACCCGCACAACCGCGAGGGCGCGACAGAGGGCTATGGATTCAGCAGTAAGTTCCCCTTCTCAGCATACTTTTGGAGATCCGAGAAAGCACAACTAACACCCGACTTGCAGTTCCCCCTCTAACCGCCACCGAACCCCCGCCTTCCTCCTCCCGCCACAGCTTCCGCTCCCGCCCATCTCGCACAGAGTCCAGGCCCGTTTCGCGCGGCGAGCAGCCCGGCCGTCCCTCTACAGCTCAGTAAAAAGTCATCATCATATTTGATGCCGTCGTTACATACCTCTAACATTTAATTTCCTGTCGGACTGTCTATTGAACAGTTTAATCTTGCCCCTCTATTCTTTTGTTATTTTCTTGATACCTATACGTCATGTGGGACGGGACGTGCGTTTCCCCACACTTTTGTTTTCTGGCGATCCGGGTCGACCCCGCTTAGGATACTTAGTAACGAGGAGTTTATCTGATGCCATTCTCACTGATATTTGGTTTCATTTTGCTTTTTGGGTGTAGCGTCGATTTGAATTTAGGTTGTAAGCTTTGATTCGAATGCGGGGAAGTCAGGTGGTTGCGAGCATGTGTCCCCCAAGAGGATTGGGTTGCTTTTTTGGGTTTGGGTTGAAGCTTAAGTTTAATGTAGAACAGTCTGTTGTTTGGTTGTGTTTGTAGCAGTATCAAATCTTACTTCGGTGCCCAGGTTTCCCGGACCTCTTGTTTGTTAGGACCGCCTAAACGTGTGAAGCGAAGCAGGGCAGTCTTTAGATACGAATTCTGAATCTGATCCTGTAGTTGGATATAAGCCAGTTTATGTGACCAGGTGAGGATCGAAGATGGTGTAAGCTTGAGGTTATTGAGGATTGTGAGGTCGTAGTTGGGCTGTGGATCGCATACTCTTATTAGGGCACCTGGGGGACCTGTTCATTTGCTCTAGTCGTTCTTGACCTGGACCGACAGCCTCACTAAGTTTGAGTTGACAGAAAATCGAAATAAGCGCCATATGTGACCCAGTTTCTGATCAGACATTCACGCTTGAGAAGTCAGAAAGTGGGTATCGATAGAGTAGCTCTATGGGAAAAGAAGGGTAAAAAATAGACTAGGAGGGCTCGAAAATTGAAGTGGACTTGTCACTGCCCAGAGATGACTGGTCATTTGACGCTGTGAAACCGAAACGAAGTCCTAGCTATCAGCCAGTTCAAACAAACGACTCTTCCAGTCTCACTATCCAGTGTCACCGTATTGTTGAATGACAAGCATCCAAATCAAGGAACGCAGAGCAGCGGTGGTGTTGTCTTTGTTTTTGAGAAGCTTGGAAAAAATAGGAAATCCTGGGAAAAAGCTTCGAGAATTTCTGGGAGATCTCTTCAATGATCCCTGCTATAAGAATGGTCTAGCCAGTGCCAGCTGGTCTACTCAACCAAAGAACGTCGCATGACTGATCGCTCCAATCAACCAGAGCTTGATACTCGTCGGAGTGAGGATCCAGCCGTAAGCCTTCCGGATCAACTTGTCGGTTTTCCTTGGATCGTCTACATTTCACCCTGCGGGTCAATCACAAATAGATCACGAAGGCAAGCAGTATCTTCGTCTTCCAAGTGCCTGTTTCTCTGCTCCGAGATATACTCTTGCAGGGTCTGGTGGAAATCTCCAAGATTCTGTAGCTCCCTTTGGCCCTGATTGACCAAATCACCGAGAAAGCTCTTTGTCCGGAGCTTATTATGATGATCTGAATCATACTGAACAGCAGATTAAGCATCTTTGACATTTTGGAGTTCATCATCCCAGCTATCCAAGCCGACTAGGTTGCGAAGAGAAACCAGGCCCTGGTTGCGATAGTAAGAGCGTGTGACATACTCTTCATTTGATAGAGAAACAGAGCCTTGTATAAAGCAACTACTCCATCCTCAAGGTCCGCTAAGGTGTCCGCGAAAGACTCAGTACCGCAATTGACGTGCTGTTTGCTCAGTAGATGGTCGGTGAAACTGAAATACCATTCAATTTTGGTGGCAACATAGGCGATTCCAGCCAGGTAAATCTGCGAACACTGGGCAGGATTCAACTAGAATTAGAGTTCGGTTAATGAGCTGTACTCAACGAGCCTGGATATCCGGTATTACTTGTTAAGCAATGCTGACTCCAGCCCAAGGAAGAACGGCCTGCGGAATGTTTTGGACGGCGAGATCGATCACGGCTTTGAATTGAAGACCAGTCCGCGGCATCGCCGGTTATGTTGATAATGCTGGAAGACTTTGTTTTCGAGATTTTTTTGTCCCGCTTCGGCGACCTTTTTCATGAATGCCTGTCTTTGAACGGGGACGTTCGTTGTAGTGGGAACCTGAACAGTCACTGTCGAGGCTGCATCATCGGTCTGCCTAGTTGCCACGGGAATCGTCTTTAGATAGGCTTCCACGAGTTCAGAGGTCACCGCGTCGGTTGCTAGCTCGTCATATGCACGATTCCAAACTCGCTGAGTCGTCAAAAGGCTTTGGTTCCGTTGTTCCGTTGACCCAACGTCTTGTTCTGACCCTTCAATGTTTGATTCGATGTTTGGCTTCGCAGTGTTTGACTGGTCGGTTTTCGGCTTCTCAATGCTTAATTACTCGAAATTTGGAATGTAGGGCGCGGTCTCCTTAATTTCATACCTGAGGCAGGCTGAAGAAACGACGTCGCTCGGTACTGTAGGAGCAGCTTGGCAGTCGTTGGAAGCTGCAGCACCTTCTCTTCCCACGAAAGCCTAGATTGTTCTATTATGAGTACGAGACCGGCTCCACGGGAGCTTTTCGATGATGCCGCTTGTGACGGCAGGGGCTAGACGATTGCTGCTCGGATTCGGATTCCCTTCTTTTGGATTGGCTTCCTGTTTCTCTCCGACTTGCTTCCGAGACCGGAATTTCTCGAAAAATTCCATGCCGAAGGAGTATTATAGTCCTAGAGAAAACAACCTGAAATCTTCGATCGGTGAGTGTAAATTCTGCCTGGGAGGGCCTTGACGGAGGGGTGAACTAGCCAGACGTTTACGGCTAATGTTGCGTGTCGATCAAGCTAATGGTGCACACTTGTCGCTTTCCCCACGGTTCAGCTGGTGCGGTCAAAAATTGAAATCTAAAATTGAAATTCAAAGAACTGGGGGGACCCGAATCTGCAGCTATACATATTCTGATAGGTCGTTTGCGTGTTAGTCTGCTTGGAATGACAAGTTGGAGGTGTTGACAGCGATGAAATTGTGGGTAAGCTTCATCACAGCAATACAATTGGTTGGATACTTCGACTAGGCATGAGAATGCCCCACTGACATCCATCTCGGTATTGTATGGCTCGTATGCAGCTGACCGCATGTCCCTTGTTGCTATTTGGCCGGAGGGTGTGGCATATGCACAGGGCAAGGCAGATGATCGAGGATAAATCCCTGAAGTAACGAGTAAAAGGTCAGGTGCTTTCGAATAAACAATATAACAAAGACGGTCTTCTGTTGTAATAAGCTACTGGATGGTCTCGGCCATGAATTGGCGAGGAGGGCGAGATGTAGATCATGGCTGCGAAATCGGTAAAGCGCTAGCCTCAAGCCAACATCACCTGACTACTATATTGTCCATAGACAAAAGAATCGAAGTGCATACTAGAAATTACTGGTTGCACCCAACTATTTGTACTCCAATTTTCATAGCTTTAGTATTTAAAACACGCATCCGGTTTCGTTTGCGTCATAGTGCTAGCCTTGCTAGAATTTGTCGTTTGAGTGTGTATAGCCTTCGTCATCATCGACGAGCCCATTTCTGAACATGTCCTGCAAAATACGTCGTTTGTGTGGGAGACAGTTTCAAACGACTTATGCCCCCGGAATGGAAGTCTTTGGTGGGCGCTGCGATGGCTGCAAATGGATCATCGTGTGGAACCTATAGATTAGTCTCCCTGGTCTCCAAAATCTCTTCCCGGCATCAGTACTCATAACATGTTTTTCAACACCGCTACAGTCCAATCTCGTCATATATTGGATAACTTCAAGTATCCATCTCTTCTTCCAATCTATTGAAGTATTTCCAGGATATTGATTCCGAAATTCTGTAACTATGGAGCTGACTGGTTACACAAGACTACTGATAATTTGCATAGCGAAAGCAAGGTCATTGCACTCATCAAGATCCAGGGTTACTCGACTCCGAAGTTTCCTTTGATGTTCTCTTTATAATGTGCATACTAAATTACTCTATGCAAGACGAATTACTTCTCTATGTGGACCGTACTTTGGCCTGTAGAATATCAAGACCTTGAATCTACGAAGCTTGTGTTGACTTTTGAACATTAGATTTTCATAAAGGAGTAACGCAATTTCTTAATTCAAAACTCTCACTGGCAGTCTGGAAATACAAACATTCAGGAAACAAGAAATATTAGTCTAGGTTATGAGCACTTGAACTTTCCTAACATAGTAAATAGGAAGAAAAACACAAAATCTAGAGTTCCCATGGTTGATCAGGGTTGGAACCTGCAAGCTCGTGCCCTGGGTGCTGGGCACGGTACACGTTGATTTCACTGCACTGGATGCAACCGCAGTCCGGATACGTAGCGTAAAGACGACGCCAAGTATAAAAAAGTATGATCTTCGACGTTCAAAGCAGTCACTTCCCACAATGAGCTTTGCGAGATTCCGTACTTGGAGCAGAGACATCATGTCGATTACATCGCTTAGGGCTGCGAGGACTTCGGGGCCGTCCTTTGTTTTGGTTTCCATCGAGTCCGCATGGATGTTCTTTTAGACGCCTGTGTAGATCGCGCTGCTTGTTTCGAACGTCGTTGGCCATTTCCTTCTGTTCGTCGGTGTATGCGCCCGAGACACCCATTTTGACTGAGATGGTACTTCAAGAATAATTGGTTGCTCTGGGTTCGGTATCTTCTGGTGTAATGTGAGTGAGGTAATTAGACCTGAAATCCTGGTTAGGCGATGTTGTGTAAGTTTTCATTTCAGAGAAGTTATTAAGAGGGCGATTGCTTGCTGTTTTGCTGCTTCCTGCCTCTCTCCAAGACTCGGTACGAGGGGGTATTTAGACCTGAGAGCCGCTGGTCTGTCGAAGACGCGACATCAGTGAACAAACACAGGAACAAAGTCTTTCAGCCTCTATTTAGCTTTATTTTACAATGTAATTATCTCCTGATTGTCTTTTAGCTATGGAGTCGAGATCACATACCCCAGAGGCATCTGTTGCCATATTTAAGACTCTCTTTGTTTAACCTTATTTTTAGAGACTTTTGTCCTCAAAGGAGAGAAATATTGCATTTGGTTGAGTGTTTCGAACGAGGCGCATTGAATTTTTGTTCCATTCTAGGCAACCTTACAGGGCAACGACTTCGCTGTCGTGTTTAGTACTCGAAACTGTCATAGCTTGCCAATCTCAATGCGCAAGCATTCCCTATGGCCTACGATTAGTAGATACCGATGATTCGAGAACTGGGCGGGCGTAGATCAGTGACAGTGGCACCTTGTGGACCCTCGGGGCATCAAAATCGTTCCGCAACAGCAAATTTTATCCACTGTTCGTATCGGAGTCATCAAAAGCCCTAGCAAACTCCCACTCTCCTTTCGTTTATTGAAGGTCTAGTATTGCTGACTAGTCCGATAAGGGACTGCAGAGGTACCCTGTCCGGCCTCGGCTCGGAATCCCTGCTGGATCCGCTGCAAGGGCTTATCAGCAGAATGCGAGCTTGAATGCGAGACGCCTCGGATCGCAGCAAAAGAAGACAACAGGAATAGAAAATACCTCATTCCTCACGCACCTCATTCCTCACGCACAGAAAAGTCGACCGTAGCCTGTCCTCTCCCATTTCTCATTTTATTTCTCCTCGCCCTCACCACGCACCAATCGCCCACCGTTGCCGTTGCTGTATGCAATCCTCAAGATAACGTTGCCAGCCGCGCCCAAACAAGCCTTGTCTCGATTAGGCAGGAATTTACGCGATCAGCGCCACAGCTCTGCAGATGGGAAGTCGATCCAGAGATAAAAACCGTCCGCAACCCCGCAGTCTCCAGCTGCCCTGTGCGACCAGTAGAAGCTTGCCTTTCTCCGCTGAGGAGAGTCCTGATGATACCGGGATACCCTGCGATAGGCCTGCGTTTCGTTGGAGAAGAGCAGTAACCTCCTGGTAGAATGATATAAGTTCTGGCTGAGACCTTGAGGTGCGAGGTCCATTTCAAATGCTCGAGATAAATTATTTTCTGTCTCGATTGTGATCGGCTTGTAGAATGCTTGTTGCACTAACTGCCGGACCCACCTTTCTTCATATCTAGTTTATACGAAGCTTGTAAGAGAGCTTCAGCGAGTGTCGCCATGATTCTCGACGCGGAAAAAACGCTCACGCCGAGTGATGGGCCGGGCGATGGTCCCGTCGACCATGAACGAGGCTCAATGACCAGCGTCCGCGAACGCGACGAGCTGGATCGCCTCGGGTACAAAGAAGAGCTTCGTCGTAATCGCTCTGTCGCTACCCTCCTCTTCCAATCTCTCGCTATCGCGGCAATCCCCTACGGCGAAGGAAGTGCCCTCCTCAACGCGATATACGGCGGCGGTCCTTTGTCTATATTCATCGGGTGGATCATCGTCTGCATCCTCGATCAATGCATCGCCATGTCGCTGGCCGAACTTGCCTCGCGATACCCCACCTCTGCCGGACCCTATTACTGGTCTTTCCAGCTGGCCAAGTCGAGCAAGACAACTGTGTCTTTCATAAATGCTTGGATCTGGGTGATCGGAAACTGGACCATCACCCTCTCGGTGAACTTTGGCTTTGCCTCTATGCTTTCTGCGACTATTTCCATGTACCACCCTACCTGGAGCGCGAATAGTTGGCAGCTGCTCCTGATTTTCTATGCGGTTTGTCTGGGGTCGCTTGTTATTTGCACATTTGCGAATAAGTATCTCCCGCAGGTGGATATTGCTTGTGCGACGTGGACTGCGCTGACTATTATTGTGATTCTCATTGCTGTTTCGGTTAAGGCGGATGCCGGGCGTCATTCGGCTTCGTATGCGCTCGCTCATTATGATAAGTCTTTTGCTGGTTGGGGAAATTTCAGTTTCTTCATCGGTCTTCTGCCTGCTGCTTATACCTTCTCTGCTATCGGGATGGTCTCGGCCATGGCGGAGGAATGCCCTCATCCAGCGGTGAAGGTGCCAAAGGCAATTTCTCTCGCGGTTCCTGTCGGGTTTGTTGCTGGTTTGTTCTTTGTTATCCCGATCTGCGTCACTTTGCCTCCGCTGGAGGAGATCATCAATGCCCCCGGCGGCCAAGCACTGCCCTATATCTTGCACCGAGTGATGGGGTCACCCGGTGGTGGATTGGGTCTCGTCTTCCTGGTTTTGATCATCACCCTCTTCTGTTCCATCAGCATCACCGTCGCGGCATCCCGCTCCACCTGGGCCGTCTCCCGTGACGATGCACTCCCACTGGCGAGCATCTGGGCGAAAGTCCACCCTCGTCTAGGTGTACCAGTCTGGTCCCTGGTTCTGTTGACCGGAATCCAAATGCTGCTAGGTTTGATTAACCTCGGTAGCTCAAGTGCGTTTACAGCCTTTGTCTCTGTCGGCGTGATCGCGCTTGCCGTGGCCTATGCGATCCCGATCTCTTTGAGTCTTTTCCAGGGCCGTGTCGAGGTGAAGCATGCGAAGTGGAATTGTGGCAACTTTGTCGGGACGATTGCGAATGTGCTTGCTCTAGCGTGGATTGCTTTCGAGTTGGTGCTGTTTAGTATGCCGACTGCGCTGCCTGTGACCCGAGTCTCGATGAATTATGCCTCAGTGGTGTTTGTGGGGTTCATGGTGATCTCGGCCGTCTGGTACTTTGTTTATGCAAAGAAGCGTAAGTGTCCCTTCTCCAAGAAGCTGTCTATTATAGACACTTGCTGACGATTCGCAGATTATAAGGGTCCTCCTGAGTCGGATGCGTTGGATTCGGAGTGAGGATCTCTTGAGCTTGTGTATTTATGCGGCGTTGAACGAATGAATTTATGTGCATGAGCAGATTTTTTGATGATCTCGGGGACAGTGGTGCATTATATAGTCGTATGTGTTTTTTCTGGATGTTCTCATCGACATACCGTTCTGGTTGGCACGCGGTTAGGGAGTAGAGTGCTGTTTCGCGTGAGATCCGTTGAAGATCGACCGGTTCGCTTGGGGTCTCTTTGTAAGCCAGCAGCTGGTCCCACAGGTGAGCTCGACAAACACGGACATGAGACTGATTGAGGGCCTGGTGGGACGTTGGTATACAATTCCACGTCTTACCAATCACGATTGAATCTGGCGGGACCGCTTTGCCAAGCCTTTGTCGACGTTAAGTCACGTGGTATTATAATCAGATTGGGGACTACTACTAAGTACAATTGTACGATTCGCTTACTACGATTCATAGACCAAGGAGGTACTTTTGGAATTCCGAGTCTCCAATTTGCTTGGGGCTTGCCTAGGACCTAGAGAATTTGGCTACGAACCAGTAGTAAGTTGAGCGGAACCTACGTAATAAACCCCATAAGAATAAAAGCGCCATGGCAGGCACAAACACAGGGCAGCATGAATCAGAGATAATCAATTACTCTAGCCAAATTAAAGAGAAACACCAAACAAAATCAAATAAGATAAAAGCCGAAGGGAGAAGCCAAATCCATCTGAAACCCGGTAGAAAACGGCCTAGCACCCAGTACCCAGTAAACCCCGTCAACACGAAATGCGTGACGCAAACGCAAACCACGTATCAGAGCTTACAAATAATGCCAAATGACAAAAACAAAGCAGTGCGTGACCGGTAAAGGGTGGGGGAAGATTCAAGGGCCTAAAATGGCCCTCGGTCGTCGCGAGAGTAGTAGTTTTTCTCCCTCTCAAAGACTACTCACTCTCGGAGCTGGAAGATTCGCCGCTCTCACTGGCGTCAGGGTAAGAGATCTCACTCTCGGAGTCAAAAGATATTTCACTTTCGGGAGGAGATGAAAACTCACCGTTGCCCTCGCCCTCGGAACCAGTCTGAGGGTAATAACCGTGAGAGTGAGAAGGCTCACTCTCAGAGCGCGAAGATTCACCGCTCTCACTGGTAGAGTCGGCGCCAAGGAGAGAAATATTATTCTCGGAGTCAGAGTCTTCACTTTCGGAAGGAGGGATGTACTCACCGTTACCCTCGTCCTCGTCAGAATCGTAGTCGTCACAGCCGGGAGATCCAGCGGAGGCCTCGGGGCTCGAATCGCTGTCCTCGGTGTTGACGTCGACCTGCTTAACGCACTTCAGGGTAAATCTTACCTTAATCCCCGTTCCCTGCGGCTGCATTTTGGCGAGTTGAAACTGGGAGGGCTGGTAGGGTGTTGTGGAAGACGTGGTTTGAAATGGGCGAGTCGGGAGAGCGGCGGGGAGAGAATGAGGGAAAGTAGAGAGGATGGCAGACAAAAGGCAGATGAGCGGTGTCTAACATGTGACATGACGCCTGGTGGGTAGGGCTTGGCTGAAATTTTGCCTACATTTACATACTTATAAGCTCGGTTCTATTTTGGTTGTCTTTTTTTCATTTCGAACGCTACAAAAGTGAATATCCGATCTAGTTCTGATTCTAGCATTGGTATTTTTCAAACACTTTGCTGTCCGTTCCAAACCAAGATATCTGGAAAAGTCCGCGAACCTCCCCGGAATTCTCATGCCCAGAAATGACCTGGCCCCATGTTGAACCCTTTTGATACGGTGCCACAGCATTTCAAAACTACCAGTATTAGCCGCAGTGGAAAAAAACGGTTCTGCTATAATCCCGTGAAAGCAACCTAGCTATGACGATCATCGTGTTTCATGAACCATCAAAGCCGAAAAGCATACTAAGGTACACAGGAAGCTAGTAGTGTAGGCATCTGATTCGAATCCAATTCATGCAACACCAATTTAAAGAATACGTACCGTACTGTAGCGAATCTATTCATACTAACACCATAACAATGATATAAAGCAAGTCAGCAACCCAAAAAGGCCCACACTCAGCAAGAAAAACGTATTCTATTCACCACCATCAACAACAGCATTCGCATTCGAGCATTCCCCACCCTCAATATTCCCCCTCCTCTTCCTGGGCAACCCCTCATTCGGCGAATGACGCACCGGCGGCAAAGCCTGATCACTCGGTCTCCTGCGCCTAACAATCTGATACCCACGATCCAACTCGATCTCAATCGCCTCACGGACCTTCAGCGCACTAACAGCGGGCCAAACGCCTCGCTCGCCCTTCAATGTCCAAGCGGCGACGCGCTCCTTCGTCGGCTGCTGGAAAAGTTTGCCTAGGTCCTGGAGGGCAAGGTCCGGGACTAGTGTTAGGTTTGGACCGGGTATCGTCTCGTCGATTAAGATGCGGCTGAGGGAGCCGGGGAGGAGGCCGATGTAGTCTAGTTGGCGGAGGCGGTGGCGGAGTTCGACGAGGATGAGGCGCATTGCTGAGCGGGAGAGGTGGTTCCAGCCTGTCTGGCGGCGGTCGAGGAGGTTGAGTTCCGAGCGGAAGATGGGGATTAGGTATGGTCTGGCTTGGGAGACGATGAAGTGGTTTACGTTGAAGAGTTCGGAGATTCGGGAGAGGGGGGATTCGCCGTCGCTGTAGTTCACGTGTCGCCAGGGTTGGAAGACGAGGTCTTTCGTGTGTGGCCATGGGACTATGGAGCCTGTTTCGTCTTTGCAAAAGATGGTTATCGAGGAGGTGATTGTTGAGGAGGCCGAGGCGTTGGAAGCGGCTGCTGCGGACCAGATTAGCACGTTTGGTGCTGTGAGGTAGTTGAGGAGATTCGGCGAGCCGGTTCTTCCTGCTGTTGCGATGGTGATGTTGAGAATGCGCTTGGATCGAGCGTAGGCTTCCTCGAAGGTCAGGTCGCCCACATTTGCCCGAACGCACTCCTCGAGAAGATTCATATCAAAGAGTTGGCCTGTTCTGAGGAGTCGGCCCATTCGCCGGATAAAGACACGCATCCAGCTCTCGTTTTCGGGATGGTCCTTTCGGTAATGATCAAAAGCCGAAAGATCGACCGTATCACCATTCAGAAGAGGCAGTAGTTCACTCTCAGGGTGGATCCCAACGAGAGCAGCAACCATAGCTCCGGTGGCAGTACCAGTGATGATTCGAGGCAAAAGACCTTGAAGATGTAACGCTTTCACAACTCCAAGATGGCACAACCCAAAAGCTGATCCGCCCTGCAAAAGGAGCGTCGTCCGGCCAAATGCCTGACGTGTGTCGTGGAGTAGTTCGAGCTTGGCCTGCGATGTGAAACCGCTCGCGTGCACGGGCGCCGACTGCAGCGAGGTCACGTATTGAATTGACAATGCAACCTGCGTGATGTAGTCGTCAATCAAAAGCTTTGTTCCGGCATAGGCATGCGTGAACAGCTTGGTCGAGGTGATATTGCCTAGATTGCGAACAAGTCCCGAACGAAGCAGGTTGACCAGAGTCAAAATATCTTCGCTCTCCCGCGCACCCATCAAGGCCTCTAGCCGGCCGAGGATAAGCCGGTAGTCATAGTGTCGACTGACAGGATTCTGTCGCCTGTGCAAGGAAAGTGATTAGCCAGGCTTTCTTTCCTTGTAGATCTCCGGTATACATACCACAAGTCCTTACTGAGAAGTTCATCCAACTGAAACGCCGCCTCCTCCCATTCCTCGTACGTCTTTGCCGTCGCAAGAGTATGAAAGAGTTGACTGCGGGGCGACTTGGACTTCCACCACGAAAACAATTTCTATAGACAATATGTGAGTCTTGCAATTCCTCACCACTGGCAGGGCTGGGCAGGGCTGGGCCGTGCAGCGCAGGAGCTTGCAGGTTGCGCCCAACAGTTCAGCTCAGCTCCAGCCCACTTTGGATCTTGCGTCCGAGGCCCCAAGCCCAAGAGGAAACCAACTCACCTCCCGCCAGAACTGCGCAACGTCCAGCAGCATACTGAGCATCGCGGACAGCATGCTCCACAAACCGAGCCACCAGGAAGCCATGGTGCGAGCGAGAATCGAGTTCCGGGTCGTAAGAGTCGGCCGCGGAGACTGGGGCTTTCACATGCTATGGCGTCACGCGCTTTCGCGAGAGTAAGGCGTGGAATTTGCCGGATTGGTGATGGTGAGATTTGACTACCTCGCGGTCTTGCTATCAGTGCATATTTTATCGCAGGTGATGAGTCGGGGTTGAGGGGATGGTGGTTGGTTGGGTTTGGCGGGAATGCTGGGGTTGGGGAAGTGCGCGGATCGCTCTCGGCCGCATTCTACGCCTTCTATTACTACTACTACTACTATAGTACGGGCTGGACTACCCTAACAGAAAGGTATGATTGAACACCAACATGATTCGTACTTGCACATCGCTACATTGCCTCGTACACGTATCAAAGGGAATTTTGAATTTGCAAGTCGTTTTGTTTTTGTCATTTCGCTTTGCTTCCCTATATGCAAGTAGGCGAAATTAAAAAAAGAAGCTCTCCCGGACACCCGAACCCAAGCGTCATTCTTTACTCCTCAATGATGTTGCCCCGCTCCGACACGTACAGACCGTCAAGGAACTATTCGGAATTAGTATGCGCTAGACAAAAAAAGTGGAAAATGAAAGTGTAGTTGTAACTCACCTTACGGATATCCTTGTTGCGAACACGGCAGATCTGCTGGATGTCGGCGGCGCTCTGGGAGACACCCTCCAGGGAGTTACCGGAGAGCTGGAGCTCATCCTTGACGTTGGGAGAGGGGACGACCTCAACACCGGGCTGGGCAGTCACGCGGCGCACGTACTTCTCACCCAGGAAGTTGCGGATCTCAATCTCGGCGCGGTCGGTCTCGGCGTTCTTCTCGATGTTGACGTTGATGGGAAAGTGAGCGTACACGTAGCGCATCTTGTACAGGAAGCCGCGGGTAACACCGATGATCAGGTTGTTGATGATGGTGCGGACGGTACGGAGGGTAGCGACACCCTTGCGGGCACCGTGGTGCAGCTCGATCGAGATAACCTTTTCCTCGGGGCGGCCGAAGGTGACGGCGATGTGGGAGAGGTCCTTGGTGAGCTTACCGCGGGGGCCCTCGACGGTCACAACCCGCGAACGAATGTGAACCTTCACTGTAGAAAGAAAAATCACGAATCAGTCCCATGTTCGAGAAACACACAAAAAATTTCAAGATCCAATTGTCGGCGAAAACAGTGCGGTACGTAATTCCGGCCTGCTCTGTTCAATGCCTTCCTCCTCTTGTGGGAAACGGTATCGTTGCGGTCGACCTGGCAAGTCGGGTTCCTCCTCCTGTTCCTTGTCCCTTCGGTGTCCCATCATGACCCGGTGCGACCACGTTCATACCGTCTCCGTGCCGACCGAAAATAAGGAAAAGTCCGTTGCTCACCATTGTCCGGAATGGGCAGCCGTTCCTCGGAGTGAATGTACCGCATCTTGACTGCGTGGGTGTTGTTGGCCGAGGGGGTGAGTTGTCGATGTCGGGAGGATCAAATTTCGGGTTGGAGTTGTTGGTGGAGCGAAATTGCACGTCACGGGATTGTGCGTCGCTTAGGGCCAGTTCCGGATTAGCGTAGGGTTGCTTATCATTTTATCATCACATGACCTCCCGCAAAATTCTTTGTCGGCCTCAGTCCTCAGGTGTAAGTCTTGGCGTTCTGCTCAGTTTCTGGCCAGTATTTAAGGTGTCAATGATATAGTGTGTTTTTGCATCTTTTGTTTCATACGAATTATACAGTTTGGTATATGTACAGCAGGACAGCATCCCAAAAACGCCAATGCTGATGAAAATGGCCCAACTTGGAGGAATATTCAGTGCCCTTAGAAATTCTTAAAGCGCCGCCTCAGCTGCCACTGGCACTGCCTTGATGTCGGAAATCCACTTGCCGCCCATCTGTCGCAGCGTCGATGCCAGCTCGTCGCTTTGATCCAGAGCAGCAATGTCGTCGCCGCCACCGATACTCTTTCCATTGACCAGAACATTCGGGACGGTGCGGCGACCCGTGTTTTGCGCCAGGAGATCCTGCAAGCCCGGTCCAATGGGGTGTTGGTCCAGCTCAACAACGAACGGCTTCGGGGAAATGGAGTATCGGTCGAGGAGGATGTGCTTCGCTCGTTTGCTGTAGGGGCAGTAAGATTTGGAGAAGATGATCACTGCAATCGCAGTATAGTTAGCTTTGAATATTCCGGACAACCCATCTGAGGAAAACAAAGCCCGCGCGAAAAGAAGAAACGTACCAGGAGCCCGCTTAAGAATATCATTAAGCTCACTTTTCGCCTCCGTATGATCAACCACCTCCTCTTCGGTCTTCTCAGACCCCCGCGATGAATCCTGTACACCCTGATCCTTATTCTTCGGGACAGTCATCTTCGTCCGCCCCGCGATCGGAATATCCTCCATCTCCGGCGTCCCAGCGACAACCTTATCCTTTGCCGCCGGCACAGCCGGCCTCTCGATATTGGCGCTACCCGCCGGTGCGCCCTGGGCATTCTCGCCAGGTCGGACTATGGGCTGTTGCGGCGTTTCTTTCTTGGCGGCTTCCTTCGCTCGCATGGCTTTTAGGGTTGATTGGTAGAATTCTTGGTTTTGGATCTTGCTGGCTTCACCCTGTTTCCGTCGAGTCGTTGTATTAGAGATTGGATGCAGGATGTCAAGGTTATGCCGTGGAAAGATCCAGGGTTGGCGTTGCGATGCTTACCGAGTAATAGAAGAACATGAAGATGATCACGACGACGGCGATCATCGTTAACCGAACGCGCCGTTGGGAGGCCATTTTGATGGTGAGATTCGTGAATCTCGATGCCGCAGGCGTGCGTGGTGCAGATGTGTCAGGACGATCGGGGTTTGGCAGGTCGGTCACTACTCGATGGACGCGACCGATAAGATGTGAAGTGGCAACGTGACGCCAAGAAATCTGAGCTTAACGCGCCGAGGCTGCACCAAGATGCAGTACAAAGCTGGGCAGCACAGACGGATAAAAAACTACCAAGGTAGTATGAGATAAGAATTAAATAGGAGAGCGATACGACATACGAGCTATGCTTGCCTGGATGGGGTCGGGACAGGAGAAGTGGGGTCTGCTCTCCTGGACCAGGGGCTTGTCTATCATCCCTGGGTGCGGGACGGAACTCGGCCTAAGCGCTTGCTTGGCGGGGATGCGGTGGATATATGGATGAGGGCATTGGTGTCTATAGATAGAAGTGGGATCGAACTTAGGTGAATATCATGATTTGAGTACTGTAGTTCCGCTTTCACAGAGATTGCACTGCATCGTATTTATATGGGATCTTCGGGTAGATGCTTGTCGTGCTTTTCAGTGCGGAGGCGGATATATATAGGGAATTTCTGCAACCATACTACACACTCCAATCATAACATCTCTTAGATACAAACAAAATCCAGATGGTACCACTTTCGGCATCAAATACCACCCATCATGGCCTTGTTATTTAATTCTAGCTACAGTGTACTGGCGTGATCCTCATGCATCTTGGAGCATTAACTGCCTGGTCAGCTCCTCTTGAGGCTATCTTTTGAGTCACAATATCTCAACCAAATCTACTAAAATTCCAAATTAGATGACACTGACATTGGGTATTATGCTAAATAACAGTATCTCGTCCGGTCTCCACATCTGCAAAATATCCATCGGGACGGGCGTACATCAGTCAATATTAGGTTTATGTCGGAAGTATGTGCGTATGTGTATGTAGAGTAAAAAAATGAAAATGCAGCCTAGGGTAGGTAGGAGTATAGGAGCTCGGGGGTATAGCCAAATCAGTCGTGGCTGACTCTAGGAAAGAAGGTGGGAACTGGAGGGACAATTAGGGGACCACCGGGGTCAGGGCGAGTAGGACATCACTCGTAATAGGGAATATAGAATAGAAAAGGCGAGTCGAAAGATGCGTGACAGCATCAGTGTAGTGTCGAGATTAGGTTTGAATGGAGAGACCCGGTCGTGCGTGGTTCGCCGTTGCGCGACGTCGACCCTGCACGATCGTCGTCCAGTCTTCCCATTCTTTAGCGATCTCCGTCAAGACGCTACCCATTACCGAGGCGGAGGCCATGAGGCCGTGGCCTTCGCCTTCGAGGATGCGGACCTCGCACCGGCGCATGGTTTTGCCGAGCCATTGCACGTTTTCCACGGGGACACGTGTGTCTTTGCTGCCGTGTTGGATTACCACGGAGCGGGTGATGTCCACGTATCGGAAGCCGATTGTCTGGCGGCGTTCCAAGCAGATGAGTAGATCGACCGCCGGGTTGGCGTTGGCCGTCGCGAGTTCCCAGATGCGGTGGGTCAGACGAGTGTCATAGTCTCGTTGGCGTTCGAGCTCTTCTTCGGGAGATTTTGCCCGGGAACCGAGCGTCGCGTCACTTCTCCGTGATGAAGCGTGGTGCGGGATTGTGCCGTATGATCTGGATCCGCTGAGTGGGGCAGGATCTTCGTTTTGGTGGTGGGATGCGGTCTCGATGTCTGGTATGGGTGGAATTTCGGCAGTGGCTGCTTCTTTGGCGGCCTTGCGTTTGGATCGCTTGGGTGATTTTGGCAGGCTGGTCGTGATGCTTGCACTCGTGGCGCTCATGAAACTGGTGTTGGCGACTTTGAGGAGAGAGGTAGGGAGAGCGCGGAGGATTCGCTGAGAGTAAGGAACCGCGTTGTTAGGGGCGGGCTCTTTTTGGGAGCCAATGCTGGATAGTTGAGATGGTGGGATCCACGGAGCGAGGAGATGAATGCGCCCTCGGATGTGCTGTGGGATTCGAAGGGCGGTTGCAAGAGCATAGATTGCTCCGGCGGAGTGGGCGAGAATGGAGAATTTGGTCACTCGGAGATAATTACAAACAATAGCAACATCATCTGGGGTTTGCGGTTAGCTGCAGTTCGTGTATACTCGTCAGACAAATCTTACCAGGCCAGCTGAGAGGAGTACTCGGCTCGTCAACTCCATGCGGTTCGCTTTCGCCAACACCGGGGCGATCCAAAGTTACCAGACGCAAGTTGAGGGTCCGGGCCAACTCGTCATAGAATGCCATCAGATACCGAGTGAGACCCATTCCGAGACAACACAAGACAACATGTCCCTTTGGGTTGCCCACCTCCGAGAAGGCGATCGTGCGACCCGTTGTCGGATGTACCACCCGCTGCGTCAACTTGGGGGAAAAGACGTAGTCATCCACGGCAAGGTCGATCGAGTCGGCACTGGACGGTCTTTCAGTATTGAAAGAGGGACGATTCGCGGATTGGGGACCAGAGGGAGTGCGCCGATGGCTTCGTGTGGGAGTGATGGGCTCCAGAGAACGTCGATATCGGCTCTCCATCTCTGGCTTTTCGGGCGGAGACTTATGCACTTGCGGGGAGAAATTCGTGGGCTTCGACGCCAATGGTGCTCCAGGTTTGCTTGTGCGGTTCTTGCCCGTCATGACCGCAGGGGAAGGGGCACTATCATTCACTGGGGGCCGGTCACTCTTCACTGAGCGTCCATTGGGAGTTCCGCGTCCGTGGTCGAACAGGCTACCGCTGCGCGGGGTTTCGACCGGCTTTGCAGGTGTGGTTGCTGCCTTGGTGGGCCTTGACGGGCCATCGTCGGATTCCAGCTCAGTTTTGATCTTTTGCTGCTGATCCTTGAGCTGCTGAATCCTCTTGGTCACCTGTTCCGCGTCATTGCTGGTGCCTGGGAGCCCATTCTCTGCCGTCGACTCTTTGCTCGCGGTAGATGAATATCGGCTGTGACGTGCCGACCTCCGCTTCTTCGAACTGGACGATTGACTGTGTCTATGCCGCAGGGACGAATCGCGCGTCGGGATGATCCGGCCACTTCCAATCCCTCCTGGATTATGATTATCAGGGGTGCTTTGAATCGACTGCAGTTCCCTGGTTGGCGGCGTGCTCGCCACCAGGCCCTCACTGGGCTCTTCCTTGAGGTCGTCCTTCAACCCATCCTTGCGGCCATTGGGAGCGGCCTCTTCGGCCAGATCTGCCATGGAATGCATGGATCTCAAACTGGCTCGGCTTCGCGGAATGTTGTGGCGTACACTGTCGTTGAGGCTGTTGGTCTTGCGCAGGCGATCGACCTGTGAATCCTTGTCACTGTTGAACTCCCGCGAGGACTTCTTCAGCAGCCCAAATTGCCCCTTGAGACTCTTGCGCCCGGCGGAGCTGTTGGATGCGATGCTGACGGCGGTGGATAGACGGGGGCCGGGCTCAGTGCTGATGGTCCCAAAGACACTGGGGGTGTCCTCGTGGGCGGTCCGGACAGAGGTATAGGAGTCCCTCGAGGCCGGCCGGGTCGCGGAGTCGTTCTGTTTGAAAGGTTTAAATCTCGGCGAGCGGGGGGATTTAGGGGATTTTGGTGAGGGCGGCGCTCTGGCCATGCGAATGACAGGCGACGAGGCCGCATCATCCGGGTGCAAGAACGGACTGTCGTTGGGGTGCTCCTCGACCGTGGCGTAGGTGCCGTAGTTCATGCCAAAGCCATGCTGCTTGGAAGGGGGGGGATGGTGAAGCAGGGCGCAGTATGGGGGACCTCGGGCAGACCGGGGTCGGAATCTTTGGAATCCTTGGAGTCGATGCGCGGCACGTTGTCGAAATGCGAGTTCAGGGGCACCGAGATCGTTGACAGGGAGGAGATCAGCGACGAGATGACTTCGGGCGACGTTGGATCGGCGTTGGCACCCTTTGCGCGGCCAGGGAGCGATTTGCGACGGCGACGACGGTTGAGCAGGGCCGACTCAGCCGGTTTAGGAGTCGCCGGGGGTGCGTCGTGAAGATGCATGGCGTCCAATAGTCCAGGGCTGGCCCGGGCCTTGGTTTATTCGTTTCCCACGGAGTCTCGCGATATGCAGGGTGGGTAGGCAGCGCGCATGGTCCGATCGACCAGCTGTGCTGTCCCTAGTAGTCCCTGAGTACTACTGCAGCAGCACCCTCAGGTCTGGGTAGGGAGTGATCGTGCAGGTGCGGTGGTCCTTGCGAGCACCCCTTGCGGAAGGACCAAGTGTGCGAGGGGTTGGAACAGAGAAAGGAGTGAACAGGTCGGATGGGAGAGCGCAAAGGAGTGATAGGTCCAAGTCGAGGGAAGTTTTTTCGATCTGGGGGGAGGGGGGGTATGTTAGCGTTTGCGCCTTCAGCTCCACCGATGGATCCCAATTTCCCAGCGCTCCCACTCGTTTGCGCTGGGGCAGGGCTCCGATCGTCCACGGTTCGCGATCTCCGCAATTCAGGGGAGACTTGACCAGTGCATATATTTATGTACGTATACTATCTATTGTATAGGACATGGCTGCGGGCTTATTTGGTATGCATACTCAAAATCGACGCTACATGCATTAGTCCACTCCACGTGGGCATGCCTTTCTACCCTTTCAGACTCGGCCTGATTGCTTCAGATTAATGGGGTTAATCAAAGCTAACATAAAGGCTCCTAGGATCGGCGGCGCGATTTCGGAGACGAGCCTGTATTAACGCCCGCCCTATACCTAGGTTTACAGCACAGACTAGAAACAGAAGAGTCCTGTTTAAATTGAGGATCGCTGCAGAAGTTCAGGTTGTGTAGAGCGATGGTAAATCGACCGAGCCCTATGCAACCCCTGCGGCACCCCATAATTAAGCTTCTGCATTCGCTGAGTGCCGAGTGGGACCGACCTGAGCCTTGCCAGAACACTACCCTAAGGTAGAATATATCTCAGCCTAGTACAACATACCAACACCCAGCAGTCCTATACCAATAGTATCGGTCTCAAAATAATGCATTCCGATGAAAAGGGACTCATCCCGAGTTCACCGTAGGCAACGATATCAGATGTATACAATCTCATTCAAGTTCTTTGTATACAGTCGCAATGACTAAGCCGGCCAATCTGAAACACGACAGCATCACCGCCCGGCAGTATTTCGCCGCGGTGCTCTTGTTGCTGGTCCCGACAGCATCCCCAAGTCGCAGTCTCTCGCATTCTCTCGCACACACATCGATTCCTCTGACTTTTCGGATCTGGCTGGACTCTGAGACAGCTGCCATTGATCATTACCGAGTGGTTGGCAGCCTAGAAATGCGGTGACCGAGCTGAACACTCCAACCAATCGTCCGCAATGGACGCCTACCCAGTCGACTATGTCAATCACAACCTCCCTTTGGTCCTGCTCTCAGGCCTGGAGGCAGGACCAGAGGAGTGGACAGAAAATACAGGCTCAGAAACATACCCCCTCTTGGCCGAGCGTGGCCCTCATATCTTCTCCGATTTCCCTCCGCTAAGCGGGGCTCTTGCGGAGGAGCTGCGGCGAGTGTTGCTAAAGGAGGATGCCTCGCACATGCCCTGGAGAGCACGGCAGAGCTCAACCGGGAGCCCCAATGCGCCCCATGTGGGATACAAGATCAAGAGTACAGGACGGGTATGCATTTCGAGATCTCCTGATCAACCCAAAGACGGACAAATGCAGTGGACGTGGAGACTAACACATTTCTACTATCTAGTCTTACAAGCTTCCCCCGCGCAAGGCCGACCCGCCACAAATCTCCCCTCCGATGAGCCCCTCGGCGGATACAGAGAGCAATGTCTCCGGATCAGGCACACCGTATGTGCTCCATTCACCCATATCACCCTTGTCGCCCGGCTCGCCCACCTTCCCCGATGGTCTCCTCACGCCGCTATGGGTGACGAAACACCAGGAACTCGTGCCGGCCGCGGTAATCAACTTCTTCCCTTTCTCGCTGGACCCGAATATGGATTCGCTGCGCGATAATCAACTCAAGATCGAGATCAATAGTCTCAAGAAAGAGTGGGCGTCCTCGGGATTCAAGACGCGATTTTTGACTGTGTTGATATCTGAGGAGGGAGATGGAGGCTATGATGGTGAGATTGACGATCGAGTCGCGGCAATCCGGCGAGCCACGAACCTGGACCAAAGATCCATCTTTATGATCCCGCCCGATGCCACCACGACCGAGTTGAAGGATTTTGTAGACTCCCTGTTTTCTCTTCTGCAGCCATCGGTTGTGGAGTACTACCGGGATCTATCGAAGCATGCCCGCAGAAAGCGCAACAGAAGTAGCATCCCGCCGCCGACTGCGCCACCCACCACCGGCACGTCGCAGACGCTTTCGTTACAGGGCTGGAATGTTCGCTACGAATTCAAGCTGGGGATCTTTGCCGAGTTCCGACAAGAAATGGACGCGGCTTGCCGGAATTACGAGAGTGCGTACGAAACCCTCTTCGGGCAAGAGGTTTTTGAAAACATCGCAGGGTGGGATCCCCGGTTCAATGATGCGCGCCTCTTGGGAGATGCACTCGCCGTTCGTATCATCCGTTGTCTACTGTGGACGGGCCAGACCACTGCAGCCGCACGCTTCTGGGTGGATCACAGGATACGAACGAAAGACATTGTCAATAGACGCGGCAAGGGGAGCAAGAATTATGGATGGGAGGCTTGGGAAGCACGGTGGCCAATGGTCATGGCCGAACTCATCCGTCGTGCAGAATCTACGCTCCCTGCGCCGGAGACCTCGATCGACCCCCTGGCGTTGTCGATATTCAAGGCCCCCGAGAAATCCATTCCGAACCCCGAGCGAGTGAACCCGTGGGAACAATTGCACCACGAGGGTTATTGGCTACATCAATCTGCCAAGCATACCATGCTCCGGCGGGTACTTGCTGAGCAGATCCCCGATGATGATCGGCTAACGCCGGGCCAATCTCCGGCCTCTCAGATTGCTAGCAAGTCTTACTTGTATGATACCTATCTTGCTCCGGAAACCCACGAGGAATTCCCCAAATCAGGCCAAGATGGATTCAACCACTCGAACTTGATTTTGAGCACGCTAAAGGCGGCTCTTGAAGAGTTCTCGAAACGCCAACAGATACGCAAGGTGGAAAGTCTGAGTCTTGAGATTGCTCAAGAATACATGCGGGTTGGGTCGTGGTCGGAAGCTTATCAGATGCTCCAGCCCCACTGGGCAACCCTCAGTTGGCGTCGCGCTGGGTGGTGGCAATTGATGGAACCGTTTGGCTGGGCCTTGAGAGAGAGCGCTCTGCATGTACAGGATAAGGAGACAGTCCTGAAAGTGGACTGGGAACTCCTCAACAAGGGTGAGTGATAACTTTACCTCGTATGATGTGAAGATACTAACTCTAGACTGCAGCTTTCTCCCCAAGACATGCATGGAATCATGATATCCACCAAAGTTTAGAAAGTCTTCCTTTGGAAAAACCCAAACCCTCGGTCGTTCTCCGGGCCGAAGATGTGATGACCTGCTGTACGTTTTGATCACCTAAAGGACATCACTGTGCTTGTTGACACTTTATTCTAGTGAATGCCTCTCTCGTTTTTGAAAAATCCGAAGGCAATGTTGGCGAGCCCCTGCAGGCTCAACTGACCCTTTCATCATGCGCTCAGTCAGTATCGGCTCCTATCAAGCTGTCAGAAGTCAAACTTGTTTTTGAAGGATGTCTTCGTCCAGTCAAGATCCAATCGGACCACAACGAGGACTCGGACACAAAATCACCATGCTGTATCTCATCAATTTCCCTGCGCAAGCCCAGCAGTCCAGGTGACACATCCGTACAGTCTCCAACTGGGGCTCTGACTACCCTAATTGGCATGGCCGATCTGACGATTGGGCCTGGCCAGACAAAGGTGTTTAATATCACATGCATTCCTCGCGAGGCCGGAGATGCCCAGGTTGCTTCTATCGCAATGCTCGTCGAGGAAGAGAAATTCGACCTTACATATGTGATTACAGACCACACCCAGCGTCAATCTTACTGGTGGCAACAGACCAAGAAGGGTGCGTCGCGGAGGAGAGTTGGTAAAGATCGAGATACTGGACGGTGCAAAATCATGCCGAAGCCGCCCAAGATCCGCATCTCAACGCCGAATCTCCGAAGCACTTATTATACCAATGAGCGGGTGGCTTTGCAAATCGGCATCCACAATGAAGAAGACGAGGGTGCCGATGTCTCTGCGGAGGTCCGACTTTTGGCAGTCCCGGATCTACAGCCAAGCTGGAGTGGTCCGATGCAGAGACCAGCCCCGAGCCAGAAGGATCAGGCACAAGCACTCCTCTTGAAGGAGTTTCTCACTTCATCAAGCGAACTGTCGGTATTTTGGATCGTGCCGCGGATAATGAACTTACTGTCGTGCTGGCTGATACCCAAGATGCTGCAAAGTACTCTCTCGAGATCACCGCCATCTACCATCTCGTTTCTGATGTTCAAACACCCATCATAAAAACGATAACAGTCGATCTCTCATTCGTTCGACCGTTCGAGGCCAACTACGAGTTCCTTCCTTGCATTCACCCTTCACCATGGCCGAACTTTTTCTCTGTCAACGAAGAGCTACTCGGAAAGTCGCCACCACCACCAGTTGGCTTGTCGCAGAAATGGTGTCTCAATTCCAAAGTCGTCTCCTTTGCCCTGGAGCCACTCGTTATCGAGAAAATGGCTCTGAAAGCCGTCGACATAAGCATCGGCACCGTATGCAACCTTGAACCTGAAACTCTCGTCAGCCAAGAGTTGCCGCAAATCTCACCAGAAGAACTGCGCGAATCCAACTTCTTCCTCGACATCCAGAAACAATTGCTTGGCGATCGCCGACCTACTGCAATAAACTTTGCATTGGAAATCACCTGGCGCCGAGCATCCCCCGAGCCCGAGACCGAGACCAGCACCGCAAAAACCGCAGCAAACACGACAACCAGCATCCTCGAAATCCCTCGCTTCGTCGTCCCAATGGGAGAACCCAGAGTTCTGGCCTCGGCCACTCCATCAACGAAACTATCTGGATTGATCCACCTGGAATACACGCTGGAGAACCCGTCCACACACTTTTTGACATTCAACCTGATGATGGAGGCTAGCGAGCACTTCGCTTTCAGCGGTGCCAAGACTACTGTCATCCAGCTTGTTCCGTTGAGTCGGCACACGGTCAAGTACAATATCTTGGCTGCGAAACGCGGGCTATGGATTCAGCCGCAGTTGGTTGTTGTGGATACTTATTTCAATAAGACGTTGCGGGTTCTGCCTACTGGGGACATGCGTGCGGACAAGAAGGGCGTCCTGGTTTGGGTTGATGCGGAGGATTAATTCGTTAGCACCTATTCTACCTTGTTCAATATCATGAGAGATGTATTCAGAACAATTAGCCTCAATTTCCAATATGTCGATGACACATCATCATTATAAAAAAGCACAGTAAGGAACATATCATCCTGACCAAATCCCTACCAAGTAGGCCCCAAAACCGCCTCAAGGTTATCAAGCAACCCCTCTGTCGACACACCCCCATTACAAAAAAGCACGTTACACTCCGAACTAGACACCAAATCCCTCGCCAACACCTCAAGACTCAAATAGTTTCTCGGATCAATATCAAAATCAAACGGAGGCTACCTATAACGCCCCGCATCCGGAACCCGCACGTCCGTCACATTGCGCATAAGAACCCGGAAGAAAGTATAATAAAGATCTCCTGGCGTCGTACCAAACAACACCGACAAACTCGACGCCGTGTCCCCCCAAAAGCCCCGTCCACGTCACAGTCATATTCAGTGAAGGAAGCATGAAATTATTCTGGTGCAATGCACCCACCATCGCGAATAGATCGCTCGGCGCACTCGCGACGCTGGTGGACTTTATTGTTGTGGCGACGGGGATATATGCGCCTGCACAGGGTTTGCCCCGATTATTCCAGAATAAGAGGCCGTAGCATGCTTTTTGGGGGGAAGGCGTTGCTACGGCGGAGGCCCATTCTTCTGACACGATCTGGTGGCCGTTATAGGATCCGCCGTTGCATTAAAAGACCCAGTCGCGCGAGGTGTTTCGGTGCGAGGAAGAGCCAGGCGTAACCGTACGTATTACCGCTTCGGTCCCGGAGTCAGAAATAGAGGAACGGTCGATGACTAGTGGCGTGAAGAGTCGTCTCTGGGCGAAGTTTTGTAGATCTTCCCCGACGGCGCTGCACGATGTACGCCGACAGTCGGCGTCGCGTTGGACTATATTCGAAGTAGGTGCCTGGTTCATGGAGGAGTTTCTGCGCGAGGAATTCTTGGATACTGCTTGCGTCTATTGCCACGGTTGCTAGCTCGGCCAGGACCGCTTCGCTCCCGGCTGTTTCGGTCAAGATGTCGTGGACGGTTATTGCTCTGTGGGGCTTCGTCACCCCAGCCTGGTCCGTCGGGGAGGTACTCGGAGATGGGAGAGGAGAGGTTTAGTTTTCCGTCGAAAACTGCAATTCCCGCGAGGATGCTCACGACGGATTTTGTGATTGAGAAGATATGGAAGGGGAGATTGTCGGTTACTGGGTCTAAGAGGCCTTTTCGGATGAGGCAGTTGTTGCGGAAGATTTGGATCGAGGCGTGTCTGTGGGTATTGGCGTAGGCAGGAGATTCGTTGATTTCGGCTGTGCTGAGGCCGACTTCTTCGGGTGTTGCGGTTTCGAAAGGGTCTGTGTTTTTTGTTGGGAGGGTGCAGGTTTTGAAGGCTGTTGTTGTGATTGTGTGGAGGGTGAGGAGGGAGGTGAGAATTATGGGGAGGAGGTGCATTTTGAGGGTGTCGTTTCGCCTTCACAATTTCAAAAGTTGGGGTTAAGAAAACCATCTACGTCCGAATCTTCCGTCGGACGAACAGGATGAACGAGAAATCCCTGATAGCCCGTGGGTCCTGGATGTTCATTGTTTTGATGCTGTGGACTATTGTATCTGCCATTGCGAATGCAATCCCGGTTTTCAATGATATATTGAATTTCCTTGCTGCGGCTTTAAGGAGCTGGGTTTCGTTCGAGTTGGGGAGGGGGGGGGGGGCGGGGTTTTTTGGCCGCATGTGAACAGGAAGCTTGACTCTGTACGTCGGATTGCGTTGGCTGCTCTGAATATTGTCCTGGTCTTGCTTTGCTGTTTGATGGTAAGTTAACATCCACAACCTGATAAATCGTTTCGTGACAGTGACTGACTTTTGCAGTCCGGATTGGGTCTTTGGGCGACTAGGAAGAGCATTGCAATTTAGTGCTTAGTCTGCGGATGGGTCTTTTCTTGTGCAGACAATCGAGGAGATATGCAATCGTATACATAGGGAAAGGGGACTTGTATTGACATTCAACATTGACTTGCATAGTTGATCACCTTGTAAGAAGCAGAAGATAAGGATATTTGTCAGGATGTCGGATACGTGTATCATCTAGTATCGAGGGACGGCCAATTGATGCATGAGATGGATTAACGAGAGTGTGTCTGTGTGTTCCGATCTGTTGAAAATGATCCAGGGGCTATAAACTGCGTATTACATCACAGTTTTTCCGAGAATGACCCGAATTACCATACAATTACTATTGCAATGTGGGTGGATGCTGAATAACCAAGAGCAGTGGAGAATCCACAGTGTTTTACCTCTCTCAGAGTTGACAATATTCACTGCCCACAATCGCCCGTCAAGACGATGAGATTCTGATACTCAGGATTATAGTCCACAATGAAGTCGCCCCGAGGAGTATTGTCTGTTTGGAAATTACTTGTTCTTGAATTGAGGAAATAAAAGACACAATCCCTCTTTGAATGCAAGCTTTGCATCTTGAGGTATAGATCGCGATGTCGTGTAACTTGTATCTAACATTGGGGCACAGACCAATTTGCTGAGCGGTGTTAATTGACGGGAAGTCTCATATACTTAGATATGTCGTGCCATTTTTAGGATGTTGGTGCCGGGATTCGGAGGGTTATGACCACGGGAGATCCCCTGAGTTGCTCGGCCTCCGCAGGTGTTAGCTGAATGAAGCCAACAGATTGGCCTATCGAGACTGAAACTCGATCCATGTCGATCAGAACGATCTAGCAGCATCGTACTTCTTCAACCAAGCCATTCCAATGCACACTATGGATCTCGTCAGACTTGGTATACACGGGGTACAGTCAATCATAGCGGTGGCTGTAATCGGTTGCTCGGCTGGGATCATCTCTTCCCACTCAACAACACGATGCACTGGCCATATTTACCGTGAGTTGAGTTTGACTTTCATTCCATTGCATTTGAAAATTTACCTAACTCGAAACTAGGCAATTGCAACAATTCTCGTCGCGGCATCTGTTGCGACAACGTCTTCAAGATATGCTTACAGTTCTGGGTGTTCGTTGCACTGAATGCTTTCACTGCCATCTTCTGGATCGCAACTAGAAATTCCTTGGTTCATCGCCACGATCACGGCAGCTGTGGAGGCTACAAGAAACGATAATCGAAGGAGCTGGACCCTCTGTGGGCGGCAAATATCGCCTTGAGTGTGTTGGATTGGAATTGAATTCGTATCTTTCACAATGTTACACTGTTTTTGAAATCTCATTATTTGCTGACATATCTCATTACCAGCGAGCCGGGATGTTAACCAGGGATTGCGCCTTGTGCTCAGGGCTAAAACATGAGACTCAATGCCTTAAAAATGACCTGACACGACTGAATTTTTGTCCCTTCCACTTAATTGACGAATCATTTAAAGTGTCAGATTTCTGCACGCAATTACTGATTGCAGGGCTAGTCACGTGAAGCCCTTATCGGCGTCTCCCAAGGGAGGCTAGCGGCGATCGGAGCTCCGCGAGCTTCGTCACTTCCCCGTCCGTCGAGGATTATCCCGTCGCTCCTCTGCTACGCCGAGGGTACAAAGTGCTCCTGGAAGACACCCCACTTGCACACCCGTCTGACCCATCCCCGCATCGCATTCCACCACTGCAACTGCGGCGAATTTCCCGATTCGCCCCCCCAGGACCCCTCTTCACGCGCTGACCGACGTGTCTGTACCGGCCGCCTCGTGGGTAAACCGCAGCCATGGCGACCCAGGCAGCGCTGATCGCCGATACAATTATCGGCATGAAGCGAGCGTTGCGCCGAGAGCGCGAAGGTGAGTTGCGAGCCCTCTATGACACATTGCGCGCAGAACTGACACCCCCTCCACAGATGCCGGCCCCGACGACCCCATAATGCAGCCGACGAACCGTGGCAACAAAATGCATGCGAACGCGAAATATGTTCGTGAAGGCGCTTTGGGATACATCAATGCCGAGGATTTCTACAAAGAGGTATGTGGCGTTTTGTCCGGAAGGGAACTTCTCACGGAGAAGTCTTGCCGCGCCGGCTCGAAGGGACTTGCAAGGACTTACTGACTTTTTGCCAATGATAGAAAGTTGAACACGCCGGCTACACACGACACATTCTCAGGCGGAATCCAATTCGCTATGACTCTGAGGGCGATGAACTGGATGACGAGGATGAAGATTCTGAGGCCGATGCCGCGGCGGCGGAAGAGAACCCTTTTTCAGGGATCGCGCTGGAAAGTGAGTAATACCATGGAATCCAACTGGTCGTCCATGAAATACTAATCATCGGCTCACGCAGCGCTACTTTGCCCTCTCAAGCACCCCCTCCGAACTCCCGACCCATCCTTCCATGTCCCAACCCTACACCTCCCAGGCCCTCGAACAGATGACAAAGGCTGTTGAGGAGAAACTGCGCCAGGAACGAGCGTTACTCTGGCGTGCCAGGAATCTCCACCGTAACTTTCTTGGTGACGGTGGGTGGGAGCCCTGCGGTTTATTAGAAACCCCAGAAGACCGCTACATCTTTGAGCCTTGGGCTAGGCCTGGGGGCCAATCGGAGCCTACCAACCAACAGAAGCAAAATGGATCGGTGCCACAATCCGTGAATGGAGATCTCAATGCGCAAGATGACGCCTCTGCAATGGCCCCAGCGAAGGAATCGCAAAAAGCACCTAATGAGACATATGAGCCGCCAGTGGCAGACAGTGACGTGGATATGGCCGAGATTCCCATTCAATCTGCGGAAACGGCCGCGCATGAGGAGGCACAGGAGCCTTTGAAGACACTTAAATCCGAGGAGGCTGATGCAGCAGTCGCTGATCTTCCTCAGCACCCTGCCGACACTCTGGAACCGACTCTTGAAGCCGCCGACAAAAACACTGATGCCGCGACTACTAGCCAGAACCTGGAGGAAATGGAGACCTCCAAGGACGGTGAGAAGGGCGACGCGGAGCCTTCGGGCGCGGATGCAAATGACACCCAGGAGCAAGACGAAGAGATGCACGATGGCTCCTCTCCAGAGCCGCCCCGTCGAATGACCACCCGTGCCCAGGCCAATGCGAACAACCCCAACGATGGTTCCCCTATCTCCAACGCCGACACGGCCAGCACACTTCCCGCTCCGCACTCGCTCTTTATGCTCCCAGAGAGTGTTCGCCCGGATCGGAATTATGGCCTACCTGCCTCCGAGGCCGAGGAGACTCGCCGTCTTCTCTGGTCCTATATCCAGAAACAAGAAGAAACAGTGCGCGGGTTCGAGCACATGCTCGATACTCTACTTCGGGCTAAGCACATGAAATCTGATGCGCTGGAGTGGTGCAAGGCGGAAGGCCACGTCGGCGAAATGAGCGACGGCGAAGACTGGTATGATCGTGAGAAATGGGGTCTGGCTGAAGGTGAAGATCTCAAGAAAGGAACCGACGAAGATGAAGTGGAGACTGTCGACGAGAGTCGGACGACGGCGAAGAGAGGCCGTGGGCGGCGGCAGTAGATCTCATCTCTACTTGCCCGTCTGGGTGCCCAGTCTGCTACGCCTGGCGTCTTAGTCGTTTTCTCTCTATTTTCTTGTCTTCCGTTCGTGCATCATAGCGTGGTGTTGGTGGTGTTTGATCGATCTATGGCGGTGCGTCTCAGGTACCCTGGACCATGCGGTGTCGATATACCCTTTTTGGAGATGGAAATAGTCCTTGAACAATTTCATGAATTTGTAAAACAATCGCCTCCTCTTTCGTAGCTACAAAGGTAATCGCCATAATATGACCCGCTCATGTGATTTCCGGAATCAAAGTATGATTGAACTACCACCGGTGCCAGAGTATGGATATAGCGCAATACGTACAAATAGGGCAAGTCTGACGAGCAGCTCGCTGACCCTAAACATAAAATCGGGGGCATGTAAGAGATTACAATATCGAGGGCTTGAATGGTTGCAATGGAAGAGTGTCGCTTTGGGATGAACGAGAGGTTCTTTTGAGTCGCGTAAGGGAAATATAACAATCAGATGGCTGCCATCGTGTCCATCCGGCTTGCTAGTGCTTTTACTCAATCGCCCACTATGGCAACCAAAAGCAATGTCTATCGTCTACTTTATCTTGTTCTTGCCAGCATCGTTGAAGATTTGGACGGGTCCTTGGCTGGGATGGTCACCGCCGAACCTGGGGACCGAGTTCACTTGAGCGAGATCCGTCGGCTGGGCGGGTGACATTGGATATCGATTCGTTCTCGGCTTGACGAGTGTCATGCGCGGACTGTGGATGTTGAAGGTCCCAACCCGGTTGCGGGCTTGCATTTACTGCTTCTTGCCGCCCTGCTTCTTCGCGCGCTCGCGCTCGCGCTTGGCGTAGATCTCGGCAGTGAAGGGGCTGGATGACGTTAGTGATAAGGCAGAGTGAGTTATGAGGAGGTGAACTTACTCCTCCCACTTGAGGGCGAACCAGTAGAGCACGAAGACCTGAGCGGTCAGGAGGATGCCGGCGACCTTGCCTTGGTACAAGGCGACTCCGAGGAAGTTGAGGGTGCTGCCCCAGTACATGGGCGAGCCGGTGACGTTGAACGGGAAGCCAGTAACGGGGGCGTCCATGAGAATGCCAAAGTAGTCACCCAGATAGGTACCGGTCACACCAAGCGCCCACATGCTGGAGAGAACGAGGACGGAGCCGATGGCGAAGAGGATGCCGCCGACGATGGGCTGGTGCACCGGGGCGTAGAAGGGCTGGTCTGCGAGGGCAACCTGGTAGACATGATCACGGAAGATTCCCAGAGAGAAAATGGTGAACGCAAGAGCGTAGCATCCTCTGTAGGGGCCTCCGAAGATGCGGGTCAGGATGTGGTGGTTGTATTCTGTTCGGATAGCCCGTTGTTAGCCGAGCTGAGCGAAAGTACGGGAATCGAGTTGACTGACCTGCACGAGCGACAATGCTGAAATAATGTTAGATCCATTCTAGTATATATTTGAGAGGCAGCTACTTACTTCCAGAAAATAGGGTTAAAGGCAATCGTCGCGGCGGACGCTGTTTTGGGTCAGTCACATGTGAAATGCGGAGAGAGCCCAGGGTCGGGGGAGAGAATTACCGGCCAGGGACGGAGCGGAGAGATCGACGAAGTCAGTCAGGCTGGCCATGGTGGGCGAAGTTGAACTGCGACTGAAAAAAAATCGAAGTGAAGAAGAGGTGTAGAGAAGCAGGGCAGGCGCAGAAGAGGGGAATTGGCGTGGTCGATCTGGCTTAAGTAAACAAATGACGTTGAGCTGCCGCGTCTGACCGCCTTCCCCAAGCCGCGGTGCTGTCAGTCTATCTGCGACGTCACGGGATATGCAGGCGGCTTTCTCGAGTGTCTACTCGCCTGCAGGCATTCTGTACCTGGCAATTTGTGCGTGATTTGTGTTTCGTGTGCCTGACGAGTGTTGCTCTCCCGACGACTTCTCCAAAGCGCCCCGCAGCCCGTTCTCACCGCCGTTCCCCCGAGCTCTCTGTCGATCGCGCCAATGCCGAGTCGAGCTCCTCACTCCTAACTTGCGCCGAATCCGTCATGAGACGTGGAGACTTCATACGTGTCTGGGGAGAATGGCCCTTTACCGTCGCGATTTGGTTCTAGCGGGCATCGGTGGGTTCATCGCCTGGGGTCTGCTAGTAAAATGGCTACCAATCCTTCGATATCTGGGTTGGGCTCTGGCGTTGGGCGCCGCCCTCTCTTCCGCTGGTTTCCTCGCTCTCTTTGTTTTGACGACCCGGAATACGAACGATAAGATCGGTGCCTCGAAACATGTCTCAATGGCTTTTATTAAGCCTAACAACTGGAGGAAAGAACTGTTCAATGCGCGGAAGACCGCCCGATACCAGGCGAAGCCATTATATCCGGAGTCGTTCGTTGTGTCGGAAGGAATCGACGAGCTTCTCTCGTTTATTACGAGGGACTTTGTCTCTTCGTGGTACCACAATATCAGCCCGAACCCTACATTCGCAAATGAAGTCGACCGAGTGATTCGTGTTGCACTTGAAAACCTACGAGATAGGCTGCTGGCAGAAGATATGATCACGTTGATCGTGTCGCGGATATTTCCGATTCTGACAACCCATCTTAAAGAATTCGATGTGGCAGAACGCGCAGTACGAGGGCGAAACCTCAACCGAAATGTGACGGAATCGGAGGAGTTGGATCTCGCTATCGCAAACAAGTTTCGTGAAGGTCGCTTACACCCTGCAGCGGCTCTTTCCGCGTCCGACCCGAAAGTTGTGCAGCAAGAATTCCTTCGAAAAGTCGCCGTGACATTGTCACCTCAGTTGTTTCCAGAGAGCGTGCTGAGCAGCAGAATTGTATCAGTGTTGATTCGTGAAATCATCTCATGCGCAGTCCTGCATCCTATTGTGTCGGCATTATCAGACCCAGATACATGGAACCAGCTGGTGGAGGCGTACGGACGGACAGCACTGCAAGATCGAAAAACCGTTCGCAAGTTGCGAGCTGCGCTGGACGAGCATGCATCGCCAGTGCCCAAGTCCAAGCGTGGCCAACCGTTCCCGCGACTGGCAGCCCACGACTCGGAGAGGGCCTTTGAACGTTTTGTTCGGGCTATCAGACGATGTAACAACTTGTCGGATGCTCGACGCTTTCGCGCAGCCGTCGTCAGCCAGCTGAAGCGCGAGAGTATGATTCTCGGACAAGACCCGGTCTACCTCAAACGGCTTGAGGCCGGAAAGCGGGTCTTGGATCAAAAAGTTGCCAAGCTCGCGATTCCTGGTGAGGCGCCTCCTATACCCCAGGTTGCCGCCCGTGTACCTCATGCCAATCCTACTACAGCAAAGGAGGTGTCTCTAGTAGATGTGATGCACAACGCTTCAGGTCTTTCATATTTTATGGAGTTCATGGACCGACAGAAACTGATGTCCCTGGTTCAATACTGGATTGTTGTTGATGGGATCCGAAACCCTCTAGAGGACGATTTCGGTGATGAAGGCTCGTCCTCGTCGGTTACATGGACTACAGCCGATCGCAATGACATTGCCCTACTCAGCGAGACATATCTCAACAAACCTGAATTGAAGGTTTCCGTTGAATCTCGTAAAGCTGTCAAGACCTTTCTCAGTTCAGGCAGACGTGCCACGCCGGAACAGTATCGCAAAGCTCGGACTGTTGTTTTGACCACCCAGTCGGACGTACTGGAAGAATTGGAGACCAACTTTTATCCCAAGTTCAAGGAGTCTGACTTGTACTGGAAATACTTGGCTTCAGATGAAACTTCCGGCTCGAATTCGGCTGCTCATCAACCTTCCCCACCTGCTGTTACATTTGAACCTCCCGAAAGGCGTCCACTTCCACCTCTTATTGTCAGAACGAGCTCGCAACCAGGGACGCGGCCATCGAAAGATCTTCGACGAGCAGCTGTGTCCTCCAGCGACGTTCGAAGCATGGGAAAGCTGTTCGACGATGATGACTCCCCACGACGCTCCATCGACTCCGAGCGATCTGCGCCACTTTTTGACGACGACTACGATACAGATCCTATGGCCACGTCCACACATAGCCTGGGAAAGGATTCACAGAATGGCGAGAATGATGCTCCCCAAAGCCATATTATTGAAACCATGGAAGCGGCTCTGAATGATATCATTACCAACGAGCCAAAGAATGTCCGAGCGGAGGACCTGAAAGGAAGCAGCGATGCTGCGTCTTCGTCTTCACTCTTCGGACCCGAGCGCCTGGATCCCTCGCCTCGCAACTCCTCTGAAGGACCTCGACCATCGGGTAGACCCTTGGAAAAGACCAAGAAGAGTATTGCCTCTCTCGGATTGGTTGGTCAAGGGTCACGCTTTGGTGTCTTTGATGACGACCTCTTCCCCGATCAGCAGAAATTTATCGAAGACGAGTACGAAGAGCCTGAAGATGCGGACAAGGACCCGGCAGATGAAGTTCATGAAGCCGCGCCAGGTGATCTTGGCTTGACAGAAGCAATCGAAGCCTTGACTGTCGACATTGATAAACTCACCTCACAAGATTCAGTCGTCGAAGCCTTGAGACGCAAAGCGGAGTTGACGAATAACACGGCCGAGCTACGCATCCTGCGCAAATCCAAGGCGAGTATCCAACGCGAAATCCACCGCAAAGAGATGCAGCGTCAGCAGTACATCATCCAAGAAGGTGACAACAGTCTCTATGGGCGGTCGACTGTTCGAATCAAATCTATCATGGTGGGAAATGAAACTGATGGTCGAGAATTCGCAATGTGTAAGCCAGACCTTCCTCACCCATACCAATCATCTCAACTAACTCGAAATTCCAGACGTCGTCGAAGTTCATCGCAACGCCGGAGAACAAATGCCCGCAGCCTCATGGGCCGTTCCAAGACGATACAGCGAATTCCACGAACTGCACCAAAAACTCCGAACCAGCTACCCTTCCGTCCGCCATCTCGAATTTCCCCGCAGAAGAATGGTCATGAAACTCCAACGCGAGTTCCTGCAAAAACGCAAACAGGCGCTGGAATCCTACCTCCAACAACTCCTACTTCTCCCAGAGGTGTGTCGCAGTCGCGACCTCCGAGCGTTCCTCTCCCAAAGCGCGATCCTGCCCCGCCAAGACCAAACGCTCAACGAAGGCGAGACAAAAGACCTCGTCTCGAGAATCTACAACTCGGTTGCGGATGGAATGGACGATTTCCTAGGTAACTTTGGTGTCCTTGACCAGCTATCCACTGCAGGACAGAACTTGATTTCTGCCGCAACTCAACAATCCTCTCTATCTTCAATCTCTGATCCACTCTCCACATCCGATACACTCACCTCCGCCGAAGCAGAAGCAGAACTCAACGCCTTAGAAGAAAGAGACTCCCTAACACCCTTCATCAAACCCATCTGCGACCTCTTCCTTGAAACCTTCGAGCTAAACCGCGGCAATAACTGGCTACGCGGTCGAGCCGTTGTCGTCGTTCTACACCAACTCCTTGGCGGGACAATCGAGCGCAAAGTCCGCGATAGTGCCCGCCAGCTTGTGCAGGATGATTCCCTGCTCAAATACATCGGTCTCGCAAAAGATAGTCTCTGGCCTGAGGGTGTCTTGCGGAAATTTGTGCCGAGGACCCCTGCAGAACGGAACAAGAGTCGGGCGGAGGCGACGGTCGTTCTTGCTACACTTGTTCCTGATCTTGCGGGGAATGTGGTTGGCAGGGCGAATGCGCAGGCTGCGGCGAGACGGGTTTTTGCGACACTGAATAATCGGCCGCTGAATACGCATTTGGTTTTTACGATTTTGGATGAGATTGTTTTGGTGCTTTTTGGGGGTGGGAATAGAGGTCGTTGAGCCTGTTTGCACAGGTGGTGTGGGAGATGTTTCTTTGACGCTGTTTTTGCTCTTCGTGAACTCGACAGATGCTTGCTCCGAGCTTGGGTTTGCTCTGGAATAGTGTTGCATTCTTACATCGGTCTTTCGGGGTAGCGTTGTATATACTCATAATGTCTGTACATGAATAATTGACGCATACTATGATTAATCCACCTCTAGAAAGCATTACAGGTCATCACTCGCATGAGTGTAGATGCACTCGATCTAGGCAACGGGCCTAGCGGCCTCCAAGTGGGCCGGGTGGATACGCCAATTTAGCGCGTGTCCACCATCCTCACTACATCGGACGACCTACCCGAGTACAAGGTAAATTACAACACTCGGGCAGTGCGAGTCTACGTCATTCTGAAATGGATATTTTTAACTCCCCGAATTAGTAAATTGATGAGCCTCCCAGCCCAAAGAATGAAACGGCTAGCCGGGTCGCGGGCTGGAGATACTTCCTTGTAAGGATGGGTACATGGTGAAAATAAAGCACAGAATGAAATAAAATAAAAGCAAGTACGGGGTGGATGGGGAGTCAAAGAATAAATCAAGCTCGTGCATACTCCCGCGGCCCTGTAATTCTTTCTACCCGAGGAGCGCCTGAGGAAAGCGGAGAAAAGCGGAGTAGAGAAATGAGGATAGCTGGTGAGCAGAACTGAGCGGTTAATGCATCCCGTAGGATGAGAAGTCAAACGGTTGTGGTGGTGAGGGGGTCAACCCTTGTCGTTTCGTTTGGTGAGAAGAGCAAGCAGAACAGAGCGTTGGAAAGAAGACTGGAGTTGGGCACGTCGCGAGGGGTGGCGATTTATGCCTCTTCCTTGTTCTTCTTTTTGGACTTCTTGCCGCTCGGCTGTGAAGGTTGTCCCTCCTTCTTCTGGTGGACGATGAGGCGTGTCCAGCACTCCTCCTTGTCCCACTCGAAGCCGGCGAGGTAGGGCTTGTCCATCTCGTCATCCGCCTGGGTTGTGTATTAGTATTGTTGAGGATCGGTGTGGGCGGGGGGAGGGAACGGACCTTCTTCTTGAACTGCTTGTAGATCGCATCCAGGGCATCCTTGATTGTTACACCCTTCATATTCCGGGCGACGACCTCGAGGCCGAGGGGGGAAGTGCAGGTCAATCTTCTTGACCGGGGGTGTGACGAGGTACATCTTGAGGATGTCTTTGTCCTCAATTGAGTTCGGTGAGGTGTTGAGCTTCCTGTGGATGGTCAGTGGCTGTGGTCAGGGGTGGACTAATGGGGAACAGGACTTACCATCCGGTTTTTTGTGTCTCGATCGGGAGCTCGATCTCGATTTTCTGGTCCTCTATGATGGGTGAGTAGCTGACACAATAAACAGGAGAGGAGGGAGTGGGGAGGATATACCAAGGTCCTTGATGTTCCAGACATTCTTGCCTTGGCTGGATCGGCGCTTGTGGCCCTTCTCAACCTCCTTTTCTGAGGGAGCAGGGGCTTTGTCGTCGAGTGTGAGGCCACCGATGGCCGAGTCGACCTTGGTGAGAGGGACAGTGGTTTCTGTAACTTCTGACATGATGGAAGAGCAGTTGTGGATGTGGAATTGTGGAGGAGGAAGAAGAAGAGGAAGAAGGAGAGAGGAAGACGGAAGGAAGGGAAGTCAAGGAGAGGGGAAGGGCAGGTGACCTGGCGGGGAGTCATGGAGTCATGGTAGACCAGCAGGAGGTACACCACTCACCCTCTCTCGCTCTCCCTCTCCCCTGGCACTCCCCCTCTCTACACCTTTCTGATATACTCTTTACTCAATCGCTCTCTTTCCTCTCAATTTTCTGCATCTTGCTCATACCAAACTCGGCCCCTCTCTCCTCTGATCTACTCTCTCCCCCTCCTCTCGAAGTGAAGTACATCACACGAGCAACTGACATCAGCGGGTCACTGGAGACGCACCCCGCATTTGCTCCACCGGGCTTTATTTGCGATCGACAGCTGCTCGCCCTTCACATTCCACCCCAATAGGCACAATCGGAGTGACTGCCACAATTTTAAACAATTGACTCTCTCAATGCACAAGATGGCCTTCATTCCGGCCAATTCTGCCACTATTTGCGATCGCTGGCCGCGCAGTCCGCCGGTGTACACCCCGGTCTTTGTACTGCCGATCACCTGATGGCATCACACCACCACCACGCCATCATTCCACGCCCATTCTCGCTCTTTCAACCTGCAACATTCCACGTCACAGCTCTCTCCTTGCTCTGCACAGCTTCCGGTCTGCCCGTCGCTGTTGCTGTGTCCGCTACTGTCGCTGCTGGTGCTCGACTCAATAATGGGGCGATCGACCGCCATGACGAAAGTGGATCCCTTTCCCCACAGCTTCCGGCCTCCCGCGCTGCTGCATTGTCCGGGGGTTACATCGAGCACCTCCTCCATTGTGCTGGCCCAGAGCCCCGGATCGAGAAGTCCTGCGATTTCAGGCTTTTCGGGTACAGTGAGAGCTATCTAGGAGGCTGTGACGATGATCGATGACTTGCGAGAGAGAGAAGAATGAAGCTCTCTCAGATCTTCAGGGACATAAGATGCTTTCTGCCTCAGGCAGCAACTGACAGGGTAACTAACTAGCTGTAGCAGGACGAGACCGGGAGAGGCAAACCCGCTCGCTCCATAACATTCAAGCCCTCGAGTCGTAGAGGTCTTCCTTCGATGGGACGAACCAACTACTCAACACTCAAGCTGAAAACACTTCGAAGATCACTCGCCACTACTTATCATCGGCAGACTTTCGTCTGGGACGACCAAATTCACCCTGCAGCCGCGGACGCTATTGTCGGCTGGGTTACCTCTGCTGTAAATTTGTCATAGACAGGGGATACCCGATGCCGTCACATTTCCTCGTTTTCGACAAAAAAATTGTTTTCGTTTCATCTGAGAAGTGCAAGACCCCCAAGCTCGATTCTACTGAGATGGGATATAACCCGCGCAGCCTAACACAAGCTGACCGAGACCTAAATTTCAGATCCGCCTTCACAAACACGCTCTCATCGCCATTAAATTCGGACAACCAACGAAGTTATGCTGCATGAAGAACTCCACGAAGCCAAAATGAATTGCATCCGTTTAAGCAAACCCACCCACAAAAGCAAAAGCAGAAGACCCATACCTCATACCCGCCCACCCAAGAACCCCCAAAACAGGAACAACAACCGCACTCATCCGCATCGCCGCCGCAATAAGCTTTGGCTGCAAAAACTCCTGAACCATCGCCTGGAACTTCTCGGGTTCATTTCGGTCGGGATATTCCACCTTTGGCACATCGACACCGAGGAACGGACATATTTTTGTCCAGTCGAGTCCATCTTCCAGTCGGATGATGCAAATTTGGTCGGTGGGGACGGTTTCTTTGACCATTTTGATGCTGGGAATCCGTGTTAGTCTCCTCCGGTGTAGAATATCGGCTGTGGTGTGACTTACTAGTCCACGTAAAGCTTCCTCAACATCCGCTCATTATCCTTATCCCCGGGCGCCGTACTCCCCGCAAGAGCGCGGTAAATCGTGACGTTCAGCGAGAGAAAACTCGAGACGTACGGGTCGAAGTACTTCAATACCGAGAATGGGAGTTTTTTCTCCATGTTCACCACGTGTCCGGCTGTATTGTTTACCGACCGCGCCCACTTGTCCGGATCGCGTTCTGTGAGGATGAATTTGACATCGGGATCGGCGGCGTAGGCTTCTATGATGTCTTTTCCGATAAAACTGGCGACTTCGACGATGCACTGTTTTTCTAAAAGCTTAGTCCGGAACGTGCAACGAGAGGGAGGGGAAAACACGTACGTCGTAGTCACCAAGCCACCGATCAAAATCAGCCCGCTCATACTTCTGGAGCCCGGACAGCCGATTATGTTGCGAGATAATCGCCTCTTCCAACGTTCGCATGTGTGCGACTCCGTTCACGGCGCAGCATTCGTACATGTGGTAAGCCTTGTAGCCCAGGATTTGCATCGCGCGGTACAGGCCTAGTGTACCTGTTCTATACACTCGAGTATTAGTATTGAGATTGAGATCGAAATACCTGCCCCCAGTCTGTTCGAAAACGATGGACTTCTGAAACGTACCGACTCGCACTCGCAACAATAACTTTCATCTTCTTCACCTCCGCCGGCGCGGGCAATTGATCAACTTGTCGCGGCATGATGCTATCAACCTCTCTGGATACTATGGGATGAGAATAAGGTAAAACAAGCAAATGGCGCAATCTGGGACTAAAACACGCAGTGCGATCGCCCCTTTTAAAGCGACACCCTGTACGGCTGCACTGATCAGGCCTCACCCCAGCCAGAGGTGGGCCTTTGAAGTTTAAGCTGCCAGCTAATCGGACGCCTAGCTAATCGGACGCCTAGCTAATCGGACGCCTAATTCTGGTTCAGCCTCACCCACAATTGACTAGTATTAATTAAGTTTAGCCAGGGTACCAGCAAGATCCTTGCATTACATTTTCCTAATTAGGTCGCACCCAGAACATCTGTAACCCGTTTGGGCGTAATGTCATTTTCAGTCGATACGAAGCGTGGCTTGTTTTTATGTGGCAATCGTCCAATCAGAGTGCTGCGTGCGAATCTTCAGGCTTTATGTTTACTGGAAGCTTACAGTCGCTATTGCTCTTCGGGATTCATACTTTTTGTGGTGCGGCTTCTCAAGAACACTATTGGTAGGATTTTGGTGGCTGAGGTGGCTTTGGGAGCGAAGGGTTTAGGGCACTTCCTCATTTTGGTGGTGATTTAGGGGCTGATTGACGTGGTTTGTAATCTTGTTGCACTGATTCGAAATGTGGGATTAAGAGATGTAATTTTGTCAGTTGCTCTTCAGACCTGGATTTCAGGAGTTGGGCGCACCATACACTGTAAAAACCGAGGGTCTGGCGATGATCAAGCTTGAAGGAGGCTCGGCGGTCAATGCTGCCTGAGGCTCCAAAATGCAGTTGGAAGGCGGTGGAACCGCATATGTGATGGCAACCAGTGGATGTAGATGAACAAGTCTGATTTCGAGTACAACCCCTGAGCTAACAATTTGTAAGGGGTAAAACAAATTACTAATTTATGATGTTTATCCAGAACCACCCACTAATATCCTGTTGAAGTTGAGGATGCCCTGGTAGTGATATTCAGGGGGTGGCGATCAGGTTATATTGTTGATCATGTGACCCATGAGTCGAATTGGCCACCGACTAATGCCTAAAGTGGACATCTAGTGCGGCGACAAGGTTGGTCACATAGAAAGCGATTCTAATGATCATTGACAGGAAGTAGGTTGAATCTCTATTTGTGCTTGGAGGCAATGAACGTCCTAACTAGCTCGAACTTACTGGCAGGGCATCAAATATATGCTGAGCTGAAGCGTCTGAGCGTTTTCCGTCTTACGGCATCAGCATCAATAGCCAGTCCCTCATCGTTTTCTCATTAACTCTCAGCGGTCAGCCCGAGTTATCCATCAAGTCGCCTGCTGACTGATATACCACCCTTACCCCTCATTGGGAATTGTCGCCACGGGTGACATCGTCGGGAGGCAATTGCGCTGAAATTAAGACGATTTAATGTTGCAACATCCAGAATCGCTCGAAGGCTTTGAACGAGGGAAGAGATTCTCGACGGTCGGGGCAGAGTGTTCGTGTCCGCTCAGCTAGCTAGTCATTAGCCTTTGCAAGGTCGCCGCCATTTCCGAGCTGCATGGCCAAGGCATCGTGTCAAGTTCAACTTGAATGCACGCAAAGCCCTTATACTCCCAGGGGCAGCTCTTCCACCGCGCCCAGAAGTTTTGGCTTTCGACCATGCACACAGTGCGGCGTGGAATACAATAACAGGCATCCATCTAGGACATAGAGTGTCCGAAGAACTGGATGTTCCCAAGAATGCTGACGTAGAACATCTTACAGCTACCAAACACTCCCACGAAGACCATCGTGTTACTTCACAGTATTCTGCTTGATGCATTGAGCCTTGATACGTTTGCCATCTCGGCAGCACGTCCCGACGCGTCCTTCATGAGGCAAGATGTCGTGATGCTTCAAACTTATTGATAGGCTCTATATCTAGGTATTTGTGAAGCTCAATATACACAATGCTGGTTTTCGTTCCTGTTCCCTGAACGATATGGTACCCCTTCTACAATCGTTACAATAAAGGATATGTTATGGGGGAAGTCACACTGCGAAGAGCGATTTTGCCCTGCATGTCCACCCACAGTCGACAGTAGCTGAACGATTATCTTTGTGCTGGTAGATGTGAGACGGTATTGAATAGAAACATCTGATTTAACTAATCTAGGTACCCTAGTACATTCGACATAGACCTTAAATGACACTCGGTACCGAGGCTGCCGTAGTCTCTCCTTCCATGATCCAACTCTGCAAGGATACCTTCCAACCTCCAATATTCGCTCATAATTCCCTCACAGCAAGAAATCATTTCTGAAAGAATAAGACAGTTGCTTTAGACAAGAAGTGCCGCCTGATGAAAGAAGAAGAAAAAGTAAATTCGGCTCGGCGGTTTTGCGTCAATGAGGTATGACGGGTAGGTTCACGGGACTTTCAGCTGTGAGTGCCGCAGATGAACTTGCTCCAGGTTCCAGGGGTGGCAGACGGGAGGTTGAGATTGCCGAGCTAATACGTGAACTTTAAGCGGACGATGTTCTGCTGTTGCCACTGCTCCAGACCTCATCCCCAATTGGCGTGTCGGCAATGTCCGATTTGACTGTATCCAGGGAGTCCGTCCAGAGGTTGAGACCATTGAATAAAGTCATATTGTTATCGTAGAGGCCCGGAATCTTGTAAGTAACACTTGGAGAGCCACTGCCGGAGCCGGAGACTTTGACCTGGGCGCAACTGTATAGCCTGGTCAGATCATATGTGTTACAATAGTTATAGTATCACCTACCTATAAAAGAACTCAGCCTCATTGTTCTGCGCACCATGGAGACCGACATGTTCAGCACGAACGAGGTACTCGCCGGCTGGGGTATTCTCAGGAATCTGGAATTCGAATTGCGACATTCCGTACGCACACCAAGCATCCGAAGTGAGATCGCCGCTTTCCTCACAAATAGTCGTTTCCCAGATCTTGAACCAGTCACCATCCCCCTCGTACTCCTTCACATTGCCGGTAGTTGCCTTAGACATGTCTGCAAAACCAGATAGTCAGCTTCTAGGGTATAAATAAAAAGAAGAATTTGCACATACAGACTTGACCAGGTCCAGGGTGCGCAATGGTACCATCGTAGAATAGCTTCATGCCAATAGTGTCACCAGCAGCGACATCAGCGACCTCGGTCTTGGCGGCATTACTAAAAGAGCCCAAATTGCAACGAAAGTCGGTATCGCTAGGAGTCAGATTGTCGAAAGTGGAACTCCACTTCGTGGGCATGTAGCACTTGTCCCGAGTGGTCTCGCGGATGTACTGCCAATCCTCAGAAACTTCATTGTCCAGAACGAGTTTGCTGAAGATATAGTGCGCCGAAACCGAGTGCAACAGTGCACCGGTGATAGTAAGAAAGGAAGCGAAACTCTTCATGTTGATAAAGAAGGAAGGTTTTAGCGTAACAAGCAATAAAAATGAAAGAGTTACTGCCAGCAGAACTTGGAAAATAGGACGAAAGAACGTGGTGTTTTCGAAAGGAGGTTTGGACTGTGGATACTTCTGGACATTTATGCCCATGTCAAGAGTGCATCTTGGATTGTCTCTCCAGCGAGAATTCCGATTCTCTGAAAACTCCTTGAAACAAAGTTGATTGATGTGGCTCCGAGTGGGGCCATATTGTCCAGCTTTGCAGGGGGGTATTAGCAACGCCAAGATCGCGATGTTTCATGGCTTGTTTTGAATATCAAACGCTTTTCAATGTATCACAAGCATTTTGCAGGGAATTATTGTCAACGCAACACGGAAGCAATAAATTGAACGGTGGTTTGAGACTCCCTACCGCTTGCGAGAATGACTCGAACTCAGCTGGCTTTTTTTGGGTGATTTTGCAACAATTCTAGAATTGAGCTTGAGGGAGAAAGAGGTCCTGAAAAGAAGGAAAAGCTCGGTGGGTTTCACATTAATGTTGGCCCTGATCAATTCTGGCCCATGGTGGCTTCGTTATGTTGGACGGCTCTTTTACGGTTTCTGGAGAGTGGACTCTGTTTTATTTTTGGATGGACTTTATTCTTAGTCTCAGACTGGTATATTTAGTTCAATTCACCAAGGGAAACTAATTGGCATGGCCGTCAGTCTAGATTCATGGCCTTTTGCTGCCCGATTTTATTTGCGATTTTTGCCTCAAGTACAAACTGTTCAGTGAGCGACCTAAGAAGCAAGTACCTTGAACCGCAAAGCTCACCAATTATCTCCGATTCGGTTATTTCGAGTCGCAGTAAAAGTTCATATCAAAGCAGCATGTCACTGAACTCAAAACGCGCTATCATGTTCGGCAAGTTGGGGTTCATTTATGTGGGTTTTCGGCGACGAGGGGGTGTGGAATTGTGGAGACCCTGCATTGATAGGAGTTTCATCGTTTCTGCGCGCCAGTTTTTGACCCTCAGCACACCCATGTTCCTCCCTCGATCTTTACCTTTCGTCTTTTTTCTCGATGTTGCGGTTATGGGGTCCGGGTGACGAGCCAAACGGGTCATTCGGCCACTAGCAACTATGGGCTCAACTAGAGGCTCCTTTCAATGCCCACAATGCCCCGAAATTAGTCTCGTATTGATCATCTATCTCGACACGCCTGCTCACGTGAGTCCCATCAAGGCCTTCTGGCTCATTACTTGACATCGACGATGCTTATTACCTGATGCTGGCCTTTCTGATGTTAACAGACTTACGGGTAAAGTCGTATGAATGTTCAAACTGTCAGCGAGGATTTAGGAATCAGTGCTTCCACACTCCCGCTCTCTTGGCTTTGCGCCCCAAATTAAGCTCCCATTCTGCATTCCCAACAAAAATTCCGTGCTCTTGTTCACTTCTCTGAAATCAAGAGCATCCTCATATTCCGATGTAAAGGTGGAGATATTAGTCTCATAACCTTGCTCCTGGACTGTGTCCCTAGCTCTAGAACCACGCATCATCTCAATGAATCGTAATCTCCATTCGACTCCACTCCCAGCCCTTTGCATCACTAGGTCCATCGCCGTTGCTCCATCCATACGCTTCTGCTCCGCATCAACATCGCCAAGCGGAATCCCAGCAAGCACTTCAAGGGCCTCTAGACCACTGTAAATGGCCAGATAGTGCCAGATGGTAGCATGGTCTTTGTCTGGGGCAGAGTAATCTGCACACCAAGCCTACAGCGCTGTAAACTATCTATGACCACTTGTCTTTTCAAAAGCTGATTTGGTGATAGGCCAAGTTTGCCCCTTCCAAAAGCGAATTCCGGCCACAACGAACTGGAAGGACCCCACACGCCTACGCAAGCTCAATGTCCCTCAATGGAATAGACGAATCAAGTCAAGCTCAAGGCAGGGTGTACCCCTATTAAAGGAGAAAGAGGCATATCGAGTATTCAAGACTGATAATATTGGAATGGCGTGACAAAGAATAGACGGGGTTCAATGGCGCCATTCTCTGCTATAGGGTATGCATTTCCAGAATCGGTCGGTTCTTCGCGGAAGCTCTCAGTTTTATACCCTGCCTACCCCACTTGTTTCATAACTCCTTGTGATGGAAAGTCATCTTGTGAACATTTAAATTCACTCTCACGCCCCAATAAATTGTCAACCGCAAAAGAAAGACGACCTTCCGTCTTTGCTTGTCATTAAGCTGACAACCTTGCAGCGCCTAAATGCAAATCGCACAAAGTGATCGTACGGTGAGTAAAGAGTGTCTTCAACTGTGACTAGGCTCTAACATAACGAGGCTTCCCGTCTAGATGATGACATTCTACGGGGGCCTGCCGAGATAGCTGTCAAAGAATTATTACATCTGAGAGCCCAGACTCCATGTCTCGCTAGTCTTCACCAAGGTTCTCTCAGTCAAGATGCTAGAACAATTCTCGGCAAGTGCCAGAGTGTACAGAGCGTGTTACAACAACCACCGATAAACACCGTGCTAGACGGTTACGCTCTTCACCATTACACCTTGCTTGTGGAGAGGTATTAGAGAGAAATCGTGCAAAGTGTCAGTTATAACACTCGTTTCAAGTTGTCCCTTATCGTTTCGCATTTCAATGCCCCGCCTTGCAACTCTTCCCAAGGGCATGTCGAATTGCATTTCGATGTCTCGTCTTATAAATCTCCCCAAAGGCTCCTCTCGTTCCTCCAAAGCCCAATCAGGAAGACGGTGTGGGTAACACTTCATGCCAGGTACCAGGATTATATTCGTCACCATGTCCTGTATGATGATTTCATACACTCTTTTGATTTTTTGCTATCATCTCAGCTGCCCTGTTTGCAACAGGCCGGAAAGCATCCGAATAGTCAACCAGAGTTTGGGACTAGCCGATACTTGCCACAGCCTCCTCAAACTCTAGCGAAAAAGAGGATACGATCCGACCCATCTTTACTACAGAGCTATTCCATAACGCCAGTCTATTCGAGCTTTTCAACTTCCCACCGCCTACAAACTTTAAGGACGGACATACACAGACAACCTTAACAACTGTGGTCGATCATATCCAGTTCACCATAGACAGAGCCTTGGCGCTCCAGTAGCGGGCAAGATAGGTGCCGCGTTAAGGTCAACCCACAGTCACAGTCAACCAGTCCACTACCGGAATTGCATATGTCTGTATCGTATGCCGCAACACAGAGCAATCCATCTACAGGAACAACATCGCACCATTCTTTGCCTTATCAGGATACTTCGTGTCAGGAACCCGGCGAAAGTGGAACTCGGCCATATCCTCCCACTCTGCTTCCACACCGGGGCGTCGCACCGTTCAAGTGTCGCGAAAAGAAGAGGCCTTTATATGACAAGTGCTAGGAATCCTGGAATGCCTGTTCGAGTGCACCTTGTCGCCTCGGCCCTCGGATTCATTATTGGTTAAATGAGTGATCTAGCCAGTGAACAGTGAAAGAGTCCATTTAAACTATCTGGGCTAGCTAGAGAGAAGGAAGGAAGAGAAGAAGGCCGAGTGGGTGGAGAAGTGAGTGGAGTGGGCGGTGGTGGGACCCACCGCCCTGGACACACCACTGCCTACCATTTTCTCAAGCAATTATTAATGGATATAGATGTTAAATTGAACTTCTCTTATGATACCCTCTGGTACTTCTGGTCTCGAAAGGCAACACTGAAGATCTCCTGCCATGACCTATCGCCATTTCTGTTTCCATCTAAGCACCCCTTCATCAAGCGCAGGGGATGAATTATTGTGACCGTCCAGCTCCTCGATATAAAACCAGATATAATGAGCTTGAAAGATCACATGTATTGAAACAAAACTAAAAAATACCATAATTTAAAGAAAATGCCAGAAAAAAACAAAGACAAGAGCACAAACACATATTGCCGGGCCAAACATGGCCTGTGGCAAAATAGGAACCTGTTCTGCCACCGGAGAGAACACCAAATCATTTGATAGCTTTGTCTCAGTTTCATTGATGCATGGCGCAGAATACTCATGCATAAGATTGCTCAAAAAGTGGCCCAATCGCTCAGTCACTGATCCAGAATGCAACCCAGTATCAAGCACGTCGGACACTTCGAAGGTTTCATGCTTTTGATTTGGGTGCAATGGACTGTGGTAGGGGTACCTCCGGACGCAGGATGAGCATAGATCGACACAGGCACATTTCCGGCAGACAGAAAGGGGACCAGATATCCACTGATCACACCTTGTGCAGGCAATTTTGAATATGTCAGTTTGAGGTACTGTCTTCTGAGACAAATGGAGCTGAAATAGGTAGTTCGCGTTGTCTTCATCATCAAGAAACAAAAGATAGCGACCTAATTGCCGCACAAGAGGCCATTCAAAGTTTGGTATAGATCGGAGAAGTGTCTCTGACATATGAAGAACTGATTGACGGAGAGTCGTGTACTGAGCGTGTTTGGGCGTCAAAAGTGTCTGAGCGCAATGGGGTTGAATTTTGTGCATCAGTATCCGGTGTTCTTGTACCCAGTCCACGATGTTTCTGCCATAGCCGTCCAGAATAGAAGGATCTGCACCAAATTCGAGCAGTGTGACAGCAGATGTGACGTGCCCTCTGTAAATGGCTACATGGAGAGCGGTTCGTAAAAGCTTATCCCGGTTGTTTATAAGTGAGGCGAGAAGCGGAAACCTAGGTAGGATGTGTATCACATTGCTTGAGGCAGCAGTATGGAGGGGTGTCTGTCCAAGATAATTTGGAAGTAAAGGATCGGCACCTGCGGTAAGAAGAAGGGGGATCTGATTAGAATGACCCTTATAAAGAGCCGCATGCAGAGCACTACCAAATCTACCACCCTGGGCATTGACATCGGCGTGAGCATCGAGCAGTATTTGCACTATGTCAGTGCTTCCTTTATAGGCGGCAGCCTGTAGGGAATTGCCAAATCTACCACCATGGGCATTGACATCGGCGTGAGCATCGAGCAGTATTTGCACTATGTCAGTTCTCTCTCTGACAGCGGCAGCCTGTAGGGCATTGCCATATTCACCACCCTGGGCATTGACATTGGCATGAGCATCAAGCAGTATTTGCACTATGTCAGTTCTCTCTCTGACAGCGGCAGCCTGTAGGGCATTGCCATATTCACCACCCTGGGCATTGACATTGGCATGAGCATCAAGCAGTATTCGCACTGTCTCAGTGTTTCCTTCATAGGCGGCAGCTTGTAGGGCATTGCCATATTCACCACCCTGGGCATTGACATTGGCATGAGCATCAAGCAGTATTCGCACTGTCTCAGTGCTTCCTTTATAGGCGGCAGCCTGTAGGGAATTGCCAAATACACCGCCCTGGGCATTGACATCGGCGTGAGCATCGAGCAGTATTTGCACTATGTCAGTTCTCTCTCTGACAGCGGCAGCCTGTAGGGAATTGCCATATTCACCACCCTGGGCATTGACATCGGCGTGAGCATCAAGCAGTATTCGCACTGTCTCAGTGCTTCCTTTATAGGCGGCAGCTTGTAGGGCATTGCCATATTCACCACCCTGGGCATTGACATTGGCATGAGCATCAAGCAGTATTCGCACTGTCTCAGTGCTTCCTTTATAGGCGGCAGCCTGTAGGGAATTGCCAAATCTACCACCATGGGCATTGACATCGACGTGAGCATCGAGCAGTAATTGAACTATCTCAGTGCTTCCACTGATGGTAGCGGCCTGTAGGGCATTGCCATATTCACCACCCTGGGCATTGACATCGGCGTGAGCATCGAGCAGTATTCGCACTATCTCGATGCTTCCACTGAAGGCAGCGGCCTGTAGGGCATTGCCAAATACACCACCCTGGGCATTGACATCGGCGTGAGCATCGAGCAATATTCGCACTGTCTTAGTGCTTTCTCCGAAGGCAGCGGCCTGTAGGGAATTGCCATATTCACCACCCTGGGCATTGACATCGGCGTGAGCATCGAGCAGTATTCGCACTATCTCGATGCTTCCACTGAAGGCAGCGGCCTGTAGGGAATTGCCATATTCACCACCCTGGGCATTGACATCGGCGTGAGCATCGAGCAGTATTCGCACTGTCTCAGTGTTTCCTTTATAGGCGGCAGCTTGTAGGGCATTGCCATATTCACCACCCTGGGCATTGACATTGGCATGAGCATCAAGCAGTATTCGCACTGTCTCAGTGCTTCCTTTATAGGCGGCAGCCTGTAGGGCATTGCCAAATCTACCACCCTGGGCATTGACATCGGCGTGAGCATCGAGCAGTATTTGCACTATGTCAGTGCTTCCTTTATAGGCGGCAGCCTGTAGGGAATTGCCATATTCACCACCCTGGGCATTGACATCGGCGTGATCATCGAGCAGTATTCGCACTGTCTCAGTGCTTCCTTTATAGGCGGCAGCCTGTAGGGCGTTGCCAAATACACCGCCCTGGGCATTGACATCGGCGTGAGCATCGAGCAGTATTCGCACTGTCTCAGTGCTCCCTCCGATGGCGGCGGCCTGCAATGCGTCTCCTCCTATAGCAGATACTCCAACCATAGCTCCCTCGCGCAGGATCCAGTCGATGAATTCCAGATGCCCACGACTAGCTGCCTCAATCAATGGTGTTATCCCATATTCATTTTTTGCGTCGCAGTCTGCGCCTCTTCCTCGGAGAATTTTGCCTGCTGTTATATGGCCCCGTCGTGCTGCTAGATGTAGAGGCGTGTTCCCGCTTTCGTCTTTCGTCTCAACATTATCATTTCCTTCTAACACAAACTCTATGACATCAATCAGGCCTGATGCTGCAGCCATATGTAGGAGAGTTGTGCCGTGTTCAGGACATTCGGTGTTGTGCCAATCTAAAATACCGTAAATCTGGACCCAAGGACCAATCACTTGCTGCAGGACATCCTTTTCATTGTTTAATACACCCGACCGAGAGCTGGCAGCCTTTCCCGCATGGATGAAGAGGTTGATGGTAGCATAGGCCAGTAGTGGGTGATCCTTGATGATGTCACTTTTTCTTGAAGGATTATTTGACATTCTCCAAGCCGTCTTTGCAGTGGCTAGGTAAACTAGGCATGATCGGTAGAGATTTGCCTGGCATCGAAATAGAATCTGTTCACTTTCAATTGATGAGGTGGCACCGATTTGATAAGACATATGTCGAAATCCTTTAGTGCGGAAAAAGTCATTGACAGACTGATGCACCACCTGTATAGTCTCAGGGCCATCCCCGCTTAACACTAGCTCAGTAAGTCCACCAGAAAGAGCATTGATTCTTCGCTTCATATAGTCGTCGCTTTTGACAAATCCGAGGATATTCTCCCATGCTTTAGGGTGTGGCGATATCTGGGCATTCTCAGCCGCAAGAGCATAGCGCATTTCCGTCACAGTTAGGGGTCGTTCAGCTAAACACACCCACTGGAACAACAGGAATGACTGCGCCCGATTCCTTTCCTGTATCACATTGTTGAGAATGTACACATACACCTCTTCTAGGTCGGCTGGAACCTCACGCAACCAGGAATGAATGTCGTTAAACGATTCGCCTTCAGTGATCCTGCGCCTAACGAGGGGCATTAAGAGATGAATCCATTGGAACACACCCTTAGATTGACAAATCAAGTCCTCTACCACAACTTCTCTTTTCTCTCGATCAAGACTGTCTCTGGCCACCAGGCCAGCAAGGGCGTCCTTGACGTAAATAGCGATATCATCATGGTTATGTTTTTCAACATGTATCTCAACAGCCCGGGCATCTTCCATGATAGGGTAGTGTCGACATGAGATACAAATCTGAACGGCTGCTTCCATTTCTCCTGCAAGGGTGACAATCTGATGAAAATATCCTGCTAGATACTGAGCGGACTCGGATCCCGCCTCATCGAGAGCATCCACAAAAACCATCACCTGCTGCCGTTTGGCCGATAGCAGGATCATATTTGCCAGTATCTGCTCTAGCGTGACCCGTGACCATTGCCAGTTATTTTCACTATATCCATACCGCCTGCATCGCTCCTCGTAGATCTCCCGAACTTGAGGACGCACGGTCTCATCATGGTAGAATATTTGATTGACTAGCGATCGGAGCATTCCGAGGGGTGTGCGTTGTAGCTCAGTGCCTCGAGCGCTAAAGAAAAAGTCGAGCCGGATGCCTTGACTCCCGTCATGCGATTCCTTGAGTTCGTCATGCAGGAATGCCATTAATGTCGATTTCCCCGCACCTGGTTTGCCTTTAATCCAGAGCATACCGCGAGGCTGGCTCTTCCAGTCCTTGAAAGCATCTAAGTCCAGAATCCACTGGCAGGTATTGGTATGGCATGGCTCGATATTGTCTCTTCGATCTAGCATCTGCGGGAAAGCAAGTGACCTGAGCACACCTGCGACTTAAATTAGCGATAGCCCCTTTGGATGCGACAGGGCGAGACCAACCGCTGTCTGTACTCTGCTGGTGGGTTTCCTGTCGGCCCGGGCCTGGGTCCCGCTGTCAGTGGATTTCACTTCGCTTCGAAAGGGTAGCATGACACATACCGTGTTGGAGATTGATTTGTCCGTAATTGATGCCAACCTGAGGGCCCTTATTCCCGTCCCCAAAGGATATCGAGCCCATGGTCAGAAGAACGTGCACGTCATGTGCTGTTATCGGCAGAGCGCAAATTCCAACTCCCAGAAAATGGAGGCCCAACCCAGCCCCCACTCAGGTGACGATCAGCCGCAGTCTTGGCACGGACTCATGGTTTTGGGGGGCCAACAAGGCACCCTACAAGCATCTTCCGCAAAACACGTTACCTTACACGCCCGTGCCAGGTCATGAGCTGCCGACCATATAAGTGTGTGGGATTTGACACCCAGATGAATCGACATCCCCGCCTTCATCACAAGGGCCCGGGCCAGGCTGAGGCGCAGTTCTTTCCACAAGATGTCCTCTCGTATATCCAGCGAATTCCCCGGTACGTCCGATCAGCGGAAGGCCTGGCGCTCTCATCGTGGCAAATCGCCGTGTCGCTCAGACGAAGGCTCCATCGCAACTAGGAGCACTACCGGCTTCAGCACGGATGGAGAGTCCACCCCACATCTGAACGGTCGACCGCCGTCGTTCCGTGGACCCCTGTACGAAGCTAGTAGTTCATACCTTCCGGGTTCAGCTCTCAGCGATTCGCTGTTTCACCTCCCCATCTGACGAGAGTGGCATGCACCATCTCCCTACGAGATCGCCCACCCCACCCTCGAGCCAGCCAGTTGCGTCTAGAGTTTCTCCGGCCGACCCTGAGCTCCAGGATAGCGCCGCCCGTCGACATCTCCTACTCGGTTATGATCACACGGCCATCGTCACCAGCCCCAGCCTCAAGGCGCCAGGCTCTGCACTTTTTATGTGAGTACTGGAGAATCTAAGCTCGCTGCCTAACGAGTCGATTTGTATGAGACTGGTTATGTTTCTCTCGAGCGATTCGCCTAATATCGCCGGGTCCTGAAGTATGCAAAGAACTAGTCATAGCAGAGGAATAAGCCTTTATCTCTACGCAAACACCCACAAGCTGACTGATCACCTTCCCTTCCTGCTTTGCTTGGGAGTTGCAAGTGACTAGCGTAAGGATCTTCTAGGCAGCTTCTCCATGAGGACATATCCAACACCAAAAGTGTTCTTTTCCCAGCCTTTCGTTGAAGCCTGAGCAGCCTTCACCCATTCCCACAAACCCTCGATTTAAAGAAGAGGTCTTACTGTCTACCGAATGGCAGATCAACCGGTCAACGGCGTCGGCTGCGGCAACTGGTGTATCGGACTGCGTTTCGTGGGATGGTCGGCCGACGCGGATACAATGAGGACCGGACCCGGACCGGACCCTTGCGTGAATAACCGCTGGTATGGAACTTGGCGATGATTGTGAGTGACGAAGTGGCGAATCTCTTGCTGCCGGACTGGCTTGGGGCGCTCGCGATGATTGACTAAAGAAAACCCGTGCTCCTCGTGCCAATGATTTTTTTACCCCCTTTATCAATCGGCATATATATTCTTCGCATATCGAACATAATAACCCGTCGTCATAAACAGGTATATCGGAGATGTGGTCGCCGATTGCTATGAGCGATATTGGGTGGCTCTTCTATATGATCCCACTGCTGGACCATCGTTTGGATATTCTGGGCATAAGAACGGCGCAAATGGTGATCAGTGCTGATTTAATGATTTCAAATTTGGTCCCTCCGGACGGCACTTGCATTGATGACAAATGGCAACCCGAAGCTCAACATTGACAACATATATATCATGGGCTGCGGGACAATCGGGCATATTGGATGTGGACATGTATTGTGAAAGATCGTGGTATATGATCTGGTACTGGCCAGGGCTCACCTATGTATGACGTGGCCGACTGGATGTAAATATAATAAAACTGCTGAGAGTATTTGATGGGAGCCAACCTCACCCTGAAATTTCCCTGGAAAATATAAATACCCGTGTGGGTTAGGAGACACTATATTATCTGAGAACGTATCTCCGCCCAACTGAAGCCCTTCAAGAGACGAGCGCCCGAGATCAATAGCTTTAGAAAGACTACCTATTATACTAGCCTCGCTACACACCAATAGGCTAAGATACCAGCCTACAATCACACAAGAAACCAGAGAATGTAATAATATTAATAGCCCTTAAAGAACAAAAAAAAAGCAGAAACACAAAAACAGGAAAACTGGTAAGAAGAAAAGTCACACCCATTCACCACCACGAAATCACCATGAATATTTCGTGTATTTGTTCAGTCAACCAACTTTTCGACTAGAGAAGGCTCAGGGATTTCGCCAGCATTTGACGAGATATACCGACGCTCGTGGCGGTTCCCAAGCGTGCATTGGAAATATGATCATGCCATTGGCAATTAGCGCATGCACCTTTGAAGGTGTCAGGAAGGCGTACAGCGACGGGACGCGTTTTTTGATGGGGTTGACCGCTCGGTGGTAGTTGACCGCTCGGTAGTGGATTAAATCACGTTAGGTTATCCAGTCACATATTCTTCTCCCTTCAACCCTTCGCCCTGACAGTCCGTTCCCCATGGCAGATCCCCTGCGGTGCTGACTGAAGTTTTTTTGTCGCTCGATTATGTGCTAAATTTTGAAAAGCAATGGAGGAAACAATCGCTCAACTACGACGTCAGCTCGACGAAGAGAGACAGGCGCGTGAAGCAGAGGCCAAAGCGCGAGAGGAGGCAGAGCATCGCGAGGAGGAGGCAAAGCAAGCGCGTGAAGCAGAGACCAAAGCGCGAGTGGAAGCCGAACAGCGACTGCAGCCCAATACATTATTCAGCCTTCTCGATCGCTGCCATCGTTCTTTGTCTCAAGCGATACGCGTTGAGTCTAATGCGGCCCTCACGACCCAGGGCGATGCGACCGACCCAGTCAATCGGCTTTACCCAAAACGCATTGTCCCCTGGCTTGACTTCCCACAATTCCAAGAGCAAATCTGGCAAAAGTTTGATCGCATGGCCGCCTTTACCTCGCACCCCCTTTTCCTATCTGATACTCAAATAGATGTTTTCGTTCAGAGAATCCAGAACTGGCCGATTTATTCGGAAGCGTCCCTTCGAAATTTTGAGCGAGACACAGTGGATTATTTTGTCGAAATGGTTATTGAGGCGTTGCGAGATAATGGACATCTTCGTCACGAGTTCGGAATCCGGGGGCGAGTTGCTTTCTACGACCGTGTGAGCCCGTCGAAATCTTCACAGGAGAACAGCATAGAGCAAATGAATCTCCAGGACATGCGGACACCCCAACACCCAGTGAACACTAGGTATGGAAGTGGCAGAGGAAGAAGGAGACAGAAGAGGACTAGCACTGCACGAAGACGCAATCGCCGCGCCGACCAGTTCTGTGTGCACCTTATAACTAATGACCAATATATACCAGCGTATGCAGTGGAGTTCAAAGCACCGCACAAGTTGACAATCCCTGAATTGGTAGCGGGTCTACACCAGATGGACCTAGCTCGCGACGTCATTAATAAGGATGGTGACACATTTGAATTTTATACCACCCGACTCGTTGCTGCCGTGGTCACTCAGATATTCTCATATATGATCGTCAGTGGAATTCGATACGGCTACATCTGCACAGGGGAGGCTTTTGTTTTCCTCCATATCCCAAAGGATGATCCCACAATTGTTCAATATTTCTTGTCTATCCCGAATCAGGACGTGCAGGCAGATGATAAATGGTGTCTCCACAGGACTGCTATTGGACAGGTGCTTGCGTTCACCCTTCAAGCACTAGTTGCTGAAGGTCCGTCTCAAGAGTGGCACGATACGGCACACAATAATCTGTCGACCTGGGAGGTCGAATATCTAGATGTGTTGAGAGAAATTCCTGAAACTCTCCGTAAAGACCCACCGGCCTCAAACTATCGGCCCTCGCGCTGGAAACAAGATTTGAAAATACACAACACACGCTCTCGCGCCCATTGTCAACCTAGCACATCTACACCGAAGCCCTCGTTGACGGAAGGCAGCAGTAGTGAGGAGGGATCCTCCTCACCATCTATCGCAGCAGTATCAAGCAGCCGATCGAGCCGCAGCCAGGGCAATATACATCAATCAACTAGGGGAAGCAAAAGGAAACAAGCTGGCCGGGACAACAAACAGACTTCTCGAAAAGACAGGCAATCTACACGACCATACTGCACTATTTCCTGTATCCGCGGGATAGTCAACCGAGATCCTCTGGATATGAAATGCCCTAACTGGAAATTCCACGGTCACCAAGGTCACTCTATAGGGCCACAGGAGTTCACACGCCAGCTTCATCATCAAATTACCCAAGATCGAAATCTTGGGTTCGAGCAGCTGCATATCTGTGGTCGGACAGGATACCTCATAAAAGCCACTCTCCTATCACACGGATATACCGTGATTATTAAAGCAACAACGGTGGAAAAGCAGCATCGCCTTCAAGTTGAAGTGGAAAATTACCAGCGCCTCAGGAGCTTACAGGGTCGGCAAATCCCCGTCTATCTTGGAGAGTTTAAGCCTCGCATTGCATATTGGTACCACGGCAAGTTAATGGCCCAGATGATGATCCTTAGCTACTCTGGAATGCGGCTTCAGCATACTGTTAATGATCGGAATTCCATCTTCCTTCGCCAGGAGCGCGAGAAAGCTCTGGCTGTGCTCCGATCGCACGGAGTTGTCCACAATGATAGTGAGTGGCGCAATATGTTGTGGGATGACCTCAGTCGCCAGTTAGTGGTCATTGATTTAGAGGACGTGAAATGGTTGAAAGGCCGCCAGTTCCTAAAACCAATATCCGGCGTGCGCAATACATCGGTGCTAGGAGAGCAGGCAAATACTCTTGTCTAGCTTAAGAGTTGCCTGCACATAAGAGAAGTTTTGACCTACACACCACCATGTTAGTCGACTTCATTGATATCTGTACTATCGGATCACGGGATGAGAAGAAGTATGTTTACAGTTTTCGCTAAGTTATCACATTATGCATGATATTTATGCGTTCCTGCAACTCGCACTCCGTACACCGAACTGGTTTGTTGGTATGATGAGCACCCTACCTTCTTGAGATGATATTAACCTTGTGTCGACGTCCGGTCATAGGGAATATCGGGCTGCGTTGGGCTGCAGACAGGAGGTGAAGATCGTATTGTCTTCATAATATTCAAGATCCCGATCATCCAGAAAGCGTACCACATCAAATTGTTTCGCGATCTTGAATATGCGCTTGAGCTCTTGTCCAATACATACGGGCTCTGTGGTCAACAATACGCTCGTCCGCGGAGATCTAGCTTCCCCTAGCACGAGCATTTGGCTGGACAGATCACTAGGTATTTGCCTTACTAGCTAATAAAAGTTGCAGGTTGAAAAATGTGCTCAGATCAAGAAGTGGAAGTATCTCGCTCCAGAGCGCGGATGCTAGGTTGGCCATACTAGTCAGCTTGAAGGAATAGTCCACGCTGAATTTCATCTTTCTCGTCTCCATGGACCTGCTCCTGAAGTTGCTCCGCCTCTTCCCAGCGGCCGCATAGTGAGTTTGCATCTGCCAACATCGCAGTACTCGCAAAGTCTTCTACTCGGCGTCTAGTAAGTTCACTCTGTTTTTGATCTCGATGCCATGTTCCATCTACGATATTCCTTTTGAATGTAATACCATGCACCCCAATAAAGTAGTGTGACCCATTTTAGAAGATAATCTTCTGATTCTGGCCTTTGAAACATCGCTGACAAAACATAAGGAAAGAGCAAGCGGCACTTCCCCCATTCTTCATACCGACCTGTGGGAAACTCTTCGAACAGACAATTTCTTGATGAGAGAGATGCAAAAATGTCAACATTTCTACCTACCACCTTCAATCACATAAAGCTATGGTGAGGGAGACGGGAACTTTCAAGGTCTCTGTTTCTAAGATGACTGAAGGTATGAAATGTAGGAGAGCTGGTGCCGGGGTTGCCTTAGTGGTTTTTGATGTGGGGTTTTCTAGCCCAGTAGTGTTTCCGCCCCACTTAGCCCCGGGCCTCCGATCGATTGGCCTTGGTGTGCTCCTCTTCCAAGCGCAGGATCGGTCAGCTGCTGGCTGTCACTGAGGGGCAAGGGCATTGGAAACACTGGTGAATGCGACCTCTGAGCTGATCCTGGCACGATCAACATATAGAGGTCGCTGGGAAATCGATTGGCCAGTAGAAGGAAAAGAAGATAATGTGATTACCGTAAAGGTAGACCTCGCAGATGCGGGGCTTTTCAACGTAACATCGATAAAGCAACACATTACATTCTGAGTAAGTCGGACCACATCGGCATCCTGGTCATAAGCTGTTGGTGGGCGTAGCTGTTTGCTGACCAATAACGCCGGGTTTGTAGCCGCCGTTGGAATGTAAAGTTTTCGGGTGGACCCATTAATTTTGCTTCCCTGGGCTAAGTTCCGGAACGCTGCCGCTCGGAAGGACTTCCCCGACACTAGTTCGCCCGCTTGGACCGTGACATAAACGAGCCTGTTGTCTTCTGGAGATCCTTTGTGAGATCATGCGTAATTTACAGTGTATCTAAACAGGTTTGAAATGGAGATGTAAAGTATGAAAAAGCAAAAAATGCAGACACATTCTGAGAGCGAGACCTGCTCGTCTAAGTACTCGATACGTAAATAGCAAGACAACATGAACCCCTATACCTCAAGTGCGCTAACGCCCCCTACCTTTATCCATCTTAAGCCGTTGCAATTGTTCTTTCAGAATGCGGATCGTTTCGTCTTTCGAATCGCCTTTCCTTCGACCTCGCGGGGATCTTCTTGACCTAACACTGATCCTCTTCACGTGGTCTGATCCCGATTCGTTGCCCTGTGTATCCACGTCGTCCTCAGAACGAGATCGAGCTCTTCCACGGTAGCGGGCCAAAGCAGGCATTTGCTTTCGTCTCCGATTGGAATAGCGCAGTGGGCCATCACCGTCAGTCTCAGTATCGGTTTCAATTCTAGTCCGATGTTTCACATTGCCATAATGTTTAGGCGATTTATTATCGTCAGGGTCAATTTCACCATCAGATTGGTCCCAGCCATGCCTACGACGATAGGCAGTTTCAAGCACTTTTGCTTTCTGGTAGATTACTTGGTCGCCTTGAAGAGAGGAGCCGTTCGTGATACGTCTGATGAATTGCCTGCCCTCCAAGGTGAAGATGCCATCTTTCCACTTGACCAAGGCTCGTGTTTACGGATACACGGAATGAGGAACCGGTTGGATGAATGACAAGGGGTCGATGCCTACTTCGTCATCGTCTTCAACCTTCCAACCAATGCGCGAATATCTTCGACATGCTGTCGACTAAACCGCCACTCCTCGCATAGGATTCCATTCTTCATGATTTCGACCTTTTGACTACCACGAGTCTTCGTCGTAAGGACCTTTTCAACGCGCTTCTAGTCATACATCTCGTGAGATCCAGCTGTGATTCGGTAAACTGGGGCAGAGCGATCTCCGTAGCGGACAAATGTTTGCGAGCCAGTGCCTTTAGGCCACCAGTAGAGAACCTTCCCCCCATTGTGCCGACATTGCTCCTTGATTGCCCTGGACTCCAATGAATCTAGGCTTGTCGGTCTTTTTTCGATTGAGATCTCAGGATCATCATCCGACCCCGCCCGAAAACTCATCAGTAGACTGCTGCTCTCGTCTCGCATCATCTCCAGTTTGGGGTTCGTCCTCCGATGTTTCGCTTTCCTCGTCCGAAGGTTCACGGATTATCGGATCAGGTCCGCATAGCCTTTCGCAACAGGAGTGGTGAAAGTTCCACCGCCTGGGTAGGTGGTGTCGTCGATTGACCTGCCTAAACCAGCCAGATTCTATCCAGATGAATCTACACTATCTATAGCTAATCGCTTCAGGTGTGCTCCATGTCCAGTTTCAAGACACCAAACAAACAAACTCAGTGACATTCAACCATCCGACCTAAAATCACGCCTCCGCACACCAACAACGCAACCATATGTAGCCTAGCTGTTTCTATCATGGGTGATTTGAGCAACAGGCTTGGAATTAGTCTAGAGTTACCTCCGATTCCGACACCAGATAGAGAGCATGAATGCGCCTGTTGGACGAGCGCTTTGTTTTATAAGCCGAACCCGCCCACAGAGAGCATTCGATATTACAACCCCAAGGCTCGACAAAGCCTTCCGTAGAGTCCTAAAAGTGGTCAACGCTCGCGCGATAAGTGGGGGAAGTTGGATCCTGGAGATAGCTTCTGTCTGGAGTACCTTGGCCTCCTGGCCGATCTAGTATGGCATTCGAATCGTTTGCCCCACCCGTCCTATTTTGGTTTAGAGTCATAGGCTAGTAAAAATTTGGGAGTTTTGTTTTTATTGCATGAGTTAGGTTGTTGAGATAGTAGGGCCGTTGATAACAGAATTCACTTAAATCACAGAAAGAAATATCACTACAAATAGTAATAACTGCAGTCTCGTTACTCAATACATCGGTAGTCATCCACACATATGCCTCCAAAAGGGCAATCATAGACAATTCAGAAAACTAGGCATTTTCGTGGTGGGTAGTCACTGCGCCTTGACCAAGTTTCTCGTTCTGGCGGATATCCTCTTGTGCACGGTCATGCTCCTCGGCAAACTTCCTTCCGTAGAGACCAATCCTATACCAGGGAAGATCAAACATTTTGTCGATAGTCTCGAGACTGCGACCCGCGGCCTCAGGCACAAAGAGCCAAACCCATACACCACCAAGGACGGAAACGACGCCAAAGAAGTAAAAGGTCCCCGCAGGACCGAGGCCCTTATCAACAAGCAGCATCTCAGGCAAGGCGCGGTTGACGGCGTACTGGCAGACGAAATGCATGGCCATGGTGATAGACGAACAGATACCACGAATGCGAAGAGGAAACAACTCAGATGACAACAGGTACTGGCCACTGTTCCATCCGAGAGCCCAGCCTGCACCAGAAATGTAGATAAACGCAATGGCGGCAGTCGAAGCTTGATTCTGAGATTTGTTGGGCGAAAAGTCAGGGTTGTTGGCGATAGGCACGATGTTGAGGAAAATGGCGATATAGAACATGGCAATGGTTTGTAAAACAATGCCAATGATAAGAGAACGTTTCCGACCGGCCATATCGACAAGGAATAGAGCACAGATTAAAGAAGCAACAAATTTCACGACTCCAAAGACCACAGTGGAGAAAAGAGACTGCTCCTGACCGGTGATGCCGACAAGTGTGAACAAATCAGGGGCGTAAACTGTAATGGCGGAGCCACCAGACCAGCACGCCATGTTTTGAGCGAGATTGGTGAGGAACAGACGGTACGAGTTCCTCTTGATTCCAAGAATCTCCTTGAAGAGGCCCTTCCATCCCATGCCGAGGGTAGCCTCCATCTCTTCCTGGAAAGCAACATCCATTTCGGTCATCTCATCAAGGACGTATGGGTGGTCGGCTGGTAGGCCACGAAGGCTACACAGAATCCCGAGTGCCTTCTCACGATGTCCCTGCTTGACGTAGAAACGGGGAGACTCCAGCACGAAAAGTGAGAGTATAAGAGTGATACCAGCAAACATTAGATGGATCGAGGTGGGAACAGCCTATTTGGAAAGTGTTAGTTAACCCATCGGGGCTATGGCTACAGAGACCAAGACCTACCCAGCGGTTGAAGGTATCCCCCATATGAAGCTCAGTACCCCAGTTGGCAAAATAGGCAAGCATGATACCTCTAATCTCAGCATTAGCATCGCATCGTGTGACACAGAGAGTACAATGATGGACTCACAGGTACACAGCACCAGTAAACATACACGTGCAAAGACCACGGATAGGAGCGGGGGATATTTCTGAAAGGTAGATGGGACCAACAACACAGGTTTGCCCAATACCAATACCAGCAATGAAACGACCGGCATATACGGCAGCCATATTGCCATTGTTCCCTATGAAGATGGCGATACCGAGAATCCAGAGGATACAAAGCTGACGAGTAGCCCAAACACGGCCAATACGATCGCAAACGATAAAAGCACTGCAATTGAAGCATAATCAGCATACGAGTCGTGACGGGGATTGAAAGATGAGGGCAATGTGTTTTCAAAGTGAATACTTACAGCAGGGCACCCGCGACACTACCGAGTTGAACCATCGAGGAAACAGTACCCTTGACACTGGCCAGCTCATCCTCGTTGAGATCATCAATTCCGAGAGACTGCTTGAATGAATGAGAATTGAAGACACCTGTGATGAGGCCCTCATCGACTCCACGGGCAGCACCCATGATACCAAACGTGAACACTGCAAACCATAGCCTCCAGTTTAGTGTTTCTTTAGGCAGACTTCCTGTGTTAAACTGGAAGACATTGATAGCAGCACCACCCGCCATGATGGGCGATGTTCTTCGTTTAGTATGGCCGTGGATCTAAACCAGGGGTCCTCAAAGTTGGAGGCGAACTAGGAAGAAAATATGAAGAAGATGTTCTAGCCGAAGAAAAAGGTGTGTAACAACAGGGGCACCGATCATTAAATATTAATCCCACGCGGCGGGGCTCAGATACCGACAGGTACCGGCCTCATGAATGGACCACTACTATTAGCGGGGGTGGCTCGGCAAAGAGCTACTTTAGTCTCGAGTATTGCATCAAACTACTTCGCACGATGTTGAGTTACAAATTGTCCGGTTATCGGGCAATGATATCATGGTCGCTAAGCTTAGAGTTCTGCGCGTACCCTACCTGGTATGAATTAGTTGTTCTTTTAAGTTCATTCGATTATTCCGATGCAGAGTTAATGAATATTACGACTACAAAGCACGCCCTTCTCAATTATATTAGTCAACTCCCTGATGAGAAAACTAGAGAGGTGAGCACTACCGGAGAAATCCCGAGCGACGTTCCCAGGAAATCAAGATGTATACCGAGAGAAGCCATGCTGCTTGGCATAAGTCCTTTCCGCGGCACCATTTGTAGGACACGAGGAAGCTTGCAAAGCGTGTCCATGCCAAGCCCCCAAGTGCGTTACATATTCTCTTCCAGGTTGGCAAGAGGGCCCTTTCTTCTTTTGGATAACTTACCGTTTCCACTAGGTTAGCAATGAGGCTGAGCTTTGGCCTTTGCCCTGCCAAAAGGAGTATCTTATTAGCATATCACTTTTATCTCCACAGCTTGTATGCACCCTGCACATGTCTTTATTGCACTAGGTGCTTAAAGGTATGTCTACAAACCTGTTTTCGGCAATTGAAGAGGTGGAGTTGGAGGGAGAAGCCCGTATACTGACTACTAGTAACCAAGTTTTACAAAGAGCTGAGACGAAGCGAGAATGAAGTGTAACTATGAACTGCAATAGGACTGCGGGCCTGACCCTACCAACAAAAATACGCTTAGTCTGATAGGACGGGGGCGGGGGATAACCCTCTTCAAAAGATTCGAGACACCCGCGACATCAGAAGTCAAAAATGTGGGCTGGGAATTAAGGTCCCATTGCCGCCGTCCACTAGGCAGGGCCTGGGCTTCCGGCGTTTTGGCTCCAACCATCTACGGTTCGCGTGGTGGCGTCCCTCCACGGAGAAACACCGAATTCTACCCCAGCTTGTCCCCGCCACCCGCCAAGGACTACTTCCCCAACTTCGTCTTGGCGAGCGAGGGCGAAGGCACGTGGTCGCGGGATGTCCCCAGTTTTCAGCCTTCTCCTGTCGGGCGTCGGCTTTGATTGGTAAGTCGCACAAACTTTCACGGCAGTCCGAGCCAATCTGGTGGCGTTGGTTTGGATTAGTTCCCATCACCATCGGGGCCTGGCCGAAAGCTTCTTGGCCGCATCCTTCTATCGACTTAAATCCCCTTGATCTCAATTGACGGAGGGGATTGTCGGACTAACTCGGGATGTGGTCAAATGCCTCACACGATAAAAAATAATACGTGTCTGAATTAAATTTTTGCTCTGCGCCACAACGATAAATGGACGGTGAATCAGGCGCCGAATATCGCTACTTTTTGAGGCCAGGCCATTTATCGCCGTCCCATCTTCATGTAAATCAGAGAGCGGACACTGCTCTGCTCGAATTTCCCCGTTTGTGTTCAAACACCAAGCTAGGTGGCCGTACTGTCACTACTAGATCCCATTTTCGCCTACCATCTGAATATGCATGTCAAACCAACCATTCTCCAGCTTGTGCATCTTTGCGCGATTCAAAATCCATTCCATCTTGCCATAAGTATCAGTACGGAAATCGAAGTCCATACTCATACTGGGTATTGATAAGAGAGAACACCATCTAGCTCGCTCTTCTGATACTTCAAATGGATTGGGGGTAGGTCAGGTGATGCCTTCGCGGAGATTGAGATCGAGAACCGAGAAATAGCGAGGGAACGGGCGGAGACTGCGCGGTCCACGTCTGATGTGATTGAGTATTCGGATGCCTCGGGGTTTTGAAAACGTTTTGAAAACCATCTAGGCGCGGCCGTGGTCGCACTGGATAAAAATCTGGAAGTCGTGGAATCCGAACAAATGCAAGTCGGGCCGATGGACCGTTGGTTAGTTCACGCGACAGAGCTAATAGGCATCTTCTACGCCATCGCGAAGAGAGTGTAGCACTGCAGACTAGGCCTCTCCAAAACCGACCCTCCGCCCGAACCCCACGAAAATCGAAAACCCGTGGGTTGGGTCGGGTCTTAGTCAGCAAATCCGTGGGCGGGTTGCCATGTGGGCATCCCAACCCGAGACCCAAATGGGTACCCGGTATAGCCCAAAGCCGCCCGTCGAACCGGATGCTATGTAACATTGTAATCGACAACCCGCTTGCGGCAACCGCAGAGCCTCGCGTTTCCCACAGACTGAACGGCAACCGATATACACAGGGCGACTGCTACATATGCCTACTAATAAATGCTTTTCCTTGGCCAGTCGGTTGGAAACCTTCTCCATTGGCGTCTCGTTTCTACGACATGACTATCTTCTCGAAAGGGCGAATCTCAGGCGCGGTGTTCGAACTGCAAAATAGGTACCTAACCTCACCGCTCTATCTTGGTCAGCATACCAACGGAGCGATACAGATACCATACAACTCGGCCACTAGCTTCAGGGAGCTACGGGGTTTTATGGTTGGTAGCCTTCGCCGAGAATCGTATTCTCCACGGGTCGGCGCAGCTTGCTAAAACGGGACAGTTCGGCATTCGACGAGATAAACCGCGAGTATGTTGAGATTAAGAAGATACGCAAGAGCCTTAGTTTCAAGGAATCTACAGAATGCATTTACCGGGAGATAAGGCTTCTAAAAGATATCCAGCACGACAATGTAAGCATGCAACACCATGCTAGAACAATCAAGATGCTAATATCCATACAGGTAGTTAATATGACGGATACCTTTATTTCTCCCTCGCAGCATGTGTACGTGTAGTAGTGCTAGTGTCATGACTTCGGTTTCTGATGGCTGCGGCAGATACATAGTGACAAGTCTCATGCGCACAGACTTGCAACGGTTACTTAAACAAGGGCCTTTAGAAAATGGGTAAACTCAGTTCTTTCTCTACCAGGTCATGGTACGCACATGCCTTGAAGTGGCCTACTTTTACCGACTATCTACAGCGCGGACTCAAGTACATCCATTCAGCAGGCATTGCTCACCGCGACTTGAAGCCGAGTGTGATCTTTCTACCCTTATCCTGTATCTTATTTCTTTTGTTACCTGCTATTTCATGCCTAGACAGTTCCGATCCTTCCCGATCGGCGCTGCTACCTGTATAAAGACCTGGGTGCTCCCGACCCTGGTCCTGTTCTGCCATGCCCTGACCGCCCCTGTATATACAGTGGCACCGCAAAAGTACTTTTGTCAATCAGAGGATGTTTGTACGGGCTATGCTAGGTATGGCCAATAGGAAGAATTATGTTGGTTGATGAAATGAGCGACCACCTTGCTGACCTGTTGAAATGGTCTCGGAGCTAGTGTACTGCGTGTTACGACACAGTTCTTCTAGTATGACGCAATTTACCATACAAAACAATGGGCAATGTGGGCGAATGCTGAAAAGCCATATCCAAGAGTGGGGTTATCCCCGTATAGTTCTCCTTTCTGGATTAACAGCCTTATCCAGTCTGATCATGTTTCCTTTTCTTAGGTGACTCTTTCCTTGGGTGCCAGCAATGAGTATCCATAAGGTGATAGATATGCTTAGCAGCTCCTTGCCATCGAAATCAAGTAAACAGGACGGATGGGTATATTTAAAACTGTTCAGTTCTGTTAAGTGGCCTTGAGTATGCGAATGCTGTGCTGGTGGGCTTATGATAAATTGGAACATTCTTCTCGAAGAAGAAAGATTCTTGTTTCCCAGGCAAAAGGGACAAAAGCCTGCGTTGATGGCAGCGTTGCGAAAGGTCAAAGGATCACAGCGAAGTAGTGTTATCGGCTTTTCAAGATGTTGAGAGCAGTGAGTCTCCCACTCGCCCGCATCTGTGAACCGGATATCACATTCAAAGCACATTTCTGTGAACTGCAGCTTATTGTGGCGGCTATAATAAGCTTTGTGGCATCTATAGAGGTAAAGCTATTATCAGTGTGGTATATAATGTAGTGGGGAGACCCCTCCCCCTACTACATGGGTGCCATCCAGACTATGTGACATAGCCGGCAGTATACAGTGGCCGGATAGCTAGTTCTAGAATACACCTTCTTACACCTCCCCGACCTGACCCCTACATTTGGGCTTCTCGCTGTTTCCTGATTGCTACGCGTGTGTTTTGTGGTGGTTTTTCTGCTGAATCGACCCGCACGTCTCAGCGCGTGCTGCCATCGAGCGTTCCCCTCTTCAATAACTAAACAATTAGCTTAATATTGATATTCTCTTCTGTAGAGTCTTATTTATTAGGACTCTACAAATATATTTACCGTTCAAGCCAGAGCTCGCTGATAGCCATTTTCTGTCCGCGGTAAGACATAGCGACGTATTTCCTTATTGTCGATGTCGTCTAAATCGATTAGAGCAAAACCTCGATCGAGTGTCATTATCAGGAAATCAAATTATCAAGGAGAAAAGCGATGTGAATAAAAAGATTTTGGTAACGAGGAGCGAAAATCCCCCATTCTTTGTGTCAAAAAGTGCTCGATGGGGGTCTCGTTAATTCTTGCCCTGGTGAAAAGGCGCGAGTGTACCTTTTGGATGCCAGTTCCGGTGGTTCAGGTGAAGAGGTGAACAGACCCTGAACCCGGGCCAGATAGGGCGGCGAGCCGTCTTAGACAGAATCGTGGGCGCTAGGTGACCACCGACATACAAACGCTATTGTATGTTTTATGTTTTTGTTTTTTAAACACTCTATTTTCGACTCATGTCTTTCCATCGGAACTTTTCCACCAATTTTTTGAATCTGAATTGTATTCTACGTATTCTACATTGAGTTGACCATTCCCGGACTCAGACTCTCCATATCGGTCTTCTTTGCGTTTGACTCCTGACAGTGAGAATGAGATATGGTGTATCTTGATGGAGATAGAAGGGTATTAAATTTTGATCTAATAGTCGCGAATACCTATGGGTGGTGAACTGTCACGTGCCATGCGCCTGAGGCCTCACAGCAACGTGTTTGTGTAACCTACTTGTCCCAAGCCCAGCCTCTCTTCACCTCGATCTGTGCCCATACACTTGCTACGCATTTTTCATCTCGTAAACAGACAAAATGGCAATTAAAAAAAAGGTGGTCACTGTCTTCGGAGCGACTGGACTTCAAGGCAACTCTGTCACTTGTTCACTCTTAAGAGACCAAGTCTCCAACTTCCAGGTCCGGGCGATCACCCGAAATCCCGAATCTGAGAAGTGCCAAGTGCTGCACAAACTCGGTGTTGAAGTTGTTAAAGGAAATGGGTGGAACAAGGATGACATGCAGAGGGCCTTCTCTGGTTCCTGGGGAGCGTTCGTGAATACCAATTCCGATGATCCGGTAAGTCGCTAATCTATTATCCTCATTCCTTGTGCTAATAGCATCACAGATCTTCAGCCAGCCCGATGGGCCTACGGAGTTTGATCTCGGAAAGATCGTTGTTGACGGTATGGTTGCCGGTGGAGTGAAGAACCTTGTTCTCAGTTCCATGAGGCCGGCTGGAGAAGCAACCGGGGGAAAGATGAAGATCAAGACAATGGACAGTGAGTGATACTACCATTGCTAGAGTACACTAGCCAAAGTTGACAAGATCATATGTCATTCAGTGAAAGCCTCTGTTGCGGAATATGCTCAAGAAACGGATCAATTTGAAACGATCGCCTTCATCCATACAGGGTGGTATTTTGAGCTGTTTCTGTCTGAAAAGATGGCCAAGCTTCACCAAGGATTTCCTTATTTCCCCGATGCCGAGGGCTACTTGAGTCTTCACTTGCCGAAGTGGGGAAATGACAGCGGTGCGCCCTTTATCGCGATCGTGGACGACTTTGGTGACCTCGTCCATGGAATTCTGCTTGACCCGAAACGCTGGAATGGCAAGACAATTCAGGCTGTGAGCGATATTCAATCTCTGCCTCAATTCGTCCAAACCTTCTCCGAAAGTATGTGGATATTTTCAGAACCACCCAGGGATCTCTCTGACTGTTTCCTTCTCGTCTAGGTACTGGAAAGAAAGCACGCTATGTCCCATTGCCATCTTGGCAAAGCCTTGGCGAAAGCATTCCTGAGATGGAAGATGGCAGGCTGCTATTTGCTTATGGTGAAGCCACTAACGGCCGTTACTTTGTTGAGGACTCTTGCACCGATGTACCTCTGGAATTGAAAAGGCTCGCTGCTACTGCTCAAGGAAAAGATGCATCAACTGTAAGTTTGGCATCATTGAGTTCGTGGTTTGCCAAGAAACTTGGCACATCTCAGGCCTGAGAAGAGGTTCACTGCGATGTACATCGATGCACTCACTATTCATCAGAATCCCGACGCGTGGTCCTGGTTAGACCTGCGCAGAACCCATGGGCCCATGGGCCGAAAAATCGATTTTCTGCCCATTCATGGGCCGGCCCATTCGGCCCATTCGACCCATTTTAGGGCGAAAACTAGTGTACATGTGACTTTCATAATTTATGTACTTTACGCGTGCTCTTGGCTGTAATGCCTTGGTAACAAGAATGATTGATTGCTCTTAGTTATATACGATATTCAGTTGAAAGAGGGCATTTTGATATTACTGTAGAAATCAACTATATCTCATAGCCATCTAATAACCTTGAACGCTTTCGAACCTTTCCCTGAAACACGCTGTGTTTTTGCTCAGGCAAATCAGGCTCCTCAGGCTCAGACTCCCCCTCAGGCTCTTCGGCAGGCTCATTAACACTCCTTCGCCTCTTCGAATCATATTGCGCAGGGCCTTCTTCATTATCACTAATCTCCAGAATGCCCTCCTGCGTACGCTCATCCATCTCTTCTTGTTGGAGTTCTATCTCAGTCTCAGTTGCGTACTCCCGAACGAAAGCAAGCTGCTCCTCTTCTAGATCAAATCGAATCCCACACATAAGAAGCATTAGATCCTGAATAGTACTCGATTGTAGTGAGCCACGGCGATAGTGGCAGATATCACGCGCGGAGTTAAAGAGATGCTCTACGCCTGCGCCAGTGGCTGGGACGGAAAGGAAATCTCGAGCGAGAGCTGCGAGTACTGGAAATCTGTGTTCATGATCTCTCCAGAATTCGCGCGGAGGCATTGATACCGTGCCTGTTTAAGGTATTTAAATTAGAAAGAGTGTTTGGTTTAAGAATAGAAGACCACTTACTACTCTCCAGATACTGAGTGAACTCAGGGACTGGGGCAGTAGGCCGACTACCACAAGCGAGTAGTAGATCAATCTCACTCGTAGGCTTCACAGTCTGTAAACCTCCAGTCTGTGAGAGAGAGCTATATACACTATCCTCGTAGTGCTTAACTCGGGCTTCGAGAGCTTGTCTGTATTGGGCAGCAAAGACTTTCTCGTCATCCCGCCAATCTGAGGTCTGGAAGAATTCAAGCTTATACTGCGGCGCCAAAATAGTCCCAGTTGAGTATATATCACTAAGACCTTCAAGGTCAGTCATCATATAATAATCCCTGAGCTTACTTTCGGCTGCTCTCAGAGCATCAAGCATTTGTCTTTTCCATCCGATCTTCTTCCGTTGTAGCTGGCGGATCCGGCTCTCAAGATGATTAAAGAGACGATTGTAAATACTGAAAACAGTATGAATCGTTATGTCTTTTGTTTTTGAGAGAGCAGTTGTGAATCTGTAGAAAGGCTGGGTGATACAGATCAGGTAATCAACCCGCCGCCACTCATTTGATGTGACCTGAAGATGAGAATGATGAAATTCGGAGCAGAACGTATCAAACACAGGTTGTAGTTTCTTAGCCCGGCGGAGCATTAAGAAGGTCGAATTCCAGCGCGTCCTGACATCCTGGATTGGGAATAATCGAGGTGTATTAGACTGGAGGTTTTGGAAGGATTCACGGCGCTGGGGGCTTGCATTGATGAAGATAGCGAGGTTTCGGATCTAAACAATTGTATAATTAGTATATGTTTGATAGGTAGAAAGAATAGTTTGAGATCAAACCTTCTTAAGTGTATTCGCCATACTATACTCTCTTGCTGTTTGGCGAGCTATTTTCGTATGCTCTTCAGTCCAGACCGTATCGACATTCTCATTCACTGGGTTGGCTTTCATTTGACCAAGGAGCTGCTTTAGGCTCAACTGAATCACATGGGCGAGGCATGGTACTCGGATAATAAGAGTATCAGAACGAAGGCCCTGAGATTGAAGAGAGTCTTGCAGAGATGAAATAAGAGTCGAATTGTTAGACGCATTATCAATTGTGACAGCTAACACTCGCTCTTTGATCCTATGCTTTTCAAGCAGGTCTAGAACAACTGTGCTTAGATAAGCCCCAGTATGAACACCAGACAGAGGCTCAAATCCTAGTAAAACCTCCCGATATTCCCAATCAGCGTCAATAAAGTAACCAGACACTGCCATAAAGGCCTGTTGGAAAGGGGAAGTCCAACAATCTAAGCTTATTGAGAGCTTTGCCTTTGGTGGAAGCTTCTGAAGTATTTCTTTCTGCTGATCTTGTGCTTTTGTTTGAATTCGACGCTGTAAGGTTCTTCGAGAGGGAAGGCTTATAGCTGTTGGCGATTTCTGAGCTAGTTGTAGAAGCTTAAGGAACTCGGGATGTTCAACAGTCGTAAAGGGAAGTCGTAAGGTAGTAATTGTAGAAACTAATTGGTGTTCCCAACGGGACTCGCTGAACGGCTCTGGTGCGATTTTTGCCTATTAAGTAGCAAAATTAGCTTTGATCTAGGAATAAATAAATGAGAGACTTGCCTGCTTCTGTAGTAGCCGCCGGATGCTTGATTGACCCTTTGTTTTACATATTGCCCGTTCTAGGTGTCTTCGTAGAGCAGTTGTTCCTTGCTTCCCTGCCGTCCCTGCTTTGGTATGAAATAGAGACTTCGGATGGTTCAAAATTGCTCCGCAGTTCTTGCACATCACCTTAGGTTGTCCAGTAATAAAATGGGCAACCTGTTCGAAGTCGGCCCATATATCTGCTCGCTGGCCCTTTCGATCCCAGAAAGTAGATTGGTGCTCAGAGTGCCCACTCTGGGTCTGGATCCACCAATCCACGAAATCCTCTTTATTCATATCTTCGCATAGAACGTAGGTTTGTGCTGGATCTGTGGAGCGTCTGAGAGAGGTGGGAACAGAGAGAGGGGGAGGAAGCTGCGTTTGGCTTGCAGAGTGCTCGGGCGCGACGCTATCCGTTAAAAGATAGGATGAATCATCAAATTCCCCACTCTCTGAAAAGGGTACTGAGTAGATATCCGATAGTTGAGACATGATAGTTTGGTAAGAAAGCTCAATAATCCCAACGTTAGAGAGAAATCATCGTTGACTATAAAGAGGAGATAGGTTGGCCTATATTTAAGCTAGAATACAGAGTCCGTAGATAGCCTGGGCTATCATGCCAGGCGCAGAAAGCCCGGGATAACGCGTCTCCAATGTTCGCGATAATTGGCTATTTAGTCACTAAGTCCCACATCTGAATATCTTTTATTAGTTAGTCCCATGGGCCGGCCCATGGGGCGGCCCATTTGCCTTCGAAATTCGTGCTACGGCATCCCCCGCAGTTTTTATCTCATCGACAACTTTTTTTTCACCCTTCCACGTTCACTATATAAAAGATTTAATCCATCCCTACATCTAATTCGTAAACAAGAAAGCATTTAAACATACATAAAGTTATATTTTATTATACGATACTTTAAAAAATCAAGCAAAAATGACCTGCGTCGAGATTTCAGAAAATTAACATCAAGAGCAGAAGGACAATTTGAATTAATTGATCGTGAACACTTCGATATATATATTCAAGTTATTACGCTGTGCGTAATCTATTCTGTAATTCGGTATAAGATTTAAGACAGCTATAAATTACGCTAGTAATTCTGGATATTTTATATATTGAAGAGGGGAACGCTCGATGGCAGCACGCGCTGAGACGTGCGGGTCGATTCAGCAGAAAAACCACCACAAAACACACGCGTAGCAATCAGGAAATAGCGAGAATCCCAAATGTAGGGGTCAGGTCAGGGGGGGGTGTAAGAAGGTGTATTCTAGAACTAGCTATCCGGCCATCGTATACTGCCGGCTATGTCACATAGCATGGATGGCACCCATGTAGTAGGGGGAGGTCTCCCCCACTACAATATTTATTATGCAGATTTGGGGGCCAAATCGTGGGCCGACTGACCCATTCGTGGGCCAGCCCAAATGGGCCGACCCACGAGGTTTTTGTCCATAGGCCGGCCCATGCCCAGGTCTAGTCCTGGTTATCCTCACGTTCTAGTTCGCTGTCTATATGAGCCCCTTTTATCTGAATTCTGATACATACGACCATAGGGTGTGGAGAACAGGGCTTCCCGTCCGCTCAGCCGTACTTAAGCCACACGCCGGCAGGTTAGTAGTATGGTGGGTGACCACATGCGAATCCCTGCTGTTGTATGTTTTTGCTCTCATAATTTTTTTTGGCTTATTGTCCTTTTGTCTGATAATTTTTGTTTTCATCTTATAGTTACTTCATTAGGCTCTAATGCGTCTGCGTCTACGGCCTCTGATTGGTCTGGCGCATTGCACGGAAACCATCACGTGATTTGATGCGACAATGGCTGTTCCATATTGGATCTACACAAAAAGGATGCAAACTGCGTTCGTATGGCGATATACTTCCTCAAAATCCCGTTCTAGGGGGTAATTCATTTATTACCAGCGGCATATCCCCCAGAGTGCATTGGGAATTGCACATATTCGTTCGCTCCCATGTTTCAGCACCTAAATCATTACTCGTTGCGCAATCTTCCCAATCGCCAGCCACGTCTGCACACAACACAGGAACCATAAAGTGGTCATCGGTCGCATGAGCATCACGATATTGAGGATGTTTCATCAACCTTATCATTGAGAGACGCAGATTTGGACACGAATCATGTCTTCTGACGCCTGTCTGAAGTCCAGGGCCAAATTTCTGGGGTGACTCCTGGCCCAGAGTATCGCGGTAAAGTACCATCGGCTGCCATACGTTCCGGTACACACTGTGTACGGCACCACCCAATTCCAATAATAAAATAGTTCTCTTCTTTAAGCGGGCGAAGCGTTGCCCCAATTTTGGCATGATAGTGCAGATCGAATCGAGCGTTCATTGACACTATAGTTGTCGGCGGGCAGCGACTGGAGTCTGGGAACATGCGGGTAAGGATTGAAATGTGTTGTGAATACATTAGGATTTGTTGTTCTCGGATACATTGAACCCATTAGCGGCGAGCATGTCAATACATCGTTTTGCGGTGGGTATATCCGCGCTGGGGATCCAGTTTGTGTACGTCGCAAGGTTCACATAGGGGCAGAAACCCTTGAATGGATCTGGATTTGTTGCAACTTCAATTCTGTCTCCAAGAAAACCCCAATGGGCTCCCAATTTAATTCCAGATTAGTGTGTCCCTATACTCGATTGATATTTCTCATACCATTATGATTTGGCCCATGACACCATGTGCAAGGGCCTCATCGCCACATTTCTTCCAGTATGACCCAGCATCGCACTCCGCCTCGATCATTCGTGTTGGCCCATGAGGAAAGAAATGGACGGGTGTCAGTGCTGCGCGGTATTAGCTTGGGATTTTTTCGATCCATCTTACCAATCTTCTGAGCGAGTATGATGGAACAGTGCCATGCCACTAGAGAACGAGAAAAGACTTGATATGTCATTTCAACCATCATTCCCAGAAGTGCGGCACGGCGACAGCTTTGAATTGTTTGCTAATGACAATAGTTCGTCTATTTTTGGACTCTGGGTAGAGAGGATTCAATTAGCAAACACGATTCGCGGATGCCGTCACAAATCCACTTGTATACTTGGCTGCCCGCCCCACAAATTGATCTGAGCGTTGCATTCAAGGATGAACATGTCTCGATGCCTCCAGGGTCCAGAACCACTTTCTGTGGCATTGGCCAACACCCGACATAGATGTAAAACACATCTGCCCTATGGAGCCTGCTTTCCAGAGTGCCTAGTCTTTAATCGCACTGAAATTTGCCGATTCAATGCGTCTGTACACAGTAATTAGTGAGAGATAGCTGAATGTGGTGTCGGGTGTCACGGAAGGATGGCTGCATCGCCGCAAAGTCGTTCCTTCCTCCGCTGCGGGCTATGGCAAACATCCTTCCACCTCCCGTTTGTTTACCCCGTCTTCTCCATCCCCTCTCGTTGACACCTCTTTCCCTCACCCTGATCCAGATTTCTATTTCGCATTTTTTCGTTTTGATCGCTCAACATGCGCATCTCCGTCAGGCTCGGCATTTCGATGCTGGCGGGGTATGCCCTCGCCGCTGTGCCAAACATTGAAATCAAGGCGAGTCTTGCGTGCAACTGGAGACAAATGCGATACTAACATGCTGCTTTCCCAGGGGTCCAAGTTATTCTTTTCGAACAACGGAACTGAATTGTGAGACTACATACCCCCCCCCACCCCCTCTTCCACCCCATCGTCAGTGACTGCCTGGTAACGTTTCAACAGCTTCATCCGAGGCATTGCCTACCAAGGTGTGTCATTCAGAAAATCATTCTCCCCAAAGCCAGGGCTGACAAGATCGCAGAGAACTACAGCGGCGGCGGAGCAAAGGGAACGGGTCAGACCAGCCAAGAGAAATACGTCGACCCGCTCATCGATGCCTCCAAGTGCGAGCGCGATATTCCATACCTGCAGAAGGTGCGCACCAACGTCATCCGTACCTACGCCATTGATCCTTCCAAAGACCACGACGACTGCATGAGCAAGCTCGCCGACGCCGGCATCTACGTGATTAGCGACTTGTCCTCGCCGGACATCTCCATCAAGGCTGATGACCCCGTCTGGACAGTCAATGAGTATAAGCGGTACACTGCTGTAGTCGACTCGCTCCAGAAGTACGACAATGTTATCGGTTTCTTTGCAGGCAATGAAGTCGTCAACCGTGCCAACCAGACCAACTCCGTTGCCTTCGTGAAGGCTGCCGCGCGCGACATGAAGTCCTACATCAAGAAGAAGGGTTACCGCAAGTCGCTCGGTATCGGATACGCTGCGACTGATCAGAAGGAGATCCGTCAGGGTATGACCTCGTACCTTAACTGTGGTGATGATCTGGCTAGTGCGGTTGACTTCTACGGTTACAACATCTACGAGTGGTGCGGTGACAATACCTTTGAGAATTCCGGCTACAAGGAGCGGACCGACCAGTACAAAAACTACTCGATCCCCATCTTCTTCTCCGAATACGGATGTGTCACCGGCGGAAAGCGCAGCTTCAGTGATGTTCCCGTGCTGTACAGCAACAAGATGAATGATGTCTGGAGTGGTGGCATTGTTTACATGTACTTTGACAGCGGCAAAGATAAATACGGCCTTGTCACTGTCTCCGGCAGTTCCGTCACTACTGCATCCGACTTCAAAGATCTATCCACCAAAATTGCAAGTGCTACTGTCACCGGTGTCAACAGCGCCAATTACAAACCGACCAAGTCTCCCCAGTCCTGCCCGACCGTCGATGAGACCTGGCTGGCCAAGGCAAGCCCCTTGCCGCCAACCCCTAACTCCGACCTTTGTGACTGCATGGTCAAGAGCCTGGATTGTGTTGTCAGCGAGGATCTTGATGAGAAGGATTATGGTGAGCTCTTCGGTCAGGTTTGCGGCTATGGAAAAAACATCTGCGATGGCATCGCCCACAATGCGACCACTGGTGAATACGGTGCTTATAGTGTTTGCAACAGTAAGGACCAGCTGTCCCAGGCCCTCAATAGCTACTACCTGAGCCAAAACAAGGTCTCCTCTGCCTGCGACTTTAAGGGCAAGGCGAAGACTCAGTCTTCGAGTGGATCCTCGGATAGTTGCAAGTCGTTAATCAGCCAGGCTGGTGGCACGGCTGGGACTGGGACTGTGACGGGTGGTACAGCTGCAGCGACTTCGACTTCCAAGGGAGCCGCGGGTCATGTGGCCTCGCCTACGCCGGTGCATGTGAATGGATGGCTTAGCTTCGGTCTTCTCGTCGCGGCGGCCATGGTCGGTTCTTTGATGCTTGTTCTTTGAAGGGTTCCGTGATGATTCCATCACGACTTTTGTTATTCAATCTTCTTTTGTTTTCGCCATTCAGACCTAGCAAGGGGGCTTCTAGGTATTTTACTAACGCCAAAAATCAATGAATTTGGCAATTTGCTTTCTACGCACATCAAGCTTGCCTCTATATCTTGTACACGGAAGCTGACACCACCAAAAAGATACTAGCATGACATCTTGAGAGGGTCCCTCAAAGCTGACAGCTAATTTTAGATCGATAGCTCTACGATAGGTGGGCCTCCAAGCCAAAATCCCAAGCTAATCCGCAGACCTGGCCATAAGCCAACGATCGTTTCTTTTATTCGCTCGCCAAATTTGCCTGAATTTTCTGTGTACCTCTACCCATTGCCACTCAGCACATCATCATTGCCATTTAGCCTCCGATTTTCCGGAGCTTCCAAGAATTGGTACATGCTGGCCACCAATCACGCTTGGTGTGAAGTAAGCCGCTTAATTGTCCCACGGCGCGACCTTTGAGGGCGGCTTACTTGCATATCGAGCTCTCTACACTTTGGTAAACGTATCAATTTCCTACTACGCATGTCATTTGAAAGTTGTTTACGATTTTCGTGAGGCCAGATTATAAGTATCAGGCATTATGCCGTTGCGACGAGCTTTATTCCTGAAATCCCGCTCCAGTTCTTCGGGTTCTTCAAAGAAAAATATATATCCTCTATATACCAGGGTCAAGTTACACTTAGCAAGACAACATGCCTCTTCCATCCAACCCAGAGACCGTCGAATCAGCTCGTCAACTCGTTGACGTCTTCCACAAATTCTTCGGTTCCCATCCCAGTTTCAGACCCGGTACGCAGAACTTCGAATCCCCACCTCCACAGACAAATAACAATCAACCCAAGCCCACGCAAAAGGCATCCTACTCAAAGGAACGTTCGAACCAACCCCAAACGCCTCAACCCTCTCAACGGCCCCGCACCTTCAACGCCCAAGTACTCCCATCATCGCCCGCTTCTCCAGCTCAACTGGAATCCCAGATATCCGAGACACAAATCCGAACGGAAACCCCCACGGCTTTGCTGTCAGATTCATGCTCGAAGAGACGCCCCGCCGTGTACACACTGACATCATCACGCACTCGACACCCTTCTTCCCGGCCAAGGATGGACCCGACGCATTGGCGTTCTTCACGGCGCTGGCGAATGGGACTATTGTGCAGCATCTAGAAACTCATCCTGCTGCGAAGGCGTTTATTCAGGCGCCGAAACCGTTCCCTGTTTCCTTTGCGACCGAAGAATACTTTGGTATTCATGCATTCAAGCTTGTGAATGGAGATGGTATGGGGACTTTTATTCGGTATCGCATTTTGCCGAGGGCAGGCAAGGCTCATTTAAGGGAGGAGAGGATTGAGGAACAGAGTGGAAATTATCTTTTTGATCAACTGGAGGCTACTTTGAAGGATGGGGCGGTTGAATTTGATCTTGTTGCCCAGGTTGCGGAGGAGGGGGATGTTACTGATGATTGTACGGTTCACTGGCCTGAGGATCGGGAGATTGTTACTTTGGGGAATATCTCATTGGAGCAGATTTTGGAGGATAATGCAGATGAGCAGAAGAGGATTATTTATGATCCTGTGCCTCGAGTGGATGGGATTGAGCCTTCGGATGATCCGCTTGTTGATGTGCGGGCTGCTTTGTACTTGATTAGTGGGCAGGAGCGGCGGGCTGCTTAGTTTGTTTCAACGAGTATCGAATATCGAATATCGATAAATGGTATCAAGTATCCAACGCTGTTCTTCAACTTGCTTTTTTTTCAAATGGTATAGAGGATGAATGAGACATTTTCATTCCAAATGATCAGATGGTATGACTACCCGACTAAATACATCTTCAACCACAGCCAACCGCATCCGACAAACACAAAGCATTCGAAAGCAGCGGACCTCAGCGAGACTAATAAGATGCTAAATTCTGTTTTTCTCCCACATCACAACACCAGAGACTGTCTCACTCGGCTCTTACTGAATGAAATATGCGATAAGATCTAGATGATCACGTAATGTAAGCTCACTCTATGCTTAAAGAGGATGAGCTCCTTCAGTCTCACTGCCTGCACTATAACCCGTCGACCATCAGAAACATAAGGAAGAATGCAGTAAGACGAACCGAAATCAGGTCCTACTGTACTAGGTGACGCTTATATGATTAATCGGTGGTAAGTGGCATTTCCTCCCGGACGTTTTACCCCGAACATATCTCGCTAATAACATGCAGTCTCCTCAGCTCAGATCGGGCCGGAGTACCTGTTGACGGCACACGATCGCCTATGACGCGGAAGGGTTATGCGAGTTGCGTTACTCGCATTGCTAAAACGCAATTTTGACCCGTGTTTGTGATTCATTGTCCAATCGCTTCCCCTCATCTTCCAGACTCGCGCTGTACCACTCGCCCTGGAGGCTCTTAAGCGCAGAGCATGACCGCGAGGCTCCCAAATTCCTCCCTGTGTTGCGTTCTAACACCCATATGCACTTACCAGACGACTCTTAAAATATCTTCGTCCCTTCGTTCCATCCCACCGAAGATATCTACTTTTTCCGGCAGCAGAATTCACGGAACGTGACTGTTTCCCTCGACCCTTGAACATCCCTGTCATTGAAAAGGCAGGCTGCGACAACTTTGACCAGATATGTCGAAAATAAGGATTAGCCGCGAGAGTTACAAGGTAGGATGGATCTGCCCACTGGTGGTGGAGCAAGTTGCATCAATGCAGATGCTGGATGAGCAGCACGGACGTCTCCCACAGCCGAACAGCGACGCAAACATTGACAACTTAGGCGGTATTAATGGCCATCATGTCGCGATTGATGGTCTTCCAGGCCCGTTAATGTGCCCTGCAATACTGTCGTGACTCAAATGAGGATGACATTCCCAAACCAGAATTTGGTCTCTTGGTAGGGATCGATGGCGGCGTACCAAGAAAGACAGACCACAGGCCAATTCAAACACAGAGTCTCTTGCACGTCCAATAACAGCCCTTCTTAAAGCGACACGGCAGATAGATGTGCATCGCCAGCTAGTCGATGATGATCCGATTTGTGGAAACTTGAAAAGAATCAACACTAGCCACCAGAGGCTACACGATTATGAGTTTTCTGGAGCCGCGAACGATCTCTTATACGCATCGGACTACGAACACCAGAAGAAGGGTGAGTTTTGTCAAGGTGCTGGGTGTGAAGCAAGTCGGCGGATTGAGCGATCAATACATGAGGGCGGAGAAGATTCGTCTATCGTTGTACACAAAGGCATGATAGCTTCCGGAGAGATGGTTACAAAGAATTCCCAGAAACCAGACCAATTAGCGCGAGAGTATAGAGTCCTATGCTTGACTTCATATACCTGGGTTATTCGGGGAATTTCGATAATTATGACTCGCATAAAAGGGACGGGTACACAGCAGCCGTCGCTGCGGCATACGCAAGAGAAATATTCTGCTATATGGCTATCGAAGAGTCGAAGTAAATCACTTCCCATCCAAATCAGAATCACAAATAAAGTTATTTTCTGAATGCTGACACAAATGAGACCAGATGAGCCAGAGAAGTCAGAGGCAAACTCAATTCGAACCGCCACGTTTCTTCGAGCTGAGATCTTAACGCTGCTCTTGAGAAGTGGAGCCAACCCTAATATAAAGATGGTTGAGGACGTGACATCATTACATCAGGCGGCCGCGGGCGATTGGTCAGAGGGTGTTGATATTTTGGTCGAATCAAACGCGTTGATTGACTCCAAAGATTTACTTCTCCTTGAGACACCGCCTCATAAAGCCGCACGAAATTGCCACTCGGACATGTGTCGCATTTTGATCAAATGTGGTACCAACTCCAAACAGCAGGATATAGATGGTTAGACTATGAGTCGATCTTGGAGTGCGCGAAACAACATCTAGATGATTGGAAGATAGACCATGCACAATCGGCCTGGCTCAGCTGAATGAAAATATCAAAGAAACGCAGAGATATTTTCTTCTCTTCCATTTTACTTTTTTTCGTTGCTTTTTCTGGTACGTTGCTTCGTGCCCCCTGTCAAGTCTTCAAATGGCATATGACCTGCTTGCCTATATTTGATATATGGACAAGAGCTATGGTTTGGTCGATTGCCCTGTCATTTTATGTTGGAATTGTTTTCGTTGACTGGCATTTAGTTAGATTGGATGAAAATCAATGTGATAGGTGCAACTGCACTTGCCGCAATGAAAGCAAGGGACCGCCGTAAATGGAGGAAGATCGGCACACTTGGAGCCCCTTGCGTCGACACACCTCAATCACAAAATGAAACATCTCCTCAACTCACACTTGCAAGCTCCCTGAGAAAATATCAACAATGACAGCCCTCCACAATTCCGTCGAATGGTATAAAGATCAGGTAGTCTTCCTAACGGGAGCGACCGGGAATCTGGGAGGATGTCTGCTATACAAGCTGGCCGTTCAACTGCCAACGAAAAAGATATATGTTTTGTGTCGCGGCGGAATGCGTGATGCAATAAACAAATGGGAAGCCTCCATGCCGGAACAGATCGATGACATCCTTGATACTGGAAAGATCCAATGTCTCGTGGGAGATATTACCCGCCCTAGTCTAGGGTTGGGCACAGCAGAGCTAGAAGCACTGCAGAAAGAAGTCACCGTGGTGATTCATTCGGCCGCAAACTTTTCACTCTTTCAGGATCTACCCGAGTCTATCAGGGATAACTGTGTGCCCGTTGTCGATCTTGCTCGCTTGTCAATTTCTTTCCAGAAACTGAAAGCCTTTTTGCATATCTCAACTATCTCGAGTAAGAGTTTCTTGCCTGGTGGGACAGTATTAGAGGATGCCGAAAATCTGTCACCCGATGAAGACCCCCCGGAAAAACAACTCGAGGAGGTTCTGAGCACTGGGAAGTCCCCATACACGAAACAATTCATCGCCCCTTATGGGCAGTCGAAGTATCTGGCTGAGCAGATATTATTAAGCCTTGATACGCCTTTTCCAGTATTGATCGTTCGTCCAACGAATATCGGACCGGCTATCAAGGACCCTTGTCCATTTTATGGGCCGGACGGTGCAATCCCTCTACACACTTTCTTCGAACTTCTATTCGAAGCGAGCGAACGTCGGAAGTTTGAGGATCTGGCTACATTGCCTCAAGATATCATCGTCGACGAGATTCCGGTCGATATCGTCGCAAATGTCTGTCTACTTCATCTGGCAATTGGCACAATCGGAATCGTGCAGGCTGGCTCTCAGCTATATGTACCTGTGACTTTTGGTGAATACATGAATCAGATTCAGAAATATGCGCCTCCTTCACTGGTCGAGAAGGCTGGTAGGATCCGAGTGGAGAAAAATGTTCATTTTGCAAACCAGGCAAATGATATGATTCAGCATATATGCCGGGATTGGCAGATCGATTGCGAGCGATCGAAGCCTTTCAAGTCTATGGAGGGACCTATCGGTCTGGCCCTTCCGGGGCATGACTTTGAGGTTTTCTTTCAGCGGAGGATTGCAAAGCGGGCGCGAAATGTGGAGAAGTGGATTGATAGCCTGAAGCAGACGTGAGAATTGGGTAAATGAAATGTATTTCTCAGTAGAAAAATTTGTCATCTTGAATGTTAAAAACAATGTACTACTCTTGCATAATATCTTCAGGGGCTCCGAATACATCCATGGCCCACTTGGTATTCTGCTCCGTCGCGATAGCGAGTGGTGTCTTTCCATCCTTGTTTGCAGCCACGGCCAGATCAGGAACCTTTTCCGTAAATACGTTTGCTGTTCTTCGGTACCCAGGTTCCGCAAATTTGTTGGAAGGCTGGCAGCCAGCGATATGATGGAAAACGGTCCATCCAGAATTGTTGTCCACCGCGGTCAGATCCGCCCCTTTCTCATAAAGCGCCATTGCACGCTTGATGACGCCTTCCTCCCACACATGAGGAAACACCACCACCACGGAACGGGAAGGAAGGGACGATGGAGGCATATCCGCGAACGCTTCAACGTGCAGAGGAAAGAAGCAAGTTGCGCCCTGCTGGATCGCCACGCTCCATATCAACATTCGGCATCTCCAGCCATGGCTGAACGATACCACCATTTGAGAAAATGTTACGCAGGATGAACTTATCCGTATGGCAAAACTAGAAAGGATCGGCTCCGTGGGATAGCAGGCGGTGGATCATGTGGATCGCGTTGTCGCGACTGTTGAATTCGTTGAAGTACTTCATGGAAATGTAATGAAGCGGATGCAGAATAAACGTCTTAGGTACGGGTTTCTTTGCCATTCTGTGAGCATATCAACGCGGTTGTGTGCTAGACAAACTCGTGGTGTAGACGTCAGGGTCCATCTCTAGAAGAGCAGATACTACTTCGGGGCTGAAGTTGACAAGCGCGCCAAATAGTTCCATGGGATGCTCGGTTGATGGATGTGCGCCATGGTCAATCAAGAGTGGAAAAATAGACTTGCTATGTATGGACGCAGCAAGAGGTGTAAATCCACATATTGCTGCAAGAATGTTCACAATTTCCAACTGTCTGTAGCCACCGAGCTCTCCTCTCAACACAGCGTAAAAGAGTGGCGTTTTCTCTTGGGGAATTGCAGGTATTCGGATCGGGACCGTGCTGAAGCAAGTATTTGATAGCTCCTTCGTGCCACCAATGCTCACCCCGAGCCAATCGGTGCAGAATACTATCACCGGGATGTCAAGATCTTCACCGGTCGCATCAACCGTTTCTATCTGGATATTGATGTCGGAACCAGCGTCAAGCAGCTGAATAACTTTCTTGACCCGAGACGCATCCCCCGGCTGTTGGCGACGCTGTGGAGTAATCACCGGGCCGTGAAGAGGCAGAAAGTTGGGCGGTCCCCTGTCGGTTTGATTGGATTTTGACTTCAAGGCATCTGCACCGTGCTAAAAGAGACGTTTGACGAGTGCTGAGCCGGGCGCGCTGACGGCTAGAAACAGTGGTGTCTTCTCTTTATGTGAGACATCAATATTGCAAAGCCCGGTTTCTAACAGTGTTTGGGCCACCACCAGTTTCGCCTTCTCTCAGGAAGTAGATAGAGCCTAGGCGACTGCTCATTTAGAGTATTTTGCCTAATTCTGCCTGGTATTGTCCGAGGGAAAGTATTGCCGTACATTTTGACTGCACCGAGTGAAGCCGCAATCTACCCATCGACCCGCAGCCCCAAAGAGCGATCAAAGTTGGGCTGAGAAAGAGCAATCTAGTCTAGCTTTTCTCGACCGTTGCCTTCAAAGTGGTCGCTGATCACGAATGACCATGTTTTTCTCGCTTTGGGCTCCTTTGTCTCTTGACGGCGAGGGACGAGGCAATGAATGATGATGGGTGGATGAATTTGGAGAGGTTCCGCTATTTATACAACCGATGCGCTGTCACGTACGCTTGTGCCTGAGGCTTGACGTGTCAACGTATTCCGAAATTACATATACCCCAAGAGCAACAGAAAAGTCCAAAACAATCACTCGCAGTACTTGGCACGTAGATGCTCGATCACCACAGTTCCAAGGTTGCCTACAGTGCCGGCCTTCGTGATTTCTGCCAAGCTAATCTCTAAACCCAAATTGCGACGCGCCCAACCTCGAATTTCAATCGACATGAGCGAGTCAACGACAATCTTGGCAGTTTGCTCATCGTCCAAATCCTCCGCGTTCGTCATGTGTTGAGTAATGAGTTTTCCGAGCTCCCTGCGGATGAAGTTCTGAGTGTCGACCTCATCTAGAAGAGATGGATCATGCTCTATCTTGAGAAGAAGCCCTTTCAAACGGTCGCTCGAAGCTTCCGTTCGCGTGTTGAGCTTCGATTCGAGATTGTAGTACAGACCATATCGTATGTCGCGACCCCAAGGGGTTCGTACATCGGGGTGTGAGGTGGGCTTTGTGTTGTTCAGTCCCACAATGATAGGACTGGAGAATTCTGCCCGGGATTGACGAATGGCAAGTTCCATGCCCTCGATTACCTCGCCTTCACTGAGCAGGCGTGAAGCACCTGCTCGAACACTTTGAAGGATTTTAGGGTTGCGGCTGACAAGACCAACATCTTCAACTGGCCCAAGGGCAAGTGCCGAACATGGCAACCCTAGCTCTCGGCGAAAGGCAGTGAATGCGTCAAGGAAGGTATTGGCAGCGGCATAGTTGGCTTGTCCTATATTGCCACAGGCTCCGCAGAGTGAACTCAGAACAACGAAGAAGTCCAGATCGATTCCCTGAACAGCGTCATGCAGATTGAATGTTCCCTCGACTTTCGGGGACAGCGAAAGAGCCCATTCGTCAAAGGTCATCTTGCTGAAGGTCCGATCCTAAAATACCATCAGAGCATTAGCCATTGCAGATAAGAGCAGTGTTGTCGAGTGGTATTCTTACATTGAGATTCATCGACATTTGGATAACCCCTGCTAGTGGCCTCGTACACTTTGCCACGGCCCTTTGGACGTCATCGAGCTGCGACACATCGCCAGACACACATATTGCCTCGCAACCTTGCATTTCAAGATCCGTCAAGAACACTTTATCTTCTTCAGAATTTCCAGCGGAGCGTGAGAGATAGACCAACTGGCGAGCACCATTCTCAATCATCCAAGTCGAGATAGCGCGTCCGAGTCCTCCTAGTCCTCCCACCAAAAGGTAAGACCTCTGCGATGAGAACTCAAGCTTGAGCTCATCGCGCACGAAGGATAGATCGTCAGAGTAATTTGGCATTTCGATCAAAACCTTGCCCATATGGACACCCTGCTGCATGTATCTGAAGGCTTCCTGAATTCGATCGGCTGAAAATTTAGTCACAGGTCGAATCGGCTGAACTTTCGCTTCACGGTTCAATAGCATAGTTTTTGAAAAGACTTCCTGCAGTACTTCGGGACACTCGAGAGCCAGGGACAGAAGGTCGACCCCGAAAAATGACCTGTTCTTACCGAACGGAGCCATGCTGAGTGTCCCATTTGTCAAGAAATCTCTTTTGCCAAGCTCGAACATCTTCCCGCGAGGAGCGACGCATTCCCATGATGCATGAAGTAGATCACCGGCCAGAGAGTTGAGGACAATATCGACTCCGCGACCATTTGTCTCGCGCAAAATATCTGTCAAGAATTCTTTGCTTCTGGAGTTGAAGATTCGATTTCGGGGGATGCCAAACTCGCTCATCAGGAATTGAACTTTTTCTTCCGTCCCAACTGTCGTAAATACCTAGATCCAGACAATTAATCTCGTAGTCCAGACAAACATAGAGAGATGACTAACCTCTGCACCTATCATCTTGCATATCTGTATGGACGCGATACCGACACCACCACATGCCGAGTGAATGAGAACGGTCTGACAAAAGGTGTTAGCTACACATAAGGAAGGGCTTGAATGGTGCTTCCTTACCTGTCCTTTCTTCAGTGAGCCAAGTTCGATCAACGAGTAGATGGCTGTGAGATAGACAGTTGTCATGGTAGCAGCTTCTTCAAGGGAAAGGCCATCTGGGATTTTGCAGCACCGATCAGGGTGTGAAGTGATTCGGGATTGCAGCATGCCGGGATAAAATGCCATCACCTTGTCCCCGGGTTTGAGATCAGTAACATTGCATCCGACACGACGGATAGTCCCACTCCCCTCTAAGCCAATTTCGGTTTTGTTCCCAACAAGGCCCATGGCGATCAGAATATCCTTAAGAATAGTTAGAAGAGACGATATCCTCTCTGGAAGATGACATACCCTGAAATTCAATCCAATATATTGCACATCAATCTCAATCTCATCATCTCGGAGGTCAGGCAATGGGATAGCACACCACTGCAGAGTATCAAGGATACCGTACGTGCTGATATCAAGCTTTATCACCCTGTCCTCACTGGAATCCACCAGACTGTCTTGGGTCTTATTGGGAGCAGCCCATTGGCATCTCCCAACATGAACGGCCTCGTTATGATAAGAGAATTCGTACTCAGGGTCCATGTCATCCGCTGTTCGAGATGTATGAATTTTTTCGAGGACTTTGCATAGTGAGGCGGCCGCAGCCCGGTCAAATACATCTGTCTCGAAAATGGACAAATCGATGCCGATCTCCTTTCTGAGCGTTCGAGCAAACCCGAAGATTAGTCCATAGCGCGGATCTTTGCAGCTAAACTGTGCGGAACGAGTGACCCAGATGCTCCGACATTTGGCATTGAGAATGTAGTGTTGCAGTCGCAAAAATCCGTCCTCCTTGAGATCATACAGAAAGGGGCCGTCCAGGTCAAGCATGAAGACAATTCCTTTTCCACGGGGAGGTTCTTCGTCTAGTGTACTCCAGGATACGTCGTAGCCTTCTTCAAGAAATTTAGCTTCAACCTCACTGGCCCAGAAGCAGCTGGTGCTGTCTCCTACAAGGACAATCCCCTGAGCGTTCGACTGTGTAGAAACACTAGATAGCATGTTGAAGCTGAACTGAAATGGTGGCTCGATATCGTAGCTGTATGCGTCGCTTCCTGTGAATCCAGCTGCTCGTAGCTCAGAATCCCACCTGTCGGGTGAAATATAAGGTCTGTCATGTCGATTGTCGTCTTTACCAATCCACCATCCGGGGAGAACACCCTGCAAACCTGTCAGTAAGGCAGGGGCACTTTCAGTGTACTTTGAGCTCAGGGGCTCATTTACCATGGTATAGTCAATGATCAAACTCTCAGGATTCAGCTCGTTCAGAAGCAGTTTTCCATTGGGCGAAAGTAATTTATTCACGTTCTGGAGAGTGTCTCTGAGCACCGGAGTCGCATGAAGAACCTAGTTCTTGGTCAGCAGTACAAAAGTTAGCGGCACTAATATTACGAACTCACATTTGAGGCAATAACAAGATCAAATGTATGTGGCTCAAATCCTTGCTCTTCGGGGTCGCGAGAGATGTCAAGAACCATGAATTCAAGTTGATGATCGGCATTAAACTTCTCCTGAGCCGCAACCGTGAAGCCCGGTGAAATATCCGTGAAAACATATTTGGAATACAAACGTACACCCTCGGGTGTTTTGAGATTTTGCAACACTTGTTTTGTGGCAGCTCCGGTTCCAGCGCCGATCTCGAGGATGCGCATTCGTGGGTTTGCATGTCCGAGAAGTTGCAGAGGGTATTCCCAAAAATTTGTAGTGCCGATACCTGCATACAGCCTCTCCAGCCTGTTATCATCCATCAGGACATCCAGCGCAGATCTTTTGCCAGGTACAAACTCCGAATAATTCTCAAAAACAGCCTGGGAAGCTGCAGACAAGCCGGAGAAGCCATCCTTGTGGTCCCATGTCGCACAAATTTCAAGAATCTTGGACTGTCTAGCCTCAGAACTCAACGCTACCAGTTCTAACCACTCGGGACAGTTGTGGTAGTATCCAGTTCGTACCCTGGAGGCCGTGGTAGCTATCCAGTCTCTGTATCGGATCATGTGCGGCTCGTTTGAAGTTGAATAATCAATTTTCTCAGCTGTCTCGAGGACGTATAGGAGAGCGATTCGTGCAGCATCCTTTGACATTTCAAGAACCTCTCCAGCTGCATGGGGCTTAGTAACCCAAAGCTCAGGTGGAGTCAAGTCGATCGCGGGAGACCACTTTATTTGAGACATCAACGGAATGGGGTCCTTTGCAATCTGATCTTGCACACTGAAAAATGCAGCTTGGTCAAGAGATAACAGAAGCTTTCCATCGTTTGCCCTCAAGGTTGAGCTTCCAAGCAACGAACCGATTGAGCTGTGGGTCATCTGGCTCTCGAGTGGCATCTCTGTTGCGTTACCTGCAACGTAAAGCTGTCCTATTGCCGCAGGTATAGCAAGTCGATCGATCCGGCGTGAGACACCATTTGTCAGAGCAACACTCATGAGCTGCAGGCATTGATCGATGACAGTTGGATGGAGGGCATATCTGCTTGAGCAATTTTCAATTTTGTTTGTGACAATCGCATCTGCTTCCAGTTTCACTGGATCGGCGGCGATTGAATCTAGCCCTCGGAAAGACTGTCCATAGTTCAGGCCACGCTTGTCTAGCGCCCGGTACCACTGTTGGGTTTCAACAGACCGAATTCGCTTCTTGATATCCTTAGGGGACGGGGCATAATCGAAATGAGGCCGGACTTGTCCTTGGCACTGCTTCGTCCAACCAACACCGTCATGCGCCGTTATGGTGAAATTGTACCAGTCCGAGTCGACAAGGTCTGTAACTTTCACAGGCCTGAAACTGGTAATAATTTCAGTAGCCTGATCATCCTTCAACAGAAGTGGGGATTTCAACACGAGATTCTTGATGGAGTAATCTTCCACGTCAGCGTGCAGTTGCCGTACTGCTTCTCCTGCCATCGCAACGTACGCTGCTGCCGGAAAAACCACGTTCCCTTGCAGAACATGATCCCATATCCAGGGCACATCTTCGAGATGAAGAATATTTCTCCACGAAGGCTCAAGGTCCGAGGATTCTGCTATCCTGGCACCCAGGATTTCATGGTGTGCTGATTTTCTCTGCCTCCATGCAGTTGCGAGGCGGCTTTCATGCCAGTGGCGTGTCGGGTGCTGCCATGCATACGAAGGCAAACTGGAAAGTGTCTCCCCAACCCCGCTGACAACGTCCCATTTAACATCCATGCCGCATAGGTGATTGCACCCAATTGTGTGAAGAATTTGAGACCTTGAGTCTTCAGCGTGGCGAATCATTGTTGGAATGTAAACAGGATCTGTTTTCAAAGATAACGATTTGAAGATTTGCCGGAGTGGACCAGCTAAGGCAGAGTGTGGTCCAATCTCAACAAAGCTGTGCCTGGAATTGGATCCATCGAGTATCAATCTGATCGCATCGTTGAAGAGAACCGGGGACTGCAAATTTCGTCGCCAGTATGAAGCACCCAGTTGACTCGGGCTGCTTATGGTTTCCGAGGTCACAGATGAGAAAAAGGGTAGCATTTCCGTCTGCAGTTCAATGTAGCCGGCGATCTGATTTTCATATATCTTCCCTGGATCGAGCATATGGTCTGAAGCATGCATTAGATTTCAGCTCAAACTGAAAGAGGTACACAGAAGGTATATAGACTTACGCGAGTGATAGGCAGTCTTGACACGGAGTAGCCGGCACAGTGTCTCCGGTAGGTCTTCTTTTATCCGTCCACTGATTTCATGAATGGCATCAATATCCCCGGACAGTGTCACGCTTTGGGGGCTGTTTTCGCAGGCAACAACGACAGAATCACTGAGATAAGGGGTGATCTCGCTGCGTCCGACACCGACAGCTAACATCGCACCCTTGCCATCCATTGATTCGGTTGCGATTCCACGGTAGTAGGCAACCGCCATTGCGGATTTTGCGGTTATCGCCCCGGCTGCATATGCTGCAGTAATCTCACCGCTGGAATGACCAACAACGGAGTCCGGTTGAACCCCCATGCTTCGAAGCAGGTTAACAAGTCCGATTTGCAGAGCTGTGCACAGAGGCTGAGATAGAGTGGACTTATTGACGCGGCAGTTCGGGTTCATGAGCTCCTCTGAACCATGTGTTAGTAAAGACATTCATTTGACCCTGGTAGTTGAACTTCACCCTGTAGGCTCCACGAAGGAGGATTCTCCAGTTCTTGCAACGAGCTGTCCAGCTTTTCAATATCTTCGCGGAAAGACTTAAAAGTCTCAATTAGATCCTTGCCCATTCCCGCCCATTGAGCCCCTTGGCCAGTGAAGACAAATGTGAGCTTCGTGGATGTTTTTTGGCCTTTTTGGAAAGAGCCTGGGTCAACTGGCTTGCCGGGTGATGCCACAGCAAATGCCCGATGCAGTAAATGCTCACGTCGTACACTAAGTGTATAAGCTAGATCATGAAGGGTATCGGGGTTGTCGTTGGCATAGTGAGATATGTCTTTAATTCGTTGCTGAAGAGATTCGGCACATTTCGCAGATACAACAAGAAGGCGCGCGCCCTCGGGCTGCGAAATTTTCGCACTATGATTTCGTCTGTGGCTTTCAAAATAGCTCTCTTTGGAGTCCAGGACGACATGAGCGTTTGCTCCACCAATCCCAAAACAATTGACACTTGCCCTCTGCAAACGATCTGTTGGCCATGGCAGAACTGATGTCGGGACTTCAAGCTTGGCCTCGTCAAACGGAATTTTCGGATTTGGAGTGTCAAAGAAGATGTTCGGAGGTATTTGTTTGGTTTCTAACGCGAGCACAGTTTTGATGACTGAGGTTATGCCCGAGGCGCCTTCGGAATGGCCCACATTTGGTTTTACCTGAGACAGTTAGAGAGTATTCACAGACCGGAGATGTTCACTAACTCACTGATCCAATCACTGTTCCATTGTTTTTGAACAATTTTGCAACGACAGAGGTTTCGGCTGTGTCACCGATAGTCGTTCCCGTACCATGACATTCGAAAAACGCCGTCAGTGAGATGTTTTCAATGCGCGCTTTCTTGTACGCTTTTCTGACCAGGCGCTCCTGAGATAACGATCCCGGCGTAGTGATGCTTGGGGTTTTACCGTCGCAATTTGTTGACGTAGCTCGAATAACCGCTCGGATCGGATCGTTACTTCTGATTGCATCGTCGAGTCGTTTGATATAAATTGCATTAATTGCTTCCCCTCGGCCATAGCCGTCGGCCTTCGCATCGAATGTCCTACACATGCCACTCGGAGACAAAACCATGTTCTCAGACATTGTCGTTGTCATGGTGGGAGCAAAAATGAGATTGGTACCTGCAACGATGGCCGATGAGCACTCCCCCGAGTACAGTGCCTGACAGGCTTCGTGGAGGCCAACCAGGGATGACGAACATCCGGTCTGCAGGGTCATGCTGCGATTGGAACATTAGAGATGATCACAAGAAGCGTAAAGGAAACGTACCTCGGACCCTGGAAGTCATATTCGTATGAAACTCGATTGGACAGTGCAAATTGGCCAGTTCCGAGGACATGATAACGATCCACGTTTTGGGGATCCTTGCTGGCCAAGTCCAGCCAGTCTTCTCCATATACTCCAACAAAGCAGCCAACCTCCTTGCCTCGCCATTTCGTTTCTCCAGCACTCTCGAGACATTCCCACACAATTTCAAGTAGCTGTCGCTGCTGGGGGTCCATTCGCGCGGCCTCTGCTGGCGTGATGGAAAAGAAGTCTGTATCAAAGCATGCAGGGTCTTCTTGGAGGAAATAACCTCGTCGCGTTCTGACAGAATGAGGCTTGGATTCATTGTAGAATGACTCTATATTGTACCGATTTTCTGGAACCTCACACAGTCCATTTCGCTTCTCAATCAAGAATTTCCAAAACTCGTCAGGTGAACTTACACCACCCGGTAGTCGGAGGGCCATGCCACAGATTGCAATCGCTGGAAAGTTTCCTATTTCGGGGTTTGCGTATTGTTCTTGACCCCCGATCTCAGGTTGGTGAAGCTCGTCATCTCTGCAGAGTGAAATATGGTTCACGGATTCGGTAGGTGGCTGCCCACTAGCAGTACCGAGCTTCGCGGATATTTGGTTCATTCCCATGATTTGCTCAAGGGAATTGGCTTCTTCAATCTGATCCAGTCGTAGTGAGGCCATCTTGGTGCTCGTTTCGGCTTGATCAAAGCAGACGGTTGGCGGTGTTCTAGTAGGGCCCAGTCTTTACCCCTGATCAAGCAGTGATTATTTGCACAGACGTCGACATCTTAGGGATGTGGGGAAGCCACTATTATCATGGCTGCAGAAGCATTCGACGCGATGGACAGGTTCACGCAAGGGGGTCGGTCAAGAGAGCTGAACTGGGCGATCCACCCGGCCATCCGGCCCCAAGGCTTTGGTATGATACATCACACCTTCGACCAATGAAATGACTGCGAGAGGTCTCAAAAAAGACGGCTGGACCTCTGTTGGTAGATATTCATGCAGGCCTATCTAATATATTGAAAGGTACAGCTGACATGTGTCAATAGCCTGTTTGCTCGTTGGCTGCCTGAGGCATCAACCGCCCTCCTTTTCACGTCCTTCCTTTTTTTATTCCCTGGCTCTCTCTGATAGATCATTTCCGGAAAGGCCTTCGTCGATTTATTGTCCGCATATACGAACGTCTCCCACAGCTTTGGAATTATTGTTTTCCAACCCTTCCTTCTTGCAGGCAACTATGCGCGGCGCTACGCGACACGCAAGTCTCGAACCATTTTTTAGCTTCTTCCAACTTCTAATTAAACGGGTAACAATCAAGCCCTAGTTCCCTGTGCATGTTAAGCTTCGAACATGAATCATTCAATCATTGACGAGAAGGATCGTCCCGCCCCTAGCGACGATGGAATTCCTGCCGAGATTTATTTATTTACCCCTAGATACGCGTGAGAAATTAGTCAAAGGCACGAATAAGTGCTCGCCGGATCTTACAGACTTTTGAATCCCGGAACCTCGCCGCTCGTTTTCATCCAAATTCGTTATATCCTACTCGGCACATCCAAGTTTTGCGATACTGTTGGAGCTATTCCTCTTCACTATGCTTGTCACCCGAGTCCTCGCCGTCGCCGCTTTGGCAGTCACGAATGTTCTGGCTATTGCAAACATCGATCAGACCGTGTCGGACATACAGGAGATCACCCACAAGACCAGGGTCGTCAAACGCGCTATCGAAAACTTCAACGGCGGAATTCCTAGCGCTCTAAGGGTTGCAAATGCCATTTACAGCGCCCATGCTGCTGCTGAAATGACGCGAAAGCACATCGGGAGCTCCGATCCATTCTCTGATGAGGATGGTGACAAGACCATGGATGCATACAATGAATTTTATCCAGTGCTGCTCGCGACATTGCAAGCTGGCCAAGAAAAGGTATGGTCTACAAAATACTCTCATGTTGAAATTCTTAGGAAATCAAACTAACTTATGGTTACTAGGCACCCGAAGTGAGAAGGTCCGGCTTTGCGTACTTGACGCAGGGTATGGTCAGCAATCTGTACAACGAGAAGACTCGCGTCGAGGAAGCCATGCACAGTCAATTGTCGAGCAACCACAGCCGCATGCTTGAGCCTACCATGCACCAGGTTGACATAGAGTTCAAGAAAACCTTGGATTCTTACCAGGGATAGATCAGTCATGATGTATTACAAACCGATGTTACACAGTTATGTACGGTAGCCCTGCAAGGGGCAAGCATCTCCCTTATCGGTTCGCTGGTAACACAATGGCGATCTCCAAACAGTGCTTTTTCAATTTTCTTTTTCCTCGATACATGATAGCACTTTTTGAATGATCCTTAATTACATTCCGGCTTTCACCAAGTATTCAATCTCATGAGGAAACAAAATCATCAATTCCAGCATGAGACATTTATCCCCCATCAGACCCAAGAAAGTCCACGATTTTACGTGGCAGTCTGAGCTTCAGTGGTACTATGAATATTTTCATTGGGGCCACTTTTTCTTTCTCGTCTGTCCAATCATCCCGCTTCCACTTGTTGTCAAATTCGTTGATCTGAAACTTGAGACGGCTATTCTGACTTTTTGCTCCCACATTGTGTATGGCTTGGCCATTACCGCCGGTATGTTGAATCCTTCCATTCTTTTAGAGATAGCAAACTGAAGTGTTTACCAGGGTATCACAGACTGTGGGCGCATCGGTCATACGCGGCATCCGCTTGGCTGCGATACTTGCTTGCCTTTATCGGGGCCGGCCAGTGCCAATGGTCGATCCTGTGGTGGTGTCGTCATCATCGTGCTCATCACCAACATACAGATACGGACAAAGATCCATACAATGCACGACGAGGTTTCGTCTTTTCTCATATCGGTTGGTTGATCGGACACAACCCCTCTTCGTGGGGTAAAGTGGATGTTTCCGACTTGGAACAAGATCCTGTTGTGCTCTGGCAACAACAATTTTATGTGCCTTTAGCCATCCTCTCCGCTGTCGTTATCCCTGTCTCTATTGCCCATTTTGGCTGGAATGATGGGAAAGGTGGCTACTTCTACGGCTGTTGTATCAGGCTCTTTATTAGCATGCATAGTACATTTTTAGTCAATTCGCTGGCACATGCAACGTGGGCTGGAACTCAGCCATTCTCCGAGTCAACGACTGCGCGCAACGTCCCATTGGTCGCTCTTCTCGCAGGGGGAGAAGGAAGCCATAATTTCCATCATGCCTTTCCGACAGACTATCGGAATGGAACAAAATGGTTTGAACCAGATTGGTCTGCTCGACTCATCAAGTTGTGTGAAAAGCTTGGGATTGCTTGGGATCTCAAAATGACCAAGCCATCTCATATAACAGAGGTTCGATCTCGCAAAGAACGGAAAGGTGGTCTACAACGAGGATCTGAGGGCCTTTCGGCTAGGCTAACTTCGCACTTGCCGAACATGGAATGGGGCACTTTCGCGGAGTTATGTGCTAGCGGTCGTCGTTTGATATGTATCAACGGCGTTGTCCATGATGTGTCGCATTTCATATATGACCATCCCGGTGGATCTCAGCTGATTGAAAGTTCAGTTGGCAGAGATGTGACAGAACTATTCTACGACGGCTCTCATCCTCATTCTCAAAATGCAAGAGAGATCCTTGTCGGAATGCAGATGGCCTTGATTCGTTCTTAATCGACCTGTGTATTGTCTATATTAAAATATGTACTTGGGAAGGATTTAACACAACGCTCAATAATATTCGCACATCACATAGTCGAGGTCAGCCAATGCGCACTGACTCGCGCATTAAGGAAACTCAGATGTAATTTAAACATGATTCTTTCAGGAATCATCTCTAATATATTTCGGATAATATATGGCTAACCACTTCATGTGAGTGGCTCTGAATGACCCATGCGTCCGTTGTTAAGAGCTCCGTGATTATAGCTCGTCAATGAATAATGGAAGTTTCTGGGGGTATTTTCATTCTTCATCATGTCTTGGTAAAGAAGGTGAGTTGAGACTTCCTATAAGGTTGCCGTCGGCTCCAGACGACCAGGTTAACGCTATCATCACGTGGTTCTGAACACCGGCACCACATTAGATCGTCAGTAGCTCCACACTGGCACCTCCCTCTCTTTCTCTACATATTGTTCTCCATCCACGTGCATATCACCGGTGTTTTTCGAGCGCAGGAATCTTTTCTTCATCGAGCATCCGTAATCTCAAGATCTCTCCCCAAGCTGTCTCCTGGTGTCTTACCATCCGCCGTCGCCTCTTGTGTCCCGGTCCCACGACCAGGTTGTTTCGCAAAGGCGAGTTAGCTCCTAACAGCTTGAACCCTTGAGCCAAGACCGTGACTCGCGAGACATATTACAACAGACTGGTCCGACTGAGTTCAATAGGTCGTGTCCCTTGACCGCCCCTCTCTGTATCTTGATCCACAGATATTATATCTGTTTACCGTTCTCCAGGCCGAGGTACGTATCCTCATATACAACTACGCCTTCGAGTCCCAGGCAATTCCTCAAACGATTGCCTTTGTGATCCTTCAAAATGGGACTGGAAACACTACCGGCCTGGCTTGAGGCAGCGCAGTGGCACGTCATTCGCCCTCTCTCAAACGTGCCAAATCTACTTCGAAGCTTTTCTGCTTCCCCTGCAGTTCCCGATGAATATGGATGGCTCGTTGCACCTTGCGACTGTGCGTAGCTCGCTTCGCACATATACATGGATCGGGCTTAGAGAGGAGTTTTGATTTAACGGGTCACATCTCAGCTTCAGACCCCTCACCTTCAACTTTGATGGCAAATTGACCGACCAACGAAAAAAGTCCGGCCCAAGTCGTACCCCTGTGCCTCCCAAGCTAAGGCCCATTGATTCCGAAGTGCCTTCAGAAGCACTTCTGGAATTCAGAATTGACGGTCAGCCTGAGCTGATTAGGGATGGATCTGCGGGTGAATACTATGATCTTCTCACATGGAAACTGCGGAAATTAGAGAAAGAGATATGCTGACTTTAGTGGATCGTCCAGCACTTTCGTTCATTAGAAAAAATGTCATTTTATTTTTGGGAGTGTGAGATGTACAGGATGATCGAGAACGGGTGAGAAGCAGGTGGTATTAGCTATATGCTACTATCTTCTGCTATCTGAGAGAGAGAGAAGAGGAAGGAAGAGAGAGCGTGGGAAGTGAGAGAAGAGGTACAGAGTCAGGTGACTGTGGTGACTAAGTGGGTACCTGATGTATGTACGCTCAATTTTCGACCAAGAGGAGCTTTCCTCATTCAGATATTGTCTGTTGCAACCTGGAGAGTTTCCTGGCTTTCCGGATCCAAATAGGATATTCAACCCATTTTCAGCTTGCCTGAAACGTCAAAACAGGAATAGGCCCGTGCAAAGTCGCGAAGAGGGAGGTCCCGAACGGGAATGGTAAGATTGCGGCCCGGAAGCGCTCAACCGTGGATAGATATCCGCGCCCTGTACGGGAAAGTATGACCTTCTCCCAACACCAGTTCTCGACAGCTCAACCTTGTCCCCATTCTTTTTGCACAGGTACCAGTTCACCCAAAAGACTTGCTTATTAGAGGGAAATCGGAATTCGTGTTGAAATCGACTCATCAGGTATGTAACCGTCTACCTGCTAGTCAGCCCATCGTCTGAGGTTCTAGCGATGTCTAAAAAATGACAGTAGAACACGCAGGATGTCTTACCAATACATCATAACAAATGATGGTCCGTACATCAAGAAGCTACCCAATGTTCTGGAACCTACTCTACCTGAAAATCCTGTTCCTGTCACAACAAGCGGAAGGGTGGAAGACACCCTGACCGAAGAAGAGCAGCGGAAAAATGCTCGCAGTAAACGGTTGAAGAAATGGCGATATGCCGTGGGCATTGTCATAGCTACCGTCTTCTTCGTTGGTCTGATAGGATTCATGGCATACGAAGCCTGGGATCACATGGTCGCTGAACCTCAAAGACAATTCAAGGCCAGCTCCATGGGTCCCAACGACACGATTACCGATATCAAAACAGATATTCTGAACAATGGACAAGCCTGGACGGAGATAAGCGCCAGTCTGTATGAATTTCCGGAGGCTTCTCCTGCTTCTGAGACTACTCGCCGACGCAGGTCTTCCTCTCATCAATGATGATGACTCTCCAGTCATTTTCTCGCGGAAAGTACTGCCAGCCTGAGACATCTGTTATGGATGCTCATGAGGAAGTAGAAGTTGTTGAAGATGGTATTGACGAGTGATTTGTGAGTTTGATGACTAACGTTTATTCTTATATGTCGGCCCATACTTTTATGTCGCACTTGAAGTTTCTGAGAAGCTTTTTATTTTATTTTATTTTTTATTTGATATTTTTGTTGATTTTTGGGCGACGGACTGACTGCCTCTTTGCTTGCTTTGTGTCGATATCAGCAGACACTGGCCATTGCTGTGTTATTGATGATTTCAGCTGATTGGAGTTTGATTTCTGTTTTTGTATCACAGATTCTGTCATGAGAATAGCAATACCAACAATATTCTTACAGAATGGAGTTGTTCTGCCTCGGGTGGTCATTGTATGTGGCCACTTGTTGTCTCGGGACCCGCGGGCCACGCACAGGCACGTGCAGCTCGCGATCGCCGGGCGGTGCTGTTACATACCGTAATGGTTCACCGCATATACTGCCACCAAATTACACCTATATACACGCACTTAGCTACGCAAATCGGCGGTCTGGACATTTCCATCGCGGTCGGCAGAGCGTGGTAATACAAGGTCGACACAGCTTTACCGCTGTTTACCGCAGACGTTTCACACCCCTCCACAAACATTCCCGTCCTTAAAAGGAGCTCCCTCGCTTCACCGTCCTTCCTGTCTTGCTCCGAATCTCCACAGGAACCCCTCGACGCCTCGACGAGGGCACCAATTGATCATGAGTGCGACAGCCAAGGACGTCGAGCTGTCTAGCGACATCGACTTCATCAAGACTCCCGCCGCAAAGCCCGCCGAGTTCGAGACCGGCCAGGACTGCGGAATTGCCCTGACCAACGTGAGTTTGCCATTGGCTCGTTTTCAGCCCAATGTGAAGCTTGCTAATCCCTCCAAAAAGTCCGCAGCTATCCACAATGCTCCCCTGCCCGCAGATGGCCCCGGAAACGAGAGCTTCTCCAACTACGTTCTAGGCGGCACCCTCGTCGGTGTCCCGGCTTTCGTCACCTACCTGCTCGGTGGTGGCTTCAAGACCTGGGTTTTCTTCGCTATCGTCCTGCTGCTTCCTATTCTCGTCGCTTTCTGGACCTATGCTTCCAGCTGCAGTCCCCGGACCAACACCAAGGTCAAGCTTCCTGGTCGCCCTGTCGAGCATTACATCACCTTCAAGCGCGAGGAGGACAAGGCGAAATGGAGTGGAAAGAACAAGGTCCCCCTGCAAACCTTCGCTGAAATGTATCTGGATGGTCTCGTGGACTTCAATGGTGATGTCCTCGAGGTTCTGGAGTACCGCCACGACTGGGCCAACTTCACCTTCACCTGGGAGCTGTTCAAGTTCATCGTCTTCACCTTCTTCGTCGATGTGATCTTCCACACCAAGGCTCAGGATGAGGAGCAAATCCGCCCCAACTACGATCGCGGTAACGACCACTACGCTTGGTTCCTTGGGCCCCGTATGATCTACACCTCCGGTATCATCTCCGATACCGAGAAGGAGGAGACTCTGGAAGAACTGCAGGATAACAAGATGGCCGTCGTCTGTGAGAAGATTGGCCTGAAGGAAGGCGAGACTATGCTGGATATCGGCTGTGGCTGGGGTACCCTGGCTAAGTTCGCCAGTCTCAACTACGGCGCCAAGGTTACCGGTCTTACCATTGCGGAGAACCAGACTGCTTGGGGTAACGATGCTCTTCGCAAGGCTGGTGTCTCTGACCAGCAGAGCCGCATCTTGTGCATGGATTACCGCGATATTCCCCGTACCAAGTACGACAAGATTACGCAGCTGGAGATGGGCGAGCACGTCGGTATCCGCAAGCTTACTACCTTCTTCCGTCAGTGCTATGATATGCTCAATGATGATGGTGCCATGTACGTTCAGCTGTCTGGTCTGCGTCAGGCTTGGCAGTACGAGGATTTCATCTGGGGTCTCTACCTGAACAAGTACATCTTCCGTGGAGCTGATGCCTCGACTCCTCTGTGGTATTACGTCAAGTGTCTGGAGCAGGCTGGCTTCGAGCTTAAAGGGTAAACGATCCCGCCAATCTTCGGTTGATCAATTACTAATAGCGAACAGAATTGATACCGTCGGTGTTCACTACTCCGGTACTCTCTGGAGATGGTACCGCAACTGGGTCGGCAACGTCGAGGCTATCAAGGCCAAGTACGGTCCCAGGTGGTACAGGGTGAGTGCTTTTTACTCTTTTTCTTTTGTGACAGTTACTAATCCCGTCTCAACAGATTTGGGAGCTCTTCCTCGCCTGGTCCGTTATTGCCTCCCGCGAGGGTATGGCTACCTGCTACCAGATGGTCGTTGTCAAGAACCTGAACTCGACTCACCGTGTCAACGGCATCTCCTCCCAGTTCGGTTTGGCCGGTGCCCTGGCTGCCAGCAAGGCCGCCGGCAAGAACAAGTTGCCTTAAACCCCTCGTCTTTGACAGGAAGTGGCGAGTAAGAAATATCCATAGTGCGTACCACTTGTTCCTCGCGCGGTGCGAACGCGGTGATGATGGAAGTTTCTTGTAAAATACAGTAAGTACTATAGACATGACGCAGTTACTCGGAATGAAATGAATCTTTTTTGGGCAAAAGCTTATTCTGGCGGACTACTCGTAGTGTGGAATGTGGCTCGGACTACTAATCGCGGAACAAAACATCAAGTGCAAAGGCAGGCATAAATAACCACCCTTTGTACCTCAATCCATTGTTAATCAACCACAGACTCGAAGACGATATTAATCCCACTCTTCGCCCACCCTCGAAATTGTTCTTGACATGCGAAAAACCTTCGCTCAAAATGAAAGAACATAAAGAACTATATACGCCCGAGGACCTAAAACACTCAACACCGTCAGTCCCCCAGCCCTCCACGTCGGACTAAACAATCGACTCGCTTCGCGCTACTACAAACAAGCGCCCCGACAAAACCGAATCACACACCCCAGAATCCTGTGCCTTCCGCGCAGCCCTCATACAACTCCCCAACAATTCAGTACACAAAACCCTCGAATCCGACCCCGACCTCTCCGCTAAAATAAACTCCTACACCTCTGTCACCCAAAAATAAAATCCCTTCTAGAGAACCAAATCGGCTCCTCCCCCGACCACACGAGTGTCCAGAAGTATTCATCTCACATTAGCCCCAGCGCAAATCACGATGTTATCCCCCGTACAGAGGCGGATCCGGTAACGGCTGCCATCCTAGAGGATCGTGAAGCATGTCTCGACTGTCTTTTCGAGATGGACCTTGTAAATCGTGGCTGCGTCGCGTATAATGAATATGGATGGTCCATCCTCACTGCAGCTGTCAAGACAGATGCGAGGATAGAATTTGGTACGATAGGAGATTTGGTGAGTCGATTCTGAAGTTTGCGGCAACTGCGCAGTAGTCTGCTTTGAGTGATGATTGTCTTTGGGAGATTGTTTTTTGGTGTGATAGTCTCACCGACTCTGAGATTCCGGAGCGTGTTGCGGGAGAAAACTGGATTCGCTTGATCGGTATCCGCCTTGCCAGATGTCTTCGGTGCATGTTGCGAATCGGCTTTTGACATTGGGTGTTGATGTTGCGAGGTTGGCGAGGGGACCGAGGGGGAGGTCTTGTTGACATGCTGCGGTAGTTTGTCAGAATGTTGTGTTTCTCACTTAGTTGAAGCTACGCTACGCTGTCCGGAGGCTGTGAATGTTCCAGATAGTAATGGGATCATCACGCCGTTGGTGTACGCTTTTTAGTTGGGGAAGAGGAGGTCTGTTAGCTGGTTTCTTGCGGAGTCGTCTACTGTTGATATCACGGGTAAGGAAACACATAACGTAATCGGTAAGCGAGCCGCGCATGTAAGCCAGTCGCGCACCCACCCCAAAACGCGTCTATGAATTAGCACTTAATTCATTCAACCACCCACCATGCCACCAATTCGTGCCAGAGGCTCTACAAATTCAACAGAGCAAGAGGGTAGGATATTATTAGCCATCCAGGCTATTAAAAATCAAGAAATATCCTCCGTTCGCAAAGCTGCGCGCATTTATAATGTGCCTGAAACTACACTTCGCGATCGTCGTCACGGCACCACAAATCGCGCGATTTCTCGCGCAAATTCGCATAAATTAACAGAAATCGAAGAGGAATCACTTCAAAAATGGATACTCTCTTTAGATGATTGCGGAGCAGCGCCCCGGCCATCTACTGTACGCGAAACTGCGAATCTTCTTCTCGCGGCCCGCGGAACTACACCAGTTCAAACCGTCGGAGAAAAATGGGTTTATAACTTCGTAAAACGACACCCAAGCCTATCATCCCGATTCTCAAGACGTTATAATTACGAACGTGCGAAGTGCGAAGATCCAAGAATCATTAGGGAGTGGTTTGATCTTGTTCAAAAAACCATTCTTCAATACGGCATCGATCCCGACGATATTTATAACTTCGATGAGACTGGTTTCGCGATGGGATTAACAGCGACCGCGAAGGTTATCTCGAGGGCTGAATACTACGGTCGGCGATCGCTTTTACAGCCCGGAAATCGCGAGTGGGTGACTACAATCGAGTGTACGAATGCTTCAGGGTGGGCGCTCCCTCCGTGTGTGATTTTTAAAGGCAAAGTTTTGATCGAGGGTTGGTTCGATAATCTTCCGATAGACTGGAGATTCGAGGTTAGTCCGAATGGCTGGACTTCCGATGAGATCGGCCTTCGTTGGCTCGAAAAGCTCTTTATTCCGTCGACTTCTTCGCGGGTGAAGGGAAGGTATCGACTTTTGATACTCGATGGTCACGGAAGCCATTTGACTCCGAAATTCGATGAACTTTGTGAAAAAAACGATATTATACCAATCTGTATGCCTGCGCACTCGTCTCACCTTTTACAGCCACTCGATATCGGCTGTTTTGCCGTGTTAAAGCGCTCGTACGGTCGGATAGTTGAAACGAAAATGCGGAACGGAATCAACCATATCGACAAACTTGATTTCCTCGAGGCTTATCCTTCCGCTCCGATACTATTATAAATAGCTTCAGAGCAGCTGGTTTGGTACCTTTTTCACCCGATCAAGTGATCTTAAAGCTTGATATTTGTCTTCGAACCCCGACCCCCCCTCCGAGCCGGGATAGCGAATCAAGCCAGAATTTTACACCAAAAACCCCTTTTACCGATAAACAAGTACGTCGGCAAGCTTCATCAATCAAAGCTTTACTTCGTACGGGGTCTCGAAGTCCACCAAGCCCATCAGATCGAGCGTTAAACCAGCTTATTAAAGGCTGCCAACTTTCGATGCAGAGCGCTACTTTACTAGCGGAGGAAGTCAAAGGATTACGGGCGGAAAACGAGAAGAAGAAACAAAAACGCACTAGATCTCGCAGGCAGATGCCTTCCACTGAGGGCCTCTCGGTTTTCGAGGCCTCTGCATTAACAATGCAGTAGCAGCAAGCAATTGAACCCGCTCCACCCCCCGGGGATGGAAGGCCTTCGGAGGGTTTACAGCCACCTACGCGGGCCCAGCGAGGATGTGGAATATGTAGGCGCCCGGGACATAGAAGGGAGACATGCCCAGATAGACCAGCAAGTTAGCTGAATTAGATTAATAGCGTTTTTGTTGAAATAAATGCATTTAAAATTAATAGGTTGCTTAAGGTGCGCGACTGGCTTACATGCGCGGCTCGCTTACCGATTACGTTAATGTGTCTGTTAGATCTGTGTTGAATACGGCGCTCGAACCCCGAAATGAGAATTGTGTGGTCATTCTCTCTGTCCGTAACGCACTCTGGCTATGAGCAGTTTTCTGGAGATATTTCGGTTATCGTGCATATGATTGAGACGATCATTGCGAGCCTTATCGCGGGGGGAACGAATTTCGGTATCCGAGTCAAGAATGGATTCATCAACAAATCGTAAAGACAGGGTCTCTGGACAAAATATAAAGACTGGATGGTGCCAAAATGTCAGATTTTCATTGAGAATGCCCCAGTGAGACTTTTTCACAATGCCGACCGAGTATCGAAGCTGCGTCAGAAAGGCTCAAGGGAACAGGATGGGGTTTTGCAACATTGTTTGACGATCAATTCTGTTACGAAGAGTGAGGCTTCGCTCGGGTGAGAACTTCTGGTTACCGTATGAGGCATTGTTATTAATACTATAAGGTGAGTGCAATGATCGAATGCACTACCTCAATTACATGCGCCTGAGTCTAAATCAATTTCATTCGCGACAATCATCTTCAAAACTTGGTTGAAACCGAATTCTATACATAAACTATATCATCACCTTCATCCACACTAGTTGTGATCATCTCCCTTAGTCTCAGCGAGACCCAGACATTCCGCCATATTAAAAAAAATATCAATAGAATTATAAACTCCCCCAAAGAGCTCCTGGCAAGGGCCCTGAGCAAACACAGGCACATCGGTCAAAGAGTGGACGCCTTCGTCCGCGGAGACAGGGAGAGTACCGTTAATCAGGAATCCAGTCACGGCATCCTTGTAGTTGGCATAGTACCCATTCTTTTTATCCTTGGCTGCTTCCGCCGGAGTACGCGGACCCTCGTTGTGAACCTGGTAGTTTTCGCGGTGGTCGGGAAATGCGACGACGCCTGCGTGCAGGGTGTAGCGTGGGTCCCACCGGGCTGGAAAGTGGACGCCCTCAGAGTAGCGCAGAGACTTGGGTCCGTCGACTGTGTATTGGGAGAGACCAGAGTTCTGGTAGTAGCCGACTGCATTGCGCTTGCTGCGGTCGTCTTCTTGTGCGTCGAGGTAGTCTGTATCCACGGAGCCGGTTACGTCAAAGCCGTGGCCGTGGTCGGCAGTCACGACGATGAGGGTATCCTCTAGTTGGTCGAGTTCTTTCAATTTCTCGATGGTTGCACGAACGGTGTCATCGAGCTCGAGGAGTTCGCCAAGAGACCGGTCGTAGTCGAGGGTGTGCATTTGCTTGTCGATGCTGGCTGCCTCAGACATGAGGAAGAATCCGTCGTCGGCGTGGCGCTCGTGCAGCACGTCAATTGCTTTTAGTGTCATGTCCTTGAGACCTGGGAGGTCTTCAGCGTCTCGCTTCGAGCCATCGGGGTAGTTGCTTTGGTTTTGGAGGTTGGCCTGGTAGACGTTGCGGTCCAGCCAGGTGGCGAGATTGGAGGTCTGGAAGACACCTAAGAGCTTTTCGTCGCTGGGCGCATTGTGAAGGGCGGTGTTGTTCCACGCAACGTTGTATCCCTTCTTGGCGAAGAGATCGTAGTAATCGCGATGGCTGTCTTCACTGGTAAGGAAGTTCTCCGCGCCAGCTCCGAGAAGAACATCAGGTCCATCCCAGTTCGTCCACTCGTACTCCGTCAGACCCTCGTAATAAGCTGTGATGACATGGTCATACTTTCCACGATCACTGGTGTGGGCAGCCAGTCCGGCAGGAGTCGCATCGGCCAGGAAAGCAGTTGACACAATGCCAACACCGCCATCGGGGTATCGACGGCGGAATACCTCGACGATGTTTTCGAATTTTGGGTCATCGAAGGGGTCGCTGGAGGAGTCGACGTAGACATTCAACGCATTAACTGTGGTCTTGTGGCCGGAGTACAGCGCGGTGGCGGAGTTGGCCGAGTCTGTGATGAACGAGTCCATGGAGTGTGTCATCTGGTGACCCAGGACGGGGAACTTGTCTAGCGCCATCTTGGTCATGTACTTCCCGTTGATACTGCGATGAGCCATGAGGCGTGCGGCAGTAATCATGTTTGTCGTCATGCCGTCTCCAACGAACAGAATGACATTCTTTGCGCGCCGCTTGCTAGGCAGATCACGCACGACCCAGTTGGCTACTGTCTTCTCGTTGCCGTAGTAGCTGAGAGTAGCTTCGTACTCTCCGGGCTCGTAGAGGGCCACCCGTCTATAGGCCTTGGCCGTGACATTGACGAGCGAGGGCTGATTCGCATCCTGGGCGAAGAGATCTGACTATGGGTTAATTGGCTGATCAATAAGAACAGAATTTCGAAACCATACCTTCATACCAAGTGAAGTTCCACCTCTCCAGCTCAGGCTCCTCGACTTTGAAATACTTGGCAGCATGGATGGCATGACCACCTTTTTTCGAGATAGTGAACTTGAAGTCTGCATCCGGCTCCCCAACACGCGCCTCGGACCCATTAATAGGGGAATGAACCTCGAGGCGGATATCGAAGAATTGACCAGGGAGGAAATCCGCCCTGTTCATGCACTGTCAGCAGAAGTAGATACCCTAAAAAACGGGGTTCATACTGGTCCGGGGGAAACACGCAGCCCAGATCGGGACACCCACCCAGCCGTTGAAAGGTCTGGGCTGCCGTGTATGAAACACTGCATGCCACTGCTAAGATCGACCGGGCCCGCATGATGATCGCCTAATCAGATGATGTCGAGGACAGAGAACGTGAAAGCGAAAGCAACAGACACAGGCCTCTTAAATAGATCGGCCAGACTAAACGATTGAGGCGCAAGCTCAACATCCTGCTCGCTTGATTCACGGAAAACAGCACCACGCGCCAAGCGACTGCCGTGCGAGGGAAGCAGGTCCAATCTCCGACGCATCTTGGCCGCCAGGAATCCGGTTTTCCGACTGGAAGCTGCACGCCCAATGCTCGCAGGTCACATCGCAGGCGTTGAATAGCAAGATCAAATAGGATAGACGCACTGTCTACACGTGCGGCACTGCCGAGTGATGTGTGGGAGGCTTGGGAGTCTTGGAAGTCTTGGAAGGCTTGGAAATATCTCTTGGCTGTCCGCCCGGTGGAACCTTGTCTCGCGGCGAGACTGGTCCGGTCGGGAAGGCTCTGGTATCCCCCTGTGGGATATCGTCGGAAGCCGACTGGTAAGCGGATATTTTGTGGTATTTGGTCTGACCACCTTCCATGTGGCGACAGGGGTTGGTTGGAGGTCTTTCATCGCATGGCAGGCGTGCCTTTGGCCCCGTGCGTCTCCGCCTCTTGGCATGCCAGCCTCGCGGTATACCTATCCCCTGGCCTGCAATGAAAACACTCAATCTCGATGAGTACCTGGGTAGAATCGACTTCGGAATTGCATAAATTTAATTCTTAGCCAGTATAAGCCTCTAAGACATAAGTGCCTCTATATTTAGTGAAACATGGGACATTCATCGGTAGAAAAGCAACAAAGCTACCTAATCCGTGATACACTTTCGGTTCTGCTGGTTTTGAATTATCACGTTGCGTCACGTCTTACATCAAAAATATGGAACATTTAATAGTCGAGTTCGCTCTCTTCAGCGATAAAATAAAAATCGGTGTCAGGACATCAAAAAAGTCTGGGCGAAGCAAAGAACTTAAGTGAGGTTACATCCCGACGGCCGTGACAGCATCGCGAGACAAGTCGATGACATCGGGACCCACACTACACTCTCCAAAGTTCACCACGCCTCGCGATATTTATGTTTAAAATTTCAAGTGCGTGCAACTCCGATAAAGATCCCAGTCATTGATTCTTGCGATATCTTGTAACTTCGGAGGTACTGTGAGAATATTGAATCTGACAATCCGTGATCTGTTAACTAATGCGACCTCACAGATCCCTCGATATGCAGTTCCTTTCCATCACCGCCATTATCATGGCTTGCGCCACTATTGCAATCACCGCGCCCGTGGCTAGAGAGGGCTTTATTGCTGAGGTTGCCGATGTCGCCTCGGGAAAGCGAAGCGCATCCCCTTCGAGAATGTCGGTGCCAATAGCCCTGACGGCATCGAGATTGGGAATATCCTTTGAAAGGAATCCCCGGTTAGGAAAATCTTTCAGACGAAACCGAGGAGCTAAATGGGTAAGTGAATACTGGAATAACTTTAGTTATTACGTTCTCACAAGGAGATAAGACCATAGTTCAACATCAAGACATAATAGCGATAATAGTCGAATCCAATGTCATACTCGTACTTGTGTCGTCCTGTCTTCTTTTATTCTCCAATTCCACGTTCATGCCAACTCAATTTCAACAGAGTAGATACATTCGCAATCAACTTCGTGCTTTCCAGAACGCTGGGGGAGACATCGCCACCAGGAATATTCATCCATCGGGTCAGGAGATCATGCACATGTGGACCAATGTCCAGGATGTCGCGGGATATGAGATGTCCTAATGCGGGAACTCGAGAGGCGGCAAGGGTGATGAGTATGACAGATGCCATTCTAGTATCATCAGCTTTCTATTTTGACGGTGTAGAGCCGAAGAATCATCTCACGATAAAGAACAGATCCAAGTATCAACCATAATCGTATGTGGTAAACTTCGCAGATTCTGCGCATGCATCCAGCACGCTTCTAGACAGAGTCGTGATCCTTCATATACGATCGGTGAGCATTGTTCCAGTCCGGCTTTATTTGACAGCGCCCACGTTAGATACGGGCGATAGATCACGCTTTTGCAGGTTAGGTAGCGTTGGCGGAGAAAGGCACCTTCGGTGGAACGTGTTGGCTCGAGGTTCACGACGAATTGGAATTTGAACGGGAGAAGGTCTTTCCACTCTTCTAGCTGATACCCGAGCTCCGAGACAACGGATGGGAATTGTTGGTTGTCGAATCCTACACCTGCATCGCGGGCGTATAGAAGATCGTGGACGCGGTTCAAGAGTCGACGCATTGATATGCATGCGAGGAAATAGAGGGATGATTGTTCTTGGTCAGCTTGGGACTCTTGGGTGCAATATTCGCTTGGGAGGGGGATCGACGATTCGATCTCGGCGATCCCGGTTTGAGGAAGGGCTGACAATTCTGCGAGAAAGTCGCTAAAAAGAAATTAGATGACTGATAGTGCGTTCATTATGTACACTTACCTTTCGAGGATGTAGCAAGACCAGAATACTCGGCGAAGACACTCTGCCTGCGCAGGATTTTGTTCCTCGACTTCGTAGGATAGCAGAAGTCTGCATTTGGTTGCGGCTGCACTGATGAATGACCACGCTTGAAGGGGCCTCTGAAGAAAAGAGAAGTAGAGCCTTTGCTGGGCGTTAGAAGAGGAGGACTGCAATAAATTCGTGCAGATCTTATATCGAGAGTCATACCCAGCAAAGAACAAACATTGAACCGCCTCCGCCGTGAACTCGGCTTGCACCAACGAGATTCTTTTGAATGCACAGTCAAAAAATAGCGTACCGAGTATTCGCTGCTCGTTTTGGAATTCTTCAATATTTCCATCGTGAATTTCCTTAGTTGCGACTGATTGCACAAGGGCGCTCGCACACCCTAGCGCCATGATTAGCAATGCCAGACAGGATTCCGTAGTCTCCTGAAAATTGCCATGAATTATGTGTGCTTCCAGTTCACGAGTTTTGGATCTAGTCATTGTTGGATACCAGAAGTTAATTCCACGCTCGAAACATCGGATAACCCTTTCCACCTCTCTCTTGGTACAATAAGGCTGGCTCATGGGGGATTGTGGCATAAATGGATAGCGCTTATTCTCAAGATGGAAAACAGAGAATTTGCTCTCTTTAATTAGATTGCGAAACTCGGCGAAATGTGGCCATGAGAGTATGGACTCGGTCGTCGACGCGTGAAGTGGCGATATGATTGCGTTGGAAACGTGATCCGGAGACCCTGCGGCGCGATTTGCATTGCTGACAGTACCTGGAGAAATAGCAACTTGAGGGGATGTTACAGAAGCAGCATTTTCCGAGCTGCGGTGAGATGATTGTGCCTGCCGCCATTGAGTAAGAGAACAATTATACACGGAATTGTGACAAACCAGCTGTGCTGAGAGCTGCTGTAACAGGTTTTCAGTCCGTATTGCAACATCTAGAATCATGTCGCTTTTGCTCTTGCTGCTTTACTTTAGTCAAATGCTTTTTAGATTTCTGTTTCATGGGTTTGGGACACACTTGACGGCTTCAGCTCCATATACACAGGCTGTCTCGCTTTGGACGCAGGTCGTGCATGACGGTCGTCGTCCATCGCACCTAATGACGACCTGCATCAGAATCCGAAGGTTTATTGGCGAGAACAAGTGAAAACGGGCATATCAACCTCACTTTTCGATATCGACAAGGATCGCACTGCATGACAATAATCAGTCGGTTGTCGAAAAATCAGAAACCATGAAACCATACCGCTAGGGAAGTCCGCTTCCGTTTATGTCTCTCATCCTCTTGCCCGGGGGAGAGCATTTTGACGACAGGAATGTGAGGAAGTTGCAAAGAGAGGAGGTGTAGAACTCGCGGCTGGGCTGCACCCCGCATGCCGCTAAACCCTTTACAGATTTGCTGCGTGAGAACATCAACCACCGTTCAGTTCAAGGCCATAGGGACATTTGTTCTTAGCCAGGGTCATATTTACGAACTAAATATCTGTCTTTGAGTACAGCAAATTCAATCTTCTGAACTTGAAAAACCGAGGGCAGTGTGGGCCATCTAGCCTGCACTGCTGCTTTGAAACGCTAACTTCCCAACAAACTTGTACTCCCTCCTTCTTCTTCCTCCTCCTCACAGCACACACCACAGCAGCGAAAAGTCCCTTGACCCCTACGCAACAATCATGAACGGGTAAGTGCATCTAGTTCAAAGTTTCCTACATGCTTTATGATGGCACTGCCGTTGGGAAGGCAAAGCAGGGCGATGCAGATGGTGGGACCCTCCAACCATCATGCACCCCTTAGCTGCCGGCTCTCTCATGTGAACCTTCCCATCGGGATATATTCCCCTCCGGATTTGATCTCCCCGAGGGCTTTTCTCCTTGGGCTGAAACGGATATTCCTTATACTATCAACATCCCACTTCTGGCGACTCAATTCCAAACTCCGGTACGTCTTCAAATGGTTCCCCATCCGAAACCTCGTCACTACAGCTCGCTTCTCTCGAATTCACTCATTCCAACAAGCACAAGCAGAGCAAAGGCCACCTATAACCTGTGTGAGAGCATCGATATACCGCAATTTTGTTGGTGGTACAAATCGAAGGCGCGATGATGCCGGAGCAGCGGGCTTTGTACAAAGCCAAGCTTACTCGAGGGACGAATTACGGGCAATGACTGAGATGGACCAGGCGCTGATGAGAGACATCCTGTACTTTGAAGAAGGGCTGGGAGAAATGTACTGCCTTTAAGTGAAAAATCTCTGAAATCCACGAAGAAGCGTGAAAGTTTCAAATGCATTTGGAAACTTTTTCGATTCAGGCTACTTATTCAGGGAGCACTCCTTGAAATCGCGACGTCATTCAAAATTCCATACCGCGAAAGTAATTAAACCTCTGCTCGCACATCGCGGCCATCTGAGACTTCAAGTGTTCGCAGAACAGTGCCAATATCGCGTTTCTCGAGACTCTTCTTGACAGGATTCGGCGCAGAAAAGACCTCTTCAAGTTCCTCCAGGGTGCGCTCCTTAGTCTCTGGGAACCAAAAATAGATGACAACAGTTTCGATCAGGTCCCACGCAATAAACACCGCGTAGAAATAGTATTTCAACTTCGCAAAAGCGGGACCAGAACTGTAGGAGATAATTGCGCTGCTGATGTTGGACAGTAAATTGCCGACGGCAGTTCCTTTGCACGTGTGTTGGTTGACAGCGTCTCGGCGATGTACATACTCTGCAGCGGCGTCCACCCGAATGAGAACACGATACCGAAGAGATAGATGAATGCGACTGACGTATTGGCTGCGCTCGCGTTGTCGGGGTTGTCAACCGACATCTTTGACGTGCCCAGGATGACAGCGAAAGCGGCAGAACAGAAGAGAAGAGAGTAGATCATCAGCGGTCGTCTTCCAATGCGATCGGTAAGTCCTGCACCAGAAACAGCAGCGAAGAGACAGATGACCGGGTAGATGGCGTTCAACATCAGTTGCGTGTTAACAGAGTCAATGCCAGCATTCTCCACCATGACAGGGAGATAGTAGCCTGTCAGACTGTTTCCAGATAATTGACCGAAACAAGCCATACCGGCAACGCAAATGAACCGACGACGAGCTGAATGTGTATTGAATAGCTCGCGATACTCCCACCACTTCTTACTGCTGTCCTCCACAGTCACAGAAATCTGATGCTGCATCTCCTTAATCTGGAGTGCGACGATTGGATGACTCGAGTCACCTTCGCCGTGGTACCGTGCGAGAACTTGGATAGCCTCGTCCACGCGATCCTGTGCCATCAGCCAGCGCGGTGACTCGGGTAAGAACCAGATGCTGAACGCAACGATCACGGAGGAAATCAGTTGGCACCAGATCGGGATCCGGAAGCCGTTGGATGCTGTGATTTTTTGACAGCCATAGACGACCCAGCTTGCGACAATAGATCCCACGTACCAGGTGCAGTTGTAGAGGCCTGTTAAGGTACCGCGCCACACTGGATGCGCCATTTCTGAGACATAGCATGGGGCACTGACGCAGCAGAAGCTGACGCCGAAGCCGAGGATAAACCGACCTGCGAGGAACATTCCGTGGTTCACGGCCGGTGCTTGCACGCATGTTCCTACGATGATGATTGCTGCGCCGATAAACATGCCTTTGCGGCGACCGAGGAGATCGTTGGCGGGGCCCGAGAGAAGGACGGCAGGGATCGAGCCAATATTATAGATTGCAAAAACGAGGCCAGTTCCAGAGGAGGCAGTTTTCCTGATACATATTGTCAACATCGATGTCGGGGTGAACTTTCGAAATCCGTTTTCTTACATATGGAAGTACTGCTGATATGTAGTCATTGCATTGACGCCTCCCATGAGAGACCCATCATACCCATTCAAGCAGCCGCAGAGATAGGCGATTGTCAGGCAGCCATAAAGACGAAACATGTTTGGCGTCCATGGACTGCATTTGGTAGACTCGACGGCCTCGGCTAGTTGAATCGCCTCACTCGTTTCTTGCAGGGTGATTTCTTTGGTTTCCACCCCGTCCTTGCCCACCTCGACGTGTTCCCGGAGTGGTTTAGATGGATCCATGTCTGCGCTTCCAAGATGAAAACCCGAATGATGATTGTCGCAACCCGCACTCAACTATTGTAGTCATAAATTGCGGGTTGCAGTGCAGAGCTGGTGGAGCTCAGATGATCAGCGGTGCATGGGGTTATTTAAGATGTTCGTATGGTGTCCTGCCGCCTGTGCTGGTGGCATGAGAATCCGGGGTGGAACGAGATCCATGGTCACTCAGTACGAGGCAAGCCTCCAAATCAAGGCTTTTCGCGGTGGCACGCATGCTGGACCCGGCTCGCGTTTCCCCGACTGGCTGACGTGTCTCGCCATTGACATATTTTGGCGCTTAGCCAAGGGGTCATGTCCTTTCCTGAGCTGCCCGGCTTGCGCTAGCATTCCAGTCGAATACAGAACTCATGCTGAAGTAAAGCCACGAATGCTCTCCCCGCTCCCTCGGTTCCGACATCCCCGAGTTTTATTTTTGCAAACAAAATTTGGTTAGCGCCTTTTGGCGTCGCGGGGTATTTAGCCAAGTCCAATTAGGCCGTCAGAGTATACCCCACTTACTGCCCTTTGGCTTTGGGTTTTTTGGGGGGAAGGGGGGGAATACTTCTTTCGTTTTTGTAAGACATGATGACACATCTCCAAGTTCTGTCGGTCGTTGAAGTCTAGACAGACTTGAAGACAATGGGAAAGCGCGTGCGACTCATCCGCATGTGTAGATCACGTGGAGATCCGCCTCGAAGGCAGCTACCGTGCTAATCCAGCAAAGGCTAGAACCGCGAAGAGGTGTGGGCCCATCGCTAGATCTACTGGGCCTTTTCTAAACAGATCAGGTATCGGTGTCCCAAACAAAGATCACATCAAGTAGTTATAGATACTTGACCAATAGAAGCTCTGGATTGGGCTCCAGAATCTGCAGAATGGTCGTCCACTACACGTAACCAGACTCATGTAGTGGATTTGGTTGAAAACAACAAATTTGAAATTCGACGACCGGCCAGGTTGAACTCTTTAAGAATGTCACACATTCCCAAGTCTTCCAAATATCTTCTCTGATTTCTTTTCTCCTACCTATCCACCAACACAGCATGGCAGAGATTCAAGATTACACCAAGGCCCTGGAAGTCCTTCAGGAGTATCCTTCGCGCGATGGCCTCCACGTCGACACTCTCCTCGACTCAGACAAGCGCGGGGCATTGACTTACAATGACTTTCTCATCTTGCCGGGATACATTTGTATGACCAACCTCGAAAGTTCTCTTGTTATCATATTTCTAATGGCATCACCAGCTTCGCCGGCATCCGACGTCGTGTTGGATACAAAAGTGACCAGACGATTCACCCTGAAAGTACCCCTCCTGTCTTCCCCGATGGACACCGTGACCGAACATAACATGGCAATTCACATGGCTCTTCTCGGGGGTCTCGGTGTTATCCACAACAACTGCTCACCAGATGAGCAGGCTGAGATGGTTGAGAAGGTGAAGCGGTATGAGAACGGCTTTATCCTAGACCCTGTCGTGCTTTCTCCCCACGCGACCGTCAAGGATGCGAAACAGCTAAAAGCAAAATGGGGATTCGGGGGTTTTCCAGTGACTGGTAAGTGGCTTTTGAATGCTCTAATCAAAGACAATTCCCTTTTCTGAGATTGCTGACGATAATGGGCTATCACAGAAAAAGGCACACTCCACTCAAAGCTCCTCGGAATTGTTACAAGCAGAGATGTCCAGTTTCATCGGCAGAATCAAGACCCTGTTACAGCTGTCATGTCGAGAGAACTTGTCACTGCGCCCGCAGGCACAACACTCATCGAGGCAAACGATATTCTCTGCAGCTCGAAGAAGGGAAAGCTTCCGATCGTGGACAAAGACGGTCGATTGATCGCCCTGCTTTCGCGGAGCGATCTGAAGAAGAACATTCACTATCCACTAGCATCAAAGACCCAATCCAAACAGCTTCTCTGCGCGGCTGCTATTAGCACCCACGACGCAGACAAAACCCGATTGCAAAAGCTTGTGGATTCCGGCCTCGATATTGTTGTCGTTGACAGCAGCCAGGGAAATAGCAAGTACCAGACCAATATAATCAAATACATCAAGCAGACATTCCCCAAGCTTGACGTCATCGGAGGTAATATTGTGACTCGTGAACAGGCTGCGGTACTTATTGCTGCCGGTGTCGACGGACTGAGGATTGGAATGGGTAGTGGCAGTGCCTGCATCACGCAAGAGGTCATGGCTGTTGGCCGCCCCCAGGCTGCGGCCGTCCGAAGTGTATCTTCATTCGCCGCTCGATTCGGTGTTCCTACCATCGCCGATGGCGGAGTTCAGAACCTGGGACATATCGTGAAGGGCCTTGCATTGGGCGCTTCGGCGGTGATGATGGGGAGTTTGCTTGCCGGAACGACTGAGTCTCCAGGTGAATATTTCGTCAGCAATGATGGACAATTGGTGAAGACTTTTCGTGGAATGGGGAGCATTGCAGTAATGGAGGACAAAGGGGAGAGCGGCGCGAATGCTGGTGCTGCGCGATACTTTTCAGAGAATGACAAAGTGAAGGTCGCGCAGGGTGTGGCGGGCTCAGTCATTGACCGCGGCTCGATCACCCAGTATGTGCCCTATCTTGTGGCTGGCGTGCAGCATTCCTTGCAGGACATCGGTATGGTAAGCCTCGAGGCTCTTCACGCTGGGGTGGATCTTGGAAACGTGAGGTTTGAGATGAGAAGTGCAAGCGCACAGGCAGAGGGGAATGTGCATGGCCTGTATAGCCACGAGAAAAAGCTGTACTCCTCTTGAGCTGCAACTGAATGTTTGAACTAGGCCCAAATGAGAAAAGTATTTTACTGGGCAAGACAAATATCACTCAGACCGAATAGGAATACCAAGTGCCCGAACCGAATTACTTTACTCTTCTATTTTTCCAAGCTCAGGTCACCGACATGAAGTTGATTGAATAAAAAGGAAATCCATAGTGGAAGCTGCCAAAGAGTTCCAGAGAGGCAAAATCTGCCCTGCATGCTTCTCGCTGCACTATTCCCAAAATGGCAGGGGGTTAGCCAGGGCGTCTCGGGGCTATCGGGACCGAACTCTGGGGTCAGATCGAGCCATTCAACACACCCCTGCTATACCTGGGAGCATTGGCAAGCGGGGTAGGAAGAAGCAAATTCTTGAACTTGATTAAATGCTGGGTGGTCTACTCCACATCGATGAAATGACTTGTCCGGTGGGCGAGACCCATTTGGTGTTGTGGACAGCGTCCATGCAACATGCGCGATCCACCCAATATTGCCTCAGCTCCATTGAGAGCGCATCGTGTATCGTATGACAAGAGAGGGGAAGTGAATAAAGGACGAGTCGTCCCCGCTCCGGGGAAAATCTGCTTGGGGCTGTTGGGAACTATTCCACCTCATTTAAGAGCGCCAGCCGCACGTTTCTCCGACACAAACAGACCCTCCAGACTTGTCCAAAATGAAGGATACTACTATTGAAGACGGTACATTCGAGAAATCGAGTCTCGGGGATAAATTCACGGCTTCTAAGCATGACTGGGAAAACCCGCGCATTTTCCAGCGCAACAAGCTCCCTCCTCGCGCCTACTTTCTCCCCGACACGTCGCTTTCTCTGAACGGGAGATGGAAGTTTTATTATGCCCTGTCGCCGAACTTTGCTCCGACAATATCTTCCCTACAGAGCGATGCCCCATCTGAATCCAAGGACTGGACAACCATCTCTGTTCCTGGCCACTGGCAGCTGCAGGGTCACGGAAGTCCGAATTATACCAACACCATTTTCCCGTTTCCCTGTGACCCGCCAAACGTGCCAAGTCAAAACCCAACAGGTACGTACCGAAGATCGTTCACCGTCCCACCTGACTGGGACTCGTCGGCGCAGATACGACTCCGATTCGATGGAGTCGATAGTGCGTACCATCTCTTCGTGAATGGTCATGAAGTAGGATATGCGCAGGGGAGTCGCAATCCGTCCGAGTTCGACATTACAGACGTCGCTTTTCGCGAGGGAAACAATGACCTGGTTGTTCGTGTTTATCAGTGGTCGGATGGATCGTATATTGAGGATCAGGATCAATGGTGGCTCTCTGGTAAGTCAAAATGAACTTTGAATGTATAAATCAATACTGATAGACGCGTATTTTCCAGGAATCTTCAGAGACGTTACTTTACTTGCGTTCCCCGCTGTAGCCCGCATTGAAGACTTTTCTGCAGCCACCGAGTTCGACCAATCTTACAATGACGCTGTCTTGAACGTCACCGTGAGCCTATCAGTCGATGAGCCAGTCCTGTTGGAGGCTATTTTGAGGTGTCCTAACAGTCCACGTGTGATCGGATCGACGCAATCTTCAAGAACTAAGAGCGGAGAGACTTTTCTCACAATCCCCGTGAAGAGTCCACAGAATTGGACCGCAGAAAAGCCATACCTTTACGATCTCCATCTAAATCTGCAAACTGAGAGCGGCAAGAAGTTACAGGAAATCAGACACCGTATTGGATTCCGTCAAGTGGAGATCAAAAATGGAAACATCACTGTCAACGGTACCCCGATTCTCTTCCGAGGTGCTAATCGCCATGATCATCATCCACTGTTTGGTCGGGCGGTCCCTCTCTCCTTCCTTCGAGAAGACCTTCTCTTAATGAAGCGCCACAATCTCAATTCTCTGCGTTGCTGCCACTACCCATCCCATCCAAAGCTCTACGAACTATGTGATGAGCTTGGTTTGTGGGTCATGGATGAAGCGGACCTGGAGTGTCACGGCTTCTACGATGCAGTCGCTCGTCCCCTTGACATTCCGGAGTCGATGGATTATGAAGAACGGAAGAAATTGACCTTCGACAAAGCTGCACAGTATACCAGCAACAACCCAGAGTGGAAGGAGGCATATCTTGATCGCGCCAGACAGATGGTTCACCGCGATAGAAATCATGCATGTGTGGTGATCTGGTCTCTTGGGAATGAAGCCTTCTATGGGCAGAATCATCAGGCTATGTATGACTACATCAGATCTGTCGATCCTACCAGGCCGATTCACTACGAAGGAGACACTCAGGCACAATCGGCCGATATGTTTTCATATATGTACCCGTCGGTCAACCGCATCGAGAAATTGGCTGTGGCGGAGGGAGACAGTTTCTCGAAGCCGATCGTTCTTTGCGAGTACGGCCATGCAATGGGCAATGCCCCTGGTGGTCTGGAAGAGTACGTGAAGGCATTCCGGAAACACCGTCGACTGCAGGGGGGGTGGATTTGGGAATGGGCGAATCATGGCCTGTGGGATGAGAAGCGAGGTTTCTATGGGTACGGTGGAGACTTTGGCGACTATCCCAATGATGGATCCTTTGTCATGGATGGTCTTTGCTTTAGCAATCACACCCCGACTCCGGGGCTCGTCGAGTTGCGAAAGGCTTACTCACCTGTTCACGGGTGGTACACCGATGGCTCCATTCATGTTGAGAACCGATACGACTTTGTTGGACTGGACCATCTGCAAGCGGTCTACCGCGTGGAAACTCTTGATGAAGAGTAAGTGCATTTCATCTGCTGCGGGATCTGCAAACCGAATTAATCATGCCGATTTTAGGTCTTCTATCATTTCCACCGGTCACCTCGAGCTTCCGATGATAAATCCTGGGGAACGTGGGAGCATAAAATTTAATCTGGACATACCCCAGATCTCAGAAGGAGAGGTATGGCTCACTGTTAGCTTCCAGAATACCAAGTCCACAGCCTGGGCGCTCAACGGACACGAGGTCGCTTGGTTCCAGAGTCCTCTAAGGGTCCAGCCCGTTGCGCGTCCGTTATCGCCTAAGTTTCCCCTCAAGCTCGATTCCACTCTCTCCGTCTATACTGTCACTGGACATGCCTTTGAAATTGAGTTCTCTCGTTCCACCGGTGGATTACAGAGCTGGATCGTCAAAGGCAATCAGCTGCTGGACCCCGATCTAAAGACAGGAACTGCCTTGGGTCCAGGCTTCTGGCGTCCACCCACAGACAATGATATACCCTGGGCTCTCGGTGAGCGACGGCGTTACGGAATGGACGATATACGATCTCAACTTCGTTCCATGGAGGTTTCCCATATCGACAGCGGATCTAATGTCAGTATCATAACCACAACCTGGCTAGGACCTCCGGTTCTCGCTTGGGGATTCAAGGCAGAAACTATATACACCATCACCAATGATGGTACTTTGAACGTATCACTACATTTACAACCGCGAGGATCCATGCCTGCAGACCTTCCGCGCATGGGCTTGGATTTGCATCTGGGCGACGCACTGGATAATGCCAAATGGCTTGGTCTTGGACCAGGAGAGACCTACGCAGACAAGAAGCGGTCGCAGAAATTGGGGATCTACAAGGCAAATATAGAACAGCTTCATACGCCATATGAAGTTCCGCAAGAGGGTGGAAATCGATCGGAGACTAGATGGTTGCAGCTTAGTGATCAATGTGGCTGGGGGGTTAAGATCTTCAGGGATTCGGTGGACACGGATAGGGATCCTGCTACTTCGTTTCAGTGGGCTGCATCTCGCTATACGGCGGAGCAGATTGAGGCTGCTAAGCATCCTTGCGATCTTGTTCCTGGAAAGAGGGTTCTTGTTCGGATTGATGCTGAATCTAGTGGGGTTGGCACAGGGGCTTGTGGTCCGACTACTTTGGAGAAGTATCTGGTTCCTTGTGAGGAGCGGAAGTTTCAGTTTTCCTTTGTGCCCTGCTTCACCGAGGGGTACTGAGATATGGATTATTCTGGGTTGAGATAGAAATTGAATACAGTGTCATTTATCTGATCTTTGAAGTCGACGATATGATTTTTTAAATGCCCCATACCCCCAAGGGATCCGGGCCCGACTCTCCTCGCGTCTCTTGTAGCCTTTTCACGCGCCTGACGAGAGTCCCCACACATATCGGTCCAACAAGGGTACAGATGGAGATCGCCCAGATGATGACCAGGTAAATTTCAGACGTACCACTAGAAGAACTGTTTTCGAACATCCCTTGGCTTTGTGCGAGAGATGCAATGAGGTAACCGACCTCGCCTCTTGCAACCATTGCCAACCCGAGAATCGAAGGCGGGTACAACGATTTTGGCTTTGGCGGGAATGTCGCTGTTGAGCTTCGTTCCGGAGATGATGTCTGAGGTTCGCCCCGGCTGCCAGCCTGAATGGTAGAATCCTGACGAGTTGAAGAGCCGCGTCCCTTGCTCTTTAAGTTCTTGGTGTCTTGTTGGTTACTCGAGGTGTCTGAATAGCCTTCGGATGACTCAACGCGAACCTGACCCGTGGTATTCGGTTGTTCGTTTTTCTTTTCGTCGCGTCTTGCCGGTCTGCAGATGAGACGGATACGGCCGAGAGTGTTTTTCAATCCCGCTGCGATGTTTGAGACGGGGTGTAACGAGAATCGGACTAGCCAAAGTCCGGTAATCATTTTCCCCAGCATCATCAGAAGAGAGTAGATAAATCCACGCCAAACTACACTTCCCTTGAACATCTCTGTGATAGGAATCGCAAACCCGATCGAGGCCTAATTTTCGCGTTAATACTGAATTGTATGTTCAGGTTGACACACTCACGAAGAATAAGGGTGTCAGGATCCGAGTGACTGGCTGCTTGTAATACTTCTCGTAGACCTTTTCGCCGGTTGGGGCTTCGCTATCCTGTGCGCTTGGGGAAGATTCATTCGAGGATTGGGTCTGGGTGCTGACATGACGGTGGTTGTTGTCTTGGGATTGACTGTTTGAATAATCTGGCTCTGTCGGTGTAGTTTCTCCAGTCCCAGTTCCAAGTGGCATCCTGGACTCTTTAATCAAGTCATCAAACCATGTAACGGTGACACCTGCGAGATAGGCCGCAAAGAGGCTTGACGTGCCTGCGTAAGTGGCACCAGCAACTGTTCCCACCAAGTAAGCTGTTTGGTACAAGAATGCAAATTCCATGGTTCGCATGAAATCGGGAATTCTAGGTTCGGCAGAGAGAATCATAATGAAGATCGGCCTGATGGCAAATGCACACAGTAGAAAAATGCCAACTGCAAACCCAACTGACACGAAGACAGGTCGGATAACAGTCACTGCATCGAAAGATGAAGCATTTCCTCCAAGATTTGTGATGATTTGGACCATCACGAGACCGACGACATCATCTAGCATTGCAGCACTGGTTGTCACTGTACCCAAGCGTGTTGAGATCAATTTTGTCGTAGACAGAATCGTGAAAGTGGTTCCGAGGCTTGTCGCACTAAGAGCTGCTCCTGCGGCAAATGCCTGTAGTGAGTTTGCTCCAACAAGCTCCCTGAGAATAAAAGACAGACCCATGGGGACTCCAATTCCAGTGATCGCAACGCAAAGCGAAACCATTAGGTTCGATTTCACTGATTTGATTGAGGTTGACAGACCGCCTTATCGAGGATTAGTTATGCAACCAGGCTGGACGAGAAGAAATCACTTACCCTCATATACGAGCATGATCAACCCAAGATACCCTAACTGTTGAATGACGGTTTCTGCACCGCGATCGAGCCATTTCGCACCAGGGGTGCCCCACAAGATGCCGATGAATAGCTGTCCGATGAGTCCACAGTAAAGAAGTTTGTCAAGGCAGACGTTGACAAGGTTCAAAACCACCAGAAACCCAGCCTGGTTTAGTAGTGTTGATATTGACGGCTCATGGTAGGCTAATGCCGTATCTGTGCTCTCCCCGGCCATTTTGCAGGCAACTTTGAATAGGAACCGTGGAGGTCGAAGAGATGCAGTGGTCGCGGCCGGCGGAAGCGGAAAGGCGGCGGGAAGGTCTTGACTGAGTCATGTGGTTGTGGCGGAGACATGGATCAATAGTCACGGGACTTGGGGGCTGGCCGACCGCCCTCGCCCAGTGACGCACAACCCTCCAAAGTCCAGTGACTATTATACACGAGTGTAGGAAAAAACAATCGCGGACCCATCTCTGCACAGTACACGGTTCGAAGGTGCCACCTCACATAAAAGCAAAATTAGAGAATTTACAGAAAGTCGCTGTGAACAAATTGAAGCCCTTTTCCCTTCCTCAAAACTCCCGGACCATATAATTTTGCGCCAGTTCCTTCAATTCGTTCTCCAGAAGTAAGGTCTTTTTCCTCGGGGGCATTAGGTAGTCGTCGGAACAAAGAAGCAAATGGGATAATGAGAGAAAAATTGCTGACCGTTGCTTTGGATCCCTCTTCGGACCCGGAAATAGTGATGTCTTGGGTCTTCGACTGCTCCTGGTGTCGTTCCCATTTTCCTATTCTGATATGTGGTCTGTTCCGGTCGACCATCCTAGTGATCACAATATTCGCAGAACCTCTTTCTGGATTGATCCAGAATTTGACGTCTCGTCGGATCTTGGCCTTGGACGTGGAGACGTCAACTTCCAGGGTAATGGTAGGTCTCCTTGGATGGCCTGGTGGGTGTTTTGCTGGGCCCCAGCCATACCTGGCCTCTTTTCCCTGGCTTACTAGCTCTGGTTGTTACTTCAGAAAAAGATGGCACTTTTCATTTTTGCTAGCCCCATGGGCCGTAAAGCTTCGCGAAGCATTTCATTAAAGGCGCCAGCGCTTCTGCGTGGGTAGGTGACATCATCTTGACCAGAAGCAAATCTTCGTTGACGTCGAAGGACGAGCAAGTGAACAACTTGTCTCAATGATAGGGTCCAAGGAAGTGTTGTCCAATCGTGGGATCCATCTTGAACAAGACATACTCAGTACGGTCTTCGTTCGGCTTCGAATTTTGGAAGCGGTCGGATTCGAGATCGCGTATCTGACGAAAGCTTTCTTGGCCTTTATATTGGTATCTCCTGATTGAGGAATGTAAGTCGCTCAGGAAATCGTGGGACGACTCGAATAATTCATGGCTATCGCGTTGAGAGCTAGGAAAATTGTTGTTTGACAATTTTTGAAGGTGTATGGGATGGATATCAGCTGACTAGCCTTTGTAATCACAAGTCAAACAGTTATAGCGACCATAGCTGTTCCTGTCAGGATGTCGGATACGTGTATCATCTAGTATCGAGGGACGGCCAATTGATGCATGAGATGGATTAACGAGAGTGTGTCTGTGTGTGTTCCCATCTGTTGAAAATGATCCAGGGGCTATAAACTGCGTATTACATCACAGTTCTTCCGAGAATGACCCGAATTACCATACAATTACTATTGCAATGTGGGTGGATGCTGAATAACCAAGAGCAGTGGAGAATCCACAGTATTTTACCTCTCTCAGAGTTGACACACCCCCCAGCATCCGCTCTCATTGCTGAGGTTATTCCAACAAAGTGTGGATATCCTCCATTCCCAGTTGTTGCAGGAACTCGGTGTGTTTCTGTCGTGGGAGCTGCTTTGTTAGGCCGTCCGCGGCCATATCCTTTGTTTCCACCCATTCAACATGTATCCGGCCAGTTTGAACCTCCTGTCGAAGCCAGTGATGGTGTATGTCGACATGACGAAGCTTCGTACGTAAATGAGGTATTTCCCTGGTGAGTATACCAATCGTTTGCTGGTTATCGCAATTGATCGATAAAGGGTGTTCAGGATCAAAGCGGATGGATAAGAATAGGCGCTTCCACATTTCCATGGTCTTCGCGGCTTCCGAAATCGCTAGCAGCTCTGCTTCCGTGGTGCTAGTGGTAACCGTACGTTGCTTGCTGGCACGCCAATCAACTGCTCCACCAAACATCTTGCAGATATATCCTTCTGAGCTCTTCCTATCTCTGTTATCCGCAAATGATGCATCGCTGAAGAAGGATACTGCTTCAATGTCTCCATGTGGACGTGAGCGATACGTCAAAGCAAGAGAACGCGTGTGATATAGATAGGTAATGACCCTGTTGATGGCGTCAAGGTGCTCAGGTCCTGGATTTGTGAGGAATTGTGCAAGCGCAGAGGTTGCTTTTGCTGCATCTGGTCTGGTGATTGTGGTAGCATATTGCGTTGATCCAACTTTCTGCTGATACTCATGGATCTGCTGTCGAGTTGCTTCTCCTTCATATGGCTTCAGTGCCAGTGCTGAGGGCAGTGGAGTGTCAACTTTGCGGCCATTTGTGAGATGGTACCGGCTTGCCATAGAAGAGATATAAGAGTCCTGACAGAGCCAGAGTGCTTTCTCCTGCCGATCTCGAACAACTCGGATTCCAAGAAACCACGCTGCTTCTCCCATGTCACGTAGTTCCCACTGCTCATTAAGCTTCTGGCGCAGTTCCGTTGCGCGTGTGCGCTGGGCTGGATGGTTGACGATGATGATATCATCCACATAGAAGAAAACAATGATGCCGTTTGTGGAGAAGAGGCAGAGGTCTTCCTGTACAACTTGTAAGCCAAAAGAAGTCAGGACCTTAGAAGCTTCTTGTTGCCATAGCCTTGGAGACTTTCGTAAGCCATAGAGAGCTCGCTTGAGTTTCCAGCACTGCCTCTGTTCCTTGAAACCCTCTGGCATCTCAGTGATGATCTCCTCATCAATCCAACTATTAAGGAATGCATTGACAGCATCATACTGGTAAGTGTCAAGGTCAAAAGCAGCCACTAATGAGAAGACTGCTCGTGCAGTGCGTGCAGCGAGGGTTGCCGAGTATTTCTCCTCTGTGGTAAGTTTCTGGAGATCTCCTCGCACGCAGATTCTGGCCTTGAGCTTGCTGAGATAGCCATTGCTATCAACCTTATAGTTGAACACCCAACGGAGTGGTAGAATCTGTATGCTGTGGTCATTTGGTCGTTGAATGACCTCATATGTGCCTTTCCTCTTGATTGTCTGAATTTCAAGAGCACAAGCTGCCAGGAATCCCTCTCGGTAAGGATGGTTCATCATCTCCTTCCAGTTTCCTGGCTCTGGAGGTAACTCATCCTGATGCACTTGCGCGTGTGTGCGGGAGCTGTTTAATCCAGTAGCGAAGGCTGCGAGTACGCTATCCTCTTCCTTCTCAGAGATAGCTTGAAAGCTGACAAAGTTGTCATCCTCTCTTGTTCGTCGTTTTCTCGTTCCTCTCACAATGTTTCGTTCTGAAATGTCACCATCGATATCTCTAGGTGCTCTGGGAGTCTCCTGTGCGGGTGATGCAGCTGTGAGCTCATTTTGAAGCTGCTCAGCATGGTCATATGACTCCCGTGGCGGCGAGCTAGGGAATGTTCCTGGTGGAAGCGAAGGTACCCGTTGCTGTGATGCTGATGGCGTTGGTGAAGGTGTAGCCATCTGTCGTCCCTCCTTCTGCTGCGAATTTGTTGCTTTTCCTGCTGAATGTCTTGCTGCTTGTTCATGCATGTTCTCAGCAGCGCTTTCTCTGCTTCCTGCTTCATTTGAGGAAAGAGGGACTATCTGGTGTTGTATCTCCTCTTCCTCATCCTGTTCAGTGATCCAAGGCATTGATTCAATTATATCGCTGACTGGTGGTTTGTCTAGTTCTCGTGGGTTGAAGAACTGGTTCTCATCAAAGACAACATCTCGCACTGCCCGTACAGCTCCTCTCTGTGGAAACCATACTCTCCAGATATTTGAGGCTTCATAGCCAACGAGATAACCGATCTCTGCGCGAGGCTCCATCTTCGCTGCATTCGGGATGCCCTGCTTGCGTACATACGCTCTGCATCCATAGATTCTGAGGTTGGCAAGGTTGACTCGTGGTGGTTGGTCTTGCTGGACATGAAGTGCTTCCTGGTATGGGACAATCCACTTTCCATCTCTCATCCTCGTGGGCGATCTGTTAACTATCCAAACAGCTGCTTTGACTGCTTCTGGCCACAGGTCTTTCGGAAGACCTGCATCCTGCAGTAGTGCGCGTGCTATAGTGACTATCACCCCCCCAGATCGCTCCGCGAAGCCATTTTGCTCTGGCGTTCCAACGACGCTATGCTCAACAACAAAGCCTTCCTCTGCTAGGAATTGCTCTACCGTACGACCTGCTGAACGCTCATTATCATAGCGAAAGGCTCGGATTGGTAGGTTCCACTGGGTCCTCACATATGCACAGAAGAGTGTCACAGCTTGCTGACAACCACTTTTCTTCTCGTGAGTGAATGCTGCATGGAATCGAATTCCATCCACATAGAAATGGGATAACCAGCGATCACCATTATAGGCAGGGTCAATTTGAACAAGGTCAAAGTGTATTCTCCCAAATTTCCCGTATGTGGCTCCCTGTGGTCTTCTTGATATCTGACGTTTCGCAGAGGTGATCTGACAGACCTCACATCGTTCAGGGTTACCATGAGAGTTGTCTTCACTCTTTCCATCAATTTTGACTCCATCCACCATCGCTGGCAACAGTTCAATCTTCTGGCTATATGCGTGGCCTAGCCGACGATGCCAGCGCCTGGCTGATGCTGCTGAAATGAGTGGCTTTTCTGACTGCTTGGTGGCAAAGGCTGCATCAGAAGAGCAGTATTCCATGAAGTATAATCCCTTTTCCTTTCGCACATGTAACACTGGACTGTCGCTGTTGTTGACAATGGCTTTCTTGCTAGGATTCCACCAATATCCTTTATCCTCAATCTTTGAATAGGATATCAGATTGGTATGGAAGCCCGGGGAATAATGAACATTGGTGAGCTCTACCACTTGAGGCTCGCCAGTTTGAGGGTCCTGGCCTACCATGTCCACAGTGCCATACCCTGTAGTAGCCGTCATAGTATCACCTGTTTTAACAGAGCTTTCCCCTTTGATGAACACTTTGAAACGCCCACGATCATTACAGATATGCAGGGTAGTGCCTGAATCAAGAATCCAGCGATTTCTGAGCGGTTTGGCCACCTGATGCTGACCAGTTGATGCTGCAGCTGCAATGAAGAAGCTAAGCTTCTCTTCTGATACTGCTAATTGAGCCTGCGCTGATGGTGCTTCCTTCTTTTTCTCCATCAGCTGCTTGATCTTCTGTTGATCCTGAGGACTCATTTGCTTGATAGCATCAGTTAAGCGCTTCGCAATTCCTTCTCTTGGCTTCCAGTCGTCACTTCGCAGGGTCTCATCAATATACCAGCACTCTGAGTAGTGGTGTCGAGGGTATCCGCATGGGCACTTCGTTCGATAAGTCTTCTCTGTTTTCCCAGTTGGCTTTGCCTCTTTCTGACCATCCAGGGTTGCGAAGGCCATCTTCGGTTGCTTCTTTCCAGAAGTGAGTGCTAGATCTCCACGGCGGCTACGATAATCGGCAATAACCTCATGAAACGTAGCAGTCGTGTTCATACGAAGCTCACGTCGCCATCCCGAGCAGAAGGTGTCATCTAGCCCCTGCACAGCATCTAGGAAGTCACGAATAGCATCATCTTTCTCAATACAGTCAGGAACCTTGGCAGCTTTTGCCTCCTCATATAAGCTTTCCCACTGTGTGAGCCACTGATCAATGCTAACATCTCTCGCAGGTTGCCTGATCATCAATCTCCACGCACGTCGGAGCTCCTGTCGTCGATTCTCAGGCTTTGGCTTGAATGTCTCTGCCAGTTTCAATAGCTTCTTCCTTGGAGTTTCCTCATCGACAATAAGATAGTGAAACTCAGTGGCTACTGAACGGGTAATAAGGCTATTCATGCGCGCCATAGCCTTAACAAGCCGCTGTCGCTTTGTTTCCTGCCGCTCATACAGCTGTATCTGCAACTGCCATCTCCTTAACTCATCATCAGTGAGATCCATGATATCCTTCTCTCTACCGCGATGGTCCACAGGCATCATAGGTTCCCGATGTGCGATTGGAAGCTGTTCAACTTCTTCGTCCGACTTCTCGAGGTCAAGATAATTCCACACATCTTCAGATATGGCTGCTGACCTGATATGTCCTATCCAGATCCTCCACTGCGATTCCGCCCGTAGTTTCTGATCGGGTGGGATCATTGCCATCTCCTCTCTTTGTGAATCGGCCATCCTGTCTTCTCTCGCGATGATACTGATACTGTGTTGATACTAGGTTCAAGGGTACGGGATTGCTGCGTTGAGCGCGGGGCGAGGTTCCAATTTCTCGCGTGATGCGTGCGTTCAGGGGTATCCCGATCGTGCGAATCGCTGCTGCAGTGCTGCCAGGGGTGGTACGCTCGCAGTTACACGTGTGCGGCGCGGCTAACCGGGCTCATAACTGTCAGGATGTCGGATACGTGTATCATCTAGTATCGAGGGACGGCCAATTGATGCATGAGATGGATTAACGAGAGTGTGTCTGTGTGTGTTCCCATCTGTTGAAAATGATCCAGGGGCTATAAACTGCGTATTACATCACAGTTCTTCCGAGAATGACCCGAATTACCATACAATTACTATTGCAATGTGGGTGGATGCTGAATAACCAAGAGCAGTGGAGAATCCACAGTATTTTACCTCTCTCAGAGTTGACAGTTCCTCCAATTTTAGTAGGACTTCGCGCCTAGATTACAGAGTTTAAACCGCAATGTGACCGCCCTACATGGTATAACAGCGTAATAGTCACCGACACAGTTGCCTAAACAGTCATAGGAACAGTCATCTGAATTTCATCTGAATGTTATCTCAATATTCATCCGAAAAGCCGTCTAGCATCACCATACCTGATCTTGTACGGTAGATGAGGACCTCTTAATGAAGGTGCTTCTTTTCATACCTTTCGGCTCGACAGAAATGAAAGCTGTTGGCGGTCGGGCGTCACAATTTGTCAGTGCCGGCGATAAGATTCGTTCCCCGGATGACGCTGACGGCGATCTCGCCAGGATTCTTCGTCCTCTTGGCGGAAATATCGGAAAGTTCTTGGCTCCGGCGATCAGGCAACTTGATGACATTTCGCGTTTCATTGGTGGGATCCTGGGAGCCGGGACCCATCCCTATTCCTAAAAGGTAACAGCTCCAAAGTCACTTTTGATTCACCACAGCCACAGAGAACCTTAGTGAAGGCTGGATTACAGCCAAAGGGAAATGGGTGCTGGGGAAATTGATCATATCATAGAATCAGTTTAGACCCAGCAATCTAAGTGGCGAGGCCTTTGTCGACTAACAGTGGCGGAAGGTAGGGATTATATCCTTTTAGGTCGTCCCAAGCCACATAAATTGGTCACTAGTCACGTAGATGCGCCCACGTCTTAGCCAGTCTCAGTTACAAAACAAGAAGACACCTTTGTCCTCCTCAGTTAGTCACATAGGTGCATTGAAAAGACTAAAAGCAAAATTTGGCTCTGAGAAATGACATTTGTAAGTATTCGCTTCACCAGACAACTGGTGGCGATAAATCCATCCCAATATCATTTTTTTCGATTGCAGCGGAGCTATACTAGGCTTAAAGGCAAGGTTTCGCAGTGGCCGTGTAGGCTTAGCTGCTCGGACTTAAGCATCTACAGTTGTATATCTTTGGCAGGGTGACACTACACACTCTTAGTCTTATGCAGACAGTCCCTGCCCACAACCAGTCGGTTCCATATCAAGAGGTCTCCATAAAGCAAGCACAGCGTCTCACCTTTATTGACTTGAATGTTATACGATGTTGGCTTCGTGTAGTGTGCTCAACTTCAAAGGCAGAAAATATCGGACAGGAGGGGGGGGGGGGGGGGCATCTTGGTGATCAGTCGCACTAGGATCTCAACCTACAGGTACAGTAGTGCGCATCACGGCATAGATATCAAGAATTTCCACTCTATGATTATGGAAGTTGAAGCAAAGTTGCACTTACCGGATCTCATTGAATTTGGCATACCGTACTCCATACCCTGTGCACTATATTGTCACCAGTATCTTTATCCTTGAAGTGCATATCACGGAAATTTGGCTTCACTGGCATTTTGCTCGCGATCAGTGAGACACAAGGCCCGTTCCTATGCGATTTTGATGCTCTTGAGGTTCTTCCACCGGTCGTGAAGAAACACGGACTGACAGAGGCCTAGTGTGCCTTGAGATGGCTATCTCATCATTCCTAGCTAAAGAAAGAGCTGGGTGACGGTATCGCGATTGGATCAAGCAGTGCTAACCAGTTGAAGGAGAACATGGAGTGCCTGAAGGGTGGCCTTATCCCCAGGAGGTTGTCAACACCCTAAACCAAGGATGGGAGGTCATTCGTGGCAAGGAGCTTATGTACTGGCACTGATTGTTTCTCGCTGGATTTGCATATAAGCTACAACTCAACATGCAATTAAATTTTACCCAAGGAGGATATGCTCGTGTAACGCGTTGTTTGTGTTTGGATGGAGTGAGCTAAACAGAGTGCAGCTTGCCGAACGTTGTATTCGTAGCTATCTGGCTAACTCAGGAAGGAAGAAGGAAAGGAAGAAGGTGTGTGTGACGGAGAAGGTAAGGTGTAGCCCGTCACCGCCCAGGTCCCGTGATTTCAAGTAGTTTGTTTACTATATCCCCATTGCGCGATACCAAGGCGGCGCCATTCCTACCCGGTCTGCATCCACCCCGCTACTGCCCGAACGTAAGCCATGCGTGCTTAGCCCAATAGCCCGGTGGGTTTTCTGAGCCAAATATCTACGCTATAAAGAATGAATGTTGGAAAGAAACAGATCTCCATAATATGATTGGATCTTCAATCTGGCTTTTCTGTTCGTAGTACGTAAGGCCTCTTTGGGCTTTACAACAGGTGAAGCGGTGACAACTCCAACTCTCAATAGCTCATGGCGGAGTGAACGAGTGCCTTCAAGAATGATTGTTAATGATCGGCAGAGATGACATTCGCCAGTCTGTCTCCTGCCGATAGTCTATAGACTCGAAGCCGACTGAGCCGCAGACTCATGAACAGACGCAGGCCCTTCTGCGAGAACAAGTGTTTGATTTTCTAGCTTGATCTGTCTATGTGGGGGGAGGGGTGGGGTAGCAAGGACTATGGCATTCGCTGAATGGTATGGTTTCTTGATGGCTGTGTGATCTTGGCGAGCCGGAGATAAAGTTGTATCCCGGAGATACTGACACTGAGTGGTAATAGTCATCAACAATCCTTCTCCACTCGTTGATTATACAAAGCATTCTAGGGTCCTTCCTAAGCGAGGTGGATGCCTCACTCCGTAAGAAGACCTTGAATTTGACAGCTCTGGATCCTAGGCAGCCAGGTTATGGAGGAATTATGGGTCTTTTCACATTGATTACCACAAGAAAGCGTTGCCTTTCGGCCTTGTCCTTCGTCATATTCGTGGCGCAGCATCGGCTTCTTTTGTCCAGAAGCCTTGAAAATATACGTCAAGTCCAATGAAATTTATGTCTCCTGTAACTTTCTTACTACGGAGCACCTGGCTCTTGAAACCTCGTACTCAATATCTCTTATTGGAACTGCTAAGAGTTTGGTCATCTAGAATGGCATCTATACTTGCAACTTTTCTCTCAATTGCGAAAATTGCGCTAGCTTCTGCTACTATTTGTGAGTGCAACGCCGACTTTACTGTGAGAATATTGACTTAATTCCGGCCTGCTTATTAGTCAGCCCATTCCAGCTGTCAAATCCCACCATCTCCTTCGTCTCGAACGACGCCTCTCATGGCTGGGCTACGGGCATCAACTTGTTCAATATTACCGTCGGTATTGGACAAGATGATCCGCAGCTGAGTTTCATTTTAGAAAAGAATCATGACCTTATCTCTCCGGATGCCCATATTCAGTATATAGGGTCTTCAAAAAATGCGCAGAATATACATTTTCCTGATTATATTCTTACGAAGGGAGCAGTGTGGATACAAGAGAGAAAGGGCAAACCTTGGAAAGAGGCTGGCTGGGCAAGGCTTGCAGTGATTCAGACGGCAGAGAATCTGCTCTTCGATGGGACTTTCACACTTAAGTCCGGTCAATACGAGATTCAGATCCAGTCTAACGGCAACGGTCGTACAGGTATGGTAGCTCACCAAGTTGAGCAGGCCTTCTCTATGAATGATCAAATATTAGATCGCACTATCTGCGCCACACGGCCGGCGTTCTCCTTCGAGAACCGACAGGAGCAAGCTTATAATCCGACAAACCTTATTGGAAACACATCTGGCTGTCCAAAAATAAGAATGACAGCGTACATTGGCCTAGTGACGGACTGTTCGTACACATCAAGTTTCAATTCCACAGACGCCGTCCACCGATATCTTCTGAACGTGGTCAATACTGCCTCGATTGTCTTTGAGAACAGTTTCAATATTTCTCTCACAGTTCAGAATCTTACTATCAGTGATACTGAATGTCCAAGCGATGGCCCGGGCTCATCAGCATGGAACGCCCCTTGCTCCACTGGAGACTTGAATTCCCGGCTTGAAGACTTCTCACAATGGAGGAGTACACTCTATGACAACAATGCGTACTGGACGCTATTTTCCGGATGTGCCGCACCGTCAGGTGAAGTGGGTGTGTCCTGGGTTGGTGCTTTATGTACCGAGGGCTCTGGTTCCGGATCAGGAGCTAACGTTGTTGGCCGGGCACAAACTGAGTGGCAGGTGTTTGCGTAAGTGCTAGTTCTTCTATAATTGGCTCAATTACTTGACTAATACAGTGATGGAAGGCACGAATCCGCTCATACTTTTGGTGCCATACATGATTGCACGTCTTCGGCCTGCGCATCGCAGTCCCAATGCTGCCCCCTTTCTGCCAATACCTGTGACGCTGGCGGTCAATACATAATGAACCCAACGTCGGAATCTAGTATGACTCGTTTCTCGCCCTGCACTATCGGAACTGTTTGCTCTGGCCTTGGGTCCGGCCAGGTCGATGCTCGCTGCTTAGTGTATGATGATAGGAACAGCACGGCCGTGTGTGGAAATGGCGTTGTTGAGGTAGGAGAGGCCTGCGACTGTGGGAGTGGAGCCTGTAGTGGCTATGACAGCTCTTGCTGTGATAATATGACGTGCCAGCGGCGGGGCGGAAATCAGTGCTATTCTTCCGGTAATCGAGATGGAGGTGGAGAAGGAACTTCCGGAGACCGGACCTACGGCAACGGAGTACTTGCGTGGATTCATCATCATATGCAACTGTTCCTTGGGCTTGTTATTGGAGTTGGTGGGGCCATATTGCTCGTAGTATTTGCATGGTTACTTCTATGTTGTTGTCGAAGAACGGCTTGAAGAATGGGGTTGCGAAGAGTGACTTCACGTTTCCATCATAACTTCATACGTTTGGCTTTTATCATTGGTGCTCTATAAGAGGTTTTATGTTTCATACGCCTTATATCAGGGCAATGAACATATTGATGTCAGGCTAAATGTATAAATAAATCAAGTGAAATATAAATACATGGACTGAAGTATGAAAGGGATGACGGAGCGAATAGCAGAGTGAGCGGCACACTACTCTCTCTAAGCTTTGTTTCTCTTTCATATAATTTGCCGATTCTCCAAGTAGTATATATCCAAAATGCCACCCTGTAACAAATGCCTACATCGGTCAGAATTTTAAGGGAAGCGAATGACAACCTTGTGCTCCAGGTGTTCACTGTAGCGGCGGTAGTATTCCGGAGCCTGCTCAATGTCAATAACAGAGCTGACAACGAAGCTGGGAGAGGCGCGTTCGTTGGCGACAATGTCAACAAGTGAGTGGGCGTGCTCGAGGGGCAGGACAATTCCACTGCCAACGGTCAAGGCCTTGGACCAAAGCTCAAAGACTGAGATGGGGACGGTTGCAGGGACAGTGCCGGCGTTAGGGGCACCGCGAGTACTGTTCTGGCCACCAGTGTAGACACCAGCGATGGCAATACCTCCTTGCTGGGCGGCAACATTCATGAGTTGGCGAGGTACCAGACCATCGGCGCGAGCTCCGGTAGCATTCACAGACTCAAACCCAACACAGTCAAGGGCACGAGTGACACCATTGGGCTCCTGGGCCAAGATCTGTTCGACTGGGTCGGAGGCATTGAACATGATTGGGATAGCACCGATAGACTCAGCGAGGCGGAGACGGTCAGGCACCTGGTCCACGGAGTAGACGCGAGAAGCACCGCGTAGCAAAGCGGAGTAGGCGGCAAGGAGGCCCACAGGTCCGGCACCGAATACAGCGATACTGTCACCGGGCTCAAAACCGCTGTAGGTCAATGCATGCCAGCCAGTGGTAAAGACATCGGAGACCATCAAGTAGTCCATCTCCTTGGTGAAGTTGCCAGTTTGGTTGTCATAGGGAATCGGGATAAGGGACATATCGGCAAAGGGAACACGGGCATACTCGGCTTGGTTGGTAATGTCAGTATCTATGAGAGACCAATGGGGACTGAGCTAAAATACACCTTGCAGACCACCATAGTTCTCATTACCCGAACCGAAGGAAAGAGGGTGCTCCTGCCCATAGTGACCGTCGTGGGCGTTATCGGGGATAATAACGTATTCGCCGACGGTAAGGGACGAGACAGAGCTACCAACCGACTCGACGTAACCGACAGCTTCGTGTCCAAGGCCCCAGGGAATATTGTCGGCGCCGGTGTAGCCATGGTAAAAGTGCATATCGGAGCCACAGATGGCAGAGCTGGTAATGCGAACAATGGCATCGGTCTGGTTAATGATGGTGGGAACCGGTACATCAATAACGGACACGTTGTTGACTTGGCCGGCCCAGGCCACCGACCGCATGGTAGCGGCAGCGATAGTTGCGTTGAGGGGCATTTCAGCGTGAAGGCGGATAGAGACAAAGATCGAGTGCCTTTGCTACCGACAGGCATTCGATACTTCGGAATAAGTAAGATAACTCGAGACGGGAGCATGTGCTCTGGACTTTAAAGATATCTCCGCCCTCGACCCTGTACTGGAACTGGGTTATAATAGTCTCCACCCTATCCTTTGCTTGATGACAATCTTGATCCAATTTTCTCATCCGTAGCTCCACTGGCTCTATTATTAGGTCGAAAAAACGTCATGCAAGGATCCTAATGTTGAGGAGGGAATTGCCAATGATATGATTTAGCCAATGGCTGCGTCAAATACCATGAACGGGCCCGCCAAGGAAAAATGACCGAGCCGGTTAAGCAGTATACCATAAACTCCGTTGACTCCGGGACTTGATTACTCCAACACTGATTACGGGCATATGATCATACTTAGCAGTAACATAGCCCTGGAGAAAGCGGCACAATTTGGCCAATCGCAACCTCTGTCTCAGCCTCCCGACTTTCTGCAGAATCCAAGTGATCCAAGCGGAGCGCCTATCGTTACCATTATAGGACTTTGCCAGTGAGAATATGTCGATCGGAGAGACTGATATTAGAATCAGGAGTAGGATGATTCAGCAGATACCCAATCTCCTACCTGTTTTGTATGGTAATCGGGGTATTCTCGGAAAAGGCAGCGTTGTAACACACTTAAAACCCCTGAATAGATGGTATCCTGAACGGGAGCCGACAGATAGTTCTTCAGTCAATCAATCGATCGCTGAGATGGTTCAATTGGCCCCTCGCGAGTACTAGTCGATACCGATATCCGAAAGTCCGACAGAATGTTTTGCATGAGCGGTGCAGGTTGATTTTGGAAGCATCCGGCTTGGTTGCGGAAGGGGAATGTAAAGCCCTCATCAGTTCGGTTCCCCATTCGATTGACCTCACGACGCGGAGTACGCAGGATGAGCCTCTCAAATTGCCTCATGTATACCATGCTTTGTGCATTAAGAGTCGTAATTTCCCATTTCCCAGTTCTATCGAATTATTCAGAACTATGGACTTGCATTCATCCTTTGAAACGTGCACTTCAGTATCCTGGGACACGTCTAAATGCTATCTGGATTTTGCGCTGGGGATTGTATGCTGGAATAATGCGGGATAACGTGCAGTTGCCCGGCCTTTGCAGCATGCAATTGGTGCTGGCGATCTTCGTTGTTGTTGTTTAGAGGAAGGTTGATCCTTATCTTGATCCAAAGAGATTATGCTAGGCTATATACACGACATTACGCTCAAGTTGAAATTTTTTTGGTCCTTCGTATAGATCGCAGGACTTATTACTGATTGTGCGGGTGTTCTTCACCTGCACAAGCCGCAAAATACAACACGGAAAAGACACATGCAGCGCAATTTCTTTTCATGAAAACTCGCGCTTTTACATGTTCAAAACTACTGCACATAATAAGCAGTAGAAGAATGCGCACCTGCGAGTTGCTGAAAGTTGAGCTGCCGATGAAGCAGAGGGTGTGGTTGGAGATACTGCCGAAAACGACGTTATGGCATCGGGAAGCACTTTGGTGCAGTCGGTCAGCTGGTTGATGTTGTTGACACCAAGAAGGCTGAGACGCACATATGCCGCAGAATACTGTGCATTCCAGACTGTTTGGCCAAAAGTCTCATCCTGGAATGGTATTTAAAAGCTAGTAAAAATAAAACGATGAAGATATCAACTGACTGTGAATGCTTGAAAACGTGAGGAGATGCCGTTAGCCTGAGAAATCGCTGCGTCGCTTTGAAGTCGGAAAACGCCGCTGTTTCATTGGATTATGTTAGACCAAGATCAGAAGAGGGTTTCAACCTCAGAAAGACTTACCGGGGCGGATCAGTCAATGCCATCTCACGGTAAAAATTCGTATCCCATACTCCTGGTGTTGAATCAAGCGGCTGACCCGCACGAGAAGGATCAATATAGAACTGCTGAGCAACTGTATGCGCTCCGAGAAGTGCGGCAAGGCCTTGGGGTGTAATGGTTTTGTTCTGAAATAATTCAATCAGGAAAGCTGGATCCGACGCGTTGTTACTTGGTATGAGGCCAGGAAGGTTTGCTTCATCACGATCATGGCGTCCAATCAAAGTCAACAACTTGGGACCCAAAGGACAGGTCACTGTGGCGACGTTATGCATGAACTGCACCAGATCGGCAGCCCCAATGCCATATCCTGAATATTTACTTAGCAGCTGCAGAGCCTTAGTTCGAACACCTTGAAGGCCATCGTTCTCGGGTCGCTGGATCTCATCGGAACTTAGCAGAAAGCTACCATCAGCGCCCCCCGTATCGCTTGTTCTCGACCATGCTCCTGCATCATGAAATCCTAGTCTCACTGAGGCTCGAGCAAGTCCATTGCATGTGCCGTTTTCATTTCGGAATAGCTCGACCAGTTCTTGTTGTATGAAATCCCAAACACAACATAAGTCAGCCTGGCAATTGGCGCCTCCCAGGTTGCCTGGGCGCTCATAATTCTTTCCGCCGTTAATTCAAAGTAGACACAAAAGGTATGGTTAAAACCAACCTTTATCTCTTGATATTCACATAATCCCACTCCCGTGATACAATCGCGCACACGTCTTCCAACCGTAGTCGAAGCACCATCTACCAGATCTCCAATCAGGTCGCTTGTCGCAGGGGGCAATTGTCGGCGTTCTATTTCATTCAAAAGAGTCGTCATGTCAAGAAATCCCGACACAATGATGGGAAGTACGAAGGAGCACAAAATTTTCATTCTGCGTTTGAAAAAAAATGTGAAAGTTATGGGACTACTGTAGTCAACAAGGCTCCGTATTTATAGTCATATTAGTAAGATCGGCGTTATCGGTATTCCAGCACCGCTGGTGAAAAGATACATTGGATACAGTATGATGCCTGCGCCCTTGTGTAAAATGCCAAGGTTCCTAATTTGCGCCCGAACAAGCACAGGCTAGGAGCTAGACCTAAATTATAAACACATACATATATCAAGACATATGCTCATCTCTTGAAGGAGGCTTGCAGTAAAACAAAAAATTTACATAGCGTTAGCAATATTCCTTCGTGCCTCGGAAGTGTACTGAGAAAAACTTTGAATGGTGACAGTCAATACGGTTGGTGTACTCAGTAAATGAGCTTCGCGCGGCGGGGTATTTGAACCAGGAATGCACCAATAAAAAATCGGGTGTCATCAATCCACTTTCACTGAACTTTGTTTTTCGCAGGGTCTTGGCGCGTCGTTATATAGCCAAGAAAATGCATGCGGCCCACATCCATGTTATCAGTAGGGGTTCGGAGAAAACGGTCTTCTTTGTTTTGCTTCGGATTTAATTTTGTGGGTGATCTTCGTTGCAAATTTATTAGTGGTTTTAACAGCGGTCAGCTTTCACAGATCTTTAGAATAGTTCATGCACATTTTATCCTCTGGCCAACACCAGCCCGTACATAACTCGCCATATCGGTTGGTATACTATGAGCTTCGCTTTATCATTTGATATGAAGAATAACGTCCTTTGGTGTTCTCTACAGCCTTTCTCAATGGTCTCGCCATCCAAGGTTTACCCCCGTTGGGGACCACTAGGTGCTATAGTATATCCGCTGGGATACTGCCTCGAGAGACCGCCCCAAAAAAACGAATAGCCCAGTACAAGCCCACAGTGCCATTGCTCAGGCTCGTCTAGATAAGACTTTCCTTGGACTTTGTAACGGACCATGCATAGCCATCCTGCGTAGATGGCTGGAGACGTACGTGGTTCGGGGCTATGAGCAGGCCCAGTCTTTCATCTATCATCGGCATTAGCCCTTTCCGTTCGATTCTGTCCACAGCTTGCGAGGGGAAATACAGATATGGGCAGCAAGGGCCTCCCGACATCCCTGCCCCTCTTGATGGAGCGTTTTTCATTGCTGGTAGGGGTCATGGCGCGCTCCACCGGTGTCGAAAATAGGATCCACAGAACGGCCAGCAGGGGACCGTCCGGGGACGATTTGAAATGGTCTCGAGCTTTGTTACCCTCCTTGTCTCGCCCAATGCTGTCAGAAAGATACAGAGATGACCATGCCCTCGTGATTATCTCTCCAAGACCGTTCATGGCCCTTGCGACACGCTCAGGAGTGGCAGTTGTTCAACGGTGGATCAAAGGCGGTTGCACGGCCCCATGTGTTGGTAGACGCAAGGCCAAGCTAGCGGTCACGAGCCTTGAGACTGTCAAGCTCAGGATTAATTGTGCCTTTCCCGCATGTCCGATATTCCCTGTTCGCAAGAGTGAACTTCTTGCACCATTTCTCTATATCTAAAGATGGCCCAGGAAATGGGTAGCATTATATCATAACCAGACCCAAACAAACTTTCGAGAGGATCTGAAGAGAGAAATGTTCGTAATGCCATTCTCCGACTTAAGTGATGAGACCGGCTCATTGTGCAGCTCGACAACAGCTAGACCAGGGGCGGGGAATTTGAAGGGGCGCGTATACATGCGCGTTGTTTCTCGGACACCTTCTTCACACCGAGGCCATGCCACAGTCAGCGCGCTAGCTGAAGCGCCAGTCAGCGCGCTAGCTGAAGCGCCGACCCAAAGGTGATTTGCGCGTGTCGGCGAGGTTTCTTGATGATCCTTATACCTCACCATATCCGGAAATAGACGGCACCGTTGGCCGCTATTCCCGACCAGGGAGCAAAGCTACTAGACGGAATATCTAACCCAAACCTTCCTCTGGCCCAAGCCACGTCACCCTGCGATTGCCTCGCCGTGAACAGTATCTTGATCTAAAGAAGGATTGACGGACGCAGATCCCCAACCCTAACACCGAGTACGAAGAACAGAAAGCCATGGAGCAAGAGAGGACCCGGCAGGACTGGCTGCGGCGACTTCGGCCTCAGCCGCGAACAGATTCTCCAGTGGAGAAGCCCGCAAGCCCAAGAAGCAGGAAGAAAAAAGACACTCAACAGCAGTGTGACTTGAAGGGTCAATCCTGTGTTCCAGAAGCCAAGCCTAAGGCATTTTGAGTAGCGTTACTGCGGAATTTCCAGGCGCAAGGTTCCAGTCCGATCAAGGCTCTCACCTTGGATCTGTCAAAGAACACGACGGCTGTCATGCGTGTGGCTACTTTCGGAAGAAAGTATCATTCTCTCTCATAAGCCTTGAGGAGAAATTTTCCATAGTTATTATGGGATCTACGTCTCATCATAAGTTTGGTGGCTTTCCAAAATCAATTCAAGACCATCTATATGAACAGTTGGCCGATGCCCACTTTGGAACCCCAGATCATGTGGTCGGCCACTGGCCTCCTAATCGAGCGTGCTACTGTAACAGGCAAAAAAGCGACAGTTTCAATTTATTGAACCAGCTTTAAAAGACAAAAAACGCCGACTTTAAGAAATACAAGTTGGTGTTGCTGCCGCGTTAAGCCATATACTTTCAATCTCAATTTCTTTACTCGTTTTAATCAAAGCTCACCATGGCAATATGAAACTCTTACTTTTTGCTAATAATCTGGTTTGAATTCGGAGAGATATGAACAGAGAAGTAATAGAGGCATAAGCGGCGTGCCTTCGCCTAGCTGGGATGTAGTTCGGACGGCGGATCGTTCTTACTTTCGGTGAGGCTGCAGATCCTATATACAAGAGTGCTCAGATACTGCGTCTCTTTAGAGGGCTATTTCAAAATCAAAATAAGTTTCCTAAAGTTCCTACAAGTGATTCTACACTCTCGCTGATCGGTGGCTCGGTGGCAGGTGGGCGGTATTTAAATCAAGCCCCCGTCAGCACTGAGTTTACGCGCAGCTTCATTCTTTTACTCACAGAGGCTAAAGTATGAGCAAGTAATCAGAGAATATCGGCGTGTGATAGAGAGAGTGTGATGATGAAAAAGTGGAACCACGAACGACTTGATCAATGTGTGGGTAGCCAGCTTTGCTGATATATACTCGTATGTTGAATACAACTTTCTGGTTCTAGAGATCAATCAAAACATATTTCCGAAATCGAGGGGTGACAGCTGGCCACTCAATAAGGCGAGGACTGAGGCCCACTGTGTAGATGGTAGGTCGCGGATTACTACAGAAGCGTACTGGATGAGCATTAGAGGTTACGATCCAAACCCTTAAATTGGATTTAGCGTAGATCACGAAAATAACGTATTCAGGAAGGCGGTCTTACCCCACACCCGCCACGCTCTCATCGTATCACGGCAGAATCAACATAATTTGCCAAGGTTGCAGATGAATAATTCAACAATCAGGGTAGCTAGAAGTAATAAGACTGGATATTTATAGTCTTTGAACCTGTGGAAACAAAGTAATGTAAAATATAAAGCCAGACCTTGAAGTAGTAGGTTGGCTCAAGGTCACGAGTGCAGGTATTAGAAGGGCACAAAGTTAACCTACCTTTCGGGATGTCTCCGATGCCAATCTCCATTTCCAGGTAAACAAAAACCCCTTTTCGGGCCTTTTCAAGCGAACCGATCGTAGCCATCAATCCTACCTTGCGGAAACGAGGGTGCGGGCCGGAGCGTTTCGTTCATTCGCAAGTGGGAAAGTGGGTCCAGTCTCATTGCTGACTCGTCCAATAACATCCGTGGCTTGCTACACTGACCCACCATGTCATCAACCACGATATAGATGTCGCCGGATCGGAGATAGTGTCGGTGTTAATTCTGACTGTGCAGGCTAGGTACTGAAGGAAGTGCCGTAACGATTGGAGGCTGATCTCAACTTTCAAATATTTCCGCCATAGTTATCGGGCTTGCGTTCCTTCTTCCGGATTCGATTGAACACTTTCCAAGGCCGCCAATATTCGACCATCTTACTCGTCTTCTCCTGCAGTGTTCTATCTTGGAGCTACGACCAGAAACATGTACTACTCAACAACACTCGGTCGCTTTGTGCATCTGCAAACTGGCGTAGGACAAAGATTAATCAGAGGAGTCTCTAATGCATGACCCGGGCTACGCACCACTCCCGCCATCTTCCCACCTAGTCAAGAAACTCATAATGCCAGGAAGTGAAGTCCTACCACCACATGAGCCTACTGAGGCTTTTACACACTTGATCTTATCTCCAATATATTTGTGTGTTCACGGCTTAAAGATAGGAAATGATAAGGCTCCAGGTCCCTCATTGGGCTTCATTTTAGCCACATATAATGTCTACAGGTTTGCGACAGAAACCTAGATTACGTGGTTATCGCATAGTCTTGCGGCAATCTTCTTCATAGATTCTATGGTCATGCAACCTTTATCCGCAATGAAAGTGATCAATGCGTCTGGCGTTTTATCTAAATGGAATGGTCTGGATAGATAGTCCCACGTCCTATTTTTACATAATTGGAAACTTACTTTGATAGGGTAGATTAGGCTACCAGGCCCTGAACATAAAAGGCCCAAATATCTGCTGTTGTAAATCAAAACTATGTCTCTGGATACATAGTGGGAAAGGAATTGTATTTCTCATGATGTTGATCTCACTCATTGCGACGACTCTTGTCGCCAGCTTGGCCATGGCCTCGTCTTTTCAGATCCAAAAATGGCAAGATCCTAACACCGGATTGACTTGGATCTATAAAGACTCATCCCTGCCAAAAGTCATGCAAGTGGTTGATCAGCCGTTTATTGAGTTTGTTCTAATCTTGTATATAGGCTTTACAACACCGGTGACGGAACGATCCTATCAGGGTCGACCTATGGACGCTTGGACACCATAGACTATGGGGGTGGCTCTGGTGGACTGACTCCTGAAACGCTCATTAGTAATGTCAGCGAAGTGCTCGACATTGCTCAACTAGCCATCCGTAACATAGGCGGAGGCGGTAGTGCGGATGCCAATTCGGACAGATTCTTGAATATCTCAATGGATGCTCACCTGCGACTTTGTTCCCCTGCCTCAGACATCGTTGGTGCTGTTATGATTCATGGAACAAACACATTGGCAGAGACTGTATTTCTACCGCTCATAATTTGTCGTTGGGCATTTTTCAGTTTGGCTAACTGTACCTAGGTCTTTGGCGTCGATCTCACTTTGAATTGCTCCAAGCCATTTGTCGCTACAGGGTCTATGCGTCCAAATTCGGCTATCTCACCCGATGGCCCCTTCAACTTCCTTGACGCAGTCAGGACAGCGATTCACCCAGAGGCCCGCGATCGCGGAGCTCTGATTGCGTTCAACGATCACTTAGTATCAGCTTTTTATGGAACCAAGACTAATGGTAACTCAGTCACAACTTTCTTGGCCATGGACCAAGGTTATATTGCTCAATTCTTAGCCGGTCAGCCATATTTTTTCTATGGAGCATCCCTGCCAAAGGCTCGACACTACTTCGACCCTTTCAACCTCACCATGCCACTCCCCAAGGTGGTAGTTCTATATGGTCATCGTAGGTAGATATGAACTAAACAAATGACCCTGGCGTGCTAACGCTTTTACAACAGAGGGATTTGACGCTGGCCTACTCTATGCGGCAGCAGCAGATGGCGCTAGGTAGGTTGAAGTCTCTGCAGCTCACTGCACAAGTGCTGACGCTTATTGTGTAGAGGAATTGTGATTATGGGAGTCGGTCCTGGCGGTCTCAGTACGGCAGCCACAGAGGCTGCTAATAAACTCTTCGAGAAGGACGTCGTTACCGTCGCATCCCTCCGCCCCTTTTTCGGTGCAGTTGTTCCTTCACCTCAACCAGGAAATATGTAAGAAGACACAAATGCGTATTCCAAATATGATTCCAAAACTAACAATTAACACAGCATCAGCTCTGGGTTTATGCATGGCGAACAATCACGCATCCAGCTACAGCTAGCCCTGGCATCAGGTTACGGATTTAACGCTACCCGCAAGCTTTTCGAGGGAGAAATCCGCAATGCTGTCTACTCACCCGCCACGGCCTATTATAATGCGACAAGCCTTTGAGACCTCCGGGATGTGTCTCTCCTGTACAGAGGCCAGACATTTATGTCCTAGGGAGGGCTTGTGTTTCAACTATGCAGTTTAAAAATCAGTCGAAGAGATAATCGGTCTTCCGCGAGAAGTGATAAAGTTATTGTCGGGATATATTCTCCTGTCAGAACAAACTGGTTGTGACCCACTGCTAGCGACCGATGGATAACATCCCTTGCTTGGTGTACGCATTCTTGCGCTGGGCTGTGGCTTCGGTGTTGTGACCGCCGAAGGCCGGCGTGTGGGATTTAGGGGTGTTTTTCCAACTAGACTGAACACACACATCTATCAACAGGAATCAATTGACTTTTGCTTTGGAGCATACACACTGTCCACTTAACTGTGTACACAGTACCTAGCTGGTGATACCAACAAATTTATTTAAGACTTATTACAACCACAGCCTTATATACCAATTTCTTCTTTATTAAAATATATTAGCCCTAATTAAAGAAAGAACTATATTCTCCATAATAAAATAATATATATTAAGTAGTGTAGTGGGGAGACCCCCTCCCCCTACTACGTGGGTGCCATCCAGACTATGTGACATAGCCGGCAGTATACAGTGGCCGGATAGCTAGTTCTAGAATACACCTTCTTACACCTCCCCGACCTGACCCCTACATTTGGGAATGTCGCTATTTCCTGATTGCTACGCGTGTGTTTTGTGGTGGTTTTTCTGTTGAATCGACCCGCACGTCTCAGCGCGTGCTGCCATCGAGCGTTCCCCTCTTCAGTAGGTAGTGTAGTAGGGGATCTGGTGACATGTTGGACTTAGACGTTTTCGCATGGCCGTCTAGTCTGTTTGGTTTGTCTTAAAGAGCTTCTACAGAGAAGCAAGAAAGCAACAGAGAGAAGAACAACAAGAGGTATGCACGAAGTTCGAAGCCACGCATTATTTTTATTTCCATGGAGTTTTTCCCTTAATTTCTGTTTTCCTATTCCTGCCGTCTAGCACGACGTTCCGTCGGTTCATTCAATAAATCAACAGTATCTCCTGCTGCTAGACTCACACTGGACTTCTTCGCTGTTGGTGTTTTGTTCTACCTAGCCTATGACTCTGTCCCTTGATCTCTCGTGTCTCGACCTGCCTGTGCCGACTGCGCTGCCTTGAGCTTTCCCAGTTCAGTAGTTATAGGTCGGGATGGTGAATAAGCAGCCGGAAATGGCTGCCCATTTCTGCTCACGTGCTTCCTTCAGATTCGTTGGCTCTCGGTGGCCCATCAGTAAGTTGCGGCCCCTCAAATAGTGGGTGGCTGCAGGGGTCGTAACACCACGCTGTTGAACCAGTTGGGAAGATATACCGACGCTGTCAATTTGATCAGACCCTCGTCCGAGTTACTGCCCAAAGGAAGAGGCATACGTGCACAGTTCCCATCATGAATCTCCCAAGCGGGAGGCCTTCGTAGAAAATCACCATCTTTAGGCTACTTCCTTTTTAGGAATCTGTTTCCATTTTCTATCAATAAACCAATGCAAAGGCTCAATTCGCCTACACCGATCCCCCTCCCTCCGCTCTTTTCCCGGAGCGGCCGATGGAATTATAGTGGCCTATACTTCTTCCCTCTCAAAAGCCATGACTCTGGGAAGACATTGCACACAGTGTTCTCAAAAGGGTCATAGGCTAGCTTGGCTTTGCTTCTACTCGCTCTCTTAAAAACACAACCCGACGTAGCTGCTATCTGAAACCTTCAGGCGTCAAAAAAACTTGAATGACACGGGGTTCCCATTCAACGGCTTGCAGCCAATGCCAGTTTGGTTTGTACTTGAAATCACGGGACCTGGGCGGTGACGGGCTACACCTTACCTTCTCCGTCACACACACCTTCTTCCTTTCCTTCTTCCTTCCTGAGTTAGCCAGATAGCTACGAATACAACGTTCGGCAAGCTGCACTCTGTTTAGCTCACTCCATCCAAACAGTTTGCGTGGATGAAGGACATCCGGGTTGACCATAGAAGACAAACTCCCCGCCATTCTCCAATACTAAGAGTTGAATTCCCGAACCGCCATTGCCCAATCCGTTGCTGCAATCTCCAGAATCACCAGAGAATGTGATAGACTTTCCGGTACACCTTGCGTTTTGGTAGACCACAATGTGGTACATATTTTCGGATCGAGAGTTACAGCATACCGGCAGTAGTAGCTCCATGCACCATATCGACGATGTTTAGAGAAAAGATACATGCGGCAATCGAATATGATAGAGTACATTTTGGCTTAGCAGGGCTAACCGGTAGAAGTTTTTCTTCCAATATGGGCGGTGAAGTATCCAAGAGCTATGGGTACATGTGCTTCATAGCCACATTCGTTAGCTTGTGTTTCATACTGGCCTCGTATCTCATTAAGAGGCAAAAGGGATAAATCAAGGCGTTTTAATGACTCATTTGTCGCCAGGAAAGCCCAGTGTGCTATGAGTCTATTGCACGCCTGGACATAAATCGACTTGGATGTTTGAAGTGACTGAAACTTTTTGTTGAAGACTGTCTTCAGGCATGGGATGTCGCTTTTATTTTTTTTTTATTTCGGTTCCTTTCAAAGACTGGTGACGAAAACGCCGCTTCTCTTTGGGATCGCAAGCACTTTCCACCTCTTGGACACTCTGAACACCTTTAGTATCTATTCTTGGTCAGCATTCAGCATAGGAGTTTTTTTATTTATAAATTATATCTCAAGTCATTCAAGCTCTTCTATGTCGATTAAGAAGTGGTAAGCCCATGTCTGCGGAGGTCTGGGTAGTTAAAAGGTTATCCGTGCCTTACTGCCACCAAAACCGCTTCCCAAAGCGGATACCTACGGGTCGCATCCTGGCGAGGGCTAATTCGTGCTTACAACTGGCGGGGATCCGGAATTAGTTGGGCCAATCAGCGCTCTCAATAAATCTAGTAGATCTAGTACTCTTTGTGCCTACTTTACTCTCGCCATCTGTAGGTGTCAGCTTTTAGTGGCTATTGTGGGTCCTGGTGATGACACGAAGTCCCACTAGCTGGGAATGAACAAGAAGGAAACACAGTCTTATTGATGGACGTTCGCAGGAAATTCATTTGATATTCAGATTCATTCGCCCCTCTCATACTAGTGCATAATTGCGGCAGGATCACTCATGCCGTATCCACCAAAGTGGTATAAGTATACACAACCCGAAACCCCCAAGTTTGGTGCCCATGAAGGCATTTTTCACGCAGTCTCAGACCATTTATCAACCGTCTAGCATCTGCAGTGAGAAAAATGGCGAGTGCAGAGGCTATACCTGGCGTTCACGTGCTTCTATTTGGTGGCAACGGCCGAGTCGCGCGGGCCATGACGAAATTGATGGTGGCCCGGTCCTGGACGGTCACCAGCGTGATTCGTAATCCCCAGCAAGAAGGGGACATTCTGCGCCTGGGAAACAAGGAGCAACCCTCCCGTCTAAGGGTGATCCATTGCGATTTGCGGACTATCAAGACCTCGGACGAAGCGTCCCATCTCCTGGAGCAGGTTCGACCCAACTGTATCGTCTTTGCGGCAGGTGAGTATTTCGGAGGATGGCTCATTTCCTTTCCTGCTAAGCCAGGGGAGTAAACATTTGAAAAAAAAATACTCATAACTCGGCAGGTTCATTTTCCAACCCGTACGAAATTGATCGCGACGTTGCACAGCGCATCATGCAGGCGTCAAGCCGCGCCGACTATGTGCGCAAATTCCTGATGATTTCGTTCCCCGCTTCACGCCGCAAACCCGCACCCTGGTGGAATCAACGAGACATTCGCGACTATCATTCAGAGTCCAATTCATACCCTAGTGTCAAGGATGCCAAGTTGCAAGCAGATGAGTACTTAATCGCAATGGCCCGCCAGAGGGAGCTCCGAGGCGGGCCTAGATTACAGGCCATCAGCTTGCGACCTAGCTGGTTGCTGACGAGTCCGGGAACGGGCAAGGTGAAGCTCGGAAAGACACAAGCGCTTGGCCAACTGCCTATCGGCGATGTTGCATCCATTGCCGTGAGCCTGTTGAGCCGGAATGATGCCAATGGTTGGTTTGATCTCGTTCAAGGCGACGTGGAGATCGATCAAGCGGTAGAAGCGGTGGTACAAAACCAGATCAATTGCATTGAAGGGGAAGACTTGGAGAATATATACAAGCTTGCGGTAGAATAGAGGCGCGTGATCAATTTTCTTAAAAGAAAGACATGCCTCTCGATGCCCTTATTGTAGCCTGATATCACTTCCCTATACTTAGTGTCGTTGGACACTCTCAATTTTCCCAAATAACGGCTTCTCCCCGCGATGAACCCGCCATGCGTCGGTGGAACTGAAAAGATCCCAACAATCTTGAATGGCCCAACCCCAAAGTCGGATAAATGTCTCGGTAACTTCCCAGCCCGACGGATCCCATGGATCCCGCCAAACGAGAACACCCGTTTCGCCGATTCCCGATCCCCGACAGAGGTTCTGGCTGGAAGAAGGGGGAGGCCTCTGCCCACACATATCGCGGCACAATTGCTCATCATCCATCAAATCTTGCGCCAGGATCAAGTTATCTCGCATTCGCGGGAAGGGGATAAGGTCCAGCCACGGATGATGGGGAATCGTCCACTGAATCATGGTCGGTGTGAGAGCGGGTGGTAGAGTCGCCTCACGCAAGTCACTCGCTTGTGAAGGTCCCAGTACGGTAAAGCATGACTGAGCATCGTCTTGAATAGCGCTTGAGCTGTAGCCTAGAATTTCCAAATTGGCATGCAATGCTCTGAGGACGTTGAGTCTCGTCACATTTAAGCGTAGATCTACGAGTGGTGAGCCACCCATGCGTTCGGCGTGGGCAGTAAGGATTATTTCAAGTTGCCGGAGGACAAGATTCGCATCGTCTGTGGTCGGGCCCAGGATGCGCAGTGTATCCAAGATCATCGAAGCGATGTCGCTAGCGACCGGAGTCGAAGACCCGGGATTTTCAGCTTTGGCCGCTCGTTGACGTTGCCCTGGCCCATGATGTTAGCAGGGGACTCCATCCATTGAAGCTAGCCTAGCCAATCATGGGCTGATCATGAATTCATCTCGACAGCACTACTCACTGCGCAATCTTTGATTGAGTCGGTTCTGCAACTTTCGTCGCCGTTTTGGATCCGTGACTCCTATCCAGCTGTCCCGTACTGTCACCTCCATTTCGGGCGGTGGGCGATGCAGGTGGGACGTCATAGCGGAGGAAACCTCAATGACGACACGGGATCTGTGGAGAGGGCTGTGCGAAGGATGGCTGATAGCTGATAGCTGACTGCTTTATACACGGGGCATAGGAAATAACAAGATCAACAGATAAGTATCTTATTGTGGATAAAACAGCGATGGATCTTGAGGAATAGTAGTGAGAGCTTTACGGTGGCGAATGAATGGAATCCAAGTCCGGTAGATGGAGGGAGGTAGCGAATCAAGCACTACAGTGACTAAGCAAAGCATCCCAACTCGAACACCGCTTTCACCGCCCATCTACGGTAATAGCAGTTAACATAGCTCAGATGGTTTAGTCGGAGGTAGAGCACCTGGCTAGGACTCCGCCGCGTTGTGTCAGAGCTACTATTGAGGGCCATGGTTGGTATGGTGTACACCATATTAGATTGACGGGCTAAGGACCTTGGGGTTAAGGGCGGGCAGAATATTATATAGTCAGTGATTATCAGTCTGGGGTGCTGCGACTTTTATTTAGTTACTGCATTTATGTTATGGAATCGACTCGCTGTTCAAGAACCGAAAAGCAGCATCCATTCACCTGATAGATGGAGATTGGCATCGGAATCGTCCCAAAATGAATGGCAGCTCTGTGCCCCACTGGCTAGTCGGAAGTAGCGAAACAGACACCGCGCCCCGAGTTCCATGGTCCACCATCAGCTGTCAGCAATTAGCGCCAATCCATAACCTTATACCCAAAGGAGGCATTTTAGATTGGGGTTTTGCAGGAACACTGTTGTGTTCTTTGGTTCATATGCTCTCGCAGCCTTCGTCGTATTTTCGGGCTTGCGGTACTAGACGAGCGGTCATTCCGACAAGTATTGACGCATTGTAAGACCGAGTGTAGGGCAATCCGCTTCAAAATCAGTGGAGCAAGGCATATAGTTTCTACTAATATTTCCCTCTTTCCATGTAAGTTGACGACAGAACGATAGGACACGAACAGGTGGTGGGTTGGGTCTAGAAAGAAAAAGATCCGAGTCAGAGGGTCGCTCCCGTTCCATGGTTGACTCGTTCAATCACATCTTTCATGTCATCGACCACTTGTGGATTCCGCAGGATCTGAGATGGTGTCTATTTCCCAGTTCCAACTGCACGGGCCACTAACAGTGGAGTTACCTGGATGGTTCGACCAAAGAAAAGAAACGAGTCATCACGAGGCAGTCAAAATTTGATTGCCCACAATCGAGGACGCCACTTAAGATTCATAGTTACATGTAGCCAATGCCCTTTCTCGTGGGGTTGGAATTGTTCAAATGTGAAATGGAAATCAGTGTTAAAGATTAGTTACAAAATATGCGGTGTTCAGGTGAATGTCTTCCATGGGCTCGGGTGGAGCTATTCTGGTGCTATAAAGGCATGCCACCTCAGCTAGTTAAATGTGTCAAATGCAAATTGATGACGAGGGGCACTGTAACCCCACTAGAACCCCACTGTAATATCCGTGGATATCGCGCAGTCTCGACAACTCACAGGTGTTGAGTTAAGGCGGCGACAGCCTGCCAAGCATGAGACTGCAATATAAATATAACCTGTTCGACGGCCGCCACAAAGTAGCGCAACCAAGAGACTCCCTTTCTTGTGCTACCAGCAAGTATTCAAATCGCCCCATCGGTGCTCTTTTTCTTTACCAGCCTCTTTCAAGACCCTCAATACTCTTCACCATGGCGTCTCTTTGGGCTCCTGCACCTGAACCGGCCACCGAGTTGGGACGTTACCGCGTTCTCTCTTCCACTGCCGGAATTCGGGTTTCTCCGCTTCAGCTTGGAGCCATGTCCATCGGCAATGCATGGGCAGAATCTATGGGCTCCATGAGCAAAGAGGAGTCATTCAAGCTTCTTGATGCGTTCCACGAAGCCGGCGGAAACTTCATTGACACGGCCAACAACTACCAGGATGAGCAATCGGAGACGTGGATCGGAGAATGGATGGCCCAGCGCAAGAACCGTGATCAACTGGTGATCGCGACCAAGTTCACAACGGACTTCAGATCATACAGTCTAGGCAAAGGGAAAGCCCCAAACCACTGTGGCAATCATAGACGAAGCCTTCATATGAGTGTTCGTGACTCTTTGACGAAGTTTCAAACCGACTGGATTGATATTTTGTACCTTCACTGGTGGGATCAGACCACGTCCATTGAAGAGATCATGGACAGCCTCCATATCCTCGTGGAACAAGGCAAGGTCCTCTACTTGGGTATCTCAGATACACCAGCATGGGTCGTGACAGCGGCAAACCTCTACGCTCGCGCTCACGGAAAAACACCTTTCAGCATCTATCAAGGAAGATGGAATGTCATACTTCGCGACTTCGAGCGTGACATCATTCCAATGGCACGCCATTTTGGAATGGCACTTGCCCCCTGGGATGTCATGGGCGGTGGAAAGTTCAAAACCAAGGCGGAAATTGAACAACGCAAAGCACGGGGGGAGGGCCTCCGCAGCATTTTGAGTCCGGATCAAAGTGAAGAGGAAGCCGCAATGAGTGCAGCACTTGAAAAGGTGGCCAATGAACATGGGATCAAATCATTGACCGCGATTGCTCTGGCCTATGTCATGGCGAAGGCGCCAAATGTGTTCCCTCTTGTTGGCGGTCGTAAAGTCGAGCATCTCAAGGACAACATTCAGGCTCTCAAGATCCGGTTGACGAAGGAGCAAATCGAGTACCTTGAAAGCCAAACCTCCTTTGACATTGGTTTCCCAGGCAACTTTATCGGTCCGGATCCCAAAGTGACCGGGAAAGCATCTTTCCTCTTGGCTGCCAATGCTTCGTACTCCTTTGTACAGATACCCAAGTCTATTACTGCTCCAGAGTAGGCTGGCTTTGGTACAGACAGACAAAACTCTGAACATAAGATCGGAATCTGTTTCTTCAATAACCATATGCAAATCCCGTGAGAGCTTCAGTAAACTCCAACTGGAAGAGATGGAGTAGAAGATCGGTGTGCTGGGTCACGTCTACGGTGGACAGAGTCAAAAGCAGTCATTCAGTAACCAATCAATCAACATCAAAAGTAACTAATACTGATGTCTTTTCTGCTCACAGAATCCTTGATTGTCTATCCAATGAGCCCTCTCTTACGGTCAGAACAAATCCTGATAGCAACTAAATGAGCAGAGGAGCACTTTCCCAGTAGCTTCATAGATTTCCCTTGCCACGTACAGTAAAGCTGTGAAGCAACGAACCCCCTCACATGACAAAACAGTCGTTTCTCCCGAAGCTCGAATAACAACGCATCCCAGATCCTCCGGGGTCTCTTAGATGTCAGTGATGAAGTGATTGCGAAGAATCTCTTGCGCTACAGATTATGTTCACGACATCGAGTTGTCTAGATGCATTCGTGCAACTTCAGCAATCTCTCTATAGCCCCTAAGTTGATGATGTAGCAAGCACAACGAGGGAAATCGTTTGAATTTCAGAGCTAATGTAAAGAAACTTCCGGCTTCTTCGAATAAGTGACCATACATGCTTAGTTACACATTAAGCCTGCATCGCCGTGCCTTCGAATCTACGTCAAAGATTCAAGCAGATTGCCTTTTATGACAACACGTTAGATTTTGGCTGAAACTACTAAACGCAAGAAATCGGCCACATGACTTGGGTGGCTAGTCTGAAGCAATAGAGAGGCATCTCACCCTGATGGAGCGGAAGGATGGTGCGAAATGACTTATTTGATTCACAGAAGTATCACGGTGATTGAAGAGACTGATCTCTCAGTCATAAGTAGCTAGCAGAAGACAAATTTGCTATGCTCACCTATGCACACCCGTGCTTAAAAGGCAATTGCCTGCTTGGGGAGATATGGCTCTTCCAGAAAAGAGATTTCCTTCTCTGTCAGCTCAACCTTGATTGCTTTGACGGCCTGATCAATCCGATCGATGGAGTCCAAGCCTAGGATTGGTGCGGAGCCTTTCTGAGCGAGCACCCATGCGGTAGCCACCTGAGCCATGCTGATACCCTTCTTTTCGGCAACTTGACCGACACGGGAGACAATTTCCTCCGCAGACTTGTCCTCCTGGCTTCTGAATAGGGCCTTGAGGAAGACATCCTGCTGCTCACGTTTGTCCGAGCGATCTGTCCACGCATGAGCCAACACGCCAGCTGCCAGGGGAGACCACGGAAGGAGCCCTACGCCAGTCGCACGGCAGTAGGGGAACATTTCGCGCTCTTCCTCTCTGTACAACAAATTATAAAATCCTTGCATGGAGATGAACTTATGCCAGCCTTTTTCTTCGGCGATATTCTGGAGCATCTGGAATTCCCATGCAGCCATCTATCTCCCGGTTAGAATCCGTCAACAAATTCCATATAATATTTCTGTGACAAGAAAAGAACTTACAGAACTGGCGCCGATATAGCGAACATTTCCACTCTCAATCACATCGTTTAAAGCTCGCATAATTTCTTCCATAGGAGTATCCCGGTCAAGACGGTGGATTTGCAAAACGTCAATATAGGTGCCAAGTCGTTCCACACTTCGTTCGACTGCATCGAAAATGTGTTTTCGTGAAAGTCCAACTCGATTCACTCTGATGCCGTCGTTGATACCAAAGTCGGCGGCGTTCAAAGGACCTCGGGATTCGTCCACCTCGTGAAAGCATTTGGACATGATCACGACCTTCGATCTTGGGATATCGTACTTTTTCAAAGCAGCTCCGAGGATTTCCTCCGATTTTCCGTTGGAATAGGTGTCGGCAACATCCCATGTATTGATACCCTGATCATAAGCGTGTTTGATAAGAGGAAGTGCAGCGGTTTCGTCAGTGATCCAAGGCTGCCAGTTAGGATCACCGTATGTCATACAGCCAAGCACAATTTTGGAGACCTTAAGGCCCGATTTCCCGAGTCTAGTAGGAATTTCTTGTTAGCTCGAGCAATCTGCGGGGAGGGGAGTTGGACTTGCTTGATATACTCCATGTCGCTTTGTATGCTTATGAGCAGAAAATTGATAGATTTCAACTGATCTGTGCTGAAGATCAAGCTTCGAAGCAGCGACGCATCCAGCGATCTTTATATAATTTGGAGCATCTATTTTGCCACTAATCATGAAGAAACGAAGAAGTATCCGGCAGCGCTAATTGATGACAGGCAAAATTACCTCATCTGTCCCCATACGATCATGATCCAGCAAAATCGGGCTAGCCCTATCTGACAAACTGAGGGGGTGGTCAAATACCACTAGGACCCTTCGGGATAGGCTTATTCATCGTTCACCCAATTCTTCCTAGTATGGTTTCATAACAAGCCACAGTTCGATTATAAAGACCCCTGAGATCGCTCAATCGATCTCAGCAACCTTCAATTCATCATCTTATTCTATTGGGACATCTTCAGTACTAGCCAGTACATCAATTCCTCATCCTGACACTATCTAATCGATCCGTTTCCGGTACGTCATGCAGTGGTCGTGCGTTTTTGAGTCTTAGCCCATCGGTTTCATGCTTACCGTTGATCTACTCCAGAGACCGCAGGTGGGATTACTCACGAATTCTTCTAGTCATCTAAGACCCTTTGGTCAAGCTCAAGTTATGCTTATTGCCAGAATTTGCCCCCTTTGGGAATAAGGTTACACTCACGCTAATTGCTGACAGCTGCATGGAGTGGGACCATGGGTCGCTTGAACGCAATCGATAAGAAAACGCCATATACCTAAGAGACTACCCGGCAGTCTGGCTATCCACGACACCCCTCATACCCCTTTGTAGCTCATATCCGGCTACCTATTCAAGTGCGTATGGGAGCGTGGGGCTGATAAGGTCTAGCCCTTTTGAGTGAAGGCGGTCGGTTCTTTTCGGACCCAAATATTAATAACCCCTTTGAGCTTGGTGTTGTTGCATGTGTAAGGGAGTTGTATTATCTAGGTTCTGTGTGGGTCACGACCCAGTCTCATAGATAGAGGCGTAACCCTAATGCATGAGTAGTGCGTATCAGGGTGACCGCACAATACAGGTGCTCCAACAAAAGAGTCACGGTCGAGTGACACCGAATTCCGGAAATGCTGTACAGTAAATCTGGGTTACGCTCTTTCGCTTTCTGTCGAGCTGTCTTCTTGGACCACCCTTTGCGATGCAGGGCATCGCTGATCGTGGACTTTGGTACAGATACTTCGAATTCATCAAGAAAGAAGAGCTCCATCTCATGAAGGTATAGATCCGGCTTTTCGAGTAGATGGTCGCACAGGGCTCCAGCATAATCGGAGTGATGCTCCGTGGCCGTCCAGGTTTCATAGGAGGGGCTTTGACACTATCGAATAGTCGCAGGTTAGACCGGATCCTGATAATGGCGCGCTTGCTGCAGCCTGCAGCTTTCGCCATATAATTGACAAGACCCAATGCGAAATTTGAATGTTTTTACTGGAGGTCGTTGTCTATATGAATAAAATTATTCGTAGCTGCATGGAAGCACAGGAATTCAATATAGTTGCAATGTGTGCGAATCTAGCTGAGCTGGAGGTACACAAATTAGAGGCTCTGAGACAGATCGCATAACAGGATCAAACTCTCGACATCAAGAATCATGACACAGAGATAAAACCAAAGAACATGCACACAAAAGAAAATTTTAACAGCTAATGCCGCTCGGTCGACCGTATGGTCCATTATCGGTGCAGTAGTAGTCGGGGTGCTGCCGTTCAAGCCCTTCTAGCTTCACGGAAATCCTTAATGCTGAAAGCTTTAAGTCTTGCATTTCCCATGTCTTTCTTCCCTGATCAAAATGATCAGACACCTTGTCTTTAAATATTTCCACAGCCCAATCTTAGCCAACAATTCGTCGAAGTTACACTCATGTCCAGGCGACAAGAGAAGGGATCAACGGGCGAACCCAAATTTCAACGATTGAGGTTCAGCAACCATTCAGCTGCGTACACATCTGCCTGCTCGTTGCCGCTCCGAAATCGAGTTTTCGCTATGATTTCCTCGGCAAGTAGGTCAGAAACCTTTAACAAATTCCAATCGCACTCGAAAACCCTGTGCTTCACCACCAAGACTTCGTAGAACTTCCCGTCGTGTTTGAGCTCTGTGTTTTGTTTGCTGCACAAAGTTTCTTTATTTGGAACTCTTTGGGGAAAATTGTGCATCTACCAGCCGCGGCTCTTTCATTTCGACATTGTGGGGTGGACTATGGGAAGACGTATGTATGTGATGTAATGCAGTAGATTTGCCAGATGTTCTTTGAGTAAGTATTTCCAGTAGATTTGGACTTCGTGGTAGAGGGAATAGTCGAAGAATTTTTCATTAGGGAACTTCTCTCCATTTATGCCGTGATCTCCAGGCTTAGATTAAGTGCCTGAATTTGACTTGTTTGAAGTGATAATCGGACTTGCCTTTTTCATTAAGCTCCAAAATATCATATCACCACAGCAGATCAACTCCCGAGAACATCTCGTAACCAACCACTCTGACCTCACACATCATTCTGAGGCTTGGGTAGAGCATGGGGGTAGAGATCCCGGCACAGTGTTGGATGAACTGATTTTTGATATAGTTTTATGTGAAGCATCTCTTCAAATCATTTGGTCTTAAGTTGATTTGGGCACCGAAGGATGCGGGAGTGCCAACATAGTGGCTCGCGAGGCGGATTCAAGGCTATATAAGCTAGACTATTCCTTGTATTAGAGAATTAATACTGGCATTGGGGCTGCGCCTTCACCAAGTTTAGTAGGCGATTGTCCGTCGCTATCTGTAACATGTGAAGCGCATATATAGACATGGGGGCTGCTGGTAATGACTGGCTTCTACCAAGCTAAATCGAAATGCGTTGTTTCGATTTCCGGTATTTTATTATGTGATAGATCTCAGCGGCGTTAATTTCACAGATTACTGACAGCGCATTGAGTGGTAACAAGATAACAACTACAGAGACATTTGATAGTATCCCGTTACTATAGTCTGAGTTGGTAGAAGGCGCTAGAAATGATCGCGACGTAGCAAAATCATCTGAAATATCGCCGAAAGTTTACAGTATCTAGAAGGGCTTAGTATTTTGAGGCCGACAGAAAGCACGAATTCGACGTAAAGACAAAATGAGGACATGCAAAGAGGAAGCGGTTCTCAACATCGGCTATTGGGCTGCTTTTCACTCTCCTCTTGGACAAATATTTGTTGCAATTATTGCCAGCTCACAATTGGAACGCCTATTTATGAGAGATTGCTGTGCAGGGCATCATGACTATAGACTTTTCATACCGCATTTCCAAGAATAAGGCGCTGTCATATTTTTCGAGTTTTAAACAAAGGAGAAACCAAGCTTCCAGTAATTTCTTTTCAATTCCTTTCGATGCACACCTCCTCCCGAATCACGATTCCATCGTTATTGTTCACATTCTGACCAACAAGAATCTCCTCGTCGCTCCGATTATTTCGAGAAATATACGACTCGGTGTGACCTTCCTGCGTTACGCTAAACAACGTATTGTCTTTGGCCAAGTTGCGCATTCGGAATCTCGACGAGTGGTTGAATTCTTCTTGTTTGATGTATCTGCTATTCGAGGAGTTGCCGGGCTTGGATCCGTGAAAAATGGTGCGGTAGAGGGGGCGGACGGTGGGGATGCCGACGCAGATAAGGGTTATGGCGAGCTCGACGCCAGACCAGATGATTAGGTCTACTGTGTCCTCTGAAATTTGGAGTTAGTTGGGTTCGAACTGATAAGCGTTTCGGACGAGAAAAGAATTAGGGATGAGTCAAAATGTTCACACCATTGGAGCTCAGGCATATAGAGAGATGCGGATGCATAAGAAGGTAGCTCACTTACCAGTGTAGTTACTGCTTGAGAGCCCTCCAAGATCGATAGTTCGCACGATTCCACAGGCACATGCTCTGACAGTACGAGTTAGTCTTTCATCTCAATGAATATTCTTGGAAAGAACTTACATGAAGCCGAGACTCAAGCTGATTGCGATCGACATCTTCTCCTTGAACTTCATATTGAGCTTCCAGATGAAGACCCAGGGCAACGCCGCAAAGTAAAAATCAACGGCAGCACACCATGCTTTTTAAATTAGTATTCAAGCAATATAAGAGTGGGAATTTACTGAACCGTGAAACTCACATCCAAGCAAAACAGCAACCGGCGTGACAGAGACAATAGTCCGACCAGGAACACGAGGATCGTAAATGGACTCCGACGGAAGACGTTGAATCCAGAAAATGATTGCAGTCATGACCGAGACAATCGACAGGCTTACCATCGATATCCAAATCGAGATGCGATGCCACTGCTTCACCACAATGCGGAGTAAGAAGATACCCAGCGAGAGCTTCGCTATGGCCATTCCGAGAATGGCAAAGGTCTGCCCCACCATCTCCATGTAGACGGCGTTAACAGCCGAGTCTGGATCCAGGCTTGTGATGGGCTGCCCGAATCCGTGGACTCCAGAAATGGTCATGAAGATGGTATATAGGAGTAGGAATACCTGGGCTTCCGTCAGCTTTTGGCTTTCGTATCATCGGGCGCATGCTGAAATTAGGAATGTTTCAACTTACCCAAGCAAGATTGAAAACATGGTCGTCAAGTCCGACAGCCTTGATCACGTAGACTCGCGTGTACATTCGCAGAGGCACAAGGATGAAGGAGATGAAAACCATCACCCACATCACGGCGATCGCGTGAATACCTTTGCCAGCCAGCATTTTGGATTCAGTTTCAAAGTCACTCTTGAAAAAATTGGAAAAATGAAGCCGAAAGGTCAATCAGCCAAATACTTCAAAATCCATGAATCTCGCTGCAACAAGAACCCATGAAGCCAGGCAATGGCATTATCAGATATAAATGAATCCATCGCCATGGCGGACCCCTAAATCTGCACAGCGATGCCTTGAACAAGAAAATTGTGAGCTATCACCAGTAGCGCCTTGGCCCTGTGCAGAAGTACAAGCGAGGGCGGGCTTGAAACAGTCAACCGAATTTCGACGTCGCTCATAGCTCATTCTGGCATGGCGATGCCGGCCCATTCTGCGGTTCGCTCGTTTGGAACACGAGCTCGAACAGAGGCGCTTTTTAGCTTTGACTACGTTGTGCTGCCTCGCTCGTTGAGGACCATACCAGACGCCCAAGGCAATGTCCACACGAGCCGACTAAAGGCGCTCTGTCCGTGCATTCGACAGGTCAACTGTCAAACCGGCGGGAGGCCCGCGTGGAGGTGGGCGAGAGGATTCCGGGCTCCATCGACTGGTCATTTAGGACAGGTCGCTGTGAATTCGAGGGCGTGTGGTTGGTTCGGATCGTGCGCGTCGCCCCGTCTTTCGCGCTAAGCTCCACTGTGTGTACTTTGGCCGGCCGCCGGTGCGTCGGTGGGGAATCTAGACCGAGACAATGGTCGATCTTGCTTTTGGGCTGCGACTGTGCACGAGGCATCGAGGGCCACGGGCCTGCTGGGGGCGGCGATGAAGAGGATCGGCGCCGCCAGGGGACACATAGTGGAGTCTGTCCAAACGATCCCCACTCCGCGTGCCCGGTATATAGTGCCCATCGTGGATTTTCCCCAGGGGTTGTTTGTTGTTTCGAACTCCTCTTGGTTGATACGTCGACTTTTCTATATACGATTCTACGTGTACTGCTCGAAAATGAAGCTCGAATTGGTCTCGGAATTAGGGACGTGGGAAAATGCTGTGCTCGCTGTATACGCCTTGTTGGCGGCTCTTCCGCTATGGTACTTGACAACCTTTTTCATCTCCCCGTTGCGACGATTTCCTGGTCCTCCTCTCGCAGGTGAGCTGTTCCTAATATTCCCGATCGGATCTTATGCTCAACCTTTTGCCTGATTAGGATGGACAAACTTGTGGCGGATGTTTCACGTCCGACAGGGTCGGTACCATCTAGTCATCCATGAGTTGCACAAAAAGTACGGCCCTGTAGTACGCATCGCGCCCAATGTGTTGGACCTGGATATTCCGGAGTTGACCAAGACAATCTACAATACCAAAGCGGAGTACCTCAAGGTATGTCCGTCCCCATTCACCTCATCCTGAAACACACTGACGAACTATATCAGACCGAATTCTATCACGGTAGTAGCGCCAAGAGCAATGGCAAAATCATCTATAACCTCTTTAGCGAGTGTAAGCCAGACGTTCACGCGTTGCATAAAAGACCCATCTCAAAGTACTATTCCATGAACGGCGTGCTCCCACTGGAAACCCATATTGACGAGATGATCGCGTACTTCTGTCAACGGCTGGAGGAAAATTTTATGGATGGATCCAACGCCACCGAGTCGTTCAGACTCGAGGACTGGATTGCATACTGTAAGTGGTCCTGATCAATATGTCATGGCTGCGGTAGTGGGCCGAGCTAATGCAGGCAGATACCTGGGACGTTGTTGGCAAAGCCACTTTTAGCCAGCCCATTGGATACCTCGAGAAAGGGTATGACTTTGATCATACCCTGAGCACCGCCGATACGGCCATGGACTACTTCACCATGGTTGGTCAGATGCCTATCCTGGATCACCTGCTTGACAAGAACCCTGTTTGGAGGATTGGTCCACCGTCTTTTGGTAATATCACCAACATCTCGATCCAGCATCTGATGGATCGGCTTCAGGGAAAGGATACCCACTACCACAATCCTAGCAAGCCGGACTTCCTCGATAAGTTCATTGAAGCTAAGGAAAAATATCCGGATGTTGTCGATGATATGCAGATTGTTTCGTATCTGATGATCAACATGATTGCGGGCGCCGACACGACTGGTATCACCCTCAATGCGGCCCTGTATTTTTCCCTGAAGAATCCCCGCGTTTGGAACCGACTGCGCGCAGAATTCCCTGCTCGATGTCCCTCTGATCCACCAGTGGTATCGTACAAATCTGCGAGAGAGGTCCCGTATCTGGATGCTGTCGTTCGTGAGGCAATGCGGTGCCATCCCGGCGTTGCGATGCTTCTGGAGCGATACGTGCCGAACGGCGGTCTGAATCTTCCAAATGGACAGCATGTGCCAGCTGGCGCGGTCGTCGGGATGAACCCTTATGTCACGGGACGCAACAAGTCGGTCTGGGGTGAAGACGCTGAAGAATTCCGTCCTGAGCGCTGGCTTCGTGATCAAACGCGCGAAACAGAGGAGGCGTTCCAGAAGAGGCTGCAGTTGATGAATAACACTGACCTTACCTTTGGTGGTGGGAGCCGGGTTTGTATTGGGAAGCACTTTGGCTTGCTGGAGGTGTACAAGGTGATCGCTACTCTTGTCTCGCGCTATGATGTTGAGTTGGTCCATCCCGAGCGGGACTGGGAGACCCATAACAGCTTCTTCGTGCGGCAGAGTGGGATCGAGGTCAGAATGTCTCCTCGTGGGTGTTAAATTGTCATACGAGAAATTTTTGAATGAAATCTTTCTTTGTATTGCCATTGAACGAATCGTTGCCCATACAGGGTCTTGACAACAATGTATCTCAGCTTTGTCAACATCCACTTAACGTCCGCCTGGCACAGAAATAAGTAGAAGCAAAACAATCCTATCAGTCCATCATTAGTCAGCAATTCATGAGAATCAACTTGAGTTTCTAGAGCTCCATGGCCTCGCTACCGTTCTTGAAAACAAACTCGATCCGGCCTACGAATTTGATCGGTCGAGGTAGCCTGATATATGTTTCTCCAAGTTTCAGCGAAAATGGATATGCATTCGACACTCGCCTAACCAGCTCGCCGACATACTTAATCGAGACTGATTCATCCCTTAGTCTGGCCATCGCATGCGACAGCTTTCCCTCGGGGATGTGCGACAAATCAGCTGCTTTGTCTGTGCATCCACGCACGTTCGTCAGGAGAGCAGCGCAGTTTGCATTCGCAATGATAGCAGTCATATCAATCTCAACCATCTTGTCACGCAACGGGGCATAAACACCATTGATCAATGTCGCGTAAGTCTTAGATGGATAGACTGTGGCGGGAACGATCGTTTGGTATGCTGAATTCTGTACATTGCGTTGGATTTGAAGGTTTTGACACAGGCCGTGAAAGTCAATCATCCCCTCTAATCGAGCTGTCTGTTCGTTGCCAAAGTCTAGTTTCGCTGATTCGGGCAGTGCTTTGGCGTATCCTTTGGGGTCTCTGCCATGTTGGCATGGATGTAACCGACTGTGTTGTGTTTGAGAATATTAATGGAGCCCCTTTCGCCTGACACGGGCACTATATTTATCGTGATAAAAGATGTAATTCCCATCACGGCACCGATATCTGCTGGGCCCAGCTTCGAAATAGCGGTGTCACCGTTCACGAGATACCGGTCCCCATCATCTTCCGTGTATGACAATGTGGACTGGTTGTTCGTCATATGGCCGCTCGGAAGGAGCCAAAGTCCGGCTTGTCGGTTCCTTCGGCGTTCGCGGCGGTCTTGACCATCAACCATGGCACAGCGCCGATGAAAACTGCTTTCTTCACGCGGCGCGTGTACCGTGCTTGCCGAGGTATCGGGTCACTTCAACTCCGCCATGCGAGTGCCCGACCATCACGGCGTCCTTCCCGTTGAGTTTCTTGAAAAATTCTTCCAGGTCGTCGACGAATGTCTCCATGTTTCCACCCTCCCATGTCTGGGTCGAGCGACTGTGGCCGCGTTGGTCATGGGCAGTCACTCGGTAGCCATGATAGGCCAGGAAGACCATCTTTTTCGAAGTTGTCACTGCTCAATGGGCAGTCACGAGAGAACGCCACTATTTGACCCTTGGGGTTGCACCGGTTCTTATAAAAGAGCTCGGCTCCATTTCGGAGTTTGACGGTAGGGCATTATGTAGTGTTAGAGGCTGAAAGTCCAAAAGGATTGGTCTAGTTGCGCGGATTGAACAGCTTTCAAATCTCATTCAAGTTCTGTCCGGTATATAACCGTCTGTTTTACGAATCGCCACAAATGCACTTCTCACTCAACCGGCATGGCATTGCGATTATCTTATGTCGATTCCTGAATGAACCGTTCGTACCAAAGTCAATTGCTCGACGGTGTTTGGACGAACAGTCTATTGCCCCTGTCTACCGACCCATCTGCATTGAGAGAGGGTGACATAATGATGTCGGCCTGCATCGAATGGAGTCTGCAGCAAGTGATGGTCTCACAACATTTCAAAAAGTGGGCGGACGATGCTGGCCGCAGCAGCGATGCGGATTTGTTGGATCCAAAACTAGCCTCCGCGGCCAATCACGGGATCGCCAACCGGCGTCGGACCGATTGTTGTCCCTAGTGTCACGTGACAACGGATTTGTTGACTGATCAAGTCCGGCTCCACTTTGCGCCTATGCCCAGGCCATCAATAAAGGCACGACCCGCCCTCGAGGCAGAGCCATCTTCCTAAAGGTTGTTTTTTCCTTCTTTTTTTATTTTGTTTCTCCTCAGAGACATCAGGAACAATGTTATCGCTCAGTATCCCGTCATATACGCAGCCATCCGGGTATCAGCTCTCAGAGCTGCCAAATCCCAAGCTCGGCGACGCGAAAGATGTGATTGTCAAAGTCCATGCGGCCAGCATCAATCCAATCGATGTCAAGAAGGCCAGCGGTGCGCTGAAAATGGCAATCAAGGACGCGTAAGTACACCCTAATATTTCTGCCGGGCTGTTCTAACAGATGTAGATTTCCGTTTAAAATCGGCTACGATTGCGCTGGCATAGTCACAGAAATCGGGGACGGCGTGAGCCAATTCAAAGTTGGAGATGCCGTCTACATCCGATTGCCAGAGGCTTGTCGAGGTAAATTCAGAGACAATCTATTCTTCATGCGCGACAGTTACTAATGAAGAAACTTACCAGGTTCGTGTAGCGAATTTGTCAAGTGCTCCGAGGATCAGATCGGACTCAAGCCTAGTTCGCTCTCGTTCGAAGATGCAGCCTCAATCCCCCTGGCCGCCATGACTGCACTGCAAGCTCTCAAGAACTACCACGGGGATTTGGAAGGCAAAACCGTTTTCATTCCCGCTGGCCGTATGTACCCATGACTGCAACATTTGTATCCCTTTTGCTAACGAACGTTAGTCAGCGGGACGGGATTATTCGCTTGCCAGTTGGCGAAGAATGTCTTCAAAGCCGGCAAGGTCATTACCACACTCTCAACCTCAAAGATTCCAAAGATTAAAGAGCTCCTCGGCGAATCAACCGTCGACGAAAGTATGACTTTTTTATTTCAGGACCTTCAATGATCTTTGGGCCATCTGCTAACTCTTTACGAAGTTGTCGATTACACAAAGTCCGACCCCAGAGACGCAATCGAGCATGGTTCCGTGGACTTCCTCTTCGACACAGTTGGATTGGCCATGGAATACCTCTGCTTGATGCGCCCGAAAATAGGCCAAATCATATCCGTCTCGACCTTGCCATCGGGCAATCAGCTGCAGAACTCTTCTTTGATGGACGTCCCTCATCGTCCCACTCTGCCAATCCACATTCGGATGTCTCTTAACCTGATGGATCAGGTCAGGAAATTCCGTGCTCGACGTTACGGAGTGAACTATGCCTACATGAACTTGAGTTCTACTGGCAAGGACCTGAATGAGCTCAAGGGGTACATAGAAGACGGTCGCCTGAGGACTGTCGTTGGGACAACAGTCGATCTTCGAGATCTAGAGGCTGTCCGAAGCGCCTGCCAAGTTGTTTATAGCGGGAAAGGCGGTCTTGGAAAGTTGGTAATTCGAGTCGCAACGGAGTAAGGTGCAATTCCATACGCAATAGATTAGTTAATGCTTAAATCAAGAATTCATTATCAAGTTCGAAACTCCCTTCCGTGGCTATAGGATCGTTCCATCTTCGAGTAATCAAAGGATATGGGGACGAACATCTCCCGAATAGTGGACTACAAAAGATTGCTCGCCCAATGGCGGAGCCAGGTTACCATCGTCCATAGACAACACGAACAAAAAAAGTAAGAATCCTTATGAAGTGAGTCACGAGATGAATTTGTCTCATCAGGCGGTTTTCTCTTCATACTTAGTCCACGTGGATTGATTATTGGCTCATGTTTCTGGAATGAAGGGCGCTCACACTTTTTGTTCGTACTCAGTGTTCGAGCACCTCGCTCGTCTTTCAAAAAGTTTTCTTTCATCTTTTATCGTCAATGACAACGGTTGGGAGGAATGTTCTATATTGCGTCCAAATTATCGAGCCTCTTGTTTCTGGTGATATAAGCCTTGCACTAGAATTACCACTTGGTTTGGTTGGTGATACTTGTCGCAAATTTTGGTCCGAGTGTAGGTTTACATTGCAAGAAGCAGTTGTCGGAGAATTTCGGTGCGTTCGGTTGCATCCTTCTTTTCTGGCTTATCTTCGCTTTTATTCCTTCTTCTGGCTCTTTTCCTTCGTTCATCTAGACCTTGCTATGATCCCATTTCTGGATATGTGTAAATATACCATCTCACAAGTCTCCTTTTAATGAGAATATAGTCGTTCGCCGGATACTACCCGACGTGAACTTGTGCTACGGAGGCTTGCCCGAGCCGAAATTTGGCTGGCACCCAACTGAGGCTAGTTTGGTATCTGAATGGAAATTTCACAGAATTGTAGGGCAATCCTTTCCACCAGAGCGATAGGCTGAGCTGATCTCCGCCTCCCACCAGAATCAATAAATTCCTCATCCAATCTCCCTGCCGCCCACCATCCATCATAATTATCGTCCTGTCCCTCATCATCCGTTTGCTACTGTCTAACCACATTCCCACAATCATCCAAAAAGACACGCAACAGTCTCTCTCCATCAAGAGCTTCCTGACCCTCGACGAAAAGATGCGCCACGACACAAGCCGCATGGTACCAGCCATACCGTGCCAAGTCTCGCTCCCACTCCCCTTCTTCTACGTCACTATCTGCCAACAATTCTCTTAGCACCTTTAAGGCCCTGTTCCGCCTCTGTAGATGCGCATCCCCACCTTCGTTCATCATTCGTTCGGGATTAATTCCAGTGTACGGGCAAGATCGCGTCCGTTGAAGATCTCTTTGTCGTCGAGAATGATCCCATCTGGACAGACGAAATCCGAGTCTTCGTTTTTGGTCCAGACGGCCTCGTACTTCTCTTCGTTTGCTTCGTCGTAACAGAGTCGGAGCCAGAGTCCTTCCCCGAGGGATCCGAAAAAGGCCGCGTAGGGTCGTAGAGCTTCGAGGCGCGCGGGGTGGAGAATCTCGCTGATTTGAGCCTCAGTCGGGTGAGGTGATGATTCACCAGCACGGATATTGTAGGGCTGCTCGGCAGGACCGCGCGTTAGTTTATAAGGGCCCTGTAGGGAACTAAAATGGATACTGAAGCATGCATACCTCTCGTCCTTGGCTTCCTAGCTGCGAAAATTGCCGTATGAGGCGCGTGTGTCGCGCAGCGGGCAGTTCGGGTGTTATTCGTGAGGCCGGATGAGGGGTGTCCCATTCTGAGAGGAGGTACACGTCCAGCGGGTGCGAGCCCCAAGGTGGAGGCTCGGTATCTCAAGCCCAAGGATCTGGAGAGGCATGCTATGCTGGTGATTTGCCGTGTGCGTTTGCTTCCGTGGGGAATTTGCGGATGGAGAACGAAATTATGCCCCAAATTCGGATCCCGGCATTTTACCTCATTGGGCGTATATAACTCGGAGAGCAATCCAAACTCGCGCTTCGACACCGAGCTGATTGCAAAGGAGATTTCCGAAAGAATCCGAATGCTTGTAATTCTTGCTCCATTGCCTGAAACTTTCATTATACAGATCTGTCGGACTTTCGGATATCGGTTTCGACTAGTACTCGTGAGGGCCAATTGAAATATCCCAGCGATCGATTGATTGACTGAAGAACTATCTGTCGGCTCCCGTTCAGGATGCCATCTATTCAGGGGTTTTTAGTGTGTTACAGCGCTGCTTTTTCCAAGAATACCCGATTATCATACAAAATAGGTAGGAGATTGGGTATCTGCTGAATCATCCTGCTCCTGATTGTAATATCAGTCTCTCCGATCGACAAGATCTTAATATCACAGAATCATATATATCACAGGTTCACCTTCTGAAGTTCAGCTTCGGTCCATTCCCAAAGCGCTTTGCCCATCTTCTCGCTCCGCACATACTTATTATGTTCCTTGCGAATTCCAACAGGGACATAATAAGCGCCATTCTCAAGATCCATCTTCTTTGCACCAGCAGCCGCCCAAAGCTCATTATAAGCACCCTCTGCCACAGATGATCCAAAGAAGCTAAGTGTCTTGGATCCTAGCGCAACAAGAGACGAGCGCTCGCTGATTGAGCCATAGAGATCTGTCAGAATAATGCCTGGGTGTACAGAGACTGATGTAATTGAGGGATGACGCCGGCTGAGTTCTGCTGCGAAGAGGATATTGGCAGCCTTCGAGGCACCGTACCGGGCACTCGTGTCGACTTTCTTGAGTTTCTTTTGATTCAGGATTGTCTCGAAGCAAGGTGCGTAGTTGTGTCCGATTGATGAAAGTGACACGACCCGAACGTCGGAGTCGGGCTCTTCGGCTGTTTTCAGCAATGTCGGTAGGAGAAGTTTAGTCAATAAGAAGTGGCCCGTGTGATTGGTGCCGAGCTGGATCTCATGGCCCAGCTCGGTTTCCCCTGGTGGGAGCGCCATGACACCGGCGTTCAGCACCAGGATGTCAAGTCTATGGGATTGCAATTTAAATTGGTCGGCGGCTTTCTTGATTGACTCGGTCGATGTGAGATCCATCGGAAGCCATGTTATTTCGACGTCGTTCGATACTGAAGATTTGATTGACTTGATTGCCTCGGTTGCTTTGGATTCCGACCGTGCACCGAGGAAGATCTTGCTTGGGTTGTGTTTTGACAGTTGCAAGATTGTCTCCTTGCCCAGGCCAGCATTTCCTGTAAAGCTTGTTAGCAATCTTGTTCAGGCTTACGTTTTGTCTGTTTCAACGCAGAATGAAAGGGGTTCAACGCACCTCCTGTCACCAGAACAACCTTCCCAGACAAGTTGGGAATGTCTCTTTCGGGGTTAAAGCTCACTCCTCCGAAATAGTTGAACGGATTCGCGAACGCCGCAACAAATCCTGCCATTTTTGCGGGCGTGTTGGTCAATTGACGAATTTGGGAATGATTATCGGGATTAGATTAACAGAGCAGTGAACCCCGAGCCAGGTGGTAGTGACATTGTGCATTAATATTCTGCTTCGGATCAATTAACTACCCGAATATCGCCACGGAAGCTTGCTGGAAGTGGAGCCGGCCGAGCTTGCGAAACGAACTCTTGAGTCTAAAGCCCCAAACTCAAATTTAGGATGCTGACTGGAAGTGACTGCATGTGAAAAGTCACGTGGCCTCCATTCTTGGATCAGCATGGTCTCATTTTCATCGAGTGTTCACAAGGTGATGAATGGGATATTCTGAGGCTGGATTCTCTTGGGGCATATTTGCTTGCTGTTTGATATATTTTTTCTGTTAATTTAGGCCGGATTCGAGGCATACACTTTCCCCATCCGATTTGTCAGAGTCATCTGACACCTCATACACATTCCATTTCAGAAAATCCGCCAAAGTAAATCTGTCGCAACCCACCCATTGCTTCAGGTTTAGAAACTGTTTCGCACAATCTCAGAAGCCCCCAATGTTTGGCCGATCTTCAACACTTAGCGTATTGCGATACTAGTGATTAAGATCATAGATCTCATCAAGAACGACTCGGAGTTCCTCTCAGGGCTCGCGATGCAACAGTACAAGGTTCAAGAAATCGTCCAAGGTTGTGTCGTGTTCTTTTGCGTCATGTAGCTGATGTCTCCGATGCTCTTCCGCATGGCCGATACTCAGATACCGCAACGCACGCAGGACGCGGAGTGCTCATGTAAAAGACAAAGCTCACCCAGCATTTCTCGAGACGTAGATATTTGGGCTCCGTTATTTTGTCAGAGCGAGGAGGATCCTCATTCGTCGGCATCGAATTGATAGCCTCGTAGTGTGAGATCGTCTAGTTTTGGTATGAGGAAGATGCTTTTTTATTTAAGAAATGTTGGCACTTCTTGTCCCCATTCACCACAATCAAATGTCACTATAGAAACAAACATTCGTTAATGCTCACTACTCAATCTTTTTCTTTCCTTTAATCATCATCCACAGCCGTTAACGGGAGACTTACGCGACCGAAGTCTCTTCCCTATTCTGGATTCTTCCGGTTGCTTCAAAGATGCCCCTTTAATGTAGTCCGCGAGCAGATTATATTTCTCATCTCCCTATCCCACATTCAAAAACTCCCCCTCAATTAGAATCTCTGCAGATTCTCTAGTTTATCTAGACATGGCGCAATGCGACAAGGTGACTGATCCGGAGCATACACTGTGACATCGTGTACGAGACTGGTGTACTTCTCCAATACGGTGCGCACGAATTCGCTCCCCTTGTTTCTGTTAACATATGCCGACCGGTCTAGATGGAGAGTCATAATGGCGTTGAGTGAGCGACACGTTAGTGCAGTGAGACACCATGGGGCCATCGACATTTTCTATCACAGCATCCAGGAGTTCTTTGGCCTGTCTGGATAGTAGTGGGCCTTTCATTGCGTGACTTTGATTGGCATTGTTCAACACACCAATGCTGGGTACAGAGGACGATGATGCTGGTTTTCTGAGTCTGCTGCCCTTAGTGAATCACGGCGCTAAAATTCGGCTAGCTCTAACGTCAGAAAATCTAGTTCAACAATCGTTGCCAAAGGGCCGATCAGGTGTAGGGGTAATCAAAATGGAATTGGAGACGGTTAGAGAGCTTCACTCTCTTCCTACTGGCTCTGGTAGCATATATCACAAGTCCGGTAGATCCCCACGAGTTTGGAACATCACGCCAATCCAGGGACTCACAAAACAGGCAGTCATAATAAATTACTCATGCAATCGCTGGCCAAAATACTCCCACATTAACCGAGTTCCCCACGGTGTCAAAACATTTGCGTGTGTCCCAAAGATTCAAACAGACATTTCAGTAGAGCGGCCGCGGAATTCATCGACGTATCAAATCGGCCATAGGCTTCACAAGCTCAAACCACTTGGAATTACATGGCGAGCATGCTTCGACCTCCGTCAAGGGTAAGCCGATCGCGGACACGGAGGTGAATATGTTCGGCTCCCATTCGGGAAAGGCATTTCTCTCCCTTGCGCTCGTTCTCTTCCTTGCGCTCTGGGGTCGGGGTGTAAAACCAGACGTCCAAATCTCTAGAGTCTTCAGTGTATTTCTCCGTCTTGTAGCCCTCTTCAAAGTCGTGCTTTTTCTTCTTCATGATGATCACTGCGCTGGGACAGAAAACGAGAGCCTCGCCAGTAGGAAGGCTAACGATCTTCTCAAATAGCTTGCTGGATGTGTTGGGTTGTTTCTTCAGCGCAGCACCCGCGATGTGCCTCTCAATTGCTGCAAACCACGCAGGAGACGAAAAGCGATGTACAATCGTCACGTTGCACAGGTCGAGCAGGTCAGAAGCGATCGTTGGCTCTTGGGTGGCAACGACGACACGAGTCCCGAGATGGCGTTGTTGGCGAATGAGTGATAGCAGCGTATCGGTCAAGGCGTGGGCTTCGGGATATTTGCCAACTAGGTACTGAAACATGCCAGAACTAAATTAGCCACAATGTCTGTAGAACTTGGGGGGAGGGGGCGCGGCACTTTACCTTGTGGGCTTCGTCAAGTACCAGAATGCGACCGATTTTCTGACGACTTTTCATGAAGAGCGAGATACAGATGTTGAACAGCGCACAAGCATCGTCAGGTCCCACGAAGGGGCAGCTCAGATCGACAATTGTCAAAGTACCCTTGTCAAATCTCCATAGGTCCTTGACTTGCGCTTTCCAGGCATCGAAGTTTGCAGGCGGTTGGTCTGAAAAACCACCGGTCGATGTTGCTGGAGAAAGGAAGGACTCCAGGATCGAGAGTCTGATTTTCAAGGGAGCCAGCTGTCCATCTTTGAAGGGTGCCGCGTCAATGCGTTGTCTGAATAAGGTGTAGTTAAAGCCTTGGCGGCCCTGGTCAGCAGTAGCCATTTCACGCAGGATCTGCAGCACCATCTGTTTGAGTGGTGATGATTAGTCTATGTATGTTGGACATCGCCATCGTGTACACATACCTCCATATAAAGCGGACAATCACTCTTGTTGTCGACCCCCATCAATGTTTTCATCATGGCAGTTGTGAGGCTTTCCGGGGGAATAAACATTGGCTTGACAGTAATCGGGTGATGCTTAGGGCTCAGACCCTCAGCCTGGCTGTACAAGTCCTTCATGGTCACAAAATTAGTCGGGGAGACCAAGATTCGAACCGGGATTTTAGCAGAGCAGAGATACGCTGCTTCACACAGCTGAGTGCTAGTGAATCCCGTGAACTTGTCGTAGTGAAAGACCAGCCCCGCAAGAGGGGAAGTCAGATTGCCGACGGGCAGTGACTTAATAAGACAGTTCTCCAAAATACAAGACAGTGTATGGCTCTTTCCACTGCCTTGCGAGCCACAAATCATTGCAGCCCAGGGGGCCGTCGTGTTTGTATAGATAAGCGTGTCAGTGTGGTCTGCCTTGGTTGTCTCCGTGACTTCACTCCCGATCAACCCATATTGGGGAAAGACAGCAGGCTGCTCAGAAGGATTTGCCTGAATAGTGGCATGCGCCGCGTGAGTAAAGATCGGGGCCATCTGGATCTCCTCAGTGGACTTCTGGCTTTCGAGACGCGTCTTGGGCTGCTCAGCCTCACTGGCCTTGATGAAGCGGAGATGGCCAGCTGCCTGGTCCTCCAGGCCTTGAGCCATGGACATGGACTGGTCCTCCATGCCGCCGGCGGAGAAAGTGGATCAAGCTGTACAGGTTGAAGCAATAAAGTAGCTTTGTAAACGCGAATGGGTTGCGAGAGTTTAGTGTGGTTGGGGTGAGGGGTGTGACGGTGGTGAGAGAAGCGAGAGTAAGAAGAGGGGTGGGAGTGGGAAAGTAGACGGTGCGAGAAGAAAGAGCAAACAAGTGTCAAGGCGGCGAATGCGCTCTCCTGTTGCTGGAAGTTGCCGGTGAGGCAGACGCGTCGTGAGGTCACGAGACTTGCAGTAGATGCGAGCACCACGGGCAACTTGAAGCCATGATGCTTCTTTCCCTCTCCAGCTCCCTTTCCTGTTCTCATTCCTACTCCTACTCGCCCTATACAGCAGCAGAATCGTTTTTTGTCTCGCTTGCATCATTCCTCTCTTCTCCGAGTCTTGTATTGCACGAGACTCAGTTTTGCTTCTACATTCTCTCAATGTCTGCCTCAGACTCGATATTTCCGACGATGTACTACATCCCTCCAATGGCGGCATTAGTGGCTCGGCGGGTTAATAAGCACTGGTGGGCCAGAACTTTATCGCTCAACTGCATGTCGAGTTTCATAATCCAGGCTGTCGACAGATCGCAGGGTCACACAGCCGCGCTTGTCCCCGATCCTGCATAGCATGCGTGCCCTCATCCGTTTGTTGCTTTGGGTCAGCCTTCGGGCGACGACCTGGTTTCCAGCCCAGCAACAGTCATTGTCTGCCCGGCACAAACCGAATATTGTTTTTGTCTTGACAGACGATCAGGATACTCATCTTGGCTCTTTGGATTATATGCCTCATGTGCAGAGGCATCTCCTGAATAGCGGTACATACTATCGCAGCCACTACTGCACGACCAGTGTCTGTTGTCCGTCGCGCGTAACACTATGGACGGGCAGGCTGGCCCACAACACCAACGTCACTGACGTCAATCCTCCATACGGTACGCTTCGAAGTCTTCAATATCGCAATTTCATGATTCGAGCGTATTAACACGCTTGCAGGTGGTTACCCCAAATTCATCTCCCAGGGCTTCAACGAAAACTACCTCCCCGTCTGGTTGAGGGAGGCCGGATACAATACCTACTATGTCGGCAAGCTGTTCAACGTCCATACCGTCGACAATTACAATTCTCCGTTCCCAAATGGTTTTACGAGCCATGTGAGTAAGCTAAGAGTCTCAGTGAGGGCAACCCTTCTAAACATGTGGTAATATAGGAGTTCCTCCTCGATCCATACACATATGACTATTTGAACAGTACATTTCAGCGGAATTATGAGGCCCCGAGAAGCTACGAAGGAGAGTATGTCACAGACGTCCTCGCGCAGAAAGCATACACGCTTCTTGAAGAGGCCGCCGAAGCCCAAAAACCCTTTTTCCTCACAGTCGCTCCAAGTGCTCCGCATTGCAATGTGTTCATGAATGGGACAGGCCTAGATGAGCACCCCTTTTTCGATTTTGGCGCGCCAATTCCTGCGAAAAGACACCAACAATTATTCGACGATGCGAATGTTCCACGAACACCCTCATTTAATCCAGAGATTCCCTCGGGTGCAAACTGGATCAAAACGCTGAGACGCCAGAATCAAACTAATGTCGAATACAATGACCATTTCTACCGTAACAGACTCCGAGCTCTGCAGGCTGTTGATGAGATGGTCGATGGCATTTTCTCTCGCTTGGAGGGGCTTAGCCTCCTCGATAACACATACGTTGTTTATAGTAGTGACAATGGCTATCATATCGGGCAGCATAGGCTCCAACCGGGAAAGTCTTGTGGGTTCGAAGAGGATATTAATGTACCCTTGATCATTCGTGGACCAAGTGTACGCGAGAATGTGACCACGGACATTGTCACGACGCATACTGACCTGGCCCCAACATTTTTCCGATTGCTCGGAATCCCCTTGCGAAGCGACTTTGACGGCGAGCCAATACCTGTGACGAGGGAGCAGATAGAGTCACCATATCTCAAGAGGCAGGAACATGTCACTGTGGAGTATTGGGGATTTGCAGCTGGCGAAGGCATCTATGACTGTATGTATCGCTGGGTTTCTTTGATCGGGCTCTGGCTAACGATGATGATCACTGAACAGTTGACTTGTCCGCTTACAACAACACTTACAAGGCCATCCGGATCAAGGGGGCCGGGTACAATCTTTATTATTCAGTTTGGTGCAACAATGAGCATGAGCTCTACGATCTGGATGTAAGATCTCGACATTTTGACCTGGGAGCCCTCAAAATCTGACCATTAACAGACCGATCCACATCAAATGACGAATCTTTTTTCGGAAAATGAGAAAGTCTCCTCGTCACATCATATACTGGGGATAGGCATCCCAAAAGTTGTTCCAAGATTGGACTCGCTGCTACTGGTTCTCAAGTCCTGCAAGGGCAAAGTATGCGTCTCTCCGTGGAAGGCGCTGCATCCTAATGGAGCAGTCAATTGTTTGAAAGATGCGTTAAATGAGGTATATGATCATTTCTACGAGGTGGAGCAAAGTACAAGAGTTGTTTTCGATGAATGTGTGCGTGGGTACCTTCTCGATGCCGAGGGCCCGCAATTCGACTTTGATCGTGACGGGCAGGGAAACAATCTTATACGCGATGGCCTACTATGGCACGAATGGGTCTGATGAATTTGCCTGAATGTGAAATGACAAGCGACATGGTTTTTCGAAGACATGGACATTGTAATATGAGCGACTCGGCCAAGTGAATTGTAAAATGCACTTTCGCAGTAGCTGGGAAACTCCCGAGCGGGGTTGTCAAATTGGGGCCAAAATACCACCCAACCATGATCAAAGTAAGCTGAAGCTCGTTAGATCAAGCCTTTCGAACGTCACATGATGACTACTGGCTCAACGTGGTTTGGGGGCCTAATCCATCTCAGCCTCGAGGCTTGCATCCAAGGTAACGCCGTTTCCCCGCCTTCTCTTCGCATCGCTTCCAATGCACCTAAATTCCTCCAGTCTCCCTCGGCGCTAGCTTCAACCTACGCGATACAATGGCGACAACAGAATATCTCGAGAGCGTTTCACCATTTCCTTTCCATGTCCCCGTGACCCCTCTGCCAACAGTGTCTCTTCACGAACTAGAAAATAGCCGCGACCATGAGGTGACACGCTTATTCGAGGCATGCCAAGAGTGGGATTCTTCCTTTCAGATCTGAAGGGATCTGGAAAGGGCAGAGATATACTCAGAGATGACAAGAAGATGTTTACTCTCACCAACGAAACATTTACTCTCGGCCAGGAAATTCTAGATACCTACGCATATAATCGGCCCCATGACCTGACTGGATATGTTTGACAGATCCTCCCAGGGATTATTATGAGTGATTGACTGATTTGTTGTTCAGGTACAAGAGGAAAGGCAAGCTCAAGACGGATGACGGCAAATTGGAATTCATGGAACTATATTCAATCAAGCAGGATTAAATGCTGGATAGCCCTGCTCCCCGAAAGAACGCAGACCACATCCAAGCAAAATGTGCAGAGGATCAAGATTTTTTGGCACTCGTACGAGGTTACCGATATCATACTTTCCCAATTAGACAAGAAACTCGGACTCCAGCCCGGCACAGGGCACAGGGCCCTCTGGATCAGGAATCAGAAAAATCGGTCCGGTTGCTTCTCAGCCAGCCGCAGTCCCGTTCCAGCGCAGATACGATCACTCTTGGAGGTCATCTGGATCAGGAACCATCACCCTACTCTTCAACGTTGTCGGTGGGCCTTCAGATTCTTCCCGCGGGCTGCGAAAACAAAATGGAGAACTGGCAATATGCCAAGCCAGAGTCTGGATGTATTGTGAACACTGGAGATACTATCGTTGAGTGGACTGGGGGTCTTCTACGCAGTTCGCTTCATCGTGTGGTTGCGCCGCAAGGTGAACGGGGTTCAGTTCCGCAGATTAGTGCTGCTTATCTGGCTCGAGCGCGGAATGATGCGTCGATGCGCCGCTTCGAAGTAGTATTTTTCCTTCATTGAAGGGGATTGGTGATGAAAGGAGGGCTGCGATTGTTTGCGCTGCGTGGAGAGCGCTGCGAGTCATGCGTAGGGAGCCGAAACCTCAGACGAGAGGTGAAAAGATATGTCCATGATCGTACTTCTTCAAGAATATTTTACGAGCCAATAAGTTTCATAGCTCCTAGCTATTGGTAGCTACTATTAGATACAATCCCATTGTCCAGTCGCAATCCTATTAGCTATTGATGGCTTCTACGTACCTCTGCTCTTTCTTGTAATATTCGAGGAATAGATCATGTCGATCTTCCATATAACCTAGCTGTTATGGCGGCATCATAAAATATCCAGCCCCAACCTGCGTGGCCCAAAAATGTTGATCTCTTCCTTGATAGGGGGGATTTCCTCGTGGAATCAACCTTGTAGGCGGTGCGATCATCAGAACGTGATACGAACATAATAACTCCGCATGCGCTACACTTTATATCAAGGTAACAGAATATAATGCTTTTCTGTTTCAGAACTCCTTGAGCACCGATATGCCGACACAGCTTGATTTCCTTTTTTCGTCTCGGTGCGGCAAAATTCGATCAACAAGAATCTGGTAGGTAAAATGAAAGACAATCTCATCTGTCTGAATTAGAGAAGCGGATATTGATGGTGTGTAGGGTGTTCTTCCACATTGGCTTTCGTATTTGCATTGATGTCAATCTGTGATTTATCTTTCGATATGGTCGCGATCGAAGTTTGCGTTACAGAGCTCATGCCCGATGTTTGTCAGTCTCCTGGTCGAGAATCTGATACATGGACAGAGAACGATCATGCCTGATCACACACAGTAATGAAGACGCTGACGACAACCATCCGTTCCTTTATACCAGCCAAATTCATTTCGAGCACGTAACTTCAGACACGCGACACAATATGTCCATTGGCGGGAACTGAAAAACAACCAATGTCCGACTAGAGTTTCCGACTGGACTTTCGAGCTTTTAAAGAAGCTCTCGAGCCCTTTTAATGTTCATAGAAGCCGCACTGAAATGATCTGGATATCGAAATATGGGCTCGTTGAAGACATGCTAAAACTGCTGGTAGAATATCTTGCAGCTCAGTGCTAAGCAGACCTGCCAAATGGGAGGAAGGAAAGCGAAAATTCTTCCATCACCTCCGCCGGAAGATCAGAGATAGATGGCTCTCGCTTTCTGCTGTTAAGTGAGCCTCGCCTGAGAGCGACTGCAGCTGTCCCTGAGAGATAAGTTATGCAAGTTCTGAGATTCGTTGGAAAAGACATGATTCTGTGTGCGAAGAAATTATGAGAAGGTTTTAGGTGACAAAACTGACTCGTAGTAGGGACTGCGGAAATAGCATCAACGTCATTGTGGCCACGAGATCGAATGTTTACTAGGCCCTTTGTATACCGTGGGTTAATTCTGGGGTTCCGGGGCAAATGTGGGGATCGTCTTCAATCTGGTATGACGACATTACAAAAGCAAAAATGCCCTCAGAACCGGCTAAAAATAGATTAACAGCGATTTCGAGTATCAGCCGGATAAATCTGCAGCATATCCGGCTAAGGAAGGTTATAACGGCCAGAGCTCACTTTCTGTTTTCACCCAAGTTGATGCCCTGTTTTAATTGATGGCTGATACAATACCGACAGACGAAAAATCACTAGAGACACGAAAAGATTTCATATTCATAACCCTTATTAAGAGGCTTTATCGACGGTACAAGATTAGCAGTGGTCCATGCTATTAGATAGCTATTCAGATGCCTGTTCGGATGGCCGTTCAGAAGACTGTTTGGATGACTGTTTTGAGGATTGTTAGAGCATGTACGGTGGTAATATTGAAATACAGATCTCTATAATCCAGGCATCAAGCCCTTTTGAAATTAGTGAGCTTTGGCCGCTATAACCTTCCGTATCCGGTTATCATTGTGCCATTTTGCCCCCTTCGAGACTACGTATTCGCCTAGTAATATCTGTTTCTATTTGGGTGCTTCTTTTGCGTGGATCTGTCTTTGCCTCAATATCTCCTACTTCTTTATTTTGAGAGGAATTAATCACTTCGACGACATGCTGTTACTGGACATACCACTCTCTCAAGCAGTGCGACTGCTACATTGATATACTGGGCTGGTTGGATCGTTTACTGTCGATTCTTCCAACCGCTACACTCCGTTCCGGGGCAGTTCCTTGCGTCATATAGTCGGGCTTGGGTCTTTGACGGCATAGCACGAGAAGACATGCAATACAGACAGCGTGCCCTGCACAAGAAATATGGTATTTCGCAATCAAATTTCTCATTATCCTCCAGTGTGCTGATATCGCAGGACATCTGATTCGCATTGCACCAAATGAATTGCCTGCTCTGATCCCAGCGCCATCAAGGTATCGACTACCCTGACCGAGGAAAGAAATTAAGATTTATTTGACCAGCCTATCTATGAAAAAAGCCAATCGTTGTTAAGGTGAATTATGACTTCCAAAGTCCCACTCGACGCGTCCAAAATAGCTAATCTCATCAGACTGAGTTCTATAATGCGTGAAAGCCCCCATACAAAGGATATCCGGGCTTTTTCAGTCGCGCGACGAAAAGGCACATGCAGAACGGACGCGTATTGTGAATAGTGCCTATTCGATGGCCAATGCAAGAAGCAATCAACTCCTGCACGAAGGCTTTTTGTGATGCTATGCGATATTTGGCTAGAAGCCAAAGTGCGGTTAATCTTTCGGTTTGGATCAATATGTAAGTTACACAATCAGAGGGTTTGGCATTCTAGCGCAAATACTTAAGCTCTTCGGTGCTTTCTTTACTAATTCTCTTACGAAGGTATGCGGGCATCTGATGTTCTCGGTGATTTATTTTTCGGGCACGACTTCGACTAAGGGAGCGGACGAATGTTGGTGGCCACATGGAGGCCATCCAGCACTTATGCCTTCATCATATCCTGGCCGGTTTTGTCACTTCTTATCTTTCCAAGTTGCCTTTTCCAACTCTGACTCTCTTCTGTCCGCTATTTCGGGGAACTATCGACGCGATCATGAATCTGCCAATCACCTCGAGGAAGGCAATGAGTAAGCGCATGGGAGAGATACATGTGAATCATGACAGACGCGATATTCTTCAGGAGTTGATGGAAATCAGTGCCGACCGAGGAGAAAAGCTCGACTACAATAATGAACACATCTATGCTGAGCCCCATAGCTTCTTGTGAGATCTGATAGCTTATATCTCCTGGTATGTGCTTGCTGATCAACAATACGATATATAGCTTCACCGGGGCAGACACCATTGCCATCGCGATATCAAGCATCGTCTGCCATCTGATGTGTAATCCGGCCGTCTATCAAAAGCGCACCAGGAAATCGATGATGCGGTCATAAGTGGACTAATCTCCATGCCTGTCAAATACAATGAAGCGATCAAGCTCCCGTATTTACGTGCATGCATTAACGAGGGAATGCGGCTGCACCCCAGCGTCGGATGCGCAGCATATGGAAAAGGTGATCCTTCACGTCGGGGCTGGAACTCGCGTTTGTATTGGGGAAAAGTAGCTTTCCCGAGCACTCCTAGTATGTATACGACACTCGTCAAATGGTGTTAATTCTTGCTTTTTAGACTGCATTGAGATTTACAAGCTTATCCCACAGCTTCTGCGGGAATTTCACATTTGACGAATCAGGAATTGCAGTCATGCAAATACTGGTTCAACAAAGTGGTGGATGAGTATGTATGCATTGAAGAGTGATAAAAAACTGAGTCCGTCAATAAATTTGATCTTTCTGCTAAAGCCGTCAAGCACCAGTTAGTGACTATTTGGATTATTTTTAACAAATAGAATCCGGTTATATATCGAAGTTGTAAACGTGGAATTACATCCTCAGAAAGCCGCCTGTTGCATAATTCTGGCCGCTATAAAACAACGCAATGTCCCATAGTAAACTTCCAGACCTTTTTAATTCATTTCGCATATCTACATCTTTATGATCTATTGAAATAGTAGAATATAGATCGCGCACCGAAACAGAAAGCGGTGAATACATTCTGCCGCGGCATCGCGCAGTTGGCTCCGTCGGCGTCTCGCAACCAGCTTTACGAATTACTTTTTCCAGCTTTCTCCCCAAACGTCCACCACTCTCTTTCACCCATTCTTCTCACCTCGCAGCTTGCCCCAGTCTAAGTCGACGACTGCGGCACAGCTTCACCACACCTTTTTCCGCCGGCCCCGCTCCCACACCTTTCTTCGCCTTGAAAACAATTCATCGCGCGCCCTTGTGATGTCGACCCTCTTTGGCGGCGGCGGTGCATCCGCGTCCGCCGGTGCGGCGAACACCACAGGCGACATCTCAAAAGATGTAGCGCTCAATCAGCCTCCCGAGGACGGTATCTCGGATATGGCATTCTCGCCGGCTTCCGATCATTTGGCTGTCGCATCGTGGGATAAGAAGGTCCGCATCTACGAGATCAACGAGCAGGGCCAGAGTGAAGGAAAGGCTCTTTTCGAGCATGAGGCTCCTGTCTTGAGCTGCTGCTGGGCTCCGGTATGCTACACTTATGATTTTTTTTTGCTTTTTCTGGCTTCAGCGATTCGATTCCTCTCCGGTTCGAGCTTTTGTTCCGATCCCTCAACTAACTTCCTCGCGTCTACAGGATGGTTCCAAGGTCGTCGGCGCCGGTGCTGACAAGGCGGCTCGCATGCTCGACCTCGGCGCTGGAGCAACTACCCCCGTACAGGTCGCTGCGCACGATGCACCCATCCGAAGCTGCCATATGATTCCCAACCCGACAGTCGGCGGAAGTCCGCTCCTCATCACCGGCTCCTGGGACAAGACTGTGAAATACTGGGATCTCCGACAGTCCAACCCCATTGCGCAGATTGATTGCCAGGACCGTGTGTACACAATGGATGTCAAGAACAAGTTGCTCGTCATCGGCACCGCAGACCGCTACATCAATATCGTCAACCTCGACAACCCTACCAAATTCTACAAGACCATGCAATCCCCTCTCAAGTGGCAGACAAGGGTAGTCAGCTGCTTTGCTGACGCCAGCGGTTTCGCCGTCGGTAGTATCGAGGGCCGCTGCGCTATCCAGTATGTCGAGGAGAAGGATTCCGCCTCCAACTTCTCTTTCAAGTGTCATCGTGAAACTCCCCCCGCCAACCGCGACATCTGCAACATCTACTCGGTCAACTCGATCGGCTTCCATCCTGTCCACGGAACTTTCAGCACTGCCGGTAGTGACGGCACTTTCCACTTCTGGGATAAGGATGCGAAGCACCGTCTCAAGGGTTACCCGACCGTTGGCGGCCCTATCTCAAGCACTGCTTTCAGTCGAACCGGAAATATCTTTGCCTACGCCGTCAGCTACGACTGGAGTAAGGGTTACTCGGCTAATACCCAGCAAACCACCAATAAAGTCATGCTGCACCCCGTCGGTCCGGATGAAATGAAGCCTCGGCCTGGCGGTGCTCGCAAGCGGTGATTGAATTGAAGTACGAATAGGAGATGGGTGATGAGGGAAGCTTGGCGTTTTCGCTTTCTCCAGAGCGTCCTGGAGCGACCGGCGCTATGAGCATGTAATGAACCTTTTTTGTCTACCATACTGGCGTGTTTTATTTAAGAGAATTGCAATCGGGACTTCTCGAGGTTGATGTCTGTCCACGGTTAGTCCGTACTCTCATCCAAGTCTGCAGCTGCCATTGGCTGTGGTGGTGGTAGTTACTCGTAGCTTGTGCGACCTATATACTCCAGATTTATGGCTAGGGATATGTGGAGCCATGTGTAGGAGACCAGTCAAATGGCCAGGTAAATGACCGGGTAGACAATCAGATAGGTGACTGGGCAAGGAACACAGTAGTAGAATGCAGTTTTCAAATTACCAAGACCACAATTAAGGTGTTATTTCAGTGTTATTGCCGTAATTGGCACCAGGTTTGACCAGGGTTATAATTGTACGTGTATTTAGATTGCAAGGAGACGTCACGATGGGAGATATAAGCGCGGCAATCTTCTGTTCAAAGGCCTCTTTTATGCTATAGGGCCACTCGAAGCTGAAGAGACAGGGACTCTATAAGTTATCATACACATAAGAACATAAAACGACAAGATATGAATAAGAATGATCAAGAAGTATTCGAAAATATCAAAACCCATACACCCCAAGCTATGCTGTTTCAAATCATGAAAGACTAGGCTGCCCACGTTCTCCGGCCGACGGGTGAGTATCATTGTCATCGTCACTGATATCACCAACAGCATAATGCTCACGGTCGATGCCAGGTGAATGGAGGTCATCCAATTCCGACTCATCAAAGTCACCCGCTTCGACATCGTTCGCGGAGCGCTTATTGCCGAACCGATCCAGAACCGAACGGGGCATTTGCATATCACTCGTTTTCACACCATAGTAACCCTTGTGCGAGCGACGACTGCGCCAGATAAAGAATCCCCAGATTATGACGCCGATAATGACAACCACGAGAATTGCCTCGCCAGACTTGGTGTACGCATGCATTTCTGTTTCCTTGATCTTTTTCTCTTCCTGCTGTTCAGCGGCCGTGCTGTTAGCCTGGCCACCGACAGAGGTCTGTGGCAGTTTTTCGCCGTCAATGCGCGAGTCTGCGGGTCGACCACCGATACTTGCAATGTCGACCTTCATGAAGCGATCGAGCATGTCGCGAGTTTGGCGGGGTTGATCGTAGGGGACCATGTGGCTGGCGTTATAGAACAGGACGTATGTCAGATTTCGAGCGTGCTGGTAGATACCTGCCGGTTCATCTTCAAAGGTCCAGTCATGGCGAGGAGCCCAGACGCCTGGCGCAGTCTCGAATCCGGTACCACCCTTCCATTTCATGTTGTGAATGAGGGTCTCTGTTCCAAGGTGATTGCAAATAAGGTCCTTGTCACCGCTGAAAAGCAGAACGTTGACGCCCGATTCAAGCAAGCCGGGAAGGAGCTGGACAGCCGGAAGAGACTTCTTCAGAGTCATAGCTTGGCTGACGGTGCGAGTGCACTCTTGCCAGCCAGACATCTTTGCAGCATTGATGTTCAGAGCAGCAATGACGTCTTTGCGCAGAAGGTAAGGATTCACGTTTGTCAAGTCACTCGGCCAATTCATTCCGCATGATCCCGTTACGTCGTCCTTGCGAATGTCGTACATGTTATAGCATTTGCCATTCTTGGCCGTGAGCTGGAGAAAAGCTTCCAAAACACCCTCACACTCGGAGAGGCTAACTGCGTTCTTCTTCTCAGGCGACTCCAGTTGCGTAAGACAGTACGAGTTGAGCGCGTCCATCTTCGTGTAGATCTCGGTCCCGTGCGTGATCAATCCCTCACGTTCAACGAAGTCAAAGTACGATGGGTACTGATCCGCGGGCGAGATCCAACCATTGCCAATGAGCAGGCCCTTGAGTGGCCACGTCGTCTTGCCCTCCTGCTTCGCGATTTTGTTGCGTTCCTTGACAGCCCTGGCGATGTAAGGAATCGACTGGCCAGCCCACGATTCACCTGCAAAGTAGAGCTGTGAATAGTTAGCATCACATGTCCCCCGCATCGCATGGTTTCAGCGAAAACTTGTCACAGGTAATTGGGTAACGTACGTCATCTCTCTCATACTCGGGGAACAGTTCGAAGAACTTCTCCAAGAAGGTAATGAAATGCCCCGCCAAGGGCTCCAGGTCATGCAAGTAGCTATCCGTCGCTGCATAGCTGAAGCCCGTACCAACAGGCTGATCAACGAACAGCAAGTTGGCGAACTCGTCCCAGGATCCTTTGTTGTATTCCAGCGTATGATCATCCTTCAAACGATAAGGCCCAACTTCCATCAGCGCACCATCCATCGAGCTGCATCCTGGCCCACCATTCAGCCAAATCACGGTCCGCTGTCGGTTTGCAATGTGGCGGTTTTGGAAATGCCAGAAGAAGAGGTTGCCGTTGATTTTGGGGTCGACCTCGATGTGCCTGGATCAATCATTGGTGTGATTAGATACCACTCCATCTCGCACTCCCGCGGAGCGGAAAGCAGAAAAATAGAACTCACCCAGCGTGCATCTTCAGCAGAGGACCATCTGACGGTGCGCCCGGCAGATCATGTACATAGTAATCGGCGGCCGATTTGGCTGTCGCCAGCGACGGGCCAAGTAGAAAGAGCGCCCATGATAGCAGGGCCAAAGCGCCGCCTCGCTTGGAACCCGCGAGGCAAGGTATGAGGAGCATTTTAAACGCTGGCGAGAAACGTGATCATAGATAGAACGAGAAGGATGGGAAGATGTTCGGAAAGGGAGGCCCGCCGCGGACAATGCGCAATCACGCGATCATCGAAATTGGTTGCGGATACGGTTGAAGATGGTGTGCCGGATTGCGAGAAAGTGGCGAAGAGAAACGAGCGCGTCGGTGGAGGTGAAGGTTGAGGTGACGGCGAGTTGCGGGCGTCAAAGAACGAGATGACGGTCGAAGAGGCTGGCGTGGCCTCGAGCAAGCCGTTTCGGTGAGGTATTGGTATTACCAGTATTTTATTTGGAAACGCGGCCTGGAGAAGAGTCATACGGGAGACGAAACAGTACGGGACACGTCAAGGCTTTGGCAGCCCCCCTGGCCTGTTCGGGGGTTTTCTATAGACCTCCAGGGATCTTTCCATTCGAGATTCCTCTCTTGCTTACGAGTTGCGACGAGTATTTAATTGGTATATATGATCGATCGGGCTGAATCCATGAACACATAATATACTTTTGGTATTCATCTATCCCTTAAGAGCTGAATCCTAAGGGGGTGCCTCAAAGGTGGAACACAGGCTTCAGCGGAATTGCAATAAGTGGCCGGCTAGAGCAGACTAGAAAAGATCATCGACGCCCTTGTCGGCGTCCTTCTTAATCAGATCCACCATCCCCTGAAGAGTCTCAGCGCGGTTCCTCTGCGTTTTAGCGTGGGAGGGGCACTCACATCGGGCATGATTGGCTGCCCGGCGGCATCTTTCACATAGCGGAACGGCATTTCGGTCCGCTCGTGCTCGTTGATTAGGATTTCGGGGTAGTCGACATAGTCGATCTTCTCGAGGGGCACTATCACAATCCATATAGTGAGCATGAGACGTAACTGTGACATCGGGGAAGCGGCGATGCCCCGAAGGTCTTCGTATAGAACGCACCCTTTTCATGCACGACGATGCGCGTCACCCGCACGGCCGTGTCGGTTGTCATTTGCTTCGGGCCCAGGCGGCGGCCGACATAGCCCTTCTTCCTCAATTCGGAGGTGCGATCTACAGACGCTGGGTTAGCGGTGTCCGCGCCAGATACCGCACCAAGGCTCGAAACACACTCACCTCGAGGCGGATCATCGCCTGTAGTCACGCATGGAATAAACGTCAGATTAGCCTAGTCAAGTCCGAATTGCATGCCGCATTACGGAGGATCCTGGATGCGGCCGCATCAAGCATGAGGAAATTGAAATTCCGTACCGAGAATACCGCCAAAGAGGAAGACATCGAACGTCTCGCCGTCTTCCGGGCTCAGCTCGACCGGCGCGGCGGGGTCCAGCAGGCAGACCCGGTCTTTCTTATCAGCAAAGATCTCCTCGACGCTGCGCTGCTCGACTTCGAGGCCCTGAGTAGCGGCCAGGTCAGCGGGCATCTGCAGCTCGGTGGGCACGGAGCTGAGCAGGAATCGCGCACCACGAGCGTGGGATTCGCGAGCGATAGCGGCGTATTCTAGAGCGGACCACGGCCCCAGCTCGGGGTCGAGGTGCTCGACCACAAAGGCCCTCGTCTTCTGGTCCGTCATGGCGGGGTGGATGCGAAAAGTGTGTTGGCGGAGACGGAGAGCCTTTGGGGAGAAATGTGCGGATGCGGCCCAGCAGCAAAGCAGCGCAGCAGCACAATACAATTATACAATGAGTAGAGCTGCTGCAGAAGCGCTCGATCTACTGGAAAGGCCTTGATTCTTCGGCAGTTTCCCTTTCGTGGGCTGCTTGGAATGCAACAAATTGCTGGTTGAGAAAGATCGCAGAGGCCCTTGATGACGTCGCAGCCAGCAGAACACGCAACACAACCGAACACAAAGACGAGAGGGGAGGATAGTGTGCAAAATGGTTATCTTAGTATATATATTCTCCCTCAGGCACTCTGGTAGCGTCCCATACATCCCTCCTGCGCCTCGCCGACGTCCGCTCGATTCGTGTGCATGCTGGGCTGCCCCGCGTTCTGCCATCTCCACCGTCTTTGGTCATCGTCGACTCTTCCGAACTCTCCTTGTCACACTACCCCCGTCCACCTCGATTCTTTCGCATCGCATTTTCCATCATGAATCCCCACCAGAAGAATAAAATCGACATCAGCGTGAGTGCCCCTGTCACCCCCTCTCCGATGAATAGCGACTGACCCGTCCCCTCTAGGCCATGACCTCCGACGAGCAGCGGCTGTTCCGCATGTACGGCAAGATGCCCAATAAGAAGGACCTGCTCCAGAACAAGCTCAAGGTGAGCAATCTACCCATGCCATTCCTCCTGCAAGCAAACCAGCGAGCTTCAGAAATCCCCCAACCCAGCTCCTTCACTCTACTCTCACTGCTCCCGCCGCACTATGATCCGACCCATTCTAACCTCACATCCCACTTCACAGGAACGCAAATACTTTGACTCAGGTGACTACGCCCTCAGCCAGGCCGGCAAGGCCTCCGAGGTCACCAGCATTGGATCGCGACACCCAGTCCCCGAGAACATTCCTCACCTTACCGCCACCTCGCCCGGTGCCAACAACCCCGCCGCCACCACAGGCAACGGCGGCAGCGTCAGTGCCCAAGGCCAGCAGATCCCCGGCAGCATCAGCGGACACCCGGGCTCCGTCGGTTTCCAGAGCCGCAGTCCTGCCAAGGAAGGTAGCTACCTTCACCGCGGAACCAGCATCAGCGAGGACTCGGCCGGACCCGGCGAGCTGGAAGGCCGCCAGGACGAGAAGGATCCCAGCGTTAGCCCCCCGCCGGCTCGGGAGGGCCTTCCCATCCGTCGGTGATCGTGGTCGCCAATGAGGTAATAGGCTGTGGACCACTGTCCAAGCTGGCCGTTGCTCCTTTGTTTTATTTTCGAATGCATTGCATGGTTTTGATTTGACGGGTGCGGGAATTTATTTGACACTGGTTTTTCTTCAAAAGCCTGGCGCTATGGGAACGAACATCTCTTTTACTTTCTTTCCGGGTACTGCAGGACAAGGGTGAGATGGGAATGGAAGAAAATGCTGAAAACACCCAAAAAAAAGACCCCCGAGTTGAATTAGAGACCGAAGCACAGACTGGTTGTGGTTGGTACAGGCACAGGCTGAAATTGGTCTTGTTTGTATCTCTTCAGAAAGTCGCGCCGGTCCCATTGGATTTGATGGTTCATATTTTTGTCCGTTTTCTGTGCCATTCTTCATGTTCATAATTACGTTCCTCCTCTGTGTTTACTGCCCTTTTTCACTGAATGTCTTGCATCCAATACTGTATCCATTTTTGACATCTTGTGATTCGGCTCGAATCCTGTCTTATTTTCTTGAATGATAGAAGACTTGTAAGGTGGCATATCTTCGATTGTATCGAACAAAAAAGGAACATCTCTTAGTTCCCTATCGGACTTCAAATTATAATTACGAATACGAGTTGGCGGAACACAGGCGGAAGCTGAACTTTCTAATTGAAACCCTACCATTAATGCTGCGCATCCATATCATATGTACAGGAATGGGGAAAAGAGAGGATCAGGTCGACATCTTACTGTAAGCAAATGAGGGATATGACAGGGACTAAGATCCGATGTAGAAAGGGCTCAGCTCGAATTTGAGTACTGGAGGCAATGGTAGAGAACAGCCAGATGAGAACGATAAGGGCAGGAAACGATAAGAGGGTATAAGTGCCAAGATCGTACCGAGCCTAGTGTTCCGAGAGTGGACAGATTGAACTGAGGCAGGAATAAGAAAAATGAAAATATAGCGAAGGAAATTGCATCTGGTATCGTTGGGTCATGAAGAGGGAGACGAGCAGTCTCCGAGATGAAGGTGGGCAAGGTGAGAAACACAAAGGAGGCGGGTAAAAGACACAATCCGAAAAGTAAGGGAAAGGGAAATGTAACCGTTCCCCCGTAACAGGTGGAGACTGAACTTGGTGTCGGTGGTATCCGTGTTCCTCGGGACATGGGGATAGGGGCTGGTTATACATGCACGAGAAGAAAAAGCGAGGCATCACAAAGGCCAGAAACAGGAGGAGTCCAAATCGGCCCGCGTATAGCGTCAGAGGAGGTGAGACGTGGGAGAATCGTCGAGCATGGGATTGAGGCTGCGACTGGAACGAAGGGAGATGGCTTCCATTTCAAATAAGCCCGAGGCCACATGGCACCGGGATATGTAAATGGAACTCCCCTCCCCACGAGTATCAACGCTCTGCTCTGTTCTGGCCAGACCCAAGGAACTGTGCACTGCGCTCCGGGGAATAAAAGATGGCCGTCGTGGCGTTTCGTAGCTGCATGGCCAGCGGGTGATTAACATGGATCGTGTACGAACGACACGACCCGGGTTATATCTGTCACTGTGGGAAGAAGACTGAGCATGGCTCGGGAGACCGAAGGGAAAAGTGTGGTCATCGTTAATGCCAACGCCACAATGCAGCCTCTACCATATACTGGAGGGAGCCAATCAGTCGGTCTTCCAATGACCAGCCAACCCGTTGTCAAAATCGTCATGCTCGCCGAGCCAGAGTTCAACAGCATAGAGAGCCATTGTGCATGCAAGATTGATCCATCGCCATAGGTTACCTCCGCCGCCACCCTGGCTACTCCACCACTCGCCGCTGCCTCCCATGGCCTGTGACGCAGACGCAAAATGTTGCATCAACAGACTGGTGTAGACCGCAATGAGAATAGATGGCGCGAAGTAACTCAGGAACCCGAGGACTTGCCCAGCCGCGTCCGAATCGTCAAGCGAAGCCTCTTGGGAGAGAGCACGAGCACCAGCCTCACGCACAGCGGGAATGATACGAGTTGAGGCATACAACACCAGAAGTCGGTAGGCGAGGGAGATCAGGACGGAGGGAGTCACGGCGCTGAAGACAGCCGTAATGACGTTGAACAACGCGTGGATGATCGACGGCAGGAGAGATAGCGCGTGCATGAGAGTCGTGTACGAAGCCATGATGATGGGCGGTAGCGGGGGAAATCACCCGCCTGTGAAGGCGACGGGATCTGTTGCTCGACCGGGTTCGAAGGCTGGTAGTCTGTGAAGATCTGGTAGATGCACAGCACGATGTAAGCGAAGAGCAACGAGCTCTCGACGGGGTTTCCCCGTCCACTGCCGATTCCCCAGGCGCATAGAATAACGGCGCATGTCACAGAAACGCCGATCAAAGCCGCATCCACGTTGGAAATTTCGGGGAACTGGAGGACGCGCCAGAGGAAGTAGACGGAGCTTGAGATGACAGTCGCGGAGAGAACGAGTAGGCCGATCTGCAAACACAAATTAGCATCTCTTCCGCCGCGCGAGGGGACAAAGGAAGGCAAAGGGGGCAAAACACATACCATCCAGCTATCACTTCGGCCACCGCGATTCACGAGCCAGCGGGTGATTTGGCCCGCGGCCTGGATCACCAGCAAGCTGCAGAAGCCCTCTGCCAGCTGAAAGACAGGGGTCGACCATCGCAACAGCCTGTCCCAGTTGCCCAGAGTGACTGTTTCCACCAAGCCATCGCGACCAAAGAGCCACTCTTGAATCGAGCTATCTTGCGCGCGATTTCTGGGAAAGGTGCGCTCGACCCAGCCGCCACTATGATCCGCGTCGACGGAGAAGCGGTTCAGGGACCAGATCAACAAGATGGGGATGAGGATCCATTGCGTGGAGCGGATGACGACGACGAGCGAGGCGCGAATCCAGGAGCGCTCGGGGGTCGTAAGCCTCAAGAGCGAGAAGAGGAAGTAGAAGGTGGCCAGGGATAGCGAAAAGGCCAGACCACACGTCTTCCCGCCCACGTCAAAGGCCAACGGGATAGACGAGACGGTGACGGCGAGGAAGACGGCCGACGAGAAGACCCGGAAGAGCCACATTGAGAGGAGCGCCGGGCGCGCAGGAGAGACGGAGGTGGTGGTGGAAGAGAGAGGGGGCACACGACTCTATTTTTCTTTTTCTCTTCTGGAGCTTATCGCCCTGCCTTCACGTGCTGGCAATGCGAAGGGCGGTGGGGGAAGAAGTATGCATACGCTTTGCAGACCTGACACTTCACGACCAAACGTTGGCAGGGCAGCAACTGCGCCGGGACTTCGATGCTGGTCTGAATGGTTCTAGAGTGCTTACCCACTCACAGGGGGAATTCTTGGGACTGGCGGTCAGAGCACCGGCGATGGTGAGGGACAAGCGAGCAAGAGGTGAGCTCATCGCGGGTAGAAATGACTACAAGTACGGTGGCTACGAGGAACAGGCGTTAAAATGACCAGAAATACTACGATGGTTATCTGGCACTCCCCAGGTACTCGCACGAGGGCACCAACCGATCTGACTTGTAGGGCAGGCTGATCGATAACGCCATGGCGCTACTTTGAAGGGTTTGTATAGGTACTTTATTCAGTATGAAACCGACGGTGGGGAATGAAGTACCGCTACTTCAATTTTGAGTCGCTGTCCGCAAACGGCGAGGTAGCTCAGCACGTGATAGCTCCCAGCCCTGCCGCGGTGCCCTATTTCCCGATATGGACGCCGGCGCGATAAGACGGACCAGCCATAGCAAAGCAAATCATCAATTGTAATCCAGTTGTTTTCTACTTCTAGACCGACTCGTGGATGCTGCGCAGTCTGAACTTATTCAAAATGGCCGAGACTGCTGCTAAGAAGCTCAAGACCTCGTCCCCCTTGATCGGGACACACAAGTAAGCGTGCGCTGCTCTACCTGTGAAGCTGCAAAGCTAATACCTGCACGTATAGCGGTCACTTCCACGCCGACGAGGCGCTGGCCGTCTACCTGCTGCGTCTTCTGCCCGACTACGCCTCGTCGCCGCTGGTGCGCACTCGGGATCCCGCCCAGCTCGAAGAATGCCACACCGTCGTCGATGTCGGTGGAGTCTACGACGCCGCCATCAACCGCTATGATCACCACCAGCGAACCTTCTCCACCTTCTTCCCCAACCACGAGACCAAGCTCTCGTCGGCGGGTCTGGTCTACATGCACTTTGGTCGCGCGATCATTGCCCAGCACATGTCCCTGCCCCAGGACCACGCCGACGTGGACCTGCTGTACGAGAAGCTCTACACGGACTTCATTGAGGCCATTGACGCCAATGACAACGGCATCTCCGCCTACGACCCTGCCGCCGTCTCGGCTGCCAACCTGAAGAAGCGCTTCAAGGATGGCGGTGTTACTCTTGCCTCTATCGTGAACGACATGAACAACCCCGATGCGACCAGCCCGCCCGGCGAGCCCCAAGACGAGGATAGCCTGTTCGGCCGCGCCAGTACCCTCATCGGTAAAGTTTTCGTGCGCAAGCTGCACCAGGCTGCCAACTCCTGGCTTCCTGCCCGCACCACCGTTGGCAATGCCTACAAGTCGCGTACCCAGACCCACTCCTCCGGCCGTATTCTGGTGCTGCCTCAGGGCGGCGTCCCCTGGAAGGAGCACCTTTATAACTTTGAGAAGGATTCTTCCATTGGCGAGGATATTGACCCTTCTGCGCAGGTCTATTACGTGCTGTACCCTGAGAGCGAGGCTCCCGACGCCAAGTGGCGCGTGCAGTGTGTCTCCGAGTCTGAGGGTAGCTTTGTCTCCCGCAAGCCCCTTCCCGAGGCATGGCGCGGTGTCCGGGACCAGGACCTGGATGCTGTGATGGCCGCCGAGGCTGAGAAAGCTGGCCAGGAGAAGCTTCCTGAGGGAGCCGTCTTTGTTCACGCCAGTGGATTCATTGGTGGTCACAAGACCAAGGAGGGTGCTATGGCCATGGCTGTCCGTAGCCTTGATCTGTAGGGAGCTTTACGAACTTTTGAAATGGCTTGGGAAAACAAAAAGTTATGCGTCATGTGTTGATAATGACAAATTTGAGATGATATGAAGACAGAATTCCAGCATTTTTTTTTTTGAATTGCCAAAATTTACAGCCGTTAAACTTGGACATTGTTGCTTCCACACTCCCTTTGTCTCGAACCACACTCCTGTCATGGCTTCGCTCAGATAATACAGAACAAGAACCTTGATCAACATGCTGCCAATTTCGACGCCTAATACGCCCTCGATTATGGTCTTGATAAGGCCAGCATACCAAAACCATTGCTCAGTCACCTAATCAGGTCAGCTACCTGGTCATCTACCCGGTCACCTACGTGATCAGCTGTCTGGCTAGCTACTCTACGGAGTGATGTGCTATCACAATGCCAAATGGATGGACTTCGGGCCAGAATAATTTTGCGCGGAGAGCAGAAAATTCATTTTCTAGTCCAATACCCAACACCCAAGTCGAAGAACTAGCTGATATCTGAAAAGTCAGGAAAGGGGTGTGGCTGTATCAATTCCGTTGAATTATGCACACTTGCAGGCTCTCCGCAATATATAGCATTAAATTCCGAGGTCTCCGTTTCCTGTTATATAGATGATGTCAAACATCGAAATAGTATAGCCGAGTGTGTTTATTAAGTGAACATGTTGTTCAATGCAAACATCAAATGCCGCCTTCTTGTAGTGGTGTCTTCGAAAGAAGGCTTTGCCTGTCTTCTGATGGGGTGAGTCCAGACTCGAACGCCACCAGCAGATATATGTACTATCTGACGGGCACGGAGTGATCGACAGAGCTGTGTCACGTCGAGGCATATATAGGATTCCAATTTCCAAAATGCCTGGAATGCACAGAGCGTCGAGTATTTGTCGGAGGAATCTCGGCTTATCTCGGATGGAGGCGGAAAATGGCATACAGTATACGCGCAAGGGAGGCTGGCGAGCGATCCCTGCAATACAAGGCGTGCTCAGTGACGGACATTTAATGCACTGATGTCTTCAATGCTTCCGGTCCCATCTCCGGGTTTCTGCCCGTCTTTGGCGTTTGATCCTAAGGTGTCTTCGTTTTCACCCATTGCCCGTTGGATGAGCTTGGCTTTCACTGCAGCACCCTTCAACCGCTCGTCCATGTCGTTCACGGCCTCTTCGGTATTGCTCATATCCAGAGAAGCTGGATCGACTAGTTCCATCAGAGTCTGCAGATTTCTCGCGAGTCGCGCGCTGTGGGGAGGTAGCCGGGGCATTTCTGCGCAAATCGACGGATCAAGAGATAAAGAGTCGTTTTTGTCCGATGCCTGCATCAATGGCTGCTCAGATTTCGCCTGGATCTTGGAGTCCGCTAGTCGCTGGGCCCAGACGAGAGCTTTCCCATACAAACGGCCCATTTCGACGAACTTCTCGAAGCTTTTCTCCACGGCGAAGACACTGCCTTCCGTATAGCCCGTATGGGCGCCATCGGCGATACCCAGGTCGTAGCCTTCTTTGTAGAATTGCTCCTCCAAATCCAGGAGACTATCGAGTAAATTGGACTCCATGCTCACAGTGGGAATGCAAGGGGCGATGAGTCAAGCCGCGAAGGACAAAGAGGTATCAATTTTTTGATATGCGGGGCGAATGTCACGAGATGCCCACTTTTCGATTTTCCCGCCGCAACCCCTCCACGATCTTATGCTCTGCAACTCCCCAACCGACATGGCATCAGACCCAATTTTGCCCAAGAAGGGCGAGCGCAACATCCTCGTGACGAGCGCATTGCCCTATGTGAACAATGTTCCTCACCTGGGCAACGTCGTCGGCTCTGTGCTGAGTGCCGATGTATTCGCGAGGTATGACTCAACCCGACACGACCCCACTGCTACCACCATCACCGATGATGCCCAGCCTAATGCGCGACGATTAGATATCACAAGGCGTGCGGACGCTCTACACTATACATTTGCGGTACGGACGAGTACGGAACGGCAACGGAGACAAAGGCGCTGGAGGAGAAGGTGACCCCGCAGGAGCTTTGCGCCAAGTACAACAAGATCCATCAGGAAGTGTATGAATGGTTCAACATCGGATTCGACCACTTTGGTCGCACCCCCACCGAGAAGCACACCGAGATCTCCCAGGCTATCTTCAAGCGTCTTTACGACAATGGATTTCTGGGCGAGCGGACCGCCGAGCAACCCTTCTGCGAGCAGCACGGTTCTTTCCTGGCGGACCGCTATGTCGAGGGTGAATGCCCCCGTTGCCACTACGACGATGCGCGCGGTGACCAGTGCGACAAATGTGGTCACCTTCTGGACCCCTTCGATCTGATCAAGCCCCGCTGCAAGCTCGACGGCGCCACTCCCGTCCGTCGCGAGACAAAACACGTCCACCTTCTCCTCGATAAGCTCCAGCCGGAGGTTGAGAAGTGGTCCGCCGAGTCAATCTCGAAGGGCGACTGGCCCAAGAACTCGCGCGTCATCACCGAGTCCTGGTTGAAGGAGGGTCTAAAGGACCGTGGTATCACTCGCGACCTGAAGTGGGGTGTTCCCGTTCCTCTTGATGGTTATGATAATAAGGTGCTTTACGTCTGGTTCGAGGCTTGCATCGGTTACCCATCCATCACCGCCAACTACACTAAAGATTGGGAGCTTTGGTGGCGCAACCCCGAGGATGTGCAGCTGTACCAGTTCCTGGGCAAGGACAATGTACCCTTCCACAGTGTGATTTTCCCCGCCACTCAGATCGGTACCCGGGATACCTGGACTATGAACCACCATCTGAGTGCGACTGAATACTTGAACTACGAGGGTGGCAAGTTCAGTAAGTCGCGTGGTGTCGGTGTCTTTGGCACCAACGCCAAGGATACTGGTGTGCCTGCGGATGTTTGGCGGTACTACCTGCTCAAGAACCGCCCGGAGACTGGCGACACCCAGTTCGAGTGGCGATCGTTCGTGGAGAGCAACAACAGCGAGCTGTTGGCCAAGCTGGGCAACCTCGTTAACCGAGTGATCAAGCTTGTTACCGCCTCTTATGGCGGTGTTATCCCCGAATTCACACTCCCGGAGAACTTCAACCCCTTCCTCGAAGAAGTTACCACTCTTACTCGCCAGTACGTTGAGGAGATGGAGAGCGTCCACCTTCGTGCTGGTTGCTCCACCGCCATGAGAATCGCCGAAGCCGGTAACGGTTTGATCCAGGCCAACCGCCTCGACAACTCTCTCATTGCCAATGAGCCCGAACGCGCCGCGGCCGTCGTCGGTGCTGTGCTCAACCTGATCCACCTGCTTTCCGCCGTCTTCGCCCCCTACATGCCCGCCACTGCCCAGGGAATCCTGGAGCAGCTGGATGCTCCGTTCCTCCTGGTCCCATCTCTGGATGATCTCAAAAACGGCTGGAAACCCACCAGCCTGAAGGGTGGTCACAAGATTGGCAAGGCCAAGTACCTGTTCTCTCGCATCGACCCCAAGAAAGCCGATCAGTGGCGCGAGGACTTCGGTGGTTCCCAGGCCGACCGGGCTAAGAAGAATGAGGAGGCCGCCAAGGCCGCCGCTAAGAAGGCTGCCGCTAAGGCTAAGAAGAAGGAAAAGAAGGACAAGAAGAGCGTCGAGGCTACCGCCAAGGGTGGCGCCGAACGCCCCAGCGCGGATGCCGACGCTGTCGAGAAGGTTACCGATGGTGTTGCCCAGGTCACCCTCCCAACCTCTTAAATGTGGAGGAAAATGTATGCATTTACCTGAAAGGGTGCTCGTAGGAGTGTTCATGGAGAGAAGTTTTCCTTTTGTGGCGTACGACATTTATGAATTCTGGTCATGGAGATAGATTTTTGGGGATGAATTTATCATGATGGAATGGCTTTTTTATTTTCTACAGTTTAAGCCGTACATTCTCTGTATACAATAGTTGAACCTCAACCTCGCTCGTAAACAAGGAACTTTCATCTTCACTGGCCCTTTTGCTACACCGACTTTCACCTCCATAGACACTCTGGGTCTGTTCCAATTTGTTTACATGGACCGTGGCGCATCAGTCTCCAGTTGGCTAACCAGACAGCTGACCAGGTAGATGACTAGGTAGATGACCAGATAGATGACTAGATAGGTGACTGAGCAACGAACATGGTAGGTAGAATGCATCTTTCAGATTTTTAACACCATGGTGGTAGCACTATCTAATTGTGTTTCCACGAGAGATTGAACTTCAGCGACAGCCTCGATCTCATCGACTACTACCTGTCTTTATATTGTCCCTGGCAAAAACGACTATACCACTGGGGCTTGCGGTGTCATCCTTGCAACGCTAGGAAAACACCGAAAGGGAGATGGTGTTTCTCAGATCGATTGATTCATCACCGTACCCAGAGATCGGGATAAAGTTGGGGGTTCGAAATTCGTGGATCGCTTTGAGCTTCCTTTTTTTTTTTTTTTTTTTTTTTTTTATAATCGTCTGGGTTTGTGCCTGTCTGTATTTTGATTTGTTCACCTTTAGGTGTATACATTATTCAATATACCATGATTCCATCGCATTCGTGCTCACCGCTGGACTGTCCAGACCTTCACACTACCATCATCCGCAGTAGTTACCAGCACCTCCTGCTCCTCTGCCTCATCCACAGCCCCCCGATCCGCACGCTTCGCCCAAGCAGCATGGTTAATCTCATAAATTCCATGCGCCCCATCCACAACAGCAATAATCGACCATTCCGTCTTCAACATGGGAGGCTCCGTCTCCATAGCCTCCGAGTCTGTGGCCGTCACAAATCGCTCTTCGTACAGGACAATTCGCCCATCCGCACCAACAGACGCAACAAGTCCCGACCTCCGACTCCAAGCCACGGCATAAATGGCTAATTCATGAGCATGCGGCAATACTGCATCTTCTTCCCAGTTCTCATCCGCCCCCGTAGGCCGAATGATACTCGGAATCCCTGTCGCCGCAGACGAGGACATACCCATTTGGGAAAACTCCTTTGGAAGCCGGCGCCAAACTCGAATACTGAGATCATCCGAGCAAGACAGGAGACGCGGTCCGGATAATGAGCGCTGTGACCGCCATGCGCTGGTCAAAGAGGAGGTGTCCTGCTCCGCTGATGTACGGGGTGTGTTTTCGGGCCCTTCCCAGTCTAAGAACCATACTGTCCCGGAATGGCCCTTGATACAAGCAACCTGTCCCCAATCGTCGAGGTCCTCCCGCCACAGTCGAATCGTGTCGTCGTATCCTCCGCTGGCGAGGCACTCTTCCGTCGGGTGCCATGATACACACTTCACGTCTCCGCTGTGCTCCTGCATCACTGCTACCGTCTCGAAATTGTTGTCGCCGTCGTCCAGGTCCTCCCAGATCCAAATTGATTTATCCCGCGCGCAGGTCGCGAGTAGCATTCCAGATGGTGACCACGAGACGGATTTCACTTCACTGTCGTGTCCGTCCAGGAGGACGGCAAATCGCCATTCCTCGTCTTCTTCGTCGCTGGCTGCTTCGCTCTCTTCAACTTCGGCCGCATTGCTCTCGTTCTTCCCGTAGTTATCCCATCGTCGCCAGATTCCGACAGTCGCGTCGAAGCTTCCAGTCGCTAGCACGCTTTCTCCGGTGACATGTGGTTTCCAAGCTGCGGTTCGCACGCTTCGTTTGTGTCCGCCTGATATTGTGGAGAGGAGCTTGAAGTTTGTGAGCGAGTATACTCGCACGGTCTTGTCGGAGCTGCAAGTTGCGACGATCGGGAGAGTGGGGTGGGGTGATGTTAGCCAGGTTCGCTCGAGGGAGGGCGGTGTGAGGTCGGAAAGAAGGGTGATTTGTGATTTGGCCATGGTGGGCGTGGTAATTCCCTGTGGGATCTGAGGGGAGGAGGAAGGTTGGAGTCGATTTAGGGTGGCGGAGGGGAAATTTCCGCGGTGTGGGGTTGGCTTGCTCGGGCGAACCGCCTGAACGGGATTACACATGCCCACATCGTAGATCAAGATAAGGCCATTGGCGAACAGATCGCATGTTTTCCACACAGAAAAAAGCAAATCCCATAATGAATACCTTGGGCTGTGTATAGAAAAAGGAAAGTTCCATGGAAACCCAAAACTGGGAATCTTTCCATCCACAAAATTAAGCTCATCCTGAACTTACAGGACGAATCTTGTCAAACATTTCAAAATATAGATTGATGCAACCACATCTGCTGACTTCTCCAGAATTTCTTGGCTAGTAGTCAACCTCAATATGACAATTTTTCAATGTTTGATACCCTCTTTTCGATCTCTATTATGCATCTTCTATTTCTGAAGATAATTATTCCGACTTATACCTGGTCACCTATCCGTCATCTACCCATTTACTAGTGCGACAAAGATCTACCACCCTGACTCCTTCAATTGCAGGCTAGGAAATGAGCTAGGGACCAGGCAGCTAATATCAAGAGTATTATTACGCTTTAATACTCACTGAATTCGTACTACAAAGGTACGTAGTAGAAGAACGAAGTGAATCTGCATTAATGCCTAGAACATAACAGCATGCAACATTGAAAAACCCCACCATAACATATTCAATAAGCAAGCACATATAGAAGATTACCCATGCTTCTTCCCACGCGAGATACAATGGATCTTCCCACTCCATACGCTTTGGGCTTCTCCTCGTCATCGTAATCTTCGTACAACACTTCCAGCACCGATCCACTGGCAGCAATATTCAGGTAGATAGAGCGGTTCTCCTCAGTGTTACCAATACAGACGACAAAACTCCTGAGCTACAATAGCAGGGAGCTTAAGATCAAGCGGCACGTACGCCCATTCCCATCGATAAAGGGATGGATGTTGACGAAGATATGGGCATATTTCGATGTTATGCCAGTACGGTCGATTTTGCTAGTCTTGACGGCATTTTGAAGGTCCGAATTTAAATCGCGTATCATTGTCTTCATCTTGTAAGATAATTGGGAATGGTGTGGAAATGCATGAAAGCCAGCGCTGACTTCATGAGAACGGTAGGCTCGGCTGTAATCCGTCCATGGAGTATCGGCTCTACCAACTTTACATGCGACGATGCGGCGGGCCTCGAGGATGACCTCTTTGCTGAGGTCTTTCTCGCGCATACAGGACTCGTTGATCATGGATGCGGCTGCCTTGGCATGCTGAACAATCTCACGACGACTACGCAAGACACCGTCATTTTATGGGAGTTTCTGGTTTAGGCGTTTCTTTAACTCCAAAAGCTCTGCATTGGTCTCTTTAATTTCCTCGGGTATCCTTTTTCCTCGAAGAATTGCCATGCATAGCTTCTGGGTAATCTCAGGCCGCTGCTTGCGCGCTCGATCAGGTTAGATCCGTAGATCATGCGCCAGAGCATTGCAGGGTGTGGTCTTCGAAGACGGCTTTATTGGAAATCCGTGAGCTGTGACTTGAGAGAGGCTGATATCTTTTCTCCAAGTGTGACTACTTCGGATAAAATGGTCTCGGGATCGATTTCGTTTGGTCCGATCTGGTGGTTTGAGGCGTTCATGACAACAGTGAATTTGATCTGGATGCCGTGCATGCTGCCAGGAGAGACAGTCCCGTTACCTGCGCAAAGTTTAGCTTGCATGTAATTTTGTATAGATTTGGCGATGTTCATCTTGGGCTGGATGCCGATTTGAGAAAAGAGTGACATTTGGGTTGGAAAGAGCGGGTGCTTCGACTGCTCCGTTGGGGAAGTTATCTTTCCTTGCAAAAGTTCTAGTGAATATGTTGAAGTGCCAAGCTTTCGATAAAATAAGTCGAAGGGTGGGATTGCTCAAGAAGAGGGTGGAAGGGAACTTTGATTACTGGCAAATATGGAGCGTTGGTGCCACGGATAGTTCGAAGATCTAGACATCCCAAATAGGATTAGTAGTATATCCAACGTTCGCACCACCTGGTACACGTTTTCTACATGATATATGATTTACTCTTGGAAAGTGTTATTCATGGGAAAGCAAGTCGGATTCTTACACGCCAAATTCATTACTTCATATATCCGTGGTCAATTTCAATTCACATTGACTGGCAATCTGCCCTTGTATCCAAGCCAAAGCACCGAATAACAGAAAAGAGGAACCAATGTCCCAGGCCCCATTATAAATAGTATATCTCTAATGCCAATGCTCCTGCCGAAAAAACAAGAAACAAGAAATAAACGCCATCTACTGCGAGGAAACACCTTCTTCATATAGACGATCGTAAACTGCTCCATGACAGAGCCAATCCACCTCCCGCACCTTCTCCAGCTCATCCACAAGCTTTCCAACGTCATTCACAAACTCGGGCATACCGGCTCCAGCCAGGCTCTGGCTGGCGGTTGTGGTTGCTCTCACACGCTCCGAGGCACTGGAGGCGCTCAGGCGCGAGAGAATATGGCTTCGTAGACGGGAGAGAATTAACCGGGCAACCGGGTCTGAGAAGCTGGGTGCAGATGGAGCACTCCCATTGGGTTCAGTTGCTGGAATTCTGGAAGTATTCACGTTGACTTGTACACTGGCCTGCGGTGCGGCGGTAGAGCTGGCCTTCGCGACTGGTGCAAGAACCCGCCGGATGGTGGACGCCAGCTGCGCGCTAGCGTTGGGCGGCATCGGGTGTGTCGATTCGAGAATAGACTGGACACGCTCGGCACTGATCTCGTTGAAGTCGAGGGACATGATTCGGTCCGCCTCAGGCTTCCACTGGGACCGAGCATCCCGCTTGAGTAGGTTCTTCGCAGTCAAGAGGATGGATGCGGTCGCTACGATTTGAAATGCCTTTGCGTGCAAGCGTTCCAGTCGCTGGTGGTCCAAAACCAGCGTCTCTGGAATCAAATCTTCGGAGACTATTCCATTGCTCAGAACCAGATCTGCGAGACCATGAGCGTACACCCGTGTAGCAGGCGGGCAAGGCTCGCCATGGATATTCTCTGGGTCTCGCTTCTTCATTTCGTCGACGATCATCTTGCGGTGAGTTCGCCAGAATCTTCGAGTCTTGCCCAGGCTGATTGACCCATCAGCAACGCCTCGATCGAACGTCCGCTGTTCATAACCAGGCGCCTCTTGTATCAATTGCGGCGCGGCAACCTGAATCATAAAGTTCGTGTGGTCCAGCGACAGCAGATCGATGATACCCATCAATCTGGCCAAGCGGTCAATTGCATCCCCGGAGGTGTCTTCGGCGAACTCTTTGACAGCCGGATCGCGGTATGGAGCACAGAGACGTGGCAAAATGGTGTTCATAAAGTCGAAGAAATTGTCGTAGGAAAATGAGCCCGCCTTGCACTGGCTCTCGACAAGCTTTGGATCCAGCACCTCGCTGATCAGTACGTAAAGGGAATTGCCGGGCCGCAGTGATCGAAGCAGTCGGTCTTGGATCACTGTGGCCATGGCAACAGTCCAACCAGTGCCATGGCCAGCCTCGACGTCCTGTCTCATTTGTTCGCACATATGCTCCATGATGCTTCTGCGAGGACCCGTGTAGGACGATTCCTCGATCTTGAATTCTTTGTTGAGGAGTAGCTCATGGACCAGCTCCCGGTTGTCCGGAAGGGCCGTGAGGATCTTGGTGAACCGCTCATGCGGCGACGTCCGCTGCTTATCCAGCTCCTGGAGAACGGCGGCATCGATGTTGTTGAAGGATTCGCTAATGGGAGATGTGACACTCTCAGTTAAGACGTCGGTCGATGACGCCGTAGCCACCTCGGCCGATCGAGGAATGGCCTGCTTGGAGGACGACCGCTTCTTCTCTCGCTTGGCCTTCTTGAGCGATGTGCGGATCATTTGCATGGCCCGGTCCGATCCCGCGAGCCGCTTCAGTCGGGCCAGAAGGAGAATCTGGTTCTGTCGAATGCCCTGGCGGTAATCCTCCGCAACTCCGCCGGCCTGGTCGTCCTTGACGGTCTGCCAGATGAGCTCCAGCTCGATGAATTGCGCCAACATAATCTCAATCAAAACGGTTGAATCATGTGATTTCCATGCATGGAATGCAGAGAAGAAGACATTGTGGGACTCGCACAGCATTTGAAGATCCACCGTGATCACAGATGGAGAGCAGCAGCCAGATGAAAGCAGCCCAGTGACCTGGTCGAAGACCACCAGGAGCTCGCGCGCCTTGGAAATGAGATCCTGCTCCTGCTCGCCGTCTCCGCTCAGAACCTCCGCGGGATGCGTGACAATCAGATATGTGCTGAGGAACGTCCGCACCGCGCCGCGCTCGCCCAGCGCACCACCTTCCATATCCTGCAGTCCACAAAGCCGAAGAACCTTGGTCATGGTGTTCAGAACTTCGCGGTTAGAGAGCAGGGCTCCCACTTCCTCGAACGACATTTCCCGGACTCGTTCCACTGAGAGATTCAACCCATTGAATTCCTGCATCACAGCCTTCGCATGGTGGGTTCTCCAAACCCGTTGAATCTTGCGGGCCGCCGCATCCTGGGTAAGCGACTTGGTCACCGCGCGGGCCATCTTCTTCTCCTCCGCCGCAGGCAGGCTGCTGGTGCGCTGGCGCCGGTGAGTTTGCTGGTACAGGGTCCGTCGCTTCTCAGCCTCGGCAAACTTCTCTGCCATCTCCAGCCGTGCGCGCGCGAACTCCGCGGCCTGCTTCTCCCGCTGATCCTCGGCCTTCTTCTTGGCCCGCTTAACCTGATCCTCACACTTAGCCGCAATGTCTGCAAGGAGGCGTTCCCGGGCCTGTTGAGCTGCCAATGCTCGCTCCTCAATGTGCAAATTCCGGGTGGCCGCCTTTGCGAGCGCGGCACGCAATCTCACCTTCTCAGCATGTAAGGCGCGGTCGGCCAATCGCGCCTTGCGGGTTTCCAGGATGGTGGTCCGGCGCAGGTGCTGGGCGATGTGGTCCGCGCTGGTCGAGCCATTGGACGAGGCGTTCGAATGGTGTGAATGGAGGGAGGAAATAGAGCTGCGTCGCGACGAGGCGGTTGATCCGCGCCGGACCTTGCTGCTTCGACGGTAGAAGCGAGCGGCGATGTGTGGCGGCAGAGTCAGCTGAGGTGCGGGTTCGCCGGAAAGCATTTCCACGTCCGGCTCGCTCACGGTTTCCGGGGAAAGGGGGGTCGAGCCAGCATCTGGAAGTTGGATCTCGATATCGGAGTTGCGACGCATCATCGTCTTGGTGTCGAGCCGCAAGCCGCTTGCGACGCTGTGCAGGGGGTCAAGAAGCCCAGCGGGGCAGCAGGCGACTGATAAGCGATTGATTAGACGGTGGAGCGCTGTCAACAAAGAGGCGCGCCACGGTGATGGAGTGACGGAGTCTCGGGGAGCGAAGCAGTGCAGACACACGTGTTGCGCCCCTTTGAAGTCTGGGGATCTCGATAGGGTCGGGCAATCTAAGAAGCCTGAAACTGAGGACGAGGCGTATGCTCGTGCCAGGGCGGCCGGGGTTGCGGAGGGATCTGTGCTTCGTTTCAGAGTGCAAGAAAAGGAGTTTCATTCATGGTAAAGGAAGGGAGAGAAAGAAGGAGCAGAAAGGGATGAAAGGCGAGCGCCTCAACAGACTCGCCAGCACGAAAGCAGAAAATAGTCGAGACTATCGCTAAAGCAGATGGAATCCGATGGCCGCAAGCAGAAGGAGGCGCGCTTATCTAAGCCGTATCCCCTGAAAAGCCCGTGGAAGCAGAGTGTGTCAGAACATCTATTCTAGGTATTTCTCATTATTGGTCATGTCTACAGCTGTTGTGTCGGGTATTAGTGACCATCCGTCTTTTCTGTTGCTGTCATCGTATTGTAGTCGATGTACTCTGCGTGGTCTCCATAGTGCCAAGGACACAACGGAGTTGTATGCAATGTTTAGTAAGAAACACGCTAAGCCACGCGGTTGAAAGCGGTTTAGTCGCTGTTTCAGGACGACTGAGACGATCAAAGCATGTTTGCTCTTTGATCGTCGTGAGGTCATCATCCCCGACGATCGATCACATTCTGTGTGGTCCGCCCTTCAGCCAGAGCAAGGAGTCAACATCACATCACATAAGAAACAGTAACGTAATCCACAAGCGAGCCGCGAATACAACCGAACCGCGAATTTTCGCGTTCCCCAACTACGATTTTCGAATCAACATTCATCAACGCGTCTTTTTTCATCGTTTTCATACAAAATGCCTCTATCTAAAGAAGCTCGCATGCAGATGGCTATTTCTGCATATAAAAAGCAAGAAGTCAAATCAAGATTGAAAGCTGCTGAGATATTTGGCGTACCTGAAACCACCCTTCGCGAGTGGCTTGCTGGTATCAACCCACGGTCGGAAACACGCGCCAACGGCCATAAATTAACAGCTCTTGAAGAAGAAGTCCTTACCAAGAGACTGCTAGATGCAGATAAACGGGGCTAATCAATTCGACAAGAGTTTCTGCGTGGAATGGCGCAGATTTTGCTTCGTGAGCGTACACAGGATTCTACTGCCTCTATTGGTGTCAACTGGGCATATACCTTTGTCAAACGCAACCCAGCGCTGCGTACACGATATAACCGGCGCATATCATACCAACGTGCAAAGCAGGAGGATCCAATGGTCATAAAGCAGTGGTTTGCGACCGTACGCGAAGCTATTCAAGAACATGGCATCCATGAGGATGATATCTGGAACTTTGATGAAACTGGCTTTGCAATAGGACTCTGCTCAACCTCTAAGGTCATCACTGCGGTGGAGCGTAGTGAAAGACCTCGGAGAGTTATTCAGGGAAATCGTGAATGGGTCACAATCATTGAATGTGTGAGCTCAAAGGGGGCTTATATCCCCCCATGGATTATCCTAAAAGCAGGATCTCAACAAGCTGCTTGGTATCAAGAATCTGCTCTTTTTAATAAGGGCTATGCTATTGCAAGAAGTCAGAATGGCTGGACAACAGATGAAATAGGCCTTCACTGGCTAAAAGAGATGTTTGAACCACATTCTAAACACCATTCAACTGGTGCAAAGCGGTTGCTTATTCTTGATGGCCATTCTAGCCACCTGACTGCAGAATTTGATGCTTTCTGCAAAGAGAATGCAATTATCTGTCTCTGTATGCCTCCTCATACCTCTCATCTTTTACAACCGCTTGATGTTGGTGTGTTTGGCCCACTAAAGCGCGCATATGGAAAACTAGTGGAAGGGATGATGATTGCTGGCAACAATCATATTGATAAGGAGGATTTCTTATCTCTCTATCCACCTGCTCGCGAAAAGGTGTTCACTAGGGAGAATATATGCAGCGGCTTCAGGGGTGCATGACTTAAGCCACTTGATGAAGAGCGAGTCCTTGAAAAGATTACTTTCCAACTTCGCACACCAACGCCACCTCTTGTTGAAGTCGAAAGCTCAATCTCCTCTGCTTTTCAAATACCTCAGAATCCTCGCCAACTTGATCACAAGGTCCGCAGTCTACAGAGAAGCCTTCAAAAAAGAAAGCTTTCTAGCAGTCCAATATCTCATATTCAACATCTTGAAAAAGCTGCACAGATGGCAATGAACACGAACCTTCTTCTTCAACAGGAAATTAAGGTTCTACGGGCCGAGAATGAGCGGAAAATAAAGAAAAAGGCAAGGAAGCGTGCTATTCTAGGTGATGATCTTGTTTTGTTTATACAGGAAGGTCAGAATCGGATCCAGCAGCTTGATATGCAGCTTAACGAGCAGGTTGATGAGCCTACACCAAGGCCTCGCAAGCGAGCTCCACAACGCTGCAGTGGCTGCGCGACTATTGGACATACTATTAGGAGTTGTCCTAATAAATAGCTATTCATTTGTCGTTTAGATAGTCCAGTTTGATTATCTTTTCGTGGTTGAAGAAGCTTCAAATTGCATATATACCAGATAATGTCCCCTAACTTTTGGCGTTCTCCTTCCGTTCTAGTGCTCATCCCCTCGCCGCTTTTGCTCACTGAGTAGTATTGAGCACGCCCCTGAGCGAGCAGCCTGACCTGGTCAGGGTATTTGTCGGGGCACCTCACTTTTTTCGGTAGTTACCCACCTGGTCAGTCTTTATTATGTAATCGACCTTATTTGCTCACTGAGCCTATCTCGAATTGCCTACTACGCCCGTTCGAGACGAATGGCCCGAGTAAGCGGGCCCAATAAAACGCGACACGCTAGCACAACCCTGTTTACGTTTTTTTCCTTCAGTTCAATATCTCCTATCCCACCAATAAAGAGTTGGCCTCGTATGCACCTATACACACCGGATTTTGCCCGCCACAAGGACACGCTGTCCTTAGTCACCCTGACTGATCACTGGTCCTGATCGTGTAAGACTGCCGTTTACACGTTCCTTCTTGCTCCTAGGAGCTTATCGTGCCGCGTGTTCTGCTCCTGGGAACTTATCAGCTGGGGACGACACGTGACTCCTGCAGGTGTTGTCGTTCTTGAGGGTTCGGTTGGCTGTCGTCATCCCTCGCAGGTTGCTGACGGCTTGTCCGTAACAATAATGCTATTGCTGCCTATTCTTAATAGAGATATGTATTTAAACAAATGCTCCCTACACTATTTTTTTACACCCTTAGAAATTGACCTAACATACTAAATGAGGCGAAATATTTAACCGAGTAAGATGAGTGTAATACTAACCTATTTATCTTTTGTCTCACTAATCATAATTCAAATAGAAAAGTTTCAACCGTTTCACACTAACAATCTGACCGCTCAAGTATAGTGTTTAACTACTCAATTAAAGTAGCAGACGACAAGTAGGCTGTAAGAAACGGCCGCAAGTGAGGCCGTTTTTGGCCGTCGATTTGCCAGGGTTTTGCCACGGAGTCCTGAACCTAATAAAATAAACTACTACGTGGATATCTGTCAAAAACCAAGCTTTGAATTCAAAGTCCTAATAATACATGTAGTGATAATGCTTAGGCTTCCGGAAAGATAGGGCGGTAGCATATAGCAAGGTCCTCAGTGGAGCATTTCTTGAGGATATCACATGCTCAAGCTATTGGAAGGGCGTAGCGGCAGCACGTAGCAAGATCCTCAGCAGTGAATATAATATTTCTTTCGTTCGTGTTTGGGGCGGGCGGGCGGCGCATGACGGATTCGAACTCTAGCTCTAGTGGAGCATTCTTAACACTTCTTGAGGTAATGGTAATCTCTTTGGCCGCCAAGTGAGGTCGTAGCGCTGTTGAGGAGACTGTTTGAGGAGTCGTATGATCAGATAGCAGAGAGTGCTCGACCTCTGCCTGTAGTCCACGCATGATTCTGGGGGTGGTAGGTCTGAGGTGGTAGAGTTTCAAGGTGACTCTGCGCTCGGGGGATCTCTGGATATGAAAGAGTATAACCATGTTGACTTGGTAGCCGGAATTTGAGAACCACCAGTGTGCATCAATTCGTAGTTGTGCCTCTGATTCAGAAAGACCAGTTTCAATAACGAGCGAAGGCCAGTCGTTATCTTCAGAAGGATTTCCTAACGGAGTGAGAGACTCGTCGGCTTCTTTCTCGCATGAATTTCCGCAGTACCGGGAGGCCGAGTTCATAGTGTAATCGTCTGAATCAATTCCCATTTCGAATAATTTCAGCACGAGTTTATTTGAAAATGACCGTGTCACGCGCTCATGAGCTTTTGAGGGCATAATTCGAATAACCCCTTGCTGGTGCTGTGTGTCGAGAGTCAATCTGTAGGGAACCTCAAGAGGATTTCGATCTCCACCGATAAGCTCCTGCACTTGTCGGGATAGGTTCAACACGATAATAAACTGGTTCGAGTAAGACGTGTCGGAGTTGATTTGATGATAGACATCGTTCGCAGTTTGTCGAAGTGTAGAAATGGAGGGGGCAGACAACACCACAGCACCCGGGATTTCGAATGGCAGGTGCGAATCACAGTCCCTCGCTGCCTCGACCGGTGAGAGTGACTCGGGACTACCGAAAGTCTTCGCGGACTCGGCGTCCTTTGTATCCAGGGAGGAGGAGGATTCTGTTGATGGGGACAGAGGCAGCATGTTGGCTGAATTGGGGGGGGGGAATAGGGTGGTTGAGGAAACCGGGAGGAGGCAGAGCTAGAGAAGCAAGACGACTATTGATGGAGGACTAAGGCTGAAGTAGAAATGTTGCGACAGGAGCATGAGCACTTTCATGTGACGTCAGTCCAGAGCAGGCGGTCAGCAGCAGTGGTAGGTGCTGACTTGCCGTCGGGTAGAATACCTAACTTAACGAGTTGTGACAGTGATCAATGAGTTTGAGCCCGTGGTGAGATTTACTCAGTGAGCCTGAGCCTGATCGTCCTCATAAAAGCGGCGGCAGCCCAGACAGGAAAGGCCCACCCGACGGACAAAATCCTGTGTATATAGGTGCATATGCGTGGTAAAAATTCGCGGTTCGGTTGTATTCGCGGCTCGCTTGTGGATTACGTTATAGCGACAGATAGCGACAGATAGCGACAGTTATGGTCATCATACTAGAAACTTCAGCAAGAACAATACGGCAAGAAAAGGGCCCTTTTATTCTATTCTGACTGAAGGTATATCTCAAAATGAGAACCCCACCTAAACCGCGTCAAAATGCTCTCATACTTGTAGATTAGAACCAAGCTACACAATACAATGACTCGTTTGATCAACCAACTCTAGATCGTACCTTTTAGAGCAATGATCCTCTACAAGTCGGAATTTCAGAAAGCAAGCCGCAGTCCAACTCGCATCTGCCCTCGGCCACCTCGGTTGGCTCGAAGATAGTAAGGGATAAAACAAAGATCCTTCGGTTCCCCCGCAATAGCACCCCCAGACTCAGCGACGATCCTATCCTCCCATTCAGAGGTATCTAAATCTCCGTAGACACCTTTCTCCGCAATGAGAGCGACATAGGAATCTGGCTCAGATCGAGTTTCTTCCCGCAGAGGCACGCTTGAGTCGAAAATTGTCCGCTGCGGATTGTCAGTAAAATGACTCGACCAAGACTCGTTCCGAGTGTATGCATAATTAGGTCATTACCTTGAAATGATTCTTTTCCCACGGGTGATCAACATCTTCCACACAATACACAATTGGGCCACGCATGACGTATGCCACAGGCTGCATCGTTAAGGGATGGGGCCGAACAACGCGTGGCTGCATGGGGCAGGAAAATCGGAACTGTGCATGCGCCTGTACCCAGGCTGGATCCAAATAGACATATCCATCCCGGATGTCGAGATTGTCGGGACGAGGGGTGATCTATTGTACCAAGTCAGCTAGGCGGGATGCAATGATTTTCATAGTCTTGCTAGGAAACTGACTTGCCAGGATGCTGCCCAACCTGCAATTCTCAGTCGCAACTCGAGCTTGATCTGCGGTCCTTCGGTCTTGACGTCGAAGGTAACATCGCCATCCCAGGGCCAGTCCGTTGTTTGCGTAATCTGGACTGTGGATTCGGCAGTTTGGAGGTTTAGACTCGCAGAAGTGTACAGATGCACGTTGACAACTACAAAGTCATCCTGCATGGAATGGCTCCAGATATAACCTCCCAGAAATCCCAGAGTTCGGGTCACATTCGGGGGACAACAAGCACACTCGAACCACTCATGGCGCTGAGAAAGATCTTGATCTGATGACGCCAATTGATTCACGTAAGTAAATGCTTTACCATCCAAGCTCATTCCAGTCAATACCGCATTGTAAAGGCAAAGCTCCATCATATCAGCGTATTCGCCTTTCAACTCGAACTAAGATGTTGTGAGCAGTCGCGAATAAAATTTATCCAGTGCGTCCCCGGAATGGACTGTCTGTACTTACCTGCAACAAGCGTTCAGCCAGCATCATGACACCGATTGCTGCACAAGTCTCTGCATAGCATCCGCCTTCGTCTGTTCCCTGGGGAAGAAAGTAATCACCACCGAATCCTTCCCATTTCTTCATCGCGCCAATGCCACCAGTCACATAGGCCTTCTTTTCCACCATATTCGACCATAGTCGATGAAGGGCCGGTAAGAATTTGGCGCCAAGCTCACTGTCTGGCTTGAAAATTCGGACAAGGTCGGCTACTGCGGTGAGGAGATACATGGCCCGCACTGAATGCCCTTCAATAGTCTCCTGGTCGGCAATTGGTACATGTGCTTGCTGGTACCTGCTTGATTGTCAGAGCCTGAAATAAAGATACAGGAAGCCCTCAGGGTGATCAGCTCATACCAGTAGCTTCTCGCAGCAGGAAAATACATGGGCAGGTCATGTTCGCTTTCTCCTCTGGCCTCTGCCTCCACGTCGTAGTAGTGCCGTTTCTCTTTACCGCCGTGGGGGTTTCCTCGTTCTTCAATGAAGAATCGTGCTAGGCGAAGATGCTTCGGATCTCCAGTCAATCTGTGAAGACGTAAAAGAGCCAATTCGATTTCGGGGTGGCCAGGATAACCGGGAATCTGTCCTTCCTGGGCCCCCAGCTCAGCAGCGAGCAGATCAACATATTTGAGAATCGGCGCTAGCATCTCGTCGTTTTTGTAAAAGAGATGGTGGGCGAGAGCGCCTTCAATGAGATGGCCGGCATTATACCTGCGACGGGCCCTTGTCAGCGATCATACCTCAGGTCCAGCTTTTCAGTGTGATATATGTATTTGGTCACTCACAGCTCATGCATATCGCGCAAATTGGTAAAACGCTTCCCTGGTTCCACCACAGAGTAATGGATATTGAGATACCCATCAGGATGCTGCGCACCACGGATCATCTGCACTAGCTCTCTCACGGCTGCATCGATTTCTTCATCAAATTGATCTACCAGCAGATAGCAGGCGCCTTCGATCCACTTCGCGACATCGGAGTCCCAGAATTGATGGTTGGGAATGGGATAGACGGTGGGAGGTTCTGCGTAGCTCGGATGCCATTGTAGTTTGAACGCCTCGTATCGTCCTGTCTGCTTCAGCATCAAAAGCTGGTGCCGTAGTGTTTGCGCCCGAACCACTTCGCGGCGACGCGCCCAAAATGATCCTGGGATGAACGTCGTCGCGAGGAACCTTTCTTGGGGATACTCCATTGTCACCTTGTCCAATCGACAAGATCCAGCCCCAATCGCGCACCTAACCTGAGCATTCGTTGCCCTTATACATCCCGAGGCTCGGAGAGCCCTCCCGGGCGTTTTCACGTTCGGAGGCGCTGCGAGTCCATCCCACCGTCGCGGTCCAGTTATCCGTAAGGAGTGTTAGGAGGGTTCCCCGGGTGGGATGGCCAGAATGGCAAGACTCCGGCGGAGACGCTCCGGCGGGGAAGCCGATGCCGGGCCCGGTATTGTTCGCCTGTCAATATCCTAAGGTATGCACTCCCCCCGCAGAGGCCGATCGTCATGTACTCCAGATTTTCGGTCCGGATGTGGGGTACTGGAACTCCGGGTTTGGCACTGAGCTTGTATATATACCCACGACGCCGATCACACCCTCGCTGCGTGGGACCTTGTGCTTGGCTTCACGTATAGTCTCGACGTAACACATTCTGCGACAAGATGAGTATCGTGGAGAAGTTTCTTCCCAAGGATGACCGGTAAGGACTGCTGTTATCTGGATGTCGAAGTGTGAAATATCAAACTCATTTTGCACTCGCTAATCCCCTCCCAGCTTCGCGGCACTGCTTCTCTATGGCATGGTTTTCTCGACCTGCTTTAATGGCTATGATGCAGGCATCATGACGGTCATCTTGGCCGATAAGCAGTTTATTGACTATTATGACATCGATGACAACAAATCTGGTTTGGTTGCGACTATTCCTTGGGCTATGACTGGTAAGTCCTTTCTTTCTATATACCCAGTGTCTGGGATGTCTAGGCCCATTTTTCTACCCAAAGTTCAACTAACACTACATAGGCCTGGCACAGCTATGGCTTGGTGGTTCACTCGCAGGATGGCTGGGACGTTTATGGGCGTTGCGAATCTCCATCTGCATTATGATCATCGGAGTGTGAGGGAGCCATAGATCACTGGCCAGGAATGCGACGAACTGACATGAATGAAGGATTGTGCAGGTGGTCCCTAATAGCTTTGGTGTCTTGATCCTAGGTCGACTCCTGACGTGAGTAAGCCCTTAGCTGCGTCTCTCATCCATGGATATAGTCACCCCGTCTAGAGATCGCTGTATTAACCATTCCCAGTGGCCTAGGCTTCGGCTGTGTTTACATCGCTACCAACCTCTATGTTGCTGAATGCGCCCCCACCAAGCTGAGAGGAAGCTTCGTCGGCACCGTCTCGCAATTCGGATACCAACTCGGAACTCTCATCGCCTTCTGGTCTGGGTATGGCATGTCCTTCCACAAGTCTCCTTACAATATCGCCTGGCGGGTATCCAATGTCATTCAAATCCCCATCGGATTGGCTTTCATCTTCGTCTCGTTTTGGTACCCGGAAAGCCCTCGGTTTTTGCTGGAGAAGTATCCGGAGACGCCCGAAAGGTCTTTGAAGGTGCTGTCTCGGTTGAGATCGGGCGCGCCTACCGATGAACGCATTCGTGCAGAGTTCCATGAGCTAGTTGCGAGCCACGAGTTTCGGAAGAGATACGATCCTGGGTATATCGGGCTGCTCAAGGATAAGAGTATGCGGAAACGGCTTGCTTATGGGTTCTATGCGGCGGGTCTACAACAGGTATGCTGTATTTGGATCATCTACCCCAGGGAGTCGAATGGGAATAGTACTTACGTTATTGGCAGTGCGGTGGTATTGCTTCCTTGACTATGTATGCCACTCTGATATATCAAAGTCTCGGGTGGGAGTCTGGATCTCAAGCGTTAGCCATCAATGGCATCCAAGCTGTTCTACAATTACTCATTGTTCTCGTCAATACTTTCACCGTGGAACGATTCGGGCGGCGTGGCCTGCTTCTTGTTGGATTTGCTATCCAAGCTTTGGCGCTTTTGGTCATGTCTTGCCTCACGACTGCCTTTCCCTCAAATGGCAATAAAGCTGCAGCAGTTGTGGAAGTAGCCATGTTGTTCATCGTCGGTTTGACGTACTGTTGGTCTAACGGTCCAATTGCAGCCGCAGTGGTTTCCGAGATTTTCCCACAGCATGTGCGCGATAAGGTGAGTCGAATCTAATGAGATTGCTATGGCTCCATCATACCAGCTAATCATACTGACATTCCGAAGGGATTCGGTCTTTCGATGCTGGGTCAGACTTGTTGGCTCATTTTGTTGACGCAATCTTGGCCCTCGTTTAATAACAAGGTCGGAGGTCACAGCTATTGGTTGTTATTCGGTCTTAATGTTGCAGCCGGAGTATGTTAGATCAATGCCCGGGAGAATCCCTCGAGGTGGCTAATCATAGTCTCAGATCTCCGTATACTTTATTCTCCCTGAGACAAAGGGTGTTTCACTGGAGCGAATGGAGAAGATATTTGGCGGTCTAGACTTTGTCGAGGCCGGTGAGTGCGAAGGTGGTTCTGAAAAACGTGAAGCACGAGCGATGGAGAACGAAGAGAAGATTCCTATTTCTCATCTGGAAAATTCTCCAAAAAGCTTGCAAACCTTTCAGCCCGAAAGATCGCCTGTATGATGTCGATGTTGCTAGCTCAGAACGGTGTCTGGTGACCCTAAGAATAAGTGTCAGATGCAGAGAAAATGCTTTCATTTCGTCGTGAGGCTAATGCAGGCTTCTAAATTTGACATATGCAGGCGCCTTGCTTTAGGCAGGCTTTTCTATAGGCATGCCTTCTGTTGAACCAATAACAGCGGCAAGTGTATCCCGCAACACCTAAGCCGCTAGGGCGTCATGTCTTGTCGGCCCCGGTTATCTCTCTTCCTTGAGAATGGAGTAGCCCGAACTGGGTTAGACATGGCCCAAACAGAGCTCCGGGTCTCCAAGAATAGAATCGCGATCGAAAATCGATTGCGGTTCTGGGATGATGCTTCGAATTATGCGTCGGGCGGGTCATTGAACCGCATGCAATGACCATCCGCCTTTGCAGTCTAAGCTTGCAAAGTAGTGTGCGGTGCACTGGCGGTGGAGGATCAAATCGATGACGAAGAGTACTGGTTATGGGTGATAGAAAGGACCGATGCTTGGGTATATGATGAGCAGTCTATAGTGCCTAGATACGTTTTGGATCATCGGTGGCCGAAAAGGTCGATAGGCTCAACCCCATCGTCTTCGTCGTCGTCGTCGGCTTCCTCTTCTGAACCGGAGGAGATCGAAGATTCTGCGGCATCATCGTCTTCTTCTTCTTCCTCCTCCTCTTCAAACTCTTTAGTTTCTTCGGCTGCTGGCGTATCGCCTGCGAGGAAGCCATAACGGTCTCTCAGCTTTTTGCTTAGAAAGTTCAAAGCACCATAGTCTGTATCGCCCTCGGATCTTAGTGGGTTACCGAAAAATGGCAAGGACGACGGTTTCTCTGATTCGCGCTCTGCTGGAAGACCAAAATAATTGGTGACCACCGGTGAGATTGCGCGGCCGTGGGTCATATTGTAAGAGACGAAGCGGTTGTCGGGACCCGTGGTGTTAGGAACACTCAGACGAGACTGCGAAGGCGGGGTTGCGTTCATGTGTAGCGCAGCCAAGGATGTCGATGCTTCTTCACCGGCATGCAGAGACGATGACCGTGTACGAGAGGCTGGTTCGTTGACACCTTCTTCTTCAAGAAACGAGGATATGTCACCCTGCAGGAGGCGAATTTGAGCTGTATTGTAAGACTCGCACAAATCACACTTCAGTCCCAGCCAATGGTACTTGACAACTGACTTGGCACCGCAGTCATTGCAATACACAAGGCCTTTTGTATCAGTGAACTCCGCGGGCATCGGTTGACTTTCGATTGTTCGATCCAGGTTTCGGAACGTTGATTCCATATTGGTGATGGTCTTGCTGCAAATTGGACAGCGAAAAGACGTTTTGGAATATTCAGAAAGGCACTTATGATGAATGCTGTGACCGCATCGCATCACAACGACAGTCTCTGGCGAAGTAAACATGTAGTCACCACAGATGGGACAGTCGCATTGTGTGGATCTCTCAATGCATCGATGAGTATCTTCAATAGATATAGGCAAGCATACACAGCATGTCTAAAACTTATTTAGCATTGCGAGGAACCACGCCCCGGGTTGGGCTCATATTGCGAAACGCGATCACTCACCTTGCAATGGAAAAAATCCTTCCCAAGTCCTTGGCCGATGCGACAAATGCCACAGTCATGGCAATGGTAGATGCTTTTCTTGCTGTCATTGTCCCATAATTTGCAAATATCACAGTAATACTGTGCAGTTGTTTCCTCGCATTTCCGGCAATTTTGTGCTGCGGGCTGAGCATGTCCACAGAACATGCAAAGCATGTTTTCTGTTTCTTTGCGAATCAAATGATGATCCTCAACCTCATCATGGCAAAATCTGCAGGTGTACCATTTCTTGCAAGTGAAGCACTGCAACTTGACGTTTCTTTGGTAATGCTGGCAGCCCAAAGAGGCTTCCTCCAATTCCTCCGTATCCGGGTCCTCCTCACCAGCCTCGACCACAGGTGATTCCGGTTCCACTCGTGGGACGTAGGTTGGTTGCAAGTCCTCGACTGTGAGCGAGAATTGGTTCTCGTATTCAAGGGTTGATACATCCAAGGTGGGTTTTGTCGGGCATGGATCTGGCGAGAGTCTCAATACTGCTGGTGTTGGCGGACTGGCAGGATGCTGCATATGTGGAGGGCTTAAAGTCGGAGATTTCGGTATGGTAACGCGGCAAGATTTATACTTCTCCGTCATAAGATCATGAACCATGCGTGCTTTCTCATTATTGTCGAGATCCAAATCCCGAATCGCATGGATCTTTTTTCGAAGCCATCCCATTCCATCATCAGCGGGTAGTGACATCTGGCCCAGCTCATCTATACCGTTCGGGGCCTGCCCCGACTCAGGTTGCGACTCGCGCCTCGAGCGAGCATGTGTACTTGACAGCTCATCCTGTGAACCTGCCAACTGGCCACTCTGGGACTGGATGTTTATCCGGTCTGTGGTATGCGAATCGACAGATCGGGCGTTATGGGAGGGATAATTTGCGGTGACCGGGATCGGCTGGCTGGGGAGGTCGCTATTGTGAGGCATGGGTTGACGGCGCTCCGGCTCCGAGCTTCGGCCATCCATATCTTTCAGTAGAGTTGGAAAGAAGGGAGGTCCACGCAGAGACCCTGCATTTGCGCCAAGCAAGTCCGATGCAGCACAATCCTGGGCCGGGTCGCGAACGGGATCTCCGTCGGTGGGCGGCTTTGTTTGTGCCCGGGAGGACTCTGCCTGGTCCTGGGGGTGGGGGAGGGGGGAGCGGATTCCGAGTTCGACCAACAGCGACGTGATGAAGCTGCTCATGGAGGGCTGACACGGATCACATCGGATACAGTCACCGGCCTGGGACGTGGTAAGAGTGAAATCGACATCGAAATCGAAACCGCCTGAGGGCTGTTGGCTGTTGGCATGTGATGTCTGCTGAATCATCCGCGGATCGGCGCTAGCAAAGTTACGGTTTGTTGCCTTTCCGCTACTGTCTCGTTTCCACATGACCAGGGGAAGGGTGGCCACTACTTGAAGATCGGCCCAGCAGGCCGAAAAACGTCTTTGACTTGAGGTTTCTTTACTGACAGATAGCCCGCATAAATTGTCGGTGCCATTGTTGATATTCTACTCTCGACCGATCCAATTCCCCCCACAAATTACCGATCTGCAGCTTCCTGCAACCTATCTGATTATGTGTCGACCTGCAACCAATTCCGGTATTTGGGGGAAATTGGAGGAATTGTCCGAGGCTCAGGGCTGCCAGACTCGGATTCTGCAGCCCCCCTCCCCCTCCCCTTCCCTTTTGTTTAAGAGGGGCTTCCCATAGGTCCGGCGATGTAGATGACTGTGGTTGGGCATAAAATGTGACGGCGCGTAGGTGGCGACAGAGTGAGACACGGTCCATGATGCATGGCCGCAGAGGAGGATGGGATTCCAGGATGGCCGAGCTCAGGCGGCTGGATAACCCTTTCGGGAGAGCTGCTTTGTCGCCTCGTTCTGGATTCGTGCCTGAGGGAGGTATGGGCGCCCAACGCAGGATGTAGGGGGATGCGGCAAATCAGGCTCGCATCACCGACGGATAAGAGGAAGGCGAAAGACCAAGAAGCAGTATTATCTCAGGCACGTTCCCAAGCTTTCATTCAATCGCTCGAGTGTCAGATCGAAGTGTTGGTGGGCGCTTTTACGTAGTCGGCTTTCCATGTTGCCGAGTCCCAAATTGCGAAGACTGTAGACCAAGTCAGAGAGGCACGGTTATGATCCTAATGCTCCACCACTCCGCAGGTATCGATGGGGCCATGGCCGACTTACATGCGCGAGTCCTTTCCAATGGGAGTAGTTTCCCAATATCGAGTTACCAGCAGGTTTTTCACAATCCGGTGTTCGAACCCGATCGTGTCTGCTGCACGTTCTAGGAAGCGTAGAGTGTTGGCAACTCGCGACGCGTCGAACTGCTCGCGCGGTGTCTCTCGAAAGGCAGTCCGCAGAGTTGCCCGTAGCACGTAGCGGCTCGGTTTCGAGTATCGGATGACCTTCAGGCCCTGGCGGTAGAGATGACGGTAAGCATGAAGGACCGACAGCGGATCCCAAATTGCCTGGGCGGGAGCAGCCATTGCGTTTGAGTCTTCAACTCGGGCAAAGCGTCGGCGGAGGGCATGCGGAGGTCGCAAGTCAGCGTAGGCATATCAGGCCCGCACTAGTCCCCATTGGGAGCATGTGACTTCGACTTTTGGGCAGCGAGCTCTTGCACCTTCCCCCACCTGCTTCGCTGCTCTGGCTTCGTCGCTCTGGCTTCGTCGCGCCATTGCGGAATTTCAATTTCGGGGAGGTCGTGGTCCTTCGGAACGTGCGCGTCTCGACGCCGTTGCCTGCGATCTTCCCCAGGACGCGCCCTTAACTCTCTCTGCCTCTTCCTCTCCCCAACTCCCCCAACATCGTCACCACTTTCCCACCTCCACATTTCTTCCACCTTCTCCCACTTCTCCGCTCCCGACATTTCACGCTTCCGGTTTCGCAGTTTCTCGCGCCGATTCTCAAATCGCCTCCGATCCTTGCGAGCTCCTCCGACTTCGTCCCCAGAAAGAATGCTGTGAAGGGTTGGTTCTCTGTCCAGTTGTGTCAGTGGAACCGACCCAGAAGCATGGCCCGAGTGAAAAATAGAACTGCCTCGTCCGCGGCCTCGACCAGGCACTCCCCCGGTCGGGCTGTCACTGAAAGAAAGGCCCGAAAGCATCAAGCTTTCTGGAAGGGCTATCTAAAGCCAGTAAAGGAGCATCGGCTTGCGAGTTCGGTATGTTTTTGCCTACATTCTCCGAGCTTCGGTTTGGAGTGGGGAACTGGTATCTCACAGAACTATAGATCTATCTTGACGTCGAGCCACCAGCAAACTACACCTTCGTCGCGTCTGGGACTCCCCTCTTGACCAAGACTTGCAAAAACAGATGTCGGGCAGAAGGATCCCGTATCTTTGCGGTTTCGGTAGGAGAATCCCGGTTTCTATTTCTCGTCCTGGACTACTTCTCATCTTTATTTAGACCTCACACGACAATCCAAATTTCGCTTTGACGCGTCTGTCGATTCAAGTGCATCGGGTCGGATATCACTTCCCCACCGCGGTGGTCAACCGGGTCTGTTACGATTTGGGCCTTTATCTCACGGATTCAGGCAAGGCAGTGCCACTTAACACTCCTACCGCCTTGGAGGAGCTTTCTGATACAGATAAAGATCAAGTCACGCTCAATACTGAGGCAAGGGACACGATCCAAGACATGTTCCCAAATATCCCTGCGGATGATTTGAATCAAATTATCAAGCGCTCATTTCAAAAAGTAAGTCCATCGACACTTGGTAGGCCAAATGGAGAAATGTCGCAGGTCTCTAATTTCTACTACTCTAGGGCGGTGGGAAAATAGGTACCGCGTTTGAACACTCGTTGAACCGTCGAGTGCATCTCGCTGTGGTGGCCCATATTCGGCATACTTACACCGATTATGATTGGATACTCGAAAATCAATACGAGTGGGTTGATGCAAGAAAAGTGACGGAACAGCCCACTCTCGCCAAGCTCATGGAATGGCGCGGGAATGACGAAAATGGACGCGAGAACTCCTTTGAGGATGCATGGAGCGAGGACTCGCTTGAGGAAGCATTGCGTGAGTTGAACAATCGCGATGTTGAAACCCATGATCAAAGAGAGCGGCAGAATCCTATTGAGCCCGACAAGATCCAACCTCGACCGATCAACGCCAACGTTGACAGACTGGATCCCAAACGCAAACCATCCGAAGAGGCCCCGTCTGAGTTTCAGTTCGTGTCCAAAAAGCCCACCAAGACTGGCGATCGTCGAGGCTTCTACCGATATCAGGCGTGTATGGACGCACCGGCCTCCAATTCCACCGTAGTAGGAAACATCGATCAGTCCCGCATTGACAGAAGACACCCCGCGATCCCTGAGCCCGAAAGAACCCACTCTACCGGGTACCGTGAACTTACGCTCCAGACTGCGGAGGTAGCCTCTGGAATTGCTTCGAACTGTGGTCGAGTTCGTCCTTTGAGCCCTGGTGCACCATCTTTGGCCATCACTCAAGGCGGCCAAGGGCCAGTACTACTAGTAGACACCCAGGACAAACGTGCTCCTTGGGAAGGTCAACAACGGGCATTGTCCCACCAGTACCACTTTGGGTCGAGCGGAAGACTTGCACTAACAACACAGGAGTCAACTACTGGTGGTACATACAACTTCGCTGACAGCCATCTCTTGACTCGGAGCCCCCGTGCCTCGTGGAATCTCTTGCCCTCAGCGCCCCGTTCTAACGCAGTCCCTCACGCGCGTACGGAGTGGGTTCCAACCGCCCTGTCAGGCCATGGCGCCGGTGCGCCTGTGTCGGCGAGCGGACATCAGGAGCAATTTCTCACCAGGGAGGGCCAATTCAGACCTTGCAGTGAGGGCGCCAACCCTCCTCAATCCAGGCCGGGAAGCAACTTGCACACTCAGGACCGCCCACTGCCCTCGATCGAGACTGCTCATCCAGGGCGAGGACTGGAAGATCGTGTCACGCCCAGCATGAAACGGATGGCCCTCCGGACTGTAACCCCGGAATGTCTTCCATCGTCGCGGGCTGGCAGCCCTGATCCTAAGAGACGACGACTGGCTTACCCCCCACAAGGCTCGGACGATCTATCGTTCTCACACTTACGCCAGGATTTACATTCCGAACCTCGTATCGCACGACCCATGGGGCCAGTTTCCTATCCTGATGGACCGCCCTTCGAGTATCGCGTGCAGAACGGGCAATACGTCAAGATTCCTCGTTGGAAACCTGTCGATGAGTTCCATGAAGTAGTTCGTCCAGACTATCTCCTGACCACAGTTCCTTCTACGGTCTATGAAGAGAAATCGGGGAAGTATCGCCCTTATCCAGCCCCGGGAACCAACGAGTTCATCTCGAATAACCGTTCCTCCGGACCTCCTCCAGGAGTTTCTCGTCTCGGTCCTTCTGGTCCTGCTTACTCTGGTGATAATGGTCAAGGCCGAATTCCAATCCCAAGAACTTCTCACGCCCTTGAATTTGGTGGTCTTCCAGCTTCTTCCACTGCCTCGGATGGGAGGCTGTATGCGGACGGCTTTGTTCGCTCCATTGGCTTCCACGAGGTTCCTCCTGTCGGATATGTTCAGCGCCCACGAGCCCAGCAACGCATAAGGGAAATTCCAGCTCCAGGCAACTTCGACCAATCCACCTGGACCAAGATCCCCGATCCCGTTGTCTCCAACAGTCCCTCTGTCTCCAGGGAGATATATGCAGAACAAACTTCTTCGGTACAGTTCCAGCCCCCAGCGTCCTTCGTGGGCAGCAGGACTCGCGACCCGATCTCCCATGTCTCGGATCCTGTGTCTGATGACCCCCAATCTCGTGGACCTCCCCGGCCATTCATGGAGGCCCCGGAAGCAGGCTCGGCTCGATGCGGTAAGATAGGTCCAGCCAACTCTCATCCGTCTATATCGCAATGGGAGCTTTTGTCAGATTTGTCTCTCAGGCTAACATCGACCCAGTAACGTTCATGACCCCCGTTCTTCCCAGATGCTCGAGCATAATCGGCCGTTGTACGTGCCGCGGGTTTGAATCACAGACTCTTGCAGCACGGAATGCCAAACGGACGACCGTTATCTTGATGCCATGGTTGATTGCGGATTGCGATTTGCGATTTTTTCACATATTGATACCTTTTTTTTACTTTCTGAACTGGCGTGGGCGGGCGTTGCCGAGTGGTTTTAGGTCGAATGGTTTCGTTTGCGTTCTCCTCTCTTGAGGTGGAAACTTATCTGGGGAAATTTTTTTTTTCCTTCGCATTTTTCAGCGCCCCGACATGATTATGATACCCGGCTATTCTTATGACAGCCCATCCACATCGTTATGGCTTTCAATACCAGCTGATGGCACTTTTCAATGCCGACATTCCGTTTCTTCAATTCTTATGATAACGTAGTCACTTTAGAATATTCTTATACCGTGTTTACTTACTGATCTCTGGGCCATTGTACTCAGGATGTAGTATTTGATATGATAGAGCCCGAGACTCCAACGGGGAGTATGAGCAGGGTGGTCTCGCTTAAAATAGTCATATTTCCAGGGTTCTTGAAAGAAAATTCCAGTCCCACGTCGAGTCCTCCAGCCGCATGGAATCGCAGCTGAAGCCTGACGCTGGGCTTCACTGTCTTTAGCCCGTTGCCGTCGGCCCACTCCCACGTCAAACACTCATAATCTTGCCATCCGCCTCACCACTGTTCACGGTCTTGCCGGTCTTCTTGATAGTGGCCAGCACGGTATCGTACGAAACGGTCGGTTCGGTAGTGATGTTCGCGGTCTGCGACTCGAGATTGACGTCGAAGCTCTTGACACCTGTACCACATTCGTCAGCAGTGCGCCACGGGCATTCGCACACGCGAAGTCGATTTACCCTCCAGCTTCTTGAGGACCCGCTCAACGGCGCCAGAGCAGCCGCCACAGCTCATGGCGACGTTGAACTTGTACTGGTGTTCGGACATGGTGGGGTTGTTTTGGGGGGTGGTTGCGGAAGAAAGGCGGAAGGCGAGTTGGCGGTTTTGGAGTTCGCGAGTGGGTTCGACTGTAAGGGGGGATCTCGTCGGGGCGATTACTTCTTGCGGTTGTCGTCTACGATTGGCTTATAGCAGCAATGGAGCAGTAATTACGAAGGACATATTGGTCATGTGCGTCCCCTTTGAGCTGTGAGCGATTTCTGCGATTGGCTTGTTGCCGGCAACTTGGGACGCACGCAATACTCTACGATTCTGGTGATGCCGATGTTGATAACACTGGGACAATCCATATTGGGAATGCTAAGCGCGATCCTTGATCCTCGGGCTCTACACTAAAACCCGGCTGCTCGCCGCTTCTTTTTTGCCTTCAGGGCCTTGCTGCCCTCGCGCGCACCAAACTGGCCCCGCTCAGCCTGGGTCATGGGTGTTTCGTCCACTGTCGGCTGACTGCTGGTAAACGGCAGTGAAGGCGCATTATCGGGCTGACTGCCCCATGTCCGGAGTATAGGCGCAGCGGGGGCCGGGGACAGGCCTAAGGCTTGTGAACCAGCGACTGACTGGGAGCGTGATCGTTTCCGACGCAATCGCTGACTAGGCGTGGCGGAGCGTGAAGCCCGTTTGAATTCCTCGTTCTCCAGCATCTCCGATGTCTTCTGCCATTCGTAGGTCGACGGGTCAACACCAGGCTGCCATTCGGAGAGTAGATTGGCTACTTTCCGGGGCAGCGGGCGTTGCTCTTGAAACGTTGTGAACGCTGCGAGGCTGCTGTAGGGTTTGTCGTCCGATGTCCCAGCTGAAGATGCCCGAGAGCGGCTCTGCGGTGTCGGCGTTCTCTGGTTGGGTGCGATTTGACTGCTAGGAGGCTGCGAGGACAGCAATGAGGTCACGGTGTCTTGCGATAAGGTGGCGGGCGTCGGTGCCAATTGATCCTGAGCCAGCAATTCAGTGGCCTGGGGCAGATTCCCAACACCAGGCGTGTTTGAAATTCGGACAAGGCGTGCCAAAAAGAGATCGAGCGCAATTCCACGAATCATTTTCTCTTTGAACACACGGGTTTGGCTGTGTATGCCATCCGGACCATGGGGAAGACTAGTCACCCAGTCTGCAACTAGCTGCTCATAGATTCCCAAGTAATCCATATCCGAATGTCTCCCTGGTTGGATGATGGGCATGCCATGGAACAGCTTAGAGAAATGAAGAGGTAGAATCATGAACCGATATTCGGCCTTGGGATCCGGAGACTTGGGCAAAGCGGTAGAAACCAGCCGCGCGAGATCCTGAGCCCCCTCGTCGATATCATCCAGTACAGATCGAGCTGTACACAGCTCAACCCTGGGCGTAGCATATTAGCTTTGACTGATCAAAATGAGAAGGGCCACAGGCCATAGCGAATGAACTCACATTGTCTCACTCACGTACCAGTCTGCAAGTGTCTTGAGTGTCTTGTTGGCAAGCTCTTCAACCATTCTGCTGAGAGTATTTCGAGGTTGAATCTCTTTAGATGCACCCTGGTTTGCATCGCCATTTAAACGTACCAGTACAATGTCATAGAGAGGTCTCCAGTCCATGGTCCTTTGGAACTGGTCATCGGCACCTGCGTGGCTATTGCGCCAGACTGCGCCGCGCTGCCAGTTTCCGGTACGCGGGGGAGCGTGTGTAGACTCATCCCAGTCACCAACCACGAAATCATCGCCTTCAACCTCACTTTTGGGCATACGATGAGGGTGCACCATCGACCTCAGGCACAGGAAATTGCCTTCGCGAACTGGGAGGTAAGTCACGTCATACTTGTCTGCTTTGATGTTTGGACCCCTGAATAATGCTTCGTGGACAGCCGAAGACGACGACGTATCGGTCCAGAATACCTTAACGAGAGTTAAGTCGTTCCTGTACTTTGCGACTTCCGGGCTTTGCACCGGAGCAACCATATAGTTGACTTGCCGAAAAACGAATGTCGAGTAACGTGAGCTCGCTCCGAGAGGAGAAGTTCCTGCAGCAGATGGAACATCGAGTCGGACGACGTCGGGAATGGAAAAAGTATTTGTCTCTTCATCGAGAGAAGGAGCTTGAAAAATCTGTACAATGGAGGAAAGACGAGAGTAAAGGATAAGATACAGATCTGCTTTCGTTAGTAATCACAGCATAATGTAATGAGGTAAATGAGGGGATGAAGGACGTACTGCCATTCATTTGCAGATCGCTGAAGCGCAACGTTGTGTCCTCGGGATCCCGGAAATGACGCCAGGTCAAACGGGGGAACAATGGTGGCCGCACTCCCGTCTCGTTGAAAGGCGCCGTTGCGAGGTCGAACCAGAATAGGCGGGTGGTTGTGAGAACAAAGAAGTGGGATAGGTTCTGAGGGCTTCTCTGCACATCAAGAACCCACTCTGATTTCTTAAACAAGTCCAATTCAACTGAAGTGGATCGGATCTGTTTCCCCCCAATACTATAAAGCATAACATGGCGCCGGTCGGATACCACTATGGTCGAATAGTCTGCAATCCACTCAATAGATGCCCAGCCATCGTAGCGAGGACCATCTGGGGTTTGAGTTTTATGGGAGCCGTCCATCCATGGCAACGATCCTCTCTTGAGACAGCGGGCAGGCCAGCTTGGACTTTCATAAACTTCCCACGTACTCCAGTTCCCCTGGATGTCGATAATGGCGAATTGACGAGGATACCAAGGGTTGAATGTCACGTCGGCATGCGGTAAATTGCCGGTATGTGTGATTAGTATCTCCACCACTGGGTTTGGGTCCAGGGTAGAATTTCGCGGCTTTGCAGCGCATGTTGCAAGATCATCCTCTGGCATGTACACCGGATGTGTTGTACGTCGATAATAGCGGGGGCGGAAAATCACAGTTGATTGAGGTAGACGGGCAGCCATCCAACAAGACTTCTCCAGTGATCGTGAAAAGCAGATCTGTTGAATAGGAGCCCCGTGTCTCGACCATTCAGTGACTTCCTCATCACCAATGGAATCATCAGCAATGGAAGGAACGATCAATGGAGATACATCCTGATCTAGCGTGTCAACATGTTTTCCCAGGGTTCGAAATGAAATTGTGTTCCCGCACTCTCCGGTCACTGCTGCGACAACTTCCATGCGAATGCGCGACGCTTGGTCTGTAATTTTCGCTTCTCCCAAAGCAAGGAGTGTAGAGACCAGTGGGTCGTAACGCTCAGCGGTATTTGTGATTGTTCTCGAAAGCGTATCATTCCAGAGCGAGGACCAGTTTGCTGCAAACTCAGGGAGCGTTTTGGGGATTAGGTTATGTTCTGAGGCTAGACGAGGGTTGATGTGCTGTTGTGGTTGAGCTGGTTTCACAGGCGAGAGTACCGTTGTTCGTGTGTTCCCAGTATCGACGAGTAGCGGAGGCTGTCTGAATTGGCGAGTAAAGGTCCAGGACCGCGTCTCTGGTAAATAGGTGGCTCTCCCCACGTGCCCATAGTGTAGAGCAACGGTGCGATGTTCATCCATGGGATCTTGTTTTGCGCTTCGCGATCTGCGCAAGACCCAGCCAGGACATGTCGATGATGAGCTGAATCCGGGGTCACTGAGCGCAGGGCGACGACTGCGAAGATGAAGTCAAGCACGTCAAGTCGAGAAGTTGCTCCAGAGGTTTCGAGGTCGAAAGATGGATGCCGCCAAGCGAGCTCCAATTTTTTGGAGGGCTTATCGATAAGCCCTCCCGTTGCGGCGCAACCCAAAACAGTGGACGATCCCCGCCCGTCAAACGTCCTTTCCAACCCATCGCAAGAGTGACAACCCTGGCCCTCACCAAAACCCAATAAATCTATACTATAGTGATCTGTACTATGGCATCTTCAACATTCGATCCATCGCTCTCCACGAGTGGCATGCGCCCGCCCCTGGCCTCCGCAGATGCGCCTTCAGTGGCAGACTCGTTGCCCAGCATCAACTTCGGTTTCGATGATTTGCGCAATCGCATGGCGCAGTTCACGGCAAAGTTCGATGCTTTCATAGAGCGTGGCCGCAAGCAAGTTCTCGAGGAGCGCAATCAGTTCCACATCAACCTCGCCGAATTGCAGGGTATGACAAATTCCTGTTGTTGTGTTGTTTTCCGTCTCCTGATCCCCTAACTCACCACAACACAATCTACAGAGGATGAACGGATGCGACAGCGAGATATCGAAATTATCACCCTGAAAACCCAGACACACGAGCAAACCCTTCAGAAGGAAGCCGCCGAGGCGGCTGAAATGCACAGTGCAATCAACTCCATCACAGGAGAGCGTGACTCGCGACTTGCCAAACGCGACCGCCTCAAGCAGCAGATTGCAGAGACCCAGAAAGCTATCAATCAGCGGGTGGAGGCACAAAAGGCCCACGCAAAACATCTTGACGCGCAATCAAGACTTAATTCCCCCGAGCTTGACTTCTGGCAGGATTATCTTTGTTTACGCATCGAGGGGGCGGGTCGAGAAGATCGGTTGAAGTTTGTTTACAGTCACCTACTGGAAAAGGACTGGGAAGCCGAAGCTTGGTTTGAATTGGGAACTGCCAGTCGCGATTACGAAGTGTTTCACACCCGGCCCAAGGTAGATCGAGATGCACTGGAACGAGAGGTCGATCTTGTCAATGATGACCGAGACTTCGGGGCCTTCCTCAAGCGGATGCGCAAGTTATTTGCGGAGGCTATGAACTGAGTGTGGAATTCAGGCGTTGGGAATATCCTTTTGAAATGAATTTTATGAGTTCTACCCTATGCACAGGGCACTGGCAATTGTGTTCATTGCGGTCATCAAAGTTTTGAAGGACGTAGTGTAGACGACGCGGTAGGATGTTATCAAAAATAGTCACCATGAGCTCAACCTCCCGTGGCCTCCCGATAAAATGCGATACTTCGGTTGGCGCCAGCAGCCGCAAATCCTTCTGACCTATTGGCCTTGGGAAGCCACTTCGCACTCCAAACTGCCCTATCAGTCTCGGAGTGGGTGGCCACACAAGTCTTAGCGTCGATTGACCAGACCTTGACCTTACCATCGAAGGAGCTATAAAGCTGTCAGCAGTTAACAAGAAAGGTAGAGCCCAATCAATGTCTACTCACCTACTCAGGAGGTACTCTCCAGAGTCGCTCCAGGAGAGGGACATGATCCATGCCGCATGACCCGAAAAATTGGCAATTTGCATGCCAGAATATGTGTCGTAGAGCACAATTACTTTCGCGTCTCCAGCAGCAGCCAGGATCTTGCCCCCTGGTGAGAAAGCAACGGCACGAACAGATTTCACCAGACCTGTATTCCATTCGGTTAGTTTTGGTGCAACTTTTTCTCATGCTGGATCATATCAAAATACGCACCGGACAAAGAGAACGGCATACGGCCATCTTCGGTCTTGAACATGTAAACGGCACCGTCCTCATGCCCACTTGCAATGAATCTGCCATCGGCCGACTGTCGACGTTAGTAGAGCTCATCGGATAATTTGAGGAGAAGAGGAGAGAAAACCAACCAGATCAATGCACATGCCAAAGCTCCCTTTAGTTTCATGGTCTCGAATCTGCGTGGCTGTCGCACTCAGATCCCATACTCGAATATGGCCATCTTGAGCAGCCCCAGCCAAATACTGCCCATCCTCAGACAAGGCGATTGCCCATGCATCCACATCGGTGAGGTTTGCTGCGGGAACCGAGATTAGCACACAATAGAAGCCATCGTATTGAGAGAAAGAGAAGCTACCTGAGATGGCTTTGTCTTCCGACCAGTAGCCGTCGCTACAAGCCCAGGCTTTGACATCTCCTGCAAAGCCAATGCTCACGGCACGGAAACCCTTGGCATCGGTGACAATGTGGTGGCAGCCGAGTGGGTGGGCACTTTCGAGCGACTGCACCAGTGGGAATTGAGTGTCAATGGTGGAGTGGACCTGGATGGATGAGGCTCCCGATGCTGAAAGAACTTGACTGCTGGTCACTGCCAAAGAAAAGATGTCGGCGGGGTGCGCTGGATCTTGTTAGGACTGAATGAGCCATTGGAGATGCAAATAGAGACGAGTGCTCACCATTATCGGCCGTGCCCCACGCCAGATATTGTCGCGACTGCAGAAAGTCAGCTCAATTCCTTTGGGGATTAGGGTACCTGATCTGCTCTCACCATGCTGGGTCTTATGGAATTTTTTTTGCGGATGTGGCAAGTGTTGAAGTTGTGAGCAAGGACATTCGGAGCAAGTCGAAGCTGCAGTTCCGCCTTCGCGCCGCTGGCCGGGGGAGAGTGGGAGGGTCTCCGCCAGTTGGCGACAAGACAAGGCACGCCTGAGTCGGTCAATCTCCCTCCCTTCCTTTTTTCCTTTGGAGAAGTGCTTTACAGGTGTTAATTCAGATGTATACTTGAATCTGCTTTAATTTATTCAGGTCACTGGGACCAATTCTTGGAAATACAATATATCACAGGTGAATCATATTTTGCCAGGTAAACCAACGCCAGGTGCCATGCAGTGGATCATAGCCACATCCCAAATTCTAGAAATACACACGATGCGCCTGTATTTTCTACAGCGGTTTCCATCGCGTCGGGCTTTATTTTATAGGGAAGCTTTCGGCTTCGTTCATGGATCACTTTTGGTTGTTCACGCCGTCTGCGCCGATTTCCACGACTGTTTGATCTCTAGCGATGAAATGTTAGTTTCTGAAACCCCGGAAGTTTATGGAAATTAATTGATCAAAAAGAGCTTTGCGCAATAGAATTGTGCTCAGTAGAATTGTGGCTCCCACTTCATAGAGGGAGGGATTTCGCAGAGTCCAATGTCGCCGCACACGTACCTTTAACACAGTGAGGACACAGTAGGTGAGCGCGCTTGATCTGACCGCAACCTGGGCATTTGTTAAGGCTCTGTAAGTCTTTCAGAGCTTTGCCTGCCATTTGACGGTGACGCTTCTTCATGTGCGAGGTCTTCTTCTTGGGGACGGCGCGAAGGACGGATTCCCAGAGATCGGCGAGCAACGGCGGGATGGTGATAGCGATGGGGAGGGTAAATGGAAGGGCGGGGATGAGCCGCGGCATCGCGGGAGCGAAAAGACGCAAGGCCATCGTGAGGTCGAGTCGGAACGCCGAGCAGTCGAGGTCGGAAGTCGGAGAGGTACTTGGAGGTCGACGAGGAAACTGGAGATGCTCGGTTTTGCGTCTGGAGGGCGCTAACCTGATCGGGTAAGGGCCACCCCTGAGTTCGATAGGAAATAACAATCGACCTTAAGGGGCTCTCCAACAATCTTCACCCGGGGAAATCCTCACACCTTGGTCCTTCCAACCCCTCATCTTCCATAATGGCCGCCGCTACCTCCGCTGCTTCGGCTCAGCAGCCCACCGTCTTCCCCCACAGCCATGTCGGTTTCGACAGCATCACTTCCCAGATCGAGCGGAAGCTGTTGAAGCGTGGTTTCCAGTTCAATGTCATGTGTGTCGGTATGGACTCAAGATGATCTCTTCCTTCTCTTTGCGATGACTGTGGTGACCCCTTAGCACAATGACTGACACCTGCGTTTTTAGGTCAAACCGGCCTGGGCAAGTCGACTCTGGTCAACACCATCTTCGCATCCCACCTGATCGACTCCAAGGGTCGCCTTACCCCCCGATGAGCCCGTCCGCTCCACGACTGAGATCCAGACTGTTTCGCATAGTACGTGTGACCCGTGTGACCCATGGGAGAATCCGAGAAGACTGCAAGCAAGGTGCAATGGCTAACGGAAGAGTCAATAGTCATCGAGGAGAACGGCGTTCGTCTGCGTCTGAACATTGTCGACACACCGGGATACGGTGACCAGGTGAACAACGACCGCTGGTACGCAGGAGCCCATACAAACTCAATAAAAAGATTCAGGAGCGAAGCTAACGTGGCACTAGCTGGGACCCCATCGTCAAGTACATCAAGGACCAACACTCGGCATACCTCCGCAAGGAGCTCACCGCGCAGCGTGAACGTTATATCCAAGATACCCGTATCCACTGCTGCTTGTTCTTCATTCAGCCTTCCGGTCATGCGTGAGTGTCCCTAGCATCCTCGAGTTCTCTTTTTCATGACTATGAATGCTAACGTGATTGCGTGCCATCTCCAGTCTCAAGCCCATCGATATTGTTGTCCTGAAGAAGCTGTCCGATGTCGTCAACGTTGTTCCCGTTATCGCCAAGGCTGACTCTCTGACTCTTGAGGAGCGCCAGGCCTTTAAGGAGCGCATTAAGGAGGAGTTCACCTTCCACAACTTGAAGATGTACCCATATGATAACGACGAGCTCGACGACGAGGAGCGCTCTATCAACGCCCAGATTAAGGTAAGGAACCAGAAGTTCCCGCCTCCCGCGACGTTATTCTATCTGGCCTTGTGTCTAACGCTTCAGTACAGGAAATCATCCCCTTCTCCGTGGTCGGCAGTGAAAAGACCATTGTCGTCAACGGCAAGCAGGTCCGCGGTCGTCAGAATCGCTGGGGTGTCATCAACGTCGAGGACGAGAACCACTGCGAATTTGTCTACCTGCGCAACTTCCTGACCCGTACCCACCTGCAGGACCTAGTCGAGACCACCAGCCAGATCCACTACGAGACCTTCCGTGCCAAGCAGCTGCTGGCTCTGAAGGAGAGCAGCGCTGCCGGTGGCCACTCTGCCGGTGGCAGTCGACCCATCAGTCCCTCTGCGGACCGGGAGCTCAGCCGTAACTCGCAACGGGCGGCCATGAACGGCTACTAATTGGAAATACTCACCCTGGACATTGTGGTCGTCTCCTCGATCCATGGTGAAGTGTGCGCGTCCCCCTGATGCGCAACGATAGCAAACAGACCCTCGGGCAAGGTTCTCATTCCCACCTCCGAAAACTCACTGTCCCTTTCGACGCCAGCAGGCCCTTGCAGATATCCCCTTGTTCTTTTCTTTGCGTCTACCCGTTTTCGTCTCCGACATTCTGTATCCCCCCGGTATTTTCTCTCTGCGGGACCGGGGCTTTTTCCTTTATTACCTAGCATTCGTCTGGCCGGGGAAAAAGAGTCTGGCAACCAGCGCTCAAGCTATCTGGTTTTTTTCCATGTACTTAGTTTCCTTAATTATCCCTCATGAGAAACTTATTATTCTTGGGCTAAGGCTTTGACTTTAATAGTATTTGCTTGTATCGCTAGAGATGATATCTATATGAGAGCTCTAGTCTCTCCATCTTTCTCACGTTCCTGATATTTACTGCGCCGCGCCGAACCGACCACCATCCACAATGAACTCCTTCAGTTCCCCATAGGCCTTCTCCAGATCATCATTAACGACAATCTTATCGTGAGCACCCGGCTGCTTGGAATACTCCAACTCGTTCTTCGCCTGAGCAAGTCTCTTTTGCAGGCTATCCTCCGTCTCGGTGTTTCTACCCCGCAGACGCTTCTCCAATTCTTCTAGCGATGGCGGTGCCAGAAAAAGAAATCGAGCATTGAGATCCTTACGCAGCTTCACCTGCTTGACACCCTGTGTTTTTCCAATCAGTCAGTATGCATAGATCCCTCACTCCGCTTTTGTCGAAGCGCGAATGGTCTAGACTTGAACACACCTCCATCTCGATGTCCAGAATGCAAATTCGTTCTTTTTCCGCAACAGTCTTGATAGCAGCGACAGATGTACCGTAGTGGTTGCCACCGAACTGAGCATGCTCAATGAAGCCATTCTGTGCGACAAGATCCAGAAACGCTTCCTTTGTCGTGAAGTTGTACTCGCGTCCGTTTTCTTCGCCGGCGCGAGGGGCTCTGGTAGTGTCTAGATAATACACCATATTAACAATTTCTTCTCCCTTTTCTTTCTATTTGAGACTATGAAAGGCAGAAAGGGTGTATCTTACGGGAAACGCTGAACCCGAACGTATCAGGGTACTCTGCGAACAGGCGCTTGAGGAGAGTGCTCTTTCCGGTGCCTGATGGGCCTGAGACCACAACAGGACGGAACTTCTGGACTTGGATTTGTGTGTCAGCTCATTCTGAACCTTGGTCGTGTGATTGTGGAGCTGAGGGGAGTCAGGATCATTGCAAGGGGTAGTGCCAACTGCTGGAAGCGCAGCACCGAGTACATACCGGCGCTGGACTCCATAGTATTTGCGAAGCGAGCCGCACTGGCGAGATATCTTGAGAAAAAGGCTGGCAGAGCACGCGGCACGAAATAATGCATGGAGAAAGTGGAGGGTTAAGATGAATCCCACATTTACGAAAAGTCCGGCAGAACAAAGGCGGTGACTTCCGATCTTATTGGGGGAATGTCTAGTATATAATCGGTTGTTCTATACACAAACAAAATGATATCCACCCGGCTATGACTGCGGCCCCGGGTGACTTCCTCGTCGCATTGCGTTGAGCTTGCCTGCCTCGGCTTCTTGCTCTAGAAAGTTTGACCACAGTTCCGCCAAAGTTTCCTTGCTCGATGCCCCGTTGTCCATAAATTCGGTGGCTAGGTTCGGCGTGCTTGGGGTGCGAAGAGGAGTCCCGGGCACACGCAGTTTTCCTGGCATACTCGAAGTACCTGGTCGTGCGAGACCCGCTTTTTCTCGTTGCTCTGCATGGCTGAGTTAGCAGGCGGTTTCCGACGGTTTCATTAACAGTCAGTCCCATGCAAGGTAAGCAACTCACCATCATCCCAACCCAGAAGAGCTGCAATTAGCTGCAGGATCTGGAATTTCTTCGGGTCTGACCTATCCAGTGAAAGGAAATGTAGAAGGTGGTTTGTTACAATATGTCTTGACAATGAGGGTTAGAAAAATTCGTCCGGTATCATGTATGGCATTCAAAAAGCCAGGCCGAACATACCGATCCACATTATCTTCAGGCTTTCCCTTCTTCAAGAAACGCAATGCCTTCGTCAGATGGTCGTTCAGTGTGACGGCTTCATGTCGAAGCTTTCCAATCAAGAGGTTCTTCTCTTTGACCTCCTTTTCAAACGGTCGAACTCGTTCTAATTCCTCCTGTGCTGTCTGGAGATTCTTATCTGCGTCCGTGGCTTGCTGTTGTGCTTCGCGGAGAGATCGTCTCAACTCCTCGAGCTGTGAATCAGAGCTCTCCACGAGCTCCCGAAGTTCTTGCTTCCGAGCCGTTTGGATCTCCTGCAGGGCTCGCTGAAGGCCATCAACCGTGGATTGTTGGCTGTCTCGGTCACTGACGGCTTTCTCGTAAGCGTCGCGTAGATTACCCAGTTGCTCCTCGAGATCTGCTACTTTCTCGCCCAGATTCTCGCGGATTGATCGCTCCTCCATGGCAAGGACTTCCCAGTTGTGCATGGCCTCCTTCGCTTGCTCGAACTCGGATTGAAGATAAGACTCCTGCTCCATCAGCTCATCTTTCTCCTTAAGCCAGTTCTGCTGTGACAGGTTTGTTCGGTCGCGCAGTGTTGCGATTTCTTTTGACTTCTCGGCAGATTCTTCCGATAGCGAGACTAATTCCGTCGACTTCGATTCGATCTGGGACTTGAGGTTTGAGTTCTCGTCTTCCAGTTCCTCAATCTGGGAGCGCGCTAGGGCCAATTCTTCCTGTAAATTGTATCAGTAAGAGTCGCAGTTGAACCCTGCGGGCCTGCGAAGAGCATCAACGCACCTCGTCCTCCTTGAGTCGTTCTCCTAGCTGAGATTTGATTGCATTCACTCGTTCCATAAGTTTCTGGAATTGCGTTTCTGCCTGCTCCTTCTTTGTCTCGGTATCGTCCAATCTCTGCTGCAGCGCCTCCATCTCCGCCCGGTGTTTTAATTGGATTTCCTCCAGCGATTTCCGCATATCGGTCACTTCGGCACGTAATGAGTCTCGATCCCGCACCAGGGCGTCGAACCGGTCTTTGGGCTCCGCGTCGTTCCCGTTCGATGCGGGGCCTTCGGGTTCTGTAATTCCATCACTGCTCAGTTGCTGGTTATCAGCCGGTCGGCTTGGAATACTGCTGGCGGTCGTGTCGGGGTTGTCGCCGTCGCCGTCGCCGTCGCCGTCGTCGTGAGGCTTCGCTACCTCGTCGTCTGCGGCATCGGTCTCGTCCTGGAACGCTCAGCAAAGGGGACAATGGCGGGCGGGGAGTAGAGCACACACATGAGTCGCATCATTTCCGGCCTCGGCGGTATTGGGTCGCTGGTCCTCGGGCTGTTGGGCGTTGTCCTTGGCCTTTGCGCCCTTCTTTTTGTTCTTCTTCGACTTCGTGCCTGCGTCGGGGGTCAGCTCAGCAGGAGTATTAGAAGGGTGATGCTCCGCACCTTGAACAGCAGACGGGGGATTGCCTTCGGGCATGCTGGCGGGTGTCGAAATGGAGGGGAAGGGATGGACGAGGGAAGCTGTCAACACCTCCACTAGCGCGGCTGGAGCCTTCCGCCCTGCGGGATCGCAGCGATGATTAATCTGTCACATCCACAGCATATTTCCATAGCAATGTTGATCGGAGTCTTGCTTGTTTTGGTGAGTGTGGTTTAATCAGAATGCGTTGTATTTGAATGAATATTCCGAGTTCTTGTTTGTCGCTCAATTGGCCATGTCTAGAAATAGGCTGGTCCCTTGCATGTACAGTGCTATTACTAGGACTCAGTATACACCCCGGGGGATGTTCCAAATTATTGCACCAACAACCAGCCGCGAAATTGAAATATCAAAAGATGTTTGACGGATACAATGCCAACGATCTGGCCCGCACTCCTCCGCTGCATCGTTTTGAGTATTCTCATAGGCCTTCGCCTTTCAACAATCGGGCCGAGTGAACTCCAATGCAAGGATTCATGTCTTTATATAAACCCACCATCGTATATGGTAAGGTCGCGATCACATAAAATCGTCCAGGAAGTCTTCGCCCCGGTTCTGGTTGCTACTCTCCAACATATTCTCCTCGCTGAACATGTCATCATATGCGTGCTCCTTCTGCCACTTCAGCTGCTCTCGCTCTCGCTTCTCCAGCTTGTCCTTCTCTTTCTGCTGATCGCGAAACTTGCGCTCGTCATGTCTCTTCTTTTTCAGTGCCTCCTCCTTCTCGGCGCGAAGGTCCGGGAACTTCTCCACGCGAGTCTTGTTCAATCGGTTGATAATCGGATTCTCGCGAGTTCGCACCAGGACCTTGCGGACGAGCTTGGGGTTATGGAAGGAGACTTGGCCAGTGGCCATTGAGCCATCCTTTTGCAGATTTGACCATGGCGTATAAATAATGGTGATGTTGTCCTTTTTGTTTCCTGTGCACCATATCGCATCAGCCTCCGTTGGTACTGGTACGTTCTGTAGACCAGATTCGTCCTACTGACCCTCGATGGAGTTTGCCTTGGTGAGCTGCGCGCAGTCTTCTAGCAAGGGCTCTGCGATATTGTCCCATGTTTCTCCCTCGCGTAGGCGGACGTAAACATGAGCACTCGACAGATTGTCAACGTGGAACTGTGAAAGCGGGCGTTAGGGCGTTCGGCGAAAGAGGTTCGACGGGGAAACCACCAACCCTATCATAACCAACCTGTTAGCATTATGATCCTCAATATGAGATGCCCATGACAGTGGGGTGTACATACCAAACGTCTTGGTCCAAGCCGAACTTGATCAGATCCTCATCTGGCGAGACCGTTAGGAATGTTCCCCGCAGGGCCCATTGGGAGGGGCATACTCTCGAACTTGTCCTTGCCGACGTAGATAAACGCGGACGGAGAGACCACGTTTGATGTGAAGTAGTAAACCATGGCGATCGACCAATTGACCAGGAGACGCCGGGGCGCAACACAGGATCCAAGCTGACGTCGAGAGTGGCTGGTGGGGAACCTGTTGGATTTGACGCTGGAAATATTTATGGCTTAGTCAGCCGTATAGATCGGGTCTTGCACAATTCACATCACAGCTATACCAGTACCTCCCCTAGAGGTGCCCTAGAATGCCCTTGGGTGGGTTGTCAATCAGAAAAAGGGCTGAAAATAGTGCAGTATTAGTAGGTGCAGTACTCTAGACAATAGTAAAGGTTGGGGCAGTGACACGCATCGACATGTTTCGACAATATATATTTGATCAAGTACTAGATCCATAGATGTATATCCATCCTGAGTGTGCAATGTAGGCTACGTATGACGCATGACGCATGTTCACATATATACGTCAATGGCATTCTACTACCACCACAGTCGAGAGTGTACCACAGAGATAGTACCATCGCATGCATGGAGAGGCCTCCTTATCAGATGATGTAGCTCGGCTCGGGCAATGTTGCATACATAATAATAGTTCGATGCTTGCTCGGGGGAGTTCGCCGGATTAGCAGCATCCTGATCTACACCGGACGAGACAGGATCTTCCGCGCGTCCATCCCGATGCAATCTCCAACGTCGCAAGGCATTGCCCTTGCAGATCGTCCTTGTCTTGCCCTCCATTATCCACCGCTGTGTATGAGCTAGGTAGGTAGAACCTCGGGATGAACGTGACTTCTCGGTGTACGTCCGGCGCATTTAAAGTTGGAGTGGAGCTGCCAGGCACAATCTCTGTAGGTCCTCTTTTAGGGCTTCGTCAATGAAACCGCTCCCGAACACGAGAATTTCCTGGAATCCAGTTTGTGTCGGCAGGACGTGGGCCGATGGACTTTCATTCCGGCGCAATATCCCGTCTGGGATCTAGTTCCTCGGCTGATACCTCTCAACGCTGCTCTCTCCACCCCGGCCTTTCCAACACCTACGCAGTTCTCCAACTCAAAGCGAACTACTCGATGGGGTTGTCCAATTTCCCAACGGCCCTCAATTTCCTCGGTGACCTGGGAGGGGAGTGACATGTTGCTCACCTCCCATCGGCGCTACTGTATCTCACCTCCCGTCGGTTCGAAATGCACCGGCGGCTCCGTCAGCTGTGCGTCTATACCAGCGAGACATTCTGAAACGGACCAGGAAGCGCGAGATCAACAGATCGATCCTGATCTTTCTGTCCTACGAGCGGAGCGGATCAAGGAACGGGAATGAAAACAAAGTTGAAAAAAAAATTTAAAAAAATTTGTCCATGTTGTGCGGACGGCGTAGAGGAGCCCCGTTGGGCAACGGAGCCAAAGGGCGTTTTGCTTCATCGAGGTGCCGGATGAATGGAGTCCATGATGCGTCTTGCGTGGCCGGCAGCTGGCAGAGAAGCTTGAAACCCACCCCGATCAGCGATTGACTCCCGAATTTCCGAGCTAGTCCCATGAAGCTTCTCCGCTTGACTCAGGAGCTCAGGGCCGATGCCAGGGCCCACAAGTCCACGAACCCACGAACCGACAACTCGCCGCGACCTGCCGGAAGCACACGCAGGCGTCCTCCGACACAGGGGGCCTGGGACTAGAACGAGCGTGATTCGCATGGCGGACCGGACAGCCCCAGTCAAACCCGGTGACGGAGCAGGAGGAGCCTCACCTGTTGCCAGCGCGCAGCCTCAGCGAGGGCCCCAGAGCATCTCCACTCGCCTGATGCACCGGACTTGCTGGGCCTCTGGGGGGCATCGTTCCCACCATCGAGTCGGATTGGCCGCGCCTCTCACCTACTGGGCTTAAGCGATATGCCCGACCCTTGAACCCTATGGCGCCTCGACGAATCACCGCGACCAGCGCCGTGGTCTCGTCTCGATCCTCCCTGGCTAGTTCGATCCTAGCTAGAGCATGTCATATTTTTTGCTCCGAAAAAACCGTTACGCCAAGGGCCCTGGTGGGAAACGCTCCCACCACGGGCGAGCCCGCCCATGGCAAACCACCCCATCCACCAGGCTCTCATTCCCGAGCCCTTTCTTAATATTGCTAGGCCCTTGCTCTTCCTTCCTGGTCGGCCGCAGTTCGGCCTGTCAGAGGCCCGGGGTTTCTAACAAGGACCATCACGTCCGTCGTCATCGTGGTTCTCGTCCTCCTTGACGGCGGTTGGCGTTGCGGTTGCGGTTGCGGATGCATAGTTCTGAATTCTTCTGTGGAGCCCAAGCGCCTCCCCTCTGTCTCTTCTCGTTTTCCCGTCGGGATGAAGATCGACCTGTGCCTGTCCTTGTGCAACGGGGCCTGGGTGAACTAGGTCCATCTTATTTATTGCTGGCCCGTTTCCCGTCACTCTTGAGCATCTCGGACTCCTGGGCCGGGTCAACCCCCCTCCCCTTTCCCCTGCTCCACTTTGGCTCCATTGAATGATTGAAAAGACTCGGAATACCCATCTGGTCGTATGCAGAATTCCACCATCCGGGCCTACGTTTTTCTTTTCCAATTCCATCAGCCCTTCGGGCGCATCTTCAATCTCTCCGCCGTCTGCGGCGCGTGTCTTTCTTTCCGTTCCTTTCCTTTACTTTTTTTTTTTTTTCTTCTTTTTCTTTTTCTTATCTTTTCTACAACGGCCCCAGACGATCTCAAGAAAAAAGACGCCCCACATCCTCTTGACATTCTCGGAATCTCCGCGCCGTTGTGTTCTCTTACTTCAATCCTTCCCGCTCCATCTCATTCTTGGATCTCGCCATGCCCGAATCGAAAGATCCAGCGAGCATTCGACAAGCCCTAGAGCGCGCTCGGAATTGTGAAGATGGCTCGGTGGACGCGCAGACAACAGCTCTCTTGGAAGCAGCCATCACGGAACTATGGAATCGAATCCAGGCCGAGCCTGATACCTACGTGCTAAGTCGGGACGAGTTCGCCCTCTTCAACTACTTCCTCGAACGCTACCGCGGTACGCCCGTGGCTCAACGGGCCGTGGCCCGGTTTTGGAACAACTACCATGGTTCATCGAACTCCGATGCCGCGGGCAAGAAATAAAAACAGTCGTCAACGCGACTACATTACTGTGTTGGCTCGCGAAATTGCAGACGGGGCTGAAGGGCGCCGTGCCTTTCTCTCTCTCTCTCTTCTCCCTGCCTCTCTTTCCCCGGGTGGGTTGCAGCTGGTTCTCAGCCTAATTCATGCACATCCTCGAGGCGGTCGAGATGATCCGGCTGCAGCCGGCGCATGCAGCCGCAAATCCCGACCAGACCGAGATTTCCCACGCCAGAGCTGAACGTATCTCATCACCAACAGCATCCGGAGCCTGCTGGCGAGAAAAAAAAAAGGGAATGAGGATGTGAGTGGAGGAGTTTCGACCGCAATAGGTGATAGATTAAGGAGTCCTTGGGCTCCGCTCCTGCCTGACCCCATGGTCGAGGTCGACATGACGAACAGAGAGGGGGTAAAGGGAGCAGGAACAGCGTGATGCAAGCCGTTTTTTCTCTTGCGGGCCCTGCTGCATCAGGGTACTTTGGGACAGTACTGGATCCCTGTCTCAGTCGGGAGCGCATGCATCGGGCAAGGCATCTCCGCATATATCTGGAAGGATCTGATTGAGTAAATCAGGAATGTTTTCTCTCCCCTAGAGGGCCATGACATGAATTATGAAATCACAGGAAATCTCGGCAATAAAGAAACCAATTTGGGAAAGCCAAATAAAATTGAGTGCTTGGCTCCATTTGATCCGCTTCTTCTTTTTGAAAAAAAGAAGGATATAATAAAAGAAATGAATGAAACGTCCATCTGCAACTGCGGAAACAGAGAGCCGCTGTGTGACATCGCCGTCGATGGGTCCATTAGGAATTTTCCGACTGGCTCAGTACTTTTAGTAGCTCCGCCATCCATCTCCATCGACACTATCTACTTCGCACTGGCGGAAACGGCGCTAGCGTGGATTGCCGCATTTAGGATTCTCTCCATCGCCTTGAATTTGGGTCACCCGCTCTTAACTCAGGTTACGAGGGCTACTCGACAAAGAGTGGTGCCATCAGTCAAGGCGTCGTGTTCCCAACTTACATCGGAGCCACAAATCTGCGGTTGCAGTTGCGAGGTGCAGGTGCAGGCGCAGGCACAGACAAGACGGTGAGAGGGCCCCTGTAGATTAGGCGACATCCACAGGGCTAGTCGACGTCATTTGAATATTGAATACTGTCATGCGTGGCCACGCACGATCAAAGTTGTGGTGATTTGGAGAGCGCCGTTGTGTGCTGTCTACCTCTAAAGTCCTAGTGCATGATGCCTCGGCGCGAAGTCTAGGAGAAAAATATGCTCCTGTCTGCTCCACATGGAGAGACATCAAACTCCCACTAATGACCTAAAACATAAGAAGCAGAAAAAGAAAGGATGGATAATCGTCGAGGCGCATGGACTCGAGTGGTCGATACAGGCAGGATTCCCGTTCAATAGATCGAGTTGTCCACGCACGAGAAGCTACCCCCGCCAATCCCTTCATGGAGGTTTCGAATAATGGACCGAATGGACGCATACATGCCGACCACGCACTAGAAAACGTTAACGTCACCCTTGGTACAACGTAGCGAATCTGGTGAGCTTACAAGGAGACCTGCTAGGGCCACAAGGAAGACGTTGAAACAATGTTGAATCCACTGTCTCCGCTTCAGCGTGTGGAATTGTCGTTCCAAGTAAAGCCAGAAGAGTCCCGGAAGTCCGAAGGTAAACCAAGTGCCGAATAGAGAGCTCTGATGATTTGAATTAGCAAACGAACCTCAAACCCAGTCCTTTCAAATTGGTGAAATATACCGCAAAGCCCAGCACGTCATTGAAAACGGGGATTCCCTCTGCAATAAGCCACGATGTAATCCAGAGAACCAAACTGATGCCGACCCATGCTGCCCGAGCTCGAAGTGATCGATGGTGCACGGAATTGGTTCCTCGGAGGATACGAACGTAGAGAAACTTGACCGCAACGTGGGCGTTCACCACGCCTCCAATCACAATCTATGGACCGAGTTAGCAAGCAGATCTGGCAGCTATTTCCTTTGCATTGCAATGCACATGCCGTCGGAATCGCGATGCCATATGAGATCTTGCGGAAGAGGAGTCCGGCAGAATTCAAAGCGGGCGACGACACAGACGGCCCGACATAGACATATATCACAATCGCCGAGACGGTGTACAGAATGGCCTCGCAGATTTGCAGCAGCAACACTGCCTTTGGAAAGTCTTCGATATCCTTGAGTTCCGAAAAGAGCGTGAAAAATGCGACATGCCCTGCAAATGCAAAAACGATATTGGCAAGCGCAAGACACGCATCATGGACTGCCGGAGCCGTAGGAATAACCGGGATATGGCTATGAGCTGTCTTTGTAACAGCCACTCCAATCATGCTGGTGAGAACCGCGCCGATGATACTGACGAAGCTCAACGCTGAGAGACGAGAGATTCTCTCCAGTCGGCGCGGAAGGGTCAATACGTATGAAACCAACAAACCGATGGCGGAATACAGGATCGTGCAAGTAGAGTGTTCCCCGAGAACGTTCATCATGATCGAGTAAGTTAAGATATGGCTCCCCATCGTGAAGATGAAGAGAACCAGCTGACTGAATCCCAAGACACGACGTCCAAGATTGCCCGCAAGAAGACCTCCTGCATCTGCCATGGAATGAACATGCGGGTATTTTCTCTTAAACTGTCCGAGAGTATAGCCGGTATAGGAGGAAATAAGACCAACGAACACAATGGTAAACACGCCTCTAGAATTGGTCAGCATGGTAGGTTCTTCCACCGCGAACAAGCTAGTGCATCCATACGGGACTAGACCGAGTGTTGATAATGCCTTTGGAAGTGCCAGGATCCCGAGAGAGATCGTTTCGGCGACCATGACTGATATACAGTTAGCTCCAGCGACAGGATGAGATAAGTAACAGCGTGAACGTACCCATACCGGCTTGACTACATAAGATTCCCTGTGTCAACGAACGTTATGGACATGAGGGGCGACAAGAGATTACTCACTACCAGTTCATGGTCTTGTACTTGACCATCGCATTGCACTCGTCGCCGAGGGGATCCTGTGAGGAAAGCGCTGTCTTCAAATTGTCATGGTCAGCAGGCCCGGCCGGGGGAACACCTCCAGGCTGGACTGGCGCCTCCATCGCAAAGACGAGACAAGGGAGGATATCAGATGTGAATGTAGTGGGGGAATTGGTGGATGTGTGAAAGTGGGAGATTTGGCGAGGATGCCGGAGGACGTCGACAGGGCATGAAAAGAAGCCGCTCCTGCCGTTTCGGGAGCGCAGCGGAGGCAGCAACCGCACTATTATATGAAAATTAAGAAAATATTTGTATTTGTACAAGTCCGCTTTATATACAAGGCATATCTAATTGGTGGCCGCTGGCGCCGCAGAAGCCTCGATGGGGGTACCCGGGGAGGTGACAGTGTCACTCTCAAGAATATCGGCAGGGGGTTCTGCGACTCAGCGTCAGTAGGCATTCGTTGGTGTGGCATCCGAGCAGGGCCAATGGGAAACTCACCGGTACGGGCAAAGCTCTTGTGAGCCTCGGCATCAAGGTCCTTGACACGACCGTTCTGGACCTCCCGTCGGGATAACTCCATGAAGCTCTTGGGGAGACCCATGGAAGCCAGATAGGAAACCGACTCCTTCCACTCATTATCCTTGCGCTGGGCGCTCCAATTCAGCTCCTCGCCCATCAGGTCAATCACGTTAGGGAGGGCTTCCAAGGCGGCCTCGGCGTTCAGGAAGGCGAGACGCGTGCGACGGGCAATCACATCAACAGCAGTCTGGGCATACTCATGACGAACAGCGTAACGGACCTCGCCGTCAACGAAGGGGTACAGAGCGGAGATACGGCGACCACGAACGGGGAAACGCTCGTTGGTTGGGCCGGAGAGGGCAGCGACTTGCCAGGCGCGGTCACCGTAGGACTGAGTCAGGTGCTGAGCAACATCGGTCTCAAGGCCGAAGTGCTGAATCAGGTTGATGAACAGAGTCTTGGAGTAGCCGTGGGCACCAATCAGACGGACCTGATGGGTCTGGCAGCTACCGTCTAGAACAGCACCGTCGGCAACAAGACCGCTGCCACCGACACCACTGATGTCCGGCATGGAGTTCATCTCACGGGGCTTCAGGTTGAAGGCGTCAATGGCCTCGTCGACGGCCTCCTCAGCCATCTGACGGTAGGTAGTCCACTTACCACCGGCACAGGTCAAAAGGCCGGAGGGTGAAACGGATATCAGGTGGTTGCGAACCAGGGCCTGGGAGCTGGACTTGTTGGGGTCGCGCACAAGGGGACGGATACCGGACCAGGCGGCCAGAACATCACTGCGCTCAACATTAATATCGGGAGCCAGGTAGCCACGGATCTCCTTCAAAATCCAGTTGATGTCCGCCTCCGAGGGCTCGGGGTGGGGGTAATCTCGGTCGGGGCGTCGGTGGTACCGGCGATGGTGTTGCCCTGCCACGGCAGGAAGAAGATAACACGGCCATCGGAGGTGGCAGGATCGATCAGACCCATGTTCGAAGGGCTGTAGTAGCCGGGCAGAATGACGTGAACACCGGAGCTGGGCGCGACAATCTCCTTGATATCGGGCTCATCCATCTTGCGGATGGAGTCCGTGAAGGGACCGGTAGCGTTAATGATACCCTTGGCGCGGATGGTGAACTCCTCAGTCTGCTCGCCGTCCTTGCTGGGGATCACGTCCTTCAGACGAGCACCGCACAGCTTGCCCGACGCATCCTTGGTCAATCCAGTGACCTCCATGTGATTCACCACGGTACTGCCGTAAAGCGCAGCGGTCATGGCTAGCGAAACGTTCATGCGCGAATCGTTGTGAGCACCGTCTGGAGTTTGTTAATATCATTTTATCTTTTCGTGGAGCCAGAAGCCTGCGATTATTGCGCAGGAGATAAACTCACCATAGTAGACCATGGCGCCGACAACATTATCTCGCTTCAGCATGGGGAAAGAATCAATGGCTTTGGACTTGGTCAGGAAGTAAGAGCTCTCAATGCCCTCGGAACCAGCCAGAAGGTCATAGGCCTTGCAACCAGCCCAGAAATAAGGAGCCTGCCACCATTTCTGCAAGGGCACCATGATGGGCAACCATTGCGACAGGTGAGGCGCGGTGTTCAAGAACCAGCGACGCTCGCGCAGAGCCTCCTTCACCAATTTGTACCTGCAAAGAGCCGAGGTCAGTATAAGCTCCGGAGGGCTGCGGACCCTGGCTGCGGGTGTCCGCAGGCAGCAAGAGAGCCGGAGAGAATGGATTCAAAAAGAACGAAACTCACTGGTTATAATCCAGCTCCCAAACAGCCTTCTCCAGGTATCGTACACCACCGTGCACCAGCTTGGTACTCTTACTGCTGGTTCCGGCACTGAAGTCATCGCGTTCCACCACTGCAACCTTCAATCCCCGTGTGGCGGCATCCAATGCGATACCGGAGCCGGTGGCACCGGCACCAATGACCAGCAGATCGTAGGGTTCATCGTCTTTACTGCGCTTCAGGTCCTGGATCTGCTCCAGGCGAGACTTAATCAGAGGGAAGCTGGGCGGTACGAGCTTGCCCTCGTGGTAGCCAGGGGGTGGAACAGCGGGGGCTTCGAGACCGGGGATGTTGCGAGGACGGTAGGAGATGTAGAGAACGCCCGCTCCGGCAGCCGCGGCCGCCGAAGTGTAGAGCAGAGGTCGCAGGAACTTGCGCGAATGACGAGCGGCCATTATCCGGGCGCTAAGAGAGATGGAAGCTGCTCGGGGTGGAAGGTATGTGTAGACGGGTCAATTCGTCCGAGGAAACCTCCTAATGATATGAATAGCGATGGGTGGGAGTGGAGGGAAGGGGAGGGCAGAGAGATTAGGAAGGGAAGATGGATGCGGGAGGGGAAGGGCCGCAATTAGTCCGTCTGAGTCAAGTGACGGGCAAGATTGGCGAGATCGCTACACCTTCTTCCACTGGAAACCGGTTCCCCTTCCTTTCCCTTTTTCGACCGCCACACCCTGGCCACGCCTGTCGCGCAACAAGGTGAACACGCCTGCGGCTGCGGCTGCGTCATTCGCGGCCGCGTTGGTGTACGCCATTGGCAGCCACTTGGCGGTGGATCAGCATGACGGCGTCCATGCACACAGGGTACTGCTGGCTATTCTGGGTATTCTCCCACCAATGACAGGCTCGGCCCAGAGCTCGACAGTGGCCCTCGAGTCCACCCCGAATACATGTGACGCGCAGAGATTTCTGCTCTCCTGACAAGGGACACAAGCTCGGCACGCCTGGGATCGCCCGGTGGACATTCCCGAGCTTTTCAGCGGGTCAAGCTTCCCCTAAAAAAGAAGTACTTAAAAAAAAAAAGGAACGAAACCACCCTATTTCACGAGGGCCTGGGCTTCGTCAATCTCTGCATGAGCAGCTGACTTGCGGCTCGATCCACATCAGATCGCGGCCCCGGTTTTCAGGGGGACGCGACTTGCTTTGGTCGCAGATCCACCCACTTGGCCAGGCTGACTGGCTTGATGTTGTCATATCGCTGTCTTTGCCCGGTTTGCCCACAATGACCTTGTGCTGGGCCACATCGTACACCCTCGATCTCGACCGGGTGGGATGGAGAGAGAGGCCCACCTGGGGGACCAAATTCCAAGTTGGCAAACTCCTTGCAGGGTTTTGGCCTGGAATGTCATCACGGCATTCTCCTGGGAGTGGACCCGGACTATCTTTTTCTCTGCTTTAAAGCTGATCCCAGGTCCCATGAACGCCAAAGTGGAGGCAGCTTATTCTTATCATGTCCAGGGGAGATATATTCGGGGCCATTGCCACTAGCGCCGGTCCCGCCTGCACGGCTCATTCAGACGATGCGTTCAGGGTTCCTGCAGATGACCAAATCAACAATTGATTCATCTCCAGACCGTAATCATGATCGTCTTGCTCTTTGCCTATGAAAAGAATAATCACCATAAGTAAGTACTACATGGACCTGTTTGGTCTCAAAGAACAATGCGCGATTCAATTGACTTGCCGGAAATAAAGTAGGTAGCTTTATGTGAATTATGGTACGGAGGGAGAGGAACATTAGATATACTTGACGTTCTGGGTAGCTATCGACATGGGATATCGACTGGTCTACGGAGTCCTTTACCACGAGCCATCATCGCGCAGCATTTCCGGGGGCGGTCAGGCGGGCGGAGCAATTCCGGAAGAATTACTGGCAGAAACACCAGATTTGGATTCACCGCCTACTAAATCCCATTCCACTCCGACCAGCCAGCACCGTAACACGATGAGGCTAGGAGCAATAAAAGTGTTGGGTTGTATTTCAGCAAGCAATCACGAAGATATCCCTCAGGCCAAGCTCAAGGGATTCAATCCTGAATGTTCACTGCTCAAGAATGAACGAATCGATGCACTGGGAATGCTAATCTGAGTGCGGAACTCGGCCTAGGGAAGAAAGTGTGGGGTAGCAAGTAGACGACGTCCGGGGAAACCAACCAGTCCGGCACGGAAATATTCCATTCAGTACATCCCAGTATGTAGCACGCTGTCACTGTATCCCTGGTATATTATATCTCGCCGCAACATCGACTCAGTCTGCAACATACCTTCATCACCTTCATCATGGCCATTGCAAGCTTGGTGGCCTCTTTGCAGGCTCGAGTCCTCGAATCGCCCCTCCAGGCGCTGGGCATCACCGCACTCCTTGTGCCCTTTTTCTATGTCATTCTGAATGAATTTATTCGTTCTTCAGCCCGCGTTCCCGGGTTGAAAGGTCCCACTGGTCTCCCCTTGATCGGAAACCTGGCCCAGATTCGAGTCAACGCCGCGGAGCAATATCGTGTTTGGTCCAGGAAATTCGGTGCGGTCTACCAGATTCAGCTGGGCAATATTCCCGTCGTCGTGGTCAACTCGGCTGCTGCGGCCAAGGTGCTGTTTGGCCAGAATGCGCAGGCGCTGAGCTCGCGACCTGAGTTTTATACCTTCCATAAAGTATCTTCGCCTCTTTGCTTCATGGACATCCTGCAGGCTTCGTGAACTGACGGGCGACATCAAAATCTAGATCGTCTCCAACACCGCAGGCACCACCATCGGAACCTCGCCGTATAGCGACTCGCTGAAGCGCCGCCGTAAGGGTGCCGCCTCTGCGCTCAACCGTCCGTCAGTAGAAACCTATGTGTCGCACTTAGATGTCGAATCGAAGGCATTTGTGGAAGAGTTGTACCGGTACGGCAATGGTGGCAAGACACCAGTTGATCCCATGCCAATGATCCAGCGACTTAGCCTAAGTCTAGCCTTGACCCTGAACTGGGGTGTTCGTGTGGCGTCGCAAGAGGAGGACCTTTTCGATGAGATCACCCATGTCGAGGAAGAAATTAGCAGGTTCCGCAGTACGACCGGCAACCTACAAGATTACATCCCACTCCTCCGGCTGAACCCGTTCAGCTCCAACTCAAAGAAGGCTGCTGAGATGCGACTTCGTCGCGACAAGTACTTAGGCTCTCTGAACAAGGACCTCGATGATCGTATGGAAAAGGGCACCCATTCGCCCTGCATCCAGGCCAATGTCATCTTGGACAAGGAGGCGAAGCTCAACTCGGAGGAGCTCACCTCCATTAGCTTGACCATGCTTTCTGGTGGTCTGGATACGGTCACCACTCTGGTCGCTTGGAGTATTGGTCTGCTCTCCACACGCCTCGATATCCAGGACAAGGCTTCCAAGGCCATTGAGGAATTCTATGGAAAAGGCGAGCCCATGTGCTCGGCCGACGACGATCAAAAGTGTGCCTACGTCGCAGCTCTGGTCAAGGAATGCCTTCGGTAAGCTCCCCATTGTTCCTGAGCGCCAATTTATATGCATGTCTCCACATGAACTGTGCTGACCATCCTCCTAGATACTTCACCGTTCTTAGGTTGGCCTTGCCCCGAACGTCGATACGGGATATCAACTACCAAGGTGTCGTGATTCCGAAGGGTACCGTCTTTTTCCTGAACGCCTGGGCCTGCAACATGGGTAAGTGGCACAACGCCGGAACTTGAGGAACCCGCAACTGATGACCTGGCATAGATCCCGACGTGTGGACCGATCCGGACGAGTTCCGCCCGGAGCGGTGGTTCGAGCAGCCGGACGCGCCACTCTTCACGTATGGGATGGGCTACCGGATGTGTGCTGGTTCCTTGCTGGCCAACCGTGAGCTGTACCTTGTCTTCATGCGGACTCTCAACAGCTTCCGCATTGAACCCCACGACAATAATGACTGGCACCCCGTGCGTGGTAACTCGGATCCGACCAGTTTGGTCGCCATCCCGCAGAAGTACAAAGCCCGGTTCGTGCCCAAGGATTCCATTGCGTTGGGCAAAGCCCTTGCGACATCGTGAGTGGAGGAAAGCGACAGGGTCACGAAAATGAAAGGAAGAATTGGAGGGGAGGAAAAAGCACCCGAGACGACAGCCAGCGCGCCAGCAGTGGCCCCGGTGGATCGCATCGGGAGATGATCAGAAACAGGTGGAGCCAGTCATTCCACCCGATGCCTCTGGGTACTTCACCCCACTGCGTACAGCACATCTACATACTACATAGATACAACTCAGGCAAAGGCTGGACCAAGTCAATCGATGATCGCTCCAGAGTGGGCGCCTGCATTTGATTGGAAAGGTATTGGAAATAATTTACATTCTGCATCGATCGTAGTCCTCGCACGTAGCCATAATCCAGACTAGTAGCGAAAAAGAAAAAAGAGCCACGCAGTAGGAAGCATCAAATCCATTGCCCGGGCATGGCAACATTCTGGTGTGGTGTATGGGCCCATTAGACCCTTGCAACTCCGGTATATCACAGTGTAAGAGGGGTATAGAGGTGTCGTGAAGAGTGGGGGTTTCAAAACCCAGTTTCAGCTCCGGTTCCAGTTGCAATTCGGTAAAAAGGAAAAAAAAAAAAAAAAAAAAAAAAAAAAAAAAAAAACAATATCCCCAAAGAAACAATCCAAATTATTTTTGCACGAGACGCCGTTGTTTTCCGAGATATGCAATGTTTCGCTGAGGGGCCAAGTACCCCAAGAGGCCAACAGGAGACGATGAGGGGCCGTGAAGATGGCGATGTAGACTAGGAGTTTGTTGTCGGGATTGAGAATTTGAGGGGAGTGACGAGGTCGAGGCGCAGAGACCAATGGTCTTTGTTAAGAGGTGGTCATGCGTCGTTTCAGGTCCCGCACCGGATCGAAGCAACTCGCGTAGTCGCGCAGCTCATCTTGAAGCTGATCGGAGATGGTGGAATTGGAGGAGTGACTCTTCAAGGAAGAGAGGGAGGTTTGAGAGGAGGAGGCTGACAGGCTGCGAGCCGCTGGCGAGTCAATATTGGAATCGAGAGTGGATGACCGCGAGTGCGAAGCCCCCTCTCGTGATCGTGGAGAGAAGGCATCATTGTCATCGGAGGCCGGTCGATCGAGTTCGGCCAGACGGCATGTTTGGGAGCAGTAGGGACCACCAGCGGTTTGACGGTCACAGACGAGACAGAAATCGAGAGACCATTCGGCGGACATAATGAAGAATCAAAGAGACTGGGGGTCCGCGGGCAAGATGTAGTGGGGCGGGGAGTATACTGTAGGTGTATACAGTCGATGAAAAGCGAGAAGGAGAGGGGAAGACGAGAGTAAATAGGTCGGCACTGCACGAGCGATCACGATCACCATCACCTCATCGTGCTCCACTGGGAGTGGGACAATCATGCCACACCCGTAGGCAAATGCGCAATGAGCGACGGGCAATGGGCAGCGAGGCATGCGGGACTCCACCACGGTACTCGGTTCCTCGCGACCCTCTGGGTGCGCGGGGGCCCACCCCGCCGCAGGTACTCAGTACCTGGCTACTCAACAGGGTCCTCGGGCCTGCACGGTACTAGTACAGTACCCGACAGTCATTGTAGTCGTGTACCAGGCACTGCTGAATATGGCGTGGCTCGGGCGCTTAGGCAAAAAACGAGAGGGCCTGAGTGAATTCCTGCAGGAACCTCGAACGGGCAACCATCATCGGCTCCACCGTGGCCTCGCGGGCCTGTCATCTGCGCACATGCGATCCGAGCGCGAGTTTGGCTGCCCATGGCGACTGCGACTACTGCATGGTGGAGATCCTGCAATCCCCCCTGGTTGGTCCTACGATGCTGTACGAAAGGTGCTCGCAAGGTGGTCTGTGCCGTTTCATATCTAACCACCCCGGAGGCCGCTTCCCTCCAGGGGTCCAACATCCGCAACGTCTGGGGGGAAAGATGCAGCGGGTCTCAAACTTTGTCGCACTCCATGCACGCCCCCCTTTCGATAAACTCATGTACTTAGCTGCATGGCCGACCGTCACCCAGTCACGCGATGAACTGAGGAATGTGCGCTTCGCAAAATGCGGGGGAAGGTTCGTGCTCGGCCGTCGCCCTATGAGCTACCGCTGAATGATCCGCCCAAGGTTTATCGTGGCTCAGGTGGCTCAGGGGGAGGTGGAAATAGTCAGAACAAAAAAAAAGGTAGAAGTGGAGAGAGCCAAAAATGGTACCCAACAGAACTGCAGGGTACCTGAAGCTGGTCGGCTGCAGGTTCGTCAAGACCAGCCTGTGCTTGTTTTTTGGAGGCGAGGCGATGGGGAGATGTGGCAGGCTGAGACAGGGCTGGGAGGTATTTGAGTCGACTGGGATCGCCGGAGAATTGCTGGGGATCCACAGGCATTGCAATGTATGTCGCTTCACTCGCCCGTTTTCTCGCGTGGTTCGGCCGGGATGCGAACCAAGGTGGCTGGCAGACGAGTTTCACTCGAGGACTCATCGGCCTCCTCGGCTCCGGCGTCGTAAAGCCCACTGGCTTGCTCTGCACGCATGGCGTTAGCTCCATTCTTCCAGTGCCTTCTCCTGATAAGGAAATCGTTGATGCTTACTGGACGCAAGACTGATAGCGCGGAGAACATTATCCCAATTGGCAAGCACGCATGCAACCGCTACAATCAAATTAGAGGGGGGAGAGGGACAATCGTAGATAAGGGCATCGATAATCACCTTCCGTGCCATCCTTCAACGTGGCAATCTTGCTCTCGAGCGCCTGCATTTGCATAGCGAGGGTGCCGCTCAAGTCGCGTAGCAGTCGTAGATTCTCGAGCTCGGCCTTTTTCGCCGCGATACGCGTCGACAGAGCCGACGATGGCTGTGAGGGGGGTTGGCGAAGCCCAGCACCAGGCATCATCGAGGTCGGTCGGGACGAGTACGCCATTTCGATGTCGAACAAGAATGTGGCGCTCCTTCGTGGGGAAGAGTTACGATGCGCAAACAAACCCACGCAAGAGGATGGTGTGGATCCCGTGACGGAGGAGTCCGCTGAGTCATCCCGGTATGGGCTAGCCCCGAAGTGGACAAACGTCAACAGCCGTGTTTACCTTCGCATCTGCGTTGTGACTATCGGCTATTGGCGACCGCGCGACCTCCACCACGCCCTGCCCATCGTGCTCAATCTCGGTGCCATCTCATCATGGCCCGCTTGAATGACTTTGCGGCTCCTGTGGAGTCTGTCGACGCCTGTAAGTTACCGCCCCGTGTCTGCTCGACAGCACAAGAGTCTAACGCGATGCTGGCAGTGAAACGGCGATTCGTGCGACAGAATCGTGAGATTATGCGAGTCAACTCTATGCAATCAATGCGCATTCGAAGCTTGGAATCCGAGGTTTCACATCTCCTCAGTGAAAATGTCTCGCTGCGTGGGCAAATCATCACTCTGACGCAAGAAAATGAACGATTGAAGGCCGCCAAATTTCTCCAGAATGGTGTCTATGAGATGAAGACGCGCTTAGATACAAAAATTGCAGAGCTGAACGGCCTTGTGTCAGAATTGGGAGCACTTCCCCGCAAGGCTGGCAAGCTGCCCCAAGGAAAATCATTCGATTCGGACCGTCCTAGGACAGAGGCGCCACCTCGATTGAATGATCCGGATTATAGTGCAGATGTTGACGACGGAAAGCTACCTGCCATCATGGAGGATAAATACTACCCTCGTCGGACCTTGGAGTGAGTTTCTCAATGCCCCTTTAACGCATGTCTGGCCACCACTAACCAGTGCAGGCCTCAAGAAGCCCACAGCATCGTGGAAAGCGGTTCTTGTCTACCAGATTCCCCCGGAGACCACCACCATGAAGAGCAACGTCATGAGAGTGAACATTCTATGTCCAGTTCGGAAGAAGCTACGCCTGATTTGCAGGAAATCCTTCCTGAAAATCAGGCCGGTCACAGCGAACAGACAAACACCGAAACATTCCTCCCGCCAACACTCGAAACACGGAGGAGGAAAAAGAAGAAGCCGGAGCTCACAGCCACCCCCGGAGAAGATTTTGTGAGAACTGGACATGCCACGTCGAACGATGAAACGAAGAGCGCAAACCCTACCAAATTAGGCTCCAAACGCAAATTCAGCCTGGATGATGATGCAGTTTTATCCGATCCAGCTCCCGAAGACGATGATTTTCAGTTCAACCGATTGAGTCGCAGTCCAAAACAGTCAGATCCCTTCGAGTTCATAGGGCATGAATTCTCACCCAGTAAAACACCAGTGGGCGTGAAGCGAGGATCTTCCAACTCCAACACTGCCAAGCGGAAGGTTCTTGAGCCAAGTAAGAATTCCCCGGCTTCAATTTATGTCCAGCCACGATGATCTTTTCTAATCCCTCAAACACAGAGAGCTCGAATACCACATTAGGCTCGCCCAAGAAGGCTCGCGCGGCTCCGCAGCCCGACATCAAGCCTACGCTCCGAATCGGAGGAAACGAGAACATGCCTTCACCTCAGAAACCAAAAGATCTCGAAAGCCACAAGGCCAAATCCCTGTCCCAAAATCCCCGAGTTCGCCAAGTCACCATACTTCAAAAGCAAAAGCGCACTAGCCGATCTATTGAGACGGAGGAAACGACGCCATGTCAGCTTAAGACAACGGCGCCCAGAGATTCTCCCGTGGCAAAATCGGGAGACAATTTGCCCGGGGTTTCCGATATGAGTGGTGCGTCGCGTCCTTCGCGACGTCGTGGGACGGTGGTCAGCTATGCCGAGCCGAACCTGCGAGACAAGATGCGTCGACCAACAAAAGAAATGGCCGATGCTGTGACAGGGCGCCGGTCGTCTAGTTTCCAACTTGCCCGGGACAGCCTTGACCTACCATTGAATGAGCATGAGTCTGCCGGGTCGGTCTTATCGGACGTCGTTTCCAACAATGGTACTTCTGAACAGGTACCAACGCAGGTATCTCGCCGTAGGCGAAAGGTGTCTTCGACAAACAAAGACGAGGGTGTCTTCAAGTCTTCAATGGACCAGGACGATGATTCAACGGTTTATACAGAAGTACTCGGCTCACGACGACAGTCTCGACGCCATTCATCGAACCCTAAAAGTACCGTTGACTTGGAAGATTCGCTGGATTCAAACTCTCCGAGCAGTGCGCAAATGGACAGCAGCTTTGATAACGATGAAGCCGCTGGCTGGAAGCAGCCTCCCACCATCGATGCTGGTCACCAACGGGAAACAAGAGTTGTAGCTAGGAGGAGGAGCATGATGATTTGAACTTCGTTCTGGGAGCATGATACCAGGTCGTAATCAACACAGACTTGTGGGGGATGGGGTTGTTAATAGAAAAGCTACGATCAATGAGGGGATAATGATAATGGAGCTTAGGCAGTATAATTGTACAATATTGTATAGTCTTGACCTGTGGTGCAACCACGCTCCTTTCGTTGGCTTTCGTGTCTATTATATGAAATGATTATATGAAATGATAGGTCGTTGAAGGCAAATCAAATCTTGTGCAGGTCTTGATCTTTTCTCTCCCTCGCCATGAATCTGTTGCGCAGTCACTTCATTTTCTATGGAGTGGTCTCATTTCGGGTTTATAACCTCTAACCAGTCATTTATCTCGTTACCTCTCCGCTCATGAAACCCCTGGCTCATTTATGTGGCATGTAGGGGAGACAAGTGGGACCATGCCCAGGCAATTCATATACAGAGCAGAGAATGTATTGTTTTCTCCTGATAGACACTGAAACCAGAAGAGGTATAGGAGAAAGCAAGGGGGCATGGATGCATAAACCGCCTTAGACACGAGGAATACCCATTCTATTCTCTATTGCCAAGTACTCTATTACATATCGTCATTCCAGGATAACTCCGGATTCTATCTGCCTCTCTTTTCCGAAAGACTTGCTCCAGCGTCGATTTTATCTCTCTTCATCTACGTAGGTCCGCCATTTTCAACATGCCCCCGCTCGCTGCCTTCTTCTCCCATATTATAAGTCGGTAATTAGGAATCCAAACCACCAGGTGCTGCGTTTGTCCGTTTGTGTGCATGTCGGGCAGGAGATATTGCCGAGCTGATCAATCTAAATTTATAGGGGCTAACCATGATGGAGAAAAGGCACCATCTTCCATGACTGTTCTTGGCGTGTGCGATACATATCTTTTTATTGAACTTATCGAGTACCAAACTGATCTGGCTCTGGCCATTACCAAGTAAATTAATCTCTGCGCCGGCTTGACTCCCGATAATCCTGTGGGCGCTACCTTCCAGAGAGAAAAGCAACGAAATCTACCAGGCGTTTGATCCCGACAAGAAACAAGGCGACGAATTGCCTCAGGCTAGACTCGAAGCGGCATGGAAAGGTCAGTGCTCAAGTCTGATTTGAAAAAGTGTTGTCGAACACCTTGTGGTCTCGCAACCTCTCCTATCCGAAAATCGAGGATACAAAGAGTCAATGTGTCGAGAAAGACTCTTTCAGGAATAATTTTCTCTGGTATCTTCCAGCGGAACACCCTCGAAGAGTCACTCTTTGGTATCATAAGAAATAGGCTGCCGCAAGCGTATTGAGCTATAGCATTGGCATTGTGGGGAAATGAAAAGACAGTGGTCTCGAATTGCCTGAAATAGCTTCCCTCGCTCTTGCCTCGCTCTTGCCTCGCTCTTGCCAGTTTTCTTAGTACGAGGTCCACGCAGACACTTTCACTCCCTCGCTCGCCAACTCGCACCATGATCAACAAAGACCCAGAAACCACGATCAAATTGACCACTGCCATCGCCCTGGACTACTACCAGCAAGGGGAAAAGACGCTAAACCCTTATAAATAGCCATGGCATTGTACAAAGTCTTCGATCCAAAAAGGCAAAAAGTAGAAAGAGGTACTGCACCGAGATCGCGCACCCTTTTGCCCCGCTGGGTCGGCCTATCTGAACGCTGGGATTCCGTACATGTAGGCTGGAGGCTCAGATATTGCGATGACTCTCATGTCAATCTGTATGCGGAGGTGTGTACTTTCCGACCATCGATGTAGATAGGTCGGTTGGTCCCGTTCTCAGATTTGGACATTCCCGGGCATTGGATGCAGGAGGGCCGAGGTCAAGTCTTGTATCCGGCCATGTTGTAATTCAGGAGCCCTGCGAAGGCGGCTTAGATGGCTTGGGCATTTTCTCGTATGCGTTCGGACTCGGCTTTCTCCGCTTCTGTTTCGTTCGTTGAGGCCCATGCCCCGCACAGCAATCTGCTTGGCCCTCAACCGGTGATTTTTCCGGTCCATCGCCGGTGGGTTTGCGGCCGCGGGAACGGGAATGCTTTGCTCGAAGTCTGCGACGATCGATTTCGTTATCACTTTCACTGTCGCTGTCTGACGAGCTGGAGGAGGATTCGGATTCTGAACTGCTTTCGCCTACTGGCCGGGCTTTGTGGTAGATACAGCAGACTGGGAATGTCAGACTCTGGGGCTCGGCGGAAGGAGGAAAAATTTCGTGATTACCCTTGGAGCTCTTTTTACCCATCCCCTCATTATCCACGACGTCTTCGCTCCATCGAATGTGGCGGGCTGTGGACGGCTCACTCGTGCTGGATGTGTCGTCGCCCCTCAGTCGTAGCGTACCGGAAAGTCGGGCGACGGATGAGTCTCGAGATGTCTCGGTTGTGCTTTGAATCTGCGGATTGCTGCCGGGTTGGCGAGATCGTGACATTTTTGGGGTTCAGAGGCTATGCTGAAAGAAGAAGTATTATTTATGTGGGATCATGCGAGGCGGCAAAACTCCGTTGGGTGGGTTCGGAATACCGAAATGATGCAACTGATAAGATCTCACCGCCTTCGTGAGCAGGCCAACGGGTGTACCTTGGAAGTACTACCATGACTATCCCAAACGCCCAAGGTCGTCGAGCTATAGGAATGAACGATTGATCGATCATGTCTATACCGGTACGAACAGAAGCGACGGAATAATCACTGATAGAGTTCATTTGATTTGAGATTTTTTCGGGGGCATTTTCACGAAGAGCTATCTGAAAAAAAACTATCAGACATGAACACCGGAAACACTGGTGACGAGTACAAAGGGGGATCAAATAATTGCATTATTGCATGATTTTATGCCACAAAACACGGCCTAGAATGGAGGATTTTCTATGGGAAATGCGCGTTGCACTTGCTCTCCTCATCCACAATCTAGAGCTCGTAAAGAGACCAGCCATCAAGGCTGTCATTCGCTGCTGAAGTCGGATCCACCGTCTGTCCGTGAGTGCCAGCCGGCACGGGTGGGGCGAACTCGGTGCGGAATTCTTGGTCCAGTCATAGTTCATCCTCCTGGTCCATCTCCGATGGCTTCAGCAAGCCTCCGACTTTCATGGCTCGGTTACGTTCGGCAGTCTGCGCATCGCGCACAGCCTGCTCACGCTCTTCCGCATAAAGATCTGCATTGTCGTCGGAGAACTCCTTCAGGGAGATCAAGAAATCACGAAGGTGAGTCTTGAACTTGTTCAAGTCGTCGGTGTAAGCAAAAAGCCCGATGACGAACTGCTTGATCTGAACACTGTTCGGAGAAGTTTGGGTTAGCATGGCCTTGAGGAGACTAGGAGGAGTGGTCACAGAAAGGACCAGTATAGCGACTTACTCTTGGAGGTTTTTGAACGCGTTATGTAGCAGATTGGCGACGTATTCCTGAAGGAAGTCCTTGTTCGAGGTTCCCACAGGTGCCTGATCGGGCGTATATATGGATTCTTGAATCTTGCCGGATTCGACGAACAGGAACATGCGAGACAAAAGCATGGCTTGAGACTTAAAGCCTAAAAAGACAAAGTATTATGTTAGCCGATACCAGTTAAGAGTAACATGAGGAGATGGGAAGGCAGAAGGGAGATACTAACCAGCCTTGTGATCGCTGTCAGTCAAGACAAAGAACACATCTTGGAGGATTGGGATGTAGAACTGGCGGAAGAAGATAGTCGACGTTTGCAGGTCAGTCTCAGCCATGTTGTTCATCAATTCCAGGCACATGGAAAGTCCAGTATTCTCGACCTCGCGGTTGTCATGCTTGGATGCCCACATGCAAGAATCAATGACAAACTTGAACTGCGTGGCATCGAGTTTCAGGAGTGCCGGGAAGCAGTACAAGTTGATGGCCTGGAGGAGCTTGAAAAATTGAACACGATGCTCCGGATACTCGTGGAAATCCTTGTTAATCATCTCCAAGGTGCAGCTAAACACACACTCCATGATGCTGGGAATTTTGTCTTCCATCAGGTTGTGGAGCTTGTGAATAATGGTTGTCATCACATTCAGAACCTCGGCCTCGCGTGCGTCAGGAACATTGCGGTGGTAGTCAATGAGAACTGCCTCAAGCAGAGGTGGCACCATGTTGGCGTTGACCATATCGGTGTCGTCGGACTTCTCCACATAGGTATCGATCAGCTTCAAGATTTCCTTTTTGATGGTGCGCAAACCCCGAACTTTAGGGGTCTTTGGGGCAATGAGTCCTGTGATGTAAGGGTCAGTATATGAAATTCACCCGCAGCCTGAAGAGAGTAAGGGTCATTACCATCATTCGCCACTGCGTCATTGATGAGCTGACTCGAAGCACGGTACATGTTCAGCATGTCATGATAGATGCGGCCGATTTGGGAGTAGAAGTATGTTCCGATGGAAGAGCATGCCGCGACATTGGTCTTCATGATGTTTCCGATGATCTTGATTGTGTTTGAATCCTGGAGAATGGCGGCATTCTGGTTGGCTTCGGCGATGATCTGATCCCAAGCCGAGTTGGGCAATGCCATAAGATTCTCAATCAGGCGGTCCTGGAGTCCCTTCTGGCCCTGTGCAGAGATCATGTAGCCACACGCTTCGTAGAAGGTGTGGATTTGCTGGGGCGAGAGGTCCATGGTGATCTTGCGCATGTTTCGAACAATTTCCTCAATGAACGGCTCGTTCTCTCCGGGTTGAAGGGCCACAAAGTGACGTCGGCATTTGTTGGCGATCTTGATGAAAGTATCGCAGGCCATGTCCTGGACACCTGTGTTGGAAACGTTAGTAAAGACAACATAAGCGGAAGGGGGAGATTGCTTGCAGGTACAGACCTTCGTGGGTTTCGTGCATAAACTCAAAGAGCTTGTTCACAACAGTCTTCAAGAACTTCCAGTGGGCCTTCAAGAACCGCGGGTATTGGCCCACAATATACATGATGTTACTTGCCACAACGGCCTTGTTATCCTTTCCGCGCTTTTGCTCGGTGAGGCCCAGAAGGTCCTTAATCACGGTAACCAAGAATCGCTTTTCTGTTTCTTCATTCATAGCACCGGAAATCGATCCGATCGCCCAGCAGAGGGTGTTGCAGTTCACCCATGACCATTCGCTCCCATCGACTTGCTTGGCCAATTTGTCGATCATGATGGTCTCGGTGTCCACCACATCCAGATGTGTCAAGTAGACTAAGCACTCACGGATAGTCTTGTAGAGTTGAATGGTGTCGCTTTCCTTGACGAATTCGCGAACAATCTCACCCTCATCATTCTCAACAATCAAAACTTCCTCGGGGCGAACCATCTTCTCGATCATAACGGTACGAAGGTTGGACAGAACCGTCTCGTACTTATGTTTGCGGAGGGGATAGTTGGCGAGGGCACTAGGGTGGGGAGCACCACCATTGGAGAGACCACTGACACCCATGGTGACGAGCGGGTTGATGTCGGTGATAGGCAGTTGCTGCATCTCCTCGTACAGCTCCTGTACGAGCCGGGTCCAATAGTCCAAGCAGATCTTGAAAACCTCACGATCGTCGATCTGGCTGATTCGGATAAGGTAGAAATGGGCGTGAGTAAGGTAATCTTGGTTGGGAAGCTTCTCGATGAGCTTAAGGAAAGAAATACGTTAGTATATCTCCATGGAAAGAGCCGGGGAAAAGAGGATGGAGAGTCGATATACGCACATCCAAATGGGCACTGAAAAAGCTGGACAAGAAGAGTGCCAGGTTCGATACAAACTCTTGATCTCTGCCGTTGCTTTGGGCGTAGGTCTCCTTCAGATCCAAACTCAAGGGGATGACATTCGAGACCTTGGTCAGTGTTTCGGTAAACATGAACACCAGCTTCTCATCATAGTTGTACGGTGCTCCAATCTGCAGGCCTCCGATCTCAGTCAGACACTTAAGAGTTACATTGCGAAAGTCCGGAATATCCAAGAAACGAGTGAGGAGAGTGTTGATGATCGGGGTTTCGAAGATGTAACCCAAGGGAATCCAGTTAAGGAAACGAAGAAGGGTTTCGAGAGTTGCCTTGACAAGGCTGGTCTGGTTGGCGGTGTTGAGAACTTCCGAGCAGAGTTGGAAGATCGAGGCAAATTCCTGGGTCATGGAGGTCTTAAGATTTCTCGCCTTCACCGAAGTCATCTGGTCTTGAGAAAAGTCGAAAACTTCCTCGGACAGCAGGCGAAGAATAGCCATGTTGTTTTCGCAAATGGAAAGACTGGCATGGCAGGACGAAATAATCTCATTGATAAAAGTTGGCCAGTTGTGCGGCCATTCCTGCTTCAGGATGGAGACCAGGACCAGATTCAATTTGTTCAAGAAAGCGCGTTCGGTGCGAAGCTTCTCCTCGGAGCTAGAATTCTCGATAATGAAGTTGACGATGAAGTTGCGAATGCCTGTGGTGTTAAAAAGATTCAATCGTTAGCTCATGAGCTCAACCAAACCAAACCCCAATCATCAAAACATTCAAGAGAAGGGTCATTGGTTACCTTGGCATTGATCCCTTGGAAGGACCTTCCACCGGGTCATAATCACATCGTCGAGAACTTGTAGGGCAATGTCTAAACGCGAATTAGCTGGGCTGCACTTCGGAGGGGACGCGCCGGGCTCCAAACGTACACTTGGTTTGCGGGTAAGAAGCTTCTTGGAGAATGTTGCCCACGGTTACCCATGCATCAGGATTTTGCTTGAACTAGAAGAAAGGAGAACGTATTAGTACCAGCCGGAGAAGAAGGGGAATATTAGGGAGGTCGTCCGCGTCGAGCGCGGGCGGGCGGGAAGCTTACTTCGGTCAAAGATTGCTGCGCTTGTTTTTGCTGTTAAGAGAGGGTCAGCATTGCCAAATGAAGAGGGATATGAGTATAAATGATTCACTCACCACGTCACCTTTGCCTTCGAAGAACGCTTGGACAGTGTTGTCCAGCTCTTGTACGGAAACAGACATGACGCCTCAGAGATTGGCGATTTCGCCGGGGCCACGAGAGAGCTGTCCAGACACACGAAGGCCCCAGATCTGAGAAACGACAATAGAAAAATCCGAAAGAAAATTGGGAGCGGTGGCCCACGTGTGTGCACGGGGCGGAGAGGGGGGAGATGGAGGGTGAAGATTGATGGAGGGGGGGAGGTTGATGTTCAGAGAAGGCTAAGGCTGGTGGGGTAGCCACGAACTGCCACGGGCACGAGAAAGAGCAAAGGAGAGCAGAGGCGGAGCGGAGGGGTTTGCCAGCGCGGTAGTGAATCGAGGAGGGACGTGATTGGATATGTCCAGACGATCGAGACAGGGCACAGGCACAGGCACTCAGGCTCAAGGGAAAAAGAACGGACTTGGAGGGGAATCACGTTGTTACTGGCGGTGAGCGCGTGTTGTTGGTCTTAGTCAGCGTACATCATACTTCCCAGCTCCCGACGACCATCGTCCACTACAGAGGGAGCGCCTACGGTTCTACCTTGCCAAGAGCCGAGCAGCAACGAGCTACATGGGCCCTGGGTACCAGAGACCCGTCTGATGCCGAACTGAGCGCCAATGTGAAATCACCGATGACTAATCCGCGCGATGCGCCGGTCAGCATACCAAGTCCCGAGCCCAGCCCCCGTGGCCGGGTCCGTACACGATGATAAGCGATGCATAACCGCCCAACCCGCGCGGTGTTCCCAAAGGTTGGCGCCGTCAGCCGTGCCGCAACTCGGGTCTCCACCGGGGCACACGGGGCGCCTGGGAACGCGCGCCATTGTCGCTCCGGTCGCCTGGGAAATGATGGATGTCTCAGACCCGCGCACCACCACTGCGACACGGCGCTTTCGCCTTCCGATTGGCGGCCCCCGTGACGCCGTCCTTGCTGATCGCGCGCTAACTCTTCCCCTTTCTCTTTCGCCCGCTGGGGCCATTGGCCTTGTCCCGGTTTGGGGGCTTTTCCGATGGGGGTGAAAGGGCGGTTAACTGAACTTTGCCCGTCGATGAAGGGGAAGAAGCAACGGGAAGTGGACATCGTCACAGCCAGCGAGGAAGCAGGAAGTAGAAGAAGGTGGGAAGGGGAGGGGGGATGATGGGGGAGGGGGGCTTGTTCCCTCGGGGGTACTTTTCATGGTGTATAGCGGTTTCTTTTTTTTTCTTCTTATTTAGTTTCCCCCTCCCGTCTTCGCTGCCTTTTTTCCCCCTCCTTCCTTTCCCTTCCCCCCTTCTTCCCCCTCCACCATTCCGTCTTTCTTTGATCTACTCCAGTTTCTCCTTCTAACCCCACACTTTCTCCCCCTCGATCTGATTTCCTGGATGCTCGTATTAGACAATCCCCCGCCTCCTGGTTCTGCTCGGTTTATCTATTGATTCCCTCGGCCTCTATCAATCCTTGTTAGAGTGTGCTGGTCATCGGGGCGCTGAACCTATCCGCCCGGTCTCGCCCCACCCAGGCGAGATTACCGCGATCCCGTTCCCGGTTCGTGTAGAACACAGCACCCCAACCCCATCTAAGGGGAAAAAAAGGAAAACCAACAAAAGGGGATCAAAAGAAAAAAAGATCCAGATTTCAAAAACTAAAAATAAGAAAAGGGGAGAAGAGCATAAAAAACCAGCACCAAAAAAAGAAAAGAAAAGAATAAAGACGGACCGGAGCATTGACCTATTCAGCTCGGCGTTGAGCGCATCCTGCGACACTCGGGGTGTTTCTCCCTCCCCTCAATTGCCGCTTTTCGGCGTCTCTGAGCGGTTGCTTCATCGCGGGATCGTGGATCCCACTTGCACCTCAAGGGTTCCTTCTGAACTCATATGCTCGGTCTGATCCGAGACATCACTTGCTTGTGCGGGGGGAGAGACGCCCGAGACCTCGGATCATGACAGCCGTCGCAAGCGCTCCCGTGATGGACAACCACGAGAACGGGTCCGATCACAGCCCGTCGCGCTTCACGGCCGTCAATGGCAGGGAGTCAACCACCGCGCCTAAAGCTCCGATGAACAGTGAGCGAGATATCTCCGGTCAACGAGAGCTGCCCACTCAAGAGACTCCCGGTGTTCAAGGCCCGGACCATGACCGCGCCGACTCAGGGCCATCGCCCATCCCCAACAATACCAATCACAAACGGAAGCGATCGGAGTCGGGCGAACAAGATGTCCATCGCGACTCACAGAGCCTCAGTCGAGGTCCTCTGGATCGCCCCATCGACGGCCCACCCACCTCGAATGGTGCCCGTTCGGGCTCGGGCTCGGTCTCTGACATCGAACCAGGCCACTCGGTTCCTGCCTCGGGTCACCGGTCTGATACCAACGAAGCTCCCTCCTCGAATGGGCAATGGCCCGAATACGATTCACAATTAATCAGTCAGGCGCAGCGCGCCCAACAATTCGACCCATCAGATGCTCATTTGGCGGATGCTCTACAGCGCGAAGCCCAAGGCCAGGAGCGGGACTTGGGCACTCGCCTCATGCCATCCGCTCCGGGGTGCAGTCGGTAGCAGCACCCTCGGCCTATCCCTCGGAGCATGCCACGGCGGCTGTCCAGGTGGCTCCCAAGAGGAAACGTGTGTTCAGCAATCGAACCAAAACGGGCTGCATGACCTGTCGCCGCCGCAAGAAAAAATGCGATGAGCAACATCCTGCATGTAGGTCTCAAACGTTGGAAAGATATCGAGATACTACGGATATTTGAAGACTAACCTGTCCACATAAGGCAACAATTGTATTCGCGGTGGCTTCCTGTGTGAAGGATATACATCGCGGGGCATGTGGCAGAAGCCATCCAGCACCAAAGTGCCTGTTCCGTTACAATCGAAAGAAGGCTACCCAGAAATTAGTGCGCAGTATTTGCCAGAAGCGCCTTCGCATCATGATCGACCGACTGGACTGGCAGATCATATAGAGCGCAAGATGCGGCCGTCTGTCGCGGAAGAGGGGGATCGGACGGCCCAACAGTCACCTTGTCCGCCGCCGCCTCCACCGCAGCAGCAACAGCAGCAACAATCACCTGCGTCATCACATCCACCGCAGGTACAGCCACAGCCACAGCAACAGCAACAGTATACGACGAGCCCAACTGGCACCCATGCGTCATGGTCGAAACGAGGGTGGGCCAGCACGGCCCAACCCTATGTCTCAGAGCACCTCGCAAAACCCGATTATCGCGAAGTTCCTCCCGTTCACGAAATGTCATTGCGAGAGGGTTCTTCGAAACCGGAGTACGCGGTCGTTCCCCCGATGCGTGAACTGCCGGGTCCACCAAAGTCCAACATGGCGATTTTTCAGGGGGCTGAACAATGCCCGCTGCCCCCCGCGGCACCCATAGATACGAACAGTCCTCAAGCAAAAGCACGCATGGCCCTCAACATTGAGCATCAGCTATCAGGCCGCGCAGTCTCCAACGAAGAGACCGAGAAAGAGAAGATGATTCGCGGCGAATTGTACCGGCCATTTGATGTGCAATTGGTCGAGGAGCGAGATCGATGTAAACGTGCTCTCTGGCGGTTCAACAATGCATGTAATCCGGTAAATGGACTGAGTTCTAAGGAACAAAACCGTTTACTCAAGGAAGTTCTGGTTCCACCGTCAGATACCGTTGTGACTACGCCGCCGGGCGTACCTGTGCCGCGTTCCACCGGGTCGATTGGGCAAGGCGCGGTCGTCGAGAGTCCCTTCACCTGCAATTATGGATATAACATTCATATTGGCGAAGATGTAATGGTGTCTCAGGGCTGTCAGTTCGTTGACGACTGCATCATCAATATCGGTGCGCATACCTGGATCGGGCCCAACGTCACCTTGCTCAGCTCCATGGCTCACTCTAGCATGCAAGAGCGCAAGGGCACCCAAAGCCGCTACCAGGGTCGGCCCATCACCATCGAAGAGGATTGCTATCTTGGTGCTGGCTGTACGCTATATCCTGGTGTACACCTTGGACGCGGCGCGTATATTGCTCCAGGGGAGGTGGTGAAGACTCATATTGTCGCCTACGGCTTCCAAGGATATAAGCCAAGTTACATGTGAGCTTTGGAAGGGGTGCCAAGGTTCTATCAAGAAGCTTGCTCCGCGAAAATAATCGATTCAATGGCATGATCTTAATTATTTTTCTCTTCTCGCTGCGATGGAGGCCTGGCAGGCTGGCCTCTTACTCTATTTTGCAGATGATTGTGCCCCAGGCCTCTCTACCCTTTGTACCGGGGCGATGTGAACATGTTTTTATCCTGTCCTCTTCCTTTCTCTGCCCTTTACTTCCATTTCGTCTTCCCACATCAACCTTTATTATCATCATGCGATAGTACATTACAAATGTGAATATGAATAATGTTCGAAACTGAGTGGTGTTTATTCCTTTCATGATGGTTGAATGGTTTAGTAGAGAGTGATAGAGTAACAGCCGGCTCTCAAACAACAAAAGAAGTCATATGGTGGGTATCTCGATATTGGGAATCATGAATGGATCCTACGGATGAATCCAAGCGCCAGTCGCAATTGTAAACATACGACGCCACGGCAGTTCACCTCACAGCCAGTCCAGGAACTCGGGAGCGAAATAACTAACCACAATGCCAGCGCCTGCTCGAAGAATGCCCTCGGTGCTTTCAAATGCCATTGCTTTCAGATCAAAGACACCGGCTTTTGCACCGGCGTGGATCATCGCAAACTCACCGCTCACTTGGTAAGCAGCCACGGGAAGATCCTTAGCGAGGTCCTTTGCATCTCGAATGATGTCTAGATAACTGCTAGCGGGCTTGACCATGATGATATCAGCACCCTCTTTGATGTCTCGCTGGATCGCACGCCGAGCAAGGCCACGACCTCCTGGGGGAAGCTGGTAGCAACGGCGGTCTCCGAACGAGGGGCAAGACCCAGCAGCATCACGGAATGGGCCATACAAGCAACCGCTGAACTTGGCACTGTACGACATGAGAAGCACGCGATGTGCCAGGCCTGCCTCTATCAACTTAAGCTTAATGCCCCGAACTCTACCATCATTCATGTCGGACGGTGCAACACAATGAGCACCGGCAACGGCATAGGCCAGGGCCACATCTGCGATCCGATCAACAGATTGCGCGTTGTCCAAGGTCCCATCCTCTCGAAGAATACCACAGTGGCCATGCGATGTGTATTCACAGAGGCAGACATCTGTGGTGATATACAGTTGAGGTAGCCGAGATCGAAGAAGTCGAATAGCTTGAATGACAGGTCCAGCGGGGTCGTCTGCCGAAGTACCGAGCGCATCCTTAGCAGAGGGATGCAGAGGAACACCGAAAAGCATAACCGATCGCAGCCCCTTGCGAACGAGAGGTGCCAGGAACGGGATTAGTCGATTGACACCTCGGCGGTATTGGTTTGGCAGAGATGGGATTGGAGTCTCTTCATCTGGATTGTCGGTCACGAAAAGCGGATATATGAGCATTTCCTGGGAACAAATTAGCAAGGGAGGAAATGGCAGTAAAATAATGGGATTCCGCTTACCTTGGTCAGTTGACGCTCTGCTTGCCATGACCGACTCAATGGATGGCTGTATCCAGCGTGAAGCTGACTGGAAATATCCCCAGAGATGCTGACACTTGTGGCCGTAGTGCTTGTGTATGATCGAGCAGCGCGTGACTGGGCGTGCGAAACTTGGGAGCCGCGATCATCTGCATTGGAGTCGCGGAAAGCAATATCAGAGACAAGGTTAGAGAATGACATGTTGGATAATTGCTCGCGACTCGGGACAAATGGGAAGACAGAACGTCGATACCACGACGGAGACGGAGTGGCGGGTTTTGAAGGGAATTGTGACCAACCGAGGATCTAGCGGGTAAGGCGAATGCGCATCGCTATGATTGGTGGCGGTATCCGGGCGCGGTATCGGCTATTCCGGCAATTAGTCATCTTCTCTTTCCCCGCCCTTAACTAATTTATATCAGGGAGGTACTTTGGAAATTGTAATTAAAGGCTCATAAAAATTATAATAGAAACACCGACTTAACTCAGACCTGGAATTTCCAGTTTCCATAATTTAGTATTTAAATCGCTAATGACCAGAGCGCTGTGTTGATAGGTCTCTCTTTCCTGTCAAATCGAAGCACAAAGATCCGCATGCCAGAAGGCACTTCTGGTCCAATACCAACACCAACGGGCATTCCGCAAGGGTCGCCGATTTCGCCGATTCTCTATCTGATAATGCAGACCTGATTGAGAAATGCGGAAGCGGAGTGACCAGTAACGGCTGGGTGGATAATGTCTGCTTTATGAGTCATGAGTCATGACCAAAGGAGATAGCGAGCGAGAGACCATCAGGAAGGACCATCAGGAAGCTCAAAACTGCTTACGGGAAGGCCGAACAGTGGGCCAGAAAGCATGCCTCAGTATTCGACACAAAGAAGTACGCGCTCGTGCATTTCGTAAATACGAAAGAAGTCGAGCCTCGGTACACACCACTGTCACTGCAGGGGCACACAGTACCTGCGACAAGGACGGCGGAACGCTATCTGGGCTACTGGCTTGATCCCAGCTTGGAGTTTCAGCATCACCGCGAAAAAGCAATTTCGAAGGCAAATGTGTCTCTCCAGGCGCTACGAAGCTTGGCTGGCTCAACGTGGGGTGCCTCTCTTTCAAGCTATGCGCAGGATCTACCAAGCGGTAGTCATCCCACAGATGCTCTTCGGAGTATCGGCCTGGTACCACCCAATGGTGATCAGCAAGACGAAGGCACGAATAATCAGTCAACCATCCAGAAGTGGGCAGCATGCCTGATCAGCGGAGCTTTCAGAACGACAGCAGCGGAGGCACTGAACACAGAACTACACCTACCACCAATTGCGATCCATATGAACAGCCTTGTAAAAGAAACGGCTTTACGGTTACGGACTGGACCAGCATTCGCTGTCCCACCAACAATGCTACGACGCCGACCGGTGGACGAGAGAGATTGGTCTGGATGGACACCGATGGAGGCGCAAGCCTGGAAAACGGGCGGATGCCTTACGACTCCCCCGGGAACTTTGGCGAGGGACTGGGAGAGTCGGAAGGCATTCGTCCAGGCACCATGGCAAGCGCCGCCAGAGGTGTTCATCGAGGACAGAGAGATGGCAGTGAAAACTCACGACCACATTCTATCCAAAGACCCAAGAGAAAGACCCTTGATTCTCTACACCGACGGGAGTGGGATCGAGGGAAAAATTGGAGCAGCAGTAGTCGTTGATCTCGAGGATCACCACGCTCACAGCCAAATGGGCGGCGAATACACGTCCACTGTATACGCTGCCGAGCTCCGTGCCATCGAAATGGCACTCAAATTAATCCTGGAGGCCACGGAACCGTGGGCGGCACAGGCGAGAAACGGGCTTGTCATCTTTGCAGACAGCCAAGCGGCATTGAAGGTGCTCCGCCAACCACGGATGCCATCAGGACAGGTCTACCTGGAAGAATGCCTCCGCCTGGTAAGGCAACACGCAGCCAATGGCCGTCAAATCCACCTCAGGTGGATACCTGCTCATCAAGGAGTGGCCGGCAATGAACGTGTCGACCGACACGCAAAGGAGGGCGACCCAGGAACCAGAAGGACCACAAACCCCAAACAATCATTATATTCGCCTCGCAGCTGCAGCTAAAAGCCGCATTCGCCGCCAGGCAAAAATCGAGTGGGAAAGGTCATGGTCATAGAGAGAACAGGTCGACCGACGAAACGCTTAGTCGAACGACCAACAAAGACCCTGGAATACTGGTCCGACCTGCGGAAAGCGACAGCGTCCATTCTGATGCAGCTTCGTACTGGACGAATTGGCGTTGCTGCCTACTTGACTAGCATCAATCGGCGCGAGCCAGCGAAATGCGCTTGCGATCTGGGGAACCAGACGGTCAATCATATCTTGCTTGAATGCCCGCTACTCTAAGACGAGCGCAACTGGGTGAGAAACACTCCGTCCGACCGCGGAGTTGCTCTTCGACGCGACGAGCTCCTGACGCGGCCAGAGGCTCGCATAATTGTGGCCGAATTCATGGTCCGGACAGGTCTCTTAAATCAGTTTCAAGCAGTCGAACCATTGACTCTCGGCACGGAAAAAGGCGACGAAAAAGGATGACCCCTCAGGACAGTGTGACGGAAGGAGAAGGATGGTGCTCGTTAGGAGTGCAGTGCCAGGTCCACTGTACTCCCTTGATGCAAGCGAGCGCAGGAGCGGCAGCCGACGGCCCAGAAGGCTGCGCAGATGAAGGCGGTGGAGGATGAAGTAGATCAGAGAATGAAGTCTGCTTGTGGAAAGGAGAGTGGGTGGAGGGGAGGCGACGTTCGTTTTGGATTTCCTTTGTTTATTTTGTCTATTTTGCCATGCCTGCACACACCCCCGGGCGACCAATTAGGGGCTTGCGTTGCAACCCATGGAAACAATCGTTCAGTGGGCGGGCGACCACCTTCAAGCTGTCGGCAGGCCTGACAGCACTCCCGCATAGCAGCATATATTTAGAGCAAGCTACATCAGGCAAATGAATTCATCATCATCATAACAATATATTTTAAATTGTTTTTAATAGTTACTTGTATATAAACTTTTATAACTTCTGTCAATATTCTAAATCTTTAATTAGTATTAGACTTCATTATTTGCAGAGTTTTCCAAGTTTCTAATCATTATTAAATAATTATTTATAATCATATGAACTAATGAATAATAACGTGATCCACGGCCGCGCGAGCGACCCCACCAAATTTGAGAAAACCTTCAATTTTTGACCACTATTAAAACCACAATAATAACATAAGTTTAGCTATTGAACACGTGTAGGGCATTTAGGATATGTATGACCTTTTATCCCACAGCTAGAACATGTCACCTGCCGCCGAACCAAGGGGGTAGAAGGTAAAGTAGGCTCAGTAACCAGTTTTGCAGGCACCTCCGGTAAAGATATATCTTTGCTTCTATCTTCATCCTCAACCACCACATCATCTTCACCACCCTCTAGACCACCAAAGATGCCTTTCTGGGTCGTAAACTTATGTTTAATCTCTCGTTTTTTGGCCTGTTTCTTGTTGGTAGCTTCTAATTGGGTACAGCGATGCTGGAGAAAAATGTGGCGGTGGACTACTTTTATAGTCATCCTGTAGGTCTTCTCAATCTCCTTTTTTGTTGGTGAAGAAAGAAAAGAAGAAGAAGACTCTAGACCTTTTTTGATCCGAGATTGCGATTTTGTGAATCTTGAGAGGGTCCAAAGAGTATTTGGATCTCTATCACTGCCAGAAGGGAGTGGTCGCTGGGAGAGGATCTCCAGAGGAGGAAGAGATTCCAGGTGCACATTTAGCTTTTCCAAGACTTTATTAGCATCAAATGGTGCTAATCCAGTAGCCAAAAAGCTATTCTGTATAGTGGAAGACTTAAAAGAACCCATTCTCGCATCTGCGATTAGTTCTAGGAAATCTTCCTTGTCAACGGTGTTAACTCCGTTCCGCACCAAAGTTGAAACCGCTCCTCCATAAAGTCTCTTTAAAACCGAGAAACAACCCACATCCAAAGGCTGTAAAAGATGAGAAGCATGCGGAGGCATACAGATTGCGATGATTTGGTGTTCTTCACATATTTGGTCAAATTCAGGTGTTAAATGACTCCCATGACCGTCAAGGACCAGTAAGCAATATTTTCCCACTCTTGTCCCAATATTTGGGATAAAATGATGTTTTAGCCACCATAAACCAATTGTATTGGTAGTCCAACCATTTGGGCTCATAGTTAGACGAGCTCCTTTTTGATTTAAAAGGAGGTAGGGTCGTAAATGCTCTGTTTCCTTTGAAAATGAAGAGTGGAGGGAGAACACTTCCAGAAGCTCTTATACACTCAATCGAAGTCACCCACTCACGATTTCCGGCTTGCAAAAGTGCTCTTTTTCCATGGTATTCCGCTGAAGTGATAATCTTTTGCGTTGCGCCAACACCCATGGCAAAACCAGACTCATCAAAGTTGAAGATATCGTCTGAAGCGATACCCCACTTTTCCATCGTCCTTTGAAGCAAATCAAACCATGGTTTAATAATCCGAGGGTCTTCTGAAAGAGCTCTCTGATAGTCGTATTTGCGTGAAAGTCGAGTAGAGAGATTTGGGTGTCGTTTGACAAAATGAGAAGGCCAATTAATACCAGTGGTACAGGGGCCTTTTTTCCGTGCACTAAGTAGAAGATTGGCCATATCTCGCAACGTAGGCAAAGTAAGAGCTGCACCTCTTGAGTCCATATCGAGTAGCCAGTTTTCTATCGATTGCTCTTCGATTTGAGAGAAAATATGGCCAGATGGCCTCTTTTCAGTAGCAGATTGGCGCCAATTGATCCGGGCCTTCAAAGTTGAGACAGGTATCCCAAATGATCGTGCAGCAGCTGCAGCAGAGGGATATTTACCATCTTGTATAGCTTTTATAGCTAATAAAAGGCGACTCTCCTGCTCTGTCAACTTCTTTTTTTATCAGAGCGTTTGGGGGGGGCATTGTTGTTGTGGTTGAAAAAGATGGATTATTATTGAAGTGGATTTTTGATGGGGTCGCTCGCGCGACCGTGGATCACGTTAGATTCTAGTATGATATTTAATATATAATTTTTATTCCTAATAAATGTTAATATAACTGAATATTTTTCATAGTGGATAAAACCAGATAGGATAATAACATATAAATATTAATTCGTAAGATATTAGTACTATATACTTAGTTGAATAGATTGAATAGACATAATTAATATGTAGATGTCTGCATTCGCTGGTATGCGATCACAAAGCAAGTTGACTGATGCTAAATCATATAACCAGGAATGTGTGGAAGAAGAAGAGTGAGATCAGTCAAAGAGATAGAACTGTCTGATTAACTAGTGATGTAACTAAGTAGTTATATATAGACCGAAAATAGAACAAATAGTGCAAACAAAATATGCAAGTGAAAAGGGGCACGAGCAGGGGTAGTTCGATACATTAAACGCCATGCATCTAATGTGGCTTCAATATATTGGACGCCACCCATAGGAAAGGTTCAGTATTCAGAACTTCGGATGAACTATCGGCCGTCACTCCCAAGGGTAATGACGTGTGATTTCCCGACAAATAATATAGTTGTTTCCTTTCCCCTTTCGAACCCCCCATTTAAGTATTAGACTATAGTGTCATTTTTATCACGATAGTCTATATTTTATTATCATTTCTACTATTATTATAATTATTTAAATTAATTCAATGATTAACTATAAATTATAGATAATCTATTGAAATTTTTAGAATAATGTTTAGAAAGATATCTTAAAATAAACTTAAATACTATTTTTTTACAATTGTTTAATACTTATGCCTTAATCTAATTAATATTGTCTTTGATTATCTAACGTAATTCACTGCCGGCTCGCCCACCTGCCTTATTATAAAAGTTTGAATTGGGAGATCTCAACTAAAACACTGTTATTGATTTGAATATAGCGATTTTTACATAAATTGATCCTGTGCCCAATCTCCCTGCACCTACCTACTACATCTTGGCCAGGCCGTCGTTTCCCGTTGATCTCGCTGAATAGGTACATCGCCCTGCACATACGTCACCTTTAACTAGCTGATTTAGCCGCTGAGCTAGCTAGAGAACTCCTTCAACTGAAAGGCCCCCTTCATGCGGTATTTGCCGATTTGACTGTGTGCGATTCTAGCCTTTCTTCTTATTCGCTATGCGTAGATTAGCATTTTCTTATATTGCGTATTACCACTGCGCACCCTTTAATACTCTGATCTAGTATAATTTTTGATAGGACTGGAGGGCTAATTGACTATTATTACTTTAGTAGTCCCTTAAGCGACGAGGCTTGCTTTTATAGCTAAATAGTAGTTCTAGGTATTTTAGTGTAAATGTTGGAAGTCCTTTGAAAGTAGTTCAACACCTGACTTCTAAGGCAGTGATGTAATCCTGATCGGCTCACTGGGGAATAAGAGAGTTAGCTCGTGTGTAAAGGGGAAAGTACGAAATTTACCCCGCTTTCGCTTATATTGTTTGTCTGCTTGTTTGCTTCTATTTTGGTCTATTTATATGAGATTGATTCCAACGTTAGCTAGTTAGGCAGTTGAAGGTTCTCATCTCTGAATATTAGCTGTTCTCACCCATCTTATCTTTCCACGTCAATCGAGGTCCAGCACATGACTAAGACGAGTCATAGACCCCGATTGCTGACAGTTAATTAGCTAGATCTAACTACCTTGTCGACCACTTAGTAGTGTAGGTGTTTAGAGTGAGATATTGAGCTCTAAAAGCACCTGGTTTAGGTCAATTAGAATGAGACTAGTAGTAGTAAAGCTAATTTAAATAATATGATTCAAAGGCCTCCGCACGCGCCTTAAGGGTAATCTGTGAGGAGATTAAATTTATTAGTATAATCTATATCTAACACGAGCTAGATCGCTCACGAAGCGACTATACGCGCGTTTAAGTATAGCAAAATACCTTATCTATCTAGAAGTTATAGTAGATATAAGGAATACAAAGGTATATAAAGCGATATAATATTATTTTCTGCGCAGATTCGATCGAATTAAGATATAAGATAGCTACTATAGATATTAAGGACTAACCGGCCCCACGTAATTTTTACCAAAATTACTGGACCCTCGCAAGCGAGGGTCCGACACCCAAACAAAAAATGACACCCACAATATAAATCTCTTCAAAAAGCTACACTTCCACTTCGGCATCCTCCCACACCACCAACATGCCTCGTACAAACAAAGAAATTGAGGAACTGATTGAAAAAGCGCTGGAAAAACTACATACCCAATCTCGGCCAAATATCTCGAAAGTTGCGCGTGAATTTGATGTACCCTATCAACGGCTCCGTAGCCGCTATCGGGGCAAAAAATCACTATTTGAACGTGAACCTAATGGTCGGAAGCTTGATCCTGCCCAAGAGAAAGCTTTATGTGGCTGGATAGACTATAATGATAGTCTAGGAGTACCAGTTAAGCGTACACAAATTGTGGCAGCTGCAACTTCAATTTTGAAACTGGCAAACCCATCCTCACCACCACTGAGTGAAAAATGGCTCAAACGCTTCCTACAACGACATCCTAAATACAATATCCGACGTCGAAAAAGCCTTGATATTGAACGTCTTCATGCACATGACAAATCATTGATTCAGGAGTGGTTTCAAAGGTTTCAAAATGCATTTGATCTATATGGTGTTCAACCTGAAGATTTATATGATTTTGATGAAACAGGCTTCCAAATTGGTATTGGAAAAGACCAATGGATCATTACACGTGAACCTAGGCGAAAAATTGTTTCTGGAAATCCTAATATTGTGTGTGATAATCTGGTGGATTATAATCATCCTGAAGTGCCAGAATCCCCCTCAACCAATTCATCCAATTCAACAAATATCAGCACACCAAAACAATTCAACGATTTCAGAGACTTGAGAGCAGGCTTTTGACGTTGAACAAGGATATTTCTCATTATGAAAATATTGTCAAAAAGCTCTCAAAGGGGGCACAATCATGTGCATATCAGCTAGAGGAGGCACACCGAGAGATTGAGACATCAAAAGCTGCAACTGCTGCACGCCATGCACGTTATGGTGTATCAAGAACAGGTTTTATCAAGAGGCATTATTTCTTCAGCGAATGTGGCAAAAATGAAGCAGGATAAACAAAAGCTGACTGATTTGGAGGCAATTGATAAACTGCGGCCCCAGTGGAAGAAGGTTATGATTGAACTAAAACGGCACTGTAGGCAGTCAGGACGCCGTTTGAAGCGCTGAATTTTTTTTTTATTGTTCGTCCTATGAATACACATAGTGAGACCTCAATTACTAGTAATTCTAATGTAAATGTGGGTAATTTGGGTGTCAAAGTCGGATGCTGTGATAATTTATATTGTGGGGGTCGTTTTTTGTTTGGATGTCGGACCCTCGCTTGCGAGGGTCCAGTAATTTTGGTAAAAATTACGTGGGGCCGGTTATTTATCCTTCTTATTGATTACGCGTTCAACAGTAATAAACCACTGTCGTAGCGATTTCGGATCTTTAATTTAGGGCACGTTGATAATCGTACTGTCTCAAGAAGCGTGTACGAAGCGCAACTCGACGTTCGATAAAGGTTAATACCTAATTAATGCTGACAGTTAATAGCGAGATTAATCCATGCGCTCCTAGGAGAATATTAGCTATTGCAGGCACAGTAGAGGCCCCAGGGGCTACTCTGCGCGAATCTATAGAGAATATTTATTCAACTAGCGACTCCTCTTCTAAATAGTACTTTATGACCGTTTAGGCGTATATCCATGCAGCATATTACACCCTCCGCGCGATCGCGTAGGGTTGACTGAGGAACGTTAAATTGCTTGGTAGCTATATAAACAGATTTGATTTGACCTTTTTAGATAGCCTAGAGGGCTAATAGGATCCTGCGCTCTTAGTCGATTTTCGACGAGATTCAGTGCGTTTTAGTGGCATAGTAGGTGGTTGAAGAAGACATGTAGGTAGGAAGCGCGTATTTAGAGTGAGTGGGCGGGCTGGCCGTGAATTACGTTATAATATAATACAATCGTACGTCTATTCGTAAATGTACAAATATAGATAGTCTTGTCGTAGATTTAACCTAAAAAGGTGGAAGAAAGTATCCGATTATTATTATTATTTATGCTCTTGATTATCAAGTTGATCTTAAATTTACTATGACATTTCAATTACTTGTTCTAGGTTCTTTCCAATTATATTACAATATATCAGTTTTTATACTAAGAGACTTACTCTGTTATTTATATATATCAATATACCTAAATTAATATATCACTTTTGATATCTAAAGAAATATATAATTATTTAATTAAAAAATAATCCTAATGATATTCCCCTAATAATTAAATATTGGTTTTTTAAAGTTTTAATTAAATTATATCTTCAATAATATTATATCGTTCATTATATAGATAAGAAGAGAGTTATCTAAGATGTTAAAGATAACATGTCAACATCCAGTCATGTGCTGGACCGAGGATACTTTTTAAGGTTGAGACAAATCACATGACTATTCACTCGAGGACGGGCTCTGTCTCGAAGGGTCGTGTTGCGGGTTCAGATTCACTTAGAATTCGCCTGATCATCTAGCTATGATCAGGAACAGTCTTAAATACATAAATAAAGATGTAAACACAACAAACAGAAGTAACGTATGCGGTAAGCAAACAAGCGGTGTAAAGCGGGGTGACTGATATATCTCATTCATCTGCGCGATGCTCCTCGGATGAACACGCACTCAATTATCAACAAGTTATAAAAACTTTCAACATTCAATTTCTAATCTATTTCATATCCAAGATCTCTCTATACTATATTAATGTTTAAATTATTAACAGAGATTAATAAAGAAAATCTATGATCATTACATATAGATAGACTGCGGCAGTATCCGCAATATCCATTGGATATCCGCAATCCATATCCAAATGTTGCGGATATGGTCAGTCTTCCCATATCCGCGTGTGGATTGCGGATATCCAATGGATATCAATCAAGGCAATAATGCCAAGCCTCGTGACTTTATTCGGTCTGCATTATTATGCTGTCATCTCTTGTGGTTTTCAGGTAATAGCACTGTAATTCATTAATCTTAAAAAATGTAGTATATTCTCAAAAAATCAATAAAATTTATTTATACTATTATACATCAAGTTGAAACCCATCTGGTAATCTTGGTTGCTTCCGAATCCGCCCTGGCCGTGCCTGGGTGCCCTGATGTACTGGCATCTCTGGAAGGTCGTCATCCTCATTATCGAGGACATCAGATGATCTTTTTTGTGACTGTTTGCCTTTTCCCTGTCCCCATCGTTCAACAGTCCTATCATCTGAAATCTCATCACAGCCCTCCACCTGCTGTGTATCCTCAATCCCAGGCTCTTGATCCTCTTCCTCATTATCACTGATCGGCTCTAGGGTTTCAAGCTGAGGCATTGATTTCCAAGTTTGATCCAATAGCGCAGCCTCCCCATTAGAAAGATGCTCTTTAAGAACACTGAGCTCATCTTGCCTGACATCAAAGTTGGTTGCGAACTGATGAAGCATTAGTTCCCGGATTGTGTCTGGCTTTAACTGACCGCGGCGATAGTGGTAGATATCACGGGCACAATTGAACAATCGCTCCACACCAGCACCACTGGCAGGGATAGAGAGAATATCCCGTGCCATCCTTGCAAGGATAGGGAATTCATTCTCATGGTCCTTCCAGAAAACTCGGGGCTTCTGTCTCTCAATCCCCCGGGCAAGATATCTTGCGATCTCATCATCTTCAGGCTTTGTGAGCTCCTCGGGTAGCTGGCTCTGGGAAGCACAGGCAGCATCAAGATCACAGTCATTATTATCATCAACAGCCTCACTAAATATATCATCCAATGCTGTAGGATCTGAGTTATGGTGAAGTAGCTCTTTGTATCGATTGAACTCTCGTTTCAGAACTGTTGTGATATGTCGTATCGTTAGGAATTGATTCCGTTAGGATACGACATATCACAACAAGAACTTCATGATAATGTTGCACATAGTCAATTTCGCCTTGCCAATCACTTGATGAAAAGTATCGGAGTTTCTTTGATGGGCAAAGGATTGTTGCAAGAGCATAGATATCACCGTAAGGTTCATGATCAGTGGCAGTATAATACTTCGAGAGCTTCTTTTTTGCAGTCTGGAGAGCCTGGAGCATGCGCTTCTTCCAAACAACCCCTTTATTCTTGAGCTTGGCCTCGGCATCATCAAGGTGCGAGAATGGCTTGTTGTAAATACCATAGATATTATGGGCAGTAATATCTTTACTCTTTGATAACATGCTGGTAAAGTCGAAAAAGGGCTTTGTGAGAAGAAGAAGATATTCAACCCGTCGCCACTCTTCTTGATCAAGCCTGAAATAGAGATACTGATGATCTGCACAATACTGGTCATAGAAAGGCTGTAGGGTTTTGGCACGATTGAGCATCAGGAAGGTAGAGTTCCACCTAGTTTGGACGTCTTGGATAGGGATTAAGGCCGGCTCTTTGGTTTGCAGAGCCATGAATGCCTCCCGGCTTTGTGGACTTGCGTTAATAAAGACTGCAAGACCCCGTATATTTGTTATTTGAATTAGAACAGATCTATAAATATAAGAGTAGGATAGACTTACCTTTTTTAATGTCTCTGTGATATGAACTCGGTTGGAGCCATGCCTTTTGGTCTGAAATGAATGGGTTTTGTCATCAGACCATTCCAACTAAATCTCTTTGTTGGGCGGTGTTGCTTTCAATTTCCCAAGGAGCTCATTCAAGCTGAGCTGGATCACATGCGCAATACATGGAACTCGGAAGACCATGATATCCGACCGATATTGTGACTGAAGGGTATCTTGGATATTCATCATCAAGGTATTTTTATTTGTTGCATTATCAGTGGTCACTGATAATACCCGGTCAGATATTTCATGATCAGCCAGTAGTTGAGTAACAGTCTTGCTGAGGTTTTCACCAGTATGAGATCCATGAAGAGGCTCAAATCCAAGGAGGACTTCACAGTAATTCCAATCTTGATCGAGAAAGTAACCAGTAATAGCCATAAATGCCTGCTGAAATGGAGATGTCCAGCAATAAAGAGCTATTGACAAATTACTTCCGGTCGGAAGTCTTCCAATGACCTCCTTCTGGTTGTTTTGGACTGTCAATTCAAGGCAACGTCGGATACTTCGCGCAGGTGGAATTGTGATCTTGGTTGTGGCTTGCTGAATAACCTCGACTAGTTCATGAAACTGGGTATGCTCGATTATTCGGAAAGGGAGATGAGCAGTGGAGATAAAGTTCAGAATAGCTCTTGAGAGGCGTTCTTGGGAGAATGTATGGCTCTGTTGAAACCTGGGCTTTAAGATAATATTTAGATTAGTATTAGTGGTAAGAATCAAGATCATAAGAGTCAATAGTATACCATCTGCTTGATAAGCTGATCAATCCCGGGATTAGGGCTTCGGACACAGGAGCCAGTCTTAATATGCGCAGTCATTGGCGATGATCCTGCACGGCGGAATCTTGGATGACCAAGAGTACAGAGACATGATTTGCACATCACCTTTGGCTTTCCAGTCTTCTCATTTGCAACTTGCTGGAAACTCTCTCAAGCTTTCGATTGGGTTTTTGTCTCCCAACGAATACTCTCTTATATCAGGCTTCGATCCAAACTCAGTAGTAAGCCACCAGTTTACAAACTTCTTTCGGGATTCCTCCATATGGCTGCTGCTAGAATCAACAGGGTAGAGGACCCAATGTTGTTGAAGAGGAAGGCCAACACGGGTGAGGGAGGAAGGTGGGGTCAAGGTTGAAGGTGCAGTTGGAGTTAGATATTGAGATGCAGATATTGATATTATTTCGCTGCCAATAAAATCAGAAATATCGTCACGGTAAAGTCGATCCGAATTCAGACCTAAGTCTGAATCAGTATAGGAGCAGAAGGATTGAGACATTTGTTGTTGGAACATATCTCAATAGTCTATACGTTGTCTGTTGAAGCAGAGATTGGGAGAGACCTGGAGGAAAGTGTTGAGATATGTGATTGTCTGATTGAATCTTATTGATTGACTTGAGGAGTGATCTATTACAGGGGCCAGATGCCTCATATATCCGTTCCCAATCCCTGCAATAAGGTTCAGCCACCGTGATACTCAACACTCCCACTCGATGGCAACCACCGTCAAGAGTGCCAGCGACTATCCATCACGGTTGCGGAGGGCCCCGTTAAAACCTTCAAAAACCCCTTTAAAGGAAAAGAAGGAAAGGGTACCCATGAGACCTAGTTTCTGGCCGAGATCCGTCGATCGGGAGGTGTCACTCGATGCCAAGCCCTCTCCGAAACCATTCAAATCGTTCTCGCGCAAGAGGCTTCGTGAACCCATCAGCAATTTGCTCAGTAGTTGTAATGTATTTCAGCTCCACTGTTCCAAGGTCTTGGACCTCCCCTTGCCACTTGCGTTGGATTTCCATGTGCTTCGTGCGGGAATGATATTGCGGGTTCGAGGACAGGGCGATGGCTCCTTGGTTGTCACCATAGATAATCGTTGCGGCTTTTCCTTGGCTCATGTTCAACTCATTGAGGAGTCTTCTCAACCAGATTGCTTCTTTGGTTGCTTGTGTCTGGCCAAGAAATTCAGCTTCACAGGTCGAGAGGGCAACGACACTTTGACGCTTTGATTGCCAACTGATTGCTCCACTCCCGAGGTTGAAGAGATATCCAGCTGTTGACCGTCTGGTGTCGCGGCATCCACCCCAGTCTGCGTCTGTAAAGCCTTTCAGCATCTGGTGATGACCCTTGTACGTGAGCCTGAGGTTTTTCGTGCCGTTGAGATATCGCAGGATGCGTCGAGCGAGTTTCATGTGTTGTGGTCCAGGATTTGCTAGATACCTACTCGCCACCCGGCGGCGACCAGCAACAAGACGACGCTCAACAAGGTCTAGTTTCCTGCGAGTCATCGTCACTCGATTGAGACGACGCTGGTGTCTGCGAGTCTTCGTCACTCGACTGGGTTAGCACTCGTGAGTTATCGTTACTCGATCGAGGCAGTATGTGCGAGATATCTTTCCTCGACTTAGGTAGGGCTCGCTCTGGCGGTGCCATCGACAATTGGCGCCCAGAGGCGGGCACGGATGCTTGCCGTATGCCTACCGACGGTTGGTTTAATAGTCCCACCGTCTCACTCCCCCTGCGGCAGCAGCCATTGCCTCAGGTGAGCCGTCTCGTCTGGCTCCCACATCTTCTATAGTCTGTGTGGAAGGAGCTGTAAGGACTTCGTGAAATTCAGCATTTGGGGTCCCAACGATTCTTCCGTCTTCCAGCAGGATACGGTAGTTGGTATTTCCCTCATAGCCTAGCAGAATGCATGGCCTGGTTCTTGGCTCTGTGAGCTTCTTCCTCTGCTTGGGTGGGATCAAGTATTCCCCTTTGGATCCGATCACTCTGAGTCGTGATAGGTCCGGCTTGTCGCCATACCAAGCTTGATACGGAGTCATGTTGATCTTTGATGACGGCGACCGGTTGGAGAGGAATGCTGCGGTTCGAGCAATTTCTGGCCAGAATTTTGGTGGTAGTCTCGCATGTGCTAGTGTGGGCCCAACCCGATCATAAATTGTCTTATGGGCTCTCTCTGCAACCCCATTCTGCTGGTGCTGATCAACGCCTGTGACCTCGGCATGGATTGCCCGTGTGAACAGTATGAACTTCATCTCTTCTCCCACTTGCTCAGGGATTCGGTCGAGGCGTATTCGTCTACATTTTCGTTCAGGGCGTTCGTTATGATCAAGAAAGAACCGAAGTGATTCCACAACAAATTCTTGTCGTCGTGGTATAGGGATAACCTCAAACCACCCCGTGAAGTCGTCGACGATGGTGAGCCAATAGCGACTGCCATCAAGACCCTCGTCAAATGGTCCTGCGACGTCAATGTGAAGTAATTCCATGGCATATTCCCCTCTTCTGCTCCGCCCTGACCGGTTGTGGGGCCTTTCAATCATTCGTCCCTGGAGGCATGGGTTGCATGGCTGACGTGGTTCCATATCCCGGATGCCGTGCGCCTGCTTCTTAAGCCGCTGTAGGTTCCCATCGCTCAAGTGAGCTAGCCGGCTATGCCAAAGAGTCATTTGTGGACTGACATGGTAGGAGGGAAAGGTGAGATTCGTCCATAAATTGAGTGCGTAGACCCCATGATACTGGCTGGCAGTGTATAGATTCTTTCCACTTGACTTGTTGCGAATACTAGCACTTCGACTTGAGAATTCGACTTTTGCTCCTCGTTTGAGAAGCTGGAGCACCGATACGAGGTTTGCGTGTGAAGATGGGACGTAAAGGACATTATCAAGCACAAGCCATTTTCTTCTGCCTCGTACATTGCATAGAACATTGATTGTTCCCACTCCTGAGGGAGTCGTGGAGGTATCGACGCTTCTCAGCGGTGGTCCATGGTACTTGTCCATCTGTACGAATCTCGAGACGTTATTGCAGACGTGTTGAGCGCATCCACTATCGACGATCCACGCGTCACGGATCGACAAGGTTTTTGTAGCCATCATTGTTGGTATGTGGTCGAAGAAGGCGAAATTACCTTCAACGTCCCTTCCGAATGCTTTATTAACATCTTCTCCGGAGGTTTTTGTCGCCATGAAGGTGGGCTTCTTTGGATCCTTCGGGCCACCGACATCATCATCATCATCGTCGTCATCCGAGGGCCGACGCTTCAACGGCTTGCGTGCGCCTGTATGTGGATTGCCTGGCTTTGACTTGTGGTTCTTTCCGTCTTTCTTCTGATCTCTCGGTCTGGGGTTCTTGCTGAAGCACTCAGAGTCCACGTGGTAGGGTTTTCGGCAGAAGGAGCAATATGGGACGTTATCGATCTCGATTCGACATGTCGTTCCGTCAGATGCTGGTATAACTTTCTTGTCACCTGGCCCTCGGATTATAGCGAGAGCAGGAAGCGCTTGCGCCTCGGTTGGTTGTTTGCTCAATTGTCCCTTCCTATGTTCTTCCTCAATTGCCTTGTTCTCGATGTAGTCGAACGTGGGCGCCGCTTTCGTGATGTTACCATTGGCATCTCTTTCATTAACAAGGTCCATTTGCCGAAATATATGATCACGGAAACTTTCATACTCATGGCCTAATGCGTGCATGAAGAAGAATGTTCGCTCAATCTCCGAGGTCACACAGTCAGGGTCAAGGAGAAGTTTCTCAGCATGGATCTTCCTGATCTCGGCTCCGAGGGCTTGAGCGCTTCCGCATTTCTCTCTTGTGAGTGACATGTACCGTCGCTGGAGGTTAACGTATGTGCCAGTGCCTTCTGGTTTGAAGTTGTCTTTAACCGCCTTTAAAAGTGCGTGGACTCGAGAGATCTCAAAGGCGTTGATCCTTTGTGCCGCATTGTAGGTCAGCTTTGCCGTGATCATCGCAGAGTAGAATTTTTGGCGATGAGTCCATTGCCGTGCTTCTTCTTCTTCTATCGGTGGAGTCGTTTCATCATCGGCGACGGCAGATATCCGAATGAACTCATTGACC